GACGCCAATTTTCCGATTTGGGCGTCGACTTTTTTGTGGACCGAAAATCGCGACTTGGGAAAAAAAATTCCGAGATCTTATATGACCACCTTTACATACATAGGTAGCGATGATTCCATGCTGTTTATCATTGTCAAATAAATAAAATCTAATTAATTTTATGAAAGATGATGTTGGATTGACCTGAAAATGCTTGGATCGGAATGAATTGATGCAATTTGTTGAATTTGAGGGCTGACGGAATCCAGCTCTACTTGAGTGTATAAAAGACAAACATCGCAGTATACAGAAACAGCTGTTAAAGGTTTGTCTACATTCTGTTGTTTATCCAACTGACACTTTCCTTTTATTGTCTCGGATTCTCTTCGGTTTATAAAATGAGGAGCCAGGTTGGCATCAAATAGTCGGAGTCTGAATCCACACTTATTATATTTATTAGCCATCTTTTTCGTGTGCTCATGGTATGTTCATGGTAACATAACTTTTACTCTGATCCCGACTGTACATAAAGTTCACGCAACAGAGAGTTTTTCGGGGATTACGCAACGGAAAGGCTTCCATTCCCGGTTAAATGGTTGTACAATATTCGAAAAAGAGGGCGCTTCTGAGGGCCCCACCTCGTTTTCATGAATTCGTAATTTATTTGGAAATAAATCAACCCCAGTTTTTGTTCCCTGAGTATGGGATGGTGAGCCTGTATGATGTTGCATTTAAAGTCGCTTTATAATTTTCTTGTGTTTTTGATGACTGTTTTTGCGCCGAAAATTTTATAATATAAAAGCAAAACTAGGACAATTTTGTAACTTTTTGTATCCGAGGCTTCATTTAGGCTCACAAGATCGATGAAATTAAATCAAAAAAAGATGACCCTCGACCAATCACTATTGAATTCTTGCACTAGGTATAATGTGAAAGTTTCAAATGCATGCCTCTTATCAGCGGGCTGATAGCCGGTCTCTGCCCAATTATAAAGTCGTTCCCTCTCATCCGAAGCTGTTTCCACACACAGTTGACAGTACTATCATGACTCAACAATGGAAGTAATAGTTCATGACCCGGTTGTAGTCGCGATGTTTATGGGCCGGGGAAGGCCACGACTTTTGTTTATTCCCCGCCATTTTGTAAAGTTTGCGATTTCTGACAATGTCACCCTCAGGGTCTCGTATAAAAAAGAGACGGTGTTCGCTTTGTCTGCGGCTCCTTTTCCGGATTCTTTTTTTTCCGGGTCCTCGAGGAGCCGGTTCGAACTCGCGGAGTTCGTAAAAGGCCCAAAAAATGCTGGTGAAGGAAGGCTAATTTTGACGTGAATTCTGTTTGCGAGACTGCTAAACCCGTGGGCGAGAGAGCCAGCTTTTTTTGTAATTATTTGCTCAACAATCGAGTTCAGTCGGGGTCGGAGGAGCGGGGATTTCCCATCCACAGTATGAATAGAGGCTTCCTTGGCCTAAAATTGGGATCATGGCCAAGACCAGACTGTTCGGACTGGACGTCTGGGCCCGGAACTTCTCTTTTCCCGGTCCCTCTCACGGACAGCTGTTCCTTTTGGTGTTTGAGGGAAGAACGGAGGGGACTTGCAGCATTTTTTGGCCAGTCCATCCGCTTTTCTTCATGGAGATTCTTTTACTCTGGTTCTGATTTTGATTTAGAGTGTCCGGAGGGTTTCTCGAGCAATTCATTTTGTCAAAAGAGAATAAAAGACTCCAAACTTCACGAGTGTAAATTCGTCGGAGATTATGTTAAACCTTTCGATTTCCTGATGAATACGTACCCTTATCCCTTCCTTTTTTGTGTCCTCCTTTTTCGAATATTTTCCAATTTCACTTCCAATCCACACGTTTTTGTTTACAATGCCTATCAAATCAAGGCGCTTTGGATGAAAACGAACCCGACTCTTGCCGCCCAATATTTACATTTGAATAGGATCTCTCAAACAGTTCTTGCCCAGGAAGTTTTTTGGCGTGAAACGTGAGAAAATTGGGGTCACGACCCCGTCTCTCGCCCGGAGCCCTAACCCCATCGCTCTCAAAACTCTTGCGCAAGAATCCCGCGTCAATCCGTTTTTTTTCGATTTTTTCTTTCCGTGTGTTCGCCGGCGACCTTTGACAGGGGGTTGAAGGGGGAGGGGGCAAAGTGGCTTGGGGGCGCGTCTCCATCTATTTCGAGAGCCAAAAAACAGGCGACGAGAGACCGCGACCCGCCATGGTCGCCGTGGGGAGGGTGGCGGCCCTACCGCCAGCGGGAAGGGCCGATTATTTGATTGTTTGTGAGCTTGAGCGCCGCTCCCGACCGCCCTGCGGGCTTTGGCTGGGATCCGGGTAGTGGGGGGACAGGTGCGCAAATCGATTTTGGAGGGGCTTATCGAGAGGGAATCTGCCCGCCGTTCTCTCCGTTCCGTCCATTTCGAGAGCGCCTGAAGAAGGCCCTTCTCAGTCTTGTTCACAATCTTCTTCAACATACTCTCATCCATTCCGTCGTCTACCTCTCTTACCTTAACTCGTCTCTTCTTTTTTTTTACTCAAAATGGGGGTCAGGACGTGTATTCGGAGACAATGGAGGGTAACCGGTCCGGCCAACTTTAAAACTCAAATTAGGCGACTTTTTTGTAATACGATGTCTATTACTTATAGACCACTTTACATCCTCTCTTGGCGTCGTTTATGTACTAGTAGCTACCTTCCCGCTAATAAGGTTCTCACAAATTTAGATGGGTATCCTGGGAGTAATCAGAGGCAGTAACTGATGGGGCAAATTTAACCTTTTTTCCTTTAAAGATCCGCCTCCGGGCCTGATCTTTTCTGTTTGAGTATTTTTTTTTCTCCAGATGGCGTGTGCCCAATTTCAATAAACGATCGGAAAGACGACCTTGTGCGGGGGTCAAGTTCAGTCGGGATGTTGACTTGTTGTGTAATTCCATTTTCGGGATCCTCCAGATCTCGGTCTCTTATCTACGCCATTTTTAGATGAGTAATTCTTTTCACGCAAATTTCGTGGCTTTTTAACAAGCTAATTACTGGCATAGATAATGACACCTTGTAACTTATAATGTTACTTGCAACCAGTTCTTCACTTTTGATGACACTCTCGATTCGTTTTCGCTGAGGCTCGGGACTTTTGTGCATGTTTTGGTGTGTTTGTCAAACTCGTCTTTTTGTTAAGTAAAGGTTAGAATTGTATTGAAAGGGTCGTTCCGAAAACATTTCTGCGCCACCGTTCCAAGGTCCTTTTTCCTGCGCTTCGGTTCTCCGGCCTCGGTCCGTTTCTCTCACTTTTTCTTTCGTTTGTGCCCGACCCAGCCTGGGCTGATCTTCACTCAGCGTATTGTTCTACCTTCCGAACGTCGAGAGATGGCTCATCTCTCTCATAACTTGCTATGATTGAATCAACTATTCCTAGCCGGCATAGTTCAGTGGGGATTGGCCAGAGTCTATTTGCCGAAAAAATAAATATTTTAATTATTCCCCTAAGCGTCTTAATTTGTTTTTTTTCTCGCCAAAATTAGTCTACAACTTTGATCGGAAAAGAAGACCAGAGTGTCTTATCATGTTGCCAGCCCCCTCTTTTCGTTTCACTGATTGACTTGTCAGTGAGTGCCCTAAAGGGGAATAAAAAGTGCGGTGACTAATTTGAGGCCAGAAGACGAGTTAAAAGACGTTTGCTGCGTAATGACCTTCCGCACGGTGCATCCTTTCCCTTCCTGCCGAAGCCTGACCCTCTTCGGCTTCTTGAGTTTGTTCGGCTTCGTTTTTGTTATTTTTTCTAATCCGATTTTCAGAGACGCGGCCCAAATTCCGTCGGTTTCTGGGTTGGGCCAAGTCGCTTTGCACGGGCGGTTCGGAACGGTTGGGAATCTTTCAAAACACGTTCGCCGTTAAATTTTATGGCTTATGGTGGGGTTTTGTTTCTATTGGGCTGACGGGCGGGCCCGGCTTTGGCGCCAATGCAAAATATTATTGGTCTTTGGGGAAAATCAGACAAAAAATCGTGGGGGAATCTGAAGAAACGTCTGAATGGTCGATCCAATGGGTCTTAATTTAAACGTTTCTTATTTTTCATTCTTTGGAAAGAGCCCATTCTTTTATTAGCAAAATCTTTCAATCTTGCGACCAAAAATGCCGATTTGAAGGCATGGAATTGAGTTGCGCGACCACCAATTCCGGGCAGTTGTTTGATCCAGAGGCCGCGTTCGGTGGGTGCGGGGAGAACAGAATGGAAATGATATTATTTATGCAAAAAATAGCGGCGCAGTCGTTTTGTCGGCCTCAATTCCGTCGTCCTCCGAATGTCTTTCTTCTCCATAACGCCTAGAACATCCTTCTTTTTATTGTAAACCCGCCGAAAACAGCACGAATGTCAAGGTTGGGCCCGTATTTTGAGCCCACATCGACCGATACGACGGCCATGCTTTCGGGCCGGAAAATGAGACTCCGGCGTTAAAAGGGACGGCCATTTTTTGGGCTGTCGGAACCGACTTCCGCTCTAGAATTCAGTGCCGATTTCAGGTGCGGAGATACGAGACTTTTGATAGTAATTTAGACGATGTAGGTGAGCCCAAAGTTAATTGCACATCTTCAAGTTGTGCTTGTTGATTTGGTTGTTATCGCCATTGGTTTCCAAGTCTTTCTTCTTTTTTGTTCTTTTATGCAGAATTCCCAGCGTGTTACCAGGGGACGAGACGATTTACGTAGAATGGGGTCGGGTGTATCTGGTTTCATACTTGATGTATATGCCTTTCCGTGGCCCGACCCACGGAAATGGATATTATCTATTGGTTTTCGATAACGTTCGGCCTTTTTGATACGCGTTGGCTATTTTTCTGTCCCGTGTGATTCCCCATTGACATCAGGGTAATATAAATGACGTTTCAGTTTGCCACCTTAAACCTCAACCAAGGATTTTAAACCATTCTCTCGGGTTTCTGTTCCGTTTCCGACACTTGTACATAATTCTTCACTTGAATAAACTCGGTGTGTACATATTTCCTCTGCCTTGAATCACTCGAAATGTTCGAATACGACCGTCTCGCCTTGGATGTGGCCCAGCAGTTCGCCAACACTCCCAAAAATTTTGATCCCGCTCCAGGCCGGCCACGAAGAAAGGGAACTCAGGATGATGGAGTAAGTTGTCATCAGATTATGTATAGTTTAGTCATCATTATAAAATAATTTGATGTGAATTTCAGAAAGATCGCCATTTCAGTGGGAGCTCCATGGATCTGTTTGATTGTGGCTCCAGCTCCGGATATGGGAGTCCTGGGGTTGGAGGCACACCGTTGGCTAGTCCGGCACCAAACTCTTCTTCTTTTATTGCACAATCAGTGCAACGAATGTTATTGGATCAGGGATTCTATGATGAACTCAAAACTATGGGAAAACAAAGTCAGCTCCAGTTGAATGCGAACGATTTGAGCGCGATGATTGCTGGGATGACCGTTGAACAGGTTGATAAGGTGAAGAAATAACCAAAAAATTGATACTAATCGCGCTCAGCAACAGGCAGTTTCCGCACTGTGCAATTTTTAATTTTTATCCGCACTGTGCATCTTTCTCTGATTTTTCGCGTTTGTCTCCGCAATTTCCCGTTTTTTCGCTAGCGACGTGTACTTTTGCTCGCGACAAACACGAATTTGCGCGCGCGACGTCGAAAATACGAACTTTCGCACGGTGCGAAAATTGTGGGTAGTATCTATCATAGTCTTGATTATATAAGTTTATTTATTTTTATTCAGAGTATTTGTTCTGAGAATGAAAAAGAACTTCTCAGTCTGTCAACAACATCGTCGCAGATCTCCCACAGTTCTCCATTCAGTCCAACACCAACTCAGACTATAATCAGCAATCCGACTCCTGTGGCCTTTGAAGATGGGTTCAGCCAAGATGAGATAGCTCAATTCGCTGAACTTTTATGCAGCCCCAAGAAGACTCCTCCGACTAGATATCAATGCCACATCTGCTATAACACTGGACACTACATTAGTGATTGTCCGATGGTTAGTTTTATTTTATTTTTTGTTTTCTGACAGCAATTCAGAGAAAAGAAACTGAACTAATTAAAGATTGCAAACAACGATGACTAATTTCGATTAATTTCAGCGTTTCAACAGCCCCTACGAAGAACTGACCCCTTATCAAGGCCGAAAGAAATGCTATGGAGAATTCACTTGTCATCAATGTAAACGTCGTTGGACTTCCCAAAACTCTGTGGCCAATGAGGCCCAGAGTTGTATCAAATGTCATGTTCCGGTGTTCCCCCACAAACAGTTGCCGGTCGATAAGGCGGTCGCTTTAGGATTGGTGAAGGCCCAGAGAACTGTGCCAACCAAGGTGGCTCCGATTGGCCATGGCCGTCCACCGTTCCCGACAGCTGTCAGGCCTTGAACTAGCTATGAAAACATCCATCAAATGAGTGTATGTAAAAAGAAGAGCCAGTCCAAGTCCACTGCCTTGGATCGGGCCGATCTAATTAAAAGTTTCTGTATATTCAGTTCTTTTTCGAGTCCACCGATGTGTCTCTCATCTCCAGGACTGTATCTATATTATATTTGAATACCTTCATCGTTCTTTTTGTACATTTTTCTATTTGTTTTTAATATAATAACTGATGTTGTACATAAACCCCTAAGGTGAATGCGTGTGTCGCCCCGAGCGAGTTCCGAGAATCCACGGATCCTCCCCCTTTTCATCCGGTCAAGAGTTATTATTGTAGATAAGTATGATAGGAATAAATTTGTTTCCCCAAACTCAGCTTTTCTTCCGTATGAGGGAAACATCGGATACTGAACAAACATAAGATGCAAAGTGAACTGGCAAGATGTGAAGGATTGGAAGCTTGTTTCTGATTACATAATCAACATACATAATATAATCTAGATGTATGTATTAATGCACTTTGAAAGGTCATTAAAATTAGAGCAAAGTACAACATCAGGGACTGTCCGAAGCACCTGTCGCATCAAGGCCCTTCACAAACACATTCCTTAAATTTAAAAGTCTGGATTTGCAAGTAGCGCTAATTCTGTCCTTCCATTAGACCTTCAGATATCAGAGAATGTTGACCGAAGAGAAATGAGGACCTCGAATTAGAAATTAATATTATGGGAAAGATTGGGGCGGTAATTTGAGCCCTAAGAGCAAGATTGATCTACTTCAAAATTCATTCAAAAAAGTGTTGGAGGGGAGTAATTCCATATGCATCATATAATTCGAGGGCTTTGGAGGCTGAGATAGGTGAGAGTTTGTGACTAATTTCTGGCCAAAGTTGGAAGAAATGTCCACATTGATTATGCATTTCGGTCCGGCGGACAAGAGAAAAAGTTTTTTGGGTTCTTTAGACCCCAACATCAAGTTCAGCAAGTAAAGGACAAGCCCTGAACCTCCGGTCCTGCACTTTCTGTGTTGCGAAATTCGTGGTTTGCTCTTTTGATGACTGTCAATATGTAATTCCGGGACTGTCCCCTTGCTCTCTACGTCCAATCTTCTCTTTGCTTTGGGCTTAACGGCTCAAAATTCGGGCGAAAACTCATCAAGACTTGATTTATGTCCTGGTAACAGTCATCAGGCCATCAAATCTGCATAACAACCAGATTGCTCGCTTTCTTTGGACGTGATGAAAAATTGAATGAACGGCCCATTTTCGGTTTCTTTAACGCGAAAAGAAGACTTGTGGTGAGCGCAAAGCTAGGCCAAGGTCTTACCTATGTAAAAAAGCGGCAAAAAAAGAGCGAGGCCTTTAGGCTAAAAGGGGGTTTTGGCCACAAGTCCTGCAAAAAAGAGACAGACATCTCTTTCTTCGCCTCCAAAAGGGAAACTCGCTTTTCTCGCCCATCAATACCTCCTTCTTCTCGAATCATTTCGTCGTTATCAGCCCCATTTCTATTTAAAAATCCCGCTTTGTTTTTTATTCTTTTGGCCCCTCGATTCGAATCAACGTCTTATTTGAATTTAAGAATTTGTAAACTGGTATATACATCCAGTTGTATAGAAATTTTTACAGAAATGCCCCTTTAGGGGCGATGACTTAAAATATTTATTATCCTGTCTTACAATTCCAGACTCGACCCTTTGCGATTCGAGATTGTAAATTAAGTTAGTTCAGTCTAATGCTTTCGAGAGTTTCTCTGGGCATATGTATCTTGTCGAAGAAGAGGAGCTGCAAATCCAATTCGTTGGAGCAACTTCTAGATATTGTTTGTTTCTGGAGTCCGTTGAGTTGTAGGTCCCTCAAGAAGGCTTTATTGGCGCAAACGCATCCGAAAATCCATGGCCACGGAGCCGACTCGGAAAAGGCCGATCCTTTTTTATCCAGTTAGGTTTTCTGAATGGAAGGGGGAGGGCACAGCGGGAAGACACGGCGTGCTGAAAGGGAACGGTGCTCTCTCGGATTGTTACAAGCCTTGTTAATTGTGATCCGGGCCTGGTTAACGAGGCTCCTTATTCGGTCGAAGGGTGGGGTCGGGGTGGGGCTGTAGCCGGCTAGGCATCGTGCTCGTCTTCTTTTTCTTGCCGTTCTTTTTGTCCCGCTAATTGTCCCGGTCCAAATTCGGTTTTGGCGGGAACCCTGAGGGCTCAGAAGTCGTGGCCCAGCCAAATCCCATTACCCCGCCGTTATTTGGACGTTTTTTGTGTCTTCGACGTTTTGCCTTCCTCCATCCCGCCTCCCCCTGCTCCGAGAGGATTTTGACGTTTTTTGGGCAATATAAACGCCGCTGGTTATAGCATCAGATGAAGATATTTTTTCGCAGAAAGTTAAAAGAGCCGGGTTGGTCCCTGAGGGAAATTTCAACCTTTTTGTTTGCTTTTTTATTTGGCTTTAATGCCGGAAACATTCATAAAACAAGAACTCGCAATAGATTTAAGACATTAATTAAGAGATTACCTTCTTCTTTTAACCCTTGGACTTCGTGATTTCTTGGAAAATTATTCTCCACTTCCTTTATTTTAGGAAACAATTAGCACAAAGAATTCACAGAAGGCTCTTTTGCGTGCTTAAGGTAAAAAGCCAGCAATTTTGGGCATAAACAGACGTGCTTTTCAAAATATGTATAAGCAGTGCCATTATCCTTGTTTAGAAGCTATCTTATCCAAATTTTTTATGGCATGACTCCGGCCTCTCCGATGATGTCGGAATTGTTTGGGCATGGTGCAAAAGGGTCCCCATTAATCGTCCTTAATTTGGAATCTTCGCGGAAGACGAACAAATACGAAACGAGCCGGGAAGAGAGGACAATAGGCGAAACAGGGTCTTTTTCCATTCTTCTTCGAGACCAATACCCAGGCCAGCCAAAAAAAACTGTGGGGATTTGCATTCGCGGACGTTCTGGCACCCCGACATTTCAACTCAACTCCCCCTGCGGGCATGTTTTTGTTGTTTTATTTCCCAAATATCCGGCGTTTTGTATAATCCCAGCCGCGGCCGGGATTTCATTTCACAAAATCTTGGAAGTGGGGATTAGCCGGGATATTTTGTAACCATTACTTATGATATTATAGTACTCGCGGCATAAAGTTCACATAATTTGCACTACGCGTTTTCCTTATTTTTTCGCACCCGTCGCCGCAACTTTCCGTTTCCACGCAAGCGATATGCACTTTTTCGCGAGGCGACTCCAAATTTCACTCGCAAAGTCGGCAAAGAAAATTGGCCGAACTTTATGGCAAGAGTAATGTGCTCAGATAGCCCAGAAATTTGAAATACTTAACGATACTAACATTAAATCAAATCTACACCGCATGCCGTGATTAATTTAACGTTGCAAAAACAACTCTTGAGGCCATCCCGCTGCTAGTTTTATGGAAATTAAAGGTGTATTCTGGGTGCGGTGTTAGATTGCGCATTGTTTTCTCGGCGGTGCCCCGCTTTCTGGTCTCAAATAACATTTTCGGCCGGGGCTTAAATGGGCTTGATCTGGTGGTTGTCCCTATTCTGCCCTGAGGGTCCAACCCACATTCCGTTTAATTGCCTTTTTAGCGGTTTATGTGACTTTTTTTGGAGTGCTTTTTGTTAAGTGAAATGTCCGGCCAAAATTAATTTCACAAATTTTGCCGTGGCTCAGTTTCGTGCAGTATTTCACATTTATTTTTATTTCGAAATCATTGAAGATGCTTGGTGCTTCAAGCAGCGATGAGGACGACGATGATATTGTAGAGAATGAGGACAACAACGACGTCCTGGGAATCCCTCGACCCATCGCCGCCCTCCAGCAAGCTGCTAGCCCGCGATCCAGCTCGCCGGCCCCTTCTGATTCCTTCAGCCAAGCCAACAGCCTCAAACACAGCGACAGTTCCTTCGCCAAACGAGACCGCAATTCGTTTCGGACAGGGAACGCTCCGCGAAAAGTGAGTTTGTTTGATTATCTTAATCTTCGTTTTAGAAACCCTCAAGTAGTACTGTAACAAATCGGCCAGTCGCTCAATCATCGCAAGATATCTCAGATGAAGAAGATGAGTGTTACAGTCAGCCGGTGGCTACAGATGAACCGAAACTCTCAAAGGAAGAACAGGAACGGAGAAGGTGGGTGCTCCTCTATTACAGGACTGATTTGTAGGGCGGAGGAGGAGGAAGAAGAACGTCGGAAAAACCTACAACTTTATGTATTCGTTGCCAAATGTGTTGCATATCATTTCAATGCCAAACAGCCTACAGATATGGCCAAACGACAGCTAAAAATAACAAAGCAAGAGTTGGCAAGGATAAAAGATCGTTTCCAGACGTTCCTCAAAGGAGAGACGCAGATTCCGGCAGATGAAGCCTTCACCAAAGCGATCGATTCCTACTTCGAAATATTCCTGAAATCCGAACGGGTAGCCAAAGTTGTGCAAGCAGGCGGATTCTCGGCTCACGACTTTAGAGAGGTGTTCAGATGTAATGTTGAGAAGAGAATCAGAAGTCTACCAGAGATTGAAGGACTGAGTAAAGAGACTGTTCTCACATCATGGCTATCAAAGTTTGACACAATAATGAAAGGAGATGAAGATCAACACGGAAGACAGGCCAGAGGAAGAATGAGAGGGATGAATCAACAGAACGGAGATGCAATAATGTCCAAAGAACAATTGTACGACATGTTCCAGCAGATTATGAATATAAAAAAGTTCGAACATCAAATCATCTTCAATTCTCTACAACTTGACAATCCTGATGAACAAGCGGCAGCTATTCGCCGAGAAGTGGCGACAAGGGAAGAAGTTCTCCGAGAAATGCCTAGGGTAAGTTATCTGGATCGCGTAATGCTTAAATTACAGTTGCGTAAAATCATGCCGAAATTTGTGGTGAAAAACATGGATACCTTATTCATGGATGAGGTCCGGCAGTCGATCAATCAGCTTATCCAGAATCTGGAATCTGTTCCAGTAACGCCCCGAGGGCAAACACTTAACCGGAAAAAGGACGGTAAAAGTCGATCTCGGTAAGGACGGTCATCTCTCCTCTGTTTTCATTACTTTCGGTCCTCATTTCAATTTCGATTATTTCGGTCAGATTTCTCTTAATTTATCTTTTGTTCCGTTTCAGATTCTCGTTCAAAATCAAAAGGTAAAATACTCCTTAAGAAGTTCTATCCTGTCCGTTCACCTCACAGTCCATCTTTCTTTCCATTAATGTCATCTTTTCTTTCCTGATCACTCTTTCCTGGCCTTCCATTCCTTTGTTCACCACTACCTCAATGTTTTTGAATCGTTCGCTCAAACAGGTCCTTGTAATTGCCGATGGATTAATCCACATTAACATCAGCAAAACTGGAAAAATAGAAAAACTTAACATACTAACTTTGAGAATACCGAGCAATTAACAGTTTTGATTACAAGCACCCTTGGTCACTGGTTCCAATCTTTTGTGTTACAGTAAATTGTCTGAAAGCACGATTGGATGGCACGAGTTTACAGTTTTACTAACCGTTTCCCCACATTGTAAATAACACTGAGAGTTTAAATTCTGATATGATTTGTGAGCCGAATGTAATTGATTAACCGTTTTTAGATCGCGGAGCATCGAGGACTTGTCCTTGTTCAACAGGTAAGGATCGATCCTTGTTTTCGGTGTGTTTTGCCGGGTTGGGTGGCGATCAGTGTAGTTAGGCAGTAGCCGTATGTTGTAGTTAGGCAGGGATTGTGCTCGCTTTTGTGATTGATGATTGGCTCGCTTTTAAACTCGCAAAACGCAATCTCAATTGACAACCGAATATTTAATCAAGTAGATGTTTGACTGTAAATTCCGTTTAGCAGTATCGTACTCCTGGAAATGGCTATATCGTGTCCCCTGTGATATTCGGTTTATGTTTACTTTATTTTGCTTTCATTGGGTACCGTCTCCATTCCAACCTTCTTGTATATTACCCTTGCATGGCTATCGGCTTATCCTCTTTGTAAAAGGCTTTCAATTCCTTGTTAGTGTATTATATTCGATTTATCAATATTTCAGTCTAAAACGCCGGACCAGTTCAATGTCGTTGAATAAAGGTGAAAGTGAGGATGCAGAAGTTTCGCTGACAAAAAGCGATGTGACACTAAGTTTTAATATGGAGGTCAGTAATCGTAGTATAAAAAAAAGATTGCAATTGCAGGTAGTAGTAATGGAAGTGCAAAATTTAAAGTCAGTCCAGCCAAATAGAATTGTTTATTGCACTATGGAAGTGGATCACTGCTCAAAGCTTCAAACAGACCATGCCGAAGCCTCAAAACCACAGTAAGTCATCAATATTTCTATCTCTCATTTCTCTAGATGGGACACACAGGGCGACTTTACAACCAAACACCCACTGCCCACTGTAAAAGTGAAGTTATACGCCGAAGTAAAGAATCTAGTGTCATTTGAAGACAAAGAATTGGGGAAAGTGATCATTCAACCCACTCCCAATTGCTCCAGAATCCCCGAATGGTACAAGATGACAGTCCCGAAGAGTAGTCCAGATCAAGGCCTCAAAATCAGAATTGCTATTCGGGTTGAGAAGCCACCGAATCTGAAGTACTGTGGATATTGTTATGCTATTGGAAAGATTGCCTGGAAGAAGTGGAAGCGCAGATTTTTCTGTCTAGTACAAGTAAGTCCAGAAGGCGCTATGACTTTTCGGATCAACGATACAATGGATCGCGTTGGTTCCTCGTTATGCATGGGGGAGGCTTAGTTAGTAGAAAAAGCAAGATCGGGTCCTAGGATAGCTTATCACCTATTTTTGGGTATTTTACATGTAGTCACATCTAAAATATCTAGACAAAAGTTACGGATCTTCTTTTTTTGCCGCAAATTTTTGTCTTTTATATGTTACAATACTGAGCGTAAAGAAAATTAACGTTTCGCCAACAAAGAACCCACCTGCCCTACGCCCCGTATCGATCGTTTGTGTTGACCCGAACTGTCGTCGACCCGAAAGACGCCGTCCATAACTATAAACTTGTCATAATTATGAAATTCGCATGGTGACTTTTAATACTTTGCAGGTGTCCCAGTATGCCTTTGCTATGTGCAGTTATCGGGAAAAGAAGTCCGATCCCACAGAATTCATCCAACTGGAAGGCTTTACTATCGATTATATGCCAGAACCAGACCAAGGTGAGTATATAACCTTTCAGTATAATTTTTTTCGGAGATTGATAATTGGGGAAACTGAAAAATGCTTTTTTCCATATATATGTATTATATAAGTAACTAAGTCATATCAGAAGGTGGAATAGTAGTATGGCCCGTAATTTGCCCCTTTTTCTTGATTTTTTTGTCACCATACAGTACCCATAATAAAACTCCCTCCATGTTCTGATATCGCTTACATGCAAGAAAAATGTTTTTCAGTTTTCCCAATTCTCAACTTCCCCAATTTTTTATTTTTCCCCCAATTGACGACGTTCCAAATTTTTTAGATCTATACCCTCAGGGCGGCAAGTTCTTCTTCACTGCAATCAAAGAAGGAGATGAACTCAAATTTGCGACGGAGGACGAGAATGAGCGTCATTTATGGGTACAAGCGTTGTACCGAGCCACTGGCCAAGCCTACAAACCAGTGCCACCAAAACAGTCGTCGATTACTCCATCTAAAGCAGTAGCCGATAAAGCCAGCAAACACGGATTAGACGAGTTCATCCAAGCCGATCCAGTCATCAACCATGACCATCTTTTTATGAGACTCCAAACGCTGACACTTGATTATCGACTGGCAGAACCAATTTGTTCGTTAGGATGGTTCTCTCCGGGCCAGGTATTCGTGTTGGACGAATATTGTGCAAGATACATGGTCAGAGGATGTCATCGACATGTCTCTTTATTAAACGATCTTCTGAACAAAGCTAATGATGGGTACCTTGTCGATCCAACTCTAATCCATTACTCTTTCGCTTTTTGTGCTTCTCATGTTCATGGTAATCGGTAAGACAACCAAGGAGAGTTGCCAGAATGATTATATATTACTTAAGACCGGATGGAGTTGGCACTGTAACATTAGAGGAAAAGGAGAAATTCCAAGACGTGAAAGAGCGACTCAGAGTACTGCTGGAGAAACAGATAACCAATTTCAGATACTGTTTTCCATTCGGCCGGCCCGAAGGAGCATTAAAAGGAACATTGTCCTTGTTAGAAAGGGTAAGATTGATAGGCGTTAAATGGAGACAGGGTACATCAAGATGGATGGACTCTTTTCCCTGACATAACAACGCCATAAATTTAATCCTGAATTTAGGTTCTCATGAAAGATGTAGTCTCCCCAGTGCCTCCAGAAGAAGTTCGCTCCGTAATCAGAAAGTGCTTATCAGAAGCGGCATTTCTCAATTATAATCGTCTGTGTAATGAAGCCTTAATAGCTCGTAAGAAAAATAATCAAATCCGGAAAAGAACAATACAATTATAGAAAGAATGAGCCAAGACGTGAGTCCACAACAACGAATCGAGGATATGATTCGTATCACCGAACTCTGTATCGATCTTCTCAAAGAAAACGAAGAGCATCACGGCGAGGTAGGTGGCTTCTTTTCTCTGGCCAAGGTGTGGTTTCCAAGCTTTGGATCAATAATCGTTTCCATAATCTTAACTATTTACATTTCAGCAGCTTCGAGGGGTGAGTGGGCGTTCTATCTTATCCAATACCTGGTGATACGTAACCTTTTCTTTCGCGATTTATTTACACTTACCCCAGTCAGTCTTGTTACCGTATCCTCGCGTTGTGTATTTCAATATACTTTCACCTGGAATACGTGACAGACTGATAACGCACCCCATGTTACACCCACCCTCACTAAATCACTGTCACTTGCCCACTGTCACTCTGCACTCTCTTTTCATCACCTGTTATACTGTATTTCAGGCCTTCGCATGGTTCAGCGATTTGCTGGCGGATCACTCGGAGACATTCTGGTCCTTGTATTCAGTCGATCTGGATGAAGCCCTCAAAGTCCAACCCCCTGATTCCTGGGATGCCTTCCCGTTATTCCAACTTCTCAACGACTTCTTATGTTCCGAACCCTCACTGAAGATGGGAACATTCCACAAGACATTGGTGGAGAAATTTGAACCCATGGTGGGCCGATACGTCGACCTCATGGAGCATTCGATATCACAATCGATAGAGAAAGGGTTCTCAAAAGAGAAGTGGGAACAGCGGAAGGACGGGTGTGCAACCTCGGAGGATATCTACTGGAAGTTGGATGCTCTTCAAGGATTCATTCATGATCTCAATTGGCCTGAGGAGGACTTTGCCAAATTTCTGCAGAACCGAATGAAAACTCTGACCAGTGAGATGATTGTAAAGTGCGCTCAATGGTAAGACCATGCAAGAAACGAATAGCCTCCACATTTCAGTACATTCCAAGCCTTTGACAATCATATGCAAAGGGCAAAGAAGTCAGTGGAATATGTGCTCGCATCAGAGACTTGTGTTATGATCAATGTAATGTTCTCATCAAGACAGCGAGCAGTTAAACTGAGTCTGGATTCTGGAGAGGTACGAAATGTATCATCCGAAGCATTCGCGAATAATTTCAGATCAAATACCAATCAAAACTCGACGAAACCCTCGAGACCATGATTCATGACATGGAGACTTGTGTATACGACAAACTCCTGTCAATTTTGGAGTATGTTCTCTCAAAGTTAGCCAGATATGATGAAGGAAATCCCATCGGAGCGATCTTGTCGGTAGCCCCAAAACCCGGATTTCTTTTTAACAAAGTGAAAAGCTTCGTAGGAGATCAATCAAACCACACAAACTCCAACAATTCCGCTGCCTTGACTAACTCACAAAAGGCATCTGCAGCACAAAAAGATTCTGGCCATATCGGAAATCAATATGTCGCATTTATGACACAATCGGCAGAGCAATTGCAATGTGTGATCACAGATGAAGTCTGGGTGACCAATATCTTTGGGGTAAGTCGATAAAGCCCATAACAAGACAAGCTAATTCCTTTTTCAGAAGTGGTATGATGGTCAATTGAAAATGATCAACGAGTGGCTAGCTGAGAGAATTCAACAATCTCTGCATCCCTATCAACTACAATGTCTCAACTTCATGGTCAAGGTAAGCAAATATCCATTGAAGATATTACTTTTCAGAAAATCCACACGGACTTTGAATTACATGGAATCGAGCCGGAGCGTCTGGAAACAGGAGTTCTGAAGGCGATCAACCAACGCCTCCAATTGGAGGAGACCAACTGTGCCTTAAATGACCGCAGTATCAGCGGATCTTCGTCCCATCATGGTGGAAGCAACAATCTCCTCAATCTGGGCAACATCTCCCACGCTTCCCAAGCTGTCTCCAACATGGGGAGCATGGTGGAGGGAGCTGGGGCCAAGGTGTTCTCCTTGTTCTCCAAATGACTTCCTCTTATCATTCTGTCTCAGGAATTCGTTTTAACTCCGGGAGTTACAACAGAAATTCGTACAATGATTGTAGGTATAGTATTCAAGTTTGTTCAGGAAAAAATAAGTCTTATTTCCACTTATTAGAACACTTTAGGTGATTCTCTTTTTGCTTTTATCTTCTCACAGTCGGTTTTCTTAAGCTTCACTATCTAATGCATATAAGTTCTAAGCAGTGTCGTAGCTGACCAAAAGTTAGGCGGGGGTAGTCACCACGTAAAAAATTTTTGTCGTACGAATCGCCGTGAAAATTACCTTGGTCTCCCCTTACCATTGTTTTTTCTTCGAACCCCGAGGGGAGGGCCCCCTCTCCACCCCTCCCTCAGCTACGCCCCTGCTTATAAGGAACCTTCAAATTTAGGTATCAAAATGGCTGTAAACTTGATATTTACCTCGCTCAACTTTCACGCTAACGTCCCTTCTACTCTAAATCATTCCTAACACCTAACCGGTGATCACTCTAGGCTTTTCTTCGCTTTCACTTTGTAAACCACCTTGAAATCAATCCTTTCAACAACATATGGGTATAACATTGCCAATGGTTTAAAACTTTTCAACTGTTATTTCGATCAACATAAATCTATTTACCTACATTTGCGATTTTCCTTCACTTTGCTTGGCGGGCCTGGTCAAAATTGTCTCGGTATGAAAGGATTCCAGAATTCTTCTCGAATTCTACAGGGTGCACCATTTTTGTGGTCCGGTTTGTATTGGTCATAACTTTTTTACAGAGCTCGCCAAAAAATGGACACAAATAAAAACAGTTTATACACGAGTAGGGAAAAAGGCTTCGTGGAAATTGGACAGAAATAATTTGGACAGAGCGCGGAAATTGGACAGGGTGAAATTGGACAGAGTGAAACTCGACAGATTTTTTTCACTGCAAAAAATAAGGCTGACGCGTTTGCGAGCCGCAAGAATTTTGCGCCGCTCGTTTTTTTTGTTCGCACAGGGAACTCAAAATCACTTATAAAAACTTTTATTTACTTATAAAAACTTCAAGTTTTTATAAGTAAATAAAAGTTCTTATAAGTGATTTTCAAATCACTTATAGGTAATTTTTATTTTCGGTGCCCGGGAAATTCACTTATAGGTAATTATAAATACTTATAGGTAACAGAAAATTATGCACAGTGCAGGATAGATAAAAATTTATTCAAACAAAGTAAAAAACAACTTGACTCTGATATATTACCGGTTACACATGTGGTTAGCGCATCTTCTGTGTCCTGACGGGGCTAACTTGCTTCTGTGCGGATTTTCTATGGGTACTCCTGCGGCTAGATGCACTGAAAATAGTCAAAGATAAAGAAAAAGTAAATAAAATTTTCGGAGATAGTTTATTATGAGATCTCATTGAACTCGTCTTTTGTGCTTTTCCATCCCAAAAATTAGTTTGAGGTTCAGAAATTTAGCAATGAGATTTCGAGACATCAAGTTTTTCATTTTGTACTAGGTCCAGGTGAATATTATCAACATACCTGAGGCATCCAAGAGTCATTTTTTCCAGACATTGTGTGCACGTTGCCCATTTACTTCCTCCACGAAAATTTTGTGATTATCTGAAATAGTGGGTTCACCTGGACCTAGTACAACATAAGAAAACTGTCTTGAAAAGTTTCTGGCCTTCTGATATGTGGAAGCAGTTTAAAAAACCTACCAAAATCGAGGAAAGAGTTCTTCATCCAAATTCTTGATTGATCATGCTTGTTTCTAGATCTTCCCAGGCTGTCTGCTCTTCCATTTTGACATGTTTCCTAATCGGGAAGTTTCTTATGTTCCGGATTTTTCATCTACCCACTTTTTACAGTCCTGTAAAAGAAAAAAAACTCACTAGAAACCCCTTACCTTGTTCCATCCAACGTTTAAATACCCTCTTTGACCAGTACTGCTACGAAAAACTTAGAATTTCTAAGTCTCGCCCATGCGTTCAAAAAGCCAAAAGCGTCTTTGGCGCTCAACTGTTTTCTTTTCGGAGTCCTTATTGGTAATTATAAGTAAATAAAAGTTCTTATAAGTAAATAAAATTTCTTATAAGTAAATGAAAATAGGCCCCGCCTTTTTTTAACTTATAAGTGAATTTTTGGGAAATATTTTTACCTATAAGTAAATAAAAGTTTTTATAAGTAAAAACGAATCCCCCGTGCGGAGGGATTTTGCGCCGCACGTCAAGAAAAAATAAAACAAAAGCGCTCAAGCAATGAAAAATTCTTGGCATTCTGTTTGATCTCAAAGACAATTTTTTGCGATAAAGATAGCCTGATTACACGATGAAGATGGGGTAGAATGGGGTTATTGCATACATAAATTTGAAGCTGGGCTCCTGCTTAACCTGAACATATATATTTCATATAAAAAATCGGTCGTCTTCTATCTGTTTGAAGCCTAAACTAACAACGCCTAAAAAATGTTGCGATTTCGAGGATTTCTCTAAGATTTTCCCTCGCCCCTATTTGAAGTTTCGTGGAAACATAGTCTGGAACAAGGCGGATTTTTTGAGCCTAAAACGAAAAAAATCAAATGAGCCAGTTTCGAGATAGAAAATCTCTTCATTTTGCGCAATATTTCGCCTTTCCTCTGACCTCGTCCAAAAAAACTGTCATTGAGACGGATTTTTTGGACACTTCCGTAAGCGGAAACAGAATGCCAACTTTCGTGTTGATACATAACCCTTTGAGCGCAAAATCTTGACGTGCGCCGCACAGCATTCCGAATTATTTTTGCCGCCGACCGGCGTCCGAAAAAATGAAAAAAATGAGATACGCCTCTTACATTTTTGCCAATATCTCGCTAGCCTCGAAGTGTAACGTGAATCTGAAAATTGTGTTTCAAAGCTGACACTTTTGTCCTTCAGAATATATTAATTTTGTAATGATACTTATTATGTACGGCAAGGAAACCGTTGCTGAAAAATGGCAAATTTCAACATTCAATGTCAGAAAAATGTACTTTCGAAGTGCCAGATCACAAAATTATGGGCCTCATTGTGTGCAACATCTTGAACACTATAAGATATAACAATTTCGGGCATTTTCTGGCCCGATTCGCAGAGTTATAGCCGAAAAACTGCAATTTTGGTCTTCTTATTGTGCTATCTGCACTTTAAAAGTACATACAAAAAATCCCTCTTAAATTATTGTTGCCCAGGTTGTGATGGACCATTGCGCAAAATCTCAGCTTTCCAGGACTCCTCCGGAAAAAGTTATAACGGTTACAATGTGTGACCCTTGTATGCCCAATATTTTGTAAAATACAGTACACCATGGTAAAAAATAGCTCTATATGGCCTACGTAAACTTACTCGAAACCTGAACACTGTCTCTCAGATTTTTCCGCATGAGGGACACGATTTCAAGTTTTCGCTATACTAAAAGGGAAAACGGTGAAAAGTTGGGGACATAGCTGGGAATTTTTTTTATGTAGTTGACCGTGTAATTACGATCAATTTTTTTTACCCCAACCAACGCGACAGCAGCAATATAAATTCCATCATTTAACACCATATTGCACCATAGTTCACCGTACACTAAAATTTTACTAAATATTGGACATACGAGGGTCCCATATTGTAACCGTTATAACTTTTTCCGGAGGAGCCCTGGAAAGCTGAAATTTTGCGCAATGGTCCATCACAACCTGGGCAACAATAATTTAAGAGGGATTTTTTGTATGTACTTATAAAGTGCAGATAGCTCAATAAGAAGGCCAAAATTGCCGTTTTTCGGCTATAACTCTGCGAATCGGGCCAGAAAATGCCTGAAATTGTTATATCTTATAGTGTTCAAGATGCTGTACACAATGGAGCCCATAATTTTGCGATCTGGCACTTAGAAAGTACATTTTTCTGGCATTGAATGTTGAAATTTGCCATTTTTCAGCAACGGTTTCCTTGCCGTACATAATAAGTATCATTACAAAATTAATATATTCTGAAGGACAAAAGTGTCAGCTTTGAAACACAATTTTCAGATTCACGCTACACTTTGAGGCTAGCGAGATATTGGTAAAAATGTAAGGGGCGAATCACATTTTTTCATTTTTTCGGACGCCGGTCGGCGGCAAAAATAATTCGGAATGCTGTGCGGCGCAAAATCCCTCCGAACAAAAAAAAACGAGCGGCGCAAAATTCTTGCGGCTCGCAAACGCGTCAGCCAAAAATAATTATTTGATGATTCAATAGTGACATTTCGTACGATTGCAGCGAAAAAAAATCAGTCCAATTTCACCCTGTCCAATTTCCGCGCTCTGTACAAATTATTTCTGTCCAATTTCACTCTGTCCAATTTCCAAATTTTTTCTAATATTTATTTGTGAGAATCTTAGCTCGCGCTTTGCAGAAACAACCGAGATTTTTAGATCGAAAGTCGGCGAAAATTTAGGACTTTTTGCCGAATTTCGGCACGAAAAGTTGCATACCTATTTCTATCGCGGCCGCGGATACCTATTTCCACAAAAAATTTATTTTTTCCGCATGAAACTGCCAAATTATGGCCAAAAACCGTTTTTCTCTCTGACCGCTCTCCGCGTTAGGCGTACTCTCTCCGCGGAAAAAATGGTTCAATATCTCTGTGGCGGTTGCAAAGCGCGAGCTGAAACTTTCAGGAATTGATATTTAGTTGATGCCGACGTGTGTGCAAAATTTAAAGAAAATCTGAGCGTCGCACTTGGGGTACTTCCCGTGTAAGTTGAAAACTTCAAACGCAAGTTTAACATAGAAATACCGTTAATATTAGTCTTAACTACTTTAACTACTTTTACTGATTATTTCATAGGTCTTTTTGACAAGAAGGGGCAATTTAGTTTCTAAAAAATTTCCAATTAGATTCGTGACAAAAAAATTCCAAAAAAGTTCAATTTGACAATCAAAATGACAGAACAATTCGACATGACCAAAATGACTTTGAAAACGTGAACGACGCGTTGAGTTGACGATCATGCCTTCGCTACACCCATTTGCTTTGAACACATAAAATGTCTCGTTTTTCAAATTCTGGAGATTTCCAAAACGAAAACTTGGAACTTTTCTTACTTCCTCATTTCAATTTTGTCGTAACCTTGGACGTTTTTTCTGGTTTCTCCAAAAAGTTTATCTGACACGCAGATCTTTTTATGGATCTAAAGTTTCAAAAATCTTTAAAAAGAATATCCATCACTCTCAAAATATGTTGTTTCATATGAAAACTGACGCAACGCGAAAGGGAAATTGCGGATTTTCAAAAGGGGATTTTAAAAAATCTCGTTTCAGCCAAAAGTGTGTTTTAAAAAACGCGATTTCTAAGTCACTGAATCAGCCGTCAGTTAGGCCAGACGCGGTTGGCGGTTCCAGATTTTTTCTGTTTGCATTCTTGAAGACATCAGCTTTCTATATCCTTCTTTACCCTGAACAGTCCTTTCAATATGCCAGTTTGGTTATATTATAACTAATTCATCATGTCCAACAGAAATGTTCAACAAAAGTATAGATTGTTTATTAATTAAGTAATCACAAAGTTGGATAATGCACTTTTGGACGAGACCATGAGAAGACGAAAGAGGAATGGCACAACAACAAAAGAACAACAACTTCTAATGGAAAACCACGCAGGTGCTCTTGTCGTTGCCAGCGGCACAAGCCTTCTTTCCTTCCAGAGGGATTAGGGTGAATCCCTTGGTGGGGGCACAGGATACCGCGACGTTCTCGGTCTTGTACTCCTCCTTCAGGATCTTCTCAATGCTGGAGGCGACCTTGACGGTGTCTTCTTCAGCGAGTTCCTGAAATTATCAGGTATAAGTCAGGAAATGGAAATACATGGAAATACTGTCCCGGATGAAAGGTCTTACCTTCTCGATGACATCGACGATCTCCGAACACTTGAGTGGGGCCTCTTCGGCAGATCTCTTCTTTCTTCCGCCACATCCACAGCCTCCGGCAGCTGGGAGTTGTGGCAACGAGAACTGTGGTGGAGGTGGCAGGGAGAATTGTGGTGGAGGTGGGAGTGGGGGAGGGCAGAAGCTAGGTGGAGGGGGTGGGGGTGGCAGGGAGATCTGAGGTGGGGGTGGCAGGGAGATTTGAGGTGGAGGTGGCAAGGAGATCTGAGGAGGGCACGGTGGTGGGGGAGGGGGAGCGCATCCACAGCCGCCTCCTCCGGCACTGGGGAACAGGAAGGCGGAGGTGATGGCGGGGAAGGCAAACAACAGAACGGACTTTATCATCATGATCAACTACTCGATCCGAGGGTTGGAATGTCTTCTGATCTAAGGACATCCCTTTAAATATCGTCTTTTCAAGGCTATCCATTCCATTGCCTGAGGGTTTTTTTGAGGATGTGACACCTCCCATATTTAGAATATTGGAACTTGGCTGGAATCCAGCCGTGAAACGCCCTCAGGGGCTGGGATCTACAGTTTGTGAGGGGGCGGTGTGTACTTTCGCTGCTCGCTTTCAATAAAAACGTCAAAAGAATTGAACCGCGCGATTGTTATCACAATTTGGAAAAGCCTAAAAAAGAAGAGTGTCCAGTTTGAGAGAGATCACGGCGAACGAAGAGGGTTCCGCAGACAGCCAAAGACACAACAGGCCATCAGTGCGTTCATGAGGCTGGGCACTGGTCTGCTCGGTCTGTATTCTCGCACCTCAACCATGAAATTCTTCACCGTCGATGCATTCACAAGTCAAGTTTTCCGCGGAAATTCGGCTGCCGTCGTGATTGAGGTGGGTGAGACTCACTTTCACTCGTCTGGAAGTTTTGAAATATGGATATCAGAGATCAAAGCTGGTTTTTATTGAGGGAGTTGAAGAAAGATCGCATGGAAACTTTAGAGTTTCATTTGGGGGATATTATAAAGAAACCTTCGGAGGAAAATTGATGTCGTAATTGTAGTGTATGTCTTCGGATAATGTTTAACACATTCATGATTAGATTTAGAGGCTTCAATGTAACAGCAAAAACAAATAAATAATGCCACTATGATGTCATTCAGTAAATTTGAAATCGTTTAGAGGAATGACATTCCTGATGCGATCAAACAAAAGTTGGCTGCAGAGTTCAATGTTTCCGAGACGGCGTTCCCTCTTCCCTTAAACGACAAGACGTTCGAAGAAGGTGACTCAGCGATCTTGACATTGCTATCATTGTATTTCCTAATCTTACCATGTCTTATTTCAGCGGACCAATTCTCTTTACGATGGTTTACTCCAACCAATGAGGTACCCCTCTGTGGTCACGCTACCCTCGCAACGTCACATGTAATCTTTAATGAACTCGGTATGTGACATTTTGAATGAGGTCGAGGTGAGGATAATTTGTAGGTAATCGAAATGACGAAATCCATTTCCAAACTCAATCCGGAACTTTGTCTGTAGCTAAGAAAGAAGGCCAACTATGCATGGTAATGCCCAATTATGAGGCTTTTAACCTGGATTCCGTGGAAGCCGCATTGAGTAAGGAGTTCAGACAGGTAGGGTTACTGTAACTTCGGATTTTTAAACTAAATTTAAACAAAAATAATTTTGACTGCATAGATTAGTGATTACTTAATGGTTAAATACTGATGACCTAATCTCCTCTCGACTTTCAGATGACGGACTTGAACCAGATCGGGCGTCAAGCTGCTGAAGTAAGCGATTAACCGGTCTTTTCTAAAAATCTTTGTTGATTGTAATATGACTCTTCTTTTCTTCCAGCGCATTGTTCCGCTCGATGTTATCCAGCAACTCGCTTATAATCCGGATTCGAAAAAACTTGTGATTGCGTTGCGGGATTCGGTTACGTAGTAAGTATCAGCGGTGATATAATGTGTTTTGTCACAAAAAGAAGACGTTCACTTTTAGCGAGGAATTCATCAAGTACAAACCACAAAATATACAAGACGTAGACCCTGAGGGGTTATTCTGTAGAGGTGTAATGATTACATTCTCTCCGAAAGACCCACAGAAACAAGGCTTCCCTATGGCCGACTATGTCCTCAGATATTTCTCCCCTTGGAATGGGATTCCAGAAGATCCGGCAACAGGCTCAGCACAGTGTGTTGCGGCCCCCTTCTGGGCTAAGATAATTGGACGCCAAACTTTGAAAGGTATATGAGGACCTGAGGGCCGGGGGAATTAATTAACGGTGTTTCGCTGCCTTTCTTAAATGTGTAATTAAGCCGGCGCCCGCTTATTGTTCACTTTACAGCACTGCAATGCTATCCATCGCGTGGTGCCGAGTTCGAGGCCGCCGTCCACGAGAAACGGATCGAGTTGCGTGGTCAAGCAGTGACTGTGATGCAGGGCCAACTCCGCGCTCTCCAATGACTATATTTATATAAGTGAGACGTCAGTGTAATAAACTTTTTATATCCTTTTTGAGTAATGTCGTCCTCTCTAATCTCTGTATCTGAAAACCGAGACATGGCAAAGTTAAATTTGGTTTTTTCGAAGGATTAGGCCTTTAATTTTCATATTTTTTATAGTTCGGAGCCCAAAAAACGTATAATTCCAAGCCTTTGCACGACAAAAAAAAGTAATGACTGAAGTAAGTGCAGAAGATGACGTCCCAACCTGTCCTTATCTGCAACCTTTTTATGATGCGAACTCAAAGATTTTATTCAATTAATGTCAAAGAAACGTCTAGAGGTGTAGGCGGGTCATAGCGGAGATGGCTGGGGGTGGTGAAGAAGCCGGGACATTCTCCATCAGAAGCCACAACTGGCCTAACGAACCCCGGCCCGCTGAATGGCCGTGATTATGTGGATGTCGGGGTTTATGTAATTCTTGGTTCGGCGACGCTTTTGGTTTCTCTCTTTGGGGGCTTCAGAAGCGCCCTTGTTTCCTTATTTGATAGTGAAGGTCCTAATTGAATTTCATAAGTGCTGTGTTAGTTTTTTCCGGCCCTTTCTACGTTTTGCGAAGCTTAGCAGATGAACTGGGATATATGGCTGTAACATTGGGGGATTGGGGTCGGGCCTGTGTTCAGATGAATGGATTCTTAAAGACGTATCTTCATCATAAACCATGTTTAGAACGAGCCGTAGATCGTGGGGTTGGGCCGTTTCTTGAGACCTCAATTCTTGAGTGTTGGCTTTGAGCCGAGCTGCACTTGGCTCCACTATCACATATCAGAGCCTAATTAAACGGAGCTCGACTTTCACGGCCTGCAAAGGAATTGTGTGAAAGGGCCGTCCTAATCCGAGTCCTAATCCCGGCGACACTTCAGCGACCAGATTTTTCTTTTTGGGGGGTTTCTGACCTTCTTTTCTGGGCATTGTTCGAAGCGCGGATTCATCGTCCCACCTCCATCCATGCCCCACTTTTCTTCTTTTAGAGTTCGCCCTCAGGAAATGCGATTGGCCAAGGGTTCCGTCGCAACATTAGCCCTTTAACTTGGATTATAACAGACTAGTTAAAGTAGTAATTGTCTTTTGGAAGGAAATATTTATGTTCGCCGACATTAATGCAGTTGGCCACCATCGACGGCGACGCCGATCTGACCATCCACAACATTTCCATCCTGCCTTCCGATCAGTGTGCCACGGAGGAGCAGAGAGTGAGGATTTATATTAATCAAGGGGTTTTGTTACTTATTATTTTAGGCAGCCAAATGCTGTTGTGGTGATGGTTTTTTCTACGACTTTCCACAGCGCAAATGTTTGGTCTCGGCGAATGTTGGGTTTATGTTTGGGCGGGTGAACAACAACTGGCCTCATATGGTCGTTTACGGCTTCGTTTACCCCATGCTGGTGCTGACTATGGTGGCTCCATTAAGTGCTGTTATGCTGGGAATGGGGAAACGAGAGAAGAGAGAAGGAGATAGACGTTTCGTAAGTGACTACTGCTGCTAAATACGGTACTCTTTTGAGCCGAATCCCTTGTATCAAATGATCTGGCTGTTGTGTTTTTGTGGTTGGATCAGTCTTCTTGCTCCTCTCCCCTTTTCTGTGTGGTATTATGTTACGGGTAATGGAATCAGGAATCTGAATCAGTCGATTGTCATGTGTCATCTTTTCCGAACCTCAATGGAAGCCATTCCGCATACAATGGACACAATGATGACATTATTTAGCGTTCTTTTAGCCGCCGCTAGGTGAGCTTTGGCATGTGTAATGCAAAATTTATTTCATTTCTTTAGATTTTTAACTCAATATCATCGCAATACCCTCAAATTACGTACAGTAGAGCGTTTCTCGCGGGCCATTTGGACTATAATCATCGTGTGTGTGATGCTGGGAACTCTTCGCTTCTTCGAACACGAGGCTGCTGTCTACACTTTTTGTATGGGTAAGATAACTCTTGTTCTTCATAGTAATTGCGGGTTTAGACACGGAACCCGGTCCCTATTGGGCTCGTCGATGCATGGTCAGAGATGGGAGTCTGATCACTTTTATCAATCGAAGATTCTGGAAGGTCTTCCTTCCTCTGGCCGACTTCTTTGTCCAATTTGTGGTGCCCGGAGTCATGCTCACATTGCTGCATATAGGCTTCAACCGAGAGCCTAATATTGACATTGAAGGATTAAACACGCAGTAAGTCTTCCCAAGATATTTACAAATACCGGGAGATGACATAGAGTGCATGAGAGATGGACTACGGTTGTATGCCCATATTATGAATTCCTAGGTAATTAACCTTTATTTAGTAATCGCTTTGGCCGCTCACCGCGAGACCAAACGCGGATTCTGATTTACGCTGTCACCACTGCCTTTCTGGTCGTCCAACTGCCTACAGCTATCGTCACTACCCTTAGTCTTACAGTAACGCACTTCCATACAAATAAAATTGGTGAGTCCGTTGGTGGATAGTAATGCTCCTTTCAAGTTGGTCTAATTACTCTTTCCATCGGCCATCTTCAACCTCTTCTTTCCATCTCCACCATTATGGCCAATTGTGGGGCCTTATTAACTGCTTATTATGTAATTGTGAAAGAGGACGATCTGGATGTTGGGGATTCCCATGCTTCCATTTCATCCACCGACGGAGTCGACGATTATTTATTAGGAGATCGACGAAGAAGTACAAGGTACGTGGAATTAATAGGCAATGAAAATAGTAAATGTCATGTTTGTGACTGCCCAAACAACTTAAAAATGTAATCTGTTTCTCATATAAATATTTGATGCCATGGAGATTAGATCCACCCGAGGGTACAATTACGTAACCAACATTGTAAATGTCTGTCATACCGAGCGTGAAATGACGCACTGAAAGTTGCAATTAGGACAAATGCTGAGGAAAAATGTCATGCATTCTATTATATTATAATTAAGCCGTTCCTGCAAATAACCCAACTAAAATGCAAAGACATTCTGTTGTAAATCTTTATGCATTTCCAATTTGTTGCAGGAATTACCTGACAGTCAGTCGGTCGTTTGATACAAGTTCGATGCGATCTTTCTCCAGGAAAGGCTCTGATTTCCCGGACGATTTCGTGTTCCTCGTCAACGCCCCCAATTCTCCCGCCCCGTCACAATAAACCAATATATCTTGCGTAATGCCTCAATAATTTGTACATATGCATATATCTATATAAATATATGTCGTGTCTCGCATTCCTTGATGTGTTTTGTCGATCCATGGCAAAGCAGATGGATATAGAATAGTACAAACAAAATTTTCCTTCATTTTTGGTTGTTTTCAGCCTTTGGAAGAGGTGATAATAGGGGTGGTAATGGGGCATTGTAATAATTTTAAAGGATTGACGACCAAGCTGCTTGGAGCATTGGTAATTGCACTTTTGGCAATCATCACGTCAAGAAACAGGACATGTTTCCTTCAAATTGACGTCATCTTTTTGAAATAATATAAAATATTATGTATGTATAACTTCCACCTACATATATATACATCCATGTACGCCCGGAAGACTTCTTTGGTCGAAGAGATGGTCAACTTGTTCATTCAAGTCAGTCTAGACTGTATTCTCTTTGTTTATTATATCTTATTTGTAATGGATCAGAGACTTTAAGTGGATTATGCAATTTACGACCGCCCCTCCTGATGATGACAAATCGCGTCTTGGGTTGTGTCCAGAGAAACGTTGAATAAATCATGATATTCAATTAGGCTTCAAGAGGATGTTTAAGATATAAATTCCTCATGGAGATTCCGGGAGGCCGTTGCTTCTGGAATACAGTAACTATTATATAAAATCAATATATAGCATCATAGTTAGGACACCTTCTGCAGCTCCGATACCCGATAACGGAAGTGGAATTTTGTGAGTAACTTCCACGATTTGCTTTCATTATTAGATCGTATTTGAATGAGGAATAAATTCAGATGTATTTCTAAAGCAAGCCAAGCCTGATCGGAATTTATTTTAGTAATAATGATAGAATTGTTTCATACCTATCCTTTGTATGTCTTCGTTTCCGAGAATTCGGTTCCACGGTTTCCCTTCAACTACCGAGTTTACTTAACCTTCCTATCTTTGTGCTAAAACATAATATCTTTTGTCTCCGATTTAACATTGTCCATACTACGTGTCCAACCCACCGGATTAAAGAGATCCTTTTTTACAGATTCAAATCCGACATCTCCTACTCTTATATTGCTGTTATCGTTTACCGGGATTATCCTTAATTAGACGCCGGAAATGCTTTGTTTCAATGGAAACTCTGGACGTCCGCCCAACTGCGGAAATTGGGAATTACTGGGCGAAGAATATTAAAGTAGATAAATATCAGGCCATCGACTTCAGATTCTCGTGGGAGAATCGCCAGGGTCACATCGGACATACCCTACATTATATTAGACATGCTGCCCGACAATTTGCTTCATTTCCTGGGATGTAGTTTGTTGGTGGAAATCTTGTGAATTGCATTCACCTCTTACATGACGAAAAAGTCACCTTTTGACATCCTGGGTTCAAAATATCTTCTGCAGAGCTTTAATTGCCTTTTCAAGCAGTGGTTAACATTTCCGGGATTACTTTAAAACACTTTCGTCCCTAAAATCATCTCCATTGACGGCGCAATTAATACTGTCTGCCACAATTTGGACTTTTAATGAGCCAACCAATATACATATTGGTATACTTGTCCCGAATGGTTATGTTCCCAGTTTTATTCTCCCCAGACCTCGTTTTCCGCTACGTTTTAACCCCGTTACATAAGATGATAGACAAAAAAGCGTTCTTCATTGTCCACATCAATATCCATTACCTGTACAATCGCCATGCCGTTGTATTACACTTGAATCTACGTTATTTTGCGGTTTCGACCTTTTTTGTGTTTAATCCATGTTTTTACCATATTGGTTTTAGTTTTTCTCTGCAGCAACCTGGGTCTGACTGAGTTCTCTACCGTAACCCTGTATATATTCGTGTTTAAAATGCATTCCCTGGTCATCACCACATTACTCCTCGCAGCCATCTCTAATTCAGTAATCGGTAAGTATCCTCTAATTCGTGTTGAGTAATCGCTTGCAAAACCTTTCAAGGTAACACTTCTCAAACGCTTTTCTAAAATTCCCATGAATTACTGTTTCCCTTTTCTCCGACTTTTTAAATTTAGCGTTCTCTTGTACTACTATTTTCGCTAATTCACAGGATTAGAAAAACTTGTTTTCTCTTCATTAGAAGTTAAATTGGAAGTCATATTAGAAGTAATTAGTCCTGATTAAATGCTAATTTCCCCCATTAAAGGCCTTGGATACATCTATGAGGACGCGTATTATCCAATCCCTCGGGGCTCGCAAATCGTTGTGGAAGCCCCCTCAATCCCGGATGAGAAGGTGATACCACAACGACGCTTTGATCCCGCCTGGAGGCATATTGGATTGGGCAAGAGAACGGCCGAAGAGCGACGAACAGTCAGTGGAGAGCGGTCCTGGGCCATGATTGGACTGGGCCGGTAGGTTGGACTGGATACGACCGCCAGATTTTGACTCGACTGGACCGGAGAAGAAGACTGGCCGCCGAGGTCAACGCTTTCCTTGTACATGTTATATTAATTTAATTGTAACTTAGTTAAAAACGTTACTTTCCTCGGCCCACTTTGATTATCTGATTAATGGGATCTTTTAATCGGGGTCGGCCTCTCCGATCGGCCGCGGGGTCATTCATCACCGCCCCAAAAAAACGTTGAAATTCGGGGCGGAAATGGCCAAATGATTGTGTCACAACATGCCAAATATCCCCCAAGAAAAAACTTTGAAACCCAAGAGAAACCGGAAGCCCGTTAAGAGATACGGAGAAACGTCCCGGCCTTGCCGCAGGGCATATGGCCAAGTCGTTATTGTCGATTATCCGCGCTTCCAAAAAGGAAGAGGCTCTGACTGACACTTCAGAATTCTACAAGTGCCCGGAGATGGGGTGACGACTCTGATTGCCAAAAAAGTTTTGTTTCTTTTCTTCAAATGTAAACAATTTTATTATTTGTTGATTAATTGTAAGAACATCTTCCTTATCCAAATTTTTGACCTACTGTTTACCAACGATCGTGTTTCTAGTAAGATTTTCTTACAATAAACACTTGTCCCCCACTTCCTTTTCTAATGCGTTAAGCCTTTAAAAGGTCCCCAGCTTGCACTTGAGGCCGATGGATATGCAAATCAACGCAGCTGTTGGCCAAACTGGCCAGGTTTTATGGTCGATTCGGCCAAGTTTGGAGGGCCAATTGACCCGGATTCGAGAGTGGCGCGGGGTTTTATTACAGGGGTCGAGAGTGCGCAAAAGGCGGAAGCGGGGGACGGAGAGCGACGTCGCCGATTTGAAAATGCTTTGCGGTTTTTATCCGCCCCGCGACGCCATCATTCCTTACCACAACATCAACATTTTCTCCCATTTTTTGTGCTCTCTCGCCTCGCCTGTTTTTTGCAAAATACATACAAGCACAAAAAACGGTTTCCGATCTGACAAAATCGTCAAAAATCTGCGGAATCGAATCTTGAGATGGAGGGGGATTTGGGAGATGATCTTGTCAAAACGCTCTGGTAGAAATATTATAAGTTACGTTCGCTTTTTCTTTTTTTAAAAATTACTTTGAAATTCTCTAATTTTTTTCTACAAACCGGCAAAAGAGATTTTCTTGTAAAGAGCTTTCTTCCCTCACCCTTCAAGTATTGTAAACGACTAGATCTTGCTATTGTTATCCTTTCCAAAGTCCCCTTCACCCTTCCAAAAGCCCTGTGTCCATTTCAGATCATCACCCCAACACATTTGAAGAATTTAAGAGGTGGTCCAATCACTTGAGAGGGGTCAGAGAAGAGGTTCTAACGGACGGAGAGACGCCGTTCTTCACCTGGCCGATTCCCATTTTGATCGTTTCTTTTTCGCCGTGCTCTTTCCATCCATCTCTGCCTTTTTTTGGCACCCCTTCCATTTAAAGATCATTCCCTCCGAAATCCCCGCTGTTTCTCGCATTTGCATAAAGCCCTCGCACGGCGCTTAGGAGGCGTGAAATGGAGGTCAATATGCCCCGAGGCCATGCTGCGTCCATTCCAATTCCGGGTGACCGCTTCTCGCTGTCTTGTCAAATTAACTCCGCCTCGAGGCATAGTTTTTGTCTCCGATGCAAACCAAATAATCCGTGCCGATCCATTGGAAATGGGATTTCCAATTATTTTTGAGACCATTTTAGCCGGAAGAGCGGCCGAACGGAGCGGAAGGTCATTGTTTCCAAATTCCACCGGCCATTCCACTGTACGGCGGCGGCGTATTGCGGCAACTACAGTAACCGGAGAAAGGGAAACCGGATCCCTCGTTTTTTGTCGATTAAGAATTTTATGAGCGAGGAGGCTTATAGCGCCGGATGCCTGCGGACTGATGAGTTTTGTCATCTTTTTGGGCGACTTACCTGTGGACCCCCGCCGCGCACCCTCTCCCTTTTTTGGAGTCGCTTTACCTTAACGGATCGGTCCTGAAACGGAGAAAGTTGGAGGCAAAGGAAGGAAGGGGAGACGGCCTTGTGAGGCAGTTTACAAAATAGGCTTTCTGAAGCGCGCAGAAGCCGCGGCTCAGGTGAGAATCGAGCGGCGCCGTGGAGGTCGTTCCCGATATTCCTCCTAATTCCTCTCCAATTCCGAATTTATCAGAATTTGAATAATCCTATTTCTTTATTTACGCTTTCTGCTTTTCTGTTCGTATTCTTTAATTTAAATTTTTCAAATATTTCCCCGGTCGATAGTTTGTTGCGCAACGCGCGCTTCGGAGACACAAATGATTGAGATGAAGCGATCACGGGGATTAAGCCGAGATCGGAAGAGAGGAAGGCTTTCCGGGACTCCGACCATCATTTAGGGAGACGTTTATAGAGGGCGCCAAAAGGGAAGAATCTCTTTTTGGATGGGTTGACAAATGGATTTGAAGATTCGTTGATAACCCATGTTTATTCCCGCAAACCTTGATGTCTTCTCGGTCCAAAAGCAATCTCCTTTACCCTCATATCATGCCCATTGATCTGCAGTCCGATCTAACCGCATCAAAGGACATGTGTAATGTGGGGGAAGGGCGATCGGATCAGATATCGGTGAGCGAAGAGATCCAATTATTGCTCATTAAAAGATGGCTACCGCAAACTCATTTAAGGGAACTCATTAACTCCCAACTCCCAATTTTCTGAACGGACTACTTCTCATTACTCGCGCTGGCGTGCGACTCAGATTGGGGCGGCTTAAACGATTTGTGTCCACAGGTCCTCCGAAGACCGCGCGCAGCCGTGTTTTGACCCCGGACGAACGGCCTCGAACCTCTTGTCGCTTTTGTCGCTTTTGTCTCTCCTCGAGTGCCGATCCCCCCAAACACTCGTTTGACCTTAATTTCAGCGGTTTTCGGATCATCCAGCTACTTGTTTCCCGATTTTTTGTTTCAGATTCTGGTCATTTGACAGAAGAGAGCGTTTTAATCAAAACAAACTTGGAGGTGATTAAGGGAGATAAGGAGAGATTTTATGCTTCGTAGAACCCTCGGATCTTATAATGGGGCAGTAAAGGCTCTTGTACTCTTTACTCTCTTTGTTCGATTATTTTGGCGGAATTAAAATAATGGGACGGGGTTCGTTGATTAGTGCGTTCGTTCATGAATTAGATGGTTTCGGGTAATGACTCAGGATGGGAATCTGTTCTGTTTGTTCTATCGCTTATCCTTTTTTCTCCCTTCCGGTGCAATCAGCCAGATGTTAACATAAGGGCTTTTCTCTCCATGATCCTGTCATAACAACATGTTATATGAGGTGATAAAGGGAGTTTTTCATAAAAGTAGTACTAAGTAAAGTCGGCTTTTTTGTTGTGGGAAAGATAAAATCACCCGGAATATATAAAACAATCCAAAGCACTTTTCAATCTGGTATTTTACTTTTAAAGTGTGTTTTGTAATGTGGAGACAATTATTTTGCGATGTTTTCACTTTCTTACCGTACTTTTTACTCAAAACTTTTACTGATTCATCCAATGATTCAGTCCTCTTATCATCCTTTTTGTATTCGAATCTCAATTTTTATTCGAAAAGGTCACAGAAAAATATTATGAAAATAATTTCCCCAAAGTAATTACTTTCTATGCGCGTTCCTTGGAATAATTGAGCGAGCGCTTTATGTTTACAGTTTCCAAATTAATCTGAACTTTTCGGAGGAGGGGAGGGAGCTTGTGAAGTCTCGAGATTATGAATTTTCTTTGATCTGCAGGTTAACTATTCCGCGTATTTAAAAAAATATTATTTGATTTGAAATTACGGTTCTCTCTTCATATGACCTTATAGATCTTCAGACCCTTTTATTTGTCACCATTCTTTTCCAAACTTTTTTGAATTCTTTACCTGGAACAAGGTCACTTACTTGCCACCTATCATCGTATCTTCAAGTATAATATAAAAGATGTCTTCATCAACGTCAAAAACTTTGTTTGAGCTGCGCGTTTACTTTTTCCGCTTGGAGACAAAACACTGGTTGGTAGGGACCCGGTGGAAGGAGGAGAAACTGATCCCGTAATACATACTTTCGCAACTAAAATACCCGCCGAGGTAGTCTCAAGACCGTGTAATTTGCGACCGAAAAATAGATATTTTGCGGATGGCGTTGTAACGCGGCTTTTCTTTTCAAGTGCTGATGTAACATAGACGCGATCGCGACGTTGATAATGGATATTATCTGGTCTGCGAGGACATCTGAACTTTCATACCTTCCTTAAATTATATTTTATTCCCTTGGGGGTTGTTTTATGGGATTTTTTAGCCTTTTTACTAGTAATTCTTATTATTCTCATATCAATATGTTTCAATTTTTTCCGAGTCCATTTTCGATCATATTATTAGGTCCACTGCCAGGTTATAAACCCTGTAATTACGCCCGTTTCCTCTCGTGATCGGCCCATATTCCGCTGACCTTGGCCTTGTCCCATCGTCTGTCCCCGATCCAAATCCCCTTTTTTATTCGAATTAAAAATTTTTGGATGTGCGGAATTCTTTTGGCTCACTGGCCGTTAAGTCTCCATCGGCGCGCTTTTAATGATTCAGCCTGTTGGGGAGGGTGTAAAAGGCGGCATCGGGGGATGCCATCGGACTTGTCGATTGCTTACAAACCAACCAAATAAATCCCGTAATACGGGAGAGTATGTTCCTGGCATGTCTTTTCGCTTGACCCCGCCCTTCTTTTACGAGTGGCCAGTGCGCATCTTTCTCCCATGATCATCCTTTCCAGGCCCCCTGAAATGGCCAGATTCGGGAAGCGTCAGCTGAGGGAGCAAAGCAAACTTTTGTCTATTAATCGGTCACTTAAAACAACACAAAGGGAGCTGCGCATTGAATCAGGCTTTATAAAGGTCCACTCGGTTGCGGTTTTTTGTTTCAAAAATGGGAAAAGAAAATGATTAAGGCTGAAAACGCCGAAACGACCCGCGCTCCCTTCTCCATTCTTCCGTGAAATGCCAGCTTATCAGATCGCCGGGAGTAAGTCGACACAAGCGCCGACTTTCCACCTTGTTTCTCCGTTTTCTCGCGCGTTCTTCCGGATCTGTTCCGAGTTTGGTCGATTTGACTGTACCTGTGTACATATTATCAGTGACCGTGATAATCTCTTTTTTTGCAGTGCTTCGACTCATGTAGAGGCCAATAACAAAGATGACGACGTTGGACACTGGTCCTTCAAGTCGATTCCGAGTGTTCCGGTCCATATTCATCTTAATTTTTATATCCAAATGGACACAGGCAGAGACCGAGAATGGGTTCAAACAAGACTCCAGTGTTCTCGCCTCATTTTCTGGCCATTTTGAAGGTCGCGAGGTGGAATTAGAGAAATTGGTATGACTCAGAACGTCAAGGTCAGGTTACGAAATGATTTTAGATAATGGACCCGCTCACAAACAGACTCTATGTCGGCGCTGTCAACCATCTCTACGATCTCTCACCAGTCGATTTGAGTATTCGAGAACAGGCTGTGACTGGGCCCAAGCCAGATTCCTTGTTGTGTGCAGGTAAGATCTTTCAAGATTATTCTTGATGACGTTTGATTCTACTTCCACGATTACTCCTCTTGAGACAGTGATTCTAAATTACAGGGTGCGCCAAAAATATTGGGACAAAAATCAATTCCGTGTAGCTTTTTTCGGCTGGCCTTGGAATCAAAACTTTTGGTCGTTTTAGCAAGGGTAACAGTCTTGCTATACGGCAACGGTAATGCCAGGGTTGGGGCCTATTGCAAACTTGAAAAAATATTCAAAAGTTTTTGGGGGACCAAAATTTTCTTTTCAAGTGGATGACCGGGAAATCAATTTGACCATTATTTCCGCTAAGGGAAAGTAAGATCTTTCAAATTTATTGTGTTTAAAGCACATACTATTCACTTCGTAACAACGTATGTAATCATGGTTGACGACCGATATGGCGGCGCTGGTCGAAAAACCAAAAAAAAAATCCCGAAAGTTCGGATTTTTATGTTTTTAACGATCTCAATACCACAGTATCGCCCGTGTTGCTCTAAAATTTTGTGGTTATAGAGTGTGTACATAGGGAATTGTCAAACTGTAAAAGAAAATCTACACCTACAAGGGGACAGTTTCTGTATGGAAAAAACTTTGTGGTGCGGATTGGAGGCACGGTCCTTCGAAGCTTGATATATTTTGGCAGTTTACTACAAGTTGAAAAGTACTTGAGCGTAAAAATCGACGTAACGCTATACTCGGGATACATTCTGACACAACTGAATTACTTTTAGCGATCTTCAGTCCAAGCTCACTTGACGAGCAACCTTAGAGTAAATTCTACCGCTATAGTCACTATTTCATCCCCCAGAGGCAGAAGATAAAAAAATAATTTTTCAAAGACGACTAGTCAGACTCTCGTTGTCCTTATAAAAGTATCTCTGATGCCTAATACGCTGGGAACCTTACATGGAAACTTATACATAAAAATCTTTGATCTTACGGAAGTTTTCTGGAAAACGGCGCGTTTTTAGGCCGACTTTGACGGGCTGTAAAAGATGTAATCGTCATTATAAGTAAAAATCATTTTTAGTGTATAAAAAGCGACCGCTACTCTGTCATATAAATTGAATTTCTGCCATAGCATGCAACGGTAAAACTAGTGTTTCCAATTTTTATCCATTTTGGGGTCCGTGCCTCAAGGGCCTTAGTTGTGAGCACTTATAATGGCAGATCAGGTGTCGTATACGACTACTTGGTCTGAGACTTTGAAGATAGATTCTTGGGAGCATTGCACGTTTGCACAAGCGACCACTTTGCTCTTGTACCATTACATCCCGCAGGGCAAGTAAAAATATGAGTCCCAATATTTTTGGCGCACCCTGTAGTTCCCAATTTCTTTTTTTTCTTGTTTCGCTTTCTTCGGAACATGCTCGGATTTACATTTAAAATAGGCTAATTCAACTCTTGGTGGGTCCGGTTCCTTTCCTTCGGATTCCCGGACTGTGATTAGCCCGCCGGAATAAACGGCGGATGTCGCGGTTGCGTGTGGAAAGGGAACAGACTAACCACACAAGCAAGAGGCTAACTATGGCCTGATTGCATGGCCAAGGCCCTTTAATCGCATATCCTTTCAGCCAAACAATCCCTTCCTTTCTTCGTAAAGTCAGTGCCTTAGGGAACGAAATAAATATTTCAAATCATGTAGTAAAAATACAAATTGGATTGCAAAATAACATGTAAACAACATAATCGGCGCTTTCAGATACATTACGCAGATGTACGGAGCCCTTAGTCCAAACAAATTCTTATACGAAAGCACTGGCTATAGACCAGGATTCGAACAAACTGATTGAATGCACAAGTCTTTATCAAGGTCGATGTCGAGTCAGGAATCTCTCAAACATAGGAAGAGAAGCGGATGTGAAGAGTTCTCGGCCAGGACAAGTTGCCAACGACCAGCATTCTACTACAGTAATATTTGTTGGATCAGGCCCCACTTCAGTCGGATTAAACAGTATTAATCAGCCTTCTAAAGTATTATATGTGGCGTCCACATATGTCCCGATCCCGATTGGTCCTCGAGATGCTTTGGATGTCCCTGCGGTATCGAGTTTATTGCTGGATCCATCGAGATTGTTCGAATACACATCTGAGTACATCTCCTCAGGCACTTTAATGAAGCTCGATTATCTTCATCGTCCCAATTTCCAGTAAGTCATCATATTTCTATTTGATCTTTCCATCTTAGGATAAATTATGTTGGGGGATTCGAAGCAAATGGATTTGCATATTTTGCGACAAGACAGCCCAAATATACAGGAGAAGGGCAACCCACAATATCCAAATTAATCCGAGTTTGCACTGGAGATGCCTATTTCTACAGTTACACCGAGGTGCCCCTGGAGTGTATAAAGAATGGAATTCATTATAATCTTCTGCAAGACGTGTTTTTGGGCAATCCTGGATTCGATTTGGCCAATGATATGGACATCAAGGTCACCGATCAGGTGTTATTTGGGGTCTTCACCCGAGGCGAAGGTCCCGAACGGAATGTTTCCACCCGAGAATCTGCGATTTGTCTTTTCCCCATCAAGCAGATTGAGACAAAGTTCTTTGAAAACATCAGAGAATGTTACAATGGGAATACCAGAACTGTAAGTTTTCGAAATTTTAATCTTTTCGGATCAACTGCAACATACAATTTTAGAATCTTCCCTGGTTTAACTCCGACAAGAAATGTACCCAGACCAAATATCCAGATTCCGAGATTATGTGTGGAAAAGATGTGAATAGTTATATTGGGGGAGAGATTCCTATTGTTTCCCACGCTTCCTTGGCCGAGCAAGGTGTCCAATTCAATTCGATTGTTACAACTTCCGTTCAAAGTGCTACAGTTGCCTTGGTCGGCACGCAGGGAGGCCAAATCTTGAAGATAATCCTGGAGGGGAAAGACAAATCGCGGATATACAAACGAATCCAACTAACAGATGGCACTCCATTACTGCAGGATGTGGAATTGGACGAAAAGAACGGACTCCTGTACACGATGAGTAGGAGCCATGTGTACAAAGTAAACATCCGACAATGCAGTCCTGCCACGGATTGCCACAGCTGTTTGGAAGCTGGGGATCCGTTTTGTGGGTGGTGTATGAGACAATCCCAATGTGTGACCGAAGAGGGATGCATTGGCGGAGAGATCAGAGACGCCAATAACCAGAGGATAGGGACGATCCCCGCCAAAAACGATTGGTTCAATTATCGGTCTGGAAGATGCCCCTTGTAAGATCACCATTTGCCTAATAATCTATTTTTAGGATCCGTTCAATTGAGCCACAAGAACAACAAATAACCTCCAGTAAAGTCCTAACAGTCTCAATGGAGAATCTTCCCTCTTCTTTGGAAGGATTCAGCTGTTCATTTGTCTTCCCCAACCAGCAATCCTTCAAGATCCCTGCCTCCGTCACCACGAATGGAGTCTCTTGTCCAACTCCAACTCGAGCTGATCTCAAAAGTCTTGATCCATCTGACAAGAACAACAAAGTTGGATTAAAAGCACTTCTGACTGTCCTCAAAGCTCATGATAATTCACCTTTGGCATCTACCAACTTCACTTTCTATGACTGTCATCAACTTCAGACTTGCACTGAATGTGCTTCAAGTCGTTTTCCATGTGATTGGTGTACCATCAGCAACAAATGTGTCCCTAATGCGGAAGATGTTTGTCAAGGAGAGCCCCTGGTTAATGCTGTAAATCGACAAGGACCATCATCCCGAAGAGGTCCGGAATTCTGTCCACGATTCACTCCAATGGAAGACGATGCGGAAATATTTGTGCCCTCAGGGCATCGGAGAAAACTTACGTTGAAGGTGCATAATGTCCACAATTCGATGAGAAATTTCAAATGTCAATACACTGTAGATCAATCAACCCATGAGCGACCGGCGACGAGAAATGGCGACAAAATTCAATGCGATGAGCTGAGGTTTGAATACTTTAGTAGAGGTTACGGTAACGGGACTGCGCGAGCCGAATTTGCCCTTGTCTGGTGGCCAGATTCTGCATTAACTCAGTCCACAGGAGGCGTTGCCAGTGTCTCATCGCTGATTTCATCTGCCTTATCAGCGCCTCGAGATCCGGTTGTCAACTCGATCTCATCTTCCGGCCGTTCTCGAACAATCACAGTTGGTCCAGGCTTCAAGTTGGATAATTCTGAAGATTTCCACGTCATCATCTACAAATGCGACCAACTAGCCTCGAATTGTGGAACTTGTCTTGGGCTGGAGATTGATAATTTTGAATGTGGATGGTGTTCGGCGGAGACAAGATGTACTCACCTGGATTCATGTTCAGTGACCGGCGAGACTTCATGGTTAACCAGAAAAAAGGATTCTTTGAGTGAAGAACTGATGTGCCCATTCCCTCGAATCGATTCGTTTTATCCAAAGAAAGGACCCATCAACGGAGGGACCAAGATCACCATCAATGGAGTAAATCTTGGGCTTAAGTTTAGTCATGTGAGAGATGCCGTCAGAGTAGCCAATGTGAAGTGTGATGTCTCGGAACATGATTATGCCCCTTCTCAGAAGATCGTTTGCCACACCAGGTCCCCTTCTCAACGCCAAACACAAGCTCAACATGTAGTAATAAAGCTGAAAGACGACCCTCAGTTTACAGCAGTGTCCAATGATACTTTCATGTATGTGAACCCGAAGATACTGTCGTTCCGGCCATTCCGAGGTCCCAGGTCTGGTGGAACAGATATCACCGTGATGGGAGAGGACTTGGATTCTGGCGCTTCGTTTAATTTAACCATCGGAAATACTCCATGTCAAGTCAACCAACGCTCAAGTACCATGGTTGTGTGCAGAACTGGACCTTCGCAAGCAGAGGGTGCTGAATATCTTGTGGTAAACACGGATGGGACACAAGTCAAAGTGGATAATGTCCAATTCCAATATACGTAAGTTAAGATTACATTTAAAAAAATATATTTTAGACAAAATCCGGTTGTGGATCGAGTAACTCGTCCAGTGAGTATTGTATCTGGGGGAATCGCGGTAGATGTTTTCGGAAAGGGATTGGATCTACTGCAGCGACCTAGGATGGTGGTTACTCATGAAGATAAGGTCTATTTTGGACAGAAATGTGAAGTCTTGGATGAGCATCTGATGGTGTGTAGAACTCCAGGATTAGATGATCTTCCCATGCATCGAAGAGCGTCGTTGACGGTTGACCGCCCACTGTTGGCCGATTATGGATTTGATTTGGATGGACAATTAACTGGGTAAGTTACTCGAATCGTATTTGATATTGTTTCAGAAACCTTACAATTGAAAGATCTCTTCCCAAACTTACCGTCTACGATGACCCTCGAATCGTTCCATTTGGAGAGATCTTGACAGTAAAACCTTCCGGGGATTTAGTAATCAAAGGAGCTTCTCTTAATGTAGCAGCTTCTACAAGAGATGTCAGAGTTGTGGTGGACGGGAAACCATGCAATGTAACTGCTTTGGCCAGTAGTACATTGACTTGTCTTCTCCATCCCGAACTCTCAGACGATGATATGGAAGTGACTGTATTTGTGGGACAACGTTCCGAGAGAGTGGGGGTTATCTCCCAGAGTACCCACAATTCTTCTTCAAGCCTTTATGTCATCGCGTTTGTCTTTGCATTCATCGGGATCTTTATGAGTATCACTCTGATTTGTCTGTACAAGTAAGTTCATTAAAAATACTTTTGGGTTACTGCATTTTTAATACTCAATTAAATTGTTTCAGAAGAAAGAACACCTCACACAACAAACAACTCCGATACCTCAAGAATCAGATGAACTCGATCGAGATCAAGGTGGCCCAGGAATGCAAAGCTGCTTTTGTTGAACTCCAGACTTCGATGAATGCGATTACTCACAGTGTTCCTCAAGGAGGATCAGCCATTCCCTTTCTTCCTTATAAGGATTATGCAGCGAGAGTAAGGATTATGACGTCATTAATTAGAAAATTTTACGTAATTAGTTATTTCAAATTTTATTTTCAGATTCTGTTTCCACAAAACTTCATCAACCATCCAGTATTGTCTGAGCTGGCAGTTGAAGCCGAGAGAGCGGAGTCCATTGAGAGTGGGTTACGTCAGCTGAATCGGCTACTTCTTAACCCCAACTTCTTGCTGTCTTTTGTCCGAACCATCGATGAGAATAAGTATTTGTTGCTGAAGGATAGAGTTTATGTTGGATCCTTGATCATGGTCATCTTACAGGTAAGTATTAGATATTTGTTTGCCTGATTTGTGTTCCAAATTAATCTTTCTTTATTTTAGGGTCACATGGAATACTGTACTGAGATTCTGAAGATTCTTTTGAAAGAGTTGATCAGAAAGAATCTAGACGGAAAATTCCAACCAAAAATCTTGTTCAGAAGAGCCGAGAGTGTGGCTGAGAGAATGTTGAGTGCGTGGTTCTCTTTCCTCATGCATCGATTCCTTGAGCAAGCAGCTGGCAAAGAACTCTATCAACTTTATTGGTCGATAAAACAACAAACGGAGAAAGGTCCTCAAGACGCCATTACTATGGACGCCAGATATTCTTTGTCTGAAGAGAAACTTCTGAGAAGTTCCATCGAAGTGAACGAGCTGACAGTCTACGTTTTGAATGATGGCACTCCCGGAGCTCTTTACGACGTCCCAGTCAAAGTTTTGGATTGCGATTCGATTGGCCAAGTCAAGGAGAAGTGTCTAGATGCCAAGTATCGGACGACTCCCTTTTCTCAACGACCTCATCCCAACGAAGTTGACATTGAACTCCGGACTCCAACACATCGAATGCTCCTTCAAGATCTCGATGCAACCTCCAAAGCTGAGAATGGAATTTGGAAATACAATACTTTGGCCCATTACAAGATCGAGAACAAGGCGACTTTGGCGTTGATCCCTCGGCCAGCCTCGGGATCAGTCTACAATCTCTCCATGTTGAGTGAAAAGTCTGACAAGAGTTCTCCGATGAGTATCCACAACAATTCGCTTCATCAAAGCCATGGCCATCTTCACATTGGTCCCACAAATAGTCCTACTTTATCCCGGCCCTTTGGAACATCTTCCACTGGATATAACAAGGATACCAACAACTCCGTTAAGGTGATGCATTTGGTTAAACCCATGGATCATGGAGGATCTCAGGATAATGAGGACAAACTGGTGACCGAAGTCTACCTCACAAGATTGCTGACAATGAAAGGCACTCTAAAACAATTCATAAAGAGAAATCTTAAGATGATACTCTCTGTGAATAATGGCGTGACTGCTCTTCCTCTCTGTATCAAGTACATGTTTGATTTCTTGGATGAACAAGCTCAAGAGCATCTCATTGATGACCCTGATGTCGTGCATGCTTGGAAGAGTAATGCACTGCCATTAAGATTCTGGGTGAATCTCATAAAAAATCCAGACTTTATCTTCGACATTCCGAAACCCACGAAGATCGAGGGTTCTCTTAATGTGGTTGCTCAGACACTAATGGATGCGTGCTCAACGCAAGACCAGCTTCTGACAAAAGATTCTCCGTCATCAAAGTTGCTGTTTGCTGATGTCATGGATGAATACAAGAGCTGGGTCCAAGAGTAAGTTCCGGAGTACAAAAAAGACAGAAAAAACTAGTACAGAAGTTTAAAATAAATGTTATCTTTCCAGCTATTATCGTGCCATCAAAGAGATGCCTCCAGTGAAAGAAGAACAGATGAGCGCTTTTCTGGCCGAAGAATCCAGAAACCACGCCAATGACTTCCGCGTCTTCTCAGCCCTCAACGAACTTTATGTGTACGTCCATCAAAACAAGGAGGCTGTTCAGGAAGAGTTATCGCAGAATGATGTGGCCATCCATCAACAACTTCCAGAGAAGTTCCAGAAACTTCTGGATACAATGGAAGTGATTCCAGACGCCTTGATCATGAACAGCGGATCATTGGAGAACTACAACTCCAAGTCCAGGCTGATGTCCAATTCAGCGAATCGTTTCTATTAGTCATCTTTCTGTAATCTCGACGGGTTTCTGATTTCATTCTTCTTTTCTAAACTACTACAAAATTTTCCCCCAGATAATCGCAACAAATATATTTTAGGTTCTTTCCTTTCACGGGTATTAATCTCTTCTTCTTCTTTCGTCTATAACTTATGTCATCCTTCATGTCATTATGACATATTTTGTGGCTTTTTCCGATTTTGTCTCAAGTATACCATCAAGATTGCCATTGATATAGTAGATGTGTTTGTAAATAGGCCGACGTGCATTGTAAAATAATTGGATTGTAAAATACATCGGGTTATGTTGGCTCACTTTTATCGAGAAATTTGAATAAAGAATTTTAATAACATCTAGGAATCTCATGGAGCTTAATTAAAATAAAGTTTGGTTGACGCTCTTTCTTCTTCATTCATTCCGTTGGGCGATCCGAGGAGAAGTCGGCATGTCTACCTCCGCTCTGGCCGTGGTCCCTCCTGTGTGTCCCATCTCTGCTGCCGGAGGCAAGAGCAAGCATCGGTTGGTTAACCAGAGTGCTGTAAAGCTGGCCTATAAGGTCAAGTGCACCAACAACAGCAACTACTCGGTCAACAAGGTCTATGGGTTCGTGGATGTGGGCGAAGAGGGAGGTCTGGAGATCACTCGCATCGTAAGTTTCGTGTTTATGATCCATTCCACTTCTCGTATTCCGTGACTATGATAATAGGCCGTTAAACACGACATTTATCGGATTTAATAGCCACATAATAGTTTTGTCACCGTCATATTATCCATTATTGTTTTTGCAGGCCGGAAAGCCCAAGGCTGACAAGTTGATTGTTCAGTACGTCCAGCCCGCTCCTGACCATACTGACCCCAAACAGGCTTTCGAACCCGGCTACCAATCCGAGGTCGTCGGAGAAACCGTCGTCAAACTGTCAGCGGCTGAATGATTTAATTTAAATAAAGCGTTTGTATAGCTGCGATTAGCTTCTTCTAGTCTGGTGTGATATCAAATCTCTTGTATAATATGGGAATGTGTTCTTTGAGGTCGTAACTCATTCCTCCGACCATTCGGAACCCTTCCAATTAGACTCCTGATTTGGATTACCGCAGGATCGGGTGGGTTGTAGGAAAGTAATCCTCGCCTGACCTACTGGCAGATCGCCTCCTCACCTCACTCATCGCTTGTTTTTTCCGTCATCGGAGTCTTGGTTCTGTTATCTGTAAATAAGAGAGGGCTCATTAATCCTGATCTTGTCGGTTTGCTCAGTTTCAGAGGGACTCCGGAAGAAGGAGGCGCTTCTGAATCCCGGCGTCCCTCCTCTCTTCAATCGATCCTTGTTCTCTTCAAGGAATTGCATTATAATAGAAGATTGCGCAAGAGCTGCGTGGCGAAACCTTTTTCCAAGAGTTTTTTGAATGCCTGAGGGCGTTGAACGACTCGGCGTTCGCCGTCGCCAGCAGCTCGGGTAACTTCCCCAGCTCGATATTACCCTCCTTGCTCCTTTTCTCTTAAATAATAAACCCTTCCGGAACTCCACACGGCTTTTCAGAACTTGTTGACGTTGCGCGATCTTCTGCCGCTCAGTCGTTCGCAGCTTCAATATTTATGTTTTCATAACAAAAGCTCCATTGTTTTTCAGAATGTCTGTCATCTTATTCTTGTTATTCTATTTGATCCCTTCTACTGTAAGTCATGTCACCTGGACATTCCCTGAGGCCAGATATCCTCCATTGGACTTTTTGGACACAGCCAGGACAGTAGGACCATGCGGAGTCCCAAAGTCCGATAGAAGTAAGTAAATCGTTATAGAAAACAAAAAAAAACATAAGTAGTACCGACTTAATTTAAATTTCCAGGTACTTACACAACATTGAAAACGGGTACAAAATACAACGTCACCTGGAGGTTACAGTATCCCCACCAAGGAGGATTCCGTATCAGTCTGATTGATTACTTGGGCAATCAAGTGGAGCAATTAGCACCTCCAAGAACCGGTTCAGAAGGCAATTCCACCAGCTTTGATGGCCTGCAGGATCAAAGGTTAGTTATATTCAAACCGTCTTAACTTATTTTATTGCAGTTTGGAGGATCATCAAATTAAATTTGATAGTATTTGTCCCAATTGTACCTTGGTTTTGGAGAGACAAGCACTGGAATGGGGTCCCTCATACAAATTCAAATCTTGTGCTGAAGTTCATGTAGTTGAGATTGATCCAAGTCAAGGCAAGGATTGTATGGGAAGAGGGAAGAGGGACGACACTGGATATTGTGAATGTAATAAAGGATACTCCGGAGATCTCTGTCAATATCAAAATGATTGTGATGGAGATAAGGACTGCTGGAATGGTGGAAGATGTATTGCCAACGGCATATTCCCCAACAAGAAATCTTGTTTCTGTCAATACGGATGGCACGGAAAAGATTGCAGAGACAGTATGTTACAGCAATGTAGCCTTACAACAATACTTTAGGGTCTGGTCCGCTCTTTATAGATGATACCTGCTTCAATTACAATGAAACCGTGGATACAACTGATTTCAAATATAATATGTATAATCCCAAATGCTACAAGGAACATCAGCTTACCAAAGACGATTTGTTATACTCTAGAGTTCTAAAAGTAACCTAACTTCCCTAGCCTTTATCACATTTTTAGGACGAGTTGGAAGTAATTTTGGATTTCAAAACGGAATCGTATGTAGCCTTGGGATGGAGGCCAACTAATATTCCTCGAAGTTGTCGCTTATTCCCTAATTTGGACAACAAAAAAGAAGAGAGTTCACAGACAGCGGGATACGGTACCACGATGACTTTATTTTAAAATCCTTTCAGCTAAATCTGCACTTGATGCATCGTTGCATGGAATGGATTGCACTGACATCATCATGGCATCTGTAGTGCATGGAGACTTCCTTCATATTGAAGATATGTACACCCGGGATAGATCAACCCCCATCTCGGATAACATCCTCGATGGCGAACAATCATTGACTACTGCCTATGGGATTCAAAGGAATGAACGGACAATTGTAATGTTCAGAAGAGGAATCAGAGGTAATTACACGTTATAATATCAGTCAATCTTCGGCTTTTAGAAATCGAGCCCTCAGATCACCCTCTCGGTCCCGGAGAAATGCATTTTATCCATGCCAAAGGTCAACAACAAGGTTCTTACAAACATTTCACTCCGTCGGCTCTCGAAAAGAACAATGTGAGCGTTAAAGACTTCTACAAAGACGATCAATGGAGATATCACGGAAGTAAGTAAACGAAAATAATATTTTTTATGAGTCAAAAGACTGACTTTTTTGCATACATGTTTGTAATTTAATTACAACATTTAGGTGAAAATCGAGGGGTCCACAGGATCGAATTAGTCAGTCCAAATGAGATGACCGCTGGGAAAAGTTTCCTTCTCCATAAAGTTGATGTCCTGGAGAGACCCCATTCGGATCCATCTCCCTTCAGAGATGAAGTCATCCCTCGACCTCAAGCTTCTTCTACATCGACATCAGTAGTGATTGTTGATCTCGAAAAGGAGAATGAGAATACAAGCGAGACTTTTGGAAGGACAAATGAAGCCACAAAAACTACAGTTACCCACGAGACACTTACAGTAGAAGACAGTCCCACTACGAAGAAAAGCAAGGTTGGATTGGTAACTGTTCCAGAGAAGACAATATCGGATAGCACAGAACGTACCACTCCAGAACACACCCAACAAGGAACAACAATGTCTTCAAAGGCCATCGAGAAACACAGTCCCACCTCAACGTCCGCTTCCCAAGTCCATTCCTTAACCATTACTTTCATCTTGCCAGTTTTCTTATTTATTGTTTTCACGCTTTACCAATGATGTCATATGTAAATAATATTTCTTTATGTAGTGTTTGTCATGTGAGGGATCTTGATTGATCTCAACGCTGTGATCTCGAGACTTGGAGTTTTGTTATTGCTCGGTGTTATGACCTCGAGAACAGAAAAGAGCCTGGCACGGACCAACACTTTCCGCTTTTTTGACTCACGTCTTTTTTTCACGGCATTCGAGAGCAGAGAGCCCTAAAGGCAAAGGAACAGACCGTTCAATCCGAGCGAGAAGAACAGGATCAGGTGATTTCCACCCTCCCCGCTGATGCCTTGCCATGCCGCGCGGCAAGCCCCTGAATCGCGCGACAGAAAGATGGAGATCTCCACTCCCCGGCGTTTTCCTCCTCTTCCCGACCTCGGCGTCCGAATTTCCCCTTCTCCTTGAGTGTTTACAATCCGAATTGTAGACAAAGAAAGAGAACCGACTCACATCCATTTCCTTTTTCCCAAATCGGACACGGTTTTGGGCCGGTAACCATAATTTATTAGTTGATTACCTTGTCGTTGTTATCTGACAGGGACATCAACTTGTTATGCCGTCTTCTCGATGTTACGAAATTTGGTCACTTTCTTCTCTTCAAATTGAGCTGAAAATTAATTACGAATTACGTTGCCCATCTTCACACGTTTTTTATCGAACAAAATCGCGATGACGCGTTATTTAGACTTAATGAACAACAAAGTCTTATTTAGATTACGAAAAACCACGAAACCCCCTTACACTTATAAAAAAGACAACTACAGGATGGGTGGCTTAAAGGGTACTTGCCAAAAACATATTTAGCCAAAAGAACGGCTGTCACCATGAGTCATTTTTTAGACGTCCACTCTTTTCTTCCGAAAATCGGAAATCTCTCTTTGTAAATGGCCAAAGTAAAGTTTTATCGCGTTTCTCTCCACGTTATCATTGCAGAACTCTGTTTTATGTGTTTTGTAGCTTACATTTCTGTTTTTTTCTGAATCTAACAACCGATTACTCTGATAATTCGAGAATATTCTGATTTTGAAATAAGGAAACGTCTGTTTCTCAGCTTTTTCAACGCTTTTCGCCATGTCCTTGCATCACAGATATACGTTGAACTTGCAAAATGAAAGATATCTGCTTTTCAGACATTTCGGACTTGATTTAACCTTCGGATTTATTTGTTTTTTCCACATTGCACTTGTCGATAACAGGTGATAACGACCGAAAATGAATTGCTCTGTCTGCTCCGACCTTTTACAAGTACATCCAAGTCTGCTAAACGATCAACTCAAGACAGTTCTGGAGGTATTTAATGCCTTACCCTAAATTTATTCCTTTAGAATCGGAATTCGAATGGAGCGTCTCCGCTGAATAGTGGGAAACTGTTGGAATTAATAGCTAACTCGTCAAATCCATTAGATGTACCGATCTGCAGGGTATGGTTGGTTTGTAAACTGAATAAGGTGTTTGCCTATAATACATGACTTTCTGTAATAATATTCACAGTGCTAATTATACACATTGCAGATATGTTGCAATTCAATATCCGAAGATCTCAGCAAACAGTTAACAGAATTGGATAAAGAATACATTGAGTATAAGAATGTTTACGAAAGTCTTCTGGAACAAAAAGAATCAAACAAAATGGATGAACAAACTGCCAAGAGAAAGCTCGATGAACTGACGGTGAGTAATATTCATATATTTTACCTTAAATGTTTAGAGAGAGGAGAGTGAATTGATGGACGAATTGAATGGACTTCTGAAGAGCGAAAGAGAGTTAACACAAGAACTGAAGGATAAACAAGATGAGCAGAAGAAAATGTTGGAGAAAGACGAGGAATTATACCGGAAGCTTAGGGACAATCATCGGTAAGGCGTTGTTTGTTTCTTATTAAGTTTTGGGTCTAGAAGGCGTAAAGGCTCTACTTCGATTCGCCGTCCTGTTGGATTTCAGTCTATGATTTTTTCGTGCTGAGCGCACTAAAGCTATCATTCGTAAGACCTCGAAAAGTTGTCATAAGAACCGGTTTCAAAAATTGTCAACAGAATTCGGCCTCGGAGTTCGACGGCTTCAAATTATTTCGGGCTTATTCATTTGACTTATTTCCGACTCAATCTCGGGGAATAATTCTTAACACAGATTTCGACGTGTGCCGTAAAACAGCCCTAAAATATTCTCGCAACACTCTTTACGGTGTTAAAATTATGGCTAGACGACAACGACGATCACTGGAGTTAATAATACAAGTTTTTAAGACCCTGCGATGTGCAGTGTGCCTTTAACTTCTTAAACATGATCGTATCCGCAGGCGTTTTTTTTAATATGGGTAAAAATTCCTGCAGTACTTTTTGCATACTGCAGAACGTAGGATAACAGGTTCCGTTTTCATTTTTTGGCATTCCGCGGTCTATTTTTCTAAGCCAGTAATCCGTTGGCAGTTTTTTGAAACCGGTTCCCGAATACTTTTCAAAGGGTCTTGAATGGTATACAACACGTTATTTGGCCATTTTGTGCAATTCGCCTGTTATGCTGAGCCTATGTTTAGCCTTAGGGTCAGGTCGAATAAGCGTGGGCTTACTGTTGTTCCCATACTTTTATGAGCTAAACAACGTTATCTGGTTTCAGTACTTTGAGTGAACAGTCCGCTGAACTCCGAAGTCTAAAGACCCAGGTGAATTATGCTCAAGAACAACTGGAGAAGTTGCTCAAGACAAATGTCCTCGACATGGCTTTCTTTATTTGGAAGGATGGAGAATATGGAACGATCAATGGTCTGAGGTTAGGACGATTACCCGCTGATAACGTGGATTGGCACGAGATTAACGCAGCCTTTGGTCAGGTGGCGATGCTGATGGTGGTCAGTTATTTTTAGATCAGTTTAGACCTTTCTTGCTGTTATATTGCTATGCCAGACCGTTGTTTGTTGAGTTCTCCTTTTTTTACCGTATTCTCTTTTCTTTTAAGCAAAAAAAAATAATGTTAATCAAGGTCAATTGTCCTTTCTTTCAGGTGATGTGCAGACATGTTAGTCTCAAGTTGGAAAACTACGAGATCGTCCCTTTTGGATCACATTCGATTATTCGACATCTAAAAGGCAGTAAAGTGGAGGAGTATCAGCTTTATGGAAGCGGGTCTTGGCGGCCGTTTGGACTGTCGACCTTGGATCATGGAATCGTCGCTTTCGTCGACTGTTTCTGCCAATTGGAAAATAAACTCAAGGAGAATTTCCCCAAAGTAAGATTGTAACTCTGGTAGTGTAATATCAAATTATTAGTATTTTTTCAAAGGGCTTTCAAACTCTCCTTTGTATCTTTTCTTGGCCCCATGACAGCTTAATCCTCGTTACGCACACAATTTGTATATTTAGAGAATTGAATTAACTTTTTGAGTGTGAAATTATACTTTCTGAAGGGTTAAAAAACAGCAGCCGTGGGACTTGGAGTTTCTTCCCTTTCCTGAGTGTTTACCCAAATATATGTTGTAGTTTGTGTGGAATTCTGATGTTTTCAGGCCGAAAGAATTCTCCCGTACAGGATGGTCAAGGATAAGATCATCGACCAGGAATCCCAGTACCTGGTGAAGATGCAATTAAACTCGGAAGAACGGTGGACTAAAGCCATGAAGTGTCTGTTGTTGAATATGAAAAGAGTCGTGGGCATCTTGGCGAACAATCGGATCACTCTCGAATCCCCCAAGGCCAATGGAACTGAATGAAAGCCCATCAAAGGACGAGTGGATATTAATCTATTTTATTCACGACACTTGGGTTATCAACCAGCATGTTATCCCATTGGATTAGTCACATATCTGGTAGAACGGGTTACTGTACATATAATGTAAATAAAGAGAGTATATGACCGGATCGTCCTCTTCCCCGCAGTTTTAATCTGCTTGAATATCTTGTCCTTCTAGGACTCTCTCCTTGCATTCTCTGCATCTCCTTCCTTTATTAATTTGTTTGTTTTCAGAGTTTAACCTTGCGATTGGCTTTAGTTTTGTGGTCTAAGCGAGAGAGTGAATGGAGAAAAGGAATCTGGAGAAATCGGACGCCAGAGTGGAGGAGAAAGAAGAGACGGCTGTCCAGGTGAGGCCGCGGAACAGAGAACCCTCGCGGCGGTGTGGCGCTCCCCCCAGAAGAACGGCAAGAAGAGAGAAGAGCGGCGAGTCGAGTGCTTTCCTCTTGTTTCTGGTATTAACCCATTCATTGACGCCACCGATGGAGACTCCGAAGTCCTCGGTGAGGACACTCTTTGATCCAATGGTCGGCGAGTTTTGTGCCGACTTTGACATCACTCGCCTCAAGGCTTTCCTTGAACCCAAGCTTAGGTAAATGATTTTGAAATCTGTTGATTCGTCAGTTTTTTTAATTCCAAAACTTTTTCTTTGCGGAAATCGATTTTTTTGACTGATAACGTGACTTCTTTTGGTTGATTTGATTAAAAACATAGTGCCATTAACAAATCCAAACTTAAATTTGTTAATCCAGATATCGAAATGATGCCGCCCTGGCTCACTTCGCCTACAAATCAATGCCCCAAGAAACCACCGTGAACATGTTGATGGTCTCCAGCCAGCACATGAACCCGATGAGAGGCCAAGCCCAACCTGCAGACCCATCTCTCCTTGATTATGATGCTATTGATGCTTCCTGGAGAAGAGATATCGAATTGGAAAAAGGGATTGGCGCTTTGGACACTTCCGGGTATAATGGATGCACAGATCAAGGATGTTCAAGCTCAGGTTTGGACACAGCTTCAGATCAATTCCAAAGAGATTTACAGATCTTGACACAGAAAAGTGTTCTTGGCGTAAGTTTGGGTTTATTACACATCGGACAGAAAATTGGGGTGCTAATTTAGTCCAAGGATAATTTACAAACAAAGTATTGCGGGAGTTTGGCATGACAACTGTAGTCGAACCAGGTCCCATGAAGGTCCTGGTTGTAGGCCATATAAACACAATCCACCTCGGGTTCATTTGGTTGACTGGAATCCCAGTTTAAATAATGAACTGGATTAGAATCACTCCATTCGTAAGATCCCTCGGTATCTCTGACCTTGTTTAATCCAATCCAGATATTGTTTTCTAAAAAGTATTACAATTGCTTACGACATTTTCCTCTTACTTTTTCGTAATTTGTGAACAAAATCGTTCTCGGCCAAATCTTTGATCGAAACTAGATGGGCCCCCAATTCCCTACAGAAATTCTCGGCTGGAATCCACATTAATTCCTCTTGGAACAGGCGATACCAGTGGCCAGCATACATTTTCCATCCCTGAGTAATATGATCCTTGTTTGTCTTACCTCATTTTACCTGGTTCATGAGATTTGAGACTGTCAGAATCCTCAACTGCTTCTCTAGTTTGGTATCAAAACGTGTAACATTTTTTAAGTCTGCGGGAATAACCGTATCGATGTACTGACAGTGAGCGTAGCAGGAGAGAAATGTGATTAGAGCGATCAATTTCATCGGAAAGGAACAAATTTTAGACTGATAAAGTGAAAAGGCTCTCGATTAAGTCCTGATAAACAAATATTATCACCATAATTTTCGAACAAAGCGAAAGTGACGTTGTCATTTTTTCAGACATTATCAACTGAAGAGACCTTCCAATATGAAGATCTGGCCAAAGCCCAATTCGCCGACTTTTACCATCAGATTCCCAATGTCCAGAAGACCAAGAGTCGAACACCAGAATGGCTTTCTCCCACAAATATGGCCAAGGCTTTGGGAGATCTGCAAGATCCCTCAGAGTGCTTCAATAATCTCAAAGATACTCCCCATTCATCCAGTTACAGTGATCTTACTCTTTGCCAAGAACAAAATATGTTGGTAAATGACGTCAATCTGGGTGTGGAAAGAGAAGTGTCGGACGTGGAGGAAGAAGAATTACCCGAGGAATTCAAAGACTTTGACACTTCCACTTCTCTTAATCTGTCGTGGAGTGAGACTTCCCAAGTTCTTAATGATGAACAAGTCAGGGCCGATCTTGGAGATGGTATGTTTATATTAGAATTCGGAATTTCTATGTGTATGTTTACTAAGACGTGATTTTTTAGCATATTGGCTTCACGAATTCGAAGGTATGGAAATGCTGGGTGAATTCCAAAACTATTTCAACGAAGATGAGGAGGATTCTGAATCCAGAGAATCAAGTCCAGTTCCAGATGTTGGTCGGGTCGAAGAGGTACATCAGTGTGAAATGGAGAGAGATATGACTCCATCCAGTGGGTAAGTGTATTAATTATTGTCCTTATTCTTTAAGAATTGGGTCAATGCGTTCATCTGGTTCTTCTCCTTCCCAAAACGACGAGGTCGGTGTATCAGACATCGAGAACAGACATTATCTCCACTCTCGAGTCTACAACAAACTCGCTCCAATGGTCAGACACAGTCATTCTTCTGTTTCTTCGGAGTCTTCGTTTGATTTTGACACTGTCAGGTTTGGAAAAAATCGACTGAACTCAATGTTTGGACCCTCTTCCATCCCTCGTCCGTTATCCGCACAAAACGGAGGAATTCAGCAAAGAAAGAGAGGGCGCCAATCCAAAGACGAACAGCTTGCTATGGAGAATGCTCTGCCTGCATCGGCCGAGGAATTTGCGGCCATGACTCATATGGAGATCCAGAGATTTATGAGGGATCCCAGCTTGACTCCACAACAAAAGGCTCTTATCAAGAAGATCAGAAGAAGAGGTTCGTAGTCTTTTATAATTATTAGCTAGGTGGGAGTGGGAAAGGGAAGTCCCGAATGTGGCCCGGGTTACGGTAACGAGTTCTTTGCTGGTAGTTGTAACCAGTGAAAAATACAGATGTCTAATTTTTGAATGCCAATTATAATATTGGAGCATGTAGAAAAGTAAGCCCTCTTTTTGTGTAAAGGGCAATACGTTGAGATAATTGGAAATGAATCGCAAATTATTCATGTTGTTTTGTTTAGGGCGGAACAAGGTGGCGGCCAGAAAGTGCAGAGAACGTCGCACTGCGGATGGGCCCATGGAAAACGAGGTCCAACCCTCGACCTCCTCGAACAGCCTCCTCAATGACCCCTCCAATTTGAGCTTGTTTGACTATTAGAGTGTCCGATCCTGTATCAATAGCTTAATTTATGGCAGTTACGGTGGCCCATCTTGATATTCGCTTTAATACCTCTTAAGGAAAACTGAACATTTTCTTCTCTATTGTGTTACTACTCTTACTACTATGTTTGGTTGTGCAATCAATGGGTATTTCCGCAGAATTCAAATGCCGATGCACATCAACATGATCTATATATTGAGTCATGCATCAAGGAAATTACGGTATCTCCCGGATTGCGCAACCAACCTGAATACGGTTTCTCAGAAAATTAATCTTTTCTCTTCTTAGATCTCGGCTCTAGAGGTCTTTTATCCATTAGATAGCGCGGGTTTCGATGATTGGACACGCGTACGAACTCTATATTATTATCCATTGTTAATACTTTTATACTCCAATACTTGTTATTTGTCTCTTTTTTAGCCAATAAATAAGATCTTTTGAAGAAAAGTCAGTTCTGCCGGGGGACCGGGAATTTTGTATTAACTGATTGTTAATTCTTTTCATCCCTTTTCCGGGTTGTCGTCATGGACAAGATAAGAGGGAAAAGATGGTAGAGAACGGGAGTCCTCACTCGATATCAATGGCCATCTCCAGTTTTACAATTACATCCGATGTGCCCTGATTCCTGTCTCCACCTCCGACAGAGCGCTGTTGTTCGGCCTCATGCATAATAAACAGATTTAGCGGCCCAAACCCTTTGCTCGGCCCTTTATCCTCTCCTGAAGACCGTTTAGGTGACGTAGTTTTCGTCTTCTCACCTTCTCCATGACTTCCAGGTCTTCTTGGTCCGTTTCTTCCGGACGTCCGACTCATTCTGGGCTAATTGGACTGACCAAAGTGTCAAATTTCGTGCCAATCCCTCGTTCCGAAGCCGGATTCTGTACCCTAATTTATTTATTTCTCCCCATTCTTTCTTTTTATCCAATTCCAAAGTTTCATTCTTATATGCCCTGGGGGGATTCAGTGATCCAAACGTTTGTGTTTGTTTTAAATACTAAAATTATTCATAAGATTTAAACTTTTCTAATAGTAAAAGTTACACGAAATTTGTGAGAAACGAAGGGATTTGGCGAAACAGGAATTCCAGTAAACTCTTATTAGCCTTGAAATCAGATTTGGGGCCCTATTTACGGTCGTGTCGAGTCCAGTCCACCCCTCGGACAATGCTTTTCCCAAACGGATTTGAGCGCTTCCTTTGTCCGAGGCCGGAGAAACCAATGATCGGTAGGGCTTTCGAGATATCTCTTGTCATAATCGGATTGTTCTTTTTGTACATCATCAAAATTGGTGTCTTGTTTTACACTTTCAATGTAAAAAAAATGTAATTATTTTACGGGAAAAGTATTCGGATACAGAATTTATTTGGGAAAATGTATTTTTGGACTGCTTTTTACTTAGCCTATTCATAAATTTGTGAAGATACTCGAACTGGGATTATCCGGGAACGGCCGGAGCGTGGGGCAAACAAAGCCAATCAAGGGATTACCCGCAGAAAACGTTTCCAATCTTTGTGGTTTTATAATTTTCTGAGTACTTCGTTCTTTGTTTTCTCCGTGATTCAGACTCTTGGAGTCTTCTGAGTTGTCCTTTTCTTGATTCCGGACTTCTTTTTTGATACCCTTTTTATATTTTTACCGTAGTTTCGGTGACAAAATAATTCCTAGGATCAATACTTTGGCTATTTCTTGGACTGTCAATTCTTATATGACACTTTGAAGAGGGAGAAGCCAAGGGGTCATGCAAATGAAGGCGGGCCACTTACGCACCGAAATAATTCCACAATTTGAATAAAAATTGAATTCCGCGGGTCATTTAATATGCGGAGATGCCCGGAAGAATGTCGAGACATTTCCCGAGTTACATTCCCCCAAGAATATTACTCCTTGGAGATCTGCGAATGATGGTGAGAAGTGTTTTGACGTATCTCGGATCCTGTTTTCCTCTGATATTACACTTGCCTGAGGGGTTTTATGGTGAGCGTTACTTTCGGAGTCAGAAAAACACGTTTGATGTAAAAAGCGTTGTCCGTTGCGTAAGCAATATTCGGATTGCAGAAAGTGGGATCAGTGAAGTAGACAAAATGTGCGAGAGTGGAATCGGATATGGCCGGGTTCTTTTAGAGTCCCTTCTCATAAACCCTGGTTTTTGACCTGTAACCGTGCTCACTTGTCACGCAAGTACATGATGACATTACGGAGAGCACTCTCTGCTGTTCTTTGCATCAACGATATAATAAAATAGGAAAGAGTTGAAAGTAATGTGCTTTAATTGCTTTAATCCCCTCCCTTACCCCCATCCCACCCCACCCTCATCCATCCGTTCCCGACCCCCATTTTTTAAGGCCCAATATTCGATTAATCTATCGATGAACGACCCCGTAAGGCTAACTTTATTGCAGAAAAAGGAAATCGCCTTAGGGGAAAGAAAGGCCTCGGGATCAGATTAACTCTAAAAAGGGCCGGGGAAGGGATTAAAATGGCCATAACTCGTTTTTCGGGCCTACCTGGGGCCCGATGTGTCTCTTTGTTTGAGCGGGACATCAGAAAGGAAGATGTTCCAGTGCCCCGGTCCGGCTACAATGTGAGGCAATTGTAGTAATGGACTGTTTTCTTCTTTTATTTTGACACTCTTTTCGAAACAATTGTAGATGGGCCTGTTTAAGTGTTGGCCGGGCCGTTTTCTCTTCTTAATTTACACCTTTTCCCAATCCAAATAATTCTTAAATTCGTGTGGCGTAGGCGCCGTCGTTCCGCTGAACCGCGAAACGTAATTCCTAACGTAATTTCATGCAGAGTTCCAAAAATTAAGACAAATTGAAGTTGTTTTGAGAGCTGTCTTATCCTTTTAGGGCTGTCAATGCCGGAGGACCTTGGCAGGTAGACCGACCCGTCAAGAGACAACCCCGGAGGGCATGTCTGTGACAGCCAGGAATGAAGATTGTGACGGTTTTAATTCTGTCCTTCTTATACATGCAAATCAGAGTTTGCATAGTGAAGGGGGCCCTGAGGGTTGGAGGAGTTCCTCTTTTTCTTCTGAATCTTGTGGAGCTGTTCAACTTGTTTCCTAAAATCCAATTCCGGGTGTTGCCCCCAAAAAAAGGCATGTCCTTTTTGTCTGGATACGTGAAATCTCATAAAGAAGTTAAACCCATCCTTATTTTGGGCATTTGAATGGTCTTGATGACGTCACAATCTTGACATCAAGGTCCTATCTTAGGGGATTCCTTACCATGTGACTAGTCACCGGTGCTCCGGTTACCTTACGGTCTGTCTTTGCGCCCACTTTAACTTCGTGAAAGGTTGTAATTACACACACCTTACATTCCGTTAAATTTAATGTGAAGGGATTATCGATAGGCCCCAACTTTTCCAATAGTCCATGTTATCTCTTCTGCGTATCTTAATAGAACTCTTTCCTGCTACATATTTATCATGAAATAGTAGTATTATATGAGATGATTTTTTTGCCGCCTGCTTCTAATTACATATTACATGTAATTGTGAGGTTTCCAAATTATTTTGTCTTGGAAAATAACAAACAACGTATTTTAGAGAGAATGAGTGTTCTGCTGCTGGAAAAGACTTGAATCCATCAGCCATGCCCACAATACGGTCCTGGATGTACTTGTTGTGGATGGTTTCAGTCTTCTCGGGGGTCAGATGTCTTCGGCAAGTGCTAGTGGAAGGTGATTTGATGTTGGGAGGTCTCTTTCCAATTCATGAAAGTGGCAGATCAGCTCAACAATGTGGGCGGATAAAGGCGGATCAAGGAGTTCAGAGGATGGTGGCCATGTTGTTCGCATTGGAGGAGATCAACACCCGAAACGACATCCTCCCCGACCTCAGATTGGGCGCGCAGATCTTGGACACGTGCTCCGTTGAGACCCATGCCCTCGAGCAAAGTCTACAATTCATCAAGACTGTCCTCAGCAAGTCCAGTGCATTACAATGTAACAATGAAGGGGAACATCAACAGATCATTGGAGTCATCGGAGCTGCTGGAAGTCAAGTCTCAGTGATGGTGGCCTCCATGTTGCAACCATTCAAGATCCCCATGCTGAGTTACAGTTCAACTGGAGTGGAGTTGAGTGAGAAACCCAGGCGAGTCTAATGTCATCTTCAGATTTTTATTTCTATTCAGTCAATTTACAAGGGAAGTACCCCAAGTGCGACGCTCAGATTTTCTTTAAATTTTATACACACGTCGGGTATGGACTAAATATCAATTCTTGAAAGTTTTAGCTCGCGCTTTACGGGCGCCGCCGAGATATCGGACGATTTATGCCGCAGAGAGAGCACGCTAGATGTGGAGAGCGGTCAGAGAGAAAAACGCTTTTTGGCCATAACTTTGGCAGTTTCGTGCGGAAAAATTTGATTTTTTGTAGAAACATTATCCTTTACGGTAGAAATAGGCATGAAACTTTTCGGGCCGAAATTCGGTAAAAAGTCCTAAATTTTCGCCGACTTTCGATCTAAAAATCTCGGTTGCTTCTGCAAAGCGCGAGCTAGGATTCTCGCATATATCTTAGAAAAAATTATTCTAAATTTGTGCCAAGTTTCATCAAAATCTGAGCATCGCACTTGGGGTACTTCCCTTGTTAGTACAGTTTTTATCATACACACACATCGCATTTACGTTTTTTCGTACACATCCCAGCACTTTTTTGCAGCTCTTCATTTTTTGTCGTTGACGCAATTTGATTCATATGTTTTGGCGGGGAAAGTAAATGTTCAAACAACATTCCACTACTGTTTAGCTAAAAATAAGGAAGATGTAACCCTAGACATTTGGATTGTGACTACTTTTTAATTACTCAAAGTGTTTTCAGATTCCAATATTTTTCGAGAGTGGTCCCACCCGACAACCTTCAAGCGAAGGCTATGGCTCATGTTGTAAGTACAAATCGAAGTTATGAAATGGTTTCAAAATATTCGCACGCTTAAGATACAATTTATAAAGTAATTTCTTTAGTTTCACAACGAATGTTTCAGTGACATTTTTTTTCCTTTTGAATATGCGATAACAAAATTTTGTTTTCACGGCGACAAGTTTTAAAAAAAAGCCGTCAGCGAAAATTTTCGGCTTGTGGTGTAGGATCAACGGTGGATAGGTAGATGTAAGGGTAGACACGAGATTAGGAATAGGATTTTATTTAGACAACCACACACGAAAGAAGAGAAAAATGGGATTAAATTATAATAATTGGTGACGAGACATTGCTTTTATATGACTTGGTTTATGCTAATTTCTGTGGGAATTGTGGAGGCTTTTGAGGCTCCACAACACGGCTGATAAAGGGAGAGGGTATGTTACCCCGAGAATAGGTCAGTCCCTGGATAATATAATATTATGGTCAAATTGCCGTCAATATTAGATAAATTGAAAATTCAGATAATCGAAGCTTTCACACCGGAATTTAACATAGACTGTGATTAATGTCGTTAAGGTTAGTGGTAACCAGTTTTACTGCTTATTTCATCGTTCCTAAAAATATTAAATTCTTAGGATTTTTCAGTAAAACTATAAAAATATGTATACCAAAAATGTTAAATTTGATAATCCAAATGACAGAACAATTTGACGTGACCAAAATGACGCCACTTTGACACATGACTGACGCGTCAAGTTGACGACTTAAGGACGGACACAGTCGATTACTGTGAAAATATTAAATTGTAAATTACAGTAGGTTAATGAGAGAATCGGACAAAAATATTTCAGGACTCAGAAATCCGTGTTTTAAATATACAAGATTGTGTTGCAGGTTGCAAAGCTTGGCTGGAATTTTCTCCATGCCGTCGTTGACACAGGATCCTATGGAGAACGTGGAATGGATAGTTTCCGATCAGCTGCCATCGAATTGGGGATCTGCATCGATGGGGAAATCCACAAAGTCAGCAGAAGATGGAGCGACGATCAATTCAAGTAAGATTGTCCATTCCTTATAACCCTTTTCCTTCCATTTTTAGAGATCTCTTAATCCGAATGCGGCAATCGAACAAGGCCCGAGGAGTAGTGATGTTTGTTGATGAAGACAACCTTCGGAGATTCCTAACCAACCTCAAATCCATGATAACCAGTGGAAAACATCCGGAAATGAAGAAGTATTTCTGGTTCATTGCTTCGGATTCATGGGGAATGAAGACGGCTGTCATTCAGGGATTCGAAGATATTGTGCTTGGGGCCATTACAATTGCTCCGAGGATGAGACATGTTCCTAAGTTCAATGAATATTTCCATAATCTCGGTCCAAAGAACACCTTCCTCAGTGAATATTGGAAGTCGATGAACTGCTCGGACAGGATAAATGAGAACTTTGGGAAGTGTTTTAAGTCCGTGAATTACAAATTCAAACAAGAAGCATACGTTCCCAGTGTAGTGGACAGTGTTTACGTGATGGCGAGGGCAATTCACAATTATATTGAGGTAAGTATCTCTTTAATTTTTTTAAAACTTTCTTATGATTACTTCATTTTAGGACCATTGTCATTCGATTGAATGGCAGAGCTGTGCCTTATCTCATATTGGATTTGATGGTGCCCTTCTTCAGCGATATTATCGTAATATATCCTTGGAAGTTGGACATCCACCTCTAATTGATGCGAATGGTGATGGGATCGGACAATATAGTATCTTCCAGTTGGGGAAAGAAGGTGTTTATAGTCCAGTTGGATCATGGAGAACTGGAGTCTTGAGGGAGTTCAACGTGGAACAGGTCCGCAAAGGTCTACAAGTAGGTACCAGCTTATTTTTGATGTTTTCCTCTCAGGACACTGACCTGTAACATCTCATTTTATATAACTTCAGGCGATTGATGGAAGCCGCGTGATTCCGATGTCTGTTTGCAGTGTCCCGTGTGAATTGGGGTATTATAGAGCTTATCAAGATATGGCTTGCTGTTGGACATGCATTCCTTGTGACATATCAACGTCTATCATTGTTAATGAGACTAGGTAACCAAGCCGTCATTTATAATCATTTTTCTGATTTCAGTTGTATTCAATGCCCTCTAGGGAAGATTCCGAATCACCGTTTTGATTCCTGCCGTCCCATCCAGCCGGTCCATCTCCAATGGTCCTCTGTGTGGGCCCTTTCTCCCTCCGTGTTCTCTCTTCTTGGCCTCACTGCCACCATTTTTGTGACCTCAGTATTTGTCCGCTACAACAACACTCCCGTTGTGATGGCTTCCGGACGAGAGTTGTGTTACTGTATGTTGTTTGGTATCGCTCTCTGTTATCTGGCCACCTTCGTGCTTGTCAGCCGCCCTTCCACTTACTCTTGCGCCCTTTCTCGGGTACTTATTGGCCTCTCGATGTGTGCTGTGTATGCGGCCATCTTAATCAAGACCAATCGCTTGGCCAGAGTGTTCAAACCCAGCAGCCCCGTCCGTCCTAAGTTAATATCACCGCCAGCTCAGGTAAGAGTTTATTGCAAAGACGTGTATACAGTAAGATCCTGGTTGTATTTTACAATGAATGGATGCGGAGTTAGACAGCTTCGTCTTCTTCATTTTCGTCTTTCTTTGATTTCTTCTTTTTCACGGAACAGACGATTGTTTTTTGGATCTGAAACAGTCAGTCATGTTATAGTACTGCTGTAATGTTCTTACCTCAGGGGGTTTATCTTCTGCGGCGTTTGCGGCGGCGGCAGTATCAGTCTGAGTGGGTTCTGGGGGTTTGCCCGGATCTTCTGGCTTCGCTGGCTCCGTCGGAGCTTGTACGGCTGGAGTCGAAGGTGCGGAGGCGACCTGGGTGCTGGCAGTTCCAACAGATTGTGCGCAAGGTGATGCCTTCGAAGTGGTGGGCGTGGGTGGCACTTGACTAGCTTTTTTGGACTTACATCCGATCAAAAGGGAGCTCAGACAGACCAAACTAAACACCAGATTGGCTAGCTCGACCTAAAGTATTATCAGGATTCATTTTAGATAAGTGTAGAGGTATTTTGTAAATATCGTATCCTTAACCTACTTACCCAATGGTCTTCTAGAGATATCATCCTGACCTCCGACCGATCTTGGAACCGTTCTTACCTACTAATGGCAACTCCTTTCTTTCTCCGGCATTTAAATTTGCATAAAAATGTTTGCAAAACCGGATTTTTGGGAATTAATCTATTCTGGGGATTAAGTGAAAGAAGGAATTAACTCCGTTAGCATTCTGTAGAATCGAAACGACAAATATTTACGATGCGCCTCAAGACATTTTCTGAATTTAGACAGTACCGAATGGCGGAATAGTGGCACTTCCGGAACCGGGAAAAACAAAATACTTATAAGGCTTATTAGAACTGTCACCTGAACCATCTGAATGGATGTATCGTTATATATGTCTCAGGGCACAGGCAAAAATAGTTTTAAGTCACGATTATTGCACGTGGTGACATATTCGGCCTTGCAATGTTTGAATATCCGAAGCCTTTGCTGCATATCCATGCTGTGTTTAATTACACTACACAATTCCTTTTTAGGTCGCTTTATGCGCCTCAATTGTATTAACCCAGTTATTGGGATCGTTGGTATGGTTGATAATGGACCCTCCAGATACGACAGTTGTATATCCGACAAGAACAAAGGCCGTATTAACCTGCAAAGCGACGTCTTCCCATCTCTTGATATCCCTCGGCTTTATTATGATATTAATTTTGGCGTGCACAATTTACGCATTTAAGACGAGGAAGATCCCGGAGAACTTTAATGAGACCAGACTGATTGGCTTTACAATGTACAGCACCAGTATCCTCTGGCTGGCATTCGGTCCGATTTATTTTGCGACTCAGAATAACTTCAAAGTGAGCTTGATTCCATGGATAAGATGTAAAACGTTCTAGATTCAAATAGCCAGTCTCTGTTTCTGCATATCGATGAGTGGGACTGTTGCCTTGGCTTGTTTCTTCTTCCCCAAGGTATATATTGTCCTCTGGCAGCCTTATAAAAACGTCCGTACTCGACATTCAGCCGTGGGAAAGCTGGTGAATCAGCAAATGAGGTTCATCAGGTTAGTGTTTATGCGTGGCTGTTTGCTTTTTTTTTTAATTTTTACCGTTTTAATTTCACTTTCCCTCCAGTCAAATGACAACCCCTCAATCTTCGCATCCTCCAACTCGAGGGATCCAGGAGATTTCCACCAATTACACCTCCTCTTGTCATGAAAATTACTCCGTCCAGAATGCATCTTCCTGTAAGTTATCCGTTTTAAATACTTGGTTATGATCTTTGACGTTTCTTGTAAGGGCGGAGCTTCCCGGGGACGTACAGTTCTTAACCTACTGGTTTTATTGTCCTATCCCATGGTAAATAACGTCCTCGTACCGATTTTCGTAACCATTTACTTTGGCTCCGGGCGCTCTTTTCGGACTTATATATGCCTTGGGGCAGGATCCTTGGCGACCTCTGGCTAGTCTACACAAAGTCCGGCTGGCACTGTCCCTAGAAATGTTTCGAAAGATTTTGTGTCAATTTCTTGGTGTTCAGCTTGTTAATTTTAAGATTTAAAAATTCATTATGAGTCTGTCAGGAAAATAATTTGGACTTGTCGCAGCAAAATGTCGCTAAACTGGTACAGTCACGCTCCAATTTATGGGCGATTCAAGGGCTTAACTATTCCGAATTATTTTTCCGACTGTTCTGATATGGTTTTTTGTTTGAGTTGATGCTTACGGGATTTTATCAAATTGTAATAAATTTCAGCCGAAGCCAGTTGCACGAATCGTTGCATCTCTCCTCCTCCGCCCCGTGCACCCCAATCCACCCCCGCCCCCCTTTCCGCCCAGCCCTCAGTGAATCCGGATCTAGTCCAGCCGAGCATGACATACACAGTAATTACGAATGTAGCGGCGACTGTCTCTGTTTCTAATGGATGCCCTAAGGGCATGATGGAAGAGGAAGATGGCCTCCCTTCCATTGATTCGTCTTCAGTCAGCTCTGAATCTTTGTCTAATGCCTCAGGGTCTAGTCTGAGGAGAAGATTAATCCATCCGCCTGAGGCAATGTCTCCTCCACCAGTCCAGCTGATCTTAAGGGAAATCAGTGAGAATCCTTTCTCCACTTTTCTGTGAGTTTCTTCACCACCGAAGCAGCATTTTTTCACGAGTATATTCAAAAATTTTGCAGTTTTCCTTAAAATCCGTTATTTCGTAGTTAACGAAAATCTGGAGAAGATTCCGGGAACACCGCGAACGTTTTTGATTTAAATTTACACTGGAAAAATGCTGCCTCGGGTCCTTTAAGATACTGTAATAATTGTACGGTACTCTCCGAGTCTTAATCTAAGTGCCTTCCCAATTCCAAATTCAAACTTCAATTAAACCTCAATCTGATCTCATTTTCAACGTAAAATAACGAGTTGTCTCTCTTTCTCTGGCACTCTCTCCGAGTGACCTCTTATTTCGGGTACAGCAAATGATCTCGGTGAAATAAATTTCGATTATTTTTGTTTCTTGGAAGAGTTGATCTAAATTAACACAAGTGTATTTTAAGAGGTCAACTATCAGTCTTTTAATTTATTTACAATACAAATTCCAACAACTTCGAATCATAAAACGGGAATATAATAACAATGCTGTCGATTTACAAAAATCGGACGGTAAGATACGAGAACTTTACAAAATATGGTGATGATGGTAAATGCCCAGAGAAATACAAATGAATACTGAGAAGAAGGCATAAATATATTAATTATAGCAATATAACCTCTCTCATTTACAACTAGTGTATTTGACACTCAAATATTTACAGTACTGCTTGAAGGATTGCAACAACACAGTCTAAAAGGTAATACTAGACATGAAAAAATAATCGATGTACTTACAGAGACGACTGATATTAGATAAGAGGGACAGAGATCGGATCAAGTGTAATATCAAGAATGGGCAATGCGGGCGGAGGAAAGGCGGAGTTGCAGCTGGCGAATGGCCGCGGTCGCGTTGTAAGCCTTGCGCCATTTTCTCTTGGCCAAGGACTTCTTGAGATGCGTGGCCACCGAGATGTGGATATCCTTGGTCCCGGCGGTGTTTCCGCTGATCCTGCAAAAGAACGACATTACAAACAGCATTAATGAGTAAATAAGGCGTTAATAAAACAAACATACCATGGATGATGGAGAGCAGTACGACAACTGTATCTCTTGGTGGGATCACAACACATCAGATGGCTGATGAAATCCTTGGCACTCTCCGAGATGTCGTCCCAATATGGAGAATCGAATTCGTATTCTCCTTTGATGATCTGAGCAAACAGGTTGGCGTCATTCTCGTCATAGAATGGAGGATATCCACATAGTAATATATAGGCAATCACTCCAATCGACCACACATCCACCGCTTTCCCATAAGGCTTCTGTTGAAGGACTTCTGGCGCTACATAACCGGGTGTTCCACATGCTGTGGCCATGATTCCAGACTCCTCGGTCTTCGAAAGACCAAAATCTGAGATCATAATCTTGGAATCCTCGTCGTTGTTGTAATAGAGAAGGTTCTCTGGCTTCAGATCTCGATGAACGACACCATTGTCATGCATAAAGGCCACAGCTTCGAGGACTTGTCGGATCAGGTTGGAGGCATCCCTCTCAGTGTATGATCCCTTGGCCACAATCCGATCAAACAGTTCTCCACCCGTCACCAACTCCATCACGAGGTAGACATAGCCTTTCTCTTCGAAAGTATCGTATAACTGGACTATATTAGGATGTCGGAGTCTGAAATAATTACTTTGTTATACTATACATGTAATCTGATTGTTAAAATAGTAATCCCCACCTCCTGAGAACTTTGATTTCGTTTTCGAGTGATTCCTCTTTTCCCTTGAGGGCTTTTTTGTCGATGCATTTGACGGCCACCATATGGCCCGGATCAAACCTGCATTCCGCCAGATTTACTCTGGAAAAGGCGCCAGTCCCCAGCACTTCTCTGATGTCGTATTGATCATATAAAGAGCATCCCGAGGGGGACTCGTTGATGCCATTCATCTCGGTTGGAGGCATCTGAATTGGATTCTGAATGACAGAAGTGGTAGGGAGAGAAGAGGGGTCCAGGGCTGGCTGCTGGCTCGCGGGGCCGGGCTGTCGTCGCTGGAAAAGGGGCATGGGCGGGTAGCCGAACACCGCGCCGAACTGGACTGGCGCGGGCGGGGGCGGCGGGACGGAAGCGGACGAATTGCCCGAAGCAAAGAATCCCGCCTGATCTGATGTGTACACGTCGATATCCAGGGCTGGATGTCGCGGAAGACCTTGAACTTATTGCTTTCGATATCTGATGGTATCTGAATTAATATAACATGAACATGCGTCATTTGCAAGCCCGCACTTCGCGAGAAGAACAAGTGTAATGGAAAAAGCAGTCAGACGACCTCAAACTTACATACCAAGAGCGTGTATGCAACATTCTCCAATTATCACGCACTAATAAAAACCAGGAAAAGTAAGGCCCGCGATAATTGGCAGATTACACATAAACCGAAAGCAATTATGATGCAAAACGCGATTTTACTTCGAGACAAGCACGCGAGCAATGCCGAGAACAACAGAAAATGAATCCTGCAGATTTTGGAAGCCCTGGGGTGATTAATCCCCGAGAATAAATACAAATCCAACCATAAATACCTCAGGTCCTAAGCCTTCAAATGTCTAAAACCTTGCGTCCCGCGCCTTGTCGGGCATGTTTAATTTGTCGGAGCCCCGTCGAAATCCCTTAAACCGAATAAATTCCCCCGAAAGTGGCAAAGCGTGTAAAACACACTACTAGTTTAGAAGGGTTACTTCTGAGCGGCGCAAGGGTTGTGTAAGGCCATGCCTTCTTGGCCAGGTGCTATACCGGAAAGGAATTGGAATTATACAAGAACGTCGCCAAATCTGCGTCAGAAATGGTGTTATCCCCTGACGTCAATGGATGAAACAGAATGGAGCCGGGGATTTAGACCGGCTCTCTCTTCGCCCTAATCCCCCATTACACTCATGTTACATCAAAATATATTAATGTAGTCAATAATAGGTTCCGTGGATGTCATCAGAGACGCTACATTTAATATTCATGTCGTTGAACGTTGATTGAAGTGCAAAGAAACCCAACACCAACTAAAAACCACCCGGAAAACCTCGGGAAAGTTAAAGAAATCTTCACGTAGGAATATCAGACTGTACTTTACTCCACTCCTAAAAAACGTTTCATATCAAAGGACAAGTTGTTGGGAAGAGATTATCTTTATCACTGACAATCCATGAACTCTTCAAGTACAAGGAAATTAAATTGCAAGGAATGGTCTTTAAAAGTAATCATAACTTTCAAGGGATCCGCAATAAGTTTCGGAAATAAAACAGCTTCGATTTAAAGGAAAGACATTAGTTACTAAATTCGAGAAAAAGTTCTCGGAAGAAGGGATACTGTAACACTTAAGTTAAGTAAATTGAATGTAAGCCCGAAAAAATGGAAATTTATTTGTAAAATTGAATAAACCGGGTTACATTTGTGTAGAAACAGGGCAGTAAATATATTCTCATGACTTAAAAACCTATTATTTACATGCAAATCGATCGTTTAAAAGAGTATTATTGGCGTGTAAAGTTATATTACCGACTAACACGACCTCTTCTCATTAAAAGACGAACTTTCTGGTTACTTGGAAAAGAGAATACTTCCATAAAATATGGCCAACTGCTTCGATTACTGGTTGACTCTACTCTTATCTCTCGCGGGGAAAACAAAACACGAGAATTTGTATAACCCAGTAATCACAAAATAATAGTGATTATTGATATTTAAAAAGTAAAGCAAGTGAAACCAAAAATCCCTTCAGATCGTATCTTTGCGTATCTAAAATAATGTAAAAGAAAGACGTCAATGCAATTACGGGAATGTATCCCTCAAAAAAGCCCTCGGGCAATGTTGACTTGGACTGGTTGTAAAGTGGATTTAGTAATTAATTGTAAGTCCGATAATAACTGACGTCCTCAGGCTAAATCCCTTTGCCGGATACGAATTACCTCATTTCCATCTTAATCTGGCCTTAATTAGAAGTCAATAATTGTTGTAATCAACTCTAAGAGGACTAAAAATGATGATAAACAAATACTAACGTTGTTTGCACAATCAAAACGTCGTAAAAGTTACAAAAATACGATCCAAGATAGTAAACTGCGATATTGTACTAGATCGTACTCTGACCCTATTATTTCCTTGGAAATTACTCTCGCCGAACGTGCTAAGCGTAGGAAAATGGGGCCAAGAACGGGGGCCAAATGGGAAATAATGCGAGAAAACCCTGAATATGGATGAATGTAACAGAACAAGGGCGCCGGAGGGGAAGATAATCTCTTTTTCGGCCCGGGCCAGATGATAGTTTGTCCCACAAATTTTCTCGAGCGAAAAAACGAACGGCATCATGGAGTCGTGGCCTCGCGAAAAAACAAACCCATTAATAAATTGGACGGGGACCAGTTGATGAGTGCACATCTACATAAACTACTACAAGATGGGCTAAGTAATTACCCGAAATGATTAAAAAACCAACTGGAAGGACGATCGGGGGACTAGACATGGAGGTAGGAAGCAAATTTAAAGTAAGTCAAATACAAGGAAATATCTTCTTATGACTCGGGGCCCCTCCCTTAACATTATTAGATTTCTCGCTTTTCGGCCGCGCAAACTTTTCACTGTTCAAGAGCGATGTGAAAGTAATGTAAAAGTAACGTCAAGTGATATGAGAGAGGCTGCAGATGACAGCTGGATTCGCGGAAGAGGCGGATATTCATTAAAGAAGGCCCTCCGGCCATGACTGGGAATGACCGATAAGTACATCAGGGATACAAAAATAACCGATTTCTGCTATACAATCGCGCTAAATGAGTACTCAAATACTATAATGGGACTACGAACTGAAGGGTTTCGAAAGGACAGCAGATTACTAAAAATACAACCAGCTATTTCCCAATCAAAAATAACAAATCGATGGTCGTAAGGAGTAAAGATAATGCAAATAAAGTATTCAGAAAACAATGCTTGATTAATTTAACAGGAGTGACGGATATCTTTTTAGGCTGTTACTTATCACAATTTGAGCCCTAAACAAAGCAAAAGAAGAGAGCTCATCAAGCAATCTTCTCCTAACCAGGCCCAAATGACCTAGTTCTGAGCAGTGCTGCATAAGTGCCGAATGCAAAAGCCTACGGCAGTTTTCGCGAAAGAAACATAGTTGGAAATAATTAAACACGCGTTAACCAAACACCTGGGGCATTAAGAAGACAAACTTTATTTTTATTTTCACCTAAACCAACTAATATCGGGAAGAAAGCCTGGAGACAGCGCCACTCTTTTCGTGAGCCAGAAAAACGTTGCACTTTGTCTGAAAGGAAGAACTGAGGGTGAAGGATGGCCGGAGAGACAGCAGAGGCACAGGAAGAATAAGAAATAGTGCCACGAGTGAGGCCATAATCCCAAGGACGGCCGGAAAACGGCCGAAAGAGCGGTTTGCGCCGCGGGCCCTGCTCGACTTTTGAGGCCCCGAATTTCGAACCAAAATACCGGAGAATTTATTTAATAAATATTAAAACAGGAAGGTTTGATTAATTGGATTACTTGGCCTTACGGTAATCACGAAAGAAAAGTGACAGATGGAACGGCGTCGGAAGGAAGGGGAAATGAGTCCGGAAAAAGATAATGCCCTTAAGGTTTAGTCCCAGAAAACCCCAAGACTTCAGATTCCCCACGATGGCTATTAATTTCGAGTAGCGATTACCTCAGCTAGCAATTTCATGGCGAAACCACCCAATTTGGCCCAATGGATGCCCTTAAGGCAAAAACAGAATAATTATCAAAAAAAAAGTCAAGGACAAATCTATTAAATCGTACATCTTGACAAGAATAGGGACCCCGAAAGAATAGCTAACAACGAGAAAAGCTGTCAAATCGCCTAACCAAGGCATCAAATCCCTCCTAATTAACGAAAATTGCTCGTAACTGGTAAAGTCTCAGAAATATAGCATACACGGAACTTGGACCGGTCTTCTCAAAAGTCCAAAAGTCAGCGCAAATGAATTTTTGCCCAAGGGCAAATAACCCAGGAAAACCCAAAAATCGAAAAGTAAACAGGAAAACTTTCGAAATATGTCAAAAGTGTAGACAAAGAAAGGGATCACAAGTTGAGGGGTCCCGGCCAAAGAGACTGCATTATCGGTGGCCAAAAAAGGAAACAGAAAACTCGAGAAAAGGGCTATTTCTCGCTCCTGTGCGGCCTCGTTTTCGGCCGAATCCGTTCGGATTTGTGTTTGAGAAAGCCGAGAAACGGGCCGGCCTCAGAAGACGAAACTCATGGCCACATTCCCGGGAATATGCGGCCCAGGCCAGGTCGGCCATGTATAATCGCTGACTGGATCAGACTCGAGGGTGTTGTGGACCAAATCAGCCATGCGCTGGGTCCACCCCTCTGCCTCGAGGCCCTCAGGTAATTGAGTCCCCTCACGTGAAAACACCTCCGGCAAATAATTCATGCACCAGGAAATCTGAAGCCGAAGCTTCCAGAAGGGGCACGGATTACACTTAGGGATGTAGAGTAAACTTGGGGATTAAGAGTTTCAAACAGGCAGAAACGGGGCAGATTGGGACGGCATGCATTATTCAAATATCGAGAGTATACACCTTTCTATGGGGACCTCTAATCCGATTTGTTTCGTCTAGAGTCATAATCTTCCCAATTCGTTATAATAATTGATTACGTCTCCAATCGCATCAACGAAGACGTATAAAATAATAAACCGCTTAAGGATGCTCTTCAAAGTACTAAAAGAACTGTAAATTCATTTACAAAAGCGAGATGACAGCGTTCCGTGAACATAAAGCTAATTAAAGTAATCAGATTTCGGATTCAAAGCGGCGCAATACCTGTGTTATTTAACGGCAAAAACAGAAACAAAATGCATTACTCTAATGGATGACACAACTAGGGCAAGCTCCTGCTCACAATCTCGTATTTATTAGGGTGGTCCAAAAGTCTTTTCGTTTTTTTTGTTAAAACTTTAAACATAATTTTACAACAAACGAAAACTAGTTAAGTTTCGAAGTAAAGGCCGTTTGAATCTATGGCTTGAACCCATCTATCGGCAAGTTGTGCGATCCCGCTGCGGTACCGCTCCTTGTTCATAGAGGCGAAAAACTCGCGGCACCCGTTTTCGACATCGTCCAGATCATTGAGGCTACGACCACGCAGAAAGTGTGCCATGGAGCGAAAAAGGTGATAGTCGTGTGACACAATGTGCAGACTATTCGCTGGATCTGGAAGAAGTTCAATGGCGTCGAGAGTTTTGGTTTTTTCCTTCGTTTGTTTGGCGGTGCGAGGTTTTGCGTTGCCTTGTTGCAGGGGTACGCGGGTTTGATTGATCAAAGCGGGATATTTTTTGCCAATCGCTGCATACATTCGATCGAGTGGAGTGTAGTAGAGGTCTGCGTCGCTAGTCCGACCATTTGGCACGAAGTCGAAGTGAATTACGCCTTCAAAATTGCTTTTTAAGACGTCTTGCCCTCGAGGTCCGTGTCGCCGTCGTTGAATCGTTTGAACCAATCGCGCAGTACGATCTGAGACCACATTGTAGCCTTCAACTTCGCTTATCTTCTTTGCTGCTGCAGTTGCGTTGAAGCCTTGTTTTCGGTAATAACGTAAAAAAACACGAATTTCGGATTTTTCCATGTTTTTTCTACAGCTTAAAAGATTTTAAATAAAAGACCAATTAAAATTTTTAAAGGACCACAAAAGGTATTTTTTGAACCGAAATTTGCTCGGCTAAAAAATTGACTATCAGGGATTTTCGCGTCGAGAAAATTCCGAAGAACAAATGTTCTCGATTTTTTTCGGATAAGGAGATTTCCGGAGTTTTTGTTCTGACCTCCCTGCAGGCATTCCTGGACATCGGCTGGCAATGTGATTCGATAAAATGGAGGATCATCCCTGATTCTGCAGTCTCAATTTGGACCTCCACCTCGAAAAGTAAGTTAATATTTTAGTGTTTTTGGCTATTTTAGGTAATTTTTAAGGCGGTGAAGCACGAAAATGAGTTTAGTTCCAAAATTAGCCACCCAGGAGTGCTGGTGGTCGAGTTTTTGGGAACATCGAGTCAAAAATTTGGACCAGGATACCTAGTATAATATCGTTTTTTCCAGGTATTGAATCCAGATGCAGCCAGACGGCTCAAAGTTGCGCTACGAGGGCACACTAAAGCCTACAAATAGATTTTCGACGGGTATAAACCAATGGGAATTGAATATTCGACGTGATGTCAAATCAAAAACGTAAGAGTTTTACTTTGTTCTGCAGTTTAGGCCTGGAAATGTTTGATTTTTGAGCAAGCCAATGGGGTAAGCTTCCTAGTGATGCTCTGTGGAATGCGGTTGCTCCATCTTGCGCCATCCCAGACGGCTAACCATGATCAATGTGTAACATTATTTTTTCAGGCTAGCGCGCTCCACGACCGCAAAGCTTCGACTATGAGAAAGTTTAGACAGAACGGACAATACGAAGATCTCATCGATGACAAGGGCAAATTCAATTTATCATTTCTTTTAAATAGTAACAAAAATACTTCTCATTGGTAAATAATAAATATAATAACGCAATTGTAGCTGCAGGGACTTTTGAATCCACCAGAATTGTTTTGTTGAGCCCTCTAGACTCGGCTGGCGGGCATTGGTGCCGGGATTCCTGAAAATAGTACATTACGTTAGGCGTTTTGGTCAATTTTTTGTCTCAATCTTCTCAAAAACTCGTTATTATTACCTAAAATAGCCAAAACCACTAAAATATTGACTTACATGTTCTTTTCGAGGTGGAGGTCCAATTTGATACAGGGATGATCCTTCATTGTGTCGAATCCATAGGTCGAAACTCTTACGTTTTTGATTTGACATCAAGTCGAATATTCAATCCCCATTGGTTTATACCCGTCGAAAATCTATTTGGAGGCTTTAGTGTGCCCTCGTAGCGCAACTTTGAGCCGTCTGGCTGCATCTGGATTCAATACCTAGAAAAAACGATATTATACTAGGTATCCTGGTCCCAATTTTTGACTCGATGTTCCCAAAAACTCGACCACCAGCACTCCTGGGTGGCTAATTTTGGAACTAAACTCATTTTCGTGCTTCACCGCCTTAAAAATTACCTAAAATAGCCAAAAACACTAAAATATTAACTTACTTTTCGAGGTGGAGGTCCAAATTGAGACTGCAGAATCAGGGATGATCCTCCATTTTATCGAATCACATTGCCAGCCGATGTCCAGGAATGCCTGCAGGGAGGTCAGAACAAAAACTCCGGAAATCTCCTTATCCGAAAAAAATCGAGAACATTTGTTCTTCGGAATTTTCTCGACGCGAAAATCCCTGATAGTCAATTTTTTAGCCGAGCAAATTTCGGTTCAAAAAATACCTTTTGTGGTCCTTTAATATATATTATGATAAAGCAGCTCAAGACCTTTAAAAATATATATAATACATTCATCTAAAAGTCTTTATTTTGTACAAAAACAATTGGACAAAAAGACACCTGAAAAAACGAAAAGACTTTTGGACCACCCTAATATTTACACTTTTAAATCTTTGGATATTTCGTGCAAACAAATAAATAAAGGGTAAACTAAACATAGCCGCCGCCCTTTGTTGAAATAGGACTATAGTGATGTCATTAGAAAAGGAAGGAATTATAATGAGATGGGGAAGAATTGGATTAGACACAGAATACCCAAATTCGGCGGGTTTTACAAAAAAAGGCCCTCAGAACGCTTAAATAAATAATTGAGTGTGATTACCGCTTTATTTAAATATTTGGAAAAATTCTTGCATGAGAATTAAAACAAGTTTTTTTCGAAAACTAATCCAGGGATAATTGTTAAGAAATATGCCCACAAATTTCTACAACCTTGCCCCCAACGACATGCCCCCAAATAGGCGTGCAGAAGCTGTCCCCCAAAATATTTCCAACATGCCCAAATATACAAAAATTACAGTGGGAGCTATATTTCACCTCGGACTGAAAAATTTTGAAATTCGCAGTGTTGATTAGGTTAAGTAAAATTTCCAAGTTTGTGACTAATTGACAAATGTTGACTTATTACGTAATCACCACTGCGAAATTTTGTGTGATTACCACCCTAAAATCACACCAATTTTTGCATTTGGAGGCATATTAGGAATATTATTTTAAAGACACAAATTTGGGGGCATGTGTTTGGGGACAAAATGATAGAAACTTGGGATCAACCACTACCACTGCGTTGTCCTTAATCCAGTGTCTGGTTTTGAGGATTTAGATTGCGTATGTGCATGGTGCGTATTTGTATTACTGAATTTTTGAGGGTCTCATTAATTGGCAATCCTGTTCATTTCAGAATAATTAAGAGCATGTCGCCTGTTGCCAGCATTTCCAACTGGCGTTCCAATGTCACAAAATTTTAACTTTCCCGGAAAAAAGGTACAATACGAGTTCAAATGAGTACCCGCAGACCGTTTAAAAATGTAAACACTCATGCAAACACGTTCTCTTAACATTTATTATTGATGTTTTATTTTGTTGTCAAATGAGGTTTGGAATGAAACAAGCAAGGCCTGCAGGCAATCCAACTAACAACAACTACACAAAATTTTGATAATATTCCGGAAAATATTTCATCGGATTTAATAATTCAATCCCTAACGGCAGCAGCCAAAAATAGCACTAGGATGGCACCAAACATCAAGAGCAGCAGCCGTATGAACATTTTCTCCATTGCCGGGTTGTCAATGTGACATTTTTGTCAGGAATTTTCCTAAATATGCCTCTTCGAGGGCGCTTTCTACCGTAATCTCCCGACAGGGAAAGAGTATAAAACTAAAAAATGCTGTTTTATTTATAAAAGTTAAGTACTGGTAGCACAAAGCATGCATCTAAACAAACGTTAATTTCTGTGTTGCACTGCTCTGCAAGACTCTTTCTTTAAATACACAAGGCAATCGCAGTATACAGTGAGGGACGGGATCCAATGGCAAAAAAACGACTCATTTTGCATCCTGGAAGGGACCAAAATGTCTCCAAACCCTTCCCTTCTCTAAGCTAAAAACCCCGATTTGAAGAGCCCGCCTTGAAGGAAAGGGCGCGCTTTTCAAAGCGGATTTTTTTCGCTTAGAGAAGGGAAGGGTTTGGAGTCATTTTGGCCCCTTCCGGGATGCAAAAGAAGACGTTTTTTGCCATTGGATCAGGTCCCTCACTGTATGTTTACAGACTTTGCAACTACTCCGTTCGCAACATTTCAAAGCTCATCTTTGAACTCGAAATTGCAAATTTACGTGTTGGATTTCCGAAATGAAAAAGATTTGTAATTCCCGAAGGACCCATACCCTCCGGCACTTGTCCTTATCTCATCTCCCCGACCCCGTCTAATCTCCGCTGTAAACAACAATAGATCTAATCCTAATTATGTATGCAAATGCGCCCATAAAAGGGACTCATCCCTCTCCAACCTTTTCTAGTCATCCCATCTCCACCATGCCTACTGGATGCAACAAACCCTGGCTGATCTGTGCGGTCTTCTTCTTTGCAGGTATCTAAAATCATAAAGACTAATGATCTCAGTGATCATTGTAGGGTTGGCTATAATGGTAAATGCAATTCCGACGGCTTCCGGACCTGGGAAGACCGAGCCGGATGAGAGGATCAGCTCTCACGTACTTGATATATCCAATGGAAGCCCAGCAAAAGGCGTCAAATTGGTTAGCTTTAAGTACAACGACAGTACCCAGAGATGGGTGGAGCTGCGCGAAACGTGAGTTCATCTTATAATTATATGCCCACAATCCATTTATAATACTCGGACAAACAGTGTAGCCTCAGAATAATATACTGTCTTCGAAAATATAATTAAACCTATTATTATTGTAAATTCGGACAGACTAATTGGCGAGTATATTAACTTACGCCGAGAGAGCCAGCCTTCTGCGCTCTTGACATTATCCTGAACGCCTATTAAGGTTACATCCAAAGGCACTGTCATCCCAAGTTAGGAAACCTTCCCTTCAGTCTAATAAGATTAAATGATCTGTGAAATAGTATAATGACGATTAACCTTAGAGTAACTGATGCGAATGGAAGAGTAAATTCAGTCCATCCGGGTCTACCATTGGACACCGGAATCTACAAGATCACTTTCCATGTACAAGAATACTTCGACAACCTCAATCAATCTACTTTTTACCCGCAAATTGATGTGAGTACTACACTTATTTTGTTATCTTACTTTAGGTGGTGTTCCGAGTAACCGATGCCAACCTCAAACTGCATGTCCCTCTGACATTGAGCAACTTTGGATACTCGACCTACAAAGGCCAATAGAATCGATCTTTGATAAAAAAAAATCTTGCGCTTTATCTCTTACGACATTTATACGAATAAATATCAACGTTAGAATACATAAATAAACTCGTTGGAGTGGAAAAAACCGTTATGGGGACATTTAAAAGGATGGACCGTAGAAAATAACAAGAAATAACCAAGAAAAAGAAATAAACATAAACGACTTGTACAAAAAACTATGTTTGGGCGAAATGGAAACAGAAAACAAAGATAACACTGAATATGCACAAAATAACGATGAAAAATAAAAATAAGGTCAATGGAGTTTGAGAAAAAACTATGAGCTAAGATGAGTTGGAATAAAATATGCTTCGATGGGGATTACTTCTGAAGATAAGACCAATCTGCCAAAGACAAGCGCGGAAAAGTTTGCGCGTTCCGGTAATTTCTAAAACAGCCGTATACACCATGAGTAAAATCAAAGTCTTACCGTTCCTTCTCGTGAACTTTGAGATGGGTTTTGGCATGACTGTGATGAGCAAACAATCTACCGCATATTGAGCAAGCAAAAGGCTTCTCCCCCGTGTGCTTTCTTCTGTGAACATTCAGATTCGAATTAGTCGAGAACGACTTCCCACATTCCTCACATGAGAACGGACGTTCTCCATTGTGGATCCTAAGATGCCTCTTCAGTTTCGGCATCGTCACAAATCTCTTTTGGCAAACATTACATGAGAATACTGGCGGCGCATGGGTGATATGATGATACCTTAGAGAGCGCTGTCTTTCAAACATTTTCCCACAATTTGGAAAAGTGCATTTAAACTTTTTCAGGATGGGAGTCTCGGAAGCGACAGGAAGAACAAATCCTTCTCCAGATCTTTTGATGACCGTGCCCTGCAACATAGACGAAGAAGGCTCGACCTCGGGGAATTCGGAATGGAAGTCATCGTAGAAGGGCTCCAACTGAGGCTCCAGTTCATTGTAATCATCGAAGTGGGCTCTAAACGTGTTAACTCCTCAATAAGCTGACACTTACAGTCGATCCTCGTTCTCAGTACTTTTGTACAAATCCATTTCACCAGCATGTTCATCTATAATACCATTGCTAGCAGGTTCCTCCATTCGTTGGCAGAGGAAGGGATCTGAAGCCAAATCCGTGGACGCAGCCAGAGGTTCGTCGATGTTGGACTCCACCTGATGCCTCTCTGTGGGAACTGATTCCTTAATTCGGGGCTTGTCATACAGAATCTGGATTGTTATAGGATTGCCAGCATTCATGAGCAGAGAATCCATTGGAATCGCCAGATATTTGACAGATGTCGCCGATGGGGTGTTGAGGGGGATATCGCTTGGCAAAGGTTTCCGGATTACTGCAGCCGGATGAATAGACTTTTGTGAACGCGAATGCTGAAGAGTAAACACACTTCTAGATTTTGTTTTGGAATTGTAAACGAGTCGTCCCGTCGAGTCAGCAGGTGTTAACTGCAGAGCATGAAGCATCCCCTAAAACTTGGCATTCATATCAACAAACCTAACTTCAAAAGTATATCAATGTTAAAGAAACATTATATAAAAACAGATTAACTAAAAATACATGCTTTATTAATAAATAATTGACAAAATAAAGACTATTGTAATCGGTATTCAAGTGAGATATTCGTAAGAGCGAGAATGGAATGACTAAGAAAAGAAAATGCGTTAAAAAATACCCTTAGGACAATATACTTTGAAGGTTAATCCTTTTTAGTTCTTTTGAGGCAAGAGTTTCACAAGCTGAGCCAAATCTTCAGCCAGGGATTGGCCTAGCTGTTGGTCGTGGCATTTACAGGATATCGAACAGATAGATTCCTAAAATTTTAGAAAAAATTAACTTGAAATTTTTAAACTGGCCTTTTGTTTTAGTAGAACACATATTGGTTTGCCATCGAAACTATGTGCATATAAAGTGGCGGCATCTTCGGTCTTTTCAACAACTGAAACAATACATTATACCATATTATATCAGGTCATTCAGGGTCGACAAAATTTTCTTTCCACGTCGGATTTCGGTAAGGCCAAGAACGGGTTGCCAAAAATTTCATTCCACCTTGGCTTGTAACTCATGAGCCAGAGGGCGGTAAGACATGATTGTAGTATCGCTGTATTGTGACAATCTCCCCTTTCAATATTTATCCCATGTTTACAAGTTTTCGACCATACCGCCCTCTGGCTCACGAATTACACACGTCTTAACCCAGCGGTTCCTGAGACACGAGGCGAATAGAAAATTTTTTCGGCCGGTATAAATAAAAACATACCCGAGAAGTTAGATTCATTGGTGATTCCATCAACCACCTCGAGGAAATTCCTTTTAGATTCTACTGATGGACTAGCTGAGCTAAGCAATTCCCCACTGCTGATCATGAATTCGAACGAAGAACTAAAATACAATCATTAACGCTAAATGAAAACCCACTTTCCAATTGTCGCAAATTTCAAGAACAAGATACTTTTGATCTCCAATCTGAAGTCCAATTTTTCTGTTACAGTATCCCTGCCTTCTTCAACCAAATAACTTATTGTGCACCGCACCCTGTGGGTTTGATGTGGATTCTTTACATTAAGATGTAACCCATGCTGATTTGAGGACCTTGGTTGTAACTCAAATGGTAGTTTCAATGTCCCCTCTTTCTTAGAATCCAGCGACACGGAGTCAGATTCCAAAACAAATACTTCGATCATCTTGATCAAATCATTTCCTTTGTTTTCGATCCGCAAAGTTATAGTCACCTTCTGATGTTCCAATTCTCCAATTTGAATAGAAGAATCGACTGCCACTCGTTCATTAAAGCAAAGTTTTTTGAACGAATTGTCAAAGGATACCGGTAGAGTATTAGGTTTGACCATTTCATCCGAATTGAAAACAAGGATGTCCTGAACCAAACATATTAGTTAACCGTTAAACTTTCTAAGCGTTTTAACCCCGTCCAAAGATCATAATCACATACCTCAACACTTGTCTTGCCCTTTCCTTTATCACTTCTTTTCGGTTTCTTTGAATCTTCATCAATGGCAGTGTAAAGATTCTCTTCCTTTATTTTTTTCTTCTTCTTTTTGCTCTTTTTCTTCTCTTCAACTGGTTCCGTTTCTTTTGTCTTCTTTTTCTTCGATTTCTTCTTTTCTTCTTTGTGACCACCATTTTCCTTATGTATTCTGAATGCATCAAACGATTCTTGTTCAAATGCCCTTGGCCGTTCGTAAGGCTTAGGGGCGAACAATCTCTCATCATCTCTCAAAGGAGCATCCAGATCCATATCGAGTGCCTTGAACTCATTCGAACGTCCATTCTAAAAACAATGGTAAAACTTTATTTACGCTTACCACTTCCTTTTCATCATCACTACTTAGTGCGTTATCCGGCATCTCCCCGTCATCTCGGTTTACGTTATGAACAACCACGGCATCATCTTCTTCCTCAGAACTGGAGAGAACCGAGAGATTTTGCATTTTGGATTTCTTCTTCTTGGTTCCCTTCTTTGTTTTCTTCTGTTTCTCCACCTTCACCGTCTTCCATGACATTGTCGAATTCTGTTGTTCCATGTATCTAAACATCAAAACAACTCAAATTATTCAAATAACCACACCTATCCATTCCAATTACTCCCGGAATTTCCAAAGGGCTCTGGAGATCTGACGGGTCTTGATACTTCGCCCTCTGTTTCGACACTTGACTCAGTTGACTCTGATTGGATTGGCTCTTCTGAATCGGCTTGGTGACGGCTTTCATGTAATAAGGATTGTTTTCTTGTTCAAATTGTCTTCTCTTTTTTCCTTCTTCAATTTCTTTCTGGGTCGCCGTCTTTGTCAACTTCCCATTCTTCGGTGTTTCCTTTTCTTTTTCCTCACCTTCAGAGCTTTCCAGATAAGATTCAGCGGCTAATGCAAACTGGCGACGAGCTGCATCGATGGTCGGGACCTCATCTGCATCTTCATCATCCGAATCGGTTTCCACCAAAGGCTCCACAATCCAGGCGTCCAAATCAAGGCTAAAAATTCCCATAATGCGATTAGAAAATCTTTGACATACCCCTCTGGCAGCGGAACTTTTCTTTGGGCTTTCGAAGCCACCGGATTCAGTTCACCTTCGAATAATGCCGCGAATGATTCACCGATCTTCTTCTTCTTTATATGTTCAGATTCTACGAATTTAAGTAGATGTAGAAGATTACAGGCCCGTTCTTGTGCTTCGAGATGATCAGAATATTGAAATTGAGGTAGTTTTGACAGCACCAGATTATCGAGACTCTCAATCGCGTCCCAGTCATCTTCCTTCTCGTATTGGAGTAATAAAAAGGCATACAATTTGGCAATGTTTTGAATGTAAACACTTAGAAGATCTCCGGGCACCAGGGACACTTTGGTCTTCAACATGGATTCAAGGACCGACATTATGTCATTTACATGTCTAAAATACTTTGAGTACAGTATGAAATAGATGCAAACCCAAAAACCAAAACGACAAACTCACTCTGCATATTCACCGCAAATCCATGCCGCTGCCAACAACACCGCCGAGATGTTATTCCTTTGGGCAGAGTTGGCCGACAAAAGAAGATGAGCATTTTCCACCAACAAAGCCATTTGAGATACCGAGTAATGTCTAATAGACTGGACTCTGACTGTTACATCTTGGATCTAAACAGCCACCCATTAAATAAAAGCAAATACTTACCTGTTCAGCAATCAACACTCCGTGTTTGGACCCTTCGACCTTTGTCAATTCAACTAATACTGATATGTACCATTCAAAGTTAGTAATATACTGATAATTCTTATGAGAACAAATAGAAATGATCCTGGCCAGCAATTCGTCTCTGTAGAATGCCCCTTCTGCTTTATCCACATGATCCATCAGCTTCCGAACAATCTCCATTATATTCTTCTTGGAAACCATACCGTATAAAAGATCTAGCGCTCTGGAAAAAAAGAAATAAAATGAGAATAATGCTACTCTTTATCAATGTTGAGGAACATACCGAAGTCTAATACTCTCGTCTTTGTCATCCAAACATCTTAAAACAATATCTTTATGTGCTTGAACAGCTTTCGGATGAGTCAAAAGAATTCTTCCCATAGCCAGAAGTCCAAGGTATTTCAAATTCTGATCCGAATCTTCGATCAGCACACCCAGTTTTTGCACACATAACTAAAACGAACAATTTCACATTCAAATTCACTTACCTGTATTGACGGAGTGTAATCCCCGGGACCTTCAGAAGAGATACTGATCAATACCGCGATCACCGTGTTGATACATTCGTAGAGTAAAGACATCGCCGATGTACTATAATACAAGACGCATAAAAACGAGCAAATAACCTACCTGTTAATCAAAGTAGTAAGTGGTTCCAATAACTTTTTGCCCAGTCGAGATTCCAACGGCACTAAAGACCCGAATAGTTTGATTATCTTAATCAACATCCAGTTATTTGAGCTTGTAGTCATCAATTTAAAGAAAAGCGGGGCCAAACTCAGGTAATTTCGAGGGTTCTTCCTCGCCAATTCGCATATTACATTAACTGCAGCACTTTGGACTCCTAAACACAAATAAATAACCAAAAATTAATTTCTACCTGGATCAGAGTCCTCCAATTTCTCCTTTAGCCGAGAAAACGTTGGTCGCAAACTCTCTGGATACTTTAAGAAGATCTTATATAAGAGTAACACCGCTTTCTTCCTCACGTAAGGTCTACTTGACGTCAACTAAAAAAATAAATAAAATAAAACGTCCTGGTCTTACCAAGTTGACAACATCATTAACCAAATCTCTCGACAAATCTGATGTAGCAAAACAGGCAAGACCACTCAGTGCGACTCCACAATCATACATATTACTGCTTTGAAGGTCCTTTCGGATCATATTCGTTGTCAACATTAACACGTCTGTCTCGTCATTAAAACATTGAGTGGCGGTTAGGTATCCAATCCTCTTCTCACTGTATTTGGTAGAAGCCATAACCTCTATGATGTTAAAAGACGCCCAGCTGATGTCATACCCAAGCATTTGTAACTAAAATAAAACTCTGAACCAAAACTACTTACATATGCGAGCTTCTCAATCGCATTGGCTTTTATAAATGGGGAATCTGTTCGGAGCTCGGTCTTTATCTCCTCCATACAGGCAGCGATATATCGTCCCTGAAGTAGTTGACATAAATATTACATTGAACATGTTCTTTAAAAAATTGCAAGAAATCTCACCTCATTTTCCTTATTATTCCTAATTCCTCGGATAAGGTCTGTCAAGTTTTTGTCGAATAGACGGTCGATATTATTCCTGACCTTTCTAAGTGCCATCGCCACAAAAACAAATTAACTTAACCAGGTCTTAGAATTTCTATTATCTATCTTCCAACAACATTACAGATTGTCTGTTCGTCAGATGGATGCCGAAAATAGGAATAGAGGGCCAAGTCTCTCCTTTTGCGTGCCCAACAAGAAAACCAATGCCCTGCGGCAGCGGATTTCTGGCTCCGAACAAGGAAAAGAGAGCCTTTTGTGAAAGAAAAATGGTGAAGTTCAAAAAACTTGTTAATTTAGAAATGTAAATAAATTACTTCCGATAAAAGAACACCGTTTGAAAAAGAGAACACGGTCTGTCCTTGTTTTATTGATAAAATTTTCGATTTTCATAAATTGTTGAGAAATCAATAAACACGGGTTTTGACATTCCGTTCAATTATGGAGATTTAGTTTCCACCGGAAATGGAGGTTTCTCAAATTTCTGCGAGGATTTTAGAGCAACAAGCGTACAATATTTTACTTCACCTTTCATTGAAATAAACCTTCATCACACTTTATTCTCAAAATAAAAACACCGTTGTCAAATATTTACTTAATTATTAGCTTTAGGATGATTACATCGCTCAAAAATAATACAAGAACAATCTACTAGACTAAGGTGAAGGACAACAATAGAGCTGTGCCAGTGAAAGAAACAGTTGTTAGTTTAACCACAAGACCCGATCAAAACGATAAATCCGTTTTTAGATTTGAGAATTCGTTGAAACAGATCAGAAGAAAAAATTACCCACGGAACGACATAAGATACGAGAATGAGCAGAGCACGATGCAAATGACTTGTAAAGCTACGAAATTTATAAAAAAAAGACCAACAATGTACAAACGTTGATTGATTAACGACGAACCGGTGGTTGGGGTTGCCGGAATGGCTGCCCTTCTGCGAAATTCGGAGGGATCATCACAAAACGTTGATTCATGAAGAACTTCGTCGTCGAATTGTGAAGTATGTTGGCTAAAGGTACGAATAAATAGTATTCCAGCTACTTACAATTCCCATTCTCAACACTACTTCCATTCGTGTCTTCAGAATCCGAAGGAGGTGTAATTCCGGAGTCTGTCAACGGCGTCCTGCCAATCCCAGAGTCCGAATCATCTGATATTGTTATCAAATCGGAACTTTCCATTGGAAGGCCGGATTCGAAACTACTTGATCTTCGTCCAGACATCGGATGGCTTTGAGGATAAAAGTAGTCTGACTCATTTTGCTTCTGCCCATGGAACACAAACACTCGATTCATTTTCGGCCTGACTTGAGGCAAAGGCTGATTGTGAATGTAATGTTGTTGCTGGACTGGTTGATGCGGAACATGGTAATGCCCGGACGGTCGGGGTTGTTGCTGCTTGTAATAGTTTCCGGGGTTTCCAACTGGTTTCAAATAATATTTCCTTGACGTGTCCATAGACCTCCCATTCACATAATCGGGTCGATTTATTTTTGTTGCATTCCCCACCGGCACAAGTCTTATGTTCTTTGCTTTCTGCCCGTTTTGTTTCCACACATCTGATTGGGCATAACTTATATGGTTGACATTAGTAATGTAATCTACGTATTCATTTGTGTATGGTTGGAAGTCAGGGAGACTTTGCTTGTGTATCCGTCGAGGTTCATTCTTTTCTTTTATATGATACACCGACGGTTGTCGATGAGTCACCACGTCGCTCCTAGAACTGGGGCCAGGGAGTCCTTCGTTTCTGAGCACAACATCCTCTCTTTCTAGATGAGGCATATCTGGAGATCGAGGGGGAAGTTCCACGATATCCATCGATGTTGACGGAGATTGCCGATTATTTTGACTAAACGACCTGTCTGATCGAAGATATGTAACAGACACAGGCTTCTGGACTGGTCGTATCACCCGGACAATGTTGTTTACCGGAGGCATATTCAGGGTTGGAGTAGAATGCCGTGTCATACAACTCGAAATTGGTTTAGGAGGAGGGGGAGATGGAGTGACCGATAGGGGTTCTGAAGGCTGATTCATCAACTCTGAAAGACAAAACTCTTCGATGCGATTTGATCTATTAAATAAAAAAATTATAATTTTTAATATACCTTGGAGGAAGCTCGATTGGACTGGAAGTTCATCATGCTTGACATCCATGTCTGCGTTGTATCCGCATTCATCGGCGTTGCACGAGCTCGGCCTCTCTCCCCCGTATTCCATTTTGATCATGGAAATGTCTTCTTGTTGTTTTCTGTTTGAATCTTCTTCGTCGGTATTAATACCTTCAAGCTTAGGATGTTCAAATACTTCTATCTCTTTCAGATGTCTTCTTGTCCTCAATGCAACACAATCGGGATCTGATATTCGGGCAGGTTTAGGATGTAACATTCTGGGCTTGGTTGATCTCCTTTCTCTCGAATATGATCGTATATCAGAGATCTTAGTGTCAATCATAGATGCCAATTTTGTAAGATCCTTCGTGTTTTCATCACCAGACTTCAACGGACTCTCAACACCCTGAGTCTTCAATTCGTCCTAAAAAGAGGGTGTATAAAAACGAAAGGCAAAAAAAGATGACCGTGGAAAACAAACGCACAGATGTAGAAGCTTCGTCTGCAGAATCCAGCTCGGCCTTTGCGCGTTTCAACACCAACAACAACTCATTCTTTCGTTCGGATACATAAGATAACGTCCGATGTCTAGGGGGCGAAAGCAAGAACGATTGAGACTCATCTCCGGAAGCCGAAGCATGGGTTTCGACAGCATGTCTTCGCTTCATATGATGAGCGAAAGCAACATGTTTAACCAGTCGATGGCATTTCTAAACTCCGCATAAAAGATTTCAACTTTACAAACCTCGCATTCCATCAAACGAAGAGATCGCCCATTGTCAAGAGGTGACTGACCAAAGCAGAGCGCTTCTAAAATAAAGGATTGAGTTAAACTTTAGATAAAGAAGCAATGTTAGGTTTGTTTTAACTCAAATGTAAATTCAATACAAAACAAAATTTTATAACTAAAAAGCTCAAAAAAAAAAATAAAAGAACTCACTCTGATGTGACAAAAGGGCGACAAACTCATTTCGTCTGATTGGAGCTTGAAGAAATTCCGAAGCCGGCTTCAACTGCGACTCTTTAGATCGAAGAAAGGTGTCCCAATCAGTCATTATAATACTGCCTCACCATCCAGCTCCGAAGCTCATTTCTCAGACCCGGATACAAAAAATCTTTTTTGATCCCGAATCTCCTCCAATTTTCTCCAAATTTTCACCGGTAAAACCCCGAAAAAATAAAAAAAAAGGTGAGCAAAAATATAGCCAAATTTTTTACAGTTATGCCGTACAATCAACTCTGCGCAATTCAGGACAACCCCACCGAGACAGTTAATAGTTCTTTTTCGTGTCTGAGTTCAAAGAGCCAAACGTTTTCGCGGCGAGACCAAGGAGGCCACCGTAGAGAACGGCACATTCAGTAAATTATAGTCGGTTCAACAAGGTGTCTCTTCGACTGTTTTGATATTGTTCCAATTTCGCGGTTTACGAAAGGATCCATTTCCGATGCATGGAATGTTTATTTTAAATATCTAATAAAAAGTAGAGGTTATAACTGGAATGGAATGTTTTGGAATTATTAGATGAGACATTGGATAGATGTAGGGGCTTTATGCATTCGTCAGACGACATTCTAATGTTTCTATCGTAATAGGAGGTTCCCCCATCAGCCATTGTCCATTTCCATTACAAGTTCCGGGGAAGGATACTGATGTGCCTGTTGCTGTCGCGAGGAAATTCTGTCCGTTTGCAACGATCGCGGTCCCAAGATTGGCGCCTCCGGCTTGTGCTGGGATTCTGGAAAAACAATGGCATTTGTGTGAGCTTACTATGGTTTTCTTCTTAACAATATTACAATGCAGAAGTGTTATGACGAACGATACTTACGCGCAGGTTGCTGTGACAGTCTCAGGACAAGCGTTGTTATCGTATACAAAAGTAAGATCGCCGTTGCCGAACGAAGTGTCAGTTACATTGGTCTGAGTTAAAGGGGGACAACAGTTCCCATTTGAACTCCCCGAAGCTCCAGCTCCAGCGGCATGGCTTGGAGTGCAAGAATTTGATAAAATCTGCGATGACGACACAAACATTACAATTATGAACTCAATTTGAGTACGCTATAATTAAAAAATTGATGAGAACAAAATTTAATCACATGTTGGGTGATTACAAAATAATTACTGCCTAATCCATGATGACATGAATTTACAATCTGGAGGTATTAATCTCAAATTTTCGCTTCCCTTAGAACGTACCGTAGGTCTTTTGATAAACATTTAATCAAATCTTAAAGCATGGATAACATAAATACAGTGCACAATCTTGCAACAAACTGTTACTGAAAATGAAAGTTAAATTGCCCCGGTTTCGATACTTTCTAAGGCCGGATTAACCCGATTCACGAAACTGGAGGAAATAGTCGGAACTTTGTACAGAATATACAGACAGATGGAGGGATCGTTATGTAATGACTCATAAGTAGAAGTATAATGTATTGACGAGCATTACACGAGGTTAATGGCTTCATGTTTGCAGTCCTTCGCTCTTATTGATAGACCGTGCGGCACAATGATCACTCAATATCCTGAAACTTTTGTTTTTTAAAGGCAAATCTACCATTCAATTGTGAATATTCTGGGCTCCCTTTTAACGTCGGCCTTGCGGATTGTCCAATCGATTAGACTCATCTCTTTCCTGAACTTTACATGTCTGCATATCCTCGGATCATGGGCATCGGCTTCCCCTGGACAAGCGCAAGATGCAGTTCGGGAACTTTTGTTGTCCACATCTCCCGTTTCTTCGTACCTACAAGTTCTTTATGTTCATAGTAGCTGTTAACGTACTTCCTAATCACCTTGCTGACACAACTGTGAGTGACCCCGATTGTCCTGGCGATTGTAATCTTCCTAGCTCCACTGTTATACATCTCGATGATCTTCTTCCGGTCACATGTTAAGAGAGGTCGGCCTGAGATATACGGTCTTCCAAAACGATTGCGCGCCGATTCTCCTACTGTAATGAGGGTAAAAATTATATTATTTATTAATCTCTTACTTCTGTCAATTGGGTACAGTGGATAAGATGAAATTGTTGGCGCAGAAAAAATAGAGACTTCTGACGTCCAAGCCTAAAAGGATATTAACGTTGTGTCAGAAATTAGTTCATTTTGGTATATAAATGACAAAACTAAGACAACTTTAACACCTACAGTAGTAGCAACATGATTAGTGAGAGCAGCCAAGTCCATCAGGGGTCCCTGAATAACCGGAGGTACCGTGGCAGTAGACGAACAGTGGCTGATTGGCCGGTGCTTCTGATGGTTGACAACCCGAGAATGAATAGAAACTGAAGAAGGGCTGCAAGCCTGTTCCAACTGATAAAACTCTTTTTGCGAGGTGTTTTTTATGGCTGGGGTCGATGATGGACGACGTGGGGTTAGTCGACAAGTTGACGGAAAGTGTTACTAAAAGGATGGAGGAGCGAGCCTGGGTGGTTGTATGGACTGTGGTGATTAACGGTCCGGCCGAAGCGCTTCAAAGGGGTTGGGCTACAATCATCGTGACATGAAAAGGTTGCAAAGTTGGCGGTGAAGTGTGGAGGAAATGGGAAAAAGATTACCGGTGACCGATCGGTGCTGTCAGAGATGTGATAAATGAATGGGAGAGTTAAAGGTGCCTTCTTATGCGGTACGGTAAATTTTTTTAAATGGGATTTTACTCTGTTCGGAGTGGGACATTCATTTAAGAAAAGATGTATTTTACATCCAACTTTGAGAGAGAGTTTGCCAGATATGATGGATAGCAGTAAAAATTACAATTATGTTTATTAAACTAACTTAAAAGCCTTTGTTTAAAGTGGGTTCATTACCAAAGTACAATAACATTACGAGTACGTTCAATTTAAGATTGCCAAAATGGACAAAGACCTTTGGCATCCCTAATGTTGTGAATGATATTTCAAAAAAGTAAGTTGGCAATTAATCGTGCATTTCCGCTTCATCTTTTGAGTTGGTGCATTCAGCAAGGTTTGTCGGTGGAAGAAAGGAAAGGCGGCACTTCAAGGCGCTTTTCATCAATAGACCGAAAAAACATCGATGACACGCGCCGGAATTTTTTCGAGAATTAATGGGACTCATTAAAATCTTAATTAACGACTACCAAATGTTGCGAGTTTTGTTGCGCGAAAGAACGCCCGTTGGACTGCGAAGGTATCCTGCTATTTGGATTACGGTAATCAATCAATCGGGAATATGTAACCGCCAATTACCAGCGGCAAGAGACGCGTTGTTATCAGAATAATAAAGTTCGAGAGTGCAACCAGCACGCAGATAAATTAAGCACCTCGGTATAATAATAAAGCACACTTCGACGAGTTTTTTCTAAATATTGTAAGGTTTCTCAACTATGGCTGACTTTAAAGTTCGAATGTTTTTTAAATGTAGTACTATAAGTATATTCAGCATTGGGTGATGATTTTCCTTTCTCTATTACATCGTCACATCCTTGGTATTCTACTAGCCCATGAGAGAGCGTCTGCAACTACAGTTCCGAGGTAAATTAATATATCCAGTTTTATATTCCGAATGTAAGCGACATCTTTAGAACAAATATAATAACATTCACAGTGGCGGAGAACTGCCTTGGACAAACGGTTTATATAATAATGTACAATTAAAAAGACCTCGGCCAATTCCTTTCTTCCTTTGGAATGGCCTCGAATCGGAAGAATTGGGATGAGCACCGGGATGGAGAAGGTACTGTGATAACAGGTTTCTTTGCTGATAAAAATATACTAGAATATGTGGTAATACCGAGACTAACAAAGTGCAGTGTGTACTCTTAGAACCCTTCGTCCCAGCCGGAGAACTCATCTGGTGGCACATCCTGATCTGGTGGGTAGTTGTCGAAGTTTGAGACATCGGCCGGGTTGGTCACCTTGGGGATGATGGGTGGCTTCAGAGTCCTAGTTCTAAGGCCCTCCCAATCGAATCCCATGAACCATCTGTGCTTCCTGATATCATTCACTCCTCCGGAGCCCGATCCCAGCCGTTCTCCTGGATTGTCTCGACACAATTTCTTCACCAAGGCTGTAGCCGTTTTTCCAATTCGTCGATTTGGAATCTCCAAAGCATCGATTCCCTTCAGAATCAGGGTGTAAGTTTTCATCGGGTCGGATGCCTGTAAGAAACATTAATATTGCTTTTAAAGTTCTATTCTGTGGTTTACCTGGAATGGAGGTCGTCCGAGCATCAACTCGCATATGTAGATACCCAAAGCCCAATAATCGGCAGCCTGATCATGACCCTTGTTCAAAATAATCTCAGGTGATACGTATTCGGGGGTGCCACAGAAGGTCCACGTCTTTCGGCCACTGGCCAATCGTTTCGCAAACCCAAAATCAACCAGTTTCAAATACCCCGAGGTGGTTAAGAGACAGTTTTCGGGCTTCAGATCTCGGTAAACGATGGTCTTGTGATGCAGAAACTCCAGTCCCTCCAGCACACAAGCGACGTAGAATCTGGCAGTGTAGTCGTCGAAATGACCGCGATCTCGGAGTGTGGTCCAGAGCTCTCCACCCAAACAGGCTTCCAACAGCATGTACACGTATTTCGAATCTCGGAATGTAGTATACAATCGGACGATCCAGTCGTTCCGCGTTTCCATCATAATATTCCTCTCGGCGAAAATATGTTCCTGTTGTCTGGTGTCAACAATGTGCTTCTTCTTCAGTGCTTTCAAGGCAAATGTTCGGGATTTATCACCGCCAATGCAAACCAGCTCCACTCGCCCAAATCCACCAACACCTAAAGTGGCGATTCGTTTAAGTTGTCGCAGTTGAAGATTGGAATATTCATTTGGCTCGCGGACTTCCTTGACGGGGGACGGATGTTCCTTTGCTCGAGCGGTTATGGTAGCTCTACGTTGAAGATCTCCATAATCACGTTTCAAAGCCTAAAAATATATTTACAATGTGTGATCATGATCGGGAGCAAAAATTGGGGAAAATGACAATTGGGGAAACTGAAAAAAATTTTTTTTTGCTTGTAAGTGTCGAACTCAGAATAATCAAAAGTTACAATCAAAAAATGAATATGATTTTTGAAACCAACACCATCGATTATTCTGATCTCGACAATTACAAGCAAAGAAAAATATTTTCAGTTTCCCAATTGACGACATTCCGACCATGATAAGTAGAAGTATCAACGATTTTAGTAACCTGACTCACCTCAAGATCCCCAATCAATTTCAAAAACGATTCTCTGTCAAGAGTCAGCACTTCCACCCCGGGATTCATCGCAATTACATTGGCTGTTCTGACCTCATCTCCCAACAAAGCTCTTTCCCCAAAGAAATCGCCTTGTTTGAGGACCCGGATCTCTCTGGGAACATCTTCTCCTTCGATGGTCTGAGTGACTTGAACTTGGCCTGAGTTGATAACGAAGAAGGTGTCGCCCTTCTCTCCTTCCCTGAGAATGTAATGCCCTCCTGCGTAATAGTCTTGATCCATAACATCCGCCATCTTGGAGATTCGGTCTTCTGGGAGATTTTCGAAGATGGAGACCTTGTGGAGGAAGTTCATGAGCTGGGTATGTCGTTCCATTCCCAACCTCATGGTAATCATCTGAAAGGCCGATCGATCCAGCACCCATAATACTACATCTGTAAGAGCTTGAACAGACGCCGTTCTGCAAATACCTTTGTTAATTTCTAATCGTAAAAGTGCATGACAAACTTCAAGTGTTTAAAAATAAATAAAATCACATAATAAAACTCGCAACTTACCTTGTACAGTTATATAAAATGGCCAACTCTCCCATAACAACTCCAGTATTTATAACTCCCAGGGCTTGGCCTTCGCGGGAGACTTGAAGTTGACCTTCGGCTACAACAAAGAGACGATCCCCGGGCTCTCCTTCCTGAATAATCCATTGCCCAGCTCTGGCTCTCATCTCGAACATGCATTCGACTAATTCGATGACCTGTTCCTTGGCAAGTTGTCTTAGGAAGTCGTTCTTTTGAACAGCATCTCTGATCATCTGTTTGGATCCAGCACTCTTGGGGTGATGCTGGAGCGTAGCCTTGCTCTCGAGTTTGGCTGGCTCGGCAGAAACGGCCAACTTCTTGGCACGGGGCTCATTGGTTTTGATATCAGTGGGTAATACTTTCTTCTGCAGAGCCTCCTGGAAAACAAATCTCATTATTGGCGATAAATAGATGATATCGTTTGGTTTCACTTGCATTGTACATACCTGATTGATTTCTGCATGTGGATCATCGCTTTGACTGGACTTTGGCTGTGGGGTCGGTGGCGAAGCCACGGATTCGGCCTTCTGACTCAATACCGATCGCAGTTTATCACATTCACTCTATAATTTGCAAAAGTTTCGTAATTGATAACTCTGATTTCACCCGAATTGCAAGAATATTTTGACCGTCTAGACAAAAATCAAAAAAAAAAAGAAGAGAAAACAGGGAGCAAACGAATCGCTCTTCGTTCCGTTCGGGGTAAACAAATGAGAGTGATAAGCAGTAAAACACAAATCTTATTTTTTATAAAAAATAAACGGTCCGTGTTTACCTGCAAAGTCTTGATATCGCCTTCGAGTTGGCTAATCTTTGTCTGCTGATCCTCAATTTGTTCCTGGGCATGTTGAAGAAGTCGGTTCTTCTTTTCGATGGTTTCTTCTAATTGAGGGATCAATTTTTGTATCTCGTTCGCATCATAAACACGCGTCCCGACCTGTACCTGGAAAAAGGATTAAAACGTTTCATAATACCAGCGCTTCCCATTAACCACTAGAGTTATGCAACCAGAAAACTATGATCTAACCGAATTAATTACCACTCAAAATGTCATCCATTCCTATAATATATATAGTCGTCAAGTCCCCAGACGAATTGCAACATTAAAATCTGTAGTCTCTATTATATTGGGTCAGAATGAGCACCCAATTGAAAGAAGACCAATGTAAAACTGACAAGGAAAATCCAAGTTACCACAATTTCAATAACAAAATAAACCAAAGAAAATATTAGCATACCGAAAAAGGATATTTGATAAATCCTTTAAACATGGAAGAAAACGACGTCATGATGGTAGTCGTGGTTGTTCCTCTTCTGTGTTTCCTTATTAGGGTTCCGCCTTAACAGTCAGAGATTGACCGTCTTTTAAATGAAAGCATTCATAGTGTATTCCGAGAAACAAAATCGCTGCTTCCTCCCCAAAGCACAAGAATTATGCTAGCCTGTACTGCAGATATTACCTAAGGACTTTGAATCATCAATTATGTCCCAAGTTCGACAATCACGAATCGTTGAACATATAACAGCCTAATTAAGGAACGAGTAATGCCGGACTTTGACTTTATTCCGCTATAATTAGAAAAGTAATAGGAAGGAGGTATCAGAAATCGTAAAAACGACACCCGAAATTAAACAGTCAATCCCTGCAATTTAAATTTAGATTGGCCGTATCTAATCAGCATGAAGAAAATGCCCGCGAGCTTGTAACACAAAAATGCCTTAATACTAGCGCAATGTCTCACGTCCAACACGGGGAACACCGACCCCATTTCCGGTCTCTTTTGGCCCTCCGGGGCTGAAAGTGAAACACGCGCAACTCATTTAATACTCACTAAAAAAAAAGCGTGCCCGGCTAAACACATACGCCAAAAAAGGGTATGAAATATGGGACAGGGGCTACGTGAAGCCGGAGGGGATGAAAACAGTTCGAGGCCGAAAACAAGGACCAAAAAAGAGACGGCAGGCAGCGGCTACTTACTACCTTCGCCCGTCCCAGAACGTCGACTAGAAAGAGGAAAGTGACGAGCCCCCACCCGTGGATGTGTGGGGGAATGAACAGGTAGCAGCCGAGAAACGGCCATGTTGTTAATCTGCTTAGAAAAAACGGCTTTAATCCTCTCCGACGGCCGATTTTGGGCAGTTGAGGGTTCTACTGCATAAGTGCGTGGCAAGAAGAAGAGTAACCGCTTTACATATCATAAACAATCCAAAAATGGGGGGTTAACAAAGTTATGCAAACAAGGCAATCATCACCATGACAAACATACTTGATGGTTATGGCAAAAGACGAAAAGCACTGCCAATCATTCTTTTTATTGTCTATGACTTTAACAATAAAAGAAAATAGACTAGGCAGTATAAGAATCAATCCGCCAAGAAGGAAAAGAAAGCAAATATATATTACTTGTAATACAAATAACCCTGAAAGCATCCAAAAAACACCACTTTTCTGACCCAACAACAAAAGATCCTGATTCGTAAAAAAATTTGTTGTGAAAAAACAAGTGAGTCAAGTCCAACTTGTCTTACCTTTGGGGCGGTTATTATTATAGGCTCTGCACGCGCTGAGACACTCATAATGAAGTTTTCCACTGATCAAACCACTAACAAAAACATCGGGCCCTTGTGCAAGAAAATGGCAGTACTAGAATCAAAAATCAGAACCCAAGCTTGAAATATAAATTAAATGAGCACGGTGTATTTACGTCGTCTCGACCAACGCATACAGTATTGCATCTTAACTTTACAAAATTAAATGACAAAAATTACACGACGTTTTAATATCTCTCATGTAGAATCTGCAAGGAAACATTTACGTATCGCATATAATTCTAAGTTTCTTCTGCAGATACTAACCTTTACCACCCCACCAGCCCGAAAAAATAAAAACTGCATTAAACATCAGATTAACGGCAACCGACGTCAATGTAGACATCAAGCGCTCTATAACTTCAGATAGTCCCGTCCACTCACAATTCATAAATCTGAATTCGAATAAGCGGAGATTAAGTGATTTTGCGCTTACTTGTGGGTGACACCCTCAGCTTGCCGAACAATCATTTCCGGAAATTTTAGGCTCTAACCTAAATTCAAAAGTTAGCAAACCAAACAATGCTCCCTGAGTTAAACCCTGCCCAACCTAATGCAGTAGATGCTCAAACAGTTCAGCGCTCAATACCCTGGAAAAGACAAATCGCCGCCGGGAAAGAACAGAAAAACTGTTGAGGCCGCGCCTCCCCACATGCACGGCCGTCCAAATACAAAAAAACAATCCAACCCAACAAAAAGAGTTGTCTTTGGCTGCGGAATTCTGTCTAAACACAATCCGCCGACCTTTTAAGTCGGTTATGATACGGGAAATGGACGCTCAACGAAAAACTGCTTTTTCCAAGAATATCGCGCCGATATTTTCCGCTAAGGCATCTGAGGAAGTAGAATGATAAGAACGCTGTAAAGTTTACAACTGCATAGCGCCGTAAAAACTTTCCATTTGTTTCCAATATAACCCAAAGAATGTAGCATAATTGAGGATGGTTATATCAAAACGTATACCAAAAAATTAGGTTGTGGTTACCTACACAATTACGCCCGCCAAACACTGAACCATTGGCTCAAGTTGAGCAAAAAGGCTTTAGTAATCTCAAAAGTATTACAATCTCATAAGATAAGTAAAAGCAAAGAAAGGGGGCATTCCGCAAAAAAGCTCTCACCCTAAAAGCCCACTTAGAGTAGAAATATACACGGCTATTTAGGTTGTCCAGGGCCTTTTCAGAAAAACTATTCGTATAAATTAATCTTTTTCCGCCACGTTAATACAATGAATGAACCCGATTTGATTTAGAACGGAGACGACCAGACTCTGTTCTTCCTTCCCAAAGCGTATGAAAAAAACAACACAAAAGTGTTACTTAGACATATACTCAATGGCCCAGAATCCGCCAAACCTCGAAATTGGGCTGCAAAAAATGCTGCAAACCGCGAAAAAGGCGTCCCAAAAAGCGTTTGCAACTCTCCCATGTCTCCCTTTTTGCCCGGAGGGCCCGAAGAGGCAAGAGGACTAAGAAATGGAGGGACACACGTTAAAAAAGAATTCCAAGGCTCTCTGTGCACTTTCCGTTTTAATTTTTTTGTGTTCGCTTCTGCAAGTTCCCGAGCAGACTCGAGGCGGCTGGTCCCTCGGCCTTCACGTCGTTCCAAAAAAAGCAAAAAAAGAAAGGGAAAGTTTATAACTGTCATGTTGTTTATTCGTCATAATATTGCGGCAGCGATATCAGACAATCCAAAAAAAGTAAACCTTGCAGAAAAAATTTGATCGTAGCAAAAGAACAAAAACACCTTCAGATCACACGACCTAATCCCCACTGAACGATCATAGCCGAGGGCAAAGGTATAAAGGACAGACGAGAAACGAAATAACTTATTATAAAAAACGTCCTTGTGGAGTTATCCCTAATGAGATGCAGCCCATTTTAGCCTTTGGTGGGAACACAAAATAATGTCGGGATCTTTTGTTTTAATAAAAGCTTAATGAACATTGCCAGAGTTAATATTCCCCACACAACAAATAAGAACTCAGCAGTTCCGGAACGCCGGAATAGTAACAATTCCGGAACTAAGACACTACGTGGAAATTTTGTGACAAGGATTGATGCTGGAGGTGTAAAAGTTCGAATCAAAATTTGAAATCCTCATAAACTAAACTGGACCCAATGGTAGATTATGTAAGTAAATGTGCATTATTTCGTGCATTTGCAAGTTTATTGTAAAAATGGCAAAATATGTAACCGTGCTATCGTTCAGCTGGGAAAGTAATGAGCGTTGTTTTTTACAACAATTGACCTCATTCACAAATAGGGTTTAATTTACATTTTTTTTCATTTTCGTCATTTTGGCTAACAGGGGAAGTACCCCAAGTGCGACGCTCAGATTTTGATAAAACTTGGCACAAATGAATAGTTTTTTCTAGAATATATGCGAGAATCCTAGCTCGCGCTATGCAGAAACAACCGAGATTTTTAGATCGAAAGTCGGCGAAAATTTGACAATTTTTGCCGAATCTTGGCTTGAGGGTAATGTTTCCAAAAAAAATAAATTTTTTCCGCACGAAACTAGCTAAGTTATGATCAAAGCTTGCAAAGCGCGAGCCAAACCTTTCAGAAATTGATACTTACAAGGAAAGTACTCCAAGTGCGACGCTCAGATTTTGATGAAACTTGGCACAAATTTCGAATAATTTTTTCTAAGATATAAAAAGCGAGAATCCTAGCTCGCGCTTTGCAGAAACAACCGAGATTTTTAGATCGAAAGTCGGCGAAAATTTTGGACTTTTTGCCGAATTTTGGCACGAAAAGTTTCATGCCCATTTCAACCGTAAAGGATAATGTTTCTACAAAAAATCAAATTTTTCCGCACGAAACTGCCAAAGTTATGGCCAAAAAGCGCTTTTCTCTCTGACCGCTCTCCCCGTTTAGCGTGCTCTCTCGGCGGCAAAAATCGTTCGATATCTCGGCGGCGCCGGTAAAGCGCGAGCTAAAACTTTCAGGAATTGATATTTAGTCCATACCCAACGTGTGTGCAAAATTTAAAGAAAATCTGAGCGTCGCACTTGGAGTACTTCCCCTGTTAGTTTATGCCCGACGTGTGTGCAAAATTAAAAGAAAATCTGAGCGTCGGACTTTGGGTACTTCCCTTGTAAGTTGAAAAATTTCTGACTTACGAAGCATTCAAACGCGAGTTTAAAAATAGACTATGATGAATACCGTTAATATTAGTCGTGACTAGTTTTAATGCTTATTTCATCGGTAGTTTTCACAAAGAGCAATTTTGTCCCTAAAAACTACGATTTTTTTAGCGAAATTCTACAAATATTTTCCAAAAAAAGCACAATTTGAAAATGGCGGCAATTTGACAACGTGACTGACGCGTCAAGTTGACAACCCTAGTACTTTTCAATAAAAATGTGTCATAATTAGGCTAATACCCCAAATTCGCGAGTGCAGTTTTAATTTTGCGAGAAAGAAAAGTACCAAAATTTTGGTTTTTGCAGGTTTTTTCCACAATACGGATAATTTTCAAAATTCCCGCGATTTTTCGGGTATTTATGGAAATTTTCAAAATGAGGAATTAATTGGCCGAAGAAGAAACAAACGGTGAGGGGGGACCTAGGAAAACTTTTCACGGCGTAAGGCGCAGCGGAAATTTTTGGAGTTTTGCCATAGCAAGTAAACCTGTGAGACACGGCCGGGCCGCGCATGACCCATACAGTTGCCAACTCATTACCCGGTGCCACCACAGAACGTGAAAGAAACTGGATTTTTGTCATTTTTAAAGTAATTTTTCTGCTTGTTTAGTTGAAAAAAATAAAAGTCATGTTACAAAAATGAGTAAAATAATTAATAAGTTACAAACGACTTCATATTGGCACTATATTAGGTAAACTACGCTAATTTTATAAATACTTAAGTATGCCCGAAATTTCGGGCATTTACCCTGGTATTTTCAACCACGAGGTGAAAATACCCGAACCCTACTCACATACTCTAGAAAAGGTCCATCATCTACTTTGGAAACAGAATTCTTGTGCAAAGTTTTCAGTCGAGCAAGAAAAGAAATACTGAAAATAAGCTTACTGCTAATCTAGTAACCTAACCACAGAAATGGAACTCAATTACTTGAGGCGTGGCCATTATTAGACGATCAAGGAAAACCATCTCTTAAAAAACCCTAAAAAACCAACTTCTTTTGGTCCCGGTCCTAGACATGGATGACACTCCGACATAATAACCCGGCTTTATCCATCATACCTACCTGACTCGCGTGTTCGGAGGGCTTCCTGAGCTTGTTGAACAAACCGCGGAAACCGCCGCTTGACTGGGTTTTGTGATGGCTGTTCTCCATTGTTGTCGACGAACTCATCGCGACGCCGTTGGGGCGCTCGGATGTCCGATCGGAGACCAACTCGCCGTCGGCCTTACGCTTCAGTCTTGAGGGCTTGGGGGGACGAGATGCGGGGTCGCGGCGTTGATTCGAACTTGGGCCAGATGGGGTGAACGAAGCCGATCGGACTGGATTCAACTGAACATCCGATGGTCTAAAAATATAACCCTTACTCGATTTAATGGCCGGCCAACAATAAATATCTCTCGAAAAACACGTAAAAAGAAATGAAAAAAATAATTGAAAAAGTCAAAATACAAGGCATCTTCAACAAATCCAGTAAACCGGTGACCTCAACACGATAATCCTCACAATGTGGCGCTATGGAAAAGTTTATTTGGAATATAATTACAGACACTTATAGGTTCCGACGTCCGGCAGACCAAAGACCGCCACTGAAAATACAAGTGGATTAAATATCAGAAAATTATTCAAGTTAATTAAAACGGCCGAAACAAGGCAAATGAGTTGTTCGTTCGGCCGTCGAAAAAGATAATAGATCTGGCCAAACCCCCGCACCTAAACTCATCGCTCGTGGGTAATGAGGAGTCCGTGGCCGCGCTGAAGTCGCCGGTAGACGCACTCAGGGATACGGCCGCGTTCTCCGTGACCCCGTTCTGACGCAGAAATTCGCTCAACGTGACCAATTCCTCGGCTGACACGTCGCGTAACAAGCTTTTCATGCCTATAAAACAAGCAATATATCGGCATTCAGCTGGAAAATAATGCAGTCAAAGTAAACAAAAATGAGTAAACAAAAAGGGTGCTGGACAGGAATTACTCGAGAACCTTACGGGCTAGCAAGTGTTTCCGTTCTGGGCCGTACAATTCCATCAATTTCTGCGCGAACTCCAGCACTGGCATTTCTTTGGCGCGCCATCTCTTTAACAGCAAGGCAAATTTGTTTAGCTCTTCATGAGACAAACACACCGAAAGCTGAAAATAATGACTGATAAGACGGGCGGCCTCTATTTATACCCAAATGATGATGACGGGTGATAAAAAAGGATCGAAATCAGACATAATCCTTCCTTATTCATCCCATAAATCCGGCAATGCCAAGAACATGGAGCAGTGGTTTCCAATCTCATCACATAAATAAATATCCGAGAAAGGTCAGACCTGGCAGAATCCATTAGGTTTCATACCATGCTTTTAGAAGAAGGGGCCGGCAGAGGAGGTAAACGGCATGATACGAATGACAATAGCATAGCGAAGATTCCGCTGGGCTCTTGAAGAACAATTGAAACAAGCAGCCCGGAAGAGGAATAAGATTAAAAAGCGCCTAACAAAGTAAGTCAAAAAAAAAATAGAATTAACCCCGGGTTTGGAAGCAATGCTTGCGCGACAAATAACAAGAAAGGAACTTGGCCCACGGCCTGAAGGGTCAATGTTTCCTGAGGCGTTCGAAGGTCGTCAAGTGTGAGTCAGAAAGTGGTCGTGGAGCGGGTCAGAAGGCGGTGGAGACACTCGTCAGCCGCATCTGTCTCCAAACCACTGTTGCCCGCAAATGAAAGCCAATTCCGCGGGTCCAGAAAGCCGAAGCCAGAATTTTGCCCATTTTCCGACCCCTCCACAGCCTCTTCTTCTTGGCGCCAATTCCGACGCCATTCAATCCAGGGCGGTTTATAAATGGGTAAGTGAAATTAAGGGTAAAAGATCCAGAATTCCTAGAAATCCGATGACAGAGCACGCCAGGAAAGTTCCCTCCGCTTGGTATGACTCGTTACCGATGTGAGAAGTCTTGTAAACATACAATGCTATGATAATACGATTAAGCAAGTTCCCATCACCCCTAGCTACACCCCTTGGGCGATTTGTGACTACTGATGTGTAAATTTTAAGTCGTTTCCTACCATTGTCAAATACTCATTGATACGATCCATACTGTTCTTTGAGGATACACTGGTGCTACTAGTACTCAGCGACAGGGCATTGCTATTCGAATGATGCTTCGTTTTGCAAGATACCTCAGTGACTCCGTAGACATTACTGCAAATGAAAAAAGGAGGAGTTTTGTATCAATTCCGAGATTGAAAAAACGTACGAAACTCCTAACGAAGGGACAACATCGGATTTGGGTGAGAAACTTGAGGTCGACACAGATCTAACCGGACCTAGAAGGGTAAATATTATTACAGGAAGAGCAATTACCTAGCAATTCCCAAAGATTACGTTCTCCTGAGTAACTCAAGGGTCGTAATTAGGGACTTACCGTGATCCACCGTCAGACCCACCGTTCCTGCCATGGTCTCTCTGTAGAGCCTTTGAAATGATTCATCAAAATGATGACAGATATCTTCGGCGACCTTCTAAATGCACAACTAAATATAAACAGTTACGCAAAAATAATTCTAAAGGAATATTCTTCACAATTTTAACATTTTTATAGTGGCTCACCCCCGGGACCAGAATAGGCTACATGTGTTGAAGACTGCGTAATAATGAACGTAAACAAAAGGAGGGGCAAAGAAAAAATAATTCAAAATCCCGTGTTAAACAAATTACAAAGTGTAAGAAGTAGTCGAAATCTTTGCGTGGGAATGAGCACATTGACGAGAATTCGACGTGAACAGGGATGCGCAATAAAAGGCCCAAGAAGTGAGGAGAGAGAGTGGCGTCAGCAGAGAAGAGATGGGATAAAAGTCGACAGAAAAACAAAAAACGCTACTCGTTCGTTACGGGATGTTCTTCTGGCCACGACCGGGCACTTCCGTTGACTGAAGTCGCCGAGGGCAGGCGTGAATCGAGAACCCTTTAATATCGTTTGGCGCTGGAACAAAGTGCCCAAATCGAATCAGTCACAGAAACTTCAAAGAGTAGAGCCGAGGAGTCGGACATCTTCCAAAATATGGAAATGCCTCGGAAAAACATTGTTTTTTACAGTAAAAGAACACAATAATACCGCTTAATCGATAAAGCAAAGGTCCCATAACTTCACAACAAAACTTCTGCCATCCCCCGCGGTAAATACGTACTTTACGGCAGAACTTCGGGTTGAAAATGCTATGACTCCCTCCAAGAGACAGTAAAATAAAAATAAAAGTTTGAAATGAAGCACCCGATCGAATATGGGAAGCGTGAAAAGCCAAAAAAACATGAAAGGACAAAAATAAAAAAAGGGAACCCAGAACACTATATATGACGTGCCCGGAGGCGGGTAAACAGCATCAGTCCACCAACAAAACCCAAACATGCAAAGAAATAGAAAGTGTTACAAAACAACCTTTTCCTTGACCTGAAATACGGCCAAATCCACAAAATCCATAGACTCGTAAACCTCGCCGATCTTCAAAGCAACAATATGTGCATCATCTTCGATCACATAGCCAACGGAACCCAACATGTGCAGTGGCACTACTAAAAGAACATCCTGAAAAAATAAACGTAATGGGTGCTCGAAAAGGTCAATAAGTCTACAGATACGGGTGGGTGGGACGTTTTACAAATATACATTCAGATTGGTAAGCACTTACATTGTCTTTTTTGCTGCGGACTACCACAGCTTGATGGTCGAGTTCCAAGAGAGCATTCTCATGTTTGTGACTCGGATTGAGTGTTATATGGCCATCAGCCTTAAATAAAATTTCATTTTGTTTTTACGCCTTTTGGATGTCAACAACAAAGGCGTCACAAATCATTTGTCATCATTTCAAAGATACTTTAAAATTGAACCAATACCTGCGCCCTGTCCAGGACTTTCAGAAGGTCCGTTCGTCCACTTGGATCTATATTCGCATTAATTTGAGGCACGAGACCAGCATACTGAAACAATCGAAACAACTTCAGGTTGCCATAAACGAAGGAGAAAATAGATGGGCCGAAAAAAAAAGCGAAAAAATAACTAACTAATAGTGCAATGGGCAAAAGTCAAATAAACACACATCGGAGAGGTGGGACAGATTGATTGGCATCCATTTTATCTGGCCGGCAAACTCAACCAGCGATCCCCCGGGGCGAAAAGAGATCCCATAACGCTAGATAATTAGTCAAGTAGCCGGAGATCAGGGAATTATGACACCGGCTTCAGGGTGTGATCGCTCCAACTGAGAGATCACAACTCTTCCAGCCCATTCGATTAGTCGACCAAGACAAAAAATTATAGACAAGTTTTGGCTTAAGACAACCTGTACCTTTTTCTTCGCTTACCTGAATGGAAAATGTCCTTGTCTGAAAGGTTGAGGAGGCCATATTAAATGAGACAAATTTCTGAAGAAAGCGGGACAATATTTCTCATCAAAGGACGGGCAGAAACAGTCCGCGACTTCGGCCTCGATTCACAAACCGTAAATGACGAAGGGAAAGGGCTTAAAAAGACGAGAAAAAGAAGAGCAAACCCGACCGAGCGACCGTCTTCAGCCCGGCTACCCACTCTCGAGACCTTGCCAGGGAAATCATTTCGATCACTCTCTCTCCATCGCTTCGCTGCTTAAGATAATTGCATAACGAGTCAATTGGTAACTGGAAGAGCATTCAAAATAAGACACGATACTGATCAATTTCAAACAGCCATTCTGAGGGTGTTTTGTTTTTTCCTAAGCTTGTTGTAAGCATAACAAAACAAAGAAAAGTCCAGAGGAATAAAGAAAACAAAGTCTCAGAACAGAAGACGAACTACTTTACAAAGGAAAGAAAAGCGCTACATCTGAACTAAAGCCAGCATAACTTCTCTATGGATACCAAAACAATTTTTTATTTCTAATGCATATTCACAAAAAAATACAATTTGAGTATCATAGGAGTAAACAAGGCCGTCTTGGTATATGTCAGAGATTCCGAGTAAAGCTTGAAACTGTAGTTGCGCCTTCATATGTATACCCAAACACAAAATATGTAAATGATGTAAAAAACTTGTGTTAAAACCGCATAAAATTTTACGTAACGTAACCGGACAAGTTTTCAGCGTTTATGTCTCAACACTTACATTAAAAATTACAATAAAGTATAAACATACATATTCCGGTTAGATTACAAGCATAAAAATGTAAAAAAATTAAAATTAAGCGACATCAATGTTATCATCAACAACGTGATCAGGATGTGCAAGAAGGGAGGGATTAGTGTCATCGTCTTCAGAAAGATTGATGAGTACTGAGTCTTTGAGAAGTTTCTTAATCATCTTGCTGATAATTGTCTTCTGAACATGATAATCCTCCTCAGTTTTTAGGTCTTCTTCAATCATCTCCAAAAACCTGAAACAGATTTAACGTTAGTACCCCAAAACGAAGCAAAACTTGCTTACCATTCCACCAAATCATTCTGTTTAACTCCACTCCAGTCAGGATCTTCGGCGTTCTTCTCTTCTTCCCCCCTCAAGTACAATACCAGCATGTTGGCAACTCTTTTGTAATAATCGTATTTAATCTTCAACTTTTCCGGGTCGATGTCTTGTTCATGACCGGTTCCCTCGGTGTTGCTGACATCTCTCAAGACGTTTCCATCGTCCATGTTTACTCCTTCCTACACGAATCGATAAAAATTTAACACTTGAACAACAAAAGCATAATAATAATAACTTAATTACCAAATCAAGATCATCTCCCAGATCCACATCAGGGCTAATAACGGGCTTGTTACAATCCTTCACCAACTTCACGGCCCTTTCCACGTGACTGGCCAGAACTTGGTCAGAACAGGACAATCTGGCCAAAGCCTCGGACAATCGAACCAAACTTTCAAGTTGTCTCACAGTAATCTTCCTGTTCATACTTTGACCCGGATTCACTGAATCCATCCTCAGCTTCTTATAATGTTCTTTCATGCATTTAGCGGCCTCGTCCGAGATCTTCGGTCTGAAACATCTGGCGAACATAATGTAGTTTCGGATTTCGTCCGGGGTGTACTTCTGTTTCTGAAGTTCACTTTCGTCCTTGAACCACACCTCATGGTTATCCAAGATACGACGAGCCACAGCATAGTCAACAGTCTATAAAAACAATAATGATACCTAAAAAGTACATACTTACCGGATTAACTTCATCGGTCATGATAAAGAACAAATCGAAACGAGACAAGATCGGCGCAGACAAACCAACGTTGTAATGGAGGGGCTTGCTTTTATCGTATCTACCTCCAATAGGATTGGCGGCCGCCAAGATGGAGCATCTTGCATTCAATGTGGCCTTTACACCAGCCTTGGTAATGGAAATAGTTTGTTGTTCCATTGCTTCATGAATAGCAACTTGATCCTTTTGGTCCATCTTATCGAATTCATCGATACAACAGATACCCTAAAATCGAAGATGCACAAAAAAGAAATAAACTTACATTGTCAGCCAACATAAGAGCACCTGCTTCGATGACAAAGTCAAACGATTCCTCGTCTTTAACTACTGCGGCAGTCAAACCTGCAGCACTGGAAGCTTTACCACTGGTGTAAACAACACGGGATGAGAATCGATTCACAGTCCTACAAAGTCAGCCATCATAACCCCTGGAACTTACTTTAAAAACTGAGATTTGGCACAACTCGGATCTCCGACCAGACATACATTGATGTCCCCTCTTAGGTGGGAGCCTGTAGTGTTTTTTGGGACACCCCCAAACAACATCAACAATATGCCAAGCTTCACTTCTTCATTTCCGAAAATGTCAGGGAACAACGAATTGCTGAGGTTTTGAACAATATTGGGGTCGTCGCTCATCTCTCGGAGTTTAATCCTCTCAACTTCGCTCGTGTTTTGCCATAACTGATCATGATCCATATCATCGTGGGTAAATTCAATACCACCCAGCTGAAAAGATATTAGGTTAAACTACAAGTTCACTAAACAATACAACATAACGACATCGTGCATACCGATGCGTTGGTTGGAGTGACACTCGTAGACAAGAAGGCCAGTTTGTAATGGAGATCGCGAACACCCAATTGTTTCAGACCTCTAACACCTTCATTCTCACTCTGCTGCCCTCTTTTGTTCTTCACCTCGGCCCGCATTCCGGGAGCAGAGATGGCGGACACATCAGGAATTGAGATCAATGTTCCAATAAAGTCGCAATGATCTCCAGGTTGAGCTGATTCCACGGCTTCTCCTCTCAAAATTATGTCAACAGTACGAGGAATACAACCCAAAGGCAGTTCTTCTTGAGATTCTTGAATACGAACACGTTGGTAATCAACGAAAGTAGAATCGTGGGGATCTAAAGAGAACCTGGAGCGATTGCTGCACTGTGGATTGTCGCATTTCACTGGCTAGAGTAAGCGTACATTTAAATCCTAATCCTTAACTTACCAACGTGTGTTTAAACTGTTGTATGACATTCCTTATAGTAACTCCACAATCATCACAGACAAATGTTGCTCTGAACAATTCCGGATGAACAGGATGAGTTCGAACCACTTGACCGGAGATTCGGACCAATGTCCCAACTTTATCCGTGGTCAATTCTCGAATGGGGCGCTTGGTGTGTAATCCGGTGATACTGACGTAGATCTGCTTCTTTTCAATTATTAACCTCACGGATTCATCGTTGCACAAATCCATCACGAGAGCTCTCACAGCATCACATATGAAAGGATAATACCTAAAAGTAAATAAGAAATCAAAACAAATCAACATACCGATAAAACTGGAGTTCGAGAGCAGTTGAAAGTACAGCGGAGAATTGTTGGACATGAGGAAATTTGACGTTCAACGTATTCCTTTCAACTTCCTGGAGCTCGGTCAAAGGCTTCTCGTAACACAAGATATCTTTCTCGTCTTTGAATCTAAAATCGGATATAATACTCGGGAAACGTCTTACTCGGTCAGAAACTTCTCAAAGGACCGTTGAATCGAGATGCCTTCCTGATCCTCATGAATCGGAACATGAGCACTTTGTTGATTCAGAACGACCATTTCCAGATTCAGTTAGCAACAAGTGCCGGGTGATTAATGAAAAAATAATATTTTTTCTTTTTCAAAATCAACTTTGCCGCAAAGTTTTCGCGCCGTTCCATTTCGTGGTGGGATAAAATGCGAGGTGGCATGCTACTTTTTTGAAAAAATAAATAATTTGTCACGGCGGTTTCACACAACAGAAAAGCGGGAACTTCGTTTTGTCCTTTTTTGAAGCGGGGGCGCAGCTCGCGGAGGCAAAAAATGACGTTTTTTTACTGTAACTTTTAAACTAACAGTCGAATCGAAAATCGACCAGGGATTTAGAAAATAGAAGTTGTCTTTTATCTAATGACGTATTAAACACATTGCAGAAGTGGAAACGGAGACCAATTGTCTGTGGCGCTAAATTTGCCTATGTTGAGGATACCGTATCAAAACCAAAAGTCAAAATGGGAACTTGATATGAAGAAGTGGATATGTAAATACACGATTCCGAGTCGATAGACACCGAAAACGTCGAAAAAGGTTGACTGAGCGAGAAGTTATGACACCCAAAAAACATGCTGATTTTTGGCAATTTCGAAAAACTACAGTATCCTTCGAACAAACAGTCGGATCAAAAATCGACCAGGGATTTAGAAACTACTTTGTCTTAGCTATATTTTGGTATACAGCATGGCTAAGTAGGTGATCAAATGAAGAGACTTCTCTGTGGCCGAAAGTACATTGGTCATGTTGTAGTAGGTGAAAGTTGATCGTGAGACAAATGCAAAGGTGGTTATGAGGAGTTAGGGTGCTACTATAACTCAGTAAGCAATAATCGTTTAGAATCAGCGTCGATTTTGCATTAGCGAGGACTTGTGGTATAGTACCCACCATCACCGTATCCACTTCAACTATCAAGGCTTAAGCCAATAAAAGACCATATATTACGCTTAGACTGTGCTCCTCCATCTTTATGTTTATAAATTAAACATTTAACAATTATTTTAGCCTCATATAACCACAGCTGGTGTTCATCGGGTATGCCACTATATAAAGCGGGAGATAAAAGATTTTCTGAAAAATTTTTGAAATTTTTCTGTTTTTACTTTTTTTTTAAAAAAAAAGTAAATTTTCAGTTTACTTCAAGGAAAATGCAAAAAAAAGTCAATTTTGTTTCTGGCTTTCCGACTTCAAGGTCGGGAGTAGGACCGGATCTTACTCCCCGCTCGGAGTCGCCGAAAGTCAGAGCTTGTTTTTACTTTATTCCTCTTTTTGGCCCCGCACTGCAGGTTGCAAGGTTGATGCCAAGTCTTTCCCTGATGTGTCAAGTTTTTCTCTTCCGAAAAAATTATTTTTACGTTTGTGCGACGTTGTGAAGCTATGTTCTCCACGAAGATGGGCTGGAAAGTGATCAAGTAAGTTAGCATTGGCAAGAGGAGATGTACGTTTTTCATTTGACATCAAAAATTTCCATTTTATTTCAGAGAAAGGTACAAAATTTTTCCAATTCGTAAAGCTTCATGACCATGGATAATGTAAGTGAGATTATCTCCTTTTTTGCTACGACGTCAAGATTCTAAGTCGGGAAACGTTTAGAGGAGACCCCACTCTCATGTATATTCTCCATGTATGAAACCCCATAAATTTTGAGGAATAACGACGTAAAAGTTTCAAATACTATACTAACTTTCCAAAAGTATGTTATACTAAAGTAAAACCTATGCAAACTATCTTCAAGTTATTGTAACAACGTTATTTGAGCCTTATTACGTTATTTCCTCAGTTTAGAACGCATTCGTGGCAAAAATCCGGCAGATCTGAGCGGATTTCGATATTGTACATGACACCTAGAAATCGAAATTGGTGGCGTTTGATAGATAGAGTATATAACAAAACTAAAGTGAGGTGTCCTCTAGAACTCGCCAGCCTAGAACTGTTAACTCCAATAACGGAACAAAAAACGCGATAAGCGCACTTACATTATCCATGGTCATGAAGCTTTACGAATTGGAAAAAATTTGTACCTTTCTCTGAAATAAAAGGAAAATTTTTGGTGTCAAATGAAAAAAGTACATCTCCTCTTGCTAATGCTAACTTACTTGATCACTTTTCAGCCCATCTTCGTGGAGAAAATAGGTTCACAACTTCAAAAAAATCAAAACGTTTCTTCCGGGAGAGAGAAATTTGACACATCTGGAATTCCCGGGCGCAGCTCGCAAAAATAGTTTTGAAGAAAATAAATTGGCGTGCAGGTGAGTAAAAACGGCATCCTACTCACCAGCCAAAATGGGCGAGCCATTTTTGTTTCAACTTTGCGGATCGACCTTTTGGCGAGCCATTTTTGATCCAACTTTCCAAAAATTTGTCGTTCGGAGTAAGAATGTTTTTTGACTCTCCGAAATCGAAAATTTCCGGAAATTTTTCAAAATTTACTTTTTTTTTTAAAAAAAAGTAAAAACAGAAAAATTTCAAAAATTTTTCAGAAAATCTTTTATCTCCCGCTTTATATGTACAATATTGCCGGTAAGCAGCGTTTAAAAAAGTTTCGGTTTTTGTTGGTCCCATAGGTTCTAATGCTTCCTTTACATCTTTGAACGGGTTTGCTTCCTCTATTTAATTAAAATACGGCCTGATTGCTGTTTTAATATTCATTTAAGTAAGCATGTTAACCGTCACTTCATTTGATGATTTTAGAAATCTTAATGTGAATTCTGAATTAATTATTGGTCTGAAAAGATCAAGAAAATTTTTTTATCCTTTTAGTATCAATTACATCACACTTCTGATGAAACTGTACGATTTCTTACTAAACATGTTTCATCGTATACCTTCCTCTGCAAGCTGCGCGTTTTTTATTTTTTTCCCACCACGAAAGATACCTTTGAAACCGCCGTGTTGTTCGGATAAAGTTTTATAAAGCTTTTTAAAGGTAAGGCCGATTTACAATCAGCGGCGTGCTATCGAGTACCTGACGTCGGAAGTATTAGATCCATTAATTTTGCAATTTTACCCTGCCGATAGTTTTTATTTGGTACTAAACGGCAGTCGCAGTTATTTTCTTTTCTCAGCCGTGATAATTTTTACAAGATTGCTGAATTCGCCTTGCTTTCGAGCCAAATACCAAGGTATTTTGGAATCTATATATTGAGGGAAACATCTTCTGATGTAATTACAGTTTAATGACGTCCGAAGCTTAAAACGTGGCTGAAATGTTGACGATGTACAGAAGACGCCATTCCGAGTTCGTCGGATTGTAGTTTCTGGATTGAGGATTCCACGAGATGCCAAGTTTGTGGGATTAGCCGTGTACAAGAGGGGACCGTGTTATTTATGTTCTTGCTGTTTAGCGTTCGTTGAGAGCATTGCCCTCTGCTTTTTATATATGTTTTCATCCGCTCTCTGCCTTTCTCTGGTTTGGTGTTCCGCTTTATATTGGGAGTGCAGTGTCTCTTTGCTGGTCTGTGAGAGAGCTTCGCTTCAACCGCCGCCTTTTTTTTCGGAGGGTGCGTCCGAATTTTTGGGTTTTGGTGGATTCGGAATGAAGAAAGGGAATTCGGCTACATCTAACCCCGGGCGGGAAATGAAATGAGAAGGAGTGAGTGGTCGACCTGTCCTCCAGCAGCGATTCCTCTTAATTAAAAGCCTTGATTAGGGTTTAAATGTGTGAAGCAGGTATTTCGAGCCCTTGGTCTTATCAGTTTTTCGGCAAAGTTTTTACTCAGAAACACCTACAGTAAAACAAACGCGTTAGAGGAAGCGTTACGGGCTTTATGAGTCCTCATTATCATTGTCTCACCAATTTGTTTCATATCTCTTTTTTATTACAACTGATAACATTTTGGCGAAGTATTCGTTACATAAATTGTTTTGCAACAGCACGGGTATTAGGTGTTTTATATCAAGAAGTTTATTTTTCAATTATCTTAGAGCAGCGTCCCCAGCGATGTTTTGTCGAATTGCGAGCCATATTACTTTTTTATTGTAAATTGTACTTTCGAACATCCCCGCGGACGCTTTCAAGGCTTCGATTTTTTAGCGGCCACGGTTTTCGAGCATACCCGGGCTTTCAGGACGTGGGCCGACTTCCCCGGCCGCTTGCCCCCATCCAGCACCCAATTAGGACCATCCATCACCAAACGTGCCTGTATGCCCATTTAAGGGGACGGATTTGAGGACGGTAGTCGTGGCAACAGCGGGCCGTATCCTGTTCGTGGCGTTCTTTTAGATCCCTCGGTTGTAATTACTTTTGTTCAGACAAGTGCATGGACGGCCAGACTGTGGTCCAGCCGGTGGGCGCGGAGCTCAACGGAGTCCCGAACGGTGGCATGTTTCCTCCGGGCGCCAATCAGTACCCCTGCTGGTCTCAAGGAGGGCCCCAACAGCACCGGCCTGAGATGCCCTCAACTTCCAATGGGGCCCCCATGCAATTCCAAGACCCCTCTCCCAACTTTTACAACGCCGGAGGGATGGCTCCGCCTAATTCGGCTCCTCCATCGGTCGGCTACTTCAATCAACAACAACCTTACTTCAACAACATGCAAGGCATGCCCAATCAACGACCTCCTGGAACTCCTGAATTCCAACCACCACCTTCTTACAACCCCCAAATGGCCCGAGCAAATCCCATGAATCCTGTGCAACGACCTCAATTTCCTCAGCAACCGCCTTTGATCAGTCGGGGAATGAGCAATCCCCAACTGATCTCGCAACGAAATAGCTATGTCTTTACTACCGATATGTTGAATTTAGCTACTCAGGACGTGAAGCAAGGGCGCTATCCAGGACTTGTTCAATGGCATCAAGCCAGACAGATGTCTCAACCGAACCCGGTTATGAATCACATGATGGACAATGGACAACGGAATTCCCCCAGTTTTCCTTCAGCTCAACAGCCTAACCGAAGTCTGAAACGAAAGAACACAGCTCAATCTGTAAGTTGCTAATGTTTTTTTGGATTGGTCTGTTTAGGATCATAATCCTAGTCCATCCCCGCAATCCATGCAGAATGTGGATTTCAAGCAGCCAATGTCGAATCAAAACCCGCAAGATATCAAGCAGGAACCAAACACGGCTGATGAGAACAACCCATTGAAGTAAGTATCACAATTCATTTCTAACATCTGTTTAGGAAAATGGAAATAATGGCTTCCTTTTCCAATGAACCCCCAACCAAGAATATGAAGACTGAGATCTCGAATGGGAAGTCGAAGTAAGTGCAGTTCTTGAAGGTCTTCTCCGTTAATTTTCTGATTTGTTTATACATAATTTTTGCAAACACATTGAAAATATAATTTTTTTAGAGAAGAGAAGATGGCTAAATTGGATGAAATACAACGATCACTTGAACAGCCTCAATTCCACCCGAACATGAGATTCCGGGGATTCCCCGGCCCGTACCCTCCAAATCAGATCCCTCCTCAATTCATGAATGGGCAGAATTTCATCCCCCAAGGCTATAATCCTCAAATGCAGCTCAATGGAATGCCCCAAGGCATGGTGCCGAATGGGATGCCGCCTTCGTCTGATCCAAGCCAAATGTCCTCCTTCCCAGGCCAGCCCATGAATGCAGGCCCCATGCCCCAAAACGGATTCCAAGGTCATATGAATTCCCCCAGGTTTATGGGACCTAATATGGGACAAGCAATGATGGGAATGCCTGGAAACGATCGACCGATGCCTGGTGTACCTTATCAACCTGGAATGGAGATGAGTAAGTAGTGTCGTTCTGAGTGATGACGCAGAATAAACTCTTGAGGTTACTTTTTTATTCTACTTTTAGATATGTCGAGAGGCCTAAACCCCCAAGAACAATATGCATGGAATCAAAACATGCCGCAGCCCCTAACTAATCTCGATTCCCGCGTACCCAACCAGAAAATGCAGTATTACGGGAATGGCCAACCCCCTATGGGTGGCCCAATGCCACCGCCAGCATCATCGTCTACTACATGAGCTTGTTGATCATATACTAACATTACTGTTCCGTTAATCCTCCTCTCAGTCGTTACCTGATTGTCTCGAGACATCTTCATCGCATTTCCAATGTATTATGTTATGTTGAAGATGGTCTACTTTGCGTATTTATCGGATCTCCTACATAATTCTGTTCTCCGACCCTCCAAAGCATTTCCTTCTTGGCCTGGTTGCCATCGAAAACTCCGTCTTATCAGCAAAGGATATATATTTTGAGTTGATCTTATCACTTGGTTAGTATTATTTTTCTAATACCTAGATTAATTTTTACGCAGCTCAGATTCTCATTTTTTGCAACAAATTTTTATATTTTTATCTCTGTGATTCACGATAAAATAATTTATCTAACGCCTGACGGTTTTGGAATGATTATTCTGGATTTACTTGACTTACATCGCTTGAAACAGCTAATCTTATAACGTCATTCTTTCGAAAGTTATTGTGAAACGGAATGAATTTGTTCTAATAGATGGATTAAACAGGAGCAAGTAGACTTAAAATTACGTAAGCAGAAAACTCGTCGGGAATAAAAAATTCGTCCAGCAATTCCAGTGTTATATGTATTACAAACAGTAAAATTATCGTTTATTTTGAACAAAATAGATGAATTATTAAAACAAACCGTATAATGAGATCGACAGTGGTAATGACCTCACCGGATTACAACCCTGCAGTATAAGTGAGGATAGGCGATAATCTATATAATTCATTGCACCGGCGTTCCGCCTACTGTCTTAAAGCCGGAATCGTTGAGAGCTCGCTCTTCCAGATTGTTCTGATAGCTTTTCCCTCGTTTGATGAGTGATATCACAACTTCCCCAAGAGATTGAGTAAATTCTACTCGATGAGACTCCAGAAGTGGGGGTTCCAGATGATGGGGTTTCCCGGGCCCTGGTAGATTGTTGTAAAATACATTATCCACATAAACCAAAGGGTCATCTTCATCGATCAGACAGTTTCCATCGATTCTTAAAATACAAAATCAAAGAATAAAGAGTGATAATTAAAAACCTACGAAGCTCTGTAACGTCCTAATAACTTTTGATCAAATCCACTTCTTTCTAAGACTGTCACTTTCAAATCGCCGTCTTCAACGTCCAGGGATTCCAGACTTTTATTGGAATCTGATTCTCGAACTCTTCTCTGACTCTGCAACATGAGTGATCGGACAACTGAACGGACTAGCCAGGGAAGGTTTAGCGATGTCATGGTTCTGTAATAAATAAAAACAATTAGATAAACCCTTTCCACCGACATCATCTCGCGACCATCGACGCGCCTATCCCAAAATCACGTATCACTTTAGTCGACAGTGTAGTCATTACGATTCTAAAGACGATAGAGCTCTAAAAAACATTTTATGCGCTGCATAGTACACTGTAAGACTATTATCAAATTACACTAGCATTACAATAACATTTTATTTCAAAATCCCGCGAGTAAATGGTACCATTCACAAAAAAAAAAGACTGAGGGAAAACCCCGAGGCATTGGGCAGATAAAATAAACGCGAAAGAGCAGAGTCCACCGCAGAGAACGAGCAGACCTCTAGACCCTCCCGATTCCAAACTCTGCCTCCCTTTTTCTTCCCCGAGACACGTTGAGTCGGAGGGAAAAGAAATATTCATCTCATGACGTTTGAGGCGACCGGAAACGAAATCAACAGCTGAATCTCTGATCCGGGTGATCAACGCGGGCACCCCAGTACGCTGAACCCAATAAGAGACATAAGCGGTCATTTAAATGAGTCTTGGCAATTAAGGAGAGCGCTGAAAGCACTGTAAGCGATTACTTATTGCAATAAAATACTAGTGGTCCTTTAATATCATCCCCTCAAGCTAAACTCCACCCCATACAAAAAACAATTCGGAAAAGAAAGTATATGTTGATACAGATATCACCGACCTGATCAAAGAACGAGATCGGCGAAAACAACCCCAGAAAGTATCAAATGGAAAAAGCTAGCAAAGGGAATGATCGCGAACTCTGAAGCATCTTGCAATCAATTTTATGCGTAAAAAGCACCAAAACAATTTTTGCGAAATTCGGATAAGCAGCAAAATCCACCAAAAACCCAGCAGTCGATCACAAACTTAAAACGAAGCATAAAACCTGAGCTCGAGAATGTTTAAGACCTCATGAGGGCGTCCAGCCGACCCGTGAACTTGTGACGTTAGCTTCTCCTCTCCTAAGGACCCCCACATATTTCAAAAAAACAACGAGAGGGCCGTTCCTTTAATCTGACGACATCATTTGTTTGCATATTGTTGTGGTTGAATTAAGCCTACAAAATGGTCTTGCGCATTGATCCAGGAAAAACAATGATTCCTTACAGTTTTAAAACAAGCCCGGGCAAAGCCACCTACATTCAATACAGATAAAATATTTATCTCCAATTTCCCCGCTTGTTAAAAATGTACAAAAAACTTCAATGAGGCTCAGGAACATGTCCATCAACGTAGAAATTCCGTGTAATTTTTGGTAGAGTTACAGTGATTCCATCAAGATCCTTGGAAAGTATAATCTGGCAAGAAAGTCGTGAGGTTGGCTTCAAAACTGGGGCCATATCTAACATATCCTCTTCTTCTTCTTTAGGTTCAGGGAGAATGTCAAAATATTGCTGTTCAACGTAAACATGACAGGTACAACATGCAAGAGATGCCTCACAGGCACCCTCAATTTCGATGTTATGTCTAAAAAGTAGTCAAATAAAATTATTGACAACCAGATGGATGCTATAAAATTAGAAAAACAATACAAAAAACCTTGAGCTTACCGATGGGCCAGATACATCACATTATCTCCAACCTTGCCTTTAATTTTTTTATTAGAACCATCTCTGGTCACATAAGTAATGTTTACCACTTCGTCTTCCGATTTCGGATCTTGCCATTCAAAGTCGCCATGATGAAAGCTGGGAGTCTTGGAAAAACACTGTGTTTGGAGAAATGAATTCTTTGTAAAGAATCGGGAACGAAGAAGCTTCGTCAACATTTTACCAAAAATTTCCAAAAAATATTGCTTCTAAAATAAACGAAATGCAACTATAGCTTCGAAATGTCACTATTGATCCAACAGTTCTCATCCTTGAAGTGCATGATCAGGAATGGTCATTGTGGTAAACTAACTGTAAAACATTTTGGGCTAGGAGAAGACTTAGTTGATAGAAGTAATAAGACTGATAAGTCCAAGAATAGTTTATCTCCTATTTGAGGTGTTTTATATGCATTACTGCAATAATACAGGGTGACAAATAAAAAATGCAACTTTTTTTCAGGGGTCCTGCCGCGAAAACTTTTAGGTTTAGGAAAATGTTGTTCATACCATTAAACTCTCCGTGTTTTTTTGTCCTAGTCTCTCAATTTTCATACCCATATCGGTTGATTAACATGTTTGTTTCGAGTCTAATACAGAGGGACCCCGATTTTAAACGTGTCACGAGAAGAAAAAGGACAGTGAAAGATTGCTAAATTGGTCGGTGTAGGAAAACCTGTCGTACGAAAAGCCAGCAAACGATTCAACGAGCTTGGCCACGGTGGTAAGTGTTTAGAAATTAGAAGGAAGCGCATCTTGAAGACTTCTGCCAACCTTGAGACCATCAAAAAGCGAGTGAAGCAAAATCTGATGGTGTCCATGAAGAAAATTGCCCGGGAGACCGGCATCAAGAGAACAGCGGATCGACGAATGGTCATCAATGTACCGTAGAGCAAGCCTTACAAGCTCCAAAAAGCTTAGCGCCTCACGGAACACTACAAGCAAGCACGGCTAAAAAAATGTCGAAAACTCAACCGTCGCGCCGCAGCTCAGCGATGAGAGAAGGTCCTGTTCGCGGATGAGAAATATTTCAACACCGAGCAGGCCTACAACCACCAGAATTGCAGGAGTTGGACTGTTGAGAGTCAAAAACCATCCGCCATTTTTGAACCCAGTAAAAATCCGACCTCTCATGGCCTGGGGCAAAGTCTTGCGCCAGCGGCGTGATATCCTTGGTTTTCCTTGGTTTTCTTGGATAAAGGGGTCAGAACCAAACCGATAAGTCTACCAGCGGCATTTTGTACACCACCGTGATTCCGTGGGCTCAGTAGCACTTTGGCGGTTCAAAACGGACATCGTAGCAAGATTGCGCCATCATCCATAAAGCAAAAAAGACGCAAGGCCAGGAAAGGACCTGTTTTCCCGATTTTATGTGGTCTGCGAAATGGCCGCCTACTCGCTGGATCTGAATCCGGTGGACTATGTTTTTTGTTTAGTTAAAAGTCAGTACCTCTAGTTCACGCCAAAAAAGTTTGGAGTCGCTAATTGATCGCTGCGGTAAGAACGGGACCGATTTCCCCAAAAAAAGCTTCGGCGAATCGCCCAAAATTTAAAGTCACGTTTTGAGCTCTATCTCGGGGCCAAGAACAGCCACTTTGAAACTGGCTGAGCATACTATTAACAATGCTCTATGTTACTGATATTCACCGTTACTTTGGTTAAGTTTGGTGTTTTAGACAAAATATGGCCATAAATATGAGTTGCATTTTTTCTTTGTCACCCTGTAGCAAAAATTTTGGATGATTTATTTATTTTAGGGACAAAACCGTCCTGGGGACAGAACCGGTCTGGGGACAAACAGACCCGAAGAAAGTGGGGACAAAAACGTCCCATACGTTGAAAAATGTGCCGGTATTGGCCTCGCGACATTACGTAAGCCGATGTTGCAAAATTCTTTGACCAACTAGCCAATCGGTCGAAATAACAGTCAAAGAGCCGGGATCCGCTAGCAGAATGGATTTTAAAGGATTCGAAACCTCCTTCTTCTGTTTTCTGTTTCTGTGTTTTTAAACATACATTTGACAATTATTTGAAGCACACTATTAAATCTCTTCTCATTTTGATCCGCATTGGAGACCTTCAGTAGTTGCGGGAGACTTGAAGAATCCGTGTTTTTTTGTGACTGTTGGAAATTAGTGAATTTTGTGAATTGTCATAAAAATTTATTGTATAAATAACTGTACATATCATTTTGCTACTCGTATCGGGTTGAATCTAAGGTCGGTGTAAGGTTGTTAGCTCCAGGACCTTCTCGTAGATGTACTCGATGTTACTCTGAAGATGATAAACGGTTAAACTCGGCTACCTATATTACCTGAGCTGTCCAGCAGCCACAGCGCCGTTCTCGGTATGCTGATAGGAATTGGAGGACATCCACGAATCGTTCTTGCTCTAGTTGACAGGCAGCACTCTGTAAAGCACAGACTACGTAGGGCATGGCGCTGTTGGATGGGTCGATGAATAGCATCTGACAGCGATGACAATCAATCAATTGGTCTTGGATCCGCTCCAACTCGGTCCAGGTGTGAAGCTCGAGGTCTGCTGGCTTCAGCCTGACAATCCGTATGCATAACTGAAAGACATGTTTAAGGCCATAAGCACTATAGAACAGAAATATTTCATCGTTTTTTGACTTTATTACCTCTTCATTGCCTTTCTTCAGCAAAATATGCTCTTCATTTTGCTTCCTGACCACTAACTCGAATGAATCTGGCTGTATGCTGACAGTCTTCCTTCGGATTTGGACTGAATTTGAGTTGGATTCAGTTTTGGATCGATGGGGAACGGATCTGAAGAAGTCCCCGACCTCAGCGTCTGATCCAAACAAAACCGCAGTCTGGCATTTCCTTTCCCATAAAAGATTCCAGAGATCAGAACATTCGCGAGACCAATTGCCGACGAGGAATTCGTCAGATCGATGGTATCCGGGAAGAACAACATAACCAGGAGGAACTACACATTGCGGGATATCGGGACATCTACAGACTTCCTAAAGAAACAACCTAATTGATGTGTTTTTGGTTACTTCATATTGCATCTGAAGTCGGGTTCGGCCGTCAGGGAGCACTTGGTGATATAAAAACTTGAGGTAATTGGAGAAGTTGGGGACCGATTGACGGGTGATTCCATGTTTAATGAGTTCTCTGACAACTCGATGACAGAAAATGTATTGATCCTGAAAGGGAGTCGTCCTGCCCCATAAAGACCACTTACCAATGTCTGGACAAGCCGTTGTCTCTGTCTTCTGATGTGTTTTAGATGGCCGAATATATTGATATGATCACAGACCAGGAGATGCCTTCGCATACTGTCGATTAGAATGAACGAACCGGAACGGCCAACTCCGGCGGAGCAATGGACAACAATCGGGCCATTGGATTGGATGTCAGCGACATAATTGAGGAATGATAAAAGAGGGAATACAGTCTTTGGGGTGCCATGATCTGGCCAAGAAGTGAGATGAACTTGGTGCACCGTGCGTTCGGGCTGAAGGCCATGTTTTAATGTTTCATCCTCATAATCCAAACTTACCACAAAACATTTGCTCGACTTTAATGTCAATATCCTGTGAACAAAGTTGGCATTTGGCATTTCCGCTGTCAATGTTACGGTAAGATGACCGAAGACGAGAGGAGCTTTTGTTGAGCTCGGCCAGTATTGATCACATTTCCTCTGAGGTCTGGTTAATTCATTCTCGACAGACTTACCTTCCCGTCTTCGACTAAATTTGTAATAACTACAATAACATTACACTTCTCCTGCCAAATCATGCCATAAAAGTCGTCAAAGGTGTGAGGTAATGGGGCTTGGGTTGCAATATATACATTTTTCTCTTCAACACTCTGAAAACGGGTTGCTGTAATCACATAGGATATTAATTAAAGCATAAGTCCTTTTAAATGGAAATTATTTCCTTCATATTGGATATGTTTGCATTTTGTTTGAAGGACATCTGGCGAAAGTATTAAAATGCCCTCCGGGCATGAAACGGGGCATAATAAAATGATTTATGATGCAATAATTTAGCTCGCGTACGGGATGCTCATAGAATAAATATTGGACTAGCCACACTCACATCAATGTAGTTAGCATTAATATAACCATCGTCGCTGTTAGAATCGATGATTTTGATTCTTGTTTTCTCCACGGCTCCAATGTTTCGGTATCTGTTCTTGAGTCTCTGATCCGAATTCATGATTTCTTCCAAGCTTTCTTCCGATTGGACTTCTGAATCAGCCTCGATGTCCTGTTATAATAAGCATTTTTAAACCGTATCTTTTCTGAATTTGAATAATTTTTGATGAATTTGAGGTCCTTTATCTCCGCTTTTAAGAACTTTTCCCGGAGACTTTGAATTTCATTTGACCGATTTCGGGGTGTGGACCCTCAGGGGAATCAAAATAAAGTATCGTTTTGAGTACATCGGCCTCGCCCTCGCTTTTATGTCTCTCTTTTCGGCACCAATTTGCATAATCTTATCGAATTAGAGCCTCCTCTCGACCTTCCGGCCATTTCTGTTGTCCCGAAAAAGTCCGTCCAAATTCCGGAAGTCCATTCTTGAGAGGAATTGCCGATTCTCAGGCCAAAAACGGGTTCTAACTTTGGAAATAACAAAAACACATACGATTTTGTCAAGGATAATATTCAAACTGACCTCGAATTGTCGTCTAAACCCTTCATTCTCATTTCTGCTCATCTCAGTAAAGTATGTGTCAAAACGAGAAACAATAACGGCCGTGGAACTTGTGGTTTCTGAAGTTTCAGTGTCTGTAAGCTGGGTTATGTCATCATTAAGCAAGCCAGGACACCCACAAAAAGCACGAAGAACAAGATAGAAACACTCACCGTAGACCAAAGACATTGTTTCCTGGCCTCCCTTCTCATCAGCCTTCTCCAAGATCTTCTTCACCCAACTACAACGACGTTTCATGAAGAATGTGAAGAGGAAAATCAAGATGACAAAAGATGCCATCATGGTGAGGATGAACAAAAGGGACACTCCCCTTGGCTTCCGCTCCACTCCAGCCATCGAAACCTTTTCGCAATTTTCGTTCTTGGGAGTGCAAATTGAAGATTGAACAACACATTTACCTACAAAGATATATTTAATTGTGAGGAATCAAACAGCTCACTTTGATCAATTGTGAACACTTGGTGTTTGCTCAAGGCACTCTCAAAGAAGGTCAGATTACTGTATTTACTGCCAAGGACAGAAGTTAATCTGATCGAGTATTTCGTTCCGGGTTGAAGACCAGTTAACGCCATGGCGGAGTCCGTGGTGTTGTATACCTTGGTATTGGATTTGTTCTCGAGGAATATTTTGTAGAAAGAAATGGGAGATGACTCGTTCGTCCAATGGACAAGAACATCGGTTCCACATTTGTAATCCACACCCGTAATTCGAGGGGGATTTGGCACTAAAATTAAAAAATGATTACTGTAATTGAGGCCCTTTCGTTGCGAAAATTCGATCGGAAAGAAATAAAAACGGACATGCATAATCAGTTGTGACCGATACTGGTGCACTTTTGTCGCTTTCTCCCTTTGAGGTGGATGCGGTCAATGATATGCGATACGTGGTGGACGGATCCAGTTTAGTGAGGTTATAAGCGAATGTCTTCGAGGAGTCTTGGTTGACCATCAACCTGACCATCGAACAGGGAAGTTTCGAATTTACATTTTGAAAGTATATCTGATATGATACGACCCGGCCATTGGGTGTGGCTGGTTCCTTCCACAGAATGAGTACAGTATCCCCGGTCAACGGGCGGACCTCAACTGATTCCGGAGGTCCCTCGGGAACTGAAAAGGAGAAGGTAATGGAATGGCCAAGTCTTTGTAATTTACTTGAATCTTCAGTGTGGAAGTTAACAGTCTGTGCAGGGGAATATCCGAAGCCATTATCACTTTCGATGCTCAATTTGTAATCTGCATCTGGTTCCAAAGAGCAAAGGGATTGCCGGTGGTTCTTCACATACCACTCCCTCATCGCTCCCGATCCAATCCTATGCACCATGATTCTGAATCCAAGCACCGGTCTTCCATTATGATCTGTTGGAGCATTTCTCCAGACAACATCAACACAGCCAATGGTCCCATTGCGGAGAAGTTGGATCATCGGGGGTTCTCTTGGGGCCTCTCCCAAAGTTCGGAACACACTTTCAGGCCCGAATTCACTAGTCCCGGCTGGGTTCTCAGCTCGGACTGACAACCCATACCGAGTGTACGGTAACAGACTGTCGATGACAGTAGTTGTCTGATTGTCCTTGGTGGTCACTACCCGCAATGACTCATCGTCCATTCGACTAAAGATAATTTTCTTTTCAGTGTTAAATTTAAAAAAGTTTATTTTTTAAAATGTTTGCTTACTTGACCAATATGGAATATCGTAAAACTGGTCGATGCGCGGCCCCGGCCGACTGGGTCCAGCTGATTGTTAGACTATTTTCAGTGCTGGCCGTCAGTTGAGGCTTTGCAGGTGCTGGCGGACGAACTGAAATTGTCTTGATGATCGCTTTATCTACGTAGACGCTGTCATTTACAGAATTTTATATTTCTTCAAAGTTTGTTCCTTGGACTTTATGCACATGTTGTTTCTCGGCGGTTAATTTTATTATGCAAATTAATGGTTTCGTGTTTTGTTTTGCGTTTTCTTGACCACCTAATCCGAACGGCGCCTAATCCTTTTTCTCCGCTTATGACCTCAAATTTCAGGTCAAGAACAAAGCACCGGCGTTTAATAATTCGTGGCCGAAAAAAGGGGTCACCTAAGCAAGGCTCCAAGATTTTAGAGTCGAGCATTTTTGAGATATCATCCTAACTCATACTGTTTCGTAATTTAGAATTGGTCACTCGGTTCTGGGTATCTGCTGTAACTTTTCAGGGCCCCGTTGTATAAACCTCTTATCCTCGCATTCCCCGCCCATTTCCGTTCCCGTAATCAAATAACTCCGGGCCTAAATGGAAGATAGATTGGATGGTAAAATAGGGTCCGAGTGAAGTTATGTCATGACTGACGAATGTGTGGCCAGATGGCCAAGCGGCGTTCGCAAGAGAACCCAGCCGTGTTATGGCCGTATGCAAATGAAGCCGGTCTCACTTAAATGGCCCTGATGACCGATAGCCGAGTGAAGCCGGATTCGAAACGCCGCTACAAGTGGATGAGAAGGGAGGATAAAAGAAATGCCCCGGGACATCAATTTTAAAGTGCATTCGAAACAAGGAGATCATCAATTAAACAGACTAAAGGAGGAACAAAAAGAGGACGGATCTGGCTAAATTAATACAAAGTAAACTCGTTTCTAGTATTTCAATATTCAGCACAACACTTACCCATTACTAAAACGGGAATGTTGATGCCAGTTTCGTCTTCTGCGAAGAGCGGGTCAGTCTCCAATCGACATCTGTAAATCCCCGAATCTTCTGGGAGAGCGGGGTTGATTTTGAGATCATAGAACGGCTTCTTGAGCTCATATCTTGTCCCAGCCACCCACCATTGTCGGCTGATATCTGTGACCACATCCTGCAAATAATTTCTCTGCTCTTTGCATAACATATTATACATGCCCTCTGATTCCCGGCTGTATACCCTTATTACCCATATGTCATCCATTTCAGTCCTGTGATTCATTTGCGTTTCTCTTATTAACTAAAGTAATATTGAGAAAGTAATACCAAGGCTGCTGCCATTTCCTGCGCATATTCAAAAAATACGAAAACAGTGTGTACACAAGAGCATGTACCATGTCCCCGCGATGATATATTAATTAGAATGGCCCCTCGATAATTACTTTCCAATTAAAAAGAGACCTTTTTTGATGTCATGTCATATAAAGACAGGGCCTTGAATTTTTAGTTTCTTCGTTTCTTCGAATGACCGCCGCAATTTAACGCTTAGAACGCGCCGAGGCGAGTAAGTGCCCCAGGGGTTTGAGCGTAAAAATGCGCGATTAAATGCGCGAAAGTAAAGAAAGCAGGTGCCAGAAGAAAACGGGGATATTCTGGGGTCTCGAATACCTCCATATCCAATTCTTTTTGATAATTTATGTGAAGCTATGCTGAATGGATTACTACACAATCACAACCATAATTGTAAACTACATTGGCAGATGATAAATGAACAATTCCGACGTGTCGGTTACTGCTGTGGCAAGGAAATTTCCCTCTGTTCATAAATAATTCCGCCCGAGGCTATCAAAAGGCGAAGTCGATCGGCACGAAACCCGACTCCATCTTGTTGTTTTTTGGGGTGCAACGTTGCAGTATTCCCAGGCCCGACACGCATCGCCAGTCCTTTTTCACACCCCCAAAAAAGTTTTCTTTCATATGCAAATTCGGGCGCATTTAGAGCCGGAAGGATTAGATTCCATTTAAAAACTTGCCAAGATATTTTTGGCCCATGGAAACGATAATGGTTTTATAAGACGAATACTTAATCTTTAAAGCAGTTGTAAAATAACTTACTTGCTGATAACTGGCAACCAAAGAGTCATCATGAAACCAGTCCAAGCGTCTAACTAGCTGGGGATTTTCAAAATCTGGGGCCATGTGTGTCCTCACCAGCAATTCTGCCGGTTCGCAACCCAACTCGATCGAAGTTCCATTCAGAATTCGGATTGTTGGCCGTTGCTGGGGCAAGGGCTGAGTGATTACTCCAAAAATGGAACCAAAAAGTAAAATAAAATAAAATATCATGGCATCGTAGTTACATCATCATGACAATATTTGTGAATCTTCAAACTGAAACAAGACTTTTATCAATTTTAAAGTTTCATCGTTAAAAACGTAGTTGTGACATAATAATAAATAAGGTGAGGAGAGCAAAATAATGGCCTAGACTTAGTCCCAATTATCCGGTCATAAAACGCGAGAATAAAGTGATCTTAGCCATTACTCCACACCAAGTGACCGGTCAGAGGTCAAATGCTCAGCTTGAGACCTTAATTTAGTTGGGCTTTCGTAGTCCTTGAGGTAGACCTCAAGAGCGGACAACGTCAGATTCCGGTCTCCCACCGTGAGCTCGGGTTAAAGTGGCTAAAGATGGATATTTACAGACGGTTATTGGGTTTCTATTTCCACAACTACGATTCGCTAGTTGTTAAATAAAGACAACAACATACTTATTATCATCCTTTATTTAAATCCTAGAAATTTTCCATCCGAATCCACGTAGATCGCGCCCCCCCCCCTTCGCCTTTTCTTAAAGGCTCGAAAAATGGCCAGTGGAAAAGGCCATGCTCGAAAAAAGGGGCGTGGTCAAGATGGACGACAGACTTGCGCACCGTATGTATTATATGTAAGGGCTTTAAACGTCGCATTAGGCAGGTGTAAGATGACAGAGTGGGTAATGAGGAGCGGCCTTCGAACCCCCAATTAGACGGCCTTAAAGTCAGATTAGGCGCCCAGAATATGGAGCTGCTTTATTTTCGGTTTAAATGCCCTCAGGGCGGTTCGAAATGGGAACGTACTAAGCGAAGAGATTTTGTATCTATGGTAGTTAAAAGGGGGTTGGAAGGGATTAGGCTCGAATTAGAAAGGCCTTGATTATCGAAGAATGAAGTCACAGAGGAATACTGATGCAAAGAGCATTCAGATACAGTCTTCATGCAAGCAAATTTTGGAATGAAAATAAAAGATTGCCAAAGAGGGTCGAAAAAAGTTCACAAACTTACGTCGAGCTTTTATAAAGTCATCAAAACGTTGAAACTCAAAAGTCAGCGCCGGAAATAACCGAAAAAACAAAAGAAATCAAAAGGAACCCAGCCGGAGACCTGCCTCTTTCCTGCCTCCATAAAGCTACGTACAACTTCAGGCACTTCTTTTTATTCGACTACCGGATTCACAGTGGGACAGATAGGAGAAAAGCCGGACCCAAAAAACATTCACAAACCCCTGGACCAGACTTCCGATTCGGATTCTGGAGGACCGCGGGAACATGAAAATAAACATTGGGAACGAGGGATTGATGAACGCAAAGAAGGGCGAGTTAATTAGCAGTTACACGGAACTCTCAGGGGTAACCAAACCCTCCTCTTTCACGGAATTCTAACGGAGTTGCTGAGATAATTACAGTCTCCGAAGATCCGGGCAATCACAGCCAATTGGTTAATTCCAGAATTAAAAAAAAATCAAAAACATTACTGCCAAGAGATACTGAATTATAAGTCTCCCACTATATTACGAATCAAAAAGAACACCAGATTTTGAGTTGGCGTTCTCCACTTGTAATCACAAACACCTGGAAGATGTTCATAGACACGTGTCAGGTCTATTCCGCTCGGAAAACCTTGTATTAAATTATCTATTACATCAGTAATTAAAACGTTCCTAGAACGATGTTTCCATAGATTTTGCGAGGATAATCCATCATAATCAACCTAGCCAAAATGACCCAAAAGAGGATTAGGAAGCACTCATCACATCCGGGAAATATTAGTCATCCTCGATTCAAATTAGGGCTAAATGAATCAAAGAATCCTTCGACGAGAGAAGGCCATAAAGGACAAGAAAAAGAGCTGTTCCACATCTTCCTATTCTTATATTTACAAGCCTATGACAACATGACTATGCACTTAAGGAGCGGCGAAACAATCCCCGCAAGGTCCTCGAAAAGTGCGAAAAAAGAAGCGCCGAAGATGGGCACGGAATTGTTATACTCGAGGAACAATCCACGGCCACAAGAGTTCGGGGTGGCCAAGGCTTTGTGGAGTAATTTTTATGAAACCAAATCAATCACTTCTTAATCGTTTCCAGCCTATAAAACGTTTTGCCCCGACTCGGGCGTTATATTAACATCAGATGGCACGGGTGAGGGAGTGCTCTAATCCCCAATCAGTATTTTTGTAACTAACTTCTCCGTAAGTTGAAGAGTAACTATTTTATTTATTTTTAAACATAAACTCATGTGCCGAACGATAATGAAAATAAAATAGGAACAACGAAAAAAGGTTATCATAATTATTAAGAACTGTTCTCGTCAGCCTTCGCGACTTCAGATTCCTCGCTGACATTGGAAACCTCCATCAATTCCTCATTGGATTCAACTTCAGGCTGAGTTTCTTGGGTCGACTGTTCATTTTCGGAGGTCTCCTTCTCTGATTTTTCTTCCGATTTGTCAACTTCCTTCTCATCCTTCTTAGATTCTTTCTCTCTTTCATCCTTTTCTTTCTTATCGCTCTTTTCTTTATCTTCCTTCTTCTCTCTTTTTGGCGGAGGCATTACTTTGTCAACAATTGAGACTAATCTTTCCCCGAGTTTCTTAGCGTCCAGCAATGAAGTCTTCATCAGCACTGTATCATCTTGAGTATTCTGTAAAAACATGTGTAATAGAAGACCAACTTTCAGATATTGCAAACAAAAGACAGACACTTACTTTCAGGCATTTCTCGGCATCATAAAGTCTCTTTTTGTACTTCTCCAGGTCCTCTTCCAAATGTTTCCGCTTCTTATCATATCTATCGCGTTGCTCCTTTACACTCTCTACAAAAGTGTTTTGAAACATAATTTTTACTCACTCAAAGTAACTTCTAACTGTTCGATCTTCAACAATGCATCACTTCTCTCATTGTCTACCTTCTTCTGAGCCTCCAAGGTCTGGGTAATGTTGAGAACTGTTCCTTTGTAGAATACAACACCGTTTTCAGTGACATCAGGGGTAGACGTAGCCGTGACATTGCTCGGTTGTGCTTTCTCTGGTTGATATTGCTTTAACAATTCGGATCGCGAAGGGGCTTCCGGGGCTGGTTCAGGAAAATATTTCGTATTTCCATCCTTGTCCACCCACTTATCGGTGATGTTACGGTAATTGAATCTATCCCGGGAGGACACCTTCTTCACAATCTTGGAAATGGTGCTTCTGGATATATCTAGGCCAATAGAATTAACAACTTCTTCCAAGTCCCGATCATTCAGGTATCCACAACCATTTATATCAAAGTGAGTAAAGGCCTGGAAAGCGGAGACATTATTGACCAGAGCTCGGAAGTTGGTCCTCAGATCAATGTTCTCCTTTTTGTCCTTATCCTTGGTTGATTCTTTCTTTTCTTTATCATCTTTTTTCTCTTCCTTAGACTCCTCTTTCTTTTCCTCTATATTTTCGGTCTCAATTTCCTCGGCCTTTTCTTCTCCGTTTTCAGATTTCTCGTCGGGTTTGGCCAAACTTTCATCCCTTCGTTTCTTCTCTGTTTCCTTGTCCAAAACTGAATTTAAAATATGGAACACTCCAAATGCGTTTGACCGGTCGATGGCTTCCTTCAGTGCTTCGGCAAACAAGAATACCTAAAGCGAGATGATTTTTTTTAGAGCGTCCTCTCATCGACTGGGGAAAACGCCGACCAGGGAAAATGAATTATGACCGACCGTCATTAACAGTTCGCGGTTTAAAGATAAAACGCTAGCCAAGTATAAGGTTAGCCTAAAATTATCCTAAATGGCTAGCCAAAAAGCTGGATGGACAGCCAAATAATCCAACTGGCTGGCTATGCAAAAACCAGTCCAACACAGCGAAACGTAGACGCCGGTCTTCTAGGTTGTTTTTCGCAGAGAATAGCTACATAGGTTAAGAATTTCAAAAATTTTCTTTTCCCCAATCACCTAACCCCGGCTTCTTTTCCACAGAAAGACTCACCTCAAAGCTGGCTTCCTTATTATCATCCAGTCTGTAATCAAGCACTGTTTGAAGGGATGTCAACTTGCAGTTGAACTTTCCGCCCTTGGCCGATTTACTCGGGTAGATCAAGACGGCGGGTTCCTTGGGGAAAGTGTAATGTCTTTCTATCTGAGACTTCTTTTCCTTTTTCTGACGCTCGAACTGCTCCAATTCTTTCTTGTAAGCCGGGTCGCTCTCGTATTTCGGTCGTTCTTCTTTCTTCTCTTCCTAAAAAAATACATATTTAATTACTTTCAAACCATTATTTAAAACACGCAGACGTTTCAACAATCACTAATTTAAAGATTTCATCTAAATGTCATGGAAAATAGTTTTCCCTCTCAATTTTTTGGGTTTCCGACAACGGATTTGACAATCGAATGACCTAACCGACGTTTAACTTAATCTTTTGACATATACACCCGTGGTAAAATTCGCGTGCAACCTTCCAAAAAATTAAATAATCATCAAAAAATCATAACTATATGAATCTTCAAACTTCCTATGTTTTTCATACTGCCTTTTCTTAGGACATATGGGTGTAGAAAGCGCCCACGAGGCCTGGCAAAGCCGTTGGATGGTCGGCGGCGACTTGTTTTTTTAATTTTGGCTATTAGTAACATTAGTTTTCTTTATCCTGAGTTATTGTAACATATAACAGACCAAAATTTGCGGCAAAAAACGAAGATCCGTAACTTTTACCTAGATATTATTGATGTGAATACATGTAAAATGCCTCAAAATAGGTGACAAGCTAACCTGATACCCGATCAATCTTATTAAAAGGCAACCCAGGGAGCCCCCCGCCTCCTTTCGGCACTTCGCCCACCTAGTATCGGTTGAATTCAAATAAAATGTCAAAAATGAATTTCTTGTGTGGTTTTCCGACTGAAAAAATATTTTTTTTTTTCGGATTTTTTTTGCCAATTGCGACACTTCGTTTGAACAAAACTCAAAAGTGGGCGGGAGATACCTTTGTTCTATTTTGGGTTGCCGTGGGCTGGACCGGGCCCGGAAATGCCAAAAGAACGGGCTATGTCTGCAAAGACATTATCCTACCTTAATGTCGTCAGCATCCATTTTCTCGTCTACCTGTTCGACCTCGGCCTTCTCTTCTTCTGATGCCTCTTTCTTTGTATCACCCTCCTCATTTATTTGTTCTCCAGCAGCTTCAGTTTCATCAGCCACTTCATCAGTCATAATCAGGTCTTCCTTGACTTCGACATTGTTCTCTTCTTCTTCTTTTTCCTTATCAAGAGCTTCTTGCAGACGTTGAGCCAAAGCATTTTTCACTCCACGAGAATCAATTCCTCTTAAATCCAATTCTTCTCTTAAATCAGCCACCTTGAAATAAAAATACCATTATTTGATTTTTATGCTTACTTTCATAGCCTTTACAATCAGCTCCGACCAATGAGTTGGTTTTATTTCCTCTGGTTGCTGATCGTTTTCTTCTGCTTTACTTCCATTTTCGTTAGAATCATGTTCTTTCTAAAAGAAATAACATTATTCACGTAGCCCAGCATGAGAAAGGTAAAAGAATAAGTACGAGAAACGTAGTCCCCAATAAAAATAAGATCAGCTAAAAGCTCAGATTGGCGTCTCTACGGCTAGCCTAGACTGTGTTACGAACTTAACACAAAGCCACAACAATCACACAAAACATCAACAAACGCCCAAAATGTAAAAGGTTTGAGGGGAGAACAAGACTGCACCTCTGTTTCCGTCGTTCCATTTTGGGGTTCTTCAGTCTGAGGTTCAACCCGAGCTGATACAGCCGGTTCTGGCTGGGTCACCTTCTCTTCAACTGATTCATCTTGCTCGGACTCCTTGTTCTCATCTCCTTCTGTCTTAATCCCCAATCTTTTAATCAATTCAGGGCTTGGTTTGAACTGCTCAGCATCGATGGCCTCCAACTTAGACTTCAGCTGATTCGGAAGCACCTCTTCGACAATGCGTTTGTAGGTCTCGGGATCCGGACAGAGATTGGGAGTGGCACTCACATCCGGCAACATTAAAGTCACAATGTCATGACGCTGACGATCCGCTCGATGGTAATGAATTTGGGCCATTTGATACCTGAGTGGATATAACGAATGCAGAGAACGAAACGAAGAGAGAGAAAATAATAAAGTTTGAGTCATGGTTCGGATCAAGGACTTATATCGACTTGATAAACAACCGACGACTCACGAGGAGCCGGGGTTGATTATACCCGCAGTGGAATCCGGCAAAATCGTTATCTATCTGGCTCAATAATCCATGCTCTCCCTTTATGTCCCTGCGGGTTGGAGAATCCAAAGAAACAACACAGAAGAAAATAACTTACCACACTGGGCAGTTCTGCAGATCCACACCGACTGATGCTTTCGTGGTCCTGACGGCTGTATTAATCAAGGTCTGGGGATCAAGAGGGTTCTCTCCATCCAATGAGGGACTCCAAGCACCGCCAATACCCATGAATTCACTTTTACCTCGCATTCCTAAAGCTCAATATAACATTAAAACAATAAAACTTACCAACAAGCACCTGCAACACCTTATTTAAGTTTTGACAATCCTGGGCTTCATCAATAGTCCCATCAGCCAACAAACCAGTGACTTTTTGCCGAATCAAAGCAGCACCGGGATGAGTCAATAATAAAACTTTGACAACATATTTTGAATCGGAATCAGCAGGGTTCTCTACAGGAAGATCTTCTCCTGGATAATCAACGTCTTTACTCAGAATACAAAACGGAACTCCTGATGGAGCAAAGGAAATCTGTTCCTCCAGATTGAAAGAGAGTGGCCATTTCAGATCACACCGAACAAAGTCCGAAGGAATATAAAGATTCGGGTACCTCTTGTGAAGATAAGTGTAATGAGCCGCGCTAAATAAAAGGTATTTAGCCCAGTTTTTATACTTCGTATTATTAATTTGAATTAATTACCTGTCGACAAACGGACGAGGAATATAGCAAGTGTATCTTGGAATGATCCTTTGACGTCTTCTGGGAGGAGAATCGGCCTCTCTCGACTTCGCTGGAACTGGAGATCGTGCTCTCGGTTCTCTGCTAGGTCTGGGACTTCTTTCCCTTTTTATCGTCTCTCTCTTCGGAGAAAGTCTTTTAGGTGGCGGAGTTCTTTCTTTTCTAACTTGAGGTGATCTTCTAACCGGAGACCTTTCTCTTCTTGGTGATCTTCTACTAGCTGGAGCTCTTCGATCATTCGAAGGCCGATGATCATCCCGAGAATTCCTATCAACTGAGCCCCAACGATTAGATGCTCCACCACCATGACTTTCCCGACCAAGAGGTTGCTGAACTTGATGAGCCACCGGTGGAGGCTGCTCCTGAATCAGCTGCACTCTATATCCGTTCCATTTGAACGGCATCGATGGATTAAAAGTGGCGTCGACCATTACTCGATCGCCGACTCGAGGATGGGCACCTCGTATCACACTAAATCAGGAAAATGTTTACTTTTTTCTTTGATATACCTAGTCTGAAAAAAGACGTCTTCGTCGATAAATCCGTATGTGTCCATAAGCTTGGTCACTGTTCCCACAAAGGTCCGTTGATTCGGTTGCTTGTTTTGTGGGCTCCCCGGTCTCTGACCCTGTTGTTGTTGCTGAGGCAGAAGTTGACGAGCTTGCGCGATCATGTTCAAATTGTTGTTGAAGGCGGCTTGATTTACTAGGGCATTAATGTTGCCCAATTGCATCGGATTAACTTGGCCAGGAAAAGAATTGCCAAGCTGAGCTCCAAGCGGATTTCCAAAGAGATTCGGGTTGAGTTGCTGGTTCTGCGGTGCTAGAGAAGAGAGATGAATACAAGGCCGGCCCGACGACGATCTTACCTGGTTGTCGGGCCCATGCCCCCGGCTTTTGGCCAAATGACATTATCCTATCCTTGCAGAAAAATTACAATACTTTTATGCTGTAAATTTTGGTTATTGTGCACGAAAAAATGTCGTTCATACGAAAGCGTCCGCAATCGATGCAGAATAAAAATACAAACTTTCCTTGATATTGCAGGGGCAGCGTGGCGGGACCCGGAAAAATAAATACTTTTGTAAAAAAATTGCAAAATTTTGCGGACTATCGATGTTGTGAGAAGGATATTGGACGTCTACGGGTTACTATGCTAACATGGACGGAGGGGAGTCGTCAACGGTTGTAACAGAGGTTCCAGAGAATCTCAAAAACCTTTGTCTTTTACTTACCAAAACTTTTTTTGGGCTGCATCACTACGTTTTATTCGACTATATTCAAAAGCTGGGATGTGTTAAAGAAGACAGAATTCGGGAAATTCTGAAAATGGAAACAAAAACATTCAGAACACTTTTGAATAGTCTTAAGGTACGCTTTCATTTGTTTTTGTAAGACTTTAGGTTGAGAAGTTCGTAAAGGAAAGAACCATTTCCGAAGAGACGGACGGCCGAGCAAGGAAAGTAAACTACTATTATGTTAACTATAAAGCCATACTAAATGTAACTAAGTACAAGATAGATCATATGAGACAGAAGTTAGAGCATAGGGAGCAGACCCACGTCCAGAGGGCTTCCTACATGTGCGCGACATGTCATAGAGCTTACGATGCACTTGATGTCCAGAGAATTATGAATATGGAGACCGGAGAATTGATGTAAAGATTCATTACGTTGTACAACGACTTTTTTACAGATGTTGGCAATGTAACGGGCAAGTTGTAGCCGATGAAACTGCCGGGCCTTCTGAAGAAACCAGGTCGTCGCTAGCCAAGTTTAATGAGGAGATGGCCGGTATATTTTCGATGCTTCAGCAATTAGACGGTATTAGATTTGCTCGGCATATCATAGACCCCCCAATAACGGTTATAAAAGACGAGCCCAGAGACGACAGGAACCCGAATGCCTTACAGGTACGAAAGAATTTTAAATTGAAGTTTACAATCCGATTTTTAGGTTGGTGCTCGAATGTTTTCCAATGCCGAGAAGACGAGGTCAGACCTCTATTCGAATGGAATTATGGTGTCTATAGGGGAACGTCAAGAAGTCCAAGTTGAAAGCAAAGAAAAGGTGCCTTGGCTACAGCATAATACTCATGAAGAAGTTGCTGGAAATGGAATGGAAGGTATGGTTTTTATCGTTATATTGATAATGTTTTACATTATTGTTGTTAAGTTAATGTATTTTTTTTTCAATTTGACGTCAAATTGGCGTGATTTTGGTCAAATTGAAAACCTGAAAGACGAACCTTACAAACTCATATTCCGTATGCGATATGGTGAATTATGTTAATTCTAGTTGCCGTTAGTTGTTTACGGAATCAGTCGTTTTGACAAGAAGGAAGGAATTATTTGGTTCCCAAAATTTAAAAAAAACCTGCAGTTTTTAGATAAAAATCTGCCAAATTTCGTCAAAAAGTTAAATTTGACAATCAAAACTACAAGGTCAATTTTACTAGACGAAGGTGACGTCAATTTAACAATGTGACAGCATAACAACCCTATTTTCATGATAATTTTTAAAAAAATTTCAGAATCTTCATCGGCATTGAATGGGTTATCACTGAAAGAAGAGGCCGGGGAAGCTGAACCATCATTGTTAGCACCATTATTAGGAGATGCGGCTACAGCGGATATCGGAGCTCTAATACATGAGGCAGAGAGTATAAAAGAGCCTCATTCAGAGTCTCATAGTCCCACTAGGAGTATAAACAACACAAGTAAGTTTGTTCAATTTCTGTTAGTTTACTGGTATTTATTGTTTTTTTCAGATTCGATAGATGAGTTTAGCCAAGTAACAGAAGAAACGCCACACAAAAACGGGTCATCAAACGGCATAAACCATGATCAAGATCTTTACGTCACAGTTCAAGGACGTCAAATCCGATTTGAGGATTTGAATCAAGAGCTGGTGGACTCGATGAGTAACAAAGAACGCCAAGAATACATAGATCTGGTTGCGAATTCTGTTTTCTTTTAATTTATTCGGTTTCATAAATACTTATATACATGAGATTTGGGACGGCACTCAAAGAACGTCCTTGGTGATTTCCCCGATTGATACGAACGCGGTCTCGAGAGCGCCGTTTCCCGCTTGAATTTGAATAAATATGACAAAAACAGTGCCGTAAATTGGAATTCGTGGGAATGACATGCGATTTCTCAGGAGGGGAGGAAGAGTTTTGGTCAAATATATTGTTTGTTTGATACTAAACATTCTTTTTGAAACATGAGTAATATACAGTGATAATTGATCATATTGACCGTGATAACCCAAATATAACTAGTTCTTTTTCCATGACCTCCAACTATTATATCAGCCTCTCCTCTTTTTATTTATTTACTTATCAGTGATAAGTTGCGCAATTTCGGAACAAAAAGAGAAAGCCAGCGGTCGCTTTCTTCAAGTCTTATCCTCTGTTTGCTTATCGAGCGCAGGGCCTGTTGTCACTTATTATTATCCCATTATCATTACACTTCAAATTCCTCGGGACCCTTAACACAAGATTCTTATTGTTCCCCGTTAATTGTTTAATTCCCTCGAGATGCGAGCGAAAAAGGTCATTCAGAAAGTGTTGGAAATATTTGGTTCGGACAGGGTTTACACCATTCTGGCTGTATTAGCATTTTTATGGATTTTTAGGGATTGTTGCATTGATTAGCGCCTAATCTAACAGATGCCTATAATCGTCATAATGAATACCGGATACTTACTACTTGTTCCCGCAAAATAATCATTTGTTTACTTCGAATCCGAAATCTTTCGTTCCGACCAAAATGTAATGTCATATCACGCGTAATTAGATATCCATGGCCTAGTAGGGCCAAACTTCGTCTCTCCGACCACGAATACTGAACATCCGGCGGCCAAAATCAATTTGAGGGCGGGCGGATCCGCGTCTTCAGAAACCCATTTTGTGGATTCTTTTTTGAGGTCGTCGTCTTGTTTGAAATCCTCTCCCCATGATTCGATTCCAAAAAAGAAGCCTGCTTTTTGACGTGATTCGATACGAAAATAAGAGGGCTATGGTCGGTGGGAGAGTTAATGTAAGAATGAAAAAAGGGACCACATTTCTTAGGTCTTATCTATGTTATTTCTGGACGATACGTAAACGGGGTACTGTATTTTGTAAAGTCCCCATTTGAAGATTTTACACTTGAAACTATAAAGTTTAGAAAGCAGTTTGCTGGATCAGACCAGGAGAAATTACTTATGAAAGGCCATGTGCTTTTGATTTCTGGCTCTTCCGGAGAATAATTGGACGAATTTATGAGAGACTCTCGTCCCACCTTATGCCTTCTTTCCAACTATCTGTGTATATTTAAAAGAGGTCCTATTCCTGTTAATTTTATCAAGTATTAAAATCTTTATTGTTCTATTCTCGCACTATTTTTGCCCTTTCTCAAATGACTAATGTCAGCAGAATGTGATTACTTTTCAAGAAAAAAAACAATGTATTGAGGTTAGAAATATTTTTTGGGCGACAAGGTTGACGAAACCCGAATTCGAAGGGTGTCATTCACGAAAAAAACTCGTAACGATGACTGACTTTTTGCAGTCAGGACCTTTGAATACACAACATATCAAACAGGGGGAAAGCGGTTCTTATGTCACATGGATCACCGGTTTGTTTCTTATTGTCTCTGTTTCCCTCCGTCGGTCCATTATTTTGTAATTTTGCACAATATTTCATTGTTTTCGGTAAATGAACATTAATTAAAGCTCAAAGTCTTAGAAGAATTCCACCATACCATTCGGATAAGGGCATGAAGAGGCCCCAGATTCCTTTGCTAGAACGCAGATCAGGGCCAGCTCTTTTTTTGGGTGTTCTAAAGAGAATCGTAGCTCCCTTGATCTCGTCACACTCCCCTTAAATCTGTTTTACTGTTATTTAACTTTAATTACTGGTTTTGTGATTAATAAATATAAAAAGATTAATTACAAGTAGTTTATTTTCCCGACAAATTTGAAATTCGTTCAGTCACTGACCCCAAATCATTAATAATAATACAGGAAATCGAATGAATTGGGTGTTTCCGGGCTCTGATTCATTAGATTGTCAACGTTCCCCGTTTCCCCATTCTCAATTTTCTTCGTTTTTGGGCCGTCTGATTTCTGTTTGCCCGGGATTTGTTCTGTTTTCCTTGTTTATCTTCTCCTTCCTTTTCTTACTCGACTTTCACTTACAAATTGCGCATCGTTCCATTTCCTCAAAACATGGCCAAGTTCTTTCCTTTCATGGGATTTTTATGGGAGGGGGAAAGGAAGTTTTAGATTTTTGATAAAGATTTGTTACTATTTTGAGACTTTTGGAATCAAAAAATAGTGCCCTTATCTTTAAATTTCGAAGGAAATACGAGAAAACAAATAAATCTTTTACCTGTTTATTTCTGCATTTGTTTCCTTGGCCCACTGTATTCACCGCAGGTATCCTATTATAATGTCATCATTATCGCCTGGTCGATGATATTTGATCTTGTCCTTGTTGTCTGACAGAGACAATGGCCGACATGCGTCATCGTGCCCGATTTATAACCGGCTCCAAAAATCGTTTGGCCTGTAGATTGGAATTTGTTCTATTTTCTCATCTCATCTCTCCCTCTCTTTCTCTTCGAATGTTTTTTTAGGCGACACCTGACATTTACACTCCGTTTTTTGAAGATCCGATTACTTTTTGGATTCGTTCCAATTAAAGAATCTCGTTTCCTTGACTCAGGGGCTTCTGGTTTGCAAGGCTTAACACCCCTTGTATGTTTCCTTTTACGATCGTTCATGTTTTGTAAGATTTTATATTGAAATACATACGGAAACTAATGATTCACGGAATGCGAGTAGCCTCTCTTCCACATTATGTGTGACAATCTGTACGAGCTTTCGTGTTATGGAAAAATTGCAAATTTTCCCTACTTTTTTGCGGGTTTTCCTTCCACATGATGACCAAAATTTGCAAAACAGCCGGCTTAAAACCCTGATTTCTTCAGTCAATGTCCGATCGATTATTAGAATACAAATAAATGAGTGGGGGCAGCAGAAGGTCGATCAACTCGGCAGATCTCAACTCCAACACACATCAACCCCCCATCCTCACCTTATCCGTCCTCGGATTAAGTGGGACCGATTCACAAAAAGGAGCCGTCGGAGTGGGGAAGTCGGTCTTCTGTAATCGACTGGTCAGACCTCATTACAATGACTTCAACACTGAACATGTCTGCTACTTGTCTCAGGCAAGTTTGTCAATTTGAAATCACACTTTTTATTCACGAGAAACTCGTTAAAATCAGAGCTGTGAAGCATAATTAAAATAATTTTAGGCTGATTTCAACTGTTCGACGGTGATAAATGGAGATCATTGGCTCTATTGGGGCGAGGTTGACTTGGATCGAAGCGATTACGCTGGTCCCAGCACTCGGATTCGAGTAATCGAACAAACAACTTTTCTAAGTGACGAAACCTTTGAACCGCATCCCTCAAGGACACCTGATTATTGTCGCAGGGCAATCAAAACAGAGCTGGAATCCAAAGGAAAGCTCATGTACATATGCAGAGTAGGTTCTTTTCGCATTTTTATTTATTTTTGAACATAATTTGCTTCTGTTGACATTTTGTTTACAAAAAATCGATCTTGACATTTAGTAACAACTAAATAAAAATTATTTATTTTTATTTTTATTCCAGGATCAATTGGGACAAGAGTCGGACTTTGTATGCCATGAACTGCAATTTGGAAAGACGAAAGTGGACGCCTTTGCTGTATTATACGATGTATCGAAGGTGGATGAGAGAATGCCCGCTTATCAGACGGAAAAGGTGGTCGAGCTATTGAATGGATGTCTAAAAACAAAGAAGCCGGTATTTCTATTGGCTTCCAAATGTGATCGGCAGGACTTGACGGGAATGGCAGAGTTCAGAAAGTTATGTTACAGGAAAGACTTCTCTAAGATGAACAACTTCCATTGGGTGAGCGCTTGCTTATTTTAAGATGTTACTCTTCCAAGTAAGCTTTGATTGAACGAATATTTAGGCGGAGATCAGTGCTTTTGAAAACGTAAATGTGGCGGATTTCCTTTATCTCCTTGCTCAAACCGTGGACAAGGTCAAGAACAAGATCAACATGCCCTCCTATGCTGAATCAGAACGCCTGAGGGCAAGACGCCTCGCGGTTGTCCGGTAGGTTTATGTGTTTTGAATTGGGTTTCATTCATCAACGCAGCGGGACATAGCTATCCTTTTCAATCTCGCTGATTTTGGTAGTTTTCGGAGCAATTTCTGACATCCGGAGACTTTTTATTTCATCCTCGAAGAAAGAAGAGGGAAAGTGAAAAAAGAAAGTTTTTGTTACTCACAAAATAATTGGATAGAGGGCGAAGAGCATACGACTTCATGGATAAATAAATCAAATTAATTATCGGTTTTAGACAGTCAAGTCTAAAGCGTTAACCATCATCTTTCAATTACTTCTAATTTTTGCAGTGCCGAATTCGCGGAGCTTCTTCACCAACAGGTCCCTCGAGAAGAATTCCCCTCACAGCAAGGCCAACTCAGCTGGGAGATTCTCTTAACCGACTTTGGAGTTAACTGTCATCCAGCGTATGTTTCATATGTCGCTGAATTTGGTGCCAGATCAGCTGCAGCCCAGTTTGAAGAACATTGTCGTGCACTGAGGGAATGGTGGTTGGAACGGGAGCTAAATGAACGTCTTCCAGTGCTGAGGGATGTGTTGAGACGTATGTTCGGACGGTCCTTTCTCTGCCAGACTAACTGGGAACAGCTGAGGATTGAGCTGCAGGCCCATCCACACTTTCCCACTTACTTCCAACCATTTGGCCGCAGCATTGGTAAGATTAATGTCTGGGTGTTGCTTTGTTGCTTTCACACTTATAGTGCCCGACAATTAAAAGTGAAATCTCAATTCTGAGCCCGATATTGCCCTCAGGCACAATTGTTCCCTCAGGTCTCTTTGGTAGCTAACACCAATGCAGGATGCCGAGTTTCATGTCTTTGCACTTTAAATGCACTATGCAAGGGGCGTTTAATATTTTTTATTGCGACAATTAAGAGTGAAGTTTTTAATCTTTGGATTTTCCTGACCTTTTGCGAAATCTGTTGGGACGGAAACCGTCAAGAAACATTGTCACAGTTACAGTGAAGCGTCCTAGACACAATTTACGAAAATTGTCCGAGTTTTAATATATCATTTCTCGGCATCAAGGCCCGGCGCTTTTGTGCCACAAAGCGGGGCCGAAAGACACTATGTTTCATAAGAAGTATATCAGGGCAATATCGGGCTCTGAATCAAGACTTCATGAAGTTGAATTCACTTTTAATTGTCGGGCACTAAACGTATTTAAATATAATTTCGTTTCTTTGCTTGGGGCTAACACTTATTCAAAAGCATTACATTGCACTTTAGATCGGTACACTCGAAAGGGAGACGCCGATGACCGAATTCCAAGCGAGGTCCTTCAAAAGCCTGAAGCCAGAGATCTGTTTCAAGAATATCAGCGGGAACTTCTGGATGAAATAGCCCTTGAAAGACAGGCCGATAAGTTCAGGAGATTACTGGAGAACAAAGATGCTGTGACTCCCGGGAGATCCTTTTCCGACGCTAAAGTAATGTGTCATGAGATAACCGAATTTGAGACTGCATTACCTCCAGAAAACGCTCGATATATCTATGAGGATTATCAGGTAATTGTACTTTCCAATGAACGATTTTCATTGTTTTCAGAGACTAATTTATCTTGTTTTAGAAGGAACTCAAAAAGAAAGCTCAGAGAGATTTCAACGAACTCTTACTCGAGAATGTGAGTACTTTCGTCGATCTAATAGTAGAGTGGAGATCGAGACAAGTCCAAGACCCCAACAGAATCAATTGTCTGAGTGAAAGGGAGTTCAATATTATTTGTAGTTCATTGATCGAAGATAAAAGGTGAGTGAGTTATAATGGGCTTCCGAATATGCTCAATGACAGGTACCGGGATATGAGTGGATTGGCCGACAAACGGCGAGAATTGATCTCCAAGATGGCCAACTTTGTTTCAATGCCATTGACTTGCTTCTGTTTGGCGGGAGAAAAATGTGCTGACGTTGTTATTGCTCAGATGGTGGCTGATATTCGGTATGAGGTTTTTACTTTAAGAGGCTTAATTTTCATTGGTTAGATGTTATGCGCGGTATTTTAGATACGATGCCAATGCTTTCTGTTCGATCGAAGCGGACCTTTTTGGGGAATCTGAATTGGTGAACAAGTTTATGTGGGCTCTGAATTCAGTTCTTTCTTCCGATAAATTATATCACCACAATGATAGCGTCGCCAAGATCAACGTCCATCCAGCCAATCGCCGTCATGCCCGCACAAACAATCGTGTCCGGACCCCCATTTGTCTGATAGATTCGGCCAAGACTTGTCATCAATTGTTGGATGAATCCAGCGATCTTTTTAAGACTGGCCCCAGTCCTTTATTTGTGCTGATTCCAAACAAAATGAACAGTGATATCTCCGAAAGTTTGGAGATAATGGGAACACAACTGGCCGATCGTTTTGATGGAATTTATATTGGAATAAAGGGTGTTGAAGAAGAGGACGTTATGAACAATGATTTGGATCGAAGTCGACTGGAGTAAGTTGCTTGAATTTTTGGTTTTATTCTTTTAGCTCGAATCAATTGGATCAAGTTTTGCACGAAATTTGCACAGGCCAGATGGGCACCAACTATTCAGATCTTAAAGTGCGGATATCCTTCCTTTGTGACGATCCGTTATCAATACAACAAGTACTAACACCGTTACTGGATCAAGTTGTTCAAACTGATGATTCGGGTATGTTGATAAGTTACAAATTTAATAACAACTTTCGGGTTTTCCCTTATGTATAATAATGTTTAGGTGGGTGTTTTTGTGTGGACGTCTCCCTGTCGTCCGAACCGCTGAATGCGCGAGTTGGCCTTCAATGTGGATCATATCATCATTGGCTACTCTCGAAATGGCAATTGAATGCTTTCAATGGTCACATATTAGTTTATTCGCCAAACAGAATGGCTTCGTGGAGACATGCCGAAGCATCGGTTCAACTACTTTTGGATGCGGCTTCCTTCTCCATACCCTCGCCATCAAATATTTTGGAAAGGCAGAACATGGCCAGAAGTATAATGCTGATCGCTGTCGACGAACCAAGCAGTTACTTTAAGGATAAGGTGAGTATTGGTTTGACATAAAATTTGTTTATTTTGTATACATGGTATAAATTTCGTTTTCCACTTCAGGATTCCAGCCATCTCCTGACAGAAGGCGCTCAACTCGCTGAGAAGATTGGATGTAAATTTATGGCCATCTCCTCGTCGATGCCTCGAACTGCCCAATTTCAGTTCTACAACACTTTCTTCTCACAAATTATGCACCTTCCGCCCTTCCCCGACATCACCTATACCGTGTGCTCCCAGAATCCATCTTTGTTTGTCAGCAAAAGGTAGATCGTAGTCATTGAAAATTTATGACCTTGAGGGCTTTTCCTTTCTTTCGGGGTTTAGAACCCTGGATAATCGCCGGAAATGGATTTTCTTGATATCTTGTGGCTGTGTGGCTCGATTGTGTCTTTCCACCTATATTCTAAAGGGGGGGCTGACCCGGAGGGCTTGGTTGCGTGGCGTTTCCTTTCCGGCCAAGGGGAGGCTGGGGCTTGTCCAGAAACCTCTCACGCCCCGAACAGCTGGGATTGCCAAAAGCGGGGTTATGGCCGTTTTGGCCCCGACCCCGCTCCTCCGAAAACACATTCCATTTTTCGTTTTATATTCACTTCAATGGCATTATAAGGAAGGAGGCCAAATCAAGACGTTTTTTAAGACCGGAATATTTTCTTTTCTCCGCGTCTTCGGCTTCATAATTCCGCGTCGTCGTGTCATGCCCTAAAGCTGGCTTCGGAGTCTTTTGTGTGCGTGATTTGGTCTTCTTCTCTCGAACCGAGGCGGGTTTAACATTATACAACTAAACGTTAATGCCTTGCCAATCTTGTTCTATCCTATGATTACTATCACTGATATTTTTAAAAGATTTTTATTTGGAAACCCAAAATCTGACGTCGTTTTGGTGTCACATGTGCTGCTGTCAGTATGGCGTTTTGGGAGCTTCTTTTCTTTACCTGCTTCCGGAACGAGTTTTTTCCCCTAATTTAGAGATTATGGGGATCATTGGGACGTGGGAGGAGCCGGAATTGGTCACCTATCATCGAGCATTTTACGATGCTGTAAATGTTTGTTCTAACCTCCGTTTCTTCAAAAATGTGGCTTATTTATTATGCCAAGCTGGTTATTTTTCTGCCACATTATGCCTATTGTTCTTACCTCGGGACATTTCTCTACGAGCAGGTGTTTCTGGATGTTGATAGTTTGCATTGCTAGTGGAATCAGACTCTCCGGAGTAAGTGGTATGGCCCGGGCTTTGGCCGTGTCCACCATCCTCGAGACACACGCATTTCCGGGCCCTTGATTATTTATTCGCTAAACATTTGTTCGGAAGTTTTAAATTAAAATTTTTTGCGGTTGTCTCGGGAACGGTGCGCGACTCGCGGCATAAAATACTCGGGGCCAATTGCTAATTCCGCGCCCCAGTGACCAGTGAAAGTAATTTCCCCGCTTCCGGCAAACCATTAAAATTTAGGGGCCTTTAATTACGGGGGTGAAGATTGGACACAATGTCGTCGGAAGCCATCTATTTTTTTTGAGGTGCCCTTACGTATATGTTGTGTATACATATACATTACATATGGGGGAAAGTAATTAGTACCACGCGCTGCGTCAGAATTGACAATTGTGTCACGATTCCCTTCTCGCATTGTGCTCTCGGTTTGCTGACGCTGCTGACATCAAGGCCTGAAGGCGTTGTTCCGGCAGTTAAGCGTGCGCCGAGATCCGGCCGGCTTTTGCCCTTAGGCATTGCGGTTTAAGGGCCACTTTGTTCCTTTTTCTGGACGATCCTGGCGTTTTCTCGGAGACTGCGCGAGAGGGGATGTCTCTTTTCGGGATGGAGGCGGACAAAGTCAGCCCCTGAGGCAGGCCAGTCAGTCTTTCCCACCGACCTGTCTCTTTTCGTGTTTTCGCGCGAGTTCGGACCATGACTTGGCCTTCCTTCTCCCTTAATTAGATCGTTTTTCTTTCCTCGACTGGCTGCCCGTCTAATTTGCCAGAGGGGTTCGTTTCGTGGTGACTTCATCTCTGACATGTGTGGCCTCTAATTATCTTCATAACGAGGGTTTGATTTATGGAGGGAAGAAATGGCGAAGGGATACCAATTATTGAATGAAGATTCGTACCAATTACGTCCAGATTGGGGTTTAATTTATGGCCATTTGTCGGGGCGGGTGCGTAACGCGGCCAAGTCGAAATTTTTTTTGTTTATCATTACGTTTAAGTAGTTGTGTTTCTGTTTTTAGTGGCCATATTTTAGACGACCAACGTACTTCAATAATTCCACAGTGACAGGATCGGCGCTTACCTTGCTGAGTAATCACAGTAGTTCGGGTTCCTCATCGCTTTTATCGTCAAATCCTTCTTCCGCCCAGAATACAACAGCCCAGTGTTCTCAGATACCATCTCTCAATCACGAACCCCTCACCTCGTCTACTCCTCCTTTATCAGCCAGATCCGCTGATTCTCGAAATCAGCCCGTTGCCTTCAACGAGGACATGACGAATCGATTACGGAGACCTTTGTCGGCCATTGGAAGTTTGATGAGTGCCTCACAATCAGCCGAAAATGGATCCCAGTCTTCTCATGAAGAGCCGGGAGATGTTTTGACGGCCGAGGGTCTCTCCAGGAACCTCAGGTTTAGCCCGTCGAAGTTTAGAAGGGTAAGTTTTTGGGTTATTTTCGAGAAGATATTGTTTGAAACCATTATTTTTTTATTCATTTCAGTTATTCCAACGAAATGCCGGCTCTGAATCCTCGGCCTCAGCCGAAGAGAAATCCAACAAGAAGCAGTTGCAGCGATCGTCGACGGTGGACGGAGGTGAGTGATCAGCCGACGGTCCTCTCTTGTTTTCCAAGGGATTCCGTCTTAATCCGAGGGATTAAACTCTTTTGGTTGTACTTTCAAAACGTTTTTCTTTTTCCTGTTGTTTATTGTTGCTGGTGGTTGTGGTTTTGTAAGGTTGTTGGTAATTTAGCAACCAAAGCGGAAGTAGTTCCTGCCTCGGAGTTGAACGGCTTCACTTCCTACATCAAGGTGCCCGATATCAATTCCAATAACCTCAGTTCCCTGGATCGGCAGCCAAGAAAACCTCATAAAAGTCGTTCGGTGGAATCGATTGGAGAGATTCAGATGACTCCAAGGATAGAACAAGTGGCCAAAGATGATGAGAATCAGAAGCCAATAGAAAGGGGGCGTCAAAGCAGAATGAAAAGATTCACCCATCGCTGCAAAGAGTTGACTACCAAGGCCAGACGAAGAGGCCATTCGATGACTCCGAGGATCAGTAAGTGGTGTTGTAACTCTATTGTTATCATATCTGAGGGAATATAAGAACAGTTTGTAGCCTTACTTTAGATCTCATTTCAGGATCCCCCACATCCTCGGCCCCTCATTCACCTTCTGATTTATCGTACTCATCTGAATGCAAAAACGGTGATGATATTCCTTCTTTCCTGAGGGCATGCGTTCAACATATTGAGCGAGTATGTTTGTTAAGAGTTGCTTTTACCTAGACTTTATTTTAGTATTATTATTTTTTGTTTTAGGTGGGAGGTCTGGATACCGAAGGTCTTTATCGGACTTCTGGAAATCAAGCCGAGGCCAATGAAGTGGAAGCGTATTTTCGAAGGACGGGTCAATTCAAAAGTGATGTAGAACTTTCAAGTGCCGTTACCGCTCTCAAAAACTATGTAAATGCGTTTGCGGAACCATTAATCCCCACTCGTCTCCATGAAGAGATCATCAACATCTTCTCTGATCGGGATGATGTGTACGACAGTAGACCTCTGGAGACCAAATCATTGGACCGATTGCGTCGATTGTTTGAAAGGGAACTTCCTCGAGTCAATGCCCGGACCTTGATGTTCTTATGTGCCCATTTATGTCGGGTCGCGGAGAATCGAGCACGGAATCTGATGCCCACAAGTAACCTGGCGCTGATCTGGAGTGCCAGTATCTTCCGTCCTGAGCTTACTTGTGTGAGTAAGAGCGCCTCACTGCTCGCCCGATATCATGTGGCGTGTTATTTCTGCATCAAACATCATCACATTCTGTTCTCTTTCCCTCCCTAAGCTGATCTCTCTAGTGTAATTTGTAGGTAATGTATGGCTGTAACAGTAAGATGACCGATGTTTACTGCCCGATTAGTCCTGTTATAACGTCATCTTCTCCCCCAATGTTATGAGTACCTCTTCTTTCAACTTGTTTTTTTACATCGCTCAGATCCTCTGCCAGGTATCCCCCATCTGATGGATATATGTAATCCAATGTAATTTATGTCGATTACGGTGCTTTTGTCCATTCGGGTCTCTAATTCTCCTCCAGTGTGCCAATCTTTGTTTAAATCTCTGGGCATTGGAAGATTGTAATGTCTTTTCGAACAAATGCCTCCGGTTAAAATCGAAAATCCAAACTCTAAGTCGCACTTTAATTAACTTTATTTGTACAGTTTATGTATTTTAATAAAGCATAATCTCTTCGTTCGGTGGCAGTGTGGTATTTTTGTTAGAGACCATAGATAATAGACGTAAATCGATTTAAAATTTGTAGGGAAATAAACAAATCATTCATAAAGATGGTGACTGGGGCTCTCGGCTTTTATTTTTGCTGTTAGGTCGAAGTTCGGTGTACAAATCGGTAATGAATTTTAAAAGCCGACATTTTTTGGCACTGAAATTCTATGAAGCAGTAAAAATAAAAGCCCAGAACTCCTGTGGCCATTTTTACATGCGCGCGAAAATTCAGGTTACAGCGCGAAAAAATGCGACAACATTCTGGTGATCGCTTATCCGGGTTTCCCGTACTCGGATGTTGGATTTTTTGACGAGATATTTTTTGCACAAAGGTCACTATTATTGAAATTATTGTCCTTATAATTCTAAGTCATACTGAAAAGCACTGTAAATTTTAATAACAATACTAATTTTTTTATTGTTTTGGGTTTTTCGAACATAAGGAATTCAAATGAATTTTTATATTAATTTTACATTTTTTCTTCATCTCAAAATTTTCAGTGATTTTCAGCATTACTAACAAGTATAACGATAATAAAGATAATAGCATTGCACAATTGATCTTTAATTATGATGACAGAACGGGCTCACATGTCAGCGATGTTATCGCAAACTACAAACAAGAAGGCCGACTTGTTTATTTCCGTGTTTGCAACCCTCCTGACGGTTTTATATCAGATTGGGGAACGTATTTTGCGTTTATTTTACTCTTTTGAACGATGGCTCTTCGTTGGGGAATTATTGGCTGTGGATTTATTTCCAATGATTTCGTTCGGTCGCTGAGTGTGGCCAAGGAGAATCATAAAGTAAATAAATATTTGTTCTGACAACTTCGAACGTGCTTTAGGTAGTTGCTGCTGCTGCAAGCACGCTGCAACGAGCTGAAGATTTTATTAAAAAAGTTGGGTTAACGAATGTCAAGGCTTATGGAAGTTACGATGAATTATTGGCTGATAACAATGTTGGTATGTCTTACAATTATACTTCCCAGTTCTTTTAGACGTTGCATATATTGGATTACTCAACGATTGCCATGTAACCTGGACAGTAAAAGCAATAAAGGCTGGGAAACATGTTCTTTGTGAAAAACCCCTCGGGGTAAATGTGAAAGAAGTCAAGCTGATGATCGAAACTGCTAAATCTGAGAAGAAATTTCTAATGGAGGTAAGTGTTTAATGACGTCTTTTGGCTCGCAGCTCAGAACATTCAGAAAAAAATATTTTTTTTTGAGTTCTTGGGCCTGAATTGTTGGTATAGGTTATCAAAACATGATCCCAATTTTTTTTGCCGAATTATGCTCGAAAGATAAAAATTTGCATACCGCAGTTAGCGGTGTCTTGAAGTCTACAGTGGCCATGCTTTTTACCTAACGAGGAAAGTACTTCTATGGGGTGTGGAGTTATAGGTCGAAAAAATTCGCAAAAATTTTCTGATTCAGAATATATAAAAATTAGCTGCCTAATTTTGGTCTATCAACGAGTTTTATCAATAAATGTATTTCTCGAGGAAAAAAACTGCGGCAACAAAAGCGCGCTCGGTCTCTTCCTTCGGAAGAGAGCGGTGTGGCCGAGTGGTTATAGCGCTAGATTGGGAATCCGAAGGGAACGGGTTCGATTCGTTTTGCCACACTAGAACCCATTTATTACATTGGAGCTACTTCTAACAAGGGAAGTCACTTTTTTCGCAGACGGACTTTGGAACGAGACCTAGTAGGTTTCAAACGTGAAGCGCCTGCGATCATAAAACTGATTTCCAAAAGTGTTTACGGGACTTCTCGGCCGAGAAAAACGACCGCAAAGTTTAGCCGAAATGAGCGAATAGCCTCCTCAAAAGAAACAGCTTATTTCATCTGCAGTGGTGGCCGAGTGGTCAGCGCGCTCGTTTTTTGCGCCAGAAGACGTGAGTTCGACTTCGGCCGTCTGCGGATGCATTTCTTTTGGCCATTGAAATAAATAGCGAAATGCCGTTAACATCGCATGTGCAAACTATTAGCAATTTTTAATAAAACACGAATTTAGAAACTATATCTTCATTAACCCAGGCCTGTTTTGACTTTACAATATTCATGAACATTCAGCTTTGAATTTATGTTTAAATTACTGTAAAAAAATTAAAAAAGTGTATACATTTTATTTTTACATACTAAATCAATATTTACGAACCAAAAAGAAAATAAACTGCGCAGAGGATCGAACCCGCCCCTTCTTGCGCAAAAAGCGAGCGCACTGACCACTCGGCCACCACTGCAGATGAAGCAAGATCTTTCTTTTGAGGAGGCTATTCGCTCATTTCGGCTAAACTTTGCGGTCGATTTTCTCGGCCGAGAAGCCCCGTAAACACTTTTGGAAATCAGTTTTATGATCGCAGACGCTTCACGTTTGAAACCTACTAGGTCCCGTTCCAAAGTCCGTCTGCGAAAAAAGTGACTTCCCTTGTAAGGTGTAGTTGTAATCTAATTTGATATTTTAAGGCTTGTCAAGGACTCAGAATTTATTTTAGCACAAAACAAAAATTTTTTATTGGTAAAAACACGGTCAAAAAGACACTTGCATGGTGTCGCGAGAAAACTTCTGAGGTCAAAAACATGTCATCAGACCAAAATTAGGCAGCTAATTTTTATATATTCTGAATCAGAAAATTTTTGCGAATTTTTTGATATATACCTCGACCGGTAATTCCACACCCCATAGAAGTACTTTCCTTGTAAAATACGGTTTTTATATTTCGATCCCGTTCTTTCGAAATGGGGCAAAAAAAATTGCTTACTTTGTTAGTTGTCGGATCGAATTGAATATGTGCATTAATGGCCTAGAGCATGGTGAAAGTTGATTTCAAAAAAAAAACAAAACAATTTGCGTCCGGAGTTTTATGATCAACAGCGGTCGGGGTCAACACAAAATCATCAATACCGCACCGTGAAAAAAACCCCCATGCTTAGGTATTAGCAGTATGACATCACTGTTATTCCAGGCATTCTGGTCTCGCTTCTTCCCGGTTTGGTTGGATATCAAGGAGAAGATCGCTGCTCGTGATCTGGGCGATTTAAGGGTGGTTAATATCAACTTTGGAGTATTGTTGGCTGATACTAGGAAGGACGTCACCAAAGGATCGACTCCCTTGTACGATATTGGTTTATATACGGTGAGTCTGGCATTATATGCCTTTGGGAAGAAGCCCTCGAGTGTCGATGCGATTGGGGCCAAGGACAAACACGGTGCAGATGCTTGGGCCAATATTACTCTTCAATTTGGAGACGATCAAAGGGCGGTTTTATATTACGATGCCAATAATCGGCCTGTGAACAATGCTATTCTGAACTTTGAGAATGGAAGTATTCAGGTGAGCAGAAGATGCGTAAGAGGATAATTTTGTAGATACCCGACTTCTTCTGGTGCCCCAATGAGTATACCTTGATCAACCGAAAGACTAACGAACATACCACCATCAGTCATTCATACCCCGGAAGCCAAGACAATTATCATTACAATCACAGCTCCGGCCTCAGTTATGAAGCCGATCATGTGTACAAGAAGATCCAGGAAGGTAAAGAAATTTTGATTTTAATCATACTCTAGAATTAGACATAGTAGTATACTTTCAGGTCAAATTGAGAGCGAAAGGATGAGTCATGACGATTCGGTCGCCATCCATGAAGTCTTGGAGAAAGTCAGAAAGGACCTTGGTGTAGTCTTCCCTCAAGATTAGAGGTCTAACCGATGCCCTTTTCAAAGAAGTCAAGTTTTCATAACAAATAAAAAATCTGCAGAGCTCTTTGTTTATTTTTATGATACTTTAAAATCGAAAAAACTAGGGCTTTTTTAGCTTAAAAGTCGTCAGCTTGACGCGGCAGTCACGTTGTCAAATTGGCGTCATTTTTTTGTTATGACAAATTGAGTCTTTTTTGGAAAACTTTTGTAGGTTTTTTCCAAAGAATCCGGGAATTAAAAATTTTAGGAACAAAATTATTCCTTTTTGTCAAAACATCCGATTAAATAAAAAGTAAGACGTGTTGCGACTAATATTAAAGGTATTCACCGTAGTCTTTGAAAGCATATATCAGAATTTTAAATTTGACCAAACGACGGCAATTTGACGTCATAATAAAGAAATATGACAATAATGGCATCTGCCCAAAACGGTTTCTGCCCAAAATGGATGGACACGATATTTCGTTTAATTTATTGTATGGTTCCAGATGTTCTTCATCTTATTAGGAGAGCAATCTTTACTTTGAAGTATGGGCTTTCATGATCCGTCAAAATTTTCAAAATCGGATTAACAGATTTTGACAAACTTTGGGATAAATCTGTTTTCAGAAAAGTGATTGGTTCAAACACTGCCTTAAAGTGATCTTGGATCTCAAAATTATGCGAAATTGCGTAAAACAATTTGTTGGTGTTTTGTTTACAAGTTTTTGTGTCCCTTTTTCGAAAGCTTGTTTATTTCGGAATGTTTTTGTTTCTCTTTTGCATTTAGAAATCTAGAGACTTTCATAAAAACCTTTCTGGTTCTTCTTTTATTTACCCTAAATCCCCCAAGGTTATCCAGAAACCAGTACTTTTTTGTTTCTAAAGAGTAACTTCATCGGACTTTGTTTGTCGATCCTTCAGGATTACTAGTCGCGCCACAAAGTCCGTAGAGTTTTGTACAGTACATTCATCCCTTTTTTCGCACGCGCCGCTGCTTATGGCGTGACTAGTACTTGATTTTGTTGTCGTATTTGGTTTAATTGCGACTTTTTTTCAGAAATTAACTCAAGGCGAAGATGCCACTGAAATGGGGAATCATTGGATGTGGCCAGATCTCTCACGACTTTGTGAGAGCTCTGCGACTCTCCAAGGAGAATCATAGGGTAATCTAGGGCGTAAGGGTATTACAGTAACATTGCTTTAGGTGGTTGCCGCTGCCGCGAGATCGCTGGAGAAATCGGAGAATTTTTTGAAAAAATTGGAAATCAAGAATGCCCAGGCCTACGGAGATTATGCCCAGCTTTGCGAGGATGGCAATGTTGGTATGTTGGTTATGCCTTTATGTATTCTCATAGATATTGTCTACATTGGATTGTTGAATGACGCCCATATTACCTGGGCTTTAAAGGCAATGGAAGCCGGGAAACATGTCTTGAGTGAGAAACCGCTTGGAGTTAATGCTAAGCAGGTCAAACAGATGATCGACAAGTCTAGACAGACCAAAAAGTTTTTGATGGAGGTGATTTAATTTCATTTTTGGTTCAAATATCTTCTTGTAAGCCTAAAATAAAGTCTAAAGATGTCTTAAATTATTTTTTTCTTCAGGCTGCCTGGTCCCGCTATTTTCCGGCCTGGTTGGAGATCAAGGAGAAGATCAGGAAAGAAGAATACGGCAAGTTGAAGGTTGTGGACATCAGCTTTGGCCAAGCTCTGCCAGATTCTCGGAGGGATACCACCAAAGGAGAGACCCCCTTATATGACATTGGAATCTATACAGTAATGCTCGCTTTATATGCATTCGGAGATCAGAAACCTGAGAAAGTGAACGCTGTTGGAAAGGTTAATGAAAGAGGAGTTGATCAATGGGGAAACATTACTTTGCAATTCGGAGAAGACAGACATGCTATCCTATATTATAACGGGAATACTAAGCTTCTCAACCAGGCTACCTTGTCTTTTGAAAAGGGAAATATTACTGTAAGTTAATTGACAACCAAATATAATATTATTTGCTTAGATCCCTGAGTACTTTTGGGCTCCCCTGGAATATTTCGAAGTAAAGGGAGAGCTGACTCCATCAGATCCAGCCAAAAAAAGGTTCTCCCATCCCTTGTCAGACGACGATAGTAAATACAATTTCATTAACAGTGCCGGATTGCATTTCGAAGCCGATCATCTATACAAAAGAATTAAAGAAGGTAATTGGAATAGACTATTACGCATACTATAGAAGTGAAGTTGATTACTCATATGATTTTAGGTCAGATCGAAAGTGACATAATGAGTCATGAGAACTCTCTGAATCTCCACGAAACGTTGGATCGAATCCGAAAAGAATTGGGGGTCTCTTTCCCTCAGGACTGAATTTACAATCCCATATTTATTTATTATATTTGAAACTGTTTCAAAATAAAAGCCCTGTACGGTTTTCCCTCAGACAAAAGCGGAATTGCGGGTGTCTGACTCACTCCGAGGATTCAGTTGCTAAGCGCTTTTTCCCATTATTTTTTAAGTTCCGGCCCCTCTAAACCCTCAAAACGGAGTCGAGAGGTCATCCGGGAGGTGAGGAAGAGAGGGGTCATCTTCATTTGGCTAAGGAAAGAAGAAATGGGGATATTAAATATTGCGGGGCGAGAGATTTCTAATTTGAGTTAGGAGTTAAATTGTTTGATTTGACAAGGGAAAGTTTTGTTCAAAGGTTCTGAGGCTTGTAGAACATAAGACAATTCTTCTAAGCGAGTGTTAAGTAACCTGATATCCCCTATTGCGTTGATTTTCCTTGAAAGAGTCTTAATATTACTTAATAACTTGAACCAATTCCCTTTTGACATCAAATTCTAGTAGTTGCGCAATTCAAAAGATCCTGAATTTCTTTCTTTTGAAGTCCGCATTCTTTTAGATCCAGAAATGGGTCAGAGAAGTCAATCCCTTTTCCCCTCTCCATTACCTTCCAAACTTTTTGTAATTTTCATGTATATAAGTTCAGTGACTTCTTTTTATTCCGTTACTTTCTTCTGATCTTATCTTGTAAACAGTTTCTCTCCTTACTTCACGAATCCTCCCTTTTCTAGTCTCTCTTTTGACGCATTTTGACGTAAATAATAGTTTGATAACAGGTTTGATAAAACTTTTAAAATTCGGTGGTGTGTTGCAACTTTTGCGATTATTTCCCACGTATGAAAACATTAATCACCTTTCTGTTTCATTTTTTGGATTAAAATCGGGTAAACAGAACATGTTCGGATCGTAATGTTTACTTAATCCATACAAATTTCAGTAACTGGACTGTCGAGATGATTATTTGAATTCCTGTTGCTTTATCATGGTGTCATCGTTATATGAGCAGTTGTGGAACCATACGTATTGGTGGGTTTTGTGATGACTTTCGACTGGAAAATTTGATAGACAGTAGAGGAAAATGGCGTAGCTTTGTGGAGGCGTTAGGAGACTGAACCCCCCATGACTGAACCCCCCTGACTGAACCCCCCTGACTGAACCCCCCTGACTGAACCCCCCTGACTGAACCCCCCAACCCCTCAGAAAGGAACCCCCCTGACTGAACCCCCCAAGATCGAACCCCCCCTGACTGAACCCCCCTCTAAAGCGAAATTTCGGGCACCCCCGATGGGGGGACGGCCAAAGTGAAATAATCTAGCCAAATCGAATAAATTATGGCCATGGTGCAAAAATATGGCCAAATTGAAAAGATTTGGCCAGATCGGGAAAAAATTTTACAACCGTGAAAAAAGTGTGGCCAAGCAGGAAAAGCGTTTGGCCAATACAAAAAATGTGGCCAAAGTGAAAAAATGTGGCCAAAGTGAAAAAAATGTGGCCAAATTAAAATTTTTTGAAATTTTTTTGCTGGCTCTCGGTCACAAAAAATGTGACCAGGCAGGAAAAGCGTTTGGCCACGATGAAAAGATGTGGCCAAAGGGAAAAATGTGGCCAAATTAAAATTTTTTGAAATTTATTTGGCCACATTTTTTCCCACTTGGCCACATTTTTTTCAATTTGGCCGCATTTTTTTCAATTTCGCCACATTTTTTTCAATTTGGCCACATTTTTTTCCACTTGGCCACATTTTTTTCTATTTGGCCACATTTTTTTCAATTTGGCCGCATTTTTTTCAATTTGGCCACATTTTTTTCAATTTGGCCACATTTTTTTCCACTTGGCCACATTTTTTTCAATTTGGCCACATTTTTTTCAACTTGGCCACATTTTTTTCCACTTGGCCACATTTTTTTCAATTTGGCCACATTTTTTTCAATTTGGCCATATTTTAGCAGAACGCCAAGGTTTATTCAATTTGGGGGGTTCAGTCAGGGGGGGTTCCCTCGAACAGGGGTGAGGGGTTCAGTCAGGGGGGTCCAGTCATTGGGGGGTTCAGTCAGGGGGGTTCAGTCAGGGGGGTTCAGTCATGGGGGGTTCAGTCAGGCATTCTTGTGGAGGTCATTTTTAATTAATAAGAAGGCAGTCTTCGAGGGACAAACCCCGGACTTTCTTCAAGTTCGATTTGCGTCTAGACGACGAACTAGGTTCTTGATTTTTTATAAGCACAACCATGTTATTTTATCCATTGAAGACGGAACGTCGTCGATTGGGAAATATTTTCCATGCTAATCCTAACTTTGGTAAAATTACGGACCAGAAGCGAAAAATTAGAATAATCAGATGTTTTGCAGCCATACAGTGTACCTTAACTCCACGTTCTGAAACGTTGTAGAAATTTACATGCAGCAAAAAAAGTAGTTTTAAGTGTCTGCAATCATCTATTAGGTTGGGGAATAAGTCCGCAACGATTTCTTTATTGCTTCGTCCTGCAACGATTGTTTGTTGTTTGGAAAAGTTTATATATGCATTCGAAAGAGTTCTGTCTCCTCTACAAAACTGTGTTTTTAGTTTTTTTTTGAAAATTTAATTTTTAATTATTTTTTGGGCTTAAAAGTGAACCATCTAGGAGGCAAAAATTTGCGTTTTCGACACCTGCTTCTTTCGCCGAGCAGCACGTGGACGCAAACGGCGGTCTTTGTATCGAATCATCATCGGGGATGAAAATGGTGTCTGTACGTCAATATAAAGCAAAATGTTGACTGTTTCCTGGAGTGGGTGGCCCCAGGGGACAGTCAAGCAAGATCCCCACCCAAAAAGGCCATGATCTGCATTTGGGGGGACTGGGAAGGCATGGTGCATTGGGACATGCCTCAAAAGAACGCCACTGTCAACAAGGAGCTCTATGATGCCCAACTACACCTCGAAAATGGGGCTATTCGACTGAAATCAAGGCCAAGTCACCTTGCTCCACGAGTCATCTTGCTCTCATGTTGCACAAGTCGTCAAAACCGCACTCCATGACTTCGAATGGGAGGTTATTTAGCATCCACCATACTCTCGGACCTTGCGCCAACCGATTACCACCTTTTCCGCTTTCTGTCAAACCAAATCCGAGGTGAAAAATTCGATGGCGAAGAGGACCTCAAAAACTTTTTAAGCCCCAAAAATTATAAAAAATTAAATTTCCAAAAAAAACTAAAAACACAGTTTTGTAGAGGAGAAAAAACTGTATCAAATAATATATATAACCTTTGCCAAACAACAAACAATCCTTACAAAACAAAACAATAAAAAGCTCTACGAACTTATTCCCCAACCTAATATCTCAGAAATGATGTAACTTTTATTTCATTGTGTAAAATGATTAATTGTGAACCTAGGTTGCCTCGAGTAAACACCTGGTCGGATGTGCCCACCACCCCATCCCAACTCAAGACTGCCCTGTTTCTAGCCCCTTTTATATTCCTAATCCGAATTTTTGTGGAAGCTTTCATCGGTCTCGGCCTGGGAAAACTTCTTGGATATCATGATCGTCCCTACTTAGCCTCTGTTTATCGTCATATTTCTGGTGGGTTCTTGAAAAACAGCAGGACCAAGAAGATTCTGGAGACTTTCTGGAGATTCGCTGCGTATTCCTTCTTCTTTTTGTTCGGCGTCTTCGCTTTATATGACAAACCCTGGCTATACGACGTGACGCAAGGCTTCATTGCATATCCCAAACATCCAGTTGACGATGTTATTTTCTGGTATTACATGATGGAATGCAGTTTCTACTTCTCTTTACTGATCGCGGCACCTTTTGATGTTCAACGGTCAGATAGTTGGCAGATGTTTGTCCATCATCTGATTACAATTGGGCTCCTTTCCTTTAGTTGGACCATCAATTTTGTTAGAATTGGAACGTTAATTCTAATCTCCCATGATCTCAACGATATCTTCTTAGAGCTTTGCAAATTGGTGCGATATCGACGGAGGTATCCGAATCTGAGCAACGGACTGTTTGTCGTTTTTCTAATATCGTAAGTTCATACTGAACAAGCAAAAAGATAAATTTTTTGTGCTTTAAAATTGAAAGGGAATCTTTATTTTGTAAACTTATGCAGACTTTTCTTCCGAACCCATCATTTGCAGTCCCATTTCCGGCTATTTGACGCAATTCTACTGTGGTTAACCGCATTCTTTTCAGATGGATCGCCTCCCGCTTAATCTACTTCCCCATTTTCGTAGTTTACACGGGTATTGTGGAGGGGCCGGCCCTTATCCAACCCGATTACGAGGTCTTCGACTTTTCCCAGAAACCCTACGCTCCAAGGATAATCCTGATCCTCTTGATCGGCCTCATGTTATTGCATATCTTCTGGACAGTCCTTATTTTAAAGATTGTTTTCAAAGCACTTCAAGAAGGAGAGGCTTCTGATATTCGATCAGATTCTGAAGAAACGGACAGTGAGGATGATCGAAATGCCAACAAAAAGGTTAAAAAATATCAATAAGGTCATGGATATTGTGTTGGAAAACTTGTGTATAAACTTTTAAGACTGCGCTCTTGACTTCTTTTAAGGGTTTAAGAATAAAAATTAAAGTATAAATTTTAATCTCTGCATATAAGAGCGAAGGAATAAGAATTAATGTTACATATTACAAAATGTTTTGTGCCAATTCTCGACAAAGCCGTACCAATTCTAAAATGCCTCAGGCAATACAAAATTTGCGGGTCCTTGGAATTGGAAATGGCCTATAAATAATGTATAAATCAATGGGAGAATTTGGATACGTATCCATCGAATCTGTGTCTTATCACGTATCTCCCAAATATTATTTCTTAAGACGTCTTTCCACGTGTATCCCCCGTCTTTCATCATCATAATCCCAAATATGCATGGATAAATGGGTTGAATGACGGGGGCTAATCTAAATTTGTTTTCGAAGTTTTCCCTCCGACGATCCCTCGCTTAATATAAGTCCAATTACAAGATGTCTGCGATCGATTAATCCGAGAGTAAGTCAATTATAAAATTTTGAAATTTTTTATTGTTTCCAATATTCAAACACCCGTCATTTGGCTGGCATTACAAAGAAAAAACCCGGAATCTGATAGCATGGTTCTTAAATAGTTGTGAGCAAGAGGAAGAATACCCGTGAATGAGCGAGGAGATCTAGATATACACATGATGTAACATAAATATGGGATACCCAATAAATAATATATTTCAAACAGGTGTTGGCAGAGAGACCAGAAGATCTAAAGTACAAGTTGGGTACTGAATACGAAGGCAGTGACATTTCCTTCCGATTATCGAAAGAAACCTTTCAATAGTCCGTGCACACGTCATCAAAGATTCGATGGAATGACGATCATTTTGTCCTCATCTTCTTTGTTCTAGATACCACATAACGTCTTTGTTGGATCGACCGGAGACCATTTTACTAGGAGCTTTCAGTAACTTCTGAAGCTGCTGTTTCTGTCGGTTAAGACTTTCTTGAAGGCTGACCGGAAGTCGCGACTGAAGGCAGCGTATAACAAAGGGTTCAACGCGGAGTTGGCGTAGCCCAGCCAGAAGGCCAAGGTAAACATCCATGGGGGCACACAAATCCCGACCGGACATGTTTCGAAGGCCTGCAAACAACAATATCAGATTATCCCAATTTCGGGCTAAAATGGATTACAACAAACGCCGGCAACTACGTCAATCAATTCCATCGAAATAAGAAAGGAAAGACCTCGTGTTAACCACTTTTTATCTACGATTCTACTCTTAGTATAACAAAGAGGGAGCTTAAGTAAAGAGAAAGGTCGCTAATCTAAAGGATAATATGGCCGGTCATGCGGATATTGAGGTCGAATACTAAACCCTTACCTGCAAGATGTAGATAATTGTAAACGGAAGCCAGCAGACGGTGAAACAGCCAACCACCACTCCAATAGTTCTGGCAACTCTCAACTCGGTCCTTAAAGAGATTCTGTTCAGTTGGAGCATGGGATACAAAAGAAGACGTTCACTCTGCTTCTTGGAGGGTTTCTTGCCGGCAATCAGGGATGTGATCACAGCTGGATACCACACATTATCCACGGACTTCTGAATAACAGATTGACATGGGTAGAGCGTTGCGGGAGTAGAATGACAAGCTGGCTGACTCTCCATAGAATAGTAAGACACTCGATCCGCCTCGACGATGGCTTGTTTCCGATCCATCAGATTGGTTTTCTTCATCTTCTGAATCCATGTGGCCTTAGGGTCCATGTTATCTCCGACAAGAAGAGCGCCAGTGTCAGTGGAGGCCAGAGACATGGTATCTCTGTCCAGACTGAATCCGAAGTCAAACGTCGTCTTCCTGGTTGGAGGGCCGGAGGGTCTTGGGCGAGTAACGGACTGATTCTGATGCATCACGGACACCTTCTTCACAGAGCCCACGCTCATCGAGACTGACCGCTGACCCGGGGTTACAGAGACCACTTCAGTCAACGCCTGAAATATCAAAAAGTCATTCTTCAAACAGCAATTATTACTACCTTAAAGAATGATATATTCAGAGAAAATTTACATGACAGTAAATTACTGTCATGTGTGAAGCGAGTTCAATTATTTCCCGTCATTCGCTACGGTTTTAAACCCTCCGTTTAGCGCAAAAAAAGAGATGTAGAAAAAAGATTACTTACACGACTACAAACACTGCTCTTGGCACCTCCGCGATGAACTCTCATCCACGAATTGTTGTCATCGTTACAGTAATTCCCGGAAGATGGAGCAGGAGTACCATTTGACTTGATCTTGGTCAATTTGGTAGAGTCATTAACTGTATGGAAGATGGAGAGATTCAGGCCAATCATTAAGAACATCGGCAAAACGAAAGAAACAAAGGCCGAGAAGAGGATGTACAAGTTGTTGGAGGTCATGGGAGTACATTCTCCTTGGCCCGGCACCACTTTAGTGTTAATCCCGGACCAATTCCCATGAATCGAAGGATCGATCTGGCCGAAATGATCGTAGACCAAAGGGGGAAAGGCCAAGGCCGCTGAGATCAGCCAGACAACAGCAATTGTGATCTTGGTCATCCGATTCGACGAGATAAATCTATATTTGATAGGCTGTCTGACAGCCATATATCGGTCGAAACTGATGGCCAGAAGATTGTAGATGCTGGCCGTGCTGAACAACACATCCAACGCTAGCCAGGTCTTGCACCAGACGGCGCCGAACATCCAGGAATCCGAGTATTCCTATAACGGAGATTAATTTATTATGCGAAGAAAACATTTTAGACGCCAACTACTGTAATTGGAGACTAGACATGTACATGTTGATGTTTTTAGTGTACAAGCAATGCAAGTCCCCGCACTATACATTCCTACGCAATTGAGCGAACAAAAACAAAAAAGTTTAGAGTTGGGATGACTTGAAAGATTATCTGAAAACGTACCTGGAAAATGCTGAAAGGCAGGACAATTACCCCGAGGGCAAAGTCGGAGACTGTGAGTGATAACACGATGAAGTTGGTGGAGGTGTGAAGGGACTTCTGACTGATCAGAATGTACAAAACAAACACGTTGCCGCAGACAACGAGCAGGTTCACCACCCCCAAACAGACCGCCACCCCGAAGGGTGTCATTGTTCTGAAATACGACTGAATTATTGGAGATTGAATAAGATAAACGCGCAAAAACATTCAAAAAGATATTCGAAATAAAGTGCAAAACCAACAACCAGTGGGCAGAGAGCGAGTTGTTCGTTCTTCGAGAGGGATAAACTCGTTTCGAATTCTGGGTTTAAGGTCAAAACATGACAAATTGTACCGACCCGTTGACAGTCGAATACCTAACAACGCACCGTGCCGCAGGGCCCGGTCCAGGTGCAAACCCAAAGACTTCTACCGGGAATCCCCTCAGGGCCTGACGCAATCCCCACTTTCAGACCTCGAAAATCTGTTTCCTGTCCATTAATTATTTGGCCCGGGGGGTGGGGATTCTGCGCCCGGAGGGGAGGGGAGGGGGCGAGATCTCGGGGATCCAAATCCCCTAATCAAGGGATTTCCGTCTAGTGGATATCTGGATATACTGTGTGTTACATCCATTAATCCCTTCAGGAAGAATGTAATGATAAAGATTTTGACAATTGCATGAGACATGTCAGGATAAGCGACTGGAGTGGGCGCTCGTTTAGATTACTTAGAGCAGTAATTCCACTTAAAAGATTATAAATAATAAAAATACATTAGAGCAAATTAATTAAACGGATATCTGGGATTGTTTAGGAGAACTCCTTACCACTTAAAGCCCCTGTTATCAGAAGGACCCGTCCATTATGTCCTTGACGGGCAAATACACAGAATATTATACAAGTCTACACCGACTATGAAGTGGGATTGAGAACATGCTAAATATATAATAAGATATCAAATAAGACCACCCAAAGCACGGGGAACCTCTCTCTGACAGGAAAATAGAGACGTTCAGGGGAAAGGAGATGAACAAGGACATCACCATGGACATGAACATGTAGACATGACCTTCTTGAAATGGATTACATTTGACTGAAGGAAATAGACGGACATCTTGGCCAACTGGACTTGATTAGGCCACAGATGGGTTCGTTAGGGGATTCAGAAAAACTCCCGCTTACAATTCCAGATAAATTAAACAGTAGGATCCAGGAGAAACGTGAGAGAAATAATTATCCAGAAATTCAAAGGATTTTTTTAATCGAGTGGAGGCGGAAGAAAGAGCCCAAAGCTATGCGAATACACATTGCCAAAGAATTACTGAATCAAGCTGCAAAGGAAAACAATTCAGCGCAAGAGGGGGACAATGGCATGTGAAATTCATTCATGGCTTAGCGTCACGGAGATTATAAGTTCATTCGAGTCATCTCCCCGCAAATGACCCGAGTTTAATCAAATACAAACACATAGCTAGCCATGTGTATCATTTACACAAACTAAACACTTTAAAACGAAATATCAACCACTTCAACCCATACCCATTACACATAAATGCTAGCAACCTCAACTCAAGAAATCTCGGAAACATTTCAGCCGAATCAAGAACAATGTAAAAATTGAAAATGTCGCCCAAACAAAAGTAACATGCAAGGCGAATACGCAAGCAATTGGCCATCACCAAATCTACCCTCAGGGCTTCGAATAGCGCCGCACGTGGAGCCCAAATGTTTTTAAAAATTATTTTAATCTCTTCGGATAAACAAAGTTTAATCAAGAAAGATTAGATCCCTCGGCGGAAGAAGAAAAGGACCGTAATCGCGATTACCACCAGGATTAACAAGACTAACAACACGTTTTCCCAAAACAAAATGTAAATACGGAACAATGGAATGGAGATGAGGTTTAACAATGAACAGATGCATCTATAAGCAAAGGAAAATACTACATCTTGCAAAGAAACTGCTAAGTGGTACATAGTTGTAAGAGTAGGGTTTAATAAGAAATCACAAAAACTGCGTAAATGCATACAAGGCATGAGAATAAACGGTCGACAATCAAAAGGTATAAGAATTACACAAAAATATCCGGTGCAGGCGAGAAAAAGAGAATAAATTCTGGGGAGTGACAAAGGTATAATTCATCAAGAAAAGAGTTGATCAACCATAGTAAGCTTACATACATATTATATCAAATAGTAATATGCTAAAGTAGTAGTGTGCTCTCCCACAGAATCTCTGATATTTCCCATAGAAAACAAAAGTACAAAAATTGGAGAGACAGAATTGCCAAATGAGTTATGGTCAATTAGCCTGAGGCTATTGACGTGTCGAAAACTTTCGGAATCCCAAATTAACAACAAAAACGGGCCGAATTACAATGAGACGGACATAAACAGTGCCTCAACATCCAGCAAGCACAGCCGGTGTTTATTTGCATAAACAGTAATGCCACTGGTAGAACTGTTACTTCTGAAAATATCAAACTCGGAAGTATATACAACTAAAAATACTGCACAGAGTAAATAAACATGCAAATGAATGTTATCTGACCCTTATATGACGTCCCCTTTTCCTTTCCCACCTCCCCCACTACAGGTGGAACTAAATGCACACCTATAGGCCCTCAAGCCATTATTACTCAAACTCTGGATCCCCTGAGGCCATTTGAGATACGAAAGAACTTTGCAACGAAAAGAGAATCTGCCAGAAATAGAAATGTTCTAAAATAAGTATCAGAGTACGATTACATAAATGCTGAACACCAAGAAGAGGGTTGGAGTTGTAAGAGCCTACAATTATGTAAATTAATTTGAGTTCCGTTGATCTCCTCAAGTGTAATATCCCCAGCCCACGTATTATTATCTTTTTATTAAGCGGATGATTAATGAGCGTGAGAATACAACTGTAAACGCAACGCAAATGTAAAGCAAATGTTCCCAGAGAGTGGCTTCCTTATTTTTCCCGGAATTTATTAGCCAAATTTATACATCCGGTTTTAACGAATAAAAAAGTTTTTACATCACTACGATGTGGCCATGAGCACAACATCTTGGCCCTAATTGGGAGTCGGCGCGATCAAGGACAAGGCCAACAGAGCTACTAAATAATATAAAGCACACTAGTAGCAATGATAAATTCAAATTTTTTAAAATTTAGGAACAAGGGAGTCCAGAGAATAGTGACATAACCACGTTCAATAAGAGTACTGCAATTTTTCTAACCTCTGATCTACAACTTTTGGATCCCAATCTTTCTGGTTGAATACAAATTCTGAGGAAAATTGAATCCAATTTGGAGGGATGAGTGCAAGGTAAAGGATATATATTCGAAAGTCAGCCTTTGCTGATGGTGTTTGCAAAGAAAGATCACCAAATGACATTATGTTGGACAGCTAGACTTGGGAAAAGGGAATGGTAAACATACGTTGTAATACGACAACTGCAGTAATTCTGCTTACACACATTACGGCAGAAAGAACACAATGCCTACGCGCCAGTACAGTTTTCTGCAAAATTAACCTTCAGACGCCTTTAAACTGACACTGGGAACTTTGTTGCCTCAAGGTGAATGAATAAATGCACATTTCCAGTAATCTCTAATAGGCAGCGGTAATCAACAATACAGAGCCATCGTAAGCACCAAGCATACGCAATGTCCTGGGTGCCCACGGAGGGATTCTTTCACTTTCTCAACTTCTGAATCCCCAGAATCTCCGAGAAAATGAACCGCCTCGGGTTTCAGCCAAGGGTTCAAAGAATTATATTGATGTTTGGCCCGAAAGGGGTTTATATTGGAGATGCGTAGTGCAAGTTTCCGCCTTCGTCAAATTAGAGAGAAACAATAATAAAACATCAATATTCACATCAGATGCGTCATGGATAATATAATTAATATCCAAAAATGGAATAAAAATGTTGGTACTTAAGATTCTCTGATATAGAAAAAGCGACCCTAGACTTAATTTTTTTTTGTTTGTCATACAAACCATGACAAACAAGTCTTTCCGTATCATAGTAATTTTTGTCTAATTTTTGCTCTGCAAACACGTATAAAATAATTGTTTTGTAATCGTCCGAAGATTCGAATTAATTAATTAATTAATCGTCTCCAGAAATAGTTTGATTTAATTTGCTGACGTTACACCCTTGAATGTAAATCTACATCCATTTTATCAGGGAAATGCCCTCCGGGGATTAACATCTCGTATTTTATTTTTGGTATTTTAATTAAATATCACTAATCTGTTCGGAAATTTAAAATAAACCTCTTAATTACTGCAATTACAATCAGCTGTAATCATCCTGACTTGACCCATACAATTTAACCACTACATTTATAAGTTTTAAAAAGTCTTGCAAAGCTTTTGAGACAAAAGCCTGAAACTAATCTATAGGTCCCACTTACGTGGCACGTGTTTTTGGGTGAGTACAAATCCCTTAAATCCGGGATACAAAAAAGGATACGGCAGGTTGTTGACACATGGGTATTAACAATTTAACATGAAGAGGAGTGAAAAGGATAATAAATATAAAGGACAGAGGAACAAGGTACAAGAGAAGTAGATGCGATCACTGAAACAACGATCAGGGTTTCGAAAAGGCGGCAAAGAGACTGGCACCATTTGGAAAAGTCATTTCATGCAAAAATATATAATATGTATGGGAAATGCCTTTGTAATTTCAACCAACGTCGATTAAAGTTTGCACGTGCTATCAATAAGGTCAAAAATGTCAACACTTGTTTGAAAACACCTTTCTTGCAATTTAAATCCTTTGAAATCTTGAAAATACCCTGAAAAGAAAACCGGATGTTGTGGGAATAAAGATGCCACATAATACTCCAATTAAAGTATTACCATTTAAAAGAACTTACTTTTAAAGCAATTTACTTTATGATAAAACCCTTCAGAAGCCGAACAATTATATAAAATCTCAAACCCTGAGCATATTTTAAGTAATGCTTAATATAATCGTTTGATAACCAAGACCGACGACGTTATTATTACATCATTATGGAAAGCAATCAACCGAGAATAAGTGGGCGCAACAGAAATAGGGCAAGAATTGCGTGTAAATGTCCCAAAATAAGCATAGTAACTCCGAATTACGTTTGCAGCCGGAGCTGATATCATATGCAGGGAATGAATGACATTACCCTCAAGTGTAGGAACAGATATCTATAAATAAAATAGGAAAAAGGGGGGAGAACGAGATGTCGTTATTTTAGTAATCTATCAATATAATACTTTTCACAATGGACATTAGGTACAACCAATTGAGAATAGCTCGAGTTTTGTATCCGGAAGATTCATGAACACGGAACCAATGTATATTAACCTTGTTAGTTCCCCCTCCTTAAGCGTTTTGCATAATATTGCAACCCTTTTCCTGCCCACTCTCCGCTCCTTGATTACAAATTCAGCCAATAAAGAATAGCCGTTTATGACCACGGAATATTCATTTAATTACTGATTTGACGTCCATCACAAACATGTTTGTAGGGTATGTAAATGATCTCCAATGACATTACATTACTGGGAAACTAATCAAACAATAAAGAGCATACGAGATGCCAAAGATCAGAAAAGAAAACTGATGAATGGGATGGATGGATGACAGGCATTCGGAGGATGGGGATGATGCCAATTCAGGAGGAATTCTGTAGCTGAGGGTGGTATTGATGAGGCAAAAGAATGGCTTAAAGAAACAACATTGATGGGACATTGTTGCACTGCCAGGCTATATCAAAGACGGAAAGTTTGGGAAGATTGATAGCCAATTATACAACATAATGTGAATGTGAAAATTGTTTACCGGACATAGTGGATGTAAAGGTCATTAGAATGTCTTGAAGTGGCGTGTCCAAATCTGTTTCGAAACCCTACCCCCGCAGGCAATTTGTTTGGACGCTCTCAGAAATGGATTCCGAGTAATTGAATAGTCATTGAATAGTACTCTCAGAACAATCGAATAAGAATTCTTTCAACCAAATCCCAAACCCGGTTCCGTTCCCATGACCTAAGGGTATAAATTCAAAAATCAGCGAGCCCTTAAAATACGAGCTAAAAAGGATGCCGCAAGTATTGAAAGAAAGTTAAAAGAGGATGCTGTCAATTAATACCTTTTGATATGCAATTCAATGCCTTTCATGCGGAACCCGGCTTATATTAATGTAGCCGGTTCCCAGAACAAGTTTGATGATGTTATAAAGACCGAAACGCACTCTCATCTACAATATAATGTCATTCAACCATCTTACTCTCTTGATCTTAATCTCCTCTAAACATTTGGTGGTTTTAATGTCTCATAATCAAAGGTTATGAGGCCTGAAGGCTCGAGACAAACACCGGACTTTCCCCTAGATTTCCAAAAAAAGACCAATCAGAGAGAGCTGCCGTTTCGTATCCAAGACGTTTACTCGATTTACTGCAGCAAACAGTGGTAAAAGAGATAAAGACAAAAAGATTGGGGCATTGTTTATTTGGCCTTGCTAAGAAAACTACTTATCGTGTTCAAGTAGTAGCGTGTCCAGCAGTTCTTGAGAAAAATAAAGAATCCGAAATGATTAGAACAAGAAAGAGATGCACTCTTACAAAAACACGTTAAGCGGTTGTTTCTGAAAAAATTTTAGAGCATCTTCTTGATATCTTTCTAATCCTATAAGCAGACAGATTAATCTTAAATAGTACCATTTCCAGAGAGTCGATCCCAACGAAACTGTAAGTAAGAACTTTGGATAGGACGGCGGCATTTAAAAGATTTTACATTTACAAATGTGGATGTAAAAGACAAAAGTTTAATCAGGGATCATTATTACTCTTAGGATGTCAAGAATATATCCGGGTCATCAAAATCTGTGCGTTGCGTGAGCACGGTACGCGATTTTTGAGCCATAGCCGGCAGTGGGGTCCGGTTGACCATGAATAGTAGTGCAAAGTAGTAATTTTTTTATTTAGAAACTAAAAACACTGCTCATTCGCAAAATGCAAAACATTGCTAATTTACAGTACTACTTAAGACAATAAAGTAAACATTATAAAGAATGGACTGGAGTGGATTTCTGGAATCAGCACGGTCGATTGCCTTAAGCCACCACCCTTTTCTCACCGAGTGATTTTTTTGAGGACCTTTTCAACCCGCTGACCTTTACGTAACGATGACATACGACAATATGTAAATGAATCTTCCGTAAACTCATCCCTTACAAACATCCCTTGTTAGTCCCTTTACTGTATCTCGGGCTGATGCCCGCATAATGGAGTGTGTATTCACAGAACCGGTCGACGAAAGGGCCGAAATTAGATTTGGAGCCTTTCTCGGGATGAATATGAATTTATGCCGGCCTTCTGCGAATCAAAACTTTTTCTAACAATGTGATTTCTGAGATCAAAAGTAATGGTTTGCAGAATAAAGGAGGTCATATGGGAATGTAAGTACGTTTTCGAGGATTTTTCGGCGTTTTTTTTGTAAATATTAAGTATTATGCTCATTTGTTTAGCAATGTAGTATGTTTTAGACCAGAATTTAAGGTTTGCGGGACGGGAAAGTAACCTGAAATCGCCTATTCGAACTATTTTAGCATTCCAATAAAATCCGAATCAAAGCCTCCGAACTTGTGTGGGTGCTAATGCAAGTTCGAATCATACCAAATTTTGGTGACTATTTGCAGGCTCCAAAAAACAGTACGAATAGTTTACTCTAAACAAAGACATCAAATTCACATTATATTTATGAGCATAATTTACATGTTTTGACACAATAATGCCCCATCAAGTCCGTGTAAGGTTCCAGATGACATAGTCTTTCAGTGCAGCTTAATGACACATCTCTGCATTCATCATCCTTTTCTTTAATTTGGCCGTTCCCCTTCCTGCCTGCATATTTTAATTCATTTTCATTTTGCGGGCATTTCCCTAAGATCCGAAGTTTTGCCAAGTCTAACTCCGATAACTGATGATTATCGTTAATTGTGATCCGTTCCTTCAAGGGCAACATTGTTTCCAGTTTTCTTTGTCTATTCCAATCAAATTTTCCGAATGCTCGGCTGTCGTAATGCATAATTGAATTGTAATCATAAGGCTGACCATAAAGCTCGACCAAATGAGAGGGTATCTTGTCGAAATTATCTGTATTGATGGTTTACTAAGCAGTACCACTTGTTTGAATTACCTTCCTTTCCTTTCTGAACATTTCTATAATTGACTTTGATGTATTTATCGCGATCATGGCGCTGATGTTCATGTTCAAGACCTAGTGCATGGAGAAGTTCGTGCTGGATGATGTAAGGCCGGAAACATCCCTTAGACAGAGATAGCAGCTGAGGCCCTCCTTAATGTTACTACCATACGTTACAGCACATACCAACCCTTCCAACATACGAATAACATCCATCCTCTTTTCGGATATCCAAGTAATCCCTTTGGGATGATTTCTCAATGAATTTAAAACAAGTTTGCTCTTCCAAATACTGCATCATGTCCTTTATGAGGTCTTTCCTGCAATTATAGTCACACTTCAGAGATCTCATACTCATCCTGGCCATATTGATCTGATAAAGAGTAATAAACAATGTTATTTTTCCATCGATTCGAACTCTTCTCCCTTATAGCAGCCGCCATTTTATGATTGCCATTGAAATTACCATGCCTCAAAAGCCTTATCACTTGAATATTATATATCAGATCTGAACGTATTATTACTTACAGACATCACCATACTTCAGATTCTGAGCTGAAGAATTTTGATTCATCTCAAAAATAGGGATAGACAGGATAGATATTGGGAGTAAAAGAATAAAATGCATAACAAACTATAGATCAACACCATCATAATTCGGACATTTAAAGGCATCGAGACCAGCTGAGAAAACAAGATCCGTTACGAATCCTGAGTGGACATTCCAATTGTTTTTAGATAATGGATACCATCAAATGGAGGGAACAATTAAGATTTGGTTGTTTCAACACATCCTGTACGAATTACATCAACTTGACTTATACTCCCGGACATGTATTTCTGACCACCCTTTAACTCGGTTATTGATTTAACTATTAATACATGTTCCAAATTTTAACTGCCCTATCAAAAAGGGCTGCAAAACTTTGATGAAACGGAATTTTACATATTTGTACTCTAAGTGCACTTTTTTGGGCATTTTCCAAAAAATTGTGGACAAAACTCTCTGATCACTTACAGGTAAATTATTCGCAACTGTCGACAACTGCTGGCCACGAACCTTCCGTCCATTGTGCTGAGAGATGTTAGGGTTCTCATCAAGCATGTAAATGATTACAAGATTCACCAGCTGGCCGAACATTAGCGGCTTCTAACTTTTTCAAACTGGCTAAATTTAAACATGACTTTGCCTGCAAAATGTAGACTAAAGTAATATTTGAGTTCATCCGAGATCTTGCAACTTCGAGGTGAAACTACAAGGGACGTAGCTAAGGTAATTAACATACGGTGAAAAATACCGGTAAATTAATGGACGACATCCGGTTGTGGCACTTTTACGACTTTAGAAAAATGGCATTCAATTTTATAAAGTTTGACACGTTTCTTATTGTTAGAAATTTTAGTTTACTGTAATTATAGATCTTTTACATTTTGCAAGATAAATCAATTTTGGAATTGAAATTATTTTATTTTATAAAATCTTGGATTCAGCGCCAAAAATCGAAAAAAATCGGCCCTTCGTTCGCCAGTTCTCGGGGTTCAGACATTTTTATCTTATCAGCCCGTATATTATACATAATGCTTTGCCGGTTGCTGTAACATGACTTTTCTGTTTTTGTTTTTGTTTGGCATCAAATTACACTAGCACCTTTAAATTCATTCCTCGTCTCAATTTTTTGTGACTTCTTTCTGGCTGTTATTGTAGTTAGGAGAATTTTTTATCACAAGCCACAAAGATGGTTCACCATCGTCCACCCATCACTGATCTTCTTGTAGTATTTTGGGTTTCTGCTTTGTGACCTTAAACTTAAAAGGTTCCCCTGTCTGCTTTTCATTCTCAAGGTCTTTTTCGATCATTAGTGAACGTTTCCTCTTGCTCCCATTCGAACTTGGATTAATTTTATTCTAGGAGGATGAGTGCGGCCTTGGCTATTGGAGGGACTCTGGGAGGATGTATGACCTGCATGATGGTTGTGGAGTCCTTGGCCAAGTAAGGACTAATGTAAATTTAGTATCTTTGTTTAGAAGTCATACCAATGCAATGAATCTGATGACCTTTTCCAACTTCTTGTTCATCTCCATTCAAGGCCTCATCTTCACTTCCAAATTCCTCACAATTCGCAACAAAATTCCAATTCGAGCGTATATTCCAGTCGTTGTCACTTTTTGTTTCGTTAATATCATAAACAACCTTGCCCTCAGTTATCGAGTTCCAGTTCCATTACACATAATCTTCCGCTCCGTAAGTGTTTTGATCTGTTTTCATCTCCTTTTAGGGATCTCTGTTATCCAGTTTAATCATGAACAGATTGTTATTGGGAAGGGAGTACACAACAAAGAAGTATTTGTCAGTCTTGGCCATTACTATCGGTATTGTCATGTGTACACTGGCTGAACAGGTGAGTACTGTAAGGAGTGCCCTATAAACAAGTCTAGAGTTCACAAAAAACGGGCGAATTATCCATCGAAGAAGCCGAAAAACATTTGAAGGACTGGTCAATTGGGATCACAATGCTGACTGTGGCCTTAATTGCCTCGTCATACCTAGCCATCTGTCAAGAAAAGATGTACAAAGACCACGGAAAACATTCGGATGAGGCGATGTTCTATGTCCACGCTCTGTCTCTTCCCTTCTTTGCTCTATTTGGTCAAGATATCATCACCTGTGCTCAGGAATTTAATCAAGAGCCTCCATTAGTACTGTTCGGTGTGAATCTTCTCCTTTCACAGGCTTGGTGGACTTTGTTTGCAACTTCAATCTTCCAGTAAGTGTCTAAAGCAATATTCGTTACATAAATTTAGGTATTTCTGTATCAAATTCGTCTATATGGCCAATGCCCACATGGATTCTCTCTCCGTGACTTTGTTGGTGACCTTGAGAAAGTTCTTGTCTTTATTGGTCTCCATTATTTACTTCAACAACGTGTTCACTGCCACTCATTGGGCTGGTGCTCTGCTCGTCTTTGGTGGTACCCTTGTATTCAGTAATGTTATTCTTCGTTCTTAACCTCTCAACTTTACATATCACAACTTTCCATTATCTAATTAGACGATAGCATAGATTTCAATAGCTAAAATAAAATTTTATTTCAAAATATTTACAAATATGTTGATCAAGGTTTGTATACCGGGAATGTAATTGAGATCGGGGGTATCTGGGCATTGGAAAACATGGGAAAAGTCGATCAACTTTAGTTTTTCATTGGCTGGCAGTGATTCATTACCTTCGTAGATTAGTAAAATGGAACTTGCATAGAACTGGAGTTGACTGTGGGTCAGGAAATATCTAAAATCACATTGATATTTTCTTAATTTATGAAGTGAATGAGCGACTTACCTTTCTAGCTTCCTCAGTTCATTTAAGAGACCCTTGGCGGCTTCTTTGTCTTCTCGGTCGGCGGCCAAGAATTCTTTGAACCCTAGAATATTGGAATTGCCAACGGAGATGACTCACCGTCTTCCACTGTTTTCCCATCCAGAGATTTCCCCCAAATTCGGTCTTTCGTGTCCAACTTCCCCTTTTTATGTACCCGATATCCAAGAACTCTGAATCCCGAAATTTGTTGATATGCAGATTTGCTAAGTTCCTGTTTCTTTTTCTGCTCAGAAGCCAGAGGATCGAATGAGACCTTCCCCATCTTCACATCTATTATACATGGCTGTTTATAAGTCGCAAGAAGATCTTCCAGGATCAGGAATTGCCTGTCTGCACTTGTGTTTTGTTGGTTAGATTCCTCCGCCTACCTATTCCAGAGAGGGACAACATTTCCAGTCCATAAAACCGAGGTACCAAAGGGATTAAATCTCTGAACGCCAATGTTAATTTATCAGAAGGAGAAGAATCACAATCACCGGCCACCTTCTGGATCATGTGATAAAACCAAACCTAAATGGGCATCAAGATAGAAAGGTAACGGACGTACTTCACTATCACCTCTTTCGAAAGGCATTCGGAGCTTCATGATTTTGGATTCATCCTTTTTGATTATACCTAAATTCATAAAGAAATATATGTAAAGGGACTACAAACCAATTTGACATTTCCCATCTTTGATGACATTGATGTTGTGCCCAGCAATCTGATCATTGTACCAAGAATAACCTTTAGGTAGCACCTCTTCCCTTTCTATCTAAAAGCATATCAAGAATGAAGGACACGGCAACTTTGTATCAAGGAATAAACGCTTACAAGAGTGTACTGTGCTGTTACCTTCTTCTTCTCCTCCACTCCATCTTCCGAATCTTTCGTTCGTATCTGATATGGATTGTCCTGAGGTATGAAATGATGGATGGTCTCCATAAGTAGGGCCCTTCCGTTGTAATACTGCTATAAAATGAACGTATTCCTTCTTTTTATATTCCATTTTTATAAAAGTATGACTAAAAGGCACTCCAGAACCAAACACGAACACACTTAAATTGTGATTCAAGACAAAACCAAAATGATGTAACATTTCGATAGAGGAAATGATTTCAATCATAAGACTGCGGACGTACGACATGAGTGATTCCAATTTATCTGAAGACTAAACCAAACAAAAAATACGGTAGTCAATTCGAAATTAAGTAAACCTTTAAAAGCAGAAGAAGACCTAAAAGTGAACAATGAATAAGCATTACTTTATTGGTATATCTGTAGCAATAATATCATCTTATCATCGCCCTGATCAGTTTCTTCTGGCTTCAATTTCCTTTCTAGTCAAGAGAGCCGGAATTTTTATAAAATTATTTTTATTGGTCTCGAACGGAACCCCCTGCGAAATCAGGGCGGAATTCCCGGTATTCGTCTGTGCTGACGACGAATTAATGCAGTATAATATGTGTTCTTGACCCACATTGGAGACGTTCTTTGCCATTTGTCCCGTTTTACACCTTTATCATATTTTTTGACACTAAAAAGGGTTGCTTTCAGAGTTTTGTGTGTGGAAAAACTTGAATTTGGGTTAAGACGGAAATGAAACTTCTTTCCTTTTTGGTTTTGTCGGTACTTGTACTGGAAGTTTACTGTGCCAAAGATGATTGCGAAGGTAAGTGTGGTTTTGTTTTTTTTCACAGTCAATGTTCTTACAGTTTGTACCAAGGTCCTGACTGATATATTGGACAAAGTTCCAACAGACAAAAAATCAAATCCGGATGTTATCGACAAAATTGCTCGATCTCACTGTAAAGGTCTCAAAGCCAAGGAACATAAATTGGTAAGATGTTTTCTATCGTTATGGTCTATGTTTAGGAGGTAAAGGTGTGTAACATCGGAATTCTCAACATATCCTTTTCAGTGCTTTTATATCGGAGCTCTCCCTGACTCAGCTACCTCTATTATGGGTGAAGTAACCAAACCTCTTTCTTGGGGGATGCCTCCGGCCAAGATTTGTGCAGAGAAGTTGCAGAAAATGGATTCCCAGATTTGTGAACTAAAATTTGACAAAAGTATCGACTGGAAAAGTGTTGACCTGAAGAAATTGAGAGTAAAAGAACTAAAGAAAATTCTGGAGAACTGGGGCGAAACTTGTAAAGGATGCACTGAGAAGACGGAGTTCATCAAAAGGATCGAGGAACTTAAACCCAAATATGTCAAAGAGGAACTATAGATGTTTAATTTATTATCTTTTGTTTGTGATATCGGGATATGAGTGGGCTTTCAAGTGCCTTTAATGTTTGTTATATGGTTATTACTAACTTAAATAAATTATTGTATGATTATACGAAGGCTCTACATCCAATAGGTTTCGTAACCAGAATACTTGATTTTGTCGAAAACTGGGAAATCTTGAGTATTATGTCTGTAATGTTTCTGTGCAGAGCTTAGGTTGGGCCAACGAATCTGATGGCCGGTCAGCTCCCACGTCGGATTACCAAAGAAACACAGCGACTTCTCCAAGACCCCGTCCCTGGAATCTCTGCCACTCCTGATGACAACAATGCTCGCTACTTCCATGTTATAATTGCTGGGCCTGAAGGCTCCCCGTTTGAAGGAGGAGTTTTCAAACTGGAGTTGTTCTTGCCAGAGGAGTACCCGATGGCTGCTCCCAAGGTCAGATTTATGACAAAAATATACCATCCGAACATAGATAAATTGGGAAGGATCTGTTTGGATATCTTGAAGGGTAAGCGTTCTTCAATTATTTTTTTATGTTTAGATAAATGGTCACCGGCTCTTCAAATTCGGACAGTCCTGTTATCGATTCAGGCTCTTCTCTCTGCTCCCAATCCAGAAGACCCTTTGGCCACGGATGTGGCCGAGCAATGGAAAACCAACGAATCCGATGCAATTCGCACCGCCCAGGACTGGACTCGGCTCTATGCTAACGGGAACTAAAGGAGGGACGTTTCGATTCCCTAAAAGATCTTCAATACTCCCGCTGGCTCTTTTCTATCTGGTAATTATATGGTATAATACTTGTATTTTGTTATATCTGTCTAATAATACACCATCGAGTATTCAAAGCTTTTATGAGTAGAATAATTTATTTTACAAGAGACCCGTATGGTGAAGGTAAAGATGACCGATGTTGCGATGTATCAAACTCTTGGTTAACATATCCTATGGTTTTCAATGTCCGTCAGCACTAGGTTGTCGATGAACACACTCGATTTCTTTTCTTTCTCGCCCAATTTTACGATAATGTAGATCTTTGTATCACTTGGTAGGATCTCAATGAAGTCATGAGCAAAAGTCCCGTCCAATTTAACCTTCTCTGTGTTCTTTACAGCATAACATTGATCTAATTCTTGCCGGATGCTGTCTTGACAAACATGGACTTGCGCTCGCCCTTTCTGCAATTGAAGTTATAATACATGGGTCGAGTTACCATCATGGAATAATCGAAGTGGAGTCTGGCTGGAGCATTCAAACTAAACACGCTGGATTCCATAATAGATATCTTTCCTCTCTCGAATAGCATGGAGTGCCCGGTGTTGTTAAACGCTGTGAACATGGAGACACTGTTGGCTACTCGGTGACTCTCATATAGGCACATATGGCCATTGTTGAAATCGCATGAGAGTAGCCGGCAGACGTTCGAATCGGGTGTGGAGGAAGACGGAACGTGATTGGCGGTACTCTGGACTGGTCCCACGTCTGCCTGTTCGTAAGTTTTCAATGATTTCGGGCCGGAGAGTCGGCCACTGTGATGAGAATTGGCTGAGAAGGCGACAGTTGAACAGATTTTACCCTAAATTTACATATTTAACAAATAATGCATCGGCATACGCTCAAGACAAGGTCATCCACAGCAATGAGACCTTCTCCGTCTTCCAGATCCTCGGGTATTTCGGCTTTTAAGGCCAATCTGATAGGTTCTTGATAATTGGGGATATCTACTTCAATCCTCTCGGCACTCCCTTCCCCGACATCCTAGAGCCATCATTTAATTACCTCACAATTCTCGTACCTGACAATCCAAAATCTGATCATTGAAACTCTTGACCACACAAACCGATAGAATGGCATCTCCAGTTCTCCAGAAGCTTAATCCTAGAGAGGCACCCTCGTACATACATCTGATCACTTCACTTATCAAAATTGCCGCTGTCTTTGGGCCCTTACTCTTCGGGAATCGGGCGACCGCGAAATCAGAGGCTAATTTGAAATGATATAAGTCTATGTGGATGAGACAACTTACTTGGGACAGTGTTTTTATGAGTTAGAAATTCGAATTTCCTCTCATCAATGGCCCCCAACCCTACCTCCCACTTGTTGTGAGTGTTCTCTTCATCCAAATTGGCCCAAAAGCAATCGAGTCCTCTTCTGGAGAAATCACAGGCCAGGTCCTTAACAACTTCTCCTCAAAACGTTACACTTACATCTGCTGAATGAGCGGCGCGGTTTAAGATGACCCCAAGAAAAGGAGTTGTATAGAATCCCTTCCCAAAATCAAGGGATCCAAATGCCTCGGTGCACATTGTGGCTTCGTAATCAATGTCATCCAACATTAGGAAATGGTCTCGGTCATGATCTGCCACAGTTACTTTGATCCCGTACTTAAATTTATTGATTGTTTTACCCTCAACTTACCATAAAATTCTTGGTATAACTAAAATGATGAGTTGACGGGGCTGGGGATCTTTCTATCGACACTTGCTGACATTCCAACTCATTCATATCCAAATCCATGGCACATACATCCACTCCCAGGCCTTTGTTGGCCCACACTCGGAAGGTTAAGGTCGACCCGGACGAGGCCTGGCAATCTATAGGATCCGAGACCAACCTTCTGATCCCCGTGGAATGGTCTTGTTCAATATAAAGGAAAGCGTAAGCTCCTTTAGGGACTGTGTAAGTGCCAGTTTCATTGAACATGACGGCCTCTGATGGTCTGCTGACCCCCTTTCGCCATGCCAGAGTGCCATCATGTCCTCCGTTCCTCCATCTGCAGGACTCGTCAAAGTTAATGCAGCTCAGATCAGCTGCCGTATTGACGGGCGAGCCTTGAGCTGAGGTCTTCAGCTCTTCCGTTTCAAAGTTTGGACCAAAATCAACTGCAAACGATGATAAATATTGTCTTATCTCTGCGTAATGCTTACTTGCCACTTTGCACAACTGAGCTTCGTAAAATATGTTGTCGACCATCACAAAAGATCCCTCGGGGTGGGAGATATCATAGGCTCTGATGGCCAATCGAAAGGGTTCTTCTCTCGGGGGTATCTCCACTTTGCACTCAGTGTCCATAGTTACTGTACCACAGTCCACATGCAATTTCTCTGGCAGAAATCTGATTTCCGTTTTATTCCCCACCTTCGCGTCTTCTAACATCAGAACTTCCACTCGAGCTCCGTTGTAAATCCAGAATCTGAGTGGAGCCTATTCGATTACATAGCTGAAACTTACGTAAAAGTCAGTAATCCAGTCGAATTTTGACATTTAATAGGCCAAGAAGCCAGAATAGCGTCTTTATTAGACTTTTTCCGATCTCCCGTGAAGAGAAGATGGTCTCCAACTTCGACTTTGGAAGGTCCCGGTCTGACTTGTACTACCGGGAAAGGAGTGTGATCTTCTTTTTTGAATAAATGAAAGTCCAGAGAGTCCACTCCCTTCAGATTCATCCATCTACAGTCCTCAGGATGTTTGAAATCACAATTTAAATCCATCGAATGTCTTATGAATTTAGGAGTGGTAGCTAAAAAATAATGTAAAAAGGTTAAATAGTAGTGCAAAGGGGGATCATGACCTACCATCCGCTTTGTCCATGGCTTTGGGTATCCATTCGATGCCCAAATATTGTCTTAACTTGGCTCTTTCCATTTCATATCCAGGCATACAACATAGACCTGCAAATCAAACCCATTTCACGTCAAGCCAAGTGTTGCGCAACAATGATGACATAAAACATTTTTGTCCTACTCACCTGTACTTGTTAGTAGACTCAAAACGAATATCCGTTTGATCATTCTGTCATATCCCGGGTCACAAGAATGCAACGACTACAGTAACCCTGGCCGAGTGACCTCAATAAAATTGTGTTAAAAGTGCAAATTGGAGGGGGAAACGAGCAATCGCCGAGGAATGCCTCGAGCAAAAAGAATGGAGGCGGATTCTGGAGCCAGACTTCTTCTGTTCCGTTCCCCTTCTCTTTCGCAATCTCGAGCTATCGCGCGTTTCCTCCCCCCGCCCTGAGGGGAACCCGATTCCGTGAACGGGTTTTAATCTCTCGGCTCCCTCAGGGCTCATTCCTCCAGGAGATAAGGGGGACTTGACCACAAGCCCTAATTAACTGGCTGATTGCACTCCCATCAATCATCGCCCCATAAACAGCTCGTGAGGAACGGCCGGCAGAAATTACTCGGCTTGAATCTGCGTAGAAGACGACATCGGATGTGGAGATAGCGACATCGATCTTGTCATTGCGGGCACAAAACTTATTCCAGACTTTACAGCCAATAGTTATTCTAACTGATGTTGTGGTGAATATAATTTAAGCGAAAAGAAGAAAAGACTGATTTGTCAAATCCACGTCTTTGTTAAAGTTTACTCCCACCGCCTTAGAAACATATTATTTTCTTATCAGATTTAACACTTTCGAGAATCTTTTCCGTTACGTCACCGCTCAAATGACCATCAATAACAAATTGGATTGCCTCGAGACTCCCGACTTCCGCTCGGATTTATTTTTTCATCGAGGGATGGCGTAACGCCGTCGTTGGATCCTGTTTCAACGCAAGAAAAAAGGTCAACGGAGAGGATCGATGAGTAACAATATTTACAAAGAAACAACGTTATATTAATTTAAAATGGTATAAGAAAGCATAAAGCGTATATGGTATGATGATGAGTAACATAGTATTATCTCGGTTTCTGATGTAAATTTGAGTATCTTCTAAAAAAAATGTAGAAGATAGTATCGTAAATGGATCCCCATAATTGTTTTCAATCAACTCGGTAATTCGAATAACATAATCCTCATGAATTGCTTTCCGATTAGAGCGTGAGAAGAAGGGGGATTTTAGAGCATGCTGGCGTCAACTTCCACACCGATATCATCTACGAGATCGTTAGTCCAGCAGGAGCAAAGCGAACGCCAAGCTCTCTCAAGAACTTTTCGATTACAACTTCATAAAAGCATTTGGCGACAAGGCCGTAAATACATGTCATACCATGACTATCGGCGGGTTATATGATTAATAAGTTATAATAAGTATAGAAGATAGAAAAGGCGGGAAGAAAGATTATGAAATAGCTGAAAAATTAAACCGAGGCTCTTAAATTTATTTTTTTAAAACACCGCTTACATTTTTACACTTAAAACAAATTTTCCACTATGACATCATTTTAACAGTGTTGTATCGAAATTAAAACAAAAATTAAATTAACACTTTGTACACACGACACTTTTATCAAATTACATTTTTTTACAAAGATGAGGTATCTATGACTTCTGTCTTTTATTGGCATCCACCCATTGTATGTTTTCTTTTCCCATTCTGCATGAATCCATAGTACTATGACTTTAGACAGTTTACTCAATCATGAGACCTTTTTGTGCCCCTCTTTCCAATCATTGGAGAAGTGTAATCAAAGTCCTCGAAGATGCCATGGTTAATATCGGAAGACATCTTAATTGGATCCTGAGGAAATAAATCCATTTCCATGATCCTGGAGAGGGGGAAAGGAAGAGGCGGCGGTATCTGAAATCAATTTGAATAATTGTTTTCCACCAACTCAGTAATCGAACACGCTACGTAATATCGCAATCCTCACCCGCCGTTTCTGAATCGTCTTCCAATTTGTGCGTGAGAAGAAAGGGTGATTCTGAAGTTGGCTAAAGCCATCAATACGATCTTCTGGAGTTTTTTGGAGTAATTGGCAGAGAAGATGGTTCATTTGAGGATCGATGGGCTTGGTAGGAAAGGGAATTTCTTGTGTGAGGTACTGAAGTTAAAGAAAATGAATGAAATTACAATTTCTGAAACAACCTTCTCATCCACATTCTCATCATGGTAATCGAATGGTTGTCTTTCATAGATCATCTCGTACATTATAATCCCCATTGCCCACCAATCCACGGATTTCGAATATCCATTTTGATTATTGTTTAATTCGGGAGCCTTATAACCAGGGGTGCCAGCTGATGTATAAACTTTAATGGTATTCTCATCAAGTATCCTGGAGTGACCAAAGTCAATCAGCTTTATGTGCCCTAGAATAAAATGGTACGTTTCTCTCCGCCATTTATTATAAAGTTTCTTACCGTTCCTTTCTACCATAATGTTCTCCGGCTTTAGATCCCTGAAGATGATCAGATTTTCATGAAGATATTCTAATGCCAGAATCATCTCGCTCGTATAAAATCTAACCAAATGGACGCTAAAGTTTTCTCCAAGAATCCCCATTCTCTCCATAAAACAATAAAAATCACATCCTCTGATATAATCCATGACCAAATTTAAAGTGGTTGGAGTCTGATAAGCGTAGTATAGTTTGACGATGAACGGTGAGTCTGCTTTCATCATAACATTCCTCTCAACTTTCATGCCGGCCATATTTATCTTGGAGTCCATTACTTTGTCTTTGGAAATCTCCTTTAACGCGTACTTTCTCTTCTTATCATAACCACTACGCTTCCGGACCACATAAACCTAAAAAACAATGGACTACACACAAAGTTACAATCTCCGATCACGTTTTAAAAATTGTCTTATTTATTATAATTCATAACTTACATTTCCGAACCCTCCAGACCCCAAGAATTCGATAACTTTGAACTCCTCGGCTATAGTAACCATTGCAATATTACCTTGAATGATAAAATAATTGGAGTGATGCCACTTCATATTCCTTTCAGTGCCTTGATTTTCTTGAAATTCTGCGTATATCCGCGTCTTTCAGATTACTCAACGTTGCGTCATGATAATAAATGGGAAATGATATTTATTACGATCTATGAAATAAGTTAGTAACAAGTGAGATAAAAAGGTAAAGCCAAGACAATTATGAGATCACATAAGTTCCTGCTAGGCAGGTAAAAAATGCCTCAGGCGGTTAATTAAAGCGAATGTCTCGAGGATTTGTGGTTTCCAAACATCAGAATTTCGAAAGGATCGGATTCATTGGATGATGAGGACTCACTTGATCGGGCAGTAGTTTTTCCATCTCTAAAACATGGTACGCATTAGCGTGCTGTAATTTACGCGTCAGAGGAATCTGATTCCCTGATTTCATCTTCCTCGATCATTTCTGGAGATGTAAAATCGAAGCCATCGAAGTGTTCATAAGTCTTCTCAAAATTCCCTTCGTATATTGTATCGTCTACATGAGGTACCTTCTCCATTAAGACGAGCAAGGGTTCATTATGAGGAAATGGCAACTGGAAATTTGAATCGTGTGGTATGTATATGGTAACATACCTGTCGAGATCGAAGCCTTTCCCAATCATAACTACTAAAGTATGGATGTCTCTGCACCTCAAGAGCATCATCTGGTCCAGCTCCCAGCCTTGACTGATACTCTCGGTTCAGAAATAGTCGAATAATTTCCTTGGTGGAATCATCGATTTCCAGACCAAGAGGTGTTGGAAACCTTAACGGGGCTTCTAATATCTGCAAAACTATATTTTCCCTTTCTTAGACCTACCAATTTCGTTGTTATCTTGTCATCTTCATGATCGAAAGGCAAAATTCCAAATAACATATCATACATGATGATCCCGAGAGCCCACCAATCACAAGCTCGAGTGTATCCCCTCTTAAAGTTGATCATCTCAGGACTCCTGTAAGCCCGGGTTCCACAACAAGTGGTCATCTTCTGAGAATGTGAGTAAATCCCGCTTCGGGCATGGCCAAAATCGACTAGTCTAATATAACCTGGAAACACGACAAAGAGTCTCAAAAAACAAAAAAAAGCACTTACCATTATGTTTCATGACAATCATATTCTCAGGTTTGAGATCTCTGAACACAATCCCCCGAGCATGCAAGTATTCTAACATCAAGACTATCTGATTCACATAAAATAAGGTAAGATCTTGGTGGAATGTGCCAAAGATATTCATGAAATCAAACAGTTCACACCCATATATAGGTTCCATCACCAAATAGAGACAAGTCCTTGTTTGAAAAGCATAAACAAGCCCAGGAAATGAAGGGTGGTCCCTCAGTTTGATTAAAATATCTCTCTCAGTGAGGATTCCTCTCTTCAGACTCGAACTGTGCATTATCCGTCCTTTTTCAATCCTCTTCAATGCATATTCATGGCCTTTATCAACTCCTCTTAACTTGACTACAAGATCTACCTAAAATAATATAAATTTAGGTAACAAAAATCAGACAGGGTTAAAAGTCAAACTATTAAACTCAAACAAAGTTTAGATCAATGAAGTGAAATACAGTAAAAGAAATTAGTTATTTAAAAAAGGTCACAAGAATATTGACAATCCGATACATTGGAGCTTACCTGACCATAATTTCCTCGTCCAAGATGTTTTAAAGCGATGAAATCTTTTTTTAGGACCTTATGAGACATCACGTTAATTTGAACCACTTCTTTCAAGTCAGAAATGCAGATGTTGTGGCAAAATAAATGATTTGCCAAACGCCTCGATTGATAAATAAAATCAATAAAAAAAAGGTGCAACACTTGGCGCCATTTCCAGAATTTAAAAATACCATAGATCAAAAGGCATCGAAACCGGGTCCTTCCCAACAAAAAGAAATGTTCGAACCACTCTACTATCGAAGCACAGCTCCGCAATTGCGTTTTTGGAACGTCTTTATTTTTGAGAGAACTTTGATGCGCCATGACTCTGCCCACAGGGCCCGTAAACACTTTTGGAATCCTGATTCTTCTTACACTGCCTGGGGCCTTCAACATCCACTAGATCACCAATAAGGATTGATCCGCGAAAAGGTGACTTTCCTTGTCCGCATAGAATCTCGGAATTCTTGTCTAGAGGGCACAGACAGAAATCCGGGATTTCTGCGAGGACGTCCAAAAGACTGCAGAACGGATGCGCCTTATATGTGCGCAGTAGTGCTGTTCCAGTGACTTATTACTGTATCTGTGATGAAAAACATTCGAAACATTCGAAAAAAGCTGTTTTGTTGTAAAATCGGGCTTCTTAATTGTAACTGACATTGATTCGGACAAATAAAAAGACTACGATTCTTGTAACTCCCGCTTCCACTTTCACTTTTAACTTCTAACCCGTAATGGGAAGGTTCATCAAGTCGAACGCCATCAAATTCACTAAACTCGGCGATCCCAGAGAAGTGAGTAAACCATTTCTAGCAGGGTTATCAGTAAAAATTTATGATCACTCACTAAAATTGTTTCTTTTCAGACTTTGTCATTGACAACTGAAGAAGTAGACACTGATTTAAAGGAAGGGGAAGTCCTCGTCAGATGGATTGCCTGTCCAGTCAATCCGGCCGATATTAATATAGCCAGAGGGGTCTATTTCTATAAGAGGTTGCCCCCCGCATCCTTGGGGATTGATGGATTTGGAGTTATCGAGAAAGTAAGCCAGCAAACTATTCTCTTTATATCCTGTTTCAAGAAATATAGGCTCGTAAGATGTTTTGATATCATTTTAGATTGGCCCTGGAGTAAAATATGTGGATGTTAATGACCATGTGATGCCCTTACACCCGCATATCCAGGGAGGATACTGGCGAGAATTTCAGGTTCTCCAAGCACTTGGTCTTTACAAATTAAACAAGAGATTACCATTAGAAGCGAAGGCGACTTTAACAGCCAACGCCGCTACTGCCTACTTGATGTTAAAGTTGTTTGTTCCGCTTGAGAAAGGAGATTATGTTCTTCAAAATGCTGCAAATTCTCAAGTCGGGAGAGCGGTCATCGATATATGCAAAGGTAACATGTCTTTGCAGGTATCCTTTTACAGTATTAATATGATTATTTCAGCTTTTGGATACAAAACTATAAATGTAATCAGATATCGGATAAATGTGGACAAATTAAAGCAAGAATTACTTGATTTGGGAGGGGACTATGTCTTCACAGAAGCCGAATTCAAAGAAAACGGCCGAAAATTCGTCAACTCGTTGGATCGTCCACTGAAATTGTCGATAAATGGAGTAGGCGGAAAGAGTTCGATTCCCATTTCAGCCAATCTAGCCAAATTTGGGACAATGCTGGTGTATGGAGGAATGAGTTTGAAGCCGCATGAAATCCTGACTTCATCTTTGGTTTTCAAGAGTATTAAAGTCATCGGATTCCAATTATTTGATTACTTTGGAGTAGAGCAGGATGATTTCAGAAGAAGAACATACGATGAGCTCACTGTAAGATTCATCCATGAATATCCAGTCGGTTTAGGAATTATTTTTGGCCGGCAAGTTACATGTGAGTCCGATGGAAAAAGTGCCAATGGAAAATTTCAAGGAGGCCGTGGCTAAAACCATGGCTGGAAGTCATTTAAAACAGCTTTTAATGATCTCCAACGAGCACGCAAGTAGTCATATTTAACTCATTGTTTATTAAACCTTGATGTGAAGGCTTATTTTTATACTTCCAATTAAAAGTATGGTCCTATATGACTTTGAACATCATGAATACTCACGAAGGGGCGTACAGTTTAGAACACAGAAATAAAATTTTTGGCTGTTGCTCAGGGTGGTCAAAAAACAAATTTTCAAGCAAGGAAACTGCCCGGTTTGAGGATGCGGTTTAACCCGGCTTCTTCAAGAATCCTTGATCCTTCCCAAAACACTAATATTTTTAAACATGTGTTTTATTGCACTAGATCAAATAATAATAAAATAAATTAAGTAATCGTGGAATGGAAGAGCTGAAGGAATGTTGTGAGCAAAGAGACCTCAAGTTACGATCCTTTACAGAAAAAGATAGACGCGATTCGGTGAGGTGGGACTGGACGCTGGAATTACATGGGCAAATCCTTACTCTTGATCTTCATCGCTTCACAAGACCAGGTCACAATCAGACCACTCAGCATGACACAAACCAGAGACATCGTGGCAATGAGAGATACCAACCAAGTGTTGTTCATGCAAACCATCTCATTGGCCTCGTATACACTGGGAACAGGGCTCCTGAAACGGATGACGTTAGGATTACAAGTTGAATATAAATATATAATTTCAAGCTTCATTTGTTCAAGGGTGATTACCTCTGAGCGAAGACAGTGCCGTTTTTGTAGAATTTATCTCCGTCGATCTCTTCCTCTCCCTCAGCTAGAACTCGGATGATGGCTGACAAAGTTTCCTTGGAACCCTCGGTTTCATCCATGGCCAAAATAGATCTCTTCTTTCGGCCATGAGAAATGAACAATTCATTGGTTCCAGAGTCCAAGCAATTGGACGGGGGGCATCCATTTGGCCCAGCGCAGAACATCACAGTGCATTGGATCTGGACATCATAAGAGCCATCTAATCTGAAGGCCTTCATGTCGGCTTTCAGACGATTCTTCTCAAAGTCTTGCTCGACTGGACCAACCAGAGCTGGATATCTGGGACAGCCATTGTCAATAATCGTGAAGGGAACGGCATCTCCATCTCCACCAACCCGAGTGGCCACACATTCAGTGACCATCATGTTGTGGGGACCAGCCTGGTCCGAGCTGATGATCATCTGGATCTGATCTCCGATAGAAGTCTTGCCCAGAGGCTGGTCAGTGGAATCCAGGAAGCTAAGTTGAGCGGTGATTGGAGGAGGAGTTCCGACATCCAGTACTTGGGTATTGGCCTCTCTAAAACGCAAAGATATTTCGCAACATTACAAATTGATGATTATATTATTGCTCAATTTTATCATAAGACGACATACCCGGTTTCAAAAAGAGTGGTGACCACAACACTGCCTTCCTGCTGCATCTTATCCATGGAAACATCGCAAGAGATCTTGTAGAAGCGATCCCACTCAGTGGTTACTTGATGAGGAATGACTCCATCAATGGAAACAACGACCAACGCCTCCAACTTTCCATCGACAATCTTGGTTCCACAATTGGTGGAGACAGTTGGGGGAGGGAAAGTAATGGCAATCTGTTTGGCATTTTCAACCACTTGAGAACAGGTGCTGAACTTCTCCGCGGCGTAAATGGCTCCAGTATAAGGCTCCTTGGTGTTGACGATGAATCTGATTCCTTCGTTGGTACAGAGTGCCATTCCACCAAAAGCGGCTTCTAAAAGACAAAGAATAATTTTTTATATTGTAAAATAACAATAATTGTCATTACTTACCACAGTTGAATTCATAATAATCAAAGCTTGGGTTGGCCTTGGTATTGGCCTCAGTTCTTCCTGTCGCATAAATATGGCAGTTCATCTGAGTACGGTCATAGTTGATGGATTTACAATTCAGATTCTGGAAGCAGAGAGAGATACAGTCGGATACTGTAACACCGGCAGCTGAGGCGACGGGAGTGCCCTCGATAGAAACGCCGATAAATCTCTCAAAAGCGGCTTGTTGACGGCAAGTGGATGAGCTGAGATCGGCTGAAACGGGATCAAAATAAGAACAATGTAACTCATAATTAAAATTTGTACTAAAAGATTCCTTACCCGAAACGCAGATCGGCTCGTAATAATCCTTGTTCTGCACTGCGCCTTGCTGATCAGCTCTGGAGAAGGTATCCTCATCAGAGACAATACATGTCTTTTCTTGAGGAGAGTATTCAACGGATCTGCAGAAAGTATTCAGAGAATCGAGACATTTCTGAAGACAGTAAGACTCTTGGGCCTCTACAGACTGGGTGTGGTCGTAATATTGGATTTGGAAATGAGTGGTCTTCACGAACACAAGATTGCCTCCGGATTGGCCACATCTGTTTTGTCTGGACAAACAATTGTTGTCATAATAATCGACTGGTTTGTCGCTCATCTTCAAGTGATTTGGCTTGGATCGACGGTCTTCAGTGGACAATTCGCAAAGGTAATCTTCGTAATTGTAATTGACAGAGCGACAGATAAATTCCTTCTCTCTGAGACAAGCTGACAGGCATTGTTCTCGATTAGCAACCTAAAAGATTACTATACTTATTTGAAGTCAGACCGCTGAGGGGATCGGGAAATCGAGGGCAACTGTGGGATACAAAGAGGTTTCCGATCACTCACCTGCACACTCTTCTTGACGAATCCCTCGAGGGCAGTTTTCCTCATTCTCTCGAAAGAAAAGGACCTATAAGTACACGCTTCATGGGCCGAGACTCCAGGCAGACAAGTCTTTTCGTAGTAGAAGTTGTTGGCTGATGGATTGGGGTTCAATTCGGCAGTTCCAGTTGGATGTGCCGCATCATCGAAGAAGTAACAGGTCTCTCGGCCATCGAAATTAAAAGAGGCGCATACTCTTTGGGCTCCAGTAGTCGGCTCAATGTTATTGCGACAATATTGAGCACAAGTCAAGTCATGACCGGCAGTAGATACGACAACCGGGGTTCCATCAAGACGTGCGCGGCTGATTCGAATAAAGGCCGCGGTTTCGGCCGCTCCGCATTCAAAAACGGCTTCAACCTGGGCCAGGCCGATGGCCAGAAGCCAGAAGACGAGCCCCGAGCGTGGCCCTGATGACATCGAAGCTAAAACCAAACAGATCAGATGACTCGCATCACCCTTGATCGCGCGATGACCTCGTCGATAACGGATATATAATACGAAGGTCGAACTGATTTTATCCGTTCGGCAAATTCAGTGACGGATGAATTCAAAGGGAAAGTGTAATAAAAGGCAAGATTCGTAAATGGACAAGGAGATCAACCAAGAAGGGGCAAGCTTAGTGTATACCCATATCAGTATACAAGTGCGTCATGCAAGTTCATCAAGTAAATGTATTAATATAATAGTTGATAAAAATGAATCGGAAGGAACCGATAAAACGAGAACGATGACACGACGAATACCCGAACGATGGAAATGGGTCAAATCCAATTAAACGGCTCCGTTCTCGCTAATTAGGTCAGCGATCGTCCGGCTAAGCCTAAGGCTCGGTCTAAGACCCGGGATCTGCTTAAGGCCGCACCCCAGGCTCAGTCGGACGATAGCAAACATTGTGAACAGTAGGGAATAGTAGTAAACATCAGTAATTTTTTGTGGAAATAGGCTGTATTATTCATAATAGTTTTATAAATGTTGTAAGACAAAGAATATTGCATTCGAATAATTGTAATAGAATAGTGAAAAGATGTCAGCTCCCCCTCAGTGTTACACTTTAAGCCAGAAAGCGGGCGAGATTCCAGAAAAGAAGACTGTTTTCTCTCGCGCAGTCACATGCCCATTCTATTTTTGTATAAATGGTTCAACAGTTTCTGATTCAGTCGATGGAAGAGAGGGGACGCAAGAAAAAGGAAAGAAGACTGACTCGGATTCGGATGGACAAAACGGGATCTTCTCGCCTCAGGGCGCCATCTAAGAGAACACCTTTGGGGTCGGGCATGTCTGCAGGAATGCCCCTCCTTCGCCCCCCCCCCTCCCTCCCCCCGACCCCGATTCAAGAAAACCTTGACCCTTCCATCTCCCCGCCTCAAGATCGGCCTCAGACTTACCATCTTCAAGCATATTACACTATATAATTGTAATCACAAGACACTCAGCAAGCTCTAAAAATTATTTATAGATTCAAGCAGCCGTATTATACTATTTTTAACTCTCATTTATTTCAAAACTCTGTTCATAAATACGGTAGCCGAAGTCATTTCTTGTAATGTGAAATTTTCAGATTTTGAATATCGGATATCCAGAATCTGGAACGGAAGCCGAGAGCAGGGTGTTCCAGAATCTGTTCATCACCTCCCTTCCCTTCTTCTCCATCTTCTCTTCTTCGCATTCCTTTAGCCGATGCGTTGACCCAATTTCGGAGAACGGAGAAAATATTTTAATTATGACTGATATCTTTGATTAAAGGGATTTCAATAAAATATTCGTCTTTAATACAACGTATACATTTACACATTGGAAGTTTGTTGGTTTTATCACAGATCCAAACTTCTCCGATTACCGACTTACAAACGTTCAAAGCGTGAAGGTTTCGGAAAATTTTATTCACGTGCTCGAAGTGCGACGCTCAGATTTTCATAGAAAATTTTTGATTATTTTTTTCTAGGACGTATGCCAGTTTCCTAGCTTTGCAGAAACCACTGAAAATTTCAGGTTAAAAGATGCTAAAAACGTTGCTCTTTTTTGCAAATTTTGACATGCACTGCTTTGTATTTATTTCGTACTTATTTTTACCGTAGAGGGTACTCTTTTCACAAAAATATAAATTTTTTCCAAGCTAAACTGGCAAAGATATAGCTTTAAAGTGATTTTCTCTCTGACCGCTCCCCTCGTTTCGCATACTCTCTAGGCCGCAAAGGCCGTTGAACACCTCGGTCGCCTCTGCGAAGCACGAGCTAAAAATTGGAGGAATTGATGCACAGCCTATGCCCAACGCGTGCAAAATATAGAGAAAATGAGCGTCACATTTGGGGCTCTGCCCTTGTCAGCACCATTTCCGAGAGTACGAAAAGTGTTTGTATAAAGGTGTTTATATACATGATGACATACAAGAACAAACGGTGGGGTCTTTGGGCAGAACCCAATCCGGCAAAAAACTTTCTCATAACACTTTCCGATCTTCCTTATTCACATTTTTCGAATTACAAAAACACAGATTCTCAATTGACGTAATCCCTGAAATTAATCATTTCCAACGGTTGTTTTCCAAAATGTAAATGTCGTTTATTTGTGCAAACCACAGAAGTCCTTATAACAAATATCATTTTTTGTCTTTTAAAATCACACTCCTCAGAAAGCAATCTAAAACAATTCGTTTATTTGAATAAACACTAATAATTTTGCGACTTTTATTGTCATTTGCACTGTGGAAATGACAGAGGCCACACCTCAGGTGTCTTATCGTGGCTGTTATCATCGTCAGATGGCCTTGAAGGCGTCTTAACTCCGCTTTTTTGGTAATTCTAGATCCGAGGGTTCGATTAATTTCTGTGCTCTCTGTCCTTATGTTAGCTCCCTTCTCCGCGTTCTCTCACTTCGTTCTTGTTTATGAGAACCGAGAAAACGGAAAATGAGTTGGATCGCATCCAAATGGCGAGCAAATCGCACAAATTTGAGTAAACAACGAGGATCGATTCCTGGTAATACTCTTGGGTTACTGTAACATTATCTACACAACATCCAACGGGATCCGATTGCATTTATAGTCCTTGGTTGGATTAGAAATTACTAATAATAACCGACGGTGTTTAGCGAATATTGATTTTAATATGATTACAAGAAGCAGATCCTTTCCTTTTCCAGTTATCTTCTCCATGCTAATCGGATCGATTGATCAAACTGATGGCCGGCGATTAAAATGGCCCTTTGCTTTTCTCTCCTGGATGCAGCTGTTTATCGGACCAACCGGCGTTGTGCCTCGAGCGGCGATCGATGTTAATTCATATAAAATGTCCGGGGATTAGGCCAAAAAACGGCGTGGAATGAAATTATTTGAATACGATTATTTGGGCATTGTTTCGCGCCCCCCTTCTTTGGGCCATAAACGGAAATAGTATTGAATTTCAGTTTTGAGTCCGCGAAACAATCAGGCTGAAGGTCTGATTCATAAAGTTTGTCTTTCAATTATAATGCCGGGATTCAGAAGAGCGTGACGTCGTCCAATAACAGAGAAAATTGGATTTCCGGTGAGTGTTCGCAATCAGCCAACTTTAGGAAAAGTCATACACCCCAAGGGCCTAGCGACGAAAGGTTAGTGGAGAGGTCAGTGGGATTTATCGTTTTCTTATATCAGATTTATTTCGCTATACACATTATCCCCACGTAATCAAAACTTTGCAAGCCGGGAACTCCTTTGAACCGCTGACAAAACCAGAATACATGACAAATATATGACCAATCAGGGGCTTTTCATTCCCTTTCAGTCCAGGTGTTTTACGTCCGGTTTGGCCATTTGGAAAGGCCATATCGGAAATGACCATCCCCACTTGTGCAGTCTCTTAATCCACGACCTTGGAGGGACCGCGCAGGCCCTTGCTGGACCAGGAAGATTGTTTCTAATGCATTTCCGCGCGTCCCCCTCGCTTTACCACCTCGGTATTTACTTTAGACCTTTATTGCGGTAATCGTTGGGAAAGGACGGCCTTATCGTTATCAACTCCGGGTTCGTGATTCATTGCTTTCGGCGCCTTTTGAGTACTGTCTCCCTGAAAGTAATGGGGTTAGGGAAAGTTGAGTAACCCCTTATTTGTCTACAAGATCTGAAGATGACGTCATCCTGTTCTGTAAGCCCCTTATCAAAGTTTTATATCCACCCACCCATTATCATTTTCCTTTCCTCCTCGCTGGTCTCCTTCTCTGGATCGGCCTCGAATAAACGCTCACTCATGGAATGTTCGTAGCCGTGCAAGGTATCTTCCTGTAAGAATGTACGACGTCATTTCCAGTATATCCCTTTTGAGGCGAATTGAAACCACTATGGACAAATTGTTGGCACACATATATTAAGCAACATACACTTTCCGCAAAGTCAGAAAGTGGTTTCGAGAAAAGCACAATTGTGTTCCAAAATTGACTGACAAAGTAAGCGAGCAGGAGGAAGTGATAGCTAAGGCTCTGTGTTTCTAGAACATTATCTTTTCTAATTTTCATAAGGCCGGATTTTTGTGGGCTATAAGGAACGATTTGTGCAAAGCGGTTCCAATTCGCCCCCAAAGGAATATACAGGGTGGTTCACCCGGAACTTCCAATCTTGTTTCAGGTACTTCTCGGCCAATAAAGACTTTTTGGCCAATAAGTTTGCCAGTTTCGCGCGGAAAAAATTATTTTTGTGGAAGCATTAAAAAATTGACGACAGACAATGCAATAGTTGCAAATACTCTTCAAGGCATTACTTTTGTTTTCTGGGGTAAATGGCTTAATGAATCGAAATCTTTGAAAAATGCGAACAAATGGGCGAGACTGTCTGCATGCATGACAACATCCACCCCGGAGATGCATAGCAAGTTTTGAGGTCTAGATTGTCCGAAAACCCCGCTTTCATTTTCATTTGTCGGACTTGGTACATCGTCTATGCTAAAATATGTCTTTAGGCACTGGGTAAAGACGCAAACTTTACTTTTTTATTTACGCGAAACTAGTCGATCCCTGCGAAAGAAGGCAACTCTTCCGAAAGCCGGAGTAGAAAGAAAAATGACAAGTGGGACCGACGGTAACTTTCGCAAAACGTCGCGGAAATTTTTTAGATGATTTGGGACAGCAACGCTCTTAAGGTACAACGCTTACCTCATCGACCTTCTTAACACTGATGTCCAATGGTTTTTCGGGTAATTTGGCGGTGGGGATGTCCTCGAGGATGGATCTGGTCTTGTGGGCATCTTTTTTGCCCCCCGTTTTCTTCTTGGCTCCTTTGCGCGATTTCTTCTGGCTCTTATCACCTTCCGATATCGCCCCTGACCTTCCAAAGCACATTTTACAGTAGCCACCGATTGGCAAGCCTGAGAAAAACAAAATGAAAATGGCCGAAGGAAGAATCGGAAATGGCCCAGTCTTTTGTATCCTCCTTGACAAATCTCATTGTCAGTTCCGTCAAATCAGATGGTGTTTGGAAGAGATTTCGATGATCAATCTTCCTATTTGTGTCTTTTAAATGAATAATCTTTGAATAGATGCCCATCTTAAGTGGAGTACTCAACTTAAGTTCGGAGACATTCGACTCAAGATTTGCGTATGTCTCTAATGAAAAGAAGCTGAACCAAATCTTTCTCTGGAATCAGCCCCCCTCTGACACTTGCCTCCCAATAACACGGCTGGAAACGCGACTTCGGCTACCTTTTTGTGTCGCGTCCGCCCTTAAATGCCGCGAGTCAGAGCCTTCAATTGAGTAGACGAAAAGAGGTCGCAAAGGGGAGATGCCTGACTCATCCCAGATGTCCAGAAGCCTTTAACGGAATTCGGGGTCGGTATTTAGCGCTGATGACATGTTCTTGTACATTTCCCGTGATCGATTTCCTTTTTTCCGTTTCCGAGCAACTCGCCCCCCCCCCCCTCCCTCACTTTTCACCTCATTCCTCCTTCAGGTTACAAGAATCCCGGAATTCTTTTTTCTGTACAGTCACATGAGCCGAAGAATATTGTAATGAGTAAGGGGAAAGGTTGCATAGTAACGTTAGAAGATCAGTTTCCGATCACTTTTCATCCGACCCGTTACTCTTGCCCTTTCAATTACTGGACTTGTGACCTAGTTCTAATCCCTTAACTGCCTCAGGCAGTTCTCACCATCTCCATAAACTCTTATTTGTCCATCTCCTTAACTGTTGACCGTCTTCTTTGTCCCGCTGTTTGTCTTTCGACTTTTCCTAAACCCTGAGGCGATAATAATGGGCAGTCCCGAACCAGTTTGTTCTAATATTAACCATTAACTTATGCTCTGAGTATGTTAAGCGTAGCCTACTTTTACCGCCTCCGGCACTCGATCAAATGAAGCGCCTCAAGGGCTATTAAAGCCTTTCTTAAAAAGCCCACCACTTCCCGGCCGTCCTTTTTAACTTTTTTCGGCCGCTCTATTGTTGGAAGTGATACTCGGAGAGTATGGATGGTGGGATCTCCCTCTCTTTGTTCGGCATTTCCCTTCCACCTGCAAGACCATGGGGAATATAAAAGATAACCTGCAGTGATTTCAGGTTTTTAGTCTCAGCGTGAGAGCTCCCAGGTTACTTCATCCCTTCCCATCAAAAACATTGTTTGTTCCGCAATGTTTTGTGAATATCGATCTAGTATAATATGTACGGTCTGGATCTAGAGAGATTGTGGGGCTAAGACCAAAATGGTTTAATTCCAACCATTTTGGGCCCGCTGAGACTGTTTTTAGCGCTTCCGTGCAATAATTTGGCCCTCAAAAGAGAAATCTTTTATTTCTTCGCCGTTCTTTTGTTTGGCCGTTCCCGATTCAAAAACACCATTCTGCAAAAATTAAAAACACCTCCCTTTAGTCGGAATGCCATCTAAATGTCGCCTCCGCTTTTCTTCTTTTTCTCCGACTCGTCTATAAAATACGTCACCCCTTTTTTCAGAAATTGATGTAATATTGATGTATTAGTTTTATCTAAATTTGTGTTACCAATTAAATTAATCCAGATTGGTAACGATTTCGTTTTATCTTTATACGTTCAGTTTGCTTACAGCTGAAAGGTCGTTTTCCGCTCTCACGATGACACATTTTATAGAATCGCGGCGTCTTCGCAGTTTTTGAGTAATTTCTCGTTTTTTTTTGCAGAATTATTCATACTTTCTGATGGAATACGAGTAATTAGTAATATACTCGCGAGTAAAAGAAGACCACTCTAGAAATGGCATTCAGAAAAGCGGCCTTAACTGATTTTCAAGGCCATCTCAAAGGTAATCTAATTATATTTGTTCAAAATTACCTTATTTTAGATATCAAACTTCAATTACTCGATCAAATAAAATGTTTGGAGGGTCGAACAGAGACTCAAGTAAATATTTATCATGAGATTAACGACTTCTGTAAGAAAAAAGCGGAGATTGATCAGGAATATTCGAAACAATTGGATAAATTGGTAAAATCAGTAATGATCAAATATAAGAATGAGAAGAATAAGTAAGTTTTGGATGGAATTTTTTGACTGTCACCTTTAGAAGGAATCAATGGACTATATACTCTCCCTGTAACCTGTTCATGCAACTTGTGGATGATACCAAAGAAGAGGCCAAGAATAAATCAATGATAGCTGAAGTGATGGGAGCTTTTGCGACTCAGTCGATTAATCAGAAATGCATTCAGATGCAGAAAATTGCTAAGAAAGTAAGTTTTCTTCCATTTTAGTTTAAAATTTTTAAGGATTAAAATACGTGAATTGTTACCAAAATATATAAATTTTGTTTTAGTGTCGAGAAATTGGAACGTTGGCTCAAGGAGAGATAATCCGAGTTCTAAACGAACTAAACTTGTCTATGAAAACATACTTCGAATGTTTTGAAGAGGCCCAGAGCGTGAAGAATAAGTTAATTATGGCGGAGGAAAAAAATAAAAACATCGAAAGCAGCGGTCGAAAACAGAAGGCGCTTCAGAAGAATCTGACCAAAGTAAGTTCTTATTCATATCGATTGGATGAGACATCGTTTTTCCGTAGACTTTATACTGCAATTAGTTTTTTTGGACTTTTAATTATTTTCTTTGATTGTATTAATCTTAGAGAAGTGAAAAATATGATGCAGCGAAACAGAAATGCAGCAGAGCCAGGAATGAATATCTCCTATGCATCGATGCCGCCAATTCAGCACTTCACAAGTTCTTTGCTGATGATTTGAGTGATCTTATCGATTGCACTGACGTGGGCACTGACTACTGGCTCAGTTTGCTATTGGATAACATTATTAATGCACGGAAAGTTGCTTGCCATGGAGAGATGCAATCTTTGGCACAGCTTAACGAATATCGCCAGAGTATCGCGGAATGTGAGCGACAGAAATGTGATAAGCAAAGGTTCTTCGAGAGTCAGAACAGCACTTTTATGCTGCCCAGAATGTTCGAATTTAAGTAAGTAGACAGTTATGTTATTGAGGATTCTTTTTCTAGAGCCGACCCATCCGAAAATATTAATCATATTGCTCTGGAAGATGGCCTATGCGAGGATCTGAATAAACGACATCAACAGATGAGAATCAGGTTAAAATCGCTGAGAGAAGAGTCCGAGAAGACTTCAGAACAATTGTTGATGACACAACAGAGGATAAGAGAACTCCTGGCTCAACAACAAGCTTTGGAAGTGACCAACAAAGGGGTTGTGGATCACCGGCCAGCTATGGATGCATCTGAGGCTGAATTGGATCAGGCTTTGGATGAATATTGCTCGCACTTTAGCTTCTTCTTACTAAACGCCAACCTTATCGTGAGATTGGAGGCGAGGGCGGATGGAATAGAAAGGGCTTTGGAATCGTTTGATCCAGAGACGAACACCCAAGGTAAGTGTTGAGTGGAGTTAGTTTTATTATTATTCACTTTACTTTAAATTCTCTTAAGCATAACCTCACGTTATGTGCACAAAAACACATGGATAATATTGTTCTTGAAGTTGAACTAACGGAGAATTCTTAAGACTTTATTCTTACCGTTTCAGTCCAGTTGCCAGCTCGAGAGAACGGGGATCAAGTGGCCGAATGGCACGAGAAAGAACGGCGCAAACTCAAGATCGGAGTCCCCAACAACTCTTATATCCAGAGTCAGGCTTCACCTCCCGAGCATCGGACGGCGGAATATCGGCCCTCAATGGGTTCGGTAGCCAAGAGCAGTTTGAGCAGTTTGTACGTATATTTAGAGGCATTAATTTGATGTTAATGTATATTATAATATGCGTACTGTTTTAGGGGAACGGACTCGAAACAAACACCCCCATCGACCCGTACTGGCTCCACTCCACCCTCGAACGGCGGTTCTGGGCCCGATCTGCTCCCGATCACTTCCCCCGCCCCTCAAAGAAGGTATTCTCATCAGCACCATCCTCTCCTCAGACGGCCCCGCTTATTCGGAGGGGCTTTGGACGAGTATATTCATCTGACTGGGGAGCAGATCCCCTTGATCGTGACGTCTTGCATCCGAGTCCTATCCCAGTACGCTCTCCACCATCAAGGTCTTTTCAGAGTGAGCGGATCTCAAGTCGAGATTAACAGGGTAAAAGATTCCTTTGAAGAAGGTAGGAGACATATATATTGTGATGTAATGCTTTGTGGGTACAGGTGATGATCCCTTGCTCAATATCCGAAATGCGAGTGACAACAACTCGATCGCCGGTGTTCTCAAACTCTACTTCCGAGAACTTCGGGAACCCGTCTTCCCCTTCTTTATGTTCGAAAGGATAACCGACTGTGCCAAACTCTCCAATATTGATGAATTCATCAACAAAGTAAGCGTTTTTAGTGTAGTTCTTTTGGTTATGTTCGAATAATATTTTGTTTTCAGATAACCGAGCTCATAAATAAACTGCCTCCCCCCTCATATCTTCTCCTCAGATACCTGTTTGCCTTCCTTAATCATGTTAGTCAGTTCTCCGATGAGAATATGATGGATGCCTACAATCTGGCCATTTGTTTTGGCCCCACACTACTTAGAATCCCCGAGACAAAAGATCAAGTCTACTATCAGAATTATGTGAATGATGTGGTCAAGAATTTGATCCTCTATCACAATCGAATCTTCTCGAATAAAGTCCCGGGTCCCTTGTACAACATCACCAATCCAGGGTTTATTACTGAAGATGTGGAACAATTTGTGGATGAGTCCGATGATATGTACAACCAAGGTGTAGCCAGTCTCTCCACCACTGACACGATGGCGACGGTATCTACACTAAACGAGAATGGATCTACCAATCTTAATTCATTGAGGTAAGCTTTAAATTAATATCTAATATGATTTGTTCTAGATATTCTTTGAATAATGATCCATGTTCTTCAACTCAAGGCGCAATCCATCAGATTAGTCCCAAGAATGCCGAAGATATCCCCAATTTTTGTTATTCCTCCTCAGAAAACAGTGTTAAAAGCGCTGTTCCCTTAAATTCACGGAAATCCGTTTGTATTGCTGATGAGAATAAGGGAGGTGCAGATGAAAGACGGCTCTCTCTTCTGGTTGGATCTCCTGTGAGTGATGGCACGCTCGTCGGATGCCATCATCAAGCCAGAAATAACAATTACAATAATGTAAGCGCAGTGATAAATAAGCTTTATGTGATAGATTTATGGTCGGTTAGATTGTGTATTGAGTAACGCTATTGTAATGATGGTGTGACTTTTAGAAGGGACAATTGAAAGTGGATTTAAATCAAAAAGACGACGACTCGGGGACGGGTGGATGTTCCCCAGCGGGAAAATCGGCGGAATCGGACTCTTTCAACACCAACTCTAGCCAGAATAGGCCGAGTATAGACTCAGGAATAGGGAATGCCAACCCTTACGCCGTCTCTTCTTTCCAATCCAAGCCCAAGAATAATATACCTCAGTCCAATTCCAAGTAAGTGCCTCTTCTTTTCGCCATTTCCCTTTTGATCTGTGCCTCCACCTTTCATTCCTATTGCTCTTTGGATTACTATACTTTCCTTTTTCAATATCTATTTTAGAGTTTAGTATCCTGTCGTGTGTAAGCACCGCACCGGCCGTCGTATTATCTTCAGGTGAATGAATGTTAATCTCTGTGTTCTCTTGCTTTAACATTTAACAGTCCAGTGCAAAGTAACCCTTGTTTTTGTCATTGTGATCTGCTTTATTTATGTTTGTGTGGGTCAATAAGTGATATATTTTTTACTTCAGTACCTTGGGGAGAATGAGAATCCCGGTTCCGCCGAGGAATGCTACCGAGACTTCGACCAACTCCTCCTCCAATTTGAACATGAGTCAAGTCTCTGAACCCCCTCCATATCATCATCTCTACAGCTCAATCAACAAGTCGCGATCAGCATCTACAAGGTCGGGACAAGTGGCCTCTCGTATCTCGCAGATGGAGGATCTCTGTATTCGAGGAGTTGGCCCGCAGGAAGTATCTCCCCATTCTTTGGGCACGTTTTCATCCACGGATTCTATCGACGATCATGGGAAGTTGCACATGATGACTGTCAATCAGAATGGCTTCATTTGAATATCCTCAAACTACAATATTTTCGGTTCTTATTGCAAATTTGTCCTGTTCCGATTGCTGTTGTCTACATCCAATGTTGGATATATTTTATTTCGCTTTCTGATCTCTTCATCTCATAACTTAGAACGCTCAGGCACGGGTTGTTATTCCGTCGTTACTATATTGTCTTCAAATGTAATGTACAATGTAATATAATTAGCCAACGGATTGTGTGCCTTTTCGAGATTTCTTCTACTAATTTGTTAAATAGTAACGATTTATGACAATAAACTCACAAGGGAAGTACCCGAAGTGCGACGCTCAGATTTTTATAAAAATTGGCATAGATGGAGATCAGAATTTTCTTATTCGATTGCGAACATCCTAGCTCGCGCTTTGCAGAATCCGCCGAGAAAGAAGGGCCGGAATATCGAAAAAAATCTTCAAATGCCGACGAATTTCCCTGCAAATCCGCTTGATCTTGGCATTTCGTCCCAGGAGAAAAATATTTTTTCTCGCAAGAAATTTTTCTTGGTAATGTTCTAGACTATTTTGTTGCTTTTATGTGGAATGTGGTGTTATTTTCACTTTTTTACACTTATTCTAGCGCTATTAATTGGATTGTCGCCATCCGAGGGGTAAAATGTTTCGTCCTTTGACGATTTTATACAGTTTTTCCTCTGCTGATGGGCAAACCACTCTAATAGTTGCTTTAAAGTTGTTTAGGAGACATGCAAACGTTCTACGGTCGCGTAGGAACGTAATCATAAGGTAAGTGTTACAAACATTTTATTTTTTTCACTATTTTTCAGTTTATGCCATTTCAGAAAACAAAGTAACGGTCCCAAGGTGTTCCGTCAGTGTTCCGATGGTGTACATTCGCTCTTGTTGTTGTTCAGAATTTGCTCACTGAAAAATAATAAAGTTTTTGTAACACTTACTTTAAGATTATGTTCATACACGACCGTAGAACGTTTGCATGTCTCCTAAACAACTTTAAAGCAACTATTAGAGTGGTTTGCCCATCAGCAGAGGAAAAACTGTTTAAAATCGTCAAAGTACGAAACATTTTACCCCTCGGATGGCGACAATCCAATTAATAGCGCTAGAATAAGTGTAAAAAAGTGAAAATAACACCATATTCCACATAAAAGCAACAAAATAGTCTTGAACATTATCAAGAAAAAATTTCTTGCGAGAAAAAATATATTTTTCTCCTGAAACGGAATGCCAAGATCAATGGAATCAGGGAAAACTCGCCGGCATTTGAAGATTTTTTTCGGTCTTCCGGCCCTTCTTTCTCGGCGGTTTCTGCAAAGCGCGAGCTAGAATGCTCGTAATCGAATAAGAAAATTCCAGTCTTCATCTATGCCAATTTTTATCGAAATCTGAGCGTCGCACTTCGGGTACTTCCCTTGTCAGTAATAAGAGTATTTCCTGCATAATGTTAGGTTTGTATGGTGGTTAGAACCTTTTTTAATTAAAGCTCCTAAGAGTAATACACACGCTTATTGTAGGAATGAAAAGATATGCGGGTATAATTCGGAGATGTTTATCGACTGCCAATAAGACCCCAGAACTTCCCGTTTTCCCCGAACCTCCAGATCCTCTTTCCTGTTGTGGATCCGGCTGCCAGAATTGTATTTGGATCGAGTATGCCGAGAAAGTTGGTCAATTCTTCAAAGAACATCCTGAGGGCAACAAGTTAACAGCCGCCCAAAAAGAAGAGAAGATTCAGCGTTTGTTGCGGGAGAATGTCACGGATACAAACCTCAGGGCATATCTGTCCATCGAGGTCAAAACCAATATGAAAAATTGACACTGTACATAGACTCATTTCGGGTATGTCTAGAATAGAATAAAACAAAATTATTCCTCATTTCTTGACATTTAATTTATTCGAAATTAATATGGAACCTGTATTGTAAATAGAAAATAATTTACAATTGAATGATGAGAAATGTTAACTGTGGTAAGACAATCTTAAATTAGGGACACTTGTAAATGGCAGAGATCTGAAGAATAATTCAGGCATTTAATGGAAACGATGAGGAGATGGATTGCCATTGCTGTCGATGATGGGTCCAGGAGTTGCGCCCCCAGGGAATCTAACTTCTGGAAATCTGTTGATGTATCTGTCTTCGTGCATGTATTTTACATTCAAAAGTTCTCCATTAAACCACTGGGAATGGAGAGCCTGAAAGGCTTTGGTGGTGTCTTCAATGGTGTTAAAGGCCATGAAAAGATAAGGTTCGTAGGTCGAGGACTTTTTCAATTCGTAATGGAGTGCCTTCACAGGTGCGATCTTCTCTTCGATCTCCTTTTTGATGCGTTCAGCTTCTCTTGGGCTACAAATATTCCATAGGTACCCTTCCACTCGCTTCCCTTACAAAAAACGATAACTTACCGATTTCCATCATCAATATTCCGGATCTTGAAGGCTCTGGTGGGGGCCCTGCTCAACTTCTGAGGAGAAGTCTCATCAATTGCTAAACCAAAAATTTATTTAAGCATAATACATCATAACGAAAACGTAGACAGAGACCAATAGAAACTTAATCTTTTTGTTTATACGATATCAAACTTGACCAGAGTGGTTCAGCAGGAGCTTCTAATCTTACAGGGTGATAAAAAAATGCGAAATTTTTGTCCCGGGCTCTGCCGCAAAAACATTTGAGTGTAGCCAAAAAATTGTTTTTCCATTAAGTTCTCAGTTTTCTGTCCTAGCCCTTTGATTTGCAATCCGTCGAATAGCCAAAAGTCTTACAAGCTCAAAAAAGTACAGTGCCTCACCGAGGACGACAAATTAGCACGGCTCAAAAGATGTCGGAAACCCAAGCGTTCCGACACCAAGCGCCGCACCTCAGCGATGGAAGAAGATCCTGTCCGCGGATAAGAAACAGTTCAACATCGAGCAAAAAGCATAGTTTAGTCTCGGCGAGGTACCGAGTCCGACGAATGAGAACGAAAGCGGGTTTTTCGGACAATCTAAGCCTCAAAACTTGCTATGCATCTTCGGGGTGGATGTTGTCATGCATGTAGATACCCCATGTAGATACCCTCACCCATTTGTTCGCATTTTTCAAAGATTTCGACTCATTAAGCCATTTACCACAGAAAACAAAAGTAATGCCTTGAAAAGTATTTGCAACTATTGTGCATTGTCTGTCGTCAATTTTTTCTTCTACTAACAGAAGTTTCATTTACAGGGATGAAACTTGGCACAAGTTTTATTTTTTTTTATGAAAAACGATAATCCTAGCCAGCGCTTTGCGAACCCGGCCGAGATTTTTAGATCGTATTTGACACTTTTTTTCCAAATTTCGACACGGAAGGTTTCATACCTATTTCTGCCCTAGAGGGTAATTTTTCCCTCGAATGCTCTTTGTCCGAGAAGCCCAAGCGAAAAACTTTGCAAAAATTTTCGAATTTTCACCGATTTCGGACTCCAAAATTTGGAATGAAAATGTTTTATAGAAATTGGTGCATTATTGGCGGAGAAGTACCTGAAACAAGGTTGGAAGCTCCGGGTGAACCACGTAATATACCCTTTATGTGAAAGAAGAATGAGAAGACAGGTTCAGAAAGAGAAACCTTACCACTTCCTTGCCATCCATCAGGCTTGGCCACTACCCATATCCATACATTGCATTCCACTCCGTTGATCAGCTGACTTTCGGACCTGATTCGGCTGTCCTTTTCATTGATAAATGAGGCTGCATACCTCCACAGTCTGGACTCTTCCTCCGATCTTCTGGTAGGGGGATAAATCTGATCCCTGAGGTGAGTTTCAGCCACGCCGTCAATCCCCGCACTGCGGACTCGATCTAAGCCATGTTTTTTTCTAACTACACCTACCTGCAATCTGATCCACCAGATTCATCGCTGCATTTTCAAACTTTTCCTTGTTAGCTTTGTTGCTTCTGTAGAAGTAGAAGAGGACGGTGCCCAAACCAACAACTTAAAAAATATAAAAATTTACTACACGACTTACACAAAACAGTACAAATGGCGGGGACAACGGCGTAGTTGTAGATCAAGGAAAAAACATCGGTCACAGTTCCTAAAAATAAACAATAAAAGCCAAGCCAATACTACACTTACCAACAACGACAGCCTTTCCTTTCTCAACAGTGTGACTGTGAGCAGTAGAGATGTAGGCAATGAATAAAAGCAGAGTAAATGACAAAAAAAAGATGAGTATATACTTGGGGATATCAGAAGTTCTGCTCGGAGAAGGTTCTCTGATCTGAGTTCGGGAGGAAATGGGGGAATAACGACCTCCTGGAGTTCCGTAAAGGCCTCTTTCGGATGGATAGTTAACATATTGTTTTTTGTTGGACCTCTGAAGAAATCCTATGGCCGAGGAGCCCATACTTTTTATTTTATCCAGCGGAGATTCCTTTTTTCCTCCAAATTGGCTGTTAAATCGCCTTCGTTCATCAGGAGAAAGAAGACGAGAAGATTCAAAGTGATCATCTTCTTCCGCCTGACTTGTTTCTCTTGACCCAAACACTAAAAAATAATGTAAAGCAATAAGAAGACATACCTCCAGTATCAATTCTGCTGATGGGCTCCCGCGATTTCTGAAGGGTTGGTCTTGTAGGAGTAGGAGTTCTTTTGAAAGTAGATCTATTGGGTGGGGGAGAGACTGGCTCCGAAGGTGTCAATTTCGCAGACCTGGGGAGAGAATTGGAACTTTCCTTTTCTGTTCTTTCATTTCTTCTGGAACTGTAGGCATTCTCATTCGGAGAAACCACAATTCTCCTTGTACTACTCATATCGTTTGATTCCTCCTGATCAAAATCAAGACTACTTAAAGCCGCTCTTTGATCCGTTGTTTCCTTTCTGGACCTAGAGTTGGATCGGCTTCTGGAAGGTGGAGCTTGTCTTCCAGAGCTAGATGATGGGCTTCTCGATGGCTTCGGGTCTGGAGATTTGACAGGAGACTTTCTAACTCTTTGCGGTTTCTTTGGCGCTTCCACTCCAGCTGCCTTATCTCTGAGAGTTTGGAGTTTTCTCTCCATCAGATTCCTAGTATTTCCCGTAATTGGACCCGCTTGGAAGCCCAGTGCCTTCAACTCATCTCTCAACTCCAAATCCGACAACTCCGACGGTGACCTCATTGTATCTGAAACCAACGCAATAAAAAAACAACATCAATATGGAATTCTCGACCAAACATGAAACGAATATCAATCAAAACACCGACACATGTCCCGCAATCTGAAGCTGTAAAATCGCAGACAAAAACATTTCGAAAAAAAGGAGCCCGCTTTATTTTTGCAGAACGCCAAAAAGACGGGAGAATCTGGTTTTCGTTGCGGGGCAAAACGGTACAAACGCGGTTTCTGGACAAACAAACTGAATCCAGCTGAAACTTTTTTTCGACTGATTCCGTCAATTCCGGAAGAAGCGGATATCGGCAGGCTTCGAAAAAGGAAATTAGTCTGTGGATCTTGTAGGTTGACATGGGATCAGATTACTTTGAAGATTCCGAATGGATGAGGGGTCGGTATCTGGTCATGAACAAGCTGGGAGAAGGTGGCTTCGGAAAGGTTAGGATGGCCTTACATACAGCAACAAATGATTCGGTGGCTATAAAGGAAATGAGCAAGGAAAAGCTTGGTGTACGTTGGTGTCTTCATGTTGCAGTTTCTTTCAGCCCGACATTGTTCATATAAGGCAGGAAGTGGAGGCCATGAAGAACCTTACTCATCAGAATATTTGCCGGTTGCTTCAGTTCGTTGAGACAAAAACACATTTTTACCTTGTATTAGAGGTTAGTTTTCGATTCCTTTCTTTATTGCTTTTTAGCATTGCAATGGCGGGGAAATGTTCGATTATATAGTACAAAGAAACAAATTGACGGAACCTGAAGCACGACATTTCTTCAGGCAGCTTGTACAGGCGATTTCATTTTGTCACTCCCAAGGTTACGCTCACAGAGATTTAAAGCCGGTTAGTTTTTTTATTTAAAATAATATGGTTTAGGAGAACTTGTTGTTGAAAGATGATCTTAGGTTAAAGGTTATTGATTTTGGCTTAAGCTCAAGAACTGGAAGACTGTTGTCTACATACTGTGGGTCTTTGGCGTATGCTGCTCCAGAAGTTCTGGCTGTAAGTTTTGTCTGAATTAGTTGTATTTTGAGATTCAGAATCGGCCATATGATGGCAAGGCGTCCGATATCTGGTCAATGGGAGTTCTGCTTTATATTTTGATCACTGGATGTTCTCCTTTCCAATTAGATAATCATGAAGCAGTAGTTAGAAATATAAAAGTAAGTAGCTTTTATTTTTTATTTTCTTTTAGTCCGGGGTTTTTAAAATCCCGTCTTTTGTTACTCCTCAATGCGCGGATCTGTTGCGGAGGATGATGACTGTTAATCCGTCGGCTCGAATAACAATGCCGGAGGTTTTAGTCCACCCATGGATCAAACAAGGGTATACACATGGACTTAAGACAAACTCAATTTACAATGTAAGTAACCTTTGCCTCGTGTCTATTTTGTTTAGAAGGATGTTGTTGATGAAGATATTATTCGAGAATTAGCTAATTTCGAAGACGTTTCCGTTGAGAAAATGTCAGAACATATAAAAAAGGTAGGAAGTATACGAAGATGTATCAGTTTTTAGTGGAAATATGATTATATGACTGCCACATATCTTTTATTGCTACAGCGAAAAGAACGGAAGGAGAGCATTAGTCTTCCTAGTTATAAAGTAAGTTGTAATTTTTAATATTATTTGTGAAATAGAAGAAATCTACGAATGTTGTCAATTCGCCCACAATTCACGCGTCTTTGGATTCTGGTCTGGACGCCAAACCTACTGCTTCTGATGAAGAACCATTCAATAGGTCTCCGTTGAACATCGACAGAAATTGTGGAAGTAATAAGGAGAACATTCCCGGTTCCTTTGACAAGTATTATCCATCTACAACGCCAAAACGACCACCGAAGCCTCCACCATTTGTGACTCCGAAGAGAACAGGTAGTCTTCCCAGAAGATGCAGAGATCCTATGACTCCAACCAGTGAGAGATCGGTCAGTCCATGTCAGTCGCCCAAGTCACATCGGGAACCCAGGTCAAGTGCAAAGTCACCGAGACTCGGTAGAAGGTTGTTTGCATCGTTGGAAAGAATGAAAGCCCCTCGAGTTTTCGATATGATTACACCGAGAAGGAATCAGCCGGATCGTCTCAAGACTTGCACCGTAAGTCGTAATCTCTGCAACTTTTTTCTGAGATTTCCACAGATCTTAAGTATCTCGTTTAGAATTATGCGAATGTTTCCGTTACATATTCGGACGATCCTCAGCCAATACGGGATCGCCTGGCCGAAGTTTTGCAACAACTGAATCTGAAGGTAAAGACAAGTGGATGGAAAGTATCAGGAACCGATGATCAACGAGGAGTGACCGTGGAAATGGAAGTAGTTTGGATCGAGGAGATGAAGAAGATTGGAGTCAAGAGGAAACGATTAACTGGAGATGCCTTTGTTTACAAGAAAGTTTGTGAAGAAGTGCTCAAGATGGCCAAACTTGCTGATCCAGTCCAGGTCCCCAAAATTGTACAATCAGTTGTTTGAAGAGCGATAAAACACCCGCTTGCTTGTGTTATTCCTTATTTATAGCATATTCTTAATTTTAACAGCATAAAGTGTAAAAGTTATAAATAAAATTGGATAATCTCAGTCTGGATAAATGACAATATGTCATAGGATGACGTCATAAACTTCGTTGTTATTTGACAAATTCCTTCGAAAAGGATGAAAGACTAGATCGGGGAAGATAGGTAGACATGAGAGAATCCAAATGGAATATAAGAACTCCGGAAACACAACTACAAACACAGAATACAGGCCTGTATTTAATGGTCCATATGAAGTACAACATAAACAAAAAGGAAATGTGTGGTTGAAGCGAAAGACCCCGTTTCGTAGACGTATTAAAATAAATTGGCGTTAAGATTTGAAGATATAACCATTAACATTAAATTAGCAAACCAGTACACAAGGCGAAGAGAAACAAACTGTATTATTATAGCCATGAAAAGAGATCCGATACGAAATATTCAGGGGCTGCGAGTGGGGGTACCCGTGGGACAGCGGCCAGTCCATGGGACGGAAGGCGGGCTGAACTAGACTTTGTGAACGGACTTAGGATGCCTGGCAGATTTTTGATGGGGTCCTCGAATGAAGAAAGACTTGATCTTGGAGGACACTGACTGATGATCCTTCTCCTTGGAGCTCCTCCTGGAGTCATTCTTCGGCGGAGGTTTGTCTTCCCATTCCCCTGAGGGTCTTCTCTGTGATTCTCCTTTGACTTGCCCACTAAAGGAAGATGAAGGTGGGCGGACCATGGGTGTTACAGTTACCGTCGACTCCACTTGGACTGAGTGTCGTTGAGGTGAACTGGGAGGAGTTACGATCATTTTGGGTGGCTTCTTGAGAACACAGTTCTGGAAGGAGCTTGAACTGGGCACTCGAGTGGTTGCTGATCGAGTGATGGTCGGCTTCTCAACTCCTTGCACAACAACCGATTGGCTGAGGTCAAAGGCCGAATTCGATGCGACATTACCAATCTGAGTTCGTGGGACATCAGTTGTTGAGGGAGCGGTAGTGGTATTCGGGGCTGTGTGATGGACATTGTTTAGATAAGGGCCGGCTGTGTGAGCTCGATGACGATGCCTTTGATGTCTAAGAACAAGCAACTCTCTCCTCTGTCGCTCCAAAACCATCTCCAGTTCTCTCTTGTGACTAAAAGTTCAGAATATTAAAAACTCAACGGCCCTTACTTTTGAAGCAACCTTTGTACGGTCTCATCATATTCGTTGTCTATTTCGTCCTCCAGCTAAAATTATATATATTCGTTAAATAAGATTAAAAAAATAATATTTTAGGACATGAACAACAGCCATAAACAAATAGGGTACAAACGAATAAAAAAATGACCTGTTGGATGGCATTGTACATGGCACACTCAAAGCTACAGTAAGCCTCCTTGGCGAGACAACAGTACTGGTCTTCTCCTCCTTCCAATATAGACTCTGATGCCCGTTTTGGTGATCCCACTGTGAAAGCGATCTCATTGATAGTGGATGGTAGATTATGAAGATTCAGGGGATGAGGGACCTTCTTCACGGGAGAACTCGGCTTCCAATCTGGCTCCAAATCATGCTCATCTTCCCTCTGAATCATAGGTTGCATTACTGGAGCCACGGACAGAGATCTGATTCCCAATGTGCAGTTCAATGCATTCTCGAGATCTTTGAGATCTGCCAGAGGTTGAGTTTGGAGTTGAGGAGCAGCACTGGCTGTGGACATCTTCTTCTCGAGATGGGGGACCGAAGAAATCACTGTAATGGTCTGACTTTGGACTGGGACACTCTGACTAGGGCCCAGAACTGAGTGGGCCGAATCGGAGAATGAGGCCAGGGGAGTCACTTCTGATGGAGTTCTGGGTAATGACATCACTTCCGGCATCAATTCCCCCGGATTCCCCGGCAAAATCGAAGGTCTCTTATCCAAAATGACTTCAGATTTGTTGGTTGAACTCTCGGCCGAAGAAGAACAGGTAGTGGTCGTGGCCGGGGACAAGGAGTTGTTGGACATGACCAACGGATTTGGCTCTTCGTTCACACAAGGTTCAAGATTAGGGGGAGGCTGCAGGACCAAACACGTTACAATCACAAGAAAAACCAAAGAACATCAAAAAGGTTAGAAAACTCAGAATAGAACTACCACCAAATACATCTCCATCCTCTCGCTTACCTTACTAATCTCCTGATCAAATTGTTGATGGACACTATCCATTGAGATGTGATTCGGAGGAGGCGACTGCCGAACTCCGGAGTGGGTCGCATGGATATCATAGCCTGGAGGGACTGAAGCCGAGTCCCGGCCCTCAGGTTTGATCACCTAAACATAACGATTACCAGTCGCAAATTTTTTTTTAAGTAATAAGAAAAACGAATTACCTTTTGCAATGCTGATGCTAAGCCATTTAATGTGTCAACCTGCATGGGTTTCGGTTCAGCGGCATCAACTTCATCAGGAGGTGCGACAGAGGTAGAGCGACTTCCATTCCTGGTCACCGGCAGAGTTGCCCTGGGGGTTTCGTCCTCGAGTTGATGGGTTTGATGATCAGCGATCTCTTGCAACCGTTCAGGCAAAGTCGACAAATTGTGTTGTTGATCTTCCTGGAGACCCGGGGTTGCAGGAATAGATTCACTCTTAATGGGAGGCTCAGTGACAACTTCAGAGCTGGCAGGAGGAGCACTATTCTCGGAATGGGCAGTCGCCGAAACCCCACTCACTTTCCTTAATTCTGATTCCAAATGGGCCAATGAAGGATCGGCTGATGGAATTGATGGATTGAGGTTGTTGTGGATGGTAGATTGAGCTGACATTGTAGTAGAAAGAGGGTGAAGAGGCTGATCGACGGAGTTCTGAACCTGGAGTGGAGGAGGAACTGCTTGAACCCGGAACCTCGAAACTTTATGCTCGGATGTGCTCGTCGGAACAGACATCGAAGAATCTGATGGTAAATGGGGAATGTGAATTTCTTCAGTATTGTGGTTGCTGTCACTCTTAAAAACATTGATATTGCAATCACATTATCAAACTTACTTTTTCAGGTTGTGTTGTCTCAAGTGCAAATACATTACCCACATTCGATGGAGCCACTGAGAAGCGTCCAGCCTTCTGAACGGCCCCTTCTGAACCCAGTTTAGGCGTAGATGGTCGATGGACTTCCATGCTAAACTTCTTCCCATCATCTTTCAACTGTTCGACTACACTCGTCAATCTAAGCCCGATGCTCTTCTCCGGATTCTCTTTGACAACTTCTATCACTTTTTCCAATTGCTCTATCACGGCAGTCATATTGGCCTCCGATAAACAGTCCTGATCCACCAATTTGGCCGCGATTACATCTGGCTGATCAGAATCAGGAGCAAATCGAAATGTGACAGTCTTGTGAGCTGTATCCATCTTACAACTGACCAACTAAAACGAAGACAATATCAACGAAAATTAACTTACCGGTTGATTCGCAGCTTCCGAATTATATTGTACATTCAGCACTTCAAGAACAATCCTCTTCTTGGCCCTTTTGATCCCGGAGAGTCCGTTAAATGTAGTCTGATTGGAAGAAAGGCCTCCGTCTTGACTATCGTCAGCATGAGGAACCTGAATATTATTATCATGTGGTTCATGATGAGGTGTTTCGTTCTGTTGTGCTTGAGCTGCAGCCAGTGCTTCCCTTTCTTTCTTCCTCGCCTGCAATTCTTCTTTCACGGCTTGCTCTTCCTTTTTCCTTTCTTCTTCTTCCCTTTGCCTCTTCTGATCATTTCTTCGTTGTTCTCGATCTCTTTTGAAGTTATCGACTTTGTCCTTGATCATTTTTATGATCATCTTTGTGTCCACATCAGGGATGTGTTGTTGCTCAATCATCTGGGCCACCACTTCTTCAGCTTTATCAGTCTCTATATCAAAAGCAAACTGCAATCCTTCATTTTCTTTGAACTTGTATTGAGTTCTCTTCTTTTCGTCGAACACCCGCAATTGCATTTGTATCTAAAAAATTAAATAAACATGAACAAACGGTTTTCTTACCTCATTATTTGTTTCATTTAGGTCGTTTTCCCTATTCTTGATATCAATTCGTATCCCAAACTGTTCTTCTGGAGTGAAGAAATCGTCGTTTAAAAGCTGTTTTACAGTGCATCTCTCCTCTCTTCGTAATCTAATACATCGATCAATGATATCCCGGATCTCCGGATATTGTTTTGGTACCCTCTCAAAGCATGCTGGCTTCACCCCCTAGAATAAAATTTAGTATTTTTATAAAGAAATTAATGCTATGGGGTATGGAGTTACAGGCCGAGACATGTATCAAAACAACTGCAAAATTTTTCTGATTCAGAATACCTAAAAATTGGCTTCCAAATTACAATTATATTTATATTAGACTTACCGATATCACTTTTCGGTAAATTTGAGCAGGGAACTGGCATTCAGAATAAGGGTACTCTCCCGTGACCATCTCCAGAAGACACATTCCAAAGGCATAAACGTCCACACTCTCATCATATTGCTCATCATACATCTCCGGAGCCATAAATTCAGGAGTTCCTAAAGAATAAACAAAAAGATAATGAGAACTTACCGATTACACTTTTCGCGTGGGATTTATTTTTTAAAGTCGCCAATCCTAAATCCCCGATCTTCACACTGCCAGTGGTGCCGGTGATAAAAATATTATCACATTTTAGATCTCTGTGAATAACCGGGGGATTTCTGGTATGAAGAAAGTGAAGCCCCTTCAAGATCTGACGGCACCATGACTTGAGGACCTTAATATTGATCCTCTTGAACCTTTTCAGATACATTTTGAGCGTGCCCGAAGTCATTAATTCCGTTACCAACACAATGTATCTGGAAATAATGAAAAATAATAATAAATTAGACATAAATAAAGTCGTAAGCAGTGCAGTGCTCTTACTTTCTCTTTCCAGTTGCTTCGGATCTCTCCCAATAATCATAGAACCTGACGATATTTGGATGTTGCAATCCCTTCAACATCTCCGCCTCTTCCCGGAATCGCTGTCTCTCAGCTTTGTTCAGCTTACTGTCTTGTAATTCACACCAGGCTACGGCCACACCGGTCTCCGTGTCTAATCCTCTGAACACCGTCTTAAAAGATCCTCGGCCCAATTCTTCATCAAATTTTAAGAAACGATTATCTAAAATTGAAGTAAATATAACACAATAATTGAAACGTTGGATAAGGACGTCAGTGGCTGTGCTAACCTGGGCTTTTATCGATAGGCTTTTCCTCAGCTTCAGCATCAAAATCATCATCTTCATCAGCTTTTGATTTCTTTCCTTTTTCTTCCGGCTTTTCGTCTTCTTTGATGTCTTCTTTCTCAACTGAACAACAAGCATTTATAAAAAACATTCGCACTCACCTTCTGCTATTTTATCAACAACGTCAGATACTTTAGGACTACTATGCTGCGTTTGTGTCGCTTCTAAAGTCTGAACCTTTTCATCTTTATGCTCAGAGATGATTAAGGGGGACACAATCTCATCCAAGACGTTTGGAGAGGGTTCATTCTCTTTTACTGCCACTTGAACTATTCGATTCAGCTCGGCAAGTTCGCTTACATCGACGGGTCCACCAACCGTTGGTATTCTAATAGAAGACTATAAGTAAAAAATATGAATCCCTACCGATTCCTATCAAATATTGACTTCTGGTTCAAGAGTTCTGTGGGTGTTTTGTCATGATTTTCTCCAATGCAAGCCCTCCCACTTGCCGTCTGGACTCTGGCCTAAACGCAAATAACTTCATAGCCTGGAGGATCTTACCCTTGGAGGCCTGGATAACCTCCAATCTCTTTGAACGGCTTCTAATCGAGACTTCTCTTCCAACCATAAACTCGAGCTGCAAACTGTTATGGGTTGGACGTTTACTACTTACCTAGGCATCAAATCACTGTTTTGCGTCTCATTGACCTTCCTCATCAACCGCTTCTTGTAGGTATTCTTGGGATGGATACCTGACGGCTTTTGGGAAGTCGATGCCGACGGGCTTTCGCCTTCTTTTAGGTTCACCATAGCTGCGAAGAATAAATGTAACGGTTGTAACTGTTTTTTTATGTCAAGCCCAAGGAGAAATATTGATCATATTACCCAAGAAAATAGAGATGACCGGGAATGCCGGATTGTATCTGGAACAAAACAGGTTAGATTCAGCCCAAAAAGTGCTCCCTTATTCAAAGAGTGAAAGAAATCCCGAACGAAAAAACGTTTCGTGCAAAAAACTGAAAATAAAATAAAGAGAGAGAGTGACACTTGGCCCATCTGAGGTGATACTTGGCACATTTCTCACACCCCAGAAACGGAAATGGAACTGGCTAAAGGTTGATGAATGCAACAGGTGTAGGGAACCTACAGGCTGATCCATATGCGAAGAATGATGAGTAGACGGTCCAATTGACCTTTACCCTGCGCCCTTGAATGAAAACAGACCCTAAGGGAAAAAAGAAGAGAACTGACCGGACAGCGGCCGAAAGCCCTAGAGGACGTCATTCTTTCGAATGCACGTTTACCCCCACACCCTTTTTTTGTCCATTAGAAGCAATTTATTTTCATACGGTAAGAGATGAGATGATATCCAGGTATAGTAAAAGTAATATCAGCGAAGTGCAATGACGGTTGGACCTGAATGGGGTCGTTAGAATGGGAAAATGCATTGTCCACTTGAAAAAAAACTATGGGCGTTCTCTGAATCGAGTAAGGTAAAAATAGAAAGAGAGATTTGCATATTCGCCTGTCGGATTCGCGAATAAATTGGATCCAAGCCTCCTGAAGTAACTCACTTACAGTCCCGGACCGGATCATGTGGCAAAAAATGCATCTCAAAACGTTCTACAACACAAATAAATTTCCCTTGACGCATCCTTTACTGACCAAAAAGAGCTATTTCTTTTGAGGTTTTCCGTCTTGACAAAAAAAGTCATTACGGCCCCAACTTTTTCCGACCATTAGCCAGCAACACCTTGGCGATGTCACTTGGCGGAATCTTGGCATTATATCGGTCAAATTCCATGGAGCCTTGGCTTGGCTTAAGCGAAGAGTAAAAAACGTTGACGTAACCTTCACAGCTTCCGTCGAGCGATCCCGATAAAATGCGAAATCATTCGGCCAACATTCGTTTTTTGTAAAGGAAACACAATAACACTAATTGCTTTCAGGGTTATTCGAAAGATTTCACCGACTGGCATCGCTAAGTTGTCGCTAACGGTCGGCCGAAAAACGTTGAGGATCCAACGACTGATTGTTTCCGTGGGGACAAAAACGGCCTGGGGTCAGAAACGTCTTGGGGACAAAACCTGGTTGGAGACAAAAGTGTCCTACACTTTCTCCTCTTCAAAGAAGAGCGCTATTTCGGTCAGAAAAAGATACGTTTCGCTTGGTGTTCCAGAACGCATTGAGATGCATTTTTTACCACATGATCCGACCCGGGACTGTAATGCAGGGATGAATGGGCCTTTACAAACTGCTAGGAAAAATGAATATTTTACTAAAATTGAAGATAATCCTTTGTGAATCTTACAATTGGTTATGTCATCATTTTATTGTAAAAAACAGGTATAAAATTTATATTCGGAAGGTTTTAATTTATGCGTCAAAAGACGTTCCAATGGCCGCGAAATGCACCGAAAAGAAGTATTTAAATAATTCGGGAGGAAATCATGAGCCCAAATATAAAACAGCTGGAGGGGGGGGGGCAAAGGGTGCGTGAGGAGAAAAGAGAGGGGGCTGTCGTGTGAGAGGCGTTCGGTGATAGAGACTCTCTCTGGTCGCGTGAGGCTTCAACCCGATCACGAGCATCAACTTTGCATCCTCGAACTCATTTTTTTTATTAGAGGTACTACTTTCAATAATACGTACACACTCACAGGACTACTTTCATTTATACCCGCTTTCAAAGAGAATTCACCGAGACGGAGACCTTTACTTTAATATGGTTAGATCGATGGATATTTCCGCACTTTGCTCTGAAGGACAAGAGGAATATAGAAAGTGAAGGGAATCAGCAAGAGTGATCTGATCAGGCAGTTTACGACAACACTAGCACAATCTCATTGGGGGTTCTACCGAATGCCCCCTTCGAGCCCTCCGGGGAGTTGGATTTGACGGGGAATTACACAATTTGGCCAAGCTCTGGCCCAATTCATCGACCTGTTCACAATTCCGGAGGAGATGCAATAAAGTCTCCCAGATCATATCCATCAAGACGCCATCGTTAATCTGATCGATCTTCACATCAATACCCACCGGGCATATTCGGAAGAAAGGAATGCCTGCGGCTAAACAACGGTCCTTGGCACAGTCGACGACCGATCTCTCGTATCCGACAACCTGCTCTATAAGCAGTACAGCCATATCTCGGAGATGACGGCTTCGATGACTCAAGGAGGACCCGCTCTTGTACCGTCGTTTGGTTTCGGCCGGTTCTCCGGTCCCAATAGAGATCACGCAACCCAATTTGAGCTTGTCACCGGTCTGCAGGCATTTGTCATACTCCTGCAGTTTCAGTCATCATTCCGTTAAATTTAACTTACTCCGAACAAAATGCCCAGAGGGCAATTAGCCACCAAAGATCCGTCCACTAGTTTCCGGGCACCCATTGTATGAGGGTGGAAGTAAGTGGGAGCCGCGCTGTAATAGAATAGTTTTAGAAGTCCACGAATACGATTTTTTGCAAAGTAAGTTCTCAAACAACCACCTGCTAGCTCTCGCAGCGTCTTTGAAATGGACATCTTCAATCATATTCCCTTTGGTGGGATAGTTCCTAAATACATGCAACCTCCCGGGGGTAGTTGTGATATCCAAAGCAGGCACTGTAAGTCTTAAAGGAGAGTTAAGGAATGTGTCGTTTTCATTATCAAATACTCGGTTGAGAACATTGTCGACTCGTACTGACTAAAATAACGGTGTAAACAGAATAAATCGAATTCGGAAAAATAATTTGTTGTCAGTAATTGTAAGTACAACCTGAGGAATACGTACTTGTTTGTCGATTACATTCCCAAATAATCTTTTCATGGTTGATTTATCAAGGAAAATCTCGTTTTTCATCTCCCAATAAAGGAAGAAGGTGTCAATGAGAGAGTTTCCCTTGGCCAAGGCCAAGGCCAGCATGGATCCAGTGGAACATCCCACCCACCAATCGACCAGATTCGGGAAGGATTCGTCGCCGAGGATCCTTCTGGAGGTGAATAACATGCAAACAATGGAGACCAGTCCTCTCATCCCACCCCCATCCAAGGCTACTGTAACTAGGCCATGTTCTTGACCAATTGGTTTGGTCGGTTTCTTGATTTTCAAAGGAATCTGGAATTGGAATTTGTATTGCAGAGTAAAGAAATAAGATCGCACCGGTCATTCCGAAGAAAAGTGCTAAAACTCTTTCCTCACTTTAATATTTCTTCCCCTTTATTTGCATCGAGATTCTGGAGTAAAGTCATCAAAATGACAAAAATATTTTTTTTAAAATACGACCAAAATTACATACACATATGAAACTTACTTTTCCATATTGCGCTTGATGAATCTGTCGGGCGAATTGGAGGAATTCCCGGTATTTCTTACCGCACAATGAACAAATGGAGCCATTTTCCATCCGATCAGCCAGTACTTTCTCCCCGTATTCATTCTCATACAGCGCCGAGGGGTCAGCCCCCACCACGAACAAGATTCTGACATCTGTAATCGAGCATTGGGGGATGGCCCAGACTTCGGTTAGCTTGGCTGTGTGCTGTAATATTACTTTGAATGTAATCTTCAAAGATTCTACATTGACGTAATGTTAGGCCATGATTAACCATGACATTTTTCTTACTTGTTGTCTTCCGGCTGCCTTTATGAAGCTGATCAGCTTTTGAATCCTCTCCAATTTCTTGTTTTGTGATATTTCGTGGGCGCATCTGGATGGCGCCATTCCGAATACCACTTCCCGGACCCGTTTTCTCGGTTTGCCCTAGGGTTTGAGGGGCTCCCTGAAGAGAAAGTACACTCCATATTCTCCTTGAGGATAAAGTATATGTATTACGAAAAACAATATCCAATAATCGATAAATGCCTCGAAAAAAGGAAAGCGGGAGACTTAAACGTCGAGATATTAACCACCTGAGGGCAGGATTGCTGTTTTATATTGGAATTAAACCAAAGACAAACCCTTGGGCGCTTAAAACGTTCGAGAACAGAGTACATTTCTTGAGAGTCCGGACGAAAAAAAGAAAAAGAAACGACTTTATCTTTGGACTTTGTCAAGTTTTACATTACTATCAGATACGACGGAACGAATGGATCGAACCGGGATTAATACGGGGGCAACAACTGAGAGGGCTCAATTCTCATGTCAGACAAAATAAAACGGAAAAAGGAGAGTAAGGGATGACTTTCTTAACAGAATTAGAGTTCTGAAGTGATAAAGAGTCGACGCGGGAGGGAGAGCAATCAATTGCATAGTAATTCCGGGTAAAATATTAAATAAAAATCGTATTCTTACACTTGAAGGAAACAAAAAAAAGTACTAGCCAAACCTCTGCGGCGTTTATCTCAACAGGATTTAGGAAAGGAAAAGCAAAAAAGGGGGAGAAAGGCCTCGGCTTTGGTCGGCTGCTCTCCAGTGTTGTTAAGAGGAACACCGGAAGATGATAAAAGGGACAAACGCGTTCGCAGACAGTGCGTAAATCCATTTAAATACTTATTGGAACACCGTTAATGTTTTCAAAGAACAAGTTCAGAGATCAGAGAGAGTCAAGAGCGGAAGTTTGGTGTAATATAATATATATTAGTACGTAAAGTTATGTAAAAATAAGCAAGGTCTACAGAAATATGTATAAATGTTCGGAAATGATAAACGGAAGAGTTTTCTGGCTCGAGGAGACACCCTCGAGTATGATTTAAAAAAGATTCGTCATTCATTTATCAATTCCAACAAATTATGAGTAATCTTGGTATGACTAAATGGATAAAACCCCGTCTCATGTGAAGAGGAACGTCGCTCTTAGCCTACAGTACATCAACGGCAAATCAAAATACAATCTTGTCGTTTGTGCAGATCCCATAAAGCGACACGTGTCTTCCAAATGAGCTCCAGATGGCCATGAAGGAGCCGGAGGTCATAAGAGTTGAAAACAAGGACGATGAGGAGACCGGTTGAATACAACAATGATATGTTCTGCTACATGCCGTTTCGGATGAGAATGATGTGTTTTGTTTGCACGGCCTTTCTTGTGGTCAGTCTTGTCACAGCCATCGCCAATTCCATGAAGAATTCAACTTTGGAATCGGCTACTTACTGCTCCAAGGAGAAAGAAATTAAATTTCATTCCAGTTTGTTGTAAGTAGTTTGTATTGCCAATTAAAATTTAGCTGTCCCGATGAATCGATACTGTACTATTACAAGTGTTGTCAGAGCAAATGCTGTGCTCAACCCAAGATTCTGCTTTTGTAAGTATAATTTTTTCAAACTTAGAGACTCTAGCAGCATGGATAATATAAATTGTTGTTTCCAGAGTCTCAGTGGGATCTCTTTTTTGTGCAATCTTGGTCATTGTGATTTACAGTACCACAACAAGTGGAATAAACTGTTGTTAACAGTCGGAATGAAGAGACAAACCCTTCCCGCAAATTTAAATTACAGAAAGTTACAACGGAGAAAAGAAAATGCGTCGTTTCCTTTTGTTTCCCTGTCTTTTCATCCCCTTCATCTACTCACTACAATGTCATCTCTGTGTAAATAACAATAATATCATCCTTAGTGCGTATGATTATCGCTACGATTGCAGTCAGAGGGAGACTTGTGAAGGTAAGTTCAATTTTTGTTATACTAATCATCAATTCATCATTTTTAACCTAGCAGGGGAACTTCTCGAAGTGCGACTTTAATGAAATTTGACATAAATTTAAAGGGGAAATACTCCAAGTGCGAGGCCAGGCTTTGATAAAGCGTGGCATAAAACCCGTTCAGTTGCCAAATGCCATTGCATAGCACTGTCTCCGGCCTTCTGATCATTGCGCAAGCAATTTAGAGACTTTCCAATAGTTTCAACATAATAATAAAGCGTTTAAGATTGGTATGATGACCAAAAAGCAATCAAAAGCCCTCGCCGAATACAGTATTTTACGCGTTGATGGAGAAAAAGATTTTATTAGGCAAAAAACGGAAAAAATGTACAGATTTTGGAAAATCGCTGTAGGACGAAAATTAAAGTGTGCAATGATTTTTCGAAATCAATGTGAACTATACAGGGTGGTTACGTCGTCAACTTGACGGATCAGTCAGGTTGTCAAATTGTCGTCATTTCTTCATGTCAAATTGTTCTGTCATTTTGATTGTCAAACTGAACTTTCTGGTAAATTTTCGCGGATTTTTGCTAAAAGATCGTAGAAATCTAGAATTTTAGAAACTAAATTTCTTTTCCTTGTCAAGAATACCGATGAAATAAGCAGTAAAACTAGTTACGACTAATATTCATCATGGTCTATGTTAAACTGGCTTTGCATGTCAGAATTTTCAATCAAAATGACGAAAATGACGGCAATTTAACGTCAATGTCACACCATTTTGAAAAATTCTGTCAAATTAACAACCCTAATATCAATCCATTTTTGCACCGCAATTCGACCCAACAGCAAAAATAAAAGGCGAGAACTTCTGTGACCATCTTTATATGGGAGAAACTCATGATTGAGCGTCATGGGTGAAAAAAATTAAAATTTACTTGGAACCGTGCACGGCCGTGTGACTTATGCCTAAAGTGTGTGCAAAATTCAAATAAAATCTGAGCTTCGCATTTGGGGTCATTGTGTGTAAATAAAATTTATATAAATTTTTCAACAGGTAATTGGTGTGTGAAACATCTAAAAAGTGGTAACCTGAGCCATTACTGCGCTTCGGACCCCTCCATCTTCTCAGAGACTCCTTATAACGCCCAGACCGAATCTTTTTGTAACGCTTTTTATGGAGAAAATGGGATTTTCGAAGCCGTTTGCTACTGTAAAAGTGGAGATTACTGTAACTCCTCACGTTTATCCTCTACTTCTTATCCATTTTTATTTATTTTCATTTTATTTTTGGCACTATTACAATAAAAATAACAAGGTTAAGTTGAGGAACTGTTATTACTTATTAAAAGACCGATTGTGTTTGGTTTAAAGCATTGGACGGTGAGGATAAATGCAGATAAAGAGGCTGAGAATCCTTGAGAAAACATCCTGAGAACTTTGGGAACGCTCCTTCAAAAGCTGAAGACAATCTCGAAACGGGGATAGCTGAGGAGATGGGGAAACAACGAGGGTAACAAGGTTTGTATTTACAAAATAAAGCTGACGAAATGAAAACGCAAATGCAAGGATCAGAAAAAATAAAAAAACATCTTCCCATACGGACAACTTCTAACGTTGTATACGTAACGGTGTATAAGAGTAGATGCGACCAAAGAGTCATTAAAGCTCAGATGTCGTTGCCATTACTGGTCGCTCCCAACTCATCAGTGGGAGTGGAGACATGCTCATTGATATCTTGGATGACCATCTCCATCAATAAATCGTTGATCTTTTTCCGAGCCACCAACCGCGAGCGCAAACTCAATCGCCTCAGGTCATGGGCTATCTGTTTCCCGAATAAAGAGCATTCGTCTTCGTCTTTGGAGGGTAGCAACTCCAGAAGACATCTACTGAGATCATTCACCGTCTTCTGAAGGTCCGTTTTGTCGATGGATCCCACTCCTGGAAGCACCTCATCCAGACGTCGTTTCTTTGGTCGAGCTCCTGAAAGGCAAAGATTGTCATCAAAATCGATAAAAAAGATGTTAAATTATCTGTTACATCATTAAAACATACCTTTGACATCATCAAAGTTGATACTGGCAGGTCCAGAGGTGGTCGGTTTGTCGTCGTATAATATCTCCCCTGTGGCCATGTTAATGCGGCCATTGTTGTTGTTGGAGGTGGGAGTTCTGGTGCTGGCTGCCTGAGATAATTGCAGCAAGAGATCGTTGATATTACTTGACTTGAATCCGAAACTATCGTCAGGCTGATTGTTATCGCTGCTGTCGGCTTCGGCTTCTTGATTCTCGTTGTCTCTAAAATCATCGTTTTTTACATAATTTTGCAATAAAAAACCTCATTGAAAGATCTGGAAAAGTAAAACTAACTCACGGTGGGGATTCTGGTCGTTCGCTTTGCATGTAATTCTCGAGGAAAGAGAGCTGATCAAAGGTGAATAGGTGTCTCTTCGACGGATCCATAGGCGTCGGGGCCTGGCCCGACTTCCTCGAATAGAATTCCTCTTCGTACTTCCTTCTCATGTAAGACCATTGTTCGCGAACCTTCTTAGCTAAAGCATAACTTTACTTTCGAGTTACAAAAGCATAAGGGAAAGTGAATTTTACGCCGGGATCAAGTGTTTGATGAACGTACAATTAAACATACCAGTAGCCCCGTTTCCCAATTGCTTGGCAATCCGACTCCACAGCACTCCTTTGTGAGCATTATTCTTGTAAAGGGGATTACTTTTGTCATACAATTCAGGCAGATCCTTCACCAGATCAATCAGGTGAGCCCGTGTTTCTGCTGGGGCCTTGCTTCTAAAAGTAGAAAGATAAAGATCTATTACCGTAACCCCAATCAATCCCATCCACCAATCAAAGCACAAACCTGTCGGCGGAGGGAGTATTGTTGTTGTGAGAGTTGGGGGCGCTGTTCTCGAGGTCGTTATCCGATTGGGGGGAGTTGGCTTGCTCCTCCTCTAGGCTGGCTTCGCTCAAGATTCGTTTGAAATTGTCCAGGAAATCTTTATTTTCTTCGAATTTGCGGGTTCTTGAATGAAAAATCAAAATATAATGACGTAATTTGTAAATAATATTACGTAAGTGCATGGTAATACTGAAGTCAATGCTATAGCATAACTTACTTGATAGGCGTTCCCTCAGTGCTCTTTCCATTCTCGAGGAAATGGCAATCCTCGAAGTAAGGGAAGTCCGTGCTCATCTCCTTCCCCGACTGCCGCAGTTCCCTCTCCTGATAGTATCTATTCTTGATCAACCGCCACTGTTCCCTCACTTGCTTCGCTGAAAGGTTAACGATCAGTTCGCGAACTTTTGTCTTCATCGATCCAAATTAATGATACAATACCGAAACATCACAAAACAACTAAATTCTAACAGTCGCCGCTAATACACAATAATTTTTAATGAAAATGGCAGTGATCCAAGAATAGGAACACAACAAACATCAACTGTATTCGGCGGAAGGGATAGACGAGCGAAGGCACAGACACCCAAAGCGACACCAGCACGACATGAACCAAGAAGAGAAACGCTTACAATTGACCCCGGGATGCCGACTGATAAACTTTTCCCAGATGGTACTCTTCAAGGTGTTATTCCGATAGGCGGGCATCGAAAGGTCCCACAACTCGGGATGCCCTCTCACGAATTGAATCAGACTGACTTTAAATGGTTGCCGGCTGGAGGTCGGCTGGGGATGCCCGTCTTCGCTCATTCCGTCGATGAATTTATCGATGGATCTCTTGATATTTGAATAGGTTAGTCAGTGGTTGGTACGCTGATTAAAATGTACTCTCGTCGATAAAAAAACATAGGGTGTTACGGTAGGATTTGAGAAAAATTTTAGTCGAGAACAGATAAGCTGGGAAGAGGATACAGAAAGAATGATGATACAACCTCCAACTTGGTGGTGGGGAGAGGACTCCGAGACCGGAAACAAACCTGGGGAGGCGAACCGACTCGTATGGCCAACGCTGATGAATCGATGGCCACGTCGTGGGTCGAGAGAGTCGGTGGAGAAAGAGAGAGAAACGCCTGACAGTGGTGCATTTGTTGTTCTTTGGAAGAGCCTGGACTCTCCGGGAGAAGAGGAGAAGAGAAGGGGCGAAACGAAACGCCGCCGAGAGTCAACAACAAGGAATTATTCGTCGGTTGGGGACAAGAGTGAGGAGGAGAGGCCTGGCAGGGTCGGTCCGACGAGAGCACCCCAACTCACCCACCACCCCCACCATTCATTTGAAACGCGATGGCTGCACTGATGGCCCCGACGACGACCGATGCTGTTTCGAGTGCTTCCAACAAAGCCTTGGCCAAATGGCCCAAACGAGCCTCGGTCGGTCGGAGACCAGCCTGCCAGAGAAGAGAACCGATTCGAGGTCGAGTTCTTTCCTCGGGGAATGACAATGACATGGGATGAGTGTGCACCCCTAAACCCCAATGACATCCACCACCCAACAACAACCAATCATCTCATTATGTAATAATGAGGTGACCTTTCTAAAACACTTTCACTATGCAAATCGATTGCACAATCCAGATCGTAAAAGGGAATTGGTGAATAAAGTCAATGAAGGAGCGGGAATTGATAGGAAAAATTGGAAATTCATAAGAGAAGAGGTCATCAACGTCAACAATATAGGAATTAGAATTGTTGGGGACTTAAAAAGTAGAGTGATCGCCCCAATCCAGCCGAACAAAACACGATGACTGAGAGAAAGGCTGTTGAAAACGTCGGCGGACGGACGGATTTTGGCCGCAAAAGCAGAGAAAATAAGTGTTTCGAAAGGGGCGATCGATGGTTGAGAGGGAATTCGAGTCGCCTGGACAAAAACCGCAGAGCCAAGGGCGGGAGGGCTCTTTCCTCGGCGGAACAGGCGGCGGCTTACTCACTCGCTGACTGGCACAAAATTCTATTTTCCCTCCCTTTTCCTCCAACCGAACAACCGCCCCGGTCTCGACTCATTCAACCCTTAATAGTGGGGAGGTAGTTATACTCGTCGGGCTGGTTGTTTAGCGACCAGTCAGCCAACAACTGAGCCCTCGCCCTTTTCCCCTCACCTCCACTTTCCCAATGACAGCGACCGTCCAAAAGGACGAGGACGGAAAATGAACGAACGCGGCGCCACCTTTTCCTCATCCATCCAGCCATCCATCCCATCCAGCATTCAATTCAGTCGTTTATTCATTCAATCTCCGGCCCCCTCGATGTCCCGTCGCCCCATTCACTCCCTTCTCGCCGACTAAAGCAACCTCCCCCAACCCTCATTCCCTCGCCTTTGCCTCTCATCTCAAACAGCCGACCAACCCAACCAACCGCAGTCCAATCAATTGACACGAGAGCGAAACACCAGGCCCCAGACCTCTCTTTGATCGAGATCTGAGCGAATGAGCCGAGAGTCAGTTCAGCAACATCTTATTCTTCTCTGCTCTTCTCTTTTCCCTGTGGCCCACCTCCCTTTCCAAACTCTCAACTCGATGGATAGATCAAAGCAAAGGAATGAAAAAAACATACAAAGACAATTTACATCCGGACCAAGAAAAAATCACAGTCTATAGAGACCGCTGATATTTTGCGGACCATGTTTTTATTATAAAGTCGACCTATATAAGTTCTAGTTAACAAAGTTCCATTTGTTTAAGCAAGCTACCGTAATCATTACTGGCCACTTCCGCAACCTTCCATTTGGAGCAGATTTCATTTGGGGAAGATCGGGTATCGGGCCAATATTTATTCAAATGTTACCAAATTGATTGACTAGCTAGCCAAGCAGGGTTACTCTGCGTTCACATAGGTCGCTCATGACCAAGCTCGCGAACTAGGTCGTGACCATAGTCAGTGTGGTTGCGACCTGACATAACTGAAAACCGTCTGGAACAACTAGAAACATTATTTTCAAAAGCTTTTGGACATTAAGTTCATGACTTAGATCACGATCTAGGTCATGAACTAGCTTGTTTTACCCCAAACAAAACACGGATTTCGCCATAGATTCATCATGTTGACCGAACTTTAACGCTTTTGGAGGAACGTACCTGAACTACCTCACGAGCTATTTCACGACCAAGAATAATCAAAATAACTCTCGCACCCTAGTCAGCTTGGCCATTTTGAGAATGTGTTGTTGGACATGTAACTTGGCCTCGGCCGCGAGGTTGGTCATGAGCGACCTATCCTCCGGTGTGAACACGGAGTAACCCCCAGACTAGCTAGATGCTGTCCAGATACCTGCCTCAAATGAAGGGTAGCCACGAATTCTAAATGGACAACGTTTGAATTGCGCAACACACACGCTATTACGTAACAATAGTTGAAACTTCAATACCAATACAACTTTTTGGCTATCCTATCCTTCCCGGTGTTCCATAGACCTGGAGACCCTTTTGGCTAGCCATCATCTGGTTATTCTATGATCACAACATGTACTTCCCATCCACATTGTTACAGAAAAACAACAACAAAATTCATTAGATTTATAGGTTAATGACAATAAAAACAAAACAAGGTAATGATAAATAAGAAGAGATCTGTGATGAAATTAGTCGACTTCCTCAATGGTTGGGCCACCAGCAGAACCGCCACCTGGTGCGGCTCCCGGGGCTGGACCACCTGGAGCGCCACCGGCAGACTGGTAAAGTTTGGTGATGATTGGAGAGCAAGCTCCTTCAACTTCCTTGAGGTGGTGTTCGAACTCTTCCTTTTCAGCGGTCTGGTTGCTGTCAAGCCACGCGATAGCCTCATTGCACTTATCCAATATGGTCTTCTTGTCGGCCTCGCTAAGCTTGTCCTTGAGCTGAAACAAAACAATATCCTACATTTGACACTGGCAACTTACTTTCTCATCTTCGACAGTTTGCTTCATGTTGAAACAGTATGACTCGAGGTTGTTCTTAGCGGCAACACGATCTCTTTGGCCTTCATCCTCAGCCTTGTATTTCTCGGCTTCTTGGACCATCCTCTCAATTTCTTCCTTGGAAAGACGTCCCTTGTCGTTGGTGATGGTGATCTTGTTTTCCTTGCCAGTCGACTTGTCCTGAGCAGATACATTCAAGATACCGTTGGCATCAATGTCAAAGGTGACCTCAATTTGAGGCACTCCACGGGGAGCTGGAGGAATACCGGAGAGTTCGAATTTACCCAACAAGTTGTTGTCCTTGGTCATGGCCCGTTCTCCTTCGTAGACCTGGATCAAAACACCGGGTTGGTTGTCGGAGTAAGTAGTGAAAGTCTGGGAGGTCTTGGTGGGAATGGTAGTGTTTCTCTTGATCAAGGAGGTCATCACACCACCGGCGGTCTCAATACCCAACGACAGAGGGGCAACATCGAGCAAAAGGAGATCCTGAACCTTCTCAGATTTGTCACCACAGAGAATGGCAGCCTGTACAGCAGCCCCATAAGCAACAGCCTCATCAGGGTTGATGGACTTGTTGAGTTCTTTGCCGGAGAAGAAGTCCGAAAGAAGCTTCTGGACCTTGGGGATACGCGTGGATCCACCAACCAAGACAATATCGTTGACTTGAGATTTGTCCATCTTGGCGTCGCGGAGGGCCTTCTCGACGGGGTCCATGGTATTACGGAAGAGATCAGCACAGAGTTCTTCGAATCTAGCACGAGTGATGTTGGTGTAGAAGTCAATTCCATCGAACAGAGAGTCGATTTCAATGCTAAAAAAAAGTTTTCACAATAACTTTCAACTCACCTAGCTTGGGTGGAGCTGGAGAGAGTTCTCTTAGCGCGCTCACAAGCAGTACGAAGTCGACGAAGAGCACGAGGATTGGTGGCCAAGTCCTTCTTGTGCTTTCTCTTGAATTCCTGGACGAAATGGTTGACCATTCGATTATCGAAATCTTCACCTCCCAAGTGAGTGTCTCCGGCTGTCGACTTAACCTCGAAGATACCATCGTCGATGGTCAAGATGGACACATCGAAAGTACCACCTCCAAGATCGAAGATGAGGACATTGCGTTCAACTCCTCCCTTCTTGTCAAGACCGTAAGCGATGGCAGCGGCGGTGGGCTCATTGATGATTCGAAGAACATTCAAACCAGCAATAGCCCCGGCGTCTTTCGTAGCCTGACGCTGAGAGTCGTTGAAGTAGGCTGGGACGGTAACAACGGCATCCTTGACTTCAGATCCGAGGAAGGCTTCGGCGGTTTCCTTCATCTTGATAAGAACCATAGATGAGATCTCTTCAGGGAAGAAGCTCTTGGTCTCTCCTTTGTATTCGACCTGAACCTTAGGACGTCCACCTTCGGCCTGGACGACCTTGAATGGCCAGTGCTTCATGTCGGCTTGAACTGTGGGTTCATCGAATTTGCGGCCAATCAAACGCTTGGCATCTGTAAAAGACATCTTATATAAAGTACTTTTAAATCGCCATAAAAATAATACTCAGTCAAAAGCTTACCAAATACGGTGTTTTGAGGGTTCATGGCGACCTGATTCTTGGCGGCATCTCCGATTAGACGCTCGGTGTCGGTAAAGGCGACATACGAGGGAGTGGTTCTGTTACCCTGGTCATTGGCAATGATCTCGACCTTCCCGTGCATGAACACTCCGACACAGGAGTATGTGGTGCCAAGATCGATTCCAACTGCGTTAACTTTTGCCATTTTGTAAAACAATACAACTAAAAACAGGAAATCAGCACAAAAATAACAAATTAATTTCAGAAACACGAAGCGCGATCTGCTTTCGGCAACCTATAGTAACCACCCCGGCTATACAACTGTAAAAATTCTAAACCACTACTACTACTCACAACCTTATTCTAAGCGACTTGAAGCTAAAACTGCATTGAGGCCCTCGTTTTCATCAAACGGACACAAACGCGGAAAATTCGCGAAAAGGATGGCGAAAAGCAGAAACTTCGAATATTCGCGAAGCCTTTTCCCCCACAAAACATTTGAATTTCTACTGTTTTCGCGGGCTCTTGCCGAATGTTCGCGAACATTTTGGGCGGGGCCAAGAGAACAGAGTTCGCTTCGGACATCAAAGTGGCGCTCTAATGTGGTCGGAAGAGTTCGCGGGGTTTCTGGCAAGATTTCACCAGACGTGGACGAGTGGCTTTCGCAAAATATTTCGAAATTTTGAAGAATTCGTATTTTAGCAATAACGGAGAATGAAGATAATTTTTGTCAATCGGTCACGTAAGCCTTCTAGAGATTTATTTGAAGAGCATTAAATAATTTACACATAAAAACAAAATTTTAGCAAATAAATGGTTTTCATTTCGAGTAATAATAATTAAAATGTCATTCCTGGAGATCGTCTTCGTCTGGTTCGATGTCAGAGTCCTCAGCATCACCGTTCAAGTCCGGCATGAGGAAATACTGTACTGGATTCACCCATACTTCATCCTTCAAAACCTGAGAGGAATTATTAATTTCTAGGCTTCAATTGATAATATTTTTCGAAAAGTCCTTACTTCGGCTATTTCATCGGCTGGTTCGGAGACATCGGCTAGCCATGAGAAGAAGCCTGAATCTTTCTTCATCGTTAACTAAAAATAAGTGTACGCAAAATTATAGAATTACATCTTTATTCGGTTTCCAATCAATCTTCGTACATGTGGCTTGGGGTTCTCCATTTGGTGGTGTCGTCATTTCCTTTACAATATCGGAATTCGTGAAAAAAGGATTCAGATCAAACGAAAACTTTAGTTTGAATCCATTTTTTCCATCCGCGAAGTCTTCTACCTGAACAAGATTTTAAAATCTGTCAAAAATCTTACCACATCCAATCTACTCAAGTAATGCAAAGCTTCTTCATCTTGTTCACTCAAGATGTGGTTTAATAATGGATGATTTGTGAACTAAAAATAGAAATAATATCACATCATAAAGCATACCACAGTCACCCAGAAGTTTGGAATCTTCTCAATTAACTTCTGTCGATCTTCAAAAAAAGGCGACCGCAACTGATTGTACTTCTTTTCAATTTCGATAATTTCCGCACTCGCTTTTTCATTCAACACATCTAATTCCCCTTGAACCTTGTCCAACTCCTCTAGATATTTTTGCGTTGCTTCGTCGAAACCATCCTGAAAGCCTTGAAGTGTTTACAAGTTTTCAATTAAAAAATATTTTAGGTATCAAACTAGATAAACGTAAACACATATGGTCATCAGTGATTCTTCGTATCCGTATTTTTATCATTATATACAGACACGTAAAAAACCAGATAAAAATCTAGTCACGACAAAACAGAAAAAGATGCATTATTTTAGTTTTTCTTAGATTTTAGGGACATGTGTGTACGCAACGTGCGAGAAAAGAGGGATACAAGAAATCAGCCTAATTTACATGAAGCCGTAAAAACACTGCAGCGTCATCTTGTACCTCGAATACAAGCAAAATTAGATTAATAAAGTCATCTCAAAAGAAAATTCTTTTATGAAATTTTTGAACATTTTTTTAAATCAAATTTAGTTCCAAAACTGGAATATCCGAAAGGTTTACGAAACTTCAGAAATTCGGATATCCGATGATTTTTTATGGGATGCGGATACCGATTTTTGTAGGCCAAAACTATCCGTATCCACAAAAAAATTGTGAATCACTGAGCGTCATTAATAATATAATTAATACTTCAACATACCTTTGAACCACCTTCCAGCTTTTGCCGTTTACTGGCCGGTTCACCTGACATCTACGTATCACCCGTTTCTGACAATCAGCACTTGTAAAAGACGCGAGAATTTATCAAACATTTTCGCTCCGAGCTGCGCCCTATAAGCAAGAAAAAATTAGTGATGACATCTCATACGATACGGTAATATTGTCAAAGAATTCACGTAAGACAAAAATAAGAATGTGAAATGTGTCACTAACCATTTTCAAGTTTATTGTTACTATTCTATTCAATAAATATGTATGAGATTTTATCGAAAAGCTACAATAACAAAATATTCGAGTCTGGTCTGCTCATCTACAGTATGCAAGGGATCATAAGGTACACATAAGTAGAACATCTTGCGGTAGATTTATTTGTCATGTGATTTACGTATATTGTTGAAACTTCGAAAACGAAATATTTAAAAAGAGAAATTTGGTTTCGAAAGAAAAAGCCGAGCGAGGAATTCAGGGAGTGAGCGGGGTCAGAGAAGCGGAGATATAAGAAAACATCACGGCGAAAGGGGGCGGGCAGACAATAGAAGAGTGTGTCCGTGTACATACCAATCGATAAAAAGGAAAAAGAGGTCGGGCGGGAGACCTTTCTATTTTTCCTCCCGTATTTTGTTTTATCGTTTTAAAATTTATAAAATTTGTCATGTTCCGACGATGAGAATTGAGCAACAAAACCGAGATGAAATTGAGGGAGTTTGATAGTTTAACACGAAATTGACTTTTCTTAGAATACTTCTTTTTACTTAAATATTCTGAACATAGATGTGGCCCCGTGGTTAACTAATAAAGTACTTATAATGGGGTTGTCGATAGCGCGTATAGGGTCCGTAAAACAACATTTCTGCTTTGACGATACGTGTATCTTTTATTTTAAGTTGATGCCATCTCAAGCGGAGCGGTTCTCGCCCCATTGTTAAACTCTCTAAATCTTCAATTTCCTGGTCCGTAGAATCATTGTGTAATGTGCATGATTTGTAAAGAACACTCAAATCAGTCTCACGTAAGTTAGCGCCCTGTAATCGCCAACTTTAATACTAAAATATATTCAGAACCCCATGTACGGAGGCACTAATGTAACTGCATCCAGTTCAGGAGCTCCACCACATCTTCCTCCAACATACGTACCCCCTCCAAGTATGATCGATACGTCGGTCCCCCCACCTAACTTTATGTTTATGCCACCTCCTATGCCTTTTCCGCCAGGGTTTCCACCACCTATGTGTGGGACGTTTCCCGGACCTTTCTTTCCCCCACCTCCGATATTTTCTCAACCGGAATCACCTACAACTCGCGGACGGCATCATTCTGTAGTTTTGCCTCCTCCACCGCCACCACCAGAATCAGTTCCATGCATGAAGCAAAACTCTACCAAACCAGCTAACGGTTGCACAGAGACCACGGCAAAACAGCCTAAGGTACGAGATTTGTGAAGTTATTATGTTAAATGTTTAGAAACTTTCGAAGCCCGTGGATATGCTATCCGAAGATCCAATTTTGAAGGAGCTGGGAAAACCAATAAAGAGATTGTTTGGCTCACCTATCAACCATTGCGAGTCAAAGAAATGTAAAGTTGAAGTGAAAGGAGAACCTTCCGCCAAACATGGATGTAACAACAACACTACTGCAAAAGACGACGTGATTATAATCAGCGTTAATAGCAAGGATACAAGTCACTCCTCACCATCACCGACAATGCAGAAGGCATGTAATACGAACAGTGTGAGGGATAAAAAGCCGGATGATAGCGATATCATTGTCCTTGAAGACGACACTAAGCCTAGCACCATCAAAATGTCATGGAAGGAATGCACACAAAAGCATACCGACGGGCAGACAAAAGAACCTAATTGTCGAAACAACGGCAAATTTGATCCATTAGTCATCTCCGTAAAAACGCCGAAAAGCGAAAAAACAGCATCCAACAAGTCCAATCTGAAATCATCGGAGAAGCAGCGAAAATTCGAGATTATCTCGTCCACGGAAGTTCATAAGGAGAAGAAGGATAAGACCATCAAACAGACGACTTTAACTCCAAAAGAAAACCATCATGTGGAAATGACAAAATTAAAAGACGAAAAGAAGCGTGTATCTGGAAAGTCGGCGTCACCAAAGTATTTAGAAAAAGATAAGATGATTAAGCTTGCAGTCCAGCAAAAGAAAGTCCCAACAACAAGTCCGAAAGTTTACCAGAAGATAGAAAACGAACGATCAACGAGCCCTAAGAAAGAGGATAAACATGCTAAGGTGCACGTGACGTCAGAAGAAGTAAAACCGTCAAATGAAGCCGACTTATCATCAACGGAGAAGCTAGAGAGAGACCACAAGAAAAATGGTGAGAAAGACAAATTTATTGCCCCTGTAGGAAAGTTCGAGAAGCCCTCGACTTCGGCTGACAGTCCAAAAAAGTCTGATGATGACATTAATCAAGCCGATAGTCCAAAGAAGGACAAGAAGAAGAAGTTCAAACTACCCAAGATCTCCGAAAAATTCCGGAAATATGTCCACATCGACATCCATCCCAACGGTGGGGCTTCTGTCCTCAGGGCAGATTGGCGCAAAATAAAACTACATTTCGACAAGGCCGAGCGAGCTCAATTTTCCCAAGAATTTATTAACCTTGGCCTCGCCGAAATCAATGAGACGCCTGTGTTTGTAATTTGCATCCTCGAACATGCTGCAGAATACATGGGGAATATTCTCGACATTCTCAACGAAAAGCACACCCATCTTCCAGTCAAGGTTGGGAGCTTAGTAAACAAACAAATCGTTGAAACAATGCATGTTGGAGAGTACTACAAGCATGTAATGGAGAGTTGTCGGCAAGGCACCTTCAGATATGGGCCCTTAAACGCCTTAAGTTTAGTTGGAACAAAGCAAGAAGAGTGCGGGGACTACTTTAAGGCAGGTGCTACTTTTTCACAAATATAAACTTGGATTTATTGATTACAGGATATAATTGCGATGTTAGAGCACAGCCCAGTCCTCAAGAGTCTCATGCCCTGGGGAAAAATGGCCATAACAAGTGAGCAAGACCCTACTGACAGCGATGACGGTCCAATCTTTTGGATTCGGCCGGGAGAGCAGCTCATACCAACAGATGAGCTCAAAGAAGATGTCAAGGCTAAACGAAGAAACAGTAATGGCCGGAAGGTGGGGATGACAATACGATCTCTGGACCGACGGGAAGTTCTGTTTGAAGACCGAACTCCCTGCCATGCTGATCATGTCGGTGATGGACTGGAGAGACACACAACCGCGGCCGTCGGAATACTGCAATCCATTCGAGGACCGCATGAACATAAGTAAGTTGACTAATAATCGACAAAAATATTCAGCGATCAATTCGGCCGATACCGAGGAACCCGTAGAATTTACTTTCGTTTTTCGACTAGAGACAACGAAGTAATTTTTGCGGGTACCTTGTGATCGACTCGAGATCGAAAGAATTTAAATGCTGTATCAAATCTAGATTGTGATGGTAGTCAAATTATTATATTTAAAGGGAAGAAGAGGCCCGAGTTGTAAAGGATGTTGTGTGCTTCCATGCCAGTGACTTCGATAGAATTGTTGAAACCCTCCGCCTCGATTTATATGAACCTCCAATGTCCCAGGTATTATTTTAATTCGATTTCTTTACTTCAGATGGAGGATTAACATTCTAATCTTATCGTTTTTAGTGTGTTCAATGGGTTGAGGAAGCCAAATTAAATCAACTACGAAGAGACGGAGTCCGTTATGCCAAATTCGGACTCCATGAAAATTGTATTTATTTCCTGCCAAGGAAGATAATCCATCAGTTCAGGACAGTGAGTGCCTGTGCTTCTGTCGCCTGGCATGTCCGTCTGAAACAATACTACCCTGAGGAAGAGTCGTCCAGATAATGTCATCCGGTTTTCGTTATATTATAACTAATATTCAGAATCTCTTAAGTTATAGAAACCTCGTTGACATAATCATCATTGCTTTAGTCTTGGTGTCAGGCCGATAAAACTGCATTTTAGTGTACAGTCGCATATCATGTGATCTCGGTAAAGAAACATTGTATCTAGGTTTATTGAATAAAGGTTGTTGATTGCTACTATATTTCGTATCTAATTTTAACCCATTCCGGACGGGTCTATTTCCTCGTCCAGAAGTAGAAGCACCCCAGTGAGTAGAATGATAACAATCGTTCAGTCCATTTTTGTGACAAAAAACGTTCTAAAGAGTACCCCCAGTTGACACTTATCAAACTTTTGTAACTCATTAAAACTACTATTACAGTCTATTTTTGAAAATCAAATTTTTATTTTATTGTTAGGTTAATTTTTGTGGGGAGCTTCCTTTGATCTTACCGCTTCTGTTGTTTCCCGGAGAAAAATAGGGTATCTTGACACAAAACAGTTTAATCCGAACGGGACTGAACCCCCTTGACTGGACCCCTCATCCTTCAGTTTGCATAATAGAACCTATTTAGAACCTATTTAGGCAGAGGTCCGTTACACTATACTCGTATTCTCTCAGGAGCTAGGCGGGAATATCTTTCGGTAATTGTTGATGATTTTATATTTTTGGTATCGGTTTTCATGGTTTGGCATGATGAGTTTGATGCTTCGTATCCTTTCTTTCTGTAATTTGTTGTTTTACTTGATCCTACAGACTTGTAGGGAATTCAATCTAGTTTTGTGCTGTCTCAACATTTATAGGATCTCACGTTTAACCAAATCTATTATATTTTTGTCAAACATTGTGTTATTACAGATGGTTCAATATGACGCCCCCAGTTCCAACGAAAATTTCAATGTTGACCCAACCAAACGCTGATTGAACCAACACTGGTAAATGTGTACGCAGATTTATTAGTCCCTTTATGTTTATGTTCTCATAATTGATGAGAATCTGCTTGGAAAGTCAAACTTTTCGTATAAATTGTCTCTTCGGCATGCTGCGCCCAATAAGTTGTAAAAATATTTGTTTTTTCTTGATGTAGGTAGATGATGTTCTTTCGTTGTTAGATCTCCTTTATTTATTTTTCGCGCTCACTTTTGTAAAACGATAAATTGTAGATGGTCGATCGCTTCACACAGATCCAGGAGAAAATAAACGAGATGGCTAGCACAATGTGCAACGCCGTTGGTGTCCTCCAAGCAACCGCCTCTCCTTGCGAATTTGGGAAGATTTCGAAGGAGGTATTGGACGAAACAAATACTGAGTTATATGCGAAGACTTTGGCGGGTTTGTGTAAAGATATCGATATTTTAATAGAGTCAATGCCATCGGAAGAGAAGTCGGAAGAGGCGGCCTCAGAGGAGATGGCGTTTATGGATTTAGAACACAAACAGGTAGAGGAATCTTTTTGTGCAAAATTTCTCTAATTTAGTTGACAGAAGAACTAAGGAAGCAGTCCGAAGAGGTCGATCAATTGGTGGGGAGGGTCTCAGAGGAATTAATGGAGTTATCGAAGTCTCAGATGTCTTCCAGACCCACTCATTAAATGATCTCTCGATTTTTTTGTACATAGATATTAATTTCTACTGTGTTGAATTTAGTAAATTAAGATGTTGGCTTTACATTGATTCATGTTATTGGGGACAAGATGTGTGGACCGGCTGTAAACTTCTCCCATTTCACTTGCATTTATCATCAGGGCTGAGATTATTTTTGGGATTAACGGATTTTATTCAGACATCTTGTGCATGCCATCTACCTTCCCGTATTCGTGCCTAAGGGTTTGCCAATTCCTGTGCTCTTCGAATATATTCTGAAAACGTTTAGCAGTAGATGGGCCACGAAATATTTTGATAATAAGCAAAATTAAGTGTTATATAAAGCGGGCGAACGTTGGACCGCGGGCAAATTGGACCGTCGTCCTTCTCGCGTGGCCATGCGGACTCTAACAGCGGCGGCCGAAGCGTGACGCAAATCCCGTTTGTGGTCGGCCTTCACTATTTTGGCACTTTTCTTTTGCTCCCTGAATATTTTTTATGCTCCCGAGAGTTTCCGACGGCAAATTTTCTTTCCTTTTAAAGGCATTCCACTTCTCCGCGGCCCCAATTTTGTGGTCCATATAACCTGAGGGGTTATAAAAATATTTTTTGTCTCGTCGTGCTGTTTAGGCGTTGGACCGGGGAAGTTCCGTTCGGCCAAATCATGAATCTTTTTTGTCGCTGTAACCGCATCAAAACGAATCTTATTTATCCTCATCTCGCGGCGTCTTTATTCCTTTCAGACGGATAAGGCTCTAAACAAGGCACACACTAGAGTAGGCTGGCCTCAAGGTCTTGCTTCCTTCACGGCTCAGTCCTTTTAATCGCCCGCGATTGGGGCGTTGATTATGGCTTTCAGGGCGGTCCGGCATTTGTTTATCACTCCCTGGAATTATGACTTGTAAGCACGTCATGGCATGACAATTGGTTCTAATGCCCGAAAAGGAAGGCTTACTTTCTCCTTTAATTGACTGAAATAGTAGCAGTATTCCTGCAGATTGAGAGTAAGATTCTCTCCCTTGGTCTCGAGGATGTAATCGACCAGCTAATAAAAGCGGTTACTTGTTTGTTTATGTCTTATTTACCTCTAAATGTGCGTTCTGAAAAGCCAAAAAGAGGGCGTCGGCCCAAATTTTTTTCGACTCGAAGTCTTCGTTGTGGAATTCTTTGACCTGAAAGGGGTTCATTAGGCCCCGATGGGTTTCTCTCACCTTTTCAAGTTCTCCGTTCTTACAAGCCATCAGTAATTTGGTCATATTATCGGTATGATCGTTTTTGAGGAGTTCCCGGAGGCCATCCGTGAGTTCATTTTCTTCACTCAGATAGGTCTTATCCAACAAGACACTGATGTATTCCCCGACTTCGCTCTCGAACTGCTGGAACGAGTTGCTTAGTGAGTTCGACGCTTCCAATTTCTGGGCTGTTTCGTCGAGGAGTTGTTGTTTTTGAGTGATTACGTCTGTTAATTTGCCGATCCTCTCTTGTACTAAAGTCATAAATTATGTGATGACATATTTTGGGATGACGTAACGGCCTAATTACATATTACTTTTTGAGAGAGAGAAAGCAGTTACACATCAGGAATAAAGTTCAAAACTTATTTCCGATTTATTAAATCTGTAAGGGGTAACACTTTGCATTCGTTGTTATCACTCAGACACACTTACAGTTTTTAATATAGGGTACCATGGACGGCAACTCGTCGGGAAGGGCCGACGTGTCCTGTGGCGTCTCTGATAAGCCGTGTTTCTTCTCCTCCTCTTCTCTAATCGCCATTTGAAGAAAGTATTACAATCTTTTCGGGTCGAGAATCTTGGGGACCGGAAAGAGCGAAAAAGAAAACGAACTTTCGACTGGCCAAGCTCTTTGCCCGCAGGTGTTTCGGGAACATCGGGGCCAAGTCCATTGTCCGATCGCGATCGGGTCATCTAATTGGAATGGATGGCTCCTCGTTTCTCTTTTTTCTTTTTTTTTTGTTTTCTTTTTGACGTTGCGAATAAAAAGTCTTGGATTCGAAACATTTTGTTGATAAGTTTATACGTTCAACTCTTCTGATTGAAAACATCCTGACGTCTCTGTCTTTTTTTACCCGGCTTGTTTACAATCCAATGTGTTTATTCCTTGTTCCCTCAGTAACGTTTACTCACACTTACAATTACAATGATAACTTGGCTTACAACATTTCCTTGCGATTTTTTCAGCTGATGATAGAGGTGTTAAATGGGAGTTGTGGAATGGAGACTGACGAGAATGCCGAGACTGTTCAGGTCAAGAGACTAGAGCCTGAGGGCATGGACTTCTCGCCCTCCTTGGCCGTTTCCTCATCAGCTCCCAACCTTGAACATGCTGATGCAGATACTCCCCTCAGCTTTCGTCAACCCGACTGTAGGTGGTGTGTCTTGAGTGGTTGTTGTTGTTGCTGTTAATCTGTCTTACTCCTTCATTGACAAACAAATATGATTGTATCCGATGACTAGGAGTCAAGATGACTAATACCTCCTTTAAAATTCTCTACTTCCATTTTCTCGCTCTGTAAACGTAAATGTAAATGCACACGACCAACCAACGTATTCCCTCGGCCATTTGAAGGCCACACCTCAGTGTTTATATAAGTGTCTTCCCTTAACGGATTTACGGATGGATGTAAAATCCGATGGGTTGGGAGGCCGGGCGCCCGGATTTGTGTGTGATTGTATGTGTATGTAAGTGTAGTGTCGGTGGGGTTAGGGCCGTTCGAGGCCGGCATCTCGCCGGCCTTCACCGGCTACTCTCAACTCTTTTGGGGTCTCTTCTTCGCCCCCCTCCCTTTCTTTCCACCAATTTCCGAGTTTTGTGCGCGGAAAATGAACGTGACTGACTTGCTCGTTTATCTATCCCTCCAATATCCACAGAGTTCCAATCTTTCCGCTCCTTTCCCTCTTCTTTCCAACAACAACCACCTTCGGCTCCGCTCATACCGGCTTCGTTTCAGTGAGCTCCACGCCCAATCAGGATGCCGGCGAGCTGGTGAACTCGGTGACCGATGACTTGCGCAGTCCCCGACCGCAGAACCCCACCAGTATGAACCCCGAGTATGATCTGAGGTGAGTCCTTGTCTGAGGTGGATAATATTTTAGCCGCATGTGGGTGGGTTGTCCGGGAAACCTCGTCTATAATTATTTAGGCACTGTTTTGACGGTCCGGAAACGCATTGGAGCTTGTTCTACAAGGTTGTAGTGTTAATTCCCTGCTTTTTAAAACAAGTTGTAAGATCAAAAACCGGAGGAGACGGCTCTCCGTAAACGCCGAGGATATTGTTTTGAAGAGATGACTGGATATACTTTTATTTACGAGGGAAACAATTACTCGAGTGTCTCATACGCGGGTCTTATGAATGTCACACGACCTTTATAAAAATAGGTCCATTTCACTGTAGAACAAGAGTTCATTGAACTTTTAGGAACACCAAAAGAGCGGCTCCCTGTTTTCTCGAGAATAAGCGAAGGCCCTAAAGGTCATTCCAACTGTCTTGCAAGACGAGAAAGTGGAGCGGCACCGCTTGGTTCAGACGTTTTTCTCACTATTCCCCCCATTTCTTTGATTTTTAAGAGGCGGCGATTGCGAAGGGGGATGGGAGAGACTGCTACGAGATGGAAATGGTATCGTTCCGTTCGTGAGTTTGATGACAATGTCGTCCAGGTTTGAGGACTTCCTTGTCATCGATCCGAGCAGAGTTTGGTCTCCTCTCATTAGGGATTAAGTCATCAGGAATGTCATTCGCCTAGTTCCCCTGGTATTCGGACAAGTATACATTATATGTATGCTGCTTCTTTTTCCTGTTCGCTTTACTTTTCTGTTTATTTGGAAACGAATCCTTTCTTTTCCTTAACAAGGTTTCCAGCCTCCGGGCATCGGCCCTCATTTGCGCCTTTCCCAGACCATAAAATCTGAACGGGATACGGTTGTGCCCTGAGGCTGTTCGGAATGGACAGGTGTTTTTGTCGCCAGCATTGACCGACTCTCTGCCCGAGGGCCATTTGGCAAAAGCGATAGGCCCGGAGCTAATTCTATTTTAAATATATCCGCGACTCGTGCAGAGTGGACGACGTCGTGCGATAAAAGGCGCGAGGGGCGACCAGCACCGCCATCACCTCCCCCCTCGCCTCTGCCCCTTCACCCCATCGCGCGCTGTTCATTTGCGTTCCCCCCCCCCTTTCATTCCCCGCGCAGGGTTTTGTGGTTAAGGTCCAGCTGGGGATTCCGTGCCCTATTCTTGGAGGAGTATTGTGGTCGATTGCCCCGACGCCTGCGTCGTCCCCCATCTCGCCCGACCGCTCTCACCTCGGTCGCGGTCTCTCTCTCCGGCTCGCTTCGGAGCAAAAGTCTTTTTTGAGATTCCCGGCTCCCTCTGCCCACTCTCGATGGCTACTCTCGAGACCAAAAACATTCAGATCAGACCTTTCTCAACTTTTATTCGGTTAATTTGCTTTTTTGGCCTTTTCATGTTGGGAACAGCACGCTCGGGTGGGCATGTGGAGTACGCGACAAGTCCCTTTTACTTTTTATTTTTCCACTTTTGTGCTGATTTTCCTCCAGAACACGGCACTTTCTGTGTGGAGATCCAAAGGGCAGTAAAGTTTAGCATAATTACCGACAGAAGATTTGTGGTTTAATGGCATAAACCTTTATGTATCCGATGCATTAATTTCCAGAATATGTGGGAAAAGGCGGGCGTTGAGACGATGGCTACTTTAATTATCTTTTTTTGCGAGATTATTCGAATCCGCTTACTCCGTTTCTCAAGTTTTGAAAATATTTCTCTGCCCTTTTCTGGTGATCTGACGTCAATGATTGTCTGCAGCAGGGGCCCGGCCTTTTATGACCGAAGGGCCTCCAAATCAGCCAAATGCTGGACGTTCCCCGTTTGTTGGACTTGTGACTCAAATCATTTGGGCTTATCACATTTTGCTCGAGGGGATCTGACTCAACATCGGAAACGGTTTTCCTTCTCTACCGAGTATAAAGTAAGATCCCTCGCCCCGCCGACATCCTGGAGTTCCGCTGGATGACCTGGTTACCTCTTTTGGATGCCGTCAGAAGCGGAGAAAATTGTTTTTTTTTTTTTTGAGTATTTCTTAAGATTATCTGCGGTTGTTAAGACAAAACATTATTTGCTGGGCCTGCAGAGGGCGACGGGACTGGTTTTGCGGGGACTAAAGTCAGAGAAAACACTTGAACAATAATGGTCATCTACATGGTCACAAACATTCGGGTTTCATGTGACGTTCTCTTCTTTGCTGTTGCAATTTATGAACTATTTTGATTAAACCTTTTGAATAATCCAAGTCCATAAACGGTGTCGTTAAAGCAGCATAATTCGTAGAAAACGTCGCCCGGGCTTCACTTTCGGAATCTGTTGTTTGTTATCTTTGTCCGGAATTAAGGGAATATTAATTAGATAAAAGGGGATCAGTTATTAACATCCATACTGCCTTAATCCGTAAAGGAAGGCGCTTACATTCCCCCTCTTTCCTCGGACTAACTCATTCCCATTTTTAGAGTGAAAACCCAAGGCCATAAGCAAAGACAAGCCGACCCAGACTCCCCTTCCCCACAGCCCCGATACCCCGTCTTTTGCCTTTAACTGTCGGGCTGCGCACTCTTTTAAGGGGAGGGGGGCTTCTTCCCAGGACTTTTCTGGCCTCTCATTTGGCCCAAGATTCTTGTCATTGCTTCTGCATGCACTACTTTGTTTTACTCTCTTTTGTTGTGGACTTGATTACAGAAACCGACCCCCAATTTTCATGTCATTGCCGTCGGCAATGACATTTCTGTTTTGCTTTAAGGGCATATTTTGAATAGAATATATATGCATATTCCCTTGTCCAATATTTTTATTATGAAAGCTCCAAAAGGCCAAAAGATGAGCATACGAAGCTGGTCACTCTTCTTTCCCCTGCCTGCGGGATTTTTCTCCCCGAATCCCTTTCCATTCCTCATCAAATCCTACTATGAGACGGATTCTGGAGACCTTGATGTTGGCGGCGGGGATCTCTTCGGAAGCACCTGATCGCCCCGTTCTGAAACCCCGAAAGAGCCGCCGTTCCCTTCTTTCTCTATTTGGTTTCTAATGACTTCGGCTTGTCGATCTCTCAGCCTCGTTATCCCCAGATGACCTCCAGTTGTTTACCTGATTCAAGAGTAACCGCTCTATGTTTAGATCAGCCGCCTCGTCTCAGAACGCGTTAGCCAAGGAGAATCTCGCCTCCAAAGACGGGTCCACGGCGTCATTCAAAGAGCCCGAGAGTCTCGAGAGCAAGGCCAGTCCGGACGGCGCCTCACCCAGCTCCACCGTCACTGTCCAGCACATTGGCTCCAGTTCAAGCAACGACGCCACGATTACGGCCTCAGTGGCGATCTCAACGCTCCCTCCCCCGCCCATGGTGGGGGCTGGACCAGGCGCCGTGGTGGGGGCCGGTCCAGGTGTGAACGGGGCAACCACCTCTTCGGCCAGCTCTTCAGCCAGTTCGGCCGCTTCAGCAACCAATCAGAACTTTAAGGGCAACCGCCCAGACGAAGCCGTTCGAATCTTCGGCTCTAAGCTCACTCCCTACGAACATACGGAGATCTACAACTTTAATCGTATCTACTTTGTTGGCTCTCAGGCCAATAAACGGGGCGGAAATCCGGGTGCGGCCAACAATGCCGGCTATGATGACGAGAATGGGAGCTACCATCTCGTTCCTCATGATCATATCGCCTACCGGTACGAGATCTTAAAAATCATTGGGAAAGGAAGTTTCGGACAGGTGAGTCTTCGAAAATTAAAAGTAATCAAAATTGGATTTCACATTTTGATCGTTCCTTTTAGGTAATAAAAGCATACGATCACAAATATCAGCAGTTTGTGGCCTTGAAGTTAGTAAGGAATGAGAAAAGATTCCATCGACAAGCTGAAGAGGAGATAAGAATCCTCGATCATCTACGTCAGCAAGACCCAGATCATGTCCATAATGTCATTCATATGTTGGACCACTTCAACTTTAGGAATCATAAGTGTATTACCTTCGAGTTAATGAGTATCAACTTGTACGAACTTATCAAAAAGAATAAATTTCACGGTTTTAATCTCACAGTAAGTATTTACAGTTGCTTTACGTATTGGGTCTTACTTTTCTATAATCTTTTGATTTCAGCTAGTCAGAAAGTTTGCACATTCGATGTTACAGTGCCTAGACTTGCTATACCGTAACCGGTTAATTCACTGTGATCTGAAACCCGAGAATGTTTTGTTAAAGAATCAGAACCGAAGCAGCATTAAAGTAATTGACTTTGGCTCCTCCTGCTTCGAGAATCAACGGATCTACACCTACATCCAGTCTCGATTCTATCGGGCACCAGAAGGTAAGTCTCAAGTAAAATGAAATTATACTCGAGTTTAGTAATACTCGGAGCGCGTTACGGAATGCCCATCGACATGTGGTCCCTTGGCTGTATCCTGGCCGAATTACTCACCGGATATCCTTTATTGCCGGGCGAGGATGAGAACGATCAGTTGGCGCTGATTGTAGAGCTTCTGGGAGTACCGTCGACAAAGATTCTGGAGTCCGGAAAACGAACGAGGAACTTTTTTTCCTCGAGGGGACATCCTCGGTATTGTCAAGTAACTCAACTTATGGATGGGACCATGGTTTTGGGAGGAGGAAGATCCAAACGAGGCAAGATGAGAGGCCCTCCGGGCTCCAGAACTTGGAATCAGGCTCTCAAAAATATGGTGAGCATTGCTGTTTTATGTGTTCGGAGGGTTTGTTTTTTGTGAAAGCAGTATTAACCCTTTTCTGGGAAGCCTAGGATTACTCCCGAATTGGCCCCGAATTTTGAATTGACAGTTGTATTTAATTTGGGGAGGGATTAGTTTTAATACATTATATTATGAAGTCATTTGATGGATAACAAGTGCTTTCAGGGCGATGAATTGTTCACCGATTTCCTGAAGCGATGTCTCGATTGGGATCCCGAGCTCCGGATGACTCCCCAACAAGCCCTAAAGCATCCCTGGCTTCGACGGCGACTCCCCAGACCTCCCACCAACGGGGATTCGGCGAGTTCAACAACAGCAAGCAGCGAGAATCTAATAAGCACAAACTTCAGGATATCCGATTAAGGACTCTTTCACAATTTCATAGGGTTACATTTATTCTCAACGAATCGGGCAAATGCATTTCTTTTTCCTTCTTTTCGTGTCCGTATTTAATGCTCAACCGGACTCTCCAATCATTCGTTGCGGGACTCAAACTGAGAGTCCTTCTTCTCGTATTGTACTCTTTAAGTACTACTTTAGTCATTTAGTTAGACCGATCTTCACCCAGAGTGAGCCCTGCCAGTCTCCGGCTTTCTGTACATTATGGTTAACTTAATTCGCGTTGTGTTTGTCTATAAGAGAGCTTACCTCTTCCGATGCGACGTCCCCACGGGGGTCATCATATAATATATGGTGTTGTCTGTCTATCATAGCCTAATATCTAATATTTAATGTCGAATCTCCCATCTCTCTGATCCACAAAAGTTGCAATTACTATTCAAATGTATTATTAATTCGGATAAAAATTTGTATTTAATAAACTTGAATTAGTGAAAACCGGAATAGAAATCAAGAAGGAAACGACGATAACATCTGGGTGAGACTAAACGAGAGTCATTGGCAGAAGATCCAGAAATCGGAGAGTCATGGCGGAGATGATCAAGGCCCTACTTGAAGAGGATGTTATTTATGATGAGTTAAATCCAAAGTACAGGTTCTTCTTTAACAGTACTCATTGTTTGGTAAGGGTAAACTTTATTTTCTGTTCAATGAGCATTTATTTCAGCGATTAACCAAAGCGACTCTGTTTGTCCACACTCTTTTTACAATCCTCCCCATCCTTTATTATCTCCCTTATTCCCTGCCTACCATCCCTATTTATGTTGTAGTAGGTATTGCTTGTGTCTATGGGATCAAAAAGAGTGATGCTTTGGCCTTGCTTCCCCTTCAGATCTACATTGTAAGTTCGTGAATGAGCGATTATACCATTACAGGTGACATTGTTCGTTTTCTCGGCTGCTACGTTAATCACGGACCCATTAATAGTTTATTACTGGCGCTCCGATATCTACGAGTTCTTCAATTATGGTAAATATTAAAGTCAAGCATGTCTAATAATATGATTTTAGAAGGAAAATCGTCGTATTTATTCCTATTACTGATCCTTTCCAACATCTTCATGTTCCATCTGATCTTTACAGTACTATTATTCTGGCAGTATCAAGTTATTGTTTATTGTCGCGATTACATGATTCAAGTGAAAGAAAGAGCAGAGTACTCCAAACTATCTGTGCCCCCATCTTTTCTGAATACCCAAATCAATGAGAGCACCCCCATCACTGCCAAAAACCCCAATTATGCGGTATTTTCTCTGGAGAACATTGAGGAACGGCCAGATCTTGTTAATCCCAATTAGTCAGTAATCTCCGAATAAACTTCCCAATTAAAAGTGACATCTGGATTACTGTGTTTAGCGAGAGGCCCAAGAATAACATAAACTGGCCTCCAATTTCAGAAATAAAGCCCGCCAGTGTGATCCGAATGTTCTCTCGGTATTCTTCCACCTAAAATACCAATATTATTTTAGTTGTAGGGCTCCTGCTTTCCTGCATATCACTGTAGCTGATAACCAGAGAATAATCAGCCTTAGCTGAGCTGAATCCAGCGACTTTCCCGGTCTGCAATTGCTCAGTAATGATCTCCCTGTTGCAAGCAGGTCTACACTGCAAGTAAATTTAATTATAGGTCTCTGCGAAGAATAAAAGCGATTATGAACACTGTTTGAAATATTAGGTTGTATAATAAGTTATGACCACAATTTTCTAAAATTCCTAAAACTTTAATGATGCTTTTTTCAGAGTTGAATAGCATACCGCTGGGTAGGTTGGAGACAGTAGATTACAGGAACCAGTAGCACATCGGCCTCCGGCTAAAACATCGGAGAAAAGAAATTAAGAAATGAGGGCATCCCAAGGTGCTAAAACAAAAATACGCCTTAAATCTGAGAATTCTGAGAGACTAGTAATGACAATGCTTCTGTAGGACATTCGAGGCGTCCCTTTTACATACGCTGCGCTGGATCAACTCTACCTCCCCTACCTGAGCTTTACTATTCAAAATATAAATTGAGGTATACCTTCATTGTTATGAACCCTGATTCGTTTAGAATTAATCCCACCTTAAATAACGTGGTTCAGCTGTAAAGAGTCACTTATGAGTTGCTTTTTGATAACCTACTCAAATCAGAAACTGCTTGTATCAGGTGACAATAAGGAATTTCATTAAAATCGTTACATTTTGAGGGCCGTTGGACTAGAGTTCAAAACTTTTATTGAGTACGCGCTAGCGCCATCTTGTGAAGAACTGTTTTTGGCGGTTATATACACTACATACCTCGGCGAAAACGACAGTATAAGTTCTTTAAGTTTGCGGCTGTTAAGTTCTAAAAAATTGAAATTTAATTGGATGATCCAAAATTCTGCTAATTCTTAGATTTTTCTGGAGATTCCAATTATTGCATGCTCCAAAATTTGTCTGGTGTGACAACAGGCATGTGATCTCGTATTACTACGAGTTATAACAATAGACAATAGAAACCACGGGCGCTAAACTTTTTAGACGCTTTTTCAGGCGACGGCTTCGGTAACCTTCCGGAAAAACAGCTCATAAAATGAGTTGTCACTGCTACCTTGCAACGATGCTGTGTCAGCGTCTTTTCCGACCCTTGAAGATTATAATAACACCAATCTGAGACCAGCAGCGGCTGGCAGAGAGACGTGACTTGAGTTGTTTCGTACCCCGCCAAAATCGGGGCACTTCCGAGTTTTTAGCAATAGAAAATCGCGGCTATGCCGTAAGACTTTGCAATACGCACTAGATGAAACTTCGATAAGCCCTCTATTAGTCTATAAGTATGCTGAACTAAGGAGGGATCTGAGCTAGGAAATAATCGACTTCAAACCTTTGCAAGAAAATGGTCATAACATATTATACAACCTAATAATTGGCTAATTCAAGGGTTACAATCGCTAGCCGTAGGGTACAAATGACCTGCAGGTCCAGAGAGTTGTGCGCTCAAAAATAAAGTCGGATTCATAGCCAGAAGGTCAAATGGCTATCCAAAACGTTGGATCGCCTTTTTCGTGCGCTTTTGAATATTTACTTGGCTGCCATTTCAACCATTTTGCATGTCATTTGGGTAATTTTTTACTAGTCGCGCCATAAAGTCCGTAGAATTTTTTTCGCCGACGTCGCGGGTGCAATCACCGAAAAGTGCATGTCGCTAGTGCAAAAACGGGGAATCGCCGCGGTGCGTGCGGAAAAAAGGGTTGAATGCACTGTGCAAATTCTACGGACTTTATGTCGCGACGTACTAATAAAGCTATAATAATCAAATATTATTTGATTAGCCTTTGATAAGATTTTTTGCTCAGAGACCCTTCGGCTAGCAATTAGCAAATTATTTTCAAAAAACGGTAGGTCATAACCGCAGGGATTGATCTCCACACTCACTGATTTGGTGTTGACATGGTTTTTAGTAATGTTTTTGTAGTTGTAGATGATGGTACTTGGATGACAGACGGAGACTCCCTTAGCTTTGTGATCCAGATAATGCACAGTGCAATTGAATGGTTTCGTTAATTGATGGTAAAGCCATCTATTGGCAAAACAGGTTCCCCGTCCCTTACTCTCCTCCGAATTACTGCAATGTTGTTCGGCTTCGGACATGACAACAGTCCTCATCTGGAGAGTAATCTTATTCAAACAATGCATATTCAGATGGACCTTGGGAGAACGAGCAATATCCGGATAATTATCAGAGAGGAAGAGAAGCAAGTTCCTCTAAAATAGCTTCGTTTTACAGGCATTTCTATTACTTGCTTCCCCGATGCTGACAAAAAATGACTGGGAAGGTCATGCATGTACATATGGAGACGTCCCCAGTCGTTCGGGCTGGTCTGGTAAAACTCTTTCAATTGGAAGCAACGGCCTTCCAAGATGACGTAGACTGGATCAAAGATATCACAACAATTAATCAATTCATGTCCATAGAAACATTTGTAAAACAACTAAAATGATATTGTTATTGATAGAAAGGAAACCAGACCTCTTCACAAGTATATCCATTCTGATTAAAGATGAAATCGAAGAACTGCTTCCAAGTCCTTTCCCCTTTCCATTGCTCTGTCATTTCCCCTAGTTTATTTATATCATCTAGGTCCCACAACGAAACTTTGGTATTAAATCCGTCAACTCCGGAACCAGCGATGGCATAGATGATCAAGTCGTCGACTTCGGAGTTAGTCAAATTGTCAATTCGAGATCTCATATCTGCATTACTAGCGTATATTGACTACAGTAACCTAATGGGCGGGCGCTCACTTGCGGGTAGCCACTTTTTGGGCAGGGACGACATTTGTGGGCAGCAAGAAGAAACACGGAGATTCTGCGGGACGTTTGGAAATCAGCTGGCTTAAGCCGGCATATGATTACAATAGGTAATTCTAAACATGGATTTAGCAGTTAGATGTTGCGAATTAGGTTTCCAATTTATTCTTGTAACAGATACACATAGGGGGAGTTATTAAAAAAGTCACATGTTTGTGTCATCATTATTAGTCCTTCCAGGAAGTCAAAGGACTGAAATCGGCGACACGCACTGTGAGAAAATAAAAGTTTTCTTTGCCCTGTGCAATTTCTTACTTTTTGCACCGTGCAAATAGGCTTTTTTCGGATGTCGCTTCCGCCCTGATTTTTTTTCGCACAGTGCAAACACCAAAAATTCGTCTGGCGACTTTCCGGAAGGACTAGTACGATAAAAACTCAATTTCCGACCACAACTAACCTCATGTCTGCGCAGTACTATAGTTAGTCGAAAAACTGTTTAAAGCTTGAAAAACAAACAACGTTGGCTTGAGCTAATCCAGTTTTTTTGAAAACGAACGCCCATAACCTTGAAAGCAGTAGATGGATTCAAATAAAATTTTTCAGATTCATACTTATAAAGGGTGTCGGCAATACAAAATTTTTTTCCGTCCATCATACTGGATCGATTACGGTAGAAAAGTCGAAATTCCATCCGTAAATGTTTACCGAAAGCGCTTTCTTCTTATTGCCCGCAAGTGTCGCGACGCCTTCCATTGACGTAATCCCTTAATATTTGACTCACCAATTTCGAGATCTCTGTAATGGACGGCATCACCATTCTTCGGACAGATTGTAACTCCAGGATATCTGATCTTGTCAACCTGCCATCTGCTTAGTGTTTTACGATTAGAGAACTAACCTGTCTGTATTTGAATACTGTAGAAGTTCTCTTTTCCATATATTCCCGAATCAAGATATTGGTGAACCATCCAGCAAAGGCCAAGCAAATTCCGATTATCACTATCCACATTCGCTTCTCATAGATGTTCTTGGCCTAAATGTCTTCATTTTGTTATAACAGAAACTTTTACCACAAAGTACTGAGATAAACCATGAAGTTCGAGGGACCAAACAGGGACTTGCCGGATCTTCTTGTTACATTTCTGGCAAACCTTCATAGACATGGTCTCCAGGAAAGAAAATTAAAGACGCCATGTTCGTCTTTCCATATCTGATTGCACAAATTCATGTAAGTTGAGAGGATACCATTACACTTGACTGAATGAATTCCTTGGCGCTACGACTTCTCAAATCTGGCAGGACGTAACCTGTTAGTGTCGGTAGCTTGGCGAATGTTTCACACATTGGCGAAGACTTGGCAGGGTCTTTTTCACCGACGGAGACCGTTTTCGAGGCTTGGCTTTTGTGAATCGGATTGGAAGAGAGCTGAGGATTTTTTGCTCACTTCACGTTATCCTTTTTTTCTGCCTCCTTTTTCATGTTGAAAGGCTGTCGGAGGATTCGACGGCAGTATTTTCAAAGTTTTGAAAAATGCCAAAAATTGGCAAACGGACTACAAACCCCAAAACTAAATCTAACAATAAGATGACAATTCTTTTAGGACTGAATGGGTCCCGTTCTTCCGGAGGAGCCATCAGTGATAAACCAAAAAAACCATCTGACAAGAGAAAATCTGTTCGTAAAAGTCAAGTCCCCAAAACGGCCCCTTCTTCAAGCCTCATTCAGGCATAGATGCGACGCAAAGCATCGTCGACGCATACTGCCGTTGACCCGAAAAGTCGAACTGCTGAATTTTCTTCCTCGATTTATTGTATGGTTCCAAGGCAAGCTTGGAAACATCATCAGCGACCTCAAAATAGCATTTTGCGACAAAGCCACGATTTTAGCCAGGAAAATAACAAGGATATCACTGATATTACAGTATCCCAGGACGATGCTTTTCGTCAAAATCGACATCTTTTTTGCTTTAGATCCTCTTCATTTTGGATACTTTATGCTTTGAAACATGGGCTTTCATAAACTGTCGAAATTGTCAAAACCCGATGTTTAGATTTTGAGAAAATTTGGATTAAATTTCTTTTCCGAAAACAAATTGTCGTGCGTCGTTCATTTTCTGTTTGACATGTTCATCTTCCCGGAGTCCCGCCGCGAAAACATTCCCTGGACTGGTTTTTGGCCGTGGTCTTTTTATCGGTTTTGGAGAATTTTTGTTGGTTTTTGATTCTTCGGGCTCGTCAAATACCGAGTGTACCCGATTTTACCTCGAGTATTTTTATTTGATATCCGAAATGGGAATCTCCGACAACGATGTCCAGAAGCAGCTCAGGCACATGATGGCTTTCATTGAGCAAGAAGCCAATGAGAAAGCCGAAGAAATTGATGCCAAAGCCGAGGAGGAATTCAACATGGAAAAGGTCAGCTACACTTTTGAGCTTATTTCCTTGTATTTTAGAGGATAAAAAATATTGTTTTATCTATGGTGAATAAATTGGAAAGATTGGGCCATGATTTTGTTCGTTGTAGGGTCGCTTAGTGCAACAACAGAGAACGAAGATCCTGGAGTATTATGAGAAGAAGGAAAAACAAGTTGAGCTCCAAAGAAAGATCCAGAGGTCAAACATGCAGAACCAAGGCCGTCTGAAGTGTTTGAAGGCTCGTGAGGATCATCTGAAGGCCGTCTTAGAAGAAGCCAAAGCCAATTTGTCTAGGATTTCAGCTGACAGCAACAGATATCCGGCCATTCTCAAGGGATTAATCATGCAGGTCGGTTTGTTATTTTTTATTTTAGGTACTTATTTTCAAACAGTTGAATTTTTTTATCTTTCAACTTTTTAGGGTCTTTTCCAACTGCTTGAAAAGAATGTAACCCTCAGATGTTCGAAGAAAGACGAGGCCTTGGTGGAGAAACTTTTGCCCGAATGTTTAGATGAATTACAAAAAGTTTGGGGAAATCAGAGTAAAGTAGTAATTGACAAAGAAAACTACTTGCCTGAGGATGTTGCTGGTGGTGTAGAAATGACTGCTAAGAATGGAAAAATCAAGGTTTCATCCACTCTGGAAAGCAGACTCGATCTTATTGCTGGCCAGGTAAGTAAAATATGTAGTAAAATTACAATAAGTCAACTTTTTATTACTATCTTTTTGTTTCAGATTGTCCCCCAGATCAGAACTGCTCTATTCGGTCCTAATCCCAACCGTAAATTCTTCGATTAGATTGTGGGGAGCCCTGTGTATCGAGATTTTATGTAAACAACGGACTTTCTACTTTCACTTCTGAATTTCGTAGCTCAGAAATAGTTGCTCTCTCACTTATTTGGTCCTAACTAATTGTAAGGCTTGTAATAATTATTTCCCGGCTCCCATTGTGATATTGAATATGGTCAAATAAAAGATTTCTGTTTTGATTCATCCCGTATATACAAAAGTAATATAATTAAGGCGCTAATCAAAAGAAACAAGTGGCCTGGCGTTTACACAACAGTGTCTGTCCCGTGGTCTCTCCGATAAAGAACGTTCGACGAGCGAGGTTACCCTTAAAGTTCCCTTCTTCCCTTCCAAAACAGTCGGAGCGATGTCTAAACTGATCTACGGCCTCCTGTGCCTGCAGATGCTTAATGTCGGGGTTGCCTGGAGTCTTTTTAAACACAAATCCGAGCCCCCTCCCATGGAATTGCATTGTTTCAGAGGCTCCAAGATGGCCTTCAGCGACGCCCGAGAGGAGAGCGTGAAATGTGACTCGATCCTGGGCATTGAGCAGTACTGTTATCGCTTTACTGCTTACTCACCCGTCCACGAAATGATCAAGCTTGGTTGCGCGACCCTTCTTTGTGCAGTAAGTCTCCTATTTTCGTAACTTCCATCCCATTTTCAGCCTTTCCGTAACACCTGTGCTGATTTTGAGTTGAGTGGAGCTGCCGGGAAACTGTGTTGTTGCAACCATGGGAGTTACTGTAACTCCTCAACCACCTCGACATTGTCATTTACATTAATAATGAGTCTAGTCATCGGCCTGCTTTATCGCTAGCCATCACCCACGCCTTTCCAAATACGGGTATATCAGATATGAGTCACGATCCAATTCCCATTCCACTACTGATATAAGAGTAAATAAAAACACATTTCTTTATGGTCATGTCACAAGGAGGCGTATCGTAGGAGTGCCGCCGGTGATAAAAACAGCCGAAAAGAGGGTTGCGGGCTTATTGTTTATCATAGAACTGACGATGGGAGACCTCAGATTCGACTCCAGCTATTTCGGGAAGGACCGGGGTGTCGTCAAGTTGGCCTTGATAATTCTTGGCCTCGTCGCCTGCTCGGTTTTATGTGCCAATTGGTGGGTTTTTTTCCAGAAATACTGGTTATGAAATTCGATTTCTTAAAGTTGATCAATGTCCCCCCTCGCACTGTGCAATGTTTGTAAACAAGTTTCGTACAGTTTCCAGATAATATTAGAAGACACGGTGCATTTTTTACGGAATGTTCGGCGATTCATGAAATTTGACTTTGAAAAACTCAATTCTTGTCGAATAATCAGACATTGGACGGTAAATTTGAGCGTAATGCACAGTGCAGAGGACATTTTCTATCAACAAAAACTCAGGATCCTTTGTCTTTAAAATTTTTTTTTCGGCGCGGCCATTGAGCCTGTTTGGGCCGGTCCGTGAGTGAGCACAGTTGAAAAAGCTCTGACCCGGTTCTTGATCCACCTTTGACTAAAAAAATTTTTTGTGCACTGTGCGACCAAAGGTTTATTTTGTGAATTTGTAGGTACGGCACTAGCTGTTTCGGCGAAGGCCGTTTGGGATACGCAAGTGGATTGAACTTTATCTTCTTGATCATCAACATTGGTGAGCGCCCCTTGCCCTTTAACGGACCTTACTTTAGTTTCCTTTATCCTCAACCTGCTCAGTTTTAAGCACGGGAAGTTTGAGCACTTGTACTCAGCGATCGCGGCCATTCTTTTCGCTGTCGCTGCTGGATTATTAATCTGGTACTTGATTACCGCGCGGTATTGGGACACCTGGTTGATCGTGGCTACCGTAAGTTTAATATATAATAGTACCTTAACATAATGTAATGTACAATATTCAGGTAGTGATCGTGATTCAATTCATTCTATATTTATGGGACTTCCGAGCAACAAAAGAGTACCAAGGCCATCTGCCCATCTAAGTTTAACGTTTAGTACTTTCCCTCAACCATCAATAACCTCCATTAACTGTTTTGTACAGAAGTACAATATAAATTTATTTTACAGAAATTATAATAAATTTGCGCTAACCGAATACCGATAAGATCTCCCTTAAGCACTCTTTTCGTTCCTCGTTTACTTTTTTACATTCGGCCAAAACGGCGTCAAAGGTGGCGGAATTGCCTGAGGCACTTTTCTTAACGACCGGACTGGAAATCTGGATCTGGCTGAGGATGGACGGCATGGGGATTTGCGGCATTTGCTTCTCCCAAACAGATCTGATCCGATACCGTAACTAAAAATAGGCCATATCAATTAAATTATATTAGTGATAATAGCGCAACATTTCATTTGGGGCAAGCAGATCGGGGCCCAATATGTATAGCCAATGTTGCAAAATGCTTTGACCATTCAGCGAATGAGTTGAAATCACAACTAAATTATTAAATGGCTAGACAAAAAACTGGATCGGCTAGCCAATGTCTCAGAATAGCTTTGAAATCCCGGAAAAAGTTAGCCAAAAGATTGGAATAGGTGTAAAAAATAGTCATAATAAAAAATTTTTTCCTTTACAGACAATACAAGTATTACAAACGGTAGAAAACAATTTTGACCCTCTGGCTGGCCGATCCAGTTTTTTTGGACAGCCATTAAAAAATTTAGCCGTGATTCCCACTCATACCCGATCTGCTCCAAACGAAATCTGCCCCAAATGAAGGGTAGCCGATAATAATGGTGACTTATGTACTCACATCATTCACTCTATTATTATATTCGATTACACTCTTCTTGTAAGAAGTCCCTTGTTCGTTCGGCTCCACTGATATCAATTTCTTGTATTCCTATAATCAAACCATCAAATTATAATAAACAAAGATGCATGAATGAGATGAACATGATTCTTGCCATGGATAAGATGTCAACTTCTGTCGAAAAGGACTGGATCTTGTTTTTGAGGCTGTTCTCATCATTCTCCACCAAACTGATGGGTCCACAGACCCTTTCCGGACATTTCAGAGGTTTAAATGATGACAAAATGGTGCATGAGAGCTCAGCTTGAAGTCTGCGGACCTTGTCCTGCGTCCAGAGAAGGGACTTCTTGGTCTGATTGTGGTCCATATCAGATCCATCCAATTTCAAAGCCAGATTTCCAGAATCCTCGACCAATGACATCGATCTGAACTTTCCTTTTTTTTCCATTTCCAAATCCTTTTTCAACTTATCGCGAGCTTTCTCGACCTCCTCCAACTGCTTCTCCAATTCATCCAATTTCTCTCGATAAGCCCTAAAGACGGTTCTAAAGTCGATTACAGAACCCCTACCGTGTCTCAGATTGAATCGCTTCTTGTAATTTGTCAGCTCCGATCACAATATTCTCATTCTTGTCGTTTTCCTGATGCCTTCTCCTCTCCCGTTCCAATTGGATCTAAATTCAGCTCTTTAGACTCCAGTTATGTTCCTTTACCTTGAGTGTGCAGAGACTATCCTCCAGATTCTTGTACATCTGGACCACTCTTTTGTATTCCTCTTCCTTCTTTGTGATCTGCCATCTGAGACTCTCCACATCCACCACATCTTGTTTCCTGCCCATCGCCCGATCAGTCAATGGAGTGAACTTTTTCACTCCGTCTAAGGGTTTCTCGAACAATTTCTTGTCCAATTTGGAGGTTAGTTCATTCAAAGTTGATTTAAAAGCATCCAGCGTAGAAGAGATCTCGTTCAGGGCCTCAGAGATATTTCTTTGGCCCTCCATCCTCTTCTCCACCTTACTTTGGATGAATTCTTTCATTTCAATCAACGAGAATCCTTGCACATCTAAAGAACAACATCAATTATCAAAAAAGATTACGTAACGACAGAGTTATAAACTTGCACAACTCAGCGCTAAAATGATATCTAGGCGTCAGATGGAAGCAACGGCAACAGTAATCACAAAAAACCGGCAGTTATTAACAAAATTATGCATTTTACCTCATGCTTAATGGAAAGGACAACTAAAAAAGCTACTAAATCCGTCAACGCTCTCCATCCGACCTACCTTCGGCTTGTCTACTGGCTATAACGTGCTCATTTAGAAATCTTTAGTCTACCTACCATTAGTTGTGAGTTGAGAACCAGCCAATCCGGCAGAATCATGCAGGATTTTGGCAACTTTATCGAGCAAAGTCTCTCCACTGGCTACCAGATCCTGTAGATCGTGATTCCAATCGAGTGTTTTGTCCGAGGGAATCAGTTTGGAGGCTTTGATGATAATACTGGAGGACTCATGGATGGTTTGAGTCAACTGATCCAAGAATTCTGTGAAATCATTCCCTTCGGAATGCTCGGGTAACAGGAACAATTTCAATCGGAGACAATTGAATTCGGCCCAGGCCAATCCAGCAGTGAACTGCCTGAGGTAATCCCTGAGGGCCACACAAGTATCGAATTCGGAGACACTGAGGTTGATGATAAAGGTCTTGTTTAAGGTGTTCACACAGTGTTCCAAAGTGTCACAAGAAGTGTTCTCATCGAACAAATTTTGTTTCATCAGGTCAAAATACTGGTCAATGATCCTCTCTTGACTGGTAATCTCAGATCTCTGAATAGCCAGTCGTTGCAGACTTTCAACTGTGCAGATTTTTGTGACTCTAAACACATGAAAAATACGAATCACACAGCACTCACGACTCGAATCTCCTCATCACTCCAACTACTCGTAATAATTGATAATGGAATCGACGAACATGAGCCCATTGTTCTCCCTTATGGGACAAGGTGATGTGTTCCTGAGTGACATTGGTAACATCGGGGTATCTTTCATGTAATAAAGACACTAATAACTCTGACTTCTCAGCCATCCGAGGGAAGAAAACAGTCAAAAGAATACAATCATGGTCCCCTCCAGCCCTGTTAAAGTTGTCAGGCAAGAATTCTTTGAGATATGAGGTCAATTGCTTGGAATACTTGAGTTCAATTGCATTCAATTCTCCGGAAACAATCTAAAAAAACAAATAAATTAAACTTCTTGGAAACACAAACACTTACTTTTGAGAAATCTCTGGTTGCATTAAACGTTGCAATGGCACCTCCGTCCCCTTCTCTCATATTTAGCTGTTCTTGCAAAACGTTAATCTAAAAAAATTAAATTTTTTCACTCATCCCCACCTGATCTTTGTATCCAACAATATCATCATTCAAATCGGATATTTTTTGTCTGAACTTCTGAATAAAGTTCTCGTATTCATTAATCCTCCCTTCCAATTCTCGGATCTGTCGATCCTTCTCGTTGATAGTAACCATAAAACTGTTACATTCCTGCCTTGCTTGTACCATTTCTTCTTTTGTGGCATTAGCAATATCATCTGATAAGAGATACATTTCGTAGTAATGTTCCTTCTCCACAATCAAGTTCCTAAAACGGGATGATCAAGAATAATATAATCTACCTGACTTGGTCTTCCAGCTCAAGATTGTTCGCGGTCAGATGCTCCACCATTTTTGTGCTTCCCAAGGCCGACTCCACTTGATCTTGGAGATCGGACATGATGGCTCTGACCCCAGAAACTTCGGTTGATTTCTTCTCAAAATCCAATTGCAACATTTCGTATTCTTTTTGACATTCTTCCAGCCTCTGTTGAATCATTTGCTTCTCCATATTGGTAGTATTAACTATATCTCTCATTCTCACAATAACTGCTTGACACTTCTCCAATTGTTGATTTAGACTTCTGACTTGAACGCTGTTTCCCTAAAAGGAGATCAAAACCATTATCGAATACTTACCGCCATATCTCCATCAACAGTAGTCTCATTCTCCATTGACGTCTTGATGAGATCCAATTCCACTTCCAGTTCTTCAATTCGGGTACTTTTCTCATTAACTTCTTGTTGTAACATCTCCACCTTTTCTTCGGCCAATTCTTTGTCCAACGTCATCAACTCTAACTGGTTTTCTAAATCCGAGGGAACAGATCCTTCTATGTTTCTCAACCTCTCTTCAGCATCGGCCAGTTTCTAAAAAAGAATGCACTCTTATATCTACCTTACCGCCTCAGTATCTTCAATCTTTCTTCTGTAGTTTCTCATCTCCTCAGTGGCCGAGCTTTTATATTCCACCAGAGTTTGGAATTGGATCCTCAGATTGTCAAACTCCGTCAACTTGGCCAGATCTTCTTTCCGTTTATTCCTAAACAATTATTCTTGAGAAAAGTGCGACTTACCGAAGATTCTCAAGCTTATCATTCAGGTCTGCTATCTCATCCTTTAAAATTTGAATATTAAAACTTTCTGTTTGATTGGCCGGCTCAATAGTAAAGGAAGTCTCGGTTTTGAAGTTCAGATTAACTGGACTGTCAACCGAATCTATCTTTTTGGCCAATTCTTTAACACTGGGGGTTTCACTTGGGGCTCGTGGAGGTCGAACTTCTTCAACCGGTTGGGTCTTCGGTAATGATTCGGGCTTCTTGATTGACTTTGGTTGAATAAATTCGGGCTGGTTACCATTCTGAAAAGTGAATTTGGAGAGAATGAGAGAGTAACAACAAAAATGAAGCGTTATAACATATTTTTTAACAAAAAAGGTGTTAATCTCCAAAAAAACCGATTATTAATAGCTAAAATACCTGCACCAGACGGACTTTAGAGGTAGATCGTTGGAAACGCTAGGAGGATTTAGATATCAATCTTGAAGCCACTTACATCTATTGAGGAAGCAGCCGAAGATTTACGGGAGATGGATGGGCGGCCGGCTAATTTCTCAACCGACGTGCTTGGACTCAGTTTTGGAGTTTGCTACAAATAATGACATTACAGGGTGTCACAAATAATCAAACATGAACTTACTACTCTTGAAGATCTAGCTGATGGTACTGATGGTTTTTTAAGAGAACTGGCTGTCAATTTTGACGTTTGTCTAGGCATTGGCAGACGTGATCCTCCTCCAGCCGCCTTTTTTACCTAAATCAGCATGACAACAATTTTCAAGCACAATTACGGTCTCTGGCCGCATGAAAACTCCGTATTGAGGATCACACTTGAAGTACTGCACTCCTTGAACAGATCCATCGTTCTTTCCTTTCTTTTCATCTAGTCTGATTCCAACCCAAACACCATCCGAGAATTTGGTAGCCCCGTTAAACTCAACTGTCCCAAGACCTTTCTCTAAACAATAAAATTTAGCGAATTGAAAGCGTTGTATCAGAAGACAAGTTTAAAACCTCAACTTACCTCCACAATCAACCCGGTCTCCCACCTTGATATCAGACATCTCATAGATTTTAATCGACCAGTTCCTCGGTCAAAATATCTTTTGCCTCCCAAATGGTCCCCTTGAATTCAAGGCCTTGAAGCACAAATTATTATTTTTTTTGTTTCGAGTTGCGCCCAACCCTCGGCTTGCGGCGACATTTTATACGATAAACCCTTTGCGCACCGAACATGAACGCGTACCAGTGACATTCAGATAAACATTTTTATTATCGTTATGTACAATATATTATCTTACTCATCAAGTTTAGCCGTTTTTCTTGTAACAAGAATCCACGAAAGAGTTAATGTCCTTGCACGGTGCCTTGACAAACGTCTGGACGAATGCACAGTTGTGTCTGACCCATTTCTGTGGGTTTGTGACTCCAAAGATTTTAGCGTAACTGTTGACTTTGCGACAATTTTCCGCACTCATTTGCAATGACTTCTTCGGCTCTGGCGGAGGAGCACTGCGTGAGCCCTCTGAAGAATAATAGGATGATTATTTACAAATCGCAAAGTGATCATAGTCGTGTTTTATAAGATAGTTTTACCTTTACTCGGTGATGGAATATATCCATGCTTGGAGTCAGCCAGCCCTGCCCCTTCCTTGACTTGACTAGCCTGAAGTAACGTGGACAAGGGCAATGGGTCCTCGGGCTCGAAGGTTTTACTCCCGGCAGTCCCACTTTTGAAAGATCTGAGTTTATTCTTCGCATGAGGGCTCTCGAATTCCCTTGAATCTTCTTCCAAAGACAACGGTGCTGCCGCCGCAATCGGTCGATATTTCTGAAAGTCATGGTGCGTTAAGAAAGGAAAAAGATTCAAACCGAATATCGGTATCTTCTTCGTCCAAATCGTGGCATGTCATAGTCGTCGTAATAGGCTGAAAACTGACGTAAACTTATGTGGCCGTATTTTACCTGGAGGTCGGAGGAACTTTCTCCGTCTAGGAATGAAATCTTCGTCATCGTAATCCTAGAAAGCACAATGAATATGACATAACTCTGAAATATGCAAATTCATACCTCCAAACTATCGTATCTCGGCCTTCGGGGACGATATCTTCTTCTCCTTAATGGGCTGCAAACATTATATCCTCAGGTTTCTTGCACTTACTCCATTATTGGGGTCTCGAGGAAAGAAAACCTGGCGTTATCAATGATCGTCGACGATTTCATGGGCTCAGTGAATTCCATGTCATCAGATGACATGGTGGAAGTTAACGTTCCATTTATTTCTTCGGCGGTCTCTGTATCCAACATGAACATGGGGACCATTACTGCAGTTGTAGTGATGATGGGCATGGATGTAGATGTGGATATATCATCAAACATCTTGGGATCATGGATAAAAGGGCCTTCCTCGTCGCCCTCCGAGCTGATTATTACTTTGTTCTGGATAAGAGATTTTAAGTCATAACTGACGACCAGGAGACGTTATTCATTGGATAGAACTTTTCTCTACTTACATTGTTGAGTTTCTGGATACGTAATTTTGACTCCATTGGAGCCATACTTCTAACCGAATAATTCAACGGTGAGTTTGGAGTTGTAACCGGCAAGAATGGAGAGAAAAGATTAGCAGTTTTCCTGACCTTAGCCCGATTTGAAAGTTTAATCGGATGGGCAGTGGTCAAGCGGTTGATTGGAGGTATCGAAAATCGACCACTTCGAATGTTGGTCTCATAATCTTGCGGATCGGACAAAGGACCAGAGGAGTCTGACGCTATTCTGGAACACAAAGCAACCTGAGTCAAACACAAAAAAATATATACTACAGTAAGCCATTCTCATCGACGGTTCCGATACAAGTCTGATGTACGCAAACTCACTTGAGTTCCTTAAATTTGTCCTTAATCTTTACCAAAAGCCTTTCGTAATCTTCCAACACTTTCGGTGATGCCAACACATTATGTATCAAGAGTCCCAAAATTAACAGATTCACCAACATCTGAAACAAGCCGAAGATGTAAGTGATCCAGAGACAGATTGCGCGTATCAACCGAAATGAAGGAAGGACGAGTATTTACAGTGCCGGAAAAGTGAGTGTACAAACATTTACTTTCCTTCCCATCAAAACAAATAAAAGGGAATCTGAAGATGGCGAACCTGTTGAAGGAGAAGAATCTCTGACCCGAAATTCGGCACTTTCACTCCAAGTAGGGAGGTCTTTGTTTTCCGTAATCTCTGAAATCGTCGGAGTCAATCGTTACAAAATAAGAATCAGAATAAAAATGAGAGTAAGATGGGGATGAATTGGGTGAGTTTAGCCTCGATTCGCTACCTTTGGCGGGCAATTAAAGCGCCGTTCTCAAATTGAGGAATCTGGATGCATAACTTCGGATTGAAAAATCAAACATTATTACTACCATCTACTTCTACTTTGTTTTTGTGAACTGCAAATAGTTCCGTAAATAATTAAAATAAATCCAAAAATTTCTAGTCGGTGTTCATTGGACGGTTCATAAGTCAGTGAAATAACAAGTAATAATCAGCCTTCAGTGAATATGTTTAGATTCTGGCCTGCATGGCTCCGTTTACTCCGATCGTTTCTCCAGTGATGTAACTGGCACTGGCTGAAGCGAGGAAAGAAACGGCTCCAGCGCACTCTTCGGCTTCTCCAAATCGTCCTAAGGGTATCAGCTTCTCTGTATATATGTCAGCGGATTCTCCTCCAGTGATTGCCTTGGAGAAATCTGTTCGAATGATACCTAAAAAATGAGATAAGTTTTTTTGAGAAAATCACAAATGTAATTACCTGGGGCGATGGCATTAACTCGGATATTTCGGTGGGCCAAAGATTGACTTAGAGATTTGTTGAGTCCAATCAGGGCCGACTTCATTACACTGTAAGCACCAATCCCTTCCAGAGGGGAATAACCGGCGACCGAAGAAACAAAAACAATAGAAGCCTCTTCCGACTTCTCCAGATGAGGTACCGACTCTTGAGCCAACAAAAATGCAGACCGTACCTAAAAAACATGCAAAAAAAGTTAAACGCATACATTCACAGATATCAGTTTCTCCCATTGAGCTTGCGAACAACCAGTGATTTCTCCGAAGTGAGGATTAACGGCGGCATTTGATACCAAGATGTCTAGTTTGTTATACCGGTCGATGGTGAAGTCGATGAGCTTCTTTCGGTCAGCATCAATTCCTACATGGGCAACACAACCAGCACACTCAACGCCATCCATCTGGAGTGCTTTTACTGCTTCCTAAGCATAAAGAAAACACATGGCGACCTCTTACCTCCACATTCCGTTGTTTTCTGCTGCTGACTACAACTTTTGCTCCGTCCAGGCCCAATCTGCGGGCTATGGCGAACCCGATGCCCTTCGTTGAGGCGGTGACAATCGCGACACGCTCGGTCAGGAACTTGAAACTCATCCTAAAAAGTTGGGAATTTATTTTGGGCATCAATAATAGAACACGAAAATTTACGGACGAAATAAAAAAAATATATGCTACATCGTTATGTAGGCATTTCTGCACTTGTTAACCACCGAAATGAAATCGTTTCACAATTCGAATGAATCGAAAAGCGAAGTTTCTATCGAGAAAAATATATCAAATCATGATAAAACCAATTTTTTCGCAGATGACAAGACATGTGAATTTCAGCTGATAAACGTCATATCAGAACGTCGGGAAAATAATCTGGATTCGCCGCGCCTAGAAATCTCCCAGCATTATTTGCGACGGCTAGACGCGGATGTTTGCTGCACAACGAGGCGAGACATTTTGCTGCGACAAATCCACATTATTTTCGCGACAGACTCATGCGTCTCTACATCTTTTCCATGCTTACTTCGCGTGAGATATAATTTTTTTTCATCTTTGACTTTATGTAGGTCCAGTAAAATCCTTTTTTTGGACAAAGACCTTTTCGTTGAACGGGACTCAATTTTCTCACCCATAAATGCGCGAACAACCTCTTCTCCTTTATTCTCACCTTTTTTTATTGAAAACCCGGAACTCAGACGGTATGCAAATGAAGAAAAAAGGGACTCTACTACAAGGTGACAACCCACTCAAATATATGCCCGTTCCTTTATATTATACTTGGACAAAGCCTTACGTTTAGAGAACCTAGTCTAGCACTGTTAATAGTAGCCTTCATTTTTGATCTTAACAGATCTTCTATATAAGACATGGGAAGAAAAAGATATCGGACTTATGAACAACGGCTGGCGGCTAATTGGCGAGAACGCAAACGGATGAGTGACATCTACAGGGCATTTGAATTATTGAGGGATAAGATACCGGTGGAAAATAATGTTCGTAAGCTGAGCAGATTAGAACTCCTCAGGTATGTTCGAATCCACATGTAATGGGGATTTTCTCGAATTAAATATATCTATATAAAAGATTTTAGATTTGCTGTCACATACATCAGACAACTAGAGCAGCAACTTCTATAATTTCAATATTATAACGGATATCTATCACTCTTCAAACTTCTAATGCCTTCATAATATTATGGTTTAAAAATTGTCAATAAACACAAAATTTACAAACAAAAATTGCGGGATAAATGAAAAAGTAGATTCGCGACGGATATATCCTTCAGAATCGATTCCATGGGTGATCGCCGCAAGGATTACCCATAAGGAATCAAAAGAAGAATACAAAGAAGGAAATGGCAAAATGCCAAGCCATTGGCATTCATTGTTTTCGTGACGGATACTTTTTTAGGGGATTGTATTATATCTAATTTTCCTTGTCAAGTCCCAGATATCAGAGATACTCAACAAAAAATCGAGAAAGTTACTACACCTCGACATGTATTTGGGATCGTGTAGATAGATCTATGTGATTGCGGACCAAATTAGGCGATAGATTTCTGACAATGGATAATTTATTGGGCGTTATTGCCATAAGTTTTACGACAAAAGAAATTTATGGTCTAAATGGAGTTTCACTCTGTCCAGTTTCCATGATCGGAATCCAATAAATTTCGAATGCGACGAAACGGCGCAGAAGTTATCGGGATTAGTCCAATATATTTCCATCGACTTATAAGTCGATGGAAAAAAAGTCGTTAATTCTTGTGGCGATTCGCAAATTTGAATTTGTTGAAGGGAAACATTATCCGTCCCAGCTTCCCCACAGCCTGAGAATTTTGATTTTCTCGATTTATTTTTTGATGGCTGATATTGCGTCATTGTTTTTTGATGTTATTTCCTGGGGCTGAAACGTTAGAGAACTGGTTGACGGGTCCAGATTCAGGTACACAGTGTAATAAAAGATCGGAATTACCTAAACTGTTTTGTTTTTATTAGTTCTGTTTTAACCATTTTTGAGGCCCAACTGACTTACTATTGCATAAAAACATGCTTGTAATTACAGTTGAATCGCTTGAGTCATACCTACCTACAGAATTCGGTTTTTCACACCGGGAATCGTTCGCGCAGCGTTTTTCGGGTCATTTCCGCGATCTGTGTCGCAAATGAAACCAGTGTTTTTCAGAAGAAGATATCGAAGACGTCGTCGGTTTACGCCATCCGAGTGCTTCGCGGATTTTTTTCATCGTGTTCAATCCGTCGGACCTCAGTCTGGTCACGAGACTTTTCTAACTTTAGTTAGTCTTCTATTTTTATTACCTATAATTAAGTTGTTTGTTTTCCACGTGGCTCTTTTTTTATTAAACATTTCAGATAGATCCCCGGTTAAAACTACTAAAAAGATGCCCAGCCAAGGCGGAGGTGCGTTTTAATTATTTATTGTTTTTGATTTTTTAGGTCTGTCCTTGTATAACAGTTTGAGCCGCTCGAAGGACGTCTTTAAACCCAACGATTCAAATGAGGTCAAATTTTATATCTGTGGCCCCACCGTTTACGATTCTGCTCATATGGGTCATGCCCGAGCATATCTATCTTTTGACATTCTTCGGAGGGTGATGGAGAACTACTTTAATTATAATGTGAATTACGTTATGAACATCACTGACATCGATGACAAGATAATCAAGAGAGCTCGGCAATGTTTTCTATTCGAAAAGTATTTGAAGAAAGACAAGGAAGCGAACGACTTGATCAAGGATGTTACTGAAGCTTTGGTTTTGTTTAATGAGAAAGCGGAGAAAGAGACTGACAAGGATAAGAAGAAGATGCTCACTGAAATGGTAAAACTGATGGTCCAGTTAGTCACCTTTTAGATTACCCGAGTCAATGATACAGTGAAGAAACTTGAGTCGGATGTTGTAAAGGCCAAGGGCGAGTCGAGTAGGGACCAGTTTGATCAGCTTTTGATATCAGCCAAGGATATTCTCTCCGATTGGTTGGATTCCAGATTCGGCTCTACTGTGAATGAACTCTCTGTCTTCTCGAAGTTGGCTCGAACGTAGGTTTTGCTGCAATAACAGTGTTGAACTTTCAGGGGTATATAATATGTTTTATTTTTAGCTTCGAGAAGGAATTTTGGGATGACATGAACAATTTGGGCGTGAAGGAGCCGAGTGCTGTCACCAGGGTCAGCGAATTTATCCCAGAGATCATTGAGTATGTTCAAAAAATTGTCGACAATGGATACGGATATGTGGCTAAGGATGGCTCAGTATGTATTTACTTTTCATTTGATTATTTTTTTAGGTATATTTTGACACCGCCGCCTTTTCGGAAGACCCCAATCATTCTTATGCCAAATTGATGCCCGAGGCATTCGGTGATACCGAAAATCTTCAGAAACATCTCAGGGAAGGAGAAGGGGAACTCAGTCTGGGTGCTGATAAAGTGTCTGTAAGTCTTAGTTGTGATAAATGTAATGAATGAGTAATAAATTTAATTATTCATTCGTTTCCAGGAAAAGAGAAACGCGAGCGACTTCGCTCTATGGAAATCGTCGAAGGAAGGGGAACCATTCTGGTCTTCTCCATGGGGGAATGGAAGACCTGGATGGCACATTGAATGCTCGGCCATGAGTACAGCCATTTGCGGACAAAAATTGGACATTCATGCTGGTGGATTTGATCTCAAGTTTCCCCATCATGATAATGAAATCGCGCAGGTCAGTGGATTTTGATATTATTTGACGCTTAGACATCTCGTCTTCATTTCCATTAGATCACAAAAACACTGTTTGCAAAAAGAAACATTAAAATTTTCGAGAAATAAGAGTGAAGAAATAAGATCGCAACGGTCATTCCGAAGCAAAACGTTAAAAACACATTCCTCACTTTTTTTGAAAAAATAGAATGGAAAAAATGAGGCCGACATGAGAAAAAAGCTCGAGAAAGCAAATTTAGCATCTTTTTCAAAATCTCAAAATCGGTCTTATTTCTTCATTCTTAATTTTCAACAAAATGACATATAAACAGTTTTACCAGGGTTTCCGTTGGGGGCCATTGGCGTCCGTGGGGGCCGGTGGTGCCGTCATCCTAAAATATCATCGATGTTGGGCGTACATGATACGCTGACACTATTATCTTCAACTCAGAAATTTTTACAAGGAAAGTACTTCTATGGGGTATGGAGTTCCAGGTCGGGACATACGGTAGTTGTCAGCGAATTGTCAACGTAACAAAAAAAATTTACATTTCGCTGACAATTACTGTTTATCAAAAAATCGCAAAATTTTTCTGATTCAGAATATGTATAAATTAGCTGTACAATTTTGGTGTGTCAACCAGGTTTTATCAATAAATGCTGTGTGGCAGAGCGCTAGATGGAGAATCCGGTGTGGATCCACCCACGGGTTCTATCCCTTTTGGCGCAGAACTCCGGGCCGGGCTTTTAATGTTTTCCAGGTCCGCCCGGATGGCAGCGATGCTTAATACATGCTAACAAACAATCACTTACAATTTCCTGTAAAATACGTCACGATAACGGATAAGTTGGACATTTTCTTTTTTTTTGCATTTTACCTTGTGCACCAGTATTGCGCGTTAATTAAATCCACCTGAGGCAATTAAACGCAAATAAGTTCCAATAAATCCCCGGCGTATTTTTCGGAAAAATTGTAGGTGATTGTTTTACATTGACCAGCGAAGTGTTTTTTATTTTTTTAGTGTGAGGCCTATTTCAATTGCGATAATTGGGTGAACTACTTCCTACATTGTGGTACTCTACGAATCCAAGGCTCGAAAATGTCCAAATCGCTTAAGAATTTTATTACAATAAAGAAAGCGTTGGAGAGTTACACGGCTAGACAACTTAGGATCTTGTTCTTAATGCACAACTGGACTGATGTGCTCGATTACAGTAATGCTACCATGGAACATGCTCTGCAATTTGAGAAATTGTCCAATGAGTTCTTTTTGAATGTCAAAGATCATTTGAGAAGATGCTGTTATAATTCCGATGATGTAAGTTTCAGTATAACCGTGTTATTTTTTCAGTATTTCTCTAAATTTGAGAAATCCGAACTAGAAACAAAGAAGTTGATTGATGAAGCCAAAGAAGCCATTCATTACGCTCTCTGCGATTCGGTGGATACAAGGACCGTTATCGAAAAAGTTAGGCAAATCATCGGCTATTGTAATCTCTATTTGAAGGAAAAAGTAAGTACTGTTGACAGAGGAAGTACCCCAAGAGCGACGCTTTCATTTAACTTTGCGTAGGCCTCTGAAAATTTTAGCTCACACTTTCCAGGGGTAGCCAAAATTTATGCCAAGTTCAACCAATATGAGCGTCGCACTTGGGGTACTTCCCTTGTGAGTTTTAATTGTATTTAGGAAACAAATCAAGTCGCTCCGCGTGTTAAATTGTTGAGGGACACCGCCGTTTACATCACCTGGTTGCTCAAAGTATTTGGAGTTGCTCCTGAATCCGAACAAATTGGATATGGGTCAGAACAGAAGTATGTTTTTAATGGATTTTCGTTTATGAGCTTTTTTATATGATTATCATTCGCTTGCTTCAGTGGGGATGTCCGAGGTTTCGAAGAACGCTTGATGCCGTATTTGGATGCCTTTGTGGAGTTCAGGGAGAAGGTCCGGGATATCGCAAAGAGGGATAAAATTGTGGATATCTTGAAGGAATGTGATCGTCTCCGGGACGAAACCCTTCCTGAGTTGGGAGTTCGTTTGGAGGACAAAAACAACCGAACTTGTGTGAAATTGGTGGATCGCGTGACACTATTGAGAGAGATTGAACAACTAAAGGCAATGCAGAAGGCAAAAGAAGAAGAGAAAGAAAGGAAACGACTTGAGAAGGAGGCCAAGGAAAAGGCCAAAGCCGAAGCTGCGAAGATTCATCCCAAAGACCTGTTCAAACAAGGAGAATATGCTGGAAAATTCAAAGAATTCAACGAGATTGGCCTGCCCATCATTGACGCTGAAGGCAACGAAGTGTCTAAGAAACAACTCAAGAAGTTACAGAAATTTTACGATGATCACAAGAAAGTATACGAAGCAGCAACAAGACAAACGGTCTAGAAAGTTGGTTACTGTATTATCTCCACAACGGGTTCGTGTCGCCATTTGGCCTGGTTCTTGTTCACCCGCCCTTTTTTCTTTTTATCGTTGTTATTTATTATTAGCTAAAAATTTTTCTGTGTTTGCTTTAACTTTTATTATGTCCCATGAAAACGGTAAATGCCTCAGATTCAACTTTCGTTTCTTTCCCGAGTTTTCCTTATAAGAGAGTAAGTTTTGAGATCAGGGTTCGAAAAAGTTACTTTCATTGTGATTCAAGTCTCTTGCTGACTAGCGAGTTAATTATGTACAGTGTAAAGAGTAAAATGGGAATAGAAGTGTGTCCTCATCGCATCTCATCCTTCCGAGTGATGACTCATTCCAGAGTACGAATGCGGTCCATTGCCAGGGAACTGAGAGTCGATGAAAGAGAGATCGATCTGCTGGAGGGGCTGAGATGGCAGTTGAGGTCTGAATCCGGCACCCAGAAGACTGTCGACATTCGTATTGTCCAGTTGGCTGGTCGAGAACATGGTCACAATGTCATCACTCCTGGAAGAAAGTCAAATGTTGGACAAATAGATGTTTATTAGATGTAAAACAATATAATAAATTAATTTTTGCTGGGAGGGTAGGGATGAGATCCAGCACTTACATGTCCATTGAATTCGAGGACTGGAAATCTCCGGGAGACCAGTCGATCTTGCTGTTGTTAGACATGGGCGATGGGCTCTCTCCGCCAATGTTCATTTTTCTGCGCATTTACTCGTTATTATTGGATGGAGAGTGAACTTACCCTGTCTTTGCTACCATCACAATCTGGGACTGGATATATCCTGTGGGAGACTCGGACTTAGGCCGCTCTTCTCCCTCAAATACTCTGAGCATATTCTCTTTGTCGTGGTCTGGGTACAGATACCTAAAGATCAATTTTTATCAAGATACACCCATTCATTACTACCTAATGTTCTGTAATTGAGGACATGAGGCGATTCGCTGAGCCAGACTTAGCTGATCCAGGTCCTTTATGGTGAATGGGGCCAAATGGAACGGGACTTTCTGTCCATCTTCTTCGCAAACAAATCCAATGCTCACAGCTCCAGTCTGAGTGTCGGAGAAACGGAGGAGGAAAGTGGGCATTGGGGACATACACATTCTACTGGATGCATCATTCTTGGAGATGAATCCGATCAGCCATCCCTCGTCCCAAAACTTCAACAGTTTTTGTTTAATCAACTGCATAATCAAGAAGAACCATTCCCAGAACGAGAAGTTTACATCTTCTCTGAGGTTTTGCTGCAAATTAAAGTATCCCTTTAAAGTCATAAACATACTTTGGCAAATCTGTGGAATGTGATTGGCTTGGGTTCTGGGCCGGGCTGCATAATCAGTTTCTCAGCCAAATAATTCAAATCTGATTCATTGAGAGGTCTTCTTGTGCCGGTAAATAAATTAAACTTGTGTCTTAAGACTTGGCTCAGATCTTTCCATGTAACAGCAGCTACATCTTCATTGACTGAGGTCCGAGTCTGCATGAAAAAATTAATTTTTCCGCTTTTGTTATTCAGTAAATACATCAAGAAACTTACAACAGAAGAAAAAGCCCTTTGCCACAGAATAACTCCTTGAGCATCGCAGTCCTGAGATCCATGAACGGTGACCATCAAAGGCAAGGAGAGAGTCCAAACATCAAATTTTCCCAGGTTGCCCAATTGGAATGGAGTGATATGGAAAAGAAGGGCGTACTTCTGATCGGTCGCTGTTTGTACATTGAAGCTCTTGCAATCGCCCTGAATCCCTTTTGGTGGGGGCTTGCGATGAGCAATTCTGGTCAATTTCTACAAACGAATTGATAGCAGTGGCCTTGTTCTTACCGAATTGTTGAATTTAGCTGACATATGCCCCTTCTCGTCAAAAGTCAACTTTTCAAAGTCGTTGCTAATGGAACCAACGGTTTTTCTGTAAGAACTTGGACAATTCACAATGAAAAGATGACTTACATGTCCTTCTCCGCCAGCTGACTAACACTGAGGAGCCTGGCTTCTTCTTCTGCGACTATCTTAACAGTGACATTGGCATTGACAAGATGTTGTTTGATTCCCAATTTGTCCCCAATGAGAAGTCTGACTTCAGCCACAAACTTGTGCTGAGTTTTGAGGACAGGGTCTGGTTGAACGGCGACCACGAAGGATTGAGAGACCAACATACACAAGAGTTTTGTGAGGGTCTCATGGATGTGAGATAAGTGACTGATATGGGTTTGGGCCGTGTTATCCGACAATTGCGGGCTCCGACGGAGAAGATCTAACTGCCAGCAAGCAAATGTGCGAAGTTGCCAATTGTTTTCACATAACATCTCAAAACTGAAAACGGGTAATCAAAAAATATAGATAAAGGATTAACGAAGCCAAAAAGGACAAGCGTTAACGAAAACTAAACTGTTAATAAACCAAATAAAAACAAACGTACTCAGGAAATTCAAGTCACTTCACAACATAAACAAACTTCAAAAGTAAGAATAAAGTCCCCTACTCCATCTGAATCTCGTCCAATTGGAGATCCCGATTCTCAAATGGGACTCCAATCTGAGATAACTTCTGGCGATTTTTCCATTCCAATAATCTTTCATTTATTAGAGTACTCTGCAACCTGGCGATCTGCTGGATCCCTTCGTTTAGTCGTTGAGTCTTTAATTAATCATATTATTAACATCAAGTACAGTACACCTCTCGCGTTCAAAAGTTCGGACAGTTCCCGCACGGTGCGAAAGTACGGGTTTTAATTTATCGCCGCGTCCAAATTGGGGTTTGTCGAACAGGCACGTCGGTCGTGCAAACACAGAGAATTGCGGTGACAAAATGCGAAAAATCAGAAAGATGCACAGTGCGGGAATTGGCCGCTGTTGAGCGCGAGTAGTAATAAACACAATTGCTATCACTTACCAAATAGTTGCGTCTCTCAGTTAATTGCTCATACAATTGTGAAGTCCGTGACTGCATTTCTTGCATTGAATTCTGAGCATTCCTCAACTGGTCGATTCTCTGACTTTGCTCCAGTTGGCTGATGGCCAGCTGAAAGCGCTGCAACTCGCTTAGGTCGTTGACGAATCTCCCTTGCATGTCTTTGTTCTCCTCCCAAATGTGTTGGCATTCTTTGGTCAAGCCATGAAGGCTCATCTTCATCTCTTGATAGTTCATTTCTACCCTAAATCAAAATAAATATTCAACAAAGGAAGCCGAATAATCAAATCTCGAAGAAAAAGAAGCAATAAGTATCAAATTGGGGCGAAACCAATGCTTAAATACCCCGACTACCGTTATTTAGTTTATTACCAATAACAACAAACAACGTAACAAAAGGGAGAAACACTTTAACAAGTCACTTTTTCGATGACAAGACCGTCGTCCATCCGTCCTCTTCTATTTGGGTTCTCGGTTTTCTAGTTTTCGCAGGTTCTTCGGTCTAAAAAAGATATTTAAACGATCGTAATGGGTGTTATAGGATTTAAACTTCACTATTCATCGAATTTGGGGAATATAAATTCAGCGAATATGCATATCAATGAAAAAAACATCCCGCACTTACTTCCATCTCTTCCCCGTCATCGGAATTCTCTGCTTGCTCATCCTCTTCGTCGGCTACTGTCCTGGATTGCTCTTTGGCCTGATTAACTGTTGATTCATCGGGTAATCGGTTTACCAAACTCTGTGCCTCTTCCAACTTTCCTTTAAGAATAAGATGCGTAGCTTGAGCAAGAATATCACTCATCTCAGAGACACTTCCGTCTTCCAGAACAAGGTTGAAGGTATCGTTGAAGGCATCGTCCAGCCAGTCTTCTATCACATACTTATCCAGATCTTTGGTCTCCAACAACAACAAAGCCAGTTCGTCATGAAGCCTGAAAGTGTAAAAAAGTGCTAGAAGATGTATATATAATACCGCCAGTCCGGAACAGATTACCACTTCTTTGATGTCAATGAATGCCTACTTAATAAGGATTTTACTGGGAAAAAACTTTGCAAAAGGCCGGGGAACGAGAGGAACAAGTGACGGTGCAAAAAACGAGGAAACTCGACGGCCCCCACGGCCAAATTCAGTTCTAATGGCGTTTTTGGTTCATTTACGGGCGGCCAAAGTGAATATAATTTTAGGAATACAAACTAGCCCTCGAAGGAGAGAGACTTATAGCCCATGTAATTAATTTAGTCAGCCAAAAACTTACAATTCTCATGAGCGCCAAAGCATTAAAGTGCGGGTTTCCGTCAACTGAAATCCGCGGGCCCCGGGGCCAAAGTCGCGCGAGCAGAACCCCAAAAAAAAGGCTGTTTTGAATACTTACCCATTCACACTTACTTTACTACAAACCATGTTTGCAATACAACGCCAGACTATAAGAACTTCGAGAAAAGAGCGCGGGAACTTTTCAGACCCCTAATTATTTAATAGGAAAACGGTTTTTTAGAACGGATTAAACCCTGTTCGGGGCCCGTGGCTACATGAGATGTGGAACATCCAAACGACAATACCATATAAAATTTCAAAGCTTATCGAAACAAACCACTTACAACAAGTTTAAGGCCTTGGTTTCGCCACCAGCTGACTGATTAGCCAAAGCCAGCTGATAACCCGTCCAGGAGGCCAACACACGTTTCACCAGCGCCTCCACATAGGGCTTTGCTTGGTCTCGACTCATTTTTGAACAAACGGAGAAAAGGGGAGTTCTCTCGCTGAAACAACAAATTGTTACGTAGAGAAGAAAAGATACATTCGAGCGCGCTTATGCTGTTCATATCACGTTGGGAAGGGACTTTATGTAAAATGAGGAAGAGAGCCTTTGTCCGCCGCGTAAAGAAGTGGGGATTCTCGACGAATAACTAAAATTACATGGTAAATGAAGAACTTGACGGAATCAATCGAAAAAAAGACAATTGATAAAAGTGACGACAACACTTGACCCGAGTCAACTTTATCCATACCTAACCACCTCGCAAAGTAGTTTCAAATATTAAAAACATGGTTTGAAAAACATGTGATCTTAAAATAAACGTGTTTTAAGAAACATAAAATTCCTTCCAAATTATGGATGAATTAACTAATTTATTGGTTCAATCGAGACTACAAAAACCATGCTTATCCTGGAACAAAACGAATTCCATGCGAAATATGGCAGTAAAGTTCTAAAAAACGAAAAACAATGAATTATTCAGGGGTGGTCGGCGGGCCGGGCCGGCCCGGCCCGGGCCGGCCCGGCCCAAACGGGCCGGCCGGCCTCAAAAATGGAAATTGACAAACGGGCCGGGCCCGTCACGGGCCGGGCCGGGCCGGGCCGCGGGCCTGGGGTTTTTTCCGGCCCGGCCCGGCCCGTCTAAAATACAATGCCAAACCGTTGGCATTCATTGTTTTCGCGCCGGGAAAATTAATTGATGTTGTTATAGTTGCTGTTTCTCAAGTTCTAACACGTTTACAAGTCTATAGTTCCATTATAGAACCACAAAACTATCACATTGATCCTTTACTAGCTAGATCAACGCCTTTTTAGCCTCAGTTTAGATCCCGAGCCTGGGCGCAGTTCGCAGAACCCTCTATAGACGGGCCTGCACGGGCCGGGCCGGGCCGGGCCAGGCCCGTCACGGGCCGGGCCGGGCCGGGCCTGGAAAAAGACTAGACGGGCCGGGCCGGGCCGGTGATTAGACGGGCCGGGCCGCGGGCCGAAAATCGGAAAAATAGGGTCTGCTGACCACCCCTGATTATTACCCAATGAAAAAACTTGACTCGCCGCGTCAACTCTTTTCATGTAAATAAAATTTGCGCTCATTTTTTGGAGTTTGAAAAGATCGCTCAAGTTTAGCCAACTTCGGGCTTCAGAGTAGGTAAAACTATCTGTACACGGTTTCAGATGTCTAACTACATCGCTTCGGCACAGAAGCCGACGGTGGTAAATGGTGCGGAAGTGGGGAGATTCAGAAATGAAAAGGAATTGGATCTGATCATTGCAAGAATCAATCGAATCGAACTGTTGCTTGTTACAGAAGAAGGGTTGAAACCTCACAGGGAGATTCCTATTTTTGGTAGAATCGTTATTATTAGATCATTTAAACCACTGGGAGAAGTATGTTTGGGTTTCTTCATTAATTCAGTTTTAGAACAAAGATTTACTTCTAATCGTCACCAGTAAGTACCAAGTTTCAATTTTGGCGTTTGATGCCAATGGAGAAGTTATAACTAGAGCTTCCGGAAATGTTGCCGACCGCGTATTCCGTCCAGCCGAAACGGGAATTTTGATAAGCATTCATAAGAGCGGGGCAAGTATATTATAATAGTCGTATTAACCCATTTTTTAGTTGATTGCTCTGAGATGTTACGAAGGAAGTCTGAAGATAATTAAATGGAACAACAGCGGAAATTTGGTATCCTTCAATCTTCGGCTGACCGATGTTCAAGTGACAGATTTCGGTTTCCTGGATACTCCTGGGAGTAAGTCAATGTTTTGTCTTATTTATTTTTTAGAGGTTCCATCACTTGGATACATCTACCAGGACGCTAGTGGGCGTCATCTGAAGGTGTGCAGGCTAAATTTGGAGGAGAAAGAGCTGAGTTTGGATTGGACCCAAGAGAACATTGAGTCCGAAGCATCTCTTCTAATCCCCGTTCCTCATTATGGAGGTGTTATTGTAGTTGGGCAGGAATCCATTTCGTACCATAAAGCTGCCGGTGTCTACACAGCCGTGTCCCCATTTTTATTACATATGGCGGAGATCTGTTGTTATTGTTTGGTAGATAAGAATGGAGAGAGATTGCTACTGGGTGATATCCACGGCCGGTTGTTCTTGTTGGTTCTGCATACGAGAGAACAGGATAATGGAATCGCTGAGGTTTCGGATATCAAGGTAAGTGTTTTGCAATTTTTTTTGTACATTTTAGGTACAATTACTTGGAGAGATCTCGATCCCTGAATGTGTCGTATATCTGGACAACTCTGTTATCTTTGTTGGATCAAGAATGGGTGATAGTCAGCTCATTAAGATCTTGCCAGAAGCTTTGGACAATCAGCCGACTTCTTTTATCGAAGTTTTGGATTCTTTCCCAAATCTTGGTCCAATAAGAGATCTGATTGTGATCAACAGTGATGGGCAAAAGCAAGTAGTGACCTGTTCTGGTGGATTCAAAGAGGGATCTCTAAGGATTGTCAGAAGTGGTATAGGGATCGATGAACAAGCCACAGTTGATCTGCCTCGCATCACCAATCTTTTTACTCTCAGATTCAACTCCAATTTCGATAATTATTTGGTCGTTTCTTTTTCGGATGTCACCCATTTATTTAAAATTGACGGAGAAGACCTCGAGGATACTAAGATTGAAGGTAAGATTTGTTAATGCAATACCATCTCGATTTAGGATTTGAATTGAATAAGTCGACCATATTTGCGGGTGTTTTATTTGATGGGAGCATTATCCAGATATTCGAAGACACACTGAACTTGATTGGAAGAGATGGCAGCTGTCTCTGTAAAGAGCCTTTCGAAGATCTTACACTTTGTGATGTAAATTTACGCTCGGGTCAAGTGTTGGTTTCAAGCAGAAATACTTTGTTCTATTACAAAGTAGAGAACAATAAGTTTTCCAAGGTGTCCAGTGTTGACTGTGAACGTCAGATATCCTGTTTGGCTTTGTCTAGCATCGGTGAGTTTAATTTCATGATAGGAAATTAAGCATTTTCTTAGAAGAAGACGCCCCCAGTAATGTTTGTGTGGTTGGATTCTGGGTCGGAAACCTGGTTTCTATGTTCACAATGGACAATGACACCTTAACTAAAGTTCGCGACTGCAATCTTCCTGGAAAAGTACTCCCTCGTTCCATTCTGTTGACCAAAATGGACAATGTGATCTATCTTTTGGTGGCTCTTGGAGATGGAACTTTGTTTTATTATAGCGTGGATCCTGTGACTGGTGAAACGGCCGATGTAAAGAAGGCTACATTGGGAACACAACCATCTAGACTCAGGAAATTCCTTGCTCGGAATGTTGTGAATGTGTTCGCTTGCTCTGACCGACCAGCTGTTATTTACAGCTCCAATCAGAAGCTGATCTTTAGCAATGTTAACTTGAAGATGGTCACTCAGATGTGCCCGTTGAATGCAGAGGCTTATCCCAACAGTCTGGTTCTCTCTGATGGGGAAAGAATGTTTATTGGTGAGTTTAGGATTACTTCTGGCATTCGTTATTAGGTGTCATTGATGATATTCAGAAGTTGCACATTCGCTCTGTGCCCTTGGGCGAGAGTGTGAGTAGAATTGCCTATCAATCAGAAACAAATTCTATTGCTATTCTAACCCAAAGAACGGAGGTAGGAATTCTTATGAAGACATCAGTTTGGTATCTTAGAGAATCCTCCCCAATGGAGATCGCCAAGTCAGAAACTCGGCTCCTATGATGTGTGCCAATAGAACAACCCAAGCTCCGATGACTGGTTCCATTGTGACATCATCGAACGAGGAAGAAATGGATGCCGTGCAAATCCATTCCCTCTGTCTTCTCGACGTTAATACCTTCGAGATCCTTCATGTAATTGAGATGCCCAGTTGTGAATTCCTGGTATCGGTTGCTTCGGTTAAGCTGGGAAATTGCGAAAAACCTTTCTTTGTTGTTGGAACTGCCATCTTCTCTCCTTCGGAGCCCGAATGTAAACAAGTGAGTATTGTTTAATATCACTTTTATTTTGATTTTAGGGACGGATTCTGGTCTATGCCATTGATGAGCAAAAGTTACGCTTAGTGAATGATAAAGAAGTAAAGGGCGCTGTCTTCTCCATCTCCACCCTCAATAATAAGCTGATCTGCTCCATTAACAGTTCGGTCCGTCTGTTTGAATGGACTCCTGAAAATGAATTGAGATTGGAGTGCTCTTCTTTCAACTTCATCACAGCTCTCTACTTGAAGACAAAGGGCGATTTGGTTCTTGTTGGGGACATTATGAGATCGATGACCTTACTCACTTACAAATCTCTTGACTCACAATTGGAAGAAGTCGCCAGGGATTACAATGCAGAATGGACAACCGCGGTTGAGATCATTGACTCCGACACAATGATTGCTGCCGAGAATGCTTATAATCTTTATGTTGTTCATAAAGAGGTCCATCCAGAGTCTGATGACGAGAGAACGAAATTTCAACAAACTGGCTACTGGTATCTGGGAGAGAATGTAAACGTGTTCAGAAGAGGATCTCTGCTCACTTCCAACATGGATCCGAGTACTTCCTATTCGAATCCGGTCCTGTTTGGAACAGCTGATGGGAGTCTTGGAGTAATTGTCCAACTGAAAGAAGACGTATTCCAATATGTACAGGCCCTCCAGAAGGCCATCACGAACAATGTCACTAACTGTACTCGAATTGCTTACGACAATTTCAGGAATTTTAATAACGAGAAGAAGGTTGAGAAGCACTGCGGATTTGTAGATGGAGATCTGATCGAAGGATTGGCGGATATGCATAGAGAGAAGTTAAATACTGTCGCCAAAGACATGGTCGAAATTTATAAACGTGAGTTCACGGTCTAATTTACCCTTCTTTTAGATGAAACAACGGCTGATGACATCCTCCGGTTAGTCGAAGATCTGTCCCGATTGCATTAGACCCTCAAATCGTATTATAAATCTTACAGTCTTGTTAAGTTTGATGTTATAAATCCCTATTTCTTACAAGGAACGTATTTTTACGGGGTACAGTTTATAGATGGAGACATACTATAATATATTTCAAAAAATCGCAATTTTTTTCTGCTTCAGAATATGTAAAAATTAGCTGCCCAATTTTGGTTTGTAACCTCATAGGAGTAAATACTTTCCTTATTAAATAATAAATTTATTTTTTGTACAAACCAAAAATTTGACAACAGGACTGGGATTGTAGCTTTTCATTGAGGAATTTTAGTGTGATATGAGCGGCGACTATTTCTTTTTAGGGGCACTCAACGGTTGTCCCATATCCTTTCCTCTCAGTCTAACTCCCAATGCCCGTTCCAACTTGGTCAAGACTTGTTGGTTTGGAATGGCTTTACCGTTCTCATACTCTCTGACGACTTCCACTTTTTCATTGATGCGCTGAAACGGAAATAAGCGATAAGAAGTTCTGAGTCAATAACGAAAAACAATCAAAATGACGAAATGCACCCAGTGCCGCAAAATATCCTTTCAAGCTGCATACATACAGTGCTCAGATCTTTCTGCGTCCATTCCTTGGCTTGTCTTGCTTGTTGTAAGGCCTTACACAAATCAAGAGCAACCTTTTCATGTTTTAGCTCTTCGGTTTCTTCGTCTAATTTTAAGGTGTTCTTGTCCGTTTTATGCTGACGATTAGACCCGGCAAAGTGCTTCTTATTGGTTTCCAGTTCAAGACCTCTACGTTGAGCAGCGTTCAATTCCTAAACAAAAATTGAAATATACCCAAAATGAAATACTACTTACAGAAGGAGTTTTCAATGACTTTGTAGTTGGACCTCGCTTGGTGAGAATGGTGACCGTATTCGGGTCGGTGTCAGATTCCATACGTCCCATCTTCGACATCTTGACTTTCTTGTAAACAACAAACAAACTTCTTTCTTCCGCGAAACGAAAAATTAATTGTTGAAAGTTGGTGAAATATTTTTTGCGAAGAAAATTCGCGAAGTGGCATAATGTTTTTTCGTGTTGGGACGCAATCATTAAGAAGGATTCCACAAATTCAAAACGGGATCCTTGCATATTCCGTGAATTATGTAGAAACACCGCAAGAATTTCAACGTTCAAACTAATTAGGAGAGAAGAGAATTAACACCCGAGAGCATCCTGACATAATTAAGGCCGACATTTCTGCGCCGTAAGCCTTCAGGGGTTGATTAAAAGTTGGCCCGGATGAGAAAGTCAGTTAATGAATGTGTTCAAAACAGTTTCATTTTACTTCAATTCTTTTTTTGATACTATATTGGGATGATTCTACATGCGCGAATTCTTTGAGTCACTTAGGTTAATATAACAATATATTGTACTTATATCCTTGTATTATACTTGACTTCTGGCACTTGGTGGAGGCACGCAAAAACGAAGGAGAAAGCGAAGAAATCCTGGGAATGGGACGCATGCATGCTAGAACCAATGAATGTCGCAAAGTCAAGTAATTGCCTGTAAACGGGGAGATCTTTGAGCGTTAACACGGCGAATATCCCGGGTAATCTGGTTAACAACCTCACTTTGTTTTGTTAATGTCATTTTGAGTAGTATCCAGAAAGTCGTTTCTGTCGTTTCTTTATGCCCCAACCTGATTGTATTAGGCATTCCGTAATTGGGGTCCCTTTTGTCATACCAAAGGCACTCCTGGCGACTTGTATACCACCGTTAAGGACGGTCAATTGTTGTGTAATTGGTGTCTGAATGCATGAAATATTAATATGGGCCCTTATAAGGTCACTCTTTTGTAAAGGGGTTGATTTGAATACGGTAATGGGGTTTTTATTTCTCAGATTTCCTAATTGGATGCACCGATGAAGTCTCGGTCGTTTTATTTTGCTCATTTAAGACGCCCTAAGGCACTTTTTCTCCGACTTTCTTTTTGTTGTTGTCTTCAAGCAGCCCACGACATAAACACCCGACATTTACATCGCGATAACTGCATTTCCTGTTTCCCAGAAAGGTTGAAAAATGATGACTTGTATACGAAGACAAAGCGAATAATAAAAACAGTTTGTTTATGCAGTACCCTGTTTACAATACTATTAAGAAACGTATGATTATTACAACTAATATTGTCTAGAGGGCTTTCCTAGTGTCCGAGAAGCAGTTATTAGTATTGCTTGGCAGGCAGTAGTACTCTTTACCAAAACGATATCCGATATTAAACGAGCGATTCTTTATGACCCTGACTGGCCCTATATAATACTTTGCGCCTGTTTCTTTGTTGCATTTTTGATAAATGTTCTGGGAATTTAATTGTAATCCCGAAGTCACAAAGTAAACTAGTTTCTTTAATAATGCAGCCAGAGCTGGCGGCTCTCTGATCCACAATATTCTTGTGTAATTTGCAAGTTTTTCCTCTCTCACATTTTGATGTGTTTTGTTTGAGGTAGGGACTATGTAATCAGCGATTTGAATTCGATAAAGCCTTATTCGTTACTTTTTAAGCCGCTTTGGCTACCTGAATATTGTAAGAAACCAGAAATTTCATAACATTTGGTCCTGTGGCCATCGCTTACATGTTAGTACGGGCAGTCTTCCACGGTCCATAGCGTTTATTCCAAAAATAATGTTCGAATTGACTAAGGTTCGTTTTAAAAAGTCGCGAATATTTTAGGAGGCAGATGTAATTTGAAGCCTTACAATCACAATCTTTTTTCGCTGGTTGTGACAGTAAATCGGAATTATTTTTACTTTCGCGCATTTTTTTCCATTACATAGTATAATTATTAGAAGTGAGCCCTTGTTATACCACTTGCAATGTAATTGTGCTGCCCTTTGCATACATTAATGGTTGTATTGATTTAGTGTTTAATTGTGATAACCTCTACTTCCATTATCTCTTATTTTAATTGCGATATGATTGCATTAAAAATAGAAGTAAAGTGGAATAATCTCGAGAATATTGATGGAATTAGAAGGCCAGAATTCGATTAAAGCTAAATTTCAGTGAGTCCTGAAAGCGAGAGGAGGTGTAAAGAGAGGAAAGGAGAGGGAGGAGCGATGTTCTGAGATGTTCCGCACCCTGATGACAACTCCCGAAGTTCTTAGGTAGGTCCAAATATCAGTTTTTGTCAAGTGTAATGCCCATCTCTTCAGTTATCTGTTAGCATTATGTTCCCAGACACTGTTGTGTGTGTTGGGAACGGTGCTGAACATCGTATGTCTGTTCGCCTTTATGACCGCCTTCACTCACGCGTACTATCGGAAGACATCTCTTTTGATATATCTGGTAGCTCTCAGCATCTGCAATACCTTGCAGTTGACGCTTTCCGTATTTGTCATCATACTGCCGGCCACAGAACAGGTAATTAATTATAAACTTTATAGTTATAACCACCACTTTTGTGACGGTTAAAAAATCAATGGCGATTGATTTCAGTTTATGGATGACCAACAATATCCTTATGAATACGAACTGCTAAGATCGTTCAATAACAGAACCCTTTCTATTACATATCCCTTGCTAATGTCTGCAAATTATGCTTCGATTTGGATATTGACGTTGATCTGTGCCCAAAGATACCAATCGATTTGTCATCCCAGTTCCCCATGGAAGCGAAGACTGAGTATCTTTAGGAACAGTAATCTTTGTGTGGGTGTGGCTGTGATTCTCTCGTTAGGTAAGTAGCGTATCTGCCCAATGGCGACCTTAGACTCGTTGTTTAGTATGCAACCTGCCTCGTTATTGGGAATTACACGGAATCCGTGACTATCTTCTATACAAGATCATCCAGGAGGGAATCATCTACGGTTTTGTTGTATACGGCGCCCCCATGACTTTGCTCATTTGGCTCAACTACAACACCATAAGGATTGTCAGACATCATGATGTACGTATAACTCCGATGACTCGTGCTTTAACATATCTTTTCAGGATATTCCCCTTCGCCCATCAGCTGAACACCGGACCGCATTGATGACCAGTTCCGTGTTTATTTTGTTCTTTCTGTGTACAACTTTGTCTGCTTCCCTCAGACTGATAATGTGAGAGACGCCCCCAGGGCATGCCATTTTATTATGACGTTGTTTTAATTAAATTACTCTTGTCTGTTTCAGAATTGTCACGGAACATTCGCTGAAGCATCTGGACGATATTTGGTTGGTGGATTTGAGCAATCTGCTGATGAATGCGAATGCCATCACCATGCCCGTGGTCTGTTTCATCTTCACTCGGGGCTTCAGGGATCTCTTCTTTGTGATCAGATATCCGGCCACAGGAGCGTCGTGTCCTCGTCGCTTCTTGTCATCCAGTCTTCGGAAGAAATCGAGTCAATTCTTGCAGCCACTGACTTAATAATATTCGAATATTACTCAGATGCCAACGTCACTGCATTTGCAAGTAACAAGGACAATGTAATCATGAATCATATCAGGCGATGCCTACTCTCGGAATCTTGTAATTATTGAATAAACTGAAGGAATGCGAGCGAATGGGCATTTAAATGCATTTATCACACATCAGGGGACACTAATTAATTTGCGCACCGCACTTTTTACTTCAGGTCTGACCTTGCCGCCGATCGTACAGATGGGCCCTCGAAAAGCGCCAGATAACGACGCTTTATGCACAAAAAAACGACGGTATTCGAACCTGCGAAAAAACGTGTGCCATTCGCGGCCAGGGAATAGCTTGGCCCAGATGGGTCGGCGACGGATCCGGGACATTACAAAAGAGGGGTCCCGGAACAATATTTTTTGCAACATTCGAGCGGGGATTGGGTTGGGGCGACTGATAGGAGGCGATCGCGACGCTTTTTATCAAACATTTCGTCTCTTTGGGCAATACGTAGGCCGCTGTTGTAACCAGCCGGTTTCCAACATTCCCAATTAATTCCCTTTAGGGTCAAGGGGAGGCTATTCCCGAGAGGCGGCTAAATCGTCCGTCAAAAATGCGGCAAATAGTTCACTGTACACCTATGCCTTCCACCTTGACCATCCTTCCCCCCGTTAATTAACAACCTTGATCTCCGGGGTAATAAAACTTTTCCACACTTTTGGTTGGGTGTAACCTTAATATCCGCCGCCGTTGAGAGAACGGGTTTGTCTTCTCTCTTGGCCTTTCGCCTTTATCTCTATGGCCCTGGCCTTCTCCCAATCGGCCTCGATCTGGCCCATTCAATCGGCCATAAATTATGTGACTTTGCGGATGAGAAGGGAACGTTCTCTTCACTTTTAGGGACCGTTTTCTTTATGATTCATTAACTTTGGCATGGTCATTTCACTTTTCTATTGAGTTTTTTTTTTTGTAATTTATAATAAATCATACTGTAATTTTACCCAGGAAGGTTTGAATAATATTTAATCATTATAAATTACTCTTCCTTATCGTTTCCCAGGTTTTAATCTTTGTTGTCTGGTCAGTAAATCTCGATTTTTTGGTTTGTCTAAGTACTGTATTTTCTGAGAACCACCACAGAAAAAATCTTTTTACAATTTTTTACCTGCGCAGTTCTACTAATTAATCATCATTGAAAAGTGCAAAGACCGTTATGCAGAACGTTCCGTAAACCGTTTTTGTTTATAGATAAAATAGTCAAAGCCGATCTTACAAAAAAATCTTATCAAAAATGAGGGAGATACGCAACAAACGGTTGCCTGTAATGTATCATCCAGTTTCGCGCCAAGATAAGTAACTTGAGTTAAGTGGACAGACGGAATGAAAGGGAGAGAAAGCGGGTTACCTGTTTCGACGCCGCCCGCCCCTCGTTGGGACCTTCGCGGTCCGCTTTCTGACCTATCGCTGGTGGTGTTACCCTATCTTCATATCGGCACTGCCACAGTTTTTGTTCGCTTTCAGCGCGTCCATTCATTACGAAAACATTCTGCGAACTTTTTCTGGGCTACTTTTATGGCCCCGGACAGAAGGTGACATTTGGGGCGGGAAAAAAGACATCTGGAAGGGAAGGGATGACTCATTTCAAGACCATACTTGTCGGCCTTTCTTTTCATCAATGCGCGAAAGTACCGTATAAGACTGTAAAAGATACCAAGACATTTAAATAGGGTAATTTTTGATCATGACTATTTCGCTTGTATTTACTATACTTCTAAACTCTAAACCCAAATACTTCTTATCGCCGCATTTTCCGTTCTTATCGGCCATTCTTATCGTTCATCAGTAAGAGTTTTTTTTGCAAAATTCATGTATGTTGTTTATTTTGGAGGCGTTACCTTTAAAGTAATATAAGATAATTACATTCCTCGGCCTACAAACGAGTCATCGCGCTCCTACCCGGGTAACCCGTACTTAATAATCTCTCTATAAGAAATGCCCCAACCTTTTTAAAATTCCATTTTTGTGGGCCAAAATGAATCAGGCCCGGTATTGTACGGCAAGCAAAACAAACGGGTCTATTCTTGCCCATCGCTTTCTCGCGGGATCTTCTGTTTGTCCTTTGAGGGCACACCTTCAAAGTCCACACTGATTACCCACGCTTTCCTTTCTCTGACCTTTCTTTTTCTGATTTGGACCATATTTTAGTCCCGGCTTCAGCCAAACTTGGATCTGTAATCGACGAGCGATCAAGCCCTAAGGCCATAAGGCCCCTTTCTCTGCAGAATGGCGGGAGAAACGCCGCCTTTAATAACTTTCTGTAAATTGTAAGTAAAACAAGTTTCAAAGTATAAGGGCGCACTTTTTTCTGGCATTCTGTTGCAAGGAAAGAGTAGTAGCCGTTCATTTGGCAAACTGCGCCCTTTACTTTAATACAATTCTGACAGTTCATTGCTTTCAGTTTTATACTTTCATTATGCCTGTATTCCATTCGCTCGGCGGAATTAGCAGAAGAAGAAGATCTATGTTACGATCGCTCATGTTATCCAGCCACAGGCAACTTGTTGATCGGTCGAAAGGACAAGATCAAGGCCTCTTCGACTTGCGGATTAGCTGGTCGTGAACGTTATTGTATTGTCTCCCATCTAGAGGATCAGACCAAATGTTTTTTCTGTGATTCTCGACAACCTTGGAAAGAGGGAGTGGAGCCCAACAGAAACAGCCATCGCATTGAGAATGTAGTCACGGAGAATTATGCAGACCGTGCCAAGAGCTGGTGGCAGTCCAAGAATGGAGAACAGAATGTCAGCATCCAGGTGGACTTTGATGAAGAGTTTCATGTGACTCATTTCATCTTAACTTTCCGAACTTTCCGACCAGCAGCCATGTTGATTGAACACAGTGCAGATTACGGAAAGACCTGGAGAGTCGACCGGTATTTTGCTTATGATTGTGGTACCTCTTTCCCTGGTATCCCTGAGGGACCTCCGAAAAAGCATGGAGACGTGATCTGTTCGTCAAAATACAGCCATATCGCCCCTTCATCGGGTGGAGAGGTAAGTGTTATATAGAAGATACGAGTTTTGTGTTTAGTTAATCTACAAAGTCATCTCCCCGCATATTCACACTAATAATCCATATGCTCCTGAGATCGCGAATCTTTTGAAAATGACCAATATCAGGTTTAATTTCACCAAACTGCACACTCTCGGTGATGATCTTCTTGATTTCCGACCAGAAATTGATGAGAAATATTACTATGGTCTCTATGAGATTGTTATTCGAGGATCTTGTTCATGTTATGGCCATGCCCAGAGATGTATTCCCAAGTGGGCGGCTGATGATAAGGTCCCGGATATGGTACATGGAAACTGTGAATGCACCCATAACACTAAAGGAGCCAACTGCGAGAAGTGTGAGGACTTTTACAATGATCTTCCATGGAAACCGGCTATTGGGGATCAGCCAAATGAATGCAAAAGATGTAATTGTAACGGCCATGCAGCTTCTTGCCACTTCGACGAGTCTGAATACGTAAAATCTGGTAAGAAATTTAGGTCGACGACCTTTAAATTACTGTAGTTTTGGCAGATGATAATTTTTGATCCTAGGAAATGTCTCCGGAGGTGTCTGTGATGATTGCCAACATAATACTCAAGGAAAGAACTGTCAGCAATGCAAGCCTTACTTCTTCCGCGATCCCCGTCGTCCCATCGATGATCCATACACTTGCCAACCTTGTCAGTGTGATAAAAGGGGGTCTTTATACGAAGGGATTTGTGAAGGAGAACAGGATGAAGAAAAGAGCCTCGTTGCCGGCAAATGCTACTGCAAACCTAATGTGGATGGGCCCAAGTAAGTAATCAGTGTCGAGTAGAATACGTCATTAAAAATTTTACAATAAAAACAGCTACTTTCAGCTGTGATCGCTGTAAGAACGGATTCTGGGATTTTCAAGAAACCGATCCTAATGGATGTAAGGAATGTGGATGTAATACTCTTGGCACGGTCGACAATCTTGGATGTGATAAATACACAGGAGAGTGTACTTGCAAACAAAATGTAGTGGGAGAACGTTGCGATACCTGCAAGCCCAATCATTGGGGTCTCTCCAATCACACCGATGGCTGTCAACCATGTGATTGTGCGCCTGGAGGATCTCTAAGTTCTCAGTGTGATGTTGTCACTGGTCAGTGCCAATGTAAAGAGCACTATAACGGAAGAAGATGCAACACCACCGAGAGTGCCTACTTCTGTCCAGCCATTGACTATCTCACTTTTGAAGCAGAGAATGCATTTGAAATTACATCTGGAGAAGTCATTGAACGTGAAGAACATCCGTCACAATTCAAGAGCTGGACTGGGTCTGGATTCGTTCGTGTCCGAGAAGGTACCAACATAACATTTGTTGTTGACAACATCTTGAAATCTGGCCAATTTCATCTAGTCTTCCGTTATGAACTACCCAACGTAAGTTACGGTCCAAAAGCTCTTCTGGCTGGCGAAAATTCCGTTCTAAACTATTGATTGCAGGATGGACTTGGATGGGATAACATCATGATTACCATCGTCCGCCCTTCCAACCCATCTCCGGACGGTCCTTGTGCCAACAGCATTGAGTCCGACGACTTCTTAATCGGTCGCCTCGTTCCACACACTAATTTCTTCGAGATCAACCCACCTGTTTGCTTGGAAACTGGAGTTCGTTACGAAATCCGAGTGTTCTTCGGCCAGAGATCGGGCAACTATCCAGATCTGAATGCTCAGTCGCTGATCGATTCTCTGGTCCTTGTCCCTCCAACTGATTCGCTGAGCATCTTCCAAGGGTCTCACGACGCTCAATATCGCGGCAGTCTCTTCCATCAATGCCGTGAACTTTTCCTCCGGGTTGCCCCGAAGAGCCATGTCTCTAAAGAATGTTCCGATTTGATTTGCCAAGTAAGTGGAGAAATTGTTGGCCAGGGAGTGGCCTGTGAGTGTGATCTCACCGGATCCCTCTCGACTATCTGCAATCCAAACGGAGGTCAATGTGAATGTAAACCGAACGTCGTTGGCCTGAAATGCGACAGCTGTGCTGTGGGTACATACGGGTTTGGCCCCTCCGGATGTACTCCTTGTAATTGTGATCCAGTCGGAGTTCTTTCCAATGTATGCGACAAACAGTCTGGTCAATGTGAATGTAGAGAACGGGGAATCACTGGAAGACAATGTAATCAATGTCAGCCCGGATTCTGGTCGTTCCCTGATTGCAAAACTTGTCAATGCAATGGTCACGCGAATCTCTGCGATCAAGAACATGGTGCTTGTATCGACTGCCACAATCATACCACGGGACACAACTGTGATCGATGTATTGATACGTATTATGGAGATCCTCGATTAGGAGTGAATGAAGCTTGCAAACCATGTCCTTGTCCTGGAGGTCCGGGATCTGGAATACAAAATGCGAATACTTGTTATCTGGACAGAAGTACAATCGAGTCCACTTTAAAATGTAATTGCAAACCCGGATATACTGGCGACAGATGTGACGCCTGCGAAGTCAATTATTGGGGAAGTCCAAGAGAATTGGGAGGCCAATGCGTCAAGTGTGATTGTAACGAAAACATCGACAGGTCCATTCCAGGAAGTTGTGATCCCAAGACTGGACATTGTGTTAAATGTTTGTACAATACTGATGGAATTCAATGCGAGAACTGCAAAGATGGATTTTTTGGAGATGCCAAAACAAGAAACTGTCATCAGTAAGTTCAGTCCTTCACAAATTAATTTTTTTCATCATTGTCTAACGATTATAATCTTAGATGCGTCTGCAATTCCCTTGGAACGAACACGACTGCTGGGTCATGTAACAGAGTGAGTGGCCAATGTAATTGCTTCCCAAATGTTATTGGACAACAGTGTGATCAATGTGCCCCTCAACACTTTGATCTGGCCAGTGGAAAGGGATGTCAGGCATGTGGTTGTGATCCACAAGGAGTAATCAGTGGTCCTGATGGCAACCCCCATCTAGAATGTAATGGTCTTGACGGGAAATGTGTCTGCAAACCGGGTCGTGGAGGTAGAACTTGTTCTGAATGCGAAGATTACTATTGGGGGAACCCTTTGACTGGGGAATGCAAGCGTTGCGAATGTGATCCAACCGGATCCGCCTCTTATCAATGCCATCGGAACAACGGAACTTGTATTTGCAAACCAGGATCCGGCGGTCCTTTGTGTAATCAATGCGCCCGTGGGTATACTGGCCAGTGGCCTCATTGTCAAGCCTGTGGGGAATGCTTCGACAATTGGGACAGAATCTTGACAGGACTCAGAAATGAGTTGGATGGACTGGTGGAAAGGGCCAACAACATCGAAGACACTGGCGTCTCTTCTGAATACGATGAGACTTTCGAAAAAATGGAACTTCAAATCGCAGAAGTCAGATTACAATTGGAAACCGTTAATATCTCCAAAGAAGACGTGGAAGGACTCAGAAAAAAGATCGATGATCTTCAAAAAGATGTAGAAGACGCAAGGTCGAGGTTGGCCGAAAAGAACGAGAGAGTTGTCAAGGTCGCTTCTTCCGTTGATTTGGCCGAAAAACAAGTTTCCGATCTCAAGGCCAAGGCCAATAACTTAACCAAGTTGGCAGAGAATCTGAGTGCTGAAGCAATGGAGATCCGTGGATCTGATACTAAGGTAAGTCTGCCATAGAAGTAATGCATATTGTTTAGGGAGCTTACGAGATTGTGAAAGAGTCAGCCGAAAAGGCCCAACAATCCCATGTCTCTATCTCCCAGGCCATCGACAAGATCACAGCAGCCGAAAGCGACAGAAACAAGGCGGCGGACATGATGGAACATCACAAGAATGAATTCCTCCAACAATACGAGGAGAATAAGGCCGCGTTGGAAGAAGTTCAGAAGAAGATCGAAGAGATTGAGGATGCTCTACCTGACCTTAACAAACAAGTTTGTGGGGGTGAAACAGCCGGTTGCGATGAAATGTGTGGTGGTCCATCCCCTGAATGTGGCAAATGTGGAGGAAGTTCGTGTCTCGGATCTGTCTCCAAAGCCCATCAAGCCGAAGAATTCGCTCGGGAAGCACGGGAGAAACTTTTGGCAAAACAGAAGGAAGCCGAAGAGGTAATATACAAAAAATAACTTTTACTGGGATGGGTTTTAAAACTTTTTTAACTGCTTAGTGGCAAAAAGTTGGTGGTTAGTTGTTTATCGTAGGGTTTGGACGGTGTAAATACCCGAGGTATATGTCCGGGGGTATACCGAAATTACCGAGAAGCCAAAAATTTTCGAATATTTGTGGAAATTAAGAGTGAAGAAATAAGATCGTTCCGAAGCAAAACGTTAAAAACGCTTTCCTCACATTTGTTTCAAAAAATCAAATGGAAAAAATGAGGCCGACATGAGAAAAAAGTTCGAGAAAGCAAATTTAGCATCTTTTTCAAAATCCCAAAATCGGTCTTATTTCTTCACTCTTAATTTGCAACAAAAGAGGCCGAAGAAAGAAATGTTAAGGTACTGTCGCGCGAGAAAATCCATCGAATTTGCACAGTGCGTTTTTTCGCCCGCGCCGCTGCGGCCTCCCATTTTTCTACTAGCGACATGCACGAGCACCCTATGACGTCGCCGAAAAAATTCTACGGACCTTATGGCACGACTTGTGCCTTACCATTTTTTAAACTAGTACGCTGCGAAAATTTTTTAGTTTTTGTCATTGGTGGGATCTGTGGGGCTCGGTCGGGCTGCGCACGCTCCTAGTCCAAGGTCTATAAAGTTGCCTAGTCAGTACCTGCAACAAGTGCAGAAAAGAAAAATTCATAAAAATAATTACTTTTGCTGATTTCATTCATACGTTCTTAATTTTCGAAAATACCCATATTTTGGGTATACATATTTTTATGAACGTATAGACCCACGAGGTGAAAATTCACCGTTTTTCCGAACCCCAGATTATCGACGCAAATTTCTTTTTGCAAATTATTTTCTGAAAAAATACCGGATAATCTCCTCATGGTTTCTTTATCAGTCAAACAGGCTTTTTGAACTCACATAAGTTTTCTGCAAAAATCGAGAAAAACATCTCCGCCCAGTTGGTGTTCATTTGGAATGTCTGTCTACCGTATAGTTGAATCTTTGCGGGGCTTTATATATAATTTATGATGGATAGCATTTGTGATTCGGAAGTTACATTTTCCCGATTTCCAGCTGCAAAAGCGGATACGAAATTCGCTCCCCGAAACCGATGCAGCCGATAAATCAACTTCTGAAGCCCTCAGAACGGTGGAACAAGCGGCAAAACTGGCCAATCACACCAAAGAAGCCCTGAAGAAACAACTGGATGATATCAAGAAGTTCTTGGATTCTGAAAGAACGGGCCCAGAACAAATCCAAGCAGTCATTGATGAGATCTTGAGTGTTTCAATTCCATTCACTGAAGAACAAATAAAAGAAATGTCAGAGAAGATCCGAGAAAAGGTCAAGGAGACCAAAGATACGGACCAGATCTTGGCCGAGACCTCAGGCAACAAGACATTGGCTGAGAACCTTCAAAGACAGGCTGATTATGCCTCTCAACGTGCAGCCAAGATCCACAACACAACTGTTGCAATCAAGAAAGCCTTGGCTGATGCAGACCAGGCTTATAATGAGGCTCAAGATATTCTTACCAAGACCGGAGAATCGAATGATAAGATCAGTTCAGATCTGGAGCAGGCTGAGACTGAAGTTGCGACTTTAGAAGATAAGGCAAAGGAAGCGACAACTTTGATCAACGAGTTGCAAAATAAGACAGATAAATTGAAGGCCGAATACATCAAGATCACTTCAAATTCAAAATCTGCTGGAACTTCGGCGGACTCTGCTTTGGAGATTGCTCAGAAAGTGGAAGCAAGACAGGGGGATCTGAAACAAAAGTATGATGAGGTTGAGAAATTGTTGGAAGACAGAGTTAGCGGAAATGAGGAGAAGAGGGAAAGGGCTGACAAATTGCACCAAAGAACTACTGAGTTACTGGCAAAGATCTATAAACACAACTCTGATGCTGATGGTAGGGTGCTTTTTTAGAATTCTGCATTCTCTCCTTATTTAAATTTAATCATAAAATTCATTTCAGCGTTGAAGAAAACGGCGGATTCTTTGGATGTGGAACTGGTCAACTTCAGGAACAGTGTGGATTCTCTGAGCCGTCAGATCGATGAAGTGGCCGCTCAGATAGAGAAACGAGTGGAGTTCCACGCGACCTGCGACGCCTGATCGGACTGAATGAAATGTGATGTCTCTAAAGTAATATTCTACTTATCTCCGACTTGTCCCGAAGTCGATCAGTGCCTTCCCTTCGCCCAGTCCCGAGTTATTCCCAGATGTTTTTATATGGCATTTGCTTTAAAAGCCTTTAGGCCATCTTCTTTCTGCCCTCAGGTGTAGATCCGCCCTTCCTGGATCTCTATAATTATTATTGTGTTTGTAACAGTCCTAATCTCTTTCAAACTTTTTATTCGATTACTGCCATCATTTCTTTGTTTGTTATAAAGTTTTTTTGACATTTTGAGATAATTCCGAAGGGGTTAGCATCTTCAATTATATTGACATAAAAGAACGCCTCAGTTCAATGAACGGTCGCTGCGAATGTTTCTTCCACCCAAGAAGTTTCTATTTTTGTGGTCTCAAGTGCAAAAAATTGTTGGAAAAGAATTCGGCCTTGGTTTAAAGCAAACGGTTGTAATAACTTCTGATGGTTTAATTCAAGGTATCTACCAAATCAAATATCTAAATTAATGTAGAATGATGGATATTATTAGTAGATGCGATTATTTCTGAGATGCCCTTGGCCACTAATTCAGCGCCGTTCGATCCAAAGCGATAGCTTGTATCATGCAATAACCACAGCTCCCGAATTTAATAAGTATATTGATGCAATCAAGGATAAGCTAGATAAATATAAGAGCGGAGAAACTCATTTGGAGGGGAATGAAGACATCGGGAGATGGGAGAAGATATTGGAGAACAGACTGCGATTGGAGAAGACCTTCCATGATCTGAAGCAACTCGATGAACTTATGAAAAGTAAGTTTATTGAGACCATAATTATTATAATATTTTTCAGGCAATGATTCTCTCAAAGACTTGGCTGAAGAGGATTCAGCTAGATTAAATATAGAATACAATGAGATTCTGGACGATTTAGTGAAAAGTATAGTCCCGTTACAGCCGTTGGATCTATTGAGTCGATGTCAGATGGAATTCACCAGGTAAATGATAGAGAGGGAGTACTGTAGAGTAAATATATTTATAGTGGTGTTGGCGGAATTGAGTCGATGTATTTCGCAGAAGAAATAGTGCAGATGTACAATTGTCTGGCAGATAACAAAGGCTGGAAATGGAGTCCGTATCAAGTAGAAAAGGGTCCTCAAGGAGGAATAAGGTCGGCGATTATATCCCTGGAAGGAGAACAAATCTACTCGGCTCTCAGGTTCGAAGCGGGTGTTCATCGGGTCCAAAGGGTCCCTCGAACGGACCCTTCCAGAATGCACACATCCACTATGAGCGTGGCTGTTCTTCCCGTCCCCGAAGAGGTAAGAATTGTCGATGATTTATTCTATATTATAATAGACTCAAGTCCAAGTTCTCTCCACTGACTGTAAAACTGAGACCATGAGAGCTTCTGGGCCAGGAGGACAGAATGTGAACAAGCGATCTAGTGCCGTGAGGATCACCCACGTGCCCTCAGGCATTGCTGTTCATTGTATGGAAGAGAGATTTCAACATTTGAATATGCAGGTAATTTAAGTTATGGAGTAGGCACATGGCATGTGCCAAGGTGTACACAAAGTGAAGTCCTATCAGTGTAATTGCTTGTGCTGACGTGTGATTGGTTCCCCTTCTAGGTACCGTATTCTTGATGAACGTTTTTTTGCAGCTTGCTTACAAACGCCTCGGGGCAATCCTTCTGCAACAAAAAGTGGATGAAGTTCAATCCAAGATCTCGAGGGCTCGGAAACTACAAGTTGGAAGTCGAGCTCGGGCGGAGAAGGTGAGGACGTTCAACTTTCAGAATGATCGGATTACTGATCATCGACTCAAGTTGAGCGTTTCCAATGTCGATGAATTTATGCATGGAGGACCAAAATTAGAATATTTCATCAACGAATTGAAGAGATTGAATACTTATGAGAGACTTTTGGATGAGATCTCAGCTTCTTAGTCTTATTTTGAGAGAATTCGTTATCTACCGATGTCATATTTCATCAAAAGGTTATCGTAGGAATTACTTGTTGTTGTTACTGTAATATGAAAAAAGTTCGGTTCTTTTTTTTTTTGTTATTTTTATGTCGATTTATCTCAAATTTTTTGCTGCGATTGTTAAACACGGGACCATCGATTAGAAACGTTGAATTTTCTCTTTTTTCGATTCCGCAATATGAATTAATCAAGGGTTACGGTAACTGTACGAATCGCTCTCTTCGCAGGGATTGTGATCTGAATGTTTCATGAGAGCAGATCATATAATGGGCGCTCTTTTTGTATTCCATTTTTTATGTTTCCCTTCGGGCAATTGGCCAAGAATTTGGTCGCTGCGATGATTCCTTGTTTTCAATTGACATGGCTGCTTATGTTCGCTGATGTGAAGATCAGGTGAATGGTCCAGGGAGTCGGAGGAAAAGGAATACAGCGAGTGTTTTGAAGTTTGGGCGCAGGGAATTTGATTGTTTTTGCAGTAATCTGAGGGTTCAATTGCTTCTTTGTGGGAGGCTGATGCTCTTCTGTTTAGTGTTTAATATGGAGTTCTTTGTGTATGATGACATGCACGATTATCCGTTGATTAACATGTCCTTTGTACTCCCTCCTGTGTTCTTTGGCTCTCTGACCGATCTCCGATTAGTCTTTACTTTGATTTCAGAGTCGATTCCACGTACTTTTGACTCTCTGCTTCACAGAAGCCGCTGGTTTTTCTTCGATTTCGATGATCGGTTTTTTACAGCGAACGCCAGGGAAGCCGGAGTGTTCCCTTTTCTCAGGGCTCTGTCCATTCCCGGCTCTACCGTAGGCGCCGGAACCTTTAACCTTTAGACTGTTCGTCCGTTCTCTGAGTCGTTTGCACCTTCAGTTGGCGTTGTTTACCGATAAATTGCATTGTATCTCATGTGACCGAGACGGAAGATTATATTTTTGTGCAAATCACGAGAAAACTCTTCGGTTTTCCAATGTTATCAACGTCTTATCACTGCAGTTGTTCGCTTTTAATGATTTTTGCACTGCCTGAGGGCGCATTCCTTGGAGGTCCGGGCAGTGAGCAAACATCGCCTGCATAATTTGCATACGATTGCGTCATGATGATGACGACGATCACTCCTTCCTGGTTGATGCCAAAGTGATTCGAGAGCAGGCGCTACTGCAAGGGGGTTTCAACCTATCGATGGTACGAGAGCCCTTCTCTACGTATCTCTTCTAAATTTATTCTCTCGAATCCATCGCGATTTTTGATCGACTCTCCCGATTCGGTGGCGGACTTTGCTCTGATCTGAACGAAGAATAAATTAGAAACCAATGCAGAAGACGGCTTCTCTTATCGGCGTCACATTCTCAGAAGATTCTTCAGCCCGGGTTCACATGTCGTGCAGGTCGAAGATGTAAGGTCATCCCGTCGATTGATAAGAGGCTGCAGCCCACCACGCACGTGATCGTCGCACTGTTCTTTGCCCGTCCGTCCGCACTCTCCGTTGAAAAAAAAGAAAAGGTTTTCGAGTCGGCTGTCAACGACAAAAATGGCGACAATCCAACCGCACCCAGCCAGCAAAAAAGGGGGAGGCATGTGACTCCCCAAACGTTTAGACCAAAGTCCGCCATGTTCTGTTTTCACAACAGTTTTGTGAAGAACGGTGTGAGGGAGTGGATAAAGATCCTCTTGACTCCCGAACTCTGGACACAGAATAAGACTCTTGAGTGCAAAACGTGAACTCTTATCACTTTCCTCCATATCTCCGATCAAACGAAGAACTTGGATTCCGAAGGATGGTGGGAGAGAAGGAATCTGGAGCTGTTCTTTGAACCAGAAAACTGAAACAATCGATTACAAATAGTACTCCAATCACAGCTTGCAAATATCAATTAGAAGCCCCGAGGCGATTATGGATCGGAAGAATTAATTAAATCAAAACATTTTGCCGATTATTAACATCAGCGATCACTAAGACCATTTGCACTTTTTGCAAATTCACGTGATGAACTAATTAGGGAATGCGCGAGTCCCCCCCCCCCCTGCCGCACTTTAACCTTTACTCGAATTCATTTCGAATAATCTTTTTTGATAACTAAGAGAACCTTTGCAGACGCCGCACTTTTTATCTGTGATAAAGTTGCATTGTTTCATTTAGATGGCGCCTTTCTGTGGGATGGACCAATTACAATATAAAGGGATGACTTCAGAAGCCGGTTGTTGCTTCGGGATTAGATCCCGGATTATAACCCGACGTCCTCAAGGTTCGGTTTCACCATTTCGCCATTATTAATCTTTGTTTATAACCAACGATTATTCGCGGGAATTACTCCATTTTTTGCTACCGTAACCTGCGATGATAAGAGCTTCATATTAAAGATGACATTCCAATGGCGATGTGTAATTTGTACGCATTGTACTAGCCTCAGCGATGTCTCAGGCCGGTGCCTTTGTATTTTTGAGCTCTTGGTCATGCCAAACTACGAACGCCCCCAAGGCATCGAATGTTTTGGCGTAAGTCGGGGCGAGACATTCGTTCGCATGTTCCCTCCCCTCAGGCCCTAATTCCATTACTTTTTCTGCACTATACAAATATAATTTTTGGCCATTGGTCAAAGAGTTTCTCCCCTCAAATTGTACGCTTCAGAAGAAGGGAAAGAAGCTGTTTACCACAGAGTGCATTCATTCCTCTCGTTCGTTCGCCGGGGCGGAGTCTGCGATTAGTGTGATACGAAAAAGTGCGCCCGTAAAAAGTTGTTTTTGGCAGAGTGCATTCGTCACTTGGCCAAGAAAAACCAGGATGGGCCTGAGGGCATGTTTGCCTCGGGGCAAGCGAGGGGAACGAAGAAGGAGGCCAAGGATTGGGCGGAGGGGGGAGGTGGTCTGTTTGATCTCAGAAAAAAAGAACAACTCTTCTGCAGCAGCAAGTTTTGGCCGGTTCCGAAAATGGGTAAGGTTTTAAAATTGCATTATCCTCGCTGAAGATACCGCAATTACCGACTAATCAGGATTACTGTAATCCCTTCATATCCTGTCACATTTCCTATACGGTCCCCGAGCCCAGACCCCGGCCTCTTTTTAATGTTTTGCCCTTTCGACCCGCAACCCTGAGGGTATAAAAAGAGTATCGTAATTACCCACCTATTCATTACACCTTATGTCATGGCTGCATCAATATTCCTCCCCCTCAACAGGACCGAAAATCAATTCGAAAAGGTATCCTCAGGGAGTATGTATGCAAATTAGGGAAGAAATTAAGATCTGAAGGCCTGGAATGAGAAAGGGTGGTGACTTTCCGGAACAAACTGGGCGTTGTAGTTCAATGAATCAGAGATCACAAAGTAATATAGTACATGAAAAAGTACATGAGCTTTGTTCTCCCCGAATCCAGCCCTGTTTTGGGAACCTTCCATGTTCTGACGTCATCTCTCTGCTCGATCTCTGATCCTTTAAATTTTGTTACGCTTCCTCCAGTTTTTGGAGGTCTCATGCAGCGTCCGGGTTTTGTTTTTTGGCCGGTCTTTGGCCCTCCGGCTCGCCAAATTGAATTCCGCTGGCCAAAATAATGTCTGTCTGTCGGGGTCTCACCAATAAAGCTCTCTCTCGCTCGATCAATGTCTGGATCCAGCTCTTCTCCTCGTTCTGTTCCCCTTTGCCCACATCATTCCGTTCTTCGTTCTCTTCTCGGCTTTCGGCCAAGAATTGGAGCAAAACATTCAAGGCTTTTTTATGCCTCGGGGCGTATAAAAACGATTGTCTTGGGTTTTTGCTGTTTTCGAATTTTTGGAGAGAGGATTTCAAAATGCAAAACCGCGATGGACTAAAGGTTAGAGAACGTCTGGGTCTGAAAGTGCAATGTACGTAGCTTGTGGTATGTCCTTTGTGATTACAATTGACAGCGTCGTGTCACCATTCAGCTGACATCGCCTCTTTGCTTAATTTTACAAGACCAACGGGATTAGGGCTCCCACTTCTGGGGTTGATATTGTGATTAACATAACACCAGACCCTTAGGGCTGCAAACCCAGATCGTAGTCTCGCTGCCGCCTCTTTGTTTCGAATACAAATAATCTTTGGACCGCCTCCGAATCATTTGGCGTTTCTCCAGATTCCGAATCTATTTTTTGAATCTTTTTTTTTCATTTTTTGATCTCTGCCCCCTCGGGGTGGGCGGAGCCTCCACTTAAAGGGCTGACAAAGTCTATTCGCCGTTTTTTCGTATGAGAAAATAATTGCGAGCATTTGGGTGGACTCCAAAAACTGTTGGTCAAAGGTCTTGGGGGTGCCCTTCAAGGATTCCGCGTTCAATAGGTCTTTATATTGTGTTAGATGGTCTCTCTCTTCGATCACTTTTTGTTTTATGCAACCAACTTTCCGTTCTGCAACTTCCTTCTTAACGCGAAAACACCATCTCATTGTCTGGAACTGGGTCTTATCATGAAATGTTACGCAATCCTATTTCAATTCATTTCGTTTTTCTTTGTTTACGTGGTTTTTGAAAGTCGTGACTCTCCCGTTCCCTTCGAGTTCACGTGATTTCGTGGGCCGTTCCGAAAATACTTTTTTACTATGCAGAATATTCAAGAGCACCGCCTTCGGGTCCGTTTTGCAGATGGGAAAATAATGGGGACGGCTCTGGATATCGAATGACCCATCATCTCACCTCTGACCCGAATCTATAATAACATTATAATCGAAAAATATTATTCATATCGCTTATTTCGCGTCATTATTGTTGAGAAAGATGATGTAAATTAATTCCTCAGGTCTCCTTCAAGGATGACAGAGTCGCCAATGGTCTCGAGTTCTTCGAGTCAGGCCCTCTTTCTCCATCAACTCCAACAAAAACATTTCATGGACGAATATCTGCGACAGACATACGGTCAGCAGAAGAGTGATTTGATGGAGACTTCAGAGCCCTCCTTTGGTGCCGAGAATCAGACCGAGAACAAGATCAAATTGGAAAGTCAGACCGAGGAAGAGGCCTCGGCCATCTGGTATGTCAAGAATATTAGGCCAAAGGGGGTCAGAGAACGTTGTGTGGGGGCGGCGATGACGTTCTAGACGTACTTTTTGTGTGTTTGCCGAGCTCTTCAAATGTCAGGCATTCATTCGTTTGGCCCGAGTTTAGTCACATGTCTCGCAAAACAATACTCCGAACAGTGATCGCTTGGTCTTTTGTTGTCGGAGGCCTGCAAAAGGCCGCTCATACAGCTGTTTCTGCCCGATTACGTCATTGTGACATAATTAATTTAATTTTAAAACTTGTGTTGAGACCCTCCGGCCGTGCAAGATGGCCTTGACTAAATCAGCTAGAATACGGTAACAACCAGAGAGGAAAGACCTTGACTGATAAGGAGACAGTGATAGGGGAAGGTCAGAAACCAAACGCATCGCATCTCACACAAAGAATTATGCATTAGACCCACATTTTGGACGGGTTCCAGTCCCGTAGTCTGTGGACCCTATAAGACCACTAGAGAGAGAGTGTGCGGAGTGAGGGGAGGGCAGAGAAAACGGAACATTCCTTAAATTGAACTCTTTCCGTTTCAGCAGTGTGTGCAACGATGAGGCCAGTGGAAGACATTATGGGGCATTCACTTGTTTTGGCTGCAAAGGCTTCTTCAGGTGAGTCATCCATCCACATCAGACTTCAATAAAAAATTGCAGGCGAACAGTCAGAGCAAACAAAGTTTACACCTGCCGGTATGAAAAACAGTGCCAAATCGATAAAGGTACGCATTACAGAGTGAAATCATGAACTATCACCTCAAACAGCATTCTGAATAATACTTTCCTCCTTTCAGTAGGCCGAAATATCTGCCGTTCGTGCCGTTTCCGGAAATGTCTGGAAGTTGGAATGGAGCCAGACGGTAAGGATGCTCTCGGAATATTAGAATATCTGTTTACAGCCATCCGACCGGACCGCGACAAGACTGGAAGACAGAAGAATCCTCGGAAATCGACCACTTCCATGTCATCTTCGAAGAGTTTCCATGACATCGAAGAAGATCAAGACCGCAAATCCCCTGATTCCACATCTTCTGGAAGCATCGATGACAATCTCAGATCTCATTGTGAAACGATGGCCCCGTCGTCGGTCGCTCTGGCTCAGCGGGACCTTGTCTTGGGGACCCTTCTTCAGATCGAAAACATCTGCGCCGAGATCACTGATGATCCCAAACTTCAATCATCGCCTCAGGGCTTCAACGAGCTTCATGATATTGTGTTGCGGCCGTCTCTGCTCGGCGAGAGGACTCCAGTAAGTCCAATCTTCTTACTGATTCCATTAATGTTTTATGTCAGCTGACATTGTTTTTTGTATATGTTTATGTGCTTGATGAGTAATGTCTGATCTTCAGCTGGACTACGAGGCCCGATCTCCCGTCTCCGATGCGGATGCACTCTGCGGAGGCCTTCGACGTCTGGTTATCATGGCCATAGATTACGTAAACACCTTGAAGCCGATCGCGGACATTTGCGTGGAAGAAAAGGTGAGAGATTACTCTCTGGATACGGGGGATTAATCGGGATGTATGAGTGGTCGGCGTCAGGAGACCGAGATGGAGATGATCCTGTCTCGTGTTTCATAAATTGGTTCCTTTTGGGCTTAATTCGCACTTTTGAATGGAAAACAGGGCCGACGTCAGTCACGGGCCAAGACAAACAACTACGGTGGGACTTCTGAAGCCTTGGCCGTTGTTGGGCTGCGGCCATCTCCTCTCCCCCTTTCCCTTCCTTTTCGAGCGGGTCTGGGGTTTTTCGAGACTATAGTCGAGACTGAAAACAGCTACTACGGCTATAGTTAAATACACTTTTCTCTCACTTCTCCGAGCATTTCTGGGCAAAGGCCAGCCGCGGAGTCTGCTCTTTGGTCCCGACCCACAAGGTTGTTTTCGGCCAGAGGTTTTTGTGCGTCTCCCCTCGTCCTCTCTCGACTGGAGACCCCATACTTCCGGGAAAAGGGCCGGAGGGTCTCGTGGTATGCTTCGTTTTTGCTGTAGAAACAAATAAAACCAAAAAGGGAGTAAGAGAGTACGGGGACGGGATTGACGTCAGCGTTCCCCTTTTTGGACTCAACAAAACATGCAGCCGTACGTTACGGCCCCCAATCGAATATAAATAAAATATGGATCAAGTGAAGTATAAATACCACACATCATGACTAGTCTCTGTAATCCTCCAGACATATCGCAAACAAGATATTTACATTCATAAACATCGATTTCAGATCATCCTCGTCCGATCTTTCGTCGCCAGTTTCATCGTTCTGACCACGATTCAGAAAAATGTCACGGAAGGAAACATGGAGAAACTATTGCTCCCGAATGGGCTTTACATCGATTCTTCAACTTCAATGAGTTCCTTGTTTAGCGACTGTCAAAAAGACATAACCTGGCTGGATCTCAAATTCAAGGTCATCAGAGATACCATCATTGAGAAACTGAACTTCGCCTTCGAGAGATTGTGCCTGGTAGACCAAGAGATCGTGTGTTTGAAGGCTTTAATGGCACTGGATCCAAATGTTTATGGACTCTCCGAAGGGACGGCCAAGGTTTTGAACATCGCTAGAGAATCCGTTCAGAACGCTCTTTATCTGTATCTGGCCGAGAGATATCCCATCAATGAAGCCGTTGACAGATTCGGAAAAATCCTGATGCTACTTCCCAACGTTTCAGTAAGTATTTTATTAAAAAACATTCGTTATGCAACGACGATATAATCATGCTCTTTCCTGAATTTTGAATAACACGTTAATGATGATATTTGCAGAAGACCGGAGCTCTGTTGTCCACGACTCTCCAGTTGGGCCGGGATCTTCGACCGGACGCCAAACTGTTGGACCTCTTCTCGGTATAACCACCGCCATGTAAATACAATGTACATATAGTGTCTAAGTTATTTAAGTTATACTGTTATGAAGCCATTTAGGATTCCGAGTGACTTTCAGCCCTTCACCTGTATATACACTCATATTCCTTTCTTATCCCGATGATCTTTCCTTTGTTGAAGTCGACCCCGTCGATATGTATATAATTTCTTGGCCAAACTTCTATTCTTTTAACGTTGCTCATGTCCCTTTCCCCAATATACAGTCCACTCCCCGTGTAAATATACCGATGGATCTTATAAAACTGAAAATAAATCCATCCAACCCCGAGGGTGTTATTCAAATTGAAGATGTCAATGTTCACGATGTTTTGGTAATTCGCCCCGAGGCAATCGAGGACTATATACTTCGATCTTCCTACAAGGGAAGTCACTTAAGTTACGGATCGATTTTTAAAAACTACTGTTAGGGAGATGGAGCGAGTGGAATGGTGATATCAAACCTGGAAACAAAACGTTGTACTTTTTGCACATTATGCAATGAAACTTCTCCAGTGGGTGACGTTTGAATAGTAATGTTAGAACTTACATAAAATATGCATAAAACATAAAAAAAACTACTTGTAACCTGAATTACGGAAACAGTTTCTTAATTTTTTTGCAAGTTCGAAACTGGACCTGAAAAGTAAAGGTCTGGAAGCGGGCTTACAGACCACCGGACCATTCGGTTCGCTTTCCTTTTGCTTTCAAAGGGGAGAACTATTCGAAGGAAACTGGCCAAACTTGTTGGTAGATCATCGGATCCCTGAACCAGGTGGAGGTAGCGGTTTTCAGATTCGATATCACTGTCCCACTCTTTCCATCGCTGCAACAGCCAGCCGTGTTACAAAACTGATGCATGATTTAAGTGACTTCCCTAACGAAACGTAAAAGGGATGAGTTGGTTAGACGGTCAGACTACAAAAAATATTATTGTATCTTTTTTTGGGAAGTTCTGCTAAATAGAATAACAACAAAACAAGAAGAACATCCCCAACATTTCCAAACAGAATCACATGCATTCGCGGAAATAGTAAGTATTGTAAAGTCATTTCAACTCGGCAATTTCCCTTTTAAGATTACGCAATAAAGCGGTCCTTGTTTTAATTACAAAAGAAATGCCGCCATTTATTTGTGTATTGGTCCTCAAGACATGTAAGGCGGGAAAACTAAGGAACAGACAAATAACAACACCAAAAGAAAGCCACTTAACCTGAGGCAAGACCGAAGACAAAAGAAGACCCTAATCAGGAACCATCTTTCCCTTCCCAACATAATCCAAGTTGAGATGAATCTACTGAACTGTTTCTTCCCTAAAATTCAGCATGAAGATACTTGCTATTGTGTTCCCTCAACTTCAAATTACAAGGCAATGCCCATCTACAGAGACTTTATCCTCCCGACTAAAAGGAAGGAATCAAAAGAGACCAAGCTCCTCCAACAACGATTAGATGGGGAGATCAGGGCCCGGCAAATGGATAAAGCCATCTTCCAACAACGAATAGTAAATGTAAGTTTAATATGACATAATTAAAACAATCGTTTTATAGGAATGGCAGAGCAAAAATTCGTTGAGGAAAGAGATCGCTACCCTCAATACTCTAAACAACAAACTTGTAATTTACTCAAAAACTTTGGAAAACGTAAGTTGCAATTTAAAAATTTTATTTGTTAAAGAGCGAACGTTAGTTGCAAAACAAGTTTACCTCGAGGACTATTGCAATTATGAGAAAAAAAGGTTTATTGCCCAGGATTTATCTTCTTTTACATTACGGGATTATTTCCTCAATTATTTTGATTAATTTTCAGGAAAACAAACTAATCCGAATGAAACTTCGCCCTTCCAAACTAAAAACGAGCAAACGAGTCCAATTCCAACCCATGGTAACTGTCAAATACTTTGACCTATAACTGTTTGTCTATCGCGTAGTTTTTTTATATAACTATATCTGATAATTTTATTTCGTAAGAATTTTATTGAGTAAATTGTAACAATTAACAATCAACAATGCTTACCTGAAGAATGTCAGATTCATTCCATTTCTTCATCTTCGGAATCACTCAAAACCAATTGTTTAAACGCTTTATCGTAATCTTCAAAGAATATCTGAGGGATTGTATCGCCCTTAGCATCCGAGGTTTCTTTTATCGTAAGCGCAGCCATTTGCGGTAGTTGAACAGACTCGCTTTCTACATAAATCGATTTCAATCCTCCCATCGTCTCCTTGGCAAAGAGATCGTCCAACTTTGCATTTGCTGCCAAAGCTGTCCTTATAATGTCCTTGAATATCAATTTGGAGAAACAGCCACGGACATCCAGGAATGAGATCTCATTCTTGCCATCTAATCATAAAACCGCATTGTAATGAGGACTTACTAATAGAACCAACAAGAACGGCTCCATTTGACTCTTGCTGATCCAAGTCGGAAATGTCAACAATAACATTATCATTAGAATAGGAACAAGCAGCGACTGTTAGAAGACCTTTCATGTATATGCCTGCGTCCATTAAAGCAAAGTTGGCTGCGTTCAAACATACAGCTATGTTGTTTCCGTCACTCTAAATCATAAATAAAAGGCAATTTAAAACTAATTTACGTGAAGAATCCGAAAAACGACATCGATACGAGTGCGAGGATATTGGTCCAACAAAACAATACTACTGAGAGCGCTCTCCAGCACAGAGTGAGTTTCTTTATCACTTCGTGCCTTCATTCTTCTCCTATCAGCGCCAGAAAGTCTGCTTGTATACAGGTGGCATCTCAAAATAGCAGAATTATCCAACTTCCTCATCTTGAATCTTTGTAAAGGTCCAAAAACCGAACACAACACCTAAAAAATACTTTAAAAATTAACAATGACTACCTTTGCATTTCCTTGTTCATAGTAACAGGATCCATCTGCATTTTTCATGACGTTCCATTTGAATTTGGTGGGCCGAAAGTCTGTTGGACCTCTGCCATCTGGTCTGATGTTCACGGTCTTCAGTGAATTGCTGTGAACTTCGGCAATATCTACTTCCATATTAAAAATATTCTATGGCTTGCCCAAATGGAGAAAAAAAATGTCCAAAGAAAAATTAACGACATTTTATACGATGAAACATTTCAAATCTTACTGTCAGAATGAAAGCAGAACTGTCGATATTGGTAGGAATTAGTAGAAAACCGTTTTACATCAACGCGCACATACCACAAAAAATTATTACCACAAAAATATCATTTCTGGGGCCTGTTTCACGAACGCAAAATAAAGAAAATAGAAATATCAGTCTGTCGGAAAAATAACGGCGGATCGTCGCAGCAAAATGTCTCGCCTCGCCGCTATCGCGCACCAAATCCCAAGTCGCGGCATGCAGTCGCAAAGCGATGATGGGCGATTCCGAGGCGCGACGATCCGCCGTTTTTTTCCCGACAGACCGATATGAGTGAGCGAGGGAACAGAGGAAATGCATGCGAAACGGGAGAGACGGCAGGAAAATGAGGATTGCGCCAATTCTCAATCGGAGTGACTTTTTACGTCCAAAATTACGGGTTGGCGGTAGTATTTGAGCCATAACTTTCCTCTACTTGGGCCTACAAGCACCCTCCAAAAATTCAAATAATGCTGAGACTTCGGGCTATGTAGATCTATAAAAATTTTTGCTCTACCGCCAATGACAAAGTTACCATAGGCGTTGTAGTGTTGAATTCTTCTACTTTATAACGCTAAAAGGCCTTTTTTCGCGTTAATTGAAACAGTAAAAAATTCTGATTTATGTCAGTCGATAGACAATTTAATTCTCTACAAAACATTTTTAGAGGGCCAACTGTAAGTAATTTTTTGGCTGAGTAATAACTGATTCACTTGACAATCCCTCGATTTTCATCACAAAAAATCTTTCGAAAGAGCCCTCAAATCAAAACAAGAGAGAAGTTTTACGGTAAAAAATGGGATGCGGCTGGACTAAATCACCCATAACTTTATCAGTTGGTGAGATATAGACGCCCCTCTAAAAAAATGAGGTAGCCAAGACAATTTTCTTTACAATTATATAAAATTTTATACTAATATTTTATTATTTGGAACAAAAACCTATTTTTATTCTGAAAAAATGGAAAAATGTTGCAAACTGCTGCACTACTATAAATTTGTTCGTGCCATAGATCGCCAAACATCCTAAAAAATTGCATTACTGTAAACCGCGGACTCAGGTCTACATGATTTTTTTTAAATGGTGTCGATCCGACAATTTTGGGCGATGTTATGAGGGAATTAAGCTAGAATTGCAAAAACTTTATAGAAAATAGAAATATGCGCATTACTACTGCTATTTTCGAGCGAGTTTTTGCAACAATGCAACGAAACTTGCACACATGACAGTCCAAACAGTTAGCATTATTCGAAATTTTGAAGGGTGATTCTACGCACATGGAGGGAAAAGTTATGGCCGAAACACTGCCGCCAACCCTGATTTTGGACGTAAAAAGTCACTCCGATTGAGAAGTGGCGAAATCCTCATTTTTCTGCCGTCTCTCCCGTTTCACATGCATTTCCTTTGTTCCCTCGCTCACTCATATTTCTATTTTCTTTAGAAATATGAGTTTTTGCGTTCGTGAAACAGGCCCCTGGACATTAAATTTAATCAATTTTTTTAAACATGGATACTATACAGGGCACAGCATGCTAATTATACAAAAATTGTCACCATGCACTTTGTAACCCCCGAGAAAATCGCATTCGAAAAAAATGAAAATTTCAAATTTAAATGCAGTGAAAATGCGCTTTCTAGCTGACTACTGAAGAAAAAAAAGATGCTATCGTGTAGAGAATTTTGAGTGCTTCCTAATACATAGTGGATATACATGCCAAATTTCAAATTTCTGCGATGCTTCTGTCTGCTGATATATCGTAATCATTACGAAACCTTGACAACTTATTAGCGCGCCTTGAAATATAAATTTTGTGACATTTTCGATAAAAAGTCGTTATATGTACTCTATTTGTGAATTTGAAGGTATTAGCTTGCGTTTGGACTGCGTTAACGGGAATAGAAAAAGCTGCACTTGTGTATGAAATCAACATTTTTCATGATGACATGAAGCTGTCTCATAAACTGTACGAATAACATTCCAGGGGTTGGCAAAATACATTTTAGGAAGAAATAAGGCTATCCTACAGTAAAAACAGTAAGCTTTCTATGTTTTTCTTCGGGAACTTAAGTTGTCAAAGTTTCGTAATTATATCGATATAACAGGAGACTGGAGCGTCGTAGAAATTTGAAATTTGACATGTATATCCACAAGGATGCCCAGAATGATAATTGCTCGGAAGATTTTGCATTTTTGCATTTAAAGTGCAGATAAGTCGGAAAAAGTGCAAAAAAAGGTGTTTTTGCACGGTAACTCTAAAACTGTTAGAAAACAACGCAAAAAATATATGTATTATTAAGCACTCAAAATTCTCTACACGATAGCATCTTTTTTTTTCTTCCGTAGTCAGCCAGAAAGTGCATTTTCATTGCATTTAAATTTGAAATCTGCATTTTTTCGAATGCGATTTTCTCGGGGGTTACAAAGTGCATGGTGACAATTTTTGTATAATTAGAATGAGTAATCTTCATAGTATCAAACACTTTTTCTAATTTTGCAATATCTGCCTTTGCTAGCCGGCAACACAAAGAAATGCATACCCCTCTCTCGATTTTTCAACTTTTTCCGACACCGATCGGCGGCGAAAAAAGTTCGGAATGCTGTGCAGGGTGTTTCAAGAAACAGGACAGAAACTTTTTGCGAATATCTTTGAGCTCTTGGGAGTTATCGCGGAAATCCTTCTTGTTTCTAAAAATAGAATTTGGGCGGTTTTGTATACAGCAAAAAATTTTTTTTTCGTCGGCGGAGAGGACTGTTCTCGGCCGAGACATTTGGGGCCTTTTTTAAAAATCACATCGTGTTACATGGCGGAAACTCTGTTACAACGGCCAAAATTATGTTTTCGTTCCACCTCCGTGGATTTTACGGTGTCCTTTTTCGTTTTTTTCGATTTTACGCACATCCGAGGAGGCGCGGCGGAGACCTCAGATTTCGGCGGACGTCGTTTTGGGCCCTTGGATCATTCGATTCAGGTTGAAAAAAAGTGTGAGGTGATTTTTTGTTGCCAAAGGCAAACACATAATCCATGATTCGGTTCGTTTTGACCTCGAGGCGCAAGTCGGCGGAGGATTCGGCGGACGCAATATTGAAAGGAGATTTGGAGTGCGAAAAAATCTTATTGTTAGTTCCAATAATTCGATAAAGCCACCGGATTTATTAAACACTTTTGGTACTTTCTTTCGGTAAAAGGCTCGGAATGCAAATCGGCGGAGGAATCGGCGAAGACATTTTAAACGTTCCAGAGGGTCAAAGAGATCCGCAAAAAAGGCAAATCGCTTCCATAACCCGAGGTCAAAACAAACTGAATCATGGATTCTGTGTTTGCTTTTGGCAACAAAAAATCACCTCACACTTTTTTTCAAACTGAATTGAATGATCCAAAGGCCCAAAAGGGCGTCCGCCGAAATCTGAGGTCTCCGCCGCGCCTCCGCGGATGAGCGTAAAATCGAAAAAGTGAAAAAGCATGCCGTAAAATCCACGGAGGTGTAACTTAAACATAATTTTGGCCGTTGTAACAGAGTTTCCACCAGGTAATACGCGTATATACGATGTGATTTTAAAAAAAGGCCCCAAATGTCTCCGCCGAAAACTGGCCTCTCTGCCGACAAAAAAAATTTTTTTGTGCTCACGATCAGTATAAAACCGCCCATATTCAATTTTTAGAAACAAGAAGAATTTCCGCGGTAACTCCGGAGAGCTCAAAGATATTCGCAAACAGTTTCTGTCATATAATTTCTTGAAACACCCTGCACAGTACTACCTATATAGTATGTGGGGAAATTTTGCCTTTAGGCGTCAATGATGTTGCTTTTGAGCCTAGTAGTACGTCGCGACATAAAGTCCGTAGAATTTGCACAGTGCATTTTTTCGCCGTCGCCGCTGCGACTTCCCGTCTTGGCGCTAGCGACATGCCCTTTTCGGCGATTGCACTTTTTCGCGACGTCGGCGAAAAAAATTCTACGGACTTTATGGCGCAACTACGGTAAATTAGTAATTTTTCGATTTTTTTTTTCACAAATCCTTGGTTTGTGAGCGTGTTGATTTCAAATCAGAAAAATAATAAGATTTTCGTAATCATCGAAACCCCCAAATCGAGTATTTGTGACAAAAATTCGAAAAATTACTACTTTACAGTACTACTTAAGAAAAAAAGTTACAATCAAAAATATGAATATCTTTCTTGAAATCAACGCCATCGATCATTCTGTGTTCGGAATGCAAGGAAACAGGGTGTTTCAAGAAATTTCGCTGATTTTTTTGGGGTATGTCCCGTTTAAAAGGGAACTGGGACGATTGGGGAAAAAGACGATTGGGGAAAGGGACGATTGGGGAAAAAGACGATTGGGGAAAAGTACGATTGGGGAAACCGAAAAGTATTATTTTTCTTCCATGCAAATGTCGAAGTTAGGATAATCGAGGGTGCTCATTTCGAATAGCGGGTTTATTTTTTCTGAACATTACTAGTTTTCCTTAAGTAGTACTGTTAAGTACTAATTTTTTAAAAATTTTCGAAAAATACTGGATTTAGGGGATTTCGAAGGTGCTGGTTTCGAAAATCATGTTCATTTTTCCTCTAGTACTATATAGTACTATTCTGATACTATATAGTACGAGGTCAAAATATGGCTTTTGACGTTAATGGTGTTGTTTTGATGCTTAGTACTCTTCAAAAACACGTTTTAAAGACTTGGTGCTATATAGTACTGTCTGATACTATGTAGTACGAAGTAAAAATAGGCGTACTAAGCACCAGAACAACACCACGAACGCCTAAAGGCCAACTTTACACCTCGTACTACATAGTATCAGGTAGTACTATATAGCACCAAGTCTTTAAAACGTGTTTTTGAAGAGTACTAAGCATCAAAACAACACCATTAACGTCAAAAGCCATATTTTGACCTCGTACTATATAGTATCAGAATAGTACTATATAGTACTAGAGGAAAAATGAACATGATTTTCGAAATCAGCACCCTCGAAAACCCCTAAATCGAGTATTTTTTAAAAAATTTCAAAAAATTACTTTTTAACACTACTGCTTAAGGAAAACTAGTAAGTTTCAGAAAAAATGAACATCATTTTCGAAATCAGCACCCTCGAAAACCCCTATATCGAGTATTTATGAAAAAAAATGAAAAATTACTACTTTACAGTACTACTTAAGGAAAAAAGTAAGAATCAAAAAAATGAATGTCATTTTCGAAATGAGCACCCTCGATTATCCTAACTTCGACATTTGCATGGAAGAAAAATAATACTTTTCGGTTTCCCCAATCGTACTTTTCCCCAATCGTCCAACTCCGGTTTAAAAGAAGGAGCCCACATAAAAGTACTTTCCTTGTCATATTTTTTGCGAGATTCTCGAACTTGTCGCCATATACATATAAATCACCTTCGTTATACGTTGGCTGAGAACCAAGAAATCGACAAAAAATTTCCGGCGCATTTCTCTGACACCATGTACTTTGAATTATGGGCTTTCATAATCCGTCAAAATTTTCGACGTGCGTAAATATACGAAACAGCAATAATATAAATTATAAACAATGTGTTAGCTCCCCCGAAATGACATCAACTATTCCATGATGTTTCCTTTTAAAGATTTATGTTTCCGATTAACGGATATGCGAGCGAGGATTTATGTATCTTTGTTTGCATACGCTAATTGCTAATAATGGGTGCTGTGTGTAATACTCTAGTGGTTACTTGCTTTCTTAATCAGTCTTAAATCCCCGGTTAGTGTGATTCTACCGTCTTCTTGTTGTGTTCCACAAAGTACTGTTTACGATCGTCTCGCAGTTAATTTGGAATAACAAACAGAAGAAATGAGTATGATGGGGAACGCCCGTTGATTCCGGATGACATTCCGATGGTCAAGTTGGCCTCATGAATAAGTCGCCACCTCGCGACATATGGCTTCACTTTATTTATAGCGCGATAATGGCGGCTTCATTTCTGTCGTTTATCATATTGTTCTTTACACGACGGTGTTCGGCCGAAAAAATCCCCTAAGGGCATCTGGACGGCTTCTTTGAAGCCATTCTCCGCAATTTCGGTCTCTTTCGGCCTCTCTAAACGTCCAATTTGGAGCTAAATGGATTTTAAATCAATTGACAATGCCTGTTTTAATAAAGTTCAAGGTTTCAGGCAGGATGGAGAGTGATGACATCTCCATTCACACCATCGATTGTCAGCTCGACTCTTCTCGATGCGAGTGTCATACTTCATACCAGTTCTATGAATATCAAGAAAGATTTGTTTTGGGAGTCGTTGCCTGGGGATTTATTGTTTTTGGGATCATTTGTAATCTGATGTCGGTACGGATATTCACCCATCGTTTAATGTATTCCACATGTATTAACTGGTATCTCACCGTGCTTTCGTTGACGGATTCTTTCGTTTTAATGGCAGCTTTCTTTGTTCTTACTTTGCCTCGGCTTGGAGAAACATTTCATTTTTGGGCAGCGACAAAACTGAGGTAGGAATTTCCATTGTAAACGATGCTTCAAACAAAATAAAGATCTTAATGTTGTTCGTTCAGTTATAACCTGGTTCCTATCTGTTATGGATTGATGACTCTGACACAAACTGCGAGGTAATTATCATCAAAAGCCCCAATTTCTCTTCTTTTTAGCGTTTGGATTACTGTAGCTTTATCAGTACATCGGTTCATCGGCGTTTGTTATCCATTTCAATCAATGGAATGGTTGAGTGACGGCAAAGTGAGACGCCTTATACTGTCCATCCTCATCTTCTCCGTCTTCTTCAACCTCACCCGGTTCTTTGAAGTTCGAGTAGTTAATAGTTGTTATCGAGAGAACATCCAGTCGGAAATCCCAGTAAGTTCTCTCATCCAAAGTGTTTAATCAGAACGCTGAATTGGGAAGATCTTGTAATACTCGCTGCAATTAAATAACTGCTTCAAATGTTGATTACCATTTTAGGTAATCGCACCAACGGCGATGCGGATGAATCCCATCTACAGATCAGTCTTCTTTGGATGGGCTTATACTCTGGTCATGTTTTTGATCCCCTTTGTGATACTTATTATAGTTAACACCCGAGTCTTGAACAGTATCAGAAGACAAAACCGTCGTCATCGTCGTCAAAGCACAACGGTTGCCGAGATCCAGATGAGCAAGAAAGCGGAGACCAAGGAGCGGCAGACCACTGTAATGTTATTCGCTCTGGTCGTCGTTTTTCTTTCCTGTAATACCCTGGCATTACTCTCCAATATCATGGAGAATATCGGATATGACGACAGCTACTTGTATGCCTCCCTTGTGACTTATAACAACTTCTTTGTGAGCTTCCAAAATTTATTCAGAAAGTGTTGTAGTGGATTAACCTGCAGATTACTTTTATTTTAGGTAATCGTGAACGCATCGAGCAATGTGTTCATCTTCATGTTGTTCTCAGAGAAATATCGTCTCATAATGAAAACATATATGATGAATATACATCGCCGGCCAAGTCGAACCGATTCCCAATTACTGACCAATGGCCCCATATTCGTGTAAAATTTTAGTTAAGAAAAAAACGGGTAACCAACCTCAAAAGTAATAAATAATTTATATGAATAAATTATCAACCAGTTACAAAAACAATCCCCGTAAGTGAATACACCACATTATCATAGCTAATGTAATCTTGACTAGTTCAATCATAATTATCCGCCATAATCGCAAAGACCAGAGCAGTCCAGCCAGTGAAAGGCCGAGTTCCTTGTCCTTGGCCCGTCTTGTCATTATAATTCTCCCAAAACAGGCCTGTTTCTTGATATTGTTTTAGGACATTGTTAAGGACATTCTCTTTAAGCTTATTATACAACTCCTTGGCCTTCTCTGCCGATGAGCCTCCCTGTTCAGAGTAATGATTTAACGCCTCCAGCGCCATATAATTCAAGTTAATCCAGACATTTCCCCGCCAATACGGAGGGTCATGCGGGGTGTTTTTCTGGTCATAATATGAGCAGTTCTTGGCCAACGATCGGAGTCCATACGGAGTCCATAACAACTACAATCATATTCATACAAACAGTTGCAACTTACTTGAGGATTGCTTAGCTCGTCCAATATGATTTCCAATTCTTCTGACTCAGCAGGTAAAAGTTTCAAAAGGAATGGGAACAATGAGACATAACCATAGACATCATCCACTAGTCGCTTCTTGGGCTCTTCCAGTACTTTCCTCACTACTCTCTTACCCATTTGGCCATTAGGCCCTGAGGGAAAAACGTCGGTGACCAATTTGACTTTATAACTGTGAAGCCCGAAATCAGCGTACCTTCTCTTTTCATGCGACCAATGATACTTGTTGATCTCATTTATGTCTCCAAAAGTCCGTTGATCATCGTCGGCTTCATTGATAAACATGGTATCAGACGAAAGTTCTGCGAGATATCTAATTACTCTTGAAGCGACGGCCAACCAACACCTTATGTCCAAGTGATATTCCTAAAACAGTTTGAAAGGGGAATACGTCACATACATCAGAAGTTGGATGAGATGCCCTGGGGTAGTCGTCTAGTCCACTTGGAAGGGTCTTTGGATTTAACTCGAGGTTTGTTGTCTGATTTCGACCTTGCCATTGGAAGGTGCCTTTATAAGGGCCTTGTTGGGAATCTCGCAGCCATAAGTACCATTGTTTTAACCGGGGATATAAAGACACAATCCTGTGTTTATATTGAGAAATCAGCTAAAAAATAAATAAACGGTAACGGTAACTTACTTTAGAATTGTGAACAAATTTCTCGAGGAGATAAAAGAAAACCGGAGGATTCGCGACATCATCAGACTGGACCAAGAACTCCGCTGGAACTTTGGTCTCTGCTTCAGCGCCCAAAATCATTTCTCGTGGAATCCAGCCTTCCGAGTTCATACAGTTTAACCAAAAGGAGAGAATCTAAAATTTTATACATGAATGGATACACATCGTAAACCACCTTACGTCCAAAGACAGTTCAGGATCGATTTTATGGATAAGAACATTGTGAAATCCTTCATCCCATATGAATCCTCGAGGGAAGAAAGGTCTGGAAGGCACAGCTGATAGGAGTTCCAAAGGTCCAAAAGGTTCCACTCTCCCTTGGGGCCAATTCCGACTCCTCATTTTCGCGTTCCCCGACCAATATCCAACCCCGCCCAAAAGATTGGAGATTGCCACTTTTCCCATATCAAACATTTTCGGGGAAATATCCTAAAAATCCTTTTCTACACATTATTTAAGTACCCACCTTGCTCCGATGGAAAGAATCCTTGAGTCTTTCTTCGAACTCCTTACTTCTCTTGTTAAATTCCTCATCAAAGTTTGGGAGATCTTGCTCAGACTGTTCTTTTAACTCCACTAAGACACTATCCTCACCTATAACTACATAACAAAATCCTGCTTTCATTACCTGGTATATCAAGATGAATGGCGAAAAGGTTGAATGTCTCCAATCTCTTGGTGTTAAAGATAATATTATCCCCATCTAACGCTAAGGAACGTTTGAATAACTCAACAAGATGAGTAGGATCAGGGATTGGAGGTCGATGGAGGGTTAATAACGACCGCTTAACTTGTTTCTCCGAAGATATCTCGAATTCCAAAGAAGAATCTGGCTGCCCAGGAGTATGAATCCAGATTTTAGGTAGTTCCGTTATCTGATCCAGGGTGAAACTTGTCTCCGGATTCTAAATAATAAACTACCACCAAGAAACAACACCTACCTGCGACAAAAAATAGAATATTAATCCAGTGTACGCTTTGTCCCTTCTTTTGACATCGACTTGGGAAAGAAAAGAGTTTCCTCGATTAAACCACTTTGTTGTAAGATTCAAAGGTCCATCTACAATATCCTGCGACCCAAAAGACTTCCCATCCGCTGCTGTCCACAAATATTTTATCCCATCATCTAAATAATTCGTAAAGACGCTCAAACCAACTCACTTTGACTACAATCGTGACGGAAATCAGAAAGGAGATTCTGAGCGACATGACTGTACCAAGAAATACCAAACAACGGCGATGTTTGGTTTCTCGTCTTCAGACTGAAGTACGCCTGCGGTCTGTAAGACCCCCATGAATCCTGACGACGTTAAGTTAAACAATTATCTATATTAACTCACTCTGTTGAATTTCTCAGAATGTGCCGCTCTTGGCAAGGTCGACAACACCGCAGGGTTTAGTTCGGCATTTCGGTAGTTAAGATATCTTACAAAAGCAATACCAGCGATAACAACAACCGCTTGAATGAAATAATGTTGGTTCTTTGATATAAACGGAGGCCGGTCACCTAGTCGAAGTGCTTTAGGAACAGAAGATGGCTTTTTATCAACCTTTTTTTTGCTCATTGTTATAGTTGCCGCAATATGAAAAAAGAGAGTTGTAGAAAAGCGGTAATCACTTCAATTATATTGATTTAGTATTAAACGCCAACTTCGATGGGCCCTTTGTAGCCTCTAGAATAGACATTCGGATATCTGTCTATTCCAAACTCTTTTTGGTATTTTATTTTTAGGCAGAATGCCAAAATTAGCTCCCACAACGAAAACAATCTGATGCATTTCATTTTTGCGTCTTCCAGTGAGTAAGAGAAAAGAAAAGAGAATGTCCGTTTTTGCGCTTTAGTACAAGGAGGAGCAAAGAAGTATTGCGAGGTCCAATGCCAGTAATTCGAATTTTATTTTAGCTCCGGTCAAGATTGACGCGATCGACTCTTTTGTTCCACTGACATACTTGTTTTTTCATTTTTATACGACATTTTCAGTTGTAATGGGACGGGCGAAAAATCGAAAAGTTGTCCCAACTCGAGTGAAACAACATCAAGTTGCCGTTCGGGATCACACCGTTGTTATCGAATGTCTCAAGCCCTATGTCAGTCTCTTGCCTGATCTGCGATCTGTTGGAACTTCTAAACAGAAGGCCTTACATCTGGCTTTGTACCACGTCGGATGTAGTGCCGCCCAAGCTTTGGAGAGTTATCTCAAAGAAAAGCCGATCAACGTAAAAGGAGATGAAAATTCGGTAGGATTTTAATTTACTTGTTTTATTTTTAGGTTATTTGCAAAGATCAATACCACTTGATTTTCTTGTTATGATCGGCGTTTTTATGAAATACATGTTTTAGTCGGAGAGCGAAGAGTTGAGGTTGTTGCTTAATTATGTCTCGGTTGAAATGGCCGCTGATGACCTCAAGCGAGTGTGCATGGGTGAAGATGGGAAGATCCTGTTGAGAGATGAGCATAATAAGATTCTGAATGAAGTGGCGGCCGCCGCTTTATCTGCCTTCACCTTTGCTGCTGCTGGGAGGCCAGCAACCCGACATGTCGAATATCTGATGAACCCCACCGCCTCCGTCGACGGCCCTGATGAAAATGGGTCTCATGCCTCAACTGCAGTTAGTGCCGACCCCAAGGGTGGTGGATATGCGACTGGGCATTACGTCGAGTCTTTGTTCACGAACCCATTCAACCCGAAGAGTCGAAAGAAAGATGGGAGCGATGATGGAGAAGAGTATTCGGATGAGGAAGATGACGAAGACTCCGATGATGATGATATAGACGACCCAAACGATGAAACTGCCAATGTTGACCGAACAGATGCTCTTTTAAGGTTTGCCTGTTCCGTCGGATATACGGAATTAGTGCGACAACTGGTAAAAATACGGGGTTCCGCCGAATATTCATCTATTCGGAAAACGACTATGTTGATGGAGGCCTGTTGTGTTGGCCATACGGAGATTGTGAAAGAATTGATTAGTTTTGGAGCAGATGTTAATGCGTTAAGTGGGACACTAAATACTGCCCTGATCTACGCTTCAACTACCGGCAAGGTCGATGTATGTCAGAGTTTTGTTGTTTATTGTTTTTATGACTTGGTTTATGGGTTGGTTTTTAGTGTGTGAGACTATTGTTACAATGCCCCGGAGTTATGCTGGATATCCGAAATGCCAGTGGTCACACAGCTTTAATGGAAGCCAGCAGTGCTGGACACCTTGATGTGGTTAAAGAATTGTTGGCTTACAATGCTGATATCTTTGCGATTGTTGAGAACGTTGATTTTAAGGTAAATTATTTCCTTTGTGTTTTTATTTTAGGAATCGTCTCTTTCACTTGCTTCGTATCGAGGTCACGTTGAGGTTGTCAAGTATCTCTTCCAAAATATGGCAGATACTCCAGAGAAATTGGAGGAATTGCATACTGGACTCCTGGAGGCTGCGATGAATGGACATTATGAAGTGGCAAAGGCGTTGTTGGATGGAGGAGCCCCTGTTAATCTCCCAACTGAGAACTTTGAGAGTCCCTTGACCTTGGCTGCTTGTGGAGGTCATCTCGAATTGGTTGAGTTGTTGGTCGAACGAGGAGCTGATCTGGAAGAACCTAATGATGAAGGGTATACCCCGTTGATGGAAGCTGCGAGAGAGGGGTACAAGGATGTTGTGGAGTATCTTCTTGACCATGGGGCTAATGTTAATTCCAAGATTGAAGAAGGAATTGAGACACCCTTGACTCTGGCTGCTTCTGGTGGATATCTGTAAGTACTTTTATTTCGTCTGTTTTTTTGCAATTGGCATGAATTGTAAATCGAGTCTTTAGGAGTGTTGTCCAAATTTTGGTACGAAGAGGTGGAGATTTGTTTTTGGGCGAGAGGACTCCATTATATGAGGCTGTACAGGAAGGTCATGTTGAAGTGACAAAGTTCATTATCAACGAATTGAAGAACACTGAGAGAAAAGAGGCATGTCGCGTTTGTTTTGATTTTTAAGTTCTCTTTAGGATGCAATTGTCGAACTAAATTGCGCTCTTGTATGCGCTGCTGAGAATGCCAGTCTTCCAATGTGTAACCTTTTGCTGGAGAATGGCGCTGGGAAGGATAGTTACTCAAGGGAAGGCCGAACTCCTCTGATGGAAGCGGCTCGACATGGAAATATTGAAATCATTGATTACTTGATTCTAAAAGGAGTAGATGTCAACAAATCATCTCCGAATAACGATGCGACGGCCCTTTCTTTGAGTTGTCTTTACGGACACGCGGAAGCAACAAAGCTGCTTTTAATGAACGGTGCAAACCCAGAACACACTCTGAGGGATTCGGTTTCTTGTATTATTGAAGCGTCGAGGAATGGAAGCACTGAATGTGCAAAGCTTTTGTTGGATTATATCAGTCATCCGGATAGAAATCATCGGATTTCTACAGCTGTAAGTCGCGTTTTTTTTGTTAATGCATAAATTTAGGTTGAAATAAGTAATCGTCCTAAGATCAAGCCGGTTTCTAAACTCCAGAATGGAGTCCATGCGACCACGCGTCCTCAATCTGAGCGATACCATCCCAACGAAACCGGAGATGCTTCTTCTCGTTTAGATCATCTACCAGGCCAACGAAATCTTACAGAAGATCATAGTCATTCGAATTGTAAGTTGAGTAAGTCAACCTTTTGCTTACTTTTATTATAATAATGTCATGTATATCTGGGCTGCCTTTCATTTATTCTAATTTTTAGCTGTCAAATCCGCAGAAGAGTCGACTCTGGCTCATTTTATGTACAACACTTTGATTGAACCCAAAAGAAAAGATGGATGGTCGGATAATGATCTAGAGATATTTATGGACATGATTTCAACAGCAAAACTTTTGGATATAAACCCCAAGGCAATTGCTCAAGCAATGACAGAGTTTGAGAACACCGGAGGTTTGATTGGATTGAATTCGTTGGCAGAATCCTCTGGATGTCCATCATGTCAACATTCCCAACGAGTTGCTGCAAAGACAAGTCCCAATTTGAACGTGAACACTGCTGCGGTTCTGAATGCCATTCATAATGCGCGTTCAGGAGCTGAAGAAGCAGCTCGGGTTGCCAATGCCGTCTTTCCTCACGGTGCACCGGCTCCAGACTCTGGATTACTTAACTCCACATGCAATGCTACAATCAAAAGAAAGGTAGTGAAATCGCAGACTGGAGTGGGAGAAGGAACCACCAAAGCGACTACTACTGGATGTAAGGACAAATTTTAATTAATTTATTTGATTTTAGTGAAGCAAAAGTTAGCGGAGACGAGTGAATTGATCCGGTCGAAGCTCGAATCCCTTTCCGTTGAGGCCGAGTATTTAGCCCAACTGTCCAATTCCTCTGGTTCCACTAATGCTCCAGCCGGGTCTTTGGAGGAAACGATGCTCAAACTCAGAGAGCTTGGTTTTTCTTATAACTGTGAGTGCATTTATATAACGCCTATTAATTTCTTCTAGCTGCAAATCAAATGTTTCCCTCTCCTTGTTTCAACAACCGCAACTCGCCTGTGCCCTCGGATCATCCAGTGTTTGTTCATCAACAAAAGCAGATTCTGCATACTCATCAAAGCAATGTTTACAACCCGGTTATTCCAACAGAGCCTGCTCCTGCGAATCCTCGAATTGGTCGTCGAGTGTCCAAGACAGGGGCCTCGGAACGCCGTACGGCATCAGCTGGTTCGTCTCTTCCACCGACTTCCGAGCCGTTAACTAATAGAACCATCGAGGATCCTCATGTTGCTAACTTCGTTGACATTCAGACCGAGACCAATTCGGATACCGCGTTGACGGTTGCCTGTGTTGGTGGGCATGATGCTTTAGTGAAGTTGTTGATCGAAAGGGGAGCCAATATTGAACATAGAGACAAGAAGGGATTCACTCCTCTTATTCTGGCAGCTACTGGAGGGCATGTTGAAGTTTGCAAACTGTTGATTGGCGCTCATTGTGTTATCGATGCTCAGTCTGATAGAACCAAGGATACTGCTTTGTCACTGGCCTGTTCCGGAGGTCGCAGAGATGTAGGGTGGTTAGACGGGAACTGATTTTAATAGTTGTTTGCATTAATAATGTTTATTTTATAGGTTGTGGAACTTCTGTTGCAATATGGTGCGAACAAAGAGCATCGCAATGTTAGCGACTACACTCCGCTTTCACTCGCTGCTTCTGGTGGATATGTTGATATTATTACTTTACTTCTAAATGCTGGAGCTGAGATAAACTCCCGCACTGGATCTAAATTGGGGATCTCTCCATTAATGTTGGCTGCAATGAATGGACATGATCAAGCAACGCTTTTGCTTCTCGAACGAGGCTCCGACATTAATGCACAGATTGAGACGAATAGAAATACTGCACTGACTCTGGCCTGTTTTCAAGGAAGGACTGAAGTTGTTCGACTTTTGTTGCGTTATGGAGCGAATGTTGAACATAGAGCTAAAGTATGGTTTTATTTCATATTATTGTGATTACCTTCTGATTTTAGACTGGCCTAACACCATTGATGGAAGCTGCCAATGGAGGGTATACTGAGGTTGGTGAACTCCTTCTTCTTGCTGGAGCTGATCCCAATGCTCCTCCCGTCCCGAGTTCTCGTGATACCGCCTTAACCATCGCTGCTGACAAGGGTCATTCGAGTTTTGTGGATATATTGCTTGATCATAATGCAGCTATAGATGTCAGAAACAAGAAAGGATGCACTCCACTGTTCTTGGCTTGCTCTGGAGGCCACCTGCCTACAGTTAAAAGCCTTATCCTTAAAGGAGCCGATCCTGACGCCATGGATAACAGAAAAACCCTTCCTTTGGTGGCTGCGTTTAGAAAAGGACATCTGGAGGTGGTCGAGTACATGGTTTGTCATGTGACTCAATTCCCAAACGACTCGGAATGCCTGCGATTCTACAAGTCTTGCGGAGACGAAGAGGCTGCCTCTAAGATCAAAAAATGTTTTTGTTCGATTGTAACAGCTAAGGAAAAGCAAGCCGAACAAGCTAATAAGGCAGCTGATGATCTCCTACAATTACTTGAAGAGGAGAAGAAACAAGCAAAAGTAAAAGAAGAAACCAAAAAGAAACAAAAGGAAAAGAAGAAAGCCAAGAAATTGGCAAGGAAATTACAAGACCTACCTTCAGAAAAGGATATGGAGGAAGATCAGGAAGCCAAGGAAAATGTTCATAAGATTAAGGCCGCTAGTCCTGAGGTTGAGAAGAGTCCAGAAGAAGAGCGGGTACCAGTAGTACCTTTTAATGAAAAAGTCGACGTCAAAGAATCTTTTGCCCCAGTCGGGAAGCAGAAGCGGCAATCAAGAAGGCAGCGGAACGAGTCAAGTGGTATGTTTTTAAAACATAACATTTGGGCTGATTTTTTGTACTTATTGTTTTGATTTAGCGGCGTCCATTTCCGTAACATCTCCCCGTCCAAGTCCTTTGCCAAATAATGGTGTCTTCAAATCATCTACTGCGTCTTCTAATGAGGAATCGGAATGGCACAGTGCGGGAAAGAAGAGAGCTGTGGTAAGTAAAGTGTAATCGCCAATTACTCTGATTTCCAGTCACGTCATGGAAAAGAACCACGGAATTCAAAGGATTCTTCAACTCATGAAGTCAATCCGTCTGAATTCGAAATCATCAGCGACATTACCCATGACAATCCTAACATCTTGGAGACCTTAAATCAAAGCGACCTCAACTCGAAGAGACGAGTCTACGCCATGATTGTCAATTCGAATACTGTGGCCAGAATCATTGGAAGAGCTGGCCAAAATATAAATGCCATCAGAGAAGCGACAGGAGCCCATATCGAAGTGGAGAAGATAGCCACCCGGAGGGAACAGAGCACCAGACAAATTGTAGTCAAGGGTCTATACGATGTCGCCAAATTGGCCGTTACAATGATTGATCAATTAATCAGAGACAGCGAAACTCACGTTAGTGATATAATCAAAAGGGTCACCCGATCCCGCTCTCGATCGTCCACCAACACCCAATCCCAAGGTTACGGAACCACTTACAGACACTGCGGCTATACTGTGGCTTCGTCAAATGCTTCGAATGTATCCTCCAATCAAGGACTAGGAAACGTCTGGCAAAAGAGAGCGGCCACCATCAGACATGTACATCCAAGTACAGATCCAGCTTCTATTGAATCCCAGTCTAGTGGATCTCCACCACCTCCAATACAAACGCCTGCTCAAGGGCTCCCGGTTTCTTCCTCGGTTTCTCCAATTCGGTCACAGTCAGACAGTCCCATTCCTCATTTACAGCCAACTTCCTTTGTTAATGAGACCATAGAAGAAGTCCTGACTCCCAACAGACTCCCAGACATTGTTGATGAAGACCTAAGAAGAAAGGCGCCGGGATGCGATAGACCGTCGGCCAACCAAGCAAGGGATCCGCAAAGGTGAGACTGAGGTTTTTACTTTTTAAAACATGTTTTTTAGAAACGAACCTTTTAATTTTATCCATGAACCAGAACTGCCATCCTTTTCCAACACGGATCTTTTGGAGAACAATTTTGTGGATTTGGCCGGGATCTTGAAGGATGTTCCAATCCAACTTTCTGCGAATGTTGGCACAGCTTCATCTCCAATTATCCCTCCGTTAAGTAGCTTGAATGGAACTTCACCGCAGTCGGATAAAAAGCCTCGCCCATTATCCGAGATCTGGGATAACCGGGGCTCTGAACCGAACTCCTCAGACTCGTTTGGTCTTGGGTTTAGTTCTATGTTTGGATCAAGTTTGGGAGACCCTAAGGCATCGCTTTGGCTGCCTCCTCAGCCCAAAACCGAATCCGTCAGAGATGATACCTGGCTCGGATCGTCCGGTGCTTCAATGTTTGGGGCTATCGGAAGCGACAAGAATGGAACTCCGAAAGGAAATCGTCCGCATTCGTCTACTGATTGGACCAACTCCTTGCCTTCTAATCAAATGGGATGGGGCCAGCCCAATGATTCAAATTGGTCTGGATCCCCTGGCTTGAAGCCTTCCTTGCCGGCCGCCATTGGTTGTTCAACTCGTTCAACTGAGTCTCCACGAGTGCAAAACGCTAATTGGAGCAATGGTGAAAGGATTGATGTCTTCCATCAACTTGCAGCCCAACTAGGAGACGCCGCCGAAAAAGAGAAACAAAAGCATCAAACTGTTCAGAATGCATTTTCCGCCTACAATCAAGTAGATGATAGAGTAAGTTATCGATTTTTTTTTTGAATTATTCATTTTTCAGTTTGGAATGCCCCAATCTAGACAATCGATGCCGCCTAATACCCAGATACCTACCACCACAGCTGCCCACCCTACAGTAATCAAAAGTTATCTCGACAGTATGCAACAGCCATCCAAGGATTATGAAATGATGTTACCAAATCAAGGAGCCTTCTTTAATCAGTTGACGTCTTCCAGCTCCGGACCAAGACAATTCCCCAGTTCCAGCAGACCTGGCCTCCCCACGAACAATCAGAATGGTCCACAACAACCGGGCATGTTCTACCAGAATCAACGTAATATTCAACCACCTGCTGCATTCGTCCAGCCACCTCCCGGATTCCAGATGAATCGATCTGGAGGGCAGATCGGACAGCCGCCCCCTCCGCCGCCGTTCTTCAACCCCCAGGTCGCTCCTAGGCCGAGTCCTGTAGCTGGTGGATTCCCAAGAAATGGGAATATGGCTGCAACTCCACAGCCCCAAACCAACTTTCCGGGGTGAGTTAGGTGGAATACTCTTATAAGGGAAGTCATTCAGGCACTGGGATTTTCTTAAAGCTTTGCATGTCGGTTATGAACTAGTCACATTGAAGTTTTAGCTCGTGCTTTCCAGCAGAAATGAGCTGGAACGTCAATCCAACTTATTTCCCGACCCGTTTTGAGGTTTCCGGGATGCGGCATCAAGTGTGTGGCATCGTCCACACACTATGAATCTATTGACGAAAAGTTATTCAAGGTTCTTTCGGTTTTCTGACTAGAAAGCAAGGCCATGTTCCGGATGGGAAACAGTTAAACATTTTTCAAACGTCGGCTGCCAGCGAAGTGGTTACCCGACAGTTGTCGCGACGCCCCGCAAGTTTAGAGTTATTTTTTAGGCATATGCGGAGCTATTTGCCCACGCTTTGCAGAAACGACCAAGATCCTTAGGTCGAAAGATTGCAAAAAATTGACAGTTTTTGCGAATTTTGGCGTTTCAAGCCTGTCTGTACCTTAGAGGTTGATGTTCCGCAAAAAAAATTTTTCTGCAACTAAATTGGCAGGGATATTGCCAAAAAGTGTTTCTCTGTAGCCGCACTCTGCGTTTCGCATGCTGTCTCAGCCGCAAAAATCGTTGGATATCTTGGGTGTGTCTGCAAAGCACGAATTTTCAGGAATTGATATGCGGCCCATGCTCGAAGTGTGTGCAAAGTTTAAAGAAAATCGGAGGGGGCATTTGGGGTATTTCCCTTGTTACATTAGACATGACTTTGGATAATAAAAACGTTGTTTTAGTGCGAATTGGTCCAGCTACCCGGGCACTATGAATCCCCAGAATCCGAAACAACCTTTCAACGGTTCTCATCCCCAGTGGAACAATTCCTGGAATTTCTGAAGAATTAACTCCGTTTCCATTTCCTTATTCCTTCCTTCAACTCTGTGCATTAATATTGCACGGTGTTCCTTCCCTTTTTCCCATTCAAAGTTATTGGTGTTTTCAACCCAATGTGATTGTTGATCTTCTCCCTCCGATTAATCAAGGTTTGTTAATTAATTGAATATCTGGGCGAATAATGTATATTCCCTTTTCTCTTGTTATATCGATGGTCGTTCCTTGTCCTATCTTTCGTATTCTTTCTATATAATATCCTTGATCATACGGGACGATGTGTTTTTTCTGTTCTTTTTGACCCAATTCAGAGTATACCGGCTGATTTAAAGTCATTTTTGTACATTTTTTGGGTATTTTTTGTCTACTTTCTTCTTTAAATCTCCAGGTTTTTAGTCATTTCTTGATTTATGTCATGCAGTACACGGTCAAGATTATAATAAACATCAAAACGCGTTTTTTAACTTGTCTTTGATACGATGGTCGGCAAGGTTTTTCTTTCCGCAAAAATATTTACAAAAAATATTTCTCAGCAAGAATGTAGAGCAAGAAGATTGAATTTTAGATTTCTAATTGTGATCATGTTTGCCCTTCCTTCCTCGTTAAAGATTTTTGGTACTCTGCGAAACAGAACAGAGCGTTTAATGAATTTCGGTATGATGGGATGCACAGGATCCATATTATACTTATTTTAGCCCGAAATATGTTTATTCAAGTTGAAGAAACGCCGAATCCGATGACTCTAAAGTTCCTACCCGGCCAGAAAATCTTGAATGAGCCCAGAACATATGATTTTACTTCCATCTCTTCGGCGAAAGCCAGTCCTTTAGCCTTGTAAGTGGAATGATTGTGTGTAATGTGGTATTGTTAGACAATTGCTCCGAGTTCATGGAGTAAAGGCAGTTTTCTTTGGAGAAGATTTTGTTACAGTCACCAAGACGAGCGAGGATGAAGAATGGGCTTTAATAAAGCCAGACGTCTTCGCGACTCTTATGGATTATCTTCAGAGTGGAAGACCGGTAATCGCGGACGAAGCAGCAAATAAAATCACGGATACCAGTGAGGGAAAAAGGTCAAATAACACTTGTTTCAGCCATCCTCGATACTGATGATGATACCGTAGCCATGATCAAGGAGTTATTGGAGAGCAGAATAAAACCGATGGTCCAAGAAGATGGAGGAGATGTCATCTTTAAGGGCTTTAATGATGGAGTTGTCAAATTGAAGTTACAAGTAATGTATCATTAAGTAATAACAGTGGTTTTAAGGGATCTTGCACTGGTTGTCCAAGCTCTGCGGTCACATTAAAGTCTGGGATCAAGAATATGATGCAATTTTATGTTCCAGAGGTACAAGATGTGATCGAAGTGAAGGATGAAAGCGATGATGTTGTGGAAAAACATTTCGAAAAAGTCGACGCCGGGATTAAAAAGTTAAACTAAGGATTTATTCTTTTTATTATCATCTGGCAGTTGTGATAGAAAAAAAACGTAAACGGATAACTCCGCAATTTTATTTAAAACGGATTGTGTGAGAGAGTCAAAGACACAGTGCATACAAAACAAGAATTCATAGCATGATCTTCATATTGTCACCAATGATGATACTTGGGATAACGATCACTATTTTTTTAGAAAAAATGGTAAGGGCCCTTAAGGGGGGGCATACATAGTGACAGTAACCTAGTTTTTCCAAACCTTTGCATAGCAAGAAAAAGTTGTAATGTCAAATAAACTCATCAAATGACTTTTTTTTATGAAAACGTATTATTAAATCACGTTAGCCCCTCAGAAGCAGAGTCCCAAAATACAATCGGGAATTTAAAAAAAAAAACGCCGGCTGGCCTGCACGTAAGGTAATAATAGCAGCTAATTAGAGGTGATCCGAGACCATTTTTACTCTCTTTCAAATGGTACATGTTTCAAAAAACCAGGTGATACGAGGTTGTAAGGCGAAGTTATTCACCGCATTGATATACGAGATTGATACGGTTTGACTCGTCGTGATGTAAAGAATGTTTTAAGCCAACGTAATCCAAAATGGGGATTTTTTGAAAAAAACGGTTGAACCATGAATTTTTGCATAAAAATGTTCAACTATGATCTTTCTTAGAATTTTTAATCATCGGAAAAAGATACGTATAATAATGTTACAGTATACCTGCAGGAACCAAAAAGCGAACTTTTTCCAGCGACCTGTAATCCTTATCACGAGTACTATGTGGTACTGAAGTTACATCTTTTTTGTGTAGCTCTGAATGCTCGATATTCTCAAATAAACTTATTTTAAAGGAAATTGTGCAAATTTAAATGAATACGTAATTGTTTTCAAACCAAAGGAAGATCCACAGCATGTCTCTTGCGTGCAGACCTAAAAGGTAAATTTCATTGGCTTGATTTTCACCTTTCTTGCAAAGTTTTCTTTTTCATGGGTCTGGTTTCCTTTTAGCATCATGTTTCCCTCTGATCACACTTTGTTTACTCGTTCACGCCATCCCTTAATAAACATCCTTCCAAACTTGCCGTATTATTGATTAACTCCATTTTTGTTATCAGTCTGTCGGGAAAATAACGGCCGCCGCGCCTTGGAATCGCTCATCATTTGCGACGGCAAGCCGCGGCTCACGTCAATCCAAAAAAGAAGAAAAAATTTCCCGCCCCTTTTTGGTGATTCGTTCAAAACGAAATGTCACTATCCGATAAAAAGCATTTTCTTATCTTTCTTCTTCCTTTTCGAGAAAAAGCAAATATTTCGGGCGAGAAAAAGTGTCGATAATTTCGCGACATTTCGTCTCTCTTTTAAATCAATGAAAACGATACGAAGTTTCGAAACGGTTCAGGAAATGCGCTGGATTGACGTGCGGCTGGGGATTTGGTGCGGACTATACCCTTTTTTCGACGAAGCGAAACATTTTGCCGATGATTTGAGAATGTGGTTTTTTTTGGTTCTTAGCGAACTAAAGCTTTGGCTGAGCCCAAGATAAGGCCTAGGCTTACTTAGTTTACTTAGACTTAGTCCCAGCCCTTAGGCATCAAGGAAAATCTTTTACGGCCTTTGTTTAATTAAACCCCAGAGATGGTGGAGTTAGAAACTCGGCTCTTCTTCGCTCTGCTGCAGTTTGATTTGAGAAGAAAAATCCACATTATTTTCCAAATCTTGCCCAGAGTGTTCCCGATCGTGTGATCGACCTTGTTGAAGCTTCAGAAAGCGCAACTAAACTTTAGTTATTGTTGTTCAGCGTTTCAATTAGGCTAATAAACTAAATTCGTTATTTTGGAACAAAGAAAACTGCCAAAATTTGGGGTTTTAAATTTTTTTTACAAATTGAGGAAATTTTTCAAAATAATTTTTTTGGCCCAATATTTGTAGTACACCAATGCATATTGGTGCCAAACATGGCATTTTTCTATCGTAATTTTTTATTACTGTAACAGTAATTTGTAATTACTGTAACGGTTATAATTCTGGCTCGCACGGTACAGTGTTGTGGGGGCTATGGATAAGAGCCTTCGGATGAGAAAACGGGACCGTCAATAGAAAGCGAGAGAGAACATGGGGTTAGGGAGAGCGGCAGAGAAGAAGAACATACAACAGTGACCTTTAAGAGATCCGACGAGAGATCTGAAAAGTAAATGGGGCAGAGGGAGAGCGCCCAGAGACCGAAGGGATCGACCACGAAAAGGTTGCCCGCAGGGGAGAACGGACGCAGCGAAGAAAACATAAAAACTCATATGAATTTAGTGTCGAGAGTGCGAGTCGGGAATCGGAGGAGTCTCGTTCACAGCTCCAAGTCAAAGGGGCTAGAGAGCGAAAGGGAGTGGAGGCATGCACCCAGCCACCCCACAGCCCCCCCCCCCTTGCTTTCTCTCGCAGCCTTTGAAACCCGCCAAGCTCGTGGCCAGAAAAAGGGGGGGCGAAGAGTGAGGCCTTTTCTCCTCAAGCTATACAAGTCCCGGCCAGACGCCGTCCAGTAGTCCCACACTGTCGTCACGTATTTTTTGTTGCTCGTGTTCTCCCAATTTAACATGACACGCCTTTTGTCCGCCCATGGCAACTATCAGTCCGGGCAGGCGGCGCTTTTGTATGGCCTTAATTGTCATGAATTAACATAACCTTGTTGATGGGCGAGTTCTCTGCGCCCGGACCCTGACCCACTTTTATCTCCTTTCTCTTCTTGAGGCACATTTCCCAATTGGAGAAGGTGCTAGACGTGTTCTCCTATCCAGCGTTGAACAAATCCTCGGCCAATCTGGCCGCATGATCGATCTTCTTCTCCCTCTTCGGCTTAATCACTCTTTCCGGTGCCCCACTTTACAGTGTTTTCTTTTCGTTGAGAAGAGAGTGATGGTTGTAAAACATTTCTTTAAAGGACGAGGGACTCCTTTGTGACAACCTTGTTTCATCTGGGCACGTGTTTCTCAAGGACAAGGCCGTGGACTTGCGGATGGAGGTCTTGGGTTGGGCTGTTACCTATTTCATTAGGATCTTATAATATCGATTACATTACACTGCCCTTTTTTTAGTGCAAAAAATAAAGTATTGATCGTTCATTTTGGACATTTCGCTTTGTCCCATTAAATTGTTGGTCAGTTCTTATAAAACCCCTTATAAATTGGCCTTAAAACCCGTGTTCTTGGGCCATGTCTGCGTCTCTTTACACGCTCTCCTTCGTATACGTTATGAATGTGTTTACATGTATGTCTTTTATGTTATTTTACAGCCTTTAAAGATGGAAGCGACGTCATCGCGCCCATCTCCATACCCTTAATTTCCTTAATTGGCGGCTGGATGAATGAAAAAAGCCTTTGGGCGTTATTTTTATCGATTTATTTGTTTGAGCGATGATAATGTTTAAACTTGATCGGTCTGCGATTAGGGTTTCTTCATTTAAACTCTAGTAGATTACCGTAGTAGACCTTTTTTAACTTTCTGTGTGATCACAAAATTTTTATTGTTGTGATTACAACCAAAATTATGATTTTTGTGGAAATCTCACGTTGCTTGTGATATTTTTGGTGTGGCAAGGGGGGGGGGGGCGTTACGTCATCATAGGAACTCTTAAACTTAACATTAAATGCATTTCATGCTTTGAGGTGATTTAATTTCATTAGATCTCAAGTTGTTTTAAAATCTGAAATTATATCTGCCTGTCGGGAAAGTGATGAGCACTCGGTCGCATCGAAAATCCGCCCCAAGAAAATGAATTGTGTCGCGACAAAGTCAACTTGCTTTGCACTTCAGCGACGCGACCGGCACAGTGAAATTGTGCTCACTATTTTCCCGACGGACTGATGGGTTATTTACTTTTTGCATGTATGTTTAATTTTCCTAATCTAGCATACATCTTAATAATTTTTTTCACAAATTCGTCCTTAAAGTCGTCGTATCGGGTGCCTTGTCCTCGTTCCTTTAAAAAGCTTAAGGGCGCCCTTAAGAAGAAGATCGTGGCTTATGAAGATGCAGAAGGATTGTCGCTTTCTTGGAAGCTCCGTTGTTTTTTGGGTTCCGAAGGAAGAGGACCTTGATTCCACGTAAAATTACTTTCGGAGTTTTTTATTCGCCCAGAAATCTGAAACAAATACCTTTAGTCTTTCCCCCCTCCTTTTTTCCCCCTCCGCTTCTTAAAGTGTCGCCAAATGCATGTTTTGTTTTACCGAGATTTTTTCTTCGCTCTTACATTTACAATACTGTTTAGCAGCCTGACGCCGATACCAACTATTTTGCCCTCAGGCCAATGAGTGTGTGGCCATGAGAGGGACCCATCTGATACCCTTTCTATTCGCCCTAGGCGGGTTTCTGGTGGTCTCCGCCCAATCCTTCTCCTACACCCGTGATTGTAATGATCAGCAGCATCGAGTAAGTATTTTCTTTATCGTCTCAGTCCCTTCTTTATCTTCTACTATCCCTATTGCAAACTTCTTCATGGTTGTCAACCCCCTAATCGATTCGTTCGCTTGGCTTCGCTGATTCTTATCTTAGAGAAACATTTATCTTCTTTTGTAATGGGTTTTACAAAAAGACAGACAGAGAGACTATGAGTACTCGAAATAAAATAAATTTGATTTCCAGGAGATCCATTGTGTAGTCAGACAAGTGGATTGTGATGAAGACGAGCAGATTCCACAGATCAATGACACGGCTCGATTACCCGGAGAGGCCCATGATATCAGGGTTTCCAATGTAGTGAAAGCGGTATCGAAGCGAAAAGGGGAAAGTTATCAACTCTCGGTAGATATCTCGTGGCAAACTCCCCCAAACAGTAAGTACAATTGTAGTCAGGCAATATAATTATGCTTTAATTCTTTTATAACTATGAGTATTCAAGTTCTGTTGAGAGCGGTCTAGTCTAAGGTCTTTACTTTACGGTTAATTGCACTAGGTGGGTCGAAAAGTCTATGTATTTCTTCTCACCGTGCGGTAGACTTCTTGAGCCACCTAGCAAGTAATGTTATGTCATCAAATTAATCGCTCGAAAAATGGAAAACTCACAGATATTCGAAGCGAATACGAATAGATCTTTGTACGTTTGTTTATCCCAGATTATCCAAAGATTAGACTCTCATCTCTGATTAGTTACCTACACAGTTAAGAATATATTACCATGCCAATTACTTTTAGACTCTACACTTCTTTTAAACGGATTCCTGTTGGAGATAAATTCGGAAGATGGGAAGCAACACCAATGTTTTTTGTTGGATGTAAATGGATCCACGTGGACAGACAATGCTGTCAAGTTGTCGGTAAGGAACCATTCGATGTAACTGCGCAAGTAATAAGCAGAAATGATTGCTTTAATTTCAGCCGCGACTCCATTTCTTCACGGAATCCCTCTTCAGATTCTCTCAGAATTATGAGATCTCGGTTCACTCATTGCCCGAGGGTGTTGACATAACCAGAACAGCGACCAAAACTGTCCAGATGCCCCATCATCCTAGATCTTTTAACCAGTCTGACATCCTTCCTTCCAATTGCTCCCATTCTTGTAAGTGTTTTCTTTCCTTACAATGGATCACTATATCTTTGTTACAATGACACTTATTAATCCTTACAGCCCATCCATTCGCCTCACAATGGGCTGCTGGATTCCGTCGAGTCCTGGTTTATCCACTGACTAGGACTGTCCACATCGAATTCATCGCTGCTCCTCCAGAATATTGCTTCGAACAATATGAGGTGAGCAATCCTTCTAAATCAATATAATTGCTTACATACAGATTATAATCTTAAGAATTGTCTAACCAAATATTTTTAGATCCGATTAATGGATGCTACAGTAATGTTGGTGGAAAGGAGCACAATCATCAGTCTGGATCAACTGATCGAAGAGGATATAAACGGGACTGTCAACTATATTGGTTATGTCAATTTCACGGATGTTGAGGTAACGTTTCTTTTCTTGGATTGATGTGGTGTTTAGTTGAACAAGACCTACACCCCTACCGTAATCCCTGTGGAAACGTCGGTGGATGGGCGATGTCTGTGTCCAGTTCACTCACAGGGTCATCTCAAGAGCACCAATGTAGTTTGTACTTGCGTAAACTCGGAGAGTAAAAGGATCCGATTAATCAGTAAGTTATTCATCCCCTGAGGACGCCAAATTCGAATTAATGCGACAGAAAGTTTAAAATAGTGTTTGGCGTAGAAAAAAACGTAAACAGAAAACATTAAAATGAACTAAGAAATGTTTGATTCAGAAATCGATGCTACAAAAACAATTTGCATGGGATGTTCCAATGAAACGAAGCCAATTCTGGAGACCGAAATCTCCGAAGATGAGTCCCAAACCTGGCTCTATCATCTTGGAATCTTCCTTTTGATCATTATTTTGCTCTTCGTGTTCGGAATTACAATTGTGATGATCTACCAGAAGTATCGGACTTGGGGAAAATCCTTCAGAATCCAGCTGATTCATGACCGAAACCCCTCCAGAAGTCCAAACGTCCAGACTTCTGATCTCCAAACCAAGGCTCTTCTGAAGCCCGCAGGGTCTTTATTGAGAACAGCCAATCTGAACGTTCTCATTATCTACAGTCACGACTCCAACGAGCATGATCTGGCTGTCCTATTTTTTGCGGAGTATCTTCGGGATGCCTTTAATATGGAAGTTCATGTGAGTATTCTCTATTCGACCCTGCTTTAAAGTCATGTTAATTTAATTACCGCCTTCTTTCAGTTGGATATCTTGGATTCCGACCTAATCCACAAAAATCTGATGGATTATCTCTCTTCGTCGGTGATCAACGCTGATTACGTGATGATAATAAACTCGCTGGGAACAGCCAAAAGGTATCAGACCAAGATCCAATCTCTGGGAGCCGAAAATCAAAGTATAGTACAAAGAAATGAAGCCGGTCCGTTCGATAAACTCTTCGTTAGCCAAATTGATATGGCACTACAGTAAGTGTAGTCCTTCTTTTCAGAGTCCTATCTCTAATACTGTTGGCTAACCCTATCTTTTTCAGACATCAGAAGATAATTTCCGTTCGTTTCAACTATTCCAACTTCGAGCAGGTCCTTCCTCCCCTCAACGGGCGTCTCCAGTATGTTATTCCTGATAACCTTGGCCCCCTCCTGTCAGCATTACACAACACCAATCTCAAGGATGACCCCAGATTAATTGGATTTACTCCTCAACTGGTCAAATTAAAACAAGCGATAGAAACAATGGCTAAGCGAATATCTACAGATCCAGAATGGTTTACCTCGAGCCATCATAGCTACAGTATCCCTCGCCGATCGTTGGAGTCGCCAAAGGCTCTCCCGGAAGTCCCAGTTCTGCAGACTTATGCCGAATCTGACCCGCTTCTGGAATCTGGAGTTTCATGCAGTTCAACAAGTTCATTGGGATCAACAACTGATGTTAACAACTACCGAGAAATCAGAGAAACAGAGATTGACAAGACAGGTATTACTGTTCCCCAAGACCTCGACGACAACTACAACGATACCCATGACAGCGGGAACTTCTCCCACCAATACACTGACAATGAGATGAGTTCCGAGTTGTATTCCAAGGATCGAGACGTTTTACATGATCACGACAGGATATGTGAGCAGGCAACAGGTCAACTTGAAGATCGACTGCACCCACAGGAAGATCTGACCCTCGAATACAACCACGAACAGACCCGACTTGAGCCCGAAAAGCTCTTGGGCAAGTGGAATTTGGACCCCAACTCCGACTCCGGGCTCGTTTCCGACGCCGATCTCCAGTTGATCTCATCCTCATGACCGCGAGCGCATCGCCCATCTCTGTTGTTGTAAATGCCGGTATTAATTATTGTTTATCTGTTTGTATTATATTGTTCTCTCTTGTTAAAAAGACCTCTACTTTCCCTATTTTATCTTCGAATCCGGTGAGATTTGATCGAAAAGGAGCTGATCCTTCATGTTCATAATATTATTTGATATATTTCCACCAAATTTTCTTTTCCCTGGGTGTCCAATCGAATATTGCCTCGTTCTTTGGTCGGTATTATTATCATCTGAATTAACACAATGCATCTAAGTCGTTGCACATCCAGAATCTTGATTTATTGCACTTACGGGCATCGTACTTACTTTAAATTATCCTTTTAAGAGTACGAATACCATGGAAAACATGTACCATACAATCTCTTGAACCGTGTTAGACTTCTATTATATATTTATAATTATTGCATAATAATAAAAAGGTGACAAGTGAATTGAGGATGAGACAAAATAAACGCGGAGGATAAGGGAATCTGATGTTAGGGTAGGACAAGTGAGGATGCATGAGCATAGTTTAAAGCCATAAATTAGATAAGCACGTTACATTATGCACAAGACACCGGAAGGCAGTAACCGCGGCTTCAGTTGTGGGCGGTTTTGAATCGTTTGGCCAGCTCGGAGAACTGTTGGCCCATGGAATTGTAGAAGGAGGCCTGTTGTTCGAAGAAGAGACCCAGCATGGATCTGAAGTCATCGTTCCGTTCCTCGTTTAATTGAGTTATTTCTGCCAGCAGAGAGTAGGAGACCACATCCACACGTTGTCGAATGGCTTCCGAATCCTGTGGAGATAATTTATTCTCTGCTTGTAGCCGTTCGTTGTCCTTCAACTTGGCCAGCGCTGACTGAAAAAAATAAGTATAATAGAGTACATAAGGATAACAAAATATAAACCATCAACATTTGAATAAAATGGACAATATGTTACCTTATGTACGTTAAGGATGTCTGGAATGTTAGCGAGGAGTCCCTTGTAGGTATACAGCCAGTCCAAGAGCTGTTCCATATCCTTTTTCCCATGTTCTTCATGTTGAACACCAATCTTGTGCATTACAGCGGCACTTTCTCTAATGGCCGAAGTCACTTGAGTTCCTACAAATCCCGTAATATGCCTCACAAACTACAATCATACCACAAGTCTGATCCAGTTCAAAAGATTGTCCGAGCGCTTCAAAAGCGGCGGCACTCTTCTGCCAATTGGACTTGTAGGGACCAGTCAACCTCTTCTGACTCTCATTTATTCGTTCATACAAAACCTTGACACTCTCGTCCAAACTTCGGCAACATCGAGCAAATGTTTCCACCTGATTCTCACTGCAAAGTAATATTCTTAAATGTGAAAATAAACTTGAATTACAATAACAGATGTTCCACTTACACCTTGTTGATGTCCAATGGTTTGTCGGGAACTCGGACGCAATGGAAGAAGTTCCCACCAACATATTCATCCTTCTCCGCCTGTCTCTTTCCGGCCTTCCACTTCTTTTCATCAGTGCAATTCATGAAATGCATCCACACTTCTGCCTGACCGAGTACCGGATGTCGGCAGATCTTATTCACCCACAATTGGAGAATAACCTTCCGATGTTCGATCAGATCTTCCTCATATCTTCCGGCCACTTGTTTCTCTGGCAATGGAGGAGAAGGAATAAGGAGGAACTTGTTGGTTAGTTGTTCATGAAGCCAGTCAAAATGTTTGTACCTTCGGGAAACCTGGATATTGGTCAGTGATGACGTCATACTGTACGCGATAAAACTTTTCAGTCCCTTCAACTTGGATTCTTTCTTTGGTTTGTCTACAGTGCATTGGTAGTTCTGTCGAGCCGGGGCCCATCTAATATGGCCATCGGAGATCTGTAAGAGGAATAAAATCTACAGTAATATCAGACTTACAGTAACTTCGAAAGTCTGCGAGGGTTGTTGACTCATTTTACTGGTATTCAAAATGAATGCTTCCATCCCAGTCTTCACAAAATTGGAGAATCGATTGATATTCTTCATTCTTGCAGCCCCTCCACCGCCTTGTCGGGAGGATAAGGACACGGAATCTGGCCCAGCTGATCGACTTCTGGCCACGGCTCTTTGGGAAGTAGGATCCTAAAACATTTTGCTTACAAATTCAATTAAAATGTAATTGTAAATGACAATTTGACCACCAACAACAACAGACCAGACTACAGCTACTATAATACTCCACTCAAATAACCTTTTTGTCCTCGCGACTCTCATGGCCAGACTTGGAAGATAAGGACTCTCCCACTTTCTCCTTTTCATTCCCGGCTTGGCTAACGGTGTCATCTTCAGTCACACTCAGATCAGTCTTAGATCCCGAAGTGTTTCTTGATCTTCCATTGGTGGTAGCCGAGAATTCGGTTCCCAAGTTCCGATGCTCATGAGCAGAGCCAGATCTGCCACCCTTAAGAAGAAGAATTGATTGGGAGGTGGAGGTGGGAGCCGAAACCAGATGACCTATCACTTTGAAAGACACCCTGCGGACATAAAAAGATTTGGATTGGGACAATCGGCTCGGCTCACAATGGCTGGAAGACCGAGGGCGAGCGAATAACATGATGACAAAGAATAAGAAATGCAGCCAAAATAGACCTCCAGAGTCGCCGAATCAAAATCTGGCATCCAATAAAAGGAAAAGAATGCGAAAACCCCATATCTTCCCTTCCAGAGCCATCTTACTCCCATTACTCAGTAAATCTAACCCCGGAATTGGCTCCGAATCCGGCCGGATTCAGAAGGCATGCTTTGGAATTTAATTTTTTCTAAACGAACCGCATTCTCTTCGTCGTCTTCTGTCCATTCATCGTCGAAATCATCTTCCAATTGATTTCCTGAGGGCACATGAGGTAAAGTGGGATAAGTGGAAGGCGGGACCGAATTCGAAGGCCCAGTGGGAACCGGATGAGAGGCGGCAAGGACTGGGGCAGGAGCTAGATTGGGATATTACAATAAGAAATCAAAACTTACGAACTTCGTCGGCCCAGGGATCGAACGCCGTGGAGGCTCCGCCAATCACCGGAGGCAGAAGGGGCTTGGCAGTCGTCGGAACGACCGGTGGTTGAGAATAGGAGGGCTTAAAATCTTGCGATGGAAGAGCTGGAGGTGCTGCCTGAGGTGGCAACGAAATCTGAAACCAGAATATAATTGATACTGAAAACTCCCGATTTTATTTGCCTTTTTGATGGGACTATCATAGGGAGAAAGAGAGATTCGAACACAAGAAGACATGGGCCTCTCTATAACTTCTGATTCTTGAATAGAATTCAACAACGGCGATCTTCTGGGAGCAGATAATTTAGGTTCAGAATTAGAACTGCCCGGAAGAATGGAGGGATCGAAGGTCAGACACGTGTGTCGTCTTCTTAGCTGAGCTCTCTTCTCTTGTAAACTCTTGTCATTTACAGCTTTGCGAATCCCAGAAGAAAACAACATAATCCTGATGTTATAGCAGGATAAATAACCACAAAATAGTTGCGAAAGGCAAGACCAGATGAGTCTAAGTAGAAGATGGAAAGGGTTGCTGGGGGATGACCGTAACTCTTCGGACTCTCGTTTAGACCAAGTTGAATTAAGTTTTTTTGGAAGACGATGAAGTAAATCAACTTACCGTGGAAGCAATTCGAGTAACATAAGACTCAGGGAAGAGACCGACCTTCCCTTTGGCATTCTTCCCTTCCATCCAGCCACCATCAATACCCTGCAAATTTACAGTAGGACAAGTTCAAGGACAGAGAAAATCACGTAAAATAAAACGACTTACATCTCTTATCACTGTGAGAAGTTCACCTTCCTTGATGGTTAACTCACCACTGCCCGGCTGGGCGTCAAAGTCATAGCAGGCTTTCACCTGATTGCTGGCCATGACGCCCTAAAACAATATCAGTTATTAAAACTTAAACCAAAAATAATAATAAAATTTTACGATCAGTCTGTCGGGAAAATAAGGCATTTTGTCGCATCGAAAATCGCATCAGCGCCGAGAAAATGAATTTTTTCGCGGCACAATCAAATTGCTTTTCACTTCAGCGACGCAATCGGCGCAGCTAAGTATGTGGTCAACATTTTCCCGACAGACTGATATCATTTCGCAGTTAGTAAACGCGAGAATGATATCCATATTACTCTACAAAAGATTTGGGAATATGTATCTATGGTAATATAACCTAAATCCCAGAATAATATACTATGGAAAGTGTTGGACGACGACGTTTTTTTGTGTGCCTTCTTCTCTTTTCAGAGTTTCGGAAAATCGAAGACGACCCCGACCCTTACCGCCAGAGGGCGTCACACTTCAAAACAACGCGATCATTAGGAAAACCGATATTCTACATGATAGGACATGCTATGTTACGAGTTGGATGCAACGAATTGGCGTTACTTGTTGGACAAGAGGTTGTTGGCCTGTCCTTCAAAAGCTCTCGAGGCCAAAAGAATTCAAAATTCGGTCAAAACAAAGCCTTTTATAAAATTCCAATACTATTCGAAAGTAAAACTGATACCAAGGGAGAATTTTACATAAGGAAGTCTTCAAAGCTTTCGTAAATTGCGCAAAGATAATTGCAAAACCATTTCTGGTAGTTTGTTTAAAAAATGGTCAGTGCGATTTATTTTCTGGAAATAAAATATCTTGTAAGAAGAATATCTGGAGATCCCGCGATTTGCGAGGATTCTATTGACCTGTTTCTACTCAATTATTCTAAGAGGATCCTCAGGGTTAATTAGGTATTCTGTAATTATATTCAAACTCACACGTAAAATTAATTTACCGCGAAATTATCTAATTTCCCGGAAGAAAATTGACTCGTAGGACCATAGAATTCCCGAAATGGACACGGAATAAATGATATTTGACATCCAATGCTTAAAAGTTTCTAGAAATTCTTCCAATTGATAGTGAAGGATACTAGTTGAATATAGTGTCCTTGTGATAAGCGTGCATTGGATGGCTTATTGGATAGGTTTCTCCACCCCGTTGCCAAAAAAAGGTGGGACTCAATTTGGGGAACGAAAATAGCAAAACGATGAGTTTTCTCCTTTCTTTTTTGCTCGCAAATATTTTTCTGATGCGCGCTTTTTACGTGCCCGACGTGCACGTAATGGCCCCATGCACGAGAACAGTGCATCGTACTGGGGAAGGAAAAAAATTTTTAAAAAGAGGTGGGCTAAGCCCTAAGGGGAAGAAACCGGAGGGTTGGAGGGGAAGACGGACGCGGAAAGTCCCAGAGGAAGATAAAACAAACTTGTCCCAATCTCGTGTGGCTTTCGGCCTGAATTGGGGACTGGATCGCGTTCGCTTCTCTTCCGGGCATAAGAAAACGGAATTTAAATCATTTCAAGTGACTCAGCACTTCGGGGATCGGCCGAAATTGGCCATTTTAAGGGTGAATTTAATTGGTTTTAATTGCGGACTTCTAATGATTATTCGAATTTCGGCTTTGAGTAATATAATAGAAATGCGGACTCTATGTCGGTACACCATCCCGCCGGATTTAAGATTATTTGGACGGCGTACGGAAGTCCAACCTAACGAAGACTGTTTAGAGAAGCGGTCACTTCTGAGCGGTCTGACCTCTTCCAAGACATTCCGAATCAATTCCAATTTTAAAGGGCAAAACAGCTACACGTAAATTAGGTCAGTAATTAACATTACTCAATAAAGACTTTAGAATATCACTTGAGATTTTGACGTCCCTGATCCTGTTGTGGAAAAAGAAATAAAACAAAGACTTTGAAATTAACAATGGAAATATAACTCGTTCGTTTGAAGCGGGGAGTGATGGGGTTTCTCCGTTCGATTGGATGTCTCGTGATTCACCCACTCTCTTCCCCTCTCTCCTTGCAGTCCGCTGTCCACGTCTCTGCCGTTTATTTATACTAGAACAATATTTATGTCGTAAATCGTCCCAATCTGGTCTTATATTACAATATTATAATTAATCCAACATGTCTAAGACAACACTCCCGACGTGGGATTCCAATCGCTGTCGCCGGCGATTCTGCTTTAGCTCGTTTTCGGCTGTTAAGGTTCTCTCGCTGCGGGGAATTCCCCATGCTTGAGGCGAGCCTAAAATATAAAACGCTTAATATATTCTACATGAATAATTTACTGGGAGAAAGAGAGTTCTGAGTTCTCACCTGATCCAAATACAAGGAATAAAGCCCCACTGAACAGAGTTGTGAAGGCCATAAAGTAGAATACCATTCTCCATTCGGCCATAGTTCCCTATAGGTAGAATGTTATAGTATTCTTAATACTGCGGGTCTGGAATGTGAAAGGTCACCTACGGTCTTGTTAAAGTAAGAGATGGATAAGGGTGTTATAAGACGGCCAAGGTTTCCTGCCACCATTGACACAGATGTTAGGATTCCTGTATAAAGAGGCGCCAGGGATAGTAAGCTCGTATAAAATCCACTGATCGCTGTGCTAAAACACATGGTCATGGCACAGAACAGCAGGAGAGAGATGATGGGCGTGTGACAATCGGCAACCACTGCCAATGTGATGAAAATTACACCGACGGAGACACTGGCTATACACCTGTATTGTTAACGGCTATGTTACTTACAAAATCCCTGAGAAATCTTGCAAGCGGCGGTGTTGGATAAACTATGCTTCTTCAGCTTATCCATGGCCATACTCCATAAAAACTTTACAATTAGCATCGATACATTTGGAGCCGCACTGAAGAACCCGTTCTAAATTATTATGATATTAGGGTGTCCCATAAGCGTGTATTTTCGGGATTGAGGTTTTAAGTCTCATTACGGTGACCTTAATAACTGCACTTCTTAATATTTGGTACTGCTGAAACCGCCATCTCACACGCCTCACTTCTGGGGCTATCTAGAAAAAAAATCCCGCTTTCTGATAAGCGCTGTTGCACTTTTGCAATTACGTTTTTTATACCTCTATTGGGTACACGGTTTTAAAAAAAGCCGTGTTTCCCGTTGAATCAATACTTACAGCGCTGGATTGTTTTTGTCCCCAGGCCATTAAAAAATCTGGCTGTGATTTCAACTCCTTGGCTAGCTGGTCAAAGAATTTTCAAAAATAAAATATTGCACACCAGTGGTGATTCTTTTCTAATACTAGTCGCGACATAAAGTCCTGACACATTTTGTCGCGGGTGTCGCGCGAGAAAAGTGGCAAGTTCGCACGAAAGTGCATGTCGCTAGTGCAAAAACGGGGAATTGCCGCGACGGGTCCGAAAGAAAAACAAAATGCACTGTGCAAATGTGTTAGGACTTTATGTCGCGACTAGTATCAACAAGCAAACATTTTTTAATGTGTAGTACAATATTGGGGCAGTGTAGGTCCCAGGTTGAATTCGTCGCCTTACCATATAGGGCTCGTGCTTTATAAGTTTCGTCGGCTTTGCAGACTGAATTCGCTCTGAACGCCTTTTTGCAACATTTTTTTGCAAAGCCGACGAAACTTATAAAGCACGAGCCCTATATATGGCTTAAAAGCACACTTCCCCAGTTACAAAACCCAAAACACTCCGCTTCTTCAGCTCACAAGGATTCACACAACTCGACGACCCAAAAATGCACAAGACTTATGGGGCACCCTCGTGGTAATCTTATTAGTAGGTTAATTACCGTAATCGTCCCCAAGAACAGCACTTGTTTGAAAAAAAGAGGAAGATATGCTTGTGTCAATACGACCAACATATTGGCAGTAAATGTGCAGATCAAGAGGGCCCACAACGGTAATGACGTCACCATTGCCATATAAGGGATTTTCTTCGGGATATCCTGGAACGATATTTTCTTCAAAAATCTTGTAGATCACTCACATCATCTGGATCTGACCTGTCGATGGCAAGTTTTCTATTCAGGTATTGTCGTTCCTCTGTTTTCATCAATTTACAATCCGAGGGACCGTCAGAGACCGTAAACAGCCACAAAAGAATCCACAAGAATCCCATTAAAGCTGAACGCAACAACGAAAAGGCTGGTACAGTAACCTTTCAAGACTTACCACAAACATAGAAGATGGATGGCCATTTATACGAACTTTCACACAAAAACGCAGCTAAAGGGGCACCAAAAAACCCGGCCATCTGATTTCCAGTGGTGTACACGGAGGCTGCTGTGCTCAGTTCTTCCGTGGGGATCCATTGGCTTACCATTTTATTGATGGAGGGAAGAACAAAGCCCTAAATTAACAATAAGACGATTTAAACATTAGGTGAAGTGCTCACTTCTGCAACTCCCATTAAAAAGCGGCTGAGAAATACCAGATGGAAACTTAAATTCTCAGCGAAATACGGTAAGACAATAGTACAAGCAGTGCTGATTATTGCCGAACACATCAGCAGCATCTTTGGGGAATATCTGAAGAGTTTTGTCATGTATTATAGCTGGTATGATGTTTACCGGTCTGCCATTATCCCCGCGGGCATCAGGGAGACAATAGATCCATAAAATGAAGCCGAGAATAGCCATGCCTGGGTTGCTGAGTCCCATTCCAATTCTCCCTATAACAAGGATTACAACACAAAAACCTTTCTTACCCCGTAATCGTTATTCACAGTCCCTCCATTAAAGTCCACAACCTTGCAATGTTTGTTATCATCAGATCTGCTGATCGTGTGATGCTGTTCTTGGCTTGTTGTCGTTTCTGTGGCCGTACTGTTCACCATACACGTCATAGCCAGACCCAGATTCGTTCGTTGATACACGATTACAAAATAACCCAACATAATTAATAAAAGTACATGGAATCGGCGTGAGAGAGGATGAAACATATCTACATTAAGGATATTATAACTCGATTGTAACAATTGTTGGGGCTGATTACAACTTACTCAGATGGGGGAGTTTCTGATTGCCTTTCTTCAGAGGTTTCAGCAGTTTATTCTTGACGTTCATTGTTATTCTGATTGTAAGCGCCTTGAGAAAATAATACAAAAGATTATTCTTTTGCAGAAATCGAATACTTTTTTGATAAAACTAGTGTCAGTTCGAAAATGGAGGGAACGAAATTACGTTCCTTATCACAAACAAAGTGAGAAATGTGTGAAAAGAAATTAATCCCAAGTACTTAGTTAAGAAGAACTTAGGCAGTGCTATGGCTTGTTCCTCGCCGCCTTTTATCGTATTTGTTTTACGAATTAAACCGGCTTATCCTAGCTCTGAATTGTGATTATGGAAATAAGAAAAATGTCAGCTTTATTCGTATAAATTACATTAATCCACATTCCAATTCATAGCATCTGCTGTATCTTCTCCAATTCGACTACTGTATTTTGGAAGGTATCAGAAGAACAGAGAGATTCCAGGAGTTTCTTGGATTCCTCCAATCCAGACTCCAGTCCCTCAATGTTTTTAATGACGTCATTAGCTGAAGGAATGTCAATATTATAGTTTGGAGTCATTACTTACAATGTTCCGAGAGATTAGCACATCGTCTGAGATGTTGGAGCAGTTGAGGGAGCACTTGGCATTCAGTGTTCCACTTTTGCAGAGTGTCATAGAGCTGATTTATCTTCTGATAACTCTCATTTTGGGAACTCTTTTGGAAATCTTGAAGCTGAGAAATGGTGGCGGACAATTCTGTGTTTATCTCCGCTTTGTTTTGACTGGTTAGACTTCCAACTCTTAAGAGCAACTCCTCAATGACTAAAGTCAGAGGCCGTAGGAATGGGGAAGAGGTGTTAGGATCAGCGCCGATCCTCGAGAGGATTTTGTCAATCCGTTCGGATAACAAAGCCAAATCCGCTTTTTCAATTTTTGGATCTTTTATCGCAGGTCTGAATAGGGTTCGAAATCTAAGAATCAGTACGATCACTTACTTTGCATCTGACTGTGATGATGAAGAGACGAGATGTGTTTCCAGTTTGATCTTGGCACTTTCCACCAGCGTCTTTAAAGTGTTCAGATGATCTTCCGTGACTTCAGAATCTGGGTTCTAAAGATTAATTCAACCATTTTTTTATTTTTGCTTACGTTTCTAACGTCATCCTCTAATTGGCCAAGTTCTTCTTCTAATTCCTTCAGACGTTCCTCTGATGATTTACCATCAAATATTTGATCTGATAAATGTAAATTGTATCCTTTCTCTGCATAAAAACTATAATTTAAGTCTAAACTATTCGCAGTCGGATTTAGCATGACTCTGTTGAATTTCTCAACGAAATCCTTAAAATTGGTCTCAACGCTTTCGATGGAATCATTTTGCGTCAACGTTAGGCGGGGGGAATCATCCGTGACATTACTCGAGAACCGCTTGTCCACCAACTCTTTCTCCACCGAAATGGGATCATTCTCGTAGACCGTAATCACCGGCTTCTTGATCACCATCTGAGAATTGTTGTTATCAATTGTTTTCCAGTAATCTTCTGTTCAAAGTATGATGAGAATCAAACTCGACTTAGCTCTATCACTTCAACAATTAACAATTTATTGTAACATCAACAAAAAGATAACAGAAAACAATCGTTATTTCCTTCCCTTCAATCTCTGCATCTTCTTCTTCTGGATCTCTGAAGGCAAAGGCTTCAGATGTCGCATGATGGGGCCGACAGTTCTCCTGACGGCTTTTCTTTCTTCAATATGTGTCTGCATTCTGGATTCTCGTTTTTTGCTCTCAGCCGATTTTCCATCCGCTAAAATATTATAAGGTACACTGCTCGACAACATCCCTTTCGACCCCAAAAACTTTCCGAGACACTAACATCTTATGCAAAAAAGTCATCCCGTTTAATTCGCTTTTTTCAAAAGGCCAAAAACGGGTCGACAAAGATTTTCGTACCACTTTGAAAAAACGTTTGTCACTTATGAGCCAGAAGTCCGCGACATGATTGTGATATCCATGTCATTGTGAAGATCCCCTCCTGTCGATTGGTATCACAAGTTTCCATGGTTCGCATTTCTTCGCCCTCCGGCGGCTATAAATCATCGCCTTGTCTATTTCTCAGTCAAATTCGTGGCTAGCAAAGCTGGTACGAGGCTCAAGGAACTGGAACGGCTCTTAAAAAATCCGCTATTCATGGCACAACTTTGTTCATCGGCTTGGCCGCTAAACACAATTTGACTGAAAATACACACTGCGACGATGCCGGCGGGCAAAGAAATTAGAACCCTGTAAATGTGCGCTACCAATCGACAATTGAGAATTTTCGAAACGGTACCACAATCATGTCTTACGGCCCTCACGAGTAACAAACGTTCTTTCGAAGTGGAAAGAGAATTTTGTCAACTCGTCTGCCGATTCCCGAGATCCAATTGAAAAGAAAAAATTTTGCCAAAAAGTATAATATAAGTTCACTTTACCTTCTAATGTAAATGTCATCGACTTTCCACCAAACGGAGTGGACGTAATTCCATCATCGTTTTTGATTTCTCCCAACTGCTTTCTTCGATCTTTCATTGTGCCGGAAGTCTAAAACACTCGAATTAAACCGACTAATGACATTCTTACCCTAACGGTGATCTCGTCGTCGTCGTTAGAAACAAAAGATTTGAAGTCTCGACTTGAATCGAGACCAACAAACTTAAAGTTCTTGGGTTTCCTGGCTTCCTTAAACTTTTCCTCCAGTTTTTCCTGCTCTTCCCTGTCTCCTCTACTGCTCTCTTCGTTATATTCCTCCTCACTTTCCTCATCATGATAGTCTTCTTCTCCATCTTCATCGTCACTCCAATCTTCAGATGATTCCATATCATCAACTACATCTTTAACGCCACTTTTTTTACTGTCTTCATCCTATAACCAAAAAAATTTTATGTTCAAATTTCATAATCTTACATCATCATATCCAAGTTCCGCCAGTTGATCTCCACCTTCGTCTTCTTCATCTGATTCCGCCGTCCTACCCACATTCTTTTCTTTTTGTTTGTTCAATTTATCCACAATATGTTGATATTGTTCACTCTCTTTATCCACTTCAAAGTCAGGATTAGAAAACAGATTCTTAAATCGGTCATCTTGCAACAATTCTTTGGCCATTTTTGCCTAAAAATAGATTCCGCTTTTAAAGTTTAATAAATTGCGTACCTTTTTCTTCTTTCCAGTTCCAATATCCAATTCCATTTGAAGTTTGGTAGCCAGTTCTTTATTGACCTTGGGTAGTTTGGACCTCTTTGACAAAACATGCAATTCTCTTTCCTCGTCCAATTTCTCTTGTATCTAAATAATAAAGTAGTACAACAGTCAAAAAAGTCACCTTTCTGTTTCTGTAACTCTCAAAAGCAAACGGTTGGGTAAGCGTTTTGGCCTTGTTATACAATCTGACATCAATGAAGTATCCATGCATATAAGCCCTTAGGAGATTTGAGCCGATCAAATTGCTGAGGCCGACTTCTTCCAGCTGTTCTTTGGTAACAAATTTGTAGTCATCATAAACAACTGGAGCTTCTGTTTCCTCTAGTTCTTCAGTAATGTTATCCAAATATCGACACCATTTGGGGGCGAGGCCAAGCGAAGGAACAAAGTATTGCAACATTTTGGGGGCATCGTTGGCAAAGAATAACAGTCCGGAATCGGGATACCTAACAAATTGAGTGAGATGAGTGTTTGGCTCGATTGCGGCGTAAGGCTTTCCGGTCTTGATATTCCACACCTTCAGGGCCCTGCTGTCCATACTTAAGACTAGGTCCTTATCATTGTCAAAGTCGAGGGAAGTAATAGCAAGACCAAAATTGTGATTTTTGACAAGTCTTGGTTGTTTAGCCCGAATATCATAAATCAAAACCTAAATTTTTAATTATTCTCTCCTAATAACTTAAAACGCGTTTTATTACAAATCGTAGTTTGGCCCGGACATTGTTAAAATCAGTGTCTCAGAATTGAACGAAAATTGGTCAACTTAATCACTGATAGGCACAAAACATTCGCTTTCTTTGTTTTTGCCCAAAATTACCGTATGACGGCATACTGTAACATCATTTTTAAAAAAAGATATGCCCTAATCGAGAAAACGAAGCGCTATTTCAGCGCAAATTGAGTTCAGGTATGTGTTTTCGATCATGTAGAACATTTTTGTAATTGTCACCGAAAACTAAAAATTACATCTAAGCTATGTTACACTTGAGACAACATACCATTTCGGGTATAAAAAATGCAGTTCGGACGAGGCGCAGATTTTGAAACCGGAATACTAAACCTCAAGCCTCGTCTAACAAACCATTAAAATTTCAGAAAGATCAAATATATAGTTTTTGAGATATCGGACATTCAATGTCTCATGTGCAAGATCACCTTGACCCCGAAAAAATCTGGCATTCTTAGGTTTTTGGCTAGGCACAAATCTTGAAAGTTTCCAATACATTTTTATGAGAGTTTAGGATGATATAGAAGGTTTCAGAGGAAAAAAATGAATAGTTTTTGAGAAATCGACCAAAATACCTTGTTTTAGGTCATCAGATGCCCGAAAAAAACTGGCATTCATAGGGTTTTGGCTAGGCGCAGATTTTGAAAGTTTCCAATACTTTTTTATGAGATTTTAAGGGGATATAGAAAGTTTCAGAGGAAAAAAATGAATAGTTTTTGAGAAATCGACCAAAATACCTTGTTTTAGGTCATCAGATGCCCGAAAAAATCTGGCATTCTTAGGTTTTTGGCTAGGCGCAGATTCTGAAAGTTTCCAATACATTTTTATGACATTTTAGGATGATACAGGAAGTTTCATAGAAAAAAATGAATAGTTTTTGAGAAATCGACCAACATACCTTGTTTTAGGTCATCAGATGCCCGAAAAAATCTGACATTCTTAGGTTTTTGGCTAGGCGCAGATTTTGAAAGTTTCCAATACATTTTTATGACATTTTAGGGGGATATAGAAAGTTTCAGAGGAAAAAAATGAATAGTTTTTGAGAAATCGACCAAAATACATTGTTTTAGGTCATCAGATGCCCGAAAAAATCTGGCATTCTTAGGTTTTTGGCTAGGCGCAGATTCTGAAAGTTTCCAATACATTTTTATGACATTTTAGGATGATACAGGAAGTTTCATAGGAAAAAAATGAATAGTTTTTGAGAAATCGACCAAAATACCTTGTTTTAGGTCATCAGATGCCCGAAAAAATCTGACATTCTTAGGTTTTTGGCTAGGCGCAGATTTTGAAAGTTTCCAATACATTTTTATGACATTTTAGGGGGATATAGAAAGTTTCAGAGGAAAAAAATGAATAGTTTTTGAGAAATCGACCAAAATACATTGTTTTAGGTCATCAGATGCCCGAAAAAATCTGGCATTCTTAGGTTTTTGGCTAGGCGCAGATTCTGAAAGTTTCCAATACATTTTTATGACATTTTAGGATGATACAGGAAGTTTCATAGGAAAAAAATGAATAGTTTTTGAGAAATCGACCAAAATACCTTGTTTTAGGTCATCAGATGCCCGAAAAAATCTGACATTCTTAGGTTTTTGGCTAGGCGCAGATTTTGAAAGTTTCCAATACATTTTTATGACATTTTAGGGGGATATAGAAAGTTTCAGAGGAAAAAAATGAATAGTTTTTGAGAAATCGACCAAAATACCTTGTTTTAGGTCATCAGATGCCCGAAAAAATCTGACATTCTTAGGTTTTTGGCTAGGCGCAGATTTTGAAAGTTTCCGATACATTTTTATGACATTTCAGGAGGATATAGAAAGTTTCAGAGGAAAACAGTAAATAGTTTTTGAGATATCGACCATGGTGAACCTGTTATAGGTCAAGTTGCTGGAAAATTCGACCAATTTTCTTTGGCATCTCTTTTTTCCGAGATATATGTGTGTTACTGTTTTTTTCTCCAAATTGTCACAAATAAATTCGAGCTCTCTGCAAAACTTTTGTCAAATGTACGCCGAAGGGTACGATTCTGTGTTCTGATGACCTAAAACAAGATATTTGGGCCGATTTCTCAAAAACTATTCATTTTTTTCCTCTGAAACTTTCTATATCCTCCTAAAATGTCATAAAAATGTATTGGAAACTTTCAAAATCTGCGCCTAGCCAAAAACCTAAGAATGCCAGATTTTTTCGGGCATCTGATGACCTAAAACAAGGTATTTTGGTCGATTTCTCAAAAACTATTCATTCTTTTCCTATGAAACTTCCTGTATCATCCTAAAATGTCATAAAAATGTATTGGAAACTTTCAGAATCTGCGCCTAGCCAAAAACCTAAGAATGCCAGATTTTTTCGGGCATCTGATGACCTAAAACAAGGTATTTTGGCCGATTTCTCAAAAACTATTCATTTTTTTCCTCTGAAACTTTCTATATCCTCCTAAAATGTCATAAAAATGTATTGGAAACTTTCAAAATCTGCGCCTAGCCAAAAACCTAAGAATGCCAGATTTTTTCGGGGTCAAGGTGATCTTGCACATGAGACATTGAATGTCCGATATCTCAAAAACTATATATTTGATCTTTCTGAAATTTTAATGGTTTGTTAGACGAGGCTTGAGGTTTAGTATTCCGGTTTCAAAATCTGCGCCTCGTCCGAACTGCATTTTTTATACCCGAAATGGTATGTTGTCTCAAGTGTAACATAGCTTAGATGTAATTTTTAGTTTTCGGTGACAATTACAAAAATGTTCTACATGATCGAAAACATATACCCGAACTCAATTTGCGCTGAAATAGCGCTTCGTTTTCTCGATTAGGGCATATCTTTTTTAAAAAATGATGTTACAGTATGCCGTCATACGGTAATTTTGGGCAAAAACAAAGAAAGCGAATGTTTTGTGCCTATCAGTGATTAGGTTGACCAATTTTCGTTCAATTCTGAGATGCCGATTTTAACAATGTCCGCCCTCTGTTAGGCTAAGCTCCAAAGTGTGGCAAAACGCGTTTTAAATTACTTACATGTCCAGTACTCATTCCAACAGCTAAAGTTAATGGATCTTTAAACTTTACTGAAGTTACTTCGGGAATACTAAAAAACATGCAAAAAGAAAGAACAGTGACTTACGCGTCAGGTAGAAGAGCCTCTTCTTGTAATTGCTGTAAAGCACAGTTCAAAATTCCAGCTCGATTCTTGTCCCTGTGATCCCAAGCTTCTACTGTGGCATTAGAACCCCCAGTCACAAAGAGTTGATGATGTTTGCTAAATTCACAGCAATTCAAAGTCTCGGATTCCGTTTCCAATGGGCTCAAAAAACAGCCTTGCTCAAGATTCAATCGAAATATCTCATGTCTGTAACAATAACGTCTTCCATGAAAAAAAAACTCACCCGGCTCCGACCATGTAGAGATCACTCGCCTCGTTGCAAAAAGCAAGATCTCTGCCAACCTTAGGTATCCTTAATCTAAAATACCTCCCAAACCGGGCATGGAATTCGAGCCATCGCTCGGTTTGCAAAAGAGCGACCTTGGAGTAATCCTCACTCAAGGGAAGTAGTTTCACAACTTCAGCATCGAGCCCTCTTTCGAATTTCAACGATAGGTCGTTGACGTCATAACATTTTAGAGTTGGTTTGTATGTTCCAGCTGCATAAATGTATTGCCCATCCCCGGTTATCGCAATTGAGTTTGAAACGCAAGGCATTTCGAAGTCTTGTATCAATTGAATTCTTCTCCTAATATCAACATCCTTCTTCTCGAGATTTCTTCTTTTTCTCTCTGATATCCACTAAACATATAGAAGAAAGAAACAATAAATACTTACTTGAGGAAGCGACTTTCCAGCACTAAGATTATATATTTTAACATCGTTAGATTTCGACACTTGCATCCTGCTAAAGACGTCGTTTTATGAGCCTATCTATAAAAATCTGTAGAAAACTTTTCATGAATTTATTATTTGTTTTTCGTATAATAAATCTGCAGGACGCATGTCACAATTGTGACAGGGCGCATGCTGCAAAGGATAGTAAACTTTGCAGTGCGGTCGGGTTTCGAAGCGAAAAAGCAATCAATTCAGGGACGCAATAAATGTTTTAGACGCGCACCTTTTCCCGCTTTTTGTTTCGTTTATTTTGGATGGATTTTTTTCGAATTTGTTTCAAATCTTTGAACATGTTTTCCGAGTTTGTATAACAATTTACGGTCTTGCTTTCCGCGTATTTTATAAAATTTTCTGCTTAAATTCGCCCTTTTTTGAGTGAAAAAACAGAATGAACGGACCGGAGGGATCTCCGGTGAAGCTGAGGCAGATCATCATTGATGAAGATGAGACCTCGACAACATCTGATTCTCCAATTAAATACGGTCCTCATCTGGTAAGTTTTATTTAATTGAGCGGTGCAGGGAACTGAGCTTGTCAATTTGTGCATATATCTTTGCAGGATCACGATTATGGCAGCGCATCTGGCGGTAGATATAACTCGGCTCTTGAATTTTATGGCGATGGGAAAAACAACGAATCGTTCCCTCCCATTGAGATACTGGCTTCTGGTGAGTATTCCCTTTATTTGCGTCTAATTTTTAGGCGATGAAGACCAAGGATTGTCTCCAGTGAAAGGCGAAGTCAGGCCGCAACTGTCCCAACAATATCACAGATCTTCAGAACATCATTCCGCAGCTCCAAAGACATTCGGTTATGGTGCAGTAAATAGACTCGCAGGTTGGTCCGGTGCAATTTCGGTTATTCTAACTTTTTTCAGGAAGAACTCAAGTTTTCTTGCAAAATAGACCACGCACTGCCTACACAATTCCTCAAAGGTAAGTTAGAAACTATATTGATAGTCTCAAAGCTTTAGAATCAGACCCGAACAGACAACACCGGTCCTCAGCTATGCCAATTCTGCTTCCAGGATTGTCAGACCTCATTTGACACCTTCAGAAACTTCAGTTCAGCGTTCAACGCCTAATGTTCTCCGGCAATCAACAGTTCGACCTCGTGGATCTACTGTTGTTCGTCCTCCGCGCCCTCCGAAACCAGTTGTTCAGGCCCCTGTTAGTCCAGAAAGTGGATTGATGAATGTTTTGGACGAAGAAGAAGCTCAAAACCAGAAGTTCTTCATGCAGCAGTCCAAGATGGGGACCAATTTGGCACAAATGAAGCCGATCGTTTCGTCGGTTTATAATAATCCGCATGTTCCAACCAGTATGTCCATATCTCCACAAAAATCTGTTGATGGCGAGGGGATTCATAAGCCTAGAGGAAGAGGCCGGCCTTCAAATGCAGTAAGTTACTTGCAACACTTTTGAGAGACTTTTGTCATTGTAATTTTCTTGTTTTCAGGAAAAGGCATTTCTCTTGCAGCAGCAACAACAGCACAATAAGACTGCCGGTCCGGATAAGAATAACCTCCAAACTCTGGCTGAAATGGCACTTGTTTCACCTTCAAAGCCGCAGGCCCCTCGAAGTCGTAAGTGGCATATTTGGTCTTGTTATTTTTGTGTTTAGCTGTTAAACCGGCGATACAAACTCCAGTTCAAGAAACAAAGCCTTTGGAGCCTCTTGCTTCTGAGAATCAGGCTCAGCGTTTATCAAAGAAGTTGATCGTCACGCCGAAAAAAGACGAACCAGTAAAGTCGTGCGAGTCTGATCGAGACGAAGGAGAAGAAGTGGAAGGTGTTGATTACATTACGAGATGTATTTGCGAATTAAAACATAACGATGATTACATGGTGCAATGTGATCAATGCAAAGCTTGGGTCCACATCGACTGTTTTGGAGGGGAAAAAGCCGTTGATGTTGACAACAAGTTTTATTGTCATAAATGTGACACTAAACGAGTTAATCCTTTGAGCAGCGAAGAAGCCAAGCGTCTTCAGCAACATAAAATAGCCAAGGCGGAAAAGAACCGGAAGAAGGCAAAGCAGAATTCTGTTGTAAGCAATGGTTTTATATCATGATTATATGATTTGTAGACTTTATCTGCACCTGAAAGGAAACCACACAAACTCTTGAAGAAGACGTTGGCAAAGGAGAAGGAAAACACGTACTCTCGAAGCGTGAAGAGTGACATCAGCGAGGGAAGGATCTCCGAAGGCGATATTGGCACTTACGTTCAGCTGAAATCGATCGCAGATCGTCGGTGCCGAAACACCATCGTGTCCAAGGGAATCACTGGCCTGATGTCTATTGAGAATGTAAGGAAAGGCGATCCTTTGATTGAATTCAAAGGGAATTTCTTCTTTGTGGATGAAGAGAAAGTGGTTGAACGGCTGAATGACCCTATCACTTTCTATCGGAGCGTTGTTTACACGTGAGTGTCGTAATGTTTATCAAAATGTTTTTGCAGGGGATTGGGTCCAAATTCGAAGCCGTTATTTGTTGATTCAACAAAATCTGGAACTGCTGCAAGTGTTGCTAGAAGGTCTTGTCGTGCTAACGCCAAACTATCGCATTGTGTCATTGAAGGTCGTTTGGTTCTGTTCTTGGTGGCTGCTGAGGACATTGACGAAACTTCTGAAGTAAGTCACTATTGATCAGCACTGAATGATGGTCCCTTTTTTAGATAACGCTGCCGTTTGATCACGAAGAGCGTGGAAGTCCGCCAATTCATCTTGATTGCGCATGTTTAACTGATCTTGCTTACTCGGTAAGGCTTATTATTGATTCCTATTATTTATTAAGGCTGGTGGGTCGAAATGTTTGTTGCAAGATTACAACGACAAAGTGGCTAACGGGGAACTAGTGAAGCCAACGAAGACAAGTCCAGCCAGAAAACGGACAGTCTCTCCCGAAAAGCCGAGCTCTCCCAAGAACGTCCGCCGATCTCCAGTGAAATCTCAACCAAAGAGCCCAAGACGTGAGCCTAAGAGTCCTCGAAATGAGATTAAGGCGGCAGAGGCTCCAAAGGAAATCACATCAGAAAGAAGAAAGAGTGAGATTGAGAAATCTGAGGCATCTACATCTAAAGAAAAAGTAGATATTAAGGATGAGTAAGTTGAAAAATTCAATATTTAATTGTTAATTTAGCAGTGACAAGGAGAGTACACCAAGAAGATCCAGCAGGAAACGCATATCAACGAACGAGCGACTCTCGCCTAAGCTTGATTCAGCCTCCGAAAAGCCGAAGAAGCGTGGTGATACTATATTTGATGAGGGGGAAATCATTACTGGGCTCTCTGTAAGTATTTTTTGTGTTTTTTATAAGTATCGGTTTGCAGCGTCGAGAACAGCAGAAAATTCAACGTTTGGAACAAATGGATCATCAAAATGGCCGCAGGAAAAGGTCTTTGGAACAAGAACCGAAGAGTGCTAAAGTAGCCCGACGATCTTTGCCTGCGAAGGAAGAAGTTCCCGTAAAGGTTTGTATTTTGTATTGGAGTATATGGTTATTTGTAGAAACCCAAAGCTGAGAGTCCTGAGGAAGTGGCGGCCAATTTGTTGCTTGGTTTAGCTGGTACAGCTGCCAAGAGCGAGACTTCCTTCTCTGCAAAACGTCAAGAAGCCCTAGTTAAATACTGGAATCGATGCCGAAGTCAGCTGGACTCTCTTGGTCCCTTCTCCAACATTAACTTTTCGGAAATCCAAAAGGTCGCTGCCTCAAAAAAGTCAGTAAGCTGAGATCTTACAATTAATGTTAAATCTGTATTATATTTTTGGTACGTCTTAGTTCATTATTTTTGCATTATTCTGGTCTTTGGAACTTATAAACGAAGAGTTTGTTCTCTTACTTAAATTGATGTCAAATTCATTGTGAAATATTGTTAGTCCTCCTGTAATATTTTTGTCATCTTGCACACTTCATTCACTGCTTCTCTTTCTTTTAAGGTCCTCAACTTGTCTCACAAATTCTGAATCCTCTAAGCTTCTCAAAACGGGTCTACAGAAGTTAAAGATGAATAGCTTCGAGAGGTCTTCGCAGTCACCCAGCACCCCCAAAGCACGTCCCCCCTTAGATAAATCCATTGAATCTCACCAAGGATCATTTGGGCAAGGTTCCGTGAAGCCGTGGCACATTAAACCCACAACTTTGGCTTTATCGGAGCGCTCGGAAGATATGGCTGGGGTCTATCCCGGAGATGGGGCAGGTGGAATCAAGTCTGAAGACGTATCGAAGGGAAAGGAAGAACCCTCTTTTAAAGGAGTTGAAGAGACCCCACAGTCTGATGTGAGCACTAAGAAACCACTCTCACAAGTTGCACAACAGCGTGTGATCTCATTCAGCGAGGCTTTCAAGACCGTAAATGCCCCCGTGAACACTCCTTCGGCTTCAATGATTGGAAGGAACGTTGGTAACAGGTCATTTGGGCAGCCTACGAATTTGACACTGGATGTTTTGATGACCCCTCAGAATATGCAAGAACCCCCTCAATCTGCGCCTCCCGCTTTTACACCGACCGCCATTTCTAAGATGAAGTTGAACTCTCTGAAAGAAAGAGTCTTTGGAGAACTTGAGGTAAGTTAGTGTGTGCATGCGTGTAAGCAGTGGTGCATTTTAGAAGAAGCAAACACAGAGTCTCACTTCCACACCTTCATTGAAGCCTCCGATCAAATTGGAGATTCATAAGCCTCTGGGAATATCGAAGGCTGGTTCTCCATTGGCCGTGAATCCACGTGTTTTAAAGTGGGATGATTCTCCGAAGACAGAAATATCGAAGATCGCTCCCTTACCCGCTATTTTACCTCCCCTAAAAAGACTCACAGATCTCGAGATTTCAGAGAGTCTGAATCGTCTGCGATCTCTGCCCGTTTTTGAGAGGATTGGAGTTCAATTCTTTAAGAAGATCGCCGAAGGTAAAGCATCATATAAGGAAGGCGACGCTGAAGGCAAGACTTCTTCGTTTACCGGGCCTTCGCATCTCTGTAAATAAATAGTTATGGGATAGAGGTTTTTAGGTGGGCATAGTGATGACATAGATTTGTTATTTTGTTTCCGTTTACGTTCACCAGGATTTGTGTGCCTTTCTTCTCTTCCTTTTCTTGTCTTCTGTTAAACAATCCTTTTCTCATTCGTCTTTGCATTTAGTTTAATCCCGATTCGTACACTCTCCAGATTACCTCCTCGTTTTTTTGGCCTTTTCGGCGGACACAGGTTGTCCCGATACCCATAATATTTTTAAAATATTCCTTTATGAACGATAATAAATAATTACATTGTTAATCAAGTTTTGTAGATTGAGCATCAACGGGATTGAAAAAAAAGAAAATGAAGCATTTCCGGTTAGAGCAGACTTTTCTTGTGGTTTGAGAAGCTCTGGTTGTAATCAGGCATAGGGATCAAGTTGGACGGGATTCTGAAAGATGTTAACGCAAGGACATTGGACTTGCCTTTGTGGATCGAACCGAGAAGGAGTGTGGATTGCATACATGTTCTCCTCCACGGAGAAATCTCCATCGTCGTGGAACTTGCTGACATTACTCCGGGCATATAGGTGGTTCTGTCCCGGGCGATAGACATTATTTCCCGGTCGGTAATGGGCATTCGCCAATCGGGGCTCCGAATGTAATGAACTCTGTTTGAGGGTGGCGAAGTCTTCGTCACTCATCGGCATCTCCAGAATCTGAGTCTCGTATTTGTCCCTCTCCATGGTGTTCATAAACATGGCTGTGCTGTATTTAGGCAGCGGATATACATTCGGGTAAGTGTGCACATGCCTCCGATGCTTCTTCTTTTGTTTGTAAAAACAGAAAGCACAGATCAGGATCATAACCAGGACCAGAACACCGAATGTTAGCACGAAACAAACAATTGTAAAGTTGTTCCAATCCATTGTTGCGAAGAATTGACTCATCAATCCAGGTGCTTTTCCAGAATCAGCGGCCACATTGTCATTCAGACTCGACATACTGAACCAGGGTTGCAGTTTGCCGGCTAACAAGTCTTCCGAACTTTTTTCGAATAGCTTTCTGAAGATGTGAAAAAATGATGAAATTATTTTGTTAATGAATTACAGTACCTGAATTCTTGTTTTCGACAGATTTTATGGGTAGTGGGATTCTGAGCATACCAGTACAAATTGATAACGTTATCTTTTCCTTCGGTTTTTTCTGTCATCTTCTCCATTGATAGTAAGGTACAGGCACCCGTGAATTGTCGGAGTGCTTTGATTATATCCTATACACATATATACCAGGGTTAATATAACTTTAACCCACCTGTTCATGCGCTCTGACTTGTTGTGGTTGACTTCCTTTCAACGTAATTCCAAAGCGATGTTGATCAGAAATGGCGGTCACATAAACATCTGCACTTGAACATAGACGCTCTCCGGTTTGAGGGGAATCGCAGGCCAGAACTTTGAAATCAAAGGAGCTCTTCTTGTTATTCTGGGTCAATTGGATCATCGATTGCTTCAGAATAATCTCCCCTGAATCCCTATCAATCTGGAAGTATTTCGAATTCACGGAGCTTGGATCAAGTTCATATTGTACTAGGCCAGCTGGTCCAAGGTCTGGATCTTCAGCCTTGACATTGATAACTCGGGAGAAGGCAGCTGAATTGGACGGAACTCCAGCAAAATACGCCTTTAGTGAGAGATCTGAGGGGAAAATAAAGGAGGGAGCGTTGTCATTCACATCCAGCACCGTGATCGAAACCAAAGTGTAATCTGTTTGGAGCCCGGCAGTGATGGTAATGTTGAGAAGGTACTTCTCAATAGTCTCCCGATCAAGAGCTGACTGTGTTCTTAGTTCGCAGTTGCCATCAGTTCCTGGGGAAATACTAAAGGCTTGTCGGTAGTTGCCCGAGACAATGGCGCACATCACGAATCTGGTATCCTTGGGTTTGTTGATGACTGGGAGGAGCATCACAAAGTGGGGTGCCCTCACACTCTCCATCAGAGAAGCCCTTAAATTGAGAGTTTTAGAAAAAATAATCAACTACATTAAACATTAGTTATCAGTGTATTCTTACGTGAAATTCCTCTGCGTAAATTGAACCGCATCTGGTTTCGGCTTGGTATTTCCTTCCACCTGAGGAATAACTTCGGTCCTTGACTCTTCCACAGTAATCACAACATTGGTCTGGGTGGATTGAGGTAATTCTCCTTCATCCTGTGCCTCCACGACTACCGTAATCTTTTTCCCACTCAATTCTTTGGCTGGTTTATTCAAGGTGATGAGTCCACTTTGAGCATTCACACTTATGAATCCGTTTGCATCGTGATCCTTGACCATTCGGTAATGGATTCTGTTGTTCGGCTCGTCTCTGTCTTGATCAAACGCAGTTACTTGTCCAATTACCGTACCCGGTTCAGTGTTATCAGCAATTGTAAAAGCATAGTTATTGGTCTCAAAGTTGGGAATCCAATCATTTACATCCAACACCTTGACAGTAATTGCAACCGCATGAGCGAGAAGAGGATCCATGGGCATACTCTGAGCTTCCTGGGTGGATATTACCAGTCGATATTCTTGATCTGACTCCGCATCCAGCGCCTTTAGCAAGGTCAGTTTGCCAGTGTAAGAGGAGATGGAGAAGATATCAGAGTCTCCCTCGATCATGACATAAGTGATTGGGCCTGGTTGTTCGTCTGGATAATGAGCTTCGATGGTGGCCAATTCAAGATCACTGTCATTTTCTTCCACCATCACACTGAGTGTTGGGGTAGAGAAGATGGGGGCAAGTCGAGGAGGAGGGGTGGGCTGAGGCTTGGAGGAAGGACGGGCACGTGTCGCCACAACCGTAGGAACGGAAGATGTCTTGGTGGCTGTGGTACTGGGAGATGCGGGCTGCTTCCTTACTGGAGTCTTGGTTGTAGTTAAAGTCGTTGATTTGACTGTGGTTGTTAGTCTCCGTGTTGTGGTCCGTGCTGTGGTTGTTGTGACCGGAATTGTGGATGGTAATGTCGCTTTTGTCAGCATAAATCCCGATTCTATAGCAGGCATGACTGAATGAATCTGAGAGATTAATTTAGTCATCGGGGATTGAGTAGCAAAACTTGGAGGGAGAGTGGCGCGGCTAAAGAACGTTGGAGATGTGTTGTAGACTTCAGATGATTTGGCAGACGATGAAAGACCGTCCACGATCACCTTAACCTTGGCGCTTGTCTCCAATGGGGGGTTTCCGTGATCAGCTGCGACTATTACAATCTCGCTTTCTCCAAAATGTTCAGAAGTTAATTCCCCATTAATTCTGATGATTCCTCGACTATCAATCTTGAAGAGTTTGTCCTTAGGGGGCACAACTCTGTAAGAGACCTTTCCATTGTCATCTTTATCAATGTCTGTCGCCTTCACTCTCCCTACTTCCATATTTGATGGGAATCCAGTCATTTCATTCAACTTGAGTTGGAAAACAAACGGCTGAGTCCCTTCGAATTCTGGGGCATTGTCGTTAGCATCCTACAATAATACAGCTATTTATATGACTATATAAACAACCTACCGTAATAATAACCTGCAGAAGAGTCCAATACAAAGATTGGTCCGGATGTTTAGATCTGGCTTCGATCTGAAGAGTGTACAAGTCTACTTCTTCCCGGTCAAATTCTTGTGTTGTCGTTACAGCCCCGCTGAAATCAATTTAAAAAAAAAACTCTTGGAGCTTACGTTGACTGGTCGATTGTAAACTTCCCGGCTTCATTGCCTTCCACAATCGTAAAGTAAACGTATTGACGGGAGTCGTTGTCCTAAAAAGACATTGAAGTACAGTTAATACTATTACGTATGAGCAAAAGAAAACTAACTCCAAGAACAGCCACAATGGAATGAGGCGGAGTGGCTTCGTTAAGTTCGGTCAGAATGGTCTGAACTTGAGATGAAACCGGCTTCAACGTCGTCTCCGGAGCTAAAGTAAACGCCGTCAATGGTAGCAACGGAGTCACTGGATTCGTTGGCTCCAGAAGTTGTTTTTGAGGAAACTTTGGGACACTTGGCTGACTCTGACTTGATCCATGATTTCCTGGCTGGTTCATCGACAATATTGATTGAGGAATTTGAGCAGAGATCGGCGGAGTAAACGCTTGTGTGGTAGATGGGAGAGCTAAAACAAGTACAGTTGTCCGACCAGTTAATCCCCCGCCATCTTGGGCTTCGATTGTGATACGATATCGATGACCTGAGGAGAGCCGACCGATGGCTGAGAGAACATTGTTTTGAGCATCGTATTTGAAGTTTCGTTCGGCCCCATCACTCACTTCGACAATCTTGTATGTCAAACGTCCGAATCTTCCAGAATCCAGATCTGTGGCCTTAACTTTGGCCACAAATCTCTCAATTGCATCATCGGCGGATACGTTGGCAAAGTAGACTGGTTGCTCAAAATAAGGGGAGTTGTCGTTGACGTCCATGACATGAATCGTAAGTGAAATTGGGTCGGAACTCCTTAACGGTTCTGTGTCAACTTCACGAGCTTGAATGTGAAGTTGGAATGATGATGAATTGGAATCTGCATCTAATCCTTCTGAATTAAGATAGAGAAATCCTCGTTGATCAACTGCGAACTTTTCGGCTCCAAATCCATTGATTACATACTGATAGATTGCTGGCATCATTCCTGGCTTCTAAATGAATGCTTCTTTGTCATCAAATTTAAAAAAGTACTCACCAAATCCTGATCTTCAACCAGAATCTGTAGGCTTTCAGCTCTCATTGAAGGTGATATCCTGACGGTCGTGCCAACCGGCGCATTCTCTGGAAGATACCCTTCTCGGGATTTTACCCTCAGGACGGGCGGAAACATTGAAGGCCTTGCCGGGGCCGGCAGGGCATGAAAACGGAGGTTCTGAGCTGGTTGGGCTTCAGTTGAAGAGATCAAACAAATAAATATGCTTAGAAATATAGTCTGGTGAGAAAACAGAATCCATGAAAAACTCGACCGGTCGATTGGCTTCCGGCCCGGAGGCCAAGAAAGGAAATGGATGGGGACTCGCATTGTCGGTCATGGACCCATTGAAGCACCTGAAACCCGGGTAAAGTCTCTTTTCGCTGTGTCCCGAACGCGCCGATCGAATCTCTCCGCGGCCCCTGTTTGCGCAGCGGATCGCCAAAAGAGAGTAAAGTGGCCTTAGGGCGTCTTAGACCGCACAAATGGTCTTGAACGGTCATTTAATGTGGTTTCAAGTAAATACCAAGTGGGTGAAACGCTGGGGAATATAAATCGGATTGCTAAATCCACTAAGAAACTGGATCTCGATAACCTCAAGGGCGATTTGATAACTGTGATCAGTTAGAGGAAATACTACAAAGTTAGGTTAAAAGGGGACAGTCTAGGTGAAAATTATTTTGTAAAAAAATGGATCCAGAAAAAAGATCAGAATTTATGCATCAAGAAAATCAGAAGCTCACTCAGCCAGTCCATCGTCATGTCACGCGAACAGAGCAAAACCTTAACAACTCTGAAAACCGGGGACGTAACAGAAGAAAGACGGGGGATAGTAAGTAAACTTGATAGAGGGCTCAAGTGGCATCGTCAGGCAAACAAATCTCGAGAGAATGACCGCCCGAGAAAGCGTTGGACCTCGCTGATGGTATGGCTGATGGTCAGTCCGCCTGCTCGGGTCGAAAGGTGAGGGTAAGCTGGATGATCTGACTCGTTTACAATACGCAGAACGTGACTCCCTTTAAGATTATATCGAAATCAAGCATTGAATGTTGAATAGAGAGAATGAGGAAAATCGAAAACATTATCCTCCATGATATTCGATATCAACTGAGAGCTGCGGATACGAAATCTTGTCAAGTATTATAAGTTGAGCATCATCTTAAAAATACTTCCAAGCAAAATAAAATCATTGCATTCTTTTGCGGAGTTTTAAGCAAATTACGATCAGGCTACTTTTATGGTCATGTTTACAAAAATACGCACAAAACGGTTGACTCCATTTCCCTGTTTTCAGATCGCGATTATTAGGAACTCCAGGGGTTGTGTCCATTCCCTGAAGTCGAATTTAGTGACCGGACAAATACAAAACGCGCTCCCGAACCACATCATGAATAGTAAGCCTTGGTTCACGAGATGGAAACAAACAAGAAACCGCTGGAGACCAATTCTGAAGATACGTTCAGCATCTTGGAATCAAATCTGACATAAATCATGGAAGGATTCTGAAAAATCGTTGATGATGTAAAACTTACAGGGAACGTACCCCAAGTGCGACGCTCAGATTTTGATGAAACTTGGCGCAAATTTAGACTGACTTCTTCTAAAAGACATGCGAGAATCCTTGTTCGCGCTTTGCAGAAACAATCTAAATTTTTAGATCGAAAGTCGGCGAAAATTTAACACCTTTTCCCGAATTTCGGCACAAAAACTTTCATTCTTATTTCTCCCATAAGTAAGGTCTCCACAAAAAATCATTTTTTTTTGCACGAAACTAGCAAGGTTATGGCCAAAAAGTGCTTTCCTTTGTGACCGCTCTCCGCGTTTACCGTACTCTCACGGCGGCAAAGATCGTTCGATATCTCGGTGGCGCTTGCAAAATGCGAGCTAAAACTTTCAAGAATTGATATTTAGTTCATGCCTGATGGGCATGCAAGATCTGAAGAAAAGCTGCCGTTTTTGCACTAGCGACATGCACTTTTCAGCGAGCGCACCCCGCGACGTCACCGAAAAAATTCTACGGACTTTATGGCGCTATACAAAGTATTCGCGCACCAAATCTGCAGCCGTCGTCGCAAAGCGATGATGGGCGATTCTAAGGCGCGACGACGCTCTGTTATTTTCCCGACAGACTGATAGTTCAGAAATGTGCAGAGCCTAAGACAGGATAAAATTTGTTCTGAACGGTATCGTGACAAGAATTATTCCCACCTTGAAAATTTTTAGCCCATTGTGGGCCTTGTAAAGTGCAGAAAAAAATCGATATGGGCGAAATTTGTGATTGAGTGTGATGGGCGAAAATTTTTGAATTTACTCGGAACCCCTCTTATGAATATATTTTGATGTTGCATAATTTTCCATCATAATTTCACATAACGTTGTCATGTTATTTGGAACGCAATTACAGAATATTTTTACGCTGATCCCTCAGTAAATTGGATGGAATCGCGCCATTTACGGGTGTCAGTGAGTAGATCGACCTTTCTTCTTACCAGTAATTGTTCCCTTTGTTCCGCTGAATACATCGCTGACCCTCTGAGAACCGTTTCCAGGACTGATGAATAATCTTTTCTCTCCTCTCCCCACTGATCCAATTCCAATGTGAAGCATCCGGTCATCTTTTGTATCCATGACGAGCTTTCGGGTTTTCTTTATTTTTTTGTCAAATAATATAAGAGCCATGAAAAGAAGTAGAAAAAGTTGTGTTACTGCCACAACACTCGTCGTATTTAAACTACAGCTGTACTTGAACCAAGTTTATTTATATATATTCATTGCTGACATTGTATAAGAAGTTGCTGAACTCTTTTCTGAGCTGGTCGCCTTCCCTATCCACATTTACTGGCACACATCGTATTCCCATCATTTCCTGAGGCAATTTAAAATCAGCGATGGCTGAATCGTTCGTATTCTCTGACGAGTGATGCAAAAATACAATCGCTTGCTGAGGCCGGAGCCCGACTTTCTGCACAAACTCATTGTGCCTAAAATAATGTCATTAGAATGTCCTCGGATCTTATTTCTTCACGGTTTATTAACTTTTATGGGAGGGGTGGGGGAGCGCAGAAAGGACTTTAAATGAACGAACCTCCAGGCTGTTTAAATCACTCTTTACTGGACTGTAATTTATGACCGTATATAGGCTTTTAGGGAATGAAATCAAACTGTGACCAGAGCTCTGAACGGTCTCCATTTGGGGAGGGAAACGGATCCTGTGATACAATAATATTCAAGACAAACATTTGCGGCTAATTAGAGGGATCCCTCTAATTGCTTTAATCTTTACTTTTAGAGCCCCGTTATGTTAAAACTGTATCCGGATTATGGTAGTAAAAGTGGAAATGCGCATTAACTCGATTACAAATTTTATGTTTCGCTGCAGCTGTAACATCAATTCCTCTACTTTGAAGTGGAATCTAAAAATCTTTTTTCGTCTGTAAATAAGTGGATGTCAACTTGATTTAAAATGGGATTAGATTCAGAATGGTTGTTTTTGTGTCTATCGAATCAAAAATTTGAGGTTTTTCATGCTTAATAACATTAAAAGCGCGGCATGATTACAAAAAAACTACTCTTGAGGAACGGCCCATTAAGAAACGGCGCTCGCGCGGAGATTCTGAAGGCCGTTAAACTGAAGAAGATACCTCGATCTGCTTTATGGCATGCTATAAACTTTTGCAGTCGTTTTCTTCGCGGATTCCGCGGATTCTGAAGACGCAGACTCCAAGGCTGACCCCTTTTCCGTAAATTTAATTATTCCATTTAAGATATATATATTTCCAACATATTCCCATGTTCCAATTTCGTTTTCCTTTTCCTACTCCGATGATAAATGCCATCGTCTCAGTTGTGTTCGGTTGAATACAGCTCTACTTACCACAAAATTAGATCGTCGCCTTTCGTTTCGCCGGGATTACAAGTGATGATTACAGCGTCCACAAAGCGTCGCATTGCCGGCCAACATGTCTCGTATCTCCGGTCTCCACTGCAGTCCCACAACTCCACCTCGGGCTCTATTCTCTGATCTCCCGAACTTAATTCGATACTTTCAAATTCGATTATTCGTACCCCTAAACAATAAGTAGTGTAATATAAATGTTAGATTTTTCATGAATTTCCAAACCCACCATGAGTAGGTTTGTATTCCATCCTTAGATTTTCCGTAGAGTCCGAGAGATACGTTGAAATTAAAGTCTTGCCACTCTTAAATTGGTACAAAGTCAAAGTAATCTTTAATTATTTTACCTTTATTGGACCAATCATTACAACTTTCATTCCTTTTGATGCCATTTCCTGACTTAAATTTATTACTTTTCAAGAATAATTTACAATTTTAGTTGTCAAGGCAACCATGTTTTCGTTGCAGGAGTCTTTGAAAGACGATCTCTGACTTAATTGCTATATTTCCGGGATTTTACACCATTTCCGGTCTCATCCCCAATGTTTTTGGATGACCTTCTTGAATTTAATAAGCCGTCTCTTCAGGCTATTTCCGAAAAAAACATTTTTCCCTGGGGCAATGGCTCTGATTCCATTAAGCCTGTCCACTCTCGACCCCCTGGGAGCCGGCCAGGGAAGCGCGGCCAGAGAAGTTTTGGATTCTTTTGTTTCCGCTCTCCCCGGCCCTAATCCAATGCCCAAATTAAAACCTTCCTCTTACAGTAATTGTCATCCACACGTGTTTCCTAATCTGTAATATTTTTTGGAAGTCAAAAGCCAATGGTTTGGCCATCTCTTGCCTCAATTTGTCGGACATTTTTTAAAATAATTGGAATGATTTTGCCACAGGCAATATAGGTGGTTTAAACGGCACTTGGACATGGCCATCAGTGAAATTGCGCCCTTGTTTATTTAGACTTTTTGTCCTCGCTGACCCTTCCCCTTTTTTTTGGCATCCGAGATGAGTCGGAAATTGTTGTCCTGGCCAAAGAGACAGGCCATTTGTGATGATGATATCCCCTAATCTACATAAATTGGTGTCTTCATTGGGATCAGCGGTGGATCGAGTGCTTAATTAATGGCTTCGAAGCCGCGTTCGGAAAAGAACGCCTTCGAATTGGACTCGGCCATATTCCGAAAGAGAACGTCGCGCATTAGGACCAAGGTCCGGGACCAACCTCGAGGGCTTCCGGAATCAGCGGACTCTCTAATGAGGTCGGCCTTTACTTTATTCCCGCGAAGATGGCCGAAGGTCCTCCTTTACTCTCCGTACAGTCTGCTTTCCAATCTTTTATGACCGCTATGTATGACAGAGTACGCAAATTAAAATTGTAAATCCTTCTGTTGCGCCATCAATAACCGAAAACAAATTGGGCGGCAGATTCGCTGATCTCTTGGCCGAATTTGTTTGGCCAAGTTGATTTGTGGCCTGTCGATGCGGCCCATTGATCCGCCGCCTTTACCGCCTCTTCTGTTTGGATTGCGCAATGTTTTTTTTCGTGCCGGGGTTTAAAATATTTTTATGGAAAGTCGGCGGTCAAAAGTCCTTCGACGTTCTTGAGGTCAAGAGTGGCGCCGGAGGCATTCGAGGATTCGCGTGATGAGGCCAATCGCTTTTTTGTTTCCGCCTATTTCTCGCAAAAAAAACTTTCAGCGGTTTTTTTTTACAAAAGAGCGTGCGATAATACGAGATTGTTGGATGAGATTACCGTCGGATCAGCGGAGTTTCCCTCACGCCCTACTGCCCAATGTCCTCGGTTATTTGTCGGGTATCTGTCATAACAAACGGTCGAAAAAAAGTTTATCAGAGCGCATCTTTCCGGTCGGTGGAATCGCCGTTAAGTTGCAACGACTTTCTGTTTCTTTGTCTTCGGACCTCATAAAAGCTGTAAATTATTTTTTTTATTTTTTTTGTGGCGCCACTCTGGTTTCGGAATCCGTTAACGGGTTTTGTAATGGCCTAAAAATGAATCCATCAGATTTCTAGGGCTGATCTGCTGATTGCGCAATTTGAAGTTTTTCGTTGTTTGCATACATGGAAGTGCCAAGTATTGCGTGTTGGTGGGACTTGGCCAAACAAATATTAGAATTGGCTTTCCGGTTTTATTGGGGAACAAATGCAGGTGTTCCCCGCCCAAAAGGTCATCGTTTGTTTTAAACTGGGCTTGTTATGACCTCCATTGTTTTGAAAGTTGCGTTCCGTTTCGAGGCCATGAGGGAGAAAGCCTCTCCGTATTGTCCATTCCCTTCCCCTGCCTTTAATAATATTATTTTTAAAGATAAAATGATTTTAAACACCATGATAGTACAACCTTTCGTCCTAATCCTATTTTCTCCATCTTCTGCGTGACATCCATTTAATGGGGCCATATCTGGCCGATGAATTCGTTCCGGCTCTTTCCATTAATACCTGAACATGTCGAGCTTTGAATGACCTTCTTGACCTCCCCCCTTCGGTCTCGCTGAAAAAAGCCCTGAGGCAATATAGAGGTTGCAAAGCTCTGTTCTCTATGCATTTGCATAAAACGCGTTTAATTTCCGTTTGTTTGGGAAAGAATTCTTAATTTGATGAATTCCCAGGGTAAATATTCCCCAGATAGTGAGTAAGTAGTGGAATTCTCCGCGCTCTGAATCCTTCCGAATATTTGCGGTCGAGTTCTTCTCACTTTTGACCTCAGGGCTTCGGAATTACGCGCCGACGCACGCGCCAACGCCGAGAAAAGCGCGCGGAATTAGCGGAATGGCCGGAGGGTTTGGGCCGTGTAATCGTCCCTCTAATCCCGTAAACTTTGTTTGGTCCCATTTTGAGCGAGATTAGCAATTTTTTCGGCCCCCTCTACCTTTTCCCTTCGGCAGATGTTTATACGATCTTCGACCGGTCGTAAATTTTGTGTTGTGTCCATAATTCATATTCGGTAACCTTATCCTTCGGAGCGATCTGTACTCAGCAGGGGTCCCTTATTCGGCTCTGTTTGACAACTTGGACCTGTTGAGGACTCATTGGCACTCCACTCGTCAAGAGGATTTATTTGGGAGATCTCGGCAGTCCGTTAAGTATGGCCAGGTCACCCTACCTGGCCACTGAATTCGGTGTTTATCCGCCCATGTTGTTCCTTTTTTAACGCCCATGTTTTTGACACGCTTGCCGTAACAGAGTTGAGTCGATTACCGTCCCACATCCGACTGTTTGTGGCTGTTGTTTCCGTTTATTTCAGGTAATTTTTCGGGGTCTGATTTACGGAGCCTAATTAGATTTTATGTCCACCGGGGTCAGTCCTTATTACTACGCGTTTACGGCGCGTTAATGGGTGGATGGAGATGTGATCGTCAATTTGATGATGTCCATTTTATACGGTTTACAATCCTCCCCGGAACGTCCGCTCCCCTCCCGTTACAAGTATTTTTTGTGCGCGAAAAAACGGAAATCACTGCTATTAAGAGGCGATCCGGGGAACGACTCTTTGTTTTATAGGACTCATTCTAATTAAAGAGCGGAACGACCAAACGTTTAACCTTCTCCGAATGTTTTGTTTTAGGAGCGACGCGCGGCTTCAGATTTCAGAAAATGGGCCTTAGTAATGGTGAGTCATTAGGGCAACAGGCAGATGCAGTTGTGGCAAGTGCCGGCCGAGAGATCGCTCGAGGTGTCGGGGGTGCCCTCGACTGGTCGATCCCTACTTCTTCCAGTCCTCAAGTTGTATTCTTTTTTCTCACCGCCTTCACAGATCTCGCGCATCCGCTCCCGCATTAATTCGAAGCGAAATTTGTCGGCCACAAAATTTTACTGCGTTGATGGGAAAATAAAATCCAGGGATCAAAATTTCAGCGCCGAAATTTAAATTCGAGCGGCGAATGCTTTCGGCCGAATTGCAATTATGCAAAAATTTATGCCAAAAATATTCACAACAAGCCTCACTCATCTTTGCTGGTAGTCGTGAGAGACATGTGTAGTGCTGTTCTTTTGATACACCCCTCCGGCTTAATCTTAATTGCCCTTCCGAACCCATTTTAAAAGCAAACGTTTGGCCAGTTTTATGGCCTAAATGGCACTTTACGAGACTCTAGGTAAGACGACAGCCGGTCGTTGTAGCTTCTTAGCATATACATATCTCCTCGGAAATGAAGCCTGACAACAAAAAAAGGAAATGAGAAGAGAATGCGGTAATTTTTTGACTCCCAAAAGGGGCGGATTAGGACTTGGCCCTCTTGGCCGCGCGCCTTTCCTTTGGTCCTCGGCTCTCGAGAACACGGCCCTGATGTTTTTGTAGGTACCCGGCATCTTTTTTTTATCCTTGCCGCCCTTCAAATACGGAACAGATTATGCAGAATGCCCCCGGAGAAGAGCCGGAAGTCGGGGATCAGTCCTTTGATCCAATCATGACTTCAGAACAGAGAACGGGCCTCGCGGTGGGAGCCAACACTTCCGATTAATGATCCGGATGATATAATTCTCCCATCAAGAAAGCATTTTTTGGGTTTATACCTGCCACAGAGACCCGGACGCCCCTTGATCTTCCCTTAGAGACTCGCGAGGCTCATAAATCTTATCAATTGGGGTAGCCTCGACCTACTTAATACTCGCGTAACCTCCTCAAGTAACCAACTTAAGGAAACCCCGGGGCTAAACTTGGGTTCTCCATAATTACGCAAGAGATTCATGTCAATTAAATAGATGAAGTGTGCCGTTAGAACACTTGAAGTGGACGTTCAAGAATAAACAGGGAGTCAGAAAAGAGTGAGTGGGTTGTTTGCAAGTTTTCGGGTCTCAAAAAAGGGACCCTCCCCCCTTGAATGGCCACTGTTTCGAACTGTTTTGTTTGCGACTCCACCTCGAGTCGGTTGCTTTGGGTTGTCGGGCATGGTTAATGTTTGAAGGGGTAAACTCGCCAATTTGTATACATTCGGTATATAAGTCATCATCCATATTATCCATTATTTAAAGGGCTATAAATTAAATCCAAGGATCGCCTCGCCTGGGGAGGGAAGTCGTATATGCGCGGGAGATGGGTGTCATGCTGCGATTTCATGAACATTTGTTGCTTGATATACTGCCAGGTATCGTCCTCCCCCGGGGATCCTCTGATTTACGGCTGTTTTCGTCTGCTTAGCAAAGTGAATTACAGTAATTTTTCTGCGAGTTTTGTCTAACTTAACGCTTATAATTATGACATACATGCTAATCTTATGTCGTTTTTTCCCTCAGAAGGTCATGACCTCGGACTTTTAATCCCCTGAACACTGGGCCCTGGGATTCCGCCACAATGCGTTCTAATTGGTGATCGAGACCAAGGTCGGGAGGATCGCCATAATGCAACTCCTTAGCTCTCGGAATTAATACGGAACTCTTCCCTTGCTCCTTCAGTAATTATGGGAATTCATAAAACTTACGGGATATTCTACATGTTGATTATTTTTTGTTTGTTTTGTTTTCTTATATTGTGCTTGGTTTCACGTTGATGGATGCCCATCAGTTTGTGAATACCCGCAGCACTTGATTGTCGGGGATTTACCTAATCTTGAGGTTGATCTAAACCCGTCGAAAGTGGAGTCCACTTTTTTGTTTGTTTTTCGGGATGACCGCATCTCATCTCAATTATAATATCATAAAGGCTCTTTTGATTGAAACCGTTTCGGAAGCGGGTTTCAAAGGGCCTATCACTATCAGATTAGTTATTTGATATTCCCTAACTTTGGCCCTTTCGTCGGATTACAGCGCCCTTCTGTTCTCTTTTCCCTTCACTCCTCCCAAACCTTATGGACATTCCGAAGAGAGGGTCCCTTCCCTTTTGTACAGTCGTGCATTTATTTCTGTTGTCTTATCTCCGATGCGCCAAAGTTCAGAGGAATCCCCGGATGCCAGAGATCCAATGGTCGGAAGGGGCGTGGCTTCGGGGGAGGTCCTTATTTTTATTTTTGTTCTAAAACTTTCGCTCCTTCTCGGTCTGGAGAAATCGTGGGATCGTGACCTCCACCGCCTTAATTGGGCCCTTAGGGCGGGAATGAGTTACTTATGCAGATTTTGTAACCCATCTGGAAGCCGTCGCTGGCCTTTCTCAACAATTCATGGGTCACTACTTTTCTCACAAGCCTCTTTTCTTGTCATTGTATAGTAATAATAATTTGAGATATTTGAGCGCACTCTTTCCTTTTTGGCCAGAGACCCTATTAGCCCTGCGGGCCTCAAAAGTCGCCTGCCAGATTAATTGGCAAGGATACAAATTCAATGGCCAAGAGGGAGAGGTGCTTATTCCTTGCTCAGACTTGTTTTTTCGAGGGGAAATTAAGCTTCTGAATATTTTATTTCGACCGTTTAGTCCCTTCCGGAGACTGTCGACACTGATTTTTTATCTACAAACACGGATCGACTTGCGTGCTGACGATTATTTAATTTTATTGTCCTACCAAAATTTTCGAAGACAACATCCCTTCAATTGACCTTCGATAGATTTCCCAAAATACTTTTTTTGGCTAGCTTTATAAAATGTGTCATTCTGTCGCCTTTTCCAGATCCCGACAAGATTTTGTAAAAACAATTTTCGGTCGAGGTGGCCATGTTTGAGGTCAGTGGGAGAATATACCCTGGAATTAGCGGACGTTCGACTGGATCCCACGGCTTAATGGCCGGGTCCGCGCGAACGATTCAATTATTCATAAGAAATGCGAGAAACCCGGCCAGAGGCCTTCCCAATTCTTCCACATTATATTATACTACCCTATCACACTCCGTATCTTCCTCCTCGCGCGTTTGATTGACGGTTTCGTCCCGTTTCCTTAATTTTGGCCCTAATCCCCAATTATTCATCTCCTTTGCAGAGCTATGCTTCAATGTATTTGCGGGCATGGGATCTCCATTGTCTGATCGTCTTCGTGACAAGTGTAATATGCACAGCAAATGGTTCGGAACGACTGCTCAACAGCTTTCGAGCTTCCAGTAAAATTAATAATGTCTTTTTAAAGGGAGATAAGGTGAGTGTGGCATATTGTATTACCTATTTTTATTGTGTTTTATCTTTGATTAAATGGATTTAGGTGTATATTGGGGCTGTCAACAGCATCTACGTCATCAACAACCATCTCTCTGTCTTAGCCGAACAAACCACCGGTCCTATTCTTGATTCTCCTTTGTGTTCTCCGGATTTGAATAGTTGTATTGGCTCTAAGGAATCAATAGAATCTTCGGATAACTACAACAAGATCCTCCAATATTCTCCAAAATCGGATCTCTTGTTAGTATGTGGATCCGTGAGACAAGGGATTTGCGAATGGCGGGATTTGAATACTCTTAGGGTTGTCAATAAACACGAATCGTCGCCGATTCCCGTCGCTGCCAACTCTCCCAATGCATCTACGACTTCTCTGATAGTCAAGGATGTGTATGATGAGGATCAATTATTTGTGGCTGCATCTCTGACCACGGAATCTCCTTATCGGGATGGATTTCCTGCTGTTACGACGAGGGCTATTCCCTCTTTGATTACTTTGAATTCGGGATCATTAGAAGGTAAGTTTTTGCTTTTACACTGTGTTTTCGTTTTAAAAAATAGTAAAATCTCTTGACCTTTAATCCAATATTGATCTTATTTTAGGTGAAGCAGCTGTCTTTATCCGGGCCGATTACCGTCAGCGCTTCAAAGTGGAGTACGTTACTTCGTTTACCTTCGATAATTACATCTACACGGCTTCCATCCAAAACCAAGACCTCAAACTCCCATCGACTCTGGGCCATTCGGTTTCAAAGCTGATCAGAGTCTGTCAGAATGATGACAAGTATGTGATTTGACACTTCTATTAGCTGAGATCAAGGTCAGAGATGTGCTTTCGATAACACATCTCTATTAGTTGTTGGTGAAGGTCCTTTTTTGGCTTGTTCAGATCTTATCGGGACTGTGATTTGGCCAATTTCTGGGTCTAACTCAATTAGCTTTGTTTCCGAACCAACATATAATTATAGGCCGAGATTGTGGGAAATGGCCTTAAGAGGTCGGGGACGTCTCCCCTGCTTGCGTAATACCCCCTTAAAACGACTCTCACTTAGAATGAAAACAGATCGAGTGTAAAATAGAGATTAAGGTCGACAAATCAAGTGTGTATAATCAAGCATTGCTTGAAGAAATATGCTAAAAGATCTAATATTTTATAATTTTCTTTACATTTTGCTTTAGGTATGTTTCCTATTCGGAAATCGAGATCCAATGTCGGGGCGAAGATAACACCAATTTTAATATTGTCAAGTCGATGAAATTGGTGGGCCAAGAGTTGATTGGAGTGTTCACAGATCAGAATGAGCAGCGATCGGCGGTCTGTATCTATCAAATGTCCAGAGTTCAGACCACTTTCTTCTACAATATCGACCGATGCTGGGGAGGGACGTCGACCGTGGGCTTACCTCACATGGGACGGGATGCCAAATGCAGTAATGTGAGTGAATTCCGAATGCGTGGAGGCAGGAAACGGGGAATGGTATTCAAATTCAATTGGCTATATACTCCTTGGTGTGTCATCCCCGCCATTTTCTTTTGTTTTGGCACGCTTTTTGAGTAACAAAGCCGATCTTTTACCGCGCCGATGTCATAAATTTTCGGGGGAAGTTTTACTATAGGCCTTTATGCAAATGAGAAAAAAGCAAACCATATGGGCGAGGACCCACCTTTCCCGGATCTTCGCCATGATTTGGAGATGTAGATTAATTAGATAATTGGCTTCCATTTTACGAAAACATATGGCTGCACACATGAACAAGCCTAATGTAACATGCAGGGGTCATAAAGACGGGAACTACTGTAAAATGTCACAAAAAATTAGATGATTCCCAGTACCATATCATTTTCAGAGGAGTCGGATGACCTTGTCCAATGAGACCTGCCTTCTGGGTGTTGGTGGATCCATCCAAATCTCGGAGATTGCTGTGAAACAATTCGAGGCTCGAACCTTGACTGCTGTCGATGCCAGATTCATTCAAAATCATTTTCTGTTGGCTTTGGGAACAAAGTCTGGTGATGTTTTACAGGTAAGCACATTAATCTTGGAACTTTCATTGGTGTTCCCTTTGATCTTCTTTAATTACTTTGGCCGAATTTCCCTCAATTTGACGCCTTTTCCGAAGGATTAATGTCAGTTTATTTAAGAGTGATTTAAGACCAGCTAAAGGTGATTGGAAGTGATGTAGGGCCTCCTAATTCTTACCGGAAGATTAATTGGCTAGAACTGGCCTGATCCTGGGAATTTTTGTGGGAAAAGTTTACGCAAATTTTGACGGATTAGGTTTGTGGGAGCGGATTAAGGTCAAGCTGATCCACGACTGGTCAGGTGTTCCCACGGGGTTAAATTATTCTCAAAAGATCGAATTTTGAATTAATGTTAAAGAAAGTAATGTTGCTATTACAGTATGAGATTCTGGGAGACAAAGGGAACCGTCAAGTGGAAGATTCATTTGCCGAATTCCTGGCCGGCCCTGATCCCGTGGATAAAATCCAGTTCTTGGACGAGGAAAAGCTGTTCGTTGTCAGCGGAAATGAGGTATGGTTGAATACTTTTTTATTGGTTTAATTGGTTTATGAATAACGTCCGTGTAAACAGTTGACCGTAATTTACGCGTTTATGCCCATAATTGGTATGACCACACCTCCTCGCAGCCGGGATTAGCCCCATTTCGCATGTTATTTCTCGACATTAAAGGCGGCTTTAATAACCGAAAGTTTGCGCAAGAAATGGCGAAGGAATAAATCCGTAATTTGCGTATTTGAGACTCGATTCCGAATGCATTAAGGCGGCAGTCAAGGTCGGGCATTACTCCTGCAGTTCACGAATCCCAAATTGAGGGATTACGTAAGAGGAGACGAACAAATAATCGGTATCACACTATTCCCATAGAAAGGAAACATAAGGAAAATCTCGTAAAATTCTTACTCTCTCTTATCAGCGCATGTTTTATGGCCCATAAACCGCAGTAAGAAGATCATAAATTAGCCGGCCGTCTTTTGTTTGCTGACAAGACGGCGGCACCCTTCAAGGGTCCACCTTTTATCATTTAATCTCCGCTGACCGATCGCTAAGCGGCTAGGCCGGGCCATCTGTTGTCTCATTAATAAAGGGCGAACAGACAATGGACATCATTTGGATCGGGGATGATTATTTATGTGCGAACGGATCCCGCAAAGCTTACACAATTGGCTGTTTTTTGGCATAAATTATGATCAGCGAGGATTGACGAGCACTTTGTTACACCAAAATATAATCTATGAGAATGCAAATAATGTCAAGTATAATGTTTAAACAAGAGTTCCTTTCAGGTTTTGACATTCAAGGTGTCAGTGTGTCCAAAGAGCTCCTCTTGTGATCAGTGTGTCTTCGCCCGTGATCCTTTATGCGGATTCTGTCTCTCCGAAGGCAAATGCACTTCTCAAATCGAATGCCAATCTCGTCTTGTCAGTCAGTGCCCGGTTTCAAGGGATTCTGTAACTCCTTCCAACTCTTCCACAACATCCTTATCCAGTATCTTCTTCCCTGTTGTCGGGCTTCCTCAGCCGGCGGTTGGTAAGGGATACGAATGCTATTTCGGACCCTTCAAGTCATCGGCTTTATGGACTCCGGAAGGTGTCAAGTGCAATATTCCAAACCAGAAACCGACCACGAATGGAAAAGACTTCATGCAGGTACCACTAGCTATTAGATCCTCATCATCCCGCTACAACATTGTCCAACAGAACTTTACTTTCTATGATTGTAAAGTTCATACTGTATGTTCAAAATGCTCCCAATCAGAATGGCCATGTACTTGGTGCTCATCTACGAGATCTTGTCAAGCAGAAGATCAGAAATGTGAAATTAAGGTAGGTTAAAGTTATTTGGGATCTGGAGTTAATAATTATTTTTTTAGTCGAATGGAAGATGTCCCCACATTGACATGTCAAGTCAGCCCTCCATCACTGTCCCTGATGCTACAAATCAATCTATCTCTTTCAACGTCAGATTCATGGATTCAGAAGTTGATTCCAAGGGTTTGACCTGTGAAGTGTCAGCTTCAGAACCGGATTCTAATCCCTCTTCGGTTCCAGCAACTTTTATATCGAAAGAAAAGGTCCAGTGTAGTCCTATTTTCTTTAAATACCGGGATGATAAAGCTGAACGCGTTTATCAATTGGAGCTAAAGAGAGACAAAGAGTTGATTGACAAGATCCCCATTACTGCTTTCAAGTGTTCAATAATGGCTTCTGACTGCTCGAGTTGTTTGGCATTGGATCCCAGGTTTCAATGTACCTGGTGTGCTGGGGGATGTCATTTTGATGAGAATTGTCCGGTTAGACCTTCCAAGGCAAAAGCTGACACTTTATGCACGGCACCCGTGATTGACTCGGTACGTTTTTGTTGTTTTGCACTTTGTCATTAACTTTCTCCTCTAATGAAGACGTTGTTTTCAGTTCTCCCCGATTGCTGGGCCAATTGAAGGAGGCACTGTAATTGAGATCAGAGGTCGAGATCTTGGCTCCAGAATTCAAGATGTCCAAGACCGAGTGATGGTTGGGTCTTCAAAATGCAGAGTGATTGATTATGAAGTCTCAGTGAAGATTTTGTGTGTGGTTGAAACTGGAACTGGGTCAGGACCGATCAGAGTGACCATCGGGAAAACGGGGAAACGTCAAGTAGAATCTGACGCCCACTTCCATTTTCTGGAGCCGGTGATACGATCAATTCAACCTTCCTTTGGTCCGATGTCTGGGGGCACTAGACTTAGAATTCACGGGGAAAATCTGGACGTTGGAGCCATGGTTAATGTTAGTGTCGACAGGATACCATGCAAGGTGATTCCCGAAGAGAGGTCAAAGAATCAGATCATGTGTTTGACGGGTCGAAGCCCTACGGCATACACCGCTGAGACAATAAGACTTCAAGTGGATGAGACTATCAGAATATTGAATGCCGAATTTGAATACAGACCAGATCCAACGGTGGTGTCAGTTGATCCCTTGGTCGCATTCGAAAGTGGAGGACGACTTCTTACTGTGAAGGTAAAAGGTGATTGTATTAATAAATGTGGATTGTTATAGGGAACGAACTTTGATTCCGTCTTGGAAGCCAAGATCTTCCTGGTTTCGTCTTCATCTGCTTTTGAAACTTCCATTGTTTCTGACCTTGCTGCATGTCAGATCCAGAACTCGACCGAGATGACTTGTGAATCCCCCCGGTTGTCTTACAACCTTCTGAATCCTGAGGTCGGTCACGCCAGAAGGGCCTTCAACAAATTTCCGGTTGGATTCCATATGGATGGGGTTGAAGATGTCAGGAATCTGGGCCGTTTGTTCTCCTTGATGACTGTTTCGGATCCTCAATTTGCTTCATTCAAGGGTGTCAAGACACTTAGTTTGGGGCACCCATTGGTCATCGAAGGGAAACACTTGACAATGGCTGCTAAACCGGACGAATACACTGTAAGACAAACATATTTTGGCGGGAGTTGCAGGCGTTAGAAAACGAATAACTTTATATTAAACGAAACGGGAAATCCCGAGGATTCAGGGAAAAAAGAAACGTTTGACTCAAAAATAAAGAAGTTATGGTCAACTGAAATCGGGCCTAAAATGGTCTACTCTGTTTTTGGTTTGCAATTGTGATCTTTTCAGGTTACAATCGGAACAGTGAAATGTCCAGTGATTGTTCTAGAGTCCCATCAATTGGTATGCCGGACTCCGGAAGTTCTTCCTCCCCAGACAGATGACCAAGGCACTCCGCTGAACGACGGCAGATCTCTGGTAGTGGTCAGGTTTGGGTCTGGGAGAATTCGCGCCGAAATCGGACCCTTGGAATTCACGGACTCTGTTTCCCTGCAATCCTCGGCATTTATGAGGAACAACTTGGTCAGATTAATACTCATTTTGGTGTTTGGCATCGGGATTGTGGGCGTTGGACTTGTCCTTATCTTCTTCTTGTGGCGACGACGATCAAGCGAACATGAGCGAGATTACAAACGGATTCAGATGCAGCTGGAACAAATGGAGTCGAATGTGAGGAATGAGTGCAAGCAGGCCTTTGCCGAACTCCAAACTGATATGTCGACGGATCTGAGTATGACCATGGACAGTGACGGAATCCCTTACCACGATCGGGTCGAGTTCTTTAGTCGATTGTTATTCAAAGATGGTATGGACACCACTATTCTTAATGGTTACGGTACTGCAGGAATCTATGCAACGTAAGTAGAACAATGATTATTTAATATGGTTTGGTTAGGCATCTCCCAAATGCTATAATCCAGTTCGAAAGTCTCTTATACAATCGACAGTTTGTATTTGTAATGGTGCAGATGGTGGAGTCGAATATAAATATCGGAGTTTCGGAAAGATCAACTTTGGCCTCTCTTTTGATGGTTGCGATGGCTAGAGATATGGGATATTGTACTGAAGTTGTGTTTACTTTATTATCTGCTCATATCCAACAGTCTTGTCAGAACAAAAGCAATCATCTTCTCTTCCGCAGATCGGACAGTTTGGTCGAGAAATTATTCCAGCATTGGCTGTCGTTTACCCTACACCCAGCTATGATTGAACCTGTGGGGCCTGGCAGACAGTTGTATCTTTTATACAAGGCACTGAAGTTTCAAACTGAAAAGGGACCAATCGATGTTTGTACGGGGAACTCCAGATATTCATTATCCGAGCAGCGATTGTTGAGAGAATCTGTGGATGCGCAACCTATCGTCTTGATGATTATCCCGATTGAAGGTTTCGATCAAGCGCCAGTTCCGTTGAGAGTAGTTGATTGTGACACGATCTCTCAAGTCAAATCCAAACTCCTTGATGCCTTATATAAAAATGAATCCTACACTCGACGGATGACTACCGATCAGTTTGATCTTGAATGGAGATGTCCGAGAAGAGGAAACATTTTGTTATTGGATGATGATCAACCGCACATCAAAGGCGTCAAGAAGCTTCATACAGTCAGGTATTACAACCTACAATCAAATTCCGTCCTCACGATGCAACAACGAGGACAGCATTCGTTTACCACCTTCCGAAGTGAGTCTGGCGGATCTTCTGATACCACTTGTTCCGTATGGTCATCCGCACATCTAATAGATCAGAATGGAATACCTGTATCCCCGGCTTCTGCATGCAGTAATGTGACTTATTACCATCTTACTCCTCCAACATCTCTTAAATCGAATACCCTTCAAAGTCATGCAAGCGCTTTGCTGTCTTTGGATAAAAAGCAGAGGAAGCAGTACGTTTTGCAGAGACATTCTAGTCAGCAACATCTATTCGTGGAAGAGAATTCATCCAGAAATATCCCTGAAGTCTTCCTAACACGACTGGTTATGTGGTAAGTTTTCATTGAAAGTATAATTGATAGCAAGATCGGTGTTTCAATTGTAGCCTACTTAATTTCAGTAAGGGAACGATACAACAATTTATCGATGAATTCTTAAATGCAGTGATGTATTCGAACGTGGATATTTGTGAAGTGCCAGTGGTCCTGAAGTATGTGATGGACTTCCTCGATCAACAAGCAATTCGGAATGGAGTTTCGGACCCTGAGGTCATCCACGCCTGGAAGACCAACGCCTATGTTTTGAGGTTCTGGGTCCAACTCCTCCATAACCCTGATTCCCTATTCGATATCAACAGACAGAATTATGTGAACTCTTCTTTGGTTGTGATTGGCCAGACCTTGATCGATGCCTTCTCTCATTCAGAGGTACCACTTGGAAAGGAATCTCCGTCATCAAAGTTACTTTTTGCAAAGGATATTGCAAAGTTCAGACCAGTTGCTACGAGAATGTTTTCGAGGATACGACAACAGCCCAGGGTAGACAATGAAAAGTTCTTTGAATACATCAGAACTCTCACTACTGTAAGTTTTCTCGAAATTTTGAGTCAAAAAATTCTCCACATATTCTGAGAACGTAATTTCAGGAATCATGTGGAATGTCAGCTCATCTTGCAGTCAACGAACTCCTCAACTGGTCCAAAGCCAACATCCTTCGTTTAACGGACCTCCTGGATCAAGATCCAGTCAGTGTGAAACTTCGATTGGGAGAGAGACTTCAAGAATCCGCGAGATGTTCGCTGGTCCCCTCGGATCCCCCAGACCATATCTACGCCACTCTCCAGTAACCTTGTCCATATCGCTGTACATCTTTTATATTGTTCATGGTTTGTTTACTTACCATCCGGGTTTTGTCGGCTTTAAGTCGATATATGACTTTGGTCTCTATTTTTGTATATTTTGTTCCCCGTGCTTTTCTTTCAGAAAACCAGATTTTCTATTTTATGTTCTATAACTGCCTCTCTAAATGTCTAAAGGTATTCAAATTCCTCTGGCACCATTCATTTCAACCTGATAAATAATAAATATCATGTTATTTCCACAGTTTTTTTGACAACGAGGTCACAAAGCACGCAGTAAGATGTTTTTGCCCAAGGTCCTGGAGATCAGACGCATAAGGTATCCTGATTGGCCTATTGTAAAAAAACTTTCCCGTTAATTTTTTTGGTAGCGTTTTATTTTTTTGTATCGGATTGCCGTACCATGAAATTAAACTTCGTTTTCCGTATACCCCACGGCGCAGAGAGCTCGGACTAACGCCATTATAACTGTTCCCCACACGGCCTTTTAAAGTGATCAAAAATTGGGAGTATAGGTCTCTGACGTATTTTTGATTGCCTCAAAACGAAAGAAACTTTTTCACTGATGGTATTCGAATAACCTTTGATTAAACAAAGCTACTGTCACGCCAATTTATCCTTTATTGACCAAGAGCTTTATATACGACAATGCCGTATGACATAATATACATATATACAAAGAAAAGCACAATAATTTACAAAGCCATATATACATAGATAACGTTTAATAACATCATTGAGGTGAGTAACGGCCATTTACGTGCTTTACATGTTCGAGTCCTCGTTTGGCGAGTTTCCAGAGTGGAGGGGGTCGGTTAAGTTGGAAGGCCGCATCAAAGATTTTCTGCCGATTTCGTCTCACATAAGATCGAGCATCAGAAACCATTTGTTCCAATCTGATGGGATCTATCTCATCCAGTGTATAAGGAAAAGACATATACGGATTGAGACGAAAGTATGACTGAGGAGGGAGAAGATCACTCATTGCGTTGTGTACAAGTTCCGTGTCGGTGGCTGAGTCAACAATCTTGGAGATCTTATCCTGGATGCCAGTGTTTCTGATGGTTGAAGGCAGCTCCAGTTCGGTTACTGTGCGGCCATTACCCACTGAAACCACACACTGTATAGGTTCTGTTGGCCATAAAAGACGGGCTTCATGAAGGGCAATAGCTGTAGGGTTGTTTGCCAAAACACCTCCATCTTGATGAAGAACAGTCCCGAGAGATACCTGAAACAGCATAACTATACATACATTTCCCTCTTTTTGATCGAGACGTCAGTGGGTCTTTAAATGTATCTTTTAATCAAAACCCGCTTCGCATAATCAAAATGACAACAGTTGCCTAAGGCGATTAATCTAAAATTTCGGGACTTTTATCCAAACATTTACGCTTCGTGTGATTAAAGTAATTGAAAGAGTGACTGAGATGAATTACCCAGATCATTCAATTCCGTGTTGGCCTGACCCTCACCCCTTTCCCTTCCCCTACCTGACCCGACTGACATTCGACGCTAATGAGAAGAGCCCAGAACCGGGCCTCGAGAGCGGAACACATTAACTTCTGCATACTACTACTGTCCTGTTCCTTCATTTCCTGCTGCCGCATATCCTCAGAACCGAGGACTTAGCGGCCAACGGAATTAAAACAGCTGTTGGGGTTGGTTTACAACATCCGAGGTCGGGTACCCAGTGCTGATTGCATTTATGAGCCAGGGGAAATGTTCCCACCCGCATATACGTTGACCGTCTTGGTCCTCACACTGTTACAATTCTCATTCGACAAGAATTTCAGAAACGTATGTGAGAAAGAAGGACTCGGCCAGGTGGGTAACATAATATCTTAATCTTATGGGTTTCCAGACAAATGCGACCTCGGCCTGTCAGAATAATCGGGATAGGAAGGAAATACGGCAGCTAAATGATAATGAACTGACCTACTTCATCAATATTTATAATGAAAACCTTTTGAATAACAACACTCAACAATGGGGCGATGAAATCAGCGAGTTGGGAGTTGTACAAATGTAAGTTATACACGTCTTTTTACAAAAAAAAAACATTTTTAAGATTCGACGAATTACTGGAGAAAAAACTAAAAACTCCTTATTGGGATTACCGGATAGACCTAAATCTCTCAGATCCTTCATCAGGAGCCATCTGGGATGATCCCCGATTCTCCAAAGTCTCCGAGGCTGTAGACGCTCAATGGCTTGCCGAATTTATAAACAACGATATACAAGAGGACTCAAATGATTTCTTCGACGACCCTAATATTGATCTATGGAAAAGAAGAGCAGAAGCATTAAATGCCATGAGAAAGGTAAAAGGAAACGATGTCTTCTGGCATCTCTTAATTCTGGTATCTATTGAAACGGGGATTGATCAGCAACGGATAATCATCAATAAGACAAACTGTGCGGAGTATCACACGCTTTACTGGAACGGAACACATTGCACGTCGTACCTTCGAGATGGAGCTCACTGTCTTTCGAACAGCGAGTGTGTTACCAAACAATGTAACAGACAAGTATGTGGAGTTAAAAAACTTATAACAACTACCACATCAACCACACCATCGCCAACTCCGCAGTCCTTTACTACTTCATACAAAATACCCCCAATCGTTTATCCAACCCAGTCCAATCTAGCAGAAAATGCGACTAATCTAGCCGAAATCAGTCACAAGAATTTTCCATGGATGACGACAGAATTCTTGGCCAAGGAGTTAGAACCCCCACCCAAATTTACCCTATCAAAAAGCCAGAAATCAGAAAAGAAAAAGAAATCCAAGAAAAGGAAACATAAGAAAGGAAGGACTACTGTGGCTACAACGGAGCCTACTTTCTATGATCAGATACCTCCAACAACTCTGGAGACAGCCCCGACGTTACCTGGAACTTCGCCGCCTGAGGCACTAAACGAAACCAACACTCCAATTGAACCTGAGAGATATGAAGCAGATACTCTTGATGCGCTCCTAGTCTACATGCCCAAGGCAAAAGAACCTGCAGGCATGATCCCCTGGACCAATCGGATGCCCTTTCGAATGGCTTATTTTTCATTTACGATCATCGAAGGAGGTCTGGGGAAGAATCGGAAACTTAAAGAAAAGGGAGCCAGGAGATCCAAAGGGGCTAGAATTTATGTTAAAGGATTAGATATGCCCTCAGGGTATAAGCAAGTAACACAGGTAGGTCGTCTTGGATTATAACAATTCTATAATCTCAGGGAAAACAGCTTCGGAATGGAATTGGAGCGTTGGCAAGAACTCTCCATCCAGATAATAATGGACCTTTCGTCGAGTTCAAAATGAGAGTCGAGAACAGATATGGGATCGCTTGCAAACAGATGTGTCTGGATTCCCATCAAAGATACAGAAGATGTGCAAGGAAAACGATCAGACTGAGTCCTTACAAACGGTTCGGAGATCCAATTCCCTATTATGACAGTGAGCATCGATCAGTGGAGGGTCAATTCACAGGTAAAGGCTATTACAAGAAGCGGAAACTAACACACATACTGTTTAAATGTGAATAAAAAGTATTCTATTGATTCCTTGATTGCTTACCTCCTCAAAGTAGCCTGGAGCGGCGGCCGATGCCTGGATGGCTTGCCAAAGTTTGTGTTGGGTGGCGCCTCTGAAATGGCTGTCCCTGCCTGCAGGGTGTTCGTAATTTCTGAACACAAATGGCTGTAATTGAGCGGCATTCACAATACATGAAACCACAGCGATCTTGACGGCGTCTTGATGCTGAGCCGTGTCCAAAACTTGTTCTTGTCCTAAAGTCTTTTGCAGGATCTCAACCCATTTCTTCGTATTATAGTAGGAATGGGACATCAGAAGACCGCTGACTCCCGAAATCTTCCCTTGATTAAAGAGTTCGGTCGAAATATCCTTATAGATATCCTTGGCTGACTGGACATGCATTCTTTTGGCTCCAAGGAGAACGGAAATAATAGCTCCGGTACTGACTCCACAGATCAAATCAAAATGATTGCATATCTAAAACAACGAATCATGTTTCAAGTATAAGTTCGAGAGAAACATGGACGGGGCTTACTTTTGATCCCAGGTCCTTCTCTAGTTCAGCCAGAACTTCAAGGCCCATCATTCCCCGAGTCCCTCCTCCATCAATTGAGAGGATTCTGATACCGGATCCCTTCAGTGGCTTCACGTAACCCAGTAAAGCTAGGCATCTTCGAGTAAGTCCTTTGAGCGATTCATCTGTCGAAATTTTTTCTTGTTTCAACAAGTGTGCAATTAATTCTGGAAACTGAAAACGGATGGGTGATATTAATACATGACTTTTACACATACTCTCTGGACTGCAACTAATCGGCTGGCCGGGAATTCGATAAGATGTTTAATAAATTCATCAGTGTGCTGAGATCTTTCCTCTTCGGAATTTGATAGCAATAACGACTGGGCAAGATTCTGAGTCCTCCCGACAACCTCAGTTCGGCTAACTTTCTTTACAATTATCTTGGTCTTTCTGAAAAAAAATGATACCCAACTTGATGATCAACTTACTTTTCTTTTACTGGCGGTGGAGTAACATGATGCTCGCCATTCTCAACTTTGTGTTGTGCAGGATTCCATAATGAGCTTACAACGCCAGAAAGGTATCCAAAATATGTAGGCTGGGTGGTCTCAAGGGTTACTGTATTCTTCAGAGAGGTGTCAGATTCTTCGGTTAACTTCTGAATCGGATTCTGAGAAGTTTCTAAAAAATAAAACGAAATAAGCACTTCAGAAATGTAATAAACCACAAAAAGATACTTGCCGGCACTTCTTTCATCGCCAGAAACAATTCCTTTATTCGAATTCACCACGCTCGCACTGGGCTCAGGCTGACCTCGCCCTTTGGTGAAGATTCCAAACCTCGAGAAACGAGTAATCATACTCATTTCTTCCTCACAACCATCCAATTAAGTCTGAAACCTTTGGTTTTATATATAACCCGTGGAACTTTAGATCGCGTGAGATCCAAAAGAACAGCTGTTCGCGAACAAAGAACGTTTAATGTGACATCAACAATATAGGTCATCGAAAGGTACAAGCTTTTAAAAACGGGAATCAGATTCCACAATTATCGACCATTTATATTAACTATGAACTGAAAAACACATTAAAACAGTCGAGCATCCCACTAAAGAAGCGGTCAGTGATCTATAAAATGGGCTTCAATCAACAAACCTTCCCCTTCTCTCTAATCATGGAGAGCGCCCGGGGAAGTGAGCTGGGGAGAATTCACTCGGGGAGGTTCGTTTCGGGTTCTCCCAGACATTTGTTGTCGAAATTCCCCCTGAAACCACGTGTTTCTTTATGAAAGTATGGAATCACAAACAACCCCACGTGGTCTCTCACAAGACAATTTTATCACTAGAAAAAAATAATTTCCTGGTCTTAAACCTTTGACTTAAAACATACTACTATTATTCATGGCTTTTATGAAAACAACAACAAATAAACAATAAATTCAACAATTTTTCTTGAGATTGAATCTTACAAAGTATTACGGCTTAGATTTCACCGATTCTAATTCGGACTGCTCATCCAAAGGTGAAGGAAGATGTTTGGAGATTAAACCGAGTATCTCTTCGACCTGTTCATCTGACAATCGCTCCTCACACTCTTCAATCAATATTCCGAGATCGACGACCCCTGCAGGACGATGATTCACAATTTGTAACAGTTCTGCACCGGTGAGTTTATAAGCTTCCAAAGCCCTGATCAGCTCTTTAACATTATCTGAGGTCTGAGAAATGGCCGGTGTCGCTTTCAAATACTTTATCGTTTCATATAAAATGGTTTGATGCTGTCGTAGAGATCGCTCTTTATTGTGCTTCTCTTTAGCTTCTTTCAACAAACAAAACGCCTCAGCATTTGAGATTAATGTGCATCTAGGTTCTTTCACTTCCATTTTGATAAAACTAAAGTAATGTGTTACAAATAAAGTGTAACTTACTGTCTAGATAAAAGAAATACCAGCCAACCAGACACCAACCTTCACAAGTTTTTCCTCTATTTTAGCGCCTCCACTAAAAAAATTTTTTAGAAAATATTTATACGTCAAATATTGATTAAAAAAGCGGAATGTCAAACAGACCATCATACATCAATCCAGCGATCGTTGGAGCGATTAAGGTCAACCATTTGTGGAAGAACTTTTACTTTTTTCTAAATTGTTCGCTGTTATACTATTAATGTGGACAAAAGGGCAGCGATAGGCGGAAAGAACGCGTTATATTCTACAACTCGCGAAAATTTCATCCAATTCTAGCGAGGAGTTAAGTGTTATGTAGATTTGTATGGTTTTCCGCACTTTTGCAGTTTGATTAACTTATGTTTGTTCTAAAACTTGTTTTTAGGTACGGCTAATATTTCAAATTTTATTTGGAAACGTATGTAGCCGATTATGACCCAAGGCCGATTATGGCAAAGTCACAAAAAGTCGTCCTTTCAACAGAAAATTGCTAGCCAAGCACCGGGGCTGATGGATAACTGGTCCAAATGGCTAGGCAAGCAATGATGACTGTTACTTTTTTCTTAATAGTAGTGTAAAAAAATAATTTTTGAATTGTTTTCTGAAAATCCTTGAGTTAGAGGCTTTCGAAGGTGCCGATTTCGAAAATCGTGTTCATTTTTTCTTTATGGTACAGTAGTACCTGATACAATGTAGTACGAGGTGAAAATATGGAATTTTGGCGTTTTCTCGGCTTGCGAAGCTAACAATTTTTCTGGTTCCACCACAAAAACACCTTTTGCCGAAAATGTGGCATTGCACAGCATTCCGAATTATTTTTGCCGCCGACCGGCGTCCGAAAAAATGAAAAAATGAGATACGCGTCTTACATTTTTGCCAATATCTCGCTAGCCTCGAAGTGTAGCGGGAATCTGAAAATTGTGTTTCAAAGCTGACACATTTGTCCTTCAGAATATACTAATTTTGTAATGATACTTATTATGTACGGCAAGGAAACCGTTGCCGAAAAATGGCAAATTTCAACATTCAATGCCAGAAAAATGTACTTTCGAAGTGCCAGATCGCAAAATTATGGGCCTCATTGTGTACAGCATCTTGAATACTATAAGATGTAACAATTTCAGGCATTTTCTGGCCCGATTCGGAGAGTTATAGCCGAAAAACTGCAATTTTGGCCTTCTTATTGAGCTATCTGCACTTTAAAAGTACATACAAAAAATCCCTCTTAAATTATTGTTGCCCAGGTTGTGATGGACCATCGCGCAAAATCTCAACCTTCCACGACCTCTACGGAAAAAGTTATAACGGCTACAATATGGGACCCTCGTATGTCCAATATTTAGTAAAAGGGTCTATATTTTTCTCCCAGAATTAAAAATATTTTTCCCCAGAAAAGAGCATTATAGAAAAACTCCTATTTTCTCCCAGAAAAAATATATTTTCTCCCAGAAAGAAAATATTTTTTAGTAAAATACGGTGAACTATGGTGCAATATGGTGTTATATGATGGAATTTCTATTGCTGCTGTCGCGTTGGTTGGGGTAAAAAAATTTTATCGTAATTACACGGTCAACTACATAAAAAAATTCCCCAGCTATGTCCCCAACTTTTCACTGTTTTCCCTTTAGTATAGCGAAAACTTGAAATCGTGTCCTTCGTGCGGAAAAATCTGAGAGACAGTGTTCAGGTTTCGAGTAAGTTTACGTAGGCCATATAGAACTATTTTTTACCATGGTGTACTGTATTTTACAAAGTATTGGGCATACAAGACTCACACATTGTAACGGTTATAACGTTTTCCGGAGGAGTCTTGGAAAGCTGAGATTTTGCGCAATGGTCCATCACAACCTGGGCAACAATAATTTAAGAGGGATTTTTTGTATGTACTTTTAAAGTGCAGATAGCACAATAAGAAAGCCAAAATTGCAGTTTTTCGGCTATAACTCTGCGAATCGGGCCAGAAAATGCCTGAAATTGTTATGTCTTATAGTATTCAAGATGCTGTACACAATGAGGCCCATAATTTTGTGATCTGGCACTTTGAAAGTACATTTTTCTGGCATTGAATGTTGAAATTTGCCATTTTTCAGCAACGGTTTCCTTGCCGTACATAATAAGTATTATTACAAAATTAATATATTCTGAAGGACAAATGTGTCAGCTTTGAAACACAATTTTCAGATTCACGCTACACTTCGAGGCTAGCGAGATATTGGCAAACATGTAAGAGGCGTATCTCATTTTTTCATTTTTTCGGACGCCGGTCGGCGGCAAAAATAATTCGGAATGCTGTGCATTGTGCATTTTTTATATAATTTTCGTTTTTTTGTTTTGACCGCATGCATAAAGTGATGTGTAACATCGTAAATAACGTCATATTTGACAACAAAGCGCCCAAACTCCGAAAAAACGTGTGATCACCCCTGTCCAACGCATTTCCTGACCCGTTTAGACGTTTCGTCCAAACACTTTCGATTGACCAGAACATTTTAGATATCAAAATTCTTTTGGAAAAATTTTTGGAGGACAAAATTAGCCTTAAAAAATCAGGAAAAAATTATAACATTCTACGTTCTGACCAGAAAGCAACGTTTTGTCCCGGCTGGCCAAGAAAAAGAACAGTCAAAGATTTTCTCCAAAAACCACGACGGGCCTGTTTTCTTCGGGTATATACCGCTGACGTGCGCGTAAAAAGTAGCCGGTGGGACGCGTTTGCGTTTTTCTCCTATTTGAAAGATGGTAATAATCGTCTCACGAGGGCTGTTTTTCCCGTGTTATCACTCGCTTCTTGAGTTTCGTAGTTTTAGTTCTTCTTTTGGGAAAATTGTCAATTATTATAACATTATTTTTAGGTAATGGTGAAGATCACTCACGTCATTTTTGACTTCGATGGCGTGCTAATTGACAGTGAGACTCAGTATTCGACCGCTAATCAGAATGTCTTGAATACGTGGGGCAAGGAATTCACTTTGGACAAAAAATTGGCCATGATGGGGACAAAGAAAAGTGAGGCTATGAGGACCCTGATCAGAATGTCTGATCTCGAAGGAAAGGTCACACCCGAAGAATACGAGAAGATCTATGATGTCCAATTGGATAAACTTTTGGCTGAGCCGCCAGAATTGCCAGGAGCTGATCATTTGATTAACCATCTTTTCAAGAATAAAATTCCCATGGCCATCTGCACGGGCTCAGATGAATGGGAATTCGATCTCAAGACCAAGAAGCTCTACAAGAAATGGTTGGAAAAGATCCCTCTGAGAGTATTATCCGGGTCCGATCCCGAAGTGAAGCATGGGAAGCCGGCGCCGGATCCATATTTGGTTACCCTTCAAAGAATGGCACCTGAGGTGGACCCAGCCAATGTTTTGGTTTTCGAGGATTCCATCAATGGTGTCAAATCTGCATTGGCGGCTGGAATGAACTGTGTGATGATCCCTCAATGGCAGTTCGTGAATGAGACGGGCAAAAAGGAAATCGAGTCGTTGAAACCAAGATTAGCTGAGCTTCTCGATTCCTTGGAACAATTCAAACCGGAACGTTATGGACTACCTCCCTTCTAAGCTTCTTGTTTGTCTAGCATTTACTTTTGCAATATTTGCAACAATGGATGAATAAATTAATTGATCCGTAATACAAAAAATATCGGAACTATGGTATAACATTATGTCAACTTAATCGGATTTCTTCTCTTTCTTCTTTTGTGTCTTCTTGTTGGCCTCCTTCTGTTTGTTCTCTTCTGGATTAACAATGTGTTCTTCGGTGTAATTCCAAAGTTCGCCAAATTCTCCGCGGATGAGTGCCAGGAACAACGGGATGATAATGCAAGCAGGGACTAGGTAAAGAAGGGCGGGTTGGGCAGCCTAAATATAAAATACAATGAACAACAATCTTACCTTGAAACGATGCATTACAGCCATGGTGACAACCAACCCAATCATATATCCAATTACAACAGCAATAAAGTAATATCGAGACTTTGATTTCTCGGTTTTCTTTTGGCCAACGTAGTGATCGAAACGGTACAAAAGAGCGACGAAAATGCCAGGGACAACAATATCTCCCAATCCGAGCATACTGTACTTGCTGGCATCATACCATCCAACCCTGAGGATGTCCTGAGGGAATTGTAGGAGAATCGGTGCATCGATGGACTTCGCCACAGTGGTCATGACATCAGTTCCAAACACCCAGAAGATGTCATAAAAAAAGAGACCGACTAGGAGGAACAGACCAGCCTAAACGGAATAAACTCAATTACAGTAACTTTACCTTGAAACTAGCTAGATGTAAATTCTCGATACCATAGACAGAAAAAGCAATACCCAAAAGGTTGTTAGTGATCCAATGCCTCTGATAAAGATGGGAGATGCCAACGGCAGCAGTGAAAAACAGCGTAATCACATAATGGCAGTCGTATTCGATATGCAGAAGAGTATCCTAAACTGAAAAAATATATTTAAGTGGATTACTCACAGTTTCGTCGTTGTTGGCATACAGAATATCACCCTCTTCCATTTCCTTTTTGCTCCTCTTTATCGACCATAAATAAGTCGTATTCCTTTTTGGGCATCTGTCACCAATGGGTAACAATTCCAAGATGAAAGATATCACTGGTTTGAATAGAACGGCAAGAGCAGAACATCCCTCAAAACATAGGACCAGAAGAAGAAGGTATCCCAACCGGGTCTTGGTTATCTCCGGGATGTAAGGTTGAACATATTCGGTGGCATTATTTATAAAGGCTTCAACTCGGGGATCACTCTTCTTGATTTTATCGGCGTATACCTTGATAACCTTAAATCGGTCGGAAGCAACTTCAGAAGTATTGTTTTTTCCAAAATAGTCCCTCACAGTCTCCAGATGAACAAGATATTCGTGTGGAACATAAGGCTCAGCTTTTTTAATCAACCCATCCGAGACGGTGTAAGGACCCCTAAAAATGAAAGTAATTAATAACTAAAAATAACGAACTTGAAGAGCACATAAAGGCCGAAGAGGACGAGACTAGCCGTGATCGGGAATCTAGTAGCTTCTTTCCATCCAATAGACGTCTCAATGTTTCGCTTCTTGGCAACATGAGTTTTTATCAGTCTGACTGATCGGATAGAACCCCAGACAACACAAACTAAAGCCATGGTGTAGAGAGAACATGATGACAACACCTAAACATTTTATTAATTTTTTTTACTCAAGCTAACAGAATAAAAACAAAATGTCTTACCTGTTCTTCAAATGTAAACACCACCTTTTCAGGTGCCGGGGTGGTTGTCGCAGTCTCCGCCATCCCAAGTTAGAGTTCTGGAAAAAAACATAATTTACCAATATCACACTATACGCGTTTGCAAAGAATTCAATAAATATAATGCGCAAGGACGAACGCGCACATTCATATATGGCCAAAAGGGTCTCGAGCTACACGCCCCGAACACGTCGCCTGAAAATGCACCCAGCATTTATTATTTTTCGTGGTTGGTGTCCCTGATCCCCTTGATGTTGGCATTATGTACTAAGCTTGGCATTGTGATATAGACGGACCGGCCGAGAACACAACAATTAATCCCAATTGAAAAGCGCTTTTTTAGCCAATCGTTGCAATTATTGATTGAAATTTTTGAACACTTCGTTACAAAAAGACGGTCCAACAAATATTATCGCCTCTCACTTTTGAGGACATCGGGTGATTGGATAAATAGTAAATAAGAAGGAGGGAATAGAACTCTATCCGCACCACCTAAAATAATTTCTGCAGTTTTTACCGTTTGCAAGATATAGCCACCTTAAGTATTCAACAATTGCAATCTTTCCCGCGGTCTAACCGACTTATAATAACGAAAAATCGCATGAAACTTGGAAGTCACCATTGACACATTCTTATCAAACAGCATGCAAAAAATCGCGGCACATTTACTAATCGGCTGAGGAGTTATACATCAATTTTTCCCCATAACAAAAGTCAGTTCCCGGCTTTTTGGCACTTTTTGGCATTCTGCAAATGGGAAAAATAAATATAAAAAATTCATGAAGATTTATATATTTTATCAATTATAGTGTCTTTATGTGTAAATTTAGACTTTGATGGCTCATACCCACGTCATTTGTCAACTTGCCGACGTCTGAGGGAACTTTCGGCTAGGAAACGGGACTTGGAAGGCGATAAAATGGTTTTTATAAAAAAAAAATTTCTTTGCAAATTCTTTATTTTGCACAATGCCAAACTCCTTTCCATTTTCGTGGTGAGACAAAAGACTGCAAGCGAGATTAATTGTTGTGTAATCCTGGGTTTTCCACGTCGTTTTTTTCTGCTAATTATGGTTTGTCCCACCACGACTAAATTTATCAGTGCCAAAAAGTTTTGGCGTTGTGCAAAAATCGGAAAATTCACTTTTTATTTTCCGCAGAAACTAAAATCGACCAGTGCTAATCGGAGAGCAAAGAAAACATTTCGAAAATTAGTGGTATAGGAACGTAAGTCGCTATTTTCACTTTTTGTTTGATTTTTAGGAATCCATTGAAATCGGATGTCTAGTATAATATAAAGTTGAATTTTCTCGAAAAGTAGCTCTGAAACCTGGTCTGATTTTTTCTGCTCAACTTCGTCATATCTTCATGCAGCTCATGAGCTATCGAGAACCCCAAGATTGGGATCGAGGGTCAAGTTACCGGTCAATCTTTTGTTATTATAGGTCAACTTTAGCGTGAAATTCTGAGCTCAAGAAACGATTTTACAATACAGATTTAGCGCAAGTGGCAGCCGCAACACGCCAAATTTGCGTAAACACAATTATTTCGATATATCGATCAACCGTGTTGGCGTAAAACCGGTCGTGGTAAATCAAAGTTTGTGGCGTTTCGTTCCGATTTTTTCACTCAATAATGGAGCCGTCAAGCTAAAAAATCACTTTTCAATTACGCGCCAACGATGTGCGGCTAGGCAAGAAACAAACATCCAAAGATTTTTCTCAAGATTTCCGTTTGTGACGAAAAGCCACATCGATTAACAACCCTTTGTCAGGAAACAGTTTCAACAACGGCAGATTGATATGCGTTGCGGTCTTGTTTCTTCACTTATTTATTTTTGAAGGTTTGTTATCCCAGGACACTGGTTTATGCATTTTTGCACACCTTTTTTTGGTGGACGTTGATTAGCTGACGTGTAATTCGAGGCGCTCGATGATTGGTGCACGTCAGAGCGAAGGGGCGGGGCTTGCGTTTGACCATCAAAGTCGAGAAATTTCCACGCGAGTTTGAGGTGCTATTGTAAGATATTTGCAGTGCATTTGTTGTGGTTGGGTGGTCGACAGAAAGTTTAGAAAGGAAAGATGGCCTCCAGAAGGCCTTGGCTGATATGTCTGGCAGCATTATTGATTGTCTATGGTGAGTTGATGGGTTTCTATAAAATTTTGTTGTACTTTATAGCTTTCATTGAATATAAGCAATGCTTAATTTCAGCGTTTATTCCTCATCATCATGTCTGTGCCGATGAAGATGAAGTGGATGAGCCAACTGTTGAAGAGAGCGTTGCAAAAGGGAAAATTGGGTCGAAAACTGACGATGAAACCGTTTTGAAGTAACTTTTTTCATTGGTTTTGTTTAATTTTGCCACTTATTATCCAAAATGTTAAAATTTTTAACTAGCTACACGTATCCCGGACAATTGCTCATTACAGGGGCGTTGTCTGCGCGTCAAAAGAAAATTGGGTCAGCCAGGTACCGCCAGTCCCGGTTTATTTGCTCTTTCCGTCGCGCGACTTCTTTTGAGTGACCTTTCCATTACGAAACAGAATAAAATGGGATCATTTTGGAGAAATTTTATGGGAATTAAGGAAATGCATAAGCGAGGCAAAAAATAGCTTCGAGAGTCAATTAAATTCAATAAAAGGTTATAATTTCAGGGAAGAAGAAGCCATTAAGCTCGATGGGCTCTCTGTTTCCGAGATCAAGAAGCTCCGGGAGAGTGCAGAGAAACATGAATTCCAAGCTGAAGTTAATCGAATGATGAAGTTGATCATCAACTCCTTGTACAGGAACAAGGAGATCTTCTTGAGGGAATTGATTTCCAATGCTTCTGATGCCTTGGATAAGATCAGACTGATCTCTTTGACTGATCCAAATGCTCTTAGTGCTACTGATGAGTTGTCGATCAAAATCAAGAGTGACAAGGAGAACCACATTCTGACCATCACGGATACTGGTGTTGGTATGACTAAGCAAGACTTGATCAACAACCTTGGAACTATCGCTCACTCTGGAACTTCAGAATTCCTTCAAAAATTGATGGATGCCAACTCTGATCAGCAACAAGTAAGTAGTCCGACTTTGTTTAAGTTTGCTTTAGGATCTGATCGGGCAATTCGGTGTCGGTTTCTACTCAGCCTTCTTGGTCGCTGACAGAGTTGTTGTGACCACCAAGAACAACGATGACAAACAGTACATCTGGGAGTCTGATTCTGCATCCTTCACCATCGCCGAAGATCCACGAGGTCCAACTCTCAAGAGGGGTACCGAGATACAGCTGCATCTCAAGGAAGAAGCCTACGATTTCTTGGAGCCTGATACTCTGAAGAAGCTAGTCCACAGATATTCGCAATTCATCAACTTCTCCATTTATTTGTGGCAATCTAAGACTGTGACTGTTGAAGAACCCGATGAGGAGGCTGAAGTGAAGGAAGGAGAGGAACCGAAGACGAAGAATGTCGAGAAGACTGTTTGGGATTATGAGAAAGTGAACAGTCTGAAGCCCATCTGGATGCGAAAACCTTCTGAAGTCACCGAGGATGAGTACAAGGAATTCTACAAGAGCATTACTAAAGATTACGATGAACCCTTGGGTCATGTAAGTTAATGAAATATTATTTTTACTTTGTTCAGGTCCATTTCAATGCCGAAGGGGAAGTTTCCTTCCGTTCAGTGTTATATGTTCCCAAGAAGGCTCCTCAGGACGCTTTCCAGAACTACGGAAAGACCAATGAGAACATCAAGCTCTATGTCCGTCGTGTTTTCATCACCGACGACTTCCAAGACATGCTGCCCAAATACCTGGCCTTCATCAGAGGTATCGTTGATTCAGATGATCTTCCTCTTAACGTTTCTCGTGAAAACCTCCAACAACACAAACTTCTCAAAGTCATCAAGAAGAAGTTGGTGCGAAAGGTGCTGGATATGTTGAAGAAGATGGACGAGAAGACTTATGACGACTTCTGGAAGGAGTTCTCCACTAATATCAAGCTCGGGATCATGGAAGATCCCTCCAACCGTAATCGTCTCGCTAAGCTCCTCCGATTCCAGAGCTCAAACGAGGCGTCTGGCCTTACCACTTTAACCCAGTATGCTGAAAGGATGAAGGAGAAACAGGAAACCATCTTCTACATTGCTGGTACTTCCAGAAAGGAGGTTGAATCTTCTCCTTTCGTTGAGGCTTTGTTGAAGAAGGGATATGAAGTTCTGTATTTAACTGAGCCCGTCGACGAATACTGCATCCAAGCTATGCCAGAGTTCGATGGAAAGAAGTTCCAGAACGTTGCCAAGGAAGGAGTAAAGCTAAACCAAGGCGAAAAGGCCAAGGAGGCATTCGCTGAGCTCGAGAAACAATTCGAACCTTTGACTGATTGGTTGAAGGACAAAGGACTTAATGGAAAGATCGAAAAGGCTGTAGTCTCTGAGAGATTGACCAAGTCTCCCTCGGCTCTGGTCGCCTCTTCTTATGGGTGGTCTGGAAATATGGAGAGGATCATGAAGTCTCAGGCCTATGCAAAGGCCAATGACCCAACCCAGGACTTCTACGCCAACCAGAAGAAGATCTTCGAGATCAACCCAAGACATCCAGTAGTAAAAGAATTGTTGAGGAGAATTGAGAACGACCAAGAAGATCCTAAGGCTGTCACAACAGCTGAACTCTTGTTTGAGACTGCCACTTTGAGGTCGGGATACGCCCTCCAAGATCAGGTTGGATTCGCTGAAAGGATCGAATCGGTATGCTTCAGTTTATTTCGTCTTGTTTTCTGTGTGTAATATATTAGTAATGCGTTTATTATAGATTCTCCGTCAATCACTAGACTTGAGTGCCGATGAACAGGTTGAAGAAGAAGTGGAAATCGTTGAAGATCCCACGGAAGAAGAGAAAAAGCAAGAAAAAGTAGAAGTCGAAGAAGAACACACTGAACTCTAAAGAGGGCATTAATAATCGTCAGACTGATGCCATCCATTCCATTTATTTATGCTGGTTGTCTCAATTGTCTTAGGGTCTCGTTTTGTTATCTTTCGCCTAATAATTTATTCATAAATACTGGTCTGTTAATTGCAATATTAATTTTATTAAAGTAAATCTAAAATATGAGCGGTCTGGTAGTAATTTTTGACATTAGTCTGGCATGAATAATTCAACTTATTTTAGTTTCAGTTTGTTTTTTGCGAACAGATTTTTTCCAAAACGGGGTTCAGAATTGGGGCAAAACACCTCGAAAAGGGCGCAGAACGCTCGTTCTGAATGGGGGTGGGTGCGGGTGGAAGGAGAATCCAAAAAGAGTTAAAAGTTCGCAAATTAAACAGCACGGGCCGGATCCTCGAACGGCCCTGGCTTCTGTCTTGAGGCAAAAATAATTAAAACTGACGGAAATTAAACAAAAACATATGAGAGGAGGGAGGGGGGCATAAAATGAAGAATGGGGGAAAGATGACCGAGAACTGACCAAACGAACTGCACTCCCGGGATTAAGCCAGAGGGCCGACCAGGTCGGCCCTCAGGCCGAGTCTCTTTTTCGGAAGGAAAAGCGGCGGTCGAAAAGGTGAGGAAGGAGGGCAGAGTAAAAGCGAGACCGGCCGAACCAAGCGGGCGATGTCACTTTAGCAGAGAGAAAGAGAGCCGGCCGCCGAGCCTCGAGGGACAACCGACTCGTGGTGCCGTGGCTGGCCGCCTTTGCAAGAAAGTAGAGAAAAACTGTCTCCGCACTCTTTTTATCTTCTTTAACCCGGGTACGATGGCCTGAGGGGAAGAAAGGGATGGGGGGATAGAAAGCGTCTTCTGTGCCCATCTTCTTGTTATCGCCTTGAACGGGCCAAGAAAAGATGAGACGGAGTGCATTCCTCCTCCGCACCTTTCGGTTTTCCAAATTATTATCCCCTTCTTAATTTCGGAAAGCCATTTAAGTCAGCCCGGACCAAGTCAGGTCGGGATGGGCCCACTTGGGGCCGCGAATCCCTTTGCGGCGAATTCTCGTTTTTCAATTAAGAATTCCGCGAATTCTTGATGAATACAATACCTCTTTTCCTTTCTTCCCCTTAGGGTCCGTTTAGCCAGGCGTCTCCCACCACTACTAATTACATTTCCAGGCTCCCTGGACCAGCGATTCCAGGCCTGACACGTGTCTTTTTCGGGGATCATTGCAGAAATGTGTTTCGAGAGTTTAATTGACGTCTTCAGATGTCCAATGTCGACATTGGATTGATTCAAACACTATAAGAGTCTTATTGGGTTAAGCGAGCGTGACGTTGGGATGGTCATAAGTCTGTTCAAAGGACTATAATGTCCTCGCAACTCTAGACTATTCAGAACGCATATTATTCCATTGCTTCGTTACTTGTGGCCCTTCTCGCGGGAATCTTTCTTCACAAAGAACGTTTCTTGATTCGTGACATTCGTGTGCCCGAATCAAAAATGCCATGAATGAAAATCCGTACCCTGCGGCAGCGGGCTGCGTGGCTGTGTGAGGCAAAGTAAAAAAAGAGCCTTCATTTTTACCCTTTACCGCCAAATTGTTTGTCCGGAATGTGATGTCGAGATTGGTGGAGGCGGCTTTTAAGCGTGCGCGGCCTCATGCCCTCTAGAGTAATCGTGTTTCCGTTTAATGGGGCCGGCCTTAAACTAATTAAAGTGACACCATTCGGATGACCATACAGGAACGGTTATCCCCAAAGACCGGCCCCTGGAAGATGGTCAAAAACAGCCTCGGGCGAGACACACCTGTCACTCCGGTGGAATGAGGGTGAAGTCCTGGCCTTTTTGTACAAATCTCTTGGTTATCCATTATTTCTGAATGAATTCAGCCTTCGCTTCGTTTGAGAGCATCATTTCGACCTCTTTCTGGGGATCTTTGAACGATGTTGATGATTTATTCTTTTTATTGGCTGTATTGTTTTCAATGTATATTTGCATTACAATTTTTTTCTTTGAGAAAATGTCTTGCATTCCTAGCGGTTTTGTAGTTGGGGTTTGGGAAAGTTAAAAATTTAACGAAACTAGAAGAAGAGAGAGTTGAAGATGAAGGTTGAAACCCGAGACGACTTTGAAGAAGAATAAGGCCAAGACGGCCAGAAAGGAGGGAAACGCCATTATTAGGACCAGATGGATGTCTTCTACTGTTTTCTTTTTATTGACCTTTTTCCAAGTTTCCCCGTTATTTTCCCGCTCTTAATCCAGGTTATTTGTTATTTTACGCCCTGAGGGTATGACTTTCTATTTTTTGTTATTTTAATTTTGTGAGTAGTTTGAAAAGCTCCTTTTTGAAATATTGTTTTGTCGTCCCTTTGAAATTAGCAGCCAGCGGGCGCATAATGTTTGTCGTATATTCGGAAGTTTACCTTTCTGATTTTACCCACCTATTTTGACTAATCTGTTCAATGTAATCTTAGTTCAATTCTACCCCCTTTGCCTGCCTTTCATGCGGGGTATGGGGGTAGAAATTTGTGTCGTGATTTACTAAGACCTCCATTTTTTTAAAAATTTCAAAATTCTATCCTGCGTAATCCCACTGAAAGATCTATGTAAATATTATTACATCCGGCGACGTATTCCTTGGGAATTGGTTCTTGTTCTACCACTTGCTGGTTACGTTGCAACATTCCTCAAACATTCTACATTGCGCAACACTTTTTTCTTCCCTTTTTTTGACTTTTTTGAACCCCATGTGTCAAGGAAAACATTTAAGCCCTAGGATTACAAGAAAAGGCCTATCAGAGTAGTCGATCCATCACGACAAAGCCGTGGATCAAGCGGGAATAGCCCCCGGGGTTGGAGAAGCCAGAAACCGGGTTCAAGGAGAAGAATGGCCGAGCAAAGCCGACCCCGGGCTGTGTTTTTTGCCAAAAAAGGGAAAGAACATGGGACATTTCCTCTAAAACGACGTTTGGTGCCTCCTTGAAACCGCTCCATTCCATCCACGGATTTCTGTCTCGAGGGTTGACCGCGCTAGTCGGGTAACGTCTAAAAAATCGTGGTTGTTATTAGTGATACAGTTATTTTTAGGATTGCTTTATAAGTACGCAATCAAAGTCTGGTCTGGAATTTTGAATTAAAAAGTCGTTTGCTTGTTTTTTATGCATTTTATTACCGTGTTGGATACAATTTAAGTACGAAAAAAAAATAATTCTTCAGAACCTCAAACACCACCGCCATTTCGGTACTTATATCACACGAATGCCCTCCGGCGGCTCAGTGCCGCGAGAAGGATGAAACTGTGGAACGATCGGAGACACCGTTGTTCCATCCCTGCCAGTTCCTCGCGTCGCCGTCGTCTTAAGTGCTAGACAATATGTCGGGTCAGTTTAAAGATTGGCTCCGAAACCGGGTCAATTCTCTTTTTTTACAAGGGCCACCATTATCACGCTTTCCATCTTAAAATTTAATTTTCGATTCTGGAGGAATCTGATTATCTGGGAAGACCAGAGAATCAAAAAGATATTGCGGTGCTTCAAAAGAGATAACTTGCAACGCAGAGATCACATGACCCACACTCAGAGCAGGTCAATAATCCGGAAGTCTGATGACTTAACTGCATCCATAACGAATTTTGGAGCCACGCAAAAACTTTTTTAAAAGCAATCTCCGGCGGGCTCTCTTAGAACCGATCAAGTGGCCCAGAGACCCTCAAGAGCTACCGTTGAAAGGTGATGACAATAGCAAAGCGAAATGAAAGTGCATGCGAAGGTGCGCAGAGCCTAGAACCTTGGCCTTGCCTGCCTTGTTACTCTCCACAAATCCCGATCACACTCCCCGAGGGCTTCGCGGATCTTCCCATTGTTTAATCTCCAGACTCCTTTTCGCCCTTCAATTAGCAACTTTGCAGAAAACGAAACCTAAAATTGCCGTCTTTTTCCCGCCAAGGAGTGGGAGACGATGGTCCTGAGGGAATCTATAGCAGTGTAGAATAGAATTGAGAATGGAATATTAAACGTAGATATCCCTTTGCTGTCCCTAGCATTATCACTTTCTAATTTGGCCGAATTACCTCGATTTTTACCTGTTTCCATTTCAGCGTTCGCTAGCATGATGGCCTCGTCCATGGACGAGGACGGCATCGGGAGCTCAGGAGAGGGCGGAGGAGGTGGAGGTGGCGGCGACGACACACGAACAGATCTCTGGCAACAAACCCTCCAAGTAAGTTGCAGATCGCAAACGGTTTCGAATTAACAATAGGACGGGTTTGTTTGTGGACCCGGATCTGACCAACTTCTCGCCCCACCCCAAACCTGTTTAACTCGCGTATTTTGATGAAATTTTACTTGCAGGCCGCTGTCGCCGCCACAAATCAACAGGAGAATGCGCGGAAACGGGCCCAACAGCGAAAACCCCGGAACATGGCCAACAACGCCGTGGAGAGGACGGAACGCTCGTTGCTCTGTTTGAGGACGGCGAATCCGATCCGAAAGTTTGCCATCTCCATCACGGAATGGAGACCGTTCGAGTACCTCATTCTCCTAATGATATGCGCCAATTGTGTGGCGTTGGCCGTCTATCAACCATATCCAGCCCAGGATTCCGATTCAAAGAACACCATCCTCGTAGGTCTAGGCCGGCATTGACCGTACAAAACGCGCTTTCAGGAGCAAGTGGAATATCTGTTCATTGTTGTTTTCACTATCGAGTGTGTTCTGAAGGTGATTGCCATGGGGTTTCTCTTTCATTCGGGTGCTTATCTACGTAATGCATGGAATATTCTCGATTTTATAATTGTTGTTATTGGGTAAGTATTAGAACGATATCTTAGGCTGATATTGATGATCTCTAACCAATGTTTTGCAGACTTATCAGTACGGTGCTTTCCCGTATGCACATCCAGGGATTCGACGTGAAGGCGTTGCGTGCGTTTCGTGTGCTACGGCCGTTGCGTCTTGTTTCGGGTGTTCCGTCACTTCAGGTCGTATTAAACGCCATCCTCAGAGCCATGCTGCCTCTTCTCCATATTTCATTACTGGTCATGTTTGTCATTATCATTTACGCTATCATAGGACTAGAATTGTTTTGTGGCAAGCTCCATTCGACTTGGTAGGCCTTTTCTTCGGGAATTTTAACGTATTTCGCATCCATTACATCATAGTCATCATTGCAGTGTGGATGTTGTCACAGGAGAATTTGCTCAAAAGGAACCATCCCCGTGCGGTCGGGCATCCACTGCCTATCACTGTGAACCAGCATCGGCTTCCGCCAAACACAGCAGTAATGGCTGGGTATGCTCTACAAATACCACTTGGCAAGGACCCAACAATGGCATCACCAACTTCGACAACTTCGGGTTGGCCATGTTGACGGTCTTCCAGTGCGTTTCGTTGGAAGGGTGGACTGATGTAATGTACTGGGTGAACGATGCTGTAGGCAGAGAGTGGCCTTGGATCTATTTTGTGACTTTGGTCATCCTCGGCTCCTTCTTCGTACTAAATCTTGTATTGGGAGTTTTGTCTGGAGAATTCTCGAAAGAGCGAGAGAAAGCGCGAGCCCGGGGTCTCTTCCAAAAGTTCCGTGAAAAACAACAATTGGAAGAAGACCTCAAGGGATATCTCGACTGGATCACCCAGGCCGAGGATATTGAACCTGTCAACGACGACGATCAAGTAGAGGATGAACAACAACAATTCCGTGAGTGCTTTCATTGAACATGAAGTCTTACTGTCATCTTTGATTTAGAATTGAATGAAGAGGATGATGTGGAGGGCGAAGAAAGGGCCGATGAAAAGAAGCCTCCCATTTGCGGGGCCCAGATCCGAACATTTCAACGAATCAATCGACGATGTCGACGTGGGTGCAGACGTCTCGTCAAATCTCAAGGGTTTTATTGGCTGGTTATCATTCTGGTGCTGCTGAATACTTTGGTGCTCACCTCGGAGCATTACGGACAAGATCCTTGGTTGGATGACTTCCAAAGTAAGTCTGCTTTTGCAATGTTCTAGACTAATGCCAATTTGGTTTAGCTGCTGCCAATCTTTTCTTTGTAATTCTTTTCTCAATGGAAATGTTCCTCAAGATGTATTCTCTGGGTTTCAATACGTACACGACGTCACAATTCAATCGCTTCGATTGTTTCGTTGTTATCTCGTCGATCTTGGAGTTCATCCTTGTGTATTTCGAGTTGATGAAACCACTGGGCGTGTCTGTGTTACGTTCAGCTCGCCTTCTGAGAATCTTCAAGGTCACAAAGTATTGGACATCTCTCAGAAACCTGGTATCATCGCTGTTGAACTCGCTGAGGTCGATTATGTCCTTGTTGTTACTGCTCTTCTTGTTCATCGTTATCTTCGCTTTGCTTGGAATGCAAGTTTTTGGAGGGAAATTCAACTTCAATCCAATGCAGCCCAAGCCCAGAGCCAATTTCGATACTTTTATTCAGGCGCTTCTTACAGTATTTCAGGTAATTTTAGCTTCCCTTAACTTTATTTGATATTCAGATTCTAACTGGTGAAGATTGGAATACAGTAATGTACAACGGTATTGAATCGTTTGGAGGTGTGGGATCAATGGGAATGATGGTATCCATCTACTTTATTGTTCTCTTTATCTGCGGTAACTACATCTTGTTAAACGTTTTCTTGGCCATCGCCGTCGACAACTTGGCTGATGCTGACAGTTTAACGAACGCAGAAAAAGAAGAAGAGCAGACAGAAATGGAAGTGGAAGAAGCGGAAGACGAGTATGATGATGAGAAATATGATGAGAATGGAAATGAGGAGATGAGAATTCGACCGAATGACGTCAAAGATGGAGAAGGATCAGATGCGGAGGGCAATGAGGACGAGCCGGTTGGCCCTCGACCTCGCCGAGTCTCCAATCTGCCCTCGAGCAAGAATGTGAAACCCATTCCCAAGGCGTCTTCCTTATTCATCCTCAGTCATTCGAATCCATTCCGGGTGTTCTGTAATAAGATTGTCAACCACACTTATTTCACAAACTCCGTGCTTGTTTGTATCCTCGTTTCATCAGCTATGTTGGCGGCCGAGGATCCCCTTGAAGCAGGAAGTTACAGGAATCAGATTCTAAACTACTTTGACTACTTCTTTACAACTGTTTTCACTGTTGAAATCACGCTCAAAGTTGTTGTATTCGGATTGGTTTTGCATCAGGGATCTTTCTGCCGTAATGCATTTAATTTACTTGATATTTTGGTTGTGGCGGTTTCCTTAATTTCATTCGTCCTCAAATCAGGCAAGTTATCATGTACATTTTATTGAGTTCGATGTTTAGACGCCATCTCCGTGGTCAAGATTCTTCGTGTCCTGAGGGTGTTAAGACCTCTCCGTGCCATCAACCGCGCCAAAGGTCTCAAACACGTCGTGCAATGTGTGATTGTGGCTGTGAAGACCATCGGTAACATCATGTTGGTCACGTTCATGTTGCAATTCATGTTTGCCATTATTGGAGTCCAATTGTTCAAGGGCACCTTCTTCTCTTGCAATGATCTCTCCAAAATGACTGCTGCTGAATGTCGAGGAGAATTCATAACATACGAAGACGGAGATCCGACAAAACCGTTGAGAATGGAAAGGGAATGGACCAGAAATGACTTCAACTTTGACAATGTGATGGATGCCATGATCTCCTTGTTTGTCGTATCAACATTCGAGGGATGGCCAGAGTAAGCAGAATATTTGTGATCGCTCATGTCACTCACTTTAGCTTGTTATACGTTGCAATCAATTCTAACGAGGAAGACAAAGGTCCGGTTTACAATGCCAGGCAGGCTGTTGCCATCTTCTTTATTGCATTTATCGTTGTCATCGCCTTTTTCATGATGAATATCTTCGTCGGTTTCGTCATCGTTACTTTCCAGAATGAAGGAGAACGTGAATACGAAAATTGTGAATTGGATAAAAATCAAGTAGGCCCTTTTTTATGACGGTCTTACCCACATTAACAAATCAACTGTAATAATCCGTAAATTTTAGCGCAAATGCATTGAATTCGCTTTAAAAGCGAAGCCCCATCGTCGTTACATCCCGAGAAACAGATTCCAATACCGGGTTTGGTGGTTCGTTACATCTCAATTCTTTGAATACGCCATATTCATCATAATCTTGCTGAACACGACTACTCTGGCCATGAAGCATTACCCTCCAGATATCCAGATGGATAACGTTCTCGATATTCTGAATCTTCTCTTCACGGGAGTCTTTGCGTTTGAAGCATTGTTTAAAATCATCGCGTTAAATCCGAAGAACTACTTTGGTGATCGCTGGAATGCTTTTGATTTCGTCATCGTTCTGGGCTCTTTTATCGACATTATCTATGGCAAGCTGAGTCCCGGTTCCAATATTATTTCCATCAACTTCTTCCGTTTGTTCCGCGTGATGAGATTGGTCAAATTACTAGCGAGAGGAGAGGGCATCAGGACCCTTTTGTGGACATTCATGAAGTCATTCCAGGTAAATTTTGAGGTTTGCTCTACAAAAACTTCGTTGTGCACATCTGTAATCAAATATTGCTTTAGGCTCTCCCATACGTCGCTCTTTTGATCGTATTACTCTTTTTCATTTATGCTGTCATCGGAATGCAAGTTTTTGGTAAAGTGGCCTTAGATGATGACACGGAGATTCATCGGAATAACAACTTCCACACTTTCCCTGCGGCTGTTTTGGTGCTCTTCAGATCAGCCACTGGAGAAGCTTGGCAAGAGATCATGTTATCTTGTTCCGATCGACCGGATGTGACTTGTGATCCCTCATCCGATGACTACAAGAATGATCCCACTGCATTATGCGGTGTCGACTTCGCCTATCCATACTTTATCTCCTTCTTCATGTTGTGTTCATTCTTAGTTATCAACTTGTTCGTGGCTGTCATCATGGATAACTTTGACTATCTTACTCGAGATTGGAGTATTCTGGGTCCTCACCATCTCGAAGAATTTGTGAGATTGTGGTCGGAATATGATCCTGATGCCAAGGGAAGGATCAAACATCTTGATGTAGTTACCCTGCTGCGGAAGATCTCCCCGCCACTCGGATTTGGCAAACTTTGTCCTCATCGTTTGGCTTGCAAGGTAATTTACCGAAACTTTTAGTAAATAACGAGTAAGGGAAACTGACGGCCCTCTTCTTTCGGGTGGGAGACTTTTCGGTCCTCGCCTTTTCGGGTCATGGGCTTTCCGGGTGGGAACTTTTCGGGTGACGAGTAAAAAATTGTAAAATCAAATGCTACTGATGACGCAAATTGTAGATAATTTTAAAAAAGCATTTATCCGTTTTTGGGGTCTTCGACAGCGGGGATCGACGATTGGGGAAAAAGGCAATCGGAGAAACTGAAAAGTATAATTTTTCTTCGATGTAAGTGTCGAAATTAGGATAATCGATGGTGCTGAATTTGAAAATGACATTGATTTTTTGATCGTTACTTTTTCCTTAAGTAGTAATGTTTTGAACTTTTTTCACAAAAAATCGATTAAGGCGTTTCCGATAGTGCTGATTCCGAAAGTCTTATTCATTTTTTCTATTTGAAATCAACACCGTCGAAAGCCCTAAATCCAGTATTGACGAAAAAAGTTTAAAAAAATACTACTGTACAGATGGAGAGGGTGGAAAAGGTCGAGAGCAATACAAATTATTATTAAAATTATTAACGGTACTATTAACACTAATGACAAAGAATTTTCACATGGATTGTCCTTCCAGGTTTTTTTAAAAATTATCTACAATTTTGCGTCATCAGTATAATTTGATTTTACATATTTTTTACTCATCACCCGAAAAGTCCCTACCTGAAAACCCCGAGACCCGATAAAGTACCACCCGAAAATGCGAGGACCGAAAGTCTCCCACCCGAAAAGGCGGGGCGGAAAAGTCCTGACCCTGCGAGTAACATTGCTACTGATATATCATAATATTAAAGTGTGTTTCTTTAGCGTCTTGTGTCAATGAATATGCCTCTAAATAGCGATGGTACTGTATGTTTCAATGCTACCCTCTTTGCCTTGGTTCGAACGAATTTGAAAATTTATACGGAAGGAAACATCGACGAAGCCAACGAACAATTAAGAGCTGCCATTCGCCGAATCTGGAAGAGAACTCCCATAAAGATGCTGGATGAAGTCGTCCCTCCAGCAGGACGTAAGTTGATTCTTGCAGACTTCATGTTCAATGACCGTTATAGGAGGAGATGATGTAACCGTCGGAAAATTCTATGCCACTTTCTTGATCCAGGATTATTTCCGTCGATTCAAGAAGCGCAAGGAATTGGAGTCCAAGGGTGTAATCCCTGTTCAAAACACCCAAGCTATGGCATTGCAGGTAGACCGATTATCAAAAATTGAATTCGGACGTAGTGGATTGCAATTCAACATTACCGTTAATTTAGGCTGGTCTCCGAACTCTGCACGACATTGGTCCCGAATTGAAACGAGCCATCTCTGGGAATCTGGAAACAGACTTTGTGAACGAGCTGGAAGAGCCTCAACACCGGGTCAGTCCTCTGTTTTGTTTGCCCAAGTTATCCTATCTCCTCTTATCGAATGCCATTTTCCGGGGGCCCTGACCTTTTGATGCCTTTTTGTATGAATTCGGCCGTCCAACGAAATTAGGGTCCTTGGAAGAAAGGCCCTCTGGGCAATTTTGCGGCCGACAAATTAAGCGCCGGGAATTCTTGTTTTAACGGCGCCCTCCTTTTCAGCGGACTCATTCCCTTTTCAACAACATCGTGAATGCGTTGAGCGGATCCAATCAGCCGGGCAGTACTAGCGGCGCCGGCTCTTCGTCCAGCGCCACCGGTCCCCGGCACCACCATCATAACCATCACCCCTACGAGAAGGAGGAACGGAAGCTCTTGCCTCTCAAGAGTAAGTTCTTGCTGCGCAAGTCCGGCCTCAACTCGGACTACGAGCTGGAGCAAGGTACACTTGACCGTCTTCTTCCCACCCGTCCCAGTAATTTCAGTCTTCCCTTCTTCTAGTCTTTCAACGTAGATTGTAAATACCTCCGTTTGGTGTTCTCTTCAAGTTTGTGTTCGTTTTCCACTTTTACTATTGTTTTATTTGGTATTATTTTGACGTTTTCTCGGATCACCAGCTATACGCACTACTCATGTACTACTACTTAAATGTACCTCGTCGGAAATTATGATCCATAATTGTTGTAGCACCGTACTTTTTGATGACCAGAGTTTTTGGCATGGCCATAATTTCCGAACGGGTTTCTTGTGCTCAGGATTGAATCATCCGGTTTGTGGTGTTTTGCGATTCCACTAATTTAGATACCCAACCTCACCTTTGTTTGTTACACTGGATTGGTGAAAGCATCGTCGGTGTTCGCTGTACGTTTGTAAATATTCCATTCACTTTTATATGTTAAATAAAATGTATCTCAAGTGAATGAAAGGCGACAACATCGCCACTAACATTGTTCATTTAATTGTTGTGTTGTGAAAAAGTTTAAATGGATGTAGCAGAAGACAAAGGGAGGACCAGGTACACTGGGTATGTCATTTGTTTATGCATGAACAGCCAGACGTAAGTTGAAGAAGTAAGATTCGTGTGGATGGGTGCTCAGTGCAGCACGCAACATTGGGACGAACCTGTCCTCGATGCCATAAACTTTCGTCTTCATTGGATCTCGGCCTCATTCTTATGGCTTTATTCTTTTTTTTGTCGTCTTTCCCATGAGAGCCAATTTCCGACCTCAGAATTTCAAATCGTATTCAATTTCGTTTTTTTAGTGGATGGTCTCTCGCCAACACATTCCATAGCCGCGGCGGATACGATCAGCAACGAGCATTTCCGTCTCCACCGGGGAATGCCAACTAATAACAGCATTAATATTCCGACTCAAGTAAGTTCATCAAGACTGAACTTTTAACACTTATACTATTTATTTTAGAACAACATATATCATAACGAAAAGCAACCACTAGTCCAAAATCAAGCCCGCTATGGAAAAGCCAATGGGGGACCGGTAACTGGTAGGAAGCTTCCCAATCTGGCCAAACTGTATGGCCGCGGTGCTGATCGCCACTTCCATACCTCCTCCACGGAATCTCAACAACCTTTAAATCCTTCTCACGACTCGAGAGACTCCTCCCTAGGTCCGCAGAGACCGGTCGACCCGGCTAGGAGGTTCATTTTCGCAAACCGAACGTAAGCACCAACTAATGCATAAACAATCCAATGTCCATATTATATTCAATTTTCGTATTTTAGAATGCCACCGGAATCTGATGACGAAGATTATTTTGAAAGGAGGAAAAGGATTGATGCTATGGAGAGGATGGAAGAACATGAGAGAAATCGACCACCCATCCAAGAGCCTCTTCACCTGGCCAGAAACCAAGCCTTTGCCATAGCCGGTCTTCAATCAGAGACCGAGTATGACATGCAATCCCCCACCCATTCTCGGATTGGGGGTTACGGCTTAATGGACGGAATTATCGATGATGATAGCAGAACTTATCGACCGGTGCCTGAGGGAAAATCAGTCCGACTTCCTCACACAGACAGTCGACGGACTTTATTCAGACCAGCTGAACCCGATGAATATTACGGATACGATCAGACATGCCAACCCGTCCAAAGACAACTGCCAAATCATAACCAACGACCACATCCGGCTGACCAACTGGTCAGAGATGCCCTGCAAACTAGTCTAGGAAGGTATATGGATCCGCAGGTGGTCGAGGTGGCCCGAAGAGAATTAGCGGAAGCCTACGAACTGGATGATCGACAGCTTCATACAGCAGCCCAATATACTCTCGCCAATCCAAGTTATCTAGAACATGTTGGTGGTATTCGACCCGAGGAAATCAACGATTTCAACCAGTACTCCCAACAATCCCTTCTCCGTCGTGCTGATCCTCATCATCCTCATGGAACCACAATCAGCAACGCAAACGGATCCTCGAAAGACGAGGATCTTCTTCTAGTTACCACCTTGTAATCTTCTTAAGTGCCGAATCTCGTACATATGTCTCCTTAATTTAATCTGTGATTTCGTACATGTATTATCTACAGTCCTCTACATGTGTCGCCTTGGATCAGAGACTTCTAGACCATTAGACAACAGCTAGGTTCTTCAGAAGCAGATCCCCGGGCTTCCCTCTTTCCATTAAGGTTCCTAAAATAATGCTCAATCGTCTCTTATATATATTATTGTTAAAGCGTCGTCGGATATGGCGTTGAGACCGGTTTATTTTCCTATTTTTCTCATTTTTTACCGTATTTTACAACAATAAATTACGAACATGGTTCTGCGAATAACTGGGGCAGAAACTGAGGGAAGCGACGCACGTAGCCGGCGTTCGGCAAATCTGTGTTACTAAATAAATAACATGGAAGTGAATGGAGCAATCAATCGACTGTTAGAGACGGCCGAACACTCTGCTCTTGCTTCGACGTTTCAAAGGCGGGGGTCGGAGAGCGGGCGTTCAGTTAGAGAAAAGACTTTCGGTTACCTGACTCAAAAAAGTTAGAGTCCATACAATAGTGCCTTCGGGGGTCGCGCAGCCATTCTCTTTTTTTATCCCGCCATTCAGTTCCAATTTCCATATTTGTTAATACTTAATTTCCGTTTTTGATGATTTCCTTCCATTTTTAGATCACGTTAAGAATAAGGGAGCATCTAGCCTTTACCTTATTAAACTACTTCCATCATTCATCAACGAAAAAAGCACTTATCCGAATTTAGTTAGATGTGGCTAGAAACGCCCTAATGGCTGTCAACTATATTTCTGATTCTCCGATCAGTAATGCGTTGCCTTCGCCCGTGATTAGCGATGCCGCGGCACAAAAACGGTCAATCCGAGTGTGCGCTGTTTGTGGTGATACCCCTGCCAAATTGCATTACGGCGTCTTGGCCTGTTTTGGTTGTAAAGGTTTCTTCCGAAGGGCCGTCAAGGAAGGAAGGAACAAATATGTATGTCGTTACGACAAGCAATGCAAGGTGGACAAATGTAGGGGTCTTCTGAAAGTTTTCTACCTTCAAATTAATACTGATTTAATGTTTTTTCCATATTTAGATGAAAGAAATAGTTGTCGCTATTGTCGCTTCCGACGTTGCTTGGAAGTTGGCATGAATCCTGATGGTAAGTGCAAATGTTTCTGGTTACGCAATATTAACATTCCTAGCTGTGCGGCCGGATCGAAGCGAAGGGACGGGTCGAAGTCGCAACAAATCTATCTCTTCGGAGCAAATCAAGTCCATCCACGCTTCCTCGCACTTCCGGTTGACTCGGCAAGACTCAAGTCGGCCAGCTGAAACTATTGCCGTGGCAGACATCACCAAGGGCCAAGAGTAGGTGTTTGATGTCCATTTCTCATCACAAACAAATGTAAAAACAATTCTTTTGTTTTCAGCGAATTGGTTGACGAGATCACAAAGCTCGAAGACAGAAGCATAAAAGATTGTCGAACGCAGAGTCTGGATTCGGTCAAGAATTTTACACTCAAGAGTTTAATCAACGAACGCATTCTCGCGTCAACCGAACAAGTAATTGACTAGTTAGCCAACGGGACTAATTCCGTACCAATCTTGCAGAATCGGCCAATCTACGAGAACGGAGACAACTCCTTCCATGCCCTGTGGCGGATTGTTCAGGTGGTTGATTGGGTGAATGGATTGTGTGCCCTGGCCCTTGAAAAAACGGAAACTGCAGACACATTCACGGTAGAAGACAAGGTCGCAATTGTACAGAATGTTTTCACCAGAATAACCTTTTTTCGTTTGTGTGTGGATCGAGTTTTAGAGAGAGAAACAGACCAATTGGCCGTTCTGCGCACACTTTTCTTAGAAGAGTGAGTTGAGACGGGGCAAGGGACAAGGAAAAACAAATTTTATTTGTTTAGAGACGACTTGGTTTATAATTCGGCCAGTGAAGATGTAATTCGTCCATTGAAGAAGACCGCCGTCACCAAGACGGAGTTATTGCTTTTCCAGGCCATCTTAACCTCGGATCCGGCCATAAAAGGAATAAGGCCCGCAGCGTCAGATCTGTTGTCACAGTTCCGTAATCTCCTTCAAGACTCGCTGCTGGAGGTCATCAAAAAATCTCACCCCTTTGGAATTTCATCTTTCGCGCAATATGGCAATATGTTACTGCTGACCCCTGCTATTATAGTAGGTACCCCACGTAATCAGTTTATATTAAACTTCAGACTATATCGGATCGACTCCACTCAGCTCTCCAACAACAATTCCCTCTGTCTGTGCCTGTGGGAGAGGCCCCTCACTTCCGGCTACTCCAATATCTTGCTAATCCCGATACCACTGACTACCTCCGATTCCCGCAGTTCAATCGCAAATTATTTACAACAGAGAAGCAGGAGAAACTCCCAGAGGCACCGATGCCACTGACAAACACCTGGCAGACCTTTGCAAATGCCTTTACCGAGATTCATATGACAAATCATTTGAACGCATCGTGTCGAGGTCCCACTTTCTCTTTGATGTCAGCTCTAAATCCATCCTTGCATGGTCCTTCTTTTTACACCGCCCCGTCCCTCTTCCCAAATCAGCCCCTGCCTGATCCACCTCCTAGTTGTTCTGCTTTTGTTACTGTTCCAGCACCTCCTCTAACAGTAACCGCCCCAAGTCCGTCCACAGAAGTCTTAACGCCACAAGGAATTTCCTTGAGCAGTCCGGGTGGAAGTGCAGATATCTGTGGAACAATTGCATATCCCTTGAGTAATTCCTCCACCGATTCTCAACAAGGTCGACACAATCGACTGGAAGTTCCGAGTTCAACAAATCAACCCTTACATAGTAATGGAAGGGTTTACAAGCTACCTCTCCAATTAACCAAATCCATTGAAGAGATGCTAAAACCCCCAGGGCAGACTCAAGATGACCTCAATTGGAACAAACCGCTGACGATGGACTGGGCTGATCTCCAAGTTAGTACCCCTGCATTTAACAAAGAAGTCGCCAAATTCTTCCCCGAAACCGCGCTACCAAATAATGTGTAGACTCTGCGATATTTGTTTGCATTTCCATTGTGATCCTTCTCAGACATATCAGATAGTCTAAGATAGCATTATTATTATTGTATTTTGTCGATGAATGAGTTGAAGGCTTCCGGGCATAAGCTCCTTGCCCATATTACAAATTCAAAGCGAGGTCCGAAAGCCTTGTACTTTTTACACAACGGCGGCAGTACACTCTATCTATTATATGTATGTGCAACAAACTGAAAATAAATGGAACTGTTAGCGATTTTGTTTTAATTTATTCCGACAATAATATCAGACCTGCAAGTTTTGCTTCACCCGAGAGAGAAATGGAGATGGGTGAAGAAATAGTCCGATCGAACCCGGAGGCAATCGAGGGGTTGTTGCTCCTCTTTTCGGTTCTTTCAGGCGAGTAATCGGGCCTTTTTAATTCCGCCGCGGTGCTTTTGGCGGACCACAACTTTGAATGGCTCGCATTGGTATCCGACGGCTAAGTAAGTCATATATTTTAAAATAATTATGAAGAATCTTTCAGAATGCGGAAAATGTGTGGGATTCTGTCAGAAAAATCTTCTTCTCACCTTAACCATAAATGCAGTCATCATTGGTTTGGCTTTGGGCTTTCTTTTACGGGGTCTTAGTCCAACCGAAGAAGCCATTCAGCTCATTAACTTCCCTGGCGAAATCTTTCTTCAGATTTTAAAGTTGATGATCCTTCCTTTGATCTTCTCTTCACTCATTTCTGCCCTCGCTCAATTGGATGCAAAATCAGCGGGGCAGATGGGGATGATGACCGTTGGGTATTATCTTCTGACTGTTGTTCTTTCGACCATTGTAAGTGTATCTACTGGTTGTTTATTTCTATAGACGGGTATAATTCTAGTCTTAGCTATCCATCCAGGTCATCCTGAAGCCAATCCTGGATCCAACACTTACATCGCGAGTGAACATCAAGCCGTCTCTCCATTGGATACCTTCCTTGATGTTGTCCGAAACATGTTTCCAGAGAATGTAATCCAGGCAACTTTTCAACGAGTCCAAACAAGTTATTATGAGCAAAAGCCAAAGACCCAGAGGGCAAATATAACGAATGCAATCATTAAAAAGAAAATCGAATATGCTGAAGGGATGAACATCCTGGGTGAGTTTAACAACATTAGTTAACACCCTTTAGGCATTATCATGTTTTGTTCTGGATTTGGTATCATAATTTCTCAATTCGGAGAAAAGGCGAGAATAATCATCGACTTTTTCATTATCCTCGAAGCCGTGATAATGAAGCTAGTAGATGTTTTCATGTGGTTCGCTCCTCTTGGTATCATTTGTTTGATCGCAGGAAACATTTTGGAACTCGAAGATCTGTCGGATACTGCTCAACTGTTGTTAATGTATGTGATCACGGTCCTAGGAGGCCTTACAATTCACACGATCTTAACGATGCCTCTTCTTTATTTCCTACTGACCAGGAAGAATCCTCTTACTGTATGTAATGGCATGATCCAAGCTCTGGTCACAGCTTTTGGTACTGCTTCGGGGTAAGTAAACAGTAAGATGACAGTTGCAATTCACAGGGGAGCTGCATTACCGGTCTCAATGCAATGCATGGAAGATAATCTGAAGGTGGACAGAAGGATTACACGTTTTGTGTTGCCCTTAGGGTCTACAATAAACATGGTAAGAGTTTAACTCACATTTTAAAATTGCTTGCAGGATGGCAATGCCTTATATGAAGCCGTTGCGGTTATCTTCATTGCTCAACTTAATGGAGTCGAACTTACGATCGCTGAGGTTATTACAGTGAGGTAGGCCAATGTGTTCACAGCATTAAGTGTTTGTAGTTTGATATCTACAATTGCCTCGCTGGGACTAAACTCAGTCCCTGCCGGACTGGTTAGTATTTTGGTGATCTTGAAAACGGTGGATCTCCCAACAAAAGACGTTTCCCTACTTATTACAGTAGATTGGCTAATGTAAGTAAGAATAGGAGAAAGAGATATTTTCAGTGATCGAGTTAGGACCTCCATCAATGTTTTGGGTGATGCCTTTACAGCATCAATTGTGTCGCATTACCTTCAGAAAGAATTGGACAAAGCCGATGAATTCAATGAATTCCATCAGCAATTAACCCAAGAAGCTTGTAAGGAAAAAAAAGAAATAAGTACATTTATACTTCAGTGTTGTTAAAATCTGCGGCAAACAGCAGAAAAGGTTCTTTCTCCAAATTCATCGAGACTCCTATGTTATCCACCAGAAACAGTCGGAGACCTTCAATTGATGTTATGAGCTGGAGAGAACAAGATCTACTCAACAAACTCAGTTCTCAAGTCGCGTTACCTCTTGTCAAACACCTGTAAATTCCCGTATTTGTATACTGATTATAATATACTGTATTATTTCGGACTGTTTTTTCGAATAATAAGAGTAGTTTTTTTGTTATCCTTTCCTTCACCGAAAACATTAACCTGCAAATTCTTGGCATGGTGTTGTAAGCCGATATTATCGGCCGATATTTTTTATTTTATTTTTTTCACGTGAAATTCTGCGAAGCTTTGAAGCGTGGTATGCGAAAAGAATTTGATAGATAGCAGAAAAAAGTGTGATTTTGGAATGATTGTGGGTAGGACTTTCGTCAGGAGTGTAAGGTAAGATGAGACCCTAATTTATGCAATTTCTTTAGTACGGAGAGTGCCGTATTGGTCGGGCCTGCAGTTCGTTTACTTCTTCATGACTATGGAATTAGTTTGAACAGCCTGAAGGCAACTGGTCCGCGGGGAAATGTTTTGAAGAGGTAAGTGTAATGTATTTATTTTTTATTTTGGTCAGTGACGTTCTGGATCACATTCGTCTGGCTAATCTGCAGCCCATCAAGCAAGAAGTCCCATTGCCTTTGCTGAACCCTGATCCTCTGTTAACTGAGACTACTAGTATTAAGCACATCAAACCGTCGGAATCCGAATTTTTTTCGAAAAGAAGACACCGGAGGACAGCTCAATTTGAAGATATCCCCTTGTCAGGCATGCGGTCAACTATTGCCAGAAGATTAACCCACGCGAAGGTTTGTAGTCCAAGCTTTTGTTTATTGGTTTAGTGCTCTGTGCCCCACAATTACACTTCTCTAAATGTTCGAGCCGAAAATCTGGCTACTTTCCGAAAGAAATTGTCAAATCAGGGCATCAAAGTCTCAGTAAATGACTTCATTGTGAAGGCCGCTGCCCTTTCATTGAGGTCGGTACCCGAGATAAATGTCCAATGGGTTGAGAATGATATTCGAAGGGTTGCAGAGGTAGATGTTTCAGTGGCAGTTGCCACCCCGACTGGTCTCATTACACCAATTGTTTTCCGTGCAGATCAATTGCCGGTGAACAAGATCTCTCATGTTATACGAGAACTAGCGGTGCGTGCTAAAGACAACAAATTGAAGCCTCAGGAATTTCAAGGTGGATCCTTTACGTAAGCCATATATTCCTTTTCTTACATTTGGTTTAGAGTTTCGAACCTTGGAATGTTTGGAATTCACACGTTTACGGCTATCATAAATCCTCCCCAAACCGCTATTTTAGCCGTTGGTGGAACTCATTCTCAAGTTGATACCGAGCTCAACACAACAGAGCACTTTACATTGACCTTATGCTATGATAATCGCGCGATTACCGAGATTGATGCTCATCGATTCCTGCAGAACATGCAGCAGCTTCTGAATCATCCCGACGTTTCTTTGAGCGGAGGACTTGATTTACCCGGTGACCATCATGAGTTGTATTGATACAATTGTTAGGAAAAGAGTAGGGTAGATAATAAAATAATATTTCGCTGGAAGTTATCTTTTGGTCTAATATGTCAAGGTCGCACAATATTGCTGAAAGATTTTTTTAAAGGACACGCTTTTCACTGTCCGCAAAGAAAATCTTCGCTGTCCAAAAATTTAAAAAAGTGTAAAAGATGTAAATGTTTTTGCTTTAATAATAACCGATATCATATGCAATATCATCATATTTTTTATCCAGATCGCCTGCTTATTGCGTGAATTAAAGTAAGAGGAAGACACACTACTTGATGACGTTCAAGAGTAATATCCGAAAATTCCACATCAAATGTGCTGGTAACCACTGAGTTATACACAAAAAGATTCTCATTTGCGGACAGTGAGAAGTTTTTTGCGGACAAAAAAATAGATCCTTTAAATTATTATTTTTGTGAAGAGCGATGGCATCCTCGGGTGGAAATCCGGCTAAATCTAGAGGAGAAAAAAGGAAGGCTTCTGAAGAGGAAGAAAGTTCTACTAGTGTTATCAGTGAAGGGCTTCATTTTACTAAAGTAAAGGAGTTAGGAATGGAATACAACGAGGGAGCCTACAGCCTCCACGAGATTATTAATGCAATTCAGCCCAAACGATCCATCCATTTCAATTTTTGCGTCGAATTTGATTTCATGTTTAAGTAAGTGAATTTTACCAACTTTAAATTGCGCGTGTTTTAAGATCGTATCCCAAACATCTTCGCCACACTCCGATTGCCGTGATTTCCGGGTCAGAGCAAGATGTGGAAGATGGGAAATACCTGAAAAAACACTTTCCCCACCTCCAGGTGCAATGTGCGGCCACCTTATCCAAATGGGGACATCATCACACAAAATTATCTTTATTTGAGACTGATTCTGGCCTACACGTTGTGATATCCACTGCCAATATGACCGCTTTTGATTGGGGGCATCTGACACAAGGTTTTTATTATGCACATGGAGAGTTTTTGAAGACCGAAAATGGTAATTGTAATTTTACGATGTTTGAAAAATGTACTTTTTAGCTCCAGTCTTAAAGAGATCCAAGAAGGCGGACGGTTTCGGCGATGATCTGAAGAAATATCTCAGGGCAGCCTATCTAAACCCAGGTCTGAAGATCCTCAGTGCTGTCGAACATTGGTCTGATCTTTTTGCCAAGAATCTCCCGGATTTTAGCCATATTAAAGATCGACTTGTGTACACAATTCCAGGGAAGGAATGGCTTCAACCGATGGGTCATACAATCATGAGAAATATCTTGAAAAGTCATCTGTCTGATGAAGAGATTGGCGACTGCACTTTCATCGGCCAAGTCAGTTCAATTGGAAGTCTTGGGCAAAATAAAGACGAATGGGTCTTTAAGGAACTGGCCGCGAGTATGTGTGGTAAAGATAAAGTACCAAAAGGTGAGATCATCATGTTATACATAATAGCTAAGGATTTAGATTTAAAATTCAAATTAGTGTACCCATCAATGAAAACCATGGCCGAGTCTGTTGATGGATGGCTAAGCGGAGGTGCCTTCCCTTGGGACGATAATGTTTACTGGCGACAGAAATGGATGGACAAGTACTTTTGTGATTGGAGAAGCGACAAGTTGGGAAGGTAAGACTGGTTTCTCTTGTAAACATATGACTTTGAAGAACCCGGTGTATGCCTCATATTAAAAGTTATGCCGCAGTCACATCTGATGGTAGTGTAAAATGGCTTTTGATTACATCGGCAAATCTCTCGAAGGCTGCATGGGGCCGGTTAAACCGAGATGGAAGAAGTTATTCCTCTCACTCCTATGAATTGGGAGTCCTAATGCTTGCGGATAATTATGATCAGCCTTTGGAATTACCTTTTGATTGGCCTTTAACTGAGTATTCGAAAACAGATTCTCCTTTCCGAAGAAATACAACGACCAGCCTTAAGGACTGTGAAGGTCGGGAGTACCCTTTCACTTCCTAATTTTTTGATCTCAATCTTAAAAGGACATCCAGTTCTTCATAATAATTTTTTATTACAATAACATATACAATGTAACCCCATGTACATAATTGAAAACAATAAATTATTTAGAATGTTTATTGGTTTTCGGTACAATGATGCACTCGAATTCACAAGAGGAAACTGTAAACCCGGATTGGAAGTGTTGGAATTTCAGTCCATCAAGAAGTCGGTGGAATGTGGGGGGAGGGAAAGAAAGTGGGCTTGGGACTTGGTATATTTACACGAAACAGAAGGGAGATCACCAGGTCAGAAGGGAAGGACTGGCGGTCGAGATCTCTATGAGGGAAGTCGTTGAGGCGTCGCTTTGAGGGCGATCGGATCCGGGATATATTTGACTCCAGGCAAGGACAAAACGGACTCGGTGTCGGGCAAGGAGAAAATAGTTGCAGGGAAGCAGTCCAGGAACGGATGACGCATCGCATCCAGGGCTGAGATTCGCTTTTTACCGTCGTACTAAAAATTGACAATTAGTTGTGATCCCTTCAAATATATGAGAAAACTTATGAAATGCTTACTTTCAAACATTTCTCTAAAAGATCTGCTCTCTGTGCATCAACTCTTGGTTGTCGGATTAGAGATTTGGCTCTTTGCTTCTTAAAGTTTCCTTGTTTGAATCCTGGCATCTGACATAAATCAGGACATTCCTCCATGGTTGGGGTACCCAACATATTGAATATTAGTTTGAGTTGCTCTTCGTTGCTTTGACCCGGGAACATTGGTTTATGATGCAACATCTCGAACAGTATGCATCCGACCCCCCACATGTCAATGTGTGTTGTGTAATCAGTGGAGCCTAGGAGAACGTCTGGCGGCCGATACCACAAAGTTACCACCTCATTAGAGTATGTCTTGGTGGGTATCGATTGAGCCCGAGCCAGTCCAAAGTCAGCCAATTTTAGCTCTCCCAATCGATTAATGAGAAGATTCTGAGGCTTCAAATCTCTGTGTAATATCCTCCTCCGATGACAATAAGCGAGACCTCGGAGAAGTTGAACCAGAAAGAGTTTGACGTTGTCTATGCTGATGAGTCGCGCGATCTCTTCCATGTATTCTCTCAGATCTCTCTCCACAAACTCGAAAACGAGGGTCAGAACCCGATCCGTGTAAATAATGTCATGTAGAGTGACTACATTTGCATGTTTTAGAGATCTCAGGAGGCTGACTTCTCGGATTGCAGTACAAGGAGCTCCTTCCTCATGTTCCAATCGCATCTCTTTCATGGCAACACTTTTTCCGGTAAGAAGACTCTTACCCAGCCATACTGTGGCATAGGTTCCCTCACCGAGGTCGAAGATTTTCTTGTATGTTTCAAGCTTGCCGAATCCAATTTCGCTCTAAAAAATAAAAATAATAACAATTTGCAGAAGAACAGAGGTACAAAACGAATAAATCCCAATTGCTTGGATGAAGTCTGCTAGAGTAAAGAAAACTTACAAGAGAAGCTCGTCGACTTTTTCGCGTCAAGGGATTGTCCAGGGTCGGTGTCCGGTTCAGCTTGTCGATGACGCCCTGAGGCAATCTTATGTCGGCCGGCAGAGAAAGACGCTTCTGAATGTCTTGCTGAAACACATCCATTAGACTTGAAGATCATTCCGAATCCCCATCTTTACCCATGCATACAACTTAGTTCCGGTGGTTCCGGGAACGGCTCGCTTTCCCGAAAGTTGGACCCCATTCCGGCCTTAAGAGAAAAAAAGTTAAGACCCACCTCACTCCACAACCGTGTTGGTTTCTGACGGAGCTTGACATTTGGAATGTATCGTTCTTCACTGCCACTCGGGTAGCACGACGAGGTGGACATCTGGTCGCTTGTGCATGGCGAAACTTCGAGGCTTTCGCCATCCGACCCCAGGGCACAGGTCTCGTGCACAACAGCTGAAAAATGTGTAATTAGAGCAATTCTTGTATTTTCGACAAATTCCCATTATTTTTTTCCTGCCTAGTAACTGGCATTTGCTTCGATTACGCAACTCTGCGATTGCAGATGTTATTTTTCCGTTCGTTTAAAAATAGACCCTGACATAATCGTGATTTAAAGTTCCCATAAGCCTCCGAAATGGATCTTCAAGACGTTCCTCGGGAATAACCTCGGCCAATTCCCCTAAGGACATGACGTGAAAGGAGATTCTCTTTAAAACTATAATCTCATCTTACACAATGAAACCGAGGGTCTGATAGTGGAGAATTGCTGCTGGGAGCTGTAGCGTTCGTTGAGTCCGCCGTTGCGACGTTTCTTCAAGAAGATCTGCAACCATGACGAGAAGGATGTGTTTAATGGTAGACCCCTGCGGTTCGTTTTCTTCTTGCCCGATTGATCTGACGTCCTCGACATAGGGGAATGAGATGAACTCGTAGATCCATCGGAGCCGGCCAGATCCCGGAGATCATCTTGAGGTGGAGAGGCATGTCGGTTTCTGACATCGCCAAAGTCATGAAATGTAACTGATTTGGCCAATTCCATCATCAGTAATCGCCGAACTGCCGCATTAACACTCGTTGAAAGGTCCGGCGTCAAAAATGGGAAAAAGGATTAGGGCCGAAAGCGAAGAAAACACAAAACGGGGGACTAATTGGTCTGGAATTGGAGGTGTAACCCCGGAATCAGAAAAAACACGGCCCGCGTGAAGAGACAACCCTCAGAAAAAGTTTTGAGACCCATAGAAAGTGTTGGCCAACGAAAAACCGGATGGAAAAGTCGAGAGAGGATGGATCCGAAGCCCTCTCCCCCTCTTCTTTGCCATAATCGCATTTAGAGCGGATGGCCAGGTTGGTCTTGTTAAGATCTACTGGATCGCGGTCGAACAAGAAGCCTTGTCTCCTCATGAATCCGCGTACCGGCGCGTCGAGCGCCCTTATGTGGCCACAGGCGTCTTTATGGCCACACGCACTCTCGTCGCGTTTTCGCCCCATTCCCTTTAGCTCGGCATGACGCTTTTGGGGAGCCATGGCTTCCGACTTGCGCTCTCTGTCCTGGCCCCAGTCTCTGGGCGGCGCTTTCCTTCTCTGCGGCCATAAGAAGCAGAAAGGCCAACAAGTGAGAGATTGACAATCCCGCCGGTATCTATTTCCCCAGCCCCTATTCTACGGCGGTTGTAACCTCTTAAACTGAACACGCCCTGACATTTAATATATCTGCCGAGCCATCCCCCGAGTTCATGTTATAGAAGATGAAGGGGAAACTTTCAGGCCTGAGTGACGTGTGCGTAAATAAGGAAAGATCACAACCACTTTCTACATGAAAAGGACCCAGAGAACCGCTAATTTATTCCATGCACTCTCTTCCAACAAACCGAATGCAATATACACGAAAGGGGAACAGAACATAAGGCAAGCCCTGCACTTTATTGCCGGTACACTTCAACCATTTCTGGGGAAGGGGGATTTGGAAAAGCCGAAAGAATTCGGCTCTTTGCGGGGATGGGTGGAGAAGGTGGACACCGGTCGATAAATGGTCAGAACCCATTCAACCACAAAAGTCAGACGGAAAACGGAGGGGCAGGATTCAGAAGGACCTTCATGAAGGAATCTCCGCGAATATCAAGTGGGGAAGGTCTTGGAGACAATTACTTCGACCCTCTCCGACCCAGAGTATTTCCCAAGGTAAACAAATGGCGCTTGGATTCACAAGTGTACGCTTTTTTCTAGCCATGTAAAATGAATTCTGATTTCTGGAGACTTCCGCGTATTACGCAATCCCCATTCTCTAAGGATTTGAAAACTAAAATGAAAGTGAGACGTCTAAAGCAAATACTACGTATAATATATTTCATGGGACAATAAACACTTAATAAATACATATAAAAGTCCCGAAGAGCGGAACCAACCCCTGCCAAGTGGACGTTTGGCCAAAACGGGATTCGAGATTAAGCCGAGATACGAAAACATCCGCCGCAGTCCCGTGGTACCCCCTCCCCGGTCTAATAAAAGCCGATTGTGTCGCGCCGTAAATCGCCCTAAACCCACAATTTTCATAAATAAATTAGACGAATGTAAGAACATCACTAAATGCCCTCGGTAACCCCCATATGCTTCGTTCCCTTCGAGAAATGAGTAATAATAGTTCCCTCCCTTCTCCATGGTGTTATAAAAACTGGGAGTTGTTTTGCTGTTACGAGAATACCTCCCGAAAGGTCCCTTGATTACTCGGGCTTGGAAAGAGGTGGATCCGCGCGTCCGTCGTATACGGGGAGAGACGGAGAGAAGAGACGGCTGATCCGAGAAAGGAAGAGAAAAAGAGAGGCGGAGAAAAATCCAATTAATGCTGGACGACGAACGTCTGTCGCTCCTGGAGCCTCGGCGAAGTCAAGAGCGTAGGGTCTGTCATGTCGGTAGAAAGCGATTCGAGCGGATGTTATTTTTGGGGCGAGAGATCTTCGGAAAAAATGAATCAGCCCCACTCAGCCGCCTTTCCGACTTTATTTCTACCAGAAACAAAAAAAGGGTCCAATCGTACGTGTTGTTTTAGAGACTGTCCAGTTACTTGGTCAAGTTTTTCGCGCTCTTTGTTTACATTCTCTGACCCTTCCCCGCTTACTTACCTGGGCCAAGATGAGCCTGACTGCCGAGGATTCTGTTCGCATGCCAGCTGTATCTGTTCTTGCCGTCTCTCTTGTTCTCGTATTGCCGAGGTTTCGCTTGAACCAGCATTGCATTGTCCATTGATGGCATCTGAAAAGTGATCATATTTGGATTAGTCATCATGTTACGTAATATTTATTTATTATTTTTCACATGGCTATTTCTAAAAAATTTTTTGACGAAAACGCACCTGAGCTCCACAATGGAGAGCATGCATAGAAACAGGCCTTCCTTTCTTCTTAGACAGTTTAACAGGTTCATAATTTAATGTACTTGAACTGTTATAACACGAGTCATGATTTGAGCTGCCATCTGGATGATAATCGACGCATGCTTCTTCCAAGATGACGCCATCAACAGCAAGTCTTTCACTGAGTCGACTCATCGAATTACTGAGATGCCAGGCCTTCATTTGTGTACTCTGATAGCCAGATGTGGAATTGGAGCTGACTGGATTGGCCCCTATCAGACGAACGCCGCCATTCTGATGCAAGAACAGAGAGTTAGACCCGGAGAGATCAGCTATATTGGGGTTGGAGCTTTTGAAGGCCTTGCTGAGCCGGCGTTTCAGTTTTTTCATCATCCTTTCCCTGCGGCCTGAAGCGTTAATTAAAATGAATGGATCGGTCAGCGGGGAACGTTCCGCTTGGCCACAACCAAACGCCATAAAACCGGCTCGTAAACTCGTCGAAATGCCCTTGATTAGGGGATGAGGAGGTGGAATAATTGCACTGTTTAGTTGTCAGCAATAAAAAATTTTTTACTGACTTGAGGAAATGTAGGGTAAAGCAAGTAAAAAGTTCAACTAAAGTTGCATGATCATCCACAAAATTTTTAAAGGATAGCAAACTTTTGGAAAGGGTAATGGAGCTTTAGAACGAGGATTTGCAAGTGATTAAAAATGTAAAGGACGACAATAATGCGATCTAAACCCTCAATAAAAGTCTTATTTCTTAGCTGGTTTTTCAAAATGCTACCAAGACACGAAGGAGATACAATTAAAAATAGTTTCCATGAATACTACGAAGAAACAGCCCAAATGGCTACAAATAAGAGGCTTTATGCTAGAAAAAAATGAGAATTTTTAGGGCTTAATAAAACCGGGAGTGAGGTCTTCTTAAGGTGAGCGATCGGTGTCGAAAAAAGGCCGCAGACCCGCCGTTAACATGCGTTTTTGGTTGAATTGTTGTTGAGAATTACTTAAGTGGAAGTTAAATGACACGCAACCTCGTTTCCTCCCAGAACCAAACAAACTTCTAATTCAATTTGGGCGGTCTCTAAACAGATGCCCATTCGACCGGTATTTCCAGTTTCTGAAGTCGCGGAGAGGACTAATTTGGGCCCAGAACTTGAAGGCTCTAATCTCCACGAAGATACGACGACCCCTCCACAAGAAAAGAGACGTCTATTACCCGGCGGCGATGACTAACGAAAACAATATTTTTTAATTAATCACCAATGACCCCAACTCCTCGTAAAGGCACGTGCAAACCGACCCAAAAACACATTAAAAAGTTTACAGACTTCCCCTTATTCGAATTAAGAGTTAACGGCGGCCTCCTGATTCACGGTGCACTGATTTTGGCCTACCGACGGAAAAAATCACGGCCCCGATAAAAAGGGCCCGAGGAAATAAAAAAATTGAAGTGCGAATGCGGCTGACCCAGAATCTGACAAGAGAAAAAAATTGGAACTGTACAAAGTGATGACTAAAAGTGCGAAGAATCGCTTGTCCAGAAGCCCCTCCGGGCATAAAGCTCGAGCGGTCCGGTTAAGGAATGCGAAAAAAAACCGAAACCGCCCTAAGGGTAAAAAGCGAAAGAGATTTGTTGCGCGGGATTTGGAGAGAAAACGGTTGGGAGAAGGTGTTTGATTGATGGCTGCACCGATTGCCTTCCCTTTCCCCTTCTAAACCCTGTCACAAAACCTCAAGAGTCGGCTCGTGTGACAGTGCCGCTGGCACCGCACTCTCGTCCTTTCAAATGACCTCCCTAAGCCAAAAAAGAGCATAAAGTGGTCGCTCCGTGATTATTATTTTCTGGTCGTGTCTTCACCGACATTCAACGAACCCTTGATAAGGTCCCCCCATCTCCTCAAATAGCAAGTTCTGATAAGACGCGCTCGGTCAGGCGTTCAGACTTACAGTCCAGTAGACTGGAGGGCGAGCAAAGAGTCGCTAATCATCTCTTTCGACGACGTATTCGATTACTATGCTGCAGTATTGGATGACCGAGAACATAAGACCCGCCAAATCCACTGTAACAGAAGAGAACTGGAAGAAATCAGGAAGTGGAGTTTGCTTTCTCTATTAATATTACGTGAAAATACGTTATTGTCCGGCTCTTGGGGGAATCACATCTTCGGTAATTCCCGGATGGAAAAATAAAAAAAACTCAGGGCATCGGGTAAACTAGTGAAAATGATTATTATTCAGAAACAGACATGATTGGGGAACAAATGGACAACGAACTACTAGAGAATGGTTATATAGTATAGCTTGTCCATGACTGACGCCTCTCATAATTCTCTAGAAAAAATAATGAAAATGGGAGAAGGAAGGACACCTTTCTTCGCCTCATATGCATAGACTACCACCAGTGACTTCTGTTTCCGCTTCCTTTCTCTTTTGTGCGATGCCCACGCTATCTTTTTCTTCTTTTTTCGTAATTCTGAAGGCCATTTCAAAAGCCGCGCAATGCCATTCCCCCTCGTAAATCACTGTTAAGGTTATGATAAGATAAAGGAGCTTCACTCAAAACGGATACATTCATTCCCGTGAGAAACCCCGAAAACAGAAACATGCGATTGATCTTCAAGGTGGGATACGACCTCAGGTATCAGAATATCGGCTGGGTGGAGTGGGAGTTGAAATGTTTTGAACGGGCTAAAACATTACGTCAAGTTTACAACAACATCACATACCGCAATGTAATCGGAAGATGCCTGGTTTGAATCGGGACGATGATAATTGGTTGCCTGGGTTTGATCCGCCACCTGAAACGAATATTAAATAGATACATTCTTGGTGTTGTAAATCAGGATCTGACCAGCAGACTCACCTCCATGCTGGCGTTTCTCTTACTATCAAACCGCCCACTTTCCTTAAGATCCGCTGTTTTCAAAGCTGGCTGTCGCTTTGTTGATCCATATTGCGTCTGCACAGTGCCATCCAGCGAAGTTGGGGCTCTCTTGGCAGAACCCATCTTCTTGTTTAATGAGCCGGCCTTCTTTCCTTGTTCCTTCTGCAGTCGGTCTTCCAGACTTCTGAAGTCTGTCTCGGGATCACTTCTGTTTTCCTTTTCCTTTTGACCATCAAACTTTGGACATTCGCCTGGGGGCATTAATCCATTCAAGGTGAGCGGAGCCGGATCAGACTGGGGCTGGCCGTGAACCTTCTTCTCCGCCTCCGGCTTCTTGTAATCATTCTTATTCTCTGATGATGAAGACTCAACGATCACTTTCTCTTCCGGCTTTTGTCGCCCTGCAAGTGGAGGATTCTCGGCCACGGTTGGTCGAGATTTCCTTGTAGAGGGGGCTACTTGTTCCGGATACTGTAAACAAAAAAAAAGTTTTACGAAAGCGGGTTTGACGAAGCGAAAGTTTTACACATAAAATCCACCTTTGTTTTAGCACAAATAACCACAGCCAAGATAACAAAATTTAGCCAGGCGATGAAAAGAATTGTCATTAGGTAATCCATGACGAACAACCAGCAATTGTGAGTCAACGAATGGGAAATAAGATTAATCGAGCCAAACACGGCTCCGGTTTCGTCGACGGAAATGAGGTGGGAAACTCAATATGCGGCAGTTTTGTTTGTCCTCCAATACAAGTTCTATGCAGAAATAAAAATTATCATGTTGCCTCTCCTCCAGCTCAGAGTTCACTACTCTTTTTAATAAGGCACCTCTTTTTTGACCATTTTACCAATTTTCTCTTCTGATGCCGTCTGGCTTCTGTTGGTGCCATACCTACGTTTACGACTTATCATCATTATTTATGTAACAAAGAAAGACCACGGCATTTCAGACACGAAGATAACGTGCCCCCGGGATCCTTTGGGATTCAGATGTGAAGATTATTCTGCTTTAACCACTCCACTTGTTACAAAAAACCTTGCTTTTTCAGATGATCTAAGCCGAGAGGACTATTACTGTTTATTTACGAGAAATGGACGACCAACTAGGAGCTGAAGAGAAGATCAGAAGATTGGGATGGTTCCTGCTCATCTTGTGGATTATGGTAGTTTGTTGGATCACTAAAGATTACTGGTGTCCATCCCTGGTAAATCGAAGAAAGAACCGGGAATTCGAACGAATCGACTTTTAATCTGCGTTCATTTTACCTTACCAGATCTGTTTCACGCATAATAATATAAAAGTGCGCGTCAGTCCAGCACATTTCCTGGCCTGTTTAACGATATTATTTTTCAAAAGTGAGGTAAGCGTTTTATCGCTTTTCTTCCGAATGACCGGTGCGGTATTACTTGTTCAACCTATATAATTTTTTTATCACAATGAATAAAAAATACTACTTTAACAGTTTTATTCTTTGTACATCCTAATTTTATACCTACAATGGCGGATCTGATCCAGCCGCCAAAAACACGCACATTTGCTTTCGGGAAGTGAAGAAAATCCCGCGAAAAGGTTCACTTCCTGCCAGAATTTCCTCCTTTTTGGAATCCTTTTAGATGAATTTTTGTCCTTTCCCGGAACCAAAATTGTACATTTTTGCGACTGGATCAGGTTTGATGCTGGACGGCAGTGTTTTTGCATTATTACATTTTCTGGGCCAAAAACCACTTTCCCCATTACAACAATCGCAAACTGTATTTTCCAGTAGTACCCAGAAGATACCGGTATTCCTATTGCTTTAAAATTGAATGCCCGGGCAGTTGAGCGACATCAGGACCTCTCTGGGAATCACTTCTTCCCTTCTGACTGATTCCCATCAAAACCATGATCAAGGGAAGATACAGCAATGAGTATCTGAACAATGTCCGACTGTTCTTCGAATCCGGAGATTTGTAAAATTTGTATGAAAGGTAGATCAAGATGGCATTCAGAGGGATTGACTCCAGGGCAAAGTTTACCGGAGTGAGGTCAAAACATGGCGCTGCCACCGAACACAGGCCCAACAATCCTACGGCATGCCTGAAAATATTATTTTGCATCTAACTTCACCCTTCCTCTTACCGCATCGTCGTTTTTCGACACAAATCTTCATCTGTAACACACATGACTCTGTATCCAGCTCTACTATAATCTCCTCGCAAATTCCAGCTAAGCCCATTAAAGTGAGGAAATTGCCATGAGTAATGAATGGCGGCCAAAACGAGAGCACCTGCATCCAATCCTCCAGTCATGGCCGCATATCCCATCAGCGGAGGGATCGCTCCAACAACAGCCCCCGCCCATGTACATCCAATATGATACCTCTTCATGGGAGTATATACACCAGCGTAAAGGAATACATTTAGAAGGCCAAGTCCGGCTGCCAAAGGATTACATCCTACACAATAACTTTTTTTGAAGAGCACATACCTAACCACAATGCTGTCGCACCAGCCACAGATGTGACTCCAGCAAACGTAAAAGCATGTAATGGAGAGAACCTGTGAGTAACCAATACTCTGGACTGTGTCCGTTTCATCTGTGCGTCATAGGGGGCCTCCAATAAATGATTGAATGCATTCGCTGAAGCCGACATCAATGTCGTTCCCAATGCGCAATAGCCAAGCGTCCTCCAGTCTAATGGCACTGGGGCCATAACTACACCACTCATGGCGGACGTAGTGATTAACATTGTCAACCGGTGTTTTGATAACTAAAGTAATAGAAATAATACAATGCGCTTTACCTGCAAATACGCCCCAATCAATCCTCTAGGAGCCATTTGACTCCATTCTGACGCCCGTGAACCTCTGACAATCAACTTCAGCGTCTGCGGACGAGATCTTGGCAGATTTGGTGTCGTAACGTTAACGACATTGTCTGGAGTAACCACATATTCCGCTTTTAATGGTCTGGCAGTGCAGTAGATTCTAGACACCAAAAATCTACATACTGAAGGGGATAAATTATGCATTCTCGCCTCTTGAAAGGCGATATAACCTAAAAGAATAGGTCTTACAAGAGAAGTAAAAAACAAGTGCGACAAAAATTTCCTTTGAAAGTTGAACACACGTCAGGATTGCCACATATAATGGTGTTCTAAGTAAGTTTCGCCTATATCGAATTTTGTTGTCCTGCAATGTGCAGAGCCCAAGACAAGATAAAACTTGTCCTGAACGGTACAGTGGAAATAATTATTATATTCGCACCTCGCAAAGTTTTTGCCTATTGCGTTGTACAGTGCAGAAGAAGAAAAGACGAAACCCGTGATTGTCATGAGCGAAAAAACATAAATTTACTCGGAAAACGACTCAAAAAGTCTAATAATACGAATCGTTCGGCCAATATAACATACCGACACAAAAATTTTTCTCTGTTGAGAAGCGGTTTTTAGGCAAGAATTGCAATTATTGATTCAACTTTTGTGACACTTGGTTAGAAAAATTTTGAACCTACCTCTTACAGCACTCTTGTACAGTACCAATGCCCGATGAACAACATCCTGCTGAAATAAATGTTAAATGTCTAATTTAGAAACATAGACCACAGCCTAAGATACACGGTCATTTAATAACTTTAGCGTCGATAGCTAAGGTGGATGTCAAGTAGCAATTTTCTCGATTTTTTTTGTTGAATGTCTCTGATATCTGCGACTTGACAAGTAAAATGAGATAATTTTTGAAATAAGCATATTGGATTACATATAATTTTAATTGGAAAAATTTTTTAAATTTCATTTTTACATTATAATGCATTACTTAAAATTGTAAAAATCAGAAGAAAAGACTATCATTTTCAAAATCTGCGCCATTGATTACCTCTTTATCCGATATTTACTGAAAGTTTTAAAAATGTTACTGCTTTTTTTATAGAGGCGGGCTCTTCGGTCTCATTCAAAGATTTATAAAAACCCCAACGAAAAGACAAAAATGTAAAATCCGCCGAAAGGCGAGCTGCGCCCTGTGTTCCTATTGCCACGACAAGAGAATAAAATATTGGATGGAAGAACATAATTTCCGGATCTATTGACCACATTTTAGTTCTTGTAACGGCCTCATCATTTAAGTGATATAGTTATATTATATAATCTCACAAATCTTGTGGGATAATGTTTGGTTGGCCGTCATTGACTACACGATCATATTTCTGGCTTTTATATGCGTTGTCTGCTCTTTTTGCCATATATTGTTTAAGAGGGCCGTTGAAGATACCAGATGGTAAGGATATTGGAATACTTTCTCACTGTTCTTATTTGATAATATACTGCTTGGAAAAATAATGGTTTTTTTTTTTGATTTCAGTGTTTTCGCTGTCTTCGTATTTTAACAACCTCACGCCGAAGTTCTACGTCGCGCTAACGGGTACATCTAGTCTGGTGTCCGGCATTATTCTTATATTCGAATGGTGGTATTTTAAAAAGTAAGTGTCTCAGGGCAAAAGGGAAGTGCCGACGCACCTGGGCCTTGCTAATTATCTCTGGCTTTTCACTTTTGTGCTCGTGGGGGCCCGGGGGTTGGCCAACTTGTGAGCCGCGCACCTGGGGTTTTCACTTATTCGGGTCCAAGACATATCAGCTGCAGTTTATATCTAATTTCTTGTAAATTTAAACGTGTCCATGGGTAATGCGCAAATGTAAGCGGATTTTTATAAGTGGTTAAAAGTCAGTTGTTTGCAAACGCTATTTAACCTTTTTAGTAACAACCTCGAAAATGGAATGGATCTTGAGGATCAGAGTGATGGCGAAGACTCTTTAGAGCAAAACAGTAAGTTTTTCAAATATTGTATTTACTTTTTAGAATGCGAAACTGGCCCTGAGGAGCTTTCTAATGATTGTAAAGTTTGGAGAAATCCTACGGCGCTCTTTAGAGGCGCTGAATATCAAAGGTTTAGTAAAATGACGCAGAGAGATCCTTTAACATTTCATGATCTGAACTTATCAGCCCAAGATCATCAGCAAATATTTTGCTGTGAGCAGGATGCAGGAAGAGAAGATTACGAAAGTAAGTCTTTCTTTTGTTTAAGTCTATAATACACGGTTTCTTTCTATATTTTATTTTGTTTTAGTAATGCAACTGGCATGGAGAGAGCGTGACGGCTCTAGCCGGATAAAAGCTGCCAAACGAGCTTTAGAAATTAATCAAGACTGTGCGCCAGCCCTTATTTTATTAGCCGAGGAGGACTGCGAAACGTTGAATGAAGCTGAGGAACTTTTAAGGTATATTTTCTCCTTATTTTGACACTTTGTTTTAGGAAAGCACAGAGACCCGCTGAGATTGCTTACCGAAGAAGTCAGGCACTCGGGCAATATGATCCTGATTCGGCCGAGAGAACCAGAGATATGAACATGCTCGTGTTCATTCGAAGGAGAATAGCTATGATTTTGAGAAGACAAGGGCGATTACGGGAAGCAATCAAGATTATGAGAGATGTACGTTTTTTTACAATAACAGTGTAAAATCAGCGTTTTTAACCGACCGGCTTTAAATTTTTTGCGTAGATAGAACAATTTCACATGACAAAAATGACGGCAGTTTGACAATGTGACTGACGCATAAAGTTGACGACTTAACAGCCCTTTTAAATATCGTTGCAATCCCTGAATATTTGTGCAGCGAAACCTTAATTTTTTGTTAATTTTTGCAGAGCTGGTTGTTATTCTACTAAACTCATGTTTGCGTTGTGATTTGTGAAATTAGGTACTGCTACTTTTTCCGGGGTTAGCTTTCTGCGTGAAATCTGAAATACGCACAAAATTTTACAAAAAAAAGCGAAAGTTAAAGTGTTTTTTAATGTCGCTTGTCATATTCGATTTGACAATCCTGGTTTTATTCTGTCATTATTATCGAATTACAGTTAATAAAAGAATATCCTTTGATGAATGTGATGAATATCCACGAGAATCTAATAGAAGCTTTGTTGGAACAACGGGCGTATGCCGATGCGCAGGCTGTCCTCGCCAAATATGATGGTAAGAACAGTCCGATGTGCCTAGATTATATAGTTTTCGAATTTGTAATCATTTTGTTTTTAGATATAGCCCTTCCAAAATCAGCAACAATATGTTTTAGCTCTGCCTTATTGAAAACACGGTTAATCGCGGATAAGTGAGTTATATTTTGGTTTTAAATTGACGTTTAGATTTGAAACGGATTCCTTGAGGCGTCGAGGATTCTCTTCGGCTGAAATGAGTGCCGTTGAAGCGATCCATAGGGCCGTCGAATTCAATCCTCATGTGCCTCTGTATCTCCTCGAAATGAAGCCTTTGATCCTACCTCCCGAACACATTTTGAAAAGGGGAGATTCTGAAGCCATAGCTTACGCCTTTTGGCATTTGCCCCATTGGAAACGGGTTGATGGAGCTCTTCAAGTCTTGCAATACACTTGGGAAGGAAGTAAGTGTGGCCAATGTAGTGTTAATATTGGTTTCTTTAGCGTTTCGGTTGATCCCTAATCCTACGGAAAAGGGGCATCTTTTCTATCCGTACCCTCCAACCACCGCCGCGTCCGAAAGAGAACTACTCCCTGGTAAGTTACGGTATTATTGCAGACCACTGTTTAGGTTGGCATGAGATGTCGATATACCCAAAACGCAGTTTTCCGTTTGGAACCATCTTAACGACTCTTCTGTGTATAGCTGTGGCCATCTCCGCGATCGTCCTTCATCATTTCCCCCAATCCCTCAATGAAGTCGTCGACAAATTTAGTGTTTATTTAATGGCCATATCAAGCTCCTTGGTTGAGTACATTTACAACTTTGTGCCCGAAAACATCCCCGCCTTAATTGCATCAAAGAGTCCGACACCGGCTGTCTCCAACCAGCCAGTACGGGCCTGATAATCAAACCGAGTCTACAGTTCTCTCAGTTTTCATTGATCTCTATGGTATTTGGAACGTGTGTGCTATGGTAGAAAACCGTTAAATTATATCTAGTCCAGTTTTTTAACATGATTACGCATTTCAATGCAACTCATAATATATTTGGTTCTTAATTATAATATATTTATGCTAACCATCCATTTTTGTTTGTGGAATGCGAGATTGTCTCAATACGAATAAAGTTGCAAAACTAGAGAACAAAACTGGAGAGTCTGAATGTTGTGACATTGTTATACCTGTTTATCGTTCTTCTTTCGCTTTTTATGGGAATTTAATGCTTTAGAAATGTCTGGGGATGGAGCACAGACAAGTGATTCGGCCAAACTAATCGAATACTTGCTTAGTGATCTCCGAAGTCTATCCACAGAAGCCAAGAAGAAGCACACTCATGTGAAAGATGCAGCGGAATCCTGTCTGGTCAAGGTCAGGAACATCTCCACCAACTCACAACCTCATTCCCTCCTCCAGAATATGAGATCTGGATGTAATGAAATCCTTCATCCAATGATTCTTGGATGTAGCACCAGAGTGCCCAAACTTGTCCAGATATCGCTTCAAGGGATTCAACATATGTTACAGTACAGAGTTGTCTCTCCGGTAAGGGTGGTATTATTTATTTGATCGTTTCTCTTTAGAATTCAGCTTCAACCATTGTAAACGAGCTATGGAATCTGGCAGAGAATGAATGCGAAGAGTTGAGAGTACTGCAGACGGTAACCTCATTTGTGAATTCTGAACTTTTGGTTACGGATGGTGCCTTGGCCAGATGTATTGTCCTCTCCATCAAGCTCAACTTTTCCAAAGATCCCTCAGTTATAAACGCGGCCAATGCTGCAGTCAGACAATTGTTTAGTTGTGTATTCGAAAGAGTGATCCAAGAAGATGGCATGAAAGGTGCCGAGATGACCATAGTCTCCGAGATCGTCCGGGAACATTCCAGCCAAGCCCCACCTACGCTTAGACCATGTGCTGCTGACGGATACATGTTACTTAGGGTGAGAATGAATGATTGTCGCTTATTTTTTCTAGGATTTATGTGCATTGGTCAAAAGGGAACAACCGGTATGGCTTGAAGGCGTTCAGAGGATCACTCTTACGCTATCATTGGAGCTTTTGGAGGCGATTCTAAAAAATTACCCTTCCATTTTCTTTAAACACGCAGAATATGCGGATCTCCTCAAGAATTCTATATGCCCCCAACTAGTCAAATTGTTCGCTCAAGACAAAGACGTCAAAGTAAGTGAGATTATGTGTGGATTTATGCCTTGTTTCGAAGAGATTGTGCATAAAAGTTTAGGTGGTTTCTCAGCTTTCTTCGCGTGATGCACAGTACGCGGCGGCCCAATTGAATCGACGGTCGGTATCGTCGCTTTCCTCAGCTTCCATTCAGTCAAATTCAAGTCAACGTCCTTATTTTTCGGTGATTATGAGAGCTCTGCGGATAACTTATATCCTCATCTCCTTTTATCACAAGGTTTTGGTAAGTTAAACATGCATTTGGTTGATAATATGTTGTAGGCTCTTCAATGTGAAATCCTAATTTCTTTCCTCCTGGAGCTTTTGTCTCAAGAGCATTCCGTTTGGCAATCCGCAGTTTCCCTAGAAGTTCTCCATCGATTAACAGTCCAGCCCGAACTCATGGGATGGCTCTGCGAAAATTTTGATATGAAATCAGATTCGACTCCATTGGTGGCTAATATCCTCGCAAAACTTAAAGGATTTATTCTAAAGACTTTGGAGGCAGCTTCCATCGATGAAACTCTCAAAGAAAAAGAGAATCAATCATTAAATACGTTTGGACAGACCGGATTCGTCTTCAATGGAGCTTTCATCCCACTTAATGAGAACTTGTCAGCAAAAAGATGGATGATGTAAATAATAAAAATTTTTGTTTTATATTTTTAGATTGGAATGGTTGGATAAACATGACCCGGCTAGTGTTCCTGAAGGCTACAACCTTTCCGTTGCCTACTTCAGTTTGGTCGATCTTACGCATAGTATCTACGCCGTTGTAGAAGAGGATAATTCACCCTCGTATTCACTTCAAAATAAGCCGACCGAATCACAAAGGAAGTCAGAAGTGGCTTCACAATTGTATCTATCATCATATAAGAAGTTGATCGAAGGATTAACCTTACTGTTGGAATGTAGTATCGATGATTCAATAACTGAAGCCGTTCTGAATTGCCTATCAACCATTATGGTAATGGGATGTAAAGTTGGGAACAGCGAGGCCAGAGATGCTACTGTAAGGGCTATCTGCAAAGCTTCATTACCTCATGGATACTTTGGAAACTATGTTGAACCATGCAGTCCAGCGAATATTGAAAAGCACCGGGAAGGAGAGAACAATAATATTAATCAACATGGAAAGAGTAAGAAGTTTGATTCAGTGTCATTGATTGTTTTAGATAAGAATTTAGAAGAATCAGCTGTTATTGGAGAGCCAAGTCAAGTGGTAGTAATGAGCACAGTATGCCCAGTTCCTTCACTGACGTCTGCCCAAGCCAATTTAAATGTAATGTTAACCGCGAAGAACCTTCAAGTAGGGAGATTGTTGATAAATGCGGTTCAAAGTTGTGGGGATCGGTTGTTGGACTCGTGGGAAGTTGTTCTGGCTACTCTGCAACACTTCTTCTGGATATTAGGGATCAAACCCACACCAAATGGAGCCTTCAAAGTCGATACATCGGCTGAAGGAATATCTGCCACAAATGGAGGCGCAATCGTTACAACGGCCGTGTCATCCGAATTACCGGAGCTAAACTCGTTGCTGAACAAATTGTTCGAGTCCACTTCGGGATACGACGAGACATCACTTCATTATGTTATTGCTGGCTTATCCAAGTTATCAAACGATTCAATGATTGTGGGGAGTCAGAATCCATCCAAAGAACCGTCTCTTTTTCCGCTGGCAAGGTTGCTTCAAACAGCCGAGAATAATCTGAAAAGGTTTACCATCTTCTGGCGGCCAATAACATCTCATCTTTTGGAGGTAAGAAATTTTAATTATAGTCAAACACGGAGTTTAGATTTGTGTCCATCCGAATGCGATCTTGAGAGACTGGGGATCCGTTTGTCTAACTTCGTTAATTAAGAATGCTCTGAATTCTTTGGGAGATGGAAAGGACGAGGAAGAACAGCATGTTGTGGTAAGCCTTTGAGTAAGATGTTGAATCCTTCATTTTTAGAAGCAAGAACAATTGATAATGAACCCTCTGGCCATGATGAGTGACTCAGAATACGTAGACGTCCGATCCAAGCAGCTGGACTGTCTACTTAATGTATTACAGTCAGACAGACATCATTTACATCCCCAATTATGGCCTACTGTTATCGAAATTGTGACTACGGTGGTAGATCAGAGAACGATTGCAAATGCCGAGCTGGTTGATCAGGGTTTTGGAATTGTGAAATTGATGATCAAGGAGTTTCTGAGTGGGTTGCCTCTCGAATGTGTGCAGTTGGTGGTGGAGACGGACTCCAAGTATGGGCATCAACAGCTCAACATGAATATATCATTGGCGGCTGTCGGATTGCTGGTAAGACGACTGTAATCATGTTATTTTTTGTTTAGTGGGATATCTCCGATTTTGTCAGCGGCATTGGGCACACTGAAGGCAGCGATAATGTGGAAAAAATGTGGCTGGTCATCTACAACTGTCTAAGTGAGCTGTGCGTGGATGCCAGACCTCCAGTCAGGAAGTCAGCTTGCGATACCCTCCTTCAAACAGTCGCTGCTCATGGCCACACTTTGAAGGCGAACACTTGGTCCCATATGGTGTGGAAGGTGAGAGGCGGTATAGTTGACGTTTATACATTTGTAGATTTTATTCCCGATGTTGGACAAGGTCCGTGTGGAGACAAAGAATGCATCCACTAAGAGATCGGACTCCTCAGCTCTTGGTGCACCCAATATGATCCTTCATCATTCCAGAGATACCGAATCCAAACAGTGGGCGGAGACTACAGTAAGAACCCTTGGTGGGGTTGTTAAAATATTCAACGCCCAGAGGAATACATTGCTTGAATTAGGTCTGTTTTAAAGTCTATTTCTATGTTACTTTAGATACATTCGAGAACTCCTGGAAGACTTTGTTGACGTTTATCGAATATGTGGCCGGGACGGATAACAGCGAGATGTCTCTGGCTGCTTTGAAGAATTTCCAAGAATTGCTATTTGGCCGGGCTCAAAGTGGCGCCAATCCTAAGAAAAAGAAGAATGGGTAAGATTGAGAAGGGGTTTTTATTGTTCTTTTAGATCTGTCGGCGAGGAACAAGCGTTGCCGTTACCCGAGAAGTTGTGGATGATCTCGTGGAGGGCCTTCACCAATATTTCCAAAGCAATTACATCTCCGACCATCCCCGAGGCGTCCCTTTCGACGGTTGATGTGATGACATCTGCTTCGGAATATCCAAAGCATTTCATTCCGGGAACGTTCCACTTTACCACCTTGTTATCTGCATTCCAGCCGTTGTTCTATCGAGTTTGCAAAAGATTAGAGCCGAATGATGTTGGCAAAGATGGAATTTTGGCCATTTTCAAGGTTTGTGGAACAGTGTTTTGATAAATTTTTCGGTTTTTTTTGTGGATAAAGATGTGAGTCGTATGAGTTTATTCGAAAGCTTTCTTTGGTTTTATGAACTTTAATGTGTCCGTTCTTATCAAGCCCTGGCCAAGTCGGAGGAGCCATTTATCGGCGGAAACATTTATCGGCTTTTTGATGGCATGAACTTCAAAAAAGACGGCAAATTTCTCCGCCAAACGTTGTAATTTCCAGGAGAAGTCAAGAACAGTTTTCGTCTGAATTTTAAAAAGAAATATCAATTCATAAAGCAAAAGAATTTTTCGAGTGACTTGACAGATCTGACAGATATCCGAAAGAATTTTTTGGTATATTTCTGAACATCGTTTCGTTGAGATATAACTTTTCATTCGTTTAGCGAATAGTGAGCACCCCAATGTCCCCAGACCAAGGCCCTTTTATGATGACCACGCAGAACTCTGAAATCAACCCATCGCAAGAATGTATTTTGGATTGTGTCTATGTCATTTTTCAGGTAAATTATTATTATTTTGGTGCACCATCAGCTGATGTGTAGCATTTTTTTTTGCTTTGTAGGAGCAAACTGAACCCAACTCGAAACTGCGCCCCGCCATTCCTGATCTTCTAAAGATGCTACTCGAATTTGTTGGATTCTCAATTCGGCCACCAGTTTCTGGGTTTGTTCAAAAGGATAAGCAAGTCAATTGGGCCCAACAAAACTTGATTTCCTTCGCTGAGTTGTCCCTGAGAACTTCCGTCGCCTACTTCTCTAAAGTTTACAACTTCCCTGAGGTACTGCAACAGCTGGTGTTTGTGGACTTTATTCATGTAAGTTTGGGTGAAAACCTATTATAGATATTTTTTGTGTCTTTATCTGAGGACTTTTGTTATAGGCCATCCGAGAACCCTTATCCCAAAAATATCAGTGCCCCAGCCAGACGACCTGGAAGATCGCGGCCAATTTCTTAATCCAAGTCTGCGGAATTGGTCTTCCTATGGCTCGAGATAATGGTAGGGTTCTTTTGTCTTACTGTTATATAACCACTTTTTTAGCTCTTAAATTCTCTACGCTTTGGCCTGTTTTGGCTGATACCATCGAAGGTTTTCTCTTTACAAAAACAAAATCAGAGACCCCGTTGAGTGCTGATGAGAGAAAACGTCACGAATACATTGATTGTCAAGTCATTGAACTGATTCGAGTAGAAATCTTACCGTATGCCTCTCAATTGCCCCGCGAGTTTATGCAACGAGTCATCGAAATCTTGAATCGGGGCTCGATTAACACGATGGATCCCAATGACGTTTTGGGTAAGTCTGAGCGTGTGCATTCACCCCTTCGTTGAGGACATACTGCTTGAATATTAGGTAGCACCAGGCTTTACTAATTCGTCCCCTTCGCTTTAGCATTTTAGTGTGACATACTTTCGGTTCAGGGATAATATTTCCGAGACTATGATTTAGCTTCAGACTCCTTCCAACAACGAGCAGATCTCTCCCGCGTTTGTTTCGACGCCTTGTTATCGATGAGTAAAGGCGGTGAGGATGAAAATGGGAAGAAAAACTCGGTTCTGAACTCGCTGGGGTCGGCCGCAATCTCATCGTTGCTAAATCGATGTAAACAAGTAAGTCTGGATGTAACAGATTGATAAATGTTTAATTTTAGTGGTCTTAAAATTTTGTTTTAGGTCCTAAACAACTATGCTCGTGATGAACAAGGTGCGGGCCATTTCCGTCTTCCCCAGGAGAGAATATTCGAAATGATTTCTGTTCTGAGAGCTATCTCGACTCTGATCGATGGCCTCACCAAACATCCCGAGGCGGTGCATTCCTCCCTATATCAACACCTTGTCAGTCTTCATCCCAATCTTGTGCAACTGATCCCCTCTTGTCGTAGCGATCAACAGATCGAACTGGCCTTAATGACCGCCCTCAACTCGTATCAGACCCTCCTTCTTATCAATATCCACAACAGAAACCTGTAACTCGGTGTTCGACCTTTCATATCGGTTCCCCTTGGCTGTACATTACTACTTTCACTTCCTTCCCCGTAATACCCGGACATAAAGTTTGTAGAATTTTTTCGCCGACGTCGCGCGTGAAATTTGGGGTCGCTTCGTTAAGAAGTGCATGTTGCTGGGGTAAAAAACAGAAGTCGCAGCTACGACCGCGAAAAACCAGAGAAATGGAATAAAAAATTCTACAGACTTTGTGCCTCGGGTAATTAATGTGCCTATCCTCGAGTCTGTTTACATGAGGTGCTTAACTCGCGGACTCAATCCATTCAAGAAGTCTAATTTTTATCGGATGTTATTTATTCCTTATATTGTATGTATTTAATTTATTTAGCCGAACGAAGTAAATGGTGATATAAAAATCTGTTAAATGGGCCGTTTCCGTCCACAATGTGGTGCCATTATGGGCACGAAGATTCTTTAAATTCTTGTGTTACGAGAAAAATCAACACATGCGATAACCGAGGATTTTAGAAAAAATTGAAAAAAATACTTTTTAAAAATACTACTTTTAAAAAAATTAAAAATCACGTAAAATACATTTATTTTATTTTTTAAATTTGACAGACCCTGTGGGCCTAGACCACATATCAATGAAGTCCTGAGAGCTTTTGTTCGTGCTTTGCAGGCGCAGCTGAGATATTCAACAATCTTTACGGCCGAGAGAGTATGCGAATGCCGGCCATGTTTCATAAAAATCTGAGCGTCGCACTTTTGAAAAATTTACGATTTAAAACTACTGCTTAAGAGAAACAAGTAAGGATCTAAAATAAATAGAATTCATTTTCGAAACCAGGATGTTCAATTTGTAAGGCACATAGGAAGCGCCCAACTCGCGCTTTGCAGAAACAACCGAGATTTGTAGGTCGAACCTTGAAAAAAATGTGACACTTTTTTCAATTTTTGGCATGAAAAATTTTGCACCTATTTCTACTGTAGAGTGTTTCTGCAAAACATAAATTTTTTCTATGCGAAACTGACAAATTTGTCGCCAGAAATATGGTTTTCTCTCTGATCGCTCTCCGCGTTTTGCACACTCTCTAGGCCCAGCACATCGTTGAATATGCGCGAGCAAATTTCAGGAATTAATATAAATTACACCCAACGTACGTGCAAAATTTAAAGAATATCCGGGTGTCGCACTTGGGGCGCTTTCCTTGTTAGCACACCAAATTTTATACATGAAACTTTGGCTTGTTTTCACGCTGCTCAAATTCGAATCAAACAGATGAAGTTATTACCAAGACATTCCTTTCCTACAAAAATTTTCGAATGCCTTGTACAGTCACTGTAACTTTTCCAAACTTCTTTTGGTAAGAATTACTTAGAGCACAGTAGGCACCAAAATTTTAAATTCTGGTTTGACTTTTACAACGTCGAAATTCACGTCGACACCATAGTGCGCCTTGCCCGAGTCGTACATGTTTTTAAACAAAAAATGCCCAAGTTGGTCCTCTAATCCGTCCATTTTAATTATAACAAGGGCTTTGGATATGAGTAATCCCATTTCTTCCATTTGGGAGTTGAACGTAAAATATTTTATGTCTTCAGGTCATCGGTTTTTAAACGATTGAGATGCAGTTACCCCATTACAATTACCTTTTCATTGCTTTTTCAGTTTTAGGTCTTCATGGCCAAGGGACCAAGGGATAATGATTTGGGGATTAAGGCACAGGGGAAGAAGTCCCGACTCCAAAACAAGTCCCCTCCGGTTCCCAAAATCGTTGTCGCTTCACACGTGGCTCCGGATTCTCGAGGTCCATCCGTCATGGAGAATGTGAGGTAAGTGTCCCCACCCTCCTTATCTTACCTTTTATCGCTTTCAGAAACCAAATCCTAGGCAGAATCCCAATGTTCTGCTTGTCTTTCATCAAGATAACATTCATTTCATTTGATATGTCCAACTTCAGTTACTACATTTCCAGTAATTTTGATGGTCCATTACTGGTCATTGCCGATTGTTTATTCAACTTTGGACTTCTTGTTGGAGCGATTACTGTTTGGGTTTTGTCAGATAGGTAGGGGCGTCGTCAGAATTAAAGGAACATTAAACCCTACAGATTTCCCCTCTGGGCATCACTATTTTTTCTATCATTAATAAAAGTCGGACTCCATTTTGTGATGACGATAACTCTCCCAATCCCCTGTGTTCTTACAATTCTGGCGGCTGAAGGTTTACTTCTTGGATGGACTCAGAGTATTCTTTTCTTAAATTCTTTTTCCAAAATCCCAAATCCAGCTAAACGACTTCTAATTGCTGTAAGTGTGATTTTTTTTGTTACTATACTCCAATTACTCGCTTTGATTTCTCCGATTTCAGCTTACATTTCAAGGACTGGCGGTTGGCCAATTTTTGTCGGCCATATTGATTCAAGAAGAAGAAAAACAAATATCTAGTGTGGAGTTACGCAACGAAACGATGATGTCTAACTTCAGATCAGTATACAATTCGTATGTTTCTCCGAAAATAATATAATACGATTTATTGTTTAGTGGAGGTGCTTTGGAACCGATGGCATTGAAGTTTCGGATTCCATTTCCAAGTATTTTATTCGGCAGTGGAATTTTGCAGGTAGTTCGTATTCAAATCGAGTTATAACGTTAAATGTTTAAGGGATTCCTGGGTTATCTAATATACGATGTCTGGAAGACCCCCGAGGGTACGCCCAATGCCGCAGTAACCCGTTTGCAACATGATTTCCTGGTCGAACAGGCCTCAAATGACGCTGCCGACATGCTGCCTAAGCTTACAACTTTAGGCTGTTTGTTTGGATTCTTCAGCACATCTCTGATTACCATCGTCCCTCACTATTTATTTTGCTTCTCTACATCTGAAAATCGTTCCTTTTTACTATATTTTAGCATGGTGAGCTCATAACGTCCCCGGTTCCATTTACTGGCCCAAAGGTTATACTTTATAACAGTTTTTTTCAGCTAGGCTATGTATTCGGACGTCTTTTGTTCCTTGTTTATGCCGTCAAATTTCCTCCGACTTTCTGGCTTATCATCGGAATGGTTTGTCCTTCCTTTGTCGCATAATATCTCTGCTTTCAGGTAATCACAGGGGCTTCCATATGTACATTCACATTCGAGGCATTTCGAATGGCTTCTGCTTTATTCCATGGATTAGGGGTCTCCCTAATCTCACCCGCGTACGCCTTTTTCTTGCTGCGAATACACGGTAGGTAAAAACGAAGGATCTTTGACCCAACAGCAAAAAGCGGAGTGGTCACTTAATTAATAATTAGAATATAACTTCTGAATTGTGTTAATCCTTCCTAGGTGGTCCAAAAAATATCTGAATTCTTTACAGGAACATCCGTCCACTCTCTGATTGCTGGTTCTATTGTTGCCCAACTACTGTACCCGCTTTTTGCAACTCAAATTTTTTCGAATTATGGCCCAGAACTTTACAGTGCATCCAATTTTGTGATCCTCTTGGGATTGGCGATTGCGTTTGTAGCTCTCCTGAATTTAATGTCAAGCTTGGCCAGTCCAGCTGATCCGGTCCAGCAGAGAGTTTGGCGATTCTTCAGAGGAGAAGGGCTGAAGAGGACCACCTCCATACGGAAGTTTATTTCCAGCGTCAGAGGATCCATTCGTCGTTCCAGATATGGTAAACTTCGGAGAGCCAAAAGTCCTCAAGCCGTAGAGGCAACAACGCCGTTAAGGCCTAATCCCATAGCGATGAACAGCTACCGGTCGACTCAGTGTGCAGTGAAAGAGAGCAGAGGAAAGTATGGGAAGCGGTTGAATACGTCGATAGAAGATGAAAGCAGTAGTGTTTGTGGGACTCCGAATACACTCAGCCAGGCTATTACACCCGAACCAACCTCGGAGATACATCAGGAATCATTAGAAGATCTTGAATAATATATATTCCGCGGTATTTGTTACACCAATCGTTACCAGTTGATCTTTATGACTCCCCCCGAAGAGTCCTCCACAAAAAGGCGAAGAGTCCTGCTTTTCCAAAAAACATTAAAATTTTCAAAATCACAGCTCATACAATTAAAAAAAATTTTTGGGTGTGACATGTTTGTTGTAAATATTATATATACCATGAAAAGTTTGATTGTAATGTGTAAAAATGTAAGCGTGAGTGTAAATTACAAAAAACGTAAATTCTACTGTATCATGATACCGGAAAATTTCGCATGCCGACATTTCGGGTCAGGGACAACTCGGGTCGCGACAACTCGGGTCAACGACACTTCGGGTCAACGATACCGTTTAATTTTTCGCTTCGGGACTGCGAAAAAAGAATTTTTGGTGAATTTAAACAAATTTATGAAATGTTTTCGCTTCGGGACTTGGAAAAATGAATTTTTTGGAGAATTTGAGCAAAATTTTGAAATGTTTTCGCCTTGGGACTTAGGAAAAAGAGTTTTTTGGAGAGTTTGAACAAATTTTTGAAATGTTTTCGCTTTGGGTCTGGGGAAAAGAATTTTTTTGCGAATTGAGCTTTATTTTTTAAGTTTTTTAGGAAAATAGTGTTTATAAGCGACGAGCAAATAAGAAAATCGTATCCATTGCTTATGTTTTTAACTCGGGATTTAAACAGAGAGTGCCAGAGAATGGAGTAAGAAGATATTCGTAATTATTTTATGCAAATAACGATTTTTCTCGTCGCTTATAAACATTATTTCAAAAAAATTTTAAAATAAAGCTCAATCACCCCTAAAATAACTATTTATCTAAAAAATTCCAGAAATAACATTCGTACCTTATGTAAAATAAAATTGTAACGTTCAGAAACGACTCTCCAAAAAATTCTTTTTCGCAATTCCCGAAGCGAAAATATTGAACGGTATCGTTGACCCGAAATGTCGTTGACCCGAGTTGTCGACCCTGACCCGAAATGTCGTAGCGCCGAAAATTTTTAAATGTAAAATGTAAATTTGATACGAGAATGCTATGAGAATCCACTGATAAATCTGACAAATCACTTACACCTACAAACTGCATGCTTACCCTTACTGCAGATTTGCCGATATTAGAGTACTTGCAACATTTCCATGCCAGAATTTGCGCTTAAATTTTCTTTTAGGATATTGCTTACACTTATAATTTTTGGTGTGCTTCTTATAGACGGACAACGATTTAATGAGTTTTTCTAATATGAATTTGAAAAAAATTAAAATTTTTGATTGAAAAATTTGGGGGGTCAAACAGACATTTCTTCCTTGCATTATACTCGTTTCGAAGTTTGACCAAACTTTTTACAAACTTGTTTTCCCGCGCTGTTTCCCTTTGATCTCGACTCTTTCCTCTTCACCCAGTCAGTCCCTTTTTATTTGCCTGCGGCTCTATGAATTATTGTAGTCTGAAGTGTCTCAAAATAGTTCTCGCTCATTTATGGCCTTCCAATTTAATTTATGTTTAGAGTTTTGTTCTCTCTCTTATTTTGCAGTAAACTTTTCGCCCAACCTCTGTTCAGGTAATTCTAAGCTTATAAATGTTATAGAACTTAATTATAGAATAACTGAGGGGACAGCCCAGGTATTTGAAGATCGTCTCTCTCAGTATCTTCCAATTTGTGCAGATCGAATAGATTCCAATGTAATTTCAAATATCTGTGCCCAACAAGGAGGATTACTGTAAGATCCACTAAATAAAACAAGTCTTTCAGAGTTAAATCCTATAACAAGACATCCCATATTAATATTCTGTCTGCGAGTGTCAGATGCAATGGAAATGAATGTTTTTCTTCACGGCGGTTATTTTGTAATCAGGGTCTTAACATAGAATGTGGGGAGTCTATGGCTGATTCTGGATGTCCCAAGGAGTTTGTGAAACTTGGCAAATCGAAATGTCTTGGGATAATAAGCGATGAGAATCACGACTACGAGGAGGCTGTCGGAAGATGCCGAAGTTTTCATAACAGCTCTCTCGCTTCCCTAGGGTTTATTGATACCAAAAAATTATATTTGGCATTAAAGGAGTTAAACAAGTCCAGGAATGGTAATGATTCTTACTCGGAAGCATAGTCAATTTACAGATGTGCATCTATTTCTCACATCAGCTGTCCGAATGCGAAGGGATTGGAGGTGGAGTGATGGAATTATGTTGGACAAAGCCCCGGAAGGCGAGGGAAGATGCATGGCTCTACAATTAGGCGATGACATCGTTGCTTTCAAGGCCATGGAATGCTCATTGTCTCAGTTTGTCCCTCTATGCGAGATTAATCTGGCTCAGAATTGTGCTTTGCCTGGGGAATATCAAGGAGATGTTAGTCATTCAATATCAGGTTTGGCTAAACTAATTGTTAATTTTGGGACCCGCTTTTAGGAACCGAATGTCTCAAATGGAACGACCCCCGGATTACTCAGCATGGATATTTCTCGACGGGACAAAGGTTCTGGGATCATAATTCCTGTAGAATTGTTAACGGGAATGGATTAAGACCATGGTGTATGATATCGGATCAGTTGTTTGAAGAATGCCAGGTACCCAAGTGTAATGTAAATGAGCTCAGTGAACATTTTACTCACAACGGTAAGACTTAAGACTTGTGCTTTTGTTATTCGTATCTTGAAAATATCATACTGCAAGTTGGGTAACTGAATATTTGGGTGACGCACTCGGGTGGTTTCCGGAAAGATAAGCCTTAGCAGTACTATCTGAAGGAATTTACCGAAGATCATGTTCATTTTTTTCTGAGCTGTACTTTTTGAATGTTAGGTGGCCTTTTACCAGGGTATTTATGGAATATTTTACCATAATGAGTGAGTTGCGTTAGAAAAGTCGTATTTCCGAATTTTTTGGTATAAAATATGCAGCATTTCTTTATTAGTAAGAATGTGTTTGATCTATGAAGCATACTGAGTGTGACATCGAGTTTTGACGGTTTTTTCATTTTTTCCTGTATCGTCCAAAATGTTTTGCTACTCAACAGTACTACTAAAAAAAGTAGAGACCAGAAAAAATTAACATGACTTTCGCGATCAGCACTATCGAAGACCCTCTAAATCCAGTGATTTTAAGAAATTTTTTTTGAAAATACTACATAACAATACTATACTATTCACTTAAAAAGAAAGTAGTAAATTGCAGTAGCGTCACAGATCCCGATGGTATGTAAAGAAGGAGAAGTCAAATGTGGCCAGTCGGACGAATGCGTGGACGCGGAATTTATTTGTGATTACGAGATGGACTGCTCCAACGGATTTGATGAGAGTAATTGTCGTATGTTAAAAGCTGTGGTGTCCAATGTAATCTATTTAGCCGACTTCCTTGAGAATTTCGATTTAAAAGGCGAATTTAAATTGGTGGATGAAGTCTCTGAAGTCTGGACCAACATCAGGCGTGCTCAAGGTGTAAGAAACTCCAAATAATGGTATTTATTTGCTTCAGTGTGCTCAGAGATGTATTCAGAATCCTGAGTTTACTTGTGAATCTTTTTCGTTCGATCCGGACAAAGAAATCTGCTTACTCAGCCGGATTTCCAATAATCCAGCAGTATTATTTGAAAGACCAGATTCATTTTATTATCAGAAGAAATTTAGTAAAGGTAAGGACACGTGAAGCATCCTTGGAGATTGGGATAACCGAGTATGTACAGGGTGGGCCACTCGAAACTCCCAAGCTCTTTTCAGGTATTTCTCCGCCAATAATGCGCCAATTTCTATAAAATTTATATAAAAAATTTTTTTTTCTGGGGTATCTTTAAAAATGTGAACCAATGTCCACAGTTGATACGGTAACTGGAAATCGTGTTTTAATTTTTTATTATAAAGTTTTTCCGCGAATTTGGCGATTTTTCTCTAACCGAAAATCCAAGTTTCACTGATTTCGGGCTCCAAAATTTGGAATGAAAATGTCAAAGGTCAGCACGAGTGCCTCCGTGATCTTAGACGGGCCATATTTGGTGGAAGATAAATGGGATGTCTTTGACATAAATTTTATAGAAATTGGTGCATTATTGGCGGAGAGATACCTGAAAAGAGGTTGGGAGTTTCGAGTGGCCCACCCTGTATTTTTCTAGATCTCCTAACTTTTACACAGAATTCGACCAGTCTTATAATCGAAGCGTCAAAGAATGGGCAAAAAGGTCCCATTTGTATGGATAATGTAACCCAAACCGATCAACTATGCAAAGAGTTTGGATTCGGGTAAGTGTGGCATAATAATTACAGTACTCCCTTAGCCCGGCCTTAAACTATCCAGTACTTTTCACTTCCCGAACCGCACATATCTGGTCGATTGAGAGCCTCCGCAATGATGTCCCTGATGCTCTCCTTCCTCTCCCAAGTCCTTCCGATTGTCGTCGTTTCCTGAGATGTTCCAATTGTCTTCCTTCTCAATTTTCTTGTCAACTGGAACCAGCGTGCATAGACCAAAACAAAGTTTGTGATGGCCGAGTTGACTGTAATGATGCCAGTGATGAGATTGGATGTCGTAACATTGCTTGGAGACTAATTGGGGAAGTTGAGGACGTGATCCCTGAAGGCCGGGTTCAGTTATCGTTCCAAAATAAATGGACAGATGTGTGTTCGGATGGGCTGAATGAGGGTGATGTCAGCCGTTTATGCAGCAAGTTAGGGAAGGGGTAAGTAGGTTTGAATAGCGTTATTCTCTCAGGAAATATGGCAGGATATTGCCCATTTACGGGCAGAAGTCGACTTCTACAACTTGGTTGATAAGATGTGACAACGAAGATTGTGGGCCCCTGAGGATGCATCAATGCCTAAATGGGATCCTTAATCTCCGGTGTGACAGTGATGAGCATTGTAAGTATTGGAATACAACCGTTTATTGTTACAGTGTACTGTGGGCATCGCTTTTCCAAAGCCCGAATAAAACGTGTGGTTGGTGGCTTTGATTCGGCGATGGGAGCCTTCCCTTGGACAGCTGCCCTCAGATTCAATTACGGGGATGTACATCATTGTGGTGCTGTCATCATAGCGGAAAGATATCTTCTCAGCGCTGCTCATTGTTTCGAGGCCAACAGAGAACCCAAAGATTTTACAGTAATCACTGGAGATTGGAATAACCGAGTTAGGGAAGGGACTGAACAAAAGTTTAATATTTCTAAAATTCATTTCTTTCCCAATTATGAAGGTAAGGGAAGATTGCCGCAACCTTTAGTCAACCTAGATCTCTTTCAACATGATATTGTGCTCTTGGAGATCTCCAATAAGATCAGGTTTGATCAATATTCCCAGCCAATCTGCCTGCCTCCTCGAGGATACAGATATAACAAGGGGCAAGTGTGCATTGTCAGTGGTTGGGGAAGTAATGGCACAGGTATCTATAGTAATTTAATCGTGTTGAACTTAGACTAGAGTATTCCGAAAAGATGAGAGCAGCCGCCATGCCGATCCTGGATCGGGATGAGTGCAGGAATGTCTCCAAGATATACTCCTCAGTCAGCAAAACATCCTTCTGTGCAGGTTATCTGAATGGAGGGATTGATTCTTGTCAAGGGGACTCTGGAGGACCCTTTGCTTGTGAACATAATGGCATCTTCTATTTGGGAGGAATCATCAGCTGGGGAGAGGGATGTGCTCAGAAAAAACATCCGGGAATCTACACCATGATCACTCCATATCTGTCTTGGATTGAGAATATTACAACGATCTCATTTTAATCTATTTATAATAAAAATGTATATAACCAGTGTTTGGGTCATCTAGATTGAAACGATCTTTATGGATTTCGTTGGTGGTTGACAACTCAGTTGATTCATTATGTTTCTTTGAACCTTTTTAGCAGTCGAAATGTAATGAAGAATCCTCCTGTTTTCCTGAAAAATATGTAATTACACAATGTTAATACAGGGTGTTGATTTGTCGCAGCAAAATGGCTCGTTGCAGTCGCGCACCAAATTTTCAGCTGTCGCAAAGCTGGAAATTGCCCAAAGCTATGATGGGCAATTTCAAGGATCCCCATTATTTTCCCGACAGACTGTGAAATGAAAGCTTCCCTTGGTCCCCCAAACCCCTGCTTAATTTTTTGATTTACGTTGGCTGCTATTCCAAAAGTTTGACAGCCATCCCAACCGTCTAGCCACTTTCGAAGTTCTAGCCATTCCAACACCTTGTCTAGGCAATCCAACTTTTTGGCTACCAAACCCTTTCCACTAGAAATTTGTGAAATTTGGCTTATTCCAACATATCGGCTAACTAGTCAGGCAACTTTACAATCAACGTTCGATCCCCCTCAAATAAAGGGTGGCCAAAATTGAGCACTTACTTCTTCGAGAGAGCGAGCGTATAGAATCAGGTTGCGAGTCAGGATGGCATTATCGGTGACTTTTTGCCTCAGGCATTGCTTGTCGTACCGTTCCTAAACAAAGTACTGTTTGAAACCTCTCTTAAAACAAGTTTAATCTGCTTCTATACCACTTACCTTACTGAGTTGTTGCTGAAATAGCACTCGATCTTGTTCACGGGCTCTTCTCTCTTCTTCCAGATGCTTTTCTAATAGCCAAGAGCTGTGATTGACCTTCTTATACATCGAAGAAGACTTCGAAGATCTCTCTTCTGTCAACCTTGTAAACATTGTAGTATTGGAAGTATAAGAACCTTCTTGTTTCGAAGATTGCGGACAAATACATTGAAACCACTTCATCTTAAAATTGCCGAGGATGAAAATGAATAGATGAATTGTGTTGGGAATATAATGTAAAGGGCTCCACCTCCGTTTGTGGACTCATAACATTCCTCCGGTAATCGGCAACCCAATTTGGCTTTGTAAAAACACTGGGTGATAGCTTATTTTGGCGGCATTGCCTTGATAATGTTCCTGAGGACAAGGTCAGATGTTGCGCCATAGAAGTGTTGGCTTTGATTCTTTCGGTTACGTAACCAAACTTTTACCGGCTTCGGTAGTTTTTTTAATGCGTTATAATTTGTCTGTTTTCCCTTTGTTTCTCAACATCAACCCTTAAAATCCATCTTCTTTAAGATTTGAATGGATTTTGCTGTATAAAGAGACATGGAAATTTTTGCACAACAACGTGTCGCTTTCACAGCGATGTCTTAGCGAAAGTTATTGCTTGCCGCTACGTATAATCGTAGGTTTACGCTTATACGTAGCGGTTTAATCGGCGTCCCGCCACGAAAAACGAACGGAATGCCAAAGTACGGTAAGGAGTCTGAAACAACGGAGAAAATATTTTTGATAGGAAATATTTATGAAAATGAAAATTTTAGCGGTTTCGTAGATTTTTAGGCGTGCAAGAAAGAATTTGTCGTGTTTATGATATTTAGGACAGTTAAAATTTTATATTTGGTAATTTTCAGGGTCCACACTTCTTTGTACCTTCGGCAAAATGGTTCATATGAACGTCTTGGCCGATGCTTTGAAGTGCATCAACAATGCTGAAAAGCGGGCTAAACGTCAAGTAATCATCAGACCTGCCTCCAAAGTCATTGTCCGTTTCTTGACCGTCATGATGAGACATGGCAAGTATTTTTTCTTTTTTTGGATTTTCTTTTAGGGGGTATTTGGTTCATGCTTGGGATTAACGTCGTAAACGTATTGTCTACGTGTAGGGATAGGCTGGCGGCTTTTTATGCTAGAGTTAGATTTGATATATAATTAGTTCTGAGCGTCTGAGTTATCACTGATTTTTTTGGGAGTCCATTAAGAAAAAATTTGAATATTTACCAAAGGCCTACGTAGTTCTTGCAGTTACTTTTGCTTGTTTGAATAAGAACTCGCTCGGATCCGTTTAATTCCAGATAGAAAACGAAATGCAGTTTTTATCCACCTTCATGCCTGTTTTGCAACGTTTCTTTTTCAGGATACATCGGTGAATTCGAAGTCGTCGATGACCACCGTGCCGGCAAGATCGTTGTCAACCTTACAGGTAGAATCAACAAGTGCAGTGTTATCTCCCCTCGCTTCGACATCAACATCCGAGACTTGGAGAAATATTGTACTTCTTTGTTGCCATCCCGTCAGTTCGGATACATCGTCCTTACCACTTCGGGAGGAATTATGGATCACGAGGAAGCACGCCGAAAACATCTCGGTGGCAAAATTCTGGGATTCTTCTTCTAATTTTTGATTTCTCCGTTGTTTCTTTGTTATTAAAGTGTTTTGAGAAAGGTTTCGACATTTTCTTTTTCTGTCATCTCCAAGGTGATCTAGGATGGTGCCAGATTCTGCAAGTAGGAAAGGAAGTCGTGTGGCAGTTGTTTATCCTGAAGTCATGTGGGAAGGTGGATTTATCACGTTTGTTACTGTCTTGCTGGCCATGCAGGTGTGCGTATCAGGAATAATAACGTCGCATGTTTAGGCGTTATGTGCAGTAGTTTCTCTTTCGAGTACCGCATACCTAATAAAACATTACAACACTGGAGATTACAATGCTTCGACTGGAGCTATTAGATGGGCTGAATACTTTATTCCATTATCGGCTGTTTGGTATACAGCAATGGCTTCGGTCTGGATTGTATCAATTGGTTTGTCCGCGTCCATTATTTGTTTCCGTACAAGGCTCTCAATTGTGCCAAACATCGTGGTTCTGACCCTTGGAATGATTTTGAACATGTTAGTCATTGGTAAGACGGATTTAAGGCTGAGATATTAGTAGGAGTTTCGCTTGGATATATTCTGGACATGGGTGAGAATATTAGAACCAACTCAAAAGGAAAGATCACCATCATTTACAACACCGGTTTATTGGTTATTGTTTTGGCAGTGATGGTAATAAGTGCGATTTCTCTTTGCTTTGTCAAACCAGACCCGCCAGTTGTCAAACAAAGGATTCAGGTAAATAGAAATCAACATCAGCCAAACTTCAGGTCATGGATATAATCCCAGAAGCGCCCGAAGTCCCAATACAAGTTGAGAAACCCCCAGATATCGGACCAGAAGAACGAAGTCAACAGTTAAATCGTTTTTATGAGAGCGAGATAATCAACAATGTATAGATGAGGTCAACAATAAATACTCATTCAAAGTCATTTCGCAGGGATTAGCCTAATCATCTTCATTGAAGGCCTCGTAAGTTTTAATTACATTCTCAATGTTTGTGATCTCGTAAATTTTCTAAAATAAATCAACCGTTTTAAGCTAATGAAATATTTTTTAAAAAGAGAATAAAAAATACTCACAGAAAGTTTAGAAAAATCGTTGAATCTCCTAAGTTGGTCAATAATAGATGCAAAATTCTTCGAGGTCATAAACTGTTTGACTTGTTCTCCTATTTCCCGGTTGTTGTTTATCAAAACTCCAAGCAAAAGGGCCACATACGAAGCGACGAAACTATCATTCATATGGCATTCGGCCATCTCCATCACAGTAGCGTATGCATTAGCCATCTCTTCCTTGTCAACTCCTTTCGTAGCTCGATTAATTCGGTGTAATATCTCCTCTGGACTTAGATCTTCCTCTTCATCTCTCTCCTCGACCTCTACGTCTTCTTCCTCCCCTGAATTTTCAAACGGTATTTCCTCCATAAACTTCTCATTCAATTTTTCATCATATTCACTGGCCTTTGCTTCATGTTCATTGTAAACTTCTGCCAGAGCTTTCATAACCGAAATTTGTTTCTCATAAACCTTTACTCTCATGTTCATCAATTTTTTTTTGTTTCGTGAGCTTGGTTCAGCCAGAACAATGAGGATACATGCTAACTAAAAAACCAACAAATTTCAAATAAATACAAAAACAACTTACAAGAGTTCTTATATCATGGAACTTCTCACTGTCAAATTTGGATATGACATCACATAAAATAATAACAGTATTCTGCATAAAAAGACCAATGCCGCCTAATCTCTCGATGCAAATAGCTAAAAGAAACATTAAACAAGAGTATTTCATTTACCGTTCTTGATACAAGCGTTTAAAGTGGACCTCATAGCAAGAAGGAAAGTCTGGATAACTCTTTCCCGGATGTCATCACGATCAATTACAATTACAAAGAAGTCGACAAATCGCTCAATGGCATAAAAAAATTGCCCATTTTTAATGCCCGTAATTGTTGTTTGGACTTCTCTGTTCATAAACAACTAAAACAATTAAAATTAAAAATGGAAAGCCCACCAATTCATGGATTCTGAACAAATGTTCTAATTGACTAAAATGATAAAACAGTTCATTTGCCGGGCCATCTTTCATGGATATAAGAGTGTTGATCACAGAATGAACTAAATTTTAAAATTCATAACCAACTACTAGATATTCACCTTTCTCAACCAAAAATGGGAATGCTCCACCAGCCCTAAGCCCATCATGTACTTGGTTGTTCCTGGCCCCATTTCTACACGCCAAATAATCCAGAGTAACAATAGCCACATTCTCGCTGTTCATCGTACTCTCTTCAAAATCACAAGTCGATTTTCTTTTGATTTTGCTCCTCCACGATTCAATGATGGCCCATGCTCTCTTTTTGCATTCATCGTTCTCATTTATGTTTCCCCGTTTAATCAAGTCGACCAAGATTGACATTACAAACTTATTCTTGGGAAAATCGTTGCGATCTCGCGACATGATATAAAACATCACGGCTCCGAGTAAAACAATCTCCTGAAACAAGCCACATACACTTTTTAAACATAGATTCGAAAAAATTGTAGTAAACGTACTGGACTGTCCTTATTGTCCTTCATAACAGCAACAATTCGATCAAAAGCAAGCACATGAGTCCGCAGATAGTTCCTGAATCGGTAACTAACACATCGAGTTACCAATCCATTGAAACTGAGCTCCTTCAATCGAAGCTCCACTTTTCTCCTCTCCAAAGTCTCCATAAAATAATTGAAATCATCCTGTTCCTGTTGATCTGAAGGAGCTCTTTCTCTGACTGGTCTCTTGCCATTACCCAAAGAAGCGGATGTGCTTCCTGTTCGAATTCTAGCCGGTAATGTAGGAACCTTAAATTCTCCATCTCCCGCACCGCTTGATCCAACTCCTAAGGGTCCGGACAGTCGACCAACAGCTTCCTGAGTTCTGTCAGTTCTTGGACGAGACTTGTAACTGATGTTACTCCCGGTTTCAGACTTTTGAACACCATACTCTTGATCAGCAACGCCTCGATCACCCCATTTGTGAGAGTAACTGCTTCCTGACTTTGTAATGATCACTTGGCTTTGATTTCGTTTAACTAAACAATGAGTAAATAATAAACTCGACTTACAACTCCGCAGGGAAGGTACTTCCTCTTTCTTAACTTTTTTGGCATGGCTGCTAAAGTCGTATTCATCTACTTTATTTATGCTAGTCTCTAATTCAATCGATGCCCGCTTTGGTCTACTGACCTGCATTGACTTGTCTTTACTCGATGTTGGTTCTTGTTCGCATTCATCCTCTTCATCTGACTGGTCAAAACCGAAGTTGTCCTCCTTATTTTGACTGAAAACACTGGAGTAAGTTGTAAGCAAGGATAAAGCTTCCTATATTACCTCATTTTTGACATAACGTGTCACCCAGCTTCATTCGAACAAAATCTTTCGACCTAATTTAGAAAAATAATTTGCATAGAATCCGAGAAAGTGCATTTGGCGCCGAAAGAGTATTGTTTTCGTGTCAGGACTTAAAATCCGTTACGCAACGCCGGAATACTTTTTCTTTTTTCGTTCTAAGACGGTTCTGAAAACGGCTGCGATTTTGAATTGAATACGTCTAGGTGAAATTGATTTTTACGTTTTCCCGCTTAGCGATTTCGCATGGGAGCTCCTCCTGACCTTAGATTATTTTCTCCTCGGCTTTTCTTTGCTGGATCAGATGCGCGCGCATTTTTTGGCGAGCAATGGGAGTGGTTGTCCAAGACGAAAGGTGGCGGTCATTCTGCGCGTTCTTTCCTCTTGTCCACACTCCCTTTTTTATTCGCTCTGCAAAAAAATGGCGCGATTTGGCTTTAGTTCTTGCGCATTGATAATATCGAATATTTTTTCAACTTTTGATTCAGGATTTTATTTTGCAAAATGTTCCGTGTAAAATCATTCGTATTAAAAAAATATCGTTGACATTCCAGATAAGAATATGGCTGGCGGCAAAGGAAAATCCGGAAAAGACAGTGGAAAGTCCAAGTCCAAAGTGATCTCACGAAGTGCCCGCGCTGGCCTCCAGTTCCCCGTCGGTCGTATCCATCGATTCCTCAAACAGCGGACTACTTCCCATGGACGTGTTGGTGCTACTGCTGCTGTCTACAGTGCTGCTATCCTCGAATATCTGACTGCTGAAGTGCTGGAGTTGGCCGGAAATGCTTCGAAGGATCTGAAGGTGAAGAGAATCACTCCCAGACATCTACATCTAGCCATCCGAGGAGACGAGGAGTTGGACACATTGATCAAGGCCACCATTGCTGGCGGTGGTGTCATTCCTCACATTCATCGTTACCTCATGAGCAAGAAGGGTGGACCCGAGCACGTCCCATCTCAGACCAAGGCCCCTCCACAAGTTTGATTTTCTTTTCCTATTTTAAATTAACATAATTAACAATGATATCCTCTTACTTTCACCCACAAACTTCCTTTTGGTCTTTTTGATGCGATGTATCTCACTAATTGTATGGTTTCTCTTTTAATAAAGGTTGCGAAGCAATGGATTATAATAAAATGATGTTTTATCGCTTTACTTAATAATAAAATTGACGTTATAAACAATATAATTTATCACCTTCGGCCTGGTGGGCCTCCCATCCCTCCCGATCCTTGGAGCTGTTGCATCATACTCTGGAGTCCCCCCATGCCTCCCATTTGTTGAAGAACTCGGGGATCGATCATCTTCGCCATCTGCTGGTTGATCTTCTGCATTTGCATCGGGTTCATCTTGTTCGGATTCATATTTCCGTTCTAAAAGATGAATCTTTACACATCTACCTCATACCTTGAAAAGCCCTTTTACACTGCCCATCTTCTTCACCATGGCGGCAAACTTCTTGTATTGTGATAACAGTTCACGGACCTCTCCTTCGCTTGTACCACTTCCTCTGGCTACTCTTGTCACTCTCGTGGGTTCCTTTGTGAAGATATCGTTTGCCTTTGGATGATCTAATTCACTGTCGGCCATACTGTCCATGATCGTCATTAACCGCTTCAGCCTATGCGAAGACTCTTGTTCGTTTCCTTTTGTCATGAAATCAGGACCGAAGCCAGGAATCATGCTCTAAAATGAAAATCAATCATCCAATTCAACTACTCACCATAACTTGACTCAAAGGACCCATCTTCATAATGTTCTGGAATTGTTCGTACATATCCCGCAACGTGAACTGCCCTTGTTTCAGGCGTTTCAATAACTCTTCATTGTCTTCTAATCCCATTTCCGACACTTTTTCCACGAGACCTTCAATGTCTCCCATTCCAAGGAGTTTCTGCACAAAAGGTTTGACTTTGAATTCTTCGAATTCATCGATATGTTCACCTGTACCAATAAATATGATGGGAGAATGGGTTGCGGCAACACTAAAAGTAGGAACATAACAATAGATACGCTGACTTACGCTGAGAGTGCACCACCACCTTTGGCATGACCGTCCAACTTGGTTATTATCACCGAACCGACATTCACTGTCTGACTGAATGCACTGGCTTGTGCCTCACAAGCTTGACCAATAGAGGCATCCATAACAAAAACAACACTATCGGGATCCTAAAGCAATGTATAATTTGCATAAGTTAAGAAAACTTACTATAGCATTGGAAACCTGGAGCATTTCCTCAAACAAAGACGCTTCTTGTTTGTGCCTACCAGAAGTATCAACAACAATTATCTCAAACCCATCCTGTTTAAACTTGTCAACACCGTTCTTGGCAATTACAACAGGATCGACTTCGGTATAACTAAAATCAAGAATAATTTGTAGAACCTCCGGCTTACCTTCCGTAGAAAGGGATCCTGGCCTTTGTACAATTCTGTTTCAACTGATCGAATGCACCAGCACGGAACGTATCAGCACAAATCAAACAACTCTTCCACCCTTTCTTCTGGTAATAATAGGCCAACTAAAATAACATTAACTGTACTGTAATCCCAACTACCTTTGTGCACGAGGTTGTTTTACCCGAACCCTGAAGACCGACAAACATAATCACATTTGTCTTCCCTTTCTGAGGGACGAAAGGTTTCACATCTGGATCGACCAACTTGACTAGTTCTTGGAATACGGTCTTCTGTATCAATCGTCTTTTATTCACCCCGCCGGCCATATCTTCAAAGTTCAAACTCTTCCTAAACCATAAATCCTTATGATAAAAGACTTACTTAATATTCTCCCTCAATTTTGCAACCAATTTGATGTTCACGTCACTTTCCATCAAGGCCTTGCAGACCTCCTTCAGCATTTCATTTACTTCATCTTCATTTATAACTGTGGCTTGGCCCAACTTGCCGATAGCCACACGGATCCTTCGACCCAAATCCGCTAACACCATCCTTGCAGACGAATTACCTAATTGTATATTTAACTAATAATATTTAGAAATAAAAAGACAACAGTGCAAGAGATCGATAGAAACACGTATAACATTTGAAATCGCACCAAATGGACCCGCAGAATTTGAGAAAAATAGAAGTAGATAATAAAACAAAGATGTAAATTCCCACTAATTTTCCTTTGTACAATAAAAACTCCAAAAAATATCGTTGAAATATTTTCCACGGTCTTTTTTTGATTGCAGTTCTCAAAATCAATAATTTTGTGACATTTCGTCAAGAAGTAACGTTGTCGAAAGGATGACAATATACATCGAATAAAACATTTTTACTACTCGCATTAATTTGTACAAGTGATTATACAGTGTAAAAGGCACGAAGAAAATAATAAAACAACACTTATTAGCAGTATTTCTGTGCCTTTAAAGTCTTGGCAGAGGATGTATATCACAAACATATTCAGTGGTATTCTGAAGGTATTCATTACAGTTGAACGGATATTTTCCGGAATCATTCTGCTTCTTAACGCGGACATGGTAGGCCAAAAGACACCCACGGTCATCTCGAATATGATAAATCCGAGATAGATGACATAGATATTGTTTGGGAAAACGACCGGCAACAGCAGACTCAGGGATGATATAAGCAAGAAGTATCTAAAACACACTATTTCTAAAATTGTTGGCGTTACGATTTTTCGGGTCAGCGACAGTTCGGGTCGACGACACTTTAGATCGCCTCGATTCGTCGTTATATTCTTGGCGGAGGCTAGGAGAAGAAATGATTTAACCTGGGGTAGCCCTACGGGACAACACAAGTACCGGGATTTTCGGGTTCCGGGAAAAATAAATTTGATTTTTATGTGTACATATTGCTGGATACTTTTTATGACTTAATCTTGTAAATTGATAAATATGGTTGGAAGCGTGTCCATTGAAGGAGACGGGTCCGCTAAATCCGACAATCACATTCTTTTTTTTAAACCTTTACATTTTTGACGTACTAATTACATTTTTTACATGTACGTAGTTACACCTATGATATTTTTTTAAATTAAGAATCTTCGCTTTTTGGAGCAATTTTTTGTCTTTTCTGTGGTGTTTTAGCTCCGGGTCAAGCAAAAAGCAAAGGAAGGTCGGCTATAGCTAAAGTTAATAAAGTAGTCATTTCATGCCTCCCCAAAGTCTCCACTGTGCCTCCACTGAGTCTCCGTTAAGCTTCCGACTCTTTTAGTAGGCACCTCCGACCTTTGTTTGGGCCTCCGTCTCTTTGCGACGACTTTGTATTGACCCTAACTGCTGTCGACCCAAGTTGTCGGGGTACGAAAGCTAACCACCAACCTTAAAAATGACAAACACGGCCACTTCTCTTGTAAAAAAGTAAATGAACTTGATCCAATTGAAACAGCTATCATAAATGTGGAGAAGATTACTCCATAAGGTAGAGAAATACCAATTCCTTCTGCTGCATCTCTAAGCACTGGTGTCCATTGCAAAACAAACGAGTACATGGCACTTTCAAAAAGGCTCTGGACAACCCCAAGACAAATCATGTTCTTAGCTATCAAATATTGTTATTACATATTATTCGTCATTATTGCTTACAAGAACCTCTTAGGGCGTTTCTGAATGGTGAGGTGAGCCCACGGCTTTGAGATCCATAATTTTCCGGCCAGAGTAAAGGAGTTAAGACGCACATTATTACCAGCAAAAATGCAGATAAATCAAACGGAGCCCTAAATCAGCATGCTATTTTCCGTATCAGAGACAACTTACAGTAATCCGTACACGTCAGCGAACACTTGGGCAACCAGCCCAGATATCACTGCTGTTGCGCAATTCCCCAGGGATAAGTGAGAAAACAAAACTGGTAAAAAAGAGACGTCAAAGCGATGCTGAAGCAAAGAAAGGAGAGAATCGACACTTCTATACTCTCTTACCTGATTGTATTCACATATAAGCCAACTTTCGAACGATGAGAATAAAATGGAGGTCCCAATTCCACCAAAAACTCTGCCCAATAATAGGAGATGGAAACTTTTGGAGTGTAATAACAGGCACGATAATATGTAAAACACGCCATAGAACATACAATTCAGTCTTCTACCTCTAATATCGGATAAGATTCCGATAAAAGTTCCGGTAATCATACTAGATCCAAATCCAAAAGCGAATAATAACTCAATCTCATGTTTGGAGAAGCCATAACTCAAGTATAATGTGTAGATGTGAGGTCCTAAAGAAATCTCGGCGTTCGTGTAAACAAGTAAAAAAGGTACCTTGCAACCAATCAGCAGCCACAGCCAATAAGTAAATAATTAAATATTTTAATTCGAATACCCTAAATCCATTAGGATATCTGAGGGTTGTCTTGGATGTGGGGGTAATGAAAAGAATAATCGAAACGCACAACAGAAATAAAAAACAAATTTCGAAGAGCATTCTCCGTGGAAAAGAAGCGATTCCCACCTTTCTGGTCCATTATATAATATGTGGACGCAACCGCTGTGCATTCAAACGCACTGTAACAGTTACTACTACAAATTATACATTTTCAGATCGGTCACCAAAGGGCCCTTGGGAAAAACAAAAATGTTTATTGCACCTTGAATTAGTTATTACCAAGTTCGGGAGTATTACTACAAAATGTCGAAATTGCAAAGACCTTGAGTGTAATTGAATATAAGCTGGCAATCCTGCGAGGTTAGAGAAGAGATCCTTGATATGCTTTGGAGGAAACCTTTAGACATCAGCTGATCTGCTGGGAACAATTGGGGGAGCGACGCTGCTGAAGGAGGAGTTCAGGGAGTTGTTAACACCTCCGGACAAATGGGAGGGCACAGGGTACCCGGGTCTGGGCTCTGGAATAGACGGTATTAATATCAGGGTACTGTGAAGTTGTCATTTTTTGGAAGCACTTACTTGGTTCGGGCCATTTCGTATAAGGTTTGTTTTGAATTATCTGACCTCTAGAGTTTTTAGGAGTAATAACCGGAGTCAAAGCAGTCGAATCAGCCGTATTCAGCGGTCTTATATCATCTCTGTCACTTCCCCTGTATCCTCGAGAACTGCCGCTTCTCTTCGCACAACAGTACAAGATGACAAAAGCTAGTAATAGTATAAGCAGAAGACCAGTGATGACTCCAAGAATAATAGTGGCTGTTCGGAAATCTTCGGAGACGACTCCCACGTGGTCTGATTCCAGGACTCCACCCCTCTCGTCCATGCAATAGGCATTCTCCTTTATGCCCCAAGGGCAGTTCTTACAATCATACACTTGTTTTGGTCCTTGCCATCGACAAACACTGAAGAAGCCGGTCTGGACATTGTGACAAATGGCACTCCCTGAGTTGGCAGTGGATTTATTGCATTGGAGATCACAACCAGAACCATAAAGATTGTTGCGACAACTGACTGAGTAGCCGATAGTAAGCCTGAAAGTGTTTATTTCTTTAGTCTAATTGTACGAGACTTTCCGCAATGCATCAATTGAAAATGAATGTGTGTTTCGAAACTCCCAAGTGTCGAATTCAGCTCTTATTTGAGTCATTCGTAATTTTGGCCCGTAATATCTGTTCCCCGTTATTACAAAACTCACTGTGTTCCCAGGAGTTTTCCCACCACAGACTCTTGTCTTTGCCCATCCAAAGAATCAGAGGTCTTGACGGGAATTGTGAAGGTATCAACCTGATAGAGAGTGTTTGCCTTTTCCAACTTGCGACTCATCGTATTGATAACCGGACCCAGATTGTAAACAAAAACATTGATGGCCTTCTGCAATCAGGGATGGTAAGAAAAAGAAGGGCAATGTGGTCTAATACGCGTTTTGAAACCCAAACTTACCGGCTCATTTGTTAGCAAAAAATCAAATTTTCCTCGGAAAGCGGCTGAATAATTGGCGTCGATCTGGCCAAAACTATTTAACGGCAGGAAATCAGTAGAACGATAATGCACAGTCTCACTAAACAATAATTTCTTTACGCATAAAGTAAACATACTCTGCAGATGTCACAATAACCATGAATGTAAACAAGCATCTAAAACCCATGCCCTGAGGGCTGACTAGAAGACATTCTCCAGAACTGCACTGACAAGTCCGGTCGTCGTCCAATGCATGTCGATTATTGGTATAATCTTTCAGCTCCACTTGGACACTAATTCCATTCGCATTATTATTAATCGAGTTAAAGTTGCGCAAGGGATCGTAGGGGGACACCTTGAAGTTGAGACAATTATCAGTCTGTCGGGAAAATAACGGCGGATTGTCGCAGAAAAATGTCTCGCCTCGCCGCTGTCGCGCACAAAACCCCAAGCTGCGGCTTGCAGTCGCAAAGCGATGATGGGCGATTCCGAGGCGCGACGATCCGCCGTTATTTTCCCGACAGACTGATAATTACAATAATTTTAAAGCAAAGAAAACTTACGTTGTTAGTCCCTCCTGTTTGTCGTTGGTCCTGGAAGTTCACTCCAGGACCTGGAAGTGCATTTGGCTCAAGAAAAGAATTTTGGGCCCATAACAGAGGTAGAATGGGCACAACAATAAACAGCCTCATCTTGGGAAGTGACCAAAAAGAGTCGGCCACAGATGGAGACGATGATGATAAGCCGTTTTATGAGCGCGTAGGGATGAATAAGGTCAAGAAGGACAAATAAAATAGTTTAGGGAACAGTTTTGATTCACTTGAGCCAGAAGAAAGTGCGAATACGTCTTGGATGGTATGTTTGTCGAGAGTGGAATACAAGCCGAAGGGGAGGGAGGGCGAACCTGAGTCAGGCTTGTGATTCATTGCAAATAAACGCATCGCTTTAAAAAGGGTCATTCCGAAAGATAAGGACAATACGATTTCTTTATTCACAGATTTTAATAAGTTAGGAGAACCCATCGATTTACCTCCCAACACCGTTTTAATTTTAATATGTACTTATTACAACGATGTTTTTAAGAGAAGGGATATGTAAGAGGGGCTGGTTAAGTTTTAAAAGATCTGTTAGATAAAAAAAATAATTGACGCCCGGACATATCCTACTCAGTACAATAGACTATCTAGAACATAGTTAAATAAGACAAGAAAGAACAACATAAACGTTTCCCGACAAAATTAATTCTCAGGCCATGCTTGGCAAATGAGCAAATGGAGATTACATAAATAAATACGAATAAATTAGTGTTTGGAAAGCCGGGGAGGGGAAGAATCCATCGCAAATTCCTCGGACCAGTCAGATTCATACTGATCGTCCTGGTCCACGGGCACAACGGAGTTACAGTAATGTTTCACAAACGACTTCTGTCGGTCATTCCAGGCCTTTACACAATCTTCGAAAGTGGCCCGTCCAACTGAGAGATCATCCACAATGGAGAATAACTAAAACAATAGTATTGCCGACAATGAATAACGATGCCCAAAAAAGTGTTACCGTAAAAATAAGTAAAATACCTTTTCATCCGCCTTGTTCAGCTCTCTGGTACTTATTGAGTGGGCCAATTCAGATTCCAATCCATGTTTGCATCGCTCCAGAATAGGTGTCGTCTTACGTAAAAGTTTATCCAACTTGGACTGAACATTCAAAAGCTCCAACGAGACCTCGTCCCATTTCTGATCTCCATCTTTACCATCTTCATTAATCTTCAGGAATGTAAATTCATCAAGATCTTTCTTTTCAATGCTTTCAACGACATTCTCAGTTGATAACGCTTCCTTTGAGGTCGAAGACACAGCGAAAGAATCCCTGGATTCCTCTGATTCGTACTCTGGCATCATACTAATAGGTCCCAAACAATCCGTTAAGGCAGCTGCCATTTCCATTAACTCATTTTCATTGACGGGCTCTTTCTTTTCGTTTTCAATTCCGTTTGAATATCCGTTATATCCATTCAGAAAATCAAACTTTCTTTTCTTAGATAACGGCGACTCCACTAAAAATAATAATTGCGCAATTAATTTTAGAACTCACATTTGCCTTTCTTGGGAGATGGTTTGAATTCATCAGTGTAAGCCGAAACTAGATTCTTCATGAGACCAAACACAGCCGGATTTCCGTTCCCATTTGCCTTACTTACGCTAAAATTCTGCGTGATACCTCAACATTAACATACCCATTCTCAATCCCGCTCAATTTTGGAGCACCATTACCATTACATACACTCAATCTTTTTGGAGTTCCATTAGAGACTCCATTGGATTTTGCAGCTTTGACTCCATTTCCATTGTACTTAAAAGGCTCTGAAAACAATGAAATTATTTTTTGCAGTACGAATTTTTTTTCGCTGTTCGCAAATGAGAACCTTTTTGTGTCCAGCTCAATTCCAGCAAATTTTGTGTAAATTTATCTTTTGGGGAATCTATTCTTGTTTCTAACTATTTCACAAAATAAACGGGCACTTTGGGTAGAAAATCCGACAAATCTGACAATAACGCATATGATATTGGTCATTATTCAAGTAAAAATACTTTGATTTTTATACATCCTTTTTCCGCAACCCTTCGTTTGGGGCAGATCCGGCATCGGACCAATATTTACATTCAATGTTGCAAAATTGGTTGACCAGCTAGCCAAGGGGGGTTACTCCCTGTTCACACTGGAGGATAGGTCGCTCATGACCAAGCTCGTGACCTAGGTCTTGGAGGTTGCCTAAAATTACCCAAAAATGGTCTCAATGCTTGACTATGATGACCAAGAGACTTTTTTAGGTCAGGTCCTCACCAAGCTCACGACCTAGGTCGGGACCATAGTCAGTGTGGTTGTGACCTGGCATTTTCGTTTCAAATTTTGGAGCCCGATATCGGCGAAACTTTTTTTTTTCAATTGAGTTTCTCAGACTCGGAAATATGAGTCTTTGGCTAAATGAAACAGTTATAAGTAGCTGAGTCATGACAGTCAACGGAATATTTGTAATTATTCTTCACGGCATCGATCCTTTTTTCTAGGGGGTAACAAGCTTAATTAATCAAAATCTTTAAAAATTCGAACCAATGGGCGAGACAGTCTACATGCATGACGCTCTGTTCTACATCCATCCCGGGGATGCATAACAAGTTGTGAGGCCTAGATTGCCCGATAAAACAAGTTTCGTTTTTTAATCTTGGAACCTCCGGCTGAACCACATAAAATAACCTGTATACCCTTGTTCGAGAAACTCGGCTTTTCGGCAGACTTCAAGGGACGCTACAAAAGATGCCAGAGTAGATATAACCAAATCGATATACATTCACAAGAAACTACAGCACCCCAGGTAGAAATAACACTAAATCCAATATTTTTTACTGAGCTCGAAAATTGCTAGGCCCCGGCATGTTCACCATGACGTAAACGGAGAATTTCTCCATATTTTTGAAATATTCAAAAAGAAAACTTGCAGAAAATAAAACAGAACCAACCAAAAATTGTTGTGAAGAGCTCACCCGTACATCTAAGCTTTCAGTTTAACACACATTCAATTAGACTCAAGAAATTTTGCTTTGAAGCGCCACCAAAAAATGGCTAGGAAATTTTCAATCATCCTAATATAAAAATGTCACCTTTTAAATGATAAATAAGGCAGGACACTCACCATTTATAAGCAGGTCGCTCATGAAAGCCGGATGATATCGCTGATAAAACTCCTTATTGAATTGTGTAACAAACTTGTCGTCTATATGACCAAGATATTCCCTGGCCCATGTCCAAAACCGATGGGGAATGTCAAGTACAAGATACGGCTGTTCCTCCTCCATTTCTCCACATGACGTAACCACATCCGAACCACTAAAACTCTTTTAATCCTCATGCTATGCAAACTTACGCATCTTCTTCATCACACTCGAATTTGCTACAAGACGGTTGCTCATCAAATGGAACACTCTTTTGTTTTCGACCCCGGGGCTTTTCCGCACTTTGCGATCGACGAAGATCATAAGACGGCATCGGTCTATTTGTCAGGTCATCCGTGGGATAATCACCCGTTGTCAGAAACATAACTTCACCATTGACGGTCTTCTGATAATCGATGTTTTCCGCCAACATTCGTTCTAATTGGAATTGGAGATCGTACTAAAAATAAAAATAAGAAACATGTAAACTAACCGTTATTTCAGGCCATTTATCTTCGAGTTTCGACTCCAGAGCCGTCTTCAAAGCAGGTAGACACTCGTAGGTTTGTTTTATAACGCATTCGGGGATAGTTCCCAGCTGATTATTGGCATAAGAACCTCCATTTTTGAGATCAAATCCATTCAAAAGGTTAGCATTCCTCTTGGCAATACGAGGCGAGACGGGAGAGAGAGTCTCCAGACTTTTGGAGCTACAAGGCTCATCAGACTTGGTGCGTATCCTCATGGCCGGATGCTAGTTAACCATTTGAAAGTAAATTGACCTGAAAACAGTAAAATTTGATTTAAACCTGCAAAGACATGAGAAAAATCTATAAATCCACACAACTTTCGTCTACACGAAAGTGCTTTCTTCTACTTCCAGCCGAGAACGCGTTTTTGAGTCTTTATTGGCATTCCGTTTCTAAACGAGCGTTTTCGTTTCGAAACCTTAAAAATAAAATTTACGTTTTTTTGTGAGATTCGAATTGGATTCCATGGAAGACAAAAATTTTGGGCTGCATGGAAATTGCAACATTCGACTACCGGTCCTTCTGTTTCTATGCCGTCCGTACACAAATGTGTGCCCTTCTCTGTTTTCAATGCGCCCAATTTCCCGGCGCCCAATTTTCATGCAGCCAAAATTTTGCTGTCGCGTTTTGTTGACATGCGTTGAATTCTGATCTACCGATACAATAATAAGAAATTGTTTATTTAGATGGAACAAGTCGATCGACTGCCAGGATGTAGTGCCGTTAAACCTATTATTTATGGAAACTCTGCTGAGAAACTACCTATAAAAACAGCACAAGAACATACTCATAAATGGAAACTGTTTGTTAGGCCATACTGTGAGGAAGACATCTCCAAATATATCAAGAAGGTCCAATTCAGGCTTCATGATTCTTATACGAATCCGATTCGAAGTAAGAAAACTTAATGCGGCGTTATGCTAATCTTAATACTTCTTATGCTTATTAGAACAGTGTTAGGCTCCAATTTATGTAATTTATTCTTATGGCGTCTTTATAGCAATAAGCAATGTGTTTAGCTATTGAGGCACCACCTTTTGAAGTGGAGGAGACTGGATGGGGAGAATTCGAAGCTGGGATCAAGTTATTCTTTGTCGATCCTAATGAGAAGCCTGTAAGTTGAGTTTTTTGACTTGCTAACTCATCCGTCTTCTAAGGTTAATGCGGTTTACTATCTCCGGCTTTTCTCTCCGATGGTTAATATTCCAGATGGAAAACAGGTTGTTTTGTACGAGCATTACGATGAAATTGTAAGTGTTTTTGCTTCTCCGTTGTTTGACGTCCGTTTGGGGAAACAGTAGGATTTATTTGTATCCTAATAAGGTGTAATAGACAGTATAATATATAGAGACTAGTGGACATACAAAACTGTTTAAGAGAAACAATTCTTTGGTGCTGTCTGGAACATTGGGATGTCAGTGAGTTTTTGGTTAGGTTTAGATCGGCGAGCGGTAAATGTCCATTCTAATTAATAATGTCGCCGGGGTTGTGCTTTAGAATTGGCTAACTCTGTGTTTCAAATTGCCAAGCTAACTGTCGCTGATTGGCGGTTTCTGTTTTACTAGTTCACCTTCTTTATTATCATAGCGATGATCTTCCAGATATTCGTTGAGCCGACCAAGGTGATGATGAGAGCTTTGGAAGAGGGATCTCGCGACAAGCCCATCAAATCGGTAACGGATTGTAAGTTAATGTCTGTATCGAATAACCTTTCCATTCTAGTCCAACAGCAGAAGATTCTTTTGATTGATAAATTAAACAATGCGATAAAAGAAGTGACTGCAGAAATTAGTGATCTGAGGGAGAGTCTCCGGCAGAATTGTTTCCAATCAGAGTCCAAGATGGCTAACAGTTCGCGAGGGACGTCGGTGGATGGATCAGTCGATTCCAGCATGGATCACTAGAATTGTTTTTAATGTACATAATAAATTTAATAATTATGTGAATGGGCTGCTTCAAATGTGTTGTGGACACACCTTGTATATCTGAAGATATGTGATGTCTTTGGCTAGGGAATGTGTTCTGTATATATTTCTTCTCAGCCGTCTTGCTGTCTTGCACTGGAATTATTTGGTGCAATTCGGCTTTTTCCTTTCTCCGACGGTCAGTCTGGTCTTCTCGGAACATAAAGTCTTGCTGTCGATGCCACTATTAACGTCGTTTTTTATTTTTGTTTCGAATTCCGTGATTCCAGGTACCTAGGCTAGTCATCACTCCAAGCACAAGTGTAATCTTACAGTAACTTACATTTGGATATGAAAGTTGTGAATTGATTGTAAAAAATATTTTTTTTTGTATGAGGGGTGGAATCGGAGGGGCCGGGACCTAAATTGAGGGAGTGAAGGCGGGAGAGAGGGGGACAGAGAAAGAGAGACGCGTTATAAGTGTTGGGGGGCTGAGAGAGCGGGGTGGAGCTGGGAATTGAGGGGGACGAGACGACCTTCCATTCTTTCTATTTAGATTCGGGGATCGACTCCGGGGGACAAGCCACCCTCGAAACTCCGAGAACGCGCTAACTCCGGAGACGTCAGACATTAGACGAGCTATAGAGCGCGCGTTCTTTGCGTAGAGTTTTTCTTTAAACCAACTAATCGATATTTTGCCCTGTTTTGTGAGTCTGCACTGTTTATTAAATATCGTCACACATGTTGATATGTTACATTTACAGTGCGTTTACGTGATTCCTATACGTGATTTACTATCTTGTTGTCATTTTGTACCATTTCGTCCACTGGTTACATTTTCCTTTATTTTTAGCACTGGGCTCAGAATGGTTGACTCCGAAGTTCGATCCTCAAGTGTCCCGATGTCCAATCCTGTGCCAGAAATTGTCCTAGATGACGATGAAGAAGAAATGGACACCTCGGAAATCAGAAATGGAACGGCGTCTCCTCAGGTTGGAGCCAACCAATCAAATGGGACTCCCTTACCTAAAGAAAATGGTACTTGTAATGGTTCCGACAACGGAAAATCCGCGAATGGATCAAAATCTGTAGATTGTATCGAACTTGATGATGATGAAGATGAGACACCCGCGAAGAAGGCGAAGACGGAAGAGGATAATAAAGTAAGTCCTGGTTTCATTCTTATTATCTGTTGCTTTAGGATGTAAAGAAAGAACCCGAATTAACTAGTTACACGGCGTTATTGGACAAACTAGAAGTATACATAAAGGAGGCCTTCGAGAAGAATGATAATGTAGATCGAAAACTTCTGGACGCTTTATTAGCCGCTATTAACATTCAAGTACAGAAAGAGCCTTATTCGGTCCGAAAACTGATCTTGGATAAGCAATTGGTACTGCCTAACACGATCTCTTTCCCTCCATCTCAGGTATGGGTTTTTTAGATTCAAATCCAATAAAACAGAATCTAATTTTTTTAGATTCAAATCCAATAAACTGTTTGTGATATTGTACTTTAGGTGGTCGATATGATTATTGAACACGATGCCGAAGCTCAACTCTCTCGAGTTATTGCCAAATTGTTTGGTGATGAGAAGATTAAGTTCACAGAAACGGAAAAACGTGAACGACAGAATCTTAAGGCGAATTATGCAGCCCCCTCGATGACCAAAATGTTGCTAGATATTGGCCAGGATCTGGTACAAGAGTCCACTTACTCAGATATTGTGCACGCAAGGAATCTACCGGAAGTTCCAAAGAATGTCGATACATATAAACAAGTAAGAAAAGTTTTATTGAAATGTTTGTTTTTTATGTGAAGACACTAAAAATTTGATTTCAGGTAGCGGCACAGCTGAAACCTGTATGGGAAAGTCTCCGAGATAAAAATCAAGCCTTTAAACTTCATTTATATTCTTGTTCCGTGTGCGATTTCAAGACGGATTCTCTGATTGTTATGTCTGTTCACAAACAGACCTTACATCTGAAGGACAACAAGAGGATTTACTGTGGAATGTGTCCAGAGTACAACACAAATGGAAATAGAATGGAAAGACATATGGTGGAGGTGCATGCATTGAAACCACTGATGCCAGAAGAACCCCCATCCAAGATCCAATGCCCAATCTGCGAAGAAAACTTCCAATTCAAGGGACAAAGAGATGGCCATCTGAAGACTTGCAAGAGAGATTACGCCAAGGTCAACAAGACCCAGGCCTCTCACCCTATCGACAGTTTGTCCACGATCAACAGATGGCTGTGGCCTAAACCACAGTCGGATCCCACAATTGCTGCTCAACAACATGACATTCAGAAACAACAAATGGTAAGAAAAAAATATTAAAAAATTTTTTTTTTCCGTTTAGATCAAACAACAACAGCAACAACAACGTTTTGCGGCTGCCGCGGCGGTTCGTCAAGCTCAAGCAGCAGCGGCGGCGGCTAGCCCAGCTACTTTGAAGGCTACGCAACAGTTGTTAGCTACTCAACAATTGGCCTCGCAGATCAAAGGCTTAGGAGTTCATCAACAACAACAACTTAATCAGATCCTGAGAGACAACAAAGCTAGTCTTCCGCCAGCTGTTCTTCAAGCAGTTCAAGCTCAACTTCAAAAGATTCAAGCTCAACAAACTGTCGGCGGTATTCCTGGCTTCCCAAATTTGAATGCCCAACAAATTCAGCAACTGCAGCGATCTCTGTCCCAGCAAAGGCGTGGGAACTCGAATTCGACGATGGCATCGGCTTCTAAAGCCACAACAGCTAAGAAGTCGACGCCCCTTTCAATCCCTTCGGGTGCCAGAGCAGGGACAACTTCGAAGGCCGAAGAACACAGTTGCGAGATTTGCGATGACAAATTCAGGGCCCGGGCTGATTACCTTTCCCATTTAAAAACGGCTCACAACACTTTCAAGAACAGGAACACTGTCGATCTTGATTCCGGACCTCCATTGGCATGTTCAAGATGTCGAGACAGGTTCTGGTCGTACGATGGATTAGAGAGGCATCTTGTTATGAATCACAACCTGGTTACGTCGGATTTGTTGGTTAAAGCCCAGAACAAATTGGATAGTGGAAGATGCAAGCATTGCCTCAAGGTGAGTAATGACACAAAGTGTTAATATATTCGATTTAAACGTTGATGGTTTCGTTTTCAGACCTTCGCCTTCAACATTCTTCAACATTTGGCTGCGGATCACAACGCCAAGCTATGCTCAGCCGAAATCATGTTCTCATGCGACGTGTGTCCGTTCCGTTGCAGCAGTTATCAAAGCTTGGAGGTCCATCTGAACCAAGAACATCCCAAAAATGGAAAAGCCCGGTAGATGGATGATGACGCCCATCTCCACTTTGATATTACCCTTTAATCTGTCGTATACGGGCATTTTGGTATTTGTTATATTTATGGGCTTAAATTACTGTAATGGTCTATATAAATATATTGTATTTATTCGATCGGGGTCTAATAACTTTATTTGAGCTGACTTGTTACTCACTCCGTCGTTTTCTCTTCGCAAAACAATTAATACACAGTCGTTTCTTGTATGAATTGAATAAACATTGGTGACAAAATAAAGTCTACAATTCTTCCTTTTCTTCTGAATCTTCATAATTGTCCTCCAGATATCTGAGGGCACAATTGTTCTGGAGACATGGAATCACTCTTCTGAATGTATACAGTTGACAAACGACCGTGTGCTCTGATTCATCCAGCTCTCCACACAGTTGGCGGGTGGTCTTTGAATTCAAACATTTGAAGATTTTATGGCCTTGCCTAAAGCAAGGTCCGTAAAACAATTTTAACCGAAGCACTTACGAGGTACAAACTTCCATATCTTTCGACATTTGCATATTTTTTTCGCAAACATGATCCCGTTCGTAATTATCCAAGCATTTCACAGCAAAAAGGGCTTCTAAAAACAGGAGTAAGCAGAATCAGTAGGGTTTACTTTTAGAATCCATTCCACTGCACATGCTGTACTTATAGGAAAAAGCCGCATTGAGTTTAGTACGCTGGAGACTGTCCCAGATGTTATCATAACAAGGATCTAGGAATTTGAAACACATCGCCAAATTCCAGAATTTCCTGAATTATATTTATTATCATGTCTGGAATGGAACCACTAAGGCTTGCTAAGGGCAAACGATATCTCAAAATTCCTGTACCTCTCTCAAACGGTCTTCTGGCATTTTCCACTAATAAACCGAATTTGGCCATTCAGTCATCGGCAACAGGCCAACTCCTATTATACATATCAACATAGGCTCTTTTGATTTATTGCACCGTAAAAACCCCCAAAACCTGCACAATGCGATCATCTCCGTATTTCCTGATCTTCCCCCGATGTTTTTCTCGTTTTGCGCGAAATGTTTTTAGGCATGATGATACCTCAATATCACAGAAATTGGCCAGTTTGTGACGTTTCTTCGGTTGAAAGAAACGTCACTCATCTGCGACAGCCCCAGTCCTCTATGTTCCCCAAAGACCTCACTCAACTTCACAATGATTGGTGTAATGTAATATGTGCTGATTGGGGTAAAAGATAAATATTCCCATTATGTAGCAAGTGTAATGTATAAAATTTGGAATGAGCAATTCGATCCTAACATACCTGCACTCGGAATTCTCCTTTGTCATACGGTATAATAACTCTTTTAAAGCAGTGGGCAGCAGGACGTCATTGATATCTTCGTAGACTTCTTCCATGTACTTGAAGAAGCACTGCTTTATGGACTAAGCAAAGTCATTCCGGACTGAATAGATGTACTCACTATCAACTGACGTTCGCTACATTGACTGACACCCTTCAGAAACGCTTCATTTGGAGAGATGATCAGACAGAAACATACGAAGACCAGTAAACGAGACATTCCCAGTCGACGGGAGAAATAAAAATTGTGAGGTTCTGTTGTTCCATTTTTCCGTAATCGGAATTATTCAAACTTTTTATTCAAATTTTACGGACTTGTTTTTTTCGAAACAATTATTTCATAATAATTTATTAGAAGTTGATGACAAAATATTAATTAATAAAAAATTTCACTACCCTATGTGCCCACCGATTTATTCAAGATGGGTAATGTTGATGGCCTGCGGACACTGTACTCGTACTTAATCATGTTGTCCCTGTTCACCAGATCTCTCCCTGCTTCATAGTTCTCTCCAACAAGCGCTTTATCAATTTGGGAGAGCTGAAAATCGAAATAAAGATGACAATTGAGAATTTTAGCGGGAAATATCAAGGGATACTTACTAGCAGAGGGTCCGGGTTGCCATTCTCATGCAGCAGGTCCAATATCTCCAGGGCATCATACACTTTCCTCAACTTCTTGAACTGAAGGAGAAGATGATACAGTTCTACTTTTTTTTTGGACCTTGTCGCAGAACCCCAGATATATAGTCTGTGGACCCGCTACACAAGATCTGCGTGAGTTTGTCTGATCCCAGTCTTTAAATAATGGCGGATTCATAGTTTTTAACCATTCACACCGAGTTTACTGCTCTATCTGGTCTCGGAAGATTATTTTGTACGATCAGGCAGAAAGTTTTGCCTGGAACCAGACGAGTTCTTGTCTGGACTAATAGACACGATCTCTGTCTGTTACCTCAGACAAGCTTGACGGCTTGTTTTTAGTCAGAAACCACGCAGACCTTCTCTAGCGGGCCCACATACAAGGTTTCTGCGACTAGGCCCGAGAAAAGTAGAAAACTCGCATTTTATATTGTTGCTAACGATTACAATAGAAAGCTTACATTATCACGATTCCTCCGCCATTTCTTGCATTTGATGAAAACAAATAATGTAATAGCGACAATGAATATGACCAGGATTGGGAGAAAGGCCGCAAGGGAAACGCCTGAGGGCAAAGGAAATGTTAGAAAGTCATATAAGCTCGCATAATTCTTAGATATTATACACGGTATGCAGAATTTAAAAATTGAAAATATGACACAACTCACCCTGTACAGTATCATCAAGTTCGTAGTCGTGGTCAGTGATGTTGAGGTTGTAGAACTCGGCTAATCTGACCGGAAACAGTTTAAACTGATTGCTTAAATGGGGTGAACTTTGATGAAATAAGGCCATAGAAATTACATCTTATTCGGCTGCACTTATATTCGCAAGGAAATACACTTATTGTTAGTCCAACTTTGTTTTGGGCTGACTTCTGAGGGAGAGAGGGCGTGAGGAACAAAACAAAGACGGCCAACTCCTTCGAAAGACCTAAGGGCACAAGGGCAAAGAAGTCTATTCTTGGTCGTCTGTGCGCGGTCCACAAAGTTTACAATTGCCTTTGATTCACAAGAGTTACCTCAATTACTATTCACACCACGTTTCTTTTAGTATTCTCAAAGCAACCCTCACACTTTATTTACAACAGTAATTCAGCCGTTCTTTTAATTACTGTCATTGTTACCACATATTTTGAAATTTAGCTCTTCTTACCTTGGCATGGCTAATTTTGTAACTCAAAGACTTTCACTTTATTTCCGCTATTCACCTACAAAATTGTGAGAAACAGGCCGAGATCGCAGAGACATGGCAGTTTAAACGGCTACATAGATTTGATAAACTCTTGCCAATATCTTTAACCTTACGCTTTTGTACATGAAGCTGCAAAACTTCTTTCGACCCCATAATTGAATTAATTGGCTTCTTTTCTTTCATGATGTTATCTACACTCATGGGATGACAGGTGACAATAAGGCGGCGGGAGAACAGACGCCGCATCTGCATCTTTCCTTCCTTTCTTCCAGAATATTAGCACAGGTGCAGAGTCGTGTCCTCTGGCCAAGCCAGCATCTGTCCTCTGACCCGGGCCCAGGGGTTGGCCGGCTGTTTCGAGCGCGATTCTCTGTTGACCAGCAGCTGTGGCTTTAGTATCAGTTCCTCTTTTCCTCGCTCTGCTTGAATTATGGCTTCGATGTCGACGAAATGGATTCAGAATCCCGAATCCAAAAATCTGCTTTATCAGTTGCACATGGTGATCCAAGATGACCAAAGACTAGATGACATCTCTATTCTGGAAATCCTTACGGTAGGTGCATATTTAAATTATAAATTGCTGTTTTGTAGAGTGCCATCGCTCGCATACATTATCTGGAAGCCTGTTTGTCTCAATGAGACGTCTGTATCGCCTTAATAGAAATCCGGTGTTAATTGTATTTAAATTACATATTATTGTTGTTCTCTAATAAATCGCATTAACGATATCCGATCTCCAAGTACATGGCTGCAGATGTCCCTTTCCTTCCGTTTCCCCTTTGACTGCTTAACGGATCTAATTTGTATTGCGTAATGTTCAAGGGGAGATTCTCGCGCAAATTCTTCATCCAGTGACATCTGGCAGGCCCTAATTAGCAATGCCCTCAGGGCATAGACTTGTAGTTGAACAGATGGGACCGAGTTAATACAGATAAGTGAATTCTTACAATATTCCCAAAGTTTTCCGCTGCTACAGTAGTCCTCTAATATAAGTATTTAGAGGATATAAGGAAATGCGGAACGATACAGTAATCCTTGTTCTTCGCAAACTTCCCAACGTGACTGCGTAATTCAATTGTAAAACGTCTGGCTACAGATGTTCTCAACTTGCTTACAATACTACTCATGATACTCGATAATGATCTTCAGATGTCTCCTCAGCTGGTGTAATTCAGCCATATGTATAGCACAGCTGTAAGAAGTTGAGAGGGGGGGGGGGGGCATAGGCCAGAACAGAACAAAGGTTTTTGCGCTGGAATCTGATGATGCAGGTGTCGCGTAAGGAGGGGGTCTGTTGAGAGCGCCCCCTTCCCCTGTTTGCAGATGTTCGCGCAGAAAAAGCGATGGGCGTGGCCAAAGAAGCCAATACTCGGACAGCCTCACTCCCTTTCCCCAAACCTCCCAATTTGGTCGACCATCCCCAACTTTTAATGGCTAAATCAATGTCCGCTTCGAAGAACTCTGCCTCATCTTCTACCAAATCTGCGAATCCCATCAAGAAGCTGAACAAGAAGAAGATGGAGAGGGAACAGACCTTGGACAAGCTCAGAGTGATGGTCGGAGGCAACGAAAACTCAACTCAATTGGATATCATGCAGGTATGTAGTCATTGTTAATATAATATATATGTCTTGCTACTAGTCGAGCCTTGGTCACTAATATATTCATTCGATTCTTTCCAGGGTGTCATCGATTATATCCGATATCTGCAATCCCAATTGGCCGATGATGTTGAGAACATTGGTCCCCCTGCTGACGATCTTGTCCATCAATTGATGATGATCAACTGCTCAGATCATTGACCAAATGCAGCAATACGATTGCTCGTATCAGGCCGGTAACTGACTCAATTAGATTGTATAGCTAACCAAGAACCTCCTTTGTTGTTTTATGTTTTTGTAAATTTCCTAACGGGTATTTGTATTGGAAATAAATTCATATTATTCATATAATTGTGATGGGCCAATTCGATGGGGAACAGGTGCGGGAGGGGAGGAGGCTAGAGCAGGTGTGTCGATGGATGGCCAAGTTGATGTACTGGGTTCTTTTGGGCCGTGGGCGGCCGCCTTTACCGCATATGGCCTGTGAATGCCCTGAGGGCGATGACGGCGCAGCTGCACTCCAAATGCGGCACACGTGGGGCCGCTTCTGGCCGTCTTCCGGAGGCCAGATGTTGGCGAAGGTCTTGGCCGAACAGCCGCGCACATCCCCCATCGGCCAACTGTCATAATAGAGAGCTGCAGCTGGTTGTCTAGCTGTCCCAAGCAGTGGAACCCAGGTGTTTAAACCGTTCGAACAGTTGGCCATAAAAGCCGGTCATCATGACATCTGTGCGCGGCCTGGTCCCGTTTTATATACCAAATGTTTTTTGGTGTTTACAGAGCCATATGCAAGCAAGATGTTGGAAAATATGTCGGATAATCAGGAAATCCCCTTAAGAGGGTCGGTCATCATCAGCTGCGGCCTTGCAGGTGTCTCGCCAACGCCCCTCCTAAACACGATTTATGACCTCAAAAAGTTTGGGCTTAATCATCCCGGCATTGCGCAAGTCATCGAGCTTATATTATACTTGAATGGTCAACAGAGATTAAATTATAATATTCAGCGGGTTTAAGACCCTTAATCGACTTGAGAGTAATGGGAATGCAACACTCAAGAGGATGATGCAGGTGCGGGAATCTAGCCTTTGTAATCCGAAGGACATCCGACAAAAATGTAAAACGATTGTGTTAAGAGTTCTCAACTAATCCATCTACAGTACTCACACCACTCCGACTCGCCTCTTCTCTTGACTCAAGTTTGTTTGTGCAAGAAATTTAAGGTTTGGCACCACAGGTGGTCATTTTCCATATTCTCCAAATATAATTTGCATACAAACTTTAAGAGAACGTCAAGGACATTCGGGGGAATTAATTTTATTTGGATTTGTGAGCAATTTGGAGATTAAGTTCGGCTTTGGAGCGCTTCAAGGTGATCCTCTCATAGGAAGCGAATGATGAAGTTCTAAAACATTGTAACCATTGCATGAAATAAAGAGGTAGTACTGTCTTTTCCACTTTAGATGTACTCCATTCTACTTGAAAGGGCGGCGCCCTGTTCTTAGATCTCTTTGTTTTGAGGTGTTGGCCAAACAGAGAATGAAAGGTGCTCCTCTAATTACGGCCCGATGTCATTACAAAAGGAACCGCTCTCCCAGATTGCGTAAAAATACAATAGAACGGGGATTGACGGTTATTAATAATCTTATTCAATGTGGGCGGTGTCGTTATACCGTGAAAAGGATTTGTTATTATCCTATTACAGTACAAATATCATGAAGAGCCGTGTCAAAGAGAAGTTTAAGGTCATGTCTAAGCATGACTAGTGTCATTATCGAGCGACCAACACCCTTTTCCTTTGTCCCGAATCCCCCAAGGAGAAGGTCGGAAGTCCTTAAAGGCCGACGGCTCCCTTTTTCGACTCTTGTCTAATTCATTTTATTCCCCTTGTGGTCTGAAATTGGAATTAAGGGATCGGCATTCCTTTCAGAGAGCGTGCATGACCGTTCTCTTCTCGCCCGCACCTGTGACCTTCATCATGACAATGAACAAAAAGAATGGGCGGCGCTTTTTATGATCGAAGCCCATAAAATGAGGGTAATTACAAGTTGGTCTCGACCGAAACCCAATCCCCCGCTGACTGTCGGAAAGTTTTGATCCAGTTTCCGCTCAGAATGACATGAATGGCCGAAGCAACAGACGGCACAATATCGTGCTCGCGAGCTAATTTACTGATTACAAGGCCCAATTATTTATAATACCCTTCTTGCCCATTATTGCCAAGCCAAGACGCGGTCGACCTCCAATTCCACGACTTGTTGCGGAAATGTGAGACGAACAATACATTCCCGGGACTTCTCGGATTATCCCCTTACCTCTCGAACACCTATAATATTACGCAAGACGACACTTGAACCCCATTATTAAATACTATAATTTATTTTATATCTGGAGATAATAAAAATTTGGACAATTTACGATCGACGACGTCGCTTCACTTTCTGCGTCTTCTGATTCAACGGCCTTAAGGGCATAGCTGGTCTAGGGGTGATGTTTTCCAAGGCTTCTGAAGAGAGATCACTGTCATAATGCGTTAAAAACAGTGCTGTACAACTCGCTTGATTGTTCTCTATATAAGAAAAATCCCGATTTTCGGAATAGAATAAGTGACTGTAACAAGGGATGACAGAACCTTCAAAGGGTTTATACCTGGAGGAAGACTTCCACTTTTGACTTTCGCTGTGATTGTAGCCACCAATTTGTCGATATAGCTAGCTGCATTGAAAACAATTGAAGCCGGATCATCGGACTTCTGGTTCGCCCTCATAACCATCGGAAGGCATTCGGCCAATCTTCTTAGTTCATCTCTTTCTTCCTTGGTTAAGATCTGATATTTGGAAGTGGAGGCTTTTAACACTAAAAAATACATTCGATTAAATCAATCGACTACATTTTAAAAAATAAAAAATACAAACCGCCCGTACCCGGTCGATGTCTGATCTGATTTGGATGTTGGGCAGATTTTGGTTTCACAGTTCGCACCATTGCGATATTACAGTTGACAACAATAGAAAGTCAGAAAAGATCTGAATATAAGAATTCTAAATTCACCCGACTACAAATAAGCGCGTTTAAGTTCACGGAGTCTGAAAAGAAAAAGGGGGGGGAGGGGGGGGTACCGGAACGCAGTCGACCACGCCCCCCCCCCCTTTCTCAAACGATTTCATGCAAAATAAATGCAAAGCCAACTGTTTCATCGAGAACACAAATTCTAATCAGCTGTCGCCAAATGCCCTCAGGGGCGGGCTATCAGAAGACCTTTCCCTTTCCGGCATTGGAACAGCCTCGGCCAGGCCAATTGTCAGACCAGCTGGCATTAACCTCCTGGTCACCAATTGCACCATCAGGCCACAACATATGCGCATGAGAGGAGGCAGACGAGAATATGGCATAAGAAAAGATGTTTTCAAAAAGATGGAACCAACCTATGATAAGATATGGTTACAAGTGTATACTTATCTGCATAATTCATATAAAGATGACGTCAGAAAATACATACAGTAGTTGACAGCGAATTGTCAATTTTTTTATTTCGTGTGTAACTTCACTCAGACTCAACAGAATTTGATGAGACCAAGAGCGTTTAAGAGGCTGGGAGACACGCTTCAACCTTATGAAATTGTCTTATTTCATATCGGCCACAGGCGTGGTAAAAATTTCAAAACAAATTTTTTTGGGGGACAACGAATTGTCAATTTTTACATTTTGAGGCATAAGATCTCAATAAACCAGCATATAAAGACTAGAATGGAGAGTAATCAGTTGCCAGCAATCATAGAACAGCATACAACGGGTTTCAGCCATTAGTATAATCTCCTTCGCTTTCTATAGGTCGGGCACTTGGGGGTGGACCATGTACAATATAATGTCAGCTTAGGGGTCTCAAAGGCCGAAATTATTTGATATTATGGTTTTTAATGGAAGAGTATTGCTTATGTGTAAGAAAATTGCACCAGATTACAACTTGGAGGAGCTAAGGGTCAAGCATTCGTCAGATAATATTATTTATGGTCATCTAAACCCTGTGTTACTCCCAAAAATCGATAATTTTCTTGCCGACAGGGGGCATAGGTTCATTTAAACTTTCTTTACGGCCAAGCTGACGACATTCTACAAATTATTTCATTACCTGTCTCGACGCCCTGAAATTTCCGGGTGAGATTCTGACGGTCCAATTAATTCTTGTGCCACACTAGGGTGGTGAGTATATTAATCATTTTATTGCGCGTCTTCTGCGTTTTTAAACGTTAAAACTAATATTTTTAATGCTTGTAAAAATCTCTAATATGCTAATAAAATATCTTGGAAGTTGCAGGCTTGAAGAAATAAGAATTTTTCTGGGTGTTACAAACCCGACGTGAAAATTCATGTAAATCCAAATATTTCCCTCTGCATACCTCTTCCATGAGTGCCGGTACTGGCATGTGAAAGGCACTGAATATTTGTCTTTTAGTGTAGTTTGCTTTCAAATATAGAAGGTTTCTCCAACGATCTTCATGCGCGACATTTTTTGATTTTTGATACTCTGACCAACAGTATGAAAGGCCATGATTAACATATTCGAGGTAACAAGGCGCAAGTGTAACCCGTTAGGTGTAATTTTTTGACTTGCCCTAGCGTAGTAAGATGTAACCGCCCATAAAAAACCGGAATATAAGATAATTTCGGCCTAGGAAGCCCCCAGGCTGACATTATATTGTACATGGTCCACCCCCAAGTGCCCGACCTATAGAAAGCGAAGGAGATTATACTAATGGCTGAAACCCGTTGTATGCTGTTCTATGATTGCTGGCAACTGATTACTCTCCATTCTAGCCTTTATATGCTGGTTTATTGAGATCTTATGCCTCAAAATGTAAAAATTGACAATTCGTTGTCCCCCAAAAAAATTTGTTTTGACATTTTTAACACGCCTGTGGCCGATATAAAATAAAACAATTTCATAAGGTTGAAGCGTGTCTCCCAGCCTCTTAAACGCTCTTGGTCTCATCAAATTCTGTTGAGTCTGAGTGAAGTTACACACGAAATAAAAAAATTGACAATTCGCTGTCAACTACTGTATGTGCCACCTCGGGTAACCACACGTTCTCAAATGGCCCTAAGAAAAATCTTAACGCACTTAACACTCGGCAAACATTAGATGCCGACGAAAAAAGTACAACAAGAAGAACAATGGGGACTTGAGAGGTGGGGGAAAGGGGCTTCCGGTGCTTCGGCATTTGCATTTTACACACCTGGGCTCACAGAAAGGCCATTGTCTCTAAATTTGCATAATAAAAAGAACCCGATATGAGTCAGGACACCGAAACATATGAGTCATGGATCTGATACTGCATTATACATCAAACAAATCCACAAGTGATCCCTTTCATATATACCGATATACGAGATTCCAAGCTCCTGTCTGCCATTGCGCAACACAGAGTTTGAACAAGTGGTGGTCTAACAACGCCCGAAGAGAGCGATTCCCATGAGGAATCAGATCTCCCTTTTCCTTTAAAGAAGCGCCCTTTATTCGGCCCGACATTATAGTCGGAGATGAAATCGTTGATTATAAGCAGGTAAACAAAAAGAGACCGAGAGCAGAAGGACTGAGCCCGATGAAGATAGTCTCGAGGGACTCAAGATATTACAGTACCCTTTAGAAATATATTTTTTCAGCCCATATTTACACTCCCGACCTCTTGGGTTATAATAAAATACGGATGTTTAAGGCTTAATGAAGCTAAGCGCTTTATTAATACTCCCGAGTCAATGAAGACAAACATTCTTTTACATAAAATATTGAATAACGAATCCCAATAACTTTTCCAGCAAGACGATTTTTTAGAGCAATTAGCTAAACTAATTGACTGGAGAAGGTCGTTGCAAACACTTTCTCCGAAGCTCGTGAGGTCTCAAAAAGTGGAGGTTGACAGTAATTGGAAGGCCATTACTCACTCCACGAACATTTCATTTTAGCGCATCCCACAAATCAGTCCCTGCCACAAAACTTTAGATCCTCGCACGAAGATGTTGCAGGATACAGTAATCCACTGAGCTGAGATGATGTCATCCCAAATGAAGATTCCGATTTTATAATAAAAATACCGGCATATAACGGACCAGGTGTGTTTGAATAACGGATCGGGAAGATTAGGGGGATAAATAACTATAAAAGTCAGCAACAGGGATCTTCAAAGGTCCAATTAAGTAAACAGTTGAGAGTCATAAAAGGCACCGCTCTCGACAAAAAACAAAATTGGATTGCGCAATGAAAAGGGCAAAAACACTTGACCGGGCGATCTTCGACTGGATGAGGCTAATTGGGAAGGTAAACGCTCTTTGAAAATTGAGATGCCGAATGTTACAGTAATCTAATGCAAACATATTACTGGTATCTTGACTACCATAATTCCGATGCGTGCTTTACTCATCAGTAATGATTCTCTGACAGTATTTGGCTGTAATCGTACTGAAAACACAATCAGATCTCCGTTTACAACTCGGTTGAGTTCCCATGCCCTCCAATTTAATGAGGTTTGATGTGTTCCCATACCACATTTTACCACCCTCCTTTTCGTGAACGCATTTTCTCAGCAAAGAGATGCAGGTGCGCGGGAAATGATGGAATCGAAATGGTCTGTTTGTAAACGGAATATCAACAAATCCGGGGATATTAAACAACGAATATCAACAATAAATAATAAATCTCCACCCATCAAATCCCAATCCTGTCCCACTGCGAGAATTTGCATAAAGACTCTCGAGATTCGCAGCTGGGCGCTAATTTGTGACGTAACGACGTTAGCAGTCTTAATGGACATGGACAAGCAACAGACTCCGATTTCATGCTAAGATAATTTATTTGAATAAAAAAATTCACAGAGATCATCTAAAGTATCACAGGCGTTAGAGGGACTTCGAATTATTCCACCCGAGGAGTGACCAAGTTCAGGTTTTTGAGCTCTTCTTCCAGGTCGAGTAAGTTCTTCTCCAGCATTTCCACCTCTTCGAGACGACCGGCTTGAGCAGCTTGTCTAAGGTATCTAAAAATAAACCGGCCACGTTATATTCAAACAATAATAAAACATACCCTTTAATTATAAGATATTGCTGAGCAACCGGGTGTACATCAGCTGCTTCCTCGTCTTCGAAGAAGGGGTTCTTCTGACTGATATGCTCCATGGGTTCAGGTGTCCAACTATCTTCTGTTCTGAGGCCACTGAAAGAAACACTAGCCTTGAGATAAGGACGAGGAGCCGTCTCTAAGTGAATTTCCGAGGCTGTTGATCGGGAAAGTTGAGGATTCGACGGAGACGGCTGAAAATATTATTAATGCGGACTTCAACCGAACAAATCATACTGTTTCCAAAACCATACCTTAATCTGGCGTTTCTCCAACTCCGATTGCTCATGAGCCCGTCTCTTGTGTTTCTCATGTAGTTCTTTATATTCATTTTGACTAGGTAGATCTGGCATGTCCATCATCACATCCTAATAGAACAATTTTATTTAATGTAAGTATACCCACCTGGAGTTGATTCATGGCTAGAAACCTAATATTCTTTTGAACAACCAGCTCACGAGGAGTTGGCGGGATGGGCGCGATTGGATCGTTGTTCATCCCCCAAGATTCTAATCGTTCACTAAAGAAAGTCCAATTTATATTATGCATTATTATATTACACTAACCTGAGGTCAATAATTTCTCTTTGAACACTAATTAATTTCTTTCGCAATTGATTTGCTGAATCCAATGTATATAATCCTTCCCCCAGACTCAATGAATTAGCCATTCTCCTGAATGATGGGGCCAGATTGCTGATCTGCGTAATTAAAGTGCATAATTTGTCATATAGATCAACGAACACGGGCAAAGCGGCTCCCAAATCCATCCTCCTTTCCCGTTTCGCCAGGTAATCTTTGCATAATTTGCATATCCTCAAGCTATCTTCGGGCTCATCAGAGACAAACTTCCGTTCATTAATGATGGTGTTTAAAAGTCGTCCAGTCCTCATCTTAAGTGCTTCGATCTGATCATGACTGACGGAAGAGCGGCGTTCTTTGTCGATGTCCTCGGTTAGTCCGTTTATGACATCAGCAGCAAAAGCTGGATTTGTCAACTTCCCTAAATGACGTAGGTGTATTATAAACAACAACATTTTTTATTATAACTTTTTGGTTGCTATAACAACACAAATTGGGTTTGACATTTACACAGAAATGCTGCGACGCAAACCTACTGGCAGAAAAGAAGGACAAGAACTGAGAGCAATTCCCACATATAATCTTTCCACATAATCTGCAATGATGTTTCCGTTTTGTAATCGAAAACTTGGCGTTACACAATTTGCAATTGGCGGCATTTGAGTCATCCACCCAAGGAACTGTTTTCTTTTCAAAATCTAAAATAAAAAGGAAAAATAAACGTAAAAAACACCGATAATGCTGTGTAGTACACCAAAACGACACCTTTTCTGTCATTACTTGACTGATCAAAGGACATAATTAATTTATCCAGTCGGATAACCAAAGTATTTGTCATTGTTTCTACTTGATCATTATTCTGCTGCCGTATCTCCTTAAATTCATTCGTATATCTTGTCGTCACACCCAACTTCTGATCATCATCGACCAAAAATCTGGCGTTTATTTCCGAAGGGGCCACAGAATTTATAGAGTTTGATATGGGAATACTTTTGGCAAATTCCAGTTCATTTATCCTTTGTTTCGCTTTCCCAAACACATCTACAATCAATAAAAATAAAAACAAGTGAAAAAGACTCACTTTTCACATAGATTAAGGGATCGCCTCCTTCCGAATGCTGCTCATCTACGTGTTTGTGAAGGGTTTCAGAGTCGCTGAAATCCCCGAAGCAAAATGGACATATGAAACCTTGACGTATTTGATCTGCGTCCATCAAGTTCCCGGTTTCATATCGGATAAAATATAACATTTTTTACAATTATTTTTATGAGTCTCACCGCAAATAATTGAAATCAAAATTGTTGGCATTCTGATTCAATTGAAAAAAACAATTATTTTCTAGACTTACAAAGTCTCCAAAAACTTAACATGATCTCTAGAATAGTTTATTTACGGTCATCTGTTTTCAATGTTGCTTCACGATGCAGTTTATATTGTAGTAGGCTTCGGCTAGATCACAAACATGACCATTCTCACTTGACGCAAGAACAGAAGAAGGAATTTGAACGGAGAGTTCAAGAACAAATCAACCAAAGGGAAGAGCAAAAACAGAAAAAGCAGAAAGTGGTCCTCGGTGTAGGTATCCTGAGCTCATTCATGGGAAGCGTGGGTATTTGTTTATGGCAGCGTAGAAACGAATGTAGGAAAGAAAATGAAAAACGTCCTCCGATTGAGCTGGAGCAGTTCTTGAACGAATATGTTAAAACAGGAAAGGTACGTTTTCTGTGTTCTCTAAAATTTGATAAAATTTAGGTGTCCGCTATGGTAATACATCCACATTTTGAAGTGATCGATGTATTTCTAACAAAGGATAAGGCAGATGACTTCCAAGCACAAGCGAAGAAATTCCTAAGTACGGTAAGTGTGTTATGCTATTAAATCCTTGTATTTAGTTCTCGTCCGGTCCCGAAAGATACGCAAAAGATCCAGATCTCCGAGTCTCCTTTAAATGTGACGAAAAGCAACTTGAAACCGCGATATCGGAAGCTCAGCAGGCCTTTAGTGGAACATCCGAGATCAAAGTTGAACTGAACTCGTTCCCGGGACCCAAAGAAATTGGATTCATTGTGCTGTCATCAGTTATCGCCATCGTTCTTGTTGGTTCCTTTAATCTTTAGGTTTACATCCTACAGTTGCTGATAAATTCTTTAGACTTCTATGGCTATGATAAGTAAAAATAGTATTTCTCTATTAGGGTTGTTAAGTCGCGTCGTTAACTTGAAGTCACGTTGTCAAATTGCCGTTATCATGCAAAATTTTTCTATCATTTTGATTGTCATATTGAACGTCTTTTGAAAAAAAATTTTGTGGATTTTTGCTAAAAAATCGTAAGAATTAAAAACTTTTAGGAACTAAATTGCCCCTTGTCAAAACGCTCGATGAAATAAGCAGTAAAACTAGTTACGACTAATATTAACGGTATTCATCATAGTCTATCTTAAACTCGCGCGTTAAATCTACGAAAATTTGACGTCATTTTGAAAAATTTCAAATTAATACCCTATTTTCTATAAAGCTCTATAAATCTAGCTAGATCTAGCAGTAGTATATAATAGGCGTTTCTGGCTAACCTAAAATTTTCCCCCACCACCCGTCGATTCCACATCTCAATAAATCAACTACAAACAGTTAAAAAGCATACATTTTCACAAAAATATTCTATAAAATCAATATCTTAAATTATCCACCCCAGATATGGGGCAACCCAAACTCCCCCGCCACTCTCCATCAATTTTTACCCTTCAAATCGTCAAAATTACCCAAATTATCGAATCAGACAATTTTCAAAAAAACCTGGGACACCCCCAAAAAAACTTTTTATTATTCGTTTAAAGAGTAAACGTCGAATAATTTGATGTTTTTACGCACATTGGAGACATATTCCTTGAGATCATTCGTCTTTTGAGGTTTGTCGAAAACTAAAAGACTCTTGTCGAAAGCCTAAAACGAAAAAAATAAAATGAGTAAGTTTCGAGATAGAAAATCTCTTCATTTTACGCAATATTTCTCCTTTCGTCGCAAAAAAGATTTTGGCCGGGTCTTAACCATGAACAATATCATCAACCTTGACCGATGCCTGAGCTTAAAAATGAGGATTTATATAATTCCTTAGTCAATGTATTTATCAAAAGCAGATGTCGGGCGCTTCTCACTAGTCCCGTCGTCTGATCGGAGCACTTTCACGTTGATGTGATGGACATGAGGGGCAGTGGATGCCCGTCTATTGACAGACTTTAATTTTTCAGTCGAACCGCTTTCGGAGGGTACACTTTTCCTGGATTTTGTTCTTCGATCGCTTTTCTTTTTCTCATCTCCGGCCGTAGATGGTTGTTGTGGGGATGGGAGATCGCTGTTGTTCTTAGTCAGGGTGGGACGTCTCATTTGTTCCATCACAAGTGACGCACGGGACTCTGTTCGAGGATGTAAATAACGATCATTGAAGATAATAACAGCTCGGTAAAACTGCAGAGCGATGATTAATGCATTCTTAGAGAGAAAAAAAATCATCGTGTAGGTGATCAGTTTGTATTGAAGAATAAGATATACACGGACAAGGAAGAATGGTATGTCTTGCAAACAACTGGCTACAATGATTGCCCAGATATCAACGTCGTATAGGATCTGGAAGGGAGATTAGAGGTTCTGGAAGAAAAGGAACCTACTTGTGACATGGTCCTGGATTTAGTGGTAATGGCGGTGTCATCGGTAATCGCCACTCTCATCTTGCGAGCACGGCTAACAGTCAAAATGAAAGGGAATTGCAACAGAGAGAGCTTAAATTATTACAGTACCAATGTTTTCTTTTGGAATTAATTGACTTACTGTCCAAGCGGAGAGAACCAGCTTCTGAAGATTCAAGTTAAAGTAAACAGTCCTTTCTTTGAAAACATCAAAGAATTCCACAATATCAGACGAGATCGCCTACAAATACTTTAATAATAGACTGTTCCTTACAAGGTAGGCCAGCAAAATCTGTGACAATTGTTCTCTACTTATGTCTCCCTTAGGCAGCAACCATCTTCCTACTATTAGTACGACCAGTAAGAGCTGTTCTAAGATCTGATATTCAAACATCTTATCTAGTTTTTGGTCTATAATTGTAGTAATTACATTTGTATGAAACTTTGTTGATTTGTGGCCTACCATTTGTTTGCCTCCATTGACAAAGTTTGGTTTCGAGTAGCCATATCGGAGGGGCCGTTGCAAGAATGTAGAGTAAGATGCTTGGAGAGAACCACTTTCTCTCATCCCCCACCCTCATCAGTATAGTATGTCCGCCCTCCACTACAATACTGACTGATATCAGAGCAAATCCCCATATCGAATTTTCCCCTTGAACATTAACAGCAGCCCAGATGGTTGCTACAGAATGGAATATAAATAGAGCCCTGGCTGACAAGGCCCGAATTATGTTGATCAAAATGCCACTCCCCGAAGTTGGTCCTCTGATCGCCTTAGCGGCCGCTCGATCTCTGGCGATGGCCGCGGCTTCAGACTGCTCAGCTGATGGCCTCAAAGAATGTCGCTTCTGTGCCGAGCCCCCCTTATTGTGCTTATTGGAGGACTTGTTGTCAGAGACCATCTTCTCAGCCCAGAAGTACTTAAAGAGGAATTAAGTGAGTTACTGTGGAAGTTAAGCATGCTATGGTAATACCATAAAGACTACTTACCATGGTTGGTGACTTGTCTGTTGACCCGCAGTGAATTGCCTAAGTAAGAATCCTTCCGAGCAAAAAGTTTCTCAGCTCGGAAAACGCCGATTTAAAACCCTGAGGGGCCAACGGCCTTAAAGCGGCACTGTTGAACAAAAATAAATCCCCTAAGGGCCAATCGAATGATGGTCTTGTCAATCTCTTCAAATGGCCTTATATGTTGGCAGTAGTATACAGGGTGTTTCAAGAAATTTGGAACAAATGATTTGCTTATATCTTTGTGTTCTTTGCAGCTATCAACGAATTTCTTTTTGCTTCTAAAAATTGACAGCGTGCGTTTTTAGAATCTCAAAAAAAATTTTTTTTCCGTCGGCGGAGGGCCCATTTCTCGGCGGAGAAAATTAGGGCCTTTTTTAAAAATCACAGCGTATTACGCGGCGGAAACGCCGTTGCAACGGCTGAAATCAAGTTTACGTAATACCTCCATCGATTTTACGGTATGCTTTTTTTGCGTTTTCGATTTTACGCACTTCCGCGGATGCGCGGCGGAGACCTCAGATTTCGGTGGACGTTGTTTTGGGCCTTTGGTTTTTGCAATTCATGTTGTAAAAGGAGGTTTGGGTGATTTTTTGTTGTCATCCGATGCACAGATGGCAAAAATTTCGTGCTTTTTATCCCCGGCGGAGGAGTCGGCGGAGGCTTTATCAAAGGGTAAAAAAAACTCCGCCGATTTGTCCGCCGGACCAAAAAAATCAAAAATCTTTGAAAGACAATGCTGCTCTGATGGATTCTTGTAGCTGAGATTTTTCCCGGACTCGTAAGACTGCTTTGACCCTTTGATGACATCTGCAGATCTGGGAAAGATTTCTTTTTTTGGCGAGTGAAGTCACGGTCCCATCACGAAAACAACCAGAAAAAATTATTTTGGAAATGAGGATTCTTTCTGCTGAAATTTTCTATCGCGACATGTCGGGTCACACAAGTGCGTCAATCTCGCATTGTTAGTTTAGAGGCATTTTCGTGGCTTCATGGAAATTGGGCAGAGTGAAATTCGGCTGAATTCAAGGAAGGACACGCATGTGTGCACGCATGTCACGGAAATAGAGACACAAGAAATCTGTCGAACTTCCTTCTGTCCAATTTCTTCCAGTCGAGTCTCACCCTGTCCAATTTCTTCAAATTTCCATGAAGCCATTTGGGAATGACAAATTCCATGTCAAATGGAATTTGTTATTTCCCAAAAAATGAAACTTTTGTTTAAAAAAAATCTGTCAAATTACCAACCCTAGTAATAAACTACAGTTAATAATCTATTCTTATAGAAACGCTTGAAGTTGTTAATGTTATTGTTTTTCATAATATCTTCGGTCGTGCTTCATTGTGTTTTCCTTATACTCAGTTTTTAGGTAACAAAATGGCTAAAGGAAACAAGTTCCAAAAGAAACCAGAAGCGTCTGCTCAAAGAAAGGGCCCCGGCGTTCAGAAGAACAAAAATTTTAATAAGAAAGGTATACATTTACTTGAAATTAATTTATCCAATTTTTAGGTGGAAAGGATAATGAGAGCTTTGACAAGACTCAGAATGGCAAAAATCAACAACAGCAGAAGAAAGGAGGCGTACAAAAACCATTTGAAAATAAGAAAAAGCAGCAAGAAGAAGGTGTGGAGCCTCAACCTCTAGTGAAGGGACGTCAACAAAAACCGCAGAATGCAAAGAATCAGACTGCTCAGAAAAAGGTGGAAGTGCCTAAGAATGTAAAACAAGAAGTTCATAAGAATTTGAAAGAAGCGAAAAACCAAAGCCAACCCAAACAGAAGGAACCTCCCAAGCCTACAAAAGTTGCGCCTGGAAAGAAGGAGAAATTTGAAATCAAGGCCCAGAAGTTCAACCCGAAGATGAACGTGGCACAGACTAAGGTAGTTAAATTGTACATATATTATTCTTCGTGTTTTCAGTAAGGTGTTATTGAAAAAATTTTAGAAGGGAAAGAGGGTAGAGGAATCTTCGGATGAGGAACTAAGCGATGAAGAGTTGGAATTTGAAGATGCTGAAGGTGAAGATGGTTATGAGTTTGAGGATTTGGAAGACGAAGAGTTGGAGATTGAAGAACAGCAATCCGATGAAGAGGAAATTCCAAAAGTAGAAATAAAAAATGGAAAGAAAGAAGCCGAATCCAAAGCTCAGAAGGAGAACAAGAAACCCGAACCTAAAGCCAAGGAGGCCAACGCTAAGGCCCAAAAGAGACCGGCTGCAGAATCGAATCAAGCTGTATCCAAGAAACCCAGAACCGAAGACTCGGCAATTTTAGCCGAAGAAGAACGAAGAAGAGCCGAGCGAGATTCCAGAGGAATTGTTATTATTTTGGATGGTAAACAAAAGACAGCCTCCGAGTCTATGCTCAGATCTCTTCATCCTGATATAATTAATGTGACCAAGACAGGAAAGGCTGCTTTTCTACATTTTGTATCCGAAGTGGCTGCAGAAAAGGCTTTCAAGGCCATTCAACAACTTAGACTTCTGAAGAAACCTATTAAGGTTGATTATCTTGGAGTTAAAAGCAAGAGATCTCATAAAGAGAGAGACCGTGAGTTGCAGTTGTTGTTAAAAAATGTGTTATTTTTAGATAAACAAGGGGTGTTGGAACCAACTAAGATTTATATAACCCACTTGCCCACAGACATAAGCAAAGAGAAGATTCAAGTGATTTTTCCAAAAGCAACAGGCATTTTTACCAACTTTAAGAAGTAAGATACTTCTTATAATCTATGTTTCCTGTATTTAGACGAGCTGTATTCGTTGATTTCGAGAATGAAGCTGACGCCAAGGAGGCCTTTGATAAAGGGAAGAATCTCAAAATTGGAGGAGCATTTGTTCTGGTTACTTATAAGAGAACTAGTAAGTTCATCGTCTTTATATTCTTACTTCGATTTTAGTTGTAAGGGATGAAGAAGCCGTTGTGGAGCCGAAGAAAATTGAGAAGCAGCAGACAAAGAGTGAGAAGAAAGCCGAACTAACGGAAATTCAGAGGAAAAAGGAAGAAGAGAACATAAAGAAAAAGTCTCCCGTGGTCGAAGAAGTCGATACCGAGTCTGATTTGGATGATGAAGAAGCAGAAGACGAGGAAATGGACTTTGAAGACCTTGAGTTTGCTGAGGAGGAAGATGAGGACGAAGATGATGAGGAGTAAACGGAAACGGTCCGGTCTTGTTCACTAATCGTTTATTGTTGTCTTGTTACTTGTTACCAATTGCTGTTTGAATGTTATGTTTTATTAATAAATTCAAATATTGAGATCATTCGTTGTAGCAGTGCATGTAGACACTAATATCCCATTTCATAGAGGGCCTTATCCAAGGAGGAAACAGCGAATTCAAGGTCGTCCTTATTGAAACAAAGGGGAGGTTTGAACTTGAGGATGTTGGTGTGGGGACCGTCAGCATTCAGGAGGACCCCGTATTCCTCACGGAGCTTGAAACAGAGATCTACGGCTAGTTCAGTGGCTGGCAAACGACTCTCCCGATGCAACACCAGATCAAGACCCCAGAACATACCGACGCCTCTGCAATAGGAACAATGCGTATTATACAAGAGTTTGCAATTAAAAGTAAATCAGATAGACTTACCTGATATCCCCAATGCATTGATGTTTTTCCTTCAGCTTTCCCAACTGCTCCTCAAAATGTGTTCCCATTTCTTCAGAATGTCTAAGAAGATTTTCTTCCTTCAGCACTTCCATTACTGCCAATACAGCCGAACACGAGACAGGATTTCCTCCAAAAGTGTTAAAGTATCCGACTTCACCCCCAAGACAGTCAGCAATCTCTTTTCTCGTTACTACCGCGGCCACTGGAAATCCATTTCCCATCGGTTTTCCCATGGTTAATATATCGGGAACAAAGGTGTCATCCTGCAGTTGATGGGCCCAAAACTTCTGTCCAACTCTTCCGAATCCAGTCTGCACTTCATCGATGATCATCACACCCCCGTTAGATCTTATGATCTTAGCGACTTTAGACATGTATCCTTTGGGCGGGATGATCTGACCTCCACATGACTGGAGGGCTTCGGCGATGTAAGCACTCACAGTTCGACCCTGACTTTTCACTTCACTCTCGACCATCTTCCTGAGGTCATTAGCGTACATAGTTCCCATTTCAACTAGCTTTTCTTCATTGCTCAAATCAAGATCATTCAAGCGATACTTTCCACGATATACATCAGGAGTAGCGGTCTGAAATATTACAAGTAGATTGTTGAGAGAAATTCTGCATGTAGGAAGCGGAAAAGAGCTTACAACATGAACCCATTCAGGTTTAGGGATGCTACTACCATGGTCGAACTTGTAAGGGCTGATCTGCATGGTGCTTATAAGATGACCGTGATATGCATGATCCATGCAGACGACATCGGTGTTCTTGGTGTAGTCTCTGGCCAATCTCAACGCCAGATCATTAGCTTCTGATCCAGAATTCACAAAAAGTACAGTGTCCAATTCAGATGGAAGAGTCGCCAGGATGGCTTTGGCCGCATCAGTAAGCTTGTTGCTCAGAAATCGGATATTACAATTGGTAGTCAACATTTGCTCGTAGACTCTACTGGCCACTTTTGGATTGCAATGACCGACTAAACAGTTACAACAATTACGGCAACCGGATTACCGTGTTGCACATTGCTGATGCAATCCAGGAATTGTCTTCCATTCTCATCAAACAGGTATTGGCCTTTGCCCATGGACACCAGAAAGGGGTCCTTCCCATAGAAGACGTCCACTTTGCTTCTAAAACAATATATCTGAGCAATAATACCAGAGATGATATTACGCTTTAGCACGTTCACTTACCCAATACATTGTTTCCGATCCTCTAGCACTTTAGTTTTGTCAACGGACTCCAGAATCAGCTCATTATTATTGGCCTCGGGGGTTTTGAAGTAACTGAGCGCTTGGAAAAGAACATTCATCTTGGAAAGTTCCTACTCCGAGATTACCCAGCAGCTATTTCCATTCTTTAAACATCATTCTAATCACCCAAGTGGGCGGAGTTTCTTTTTATCTCTCAGTGGGCGGGACCAACTTTTACGCGACAAATTGTGTTTATGTCGTGTGCAAAAAATATAAAATTTACACGTTGGAATGTTGAAATTGCTGCTGTTGTAATTTTTTAATAAAGAGTTCTTAGTAAATTATAATTGACAACAACTTTGTTTAATTGTTGATAAAAAAATTATGAACAGAATGCCTGAGGAAAAACGAGCAGGAAAGCGGAACACTTGATTAAATTCTGACCAAAGATTGAATAAGATCAGCAAAAGTCACGGAAAAGAAGAAGAATACCCTCCCTCAAGGACTCATGACCTCAGGAAATCTCTAGGGAACTCAACAACACCACTCGAGTTATCAGTTGGGAGCAGAACTAACAACTTTTCAGACCACGATTCCTAATTGACTATTAATAACTCATTTGTACATGCTTTTATCAATGTCGAAATGAGACTCAAATGGGAATACTGGCATACCAAACAACTTCTCGATCATGGGAATACTCTCCAAGGGATCTCAATTCACATGTTTTGTGGGCGATCAGAGAATAACATCGTTTTCTTTGGGTGATTCAAGTGCGAGCGACCATTTTTCCTTGACATTTATGCGACAGACATAACGGAGAGCTCATTTCGAGTCGTTATAACAACATGTACTTTCGTTTTAATCAAGTCTCGCAAGGATGGGTTGATAAGAGCGGTCTTTCTATTCCTAGCCATGCAAAATATGCAGTTGGAACATGAGATTCTCGAGGTTTGAAGTCTTTGCCCTTACAAGCCAGAGTCTGTAGGGCCATGTGACGTAATTTGTGGGGTGATCCGTTGGGATCATGTACAACAATATTTCATTACACTCAGATGTAAACAACCTTTGTCTCCTCGTTTTTATTTTCTTGTTTGTAAATGAAGCAAAGCCTTTCGGAGAGCCATTTGACGTGCACAGTGTAATTTCCTCGCCTCGGGGTCCATCTCGCTGTAGGTCATTGACTGATTGTTTGGTTCGAAGCAGGGGTCCCACCCATTCCGATCGCCCAGATTCCCGCGCGGACTCACAATCTGACCGTCGACTCGTGCCTGAAAGGATGACTTTTAGTGTTATATGGTCATGTCATTACTAATTGAAGATTTAAAGTAGTCACAAGTGTAATATGGAATTAAAAAGAATCTAAATTATTATACATTACCTCAAACAACAAGACTTCCGTCTTCCCATCAGAATTATACAATCCCACGGCCACCGTAGAAATTACCGTAGCTTTGAAAGAATTGAAGCCAACCAGCATCTTGTACAGTCCGTCCAAATCCAGGGAATGGATAAACCACTTGATGTAAGGTCCCGGCATTCCTCCAAGGGCCTCCAAACAAAGCGCTGAAACTCATCAATTACTCTTTAACGACCTTTGATTGAGATGATTTGAGAATGGCAGGGTGTAAAGCGAAGGACTGACCCGTGTCCTCGATGATCACATTGCCTTTTGTCATCTTGAGGGCCTCATTGCATTTGTGGATGGCAACTTCTGAAGGCTCTCCTTGAATCTCTAGCAGATCAAAGGAAAGAATTGAGATCGGAATATGAGGGGCCAGAACTCGGAGGGCATCTCTGATCTTCGCGTCATTTCCACTGATGAATACAAACGGAGCCAAGGCTAAAATGGTATTATAACACGCAAAAGTAAATTACTTGTAGCACGGATAACTTCATTTTTATCCGAATCAGGAAGGTCCATACAACCGAGTCAGTGAGAAAGTTAGTCAGAAATGAAAACATACAGTACCCTCTGAATTGCCGCAATAACTCATTTCTATTTTGTCTATATACGCGGTCTATGATGAACCAAGTTCTTATGTTCTCCCTATTATTTGTGGTAGTTTTCGGATATACAAAACATCAGATCCAAAGGAATCAACTAAGATACAAAATATATCATGAATGTCTCAGAAAAAGGGAAGACAGTTTCAGGAAGAAAAAGGATTCCCCAGCTGCCGAAAACGTCGTTGAGACGGCCGGAACGGATATTATTCTGAATTGTCTGTCTTGGTGAGTTACGGTAACATATTTGTATAAAATATGATTGATGAAGGAGGGTCATTACGCCTGGCCTAGGTTGATCCGCGGATCGCTTAAAAAATTTGAATGTTTTAATTTTCGCGGTGGGGCATCTGACAAAATTCCATTATGAGCAGATTTCTGAAATCCTTGCAAACATCCTGAACACCCCTCATTGGGCCTGCGTGTTTTTTGTCCCTAATTTAAGACGTTTTTGGCAGAGTTTGAACAAATTTTTGAAATGTTTTCGCTTCGGGACTTGGGAAAAATATTTTTGGAGAATTTGTACAAAATTTTGAAATTTTTTCGCTTTGGGACTACCCCTAAATCAATTATTTATCAAAAAAATTCTAAAAATAACATTTGTGCCTTATGTAAAATAAAATTGTAGCATTCAGAACGATTCTCCGCAAAAATTCCTTTTCCCCAGTCCCGAAGCGAAAACATTTCAAAATTTTGTTCAAATTCTCCAAAAATCCTTTTCCCAATCCCGAAGCGAAAATATTAAATGGTATCGGTGACCCGAAATGTCGTTGACCCGACCTGTCGCGACCGAGTTGTCCCTGACCCGAAATGTCGTTCATGACCTAGGGCGTGAGCTATTTCACGATTAATGTTCAAAATCCTCTGAAAATAATGCTATTAGTTAATCCAGGCAGTTTTGGCACTTCATTTAGGTAAGGCCCCAACCACACTGACGGTCACAACCTATGAAATCTGCCCCAAATGAAAAGTTGCGGCACTTTTTTGTAACAGAGCTCTTTCCAGTCTAACTCCACAAGAGGAAGACGCAGTAGAGGATCTTTGGAAGCCAAACGAAAATGTTCTTGGTAGAAAACTAGGAGATCTGTGGAATAAGTTCAAAGTCTTTCTGTCCGGAAACAACGATACTGCGGCTGAAGTTACTTATGGTTGGGATTACATGCCATTCCAACAAAGAGCGGATTGGAAACCAGCCATTGATCTGACAGAGCCCAAAACTCTAACCAGAAAGGCGATCAAAGCCTTGGAAGGGTATGTTTATTTAAAATTGACATAAGTTGGTTTAGATTGTTCAAGACGAAGACAAAGCTAAAAATTGGAAGTCACTTTGAATTGTTGATTTCTGATTTGAATCAGACAGACACTGGATGGTACCGTTGTTCAAAGAGGACTCCGCAAGAATATATTACATCCCTCTACTTTGTTCAAGTTGTCAGACCTCCAAATGTTATAATTGTAAGTGAAATGCGACTTTTTTGCAGGTTTAGTTGTGGCTTACTGTAGGCCGAAAAATTGGCTTACTGTACTTTTACCGCAAATCTTACTGTAAGCGTACTGTACTTTTACCACAAAACTAGACATTTTGCCGCACTATGGAAAATTTTTGAGAAATCTGGGTTACTGTAACTTTGGATCCAAAGAATCAATTTTTTCTTGCCTTAGGCAAAACTTTAGAAAAACGGTGTCAACAGGTAACTTGCTCAGAATAACGATACCAATCCATCCGTACCACCCCCGACTCTCTGGCATGACTAGTTTTTTTTGACAAATTTTGCGGTAAAAGTACAGTACGCCTACAGTAAACCCAATCTCAAAAAAATAGAAGTGCCAAAAAATTTTGTTTTGTTAGTGCACTAACTGGGTTGAATTGCAGCCCTGTAGGACAAACTTGGTAAAAATGTGCCACCCCTGTTTTACGGTGGCTCGACTTTCTGGACAGGGTGAAATTGGACAGATTTTTTCGCTGCAATCGTACGAAATGTCACTATTGAATCATCGAATAATTACTTTTTGCAGTGAAAAAAATCTGTCGAGTTTCACTCTGTCCAATTTTCGCGCTCTGTCCAAATTATTTCTGTCCAATTTCCACGAAGCCGATTTAGACTAATCTTTTGCCAGCCCCTACCCATGCCGGGATGAGCGAAAAAATGAAAAGGGGTCAGGGGGGACCTAGGTAAATTTGCCCCTGTTCCCAGCAACGCCCCTGGCGTGTTCATAAGCTTCAAGTGTAATATAATTTTATGTTGTCTCACTTTTTACGGCAAACCCTTTTTCTCGGTAGTGGCAGTTTTCTTTAGAGCATGGTTTTAATCCAATTGATTGTTGCAGAAACACATTAACTCTTCCGCGAAATCTGAGCCGTCTCTTAAGGATCGAGAAATTCGAATTCCCACCTACAAACAGTTCCATGACTATAATCTTGTCGCTTATAAAAAGCATACAGATTGGTCACCGTGTAATCTTTGTGGACCTACGATTGGAGAAAGTCTGAGAAGGGTGCAATGTTACGTGAAACCGCTTGATAAGGTATAAATATAAATCTGTAAACATAAACTCTTAATTGCCATATCTTTCAGTTTCCAACCTCGAGTCCTTTTGCTGCAATTTTCGAGCTATTCGGCTCTCTTCCATGTAATTCGGCCCTATTGCCACTGAGAATTCGACGTCAATTAAAAAAATATCCAGAGGTTCAGGAATTCAAATTTTGTAAGGTAAGGAAGAAAAATTTATAATGTAACGGTTACCCTTCATTTGGGGTAGATCTGGTAAAAAATAGAGTTTTTATGGCCATTTTGCAAAACCGTTTGACTAGCTAGTTGATGCTAGTCAAACTTGGCAGCCAATTTTTTGCCGTTTGACTAGCCAATGAGTTGGATTGGCTAGTCGCAGTATCAGGACGCTACGGCTTTTCAGGTCAGCGACAGTTCGGGTCAGGGATACCGTTTCTATAGGTAATCGAGGATGCTAGTTTCTAAAATCATATTTTATTAGGGTTGTTAAGCTGCCGGATTTTTTTTCAATCTGACGTCAACTTGACGTCAAATTAGCGTAATTTTCCTCATTTTGGCTAACAGGGGAAGTACCCCAAGTGCGACGCTCAGATTTTGATGAAACTTGGCACAAATTTAGAATAATTTTTTCTAAGATATATGCGAGAATCTTAGCTCGCGCTTTGCAGAAACAACCGAGATTTTTAGATCGAAAGTCGGCGAAAATTTAAGACTTTTGCCGAATTTCGGCACTAAAAGTTTCATGCCTATTTCAACCGTAAAGGATAATGTTTCTACAAAAGATCAAATTTTTCCGCACGAAACTGCCAAAGTTATGGCCAAAAAGCGCTTTTCTCTCTGACCGCTCTCCACGTTTAGCTTGCTCTCTCGGCGGCAAAAGTCGTTCGGTATCTCGGCGGCGCGCGCAAAGCGCGAGCTTAAACTTTCAGGAATTGATATTTAGTCCATTCCCGACATGTGCGCAAAATTTTAAGAAAAAATATGAGCGTCGCACTTGGAGTACTTCCCCTGTAAATTGAAAATTCTCATATAGGAAGCTTTCACACGTGAGTTGAATACTGTTAATATTAGTCGTAGCTGGTTTTACAACATTGGCCATGAGAATTCGATAAAGTTTGCCCCAAATCAAATGTTGCACAGTCAATGTGTATATTTTTTTGTCAAGAAAAAGGTTGATTTTTTAGACAGATCAATTTAATATGTATAATGTCAGGGGCCGTATGAATTTATCGTTACATTGTTTTCAGAGGAAATGTATTAGTCCAGAAAACGAGACCAGAGTTGTGGAGAAGGTTGATAAGACTGGCCGGAAAGTGGTGCACGATATTATTCCTCCAAAGGAGTACTCTTTCTTCGAACGATTGCCATTACTCAAACCATCAGTCAGTAGAAAAGTTGTGAATATTATAGAAGGAACAGACTTTCTGGTGTTTGATTGTGGCCAAAGTGGAGTCTATTGGCATCGAGGATATAAGCCTATCACGCAGGATAAGTATCTGCAAGCAGGAGAAAAAAGATTTTATCTAACTTCTGATGGGGAATTGGTAATTCGAGACGTTGAGCTGGGTGATCAGGATTTGTACAGGTAAGTCAATACTTGTTGCTTCTATATTTTACATGTCTTGTTGCAGTTGCTTCGATTCTGAAGAGCGTCTGCTCCGTTCTTTCAAACTGATTGTAAAACCTGGAGATCGAACTACGGAGGTTGTCTCTTACAGCAGGATGTTGATCCGTTACTCTTCTACACTCCTTCTTCTTATTTTGGTGATGGGTCTTGTGGCCATCCAACATTAACAGTTAAAGAGAATAAAGTTTCCCTCTCCACTTTACTTTAATTTCCCGCACGATCAAAGTGACAGGTAAAGGTAAGCGGTGATTGATATAAAGGGTTCGGGGGAAGGTAATGAGGGAAAGAGGCGCTGATTTTCCCTGCATTCCATTCGTTTATTTATTGTATATATTGACCGGAAATGAGGTCTTCATTGACCGTCTTCTCCATGTTATACATGACTACCTTTTCATTCCCGAATGATTGTATAAATTTTGTTTTGATTTTCAACAATTAAAACATTTTAAAGTCTGCTTAATTTATGTCTTTTTTATTGCATACACGATTTGATCCCTTCTGTATGATGATGATGATCTTTTAAAATAATTTTTTATTTATTTGTTTCTCAAGGGGAATGACTTTTATAGAATGGATCTCGGCTCCTTTTATGTGGTTGTTTCAGCATTATGTAAACGTTGTATTCTGATTAATAACATCCCATGACTCCGTATTTGAACGTTTCCCGTGTTCCAAACTTATCGAATTATTTATATCATCCTTTGTCCCTGATGTTTTCGTTGGTTTTGGGGGAGAGATTAGAGACTTCTCGGTCAGAATCACCCAACCGAAGGCCCACAATATAATACAGCGCCTGTTTTTGTTCAGCCGATGAAAGAGAGAGTGCTTGGGAGCAGGCTTTGCGCAGTCAGGCGGCGACCAAAAACCGGGAACTGATCTTTTTCGCTCTTCGATCGCCCCCAATTCGAATTTCGAGCCCCAGGTAAACGCACGGACCTTATCACGGAAGACGTTCAGCCTCTGGAGCTCTTATCCCCGGGATCAGTCGAAGTGTGAAGATGACTGCGTTTGGGTCCACTTGAACTCCTTTAATCTTGGCTAAACTCCTCAAGTGTCTTGTCTAAACTTTTGTAATTCCAAAGTTTTCCAACTGGCACATGTTCAGGGAATCTTTGGGTATTCTTGGCGCGCAAACTGTCTTTTTTTGTCGTTTTTTGTCATAGTTGACGATGAGCATTTGAGATGATTTCAGTGTCTTCTTTACGCCTAACGACCCGCTAGAACATCGTCAAGATGGGGTCGTTATACCGTTCCGAGGAGATGCGGTTTTGTCAAATGATTGTGGAAAAAGATTCCGCGTTTTCTTGTGTTTCAGAACTCGGAAAACAGCCATGGGTTCAGTTCAAAGATGTAAGATTACAGTAATTATGATGACTAAATCTAATTTTGCATCTAATGTTTGCAGTTAAACGCTGATGTCAATTCTTTCCAAAGAATGTTTGTTAGAGATATTCGACGTTTCGATGAGATGGAAAGGAAATTGAGTAAGTAAATACTTGTAAACAAAAGACGACGTCCACTCGGGCCTCATTCAATAAAAAAACAAATGAATTAATCACCATTTCTTCAGGGTTTTTGGATGCCCAGGTTCAGAAAGATGGCATTGAGATTCCTGATAAAACCTTTAAAGAGCCAAATGACGTCATTAATCATTCTGAAATTAACCAATTGGAGCAGACTTTGACTGATCTCGAGAGAGATGTGAATAATATGAATGACAGTGATCATCAACTCAAGAAGAACTACCTTGAACTCAAGGAATGGGAAGCCGTTCTTCAGAAGACTGATCAGTTCTTCCAAGGGGTAGGTTCTTCTGCATGGTCATCAGTAAACATTTTTTCCAAAGCAATCTCGTAATTGTTTAATTCTACTAGAGTATTGGTGACTAAGGGATGTTTAGGGAATCGATGATGCTGCCATTCAAGAGATTGAGACCGCCAACGAGACCGAGGCCGGGATTCCTATGAGATCAGACAAAGAACCCATGGGATATAGTGTTGGGGTGATCAACAGAGACAAGGTGAATGTATTTGAAAGGGTCCTGTGGAGAGCTTGTAGAAGAACCGCCTTTCTGAGATCGTCTGATATCGAGGAACCCTTGGAAAACCCAGAAACTGTAGGTTTATTATAAATGTATTGATGATTTATTATAATGTTTAGGGAGAGCTGATGCATGAGTCTGTGTTTATTGTATTCCACAATGGAGATCGGCTTAAAGCTATCATCGACAAAGTTTCTGAAGGATTCAAGGCCAAACAATACAACCAGTGTCCCAAACTGAGCCAGGATCGCCAAACGGCGTTGGCCAAGGTCCAGCAGAATATCCGTGACATGCAGACGGTCATTGGCCAGACCAAAGATCATCGTCTCAAGGTCTTAAATGCAGCTGCCGCCAACTTGAAGGCTTGGTTGAAACAGGTAGGCGAAAGTCTTTATGATCTTTGTTTGTCTTTGTATTCACCCGTTATAATGTTTGTTTAAGGTTCGTCTCTACAAGTCCATTTACCATACTCTGAATTATTTTACTTTTGATGGGATCGGCAAATTCTTTGTGGCTGAATGTTGGATTCCTCTAAAGGATATTGAGAATGTCCGTGGGGCCTTGGAGAGAGGAGTTGAGAAGAATGGAGGCACCGTCAAGCCCGTCCTCAACATCCTCCACACCAACGAAACTCCGCCCACTTACAACCGTACCAACAAATTCACAGCTGTCTTCCAGAGCATCGTCGACTCTTATGGTATTGCTTCGTATCTCGAGCTGAATCCCGCTCCCTACACCATCATCACCTTCCCCTTCATCTTCGCTTGTATGTTCGGAGATCTTGGCCACGGAATCTTGATGTTCTTGGCTGGTCTCTTTTTGGTCGTCAGAGAAAAGAATCTGGAAGCTCGGCAGATTCGCGATGAGATCTTTACGATGTTCTTCGGAGGTCGGTACATCATCTTGTTAATGGGAATGTTCTCCATCCATGCCGGGATCATCTACAATGATATCTTCGCCAAGTCATTCAACGTCTTTGGCAGTTCATGGGTGAATCCCTACAAACACGCGGCCTTGGAGCAATGGTTCAATGAGTCAGAACATCACGGAAAGGAGGTCCATCTCGAGATTCCTCCAGACTTTAGTTACCAACAGAGCATGGGACCGTATCCTTTCGGAGTGGACCCTATCTGGAATGTGGGAGAGAACAAGTTGAACTTCTTGAACTCGATGAAAATGAAGTTGTCAGTCATTGTCGGCATTACTCAGATGGGATTCGGAGTAGTCCTTTCTTTGATGAACCATCGTTTCTTCAAGTCCGCCATCGATATCTACACGGTCTTCATTCCTCAGCTGCTGTTTTTGGGATGTATCTTCGTGTATTTATGTCTACAGATTATTGTTAAGTGGATCTTCTTCTGGGTTGAAGATACCTACATCTTTGGTCAACGATACCCTGGCTCTCATTGTGCCCCGTCTTTATTGGTAAGTAATATATTTTAAAACTTATATCTCGTCATCGCCTTCGTCATCTGTTTCCGGGGGTTCCTTGAATTCGACGACCACGGGTTCTTCGTATTTTACAAACTCAGGGGTCAACTTTTCTTTTTCTGCTTTTTCGGCGTTAGTGAACATGTTGTTGTAGTGCTATAGATTTACATAGGGTTAATGGGGTCAAAGGATGTTATGGTTTACTCTTACCTCATCTCTCATTCTCTCAAATTCTGACTTGGATTGTTTTCGATCGGCCTCGCTGCCTGGGACGGGAGTAGGTGGATCGGGTTGAAAAAGATGACCGTGTGTTCGAGCACGGGGCTGATAGGTGTCCAGAATGTTGGCCTCATCGAAGAAGGCGCGTTTGTGACGTGTCAGACTAGATGAATACAACTGGACCCACTAGATATGTTCAGATTATACTGTACTTGACTTGCCTGGAAAATGAATCCGGTAATGAAGATCCCGAAGGGCATTGAAAGAATCCATATCTGTCCAATGGGATGTAGTAGTAGGGTAGCGAAACCAACACTTGTCAGCACGCATACAGATACGATATATCTCATTCTAAAGGACTTTTCATCAAAAATTGAATTCTTACTGGGGGGAGCATGTCGCAGATCTTTGATTAAAATTGTCTCCCGAGAGCACCGCCGAACTGCTCATCGCTGATTTAAGCAATGAAAATATCTGAGTTGTGAGAAAAGGAAGTGAAATCAATTTGCATGACTTTAGATTGGTCTCATCAATATGTTCATGTTCAAAGATCGCGATCCTGGTTTTGTAGATGGAACTGGAAAACAACTACCTAATTGTTTCTTAAACCAATGGTATCCTGGACAAGTAAGTGGTACCTCTAATGAACTCATGTTGAAATTTAGTCCATGATTGAGGCCATCTTGGTCATCATTGCGGTCATCTGTATTCCTATCATGCTATTCGGAAAGCCCATCTACATTCTGATGAAACAAAAGAAAGCCAAAAAATCACTCTCCGATAACATGGTAAGTGACTGGGAGATTACAGGATGTTTATTTTGCAGAGTGTCCGAATCAATATGCAATCCGACGAGACTGAGGTGATTACCAATGGTAATGGGGTCAAGAAGGTCAAAGATGAAGACCATGCTCCTCATGGAGGAGGCGGCCATCACGACGAGTCCTTCGGAGATATCATGGTGCATCAGAGTATCCACACCATCGAGTATGTGCTCGGCTGTGTCTCTCATACTGCTTCCTATCTCCGACTCTGGGCCTTATCTTTGGCCCACGCTCAGTTGTCCGAAGTTTTATGGGACATGGTCCTCAGAAATGGGCTTCAACAGTCCGGTTATGTGGGTATCATAGCCACTTACTTGATCTTCTTCGTGTTCGGAGTCCTCACTTTCTCCATCTTGGTGTTGATGGAAGGTCTTTCCGCTTTTCTGCACGCTCTCCGATTGCATTGGGTTGAGTTCCAGAGCAAATTCTATCTCGGTGAGGGCTATTCTTTTACTCCGTTCAGCTTCAAAACTGTTCTGGAGCTGGCCCGGGCTGGCGACGCTACTTCTTAGATTTCTTGGTGATCTAGATCTTGCCAATGCTTCAGAGATTTTATTTTAGACATAAAGTTATATTCGACTCTATAAATCTTGGGTTTATTTGTACAAACAATAATATTTAATCATATTGAACCTCTATGGTCATTAAAAGGGTCGTTAAGTCATCAACTTGACGCGTCAGTCACGTTGTCAAAATGTTCTGTCATTTTGACTGTCAACGTTTTTTGGAGCATTTTTGTAGATTTTTACAAAAAATCGTAGGAATTAAAAATTTTTAGGAACTAAATTGCCCCTTCTTGTCAAAACGACCGATGAAATAAACAGTAAAACCAGTTCGACTAATATAAACGGTATTCATCGCAGTCTATTAAACTCGCGTTTGAAAGCTTCGTATATCAGAATTTTCAATTTCGCCAAAACGACTCTAATTTGACGCAATTTGAAATCAAGTTGACGTCATATTGAAAAAGTCCGTCAATTTAACAACCCAAATCAATAATGACCATAAAAGACTCAATCAGAATAACAGGAAATGCGATCAGTCATCCTCGAATGACTAAGTAACTGAGCAAGAGTTTGGGCGTCCGCCCAAAAACAAGAAAAGGGGTTTCCAGAGATTACAACTGCAGTTGTAAAGGTTCCAGAAAACAAATGCCATGGACAAAGAAAGCACGAGAGAATGTGGAGAAGGGAAGACCCGGATACGAACATGTTACAGTAAGATTACTGCTGATTCCTCAAGTCCTTGACGGCCTTTATGTACGGGATCAGAGCGCTCAAGGGCTTGGCATGTTGCAGAAATGGGTGCTCCAGCAATTCAGTGGTGTCTGCACGCTCTTCTGGCTTCACGCAGAGACATCGGTCGATGAAATCCACGAATTCCGTCGATAATTCACTGCGCTTTTTTATCTCGGGCTTTCCATTTTGCGCGATCAGATAAATGGCCTGTAATAGGGGATGGTAAAGCCTTATATGAGGTAGTCAATTATGCCGTCATACGTGTGAAATCAACCACTAAACTGGTATGTTTCTCTGATGACGTCATTCTCTACTTATGTTGAAAAATGGCAATTTTGACTCCGGGTAAAAAAACGAACGTTAGCAATAGCTAAAATTAGAAAAAGTGGGCATATTGCAAGTGTTCGCCAAGTCTCCGCCGAGCGTGCGCCGACTGTCCAACGGCTTTGCCAGGCCTCGCGGGCACTTCCTGAACCCTTTTTTGGGGATGCACCTGCCCTACGCGTAGCTAGGCCCAGTGGATTTTGTGTAGATCCGAATTATCGTCGACCCAAAAAGTCGGGACGAACGAAAAATGTGACTTCCCTTGTGAGTCGGAAATAAATCGGAAGAATAAACATAAAATAATTTTAGGCTACTCCATGGCCGAATTCCGTTGGCAATTTTTGAAACCGGTTCCCAGGACAAGTTTTCAAGGGCTTTCGAATCGTATAGAACATGTTTCAAATTACGATGGCTAATCTGTGCAGTGTTTCTCTTGATCTAATTGAGACCATTGTAGTAACTGTCCCCTTCTCTCGTTACTTTACACTTACTTTTAATTGTGTCTCATGCAGATAGGGCGGTTCCCCATCAATCATCTCCAAACACATGATCCCCAATGACCAGATGTCGACTTTGAAGTTGTATTTGGTTTTGTTTACAATCTCAGGCGCCATCCAATATGGAGTGCCGATTACCGTCGTTCTGAACAGAAACTATTCAATTTAAATTAAAGTCCTTACCGTTTAGCACCAGGCTGTAATTGAGCGCAGAATCCAAAGTCCGTTAGTTTGACGGCTCCATCCATCCCGAGCAGGACATTGTCACTCTTGATATCTCTGTGGATGATGCTTTGTTTATGCAGGAAATTCAAAGCCAAGAGACATTCCCGGATAACCGCAGCCATCTGACCTTCATCCAGTTCTGTCCTGGTGACCACATCTGTCAGATTCCCTCCTTCCAGATAATCCATGACCACCCAGAGATCGTCATCTCCCACCAAATAACTGTCGATGTAATTTACAAGGTTCTACACCATTAATTGTAAAGTAATTTCAGTCACTTACTTTGTGTTTGTAATGCTGCATGACCTTGATTTCGGTGAGTAACATCTCTTTCTTGGGCTGACTTCTAAAGGCCATTCTCTTAACAGCTACAACTTGATGCGTAACTAAATTATGGGCAGTCCAGACTGATCCCGTGGCTCCAGCTCCAATCTTCTCAGCCAATTTGTATTTGGCATAGGGATCTCCAGGTGAGACTATCCTTCTGAGTTCATCCAATACCTGAAAGATCAATATCATTTATGACGTCATGAGGATAATTTACTTCTTTGACTTTTTTGATTTACTGCATTACTTTGAGACTCCCTTAATGTGTTAGAATCTACATTGGTCACGATTCGAGTTAAAGTGTGGTTCTTTTGCCTTGCGGCGATAAAAAGAACAGGCTACAATTGCATTACACTCTTGGTTTCTTTTTGGAATCTTCTAAGGAAGCGTCAGGACAGAAGTGGGAGAAAATAATCTTTCTTATCAGCTTGGATGATGACGTTGATTAATTACCGTGCTTAACGGATTCTTGCAGACTCCTTTCAGAATCCCAAAAATCCCGAAATCCTTGCAAAAATAGATTCATCGCGTGTCGTCGCGAGTTCAAAGAAAAGAAGAGAAAACAATAAAAGAATTATATAAATATTATATTAGACTCTATCAACTTACCTGAGTGTCTGTCAGCTTATGCCGATGCCGATGTCTGACATCTTCTGATTTTTCTTCGGTTTTCTCGGCATTTGGAGTTCGCCTTCGAACTGGAACTCCCGGGACCGAAGGTTTGGTGATCAGGGGCTCTTCGTATTCGTGATTCGCCGGCTCTGGCTTGTGGATCACCTGAGAGATCTATAAAAATGATATTATTATGGATTCGCCATTGTCTGTCGTCGACTTTCCCTTTTTATCAACCCTTAATGTGACCTATATCTCGATACCAAACAAGACCTAATGTGGTTTGCTGACTACTTAAAACCCCTCTAAATATTTAAGGAACGTAATTTACTTACTGGTTTCGACAACTCCTCATCACTGGAATGCTTCGATGAGGCCGTTGAGCCAAGACTATGTTCATTCCGGCCGAGGGTTCGAGTAGACGAAGAGGGCGTCGAACCAGTCCCGTTCGCATTCTTGAGATGCTGAAAGAAAAAGCGCGTCAAGTGTAATGTGTAATTAGCCTAATGAAGCAAGCGTTGGCCCCGTCTCCTCACCCAGGTGATGTGCTCGATGTAAGCGGCGAACGGGGACTGGACGCTGACCCGAAACGGGGATGGAGTCGAGTCGAAAATCTTGCCGGATTCGAAGCCACAGATCTGGGATCCGCGGCTAGCCAGAAACGACAACGGCCCCGGGCCCAAATCCCCGCAGAAAGGACTGGACTGGGGTGCAATGGTGGACTGGAGTCAACGGGCCGCGATCCCGAAATCGAATCAATTCAACTCAACCATACAATCAGGAGGAACGCTGGGAACGATCGTGATTTAATCGATTCCAATAATTAAAATTCGCGCGACGCGGGTTTTTACGTACGGAAGAATACGAAAAACAGACGAAAATATCTGTCGTAAATTCAAAAAGCAAGATTCCGACGAGTCATTACTATCGAGGAAAGGGATCCCTTCCACCCTATGAATTTCGATGAGAGAAATGTTATCAAAATAATCAAAACACCGCTTTAAAAGAATCTAAAGCAAATTTAAAGTAGTCCTATTATTACAGTTTAAAAAAGAACGGTCAAAGGGTTTAACGGTGGGAATCAAACATGAACGGGCTTAAAAAACAATGTGGAGCAACGTCATGATGACTATTCGAAATGACTTTGCAGGTCGTCGCTCAAAATGTGACGAGATTAGAGTCATTTAAGTGCCCTCAACTCGCGATCCGAATACAAAAGCCGCACGTGAAGGGGAATGTAATTACCTCTAATTCTGATTCGCTTTTGGAGGCGGGACCCCGGGCGGACGTTGCTTTCCCTTTCCTTCGGAAATAGTGGAGTAGATGATGAGACCCCCTCCCCCCGCAGTAAACGAATAGTGGCGTTGTAGCGCGTCCTTTCTTACCGTGCGGACTGGTTTAAAAAAGTCGGAGTAACCTCGCAGATAACAACAACACGACATTATACACAAGAACGAAATCTAATTGCGGCTCTAATTAGAGTCATTAAGTGGAGGAGCTTAAGCAAACTAAGCGGCTCTTCCGGAAAATCCTAATTCGCTGCCCGCCCTGGAACGACGGGAGGAACGGCGGATCCAGTCCACCTCTAACCAGATTAGTCTCCTCTCCAACAACTCGATCACATTCACCGAGTAATCAGCCGAAAGTCGAGACTCCGAGGAAACCACGGAGAAGATCCCCGAGGTTCTGGTCTCCAGACGACGGAAGCGCCCCACAAATCATGCAAATTCCCCGCATTCCACGCTCGTTTGGTAATCACCGCGTCATGACATCAGAAGGCGATATCCGTCTATTTTTATACAAGGAAATGATATCCCGTGGCGAGGAGTCAGATCACCATGAAAAAAGAACTTACAGTAGGCTTTGGAGGAAGAGGTGGAGGGACCTTTGGACTCGGGGACTCCGAATTCTTCTCCATGGATGTAGTTCTTGGGATGGGGACTGGGGGAATCTCTAGATTATTCTTGTCCAGAGATCGAGGAGGAGGCGTGGGAACGGCGGGGATCTCCTTCTCTGGCTCTGATTTGTCCAGAACATCTAAAATACGAATTGCGAATCCTCCAAAACGTTTTTTCTCTTCAATTCAGGCCATGCCTTTACCTTCTTTTTTGATCTTGCTGATGTCCAATTCTTTGTCATCATCAGACGAATAGACGGACTTCCTCATCATGAACTTGTCCACATTATTATCCTTCATAGCCGAAGCATAGAATTTAATCGCTCTAACGGCAGCATCTGGGTTCTGTTTTTGTTCGGCCTCACTAAATTGGGAACTCTGAATATGTAAATTAAACTACCTTAAATCTCGTCGTAGAATCTCCATCCATGTTTGTGGAAGTCCTGTGAATGTGTGTCCATCGTATCCAACATGGACATTGTGCATGGCATCATAAGGAGCCCCGATTTCGGAGATGGATTCGGGCTCCAGACTGGAATGGGATGAGTTGAAGATCTTGCCCAGGAGGGAGCGGATCCGAACTCGGGATTTCTCCCTTGTAGTCGACATACCCGTCTGCAAATAGAAAATTTAAATATCAAAATATAAATTTGAAGAATTGCAAGTAGTATTTGTAAAAGTATTAAAGAATTCAAACGAGTGTGTGAGGTAAGAAGACCTCCATTCAAAAATTTGCTTTAAAATAACCAGACAACAGTTGGAAACGTATTCGAATTATATTTGTCAAGCTATCGGCTTTTACTTTCAGAGGACATAAAAAGGGCCTAATTTTGCAGATTACTCATCACAACATGGCTCAGAAATTCGAAATTGAAGACAAATTCCAAAACGGCAGAAGATGAATAATATTATTATAACTGGGAATACTTTTTAAGCGCGATAACAATAGAACCCTTCTTCGGAATCGGGTGCGATGGGCAGTGGGAAGTATGAATCATCTCTTAAGTGCAAGGAAACGGCAGAAAAGAGAGGGAAGGGCGATTCGCGGGCCAAAAGAAATTGGCCACAATCCTCGTTCGGCCAAGGGGTCATGCCTGGGGTGATGTCCCTCTGATATTCATCTCGATACGCGCCATAAACAGATCGTTGGATGAGATGGTGGAGATGCGGGGGAACACTTGACCCTCCACAGAAAGCGCTGCAAGAGCGTTAAGCATTTCTCAAGTCAAACATTCTCTCCCGGTTGCGTAATAAGATTGTAATAAACAAAGCCGTCGTTCAAATCTCGGCTGATGACTAATGCGGATTCTGTTTTCTGGTATAATAATCATAATGCATTTCTGCTGATCGTTTTCAGAGATCGGTTGCCCATGCGTGTGACATAATTAACCCTATTTCTGCTTTATTTTACTTTTCAAATTCAATTTCTTCTAACCAGCATGTACATTTTATTTTGTACGAAATCGATTTAAAAAACTTTTGGCGCCTTCTGAAAACATTCGACGAAATGCCACAAAATTTTATTGGAAATAATTTTTAAATTTAAAAAAGCAACGTTTCTCTTTTCCATCAATGCATTTTTCTCATTGCCAAATAGGTTTCGGAAAATTTGGGAATTTTCACCTCATGGCACTGCGAGTCGGGTTAATTAAGTTTTTCTTGCGTGGGTGGCCAAGTCTTCTCCACAAAGTTATTTTTTCTCCGGGAAAATAGCCATCCAAATTCTTTAGATGGCTAGCCAAAAATCTGGGTCGGTAGGCAAAGTGTCAGGAAAAATTTGGTTGTTGCTTCAACTTACTGGCTAGCTGATCACACAATTTTGCAGCATTATCTATACATATTGGGCCAATACCGGAATTTATAAAGTATTTGTTTCCCAAGTTTAAACACTACGGGGTCGCTTTATCCCATCCTTCTGGGTCGCAATTGATGGAATTCAAAATTTTTGACTTTGGAGGAACTTGAGTACACCCCGGGCCCGGGTATATACCCCGTCCGAATCCTATTCTCAAACCGTTTTGTCGGCTGCGTGGAAATTGGGCGTACTGAAATCGGGTTCTTTTTTCAATGCCAAAACTTATCAAAAAAGGCGCGCGAACCTTTAACAAATGAGCCCAATTTCACTTCTCCCAATTTCCATACAGCCGTTTTGCCAACTTTTGACACAATTTTACCTTTGAGCAGACGCTCTCCCGACCTCGTTTTACATAACCTTTTTCATTATTAAAATCATATACTCATTAACACATTCCAATTATTCTGATAACGGGAAATATTTATAAAAAAGAGAAGATCGAGGAACAAAAGGGCGGGAAATGAAAGAAAACATTAGAAATCACAACGAGACATAATTATTTCCTTTAATTAGTCCGGACTCTCAGCGCGACTTGTTTTGTGGACACATTCACCGGAGATGGCTGACCTGGAGCGGACGGGCTGAGATGGCTGAGAGAAGCTGGGGGAGGGAGAGGGGAAAGAAAGGATAGACACAACTCTATATATAGAAATGTAAACTATCATGATAACAACTCTAGTAACTACGGCTACAACAACGCCGACACATGGCTCTGGACTGGACGGTTCTCCTCGTATCTCGGTCTGCCTTTCGTGACTTCTAAATACTGCACTATTTGTCCGTGTTGGTGACTATTGCTAGTACAGAAAGACGTGTCTAAACTGGGCCAAGTGTTTCTCTCCGCTTCCATGACAACCAATAAAATATACATGTGGACTTAATGGTACACAAAATGTAATTTAGGGAAGGGAGGGAAGAGAGCATGACTTTCGTGAGGGCCATAAAAGTCTCTGTTTGGGGCAAAAAAACACGGAAGAGAGTTGCCCAAAACTTAATTTATTGGAATTTTCTGACAAAAAAGAGGACATGTTTCACTTCTAAACCATCATAGCCCACACAATTTTGAGAGATCCCGGCTAGTCCAGACCCTTGAAGCCAGTCTTTTGGCCGTCCTAAACACAAAGTGAAGTTGCTCGGCCGAAACCGACCCAGAACTTAAAGAAAAGCGGCGAACTGTTAATTATAATATAATAATTAGAGTAGAGACGGGGTGCTACGGTTTGGGACTCCGGTTTGTGTCGGCATTGGTGTTGTTGACCTGGTTGGTGTGATTGGAAGCGGAGGGATGACGTGAGGGGCCGGGGGATGCGGACGGACTTTGGGAATGGGGGGTGCTCCCTTTGGGCGGGGGCATTCGTTCGTTGATCCTGTCCAACATCTTGGCTTCGTCGAAAGATTCGATCTTGTGGCCCGGTTCTACACCTTGCAAGGCTGCAAAAGCGAATAGTTTTATAAAAGGCATTTTATCTTCAGGGCAAGCCCATCAACTATCTTATACTCGACCTAGATTCACTTACACTCCTGAAGAGCTGGTTTGCCGCCTGATAAAACGCCCTGTGGCAATTTTCCTGCGGGATTGAGCCCTTTGAGTTGGACAACGGCTTCGCTTTCGTGTCTTAAATGGGGAATAATAAGAGACGTCGGTCTCATTTTATTTAGTTCAAAAAAGGGTTTTCAAACGGCAAACCAAGTTAATGTTACAGTACTCTTCAGGCGCAACTATTATTTTTTCTGTCATAAAAACATACAGTAACCCCAATAACTTACCATCTTGAATGCCTCGCCGTCCTTCAGCCAACGTGCCCAGAGGCAGTGTTCCAGTGGGCGTGAGACCCTTAAGTTGTAATACAGATTCGCTTTCTTCCCTGAAACTCTCGAAGATCACACAGTTAGACCCAGAAACACGTCAGTGATTAATATCCAGCTAAAACCCCGGTCCCCGACCCACCTGAGAACTGAGAACGTCCGGGCCATCTTGCCAATGGCGCGGATCTTGTGTCGGATGACCTCTTTGCGAGCCGACGGAATACCTCCTGGAATCAAATACAAATAATCGACCGGGAATCGAGGGCCAAAAAAGGACACACAGTGATGATAAGAGATCTGCTCAAATGTGTGTGAAACCAAAGAGAATTCCGAAAATTAAGGCGAAAGTCGAAGAAGGGAACGGAATGGAAGGTTCGGCAGGCAAAGACGGACTCGGCTAGCCTCTGCTCTCCCCGAAAAAACCGTCTTTGCCTGCGGCACATCGAAGCGACAACACAACGACATATACAGAAATGAAAAATAAGGAACGGCACGGCACAGCCAGTGTTAAAATCAGGCCAAACGAATCGGATGAACAAAAGAAATGACTGGTTACGGTGGTCGGGCCAGTCAACTTACCTTCGGATCCTGAGATGGACATGAAAAAGATGGTATTATTAAAAAGGAAATAAAATATTACCCCCGACGGTCAACTACAGTCCTGTCCCCATCCCCTCTTCTAATCGACCAATGCATGGCCCTAAGGGCAGACTGTTACGCAATACAAGATCGACTTTATTATCTCCTCTTCCAGGGTCCAGATTGGTCCAAAGTATTTAAAATAAAAGTTCAAGGCACTTCAAACTGATCCAGACCTCCGGCTAATCATCAAAAGACACGCCCTCTCAGCTCAGCTAGTCTCCAAACCATGCAAAGCAGTCTAAATAAATGGACCGGCACAGGCAGAAAGTAGCGGTTGGAACCCACAATTACAGTACGATACAGCAGACCTCGCATGGTTAAAACAAAACCTACCAAGACCGTCAACTAAGATTTGGATCGGCGTTTGGCCAGCCGCTGTCCGTTCCGGCCGTCTAAGCAACAGCTCACTTAGGACTCAGCCGTTCAACAAGGCTGCAGCTAGCCAAAACCGGAGTCTCTCTTAATTTACTGGACATACAACCGGCTAGCCACTCAACTAAATCAGTTTCAACTTAACCTTAGACTACGATATGCACACGCAATGTCATGATGACATGTTACTACTACATATTTAGTGATAAGAACACAAAAATAGTGGTCACGACACGACACTCACCCACATACGGCTACATCGACGATTACAGTACTCCCTTCCGCTCCTCCCTGCCTTGGCACTACTAGACGCAAAAGATCTGGTGCCAGAAATGATAAAATATCTAAGAAAGGGAATGTCAGAGTACCTGAACCATAGAAAATATAGAGGAAGAGAGGCACGGACATCCGAAATATGGGAGACTACCGATGCCTCGCGCCCGGCCACCTGTCCACGCACTTTCTGTAATGCTGTTCGAGCTAGAACCAGAGCGTGCACAGGCGACTCGAACATAAATAGTGATCGATTGAGGGGATGGGAACTTTCTTTTGGCGCTGTGTGCGGAAACAGAACTCAAAAATGGTACAGAAAGTGCTGGGAATACCGTATACCCGAGCCAGGACTACTACAGGAATAGATGTATGAATCGACTAAACACCGTCGCCCCACCTACCTTCGAACGTATCATCGGCCTCGGCCATCAACTCGTCGTCCGAGCAAATGTTCAGGATATGGACTAGCATTTCGGTCACTGAAGCCACGTTTTTTATATTAAAATCAGATTTAAAATAATCACAAACCTTTCTCGCCGACAAATGGCAGCGACCAGGTGAACACATCCATGAAGTTGGGCAGCCAGTAAGGGTGAGGTGAGCAATTGAACTGCCTAATATTCATGACGTTGTTTTCGTATTTGAGAATAGCTGCTTTATTATTATATACATCCAAGTAATTTGGCGCGCTGAATATGGTGATCAGGGACGGAAATCCAGTTGTCTGCGACTTTTTGTACATCCTGTAGCCAGCATCCTGCGCCTCGTGGGCACGGATGATAGACAGCAGATTGTTATGTTGTAAGAAATCACAACAAGCGCCATAACTAAAAGAAGGTCAGAGATGCCCGCAGGGGTTACCTGTAAAAGTAGGAGCAGCCTCTGACTGAATTGTGGGAGAATTGCTCGGTATGTCGGTCAGAGCCGAAGTCCTCCAAGGGATCCGACCACAGAAGGTCACACATCGGACCATAGGCTGGGGGTTCTTTGAAGCGGTCCAACTAAACCGAAATGATAAGAAAAAGAAGACCAACTCGCCTTCTTGATGTCCTCCAGAGTGTGGATCTCGGGTGAAAGACCTCCATGAACACACAGGAACTGCTGATTCATGAGAGCGGCCAAGGGGAGGGCGTCGAACGAGTCCATACAAGCATCGTATACCCGCTCCGAATATTTGATTTTACCTAAATACGATCAGAAAAATGGGAACGCACTTACACTCCTGTTTGAAAGTGAAGTATTCAGTCAGATGGCGACATTCGTGATTGCCACGCAACAAAAACAAAGTATTAGGGTAACAAATCTTGAGGGCCCATAGATAAAGGACGCACTCTATACTGAAGTAACCACGGTCCACATAATCACCGAGAAATAGATATTTCGTATTGGCAGGGGAACCTCCGACTTCGAACAGCTTCATCAGATCGTAGAACTAGAATCAAATAGCGATGACAGAAGTTACAGCGATGATACATAAGTAATATTTGTAACGTCATCTTCTCTTGTCCTTACCTGTCCGTGAATATCACCACACACGGTAACCGGGGCTTCTATATCGAGCATCGTCTTCTCTTGTCGGAAGAGTGCCGTGCATTCATTGATGATTCGAAGGGCAGCTTCTTCATCGATCCGTCCCTCCTTGATGAAATGTTCTTTGAGGACCTCACAGCGAGGTTTACCCGTTCTTCTCTCATATACATCATCCGGCTTCAGACGTTCGCTGATGGGGAATTGGACACCTGGAATGTGTTTTCGATGCATTACTGCGTATACATCGCATCTTTCCCGTGCGGGTGCGAGGTGTAACTAATGTACTTTTGTTTGGGGGATAACGACATATTTGATGACTTAAAAGGCACACATGCGTGGTTTATTTGGGTTATTATTGCGTCATAAGGTAACTATTAGGTAACAGAAAAATATAGTTTTTGGTGCGGCCACAGGGACAGGGAATTACCCGCCAAACTCACTTTTGATGACTCGGTCGGTGGTGCTCCTCGAGGGCGTCGAGTTGGACGGTCGAGCACTGGTCGAGTTCGGGGTGCCGGACCCATCGACGTTTCCATTCGAAGAAGATGCCATGGATTTGGAGATGGCTAGCAAGAGGGACCAATGGGACTGGACTGATTCTTGTCTTCTTTTGTGGACTAGGAAGAGTTTTCTAAGGGATTCTCGTGATCAACGGACTGCTTCCATGAGGGGGAGGGGAGAGGAGAGAGATCGACCGGTCGGTGATTGATTCAAATACCCGCAACTGTTAAGTTAAGTCGTGTCCCGGATGTTTATCTCCAGCCTGGACTTCTGAAAGAAACATGTGTAAGAAAACAAAAAGGAGAATGTCCAGAAACTGAGTCAGCCGACTGACTCATGATCCGTAAAACCGAATAAATTAAAGCCTTATTGAGTCAGAAGTCACGCGAACAAAGGAAGAGGTAGCAGATCCCTCCAAAAAAGTTATTTATTTTTGCGGGAACACTTCTTAAAACAGTTAAACACGCACCCCGGGAGAAAAAAACGAAAAGGGGCGAGAAACAGTTCGGGTGCCTGGAGACTCTCGATCTCGTCGCTCCCCCACCCAATTCTCTTCAATCAGTGCCTTCCCTAATTAACCCACCATCCCGCAATCGTCATTAAAATAACAAAAATGAATGATATGCATCTCCGACGTCGCATAAACGCATTACCTTGTCTCAGATTTAAATTAATCACATCACAAAAGAAAAATTATTTCATGATTTAGCGAATTGGCAGTGAAGGCGTCCTAAATGTCACTTTTTATGAAAAAAAACAATGTGTTGCAATACAAAGCAACAAGATTCCGTGAAAAAGAACAGACAATCGATAAAAAATATTCATTTCAGCCTTTAATCATGCGATGTACATAAAGGAAAGTGGAATAAAAAGAGTATTCGAATAATAAAAGTGGTCGAAAGGGGTCACCGGAAAAATGAATCAAGGAGATTCCGAGCCTTGATTTGTGGCAAAAATACGAGCAACATCACCTTAACAGCATCTGCCCTGAGGCGAGGATAATGTGGATGCTTAAGAGTCTTAGCGGTCCCCATAAACCAAACGACTTAAACATATACCATTTGTTTCAACAGTAATTTCTCGGTTATTTTGTTCCGAGAGCACCTATTTTTCCCGGGTGTCTCCTCTCGTTTCGCCCCCTCCCTCAAGTGTTTGGCCACGAGGTTAGGACCCGGCCAGGGGGGGGGGCGCAACCAGATGGGAAACCAGGTATCGGATTGCGCGACGGATCTTTTTCGGCCGCCCAAACCAACACAGAAAGTGGCACACGTGAGGTGCCAGGTTAACACAACAAAAGCGCCGCAGACGAGGAAACAGAAAGCCATTCACAAATGCTAATGCGGTGTGAACGACGTGCCGCGCCGGCCCCACAAAAAAGAGGAGAGTGCCCAAACTTTCCTCGTCTTGTCGCCCTCCTTCGCACCCCTCATCGACATCTACATGCATCGCCGTACATGTACACGCCATCATAAAGTAAGCGAGAGAGCACCTGGCCTCTTAATAAGGCCGCTGAGTGTAATACGGGCCTTGTCCCCCTCTCTCTAGCTGCCTGCCACACTTGTAGTTGTTTGTTCGTCTACAATTTGCTTCAAAGTCTTCTCAATTACTCTCGGGACTCGAATGGACACGCAATCATGGGAGATGGATATGATACGGTAACCTGAAGAAGGGGATCCTAAATCTGCTGGACTACCCGTCTTTCTTTGACCGTCATGACAAAAAAAAGTAATTCCAAAAGGTTCAAAACAGGACGAAATTTGGAACTGAATATGTATGACAGCTACAATAAACGCCTCGTGTTGTTATGCCCCAAACAATATAAACCATCAATTATGAAAAAAGAAGAAAAAGGTTGGGCGCGCCATTCCAACAGCCCGCTTAGAATTGGTGACTTAAGCTCGGTTATTCTGGCAAGAGGAAGTAGGAATCGTCTTCAGGTGACAACAAAGATTATCTCCGAATATTGGCCGACTAACATGAAGAGGACTCGTAATAAAGCGCATCATTAAGGGCAAGGTGAAAACCCGACCGTTCGCGAAGTCGAAATAACGAAAAGTCCGCGGAATTAGTCCTCATCATCATGGAAAAGGTGTCGGGGGAATTGGGACGCGAGGAGATAAACGGGCCTTTGCCTTATCCGTTTTCTCATGCGACCGATAGCCACCCGGTCACAGTCTAATGTCCCGGAGAATGGGTGACGAGCGAGAAAAGAAAAAGAAAAGAAGGGGCAAACGACGGACTGGCTTGCCGGCAGAGAACCTTTTTCTGGAATTCCGGCATTATTCCCTGCTTTTTCTGGCCGTCAGCGCTCTTCTCTTCTTCTCTCTCCCCTGCCCAATAGGTCCAGTTTGGCCGCCAAAGTCCTCTAATTCTGCAAACCCGAGACGGGCCGAGCCAAAACTTCAAAACTAAGTGTTCATCAACACAACAACAATATATTTACATCAACGTCCAAGGTTTCGGATAAAATGCAAAAAATGTGGGATATTTGAGGGAAAACAAAGCACAAGTCAAGTGCCAGAGGGTCAGAAGGGAACAGAAATCCGCTCTCATTCCCTCGAGATGGACAAGCTTTGTTTGAATTAAAACGCCCTGCAAGCCATGCAAATAATAAATTATGAAGAAGATCCTTTGGCCATTAATTATCCGTAATGGAAATATTTTCATCAGATTGCCGGGATTGTGCCCATTACGAGGGCGAAGGAAACAAAGACCCTGATGTAAGATTAACCTCCACAGAAGCGGTTTACAGAGGGTGGTGGGGCAGTACGAAAACTTTATACTCGGGGGTATCTCGGCGGGTGCTGTAAGCCGCTTCCAGCCCTAAACCCTCAAATGAAATTGTCAGCATCACACCATCTCCGCGACATTACATTTAGATAAATAAAAGTACAACCGAATTTCATCAAGATCATCAGTCTGCCCTTTCGTGAACAACAACAGTAATTACATTGTCCAAAAAATATGTCATCATGACCAAAATTATGTCGTTCGAAAAAGACGAAATCCAAAGTAGCGTTTCAGACGAACCCTTTTAAAATTTAAAAACACACGACCCATCAAAATATTACACTTTTAAGATAAGACAATCCAAAAATGCGTACTCGCGCCACAGGGATTACTTACTCGGGACTCGTTTACAATTGCGTAATCAATAAGCAGTATACTTCGAATGAAGGCAGTAATTCCGATTGGGAAGTGATTAGCACAAACCCCGGTAATAAAATTATATTCCGACCAAAACCCGAGTGCACCTCAGTGCCTTCCGATAAAAAAGAAACCCCAAAATGGGTGGAAACATGCGAAGATATCATACTGTTAAAGGATGTAACGTAATACAAAGAAACTCGAGTTCTTCGATCGCTGTTTTCTATTTCGAATTCATAAACATTGGTAGGGAAACACACACTGCTACTGGTAGGTCAGCTAAGGATCAAAACAAAGCCGTCCCAGAAACAGATTTGGAGCCGGCCCCAACAAGGCCAGAGCCCGTTTCCATGGTATACGTCCCCGTTGTTGCACATTCCCTTTCGGATGGAAAAAGGGAAGAGTCGAAACCGGCGAGCCGAGAGAGTGGAGAGGCAGAGACATTGCTATCAGTTTACGGAGTGGGGTGGGGGTGTAGTGGGGGGACGTCTCCCCTTCGGCGACCGGCCCTCTCTCTCTTATCGCCAGATTTCCCTCCGTCCGCGCCCCCTGACTACACGTGCTCCCGCAGTACGAAGATGCCGCGGTGGGGGAGGATGAGAAATTAATGCCCGTTCTGGAGATCGCCTTCTCAAAAATTTATTAACCCTTAGGCGGTGCCGTCGATAAATGCAAAAAAAAGATGGTTCAGCGAATGAGGAAAGGACCTCGGGTTATACAAAAGGTTAATGCTTTTGGTTTAAGACTCTCAAAGATCGAAACTTTTGAATGAAGCTAACTAAGAGGCGATGCAGCATACCCATGGGAGGGGGATACCTAACTATTCTGGCCTTGCCATCATCAAAAGATATCACAAGGGTAGAGTTACCAAAAAAGTGATCCCTGGTTTGTTGTTTTGCATCATAAAATGTACCTAATGTTGATTCGAAGTAATTACCCCTTGAAGACACATTACTGGAACCAGCTGTTGGCGACTCAACCCCATACATCCACGACTTTTGATAAAAATATTGGAAACAGTGAAACAGAACGAGGAAAAAGTAACGCAAAAACATAAAGTAAATTATTCCAGGACGAACAGAGAGAGTTCTGAGGAGAGACGGAAGAGAAAGAGTACCTCTCGTTCCGTTCTATGCGCACCCTTTTTGGCCCCAGATCCGGAATGCCCTGCGGGCACGCGACCCGAGAGAGTGAGGGCGGCAGTCTGTTTTTTACCCTCGCCCGGCCGTCGACTGTGTTTTTGCATTGGCCTGGATGGCTGGAAATCCTCGGAGGGGGGTTGCCACACTCCCCCCCCTTTCACCATTCCTCTACTAATTCTTCGCCTTTAAAATTAGGCCCGTAAAGCCATCGCCTCCAAGCGATGGTTAATATTGCGCGGGAAATTACTGGAGGGCCGGCCAATTAAGATAACCATAAAATTAATCTAAATGAGATTCGCCTGCTAAAGTTTTACGACAAAACTCAAAAAATAGAGTTAGAATCTAGGCACCTGTGGCCAGATAAGTCTTAATAAACCATAATCCACAACCCAAGGCTCCGCTTTAAATTTATTATACTTAATGCCTTCCCTTTCTACGGTATAGACTCGACACGAAAGCGCAAAGTAATGGAAACTCAGTTAGTAGGAGTCTAAAAAATAACTAGACTTTCAGGCCATTAATTACGGAGAGCGGTGATATAATATCCCATCATTATGAAGAGACAAGATAATCAAAGCAAAAGTCATATACAGACTTATTGAGGACATCTCTTTCCCACCCTCAACCATCACCCGAAGTTGTGTGCTTGGACAAGACTTCCAGATTCAAAGTTAATTCAAAAAGAAATTGATCAGAAGCCAGAGGCAGTTAGAGTAAGTGGAGGGTGTAACAGGTGCTTTAGATCTGGCGGCGGCAGAGCCAAACAAGAAGGGTGGGTTAAGACGGACAAGTGTTTGGCCAGCCCAATCCCCCTCTCCCCGTTAACCAACCTCACTCTCGGCTCGAGGCCCGGTGACGTAACTAATCCCGGGAAACCCGACTATGACTCCAAATCTGACCATTTGCCCGTAGGCAGGCGGGCACCGTCCATTAATCACGATACCCAAGCCATAAGACATCACCACTTTATTAAGGATTACGGCACATAACCATGAATCAAGATTATATTTATGAGAATATTTTTTCAAAGTCAGAAAATCAACAATAATGTCAACAATGAAATCAACAACAGGTAATGAACAAACTTGTTTTAATCATCTTCTTCATCACTAACTTCCTCAATTCCTTCTTCGGAAGAGGGAATGTCGTCAGATTCTTCCCCTTCATCAGCCATAGTATCGATAAGTCCATTTCCTTGACCTCCTTCATCTTCTTCCTCGTCTTCATCTTCAATTTCAAGTTCATCGTCCTCAAGATCTTCGACCTCCAAATCCTCGGCTAATTCCTCGTCCTCGGCTTCATTTCCAGAGTCCTCTTCATCTCCGGAACTCTCGATTAAAGCTTTTTTCTGGGACGCGGCTTTCTCCTTTACTATTTCTTTCTTGTCGACACCATTAGATTTAGGTTCATCAGACTTCAAATCTGGAAATGATTAAGTAATTTTGACAAAAAAAGTATTACCTCTGTGAAAGGCCACGAGCACTGGCTTGCCATAAATCTTAATGTTCTTCATAGATGAAATAGCCTTGACGGCCTCAGGGTGAGAGTTGAAAGACAATACAGCCCAGTCTCCATTCAATTTGACGTTACAGGCATCTGGGAAGAGAACCTTGAGATCATTTTGTGAACATCCACTTGGCAAATGGGAGAGTTTTAACTTCAAAGGGTCAGCGTTCTTAACGGCTAAAAACAAAATATATTTAATTGATACATCTATTTACGGTAAGGAGATCCTACCCCCAAACATCGTAGAAATTACCGCTGGCTCTCAGTTAGCTTATAAAAAGCGTAATCTCCTTGTGGCCAAATCAAAAAAAAAGTTGGCCAGATCGAAAAAATTGTGGTGAAGCAGGAAAATTTTAGCAAAGTTATTTGATTCTTGAGGTGATACTGTGTATTGGCATACAGTTACCACTGTGTATCTTGTACTTTTCTACAGCCTTCAGGGATCTCAAGTCAAAAAGTTAGAATAAAATGTTTCCCATCACTAGGTCTCTCAAATGCGACGAAACCACACAGGAATTCCAATTTTAGTGGGAGAAGCAAAAGATCCGTCGATAACGTGACGATTCGTAAATCTGAATTTAAATCTAATCATATGTAGCTATGTCGTTTGGGGGTCGGATCAAGAATTCCTATTCACTCACGTTCTTCTAATAAACCCGGAACATCTTGTGCCTGGGTCAATTTAAATCTTTTGTCGTCTTTCAGGTATTTAAGTGCGACATTCCTCGAATTCGCAGAGTCAAACAGGATCAGGGTTCCAGTGGAAACAGTCCACACATCAACAACAAATGGATGCGCCTTCTTGAACACTTGAACGTTGTTCAGTTTCCTATCCGTTGGAGTAAAAAGACTAGACGAAAGAATTTCTTGTCGGCGTGATCTTTCATGGCTGACGGCATCTAGCGAAAACTTGGCCTACAATATTCTACTATACCATTTTCCAAAAAAGTTTATAAAAATAATAAAAATTTCTTACCTTTTCTGGTTTCCCGGGCTTTGGTGCGGCCTTTGGAGCAGGTGTAACTTCAACTTCCTCCTCCTCTTCTTCGGATTCTTCTTCATCTTCAATTTCCACCTCTTCGTCTTCAGCTTCCTCGTCCTCCTCTTCCTCCTCATCGTCACGCGGTTTCTTTCCATTCACTTTCAGGTCACCCAGTTCAATATCATCGGAATCTTCCGCGGTTTCTTCTTCATCATCGTCCTCATCGTCTTCTCCAGAATCGCTTTCGACAATTTTTCTTGGTTGGAACTTTCCCTTTTGTTGCTTAAACGGATGAGGAGTTGCAGGAGTCTTTGTCTAAAAATATATCAACCGCAGCAGACAGACTTACCCCAACAGGAGATTTCTTATCGCTAAAGACCTTTACATTCTTCTTCTCACTTTGGAGTCCATCCTTCTTCAAAATGCTTGGAGTTTTCTTTTTGAAATCTTCTTTGTCATCCGAGCTGAAGAAAGACGTATCTTTGTTGCTTTTCTTGAAGTCAGGTCTTTCACCATCGTCATCCTCGCTGAACTTTCTTTTTCTGTTTTGCGGAGTGCCATCTAAAAATTAACTTAAGCCAGTACTTAAAGACATGTAGGGAGGAAAATGGTCTGTCGCCTTACTTTGACTGAATGAATCATTTCGGTTAAAGTTTCCGCCTCTTCCTCCACGGAAGTTACCTCCTCGGCCACCTCGGAAACCTCCGCCGCGCCCACCGAAGGACCTGTTCCCACTATCGCCCCCTCCGAAGGATCGGTTCACGCCATCGCCACCACTAAAGGATCTGTTGGGTCTATCTCCTCCGAAAGACCTGTTCGGTCCTCCCCTTCCAAATGAACGGTTACCACCATCTCGATTGAAACTGTTTCCCCTGAAGCCTCCTCCTCCTCGGTTTCCACCTCTGAATCCACCTCCACGACCTCTAAATCCGGGACTACTGCCGCGATTTCCTCCTCTGAATCCACCACCTCCGCGTCCACGTCCAGGACTGTTCCATCCACCTTTAGCATTACCTAAATCGATAACTAAAACAAAAAATCAGTATTACCTCCACCACCTTCATATCCCATATTGACTGGTATTTATCAACAACAAGACGGAGATTAAAACAAAAATAACCATACAGTTGTCCGCGTTTTGACGACTTTTTCGCCCTCAAAAAGCATTGGCTTTAATTGTTTTCGCTTCAAGACCGGAGCTAAAAGTTGCCAGATTCAACGCAAACTAAACATCATGATATCAGCCTTACATAGGGGTAACCCTGTCCCCGGCAGGCCCGATCTGGCCAGGCCTAACAAATTTTGGACACGGCCCGGACCTGAAGTGGCTCAGAAACGCCACAAACTTGTTTTTCGTGATGGTAAAAACCATAATTAGCAGAAAAAACGACGTGCAACGGCTTGGCATTGTTATATCGACGGGCCGGGTCTGAAAAACCCCCAGGCCCAACACAAGTTTGCATAAAATGGACTCCGTGATTGACAATCATGAATAAATAGTACAAGTTTATTGAAAGAAATTAAATTAATGTTTGAATTCTTACTGTTGGACAAAGGTGCGACCACTGGAAGAGAAAAATTGAATACAATGTTTATTTGACTCACCTGATCGTTTTCCTTTCTGTCTTTATCTCAGGCCTAGCACGATTCAAGACCTTTAGGAAATCGGATGTCTTCTTGCGCATCCGTGAATGGAGATAGGCCTAAGATTCTACCTTAATTTATTTTTGACCTACCTTTGAACATTTAATGTGATAATGAAGATAATCCCGGAATGAATGGATCAGATTGATGGTATTCTCCCGCGCCACGCCTTTGGTATGTCTTGGGAATAACACTAAACAAGAGTCAATACGTACGTAATACCAACACTTGATGTGACTTACCAAAGGTAATATATCCAACATTTTCCCCGGTCTTTGCTCCCGGAAATCCTCTTAATTCAAGAGGAGGCTCCCCCACCGAGTACAAGACCTGAGGCGCTGTCTGGCTCGCTTTTCGCCCTTCTCGGAATTCCTAAACAAAAATGGAGAACACATGAAATCTCTTACTTGTAGAAATAACTTCCCAATTACGACATCGTCAGGATCTTTGAATAATGTACTGAAGATTACAGTAACCCGATCAGCCTTTGCTTCAATAAACATGGTTTCATCCTCTCTGTAATTGATAACCGCCCTCTCTTGACCTTCCTGACCTTGTTCTTGGAAAAGGAAATACTTTTCGAATACTGAGGCAAAACAATTTCTCTTGAGTCTGGTTGCTTTATCAATAAGTTCGTTGGAGTTAGCCGGTAAAGATGCCAAGTCAAAGAGCAACGACGCATCATACCCATCCTCTGGGGTGGCTTGGAGATATGACCCGTACACACGTTTCAAATACTAAAGAAAAATTGCGAAAAAAAATAATTCTTGCCTCATCTGCCCCGTGAGCTCGTAATTGTTTGTAGAACTTGAGAGAAATGCTGATCTAAAACACAAAGGTATACTTCGAAAGGCTACTTTACCAACAACTTGTTCTTTTCCTTGTTCGGGTTCGAAATGTTGTATAGGACTCCATCGAAATCGGCAAATTGGATGCTTACACTCTCAATCTTATGTCTAAAAAGAGTATACACCAGTCTGTCCGGAAAATAGTGGTGGACCGTCGCATAACTGCTGGAAAATATTACTTACCCTTCTTTGGCAGAGGCAAATTTATACTCCAGCAACTCTCTGATTATCCGGTTCTCTTCTTCTAGCAGAATCATTGCAGATCCAAAATAACAGCTTGGATTCGGCAAGTCGAAAAAGATTTTATGATTCACGATTTTTTCGCTTGAATCGCAATGCCAAATGCGCCAAAAGTGAACAAGAAAACCGACTTCGAATCATATTTTGGAAAAATAGGTCTTCCGAACTTTATTTTTATATATGTGCATAATACAATTCGACCTTGCAAAAAGGTACGAGACTCACCTTTCCAACAATCACCAACCTCGTCGTGAGCCACTCCATGTGTAATCTTGCCTCTTCGAGCGACAAATAGATATAACCTAGTATCAAGCAATTAAAATGTCAAAATTGGTTCGAAAGGATTGTTTTATTTTAACAACAGAACAAATTGTAAAAACAGTTTAACGAGTAATCAAAAAGGATAGAATCTACTCGTCATCTTCACCTCCAGAGGCGTTTCCACCTCCCTTCTTCAGGTTTCTTCTCTTTACACGGCCAGGTCTGCCGCCAGCGTAGGGCGACTTCTCAGCAAAATCAATGTGTTTCTGAGACTCCAAACGGACCAAGAATGATGGGATGTTAACCAACTGACGACGGACACTAAAAGCAACAAGAGATAATGGTGGGGAAACGCAAAAAATACGACAACAACGCATTAACAAAATAATATCTAGCAGCATTTTCAAACCTCACCGAATATGTCTTTGGCGGATCAAACAACGGGCATGATGGATGGACTTGGCCAGACCAAGCTTCAAAACCTGAGTCTGAAGACGACGTTCCAAGAAATCTTCGACACGAAGACCCAAAACGTAATCGAGCTTCATCTTGTCTTCGGGCAAAACTCCCATAAGGACCAGACGACGGAGCAAGACGTTACCCTCAAAAAGACGCTTTGGATCTTTGTCGTCTAACATAAGCAATTGACGGGCGACCTTTCGTATCTTGGCCAAAGTAAGCTTGACTCTCCAGACCTCACGCTTGTTACGAAGGCCGAATTCACCGATCAATTTCAACTCCTAAACAGAAGATGGATAAACAAACAAGGTAACCCACTTGGTCGAGACGTTCCTTTTCGAATGGACGACGGGGGACATCATAAACCTTGGAATAGTGGGTTAAAAGACGCGGCATTTTGGCCGGTTTACCCTCTGAAAGACGTAATATTAAAGACGGCAACGGTGGAAACCATTAAAAATATCGCCCTGCGCGAAAGAGTTACCAAAAAATCAAAAATACACGAAAAACTTCAACTTTGCTAAAAATTATAAAGGGAGAAAAAATTTAGCAAAATAGAGATGGAATCTTACCGTAAGAAAACCTCTTTGACTTTGTTTGTTTTCGTGGCGGGACAATTTTACTCGCAGATTTCGCTTCTGACGTTTTTAAAATGCGAAACAGGGTCACTAAAGGGGGTTTGTGGTGGTAATGGTCATATTCTCGCTTCTCCGATATTGTTTTTATTAGAAATATTGTTTTTTTGCATATTCCCTCTGTAAAAATATCTATTTACTCCGGTTTTCATCAAAAAATCCGCATAATAACTGGTAATTAAAATGATTACATGCAGTGTAGGCCGTTATGTGCCGAAGCGATACTTTATTTTTGGACTGTATTTCTTTTGCTTGGTTAGTCTGATAATTCTGTACAATATAATTGGCCGAGATGAGAGTAGCGATCAAAGCGAAGTTGCACAACCTTATACCTTATACGGTAGGGTAACAACGAACTCCTCGAAGATGAAAACCTGGTTCTTTTAGATGGACTGGATCCTTTTTTTGAGTATCGGAAGTTGGAAAAGAAAGATTGGCATGATTATGAAGCCATGGAGAAAGATCGAAGCCGAAAAGGGCCTGGCGAACAAGGAAAGCCCTTAGAAACGCCTAAGGACACGGATGAGATGGCCAGGGAAAGGGTAAGGATACGCAACTGTAGGGTTTATAAGTGATATAGGAAAGACTTTACAAGGTGAACGGATATGATGGGTATGCCAGTGACATGATTGCTTTGGATCGGGCTGTCAAGGATATCAGACATCCGGGATGTAAGCGGGTGAATTATGTGGCGAAACTCCCTTCGGTCACTGTCATCTTCCCTTTCCATAATGAGGTAACACCGTCATACGTAATGCCTAAATCATCATCAATATTTTAGCACAAATCAGCATTATTACGGAGTGTTTATTCAATATTAAATAGAAGCCCTAAAGGGGTTCTCCAAGAAATAATCTTGGTGGATGATGCAAGTTCGAAAGAAGAACTAAAGCAACCATTACAAGATTATCTAAATGTGCATGATCTAAGTGGAATTGTGAAGATTGTTAGAACAAAGTAAGAGACGTATTGCACATCTCATTTGTCTTTCAGGAAACGGGAAGGCCTTATCAGAGCACGACAGATCGGAGCAACAGCAGCAACAAAAGAGGTTCTGGTGTTCTTGGATGCTCATTCAGAGGCTAATTACAACTGGTTGCCTCCTCTTGTGGAGCCGATTACATTAGATTACCGAACAATTGTATGTCCCTTTGTGGATATTGTCGATTGTAATACGTATGAATACAAAAGTCAGGATGAGGGGGCCAGAGGTAAGCTTGGTTAAAATGTATATTTAGGGATATTCAATAATAATTTTAGGGTCATTCGATTGGAGTTTCAATTACAAACGCCTACCTTTAACAAAAGAAGATCAGATTAACCCCATTAAACCTTTTAAGAGCCCGGTTATGGCCGGTGGGTACTTTGCGATCAGCGCCAAATGGTTTTGGGAACTGGGAGGGTATGACGAAGGTCTGGATATATGGGGAGGAGAGCAGTACGAGCTCAGTTTTAAGGTTGGTTCTAAAAATGATCCGCCGCATAGGACAGATATTTTGCTAGCCATTTGGATGGCTTTAGGTTAACCCTACATTTGTATAGCTATTTCCCCGTAAACTGCTTTAAAGAAGTTGTGGCAATGCCCCCAAATATGTATAATACTTTTGACTTTCCCCGATTGACTGTTAGGACTTTCCCTACCTAATGGTGTAAATTTTCAGACCTGGCAATGTCACGGAAAGATGGTGGATGCCCCTTGTTCCCGAGTGGGGCACATCTATCGATGTAAATATATTCCATTCCCCAATCCTGGAGTTGGCGACTTTATCTCTCGGAATTACAAAAGAGTGGCCGAGGTCTGGATGGATGAATACAAAGAGTTTCTCTACAAAAGAAGGCCTGAAATGAAGGATGTCAGCCCCGGAAATCTCACCAAACAACTTGCGATCAGAGCGAAATTAAAGTGTAATTCCTTCGATTGGTTTATGAAGAACGTCGCTTTTGATCAGGATCTTTTTTATCCCAATGTGGAACCACCAGACAGTGCGAATGGTATGATTCGTGAAATTGTGTCAAGTTACGTCTTATGTAATTGTATTTTAGGTGAGTTGAAGAATGTAGAAGTCCAGAAATGTGTTGACACGCAGTTCAAAGGGAACGGTGAAACATTTGGTCTTAAACCATGCTTATCAGAGAGTACATTCAACACTGGGGAACAGGTACTTTTATTGATTTAAAATTAATTTTTCTTCCAGGAACTCCGTATGGGTTTCCAATTGGATATCCGAGGAAGGAATGACAAGAATCTTTGTTTCGATGTTTCCCAGTATCAGGAGAGAGCGCCAGTACTTCTTTTCGGATGTCATGGTACCAAGGGGAATCAATTATTCAGATACTTAATAGAGTACAAGCAGATTTTACATCCAGTCTCCAATCTCTGTCTTGATGCTGATCCAAAAACAGATGAGATATTTATGAGTAAATGCCTGAAGGCTAAACGAACACAGAAATGGGAGTGGAAGTACCTCAATAAGACGTTGATGGAGAAACGAAATTCAATTCCGATGTGATTTATAAGTTATGATCGGACATCTGTCATTGTGATATGTCTATAATTGTTGTTTAATTTTAATAAGTTTTTGAAATTGGATTTAAATCCACGCACCTCGATCCGGTATAGGTCTAGTCTACAGTAGTCTTTCTTTGATTTAATTTCTGAGAGTATGTTAATTTGTTCCGTTAAGTAAAGTTGTTGACTCGAGGGTTGAAGTAACCGAGACGCTGTAAGAGACCTGTTCAAAGAGTGAACCGGTTGAATCTGAAAGGAAAAGGAGATTATTCTCGGACACAATAGAGCCGTCGAAAAGGAATCCGGCATTGCACCGTGCAGTCAAAGAAACGGCGCAAAGGATTCGAAACGGAAAGTTTTGCGCCGGTATAAATAATATCCCCTCAAGCGCTGACTTTGTAACTCTCGGAACAGTAATCGAGTCTCCCAAACCGGTGCCGTGCTATAATTACAGGTACGAGTGGAGTGGGAGGTGTGGCATTAAGGCTTAATTGACGTCAACGGCTCCTCAACGTCGAATCTGAAGTCGCCATACTTATTCTGTCGAGTTGGCTCTTCGAAACCCTCCGTGATCTGCTTTGTCTTCTCTCTTTCTATGACTACAGTATCCCTAACCCTATCCCAAACTGCTGTCCAGGTCAGTTGGGGTGTCAACAACAGCCCGATCGGGGTCCTTTGTCCCCAGAAGGCGAAGTCGGATCCCGCGACATTCGAAATGAGGCCACGAAGGATCCAGGAGACAAGTGGCAGGGAACAACGGGCGACAACTTTCCCAGGGATTTGGATCCGCCACAAAAGGGCCATGAATTTCGAACTGTTTTTTGGTTAATTTTATGCAAATGGGCAATTGTTTAGACTGGACTGGTCGAGATGCGGCGGCCGAACAAAGGCCATTTACGATCCCGCTCTCTGCAACATGATGCCGATGGCGACAGAAACGGGGTCGCGCCATCTTGAGGACATAAACGGCGACATAAGGAAACGCGGTCTTCGATGGTATCTCGGAATAATGGGCGGCCGATAAAAGGGCGCAATGTGTCCTCACGTGTCCCCTCTTTTCTCATTAGGTCTGATTTTGCTGATTTCAAATTTCGGACTTCTTTTTTAAATACGGTAGGGTCTTCGACTTACAAGATGAGCAAGTCTTCTTATAAACTTCTCCATCTTATTATCTTTGTCGGAAATTCAAATTTTTTGTCGTATACTCTTTGTCCCTTCCGGCCCCATAAGTCAAAAGACCTGGCCAAGTTCACCGTTCCTACGCGTTCTTCCAGAAATTATGGGCGGCGACAAATTGATCGTCTCCGGTCAAGCCATTATAGCGAATAAAGTGTGTCGATGCGATTTCAAAAATTCTTGCCAGATCGAGTTTGGCGCGCGACTTTTCTAAAACACTTGTTTTCCGAAATTGATGGGAAATGGGATCGGAACCCGGAAGGCGTCGAGGATCGATGGCGCGAGAAACGGGGCCCAACCCGCTAACAAAGACCCATTTGGGGGACGGAGACTCATTTTCGTGGTCAATGTGATCTCATCGCCACTTCCCGTCTTCGGCGCGACAAGAACGACCACTCTCGAGGTTGTTTTGCTCGCCGCCACTAAACTCATCCACCTGCCTTGTTGGGATATTATGTTTTTGTGGGTGAGCTAATAATCGGGCCCGCGTATAACGTCTTCCATCTTTTTGCAAATAGTTTCTGCTACTGTACTTATATTTTCAAGCTTGCTTTCTGCTGATTCCGACGTTCCCAGAACATTTCCACTCCCTGTTTTATTTACTCCTCAAGAAATTGATTCCCCAGCGATTGGCCACTTCTTGGATCCGAATCCTTGGCCTTGCGGGATTCCGGGGAACGTCATTAAGGGTTACTGTACCGTGGGCCTCGAATCGAGTCGACCGGGACAAGTGGGGTTCGTCAATCGGGGACTTATTTGTCGCCATTTTATCAACTTGGCCATCTCTTGGCCGTGTTGCCCCCGATCGAGAGCCGAAAGTTTTTTGCTGTCCCGGAAATCGAATTCGATTACTTTCGGAGTTGGTTTTTGATCCGACCCTTAAGAAGTGATTTGACGGAGGTCAGCAATCCCGAGATTCCACCGATTTGACCTTACGGAAGCGCATCCGACGGCTCCATGGGGGCCGAAGCTCTAACCCCCAAGAAAAGCGCAAATTGAAATCTCGGCGATCGGGAGGAAAACGAGGCGAGACGGACTGTAGATGAACGCCATTATCCCGATCCGCTTCCCGCCCTTTCAAAATTTGCCTCCGGTGGTTGTTTTTTCGTTTCCCGTAAGCGCTGACTTTCTTCGGTATTCTGGTCATCCACGGATTCCACTTTTCTATCGCCTCAATTCTCTCGATTTAAACCGTTGTTTCGTTTACATTCGCCCTAGGGAGTCTTTGCCTCAACGCTTCTCGACAACTTTCGAAGCCGCTGACCAGAGAACCCTCTCGAGGGACGGCTTCTTCTTCTTGAACGGTTTCCTCTGACTACTGGTTTCTCAATTTATGTTACCGTAGACTTGTTGATAATCATTCCGACTGATGTCTTGAGGTCATTTTTCTCTTCTTCCCGAACATTCCCCACTCTGATTGGTCCCTCTTTCTTATCGGTTTACTTAGCGCGAGATGGTGCCGCATTTTGTCTGCTTTACACTTTTGTTGTGTTGCTCTTTCTCTGGCCCTGGCGTGATTCATTCCGGCACGTCGATTGACGCAATCGGTCCCAGTCGCTCGGCACTTACAGAACCTTCTCCCGCACTCTGTTTAAGCTCATTTTTTGTGTCATTTTTTGGGACCGGTCGGCCAGGCTGACGTTGTCTCACGGCCCTTGATCGGGGAGAACGAGTCCACTGTTACCGACTCCGACACTTTTTTCCTCACCCGAGATTGCGATCAATGTGTGAAAAAAGGAAAAGGCGCCAAATTCGAGGAAAACGGCAATTTGGGGTTCGGAAGTTGTTGGAATGCGGCTTGCGACGTCGTTCCGTTCCCGCACCGTAGGCCGGCCAGAAGGGTTGTTTTTGAGGGCTTGGCGCCAAAATCTTCTGGAGGGGAATCTTGGGAGACATTTCGCGACCCCAGTCACCTCCCCATTTACTTTGCTATTCCAAGCGACCCGCCGCCCCTTCCCCGCGAACAAAGGGCCGCTGGGGTCCGAGTTCCAGGCCGTTTGTCAAGGCGCGCGACTCACTTCGAGACGAATTTCGAGGCAGCTGATAGATGCCACCTGGGTGCACGGTGGGGATCTCGGCAGGTCCGGGCCCAAATTCCGGCATAGCCCCACCCCGTTCGCAGCTGGCAACATCTGCGTCGTCCTCCCGCACCCTCGAGACCTTCGAATTTGAAATCAGAAAGAGTACGGTAGAGAGGTGACGCCTCTGTCCTAGGAGCCGCCCCTCTTTAGGTGTCTATTCCAAGGTGTTAATGAGCTGCCATATTTGGCGGCGCCCTGTGGGACATCCAGAAAGTCAACCGCATCTTCAAGTGGACATTGTTCTGTCGGTTTGTAGTGTTTCTGACTCAGTGACCTCAAATATTCCACTTGTTTCGCCGTTTTCCGATCGCTCAACGCTTCGGCGACGGTCGGGAGTGCCGTCGACCTCGAGAGTAGAAGCCAGCCGCCTCTCCCTCACCGCAATTTTGCTGCGCGAACGGCCAAAAGAAATGTGTTTTGAAAAAATTTTGAAAAATGCTTTTCGCGGGAATTCTTGTAAAGTTTTCTTGATTCGTTTCTTTATAGTTGTGGCGTCCTGATAAATCGCTAAAAATAATTTATGAAATTCAGGAAGAAATTATAAGTTAGTTTCCTGCTCAAAATCTTTTGTTATCTGCTTGATTCTCATATATTTTTTTTTTGATTTACGTTGGGAAATTTTGAGTAATATTTTCTTCTTGATCTTTATGGATATTATCCAATAGTTCTCTCTATGTATTACTATTTCTTTTTATTGTAGATAATTTTAATCAATGTGATCTTGTATATACTTGTACAGGTGTTCATCCCGTCAACCAGTTTTCTTGGGAACCTCTTCTCCAAGGTTTATGTTAAGAGTTCGATGAAGAGAGCTCAGTAGGACAGCCGATCGACGACGAACGTCCGAAAGTGGGTGATGGAGGAAGGAGGTGAAGGAATAGCCTCCTTCCCTCGTTACATCTTAGTTGTTGCGCAACGCCCGGAGGGTGGATCTCGTTTTTGGCTGGTGATTGCGCGATCCGGGCATTCGACAACCAGTTTTTGGTTGATGCTTCGGTGTTCTTTCTTTTTTATGCGAAAGTTGTCGTTGATGGAAGGGGGCGAGGAGAGTGCCCCTCGTCCGAGATTTTGTAGCAGCCCCCGATTTTATTGCATACTCGAGGTGTGGATGGGCTTCACGCTGTTGTCCAGACTTGTTCGGAAGGGAAATCACCTGAGGGCGGCTCCTCGGTTCATCTCGAGGTATCCGCAACAAACACCTCCAGACCTCGTTGGGGATACGAAAACCTGTTGGCGAAAGTGGAGCACGGAAGCAGGTCGACCTCCGGGCCTTGCTCCGTCATAAGTTATCCTTATCCCTCCACCACATAGACCTCTCTCTCTAAATGATTACTGTATCTGCGTGATGAATTTGAACGTGCTTATTATTTATTCCGCGGGGATAATTCCTCTATATTTTCTTGTTTTCAAAAGTTTTAACTATAATTCTAAATAAATTATGAGTTGCCAAGGCGCTCTTGCTTTTAATTTGACGGGATTTCTGCGTTATTTTTAGCCTCCCCTTTTTAGCGCGCGATTTTTTTTTTATTTGTTTATAACTTAAGTTACGTAACAGTCTCTCATGCTTTTTTCTGTCATTTTCGCGCATCTGATAGATTGTAATACTGACCCAGATCCTACTGTAATTTGTCGAGTGTCCGAAAGCAGAATCGGACATTCGCAGAAAAAAATTCTCTCAGGAACGATGGCTTTTCATCCAGATCCAACAAAGAGAAAAAGGGCTCAGACGCCTCGGGTAACTTGGCGGAGGGATGAGGGAGCAACTTGGAGGCGGTCCCTCAATAACGCGGCTTCAGAAACCATTCTGTGATGGGCCCTCTTGAGTTAAGGGGCGAGCGGAGAACGGTCATCCGCACGAGTTAAAGGTTCATTATGTCATTGTAAACAATCCAGCACGGCTACTGTCTTATCTTTGGGGTTGTTAATGTAATTAATGACGTGAAGGCATAACACTGTTATGTCTATATTATATATGTCAGTCGTGGATGTAGCCGCGTTCTTCGCCGATTCTAATTATAATATTTCCGTTTCAGCGCAATGGATCAAAGCAGCTTGGGCCAACTTCAGATCCCCCCTGGTCTGCTGAACAATATAAGTATGAATCTTTTTATGGCCCGAGTCCTCAATATGACCAGTCCCTTGGCCACAAAGAATTTCAACGATGACGGAAATCTCTCGTTCGACTTTAAGCAGGCTTCGACTCCTCTAACCAAATTCCATCCTTACTTGTTGAACTCTTCGGTCTCATCTTCTCCATCTACCCCGATCTCAACTGTTGGACCTCAAAGAATCAAACGACGGGTCAGAAATTCGGGTCCGGCGAACAAAACGGCCGAGGTCTGGAGGTTTTTTACTCAGGTCACGGAGCCAGACCGACAGGCGGCGACGTGCAATAAATGTGGAAAGGAGATCAAGGCGACTAACAGCAGGTAGGTCACACTTATTCGACTTCAGTCGGTCATATCTTTTGATGAATCATCAAATAATTAATTTTTCAGCACGACGGGTATGATCAGACACCTGAAGAGTTGTCATCCACCGGAATATGCCGTTCTTGAACATGCCCGAGGCAAACAGACTCTCCTCAAGTCGATTAACAGCCGTATGTCGAATAGGAAAACAATTAAGTCTGTTTTAGTAGGCCAGTCAGATGAGTGTACTAAGAAACTACAAGATCTCCTGAAGACGAATCTCCCAGTCCAGCCAGAATCTCTCTCGCCGAGCTCCACGGCTTCCAGTGCAAATGCCACAGTCGCGAGTTCTATTTGCTTTAGTAAAGACGCCACCAATTCAGCCGACTCTTCGGGAATCGACAGTTACAATGAGAACTTTGCCCGGGCGGATGATCAGATATCTGTTTGTGCCTCAAGTGCCAACTCTGACCTTTTTAACTTCAATGTCGGCGAATACAAGAATGTCTTGAAGAGGAATGAGGACAATGCTAAGGCCTTGTTTGGAGCAGAAGTAAAAGACGAAGAACTCGAGAATGAAGAGAAACCAGAGGACGCCGAAGTCGAGGAAAAGGAGGATAAAAAGATAAAGGAACACAAATCTCTCAATCATCATGTAGGTTTAGAAGTTAAAATTTTCGTTAACACTTCCGGTTTGTATGAAAGTTAATCATGATACTGTAGATTGCAATGATGGTCGTGTTTGGGAAGTTGCCTGAGGAAATTGTTGAAAATGCTGGATTCAAGTTATTGATGCGATTCTTGAAGCCGGAATATAACTTGCCATCTCTAACCGAATTCAGGGACAAGATCATTCCACAAGTCAGGAATTACATGCAAAAGTTCATCGAAAATAAGTAAGTCTAATTAATCATCCCCATCGCACTTTCGTATTAATACCGCTAACGGTTTTCTTTCAGTCAAACTCATTGGCCGATCTCACCCTCGACAACAGTCGAAAGTGGCTTCGAAGAGTTCGAGAACACCTCAGAAGGGCCCTGTATAGCTGCCCAGAACCGATCACTGAACATGTCTTTCCTCAGCATCCCCCTCAAGAAGGAAGACGACGCCAGCTCCTCAGTTGACTCATACTCAATCGCGCATTCACTTTAACTTGTTGTGGTGAAGTCAAGACTTCTAGATGTATTTGGTATTTGAGCAAACTTGTTGGACTATCGCCTTACTCAAGTTGGATATAGCGATATTTATGTGGCTTTAATTACGAGGGGACTGTCCATCATATTGTAGATGTCTTTCCATTTATATCGTCTGTTAACGGAAGCTTTATTGTTTAGAAATCTCCATCTTATTCTTCTCTTTCAAATATTCTTCTACCCCAACCAAACTCTCAGCACTTTAACTAGACCCATGTCTATAGATTTCTCATTAGAACGGCGCATAATATCGATAAAAGACTTTTGTAAACATATTCATTTGCGTAATAAATTTCAAACAAAAGACTCTTAACTCCACTTGGACATTGATCAGGGCATGGACAGCGTAATCCTTAAGAGGGCGGCTTTTGTTATTAAAGTTGGGGTAAAGGCATGCTGTGGTTTGAATGAGTGACCTACATTCATTTCGCAATAACCTCAAGTCATGGATTATCACTTTGCTTTAAGACATTGCTTAAGGAACGCTTTGGGTTGACTAAAGCTTGTGCGAAAGAAATATACTAAACTTGGGATGAGTTTTGAATACTTGTGAAGTTGAAATAATAGCATACAACCAATAAATCTTTGAGTTGTGGCTTCACCTTTATGGCTTTCGATGTCAACACATTATGTTATCTGTCAAAGCAAGATGACCCCAAAACCCAAGCCGATTTCACAACGTTACATCGATGTTACCCCAAGCGCTAGCTTATCCAAACATCAATATTGAAAGACTAGCCTGAAGGGAAACTCGCCTCCTTATGATTCAATCAACGCCACTTACACAACTTTACCTCTGAGAACAAATAACTCATGCAGAGAGCAGTTTTCAGAATAAAAAATAACACACAGTTTATGGTTCAATTAGATTTTATGTATGTAGATTGAGGGAATTTGACGTTCTCAACAAAGTTCTTGGCGTCATAAAATTTAGAGTTACTCACATAAGAATCACAAGAATGACACCAAATCGAGAGATCTGAGTAGCTGAGAGACAGAGAATGGTTGGATGTCTGGAAATGTTCTACGCCATGGCCTAGTCGATGACGGCCACAAAATATCTAGGAAAGTTTCATATCAATTAAAAAAATACTACCTTGTAACAAGTCAAACAAATCCAATTCTCCTCGGAATCGGCACATGTTTCACAAGGTCCCTTTGGATCAAATCCCTCCGGCACCGGGGCTACCGTATCATCATGGGGACATCCGGATAAAGGATAAACCGCAAATCCAACGGACTCTTCAACCGCCATCCTAAATACATAAAAAAAAATTTTATCTGGGAAGTGCAAGTATACTAAGTGTCAGAACCATTATGATTTAGAGTTACCATCAAGTTCAACAATTTATGATCAATTAACAATAACAATATTGATTAATAAGTTGGAAACCCCCTATCGACCTGATCTGCCCAGTCTTGTAATCCTCCAATTATATCCTTGAATTTCTTTTCTTTTGTCATCTCATTTAAGAATTTCACCGCCAGTTGAGAGTCGTTCCCTCGATGGCACAACAAGAATACTGTGTCCTGCGACGTTCTAATCAAGTCTTGTACTTCTGTCAAATCCATTTTTAGAAGCTTTGGCAATGGAATATCTAAAAAAGTAAAACAAAAAAAAATTATCTAACTTGTACTATGCGGAAGATGACAAATATTGAATTCATTTGGAGGTCTGACATCGATAAGGAGAGGTCGATCTCCATCGTTTTGCCAATGATTCAATACAAAATCCCTAACATGAACTCGATCTTCGGGTTGTAGGACATCCAGTGTCTTAACCTTAAAATAAAAATATCAGAAAAAAGATAGGTCTACCTTATCCGTGGCGCTCATATGACAGAATTGTTCATAATCTATCAGTTCCTTTATCCTTGGATTGTGGCCACAAACAACACAATCAGCCTTCTTCTTTCTCAATGATATCGTCCTCACTCTTCCATCCATCCCATCAAACAAGAATAATTTACCCGAATATGTTGCTGGAAAGGTAATAAATATGTCTTGACCACCTACAATTTCCAAAAACAGCTACTTTTATGACTTCAAGCGCTTGTAATGAACCAATTACTCCAGTTACTGGTCCCAAAACGCCGCCTTCAGAACAATTTGTAACAGTTTCGGGCGGCGGGGGATCGGGAAAAATGCATCGATAGCAAGGGCATTCCTATTGATGTAGAAAAAAGTAATAAAAGTACTCACCTCTCCATTATTGTAAACTGTTAGTTGTCCTTCCCATCCCAAAGCACTGCCAGACACCAAAGGTTTACTGGTTAGCACACACAAGTCGTTTACTAAATACCTGTTGGTTTCGAATAGACGAAGATCAGTATTCTCACCTTGTGGCCACGTTATCCGAACAGTCAACAATAATATTATAAGGATCTGCTATAGTCATCGCATTCGAACTGTTAATGAGAACAGGATAAACATCAACCCGGAGACTTGAGTTCAATCTAAACCTCCAATAATTACAACATCGACTTACTGCCATAGGGCTCTCTTGATGGATTCTACTTTATATTCTCCAACCCGTTCCTCGGTGTGTAAAACTTGTCGATGAAGATTATCCAAAGAGACTTTATCATGATCAACAATTCCTAAACGGCCAATTCCACTGGCAGCCAGGTAAGCGGAAACAGGACATCCTAATCCACCAGCCCCAATAACTAAGACCGACGTGTTCTTCAAAGAAATTTGCCCTAAAGACAGTCAGAAATTTAAGAAAACAATTTACCATCGACTCCAAAATTTTTCAACAGAATTTGTCGACTAAAACGTTCCACATCACCCTTTGACAAAGCATGATTAAAATACGAAGTCATTTTTTAAACATTTTGATTTTTTAGAAAAATATTTATTATGTGAAACACAGAATGCCAAAACTTTTTATATAACGTAATCCTTGAAGGACCAGGAAATCTGCTGTCCAGTGCAAAAATTAAAAGACGTTTCGCGACGTTAACGCGTCGTACACCGTTTTCGTAAGTTTGTCATAAATCCGCATCATGACAGATTTTTCAAAAAATTGGTATAGTGTTCTACCGCACACCAAGCTCGCAATGAATCCAAAAAATTTTTAACTGTATGTCTCGGCATGTGGAAAGCTTTCTAAAATTTCTAAGTTTTCATGAAAAACCTATCCCAAATTTAACACTTTCCCTAAAAAATCCTAAACTTTATCCTACTTTAGGCGTTACGAAAGTGTACCTACCCTCCACGAATTGTCGATTTCAAGATCCGGAGTAGACATGGCTGGGGGGCCGGGCCGGGCCGAAAATCGCGGCCCGGCCCGGGGGCCGGAAGAGGTCGGCCCGGCCCCGGCCCCCAGGGGGCCGGGCCGGGCCGGGGGCCGACCGAGGGCCGAACTGTAAATATGAACAAGATTTAGAGTAAGATGACCCCCGGCGTTTTAGCTCAAACCCCCAGTTACCGTCCAAATTTGTTGGACGGGCAACACTGATCGTAGCCGAGAGAACCCAATCCCGAGTAGGCGCTTCAGATTGGATGAGGGGGTTTATACTGGGTCATGGGGGGCTCAACTGGACTGGGGTGTTGTACTACCTTAGCCGATTGTTATAACAATCGACAATAAATTTTTGAATCAAAAAATTACCAACCATTGCCTAAAGTACTTCAAAAACCCCAATCGGTTCTTGGCTCTGCGTTTTATTTTTATTCGCAACCCTAATTTTCGCTTTGAGACTGGGAATTTTTGTCATTGGGGGCCGCTTGGGGGCCTGGCGGGGGCCCCCGGTCGGCCCGGCCCGGGGGCCGGAAGAGGTCGGCCCGGCCCCGGGGCCTTTAAAACTCGTTCGGCCCACTAGCCATGTCTAATCCGGAGAAGCGTTGCGTAAAAGCGGACGCTGCCGTTTATGTAAATAATTAGCGTTTGGCTTAACCAAAAGTTCAGCCCTAGTTGACCGGTCAGTATAGGCCAAAGAAAAATTTTTGCCCTTTTAAAAGTGTAACTACCCCTGACGATCGTGCGTGACGTTTTTGTCCATTGTGTAAAGATCGGAGTTGGTTATTGTATATACAAACGAAGAATGATATTAAAATGTGTATAGGAATAGATTAAATTTATGCCGTAAGTTGCGAATGCTGTTGCGTTGATACCGCGTACTGCTCAAAAAGTTCATTTCAGGAAAAAATAAATTTTCCTAGCCTCCCCTATGCATGCAACGACGAACCGACGCGATCCATAGTATCGTTGACCCGAAAAGTCGTAGTGCCAATTTTTGTGTAGCCAGCCCAATAAAGGGGCGCTCGACTATCAGAAAAACTGTGTTTTAAAGTTTAAAATTTCATGGAAACTCAAGTCCGTAAGTGTAGTAAAGTTACACTAATAACATGCGGTTGTTATGAAATTGCAGTTTGGATTTCTAAGCAGTAATTTTCAAATTTATTCAAAAAATACCCATAATTTGTTCTTAGCTCACACACATAGAAGTTTTCCTTGCTAACTCGTATAGCTTATACTGATAACACTACTCTAACAATAATATGATTAGGAAACATTTTTTAAAGTGAAAATGTGGAAGAAATAATGATGTTCGATGCCCTTGAGATCAGTAGCCGGCCAGAGTTGCTTCTTCGGCTACGAGTTGCCGTTCCAATTCGACCACTGTAGCTAGGAATCGTTGGTAGCGAGGATTGGTCAGTCTTTTCTTCCCCTCCGCATTTAGACTCAGAGTTTCCGTTAATGCCAGATATTCTTCTGGTTGTACATAGCCTAAAGTAAAATTGCGTAACTTCGATAAGATTATCTAGGTTGATTTGATGTAAAGCATACCATTTGAGATGCTGTTCTTGTTTCCTATCGATGCGTAATAACCGGAAAGTTGCGAATTTGTTGAAATGGGCTGGGTGAAGTTCTGCGTAAATTCGGCAGCTGTTGTTGTTGTTAACTGATGCTGCATTTTTTGCAGCAGATTACTCATATTCATATTGGATGAGGAAGTTGTTGGCAGTTGATAAATGTAGTTGTCTACAGAGAGACCTTGTTGTTGAACCATCTGAAGGAGAGCCGAGACTAGAGCTTCATTCTGAGGTACGGTCTGTTCACTGACTTGTTCTACTAAACTAGAATCATTCTGTTGAGAATACAAGGAAGCTGCAGAACTCGAGTTGTTAATCTCTTGCTTGAGTTCAGGGCTTTGTTCCATCTTCTCTTGTTGAGGTGAGTGGGATTGTGCTCTTTTTGGCATGTTTTCATTCATCATGTAATGATCTAAACTTCTCATACTAGTAGTCTTATATATAGCCTTGTTGCTCTTGGTCGGTATTTCAATTCCATTTGAATTGAGCATGGCTAGCCTTTGAGCCGAGGCGTTTTGCTCTTGCAGTTCTTGTTCCCGTTGACGTTGTTCGTAAGGAATTGGAAGGCATTCTTCCTCTACAAGGTAATTGCACTTGGGTGTGTACTTACCACTTATAAATTTTGGGAATACTCTTAGTCGGGTGTTTCCATTCTTGAAATGAACTGGTTTGAGGACTAACCCGCATTCAGATGTCCTTGTCCTATACCTTCTGATAATCGCATTTGCTCTCATTGACATTACATTTGCACAGGTCTTACATGTGCAAGTGTTGTAAGGACAACTTGATGCATGTCCTTTGAGTACTACTTGTTGCCCATGCCCTTCGCATTTACGGCAAAAAAGAGTTCGCACAGGACCCTTAGGGCCTCGAGGGGCGGTCATAACTTTACCTCCTCCCGCCGCTTGACCCGGTTGAATTTGTAATTGCTCAAATGGCTGCTGAAATCGGGTAGGTGGTAAAGTGCGTGTCAATTCGGATGATAGGCTATTTCAATTATGCCGAAACGTAATCAAAAGGTAATTTTATAGATAGCCAGATGACGTTAAGGGCTGTAAACAAGTGGACTTACTTGTTGTTGTTCAGCTTGTTCTTCGGCGATTGTTCGATCAACGTCTGAAGTGAGAACTTGAGCTTCTACCACGATCTGAGTACCAGCTGGCAACTCAACGGGGATCCCTGCAGGGAGATCAGGGCTAGGTAAAGTGTCGCTGCAAGTGACATAATTATTAACGTCAACACGCTTAAAAAGCGTTCAGATTTTGTGAGACATGTTTCTTTCTTCCCTCTTTCATGCTCCACACACCTGCTGGCGACAAAATGTCAGGGACAAGTTGTCTTCGTCTGGCCACACTCTTGGGCGTTCTTCGGCATGGCTCCGATCAATCACCCCTGTCTGCTCAGACCGTTCAATGTCTGCTGTGCAGTTAGGAGAACTGACAATTTTCAAAAAACTTTTTTGGTTTTTTTTTTGTTTTTTTGGACACTTCTTCCTCCCGTGCCTACGATCTTTATGCTTTTTCTTTAAAAATGCCGGGACAGACACCCGTCAACAAGTGATTTGAGGTTTTGGACTGTTCTTTTCTGATGGGCGGATTTCTGACCGTACTTTCGTTCACGAGTGGAAAAAAACAAACGGTGAAAAGTTCAAGATGTTACTACGTCTTTTGCAAAAGATCATAGTATCGAGCGACCTAGTGAATTTGCGCTGTTTCAAATTAATTGAGGGCGCCGTCCAGTCGACGTGACTTTTTCCATTTTTCTCTTTGTAAAGAAGGAGGAAGTAAAAACACTTACCTCATCCTGATTTCTTGATCAGTTGACATTAATAGATGTTATGAAATCAAGGTCATAATATAGATTTCACACGTATGCGGGGCTGGGCTATAACCATAACAAGATATAAAAACGAATAGGAAGTGAACTAAAGACAACAAACCTTAAAAGAACACAGCAAACGATAAAGATAAATTGTCGCGCATCACGAAATAAGAAAATTCAACGTTGACCGCTTTAAAACCCTTGAAAGGAATTGAATTGTCAGTATATCATTAAACGGAAAAGGAATATGATGAAAGACTCTCGAACGGCATAACCCCCAAATGAAAGTATAACAGATCAGTGAGGAACTATCATTCAAAAGTATCTTCGAGAAATCCGCATAAAGTGCGAGCATTTAAGGGTCGGAGTGTCAGCGCCGTGCATTCAGAAGCCGGCGCTAAACTGGGAATTTTCCATTGAGAGACCGGGAGGGGGGAGGGGGGTTCCCGATCGCATCACTAAACACCGCGGACAACTCCCGACAACCCCAGAAATCAAGGGAGCAAAGGTGCAAGAGGCCGACTACAAACCCAGCTTTCCCAACTCCTTCATCTTCGGGTACAAGACCCTTGAGTTGCGCATTTGGGCATCGATGACACTAAAAAGCCCCTCTTCTGTGAGTAGAAGGAAGAGTTCCAACCTTTAAAGAAGCGCGTGACATCTATCATCCAATTTTTAAAAGTTGAATTCGATCTTTGAGCGAGTGTGGAGGGAGCGGGCGTGTGACTTGAGAAAACAATATCATCTACATCGGAAAGAGAAGGACAACATCGCAGGCATAACACCTCTATGGAGCACCGTCAGCCAGCCGTCCATCTCATCATAATTATCAAAAAAACCAACACATCGAGATCGGTATATAAAAAGGAAGGAGAGCAAGGCTAGAGTGCGCGCGCACCTCACTTGCACCCAGCCCTTGTGTTGCACCCCCAGGCGAGACCCCCGACAACGCGACTTCTCTCTCTTTCCGTTAAAGGCTTCGCTGTGTAGCGGTCTCCATCTCTCTCGCACTCTTTCCGGTGATCTTTGTTTGAATCGAAGACCCGTCGCTCTTTCATTGAATTCTTATCAATGGCCTTTAAAGGTTTCTCAATGGCTTTATCTTTGTGCATCCTTGTTAATAACGAATATAAATAGACTTTACAATCGGTTTGTATCTCTGGAAATGGGTTTTCCACAACTGTCACTTCGATTAATCCCGAAAATATTCTTCCAGAGGTTTCTGGAGCAAACTGTGATGGCTTTTATTATTCGAATTCAAACAGAAATGAAAAGGGAAACAAGATCAGACACCGGAGCAAGCAATCGGATTTGCCAATGCTGCCATGCAGAGAAGCCGGTTGTGAATCCGTCGACGGGGAGAATCGATGGCTCTCTGGACTATCTGCCTCTCCGTGAAGCCATCTTCCGGGGGAATGGGGGCTCCATTAAACGGCTGCCATGTTCGCATAAAATTGAAATTTAGACGTTTTTCTGGTGGCCGAATTGACGCCGATGCTACTGTCAACGACAATACTAGACCTAAAATATATGGATTCAGTCAGGGATGGTTATTTTTGACAGCTGTTTTTGCAACGTTTGTTTGCGTTTTTTTGTAAATTAATGTGGGGATTTTTTACTTCCATAACTTAAAAAAATGGAACTATTATCATTAAAAATATAGTCTTTGCAACAGAAGCGAAAGTCCTTGGTTTTGGGAATACATTAACATATGGAGCACTTTATATCAAGCGTTTTTAATCGAAATATTTCCGATACAAAAGCCGGATTATTATGTAAACAAAGCTTGCTGAGTTTTGAATTACAAAAATCATCTTATCTTTTTTCTTAGAAATAATTTAATCACAGATAATAAATAGTAACTTTTATTTCACAAGGATGACGCAGACTTAATGTAAAAAGAAACGAAATGTCACAAACTGTAAAAAAAACTTACAAAATGTGAATAAAATGAAACCTCGGGACATTTGTGGTGGGAGAAATCTGCAGTCCAACAACACCCTCTCTTTCTGTCTTCTGACGACCGTTGAAATGGCCTCACAAAAAAGAGTTTACACTTGGCCATAATGCCGGCTCCGCCCCCGAGGCCGACCCATCGGCTTCGGTAGCTGATTCACGGAGCCATCGGACTGGATACAGCCGTGTTTCGAAGCGAAGTTAATCCCAGCCTTTATCCGGTCAGCCGGTTTGAACACTTTTATCAAAATTGAGGATCCAATGTCCGCCTCTGGAGAGGCTTCGGCTCCGCTGGAAACCTGTCCTCTTTTCTCTTCACCCCAGATCCAGGTTAATCCCCAGTTTGGAGCGACATTTATAGATTGAGTCTTCTATTTTCTGACCATTCCCTCCGACTTTAAGTGTGTCATCATGTTGTCTACAGTCTTGCTGCTCTTCCTGTTCATAATTAGTCCAAGTTTTGCGTTTCCGGTGAGAGATGGACCAAGTTAATGAATAAGTAATTGCTCTTTCAATTCCAGGACCCTGCCAAAGAAACACCAGCCACAATAGAAGACGCCGAGAAGGTCGTGGAAACGTCAGCACAACATGACTTCCCCTTCAACGTGAGTAAATTAGGCGTTATATTTTAGGATCACTGAGGCATTTCTTCTTATAATTATTAAGTACTTCAATAATTTTTACTTTCTGCAGAACCCATCAACTTGACAATAATAATTAACAGCCCCATCACATCTTTTATTTAATCTTTTGTTTCCAGGGCATGGGCCGAATTGGAAATGGATATGGAATGGGAGGAATGGGCATGGGGGATGCTGGTAAGTACATAAAATAATGCGACGACCTCCTAGCAGTTAGTTTCGACTTCAATTGCAAGTGCCAAGCCAAGTCCAATTTGCCGAAAAACATGCAAGTGCCCACCGATGCAAACCAAGCAGCCCAGCAACAGATTAATACGCTAAATGAACAAATCCGACGACTGAACGATCAATTGAGAAGAACACAACAAGGACAAAGCACGTTCGAGCAGTTCGGTGAGACCATTTGTTTGTTATGCATCATCCATAAAATGACGTTCCTGGAGAAATGTTCCTGGTTATGACATGAATTAAGCCCTGTCCAAACATATTTATCAACTTTTTAGCTCAAATCTTATCGATGGCTGACGGACTGGACTGCAATTGCTCTGGCTCCTCAGCTCCTTTCAATAACTTCCCCTTCGGCGGTGGAGAATCCAGTAGAATGGGTCCCATGGGAGGTCAAATGCCATTCATTCCCGGAGGGAATATGATTGCATCACCCATGGGCCAACAAAGAATGTTCCCAGGAATGTTGGGGATGTTCCCATAAAACATTTTCGACGCCTATTTATTCTTATTTGTAACAAATAAATAAAGACTAAATTAATTTTGTAAGACTCAAGTCCCTTATACATGGCCACATACGGTGGAAGAACGAAGTAAAATTTTGTATAGATTTTGAGAAAATTTCGATTTTTTCATTAAACGAATTGGCGTGCTCTGTCAAGCCCAGTGGGTGGAAAACGGCCCTCTTTTTGAAAATTTCAGGGCCGGCCCGTTTCAAAATCTTGCAGGCACGGCCCGATAAGGCCCGGTTAGCGCTAACTGAAAAAAAATCCTTTGATCTTTCCGCCCTATCTATAATCTGATATGTACTGTATTATAAAAAATTTCCCGGCCCGGTAAAGGTCAGGTCAGGCCCGGCCCAGCCCGTTTAAAACTTTGTTAGGTCCGGCCCCGGTGGTCAAGCCAATGATAAAAGATGTGGCATTTTGCATCAAGTAATAGAAAAAATATTTTTTTTAGCGGAAGAGCTTTTGAAAGTTTTTGTTGCAAAGTAATGCTTTTAGCACGTCTTGCGACTAGAAATTGCAGAAGGGCATTCTCAGCAGATCCAGGTAGCCATTTTCTTGAATATGTGGACCTAAAAAGTCGAAATGGAGAGGTTAACAAAGAGAAATTCAGAAATGAGGTATGGAGGTTTCTAGAAACATGTTTCTGACATTATGGTCATGTATTTTAATTAAACATTTGCGTGACAAGTTTAATTTTAGGCTGTTCTTGTTTATTTCTCCGCCGGATGGTGTTCAACTTGCAAAGAACTGACCCCGAAGATCAAGGTAATCCTTGGTTATTCATTTGTTTATTTTTTAGAAATTCTATGAAAACACCAAGGATCAGGGCCTTGATGTTGTGTGGGTATCCAGAGACCGATCTGCTGATGACCAAATCGAATATTATGAACAACAACTCCCTCCATGGCCTTATGTCCCATTCGGGACCAAAGACATTAGGTATGTGCTTGGACGGCAGTGTGTGACATTAGTTAGTTTTTTCACTAAGGGTTTCTCAATTTAGAGGCTTCTTGAAACTGTTCGAAATCAAGACTATACCAACGTTAATGTTGGTGGATAAAGAAGGGAAAGTAGTGGATGATGGAGCCAGGGTGAAGGTCGAAAAGAGCTACGAAAGCCCTGACGAATCATTAAAGGTCCTCAGCAAATGGCGAAAGCAACTCGGGTTACAGTAAAGTCATTGATATTAAAATGATTTAGGAATAATCGAATCTAATTTCTTTTAATAAATCGATTTTTTAAATTTCATTTCTGTTTTTTGGGGGCAGTTGGCGGTGATGTATGGTGCGAGAGTGATGCCAGCATGTTTTGAATGCTATTCTGTGAACAGACCCCGCAAGTATCCCCAACAGAATGACGTCGATTTCCTTTCCGAACTTCGTAATCTCGAAAAAGAATTGTTTTATGCCAAAGTGGAAGGACCCAAGAGTTCCAAGGATCAGATGAAAAGGGGGGACGTTGGACAAAGAGACGCGATGCGCAAAGAGTACGAAGACAATGCTGCCATTTATCTGTATGAAAACAAGACCGAAAAGGATCGGAAGGAAGAAGTCATCAATGTCAAGGAGAAGATGAGTAGTACACAGAAAACAAAAAGGAGGCCAATCAAGGATTCCGAACAGAAGGATAAAGTGAGCAAACGGTGCCACAACGACGGCAAGGTCAGTAATTTTTATTATTTTAATGATTTCAAATTCCAGAAGATTCATCAGAAGAGTCGCCGAGTTAAGCAATGCACCAGAATCGGAGGCTCTGCTGATATTATTTCCAGCTCTTCTAGTCGTTGCGCTTTCCGTGCCTCAAGTTTTACATCAATTCATTCATTGGAAGCAAACACAAAAGATGAATGCAAAAAGGAAATGGATTCAGATAACGATGAAGAAGTTGATGTCTCCCCGAAGGTTGCCTACTTCCAGGGATATGCGGAACATTGTGTCAAGGAGAGCATAAAACCCAAACCCGTTGTTTACGGTACTTGGGAAGCCCGGGAATGTTTTGCGGAGACCTTGAGAAGTCTCTCTTACACCGTTCATAGTATGGAAACTCTTCGACAAGTGGGTCCGAGATCCAACCAAGATTTCTTCGATGGTGTTGTTGTAAGTACTTTAGTTTTGTAACATTCTTCTAGCACTCTCTCAGAGGCACCGTTGAACAGCTCAGCGATCTCCAGTATCGTTATGATCACGATGCCAACAACTTCCAGAAAAGTGTCAAAAATCAATACTGGTATTCTAAATAAACATCCATTTACTGATTAATTTACTCTATACATATGTACATATAGTTATATTACTCCTTAAAGACACAATTTTGATTTAAGGCAAGAGATTTTAGGATTATGAAGGTCTAATTGTAAGTGATAACATCTGAGAATCTTTAACAGTAAGTGAGAGAGAAGGTCACTGTATTTCATTTTGAAAAGACGTCTTTTTCATGAGGATTACGAAGGCCTAAAATTATGTCTGAAAATAAAGTACAGTAACCTTCTATATAATAAACCGTATCACTGATGTTTGGCAAAGCTAGATATTGTGGATGGAAGGGGCGCTATTAGATCTCTTCAACTCATTCACCGACCAGCGGTTATCTAAGTAATCGATTTCTCGAATTCGGTCGAAATGGAATTGGGGTCGGTCGGAGGGTCTGGCTGATATGATGGACAAGGTGGGAGCCGTAGTTGTGAACGTCGACGCTGAGTCTGCGAATGAACCGTCTTGGATTTGAGCAGAGTTTTGGGTGGATAAGGGATTCCTACTGCAAAAATAAGAGTAGTGGCGCATTTAATAGTAATATTCATAAAAATAAGTAAATTCGAACTCACATTGAAGTTGGTAAACTAGACTGTTTAAGAGAGCCTCGGGTCAGCCAGATGTCCGGCGATGAAGTCTTTGCATCTGTAATTGATGATTAGGTTTTGGAATGACGTCATTTCCAGCTTTACCTGGTGGCTGATGTTATATCAACTTAAACGATAAGCTTTGCGTCAGAGTTGGTGAGGAAACTTTCGTCCAAGGCAAAGTTTTTCTCCACTGCGAAAATAAAATAAATTAATTAAAGCCATGAAATAATAAAATTAACAATAACTGAGTAGTTAGTGATAGAAGTTAGTCAACGTAAATTCGGCAGATGTTTTTTATATTCCCTCGGGCCTTATTCTTTTCGGCACTACAGAAATTTGAGCCAGGGACATTTCGGGTCAGATTGGGGATACGTTTGTCCAGGGAACAGGACAAGCCATGGTGAATTAACAGTGGAGGGTCGGCAGTTTCTTAGATAACAATACCGCACTTTAGAAAAAATTCATTTTAAAGTTAAAACAGCGATGCTTCATTTAAAAAATATTTCGCCGAACCTTCGCCGACTTGACCAGGCGTTTTCAAAACTTCAACCGCCCATTTTCCGGTATAATACTACGCAAATGTATATTTGATCCGAAACGTCGCTGACCCGAAGTGTCGTCGACCCGAAATGTCATCGAGCCGTACCGGCCCTACTGTAGGGACAGCCTCTTTTCTAAATGGTTCAGAACTCCATTGAGACAGTAGAGTTCTCGAAGTTCGATGATTTTTTGGCAAAAACATATTCTTCAGAAATCGGGTTAAATAATTTTAACCAAAAAGTCCTGCCGGTCAAAAAATCTTACCTTGAGCTTCCATAATTTCCAGATCATTGACAAAAGTGACGCAAGAAGACAACGGCGCTTTGCCTCCAGGTGTTCTGGGGAAAAAGAGGAACAGGGAGATCTGGAAAAAGGCCAAGACAACACCCGCCCCGTTGGGGATGATGATGTAGATATCTTTGACCAGAACTCCATAAAGACACCATTGGGAAGAGACTAGAAGGTTGGCCGTGCACAAGGGAAGAGGCATCGAATCACAGCATTTCTTGGAAAACACTACTTTCTAAATCAAATTAATGAATTTTTGCGTAAAATTATGCAACAACATAAGTTTGAAGAAATATATATGTAAATAAATAAACATACCATGCCAGCTAGTGGTGCACCAAAGTTGACAATGTTAAAGGTCATACAAACAAGGCCCAGAACATCGATGCATTCCATTCCAAACATCTCCACCAAGACCAGCATGGCTCCAATCGCTGATGTCACAAGACCCAATTGGATCGAAATACCCAACTAAACAGCTTTAGAGTTATGAAGGGGAGCCTTACCTTAGATTCAGAATAAAAGATGAAGAATAAGATGTATAGAAACATCATCGTAACACCCACACAGTTCACAGTAATCATGGTCATGTCCTCTCTAAGACCTCCGTATCGCAACCAAAAACTCCCTCTGAAAGTAGACAGTTAGATATCACGTAATGTCTTCTACAATGGGATTACTGTACTACTTACCCCAAAAATCCCATAATAAAAGGAAATCCGGAGATCTCATTCGTACTCTTCCTTCGTTTTATTTCGATACAAATTGGACTGAAAATATTGGAATATTAAAAGTTGGGGAATACACTTACATTCCACAGAAGAAGAGGGATATTGTCGTGATAATGGCGGAGACGGAGAGAACTGACAACAAAGAAAAGGATTCCCCTGCCATCCTGAAAATATAAAATCTTATTGTATTAGAGATGATTATAACACTTTCAAGTTTTTTTCAAAATTTATAAACTATTATACTATAATAAAAAGAACATAGTCAATGCCCAAAATAGCTTAAATCAAAGGAAGCGCCCTTCTAAAATCATCGACGGAAACCCTTTAACCTCAGGTTCCTCAATAAAACAGTGACTTGGGTTGATTGATCCCAGTTTTCGTCGCCCTTTTATCTAATCCCGTTTGTTCGCGGTCCAAGGAATCGGCCGAATCTTCGCGGCCTGCAATTCCCTCACAAATTGGCCGTGGTTTTTGCAATCATTCAATTATTTGTGTTCTCTCTCCGTGTTCCAGTAGTGTAAATGCGCTTATTTACTTACTCGAAGACCAACTCCGTCGCATTGAGATCCAGTTGTGACATGTTCGCGGGTACCCGTTCAGTTGAATTCGAAATGCCTCCAGGCCAAATAAGTCGTGTTTTCTGTAAAAATTAAGTGTTAAATAAGAAGATTAGTGACCTCGAAGAGAGGTCGATCTCTCAGAATGAGCACGATCGCAATGATCAGCTAAATATACCCTCAGGCTTTCTCAAGAGATTAAGGACCATGGGGACAAGCCTTTTTTTGTTTTCCCTTCCAAACAGAACGGAGTAAACAAGAAGTAGCATAACGTTTTTGGGAGTTTCATAACACCTCTTTGAATTGCGAAGGTGAAAAGAATACGGATTCCTTGGAGATGTGGCCAGAGAACAAAAAGAAAGATAATTCGATTATACTCAAAGTAAGCGACGTTATGAGCAAACTGGAAGAGGGTAAGGTCACCGTTTTATAATATTTTATACCGTAAAAATCTCCAATGAAACAAGTGTAACAGTCATCTTTATGATCCTTGTAATGTTTATAATGACAAATGTTACAATCTGATGATCGATGGGAACCCAAATTGGCATTGAGTGACGGCTATTTTGTATGATGAATACACCCTTTTAATTGAAAGTTGATTGTAATGTTTAAGTCATGCTTATGTTTTTATGTCTATTCTAGATATTCGCTGAAATTGATTAAGGTAAAAAGTCGGAAATAAAAGGTATCCCAGGTACCAATTTGTACATTTCATTTCACAACTATGCCCAGAACAAGTAAAGAGGACAGATTACGGTAGCCCCGATTTCGATCGAACCCCAAAGGAACGGAACGCAGAATGAAAATGTGAAAAACAGCAGCGTTCTTCCTCACGTTCGAATGTCCAGCGGCCATGCAGAGCTTGGCCATTCCCCCGGCCCACCCCCTTTCTCGAAACTTCCCCGATGTTCCTTCGCTTCCCCCCGATTATCCAAAGAGAAAACACCCAAAGAAACGGAGAAAATGAAGAAATAAAAGGGGGCAAGGATGAGGGAAGGGGGACAGAAGGAAAAAGGGCTCAACAAACAGCTCAAAAAAAAAACGAGAAAGCACGGCCTTTAGAAGGGGACAACGTGCTGAGGTCGAGCGTTCTAGGAGATACGAGATTAATGGGTACACGTCAAGGAAAAAGTTGAGGCCAAAACGTGGAAAAAACATGAGAAGGGTATGACGAAAGCGCCAAAAAGAAGCAGGATAATGGATAACAGAAATGGGAAACGGAAATGGATTTATGAGCCTTAGAGGGTATCTTCAGGTGGAAGATAAACGTTAAGTGAGTTGATACAGTATAACTTAATATTGATAAGTAATGTGTTCTGTTAATGCCTCATTTAAACTCAGTTTAGCGGTTCACGGCTCCAATTAATCGAAAATCGGAAAGAGTTACTCGATTAAACGGTAGTAATGCAAAATGGAGATTCACAAGGCTAAGTGTAATATTCCTTAATTATTGCAGCCTCAAGGCATAATAAATTTTAAAAAAGTTGTAAAATTGCTGTAAAGTTTGACACTTATTTTTTCAGGGAATGCAATTATGGAGAATACAGTCTGCGATAAATGAGGTTTAAGCACATTTGTCATCAGATGTAAGCGGTCTGAAGATGGATGTGAATACTCAAATTAAACACTCACAAATTGTCAGCACAAAAACAAAAGAACGGAACGTCAGAAGCACAGAGTGTAAAGTGGCGATTGATATTAAGAAACAAATTAAACTAAAATCGATAATTTAAAACAAAAGTATCCAAAAACAGTTGTATTTACACTCAAAAGATTATGTGTCATCATGACATATTTCCCAGAGAAAGGAAAGCAGAAATTGATCGGAAAAAGGGACATTTCAGCGACGATTTCATCGATGGAAACCGACCCGAATTCTCGACTAATTCCTTTTATTGGAGTCGTTCATCATCAAGCAAGCAGTCGATTCCTTCGTCTTCCGCAGTTAACTGTTCTCAGATCTTTGAAGGTAATTTACAGCGACTGATACGACAATTTCATTAGACCTTACTACATTCATTTGATGATAATTTTGTACCGTCTGATGTCGATTGGCATTCTTTACAAGCAATTATCGTAATTTTTATTGTTTGATTGTAAGATTACAAAATCGGTAATCTTCGAAAGAACAAGAAGATACGATGATGGGATCAGGCGACTTTATTTCAGTTGACCTCAGGGTTTTTACACATTGATCATTGAGTTTCCGTTGATGAATTTGGATCACGAGTAATGCGAGAGATCCCGAAGATTATTTCAAAAAGTAAGATGCGAACAATAAACTACAATATAAAGATATTTATTTTTTCCTATCTTGAATCCATTATTATCTTGGACGGAAATTCATTTCCACTATCGTTCCAGCAAACAAAATATCTCCAGATTGCATTTTAAGATGATATAAAATTTTTAAATTTCGATCGCAAAGGTCACGTGGTGGTCTCAAAAGAGCAGGTCGTCCAGTTGGAGTGACACAGTCATGCATAATAAGGGATGTAATGTCCGAAGACAATGCCCAAAGACAAGGACATCCTCGAGAAGACAGCCAAAACGAGCTGCTTTAATAAACAACCGGGTCCGTCTTCAGGAAAAAAGGTGAAGAAAATAACCCCCTGAGGGCACGGCCACGCACAGGACCGGCCCATCGCTAGCGACAATACGGGGCATTGTGCCGTCCGTTTCCGGTGATTTGCGGGACCCTCAGAATTTGTTTTGGAGACGGCCATAGGTGGCGCCCGAAAGCAATTCTCTCAAATTGGGCCGGATTTCCCAGATCCCAGCCAGTTTTTGTTTATTATTAAGCCTAGAAGATGGATAACATCGGGAGGGAACGACGAAAAAGTCCTCAATTGCCAAGGTCATTGTGTTCATGACATCTCCAGAGATCTGTCCAAGTTATTAGCCCGATTACTTTTCTTATCCTCAATTACGCGGTAGATAATTTATGCGGAATAAGAGCTCAAACACAGAGAGGGACCACCCTTTCTTTTACATGTCACATTAAGAGAATCGACCATATTAGCCCTCAACTTGGGGTGCCGAAATATTAAATTGTTTTGTTTCAGGGTCAGACGTTTTTTGGGTTCGGTTATCCCTCCCCTTTCCATAGTTGCCCCCAGGCGTCAACCCATGACTATTTCTTTACAATCCCTCGTATGGTAATTGGTTGGGGTCAAGATATAGACCCGGTGAGACCCACGGAACGTGGTATCCTCATCCATTTGTGTGATTGTTCACGCGTGCCCTTGTTTTTCAGCCGTATAAGTGAGTCGGGACACTTCCCAAAAGTCATCCCTCGCCCATGGCCATGCTCGATTTGGCAGCCCGTTAATTTCCCCCCACTCATCTCCTCGGGCCTCTTTTGTTGTCAGGAGTTGTGAGATTGCACGGAACGGGTTCATTCAGAATGTTGAGGCTTCGTATCTGCATAGTGCTCTTGCTGATGAAAGTTATTGTTGCCAAAAGTAGGTTCTCTGGCTATAAACAAGTTCCTTCAGAGAGAGCTCTCCTCAATAGCAATGGAGATTTCCTGCCCCATGTTCGTTTGGCCAAAGATCTCATGGATCCCCGGAGATATGACAGTCGGATTCGGCCGGTCATGAACTTCACCCAGCGAACCAAGATTGTTGTCAGCATGAGTTTGTATCAAATTCTTGCAATTGTAGGTTGTTACTGTTACAACAAAACGACGTCTGTTATCATCAAAAAATAGGACTGTGTTTTATTCGTGATCCGGCTTTGCCCCTTTACTATGAGTTGCATTAGATGTTGGCCTCGTAAAGTCCTTTCCTTTTATGGTTCCAAGTTTGGAGTTTTAATCGCTCTGGCCATTCGTTATGACCTTTTGGCTCTTTCAGAATGAGAAAATGCAGAACATTGACTTGAATGTGTGGGTCATACAGAAATGGAGAGACGAGTTCTTGGGATGGTCTCCTCACAAGTATGGCCTCATCAACAGTACCATCCTTCCATATCAGAAAATATGGCTTCCTGACACCTACATTTACAACAGGTAGAACAGATTTGTTTCCATTCTGAAACTTTTTTGTGTTCCGCTTCTCTGCACCCAATTATTTACTTTCAGCGTCGTTATGAACCGGGAAGAAACAGAGCGTTATATAAATGCAGTGGTAACCACCAACTACTGGAAGAAGGAACGGGGTGCACAGATCATGTTCATGTATCCGGCTTTATATCGGTAAATATTACAATATTCCGCGTATCTTTTGTTTAGAACAAGCTGTCGGATCCACATTCGTTTCTTTCCATACGATCTGCAGAATTGCACCTTAATAATCAGTTCTTGGACAAGTGATAAAAGTTCTATTGATTATGTTCCCGAATTCGATACTGTAAATCTGGAGAACTTTATCCCGAACGAGGAATGGGTGGTAGTCAGTTTCCACATGAGGAGGAAGGAGGTTAGTTTTGGAATCGTTGGGTAATCTTTTATTATGTGAAAGTCATTGTTTTTTCACAGTTAAATTTGAAGACAAGAGCGGAAAAAAATAAATGGCTTAAAAAATCAGCTACCATTTTGCAGAACACCTGTAATTTTTTTGTCCATAGAAGTTTATTTTTTAAACTTTTAGGAGAAGTTTGTCTGTTGTCCAGAACCCTGGGTTCTCCTCGAAGCCTCCCTGGTTGTTCGTCGAAAGCCTCTCTATTACATCGTTAATCTTGTTGTCCCCACTTCGGTTATCACTCTTGTTGCTGTAACGGGTTTCTTTACCCCGGCCTCTACCAGTAATGAACGGCGGGAGAAGTTGAGTCTTGGCATTGATTCCCTTTTGGCTATGAGCATTTTACTCACAATGATTGCTGGCAAGTGAACATTTTATTTTTTATTTTTACTCATAAAAATTGTTTAATTTAATTTTTATTAATTTTCGTCTTTTTAGAGCAAATGCCCACGATCAGTGATTACGTCCCTCTTTTCGGGATTTTCTATTTGGCAATTATAGTCATAATTTTTGCGGGGACACTCTTCTCAGCGTTCATTTTGAATGTCCATCTCCAGAAGACCCGAAACAAGCCAATCCCGCCACTGGTTAGCTTCATATTCTTCCACAAAGTTGCCCCTTTTCTAAGTTTAAGACCTCCAACTGCACTATTAGAATTGTGGATGGAGACTGGAGTTAGGATAAAAGGACTAAAGGAAGCCGATCCCAGGTTTACGATGAGATTATCATCCAATAAACGGAGTCTAGGCCCTCCGGCACCTAGGAAAGAAAAGGATTTCAAATATTTGAATGGACAAAATGGGGGTGATGACAGGATTTGCAATGTAGGTTTTTACTTTCTTTGCAGTTAAATTATTTTTTCTCCAGAATCTGCTCGGCTCTTCGGAAGTGTTTAAAAGTTCTCAAGTAGAGTCAGACTTGGAGCAACGGAGACCGAGTCCAAATACTCCAAAAACGGCACAGAAAGCAAGAAATAATTGGAAACGTCTGGCCGCCAGAGCAAATGCGAAACGTAAGGGTAACAAGAGATCGCTGCTAAGTTCCTAAAATTATACATACTAAATCTGTTGGTAAGATAATGCGGATTTGTGGCGCCTAGGAATCGCCCACATTCGGTTTGCGACGCTAGCCACTGCTGGGGACTTGGTGCGCAACTGCGGCGAGGCGAGACATTTTGCTGTGACAAATCCCATTATTTTCCCGACATACTGATAGTATTACAAAACGAAATTTCAGGCAAAGAAGAGCAGAATAAAATCAACGATATTCCCTTTGCCGACGGCGCTTCTTTGGCGCCGAGTACAGGTTATGAAAATCCAGCGATAAATTCAGCCAGGCATAAGGCTTCGATTGTCAGTCGACCTCAATCCATGTTGCCCGCATTACAGTTGCTGTATATGCAACAAGGGGGAGGTCCCGCCTCAGGCAGTGCAGCTGACGCCTTCTTATTGGAAGCCAAACTGAGACGCCGTTATGCTCATGAATGGGAGTTCTTGGCTTCGGTCTTGGATCGAGTCCTTTTGATTGTATTTTCGGGCTTGGTATTACTGGTCACTGCTGCCATGATCGCTGTGGGAGAGGCGATCCATTTCTCCTATTCGCTAGTCGAAGATTTTCCTCAAAATGTCACAGAGTTTAACCAAGATGTATGAATAAATTATTGGTATTTTTTATCGTTTTTACTTATCTACACATCAATAAATCACCGAAGAACGTGTCTACGAAAAACTGGTCTGATAAGGATAAGCGACTGGGTAGTTGGAATTAAAATACTCTTGAGGATAGGGGTACTGTAACGGGGCTTGGGACTTCTCTTTTTCCGATTGGGATTCGAAACTGGAATCTGATTTGGACTCGGATTTGGGATCTGCAGCTGATTTTGGTAATGGGGCTGATTTGAAAGTCCAGTTTGAAGATTGGCCGGATGGATAAGACTGCCAAGTCTGGTTGTTGTAGAAGAGAGCGTCCTTAAATGACGATGACATAGGATAATTTACTCTTAATCCTACCGTTCCAGCGGGATAGTTCTTCACATTTGCATCGACTACTGTATGTCGTTCCCTCTTTCTCCATTTGGCTCGTCTGTTTTTGAACCAGACCTAAAAATCAAAGAAGTCGGCCCTTAATTCATCTCGACCCGTGATGTCCCCCATATGTCTCCGAGATTGCGCAACCCTTTTATGTGTTTGACACCCCATTTTATATTTTTATCCCCATTTTCGCGCAATTATTTCCCACAGTTTTGACTCCTCAGGGACATACGACGGAATGAGATGCTAATTAAATGAGAAAACAAGAAAGTCCTGGGAATACTTACTCTGACTCTGGGCTCCGAAAGACTGATCCAGGCAGCTATCTCTTCTCGGGTGCTCATATCCGGATAACGGTTCCGTTTGAAATGCTCTTCCAATTCTCCCAACTGAAACGATTAAATTTAAATATAACAAATTACATTCAAGGATCAACTTACTTGATGGCTTGTAAAATGAGTCCGTTGTCTTCTCGGCTTCTGTGTTTGGATTACTGTATTCTTCTCGGCCTTGCTTCTATCTGGCTTTTTACTTACAACTGAAATGTCAGGATTAAATTGTTATATAATGTTTATCTAACCTCTTGTCTCCTTGATTTTTATTGGCTTTGCATTTTGCGCCGGCTTTACCACTATACTTGAAGGAGCTGGAGAGACAGAAGGGACCGCCATATTACTCATATTACTCAAGGCATTCATTGAATTAATTGTATTCGTGGAGATCTCGATGGGAGTGAGGTAGGGATTGGGAAGTGATGGATTTGGGAGTTGGAAAGACTGTGATGACGGAGTTGAATCCAAAGAAGGGATCTGGGCAAAGGGCGATGCATTGGCTAAAATATTACAGTAATGACAGGAGCATCAAGCCCAATAATAATGGTAAAGCCTTACAAATCGAAGTGAATCCCATAGAATTAAAGCAATTCACGGCACCTTGAGAGTCATAGAACGCTGAATCGAGTACAAAAGGACCAGCCTGGTAGTACGGAGCGGCATTCCCGAAGCCGAAGCCAATTGTGGAATGATGCTGAGGAGTGTTATTAATAAGCTCCAGGCCGTTTGCCTCGACCGCTCCGCCCTGGCCCACTAAGTCCATTGGATCAAACGGAATTAAGGAGCTTAAAAGCCTTGGAGTCATACGCTCCTCTCACGGAGGAGGGTGCTGAAGGTTCCAACAAGAGCTTACACAACGATCAGGGTCCGGATGCCTAGTCTAATATGGCAAGTGTGATGTCTGAAGATGGTCAGCACAATGTAGGATACCTCGACTTGGAATTGAACCGACCCGCTCTCGGCCTTTTTTGTTTAGAAGACTGGCACTCCGCGCTTGTTCTGGCCTTTCGCAGACTCTTTGAAGAGCGCCATTGGCTCGAGGATTACTGTATTCCCTTAATCCTCCCTTCTGGCACTCGGTCATGATCATTTTTCTTTTCTTTCTGAATGAATTCCCCGCATTTCCTCTTTGTCGCCCAACGGGCATTTAAATTATTTTTTGGCGTCTTCAAAAAAGTCTTCGAAATTCGATATCAGATCTAAAAATGGATCTTGGCCAGACGTCGTAAGGTCGTATAAATATTTAATAGATTTATTTGAACCAAGCGTATTTTAGAGACCTATTGACCACTTCCTTCAATTTCGGGGTCGATGACATTAAAAGGTTCGTTTGTCATAATTTCGCCACAACGAATTTCGAATTGAGACTCGACTAATGCACATTCCAGAGTTCTCCAGAAGAACCAATCTCGTCTTCTTTTCACTATTCCCATCGATTCTCCCAAAATACAGACATCTTTTGTCTGTTCAGGTTGTTGTTGTATTATATCTACAACTTCCGAGGTCTGACATTGAAGAGGGCAGTAATTCCTGAGCTGCCCATTGCTTGATCTTTCCTAAAAGGAACGAAAATACAGCCTTCAAATGGTCAGAAGACTATACACTAATCTTATATAGATTAATAAAGTTTCGCACCACAAAGCATCCGTTGTCAGTAATTGTAACATGTTCGTCGTTCTCGGTCATAAAAAAGAGATTACATTCGGTCGGTTCTTCAACATCCTTCTGGAGGCACGTGTAAATTCGAAGACCTGAAAAAGTAAACGTGGCAGTAAAACCACTACCTTTATCCAATCCTAGTGAATAATGGAGCGAAACAGAGAGAAAAGAAAGTAAGAGTATTCGCATGATCAAGATGGATAATATCGAGAATGAGTCGCGATAAACGAAGTTGACGTTGTTTGTCAAAACGACCTAAATCTCCCATGTTTTCCCTTCAATGCACTGACATAAAGATGAATTACACTTCTCAGAGCGGCTAATACAGTCGAGTAAATTTAAACAGACGAGACTCAAGCCATAGTGGGCAGATTTCGAGCATCGATGATTTCACCGGGTCGGGTGAGTGCTTTGATTCTATATTCCAAATCCTATTTTTTAATAGACACAAAACCATTTCATAACCTCAGTAAAAATTGTAGTAAGGTGAAGTTACGTCTCTATTATCGTTAATAAAACATGCTGCAGCACGTTTTATCGCCGATCTGCGCCCTTTAAGGTTTAAAAACAGAAAACCGAGTTTTTCGTGAATTTGTACCGACAAAAAATGGTCTTCATCAGATAGTCCAGGTAATTTAAGAAGCTACGGCACCCTTCATGCACATCTGAGACGTATCGAACACCAAACGGCCGGCGGGGATGTGATCGTCCTCGGGGTCATCTACAGTAACGGCAAACTCAAGATTAAGGTGAAAATAGCCATAAAAAAGGAATCATGGGAGGGAATGACATGATTCGCAACTATGTTATATAGCATCAAATTTCGTACAAAATAGGAAGTTTCGTTTTTTTTCAAAAGTGTACGGTAAAGTGCAGTTCTGAGGCATCAAAAGTAAGAAATACCATTCTTTAAATAATTTTTCCCGGCCTTTGTAAGCCGTTAAAATCCTTAAAATTTGCGTAATCTCAGAGAGCGACATGTGTTTTATCGCTCTGATATTATATTTTTCCGCACTTTATTACGCCATGTCTGTGGCGCCTCTAGCTGTAAAAAAATCTTTACAAAAAAATTTGCTTTTTTGACACCGGATTTTGCTCACAAAAAAAGTTCGGAATGATGTGCACTGTAGTATTTTTTAAATTTTTTCGGTTAGGGCCTCCCCTATAGGGGTTTTCGAGAGTGCTGATTTCGAAAACCGTATTCATTTTTTCCGATTTTGACGCTTTTTATTAAGTAGTATTGTTTAATAGTAATTTTTTGAAATGTTTATTGTTGCAAACACAAAATGTAAAATAAAAAATAATGAATATGCAACAATATTTTTAGAAAAAATGCAATAAAACACTTTTTAACAGTACTACATATTTTTAAAAAAAGTCAAGAATCAGAAAAATTCAAAAGTTTTCGAAAGCAGCATCTTCGAAAACCCCTAAATCAAGTCCTTTCAGAAAAAACTCAAAAAACTACTACTTTACAGTACTACTTAATAAAGAAGTAACAATCACCGAGTACTAGTCACTTGGACACCAGCCCTAGTGTTTGGCTATGTCGCCGTCAGGGGTGGTCAGCGGGTCGTTTTTTCCGATTTCCGGCCCGCGGCCGTCAAAGTAACGGCCCGGCTGAGCTTTGGAACTCGGCATTGTAAGTTGATACATAATTATCCGGCGTTTTCAACAAATTTTATTCAACAAAAAAAATATTTTACCAAAACATGTTTAAACGATTATTCCGGAATTAAATGATTATTTCAAAACATGTTAAATGATTATTCCTTTTTTAAATGATTACATTTAAAAAAGGAATAATTACTACTTCCTCTCAAAAAGCTACTTCCAAGCTTTTTGAGACGTCGAACGATCGTTGACTGGTTGACGTTGAAATCGTCAGCCAGCATTCGTGTTGTCAAGCTTTCGCCGTCTTCCACGGCTGCCAGAAGTGCCTGATCGTCGAAATCCGATGGCCGACCTCTTCTTGGCTTATCTTGCAAGCTGGTGTCACCTGATTTGAAGCGGGCAAACCACTCCCTGCACTGACTTTCACTGATTGTTCCTTCGCCGAAAAGTTCGTTGAGATCGCGAAATGACTGTGCTGCCTTCCAACCTTTCTCGAAGTGGTAGAGCATAATATGGCGAATATGACTATGGTTTTCAACACGCATTTTTATATAAATTATTAACTAACAAGGGAAGTACCCGAAGTGCGACGCTCAGATTTTTACAAAAATTGGCATAGATGGAGATCAGAATTTTCTTATTCGGTTGCGAACATCCTAGCTCGCGCTTTGCAGAATCCGCCGAGAAAGAAGGGCCGGAATATCAAAAAAATCTTCAAATGCCGACGAATTTCCCTGCAAATCCGCTTGATCTTGGCATTTCGTCCCAGGAGAAAAATATTTTTTCTCGCAAGAAATTTTTTCTTGGTAAAGTTCAAGACTATTTTGTTGCTTTTATGTGGAATATGGTGTTATTTTCACTTTTTTACACTTGATTATAGCGCTATTAATTGGATTGTCGCCATCCGAGGGGTAAAATGTTTCGTCCTTTGACGAATTTATACAGTTTTTCCTCTGCTGATGGGCAAACCACTCTAATAGCTGCTTTAAGTTGTTTAGAAGACCTGCAAACGTTCTACGGTCGCGTAGGAACGTAATCATAAGGTAAGTGTTACAAACATTTAATTTTTTCACTATTTTTCAGTTTATGCCATTTCAGAAAACAAAGTAAAGGTCCCAAGGTGTTCCGTCAGTGTTCCGATGGTGTACATTCGCTCTTGTTGTTGTTCAGAACTTGCTCACTGAAAAATAATAAAGTTTTTGTAACACTTACTTTAAGATTATGTTCATACACGACCGTAGAACGTTTGCATGTCTCCTAAACAACTTTAAAGCAACTATTAGAGTGGTTTGCCCATCAGCAGAGGAAAAACTGTATAAATTCGTCAAAGGACGAAACATTTTACCCCTCGGATGGCGACAATCCAATTAATAGCGCTAGAATCATGTCCTGGGTGTAAAAAAGTGGTAATAACACACCATATTCCACATAAAAGCAACAAAATAGTCCTGAACATTACCAAGAAAAAATTTCTTGCGAGAAAAAATATTTTTCTCCTGGGACGAAATGCCAAGATCAAGCGGATTTGCAAGGAAATTCGTCGGCATTTGAAGATTTTTTCGATATTCCGGCCCTTCTTTCTCGGCGGATTCTGCAAAGCGCGAGCTAGGATGTTCGCAATCGAATAAGAAAATTCTGATCTCCATCTATGCCAATTTTTATAAAAATCTGAGCGTCGCACTTTGGGTACTTCCCTTGTAAATAGAGAAGATTATTTTTATGAAAAAATTAACAAAAACGCGCCAATATAAACGCCGGATAATTATGCATCAACCCATAATACAAACGGGCCGGGCCGGAAAAACCCTCAGGCCTGCGGCCCGGTCCGTGGTCGCCGGCGGACTTCGTGGAAAATGGACAGAGTGAAATTGGACAGAAATAAATTGGACGGAGCGCTCCGCGGAGCGTGGAAGTTGGACAGATTTTTTCCACTGCAAAAAATTATTATTTGATGATTCAATAGTGACATTTCGTACGATTGCAGCGAAAAAAAATCTGTCCAATTTCACTCTGTCCAATTTCACCCTGTCCAATTTCCACGCTCTGTCCAAATTATTTCTGCCCACTTTCACTCTGTCCAATATGTCCATTTTCCACGAAGCCCGCCGGCGAATTCCAAATCCTGGGCGCAGCTCGGGTGTCCATCCCAAACATGGCTTGGACCGAACGTGCATACCCCCAGCGCGCGCCACTTTCTATCGAACAAAATACATAATTTGGCGTGTCCGGCCGGGCGTGGTTGCCGATTGCGGTCATTTTTTTCTTTTCATTAGTTCAACTTTCGTATTTACAATTAGACCGTAACCGAGGATCGCTAAAAACTTATTTATAATTTTTTGGCAGAGATTTGATGTATTTTTAAGGGTTTGTTTGGGGATCATCGTTCGTTTGGGAGCCACGTTATTATATTGCAAATAAAGCCTACATGGTATACAAAAGAATACAAGCTACGTGTAACATGTAGTCAAAAAGGATGCCTCTAAGATAGATTACGAACGCCGAGTGTGTGTATGAAAGAAAGGGAGAGGGGAAAGAAGGAGAGAAAGAGAGCGTTCCATCCCGTTCCAATCGGTTCCATCCCGCTCTCTATTGTGGTCGGTGGTCACAATGTTCTCTTGCAATTCCACTAGTATTTTTCTTAGTTTATGTGAATTTATCGAAAGTAATCTGAAAAGATTTTATCAGATTTTTTGTGATCTTGTTCTATTTTTTGCATTAACTCCCCAGATTTTTCCTTTATTGAAAACTAAAGTCATACCGATGTTAATTTTTATTCTGTAGTTTTACATTGGTTGGGTTGTTTCAGAATCCCTGTTGACGCTCCAAACATCGCGCGATCTGTTTTTGGAATTGTTTTTTGAGGCACTGAACGAGGTTTTGGAGGGAACGCGGCGATTCGGTTTTTATGCATTTTTTGAGGGTAAAGAACGCGCTCTTTTCTGAGTCGGAAAGAGTTTTTTCTTCATTCTCATTTCTCATCCACTTTTCGGCTGTCCGGTCTCCCTGAGTTGGCCTTCGAACCCAGTTCATTTACGACTAGGACTAAAATAATTTTTAGTTCACACATTTAATCGGGACGTCGATGTTTTTAAAGTATATTTTACATTTTTAAAAATTACTCTTTCAGGTTTTTGGAATAAAAATGCGCGAGATCGTTCACGTGCAAGCTGGTCAGTGCGGAAATCAGATCGGTAACAAGGTAAGGTAATTCTATAATGCTTTTGTATTGATTCAGTTCTGGGAAGTGATTTCCGATGAACACGGAATCCAGCCTGATGGAACCTATGCTGGTGAATCCGATCTCCAACTTGAGAGGCTCAACGTTTACTACAATGAGATTGGAAACAAGAGGTTCGTTCCTCGTGCCGTCCTTGTCGATTTGGAGCCAGGGACCATGGATTCGATCCGGTCTTCCCAATATGGAGGTCTCTTCCGCCCCGATAACTTTGTGTTTGGTCAATCTGGAGCCGGAAACAACTGGGCCAAGGGACATTACACTGAGGGAGCCGAGCTCGTAGACAATGTTCTTGATGTCGTTAGAAAGGAGGCTGAGGGGTGTGATTGTTTACAAGGTTCGTATATTTTCTGAATATGTTTTCTACAAATCTTAATATTTCTTATCTGGTTTGTGTTTTAGGTTTCCAATTGACTCACTCTCTTGGTGGTGGAACTGGCTCTGGAATGGGAACTCTCCTCATCTCGAAGATCCGTGAGGAGTACCCCGACAGAATCATGTCTTCCTTTTCCGTTGTCCCATCTCCGAAAGTGTCGGATACCGTTGTGGAGCCTTACAATGCCACTCTTTCCGTTCATCAGCTGGTTGAAAACACGGATGAGACTTACTGCATTGACAATGAGGCTCTCTATGACATTTGCTTCCGCACTTTGAAGTTGACCAATCCCAACTACGGAGATTTGAACCATCTGGTGTCGATGACCATGTCCGGGGTGACCACTTGCCTTCGTTTCCCCGGGCAATTGAATGCTGATCTCCGAAAGTTGGCTGTGAACATGGTGCCTTTCCCTCGGCTCCACTTCTTTATGCCTGGATTCGCTCCCCTTTCGGCCAAAGAATCTGCCGCTTATCGTGCTTCAACTGTCGCTGAATTGACCCAACAAATGTTTGATGCCAAGAATATGATGGCCGCTTGTGATCCACGTCACGGACGTTACCTCACTGTCGCTGCTATCTTCCGTGGACGCATGTCGATGCGTGAGGTAGATGATCAGATGAGCAGTGTCCAGAACAAGAACTCTTCTTACTTTGTTGAATGGATCCCAAATAATGTGAAGACTGCCGTTTGTGATATCCCCCCTCGAGGACTGAAGATGTCGGCTACTTTCATTGGCAACACCACCGCCATTCAGGAACTCTTCAAGAGAATCTCCGAACAGTTCTCTTGTAAGTTATATTGACGACCTTTTTATTTTGTATAGGTAATGTCATTATGAGGGGGAAACGTCTTTATCATTATATGTTTGTATTTTCAGCTATGTTCCGTCGCAAGGCTTTCCTGCATTGGTATACTGGAGAAGGTATGGATGAGATGGAGTTCACTGAAGCCGAATCTAACATGAATGATCTCATCTCTGAATATCAACAATACCAAGACGCAACTGCCGAGGATGAAGGAGAATATGAAGCTGAACTCCAAGAAGGAGAAGAGGAGTAGACCATTCTAAAGCAATGCAGTCCCAAAATCAAGCATTGTTTCAAGTTATAACTTATTGAGCATGTAATAAAAGTATTGGTTGAAGATTTTATGAATGAAAGCGGTTATGACCCGCTGTCGAAAAAACCCCAAAAACCTGGACTGGAAACCAAATTCGGTGTGTATTTCGCTAGCAAAATGTATTTTGGCTTGATGACAGAAAGTTGGCGCAGAGCGTATATACACATATTTCCTCAAAAAGTGATTTTGGAGCAGTTAACGTGATTTCAATCAACAGAAATGATTCAATTGGGTTCCATATTGAAGTTGGTATTCAACGATTCTGGAACGTCAGAGGAATTTGAAATTTGGCATGTATGACCACAATGGTCTAGACAACCAGTCGGATATAGAATATTTTTACTTTTTGCCCTTAAAGTGCAAGTAAGTGAAAAAAAGGCAAAAAATGGCCAAAATCATGGCTTTGTGCACCACAACAGACCCAGGAAAAGTTAAAAAATTTTAATATGTTGTACCTCTCGGAATTCTGCATACAATAGAAGAAAGAAATTGCGTTTATGACTCGGAAAGTACAGAAATTTTATAATTTTCTCCCGATTTTCTCAGTGTTAACACAAGCTGTGATGACGCGATTTGTATACGTGGAATGGCAATCTCTTCCAGTGCGAATTGTAAGCACTACTTTTTATTTTTTCGACACCGATCGGCGACGAAAAAATTGTTCGAAAAAAGAAAAAATTGAAAAAAATGAACACGATTTTCGTCATCATGATGCATCAGTACTGTCGTCGTTAAGTGTGGGCATTGCGACAACGTTATGTTTGTGAAAAATGGACACCTGTGTCAAAAATCATTAAAGGGTTTCTGTTGCCACTCTCATTAGCTATACCCTGTGTGATAATGCGCCGTCGTTTAGAAAACATACAATTCCGAGACATTTCCAAAATTTGCATAGCGTAACTCCGAACAAAGAAAACAAACAAAAGTTTTGACGATCCAAAATGATTAATTCCGGATTCAGACGCAACAAACACAAACAATTTTCCGGGAAGAACACCTTCATCTTGAGTAACAGTGAAGGCGAGAGCCCGAGTCTTTGAGTTTATTTTGCGCGAGATTGGGCAAACAATCGGAAGCGACCTCGAGAGAAAGAAAAAGTTGCAGTCGGTTGAAAATGAGCCGATCAAAAGTTCAGGATTAGAGAAAGGGAACGTCGCCTCAACATGACCCGGCACTCCCTTGACACCTATTTTATGATATTTGTGTTAAATAAACGCTCTGATATATGAATACAACCCTTTTCTTTCAGAGCCACCTCTTTCATCCCAATTCCATCAGAACCCGGCTCTAGATGGAATATCACAATGACTCGGCCTCTTCTGATGGTACTGTGATTTTGGTCGTGGCCGCGATTGGGTTGTTTAGTGCCTTCACACTTATAATATGCTTCTTGGCTATTGCAAAACGCAGGGAGCGGGCCGAGAATCAGATCGATGTAAGTTGTTAGTGTTGACTTTTTCATTTTCCTTTAGAATTTCCAAAGGATAATATCTCCGGCTCGGATGCCCCCTCCCCCACCCAGATTCTCCACATTGGATCAGAATCCTCGACCCCCCACTTCAATTCCAATAGACCCGAATATCTTTATCATCAATTCCAAATATGATTTCCGTCCTCCCAGCTACGAAGAGGCCGTTCAGTCAACGTCTATGACAATTGCAGTCAATGCAACCTTGGATGTTCGATCTCCCACTGGCCGTGCACATTCTCCACCACCAGCGTTTTCGGAAGTAAGTCTTGTCGTTTTTGTGTCCCATTAATATTTCTTGATTACATAATGTAATTGATTATTCTAACCTGATTCCCTTCAGAATGACCCCCTCCCTAGAGCCAGTCTCTCAGCGCCAGCTTGTCACGAGTTGGTCAACAAATTAAATTCATCCCCCGAAGGCATCTCAGGCTCCTTAAGAAGTTCAAACTCCCGGTCATAGACGTGTAATTGCTCATTGACCTCACCAAACTCGGGCTTGTCATCTCACGGGTATACATTTTTTTCTTTTTTTGTCACTTTATCGAATAAAATTTAATTAGCAGCTGTTTTCGTATCATTCTTGGCTGGCCAAGGGAGCATGCCTGAGGCATTGTTGTTACAAATCGGTCTTAGAGATGTTCCTTTATCACGTATTTAATGCTTTTCTCAACTTTAGGGATTTCAATCAGGACTTTTGAGCACTATTTTGTGAAAGTAAAGAGAGCAAAGTCTCAATTACCCCCAGGACGGCTAATTTTTTTATTTTCGAGACTTTGGTTTCCCTGAATTTTAATCAACTTGGCCACAAAAACACGTGTCTCTTCGGCCTGAAGTTGTCAAACGCCGAAATTGGATTGAAAGGCTGAAGAGGGAAGGGGACGAGGTTACGCAGCCCGAGATAAAGCCAGTGTTTGAGGAGATGTTGGAGACATTTAAACCTTTTCTTGTTTACCAAGACGGCCAGAGGACAGTGAGGGATATCAGTATCGTCTCCCAAAGCCCATAAGGTACCCCACTCAAATATTATATTCAAATTAAAACCCAATTTTCAAAAACAACGCCATTATTATGTCATCGTGGCCGTCGAGGAGACAAGTGTTTTACCTCCTGGATTAATACCGGAAATCATAAGTTTATTACCCAAGGACCACCCACAGCCGATAAAAATTGACAGCCCTGAGTCATTGGGAGTATCCCTAGCATTAACTTTTCCCCATTCACTGAGAATGGTTAGGCCAAATTAGGAGGCAATGAGCAACAGGTCGTATTAAAAGACGCGTGCCCTTCTCCCTCTCGTTTCTTAAGGATTTGGGCCGAAAAAGAGACGGGGGACTTAAGGGTTGAGCAAGGGCTATCATGGCCGGCTAGAGAGCAGCAAGTCGTCCGCTTTCTGCTTCCAGAGAGCTAGCCTCATTCCTCATGGAAAAAGAAGAAGAAGCGGCACTGTTTTCTGGGGCCGGGGTTCTCCCTTCTCTGACTGGTTTCTTTGTAGGAGAAGTCTTAAAAAATTAGTTTCTCCAAAAAAGTAAAGAGAAAATAAACTTTGGGCCGCCACTCTTTTGAATAATTTTTGCATCCGATGTCTAAATGAGAGTCAGTTTAAGGTCGCGATGGCCAGTTTGCAGTCCTACTACAGTAATTGCGTAAAGAAACTTTCCTTACTTTTTATTTTCATTGTGTTCTCATTTCCAATATCACCTTTAAGGAACCAAAGATCGTCTAGCATAAGTCTTCGTCTCTGAATGTTTTGTTTCGTACTGGTTAGTTTATAAAATACAAGGAAGAAATGGAAAGAGTGACGTCCCCCACTTTCCTGATCTCCATAATTCTATTTCCTTAAAGTATTTTATTTATTTTCGGAATTTCCCATGATTTCTCGCTTTCTCTGATTCTCTTGCCCTGAAGGTGATGGATGAGGCTGGGCGAACCGAATTAGTGTTTTGGTCCAAGTCCCAGCATCGATGCCAAAAATTCGTCATTTTTTCTGTGGCTGGAGACGATGATCGCTCGTTGTTGTCTTGCGAAGGGACACGTTGCGCACCAATGTTTCTGTGTTTTGTGTTGTTGTCATGAGAAATTGAGGAATATTAGAGTCGCTGTCCCAAGGTGAATGTATCTGTAAGGCCTGGGGGAAAGCAAGCCCTCTGGCACTTTTACATAGAAGCCATTTTCTTCGCGGCTCGACCCCGTAACTCGCCTCCTTTTTTATGAAATGGATTATATTGGGTGAAAAGAAGGTTCTCAAAGTGCGTCGTTCTTCTCTGAATCAAACTCAAGTAGAACATGTCACGGCCAAAGAGAGACTTCTCTGACTAAAACGATCGCTTAATAAGGTCTTTGCCGCCGCGACAGTGACGTCAGAAAGCCGGCCATTTTTAACTATGCATTTGAATATCTTCTTTTACTCGTCTTCTATTTTGGGGAACGGCTGCGGAATTACCGTATTTTGAAGGGTATTTTAATATAAACGGGCGTATTTTCCGCGTTCAGTTCCTTTGATTTAATTTACTGTTCAATTATGATAATTAAATAATAGTTTAAGTGGGCCTTAAACTTTGGTGAGCAGAGCCCCGAGTTGCTGAGAGTCAGGCGGCATGGCGTCGGTGGCGGCTTGGCTGCCGTTTGCCCGAGCCGCCGCCATCGGGTGGGTTCCCATCGCCCGCCAGCCCATGCCTAAGCCACCGCTAGCGATTCAGGCGAAGGATCTGGCGGTCGATCATGTGTCCGACGAGAAACTGATCATCAACATATCTGGCAGACGATTCGAAACCTGGAGAAACACACTGGAGAAGTTTCCGGAGACCTTGCTTGGCTCCAACGAGAAGGAATTCTTCTACGACGAGGAGACCGGCGAATATTTCTTTGATCGGGATCCCGGTAAGTGCCGTAGTCCATCTTTATTCCGAAATTTTAGATCTCTTCCGACATGTCCTCACTTTTTATCGAACGGGGAAACTTCACGTAAGTGTTCCAGTCCCTTTCAATCATTTTTTATAGTACCCCAAACACGAATGTCTGATGGCTTACGATGAAGAGCTCTCCTTCTTCGGGATAATGCCCGATCTGATCAGTGATTGCTGTTACGAAGATTACAAGGACAAGAAGCGGGAGAATCAAGAAAGATTGATGGAAGAAACCTTGGAGGCGCCGGAGAAGGCCAAGGGGAAACAGACATTCCAGCAGCAGATGTGGTCGGCCTTTGAAAATCCTCAGACTTCTTCCGTAGCACTGGTCTTTTATTACGTAACGGGTTTCTTTATTGCGGTTTCTGTGTTGTGTAATATCATCGAGACAATTCCTTGCCAGTACATTGACAACGAGGAGTCTATCACCTGCGGGGATATGTACGAGAGGCAGTTCTTTGTTCTGGACACAGCCTGTGTCATCATCTTCACGGTCGAGTATTTATTACGACTGTTCGCGGCTCCAGATCGATGTAAATTTATGAGGTGAGTGTTCTGACAAATAAGATTTTATTTATGACTTGATCTGTTCATTTAGTTTGCCTAAATTAATTTATTTTGTATTTAATTTGCAGGTCAATAATGTCGGTGATAGATGTAGTGGCCATTCTCCCATATTATGTGGGTCTGGGACTTCAGGACAATAAAGATATAAGCGGTGCATTTGTGACACTTAGAGTTTTTGTAAGCGTTTTATTTTCCCAGTAACTAATCATGCATACTTGTTTATAGTACAGTAATCTTTTGATTCCAGCGGGTATTTCGTATTTTCAAATTTTCTCGTCATTCTCAAGGACTTCGTATTTTGGGTTACACGCTCAAATCCTGTGCCTCCGAGCTGGGATTCCTAGTTTTCTCGCTAGCCATGGCCATCATAATCTTCGCCACCATCATGTATTACGCCGAGAAGAAGGTGCCAAATACCAAATTTACCTCAATCCCAGCCGCATTCTGGTACACTATTGTAACGCTAACCACACTCGGATATGGTGATGTAACTCCTCAGACGATAACTGGCAAGATTGTTGGCGGAATCTGCTCTCTCAGTGGAGTGTTGGTAATTGCCCTGCCAGTTCCAGTTATCGTCAGCAACTTCTCCAGAATCTACCATCAGAATCAACGGGCGGATAAACGAAAGGCGCAAAAGGCAGGGCTTTAGATTATCCAATACTTTTTTCATAAAGCACCAATTAATTGTCCGGTTTTAGAAAGCCCGTTTGGCCAGAATCCGTGTGGTCAAGAATGCGAGTGGCCAGGCATTGTTCTCCAAGAAGAAGGCCCACGAATCCAGAATGCAGGCCTTCGAACAAGGCGCCCTTCCTTTGGAGGCCCTCAAGGATGAAGATATCTTCGAGATCCAACACCACCATCTATTGCAATGTCTGGAAAGGGCGACTGTAAGCTGTTTTGGGAATACTGTAACCTTTCATTCTATATACAATCATATCCGATGCACATTAGGGAATCCATGCTCATTCCAAAACAGCTCAGATTAAAGGCTGTTTGAAAAGTCAGAATGACGCTACGAATTACAAGTTTAATGTTTGTGTCGCTTAGGAACGGGAATACAACGAGACGGAGATTGACTACGACTACGGCCAACAAAGCACTCCCCCTCCATTCACCTCTCTGGCCTCGGTCAGATCTCAAGGGAAGAAGTCAAGGGATGGATCCAGAATCATTAATCTGACCGGTTGTTGTGTTAGGGGACAACAGAAGAATGAGAATGATGATGGAAGCTCCAAAGGAAGGATTCATCGACAAACCACTATGAGTGAATCCTCCAATCTGGAAGAGAATCTCGTTTTGCATCAGAATAACTCCCGGCATTATGACAACGAAGCCAAGAACATGGATTCAGCCATGTCCAGTGTTTGACATGATATCAGTTATCGTTTATTGTACATTTATTTTTGTCTCCTACCACATTTACTTTCCGTTTTTGTTGTTATTTTCCATTAAATATAAGGCTTTTCGAATATTCGCTTACTTTTATCACAACGGATCAACAGTCAACAACTGTATGTATATATATACAAATAAATATCCGATGACATTGTTAAAGCTCGAGATAACAACATTTAAAATACTTTCTGGATATATACAAACATATTCTGATTACATTAACTTCAATGTAATGTGTCGTTTTGAAGATCGAAATCTAAAAGATTGGTCGTTTCCTGAAGGCATTTGTAGAAGTCATCACATTGCCGGATCCGGATGAATCTCAGTGGCTTTGGCTTCGATTTTAATTGCAATTCGATCCCTTTACTTCCTCCGGGGAATAAGCGACCAATCGCTTTAAGGAGACGGACCTAAATGAAGTAATGTATATAACCGGCATTTACCAACTACTGGAGAACTGAATCAAAAATATTACTTTCTTGAACATAACCAACTGATCGAAGGGGATCTCGATTGTCTCCGTTAGATCGCTTTTTGCATTTTTGTAGGAAAACATTAACATTCTGCAAATGATTTACTTGCAAATTAAGGCAATTATGACTTCCATTAGAGGTTGTATACAGGGTGGGCCAAAAAAACGGACATTAATTTTTTATCCATTTTTTCTTGCAATGAAACAGTTTGTGAAAAAAGGTGTATATGGCGTGAAAGTACTATGTTAAGGAAACATATTTACTGAAGAATTTTCACCCTACCTGCAAAAGTTTCCGACATACGATTGCAAAAAAAATGCCGGGTCAACGCTCCAATTCCCGCGGCAAAATTTCAAAGTTTCTTGCCCCTAAATTTTTTAGAGCTGCTACACAGACATATCAAGCAGTCGAAGCGAAACAAGGAGGCCATGTAAAGAAGTGTTTTTGGAAAACGTGGTCAGAATATGGGCTGGCCTAGGATTTTGGGTCGTATCAATCGTTCAGCAAAAGTATATAAACAATTTAAATCGTTGTGATAAAGCAGGATAGTTGACAATTATAAAACTATTTTCTTTCCATTGATTACGGTATCTGTGCCGGGATGCGCGGACTTTTAATTTTGTCCATTTTTTGGCCAACCCTGTACAGCCAACTACAAAAAAAATAGTCTCTGAAGTAGAAAAGTTATCGCAAAACTCACGAATCGTTCAAAATAAGTTCCCCTTGGGTCAGGCCCTTAGGGAATGCCTGATTTTTGTCGATCATAGAACAAGGACGACCTGAAAATAATAAAAACGTAAATGCGGACAGGGCCCAGGTTTAGTTTTAAAAAACGATACTCACGGATTTCGAATAACAAGTTTTCGTTTGTTTTCTCGATCGAAATCGAGGAAGAGCAACAGGAATCCGAGAAACTCAGATCCGCCGACCCTCTTCGGCTGGTGTCGCAGGTCTTTACTGTGCAATTCGTGGTTGTGGAATCGTTGCGCAACAGTTTATTTTTCAACTGAAAGTGGTTTTAATTGACATATAACCAAGGTGATTTATATCTGGCGGCAAGGTCGGTATGCCGATGATTTTTTACGCCTACTTGGCCAAAAAAAATTTCAAGTTTCAGCGATTTCGGCCCGAAAATCATCCTTGAAGACTTTGGGAAGACATAGAGAGGTCAATTCAAGGTTTTGTTTGAAATTCAGTCGGTTGAAAATAGCGGGTCTCAGCTCCAGAAAAAATTATTTTTTCTAACAAGGGAAGTCACTTTTTTCGCAGATCGATCCATACTGGTGACCTAGTGGACAGTGAAGGCCTCAGGCTGTGTAAGAAGAATCTGGCGTCCAAAAGTGTTTACGGGCCCTGAGGGCAGAGTTATGGCTCATCAAAGTTCGCGCAAAAAAGGTTCCGAAAAGACCCTCCAAAAAAAGGGATCGGAAAAGTGAGCTTCGGTAGCAGAGTGGTTCGCAGATTTTTCTTTTGTCTGGAAGGGCCAGGGTTCGGATTCCTCTTCCCGGCAATAACTAAAAATAATATTGTAAGAGTAGCGTAAGTTACAAAAAAAATTGTTTTGAAATAATTTTTGAAAAATATTATTATCCTGTCGTTAAAATTTGGGGAAGACGTTGTGAGCTTGGACACAGTGAGGGATGCGAGGGCATTTTTCCACCGAGGATCGCATTCAATTTCTGGAATAATTCGGCGATTACGGTGGATCAAGACGCCGTATCATTGGAGAAAACTGCGGGAACTTTGGCGTAAAGGTAGGGCTGGGATTCTCAATATGTATATCTCTGATGTTTTAGAAGACGCCCTTGGTGATCGTGATATCATGCTGAAGCGTTTGAGTCAAACGCTTGCTGTCTGGGCAGATGATAAATTTAGTGACGATATGAACAAAATCGTCATTTTTTTAACGACAGGATAATAATATTTTTCAAAAAATACTTTAAAATATTTTTTTTGTAACTTACCCTACTCTTACAATATTATTTTTATTAATTGCCGGGAAGAGGAATCGAACCCTGGCCCTTCCAGACAAAAGAAAAATCTGCGAACCACTCTGCTACCGAAGCTCACTTCTCCGATCCCGTTTTTTTGGAGGGTCTTTTCGGAACCTTTTTTGCGCGAACTTTGATGAGCCATAACTCTGCCCCCAGGGCCCGTAAACACTTTTGGACGCCATATTCTTCTTACACAGCCTGAGGCCTTCACTGTCCACTAGGTCACCAGTATGGATCGATCTGCGAAAAAAGTGACTTCCCTTGTAAGTAGGCGTAAAAATTCATCGGCATACTGAGCTTGCCGCCAGATATAAATCACCTTGGTTATATTTTAACCCGTTGCACATAGACTATAAAGAATACCGTAAATAATTCTAGGTTTGCTGTTTACTTCATCGATTGTCTTAACAAGAAGAAGCAATTTAGTTCATAAAAATTTTAAATTCTTACAATTTTTTTATCAAAAATTCAAAAATTTCCAAAAAAGTTCAATAGACAATCAAAATGACAGAAAATTTTGACATGACGAAAACGACGCCAATTTAACAATGTAACTGACGCGTAATACTGCAAGGTAGTACTTTTTACCTGTAAAAGCACTTCTCATCCACACAAAACGTTACTAATTTACAGTACTACTTAAGACAAACAAGTATATACGAGAAAAAAATGCATTTTCTAAATCAATCCGATCACCCTACAGCAGCAGACCTTCTAAATGTAAGATGACTCACCTTTTGCGACAATTCAGATGAATATGTGTCACTCTGCCGTCTTAATGCGGTCGTTTTTTTCTCCATTTTTTCTAATTTATGCGGTGATTTGGGGAGATGACGATAAAAGAAAAAGGCGATGTCAAACATCTGCCTGAGGCGGGGAAAGCGGTAATAAAGATACGTCATGATGAACGCCTTACCGCCACATAACAGTCCTGCAATGTTTAAGACGTTAGAATTCAATTACAAACCTTCAAAGATCATAAAATACGAATAAGATTAAGTGTAAGCAAGTGTAATAAAAACATTTTCTTACCGATTACAATCAAAAAAGTATTCAGGGAGGTCAAAACGTGGACCCAGAAGAAGAAAGATAAGATCAGGACGAACTTCAAGGTCACCTCGGGCTTCCGCCACATAAAGAGTCTGGAGAAAAATTAAATTAAAAAAAGGATTACTGTAACATACGCTCTCAACTTCTCCAAGGCGTCAGCACTGAAGGTAAGCAACATTTGGGCTTTCTTAACCACATAAAATATTAATTGGGCCCCATTTAAATCAAATTTGGGAGAAGGGACCTTCCTTCGAGGTAGGAAATTGAGGCCTATATCAATATTCCTAAAGAATCGAATAATTAATACGCAAACTTCCATTTAAGCCATCAGGCAGTGTCAAGTGTTGGCCCAATGTGTATAGCCAATATTACAACATTCTATGACCAGCTGAATTGAAATTACAGACAAACTTTTTAATTCTGGCCATTAGAAAAGGCTGGCCAAAGTGTCAGAATGGATGCGAAGCCTCAAAAAAGGTAGCCTAAAGGCTGGAATGGGTGTCAAAGAATAGGAATTGATTTTTTGAATGGCTGGCAAAAATTTTTTTATTTCTTACTGACTACAAAACTCTACTCTTTAAAAGTCCTAAAAAGTAGTCCCACGATTACTTACTTTTGAGTTTTGAGATAGTTAATTCCTAATTGTAAAAGAAAAAGAAGATACACCAAGGGGATAAGGATCTCGTTCCACACAGCATTCATGTACACCATGAACAAACAGAGGGATGCCAGAGGCGCTTTCCATGTGCAAAAATCCCATAATCCGGCACCAAATTCAAGATAGAAATGGCTCTCGACCACTACAATGGATGAAACAATTAACTGCAAGTCCTTCTTAACACACTTACAACATCGTTGAACATCCCGGCCCAAAACTGAAGCACTCAGTCTGTGATCGGCCTCCGAATTCTCGTGATGGATCCGATTGTCCTTTAAACCATCAACAAACTCAGTCCAGAGTTCATCGATGGAATTCTTCGTGTTTTTCCATCGATAACTCGAGATTACGGACATATCAGAAGAGGACACAGACTCACTCCCATCTACATCCACATGCCCAGAATCTGGCGAAGATGGGGCCACCAATCTGAAAGAGATGATACAAGAGATCAACTGGATGGATAAGATCTCTGAAGAACCGGAGATCAAAAGAACAGACTCACAGCATATCTAGAGAACAACTTTCTTCCGGGGAATCTGGATCGGCCAAATGGTCTCGATGACTAAGAAGAGGGGGGATGTCACGAAGAGAACGCACTGGGAACAGCGAATGCACGGTGGAACGACGCTGTTGGTGATATCGATGCTTATCTGAAGGGGGCCGAGGGCCTCGACGGTCTTCCTCGCTGCAAGCTGTAACTATCTTTTGGAACAATCTGTTGGGAATGGGGTTACGGAAACAGAAACTGTCAAGAAATCCCTCGAATTTAACGCTTCCACTCACCTCCCAGATCGTCATTACAATGCATAATCAAGGCGAATAAATATAACGGTGAATAGATCTAGGAAGGGAAATTCGTTCAAAAAACATTCAAGTAAAAGCCCTGAGGCGTTGTTTAAAAAGGGAATAGTTACTGGCTGAGCTTTGATGGGAATCGTGGTTCGAATCGACTTCAAAACAACACAAATCACGCTTAACAGCACAGTTATACGAATTAACTGTATTGAAAAAGACTATTTGTAAGACAGAAATCAAAAAAGAGCACGCACGTTAGATTACTAATGATAAGAATATGCAGTATACTTGTTATCGACCCACTTGAGACAGTCGACGCACGTGGGAACAGTTACAAAAAACATTACTTTGCTTCATGTTATCACTACAACCTCCCCTACAAACGAATATTCTCCAAATGCAAATCGTATCTTTCTCTTCGCAATAGTAATATTACAGTTATAAGACCCCCACTTTTGTGGTTTTATTATCTGAGTTCTAAAGTAAAGAGGTGGAATAAAACATGTGGCCAGGCATAAGTCAAAAGTCGGCTGCCATTATTTAATTAAAAGGTGCTCAGAGAAAGAAGACAGAAAAGATTATTGACGAAAACATTCCAAACAAGCATTACTTTACTCACCTTTCAAGAATTCACGACAAAACCGGTAATAAAGAAGGTTCTTGAGGCCGAGGAGGATGTGTAATGTCTGCTTAATCTGGTTGCGGTTCTTATCCCTTCTCATCACTGTAGAGTCTCTCTTTTTAGCCGACCATTAATTATCTTTAGCCCCTTCTCATTCTTTTCGTTTTTCGTATAATTTGATAAGCGGAATCGGGAGGCAGACTGCGCCCTCACTTTTGATGAAATTGGAAATTTTAAAACGGATTTTTTTTTTCATTTTCAGTTTTATTCCAGATGACGCAGACTACAGGGTGGGCCACTCGAAACGGGTAAGTTTTTTCTTTGGATTTCTCCGCGGAGACTCCGCCGATTTTCCCGAAATTTAGATTTTTCTGTAGCTGAGACCCGCCATTTTTAACCGGTTGAATTTGAAAAAAATATATTTTGAACTGACCTTTCTGTGCCTTCCCAAAGTTTTGAAGAATTATTTTCGAGCCGAAACCGCTAAAACTTTGAAAATTTTTGGAATGATTTTCAATTGACTTTCTCGGACTTGGAAAATTTTTGGCTTTTTTTGGTAAAATCGGGAAGTAAAAAGTTGCGTATGCTCTCTCTAAACATGATTAAGGAAAATTGAAAGCAAAAATAGTGTTGTTTGCATTACCGATAGGGTACGAACTTTCAAAAAAAACCAATTTTTCAACGAGGTTGCAAAAGTCCACACAATTGGCAACGAGCCCCAGCTCCAAGTCATTGAAGCCTGGAGCCCAGCCCGATTAAAGATAGACGATGTTCACGATCTGCAATTCGAGCTGTTCACGACTCTCATGACTCTCAAAGCTCCTACAAGTTTGAGTAAGACATTGGATGTCTTGAGGAATATCTGGCCTGGTTTTTGAGCCCTGATCCGCGGTTGACCCGCGCTCCCCTTCCGTGATCCGGGCGCTAATTTTGGCCGGTTATTTTTGGCCCTCATTTTGGCCCTACAAACTACAGGAGTCAAAAAGGACACCGATGCCTCACACCTGGTGAGTCACCTGCGAGGAGGCCTGAGGGCAGAACTTTCAGGAGGGTTCTGGAAGCTCCATAATTTTCCATAATTAGCGGCCACTGCAAACTACGATGGGCGCAGCACAGAGCACATGGGAATGGCCTCAAGATCACCAGTTGCCCCGCCCAGGATCAAGCACTATATAAGACGGCATCAGCGCCTCTGCCAGGACGTCCACCCAGAGTATAACCTCTAGGGTATTGTTTTGTAGTACTACTGTGTTTTGTTTTATTGTGTGTTTGTTAGCCGAGCTCGAGATAAAATATTGGCCATATATTGTGGGTTTTCCTTGTCCCTCCACTGCACTACGCCGTGTAGGCTCTGATACTTCAGAGCAAGATCCGCCGCGGTCTACTGAGACCGGAAACCCACCCCGCGTTTTAACTGGTAGCAGCGAGTGGTTGTCTATTATACCTCCAAGAGGTTTTTAGACAGTTAATCCGTACTCTTCGGAGTACTCGAGGTATCATCGCTTTCGACAGCGGTGATAAGAGTATCATCTATAATTGTATTGTATTTTTAGATTCGTCATGGAATCCGTCCCGACAGAGCAGCCGATGGGGCCAGGCCAGCCTGAACAGCCCGCCGCCGGGTCCGACCCCGTTCTCAAGCTGTTCGACCGGACCTGCGATTCCATACTCATGGGACGTCCGAGTCCCGACGACGTCAGGAAGCTGCTGGTCATCATGGTCGAGGATTGCCGAAAGCTCGCCACTTATCTAGCCCGGGAGCAGCGGGCTCGCGCTCTTTCGGAAACCCGAACTGCGACGATGACAGGAAAAGCTGAAAAAGGATTGGTTAATGTTTGCAAATCCCTCAACGACATTGACACGATGGATCTGGGACTGGGGATGTGGTCCTCAGTCGTAAACAAGGACCTCCGAGATCTGAAAGATCAAGTTGGTGGCATCAAATCGCTTGGGAACGCGGTTGAAGCCAATAAGAAGGTTCTCAGATCAGTTCGAGACAAACTTGATCAAGTCGCCTGCCAGAAGGGCAACGATGTGGCCAGGTTCGAGAAGTTGGAAGAAAACATCGCTGGAATCAGAGGACTGTACGCTGAGCAAGGTAGGGTTCTTCGCGAACTTCGGGCTACAGTTGAAACTTTAGCTGGGGGCGCCGCGCCAGCTCAATCAGAAGCTGTTGGTCCTCAAGAGCAACTGGATGATGCGACTCGTCCAAGTTATTCCTGGGATGATGTGCCAATCGAGTTGGCTGGTGAATCAGGCGACCAACAAACCCATAATCCAGCGAATGCTCCAGAGGAAGAGCCACCGATCATAGCAAGTCTGGAGTGCAACTCCCTGCTCCAGCCGTTCAACCCAAATGGATCGATGACTTTTCAAGAATGGCTGGAGAAATTCGAGGATTTCCGAGATCAGCAAGCGACGCCCTGGACCAATGATGTAGCCGTCAAGAAGCTCCGAATGTTTTTGAATGGCGAGCCTCGGGAGAGGCTGATCAAAATTGCTCCAGCGACCGCGCCAGCTGAAGGTGGGAATCAGTTTAAAAATTTTGAAGAAATTAAGAGGGAATTGTTAGAATCCTTCAATAAGGATGGAGGACAAGCAATTGCGAGAGCCGAATTGACTGTCTTGAGACAGCAACATGACGAGTCAGTTAATGCCTTTCTTCAGCGGCTCAAACGACTGGTTGCCCGACTTGACCCCGATATACCAGCTCCGATTCGGGAGAAGAGAGTGTTCGAGGAATTTATGTCACGTGTCCGTGATGACATTGCTAACCCGCTTCGACTGGCCGTGCCTGAAAACCTCGAGCAAGCCCGAGCTAAGGCCTTGGCCATCGAATCCGTCAATGCATCCAGCCGACTGCTTTCGAGGGACTCTATGGCGAATGGCTTCGCCACTATGGTGCAAGCTCTTGCTGGTGTCAATGCCAATGGTAATAACAACAGCCCGAAAAAGGGCGCATGTTTCTATTGTGGGATAGAAGGGCACTTTTCTAGAGAATGCCGACAGAGGGCCCGAGAAGTTCAACAGGGTCAGGCCGCTTTTTACCGCCCCAGCGGCGGTCAGCATCGAGCAGGTGGCTTTCGGAGGCCGCCGAACCGTGGACGAGCATCGTCTTGGTGGAATGATGAAGAAGACCGAAGTCCCAGGGAGTCGGTGAACCTGTTGACGGTTCAAGAAGCTCCCGAGAAGGAAGATCAGGTGGTGGAAAAGACCGAGAGGGAGAAGTCCCTTGAGTTGATGAGACAAAAGCATGCCAACCTTCTGAAGCTTCATTCCTCCTCATCGATTCAATCTCTACACCCGGTGAATGCCCTTGCATCGGTGATGTTTTTGGTCACCTGTCTAACTGTGGTCTCTCCTTCAGTAGGAGCGATCCAACCGATGATATGTCAGCATCAATTTGGCAGAAGACTCGTTGGATTGCCCGAGCCTCCAGAATGCCCACAAGTCAATGTCAAGCCAAAAGTTCGTCCGGCAACGCTTCTACTGGATATTTTTCGAGAGAATGAGCAAGTAAGTGAAACGCCAGCTGAAGTATGTCAAGTGGTTCGGAGCCAAATTCGCTACTTCACGACGCTTTCAGGGGTTTATGTGGAGCAGCCAGCCAAGCCCATTAAGGAACTGGTCACGCCTGCGCAGTGTCGAGACATCCTGAGATCCAGGAGGTGTATTCATGGATCTCTGACTCCACAGAAGGACGGCTGGGCCACGTCCAACGTCTTCAAGAAGGACAGACCCTGGCCTTTCTTCGGAAGTTTTGGTTGGAAGTCCCAAACACTCAGGAATTGTATCACTTTTGGGGCTCATGTTCAGTACAACTCGAACTCGCACGTATTGACGGCAACGGCCGGTGATCTTCAAGCATGCAACTACACTTCTGGAGAATGCAACCTCCAAGATGGATCAGCCATTCTCTGGAAGCCGAATCCTGCCCTGGATTGCCCTTTCATCAAGGTTGGTACGTTCTTGGGTCGTTTGTTAGGAAATGTTTGGCTCTCTGACAGCCGACAATTTGCATTAACTATCAGCAATGACTCTGTGCCGTTTAAGTCATGCAACAAGACGCTGGTCAAGACTCCCCAAGGTTTCGCTATCCCGCTGAGCGCAGCCCGCGCAAAAAGGGGAACTAAGGTGGTCGCTAGCAACACATTGTCTGCCGAGCTACAAGGGCTGGAAGAAAGCATGATCCAGATCATTCAGCATAATTTCGAGAATGTTATGCACCACATTTGCTTCGCCCACCAGAGCGCAGCCGCGCAATGGAAACTTTTGGCCGAGACGAACCCTACAGCTGTATTTCGTAAGTTATTACGAGATGATTATATTCATGCCACGATGCTCACTGAAAGCATAGCTGAGATCTACCCTTGTAGACCGATCGGAAAAGAGTCTATTCGACCAAGACCCGGTCCAAAAACCGGATGCACCCGCTATATTCCCATAGACCTCACTGACCCCACCGACTCCTCGAAGTCGAAAGGGGCATTTTTGGACCCGATGACTGCCATTATCACTGAGAAGGCGGCTCAAAACCAGACGACGAGGGTTTCTTTGTTGAAACTCGAAGCCCAACCTTGTTGAATTTGTTGCTGCCGGATTGGACTGTCTCCCAAATATGGCTTTATGCATGTGCTGTTCTGGTCACCTGTGACGTCATTGGAAGGGTACTGGGCACCTATTTTATTGCGAAATGGAACGCCGTGCGCCACTATGCCCGCCTGAGGCGAGAGCGCCGCAGGGAACGACGTGATCAGGAGATCATTCGGTCGTTTCGAGAGCTCGACGAGGGCCCGGTGTATCGAGATGTGGTCTCAGCCGTCAACAGAATTGGGAAGGACTAACGCGTTTTCTTTTCGCGCACTGTACATTTACTATGCATTACGCTAAAAAGGGAATAATGTCATTCTTTTTCAGAAACGATGACTTTTCGCAAACCCTGGCTGGTTTAGAAACCGCCCCCGGAAAAACGCCCAATCCGGTGGTTTTTTCTTATTGATCCAGATCAAGACGATGTCCGCGCTGGTGATTACGTTCAGCTCTCCGACTTATGGCACCTCGAGAACCAAGAAGATCAAACAGCAGCCAAACCTTTTTCAAATGTCCCGAGGCCTACCTATCTTCTCCGAACTCGCGCAGGAGCACAAGACGGTCAAAACGGTCAGAAGACTCCGGAAATAATGGCACTCGTAATCAGGCGACCAACGAAAATCTCTGACAATATGCTCGTTATGGGACCAAAAATTTCCGACCCCGTCCAAGTGCCTGCGATTTTTTGGCCATATCCGCTGCCAAAGGCAACCGACTCTCTCTGGTGGATTTTAGCTGCAGCGAATTTAGAATATTGGACTCCAGAGCTCGCTCTTGAGTGCCAATTCTCATCCATAGACTCTGAAATTCGATTTAGCCCAATCTTTCAGATTTACAGAACGTCTGGTTTTGGCCATGGGTCATGCTTGTTATAATGACAATCCACTGAGCGCTGGAGATCGACCCGAACTCAAGAATTTTTCCAAGTTCCCGCGCTGTTCAATGGCAGCCCCAATTGCTTTTCATGAATGCTCAACGATGGAATCTCGCGTTCAGAAGTCCTTCACGAACCATGGTCAAGTCCATCAAGCTGTTGAACTACTGGAACAGCTGGCTGCGTTGTGTCCTGAAGTCGAGTCTGGAGAAGCCTCTGTCGTTGTACTCTCTCCATATGCAGCAGCCGTCACTGAGGTACGTTCCATGCTGCCTGAAGTCCTCCAGAAATTTCCGGCAATGCGAGTTCGCGTAGCAACCGTTGATCAGTATCAAGGACAGGAAGCCGAGGTCGCTTTCTTCATAACTACTCGAACCGCGACGCAAAGTAAGAACGATTTTGCTTCATACTCCCCACGCACCACGGTGGCCCTCACAAGGGCGCGTCAAGCCTTAGTGATCCTTGGACGTCGCTCGTACATCAATCATCACGCCAGCATCGAGCTGCAAAAACTCCTGGAATACGCTCGCATTTCATTTTCTGTTTCATTTTTGTTTTCGAGTGCTTATTATTCCTATATCTTGCCTTTATACAGTCCCTTTATTATTGTCATGTCTGCATATTACCCTTCACACCATTTGATGTCAACGTCTCAAATGTTCCTCTCGATCGGCAATATTTTACATTTGCATATCTCGTTGCTCTGGCAATTCACAGTAATCACTTTTGTTCTACTTTCAGATCACCGCAAAACACCTTCATCAGTACACCACTTCATCCCCGCGCTGGTCCTAAAATAAAAGGGTGGAGGAGTAAGACATTGGATGTCTTGAGGAATATCTGGCCTGGTTTTGAGCCCTGATCCGCGGTTGACCCGCGCTCCCCTTCCGTGATCCGGGCGCTAATTTTGGCCGGTTATTTTTGGCCCTCATTTTGGCCCTACAAACTACAGGAGTCAAAAAGGACACCGATGCCTCACACCTGGTGAGTCACCTGCGAGGAGGCCTGAGGGCAGAACTTTCAGGAGGGTTCTGGAAGCTCCATAATTTTCCATAATTAGCGGCCACTGCAAACTACGATGGGCGCAGCACAGAGCACATGGGAATGGCCTCAAGATCACCAGTTGCCCCGCCCAGGATCAAGCACTATATAAGACGGCATCAGCGCCTCTGCCAGGACGTCCACCCAGAGGATAACCTCTAGGGTATTGTTTTGTAGTACTACTGTGTTTTGTTTTATTGTGTGTTTGTTAGCCGAGCTCGAGATAAAATATTGGCCATATATTGTGGGTTTTCCTTGTCCCTCCACTGCACTACGCCGTGTAGGCTCTGATACTTCAGAGCAAGATCCGCCGCGGTCTACTGAGACCGGAAACCCACCCCGCGTTTTAACTTTTGTGCTGCGAGAGGAAATGGGCATTTCGGACTCAGATAGAAATATTAATAATCAGGTCGTTAAATAAAATTGTTTTTACGACAATATTTTATGGTTATCTGAGGTAAAACTTAGAAAATTTCACCCAAAAACTCGAAAAATGACCAAGTTTTCGAAATCATTCCAAAAATTTTCCAAGTTTTAGCGGTTTCGGCCCGAAAATAATTCTTCGAAACTTTGGGAAGGCATAGAAAGGTCAATTCAAAATATATTTTTTTTCAGATTCAACCGGTTAAAAATGGCGGGTCTCAGCTACAGAAAAATCTAAATTTCGGGAAAATCGGCGGAGTCTCCGCGGAGAAATTCAAAGAAACAACTTACCCGTTTCGAGTGGCCCACCCTGTACAATTGACACTCAGAACTTATAATGACTCCTGTTATGTTGTGAATGTGAAAAAGAAAAAACATGTTGGCTTCATGCATATATAATATAAGGTCCGAAGTTCCCCCGAAAAAGTGGTGGAAATCGCCGTTTTCCCGTTTTGGTACTTAATTTCCATAACAAAGGGCGCCGCTGCGGTCGCCAAGATGGTGTATATGTACTCTTTATTTGGCCAAGGCGGGATCAGTTGCCTTTGAGGCGATCAATTAGCCGGTCATGTGCATTATGCTTCAAGTGGACGCCTTCAAATTGCCGCAATTTAATTTTTGGGGAGGGTTCTGCGGGCGGGGTAATTATATCAACTGTAACATAAGCGTGGAAAAGCCTTTGTTTGGATGCGCCGTTTTCGGGAAATGTTTTCTGGATTCTTTTCTCAGACTTCTACCTTTCAAGTTTTAATTAAAGCGGCCAATTCTTTTGATCTTTTTTCATTTTTATTTCTAATTTCTTTGCATCTGGAGAGCCCCTGCTCTTCGTGAACTCATTTCGATGATATTCTCCATAAGATAGTCTGATATTCTTAACGAAATGATTTGACAAATTATTCTGTGGATCCGATGTATCCATGCAAATCTCATATGCGAAGCCATTTAAATGAATATCCACCACGCGCAACGGGGGCATTCCCTCGCATAAATCAAGTGTCCGATTGGGCGTAGGGAAGGAAGGGGGTCGATGTCAGTCATACCGGTGGAAACAGGCTGCCAGATTCATAAAATGCTCGACTCTTTGACCTTGTCGGTCGAGACAGCTCTTTTTGTGGCGCCAACTTTGTATTGTTTGCACTTGAATCAGAGCCGAGCTTCCGTTCTCGGCTTTACCTCGCGACCAGGCCATACCGAGAGGAAGAATAAGCGGTCAGTGGGCCTGCGCGACCCCCCTTCTTATGTTATGGTCGCCCTCCGTTTTTTGCTCTCGACCCGTTCTCGACTCTGGGCCTATTAAGCGGACGCGCCAAAAATCTTCACAATGAAAGACCATCTGCTTATGAGCATAACGAGCTGCTGTTGTCTCGACCCCCTTCTCCCTTCCTTATAAAGTTTCATTCTCTTTGTCGCCTTCAGGGGATTAATTCCTTCGTTTACATTCTCATTAGAGAATCGTATTGGATCTCGTACAGCGAAAGGCATTAAAGTTCCTTTTAATTTCCTTTTTTGTCCTTGGCCCCGCGACGCGCTGATTCCTCCGGTCGCGCACTGAGGGATTTTCGGGGATTCTTAAACTGATTTCGAACTTTTCAAAGGGTCAGCTTGATTAGATTATGGCCTGGAGGCGGTTCCTGGAGCTGAGGCCGCCGGACAGGCGTTTATGACTTTTGGGCCGGAATATGTTGTGGAGCCAGCCGATATTATAGTCGAAGATGTTATCTCCCCAAACCTCTTGTCGGCCGAGCGGCCAAACAATGTTTCTGCAAAATCCCTTGAGGCGATTGCTTTACACAAATGAGGGGTTTCGAGTCCGGTGAGGCGGCAAGTCGTGGGTCGGTTGCGCAACCTTCCTAATTAGCTAATTAGAGCCCATGGGGCCGGATTGGTGTGAATCGGGGACTTGCGGGCCGTTAGCGAGCCCGTTAGCTCGCGCTGTAAATAAATATGGCATAAATGACCGCTATGAGACTGAATTGGCCTCGATTTTGGATGGGGCGGCCACACTTTGGCCACCGTTTTTTATTTTCTCGAGTCAATCGTCTCCCGAAGTCGTTTACTCGAGATTGGTCGGCCTTAATGTAATTTATTCACTGGCCCCACCTCCTCCAATTAGCTGAGACAGAAGAAACCCGAACCCGGATATGTAGACGTAATAATCTCAAGACTTATTCATGTTTTCGTTGTTTTTTTGGATTTTGGATAACGCCTTCAGATTCGTTGGCCCCTGAGGGCATGGTTTCATTCTTATGGATGCGAAGGGAAGAGTTTTTTGGTCTCGTTTATCTCGTTTTGTGTTTGTTGTCTGTCTTCCTTTCCCCATCACTTAGCCTAAGAGATTCACCCCATAATTTGACTGTAATTCCTTGGTCTAATCCATTTCAAGTATAATCTGATGATAAAACAAAATTCGATCTATCGAGAACAAACATTCCGGTCAAGTAGCCCTTTAAGCCATTTATTAGCCCGTTTTCGAGTGACTAATTTGTTTTACGTGGTTATTAGATTGACCTGTCCCTTCGTCTTCGCTTCGGTCTTCAGGCGTTAACTTAAATCAGAAGAGAGAACTGGTCATTCCGCTCATTCAGACGGGCCGTTTCCTGAGTCAGCCGAACACAGAAACCGCGGTCTTGTGGCATGGAGGTGTAGACGGGTGATTGATGGGCATACGACGGATCGGGGAGGGAAGGGAGAGCGTGACATTTCCTCTAATTGCTTGTTGCTTCACGCAGGTGTCCGACTGCTTATTGTTTTCATGCAAACTCGTCCTTTTGTTGAGCCCGGTATCAGACTGTAAAGGCACTGAGGATTGCGCCAAATGACCCCTCGGATGGAGGAGGCCTCCGCCTTTCCCAACCTTCTTTTTTCTGACCGTTCCGAACATCCCATCCCGGAGAACATCTCATTTTTTGTTGTTATAAGCGCTGACCTGCACTCTCGGCCTTCTCCCATTTCCGGTCATGTTTTTATTATTGGATCCGAAAGTCGTATCCGCTTATCAGAAAACCGTGACCGCGCACTCTCCAACCTTGAAGGCAGCAAAGTCATATTACCTATTTATTTCAGTAATAATTTGTTTCTCTCCGCCCTTTATATACTTTTCTTTTTTGTTCAAATTCATCCGGAGCGGGCCGGTCGTGGTTAACAATACAATATAAAATCGGTTGCGCATCTCTGTTACAATTTTCAACTTGATTTCCTTCAGATTGATTGACCGGCTGGCCAGAATTATGGCCGGCGGCGGCCAAAGCCCGCTTCTCTGCACATTAACATGGATTTTATGTTCAGCAGGTGAGTCCTTTTTGGCTGCATTTTTACATTTTTGATAGATTTCCCTTTTTGGATGATCCCTCCGTTTATTTTTTTATTTACTCCGGTAGTGAAAGGGCTTCTCTATTATGCTCCGTCAGAGTAATTACCCTTTCTCCAGAAACGATATTTACTTTTGATTCAAAAAACTTTAAGAGAATGTTTAAAAAAAATCAAATGATGACAAAATAATTTTTTTTGCAATTCCAGTAGTATCTTTCGGGTATCTCGAAGACCGAGACCTGGCCTCGTTACCAACACCGCCTCGATTCATCCACGAATTGAATCCCTCGGTAATGTATTATATTCTCGAGAACACCCCGGATAGAGACAATCTCGACCACCTGAAGGCCCGCACATTTAATTGCAAAGCCGCTGGAGTACCCGAGCCTCGGTAAGAAAGTATTTAACTTTTGAATTTTTACAACAATTTTTCTCCAGAATAATTTTTCAAGACCAAGCCGACCATTCAGTTTGTAAGCTGTAATTTGTTTCCCCAATAATTACGCCTTCTTGAACAAAATTATTAGTAATAAAACTTTCCCCGGCCTCAAAGGTAATATCAGAAATGTAGGAAATTTTAAAACACTAGTTTCGTCCTGATCTGAGAGATAGGTTTTGTGCCGGCAGAAAAGGGAAAAAATTTCCCAAATCTTTTACTATTTATTACTTTTGACGAAACGCCACAATTTACGTCATCGATTAATTTCCGATCAGGAATGAATTCTGGCAGCGGGTTTCGACTGAACTGGGTTGAATGGTACCTCCTTATTTTTGAAAATAATGAATGATTTATTTGGAATTTGTACTGTCGCAATTCTTTTTTCTGTTGTTTATTATCGATTACGCAACTTTTCTCCCTTTTTTGGTTGAATTTGAAATTGTTTCGTTGACATTTTCATTACTTTTTGCTTTCAAATTAATTTTTATGTGATTTTTACGCTCTAAGGGGCCCTCGTCGGAAGCCTTCCTATTTTCAAGCAGGTGTTGTTATGATAATTAATTACATGTCATAAGTTTTTATGCGTCTCCAATATGATTTGAATGCGCACTTTATTGAAGAAAGGTTGTTAATGGGATTTAAATTTAGATACGAATGGCGGAAAGACGGAGTCCCCTTCCCATTGGAAGTTTATCAACAACGAATCGAGCAGAAAAAAGGCGAGGGAACGTTTACACTTTCACAATTAACCATCGAAGACCAAGGTGTATATGAATGTCTGGCCATCAACGAAAACGGAACTGCCGTTTCGGAAAGTGTCAAGTTTGAGGCTGCTTGTGAGTATTTACATTATGGGTATACCTAAGATCAGCCTATAGATGGGTCTTATAAATTATATTTTTAGTCATCCAATTATTCGACGAAGAACAGCCCGAGATTGTGCAGGTGGAATTGGGGGATGCCTATCAAAGAAATTGCACGCCACCGGCTTCGAATCCGACCGCCCGAGTTTATTGGATCTTGATGGGGAGTGAGCCCGGCTCTTTCGGCACAATCAACTCCTCTCACATCTCGACTAACGATCAGGTCCGTCTAATTAACTTAATTAGAACTCTGTTTTGGGCGGCTGAGATTTTTCTCATCCCGAAATTGGCTCTTTTTTCCTTTCGCGCACCTTCCCCCTTTCGAATTCAAATACCTCCCGCATAACAGACAGCCTGAACATGGGTTTAAGCTATTCGAACACTGCCGGAAACCTGAGTTCTGAGGGGAGAATCCTTCAAGAATTGATTTTGTTTGTTTTACGTTGGGGTTTGCAATTTCCCAGAGACTTTTATGAGATTCCTTCTCCTTCTGGTCGCCGCCCTCTGAACTTTGTGAAGCCCGATGTTATAATTGGCTGCTATAATTGGAGAACTTGTTGCATATGCACGCCGAATATGTTTTCCCGTTTTTCGCTCTCATTAATTTATTTTTTCTGAGAAAAATACTAAAATTTGCATGAGCTTTTTGAGCGAGAAAACGCCGCGCAAGAATCGGGAGTCGGCCTTGACTACATCCTGGAGCCCTACCAACCGATGGCGGTGTGGCAGGGCAGGGAAAGGGGAGTCGAGAGCGCGAGAACCGCGGATTTGATCCACTGGCTGAAGCGAAAACAATTACAGCTTGAACCTTGGCTCATTCAGTTCATTGTTTTCTCGCCAAGATTACGGAGTACTTGTCGCAAGGATGCGTGTAAATTTATTTTCGTAAAAGGGGGAGTAGAATTCCTTTTATTTTCTACTTTCTCTAAGTTTATATAATCTTACGGAATCTATTAGGTGAGGACACGTCATTCTCCTCTTCTTGTTTACTTATTCGCATAGCTTTTCTCACTTTTTACTAATTTACTTGCTTATTTCCCCTTTCCTTGTCCCCAAATCCTTCAAATTGTCTTTCAAATTACCGACAATCTGTGGATTGTCGTTCGGTCTCTAATTAGAGGGCAGGTGTGGCCGTTTGCTTGACGCCCCCCTCCTTTTTTAATATTTGAAACAACCTCCTTCATGTCTCTCTCCAGGTCGTCCTGAACAGCTGATTATGACGGACGGGGTTAGAGGTGAGGGGTTGCGTGAGATTGTGGCCAGTCACCGTTCCCGGTCCTTCTTCTACTCGGCTGGTTTCCTTACTTTGATTGGAATGGAGTCGCTTTACCGGCTATCCATTTTTTGATGGTTACTCCGGATAAATTGGATTCCGGGCTCTGGCTTGAGTCTTTTCTCTGCGCTTACCTGAGCTGAGCGGCCACCTCATCGTCCGGGAGTTTAGCTTTTCTGACTGGTCTCTAATTCAACTCTTACTCCCTCCAAAGCCTACTCGATCAGACCTCGATAATTTGATTCGTTTCTTTGTATCGGATAACAGATCTCCAATGTCCACTCATGTCAACTTTGACATCTGTCCATCTGTTGGCATGCCCTAAAGTCAGCGTTGACATCAGTTGTTGCAAGTTTTGGTAGTGGGGTTGTTTGATCTCATACCGCCCAGCTATTTTTTTTTCCGCTCGATCAAATGAATTACCCTATTTCATTTCCTTCTTCTTGTTTTTTATTGTGGCCGAACACCTTTTTGTTGGGGTAAGAAGAGGGAAAGGGTACTAAAAATACTTTTCGAAGCTTCAGAGGAGCGCCGCAAGTGCCGTAATACCGCTTTTAAATGGTTGTATTAGTTTGACACGAAAGCTAGGGAATACTCCGAAATGTCATCAAATTTGGGTTCTTATAAGGGTTTGTATACTTTTTACAGAGGTTTCAAACAACTGTTTGGCATTCGGAGAAGGGAGTTTGACCTTGCGAGACAAGTTTGAGGGCCTTGAAAGCCATAAATATTTGCATAGACCAATTAAAATATCATCCTGGGACCCGTGGACAAATAATGCCCTGAATGTATTATTCAGCTTCCAAAATATTATAAAAACCAGTTTAGAGGAGTCTGAAGCCACCTGCCTTGAGAGCTTTTTGGGACGAAGGTGCGTGTTGTTTTATTTTCTCAGCTGAGTATGACCCGGGTTTCCTCTTACTGACCGCCCCTCTGCCTTTATCCCTTCGGATTTATCTTTGAGATCCCAAAAATTTCAAAAATGGACTTGCATTTCGGGACGGTTTGGGCGGCGGCGTCGTTCATCTCTGGCCGTCCAATTGGTTCTGGACAAAAAACTTTGCGCACTCCTTCAAGGCATGGAGACGCTGAAACAGGCGCGTCTAAATCCTCTCCGTCTTCTTGCAACTCCCACTCCCAAAGGTCTCTTCTCTCGGTCCCTCGGTTTGCCAAAAATGGCTTCAGGCAGGGAAGAGAGCGGAGTCGAAAGAGGAGATGGAGTAGTTGTTGTTTCACTTGGCCCCGACCTCCGAAGATCCCAACTTGGATGTTCTCACGTCCAGAAGATTTTCGCCCAATGATTACCGCCTTTTATTTACTTTTTCCTTTTTTGGGCATTTCAAGGTTTCGGCCAGTTTGAGCTTCCTCCGCCTCCTCTCTCCAAAGCCCTGTTTATTCTTCGTTTTCGGACTTATTGAATAATCGGCAAAGGAATTCGGGCCATATTACAGGTCTTAAAGTTATATGTACACTTGTGATTACAACAAAACAAATTGTTTACTCAGGCTGTTGCCTCATTTCGTCTCTGGAATTCATGAATGCCTGCAATCTACGATTATTTCCCTGAATTTCGGCTGGCCATTTATAACCAAAATGAGTAACGTTCCTTGGCCCGGGGGCCTTGGACACCGGATGTGTCCAGAGCAGCAAGCATGAGTGTCTTCGTGTGACGCTTTTTAACCCGCGCTCTCGACTTTTTGTTTGCGATCCGATCTTTCCGCGGGTCCGGTCTTTTGCCCCAATTTCACGAAGAACGCCCTCATCTCGACCCTCGCGGCCATTACACCAGTCCCCCCAGTAACAATTGTTTCGCGCACTTCGAGCCCTAATTAATAGTCGGAATAACCGTTTGTCTAGCCTACACGGGACGCCTAGTGGCCGGACCTGCCCATCATCCAGTCCAGCCATGCTGAGTCGGCGCGGCGCCCGGCTTTCAGCGACCGCGCCACCCGTTCGGCCGCCCAGCCAGTTTGTCTTAGCATTACTGTTCGCCATCGTTACGGTTAGTTGTGTTTTCTTTTAGGGTACTATCTTCTTCCATCATGTTAAACAATCTGATTTCAAGATCGATCGGTTTTACACTTGTACGGCCGAGAATACCAAAATCAAAGATTACAAATTTGGCAGCCAATTCAAATTAAATATCACTACCAATCGAAGACGAAGTTGTAAGTGGGATTAAGTTGTCATGCCGTTTAACCGGACCCAGATGCCTCATAACTTATCTTTGATGACTTTTCAGTGGAGGATTCGGCCCTGATTCCCCCGGCGGAGCAATATGTGAATCGGTCTAGTCCCATCGCCTTGGTTGGCCAGACTTACAAGCTTCATTGTCTCTTCTCCGGCTAGTGAGTTGTCAATAAAATTTATTGAATCATCAAATTTATTTCCAGTCCCGAGCCAATTCCAACTTGGTACAAGGACGGGGTGGAGATCAGTCAAGATAACACCGAGGGCTTCTTCTTCGAGGCCTACGGAAAGACACTTGCCTTTAATGCGACCCCAGAGAAGGCTGGCAAATATGATTGTAAATTCCCGAATCACAATGACATTGACCGGGTGTTTGATGTGGTTGTGGATGGTAGGTTGTTGTTCCCAATTTCGTGAATCATTTCTTTTCAGCGGCTCCATATTGGCCTGGAGGACCTCCTCCGAACACAAATACGAGTGAAGGGGAGACCGTCGTCTTCGATTGTAGAACGATCGGGAAGCCCGTTCCCACCGTGACGTTCTACAAGAATGGAGTTGGTATGTTATACGTCGTTTATACTCTACTATATGGGATTATTCCTAATTGCAATACTATCTGCAGAGATGACCAAAGAAAATACCCCCGGGAATTGGGAGATCGACAAGACCAAATTGATCTTAAAGAATGTCAGAAAGGGAGTGAACGGGATGGGTGACAATGCTGTCTACCAATGCAAAGCCGAGAACAAACACGGATATTTGTGGACTAATTTCTACCTGAATCTGTTGGCATTTGGACCGAGGCTATTAGAAGAGCCGGGAGAAGTCGAGGCGGTGGAGGGAAAGCAGTTTAACATGGAATGTAAATTTTTTGCCTCCCCGCTACCCAATGTGTCCTGGGAGAATCCCTCGCTTCTTGGAGACGATTACAGAACTGAAGTGGATTCTCAAGGAGTTGCTCATCTTACAATTGAAAGTAACGAATATAAATTTTGTCTTAAATATATTATTTTAGAAGTGACTGAAGAGCATGAAGGAGAATATGACTGCATAGCCAAAAATAAGTATGGAACAGCCAAAGGAACAATTAAGCTATCTGTCAGAAGTAAGCATATAGCCGTTTGGTTTATCCTTCTTTAGAACCTACCATTCTGAAACCGTTTTCTGAGCCCGTTCAAGTAGTCCAAGCCGGACGAGCCTTGAAATTGCCATGTAACGCCGACCATGACGATGATCTTGATGTTTCGTATACCTGGAAGGTCGACGGTCTTCCATTAGACCAGTCCAAACTTGAGAGCGGTCAATTTCTGATTGATAATGATAATACCCTCACGATCGAGAACCCGACTCAGTTCGATTCTGGCGAATATCAATGTCTGGCTGCAACCAAACTGGACGAAGTCTCCAAAACTGTGAAGATAAGTGTTCAAGATGTGCCGGGCCCTCCACATGCTGCTCGAATCGAAAGGTGCGATGGTAAAACAGCCACTGCAACTATTTACTTTGAGCATTTGGAGTCCAAGAATACGGTAGTTCCAGTCAAGGAGTTTTGGTAGGTGTTTTCGGAATCGATGATCATTACAACTTTAGGATTCGATATATGGCTGATCCGAGTGTTGAGTTATCTCAATGGAAGGTTCACCCAGTCCCAATCAGTGCCATCGACAATGAGGCCGTCTCGTCAGCAAGGCATGTCAAGGCGAACGCAACCATTGCACTCAAGCCTTATGGTCGTTATGTTTTCCAAGTGATTGCTAGGAACACAGTCGGCGACAGCTCTCCAACCAAGGTCAAAGGACAGTGTGATACGGATGAGAAACAACCGTATAGAAATCCAGCCAACGTTAGAACCTTGAGTACCAGCCCAGGGCAGCTAACAGTGGCTTGGGATCCGATGCCTCGGGATGAATGGAATGGGCAAGACTTCGGGTACGAAGTTCTTTATCGCCCGGTAAGTATTAAAAACAGTTTGGACTTACTATTGAACTCATTTTCAGAAGGAAGAAGGAGGCCAATGGAAAACAATGGAAGTCAGCGACCCTTTCAGTGATACAGCCACGATCGAATTCGAGAATCCTCAGCCGATGAAACCCTATGAGGTCCAAGTCAAGTCTAAGAATCGACATGGTCCTTCACTGGTGGAACCTCAGACCATCGAAGGAACTACTGGGGAAGCGGTTCCAGACGTCCGGCCAGAAAACTTCAGGGTTGAAGGGGTAACCTCGACATCAGCTACATTCCATTGGGATCCTGTTGAACCTAGCCAGATCCAAGGAAATTTCACGGGATATAAGGTCACCTTCTGGCATGAGGATGAAGATTTGGCTGGATCAGAAGAGATTAAGAAGCTCAGGAAGCGACGTCAGATTCCCGAAAGTCGTCGGTTAAAGTCTGTGGTTGTAGCCCCCGACGCAACGAGTGTAACAGTTCATGGACTCAAACCCAACGCCCAGAATTATGCGGTAGTCCAAGTGGTGACCGCACAGCATGAAGGTCCTAAAAGTGAAGTGTTGACGTTTAGAACACGTGAAGGAGGTAAGAGTAAAACAATGATTTAACTTTCTGATTATCAATATTTTAGTGCCTACCCCAGTTCGTGAACTCAGCGCATTCCCCATGAACAATCTCTCGCCCCTTGAAAAAGGAATCGTCGTCTTGAAATGGGAACCGCCTCGTGCCAATAATGGCCGTCTGACCCACTACTCCGTCCTCCAATGTCGAACCCACGGAGTAAATGATGAACAAGTTGCATGCCAAGCCCCGCCCATCGAGGTCTCAGGAAACACCACCGAATTGAGATTAGCGGAACTCGAGTTCGAGTCCAACTACAGATTCAAGGTGTTCGGCCACACTTCCTCCGGCCAGGGCGCCCCCAATTCTGCAGATGCCAAAACATTGCCCGAAGCGCTAAGGTTCCAATGTGAGTTTTCTCCACCCAAATTTGTTTCGATCACAGGTATAGACCCCATTTTATTTTCAATTAGGGCGCTCCTAGAATCTAAGGGTTGTTTTCGAGGCTCTTGCCTCTCTCCCCCATCTCATGTCGACAAATTTTATTTCAATTGACATCAGTTGACAGCTACTCTCCGGCTCTTTTGTTGGTCTTTTCTGCCTCCGGGTGCGGGCCTCTGACCAGTCCAAGGTCACCCCATTCTCTCACCTTATATTAATACTGAAATTCCTCGCGGGTGCATAAAAAATTATATCTTTTTGGGGTATTTTGCAGGCGGAGACTTACCTTGGGGGTAATGACACACGCACTGTGCTCGCAGTTTTGTTTACCGACCCAACTTGATTTCATCCACCGCAAAATAATATCCAAGTAATGTAGATTCGACACGGAATGAAATGCGCATTTGTGTGGGGTTGAGGGCAAGAAAAAGGCTCAGCTGGCTTTGATTCGGCCTATTACGAAATGAATGGACCCGGTTTCGTTTGAATGGGGCTGTAATCGTATTCCGGATCAGAAGAAGGAGCCCGGCCCTGAGGCCGTCCCTAATCGTTTCCATTCTTTAAGAGCTATTTACTCCCTCTCTCCCCTTAATCAGGACTCTTTCCTTTTCTTAAATTTGGACATTCGAACGGGGTTTTCTTGTCTGTTCTTGGCCGTCCCTCTCGGTTATCGGGCCGGTCTGGCTAGAGTTGCATTGGAACTTAGAGCCGGACAACTGCCGTTTGAAAGGGCCGATTTGAATTGAGCAGAAAACTGTTTCCTTTCCGCGGCTTCTTCCCGCCGGTTATGACGCGTCTCTGAATACTCTAAACCGATACGAACTGGCTGCTTTGAGATGATCTTCCTTCCTCTGCTAGTACTTAGTTTGTCCGTCTGGTGTGGACTGGCTGCTCCTTCTAATGCCACTACCAACATTTCAGTGGAACCAGCGCGACCGTCCTTAATCGAAGAGGGCATCGCTGATGATCATTTTAACATCAGTTTCGTCCCCGGGGAATTCGATGAGGATGAACAACGACCAGTCGGACAGAAGTTTTATGTGAAGTATAGAGAGGAGGGTCAAACTGAATGGAATGTAAGTGGATTGTTTTGGTCAAAGACCTTTTTGAAGGAGCAGAAACCAGTTGGCACGGCTTTGACCGCTAAGGTGGATGGGCTGACTCCAGGCACTAAGTATGATGTGGAGGTGGTCTCAGTCCAGACCGACTCTAAAGGAATTGTTCGGGAAACGGAATCCAGAATCCACAGAATTGTCACAACGGGTATCTGTAAGTAACGACATTCACAATGCGGTTTATCTTCTCATTTCAGCTCCATATAATGCTAGGATATATTGGATCATATTAATACTATTGATCTTGCTGATTCTCCTCTTCCTCTGCTGTCTTATCTGTTATTGCTGCAGAAAACGTGGTCAGAAGTATCCAGTGTCAAAGAAGGAACGCCTTCAAGGCCGGGAATTGATTACTCCCAAAGATCGAGGATTCCCTGATTATGGCAAAATGTAAGTAATTACCAAAAAACCTATGCTCTTTTTTGGTAATTCGGCCAACAATATTTGTAAACAAAGGCTAATAATGTTGCCAGAATGAAGACTACTTTCTTAATTCCAGTGACGACGAAGAACAAAGGTCGTTGACGGGTTCAAGGACCGGCGAATCGGAGACGGATTCGATGGCTGAATACGGAGATGGAGATCCCGGAAGATTCACCGAAGACGGCTCTTTCATCGGGCAATATGGCCCCAACAAGACGCTGGTGGTGACGACACAGCCTTAGGCAATTTATAAATAGATTCACGTAGACCCGTCCTTTAGTCCCGTTGCTTTCCCCCGGTGTTTCTTTTGCATAATTTTTCTTATCTCTTAATAGGCTTTGAATGCTTCGCAACGACGTAACAAACATACCAAGCGCTCTATCTCGCATTTACAGTCTAATTTTAAATTAATATAGCCAATCATTGTGGCCGCACAGTGACCCTCAGGCGATGTATTTCCATTTGTAGGTTCTCTTCTTTGTCTGGCCCTGTTGTTTGTACAAAGTTGATGGAGGGTTAATGCCCTCCGGCTGGATCTCTCTCTTCTAATAATTGTAATGTAATTCCACTGCCAATCCTTAAAGTTTCGTCCATTGCCGAACAGATTTTGTTTTAGCTGCTCAAATTCTAGTAATTTTAAGCTTTGTCCTTCTACTTGAGCCGCTGCTGCCTTCCCGAATAACTTTCATATTGTTGTTAATATCTCTTCACGTGGTTAAATTGCACATCCTAGCTGGACAGAATTATATAAAGAATAATAATAACGAAACTCGGTTTCTTCGTCGACCCGCTGATAACAGGCGATAAGAGATGGGCGTCCCGACCATTCAAAGTCCCCGGTTACATCGACCGTCGGCGCTTAAAAGGAGCTCTAGCTATCAGAGGAGAAACCTTATAAGATGTTTTTCTTCAAGGTGGTCCCCAAACCCATTTCAAATTCGGCCTTAACAGTCTTTGTTCTTGTATTCCTTTGTCAAATATTCGCTTATTTTATTGTTCCTTTAATAAGAGGTCGGAATGATATTGTTTTCTATGGTTATTACGAAAGGAGATTCGAAACCGCCAAGACTTTATTTGAGTAAGATCTATTCGACTGACCGTTTACCCTTAATTTAGACAGAATTTTAAAGATGGATATGAGAAAGGAGGTGCTGCAATGGCTGTCTTCCATAATGGTATCAATGTAGTGAATATTTGGGGAGGGCATGCTGACTTCAAGAAGAAAAAGTTATGGACTCAGAATACCAGAACATTGCTCTTCTCAGCATCCAAACCTTTATCTGCTTTATGTTTGGCCATTTTGGTGGACAAAGGACTTCTCAAATGGACTGATAGAATCATTGAATATTGGCCTGAATACGGACAGAACGGGAAGGAAAACACCACCATCCAGCATGTCCTTACTCATCAAGCTGGTCTCCCATATCTCGAGAATCAAATCGAACTAGAAGATGTGATATCTCGGACTAAAATATTCAAACTGATCGAAGAAGCAACTCCTATATGGATTCCAGGAACGGCCTCAGGGTATCATGCCCTCACTTTCGGATGGCTGGTTGAGGGGATTGTTCAAAGGGTAGATCCTCTTCATAGAGATCTCGCTACGTTTTTCGACGATCAGATTTCCAGCAAATTTGGTTTGGATGTGTCGATTGGTCTTCGAAAAGACGCCGATTTCGAGAGGAGCGCTGTATTACAGCAAGCTGACATTATTGACTACATCAGAGATACGATTGTGGATCCAAGAATGTTGGTAATGATGGCTGGATATTACAGTCAAGGATCTGAATCAGTTTTGGGAAAAGTGGAAAAGAATCAGAATTGGCTGAACATGGAAGAGCTGACCATGAATCGGATCGAGATCCAACGACTGGGATTAGGGGCGTCGAACGGCCTTGGAACAGCCAGAGATGTCGCCGAGCTGTTCTCCCTATTCCTGAACGGCTCATTGATCAGCCCCCAGCTGGTGGAACAGATGACTCGGCCAACTTTGGATGACTGGCATTGGGAAAAGACCATCCTATATCCCATCATGAAGGGATATGGCTTCTTTTATGACTATCATCCCCAAGAAAATGTAAGCAAAAAACAACTCAGGTCATTCAAAACGCATGACTCGGTTCTTTCAAAATAATTTCTGTCAATATCAAAAAGCATGCTTTTTTAGGGAAAATACATCTTCGGCCATCCCGGTTACGGCTGTCAATCCATCCACATAGATCCTCATCACAACTTAATCGTTGTTTATCTCTCCAATGGACTCAAGTCGACCACCAGTCATCTCTGTCGCCCCTATCAAAGGATCTTGAGTTCCGTATACACGTCCTTGTAATTCCCTCCGCATATGACTAGACGAAAACCATTATTACGGTTACTGTGCACTTCCTTGTTTGTAAATATCGGATATATATGAACTGCCCGTCTATTTATACATAGTAAAAATTACTTTACAGTGGCTTGTTTCGGGATTTGGGGGTGCGGCTGAGTGACAGAAGTATTCGAACCGAAATAATCATCTGAGAGTAGGAATCTAGTCACTCGGGCAGTCAGAGAGTAAAATGCGATCCATCTGGGTTGTGGTGTTTTTGTTGGGTCTGGTCTCCTACCAAGCGCATGGTCGATTCATAGTCAAGGTAAGTTATTTTCGACTAGCAAAGTACAAGACGTTTCAAGAAAAGTTCCACAAAGTATTCGCAAATATCCTTGCATTATCCTAGAAGTATAAATTGTTTTTAAACTTCGGGCGTTTTTAAGACATGCAAAAGAATTTTTTCGCATCGGCGGAGAGACCATTCCCGGCGGTGACATTTGACGTCTGGTTTGAATTTTTTTGTTATTTCATCTTGCTACTGTATGTACATCTTTACTACGGATGAAAGCTACAGCGACGTTACCAAATGTGACAGACCTAGTTTTAATTTTAGAACCAATTAAAACTTCTTGGATAGCGGCAAAAGGCACAAAAATATTTGCAAATACTTTGCGGAATATTTTTTAATACACCCTGTATAATGTTAAAGGGGATTCTATGATAAACGAATTCTTCAGCGTGAAACAAACCCATCAACGACAGCAGAACCGGAGAAATCTGAAGAAAATAAAGAGGAGGCTGATAAATCTGAAGCTAAAGAAGGAAACGAAGGCGAGGAAGAAACGGATTCAAAGGAAAAATCTGAGACGGAAGTAGAAGCACAGAAAGTATCCAAGGAGTCTGCTTCCATCGATGCGAATTCTGTTGACGAAAAGGATGAAGAAACCACTACAATCAGATTCCGTCAAAGCAATCATGTAGATGACGACAATGCCGAAGCTACAGAATAAAATTTTATTGCTGATTACAGGCAGTACTTGTAACAAATTAAACTGAATATGACACTTGCCCTTAACGTTGATACCCATTTCTTCGATTAAAAAATAGTGGTTCATTTCCCGTATTTTATTGAATTTGTTTTTCGGACTAAAACACAGCTATAATGCACAGTACCCTATCTCTTCTATACTTTTTTTCTTTTGTAGTAGTTCCAGTCGTCGGCATAAACATTCTTCAAACTTTTTGCTATGTCCTGGACTGATTTCATTCATCACTTCTCTGACATTATTGAAATATTTGGTATGAAGTGCGACCTAAACATCATTTCAAGACTAAAATACAGAGCGATTCAAAAAATGCATGTTTTTTGAATTACATGTTTCTTTAAACGTCAAAGAAAGAGACTGCGATTTTGGAGTTGTACGAATTGTTAATTCACGCGGCATAGAAAGGACGTTGTGTCGAAAGTATTCACACGATGTAAGGAACCATGGTCAGCATCCAGAAAATGAAAGAAAACGTAACGTTAAGATTTCTTCTAACGGCACGATTATCAACAGCAAAATCCGCAATTTTCCAGAAAAAATTTCCCTTGAGACCGGCATGAGTGACCGATCGGTCTGCCGAATAGCCAGGAATGTAATCAACCTCACGCTCAACAAGCTGCAAAAGGTCAAATCTTCAAGGCATGAAAAGAAATGCGTACGTTGCCCGAGATGTCAGCAAGTTGCATTACTACAAAACATTTGAAAAATATGGCAATTGTCATATTTTATCCAACAAGTTCCAAAGGATCCGCCTAAGGGCGATTTCTGCCGCTGAAAATCCAAAGTCGGTCGTTTTTCACCGCTGAATACAAATTCATTTCTATTAATGTCGGGGACTAAGTTCGTAGAGTTTTTTTACTGTTTTGTTTTACAAGGATTGTTTTTTGTTTGGCAAAGGTGTCGTTGGGCAGCGTAGAGCTCTTTGTTGACCGTGGAGTTCTTTTCAAGAATTTCCCAATGCACCATCCCTTCCCAGTCGTCCAAAATGCAGATCATCGCCTTTTTGGGTGGGGATCTTGATTGACTGTCCCCTGGGGCCACTCACTCCAGGAGACAATGATTCGATACAAAAACAGCCGTTTGTGTGCACGTGTTGCTCGACGAAAAAAGCAGGTGTCGAAAACGCAAATTTTTGCCTCCTAGATGGTTCGCTTGTAAGCCCAAAAAATAAAAAAAATTATATCTTCAAAAAAACTAACAAGGAAAGTACTTTTATGGGGGCTCCTACTTTTTGACGAGACATATCTCAAAAAATCAGAAAAAATGTGCTGATCAAGGATATATAAATCTTAGCTGCCCATTTTAGGTTTTTCGGGGTGAAAACTCAATCGGAAGTTGGCTTAAAACACGTTTTTTCTAAGGGCCGAGCGAGGCTCAACTACAGCTGCGACGTTAAATTCAGAGTTGTTCAATTCTGTTCAAACTTTCAAATATTAGTTGCCTATGAACCCTTATTACGATTTCACAAAAAAATTTCGAAAAAGTTACTGTAGCTGGGCGTACTGTAGCGGAGGTCCATTTTCAGTATCTCGGAAAGTACGCACCGTAGAGACAAGCGGTCTTCACCATCATCTTTGTCGTGTTCCAAAACCTATTTTTGTAATTTTCATCCAGGTCCTAACTCATCGGAAAGCATATGAAATTTGCATATTTTTGCCCTTAATTTTAATAATCATAACTTTTCTCAAAAAATTTAAATAAATTTCCAGTGATTTTATTTCATGTAAAGAAACTAGAAGTCTTCACGGTTCGAATAATACCAAAAACTCAAAAATCTGATTCGACACGGTTGCAAACGTCTCGACTGAAAATGACTACCCAAAATTTTCGATTTTTATTTATTCAAATTTCAAATTTTAATGAGCGTAATTTTTAAAACCAGATGAATACTGCTCACTCAAGGCTGAAAAACCGATTTTTACTATTTTTTTTTTGCATGTATTAGGTATAAAAAAAATTTCAATTTGAAAATTATTATATTCCATAAATAAATTTTATAGACCTGTAGATACGTTGTTTGGTGCATCATATAAAACAGATGTTACGAAGATAATATCCTGCTCAAAAAAAAGTTCGATCAAAAGCATCAAAATTTTTACGCAAAGCGCAATCGCTTATTTAGTTTTCCGGACGATAGATGACAAGTATAATATCGAAATGCAAAATTTGAGTAGGCTAAAGTAGAAAAGCATGTGTTTCCTAGGCTTTCACGTTTGTCGCACCGCATTAAAATTTTTTCTCGCCAGAAAATGGGCTAGCAAAGAAAATAGAGCGATTTTATCTTGTGCAACCCTGTTCTGAACGTCTGACCCCAAAACATCCACAAATGACGCGCAATTGCCATGAAACGATTTAAGGCGGTCTTTGTTAAGCTTTTTATAGTTGTACGATATATGCTACACCCCAGAATGCCTAATTAATACACAGGTTATTAAGCCAAGTGCAGCCGACTTCAAACTACAAGTTTGCAACCGTGTCGAACTAGATTTTGTCATTTTTAGGCTCATTCGAACCGCAATGATTTCTAGTCACAGAATCCAGGAAAAAACCACTGGAAATTTATTCAAATTTTTTTAGAAAACTTACGATTACTAAAATGAATAATTTTCAAATTAAAATTTTTTTATACTAATACATGCAAAAAATTAGTAAAAATCGGTTTTTCAGCCTTGAGTGAGCAGTATTCATCTGATTTTATAAATTACGCTCATTAAAATTTGAAATTTGAATAAATAAAAATCGAAAATTTTGGGTGGTCAATTTCAGTCGAGACGTTTGCAACCGTGTCGAATCAGATTTTTGAGTTTTTGGTATCATTCCAACCGTGAAGACTTCTAGTTTCTTTACATGAAATAAAATCACTGGAAATTTATTCAAATTTTTGAGAAAAGTTATGATTATTAAAATTATTAATTTTCATATTTCAAAAAATTTTTTTAATGCCTAATACATGCAAAAATGAGTAAAAATCAATTTTTCAGATCCAAATGAGCAGTAGGCTTCTGATTTTAACAATTAGGCTCGTTGAAATTTGAAATATAAAAAAAATAAAAATCCAAATTTTTGGGTCGTCAATTTCAGTCGAGACGTTTGCAACCGTGTCGAATCAGATTTTTGAGTTTTTGGTATTATTCGAACCGTGAAGACTTCTAGTTTCTTTACATGAAATAAAATCACTGGAAATTTATTCAAATTTTTTGAGAAAAGTTATGATTATTAAAATTAAGGGCAAAAATATGCAAATTTCATATGCTTTCCGATGAGTTAGGACCTGGATGAAAATTACAAAAATAGGTTTTGGAACACGACAAAGATGATGGTGAAGACCGCTTGTCTCTACGGTGCGTACTTTCCGAGATACTGAAAATGGACCTCCGCTACAGTACGCCCAGCTACAGTAACTTTTTCGAAATTTTTTTGTGAAATCGTAATAAGGGTTCATAGGCAACTAATATTTGAAAGTTTAAACAGAATTGAACAACTCTGAATTTAACGTCGCATCTATGCTCGACCCTTAGAAAAAACGTGTTTTAAAGTCCTATATGAACCCCTTTTCGCTTAATTTTTCACAGGTTTAAAATTTTTATTTTGGCTTAAAATGATGTTTATTGAGTTCCTAAGACGTAATATATTAGTCTTGGCCCAAAAATTTATTTTTCCGACCTTCAACTTCATAAAAAGTTGATTGGGCCCAAAAGGGAAATCGAACCCGTGCGGCGTCCTCTCTCTTGATTCCCAGACTACGGCACTAGCCACTCGGACACCCCGCTTTCTTCCGAAGGAAGGGACCGATTGCGCTTTTTATCGTTTCGAATGCCTGCGCCTTTTGTAGGGAATTTAAGCCACTTTTTGGGCATTTTCACCCCTAAAAACCTAAAATGGGCAGCTAAGATTTATATATCCTTGATCAGCGCATTTTTTCTGATTTTTTGAGATATGTCCCGTCAAAAAGTAGGAGCCCCCATAAAAGTACTTTCCTTGTAAAAACACATTTTTGTAGAGGGGAAAGAGCTCTATTGAATGCATATAGGCACTTTGCCAAAAAACAAACTATCGTTGTAAAACAAAGCAATAAAAAAACTCTACGAACTTATTCCCCAACCTAATATATAAAAGTTTTTGAAAGTGGCATGGCTGGAAAGATCTCTATTTGCTCTCTAAGAACTAAAAATTTCAGGCGTCAAATTTATAGCATGCGCTCGCTATACCGGCGTAAATGTCGACCACGGAAAAGAATTCGAAAAAATCGGTGTCCGATTCATTTGAAAAAAGTACAGAACGCTGTGCCCTATTAAATGAAATATAGTTTAAAAAGGCATGCATTTTTTGAATCACCCTGTAACGCTCACGTTCATGTAATCTCCGTTCATACTGTCTGTGTGAGTGGATGCTACTCTCCAACCTTTCATTGTCAATTCCAGTGTAAACGCGTGATCTGAATTTGATTCGGCAATAAAGTAAATTATTGGTTCAACCATACAAACATTAAATGTAAACGGATTAATCTCCTGAATGATTTTTGAATTCGAAAACGTGGTTTAAACTCGAACAGACAACTTTAATCCTATACTAATGCATACCATCCTACCTTCAACTGTTTTGACGTTCACAAAAATCAGGTCAGCCGTCCTTGGAAGCATCTCAGAGACATAAATGCTCAATACATTGTTTGAGAGTTCATGGACTGCCGCTATTGCCTCGAGTTCAAGGTGCCCTTCGTTCTCAGCTGCCCCCATGGACTCATGAAACCTTTTTCGATTCATAAATGCAATGTCTTCTGATGCCAAAGGTGTTCTAAGGAAACAATATCCAAAAAGATCATTCAACATACCCAGTTACACTACCGTAACTACTCGGAACGTGCAACTTTACTCCTCCAGGAGTCGGAGATTGCGCTCGGCTGGACTGATAAAGTTGAGCAGCGACCTGCCATCGAGCTGAACTAGAAACTAGACCGCGAATAATACCGACTTACTCTACCTGCCGATACATCGGAGAAACACCTAGAGAATCAGCCAATGCATTGGCATTTGTGAGCGAAGATATTGGTGTTCCTGTCATTGGAAGATCAGGAGGATGTGCCATAGATGTCGGCAACTTCTGAGTGCACCCACAAAGAGCTTCGGATCGGTCCATAACTCGACGAAAGATGGAAACCCGGATAAAAACAAAAATTGAGAAAAGAGCAGCTGACTGGGACAAAAAAAGGGAACGGAGAAACGTTTTGGCAGGAATAACCAAAAGCTTTTATTTATCTCGCACGTGAACTTTTCAGTTGAGGAACGAAAAAAAAGGAAAAAAAACTGTCCGGTTTAATTCATTCATTATCATTTCTGCCCCAATGAAAGGCGCTCGATGGGAAAGGACATCAAACACAATGAGAATACGCCGAGAAAATGGGTCGTTTTTGCCCGAAAGCATTTTTATTTCGCTAATATGTTAGCTAATAACAAGACCTATTGGACTGTAATAAACGGTACCACTTTCCTTTAGGGTTCGAAAAATTCGGGTATATGTATTCACCACCTGAGTACATTGGGGTATTTACAAAATTAGCCTAGTACAATTTGAAGTCGTTTACACTTATTAATTAACTTAATCACGTTTGGGGATTTATTCTTGATTTTCCCAACTACAACAAACAAAGCAAGTACTTTAACAATGAAACAGTTTAACAAATCTAATATTTGCAGTCAGATTTTGATTTTTTTTCCTTGCATCTTCCGACTCCGCTAACTGGCTAACTAGTTTCGACCTCGAAACCAAGTTTTGAACGGAAAAAATAAATTATGAAAAATGTTTCGGGATGAGGTTGTGTGGCTCTCAGAGCTCTGAAAATTCGAGCTCTATATCAACCTTCCTTCTGAATGAAAATGCCGCATTGATTTCCATGCAAATTTTGCACTGAATGAATGAGAAGATTCGGATATGAAATTGGTCCGATATCAACTTCATTTTTGATCATTTCCCAAACCATGGATGGCAGTGTTCAAAAAAGATCCTCTATGGGATTCACGGAATTCTCATGGCGCTTCGCAGAGTTGTACATCGTAAAGTTGGGCCAGCTCTGTCAGATTCTTATGTCATTCAAAATCTGTGCTTTGAATCTGATAACGATGGTCCTGTTCGAAGTCGGTGTTTGTCTTCCGATCCTCGGCCCTTACACCGTGTATGTCTCTTCATTGTTTCAAGTGAGTCATTTAGGTCACTGTACAAACACATTGTTTCTGGTTAATATAGTAAAAATTAGATTGTGATTGCCAGTGCATCTCTCTTTTTCAACTCGAACCCATTGGAAGAAGATCCAATGCATGATGAATGCAAGGCATTGTCGTCAAGGACCAGCTTCACCTATCTGTACAGCTGGCTAGGCACAAGTACAGGGAGTGTCCGTCTAAATATTGTCATCATCTGCCTATCCACAACCCTCATCCTTACCCAATTAATCATCACAATCAGGCAGAAACGACGACGGTCCTCAAAGCATCTCGAATCCCCTCATCTACTTTTCCCAGATGCTGATTCGGCTGACGTTCTTCATCAAGGGTTTTGTCTGGCAACCAAATTCGGATGCAATTACTGGTTCTACAAGATCGGACTTGAATTAACCCTATCAATGATGAGTTTGAATGCGATGCTGCGAATGGACCTGTTAGGATGTATATATCTGACGATGATAATCCCGTGTGCCTTGTTCAATCGAAAAACGGCAAAGATCCTTTGGCCTTTCTTCGTCATGACGTTCGGGATTTTAATGTTTCTTCAGTATGCCTTTACAGTTGGAATGCCAGAAAGAGATTGTTACAGTAGGTCAGATCAATCAAAAATAAAATTTTTTAGCATATCCATGGGACCACATCATAAATATCAAAGAATTCAACGAAAATCTGGTGGACTTCTTGTCGCTCCCCAGTTCTGGTAGATTCCACAGAATTCCTATCTTTTTCCGCATGTCCATCGACGCAATTACCATGATGTTAATGGCAAGCCAGGTAATCAAAAATACGTTATAAAGATTTCTTTAGGCGTACTGTTTCGATTGTGAATCATCAGATCATCCCGCTGGCGATAATGCTTCGGATGAATATTACACCCTCGAGGGAATAGTTCATTCGCCTCCTGAAGATAACTACATTTCTCATCCAAAGTAAGTCGAGTTATTGACTACATCAGACTTTTAGAAGCTCCTTTGATTATTTGAAGATCTTCGTGGTTACAGCCCTCCACTGGATTGCTTTGGTATCCTTTCTTATCGCCGGTCTAGGTGGAAGATCCATCTTTAATATTGGATATCTGATCGGTGCTTTTATTGTGTTATGGCAAGGCAATTCAATCTACAGAGTAGCGACATTGAGAAGGACCGTCATCCAATGGAAATTAATGCTTGGTTTCAATTTAATCACCATGTTTATGAAGATTTCCATCCAAATATTGGCATGTGGGTATTTTTTCGAGATTCAGAACAATTGTAATCTGCGTCAATGGATGAATGTCATCTGTTCTTCAACTGAATCCATCAGCAGAATTGAGAGATGGAGAAATTCCGAGGGAGGGCCAGAGACATGTTCTCTCAAAAATCTTCACAATGAATTGCCAGTAGATGTGTGCGCTTTTATTCTGCTTCTATTGAATCTTCGACTTCTCAACTCCAAGATCTTTAAGTGGCGGATTCTTGAGATTTACTGCGAAGAAATCCAAGCGAACAGGTAAGTTGGATATCATTATTAAAATAATGATATAAGGATGGTGACATACGCATCAAATCGGGTGTCGTGGCCAGAAACCGCGATTTCTTGTCTGTTAGGCCTCTCCTCTAGACAAGAAATGCGTAATTCTTTTCTCAAATTGCGTAACATTACGCAAATTTCTGCAGTCTCCCCGTGGAGATTTCTTTCTTTTTTTCTCTGCTCACAAGTCAGACAAGAATTGCGCATTTCTTGCCTAGAGGCCTAGCAGACAAGAAATCGCGGTTTCTGACCATGACACCCGATTTGATGCGTATGTCACCATCCTTATATCCGTTGACTATTTCAGTGGTGCCATCCTAATCAATCAGCTAATCAGTAAAGAAGTCCATGACCAATATGAGAAGCAAGTTCGTACTCTAAAACAGATTGCAAAAAGGGCGGCCGAATTAAAGAACAATAACGACGGTGGATACAACTTTAAGCCACAAACATACCCTCAAGGTGAGCAAAAAAATAATTGGATTACCGTTTTTAGCAATACATTCCGGTGACTACTATATGTTTGCCTACGAACCTTATCAAGACGACCTCAACGAGGACAGCGAGCTTTTTATTAGACTTGATGGGGGAGACACCCCAGAAGACAAAGCCAAGCTCACCCCCATCCAGGTCATTTTTGCCTTCCTGGCTCAAGGACTTGACTTTGAAGAGACTCTGAAAGCCATAGAGAATGCGGAAAGTATACATGATGAAGAACTTCGTATGTTGGAAGCTGTGAAAAAAGAACCCAAAGAAAACAGTGACGAATTGCTGTCCTCTGATTCGATGGAATCTTTCAGACAGAAAAGGAGACAATTACGAGACGAATATGTGTCAGAACAAACGACGAAGCACAAAAAAACATTCAAAGGTATGATCTGAATGGTTTCTTGTGCTTCAATTGTACCATTTTCAGAAAAATTGAAATGGATGGGAAAGTTCATCGCCAAACTATTTAGTGCCATCATCCATCATCTTTCGTGCTTTCTGAGGAAACATTCCCGCCAACAGCGATATGTAACATTTGTTTTGGGGAAAGAGAAGATTAAACTCAAGTCAAGAATCTTAGAAGAGGTAAAATTAAAATTAAATTTAGAAATTACAGTATCCCGTTGTATCTAATAGAGATTACAGCTTAGAGAGATTGGAGAGATCACGACAATGCCTTGCTATCCTGTTATATTTGCTGTTAACGATGTAGAACAAGTTCAAAGAGAAGCCCGAGAAGCCGAGAATTTGGTCCCTCCGTTCTGTCGCTTCCTTTTAGCCGTGTACAACTATATCACTGCCAACACAGACAACCTGTGCTTCATCTTGGCTACCCTCACCCATACACTTGGAGGAGGTGCCATCACAATGCCCTTGCCGATTATGGTCTTCTTCTGGGGAGTATTGTCAAATCCCCGCCCAGAGAAGACATTCTGGATTTGCATGATGATATACACTCAACTCATCATTGTCATAAAATGCTGTGCTCAGATTGCTGAATTCAATTTGTTTTCCTTCAATTTATTCGATCGGCAGTTCACTGAAGACGACGTTCGCTCGTATCTTGGACTCCAGAATGAAAAGAGTTTTGCCATGTGCGACATGGCCTTATTACTCTTCCTTTTCTTCCACAGATATATGTTACAACGGCTAGGATTGTGGAAGAATTCATTAAGCAAGATCGTCAACAGAAGCGAGGTAAATGAGCCCTCGAGAATAGAGGTGGCAATCGGGATGGGCCGGCCCGGCCCGGCCGGGCCCGGGCCGGGCCTGAGCAGATTTGAAAAAGCCCTGGGCCGGCCTGACCGTTTCGGCCCGCGGGCCGGGCCGACACTTTCGGCCCGGCCCGGCCCGGAAGGTAGATAAGTAAAAAATTTTTAATGCGAAACCAGCAAAATAAAGCACAAAATTAGATTAAACTTTTTTTTACTTATACGCTGTTTTACTACCTTTTAAAATTATGTATATGTATATGTAACTTATTATGTACATATATGTAAAATCCCACCCAAATATGCAAGGGTCGGGCAAAAATCTTTGAATTTTTTTATGATAAATTTAAAAATTTCACTGTAATTTTGATTCCTTGACGTAAATGGAAGTGTTTAAACAGTTTTTGGTTAACCATGTACCTTATAACGTCCATACTTTTATATAGCCAACTTCCTATAGGATTAAAAATTCAACACAATCCAACTTTTTGGCTAGGTTTTAGCTACCTGTACAGATGTTCCAGTCATCCGACTAGACTTTTTAATTTCACGCAGACACACGTAAAAACCTTCTTGAAAGCATAAGAACTTCCAGTAGAAAGTGCAAAGACTTTTATCCAACTTTTCTGTATTAGCGGGCCAAACCGGGCCGGGCCGGGCCGGCCTGGGCTTTCATCGGGCCGGGCCGGGCCGGGCCTGAGCAAATTTGAAAAAGCCCTGGGCCGGCCTGGTCACTTCGGCCCGCGGGCCGGGCCGCAAAATTCGGCCCGGCCCGGCCCGATTGCCACCTCTACTCGAGAAGTCCTTTGCTACCTTACAGATTAATTTATTTCTCTATTTTCAGTCTATGGAGGATGAAGAATATAACTGTTGCATCCAGTTCTTCCAAAACGTCATCAACCCGAAGAAGCGCTTCATCGGCGACATGTATTCCGTTTGTTTCCTTCTGGATTTGCTTTGTGTTTCGATTGTTTTATTCGGATATTCTTCATTTGCTGATACTAGTACTGATGGTATCCCTCTTTTCCACGTAAGTCAATCTCTCCTTGCATCTATCTCCATAGACATCCCGCATTCCTCTGTCATTGGTCATTACTATAATTGCCTTCATCTTCCTCATAATCATTGATCGGGCATTATATTTGAGGAAATTGGTCTTACTCAAGCTGATCTATCACATGATTGTAGTCGTCGCTCTTCATGTCTGGATTTTCTTTGTGATTCCTTATACATCGAGAACGTATGTGAAAATATTTAAAACTAATTTAATTCTTGCAGAAGCCTCCCTAAGAATATTTTGGCCCAGGTTTTTTACATGGCCAAATGCATAAATCTTCTTCTTTCCGGATGGCAAATCAGGAATGGGTACCCACCGTTGTGTACTGGTGGTCTACTCACCCAGAACTTTGGATTAATAAGTTCTGTTTTATACAAGGGCTTTATGAACTTACCGTTTGCCTTTGAACTTCGGTCGGCTATTGATTGGACATGGACTGACACGGCCATGAGTCTGTTCGACTTCATAAAGTTCGAGATCTTCTTCTCCAACGTCTACATGGTCAAATGTGCTCGTCAAATGGAACAAGTAAGAACTGAACTGGATTATAAATAGCCGTTTGCAATCAATTACATCCGCCCATTTAGAACTTCCCAACACCCCGAGGCCAAAAGAAGGCGATGACGGCCAAGCATACCTTGGGGGTCCCGGTCATCTTTCTCTTGGTTATTGTCATCCTGTCTCCCATCTTGGTGTTCTCCTTGCTTAATTCCATCGGTCAATCGTATGCTCCCCTGAAAATGAAAATTGAACTTTCCTTCGAAACTCTTCCCGTAAGTCTCTCGAATTTATTTTATATTTTTTTAGCCCTTCTACGAATCGGTAATCGAAAAGTTTGAACATATATTGGTGGAGGATAGGATTACCCTCACCCAATCGTATGTTTTACTCGAGAATGATAAACACTACGATGGAAAGAAGGCTCGGCTCGCTCTCACTTTCCTCAACGAATTCTACGATCAAGACATTTATGTAAGAAATTATTAGGGTTGTTAAGTCGTCAACTTGACGTGCCACTTATACGGTTCGGACGGGGTATATTTTAACCTCACGTGTTAAAGCTTTGTAAGTCGGAATTTTCCAAAATGACGGAAATCTGACGTCATTTTGAAAATTTTTGTTTTCACACTTCGGTTCTACAATACTTGCGAAGTGTCACCGTTTGGCCTACTAATCTTTGAAAAACTGTTTTTTATTTTTCAGAAGATCTCCTTCAATGAATTTTCTGTTTCGCCTTGGAACGTCTCACCGGGAGCTTTACGTGTTTTGTATCAAGATCTCTTACTTGGAAATAGATCCGAGATGAATGTGAAGATGGTATTGGAAAGAGGAAGTTACAAAGACTCCGACATAGCCATCAAAACCCATGTTATTGAGTATAAAATCAGTCTTGAAGGTGAAGTTCTGTCCAGCTTGACGGCACTTGTGAACAAAACCTTCATTCCCAATGTCAACGTGGAAGAAAACATGATGATTCCCTTTGCCATTCCTTATTACATTCTGTTGCCTTCAACAGATAAGATTGAAGTGGCCGATTCAATGCTGAAAGTGGTCTCGAATGCCACGGATTCCAAAAACAAATTCCAGGATACCTTTGGTCGTCTGAATTTGACTTTATCTGGGGGAATTGTAAGAAAAGATAATATATTTGATGACCTTATAAATTCCAGGAGCAAGGAGGATTTTATTGGAAGTTACAAGTATTCAGGGCTGACAGTATATCACACGTGACCCTTCCTGAGCCGGACTGCGATATGATTATATTTATGGATCGAATGTTTCCCACTTGGCTGCTCCATTTCTCCTCTGCCAGGTATTCATATACAGGCGAAGAGTCCGCTTTTCCGAAGGGTCCGTCGGCCGAAGAGTCCCGCTTTTCCAAAAGATGCTTATATGATGAAAAGTCCACCTGATTTTTTCAAAGTGGGAGGTGGTGATTTGTCATTCTATGTGTACCTTTCATTTTGAAAATTCAAAAAGCAGGGCTCTTCGGTTTGAGACTTCAAACCGATGGGTGTGAGGTGCACTGTTCGGATCCAACCGGCCGTTTTTGGATTATTCGGTCTCAATCTAGTATTATATATAATATGATCATTGTTATTCATTTAGTATTATTCCGATGTACCTGGCCGTTGTAGTCGTTGCATTCAAATTCGTGCGTGCCTTTATATTCGCTGACCCTCTGAGAGCCATAATCAAAGAAATGCCGAATCCGGACCCTGTTCTCAAGATCTTGCTGGACGTTTATTTGGTTCGAGAAGCCCAGGATTTCTTACTTGAAGAGGTGGGTGGTCGCATGTCTTATACTTATCCAAATTTTTAGGAACTGTTTGCGAAGATTATCTTCCTCTTCCGATCCCCTGGAACCCTCATCAAATGGACTCGTTTTAAGATAAAAAAAGAATGATCTCTAACCATTAAGTTATGGATAAACAGCCCCCAAATAAAATAACATGATTACATTACCCATTGTACATTTCTAGCTCCACGAAATAAAAGTTTGACGCAATCTGTTTGCAGGGCTTTGTTGTGTTAAAGTACGAATTACCCAATAATTAATTTACTCGATAAGAAACAGATACTGTATCAAGTCGACTAACGACCTCGACCTGAGTAGAACGGGACGAACTGGGGACCTGACTCCACCTGTGAGACTTCGCCGTCCAATTTGCCATCTACCACTGAAAAAGAAGGTAGATTTTCGTGTCAAAGGAACGGTTGCCAAGACAAAGTGACCTTTCAAGGACTAATGGACTGACTAATGAGCCATTATTCTCCACACTCACCGTATTTGACGGATCTCAGATTACGGTCAAACAAGTCCGAGTATCGAGAAATGGGAGCCCAAAGGCCGTAGCCGGACCCCTTTTGGGGGACATCCATCCCACTGTAGAAACTCCACTTCTCCAATTCATAAGGTTCCCGGGAATAAGTGGGGTAGAGGATCTTTCTGAGGTTGGACGATTCGTTCTCCGTGCTGACGGTCAGCATTATGAACATAGTGCTGACACAAATGGCTAACAATCTCCAAGCCATAATTCCCTTTTTCTGAAACGGAAGCCATTAGAGGTGAAGGCGGACAACTTTTAATCCAATTTATTCGCAAAAACAGTTTGGCACGATGGAAACGACACGGAATAAACGGTGACTGCAAGAAAGAAACGCGAATTGAAACTTTCAACCATGAAGGGGACAATAAAATGGGACCTTTAATTTCCTTGGCCCCTCTGGAAAGAGGCCGTTCGTTCTGTGCCCACGAAATCTGAAGCCGGCCTGGAAAGAGCAGCGAGCGAATAACACTTAATTAGTCATAAGCGCGACGATTATGAGACGGCAGGTGATTGAGTGACATCAGAGTTGGAGGCTGAGAAAACCAAGGGCGGGGTGCCGGGCATAATGGACCCCCACCCCCGAATCCCTTGAGGCGGTTGATTGGACTGCTCAAGACCGCGACGTCAAAAATGGGATTCAGAAACCCGAACACACCCCAAAATTCACATTAATTAAGATGGGTAATCCCATTTCATTAGGTCGTCGTCCCGATGGCCGAAAATTGTTTTATGTCACATGTACACTCACTCAATTATACTTGCCAAAAAAGTGATCCTGCAGACTCAAGAGCCCTGGAAGAGTGTGTTCAAGGACTTCTAATAGCCGCGTTATGCCCTCAGTCTGTTTGCATGCCTTTCCACAAAACTTGTGATTTGTTTCCTGTGATGTATAATATATCTCGTAGATTTCTACAAATGTTTCATGCAACAGGAATACGAATGTATTATTCATGCTTCAAACAGCCGAACAGGTGAAGTGAAGTCGGCCATAGGAAGTGTCGTTGTATAAAAGTGGTTGGAAATAAGGAAATCATCGAAACGTCTACTGTAATTGTATCTTTACGTTTAAAAATGTTACTTATAACAGACATTCTTTTTCTCCTCGTCTCACAAATTATGGCAAAGCGCAAAAATTACACAAAAACCAACAACTACTAATGTAAAAGCACAAAATTTTTCAACTTTAAATGGGAAATCTGACCAGGGAGTTTTGTTAAGACTTACTTGGCACAAAGTTAGAGTAATTTTTCTAAGATATATGCGAGAATTCTAGCTCGCGCTTTGCAGAAACAATCAGATCGAAAGTCGGCGAAAATTTAACACTTTTTCCCGAATTTCGGCACAAAAACTTTCTTTCTTATTTCTGCCGTAAAGGATAATGTTCCTGCAGAAAATCAAAATTTTCCGCACGACACTGCCAAAGTTATGGCCAAAAAGCGTTTTTCTCTCTGACCGCTCTCCACGTTTAGGTGCTCTCTCGGCGGCAAAGATCGTTCGATATCTCGGCGCGAGCTAAAACTTTCAGGAATTGGTATTTACTGTTAGTCCATACCCGATGTGTGTGCAAAATTTAAAGAAAGTCTGAGCGTCGCACTTGGAGTACTTCCCCTGTACGAATTACTGTAAATTTTATGAATAAACCATTTTTGGGGGTTAGCGGCCCTCAGTACAATATTTTCTTCATCACCCGAGAATTCCCTCACCCCAAAATTCCATCACCCGAATGTGCACCACCCGACTTTACATCACCCGACTTTGCGATCACCCTCAGGTTCTCACCCAAACCTGCACCGCCTGACTCTGCGCCACCCATAATTTCCCGACCCCACCCATAATTTCAGTCACCCCTCAACTAAGGACAGGCATGGTAGGTCGAAAAGGACTATAAATGAAGTTTTCGTCAATGGGGATAGGCTTCAAAGTACGATTTTGGCTTGCCAGAGAAGCTAAAAAATATATTATTTTCCCCAATCGTCGACGTCCGCAAAAAATAAGGTCCAAATTTGCATAACATCTACTTTTCTTGTATAAGAACAATGTTTTTTATCTTTCCGAACATCAACGGTTATAATGAGGAGCCTTTTGGTATTGTTGTTGGTGATATTATGTTTCCCGGTGGACAGTAAGTGACAAGAATGATGAGGTAATGTGCAAATTAAGGCAATTCCAATGAAGCACAGCCATTGTTTGTCTCCATTCTTCTCAATACTACAATTCAGGACCTCCTGAATGTAATAACGGCTATCAAAATCTTCTTTAGATCAGAAGATTTCTTTGATTTCAAACAGAAATTGGAGAGTTCAGATTCAAATTTGTTCAAAAAGATCTCCGAACTCAAAGAAGGACTTGATCTAGAGATGGCGGCCATTTCCGAACAAGCCAAGGATTTCAGTGACAGAGTAATCCCCGGCCACTGTCATCATATTTTCAGATAATAATGGAATTAAGCCGATTCCTTCCGCCCTCAAATACGATGTCTTTTGACCCAGTGTCTATTGAGACCCACCTAAATGATATCGCTGAAATGTATTTGAATCTAGACCCGACCACCAAGGCCGAGTTCGAGAAGAAGGCTCCTTCAATCAAGTTTATCCTGGATTGGTTCAGCACTCAAATGAAGGACATCCACACTTATGTCAAGAATCCTCTCTTGGCTATATCAAAACTGACCTAATGATCATAAAAATTAATTTATTATAGGGTAAACTGCGTAAATAAAAGTTAAGACTGGCAATCATTTAGAAGGCCGGGATCTTCTTGTTCGGTGTTTTTCTTGGGATCGGCTTCGGTCCCTTCTTCTTCTCTCGTCTGTTCTCTTTGACTTGTACTCATCATTTTTTTCCCTGCGTCTTTCATCCACGTCTTCTTCGGAACTTCTTCTTCTCCGTTCATCGCGTTGCCTTCTCGATCGGTCTTCATCTCTTCTCCTGCTGTCCTCGTTATCTCTTCTCCTAATATTTTCATCCGCATCTCTTCTTCTTCCTTCATCAGATGTTTGCCTATCTCTTGTCTGTCGTTCGCGTCGTTTACTCATCTCTCTAATATCATCTTCATCCAATGGCTCCTCCTTTATTTCTTTCTTCACTTCAACTTGTTTTTGAGATTTCGATCTATCATGTTCTTTATCCTAAACATTTACATGGATTAATGCATAAAAATCTATAAAAAAGTAATGCAAAAAAATTATTCATTAACAATAAGGCAGTGATTCCGCCCAATTCTGCTATGGATTTACAAAATGTCTCCAAAAGTAACCCAGCTTGACTCATTCAAAGTTTTGTCGTTGCAAATTTGGGCCGGTAATTTACTGGAAAAATAGTATGAGAAAAAACTCCAACCAAATCTTTAAGATAAATTCCAAAAAGCATCCACTCTGACTGCACGCTGGAACAACGTGCGTGTTATACAGGGTGTTTCAAGAAATTTGGCAGAAACTAATTGCGAATATCTTTGAGCTCTTGGGAGTTATCGCAGAAATTCTTTTTGTTTCTAAAACTTGATAACGGGCGGTTTTGTACTGAACAAAAAAAAAATTTTTTTCGTCGGCGGAGAGGCCAGTTCTCGGCGGAGGCATTTGGGGCCTTTTTTAAAAATCACACCTTATTACATGGTGGAAACTCTGTTACAATGGCCAAAATCATGTTTACGTTAAACCTCCGTGGATTTTACGGTATGCTTTTTTTTTGTTTTCGATTTTCGCTTATCCGCGGAGGCACGGCGGAGACCTCAGGTTTCGGCGGACGTCGTTTTGACTCTTTGGATCATTCAATTCAGGTTGGAAAAAAGTGTGGGGTGATTTTTTGTTGTCATCCGATGCACAGATGCAAAAATTTCGCACTTTTTTCCCCGGCGGAGGATTCGGCGGAGGCTTTATCAAAGGGTCAGAACAGTCTTAGGAGTCCGGGAAAAAAACTCAGCTACAAGAATCCATCACAGCAACATCATTTTTCTTATTTTTGGTTCGGCGGACACATCGGCGGAGGATTCGGCGAAGGCTTTATCAAAAGAGTCAAAGTTTTGTTTTGACCCTTTGATAAAGCCTCCGCCGAATCCTCCGCCGGGGGAAAAAGTACAAAATTTTTGCCATCTGTGCATCGGATGACAACAAAAAATCGCCCCAACCTTTTTTCCAACATGGATTTGCAAAAACCGAGGGCCCAAAACAAAGTCCGCCGAAATCTGAGGTCTCCGCCGCGCCTCCGCGGATGTTGCGTAAAATCGAAAACGCAAAAAAAGCATACCGTAAAATCCACGGAGGTGTAACGTAAACATAATTTTGGCCGTTGTAACAGAGTTTCCACCATACAATAAGGTGTGATTTTTAAAAAAGGCCCCAAATGCCTCCGCCGAGAACTGGCCTCACGAAAAAATTTTTTTTTTGCTCAGTACAAAACCGCCCGATATCAAGTTTTAGAATCAAAAAGAATTTCTGCGATAACTCCCAAGAGCTCAAAGATATTCGCAATTAGTTTCTGCCAAATTTCTTGAAACACCCTGTACAATAAAAAACCTTGAGATTCAAATCCTTCGAGTTCAATAAAAAAAATTATGTTCATGCATTAATTTAAAGTGCTAGAAATAACAAACACAACATAAGGAATTACGCAAACCACATTCAGTGCAGCTTGTTACTTCTACGAGACCTACATACCTAATGTTAAACCAAAAATTCCAGTCGGCTTTAAGAATTCACATCAACTAGTTTTGCCACAAAAACTTAGTATGAAAAAAGCCGGTCTCATATTATTTTTCCAGTAAATTACCCGACCAATTTTACAATGACAAAAGTGTACATTAGTGAAGTTAAGGTGCTTTTAATGACTTTCATATTGTTTGTCAGAAAGGTAAACTTGGTCGTTTAAGCCCGTCCCATCCGACTCGTGTGGAAACGGTTAAATACTCACCTTCTTCTTCTTCTTCTTTTTGTCGTTTTCAGAATCACTTGACGAATCTGAACTTGACGAAGAATCAGAATCCGAGGAATCTGAATCACTGTCCGAATCTGACGAGGAATCTGATGTCGAAGAATCGGATGATGAGGATTCGTCGTCACTTCCTTCCTCTTTCTTCTTCAATTTCTTTTGCATCTTTTCATACTGTTCTCTTAATCTGATTGTAAGACCACCAAGACCAGAGAGAGTAAAGAAATTAATTGCAAATCGGGTATTCTTGGGGTGATCCAATGGAAAGAGTCCTTCGAAATAATGCACGAGAGTCCTAAAACAACACGTTTATTTAACATTTACCAACAATTAGGATAGAAAAGAAAACTTTAGCTACAAACATGAATCTTAATTACTTACGGATCATACAACTTCTTGTATAAATTGATATGCCCCATTGCCTCAGCCAACTCTTGAAACATGACTTTTATGTAGACTCTTCCTGCCGATGTGGTGTCCGTATCATTCATCTTGACATCTTCAAGGACTGACCATTCAATTGCATCTGTGGCCAGCAAATGAGAAACCAACTGGGCCATAATTCTGATCTTTTTCACTTCAAATCGGTGGATAATCTTGTAGGTATCTCTGGCTATCTTTTCGAATGCTCGTTGAAATTCCAACCTCAACCGGCAGAATCTTTCAGACAATAGGCCATAGAATTTCTCATATGTCCTCTGCTGTGCACAACAATCAACAATCATATTGCACATCTCCTCGTCCAATCCTGGCTTCAGATGGAACTTGATTAATTTATGAGCCGCTTCCTGATAATCCAGAGATGATTGAATGCAGAGATAAACGCTCCTTCTGAAGGCCACAATATCACTGTCGGTCATGTCTACAATCTTCTGTTGAGCAGGCTCTTCTTGAGCTTGCCCTTCTTCCTCGTCGTCTTCTTCTTCATCACTAGAATCGTCTCCATCGCCAATGATCTTCTTTCGAATCTCTTCATATGCTTCTTCGTTTTTTTCGAATTCGGGATCGTATTTGAAGTAATTAAGGCCTGTTTCTGGATCCAAGGCTTTCTTTTCTTCTGTTATCAGTTCGATCATGTGAGAAATCTGATCTTCTTCTTCAATAAGATCCAGTTCTTCTATCACGGCTGGGTAGGCCTTAAATTGTTCTTTCCGAACCAGCATCAATCTTTCAATCATGTACTGAGTCCTTGTGCTAATTGTGTCTGCATCTTCCAGAATATTCCTCAGACGTTCAAAGACAGCTAATAACAAAGAGAACGTTAGATAAGACAAACCGGATTTACTAGTAATAAGCTTCAACTTACAATAGGTGCCCTTCGGTGAAGCCTTCGTTAAAAATTCACCGCATTCTTTCAGCAATGTAATGGTCAGTTCAATAGAATCATCGGTGGGTTGTTCCATCAACAAAAATAAAATCTCCAGCACCAAGATCTCGTGGGCGACCCTCTGGTTTGTTAGATGAGCGATAAATTTGATTACTGTGAGACACAGCCCTTTGTTGTTTAGTCTAAACCCTCTCTTGAATTGAATGACAAGCCTCTTCAAGATTAGTTGACCAATACTCGGAAACTTTGAATTTATGATGGCCACTAATGCTGCATAAACATTGGAGAAGGTCGGAGAAAACGTTTGAGCTTGGATAATAGCTTGAGCCAGAACACCACTAAAAATAACAGGTAAAAAATTGTCCAAAAGGTACCTAAAAACTGAAATCTGAATAAATCTCTTACCTTCCTCGCACTACATTCTCTTGGAGCAATTCAGTTACGACATTGGCTATATTAGATATATTAACCTTGTTTACACATCCATTAATCTTCTTCTTAAGTCGCTGGAAGTTTATTCTTTGATACTCTTCCGAGCTCTTGTCAGAGGCTAATTGTTGTTGTAGTAATTTCAACTTGGCTGGGGGAATATAGGCGCCCCCAGCCTTCCCCAAAATTGCCTTTGAAACAGGCTCTTCCTTCTTTTTATTCTCCTTTTCAACCCATTCATCCTCTGTGCGCGGCCTCTTGGGCTCGGTCGCATCTCCATCATCTGAAAGTCTTCGACGTCGCTCTTCAGATTCTAACACATCACCCATCTAAAAGCCAATATTAACCAGGAATAAAAAAAGCAACTGCACGATAAATTTTTACAAAATTCGAAGAAAAGAACAACTAGATCCAACTGTTCCCGAGATCTTCTGCAGCTATAGCTGCAAAAATATTTCGTAAATTCTTCTCTTGCGGAAAGCCAATGAAGTCTTCGCGGTGGGACGGGAAGGACCTGCCGCGAACAGTTTCTTTTCACAAAATCTGGAGAATTCTCGTAATGTCCGTGAGATGGATACGTGATTGAAGATGTTTACAATAAAACGTGATCATTTTTTGCAACCAACGTTGGTCTTTTTTATTGCTGTGCACCAGGTCCGTATAATGAATGATAAATATAAAATTTATTTTGACAGTTGTTTTAACCACGCATGCTTATTAATACTGTAGTAAGTGACAAGTACCAAAGGATAACTATAAAAAGGCCTTTTTATAGTTATCCGATTAATTCTAATTTGGGCTACCTTTTATTTCTGGTTGATCCGTCCTTATTTTAAAAGCGATGATGTTTACCTGCCTCTTTCCCCACCTTTACAACGCCACATTAGGTATTTTTATTTCCTTACGAATATAAGTAATTGTTTTAATTTGCGCGTATTTTCTCTTTACACAACGATTTCACAACCGAATCTTTTTGACGTGTTTTGGTTTATTTGGAAAGGGAATCAGCTGATATTTATAGAAACATATACAGATTTAGTACCTGCTGTCTTTGCGCGGTACCACGGACACTGAGGATCTCTTGGGGGCCACCTTCGTGAAGTGCGCGGGCTGAGTGTCGGCGGCCTTCCAGAAAATGGCAGCGGACTAAAAACAAATTAATCAGACAATAATACGATTACATATATGATTACCAAGAATTACAAAACATACCACAATCAAGAAGAAGGCGAGGATGAAGAAGATAGTTCTCCATTCTGTTCTCGATTCCTCAATGTCCACGAAGAACCAGACGAGAGCTGGGGCCAAGAACAAACTAATACACTTGAAGAATTGGACTGTGGCGATGACAAAGTGAGAGTACTGGCTAAAGCAAAGTATTTAGAATATGTCTAGACAAGGTTATATAATCCCATACTCAAAACTTACCGGGATGCTAGAGTCAAACACTTGTAGAAACCACCTCCACTCGCAGCATAGAGCATGTGAATCAAGATGAGAAGGGCCAATCCCCACCATGGATGACTTTGAGGAACAAAGGCCAGCGAAATATAACAAAGGGCTGGACCAACCAAAGCGATGGTGTTGAAGATACAAACCTTCGTTGTCTCATCAATCCCCCTGAAAATAAACTGCTAGTATCCGGTTGACTTACTTGACTTTGTCACTTAAAGTACCGAAGATCAACTTCAGAGGGATGTAAGAAAAGGTGGGAATAGCAGCCAAGAGGCCAGTCTCGACAATGCTGAAGTGGAGAACTCTGTGAATGTAGATGGGAAGGTACAAGTGCATAAAGATGGCTGACAACAGAGTCGAGAAGGCGGACAACCATGAAGCAATGATATTGAAATCTTTGCAGATGGCTGCATAAGGGACGGTTCCTCCGGGCTCAATGTGAGATCTGGTCTTGTTACGGTGGATCTTCTCCAATTCAACGATCGATACGCGACGATGCATGTCAGGGAAATCTCCATAGATGGATACCCAGATGATAAAAAGAATAATTCCAGCGATGGCGTGACCGTAATAGACGACTGGCCATCCCAACCAGGTTGTGTTACATAACCATCCAGCGATGGGGTTGGTGATGGTCAAAGACAAAGGAGAGTAGCAAGTGAGGACCGAGATGAAGAAGGCGTGCTGCTTGAGGGAAGCCCAGTGGGATGTCAGCACACCGATGGCCGCAAAGTCAGCGGCATAAGCAACACCCTTTAAATATTCGTTTTACTCAAACGAAAAAGGGAGCAAAAATGCTGAAAATTTATTTACCTGGATGAAACGAGCAATTGTGAATGGCCAGATTCCCCAATCAGCAGCAAACGGAATAATACCAGTGGCCAGAGCAGAGAGAATTCCGGCCGCAAAGAATACCCAGCGAGCTCCAAAGTGACCATAGGCCCAACTGAAGGGGAATGTGCCCACCAAACTGCCGATGGCCACAGCCCACATCAACCATGACTTCTCGGTGTGATCGTAGTTGTAAGTCTTCTGATGGAGTTGAGAGATTTCTTGCTGAAGCCAAAGTCTATTCTTATTTCTATTACTTACCGAAACGTTGCTGGTAGGGGCCATACAAATGAGGGTAAAGTTGAGGGTGAACATGTTGGACGAGATAGAGGTCAGACATAATAGGGTGACAATCAGCAGGATGTAGCGGAATTTGTGAGGGAGACATCCACAATGCCCCTCTTCCCTTGTTATAATCTCTTCCTCTCTTACTTGTTCGATCATCGTGTCGAGAAGTGAAGACGATGAAAGATTGTGGACTGTTTACTTCTTCGCTGGTTTAAATAGGTTTACCAATTTTTCTTTCATGCGGCCCGGAAGAAAAGGGGGGAAAGAGTGCGGTTTTGGGGGGTTACACAGTTAACGCTGGCTTCTGATGTGGAGTTACCTTTTTCGTGATGCCAACTACTTTAGGAATTGTTACAACACGGAAGCGGGAGATGTTCTTTGGGCTTTTGAAACCGATCATAACATCTTTTCGAGGTTTACCAGAGTTCTTCTTCGATAAAGTTCCATGCTGTCCCTGAATGGGGCAGATCAAGAACTTTCATGGAGGATCCCCCTCTTCGTTTATTATTTACTTTTACAATTTCAAAACTTATTTCTACGCCGTTGCAAGAACGGAGGACGTTGCAACAGCAGAAGAATTTTTTCGCGAACGTGACAATTCTGTGAAGGAGGCCGGTTCATCGGTGGCGTAAACTTGGAAGACGATGTTGGACTAAAAAAATATGATCTGAAATGATTAAACTTACGACAAACAAGATTACAGCAAAGATCAGATAAATAATCCTCCATTTATAGAAGTCAGAGGTGTCAGTTACAATTACAGTCATCAACGTGGGGGCCAAAAAGAGGGTCACACATTTTATAAATTGGATACTAGCGATCACAAAATGACTGTACTGCCTAAAAAACAAACAAATGAACACTCAGACTCGGAGACCGGTACTTCTCACCTTGAAGTCAGAGTAGCGCATTTATAGAATGCCCCTCCGGCAGCTCCGTAGAATATGTGGATTATGATCACAATGACAACATTGATATCTCTGGCCTCAACAAAGGCGACAAACACGTAAAGCACACTAGGAACACCCACAGCGATCCCATTAAATATTAGCAACTTGGACCTTTCACTGATGCATTTGAATTTATCACTTGAATATCCAAAGACCACTTTCATAGGAATGTACAAGATCGTCGGAATGGCTGATATCAACCCGGTTTCTGCTACAGTATACCCAAGAGCATATCGAATGTACTGGGGCAGATAGGTATGCATGAAAACAGCAGTAAAGAGATCAGCAAAGGCATTCAGCCAACAAGATAAGACCACTTTGTGTGTTAAAATTTGCTAAAAAATATGCATGTTTATTAATGCAACCGCTCACCTTATATGGAACATAACTGTCCATCTCGATGTGAGCTTTCGTTTTGTTTCGGTGAATCTTCTCCAGTTCCACTTTTGACACGTAATTACTTTTCTCAGGAAAGTCATCATAAAAGTGAAGCCAAGCTCCAAAAAGAATAATGCTGACCACGGCATTAAAGTAATAGATTGATGGCCATCCAAAGAAAGCAGATTCGCAGAACTGATAACAATCACATAGAAGTAGTTAAACTTACAAGTCCAGCCATGGGATTTGTGAAAGAGGTGGCCAAAGCTGAGTAACAAGTTAATACCGAGAGAAAAAGGGCATTCTGCTTGAGGGAGGCCCATCTTGAACATAGAACACCTATGGCCGCAAAATCGGCAGCATAAGCAAACCCCTAAAATCAATATTACTTTATATTGCATATACGTGAACTACTTGAGTAAATCTGAGGGCTACAAAAAACACAAAGTCCAATGATGCCGCGAGCGGAATTAGGGCCGTTGAGAAGGCAGAGAGCACTCCAGCTCCAAAGAATACAAATCTGGCCCCATAATTTGTGTAGAGCCAACTGAAAGGGAAGGTCCCCACCATACTCCCGATGGCCACAGACCACATCAGATATCCCTGCTCGATACTTGTGTAATCATGGGTTGGGAATCCATTGTGGACCTATTCCATTATAATAATAAGTAAGCCCACGTGCTTACAGTCACATTGTTATCTGATGTCATACAAATCAAAGTGAAGTTCAAAGCCACCATATTAGACTGTACTGACGTAAGACATAGAAATCCGAGTAATAGAATAAAGTAACGGAACATATCGCTCTGGAAGAAGCCTCCCTCATTCTCATGTCCTCCAGTCATCTTCCAAATACAATCACATACAATTTAATTCCGACGTATGGAAGTATTTATTTTCGATTTAAAGTTCGAACTGATTACAAATGCAGATCACTCACTGGAGGGAACAGATCGCGGAAGCGGCCGAAGAGCGGCTGATTCCCGAATCGACGCTCCCCTCCAGTTTCAGATGTCCCAATCGCCAAGCCCGGCTTTTCCCCCATTTCCCCGCCGCGGATTCTTCTTTCTGGAGTTGTGCCCAGACCTTGGCTACATCCACATTCTTTTTCTCGACATACGAGAGCTCCGTTCTCTGATCTAAATAGTTTGTTTGATAGTTTGAACGGGAGCTTGAAGTTTACCGTCTGCATGCCCAGTTAAGTCCTTTACAGTTAACCCGCTGTTCCTCTCCAAAAAATACGTCAGCGTCGCTTGATTACCTCCAATTTGGAAATAGGAATTGGGAGAGAAGACGAACTTATTTTTCTTCGATTTGGAGGCAATTCTGAAGTTTTAAAATCATTATTTTAATCGAGCACAAACTTCAAAATCTTTTAAGATCAAGCTCATTCTACCGTATCGTGAATGGTCTTCAACTCACGTCTTAGCGGCATTTGTAACCAAAATCTTGCCTGGAGAACTGTATTGGGCAAGCCTTTTGCTAATATTTACAGTCTCCGATAGTACTGCATATCTGATTTTTGTAATTCCCATAATTCCTCCAACTACGGGCCCTGAATGCACTCCAATTCTGATCTGGAATAACAACATTGGATTTAAGGGCATTTTCTGTTTACCAAAACAGGTTGACCGAAGCGAGGGACGATGATTTTTTTCACATCGTGCATCATGCCTAAGGCTAAGTTCAGAATTCGGTCAACATGATCTGATTGGGGAACGGGGACTCCAGACACCATGAAATACGAATCCATCATAGACAGCACTTTCACACAGCCATGGAGATCTATCAGGGCCTCGTAGGTGTGGAAGACTTCATTGACCAGATCCACCAATTCTTTGGGGCCCAGTCGTTTTATAATCAGGTCAAAGTACGGAAGATCGCATTGTAAACAGCTCGCATCATTGAACACTTCAGGTTCCACATGATGACTTTGACGAAGTTGTTCAGCCACAGTTGGGGGGAGGCACTCAAACAGGAGATGATCCGTCTTTTTTCTTTTCTCCTCCAATTCTGAGGCCATTTTCCGAAGATTTTCGGCTTGTTCTTCCAATTTCCGACTTAAAAATGATTTAAATTGTTATTCTCTTACTTGACTTCTTGTTGAGAAAGCCGAGTCTGATTGAGCATGATCAGATCTCTGGTGGTGTCATGTCGAGGGTAATCACTGATAAACATATTACTCTCTGCTAACTCACTAATCGTCGAGAAATACGGGGATCCCATGAATAACATGTACTCCCCATTATTTCCTACAGTAATCATCTGTCCTTTCACAATTAGTGGTTTGGGTTGACTCTGATTTCTCCGAAGAGTTTGTTTGGCCCGGAAAATGAACGGAGTGTTAAGATAATTGATGATATTCTTGAAACTCAGCTGAAAAGTTAATCCTTTTATTAGCAGTAATAAAGCCCTCAGGCTTTGTAGAATAAATAAACTCACGCTAAGATCCTCCGGCGACATTAATGTGAATAAATCGGTTAATTTCATCATCCTCTTATTGGCCAACTGGAATTCTTGATAAATAAAATTCCCACAGTGCTCGATGATCATTTGTTTGGTAAAACAGACGTGATATGGATACAGAGTGCACAAATCACTCATTGATATAAGACTTTTCTGAAAGATGAACTTTTATCCTTGACAAATCTTACCAGTTCCTTAGGTCTTTTACTCAAAACTAACAAAGCTGGAGTGGTTGGTTTAACCAGAGAGACGGCTGAATTGATGTTGAAGATGACATGTTCTGTGATTACATTTCCTTTCTTCTCCTGCAGCCTTTCTACTATAACAATGTCTACTTGAAGGTTGAATAATTTGTCAGCCGCTCGTCTAATGAGTCCCTTAACCATAGGGAACATGGATTTCCTTTCCGAATAGTAATGTAATCGCAGAGATCCATCTGAATTTGCTTCACAACGAAAACTTGGACCCTGGAGATCATGTTGGAAGGCGACGTTGTCAATGAAATAATGCATGGGACTCAAATTGTCAAGAAAATCATGAAGATTGTCAGCCAAACACTTGAGAAGAGTGTCCCATTTGTTGGTCATTACATAATCCAGCATCCATTCACCGAATGTTTCCAATCCATTCTCCGTTGACAGTCTGAGGATATTGGACATGGCATGGAAGAGACGGAACGTCAGTTCATCCGGATATGACTGCATCGATTTCCATTCCACACAGTCTTCTACTCCTGCTTTTTTCCTTAAAAAACTACTTTTCATAAAAAATAATAAACTTACAGTAACTCTTTGTAGGTCTCAAGTCCTCTTTCTTTGACTACCATTGTTTCGAGACATGCATGTATGAATCCAAGCTGTAAACTAACATCATTTGACTACTCTTTTGCTTACCATTCTCCGGGATCCTACCTTTAATGACTGGGATGATGGAAAGGGCCTATTAGGCTGTCGTGGAATGACTAAATGTTCTCGAGTACTCACATCACTCCGTCTTTGTTGTTCCATTCTATTAACTCTTCCAATTTGCTATTTAAATCCCCCTGATAGAGGATTTATTTCCAAATTACATCCGTCTTTGGGGGCCTTTATCGGAAAATACACGTTAGATGGAAAAAACTTGTTATCTAATGTAAGTTGAATAATTGTGGAAATTCGTCTTATATTATAGTAATGAGTTTAAAATTTAACTCTGCATTACTTCTGTTTGCCATGTCAAAAACGATGAAACCTTCGTAAAATAAATACATACTTGAAAATTTCATGGAAATATAATATTTTCAATTGACTGACGATGTTTAATGATGACGGACCCTAGATATCCGGGATTTTTTCGCATTTTTCTCCAAGCCATTTTTAGCTAGAAGCATGTTTTGAATCTACAACAGGCAGGGAGCCAACAATGTAAGCTTTTAGAAAATATTATAAAGCTTATAATGTAAACAGTAAAAATACATTTACCGTATTTCCCGATAATGGTTTCTTTTTCTCATGATTTAACGCCCCGCCGCGGTATCTCAAATGGCAGTTTTTGTTTTACCCGCTGCCAAGAGATGACCAACTCACCGAATATACACACCCTGCGTGTCTGTGTTATGCCAGTGCGGTACCGTGTAATATAGTTTATGGTCGTCTGACCTTACATACTGTCTAGCTTGCCTATAAAACCGGTGGGCCCAAATCTTTTTAGGAGCCGGGGACGAATCCTACTGAAAACTTGGTTTGTTTAACATGCCGACATAAGATGATGACAAAATGTACTGCATTGTTGCCTCTAACTAATAAGAGTATTCGAGTTCTACTATACGCAACATACTACCGCGGAGAACTGTCGCCCGCTCCTTAATTATCATAAACATCGAATTTAAATTAAAAACTGTTATTTACTTAAAAGAATAGCTGAATCAAAGAATGGAACAAGCACTGGAGTCCTCCTTGCTCTTCTCCAACTTGGTGTACTCCACTCCGTCCTTCCAAAGCACCAACCTCCGTACCAGATCCATCTTATCTTTGGGTTTGTGTGGATTGGGAGTGATCACTGGCTTTGTTCTGGTCGTATTTCCATCGATTGTTTTCCAATCACTTATACTATCATTGTTTTCAAACTCTGCCTGGCCATTGCTTGAGGCGTTTTCGGCTAAAAAGAAAGTGCTGGGATCGCATATTACTTACGTCGACTCTTCTGAATGATTTCCCAGACAGTTTTCTTTGTGTTTTTCTCCAGGAAAAAGGTACAAGTGGCTTGGTTATTCCCGATTCCCAGGTACCCTCGATTAGTGAATACAAAGTTGTTGTGAGTGGATTTTGATGCCAATAATTTGGCGGCATTTGTCACCAAAATACGACCAGGTTCGGTGTGCTGAGTCAACTTTTTACAGACATTTACGGTCTCCGAGAAGACACAATATCTCATCTTTGGATGTCCAATGATCCCTCCGACCACAGAACCCGTGTGAATCCCGATTCTGAGGATCAAAGGGAGCTTCTTGTCAGTTGCGGTCACTTGTTTCGCCTCGATCACCATCCCAATCGCCAGATTCAGAATCCTTTCAACGTGGTCTGGCTGCTTTTCTGGAGCTCCTCCTATCACCATATAATTATCCATGATCGTATAAACTTTGAAACACTAAAAAATAGAAGAAAAATTAGCCATACTACCAATTATTCTCACATCCAAAATATCCACCAATCTATCAAATCGAGCAAATATTTCGGTCATTATGGATACCGTATCATTGGAACTACAGTGTACAGACATCGCTGAGAAGAAGGGCATGTCGGAACAAAGGCAAGAAACGTCCATAAACTCCTCTAAAGAGCAGATTAAGCGAAACATTACACTAGCAGACCTGCTTGCACTTTCTCCGAATTCCTCAACGAATTAGCTACAGATGTGGGGATGCATTCGTATAACAATGTGTCGATCTGCTTCTTCTTACTGTCCAATTCTTCATGCAATCTTCGCAGTCTTTTTGCACTCTCTTCCAGTTTCTTGCTAAAATGAAATGTTTTTGTTTCAACTTATGTAATACTTTATTTCTTGTTGAGATATCCTGGTTTGGTTGAGCATGATCAAATCTCTCGTCGCATCATGCCTTTGCATATCATTGAGATATAGATTCGAGTCCAACAAAGCCTTTGGATTGATGATATGAGGGGAGTTGATGTAAAGAAGACTGTTCCCATTGTTCACCAGAATCATTTGCCCTAGAGATCTTTTCATGTCATCAATAATATCCTACCTTTTAAAGAGAAGAAAGTCTTCTTTCCTGTCTTACTGTACTCATTTCTGGCCATACTTTCTTTGAATTGGAAAATAAAAAGAGAATTGAGATACGTCAAGATGGCCTTGAAAGTCATCGGAATGTCATCAGGTTGGATTAAAGTAAGGAGATCGGTAATCTTGGTCATTCTTCTCTTCGCTACTGAGAACTCTTTAAGAATAAAGTCTCCGCAATGCTCTATAATCAAAGCCTTGTTAAAGCAGATATGAGTGGGAAATATCCGACAGAAACAGGCGACACTCATCGAGAGTTGTCTCGGGATTGAATCCTTGGACATCAGAGTGTTACGGTAAGAGTTCGGCTTGGCCAAAGGCATTCCATCATCAGCCGACTCCAAGGTGAAGATGACATGCTCAGTGAGGACATCGTTCCGTCGTTCCTGAGATCTCTCCGAGACCACGATCGTAATCTCGATCCCGAATAGAGTCCTAGCAGCTTGTTTAACCATTCCCTTGGCCAAGGGGAACAGGCCCTTTCGTACTGAGTAGTAATGCAGTCTGCAAGAAGAGCAGTAAATCATAAATAATAGTCCCTAATTTCATAAATACCTAAGGGACCCATCAGCTTTGGCCTCGCATTTAAAACTAGGTCCTCTCATTTCGGCCTGAAACGCGATCTGATCGATGAAGAAATGCATCGAAGAGAGATTGTCCAGAAATTCATGGAGATCGTTGGCAATGCAGTTAAGGAACTTCTCCCATCCGTTCTCCACCACATAAATGCACATCCATACTCCAAAGTTTTCCCAAACTTCTTCAGAACTCTGTCCCAAGACGGTTCCCAGAGCTCGAAACAATCGATAAGTCTCATTATCTGGATACACTAGCCGGGTGTCCCATTCGATCTCATCTTCGTAACCAGCTGTTCTACTGATATTACACTGATTAAAACATTTTTGTGATCAGACTTACAGTACTTGTTTGTATACATCCGGCCCGTTATATCGAATCACCATAGATTCAAGACACGCATGGAGGAATCCCAACTAAAAGAAATGATCCCAAAAATTATATTACACTTAGAGAACCTACCATTACTGGTGTATGCGGGTCTGTGGAATGAAATGGATATATTAAACAAACCCTCAGGGCCTAAGGAGACTGTATAAGACGTCAAAAGTTTTACGGGAATCCGTAATAACCATTTTCGCACTTAATAAACCATTCCACGCAATCACTTTGGGCGAGATTGTAAAATACACGAAGTCTAATCTTGTTTCATACATTTATTTGGAAAATATAACTATAGATATACAAAATTATTATTGCTCTCACATAGAGGCGACATTTCCATCGAACCATCTGAGACAATGGAGGTATAACCAAACATTTAATCATCAAAAACCAACTCATATCACAAACAAAAGACCTACTGTAAATGAATAAATAGAAATATACTCGTATTCTGAATTGATATGGATTGATTTACAACTCGGTCTTCTGGAGTATCGAATATCTCTTATCCGAAGGTTTGAGTTCCTTGAAGATGGATGGTTTCAGAGTTGTGTCCACCGGAATTTGGCCTGGGGGTCTGGGTTCTCCTTCAATTTGTTGCTGTTCTAAGGTTTTCTGAAGTTCGGCAACTCGTTGATCGAGGGTTTCGTGGAATTCTTTGTGTAATTTTCCGGTTTGTAAGTCTTGGACAAACTAAAAATAAAACGATCACTCAATGTCATCAAGAATTCGATTATAAACGGATTCCATTTTTTTAGTTTAATCCGCCCATAAAGGACAACAAAGAGCCCTTATCGAATATCATTGCGTGCAAAGACGGTATTAGACCTACTTGTCGGAGTTTTCCTGGAAGATTGAGTTCGGACATGTTAGGGAAGAGGAACATGTGCTGGAAGGAGTCGATGGCCAAGACAGGCAGATCCTTGGCCGTCTTACCGAGATGTTTCAAAGGATGGGCAAACTTGTGCCCGTCGGCAAGAAGAGCATTGATGGCAATTCTCTGATCTGGAATCTCTCTCATAACCTGAAAAAAAACAAATGACAAATAATAATTTATAACAGAAATAAATGATTCAAAGAAATTGCACTTACAAGTTCCGTGAAGAACTTGTCATCATTTTTGTTCGCAGGATCTCTGAAGAAGATCAAGAAAGGCAATCCCTCCTCAGTGAGCTCTTCTACATTCTCAAAAGTAACCTCTCTAACCAGTGGAATGCATTTGTCTTGGATCCATTCCTTTACAAACTCAAAGTCAGCAAATTTCCCACTGAATTGGATATCACTTTCAGTTGAGGGATCCTTGAACACCAACATATTTCCTTGCATGGCTTTAATGGCTTCATTAGTTCCAGACCAGAAAGCACAATCTTCACGGTATAAGGCAGCTGCTTTCTAAAAACGCAAGATGAAGATAAGTGATGCACTTACTTGGAAATTACGGTATTCAGGACAATCTCGGCAGTGGAAGTAACCGATTACGTTGCGTTTACTCTTATCGAGACCGGCATTCAATTGCTCAATCGAGCCGAACTCCTGAATACTAGTTTGCAGATGTTGTTTTACAAAGGCGGTCAAAGCTTCCACCGATCTCGAACCTCTGCAATTTTGGACGCTATAGCTTGCAAACATCATTACCTATACTCTCGAAGAATCAGTTCTCCATTCACGAAAATCTTCATTGTAGGATATTTGGTGACTGCGTACTTGTCTGCCACGTTAGCCTGAGCAACACTATCGACCAAAGCCCATACCACACTTGATTGTGGGTTATCTCGGTACCAAGCGGCAGCAGATTCTTCGAAAATTGGTTTGAGACGTCGACTAAAGGGACACCAGTCTGCACAAAAAGCAACGAACACAACCTAAAAACCAAGAATTAGAAATTCTATGAAATATTATTTTAGGTACCTAAATTCAGATAATTTCAAATTAATTACCTGCGCAGATTTAAGAGTTGGATCCAGATTTTCCATAGTCAACTGGGTGACCGTATTGCCATGGACATATACCAGCGGCAATGATACAGTTAATAACCACAAGAAGAGCCGATAAGACATGATCTGAAACAAAATAAATAATCTCGGACCAACTGCTGGCCACGTATTCCAAACAAAAAGCCACATGAAACGTAAGGGTAGAAGAATGGAATAATTTCACGAAGGCTGGACAAATAAAATAATCCCTTCTTTCGGTCGGATTCATCGGCAGAATCCGATTCTGGAGACTTCTGAAGGAGCGGGCTTGACGTGGAAGTCTTCTCTGCTCCCCTGCCCTCTCCCCACCTACAAAAAAGACGCGCAGTTCGGTTTTCCGCTGCATTTTCTCCATTTCCGACCTCCTGACCTGCAAAATCCTTTTTCCTCGTTCTTGTTCACAAACTTTCTGAAGGCGACAAATTAAAAAAAGTAAAAAATTTCTGCATTTCTTATAGAAATCTTGGAGAAAAAGAAATTTAGTGCATCCAAATTTTTATTTTGTTGTTTTTTCTTTCGGAAAACATTTGACTCGTTTCTGGTCTGTCTTGTTCGGGATGTTACAATTCGTCGTGCTCTGTCTCCTCTCATCTGAAATCTACCGTCTGTTTTATCTGCCTGATGCTGGCGTCTATGCGCCTCCAAGTTCTGCTGGTGTCTCCAAACCCGAATCCGTAAAGCATTAACTTTATGAAATAAATAGTTTATTGTTCGTGTAATTATGTACAAAAAAGTAAGGTTACAATAAAATGTATATTATACATTGTGTAATATATAAAAATATGTCACTCGTATAGGAAATGATAGTTGATTAGACCGGAATAGGAGCGTTTTCGTAGAAATCCTTGTCCATCCATTCTTCGTCCTCGTCTTCTTCTCCATCCAACTAAATTAGGATGATAACCTTCGTATTCAACTTTCACTTACCGCTTTGAGCTCCTTGTCTGAGAATATTTTCGGTAGAACTAACTCTCTTAAGGTGATGAATAACATGAGGACAAAGGGGAAAGCCAGGGCTGTCTTCTTATAATGCTTCACCATGTATACAAAGACAAGACACACGATTTGGATCCATGTAAACATATGCATCCGCCAGATCCCGACCTGCTCCGTGTATGGTGTGACTGGAAGATACTTCTCGGGGATGAAGAATAACACAACTCTCTGAATCAGTTGTACTCCACACATATTCATAACGCCGAGATAAAAGAAAACACCAAAAAGAGATGCCATTGGTAGTCTAAGGTAAGATCCAGCGAAGGCAATGGCTCCAATTAACAAGGAGACTCCGATAGTGGTCACTCTTTGTTCGATCACTCTTTCGACCTCTGAAATCTATTTAAAATTGTAAAACAACTTTACCTAATCTGGCCCCAGGTGCTTTCTTTTTGGTTACTGTAAGGGAAGAGCAATGAGCCAGGGATTGAACCGCTGCAGCACACATCCAAGGAAGGCCGAATATTGAGCACAGGAGGGCACAAACACCAATCAGAATAAGATCCCAGTTCATCCCACTTCCCTTTACACATCCCCTTTCTTTTCGAGACAAAAGTAGCCTAGGATTGTGTCAGTTTACAGTGATCCAACTTACTCCGTAATTTCTGTCTCTACAAATAAGAGAATAAATACCAGAAGAGCTGCAATCAAAGCGATAAAGATGCCATGAAAGTTTTCTTTTGTGATTTTATCCGTTATAATGAGACCGTGGCCACGACTTTGCGGATTGGTGAAATTAATGTGATCGGGCATGTCCAGCCTCTGAAATGGAAATGAAAACCTTCAAATGAGCGAAGATACCTGGAGATAAGTATCCGGAATAGAAAGTTGGACCAGAATGGCCACGATTGCGATGGAAATGAGGACTCCGAAGTCGCCAATCGCTCTGCGCAGCTGAAAGAAAGCATTGGAGATATAACTTTACTTACATGTCTCCCTAAATAAAAACTTTCTCGTAATTTCTTGAGTAAAAACGAAAGGGCGAAAGTACTGAACATTATGATGGCGGTGAGCAAAGCCGTATTAGGCTCCGCCATTGGACATGGAAAGTTGAAGACATCAGACGGGGATCTTTGAGCCATAATTTCCTTCGATTTATTCAGTTGGATGATGGTTAAATTGCACTGGTAATGAATACTTTCGTAATAATCAAAGTTCTCGACGGGATTCTCTTTGAATGTCTAAAACAATTTTTCTAATCGTGTGGAAAATCCTTACATGATACACAAACTCCAAGCTCTCGGCGATAAAAATGGCCGATATTAATGTGGCAAAGATGTCCTCGGTGAATCTAGTGACATAATGAAGCAGTCTGGATCCGTCTAAAGCCACAATCAGAATAGATATCACTAAAATCCACATCCCCGCATACAATCGAACGACCATAAAATCCAGGGATAAAGATTCACAGAACTAAAACACGACATTATACATCGCATTATGTGCACTTACAGTATACAAACTGGCTTCAAAGATGAGAACAGGACCAGTGGCACTCATGATAAGAAGCGGCTGGGCAGAGAAAAGACCCCAGATGATGCCACAAATGCATTGCGCGAATAAAGTCTCAATCATCCCGATCTTCTCATTGGTGTATTTACCTTATACTATATTTGAAGATTAAAAACACTCACCTAGAAGACCTCCAAACGTAATCGCCGGTGCAAAACTGGCAAAAAACATAAAGACGACACTGGTCAGGCATTGAAAGTTGAGTGCATCCGAGAAATCCGAGCCGTACTTGGGAATTCGATTGGTCAAATCGTTGATCATTCCATTGAAGAAGCGATAACTCTTGATGGGGACGGTCTTAGTCATCCTTTTGGTCTGTTCAACAACATTTTCCTCTGAAAGAATCTTTCGTCATGAAACAAGCATTGTTTTAAACCGGACTACTAGCTGACCCTCCTTGAACGAACCTTTCTGGCGGGTCATCTCGATCTCGTGGAGGCGACGCTTCAAGGCCTTCTTGATCTCATTTCCTGACAACAAACGCTTTGAATCCACCTGAAAAGCGGCTGATCACAACTGCTTATCACTCTGATCTCCGATTCCGCCTCACGCTTACCTCGCCCGGTGGGATTACCACCGATTCGTCCAAGAAGTTATCGATAGCACGAATTAGTTGACCTCGGCAAGCCGCACTGTAGGCAAAACAGTTGAAGTCCTGGAAATTATATTTTATAAAGTAAAGAGTTATAAGTAATTCGTTACGGTAAATGGATGATAAAAACATGGAAAATCTGCGTTAGCTCTGCGAGATCTGAATGGTCACGGTCAGTGCGGGACCCGTGTTGTAAAGAATGAGCAAGAAAAACCGTATTGACCACTTGACGGACTCCTAACTCTAATTATAACAACACTCGACAAAGGGTTTGTCAGTGATGCGACCATGTTCTGCTCGAAGAATTTCAAACAGTTCGCTATACCCAAAGTCATAATTGAGTTTCGAATGAGAATCACAAAAAAATTTAAATATTACTTAAAAAAAAGTCTTACTTTTGTGTCTTTACACTGTAAAAAGAAAAAGGACGCAAAAGAAGGTTAAAACAAGAAGTAAATGTCTGCAAAAGGAGTCCCGGAAGAAGATCCCCGATTTATTTACTTTAAGCTCGACTTTAATTGACGATATATCCCTAACCAAGATGTCGAAGCACTCACCTTATTTGCCATCAAAGTGCAGAGAGCTCTTCCTAATTCATGATATGATAAATCGATCAATGGAGGCCCCAAAATAACAAATACGAACTTTACTGGAAGTGTGTGATCCACAATCTCTTTGATAAAAGTCGGCTTCTGAAGTCGGAGCATCACACAACGGACCTTCTTCAAGTCGGGAACTGAACCAACAAACACCTAGAAGACGCAGAATTAAATATAAAATAAGGAAAAAATATAATTATACTTACCTGCGCAGATTCCGTGTTTTCTGGGAGATTTTTGAGTACAATGTCTCCTTTGAAGTTATGCAAAGGATCGTCCTTTGAATGGGAATTGCGTAATCTGAGATCACAATAAGCATTTTACCAAATAAACTCACTCATTTAATGTCGAGCTCACAATCTGCGATATGGATCTTCTTCTCGAGTTCTGGGCCGACCATTTTCTTTTGCTAAAGGCGGATAAATTTCTGTGATTTAGGTAAAGCCAGGCATCCGATAACTTACGGTACAAGCAACGGATCTTTGCCACTACCTTCTCCGACTTTCTCTGATTCGGTGATGGAATCAAACGGAGGTTTACAAACAGAGTTACGGTAACTTTTGCTGGAATTGGGAAAGTCGGAAATCTTTGCATTCAACGGCAACGCAGAATTGCTTCGAATCGGCCTTCGAGCGGAATCAAAGAACGAACTCGCGGCGACAGAGATCTTTGACTGTCTCCGATCATAAACCCGACTAAAAACATTGTTTTTTTCAGATCAAGGCCGGCCTTACTTATGTTGTAACAGTAACATTTCTTTGATCTTCTCGGCACTCACAGGACAATGGCCTTCGGAAGTGATCGCCTTCGAAATTGCCTCACACATATGATCAAAACCATCTATATTTACATCCAGTATCAATGTTCCTGCACAAAATTTATTTAAAGTCTTACAAATTACTCACCCTTGGCAATGCATTTTCTCAACTGTAAAAGGGCATGGAATGAAAGAAAAGCCACGTGAGGTTGTCCCCATCTGTGGTCAACACCTTCAACGTCCTCTTCGTATTTTATCCATCTTGCAGTCTCCTCCCAAACTCCATCCATCAGACAAACATCATTCAATTTTAAATCGTAAAGTTCTACCAATACCTAAAATCGCAGAGCCATCCATAAAAACATAAAAGAAACAAAATATAAGAAGAAATGGAAATAAAATAACACTTACATCTCTTTTGCAGCGATCTTTCGACGTGAGCGACCATTCTGAATTATAAGAAGGTTCAGATAAAGACGATACAGACTCGCTCCTAGAAGGTGAATTCACATAGTTCGCCGTATCAATAAAATAGCCATTCTCATGTTTTCCAGCTATGTCCGGCTCATCCAACCGATTATCAGCACTGTCAGCCCGCTCGCCGATATTAAACTTGACATGATGAGAGCCGGTCTCAACCTGAGCCACTTTCCTCGAAGGTACCCCGTCCATGAGATGGCTGGAAAGAAAGTGGGATCCTTGTTCATTCAAATACCCTTCCCCAAGCGTCCAATCCTTTTTTTAAATTATTTTGGAAAAGGGTTGGAATCGGGGGAGAACCGCGGGAAGAATCAGTGGAGAACGATGGGCCAAAAGAGCCGCGCAGAACACTAAAATAAATAAAATATGGTCAATTGGCTCGCATAAAGGTCGGACGGAGTAGTTATGGTTATTATGTTTGACTGTTCGCAAGAAGATTTTCAGTTTCAAAAAAATCGACAAAAACAAAATCTGGAAGATGCATCATTGCGACGAAAAATCATCTCATAAATGTATCGAATGAAAAAAGAATGGCTTCGTGGACATTGACTTTCGTCCTGGCGGATCATTTTTTTGCACATTGGACCCCTTCGTTCCCCGCGGTTATGACAGCCAAAAAACGTTTTTTTTCGTTTTGGCTAGCCAAGTGTAGCTGTCGAAGGTGTTTCTACCGTTACTGTTATCTGTGAAGGCATTCTCACCAAACGGAAACATTTTTGGCTGTCATGCTAACTCATTGGCCAGCTCATAAAAGTAAATGGAATACAAGTACAGCCTTGACATTCTGACATCAGAAAAGACCCGTCGTTTCGACCTCACTCACCTTGCAATGTGTTTATTATAATTAGTGAAATTATTTTGTGCCCATTCAAGATTCGTTTTTAGACTGGCACGTGCCTTTGTGCCATATGCTCGGTTCTGTTATTGAAGTTTCAGGAAATTTTAATCTCGCAACCTTGCATTTGGGGCAGATCGGGGTACCGGGCCAATATTTATAGCCAATATTGCAAAGTTGTTTGACCAGCCAGGCAAAATTGACATGGCAGTGAGGCGTTGAAAAAGCTAGTCAAAATCAGAGATTGCCACGGCTGCGGAGCCGGCTCTTGGCTCCGGCTCTGGGCGGCTCTAGCTCCCGAGCCCAAAGTCGGAGCCAAGCTTCTCAGCGTTCAGAAAAGTAAAAGTTTCGTGATAAACCAATCGCTTGGAAAATACTGGGAAGGATGTGTTGCGTACTCCCGTTCAACCCTTCAACGATGAAATCATTAGTTATGTTGTTGCATTTATGCAGAAATAGCACGTGCGTTGGAATAACTCTATTGTTTTTTGGTTGGATAAAGAGCCGAAATTGTGGCCGTGGCAATCTCTGGTCAAAAGGTTGATTGGTATCAAAGAGTAGGAGTGGCAGCCGAAGCCAAACTGATAGAATGCATTCACAAATAATAGTAACGGTAGAAAACACCAAAAATTTTGCAATGTTGGCTATTAAACAAATGTTAGCCCGATCGAACAAGAGACACATTTATTTTAAATGTTTACTTTTACAATTTTTAAGTACATTGAGGTACGAGGTGGTTGTTTCAGCCTCCCATCGAAGTTATTTACCACAGATGGTTCTACCCCAGCATAAGGATAGCCATGCACCAAATCTTTTGATTTCCAGAACCACAGTAACCTTCTCCGTTACTGATAAACTGCTGGTCAATCTTGGCTTCCCTTTTGGTACATACCACCATAAACCTCGATTCGAAATGACGATATAACTCTCCTTGGATGGCCACTTTACTCGAACTAATGTCATCTTGGAGGTTTCTGTCAATAATCTCCTTCCATTCCGTTTGTGGACACTCTGGTGACAATTCAGTTTTGACTTGTGGCTCTAAGACCTGAAGTTTTAATTATCTGCTAAATCTGTAGTCCAACTTACGGATCTCTTTTTCCTTCCGCATCCACCGACTTGAGGAGCACATCCTCCACCACAGCCTCCTCCACATCCACCACCTCCTCCTCCACCCCCACCCAGCATTCCAAAACCACAGGCATCGCACAGAAGAGTTACTGTAAGGAGAATCAGAATATGTTTCATGGCTGGATTAAAAATCTTGGAGACGGCAAAACGCTTTTATAGCCGCAAAACGTTCCCATTTTAGATACTTGTGCAATCGAAAAAGAAAGTTTTGAAGAAGGAAAGTGACCGACTTGACCTCAATATTGTGTAATGTTTTATTCCGCAAACATGACATAATTTACATCTTCCCGCTCTTTCGGCGTTGTTCCCATATCTGTTCAATCTTCTCCAACTCCTTATCAACCTTCTTATCCTCTTTATCGGCCATGGCTTTCCGTGTTTTCCGATTGGCATTTGTCTTGACTCCGTACTGGAATACAGCCTTAGGCAAAGCTTCACGACCATTCTGATATTTCTCATAATCTTCTTGTGTCTCAAAATCCCACCGTTTGACTGGGCCTTTCTTATTACCCTGAAGGAAGATAAATAAAAAAATGAACAAAAGGCACTGAGAACACAATGTCTCACCATATCCATCTTGGAGAAGTCTTCTTCATCACTGTCATCTCCGGCTCCAAAGAAGACATCAGACGAAGGAAACAGTTCGGCATAGGCATCATCGTCATCTAGCCGACTTTTCTTTGGCTTAGGAGGTTCAGGGATAACTGGCTCAGCCACAGTATTCTTCCATCCAGATAAAGACGGGAATGGATCTCTTTCTTTCTGAGCTGCTGCCTTCGTATTTTCTTTGTGTCTGGGACTATTTGGCCTAAAAAATAATGGATTACAAGGAAAAAACTACCGTTTTTCGGGTTCTCGGCCCCGTCCTTCCTGATCTCGACGTCTCCTGTTTCCATCATCCTTTCTATCATAGTCTTTATCATCCCTATGTCTTTCTCGTCTTGAATCTCTTCTCTCTTCCCGTCTTCTAGAGTCTTTGTTATCTGAATGACGTGATTCTCTATTCTCACGGTCATCTCTGCGACTTTTGGAACTTCTATCAGGCACATACTCCCCAATATCATCGTATATATTAATATCCCTTACCGGCTGTTTTGAACGCCCTTCTGGGATCATCACTTCTTTTTCTCTTTTCTTCTTTTTACCGTCCGTCCGTAAGTACGACAGGACATCGGTTAACTTCTATAACGGAATAAAATTATCTATTTTTTTAACCTACGCTGATGATCATATTATTCACATTTATATTCTGTTCTGCCTTATCACTGATAACTTCAACCGTCGATCTGAGAAGAGTGACCGGAACGTCGTTCTGTTGTTCTTCTTCTAGATCAACAACATATGCCATTCTCCCCTTTTGGAACAGCTCATTTCGTTTGACCACTGGAGGTTCAAACAGCACACGACATACTTCTTCAGCGAACTTAGTCTTGGCAAGTTTTTTGATCAGAGAAGAGCGAGTAATTGGGTTCTAAACATCTTCTTTTTGGATCACTAGACTTACTTGGAATGCTTCTTTAAGGTGCTCTTCTTCAACCTCCTCCTGCGGCCTTACCTTTATTTCACTCCGAGTCTTGTTTAACAAAGAATAATCAAGTCCTTTCACCAAATGGGTATGCTCAATGTCGCCGCCAAGATATTTAGATTCCTAAAAATCAAAACGACGTAATTAGCACCTACTCTGATCTCTTGCTTCCTTCGTTCTCTTTCATCCAATTCTTCATCGTTTGATGCCCTAAGGCCGCTAATTCTGTTTCTCATTTCCAAATCCATTCCCCCACCTTCTCCTTTCCTTCTTTCAGCAGCTCTGTCTCTATATTTATTCATTATTTCATTGAGTCGTTGTTCACTTTCTTCTGCTAATTCGTCGATTTCTGTTTTCTCCTTCTTCTCCTTTGGAGCATTGAACTTCTTGGCTTTCTTCTTCTTCTGTTCGGCATTTTGAACCTGCTTGTGAGTGAATCCGGAAGCTATTCCTGAAGTTGTCGATGGAATTTGCGGAGGTGCACCTAAGACCTTTTCCGTTGTACGAACCGAAGGAGTTTGAAGAAGTTTTCGGAAATCCTCATTTCTCAATCTAAACGCAAGAGAAGTGAAAAATACTCTAAGCAAACTTTCGTACCTTGTTTCAGCCATCTCTACGGTACGAGCAAGAATTTGGAGGAAAGATTTGACTATTTTTTCCAGATATAATTTTTTCAAACAAGAAAAGACATGACACGGTGTCAAGCGTCTCTATCAGGGATGGTCAGCAGGGGTGGTCAGTGGGCCCGGCCCAAACGGGCCGGCCGGGCTCAAAAATGGAAAATTACAAACGGGCCGGGCCCGTCACGGGCCGGGCCGCGGGCCTGGGGTTTTTTCCGGCCCGGCCCGTCTAAATTACAATGCCAAACCGTTGGCATTCATTGTTTTCGCGCCGGGAAAATTAATTGATGTTGTTATAGTTGCTGTTTCTCAAGTTCTAAAACATTTACAAGTCTATAGTTCCATTATAAAACCACAAAACTATCACATTGATCCTTTACTAGCTATATCAACGCCTTTTTTGCCTAAGTTTAGATCCCAAGCTTGGGCGCAGTTCGCAGAACCCTCTATAAACGGGCCTGCACGGGCCGGGCACATCGTTGGCGCGTAATTGAAAAGTGATTTTTTAGCTTGACGGCTCCATTATTGAGTGAAAAAATCGGAACGAAACGCCACAAACTTTGATTTACCACGACCGGTTTTACGCCAACACGGTTGATCGATATATCGAAATAATTGTGTTTACGCAAATTTGGCGTGTTGCGGCTGCCACTTGCGCTAAATCTGTATTGTAAAATCGTTTCTTGAGCTCAGAATTTCACGCTAAAGTTGACCTATAATAACAAAAGATTGACCGGTAACTTGACCCTCGATCCCAATCTTGGGGTTCTCGATAGCTCATGAGCTGCATGAAGATATGACGAAGTTGAGCAGAAAAAATCAGACCAGGTTTCAGAGCTACTTTTCGAGAAAATTCAACTTTATATTATACTAGACATCCGATTTCAATGGATTCCTAAAAATCAAACAAAAAGTGAAAATAGCGACTTACGTTCCTATACCACTAATTTTCGAAATGTTTTCTTTGCTCTCCGATTAGCACTGGTCGATTTTAGTTTCTGCGGAAAATAAAAAGTGAATTTTCCGATTTTTGCACAACGCCAAAACTTTTTGGCACTGATAAATTTAGTCGTGGTGGGACAAACCATAATTAGCAGAAAAAAACGACGTGCCGGGCCGGGCCTGGAAAAAGACTAGACGGGCCGGGCCGGTAATTAGACGGGCCGGGCCGCGGGCCGAAAATCGGAAAAATAGGGTCCGCTGACCACCCCTGATGGTCAGCCGGGCCCGGCCGGCCGGGTTTTGTCGAAATGCCAAGCGCTTGGCATTCAATGTTTTCGCGCCGGGAAATTTTTTTGATAGGTTTGTTTTAGTATCTCAAGTTCTGCAATAGTTTACTACTTTATAGTACCTTTTTGCATATATACAATAACCGTAATAAATGTGAAAAATACGAGGCGCTTGATATTTAACACAATCGCTTTCATTCAGATTTTATAATTCAAACTTATATCAACTTCATTTATCACAGTTCGCCTTAAAAAACGGGTTGATTTTGCAAGTAAAAAGTCTCTAATATGCCTGTATCCTATTAATCACGAAAATGTAATCTAAACCCGAGCAGAAAACCTACTAAAAAATTGTAGTACCCTCTCTTTCGTCGAATATTGTACTTCATTTATTGAAAATGTCGGAGGACCCCTAAGAGACGTTGTTAATGACCTCAGGTATGCTTAACTTTTGTTTTTTCTTTACTTGTACAGGGTGTACCAAATTCGTGGCCCGATTTGAATTGGCTATAACTTCTTTAATTTTGGGCCAAATTTTAAAATTCTTTTTTTCCCTGAATCCTCAGACAACCCCATTTTGTCTGATACCAAATGTGTTATACATAGGTAAGTGTCATCTACAGTTATTGGATTTATTCTTGAAGTTCATTTTTTTGGTCGTTTTTCGGTTGTTTTTTCGGCCTTTCCCGGTGTGTCCGAAAATGGAGTACGGTGTGGAAAAAATACGGTGGAATTTCTACTCCTGAATATCGACGATGAGAATAAGAACAAAAAATGAAGATCAACCTCCAGAATTCGTCGAATGGCCTTGGTGAAGGCATTCCCTCGGTTCTGGCCAAACTTCGTGTATGCGGGTTTTCTCGGAATTTTGACAAAATTATTTCAATTTTCAGCTACGTTCGTACCCATCTTTCCTGTTTTTTTTTGTTTCCTGTTAACGCTGGCAGTCTCAAGGAACTTATTCCACCAACGCCGAGTTGTCTTGCGATCTGCGTTGGGCCTTACGTCCGTATTTCATCCGGTATTCCCTTTGAACATTTATCGGCGAACCGTATTTGCCATACCAAACCACAGACCAAGGTTTTTCTTCCACACCGTACTCCATTTTCGGACACACCGGGAAAGGCCGAAAAAACAACCGAAAAACGACCAAAAAATGAACTTCAAGAATAAATCCAATAACTGTAGATGACAATTACTTAAGTATAACATATATGGTATCAGACAAAATGGGGTTGTCTGAGGATTCAGGGAAAAAAAGAATTTTAAAATTTGGCCCAAAATTAAAGAAGTTATAGCCAATTCAAATCGGGCCACGAATTTGGTACACCCTGTATTATATTTACAACATTTTCTGAAGAGCGAAAAAACTTCAAAGCTCTGAGAGAGCGGTCACCAACCTCACCCCAGAATGCATTCTGCAGAATGAAAATGACCCCCAAATGAGCAAAAAATTTTTTTATTTTGCACTAACAATAAATGTATGAGAAATTGGGGTTGTCAAATTGGTCCCCGATTTTTCGCGGTTTCGTGTTTTTCAAAATTTTACTCACATTGCACTGTTTGAAATCCTTTGATACTTTTTGTGTACATGTTACATTGCTCCATACTCACTTTCACCAAATATTAAAGCGATTCATACACTGAGAACAAATTGCCCGCGCAAATTGTGGTGGTCATATCATTTTGTCCAGCAGTGTATAAGTAAATAAACGTAACAGTTTGCATTATCATAAGTTGCGATCTATTATTTGAGATTACTCATCCTATGGATGGCTCTGTCTTACGGTAGGGGCCCTGACTTCAGCTGGTCTTCTGGCTTCTGGTCCACGATTTCCTTCTCATTATTTTTAAAGGACGTTCAAAAGTGAAAACAACCAAAAAAGACGATTGGGGCCGATTATTCATCGCTTTGGAAATGAGAGGGAGGCTCGGGAAGGAGAAGGTCAGTCAGCGGGAGAGACGAAAGGAAATGCGCGACCAACGTATATCTCCATTATAAACAACTCTGCTTATGAATCATTACTGGTTGCGGTTGTTTTGGCGTCGGTCTGAGTAATCTCTGGGAGGGGGTGTCCATTTCGAGCTTTTTTAAGATTATTTGAACCAAATTCACGATCAGTTCATAAAGTTGAATTTATAGATCCGGGAATGACTGGTGAAACTCCAAGATTGAGTGAGGAGATCAAGGCCGATGTGGCCAAACAACATAGCCTCAGGCCAGTTGAGACTGTCGAGAAGAATGTGCTTCCGACAAAAGAAGGTGAGTAATCATTTCTTATCTCTACATGTTTAATTTAAAGGACTCATAAGTAATCTTTACAGAAATTCAACAAGAGCGTCAACATCACGAGTTGAAGAAAGGAATCGAGAGCTTCGACGAATCTACCTTGAATAAGGTGGAGACCCAAGAGAAGTGTGCTCTGCCCTCAGGGGAGGATATCTTAAAGGAAAAGGCACCGCAAATGGCTGCCGACTTCGACCGCAATAAGTTGAAGCACGTTGAACCCCAGGTGAAGGCTCATATTCCAGATGCCGAGGGTCAGTTTCTTTTATAATCGTGTACGGAATATTACCATAATGAAAAATGCATCATCTTCTCCTTTTAGAATACGTCAGAGAGAAGGTGAAGAGTGAGGCCTCGACCTTCGATCATGACAAACTCAGACATGTCGAGCCCGAAGTCAAGACCGACGTGGTTGTCAACGAGAACTAAACATGTTTGTTTCCTGAATCGATCTTATTTTACCCCCGAATTCCAAAGCCTTATGTATGTATCGAAATTGCATTAAATGTGTCATCCTGATTGTGGTTTCACACATCTGAAAACATCGATTTCGCCGTTATCTTTGTATTGCTTCGTTTCATAGCATTCGATCAGATTGTTCAAATTCTTGAAACTGGGACCACCGTCCTCGATAAAATAGAAATCGACCAAGAATCTGAAGGTCAAATTATTACTAATTTGTAAACCTACTTTTGACGTTCATCAAAATGGCCATAAGTTCTGATTGGCCAATGAAAAAAAATGCCCCGGCTCGACTGATAAACAACAGTCAAAGGGAGTTGCTCATGGAGCTTGGTTTGTTTCTCTTGATCCCACAAATGATAGAGCCGGAAGTCAGTGCGATGATTCAAACAGTGAGTAGCCTCGCTGTTGGTGCGTACACCCACGTATTTTCTTGTAGCATTTCCAGTGAGAGTTGGGGGTAGTACTTTCGGACGACTTCTTTGTATTTCTGATAATTATAAACTAATCTTACGTCATTCTGAATTCTTACCAGAAGACGAATAAAACGAACTCTCCAAATTGGATGAAGCACCGACCGCTCCGATAAATTGCATGTCTCTGGAACTGATTTATTTCAAATTACAAACAACAAGAACAAGAGGCCTATAACAAGATCAAGAAGAGCCACACAACTGGATTTTCTCTTTTGTAACGCGATGCCAATTCGAAGTTAATTGGGCATATAAAACAGCAGCGGACAGTCGGTTCACCAATTCAAGGGCATGAACATCATGATGACCTTCGACCTGAAGGCATTAACTGTGTTAAAAGGATAATCTAATTCTTACCTTTGAGTACACTTTAGTCTGGTAATCCAGCTCCAGATTCGCAAGTTCAGCAGCTTCTTTAACAGTAATACGATGTTGAAGAGCAGCCAGTAACAATAACACACTCTTGATCGAGTCAACTCCATAAGCTATTCCCGTCAAACTATGGAAATTCATCGCTTCAAAATTCCTCTGAAGCCGACTTCTGGATTCGTCCGGGACGTCAGCCAAGTCCGTAACGGTGTAACTGGGCTTTAGTTTAAGTTCCAAATGATCATTGACCCAATCGACAATCGGTAACCACCTTTCTTGCTCAAGTTGGGCTAACTCGACTGGACTGTTGTTCAGGTAGAGGATGGTGTCATTGTCCACGTATTCTAACAACTTCTGAACAATACTCTCACTATAATTAAATTTCTGATCACAAATTCCGAAGCCCTTTACCTCGTCTCATGCGTTGGATTGTCTTCAGATGTGAATGCCAGGCCTGTTAATCTCATGGCCGGGATCTGGATCGTTTCCTTTTGGGAATCCCATTCATGGGCGATGGCTAAAGCCAGCGGCTCCGAGTACAACTGAAGCATAATATTGAATCAGCACATTTTTCGAATTTAAAACATGCAAGTAACTTGCACTATCGCATTTAATTAAGGGTTGGACGATAAAAAGACCCCACGGAAAAAATTTTTGGACAGAGAGGGCCCAGTAACCTTCCCCTACACTTGAAAGCAAGTTTTTTACACAAGTGTTATTCTTACGCCGCAGGGTGGAAGAGCTCCCTTCCGGTGAAACGACCATTTTTTCACCATCTGAAGGGCATCTGCTCTCACGTATTATAACAGACGAATCCAACCTATTTTCAGTTCTTTCTGGAGATGAATCACAAGTAAATTCTACCCGGTAAAATGTGAATTGACTATGCGTAATCTGGGCCTACACGACAGGTCTCTGTACTTGTTTGTTTTTGTGACTACTTTTATGGTGAGCCATTTTTATTTCTGTAAAACGTATTTTAGATTATTGCACTCATATATGCCCTCTACGAATATCTTAAAAGAAGACGGAAATCGTTGATCCAAGCCAATGAAAGGGCAAAATCCGATGAAAGTCAACAATCCCTGATTAAAAATTGGGTTAACTTCCATCAAGGACACCTTAGTTATGTATCTCAATGGAGTTTTGAGGAAGAATGTATGACCGTACCGGTAAGGGGTAATATATTTGCTTGTTTTTACAATAAAAGTACAATACCACTCCCATTAATCACATATAATCTGTTTAGAATCAGCAAACCCCCAAATTAAACAGGATTACGGTAGTCTAACTCAAAATAACATACCTCCAGATGTTTCCCCTTCGGTGTTTTCAATTTTCTCTTATCCAAATAAATTTCAAACGCGCCATTTTGATTGGAATCCACATAAACTTCCTTGTAGAAGCGTCGAGGCTTGAAGAAACTGGAGGATACCGGCCTCGTTGATGCAATTTGGCGACCAACAACTAATTTTAAAGCTTGTGATAACATCCTAAATTACTATTCACAATTTTCTTAATTTTCAAAAATAATTATTCGACTTCAGACGTTAATTCGATTATAATTACGATAATCGAGGTTTAAAATTTTTATTTTTGTACAAAGTGAGTTCGTATTTTTCTATAAGAAATATGACACAGGTTTGATTAAGAGCACCAATGAACAAGGTTAATAAAGATAAGAATACTTTAGACTTATAAAAGCAGTTAATTCATTGATCAAACTTGAGCAGCGGCCTTGATCGGCTCTTGATAATTCGTTTGAACTTCGTTTTCCAGCTCAGCCGCAGAATCCTCGTCAATTTCTACGAAGCGTTCTTTTCTTCGACTGAACATGTGCATGTCGCCCTTGTATACATCGAACCACAATGCATGCAAATGCACCTTTTCTTCAAGTAGATAATCCCTCAGGAAGCCATGGGAAGCAACATGAACAAGTTGTTGCAGTGTATTGATCTGGGAGAGCCAATCCTCCACGCCAAACTTCCGATCTGGGTCAATTTGGGCGTGGAAATTCAAGAGCTCGGGTTCCTCCGCGGCGAAATGAATTCTCCTGGCATCTGGGTCGCAGTTTTCTTCGGCCTTCAACATTTGTGTCAACTTGATGTGACTTCTAAACCCATTTTTTCGAAGCCAATGATCGACCGGACTGGTTTGATCAAAATGTTGAGGGCATTGGCAGAGATTGTGGAGCATGTTGATTGCCTTACAATCAGAATGGCCCATCACCAGGACGTGATGAATATTCCCTCTTTTAACGGCTAATTCTAAAGCCGCTGGCTCTGTCGTTATTGAAACTTCGTAGCTAGAACCTCCTGCAAGACAGAGTAATCACACAAAAAATAACCTTACCGTAATTCTGGGCATGAGGGATCATGTTTCCGGAGTTCCTGACCACAAACATCTGACCGACTTGAGCTTGAGTGAACCTTGCCGGGAGGATTCTGAAGGATTACGTCAGAAGAAAAGAAATAAAAATTACCTAGAATCCATACATGTGAAAAGCACAGAAGCAGGATGAGGGTCATCTCTCACTCTTTCGAACTGTTTTACAAGGTCTTCTCGGACCGTGGCGCGGTATTTTAGGACACCTTGGAAGAGATTACGGAGTCCGGTCATCTTTGACGATACAAGCAGTGGTCAAACACCAGAAGAATGCAGCAAGAATCAAGGGAATGCGAAATAAATAGACTTTATTTACCCCTAACAAGTTCAAAGTTCGTTCACTGGTCGCGCCTCTTTCCTTTGTCGTCTCTCCGTTCGGCCCCCGGAGCCAGTTCTATGTCATCATAGGTGGGGAAGTTATGTTTCCTATCCAGATCAGCAGCTCCTTGCCCTCTACTTGCAACGTGTGGCGCTCTTTTCTCAGTTTCGGCGTCCTGACTGTGTTCGCCCTAGAATAGCAACCACTTATCTCCCATAAAACGAATTATACCTGCTGGATCTGTTCTCTTCTTGCTTGGTTCAAAGCGACTTCTTCATCAGATGGAGGGAATCGACGAGTACCTTTCAACCAGGATTGCCATTCAAATGAAGGCGGATTGTTTGGATTGCCTTGTTCGAACCCCCTGAAATTATTGGTGAAGATGAGAAAAGACTTTTTGACAGTGAAAGAACACTCACGTGATCTCATAAAAAGGGTCTGGTCAGTTGATCTGATCATAGAACACAAAGTTTTTCGCTTCTGGTTTGAAAGAAAGCAAGCGTATTCCAAAGATCAATGTTAATTAAGATAACTGACCTATTCACATTGGAGGTCGTCTTTCCTTGTCTGTCCAGTTCGTAGAATTTGTTTCCGTATATGTCCTCCCCAACGTATTTCCTAGTTGCTGCGTCTTCTCTGCTGATGGATGCCCAGAAGTTCCTCCAGACTCTTTGCCAGGGAGATACTCTGCTCATTCCTTAAAATTAAGTGTTGATTACACATTTCGGTATTCTGATGGTTTTATATCACCATAACCATTCAAAGGACACAAGTGTATCCCTGAGATTTTATTACATTATAATTATAGCTCAGAAGCATCCCTTCTTCGTTTTCGGCGACGTTCTTGGACGTATAAAGGATGACGTTTCACATACTTTACAGCCCCTTCAATTAGTTCCAGTGTTTTCGTGGGGTTTAACTTGTAATTATCAAACTTCGGGTGTGGTTGATTACTCTGTGGATGTACCCCCTTTCCCTGGGGGATTGAATATCTAGAGTCCATTGTTATGTAAGAGATACCACGTAACATTGAGAGATCTTTGTAACAACTAACATCACCACAGTTGTACCTAATAACATTATATCGAAGGGAGACTGAATATGAACTGACTGAATATGAAGGACCGAATATGAAGGACTGAATATGAACTGACTGAATATGAACTGGGGTGCTGACTGAATATGAAGGACCGAGTATGAACTGACTGAATATGAAAACCGGGTTTCTGTTACTGTTACTACCTAGGTTCCGATTAAGGACTCTTTTTGAAATTTTTTCGACTTATAACACCTTTAGACGTTAATGGTGTTGTTTTGGTGCCTAGTACCGCTTAAAAAAACATTTTTAACACTTGGTGCAAAATAGTACTACCTGGTACTATTTAGTATGAGGAGAAAATTTGGCCGGTAATGGTGTTGGTTTGGTGCTTAGTACAGCCCAAAAACACATTTCTAGCACTTGGTACTCTATAGTACCAATTGGTACTATTTAGTACGAGGTAAAAATTTGGGCGTAATGCGGCATTGGTGTTGGTTTGGTGCTTAGTACAGCCCAAAAACACATTTATAGCACTAGGTACTACATAGTCCTTGAAATAGACCAAACTTGCCAAATTTCATATTCAGTCAGCACCACAGTTCATATTCAGTCAGTTCATATTCGGTCAGTTCATATTCAGTCCTTTTCATATTCAGTCCTTCATATTTAGTCCTTCATATTCAGTCAGTTCATATTCAGTCAGGCACCCACATTATATACAATGCTACCTACACTTACAACTCAAATAAAACCGCCCATTCAGGAAGGAAAAGTAGATGAGTAAGTCCGCTGCCATGTATTCCCATTAAGATGTCCGTATTGTGGACTATCCTCATTTGGTCGAGAAATGAAACATTTCTAAAAAATTTGATGACCTGTTAAGAAGTGCAAACAAACAAACCCATCGAAATTGACGACTCGGACTCGAACACTGGGTAATCCATTTAAGGCATCGCGTATCTAAAAAGTGATTGCTTATGTCCTTGCGATATATTATAATTCAGTTTCCCAGATGAGTCTTTTCTCAAAACTGGCTGCAATTTGGAGAGACACCTGTTTTAGCGATAACGAATAAATAGCCAGAGAGCTGGATTGGCATTGAGATCTCTTTTTCATCCTGCTTTCCCTTATACTCGCACGTATTTAATTAAAACTTCGGCCATGGACAGAACGCATTGTACGTAGGGACTTCGAATAATCGGCGACATGGCTGACCCCGTACCTTTCCGCACGGCCAGTGCCCAAAAGAACATGGGATCGTTTCCCCCACCCGTTTACTACAGGGATACCTTTGGACTACAGCCAATAAACAATCATCCTTTCAGCCAATCCATCACGACCATAGATTCTGACAATACGGATACAAGCAAATCTACAGGTAATCTTATTTCATAAAGACGAGATTTTAGTTCGCACAACTATGAACATCTACCATCCGATATATCACAACAACCATCGTCTCGTGGAGAGTCAATATACGGATCATTCAACATATCAAGTAAGGCCAGAACAGACACAAAACCATCAATCCCTTCAGGTCGAACAAATCGTCACAAATCAAGTATTGATCCTGCATGCCCGCGCATTACTTATCCTTATTTTATGCGCTTTTGGAGCAGCTATTCAGCTGGTAAGACAAAAATTCAAGAATTTCTATAACGCAAATTTAGCTTATGTTTTCCATAATCTGCATTCTGTTTGACGGATCCCCTTACTACTTCTCATTGATAGCAAGTATTCTGTTCATGCTAAACTCGTTTCTCCTCTTCTATTTCCTCAGAAAACACCACTCCAGAAACCTTTTAGTAAGCAAAACAATGAAATCAGAATGTTTTTAGACAATTTGTTGCTTTACAACAACAGCCGTCTTCATAATTTCTGTATTTCTCTTCTTTTGGACAGCTTATCTTATATACGAAGAAGACCAAAAAATACGAAAGGATGGATTCGACTTTTCTCAAGCCGATTTACAAACCACCAACCAGATCGTGGTAAATACACGAGTAGCCATGTATAGTTTACACATGATCTTCACTCCTATCCAAGGTAAATAAAGGTAACTAACACGGTGAACAATATTTAGCCGTATGTTGCGCTGCAATTCTATTCATTCTGTTCAAGACTCTAACTTCTTTACAAGATGGTAAGATTCTCAAAGGATACTTCTTTAGCAGACCTATTGGACATCAGGTAATCAGACTGACTAGTTTACTATATAAATTTAGACAGTACTAGTCCCAATCGAAGTAAAACAAGTTCGCAACCTAGATCTATGCGACGATAACACCGACAATAATTCCGTTGGCGTTCAGACCACAAGAGAAGTCGCATTACACAGTTGATATATAAATAAGCAAACCTCTTTCCAGTTCTCAATTTGTCGGAACCTAGTTTTCCGTTGGATAAATGTAATTCGAGTCTCTTCAGTCGGTCCCTTTTGTGCAATGTTTAACCGATGAATAACGTGCTCGTGAAAAAGTTTAAATATCCAGCTACCAGAACAACCAGCGATCTAAAAACGAACTCTTACTAACAAAATAGGCACTTACCAAAGGCATATTGTAATACAAACCGAAACGTTGCCGGGCCAGTAATGGGAAGGTCACATCTCGGAAACAGACCTTTTTGCCATCCAAATCAATTAATTCTATTGGTTTGAATTTTGAGAAAACTGACCACATAATCCCAAAGATGTCATCAACATAACCTTCAGAATACTAAAAATAAAAAAACATAAACCAATGAACTTACAGTATCCCACCAGATTAAATCAACGTCCCTTGAGAAATCTCCGGATAAAAATTGTGATAAGAAGAGATTGATAAAATCACAAAAATGATGATACATGTTGATAGCTGCGTCTAATTTCATAACAATCGTCTTTTTGTCGAATACTACATCACAATTTGAGGAATTAAGAACAAATGTGGGGTAGGTCTCAAAATTTTTAAACTCATGGCCCCTAAGAATAAAATTTATGTTAAGATACACAAACCAGCTTTGCAAATATGAAAGTTCTTTCAGGCGGCTTCTAATGCCCAGTTCATCAAATGTCTCGCAGCTCCCGCCAATCTGTCCCTTTAGTATCACATCATTTCGGTACCTAGAATCATAAACCAAACAAAAACTTATAACACACCGCTTAGAGCTCGACTTCTTCAGATTACTCAAATCTACAAAAACGTTTTTTCCATGGCAATACCTGAAATTGCTCGAGCATTCCAGGGTTGATTGCTCCTACAAATAAAATAGATTCGTAAAAACTGTCTTACACGATTCGAAGATTCACAAATACTTGATAAGGAACTGTATAGTGGCTTCAAAAGCCCAAAGTCAGCCTGATTCCAAAACTCTAACTTCTTATCCTCGAGTGTCCGCCCTTGGTCACTAAAATTAATACAAATTTTTAATTCTTTCTTTTTATGAAACTTACCCAGCTAACAAGGAGCATTTCACCGAGCTCGAGGAATAACTGTTTTCAAATCGACAATCTTCTTCGATTCCCAAGCATCTTTTTACAAAATTTTTAGGGTTTAAAGGACAAGCTTTGTCGTTTTGGCATAATTGTAACAAATTTGGATCAGACAAAATCTTATACTCTAAAAGCTGATGTCCTAATTCGAGCTGTGACCAGTTTGTAAATGATGAAGATACACATTCAATTAGTAGAAAAACTATGGATAAAAAAATTACTATCATTTCCATTTCCCAAAAAATAAAAATCAATTAGGTCATTCCGTTAGTTGACATTTCGTGGGTTTCTAGAAATGAAATGATTTTGCGATTAGATGAAGAATTCTAGCTAAAAATATAGAATGTTTTTTGTTATGTTGCGTCGCTGTCGTGGATTTGAAATTTGAAGTATGATTTTCTCACACACCGTTTCTGCCCCCAGGCCGGTTTTGCCCCAGTTCGTTTTTGAGTCGGTTTTGTTCCTATTGAAGCAATTCTTATTTCCCTGCTTTGCTTGACCGATAGTCAGTGGCGGCTTGACCATGTCAGTCGGCGGATCCTAGAATAATTAATCCTCTTGCTCGTTCCTTAAAACAGCAAGCCCATTATCGGCTAATAAATTCGTGAGGCTTCAGGACGGGACTATGTTTATGCCAAGATACCGTGGACTGACACTGCTGACTTTTGCTCAAAGAATGTAGGGGACTCAGTAACTAATTGTTGCTATGGGGGAAAGGCCCGGCTTGGGGATAAAAACGGGCTCGATCGTTAAAGATTATTATTATGATAACCAACGTTTCGGAAATCTTTGATATCGATGAAGAAGAAGAGGAGGAGAAGAAAACCCCTGAGGATCGGAAACGGGTGTTTAGGAAAGAATTGAGTTCTATGCTATACGGGTTTGGGGATGTAAAGGTAGGTTTTATTTAAGGTATTGTGTACTGGATGATTTTAGGAGACTGACGAATCTACATTGGAAACCCTCGAAAAAATTGTAATGGACTACATTGAACGGTTGTGTAAGAAGGCGTTGAAAGTGGGGAAAGGTAATCGATTGGGATTGGATGACATCTACTACCTCATCAGGAGAGATCGCAAGAAATTCTCCAGGGTTCGTGAACTTTTATCGATGAGCGAAGAGCTGAAGAAGGCCAGGCGAGCCTTTGACGATGCCAAAGAGATCTAGAATTCTGTACAAAAGTTTACGTTTTATTTATTTCTTGTTCATAATTTGAATACAAACAATTACAACATTCTAGACTAGTATACGGTGTTATGAGAAACATGGCAGCGGCGATTCTCCGACGAAAGGTATATTAACAAAAAGACGTTAAGGCACTAGAGGATAAGCTTAGATTCAAAAAAGGAAATGCGCCGCCAATGGCTTACTCACTCAACTCTGATAATGTTTCTGGATACACGAGTTGGCGGATATTCGGATCTTGAGAAAACAAAGCACACAAAGGAAAATATTTGTGGCATCAGACTTTTAGAGAAAATGAAACAATAGAAATATGATAAAATACGGGCAGAAAATAGACATTTTGGTAGATCGATGTTTTTAGCTTAGAAGTTGGACCACATAGGTTTTCTGATCCAGCGAAGTCGGAGGCCGGAGTTGGTTCTGATCTTGATGGAAGCGGCCTCAGCGGCTCTGACCGTATCCTTAACGGATTGCATAAGATTCTGAGCATTAAGAACCAGTTGCTGCATGGCTTCTTCATCCTCTTCGGTGCCTAAAATTTATTTTCTTATTCGACGTATTGAACGTGGAGTTAAGGTTCACTCGGACAGGATTCTGTTATAGTTAGTCTCAACCCTTGGGAAAGTTAAAAACATGGCCAAAAAGAAACAACAACTTTGACTGCAATCTAAATTTACCGTCAATGGGCTGTCCGTAGGGACCGATAACCACTGAAAAAGGATTAAATGGCCTGATAGGCGCTGAACTTACCTTGGGATCCGAGCATTGTAGCCTTAACGGTCGATAAGATCTTCAATTGGGTGGCAATTGTTGGGATTCGTTCGCAGACTTGCAACAAGGTCACTCTCATCTTGATGTCAGTGCACTGTCTGGCAAGCTGAACAGCCAAGCGGGTGACTTCTTCAGAGGAGTCGGCAATGGCCTTGGCACAGTCAATGAGGTCTTTCTTGGTTCCTCCCTCCCCTCTAACCAGTTGGGACAGTCGGGCCATCAGGATGGCCATACGCTTAGCCGCAGCGACGATCTCGTTCTCTTGAGACGACCATTGTCGTAGTTCCTGTTAAGTGATTAAAATTATTATTTTAACTTACTTGATGGAGATTGTGGGCGGCGGTAAGAATGCCCGAAGCAGCTGGAAGAGGGTACCTTTCCCAGAAGGCACGGGTTTCTTCTTCCTCATCCACTTCTGGTGGTGGTGGAGGTCGAGGAGGAGGACTGATCTCGACTGGTGGTGGGGGCCTTGGTGGGGCTGGGATCTCTTCTCTAACGATAACTCTGTTGTGGACAATATCCTGAGAAGGTCCTCGAGCTTGAACATCTTGGAGAACATTGTAAGAGTTGGTGGGGAAGCTGGGGGTTGCTGTCTGTTGTCGAGATTGTTGTTGGCTGTAGTATGATTGTTGTGGAGGGGGATGAGAGTTGACTTGACTGTGATTCAATTGTGATGGATGAACGCTTGGAACACCATTAATTGCGTCTCCCACTGAGCGGACTGCATTCAAGAGCTCATCGTTAACATCTCTCCATTTGTTGGCAGCGTTCTGGTCACGTGGGTTGAGCGCTACCTGTTTGGCATGGTTGACCATAGGGGGAATGGCTGTAATATACATGGTATGGGGATTATAGTAATCAGTGTGCATAACGGTCCGCCCGGATGTCCTTCCCAAACTGTTAAATGTCTGGGAAAGAACGGCCGATCAAGAAAACAGGGGTGTCATCACAGTCCCTCCCATTCCACTTTACGTGGGACCTACTTGTTTGTTTTTCTGATTTTCTCGGGTTAAGAGGTGGGAATTAGATTAAACAGCACCCGGAAATCCGATATGACTTCCAGAAAAAAGAACTCTACTTAAAGTCTTACCTGAGTGGAGTTGAGAAGCAGCCGAATTGACTCGGTTGACAAACGAAGGCTCTTCGGAATTGTCAGCCTCATTTTTGGCTGCCATCAGAACACGGTTACCCAACCGGGCGATCTGACTGGTGTTGTCGACCATCGATTGCGGTTGGTTCTGAGTGATAGCATCCTCGCAATGGCTGGTGTATCTTCTCATTGCCCCTTCCGAGGCACGGACAAAGTCGCCGGTTTCAATAGCATCGTCAACAAAGTCGCGCAGACGTGTGAGGGCATCGGCGTATTCTCGGCGGAGGTTGTCGAAATGTTGGTCAACGTCCTGACTGGCGTTGTTCAAACGAATCTTACCAGCATTCACAACTTGAGGAGTCAATTGTGTCACCTTGAAACTTCACTTTAATCTGAGCATTGGACTTACCTTATCAGCCGCGTCAATCAATCCTTCAATTGTCTTCTTGTTCTTGCAAGGACCACATTTAGCGACCAGACGGCCAGTGCTGGCACAAGAGGTAGCATGGTGTTGAAGGTTACCTGCTTTTTGATGGAAGTTCTCCTCCCTTCCAGCAGTTCCATGGGGTGTATAAACAGCCTCAACGAACTGCTTGAGAGGAGTTGTGATGTCAGCAAAATCTTCAACAACGCGGTCCGTGAGGACCTTGCTCATCAGACTGGCCAGCTCCTTGAGTTTATCTCTGAGCTGACGACGAATATTGTGAGCTTCGGGGGTATTTCCGAGGCCTCGTCGCTCCAAATCGGCCAACGTATTAGCCAGGCGGTCGATATCCCCTAACAAGTTATGCAGACGGGAGCGGTCAGCAGGGCTAAGTTGATCAGCCAACTTTCTGGCATCACTGCACAATTCCTTGATAGCAGCAAGACCTTTAACGTAGTGGTTAGAATAGGAACGTATTTTTTCTGAAAAACTTTTTGAAACACATACCGACTCCGCCGTCGTCAGCACCATCCAACCAACGTAGCGCTTGGTCAAGACGTCCGCCAGTAGTATGAGCTGGCTGGCCTCCACCAGACTTCTGGCTGTTAAGAAGGGCGTACGGAAGTGCTCCTTGACTTTCCTTTGTTCCAACAAGATCTCTCAGTTTCTGCGCGCATTGCGCGGCCAGATTTTGATTGTCATATCTTCCGGTATTTCTAAGTTGGCAGATTTGGTCAGTTAAACTTTGGATCTCGCTAGCTAGGTGACGAATCGCGAACTGGTCTTCTGGCAAAGATCGGGAGGCAATCTTTTCAGCGTACTCTAAGATTCTACGAATAGCCTTTTCTCCAATCTGGCCTGGCTTGGCGTTTGCATCGGCTAGCCAGTCAAGCGCCGCAGAGAGAAGGGACTGAGCTGCACTCAAGGCCTTCTTCATGACGGTCACGTTGTCATTATCCCATTCATCTTCATCATACGTGGTCAGTTGGAGTACACGAATGATTTCGTTAACTTCGTCGGTCATTCGCTGAGCCAGATAATTCCTGTTTTCGGCGGATTCTGGTTGACCGGCCTGTCCTTCACTGGCAATCTGAACGTAGATCTTCATGGCACAGATCAGAATTGGCGCCAATGATTTTACTTGATCCATACAGCGGATCAGGATTTCACGATGAACGACATGTGTCAATTCTTTCTCTCGGTCGTCGATGTGGTGTGACATTCGAGTAAGCCAAGGAGTCAAATCCTAACAACATATTATTAATTGATTCGATAAATTCTTACTTACCCTAACAAATGGCGTTAAGTCATCAAAACTTTCAATGACTTCAGCCACCGCCAAGTAATCCAAGACTTTTCTGCACACTCTGATGATCTTGCGGACTTCTGATTCATCGAAGCACAACAACAAAGCGGAGGTGCCTTGCAGAATACCTCTGGAGCCATCTATTAGCTTCCTTCTAGCTGGACTGGAATAGGGGTCCGATTTCAGCATTTGACAGGCGTCTTCGAGACTTCTGGAGCTGACCTCAACCCGTTGAAGGGCGGGAGGCATGTCTTGCTTCAGGATGGGGTCGTCGGAGGAGTTACATGTGTCATATCCGACCTGAAACCGGAATGTAGTCAGTACTCTTGTATTTATGCTCGTTAAATAGTCTTTAATTCGATTACCTTGATTAAGTTATCCACGGCTCGCGCCACAGCTCCGACGGGACGGGTGAGGTCCGGCATGGCGTTTCCATCCTCGGCTTCTTCATGTAGAATGACCAAGCGAGAGACCTTTAATCAGATTGTTGTTATGTGGAGAGTGAGAGTAAGAAATGGACAGAGGGAGAGATCAGCACATTTGGGACATACGAAAGCGGTACTCTCTGATAAAAGCAATCGACACACGGGACAGCTGTTGTTCACATGTTCGGGGGTTCCGTATATACTCTGAGGTGTGTTTCGGAGACTGTGTTTGTGCATTTGGGATGACACAGAATGTGCATCGTACTCATCGCCCACTCCAGGACTCGAGCCTTTGCTTTGCAGGGATTGTGCAACTGATAAAGCAAGGTGGAGCTTAAATTAGGATAAGCAAAGAAAGCATTGTAAGATAAATAAAATTAAGAATTAGTCGACGTCAAATATTCTAAATTTTAATTTTTTCTGTACTCTCAGCGTAATCAACTGAATGTCTTAGAAAATCTTTGCTTCATACCTGTGTCTCTAACAGCTGCTCCGATCTCGGACTCTGAACAATATTCAATAAAGACAGACTGCCACTTTGAATCCGAATAATCGTATTAAGAGCACTATTCTTTTATTCTAGAGGCTCACGACATGAACAAGACTAATTTTGCTTCAATCTGATAATCTGATATTAAAAATGCCGTTCTAACGTTAATGATCACATTTTTTTATATAAAAGAAATTTCTGATGACGTGTTTTTAAGACCTGCAGAAAATATAAAAAGCAAATATAAAAAGCATTAAGCGCAACATAAACACAATGGATACATAAACAAAAACATAAAGGTAAACAGTAAACAACGTTGCTTAGAATAAGTAACTTACTTGCTGGGCCACAGGCTCGAGAATGCTCTCGATGGTTTTGGTGTGAAAGACCGGCATGATTAAATTACCCTATAATTTAACTGATCTTTTGCCGGATTACCCTAACAGTTCATGGGGGCGGGTCGGGCGCGTTTTGCGGCTCGATTGGAGTGTTGATTAACAACCGCGCACGACTGCCTCTGAAAAGAATAGAGCCGTAAACAACGATCATGATCATTGATGGACAACACGACGGATAAAGAGTGGAAAAGTAAAGTAATACTTCAGGCCACAGTTACGAGACGAGAAAAGGATTAAAAGAAGAGAGCATCCAAACTTCCAAAGATATCAACAGAAAGTGCGTGCTTCGGGAAGAGAATGCATCTGTGTGGGTGATCCATTGCTGGCCGCGATCGCCTCCGGGCAAAGAAAGCCTCTTTTTAAAGAAAGGGAGGAAAGAAAAGCCCGGGCCCAAACCGATATGAAACTGAAACAACAGGGACAATATCTCTGCGAGGTGGCAATACCGGATTGCTCTGCCCGCACCTCTTCAGTCGCGCGCTCATCCAAGACTTTTCGAATCGACTTCAACCCCAGTGAGCTGCAGGTCCTTCAGAGCTCTTCGCTCCGACTTGGCCACAAGGATAAGGACCGGAACTGATTCAAAATGAAGAAAAATGGATTGACCTTGGCTGCGCGCCCGCTGACAGATCGATGTTCTTCGCCGATCGCTGAGGTCTTATCAAAACTAAAACCTTGCGTCAAATTTTTTTGAATGCCCAAAGGCACTAAGCCGCCCAATCGAAACAGAGCGGCGCCATTTCTTGCGGAGGCGGACGTGAGGGCTGAAAGAGAAAAGAAACGCAAAAAAGAGCAGTGCGGAACCAAATCGTCGCGGCCGAAAGCCGGACCATCGCCGCTTCGGGCCCGCCAACACCCACCCAACAAACTCCGCCGCCCGTCCATCCCGGAGGGCCTGATCCGAATATCCTTTAACCTCGCCTCGCCACTCTCTCCCGACCCACCTTTTCCCATTCGATCAAAAGCCAATAAAATTTATTTTTAGCGACCAGGAACAGACCAAAAAAGGCGGGATGAGTAACAAAGAGCGCCACTAATAACAACTGTGGCCATTTACTTTCCGAGCTTCTTCAAATTCCTTCCTTCAATCGGTCTAATCGGGCGAGGCTTACGAGGAAGCCGGGAGACTGCGAACGGGTGGCTGCGACACGAGTTCGGAAGATAAACAAAAAAGCGTTTAAACGAAAAGAACATCCACAACAAAAGCGAGCGCATCTGGTGGCTTCATGAAGCCGCTGAATCAGCATCTTCCGGGCCCCGGGTCGACAAAATCAGCTCTTTTGTTTTGTTTTTTGCTGAGAATGACGCTTGCTCCTCGGAACAGCCGTTTGTATTTCAAAAAAGGATCCCAAAAAACGTATTGCGCAATTTCAGAGAAAAAGACGCCAAGAAAATTACGTTCCTTTCGTGTGATCCACAAGTCCGCATCAAATATGCAGGAGGCAAATTTAAAGCCGCAGGCGGTTGAGTGAGGAGCGTTCGGCATTGACAGGTAATTGCACTCGCACCTGACCGGTCAGACTCACTGGGGACCTTGCGGAATGCCTTTTCTCCCCTCTAAGCTCGAAAAGCGCTTTATGCGCAATTCAAAAAGACAAGGTCCGGCATTTTAATCCTCTTACGACTCCATAAAAATGATTACAGTCTTGGTCGACCAAGTGGGAACATCTTTTCAACAAATACTCCCATAAATTCTCTAAAATCTTGGAATGTTTATGTATAAAACGGGAACAAATATAACTGTCGCTCTTATCTCACGTTGCAGCGTCATTATTCTCACAAATGATTTGCTCAAAGAAAATCGTTTATTGAAGTGAACATTCCTAAATCGTATCTGCCCATTCGTTACTCGAGAAAGACGTTAATGGAGTCGGCGTAATATTTAGGGACGAGATCTTTGTCATTCTCGATCGACCCCACATATGCGAGATCGTGAACGCCCGTCAACACCAGCAAGGTGTCCAAATTATTCGAATTCCCGAACCAGATGTCCGTATCACATCTGTCGCCCACCATCAAGGTTCTATTGGGGTTGATATTGAAGTTGCGACTAATGTATTCGAACATGGAACTGTGAGGCTTCCCCATAACAACCGGAGTTCTACCACTGATCGCGCGGACTGATAACGATGAAGATCCGGCACCGGGGACGATCATACCCGGGACACTCGTGGGGAAGGTCTTGTCTTCATTGGTGGCTATGAATTGGACATCTGGGTCCTTGATGTAGTTAACGGCTTTTGTCAACTTTACGTAGTTAAAGTGAGGATCGTAACTGGTCACAACGGCGAATACTTTTCTGCTGAGATCAATGCTTTCGACGAATCCGTTCTAAACATATTCCTTATTATCATACTATTCAATAACCCTTACCACATCTGAATCTAAATTATCAGCACCCGTTCCGAAGGTTTTGATGCCTGCGGCATTGATCATGGACTCCAGGTTTTTGGTTCCGATCAAATAAACCGGCAATTCTTTACTTCTTGGATCCAACGTCAGATATTCCGAAACCACCATGGCTGGGCTGATAACCTTGGACGCTGACAATTTTTTGAACCCCAATTTTGAAATCTTTTGTGCAAATTGGTCTGACGTTTTGGTGGAATTGTTGGTAATCACCAGTACTTGCTTTCCCAGGTCGATTAACTTATTTATGGCATCAACAGCGCCGGGAATAACTTGATCGCCAAGCCAAAGAACCCCATCGGCATCAAATAGGAAAACATCATAGGAGTCCAACAACCTATTTCCAGTCGTTTTCTCCGGGGCCATGACCTGGGAGGGAAATCAGTTCTAATTGGGATTAAAAAATACCCATTATAAAAATTATAAAAAAGTGGGTACTCGAACATCACGCGACTTTTACGAGTAAAACTAGGCGACAGTGACCTCATGAGTCAAGTTCTCTTTTCGGAGATTGGGTTTAGAAAGTAGTTTGTATTATACCACTTTAACACAAACAAAAAATACAATTGCAATCAAAACGATATTCAAACAAAGTCTGAGGATAGTACCAAACTTTTTATCATAAAATAGAAATATAAAATTTTATTGATGATATATAATATAACAAACTCTGCCAAAAAATTTATATGTACATGAAGAAAAGTCAGATTTGAAAGGCATTTGAGATAGCAAATAAACATTGAACAAGTTCTGGTGGCAGTATAACAACAAAAACACCTAATCCTATTGTTCCTGAGCATCATTCGCTGATTTTTATATGGCAGGGTATCCGAGATCCAGATTTGCTAAAATTGAAACAACTTAAGAATCAATAGGACACTTACAGGGGTTGTAAAAAAAATTTTGTTTCACAGGTCTGTCGTAAATTGTAGATGTTACCGGAAGCATCTCCTCCGATGATTGTTGTTCTACTGATTCTAACAGATACCATCTTGGGGTGTTATCAAGCACATTCCGCTCTGAAAAAATAGAAAATAAAAAATGCATAAAACAGTAACAAAATTATTGAAACAACTTACTCGACAATGGGACTACAACCTGGCCCAGGCAGATATTGTCATTATATTTATCGTAATCCCAGACCGTAAATTCGAGATACTTGTTGGGCAATTCATTGTATCCGACCAGATAATCGACGGTTTGGTGCCACTCTGGATCGGCGGTGTTGGATACATACTTGGTTCTTCGTTTATTGACAACCCTGATAAAAAATGAGAATAATATCGGTAGACTTACTTCCGTCCTGGCAATAAGTAGATCTTTACGAAAGGATTGGGAAGAACAACACTATTATCATATTCACGATGGGTTAATCCTCGAGCCGCAATTATGGTGACAACCAGGACTGAGTTATATTGGTCATAACCAATGGCCAATTGGATTTTACCTAGACCATCTCGAGATCTCTTAATCGCAACATAAGTAATGGTGTAAGTACTTACATGATGGCGTCTCTTTTCTTCCAAAGTTGATCTGTGAGCAGGAATAGGAGGCGCTTCTTTTAGGTACCCAAAACGGTGGCTTTCGTCTGCGGTGGAATCGTATATATTCTCCTGGTTTATTTGATCTTTCTTGGATTCATCAGTGTTCTTAATTACAATCTCCACTTCCCCGCTGGTCGCATTTATGACCCTCTCCACCTCTTCAAACGTCTTTCCTCGTAGCAAAACGCCATTCCATTCCAAAACTTGATCTCCTAAATATAGAAAAATGAAATACGAAAATAAAGAACGACTAAACAAAAATAAACAAACCTTCTTTAATTTCGCCCAATGTATCATATGCCTTACTTCTGTTAACGGCCGTTACAAATGCCGCTAATTCCCCATTATGAAGTCTTTTTCCACCCGTTACACGAAAACCGAGGTCTGAAATTTTTTTGTTGTAACAAAATGTCACAAATTATATTGGGAAACAAAAAATTGCTGGAATTAGAAAAGAATTTGGACGTACCGTGATACACATTGGCATGCCGATATCGCCTTGTTAGAAGAATTCTCTTTATTTTTGTGCCGTTTCTGCTCCGACTGTGACGATGTGCTGGTAAAGGATCTGTCCGAGTCCTGGTAAGTGAACTGATCTAAAAGTGAAAATTATTATTATTCCACACTGTTCTGAAGATTGTACCTTTTTGGGTATTAAATCATCGGCACGTTGATATCGCGGTAGACTGGTGAAATATGATTCTAAAAAAAATATTTTTTACGAATTATAAATTTCAGCACGGATGATGACGTTATTTCCACCTTTCATCCAAAAAATAGGACTTGAGGTTTTAGCCGATGGTTTATTCGAGCTTGCGGACCTTTTCTTTCCATGAATTTAAAACATTAGATTGGCTGTTTTTTCCTTTATTCGATCAAAAAGTAAGATAACTTGGACATTCGAATTACATGGTGAAATAACGTCACAATCTTGCTTTACATCAAGTCTTCGATGAACTCGGCGATTACGTAGTTGCAAACGACTTTCTTAATTAAAAAAACTACATTTATGCGTAACCACCGAGGTTGATCTGAGACAAGATTTTGTTAAAAGTTGGAGCGCTTACTGCACTCAAGGTTGTACATACCCGGACTTCGATAGGGCTGTGGTTGTGGGCGGGGTTGGGTGCTATAATGATAAGAACGGGGGACTTGCGGACATGGCCAAGGTTCATTATAATTATTGTTTAGGGGAATATGGGGTGGTCTGTAGGTCGATTGGGGCACGAATGATGATGATGGTAAGGTCGGCCACACTCTTTTGCTCGCTACAGGCATGTAAGAGGATGTATAAGGATCTCGTCTGTAGTTCTCGTTGACGATGTCATTGTTTGGGCGGTTCAGTTTGACTCGGTTATAATGAACGTTGCCGTAATCTCCGATTGGCTGAATCGGACGAGATCCATAGTTTGCATCGCGTCTACTGTATACGTAATCAGTAACCGGGTGTTGTTGGTATGATGAGAGGTAATGAGGTATCGTTTGTTGGAGTGTTGGCTGGTCTAAGGGTTGGCTAACCGCAAATTGGTTAGGCACTTGATGGTAATTGTACTGTTCTTCTGTTGGTCGAAGGCAGTCTTCATATATATTGGGCCGCATCTCTGGATAGATGGACTCATCCACAAATCCAGCGTTATCGATTTGATCGTTGACGTAACTGGCGTATTGTGATAATATTCTCTCGTTTCCGACATTTGAAATTTTCTGAGGATAAGAAGGTTGCTGGTAATAAGACTGGTTGTAATTTCTTGGAAGAGTGCAATAAGGATTTACAGGTTGCGTTCTATAATCGGAAGCAGGTGGACGTTGATATTCATAATCTCCAAGGTCCTGTACTGATTGAGAATAAAGTCCAGGAATTGTGCTTGGAGGGTAATAGGAAGTATCTTCAAAAATAGTCCTCTCAAAATCCCGCGGAAGCGAGCCATAACGATTGGCAGGATAGGAGCTTGTTCCCACCGTCGTTTGTCGAGTATTCCGCCTTGGAAGAGATCCGTATTTGCTTACCGCACTATTCCACAGCGTATTATCATCAAGATCGTAGGTATTAAGGTTCCTGAGGTCGATCATTGACGCGACTTTCTCCTTCCGTCTCTCCAATTCTCTCATTACTTCCTTTCGTTTCCATTCCATTTCCTCAGGGGTTTTAACTTCCCGGAATCGATTCTTCGGTTTTGAATGTCGCGGCATCGGACCTTCACGTAGCCTCTTATCATACTCGTCGAAATATTTCTCAGTCTTTTCGAGCAAATCTGGAGAAACGTGGCTGAGGAAATGCCCTCGAGGAGAAGTGGATACGTCATGTTGAGGGATTTTTCGGCCCTTAGGTCGAGAGTCAAGGGCCACATATGAATCGGTTTGGGTTTCTGCCGAAACCATGGTTTGAGTTTCAGAGTCAACCTGATATGACGACGGCTTGGACCCGCTGTAATTCCTTATGGCAGGAGGTTTGGTTTGAGGGGGTGACTGTTCGGTGTAGTATCTGGTTAAAGCTGGTATTTGAGGCTTGGTGTCGTATTGTACGCCGACGGTTTTTTTGTTTGAGGAGGTGCTCGTTGATGGAGCGTAATGGTGATCTTCATGGCCATACGTCTTACTATACACCCGTGGGAAATCCGAAGAATATATTATGGGAGTATTTTTCACTGGTGTTACACGAGCTCCGCGGATCAAATCAGCTGGCAAGTCACATTTGACTACATCCGGGATAGCATCGATCTCCGCCGCTCTGTGCTCCGGCATAAGGCCGCTGACCAGCATTCGCCGTATGACATATTGCCGTTGGTTGGCCTCGATCTCAGCATTCTCATTCTCTAGGCGCCGTTTACTTAAGGTTCTTCGGAGCTCTTGTTTGAACATAAGCTGAGACATGGCTTCAGACATCTTGGGAGTTGCGTTAATTTTCTTTGCGGACTCAGTTGAGGTGATAGCCGACCTTGCTCTAGTCTTCTGTGGAGCCTTAAAAGTGGCCCCAGCCATGATACCAGGATCCACCGAGTGGGCGGTGAGATCATAACGAGGTAGTGCTGTGTCGTGATAAGTGTAACTCTCAGTGAAGTGCGTGGATTGTCCTCCTTGATCGTAGTAGGTGGTTACACTCGCAATGTCCTTTGTCTCCGGAGCACTAGAGCTGTAGTAGAGAGGCGCGTGAATGGGCAGTGGTTGACGATTTCCCGGCAGTGATGGAAGTTTTCGGCGGCCCATTTCGGTGTTTGCGCCTTGCAATAGCGCATCCTCCTATAATTTGAGTTACGTTAAGCGTTGGAAAGCGACATGAAAGAAAGCCGAAACATCGATACAATTCGAATTTAAGGAGCGGGCCATAAACAGTGCCTGCTTTTATTGACAAGGGGAAACAAAACAAACACCATGCCCTCGCCGTGAGTGGGGGATACTATTCTCTCTATTCAAAACATTAAAACAGAGGGCGCAAAGCCCCTTTGAGTCAAAAATTCGTCCCCCGAGATTAGGATTGTCGTGCCAAGAGGCTCGGAAAGCATGTCTACGCGGGCCTTAGTTTTTTGCAGATTTAGGTGCGGCGTGAGAAAGGGCGGTTTCTCAGGAAGCGTTGAACCTAGTGCTGAGGCATTCTGAAGCATACTTTTTTTGGTGCCCCGTAGGTCATACCGAGGGGCGGGGGGTGGGTGGGACGCCAACAGAAAAAACGGAAACGAACTGACCAGTACGCCGGCCCTCGTTTCCGCTTTTATTCTTTTTCAGCCAGAGCCTTCGTAATGCTCAACGTCTGAGATTGGGCAGCGTGAGGGAAGCAAGGGCGAAGAGACGGGCGGTTATTTCTCTAACTCTCTTTAGTGCCAAATAAAGTAATTGTCCGATAACGGTCTGATTAGCATAATTCCCATCTAAAACTTTTAAAATTTGTTGAAGAACTTTAGTGGTGGTGCGAAGCGGAAATTTTAAGATTAATAACAACACAGAGGGCACTGCACTCATTCATAAGCAAATGAAACCCACATCAGTCGTCCGAACAGTGGCTACTGCGCGAGATTGGATTATGTCTCGAATGGGCGTCTTGTCACTAGTCAGAATCATCGCCGGAGATCTCTTCAGTCTTAAAGTACAAACAACTTGTTAATTTGATGTTCTTCATACCTTGAGGATTGCAGGTCGTCAAACGGGAGATCTAATGAAGTGTAATCCCCATTTGGCGTTACCGGTTCTTTTACGGTACCAGTTGTTGTAAACTGCGCCAAAAAAGCGGCGTCAGAATCTGTCACACAAGTAGGGAGATCTGCAAAATACAGGGTTAAACACGGGATTTGCTCATAACGATAAATTTAGAAGGAAGTGGACAGCAATGGAAGCAATATTTTAGATTTCTACATACCTGTGCTTGTCTTTGGTTGTGTGCCATGAATATGGATGTGTGGAGGCAAATGAACGTCTTCGGCTTGATGGATATCTGTTGTGAAATGATGGGATCGCTGTAGAGGTGTGGTGGATGTCTTTATGTCTCCTGATTGATTATCGAATGTTGATCGACCATTGGTTGCATCGGGGGGTGGAGGTGCTGTTCTAATTGGTGTAAGAGGGGTCTTGTCTATCTCTTCAGCGGCTTGTGGGACACCACTTATTGGATCAGGCTTGTCCCCATTCTCTTTTCCTTTCCTCTTCACATCCTTTGGCACCAGTGCCGGAACTGTAGTACCATGGAGCGGTCTTCGTTCAAGAAGTTGAGCTAAACGAAAGTATTTTTATAGATTTAACTTACGGTTATATTTAGATTCGCTGCTGATGTTACTATTGTTCTCGTCTCCCTCTGGAATTGTATATACAGGGCCTGGTCGGTGCTTGTGGTATCCATCATGTCTGTTGGTATAATAATTCACCGCTTGTTGATAGTCAATGTCATCCGAGTCCAGGTTTACTTGTTCCACGATGACGTCATTATCGTCATCTTCGGGGGAGTCGATAAACGGATTAATTCGTTGATTGTTTTCCTTTTCTTTTGGGGTTTCCTGAGCAACAATTTCTGTTTTGGCTGGTTCTGCGACTTCTTTCTTCTTTGTTATATTTGTAGCCCATTGGACGTCGAATTCATCATCGGCTGCCTCACCAAATGATTGTATCTGTTTCAGCATTTCTTGGGTACTTTTGGATTGGTTCTGCTGATCTTGAACCAATTGTGACGCCGACATCGAAGGAACTTCTATTACGCGATCAGGATAGTCGTCTTCATCAGAGCTAGGAGGCGTCTCGGCATCTGATTCGTCATCGGAAGTTTTCTCAACTTCTTCATGACTTGTGATCTTGATCTTGGGGGTTTTAGGGATATCCATCATCCGACTAAAGCCTGTGGTGACTTCTTTCACATTATTCGACGCCACTGTACTAACGATAACAGTCGGTGACAAAGGATCTTCCATTTGCACTTCAAAGATCCCGTCATTGGTGTCGAACAGGTGGTGCGTTCCATCATCGTTCTCCATTGATGTGGTTACAATTTGTTCGGTTACCGGATGTTGCTCCTCCTTTTCTTTTGGCCTCTGTTTTTCATGGCCGTCATCGGTTTCTATGATTGACACTTCGCCATCGTATTCGCTGGCGGCAATATCTCCATCATCTGAGAATACAGTTGTCCACATTCGACCGGTCTTGGCTGGTTCCCATGAATCGGGTAGATGGAACTAGAATTAAAATATGAAAAATATCTTAAAAGATGGATGACTAACTTTATATTCTTGTGGTTCGACCCAAAATTCCTCTTCGGTCTCAACCGCATCTACTTCTGCAGGTGATTTTGACGACTCGGTGATTGTAATTGGCTGTTCTTTCTCATCAAAGTCTTTAGTCGGCCCGTCTGGCTGAGTTGTTTCATCACCAATTATTTCCTAGAATTCAAAATAATAGGTTATTTAAATGGCTTACATCAGTAAATAGTGTTGTTTTCGGCACCACTAGGTCTTCTGCAATGTATTCCGGACTGTAGGTGTTGAGTTCAGTGCTATAGCTAGTGCTTGGCGCAGTTATGTAACCACTTTCGGTGACTGACGTAAACGATATCGACTTTGCTGGACCTGATTGCCCTTCTCCGCCTTCAATGGATATATTGGAATCGACGGAACGTTTTTGGGACATTGGAAGAGTTGGTTTAGCGACGTCGTCTTGCTCGGCCATCTTCATTACACTCAAAATCTGCGCTTGCTCCTCTGCGGAAAGACCTTGAAGCATCTCCTCATCAAACCCTGGTGGCATTGAAACTTCTGTGGGCATTTCGGTATGGAATGCACTAAAAACCAAACATAATCATAAAGAAAGTCTTACGTCTTTTTGGGCTGCTCTTGCTGTAATGTCGTTGTTGCGTACGAGATTGATTGGACCGATTTTGGCCGTTCTGTTGATGTTGGCTGTTGAAGTTCATCGGGTTTAGGCGGTGAAATTCTCATATCTTGTTGTGCGTCGATTTCAGCACAAGCCATTACAGCCATGATTTTCATTCTCTCTTCTTCAGACAAGTCTTCAAATCCAGGTGGAATATTCTGTGAGATTGGGGATTGGAGAATGTTTGTAACAGGCTGGTTGATTTCCATTGATGACTTCGATCTTTCAGGGACTTCCGATTTTGGAATCTAGAATGTGTTTAGACAAGGGAAATAGGAACTCACAAAGCTCGCCACTCCAATTTGTGTTAGATCTCCAGTTGATGCTGCTTGTTGGGCCACTTGTGCAGCTTGGGTGGCTTTTGCTGAGATCTGTTCGGTAGCCTGCTTGGCTGATTTTAAGGCGCCACTTGCCAATTTACCGAAACCGCCAAAGCCTCCGAAGCCGGAAGACTTAACACGATCTCCGGAGAACATATTACCGCTGGAGGTCGTTACAATTACAGGGAGGGTCGACTCTTTTTCTTTCGGTATCTGAGATTGGAATTGTTCAACATGATCGGATTCCAATCCACATGGCTCGTTGGCAGCTACAATATCGGAAATCGGTCCAGTGGAAGATGAAACCGATGCACTGTCCCGACCAGGCCATGCAGTTACCAGCTCGACGGCAACGTCAGTCTCTTCCTTATAAAAGGGTGGGGAGCCCGCGAAATGTCTTTTTTGGGCCGAGACACTGCAAGACCAGTCCTGAGCAGCCGTAACGCGGTCCCCGGCCTCTTCAGTGGAAACGGGCGAGAGAGCATGCCCTGAAGGCATGGCACTCTTTTCCCTGCCAAAAGACCCTGCGCTTTCCCACTTTGGCTCGAAAGTAACCGGCTGGAAGGGTAAGCGCTGTTCCTCGGCATGTTGTTTTTCGGGATCGATAATTCCTGATGTGTACTCCTGCTTCTCATACTCCACATCCCACGTTTTATTAGCCAAACCAAACTCGTCGTCGGCTTGATTGACATCTTTAGACATTTCGCTGCCCCACTTCCTAATTGGCTCGGCAATCCTTTGATCTCGAACTTCCAGGATTTCTAAACACAAAGAATAGATTTAATTTTGCGGGCATAATAAACCAAAATCTTGCTCTGGTTGAATATAACATTAGTTTACAATACAGTAACATACCATCATATGAATAGGAATCTAGTTTTTCGGTGAGCTCAGCGATGTTTTTCTGCAGCCAGTAGCCATCGGTGTCCTCTTCCTCTTTCCATTGATCCTCAAACAAAACGGGTATTTCCGTAGCCATTGATAATTCATGATTTTCAGACGGATAGGAATACTCCTTTTGTATTGTTGGCAATTGGTCTGTTACAACGTCTTCTGTTAGTGGCTGTACTGGAGTAGTCTCCTTCGGACTTAGCACAGAAAATTTGGAGATTGAACTTGAGACATTCGAATTGACAATCTCATTCAACTTCTGCGTTTGTCGAGTGATCGTGCCCTTGAATGTACTCAAGCTCAGCTTTCCGAGAACATTCTCAGTAGTTCCTTTTGGTGATCGGGCAACTGCTGTCTTTATAGGCTCTGGTGCTCTCGTAGAGACCATACTTTCTTCCTCCATCTTCTTTATCATCATTTCTATGTTTGCAATATGAGCAAGTTCTTCTTCAGAGATTATATTATATTCCTTTTCTTCTGTCTTCTTTCTCTTTGGAGGTGCTGAGGAACTAACAACGAATGGAATATCTCCAGTATCTGCCTTTTCGATGACAGCCGCAATATGTTTTCTTTCGCTTTCATTTAATTCGTCCAAAGCAGCCAAATTGGTCAGAGCAGAAGAGCATCTGAAGACGAAATTACATGTAATGTGTTGGACCTAATGACATAAGAAAAATAAATAAAAACGTCTGTTATTCGACTAAGAGCCGACTTACCTGCGGGACATGTCAGGGGTAGTCGATTTGTTCGCACTCATCATCACATTGATAATATGCTCCCTCTCCTCAACACTAAGCCCGGCCAAAGCTTCTTCAGGAATGTTGGTAAATGAATCGTTTCTAGGTTCCGAACTGATTGAGGACCTGCGCACCAACTCCATGATGTCTCCTGATCGGACTGCACTTATTTTTCGTGCATTCATAACCGGGGATGGCTGGCGACGTAAGAAAGCCATTGCCGAGACAGGTCTTTCCGGGATTGGTCGTTGACGGAATAAACCAAACAGATCGAATCCCGGCTTCTCAGGTTCATCTTCAATGGCTTCCACAGCATATTGCAAAGGCTCATCGTTCGGAGATATCTCTTCGCTGAAATGGAATTAAAATTATTGTTTTTCGGTTGCTACTTTATGCACGGTGTTTCAAGAAACATTCCACAAAGTATTTTCGAATATCTTCGTGCTCTTTGCAGCTATCTAAGATGTTCAAATTTGATTTTTAATCGGAGTTGGGCGGTTTTCAAAAGGATTTTTTCTGATGAGAGACCAATTTTCGGCGGTGACATTTGACGCCTTTTTTGACGAGAAAAATCAACCGAAAGCTCCACAAAAATTTCCTCTTTCTCTTCCTTCGGAAAAGAACAAGGGCATCTTTGTAGTTGCTCGGTTGGCCAAGTGGGTAAAGCGTCCGTTCGGTAATCTTTTGGGGTTGGTTTGATTCCGGCCAGCGCGAATGGCCGTTATAAGACTTTGATAGGCAAGTTCAACCTCTAATAAACCAAAAAATTATTTCGTCATTTTTATACATTTTATAGGTTATGTATAAAAAATTTTAATTAAAGATATAAAAATGGTAAAATATTCTTTTTGATTTGTTGGGGTTTGATCATGCCCCACCCGAGGGCGCAAAAGGGTCTCACCCGGGACGGTAGCCATAAACCACAGTGGATTCGAGGTCCTCACTGTCAACGTAAGATCAATTCGAAGCGTGAATGGAACTACATGACGGAGATGGAACTAAGAAAAAGACGGGGGAAGATTGGAACAGCGATTGTTGGAGTGGACATCTCCGTATACTAGTCGCGACATAAAGTCCTGAGAAATTTGCACAGTGCATTTTTGTTTTCGTTTCGGATCCGTCGCGGCAATTCCCCGTTTTTGCACTAGCGACATGCACTTTCGCGCGAGCCACTCCAATTTTCTCGCGCGACACCCGCGACAAAATGTGTCAGGACTTTATGGCGCGACTAGTACACGACACCTTGCCTGTCCAAGAATGAGATGGACCGATTGCGAAAACACCCTGGCCATGGAAGCATCTTATAACAACGGAAACGATTCTGATCCACTCTATGCTTTTATTACGTGATTAGTGTGAATAAATTGAGATTGACCTGCTCTATTCACCTATCCTAGTAATTTTCCCAAACACTGGGGGAAGTTCAGACCTTTTAAAACAGCTTTTTTGTAAGGGTCGAGCTAGCTGTGCACATGAAACAGGATGTCACAGTAGAGCCATGAAACACTAACCACATGTTACCCTTACCGCGAGTACTAAATTTCAGAAAAAAATTTTTTGATTATTGGCCTACTGTAGGTGTACTGTAGCTTTCCCGCATTTCCAGGATCTCAGCCACGAGAGGTTGGATTCTCTCCGGACCTTCTCTGTGTTATAGAATGGACAATTCCAAGCAACTTTCGTATTGACACCTTTTTCCTAGGACTTCTGGAAGTATGTGAAAAATTTGCATATTTGGCAAAAAATTTATATTTCTTAAATTTTCTAAAAAAATTTGCATATCGGGACGTCCTTTTTATTGCTCTAAATGACGCTCCATGAAGCGACAATTCAAACGGTATATAGGTCATCGCAAGGCGTTCTGTCTATGTTGCAAACGAGGCTTCTAAAGGTCGTGTCATCACGGATTTTTTTTGGGCTAAAATTTTATATGCGAGATATTGGGACAAAATTTAGTCTTATTATAATCTATGCAAAATGCTAAGACTTTTGGACCCCACTTTTATGAGTCTCAGACCGACCGGTCGAAAGATACGACCGAGTTTTGAGACTTTCCGGCCTTTTTCAATTTTTACCCGGAAGGTGACGGAATTTCGGGATTTCTAGGATTCTGATGGTAGTATTCGATGTAGCACGTATGGAGTTGCCTACGTACATCGATCCCGCTTACCGATACGGATGTTCGCGAAAAAAAGGAATTTTTGTCTAAAGATTTTTGCGCAATATCCAACAAAACACCGTTTTGATGACTGAAATTCAGCATTCTGATGGCATAATTGAATCCGAACATACAGGGTGGGCCACTCGAAACTCCCAACCTCTTTTCAAGTATTTCTCCGCCAATAATGCACCAATTTCTTTAAAATTTATATCAAATTGAAGCTGAGACACCCCATTTCTTGTCCACCAAATATGGCCCGTCTAGCTTCACGGAGGCACCCGCACTGACCTTTTATATTTTCATTCCAAATTTTGGGGCCCGAAATCGGTGAAACTTAGAATTTTTTTGGAATGATTTCCAGTTGAGTTTCTCGGAATTGGAAAATGTTCGCGCCTTTGACTAAATAAAACTCTTATAAGCAGCAGAAAAAAATGATGGCAGTCAACGGAATAGTCAAAATTATTCTTCAAGGCGTTGCTTTCCTGTTCTGGGGCGATAAGCTTAATTATTCGAAATTTTTCAAAATGTTAAAAAATGGGCGAAACTGTCTACATGCATGACGACATCCACCCCGAAGATGCATAGAAACTTTCCAGGCTTAGATTGCACGAGAAAACAGCTTTCGTTCTCATTCGCCCAAATTGGTACCTCACCTGATTGAAATATGGGTTTAACACACTTGGTACGGACGTAAATCTTAATGTTTTAAAATTTTTTTTCGCGAATTTGTCGACTTTTTTTCTTTCCGGAAATCCAAAAATTTTCCAAGTCCGAGAAACTCAATTGAAAATCATTCCAAAAAAATTCTAAGTTTCACCGATTTCGGGCCCCAAAATTTGGAATGAAAATATAAAAGGTCAGTGCGGGTGCCTCCGTGAAGCTAGACGGGCCATATTTGGTGGACAAGAAATGTGGTGTCTCAGCTTCAATTTGATATAAATTTTATAGAAATTGGTGCATAATTGGCGGAGAAATACCTGAAAAGATGTTGGGAGTTTCGAGTGGCCCACCCTGTATAATTTGACCTAGATACGTGCTTCATTCATCACATTAGCGTTTCGTATTTTAGATATTAAAATTTCTTTGAGGAAAAACCCAAAAAATTTGCATGATTTTTTTGAACTGAAAATAAATGGAAAATATTTTGATCGATTCGGCCTATAGAATAATCTCGAAATGCGGCAAATAAAAAAGTCGATTTTTTCTCTTAGAAGCTAACTTGCGGCATGGTGTCAGACTCCAAAAAAATTACAGGTGTACCTCACAATCAGAATATTCCTAGAAGCGACAGCCAACTTTTCAAAAAATCTTGAATAGCTAAAGTACGAAAAGCGACAAACTTTGGGTTATCCAGGGTCGCTGAATTAAACGCAATCAAAGAAACCCCGAAATTCCGTCACCTTCCGGGTAAAAATTGAAAAATACCGGAAAAGTCTCAAAAATCGGTCGTATCTTTCGACCGGTCGGTCTGAGACTCATAAAAGTGGGGTCCAAAAGTCTTAGAATTTTGCATAGATTATAATAAGACTAAATTTTGTCCCAATATCTCGCATATAAAATTTTAGCCCAAAAAAAATCCGTGATGACACGACCTTTAGAACCCTCGTTTGCAACATAGGCAGAACGCCTTGCGATGACCTATATACCGTTTGAATTGTCGCTTCATGGAGCGTCATTTAGAGCAATAAAAAGGACGTCCCGATATGCAAATTTTTTTAGAAAATTTAAGAAATATAAATTTTTTGCCAAATATGCAAATTTTTCACATACTTCCAGAAGTCCTAGGAAAAAGGTGTCAATACGAAAGTTGCTTGGAATTGTCCATTCTATAACACAGAGAAGGTCCGGAGAGAATCCAACCTCTCGTGGCTGAGATCCTGGAAATGCGGGAAAGCTACAGTACACCTACAGTAGGCCAATAATCAAAAAATTTTTTTCTGAAATTTAGTACTCGCGGTAAGGGTAACATGTGGTTAGTGTTTCATGGCTCTACTGTGACATCCTGTTTCATGTGCACAAGGCAAATCTGAAAGCTCGAGTCTCTCGCAAAACTTGTTTTAAGTAATTAAAACGCACTTCGCGAGTTGCTGAAGCAGGCTCAAATGGGGGTCTGCCCTAGAAATCGACCCCCACTTTTTTTTGTCTTAACTGATGACATATAGAATGCTAAAGAACTTGGTGAATTTTTTTCGAAAAATTCGTCATCATGACCGAGATATGACGTATTTATTGTCTTTCGTTTAATGTGGTATATTGTACTGATTTATCGCCGAAACATCTCAGAGCTGTGTACATATACGTTATTGGCCATGCTGAACAACTTTGTAATTGACCCGAAGTTTGTCAGGTTACTGTAACATACCGTAACGCCCATGCTCAATCAAAAAATCTCGATTTTCTCGATTTTTTTCAATAATTTTCTCGAAATTTTTTTCATTTTTGGAATCAGCATCAAATTCTGCATCGGATAGGCTATATGCGCATCTCCAGATAGGTGTACAAAAATGTCGTGGCGCAACCGGTAGTGGGTCGGACTACCATTCAAAAGGTCGCGGGTTCGAGTCCGGGTGGAAGCAAAAATGCTCAAACGCGATGGAAATTGTCCCAAAACAGTTGTAATGTATTGGAACTGTGTTAAAAATAAATAATAATTAACATTTTTCCCTGAAAAGGTTAATCTTTGGATTTTACGAAATTTTTGAAAATCATGATTTTTGTGGGCCCAAATCAGCCGAAGAAATAAAAAAATTTTGTTAGCGATTTTTTTGTTTAGAAACAACACAGGGCATATAGAAAGACTTTTCCTCAGAGGATTTCGCTCAATTTTGCCCAAGACACCAAAAAATTTCGTATTTTGTCATTTGACAAAAAATTGAAATTATGATTTTCAGACGTTTTTACGCGGAAACGTTTCCAATTTTTCTAGAGCAGTTTTTTGCGCTGCCTTTAAATAGTTTTCTAACAGCCGCGAAAATTTTCCACAAAAAATTTTACATTATAAAATTTGTAGATATTCACATATTTCATGATGTTACAGTGTTCATTCTTGTAAAATTTGTAAAAAATTCGACTCCCCTTAGTGGAAAACATGTGTATCCACGTTTGAACAGTTCCAATACATTACAACTGTTTTGGGGCAATTTCCATCGCGTTTGAGCATTTTTGCTTCCACCCGGACTCGAACCCGCGACCTTTTGAATGGTAGTCCGACCCACTACCGGTTGCGCCACGACATTTTTGTACACCTATCTGGAGATGCGCATATAGCCTATCCGATGCAGAATTTGATGCTGATTCCAAAAACGAAAAAAAATTCCGAGAAAATTATTGAAAAAAATCGAGAAAATCGAGATTTTTTGATTGAGCATGGGCGTTACGGTATGTTACAGTAACCTGACAAACTTCGGGTCAATTACAAAGTTGTTCAGCATGGCCAATAACGTATATATACACAGCTCTGAGATGTTTCGGCGATAAATCAGTACAATATACCACATTAAACGAAATTCAATAAATACGTCATATCTCGGTCATGATGACGAATTTTTCGAAAAAAAATCACCAAGTTCTTTAGCACCCTATATGTCATCAGTTAAGACAAAAAAAAGTGGGGGTCAATTTCTAGGGCAGACCCCCCTTCCACAGCTCGCGAAGTGCGTTTTAAATGTAGCCAAATTCTGCAATATTTCTTGAAACACCCTGTATTGGTACTATCGCGATCAAAAGTTCGGACAATCCGCACTGTGCATTTTTCAAAGACTGACTCTATTGAGTGTATCATACCTTTCCGGACTGGGAGCAACTGACGGGATGCCGATGTCCAAAAGCTCGCTGATATAGCTGTCTTCGAAGTAGCGTGATCTCGGGTTTGATCTTAGCTTTATGATTCGAGTTAAGTCTTCTGCCGCGGCCTCAGCAATGCCTTCTGTTATTCGCTGACACATAAAGTTTAGTTTGACGAGGAAGTCAACATTATTTAGCGCCCCTCCTCGGCTGTAAATGGCATTATGTTCGCAATCTTCGAATGCGTTGAAGCGGTAGTTATCGATTAAAACCGTGGGTAGGTTTTGTGGGGGCACATCATTTGCGTTTGAATCGATCGATAACCGCTTGTCCGTGTATATAATGTTAACACTTGTCGACTTGAAATTCGAAATGGGTTTTTCTTCCTTTTTTTCTGGAACATCGGTAAATGAGATCGATTTAAATTGTCCGCTTTTCCGTAGCGTGTTTGTATAGGATATCGTTGTTCCTCCAATCTTTCCGTGGTCATCGTCGGCTGCAGAGGTTGCTGATGACGCTGTTCTTTCATAAGTTTCCTCAGTGATTGGCTCTGGGATAGAAACTGTTGGCTCAACAGTTTCAAGGCCTTCTGCCAGCCTCTGGATTCTCGCTATGTGCTCAAGTTCTTCTTCAGTGAGCTCTTCCTGGGCAGGAATTGCCGGTGGAGGAGGTACAGGAGGAGCTTCCCGTGTTACTTCTTTCACAGGTGGTGCCGATAACAATAGGCCATGGTCCTCAAACGAATCTCCGGCAATTATCGATCCTTCGACTTTACTTTGATCATCGTCGGCTCCAGAGGTTGCTGATGACGCTGTTCTTTCATAAGTTTCCTCAGTGATTGGCTCTGGGATAGAAACTGTTGGCTCAACAGTGTCAAGGCCTTCTGCCAGCCTCTGGATTCTCGCTATGTGCTCAAGTTCTTCTTCAGTGAGCTCTTCCTGGGCAGGAATTGCCGGTAGAGGAGGTAAAGGAGGAGCTTCCCGTGTTACTTCTTTCACAGGTGATTCCGATGATAATAGGCCGTGGTCTTCAAACGAATCTCCGGCAATTATCGATCCTTCGACTTTACTTTGATCATCGTCGGCTCCAGAGGTTGCTGATGACGCTGTTCTTTCATAAGTTTCCTCAGTGATTGGCTCTGGGATAGAAACTGTTGGCTCAACAGTGTCAAGGCCTTCTGCCAGCCTCTGGATTCTCGCTATGTGCTCAAGTTCTTCTTCAGTGAGCTCTTCCTGGGCAGGAATTGCCGGTAGAGGAGGTAAAGGAGGAGCTTCCCGTGTTACTTCTTTCACAGGTGATTCCGATAACAATAGTCCATGGTCCTCAAACGAATCTCCGGCAATTATCGATCCTTCGACTTTACTTTGATCATCGTCGGCTCCAGAGGTTGCTGATGACGCTGTTCTTTCATAAGTTTCCTCAGTGATTGGCTCTGGGATAGAAACTGTTGGCTCAACAGTGTCAAGGCCTTCTGCCAGCCTCTGGATTCTCGCTATGTGCTCAAGTTCTTCTTCAGTGAGCTCTTCTTGGGCAGGAATTGACGGTGGAGGAGGTACAGGAGGAGCTTCCCGTGGTACTTCTTTCACAGGTGGTGCCGATAACAATAGGCCATGGTCCTCAAACGAATCTCCGGCAATTATCGATCCTTCGACTTTGCTTTGATCATCGTCGGCTCCAGAGGTTGCTGATGACGCTGTTCTTTCATAAGTTTCCTCAGTGATTGGCTCTGGGATAGAAACTGTTGGCTCAACAGTGTCAAGGCCTTCTGCCAGCCTCTGGATTCTCGCTATGTGCTCAAGTTCTTCTTCAGTGAGCTCTTCCTGGGCAGGAATTGCCGGTAGAGGAGGTAAAGGAGGAGCTTCCCGTGTTACTTCTTTCACAGGTGATTCCGATGATAATAGGCGGTGGTCTTCAAATGAATCTCCGGTAATTATCGGTCCTTCGACTTTGCTTTGATCATCGTCGGCTCCAGAGGTTGCTGATGACGCTGTTCTTTCATAAGTTTCCTCAGTGATTGGCTCTGGGATAGAAACTGTTGGCTCAACAGTGTCAAGGCCTTCTGCCAGCCTCTGGATTCTCGCTATGTGCTCAAGTTCTTCTTCAGTGAGCTCTTCTTGGGCAGGAATTGACGGTGGAGGAGGTACAGGAGGAGCTTCCCGTGTTACTTCTTTCACAGGTGATTCCGATGATAATAGGCCGTGGTCTTCAAACGAATCTCCGGCAATTATCGATCCTCCAATCTTTCCGTGGTCATCGTCGGCTCCAGAGGTTGCTGATGACGCTGTTCTTTCATAAGTTTCCTCAGTGATTGGCTCTGGGATAGAAACTGTTGGCTCAACAGTGTCAAGGCCTTCTGCCAGCCTCTGGATTCTCGCTATGTGCTCAAGTTCTTCTTCAGTGAGCTCTTCTTGGGCAGGAATTGACGGTGGAGGAGGTACAGGAGGAGCTTCCCGTGTTACTTCTTTCACAGGTGATGCCGATAACAATAGGCCATGGTCCTCAAACGAATCTCCGGCAATTATCGATCCTTCGACTTTACTTTGATCATCGTCGGCTCCAGAGGTTGCTGATGACGCTGTTCTTTCATAAGTTTCCTCAGTGATTGGCTCTGGGATAGAAACTGTTGGCTCAACAGTGTCAAGGCCTTCTGCCAGCCTCTGGATTCTCGCTATGTGCTCAAGTTCTTCTTCAGTGAGCTCTTCTTGGGCAGGAATTGACGGTGGAGGAGGTACAGGAGGAGCTTCCCGTGTTACTTCTTTCACAGGTGATTCCGATGATAATAGGCCGTGGTCTTCAAACGAATCTCCGGCAATTATCGATCCTCCAATCTTTCCGTGGTCATCGTCGGCTCCAGAGGTTGCTGATGACGCTGTTCTTTCATAAGTTTCCTCAGTGATTGGCTCTGGGATAGAAACTGTTGGCTCAACAGTGTCAAGGCCTTCTGCCAGCCTCTGGATTCTCGCTATGTGCTCAAGTTCTTCTTCATTGAGCTCTTCTTGGGCAGGAATTGACGGTGGAGGAGGTACAGGAGGAGCTTCCCGTGTTACTTCTTTCACAGGTGATGCCGATAACAATAGGCCATGGTCCTCAAACGAATCTCCGGCAATTATCGATCCTTCGACTTTACTTTGATCATCGTCGGCTCCAGAGGTTGCTGATGACGCTGTTCTTTCATAAGTTTCCTCAGTGATTGGCTCTGGGATAGAAACTGTTGGCTCAACAGTGTCAAGGCCTTCTGCCAGCCTCTGGATTCTCGCTATGTGCTCAAGTTCTTCTTCAGTGAGCTCTTCTTGGGCAGGAATTGACGGTGGAGGAGGTACAGGAGGAGCTTCCCGTGTTACTTCTTTCACAGGTGATTCCGATGATAATAGGCCGTGGTCTTCAAACGAATCTCCGGCAATTATCGATCCTTCGACTTTGCTTTGATCATCGTCGGCTCCAGAGGTTGCTGATGACGCTGTTCTTTCATAAGTTTCCTCAGTGATTGGCTCTGGGATAGAAACTGTTGGCTCAACAGTGTCAAGGCCTTCTGCCAGCCTCTGGATTCTCGCTATGTGCTCAAGTTCTTCTTCAGTGAGCTCTTCCTGGGCAGGAATTGCCGGTAGAGGAGGTAAAGGAGGAGCTTCCCGTGTTACTTCTTTCACAGGTGATTCCGATGATAATAGGCGGTGGTCTTCAAATGAATCTCCGGTAATTATCGGTCCTTCGACTTTGCTTTGATCATCGTCGGCTCCAGAGGTTGCTGATGACGCTGTTCTTTCATAAGTTTCCTCAGTGATTGGCTCTGGGATAGAAACTGTTGGCTCAACAGTGTCAAGGCCTTCTGCCAGCCTCTGGATTCTCGCTATGTGCTCAAGTTCTTCTTCAGTGAGCTCTTCTTGGGCAGGAATTGACGGTGGAGGAGGTACAGGAGGAGCTTCCCGTGTTACTTCTTTCACAGGTGATTCCGATGATAATAGGCCGTGGTCTTCAAACGAATCTCCGGCAATTATCGATCCTCCAATCTTTCCGTGGTCATCGTCGGCTCCAGAGGTTGCTGATGACGCTGTTCTTTCATAAGTTTCCTCAGTGATTGGCTCTGGGATAGAAACTGTTGGCTCAACAGTGTCAAGGCCTTCTGCCAGCCTCTGGATTCTCGCTATGTGCTCAAGTTCTTCTTCAGTGAGCTCTTCTTGGGCAGGAATTGACGGTGGAGGAGGTACAGGAGGAGCTTCCCGTGTTACTTCTTTCACAGGTGATGCCGATAACAATAGGCCATGGTCCTCAAACGAATCTCCGGCAATTATCGATCCTTCGACTTTACTTTGATCATCGTCGGCTCCAGAGGTTGCTGATGACGCTGTTCTTTCATAAGTTTCCTCAGTGATTGGCTCTGGGATAGAAACTGTTGGCTCAACAGTGTCAAGGCCTTCTGCCAGCCTCTGGATTCTCGCTATGTGCTCAAGTTCTTCTTCAGTGAGCTCTTCTTGGGCAGGAATTGACGGTGGAGGAGGTACAGGAGGAGCTTCCCGTGTTACTTCTTTCACAGGTGATTCCGATGATAATAGGCCGTGGTCTTCAAACGAATCTCCGGCAATTATCGATCCTCCAATCTTTCCGTGGTCATCGTCGGCTCCAGAGGTTGCTGATGACGCTGTTCTTTCATAAGTTTCCTCAGTGATTGGCTCTGGGATAGAAACTGTTGGCTCAACAGTGTCAAGGCCTTCTGCCAGCCTCTGGATTCTCGCTATGTGCTCAAGTTCTTCTTCATTGAGCTCTTCTTGGGCAGGAATTGACGGTGGAGGAGGTACAGGAGGAGCTTCCCGTGTTACTTCTTTCACAGGTGATGCCGATAACAATAGGCCATGGTCCTCAAACGAATCTCCGGCAATTATCGATCCTTCGACTTTACTTTGATCATCGTCGGCTCCAGAGGTTGCTGATGACGCTGTTCTTTCATAAGTTTCCTCAGTGATTGGCTCTGGGATAGAAACTGTTGGCTCAACAGTGTCAAGGCCTTCTGCCAGCCTCTGGATTCTCGCTATGTGCTCAAGTTCTTCTTCAGTGAGCTCTTCTTGGGCAGGAATTGACGGTGGAGGAGGTACAGGAGGAGCTTCCCGTGTTACTTCTTTCACAGGTGATTCCGATGATAATAGGCCGTGGTCTTCAAACGAATCTCCGGCAATTATCGATCCTCCAATCTTTCCGTGGTCATCGTCGGCTCCAGAGGTTGCTGATGACGCTGTTCTTTCATAAGTTTCCTCAGTGATTGGCTCTGGGATAGAAACTGTTGGCTCAACAGTGTCAAGGCCTTCTGCCAGCCTCTGGATTCTCGCTATGTGCTCAAGTTCTTCTTCAGTGAGCTCTTCTTGGGCAGGAATTGACGGTGGAGGAGGTACAGGAGGAGCTTCCCGTGTTACTTCTTTCACAGGTGATGCCGATAACAATAGGCCATGGTCCTCAAACGAATCTCCGGCAATTATCGATCCTTCGACTTTACTTTGATCATCGTCGGCTCCAGAGGTTGCTGATGACGCTGTTCTTTCATAAGTTTCCTCAGTGATTGGCTCTGGGATAGAAACTGTTGGCTCAACAGTGTCAAGGCCTTCTGCCAGCCTCTGGATTCTCGCTATGTGCTCAAGTTCTTCTTCAGTGAGCTCTTCTTGGGCAGGAATTGACGGTGGAGGAGGTACAGGAGGAGCTTCCCGTGTTACTTCTTTCACAGGTGATTCCGATGATAATAGGCCGTGGTCTTCAAACGAATCTCCGGCAATTATCGATCCTCCAATCTTTCCGTGGTCATCGTCGGCTCCAGAGGTTGCTGATGACGCTGTTCTTTCATAAGTTTCCTCAGTGATTGGCTCTGGGATAGAAACTGTTGGCTCAACAGTGTCAAGGCCTTCTGCCAGCCTCTGGATTCTCGCTATGTGCTCAAGTTCTTCTTCAGTGAGCTCTTCTTGGGCAGGAATTGACGGTGGAGGAGGTACAGGAGGAGCTTCCCGTGTTACTTCTTTCACAGGTGATGCCGATAACAATAGGCCATGGTCCTCAAACGAATCTCCGGCAATTATCGATCCTTCGACTTTACTTTGATCATCGTCGGCTCCAGAGGTTGCTGATGACGCTGTTCTTTCATAAGTTTCCTCAGTGATTGGCTCTGGGATAGAAACTGTTGGCTCAACAGTGTCAAGGCCTTCTGCCAGCCTCTGGATTCTCGCTATGTGCTCAAGTTCTTCTTCAGTGAGCTCTTCTTGGGCAGGAATTGACGGTGGAGGAGGTACAGGAGGAGCTTCCCGTGTTACTTCTTTCACAGGTGATTCCGATGATAATAGGCCGTGGTCTTCAAACGAATCTCCGGCAATTATCGATCCTCCAATCTTTCCGTGGTCATCGTCGGCTCCAGAGGTTGCTGATGACGCTGTTCTTTCATAAGTTTCCTCAGTGATTGGCTCTGGGATAGAAACTGTTGGCTCAACAGTGTCAAGGCCTTCTGCCAGCCTCTGGATTCTCGCTATGTGCTCAAGTTCTTCTTCAGTGAGCTCTTCTTGGGCAGGAATTGACGGTGGAGGAGGTACAGGAGGAGCTTCCCGTGTTACTTCTTTCACAGGTGATTCCGATGATAATAGGCCGTGGTCTTCAAACGAATCTCCGGCAATTATCGATCCTCCAATCTTTCCGTGGTCATCGTCGGCTCCAGAGGTTGCTGATGACGCTGTTCTTTCATAAGTTTCCTCAGTGATTGGCTCTGGGATAGAAACTGTTGGCTCAACAGTGTCAAGGCCTTCTGCCAGCCTCTGGATTCTCGCTATGTGCTCAAGTTCTTCTTCAGTGAGCTCTTCTTGGGCAGGAATTGACGGTGGAGGAGGTACAGGAGGAGCTTCCCGTGTTACTTCTTTCACAGGTGATTCCGATGATAATAGGCCGTGGTCTTCAAACGAATCTCCGGCAATTATCGATCCTCCAATCTTTCCGTGGTCATCGTCGGCTCCAGAGGTTGCTGATGACGCTGTTCTTTCATAAGTTTCCTCAGTGATTGGCTCTGGGATAGAAACTGTTGGCTCAACAGTGTCAAGGCCTTCTGCCAGCCTCTGGATTCTCGCTATGTGCTCAAATTCTTCTTCAGTGAGCTCTTCTTGGGCAGGAATTGACGGTGGAGGAGGTACAGGAGGAGCTTCCCGTGTTACTTCTTTCACAGGTGATGCCGATAACAATAGGCCATGGTCCTCAAACGAATCTCCGGCAATTATCGATCCTTCGACTTTACTTTGATCATCGTCGGCTCCAGAGGTTGCTGATGACGCTGTTCTTTCATAAGTTTCCTCAGTGATTGGCTCTGGGATAGAAACTGTTGGCTCAACAGTGTCAAGGCCTTCTGCCAGCCTCTGGATTCTCGCTATGTGCTCAAGTTCTTCTTCAGTGAGCTCTTCCTGGGCAGGAATTGCCGGTAGAGGAGGTAAAGGAGGAGCTTCCCGTGTTACTTCTTTCACAGGTGATTCCGATGATAATAGGCCGTGGTCTTCAAACGAATCTCCGGCAATTATCGATCCTTCGATCTTACTTTGATCATTGTCGGCTCCAGTGGTTGCTGATGACGCTGTTCTTTCATAAGTTTCCTCAGTGATTGGCTCTGGGATAGAAACTGTTGGCTCAACAGTGTCAAGGCCTTCTGCCAGCCTTTGGATCCTTGTTATGTGCTCAAGTTCTTCTTCTATTAGCTCTTCCTGGACAGGAATTGCCGGTAGAGGAGGTAAAGGAGGAGCTTCCCGTGTTACTTCTTTCACAGGTGATTCCGATAACAATAGTCCATGGTCCTCAAACGAATCTCCGGCAATTATCGATCCTTCGACTTTACTTTGATCATCGTCGGCTCCAGAGGTTGCTGATGACGCTGTTCTTTCATAAGTTTCCTCAGTGATTGGCTCTGGGATAGAAACTGTTGGCTCAACAGTGTCAAGGCCTTCTGCCAGCCTCTGGATTCTCGCTATGTGCTCAAGTTCTTCTTCTGTTAGCTCTTCCTGGACAGGAATTGACGGTGGAGGAGGTACAGGAGGAGCTACCCGTGTTACTTCTCTCACAGGTGATTCCGGTGACAATAGGCCGTGGTCTTCAAACGAATCTCCGGCAATTACCGATCCTTCGATCTTACTTTGGTCATCGTCGGCTCCAGAGGTTGCTGATGACGCTGTTCTTTCATACGTTTCCTCAGTGATTGGCTCTGGGATAGAAACTGTTGGCTCAACAGTGTCAAGGCCTTCTGCCAGCCTCTGGATTCTCGCTATGTGCTCAAGTTCTTCTTCAGTGAGCTCTTCCTGGGCAGGAATTGCCGGTAGAGGAGGTAAAGGAGGAGCTTCCCGTGTTACTTCTTTCACAGGTGATTCCGATGATAATAGGCCGTGGTCTTCAAATGAATCTCCGGCAATTATCGGTCCTTCGACCTTACTTTGATCATCGTCGGCTACAGAGGTTGCTGATGACGCTGTTCTTTCATAAGTTTCCTCAGTAATTGGCTCTGGGATAGAAACTGTTGGCTCAACAGTGTCAAGGCCTTCTGCCAGCCTCTGGATTCTCGCTATGTGCTCAAGTTCTTCTTCTGTTAGCTCTTCCTGGACAGGAATTGCCGGTAGAGGAGGTAAAGGAGGAGCTTCCCGTGTTACTTCTCTCACAGGTGATTCCGGTGACAATAGGCCGTGGTCTTCAAACGAATCTCCGGCAATTACCGATCCTTCGATCTTACTTTGATCATCGTCGGCTCCAGAGGTTGCTAATGACGCTGTTCTTTCATACGTTTCCTCAGTGATTGGCTCTGGGATAGAAACTGTTGGCTCAACAGTGTCAAGGCCTTCTGCCAGCCTCTGGATTCTCGCTATGTGCTCAAGTTCTTCTTCAGTGAGCTCTTCCTGGGCAGGAATTGCCGGTAGAGGAGGTAAAGGAGGAGCTTCCCGTGTTACTTCTCTCACAGGTGATTCCGGTGACAATAGGCCATGGTCCTCAAACGAATCTCCGGCAATTATCGATCCTTCGACTTTACTTTGATCATCGTCGGCTCCAGAGGTTGCTGATGACGCTGTTCTTTCATAAGTTTCCTCAGTGATTGGCTCTGGGATAGAAACTGTTGGCTCAACAGTGTCAAGGCCTTCTGCCAGCCTCTGGATTCTCGCTATGTGCTCAAGTTCTTCTTCTGTTAGCTCTTCCTGGACAGGAATTGACGGTGGAGGAGGTACAGGAGGAGCTACCCGTGTTACTTCTCTCACAGGTGATTCCGGTGACAATAGGCCGTGGTCTTCAAACGAATCTCCGGCAATTACCGATCCTTCGATCTTACTTTGATCATCGTCGGCTCCAGAGGTTGCTGATGACGCTGTTCTTTCATAAGTTTCCTCAGTGATTGGCTCTGGGATAGAAACTGTTGGCTCAACAGTGTCATGGCCTTCTGCCAGCCTCTGGATTCTCGCTATGTGCTCAAGTTCTTCTTCTATTAGCTCTTCCTGGACAGGAATTGACGGTGGAGGAGGTACAGGAGGAGCTTCCCGTGTTACTTCTTTCACAGGTGATTCCGATGATAATAGGCCGTGGTCTTCAAACGAATCTCCGGCAATTATCGATCCTCCAATCTTTCCGTGGTCATCGTCGGCTCCAGAGGTTGCTGATGACGCTGTTCTTTCATAAGTTTCCTCAGTGATTGGCTCTGGGATAGAAACTGTTGGCTCAACAGTGTCAAGGCCTTCTGCCAGCCTCTGGATTCTCGCTATGTGCTCAAATTCTTCTTCAGTGAGCTCTTCTTGGGCAGGAATTGACGGTGGAGGAGGTACAGGAGGAGCTTCCCGTGTTACTTCTTTCACAGGTGATGCCGATAACAATAGGCCATGGTCCTCAAACGAATCTCCGGCAATTATCGATCCTTCGACTTTACTTTGATCATCGTCGGCTCCAGAGGTTGCTGATGACGCTGTTCTTTCATAAGTTTCCTCAGTGATTGGCTCTGGGATAGAAACTGTTGGCTCAACAGTGTCAAGGCCTTCTGCCAGCCTCTGGATTCTCGCTATGTGCTCAAGTTCTTCTTCAGTGAGCTCTTCCTGGGCAGGAATTGCCGGTAGAGGAGGTAAAGGAGGAGCTTCCCGTGTTACTTCTTTCACAGGTGATTCCGATGATAATAGGCCGTGGTCTTCAAACGAATCTCCGGCAATTATCGATCCTTCGATCTTACTTTGATCATTGTCGGCTCCAGTGGTTGCTGATGACGCTGTTCTTTCATAAGTTTCCTCAGTGATTGGCTCTGGGATAGAAACTGTTGGCTCAACAGTGTCAAGGCCTTCTGCCAGCCTTTGGATCCTTGTTATGTGCTCAAGTTCTTCTTCTATTAGCTCTTCCTGGACAGGAATTGCCGGTAGAGGAGGTAAAGGAGGAGCTTCCCGTGTTACTTCTTTCACAGGTGATTCCGATGATAATAGGCCGTGGTCTTCAAATGAATCTCCGGCAATTATCGGTCCTTCGACCTTACTTTGATCATCGTCGGCTACAGAGGTTGCTGATGACGCTGTTCTTTCATAAGTTTCCTCAGTAATTGGCTCTGGGATAGAAACTGTTGGCTCAACAGTGTCAAGGCCTTCTGCCAGCCTCTGGATTCTCGCTATGTGCTCAAGTTCTTCTTCTGTTAGCTCTTCCTGGACAGGAATTGCCGGTAGAGGAGGTAAAGGAGGAGCTTCCCGTGTTACTTCTCTCACAGGTGATTCCGGTGACAATAGGCCGTGGTCTTCAAACGAATCTCCGGCAATTACCGATCCTTCGATCTTACTTTGATCATCGTCGGCTCCAGAGGTTGCTAATGACGCTGTTCTTTCATACGTTTCCTCAGTGATTGGCTCTGGGATAGAAACTGTTGGCTCAACAGTGTCAAGGCCTTCTGCCAGCCTCTGGATTCTCGCTATGTGCTCAAGTTCTTCTTCAGTGAGCTCTTCCTGGGCAGGAATTGCCGGTAGAGGAGGTAAAGGAGGAGCTTCCCGTGTTACTTCTCTCACAGGTGATTCCGGTGACAATAGGCCATGGTCCTCAAACGAATCTCCGGCAATTATCGATCCTTCGACTTTACTTTGATCATCGTCGGCTCCAGAGGTTGCTGATGACGCTGTTCTTTCATAAGTTTCCTCAGTGATTGGCTCTGGGATAGAAACTGTTGGCTCAACAGTGTCATGGCCTTCTGCCAGCCTCTGGATTCTCGCTATGTGCTCAAGTTCTTCTTCTATTAGCTCTTCCTGGACAGGAATTGACGGTGGAGGAGGTACAGGAGGAGCTACCCGTGTTACTTCTCTCACAGGTGATTCCGGTGACAATAGGCCGTGGTCTTCAAACGAATCTCCGGCAATTACCGATCCTTCGATCTTACTTTGATCATCGTCGGCTCCAGAGGTTGCTGATGACGCTGTTCTTTCATAAGTTTCCTCAGTGATTGGCTCTGGGATAGAAACTGTTGGCTCAACAGTGTCAAGGCCTTCTGCCAGCCTCTGGATTCTCGCTATGTGCTCAAGTTCTTCTTCTGTTAGCTCTTCCTGGACAGGAATTGACGGTGGAGGAGGTACAGGAGGAGCTACCCGTGTTACTTCTCTCACAGGTGATTCCGGTGACAATAGGCCGTGGTCTTCAAACGAATCTCCGGCAATTACCGATCCTTCGATCTTACTTTGATAATCGTCGGCTCCAGAGGTTGCTAATGACGCTGTTCTTTCATACGTTTCCTCAGTGATTGGCTCTGGGATAGAAACTGTTGGCTCAACAGTGTCAAGGCCTTCTGCCAGCCTCTGGATTCTCGCTATGTGCTCAAGTTCTTCTTCAGTGAGCTCTTCCTGGGCAGGAATTGCCGGTAGAGGAGGTAAAGGAGGAGCTTCCCGTGTTACTTCTTTCACAGGTGATTCCGATGATAATAGGCCGTGGTCTTCAAATGAATCTCCGGCAATTATCGGTCCTTCGACCTTACTTTGATCATCGTCGGCTACAGAGGTTGCTGATGACGCTGTTCTTTCATAAGTTTCCTCAGTAATTGGCTCTGGGATAGAAACTGTTGGCTCAACAGTGTCAAGGCCTTCTGCCAGCCTCTGGATTCTCGCTATGTGCTCAAGTTCTTCTTCAGTGAGCTCTTCCTGGGCAGGAATTGCCGGTAGAGGAGGTAAAGGAGGAGCTTCCCGTGTTACTTCTCTCACAGGTGATTCCGGTGACAATAGGCCATGGTCCTCAAACGAATCTCCGGCAATTATCGATCCTTCGACTTTACTTTGATCATCGTCGGCTCCAGAGGTTGCTGATGACGCTGTTCTTTCATAAGTTTCCTCAGTGATTGGCTCTGGGATAGAAACTGTTGGCTCAACAGTGTCAAGGCCTTCTGCCAGCCTCTGGATTCTCGCTATGTGCTCAAGTTCTTCTTCTGTTAGCTCTTCCTGGACAGGAATTGACGGTGGAGGAGGTACAGGAGGAGCTACCCGTGTTACTTCTCTCACAGGTGATTCCGGTGACAATAGGCCGTGGTCTTCAAACGAATCTCCGGCAATTACCGATCCTTCGATCTTACTTTGATCATCGTCGGCTCCAGAGGTTGCTGATGACGCTGTTCTTTCATAAGTTTCCTCAGTGATTGGCTCTGGGATAGAAACTGTTGGCTCAACAGTGTCATGGCCTTCTGCCAGCCTCTGGATTCTCGCTATGTGCTCAAGTTCTTCTTCTGTTAGCTCTTCCTGGACAGGAATTGACGGTGGAGGAGGTACAGGAGGAGCTACCCGTGTTACTTCTCTCACAGGTGATTCCGGTGACAATAGGCCGTGGTCTTCAAACGAATCTCCGGCAATTACCGATCCTTCGATCTTACTTTGATCATCGTCGGCTCCAGAGGTTGCTGATGACGCTGTTCTTTCATAAGTTTCCTCAGTGATTGGCTCTGGGATAGAAACTGTTGGCTCAACAGTGTCATGGCCTTCTGCCAGCCTCTGGATTCTCGCTATGTGCTCAAGTTCTTCTTCTATTAGCTCTTCCTGGACAGGAATTGACGGTGGAGGAGGTACAGGAGGAGCTACCCGTGTTACTTCTCTCACAGGTGATTCCGGTGACAATAGGCCGTGGTCTTCAAACGAATCTCCGGCAATTACCGATCCTTCGATCTTACTTTGATCATCGTCGGCTCCAGAGGTTGCTGATGACGCTGTTCTTTCATAAGTTTCCTCAGTGATTGGCTCTGGGATAGAAACTGTTGGCTCAACAGTGTCAAGGCCTTCTGCCAGCCTCTGGATTCTCGCTATGTGCTCAAGTTCTTCTTCTGTTAGCTCTTCCTGGACAGGAATTGACGGTGGAGGAGGTACAGGAGGAGCTACCCGTGTTACTTCTCTCACAGGTGATTCCGGTGACAATAGGCCGTGGTCTTCAAACGAATCTCCGGCAATTACCGATCCTTCGATCTTACTTTGATCATCGTCGGCTCCAGAGGTTGCTAATGACGCTGTTCTTTCATACGTTTCCTCAGTGATTGGCTCTGGGATAGAAACTGTTGGCTCAACAGTGTCAAGGCCTTCTGCCAGCCTCTGGATTCTCGCTATGTGCTCAAGTTCTTCTTCAGTGAGCTCTTCCTGGGCAGGAATTGCCGGTAGAGGAGGTAAAGGAGGAGCTTCCCGTGTTACTTCTCTCACAGGTGATTCCGGTGACAATAGGCCATGGTCCTCAAACGAATCTCCGGCAATTATCGATCCTTCGACTTTACTTTGATCATCGTCGGCTCCAGAGGTTGCTGATGACGCTGTTCTTTCATAAGTTTCCTCAGTGATTGGCTCTGGGATAGAAACTGTTGGCTCAACAGTGTCAAGGCCTTCTGCCAGCCTCTGGATTCTCGCTATGTGCTCAAGTTCTTCTTCTGTTAGCTCTTCCTGGACAGGAATTGACGGTGGAGGAGGTACAGGAGGAGCTACCCGTGTTACTTCTCTCACAGGTGATTCCGGTGACAATAGGCCGTGGTCTTCAAACGAATCTCCGGCAATTACCGATCCTTCGATCTTACTTTGATCATCGTCGGCTCCAGAGGTTGCTGATGACGCTGTTCTTTCATAAGTTTCCTCAGTGATTGGCTCTGGGATAGAAACTGTTGGCTCAACAGTGTCATGGCCTTCTGCCAGCCTCTGGATTCTCGCTATGTGCTCAAGTTCTTCTTCTATTAGCTCTTCCTGGACAGGAATTGACGGTGGAGGAGGTACAGGAGGAGCTACCCGTGTTACTTCTCTCACAGGTGATTCCGGTGACAATAGGCCGTGGTCTTCAAACGAATCTCCGGCAATTATCGATCCTCCAATCTTTCCGTGGTCATCGTCGGCTCCAGAGGTTGCTGATGACGCTGTTCTTTCATAAGTTTCCTCAGTGATTGGCTCTGGGATAGAAACTGTTGGCTCAACAGTGTCAAGGCCTTCTGCCAGCCTCTGGATTCTCGTTATGTGCTCAACTTCTTCTTCTGTTAGCTCTTCCTGGACAGGAATTGACGGTGGAGGAGGTACAGGAGGAGCTACCCGTGTTACTTCTCTCACAGGTGATTCCGGTGACAATAGGCCGTGGTCTTCAAACGAATCTCCGGCAATTATCGATCCTCCAATCTTTCCGTGGTCATCGTCGGCTCCAGAGGTTGCTGATGACGCTGTTCTTTCATAAGTTTCCTCAGTGATTGGCTCTGGGATAGAAACTGTTGGCTCAACAGTGTCAAGGCCTTCTGCCAGCCTCTGGATTCTCGCTATGTGCTCAAGTTCTTCTTCAGTGAGCTCTTCTTGGGCAGGAATTGACGGTGGAGGAGGTACAGGAGGAGCTACCCGTGTTACTTCTCTCACAGGTGGTTCCGGTGACAATAGGCCGTGGTCTTCAAACGAATCTCCGGCAATTATCGATCCTTCGATCTTTCCGTGGTCATCGTCGGCTCCAGAGGTTGCTGATGACGCTGTTCTTTCATAAGTTTCCTCAGTGATTGGCTCTGGGATTGAAACTGTTGGCCCAACAGTGTCAAGGCCTTCTGCCAGCCTTTGGATTCTCGCTATGTGCTCAAGTTCTTCTTCAGTGAGCTCTTCTTGGGCAGGAATCGACGGTGGAGGAGGAGCTACCCGTGTTACTTCTCTCACAGGTGGTTCCGGTGACAATAGGCCGTGGTCTTCAAACGAATCTCCGGCAATTATCGATCCTCCAATCTTTCCGTGGTCATCGTCGGCTCCAGAGGTTGCTGATGACGCTGTTCTTTCATAAGTTTCCTCAGTGATTGGCTCTGGGATTGAAACTGTTGGCTCAACAGTGTCAAGGCCTTCTGCCGGCCTTTGGATTCTCGCTATGTGCTCAAGTTCTTCTTCAGTGAGCTCTTCTTGGGCAGGAATTGACAGTGGAGGAGGTACAGGAGGAGCTACCCGTGTTACTTCTCTCACAGGTGGTTCCGGTGACAATAGGCCGTGGTCTTCAAACGAATCTCCGGCAATTACCGATCCTTCGATCTTACTTTGATAATCGTCGGCTCCAGAGGTTGCTAATGACGCTGTTCTTTCATACGTTTCCTCAGTGATTGGCTCTGGGATAGAAACTGTTGGCTCAACAGTGTCAAGGCCTTCTGCCAGCCTCTGGATTCTCGCTATGTGCTCAAGTTCTTCTTCAGTGAGCTCTTCCTGGGCAGGAATTGCCGGTAGAGGAGGTAAAGGAGGAGCTTCCCGTGTTACTTCTTTCACAGGTGATTCCGATGATAATAGGCCGTGGTCTTCAAATGAATCTCCGGCAATTATCGGTCCTTCGACCTTACTTTGATCATCGTCGGCTACAGAGGTTGCTGATGACGCTGTTCTTTCATAAGTTTCCTCAGTAATTGGCTCTGGGATAGAAACTGTTGGCTCAACAGTGTCAAGGCCTTCTGCCAGCCTCTGGATTCTCGCTATGTGCTCAAGTTCTTCTTCAGTGAGCTCTTCCTGGGCAGGAATTGCCGGTAGAGGAGGTAAAGGAGGAGCTTCCCGTGTTACTTCTCTCACAGGTGATTCCGGTGACAATAGGCCATGGTCCTCAAACGAATCTCCGGCAATTATCGATCCTTCGACTTTACTTTGATCATCGTCGGCTCCAGAGGTTGCTGATGACGCTGTTCTTTCATAAGTTTCCTCAGTGATTGGCTCTGGGATAGAAACTGTTGGCTCAACAGTGTCAAGGCCTTCTGCCAGCCTCTGGATTCTCGCTATGTGCTCAAGTTCTTCTTCTGTTAGCTCTTCCTGGACAGGAATTGACGGTGGAGGAGGTACAGGAGGAGCTACCCGTGTTACTTCTCTCACAGGTGATTCCGGTGACAATAGGCCGTGGTCTTCAAACGAATCTCCGGCAATTACCGATCCTTCGATCTTACTTTGATCATCGTCGGCTCCAGAGGTTGCTGATGACGCTGTTCTTTCATAAGTTTCCTCAGTGATTGGCTCTGGGATAGAAACTGTTGGCTCAACAGTGTCATGGCCTTCTGCCAGCCTCTGGATTCTCGCTATGTGCTCAAGTTCTTCTTCTATTAGCTCTTCCTGGACAGGAATTGACGGTGGAGGAGGTACAGGAGGAGCTACCCGTGTTACTTCTCTCACAGGTGATTCCGGTGACAATAGGCCGTGGTCTTCAAACGAATCTCCGGCAATTACCGATCCTTCGATCTTACTTTGATCATCGTCGGCTCCAGAGGTTGCTGATGACGCTGTTCTTTCATAAGTTTCCTCAGTGATTGGCTCTGGGATAGAAACTGTTGGCTCAACAGTGTCAAGGCCTTCTGCCAGCCTCTGGATTCTCGCTATGTGCTCAAGTTCTTCTTCTGTTAGCTCTTCCTGGACAGGAATTGACGGTGGAGGAGGTACAGGAGGAGCTACCCGTGTTACTTCTCTCACAGGTGATTCCGGTGACAATAGGCCGTGGTCTTCAAACGAATCTCCGGCAATTACCGATCCTTCGATCTTACTTTGATCATCGTCGGCTCCAGAGGTTGCTAATGACGCTGTTCTTTCATAAGTTTCCTCAGTGATTGGCTCTGGGATAGAAACTGTTGGCTCAACAGTGTCAAGGCCTTCTGCCAGCCTCTGGATTCTCGCTATGTGCTCAAGTTCTTCTTCAGTGAGCTCTTCCTGGGCAGGAATTGCCGGTAGAGGAGGTAAAGGAGGAGCTTCCCGTGTTACTTCTCTCACAGGTGATTCCGGTGACAATAGGCCATGGTCCTCAAACGAATCTCCGGCAATTATCGATCCTTCGACTTTACTTTGATCATCGTCGGCTCCAGAGGTTGCTGATGACGCTGTTCTTTCATAAGTTTCCTCAGTGATTGGCTCTGGGATAGAAACTGTTGGCTCAACAGTGTCATGGCCTTCTGCCAGCCTCTGGATTCTCGCTATGTGCTCAAGTTCTTCTTCTATTAGCTCTTCCTGGACAGGAATTGACGGTGGAGGAGGTACAGGAGGAGCTACCCGTGTTACTTCTCTCACAGGTGATTCCGGTGACAATAGGCCGTGGTCTTCAAACGAATCTCCGGCAATTACCGATCCTTCGATCTTACTTTGATCATCGTCGGCTCCAGAGGTTGCTAATGACGCTGTTCTTTCATAAGTTTCCTCAGTGATTGGCTCTGGGATAGAAACTGTTGGCTCAACAGTGTCAAGGCCTTCTGCCAGCCTCTGGATTCTCGCTATGTGCTCAAGTTCTTCTTCAGTGAGCTCTTCCTGGGCAGGAATTGCCGGTAGAGGAGGTAAAGGAGGAGCTTCCCGTGTTACTTCTCTCACAGGTGATTCCGGTGACAATAGGCCATGGTCCTCAAACGAATCTCCGGCAATTATCGATCCTTCGATCTTTACTTTGATCATCGTCGGCTCCAGAGGTTGCTGATGACGCTGTTCTTTCATAAGTTTCCTCAGTGATTGGCTCTGGGATAGAAACTGTTGGCTCAACAGTGTCATGGCCTTCTGCCAGCCTCTGGATTCTCGCTATGTGCTCAAGTTCTTCTTCTATTAGCTCTTCCTGGACAGGAATTGACGGTGGAGGAGGTACAGGAGGAGCTACCCGTGTTACTTCTCTCACAGGTGATTCCGGTGACAATAGGCCGTGGTCTTCAAACGAATCTCCGGCAATTATCGATCCTCCAATCTTTCCGTGGTCATCGTCGGCTCCAGAGGTTGCTGATGACGCTGTTCTTTCATAAGTTTCCTCAGTGATTGGCTCTGGGATAGAAACTGTTGGCTCAACAGTGTCAAGGCCTTCTGCCAGCCTCTGGATTCTCGTTATGTGCTCAACTTCTTCTTCTGTTAGCTCTTCCTGGACAGGAATTGACGGTGGAGGAGGTACAGGAGGAGCTACCCGTGTTATTTCTCTCACAGGTGATTCCGGTGACAATAGGCCGTGGTCTTCAAACGAATCTCCGGCAATTATCGATCCTCCAATCTTTCCGTGGTCATCGTCGGCTCCAGAGGTTGCTGATGACGCTGTTCTTTCATAAGTTTCCTCAGTGATTGGCTCTGGGATTGAAACTGTTGGCTCAACGGTGTCAAGGCCTTCTGCCAGCCTCTGGATTCTCGTTATGTGCTCAAGTTCTTCTTCTGTTAGCTCTTCCTGGACAGGAATTGACGGTGGAGGAGGTACAGGAGAAGCTACCCGTGTTACTTCTCTCACAGGTGATTCCGGTGACAATAGGCCGTGGTCTTCAAACGAATCTCCGGCAATTATCGATCCTCCAATCTTTCCGTGGTCATCGTCGGCTCCAGAGGTTGCTGATGACGCTGTTCTTTCATAAGTTTCCTCAGTGATTGGCTCTGGGATTGAAACTGTTGGCTCAACAGTGTCAAGGCCTTCTGCCGGCCTTTGGATTCTCGCTATGTGCTCAAGTTCTTCTTCAGTGAGCTCTTCTTGGGCAGGAATTGACGGTGGAGGAGGTACAGGAGGAGCTACCCGTGTTACTTCTCTCACAGGTGGTTCCGGTGACAATAGGCCGTGGTCTTCAAACGAATCTCCGGCAATTATCGATCCTTCGACTTTACTTTGATCATCGTCGGCTCCAGAGGTTGCTGATGACGCTGTTCTTTCATAAGTTTCCTCAGTGATTGGCTCTGGGATTGAAACTGTTGGCTCAACAGTGTCAAGGCCTTCTGCCAGCCTTTGGATTCTCGCTATGTGCTCAAGTTCTTCTTCAGTGAGCTCTTCTTGGGCAGGAATTGACGGTGGAGGAGGTACAGGAGGAGCTACCCGTGTTACTTCTCTCACAGGTGGTTCCGGTGACAATAGGCCGTGGTCTTCAAACGAATCTCCGGCAATTATCGATCCTCCAATCTTTCCGTGGTCATCGTCGGCTCCAGAGGTTGCTGATGACGCTGTTCTTTCATAAGTTTCCTCAGTGATTGGCTCTGGGATTGAAACTGTTGGCTCAACAGTGTCAAGGCCTTCTGCCGGCCTTTGGATTCTCGCTATGTGCTCAAGTTCTTCTTCAGTGAGCTCTTCTTGGGCAGGAATTGACGGTGGAGGAGGTACAGGAGGAGCTACCCGTGTTACTTCTCTCACAGGTGGTTCCGGTGACAATAGGCCGTGGTCTTCAAACGAATCTCCGGCAATTACCGATCCTTCGATCTTTCCGTGGTCATCGTCGGCTCCAGAGGTTGCTGATGACGCTGTTCTTTCATAAGTTTCCTCAGTGATTGGCTCTGGGATTGAAACTGTTGGCTCAACAGTGTCAAGGCCTTCTGCCAGCCTTTGGATTCTCGCTATGTGCTCAAGTTCTTCTTCAGTGAGCTCTTCTTGGGCAGGAATTGACGGTGGAGGAGGTACAGGAGGAGCTACCCGTGTTACTTCTCTCACAGGTGGTTCCGGTGACAATAGGCCGTGGTCTTCAAACGAATCTCCGGCAATTATCGATCCTCCAATCTTTCCGTGGTCATCGTCGGCTCCAGAGGTTGCTGATGACGCTGTTCTTTCATAAGTTTCCTCAGTGATTGGCTCTGGGATTGAAACTGTTGGCTCAACGGTGTCAAGGCCTTCTGCCAGCCTCTGGATTCTCGTTATGTGCTCAAGTTCTTCTTCTGTTAGCTCTTCCTGGACAGGAATTGACGGTGGAGGAGGTACAGGAGGAGCTACCCGTGTTACTTCTCTCACAGGTGATTCCGGTGACAATAGGCCGTGGTCTTCAAACGAATCTCCGGCAATTATCGATCCTCCAATCTTTCCGTGGTCATCGTCGGCTCCAGAGGTTGCTGATGACGCTGTTCTTTCATAAGTTTCCTCAGTGATTGGCTCTGGGATTGAAACTGTTGGCTCAACAGTGTCAAGGCCTTCTGCCGGCCTTTGGATTCTCGCTATGTGCTCAAGTTCTTCTTCAGTGAGCTCTTCTTGGGCAGGAATTGACGGTGGAGGAGGTACAGGAGGAGCTACCCGTGTTACTTCTCTCACAGGTGGTTCCGGTGACAATAGGCCGTGGTCTTCAAACGAATCTCCGGCAATTACCGATCCTTCGATCTTTCCGTGGTCATCGTCGGCTCCAGAGGTTGCTGATGACGCTGTTCTTTCATAAGTTTCCTCAGTGATTGGCTCTGGGATTGAAACTGTTGGCTCAACAGTGTCAAGGCCTTCTGCCAGCCTTTGGATTCTCGCTATGTGCTCAAGTTCTTCTTCAGTGAGCTCTTCTTGGGCAGGAATTGACGGTGGAGGAGGAGCTACCCGTGTTACTTCTCTCACAGGTGGTTCCGGTGACAATAGGCCGTGGTCTTCAAACGAATCTCCGGCAATTATCGATCCTCCAATCTTTCCGTGGTCATCGTCGGCTCCAGAGGTTGCTGATGACGCTGTTCTTTCATAAGTTTCCTCAGTGATTGGCTCTGGGATTGAAACTGTTGGCTCAACAGTGTCAAGGCCTTCTGCCGGCCTTTGGATTCTCGCTATGTGCTCAAGTTCTTCTTCAGTGAGCTCTTCTTGGGCAGGAATTGACGGTGGAGGAGGTACAGGAGGAGCTACCCGTGTTACTTCTCTCACAGGTGGTTCCGGTGACAATAGGCCGTGGTCTTCAAACGAATCTCCGGCAATTACCGATCCTTCGATCTTTCCGTGGTCATCGTCGGCTCCAGAGGTTGCTGATGACGCTGTTCTTTCATAAGTTTCCTCAGTGATTGGCTCTCGGATAGAAACTGTTGGCTCAACAGTGTCAAGGCCTTCTGCCAGCCTCTGGATTCTCGTTGTGTGCTCAACTTCTTCTTCTGTTAGCTCTTCCTGGACAGGAATTGACGGTGGAGGAGGTACAGGAGGAGCTACCCGTGTTATTTCTCTCACAGGTGATTCCGGTGACAATAGGCCGTGGTCTTCAAACGAATCTCCGGCAATTATCGATCCTCCAATCTTTCCGTGGTCATCGTCGGCTCCAGAGGTTGCTGATGACGCTGTTCTTTCATAAGTTTCCTCAGTGATTGGCTCTGGGATTGAAACTGTTGGCTCAACGGTGTCAAGGCCTTCTGCCAGCCTCTGGATTCTCGTTATGTGCTCAAGTTCTTCTTCTGTTAGCTCTTCCTGGACAGGAATTGACGGTGGAGGAGGTACAGGAGGAGCTACCCGTGGTACTTCTCTCACAGGTGATTCCGGTGACAATAGGCCGTCGTCTTCAAACGAATCTCCGGCAATTATCGATCCTCCAATCTTTCCGTGGTCATCGTCGGCTCCAGAGGTTGCTGATGACGCTGTTCTTTCATAAGTTTCCTCAGTGATTGGCTCTGGGATTGAAACTGTTGGCTCAACAGTGTCAAGGCCTTCTGCCAGCCTTTGGATTCTCGCTATGTGCTCAAGTTCTTCTTCAGTGAGCTCTTCTTGGGCAGGAATTGACGGTGGAGGAGGTACAGGAGGAGCTACCCGTGTTACTTCTCTCACAGGTGGTTCCGGTGACAATAGGCCGTGGTCTTCAAACGAATCTCCGGCAATTACCGATCCTTCGATCTTACTTTGATCATCGTCGGCTCCAGAGGTTGCTGATGACGCTGTTCTTTCATAAGTTTCCTCAGTGATTGGCTCTGGGATAGAAACTGTTGGCTCAACAGTGTCAAGGCCTTCTGCCAGCCTCTGGATTCTCGTTATGTGCTCAACTTCTTCTTCTGTTAGCTCTTCCTGGACAGGAATTGACGGTGGAGGAGGTACAGGAGGAGCTACCCGTGTTACTTCTCTCACAGGTGATTCCGGTGACAATAGGCCGTGGTCTTCAAACGAATCTCCGGCAATTATCGATCCTCCAATCTTTCCGTGGTCATCGTCGGCTCCAGAGGTTGCTGATGACGCTGTTATTTCATAAGTTTCCTCAGTGATTGGCTCTGGGATAGAAACTGTTGGCTCAACAGTGTCAAGGCCTTCTGCCAGCCTCTGGATTCTCGTTATGTGCTCAACTTCTTCTTCTGTTAGCTCTTCCTGGACAGGAATTGACGGTGGAGGAGGTACAGGAGGAGCTACCCGTGTTACTTCTCTCACAGGTGATTCCGGTGACAATAGGCCGTCGTCTTCAAACGAATCTCCGGCAATTATCGATCCTCCAATCTTTCCGTGGTCATCGTCGGCTCCAGAGGTTGCTGATGACGCTGTTCTTTCATAAGTTTCCTCAGTGATTGGCTCTGGGATTGAAACTGTTGGCTCAACAGTGTCAAGGCCTTCTGCCGGCCTTTGGATTCTCGCTATGTGCTCAAGTTCTTCTTCAGTGAGCTCTTCTTGGGCAGGAATTGACGGTGGAGGAGGTACAGGAGGAGCTACCCGTGTTACTTCTCTCACAGGTGGTTCCGGTGACAGTAGGCCGTGGTCTTCAAACGAATCTCCGGCAATTACCGATCCTTCGATCTTTCCGTGGTCATCGTCGGCTCCAGAGGTTGCTGATGACGCTGTTCTTTCATAAGTTTCCTCAGTGATTGGCTCTGGGATTGAAACTGTTGGCTCAACAGTGTCAAGGCCTTCTGCCAGCCTTTGGATTCTCGCTATGTGCTCAAGTTCTTCTTCAGTGAGCTCTTCTTGGGCAGGAATTGACGGTGGAGGAGGTACAGGAGGAGCTACCCGTGTTACTTCTCTCACAGGTGGTTCCGGTGACAATAGGCCGTGGTCTTCAAACGAATCTCCGGCAATTATCGATCCTCCAATCTTTCCGTGGTCATCGTCGGCTCCAGAGGTTGCTGATGACGCTGTTCTTTCATAAGTTTCCTCAGTGATTGGCTCTGGGATTGAAACTGTTGGCTCAACAGTGTCAAGGCCTTCTGCCGGCCTTTGGATTCTCGCTATGTGCTCAAGTTCTTCTTCAGTGAGCTCTTCTTGGGCAGGAATTGACGGTGGAGGAGGTACAGGAGGAGCTACCCGTGTTACTTCTCTCACAGGTGGTTCCGGTGACAATAGGCCGTGGTCTTCAAACGAATCTCCGGCAATTACCGATCCTTCGATCTTACTTTGATCATCGTCGGCTCCAGAGGTTGCTGATGACGCTGTTCTTTCATAAGTTTCCTCAGTGATTGGCTCTGGGATAGAAACTGTTGGCTCAACAGTGTCAAGGCCTTCTGCCAGCCTTTGGATTCTCGCTATGTGCTCAAGTTCTTCTTCAGTGAGCTCTTCTTGGGCAGGAATTGACGGTGGAGGAGGTACAGAAGGAGCTACCCGTGTTACTTCTCTCACAGGTGGTTCCGGTGACAATAGGCCGTGGTCTTCAAACGAATCTCCGGCAATTACCGATCCTTCGATCTTACTTTGATCATCGTCGGCTCCAGAGGTTGCTGATGACCCTGTTCTTTCATAAGTTTCCTCAGTGATTGGCTCTGGGATAGAAACTGTTGGCTCAACAGTGTCAAGGCCTTCTGCCAGCCTCTGGATTCTCGTTATGTGCTCAACTTCTTCTTCTGTTAGCTCTTCCTGGACAGGAATTGACGGTGGAGGAGGTACAGGAGGAGCTACCCGTGTTACTTCTCTCACAGGTGATTCCGGTGACAGTAGGCCGTGGTCTTCAAACGAATCTCCGGCAATTATCGATCCTCCAATCTTTCCGTGGTCATCGTCGGCTCCAGAGGTTGCTGATGACGCTGTTCTTTCATAAGTTTCCTCAGTGATTGGCTCTGGGATTGAAACTGTTGGCTCAACAGTGTCAAGGCCTTCTGCCGGCCTTTGGATTCTCGCTATGTGCTCAAGTTCTTCTTCAGTGAGCTCTTCTTGGGCAGGAATTGACGGTGGAGGAGGTACAGGAGGAGCTACCCGTGTTACTTCTCTCACAGGTGGTTCCGGTGACAATAGGCCGTGGTCTTCAAACGAATCTCCGGCAATTACCGATCCTTCGATCTTACTTTGATCATCGTCGGCTCCAGAGGTTGCTGATGACGCTGTTCTTTCATAAGTTTCCTCAGTGATTGGCTCTGGGATAGAAACTGTTGGCTCAACAGTGTCAAGGCCTTCTGCCAGCCTTTGGATTCTCGCTATGTGCTCAAGTTCTTCTTCAGTGAGCTCTTCTTGGGCAGGAATTGACGGTGGAGGAGGTACAGAAGGAGCTACCCGTGTTACTTCTCTCACAGGTGGTTCCGGTGACAATAGGCCGTGGTCTTCAAACGAATCTCCGGCAATTACCGATCCTTCGATCTTACTTTGATCATCGTCGGCTCCAGAGGTTGCTGATGACGCTGTTCTTTCATAAGTTTCCTCAGTGATTGGCTCTGGGATAGAAACTGTTGGCTCAACAGTGTCAAGGCCTTCTGCCAGCCTCTGGATTCTCGTTATGTGCTCAACTTCTTCTTCTGTTAGCTCTTCCTGGACAGGAATTGACGGTGGAGGAGGTACAGGAGGAGCTACCCGTGTTACTTCTCTCACAGGTGATTCCGGTGACAGTAGGCCGTGGTCTTCAAACGAATCTCCGGCAATTATCGATCCTCCAATCTTTCCGTGGTCATCGTCGGCTCCAGAGGTTGCTGATGACGCTGTTCTTTCATAAGTTTCCTCAGTGATTGGCTCTGGGATAGAAACTGTTGGCTCAACAGTGTCAAGGCCTTCTGCCGGCCTTTGGATTCTCGCTATGTGCTCAAGTTCTTCTTCAGTGAGCTCTTCCTGGGCAGGAATTGACGGTGGAGGAGGTACAGGAGGAGCTACCCGTGTTACTTCTGTCACAGGTGGTTCCGGTGACAATAGGCCGTGGTCTTCAAACGAATCTCCGGCAATTACCGATCCTTCGATCTTTCCGTGGTCATCGTCGGCTCCAGAGGTTGCTGATGACGCTGTTCTTTCATAAGTTTCCTCAGTGATTGGCTCTGGGATTGAAACTGTTGGCTCAACAGTGTCAAGGCCTTCTGCCAGCCTTTGGATTCTCGCTATGTGCTCAAGTTCTTCTTCAGTGAACTCTTCTTGGGCAGGAATTGACGGTGGAGGAGGTACAGGAGGAGCTACCCGTGTTACTTCTCTCACAGGTGATTCCGGTGACAGTAGGCCGTGGTCTTCAAACGAATCTCCGGCAATTATCGATCCTCCAATCTTTCCGTGGTCATCGTCGGCTCCAGAGGTTGCTGATGACGCTGTTCTTTCATAAGTTTCCTCAGTGATTGGCTCTGGGATTGAAACTGTTGGCTCAACAGTGTCAAGGCCTTCTGCCGGCCTTTGGATTCTCGCTATGTGCTCAAGTTCTTCTTCAGTGAGCTCTTCTTGGGCAGGAATTGACGGTGGAGGAGGTACAGGAGGAGCTACCCGTGTTACTTCTCTCACAGGTGGTTCCGGTGACAATAGGCCGTGGTCTTCAAACGAATCTCCGGCAATTACCGATCCTTCGATCTTACTTTGATCATCGTCGGCTCCAGAGGTTGCTGATGACGCTGTTCTTTCATAAGTTTCCTCAGTGATTGGCTCTGGGATAGAAACTGTTGGCTCAACAGTGTCAAGGCCTTCTGCCAGCCTTTGGATTCTCGCTATGTGCTCAAGTTCTTCTTCAGTGAGCTCTTCTTGGGCAGGAATTGACGGTGGAGGAGGTACAGAAGGAGCTACCCGTGTTACTTCTCTCACAGGTGGTTCCGGTGACAATAGGCCGTGGTCTTCAAACGAATCTCCGGCAATTACCGATCCTTCGATCTTACTTTGATCATCGTCGGCTCCAGAGGTTGCTGATGACGCTGTTCTTTCATAAGTTTCCTCAGTGATTGGCTCTGGGATAGAAACTGTTGGCTCAACAGTGTCAAGGCCTTCTGCCAGCCTCTGGATTCTCGTTATGTGCTCAACTTCTTCTTCTGTTAGCTCTTCCTGGACAGGAATTGACGGTGGAGGAGGTACAGGAGGAGCTACCCGTGTTACTTCTCTCACAGGTGATTCCGGTGACAGTAGGCCGTGGTCTTCAAACGAATCTCCGGCAATTATCGATCCTCCAATCTTTCCGTGGTCATCGTCGGCTCCAGAGGTTGCTGATGACGCTGTTCTTTCATAAGTTTCCTCAGTGATTGGCTCTGGGATAGAAACTGTTGGCTCAACAGTGTCAAGGCCTTCTGCCAGCCTTTGGATTCTCGCTATGTGCTCAAGTTCTTCTTCAGTGAGCTCTTCCTGGGCAGGAATTGACGGTGGAGGAGGTACAGGAGGAGCTACCCGTGTTACTTCTGTCACAGGTGGTTCCGGTGACAATAGGCCGTGGTCTTCAAACGAATCTCCGGCAATTACCGATCCTTCGATCTTTCCGTGGTCATCGTCGGCTCCAGAGGTTGCTGATGACGCTGTTCTTTCATAAGTTTCCTCAGTGATTGGCTCTGGGATTGAAACTGTTGGCTCAACAGTGTCAAGGCCTTCTGCCAGCCTTTGGATTCTCGCTATGTGCTCAAGTTCTTCTTCAGTGAACTCTTCTTGGGCAGGAATTGACGGTGGAGGAGGTACAGGAGGAGCTACCCGTGTTACTTCTCTCACAGGTGGTTCCGGTGACAATAGGCCGTGGTCTTCAAACGAATCTCCGGCAATTACCGATCCTTCGATATTACTTTGATCATCGTCGGCTCCAGAGGTTGCTGATGACGCTGTTCTTTCATAAGTTTCCTCAGTGATTGGCTCTGGGATAGAAACTGTTGGCTCAACGGTGTTAAGGCCTTCTGCCAGCCTCTGGATTCTCGTTATGTGCTCAAGCTCTTCTTCAGTGAGCTCTTCTTGGGCAGGAATTGACGGTGGAGGAGGTACAGGAGGAGCTACCCGTGTTACTTCTCTCACAGGTGGTTCCGGTGACAATAGGCCGTGGTCTTCAAACGAATCTCCGGCAATTATCGATCCTCCAATCTTTCCGTGGTCATCGTCGGCTCCAGAGGTTGCTGATGACGCTGTTCTTTCATAAGTTTCCTCAGTGATTGGCTCTGGGATAGAAACTGTTGGCTCAACGGTGTTAATGCCTTCTGCCAGCCTCTGGATTCTCGCTATGTGCTCAAGTTCTTCTTCTGTTAGCTCTTCCTGGACAGGAATTGACGGTGGAGGAGGTACAGGAGGAGCTACCCGTGTTACTTCTCTCACAGGTGATTCCGGTGAAAATAGGCCGTAGTCTTCAAACGAATCTCCCCTGTTTTGCTGCTTTTCGCCTTGCACAGGAATAATTGGTATACGTAGCGCTTCGATCGTTTTTCCGTTATTCTTATGCGGATCTGCTCGTGTGCTGCTTATGTTACGCTGTTTTTCTGGTTGTCGAACTTTGATGTTAATGGTCTCTTGTTTGTTCAGTTCTGGCTGAGGCTCGCTTTGTGTGAGGCTTATGGTTGTTAACAGTTCGTCTTGTTGATCTGTGGTTTCCGTACAACTACTCGCGCTGCTTGAATCCATTGGTAAGGAATTGTATCCCATCGTGTCAAAACTTGATTGTTCGTCCATTAAATAGTATGGCCATTCGCAATCTTGCCTTTCTAAAATTTCTGTTGTTATATTTCGCCGACTTACCGTTTAACAGATAGCTTAGTACTCCGTTTTCTATTGATTCTTGCACTACCTTTTCTGCAATATCCCGTTGTTCCGAGGAGGTTTTAGAAGGGATGGAGGTTTTAAATCTTTGTTGCATCCTGCACATGGCGTTTAAAACAGCGTTTCTTGCAATATTTTCGGAGAATTGCTCCAGATGTATATCGAGAGAATCGTGTTTGATACGTTGTATGGCTACTACATCAGCTAAGGCAATAATTATGGTACAACGAGAGAGATTGGTACAGTAGTCGTCAAGGATAGAACCATCATAAAAGAATTCGTCCGTTCTTTCTTCCAGAACAGTTTGCAGATCATCTGAACATCATCGTATCTTTGATTTATTTTTCTTACTTTTTGGGGGTTTTAATTCAAATTCGTCTTCCTCATCCAAACTTTTCACCCATTCCACTATCTTTTGACTTAACAATTTCATTCCTTTGCTCATAATACTTGGCTCTTGTTGTTCAATTTCTGGATGCGAAAAAGTATTTTAATGATTGTACACTTACCGGATGTTACTTCAACGATAACTGAGGGTGTATATGATCTACAGCTCAGACTAATGTCGTCGAGACTTGCATCTGACTGGGGAAAGGGAGATATTTCTCGCGAAGCACCTTGTCCTACACAGACCTCGACCCCTGTAAATGTTTCAAAACTTTATAAGCTATAAAAAATTTTTTGCAATTTTTCTTTCAATTATCTTTTTTTGAATAAGCTAATGGAGAGACGTTGTCGTAAGGAGAATATGTTGCAAAACAAAAAAGCTCTACCCTTAGGAAGTGGATCCATTTCCAGTAGATCTTCCTCGTCATCCAGATCTATACTACTCCCACTAATGGATCCTCTTTCTTGCAATCCTCTTAGGTTATGCTGGTCCATGACCACCCGTGCATGTTGTTTTGAGAGTTCGGCCCGATGAAGAACCTAAATTTGGAAATCTCCTCCCAAAAAAGAACTGTACCTCTTGGATATGCTGCTTTTGTTCCTGGGTAAGATCTGTGATTTGTTCTGATAATGTTTGAAGAGAATCCGAAGGCCCGGGTTCCGGCTCTTCATCTGTTTTTGGTGTAGTCGATCTGCAAGTTTGTAGTGTTATTATTATTTAGTGGATTTATGCTTCACTTCTTCTCTAACTTCATATTCTTCTTAAAAAGTATATCGATGACTTACCGAAAATAAGAAAACCACGACGACATTACAACCTTTTCGTAAAATATTACAACATTGCGCAACTTATACCGCCAATACTGAAATTATACCATTATGATTTATTTGTATTACTTTTTTGACGTTGAAAATAAGGCAATTAAACTACACTTCTATATAATCCGTAAATGTAACAAACATTTTACTGTTGTCATACTTTACTAAGATAGACTGAAATAAAAAACGAACTTAATAAATAACATTCAAAGGGTCCTTACAACGAGCTGTAATTTCCTTAAAAGAGTGATCTGATGTACTGATTAATTAGGTTTAAGGTTTACTTAGAACGGTACCAAAAAACTAAAAAAATTAGTCCTAGAGACTTTAGAAAATCGAAACGCGTTGTTTTTGGCTCCTCCTACGGCAAGAAAACCCAAGCGCGGTATTGAAGTCCGGCTTTGGCCAGCAGGACGCCTGAGGGTTTTTTGGCCATAAAGAAAAAGAAGGCCCTCCGTTCTCGTGAATTTAGTCGCGCGCATATATTTTACATCGGATGCGTCAAATCTTGTATTTATGACGGCTAGTGTCCCCCGACCTTTTGTCACTGTTTTACAATTATTTTTTTGTTGAGTTTATCGGAAATCGAAGCCAATGCCCTCTCTCGTTTAAGGCCGGAGGCATTACTCGCCCATCTGACTTCGCTTCGTATTTTTTTCAGCCATTAAATGCTTGTTTATCGATGGCCCAACCCGAGTTGGCCTTGCTTACATGAACATTGTTGTTACGGTCGCATTTGCCTTCTGTCCGTTCTCGAGTGGACATTCTTTTCATTTCAACGTCAGCTTTTTCAATCGGCTGACAATTAATTGAATAAGAGTGTTTGTTTGTGTGGTAATAAGTTGTAATGTTGTTCTGTGACGAAAGATGAGAGACCCATAAAAAGGGATCGGAATCGTCCGCTCATCACGAACAGACCAAAATAGAAGCCCAAGTCCCTGGTTTGTTTGTCTGCAAGTTCATTAACACATGTGCTTTAAGCCGCCGTTAGCTCGGCGGTTGAGGCTCCTGGATTAAGTTTTGATAACTCGAACTACTCATCAAAAAGTTTAATTCCTAAACTTCTGCAAAGACATCGGCCCAATACGCCGTTTCAAATGTTGTAAATAAGCATGGGCCTATCAATATGATAGTCTCACCTCCTTTTTCGTCTCCTTAAAGGTCGGGAACGGGTTTCTCGGCGACCGTTCAGAGCAGCTGATCTTGGGGGAGGGACCCCCACCAACAGAAAAAATAGAAGAAGGTAATCAGAAGTTAACCGTCATAAGTAAACCACCATCGACGGAAACATTCCTCGAAGCCGCATTCCTACTTTCCTGACACTTTCGGGACAGTCGGACGTCAGCAGCGATGAATCTCCTACTGCGCTCTCTGATGGGCACAGCAGTAAGTGTAAATCCATACGAAGTTATTTCTTTAGCTATGCCTGGTCTTGTTATCCTTTGTCCAACACATTCGGGGAGAACAGACCCTCTTTCCAGTTAGTTGTGTCCTCAATGTGATGATCATATTGGATCGCTCGGATTCTGTCAAAGGAGGGTTCAACAAGAGTCGGGACTTTGTCGTAGACGTCTCACAGGAATTGAATATTGGTCCTCACACTCACAGTGTAGGTGCATTCATTAGTTACAGGAAATCGTTTCTGATTATAGGTTTCCATGATTGTTTATTCTGGAAACAGTTACAAAAGAGAGATCTTCAAATGGAATTTCGCCAAGAACAACGAAGAGTTCTACAGTATTGTGAAAGGTCTTAGAGCTATTGGAGGTACAACTAATACGAAGAAAGCGTTGGAAGTGGCTTTGGAGTTGATGGAGACCAGAAACAAGTCCATCCCGACCTTGGTGATGGTCGTTACTGATGGCAGAAGTGCCGTGGATCCTGTTGAACCAGCTCGCCAGCTGCAGGGCATCCCTCAAACTTGGGTCTTCGCGGCTGCAACTGGAGATCCAGCACTGGTTGACAAGTAAGCTAGCAAATTGCGGATTGCTTTATTACAATGAGGCGATCGTTTTGGAACAGAAATATTTTTTGTCGAAAACAAGAAAACTGGTTCCGCCCGCGAGTTGTCAATTTATTATGAAGTAATTAAAAGACTTTAAGGAAAGAGTTGCTCGACATAACTGGCCATATTAACCATGTTGTTATGCAAAGTGGGCGTGAATTGGCTACCGATATTACACGGAGATTACTCAGAGCAACTCAGGAGAAGTGCAGAACTACCACAACTACCACCACGACAACAACAACCACCACCACTACTACCACCAACCCATTCACGGGCTGCGAGCAGGATCTTGTGCTGGTTATGGACTTCTCAACTACCACAACCGTGGTTCATAACTCATATCAGCTGTTGGCTGAACGCTTATTGCGTCAATTATACATCAGTCCCAGACACACACGTGTGGCCTTGATAATCTTCAGCAGTGCTGGGAAGAAAACCTACACCAAGTTTAATCTTAATTCTTTTAAAACTGCCGAAGATACGATCAGAGCTGTAAGAGAAGCCCAATATATTGGAGGTCTGACTGCCATAGGTAAGAGCGAAGTTATTGGAAAATAAATCCATTCAGGCGAGGGAATCAAGGAAGCCGTGAAACAAGCGGATGTGGAGAGAGGAGCCCGTCCAGGATTGGCCAACAAGATCATGTTGTTATTCACTGACGGATGGAACAACAAAGGCGTCGATCCAGTCGCCGAAGCCGCTAGGGCACGTGCTGCTGGATTTAGAATGTTGACCATCGGAATTGAGGTAAAATTGTGTAACAAAAAAATATTTTTTTAGGATCATACCCCCGAAGGAGTACCTCTTCATCAAGAGAACCTGAGGGCGATTACTGGAAATCCAAACGAAATCTTCAGCGACGCTACCTTTCAAAATCTGGTTAACATTGTTCGACAAAAGAATCTGGCTTGTTTGTAAATGTTTTCCGCCGAAACGAAAACTGCCGGAGGGCATGATTTTTTTGTACATTAATATCTTAATAAGCAATATGTATTTTCTAAATAAACAAGGAAAACATTACACTTTTCTGCCGATTACTTTACGTAAAAAGTTAATCGCTACGACTTTATAATGATTTATCACACTCACCGCTTTACTTCCTCTGCTTTTTATTTTTACCTTTTTTATTAATGTTGATTCTAGAATACCTTCACATACATTACGCCCTTTAAGAATGTGAAATATCACATCTGAGGAATGCGAACAAACTAATCATCATCAATCATGTTGCCTGGACATTGAAGCCCCAACGCAAAAACATTTATATTGGCATTATGTTTCAAGTCTGAAAAACATCAAAACAATGTAAATAATTTTGTCGAAGATGGTGTCTCTGTTCAAACTAACCGTGCTTCAATCTTCATCTTCGCGACGGTTGCTGTCTTCATTAAAGGACGAGTTGTTCAGCGACAAGTATGTTATCTTCTTATATTAACCAGGTTTTTTATTTAGAGATTGTCACGTTGTAGGCCTTAAAAACGGAGCTATCGCTTTCTGGCATCCCAAGAAAGAGATACCATACGAGGTAACTCGTGCAATAACCGCAGAGGATCTGAAGAAAGACAAGGAGGCACGAGGTGCTAAATACCAACTACCATACGGAGGACAAGGTCCTCCTGATCCGATTTTAAGAGAGGTCTTCCACAGTGGTGCCACAGAATTCAAGACCAGGTAAGAGGCACCTTATTAGCTTAATTTCTGTTTAGGACGCGTGAAGAAAGATTATATGCAACTTCGGCCCCTCTCCCTAAACGAAAATGATCCTCAAAGCATTATGGTTTGGTCGGAGGTCTTTCGAAGACGGTCTGAAAATTCAAGAACATCTCTTCCAAAGTATTCGACAGATTCCCGGCAAAAAGTTTGTTGATTTCATTGTTTTCTGAATAAATCTCTTAGGAATTACATCTGTTTGGTTGAACATGACCCGGTTTACACTGTTGGATTGAGGGATACATCTTATGGAAAAACCGAAGAATTAGGGCTCAGGGCAACCGGTGCCGACTTCCAGAGGTGGGAAATATTAATCATATAAACGATTGAATGCAGAATAAAGAGAGGAGGTCTCATTACCTTCCATGGGCCTGGCCAACTTGTTATCTATCCTATAATCGACCTCCGTTCTATAAAAGTGAATGGTAAAAGTTTGGGAGTGAGGACATTTGTGGACTGTCTGGAAGAAACTGTGATCAGGCTGTGTTCTCGGGTCTACAACATCAAGGATGTTGGACGAACACAAGATCCAGGTAATAAATCATAAAAGTTCTCACAAGGAAAGTACTTCTAAGGGTATGGAGTTATAGGTCGAGACATATGTCAAAAAAATCGCAAAATTTTTTTGATTCAGGATATAAGGAGAAGCCTAACAGACAAGAAGTCGCGGTTTCTGGCCACGAAACCCGATTTGATTTGTATGTCACCATCCTTATATGTAAATATGTATTAGCCGCCCAGTTTTGGTTTGTAAGGGCGAAAAACCCCTCAAGACGTAGTATTAATCAAATTTAATATTTTAAAACTTGTCAAGATGCCATTTACTTTAGCTCAAACCTTTTGAATTGATAAAAACCTGGTCAAAAAGGCATTTGCGCGGTGTTGCGAGAAAAGTTCTGAGGGGTTTTTCGCCCTTACAAACCTAATTTTTACATATAAGAGAGGTTCCGGGTAAATTCAAGTTTTTTTCGGCCATGGCAATTTTTTTCTTCTGCACTGTACAAGGCACACAATAAACAAAAACTACGCGAGATGCGAAGGATTCTTTCCATTGTACCGTTCAGGACGCGTCTTATCCGGTCTTGAGCTCTGCAAGTTGCGAGAGATAAAAGTCGGTATGGCCGAAACGCGTGGCTGAGCATCATGGCCGAAAAAAATGAATTTACCCGGAACCCCTCTTATATTCTGAATTAGAAAGATTTTGCGATTTTTTTATGTCTCGACCTGTAACTCCATACCACATAGAAGTACTTTCTTCATAAATGTTTTCCTAGGTGTTTGGGTTGGGAACGATAAGAAAATCGCAGCGATTGGAGTGCAAGTCCGGCATGGGATCACAAGTCACGGAATGGCCCTGAATTGTAATGTGGACCTGAAATGGTTCGATCATATTGTTCCTTGTGGAATTGCGGGCAAAACGGCCACATCGTTGTCTATGGAGCTCGGAACAGAAATCAACATTGGTGATGTCTTACGCCCACTCACAGTCACATTAGAGGATGTTTTCCAAAGTAAAATCGATTTCGAAACAGTTGAGGGCGGAAATTATGGGAAAAAGTAATAATAAATACACTCTGACTTTCATGGCTTGCATATGGTATGAGCAAACTTTTGTGACGTCGTACCACTGTTTCCTTTATATTCTCCCATAATTGGCCGACCCGTCCGCTTTTGTCACTCTTCGGAAATGGCTACCATAAGCGTAGTATGACATGATGATAACGATGTCCTGACCTTTTTGCTGTACGCTGTTCGGGTCAGCGGTTTAATGTGTTTTTAAATATGACTCCAATCCGATGTTACTATAGCGGGAAAAGTGAAAGGGCCTCATCTCATATGCAATATAATTTTGCAATGGTGCCACTTTTCTGGTGGGCCTGTCATTTGCATTTCAAATTTATTGCAGCCCAAATTATTTTAGAAACATGAATGGCAGAGGACTCTATTATCATCGTTTACATTCATCTACATAATAATGTAATCCTTAATCCATCGAATACTCCCAGAGTATGGTAAGGATGTCATCAGAGCCTCGATTGTCATTGGATGCGGGTTTAGATTGCACCTTTAGTCTTCCGCTTCTTGTACCAGTGGTCGTTAGAACTCTCAGCTAATTTGATGCCCTTAGGGAGCATCGTATGTCAGACCCCCTCCTCCCCTTTGGAAAGGCCGGAATTCGTTGCTAAATGTTGAGTTTTCTTAATAAAGTTGGGGTAGTACAAACGTTTACACTCATTTCTAAAAGGGCGTAGTATTTAATATCTTTTTTCCGGCAGATTTTTCTAACATTATTTGTAACGTTTTAACTGGATACAGTAAACTTGCAAATATTACGGGTACCTTGTTTGGTTTCCTAAGTTTGGCCTTAGGAAACGTCATCGATGTGTAATTTTTTTTCTGACTTTTCTAATTTTGTCTGATCTCTCTCCTTTCCACGGACTCTCTTCTCTTGTCAATTACAGAAGATCCTGCGAATCCGGTTTGATTTATTTAGGTTCCTGGGAGCGAAGACGTCCATCCAATTAATAGGCTTCTTACAATTACTCTTAAAATTGCGAATTTGGCACGATTTCCGTGAAATTCGTGAATTTTTCTGGCCCTTTGGTAACACCAAGAGCTATGATAACATCAGATTAAACAATTTTCGGAGTCTGTTTACACCTCTCCCCCGTCCAAACTCCTTGAGTTGTTTTTTCATCAACTTTTTCATTGTCCTTTTGCGTTTTGCGATGAATCAAAGATGTCCTCGGATATGATCGTATACATACATTCCCGAGCTCAATTTGGGGAATGGGAGAATGCAAAATATGTTTTGGCCTGATTCAAAGTGCAGCCGAGACTTCAAAACAGGTCTACGGTAAACCTTATTTCGCAGACCTCAATTAAATCCAGGACTTAATAACTTTCAAGGCGGTCATCTCTCCCCCAAGGCCACGCCCCTTTTTTGGTCATCATTTCGCGGCCTCAAAAATTGCAAAAACAGGAGAAGAACGGCACAGTCCGGGCACGGGTTTGGTTTGTTTTTATCCAGGATTGGCTTTTATTTGTCTTCCGCCCCCTTGTATCGGATTACAGTAATCTGGGGAAAGTTTACTGGAACCGGTTCCTTGTCCATTATTCATGCCTAAGGGTCATTTTTGAATCATTTGCGTTTATTACGTCTTCTTTTGTGCGTATTTTGCGAATGTTTTTATTTTTATTGTACTTGAATCGATTTGTCAAGTCCAATTTGGCCAATAGTTTTGTTAATTTGGCACAATTTAACGGTTGTTTAACTCTGTTACAATGTCGCCATCCTCCCCCTCTCGGTAATTCCTAAATATAAAATGACGTTTGTCCTTATTTTACTTCAGTAATGTCTTTTTTAGTATTCGGGTTGAGTCTTTTGGCATGATTACTTAATTTGCAATTATTTCTAGGTTTTGTCCAGTCTGAATGAAAGGCCTGGATATGCAGATCAAGCACGTTCTTCTGTTCTTTCTCATCACAATGGCATCCGTCCGAACAGTACAGTCAGCATCGGGCTCTATATATTATTATCGGTAGGTGTGATCGAGCCAATTGAAAAAAAAAAATAAATAAAAATTAGGAATGTCTTAAGTTGTTCAAATAGTTGTGTACTTTTAAATCGGTTCGTCATGAATAACTAAGAGTCCAGGTTTAAATAACGTAATGATTAATTGCAGCGACCCTCCCAGCGCCGTCCTCAACCCGTTATCTCGTTTCTTCTACGCAGAAGAGCCGAGACATCTGTCGCCGGCGAAACGAGACAAGAAATACGATCGGAACTGCTTCTTCTCCCCCGTTCAGTGCATGCTGTCTTACAATACCAACAACAATGACGCCCTCTATCATCCCCGAGGTCGGAAATAGACCCGTTCTTCTGCAGATGCTTTACATTTATATAAACCTCGTTATTCTTTGTAATCATATTCATGGTATAGATTTGAAGTTAAAGAGACATTGGAATGAGGGATTCGATTCTTAAACAAGATCTCCGCACATTTGGGATGATGACATGAGGCCGATCTGCGTGGAGGCCGTAGATTGTTGCGTCATTTTGACATTAATAAAGTAGATGTTGTTGTGTTGGAGGGGCATTTTGAACAAAATATTAGAGAATCGCGGCTCTGATCCCTTTCAAACAAACGCATTATCCTCTCATAAAATGTCATCATCCCCACATTGTTTTTATACCGAGCACTCACATGAGCACATAGTTAGGCACGCTTCTGCTAATACCTAGGACACATTTACAGCGTCCTTGAGCATATAATCCCATATCCAGAGACGGTGTGTTCCACATGAAGGGCTAGTCTCATTACATCATTACTATTTTCGGGGATATAACAAGTACTTTAAACACCGCTTAGTCATTTGGTTCTCGGTTATCCGTCTGATTGTTCGGCTTTAACAACATAAAAAGTAAAAGTTTTTTGGTATCATTGTTCCTGCTGGATCCAGGAACTGCGTATATAATCTCTACACGAACTAAAAACAAGCCCTTAGGCAGCAAACCAGACCAATTCCGACCAGTCCCAATTAGCCCTTCTCTAATAAGGAGTTTCCTTTAATTACTGGAACATTTGGACGATGACAAATCCTGTGAAGTCACTTTATCTACGAGCACGGTAAACAAGGACTTCAGACTCAAAAAATTGTTAATTTCAAAAATCAGCCCTCCTTTACCAGAGCCGAGATAATCGACCAAAAAATTTGACCAAATCCGCCCGAATAGTTCGCCTTTCGTAAAGCAGAGGGAAGGCGAACCGAATGGACCGATGGTCTAGAAGCACGCTTTTAGGCCTTTACCTTTTCACGTTCGAGTCCGCGTGGGTCCGAACTTGTAAAAAATGTATGAAACTGTTGCTACAATTCAGCTAGAAAATTTACATTTACAAGTAAATTTTTTTAATTTTATGCAAACTGTACGTAAATTTTAACATTATTATTCAAACATCATCCACTGAAATTTCATCGCAAAATATGCAAAAAATACAGAATTTTATTTTACCAGTAAATTTACAGGGAAAGTTTAATAAATTAAATATATACAGTTCGGATCTATGCGGATTCAAACCTGAAAAGGTTTCGAAATCAGGATAGTCGATTACCCCTAAATCCACTTCTTACTCAAAAAATAAAAGAATTACTGTTTAACACAACTACTTAAGAGAAACAAGTAACGAAAAATTCATTTCGAAATCAGGATGGTACACTCCTCCGCGCATCGCGTCACGAAAAATACCTTGTTCCCCTATACCATTTTTTCATTCGACATTAGCGAACCTTTTCGGCACCAGCGAGTGGTTTCCAGGCTCGATATCCCCATTCCACCCGTGCAATGACAATGTTTTTTGTAACTTTACAACACCACCCCGCGTTTTGACCGTATAATATCTAGATTCCTCTTAAGCCACGGTCTATAGTTTAAAATAATATCTCATTCATTGCATGTCGTCTAGAAACACGCACAACATACGACATCTTAATTATTTCATTGTAGAGTGATTTCATTGTTAGGTCGGGAGGTGCGGAATGCCATAATGCACAAAAAGAATTTCCGTGTTTGTTTTTTGCACAAAAGTCGCTAATTCGAATCTTCTTCCATCACAGGGAACTCAAAATCACTTATAAAAACTTTTATTTACTTATAAAAACTTCGCACAGTGCAGGATAGATAAAAATTTATTCAAACAAAGTAAAAAACAACTTGACTCTGATATATTACCGGTTACACATGTGGTTAGCGCATCTTCTGTGTCCTGACGGGGCTAACTTGCTTCTGTGCGGATTTTCTATGGGTACTCCTGCGGCTAGATGCACTGAAAATAGTCAAAGATAAAGAAAAAGTAAATAAAATTTTCGGAGATAGTTTATTATGAGATCTCATTGAACTCATTTTTTGTGCTTTTCCATCCCAAAAATTAGTTTGAGGTTCAGAAATTTAGCAATGAGATTTCGAGACATCAAGTTTTTCATGTTGTACTAGGTCCAGGTGAATATTATCAACATACCTGAGGCATCCGAGAGTCATTTTTTCCAGACATTGTGTGCACGTTGCCCATTTACTTCCTCCGCGAACATTTTGTGATTATCTGAAATAGTGGGTTCACCTGGACCTAGTACAACATAAGAAAACTATGTCTTCAAAAGTTTCTGGCCTTCTGATATGTGGAAGCAGTTTAAAAAACCTACCAAAATCGAGGAAAGAGTTCTTCATCCAAATTCTTGATTGATCATGCTTGTTTCTAGATCTTCCCAGGCTGTCTGCTCTTCCATTTTGACATGTTTCCTAATCGGGAAGTTTCTTATGTTCCGGATTTTTCATCTACCCACTTTACAGTCCTGTAAAAGAAAAGAACTCACTAGAAACACCTTACCTTGTTCCATCCAACGTTTAAATACCCTCTTTGACCAGTACTGCTATGAAAAACTTAGAATTTCTAAGTCTCGCCCATGCGTTCAAAAAGCCAAAAGCGTCTTTGGCGCTCAACTGTTTTCTTTTCGGAGTCCTTATTGGTAATTATAGGTAAATAAAAGTTCTTATAAGTAAATAAAATTTCTTATAAGTAAATGAAAATAGGCTCCGCCTTTTTTTAACTTATAAGTGAATTTTTGGGAAATATTTTTACCTATAAGTAAATAAAAGTTTTTATAAGTAAAAACGAATCCCCTGTGATTTATAACTTTTTTAAACGTAAACTTCCATTAATTTTTCCCCTTGAACTTGATTGTCGATGCAAGAAGTATATGTTAAACGGAACCTTTCCGTTTTCAACGGCTTCCCCTTGCAGTTTTAGAGCGGAAGGCACGCCATGAGCCTGATGTATTCAAAAACAACGTTCCATTGTGTTAACTTTTTTTTTATATCTATACACCTTTTTTAAATGTATAGCCTTGATTAGTACAAAGAAAGCATAAGTAAAAACGATAAACGATGATTTGAGCTTGGAAAGACTCTTGTACAGTAGAACCGAAAAATGAAAAGATGCAAAAAAAATGTTTCAATTACAAGAAAACGCGTTGGCCATGGTCGAAAACATCTACAGGGTCTTTCAAGAAATGTGCAGGAAAGTAGGAGGCTATAACTTTCGGCGGAGGCGGCGCAGAGAGTTCGTTTTTGGAATATGTATTTTTCAGTGACATTATTTTTTGCCTACGAAATAACACGCTTTTCGAGTGCAAACTGAGGTCGCTACGACCTTCTGAAGTAAAGGCATCTCTACCCCGAAAACCAGGGTTTTTCGGTTGAAAATGATCGAGAAATTTCAGAGTTTTTCGGTCGAAAATCAGCGAGAAATGTCGGGTTTTTTGGGGGGTTTCGATAGAGCTGACGTTGAAAACAGGGAAGGGAATTGCCAACACGTTGAAAATTAAGCAAATATTCGGCTGCTCTCATTCTGACACTTTGGCTAGCCAACCAGTTTTTGTTAGCAGTTTAAAAGTTTGGTTGTCATTCCAGTCCTTTGACGCCCATTACACCCTTTGACTAGTTTTTATAAGACTTCACAGCCATTCTGGTGCCTTGGCTAGCCGATTCCAGGTTCCTCAAATCCCTAAATGATGTCACGCTTCTTCGCGGAAGATACCGAAAAATAAACCCGAAATCTGCCCCAAGTTGAGGCTAGCCGAATATTTGCTAAATTTCCAACGTGTTGGCAACATCCTTCCCTTTTTTCAACGTCAACTCTATCGGAACCCCTGAAAAAATCCGACATTTCTTGGTGATTTTCAACCGAAAAAGACCGAAATTTCTCGATCATTTTCAACCGAAAAAACCTGGTTTTCGGGGTAGAGATGCCTTTACTTCAGAAGGTCGTAGCGACCTCAGTTTGCACTCTAAAAGCTTGTTATTTCGTAGGCAAAAAATAATGTCACTGAAAAATACATATTCCAAAAACGAACTCTCTGCGCCGCCTCCGCCGAAAGTTATAGCCTCCTACTTTCCTGCACATTTCTTGAAAGACCCTGTATAGTGGCTGACAAAATTTTCTTTCCACCTGTATCTCGGGAACCGTTGGGCCTAGAACCTCCAAATTCGGCATAGAAACATTATGGGGCAATCTAACATCACACCCAAAAAATCATATCAGTTGATGCACTTTCAGTGCACTTTTTATGCAAACGGCAAAAACGTGATGACAAAATTTTCTTTCCACCGCTTGTAAATTATAAGCCAGAGGGCGCTATGGCATGATTGTGGTGTCGTTGTGATCGCGAAGAAGTCCTCTTTCGATCCGTGGCACAATTTTACAGGACCTTTCGTATGTTCGCCCTTGGGCGTCTGCCCATCGTTGCCTTGACAGTTTTCTGCCAAATTCGTGGCCGAGAAGCTCGCAGAAGGCCCAAGGAGATGAAACTGCCGTTAAAAAATCTGCTATTTGTGTTTGCAACATTGTTTACACCGGCAGTAAAATTAGATTCAATTTAAGTGTAAAATGTGCACTTCCAGGGTTCGCGAAACCAGAAAATCGCTTATGTACAGAATGGAAAAGTCCAAATAACATGCGTTTACTAGACATATGGCGCATTTTAGGTATTATGCGACAGTCTGTGTTGAAATCTACTACCTTATCTTACCCCCCTCTGGTCTATGTCGTCTTTAGTAACGCAGGTTGTTGCATTATATGACGGGGAGGAATTGACATTACTTATGCTTGACATATTGGAACTTTTGACCACCAGACTACCTTAATACATTGACTTCGTCCTGCCTTTAACGTTTTTGGCACGACAAGTTGCTTGCGCGGGAAGCTTAGGGTTGCAAATTTTGTACATGGGGCATGCGGAATCTTTCTTCTGCTCAAACCTAAACGCGACATCAGAGACTAAAATCGTCACTATTTTTTAAGGCTGTAGTATCATAGAAAACATATCAGCAAAAAAAGTTACTTGAATTGTCTGCAGGGTCCCCGTAATAACGTAATTTTCTGGTAACGAGAACCCTGGAAGTGCGCATTTTCCTATGCAACACGCTTAAATTAAATCTAATTCTACTGCCGGAGTAAACAATGTTGCAACCATAAATACCAGGTTTAATAAGGGCAGTTTCGTCTCCGTGGGCCTTCTGCGAGCTTTTCTGGCCAAGAGTTTAGCTGAAAACGGACAAGGCGACGATGAACAGACGCCCAAGGGCGAAAAAACGAAAACTATTGTAAAATTGCGACACGGATCAAGAGAGGACTCCTTTGCGAACACAACGATACCACAATCATGCCTTAGCGCCTTCTGGCTTATGATTTACAAACGTTTTTCCAAAGTGGAAAGAAAATTTTGTCATCACGTTTTTGCCGTTTGCATAAAAAGTGCACTGAAAGTGCATCAAATGATATGATTTTTTGGGTATGGTGTTAGATTGTCCCAGGATGTTTCTATGCCGAATTTGGAAGTTCTAGGCCCAGTGGTTCCCGAGATACGAGGTGGAAAGAAATTTTTGTCAGCCAGTATAGGAGGAGAGTTTTTTCCCCAATGCTCCATCCCCCGGCCTACCACAATGGAAACTTTGCAAAACACAAAATGTTACAGTAATCCTGGAATTATTCAAATTTTGCGAAAACGATTGACACTTTATGCCCTGCGGCCGTTCTATGAGTCAAATTTAATCAAATTCGGTCATGGTCACATCAACAACGTCCGGGCCTGGCTTCACCTTGTGAAAAACCCCGATTTTGGCCATTTTTTGTCCGTTTTTTGTGTGCACACAAATTGGCGCGCACCATGAACTGCAACAACGCTGTAACATTTTCTTTCATTTCAAATTCCAATATTCCATCTGAAACGGAATGCCAATCGAGAAATTTATTTCGTCGCGGCGGTTTAAAAACGCAAAAATAAAACAAAAACGAGAATTCGTTGTTTTTTTTCTCCGAAGGGAGAATTTCCTGTAAATTTGCGTTTAATGTTGCTAAAGCGGTTGTTGCACAACCATGGACGACGACGATATTTACCAGCTGGCTTCTCAGTATCCACTTCATCTTCTGAATTATGACTCCGACGATATCTACGCAGATGAATACAGTCCCGACCGATCTCCCTCACCATCATTCCGAATGGCCATCGCAGCGGTATCCAGGCGTGGTGCCCGAGGACGAGGGCAATTTGCCAGAAGAGGGGCCAGAGGTCGATCTTCCACTGGCGGTGCCACCAATGCGACCCCTGCTTCAACATCCACTCGAGGACTTAGAGCCGCACGAGGAAGGAGGAGTGCAACCGGCCGAGGAGCCACCATCGCTACTCAACCAGTTGTTTTACCTCCGGTGGTTCCTGGTATATTTTGACTACTTTCTTTACAATTATTTCAAGGTTTATACCTAATTGTTTCAGAGCAAGCCGTTGGAATTCCGAGTGGAAGTGATGATATCGTCTCGATGCAAGCTAACTTGGATGCAAATCCTGGTTCTAGTTCTGGAATTCCAATGAAAAGAATAAAGTAAGTAAAAATTCTTTTGCCGAATTATAAGTATAGGCTTGATTCACCAAAAAAGGGCCTGAATGCTACCTTCCAAGACTCAGAACAAGACAGTGGCTGTACAATTTGTTATGAGGATTACGATAGTGATCAGCATCGCTTGGTTTGCTTGAAATGTGGCCACATTTTTGGAAAGAGTTGCATTATTCGATGGATCCAGTCAGAAAGAAATGGAAATTGTCCGACCTGCAAAACCAAAAATACTCTCAAAGACATACGCCCTATATTTGCCCATATCTTCAAGGTAGTTCCTTATATTCTTAATGTTTATGTTTAGGGAGGAAATGGGCCGGAATTAAATCAAATTCGAGGAAAATTAAAAGAAGTATTGGAACAGAATGAAGCTCTTCAAGTGAAACTAAAAACCACCGAAGAAGAGTTGGAGAAGGCCTTAAAAACAATCAGCACATATAACGAGTTAAAGCAAGTTCTGTCTTCTGTTTTTCCGAAGTTTCAGAGGGGTTTTGGGGTCCGCCCCGCTTCTTTAAACGCCCCTGCGAAGTTTAGCTCTTTTCGTTTATAAATGATTATTATTTAGTACTGTGAATGCTAAAGAGTTCAAATTAACAGTCAAGAAGCTGCCGTTCAATTCGATGTTGGCAAAGGAAGATTATGTGCGAGTTGTGTGTGCCTTAGATAACGAAGAGTTCGTTGTGTGTGGATGCCAGTTGGTTGCTAAAACAGGAAAAAGTTGTGGCATCGCAAAGGTTTGTTTTTATCAGTCTGTCGGTAAAATAATGGACTCTCTGTCGCTGCACCGATGCGTCGCTGAAGTAAAAAGCATATTGTTTCTCTCGCTACACAATGCGTTTTCTCGGTGCGATTCTATTTTATGTGCGACAGAGTGCTCATTATTTTCCCGACATCTATATAATACAATTTATTGGTCAAAAATTTCCTTAAGATCGATTCGACGAGTATGAAGAAGATACCCCTGCACGACAAGATCGTTAGAGCCATTCATGTTAATCCCTTCTCTACAAATACGGTCGCGTCGACTTCCGACGACGATACTCTTTGTGTCAGTGATATTTCGTTGCCGGCGAACCAACTCCGTTTTCAATATAAGCTTCCATCTCATGGATGGGCGTGTTGCTGGACTTCCGTCCACCAGATTGCGGTCGGACTGAAGAGTGGCCGAGTTTTGTCTTATGCCCCTGGTCGTGATCCAGAAGATTTAACAAATGGGGAAGGTGACAAGCCTGTTATGTCCTTGACCTTCGATCCCAACCACCGTGTTTTGTTTATCTGCGCATCAAATTCGGTCAGAGCCTATCGCAATGGACAGTTATACACTTTGCTCGATAACAGTACGTTACTTTACTAATTAAATTAGTTGTTTTTAGTATCGATTGCCAGTTTCTGCTACGATCCCGTAACTAATTGTTTCCTGTTGACAGTTCCGCCTATTCAAGGGAAAGTGAGGACAGTCCTACAGATATATAAAGTGGATTTCCAATGTTTAGTGAGTCTATTTAACTATTATTAATCCATTTACCCAGGGTATTGTAAGACAGGTTGGCAATTTTCAAACGGCTTCGTCGAAGCTGAGTAAGAACACCGTAAACATTATCTGGGCTGAACCTGGAGGCCAGTTGCTATGTGCTTTCTTCGACGAGGACCGTCATTTCACAAGTATACTAAATTGGGGCATCCCAGAAGAAAGAAAACTGGAAGATCAACCTGGGTTCTTAGTTACAATAAAACATAAGCCGACGGACCACATTGTACATTATGCACAAGCCCAAAAACAAGCTCCCCCATCGCCTACGGCTCCATGTGGTGTCCAAAATACATTGTACATGGTCACCACTACCAACATGTTTTGTTATTGTCTCATTTACAGCTGATTAAAAGGAAAAGTGTTTATGACTCTAATAACGTCATAGAAAATACCTAGATAATGATCTGGAAGTCGCGGAGCTCCTCTTCTGAAGGCAATGTCAACTTGACTCTTTCTGGGTCGATGAAGTCTTTGCTGATCAAAGGTAGACCCGCTTTTCGTCGACGTTCAATCTCCATGTGTGCTTCCCTCAAGGCCCATTCTTTTCCATGAGGCCTAAAGCAACAATGAAAACTTCAGAAGTACCTTACCAGTCGGGCTTCATAAAGATCATCAGAGAGAAGGTATATATGGAAAGAACGGTCACTGACAAAAACATATAATAGTGAAAGTTGCTCCAATCGGCATGCTCATTGTGGCTGACCATACCAAACCAAAGCCATTGACGTCTCTGAAGCATCAAATTTTAAATACTACGAAGCAGCCAGCTTGTGTAGAGATAATTGTATGTATAAATAAGTTGTTTACCATTTGCCCGCCCTGGTCAGGGGCCAATGGACGTCTCCATCCATCCTGAAACAGCCAATCCAGCCTTCCTTTATTCAATTTGGGCCATGGATTTTCGTAAGCATAAGAATCCGCTCCTGGTCTAAACAAATCGTTGAAAATATTATATTAATTACCTGTATTCGGCATCTTGTTTCTCAAGTTTATCGTTGATTGGATCCGCGTGGTGATTATCATGGCCGTGACCCGATGCAAACCTTTTCGACGAACGCAGCAGAACTACCTGGCTGCGCTCCAGGTTCCGCAACATAACGGTTATAATAAATTTTTACTTTGCAAAAACCCGGCTTTTGAAGAAATATAGAAAAAGTTTTTGACGTTTCGTTTCTATCTACGCGACGAAACAACACAATTGATTTTACAATTTTTTATAATTATAATACATTCACTCTTACGTACATGCTTTTTTAGAGGGTTCTTCAAGATGAAGGCACGTTGTCAAATTGCCGTTATTTTCGTCATCTCAAATTGTTCCGGCTCAAGTCTTTTTGGAAAATTTTTGTAGATTTAAAAATTCTTAAAAACTAAATTGCCCCTTCTTGTCAAAACGACCGATGAAATAAGCAGTAAAACTATAATACTTACGACTAATATTAACGGTATTCATCAAAGTCTTTTTCAAACTCGCGTTTGAAAGCTTCGTATGTCACAATTTTTAATTTAGCCAAAATGACGCTTATTGACATCAGATTGATAAAATTCATCAAATTAACAACCCTAGTTTTTAGTATTTGAACATCGTTCATATTTTTTGTCAAAGTTTTCATGGAAAACGGGTTTAAACCAATTCCTCAGACTGAAGAGTTCCGGGAGAACGGTAAGTGTATTTTCTTCGCAACACGTTCCGGATTTAGCTCTGAAACAAGTTTACGCATACTTCATGGATCATCTTCTCACTGAATCTGTACTAAAATATCACCGGGACCGTTCACTCTCCACTTCCATGAATCTTGTTTCCTTACCGGACAGCGAAATGCCAAAGCCGCAGTCTTCCAAGGAATCGGTTGGAGTAGAGGCTCAAACGGCGAATAAGAGAATGCAAGTGGAGTGTGAATGTCTCTGTTGTAACCGCATGATCGCTGCCTCTAGATTCGCGCCTCACATGGAGAAGTGCATTGGCATGGGGAGGAACAGTTCGAGGTAGTCCGAGGTTTTAAATATATATAACGTTTGCTAGCGTAACCGATGGTTTTTTATAAAATAATTAACTGCGTGTTTGAATTTTAGAGTTGCACGAAGGAGATTGGCAAACCTTTCATCAGCCCCACCAAGCGCATCTCAATCCCCACGAGTGAATACACGGATATCTACGTCATCAACAGTGGATGGTTGCGCTTCACCCGCATTTGATATTGAGGATGAATTAATGGAAGACGATGACGACTGGTCCAATTCTTCCACACCAGTGAAGAAGCGGAAGGTGCCGCCGTCAGTAAAGAAGGATTCAAGACCGAAGACTAACCAGCGAAGTAGGAGATGACAAGATCGGGTTTAGAACACGATTCATTCCAGTTATAATATTTATTAAAACAACAAATTAACAATCTAAACGGCTTTGCTCACTCGGTTTATCCAAAGTTCAGTATTACTGGCGACAGTATGGGTTCCAACAAGATCTTTCAACAACAAATCGGGAAGAAGAACGGAACTTCTGGAGGCCAGGTAATCGATCTCACTCAATCGACGATTAACTGGTCGATAGAATTGATCAAAGCTGATCTTGTCGTTGAGGAAGGTGTCCGCCAACACCAACCATTCGTGAGTTTCAAGCGCGGAAACGCCGTCTAGTGGGTCGTAGACTTGCAAAAGTAATCCCAAGCTCTTCCATACGGATACACGGCCAACAATTGGGGCGGGAGTCAATCCAGAAAGTTTAACAGTTCCTAAAATCATGGATACTGGAAAGTGCTAGAACTCCACTCACCTTTTGTTGTTTTGAAATGGATTGAGCCCTTTCCGTTGGCCTTTGGACCGATGTGAATTCCTCGGAGTCGACCCAATTTGATCAAGGATGATAACCATTTGATATCAACAACTTGACATTCCAAAATTCCTTCAAAGTTTTTGGAGATTTGGTTTCGATAATCGTGGATTTTAACATGTGGGTTGGCAGGGTCAGCTTTTACGTTGAAGGTAGAATTTGGAGGATGTGAAAGCGTTAACAAGGAGGTCGACTTGGGTGCAGGTTCTTTCTTTTCTTTTGCCACTACTTTATTCGCGGCACGAGCTTCCTTCTTTGCAGCCTTCTTATCCGCCTTTCCACCAGCCTTCGTATTTTCTTCATCGGCGATAGTCAAATAGGACACACCAGAAGCCAAATATTCATCCAAGGTTTTTTTAAACTCCACCAGATTTTTGATCAAGTCGAGTTGTTTTCTCTCCAGGTCTTTTACGGGATCGGAAACCGATTTTGTAGCGGATGAATTCACCTGTACTTGACTAGCCCCATGGATGGATTCGATCTTGTACATGGGAACGGTGGGTTTGATCTCTAGATCTTGTAGCAGCGGTGGAATCCTGTACATGTGGGCCATTACACAATCTGAAACAGATAGAAATCAATGAACCTTGGATTAGCGGCAAGACAAATGACACTTGGTATTCTCGTCCTCGTCTTGCAATTTCCATTTTCGGGCGCAAGCTGCCATTCAAAAACTCGCATTTTCAAAATTCTTTTTTATACGGCTCCTTTGTGATAACTTATTATTTATTTGCAGAGATATAGGGTTACCCTAAAAAAACAAGGCTTCTTATAATTACATAAATAATGTTCTTTAGTTCCACGTATTATATTTAATTTTTTTTAATTGGTGATAGAGCGTAATGTCATTTGAAGACATAATTGGGTTGAAATTGTCATGCTCGTAAGTTCAAATTCGTTGTAATAATGTGTTGATTCAAGCGATTTACCCGTTGTATGCACTTCGGGGAGTCAAATAAGAATTTTCGCAATGATCGACGGAGAAAATCAACGCTTCACACAGGTGAACCCATCAGATGACGTCGTTTTCTTTGAGTTTCTTTTCTTTTTCCTTTCGCTTTTTTGTGTTGGTTCCTTTGCTTTCCCTCCATTTATTGGGCCTTCCTATCCCAAACACAAATCAAAATGTTTTCAGATAGGACAAACCGAATTACTCACCTCTAGAAATCCCAGTTTCAAGGACATTGTCCCCGTTGTTTTTGTTCTCGAGCAGAATCAAGTTCTCAAATTTTCGCTGTAAGTTGTTTTTTGATTAGTCATTCTTTCCCTCTTTAGGTTTTTGGGTGAGAAAGAAATTGGATCAGTGGAGACTGGGCTTAAAGAACTCGTTATGAATTCACCGCAGTTATATCTTCCGATGAATAGCACTGGGGATCAATGGGACCCTGATGACAGTCCATTACTGGGGATTGAAGTAGAGGAATCGGAACAAGCTTTAAATGGGACGAAGATTCAACTAAAGGCTTGTCATCTACAAGCGGATGAAGTTATAAATGCTGCACCTTACTTTACCCTCTCTAGGATACACAGTTCCATTGAAGAATTTCCGGCAAGTGTCTTAACGTTGAATGAATCGCCTTTTTAGACGTTATTATACAGAAGTGAGGCAATGAATAACACAACCAACCCAAAATGGACTGAATTTGTGGTGCCGACTAAAGCCCTGACAAGTCTAACACCTTCCGTTCTGGAGATTGCTGTGTATCATTTTATAAACAACAAATCCGAGGATTATTTGATTGGAAAGTTTACCATTACATTTTTCCAACTTCTAAACGGATCTCTTGGAAACAAATTCATGGCAGGTTTGTTTTTAGTACTAATAGTAGTTTAGTTACATTCCCAGAACGGAAAGAAGCGAGAAAATGTATATGTGGAAGTAGTTAAATTTGAAAGCGTTCCAAAAATCACCACATTTGTTGGAGCCATCAGAGCGGGGTGAGTATCTTTGGGGCTTCGGTAGTTCAGCCCCCCACGAAAGGTAGTTCAAACCCCCCATTGTTTTGCCCGTTTCACACCCCACATAATGAACAAATTAGAATAATACAAAAAATGTAAGTGGGGGTTTGATCTACTACGTTGGGGGTTTGATCTAAAACGTAGGGGGCTTGACCTAAAACGTAGGGGGGTTTATCTAAAACGGGGCTTGATCTAAAACGTAGGTGGCTTGTGCTGGACCATACAACTTGGATTAATTCTTTGAAATAAATTTTGGGGTTCAGAATGGACGAGGGGGGTTGTACTGGGTCATGGGGGGCTAAACTGGACTGGGGGGCTGTACTACCTTAGCCCCGTATCTTTTAGAATATTATTCAGTTTTAGTCTTAAACTTCACTTCACAGTCGCGATTGATTTTACTGCGAATAACGGTGGTCAGAACGAGCCAGATTCCCTCCATTTCGTCCATCCTCACTATCAAAACTTCTACAGCCAGGCGCTTTATGAGATGTCCACTAAGATTTGTCAGATCGATAAGTATGTTATATTCAGTGGTAGTTAATCATTCAGGTTACAACGACTATCCTTACTAGGATTTGGAGCTAAAATACCTCCTCGATTCGAATTCAGTCCTTTGTTTTCTTTGACCGGTGATCTGAACAACTCCATTGTGAGGGGAACTGACAATATCATGAACGCCTATCGACGGACTGTTATGTCAGTTCAGCCGTATGCACCGACAAATTATGTGGCCCCGATTCATCATATCATCAAAATGGCCAAAGTGGCGAAAAAAACAGGTACCAAACTGTATTTTGTGGTTATTATTCTGACGAACGGAGCAATCAAGAACTCGAAGGAGTCTATGGATATGATTGTCAGCTCTTCCCATCTACCTATTTCGATCGTTTTTGTGGCTATTGGAAATGAGAAACACCCTATCGGAGCCGGAGATCACACTCGAATAACCAGTTTCATCGATCCGACGGCCAAGTCTTCAGAAAATGTCCCGTTAAAACGACAAAACGTAATATACCACGAGTTTAAAACAGGGAAACCGTTTGCTGGAAAATGTTTGAAAGAAGTAAATCTGCAAGGAACTCAATGGCTCCAGTCCAACTAACTCTGCTAATACTACTTTATGTACATTTGTAAATAAATTAAGTTGGTTATTGGTTGGAGATCAGTTGTCCCAACATGGAGAACTTTCCGGTAGAGTGCACTTTAGGTCCGAGTCGGGGTAAAAGCTCTTGCACAACTTGTTGAACGCCACATTCAGCTGGTACCCGCAATTATAATAAATGGTCTGGGCGGAGTTGAAGGAGTAGCAATTAGCAAACATTCGTTTGAAATCGGCAATGAATAGACGGGGCTAAATGATAAAAAATAGACATTGGGATACAAACATTTCGTCTATTTAAATAGCATACTTACATGTACATAATAGCCATCTTTGAGTCGTTGTCCAATCAATTTGAGATCCATCGGAAACATTATATAATCATAATACTCTGGTACTTCTTCCGCATCAACCGGTTCTTCGAAGGGCCACGCATTCTGATTTGATTTTATTTTGTTGTATATCACTTTCAAGGGTGAGACATCCTCTGCTTCCAGCGTATCTTTAACTTTCAATTGATTTATTCCAGGAATTTTCGATAATTCCAGAATCTGGCCTCTTGCTAAAGGAACGATTATTCAAGAACACACAACTTACGTAAGTCTTGAAACAACCCTTCGATCCCACCGTAGGTCTTGTTGAAGTCAGGGTAATTCTTGTTGATATAGGCCTGGAACGTTTCCCTCATATTCTTCAATACTTCTTTGTAATCCACATAAAGCATCCTGAAAGCGTACAAAAAAAACTTCAATCAAAATCTTTGCGCAGAAAGATCTTTACAATAGATTTACTTGGCATGTAATTCGCATTCCATTAATGTCGCCCCTTCGTAATCTTTAATAAAGCCGTGATATCTTGCTCTGGGAAGGCTAATTATATCCGTAAATCCCTGTTTTTTGAAGTAACCCAAAGCAAATTCATCGGCATATGTAAGGAAGTGATAAATCTTAGCAACTCGGACGTGGAAGTCCTTGAGATGATTCATCATCAGAGTCCCATAACCTTTTACCTAAAGCAATAAAATCCAGATGTTTCACTTTACTTACTTGTTGACTGGCAGTGATAGCACAGAACACAATTTCAGTGAACCCTTCGATGTAAAACGGTCGGAAGCAGATGCCACCGATAACTCCAATGTCTGAAGGGGTTGATCAAAGTTATACCGTTTCCTACCTCTTTTAACTAACAGAAGGTTGCAATGTCTTGGATCGAACACAATTCTTGTCACATAACTTTTCGGCATCTTCGGCAGCTGAGCACTAAAGACGCTCTGGAGTTGTAAAAGCCATAACAACTTCTGCGGTTTCTGAGAGACGGTGCAATTATTGGCACAGAAATAAAAGGCTATCTGGCCATCCTTCTCTTCTTGTTTGGCCGAGTCCCTTCTCTTCATACTGAAGAGGGCCTCCTCATCTAAAAGACTATAATTGTATCAAACTCACCGGCCCACCTTTGTTTAACTGCTGAGACGACATTTCTTCCAAATCTTCCAACGTCAGAGAATTTAATAAACGGGAATTCAAAGACTCCGTTGTGGTGCCTGATTCAACTTTTGTCTCTTCAGCCTCATCTTTGGTCTCCTCTGCATCATTATCTTCCGCCACCATTGTCTCGCCATTTTCGTCGTCTATGGTGTCCAATGTTTCTTCCATGGAATTGTAGTTATTGAATATATTAACCCCGTTATTGGAGCCAACTTCGTCGGCATTGCTAGCAGATGAGACCAACATGCTAGATACACTACTTTTGGGAGTCAGAGTAACTGCATCAGAATCCTGGAAGAGATTCCGCCCTTCCGATCCGCTTCGGATTCTGCATCTTTTAAGAGTCGTTGGCCTCGGAACATTAAACTCGGTCAAAGTCTCGAAGAAATCCGCGCACTTTCTGCTTTCCTAAAGAATGAATAACGGCAAAAAATAAAATCGTTACCCTAGTTCCTCGTTGTCTAAGCTTCTCAACGAAAATGGGCCCAAAGACAGCAACAAAATCATGATCCAATACCCGTGAAGGAGTATACAACGGGAGATTTGGAAACGACCTTGGGAACTTGCAATATACCAACCATCTCGCGTACATGATCCTGTATCGTAGTAATTGGTTTCCATTCACTGAAATACCAAATCTAGCTTTTTTTTAGTATTAAATAGGCTTGTTAAGTCGTCAACTTGACGCGTCAGTTAGTTGTCAAATTGTTCTGTCATTTTGAATGTCGAATTGAACTTCTTTGGTATATTTTTGTAAATTTTTGCAAAAAAATCGTAAGAATTTAGGAACTAAATTGCTCCTTCTTGTCTTTTACGACCGATGAGATAAACAGTAACACTCAAAATATGAACGGTATTCATCATAGTCTATGTTAAACTGGCGTGTGAAAGCTTCGTACATCAGAATGTTTAATTTAGCCAAAATTACGGCAACTTGACGTCATTTTGAAATTGTCAAACCACAGTATTAAACCAAAAAATATTTTAAGACGCTCACACTGATCGGCCAATTTGTGAGGAGGATCCAACTCATAATTGTTAATCGTATGAACCAAATCATTAATGATGGGAATAAATCCCGGATTGCTAAAATAATTACCTTATTTAAGTCCAGAGGAGTCACTTACGCTTTGGATCTCTTGGAAGCAATGTAAGAAAGTATCGAATTGATGGATGTAGGCGACAGCGGATCCCCAAAAGCCTCAGGAATCGACTGATCAGACGAGAAGTGCCCGTCATTTAACATTTCCTTCACTTTCTAAGACAATATTATAAAAATACCATGTCAACTTACTCTGGTGATCTCAGATCCACAGTCCGAACCCTCAGGAGAAGATTGAAGACTGTTCTCGCCCTCAAATGATTGGCTACGATTGTTGGAGATGCCGTTTTTGGTGTTGTCTTCCATGCTTTCGTCCATCTCCAGACCTCTGATGGTTTGAAAAAAGCTTTTCCAAACATTTTTCAGTCGCCTACAAAATATGTCAACATGACAAGACACGCAAAGTCGGTAATCAAGGTCTTGCGATAACATTAGAATATAACAAAGCAAGATAACAAAAATTCAAGTCGTCTCGTGACGTTAGCTGATAGCTTTTGCCATAATTGTAAAGCACAATGACGTATTTTCTAGACATGTTTGTCTGTCTTGGCCAGGGGTGGTCAGCAGACCCTATTTTTCCGATTTTCGGCCCGCGGCCCGGCCCGTCTAATCACCGGCCCGGCCCGGCCCGTCTAGTCTTTTTCCAGGCCCGGCCCGGCCCGGCCCGTGACGGGCCTGGCCCGGCCCGGCCCGGCCCGTGCAGGCCCGTCTATAGAGGGTTCTGCGAACTGCGCCCAGGCTCGGGATCTAAACTGAGGCAAAAAAGGCGTTGATCTAGCTAGTAAAGGATCAATGTGATAGTTTTGTGGTTCTATAATGGAACTATAGACTTGTAAACGTGTTAGAACTTGAGAAACAGCAACTATAACAACATCAATTAATTTTCCCGGCGTGAAAACAATGAATGCCAACGGTTTGGCATTGTATTTTAGACGGGCCGGGCCGGGCCGGAAAAACCCCAGGCCCGCGGCCCGGCCCGGCCCGGCCCGTGACGGGCCCGGCCCGTTTGTCAATTTCCATTTTTGAGGCCGGCCGGCCCGTTTGGGCCGGGCCGGGCCGGCCCGGGCCGGGCCGGCCCGGCCCGCCGACCACCCCTGGTCTTGGCATACCGTTTCATCTTCGATTTTTTATCAGAAAAAATTGTGAATGCATGCAAACCCGACAAGCCTTCTGGTGTAAACAACGCTCTAGTGTTATGTTTTTGTACCTACCTCCTTCAATTTTTATTTTTTGGGCTTCTATTTCCTCATTGAATTTGCTCTTGCCTATTTCCTTCCCCTTTATTCGGTCTCAGGGTCAGCCATTCTCTAAAGATTCACAATCTCAGGTTTCCTATTATCTACGTGGCTAGATGGAGAATATCTCGGTTTTTTATAGATCATGTCCTCACGATCTTCGAGTTCAGATGAAGATGCCGGTGTTATTTCGGATCATTCCGAGGGAGAGATTAGGTCTCGTTCTTCATCGCCTGAGACAAAACCCGAAAGAAAATCAAGGTGTGTGCTAACTTAATTATGGTATTGTTTGCTTAAGAGAGAGAGAACGTGCTCCAATAGATAGCTCGTCTTGTCTGTCCAAGTATTATCGAGAAAGGTTTGGAAGCCATTCCCCGGAGGATTATTTGAATCTGAGGTTTTCCAAGATGAACCCGAAGTTGAGCAAGGAGGAAATAAAACACATCCTTGATGATGAACTCCAGAAACTGGCTCCATTTGAGGTAGGCTTTTTTGTTTTTTTTTTAAACGATTTTAGGTAAAAGTAGTTCGAGATCCCGAAACGGATGATCGGTTGGCATACGTTAACTTCCGTCGTAATAATTGTGCAAAAACAGTTCGCCGGGCCTTAATTCCGAAGCTTCAAGATCGGCTTGGAGAGAACGTATTGATCGACCCAGCTGGAGTTCTTAGAGATCAAGAAGGAAAATTCATCCCGGACCGATTCAACAGAGCTCAGATGTCAGATGGACATGGCGACAATAGACACAATCATCATAACAACCATCAAAATAACAACAAGAGCTTCAGCAATCTGAACCAAGATCCAAATTTGGCAACAAGGACTCTATTTGTGGGTAATTTGCCTGGAGATATCAGACATCACGAACTGGTAAAATCATTCGGTCACTTTGGTTCTGTTGAAGATATTGACATCAAGGTTGTCAGTGACGGTTCTGCGGCCTATGCCTTTATCGTCTTTCATGTGAGTGTTTTTTATGCGGTTTGTATTTTATTGTTTATCTGAATTAACAATTTTTAGTCACTAGATGCAGCAATCGAGGCATTGGAAAGCCAACATAATCGTGCTCTGAGAAATGGGTCCACGAGATGTCAGATTGGCTACGGAAAGTCACAAGTTTCTCCAAAACTTTGGGTTGGGCGACTGGGAGCATGGGCGAGTAAAGACATGTTGATAAAGGAGTTTGACCGATATGGAGTTGTTGAATCCGTCGACTTTAAGCCTGGAGATCACCATGCCTATGTCCGATTTAGTGACTCCAATTCTGCTAGAGATGCCTGCTTAGCTCTGAAAAATTATCCCTTGGATGGAAGACATAAGATTGTGGTTGATTATGCAAAGTAAGTGGGGACTGATGAATGTTAATGTGTTTAGAGAAAGAGTAGGACAGAAGAAGTTTGATCGGAACGATAGACAAGATTCTAGGAAGAGAGTTTCAACAAGGTCTCCAGATGACTTTAAGAAGAAGAGGAAAGAGAAGAGCAAGAGTCGAACCAAGAGTCCAAGTCCATTTCCAACCATCGGTAGTTATGAGGAATTGAACGAGAAACATCCGAGCACATGGAAGGGGTTCTTTTGCTTAAAGAAAACGGAGTATAACATAAAGTAAGTATTTATTCGAATTGTACAGTGCGGGCAATAGAGACAGGTTGATTTCATATTGAATTTTAGGTTACATAGGGTATCCGGAAAGGAGAATATGGTCCAAGACCTGATGAGGAATGAAGAGGGTGGTGCAATAAAGCTGAAAGTCGAGCAAAGATTACCTCGAGAGACGGTATTCTTAGATAAATTGAAGGATATGGAAAGGGACTCCCTCGTCTTTATGGTCGGTGCCGAGGTCTCGATGTCATTTACACCCTTCATCCAATACATGAATGAGAAGAATGCGGTGGGTGTGGCACCATTAAGTGATGAAATCAAGGTCTATATATTACCTTACTGTAGTCTGGCATCTAAAATAACAAAACATTTCGTTCCACGGTTGAATATACTTTCAAAAGATTCAAATTATTTATTGGTAATACTGCATTCTTCATAATGATTGTAATAAATCCGATTGTATGATCAGGTGGAGACTATAAGTAGAATATAGATTGTCATGTTGTACTACTACTTACTTTTGCATTCACTCCTGCAATCGGGCAAGACGGAGGTGAAGAAGGTGTTGTAAGATTCGCAGGCGAAATAGGTAACCGGCCCAACTCGGCATCGGTCCTGGAAAGGCTTGAAGTATGGTCTTTCTCCTTGTTTGATCACTTCGCATTTCTACAAAATTTGTTGTTTGAACTTTGCAAATTTTTACCTCAAATTGGAAGAGATCAGTGTTGGCCAGTTTGTTGACGACGTCTCTGACTGTGTGAATCAGGTTGGACGCGGATGCCCTGAAGGTTTCGGAAATGCATTGCCAATTCTGAGCGGCTGCTGAAATGATTAGGCAAAAAAGATGAGATTTTGCAATAAGCTTACTGTAAAACCCAGCTCCACATTGGAATCTGAGATAAGATACGACACTAATGTAATGAAGAGCATGTTCAGGGGTGTCGTCGTTCGCTAGAAGGAATCTCGGGTCGAAGCAAGTCCGCAGATCTATTTGTTTTGCGTTCAGAAAATCTAATTCGGAATTGATGGCACTGAAAACGTGCTTTATTGACGTTTTAAACTCACTTGCAAACATCCACAATTCCTCTGTCGCCATCTTTAGCGTAGAATCCATGGATGGCCTCTAAAAGGGCCAACGGATGATTCCAATTCTTCCCAGAATCCAGTCCCAATTTCTTTCCAAACACGGCCTGGGCATTCTTTAAATCATCCACGGTGCAGTTTTTTAAAGAAGATACTGTAATTGATTAGTTTTTCTATTGAAAATTCTTACCTCCAAGTACTGCAATCGCCAACAGGATTCCGGTAAAAAGCCCCATTGTCTAAAGACGTATTAGAATTCGGAAAAATCAGTAGTTTTGGGAACTATACCAATATAGAAGACACGTATAAAAACAAATAAATTTATTAATCAAATAGCGACCCCATTCTACTTTAGTTGAGGGATGCAGCCAGTTTACGATTCTTGGAAGCCACTTCCTTGAAATACTTCTTGTGATCTGAAATAATTCGATTAAATTCTAAAGATATTCATTACTTACTTTCGCTAAACATTGTAAGCTTTTGAGGAGTGGATTGGGCCTCGGATTGGTCGTAAGTGAACACTTTACTGCAAGTTGTTTTACTGCAGAATCCATCGAGTTGAGATCTTCTCAGAGTTCTCTCGCATTCCCACCATATCAGCTAAGATGAATTGGTTACAATACTATGTATTATATTTCGCCTTACTTCTTTCGCATCACAACCTTCATGGCCTCCAAAAACAATAGCTTGGCAGAAACTGAAACTTTCTGCCGCCTGACAATATTGTTGAGGGTTCTTGTGGATGGTGTCGTTGTATTGTTTGAAGCACTGTTCGGTATGTTGTTTGTATTCATCTGACGTATGCATTCTCTCGATGCAATCCCAATGGCGAATTCCCTCTAAAAGAGATTGTCCGGTAATCTTATTGCTTTTTCAAATTCAACATACGCAAGAATCCACCATTACAATCAAAGTCCATGTTATCATAGAGGTCGGCCAAGATGAAAGAATCGCGGACAGAATGACCTTGGAACTTGAGGATGTTGAAGAGATCGGTGCAAGGAATGTAATTGGAGGCTAGGCAAGTGTGGAAGTCAGTCCTGGCCTTGCACAGACTGAAGATACCGTTGGTGCCCTGAGGGGTCGCGTTTTTTCAATCAACTTACATCGTGGAAGATCAGATTTTCAATATGTTTGATTAATTCAGCTGGTTTCTTGAATAAAGCCTTGTCGATTCCGAGATGAATAGCCAATTGTCCCTAAATTAAAACGTTCATGATCTAGATGACGTCACCGACTTGACAGTAATCCAGTTGATGTTTATTGCACTCCCGAAGACCAGGATGAGGCTCTCCTTGAAAATCATCCGGAGGAATCTGGGGATTCACACTGTAGAAAATCCCCACATCTTCTCGGCCATTTACCGTAAGTACTAAATGATGAATTTGTAATTGTTACCTACTTACAGAGACTCAGCAAAACCACGGACGACAACATTGGCGTCATTGTAGGTGCGAATGAAGCCATGGTTCCCAATTTGACGCCTTTCTGCTTATCACCAATTAAGTTTTATTACTCTCAGATTAAGGAAATTGCACCTTTAGGGTAATTAAAAGTTTATTACACTTTCATAATATTCATTAGCGCTTTATTTAATTTGAAGGCATTAAAATCATCGCCCAGACTCTATCGCAACTCCATTTTTATTTCCATTTTTTAGTATCGAATTGTCGGATTCAGGAGAGCTTCGAAAAATGATTTGGCCAGGGCTTTGTCCAATCGATGAGAGCAGGACTTCTTGGCTGCAGGTCGGGGGTACCGTCCCCAACAGTCCACAACATGCTTGTCGCAGTCACACATCGCTTGCTTGCACTTGTTTGTAGTCGCTAGAGCAATTTAATTCAAAATAGACGAGTCTTACGTTTACAAGAGGGCTCTTTGAAAGGGCGGTCATCAACAACCGTCTTGTTGCAGGTCCAACTGTAATCTTCAACGTATTCAATAGGGACGTCTGGGCAGAATTTCTTGTCTATAGCCGCGTCATAACACTTGTCATGTGCTCGACAACATCTAAACCAGTGTCATGAATTCATCTGATCAGGCTTACGCATCGATCTCATCAACGGGATCCCCGGCCCCGCCCACTCCACACCAGCATCCGTAGTTGTTGTAGACCAAAGCAGTGTATCCGAGATGGCATTCGGCCATTGCATTCAGATTCCATAGTGCCTTGAATCTGCTTTCTTCAGCAAAAACTGCTGAGATTAGGAGAGGAAATAACAACATTATTGAAAGGAAGGGACTCGGACAAGTCTGTTCTTATCATATAAAGGCTGGAGATCAGCTGACAGAAAGTTCTAGTGACTCACTAGAAAGCAGAAATAAGGTCGGTGACGTCATTACGCATGGTAGCCGCGCCTAAAAACAGCTCATTCTGTGTCAATAATCGACCACAGACAACTTTACACGCGAAATCAGCTTGATTGTCCGCTTTATTATAATATTAAACGTTTTATAATTCGTGCCCAATAAGTTTATGGCGGATAAAAACTAGTAGTTACAACTTCAACGATGGGCTGGCTTCTCGTATAATAAATAAGTTAGCACGCTAATACAATATATGAGGACATATGGAGCGATGATGTAACAATAATAAATATTAAGTTAAGCTTTAATGACTGACAAGTTGTGGCTGAAATCCATAGCTGGGATTAGTAGGAGGTTGGATAAAAGAGGCATCTGGAGGAGGTATAAAAGACAAAATATCCTCGCCCGGAGGCAGTTGTAGGATAGGAGGACCCGGAGATATTCCCATCATCCTCATGTAAGAGGTCACTTGGTCTGGAACCTCTTCAAGAACAGCTTCGGCGAGACGGCGTTTGATCTGATCAGCCTCCAACACTGATCTGGGCATTCCACTGGGTGGGAAGAAATCACGGAAAGGAACAAACTACAAGATCACAAAATGGTGGATATTAGACTTACTTGGACAATATCCCGTAAGGCTTGCTTTCCATTGGCTGTCGTCAACAATGCCTGATCGGAATCTAGATCGTCCATTTTATCAAAGCTTGACCCCCCAACACCCACGATGATTATTGACAGCGGTTTATCCGATGCCTGAAACATTAATAATAAACATTAACACAAAATACAAAAAATATCCATTTAGTCAAACGTACATCTACAATAGAGTTGATCGTCTTGGCCATATCTGTGATTTCTCCGTCGGTGATAATCAACAGGATTTGGTAACGATTCTTTTCCTTGGCCAAGAGACTAGCCTTATATGCAAATTCTTGGATAGAAGGCGAAAAATTGGTGGGGCCATAGAATTGGATGTAAAGCAAGGTCTTTCGATACAACCCGAGCACACTATCTACACCATCAATCACTCGTTGACGGCTCTCAACATCCTGTAATTGACTCTGTAACCAATGTTAGACTGCTGTAAGAAACAACAGAAAGGAAGAAGAAAACGATGAAGAATGTACCGTGGCGGCCCTGATCCAGTCACCAAAAATGCACAATTTTGCTTCCAGGAGGGAATAAGAATCCCGCAAAATACCTCCCTTCATTGACCAAAAGAAACGGGAAAACAGCGCAAAAAGCGCGCGCGCTTTTGATTTGGAAATACAGGGCGCGGCAATTTTTCGGCCGGATTTTAATTGGCCATAACTTTTTTAGTTTTTGGGCAAATGTTAAAATTCTTTTTTTCTCTGAATCCATAGACAACCCCTTTTTGTTTAATACCAAATATGTTATCCCCGTTCATTAGACTATAGTAAAAATCTAAGGCAAAGAAAAAGCTCTAATTTTAATAGATGACAATGGAATTACCCCTACTGCGACTCTCAGATTTTCTTTAAATTTTGCACAGGGGCCGGACATAGTCCACACATCAATTCCTGAAAGTTTCAGCTCGCACCTTTCAGGGGCGACCAAGATATTCAACGATTCTTTGCGGTCAGGAGGGCACATGAGTGGTCGCACAGAAAAACTTTTTGGCTATATCCTCGCTAGTTTTGTGCGGAGATAGCTGATTTTTTGTGGAAACGGTATTCTCGATGACCTGAACAGGCATGAAACTTTTTACGACAAAATTCGTGAAAAAAAGTTATTTTTTCTGGCGATTTTCACACACGCCGAAAAAGCAGAGAAAACGACCGAAACGCCAATAACTATGAACTAGGTCCCTGTATATATAACATATTTGGTATTAAACAAAATGGGGTTGTCTGAGGATTCAGGGAAAAAAAGAATTTTAACATTCGGATAAAAACTAAAAAAGTTATAGGCAATTCAAATCCGGCCGAAAAATTGCCGCACCCTGTATTGGGATGCATTTTGCGTGCACTCTTTTGTCTAAAAAAGGACGGTCTCCTCAAAAATTTGCTTTTGGTCATAGAAGGGTGGTACTTTGTGGGATTTTTATCCCCTTCCGGAAACAAAAATGCAGATTTTTGGCGACTGGATCAGGTCCGCCAATGTACAGGGTGGTCCAGCTAAGTTCGCGGATGTAAAATGCTTATAACTTTTTATAGGATTGTTCAATTTTTATGAGCAATAGCTCATTTTATTCCTTAGTAGTTGCCATTTTGTTTAAAAAAAAGATCATTAAAAACGATGAATCCTACGTCGAGTTATGACCCTTCAAAGTCAAACATGCTTTTTCACGTAAATTTTAAAAAAAATTTAATTTTCAAAAATTTTTGAATTGGGGTGTCACCGCTCGCTGTTACCGGGAAATGATGGTGAACAGAGCGATCCCAGCAATGCAAAATTGGCCCAATTTTGCCAGTCTTTGGTATTCTTCCATAATTTGGCGCCCCATTTGTTAATCCTGGCGAACTCGTTCCACCTCTTCTTCGATTACGCGCTTCAATTCCACGTCTTTGGGCGCCAATCCCTGATGAAAATCCGTTGTTTTAAGAACCCCCAAATGGAGAAATCTAGCGGAGTTAGATCAGGTGAACGCAGGGGCCAAGCAATTGGAGCTGGTTGCCGCGCAGATCCCCGGCCCATCCAACGACCTGGAAAAACCTGGTCAAGGAGTTGACGGACCGCTATAGCAAAATGAGGTAGCGCGCCGTCTTGTTGAAAAACAAGACTGGCAAAATTGGGCCAATTTTGCATAGCTGGGATCTCTCTGTTCACCATCATTTCCCGGTAACAGCGAGCGATGACACCGCAATTCAAAAATTTTTGAAAATTAATTTTTTTAAAAAATTTACGTGAAAAAGCATGTTTGACTTTGAAGGGTCATAACTCGACGTAGGATTCATCGTTTTTAATGATCTTTTTTTTAAACAAAATGGCAACTACTAAGGAATAAAATGAGCTATTGCTCATAAAAATTGAACAATCCTATAAAAAGTTATAAGCATTTTACATCCGCGAACTTAGCTGGACCACCCTGTAGATGGTAGAAAAACTTACCAGAGGGAAAAGATGACTAACTTGATTTCCCGGAGGAATTTTAGCTCCAAAACCCATTACTTCAAACTGTTTGCTGTGATTATAATGTTGACAAATCTCAAGAACTGCAGCAATCGCCATCTCATACTGGTTTTGATTGTTGGGATCGATGTAATGAAGAGAAGTTTGGGAATGGACTGGACCATTCGAAGCAGTAAAGTCAATGCAAACAGCAAACTCTAATTGCAAACTAAATAAGATATTATACTAAGGACACAATTTGAATGCAGCATACCCTCCTTTGATATATTCCAGGAACGAATGTGATCTCTCATGCACAGATTCCAGGAATCTGAGGGCTCCAGAATCTTTGTAATTAGGGTGTCTGACCTTTCTGGGATTAATAATAGGAAACGGAGAACTTCCAGCAGCTTTTATTTTGTCAAAGGTAGTTGTAACTTCTCCAATCAGGACACTGAATTGACGTGAAATAACTCTTCAAATATACTACTTACTTTCCATGTTTCTCGACTCTGTGACATTGAACTGTGAATTCGCTGAAGAGTGTTATGATCAGTTTGCCGGAGAAATACTCCAAATGTCACCCTCTGATTTTGATGAGACTTGCACAAATTTAGGTAACTTTTTTCTAACAAGGGAACGGTGTGAACTGTCCGTGAGCTTTCAACATAAGACTCCCAAATTCCGAAGAGCGTACAAAATTTAGTAGGAATCCGTTTTCTATTTCTGCTGGATTTTAAGATAGAAAAGGTGAACCGAAAGGCCCAGAAAAGCGTCTTTTAAATACTAGTCTAGTGGAAAGTACCAATTCGGACAAAATTTGTTATATAGCCTACTCATAGGCTAGCAACAAAAAATAACATACCAGGACAAGCCGTATAGTTGTATTTAAAAATTCAGGGGCAATTTTCAAAAATCAACTTAGAAAACTCTTATACCTTCAGGGCAGAATTTGGGAAAAATATTTTGTGCATATGTTAAACACATGTCTTCGGTCATTTTAAACCAAAAAACCTGAAATCGACTGCTTCGTTAATATGCACGCGTTGATATACGCTGATGCAGGGATCCAAAAATTTTCTCTTCAACCTTTCTTGCAAAATTTTGAGAAAAGGTGAAAGTTTGGCATCATTCTTTTCCGCAGAAAAAAAAAGAGCAGAAATATCTTGAAAATGCCAGTACATCGACATCTGACGTCATCGAAAACTTTTTGAAATTTTGCAACAAAATCTTTAAAACACTCAAGTAAATGAAGAAAGAATTTTTACATAACTGTAGAATACAGTAACAACGACACGTAGATTCAAGCCGACGCGACGGTATACCCGTTGGATGGACTCGAACCTCCAAGACTTCCCTCCCCCCAAAACATTTGTACGTAGAACTTTTTCCGCTAGACTATTCGGTAATTCTTTTCTGACCCTTTCGGTTCGCCTTTTCCCTTTTTCGATTTTTTAGTCGGATCTTTCTGTCGATATTTCTCTCTTCCCAAGACCATTCGGCAGAAACAGAAAACGGATCCCAACTATTAAAATTTGTACGCTCTTTCACAATTTGGGGATCCCGTGTTGAAAGCTCACGGATAGTTCACACAAGATCGCTTTTTGCAGAACCGATCGAGACTTTTAGGCCGCAAATTGGAAAAGATGGGAAACTTTTCTACGAAATTTGGGGTGAAAAGTTTTATTGTCTATTTTTGGTAACGTTGCACAAAAAATCAATCTTTCCGCACGAAACTGGCGAATAAGTATTGCCAAAAAGTGTTTTTCTCTCGAACCGCTCTCCGCGTTTTGCGTATTCTCTCGGAAGATCGTTCAATATATCGGCTGCGCCTGCAAAGCGCGAAGTAAAACTTTCAAAGATTGATATGTGGCCTAATTTCATGAAGTGTGTGCAAAATTTAAAGAAAATCTGAGCACTTGGGGTGCTTCCCTTGCTATAATCATAGCAATCTTACTTTGTCGGCTCGTTTCCACACAATTGCCTTATTTTTAATTCAACTTTGGGATAATTTGGGAAGCAGGACATCTTGACATCACCAGTCCGGACGACCAATTGTCGACTAAAACTAATAGAATCAACGAAAAAACGTACCTTCCGTCAGGCAGATGTCTGTAGAATTCCAAATAAGTATCCGGCTTTATAAAATGAAACTTTTTGTGAAGATCAATCCCTTGGATTTTGAAGAGGAAAATGTCATTCTGGACTTGAGTAACCTCTTCAGCGAACACAATTAGATGCCCTTTAGCTCTATTCCATCCTCTAAACAACAGATTAAACATGGAATATGTCCTTACCCTAAACTCAAAGTCAAGTATCCATTGGGTGCAGCCAAGATATCGGCCAGATCTGTAGAACAGCTCCCTAAGAAGTCATGTTCGCTAAGGGTCGCGTTGGGTGAGTCAATATCATATCTAAAAATAAATATGATGTTCGATATCACATACATTTTGAAGAGCAATGTCTGCCGTCTCTCGAAAAAATAGTCTAATTTTATTTTTGTTGCCCAATTTGGACTCAAATTATCCCAAATAATTTCGGTTCGAGCCACTTCCCGAGCTACATTGTTATCAACCCGATAAACCACACACATAGGATCGCTCTTGGACAACACATCTCGGTCTGCCAAGTTTCTAAAACAACAATTTTATTACTTAAAATATACTATAAAAAATTATTATCTTTTTCAACACATACCTGGCAGCTAAGACAAGTTCAACCTTGGATTTTGGTTCATTGTATGTTTTCATAACCTAAAGTAAAGTAGAATATCAAGAAGGTTAAACGTAAAAGGCTGCCTCGCCTAAAGCCGCTTTCCCAAGGAGAATTTGACCCAGATACTGAGGAAAGAAGGGGAATGACCAGTGCTTTTCTCCTCCAAAGCAAAGTCGGCCTTTCGAAACAGATAAATAAAAATAGAATTTGACGTCACCCGGGCCACAAATTACTTTTCGAAACATAAAAATGCACAATGCTTTAGCACATGTGTTCAAAAAATATGAAATATTTATTTTTTAAAATACAATAAAACATTTCTCTGTGACATTTCGCTCAGATTTATATCGGGGCTAACTTTTGCTTACTCAACTAAAATGACGTCTTTGTCTTATCTGCTTTCCTATGATCAACCCTTTCCGGACGAGTCGGCACCTCCATGCAGGAATGAAAGAGGGTATCCTAATGAGTAATATTATAATACAGGGTGGCCCAAAAAAATGGAAACTTTTTTCCGTGGGTCCTGCCGCGAAAACCTTGAGGTGTAGCCAAATAATTTTTACACTGTTAAATTCTCCGTATTTTCCAGCCCTAGGTGTTTTATTTTTATGCCCATATCGCCTGGTTAACATGTTTTTTATGAATGTCAAACAAAGGGACCTCGATTTCCGACCTGTTTCGGCAAGAAAAAGGACGGTGTGAGGTTAATAAATTGCTCGATGTAGCAAAAACTTTTCTGCCAAAAGCCACCAAACAACTCAACGGAATAGTCCGCAATGGTACGCGTTTGGGAAGCCGAAAAAAGTGCACGTTGAAAGCTTCTGCCAACCTTGAGATCATCAAAAAGCGAGTGAAGCGAAATCTGATGATGTCCAAGAAAAAGATTGCCCGAGAGACTGTTATCAACAGAACAGCTATCTCCCAAATGGCCAAAAATGTACAACAGCTCAAGCCTTACAGGCTCCAAAAAGTTCAACGCCCTACGGAAGACCACAAATTAGTACGGCTCAAAAGACGTCAAAAACTCAGGCGCCGCGCCGCTGCTCGGCGATGAGAGGAGATCCTGTTCATGGATGAGACGTAGCTCAACATTGAGCAGGTCCACAAACACCAGAATGACAGGAATTAGACTGTTGAGCGTCGTCAAGCACCCGCCATCTTCGAACCCTGTCAAAACCTCTTCTGTCATGGCCTGGGGCAAAATTTCGCGCCAGAGGCAAGATATCCCCGGTTTTTGTGGTTAAAGATGTCAAACTCAACCGAAACGTCTTCCATCGGTATTCTGGAGGTAGTGGTGCTTCCGTGGGCTTAGTAGCAATTTGTGGATAAAAATTTAACGTTCTCGCAAGATTCAGCCCCGGTCGAGAAAGCAAAAAGTGCACGGGGCCAGGAATCGGCTGATTTTGCTACGTCTGCAAAATTGCCGCCTACTCGCCGGATCTGGATCGTAAAAAACCAAATTTTTTTTCCAATTAGAGGCGAGTGCATGTACTATACACCACAAAAGTTTGGGACCGCTAAATAAACGCTGCGCCAAGAACGGGACCGATTTCCCGAAAAAAAGCTGCGGCGTATCGCCCAAAATTTTAAGTCACGTTTGGCGCTCTATATCGCCGCCAACGGCAGATATTTCGAAACTGGTCAAACATGTTGTTAACAATGTTCCCTGTTACTGATATTAGTCATTACTTTGGCTAAATTTATACAGTTAACTGAAATATGGCTATAAATATGAGTTTCCATTTTTTTGGGCCACCCTGTATTAGGTTGGATAAAAAGTTGTAACCATTTTTTCGCAAAAGTTTGAATTCAGTCATTTTCTAGCTCAGATCTCTCTTTGTTTCGACATACACACGGGCTTAGAGAATATTGCTAAGCTTTACGGCACAGCTGATATTTTCTATTACTGAAATCTTGGAATTGTCCCGGTTTTGATACGATATACAGCAAATTAAGTCAAGGTTCCTGGCCGGCTGCTACTAGTCCTGGATTGGAGTTGTCATAATCCTCTGTAGTGATTAGTGATGCTAGCTTTTTCTTAGAATAAAGCGGAATATTTTTGTAAAACTTCAATTATAAATTTTATAATTTATAAAATGTTTAAAGTGTAACGGTTCCATCGTATAAAAAGTCTCCACAGGCCGCGGAGAACGGTCGGGCGCAACTCAAAACGAAAACATGACAATTTTCTCCTATAAATATTACATTTTAGTGCCTACAACTTTGTTGCAGCTAAAATACAGACGAAAACAGCACATAAACATCAACTGAATGTAACGTTTTTGTCCACAGGCTCCTGATTTTTTCGACTGATATTGAGCGGCGCTTGCATGGAGGCCTCCTGTATGTCCACATTGAGGGTAAAAGAACAACCTTTCTTATCTCTTCCGTAATTAAGTGAGAAGTAATTCCCACCAAGATATGATGGAATTTACGAAGAGAAAAAACATATTATGCATGCTTTCATTCCACCTGCAGTTGTATCGTCATGAATAAAATGTTTTTGCTACTCTTTAAGGTAATACTCTAATCCTCCGATTTGACGTCTAATTTTAATTCGCTGGATAATGTAACATTCCCTTCATCGGGTGTCTGTTGCAATTAGTCACCATTTCAAATACTTCTTGGCCAATTTGACAATTTTCTTTAGTAAGCTTTTCAGGAAGTTTAATTAAAATCTGAATTTATTAAAATGGGATTGTGGATTAAACGGGGGCTTATTTATTAAAGGATCCGAACAACTACACTTGAATCGTGCGTTTTACGGCTTGGAAGACGAAACGTGACGGCAGTTTTGTTTTCCTTCGTCGTAAAAGGGCATTTGCAATAGTTCAAAATAATCCAATAGATTGTAAAATACGGTGTGGGCCACTCGAAGCTGACGTTCTCTTTGTTTGGGTTTCTCCGCGGAGACTCCGCCGATTTCCCTAAGATTTAGATGTTTATTTTCGGACATTGTTCAGTCTGTCACAGAATTAAGCCAAAATTGGTCAACCAGGTCACCAAGCGGTCTGGAACAATCGCTTGAGCTTTTTTGCCTATAGTCATATATGGAGGATTACTGTAACCTCCTTTCTGAGGAAATAATTGCATTTTCTGCAAAAATAAAGCCGTGTTTTAGTCGGATCGATCCACCACGATCGATCCGACTATGTTTTCGACCACGTAGAACGTTTTTGTAGTTATGACTAAAAATTACATCTAAGCGGTGTTTTACCTGCGGTAACATACCATTTCGGACAAAACGAGCTACTTTAACCAAAAGCACTTTTAAATACGCTAAAAAGGAACCTTCTTCAATAAACCATAGAAACTTCAAAAAACTAAATTTGGGTTTTTGGCTTACAATAATGTATTAGAAATTTTGAAAGAGTGCTTCTGATTCAAACCCCAAGAATGCCAGCTTTTTTGGGGTATCTGTGACCTTGTACATGAGACATTGAATGTTTTTCAAATGCAATTCTTTCCTCAGAAAGGAAGTTACAGTAATCGTCCATATAACGACTAGAGGCGCAAAAACTCAAGCGATTGCTCCAGACCGATTGGTGACCTGGTTGACCAATATTGGCTTAATTCTGAGACACCGATTTTACCAATGTCCGCCCTCTGTTAGGCTAAGCTTCAAAATTTAGCGAAACGCGTTTTAAGAGAAACAAGTAAGTTGTTTCAAGGCATGGGAGAACAAAAAAATTCTGTGAAATTTTGTCTTCCAAGCCGTAAAAGCGTAGTTGTTGTGATCTGCGAGGTTCTGCGAAATGCTGCGCCAAATGTGGCTGTTTTCCTGCCGAGACGCGTAACTTTTCTTCACAATCAGTGCGAAAAAATATTTTTCCGAAAAATTGCTTTTTTTGTTTTTCCGTGACAAATTGCGAAGATGCGTTTCACCGCGAAGACAATCACATCTGGTGCATCGTTTATGAAACCTCGCACGTTAAGTGATAACTGGATTTTTAATGAGTGTAACGGTTTATATGTCTGTGGGTTAGAATACCCGATATGGGAAGTGTCGTGCAATACCGTGTATTAGAATAGGAAGTCGACAAAACTGTTGACTTTCGCACCGAGAGTTCTTATTTTTCATAACTGACCAATTATCCATTCTTTAAGGGCATGTCCTCCCTCTGTGACAATAGAATACATAATACCAAAAAGTGAACATTAGAGTACTTTCAGGATCCGTTCTTCTGCACGATATCAAAGGCACCAATGTAAGTTCGTTTTCTGGTGTGATCCGACTTGCCTTTTTCTCTTCTCCTCCCCCGTTTTCATGATGAAGTGGGGTCATACTCGAATTCGGCCCTTTTTGCTCTCAGGCGTCGACTATCACTGTAGGAAAGGAATTTGATTACGAGGTTTGAAACGTTTTCAAACGCCAAAGGACGCCCATGGCTATAATCCCATGTCATGCGGGCTTCAAGATTAAATATGGGGTTTCGAGTGGATGACCCAAACAGGTAAAAAGGTCTGGACTAACCGCTTAAGTGGACGGGGGAGGAGCTTTTGGGGATTCTCGAGCAGCAGATCCCTCAATACAAGAAGGCCGACTTCACTTCCCATTCCTTCCAGCCCCACCCCACCCACAGAAAAGCCGGGAGAAGGCCGCGCTTTCCCGTTTCCTCGCATGGATCCCCCAACCAAATTCCATTGTCGATTCGCTCTTCGTAATTGACTTCTGAATTCGCATGACGAACGCGTAGGCCAAACGCGGATTCTGGAGTCATGTCCGCGCTCCTGAATGGTCCCGTTACATTGGCGATGGTCATCTCTGGCTCTATCATGAACCTGTTAACTATCTATGTTTTATCTGCTCAAACGGCCAGCAAATATCACCGTCCATCGGTGTTTGCATATCCATCCCCTCAGGCACAGAAGCGGATGTCCAATTCAACGATTGAGAGGAGCCGATCCGGTGTGGAACTCCATTCTTCACAACGTCGGAGACCCTGCCGAAGCCAGAGTTCTGTGATCTCCTCGCTCTCGGCTCATGGTAATCGACCCAGGGTTTATACCTTCTTCGTTTGGCTGGCTATTTCAGATATTTTGCTATTATTATCAGCACTTTTAATGTACTCAATTCCGAGTTTGTTGAGTGGCGGATATCAGCCTTATGTGCATTTCTTCCCCTACTTTTATCTGATGAGTAACACAGCTCTTATAGCCAGTGTAAGTTAAAAAAGTTTTTCTGGAGCCGGGGTTCTTTCCTTTTCCTCAATTCGAGCCCAATTGTTCGGATTTGTGTGTTTTGAGTTCAAATTTCCAGACTACAGTACGTATCTTTTTTAACAATTCTGATATGACTTTCCATTTCAAGACAAATGGTTTCATTTTTTTTCTTTAGGTATGGTTAATGTGTGCCTTGATGCTTGATCGATATCGTACTTTATGTAAGCCCTTCGCTGTAAGGGCGAATAACATTCCTCTAATTCATAAAGTCCTGTTCGGAGTTTGTTTGACGGCCTTGTTGTTCTCGATGCCTCGTTTCTTCGAATTAAATTCTGTCCTGGATGAAGCCTCAGGCACTTATTATGTCAGCCAGACTCAGCTCGTTCACAACAAGTTGTATATGATTGGGTATCGGATAGTTGGAGGACTGCTTTTCTATTCCCTTCTTCCTTATGTCATCCTTTTTGTTCTCTCATTTCGGGTAAGATTTTAATTATTTTGAATTAAAACACCTGGCTTAAGACGGCGGCTAATTAGGGGTTGATATCAGCTAAATATATTCGGATTACATGTTTTTTGTCTGAAATTAATTGGAAATCCCGTAGGGCCAAGGGAACGTCACAATCCAGGAGCTTGTAATCTCATTGCATTACAAAAGCCGTTTCTTTTTTCTCTTAACGCTTAAGCCTGCGAACATGAGTATTTATTTGGACCCAATGGTCGATCTATCAGAACAAGGCCTGAGGCTATGTTCGAGGAAGTCATGAATTATTTTTGAAAGCTCTGGACAGGCAATTGTTTTGATGGATTGTTACCCTTTCCCCAATCCCGAATTTATAAACTTTGCCCACACTTTTGGGCGAAACATTCTTTGCATATGAAAGTGCATAACACAGCCAAAGTAATCCCGTAAATCCGGATTTATTTTTTGTTTTCAGGTTTGGCTAGTCATCCGCTCGGCCGCGTTGGCCCGACTCAAGATGAATGCCTCAGGCACTATGTCGAGTGCATGCGCGACTGACTCGGAGATGATTCTGATAGCCGTTATCTCCAAATTTTTGCTTTCCCGGCTCCTTCCTACCGTCCTGGATGTGATAGAACACGTGGTAGGGCCGGAGACTTTCACCAGGTCTCCCCAACTCACGATCTGTGTGGACATCAGCAATCTCGTGGTCGTTTCGTCGGCCGGAATTAATCTCTTCATCTTCTATGCCTTCTCCAATTCGTTCCGGAAGGCCATTAAATCTCACTTCCGTGCTCCCAAAAAGACATCCACCAACTCCCCGACCAGTCCTCTAAGCACGGTATCGGCCGTTCATTCGGCCGTCACCCAACGTCCCAAACTACCTCGACAATTAAGCTTACAAGCTGACCGAAGGAAGCAGGCTCCTCTAAGGCGAAAGACCACCGTCAGCGGGATCCCTCTCTGCCATACTGTTGCCAAAACTTCTACTGTCAGATCTCCATTATGTGTGGATCAGGTAAAGACAGGGGTCCGCATGAAGTAGCAAAAACTGGCGTTAAACTTCATATGGGCTTAAGATTTTATCTGACTTGAGGTGTAAACATGGCCACATTTGTGATTAATCCGTTCTTTTTCAGTCTCGCAATCTTCTCACAACGCCGCTAAGTGAGAAATTAATCATCACGCCTGATCCTAGTTCAGGTAAAATATAAAAATTTTTTATTTATTTAAATATTGGCCACGACGATAAGTTTATTTTCAGCCATCTCAAATGCAACAACTTGAATCTCAAGTAAGTAAACACACGGGTATGCCATCATTTGTTATATTGCTTGTTTTGTGATGTTGTCGTTATTGCAATAAAAGAAACATTGAAAGCAACTCGGATGGGATTATTACGGAACAACGTGGAAATCTGACACTTGAAAAAAAGATCTCTTGCACAGGTTCAGGACGTCAGGTCACTGTTGGCAAAGGCCAGGCGGGATAAGGTGGTGAGGGCAGATAACAGCTGGTACTGATAAACCTGAGGAAAAGCGGGCCCGCAACGAGTCCAAGACTGAAGGTTGAGGGTGGTATATTGCGAAGATGCCGGTCATCTTAAAGCACGGCAGCAAGAGCGTGATCGCCTCCCATGGATCCGTGGGTCAGTTCAGTCGCACTGAATCTGCCGGAGGGTTTTCCAGAGGGACTGCCAATCGTATTTCTAGTGCCGGTTCTAATCTTCTGGATCGAGTGCGTAAAAGGTCAGTCCAGCCAACCCTTAGGCTCTCACAGAAACTCCGGAATCCCAAGCAATGGATCCGAGAGTTTAAGAAGTTTTACCGAAAATTCTACCTCAAATATTTGTTACCCTTAATATTCATTATTTTCTACATGTTTCTTGGCGCTTTACTATTTTATTGGCTGGAAAGTGGAGCCGAAGAGGATCGCATCGCAACTCGGTAAGTAACATTACCCAAAAAACTATATTTTGTGAATAACATGCTCTTTGTAATCCCATTTGTCACCTTTGAGAAGTGCGGCTAATTGGATTCTTTTACTTCCTTATTTTCAGCCGCCGAGAGTTCGATCGGGAAGTGGAATTGTTTGTGAAGAGACTGGACGAAATCTCAATCGACCGGTCGATATCCTCGAAGAATGCAAAACGTCGATTTGTTCAAGAAGCCATTAATCATTTCCATGAACAACTCGAGATCGATCCTCTGATCCAGCCAGAATGGAGTCTGACGACGGCCATGTACTTCTCCGGAACTATTTTCACTACCATTGGTATGTTAAAACATTCTTCAAGGACTTCACGTGGCCAAGAAAATGCCGGCACCTGTCTTTAAATAACCGAAGCTTTTGGGATTATGTGCAAACTCATTCGGGAGTGATGTATGACATAAAGAAAGGACCCTCCTGTTGTTAGCTTGAGGAATTGGTTTTTCTTGAAATGACCACCCGAACTTCACCTAGACTTGTTGAAAAAAGAAGGGGTGATTAATTCAAGAAGGTCGAAATAATCCATGACATCCCGTCTATAAGCCACAAAATTTGATTGAACATTGTTTTAGGATTTGGAGACATTGTTTGCAAAACAGCAGCCGGAAGATTGATGACAGTGGTGTACTCCATCGTGGGTATCCCGGCTATGTTAATGACACTAAACGATCTCGGAAAGTTCTTGTATAATAGTATCCAGGACTTCCTTGCCTATTACGATCGATGTCTAAACAAATTGAAGGCAAGAATAAAAAAGGAGGGACCGCCAAAGGATGACCTCAATACCCTCGAACGAGGAACCCTCCCGAGCTTGGGTAGTGAACATAACGAACCAATAAACCACGTCAGTTTCAACCTCCAACCAGGTCCTGATGAACTCACCTTGGATATGGAAGCGGGAGGGGATATGGAAAGTATCCAAAGAATGCAATCTCTCGATGACCGCCTTACTATCGACAGTCAAGCCAATGCTCCCACATTTCCTAGACTAGAAACAAACACTTCTATCGACGCCCTCAGTGGAGAATACACAGCCGAAGATGAATTGTTACCTCAAGCCGGAGCCCCTCCCAGAATGCCCGTACTGGTCGCCATAGGAATTACTGTAGGATGGATCTTCTTCTGTGCGGCGCTATTTATGATGTGGGAGAACTGGACTTATGGAGAGAGCTGTTACTTTATGTTTATCAGTATGTCTACCATTGGGTTGGGAGATGTAAAAGTAGATCGAAAAGAGTAAGCACAATTCTATAGAGCCAGCCCAAAATAAATTTCCATCTTTAGCTTAATGGTGGTCTGTTTTGTGTTTGTAATCATCGGTCTTTCCTTGGTCAGCATGTGTATTGCCGTAATCCAAGCGGCGCTGGAAGATCTCTATAAAAAATTGTTGATGAAATTGCTAATGGAGTACCAGGCAAAACTGGCAGCCGGAGACCACAAAGGAGCTTCCATGGGAATGATGAAAATGTGGGGCAACAGCAAAGCAGCCAAATATTTAATGCCGATGATCAGTTCCGAAGCTAAACGAAGTGTAATGCAGAGAATTCAGGAAGAGGCAAAAGAAAGTGGCATTGAGATACCACCCATATTCGAAAACATGGATGAGAAGTCAGGAATGCCCAAGATTCTAGTCGTGGCCGAACAAATGGCCAAAGACAACATAGAAGTCGACGAAGTTATTGTCAACGAAATCGTCAGAGAATCTGATCCTACGAGGCAGAGCATCCCCAGCAAGTTCGGAAATATGGTCACATACGATGGCTCCACACAGACTGAGCCTATCGTAACGTAAGTTTAAATGTGAGCTTCAATTCAACGTCTTACAGAGATGACAAAGTCGGCCAAACAATTGATCCTCAACTGGACAATTTAGCTGTTCAGACAGATCCCGAAAAGGAAATCGATTTAAACGACGAGGGAATTCAGACAGATTATCTTTCTTCCAATTCAGATGAAACGCAAACATCAACCACCGAGACCAAGGAAGTGGAGACATTCACCAATTCCTACTCGCTCGAGGTAACCCAATTCACTGTAGAAACACACTTTTAGTCAAACGAGACCCAAACAGAGACCATAACAACAAGTGAACAGGAGTTACAAACCCATGTTGTTGACATGATCGAGGACGAAATTCAAACAGACATCTTGGAAACCAAAAACGAGAGAATTCAGACGCCGTACCCAGAAACTTCAACCAATGAAACACAGACAGATGAAGGAGTAAGTCACCAAGTTATACAGGGTTCAGAGAAATCTGCCGAAAAATTTTTTTAAAGGTTTTGCCAATCCTCTAAAAAATTTTTTTGGGTGAAAGAGATTTTAAACATGCTTTACGAGAGTCAATTTAGCTGTACACAAAAAACAAAATGTTACAGTAGAGACGTGAAAAACTACCTACCATAAATAGGCCGTTAGTCGTATATTAAAATGGGGAGGTCAGATTTTAAATTTTGGGCTACTGTAGATATACTGTAACATTTTTAGATTTTTCGTTTCTCAGCAGTCCATCGGGCAACTAATCAAGGAGATCCAAAAATAAAAAAAGATACCATTTTAAAATGGGTTGACATTGATTTTGAAAAATCAGTACCAAAAAAGCTCGAAAATTTGGGAAAATCCATTGCAGATTTTGTTTTCAATGACGCTGATTTCGAAAATCGTATCCATTTTTTCTGAATTTTACAATTTTGCTTAAGCAGTAGGGTCTAATGTTTGGTTGTAAAGACGAAAAAAGCGTTAGAAGTTTTCTCGCAAGATCATAAAAGTTTGACCAAGTTTTTACCAATTAATTCCGTCCTTCGTGGTTTTCGATGGTGCCGATTTCAAAAATCATGTTAATGTTTTCTGATTTTTATTTTTTTTTCATTTTAAGACTGTTGACGTATGTTGAAGTGCATTGTCAATTCGGCAAAAGGATTACAGATTTTCTAAGGAAGACCTTTAGCGAAAATCTCAGAACATGGCTAAGAAACGTAAAACTCACATTTGTCCGCCAAGGCGGATAACATCATAAAGCCGCCTATTTCTTGGTCTTATTTCACCAGAAATAAGAATTTTTTGAATATCTTGATTGAGCGCAACGAAATCGACAAAAACTTTCAGGGAAATTTCTCTGAACACCCTGTACAAATTGACTAAATCGTTTCTTACAGCTGGCATTAGATTCAATAAAGTCGCCATCAAAGATTTCCAAAGCCAAAAGGCGTCTTCGAAAGGCCTTCGCCAGAAGTACGCCGAGTAAATCGGCAGAACCGGAGATGAGCGACTGGAAGGATGTTTCCGGGGAAGAAGTCACCGACCCAGAAGAAGGTCGGTCATCGCCCGAAAGTCTTGATTGGGATCCCATCGACGGAATGCATGCAGAAAGACAACGACCTGTCAAGGACCTTAAGAAAATGTTTGACAAGTCCAAGAAAAAATAAAAAAAAATAAAGCGTTTATAAATTAAAGGATTTTCTCAGTCAGCCGTCAGTTATGATTGAGCCCGAAGAGGCCCCCTGCCCTAGGACACCCCTCGGCCGAAGAAGCCCCCTAAAAAAACCTGGATTAGCTAGCCAATATATCAGATTCGCAGAAGCGTTGAAAATAGCTAGCCAAAGAGTTGATTGGTGTCAAAGAGTAGCTGTGACAACCGAAGCCCCCGGCTAGCCAAATCAGGTTTTGGCAAGCCAAACAATTTTGCAATATTGGCTATAAATATTGGTCCGATTCCCGATCTGTCCCAAATGAAAGGCTGCGATGTCATTAAAAAAGTGAGGGTCAAATTATAGGGCACACTTCCATTTGAGCCTGCTTCAGCAACGCGCGAAGTGTCTTTTAATTTTAAAATCATGGTTAAACGATAAAATCAGAATGCATAAAAACCCGCGCGATCCAATAAACCAATAAAGGTTTCATTTTATATTTTAAAGATTTCAACAATTCTTAAAATTAGGAAGGTAAAATAAATAATTAGCCCTAGAAATCACCGAGATTTTCACACGCGAGATCATCAGACGGTCAGCCAGCAATTGGGGACTCTTACCCAATCGATACTTGTAACAGTTTTATCACAATCCCATATATTATGACAAGCATGGTCACGATTCCTGTTCATGCTCTGACGACATTTCTCAATATGTTCATTGATAGTAAACCCGTAATTTGTCCATTCCGATATACCTAAATAATCAGATTACGTCATTCGGCGTTAATTTTATTAAAACAGTATAACTAAGCAAATATATTTAATAAACCCACCGAACGTGTAATTGGAAATACGTTCTTGGAAATTCTTCTCCATTCGTTCGGCTGTATCCATCAGGATCGACGAATTGTAAGCATTCGTCCAAGGATACATGTCTTTTAATCTTCTGATATGTAAAACAACTCCACCTTCGGGGGCAATATTGACGTGCTTGTAAAAGGTATCGGTGCCCGGAATCCTCTCAGTTTGTAACTGACGATGAATGTGGACATGGAACACCTGAAGAAAAGGCTTGCTAATTCCGAGACGCCTTACCCTTTCTGGTCTGTAGATCATTTTTGCGTAAAGCGGCCTTTTGAAAACACGATCTTCGAGGATAATCTCATCGAGATTAGTGAACGACAATTCCGATGGATTCTGAGCGACAGCCCACGTGCTGTTCTAAAAATATATCTAAAAGCCAGGATAACCCTACCATTACTTGTACTCTCTGACTTCTGAAAGACACCGACGCCATCATCGGTTCTTGTTTGTCCATAATATCCATGAACTTGATTATCGAGCGGTCCTTTCCGACGTATATAATCTCATCCAGGTCAGTTTGAGCCAAATACTTGACATTTCCTCTAAAAATAAGCTGTGTAAATTACAATAACGTGTTTATATATTTTAATGTATAAAAACGTTAACCCCAGTAAGTTTAAAAACCTACTGGAGAAGTAGCCCAAGTGCAACGCTCAAATTTGGATGAAACTTGGCACAAATTTAGAATAATTTTTTCAAAGAAATATGCGAGAATCCTAGCTTGGGCTTTGCAGAAACAACGAAAGTCGGCAAAAATTCGACATTTTTTGCCAAATTACGGCACGGAAAGTTTCATACCTATTTCTGCCCTAGAGGGTAATGTTTCCACAAAAAGTAATTTTTCTCCGCACGAAACTGGCAAAGTTATGGTCAAAAAACGTTTTCCTCTCTGACCACTCTCTGTGTTTCGCATACTCTCTCGGCGGCAAAAATCGTTCAATATATCGGCGGCACTTGCAAATCGCGAGCTAAAATTTTCAGAAATTTATATTTAACCTATGCCTGAAGTGAGTGCAAAATCTAAAGAAAATCTGAGCGTCGCAATTGGGGTACTTTCCTTGTCAATAAAAAATCATACCTGGCCCGATGAACGCAATCGAAGATGGCCATAAAAACTTCCAGTCTGAACCAATATCTGTTGGGATTTCTCGAATCAGATGAGTCTTCTTCGATCAGTGGCAGGGACGACCAGTCGATGAAATCCACTTGAATTCCTTTTTGGGACGCATAAAACTGAAGGAGTTCTCCCACTTCCTTGGTATAACTCTCCCGGTATACATAAAATTTTGTCGCATTTTCAGAAAGCCAAAACTCGAAAAATTGGACCAGAGCTGAGAAATCCGTGTGGAGATAGATAGGCTGGACACAAACACCCAGCTTGTGCTTCGGAAGATCAACATTTCTGGCATTCCTGAGCAAATGAGAAAAAAATACAGCAAACTTACTGAACATTAATAAACAATGGGTCTTCCATGTTCAAATCAGAGAAAATTACCAAATAAGACTGATAATCTTGTTTGGTAAGGTCGTTAATGATCCCGACGTAACCATTTAGCCGACAAGGAGGAGAAAAGGGATCGGGACAGTGCTCATTATGGCATTCCAAGCGGATTCGACCTTTCTTCTTCCCATATTCATATGTCAAATTGTGGCTAAAACATAAATTGAACAAGAAAACGTGAACTTACAAATTATTCATAGATCGAACAAACACAATTCTTATGGTGGAATCATCGACTCGGTAGGCGGAACGAACAAAATTGACATCATCAAAGGCAGCTCGACCGTAACGGGTAGACCCTGCGACAAATAAAAAAACATAAATCTGTATGTAAAATATATCATCGCTGACGTATTTTTTACGCTAAAGTATTTTTGTTTCGCGTTGCAAGCGTGATTTTATTTGTTTGCGCATCAAATAATCTCGTTTATCTCTGGAATCATAAATTTTAGAAGCGCTTTTATGTCGCGGTATCATAAATAATATAAATCAAGGTAGAACTTACGGGTTCGTAGGAGATATGCACCCAACAGGCATAAAACGACTAGCAGAAACAGCAAGTAGTGGCGAAAAAGGTAGACAAACTTTCGGCGCCGTACCTTGCTGTTGATGATCTGCTTAATTCCTTCGACAAAACGGCGCATCATTTATTGGAAGACCAAGAATTCGGGGTCTCCGAAGAAAGTTGAGCCCACCTGATAACTATCAAAACAAAGGACCCCGCCCTTCCCCGACAGAATTTGTGTTGCCGGAGGCAGCTCGTCCTCCTTTCCAAACATTTTTACATCTTTTGCCTGTATTCTATCGTTTTGATCATTTATTTCAGGAAAGCTACGAAATGTTAACAATCTGTTATTTACACATGAAATGAAAGAGTACATAGTTATGATTCATAATTATCGTTAATAAAAAGCGTCTAAAGTACAAAATATAATCGAAAATTGGGTCGTTGGCTGATCGAGAAGACCTACACCTGAGCATTTGACCCGTGACACAGGACGTGCCAAAGTGATAGAGGGCATTATAAACGTAGGTTATTTTCAGACATCCTTACAGGTTAATGGGAGATCAAGAAAGGAGCGCTTCAAACAAAAAATACTTCTTTGGGATAGCCAAAAACGATATACGAAGCTCTAGATGGAAGAAAAACAGGTGTGTACCGGATGTGTCAAGGATCAGACCTTCACCATTATGAGGCTACGTATGGGGGAGGAAGACGTTGTCCAATGGCACTTCTAGTAGGGGTACCCACTTCCGAAGGTGGTTTGTAGATGGGATTCTCGTGAAGTGTGGTTGTGTTGGGATTGAGGGGAGGATGTTCATGACTGACTAGCATGGGGGTAGTCACAGCCGCGGTACTCCCATTGGTATCGTCGTCGGGACGAACGTCATCAGGGAACACGATGGGAGTGCCTGGAAATGAGTCAGCATATCATTAATGTGGGTGGATGCCTACCTTTTGTTGTGTATTCTTGGCTCTTTTTTGGGGTCTGTTTTCTTTTAATGCAACAGAAAACAACGAATAAAATGACCAGCAACAATGCAATGGCGACTACTATCAGGATCAAAAGGACCAGGTTGGAGATTCCGACCTCTTCGTCCAAAGGAGTGGCGATAGTGGATGCCCTGACTCGGATGATCTGGGGGGTTACAGTTTGGGGGCCACAATTTCCTTGTAGTTTTATGGTCACCTGATAGGAAAGAAATTATTATACGCAAATTGGTTCTTACATCACGAACAGCGAAGTCAGCTCCCATATGCTTGACAAATTCTCGAATTCCGCTCTTTCCCCTTCCGGTCATCTTAACCTTCGTTGCATTAACGACTTTCTCCTCGCATGTTGTCCGACTTAATGAGCTGTTGCTCCATCTAATGACTGTGTTAGAGCCTTGTTCTTCAACTGAGTTTATCATTACTTGTTCCCGGGTTCCTCCAATTCTTTCTACAAGTTTTTCTCCAAATTTGACCAAAAGTTTGGGCTCATCCTTGAATTTCTTATACCTGGTGTCGAGCAGTAATTCGAATGCATGGTTTGGTTCGGGTTCATCCTTTACTTCGACGTTGAAGGCAGCAGCGGCCATCTAAAATGAATGAGGATACGAGTGAGTGAATGGGTGGAATTTGATCTTTCAGCTGCGCGATTGAAAGCGAGCCTTCTTGGGCACATTTCCAATCTTTTGTGACTTTTCTGGAACACTCTCGGATAGCGACTCCTTATGTGTATGGACCTTCTCATGGACAGATGCGCGAACCGAAATGCCGGTCGTAAAAGATATATATTAGCTTCTTAGATGGGCACTTAAGTGGAATAAATCGGGCCCCACATCTGTCTTTTGGCTATTTTAATCGCCGCCTTAATGCAGGATTGCTTACCTGGTCGGCGGAATCGCGCACTTCCAGTCGGAAGCTGAAGATTCCGGTGCTCAAGGGTACCCCTTCCAATGCAACACGGTCCTTATCATGGACTACAGTCAAGAAGTTGGTCGAGTCGTCATCACTGACGACCTTGGATCGAAGATTCGGCAGATATCCGTCTTCGGAGTCGATGAAAGTGTTGGGCGACAGCCATTTCTGACATAATTTTCCTCTGAAAAACAACTCATAATTAATGCTCTCGGGGATTAGGATGGCGCTCGCTGCACATGGCTTTTCCTTTCTTAGCCACATTGCGCAACGAATGTCATGGCAAATATGTCAACAGAGGACCCAAGCACTCTTTGTCCCGCGATCAGAGAGCTGGTCTCTGCTTCCAACCTTCGAACGCAAATAAAGAAAGCGGACAAACAAAATTTCTGAAGGTATCTCTTACCTCTGACACTCAAACTTGTCGATGTTATTGTATCTGGTGGGTGGATTGTCCTTGGCCATTCGGGTTGTTCGCGCAATTGGAGCAGGGGTGGCCGTTTGCAACGCCAGAAGGTCATCTTTCTTGACTCGAGCTTGGCCGAGCTGAAAGAATTTCGTAAAAACATGCAATAATGCGATTACAAGTAACATGAAAGCACTTGTGGTGTAATAAAGGATTTCTAATGGGACCACATACTTGGACATGATCGCCTTCAGACTCAATGAGCGTAGCCTTTTCCATAATTTCAGGTTGTTCTTCAGCTGCTTGTTCGGAAGTGCCGCAATAGATGTTAGCCCAAAGAACTAGAAGGTTCTCTCGTTGAATATAATCGGTTCCTAAATTAATTAAATATTCCTGAACTTTGCGGTAACGAGTGATTTCGTCGGCTCGGTAAGCTCGGACTTGAGTTTCTTCGAGATCAAATCGTTCGGCGTAGTTTTTGATGAGCTCTCTAAACGATAATTATTTTTTAAGCGGTGATGAGATCTTACCTCAAGTCCTCGATCTTATAATTTTCGTATGGTTTGTCCTGATAGAGTTCGAGGAAAATGTAACTCTCGGTTTCTTTGCATTGATCCAGTTCAATGTAAGTGTTGACGTCAATCGACTTTCCTTGAGATGTCCTCAGGGTGACATTCTCAAGACGATTCCATTTGGGAACACCGTATAGAGTGCTTTGTGAGGGGTCAAAGCTCATCCAACCGGGAAGGCCATCACTGGGTATCGAGTCGCTTCCTTCTAAGCGCACGGTAAATAACTGCCCCACTGCAACGTCAATGACTTGGGCCTTACAGCCGGCAAAAAGAAGCAGAAATGGAATCCACAACCTCATGTCGGCGGACCTAAAAATAAAGAACAATAATAGAGCGCCTTTAAAGGTGATACTTTAATAGAAGATTTGGCCATTCGCGACAATTCGGACGTAAAACCGCCAATGGAATAAAACTGATGGATCGGAGATAAGTATAGATGAACACAATGAGAGATGAGGATCGGCAGCGTTAATTAGCGCACAAAAAGAGTGAGAAACACAAAGTCGCAAACGAGAATGCGACGTTCCCTGGCGATCTTCGCGCACAAATAAACCGGCGCCGCCCTTCGGGCCTTGAAAAAAACAGGAAGTGCTCGGGGTCGGGTGTAAATCATAATTGGGTCTGTAACAATATATGGCTACTCCCTTTTGTGGGGTCACTTGGAGAGTCCCGTCTTTCGAATCGACCTACTCTTTCCGCCTCAACACTTGAAATCCCATTAGAGGAGATAGTAATGAAGAGAAGAAGATTCAGAAAGTCATTTCACCCGACCTCCGGAACATTTTATTGAAGACGGCGAAACAACGGTACCCAATAAAATTTTAACGTCTTGGGGGAAAGAGAATCAGAAAGTGTTTATCCAATCTCTTATTTAGCTAGGCCATCCCAACTAATCTCACGCACAAACACTTTGGCTCGAAACCCTCTTAATGGTGGTATGACCGACTGAAAGGTACAAATCTGGCTATAAATCCGGAAACAACCATCGGCAGCGTTAGGGGGGAATTTTTATCGTCTAATTGGCACGAGCGTCGTTATTATAAGGCATGGGAGATAAGATGGGAAGAGGTCACCAGCACAAGCCATGTTGGCGGCATATGGATATAAGAAGAAAGAGAGCCTAAAAAACTGTACGGGGACATGACTCGAACTGTAGAAAAGCCGCATGATGCATAATCTATATAGACAGATGGCTGAAAGGCGGATCTCCCTTTCCCCGAACATCAACTCGGTAATGTTAGTTCAGCATGGCCTTGTAATCGAGGGAACGAGTATTAAAATGTTTACCAAGTCCCTCCCAAACTGATGCGCGGCTTTCTCTCCTCGAATCCTCTTTTGGAATGTGTTTTGGCACCAGAGACAGACGTTCCATATAGGTTTAGGGAACCACAACAAAGGATAAGAGCGACAATGATGATCGATGTGACCGTCAAGGAACGCTTTAACCGCGGCACGCAACAATCATGGAAAACGGGAAGGGGGGAAGGGGCAGAGAAAAACAACTGGAGAAATCGCGACAACAACGGGCGTTGGAGTGAGCGTGTGGGGGACTTAGAGGGATGGGAATGCGAAAAGAGGCGGCGCAATTGCATCTATTGCGACACCTACATGCATTGTCCATACGATGACCCGACTGGCCAGAAGTTGGAGAAAAGGGATCCTATTTGCATAACTTGTTTTCACATAAGTTTTTATGCGATTAAGACCACGGGGATACACTATAGATGACATGGTTATAAAATTAATGAGTAATTAATAAAAGAAACACGAACTCGCATATCCCGTCGAGATGAGTGATGTCGATTTTATGTATGCTAGAGAGAATCATCAATTTGTGACTCATATATCACTAGCCGGCTGATTAAATCTTCTTCTTAATATGCGCATGGTTTCATCGAGAGGCCCATTGTAAACACATTAATCGCCAAAATAAGTTGAACGGACGGAGAACAAAACGACGTAATGGAAGGAAGGCAACACGGAAAATTCAGTGTAAAATGGAACCCGAAGTTTTTTAAGTAACTGCCAGAATAAATTGAATGTAAATGTAGGGAAAACAAAAATAAAGGAGGCAAAAGAAACTTCACCATGCCTTAATTGTGCTGACATCCTCAAAAGGACAGAGCCCCACGAGCGAGTAAAAGTTGCATTGTATAGAATGGTAAAGCTGTTCATACAAAAAGACCTGTCTCTTGGTTACTAGCCTTAAAGAGTAAAGAAACGTGACACCCCAGGAGTCATTGTCAAGTTCGCCCGCCACAGAACAGTCCATACAAAACGATGTTGAGAGATCGACCTCCGCCAGCACTAATTGTGTCCCCTAAAACCGGGTTCTATTGAAAAGTGAACCCTAAAGATCCAACCCCGACCGAAGCCGGACTCTGAGTTTTTGGGTGGGATGGCATGTTGACTGTAAGTTCCGCTTCGGCCACGGAATTGAGCGATCGGGGACACTCGTGATGTCTCTACGCGATTCCGGTTGCCCCCGTTCTGGCCGTCGCCGGGTCCTAGACAGTCCTGTACCGTCCCCTCCCTTTCCTCCAGATTGCGCTCGCCATCCGAATGTGGTGTTTTACAAAAAAAAAACCAAGAATAAGATGGTTATCCTGACCGCCGCCATTTCGCTCTTAACCACAACATTTCCAGGCGGTGTCGTTGGGCCTATTGCTTTTCAAATCTACCGAATTCCTCTCATAAAAACTATAATCGTGATATTAAAAGCAGGCGAGGCCTGTCGGAACGTGTTGACCCCAAAGAGGGCCCGAGGAGTATCACGCAGATCCAAAGCAAACATTCCACTCGTTCAGTGTCCTAAAGGACCTTTGATTGTCCACAATTAGGGCACAATTAACTGGGACTTTCGTTTGAAGCCGCTGGGGAGTTTCTGGAAAGAAAAGAGACCGCACCCTAGGCAACCTGGCCATAGCCAATGGTCAAGTTCGCCCAGATTAGATAAAAAATGAACATTGTCAGTCGGAAGTGGATGGAAAACGCCATTTCTGGCAGCGAAATCCGTGAAAACGGAGGGCAATTACAACGGTCGGAGTGGACGGGAAAGTGACCGAGAAGTCGGTCATTCTTGTTTCTCCTTATGCGTCACCTTGATCCATGCTTCAAAAAGGCAGCACAACCATAAATCAGGAAAAAAGTAAACATTTGATAAATCTTCGCGGCCCGACCGCACACTCAAGAAACTGGCTCGTGCAGCTGCGTTCCGAAAGGCCATAATTCATAAAATGACTGGAAAGTGTGGTAGTACGGCCATGGAAAGAAAGAGAGAGGTAACGTGAGCCAAAGCAACGATTCGTCGTTCACTTCAAAACTTCTGACACTTTTCGGTTTAAACGCAATGACCTTGTTTGACATGCAGCCTGACTACGGAGGAAGCCGTAATCGACCCGGAAAGTGTCGAGAGCCCTCAGCTATAATAGCTTCAGCTTCCGGTAATGCCTGCCGACACTCCCGATGACTCAAGACGAGAAAGTCGCGCGATTCAAATGCCACACCTAATTTGTCAGAAACCCCTCAAACAATCGCCCAAAAATGAAACTCACTCAAAAGGGAGGACCGACCCGGGATTAGAGCCCTCCTCTTTTTGCGCTTCTGACAGCCGGCTACTGCAAGAATACCTACTGTCCTGCCCTAAGTGCTCGCATCGAATGGCGATGACACTTTTTTAAATGGAAATTAAAATTAAAATGCAAATCCAATGTCGAGAGGCTGTGGCCACCATTCGGTCGAGTGGATCGCGCGATCCACAGGGGATTCCCGGCAATTTCACGCCTCATCTTGGGAGCCGCCCCACTCCAACAAATTCGCTCCAAACGCGGCGAAAGTGACTGCACTTGACGGAACACGTCCTAATGACTCGATCGTCTAATCTCTTCATCCAATTTGTGCGGGGAGAAGAGGAATTTGTTTCGCCTTTCTTCCGTTTCCGCCTCAACTTCATAAACGAAATACGGTCATCGGCATAAAAAGTGTTGGGCCAAGAGAATGGACATCGCTCTGCCCCCTTTCCCGAACTGCCAGTTTTTTTCACCTGGCTAAATATTTTGAATAAAAAATGCTGGAAACCCGACCTTTCGGGGGCAATGAGGACAACACGGCGATGAGAGGCCATGGCACCGGATTACTCACGTCCGAATGGACATCGCCCTGATCTCCTCCTCCTCCCGCCTCTCATAACCAATTTAGGGAGACCTGTTGGGTTCGAGAGGCCGGACAAATGCGCGCAAGCGATGATCCGCCATGTCGGTTGGGTTGTCCACAAGAAAGAAACCGCCGTTCAGACACGACCTTGCTCGAGTGGGCAAATTAGTTGTGGGCCTGATGCTCGGGAGAGAGCGTCAACAGCAGAGAAGGGCGACTGCTAAGAGAAGGCGTGAATTGCGCCTCCTCGACCTCCGGAACCGGAGATGGCAATAAACGGCCTCAAATTCAACTTTCGAACAGTTCCGCGCACGGCTTCCGAATTCAGCGCCCGTCAGCCCCTGAGGGCTTAACGAATAAAACGGCGACTGGCCCACTTCAATCAAGGCTGATGCCCCCTCCCTCCAATTCATTCATTTATCATGCTTTCGGATGCGCTTTCATTTGCGTAAATGGCGGAATATTTGCATTCGAATCAAAATGGGATTGTTTTTGGCCCCGACCCTGCAGGAATTCGGGTCACCCTCCACTTCCAAAATACTTTTGAAATAAAACGACAGAGCGAATACAAAACCGCTTCTGCCTCCGCCATCAACACCCCGCAATTAAACTGAATAACCACCGTTCACGTCAACTTGATGATCTTAAATGGGCCGAATTTGTGTTTTAAGTATCAGGTTGTGCAGGAATCGGAGCCCATTTAGGGTTTTATGGGATTCCGGAACTCTTACGGTGCTTATGCGCAGGCATCGTAAAGTCAGCGTTTACAACTAAATCTATTTTCAAAACAGTTAACAATCGATGCTACTCAATTTAGGTTGCCAATTTCATAAAAAAAATCAAAAGACATCAAATGGGTCAGAGAAAGACAAACAAGGGCTCTTTTGGCCCACGCATTGGATATTTTTTGTGAGAAGAAAATTGCGTGGAATTTGAGGGAACAGATATAAAAAAGAATCGAATCCATCTTTTGCAGCCCAATTATTTCCGACAACAGCCCCTTATTGCAAGGGATATCGCCGAATTACCGTACCGGTCGAGCAATGTCATCTCTTTGTCATCGACCTGATGAATAGCGGAGCGGCAACAAAAGAGTCTGCTTTAATGAACGCCCATCCCCGAGGATTCCCGACTCCATTCTTGATTTAGAGGCGTCAAGGCCGCTGACATGACGGCACTTTTATTTCATATACACCGGTCTCGGGGGAACACACCGAAGGGCCAAAAAAGCGTGAATTCAGAGGCCGGAAAAGGCGAGTTTCCGGTCAGAAATGGGCTCGGAAAAAGAGCCTGGACTACTTGCAAAGACCTGGAAACAGTTCAGAGAAATGATGATCTCTTTTTTATGCTTCTCTAAGCTCCCTTTCTATTATGATCCCCATGGAAAAACAGAAAAAAAACTCGCTTCGGAGCCCTGTACCGAAAGTGTCAATCAAACTTTGATCTCGTTTATCCACCTTAAATCCACTGGTAGGATATAAAAACTCCAAAAATTTTCGAAATGCACTCTAATGTTTAAAGGCCCGTTTTCAAATCAGCTGGAAATTTTTAAATATTTAAATTAATAAATATTTTTTTTACCATGAGAAAACAAAAAACAAAGTGCCAGGATCAACGATATATTAACAAGGGTTTGACCCGCAAAAAACAAAACGTTGATACGTTTAAGGACGGCCTCCAGGTTTAAGTCCGAAAAATGCCCTGAGGGCCGAATGAAATGGACACCAGCCCCAATCTCGGCAGCTGTTCACCTTCTTATGCCATTTTATTGTTAAAGTTTTATATCGTCCTGATCCATTGTTCATATGTAATTTGCGTATGATTAGAAGGCGATCTCATAATTATCGTACATTTTCTGCTTGATCAGTCTCTTTTCCTCCACTTCTTCGAAAGATCTGGCGTCACAAACGTAGATAAACACCCGCCAAACTACGAGCAGACAATACACCTCGAAGACGATTAATCCAATCTGAAAGTGATGATGACAACGACGAGGAAGGTGTTGCAAAACATGGTTGATAATCGTAAATAAATGACAGAAGCCTTGAAGGGATATTTGAGAAACGACCTTTTAAGGACCGACCTGCATCATGAAGGACGAGATCCGTCCGGAACTCATCGTATCTCGAGTGTTTGCGCTATCCAAAAAGTCGACAAACAGATGAACCACCGCTGAAATTGTTTATGGAAGTGCTGAGGACGACTTACCAATAACAATCAGGACGAAACTCACGAAGAAATAGGGGATGAAAAGATGGAATCTCTTCCTTCGCATCCCCAGAAACAGGGCTGCATAGCTTAGAAGGGCTAGACCAAAGGCCAGGAAGAAACCTGACGATGAAATTTAATCAGGAACTTGGAATTGGAAAGTTTGAAATAACAAATTGTTATGTAGTAAATAAAGACTTACCAAATTCAATAAGAGGGGCTATATCTGTGCTGAGAGATGCTGCCAGCAAAGACCCAAAGATGAAAATCTTGGTAAAGATCAGACTCTTGGCCAAGTCAATTACATGCACCAACCCACAGCAAGTGTAATACGCTTCATCATTCTCCTAATCGAATCAAAACTTTTTGTCATCTTTTTTCTTGTTTGATATAAGCGTAAAAAAGGAATCGAAACATAATAATGTAAACACTTTTCAACGCCTTTAGAATAATCGAATCCGAAAGTTTTGTTACCTGAAAGATGGGACTGGAGATGGGGTGAGAAGTGGAGGGAGTTTGTTGACTTGTGGAGGTGGTTAGAATTGACATAACTCCCAACGAACGCGTCAAACAAACGGCTACTTTGGCTCTTCACCTTACACGTCCATCAATGAAACGTCTTTTTTCGCGAGAACAAATAAAGGGTATAAAAGTAATTCCTTAAAATCACTCTCTTCGCCGTTGGAATAATCAATGTTGCGATTTCAGAGAAGGGTAGTAGTTTGTGGTCTCATCTGACCGTATTTTCGGTCAATAAATGATCTAACGGTCTCATTTAGGATCCAACAGTATTATATTATTTGCCTAAAAAGAGTTACCTTCTAAATTTGCATGACTCTTTGCTACCTATCTCGAAATGATTATTCAAAATTCCCGCGAAATAAGCGCTCATTCCAAAAAAAGATAAATCATTAGCGTTTCCTGCCTGAGGGCAATGATCAAATAATTTTCTGGTTCTGATTTCTTTCAATTCAATTAAATTAATAATGGTTTTCGGTCCCAAATCTTCTGGATTCTGCGCCTTTATCTCCTTATGGGGTGTAATTTTCATGGTGAGATTACTGTACTTATTACCGTAATTTTTATTCTTAGGGAGTACTTGGATTGGCCTTTTACAATCAAGCAGTGGGTCTCTTGAGTAGCTTACCCGAGAGCGAGAATGAATTTAAGGACTTTGATCAGCTCAAAAAGATCGTGGAGGATAAATATTGGGAGAACGCACTCAAATGCTGGTATATCTGCGGATTCTACGGAGTTACTTTCGTTTTAAGTGCCATCAGATTAGCATTCTCCGTTTGAATTTACATTTTCACTTTTGCTCAATACATTTGGAATAAACTATATTGTACATACAGAATACAGAAAAGAAGGGTCGGCTCTCAAAGGTCCGCAATAATCTGAGATACGAATTTGCAAGCCCGATCACTGGCAGCACGGGCCGTGTCCAGAACTTCTTGATGAGACACTTCCACCGAGTTATCCACATCCTGATTAGCGCTGTAAATAGGGAAATGTAAGAATTAGTACTGAAGACTTACATATTTGTAATCAAAGAGAATCCAAAGACTCTCATTCCACACTGCCTGGCTACCGTAACTTCGTGACAAGTAGACATTCCCAGAGCATCAGCCCCCACTACTTTGTACAATTTAACTTCGGATGGGGTCTCATATTGGGGTCCAGCCGACATACAATATACTCCTTCATGAACCCGAATACCCTGTTCTTCGGCAATCTTCAACGCATTCTTCCTAAAAAACAATATTTAATGTATGTATATATTTAGCCTTACCTTAGTTTAAGATCATAAGCATCGTGAATAGAGACAAATCTGGGGCCAAACCTTGGATCATTTAGACCAACCAAAGGGCCGAATCCACTCAATCCGGGCATGAAAATGTGATCTTTAATCACCATCAGATCCCCATAATGGAAGGCAGAATTAATGCCTCCGGCAGCATTTGAGACTAGCAGAGTCTTGCATCCAAGAATATGCATTATTCTGACAGGAACGGTACACTGAAAAAGATACATTTTATGGTTATATTGCACTTACCAGCGCCAGATTCATATCATGTTCGTATGGATGAAATCGGCCCTGAAGGCACATGACTTGCTTCCCGCAGAGCTCTCCAAAGACCAGATTTCCCTTGTGTCCGACAACTAAAATCATGGTATCAGCAAGGAATGACCAATTAGAATACTTGCTTAGTCACACCTACCACTTGGAATTGGAAATCCGGGGATCCTACTGTAGGGGATGATGGTGGGATTCTCGATCAGATCAGCCAGGTCTCCAAGCCCAGAGCCACAGATGATGCCGACTGTTGGATGGACCTCGAGATTCGCCAACTTCTGAATCGTCATCGCCAATTCGTAGACATGATCGTAATTTTTAGGACTAAAAATGTTGATTTAAAAAGGATTGCTGTACTTCGGGACTCGAGGGGTAGTAACTTGTGGATTTCTCGGCGGACGACACATGGAGACTGGGAATCGACCGGCTGGTCGATAATAATGACAATCGAATCACATAACTTTCCAAAAGATAAACTTACTCGAACTCGTGATGTATCCCCTCCTTCACTTTTTTCTCAATGATCCCATTAGTGGAGGCGATCTCAGCAGTCATTCCTTCAGGTTGTAACAGCCGTCGACTGACCCCAACTGGAGACTGAAAAAGTTTGAATTGGAACCCGAATTTTTATGAACCTTCTCTGACGTTTCCCGCTCACGTGTCTCTTGTTGATCACCATAACTAACCCACCCAATTACCCCCACTCAACTCGAATTAATCGTTGATGAAGTGATCGACCGACAATCGCCCAAGAAATTGTTTTTATCTCATCAGCTGATACGGAAACATACGACCTGATACGCGTCTCTTATATGGATGTAGATCTGAATGTTATGCAATAAACATTAATTGAAAAGAAAGATTAATTCGTCGACTGAACTGCAAATTTCGTCGATAGAAGATACTCCATCATCTTGTAGGGGGTATTACATCATAAATGTTGAGCTTTCTCGATAACAGTTCCGTCACAAACATCATCATTGTGGCATGGACTACATATTGACTAACAGTTTGTCAAACAGAAAATTATTTAACATAATGACTAACAGTTTGTCAAACAGAAAACTATTATTTTTAGTCATCTATTACTGGAACGTTCTTGTTTTCAACATTTATTGGGCCCAAAATAATAACCGAGTTTTGCAGGCAAAAAGGACAAACGGCAAAATTTGAATTTTCTGGGAAATTGTCATGGAACGTCGCGCGCGATTGTGACCTTCATTGACGACACGTTGTCAATTGGGAAAAACGACGATTGAGGAAAATAGAATCATTTTTCTGCAACCTTTCATTTGGGCAGATCGGGTATTGGCCCGATACTTATAGCCAATGCAGCAAAATTGTTTGACTAGCCAGCCAATGAGTAGCATAGCAACCAAAAAAAATTCTGTTCGGCTAGCCAAAATGTGTCAGGACACCTTCTTTAGGTCACCAAGCTACCGACCTAGGTCGTGACCATGGTCAGGTTGGTTGTGAACTGACCAAACTGGTGCGTCAGAGCCATCTGGATCAACTGGTAGGATCATTTTCAGAGTATATTGGACATTAATCGTGACCTAGGTTACGCCCGAGGTCATGACTGAACTAGCTTTTTTCCCCGAATAACACGGATTTCACATGTTGAACAAACTTTTACCGCTTTTGGACGGCTTTTGATACAAGCTCACGAGCTAGGCAATAGGGTGTGACATTTTATACGGTGTTTTCACCGATTTTTTTCTTCAAAAAGAGGGTCTCCACGGTCGAGGGGCCTCTTCGGATTCCTCGCGAAAATGAAAAAAAAGGGCCTCTTCGACTTTTTTTAGGGGGCTTCTTCGGCCAAAGGGTCTCCTAGGTCAGGGGGGCTCTTCGGGTTCAATCTTGTCTTGACCTCTGCACGTTGCAGGACAAAAAATTTGATACGGGAGAAACTCGTGGTCGAGCGTACAAATTTGGAAGTTTGTATTTCTTACATCCATTTAAACAAAAAGTTTATACGATTTTCTTTCTTTCCAATCGACTGTAAATCCAAATTATAATTTGGCAGACGCCTCATCCCCAATCAACAGCATTTGCTTTCCTTTCCGTCCATCTAGATGATCTCGAAGAGCCTGCTTGAAATCAGAAAGAGGATGAATCTTGGCTGGTGGGGGAGTCAGTTGCCCAGACAGAATCAAATCCTACAATAATGCTGACGTCAATAATTCTTTCTTTCTTACCTGGAGCTCATTAAACATGTTTTTGACCTTTTTTTCATTCTTGGGATTAGTAACGAAGCTGGTAACGGCAACTCCAACTGCCTTCAGATCGTTGAATAGGAGAGAAGAAGTCGAGAATTCAGACGGTTTCATGCTCATGCCACCTAAATTTTTATTTCCGTCTATTTCTTTACTTTACCGTATGTTACACATGTTCTACCGTAACCCAGGACAGCAGAAATGGCCAAGGCACTCCGTCCTCCGACTCCATTGCAGGCCAATTTTATTGGTCGATCCAAGGACTTCACAAACTTCCGGCCATCGTTTTTAAACTCTTCCTCCGTAAAAACAAAATCAGCGCCTAAGGCGATTAATTCTTTCTTCAGTTCTTCCACATTCGGCCGTTCTCTGACAATATTTACTGTTTTCAAACCAAAGGCTAAATAAAAACCGATGAAAAAACAGGGAGTTCATAAGGTCACGCCAATTCTATCCACGTACCTTTGGCTTGTTGTATTACACACCTTCCAACGGCGGAATTAGCCGAGTTTTGGATGACATAATCCCCTGGGGCCAAGTCTTCGTATTCCTTGAGCATGATATAAGCAGTAGGAGGGTTGATTTTTAACGTGGCCGCAGAGACCAGATCAACGTTGGGATGGATGACTTGCAATCCATCTTGGAAAGAAACGCCAAATTCAGTCCAGGTAGATGTCACTGGAGCTCCCCCGATCACCTTATCTCCAACTTTTAGTCCGTCCACACCAGACCCCACCTAAAACAATACAAAATAATCCGTAAACAGTCTCAAAAACACGGCTTTGTGTACTGACATTATCTCTAACGACGTCTCCTTACCTTGACGATCTTCCCGACGCCTTCAGAACCAGCGATTTGAGGGTATTCATTCTTGAGGACATAGGCCCCTTGGATCCGATTGATATCCAGAGGGTTGACTGGAGCCATGAGCCATCTTATCAGGACCTGTGTTGGTTCAAGTTTTGTATTTACATTTATTGTGTCCAATTGGAGAACCTTAAAATGTTATTTATTAAAAATTTTAATTTTAGGCGCCATATTTTTAATGAAAAGCAAAAGGCAGCCGTTTTAGGATTTGAAATGCACTGTGGAAACATAAAAAACAAATTTGGAGCTATAAATAACCTCAAAAGGCAAGTTCTTCACCTTTTCGGGAAGCTTTCGGACAGATTGATTCAAAAATCAATATATTTGTGATTTTTTTGTCACAACAGAAAGATTGCTCTGAATTTTAGTTTTTGCAATATTTTTTTGGCGAAGGATAAACTTGCCCTTAAGGGATCTCCAGCCTTGTGATAGCGTATAGCCTTGCTTGCAATCATCTTTTGGAAAATGTTTTTAAGAGGAGCAAAAGGGAACCGATCTTATAACAAGGCACAGTTTGTGTAGTTATTTGTTCAATCAGTGTTGTAGTGATGCAATGTTGTTTGTCTGTGGTATAATTATTGCGTGTTGAACACATATGCCGTAGGATATAAGGATGGTGACATACGCATCAAATTGGGTGTCATGGCTTTCCTGTCTGAGAAGAGAAAAAAAGAAAAAAATCTCCACAGGGAGAGAGCAGAAATTTGCGCAATGTTACACAATTTGAGAATTACGCATTTCTTGTCTAGAGGCCTAACAGACAAGAAATCGCGGTTTCTGGCCACGACACCCGATTTGATGCGTATGTCCCCATCCTTATAATGAACAGGAATCATGACCAAAGGAAATTACTCATAAACATATTACACCAAGAATGAAGAACGTGCAGATCAAGATGGACGAGAACAGAGATCAAAGAACCATCAGCACATGAGCGGGCTTTACAATGCGAGAACTGATAACAGATCTAACTCAAGAAGGAGAAGGTCATTGCAGCGAGGTCGGGCCTGCGATAAATAACTTTTATACAAGGTCTATTTATTTTTGGGCTGCTCTTGTTTGGGCTTTTATCTCCATTTTCATAAAAATTTTCTGAGGTTTGCTTCTCGAACACGTATATCAACATGCTTCTGAGGTTATTGGGAAACGTGGGGCCTCCTTTTATCTAGTGCAAGTTCGGAGCATACGGTTTTGTTGTAAATATTTGCCGTTGGTCCCATTTATCGATATAAAGGCTACCTGATGTGTTATTTTCCCTGTTATCCTAAAGCTTTTCCCCAGGTCTATTCGAATCATGGTCAAGATCCAAGGAGGAGATGTGGTGGAGATGCAAGGAGACGAGATGACCAGGATCATCTGGGATCTCATCAAGGAGAAGCTGATTAATCCCTACGTTGACTTGAAGATTCATTACTTTGACTTGGGAATTGAGAATCGGGATAAGACTGATGATCAGGGTAAGGATAACTTCATTTATACTCTGGAGCTACGATCTATTCATTTCCCAATTCATTGCAGTCACGATCGATGCTGCTGAGGCAACAAAGAAGTACAATGTGGCCGTCAAGTGTGCCACCATCACGCCTGATGAGGCCAGAGTAGAAGAATTCAAGTTGAAGAAGATGTGGAAGAGTCCCAACGGAACCATCAGGAACATCCTGGGAGGTACAGTTTTCAGAGAGCCCATCATTGTGAAGAACGTCCCTCGTCTAGTCTCCGGATGGATCAAGCCGATTATCATTGGTCGTCATGCTCATGCTGATCAGGTATGGATGATATAATATAAATGGATGACACACGTCAATCAAGCACATTTCCTGACCCGGAAAATATTTTAAACGTCAAGGTTGTTTCTGACAAGAAAAGCACTTCTATGGGGTCGGGAGGTCGGCACATATATCAAAAAATCCGCGAAATTATGCTGATTTAGAATATGTATTGTACTTCGGGAAAGAGCGGTGTGGCCCAGCGGTTTTGTTGTAGGATGTAGTGTTGATTACTTTGCAAAATACCAAGGTAGTCACAACAATTTCTGAAAGTTTTAGCTCGCGCTTTTCGGATGCAGCCGAGATGGAGCGGAATGCGGAGTGCGGTAAGAGATAAAAAAATTTTGTTGGCCGTATATTTGATAATTCTTTCCGAAAATTATACTTACCGATAACGCTGATGTCCAACCGTCCTAGTACAACGGTTGATTATGCAAAATTTCCGCAGTTCTGAAATCATCGTTTCTTGTAGATGTTCTAGCCAAAAGAAAAACAGCCAAAGCTTTATCTCAAAAATTAAATTTGTGACGAAACGCCACCTCGATAAAATCTTGGTCAGGAAATAGCTTCAACTACGCTGGATTGACGTGTGGTACCTGTTTTTAGTACAAAGCTACTGACTTTGTTGTCCCTGGAGCTGGTACAGTTGAGCTGGTATATACTCCGGCAGCCGGCGGAGAAAATATTTCCTACCAAGTGCACAAATACACAGGACCAGGGGTCACTCTGGCGATGTATAATACCGATGAGAGCATCAGAGACTTTGCAGTTGCGAGTTTGGAATACGCCCTTCAGAGGAAGTACCCTCTTTATATGAGGTATGCAAAGACCAATCGTAAATAGATTATGTTTTCCTTTAGCACTAAGAACACGATCCTCAAGAAGTATGATGGCCGTTTCAAGGACATCTTCCAGGAGATCTACGAAAGGGATTATAAGAAGAAATACGAAGCTGCCGGCATCTGGTATGAGCATCGACTTATCGATGACATGGTAGCCCAAGCTATGAAGTCTGAGGGAGGATTTGTGTGGGCCTGCAAGAACTATGATGGAGATGTCCAATCGGATTCAGTCGCCCAAGGATACGGATCACTGGGTCTGATGACTTCTGTCCTCATCTGTCCTGACGGAAAGACCGTCGAGGCTGAAGCTGCTCATGGCACTGTTACCAGGCATTACAGAGTCCATCAAAAAGGTGGAGAGACTTCTACTAACCCAATTGGTAAGTTACGATTATTTTACCATAGATTACGTGCCCTTTTAAGCTTCTATTTTCGCGTGGACTCGCGGCTTATCTCATCGGGCCAAGCTGGACAACAACAAGGAATTGGCCGTGTTTGCCCAGAATCTGGAGCAAGTGTGTGTAGAGACCATCGAGCAGGGCTTCATGACCAAGGATCTGGCCATCTGTGTCAAGGGGACCACCAAAGTGGACCGCAAGGACTACTTGAACACATTCGAATTCCTCGACAAATTGGCCGAGAACTTGGCTAAGAAACAAAACTCTAAATTGTAATCTGGTCGCTTTTATAGTCCTAACAATGATTTTACAACTCGATGTTCTGTGGTTTGTTGTAATTGTCGACTAGTATTTGAAGAGCGTCGTCCAAGTCGGCGATATTGACCTTGATAATGTCCAATGTTTTTAGGAACTTTTCCTTTTTCTCTTCGTTCTCAACTTTTGATTCCACGAATTCCCTGACCTTAACTTCATACTCTTCCAAAGAGTCCAACTGAACTCCTTCCAGCACTTGGTCTATCTAAAATTCTTGTTTATTTTACCTTCACGTATAATTTTTACCTTTTCTAATTCTTCCTTTTCCATTTCGGCGTCTGCAAAATACTCTTGAAGGTACTGTAATCGGCTTGATTTATCGTTCATTTTGGAATTAATCAGGGTCTTCAGGGTAGACAAACTAATCTTCTGAAATCAATCATCATCAGGCGTTTCTTGGAATGTTCTTTACAAAAGTTGAATCAATCGACCTTTGACTTTTACAATTGACTCCAATATGAATGGACTTACTTGCTCATCTACTTTGAGAATGTTCTGGTTGAATTCTTGGATTAGTTGGTCGACACTGAGAGTGGTCATCTGGGTGTATAAGTAGAAGGCAAAGAAGGTCATCAAAGACAACATCCATACTGTAAAGAAGACTTTAAGACTGACAGCAAGGGCCATGATGACCAGAAAAAGCTTTTTGCTTTTAATTCTCTGATTCCGAAACTCTTACAACAAATCCAGAAACTCGTGGAATCTCCGCACCTGAGCAAATTCGAAGTTTATATGGGAAAACAAATAAAATTGTGTTATTCGGTCTGTTCGTGACAGACTTCGGAAAAAGCCGGTGCCCTGAGGACACGTTTGATCATGTTTTTGAGGAGGTAATAGCGAGGCATGATAGGGTAATATCTGCTGTCTTGATAGGCCTCCGTGAGTTCTCTGACCACTGACCGAAGATTTTGATACTTTCTGATTAATTTGTAGAGCTCGGTGTACAACCGGTCGCATTCCCGCCTCAGGTCATCCGTAGACATGGCTGAAGAATAAATTGTGAAATCATGACCTATCAAATTTTATGACATGTCTCTGGCATGGACTGTGTTCAATATAATTCTAAGTCCTGGGTGCCAATCTGATGCCCGGATTCCGCGGACCCATAAATATCCCGAATCTTATTTGTTTTGGTCATGTTAACAGTGGAAGGCGGGCATAAATAAAAAATTATTGACGCCGGACCCCTCACCCCCTCCTCCCGAATATCCTTACCACGAATGTTCTCGTAAAAACTCTGGTCCTTTGTCTTCTCCGCAATATTGATGGTGGTCCCCAGCAGACTCGCTATCCCGCCTGATTTTACCACATTCGACTTTTCATCCAGCAGGGTCATCACTCTGCAGTCGTTCATTTATATCCATGTTATTAGACCTACCGTAAGACATAAGAATTGGGCGTTTCGGACACTTCGTGAGGGGGCACGTCGATCAGTTGCCAGTATTGTTTCTCCAGTAATACAACCTTAAACAAACACAATTAATTCATGTTATATTATAGTATTTAATATCTTATCATGATTTGTGAATAACAACAACTCACTTCATGTACCATATGTTGCATGTGCGTATATCTAAGGAAGATGTTGTGGTCTTTGGCCTCTGAATAGTCATCTTGCATCTTCTTCAATGCATTCTTAATGCGTCTGTACGGCTCCAGAAGCTTGGCACGCGTACGGTATTGTTTGTAGACAGTGGCCACCAATCCATCTCTGCTGGAACCTGAAACCGGTCATCTGGAGAGCCCTTGACTTACTGGCCGGAGACGAGACTGGTGTTCCTGGACCCACATTATCCTTGGCTAGTGAGAAAAGTACATTGAACATCTCTGAAATGGATGTTGATAAGAGGAAAAGCTAAACCTTTAAAGGCGAACAGGGTCTTCGAAGACATGGGAGATGACATCGGGAGAACAAAAGTACTGGTAAAAGTAAAGACGGACGGGAAGGAGAGCATATTATTAGATTATGCTCATGAGAAGCCCACTCTAAGTCACTTCAAATCTGATTGCGTGACCAAAATATTTAGTTGGTGTGAATTTTGTTGCCCGAATTCTCATCCGATTAAGCGCCGCGTACTTCTAATAAGAGTGAAGCGAAGTTGTAATCGCAGCTGCAAAGTACATCCGTTTCGAGAGGCTGGATTAATTATGTGTTCCTAATTAAAGACCGACGTCATCAGACGTGAGTGAAACCCAGAATCCGTCGTCCGTCTATCACAACATTAAGTAAGTCGTTGAACTAAGGACATCATAGCTTCCTCCCAATAATCAGGTGGCAAAGGAAACGAAAATATTCCCTGAATATTTCACCTCAGAACGTCTGAAGTCACAAAAAAGAAATTATTGAGTGAAGTGCCAATCGACATGTTTGCAACCACGTCGAATCATATTTTGGAATTTTTAAACTCGTTTGAACCGCAATCACCTCTAGTTTTTTACGAAAAAAAAACCCGGAAAATTATTCAAAATTTTTGAGAAATTAGGCAAAAACTTAATTTGGTGGCAAATATCATGAAAATTCAAGTTTTTCTGGCCGTGCTAGAGACTCGGCCTAGTTTGCAAAAAATGGTTTCCGTGTACGAGGAGGCGACGGTGAAGTCGGTTTGCCTCTATCGCGTCTGGTTCTCGTGATATAAAATACGACCCTCACTTACAGTGTACCAGGTTACGGTAACATTTATGAATTTTGTTACAGAAAATTAATTATTGGATTCTAGGGGCACTCTAATTGCAAATTTGGCATGGTCCGAACAAGTTTGAAATGCACGTCGACACAGCGCTCCAACATTACAAAAATCATGTTCTAATGACTCCATAAGACTACTTTGTATTCTTATAAAACCACCTACCAGCCTTTGATTTCTTTCGTTGACATTCCACGTTCATTTTGGAAATATAAAATGATCTAGGACAACAACAAAACTTTAGGTCCCTCCTTTGAGGAATCCCTGCTTATGTAAATCCCCGAAATTTTTTCTCAAGTCTAACTTTACCCCTTTTGAAGAACCGATAAAGTCCTGAATTGCTCGCAGTTTGGGCGATGCCATGCCAGTCCGGGAGCAGAGAGGCGCCAGATTGAGTTCTCTTCACAATTTGAGGCTCCTCGTCCACCACTCTTCGAAAGCCGGGTTCGCTGGACTGCCGGAAATAACTGGAGCGACGATGTTGAGCCCGAATCGACTGGGCAGCCATACAAATAAATAGTAATTTGAAAGTTGGTAATGGTTGGACCAAGGCCGAATGCTGACTGACACCGCTAATTCCGGCGGAAAACAGAAGCCGGGGAGAGAGTGCAATGTAGAAGAGACGAGCACGATTAACCGACCGGATAATGATTAAGAACGGCATACTTAATAAACCATGGATGAAACCCCCTTCTCGAGATTAAGGCCGTGCCCAAAACCAAGTTGTCTAATCCGGAGACAAAGAGGACAATGAAAACGGTAAGCTTCATTCTAGAGCCGCGGCCTGAAACCCGAACCCATTTTCTCTTCAAGGCGCCCCGAATAAAATCCGGTAAATGTGCAGAAATGCCCGGGGGTATAAAGGATTCCATCAAACGCCTTTTACATCCCACCAATCGCAAACTTGGCTCCCATGTCGGCGTTTCTTGGCCCAACATAGACGAAGGTATAAAATGAATTAGATTTTGGAAGTGAGACCGTCCAATTCCAATTCACTGAAACTCGCTGACCCGTGTTTAATTGAATTTGAGGAAGAGCGGATAAAGACAGGAAGAGGGGAAGCATCAACGAGTCCGGCAAGTCAAAGAACCAGAACAAAGACGGATTGATGCATGGACACCTTATGAATGACAATAAAAAGACCCAGACTGAACAATGAATGCCGGAACCTCTGAGGAAAACATCCTTCAGAAGTTGAGTAAAAATAAAAAGCAATTACCTTCGAAGCACTAAGCTAAGACCTGGAGACTGTCTAGAAAAGAAACAATCCGAATTCACACCAGTGAAACAACAAACCCGCAAAGTTCCATTTAGATTGTTGCCAGAGGCCGTGAAAACAAAATTGCATTAAAAAAGAAAACCCCCGGGAGATGCTAGTCGTACGCTGGGTGGGGACGTGGTTGTCTCGACATACGCTGGGTCAATCATTTGTCAAATTAACAGCCATGCTACTCCAACTGCAGTCACTCCCACTATATATGTATAACGCAATATGTATACCTCGAGAATGAGAAGAAATAGTAGATCGATGAAAATCTTACAACTTTGCCGAATTTACAATTCTCCAGAAAATTTTAAAGGATTATCAAAATTCAGTCGCAATAAACAGTCATAGCATTTATAAACATAGAACTACCCAATAACATGAACGGAACAAGGCAATCTGCAACAAATAATATAGTATAAGTTAACGACGACGGCGGGTGCTAACAGATGACCACCCGTCTGCAGTCTCAGACTCAGGGTCCCTCCAGTTTTTGACTGGTTCTTCTTTCTTCACAGGCTCCTCTCTTCTAGCTGGTGGATCATCTCTTCTCCACTTTTCTTGTCTTTCTGATCTCACATCTTTTACATCTCGGCTTTCCCTTCCCCAAGGTTTACGTTCGTTCGGAGGAGGTCCATCATTTCGATCTTGCCGAGGTGGCTGATACGTTGCTTGTTGTGGCTTCGACTGATTTCCAGACCTCCACGATTTATCTTCATCCGCCACAGATGGCAGTTTAACAGTGACGGGCTTGGCTGCTCCGAACGGGTTTGATTTCTGAATGGGTCTGGGTGTAGCTGAAAAGAATTCAGATTAGTTCGAAAAAACGCTTTAGGCAACATTATATTTACTAAACGTAAGCTTTAACTTACTCTTTTCTTCTTTTATGTCACTCCACGAAGTCGGTGCCGCTTCAATTTTAGAAGATCTCCAAGAAGTCTGTTCCCGTCTTGGAGCTTCTGGTTCAGCTTTAGGCTCTTCTAAAACGATCCATTCTCCCTTGGCATTCATGAATCCAGTTCCAATATTTCCCGATGGAGGAGCAACTCGTGGAGTTGGCCTAGCGGCAGGAGTGGGGAGAGTTGCCGTTGGGGTTGGTTCTGGTTTCTTAACCTCACGAACTGGTTCCGGCTTCGGCTCAGCTGGGGTTACGACTTTCTCTTCTTGTCTTTGTTTCTTCTGGTACTCAGTTTGCTGTTTTTCAATCTTATCGGCATCTCCCAGAGATGGGAACATTTCTTCACTGCGCAGGTCAACATTTTGCCTCCTGGTAGGAGCATGGCTACCACCACTACGCTGCGTTGGAGGTTTATAAGCCTCGAATTTGGACTTTGTCGTTGTCACTGCGGCAATAACGGTCTCCTTGGGGGCTTCTTCTTTATCCTAAACATAAGATTATGGAAAAACAAAACAGTCGTACCTTTGAAGGGATATTCCAGGTTTTCGTCTTTTCAACGACACAATTTTCACGTTCGGAACGGTCTGACACGACTTCTTCGTCAATCACATCAATTGAATTAAACGTTCCGACTGTTTCGCCGGCTAGATGAAGGGACTTAGTTCCATATCCAATCCACTCCGAATCCTCGTCATTAAAATGGTTTCCAGGCAAGTCCTGGGTAAGCGGTGCATCATCCTCACCACCTTCCTATAAATAAACGTTATGAAATGAAGAAAGAAATCGATAACTCTAACAAATAAGATATACCTACCCTGTCGAATCTCATATTCGACTCCAACTGCTGGACAACATCATCCATGCGGATGGCCTTCTTCTTGGTTCCCTTGGACTTCTTTTTGGCAAAAAACGCAGCAAGATCGTCACCCATGATTTAGCTAGATTATCCAAAAACCACAATAAAATTTGGCACTCGGTTTCGAAAAAAATCGAAAATCTTCGGCCGACGAATCTTGAGTTACAGGAATCTATAAATATACACGTCAAAATTGATGAAAACGTTTCATCAACAGAAAAAAATCAAAACGGATTTTGCAATCAACGAACATTACCCTACGTCAATAAACAGAATGCCAAACTTTGTTGGCACTCAAATAATTCTTTATAAAATCGTCAAGGGTGGCCAGTGCATGCCACGAAAAACGTAATGCAAAATAGATTTCGAGCTGCGCCCAATATTTCTTGATTTTTTTGAACGAGTGAATATTGTGTTAGATAGTATTGTAACTCTGCGATTTGGAATAATTTAAGGATACATTTTCCCGCGAAATTGCTCTATTTCCACTTTTTTCGTGGCGTGCCTGTGAGCGAAAATCTGCCGTTTTCCGATTCAGGGACAAGATGGGTCAGGATGCGTCAAAAAATTTGTCCAGAGGGTTCCGCGTCGTGTGATGTGCGTTATTGAGGGAGGCCTCAGGGAGCAGAACTAAACATCAGTTATTGATATTCTGTGCTTTTATTAGGATAATACTCCAAATTCGCAAGTGCGGTTATAATTTTGCGACACCGAAAAGTATCAAATACGGAAGCTTTTCAAAATAACTTTTTGGGACATCATTTCTAGTACACTGATGCACATTGGTGCCAAATATGATACATTTCTCTTCACAATCACAAAAGTTACACGCATTTTTACAGTGCGGTTATAATTATGACGCGCACTGTATAAGAGAGGAGACCTTTGGGATTTTGGGCTTTCTCATTATTTTTTTTCTCATGTCGGTCTCATTTTTTCCATTCTATTTTTTCAAAAAAGTAAGGAACGCGTTTTTAGCGTTTAGCTTCGGAACGATCTTATTTCTTCACTTTTACATAGCGCAGCGTTCTGTACTTTTTTGGAATGAATCGGACACCGATTTTTTCGATTTTTGTAGTTGTCGACATTTATGCGGGTCTCACGAGCGTATGCTATAAGATTGACGGGTGAAATTTGCAATGCTTATAGAGCAAAGATAGATCTTGCGAGCCATGCCACTTTTAACAACTTTTATACAGAACTGAATTTGTAACCAACGCTTAAAAATGACTCAATCTGGATTTTCAGCGCCAAAAAACGCCCTTACTAGGGAAGTGTACATACGAACCCTCACCAAATGATAAGTGACATACGTCACTGAAGAGCCCTTGAAAAATGGTAGAAGACACCATTTTCATTTTTTGCAGAATGACTTTCCGCGACGACATACTGTAAATTGTATTATTTTTAGGCCATTTTGCAACAAAAATCTTCCTTTCTCTTGGGCAGGAAAAAATCCTCGAAGAGGGTTGCTTCAATAGTGTAGTGGTTGCTGAGCAGGCTCATAAGCCAAAGCAAGCCGGGTTCAGTTCCCAGCTTGGGAAAAATAATTTTTGCGTTCTTACAGTTAGGAAAATATTTGCGTTAAACTTTTACAAACGCTTTAATTTTACTGGAAGACGGTCGGTTACGGTTAAAACCATCAAACTTACATGTTTTTCAACATTAAAAAACGTGAAAAGTGTTTTTTCACATTATGGGTACTTAAAACCAGTAAATATCATAAGTAAAATGGTCTTACTGGCAAGCGCTAAACTTCATAATGATCCTTATGCTAACCTAGTAGCATTCCGTACCATTTAACGTTTTGAAATAACATTTATTATGCCCCACAGCAGATATTGTAACTACTTAAGGGACAAATCAACCGTTTATAATTTTTTGCCCTGAGGCATTCTGCAAAAAATGAAAATGGTGTCTTGCACCATTTTTCAAGAGCTTTCCAATGGTGTATAACACTTGCCATTTGGTGAGGGTTCGTTTGTACACTTCCCTAGTTAGGCGGATCTTTTGGAACATGTGGGACATACCATCTTCTGCGGAATTTAATAATCTACAACCAGTAATGAAAAAAGGTTTCACTGCTTTTCCGTCGACTTATACATCCAGAACGCAATTTTTACATTTACTTTGCCATATTTTACAAATATTTGCACTTTAAGGGCATTATTACAAAAATGAATTGGTACGCATTGAAGCTTGAATGCTTACTTACGGAGCTAAAGTTTGGGCCTTGCACCAAGCATAAAAATGCCCTAAGGGGAAATTTCAGAAATGCGGTAATGCTACTGACCGTAGAGTAAGCTGTTTAAACGACCATGCTTAAAAGGCTTCGATTCCTTCTTCTGTAGCTGCTCCAAGAAATCCATGCGACATCATGAACTTGTAGATGTGTTTGTGTGTTAATGAGGCCACCGATGTTTGTATCTATTCCGAAAACTTTCGACGTTTAACTTTTCCGTCAAATTTTTCATACCTGCAGTACAAAAAATAGAAAGATGACATAAAAGTTGTACAAAGTGACGTGACTGGAAAGACCTCGTCGACCAAAAAAAAATCGGTGTCCGATTCATAGCAAAAAATACAGAACGCTGTGAGTCGTCATACGCTGTGGAGGTACATTAAAAACTACAAAGCTATTATACTAATCCTGTACCAGCCAGATCGCCCCCTTTTTAGCCTAACATTAGTCTTTTCAAAAAATCTCATTTAAAAATAATTAAATTAGATTTGCTGTAATGTAAACTGCATTTTTGTGGTCGCACTACTCAATATTCAACTTCTAGTCAAAGTTGGTCGTTTAAAAGGGATTGAGATGTTTTCTCGGGCCATTTTTTGTTATGGTATATATAAAGAAGCAGACATTTAGAAGCGGCGAAGAATGGGAACTTCGTCTTTTTCGGCTCGTTTCGACTCTCCAAGGGCCTTCTGGCGAGCATAGGCATTTTAATTATATGGAATATCTCTCTGATCAGTCCACAAGGATATCCCCTGAGGGTTTATAATCATTTCATCGCCCCATCATATAAAAGTCATAAGATTGTTCCCAAATATTTAGAAATGTTGAATTACATTTTTATTTTCAAATTCTGCAGCATCCACTGTCTCATTTTTTCAGACCACATGATACCAACAGTCAACTTGCGATCTGAGCATAAAAGATATTTTACAAATCCGTGTGAATTGGATCCTTCGGCTTTGGCCAAATATGCGACTGATGAGTGGTTGGAGAAATGGATTCTGGAATTAACATTAAGGCTGACATCAAAGCCCGTCCGCAAAGATGAGATAGAAGAAGGTAGGAAATCGCCTTACATGGAATCGATTCTATTGGGCACCGTATTGACTTTTTTTAGCGGGTCCCTATACTGGTAGTGGAGGTGTTGGGTTTGCATTACTGAAGGCAGCCCAAGCCATTCCAGAAAGATTAGCACAGTCGGTCCAAGCCTGCAGCGATCTTTTGGATGGTCAACTTGAGTGTGCAAGGGTATTTTTGTAAATATCTAACAACTATTTTGCAGAATGGCTCCAGATCTCGTCATTCCCGTTATCTTTGTGGTACCCTCGGACTCTATGTAATCCAAACCATAAAAGATCACATGTCTGGGAGATCAATCACTCAGTACAAGAGTCTTTTCTCGAGCCTTGTGGAAACAGTCTGCTCAAAAGGATATCAGAGATACGGTGATGATGACATTCTGAATGGTCGTGCTGGGTTCTTACTGGCTGTTCAGATGGTAAAGAATGAAACTGGGGTCTCCATGCTGACAGATGAAGAATTAAAGAAAGTTTTGGATGCTTTGCTGGAGTCTGGTCGGGAGTATTCCTCTGTTCACAACAGCCAAACTCCCTTGTTTTATGAATGGCACAGCAAAGAATATCTCGGAGCGGCTCACGGGGTTTCGGGTATTCTGCAAGCATTGTTGACGTAAGTGTCCAGTTGACTCTAGACAATGCTTGTAGCTATTGGCATTTGCTGGATGAACAAGATCAGAAAGATGTGAAGGCGACGCTTGATTGGTTTGTTGGTATCCAGTCTCCAGATGGCAACTTTCCCTCATCCAGTGGATATATTGGATATCCGAAAGGAGAAGATGAATTGGTTCATTGGTGTCATGGGGCGCCCGGGGTTATCCATCTAATGATAACTGCAATTACTTTATTTAACGACGAAAAGTATCTCCAGAGTGCCAGGAGATGCGCGGATCTGATATGGCATCGAGGAATACTAAAGAAGGGTCCAGGCATTTGTCATGGTGTTTCTGGCAATGGATATTCACTACTGTTGCTCTCAAGAGTTATGAGTGACCCTCAACTCTTACTCAAAGCCAAAGCGTTTGCTGTCATAATGATGGATCCAAATTTTGAGGTATGTTTAGAGCTCCTTATCGTCGAAGGGGTGTGCAGAGGCCGACCCTCTGCACGGCATTGCCGCGGCAACCCAGGGAGTCTCCCGCCTCCTTTCGGCGATTGAAATCAGAAATGTCACCAACAGAATTTTTTTGTAGGGTTTTTTCGATTGGAAAATATTAGGCTTGTTATGTTTTGCCTAAATTGAAAATTGTCATATACAAAGCTTCCACACGCGACTTTAACATAGATTATGATGAATACCGTATCTATTAGTCTTAACTATTTTTACTGCTTAATCGGTAATTTTGACAAAAAGGATTAATTTAATAGTTCCTAAAAATTTTTGATTCGTACGACTTTTTAGCTAAACAAGTTCAAGTTGACAATTAAAATGACAAAACAATTTGACATGACGAAAATTTGACAATCTGACTGACGCGTCAAGTTGACGACTTAACAATCCTAGAAAATACTTTTCTCAGAATTATTTTATTTCTTTTGTCAATTATGATTTGATGAGACCAAACTCGAAACTGGGCGGGAGACATAATTGGGACCCCACCCCTTCCTCAATGCACGCCCCTACCGTCGATTGTTCCTTCCAGTCTCTCGCCAACGTCCCCGACTCCCCGTTCTCTCTCTTCGAAGGCTGGGCGGGAGCTCTTTGTTACCTGGTCGACCTTCGGAACCCTGTTCGTGCTCAATTCCCCTTGATTCCCACAAAGCTCAAGTAATCTTCTAGTATGGAAAATTCATTTATGTGAATAAATCATGATATGAGAAGAGAGGTCACCCGTGATGATAAGTTATCCATGAGCCGGCATTCCCCCGTTCTTGGCTGTATTTAAAAGACGATTGTCATTAATCTGAGGTCGATAAGTTGATTTTTGGGAAGATGAATCGTTAAAGCGACGTCCAATGGGAGTCGATCCGACAATCACAGTAAGAACAATACCCACACTGATAAAGAAGATAACGAAGCACCAGACACAGAGGATACAGCACCTGTAATTTCGGGAGAGGAAGTGAACGATCCTCAGACGGAATTTGGTGGTGATCACAGGCACAGAATATCTGTAGATGCTGACCTTATCCAGAGACACATGTCTCCATTTGACCCGTCTGACACGTTCAGTTCGGAAGTGATTTTCCAGCGCCTTGATGCTCACTACTGTTACCTGCAAAGTGATGTTTCTTAGAAGAGATCTTTGTCAATTTGCAATGGTAATGTTCTTAATGCAAGGGTGATCGATGACGAGGGTTTCAAAAACCACATTAATTTTTTAATTTGAATTTTACACTTTCGTGTTACAGTAAAAATGTAATTTTTTCTAGAAGTAGTAATGGGGCCCATGGGGGGGGGGGGGTTTTCGATAGTGTTGAGGCTACGAAAATAATTTCAACTTTTTCTGTTTTTTTTTCCTAGCCAGGCTCCTCAAATATTACTAACCTTTTTTGAAATCCACAATATTGACTACCCTAAGCTCCCGTTTCAGAAAAAATTTCTAAGGTTGGGGGCATGTTAATCCGGCGCATTTCCTGAATCGTTTAGACGTTTCCTCCACGAACTGTCTAAGATCGACGAAAAGATGCTAGACGTCAAAGTTCTTTCTGAAGAATTTTTGTGAACGAAATTGGTCGCAAAAAAAAGTTTTAAACACTAGTTTCTGACAAAGATTTTGACCCGGCTAGCCAAGAGAAAACAGCCAAAGATTAATATGTAGAAACCATCCTCTAATGATGGTTCTACAGTCCTAGGTTTAATGAGTCCATAATTCTCTTGCACTTAACATTTTCAGTAATACCGAGATTTAAAGGACAAGCAGGTCCTCAGTTTTTTTGTGTAAATATCGTTTAATTCTCCACCATTGTTTAAATAATTTGCACTTACTTGACTAGTGTCGTCGTTCCGAACCCATATATGGTACTCCCCGATGTTAGGCTCCTCTCTCTCCAAGAACTTTTGTATTTTATCTCGATTTTTGTCTCCCAATGCCTCGAGGAAAACATCTGCTTCTCGGCCACTCAGACATTCACAGGACAATGGAACGATCCTTTTGTCAGGCATCCGAGCAAAAAATTCTCCTTCACGGAATGTGAGATCTGACTCCGTGATCGACGTGCTTGGCTGCTCTTCACTGTACGAGGATTCTTCTTCGGAAGCACTTACGCTGGCACGTGTATCTACTCGAACTGGCTGCGAACTCGAGGCGTATCCGAAGCTAATATTGTTAAATCCATTGCGGGATGCTTGTAAAACATGCATCGTTCCCTGAAATGTTAATTTTTTTTTTAAATAAAAGTTGTGTTGCTTACCCTGCGATGTGATTTGGGTTGAGGTCTGGTGATATACGCACTGGCAACATCATGGGACCTTCTTCTTGGACTGACTTCTAATTTTGTAAACTTCTTAGGGCCGGTGGTGCACTTAGAACTTTGCACTGTTCCATCAACCCTTTCTGGTGTTCCTGACATCTAAAAAGACAAAAAAACATTGAATAAGTTAGGTGACTATCAAATTTCTATCTTTTTCTTTAAACATTAAAATTGAAATCGCGTATCGAATGAGTTTAATTAAATATAAAAACAAAACGGCTCCCTCTTTGCCAGAGACAGGTGCCCGGCATCTAATTTAAAGCTCAACCACAGTGAATCGATAAATAAGATGTGACCATTGGAAGCCAAATGCCTGAGGGCCTAGAAAATTCAGAAGGCGCGGATAATTTAGAGCCTATATTTAGAATAACTAAATAAGGACTTCTGGAGCCGAGAGAAACGAATTGACCTCACTCACTTCCCGTTGCTCTCTCGAATCAATGTCAACCTGATTTGGGCTATGTGCGAAATTGAATTTGGGAGTTCCCTCCGTTTGGGCCGTCCGGAAAGCGGCCGAAGGGATCCAACCCCCAAAAAACAAACGTCTTCATACCACGAAAAACGGACCAATTTAAAGACGGGTTTCAGAGCCGGAAGCAGGTACAGCTCTAAGGTCATGCATACATGTCACCCAATCGAAACAAAAGTGTTCGAACCGACTTTTAAATTAAAGTCGACACGGCCCATGTCCAAATAAGAGAAGTCGGCAAAAAGAGATGGAATGTGCATTGAAATGCCGCCGATAAATGAAGAGTGCATGGATAGAAGGCCGAGAGTGCGTGGACATGAATAACTTAAGGGGATGACTGGCCGGAAGGATAGTTGTGAAGTGCCCATGCTAATGAAGACGCTCTTTCTTCGTTTCCTGCCCAGATACAAAAACATTGCAATAAAGCTACGAGAACGTCGTTTCATGCATCTCGAGCTGAAGGAGCGAACATAATCGCACGCCCTATTATGTCGTCTACATGAAATAAAAGGCCGTCGGGATGAACTACATTTACCAGCAAACAATTTTACAAATAGCACGGCCGGGAACGGAGGTTTCTCTAAACGCAATACCCTCTTACTGCGTACAATACCGTATAAATGGAGTGTTTACAACGAACCCCATCAAGTAGGCCATTCGATTATCGTCAAACGAATGTACTCTGACAGTTCTCATCTCAAACGCCTGCCCCTGTAACATTTGCCGAAGAGACCCTGAGGGCTTCGTGATATCTGTGGCCGAACAAAGTTAAAAAATACCTCACCCACCGCCCAAAAACAAAAAGAAACGGGCCGAGATTAACACAAATAAACTCGCGGTGGTGCTCTATATAAAGCTTCTTTCCTCCCGGGGGCTTGTCTCCCCGATTCCGCCAAAACCTCATCAGAAATAAAATAAATAACATTGACTTCGCATACATTCTTCATTCTAGAGAGCGATAAATCCTATACATAATTCGATTACTCTTTGCTGGGGGGCTGCCAGCCTTGGACTTTGGGTCGGGTGGTGGAGTAGGGCACATACTTCTCGTTCCTGAAGAAAATAATCTTATTAATCATTCAACTCAACGTACGAACCGAGGCCAGGTGCAAGATCTGGCTCCGGTACTTAATTCCGATGACATTCCTATTTGTTTCGAATATGAGAAACAGAAGAAAGTACGAAATAAATTCAAATAACATTGTATTAAAATAAAAATTTCTTTGATGGAAATATTAGGTTCCCCTTTCTAACAGCATATGTATCGCACATTGGCTGTTGGTTGAAAGATTTAAAAAATTTATAAAGACACGGCGGGAAACTTGAATCAACCTAATAATACAAACTTACATGTAGATTGAAGTGTTCTCCTTGTGTTCGAGAATCCATTTGCGGTCAACTGGAGGCTTAATAGTTGGGGGCTCATCAGTCATATGATGGAGCCATCTGTGCCATTCCGGGGGGACCTGACTAGCATCATAATCTAGCCATTGCTTTTGATCATAGACCACCCATCTGTTTCTGGGCATGAACAAAGAGTTGTCCTGATAGTATTTGTTGCCGAACTTGTCTGATCCCACCAACTCACCAGTCTTGCTCTGATCAGTCCTAAACAACCTTATACCCACATCAAGCACTTACAAATAACGTTGCCTAATTGCACCGCGAATTCCTCCGGCATCTTTGACGATCTTAATGGCCTTCGCCCATTTATCCACGCCAAACAGCTCTTTCAAGCCTGCCATCTAACAACAAATATACTTACACATTCACAAACAGTTTTAGGTAACAGAGTTTTGAACTCTTAAGAAAAAATTATCTTTGATCGAAATAAAATTTATATGATACCAAAAATAGTTTAGATTAAATTATGATACAGGTTTGATCACCACGACCGCATTCAGAATATCTGTTTCCTTGACCGTTTTGCTCTCATCATCGATCAATTTGTTGGGAAAAGTGGTGAACAACTGGAACGGATGGAAAGACCAGTCAGGCAGAGCACTAAAACAATAAAGCTTACAAACTGAAGAAATAAACAGGAGAATTATAATTATAACTACTCACGTTACAATGAAAGATCGAACATCCTCAACTGTGTGCGAGGGATTAAAGGTCCCAATCAATCGCTCCCCATTTGGTTGTCGAACCTGAATTCTACCAGTTGGTTCGCCTTCCTTTAGTCCAACATTGTTCTGCGCTTCCTCCAGCAATTTTTTAGATTCTAAAGCCAGAACAATAAAAAATAAATAAGTCTTACCATCTGGGTTTTTCTCGGTAGTAATAACAGGTTGCTCGCCGACAATCGCTGGAACTACAGCTCCCAATCTGACGCCGGTCGAAGAGAATGGCTTAGCCTTTGGCTTCACATAAGGAGTAGCCCGTCGCTCCAGATGAAGATCAATCTGCTTGTAACGATGCTTTTGCTGCAGTTCAGAAGGAATTTGACCACGATCTAAAGCTTTGATAAACTCGAGAGAAGCAGGATCAGCAAAGGTTCTCAACGGTCCATCATCCACACTAAAGCCATCTTGCCAGAAGATGACATGAACTCTCTCGACATTATTACTCTGGGCCGTCAAAGAACTCTGCCCATGACCGCCAAGACGAACACCTTCGGTATCAACAGCCCCGTCTCTGAATCGATCGACTTCTTCGGAACTCAAACTCTCAGCTCCATGACGTTGAGCCGACTTGAAAACACGATCAGCAATGTCATCTCCCCCATTTGGTCCCAAAACTTGTTGGCCACTGCGTTCACTTCCGCCCACAAAAAATCCCTGACGTCCCTCATCTTCATCAGACGAATGTCCGCTTTCTTGTTTATCGCCGTTGAGCTCGCCGAGAGTCCGGATACTAAAAAAATCCATTATTTTGTTAACATATTGTATCACAATTTCAATATAAACGCTTACTTCTTTGCCATTGTCAAGCACGTGTACACAGACAGCGCAATACTTATTCGGTACTTCGCAAAATTCTTTCGCATAAAATTTTTATTACAAATCTCTTGGCATTCTGTCAAAGGTCAGTTGTTTTCGTGGTAAAGCATTTAGCACGAAACAACGAAGATGATTTATAAAAAAAAATACGCAAAGCGCCACCATTTGGCAGAGATATGAACTAATGTTATTAGGGATTAAAAGTTAACCGGTCAAGGCCTTCTTAACCAAACTTTACCGATTACGTGACACGTGAAGACAAGTCGAGGGGATTTTTGCCATTTCTTACTACTTACATGCTTTATTTTTGCAAAATTATGCTTTCTGGGAGAAAATGCATAGTTTCTTTTCTGTACAGGGGATTCGGATTGCAAAAACTAATGGTTAACAGGTTCATTTGCTACTGGAAGTATATAGTTGTCTTTCAATGAACATCTCTTGGCTTAAAAAAATCGTCAAAACGCCTAGTTTTTTGGCCCTAAAAGCTATTAAAAATGCTTGAAACTTGACAGATTTGCTTGACCTGACAGGTCAATTTTCAGTACCAATCCCTAACTAGTATTACTCTTCTTGGTTTGGTATTTCCTTTCTGAACGCGTTTCTATAAAAGTGCTTCAGATTAGCGAAGGTTGACGTCATAATTAATATTTCGTTTCATCAACGCAGCACGTCAAATGTAAGGTACTTAGGCTTGCCCCTTATGTTGTAAAGTAAAATTTATTGAGAAATAGGGTAGATCTGGCGAATTTGTACATCGATCCATCATCCGTCGTTCCGAATCCTGATTTCATCGTTACGTTTGGAGAATTGCTTATGAAATCCTTTTTAGAAAACTATTCGTAAGGCTTCTGTGTATTACAACCTTAAAAGTCCAAGATTTTAATTTTTTTATAGTTTATTGCATGAACAACACAACCGATGTTTATATGACAAACTGGTTGTGAAGAGATCGAGTGGTCTAAGAACGGTCTAGAGCTAAATAAATCAAATGAGAGACAAAATGGACAAGTCAACCTTATTGGAGTACATAATGACATCTGTTAGACATTAGATGCTTTAGACACCGGTACTAAAACAAAGTGGACCTAAGGATTAGGATGAGCGGGGCCAAGTCGGAGAGTGAGAAAGTGAGAGACTAGGGGATAAAGTGAGAGACTAGTGATTGAGATGAGTGCATGACAACAAGATGTTGTTGGTACAGACAAAGTGCTCCCAGAAGTTGGGGACGGTCCGGAGAAATCTGTTCAGCGATCTCATTGTTTGTTGATGCTGGGCTCGCTTCGAGAACGTTCCAGTCGAGAACTACTCGAGGACGCGGTCATTGTTCCACTGGGTTGAGGATTCTGTTCAAAGTTCTCAGGCAATGGGGCTCGGTCCACTTCTTTACTCTCTTCCGTTGGATTAAGTTTCTTCATGAGGATCTTGCTCAATTCAATCAGCTGTTCCTCACTGGTGATCGTCATGGGGAATTTGACGTCCTTGTTGTCACCAGAAGGCGTGACAACGGCCGAATCAAGAGTGGCGGTATCGCTGGGGATATCCTCGACTGTATTCAACTTGGCCGAATATCCGAATTGGCCTCCCATTTGGACCTTGGACATGGCATCTTCGATTTCGCTGGTGACACTGGCCATTGAAGCAGCCAATCTTTTGGACCAGCGTTTGCTGAGTGTGGTCTCGATATCTTTTTCTTGTGGAACCACGGCCGAAGTCTCGATATCAGTCTCTGTTGGGGCGCCGCATCTCTTGATGTAATAGAAGAGCTTGACGATTGGAGCGCGTTGCTTGGGTTTTCTGGGGAGCACAATGAATAAGATCAGTTGACAGAAGGCCAGAAATGATCCAACGCCATTGGGGAACTGAAAAAAACCAAAGAGTTAAGTAATTTTAACAATAAATATATTATACAGGGTGTACCAATTTTGTGCACCTGGTACAACCTGTACTTTAGGTAATAAAAATTTGCGCAAAACTTACAATAAGATAGAAGTCCCATTTAAGAAGACCGTAGATGAACCATTCGGTTGAGACAAGGAAGTTAGCGATGCAAAGAGGCAAAGGCAAAGTGGAAGTGGCGCCTCGACGAATGACAACACGAAGCCCAGCCAAAGGAGCCGCGAAGTCACCGATGTTGAGAGTCAAACACACAACTCCAAGAGGGTGGAATACCTTCATGCCGAAGAAGTAGACCGACGAGAAGAGAGCAGTGCATGTGACCAGAAGAGCAGCGATTTGGACACTGATCCACAACTTCTTCTTGGTCATACAGAAGTAGTAGACCGTGTAGATCGAGTAGAGGACCACCTGAGCGCTGGTCACGTATTTTACAGTCGTGTCGTTCTTGAGGTAGCCGTAGGTCATCCAGCAGAATCCTCCCAACACGCCCATCAAGAAAGGGGCCCCGCTAATCTCGGCCGTGTCCTTTCTCTTCCAGATCTGACGGCAGATTGGACTAGAAAATATTAGAAATTTAGGTATACAAGTATAGCGATAAGGAAATAAAAAAGTATTATGTAATAAATCTCATCTAATTAGATAACAGTTTTCAAAATTAGTCAAAGATTTGTAAAAAAAATGATAAAACTTACATTCCGCAGAAGAATAAACCAACGGTTGTGAAGAAGGCGCATAACGACAAGATGTTGAGGAAAGAGATTTCTCCGGCAAAGACCTCAAACATGTCTGCGGTGATCGCTCTTCTGAACTAGAAGAGATGTGAAGGTGAAGGGAATTGAGGGGAGTTGATGTCGACTTGACACCCGCGTGCTGTGGGAAGCCGAATTGGCTTTATCTGAAAGGAAAAAGGTTCAAAATCCATTCAAGACGCATGAATTTATTGTAATCATAGCGCGCAAAAAACGGAAATGGGACAAGACCCGCGATCGAAGAAAGAGATGTCGAGGTTTATTTGGATGCGCACTCAGGAGGATTGACTGGGACACGGGATTTTGGTTGATTGAGAGACGCAGGAATAACAAGAAAACACGCCCAAGAAAGCGATGGCATTTTTCCAAACGGGGAAAACATGTCCACCACTCAATTTGGCAGTCAGTGATCAACATTTGCACCCTCAAACCGTCGAGAACTTGAGAAACACAGACCATGAAGCCTTCTCAGAAAAAAGGTCGAAATTAGAAACTCGAAAATGAATATTGAGTGTGAGGCTCTAAGCCCATGGCCAGGTAGAAACCGGCCTGAAGGACACTCAGACTGGCTTCCGAAGCGGGAGTCTGATTTGATATAAGGAGAAGGGAGAGACCGACTGACGGATTGTTCGTCGAGTTTCTCCATCCCCGCCCACCCCCCAATTCACCGTACGAACCGATGAATGGGTGGCGTCACCGACTCGGGGAACCATTTCTTTGTGCTGAATTGGCCCCGATTCCGAGGACGGCCCCGAACACGTCTAAGTGGGATCATCAAGGCAAGAGGAGGGCCAATTTTCATGAGGGGGATCAAGTCGTCTCGAAATATCCAAACATATCAACACCCAACCAAAGCAATTAGTCCTCTTGTAAGTGGCCGGAAAACAAATACTATGAAATTCACAGTTGGAGATGATAATCGGTAAAGGTACAGTGATATCTTTTTTGGTCAGACAACTCAACTGGAAATTTTTGAAATGGTAAACAAAGAAACCGGGAATCTCATTGTTAAATTATCGATGACCAATCAGAAGTCGTCGATGAATTTGTTAATGGCAGGCACTTTCGTTATTGTTTACAGTCTGATTTCAGTTTTGATACCTAGAAGAGTTTAATGTGCGCAAGAGTAGGTTTAATCAGGAACTTTAAGGTCACATTGGTTGTCTGGGTACATCTGATCTTCACTACCATTAATCATTTGATTTACGATATTCAGTGGGGTTTGTGACTAAAAAAATCGGACAACAAAGTAATCTCTTCCAAGGTCAAGGTGATTCTGGATCACCGTTCTCTTTTCTGTCATCGAAAACGTTGGTGTTATTGGATTAAAGAAATTTAAAAATAACTTCTCTTATTACAGTAATAACCAATAGAACAAGATGCTGTCACTTCGTATAAACTTGCGAAAAATGATTATCAATGATATCAATGTCGAAATGAAGAACATGTGAGTCGATTCGTCGATTTGGAGCCGCTGAGAATTGCAGATTCTAGAGAAAAGAGCACAGTTCTTTGGGTTTAATTGATCAATTGTATATATATGAATTAAAAATAATTGGAATGCAGGCATCGGTCAATCATAACATGAGTCATCACCTTACTGGTCACAATATTTAATTCAAATCAAGTTAGTTACCTAGAAATAAAACCAAAAGGAAAGTCTTGATGACATTGTGGATAACAATCTTTTGTGTTGGGCGATAAAAACATCTTATCAAAGCTTTCTTTTCTCCGCTTTTATCCTCTGTCATCCAATAAACATCGTTTTCTTTCAGCCCCCCACAACCCTTGCTTTAAATTCTCTGACGTCTGGAGAGATGATATTGATGAATTGCCATCAACTCCGCGGCTTCGTGATTTTCACAAGGAAACGAATTCATCAATCGACGAATTCCACTAACTTTCGCTGTAAGAACTCTACAAGACGATAATGGAACATTCCCAATCATCGAAAGTATTTATGTACAGATAAAAATACAATTCATAAATAATATTTTTGGTCCATTTACCGGTTATTACAATCTCTTTACAACCAATTGACGAGGTATGATCGGAAAAACATTCAGCCCCAACGGCATCGAGAATCAAAGAGAGTTTTCTGTCCGAAGCCCGGACATTGTTTTGGAAGAATTGAGCCCTGAGGGCTTGTATGAAACAATACTTTTTATGAGACCGGGATATGTGATGACAAGAAGAAAGCACCGTGGTATTAAAACTCTGAATAATTTAAGGCAGAGACTCTTCCAGAACACTGGCAGCATCAGGACGGCCGAGAACTCGGATTGTCTGAAGGAGATCAAAGAGGGCCCGATCTGATCCGAACGAAACAGATTCCCAGAGATCGAGGATCAGGGTCGTAGCTGAACATCCAGGACGAGTTCCAAAATACTGAAAGCAATAGAATTAAGAGTACAAAAAGGCCTTTAAAGTTGTTACCTGAAGGTATCTGTCATATCCCAATTTTTTTGCCAGTCCTCTCCAGTCCTGTTCCGAATCCACTGGTGGATCCAGCAACCTGGCTAGCCGTCTTTTCGTGTCTGGGGTCAGTTTCAATTCCTGAGAGACCAACTTATTCGACAGATCGCTCAATTCATCCTTCGCCGACTAAAAATAAATTGCGTAATTAATTGCGTAACATACTTGAATTGAGGGATTCACATCGAATTCGAGGATCTGTTTCTCTGCTACGCTTGATTTCTGATAGACTGAAATCTTCCCCGCCAATCTTGTTTTATTTTTGTTCGTAATTAGAACGCTTAATGGACATTGGATTCCATTTTGGGAACACCATAAATGCTGAGAGGCAGGGATCTCCTGAAAAAATAATAGTATAATAGATTGCTCAAACTTACCCTATAACGAATGCCGTTGCAGGGTAGTGTGTAGCCATCAGATGCATTGGCGGTGTTATCATCCAGACAAATGCAGAAATCTCCGAACTCATTCATGAGGAACTCCTTGGACTCTGTGATCATCGTCCCTCTCTGGTCGTTCTCTTGTTTCCTTACATTCTCCAAAGCCATTGCAGAGTCAGGCACAATGTAGACTCTGATGGGAAGATTCTGATGTTCTTTTTTAGGTAATGATGCGTAAGAAATTATTCTAACTCTCTTAAAGGGGGGAACATTGGGCCGTTTTGGGGAACCGGCCAACAGAAATCGGCCGAACTGATCGGTCATGATGTGATACTTCTGTCTTTCCAACTGGACGTGCACCGGAGTGTTGATGTTCTCTTCTCCCAACTTTACTCCCAATTCCCAGCCAGATCCAAAATCAGTGTAGAGGCAGAAGTCCCAATTATCCTTAGGAAAAGTGGATGCGCAATGTTCCAGGGTGATGACGACCGGTCGATTTGGTTGGATGTCGTTCGTCTCATTCTCGCATCGACCGAATTCCACAACACTGCTCAACCAAGTCTCTCCAGGATTGAGATGAGGGCGGTCCTAAAAACATACAATAACATCGAGTTGTTTAAATTGTTTGAGACAAGAGTTTTCCTACCTGGAGATCGTCAGAGACTGACAGATATACCATCGTGGATTCGTTGAAGGTATTCTCACTCAGCGAAACAGAGCCTCCGCATTTCTTGAGTTCAATCCGACTGAAATCGGAGTCGACTTGAGCAGCAACAATAGTTGCACTCTGATCAACACCAGAATGGGGGTCATCGATGGTTATGGAGGAATTGTAATGCTCGGCAACACAGTCATATAAAGTAGCGTATTCTTCGGAAGGGGAATGACATCGCATTAACGGCTTCTTTATTGGCGTTACCCCGCTTGAACTGCCACCGTTGGAAGAAGTATTAGAGCTTGAATAATCGTGGATCAAAGCAGCTCGAGATCCTAAAAAATGAAATTAAATGGTCCTGTAAAAAATAAAACAAATTTTATAAAAGAGTATTATACTCACCAAGCCGATGATTCGTAGAATATCCACTGGCATAACTTTTGTTGGATTTGAGCGTGTAATTGTTTGGATAAAGGTTTGTGTTCACAGTGCCAGTGCCAGTGGAAAGAGAGACATAGGGAGCCGGAGGTGGAGTGCACATCAACTGGACATCCCGACTTCCAAGATGACTCAACAAGGCCGCTTTCTGCTGTTGTAACAGTACAGTATGCACACTGCCTGAGGGGAAGTAGGCCTGATCCTTCTCGGATCTCTTCTTTCGACAAACCAAAGTAATAATTAAACCGATGATGACTAGAAGAAGAAAGGCGAAGCACAAAAGCGACCCCAGAATAAAGACTTGGTTCCCATTCCACAGATCCATATTATTATGGGGCACCAGTCGATTTTCTGGTTGATAAAAAGTACTTCCAGGTTGACAGTGCAAGGGGAGGATTCCTTCTGTGCAATTTACATTCTCTGTACTCTTTCCTTTACAGTCAGCACCCCCATTTGTTGGTTCTGGAGCTGTGCAATGGCGGTTTCGTATCCTTTGGCATTGGCTGTTACACTCTGACCAAGGTGCCCATTTCGACCATGAGCCTGCAGTACTTTTATATTATTTTTAATTTTTTCGTATTCAAATTGGGTTGTGATCTTATAAACAGATTGCGCAACCAAAGAAAGGTCCCTCCGTCTTCGGTAATAATTAATTTCACTCGCGCGCTCACCATTTATTTTACAGTCATGAGGACATGCCCGGAACTCTTCTTCCGGTCCTGAACATCTCCTCCCGCCATTAATCGGGGCTGGATTATTGCAAACCCGAGTCCGTCGCTGAGATGGAATGATCTGTTGCAACGCTTGTTCATCGCCTCTACTCATGTCGATGTGGGTGATCAGAAGAGGACAATTGATAGTGCATTGACCTTGCCACGACGACCATGGTGACCAGTTACCATCCACTAAAATTCAGATTATTCATTGTGTTATTCTTGGTTTCAGAGAGTCATTTATGTTTCCGATCCTCAATTCAGTGAGTTTGGATTGCGCAAGCATGTGTCGGTGTCTTTGCGGAAACTTTTTCACGAACAAATAAAACCCCATTGTGGTTGCGCAATCGGAAAAACCGTCGCGAACTTCGGGAGTTAGTGTCCCTTTACTTCTAAGCCGCCTTCACCCATGTCCGACAGATGCCAAGAAACTCAAATAGGCCGTTATAATTGGGCGGCTTATAATCCACAGTTCTTAAAAAAAGGTTTCCCGTTCCTCAACAGGCCTTCAATTACCCGCCAAAAAAAGACTGATGACCTCGATTGGCCCAGGATTAGCAGAAGTGACCACAACTTGGCCAAAACTCCTCTTATCTCCGGGTCAATCTCTTAATCTACGTTCATCTTTTACTGCCACCATTACTCTTAGTATTACTCTTACCAAAAACGACAATCTCCGCGGGCTCTGTCATTCGGCGGTTGGCCAAGTTTCGGGCCTCACAAGTATAATTTCCGGAGTCCGAAAGTCGAGTCGAAGAGATAATCAGCGATCCATCGTTGGCTAATATCAGATTAGAGTCATGATCTGCATTCATATCATGCCCATCTTTTAACCAATACACCTGAAACGGAATGTAATTACAAGAAATTCAACATAACATGTAATTATCTCATGAAAGGATCCATTATGTAATACCTCGACTTTGGGCTCCCCATCTGGCGGAACACACGGAAGTTGGATTGTTCTGCCCTCCGGCACTTTGTCTGATACCGGCGTTTGGTAGAAATGTTTTCGGATGTCTGAAATGTTTACAATTACTGTTGTTGTGCAATTTCTTGTGTGTTCGGGTATGAGTGCAACTGTGTCCAATTAGAGTTCGGGCTCTGTTTATGTCAAAACAGAATTTCTCGCGCAGATTCCTCAAGTGGTTCGGCGCAAAGTTTGTTAATGCGGCAGTCAGAGGGCGGCGGAAGTCTCAAGTACCTTGACTCAATGTCGCTGGGGGAAAGGGAAGGAGGCGGGGGTCATTAGCGCAAAATTGAATCGAATTCTGATTCTGAGCGCGAGCATGGAAGACGAGGAAAGGAAAGGGCGTGATCCGCACTTTCCCAGGCCTGGCGGCGAACCCAAAACAGGAAATGGCGGTGATTTATGCCCGAGGCCAATAAGAAGCCATAATGTCATCTCTCTCTGTTTCGTGTTGCATTTGGCATCAAAACATCGCCGCCGCCTCGGGTGTTGTATTCGTTTAGAACACGCACCGAGATTACTGTAAAACTGTCAGTGCTATTTTTATAACGTATGCCGAGAACAGATAATGGCTGTCTGTTATACTCTCATGTTCGAAGTGGAGGTGAACGTCAAGCTCTCGAAGACTTTGTTTGTTTTAGGCCAGATGGTCAAGAATCCGGTTGCAATGGCCGTTAAGTGCGTTGAGTCAGAAGTTCGGGATTGATAGGGATCTGGCCACAGGCATTGTGTCCCAATCAAAAAGCAATTCCTCGGAAAAAACGTTCCCCGAGGGCTTAAAAGGCCTGAGGGCGATTCATTTGAAATGTTTTTGGAGACAAAAAATGCGCGTCCAGGGACCTCACTTTTTTGGGCTTGCGCAATTCGTTTGGCGCGGGTTTGAGTCGATTTCCGATGCCGATAAGCGCCCCCTCCCCTTGGCCAAGTTATGTGTCCCAGTCATTCTCTAATTACGCACAATTGGGTCATTCGGATTAAACATCCGGAATAATGGCGCTGTAAACAAAACATACGATGATGAAGATACCAATTAATTCTCTTCCGACAAATTGTGTACAGAAGAGAGAGAGACAAGGATTACAGCAGTAATGGATGGCCCGAGGGAATATAGGATTATGCAAATATGAAAGGACCGCAATGTTTTACACAAAAGCTGAGCAGAGTTGTAGGGATATCTACGGTCATCAGAACCTCCAATCAATCTTCTCATGTCCAAAGTCAAAACAAACCAAAGGAAATCACTTTAAACTTCCCCTCAGGCAATCGAATGACTCAGAGCGGATAAACGAATGTCAGCCAGTATAAATAAATATAAAACGAAGCCACAGGTCAGAAATAAATCACTGCTGATCAGCTGATCGGGCCGCGGTAAAGGGCGCGTTGCAAAAAGTCATAAACCCCAAGGGCAAAATGGAAAAAGGAACTTACAAGCCAACCGAACTCGAGCTGTCGCTGATCGGATGACAAGTTCATGGGCATCACTTCTGGAAGCAAAGCATTGACAAGAAAAAGATTCCGATTCATTTAATGCATTCTCAATATCCTGGCGATTTAATTCAAGAGTAACTCTTCGAAATGGCTTCTGATTCTCGGCATCTGTACCTGTTTGGACTTCTAGACGATCCTCTGGGATCTAAAGTAAGTTTTTAAAAAAATCATAGACGCAGAAACTTACCCACTTGGAGTTGCATTGGAATCTGATGACATTTGCATTCAACGCTTTACATGATAAAAACGCTGGCCTTGATCTGACAACATATGTGGATTCTGGGTTCTCTACAAAGACGACCTCATCCATCACTGAAATCAAAGCAAAAATAAACTTTAATGGCAAATCTAACAAGCAGTGACACACGTCCACATCACACATGTCGGTCTTATCATTAGCGCAGTCGTAAAACGCAAGGGTCAAGTTTATGTAAACGGAATTAAGTCATTGATACCGTATGGAAAAGGGGCCGCATTCGGTGGCCAAAACATGAAATTCAGAAGACAAGCGAGGACCCGAATCAACGAGAGTAAAAGGGGGCGGAGTCGACTGCAAAAGAGCAAAAAATAGTTCGCGGAGAATCCGAAAAGAGAGCACAGAAGAGCGAGAGACTGCCTGACATCCATCCGTCAAAACGCCGTTTTTGCGCACTCTTTTTGCAGTAGCGGCATTTTGATCCCAGGAATGGCAAACAAAGTTACAAACAGGTCGGACCCACCTGTTCGGACTCTGACAGTCATCCGAGACATTGGGTTGCGGCTAAACAAATACCTCTGCACTAATTTGTGCAACATTGCGCAATCAAATAAGAACACGTTCAGTCTGCAGTAAATTAATCCGCGAGGTGGTAGGGATAAACAAAACGATTGAATAAGTTTGCATGACTGAATCAGGTATCCCTAAAAGAATGTAAATATAAATTATTCATAATCATAAACGATAAGCTGTCCTTCCAAACGATCCTAATCTCCAAAATAACAAGAATTCGCTTCGTCCGAAAAAAATGAGAAAAGGAAAACGCAAATGTTGCATTTATTTGGGAGCCAGGTAGTCCCATATATTAAGATCGAGGCATTTCTGTCAGCCACATGTTGTATAAACGGAGCGATGTTATCTGATGCTACAGTTATCATGCGATCTGATCAATTACCCCCATTAAAGAGCACATAATAATTATTCCCCGGGTTATTGTAAAGTAAAAATCTTGGAAAGAAGGTAGCCGCCATCCGAAGAGTGAGGGATTAGCGAGTGCTTAAGAGGGTACCCGGCCCTACTGATCGTAAATCAGAGGCCGCCAAAGTTTACTTTACCCCTCTCACCCTCTAGGCCAACGCGGGGTCAGTTGGCCCTATCAAAGATTAAAACTATATATTATACTGGTCGGTGCAACCTGAAGAATCACAAGATAATGCATTCAAATCGAAAGTTTCGCAATTAAATTGGAAACGAAATAAAAAGATTTAAGTGGATGATTTTATCGCGCCAATAAACATTGCCACTGTGGTTATGCCCGGTCCAGCTGACGACATTCCCGGACTCAGAGGGGAACAACCGTTTAAACGCGGTTTCGAGTTACGATTGACTAAAAACAATGGAGAAGATAAGGCGGCTTTTCAAAAAACAGCTCAGCCCCGGGACATTCTCCCACTCCTTTGATCCCCCGCTATCAGTCCATAAAGGTCGTAATAGCCGGGCTACGTCCTCTGAAAGCGTCTCAAAACATTCCTTTCGCTTATCAACGCCCAGAGGCTTCTTATCTTTTGTTTTCTTTTAATGGACACCGGTCAGAGGTGCGGCGTGAAGTGCGTGAATAAAAGCGGGATCGAGTAACAGACCCTCCGGACAAACATAAATATGCGGTCCATGTTTCATGGGTGCACACTTTGAGGAGAATGCAAACAAACCGGCTCTCGGATCCAGGTTTGGAAATGGCGATCGAACAGGAATGAGCCCTAAATAAATATTTTACAAGCATGGGATGGACCCACCGACACTTCCTATTACTTTATAAAAATTCAAATAAAACCAGCAAGATCGACTTCCCGTCCATTTTCACGCAAATCCTCCAAATTCTGCCGCACCTGAACCCCCACCTTCTAAGCGCATAATCCCATCAATCCTCCGCAAATTTGATTACTTTTGCAACGCAGGTGAAAGCGAGAAACTCGGCTCCGGGGTATTATTCCGTCATTTTATGGATGAAAAACGGTTCGTAAGTGAAGACATCCAAAAAACAGAAAGACCCTGAGGCGCCAATTCTACCTGCGATTATGAAGCAAACGCTTGAATGCGCCCTGAGGGCATTGTCTTCCTTGCAGAATGCCTTCGATCTTTCTACTTCAGAACACATCGGGAATGAATTAATCCAAAATTTGCTATTCGGGTCAAATTAACAGATCAAATGGGATGTAAACACAGAACACAAACAAAGGAACGTTATTATGGGTTATTGTCGAGGAGATGTATCCTTTGGGGATCCAACAGGCTATTATTACGGGCATTGCATAAACAGTACGGGCGAAAAGCTCACATTGATCGAAATCCAGAAAGTAATCTTCGTACATGGCTACAGTATCCATCTTCTCCAATCCGCCAATACGGGATTTAAAATCAGATCGGGGCTCCATCAGAAGTCAGGATCAATTTTGATAGCAAGATAAAGATCTCTTTAAAGAATAAAAGGAACCATGAGAAGAGCTGTCACTCAGGTTTCATCTTACAATCATGACACCTCAGGCTATGAGACAGAAGGGAAGAGGGGTGTCACATTGTCAGATAAGCGGGGATTCAAAATAAACTTTATTTAAATTCCCATTCTTCTGAACCCAAAATTAATCTTCTGATGACTTTAGCTTGTCATTTCTTTAGTTGCAACCCAAAAACTTTTGTTCGGTCATTAAAAACGATGCGAATCTAAATCAAGGTCCCGCGGAACGGCGCCACATTGTCCCAGAATTGTTTTTTTTTTCAAATATCGTCAGAATCGGCCAAAGTGACACGATGGAGAAAAGCGCGGGGCTCCCGAACAGGGTCGGGGCTGTCCTTAACACCTTCTTGGCCATTTCTCGGAATGATTCTCTGGGCCAGTTCATCTTTCTCTTCTTTTTTGGTTGGTCTGACATGAAGATGATGAATCGTGTTTTGAATCACGCGCAGGAAACGACTCGACAGCGCTAATGGCATCGAACCTGCAACGATTTTGTCACAGTACTACTTGCAAAATTTAAAAAGCAATCCTGCACTCAGTGCTTGCTTTTTGTCTCCTTTCTCTTCTGATATTTTTAAGACAATATATAATACATATGAATTTGATTGGGATGCCCTTCGAGGAGCCCATAAGATATAGATCCTACCATGCATGTGTTTAACCAGCTGGCTGACTTTGTGCAAGTGTTCGACGCAAAAGTTGAATCCAATCAATTGGCCATGCTGGATTACTAAAAAGTTGGCCTTTGTCTTCCAAAATCTGGCCCCATCACTCCTAAAAGAATGCCCTTCCTGTCATCGTATATGAGAATCATCTTCTTACATTTTGATGATAAATCGGCATCGTTCAGAAGAAAAGAAAGAAAGGAAAATATCGTTTTTTTCGTGCTCTGTCTTTGCATGGTAACTGTACAATACTAATTCCCCCATCATACTGGAATGCCATCCCTTAAACGGATCACCAATCAGCGTTTGGACGACTGCTTGGCAATAAATCTGAGGAAAGGTTAAATATAATATCCGAGATGTTTGTTTTATTACCTGTCCGTCCCCAACCTCAGCAGTTAGAGACCGAGAGCGATCGTAAAACGAAGACGGTGACCAGTGCAATAAATTAGACATGGAAATGAAAGTAATGGACATAGAAACGGGAGTGAGGTGTAAATTGGTCAAACAAGGCGCAAAGAGAAACAGGTCATTCTTAAAACACATGTGCAAGATGCAGTACTGTAATCATTTCAAAATTAAAAGATAACTCAAGATAAAAAATGAGGTGGCATGCGGGTAGTCAAGTAACTCTTTCCAATATCCCCAATAAACGAGTTTAAAAGACGAGGGATGGCTCGTTACTCAACACACTCATTCCTTGTCTTGTTGAAGATGCGTCTCTTCTTTGGTCTTCTGTTGTTAACACACCTTGGATTGGCTGATGTTATTCCTAGGACATCATACTACACAAGTAAGGCGTTTCAAATAAATTAATTGCTGTAACTTAGGAGATCGTGTCTTCCAATGCATAAATTATGCACCAAATGTAACCAGATGCTCACTGAAAGAAGAAGGCCGAAATACTGAGCTGAATCCTGGTTGTTTTGAAGAACAGACAGAAGTAAGTGGAACACCGACTAAAGGAAATAAATATGGTTATAGAAGAATGAAACGAGGGTGTACTGTAGATTAAATTGTGAGGAATCAGATGAAACTACAGTATTGGCTAAGATCCCTGGATCAAATCATAAATGTAATAACTTTTTTACATATCATCTGGAAAGGAGAAGAAGAGATTGGTAAGTTACTGTAACACAAAATATGCAAGGGGATTCTGAATAAAATATGTAGTATTTGAGACGAAAATAACATCGCGATAAAATCATTTGAGAGTAATGATTTCTGTGACAAGCATGATTAATTGCATTTTCCCGCATGTTTTTTGTTTTCAGGTATATTTGGAGATCGGGCGAATGCATTTCGACTACAATCAGCTTCGAGATCCGTTGCGGATTCCCCAAAGACCCTCGCCAATTCTATGCCCAATATAAACAACTCTTCGAGTATGATGAGGGTGATGTTCCAGTCGACACGGATGCAAAACGTCGATCTTAGGAACGAAAACATTTATTTATTATCCCTTAACTTATCCAATAAACTGGTTTCTGCTCTATATAAACTCGGCAAGTTGACTTGTTGAGAAGTCGCCATGCTTCTTCGGGTTGCTGTTATCTCCACTGTTCTGTTGGTCGCTAAAGCTCAATGGCCTCGATGGGGTTAGTAAAACCAAAATTTAGAAATTGGGATTTTAGAGGAGAGGACATTGGACTGTTCTAATGTGGCCAAGTCCCAGCAATGCACACTCGTCGCCCCCAATGCGAAGGTGCCTCGAGATCCGGCCAAATATAAATGTAGAGTGGAGCCAATGCCTCAGACCGAATGGAATCATCTGGCCAGAAATTCTAAGATCAGAATTGCCTGCCCTATCGGGTGTGAGCCCGATGCCGATCTTTCTGTAAGCCTCTAAATGATGAATAATTAATTTCTCAGGTTATCCAAAAGAAACCTTACGTCAACTCAAACTGTCAAAAGTATTATACCTACGGAAAATACCGTGACACTAAAGAGAATGAATGGTATCTCTGGATCACCGACCCTTGCGTGGCCACCCTGACTACTCACTGTCGTTTCAAGGACATCCCTATTCATCCCGAGGCCAACCCTTCAACTGAAGCTCCATCTTTCCAACGCCGAACTTGAGAATCTTTGACTAATTATATAAGATCTTTAGGGAGAATAAGGAAGCCATTATAAGAAATAAATTATTTCACCATGTGTACAGTACAAGATGCTTCTTAAGTCGCTTATGTAATCTGATTTGAATTCCACTAGACAGCTATTAGATTAATTAGAAGTGGGGTGGGACGAGATATAAAAGGAAAATATTCATCTTTCAACGGAAAGGGGACAGAGGATGTTACCGGCCATAGTCTTCGAGGTGTTACCTATCTTTGGCTTTATTCTCTGCGTGTCTACATCCTTTTATTTATGGATTATGCGGAGGAAACAAAAAGATGCGTTTGGAGGGATATATGTAATCCAATGTCTTGGTAAGAAAAATAATGATAAAATAATATGTTCTTAAGATTTTGTGTACGGACTCAGTCTCTTTTATGCTGGGTTTCATGGCTGCTTCGTATCAGCAAACACAGATGACAATAGCTTTGTGCAGCCAGTGGAATGTCTGTGGAAGGCATTCCATATCAGCTTTTGGTGTATTCTCGATATCTCCAATACCTTAGTAATATTTTTGTTATGCTTCGATCAATTGGTTTCGGTGTTTTGGAGCAAGAAACATAAGCTTGTAAGTTAATCCTGTCTGGCTGTTCACCTCGTTTTACGACCATTTGCAGATAAACTCCATATACTTGTCCAAATGTACGATGATCATTGTCGTAATTTTTTCTGGCGCCATTCTAATGCCAGCTTGGGACTTTCCGTTGACATATGAAAACAACGCGACCATCAGCACCTCTCCGTATTGCTCCATGGAGAGAGTTTTTGGACAAGATTTCTATGAAATGGAAGTTAACATTCGAAAGTTTTCACCATTGGCGGGTAAGTCAAACATGATATCCTCAGGCTGTTCAGGCATTTCTATTCTGTCACTGGCGGGGGTAGCCTTGCTGATATTTCAATTACTCCAAAATTGGAGTTTCAAATGGTCGGACAACAACGACGAATCGGAACGTCTGTATTTTTTTGTTCTCACACGGTGCTTAATGTTATTAGCTGTGGTTCACGGACCATTATATTTGTTAGAACCGTACACGAAGCAACAAGACCAAATCGTCGAGATTGCCTTACGGATATCATATTCGGTTACTTTTGGCGTGTTGGAGCCATTGATATTGTTCAAAGTGTTTCCCGAGTACAGAACAGAGTTCTACAACTTCTTTTTACGATATTCCCATAATACGAAAAGGACTTGGCAGAGTGCAGGTGAGGCTAGCGCTTTTATCGAGTTTTTGTTAGAAAACATGTGATCGTTCAGTCTTTACTTTTTGTAAATTCAGACTTTAAGAAATCAGGGCTAATTAAAAGGTTTCAGAAGATCCCCCTGACAGCAAAAATATAGGCGGAGAAGGGTTGGACTTTGGAAGCTGGTATTCGAGTGCTGGGAATATAATTGGCGAGGCTGGATTGCCATATGAAATGAATGCGGACAAACAAAAGAGCGTGTCGTTCTACTACAATGAGATGGAGAAAGTTTAAATCGATCAGGAGAAGAAAAAACGGCCAAGGTTTGAGCCGCGTCATCGCGAAAGAAAGGAGCACCGGGTTTTATCCGACAGGCGCGATCCCCAGCATCAACCTTCCTGTTTTCCTCCCCCCTCCGTTCCTCAGGTCTTGACGAAGATCCGGCCGCACTCTTTAACTCCCTCAGTGCGGCCCTGAGGCAGTGATTGGGGCAATCGAAAGCCGTGTCCGAGAAGTCGGATTTCTCTGGCTTCTCTCTCTTATCCCACCGCCCTGAGGCCTTTGATCCATCCTGGTCCATTCGGCCGTTTCTCGGTCGAACTTCCATTAACTGGAGCTCTTAACTCCAGCCCTCAAACCTTTTTTATCACTCCGATTGAAATGCAAATTCGTACAAATGTTGTTTGATCCCGTTTTCTGTTTTTGCTTTGCTTAAATCAGTCAGGCCCTGCTTCTTTGTTGTACATTTGTTGACTATAATAAAGTGGGATGCGTGTTCGTTCGATCGCTTTACTCTTCTTCATAAGTATGAATAATTAAAACCCCGGTTTAAATGACCTTAATCAATGCTCCCGGTTGTTAGTCATAATCATCACTCCTTCTGCCGAAACTCGAGGCCCATTTGTTCGGCCCCGAGGGCAAAAAACAACCACTACCTTGATCCCTTCCCCCGCACTTTGAAGCTCTCCCTTAGCGAGCTGTCCACGGACGTCATGGCGTCACGGACAATAACCCGGGAGCATCTATATTGCAAACACAGATCTGGTTCGGTCTGATGGGTTTTAAAATATTTGACGTTGAAGATGTTAATTACCACAGAAGAGTAAAGCGTTCTCTTATATTTAAACCCCGTAGTTTCAAAACACTGTACTTAGAAGACGAATTACTGTTTCGTCATCAAAGCCGAAGATTTTCTCTCTTTTACGTTGGGGATAAACTCGGCGAGATTTTGATTTTTCTGGTCCGTATTCCTAAACGTTTACGGCCGATTGATCCCATATGTTAATTTACTGCGAATCTTTTTTGTAACTGACCTCGTTTAGGCCGCTGGGTCCCCTGAAGATGGTAATCATGGGGACCAGCTCGCGGTCCAGCAGCCGAACCAAGGCTCCTGGTCGAATGAGTCTGACGAGGCTGAGACATGGAAGTTCTGGAGGGCAGGGACCGTCATCCAATGTTGGTGGAGCACCTTTGGCAGGCGCTGACAAGAACAATCGGGATATTAAACATCGATTCGAGATTACCAAGAAGCTCGGCGAAGGAACTTATGGTAAAGTGTCCCTGGCATACGATCATAAGACGGAGAGAGAGGTAAGGAAATTCAACATACAGTGACCCAAAACACATAGGTTGCTGTAAAATTAATCAAAAAGAGTGCCATCGAGAACAAGCAAGATCTTGTCAGGATTCGGAGGGAGATCAGGATCATGTCTATGCTCAAGCATCCCAATATTATTGAAATATACGAAGTGTTCGAAAACAAGGACAAGATTATATTAGTCATGGAGTATGCGAGTGGGGGAGAGCTCTATGATTATGTAGGGAAGAGCGGAAGTCTTCCGGAATCCGAAGCGCGCAGGATCTTCAGACAAATCACTTCAGCCATTTTGTATTGTCATAAAGTAAGAACTTTTCCCAAAAAAACTTACCATTTTTTCAGCACAAAGTAGTCCACCGAGATCTGAAATTAGAAAATATTCTGTTGGATGTCAGCAGCAACGCCAAGATCGCTGACTTTGGTCTCTCTAATTACTTTAACGACAAGACATTGTTGAATACTTTTTGCGGGTCTCCCTTGTACGCCTCTCCAGAAATCATCAACGGAACTCCTTATCGAGGTCCTGAGGTCGATTGTTGGAGTTTGGGCATCCTCTTGTACACCTTAGTGTATGGAACGATGCCATTTGATGGTCAGGATTTTAATAGAATGGTAAGTTCATATTGAATTTATAAAGAAAATCAAGGTCCGTCAAATAAAACGTGGTACTTATTACGAACCAGAATCTCCGTCATGTAAGTCCTCAAACTAATGTTTAAAGTTTGATTTTAGCTGCTTCGATGCTTATCCGAAATATGCTACGGGTAAATCCGGACAGACGAGCTGACATTGACGACATTGCAAGTCACTGGTGGCTTAATCTAGAGGAAAACATGCCAGTTATTCAAGAGTTGCCAGAAAATCAGGTAAGCAGGGAATTATTATTATATTTAAATTTTTTTTTTAATTTCAGATTACTGATTACACACCTCTCACAGAACGAGCCGAAGTTCTTTATGTTCAGGATCTTGCCGATGAAACCGACGTTTTCATGGAATTCGGACATCTCAGTTCACTCACACGACAAAAGATCGAGGAGTTCAGAAGACGTAGAAAGGAGGCGGAGGAATACAATGAAAACTCTCCGATCAAACCTCCCAAACGAAAAAATGATGACAAACCCGAGCTGACGTCCAAAGAAAAAAGTCTGCGACAAGAACAAGAGGAAAAGAAAATCGACGTTGCCGGTCACATGAATGATCCCTTGGAAAGACTCCGGCAACTCGAGAAAAATCTTCACAAACCATCATCTCCAGAACCGTCAACCTCAAAAACCAGAAGAGATTCAAAAGCGGAAACAGAAAGAGAGGAAGAGAAAGCTGCTAAGAAAGAAGATGACAAGAGACCAGCATTCGTGGCGCTTTCAGAAGCCAAGAAACCTTCCACTGGACACAAACCATTGCATAATAATTGGATGGCTGACAATGATTCGTTGAATTTATTGATGAATCAAGTTCTCGAACAGATGGATAAGGGTCCCGTTAGTATTAATCTGATCGCTAGAGTGAAGGCACATCCAATGTATGAGCATAGACCGATCATTAAAGAACTTCTTGAGTCCATAATCTCGGCACAACCCGATTCTGTCCAAAAACAAGCGTCAAAGGTCATTGAACATGCTTGTAACACGATCAAGGCAAGTTTTAAAGATAACCAGTAACCCAAAGTTTTAGAAAGAGAAGAAGGCCACACCAATACAAAGTCCGACGGCAAAGAAGAACGCAGGAATTCCAGAGACCATCACCGAGAACCCAAAAAAGAAATACGAAGTTCCAGAACTACCCACTAAAGTGGACGTCAAAGAAGCCATCTCAAAAAGAGTAACGTTAGAAGAAAGAAAATGGCATAGCGTGGAAGTAGGCTTCGAAACAGACGAAGAATCATCAGGATCATCCGGAAGCAGGAAGAATTCAAAAGTGTCTGCTCAGCCCAATATTGCACCACGCGTTAGAGACACCAAGTCCGCAGGGCATGTAGTAGACGAAGAGGAAGAAGATTTGGAAAACGAAGACAACGAATGTGAGGACGAATCTGAATACGAAAGTGAAATTGACGAATTGGCCGAGGTCGTGGAACAAGCTGGAAAAAGTACAAGTCAGATTGCACCAAAGATTGTAGAGAGCCTAAGTGAACAAGTCGAGCCTCAACCACATCTAGAGATCTCCGCCAATCATTTGTCGACATTAGAAAGGAAGCTGGCAAAACGGCAAAGCAAAGGAAAATATCAGGTATGCAATGGGAAACTGTTTCCCCTTCTTTTCTCCTTTTTGTTTAACTTCTTCCTTCTGTTTAGCACAGTCATGTTGAACTGTATGGTCGTGGGGTTTCTACGGAGACTGATAGTCCTCCCGTGGCCAAGAAACCCATCGGGGGACCACAGCCATCCATCGAGCAGTTGCCTGTTCTTTTCGACAAGGTTCGCTTCTGATTCTGTCACTTCCACAAACCCCACATTATAGTGGTTAACAAGTGTATTTTTAGGCCAAACAACTTATTATGGAGTATCCGTTAAAACCGGATGAAGACGCAAAAGAAACAGAGGCCAAGTCATCCAAATGGACCAAAACCCAAGACCCCGATCTCAGTGACAAGAGTGCAACTGCCACGCCAATTCCAAAGTACGTTTTTATTTTGTGAGACTTTTCGGGCCTTGTGTAATTCGGGCGGCGGACTTTTTGAAATAAAAAAAAACTCATCCGTTTATAACGCTGCGCGATTGGATGTGCAGTAACATTTATACCGATCTTTCGAAGAAATGAATTTTTGAATTCTCCATAGTCGGAAACTACAAAAACGCGGAAGAATAAGTTTTTTCTATTTTAAAATTTTACAATTTTTTATTTTACAATTTACAATGAGTCATCAGCAGTATTTGATTTTACAAGTTACAATTTGATTTTACATAAGGTACGAATGTTATTTTTAGATTTTTTTGACAAATAGTTTATTTAGGGGTAGTCCCGAAGCGAAAACATTACAACGCGGCCGCGGCGACTTCCCGTTTTTGCACTAGCGAAATGCACTTTTCGGCGACGTCGGCGAAAAAATTCCACGGAACCAGAAAACAAGGTTTTGTCCCGGCCGTGCCCGGCTAGCCAAGAAAACAACATTCAAATGTATCAGCTTGCCGGGCAAACAACGGCGGGTCGTCGCAGCAAATGTTTCGCCGCGGCGCGCAAAAGTGGGCATCGTCTCTTTTAACAATAAAGAACAAATTTTAGCCGCAAAGTTAATGAAGATGTGCAACAGAATACAGCCAAAGCAGAACATAACAGTGAAGAGGAGAGTGAAGATGAAGGCGAGGTCATCAGAAAACCAAGAACCTCCACCATCATTGGGTTCAGAACTATAAAAACTTCTGCAGGTGAGTAAACCGAGTCATAAGAGACGTTAGAATTCAAGAAGGCTATCAAAAAGAGGCCCCAATTGCGGAAGTAAAGCCCCAAAAACCGTATCAAGGGATCACCCAGAAGACCCCGCCCAAGGAACCAGAAAAGGCCAAGAGCAAGGAGCCCTCGTTGAAACCGGAGGATCAGAAAAAGTACGTTAACACCATTTCGAGACTAACCTTTGAACTTGGCTTGGTTAAAATCTTCTCTTTATTGATGTGTTTTTAAGTTCTGAGAATGGCTTGGGATCGCCACCGGACTCGCCAACGGCAGGGAAGTTAAGTTATGAGACGGCATCGCAATATATTCGACGGAAAAACAGGGAACGGAGAGCAAGGACGCTGACTATTGCAATCACAGACGAAGCTTGGCAACGGTGGCGTCTTTTTCGCTTGTGTTTTCAATTAAATCTGCACGTCTCATCCTCTTTTCAAATTTCAGAGTCGTTGAAAAAACGCCTGAACCAATCAGCAAGCCCCCAGAACCCGCAAAGGAATCTAATATTCCGACAATTCTGAGGAGACACCTTGCTAGGCAATCATCCAAAGGAGCCGCTGATGCAACTCCAAATTATCATAGGAATTCCTATCTAGAGGAGAAAAGACAGGTAAACAGTGGACTCTTTCCTTCTTAACTCCGTTTTCAGACGTATGCTGAACGCAGAAAGTCATTCCATGAGTTTTCACCAGGGGAGTCCGACGATTATGCGACTGTATACGGTAACCCGAAGACCCCGACTTATTCATCCGGATATGGCAACTCGGCAAGGACCGGGGGAAGATTCGAGTTGGACGAGGTATTGTTGAGGAATCATCTTCATCCCGATCCCTACCGCACCTCAGATTCGTTTAACCCTCACTGGACTGGATCACAGGTCCGCGAAAAAAAAGAATAAAGAAAGCGACGAATATTTTTATACGAAAAAATGGCATCCTTTTAAATGTCATCAATTCAAAAAATAGCTTGTTGCTGAAATAACACTTTGTCCATTTTTCCATTAACATTCTTCGCCAAAATATTTTTTTTAATTATTTTGTTTTAGCCCCTGTCAAATCTTCGTCTCGAAAGTAATTCCATAGGCCACGAACAGCCACGCCAACGGTTCGAAGTGTATAAAACTCGGGCTGAAAGGGATCGGGATGCTGCAAATGGAGTCGCTTCCGGCTCCTCTTACTACCAAGATCGACCTTCCAATAGTTATATCCCAGGGCCGGGCTACAAGTCGCAATACAGTGGTAATGATTACGGTATTTCTACCTCGGGTTACCGCCGTCCATCCGCCTACGAGCCTGATCTTGTCAACACTTCGGATTACGGGCCAGGTTCTTCTGGATATAGTCAAGATCCGTATTTTACATCGAATAAAGACAGATTCCGCCCGGTAACCAGACGACTGGGGAATAATGCCAAAGATGTGGACGGGAGACGGGCAAGAGCACGATCTCAATCCAACGACAGGAAGTTCTCGACCAGTTCGATAACGGACATTGATGCTGCAGGTAGATTTTGCCATATCAATGTAATGTTATTATTAGAATAAAGAATATCTTACGATCTGTTTCAGCAGCTTTATCAAGTCGTCTGATGACTCCCGAGATCGGAACGGGGGTTACCGACTACGGCTACGTTAGTTACCATGATTCTGGAAACTCCCGGATCTCCCAAACACGGGAACCTGATATCAGCATGGCTCCAGCACGGGGTATCCTGAAAAATAAACAAGTAGGTTCCCTAAAAAGACAACTAAAACAACATGATCATTTAGGCTTACGAGGTTGAACCAAGAGCTGCAGCTTCTCAAGGTAAGTGTAAAAAAAGTTCCCTCTGAGTTGATTGACCTCACTTTCGCTATCCACCACACTCTATCGCCATGTTTAATCAAAATTTCCACTAAACCAGTAATCGATATTTCTTGTGTAGCCCGGCTTCGGAGTGCCATCAGTGCCGAGAAAGCTTTGGGGCCGCCGTTGTACGGGCCCGTCCATCCAATGCCATTTGGTGCCCCTATGAGACTTGGATCCACTGATCCTTCTGGCTTCCAAATGTCTCATACGACACCCTTTTATAGCCATCTGCCTGAAGGTGGGCCTCTGACCTGGTGTCCTGCCGTTTGCCGTGCTGTGAAGATTCATTCTGATGTCAAAAGTCGTACTGTCCGATATTCTACTCACAGAAAAAGGAATTTGATGTGTCAGTCTTAAATTCACTTAACCGTTTATTCTGTAGTTATGTGTGTTGTTGTCATCATTTTATTCTTCTAAAAAGATTTTTTAGTCCCCCGAGGTATAACCCCTAGCTCCGATTTCTACGACCCAATCGGATCATCAATTCCAAAGAAAAGGAACTCCGGCCCTTCCAGCTTTTTAAATCTTAGACGTCGGACAGCCGAAATACGACTGGGGAACGACGGGAAGATGAGTACAACAAGTAACGGGTGAGTTTGACAAGAACATATGACTATGATCGTAGAATACATATTGATGACGATTACAAAAGACCGTCTTCTCCAATCGATAGACTGAAGAATCTTTTCGGCGGAGTCACCTCAAGTACAACGCCTAAGAAACCGACCAATTCCGTCTATTCATCAACCAACACCTCACGCTACAACTCGGGACTGCCAACTTCAACCCAATTCAAACGATACGGCGGAGGATGGTTCTAAAACCGGTTAAAAATATATATTACTACGGCATTTGTCTAATGTTATGCTCAATTAAAACAATAAAGGTTCTTTATAATAACATTCGACAATAACAACGAACAGCTAACAACAATTTCATCAAAAGCCTGTCGTCCTCTGTTTCTTTAGGTCTCGATAAGCCTGGATGACCTTCAATCGTTCCTGATCATCCACTTTTTGTTTTGTTTTCTTCCCAAAAGAATGCTCATCCAACTCCATTTCAATGCCCTTCTTTTCTACCGAGTTCCCCATCAGTTTCTTCAACAGGAGGTCCTTACTTCCTGCCTGTAATTAAAGCTATTTTAAGTGAAGAACTCATCACGCGTAAACATCAATGTGTTACTTACTTGTGCATACAATGGATCCATTGTTTTTCTGAAGGATTCGAATTTAGGAGGGGCATCAGCAGTTTCTCCGAACGGTATAATCTCTAAGAAAATCTTGTATTAGGTAATTCAACTCACCTCTAGCGTTCAATAACAAATCCTTTTCTTCATCTTCTCTCTGGATCCGTCGCTTCAACTGTTTCCGTTCTCGCTTATTCAGCCTTCTCCGCTTCTTGCCAATTTCTTGTTTATCGTTATCTTCAATCTTGAAGTTTTCTTTCTTCTTATTTTTATCGCTTCCTTTTTCATCCACTTGATTAATTGATTCTGCTTCAGAATCCACCTCTTCCTCATCTTCAGCGTCTTCTGAATCCTCTTCCGAATCCAAATTGGCCATCTTTCTAACTTTTGATTGTTTAAATTTTTCCTCCTTCTCTTTTAATTTGAGTTTCTTTTCCCTCAAGGCTATTTTTGCTAGTTTCTTCCGTTTCGCGGTCTCATCCAATTGTCTAAATTCTTCGTCGAGTTCTTTGGCATCTCTACCTGCCTTTCCTGCTTTCACTTTCATCATTTCGTCGTCCAAAGCTTTGTTTTTTGTTCTCATTATTCTCTTGGTTAGCTGCTCCTGATCTTCCCAGGGTCTTTGATGGAAACCCATCCTGGACGTTAGCTCTAAAAATCTTTGAATTACTCGAAAACATATAATCCTTACCGAGGAATTTGTTTTTGTTTCTCTTATTCCTCTTCCTCTTGATATCGATCCCATCCTTCAAAGCCTGCTTAGCTTGTTCAAGATCCTTGAGTCTTCGAGGAATCATTTGCTCATCAATCTCATCTAAAGTTGGCGGCCTATTCTTCCTCCTAAATAATGAACTAGTTTAAATCAAATTGCTTACCTAAGGTCGACCTTTCCCGGCCCCTTGCCTTTGGTCATCGGGTCACTGGCCTTGATTTTGGTGTTCTTTTTTACCGGGTATCTTCGATGTCTCATGATAGCAGCTGAAAAGAGAATTATATATAGCCAAAACAAGCAATTTGGCTCAAAAAGAAGAGCGAAGCACAAAAAAAATAAAAAGAAACGAGCCGAAAACGGCCTCATACGGAAAGCGGCCGAAAAAAGAGCCAAGAGTGGCTTTTGTGGATTCGTTTTCGGCCCTTTCCTCCAGGCAAACATAACTATAGGTTTTAGTTGGTAGTAAAAATTCAACAAGAAATTGATCAAAAATTTTTGATTTTTTGTGAAACGAAATGCCAGAACCACAAATTTTTCGGGAATTTTTATGGATTTAAACGGTTTGATAGTGTACGTATTAATTTGTAATGTTCTAACGAATATATGGCAAACATGTTTACTTTCAGCATGCTACAATGGGGTTTTCTTTTCGTATATTGATAGTTGCGCTTCTATATTGTACTTCCACATCCGCCAAACACTGTGATAAAAGCGAATTTGTTTATGAGTATACGAAATGTGATAACAATGGCCAAAGATGGAGAGTAGCTCTTCCAAAATTCCACAGCCTTCAGTGTGACAACATTCCTTCTCTCCAAGATGGGGTCAACTGCAGTAAGTATATTTTAATATTTTTTAATAAAAACTTACAATGTTTCACTAATTGTTAATTAAGGTTTTTCATGCCCGGCGGGTTACTATCTGAACATGGAGAATCAGCAATGTATGGGATGCCCAGCAGGTGCTTTCTCTTGAAATCAATTCATTCCTCTTGTTTAGGGTCATATAGCCTCGGGGATGGAGTTAGATACGATGGATTCAGCGGTTTGCCGGAAGGATTCTCTATTGAAAACTTTGTGGATGACTCTGCACAATTATTTGGGACATCGCAAAGTTATACATGTCCAAAAAGGTAGATCAGACAGAAATTTCTTTCTGTTTTTATATGGTATGTTTAATCATTGCGTCATCTTTAAGCTCGGGCTGGGTGGTGGAAGATGGAGAGCTCAGGTATAACCCAACCTCATGTGTATCTCGACTCAGCATCTCTGTTCATCTTGTGAAAGATGGCTATGTTGAGATCTTTTACCAACTTCCAAAGAATCGGCATTCTCTTGTTAGTGATTTGGTCATAAGAAATGAGCAATGCGAGAGTTATGGGTGGGAATATTTTTAAAACATTTCAGTGTTTAGAGCTCCTGAAGTATTTAAAAAACGCAGACCAGTGGACGAAGACATTTCGACCGGCAACGATTGGCATCTGAAGCGCTTTAATGTGAGACGAGGCCAGAATCTGATAGTCTGGACAATTGTGTCCAACAAAGAACTGACCACTCTTGCTGATGTTGTGAGGGTACCCAGGATTGACATAATTGGATTACCCTTTACGCCTGTTTGCACTCAATGTCCAGCTGGAAGTTACAGTAATCCCAAATCATCACAATGTTTCGGCTGCCAGGCTGGATTCTTCAGCATCAAGGGGTCACCGTCGTGCACAGCTTGTGGAGTTAACGAATATTCTGGTAGGACTATTAAACATTCATCTATTCATATCATAGGACCAAAATCTGGCAAATGTTTAACCCGCCCTACCTGTCAAACTCTCGATTTTTATCCAGTCTACGGTAAATGTGATGATGGGAAGTTGAAGGTGCATCAGGCAAAGGGGGAGCCCAATGTTTGCATCAATGCAAACCAGCAGGTACTTTTATTTGGCTGTTGTATATATTCTAGACACCATCTTTATCTTCTGAACCCTGCTTTAAATGCCATGCGGGGACTAAAAGACAAGAAGGAGTGTGCGTAGCTTGTGCAAAAGGAGAGTTTTCTGACGGTGAAAGTTGCAACAAATGCCCCAACTCCACAATTCCTGAATACGGTCTCTATTATACAAATTGGGAGAGAATGCCGGAAGCAATGGGGTCGGGATGTGAGTATGTAATGGCAGAAGATCTGGGGGATTGCCCCGTTAAAAATGGATGGATTCCCTACGGTAATCGGATTGAAAGTTCGATGACTCGTGCTCGAGGCGTAGCTCTAGAGTTGTCGTTGAATGTGACTTACGGATTTTTTGATCCGTTGCGGAGTTCTGATGTGAAATTAAGTGCATCTGATCCTGTGGCTAGGCTTGATTTTGAATTCGAACTTCAATGTCGCGACGCAAGCTGCCAATTATACGTTGTTTTGGTCGATCTGGTAAGTAAAATATCTAGCAAACGTAAGCCGGATTTAAAGAGCGAGACGGAAAAAAGAGATGGATTTAAATTTCTGGAAGCCTTCAGCGGCAGCCAGAAGAGGCAAGTGAAGTCCTATTCCATCATCAAAAAGTCCCCCGTCAAACTTGTCTTTGCCTTTATGAGATCAGGCGCCAGTCGGGGAGATGATGCCCTCGGGGACAAAGCTGTTATGTATGCCCTAAACCTCACTAATGTTGCTGATCAGACTAAAAAAGGGAATATTGGTGGGGCCAGAAGGTGTCGGCCTTGTCCATCAATCAAAGGAAGCAACGGAGAATGCAAGCCCTGCCCTCCAGGGCATTTCATCCAAGAAAAGGTATACTGTAATGTCATACATAGTACATTTTATTTTATGATTTTACAGACTAATGAATGCGTTAAATGTCCCGATGGAACTGCCTTAAATACAACCTCAAATAAATTAGGAGTGGAGAGTTGTGTTAAATGCCCTGAAAATATGGGATCAGTGGGTCAAAGCGAATGTGGATTTACTGGGAACATGGACTTGGATGTTGAAGGGAAGAAGTTGCACTTTGATCTGACCCCATTAAAGAATCAGTAAGTTGATCTTTTACAGCTCTCTTGACATTCGTTACTTAATTTTTTCAATATGAGATGCGGGTATTTGGGTATATACCCGGATATATACCCCGTCCTAACCCCACTCCGGAGAAGCGCGGCTGCCCCAATCCTTGGCATTGAGACTATTTGAAATTACATGTTTTCAGCCCATTAACAGCCAGCGGGATTAAGGTATTTCCTCGAGAAGGGAGTTCGTATTATCATTCCTTCAATATCAGCATATTCAATGAACCTGTGGTTTGTCAAGACAGCTATGACAGTGGCCTTATGGACTCATTGGGTCCGTTGGGAATCGACTTCCAAGTATCCGATTCCCGGCCATTCTTTTGTAGAGCGACGGCAATTCCTGGGGCTAAGAAGTTTAATTCGACCAACAAGGTTTCCTTCGTATCATCATTTATGTAAGTTTCCAACTGCCAAATTCTTATCAAAGTCGGATTGGTTTTTGATTTCAGAATATCCTCAAAACTTGCAGTCATCACTCAAAACAAGACATACAAGGGATTCCGGCTTGAAGACAAACAGCTCGAATACGGTAATAGTAACCTGTAATCCAAAGAAGACAATTCAGACCTGTCTGCAAGGTCGTCTTCACGACCCATTGATGTTCATTTTTTCTTCGAACCGAGTCCCAGTAAGAGCTCGAGTTGTCCAAATGGGACAATTGGCGTGGTTACAACCAGATGTGAGCCCTTGGTCGTCACATCGCCAGAAGTGCGGCTCTCTCGAAATTGTCCTGATGGTACCTGTGATGGATGTCTCTTCCATGTTATAATTGAGAGTTCATTTGCTTGTCCTATTTGTGATCCTTCAGACTTTGATGAGATTAAAGGTGAATGTTTGGAGGGGAAACAAAAGATCCATTCCATACCGTCAAAGTAAGTTCAATGCGCTTTAATGGGAATATTCTGCCTATTACTACGTACCTATCACGCCCCATGTTTTAGGCATTGTGTTCTGAGTGGAATGCAAAGCCGACAGCGCGTAGAAGCTTGCTCGAATGTCAACTCCAATGTGAAACTTCTGTTTATTTTGGCTGCCCTGTTGATCTTATTCCTTGTTTTGATCATCGTCGCTTTCCATCGACGAAACAAAACGTAAGAAAATTTGTAAATAAAAAACCTTTAAGACTGGAATATCGATACATGAGGATTGTGGAAGGGAAAGAACCGGATGATGTGAATAGCTGTGGTCTGACCAGTGATGAGGAGGAAGAGGAAGACGACAAAAACAGGACAAAGGTGTTCTTCAAGAAGAAGAACCAAAAAGAAGAGGGCAGTGTTCGCGTATCCACCACGAGAACACCCAAAGGAGCTCTTCTCGACGCAGAAACCAACGATTTCCTATCCGATGACTCATCTTAATCTGTTTCCTCTCACATCTATACGATTACATTCCATTCCAATGTTCTTTATCATCTCCGCATTTCATTCCGGGCAAGAGAATCTCATCCACTTATCTCGATCTATTTAATACTATTTATTCTGAATGGTCACTATCACCACAACCAAAGCGGGTACAAACAAAGTCCCATTTTTATGAAAGGTAATAAAAGAAAGCTGAACAAACCAAATGGTCTTGATCTCCGTCCAAGCACATTAACAGTACAGAACCTCATTTCTCACTCGAATTTCACAGGTGCCTTGAAAATGCTGACTATCGGCCTACTATTTTATCTTATTCATGTAATATTATCTGATGATGTTGAGATAGACCCCTGGGACTTGGCCTATTTAGAAAACTTTGGAGGACAAATTCAACAAGTTACAAAACCACAAGTTGATTTGATCCGGAAGCCCCCAATTGTCGAAGAAAAAGAACAACCTGCAAAGAAAACTTTGGGCCCTGATCTTGAAATTCGCGAAACCAAAACGATTTGTGAAGATAGGGCGGCCAATTGTTTTGCCATACAGAAACAATGCACGGAGAGTTCCTATGATGACATGATGTTCGAAAATTGTGCCAGGACTTGTGGCTATTGCGACTGTCGCGATTTATCAACACGGTAAGAATTAAACTATTATAAAAGCGATTATAGTTGTGCCTACTGGGAGATCAATGGATTCTGCAGCTCTCTTATACACAGCCAAGCCGTTAAGAAAAGAACCTGTGCCAAGACTTGCAAGCTGTGCGACTAATTTTTCATGTATTTATATCACCGTGAATTAATAAAACAATCGCAATAAATTAATGTATATATACACAGAGTCATCATGCCGATTCAACGACCATAACCTTCGCAATATCATCCAGTTCATATGTCCGTTTCAAATACGAATCAGTGATTCGTATGCCAGACAGAGACTAAAACATATTTTACACCTAGCGGTAGCAATCGGGCCGGCCTTACCACGTCGGGCCCTTAAGGTTGAATTTGCAAATAAACGAAAAAATTTTAGTACTAAAAGAGCGAAACAAAACGCATTTTTGAAAAATTAATGGATGGTATTAGATTAAGCCTTTTTACTTTAGTTTTTAAAACTCCCAAATTCCTTATTATGTATACATGAAATCGCACCGAAATATGCGGAGGGTTGCAAAAACATGTTTGAACTTTTGGGTGGTGAACTAAAAGAATTCATTTACTCGATGATGAGATGTAAATTAAAATGTCTATGCAATCTGTGATTAGACATATGGTATTGTCACGGTTGCAAACTTCCTAGGATAAAGAAAATCCGTAACACGATCCAACTTTTTGGCTACCTTCACGGCTATTCCCGACGTTTGGCTTACTGTTTTAATTTCGCACATACATACGTAAAAAGAATTCCGGAAAGCATAAAAGTTTACAGTAAACCGGGCTTTCACTATTCCAGGCCTGACAAGGGAATGGTCTGTACTTCCCACAGGGTTTGGAGAAATGACTAGTACAGGTGGATAGAGCAGGTCAACGTTGGTAAAAAGAGTCATTTTGGTGCGGATATTTGAAACAGAAGGGCAAAGAGAAATTTTAACAAAAAATTTTTCGTTGTTTTCTGGTGCACCTATTGGGGTTCCTCGATGGCTAAACTTCAGCCAAGGCTTGATCACAAAATTTTGGTGGGTATACGATGCCTGCAAAGAATGCTTGCCAGACCATAAGGATTGCGTTAGGCCATTTCTTGTCGTAGCTGAGTTAAGATACGGCCAGCGGCTGCCATATCTCCGCCGAACGCTTGATAAACACAAAAAGTAGCAAGTATCTTCATTTCAACCGTCAAAACCCACAAAAAAGCGTTTATGATGGGTGTGATGACCAAAAAGCGATCAAAAGTCTCTGCCGAATTCAGTGTTTTCCGCGTCGGCGGAGAAAATGATTTTCTTAGGCAAAAAACCGCCCATCTTCTTCTTTATCCTGCAAAAAGAATTTTTTGGATATCGTGACTTAGCGCCAAGAAATCGATAAAAACTTTCCGCGGAATTTCTTGAAACACCCTGTATAAAAAATTTTAAACAATGACTAATTGGGGTACAGACCGTTTAAAAAACGTATGGATACCCGTCTCTACGACCAAACGAGTATAACTTCGACGTTCCATCGCTTCGTAGGTTCGGAGACATCCAAAATATTTATTCTTTCGACGATTATTGTGTTTTGGCTATAACGCCCCTTATTGCAAAATGATTTCTTCGTTTATTAGAGTTTTGCGTTTGGTCCAAACACTAGCGGAAGTTCAGACCATTCCCTTATAAGCAAATTTGAAAAGGTCCAGGGCCGGCCTGACTACTTCGGTCTGGCCCGATTGCCACCTCTTGTTACCCTAGTCCCATTATCTCACCTGCAGTCCATGTTTTAATGGGAGAACTTCCAAAGAGAACTGGACAAAAGTATTTGGAAGTACTTGACCCAATCTGAGACCACTTAGCGATGCAATCAGAAAAGGGCGATCATCCTGGTTATCCACGGTCAAGACTAGATCCAGAGATCTCTCGCTAAACATAAGGAAGACCATTCCTGGGAAATCCGCAGGACTCACCAGCAATTGAGAACTTTACACCTGACTGTGAAGAGATTGTGTAATTCTATTTTTCCCGGAATCGATTCAATCAAGAGTCTGATATCTCCATACGACGGGGAAACCCGAGTCAAGGGACTCGTCTGAAGACGTCCAGGCTCACCCATCATCGTTCGCCATGACATATCTAACTTTCCAATGGCGGTAACCCCGCGGAAATCGGCCAAAGAATGATCGGTTGTATTGGGAGTAAGGCAAAACAGATATTGATGGACTTCTCCAGAATTTAAATGAATCGGAGAATCTCTAAAGCAATAAAACATTATAGTGCTACAACGGGCATAAACCATAACGTTCAGATACCATAATGGGCATTTCAAGAACCCGTTCGAATTTCATAGATATTTTTACACCTTTGTATTAGGTTGTCCCACAAATAATGTCGTTTTCGAGAGGGGTAGAGCCCAAAGTCCATAAAAAACGTAAACAACAACAAAATTTTACGATATTGCACAATTTTGTAGCCGGGATCACAAGGTTTCGTTCAAGGTAAGATTTGACATATTTGGATGAAATTACAGTAATTTAGCCCCATTCCAAAATTATGGAAAAAAGTTCGATTCGTGCCGTCATCTTGTACGAGCAAAAACAGGGTATAAAAGTTACAGGAGTTACACAAAATATCAACGGCGTGTTCGGCTAGTCCGATGTGAGTCTGAACACGGTGAAACAATGGTTCAAAAAATTTCGATCTGACGGTGAGGGACTCAAAGATAAAGTCCGGCACCCGAACTTTATGAATTTACCCTGGGGCCATTACTCGTCAGATATCCTAGAATCAACATCCAACGCGTCTCTGACATCGTCTGGGTGTTGAAATAATCGGCGGCTAACCGTTGGAAGTCGATGGAATTCAACAAAATGCTCGGCAGCTTTTTCCCATATTAATGGACCGAACCACAGAATGGAGGTGTCACGTTTGTTGCTTTTACAATCTGAAGAGCCGGGTTTTCTCGATTGGATCGTGACCCGTGATGAAGAGTAGATCCTGTACGACAACCAGATGTGCCCAATGGAGTCCCCTGAGGGTACCAACACGGAACTTGGCAAAGCGAGCCCCCATAAACAAGGTGATGGGCACTGCTGGATGGTGCAGCAGGGGTATCTCACAATACAGCTCGTTGAAAGTTGGCCAAAATGTAAATGCTGTGTCCTGCTGTATTCAGATAGACAGCTTATGGCAGAATATGCCTTTAAAAACACGCCGCGGAATTCCAAAGGTCCTAGGCGACGATGCGCAACACCACGTTGTAAAGACGACGCTCCAGGAGTGGAGATACGGGACTCTCCTTCGTCCGGAGTACTCACTAGGCATGTCTCAAACAGATTGTTACCTTTCCAAGAGTCTAATGGGTTTGATCCGTGGTAGGGAATTTATGAATCAAGACCTTGTTTAATGGGCCTTCAAAAATTTAATCGGCTCCAGAAGCCGGGGTTTCAAAGCCACTGGCAAAAAATGCTTTCAACGCGTTGCAATAGCGTGGTATAACACATCGTGATTATTTTGATCAAAAATATCTTCGTTATTACGGTAAATTTCTTTGTACAAAAAATCTTTTGAAGAACGACATTATTTGTGGGACAACCTAATAAAAGTGTAATTCGGAAAAAGTACGAATTGCAAGTGTATATTTAAAAAAGTTTAACTTTGAAAAGCGTTAATTTTTATGTAACACGTTTAGAAATAATGTTACATTGGCATTTGTTCTAAGTGTAAAAACGTAAGTGTAGGATTTTTTAAATGTGTAACGTCGAAGAAAGTTTTGAAGATTGAACTTTTAACAAGTTCAAATCAAAAAGTACACATTTTCAAAGTATACACTTTTTATTTTTACACTGACATTAAAATTTTTAGACATTAGAAATTTAAAAATATAACATCATTTCTAACAGTGTTACATCAAAATTAAGAACCTTTTTTCAGAGTTTCATTTTTTTTGAAAAATTTACACTTACAATTCATACTTTTTTTCTAGTTACACTTTTTCTAAAAAGATGTAAGGGGATTTATGACACTCAAAATCTCGAAATCTGCCCATTACGTACGAACGCGACAGTTTACGCTTATCGCACGGCAATTTGCTTTCTGAAAAAAGATTAAATCGACGTTTTCTAAAAAGTTATGTCGATTTTGAAAATTTTGACGGATTATGAAATTCCACGCTTTAAACTATCCTAAAATGAAGAGGATCCGGGTTAAAACCTTTAGATCTTGACGAAAGACCGAAATTTTCATCATCGGGATACTGTAATACCCGGAATATTTTCGCTACCTTCCTGGATAAAACCGTGACCCTGCAGCAAATTTTTGTTCCATTTTTTGTGGAGAAAAATCGGTGTGCTTACCGGTCTTGAGAAACAAGTTCTTTTCGCCCATACAACTCCGAGGGATCAAGCGCAACCTTTTCCATTATCATTGGATTCACGCATAAGTTTTGAATTTGTGCCTCCAGATACACATCGTTGTTCTGAATCAATAAAATAAGGTCAGTTTTTAAATGCTTGCTTACCAAGTGATCTTCTGTGTTAAAAAATTTTGTACGGACATCAATTGGTTTTTGTACAGGAAATTTAAAAAACTTCCGAAATGAGTACTCCTTCTCCTCGATGCAGTATGTTACAGTACATACCAAACTAAAAACATGTTAATTATGCTCGATGCACTCACATATGCTGCCCAGTTTCCTTTATTTCGTGTGATACCGTGTTCCCCACAAATCTTTTTGGTTCAAGATCCTTTCCGGTACTCAATTTACAATCCAAGGAAATTTTTTGACTTTGCGTCTGTATGTCTGTCTAACAAAAGTTTTTAGGCAGAAGGGGTATAAACAAACCTTTAATTTCACATTGTTGCATAACTGATCGCTTTCGTTAAGGACAGCCACATAGAAAGTAAATGTTTCGCCCAAGTAAATGTTACTAAAATTTATGACACATCAGTTTACAAGAAAACCTACTCTATTGTTTGAGGGGCCATCAAAAACCCACTCAAAGGCACCTCCATGCTTTCTTTGCCATGAGCTTTTGTGACAACTTCATTTATAAGATTCGAAAACTCGTCCGCTGGATCTATTCCCATTGAACAGCTCTCATGGAACTTCGGCCTTGCCAATCTCATAACTAAACGCAAATTAAAGCCTCAACCGAAACCACAAACCTCTTAATGTTAACAAATGAGGACTGTTCTTCGGACTAGACGCCATTTTGGCCGTTACACCTAAATTTTTATTTACCCCCATGAAGAAAGAAGTATTTCATCGACAAGGAATTCGAATTTATATCTGCTAAACTAACTCTTGACAAAATAACCATCCAACGAAGGAGACCTTTAACAATTCATTCGGGAAACTCGTAAACGAAAACAACCAAGAAAAAATAATTTTGACGCGTCCTTCTCAAATTGAGATTCGCACGATTGGGAACGGAAAACAACGAATAGCCAACAGCAAACGAGTTCAACGAAAAGCTTGATCTAGGCCTCTTGTTTCTCCTCAGCCTTGGCTTCTGTTTTTGAGGCTTCTTCGAAGTCGCCAACGAGATCTAAAAAAACTTGTAAGTATGTGCATATTAATCTCAACAGTAACCTTAATACCAATAATTACCTGGTATTTCTTCTTCTCCCGCTTTGTATTGGCTGGTAACATTGTTGGCCAGCTTCTTCAAGTGGGTCAGTGATTCAGCACCCAATTGGTTTAAGATTCCTGGGAGCATTTCCGTCAATTCTAAAAAAAACACAAGATTAACCATGAAAATATAGAACAACAGCAATGCATTATAAACGTACGTTTGTTTTCAGCAGTTCCGGTAACCGAAAATGTGTTAGCAGGAACCGAAGCCTGCACCTTCGGATTGTTGAAATGGATAACAGATCCATCATCCTTGATCATGTTGACCTCCTCGATACCGGGAATGTTGGTCACGGAGAGCTTCTTCAAATTACTCTGGAGCTTCTTGTCATCGGTGGCAGCGGTTTTATGTACAATCTTCTTCTTTCTTCTGGCGGTTCCCTAAAATTACATAAAGATAAAAATTACTGATATTGCCTAAAAACCGCAAATCAAATAAAATTCTGACCTTTCCTCCAGTACGAACAGCCTCAGAAGCTGCCTGGAGCTTCTTTATTTTCTCAGCGTTCATGAGTAGTACAAGTTTCGACCGAGTTCTCGAATGACTTCTGAAAGGAAAGAGTTGTACGACTTAAAATAGCGTTGTAATAATCAATTTTCCGTAGGTCGAAAAACTGGTTTGCAAAAGCCAAACATTATACTAGAGCCAAGCTAAAAAATAGAAAACAAAAATTCGCAAAAAATCCGCGCTCTATTCGCAGCGCCTCGATTGACACATGAAAACGCAAGAAACCCGAGATCATCATATCAAAAATCAACAAAAAGTTTATCAAAGCGATCGTAGGCCTTCGCGGAAAATACAGAGTCGAGGGGTCACACTTCTGGCATTCAGTCTTATTTTCGTGGCAGGAGAGAGCAGAGATTGGTGTGTTATTTTTTCTTTTTTTTTGTTTGTCGTCTCATCTGACCATCTGACGTCTGCTCAGGTCTACAACAGGGTTCAGTGTTGCATACTCCACAAAGGTATTTTTTTGGGTTGCTTAATATTTTAGTTTTTTTATAAGTGAACAATATGGCCGTCTACACATCTATTGGGCCTTGAAATTTTGAAACAGGAGAATTTCCTGAGAATAGATAGGAGAATTTTTTATTGTTAGTTTGAGGCGTAGTAACAGCCAGCGTTTATCGCGATCAATGGTTTCTCTTGGACTTAGGTAGCAAGGGGCGGATGACGTAATTCTAAAAATTTCCCGAAGAACGGATAAAAGAGGAGGAGACAAAGGTAACGGTGAATGACTCATATGTTAACAAAGTCTCTCTCTTGCGCTCTCACGTTGAAATTGTCTCTTTAACAAACGTTCTATGAGAACTGATTAGAATTTTTACTTATTATTTTCAATAACTCTCCTTTTTCAGATGAGTGTGTTCTCCAATTTATTCAGCAAGAAGAAAGAGGTCACCCCATCAACTCAAGATGCTCTCCAAACCCTTAGAAACACTGAGGAGATGCTTCTAAAGAAGCAGGAGTATATTGAAAACAAGATTGAACAGGTAACGTATAATTCTGTGTATCTTTTAGTCCAATTTAGGAATTAAAAACTGCGCGGCAGCATGGTACCAAGAATAAACGGTTGGCTCTTCAAGCTCTGCGCAACAAGAAAAAGTTAGAGAAACAACAAGAAATGAATGATGGAATGTTGAACAGAATTCAGCATCAGAAGGAAACACTCGAGAATGCTGCAACGAATGCCGAAGTTTTGCAAGTTCTGGCTGGATCAGCTAAGGCTCTCAAGGGAGCTCATAACAATATGGATGTGGATAAGGTTCATGATCTTATGGAAGACATTGCTGAACAACAAGAAGTTGCGAACGAGATCGCTGATGCCATCTCCAGTAATGTTGGAACCGCTGAGTTTGATGAAGATGAACTTTTGGCCGAATTGGAAGCTTTGGAAGAGGTAAGCTAATTTGAATAGCATGTATTTTAAAATGGTTGTGTAATTCTTGCTATTTATAGGAGGATCTCGATAAACAACTTCTGGCAGCCGGTCCCGCCCCAGTTGCAGATGTTCCCTTGCCCGTTGCCCCAACCGATGCCCTTCCAAAGGCTAAAGGAAAGTCAAAAGAAGAAGATGAGATGGCTCAACTCCAAGCGTGGGCAGATTCATAAAAACGAAAATCGTACAATGATAACGAACCTTTCAAATCCCCTCTAAACCTTCTATAAATTACTTGTACATTAAATTTATTGATTTGAAATAATGAGACCAGATCAACTGATGACCATGTCTTCAGCAGAAAGGTCCGTGAGGTAGTATCCCCAATATCCGACGTTGAATATGAAGTAGGCAGTGGGAAAAAGTATTGCGCTGAAATATAATATGTCATATTAACATAAGCGGCATACAAACAGATAGAATAATTCTAGAGGAAGTCGTCGATTCCTGTTTTTGATTACTTACCTGTATTTGTCAACTTTCTCGGGGTTTGACATCTTCATGCTATTGAGGACATCGTAAATGGATAGGAGTATTCCGTTCTTGGAATGAGTTCTCGATTTGCTGAATGTGCATTGAAGAGGAGGGTCGGATATGGGCTGAATAATGGGCGGGTGGTCCTTTATCTCGGTGACGGGCATCTCGTCGTTGTTGTTCCGCAGACTTGCACACTGTTTTTCCACCCAGAATTGACGCAATCCTATCCTAGGGCTGGGCATTTCCTTCCAGGAGAAATCATCGTCCGCTTTTTTTCGTATCGATGCTCTCCGTGGTAGACCATCGTTTCGTGACATAAATCCAACTACAGCCAGCTCAAGAAGACTCATGAAGATGAACATCATGCCAGACAACATCCACACATCAATAGCCTGCATTAAAGTTTTAATTGTTTGATCTTAACATACCTTTACGTACGATACCCTGGGAAGATTCCTGATGATGTTGCCAAATTGAAATGTCATTGCTAAAAGCAGGGTTAGTAAGAGTTCGATTCCTTACCTAGTAGAGAGTTGACTCCTAACATTGTTCGTGCTGGAATGGCTTTCGAGCCGAGGTAGAACGAAATCCAAGAGATGAAGATGGTTACGTAACTAAATAAATATTTTGCAAGTAATTGAGTCCTTACGTAGGTATGTATCCCTGCAAAATATACCATCCAAATCGTCGTTTAAAGACAAATGCGACCGTCAACTCATCCCACCAGCCTGCTGGATACATCTGCTCGATGGCGATGACACTATAATTGACTAAAACAAAGTCGGGCAATTCTATGGATTTGAGCAACATGACTGGATATGGTTGATTCCACTGCATTCTTACTTCGCCAGTGTTATAATTGAAGGACTCGAACGTTAGGAAACATTTCTGTTGATCAAAAGGAAATCTAAATCGAATGAGATGATTATTTTAATTTTATATTTCTTTTATTATATTTGAGCTTTATAATCATCTAAATAGCGGCAGGACCGATAAACGCTGACTTTGAGTTCTCGGAAAATGTCTAAGTAAAGCTGGTCATGTCCAGACTTAGGCTCAAATATTTGTGCGCCTCATAACAAAATGTAATTACGTTAGAGTAACAGGATTCCATATAGCCCTTTAAACTTGCACGTTAAGCTCTAGGGTTAGTTAAAAAGACTGCGAAATGTATTGTGCAACAAAAAGACACTTGTTTTAAGTAGTTACCTTTTTAAGTTCATATCACACGGACCCGTTACTTTCATCCTGTAATTTACCCATACTGTACCGTTTGAGAGGACCATCAAGAAAACATTCCTAAAACCAGAGGATTTATAACAAATGTTGAAAAACTTCGTGATGACTAAGTTTGCAAGATTGCTGACTTACCTGAACGGACTTTCGTGAATGGCTGCGTTTTTTGAATTTATGAAACCTAAAGCAAATCTTCGTTATAATAAAGTCGCCAGGCGCTCACATGTGTTAGGTATCCAAAGTTTTTGCAGCACTTTGTCATCGAAAGATATATTGTTCTTGCATGGATTCATATAATTGAATGCTAATGCAGGATCTTCCCAGAATTCGTTAATATAAAGATCTAAACAGTTCGTTGATCGATCCAATATTTTACCTATTTCAAAATCCTGAGTCAGCTCACTAACTGCGGTTACTTCCTGCACCCACATATCTACTCTAACGCGCACCGGATATGCAGGGAGATAATGTTTGTTGTAGGCTTCCTTCAGGAGATTGTCTATCACTTCCGTGTCGTTGGCACAATTACTGGGTAGATGCGGTTTACCCATGCCACCGTAAGAGCTGAGTAATTCGGTCAGGAAGGAGACCATCACCCAGCCCGGATGACTCATCTGCAAGAGTCAGATGAGGAAATTAATCAGCTCCCTCAACATGAGGACTAAAACATACGATTTAGATGGCACTCCCAAGTTCAACCTCGAGTCAGCACGGAGACCCATACAAAAGGAACAAGGTGGAGGGCATAACTTTCTGTAAAATGAAATTATACTCTGAAAGGGAGAATGACAATAAGCGACAAACGAATCATGTTCTCGCGGCGAAGATTTAGTAAAACGCTGTGCAAGGTCCAGGGCCTGGGGCTCCTTTAAACCTCAGCACCCTAACCAAAACGAACTTGACGGGGTCGTGGAATTGAATTTGCTCTCCTTCTCGTGCATATGAAGCACAGAAGGAGACTCGCTTCGACGACGTCACGGAACTTGGTCCACAGAATTCAGGGCTCCAGTCCTAAACAGGGATGAAATATCAGCCAGGCAATAAAGCTGCACTCTCATATCCTTATAAGCAAAGTTTCGTTCAGAAAGGTGGCGACTTCTTATTTGCCTCCGGCACTTAAAAACCTTCGTCGAGTGTCACTTTTGCCTGAGGGCTCAGCTCATTTTCTCTCCGTGGAGATTTCGAAGCCGGCTGACCGTTGTCCTTTTCCTTGACCTGAGCCCAACAAACAGGTTCGATTAAGAAGGGATTTAGAGGATCTGTCCAAAAAAGCAAGAAAACATTCGGATGTGCGAAGTTTTAATAAACAAACATCGGAAATGTAGGACCTCCTTCATTGGTTAATAAACTTCTGATTGGCTGCAAAGACGCGCCTTGTGAGGCCAAGAGGTAACAATTGCATTCAGTTCTCCCAAACTTTTTGTGAAAACGGGCGCCGAGGGGATATTTGGCGAACGGAAGCAATTTTCAACAGAAAGTGCGCAGCATCGGTTGAAACAGGAAAGGAGCAGTCTGCAAAGGTGACGAGTAGCATACAGCATCACCCTCTCAAGTACTCAACGACTCTCCTCGGAGTAATCTCCGCCAATTACAACGGCTTTCCCAAGTCTTCCTTCTGTTTTATATTTTCTAATCACGCTTGGCAAACAAAAATGTATGATGTAACCGTGTTACGGAGAGATAAAGATCATCCATAATCATACGAGCCGCTTGAAGGGTTTTTAATTAAAGGGAGTACGGTAATCCCGAGGTTCAGAAGGCCTCTGAAACAAAAGGAAACTGAGCTCAAAATTTTTTAAATGTCCTCGGGCATCTAATGTCCTGTTTGTGGGACGAAGAAATTTAAATTTAAAAGTGGTGTAAGCAAAGAGTGCGCGATTTATTCTTTTAATGCCTGTGATGTCCTCACAAAACAGACTCCCGTGGGGAATCAGGACCAGAACGATGCGGAACGACGCGAGAAAAGAACAAGGCGCGGAGGTCATGTTTTAAACGGGACACTTGGAGACATAGGTTGGCATGAGCGATGACATCTCCGATTAGACCGCGGCTGCTTCCGGCGCTTTCCTCGGCTGCGGCCACGTGGAGCCCAGGGTATGTAAATCAGCTCGAATTCTGCTTCCGGCAGCCCTGCCTCGAGAATCCCGTCAAAAAAGGGGGTGACCGGTTTTGAGTGAGCGAAGCCGACCAACTCTCTGAATTCGAGCTAACAAGAAGATGCTCCCCTCTCCGCTTTTTGGCTTTTTATGATTGAAACTGTGTAAAATCTTTTGGTTTATATTTGTTGTCCTGAGATCCATTGATCTGTGCATTCTGACTGTGTCTTAGAACTCTTTGCTCTTTGTTAATGAAGTTCAAAACTTACTTGAAAAACCATTACTCGCAGAGTAACCTTAAATAATATAACCTCTGCAGGAACAAGATCATTAATCAAATGACATTAAAATTAATTTGTCTCAAAAATATAAAAGGCGGCCTGGCAGACCGATCTCCCGTCTTTGATCATGAATTTTTACATCCTGCCATTCCTTGTCTCCCTGGTCTCTGCCCAGTATTACTATTACCCATACACAAATCAGTACAACTTCATCAGTGGGGATTCTCCCAGCCGCGCAGCTCCACGACCTCCATTTCGGAGACCACCTCCGCCAGGGCGGTTTGTTGCTTCACCTGTTGTAAATGGACCACCACAAAATCCAGAAAATCACGGGTATGAATGTCTAACAAATATAAAAGACACATTTACTTTAGAGTATTACTTGGTGCAGCGATCGGAGCACAAGTTGCAGCTCAGTTAGGCTGAGGCGGATTCTAATGACTCCAAACTTTCAACACTTGGCTTAAAATTTGAAACAGCCTCTATGAAGTGTTTGATTCGCAATAAACCTATTCTTGCGTGTATTTGTGAAATAAACGTCATTACCTGCATACTGATCGATTCCTGGTTGATTGTGAAAGCTATTTCTGTTCTTGGAAAGCACAGAAAGGAATAAGTAAATAATAAAGAGCGGATCATTTCGTGAAAGTTTTCAACAAATGATTACCTCTTCAAGGCCGGATAAAACGGCAATTGTCGCGGAAATATGCAGTCCACAAGGGATATTGCGCAAGACAGGTTGGAAACTACAGTAACCAGAAAAAACATTGCGTTTAGTGAACAGGGCCCAATTTCCTAATCGAATTTTTGGTCGAAAAATTCGACTTTCAAGGTCAAGCTATGCAAATTTTGCTTCAAAAATACGAAATTCTTGGGAATTTTATTTTTTTTATATTATAGTTATAAAAACTCGACTTTCCCACATAAATTCAAATTTTGACCTTGAAAGTCAAATTATTCGACCAAAAAATCGAATAGGAAATTGGGGCCGGCCAAAAGGCCCGGGCCTGTATGTATGTAAAAAAATAAACACGAATTATAAAGAAAATCAGGCCAATATATGCAAAAAAGTTTTGAAAAAGTCATGGTGATCTGGGTGTGAAGTGGATTCCTTACTTGAGTGATGACCTTTGACCCGGGTCCGATACAAGAAAAATTGAATTCAGGGAAGTAAACTAATAAATGTGTGATTAAAAATAATAAGAATAGTTTGGTATATAAGCCCACAAAAGTGCCGACCATCAGACCAAGTCACACAGCAATGTTCATCGTCATTTTCCTTCTATTCTTGCCATTGGTTACCTCTCAATACTACTATCCGTATCGTAATTATGGGTATTATAGTCAGGGTTATGGTGGATATGGTGGCTCCCCATACTATGGAGGGTATGGAGGACTTGGTGGATTTGGTGGAGGGTACGGCGGCGGTTTGTTTTCTAACCCCGGGTAGGTAGAAGAAGACAGAAGTTATGTTTTCAGATCGGCAATTGGGTCAGTTGTGGGTGCCCAGCTTGGAGCTCAACTGGGACGTGCAATCTCAGGTTAAATACGACTCATGGTAATGTTGGCTGATGTTCATGAACATCGAAAACCTTTACTTTTTTGTATTGCGTAAATAAATGGCTTACATGGGCATTCTCCTAATGGATCCCAATCTATTATTTAAAAAGCTGATGTGAGTGGAAATCGCCAAAAATTTAGGTCTTATTGTCATACATAGTAAAGAAAAGATGCAATTTTTTGTATTTTTTCGAAGAGCAGTATTTTTATAATTTGTAAGTGTATATTTAAAAAAAAACATTTTGAAAACAATGTTAATATTGAGCCGGCGCCGCCGAGATATCGAACGATTTTTGCCGCAGAGAGCACGCTAAACGTGGAGAGCGGTCAGAGAGAAAACACCTTTTTGGCCATAACTTTGGCAGTTTCGAGCGTAAAAATTTGATTTTTTGTAGAAACATTATCCTTTACGGTTGAAATAGGCATGAAACTTTTCGAGCCGAAATTCGGCAAAAGGTCCTAAATTTTAGCCGACTTTTGATCTAAAAATCTCGGTTGTTTCTGCAAAGCGCGAGCTAGGATTCTCGCATATATCTTGGAAAAAATTATTCTAAATTTGTGTCAAGTTTCATCAAAATCTGAGCGTCGCACTTGGAGTACTTCCCCTGTAAAATATAATTTGTAAACCTGTGAAAATTGAGCGAGTTTATGTACAGCGTGTTTCAAGAAATTTGGAACAAAAGATTTGCTTTTTTTATTTGTGTTCTTTGCAGCTATCAACGAATTTCTTTTTGCTTCTAAAAATTGACAGCGTGCGTTTTTAGAATCTCAAAAAAAATTTTTTCGTCGGCGGAGACAATTGGGGCCTTTTTTAAAAATCACAGCGTATTACGCGGCGGAAACGCCGTTGCAACGGCTGAAATCAAGTTTACGTTACACCTCCGTCGATTTTACGGTATGCATTTTTTGTTTTCGATTTTACGCGCACCGCAGAGGCGCGGCGGAGACTTCAGATTTCGGCGAACGTTGTTTTGGGCCTTTGGTTTTTGCAATTCATGTTGGAAAAGGAGGTTTGGGTGATTTTTTGTTGTCATCCGATGCACAGATGGCAAAAATTTTGTGCTTTTTTTCCCCGGCGGAGGATTCGGCGGAGGCTTTATCAAAGGGTCAAAGCTGTTTTACGAGTCCGGGAAAAATCTCAGCTACAAGAATCCAACAGAGCTACATTATCTTTCAAAGATTTTTGATTTTTTTGGTCCGGCGGTTTTGTTTTGATCTCCGCCGACGAAAAAAATTTTTTTTTGAGATTCTAAAAACGCACGCTGTCAATTTTTAGAAGCAAAAAGAAATTCGTTGATAGCTGCAAAGAACACAAAGATATAAGCAAATCATTTGTTCCAAATTTCTTGAAACACCCTGTAGTACTTTAAGTCAACTTGTAATTCATTTTTCACCCTTAAAACCCGAAATTCGGCAGCTAATTTTTGCATCTGCTTAATCAGCATGATTTAACGCATTTTTGAAATATGTCCCGCTTAAAAGTAGGAGCCTCTAAAAAAAGTACTTTCCTTGTAAAATGAAAGTGTAAATATAAAAAATAAAAATTGTAATTTTGGAAACGTGAGTTTGACCTAATGTAATTGTAGAAGTTTCAAAACTATGTATTTCTTCGTCTAATACTCTTATTAGATCAGAATTTATAGGCTTTCAAAATTACACCGTTAAAAAATTTTTTACACTCGCACTTATGCTTCCACGCTTACAACAAATTTGCCATTGTAGCATCATTTTTAACAATGTTACATCAAAATGAACACTTTTTCCAAAGTTAAACTTTTTTGAAAAATTTTTACACTTACAACTTTCCCAAAAATTCCGATACGGATGTTTCAAATAAAACTGTAAGTAGAAAAAATTAAATCTTTTCCTAAAATAAATGCATCGTTGACCCGAACTGTCCATAAAAGTCGGAACGCGGAAAAAATGGCTTTCGACTTTTCCTTGAAGTAAATCCGAATTGATTTCATCGGTGACGTTGGAAATAAGAAAGTTATGTAACAGGCTGGTTTATTTTCTCATTTTCTGAGCCCGAATTTGGAAAAATTAAAAGTTTCGATGACTTTTTAAATCCGAGAAAAAGATTTGAAAATCTGCTTATTTCATAGTCCTTTAAAATTAATTAAGAATTCTATGCAAAAGAGAACGAATGAATTTGAAATAAACTTATTTTCTTAAAATGATAATGAGACCTTGCAACTACCAGAAGGCAGACAGACAAAGCCATGGAAACGATTCTGACTTTACGAATTGGCTTAAAAACTTTTTACTTTTTTTCAATCGTAGCCTGAAACGTTGAAAAAAAGTGTTGGGGGCGTTATCTTATTACAACAAACTTCTAAAATGTGACCTTGCATCATGCTTTACATCTCTCAATATAAAACCGAGACGTCCCATAAAGAAGGGATCCGCACAGTCCCATTCTCATCATGAATTTGCTTATCACCGTATTCTTGCTCGTAGCCGCTGTGTCGGCCCAATTCTACGGACCTCAGTATGGCGGAGGTCCCTATGGCCGTGGAGGATATGGTGGAGGCCCATACGGACGAGGGGGATATGGTGGGGGACCATACGGAAGAGGGGGATACGGTGGGGGACCATACGGGCGTGGAGGCTATGGAGGTGGCCCCTATGGACGCGGCGGATACGGTGATGGATACAACCCCGGGTAAGTGCAAAAATGTGATTTTTGTACTATACCAGAATGTTAGGAACATATGGTTGGGTTGTTTTTAAAAGTGTTTGGGGCGCTAATTAGAAAAGAGAAAGTCGAAACCCGTTTGATTGATTTGTTTGTAGAGCCGCGATTGGAGCCCAGGTCGGAGCATCTCTTCTTGGCCGTTAACCGACTTGACGAACACCTTTAGTTACCTCAGTCTCTGTTTGTGCAGTTCTCGTTTAACTTAAGTCAGGAATAAACGTTCCGTTATTCGCGTACCATCTTAATCCCTTTTGTAATAATCACAAATGCAAATAAGTCATCTGGCAATCAAAATTTTCTGGAAAAACAGTTTCGAAATACAAAGGAGAAGCCCGCTCCAAGATGCACTTTGATTTTAAAAGGCGTCGATCGGGTGCAGACTGCACCCTGATGAGGCCCGGATTGTGTTAAAAAGGGTCGTCCAGACGTTTTCCGGATGCCTCTTTACTTGGGATAGGCCTGGCCAAGAGTTCCCTTTCTCCGGCCGGCTCCCCGACGATCAGAGAGACGACAACGATGGCCCGGCGCCTGTCCACGACATTCTCTGAGCGGAGAGAGGCGGTCTCTCTTTCTCCTTTATAATACCTGGCCCAAGACTTTGTGTAGAAGGCTTGATCCAGCCTTCATGGCCCTATCAGACCGCGATTTTGTTTGTTCTGGCAGGAACCCTACAAGTTTATACTTAATACCGTTTGTTTTATAAACCATACCAACATATTGTGTATAAGAAGGCTCAACTTTCGCCATTAGTTTCTGGTAGGGACAAGTTTTCGGATTTATAAAAAGCTATTGTGTTTATAAAGGAATCTAACTCAAATTCTCCATATCCCTATTCTTTCACATTGCCTCAGACAAACAACAATATGCTTCCACTTTACGACCCTTAAATCTCTTCGCAAAATCCACGTTCCGTTTTTGGTTGAAGGAAATCCGGCGATGATTGGGGTCGTATTTTCGAAACACTATTTTCATGGCCCGGTTCCGTTCCTCGAGCATCAAGAGCGGCTTCGAAAGGGCGGGATTCAAGTACTGCCGATAGTACACACTTCTTTTGCGCGCCATCCCTTGTTTCGCAACGCAAAAGGCGGGCCAGAGAACGGAGGGACGTGCTGTGCGGCCGACAGAAAAGAGGCAGCTGGCCAAAGAAGGGCTTGTTTTAGGAACAGTTGGTCTTCCTTCGTTTTCTCCCAAACCCATCTCATTTAGAAGGACGCTGGATTTCTGTGGGATCAAGTGCGGACATTAATAAGGAACGGATGGAGTCAGCCTTGTTTGAGGTCAGTTGAAGTCTCTGCTTTTCTGTCTGACTAATATACGACTTTTTCTCCCTTTTCATTGTATTTGGTCGCTTTAGCCGACATTTGAACACAGGTAGGCCGGGAGGTCGTGTCCTATCGTGCCGCGTTTCCCCATTGTCAGTGTTATATTTTTACCTTTATTTCAGTGCCATTATCCTCACTTAGGTGTTGGTTGACTGTGCCGTTGGCCGCAGCCGAATTGACAATGCTTGAGGAGCTGGTCGCTTGGCAAGGGGACGTCGTATGGACTCTATGTCTTGGATTCGTGATTTCGTTTATCTTGGCGTTTGCCATTGGTGCCAATGACACGGCCAATTCTTTCGGTACATCGGTTGGCAGTAAAGTCATCACATTGCATCAGGCTTATATACTGGCCAGCATATTCGAAACACTTGGGGCATGTTTGCTTGGTGAGTGTTTTGAAAAAAGTAATTAAGTTATTTACATACATAATGTAATGCTTACGAAATCACAAAAAAAAAATTCAGGATATCAAGTTACGGATACAATGCGGAAGGGTGTAATTGATCTTGAGGTATACAAAGACGCCGAGAAGGAGCTGATGCTTGGACAGATCGCTGTACTCAGTGGTTGTGGCGCTTGGCTTTTGATAGCTACATTTTTCAAGCTCCCAGTTTCAACAACTCATAGTATTGTTGGAGCCACAGTTGGGTATTCGCTTGTTCTCCGCGGAACCGAAGGGATCAAATGGTACAAGATCATCAACATCTGTAAGTAGACTTCGGGGAATCCGTATATTTTTTATCTTCTTTTTTAAACATCGGATTTCAGTTATGTCCTGGTTTGTTTCCCCAGTCTTTGCTGGCCTTATTTCGACGGTCTTCTATCTCTTAATTGATCACACAGTTCTTCGACGGGTAAGTATAAAGAATAACTGACTGATCAGTGCTGTTTAGAATCGGCCATTGAAGTGGGGCCTGAGTCTTTTGCCTGGCCTTTACTTCATCTGCGTTGGGTTTAACGTGTTTGCCGTCGTATACCAAGGATCCTCTTATATTGGATTTGACAACTGGCCGCTCTCTCGAGTTCTTATTGTTACTTTTGGAATGGGCCTTTTGGCTGGGGTGATCGTCCAAGTATTTGTGGTAAAGCGTCTCAGACAGTCAATCGTTGGCGGCGATTTGGAAAGTCTGGCAGTTAATGATTCACCCAGAGCAACTGAGAAAGTAAACGGATTCGGAAAAGAACCTCTAATCGAAAATGGAAAGGAGAACGGTTCCGTGGGTAAGCAGACAGCTCTAAAAAAATAAATATTTTTATGTCAACATCTCTGTTTTGAGTACACGTATTATTTTCAGTCCCGACAATCAAACCGACGTCGTCAGTTGTTAGTTTCTTTCGTTCGGACAAACCGGAAGATCCCCAGGCATCCCAATTATTCAACTTCCTGCAAATCATGACAGCTTGCTTCGGAGGATTCGCTCATGGCGGGAATGATGTGAGTAATGCCATTGCTCCTCTGGTCTCTTTGTACGCAATCTACAAAGAGGGAAGCGTCGCTCAGAGTGGAACTACTCCGATACTTCTTCTCCTTTATGGGGCTGTGGGTATGTGCGTTGGATTGTGGGTCCTCGGACATCGAGTAATCTCAACGGTCGGCGAAAATATAACCAAGATTACTCCTCCAAGGTATGCCTTAATTCAATTTTATCATTGTTTCCGGTAATCGCGGGTAATTTGATTTCTTCCAGTGGATTTTCAATTGAGTTTGGAGCCGCGGTTACCGTTCTGATAGCCTCAAAGTTCGGAATGCCTATCAGCTCCACTCAGTGTAAGGTCGGTAGTGTCGTTGCTGTCGGACTGGTACAGGCTAATTCCGATGTTCATTGGGGTGTCTTCAGAAATATCTTCCTTTCATGGCTGGTTACCCTACCTGTAGCGAGTAAGTGTTAAAACAGTTAAAGCTTGTACTCTGAGTCACTTGTAGTTCTAACTTCTGTACTTTTAGGCCTTCTCAGTGCGGGTGTGATGCTGCTATTAAAAACGATAGCTTTATAAAAACCAGGTTGCAATATTACAATATCGGTTACGGCCATTTTATGAATTACGGTTCACTTCTTATTAATTGTTTCCCCTTGAAATTTCGCAGAATAGCCAGATTTCGTTGTTGATGTACTGTTACCATAATAATATATGCGGTAAAAAATAAAATTATTACCGAAAAAAATAAAACATATTTAACCCTTACTATGGACACTTTATTGACAAGATTCTTGGTTAGGAAATACATAGTGAAATCATTGCCTTCGCATCTTCCCCTTCAGAGATTTCTCTTTCAAAGCACTTGGAGCTGCTCGTCGCTTTGGTCGTTGACTTGGTGCTTCTAATTCTGGTGGTCGAATGTTTTCTTTCCGCCTCTCCACAACATTAATCCATTTGGAGCGACCAGGACTTTGTAAGAACTTATGTTCGACTTCAGCCGGTGGGGTGAAAGACGGGTTGATCAGTGATTCCCGATTTTCCTGAATTTAAAAATAATTAAAAACGACTGGACACTTACATCATTGGTTGAGAAGGATGTAGAAGCAGCCATTCCATTTTTATCGTCCTTAACAGTATCGAAAGTTCTGCTCTAAAAGCGGAATATGAATATAGGGGTCAAGCCTTTTCTGACCGCGGGGCCCCGTAGTGGACGTTTTTGTCCCCACTTTTTTCGAGCCTTTTTGTCCCCAGACCGGTTCTGTCCCCAGGACGGTTTTGTCTCCAAGACGTTTTTGTCCCCACTTTTTTTATTTTTTTGTCCCCAGGACGTTTTTGTCCCCAAGCTGGATGGTACAATTAAAAATTATGCATTCAGATGTTAATGCTGTTGGTTTGGTGCATAGTACTGCTCAAACAACATGTTCTTAGCGCTTGGTACTGTATAGCGAGGTGGTACTATATAGCACGAGGTAAAAATAATGCCATAACACGTCAATGCTGTAGGTTTGAAGCCCTGTACTTCTCAAAAATGTGTTTTAGCACTTGGTACTATATAGCAAGAATTTGTTTTTGCACGAAATGAACTCCTGATCAGTACTGCATACCAAAACAACGGCATTCACGCGTTATAGCTTAATTTTTACCTCGTGCTATATAGTACCACCTCGTACTATACAGTACCAAGTGCTAAAAAAACATTTTTTGAGAAATTCTGGGCTTCAAACCAACAGCATTAACGCGTTATGACTTAATTTTCACCTCGTGCTATATAGTACCACCTTGTACTATACAGTACTAATAACATGTTATTTGAGCAGTACTATGCACCAAACCAACAGCATTAACATTTGAATGCATAATTTTTAATTGTACTATCCAGCTTGGGGACAAAAACGTCCTGGGGACAAAACCGGTGTGGGGACAAAAAAATAAAAAAAGTGGGGACAAAAACGTCTTGGGGACAAAACCGTCCTGGGGTCAGAACTGGTCTGGGGACAAAAAGGCTCGAAAAAAGTGGGGACAAAAACGTCCTGGGGACAAAACCGTCTTGGGGACAAAACCGGGGTGGGGACAAAACCGGGCCCAACCCGGGGCCCCGAAAAGGCGCCAACCACGTCAAGAAAAATGTTTCCTTTCAATAAATTCAAATTTTCGAATCGCCACAAGAATTATCGACCAATCTTTTATTTTTCCCATCGAAATTTGTACAAATCCGATAATTCCTGTATCATTTCGTCGCATTTGAGACTTATTGAAGGGAAACATTTTGTTCTAACTTTTATTGACGTGCCGCCCACCCGAAAGACGGGGGCCCGAAAAGTCAGCCTTCCGTAAGTATACTAAAACATTTCCCTTACCAATTCGTTGGGTTCCACTCTTAAAGTACCGGGTAAATTGGTTACAAAACTTCCATCATCTACATCAGGTTCCGTAAAGCTTTGTATTGACGGTTTCTTAATAAAAGAATCAAAGAAGGGCTCTTCTTCTAAGCTCTGTAAATCCGTCGAATACCGATCAAGAAGAAGCTTGCGATCCATAACATCACAAGCTTTAGTCGCCTTCAACGCCCCTGTTGCTATGCAACTCATTTTCCTAAAAGTAAAAAGTCGAAGAAAAAATATACCGATGCTACAACTACACATACAATGCATTCAATTCCTCTTGAGTCTTTTCAAAATCCATAGTCATCTTCTGCAAGAAATCGAGACAACGGTGATGTTTTGCTGTGATGTGAGTCACTTTTTGCTAAATTAAGATTAGGAAAACAAAAAAAACTTACCAACATCCTATCCGATACTATCAGATTAATGCGCTGTTTATCCGTTTCCTCCGTTTCCCCCAATCTTCTCCTCAATTGAAAGTTTTCATCTCTCAATTCACTATTCTCCTGTTTTAATCTTGCAATCAACGTATCCTTCGATTTGACACTAGCGCATTTTGACTCTGAAAAAATTATTACTCCGAGCACAATCGCACCTTTCTTGGAGAACGTCTTCAAAAGCCTTGATTGTGAAGACGACGACGGCGTTTGAGGGTTGATCATCACAGAGCCGGGGAGGAGGGCAAAGTTTTTTTTTGAGCTCTCAGAACATCCGAGTGCTGTTTATGCGATAAAAATTTTTTTCCACATAATGCATAATGCCAAAAAATTAAAATTTTGGTTTTTCTCAAAATTAAGCGCTCCGAGATCACTTTTATGCTATGAGTTACAACCGGTCGGTTTTCGAATTCGGTGAATCATTCGAAGATGAGTGCTCAACGGAGAAACGGTGCAGAAAGTGGAATGAATGGGATAGCTGGAGAAGTGTCCAGGAACGTGGATGTTGCATATTTGAGACAGAAATATCGCAAGCATTTGAAACGGAACAAGAAAAGTAATAATATAAGGATGGTGCGATTACAATTTGTCGTCTTGACTGGCAAAAAGCCCGATTTCTTTTCTGAAGAGCTTCAAGACAAAAGGTGCGAAATTTTAACTGAACAGAGCAAAAAGAAAAAAATCTTCACAAGGAAAGAGCAGAAATCTGTGCAATACCGCGCGATGTTACGCAATTTGAGTTAAGAATTTCGCATTTCTTGCCTGGGAGCTCTTCAGCCACGAAATCGGGCTTTTGACCAGTCAAGAAGCAGAATTGTAGATTGCACCACCCTTATGTCGGAAATTTGTGTCGCATCTTTTAGATGATACCGCTGACAATACTAAGCTTGACAAAGACACAACTACGCCACTTAAGGGGAAGAGCAGTTCTTTGATGTTAGCGGTCTCCCCAGAAACATCCTCACAAGGTTCAAATACCAAGGGTAAGATACTATTGCTTGTAATAGGATGACGATCCACCTTTAGATGATGATGACGAAAGGACAAAATTCGAAACTCACACTGGACCAAGTCGACCAGCAATCTCAGGGAAATCCAGCAAGCAAATCATCAAGCAGTCCGTTTCCAGAGAAAAATTGCCAAAGACGAGTGCGAAACGTGAAGAAGATGAACCTACTGAATTTGTCCGCGTTGCTCGAGCTAAACCAGCAAAGTGCCGAAAACATGGACGAAAGGTAAGAAACAAAAAGAAGACAGAGGACATAACGGAAGAAGACAAAGTTGACAAAGAAATCAAACGGAAGTCATGGATCAGAGAGGGTAACAAAGAAGATCATGTGATCAGGGCCAAAAGAAAGATCAAGAAGAAGAGTAAAGATAAGACTAAGGAAAATGATAAGACTTTTGAAGACACCGTGAAGTCGGAAGTGGAGTTGATAACCTCCGCACTGCCCAATGGCAATGCCTCCCTACCGGATGTTGATATCGACGATGAGACTGATGACACTTGTGTGGTTACGGAGTCAGAAGCCGAAAGAAATGAACCGTCCAAACTTACAACGGCTGAGACTGTAAGTACTGTCATTTACGGTAAATTTCTTGTTTAGCTGATTAACAGCCAGTTTGGTCAGGCTGTTTTAGAGAAAATGCATGAGGGGAAAGCGTTTGATAACGCTCTCTCACCTACCGAGAGTGAAGAACTCAGTAAATTCTTCGATGGAAAGATCCCCTTCTCTAATAATGTAAGCATTCCGGTGTTTTAATGTTATGCTTCCAGGTCATAGAGTTATTGGACAAAGGAATGGAAAGGGGTATAATCACATTCCGTAATACCACACCGCATTTGGATTCCGAACTACTCGATTTCCTCGCCAATACAGCCAAGGCGAAGGCATTGTTGGTCGACACTATCCTAACTAACCAGGGTTTGTTACCCAAACAATGGAACGGAAAGGGTTCGGACGAAAAAGAAAAATCAAAGAATCCGAAAACTGCCCCGGTGACCAGTACCTCCGATATGAATGTCACAGACTCCGGTAACTCCGTTGGTGCCGAATACATGCATTCAAAAGAGAAAGAATCAGAGAAACACAACGCTTCAATTGATTCCGTTAACTTGAAGGAAGCCGACGTCATTTCTTTCTCGTTGGTTCCGCAGACGGCTTCGTCCAATGAGAAAGCCTTGAGTAAGTAAAATCTTAAGTTGAAAGAAGGAAAGCCTTCAGAACCTACGACGGCCAATACTAGCTCAGCTGACACGTGCCCTGAGGAGAACGATCTCTCTTTCCTGCCTGCTTCTTACTCAATGCCAAAAAAGTAAATCACCGTATATTGTACATGTACGTTAGACACATGGTAAATCTACTCATCCGGTAATCGATGAAATAACTTTTTAAAGCTTTCATTCCTGTGCCGGAGGAGCTGGAGGAGGGGGGAGCGATTCTGCCAGCTCCTCACTGTCATCATATCCGGGAGGTCTATTTGCTGTGTCTAATACATTCCGAACGATTTCATTAAAATTCACACGGTCTTCTGAGGCTGTTGGTTGGCTTGGCGGAGCAGTTTCATTCTCCATGGGTTCTTCTTCTTCCTCTCCATCGTCGTTAAACGCTTGCCATGACTAAAAGTACTCGTTTACGTAGAAGGGCAAAAGCATCCTTTTAAAAATATTTAAAAAATATATATACCTGTTCGACAATAGCTTGCACTCTCTTTTCGTATTCTCTTCTGTTTTCTTGATAAAGTTGCGCAGCCACAGAGTTCGCAGGACTGTTAGGATTCGGCTCGTCCAACAACGATTGAATAGATGTCAAAACAGCGGCAACATCGTATGTTGGAGACCACCGATTCTTAAAATTGAATACGACAAGAGATAACCTTACCTGTAAGATATCTAAACAAATACTTCCATCTGCATAAACATTTGGATGAAACATTTTGGATAGAAATTTGACCGAAGGAGGTTTGTTGGGGTACTCTTCTGTGAATTCGAGCGAAAGTTTAAACGTACCGTCCTCGAATGGCGTGTCTTGAGGCCCAAAAATTATGGCTTCCCACACCATAATGTTCTCTTCCGTCGGGGCACCACTTACTCCAGCTGGAGGATCTTCCTAAACAGGAAATAGATGGGAAGGATGGAATTACCTGGAGTTTCTTGAAATCTCTCATCAGACGGCGTCGCGAAGGTGTGGTCATTATCTGCAAGGGTTTTAAAAATTTTATTTATAAACAATGTAAATAAGAAAATTCTCATGGAGATGAACAGGTTAATAAGAGAACAAAATAAAAGGTCGTAAGATTCTGCTTTAATAGTCCTAACTGTAAAGCACTAACTATATCGGTACGATCCGGAACAGCTAGTCAGGTAGTTCGTCATATGAGCAACGAACTGGACTTATGAAAATGGACAGAGTGAAACTCGACCGACATAAATTGGAGACTTTTTTCTTTGCAATCGTACGAAATGTCACTATTTTGCAGTGGGAATCAATACAAAGTACGCGGAATGCAACTCGCCTTTATAAACGAATTCTGCATAAATTCTTTTGACTAAAAAGAGGGAGCCACGCTTGGTAATAACAGTTGATATAATGTTCTGCGATAAGTGAAAGGAGTGGTTTTTGTACGCCGTCCGACTTTTTCGGCTTCCTTTTGTGAAGGTCGTGAAAGATTTTCCTAAGCGCAAACTAAGGCTGAGCCTGGGCCTAAGACTAAACGGAGCTAAACTGAGGTTCGTCCTAAGCTTTAGGGCGCTCAGCAACAAAAGATCTTCCAATTAGACTGAAATCTGACGGTACGGTGTACATGAAGTAGATGCGTAAAAAATTATAATATTCGTGTCATAATGGAGGATCTAGATGATATGATTATGAAAACATTAAGCCAGATTGGATGGTAAATTTAAAGGTTCCGCTATACTTCTGATTTTAGTTCTTTTTGTAAAGATGTGGACAGTTTAGCCCTTCTCGGAATAGATGACATATTCGAAGCGATTGTAAGGTTGCTGTGTTTGTGTGATCCAAGAGCTAAAGAAATACCAAGCTTGAAGCTTCCTTCTCAAATGACTATACGGTATCGAGAAGCTACCCGTGTTGCAGATGCTGTAAAGGTAGGTAACAATATATTTTACACTTATTAAAATCTTTTAGAGTTTGGGAATCAGAGAAAAGATAGGGTATCATACAATTCTTTACCCCAACCTTTATGACATTCGGAATATTATGATATTTTTGATTGAAAAACTTCCCAAAGATTCTATTATTGAAGAAGTGAAATTGTGTAAGTCATAGGTTGCATAAATTATTTGATTTATTTGTTTTACATGGGTTGCCACTTTTAGTACCGATTGATGACTTGAGGAAGACCATTGGTTCTCAAATACGACAAGATTTGAATAAAGAATGGACACCCGGATATTGCGAGTGTCTTCGGATGAAAAAAGAAAGGTTATTTTGGCTCGATAATGAGGTAAGAATTTATCTCTCAGCTGTATTGGTCTTTAGAATGATCCAATTAAAATTCCTGTATTAAAAAGTGGGTTTAAACGATCAAAATTGTTGGACCATTTGGGAATCTTGCCTGATAGCCCAATTTGTGAGGCTACTTCGTTTCAACCGCAAAATATTTACAAAGCACCACAACCGAAACCAAGGCAGATAGTACAGAGGTAATTCACTCAAAAACTTACCGAATGTTATAGATTCAGCTCGGAGATTGAAACAATTCAGGTGCTGGATGTTGAAAAGAACGAATCTTTAGAGAGACTTATTAGGATTCGTGAAGCATTGAAATTACACGGAGATAGGCATCGTAATCTCATTAGACATCAGTACATCTTACGCGAGGAATATGTAGCAAAAGCTGAAAAGTGGGACATGAAAGCTGAAAAAATGATGAAAATACTGTCCAATCCAGACTCACAAATTGAATGCTTGCATGTGAGCTCTTGCGTTTTGCCAATATCCTAAGTTTAGAAGTTTATTGCTGAACGGGAAGAAAGACGTACTGGATTGGAAGATAACTTCGCTAATTGGAAACGTAAAAATTCCGAAATTCTAGGAAAACTGAAATCAGAAAAAGGATCAGAAGCAGAGCTTGAAACCCATGAGTTAATTGAAACCAATGGAAGGTTAAAAAAGTGTATCTCAGAGCAGAAGAAAGCTTTGGGAAAGATGGTATGTAGAAAATATTTGTAGTGCATATTTTTTCAATAATTTCTTTCAGAAAAAACAGTTATCAAAGGAAAGCAGCGGAGAAATTTGGGACAGAAACAAGTTTTTGTCGCGAATTGTATACCTTGCAAATAATGTTAACGGACAGAAAGCCGAGATTTCAACCGTAAGCTCATAAACAACGTAAAAAACTGCCTACATTTAGAGCCTTCAAGACTGCAAGCGATTAGAAAAAGAGAAAAGAAATTTGTTCGGAAGTCTGGAAAGAACATTTACAGTTGTTAATAACTGGTTGTACCAGTCTGCAGAGGCGGATTTACGACTTAAGAACGCATACGATTTAGTAATGAAATTGCATATTCAATGTTCATCGGTAGTGAAAAACATGGATGAGATATACCAGATGTGCAGGCAGAAAGATACGTTTGATGATGAGATTGAAGTCCTAAAGCAACAAAACGCTGAATCTAACTTGGATCAGATACTCAAGGATTTGATATTGATTCAAAGAGAAAACATCGAATTGGAGGAAGAATTAAAATGATTATAGATCATAATTAAACTTTATGGGACAAGCTTTTATTTATTACATATTATGTCGCTTCATTTTATGATTTGAACTTGTATCCTGTTGAGTGTTCTTCTTCTCCGTATTCTCGAACGCTTGCATCAGGTCTACTGACGGCAGAAATAGAAGATTCCGTAATTTCGATTGGTCCTTCATCCTTTTCTGGTTTCTTACTTTTGTCTTCATCTGTTGGTTCAGAATTTGTTTCTTGGTGTTTTTTGGAGCCTTCAACTTGTTTTTGTCGTCCATTCGAAATGTCTTTTTCTTCTTCCTCAACGTTTCCGAAAGGTTCATGAATCATATGCGAATTCTCGTCGCCGATCTTGACATGGGCGTTTTTATAAGACGAATAAGTGGCTTTCCCTACACCAACTGATGGAGGTACATGCCCTGGAGGAGAAAAGTTGGATGGGATATTGTAATTCCCACCAGATGGTCCGTGAGGATGATTATTACTATTTATGTAATGTCCCGGCTGTTGTTGATACGAATCTTGCGGTGGTAGCGGTACAGATAAATACGCACTACCATAAGTTGACGGACCTTGCGGGGGTGCTGGCAATGGTTGAGGTTGGGGAGCAGCGGGATAGGCTATCTGTGGAGGATTATAGTTGGCTGGGGGAGGGGCAGCATACTGTGGCGCACTGTAGGAAGACCCATACCTAAGGAAAGATTTTCCAAAATTTTATATTTATACTCACCCGCCACCGCACGATGGAGCCGAGGACCCACAGATAGGGCCGGAATGCGGAGGACAGCAAGATTGGCCACCGCCTCCAAATCCACCAATACATGCCAAGCCGATGGATGGCATGCCCATGATAATAATGACGGCCTTAATAAAATAGACCTCAACCTTAGCGTACTTACCGTAACCTTCCGCAGTAACATTTTACCAAGTAATCGGTCGGAGGGATGCTGTCGGATTTGAAGGAATATAAATACGATGAAGGAAAGCAGATATCTTGGCACGTCTTAAAGTGCTTCCGATTAATGGGATTTTGGTATTTTGACGCCTTCGATTGCGCATGTCTCTAGTTGTTGTAGGCGGTGTTCAGATTTATTGTTATCCACCTTTTCTTTCCGGAGCCGGCTCCAAACGAAACTTGTTTTGAATCGTTTCTTTTCTCCTGTAGCCTCACAGTTTCGTAAAAAAAGAAGGATGGTATTCGTCTGAATGGAAGCATCTTGATGACAAATCGTTCTGTCATCGTTTAATGTAATGGCCTCAACAACTTGTTCTGCTATCCCTAGAATGAATTATGCAACATCACTCATACTTATTCTACTTTATATCCCGCGGTGACTACCGATCGGAGGTTATCGTATCCTTTGTTAATGGATCGTAATCTTTGCTTACCTCTCTCTGTTCCTTATCAAAATGCCCTTTAGGAACGGTATATTCTTTTCGCAGAATTGACAACATCTTTCTTCTTATCAGCCAAAGAAAGGGCAGTCCTTTTCTCTTAAAAAAAGATGATTGATACGTAGAACATTTATTGAAATATAAAGATGAATTCTTTATACAAGCATATGATACTCTAATACAGGTTTCAATGTACAGAAAAAAATTTTTAAGCCTTAATATGACCAAGTGAATACACCCGAATGAACAATATGGACGATATCCAAATACCGGTTTTGCGTAGAAAAATAAGAAGATCAATTAGTTAGAAGAATATCCTCAGTAGTAGAAGAGAAACGATGGTTTTGTACACCCCTGAAAGGACAGTCATTAAATTTGAATACAGGTTGCGCCATTTTTGTGGCCCGATTTGAATTGGCTATAACTTTATTTTTTTGATAAAATTTGAAGATTCTTTTTTCCTTTAATCCTCAGGCCTCCCTCTTGTTTTGTTTGATACCGAATATGTGGCAGTAATCAAGAAATTCCGCCATCTTCATGGTGAAAAAAAAATCTCAAAAAATGCCAAAAATCAGTCGTATCTCGGGAACGGTGAAAGATAGTTGTGGCAAGTCCGGGTTCAGAGGTCTTACGATTGTTAGAATTTCGTGTAGAATAGGATGGAATCAAAAAAACTGAAAAAAACCCTCCTAAGGGTGAAACCCGGAGGGCATAGATATCCAAATTTTGAAAGTCCGTAAATGTGGAGGAAGGTAATTTGGTAAAAAAATCTCATCTTCTAACGCCCATAACTCCCGTTAAAAGAAATGACAATTGGGGAAAATAAAATTATTTTTCCCGTTTTTGGCTAGCGAAGACCATACTTTGCTAGCCCATCCTCACAAATGATCCATTTTTATTCGCTTTACCCATTGATGCTCTTCATTGGCTCCGAAACGATGTTAAAACCCCTGCTGAAGGTCCAAAATTTTGAATTTTTTTGAAACGGCATCAAGCATGTGTTTCTTGGTGGGTCAACTAAGGGCATTTAAGACCGAAAAAGACTATAAATGACGTTTTTGTGAGGATGGGCTGACAAAGTATTATTTTGGCTAGCCAAAACGGCAAAAGAACGATTTTAATTCCCCAATCCTCACGGTCCGATGGTAAACATACTTATTGAAGGGGAAGCATTGACGTCTTCATATCCAACTTCGAACTCAAGTTGTGGGAGATGATTGGCCAAGGGATTGGGCAAGCTTCCCAGATGACTAAACTCCGTAATCTCGTTGGTCGTTATCTTTCGTTCGCCAACGTCGTATTTTAATCCATCAGGGTTAGATTCTGCGGTGATGTGCCTAGTCGGCTGACTTCTGTGGGTCGGATCCCTTTTTGGTGGTTTCATATGATGTATCCGTCTAACTGAATGTGTTGTTGTAGTAAAGGCTGTGCTTGCTTCTATCATTTCTTTTCCTTCGCTTTCTTTGATTTGTTCTCGGAGCCAAAGTGATCGAGTCAAATCCATAACGGGAAGATCACTTCCAACTGCATCTTTCGGCAATACGAATATCCTTAGTCTCATCCCGACCTTGCGACATAATCCGTCGTTTAATCGGCCAAAAGTGTCATTGGTAGCAGCTGAAATGGTGATTGGAACTCAATTAAGAGGTCATAAATAATATTGCGCTGACGCAACGGTGAGTAAATGACGTCTCGCATTACGAAGAACTCGAAACCAATTTGGCTCGAGTGCTAGATACATTCTCGAGAAAATATCTAGATCACAAAAGTTAAATTTGCATGGTTTGTTGCGTTCCGAGACTGCAAATTATCGCAGCAAGGGACACCCTGTTTATAGTTCGCACCATATTTGGGTCAAATTAAATGAGATCTTATTGATTCTACATACCAATGCGCGGCAGGGGGCATTATGCAAAGTGCAAAAAATGTTTTAGTAAACAAGAGTAGGGGCCACACTAATTACATAACAGCTTCAGGGTAGGAAATTGGTCAGATCGGACCGGTTATTAATATAATATAATAACCCGCCCTTCACTCACAGCTGCCTCCTAGGAGATTATCCCCGGACTCATGCAGATTTCTCTTTCTCGGCAGTGGCGGTGTCTCATTTCAAGCAGATTTTAGAATAATCGAATACGATTAACACTCACTCACCTGCAAAATAATAAGCTTCTTTTTCTTGGAACAGGGGCTGATCTGGCATTGGACTAAATTTCCTGATTACTAATCGAGGATCGGTAGTTTCCGGACTACAGAATCCGATTGCTGATTTATCATTTTGAAATCTGCATTCTAGGGCATCCAGAGAGTTCATCTAAACAAGTATTGTCAGCTACAGGGTTCTACTAACTTACCAAATGAATCTGTAAACTCAATCCATTCGGACACCTGAACTTCAAAAGATCGTTTAATCGAACAAATATTGTTCTTATATGGATCCCGTTATCAAATCTGCAATCAAACAAGAATTATATCCCTGACATCAGGTTACTGTTATTGTTTTTCCATGGACAAAAGACAGTGACTCGGGATGCGGGAACGATCCCGTTCTGGGAATGGGGGAATAAAAGGAATTATTCGATTTACAGAATGCCACTTTGGATGTGTCATTGTGATCGGGTCTTTGTGCGAGTCAAGCGAGGCTCCTTTTCTATGAAGAATGAATATTCGTTTGTTTCATTAACCGAAATCCTGCGGGAACTAGCTGACAGCGGGATAAAGGGGTTCCCGACAGGGCGGAAAACCGTTTGAATGACCAAGTGGATTAGGTCGAGAGTACCTAAAAAGGAAAAAAAAAACGCAAAGAACCCTTCTCTATCGACCCGATTGTTTTTTTTTTGCTAGATGTTTTGCATTGACTCAGAATTAGATTCGTGTCTGTATTTTGGAATACTGATGAGGGAGAGGTCGCGTATGCATTGGTTAATCGGAAAACCAAATACAAGTAAGGGGGATTACGCATGCCAAGATTGGAATGAATATTGTTTGACCAGGGTCTCTTAGAATCGGAGGTGATAAGACTATGTGAAAGTTTGGTCGTAAAATTGTAAAAAGCCAGTTTCCAAAACTTACAAATCACTGCTCGGTGACCAATCCACACTAATCATTTTGGCATCAGAAAATAACATTACCACCATCCACAACACTGAACATAGGAACGTTCGTATTACAACCATAATACTGTTGGCAATCTCAAATCTTATAATTCCATCGTCGTCTGTTTCGGCAGTCTTTCCTATAAATGCCGAAAAGTAAATGACATTTGAGACAGTCTGATCTTGCGCAAGCAGTACCTGACGCGCGTTCAAAATACGAGCGGAAAAGATAAAGTGGGAAAGAGATCGAGTTCAGAGACTCGGAAATGCCGAAGCATAATCTCACTTGAGAGTTCACGAGATCCTATAATGGTATGTTCATGAGATTACTGATGGGAAGGTCAGACTTGTGGTGGATTCTAAGCTTAAAGTGGCTAACTGGAAGGTCCTTCGTCCCACTTCCAAACAAATCTTGACAAGCACGTCGGAAATTGGCGCTCTCCAAATTGATAGAGTCCTAATGGGTTAAGTACCGACAACCAGTACTTCGTCAGGTCGGAAACAAGTGGCCAACGCGCTTAATTTGGCCCGCAAAATGGACAGACAGAATATTTGCATAAGTTGTTTTTCCACCTGTAAAAGGAAGGTTTACCCGATCAAAAAGATTTAATATAAGCCTCGAAGGGTACCCCTCTCGACTCTCGGACACTCCCTATACCGCACTCAATGCGCGATCCAATTGGAACACAGGGCGGGTCAGAAGAAGGAACGAATCCTTCAAACGCTTATTCAATAAGGCGCATCGAATTACTTTATTGTTTTGTTTGATTTGAATTGTAAATCGGTATTACTCAAAAAGGATAGGTAAAAACCGGGTGGGAGAACAGCCCTTTGAACACTCATAAAACATTCGGAACTTGCCGAACAAGTAATGCGAATTTAATTATAGATATCACAAGTGGAGACCGGCACTTTCTATGTAAATGTGCACTTAAAAGGATAGCGATCGCCGTTGCGCCCCACTTTTTTGTTGCTAAATAACTCGAGGAAACTGTCGTTGCGAAAAAGAACTTGACCTCCAGCTACAGATATAAACACGGGTTGTCCCCCGGTAAGATGTATATACACATAAGAGGGAACAATATAAAACAGAATGCACCTGCCCTGAGGCACTTTGGATGCGCTCAAAGGATACCATTGCAAGATTGTTATGACTCCACTTCGTGGCCATTATTCTTTGCGGTTCGCCGCCATCTACTTCTCCCTCTATTGCCACATAATCCGGCCTGGGATGCTTTAATCCCAGTGACCATATAAAGGTGTCCCAAGGGAAATGGACAAGTCTCATTCCCAGATAAAATCTCAAAGATATGAATTATAATTACGCGGCTGAGGATAAGGCGTCCTTCGCGTCAGAACAGGTAATAAAATAATCAGATTGACATTGCTGACATGTATAATATCCCCGCTAAATTGAATACGAAGCTTGGTTCGTGTGAGGGCTAGGACTGTTTTAACATGCCCCCTGGGACTAATTATCAAAAAAATATGGAATGTATAATTAGCCAAGCCTCGCATTCTTCTTTTGAGACTTGGCCGAATAACCCTTCCGGTCATATAAGGCATCCTCATTAACCCTAAATTTTAATTTGCGGTAGCAGATGATTACAGGTACCATCGACTAGCGAGTAGCCATGGCCATGGGAAATCCGCTCAAAGAGAGAAGCAAAAATTTGCATTTTTTGAGGCCTGAAATAAGAAACCGACGGTGGAGGGGGTGGGCATTTAATTGCGATATGAGCCTGTAAAATGACGCGATCGGCCGAGAACCTAGGCAATGGCTTATCCCTGAAGCGAAGGCTAGCGGTTACTGTATAATTAGAGACTTAACGCGCAATACATTTCCAATCCATTTCTTATCGGGAGAATGGTCTTTTCTTGGTGGTAATAATATCCAGCAGAATTACTCTCCATAAAAACGAGTAAAGTCACGCAATCTTCGTATACAAGTCTTGGCCAGATTTATTGGCCCTAAAAGAGATTCCAAATATCAGATTTATAACATTCTCGATCCCTCAGTTATTGTACACACCCTCTTGCGTAACACTTTATGAACATATTCTTTGGCCATATGGCCGAATGATCTTGAATGGATATTCGATTACTGAGTAAACTTTGGAATGTGTCTACATAAAAGAAAACGAGAGACAGGAGAAAAAAGATAAAAGTGATTTATTTATTGGGTCGGGATTTAGTTCTACAGACGGCGTGAAGAACAAGATTGTTCTTGCCTTAATTTAAAAATAATGCAACAGTACTCTCTAATCTCTTCCGAGAAATGAAATCATAAGGCCAGACCTCCCTTTCGGCCGTACCAATCACTTCGAAATGGCCGCAAAAATCCCGAAACCAGATTAACAAGTGTTTTACACAAATAAGTTGTCAAGAAAAGTCGGAAGCCGAGGCGTCAATCAATCTCAGATCCCTTGCTCGGCCCTTGTAGTTGGGCTCTAATGCCTTGACCGCCCATTAATTAGTGACTTTTAAACCTGTCCAGCCGGCTGTAATGCGGACTATTGTTTGGACGTGCTCGTTCCGGCAATTGCTTGCTAATAAAGAGGGGAATGTGTTCGAGGGGTCGTTAATCGCTCTGCTCACAATTCTTAGACGCTTTTTGGGGAAACCAGATCGCTGCTTAATGGCCCACGGCTGAGAAAGGCGCTGATTCAAAAAAACACGAAATCCGGACACACGAATCCACACGGAAGGAAAAAAACTTTATTGATAAGACTCGAAATAGGTTCCCAAAAGAAGAGCGACATCAGAGAAAGGAATCAGTTTGCACTTTATTTCCCCTATCATAAAGCAAGAAAGGCCAACAAAGTGGAGTAATAATGGGCAAGGCAACCGGCTTTTCTGGCCACCCATCCGACCCTCGCCCGACCCAACTCAATGCAAATTCGATTCCAAAAAGGCCCACGATCTTCGCACTGTGAAGATTGGATCCCGATGAACTTGCTAAGATCTCCTAAGACATCGGTCCTTTTTTTATTCCAAAAAAGACAATTATTTAGCCGGCAACCGGCTTACTGTAGGTTTTGAATTATCTTTTTGATTTTTAATTTTTGCAAAAGGCAGTAAGTTGCGGAAGTATAAATAGAGATAAGGGAGTCAGCGGCTGGTTTTTCAATTTTTTAAAGTATGAGTCCGTAACTTATCGATTCTACCATCAGATGACAGACAAATATTTATGGGTTTGAATACTTAGCGAATCAGAGTCCAATTCAAGAAAGATAAGACACGATTGTTTATGTCTACCAATTTGTTTGCAAGTGTTTCACCCCAAAAACAAGCCGATAAATAGCCACAAAATGACTACCTTGCAGCGACCGGCGTCCCTTTGAACCCATCGCCACTCCCACTCTCGTATATGTTATATGACGGAAACGAATCGTTTACAACCATTTCGTGACCTTCCTCCCTTTCCGGCACAATCGCCACTCTATTAATTAAGGAAGCGTCGTCTTCAATCATAACTTGTCCGGGTACCCTTCTTTGATCATCGGTATCCGACTGACAGGTGATGGTTAGATTAATATTTAAATTCTTTATTCGCTATTTCCTGATTGAGCAGTGATTATACGATAATAACGAACATAAAAATATGAAGACCGTATTTGTCATCTATACCGGTGTCTGTTAATTGAAGTATCATAGTAGAGTTTCGTTGTTCATGTTGGAGAGTAATCGGGATGAGAGTTCTGAATTCTGAGCTTCAGAATCCGCGTCAAAGCTCGATACAATCGACTGAGCAGGTTTTAAGACACTTTCAATATTGTTTTCACCATCTTTTGAACTCAACGTCAACGTACAAGCCTGGCCTTTACAGGGCGTGACTGACTAAAAATTGCAAAGTGTTACAGATTTGTAGAATAATTATATACTTTGTATATAAACAATACCTGAGGGGCAGGTCGTTTCCGAGTACTCATGCATTTCTTGTAAGATTCCCTCAGAGAGAGCGCAACTTCTTTTCTCAACGGTGCTTGACATAACATGTAAATTATTGGGCGAAAAGCACATGCCATGTTCGTAAGGATGGACAACATGTCTATGGAAATTGCATAAAATCTAGGGCATTCTGATGACGTTTCATTTTGTTTACTTACTTCTCTTTCGCCACTAGAGAATCCTTGTCCACATGTTCCCAAGTGGTAATAACAACATTTGGAATATTGGAGACGAGATATGTACACACGACGAGCACCATTGTCCTGGTGGCTGCCCTAGCTTGGGCCTGAAGATGTGTGGTTTAGAACAATATTTTTTGCGGCCGTAGATGTAATCACAACAGTTACCTTTCTTTTTGTCTGCGCATTGTTGTTGGACACGCTTTCGTACTTCTCTTGTTTGTGAAGAGCTCGGACAATTAAAATATTCAGCCAAAACAGGGCGAAGAACGGGAAGAATATGGTGACGAAGTTACGATAATAGAATCGGAAGTACTTTGAATATAAGTTCAAATAGTTTAAGACTCACGTCGTTGTACGGGGTGTCGGGTCCACTGAAAGGTTCCATGGCCAAACCGTATTCGGTCATTTGACCTCGACATTCCTCAAAGATTACCACCTGAAGAATAGGACATTTTATTTTTTACCTACTTTCATTTCAATAAATATCCCGCCTTTACTTATTACTCCCATCAGAATAGCCAGGAAAACAATCCATTGTCGTCTACGTTGAACTATGGGAGCCCAACTTGTGTTTAAAGTAATACAAAATCTTTCAAATGTAGCTGCCAAAATGAGGAAAGAAGTGGTGGTTATGGCAATATGTGATATGGTCAACATGGGAGGCATGTAATGATAGTACACTTTGATAACCCCAGGCAGTTCATGGTATTCTGCAAACACTCCCACACTCATCAAGAAGATATAGGCAAGACTGACAAACACGTCGAAGAAGGCAATCATCATCATGTAGATGTTGTAGGTGGTTCGGTGGTGTTTTCTAAAATAAAGCCAGCTTATTGTGTAATAAAAAATCTAAATTTATACCCGCCAACTCACCGTCTGAGGAAATGGAAGAAGAAAAAAACATTTTCTACAATACTGGCTAGGGAAATTGTGGAGCCGAAAACAGTGACAAGCCATATCCTCATGTCTGCCAGAGGCGGTATTATGTAAGTGCAAAAATCGGGTTCGACTTCCGTACCCGAACTATTCGAATCCATTTTGAACTGAAAAGAAATTGAGAAAGGATATGTTCATATATACACTCGCAATGTTCATTAATCTATTGCAATATAAGAGCTTTACGCAAAGAAAAAATTATTAGATAAGGCCTTAGAAAATATTGCAAAGGTCGGCGGAGATATTCGAAGAAAAATCTCGCGAATTGGAAGTTTTTTTGGCACCGACGGCCACAATTAATCCTAGCCTGAGGCTACGGAAAAGATCGCGCGATCCCTCTTCCAGTAATTAGCCATCTTAAATGTGGACGAACGAGAGGCGCCTTCTGGGAAAATAAATTCCCATTTTAAATTTATTCAAGCCGCAGGTATTAAGTTTAGGGGGGGAGACTGGTAGATCAGGTGGAAATACCCAAGCAGTGCCTAGACGGTCACCCTTCTAGTTTTTACTATAGTTTAGCCTTCATGCATTCATATTTTTGGTCGGAAACAAAGGCATAATATTTTTTAAGTTCAAAGAACGCAAAACCAAAAGATATGAACCTCCAACCCGGCTAAGGCACTGTTCGATACAGAGATAGTTACTGTCAGGTGGAAATATTTTTATTTATAATTTAATTCCGCTTAATGAAAAACAAAAAAGTCGATCCTTTTGGTCCAACCTTTGACCTAATTAAATATGTGATATGGCCAATGAATAAAGAAGTGCGCAGATCTTATATGATGTTCCTATCAGTGTACAAAGTGAAGCATATCTTACAGTGAAAGCCTACGGAGATTCCTTAAGGCGTCCTTGAACGACGTTCTCAAGGTTTGGACACACCAGACATAGAAACTTGTCATCCTCCGGACACTTAGTGCCGTCCTCGGATAAGGTGTCGTGTGTTTTTTGTGGATCAAATGACTTCTGAAAGGCCCAAAAACTTTCAGTTGAGGACAAAAACAGGAGGACAACGTGAAGGTGCCAATAAAACAAGTAAGTTAATTTTAAGGGGTTTATGAACAGGTTATTTTATTGATAACCCACGTCTTTCCCTGGCGGCAGCAGGTGGTTTCCGCGTACAAAAAACGCAAAGCACTCCGTCCGCCCGCCATCCGCCAAAGAAGGGCCGCGGGAACGAATCTGGAGAAAAGAAAGGGAAATTTGATTTGAATGCCGCCAAATCTGTTCAAAAGTTTTCAAGCCTTATTTGGACACACCGACATTAAGGCCGGATTAACAAGAGTGGATTCTCCAACCTCTCTTGGGGCTTGTATTGTCCCAATCAAATTAAGGCCAGAAGAAAGACTGGGAATAGTTAAGGTGTTTTTTGGCCCAACCATGAGTAAATTCTCCAATTGTGGGCCACAAAGAAACAATGGCTAGAGCCCGCTCTTAATAGGAAGTCAGCGGTGACTGGTGATGACAAAACAGAAGACGTGCAGCTATTCTAGGAACTGTCTTTATGGAATTAGGAACAAAAAAGCGTTCATCGACCAGAGGTTTCCAATCTCTTGGAACTACCTCAAAATGACATTTCGTATCTCTTTCGCACAACAATTATTATAGTTGAATAGAAGACGTCTTCAAAAAACGGAAAATAACGATATATAATCGGACTAATTTATAGAGCTACGCCCGCACCGTATAAATTAACCAATTGTGGGTTGAAGAACGTGCAATAAGTGATATTTAATTTTCCAAAAATTGGGTTTGATGCAAGCTCCAGAGGGCATGAGAGGAGGTCTTGAGGAAAGCGAATTGAATGTCCACACTTGACTGGAACGGCCAAAAGAACATTTCTAATTTCAAGACGGAATCTGAATCGGGTTTATGTAGATGAACATAAAGTCCCTGGAGAAAAGATGGAAACAAGAAGGAATACAGATGATGGTGAGGAGAACGTCACTGGGTTCTAAATCTGGCCAATGTCCTTCGAGGAAGCTGGTCAGGGTGGGGAAATAATCCACTTTCCAGTTGCAAAAGATCCCGCGTTGATGGAATGACAAAGAAAGATGCTTTAATTTGGACAAAGGAATCGGCTTTCGCTTTCAAAAGATGGAAATATAATGCGGGAGTGAGCCATTAGTCTTCCACAATTTATTTGCAATATCTGGGTTAGAAATTTTCTTAAATATATTATCATATCTGTGATCACAACACTCTATTGCAATCCAATGCATATAAAAAAGGTAAACTAAACTTTTTGTGACACAAAACGAACTTGAAGCTGTGAATGATAGGATAAATAAATAATCCCCTCCCAATCTACGTGATCCCAATGTTTTGATAGGCCTTGGCCAAGGGCGAGCGAAAGAAAACTCTCATTTAATTCTTTTGATTCGACTTTTTTTGTTGGCCCGGACATAAAATCAATGGAGATAATTAAGCGATGATTTACTCCCAGTTTGGCTGACATTAACGCGAATAAAACACGAGGCAAAAAATATGTTCAAAAAGCCATGATCCCGTTTATAAGAGTATTGAATAAGCAGTAACAAACACAAACACCCCAAAATGTTCAAAACGGCGGCCACAAAACATCGAACGGTTTCTAAAAAAGAAATCCTTGAGAATCCTCTGGGGATCTACAATGACGAGGTACAGAAACAGTCGAGAGTCCCGAACCAAATGGCAAGGTGTTGGAAGAAGACGGATGCCCTGGGGGCATATCCTTCAGAGATTGGGTGGGGGATTAATCAGCCTTATTTCGTTCCATTTATTTCCACCTTGTTTTATGTTTTCTGTTCTCGTATAAAGTGCAGAAGAAGTGGAGAATGACATGACCTGTCAAGTCATGAACACACGGAAACCCTCAGGGAATGTTCCCGCCAACAACTGCTACTTCACAATTTAAACTCGGACTTTGAAAGATGACCACGGCTTAGCGAAATGTTTAGAAGGTTTAATTTTTTGGTTCTATTTATATATACAAACAAACATGCTGGAGTAACAAATAAATGAAAATAATACCCGTGGAGAGCAACATTAATATGCGGACAACCCAAGCGGACGACGTTCGGGAACGGACTACAATTCGTCATCGGCAAGATAATACGAGATGATATGTACATATAATAAATAAAACTAGTAATATAAGGTCGTTCGATTGGGTCTCCGGCCTCCGTGAGTATGGTGTCCACTGGTTATATGCTCCTGAGTCGATCTTCTGGAAGTACTGGGTCCTGCTTCGGACATTCTCAACGCATAAATATCCTCAACAGAGACTGTCTTTTTAGTTCTTAAGACCGACGCTGGCCTTGAAGAAATGGGACTGCCATTTTGAGGAGGTGTAAAAGCACTGATTTGACCATAGGGACTTGGAGACAATCCCCTCAAAACAGAACTTGCACTCTTTGAACGGGATCTGACAAACATCTAAACAATCAGCGTGCTTAAATTATGTGCCACTTACACATGACATAAACACTGTAAAGAGAACAATCAGACACACAATGGCCGAGGAGATCAGCAGAACTGAAATATAATTTTTTAAGTACAGGGTGGCCCACTCTGTAGTCATAAAGTATTCTATTTTATTTATTATACTCATAATATGTGGATTACTTACGCCAATACAATGGCCCACTAAGCCTGGGATTGTTGTTAGAGTTTACTAATTGTGCGAATAGAGTAGTAGGCTCAGCATGGTATGTCTGATCTCCATATCGGAAGTAAAGTTGGCCAGATTCAATCTAAAAAGTAATTGTAATACTTTTGTGGCTGAAAGTACCTTTTTCGTTATAAGATCTGCCTTCTTTTGAGCATCCCTCGAAACAAGATTAAATCGAATAGAATTGTCATCTTGCACTAGAAGGTCTCTAATGTCATTGTCTTCGAGTTCGAAAGTTTCCTTAATGTAATCTCTCAACTTATCAGAGAAGGCTTCCGTATGACGAGATCTCATCAATGGTCCAGTGAATGTGAACCCAACATGATAATATTGCATTCCATCTTCGTCCAGGGCCTCGTCCATTCTGAGTCCCCTGCAGTATAATTTGCAATCTTTCTCCGACTCAAAATTATTCAAGTTCCCATCACATCCACTATAAATAAAACGCTGGCATAACTGACTTTCAGCGTCGAAGTAATACCGCTCTGTGGGATTGTTACAAGATCCAATATCCAATTCGAGATTACAAACAAACCCTAAGAGACCGTGCGTAAATCGATGGGCACCTTACTCTTTGTTGGACAACAGATTCCATGGCCTTGTTCATTTGAGGAGACGCAGTAATGAGTACTGGGACAAGAATTTGCCTGTTTTAACGAGCAAATGGCTGGTCTGTCATGGGCAATAAAAGGTGTTCCGTGCGGACAAGAGACGTCCCCAAAGGCCTTTAATAATGTTGGATCAGTGGAGGGACAACAAACGCCGACATTAATGTCACTAAAGCCAGTACATATGTGATTGGACGGGCATGGTCTTGTAATGTTCTCAAAACAGTTGTACTGAGCGATAGAAGACATATCTTTTAATGGATATCCATTCGAACACGGGTTTCTCTCGCCTAAAATGGAATGATTACAGTAACAGGAAAATATTCCGCAAAGCGGAAAACCTCTTATAATTAAGCTCGTTTTGGCGGAGCTAACGATTGGTACGTAGCACATAAATCTGGACACTGTACTCTTGTATATGCTAGGTATTTACAGTGGGCACTCGGTCTTGGCGCGAAAAAAATTAAATTGAAAGTTGGGTAAAAATTCGTACGGACTTTCCGTCCAACCTAATAGTACTTACAAACAGGAACAGGAGGACAAAAAGAGAGACCACAATTGGTCTGTCTCATCAGACAGACTTCGTCCTCTGGACAGTAGATAGAGTCACATGGGTTGTAACATCTACATTGAGAGGTCTTCGGACATCCTTCGGAATTGAGGTCAAGACCCAAAGGACAGTTGTTGACCTCATCCAGAGTACATTGAAATGGACATTCTCTTCTTTTGGCAGCACAGGTATCAATTGAAGGCTGATATTGACGAGTCCCCACCAATTCGATTCCACTCTCCTTCTCCACACACCAACAGTGACCATCCTGATTACACTGTGTTTTGAGAAAAAGGCCGCTCTCCGTATCACACAAGGGAATCGACAATGACGTCTTAATTTTTCGGTTTAACAGATTTTGGATGGCGCTACTCAACGTGTGACAATCTGCATAATCAATTTCGTATGCTGTGAAATTCAGACTTACGTGTAGCGGCGGTAGGTGCCCTACACATGGCGGAGCATCCATATTTACAGCACATCTTATTCCGAGGACAATCATCATTGGAATCGCATTCTTTTTCACACCTCTCATCTTGGAACAAAGTATCCCGAGGGGGGCAAACTCCCGGGACTTTTTTCTTTAGAGCGGACATTACATCAAATGGTTTGGTCTCTGAATGTGAACATAAAGTAACTACAGTAATCTCATTTCAAAATGTCGAAAAATGATTACCAGTCCCACAACAAATCCCAATCCGGAATCCTTGAGGGTCATTTGTAGTGGCCAGAGAGCGGCAAATATTTGTTCGGCCGCAGTCTTCTTCATTCTTACAAGTAACTACCAAGCCTAAAGAATCCTTTAAAACTTGTGTCGGAGAAGGACAGGTTGATGGTCTACAGACTGGTTGCTGAACACACTTCTCTCCCGTTAAACAGTGAACCTTCTTCAAGACACAGATCTCCCCAGGAACGACACAAGTGAACTGTTCACATGGATTCAGACATTCGCATTTCCCATTTAACGGACATCCAGAATTATCGAGCCTTAGGCCATGTTCGCAGTCCAATTCGTCAGCAACGCATTTCACAGAACATCGTCGGGGAACTAATCTTGTTTGATTGTATTTGAACTGCCTTACCTTTACAATTAGGCTCTCCTATTGTTGACATGGGGCTTCTTGTCCCCGTAATCTCATTCCCCGTTCTCTTCTCCACACACCAACACTGCCGTCTCTTCTTGTCACACTGGATTTCCTTGTAGTCTCCATTGGAATTACACTTTTTTAACTGATCTTCATCAAAGGAAATCTGTGGGACCAACGGTCCCAAACGGGCATATTTTATAACCTCTTCGGCTAATACAGCCAGTCGATGAACACAATTGTGAGTTATTTCGGGAAAAAGGCATCTTTTTCCACATCCAAAATTACAGCACAACTGGAAATCGGGGCAATCGTAATCTTTGAGACATTCCGTTTGACACCCAGGATTCTGGAATCGATTGGAAGGACAGGAGCCAAGCTGGTTCGGTGACAACAACACATTATTGGAAGCCTCGTCTAAATAGTGATGCCAATAAAAATGATTGAAAACGTTTTCTTACTTTCTGCAGGATGGATTGGCCTCACCGTATCCAGCTGAGTACCTATGCATCTGACTCCAAACCCGTCGAAGCAACATGCCTGGCCATTCGAACATTCCATTTTACACTCGACTGTCCTTGGCCTAATACTCTGACCATTTGCGAATGAAGTAAAAACGTCAGGACAAGTTCCTCTACTTGCACCTAAACCGAAATGTGAAAAAAAGCTCGCCTACTTATTCCAGCACAACAATAACTTCTTTTTTCGAATCCAAAATGATGACATGACCATCCAGGAGGACATGTTTTGTCGGATCCATTACACTCCAACAACTTAGAGCCTCCTCCAATTGTCAAAGGATCACCTCGAGGGCAGATGTTCGGAATACATTTGGGGATATGATTACAATTGCTGGAGTCTACACAATCAGACATCACAGAGCGACAAACATATTGCAGAGGACATTCCACATGCTCACAGAGATCCCGGCATTCACAGATCTCGCAGCCATCACTCCCAATTTTATATCCGAAATCACAGGAAAGCGGGCAAATGGCTGTGGGGCAAATCCTGGGTCTTTTACAGTCGGGAGTCTCGACATTTGATCTGGTTCCAGGCAACTCACGACCATCTTCACCGACACAATATTGCTGATCTCCGGAACTCTGGACTGGACTGAATTCCCCATTTAACTCGCACAAAGGCTAAAAATTTAGCTAATTTTGATTATTCAAGAGGAACTTTTCTTTTACTTTTAGGACTTACTAGTTTCAAATGATTGTTTTGAAATTGAATTAATGCCTGGATGGCCCCTTTGAGATGGAAACATCTACTTGTTTTCACTGGATTCAGGCACGACCTCATGCATCCATCGAAACAACAAATCAATCCAGACGGGCAATTTGAGTCTACATAAAAGTAAATTGATTACACGATCTGTGTACCTGTAACACATTGATCCTCCCTTTTGTGGCCACAAACGCTCATCCCAACATCCTTTACTAACGGGCATTCCCTTTGAAGTTCGCCGATTAACGACTTGTTCCGATCTGAATTTTGGATAAGGTTATGTGCAAACATACCTCGTGTCTTCGGCGTTTCAGTAGTTATAACCACACATTCAGTCCCACATCCATTATAACAACATTTGGAGTCAGGGCAATCTTTATCATCTTTGCAATGTTGATGACAATTGGATGTCATCGAAGATATTTCTGATCGTTTTGGACATTCGCCGGAGGACTGGGGATATCCTAAAATAAATTATCATAAAATTGAGTCATCAAACCTGTTCCTGGACAACATATGCCTGAAGATAATCCGAAACGACGACAGTGACCATTGGAAGGACATTCACTGTCACTGAAGCATCTAACAACGCCACTTGTCATTCTACTCTTCACCGGGAGCCCATGACAAATATTGGGAACACATTTGGGAACATCAACACAAGTGTCGCCGTCACAATCAACTGGTTCAGTAAGACAAATGTAATTATTGGGACACGCAATTGCCTGTAACTCATGATATTTGTAATCAACTTGAGCTTACTTGACATGGATTGTAACATTCACAAGAATCGCATCCTCTTTTGTCCTTTATATATCCGTGAGGACAGTTCTTGAGACAATTCTGAACAGGACATATTCTGGGAGTACAAGTCGGCTTTGTCCCGACTTCCACTCGAGTCCCAACCATCTCCAGGCCATGGTGATCGATACACCAACAACCCGAGTCATCACATTTGATTGGTTTAAAGGATCCATCTAAGAAATTTGGTGATATAAATTGGTAAATTTACCTTCATTACATCTCACAAATTCCTCAATTCCAAACTTTTCGTAGGCTGCTTGTAAGTGTAAACACGCAGTGGTAACCTGGGCATAATTACATCTCCTAAAACATCCATCGTAGCAACATTTCTGGATTCCGTTGCAATCAGAGTCCACTGTGCATTCATTATGGCCAGATCTACAATTATTTCTGGTGTCGTTTCCCATTCGAGGGCATTTCCCGATCTTGTTCTTATGCTTTAATGGCTTCACAACTCCACTTCGTACTGTAGATAGAGTTGTGGAAATGGGATGACCCATCTCTGAGCATTGCATTCCGCAACCATTAAAGCAACATTTCGAAGTAGATTTACATTCATCATCAGATCTACATTCAATGTGACAATGCATTTTCGGAGATATATTGACTGGGATCTTTGGGCATTGGCCACTTTTTTGTCGTGAAATTGTAGAATCTTCACAACAAAGTCCCCCAAATCCAGGAAATCCAACATTATTACATTTATATCCAACACCACATTCACTGGAACATTGCTGAACAAGGCCATCATCAGAAGTTGCTGGTTTTCCATTACAAATGTTTGGAATACCTAAACATAGATAGCAGAAAACAACACTTACATCGAGGTTGTTGAGGACAGGAAGAAGGTGTAATACATTCAACATCCACCATCACACAGACATTTCCAATTGGACATTGGATATGGGAACAGGGATTAAGACAACGACAAGTTTCGCAACCATCTTGATCCAATTCGGACCCATACTTACAATTGCAATCTTTGATATGACAAGATTTTGGATGATCACAATTAGGGCTTTGGGAGTTGGCCATTAATGTCCCAGGAATCGGGACTCCAGTTAGGCGATTTACACAATAACAATTAACATTGTTACATTGCACAGCCTCAAAATAACCATCATCTGAGCATTGTGGGGAATAAATTGATGAAAATAATTGAGAAGAAATCGCCTGATGAAGACAGGGACTGGTCTTGTAAGGGAACACACACTTCTTGGAACAGCCATCTACACAACATCGCCTCAGGCCGGCACAATCATGGTCAGTCTCACATTCAGCACTACATATTGTAGATGAAGATTGCGGGGATTCTACGGGACATTGAGACATGTGAGAGATGAGCTCTGTAAGAGTTTTGTTAATTATTTCTTGGGTCTTTGTGCTTTCTTACTCTTATTATCATTTTTATTTGTATTTCCTTTCTGAGGCCTTGATCCGTGGTAATCAGTTGTACATTTGAGGCCACAACCATCGAAACAACACTTCTCGGAATCCGAGCAATCAGAATCCCCGCGACATTCAGATTCGCACACCGATTTCTCGTCGATTTCAACTTTTTTGCATTCTCCGGAGCGGCGCGCGGACTCGGGATCGGAACAACAAAAGCCGAGTCCGTCAAAACCAATCTAAAAGTGACCAGTCATGTGGATCTTATTAAATCCCGCGTGTAACTCTCCACTACAGAGTTTCACGGTTATATTTCAGGGCCATTCCCTCCGGCAATTACTCATTTTATTACCTGGTTGCACCAGAATCCAATGCCACATTGTTTCTCGTTTCTGCACAACGCAGTCACTCTATTCCTCAGCTTCTTCAAACCATGGGGACAGGGGTTGATTAAGCCTTAAAGAAACATTATATGTAGTAAAATGGAAGTGTACAACGAACTTACAGATCGGTGCTGGAGGGCAATTGGGACAAGAGGACTCCTTCAGTTGGCATTCGCTTATTTTATCTTGGCATCTTTAAAAATAAAATCATTTCTCAAAAAGTCATTACAAAGATACGATTTGTAAAATGTGCATTTATTGTAAATCGGCTTACTTAACTCCATCACAGGGGCTTTTGCATTCACATCCCGCCAGTGGACATCCGTGAGAGTCCGTCCTTAATCCGTAAATACATTGTTTATCCTCACAGAGTTGATCGCAGGGAGTATTTACTGCAAAGTACATAATTAACAACCAGTCTTCTTACTGTGGCAGTTCATTTCGTTCCGCTTGTTTTTGTTTGTTTTCGTTCCCAACAACTCAGTTCCTTTGTCCGGGTCCACACACCAGCAGAATCTCTAAGATTTCTTTAAAATATGTCATCATTTTGCATACCAAGTCACATTGGATACTCTTGAAATCTCCATTGCTATCACATTCAGGGATGTAACCATTTTCCAAAACTTTTTGTGGCAATTTGCTTACAGCCCTAAGAAGATTCAGGCACCATCTTAAGCCCTTGCCGCCTTTATTGGGCCCTAAAATGGAGTTGGAGACAAGGGTGTATAAATATGGATAAAGGATATCCCTACTTGAGATCCCCGAGATGGGTAAAATGGGAAGCGCCGACTTGACCGGTGCCACTTCCACTGGTTGCACACACTCCATTCCACATCCATTGTGACAACACTTGAAGTCAATGGGACAATCATGATCTGAATGACAATCCTGGGAACAGGAACCCCCGTTTAATCGGGGACACTCCCCAATAAGGTCTGTCTGACGATGCGAGAGTAGGGAGGGAGATCGCGGCACTTCGATACCCGACACCGCTAAACAATTTGCATATAAAGTGGATCAGTGGTGTTATATGTAGATATTAGTTAATTACACTTACAACCAGTTATGCACTGAGGCACGCCGTTATTCGAAATACAAAATTGGCCGGGAGCGCAGGGGTAATTCTAGATTCAATTTCATTTGACAGAGGATCAACTTACAGTACAAGGATTTACATAACAAAGACAAATACAACTACTGCCAAAGCCCCAGGAAAAACCTTGAGCACAATTTAAAATACATGCCGGGGGGCGAATCAAACAGGGCCCCGATCGACTGTTTACGGGATTTATTTGGCCTGAGGTGACGGTAGAAAAGAGGATACAAACAATGAGCCTAATGAACAGCCTCGCCTGGATGGTCATCTACAGAGCAGAGGCATTCAACCACAACTACAGATTGATCTTTTTTAGGGAGAGAATCGCTTTTGGAGTCAAATGGATGGATAATAATGGCGTTGCTGACCGGTTGACTTGACACGAGTTCAGGGAAGTGAAGAGCGAATAAATAAAAGAAGATGAGGAGTGCGCGAACGAACGGCTTGGAGGCGGGCGATTCAGGTTCGGTCGCCATATAAAGACAATGAGGCCGATGTTGGTCTTGTATTAGGGTTCCCTCGTATTAGTCTCTTGTCTTAGTGTGACTGATGGCTTTCAAGTCAATATTTGGATAAGTCAAGGATTTGTTTGGGGGGTATGACATTGCCCATGTTATATTTGTTTTGGATTGGAAGATTTTATACACCCAACACGTTTCTTGTTACAACAATTATATGTAGCATGATGGGAGTTTCTTTTTTTTTACAGGATGGGCCAAAAAATGGACATTCTTTTTTCTTCGATCTTTCTTGCCATGAAACACCCTGTATGATGTGATTGTGAAGCATACTTGTGATTTGTCCAAGTAATCCTGAATCGTCCTTCTCTTTCTTTCCTATGTTTCTCGAAAACCTATATGAGAACATGTATTATTTTGAGGTGGTTATTGAACAACGACCACGCAATAGAATTAATTGCATTAACGATTGAAACAGTCCTGTTTAAGTCGAATTCTTTTTTTGAGGCTGTAAACCTTTTTATGCTCATTTTTTTTCATTTTCCTCAAAATTTAATTGTCCTCTGACCTTTTTGCGGGACAGTTCTTGATTACAATCGATTTTATCAGTTCCGTCAGTCTAAAAAAGCAATCGATATAAACAGAAGAAGCGTGTCGAATAAATATAATCATAAACAAATCCCGTTTGACATTATTTTTGTCTTCCTTGCGTCAAATAATAGTATTACTATGTCATTATAACATAACAAGTTTATTGAATATTTTTACAAGTAATAATCGAAGATCGTCTTTACTGAGATTTGTTGATTTTTTCTTGATGCTGAACATACTTCTTGCCTCCGGTCCTGATGTAAGAGACGTAGTAAAACTGGAACCACAAGAGAAGATAGGTGACTTCCATGAAAGCACCCACAAAGAATCCATATGGAGTCACAGCCACCTTATCTCCCACCACCCAGGCTGAATAGGCAGTCAATGCCATAACTAGATGAGTAATCAGGAATTGGACGATCTGAGCAGAGGTAATTATCTGAGCAACTTGAGGGGGAACACGGATCTGACAAGCACGAAGGCCATAGTACGTATACATGGCAGAATGGATGATATAATTGAGCCAAACAACCCAGATCATGTAGGCATTCTCCGAGTAGAAGGTCACAAAAGCAAAGTATCCAGTAAAAGCATGATGATACCAATGCATGAACATCAAGGGCTTCTTTCTGAGGACGATGAAGAAGGTGTCCACAAATTCGGGGATCTTGGAGACTACCCACAAGAAGGTCCAATAGCCAGCAACTTTGTCCGTATACATCTCACTGACATGAGTGTAGGTGTCTAAAAACAATTTAATACTTTGGGTTTTTGTCTGACTTTGTTTTGAAAATTATACTAAACTCACGCGAGATTCCATGTTTGCTGATAACTCTGATCCAAGTGGGGGTTGTGTAGATAACTCCGAGGATACTGAAGGTGGCCAGAATCGCATTCCATAAGATCAGAGGGACTTTCAAATCAAAAGGTTTCCGAGAACTTTGAATCCATTTAATCGTCCAGATCCCGATCACATAGAAGGCGACAGCCTTCAGAAGAAAGGGTTCGGTCTCGACTAGCCATCGCTTGGCCTTATTAAAGTTATATTCCTCGAAAAAGATACCCAAACTGGAAGCCATGTTGCTGGATGGGAATACCGATTGATGCCCCGTCTTCCTTGTTTTATAAGAACGGCGTTATCAGTGGAACTTTGATCATCACCCCATCCCGTCCTCTCCATAATCGGAAGAGTTCTAGTCCTCCAAAGCAAAAAAACTTTTCACTGTAATTACTGCTCGCATGTCTTTCATGGAATGTTTTACGGTTTAGTGACACTCTTTCTTTTACGATAAGGAGATGAACAAGAATCCGAAGCACAATTAAAACTGGAGCCGCAAATGGAAGCCCTTTTTTTATTCGCTCGCCACGGTAGATCGCCTCATAATACCGGTTGTTACGCTCTGAATAAAAGAAGATACGACGACTACAGAGTCAGTAAGTGTTTAAGTTGACTATAGTCCTGTTGCGATTATCTCTTTCGTAATCGGTTGTGCAATCTATTACGATCAAAGGTTTTGTTTTAATAAACGTTTTACTTTCAGGTGTGAAATGAATGTAATCTGTCTTTTGTTTGCCCTAAACTTGGCTCTTGTGATCGGTAGACCCCAGCTGGATGATGCAAAGACCCTGGAATCAGCACCCATCACTCCAGAAGCGTCTTTTATTATCCGTTCGGTGGGTGCATGCAAATTAAGGGAACGGAAGATACTATTTGCTGAATATGAATAATAGATGTTCTAATGAATACAAGTCTCCTCTTCTCAGACTTTTGTTTTTCAGCGTGCGAAACGGGCACTCTTACGCAGTCATTGGCATGGCCGACACACGGACTACTCCTTAGAGAGCGCAGAACATAAGATTATTAGAAGAACCTGGTAATTACCTGCCAGTCCCAATATATACATCACCTGTCAATTAATATTTTCTCAACCTAATTTCTGCGCGTGTTTCGGGGGCCACGGCCTTGGCCACGCTTCGTTTGTCTATGGATTCGGGAAGGAAAGTTCATTGGAGGGATGTCTCGGCTTCAAATGAGACGGTCACTCGGATTCAGACCGAAGATTTCACAGTCGATACCGTGAGTTTTCTCCATTTTTGAGGGGACAGCTGTAAAAAGTGGATAAATAGAGTCCTACAAGTACTTATGTAGTACTTGTACTTTTACAACCTTTGCCCAAATAAACACAATATTAATGAGACGGATTAAATATGACGGGTGTGGGTGTGCTGTTATTTTGGTACTTGCAGTCCCACAATCTCACCCCTTGCCTGTTTTCAGTCCCGATCTCTGCCCGCCACCACCAAAACGCATCCCTGTTGTCACATAATTATGCTGATACTACTGGTCTCCGTGTTTTCCGTTTCCGTCTTTTTTATTCAATGTTTTTTGTATGTCCTTTACACACTGATAGCCAAATTTTGGAGTTCTTCGTTTACTCTGCCCGTCAATCAAACCGTGTAATAAACGATTTTTCCATTTGGAGGGCATTTTTCAAGTTCATTCCACGGCAACGGTCCGCAATAATGGGCAGATTTTTGAAATCCTGAGAAATTCAGAGAACCTTAGCATCCTTATATATTTGTAAAGCGTATGTTTTTTATGTGGTTTTTACATGTTTTTACAGGTTAACAATGTATGTAATTTTTTGAATTTCTTCTAAAAATTGTGGATTTATGAGACTTCAATGGTTCTCCGTTTGGTCAGGGACAGTTCGGGCCGCGACAGTTCGGGTCAGGACAGTCCGGCTCACGACGGTTCGGGCCAATAATACCGTTTCATATGTAATCGGGTTTGCGGAGGATAGGTTACCCCGAGAATAGGTTACCCACCGGATATGTTACCCCAAAAAACACATGTCCCGGAGGATGGGTTACCCCACCGGAGAGGTTACCTAGAGGATAGGTTACCCCTTACCAAAAAAAAAAAAATTTTTTTGAAATGTCTTCGGGACTTGGAAAAAAAGAATTTTTTGTGAAGTTTGAATAAAATTTGAAATGTTTTCGCTTCCGGAGTTGAAAAAAAAAAGAATTTTTCGTGAACTTTGAATAAATTTTGAAATGTTTTCGCTTGGGGAGTTGAAAAAATTTTTTTTGTGAAATTGGAATAAAATTTGGAATGTTTTCGTTTCGGGAGTGGGAAAAAAGAATTTTTTTGGAAGATTCAACAAAATTTGACATGTTTTCTCTTCGTGAGTGGGAAAATTTTTTAATTCTTTCAAATTTTATTCAAATTTCACCAAAAAATTCTTTTTTTCCCAGTCCCTAAGCGAAAACAATTCAAAAATTTTTTTTTCAGAAAAGGGGTAACCTATTCTCGTGTTGACCTATCCTCTGAGGTAACCTATCCGTGGGGTAACCTATCCTCTGGGGTAACCTATCCGAAACTTGGGGTAACCGATCCGGTGGGGTAACCTATTGGCTAGGGGTAACCTATCTTCCGAGAACGATGTAATCGATGGGATTTTTTCCGAACAGTGTACCTTACAAACTTTGAAATGTTTTCGTTTCGGGTCATGAAAGAGAGATTTTTTGTGGAGAATTTACACAACTTTTTAAGCCAAATTGTAATATTCAAAAACAGAGATGAATATTGTATTCAAAATTATCACCATTGATTGTCTCTAAATCCACTATTACCCAAAAAATTTTAAAAATTACATTTTTACATTACTTTGTATGAACTATCGAATAATTTATGCAGATTTTTGCTAAAAAATCGTATGAATTTGAAATTTTGAGGAACTAAATTGCTCCTTTTGTCAAAATGTCCGGATAAATAAACAGTAAAACTAGTTACGACTAATGTAAACGGCATTCATCACAGTCTATGGTAAAAGCTTAGTACGAGATTTTCACTTCTGCCAGAAAAAATTACTGTAATCTGACGTCATTTTGGAAAGATCTGTCAAATTAAAAACCCCAAAAATAAATGAAAATTTTGCAACCGTTTATTCGTAAACGCTAGAAACAAAATGCTTCACTAAGCGAAAAAAGCTCCGGCAAAAAGGTCTAGGTCGTCACCAACTTCAAGATGGTGGACTAAAATTATCCGAAACGTTCTCCGTGCTTGACTAGGATGGTCACTACACCTTTTTTATAGTTATTTCGTCATCAAGATCACGACCAGGTCATTACCATCCTACTAGCTGATCCAAAAACCGTCTGGATCAGCTAGTAGGATTATTTTTTTGGATTTTGAACATTAATCTTGACCTAACTCACGATCTATGTCATGAACTAGCTTAGTTCTCCCCGAAAAACGCACCTGCCCAGATCAAGGGTAGCTGTAAATTTGTGTAGTTTGTTTTTGCCAATAAAATCATAAAAAAGGAATATCGTTTTCATAATCAGCGACGTTGATTACCCATAAATCCACAATTTTTAAAGAAAAATTCAAAAAGTTACATTTTACTCTTTTAAAAATGTAAAAATCACATAAAATACACATGGTTTACAAAGACATAAGGATGTTGAGGATGCCTGAAAGGATTCCAGCAAACTGCACATTATAGCATCTGCCCATTGTGCTTTCTGCCCATTACGAACGGACACGCATTACACATTAACTGATGACATATCATGGTTGTTATGTTTTTTTGTTTTTGATCTCTGACTCATTTGAGGAAATGACATATGGCCGATCATCAGACCCACTCATCAAATCATCAGGTCAAGTTAAAGACGACTTTAAAGAAGTAAAATAACACGTTGAGTCATCACAGACGTCGCATCGAGCGCTCAAAATAAACATAAGGTATGTTTTGTCCCATAAACAACTGACTTTGAGTGAATAAACAGGAATCAAATAAATTAAAGAGCGAAGTCAAGGGCCTTCAACAGATCCAAAGGGCCGTTCAATTCGAAGGTAACGTAACAAACAGCCTTACTTTCCTTCTTTCCTTGCCTTCCTTCCTTCCGCCTTCAACAAACAATCAGGGCGGGACCGTTCCTTTTCAATAAAAGTTTTTTATTTTGGTCTAGATTTAGATCAGATCTGATTTCAGAGATCAGAGAGGAAGGATGTGGCGTCGGATCGTGGTGTTTTCGCTTTTGGTCAGTCTGACCCTGGCTTTGGAGGTAAGCAACATGTTTAAATAAAATTTTGAGTTTGAAATGTTTACTTATACTTTCGCACCGTTTATTCTAATTACACTTTTTGCGTTCTCATTTACGTCATGACTTTATTAACCGTTATTATAATGCCTTTCAGAAAAGAGATGCTGCTCATGACATCAAAAAGAAGTACGGAGATCTCAAGGAAAATTGTTTCCCCCGTCCCGGAGTAAAAGCCGGCTGTAGATGCACGTTTAAAAACGATAAAGGAGAGGAACAAGTCAAGCTGTTCGACAACAAATCTGAATGTGTGAAACCAGTCGTGGGTGGGTAACCAACTTCAAACCTTACCAAATTATATTCCTTTAGTCCAAACAGCTGAGAACAAGGCCAAACTTAATCAGGAATTTAAGGAAAAGATGGGCGGCCTCAGGGATGGGTGTTTCCCCCTACCCAAGGGCTGTAGATGCACAGAAAAGGATGCCCAAGGAGCCGATATTGTCAAAAAGTACGCCAACATTGATGAATGCAGAGGCCCAACAGCTGAGGATAAGGAAAACAAAGCCAAAGTGAATGAAGAATTGGAAAAAAAGTTTGGAGGATTAAAGGAAAACTGTTACCCCAGAGCCGGAAATGGAGGAAAGGGATGCAGATGTACTGCGAAGGATTCTCAGGGAAACGAACAAACTAAATATTATGACACTGACGCTGAATGTAAGGTCGAGTTGGTTGAAGGGTGCACTGAAACTGAATGCAAAGTAAGCTAACATTTCATAATCGACTTCTTCTAACTTTGCAGTCATTCCTTATGCCTCTGGTAATTTAGATCCGCCAAAAACGTGAGTACCAAAGAGATAGATCCCCGTCTCAGAATGTCCGAGATCCCGTTAGAGAAAAAGCTCAGGCCAACTATCAAGCAGTCATCAACGAGTTGAAACAGAAGTTTGCCGGCCTTAAAGATGGTTGTTTCCCCCGCCCCAAGGGCTGTGTTTGTGTGGTTGGCAAAGACGTTGATGGGCATGAGATCACGGAACGTCGAATGAAAGATACCGATTGCAAATGTCAGCCCGGAGAGCGAGGCCCTGGATGTCCAGCTGATGGTGCTTAGCTTTGACGTTGCAACTTTACAATCAAAAAAATGAAAACTTTGTTTGCATAACATTAATTTACTCCATCATTGACTTGTAATAACAACAAACTGTACATGGCTGAAATAAGTAACTTTAGATGGATGAATAAGGAAATCAGATGATAACTTTCTGATTATTTGATTCAAACTTGCCGTATTGCTGGAGCTCTGGCCAATCTGGCAGATTGATTGTCCTGGGCATTGATATTGACTATTGCATGATCCAATCTGAACTCCGCCTTTGCAAGTGCATTGGGAGTTCATATTGGGGAGGGGAATGGAAATCTTTATAGGGCTGAATTGAGGGGCTGGTGTGGTGGTCGTGCCGGGAGGGGGCAATGGACCCGGGATGGACACTAGAAAGATTTGTATTTGGATTAAAATAAGATTTAAAAATCTGATGACGTCATTCTTACTAGCATTCCACACACAAACTTGTGCCGTCACATCGAACGCTGTAGCAGGAGCACAAGGCATCTTCTGCCAGCGACCACAAAACAGATTATTCGGAGCTGGCTGACACTGCAAGTAATTGCATTTGGTCTCGGGATCTTCGGCCAAAGGGTCCAGCATCCAGGAACAGATACCCATGTATTTGGCATTGGAAATTCCATCACCGTCAACTAAATAACAGTGAAATTATTACATTTGATCTCACCCAAAGCACATGGCTGTGGTTGGATAATGGGCTGATCATTCCGAGGACAATATTGTTGCTGGGTGGAGGTTAATTGACATTTTATCTAAAACGTGATTCAAGAATGATTAAATTTCAGGTATTATTACGCAGCATGTTAATATTATTAAATATTATTAGTTAGATCAGAAAGAGTGTTAATTCGTCCAGACTTACATACGGCGATGGTGTTACAGGCTGGGATTCATGATCATATCGATTGTTAAACCTTGGGTCGTTGTCTAACATACCTCTGCCCGAATTCATTGACTGTCGGTTGTAATTATTATAATCGAGACTCGATTCCAGGGCCGAATTTAAATTGTAAATGTTTTGATTACCGTCTGGACATGGTCCCTGGGTGTCAGAGTAAGGTGGAGTCAGCCCATTCTGATGGTTTTGTTGACAAGAAGGACACGGTAGTTCTCTAGGTAAAGATGGTGGCTGATTATAAAACTTTGAATTTTGATTGCTAAAAGGTCTTTCTCCTTGGGTCGCATAATGTTGTAGATTATTATTTATATTTGGTTGCTGATTTTGGTTGTATTCAATAGTTTGATGGCTCAGAGAAGACGGCATTTCATATATCTGCTGATTCAGAGTCCTGTAATCATAAAGGCCGTTTTTACGATTGGGACAAGGCTGGTTGTTCTCGTAGACCTTGGAATTGGATCCATCGTATCCTGGCTGTGATTGAGGCCTTTCCCTTTGAACATATGGATTGTAAATATTTCCGTTTTGCGCCTGCGTTTGTGGGTTCCCTTGATTTCTCTGTAAAGCCCTTTGATCATACTGATCTGGGCCTCCTCTTTCCTTATATTGAGTGATTACAATATCATATTCGGTATCTCCATACTTTCCGTTTAAGGTTCTTCTTTCTCCATTCCCTTGTACAGGTAGGTTGCTTACTGGCGGATTACGGTAATCATAAGTTGGTATGTTACTCTGCGAGTAATGTTGAGTGTAATTATGGAATGGAATTCCATTGGACTCTTGATGTTGCTGCCAATTGCTATATGGGGCAGATCCTGATGGTGGTTGTTGAAAAGATGGGGATTTCTGGCAGGAGTCACAAGGCTCACCCCGAGGGATATTTTGATAAGGTTGACGCGGTTGTTGGTCCAGTCCTTCAGGTTGAGTCGAGTCCGGTTGATTCATCTGAGCCAATTGTTTTTGGTAGGCATTCTGATTGTAATAATTCCGAAGTCGGTTCGAGAATCCATCTTGTTGATTTGGAGGTGAACTGGGTGTTGTGAATATATGGTTTTGATTGGAATATCCAGATGTAGACGCAGCAGAATATTGAGGAGAAATGTGAGGATCAGGGGAATGAAAATAAGGAGGATGGGAAGATGGGGGAGGTGTAGGGGATGGGGATGGGCGGGGATATGCCGTCAATCCGTCGTAAATGTCTATTACCATCTACAAAATATACATCTCGGTCCAACGATTACCTGAGTTTTGACACAATTCCCATTACAATTTGTGGTCGACATCTGTCTGAATCTGGGCGGTGACGTCACTTCTTGTTCTTGATGAGTTGTTCTGCTTTTTCGGATGATTTTCACCGGCTCCAGAACATCTTGTTTCTTTTTACAATTACATTCTTTTACATTTTCTCCACATGCGCATGTTTTGAGGACTGATGTGGTCTTCCGAATATGATACTGTAACGCAAGATATTTAATGAATAATTTGCTTAAGATTAAATCAAAAAATTCATCCTCTACCTCATCCTCGTGTTTGGGGCAGAAATCGAATTCCTTATTTGATTCACACATTATCTCCTGTTTGCGGATGCTCTTTTGGGATTTACATTTCTTTGCCGTGGGCATAAAAAGGAACCCATCCGCGCATTCTTGAAGTTTCCAAACACCCAGATCATCTCTGACAATCTTTTTAACAACATTTATTCTTACCTCTCGGCAATTAGATCTTGTTTCACACATTCCAAATACTTTGATGGATCCCCGGCAGCCTTAGGCAGACTGGGCAATTGGCAGATATCTCCTAGTATAGCCTGCCAATACTTCCCTTTATAGTCATCACAGGCAACGTGATGGCAAAGAAGAAAAAAAATAAAAAAACAAAAATAAAAATGACCAGTCATAATTTGGACAGACTCCAGTGCAGGAAGAGAAAACAAGCACGGAACACTTTTAAAGCACTTAAATTAATATAAAAAGCAGATTAAGTGAAAGACAGGAATTATTTGAAGAGTGGACATCGGGGGATGCGTAAAGGGCAGTAGGAAAAACTTAATTCTATTGTAAGGAGTCAAGCCGCTTAACTTTTTTATGAATTACCTTTTGTTTGAGGTTAATAAAGGAGATAGAGATGATGATATTAGATGCCATAAAATCAAATTATATTTTCTAAACGCTTAGTTGTATTTACATTGCATAAATGTATTATTTACTTAAACCAAATGTTTTTACAATATTCTGTGCAAGTTTCCTTATCAAGTTTCGCAAACCTGACGTAAATGGTCTGATTTGACCCACACCATCTCAGCAAGGGTACACTTTTCGTATCAAACGAATTTCCAAAGAACCTTGAAATGGCGAAAATCGGGGTTTATGATAAAGAATACATGATATTCGAATCGATCTTTGCATTAGTCTTACCACAGGTCTTATATAACTTAATATTTAATCGAATAATTAATTATATGTTTACAATACGCATTAAGCCCGTTATGTTCAGCTACGTTGATATGTTTGCACTTTCGTCATCACTCGTTTTTCTTGTTATAAAAATTGGACACGCGATATCTGAGGACCCCAGTCCCCTTGCCCAGCAGGTAATCTAATCGGATGTTCAATCTGAAAGCCATGTTATGCAATAAAAAAGGACTCACTTAAGGAAGTCATATAATGTGTAGAAGTTGTTCTCTTTCTTGTAAACTCCCGGATAATTCTCAAAAACTCCTTGAATAGCTTTGGTGGCTTCCATTAAATGATAATGGGGGATCTTGGTGAAGAACATGTGGTGGGCAACATGACCTGAACAATGATTACACATAACGTCAGCTCTTACCATCAGTAATGTGATGCATCAACGTATCAATTCCAAGGCCGTACGTCCTGTCGATTGTCTGAGTCTGCCCTCGAACAAAGTTCCACTCAGAATCTTCATAAATTTCAATTTCATCATCTTGGTGTTGTAGATAAGTAATCATAATAATCCAGAGACCTTGGAATAACAGGGGAATGTAATAATATTTAATGAAATTGTAAAGACTGAAGTTGCAGAGAGATAAGCCGATGTATCCACAGACAAAACAAGCAGCCACACTGATCACACATTTGATCCGGTCTTCAGTGGTCTTAAAGAGTTTGGAATAAGGCCAATAGTGCGAGCCATCGGGGAGTCCAATAATTGTGTAGATGGGATTCCATCTAAAAGTGTTTTATTCTATGTTGCATCCAATTACCTGATGAATCCAGAAAGAGGAAACGCCGCAAAGTTCTGGAGCCACCAACTCTTGCTGAGATGTTCCTCTTCCGTGACCCAGGGATGTCCTCGATCTTTCTCCAGATGAGCCGTATATTGATGATGCTGTCTGTGAGATTTCTGCCAAGGCCAATAGGGCACCAAAAGAATAGCATGAGCAATATGCCCAACGAGATCATTCAGCCAGGTGTACTCCGAATATGTACTGTGGCCACAATCATGACCAATAACGAATAAAGATGACAAAAACATACCCATTACGTAATACCTATAAGAACAGGTCTAAGAATGAAAGCAGACATTTACCAAAACAAGAGGCCTATCCATCCACCGTACTGCTCTACATAAGGGACGATGTAATACAAGCCAGCAAGAACAGAGAGATCCCAAACCAAGTAGAAGGTCGACTTCTTCCAGTCCTTCTCAAAACATTCTTCTGGGATGGCATTTCTGAGTTCTTGAAGAGATGGCAACTTCTTTCTCTCATCCTAAACATTTGATTAGTCAGGCCAAATTTAATACACAAGATATAACGATATAACCTTACAGTAGGCTTGACGGCTTCTTGAGGTACAGTAATCTCGTCGCCTAGCTGACTGGGGGATGCAGCCACCATATCCTTATTGTATTATTCGTTTCAGTGAGAACGATAAAACTCGGTCGGCCTTTTTAAAGGACGGGATGGCGTGACTGAACTCCCCTGTAATGCCTGCTGATCGGACTTTGTTCGCCCCTTGTCTACGTTCCTCCCCTTCACACCCTCTTTCCGTTCTTCGATTTGTTTCGATTTTTCTCATTTGCATTACCTGCATCTATGTAAAATACCATCTGATAGTCGTGTAATGCTCGCCATATAACATTTTTATGGATCTTCACGTGCGCGGGCGTCAGCCATTGAGAATCGGGTCCTTTTAAGTTTACACTGATAAGATACGGTCTCAGCTGAGAGGAAAAGAGCAGACAGAAAATGGACAACGAATATTTTGCTGCCATCTGGGAGGTCGACACAGACCGGCCGTTAGATGATGGTCTTATTCTTGTTTTGCAAGTGGCTCCACTTAAATTAATCTTATTAGTAGGGTTGTTAAGTGGTCAACTTGGCATGTCAGTCATGTTGTCAAATTGTCGTCATTTTCGTCATGTCAAGTTGTTCTCTCATTTTAATTGTCAAATTGAACCATTTTTGAAAAAAAAAATTCTAAAATTTGACGTGAGGTTAAAAAAATCCGTCAAATTAACAACCCTTCTTATTTGCAAAACGCGAATGTTTCAAAATAATCCTTTATATTCATTCACACAAGGTAGGTCTTTGAGATCTTGGCGAGGAAAAGAAAAATTATATAGTTCGTTGCAACGAACTCGCGGTACACAACGCGTTGTGTACTTTGTACAGTACCCGGATATTTTTACACTATCAGAACTGATTGGCATGCAATTTCTTAAAATATTTTCTTTTCCCGTGTAGTCTAGCAGCAAACAAAAATAATTGATTATTTTAAATCAATGAAACATTACATTGCATGCAGTGAAGAACAATAGTTTGAAGAGTTTTGTAATTCATTGGGTTCGTTCCCCTTAAAAAAACTTTCTTTCTGAAACAATTGTAAGGCATAAACCCCACAATTCCATTCTCCTGATTACCGTATTTTTGTAGGCTATCCCTTTTCAATCGTTCATTATATCCGTTGTCATTACGAAAGGATCTCTTTTTGTAAACCTCCAAGTATTTTTTATGAGACATCTGGCCAAATACAAACAATAATTGATCCGAATTGTCCTCATTTTTATCTTTTTATTCTTCCTCGATGACGTTGCGATTATGCATTTCATTGAGTTTATTGTTCGCAGTTGTATCAGGTAGTAACTCTACTGCTTTTGTTTGTGGTATTCCTCCAAACGAGTACTATTCGAGTACACGTGAGTCTCCGATGATCTTACAATTAATATTATCCTTGAAGCATGCCTCCAGCCTCGCATCCGAATTGGGGTATGTCCTCAGGACACAATCAAGATAGCCGATTGTAATGGAAATAGGGTTTTCTGTAGTGGCTTTAACGCCAATAGAGTCCAGATTCCTGGGATCTGCTATAACGGGGCTTGTTGCGCCAATCAGAACTCCCAATCTTGCATCAATAACCAGGGGATGACTACTCCTTTAATTTGTTCTTCCAATTGCCCTCAATTGGCCCCTTGTGATCGAGTATCTGGGTATTGTTGTATGCACAGATCAAGGATTAATGGGATGTGTCCGGACGACTCAATCAATGCTGGTTTGTGCACTTATCCCAACTCGGTTTGTTATGTAAATGGAGCTCAAGGAAGATGTTCAGCAAATTATGTTTGTTGTGTCCAAGCCCAACAACAACAATGCCCGTCAGGATCTCGGCCATCAGGGATCCAGTGTCAATTCAATCAGCAATCTTGTAATGCCAATGGCCTCAGGGGAATATGCCAATCAGGGCAATGTTGTGTCTTCAGTCAGGATCCTCAACAATGTTCTGGTGGGGGTACTGTAGTCGGAAATGGTTACTGTAATGGAGACAATTCTTGTCGGCAGTATTCCCCGCAGGCGTATTGTGATTTATCAATTGGGAGATGTTGTGTTTTCACAAATCAGCAATGCCAGAACGGAGAAATTGCACAGGGAAGTTGTAGTATGTCAGGGAATATATGTCAGACAAATGGAGGCCAGGGAACTTGTAGAAATGGGATCTGTTGTGTCTATAGATGTGCAACCAGCCAGTCTACATTCAACGGCCAATTATGTTCTACCCAAAGTCAATGCAGGGTCAATTCTTTTACTGATATTGCTGTCTGTGAGAACGGTCATTGTTGTATTGGCCAAGGGAATCAGCCCAACCAATGTCCTTATGGGACTTCTATTAATTATAATCTAAGATGTTCTACTGATAATGATTGTGTCTACAACAATCGGAATGGGAGATGCGTTAATAATTACTGTTGTGTAAGCCAAGGATCCAATGGAGAAGACGTCTGCAGAGGATATGGAATGGCTTATACTGGATTCAATTGTGTTGGGAATACTCAGATCTGTGCAAGTCAAACGCAAACAACAGCAATCTGCCGGGATGGATACTGCTGTTCACAAGGAGGAGGGACCAATCCGGGAACGGGGCTTGGTAAGTTGTCTCTTCCCATTATTAACAATCTTTAGGGATTTGTTATAATGGAGAACAGTCATCCAAATTATGCAGATATAGAAATGATTGTGGGAATGGCCAGTTATGTGTAAACGGAGTTTGTTGTCGTCATACGGGGAATGAATGGAAATGTAAGCACTACTGACTACTTAATGCTTACTTTACATAAATTTATAAGTAATCTCTTTACAGTTGCTTGTGGTGGTATCACCGCTGTTGCCAGCTGTACTCAGCAAGGTAGTTGTGCCAGCCAGATGTCCTGCACATCTTCCAATTACTGCTGCGAATGTCCTTATGGCCAATCTAGTGGATCTTGCAAGCATGGCTGTCCCATCGGGTACTCCTGTGCCCAGAATGGATACTGCTGTCCGTCTTGTCAGAATGGCCGAGAGCCCGTTGGATCTTGTTTCGAAGGACGGTGTGGCGCCCAGTACAGATGTCGTCCGGGTAACATCTGTTGTCCATCCTGATCTCCTGATTCCAATTTCCGGTTCACAATTTATAAAATTTTATTTTTCTCCCAATGTTTCTGATGCCAAAATCGCACAAAAAACATTTATTTTACTATAACACCTTAGGTCCCAAACAATTCAGCCATTGTTTGAGGCCTCTGCATTTATCTCCATTCGGATATCTCTTACTCTTAACGCAGATGTTCATCAGCTTCTGGATTCGACGGCATTCCAGGAGACATTGTTCGGCAAACTGAACAGTAAATTATATTAAAAGAAGGCTGAGGTGGGATACATTAAAGGTTAAGAAAAGACTGACCTTGATCTTGTTGATCAATGCCTTGTCCGATTTATGGGAATTGAGGACAACCCGAGATCTGGCCGTCTCGATTGTACACAAAGTGATAGTTCCGGAATCACAAACATCTGCGAATAACTGGCAGAGAAAGGAGAGATCGGACACGAAATCCACTCTCCACTCGTCGTAACTCGTCCATCGCTGAAACAGAAATAGGTTTTACTCAAAAACATATTAATTTTTAAATTTTTGAACCGTTGCAGGCGAAGGCTCCCTTTTTTTGCAGATGTCACACCTTATCTTTTTTTTAAATGAGAGGGAGTGTTCGAAAAGTGGGAGTGTTCGGAAAAAGTTCGGACTCAACCTTTTGAAAGCAGCCTTACCACGTTGGAGATCTCCATTATCTTTCCAAACGTCTCAGTAGCCAGTCTCCACGATTCCATTCGATTCTTGTCTTGAACCATTCCCCGAGGAAATAATTTATTCAAAAACACCAAAGTTTTGAATGTCAGGTCTTCGAGTAATACGAAGATTTCATTGTTGATCTGATTGTTCAGAGCTTTATGCATAATTCTGACACAATTATACAAAATCTCGAACCTTGTTTCCTTCTGAATGTTATCAGAATATAACAAGACGAGATATTGCCTCAGGTCTTCCATTTCTTCGGATTTAACCAACGCAGTCATCAAATCCATCGATGATAAGACTAGTTTTTGCTCAAATTGGATATTCATTTCTTCAGAATTAGAAGAAATTTTCTAAAATACGATTATTAAATATATTATTATCGGACTTACATTAAAAACATTGGCCATTTTTTGTAGATTGATGGCTAATTCCATCTGATTTCGATGGATCGCTGTCAATTCTGCCGGTGATAATGGATACTCTTGTTCCAGCCTTGCCATATTCTTCTTGATTACTGTATTCATCTGACCTTTTACACTCTTAAACCCGTTTTTCATTTTATCTTTTCCTTACATCTCTGAGTATCTCCAATTTTTGTAGATTCCCATTATTTTCGTTGAGATTCTTGGCTCTCTGCTTGAAATCCTTGTCCAAATAATCGGTATGCTTCTGAATAACGGCTGTTTGTTTCATTACATCCTGATGATTCCTCTCCAATTGTTCAATTTGAACAAGTCTATGGCCATTATGACTGTTCACACAGCATTCCAAGCACACCAACCTCTGAAAGAGATCCCATTTTGTTATGTTATCTTACCAAAGTCTTGGCTGTTTCATGACAGTCCTTGCAGAACCTGCATATGACGGATCTCTCAACCTTATTTATGCTTCTTCTACAATCAAAACAAGCCTCAGTCATCTTATTCTTGGATCCCTGACATCTTTTTAGCTTCCTTTTCCTCTCTTTATTTGCCAAGGATGAACTGGAATGGTCCGGAACATGGATTACTGTAACATTCTGGGTATATCTGAAGTTCTCCAGCACTTCTAAAAGATGACATAATTCGTATCTTTGATCTGTTTACTCACTGCAGAGGTCATAATTAGTCGGAGCATTCATGGCGAGCTTGGCATCACACAGTTGACGACACTTGGGACACTTGATGGTGTCAAGGAGATAATACTAAGGCAATATGGTCGTTTATCTCCCCATTACATCACTTACTTCACTATGCAAACACAAGGAAAATAAACAATTCTCGCAGAAATTGTGGCCACAAGGAATGATCTTGGGAGGTCGGCATTGCGAATCGAAGGCCTCCAGGCAGATCTCACAGCTGATCAGATCTCCAGAATCCATTAAAGGGCTTGCTTGGTCTGAACAAACATTCAAAAACATATATTACATACAAAGACTCAGCTGGAGATTAAATGCAACGAAAAAAGATGTTCAAATTAAATATGCAAATGGAGCTGAGAAGAATAAAATTCCCGGTCACTTGATTGCCAAGAAAGGGATCGAGTTGCCTCGAAACGGAACTTAATAAACAGATCGAGAGCCAATTAATCTAATCCCACCCACTTGTTTATGCTAATTCTATTCCGAGGTCACAAAATTATTGCGCAATTCCTGATGGGAACAGGTTTAGGGTACTGTAAATTAAAGGGACCAGTGTGTAGCCTCAAGCAATTATATAAGGGCCATAAAAAGTTGTACTTTCAATAAAAAAATAATCGCGAGTTACGGTAGGAAACAAAATATAATAAGAGAAAATGGGTGCATCAATTAAACGATGGCTTCAAATAAGAGCGATCCGGCATGAAAAGTTTGGCCAAACAGAAATGAGAGAATCAAGTGCGCCGATCCAACGCCGGCTGAAACGCCGCCCCGACCCCATAAATTTGGCCAGTTAATCCGTCCGAAGATTGCGTGCCATAACAACCATAGAAAGAGATCGATTTCAAGAAAAATAAAACGACCGAATCCCTTTTAAGTGCCGCTTTGTGAGCTTCCGAGGACCGTATTACCTGGGAAGAGGTGTTTTAGACGACAACCGGTCGTGGGACGGGTCACAACAGCGGCGACTTGGTGCCCGAGGAGACGATCCACGCCTCAACAATTGATCTGATTAATTTAATCCGGACTTTGCGCAATTAATGGAGAAAGAACAGTGGAGAATCCGAGCTTCTGAACAGCGGAAGCAGTCATGCATCAGCCGAGGATGGGTTTGTGAATAGCGAATAGTAATTGGTTTACCACAATAACCTCCAATAAAGATAACCCCGACCTATTTCTCTCAGGTCTTACAATAAGATAACCGAGACAATAACCCGTCTTCTGCCACTGTTGAACTTGCCATTATCTATGTAATCCCGTTTATATTTCCGTCAGCGGCCTTCCTTTATGTCCCCAACCGAATGAAAACATTATGCAACATATCCGCTGACCCCGTGGAGGACGCGGCGAGTCCCCGGTCTCCCCTTGACATGCCGAGACAGCCCTGTCATTCGAAAGAAACGAATGCTAATCGGCCAGAATTTGAATTACTCGAGAAAGCGACAATTAAAGACGATTAATCTGCGCGACTTTCGTCTTATCCCAACGTCGCCTTACAGCTGTTTCGCAACAAACTAACTCCGAATTTCAAAAACGGCTTCTTTTTTTGAATCCCCTTGATCATTAACTCAGGGAAACCGCAGGTGTTCTCAGAGACTGATGACATCTCTGAGGAAGGAAAGCTGGTTTATTCCATTAAATTTAAACAATAAAAGTCTGAATCGTATCAAGTTAAGCGATCTTCTCGAACTCTCTTTTACACAAATCCGAGCAGAAGATGTTGTTGTTCTTGAACAGGAACTTGGTTTCCAGGTACTTCGCACATTTCCGACATCTGTAAATCAAACATATTGCAACGCGTTGAATTTTGAAAATAAAATTTGGATTTTAACTAAATTTTTCTTATTTCTTTATCTCACCTAAAGCATTTGGGATGTTTGTGCCAATACAATTCTTTGTGAACCACGAACGCCTCAGGCGCTGCTATCTTCTGTCCGCACCCAAAGCAGATCTAAGTAATATTATTTTATGATTTTACGACCCCTCACTTTGGCAAATTTGATGAGATAACAATCGAGGCAATAGAACATCTCGTTCTTGTTCACGTAATCTTCGTTAATGAAGCTCTTATCACACCCGAAGCAACAGAAATGCTTCACATGCCAAGAGCGGTCTTCAGCCCGAGTATACTGCTTGTCCAAGATCAACTGTAAACTCATCTTATATATCAGCAATTATAATTATCTACCTCATCACATCCAGCACATCGATCGTAAGTCTTCTCACAGTAATGTCGCCCACAAAGATACTTTCCATCCTTGTGGAAATACAATAAGTCGGCCAGAAGATCGTTGCATTCTTCACATTTGAAACAAGCCGGATGCCATATGTCCTGTAAAAAATAACCCTTTTTTTGTTTACCGACAGAACCAATGGAAAGTTGGTTTCTTGTCACTTACTTCTAACACAGAATGTTTATTGGAAGGTAATATTCCCACAGAATCGGGGGGAATAACTTGATTACAACGATGACAAGAGGCCACTTTCCCATGAGGAGTTGTAATTATTTGTCCTTGGTATCCCTTTTCTTGAAGACTATTTACATTTGAGCAGACAACTTGACCCATGGCCACATTCTAAAAATACTTTGATTTTGTCTGATTTGTGCCTACATCTTGTGCCTTTTTCACAAATTTCTCCAACTCTTGTCTGATCGCTGGAGACTCCACTGATACTGCACTCTCGGGATAACAATCATATACAGGGAGCTGTAAATAGAGATGTTATTCAATATTCGAAGGAACATTTATACCTGATATTGTAGCCTCTGCCTCCTCTTCTGTCCCCCTTCGGTCCCTTTGATCGGCCGGTCCTTCTCATTTAAAGCGGCCAAGTATTTTTCGGCCAGGACTACATCTTCTGATGGAATCCATTCCAATTTTTCTTTTAAAAGTTTTACTCTTTCCGTGCTATTGACATTTCCTTTGTCCTTTTTCTCTCTAATTCTTCCATTCACGGCCGAAAACTTTTCTTCCTCAATCTGGATTTTCCCTGGGTTTATATTCCTTCGGTTAATTATGTTACAGTAATCATGATCCGGGGGTAATTCAATGTTGTGCTCATCTGCCCGACAAGTGCATATTTTGCATCTCTTTCTGCAAGTGTTAATGGCTCTAATTAATGGTATTTACCTCCAGAAATGTAGATCTAATCCAGGGCAATCACAATTCAAACAACTGGCTCCAGCTCCGAGGTCATGGGACAAGATCAGCTGAGAGTTCGAGGGTTAGATCAATGAATAAATTACTTAAATTATCCTAGCAATGAGAATGCTTTTAGAAAACATAATAATGTTCCAAATTCTATACGTCATCGGTTTTCAAATTCTTTTCCAATTCTGAGAAAGAGAAATGAATAAATTGTAATCAATCCCCGCAATAATAACAATCAAAAATCCATCTGTCAACTTTAATTACTAAAGCAGTCGATAATATTGTTACACCCGGAGGATCAAGTGCTCAAGGCGGATCACTGTTTTGCTTACCTTGGGCTTCTCTTCGAGTAGATTGAAGTACGGTTTTTGTTCAGTCGCCGTCATCGGACTGGAATCAGGGTCTTCGGAAGGACGGAGGCTTCGATGTGCGACAGAACCGGTGTTATAATCTGCTCGCTTAATACTTCGGCATCAGAAAAAGGCGAGAATGATCGAGGCCGCACCTTTTTCGGGCGCGTCTTATCCGGCGAATCAATATCAGATGAGGCTGCGGGAGGAACGTCGGACACTCGGAGCCCCGCCACTTTCTCTTTGTGACCGGCCCGGGCTTTAAACGTCTCGCTCCCCTTGCATGCACCCGTCCTTGTTTAGAAAAAAATTATTTCAAATGGAACAAGAAACCGGCCATAAAACGTAACTTTTAATTATCTGGCAGTCCAGTAATGAGGCAATCACAATTATATTCATGATAAGTTTAGTTAGAAAACAGATATAAGTGATAAGGCAACAACAAATAACGTCGGGCAATGTCTTCTTTATTCATGACATCTTCCGTTACATTCTGGATAAAATTCTACGATTGTACTCTATTCTTTTCCTCGGTCCTTATCCTTCCCATCTGGAATCTTTCGATCATTTTAAGTACAGAAAAGAAGTCATCGAGATCGGAAGGACAGTGACGAATCTAGATGTAGGTGTGGAACCTGCCTATTTATTGAGTCAGACCATACAAATCCGAACAGCCTGCCGATTCGAACAAATTAACGGCATCTGAAGGGAAAGAGGAGTCCGTGAGATCATCTTCAAGAAGGCCACTGAAGGAGCTGATGTCCATCTGATCTATTTGAGCCTAAACATTAGAATGATCTAGAGATATGAACGACAGACAACTAACTTTATTAAAGGCACTTACTTGATGTTCAGATGGAGAAAAGTCAGCAGTCATCGATCGACTCGACCAGCTCGTTAATGGAGAACTACAATCGTCGCTGGATTCTGTTTGGGTGCTTCCATCCGATCGAGACAAATGGCTTCCATTTGTAGCCTTGGCAAAGGTATCAAGAGCCTTAAGGCTACGATTATTACACTTAATTTGACCTTACCTGTAGACTAATATCTGCTGGATTCTCGAATAAAGGAGATGATGAGGTTTGAGTGGAGGTGATGAGAGGTTCGTCGTTCTTGGAGTCTTGGAATAATTCGTTGAGAAGGGATTCACTGGGAGGTCGATTACCGAATACTGTCTGACAGAATTGCATATTTTCACACATGATTGCGGAGAGAGTCTGGAAAAGGCAATTAAGATTGTAAAAAATAACTGGGGTTATCTGTAATGTAATGTCTTACTGTGATCGTTGGAAGTAGTAACAACAGATTCCCGAACCTCGATGAGGCATTGTAAACGGGATGTAACTCTTTAACAACTTGGAATAACATGTCCTGGATCTTGTCTCTCAAATCAGCCACATGGTGCTGTGCTTCTGGGGAAAGTCCTTTGGCATCTACAGAAGATGACCGTCATATGAACAGTACTTACTTGGATTTAGACATATAATTGCCTTGAGAGGGATCACTTCTTCTTCCCTCAACTTCAATTTCCTTAAGGGACCCACTAATTCATTGAGGGTTCGATCCACCAGATTATTTGAGAGATGACTGTAATGAGTCATAATGAATAATATGTTGAATCACTCACTTGTTTGCATTGAATTCAGGGGGTAATTTGCGGGGGACATAAGAGTAGAAACATAAACATAAGATGTCCGGGTTATCTGTGTTTTGTGCTGTCCTTGCCGAAAAGTTGAATATTGTGAGCGGGGCGTAACAAGACTTGACCAAGGCGATCTTGTCCTCGGTATCTATGAGTTCAGTCATCTCAACCAGACTCTCCACCCAATCTACTGCAGCAATTGCACCTCGATGTGCAATCATGGGTAATTCATCTGCCCTGGCCATTCGATAAGGCTCATAGCACATCTGGAATGATGTTGTATACATTTTTTGTTTATGAGCCCACTGTATACTTTTATGTTCCAATCTACTATGCGATGGTTCTCCCAATATCAACTTTACTTTTTTTTTGACAGCAAAAATGTATAATTACGATGATCTAACAATAAAAAGGTTGGCATTTGGTTTCGTAAAGATCAGAAAATGTTATCAGTGCTGATAATGTTATCTTGTGATCGAACTCTTCACGTAACATTGCAGATAATCCCTGAAAAATTACCTCAGTTCGTCTCGTCGTGCAGGCGGGCTTCTTTTCGAACAATTCCCTTAGGCTAACACTGCTCGAATTCAACTTTTCATAGTAATTAGCAGAGTTGGGAGAGAGCACGTCGCCCTTCACAACGTTGGACTCGATGTTGAGTAACTGCATCAACAAGACTTTGGCCTCCACGGGTATCTTCCGGGACCAATCATCGCCTTGTAAACGCATCTGAAGCCGGTTAAATGTTGTAATTATTCATAAACTAGAAACAAATTTGGGAGAAACAGTCATACCATGTGATTAATCAACTCCTCATCCATCTGCCGTTTCCTTGCCCGAGGCACTTTCTGTTTCCCAGTCAGATCTCGGTCCGGCCGCACTGCCTGAGGGTCCATCCCCACCTCGAGGCATCGTTGGAAACGACAATAACGGCAGCTATTCCTTTGTACTGGAATAAATTAAAGATAAAGTCAAGCTTCGAATAAATTACGAAGTAAAGTCAATTTCTCACCTTTATCGACCACACAATTGTTTCCAAATCTACAAACATATCGATATTTGCCCGTTAAAGTCCTCCGAAAGAACCCCTTGCATCCTGGAATTAAAATGATTTAAGAGGATTAAATGCAAATTTTAACTTGAAATGTGATTTCTAATGCTTTGTCAATGACTGCTCAGCTTAAACATATTATCATCCAGAACAATTCAAAAATCAGAAAGCATACCATAACAAGCCAAGACTCCATAATGGGCCTTAGCTGGGCCATCCCCACACACAGCACAGGTGGCCTCGCTACTCGACACAACTGCCTTTTCCTTGATGTAATAGGAAGGCGGAGCTGTCATTCTGAAAAATCTGGGATCAACAATTTGTATAATCTTCCTAATGATGACGACCAAACAAGGGTGTGTTCCAATTAGCGTGAAAAAGGGCTAGAGACCGATTCATTAAGGTTTTAAGCGCTAACTGATAATAAATACCATGGAATTCCGCTTCACAAATGGCTTTTCCGTTTTTTTGTTTCCTCAGCGCTCGAATTCCAAACAAAAACAGATTGTATTTGATATTGTAAACCTGTAAAGTAACTGGACTCTGGACTCCAATTCACATCAATTAGACCACTCAGATGACAATGTAATCTTTAAAACAACGAAATGACGTCAATTTTTATGAGACTTATTCAAACAACGGGAAACTAGAGAGAAAAAGAACGGTGTTTTGATTGGAACGGGCATCTAATAGACTCAAAATATTAGCAAGACACTGATTCGAAACGATTCCATTTAATTAAAACTCCAAAACGCCTGCAGGGAAAGTCGAGCATCGTTCCGAAAGTAAAGTTAATTTATTATTTGACCATTGGAAGGTCACAAATCGGAAGCCAATTGAATGTGAGGTTGGTTGATCGGCTTCACGAAGAGACCCTTCGAAAAAGGATCAGTTTTGGTTTAAGAGAAAAAGCGCGACCAGACTCTCGCTCCCCATTCCCTCACTTACCGGGACATTCTCATGTAACGGAGCTGGTGTTGATGATGGTTTTTGATAATCTGATGCTGATAGGATTCTTCTCGAGGCATCATTTGTTTGAGTAACAGCTGTGTGGAACTGACTTCTTCGTCATCCTCCTCGAAGGAATGACTGGAAGGGCATTGTCCATAGTCATCCTCCCAATACTCATATTCCATCGTATCTCTACCTGCAAATAATGAGCAAATGAGTGAATTGAATAGGTGAACTCAATGCGTTGAAGCGCCGGTTCAACGATCTGTTAGGCTGTTTATTGAAACCCGCACTCTTTTCTTGCATATCATCCGTAACGGACCTTGAATTGCCTTCGGTCTTTGAACTTAAGGCGTTGTAAGGTCGTTGTCGACTCAAATTCAAATAAAAACCTTTTGAAAACTTGATTTGGAATGCGTTGATTCGAATCATATTCAATAAATTCGGAACTTACCCTACAATAATGTACACTACAAGGTCAGGGGGGCTACTATGATGCGTCTGTTCTCTGGCTATGAATGATACGTCTGAAAAAGACAAAAAAATGTTTGGAATTCGAAATAAAAACAATGAAACGCGGGTTAATGGACGGATCAGTGAGTCAGGGATCTCTCTGTCTATCAGTTCATAAGACCTGAATCACCCCCTAATTGGTCTCGAGATTCCGTCGACGGAGCGCGGACTGAGCGATCAAATAAATATTTATTTCACGGCTGTCAAAGCCTTCCGTCCGTCGTCGCTTTATTCAAATCTTTACGATCGCCTCGGGTTTTGTATTGAAATTGTGTGCGCAAATATTTTTTGTTTGGCTTCTGCTTTAAAGGAAGGGTAATTCGAAGTCATGGATGAATGACAGGATCATAAACGGCATAACCCCATTGCAAACAAACAACAGCACACCATCACCAGCGCTGTTTTTAGAGATGGAAACCGGTAAGCGGACTGGCAGACAGCGGGATAATCGGTGTCTCCATATCAAGGCCCATCAAAAACTGCAAGGGATTTTCGACATAGACACCATCAGAGGAAGTAACGCACAAAAAACACAAGAGCGCTGTTACAATTTGACAAAAAGTAATCAAAAGTAAACAGCCAGGGATTCGCTCTTGGCTGTCAAGAACACCCCCCCCCTTGAAGAATGTTTTGCCGAGACTGTCTGGCGGGCACAAGAAGAGATAGAGCCTGATCTTCAAACATCTTCAAAGCGGCTGCAAGGAGCAAGAGCGCGTTTACAAACTACTTAAGAGCCTCCGCAATTACGAAGTACCAGCTTATATTACTAATAAAAAGCCGGGATATCAGACAGCCAAACCATCGATGCATTCATGATCGATATGGCTGACCCTGAGAGCAAGCAGAGTTCCAATGCAAGAGCAACAATCACTACGATGATATTCAAATGCCCGCAATCACTTGGGAGCGGGAGTCTCCCGAGTCATTCCCAAAAGTAACCGAATCCAAATCGCTTCCAGAAGCTCCTAAAACACGCTCGGTGGGGATTAAGAGATCGTCCCGACCCATAACAAGGCCGTCCAACACTCATCGAGAGGTCTCCAAACTTGCAATGCCCTAAGGGCGGAGTCTCTTAGATTTATGTAAACCTCACCATAAAGGGCTGTGACGTCAGGGGATCGAATAAAACATGTCAATGCGCGACCCCAACACTTTGCTCTACCACAATATAAGGCTGTCTCTTTTGTGCATTGGCCCGTTGCGAAAGGCGAGGTAGCAGAACATAAGGGTTGGAAGGGGATTACAAACAAAATAGAAATATAAAAAACAGAAAACGGGAGCTCCGTAACTTGCAAAGTACAACCAACGTCCAAGATGGACGCCCACGGTAATAATCGTGAGTAGGACCAGTTCCAAGACCAAAAAGTCATATAATACACTCAAAATTTAATCGGAATCACCTACTTTAGAAGAATGCGCAAGGCCGGAAACACAAAAATGTGAGGAGACCCGAGAGTTTGGTCCCCCTTATCATACTTCAAGTCAACCGACGTCGCCGACTTTAATTAATAGCAAATTAACGAGGAATACTGATTATGGTACACATCAATTTAAACAATCATTGCAGACTCTCCAGGTCGCTGATAAAAAACAAATGCCCGCCGGCACTTCCCTCCTAACAAAGAAATTAGAATAAGGATTTGACATTTTGACCCGTTGTTATATCATCAGACTTCCATTTCTTCGGACACGCAAAAAGAAAACAAAAAATAATTCCAAAAAAGGAGCGCCGAGACTTGGCCAAGAAGGTTTTTAAAGCAAAAAAAAAAGAGTTGGGCCACGTAAAAAATGCGTGAGATCGATATTGGAGAAAAATGGCATTCAAATAAAAGAAACTGCTTCAAAGGACCTTCGAAAAATAAACTTTTTGTAAATTATATGCCCGCCATTTTTACACAATGACAAACTGATAGTCGAACAGAAAAGCAATGACAAATTGTTTTTTTTTTAATCATGCATAAAGCGCTAGAATATCAAGTTGCTCGGTTTTCTAAGGGAATAAATAAAGTGGCAAAACCCAGCGATGAAAGACGGCAAGTATAACAAACTTTTCGATATGTGATTGCTGCTTCTGAAAACACTGTTAGAGCGATCTAATCGAAAGGAAAAGTTTATGAAATGACCGGTCAAGCCGCAGGCCATGTCTTCAAAACAACCGAGAAGGGATCGCAATGATCGCGACAAATTTGTTTGATCTTTTGAATATCAAAAGAGAAGTTGGTTTTTGAACCGCTGGATATGGCGACGTCACTTCTTATACAAACTTTTCAAGTGTCAGTCCATATTGGACTCAGCTACGGAAGATTCTCAGCATGAAAAATGGCTTCAGAAAGAGTCCATCAACGCCCAAATAACAATCGACAAAGGTCAGAGAAAAGACAACAGTCATCTGTGATATTTAATTGCAACGGAAACAGAAAGGAAACAAGAAATGTGAGAAATCATCGGTTTGTTATGACTGAACGTCAGGCACGTCGCAAATTTAAATCAAGTTTTGTCGCGATCATGTCAACCAAGTTTCTTTCTAAAGGTCTCGGACTGTCGTTTTAAACCGAGAAAGATGAGGTGTTCAAACTCTTAAATGTATATGCAGATTATCAATGCCTCCGGCATACCGAACAGATATTAGATGCAATTTTGCTGGATCGTTATGCTCTTGATCATTTACGTCGTATTTCAAAACTATTCAAAAATTTAAGCCGAAAGAAACACAAAAAACCCGCACAGACAAACAGCGATCGGAGAGACGACCAGAGAGAGGAGCGGCGACGAGGCAGCGAGGTCGTCACTTGAACATGTCCCCCCTTTTTTGTTGCGGCACTGTCAGCGTAACAACGTGTGTGGATCGAAGAATTCGCAAGGGTTTTTGTACTTTTTGTTGTTTTTCCCCAAAAAATTCAGATTGATATTCGATAAACGTGATCTTCGGTTCATTGCCCCAAGCACTTTGTTTACTCAGATCAAGCATTGACATGTGCCCTCAACGCACTTAACGGAATCATATTTTAATTCGTTTATTCCGCTTTCTCCACGACCATCCGAACCTCTTCTTACGCTTGTTATGCCCTGCGAATCGACCAGTCGACGAGCGCTGCGGTATTGTGTTCCCCGAAGACGTCGTCGCCGTCGAATCTCTTAAGAATGGCTAGTCCAGAAACACCTCCAGAGAGCAAGTTCATTTTGTTTTGCAACTGACAAAACGATGATTATTTCAAATTTAGACAGCCAATCCAATTCAGCATTGCTAACATGTGTGGTTTGTGGAGATGAAGGTGCAAAGACCCATTACGGAATTACTTCTTGCTTGGGATGCAAAGGATTCTTTAGAAGGGCTCTTAAGAAAGCCGATCAGTATGAATGTTTGAATGACAACAAGTGCGTCATCAACAAAGGTAACCTCCTGTTGTCATCGTATTTAATCTTTAGATGGTCGGAATTCCTGCAGAGCATGTCGATTTCAAAAATGCCTTAAAGCAGGGATGGATCCAGGTGCGGTTAGACCTGATCGGGACTTTACGGGCAAACAGCATAATCTGCGAACATCGCAACCGAATCATTCCAAAAACAAGAGCATCCAAACGAAACCAAAATGTCCAGAATCCAAAGAGGAACGATGGAAGAAGTTGCCAGTGGAGATCAGGACTACCATTATGAGTCTTTTGAATATTGAAGCTACTGTCATCGGGGGAGATACCACCAAAGATCCCTCAGAATTGTATCCTCTTAACATCAATTCCATCAGAGATATTATATCCGATCCTTCGAAACTCAAAGGAATGAGGACCGAGGTAGATTATGGTACTAAGGTAATAAACTTTGCAGATGAGATACGAGCCTTATCGCATGGCTAAGAACGAGGAACTTCTTGGTGTAGTGAGCAGAAGACTGGTCGCCGTTGTGGATTGGGTCGAGAGTTTGGCTGATTTAATGGGAGGACTGGAAATCGAGGACAAGATTTCCCTTGTGAAATCCGGATTCGGACCTCTGATGTTGTTCAAAAATGCCGCCAGGACTGCCATGGTGACAGATAAAGAAGATATTTTATGTGTTTGTAATTTCTCATATGTTCCCAGAAACATGGCCATAGCCTACGGGGATGCATAGTAAGTTTGGAGCAGCCAGTAACGTGTCCTTTAGTCATCTTGATAATGGATTGGTTGCTAGGATCCTAGATGAAATTGTCACCCCGTTACGAAGGTTAAGAATCACAGATGAGGAAGTTGTTTGCATCAGTGCCATTACTGTTCTTAACCCAAGTAAGAGCCAAAACATCAACTAATAGTTTGATGTCCAAGAATAATCATTAGTATTTCAGTGGCCAGAGGCATATCAGAAGTTGGAGCCGACAAAGTAATGACTCTTCGAAACAAGATCCAAGAAACCTTATTCATAGTCATCAAGGACATTAACGAAGAAAAGAATGCCAGTCTCCGCTTCGGGAACCTTTTGTTTTTCATTCCCATTCTGACCAGTTTAGCTAATATTGTAAACGAGAATATTCGTTTCGCCCAGACTTTTTCTTCCCTTGGACGTATTCCCATGCTGATCTCCTTATTTGGCTGCTTCCCGGTGGAACCATTTCTAGAAGAGACTCCCAAAGTTATATGCAAATCGGTAGAAACGCAGACCGATTCTCTGCCTCCGGTATGTTACAATCGCCCAATTAATATAGTATGTTTTTAGAAGAAGAAAACTCTTAAACGACGCCTTCCTTCGTCGTTGACCAATCCAGTTGAAAACGATAGAACTCAAGAATTCCGCTTGTTACAGCCACCTTGTTCGTATACTCTCACTGAGATGTTCGATGATCGCATAAATGCCAATCTTAAAAAACAGAAGCCACAGGTAATCCTTCAAGGACTTATTTTTATTTTTTAGACCTCAAATTATTATACGGCTCCTCCAATTTACATATCTCGGAATGAAATGGACAAAAAAGTGATTACATCAGACTCCATATATACATTAAAGCGTCATGGTTCGGGTATTTTATCTGCAGAAAACGAGTCCTCAATAGCCCGATCCGATGTCGATAGGCCAGGCCAATCTCCCTCCACCTCCAACATATCAAAGAAGTTCAGTAATAGTGTTCAGCTTTAGCGATGTATATAGATGCCTATTCGTTGGTGATATTACCCCGTCTTTCTAACCATTTATTTAACTTGATTATGAGATCTGACTGATATGAAAATCAAATAAATTAACGATGGCCACTCTCATTGACGGAATGAGATCGGCATTGATCCAGGGACGGGAGTTTCCTTGAGCTTCGACTCTCTCTGAAACCATTACAATTAGTCTAGTTTCACTCACTTAAAACTGGAAGAATCTCTTTCGCAGAGTGAAGATCGAAGGGAATCTTCATCTGTCAACATTTCATTACTCTGGAGTGATCTAGTAGCGCATGAATTCATGTCAACAGAAGATATCCCTACAACATTTGCTTGCATAGAATGTAAAGATGGAAAGGTTGGTCTGAAAACTGTACTACCACGGGCAGAATGGCGCTGAAAAGGGGATCTTTGATGTTAATGACTAGATATGATGACATGTTAATTGATGTATAATATTAAAAGTGGGAGCTTACCGATGAACAAGGATCAGGAACAGGAGGTTTAATTCCATTTCGTGACATCCATGACGTCATCTGATAAGGTACTGAGACCAAGCCTCTCTCTGCGATTAAGCCAAGAAGCTCTGGCTTGGTGCTTTCTTCCTCTCGGCATTTGGGAACGGAGACAAACTTTAAAGCTCAAATTGCATTACCCATCTGAATTACCTGCATGCAATCTCTCTCCGGTTTTCTTCCATGATAATTGAGTCTTGTTCCGGCTGTTCCGAGACGTTCCAATTCACTCAGATCCAATTCTCCAATCCCCACAAAAACCACGGATATTGGGGCCCTTGAGGCAAATATTAAAGCTTGCACCGTCTCCTTAATGTCATCAAAAATCCCACGAGTAATCAGGACCAGTATATGATACTGTGTCTGTCCGGCTTTGCATCGGGCGACAGCATTTTGGGCCAGCCTGTCAGTGGTTTGAACGTTCAGAACATACGGACTTACTTGGAGACATAGTAGATGACGTGTGATAGATGGGCCATGTTGATGGGCTGTGTGTTTGCAAAAGCTGTCTTGAAGGAATCGAGGACACCATCTAATCCTCGACAGTAGGGGTCTGTGTCCAAATTCTAAAGAAAAATTATTATCTTGAATAGAAAGGTGGTCAAAGAACATACCAAGCAGAATTCCTGAGATTCTCGGAAATGTGGCGGGACCTTGGCCCCAAACCCGAAGGCCGCGTATGCACTGGAGATGTTAAACTCCCTCAGGGGCTCACCAATCGCCTTGATGGCCAACTCAACGTCATCTAAATACTGCTGGACATTCTGAGGATCAACTTGGAATTCGTTTTGAGTGAAATCGATAGCAAAGGCGACATTAATCAGAGTCCTGAACGAGTCATAATCGTTGAATCTTCGACCACCTGTCTTACCCTGTGGTGATAAACTCGAGGAACGATGGGAGGACCATTTCATTAAACTTCAACAATTCAAACTCCCCGCAGACTTTCTTTTGCCCTTTTGAGTTTTCGTATGATAACTGCAACCATTTTATTTAAAAGCAAATACAACTAGACTTACAGCATAAACGTTGCTTAACGTGGGTCCGATTCTTAGTCGTTCATAAGTGGTTTCACAGGATCCAATGAATATTTTTGCATTCTTTACGTCTTTTTGGTAGCATGTGACTTCCAGTATACTGTATGACGGTCCAGAAAATTAAATTTTTCACTTACCTGTCATTTACATCAGACGACTGAAGAGAAAAAGTCTTAAATATACATTTATTCCCGTATTTCACAGTCTCACTTCGATACAACACTACCGACCCAGTTCTTGACTCAACTTTTTTTACCTCAAAAAACATCTGAAAGTTGAATAAAATTGTGCTGAAATTACCTGAGACGCCCCCAGGGCAAGTGATTTTTTTGATACCCCGCGGGCACAGAACTGTAAGAGAACGGAATGCGGTTTCGGCCGCAGAGTGCAGGAAATGGAGATATCAGCAATCTTCTGGCCAGATTCATCCTCTCTGAAAGCATCCGCAATATTAGCCTAAAAACAACTCAGTCTCGCCTTACATGATTTCCTTCTCAATCCCAATTCCGTACTTTACAACCAATTCTGCAACTGTGAAGATGGCATAACCCAGACTGACCGCGTTACTTTCCTCCCATTCACATCTAAAATTAATTCGAACTCCAACCGTTAAATTAAAATATCTTTAAAAATATTCCTACCATGTTTTTTATTAGTTTTACTTACATATCTACCTTTATATACTGACATCTTTCAAATTGAAATTCGACAGCAAAGACGGAGCTCAAATCAAAACACTCCGCTTTGGGGATTATTTCAGAAGCGGTGGTCTGCAAACAGTCGATGACAATTTACCTTCTTCAAATCAACCTACAACTCGCCAAGGTCCCTTTCTTGCGTCATCGCTTTCCGAGAAAATGAGAACAATATTGGCACTGGTATATTTAGAAAGACAACGGAAATGACTGAAATAAAATACTGCTACACTTGAACTATTTATACCAACAGAAAAAGGTATCAATCTCTCTCACCGAGCACTAATGTGAACATCGATGATTTCCTTTGGACCCCGCCGATAATCGGAGTCGGATCCTCTAAAAAAGATAAAAGTTACAGTACTCTACCGTAATCCGGTACCTTTTGTTCTTAGGTGGTACTAATGGGGGAGCCTTAGTGGCCCTCCTCAGTTCGAGGATCTGCCTCAACTTGACCATGTTCATCTTGACGAGATTGTAATCGCGGAGGGAAGGAATGAACGTTGAATGCCTGAAGGCATAAAAAGCAGGCTCAGGTGGACGTCTCGTATTCTCGGCCCCACCACTTCAGAAACGAAACTCAATACGGGTCGGGCACAAAGCCGTGAGCACTAAAGGAAGAAAGGAGAGAAATGGTTGATTGCATTAAAGGTGTGCGTCGAACATTTCCGGAGAACGACCGAAGAGGACGGGGAGTGCTAAATGGCCCCAGGTGGGATGCAGCGACGGACAATACGACCGGAAGCGGTTGGCGGAAGGTAGCCGGGTACAAAGCCGGATATTCTGGGGCGAGAAGCTCGAGGCAAAGATGAAATGCGCGCCTCCACCCGCCCCAATCCCCCCAGGGCCCTTCTTCGCAATGCCCTGACCAAGATCGCAGCACTGTGCGTGTTTGGAAAGTTTTGGTGAGATGAGAAAATATGGCCGGAAATGGTCGGTATCACTCTCTCAAAAATGCATTAATCCCCATCCAAGACATGTTCTACGCAAATGATGACATCTCATTATGACAAACAAAATACCCTTGCGTTTCACATACCGTACAGAAAAAAAATTAAATTTAAAAGGACGAGGATAGTTCCAAATTTGAATACACGCATGACCAGATAAAACGGAGTTTAATCGAATGTCCCCTTTACCTGAATCAGTAATCCAGGAGGGGGAAACAGAGATGACTAAACTGCGTTTATGTCGTGAATACGGAAGCGAATGTCATGAGGCTGATCCCTTTGCTTCAAATTTTGCACCTTGACGCCTCCCAAACACACACAAATTACAAGAAACAAAGAGATATGCAAATTTTACAAAATGAAAACTTTGTTTGCATATGAAAAATCAGGAAAACGATTCATTCAATCGATCGGCGAGAAGCAGTGCGGCAGCAGACACGACTATGGATTCCGGCTCCTCTGGAAACGATTTTCAGAAGAGCGCCTACGTCTTTGAGAGCGGCAAGCAGTACCAACCGGGCCCGGTCAGCTCCAGCTATGCCTTCGAGCGTGAATTCCCCGCCTTGTCCAATTACCAAGCCTACCTTCCTGAGAAGGTAATTCCAAAATCTACCGTAATCATTGTTTAGAAGCACAGCCAATACGAACTGGAGTCAATCCGGAACTACCCAGCCGGGGAGTACAGCAACTACCATTACGTCAAGGCGGAGGAGCTAAGCCCTCTCCATCAACCCACGGCCAAAGCTGAAGTGGGTCCTTGGATTGGATCCGGTACTTGAATTTTATTTCAGATCTTCACGAAAAAGGATCTCTTGAGAAGAGTCGAGCAGCTGGACTCTGGCTTCTATCAGCCGGTGATCACTTGTGGTCAACTCCATTTTGTGAGCTCAGGCAATGACACCACCCATACTGCCCGTTCTTCCATCTCCGAGGCCGAATTCAACGATCTGAACACGGCCATCTCCGAACGGAGCCTCAGGACTGCCAAATCGAAGGCCAATTCTGTTGCTACGGCCAAACTTGCCGGTTCTGAAGTCAATCTGAACAGGGCCCTGCTCAATGTGAAGAGAATCACCCCGGATGACATCGGCTTTCTCATCCAGATTCCTGGATTCAGAGAATCTTTGGCGCAGTTCAAGAACGACAGAAAGGCCCGCAAGTACAGAAGAAAAGAGAACGAACAGCTGACTACCGGCATTTCAGTAAGTTTATATCAAAGTTATTTTCATGTTTTCAGGCTTCGAGAGAGAGTATTCTGGCCCCACAAAACCAAGGAAGTCGTCAGGTATGTGTATTTGATCTGGCAGTTTATGATGATAATCTTGATTACATATGATTTTAGCTTGGCACTCTGCATGGTGATCTCAAAACTGCAAGACAAGCTGTGAGATTAGTAACGTTTAACTGATTTGCGTATTTAATGGACCAATTTGTGTATTTTAGAGTTCCACCAGTCTTGGAAATCTCAGAACCGGCAGGGAAAGGGTAAGGTCCCTTGACAAATTTATCCATCTTTTACTTACAATCAATTACATTTGTTCAGAGTGCTTCGAGTGTCATGCAGTTTCGTACCGCTCGCGATGTTGTAAGTATTTCTTAGATGTTTCGTAACTTACCGTTTTTTCTGCCAAAATAGTATACGGACAGTCGGGGTCCAAGTTAACGAATTATTGGCATACGTTTTCAAAGTTAGTTACAATTTTGTATTGCTATACGCATGCTACATTTAACTCGAGGACCCAATAACTGACTTATTTTTAATGTTCATACTATATATTGCACTTTGTCTCAGTATCGACGGCTCGTCGAAGACCCGAAGGAGTGCAACTCAAGTCCGGATGGTTTCATTCAATATTTCATCGTTTAAGTTTCATGTCGAGGAACTGTTGCTAGTAAAATCATAGGTAAAGTACCAAACCCAGGTATACGAACATAAGACTAGATCCTCCTTCGCCAGGTCTCCATCGGTTTTCCGCCGTAAATCATTCTAGTCTTCGATATTTCACGTTAATTCTACGTTTACTACGCATGGGTACTAAAACGTATATCGATACCGTACTAACTTCGCCGGGCCCCGACTGTCAGGACGCGGTCATAATTTCTTATACGTTCAGAGTTCTCCCAGCATCCGCCAAGTCAGAACTGGACGAGAAGCAGTAAGAGTTTGATTTTTTTTTTGTTAATCCGCGCTTGCTATTCCAGAGTCTCTCCAATCTCCGTACTGGCAGACAGAATGTAAGTGATGTCATCACTAACTTTTGTTTAACTTACAGAGCCAATCCGGCCTCCAAACCCCGCCTGTCAGCCCAACTCCCCGTCGTCATATCTCTCGTTTCGAAAGCTCTCAGCTCCAAACCGGACGGCAGAACGTGGGATTTGATTTCAAGATTCTTACTGTATTTTAGAGCCTTTCCGATTTGATCCAAATCTCTGGACTCCGCACTGGTCGCGAGAGGGTAAGGTTTAAGCATTACATCACCCCAATTTTAGAGCAGTTCGGGTGCTTTGGGAAGCAGCAAGCCTGTTGTCGATAACCGTTCTGGTCGTGGTCAGGTAAACACAACCTACACGACCTACTCTAACCTTACAGTCTTTGCAGGGTAACTCTTCGGTCAAAACTGGCAGTGCTGTGTCCAGTCGTTCTCCCAGTGTGACTACCAGTACTCGTTCCGCCTCTCAACCTCGTTCTCGACGATCCAAAAGTTCCGCATCTCAGCGCCAATCGCGGCCCATCCCTTCTCAACAAGCTAATGTCACCACGGCTATTGAGAAGCAGAGTCTCATCCTGACAACTGGTCGTTCCCCAAGTACGTCTTCGATGAGAACTGCGTTGGATTGTGAATCGAGCAAGGATGTGGCCACCGCTCTTCTCCCCTCTTCTGAAGACGACCGGCAACTTTTTGAGAGTCTAAATGAGCTCAATTCAGTCAGTTATCGTCTAAATATCAACTTCTATTCTATTCTGTTAGGTGGCAGCTCGAGAACTTCGTACTCCCGCTGCTGAGTTGACGGCCAGAGAATGTGCTTCCGTAACCGAGCAGATGCAGAGATCGGCTGTTCACGACGTTCTCCATACTCCCCGGGACTTTGATCGTCGTGCTTCAGAATCCGCAGCCAATCTTGGTGCCTCCCTTGAACATCGTATCATCTCCGACGACTCCGATATCCGCACCGCCCAAGCTTCTGTACGCCTTCTAGCTTGTCATCACATTTATATTTTCAGGAATCATTCCACTGACTTTTTCCTCGCAATTTCAAAGGAAATAAAAGATAGCCGCATATTTTGGATTTTGTAACATTTTGTTTGCTGTTCTAAGAAGCTGGAAACAATATTTTTAATCAGTTGTTCTTATAAGTGGATGAAGTGAATCAAAAAATATCTGGAATGCGCTCATTGTTTGGCGGGTTTTACAATCCCCATTGATTCAAATAAGGCCAGTACATTGTCATAGGGCTGCTTGGGAATGCGCCTAAAAATTTTACATTTTATAACAAAATTATGGTAGTTCTACAGGGTGGACCACTCGGAACTTCGAACATTGTCTCAGGTATCCTCCCGCCAATAATGCACCAATTTCTAAGTGGTTTATACAGGGCTTTAAGTCAATTTGCGATTGAATTTTAACCTCTAAAACCCAAAATTGTGCAGCCAATTTTTTAATACTCTTAACCAGCATGATTTTACGTATTTTTTAAAGATATGTCTCGTCTAAAAGCAAGGGCCCCGTAATTTCCTTGTAAAATACATGCGATAAAATTTACATTTGATCCGCTTTGCAGAAACAATCGAGATTTTTAGACCAAAAGTCGGCAAAAATTTGACAATTTTTGCCGAATTTCGGCAAGAAAAGTTTCATTCTATTTATAGCATGGAGGGTAATGCAAAATTTAGTTAAATAAAACCTCAGCGTCGCACTTGGGGTGCAGCCAGGATTACCAAGACCAAAATTTCGGCTCCAGCTCTTACCTCCCAGAGCCATTGCCGAGGCCAAATTTGCGGCTCCGGCTGCCGTGCAACATTTTTTTATTTTTCAAGCAATTGGTTTAACAAGAGCGCGAAATTTTTACTTTTCTGAACGCTGAGAAGCCTGGCTCCGGCTTTAGGTTCGAGAGCCGGAGCCGGACCCAAAATTTCCGGTTCCGGCTCTGGCTCCCGGCTCGGAGCCAAGAGCCGGCTCCGGAGCAGTGGTAATCTCTGGGTACTTCTCTTGTCAATTGACAATCATTGCAAAAATTTTCTAAGTTTCGCCCGCGCCAGGACATTTCCGGAACCGGGGAAAAATCAAAGATAAGGCTTAGGCGACCTTTTTGACCTCAGCCACGACCTAGGTCGCGAGATAGTAAAGTGCAGACAAAATGAACATGACTTTCGAAATAAGCAACCTCAAAAACCCATAAATCCAGTATGTTTAGAAAAATTTCAAAAAATTACTTTTTACCACTACGTAAAAAAAAAGAAACAATCAGAAAAAATTAACATGATTTTCGAAATCAACATCATCGAAAACCCCTATATCGAATATTTTTGGAAAATTTTCAAAAAATTACTTTTTAACACTACTACTTAAGAAAAAAGTAACAAAATTTTTTTGATTAATAACAATAAATCCATTCAGATGGGAGGTCGAAGCCTTATCTTTGATTTTTTCCCCGGTTCCGGAAGTGTCACTTTTCCGCCATTCCGGAAGCGTCCAAATTCCGGAAATGTCGTGGTGCCGTTTCGCTGATTTCGAGCTCCAAACTTTGGAATGGAAATCTCAAAGGTCAGTAGAAGGCCTCCGTGAAATAATTTTTTTAAAATTAGATCATTATCGGCGGAGAAATGCCTGAAACAAGGGTGGAAGTTCCGAGTGGCCCGCCCTGTATTGTGCCGAGTAGTTGCCTTACGTTTCTTCATCTTTAATCACCTTCAGTTTTTCCATTGTTTTGAAAGCTTCACGGCACTCTTCTTCTTTTGCAAAGTACAAACCAAATAACCGATCTACAAAAATAGCATAAAAACAAAGAATTTTTGAAGATATATGGTGCGTGCGCACAGCGTTCTGTACTTTTTTGGAATGATTCCGACACCGATTTTTTCGAATTTTTCTAAAATAGCCCGCATTTACGCGGGTGTCGCTAGGGAATACTGTAAGATTGAAGTGTAAAATTTGCAGTGCTTATAGAGTGAAGAGAGATCTTTCCAACGATACAACTACGTAAATTAATATGGAAAAAGAAATTTGTAATCAACGCTGAAAACTGACCGACTTTGGATTATCGGCGCTAAAGATTGCCCTTAGGCAGATCTCTTAGAAGAAGTGGATGGTACCAACTTGTGCGGAATTTAATTCTCTACAACATATCCAAAAACTACAAAATTTTACTGCTTTTCCGTCGAATTATGCCTCAAAAATGCAATTTTTGCACTAGTTTTACCAATTTTTTAAAAATATTTGCACTTTAAAGGCATTATTACAAAAACAGAGTCGTACATATTGAAGCTTGCATGGTAGCTGAGCATACTGTTTAATTTTACCCTGTCATCTATCTCCATCTTCAAGAACAACGGAGCTAAAGTTTGGTGCTTGGACCCAGCATAAAAATGCCCTAAGGGCGAATTTCAAAAATGCGATAGTGCCACTGAACGTAGAATTTTTTGTGCTACAGGTACGCCAAATTTGAGGAAAAAAATCAACGTTGGGAGTTTCCGGAATAGTTTGAAACATCGGTGGCCTCATGAACACATTTACGCGTTCATGATGTTGCATGGATTTCTTGGAGCAGTCACAGAAGAAGGAATCGAATCGTTGCCTTTTGAGCATGGCTGTTTGAAGGCTTATTTTACGTTTAGTGGCACTATCGCATTTTTGAAATTCGCCCTTAGGGCATTTTTATGCTGGGTCCAAGCACCAAACTTTAGCTCCGTTGTTTTTGAAGATGGAGATAGATGACAGGGTAAAATTAAACAGTATGCTCAGCTACCATGCAAGCTTCAATATGTACGACTCTGTTTTTGTAATAATGCCCTTAAAGTGCAAATATTTTTTAAAAATTGGTAAAACTAGTGCAAAAATTGCATTTTTGAGGCATAATTCGACGGAAAAGCAGTAAAATTTTGTAGTTTTTGGATATGTTGTAGAGAATTAAATTCCGCACAAGTTGGTACCATCCACTTCTTCTAAGAGATCTGCCTAAGGGCAATCTTTAGCGCCGATAATCCAAAGTCGGTCAGTTTTCAGCGTTGATTACAAATTTCTTTTTCCATATTAATTTACGTAAGTTGTATCGTTGGAAAGATCTCTCTTTACTCTATAAGCACTGCAAATTTTACACGTCAATCTTACAGTATTCCCTAGCGACACCCGCGTAAATGCGGGCTATTTTAGAAAAATTCGAAAAAATCGGTGTCGGAATCATTCCAAAAAAGTACAGAACGCTGTGCGTGCGTTCTTATTATTTTGTCGTAATATATAACTTACCCTGATCTCCTTTCCCAAAAATAAACGATGCCTGGAGAGTTAATCTAAGGTCATCGTTTAGAGGCAACACAAAGTCATCGCCTGTCTCCTTACTGGCCAGCATAATTTTATATTTTGGTTGAGAAGTCCTGGAGTACACGAAAAGAGGCCCGTGGACGTCTGTTCGAATCCAATTTTTCGTTTTGAGATCAAAATTGTATAAAGCAACACTTTTATAGACATATTCAATTCCCCCAATGTCCTTATCGACACACTTAACGTATTTGAAAGCCCTTTCATTGACAGTCAAGGGTTGCTCAGAGCTTGATGGCTTTAAAAAGGTTGTTAAACACAATTTAATTTTACCTTGGCCGATGTGCCAAACAAAGCTTCCAGCACTTTGGGCGCCGTATGCACAGTGACAGGCCGGTCTTTAAGAGAGGTTGTCTCCTCGATGTTATCCACGTCTTCTCCTTCATTACCCTCGACATCTTTAAGCTCTTCATATTGTTCATGTATCACATCTTCCTCTTCGCTATTTTCATCGTATTCATCCGAATACTCTTCACCGTCTTCTACTTCTTCTACAACTGGGCTTTCAACATGATCTATTTTTACAACAGGGGTAGGGAACAGCGAATTCAAAAGTGATGAGGATGCGTCTGGCCTTGATGCCGAAGTAGCATCAGTAGAATGCGTGTCAATAGAGTTATCCACATTCGTTTCTGACTGTTCCAGTTTTTCTTTGAGCCCCACCAAAGTTTGATAAACCTTTATGCATTCCTTTTCATCTCCAAACCACAACGCCTTGATCTCCTCTAAAGAAAATTTATGAATCACGAAACAGAAAACTTACTTTTTGGAATATTTGTGAAAATGTATGGACTATTACACTCAAATCTCATGTCTTTCTTGATAGGCTGGATCCAATCTTCGAGAGATTGTCTGTTGGCAATCATATACGAATAAAAGGGCCGATCTTTCCTACTGTATATAAAAAACGGACCTCCGACCTCAGACTTGATCCATTCGTCGGTTTCTACACAATAATTATAGAGTGCGCCATGGCTGGCCTGACATACAATCTTATCAGCCAGAGGGTCGATCATTTTTATACATTTCAAGTTCTGATCAGACACGTCTACCAATTCGGACTGGATGAAAGTTTTCATGTTTGATGCCTAATAACCAAAAATATAATTTTATATAAGGGTTACCTTAATTTTCTTTGTGACATTCTTCGATTTAAACGATGCTGCAACGATGGTCTTCTCCGAATACGTCATACAAACTTCGTTTCGTTTGTCCGATTTGTTCAGAAACTGTTGTAATTCTGTATCCTTTCTTCGATTAATTTCCCTGCCTTTAGTCACTGAAGTCACGACTTCAAAAAACTTCGGACATTCCGTCACGTCTTTGAAACATATTCCAAAAGACTCTCCTAAACATTAATTTCGTATTTCAATAAATTGCATACCATGTTTTAGATGGAGAAAAATGAATGGACTCTTAAATTCAAGCTTGGAAGAGTCATTGAGAGGTCTGATAAAATTGCTGGTTTTCGAAGCAATAAAGAGAGAATTCAGAGGTTTGTCCAATCTTTCATACACAAATAATGGCCCAGTAATATCCGTCGTCACCCATTTTCCGTCGCTGAATTTGTATAAAGCACACTGCTTGGAGCTCAAAATAATATTCTTGGCAAGCGGGTCTGTGGATTTAACAAAAGTTAAAGGATCCGTTGCCTTACTGGCCGTTTTTTCTAATCGCTAAAAAGCAATAATTCATAATAAAGATACTCTTACCTTTTCTTCAGCAGCTTTGGCAAACAATTCGTCTAATTTATTCGATTTCACCGAGACTGGAGCTTGTCTTGCATTTTTAAACAACGATTCTAATAGATCAGTGCCAGACATGATACCAGAATATAATTATTTCTTTTCTAGTTTTTTATATAATTAATTATATAAAAAACTAGAAAAAATCGAACAAAAAGGCTGCAGACCGCATATTCATTATTATACGAACAAACATGTCAGACAACTATCAATTTGAACCCCGAACCGTATACGGTACAACGTTGTACACAAATCCCATATCATAGTTCCATTGTCTGACAAGCTCACTTACAACCGACCAGCAAAAGATTCCCACTTTATGATGCCCGTGCAGGCCCGATTGGGCGCGAGCTGCCAAATTTTCTTGGAAAAAATTTTCCTTGTTTTCTTATCAAAGATTTTTTTGATTTGATCTCCATGCCTCGTCCAACTCAAATAGAATCTGCTGTCTCGAAGGCGAATGGAGTTCAGAAAAAGAAGAAAAGACGTAAAAAGACGGTACCAAGAGAGGACGAAATAAAACAACTGAAGACCGCCTTGGAAGTAAGAAATTGGTTATGCTATACTTATTTTCCAGAAATTGAAAAAGAAATACGCTGAAACGAATGATGCCGAGTTTGACCTAGATGACAAACAGTTCGAAGTAAATTATGAGAAGATTGTGAAAATTCGCCAAAAACAGGATGAATGTGAAAGAAGACTAAGATACCTCCAAAATGAAGCTGGAGAAGAGTAAGGTTTTATTTACCGTTTTATCGTTTTAGATCCACAGAGATCTTCGTCAATTGCACTGGTTTCGAACCACTGAATGAAAAGCTCAGTGAGTTTCTCAACAATCCTGCAAATTTGAATAGGTAAGCGCAGTTAATATCCGAGGCCTGTGTTATATATTCAGACCGTTGAGTAAAAAAATATTTTCCCGCATTTTGAATGAGGTAAAGGAGGTGCATGGGGAAGAACTAATGATTCGAAATCGTATCCCCGTGAACAGCCCAGATGATTTATGTAAGTATAACACCTTTTATATTCAATTTGTTTGTTTTAGTAATCTTTTCAATGATCCAGATGCAAAACATTGCGCGCCAGACGAAGCTTCTTCGTGTTCATGTCCCCATGTTAAAGAGATATGACCCTGAAGGGTCTTGTAAGTTATTTAAGGTTGCTGCAATTTTAATTTTTTTAGACGATCAATTTATTTCTGCTGCGGTTAACAGTATCTGTAAAGAAAATGAGAATGGTGAGGAAGTCAGAGACGCGTTAAAGCAGGCAGCGGAAGTTATGGAAGAAGAAGGAGATAATTGTAGTCTCGACGATGAGGAAGAGGGGGGAAAGGACCTTGAGGTTGATGGAAATTTTGAGGTTGGAGATTTGGAGGAGTTTATGGCTAAAGTTGTTGACGAAGGCGAAGATGACGATCACGAATTGATGTTAGTGGATTCAGATGATAACGAAAAAAATGCAGATGTAAACTAACCGGAACATTACAATTTTTGTTTCTTTTAGGATGAGGTTAATGTAGCGGATGATTTTAATAATGACTCCAACCAGTATATTACTTTGGATAGTGATGATGATCATATCTGTGGTGAAGTTCCTTCGTCTAGTCATGAAATTGTGGATACGATGATGAATGGCCAAATAACCTCAGAAAATGTAAAGAGACCTCAAATGGCATCATCTGTATATCCGCAGAAAGGTAGATACTTGTAGAAGGATACTGAAGTTACTCGTTTATGTTGCAGGAACCGTTGTGGAAATCAAAGAAGGGGGACCTCTAAGTCTGTCGCATTCTAACTTCATGCAAAACTCAGATATGGCCTTTGGTAAGGTAAGCCTAATACACCAATCGAATGTAAAACTGCTTTTAATCTTAGATTAAACGTTGCGCGACGCCCCGACCGGATGCTGTTCCGGTGATAACCTTGTCTGACGATGATGATGCCTAGGTTCGGCTGACTTATTTTCATAATTTTCTCCATAGGAAGACTCTATTTAAATGTATTTTGATCTCGTTCATGAACAATAAAACGTTTTCTCCAAGTTTCTGCGGATTGTCATGACAACCTAAATCGTGGCTTGCCTTTTTGTCGATTATTTGAAAATGAAGGGGTCCCTCAAGGAGATTGTAAACTATTCTTTTGGTCATCGTCTTGCAAAGAACGCCACTTCGATCGGGTATGTTGATCAATCGGAGGTGGAGAAGATCGTTGTGGGGACTGCTTCTAATAAGGTCATTCTTCAAAATTCGGGTAGGTAATTGGATTATACTGCGAGTTTTGTATATTCGGGTTTAATTTTAACATCTTCAGAAGCCATCTTCCATGTGAATGAACCCATTACATGGATTGATGTTCTCCCTCCAAAGCAGCGAATCACCTCTGAATTGAATTGTGATCTTGTTGTGGTTGGGACGGATAAAAGTCTTATCGTATTTGATGTTTACAACAACAAGACAATTTTCCATCGAGACATGCCTGAGGGCATTTCTTGTGTTAAGATAGGCAGGGTGGAAGAACAACAAGATAATTTAATTATTTGTGGATGTGGATCTACAATCTGGGGAATCGACGAGCAAGGCGAGGATGTATTTTGGACCGCCTTGGGTGATGACGTGAATTCCTTGGATCTTTGTGATATTGACCATGATGGAATAAATGAGGTAAAAAAAAATTTTTTGTTGATCTTCAGCTCTCAGCTGATCGTTGGAACCAATGGAACCGAAATCAAGGTGCTGAAACAACAATCATTAATGAAGGATCTCGTGGAGGGAGATCCGTGTATGTTAATTCGAACTTTGTGTGATGGAAAGTTTGCATTTGGGCTGAATAATGGGGTCATTGGAGTATACAGAAAATGGGAAAGATTGTGGAGAATCAAGACAAAACATCTGATTAACAACCTTCTCATCTTTCCAATTGTACCTGGAGACGAAAAGATTTATCTGGGATGTGTCTGGCAAAATGGAAAGGTATCTCTTATCTTGCTGGGGATTTTTATGTAATCTCAATTTCCAAATGATCTTTTTAGGTGGATGTGAGAGACGCTGATAATGGAGAAAATTATTTGAAAACACATCTCGAAGGGGATGTCGCTGGCTCTGTGGTCTTGCGAAGGAACGGGCGGATGGACCAATTATTGGTCACGTACTTCAACGGCAAAGGTAAGCAAACAAAAAAGGACTTGCACACTGTCATAGTGAGAGGAGTAGAACTGAATCCGGATTTCGATGAAGTCAGTGACGAGATTGCGGTTCTTCATGAATTTGGACAAAGAAAACACAATCTTATGGAGGAATTGAAGAACTACGAGGCTACAGAGACACGAGATCGGTCCCAACCAGGCATTCCTTTGAACACTCAGATGGACTGTACTCTTGAATTAACGGAGGAAAGAGGTCTTCTCCTTCATATTCATGTCTCCAACGATATACCCATAAAGGCTGTGTTGATGTTTGCTGAAGGAATCTTTCCGTCGGAGTGTTTTGCCATGTATGTATAACCATCCATGTACTATATTTTCAGTCATCCAAATGTAGAAACTTCGGATATGTTTACTATCATCACCCCGTTAAAGAATACCGCGACGGATATTTTGATGAGAGTTATAATTGGAGCCCAAGGAAGGTGAGGGTCCACTCTTTCCACATTTTGTATGCCACTTTCTGACCTGTATTTACTCCGATTACAGTACGCAACTTCGTGTGTTGGAATTCGACCGATCACTCCCCAAATTTTCAACATACGTGTATCTGGAAGGTGGCGTAACTGCCCCCGAGGGATTTGTTGATTTGGAGTTTACAGTCAGACTGGATTTATTAAATCGATGGTTGGCAACAAACTTCTTAATTAACGATGAGGTCGTAAACACTATGAACAATGAGAATAGCTGGAGTGTTTCCTTCAAGTGCTGTTATACGAAGGAAGTCTTGCAAATTGAGATCATAGGTGGTCGGGTAGGACTTATAAGGCGTGTGTCCTTATCTTTCACAAGCTGACAAGACAAGAACGTTTTCTATCTAAAATCTTTTTGTCTGGCCGGTTCACAGTTAAAAATACACACGCCTTATATGACGTTATTGTCGTAGGTGATCATCAAACACAATTTGATTGAAATTGCTGGAGAAGTTGTTCAATCCATGGTGCAATCAATGGAAATAAGGCAGCTGACAAGTCGAGCGCATTTCCCCAAATACCAAGAACAGCTAATGGAGTTGATAAGCTCGGTAAGGATGTAAAATATCATCCATGTAGGTATCTTAGATGGAAGATCGTTACACCATGAACGATAAACTGACTGCGGAATGGACCGAGAGGCTAAACTTTATCCGCGAGACTGTTGTCCGAGCAGAAGACGCTCTAATAACAGATCAAACTACCAAAGCCAGGAAACTGTACGTTCGCGTGGCAATGCTTAACCGGGAATGCGTAGCACAACGCCAAATTTTGATGAATTCGGTGGAAGCTTTGGTCAGTTCTCTGAAGAAACTGAATCTGTTAATCAAACAGAACTCTCAGCTAAAGAGTGGGTTCAGTTTTATACTGTAATTAACCGTTATTTTAGTTGGTGAGGACGCCAACGAATTGGTCAGGGAATGTCGAAAGCTTTTGGCCGCTGAGAACTTTAGTGTGCTCGGAAAACGTTTACAAATATCTGGCACTTAATTTTAATTACATAAGTTGTGGCATTTAAATATTTATTTGCTAATATATGAGGATGATCCGATCTACAACTTTTTCCGTCTAGACTGGCAAGAAGCCCGGTTTCTTGGCTGGAGAGCAGGGTTAGGACGGGGTATATACCAAAATACCCGCGAAGCCGGGCATTTTTGGGAATTTTGAAAGTACTTTAGCATTAAAAAATGTAAAAAAAGTGAAATTTGGTCATAAAGAATCAATAAATGTGGACGTTTTGTCATAATTTGTTCTTTGGCGTTCAAAACTTGGTTTTGAGGTCGAAAACTATTCCAACCTGGTCCACAGGTTCGTCTTGTGCCGCACCTTATTGCACTACGCCACCGAAGCACTTCTGCGCTGTGCTATGGAAACGGTTCGCATTTGTTTCCTCGGAAAACACCTTTTATTAGCTGCTAATAAAAGGTAATCCTAGACCAGTTTTCTATGCTCTTTCAAATAGTGTTTGTCTCAAGAAAAAACCAGGATGCGCGGTTTTGCCGAGCCGTTGTCAGTCAAGAATTTCGCATTTCTTGTCTGAGAGCCCTTCAGCCAACAAATCGGGCCTTGACGACAAATTGTAGATCGACACGTTACTTATAAATTTCAGCGCTCTAAAAGTTGCGCAATCTTACATAACGTTGCGCAATTTTTTCTCTTTGTAGAAATTTCTGCCTTTCTCTGTCGGCTCCTCCTCGCCTCCCCTTTTTTGAGAACTTTTAGCTTTGGACTAAACCCGCGGGGTTGGGATGGACTAGCGCGCTGAAATTTGTAAGTAACGTGCCGTATATACAGGGTGAGCCACTCGAAGCTTCCGTCCTCTTTTTTTGGATTTCTCCGCCGATCTTCCTAAATTTTAGATTTTTCTTGAACTGGGATCCGCCATTTTGAACCGGTTGACTTTCGAATCGAAAAACATTTCGGATTGACCTTTCTATCAGTCTGTCGGGAAAATAATGGCGGGTCGTCGCATTTTAGGAAAATCGGCGGATTAAATTTAAGGTCTCGGCAGAGCCATCCAAAGAAAGACGACGGAAGCTTCGAGTGGCACAGTATAATTATGCAATGATCTTGAAAGTTAAACCCGTAAATTAATTATTATGTCATACATTGGCAGAATGGGAATTTAAAGGCTCACGCCCTCTGTGATCTCCGCGCCCAGTCGGCCTAGTGGCCAAGGAATTCATGACAATCGTTTGGCCCCGATCATAATTGGAGTCGAGCCCATTCTGACCAGATTGACGGCCTGCTTCTCTTCTTTGCTTTCTTTGCGCCCTTCTGAAGTTTTAGCCCATTAAAATTAACTTTTTTATTCAACAGCTTTGCCCCGACTTCTTTCTCGCGGGTTCCCCGAGAAAATCCCGTAGTGTCTAAAAACAAGGGAAACTTACTTTGCACTCATTAATTCGATCTGCCTTTTTGTCCGAGGAATACGAATCCTCATAAAACAACACACAATTATTGTCATTACTAATAACACGGATCCAACTAGTCCAATTAGCATCCATAATCGAAGGCCTGGAGCGATAAATTGATCCATCCAATGAGTGTCATCGTGCATTCTGAAAACGTATTAGGTAGTTTTTATAGTGCACTCAAGCCACGTGTATAGTCCTCATATACCAAAATAACGGAGACAATTTTTTGAAGTGTACTACCGCGAAAAACAGGCGTTGGAGAAACACAAGCGACAGCGCATAATATTCTGTAACACCTTGTCTATAATCCAAAAAAATTTGGTAGAATCATCATGTCGCAAAAAAAAGTTACAGTTAAACAAAGATGCCTTGCGCCGTTTTTTAGATTTTGGTTCCCTTGTGTTGCGTAGAGCCTAGCTGCACTACTGCTAGTTTTCTGGGCTACGGTTCTTATTTCTAAGGTGGTACCGATCTCAACATCATGAATCTTAATAAGTCACAGAAAAAACGGGAAATCTTGTCAACGTTATTTTGGGTCACCCTGTAATTCCTTAGTTGGCGACGGGATTTCGGACAGACGAGCGAAGTCTGTTCCAAATGTAGGGTGGCCGAAATTGCTCACGCACATGGTTTAAAGGTGACTATAAAAGAAAACGCCCAGTCTCCCGGCATCAAACCCTCGAAAACCGGAAAAAGCCGCCTTTTGGCCCTTCAAAACAATGTGTCCGGCCATTGCATCGGCATGGCCAATACATCTGCTCCATTCGAACCGGGAGAGAAAGCGAGAGACCAATGTCAAATATTATCCCCGACCCCAAGACAACTGACCGGCCAATTTACGCACTTTAGAATTTATCGATTAACAACAAAATAAGCTAATTATCACATCAAAAAGTGGATAGAATAAAATTCTTATGCAAAAGATGGAGATAGATATGTATAAAAGTTGAGACCAAGACTGAAATAATTTGGAAACTGTATTATAATCAAAGAAAATCAGCACGAAGTATTCGCTGAACCGACGGATGAAGACACAACCGAATCATCTTGACCTCTTTCTTTCTCCTGTTGGAACTCAGCGACATAAAGTTTTGGATCAACGTCCTTGGGAATAGGATCAATGCGAGTCTTCAGTTCCCTTTCGATGCGACCCATGTTGAATCGATCCTCGTAAGTGACAAGATTGACAGCAATACCAAGGTGACCAAAGCGACCAGATCTGAAAAACCAATAGAACGTAACCATTATTTTACCTTCCAATTCTATGCAAGTAGGTTTCGGCATTTCTTGGAAAGTCAAAGTTGATCACAACATTGACCGCTTGGATATCGATACCACGAGTAAGGAGATCGGAACAAACCAAATTGCGACAATTTCCTTGACGGAAGTCATGGAAAACACGGTTCCTGTGATGTTGCGCCATTTTAGAATGGATATAAAAGCACGAGTAACCGAGTTCAGTGATCTTCTTGGCCAAAAGTTCGACTCTTTGGGTAGAGTTGCAGAAGATGATAGACTGGTTGATCTGGAGCTTCCGGAACAGTGTGTTCAAACAATGGACCTATAAACGTCTAAATTTCAGGTAGTTACACTAACCTTTTGCTTCTCTTGAACACACGCGTAGAATTGACTGACTCCCAGCAGGGTCAATTCGTCCATCAAGTTCACTTCAAACGCCTTTCTCATATGGTTCTGCATGAAAGTGGCGACTGTGCGCGGGAAAGTTGCAGAGAACATCATAATCTGTCTGTCTCCAGGAAGATGCGAGACCAAACGATCCAACATGGCCTAAAAACAGCTATGAAGCCATAATCGACAGCAATCGTTACCTGGAAATCTTGCGACAGCAACTTGTCTGCCTCATCCAAGACCAAAGTTTTGCACTCGTTCATTTTGGCAACACCCTTATCCATCAAGTCAAGGATTCTTCCGGGGGTCGCAATAATAAGGTGAACGACACCGTTTAGACGAAGAAGATCGTCACGGAGATCGGTTCCACCAGTAGTCACCATAATCTGAAAAAAATTCAGACAACCAGAAAGGAAACTCACCTTCAACTTCAGATGCTTGCTAAGCTCAACACAAATTTGAGAGGTCTGAAGAGCCAATTCCCTGGTAGGGACAACAATAAGAGCTTGAATGGCGTTCAATCCCGGGTTGATCTTCTCAATCACAGGAATACAATAAGCTCCAGTCTTTCCGGTCCCGTTTTTCGCACGGGCCAAAATATCCTGACCTGAAATGAGTTCAAATAGGATTAAAATAACATAGATTACCTTAAAATACGGAAATTCATTCTTACCGGACATAGCAGCTTTGATGGTGCTCTCTTGAATCGGAGAAGGCTTGTCCCATCCTTTTTCGAAGATTCCCTTCAGCAGATCGCGAGAGAGACCAAACTGCTCGAACTCGATTCCCTGTGTAGCAGTTACATCGGCTGTTCTGATTCGCATATCTCTTGGAGGCAGTTTTAAGTCCTTTTTCCAATCGTCGCTTAGTTGAAGGACAAGGGTCATTTTGAACGAATTAGATTGCGCGTGTATAAAACTGAAAGAAATAAACTTAAACCCGACGTAAACAAGGTTAATATAATGCAAACACCAAACGCAATACCGCGTTTGCAACACTTACTAGATAAAGAAAATGAGTTTGCCACAGAGCCGAAGGCAATCAACCCATTTTTCATCTTCCAAGAAATTCATCGCTTGAACAATCGGAATACTGTAGTTTTCTTCGTAAGACCTACAAGAGACCATTGTTTTTGAAATACAGGGTCAAACTTCCATCCTTATTTCAAGTATTTCTCCGCCGAAAATGCACCAATTTCTATAATATTTATATCAAATTGAAGCTGAGGTGCCCCATTTTTTGTCCAGCAAATATGACAAGCCCAAGTTCACGGAGGCTCCCGTACTGACCTTCGACATTTTAATTCCAAATTTTAGAGCCCGAAATCGGTGAAACAGAAATTTTTTGCAATGATTTTCAGTTGAGTTTCTCGGACTTTGAAAATGTTCGAGTCTTTGGCTAAATAAGACATTTAGAAGTAGCTGAAAAAATTTACGGCAGTGAACGGAATACTCGTAATTATTTTTCAAAGCATTGCTCTTGTGTTCTGGGGATTTTTTTTATAGCAAAGTAAATAATACAGTGAAATGGTTATAATCTTGTGTAGAAGTTAGGTATTGACAAAAAAATTAATGGCAGCTTCAGGGTTGTTTCTGATGAGATCCGAATACAGTTGCTCCTGAAAGAAAGACTATTAACGGGAAGACCACTTATGCCATTGATTGTATTTAATGACACACATACCGCTTCTTCTTTCGTGATGTAAGTATCGATAAACTGTTTGGCTCTAACAGCGATATCTTGTCCTCCAAATTGACCGGCCAGACAAACAAGATCAAGAACATTGGACTGATCAATGTTCTTCCCAACCTTACTCATACAATGGTCCCTGAGTCCATCTAATTGAAAGTAATCTGCTGCTTTCACAACTTCAGAGCAGATCGAACAGGCTTGGTTGGAGACCTTCCCATGGTATATATAGTAGAAGATCTCTTTGACTATCTGAAAATCAAATGCTTTTAATCCTTTCCGGACGAGTCGGCATCCCCACGCAGAAATAAAATGGGGTACCATAGTGAGTAATACAATAGTGGTTCAGCACATCAAAGCGTTATTCAACTCATGTGTTTTCTAGATTTCAAAGTCTGTTGTAGCTTACGCATTTCTTGTCTAGAGGCCTAACACACAAAAATCTCGGTTTCTGCCCACGACACGTGATTTGATGCGTATGTCACCATCCTTACATATTTGACTTTAGGTAAAAAATTGGCCGAAATTTAAAACGCATTTTCAAAAATCGATAACAAATCATTTTCAGACAACGAGTGTCTCAACGCCTATGACTCACCTCTGGTCTGAACGTATTGACAACGGCTTCGTTGCGTTGACTTTCTTTGGTATCTCCCAGGAACATGCTTTGAAAATATGGAGAACTCGGTCCAACAATGACTTTATGCACGGGAATTCTGATAGTCTCCTCTCCAGGATATTCGCAGATAAACGTGAAGTCACTGTACTTTTCATCCATATACATTTTGGCCGCTTGGAACTAAAAACGTCAAAGAATGACAATTGAGGTCATACATTTCGAGAGTCCTCGTTGGAAGAAAATGTAGCTGGTTCAACTAGAGGTTGTCCTTCCCGTTCCCTTCGTTGCGGGTGTGCAGTTGAGAACCTAAGTTCGGCGTTCCAACCATTTCCTCGGTCCACAATGGGAACGGCAACGTACTAAAAAAACAAACAAGATTAGGAAGGTTAGAATCACTAAAATAAAAAATCCTTACCAACGCATCTCCATTGTCTAATTTCCCCATCTTGGTAGATATTTCACTCAATCTTCGATCGTACGTTCTGAAGTTCTCAATTGGTTTTGTTATGCTGACAGAAACACTTTCCCATCCAGGATACACTGGTTGAAGTTTGAAACCAATTCGATTGTACTAAATAAAGTCATTAAATATTTCAACTTCAAGCGTACCCCCCTATTATACTCTATAAGCAAAGTCGTAGTAAATGCGGGGCTATTTTGGAACTCATCAATCTGTAATTCCATCTGAGCATTTTCTCTTTGAGTGAGGGTAAGTGGAACAATCTTTGTATAGTATGGTTGCTGGTGTCTCTGACGTTGTGGTATTCTTTCACCATATCCTTCATCGTCAGGAAATGGATCTCCAAACGCAACCCCGGGCCTTTGAACACCTCTAGCAATAAGTGATATCTGATCACGCCTTCGATCAACGTCTCCAAGTCCTGCTCTTCCTCTTGGTCTCAGAACGTCATTTCTCCTGTACCGTTCGAAATGGAGATCAGCTACTTCTGCCGGAATCTCAAGGTCCTCTTCGCCGGAAACACCTTCATCATTCCTAGACATACCTGAAAAACTTCACTATCTGGGGGAAAATTCATAAGGCTATATATTGTATAAGGCATGCGAGATTACAGGGCAGCGCAAAAGAAATTTTGACGAAAAATTTGAATGAGCTGGTTATTTTGAAGAAAACATGGGTCTCCAAATCCATTTTCAAGAAAAAATCTCGCGTTTGAAAACTTCGTATATCAGATTTTTTTATTTGTTAGCGAAATGACGAAAATGACCCCAATTTTCAAATGACGTCAGATTGAAAAAATCTGTCAACAATTTTTTGCGTCTGGCCCATGTTATACGATGAAGATCGAGAATGGTTTATAATTTGCAAAATCAGTAAAAAAAATCAGACTTTTTTTTGATATACATAATCAATCCAGCACAACCGATTTTTTGTGGTTTTGTGCAGTTTTACGAATTTTCGTTCCACGGGGATCGAACCCGTGACCTCTGTATTACTAAATTTGACCAAAATCCACTACACCACGAAAAAAGGGTGATGACTTTTTACACATTTTTTAATGTTTCTAGGGCAGAATTTTACGCTGATTAACATATGTAAAAATCAGCTGCGGCATTTCAGAAACAAATTTTTTATGGCCGATTTTGTTCGGCCGAAACCACATTGCGGTATGTTACAGTAACCCGACCGCCGAAATTCTGGATTCGCAATGACGAGCATACCCGAAAACATCAGTATTCTCAATTTCAGCCATTTGTGGTGAGTAGTTATGTTGTAATAGTCGATTACTGTAAAACGTTAAATTGTAAATTACAGTAGGTTAATGAGAGAATTAGGCAAAAATGTTTCAGGAATATGTTTACTGGATGCCTGCGGTCATTTTAAAATCAAAAACTCAAAATCCATTTTTTTTCTATGTCCACGGCTGATTCAGTGACTCAGAAATCGTGTTTTAATATTTTCGCTTCGGGACTTGGGAAAAAGGATTTTTTGGAGAATTTGAACAAAATTTTGAAATGTTTTCGCTTCGGGACTTGGGGAAAAATTTTTTTTTGAGAATTTTTAAGTGTTTTCGCTTTTATTTGCTTACAATCAGTACGACTATCTTCTTACTCCGCTCTCTGGCACTGTCTGTGCTTAAATCCCGTTCTTCCAGTTAAAAACATAAACAATGGATACGGTTTTCTTATTCGCTCGTCGCTTATAAACACTATTTTCCTAAAAAAAATTTAAAATAAACCTCAATACTCCAAAAAGTCCTTTTTCCCCAATCCGCAAGCGAAAACATTTCAAAAAAATTTTTCAAATTCACAAAAAAATTCTTTTTTCCCAGTCCCGAAGCGAAAATATTAAACGGTATCGTTGACCCGAGGTGTCGTTGATCCGAAATGTCGGGACGCGGATTTCTCGAATTTCTGCGTGCGAAAGCGGCGACAAATTGTGCGAACTTTTGAGCGCGAGTAGTTTTGTATAAGATAAGGCAATAAAACCAGTAGGTGAAAAATCTTATGGGCATGGGCTTATTGCCGAAGCTCCCATTTTATAAAAGTGATTGTTTCGTTTCGAAAGTGTTTGTGCGCATTAGATAAAAAAAACAAATATTTTTAATAGTATCGTATCAGCTAATTGTAAAAAAAAACAATAGCAAAATCGGACGTTAGTCAGGTTAAACGAAACGCCTAAATCTGAAAGAATTGATTCATCTTCGTTTCCGTGAGTCTTTTTTTCAGATGGACCGGACGGGCTCAGAAACAGCTGATGCTCGGGGGTGGAAGGGAAAGAACATACGGGTCAGCCCCATCATTTTGAAACGACACGTTTTTAGAACAAGACATGTTTATTATTATAAATCTCTGGCATTTCAAATATGCCATTTTTAGAAAACCGAGATTGATATTATGGTTTATGAGGCTTTATGATTTGAGTATCCCGTATTTTATTCCACTTCTTCAATGAGGTAATTTTGAACTTTTGAAGTGACCGTTTCACTAATCCATCGATGTTTTCGTCGCAAGTAATCAAAGTGCACTTTGAGGTTTTGTGGCCATTCCGAAAGGAGGGCCTCAACAGTTTCCAATTCGGCTAACGTTCTGGTTGCATGCAGAAGATATCTCCCAATTCTGTCGGATTTCCCCGTATTTACAGCGAACAGAAGTTGGCGTTCATGCACTGATAGTCGGCTGATTCCGCGCCAAAACACGTCTCGGAACTGTTTGTTGTATTGGACGGTGTAGGACCCCTAAAAATTGTAAATAAAATGAAGGAAACGGGTACCCGTTTCGATACCCGCGGGTATAGTATGTAAAGAGCCAAACCCATCATGGAACAATTTCAAAAACCTTGAAAAATATCTGTATTAATTTACTTTTATTACAAATAAAATTCAGACACTTTGGCTAGCCGATCCAGGTCCCTTAAAAAAATTAGTTGTGATTTCAACTCATTAACTGGTTTGTCAAAAAATTTTGCAACATTGGCTATACATATTGGGCCAATACCCGATCTGTCCCAAATGAAGGGTAGCCAGAAATCGGTCTGCTTATCCCCGATTTCTGGTTCCAAGAATGCCCAGTAGTTACAACGTATAAAGATTAAAAAAGAATAAGTCAAGATCAGAAAAAATGAACATGATTTAAAAATTCAAAAAATTGCTTGTTAACAGTACTATACTGCACGTCAAAAGTTTGGAACAGGCCAGATCTTCTTTGCGGCTTGAGATGGGAGTTTCATTTCTTTTTTATTAGAAGCTCCATGTATTAAGAACCTCAATGAATACATAGCCATAGAAATCAGAAAGCTCGTTGGAATTTTAAAAAAAAATTTTAAAAATAAGTGCGTCAAAAGTTTGGAACAGCTTTTGGAAGGTGATTATAAACTTCGGAATGGAGGCAGGTATCCTCGCATTTAGTGTTTCTGGATGATGTATGGAATCGGCATGCCAATGGCCTACTGATTTTCATCGATAAACCCAAAATGAAAAAAATGCTTATTGAGCCAAAAACTACGGTCAAAATTGAGAAAAAATGATTTTTTTGGTCTGGGTTCTCTATGTTATCGGTGTGTAAGCGTTCTAAAATATTTAATGTAGTCGCACAATTGTACAAGGGCACTCAGATCTTCGCGTAGGAACCATATCCGCACAGCATAATTTATGAAAATTTTGAGTTTTGCTATAAATCTTTATTTAATGTATTTTATATTTTTCATAGAGCGGCTTGGAGGCTAATTGGCTTGGACACCGTTATCGTGGAATCAAAAGGTGTCTTTAAGAAGCAGAACCTGGCCACTATTTGCAACATCAAGGCCACATCTTTAAAAATAGCGGGTATATGAAATGTTAATATTCCCATATTTTTTATCTTGGATTTGATGCCGCTGCATGGTTCAAAACTAAGTGCCTTTATCGTTATCACACCGATACAGTATTATAAACCAACTCTCCGAATTATCCCGCCACAAATCCGGGTCAGATATGAATATTGATTTTGGGGGCAAAAATTTTTTTAATATCTGAAAGATGTGGCCTTAGATGTTGCAAGTAGCGTGGGTTTTTGTTTCTTGAAGACACGTTTTTATTCCACGATAACGGTGTCCAAGCCAATTAGCCTCCAAGCCGCTCTATGAAAAATATAAAATACATTAAATAAAGATTCATAGCAAAACTCAAAATTTTCATAAATTATGCTGTGCGGATATAGTTCCTATGCGAAGATCTGAGTGCCCTTGTACAATTGTGCGACCACATTAAATATCTTAGAACGCTTACACACCGATAACATAGAGAACCCAAACCAAAAAAATTATTTTTTCGCAATTTTGACCGTAGTTTTTGGCTCGATAAGCATTTTTTTCATTTTGGGTTTATCGATGAAAATCAGTAGGCCATTGGCATGCCGATTCCATACATCATCCAGAAACACTAAATGCGAGGATACCTGCCTCCATTCCGAAGTTTATAATCACCTTCCAAAAGCTGTTCCAAACTTTTGACGCACTTATTTTTTAAATTTTTTTTTAAAATTCCAACGAGCTTTCTGACTTCCATGGCTATGTATTCATTGAGGTTCTTAATACATGGAGCTTATAATAAAAAAGAAATGAAACTCCCATCTCAAGCCGCAAAGAAGATCTGGCCTGTTCCAAACTTTTGACGTGCAGTATACTTAAAAGAAATAATCTGTGAAGGCATGTGTGGTTAGTTAAAATGTTTATGCTGTTTATAAGTGGAAAAGATCGCAGTTTTAACAGTTTAGATATTCAAGCCCGAACTGTTATCAAACCCCAAATCGAGCTAGACTTATGGGACACCCTAATATAGGCCAATTCAAGTACTAACATTTTTGAATACTTATATCCGTTCGAATGAGCTCACCTGCAAGACGGATAAGTACACCGCAGCGTTTTTTGTTTTGACCACTTTGTCTACTACTGAAGCAATGAGAGTTTCATCTCGCACACAGGTGGCCAGCTGTATGTTCACTGACCATTGGCCACTCCTCAACTTAAGTAATCCCATTAACATCGACAATTCGGATGGACCGGCCTGAGTGAATAGATAATGACAGATTGCTGTAATCTGTTGGTGATGTGAGGGATCGAGAGCCGTGGGATGGGACATCCACTGAGACATTTGCTTGTTCTGATCGCATGATTGGAGGTTGGCTACGCATCTCAGTTGGTACAGTTTGGCCAATCTTCGTGGACTGAGTAACCATACTGATGCTAACTCTGGATTCGAAGCTGTGTTTTGTAATAATCGATCTAATTGTTGAATCACTGGGTTCCAATGCACAAGCAGTGGCCCTACCAGGTTGGTTCCACTAATCATGTCAACAAATTCATGTATCTGATCTAATCCTTGCAACAGAACTCCGAGATCTTCCTCTTTAGAAAGGTATCCCAGAAGGTTAATATATAGTTGAGGGACTCCGCTTTGTTTCAAATAAGTATCAGCGTCAACCAGCAGCTGCATTCTGGACATCACGGGAATGGCCGTGTTGTCTCTGTGAAGTTGTTTTATCAGCATGCGCCAATTATCTATGTCATAATTCACTTTGTATGGATATATCCAATGAGGATTGGCCAGGACGTACTGATAGGCCTGAACGCCGAGATCGACAAATCTTACTGTCTCATTATGAAGCCAAAACTGCCTGACTGTCTGACCGGTGGACGATTTTGCAGAACCAAAGCTGTAGCTGAACGGAATCGACCACAACTGGTCACTCCCGTTCTTCACTCGTCTTCTTCGTTGCTCTCGTGTTATTAAGAATTGGTTCGTGGCTAGTTTAGGCGTATTGTTCTTGCTTATATCCATCTTGTGCTCTCCAAAAACGGATATTCTTTCATCCGTTGATTTCCTCCGGTTCTCCGCGTTCTTCCGTCGATGATAATTCCGTCGTCTATATGGCTTGGATGTTGTTGCATGTTCAAAATAGGAGTCGTTGAAAGTGGAGAAAGTTTCCGGTCCATCGGTTGCAGTAATACTCCTCTTGGTTTTCTTTTCCTCTTCTCTAATAACAGTTTTGCTCTCTTCATTAAGGAAAATTATGTAATTGTTAAGATTGGCGGTTCTCTGTGTAATTCTAACCGTTTGTTCCTCATAATTTCTACTCAAAATGATCTCAGGGAGCCCCTTCTTCTCCAACCAGCTCTTCATGACATCAGATAAACGTTCATCTTCTACTCCATGATCGGCAAAGGTTGGGAAAGAGTCCCATATGTTATCCGTGCTGATTGATTTGTAGGAATTGTCCTTCAGGAACTTGGTGATTCCCTCTCTGAACATCTCCACTCCTAACAGATCTTTGATCATTTTGACTATCACCGATCCTTTCGTATAAACATTGTCATGATGGAATAATTCACTGACCAAGTCTGCGTTTTCTATCGGTTCAACTAACGCTGAGGGGGAATCAGATATCTTAATTTATTTTTTTTAGAAGCGACAACAACTCACCTGGGATTGAACTAATCCCACAAGTTGAAGATAATATTCATTATCAGTCAGGTATGGGTGATCGATATTCAGGTAATCAAACACAAAATAGGTGGCAAATCCCTCGTTAAGCCACAAATTTGACCAATCGGACATTGTGACGAGATCTCCGAACCATTGATGGACAACCTAAAAATTGATATTTGAAGAAAGTACGCTTACCTCATGAGTTATGATCTTTTCAATCTTGTACTGTTCAGCCAACCTGTCCACAGTCATATTTTGTTCATCCATGATTATTGATGACATTAATGCAGCATCTTCTTGCAGGATAATAAGACCCCAATTTTCCATTCCTCCAACAGGATAGTTTGGGGTAAGCACAATATCCAATTTCTGAAGTGGATAGAGAACCTCTAGATCCTTCTCGATTCTGTCAAATATAACTGGAGAGAAACTGGCCGTGAAGTGTCCAGCAGCCAGTTTCTGAGGGTCCGACCATACCGTTAAAGGCAGATTTCTTTGCGTTCTCAGTTCAAGTGGTGTGAAATCGGTAAGAACAAATGCCAGGAGGTAGATGGACATTCGAGGGGTTTCTTTAAAACGCGAAAATTTGTTGTCTCCCCCAATTTCGTCGTATTCATCAATTAAAGCCGAGTTTGACAAGACGGTAAGATCTCTGTTATGTCTGACTGTTACATTGAATGTAGCTTTTAATTTTGGCTCATCCCAACATGGCAGGAATGTATGGGCAAATGTTGGCTCAAACTTAGTTGTGAACCCGGCGATCTTGTGAATTGTGGTCGAATTGTCCTAAAATAATTATTGCTGTCATACTTTTGGCTCTCCGCTTACTCTTGTATAAATGGTCCGCCGAATACAATGGACCCCTTTCACATTACTCTGGCATATCCTTGTTCTAAATTCTATTCTCAGTCTGTACCAAGTCTTCTTCAGTTTCTCAATGATCAGCACTTTGACCAGGTTCTTCTTGAATTCACGATTGATTTCGCCCAACTTCACGGTCTTCTTGTCATGCTCCAATTTTAATCGATGAATGAAGATGTTTGGTGCTGCATAAAATATAATTTCCTTTTGTGTAACATTCCCTGAGTATTCCAACAAGATGGAAACATTCCCTCGGATATGTTCGGCAGTTGAAAATTCAGTGAAATCAAGCTAAATATTATTTGTCATCACATTATTGTACTTACTGAGAGATCATAATGGACCGGCTTAAAGTGTCCAGGGAGGTTAATTGTAAAGTCACTGTATTTATTTCTCGGATGGTAAAATCCTAAGGTATCTTCAGTCCCCTTGCTTGGGGGATATACTTCCATCAAAGTAATATTCTTTACTTTTCTCTGAATTGACAGACTTAAATGAAGAGATTGACTTGTGGATGTGTCAGTTTCATTGTTAATTGTAGAATTAAGAAAAGTGGCGGTAAAATTGGGGTTAAGTCGGTTAAGAGAAGTGAGCAGGAAAGTCTGTTAGGTATTTATGAGGTTACTTTCTCACTTACGTCATTCCCAAATTCCACTTCGGACATCCAATGGCCAATTAGGAAAGCCAAAAACACCCCAAATATGAATATAGCATGAACCAATAAACAAATTACACATTTCCCCATACAATCACCTTTCGCTGGACGATGATATATTTCTAAACCAATGTTTATAAAAAGTAATGCGTTCAAAAAATAATTTAAAGTTACCAACCTCTGAATCTGGCCTTTTTCACATCAGCGATTGGATAATGGCCATGGTGAGATACCATGGATGCTGACATTCCATTCCTAAGACATGGTTCGAGCTCATCCGATGGCAAACAAGTGGACGCTCTAATATATGTGACACCTAGAGAGACTTGTTACCATAAGGCTTCATTCAAGTTACCTTTTGTTCGAGGATCTTGTCGTAAAATACTCATCCTCTCATTAGATATTCATAATGAACTGACTGAAAATAGGTCAAGAAGGTCATAATAAGACCGCCAGCAGAGCTAATTGAGGGTTATAAAACCGGGCAACAAATGGCCGGCAGGTAAATCGATGGTACATACGAAGTGTTAGGGTCAAATGAAAGGATAAATTTTATAAATTCATAAAAAGTAAAACTGAAAAAAAAGTTCTGTATATGTGGTGACCGCAAAAACGGGCTCCAGAAGATATCTCTCAAAACTCGCTTTCGTGTCCAGCGCTCACCAGCTTATGAAATGAAGAGCATGATTCCCCGCTTAATCCATGAAACTTGAATGAAACGGCCTCGCCCGCCCAATTAGAAACCATTTCGAAGCACATTTCAACGACTCCCAATAGGTTATCGGGCCGCGATCTCTCGCTCCGCATCACAATTCCGAGGGATCCTCCATTACGTCCTTATAAGGGCCGGATCTGCTCATTTTCTCACGACTTTTGCGTCATTTGAGATGTCCACAGGATGGTGCAGATGTCGGTAACTGAGGCACGATTAAGCACCGGGATCCGATTTCTGGCCCGAGTGAGAAAAACGGGTTACGGTAAAGCAAAAGGCAAAGTTTAGGGACTTTTCTCGGATGACATTGTCGCGGCAATGTTTTTAAAAAAGGACTAGGCATCGTATGGAAGGGTGAGCCTCTTATAAAAAACGGCTATTGCTGTCATCTCCAGTTTTGATTATTCCAAAAGTCTTGGCCACCCCCAATTCCCCGCAGACTCCTCTCTAACCGGACCGTTTAATCCAATAAGGCTGTTATGCAACATGTCCACCAAAAATCCTTTTATAAATCCAACCGGGAGTGCGGTCCACCTTTGAATTTGACCTTTCTGACTCATCTTAAGTGCAATTCCGGTTAGGGCCAAGAAAGAGGAAGGACTACGGAACATTGGAGGAACAGAAGAAAGGGCCGGAGGGCATTAACGCAGGACTCGTCCTCCCAGAATTCAGGGAACCGGAAAACTTGGGAGCCGAACCTGGAGCTTAAGTATCATCGGCATGACATAAGGCCATCAAATCGGCGTCTTAAAAGATTTGTTTCACAGCACCGTGCAATACGCGAGCAGTCCTCCCGCTGTGAGCGCTTGGCCATTGAATTAAGACCAAAAAGGGGTTGAGGGAGGCGTCAAGAGCAATCTCCTCCCAGAACTTTACAAATGACCATAGAAAGGCAGGTAGCAAAAATAGCCTTCAGAATAAAGCCTTGCTCTTGGCCTCCTAAAGCGATGATTGACTTGGCGACATAATTGCGCCATTAGGTACAAATAAAGGATAAAAATATTATTTTTTCTTCCGTTCAAGTCCCACGACTGCCTTCATAACTATAAATCTGAAGTCCGGCCGAATTTATTAGCATTTTTAGGGTTAAACAAGACCAAAAAAACATAAAAACTCAGAAAACTGCTTAACTCAAAGGAAGACCTTATAACTACCACAAAAAAATAGAAAATGTGGCCTTGTTTAGAACCAAAAGTTAGCTGACATTACAACAAATTACAGGAAATTCGAACCAAATGCCCAAAAAGATCACGAAAAAGATAAACGAACATACACGTATGCCGTCTTGTCTACGATTTCTCCACTTATTCATTACCGTCTGAGGGTTCGTGGAAGAGTAATGTATCTGAACAAGTAAGTCCCGTCATATCTCATAGCCATGTCATGTTTTTGCGGCTTCTTTTTATCTCCGACGATCTATTTTCAGACAAAAAATAGGGCCTCCGATCATTTATATACTGTTATTTTTGTTCGTATTCACCTGTAACAAACAATGGACCGACCAAGAAATTGCCGTCATCTCAGCTACACACTTCTCACATTCGAAGAGCGGGTAGAAGGGACATTTGTAAACGTTCAGCTCTATTCTTTCTGTCGTTTCAGGTATCCCGAGAACACGATGGCTATTTTATTTAACAGTCAAAAGAGACTATGGCCTCCACGCCCCTTTATTTGTGTGTCCAATAACGGCACTCATGTCTTTGCTGAACTGGCCAAGATTCGTTATGCTTTTGAACCCATTTACATATGCCGATGGGCTACTTACATCATGACTTGTCCAGTAGTCGGCATTCCCAATGGATTCGCTTTAAGTGACACTCGGTTTAGTTCGGCAACGATTCAGGTATCAAGCATTACAAAAAAATCATTTTATTAGGTACCATACAGGCAAGCAGTTGAGCAGAGGCTGGGCGTTGTCGCTTGCTTCTCGCCATTATTTTACAACGAACGATGGCAGTTGATTATTCCGACTTTAGAGATCTATCGACAACTGGGTGTAGACGTACAAGTATTTTACATTCAGAGCATGCTTACAGACATCATGGACTACATGAAGGTAGCGTGCCAATTTTCGCTTCATTTGGCGACTTTAGGTTTACGAAAGATTGAATATAATCAAAATAAATACCTGGAATATGATACGATTAGATCCGGCCAAAGAAAGAAAATTAGGATACGATCCAAATGCGGAATTGGAATGGAGGAATCAGGCCACGGCACACACGGACTGCTTCATTCATTATAAAGTAAGTTCTCTTTACAACTTAATACGAACATTGCAGCAAGCTGCAGAATTCATAATAATATCGGATATTGACGACATTTTATTCCCCAAACTGGGAGATACATATCTGGAAGAATTCAGAAGACTGTCGGTGACATTTCCCCAAGGAGCAGGGTTCTCGTATAGCCGTTACAATACAGAACTTATCGCTAGTAAGTCATTGGTGATGACGTAACAATATTTGCAGGTAAATCAGCCCAGGATTACAGTCTGGCATCTCTTTTAAACAGTGCCAGAATCGCGAATGAATGGGAAGATGGAAAGTATGTGGTAAGGCCAGAATTCATAGAAACAGTTTGGTTACATTGGCCCGGGATCATGGACTCCAACCACAAGATGTACGCGGTTGATGAAGAGATCAACATCATGGTTCATATGAGGAATTGGAGCATTGTAAGTCTACAAACCCTATATCAACCAGTGAAAGATCGATTACAGTTACAACACAAACCACAAAACATCGAAGACATTTGAATTATTCAAGTATCAGATATCCGACGTCATCCAACCACAGATGACACATGATCTCGAGAGAAATTTCAGAAGATTCCTCAGACTTTATGCCCAGAAAGAATTCGATCGGCTACCAAACGAAGTTCGATATTACCCATTAATTGAAGAATGTTACAATCGGATCTTCTACGGCCGTTCCAAAAGACCCGAGAGTTGCCCCGGTCCTCTCAGATGTGATCTCCCCAAAGTCGAAGGCCTTCGTTGTTCTATTGCACGCAAAGTGTATGAACATGACTCCATGAACACGAAGGTGAAGATACATTTTGCACGAGATGGCGGTGATTTCGTAGTTAGTTATAATGGTTGTACTATGTGACCACGTAATAAATATTTATTTACATATCCACACGGGAGGACAAATGTTCTTCAAGCATTCAAGGTGATGTGACGACTTTCCGGCCGATTCTGACCCTTCCCGCTCTGAGATCATCAATAGTAGCAAACACTTCCCGTGTATCTCCAGGTGTTCGAGACCTAATATGTACATATTCATCAGCCAGAGCAAACACAATTGCTGGGAATTTTGTGTAATTCATCGTCTGCACAAATAGTTTTTGACCGCGATAAAACCTGCAGATCTAGTTTACATGGACGAAAGTTGCTTACGTTTTTCCATCGTATATTAACCTGGCCTTGTCCATGACCACTTTATGTCTCGGTCTCATCAGTTTCGGGACTTCTGGTGTATCAACTTCCGTTGTAACAAAACTTTGGTTTAGATGAATGAGGTCTTCTTTTATAGCAGCGTCCGATATAAGTCTTCCGGGCATTACAGATCGCTTTTCCAAAAGAGACAACGGGTTGTCTTGACTAAATTATTAAAATTCGAACGAAAGAGAAAACCATTTACGTGTAATCTCCATCCATTTTATCATCCACATTTAATTCTTGACAAACTGACTCAAAGACTTGAAGAGTCTTTCGGTCAAACAAATCCATTTTATGTACATAATCCTCCAGGCTTTGCTTTAAACTATCCAACTCGTCAGATAATTTTGTTATTACATTGGACAACTCGCTTGTTTCGTCGGTTTCCAACTGTTCAGACTCTTGTTTACATCTAGTAGATATCCACTTATACTCTGCCTAAGAATAAACAATTTCTGTTGGTATTGCGCGAAGTACTTACATCCATCTGAGCATTAAGTATTAAGTTCCTCTCATTCAGTTGCTCCTTTATTTTGGCTATCTCAACTTGCAATTTAGGGTCAGTGCCATTCAGAACCTTCCGCCTTTGCTCCAGCAAATCAAGCCGTTGTGTATTAACGTTACTGAAACATCAACAAAAGATAAGACAATTAACATACATTGTCCTGAAGTCCATGTTGTCAAACGGGTCATAGTCCATATTATTATCGTCATTATAGCTCATCGTACAAAATCTATTGATACACATGGAACTCGAATTTACTTTTAAAATTTTTTTTACGCATATTTACCATTTATGGAATATATAAACATCAAGTAAATATAAGTAAAAAAGTGTACTCATAAGTAAATCCGAGATCCCCGTACGGCTCGTGTACGTACGTACGTACATCGCGATATCGTACATACGTACGTATCAAAATTTTCAAGCCAAAAAAAACTTTCCGAAGAAAATATACACTTGACGCGCGTCATGTCTTCTTTCAAAAAAAAAACAGGAAATCGGTCATGACGTCAGTACGAGCAGGAGGGATTCAGCGGGCCCGGCCGCGCGCGGCCGGGCTCAAAAACCTCAAAACCACTTGCCGGCCGAGCCGGACCGCTGATCTTGGGTTTTCAGGCCCGGCCCGTTTATGTTACAAGGCCAAGCTCTTGGCATTCATTGTTTTTGCGTCGGGAAGATCATTATTAAATATCTAAAATATTTGCAATTTGTTAAAAATATGGAGTATTTATATATAGACTATAGTAAGAATGGCTGCAATCCGGGCCTAGCATTCTCTGGCTGCAGTTAGTTTTTCTTTGCCGACCTTATCGTTATTTGTAACATACTGGTTTTACTTCTCGTCAAAAATCCCAATGTTAATTTTCCCATTTTTCTATTTCAATTTTTGAATCCATACTTTTTCTAGCGGCGATCAAACCTATCGAATCATGTCGTTAGCCATGTTTCGAATATCAAGGACTCTAGGACGTTTTGATGCATCGATTAGTGGTCGGCTTACTGGGGCTTGCGGAATATTTCTTTCTGATTATACCCAGTATCGAGGACGTAAGCGTGCCTTGAAGAAGCCGTTGAGTCGACAAGAGAAACTCGCCAGGAGGATTAAAAGGGAAGAAAAAGAAGCAGCCCGGAAGCAATTCTCGTTTATGGAAAGGATCAAAATCCGTAGAATGAGGAAAATGTAAGTGTTCGAACAATTGCGGAAGAACTCTTTTATCTTTCCTTCATTTAGGCAATCTCCGTCTGAGATGGGCCCAGGAAGATATGATGAAAGTAATGAACAAGAGTTGCCACAACGTCCTGTAGCCAACGTTTACATCAAAACTGACGTGAAGCAACAGTTTTACAGTATTTCTGAAGCTTTGATGCTGCACAGAATGCAACAGCGACCAGAGATTTACAATAACCTTAATGCCCCTGTAAAGTTGAGGATTGAACTGGACATGACTACCGAAAAAGCGGTAAGTCGTCTTCCCTTGAGTGGATATTTTTTTAGAGTAGAATGATACCCGCCAGCGATGAGATTATACCAGTCCCATATCCATTTGATCATAACGAGAAGAGGTCTATCTTGGCTTTTGCGGCTGACATTGCTACTCAAGATGAAGCAATTGAAGCTGGCGCTGAAGTTGCTGTTGGATTGGACATGGTGAAGAAAATCGTCAAAGGTCAATTCAGGATTGATGACTATGACTTCTGTGTTGCTCATAATAATATGGCCGGTCCAGTTTTGGCTCCATTAAGAGGCCTTTTAAAGTCACGATATCCAAGCAAAGTAAACGGTATGTTTTACTCCCATTCACTTGTCAGACTGCAAATTTTTGCTTTGCAGGTGCAATGGGCGAAGATCTTAAGGAGTTGGTCGAAAAGTTTAAGAAAGGTGTCAAGTTGGCCATCTACCCGGACGGAGTCTATCCAATGTGGGGACTTGCTGAACCTGTGGTTGGAAGGGTATGACTCCTTCAGGGGACCATATATGTTATTACAGCTTGACATGCCTGATGAACATATCCAAGAGAACATTAGGTGTGTTGTAGAGGCCTTATGCAAGCACAGGAACCCGGCATTGGGCCCGTTTGTTAACAGATGTATGATGACGTTGATTCCATCGAAGATGTTTATTCCCGTCGATGTTAGTAGATACATGCCGGTGGCGTCAGAAGAGCAAATCGAGAAACTTCAGAATCGTAAAAAGAAAAAGGCCAAGAAGGTTGAGGAGGTAAAGACAGAGAAAGATCCGGATGAGTACCTGGTTTCCCTCATGTAGACCTCCTTATTAGGTATTGTTGTTTGTTTTGTTTTAGTTGATAAAATTATTTCCTTGATTTATATCCATGGGGCACTGCAGAATTCGCTGTTTGGCAGGAGTAATATATTTTTATTCGAGGATTTATTGGGTCGTAAAAGAGGTTGCTCGGGAGCCTTTTCTCTTCCCTCTAAGGCATGCTCTCGTCTGCAACTGATCCTCGAGACTTTAATGCGCGAATGATGCGCTCGCACTTGAGAATGTCAAACGTTAACCGAAACTGTAAAGAAATCAGTTAGAGGGTCCCTTTGCGGGGCGCTGATGACCTTGAGGCCAACGACCTCAAACGGTTGTCGCTTCTTGAACGCCGCGAGTGCCGAATGGACCATGCTCACTCTGCAATTCCCTTGTAAAGGTATACTTCTTCCTGCGTCGGCTTCTGCCTTCAAGGCCGTCCAGATCTCTAATTTCGAGATCCCTCCGATGACTCAATTTCCTCGCTCACCTCTTCTCCCTCGCTTCACTCGGGCAGGGTACCCTCTCTTTTTTCCTGTTAACTTGAAACCAGAATCGGAGGCGACTGAATGTGCCTCCGGCTGTCGCTCCATTACCTTTCGGTGAGGACGTTTGACTCGCCCGCAGACAGAGAAAGGGGGTGTGTTTACGGCAAGAAGTTCCCCCGAATGATGGTGCGACCCATGCATCGCTTCTGGCGCTTATTTTTTCATTTTTCTTCGAAGGACATTTGCCTACAGTGAAGCACACCTTCCGAAGCGATTCCCGTCGCGCCGCCTTTCCCTCTCATGCCCCTTTCCTTCCAAAAAAGATGCCAATCCGCCAACGATCGGAATTAAAACCAGCCGGGCCGCGTCGAGAGTGCACTCCCGGACCGTTCGGGTTTCTAATTCGTTGACCGACTCACGTTTTTTACGTTCTCTGTCGATTGACCGCCACGAATAATTTCCGTGATCATCCGTTTAACATGATTACATTGCAGAATGTCGGACATTGGCCGAAAGGCGACGACGGCAGCGGCCATGGGCTTGATCGTAATAGGGATTGGACTGTCTATTGGGGCCATCCTAACACCCAGCTGGCAAGTAGTTAATCTTCGAGAGTACAATTCGGTCCATGAACATGGCCTCTGGCTCGATTGCACTCGGCACACAAGGGATGGTAGCCCGTTATTGCGCCGGTAAGATAATAATCCCATTTCCTCTGGATCACGCCATGATTCATCGAGGCATTTAGCGCTTTAACTGCTCTCTCATGCTAGTAATCCTTTTCTTACGAATAACAAATTAATACAATCATCTCAAAAATTTACGCTTGCAGATATGCCACGATAAATGAGCCGTTGCATTGTGTCTACAAATTCGACTATGATAAATATTCTGGTACCTTTGATCTGGAAGATGACAACAGTCCCGTCGGAGAAGTCAATCGCCACAAGTTCTATGGTTGGCACACATCGACGCTAATCTTGTTAGCCCTGGCATTGTTGACGGCGTTTCTATCTCTTGGTCTCGCTTCCTGTGGATGTTGTTACCCATCGCTGTCTCTTCTTTTCGTTGGTGCTACGTTAGTTACAAGTAAGAATTTATTTTTTGTTTTTTGTAACTCTCACTTTCAGCATTCCTCTCGTCGATCGCCGTGGGTCTGTTCTTCTTTTTTTCTCATCGTGCCGACAACAGATTCATCAAAGGAATTGTTGGAACGTATGAAGTAAATATTTTAAAACAGCAATCTTTAAACATTTTTTTAAAGTAACACACCTTATTTGAATTTCAGCAAAGAGTTGGATTGGCCTTTTTCCTCCAAATGGCTGCTACTTTTGCACACTTTATCTCCTTTATAATCGCCATGTTCAACACCTATTTGTCGTTTTCCGGCAAAGGTGGAGCGCTGGAACGTTACAGTGCCCCGCGGTCTTCTCATACGAACATGACCAACATTGGCCGGTGAGTCTCAACTGCGTTTGCTTAGGACTTTTGAATTTCGAAATCAAAATTAGCACACTTGCTGAAGTTGAACACCGCTCCCATTTGTTTTGTTGGTGTTCGACGGCTTGTCTTTGAGTTTCTCACCGTTCCGTGCCGTTCTGTCGAACACCCCAACTTTAGACAAAAGGAATGGGAAGTGTCCAGTTTCGCCGGTACGCCGCTTCTGCTGGCGCCTCCTTATCGGCCACCCGAATCAGCTTCCCCTATGTTCAGGTCCATGGATTTCGAACAGCCCGTCTTTCACACGGGCTCCCAACAGTTCCAGAACAAGAACATCAAGCCCATCTTCTACAAGAGTTCCACGGAAGAGATGGGGGATTCCATGCCCGATCTCCCTGTCCATCGCTCGTATCCGGACGCTCTGAATGCCTCTAGAATTCGCAGAAAATCCGAGACCTGCGTTTAACCTCTGCCATGACTTAAGTGCTCATAATTTTGTTTGTAGATTTCCCCGTATTTAGATTCCTCACTTGGTTTATTGACTCTTCACATGTTCTTAACTCAGGCATACTTTTGAATTTCTCATTCCGCTCAACCGACGGACCATTATCTTTCTTTGAATGTTCCGGTACTCTGCCCACACCGATTATCCATCTTTGTCTTCTGTTTCTGTTAGACTTCTGAACTCAATTTTTATCGTATTTCTGGAGAAGATCTGTGCTATAAAATAAATAAATCTTGACGTTTTCTTGCTCTCGGCTTTGAATTTTCAATAAATCCGGACTTCATGCCGCGATCCGGCTCAGTTAGAAGAAGACGCGCAGCTGACTCATTGTGCATTTGCAGTAGCCTTGAGGAGAAACGCCGAAGGATTGCTGACCCACACCGGTTGGCAGCTGCTAAAGAAGAGGCGGAGCTTGCCTTTGGTTATGTCGCGAGGTTTGGAAAGGGGGGGGGGGTGCGCGGTTCCATAACGCAATCGTTCCAAGGACAAACACCGAAGCGCTGCTTCTTCATCATCTCCCTTGAACGGCATCCACACCCACAGTCTCAGCACCCATCGAGCTTCATGGAATTTCCGGTTTTCGGTCTGTAAATTCAAGCCCGATCTCCGATTATGGGCTCCAGCAAGGCGGCGTGGCTGACTGGGTTCTTCATATTACAAATTTGTGGATTCACTTGTCTTTTACTGGCATTGGTGACTCCAAGTTGGCAATATGTTTATCTAGAGGTTTGTTCTAGCTTTTTGGTTTCTGTAAATTTGATCTTCGAATCATTTATCAGTATAACCGTTTTATTTTTGATGACGTTGTATCAAATAATTTTTTTTAGGATGGCCGAACTGAACATCAACATGGCCTTTGGCTAGATTGTAAACGTGATTATTCGAATGAATACGGCAGACCCCGTGATTACTATGAGACATTGTATAGGTAAGCATCTGATAACGCGTTCTGAGTCCTTGATTGATGACATCTCCGTTTTATTTGGATTTATTCCTCGCGAGAAGCCTCGTTTTCCAGAAAACGACCTTGAATTCTTCTCTTCGATCGAGGCGACTGGTCACTCTAATAAAATAATGCCCAATTTTTCAGAAGGGACCATCTTCAAGGTCCATTCGATCAGTTCTGGCTCCCGGCGCTCCAATGTGTTTACAAATTCGATTATTGGCTGGACGAAGAAGACTGGTTTGAGCATGGCTACGATGAGAATCGACTTCAAGGTGATGCCTATCAGCATTTATTTATTGGTAAGTGTTTCATTTTATGTTCCTTTTTTAGTCAGTAATCAATCCGAGCTAATTGTCATCGCACATGTCACGTTGCGTAATCATTCCTTTCAGGCTGGAAGATCGCTGCTTTGACCGCCATTTCTTTTGCCACTGTTCTCTCTCTGGCAGGGGTGATTGTTTTATTTTGGGCCTTCTGTCATCGTACATTGGTGTGTGTCACTGCCGTCCTTGTCGTTCTTTCCCTTTTCGGCTGTTCCATCGGGAATACCGTATTTTATTTCTTTGCCAACTATCAGGACAATAATATAATCAAAGAAGAGGATGGTATCTACCAGCAATGGTTCGGATGGTCGTTTTATTCATCAGTTATGGCCAACATCTTCCTTTTCCTTGCATCTTTTGTTGGATGTTTCTCCACAAAAGCGACTTTAGGAAAGAAAAAGGCTCAACTTGTGAAAATCGAGCTTCCCGAGGAAGACGACGAACGATTGATTAGACAGCTAGACAGTGTGGAAAACAAATTTAAGCGGTCCAAGTCCGCCATCTACAAGATTGACTCCAAAGAATTAAGAAAATGGGAAAAAGAACAAATGAAGATCATGCAAAAGGTAAGGCATAAAAATGGTGGATTTTATTCAATAAAATATTACTCCTCTTCAGACGGCATTCAAGAGAGCTAATTCGATGCCAAACATAAAAAAGATGGTGTCAAAACCGAGCTTGAATTTGATGTCGTCTACATCAGATATCTCCAAGGCCGTCACCGAGCCAGCAACCGCCCCAAGGGTCAATTTCTTTGATTTGCCACACAAGGAGGATGATGATGATCTGATTTATGAATATGTGGAAGCAAACACTGTATCATTGAACTCAGACCGAACGTACAACAGCGGGTAAGAGTAGCTGGAGTAATTATATTTTTTCTTAGCCCTCCTTTACCCAAGAGACCAACAACATCCACAAAGTTGCCTGTGTATGATAGTGTGTTTGATAACGCAGAAGAAGAGGAATACCTTAAACCAAGGAGTGTTGCGTCAACCCCGGTGGGAATAACTCCTCGTCCAGCACCGCTAAGAGGTAAAGAGTATCATCTACAGTATTACAGTATCTTTTTTCAGAAGTCCTAAGTCGCCATGACATTGAGAAACATTTCGAACAGAGAACACTCCATGCCGTCACTTCCATGCCATTCCAAAACATCAAAAAGGCTGATTCTACAGTTATTGAAGGCAAACCAGTAATAGCCCCAAAACCGGTAAGTTTAAGCTAATAAAAATATTGTATAACTACAGGGTGGGCCACTATTTAGATTTGATCCTAGCTCGCGCTTTGCAGAAAAGATTTTTAGATCGACAGTCGGCAAAAATTTGACACTTTATGCCGAATTTCGGCACGAAAAGTATTGTGCCTCCTTCTACCGTAGAGAGTAATACTCACACAAAAAAATTTTTTTCGCACGAAACTAGCAAAATTATAGGCAAAAAGTGTTTTTCTTTCTGGCCGCTCTCTGCGTTTAGCGTACGATGTAAAACAAAGAAAATTTCACCCAAGAACTCGAATTTTTCAAAACTTTGGGAAGGCATACTAGTCCGTTCGTAAAGTCGCTGGAATGTTTTCGGCGACATGCACCCCGCGAAATCGAAAGTTCACTTTGCACTGTGCAAATTTTGGCTTTTTGCACAGTGCAATAGGCTTTTTTGGGCTGTCGCCCGCACTCTGAGTTTTCGTGCACAGTGCGCGTCGCCGAAATCATTCCAGCGACTTTACGAACGGACTAGTAGAAAGGTCACTTTGAAACAATTTTTTTTGAAATTCAATGGGTTGAAAATGGCTGATCTCAGGTCCAGAAAAATCTAATATAAGAAGTTTTGAGTAACAAGATTTTTTTTTAATTAAAAATTTTTTTTCTAGGCCCTACGGAGTTCTTTGAGGCATTCAAAAGTACCTCCTACGTCTCAGCCTTCAGTTCAGATAAATACTTTTGCATATCGTGATGAAGAGGGAAGGATTCGGTGAGTAGTCACTCTCAAATTAAGTTGTTTTAGATCCCTTACTAACCTCAATCTCTCTGTGGAACCATCTGAATCATCAAGAACGTCAAGAGCGTTGTCCGAGATCGGCCAACAAAGATCTCAGCCAAATAATGGTCTTAAGGAGACCAACTTTGGAGTAGGGTATGCACCATCAGAGAATGATAGATCGGTTGGATCTATGACTTATCGGTTGGGGGACTCCCAGTTCGATGCTGAAGACGACCGTTCCACAGTTTCGACTTCAATTTCGGGTGGATCGACCACCTTTAAAGCATCCAGGAAAGAGTTCACAATGGTCTAATGGCGCTACTCGAAAGCCATATCCAGATATCACTGTACTCAAGGTCATTCACAGGGTTTCGCAAAATCTCACATTTCCAAACGGGTATTCCTTCCTTTTTATTAAGCATTTGATAATAATTTATAAATAAAAACCATCGCTACGAAACTATCTACATCACGACGTATGTACAAACATTGCTCTTATTATACCATAGTTGCAGTCTTCTTTGAAGGACTTAGGAGCAAATTGCTGTTCTTGAAGTGGATGGCAGCTCGAGATGATATTGAGGAAAGAAGGTGATCCACGTTCTTCGACGTCGGTTGTATTCGGGAGGCCGATATTGACATCTCCAATGCCGTTGTTGATGATAGTCCACTAAAAATAGCTTTGAATTAACACGTTGAGAAAAGCATTAATCATCTACAGGGTGTTTCAAGAAATTTGGAACAAATGATTTGCTTATATCTTTGTGTTCTTTGCAGCTATCAACGAATTTCTTTCTGCTTCTAAAAATTGACAGCGTGCGTTTTTAGAATCTAAAAAAAAATTTTTTTTTCGTCGGCGGAGGGCCCATTTCTCGGCGGAGAAAATAAGGGCCTTTTTTAAAAATCACAGCGCATTACGTGGCGGAAACGCCGTTGCACCGGCTGAAATCAAGTTTACGCAATACCTCCATCGATTTTACGGTATGCTTTTTTTGCGTTTTCGATTTTACGCACTTCCGCGGATGCGCGGCGGAGACCTATTCGGTGGACGTTGTTTTGGGCCTTTGGTTTTTGCAATTCATGTTGGAAAAGGAGGTTTGGGTGATTTTTTGTTGTCATCCGATGCACAGATGGCAAAAATTTCGTGCTTTTTATCCTCGGCGGAGGCTTTATCAAAGGGTAAAAACAAAACTCCGCCGATTTCTCCGCCGGACCAAAAAAATCAAAAATCTTTGGAAGACAATGCAGCTCTGTTGGATTCTTGTAGCTGAGATTTTTCCCGGACTCGTAAGACTGCTTTGACCCTTTGATAAAGCCTCCGCCGAATTCTCCGCCGGAGAAAAAAAGCACGAAATTTTTGCCATCTGTGCATCGGATGACAACAAAAAATCACCCCAACCTCTTTTCCAACATGAATTGCAACAGCCGAAGGCCCAAAACAACGTCCGCCGAAATCTGAAGTCTCCGCCGCGCCTCCGCGGTGCGCGTAAAATCGAAAACAAAAAAATGCATACCGTAAAATCGAGGGAGGTGTAACGTATACTTGATTTCAGCCGTTGCAACGGCGTTTCCGCCACGTAATGCGCTGTGATTTTTAAAAAAGGCCCTAATTTTCTCCGCCGAGAAATGAGCCCTCCGCCGACGAAAAAAAATTTTTTTGAGATTCTAAAAACGCACGCTGTCAATTTTTAGAAGCAAAAAGAAATTCGTTGATAGCTGCAAAGAACAAAAAGATATAAGCAAGTCATTTGTTCCAAATTTCTTGAAACACCCTGTATAAGTCGTAGCGTCATACTTGATATCCGATGCCACAGGGAACGTAGTCGTCCTTGACATCATAGACGGAGAGCCAGTGAAGGAAGATGCACTCGAGACGCCCGAAGACGTAGAGTCCCTCAGATGGGTGTTGGACGAGGCCATACTGCTCGGCCTAGTTCTTAACATCCGCCGGTCCAAACTAGATGTCGAATAGCCCGCTGCCAGAATCCCCGAATCAGTTTCTTTTCTCTCATACGGCACAACATACGTCTTTTGTATCGAGAAATCAGTTTTGTGGACAGCATCACTATAGTTGGAGATACTTCGAGATCTGGTAGTATGGCCAAGTTTCTCATGGAAAGTAGGGAAATTTGACTGACGATATGCACTGCGATACGGCACCGAAGATTGATACCCAATATTGGAATAGGTTGGAGATTCTGGAATGTAATTGGAAGACGATTGGCGAGACAAGGAGATACCGTCGATTTGACAAGACCCAAGCGAAGCAGAAGTGTGCTTCCGTTGAGGGATCAAAGGCGGCAAAGCTCCGGAAGAACGTCGCTGTTCAGCAGTTAAACTCATCGCTGACATTTTCTGAGCCGTTCTTTCAGCAGGCCCTCTTCGGAAAGCAAAGGCCTTCCCGATTGACAACTTGTCGACTTCTTCTGCTGACATATCCTGGATTGAACCTCTAGGCGTCGTGGGACAGGACTTGGCCACCGATCCCAATTTTGGAGTAATAAAATTGGGCCAATACCCTAGAAAAATATCATAAAAAAAGAAAGGTCACTTACGCAAGTTATTCAAGGAGAATCCCGACCCTGTATTTGACTTGGGTACCTGAGCCAAGTCGTTATATTCTGAGACGTCGGGTTTTGAAGCAGACAATCTTAACTGATAGAGCCCCTTCTCCAGACCTCTTAATTTGCTAGCTGCTGCTTTAAAATCCTTTCTCCTCTTCTTCCTGACGGATTTGTTAATCGTTACATCATTTGCCAACCTCTCCGCTGCTGCAACAATTTTTCGATGTAATTGGACGTCAGCTTGGAGTTGGTCGACTCGAGATGGCTAAAAAAAATATTTAAGATCAAACCTTGCTTTCAAAATGAGGAAGAATTAAGCTTTTAAAATCATTTGTGAAAGGATGGCGGCAAAAGGGTCGGCCGATCTCATCACCAGATCAGTCAAGCAAGTGGAGTCAAACGAAACCGGCAAACAATTCACTAAGTTCGGAATAAAGTGGATTGTCACAGCGGCGGAGCACAGCCAACGCCTTAGTCGCAATGGAACTGAGTAAGCGATCTATCGTACTGTAAAAGTTTCAAGGAACGTGGATTGCAAGCAAGAGCTGCAAAAGGCTGTGGATGAGATCAAAGCCGATGTGATCGACACCTCTCCATTGCCAGACTCATTCGATTTTGGATACGCTTTCCGGCAAGAAAATTACTGTTGTTAAACAATAAATTTAGAGCCTACATTTGGAGCGTAATTGTGATGACTTCAAAGACTATGGGTCACCGATTTGCCAGAAACACATCCGTCCACCTTCTCCTCAGCGTTTTGAACAACATATTCTTGTCTCTTCTGGTCTATGTTGCGCTCCCCATATCAGTGTTTACAGTCCCCGGAAAATACACTGAGGTAAAAAAACTATAAACCACACTAATCCACCCGTTTTTAGAAAGAAGTGCCCTTAACTGTGAGAAGAATCATCCTGATTTGTTTGGCATTTGTCTCTGGACTTTTGGGAGAGCACATCTGGATTCATTACATCCATTACACAAACAACGTCCCATCCTATTATTACCCTGCCGTCGTTGGGGCCACCTTACAATTGATGGGCCCAATTCTGGCCAATGACCGAAAAGCGCTGGTTGGAACTTGCGTGACCTCGGCTTTCATCTTGAGTATTAGTATGGCGGCCTACATGGAAGTCTTGAATCTTAGCTATTTGATTGCAGCCTGCGTAAATTTATGCGCATCCACAGTGAATCTGCAACTTCTGATCGCTGATCTACGAAAGAATGGATCGGGTATGTGCTGTATTCAAATACGACCCTTTATTTTAGACGAGAGCAGTATGGTGAAAGGGCATTACCGAGCCTTGATCGTTAACGTGTTCATCCATGCCTTCCTCTCTCTACTTTTTGCCCATTATGACCCCGATTGCTTCAATGATTCTGACGCCGCTTTGGACTAGAAAGCACAAAAACCTGAAAGGAAACTTACTGCTTTGGCATTCTCAATTGTGTTTTCATCCAGTTTAAAGGAAGTTCCAACTCTTTTTGTAATGGTCGGTATTTTTTCTCCTGGCACAAGTGTCATGTATATCTCCTTAGGTACATCGCCTGTGATATTCTGCAAAAAATATGTAAATCAAACGAAAACCGGGTGCCCTACAGCTTCTTCGATGCACAATCCTTTGAGTTCCTCCAATTGTTCTATTAGCTCGTCTTCTATTAACTTCACATCAGCCTTCAATCGGTAGTAAAGCTGGAGATCTCGTTCCTTCTCTTCCCTTGTCCGTTCTAAACATTTCATATAATTAGAAACTCAAAAGTTTTTCTTACCATGAGAGACAATTGGAACTTCACTGCAGCCGGGCTTTTCATTCAAGCGGGACCTCATACTAGAGATGCTGTCTGATCGAAAAGACCCCAAAGAGCTTAAACCATATGATTACTCCTAGTATTAACATTTCAAAAAATCATTTTTCTTTAATGAAGTTTGACACGCAAAAATTTTTTTTCCTACCTGCTGGACGTGAACACGGTAGACGAGCTGGCCAAAAACTCGCTCAATCTCTCCGTTAATCGTTTCAAGTTGTATTCCGAATTTTCGTAGGAGGTCTAAAACATGAGGAATCAGGTCCGAAAGCGGTAGTGAAGGAATGAAATCAGGATTAGAGGCTAATTGAACGCTTCGCGAGGGGTTCTAATTCCATCTTCAGCCATTTCCATTAAACAACATACGAGAAGTAATGTCAGAAGATAAAAAAGGGGCCAGATCTAGAACCCTTGAGATCCCCTCGGTCCGAGAGGTCGTGGGAAACGCTCGGCAGGTCAAAAAAATGCGGGTTCTCGCGCCGATCGACCTTGTTTGGGGATTTGGCTTCGGAAATTAATGACGACAAAACAAAAATAAGAAACAACAGAGCGAAGGGAGGCAAAACCCAACGTAAATCCTGTTGATCTGACCCTTTAGATGACCGACGGCTCTCAAAACGTTGAAGAAAGACCGTGTAATTATGCAAGAAGAAAAGCGCCGAGAAGCGTAATGGACGCCCACAAAACGTTCAACATAAATCGAGGGGAAACAATACATAGTGCAAAGTCAAGAGGCCTATGAAAAGGAATGCTATTGATCCGCAAACATTGGAATCATTGCAAAGGAGAGGAGACTACCCGACTCTATTCCTATCATATTATAGTAGCGATTCCTCGGCCAAAAAAACGAAATAAAAGCAATTTTGGAGATAAACCAACTGAATAAGGGGAAGGTAAGCGTGCGGGGAACGGTGATCCCTCATGGAGCGGCAATCCCCAAGTCACTTCATGCAACCGGGGAAGCAAAAAGACGCGTTCGCCTCAAATTTCGGCTTTACGAATCGCAAAAGGAAGGAGAAAAGAACTCGGGGCAACCGTCTGAATCATCAGTGAAGAGCCACTGTAATAATGGCCAAGCTTTTTAGTGAAATCCCGCAAGAAAAAAGTCCACTACTCATTGTCCACACATAAAAATTGAAAGAAAAAAACAAGCGTTGGATGAGTAATATTATATTTATGAAATCCTGTTTTGGAAGCAGCGAATTCAAGACAATTGGCCAAAACAAAGCACAGCCTGGCAATGTAAGACATGACCCTCAAAAAGATTGTATTAATCTTGAGCGATAATGCCCACTCTTTGGCATCACGGAGAGCGAGCCCAAGATTAAATGACCATCCTTAATTCAAAAGCCCGCCAAATGTTTCCCGAGGCAAAAGCAACAAATCCTCGCGCCATTAATCAAGAGTCTAGATCGGGTAACCAGGGCGGTCTTCCGAAAAGAACCGCACCTTGTCCTTTTGACCCGATAAGATTGTGGGCCTTTCGGAGTCATAAATACCTTCTACATATATATACTTTTTGAACAACATTTCTTAGACATAAATCAGCGGACCGTAAAAGTGTGGTTGTATGCCCTTAGGGCCCATTTTCTGAACCTAAGAACGCTGCAAAAGACGATTTCGCGGAGACGTATTCGTCTTTAAGGGCTCGCTAACCCTATCCTTTTTATTCAAATGAGCCATTTCGCCACGAAATACCCGCCCGGAGGCCCATCTAAACCCTCGCAGCGTGAAATCTGTTCCTTGCGCAGAGATGCGACGCGAATGCTGACCATAAAACCCCTGATATAACCACTTTCTTACCTCTCCAATCAGACTTCGGTAGAACTTGTGTTGTGCAACAGTGGCGCTCCAAATTTTCCGGCATATGTGAGTAGAAACACACTTAAATCTAAGTTTCTTTAGTGATGATGATGGTAACGTCTGCGTGCCTTCATAATGACTGTCATAATTTAAATCATGACTAAAAGCTCTTAAAATCAGCATACTAAATTTACCCTTGACAATTTCGACTTGTAACGACTAAAGAATCCTCGGAACACTGTATATCATCCACATTCGAGAAGGGGAGCACCTAGAAACAATTGTATGTGAGGCACAAAAGGTTACCTTTTTTGGATTGTAAATATTCTTCTCTTCAAAAATAATAATGGCGCTGCTATTAACAGCAAAGAGAAGATCGTGGTTCTGCGTGTCTTTCAATTTGTAGAAGACACTTCCAAACGATATGGAAGTCTGACAGTGTTTCAAAAATCTGTAAATGTCAGTTGATGAAAGATTAACCCACCGCGTAATCAGTTCGGCCGAAGAGAAATTCTTTAGCCTCAAAACATGATCGTATATTGCTTCATGAATCTCTGATAAACTAGCGTCATATTGTCGTAAAAGAAGTTTTGGAGGTGACAATTCCTCATCAAAGATGCGGGTTACTTCATGGAATCTAAAAAAATAGGAACTAAACCAATACGACTTACTCGAGAATGCACTCTGAAGCCTTCTGAACAACCAAAATTGCTGAACAAACACAAAAGTCATTAAACTCCATCGACAAAGCTCCCTAGAAAAATAATTCACCGATTCCATAATAACCCACTTTCATAAATTGGAGCCGAGCATCAAAAAAGAATTGCATAACAGTATTCGAATCCATTATAGACAGGCAAGACAAGGGGAAGAATCTGACTCCATGGAACAGACAGATCTGTCCATTTGAATCCCGAGGAGCTAAAATATCAATGAAGCGATCTACTGGATTCAGCCATTGTATTTGTCCTCTAAAAAATAAAAATTAAAACATTTACAACGTTATTCACTTACTCAGAATCAAGGTAATAAAGAGCAAAAAAAATGAAGTTCGATTCATCAATAAACAGTTTCTTATTGGCCGCTAGTAGTGCCGAGTCGACAGTCTGTTTAGAACTAATTTCGAATTGAAGGACTTCCTGACTTAGAAGGGTCAGATGGCAGATCGGCCTTTGAAATCCCATAATTTCTTAGTAGATGTAAAAAATTAACAAAATCTCATATTTCCCCTTCTTGTGTATGTAAAGTGCCGACAAATGCAGTGCCAATGTCGCGACTCGCGAGTCGAAGAGACGCGTTACTTTTTCCCTTCATTAGAAAATTTTTGAATGAGAAAATGAACGCAGGGGTGGTCAGCAGACCCTATTTTTCCGATTTTCGGCCCGCGGCCCGGCCCGTCTAATCACCGGCCCGGCCCGGCCCGTCTAGTCTTTTTCCAGGCCCGGCCCGGCCCGGCCCGTGACGGGCCTGGCCCGGCCCGGCCCGGCCCGTCCAGGCCCGTCTATAGAGGGTTCTGCGAACTGCGCCCAGGCTCGGGATCTAAACTGAGGCAAAAAAGGCGTTGATCTAGCTAGTAAAGGATCAATGTGATAGTTTTGTGGTTCTATAATGGAACTATAGACTTGTAAACGTGTTAGAACTTGAGAAACAGCAACTATAACAACATCAATTAATTTTCCCGGCGCGAAAACAATGAATGCCAACGGTTTGGCATTGTATTTTAGACGGGCCGGGCCGGGCCGGAAAAACCCCAGGCCCGCGGCCCGGCCCGGCCCGGCCCGTGACGGGCCCGGCCCGTTTGTCAATTTCCATTTTTGAGGCCGGCCGGCCCGTTTGGGCCGGGCCGGGCCGGCCCGGGCCGGGCCGGCCCGGCCCGCCGACCACCCCTGAATGAACGCATTAAAAGGTAGAGATGACTCGGAGGGACAACTGTTTCCCTGAATATTTTGATGTGTCTGTATTTTTGGTACCCCAAGTTCAACAATAGTTTACTACTTTATAGTACTTTTTTGCATATATGTTATAATAAAAGATCCAAATTACAACATATAAATAATATAGTCCATAGCAGATTTTAGAACCATAGAGTCGGTAAGATCAAAGGAAAATTTTTCAGTTCGCGCCCTAACCGGACTTTTACCGGGACGGGCCGGGCCTGATTTCCACCGGGCTGGGTCTGCAAAATTTTGAACCGGGCCTGGTTTTTGCCAGGCCGGGCCATGGGGCCTAAATTTTGAAAAAGTGGCCCGTTTGCCACCCCTGCCCCTAAATGGAGTATTTATGAAAAAAATCAAAAAATTACTGCTTTACAGTACTACTGACAATGAAGGAAAAAAGTAACAATCAAAAAAATGAATGTCATTTTCGAAATCAGCACCCTCGATTATCCTAATTTCGACATTTACATCGAAAAAATAATACTTTTCGGTTTCCCCAATCGTCCGACTCCGTGGTGTACCCTGTGGTATTAGGAAGCGTACTACATTAATTTCAATTGCACTTTACCCACTGACCTTGTACATGAGGTTAATCATAATTTCAAAAAAATTCTTAACTAGGCTGCTTTCTTGGCGGAAAAACTACATTACCTGTTATATTATACACACATAGCTCATTATGAGTAAATAAAACAGCTTACTCAAAGTTTTCAAGTATTTTATCGTCATATCATCTACAACAAGCAGCTACCGTAACACTTTAGGCTCTAGAGTACCAAGACTAATGGACGAGAATCATCAAATTTTATACGTTAATTCAAACTCAACACGTCGGAAAACATATCTCTTTAATACGAACAGGCCCAGCCATGTAGAGTTCGTTCTTCAAAAACTTACGAAAAACAGGCAAAAATACACTAGGTTTTGCAAATGAATTTTGGAACCGATAGTCTGCAACAGATAACACACTTCTGAAACCAATGAAGTGAAAATATAGGTTTATGCTGACAGTTTGATTTTCCGGTCAAACTTTTGCAATCGATACTAATTTTTTGTGTTTTTAGGGTCTTTGAAGTTTACTGTAGGAAGTATACGATAATTTATCTTTTATGTAGGTGGCTGTGCACGATACTGTATTGATTTGTTTTACGTATTATCTTCTATTTTTAAGAGGCGTTTAGGTCATTTTTTCAGCGAAACAAACACATTCATGCAGGAATTTTTTGAAATTATGATTAACCTAATGCATTAGGTTAGCTAATGTACAAGGGGTTTTTAGAGATGCTCTTTCGAATGGCATTAACAGTTTCTCGATATCTCTTACGAAACCTTAGATACTGCTCTTCCATGGGGTAGGTATACTTTCGTAACAGAGTGTATATAAAGGTGGTCACCGAAGTTCTCGACTTGTATTTTTTCTGTTGAGTCGAATTTCAGTGCAAAAATGGGTTGACATTGATTTTGAAAAATCAGTGCCAAAAAAGCTCGTAAATTTGGAAATAACCAGTGCAGATTTTGGGAAATCGCTGCAGGACGAAAATTAAAGTGCGCACTGATTTTTCAAAATCAATGTCAACCCATTTTTGCACCGAAATTCGACTCAACAGCAAAAATAAAAGTCGAGAACTTCTGTGACCACCTTTATATATATGTATAAGTTTATATGTAACCCTTGACTAAAATTCAAATGAAACTTCTATTTTCTAATTTGGCGACAGTAATCAGTTTTTTTGCAGTTATGTAATTGCGCGACACTCATCTGGTCTTTGTTTGGGAATTTTATGCGGTTTATTGCCTTAAAAATTGGATTTTCAATACGACCTGGCAGTTAAAGGGTAATATTTACTCGAATTTGATGGATACCATCGTGACTTTGATGTATGAGCAATTATTATATCCGGGAAAGGTCATGACAATCTATATAAACTGTACAAGAGCCTAAGTTTTCGCCATTACGCAATCACAATGCGTTTTTTGAGTTTGCTTTGTATTTTTTGTGTGGTAGCTTGGGTTTTAAATGCCGGTAAGTCACTAAAGTAGATGGGTAAAGGATTTTTTAAGGTGATAGTGCGGAAGAAAAAAATGTGAGGCGAAGAAGAGCAGATGAAGAAGCGCCGGAAGAGGCTAGGGTCAAACGATACGAATTCAGACTTTTCAAACGTCATGATGACGAGGAAGAGAAGAATTTGAATAAGAGGCATAATGAAGACGAAGAAGAAGAAAAGGAAGAAAGCAGGAAACGAGATACAGAAGTTGAAGAAGAGGAGGATGACGAGGAGGAAGATGAAGAGGCTGAAGAAGAGAAAGAAAAGGAAGAAGAGAAAGAAAAGGAGGAAGAAGAGAAAGAAAAGGAAGAAGAGAAAGAAAAGGAAGAAGAGAAGGAAAAGGAGGAAGAAGAGAAGGAAAAGGAGGAAGAAGAGAAGGAAAAGGAAGATGAGGCTGAGGAAAAAACCGAAGACCAGGAAGATGAAACAGAAGCGAAGAAAGGAACCACTAAAAAACCAAAACGTAGACGTAAGTTTCTTTCACCGGAGGTCAAAAAATTAACTACAGATACCAATTCGGAATCAATGACTCAGGGAGAACCGACACAACAACAAGAAGTGAAGTCTGAGGCAAAAGATCCTGCTCGACTCAGAAGACACGTAAAGCATTCACACGGCACCAACCTCGGGCATGCATCGTCAGCTACCACAGAAGGTTATTTACCTCACTACTAAAAACGAAATAAAAAAATTCACAAGCTTTATATTATTAATCTCAGTATGATATGCGTTACAAGATCTTTAGCCGCGCTTTTCTGTCAACCCGGTACGGTACAACTTTTCCTCTTGGCCCAAAACAAGTCTGTCAGCAATTTCCTTTCCTTGAATGAAGCAGTGGTCTTGGTTGGATACTTCGTATTTCCATCCACCGAAGCGACCTCTACTGTAGATTTCGTGGGACTCTAGGGCGCGATGAGCTCGAGCCATCTCATTGTCTCGCTGAAAAAAATAAATTTACGCATTTAATGACCAACTTACTTCAACAGTTGGGATTGGGTATCCATAAGGCAATGTAGTGGACCAGACAGATACAATTTGTTCTCTCTTGATGATCTCCTTGGTGATCAGACCCTCCACTGAGGCGTTCTTGATCTCTTCTTCTGTGATTGGGTCATCGGGCTGACGAGCACATTCAACCATAACTGACCAGTACTTGTTGTTATCTGGTGTCATTTCACCATATCTGGAGAGGAAAGTGACTCTGTAGAAAGGAACAGCAGGGTCAGGGAAGTAGAGCCAAGTGTAGTTCTTCATGCTCTCAGGCATGGGTAGCTCAAGACCAACCCCAACAATGAACACTTTGTTGTGCTCAACGTTGATCTCGGGGCAGATTTTGGTGTGCTGAACTAAGAGATCTGCTGGGGTGGTGCTGACCAGGGCGTCGTAGGCAACGTCTTCGGTGGACCCATCCTTCTTCTGGACGGTGATCTTCTTGTTCTTATAATCAACATTGACACACTTGTGGTTGTACTTGATCCATTCCTGAGGAAGTTTGTCGGCCATCTTCTGCCAGACAGCACCAGTACCGCCGTATTTGGGGAAAGTGAAGCAGGCATTGGGTCCCCAACCAAAATCAGCCTTGGCCAATTCGTCTGTGCTCATGGCACAAAGAGATTCCAATTTCTCTTGAGGAAGCTTGGCTACGCGGGTACCCACCCAATTAGGGGACATCTTGGCGGTGTCAACGGTCCATACTTTCTTCGTATAAGGCTTGAAAAAGATGTTGAGGATGGTAGGTCCGAAGTTATTCAGAATCCAATCCTCAAAGGTAACAGGAGAAGCTGATTCCTCTGACTTCTCATAACGTTCCTTCAGCTCAGCCAAACAGCTCTTCTTCACGTCTTCTGGGAAAAGGGGAACTGCAAATTGAGCTGGATAGGGGACCAAGTGAATGCCTTTCTTGTCGAACAAGTAGTTCATGTCGACCAAGCAGTTGCGTTGGAGGGAATTCCACTCTTCAACGGCCCAACGGGTGGCTTTCTCGTAATAGGGACAGTTCTCACTGAAGGTGATGTGACCTCCCATGTCCCACAAGAAGCCTTTGTCATCCTTTTCGGAATGAGAAAGGCCGCCAGCAAAGGACTCCTAGAAAAATTATGATTATTGTCGATACATTCCGACGTGGAGTACCTGTTCGAAGATCTGAAGTTCAACGTTCTTGGCTTCTTCGTTGCCCTCTTGAAGCAATTCGTTGAGCCGATAAGCAAATCCCAAGCCGGTGGGGGCAGCCCCAATGATTACCAACTTCTTGGTCGTCATTTCGCTAAAGGCACTCTGAAAAAGGCAAGTAAAGATAAAATTTAGAGGTTGGGAAGAGGGAAATAAAATTTCCAGAGGTCATTACAACTTTAAATACGAAAAGAAGGCAGTTTTCCGTTTCGCTAATCGGCGCGACGCTTATCTCGAAATAAATCCAGGTTAACGTGTCAAAGGCAGGATGTCTGACTTTGAGTAGTTATGGCGGAGGGAGATAAAAGGAAATTCATGAAATCTCTCGGCAACGAAAAAGTCGAGTTTCCAACGTAAATTATCAGTGAGCAATGGACCGGATATTCTGGATGCAGCGCGATAAGATCAGTCCGGGACTGGCGCTGACGGAGGACTGGCTTTTGGTTGACAATTTTGGAGACCTCGCTTTTATAGACGACAGTTCAAACGCCAACTCAGCTTCCGATACCCAACCAAACTACCAATTTGAATGAGAATTATAATCCTCGAAAACAAATCAGCCTGAATTTAATCCATGAATAATTTGGACGTGGTTGTCGGGGGCTTCGGGTTGTTTGCATTTCTAACCAATACAAATATCTGATTTCAAAAATCCAAAACATACGGTGCATGTGAAGGGTTGATGATTTATGTTACATTCCATTTCACAAAGCACCAACGTTATAGCATACTTCTTGGTGACAAAGAAAATGCTGCAGGTGCCGGTGGATTATTACGCATTCAGTTGCACAACCTGATACGGTTGTCGATATTAGGACTCGAATAAAGCTTGTGCCCGCTTGAAGAGTTTACTGTTTTCTGTGTTTGTATCTTCGTGTCCGCGTTTATTACGCATGAACTTTTACGACGCGGGGTATCGTTTCGAAGTCTCTAAACCAATAGCTGTGACGTTGCTACGGGATTTGCACTTAAATTTCTCTTTCAAAATTCCACTCAGACGCCCTCGAGCGGACAAAAGAAACGATTAAAGTGACTGTATAATACAATCAACTGTTACCAAAGTATTTTGATCATATATTTTAATGGCGTTTTATTTTTATCGAATGTAAGAAAAACAAGAGCTCGTCGACTAAACGCCTCAAAGTTTAATCATCCGATCACAAAAAAGCATCGATAAGCTAGAGAATTTGTATGCCAGAGTGCGAGCGCACAATAATCTTTTAAGGCACACGGTTCCTGTGTCTTTTAGGGTGTCTTTAGTTTGAAATCATTTAAACCTTTTAAAAGAAAACTTAAATATTTTTCCTTGTAAGGCCTTCGAAATATTTAACCAAAATGGAGCTCGTTAAATACTTGGAAACCGTTGGAAACCACGTCCTCGAAAGCCTTGAGAACGAGCGGGAGCTGCTGGCTGCGTTCAAAGGACTAAGGAATGGATTAGTGTAAGCATTTCGTTCCAAATGAAACTTCTTTTAGTTATGGAACACGGATCAGAGCCCCTCATGCCCTGGTTATGGTATTTCTGTTCGGGAAAGGGCCATTACTTTCACGACTTAAGACTATACTAACCTTAACGAAAACCCATGCCTTTAATTTGGGTCGCTTTGTTTTCGGATACAAACTTTTGTTGGCTTTACTGAGAAAGCTGGAAGGTGACAAAAACCAATTCCATTCTTTCATTTCTGCATTTGCCGTTGGATATTTGGTGTTTGGAAAAGAAAACGGAGTCAACACCCAGGTGAGCAATCGTAATTATTGAGAGATGTTTACAAACAGCCCGGACTCATTCATTCTGCTTATAGATCAACCTCTACCTTCTCTCGAGAATTGTTTATGGAATGGCGAAGCTTGGAGCCGAGAAAGGGTTTATTCCAACCCCAAACTTCCCCGTTTTCCCATGGTTTGCAGCTGTTGTTTGGGGGACTGTTCTATGGATGTTCGAATATCATCAGCATGTCTTACAAAACTCATTGCAATCTTCCATGACATATTTATATCACGACTCTGACTTCTGGACAGGAATCAGAAACTTTCTGTTTGTAAATAAGTGAACATAAAAGTAAGGGCCATTAAACCAACGAAACTTTATTCAAAATGCATAGCGATTAATGAGAATTCACGGTTAAGCTCACACAGAAGACCGATCGTCGCGTCAAAAATAAATAGATTACAGTTTATGTGGGGGATTCCATTTGTAAGTGCCCGTGAAGACAAAGCCGTTCTTTCTCATGATCTCATCACTCGCCTTAGGCCCACGAGATCCGTAAACATAAGTTTCAGGCTTCTTGCGCTCCTTCTCAATCTGTTTTAAGACCGGAGTAAAAATACGCCAGGCATGCTCAAGTTCGTCACTTCGGACAAAGTTGTATTGCTGACCTTCCATCAGATCAAAGAACAGACGTTCATATGCATCAGGGAGACGAAGATCCTATAAAATAAAATTGGGTTGCATAAACTCTTGTAGTCACCTTATATCTGGAATGAAGTGTCAGATCCAATTCGGTCTCTTCGGCCTCAAAGTCGAAGCCTGGCTTTTTAGTATTCAGTTTTAGATAAACGGCTTCGTTCGGTTGAACTCTAATGACTAATTCGTCTCTCTTCAAACTCCCGGCCTTAAATATATCTCCGGACACATCCTTATACTGGATTCGGACCTCGGCTTTTCTCTCATTCAAAGCTTTTCCACATCGAAGGATGAACGGGATACCTTCCCATCTTTCGTTGTTAATCCGGAGAACGGCCGTCGCGAAGGTTGGAGTAACAGAGTCGTTGGGAACAGTCGGATCTTCCAGATATCCTGTTCTCGCATCATCGTCTGAAAATGATTACAAAAATCGGGCGTTTTTTGTTTCCGAAAAATATGTATTATTTTCCCTTTTTTACGTTCCCTTTCTGTTTTTATTCCCCAGCAGAACTTTCTGTTTATTATAGTTTGTGTTCTGAAAACGATTAAACTCAACCGCGGAAAAATTGTTTTTTTGTCTAATTTTAGCTTACCTGTTCCTTCTGGGTTTGCAACATATTGTCCCAAGACGAGATCCTTCAGTTCGAGTTCCTTTATGCATTTCAATACCTTCACTTTCTCATTCCGAATATCATCAGCAGACAATGAAGCTGGCTTTTCCATCGCCACCAATGTCAAGATTTGCATCAAATGATTCTGCATTACGTCTCTGATGATTCCACTTGAGTCAAAGTAGCCTCCTCGTCCTTGAGTTCCGAAGTCTTCCTTGAACGAGATCATCACACAGGCAATGTGATCTCTGTTCCAAGTAGGACTGATAAACCGATTCCCCAATCTGAAGGAATGTTTCATCAGAAATTATGATTACCTTAAGACCACAAGGTTTTGAACCATTTCCTTCCCCAAATAATGGTCGATTCTGTATATCTGATCTTCAGTGAACAAGCTATTTAAGTGTTTCGAGAGGGCGCTAGACGACTCCGAATCATGCCCAAAAGGTTTTTCGATGACAACACGAGTCCATGAATTACTAAATCAAAAAAGTTGAATTAAGAAACACTGTCAAAATACTTGCCCCTTGTCCATACAATGTTTCTTGATGAACTTAGTGACGGGTTCGAAAACATTTGGAGGTAAGGCCAGATAGAACAAACGGTTTAGAGGCTTGTTTAACTTCACTTCAATAGCATCAAAACTCTTTCGGAGAGCTTCGAACCCCTCGTCTTTGTCATACTGACCAGAAATGTAAGTAATGCACTTGATGAAGTCCTCAAAACGTCCTTTCTCGCCATCTCGGACCTTGCAATACTTCTCAAATGACTCACGGAGTTTCTCCAATGTGAGCTTGGATCGAGCATAACCGATGAAAACAATATGTTCGGGCAAAAGTTTATCTCTGTAAAGCCACCAAAGCGTTGGAAAGATCTTCTTCTTCGCCAGGTCACCCTGAAAATGTTTATATAACTTTAACGAAAAAGAATTTAAGGGTAACTTTACCAAAAAATATTCGTTCCGTTTCAAAAATACTTTTCCGACTTACAGAAGCCCCGAAAACAACAAAAACATGAGGAAGTTGGAAAGTCTCGGTCTTCCGAAGATCCTCTTGAATCAAACTAATGGCCTCAGGTAACAAGGGCTCGGAAGCCGAGATGCGACGTTGCCTCTCCATGTCTTCCACTTTCAACAATGAAAGGGTTTGCTTGGGGTTCTCTTCGCTCCCCGCCATTCCTATCAGTTCTCGAGTGGGCGGAGTCTCCTGGACCTTGAACACGTTTTCTCGAACCTCTTCTGATCGTGGAGCCACAGGTCGTTCACCTTCTGAAGGCCCGAACAGACCACAACAGCAGACAAAATCCCCGCTTTCGGTTGGATCTCTCAGTTTGTTCTGAAAAAATCAAGGACACGTCTCTAAATGTTTTTTGGAGCATGTTTTGTGATTCATTGTCAAGGCCCACCTCTCTCTATTATCCCGCAAAAATGGGGGCTTTTAAATATAGAGATTGCAAAGAACTTTCAAAACAAACAAGCAGAAACTCTGAAAATGACCTTAGATCATTATATCGTGCAAAGAACTTTTTTCCTTGTTATAATCATAGGCAAGCTAAAAAAAATGAAAAAAGAAATAAAACAGCCACCATTTTACTGTTTCTAACCACAACTGTGAATGACTACGACGATTTTTCTCCCTTTCTACCTCACCGGTTTACCCGCCTTGCGTACGATGAAGGACACTTCAGACATGAGGTAAACAGTAAGATAACATTGTTAGTGGCGACGCAACCTTTAATTGGCTGTTACCAGGCGAATATGGTAGTTGAGAACAGTTTTTTATTTATAAAAACAAACGGGAGCAGATTCTAAGCATTTTTACCAGGTATTCAGTTCAGTCACTGTGCTTCAATCTTGTATTCTTCAATCCTCGTTCTCACGTGCCCATAAAAAAATTACGATGTGGTAAAAGTTAATCACCAATTCTAAAACATCTCTTTTCTGAGGAACACTCTAAAATATGGATTTTAGATATTTTTTAAACCAATTGACCTTTGAAATGCAATAAAGAGTTAAAATGCGTACATTTTTCCTGTTCTTTCACCTACATTACAAAAAATAGTCTGAGGTCAAAGCAAGGTTCCCGTACTTAACAGATCAAGAAAAGAACGTACTCCATCGCTTTTCTTCATGAGGACGAAGAAAAACGAGAGGCACGCCATTTCGTACAGAAAAAACGGCGCGCTATCCCGATATAGACATTGGTGATATTATCCTGCATACGCCTAAAATAAAATCGAAGAATACAAAGAATTATCGCTAAATTAAAGCGATATGTACGGAAACCACATAAACAGAGACTTTTCAGTATAAAACTAAGAAAATCTGGACATGAAACCTTGAATTTAGAAGTGATTTTTTAATAAAAAACATTTATAAACATACCTTCCGCTACAAAACTTTCGAATACCAGTTCCTTATGTCATTTCTTATATCCGCCAATTTGGTGTTGAAAAAAAAATAATATATTTTTGTCAAAGGCTCGAACTGCGCCCGATACTTTTGAAAATCTTGGTACCTTTTTATACGACAGTGGGCCGCCTTGAATCACTCTGTAGAATATTTTTGTAAAAACCTGTCATGCTGACAGATTTATGGCAAATTTACTGACTTGGTGAAAACGGTTTACAACGTCCATACTTTTGCCTTCAGCACAGTGAAGCCTTCTGAAGTATGTTTTGAATGCTCGTCATGTTTCTCGTTGATACAATTTGGTCACGATTACTAACATGGAGTCAATTTTGCATTAGATAGGCTACCGCACACTGTATTATGGCGTTTCCGATGAAATGTGCATACTTTTACATAACACCCATACCCCGAGTTTAAAACTATAGTTTTGCGAGGAACTCGAGCTTTCAGATATGCTTTGTGCACATGAAACAAGACGTTACAATAGAGAGACGTGAAATTTCGACGATAGTTAGCTAGTTATTGTACACTATAATGGGCAGGTCAAAATTACAATTTTTGGCTTACCTGTAACATTTAAGGTTTTTTCGTTTCTCCTAGTTTAGCAGCCCGATTAACTCCGGACCCGTAGGGTTATAGAGTGGATGTTTCTAAGCAACTCTTGTGTTGACATCTTTTTCCTAGGACAAAAAAAAAAAGTATGCAAAAAAAGCATAATAAGTAAAAAATTTGAAATTCATAAATTTTCTCAAAAATTTTGCGTAATGGCATTACTTACCTTTTTACTGCTCTAAAAGATGCCCTACAGGATCACTCGCCCCTGTAGCTTTTCGTGGTTTAGAAATCGGAGTTTTTTCAAAGTATTGAAAAACGGCACTGCGACATTTCCGGAAGGAATTTGGACACTTGGAATAGTGGCACTTCCGGAATAGCGGAATAGTGACAGTTCCGGTGCCGGGGAAAGTCAAAGATAAGGCTAACAAGGGATCGGCAAATAGTTGCACCCTGCTTTCTTAACGAAACCTATATCATTTAAAAGAGCATTAAAAATAATGCACAACGCAAAAAAAATTAGCTGCCCAATATATGTTTGGGCAAAGTTATGGCCAAAATACAGATTTTAGCCTAATTTCCGCGGCAATTTATAAGCTCTTGGAACAAAGTTGTGTCCAGTTAGCCGAGTGGTAGTGACACCACTTCCGGCGATACAGGTCCTGGTTTCGAATCCGGGCTATGCAAGAGTTTTTGCATTTCGTCTCTTATATGCCACAAAACCGTGGAATGTTGATATTTTTAAATAATTTTTGTTCCTTCGCAGTCAAAATAAATTTTGACGGGATTTTTTCGAGTTTTTGGTTTTTTTTTTGCTACCACCACAAATTTGATGGTGATGAGAGTGGGGATTCCTATCGTATAATTACAAGGGTGGCATGCCTTTAGCCTGATTGATTATGATTACTGGACGATAATTCAATTTACAAAGGCCTATAAATATATTTTTTTCCAAAAAAATACGAAGAGAAAATTACAAAAGCGGCCAAAACACTATTTCTGACACAGTGGCCTAACCGTCGGTAAGGCTAAAATATAAGAAATTTTTGATTTTGAGGTTTTTGTTTGTAAACAGCCACGACGATCATACCAATGTATTTCCAAAGTTTTTTGCTCCAGTTTTCCCATTAACCTAGTTTTATTTACAATTTTTTGTAAATGGCAGTAATGCGACATTATAATGTTTAATAACTCATAGCCAAGGATTGATAAAGCCATGAAACGACCGTGATAGGCGTTTCGGGATACTAGTAAGACAATGGAGACAATTTCAAGCCGCCAGGATTACTGTAATATAAGAAACCGGCGTTTTGGCCGCATATAACCCCTATAATAAAACGGCCATAACTTTGCCCAAACATATATTGGGCAGCTAATTTTTCTTGTGTTGTACACTATTTTTAATGCTCTTTCAAACGGTATATGTTTCGTTAAGAAAGCAGGGTGCAACTATTTGCCGATCCCTTGAAAGACCTATCATATAAATGGATTTTTTTTTATTTCTTTCTGGCTGTTAATTTAAGAACGCAGCAAGTGTGCCTGTTGCGAGACATCTATCAGAGGGTACCTTAGCACTTCTGTGACAGAAAAGTCAAATGAAGTTTGGTTTTTCGAACGATAACAGCTTTTTGTTGCAATATTCCTTGATCAAAAAACTGATTAGGATTCAAATCTCGGAAGATTTGCTGCGCCTTTTGTAGGGAAATTAAGCCAGTTTTTGGGCATTTTCACCCCTAAAGACCTAAAATGGGGAGCTAATTTTTATACATCCTTGATCAGCACATTTTTTCTGATTTTTTGAGATATGTCCCGTCAAAAAGTAGGAGCCCCCATAAAAGTACTTTCCTTGTCAAGTATTAATGCCACAGGTCACATCTCCTCATCTAAAGCTGACGCTTGTAAAGTCGCTGCGGAATATTACAAGACCTTATACGCCGATGAGCGGTCGGCCAACTTCAACAAAGAATTCCGGGTTCTTTTATGTTTTGATCTATTCGCACTTCTACATATTGGCAAATCAAAGCATATTTTTTAATTGAAAACTGGGAAATCAACAAGTCTTTTCTTAACTATCATCATCGTCATCCAGCCCAATGTTATCTCCAAATTTGCTGCGTAATTGTTCCTTCAACTGGTCCCTTCTTTTAGTGGCCTGATCAATCTGTGTCTTATATACCTCCATTCTTTTTTCACATGCAGAACTAGCCACTTCCAATTTCTCAGTGACTTCATCATGCTCAAGATAAATGAAGGACTCTCCGAATTTGTAAGCAAAAGGGCCATCAGTCTCGTCCAAAATCAGTAACTCATCGCTGGCATCGTCGTAGTTGGCCTTTTCCTTTTCCAAGTTCTTGTATTCACCCTTAAAGTTGATTAAACTAAGACATTATTTTTACCTTCAAGTCGACGAGACACTTGTGTTCTCTCGCAAACTCATTGATCTGGGCCTGATCTTCCGGCGAGACACTCTTCTTGTATTCTTTCGACATCTAAAGGTAAAATCTACCTAAAATGACCATTTATACAAAAAGTACTTGATGGTCATTCAACCATGTTTTCAAGAAAAAAATGTCAATAAAAATGTATGTAACAAAGAACAAATAACGTGTAACAAAAAGCAAAAACAGAATAATCACTCCTTTGACGCTTCGTCCATCCCTTCTTGAACTGCTCCTCGAATCTTTCGGCGTGTCATCTTTACTCCTTTGTTGGTATTGCTGCAACAAGTAAAAATTATTGAAATACTTGACTCACTTGAACTTTTTATTGGTTCTTTCTCTAATTTCGTCTACAGTTTCTGATTCCTTAGCCCATTCCAGGACTAACCTTCTGCCGTACATGTGAGTTGAATGGACAAGAGAGTCGAAAGCTTTTTTGGCGTCCAATTTGGATATAAAATCCACAAAAGCGAATCCTCTGTGTTTTGTAGATGCAACCTAAAATACAGAGTGTCTCAAGAAATTCGCGGAAAGTTTTTGTCGATTTATTGGCGCTCAGCCAAGATATCCAAAAAATTATTTTTGCATTGGAAAGAAGAAGTTCTATATCAAGATAATAATATCAACTCCAAAACATGCTTTCTAATTCGCGAATAACCCTTGATACAGTTTTTCGTACTCTGCGTGTACTTAACAATTCTCATCGACACGATTTCTTGACGTTTTGTGCAGTTTTACAAATTTTTCTTCCACGGGGATCGAGATTTTCTTTAACTTTTGCATACACGTCGGGTATGGACTAAATATCAATTCCTGAAAGTTTTAGCTCGCGCTTTGCGGGCGCCGCCGAGATATCGAACGATATTTGCCGCCGAGAGAGCACGCTAAATGTGGAGAGTGGTCAGAGAGAAAAGCGCTTTTTGGCCATAACTTTGGCAGTTTCGTACAGAAAAATTTGATTTTTTGTAGAAACATTACCCTTTACGGTTGAAATCGGCATGAAACTTTACGTGCCGAAATTCGGCAAAAAGTCCTAAATTTCCGCCGACTTTCGATTTAAAAATCTCGGTTGTTTCTGCAAAGCGCGAGCTAGGATCCTCGCATATATCTTAGAAAAAATTATTCTAAATTAGTGCCAAGTTTCATCAAAATCTGAGCGTCGCACTTGGAGTACTTCCCCTGTAAGTTTGACAAAATGCACTACAACACGAAAGTTGGGGCATGCCTTTTTCATCTTTTTTTAAATAGTGCGCTCGGATTTTATCGATATTGCAGCGACTGCCCTACACCATACAGTCGCTAAATGTGGTCTCACAGCGTTGTCACCGGCCTTCTGATCCATTGTGCAAAAAAAACTGAAGACTTTCCGGAAGTTCCAATGTCACAATAAGTTAAAAATACGTGTGACGACTAGGCTTGGCTCCGGCCCGGGCCGACTAATTTCTCGGCTCGACCCCGGGCTTCGATTTTTAGGCCCGGCCCGGGGAGAAAGTTTTGCCCGGAAAAAATAAGATTTTTCGATAGAATTTTTAATTTTTTCGAACATAATAGAACGTAAGGTGATCTTATTTAGCACTCGCCCAAATAAAAAAATAATTTTCATGTCAATTTGAAAAAGATTTCAGAAATTCTTAAGTGCGACTTCATATAGCCAATACGCCGGCAAAAAAAAGAAACCGGAAAAATTTTCAATTTTCTAAAATACGCAATAGCCCCGTAGCTTTTTCAGTTCAACACAGTATACTCTACACATAACTTACCTTTTTAGGCAATCGAACAGTTTTAATTTCACCAAAAGCAGTAAAAAGAGCGGTAACTTCCTTCTCCGAAGCTTGGAACGGGATATTTCTAACCAGTATCTTCGTGCATTCTCCTTGTTCAAGGGTCGTGACTTCTTTCCGTTTCAAAGAATCTGCAGATTTTAATGGATCCTGCCTTCTTGATCTCTTTAGTTCAATCGCATGTCCTTCGAGCAAAGCCCCCTATATAAACAGTTATATCTCATCCTGTAGCATTACCTGATGATTTCTCAACGCCTTCTCGGCCTCCTCTGCTGTCTTAAACGTAATAAAACCGAATCCCATACTAATTAGACCGGCCCTCTCAGACTTTTCTGCTTTCTTGGACACCTGAGCATTATCGAGCTTGTATTTCTTGGCAAAGAACTTTGTTAAAACCTCATCCGTCGTTTCGAAGTTCAGGTTCTTGACAAAGAGCGTTCTGCCGTCATTCTAAAACATAGATTTAACTTATAGCTGGCATATCTTACCACGTTTACGCCCTCTTCACCAACTTCTTCCTGCTTTACTCCTTCTTCTACTTCCTCCTTAACTTCCTCTTCAGACTCTTCCTTTGCTTCTACATCCTGACCCACTTTCTTGCCATATTTCTTTTTCAGTTGAATCTCTCTCTTCTCTTTCTTATTTAAATCGATGGCCCCAGGTGTTATTTTTTCTTCAACCACCTGCTTCTCCTTTCCATTATCACTGAAAACATCAATCGGCGCCCACTCCAAGTATAGTGGCTGAGTTTTGTACTTCGAATAAGCCAAGTTTTTAAAAGATTTTTTGGCATCGCTAGACAGTTTGAATTCAACAATTCCAGTCACTTTGCACTCTAAAAAATAAAATAAATTCAAGTTAGAACTCACCCGGAGGTAACAGAAAACGTTTTACCTCCCCAAATCTCTCAAACATTCGTTTAAGTTCTTCTGAGTCGGTACCAGAGGGAAGATTCTTTACAATAATCACAGTGTCAGACCTCTTTGATGCTGGACGAGAAAATGCATCAAGACAGACACCGTTGTTAACGAGGAAGTCTCGAGTTTCATTCACTAAACGTGTCTCTGCCAAACTCATTCGCACAGCGGCACTAAAGTGTTTCTTATAATAACAACAAAACGCTCACCTATTCTTGTCATCACCTTCCAAGAACTGAGACTTCTGAATGTTTAACTTCTCTGCCAACGTATCAGCCACTGCATTTGCACCCAAGAATAGAGTATTCCAGCTGAAGGCTCTTCCAGAATTCTCTTTCTGTTTAGCGTTCTTTTCCTTTTGGAATTTAGACAGAACCTTTTCGTTTGTTTGGTCTTCTGATACATCGGGTTTCTCTTCACCGGGCAATATATGCAACATTCTACCCTTGAATACCGTCCCATCTAATTCAGTATACGCTGTGAGAGCATTTTCCGGGAACATAAACGTAATGACAGCAAAGCCTTTACACTGTCCTGTCTGTCGGTTTACAATACATTGGATGTCAACAATTTCCCCAAACTTCTTGAATAGAAATGTGAGATCGTCTTCATTGCAAATGTAAGGTAAATTCCGGAGAAATAACCGCCCAGTTTCAAGAATTTTGTCCGTTAATTTCTTCCTTTCCGCTTCAAAATCAATTTCCTCATGTTTTTCTCCTTCTTTAGTATCATTCTTTTCCTCCGGGAATCTACAAATTCGAACCTAAAATGATAAAACGTTAACTAGAAAGGTAGGCGTACCTTAAAACCACCCAGAAATTGATCCGTCCTTTGCAGAGCCTTCTTCATATCTGCAGGCCTATTAAACTCGACGAAAGCAAACGCCTCTGTTGAAGACTGAACAAAGAAACAACTTCTTATCCTAATTGGACTCAGCCATTCTTTCAGATTTGTCTGCTTGATATGTAGCGGTAGTCCTCTGAATATCAGTGAAACATTCTTATCACCTAAAATCAGCCTGGTTGCAAAGTTCTAATCAAAAAGTACTTCCAAATCAAATGATACTCACCCTTATATGTCTCGATGGCCTTTAGAATTACTTCGCCAGAATCTTCTTCGCTGTTTTCCTCAGCTTTCTTTTCAATTTTCACACCGCGCACCTTAAGGAAGTCTGCGAACAGTGGATCCTTTTCATACTTGTTTAAAACTTGGTTCTCCTTCTTTGATTTCTTTACATCCATATTATCGAGAACGCTATCATCGCCATGAATTCGTTTGTACGCATTTGATCCTTTGCTGTACTTACTCCATGGTCGAATCTTACTTTTTTCTTCAATTGCACTGCATTCTTCTACCTAAATAACAATGGTTTTTAACAAGCTGGAAAAATTACCGTAATTCTAGAGGTACCAAAAAAGCTACAGTTGAACTTATTTATAACAGCCTTCGCCTTTTCATCCGAGTCGAATCCAACAAAGGCAAACTTCCTGAAGACTCCATCTTTTGTAAACTTTAAACTGACATCAGTTACAGGCTGATAATCTTTGAAAAATTTTCGAATTTCATCCTCAGAACACTTAGATGGCAAATTTTTGATAATTACACGAGACATATTCGAATACTTCCACAAAAGTTGTTGAGTTAGAAAAGAAATTCTTTTCTCCCTCTTTTGCAAAAGTTTTCCAAACTGCGCCCAGAAAAAACGTCGATAGGCCCATCTTATACGAAAAAGATGAAAAGTTGCTCCAAAATTCGTAAAGAAGATCCAATAAGTGCAGGGTTCTTTCCTGGTCGGATGGAACAGAAAAAATCATTTTGGGAAGGATTTTACCAACTCCAGTCACGGCATCATCCATGGCTGAGATTCAAGTTTCACTGATCCCGGCGATTTGGCAGAGGAGTATTTTTCTGGCATCCCGCAACAAGAGTTAGTAGTTCCTAGATAAAATTACTAAACAAGGCATCAAAGGAAATAAAAATAAGGGTAAAATGTGAAGAAAAGAATCACTATCAGACTTATAGCTTTTCTCCGCCAGGATTTAGCTCGACATATAGCTGAACACCAGTTTTAGTTTACTAGTAATTTTTCTAATAAAAATCAAAGGCAGTAAGCCAACCATTTTTTTCGTGACGAGACGCGACACAACAGTTGAAAAAAATGTGCATTCGATCGAAAACAGATATTTGTATCAGATTTATCCTCCATGAACGGATTTTTGGAGCTCTACAGGGTGCAATACGAATGTCCATGTGGCTCTTGGTTCCCCTTGAGTTATCTTTATTTCTGCAAGCCTTGTAAACATGTCAGATGTACGGATTGTGCATTGGAAGATGTTGACAAGACGTATTGCCCCATTTGCATTGATGACACGGTCATTGACGACACGCGATTTGGGAAGGGGACGTGTTCTGTTTGCTACACCTGTCCCATTTGTAGTAAGAGTTTGTATCTTTTGTGCATGTGTTACTTTAGGTGATAAATTGATATATCGAGCTCTAACCGGAACGGATCTTCACTATCTGCATTGTAACAATTGCATGTGGAATACGAACGAGGCCGGACTTGAAGGACAACCCAGGAAACAAATATGGCCAGCCTATCCAAATTCACTGGAGGACAAGCTACAGAAGGTCCACGCCCAGCTCAAAGTCCTGTCCTCGTATGAACGTGCGGAAAGCGAGAAACCGTCTCGGCGCTCGATGTCTAACTTAGGCCATGTTTCTAATGATAGATATGGCATTTTACAATTAATGCAGACTCGTAGAAAGAAGATCCTTGCCAGACCAGAGTCCATTGAATATCTGAATTCTGATAAGCCAGAGGGTATGTCACTATTTTAAATTCGGTTACTCTGTTAGAACTGGATCTGTCTATCTATACACAGCCAGTTGATGAAGGAAATGTGCCTACATTAGATCAAGTGATCCGCCTTCCCTATTGCAATCCTTCTATTCTCTATCCAGTCCACAAGAAACTGCAGAGTCGAAAACATGTTAGATGTCCTGAGCATGATGTGACAATATATAGGGGCGAATTCGCGATTCTCAAGACTGCGGCCAAACACCATGTAAGATTACATGAAGAGTGAATGATCTCTTTTAGATTCCATGTTCTGATTTCTGCCCTGAACTAAAATTCAGCCATGAGACTGTCTTCTCGGCTACCGATATGTTCTCCATCTTTATAACAGTACTGAACTCGGCCTTTTCTGCAATGGATGTTCGAATAGAGCCATTACAATCGGAAGACAGGGATTGTCTGATTTGTGATAACGGGCTTATTGAGCTGAAGGGAGAATATTCGATTCCAAACAAAGACACCAGTGGGACGGGAGATCCTCTTGGTCCGCTGAGAGATAACACTCCTGATCTGGGAGCAGCACTAGATCCTGAAGGACTTGGGTAAGGAATCTCGACAGATAAATAACTTTTTCAGGACCGTTGTCTTCCGAATCCAGCATCGAGTTGGTCTTCATCTGAAGTGCAGAGCTAAACCAGGATGTGATCCGAAGAAGAGCTACTTATTACTTCAAATCACCTACAAAACCAACAAAGCGGAAGCCGAATCCACCAATAGAGTGAAGCTTTATCTGGCCTAATTATTATTGTACAATAAATTTATTGTCTGCCTAATTAACAATACCGAATTTACCAGATAATTCCTTGGTTATTCGTTGCCGCTCTTGCATTTGCTCCTTTCTATTTTCGATGACTTGTGACTTTACCGTGACAAACAGACTGAAGCCGATAACAATAATGACTCCGAATGAAAGCCATATTTTGGTGTGAGGTTTGTCGAGACCTAGGCGATCCACAAACTCTGATCTGTAATTCCACCGCCTGACTTGTCCAGCAATTACTTCTTCATGCCAATACCGTCCTTTACTGCTTTGTTTGGGCTTTTCGCTTTGCATTCGCCGTTTCAACAGATCCATTTGACTAAACCAAACTGCATAAATGAAGAGAAACCTACTTTATCTCATCATTTCTAGCTTCATTTGTTGAGGCATTCCGAGCGTTATATCGCTGACCGATAGACAGCGCTCTTGGACGTAGAATCTTGAACATTTTACGGACAAATATTAGAATTCTTTGCAACCGTGAAAATAAAAAAAAACATGTTCTGTTGCGCCCTGAGATAACTCTTCGCGAGGGTTATTTTATACGATGGAAGCTTTTGAGGTTCTAGATTGCAATATTTTGGTCAGTCAGTCTGCCCTCCTTTAATTTATTTAGTGGCGTAACAATTTCTTATTCTTTACGGATTTACACTTCATACGTTTTCCACAAATTTGTGCCAATCAATCTACAACGCCAAGTAAATCTGTGGCATAATGTCACAAGTTCTGTAAAAAAATAAATCGAAGTTAGAAAGCGAAGATTCAGAAGTCATACGTCCCGTCAGAAGTGATGGGTGACAATGGAGGCGATAACCGTCGACTTTTCGAGCATTTTATTGTAGCTGGATTGGCAGATGGTGCAGATGAACTAACTCCCGTTATACATGAATGTGGAAATAAACCACCCGAACAAGTGGCTCCGATCATTGATATTACAGTTATATTTCCTAGTCTTGGTGAAACAGTAAGTATCTCTGTAGGTAATCTTTATGTTGGAATTTTAATCTAGGTGCCGAAGGGATACGAATGCATCGAAACAACTCCTTCCGGGCATCCGGCTGATCTTAATCATGGTTCGTTTCGGACAAATTCTGCCTTTCTGTGTTATCGGCGAGGCTATAATAAGCCAGCTCTTGTGGATATTGGTATTCTTGACGAAAGTAAGAACGAAAAGGTTAAGTTCGACTCGACGATCATTCAACATACTCACTTTGGGCACTCAGCCAATGTAAATAATTCGTCTACTGGATTATACTTTACAACTCGGAGATCTAAAAACAACGCTCCTCCTCATCAACTGGTCATAACTCATATCTGTGTTATTCTTTCCACAAAAGGAGAAGTCCCACCTCATACCTACTTCAAGATTGACAAAAACTTGAATAAAGTAAGCAATTTTCTTTTGCTTTATTCATTCATATAGGGCATGGTTGGATCGGGAGTCTACGTATGCTACAAGAAAGCCCAGTCTTCTTCCAAGAGAATCTCTTATAAACCATTTATTCTCGACTGTTACCCAAAAGTGGAAGATATGACAAATTCGATTGCACAGAATGTTTCTATGTTTTGTTTACCAATGGGAGCTGTCATTGAAAGCTGGGCCAAAGATTGTAGTGAACCAGAGAAAATGTTCAGTACATGCGTTCTGACGGATGAGGTGAGTTTGTTACTAGTCTTTCCTGCGTAAACTTTTCTTCTCATCTTGCTTCTTTTTGCACTGTGCGAGTGTTGTGGCTCACCTAAAATCAGCGGCGACGCACTTGAAAAAAGCTTAAGTCGCGGCGATTTTTGAATTGAACAGTGTAAAAGTGAAATGCACAGTGCAAAAAGCTTCGCGACGAAAAGTCTACGCACTTTATGGAAAGCCCAGTATACTTTTCCGATATCTTCGTTTAGGTTGGGAATAAGTTCTATGGGGCTTCGTTGACTTTTTATGAAAAATATTCGAAAGAATTAAGTGATGCACAATTAGAAAAATTGGAATTGAGTTCGATGATTCCTGAAGAAGAAGGTGGAGAAGGCCAAGATCCAGTCAGTACTGAAGTATGTTAATTTGTTTAATTCCTACATTGTTTTTGCAGGCCAAGTATTACAGTAGCAAAGCCATATGTATTGTGTCCAGATACCCATTCTTCGAGTCTTTCCGGAAATTTTTATTTTTTGTAAATGGTATGTCCCAATCGGGACCTCATAAGTTGCCCATTGAGCGATACATCAGCCATTTGGTATGGGTTGTTTTCTGTTCTCATTCTTGGTTTAGATGTTAGAAGTGCCATTTCCGTCTCCTGCACGGCCGCGGGTGCTAGTTCAACTAAATACTGAACTTGTTGCTTTTGAAAGTCACGATGATAGTCAGGTCCCTCTCTCCGGTGCAACATTTGTGGAATCGTTGAAGTTTCTGGGAGTCGATAATATTCTATATGCCATGCTGTTGTCATTATTAGAACAAAAGGTAGGAAATTTATATGAACTTTGATTCTGTTGTTTTAGATACTCGTCCATTCACTCCGTTCTTGGCTTCTGACAGCTGTTTCCGAAACATTATGTGCCATGATGTTTCCCTTTCATTGGCAATGTCCTTACATTCCGCAATGTCCTCTTGATCTTGCCGGTGTCCTTCATGCTCCTTTACCTTTTATTGCGGGAGTCCATTCAAGATATTTTGACTTATATGAAGATCCTCCAGATGATGTGACTTGTTTTGATCTTGACACAACTACAATAAGCAATTCGGTTGTGAGGAAAAATCTGAAATTAAATGTCTTACCGAAGAAACCTCTGAAGAAATTGAGACAATCATTGGAAAAATTGTATGTGGAAGTTCAAAACAACGAAAAGAAACTACGAGGAGATTCAGATTATAAGAAAAAACTCGATTTGAGTATACGTGAAGAGTTTCTGAGGTAAAAGTTTTGTCTATTTTGTAATATTTGATTTTTTAGGTTTATGTGCCATCTAATGATGAATTATGTTGATCATCTAAAGCCAATAACCAGCTCTCCGAAGACTGTAAATGCTACTGATATGAATACTTTGTTTGACTTGGACAACTTTTTGAAATCTCGGGATAAGAATTCGCAGGAGTTCTACAGACGATTTTCGGAAACCCAGTGTTTCATCAGGTTCATCGAAGAAAGATCTTTTATATCTGACAAGAATGTATACAATGTTTTCTTTGACGATTGTGCAGAGAAAATGAAGAGAGGTAAGGACAATTGATCCATCATTTGATTGTTTTAGATGGGTTCACTGGACCTTTGCTTGATTACGACTCTTATCTGGCCAATCACACGATTGTTGTTCCTCCACCAGAGATGCTGACGTATAAAGAAAGAACGTATGACTATAGTGGATTCCCGTCGGAATTCGATGAGGATTTGTTTGAGACGGAAGCGATTATCAAGAAGAAGAATGATGCCGTGCCCCCAGCAAGGCTACCTTATTCTTCATCCGATCCAGGTAATTTTTGAGGCACTTTAAATCTAAGAATCTTTTTTTTAAGATGCTCAACCCTATGCATTCATTCGGTCAAAACAAGAAGTTCGGATAGCAACGATCGAATTGAAGCATGCGTTGGAACAATCAGAGATGAACTGGCCTCGATCATTACTTTTCTACGCTTATTCTCTCTGGTTCTTGCAAATGCCGGCCTTGGTGTCGGTGTCTCGAAACAAATTCAAGATGCTTTTGTTGGCATTCAGAGTAGGTATCTCTTCTAATCCGGAAGATCTTTAGATATTGACAAGAATGGAGAAGAGCGGAGTCATATTCTATGACCAGGTTGCCTACCGAACATTAATTCGACTATGTGGGGAGTACAAATACCCTGCGCTCGCATATGACGTCCTCAAGAAAATAAATCGCCATGGAATCAACATGAATGCGATCACTTATGGCACTTATCATTGGGCTGTTATGCAGGGAAAGTGGCCATCACAAACACAAATTAACGCTCATGCGGCCTGGAGAAGGTTGAGGTTACGACTTGAGACTGCTGCTTCTTTCTATTTACCGATAAGAAATGGACTTGTTAGACCGGAAACTCAAGTTGAAATTCAAGACGACAAGGCGTCCATAACATCAAGCCACTCCCGGAATGATCTTCGCGTGGGATCCAGTGTATCTGGTTCGTTATCGAACCAATCATTGGGAACCACGAATGTTTTGGACGAAGAAAAATTGTCTATCCAGAATTCAATATCGCCTAATGAGAATTTAATGGTGAGTAAAGAAAAAATAAAAAATTTTTGGTTAGTCTTCGAGGAAAGTCTCGCAAGAGGATCCTCTTGGAGCATATTCAAATGGAGAAATAAAAAGGGAGATCAGCAAAGGATCGCTCAATGAAACGCTAAGTCCTAGCAGGCATCAGTTTATTAAAGAACATTCTACATCACCGTTCTCAAAGGAAATGGATGATCTGGATAAAAAGTTGGCACAGGAGCGAAAAAAGTCGTCCAAATTAGGTGGCTCCTGGTTGAAGGGATTTACCACATCACCCATGATCAACAAATTGATGAAGACCACGGGTTCAGGTATTGTTACGTAAAATTGATGACCTTTTCATAGATGCGCGCGATAAACAAAAGTCCCAGAGCATTGGAGGAAACGAGAAGTCGGAGTCATCTCAATCGTCTTTGAATATGTCGCCTAGCTTGCATTCTTTGGTTACCCAGTTCAGGAAGCAAGCGATAAAGGGTAGGAATACAAATAATCGTGATTAAATTATTAGGTTACGAACAAAGTTCGGTGATGTTGAAGAAATCGATGCTGAACTCTCTAATTGGTGATTCAAAGCACCATAAAAATACTTCCAAAGATGCTTTGTCCACCATGTCATCTAGCGAAGAAAATCTGGACTTATTAGATCCTTATTCAAAAGATGGGATATATCAACTTGATAGCGGAACAAGTGGCGACCTGTTGAGTCTAGACTTCTGGATGAAAGATGCGTTACCCGAGTCCATTTCCCGACTTGATCAGCTCTGTTCTAATACACAGGAAGATCCTTTAGGTAAGTGCTGCTTTTCTTATTTTTATTATAGTTTATTTTAGATGTTGTTTTATCATCGGCTTCAAAATGTCCCACTTGTGAAAGTATAATTTACGACGAAGAATTGATGAATGGATGGAAAATGGGTTCAGTGAATATGAATTCAACCTGCCCACTATGCTTGACCAGCTTCTCGCCATCCTTAAGCATTTTTATCCAAGAAAGACCTTTGGAAAAATTGGCGTCAAGTTGGTATGTACCCTTTATATTCAATTTTTTGGGCGACGAGAAATGCAGCACGATTGATGACCATGGAGTTAAGGTATGATACGGGTTCACTTAAACGTGGTTCTCGGGCCCGGGGGGGGGGCGAGAGCCATCTCGAGGTGCACTAAAGTATAAACCGTTAATTTCAGGATGGACTGAATCTTTCTGTCCCATTTTTGTCGCCTATTGCTTTGAAAAAGGAGATGGAAATGCTTCTTCTAAACGATCCATCGTCCTTCGCCCGACCGTCTTTAAAAGTTTCTCATCCGGTCGTTTTCTGGAATTTGTTGTATTACTGTAGACGACTCGATCTCCCTTCTCACATCTACGCGTGGTTATCACCGAAGGTACATATTCGGTGTGTATATGACATTCCGAGCCTGCATTCGGAACAGCTGGCACCTATGTATTTCTCCCGTGATGAGGTAGGTTCCTTGAATCTGACGTAATCAATTTAGAATGAGTAGATTGTACTGAGAACATAAGTTTTTGGGTTGTATTATTTTGAGTTCGGAACTTGAAAAATTTATTTTTTGGCTGTTTCCATGACAACCGATTTCGGCCGGTTGTCGAGATTCTGCGGCCGCAAACTGTGTGTGTGAGGACTCTTAATGTGTCTTTGTCCATTCGTGTTGAAATCGACGTATTATAGTTGTTTTTTTACTCCCCCGTCTGGATTTCGGATTAGTAATCAGCAATTAGTAAAAATAGTTTAATTCGCTATTTTATGTCTAGTTTCTATGTAGACTGACATTTCTATATTGCATAAGTTGGGGGCTTGTCTGAAGAAAGTAGTGGGAAATTGTAGTCAAGGGAATGTAAATCTATTGGACCCTTCATTTGGACTATTTCTATGGCTTTCCCTTTTGCACTTATTCTACTCTTGTTTATATCGATTTCCGCATATCTCACGTGTTATTTTTTAAGACCGGGTTAATTTAGTTATTCATATATATTGTATGTTAAGATCACAAAAATTCCTGGCGCGTTATAATGGAGGTAGCACAAACACGAGAGCTTTTTGCTCCATTGATAAAACGCCCAGAGATGAAAGATTCTCTGCTAGTAAGGCCCCCATTCAAGTTTATCCATGACATCGTGAGGGAAATCGTCAAATCGACCGGATATCTCGGAAATGTCTTCAGTGCAGATGAATTGGACTACGCAAAAGCTTCGACGTCAAAGGACAGCAAAGCCAGCTTTCTGAAGAAGCTCAAGTCAAATATCAACACCGATGGGTCGCTTGATTCCGTTAGTGCTTCGAAGATTATTGCCGGGAAAGAGCCCGAATTAACAAACTTGTTACTACAGAAGTTAGCTGTAAATGCAGCGGCAGCGAATGTTGGTAAACCCACCAAACAATCAAAGACTTCGAAAACAAGATCGAGCGACAGAGATAAATCAAAGGAGAAAAAGAAGAAGCCAGAAGAGAAAGAGGAAAGGAAATCGAAGAAAGAAAGAGACAGGGAAGTAGAAAGGGAGAAAAGGCGGCTCTCCAAGGCATCCGTGATTCTGTCCGAAACCGGAGAGAAGGAGGCAAAGAGCCGCTCCAAGTCTAAGGAAAGAAGGGTTCGGGATTCTAAGATAAAGAAATCGATTCGACATAACGACACTCCTATAATAGAAACGCCGTTAACTCGTGATGAAAGTACGCCTAGAAGGGAGTCTAGTGGAGGTACGTCAAAAGGAGACGATAGTGGTATCGCAGAGGAATCCGAACTTCATGATACAGCCAGACAATCAAGACGTCTATCAGCGTCTTCGACAAGAGATGTAATGTTTGTAGAGCAGCCAAGCCCATCATATGATATTGTTCAGGAGCCGGCTCCGCCCTCGCCACTCAATGAAGACACAACATCTGAACTTAAGAGGCCGACGACTGCTTCAGGACGGCCGCAAACCGCAATGGGTAGACCGGGCACCGCGGCTGCACGGCCGGCTCCGCCAAAAGTGAAAAAGACGAAACTTGCTGATATTGACCCGGTTGCTGTTAACCAACAGCCTATCTCGTTTGAAAAGTCGACAGTAATCGTTGATGGCGAACCTCTAAAAGAAGACGAAGGATTTCTGGTGGATGAGGAGGATACCCCTGAAGCAATAACCACGTCGGACGGAACTAATATCAAGGACCTTACGACTGACTCTCAGGATCATGGGGCCCTCATTAATAGAATCATAGAGAACACCAGAGACTTGGAAAAGGATGGACTCGATGTCGAAGACATGGAGTTTGACCTTCACGAATACAAGAAGATACGATTGGAGGTTGAGGGAGTTCAAAAAAGTCTTCAGAACTCCGCACAGACTGTCCAGCCATTAAGCAGAACATTGGAATTTATTTCTGAAGACTTGACATTCTTAATCAAAGAAGTGGAAATTAATCGACGAACGGCGACGGAGACAAAACAACAAGCAGTAGCGTTGAAGTCAAATAAGAATGAAGGCGTTGGTTCGTACTATGCTCAACTCAGGAATATGGACGACGAACTGAAGGATGTCCGCTCACAAATCTCCAAGTTTATGGCACAAATTATCGAAAACGAAAAAAGACTAAACGAATTAATGATTAATAATTAGGTTAGCCCTGGGATAGTAATATTTTAGTCACTATACAGAAAGTAATGAAAGGTTTGTTTTCAGGAGCCTCCCTTCAGTTCAATACCTCCGCTAATGCCTCGGACTAACCATAAGATCCGTCAACTGATAATCGAGAATCTACCTGTGGAGAAGGGCTTGGTAAAGATATTGCAATATGTGATTCAACATCATCGCGAAGCCGCGGATGGAATCGTCAGACTAAAACCTCACTTTTCCGTGTATCGGTATGTTTTTTTTTATCAACATTAATCTCTCTTTTTCAGGGACATTCTGTTTGTCGCTCTTGACCAATTTGGTCGTAGCGTAAATCGAGAACAATTCGACCGTGAGTTCCAAATCCAAGTCGAACGTCTGCCAGCCCGGGTCATCCAGCTCTTGCAGAAGGGAGATATCCTTCCTCAGTTGATGGTAATCGCATGCAGACGTTTGTTCCTGCCATTGGATATGAATTGATGTATCCCTGTGATTCTCTGATCTCATTTTACATATATTGACATTTACTAATCGCTAAACCTTTGAGCCGTTGCCTTTTCTCTTTCTCTTATTGTCACAACTATATGGGTTACAACATAATCAACGAGTTTTTGGCCGTCTTCGAATTTATATGAATCTTTTAACTCTCTAAGCTGTTATTATTAACGAAAATAAAGAGAGCGTGTAAACATCTGGTTGAGCGCTTGAATGTATGTGCCAAAGTCATTATTCTAATGTCGATATTTTACTTAGGCTTACCATAACATTACAACATGTATTGCGTCATCCATTCCAGGAATAAAGATGATGAATGTTATCAGAGCCAAACGGAAATCAGAGTTTCTTTTATTAGAAGTGGATATCAAAAAGCAAAAAATAGTAGTAATTCAGCCAAAGGTACATATTATGAATATTATTCCAACTGTTACAATAAGTTTTATAGAGTTCTCATCTTTCAAAAATGGGTTACTTCGAGGATAAAACCCATTTTTTGTCCATTGAGGAGACAATTTATTTGGTTCAAATTGGTGCCGCAGCTGTTTTAACCCCCACCTCAACATACCCTTTAAGTTTGTCACAGCTGATCGCACTACTTCCTCTTTTTGGAAGTTGCCTTCAACGATTCTCCGTATTTAGCTCCCTTTACAGTAACGGGTTTGTTGTTTCTCGTCTGGAGACTGAAGGGTAATTCTAGTTATGGTTTTATGTAAACTTATTTTTAGAGTGCAATACTATAAGATTCAAAAAGAACCAGAAGGCTATGAACCGTATTTTATGTTCTTTGCCAGGTAAATAAGGAGGGATTATTAAGAACCTCCATGCATATTTAGCTCCAACGTGCTACAATCTCTTCCGCAGAACAGAATCATTATCCCCACGGGCAGCACAACCGTCCCTCGCTTTCGATTTCTGGATTCAAATCAAAGTTTCGATCTGAAAACCACTTTTCTAGTGCAATAAACTTGTTTTTGGACTGGATGCGGGTGCAATATTGACCGTTAGAACGGGGAGGATTGGGGAAATAAAATGGGCCTTGCCTCGGCCCGCATACCGACGAAAGAATCGAACGATCGGGAAGAAGAGAGTGCGGATGCCCTGAGGAAATGGGAACTTGTGTGATCGGGCGTGACGCCGTGCCAAATATTTAATATAGCTGGGAACCTGGAGTGTTCCACTCCTCCGCCCCGACAACGCTGCCCACTCTTCTGCATGAGGCCGGCCAATCGCGCTTTATCTCCAGGTGTAATGATTTTTCGGCCGTTTCTCCCTTCTCTGGACGTCTCTCGATCAGCCACTTTCTCCTCCGGCCAAGTCCGAGATCAAGCAAAGCGGAAAAACCCCTGCGATTTCCGATTTTTTTTTCTTTTCCCTTCTTGAATCTCCAACATTTTCGTGAGGTCCTCTCGGACAAGGTCGCCAGTCAAACTTCTGTTTCGGCCGTACTCTAACTATCTCCCCGTCTCACACAATGTCCGTTTTTTCGACCGCCCCTTTCCAAAAAACGAAAAAATTCAACCGCCCGGGGTCGGCATCTGAGTGATTGCTGCCGAGATAATCTGAGGGGATATTACGCCATTCCAGAGTAAAGATCACGGCATCCATTTTTGGTATTATCCTCAGTTCATAAGAGGCTCTTGAAACGGCTCTGTTTGTTTGCGTGGGAGGCTTTGGTGTTTTTTGATTTATTCGAAACGAAACAGTTGCTTTCAAGCCCTTTTCTTCGCACTTTCGGCCGTTCCGTGGCTTCTGGGATTTGGAGGTTAATTGCGCATTCATAATCTTTGACTTTGTAGAAGGAACTAGAGAATAAAGATCTTCTCCTTTATCAAGAACCGGCTTCGGCGAGCCGGCCTAGGAAGTTCTCACGATGCCTGGCGCTCCCCGTTTCACCCAGAAGCCTTCGATCAAACAGACCGCCACAGGCGATCTGTTGATGGAATGCCACATCGAAGCAGATCCCGCTCCAAATGTTCGCTGGAATCATGCCGGAACACCCATCTCTGAATCATCGAGGGTTACTCTGACACTAGACAAAGAGCAAGGATCCTTTTACAAAGCTACCCTAGTGATCAAAGTAAGTTACATTCACCACAAATTTGGTTCGGTAAAACATTTAAAAAAATACTTATAGGAACCCAATGCAAATGATGGGGGTGCCTATAAATGCACGGCATCAAATCAGTTAGGGGAATCAAATGCGAATATAAACCTGAACTTCGCAGGTACGTTCTAAAAAATGCCTAGATAGTCTTGCAGGTACTGAAGAGAGAGCTGCAACCCCAAGTCAAAAAGGTCCAACGTTTGTAGGGAAACCCAGGATCATCCCCAAAGATGGAGGCTCTCTCATTTTAATGGAATGTAAAGTTAAGTCAAGTACAAAACCATCAGCTAAATGGTCGAAAGACGGTGTCCAGTTGAGTATTGGCGGACTCTACCAGGATGTCTTCAGCGACCTTGGAGATGGCACCTATTTGTGTCAGTTGGAGATTCGGGTAACTAAATAACCTCATTCTATATCACTCTTTTAAGAAACCTACTGCTGGCGAGGCGGGCCAGTATCGGTGCAACATAAAGAATGATCTCGGCGAAACTAATGCCAATTTATCCCTTAATTTTCAACAAGACGAAGCAGCCTCAGAAGGCCGCCGTAGTCCATCACAACCCCGTGAAGGAAAGAAGACTCCCAAGGAAGGATCAAGACCTGGAACACCCTCCCGTAGACGCCGTGATAGATCAGAAACCCCATCACGACGACACAAATCTAAATCCAGAGAAGGATCTCCAAAGAAATCAGTCAGATCACGACCAGGAACCCCTCAGCCAGAAGATAGCAAAGACACTTTGCAGCCCGAAGGCTCTCACTCCAGAAGATCTTCAAAGGTCGAGGCCATGGAAGTCGATTCTAATGGTAGTAAGGAATCAAAAGAAATCACTTTTAGAACTTATCAGGAATGTAATTTTATTTTTCCAGCAGGCAAACGGAAGAGCGATGCAGGTCTCCCTCCGGCTCCTAAAAAAGAGCGAGGCCGAAGCCGATCCAAGAGTCCAGCAGTACAGAAAAAAGAATCCCAGCCAACCAAGAAACCTGTCATTGTTCAAGAATTGCAAAGCCAGGTAATCGTGTCTTATTTTTATTCGATTGATTTGGAATGTTAATGTACTGCAGTTTTTTCCAATGATATTTTATTTGCACATGGCTTCGAGACAAACCATGAAATAAAAACGCTTAAATTAGAGAGGTGAGAGGGAGAAGAACATTTAGATTATAGCTGAACCTGGCCATTCTATTCATTCTCCCCACTTTTCACGTAGAATTGCGTAGGAAGAGGGAAGCGAACAAAGTTTTCTTAGCCTGGCGGCAAATGGCCTGATCTCATTTTTTGTGACTTTCATAGGCGTTTTTATGAAAAATGACTCTTGAATACTCTAAACAAACATGAAAACATAAAAACATCTCATCCGGCATTATAGATCGGACATAATGGAGAAACCGTTCGTCTGGAAACACACATTGAAACAACCTCTGCAACAAAAATCACTTGGAGCAAAGACAGCACTACACTGCACTCATCATCTACTGAATATAAACAGACATTTGATGGGAAGCTAGCTGTTCTTCAGATAACAAAATTCAGCGAATCGAAGGCAGGAAGGTATGAATGTATCGCTGTGAATGAAGCCGGAGAAAGCAGGACGTCCACAACAGTGAAATTCGAAAAATCGGGTAAATAACTCACGTTTCTGCTGTGAATGGTAACCATAGCCATCTTCCCATAGAATTGATCTTCGAACGAGTTTCGACCAGGGGTGGCCGACTGTCAGCAGTTGTTGTGCAATATTACGTAGCGTTGCGCAATTTCTCTGGCGCTACGCGTTTCGGGTCGCGACCCGCGGGGACAGCTCGGGTCGCGATAAATATTAATATTTTCGCTTCGGGACTGGGAAAAAAGAATTTTTTGGTGAATTTGAAAAAAAATTGAAATATTTCGCTTCGGGACTTGGGAAAAAGGATTTTTTGAAGGATTTGAACAAATTTTTGAAATGTTTTCGCTTTTATTTGCATACAATCACTACGACTATCTTCTTACTCCACTCTCTGGCACTGTCTGTTTAGATCCCGTGCTTCCAGTTAAAACCATAAACAATGGATACGATTTTCTTATTTGCTCGCCGCTTATAAACACTATTTTCCTAAAAAACTTCAAAAATAAAGCTCAATTCTCAAAAAAATCCTTTTTCCCCAGTCCCGAAGCTAAAACATTTCAAAAATTTTTTCAAATTCACCAAAAAATTCTTTTTTCCCAGTCCCGAAGCGAAAATATTAAACGGTATCGTTAACCCGAAATGTCGCGACCCGAGCTGTCCCTGGCCCGAAACGCGTAGCGCCAGAGAAATTGTGCAACGCTACATAATATTGCACAACAACTTTTGACAGTCGGGATTCGGTGCTTTTTTGCGATTAGTCGCGCGAATTACTATCTCACACGCCTAACTGAATTTTGAAATAAAAAAAAATTTTTTTAAGAAACTGAACTCAACGCAGAGCAACAAAGGAAAGATGAGGAACAAAAAAGGAAAGAAGAGATCAAACGTCGAGCCGAAGAAAGAAAAAAGGCCGAGGAAAATAAAAAGATTGAAGAAGCACAGAAAACAGAAGAAGCCAAGAAACGGAAAGACGACCTCCAGAAGCGCCGGACAACCTTCGCAGATCAAGAAACTCCGGAGAAAAAGGAATCAAAAGTAGTAAGCATTCCCTTCTATTTTTAATATAATCGAATCTTCGAATAAAGTAGTAAAATTATCTCTTACAGAGCACCAAAAAAGCCACAGCCGAATCAGAGGAGGTAAGTAGACATAATGTCAATTACGAATGGTTTGTGACCAGAAAAGTGTTACTCTCTAACTTCGAAGGTACATAGTCTAAAGTTTGGATAGGCAAAAACAAAGCTTAAATGCGAGCAGATTCTAGATTTTGGTTGTAAGTTTGTTCAGTATCCGATATCCTGTGAAGGGCTGGCTGCGCGATCGGCCTGTTTTTTGGTTGAAACAAATTATTCTCGGTCAGATGACGGATTTGTTTTTACTCGGGTTAATTGTTTTGGCTTAATTAACTTTCAATCCGGTGTATGTATTGCTCTGCGATTTGTTGTTAGGACTGGGATTTGCATATTCCTTTGTCTTCTCGGTTGATCTTACTTGATCCTCTTTACCTTTCTTTTTGCAAGATTCCCGGAGGTTTTGATTACTTTTTTCTTGTGTCTCCGCTTTGTACTTTTAACTGATCCGGTCGTTTTTGCTCTTGTTATTCGTAATCTTACTTTTATCCTTTTAATTCTTTAATGCCGCTGAGGTGAGCTCTTCGTTTATTCTTGGAACCGCGCGCTTCTCGAGCTGCTCACTTTTGCACCTTTCCAAAAGTTATTCGAACTCGGCCTTTGACCCGTTAGTTCACTGCTGAACTTTCTGGAATTGGAAGAGATTGCAACTGTTTTCTTATCCTTTTGTTGGACGATCAAAATCTGCCTTTTTAATTATGACACTGGGAGATCAAAGAGCCTCAAAGAAAGGATGGGTTTTGAAAGAAGTTTACAGATAACTTAAGTCAGCGCGTAATTGCAGAGTACAAATTTATTCCAAATTTATTTTTATTAATCGCTATTTTTGAATGACCCGAAGTAGCAATTTTTCTATTGTTTTGGAATCGAAAACCTTTGCGGGGTGCATAATCCGGCATTTCATAACTTACAAATATCTAGCAAATCGGTCATTCTTTGCGCTAATCGTAAGAATTCCGAGTCTTTGGCAAAAATCTACAAAAATTTACCAGGTTACACGCCAATTTGTCTACACACAAAAAATGGAAAAAAATTTGTCAAAATCGGAGTTTTTAAACTTACAATTCCCAATTTTTGGAACTCTTGTACTTTGAAGTACGGGCTTTCATAATCCGTAAAAATTTTAAAAACGGTCCATTTTTGTTTGAGAAAATTTCGATTTAATTTTTTTTCAAAAAACAAATTGGCGTGCAGATTAGTCCAATTTGACAACCAAGATGACAAACCGAATTTGGATGACGGAGTTATGCATTGAATTTTGGGAAGTCCGCAACAATTTTCGATTTGAATTTACTCGAGAAAAATACTGCTGCTTCGGATCCTTCAAGAAAAAATCAAATTGTCGACGGAATCTACTTGTAAAGCTTTTAACTATGTTCATTGGCTAGCCTGTAACTTTGCGAAATTTCAAGCTTGATCTTCAAAGTTTTCTGGCTGCAAAGTGAAGAAATGTTTTCTTTGTTACCTCTTTGCACTTTTTTTGAAATTCATGTATCTTTTGGTAAGTCTGACCAGCCGGTCACCTGTTCCGTGAGTCTTCACGTCCAGTGGAGGTGTTTTTAACGAGAAATACCGGGCGGCGCAAAAGAGTGGAGAATTACAAAAATGGCCCGATTTGAATTGGCTATAACTTCTATCTTTTTGGGTCAATTAAATTTGAATCGTGCATTTTACGCTTTGGAAGACAAAATGTGACGGAATTTGCAATTGTTTAAAATAATCCAATAGATGTAAAAAGGAAAGTTTCTTTATGGGGGCTCCTACGTTTAGACGGGGCAGGTCAACTTTAGTAAAAATAGTCATTTTCCAGCTGCGAAATAAGCCCGACCGACGAGAAAAATCGACCGAAAGAAGTGCAAAAATTTACACTTTCTCTTCCCTCGAAAAAGAATAGCAGCATGCAGTGGTTCGGTTGGCCGAGTGGATAAAGCGCTTCCTCGGTATCCTTTTAGAGGTTGGTTCGATTCCAGCGCGGCTCGGAGGGCCGTAATTAAGACTTTGATGAGCAAAATGAAACTCTAACAAACCAAAAAAATTACTTTACTCTTTTTATACGTTTTATAGGAAATTAGTGGACATATTGTAAGTCTCCGCCAATCCTTCGTCGAGCGTTAAAAATTATTTTTTGATTTTTTTTGAAAGCTCACCCGAAACAAATTGCGAAAAATTACCTTGAACAGTACTAAAGAAAAAAGTAACAATAAAAAAATGAACAGTGGTAGTTCTAAGCCTTATCTTTTGTTTTTTTCCCCCGGTTCCGAAAGTGTCCAAATTCCGGAAATGTCATGACGCGCTCTTTTGATGGCGATTGTAGCCTTTAATTAAAAAATTATTTAACAAGGAAAGTACTTTTATGGGGGCTCCTACTTTTTGACGGGACATATCTCAAAAAATCAGAAAAAATGTGCTGATCAAGAATATATAGATCTTAGCTGCCCATTTTAGGTTTTTAGGGGTGAAAACTCAGTCGGAAGTTGACTTAAAGTCCTATATGAACCCCTTTTCGCTTAATTTTTTCAAAGGTTTACAATTTTTATTTTGGCTTAAAATGGTGTTTATTGAGTTTCTATGACGTAATAAGACAGTCTTGGCCCAAAAATTTATTTTTCCGACCTTCAACTTCAAAAAAGTTGATTCAGCCCAAAAGGGAAATCGAACCCGTGCGGCGTCCCCCCTCTTGATTCCCGGACTACGGCACTAACCACTCGGCCACACCGCTCTCTTCCGAAGGAAGAGATCGAGCGCTCTTTTTATCGTTTCGAATGTCTGCCTTTTGTAGGGAAATTAAACCAGTTTTTGGGCATTTTCACCCTTAAAAACCTAAAATGGGCAGCTAAGATTTATATATCCTTGATCAGCGCATTTTTTCTGATTTTTTGAGATATGTCCCGTCAAAAAGTAGGAGCCCCCATAAAAGTACTTTCCTTGTAAAATGATGCCATAGTCACAGAAATTCATGGCAAAAGCCAAAAATATAAAATATTTTTTTCGACCGATCCTGATGGAAAAAAATAAATCGATTTTTTTATGTACTGCATTCTTCAAATCAGGGCTTCAAAGTGATGTATTTGTCGTAACTTATTGAGTTATTCAGCGATTGTTGGTTCCACACTCTTTTGCGCCGCCCTGTAATGTATTTTTTCCATTAACATACAGCTTAATAATCTTAACATACCTGCAGTTAAATATCTGTATAAACGGACAATCGAAACAATTCCAAAACGTCGTCTCAACCGGTAGCCTCTACTAAAAAGGATCAGAATGGGGCACCGAAACAATCTTTGAGGAGGGCTTCTCGAGTCTCAGAGATCGATGAAGCCGGCCCCTCAACGCCGACTTCGCCCGGCTCTTCTTCCGCCTCAACATCTCGCAGGGGATCGGGGGTTCGATCGACCAGATATGAGACAGTCGATGGCCACACAATCCTTCCCGATGGCCGGAAATTGTCTCATATCCATTCCTTTATTCTAAGCAAATTGCCCGGAGGAGAGGCCAAGGAGAAGTTTTTGCGGGAATTAATCGACTTCGACACTCGACAGGGTGCTGAGAACGGTGTCGTTGGCCCTCAGAAGTTTGCTCTTCGAAAAACCAGTACAGCGGTTAGTGGGTCTTTTTTGTTGAATTAACGGGGGGTGGGGGGCGTATGAGGCCAAACATTTGCCTGACGCAATTCAGCGGAGATTGAGATGACCTCATGAACTGCTGTGTGATGTGTTGCTTCTTATGATTGGTAGGGATCACGAGGACTGTGTGTCAGTAATTGACCTGGGGAGATTCAATTTCATATAACAATTGAAGTTGGAGATCTTTGTTTGTTTTTTTTCTGCTTCCAAGTACATCAACAGGGATGGAGCGGGTGAAATTAAAACTGAGACTTAAAACTAGATGCCGTAATTCGATGAACTGGGACATAGGGTCTGATTAGAACGGGCGATTATTTGTTTGTAGTGGTTTTTTATGAACACCGGGGTCATGGTGTCACTTAGTCTGCGGTCCTTGACTTGAGGGTTGCAAGCAGAGAACATTGGTAAGCCCCCGCGCAATCCTCCTTCATCTCGATCTCTCGGGATTTTGAAGACGTTTCCAGTCATATCCCCGGCTTACATAAGAATTACCCGTCCGTTCCGAATTCTTGAATTAATTTATTGACAAACAGCCGCTCTGGCCCTTAATGATATTTTAGCAACTGTTTAAAAAGATCTCCTATCCTTAATTTGTTTTGATTTTGTTTTTTTTTCGAGTTTCCAGTCCACTTCTCTGCTTGAGTTTCTTCCAACTTATCCTACTATGTACTAATAATAATGGTGTTTGGAAGTAAAAGGTCAAAGAAAAAACTGGATGAGGTGTTTATTTTTAGATTAGCTGTTCAAAGTTCCTTAGAGTTGAGAGTAGCATTTTGAAAGTTTTTTTTGGTTTAATCTTTTTTAAGTCACAATACCATGATGATTTTTAGGGGTTTCGAATGCTTCTCTTACTTCCTCTTACCTCTTTTAGGTTGGAGATGAACTTCCGGAATCTGGACTTAAGATCAGCGCCGAAAGACGGAGGGAATTACTAAAATTCTCTGGCCAAAACTCACAAGCTGACGGTGATTCTGATGATGAAGTTACAGAATCGATCTCAGAATTGCCTTCTTTCTCCAAGAAAAGTGGGGGAACCGTCCCTGGAACACCCACTCAGGTTCGAGAGATGTCGAGGATAAAATAACTCAGATGTATGCCGTGTCTAACAGTGTTGAACTATCATTCTGTTCGTTTTTACCATGTCCTGTTTATCCTGTTCAAGTCAAGTGTTTCTTTTAGAGTTCCAAGTCGTCCATGTCCATGTCTTCTACGGTGAGTCTAATGTTGAATTTTAAATGTGTCATTAGAAGATAAATGGCGACGGGAATGAGCCGAAGAAGAAAGTGGTGAAGAGAAGAGTGGTCAAGAAGAAGGAGGCGACGACAGCAGAGGCAACCAGCTCTTCTGCTGAGGCAAAACCTCCCAAGAAGGTTGTGTTTCCGTTTGAATTTATGTCAGAGTGAACATTCATCCTTAAATGTAACTTATCTTTATCCTAATTGCAGGAAAATGGAATGCCATTCTTGCAAGTTGGTCGGAAAGACAGTACTGGGCTCGATGACAGGGTTAGTTAATGTCTAAACAATATTTTTTGCCTTGCTGAGTCCATATCCTTACTTGTAAACCTGTTCTCCCCTCATTACCTTTATGTCCTGGAATGTTTTTTTCCCATTCGATGGATTATGACGTCCAAAAATTTTTTAGAATTCCAAAAAAACTCTTCAAGGGCAACAAGTCGGGAAAAAAGCAACAACTGAGCGGAAGCCTTCGGGCACTGACTTGCGAAAATCTTCGACAGGGGTGTCCCGGGTACTTTTTTCTGTCTTTTATACTGTCTAGATGCCTCCCAATTCCTGCATTTAACTCTTACAAAAGTATTGTTTTTTAGCGAAGAAGTAGTGTCGATATGCGAAGGGAATCATTGGCCGAAATCTTGGACAAACCGAGCACTCCGTTAAAACCAATTGGAGGTGAGGGAACACCGGCTAGAATTTTAGAGATCCCGGAATCTGTTACCGTTGTTGAAAGTAAGTGTGATGCGGTAAGATCTAATATTCAGATGAAACGGCAATCCTCAAGTGCCGGATCGAAGGTAATCCAGCGCCTACAGTGGTGTGGAAGAAAGGAAATCGCGAGATCCCCAGTGCCGGACGATCAAAACATCTTACGGATGGAGATCTCGGCCAGGTGTCGCTGGTAATCGGAAAATGTAAACCCCCGGATGAGGGAGATTACACTCTCATTGTTCGGAATACTCATGGTGCTGATTCTGTCGATGCCAAACTTCTCGTTACTTCTGAGTCCGGACTTGACTTCAGGGCTATGCTCAAACGACGGTTGGTTTTGGAGTTACATTATAAATATTGCAAAAAATATTAACTCAAAAATTATTTTTTAGAGGAACAAATGTACAAGATAAATCAGAAGCTGACGATAAGCCGAAAAGCGAAGCCGAAAGGCGTCAGTCGTTGTTCCCCGGAAAGAAACCGGAGAAATGGGAGACCCCGTTGCCAACCACCACCAAGTTCCAACAACAAGTTGACAAGATTGCTGAACTCAAATGTGTTTATTCAAGACCAAATGCAAAAATCCGTTGGTATAAAGACAACAAAGAGGTCTTCTCAGGAGGTCTCAAATACAGAATACTTATTGACAAGGCCAACATTACGTTGGTCATCAACAATCCAGACGTAGATGACAGTGGAAAGTATACGTGCGAGGCAAATGGAATCAAAACAAACTCACAAGTCACTGTTGAAGGTGAGAATCATTCTGAATTTGGTACTAATTTCAAAATTTTAGAGCCTCCAATTAAGTACGTATTCTTGAATCCCCTACCCAACACCCAGGAAATCTACCGAACCAAACAAGCGGCCCTTACTTGTAAGGTAAACAGCGCCAGAGCCCCATTAGTATGGTATAGAAATGGAGAGCCGATCAAGGAAGATGACAAAAGATATAAGATAGAGAAAGATGCCGTCGGTCGCTTCACTATCACAATCAAGAAGGTCGAGCAGGAAGATCAAGGTCAATGGTTGGCCAAGATCAGCGACGAAGTTCTTTCCAAGTGCCAAGTTTATGTTGAAGAACCCAGGGAAACATTTGTCGTTCCATTGAAATCCCAAAGAGCCAATGAGAAGGAAGATGCGGCTTTCGAATGTGATGTTAATGACAAAGAAGCGAAGGTTGAATGGTGGCATGATGGAATTAAGATTACAATTGACGGAAAAAGATTTAAAACTGAGAGCCACAACCGAAAACGGCGTTTATTCATCAAAGGATGCCGGATCGAAGACCATGGTGAATACAAATGTACAACTAAAGATGATAAGACTATGGCGCAGCTGATTGTGGAAGGTAAGGTGCAATGAATATGGTGTAGCTATGTGGTTTTAGCGCTGAACAAGTTCATTACTCCCTTGACAGATGCTGAGGTCATAGAACGGGACGACGTTGAATTGAAATGTGAGACCAAAGACACAAAGACACCAGGTATCTGGTCACGGAATGGTCGGATGATCAGTTCCATGCCTGGAGGAAAGTTCGAAACTCAATCAAGGTCTGGCCAACATTCCATGAAAATCTCCAAAATTGAGATGAATGAAGCCGACATATACGAGATTGATGTCGGCGGCATGAAGGGATCTTGCCGGGTTACTGTACTTGAAGCTGAAAAGAAGCCGGTTATCAATTGGAAGCAACAAAAGATTGAATGTGAAGCCGGAAAGGAGAAGAAAATCAAAATTCCCTTTTCGGTTAAGGGAACAAGACGCGGAGATCCAAAACCCGTCCTATTGCGCAATGGAAAACCCGTGGATTTGAAGAAACTCAAAGGTCAAGTTGAAGTGGTAATCAATGGTGATGTTGCTGAGATCATCTTCAAAGACCCCAAGCAGGCGGATGCGGGAAAATGGACTCTTGAGTTAACTAATTCTGGAGGTTCGGCCATTGCTCCATTTGAATTGTCGGTCAAGGATGTCCCTAAGCAACCCAAGGGTCCTTTGGAAACAACTGATGTCACTGCTGAAAGTTGCAAACTGAAATGGAAACCGGCTGATCCTGATGAGAACTGCCCGACCCGTGGTTATGTGGTTGAAGTTCAAGAAGGACGTTCAGGTCAATGGAAGAAGATCGGCGATACCAAAGTCACCGAGTTCCAAGTGCGAGATCTGAAAGAACATGGAGAATATAAATTCAGAGTGAAAGCCGTCAATGAAATCGGAGAATCTGATCCTTTGACTGGAGAGACTATTCTGGCCAAAAATCCTTACAGTAAGTTCCGTTTTTGGATTTAAATGGCTTGTTTTAGATGTACCTGGAAAGCCTCGGGCCATGGAAGCCACAGATATCAGCGCGGACAGTCTTACTCTCCAATGGAAGCCTCCAGAGGATGATGGAGGGGCTCCCGTTGAGAGTTATATCGTTGAGCGAAGAGATAAATCTGATAAGGAATGGAACGTTGTTGGCCAGGTCCCGGCAGAAGGAAGCGGTCCTCAACAGATTGTAGATGACAAAGTTGTGGAAGGAAAGGAATACTATTACAGAGTGAAGGCTGTTAACAAGGCTGGGCCTGGAGATCCGTGCGATCATGGGCGCTCACACAAGATTAAGGCCAAGCCTAGTAAGTATAATTTAGCTGAACTATACATTCAATTAAGGTGAACCAAGATTCACCCAAGGTGGAATCAAAGATCAAAGACTCAAAGTTGGTGAGACTATCAAGTATGAAGTCCCCATCGCTGGAGAACCTCTTCCTACTGTATCTTGGACCGTTAATGGAAAACCATTAAAAGCACAAGGGCGTGTGAAGATAACTACGGAGAAAGGAAAAACTATTTTGAAAATCGAAAATGCCGAACGGGGAGATTCGGGTCAATTTACTATCACACTCAAGAATCCCAGTGGACAATGCGATTCGTCTGCCAAGGTTACTGTAGTTGGTCGTCCGAGTGCTCCCAAAGGGCCACTGGGGATTACTGATATCAACGCAGAAGGAGCAACCATCTCTTGGAATCCTCCAGATGATGATGGAGGAGAACCTCTTGAGGAATATGTCGTTGAAGCTCAGGATGTGGATGAGAAGGGAAAGTTTGTGGTTGTTGGCAAAGTCCCTGCTGGAACGACAGAACTTAAAGTGAAAGGACTCAAAGACAAAGGAAACTACAAGTTCAGGGTGAAGGCCGTCAACAAGGAAGGAGAATCCGATCCTCTGCAGTCAGACAAACATGTGCAGATCAAGGATCCATGGGATCCTCCAGGAAAACCAGGTCGTCCTCATGTTACCGATGTTGATTCCAATCAAGTCAGTTTGGAATGGGATCCACCACAAAAAGACGGAGGAGCTCCAGTCGATGAATATATAATTGAGGTCAGAGATCCCCTCACTAAAGATTGGAATAAAATTGCAACTTCCAAGACGCCCAATGCCACCATTACCGGACTTACGGAAGGAAAAGATTACCAGTTCCGAGTGAAGGCAGTTAACAAGGCCGGACCAGGCCAGCCCAGCGAGCCTTGTGAAAAGGTTCGGACCGAGCCCAAATACGGTATGTGGATTATATTTATGTCTACTTTTTTATATTGGCAATCCTAACCATACATTTTTAGTACCCGCTTGGTTGAATCACGATGACATAAAGAGTATTGTTGTGAAGGCCGGACAAACTGCACGATGGAATGTGAAGATCGGAGGTCGTCCACCTCCAGAAGTCAAGTGGTTCAAGAATGACCAACAACTTGAGCTCACTGCGACCTTACAGATCGATACGAAAAAGAATGAACACACCATTCTCTGCATTCCTTCAACAGTCAGAGGTGACCGAGGAAAATACAAACTTGAGGTGAAGAATTCTCATGGTCAAGATACAGAATCGGCCGATTTGAATGTCTTGGACCGACCATCGAAGCCACGAGGTCCGTTAGAAGTGTCGAATGTAGTTGAAGATGGATGTGATCTCTCATGGAAGCCTCCAGAAGATGATGGGGGCGAACCCATCGAGTTCTATGAGGTCGAGAAATTGGACACTGAGACTGGCAAATGGGTCCCTTGTGCTAAAGTGAAGGATACAAATGCCCAGATCAAGGGTCTCAAGAAGGGGCAGCAGTATCAGTTCAGAGTTAAGGCCGTTAATAAGGAAGGAGCTTCCGACCCGTTAGTTACAGAGAACGCCACCACAGCCAAGAATCCCTATGATGAACCTAGTAAATGCGGGGCTCCAGATATTGTGGACTGGGACACCGATCACATGGACTTAGAATGGGATCCACCAGCCAACGTAAGCATGAAATGGTTTTGTAAAACACAATATATTTAGGACGGTGGTGCTCCAATCGAGAATTATATAATCGAAAAGAAAGGAAAACACGACAGAGATTGGAAGGAATGTGCTAAAGTTGGGCCGGAGACTAAAGGAACTGTCCATGGTCTAAAGGAAGGTGAAGAATATCAATTCCGGGTTAGGGCCGTGAACAAAGCTGGCCCCGGAGAACCATCAGATCCCAGCAGAAAGCAGGTGGCCAAGGCAAGAAACTGTAAGTTGTTGGGGTTGATATCCGAGGTAGATTTAGTGAGTCCAAAGATCGATAGATCGGCAATGAAAGAGGTGACCATCAAGGTTGGCCAAAACTTTGAGTTCAACGTCCCCGTCCAAGGAGAACCTCCACCGACTTATGTGTGGACTTTCAACGACAAGGAACTCAAGACTGAAGACAAAATCAGAATTGTTAACGAGGATTATAAGACTTCATTTACACTCAGAAATGCAACCCGCGAACATGATGGTAAATACGTCCTCACAGCTACCAACCAGAATGGAGTGGATACTAATGGGGTCATCGTTCATGTCCTTGGCAAGCCCACACCACCAGGAGGACCATTGGAAGTCACCGATGTATTCGAAGACAACGTTACACTTGGCTGGAAACCTCCAGAGGACGACGGAGGAGTGCCCATTGACTCATACGAGGTTGAGAAAATGGATCTGGCTACAGGAAGATGGGTACCTTGTGGTCGAGTTGATGGAAATCAGACTTCGATCAAAGTGGGAAGTCTCCAGGCTGGTCATCAATATCAATTCCGTGTCCGTGCTGTCAACAAAGAAGGAGAGTCTGATCCCCTCACAACCAAGGATCCCACCCTCGCCAAGAATCCTTATGATGCCCCGGGCAAGATGGACAAGCCTGATGTTGTTGATTGGGACAAAGATCATGTAGATCTCGAGTGGAAACCACCAGCCAGTGATGGAGGGGCTCCAATAGAGGAGTATGTAATTGAAAAGGTCAGTTTGTTTATCCACTCTGACTTGAATCTGGGGTTATTTGTTGTTTCAGAAAGACAGCGGTGGTCGTTGGGTTGAAGCTGAAAGGGTTCCAGTCGGTACCACAAAAGCAACTGTTGGTGGTCTGACCCCTGGAGAGGAATATCAATTCAGAATTGCAGCCAAGAACAAGGGCGGCATTGGTGAATTCTCAGATCCGTCTAATAGCGTTATTGCCAAACCCAGGAATCGTAAGCTTGAGGGTATAATTTACTTAGACTTTGTTTAGTTGCTCCGCATATTCACCGAGAAGATCTTGAGGATACTGTAATCAAGGTGGGAGGTCAAGTGAAATTCAATGTCAACATTGATGGTGAGCCAGCTCCGTCTGTAACGTGGACTTTCAACGGAAATACTCCTGAAGGTGTAGACATTGATGACGTCGATTACCTTTCCAAATTTGTTCTTGGAAAAGCGACTAGAAAACAAACCGGGTCTTATACAATTACTGCTACCAACGTGAACGGAACTGACTCCGTAACTGTGAAGATTACTGTAAAAGGCCGTCCGTCGAAGCCAAGGGGACCCATCAAAGTGTCTGATGTCCATGCCGATCATATGAATTTGGCCTGGGAACCTCCAGAAGATGATGGGGGAGAACCCATCGATCATTATGAAATCGAGAGAATGGACACAAGAGACGGAATCTGGCTTCCGGTGGGTAAATCAAATGACACCAACTTCGTGGCGGATGGATTAAACAAGGGATCCCACTATCAGTTCAGAGTCAGGGCTGTCAATACCGAAGGAAAATCGGATCCTTTGGAGACAGAGGAAGCCATCGAGGCCAAGAATCCATTTGAAAGACCAGACAAACCAGGAGCTCCAGAACCAACGGATTGGGACTCTGATCACGTCGATCTGAAATGGGAGCCTCCAGCCAGTGATGGTGGAGCCCCGATTGAAGAGTATCAGATAGAAAAGAGAACTAAGTACGGCCGATGGGAGCCTGCCATCAGTGTCCCCGGTGATGTTACCAATGCGACCGTACCTGATCTCACTGCTGGAGAGGAATATGAATTCAGAGTTGTGGCAGTGAATAAAGGAGGACCATCAGACCCATCTGATCCATGCAGACCTATCATTGCTAAGCCAAGGAATTGTAAGTAGAGTGTAATAATTGGTAATCGCTTTTCAGTGGCTCCCAAGATTGAACCATTGGAAGATGTTGTCTTAAAGGCTGGTCAGATGATTGCTTTCGACACTGATGTTCATGGAGAACCCCCAGCTGAAGTCACCTGGTTCTATCCAAACGGAGCAGAAATCCATTCCGGCGGCCGAGTGAAACTCGAGAATACAGACTATCACACCAAACTCCAGATTCGTGGAACAGAAAGAGACAATAGCGGGACATACACAGTGAAGGCTTCTAACGTCAATGGAAGTGACTCGGTCACCGTCAAGGTTACGATTGTTGGGAAGCCTTCAGCTCCCGAAGGCCCGTTGAATGTGACGGATATTCATGCGGACCGTGTTACTCTCGATTGGAAACCTCCCGCAGATGACGGTGGTATTCCTCTTGAGGGATACAATATTGAGAAGTTCGATACCTCAACAGGAAGATGGGTCCCTGCTGGAAAAGTTGGACCTGACGAAACCAAAGCCACAGTCGAGGGACTCATTCAAGGACATGAATATAAATTCAGAGTATCCGCGGTTAATGCTGAAGGAGAGTCAGAGCCTCTTGAGACAGAAAACAAGATTACGGCCAAGGAACCATGGGATCCACCAGGAAAAACTGGAAAACCCGAGGTCACGGATTGGGACAAGGATCATGCCGATCTCAAATGGACCCCTCCAACTGATGATGGAGGTGCTCCAGTAGAGGAATATATTGTTGAAATGAAAGAGAAGTTCTCCCCGAACTGGAAGCCTGTTCTCACCGTTCCGGCCGATCAGACAACAGCTACTGTCGATGGATTGACTGAAGGAGATCAATATGAATTCAGAATTGTTGCCAAGAATAAGGCCGGGAAAGGCCAACCATCCGATCCTTCTGATATGATTACCGCCAAGGCCAGAAATGTTCCACCTCTGATCGATAGAAACTCGATTCAGGAGATCAGAATCCGAGCAGGCCAAAATGTTCACTTGGATATTCCCGTCAGTGGAGAGTCGCCGCCCACAATCCAATGGGACTTCGAGGGAAAACCAATTACGGATGATGAGAGAATTAAGGTCAACAATGAAGAAGACAATCGAACAAAGTTTACGATCAAGCGTGCTTTGAGAAGCGACACCGGTACCTACAACATCGTCGCCAAAAATGACAGCGGAACAGATCGTGCTGAAGTCAACGTGATTGTTCTTGACCGGCCCGGTGATCCTCGAGGACCTTTGAATATAACTGGTGTTTACAAGAATGGATGCAATCTTGACTGGAAACCGCCAGAAGATGATGGAGGGGCTGACATAACCCATTACGTCGTTGAGAAGCAAGATGCCTCAACCGGGCGATGGACTGTTTGCGGCGAACCTGCCGATACCAAGTTTGAGGTTACCGATCTGACCCCTGGCCATGAATACAAATTCAGAGTAAAGGCTGTAAACAGATATGGAGAGTCGGATCCATTAGATGCCCTTAAATCAATCATCGCCAAAGATCCATTCGACACCGCCGATAGACCAGGTACCCCAGACATTGTTGATTGGGATAAGGACCATGCTGACCTGCAATGGACACCACCTCAAGATGATGGCGGAGCCCCAGTCGAGACCTATGTTATCGAGAAGAAGATGGGAAACGGAGATTGGGAGTACGCTACAGAAGTCCCTGCCGATAAGACCAACGCTACCGTCGACGGTCTCATTGAAGGAAAACAATATCAATTCAGAGTGAAAGCCGTCAACAAGGCTGGCGAATCTGCACCATCTGATCCTAGTAGAACATTGTTGGCCAAGTCCAGAAGAGTCCCGCCAAAAATTGATAGAACAATGTTGGGAGATTTAAAGGTCAAAAAGGATGCTTTTGTCGACTTCAATGTGAATGTCGAAGGGGAACCTGCCCCCAAGATCCAGTGGTTCATCAACGATGTTCTCCTTTCTACCGCTGATCGCGTTAAAGTCGATAATTCTTTGGATAATAACACCAAACTGAAGATTCGGGCCGCCGAGAGAGGCGACAGTGGAGTTTACAAGATCGTGGCCACAAATGATCACGGAAAAGACGTAGCCGAAGTTAATGTCGTCATCTTGGATGTACCAGGGCAACCTCGGGCCATCAATGCCAACGATGTTACTAAGGAAAGTGCCACTTTAACTTGGCATGCTCCAACTGATGATGGGGGATCTCCGATTTCTCATTACGTTCTAGAAAAACAAGAAGATGGTGGGCGTTGGGTCCCGGTAAGTCGATTAAAATAATGATTAATATATATTCAATTAGTGCGGTGAAACTCCTGATACCCAGTTGCGAGTGAATCGACTAAATGAAGGTCATGAATACAAGTTCCGAGTGAAGGCAGTTAATCGACAAGGAGAGTCAAAACCGGTGGAAACAGATACACCGATCATTGCCAAGAATCCCTGGACCGAGCCTGGAAAACCGCAGGATGTTCAAGTGGTTGATTGGGACAAGGATCATATGGATTTGGAATGGAAACCACCAATCAACGATGGAGGAGCACCAATCCAAGAATACATTATTGAGAAGAAGGACAAATTCGGAGACTGGACACCTTGCGCAACAGTCCCTGGAAACCAAACAAAGGGAACTGCCAGTGGGTTGATTGCTGGGCAAGAGTATCAGTTCCGTGTTAAGGCTGTTAACAAAGCCGGGCCGGGAGAACCGTCCGACCCAACCGATCCCAAAATTGCCAAGCCAAGAAAATGTAAGTCCGATCTTTTTATAATCAATGCATCTAGTGGCTCCAAAACTAAATATTGCCGGACTGATTGACCAACGTGTCCGGGCTGGTCAACCAATTCATCTTGATATCACCTTCGAAGGAGAACCGCCACCGACCGTCACCTGGAAGGTTAATGAAAAGGAGTTGACAACTTCTAGCAGAATCGAAGTGTTGGCCAAGGATCAATTCTCTGAAGTCACCATTCCATCATCTGTCAGGTCCGACACTGGCTCCTACTCCATCGTCGTCCAAAACGAATATGGAATTGACACTGCCAAGTGTACAGTTACTGTATTGGATGTCCCCACTCCACCAGAAGGACCACTGAAACCAAGCAACATCCATAAAGAGGGTTGCAATCTATCGTGGAGACCACCAGCTGACAATGGCGGATCAGAGATCGTTGCTTATGTGGTGGAGAAGCTTGATACTAGTCGAGGAACATGGCAAGAAGTTGGTCAATTCCCTGATTGCGAAGCTAAAGTCACCAAACTTACCCCTAACAGGAACTATTTGTTCAGGGTAAAGGCTGTAAATCTTCTAGGGGAATCTAAGCCTTTAGAGAGTACTGATGAAATCACTGCCAAAAATCAATTCGGTACGTGAATGTTTAAATTAAGGTTTTTAGAGTATCGATTATTACATGACGTCACTATTTTCAGATATTCCTGACCCACCGTCTGCCCCAGAAATTGTCGATTGGGACGAAGGCCGTATCGATCTCGCATGGAAGCCACCAGCCAATGACGGAGGAGCTCCGATTAAACATTACGTCATCGAGAAGCGTGAAAAGGGATCTCCCAACTGGCTTAATTGCGGAAACACTCCTGGAACATCGATGTCCGTAACTGGGCTTAAACCTGGAGTTGAATACGAGTTTCGAGTTACTGCAGTCAACGATGCCGGGCCTTCCGATCCATCTGATCCTTCTCGGTCCCAGGCAGCCAAAGCAAGATACCTGAAACCCCGTATCTTAACCGCCAACAGGAAACAAAAAGTTCGTGCTGGAAATGCGTTGACTTTGGACATAGACTTCGTTGGAGCGCCAGAGCCAAGTGTTAATTGGCAAGTGCAAGGATTAGGTAGTTTGGCTCCAGAATTACTGGTTGACATCAAACTTGGACATACTTCTATATTCTTCCCTTCTACTAAACGTCAACACAGTGGAAGTTATCAGCTGAATCTGAAGAATGAGGTCGGGGAAGATGAAGGTGTCTTCGAGATCATTGTGCAAGATCGCCCGAGTCCCCCGGTTGGTCCTTTGGTTGTTGATGATGTCACCAAAAACTCGTGCACTCTTTCCTGGAGTCCACCTGAAGATGATGGAGGTGCTGAGATCAGCAATTATGTAGTTGAGAGACGAGAAATCCACAGTGGAACATGGGTGCCAGTCTCCGATTTTGTTGTGGGAACATCTTGTACCGTGAACAAGCTGCATGAAGGACATGAGTACGAATTCAGAGTTTCTGCGCAGAATGTCCTCGGGGTCTCTGATCCATTGGTTACTGACAACACCACTATTGCCAAGGATGCTTTTGGCACTCCTGGTAAACCAGGAAAGCCAGAAATTACGGATCATGATGTGGATCATATCGACCTCAAATGGGATCCTCCCAGAGATGACGGAGGAAAGCCAATCAGTCATTATGATATTGAAAGAAGAGATCAGAAAAGTGGTCGGTGGGTGAAGGTCAACACTTCCCCGGTCCATGGAACTACTTTCTCGGATACCCGAGTTCAGAAGGATCATGGGTATGAATACAGAATCGTCGCAGTTAATGATGCTGGTCGAGGTAAACCCTCAGATCCTTCTGATATTGCGTTTGCTAAACCTAAACGATTAGTGCCAGCCTTTGAATTGGATATTGACGGAAAGGAAGTCAGGGTCAGAGCCGGCGAGCCCCTCGATCTCAACATTCCATATGTTGGGGCTCCTCAGCCTGAGATTACTTGGACCCGTGAAGGACAGACGGTTGCTGGAGTTAACACAACCTCCGATTTCACACGTCTTTATATCTCCGAGAGCAAGCGATCCGATACTGGCCAATTCAAGATTGAAGCTGTGAACTCTGAAGGCAGAGCTGAGGCCCGTGTCTTCATCAATGTAATTGATCGGCCTGGACCTCCAGAAGGACCTGTTACATATCCAGCAACTACAAGAAGAACCGTCACGGTTGCCTGGAAGCCACCGAAGGATGATGGTGGAGCTGAAATCATCGGATACAGAATCGAATATCAGGAAGTTGGATCAGCGATTTGGGAAAAGGTTTCCGAAAGTACCACTCTACTCTTCCACACAGTCAGGAACCTTGAGAACGGAAAACAATACAAGTTCAGGATCTTCGCTGAGAATGTTGTTGGTCTGAGTACTCCTCTGAATGGCGATCCAGTTACAGCCAAGGATCCGTTTAACCCTCCAGGTGCTCCATCAACTCCAGAAGTCACTGGGTACGACACCAACATGGTCGCCCTCAAATGGAATCCTCCCAGAGATGATGGAGGAGCTCCAATTCTTGGGTATGTTGTCGAGAGATTTGAGAAGAAGGGAGGCGGTGATTGGGCCCCTGTTCCCGGAATGCCCATGGTCAGACTCACTTCCTGTAATGTTACTGGACTGGCGGACGGAGAGACCTATCAGTTCCGTGTAAGAGCCGTGAATGCTGCCGGAGAAGGAGCTCCCAGTGGAGGATGTGATCCTGTGACATGTCGACCATTTGTAGAACCTCCAGATGCCCCTGATCAACCACGAGTCATGAAGGTGACGAAGAACACAGTGGGTCTAAGCTGGAATCGACCAATTAATGATGGTGGAGCTCCTATTGAGGGTTATATTGTCGAAGCAAGAAAGGTTGGAGAATCAGATTGGAGTCGACCAAATGGAGGAAAATTGGTCAGAGGAACACTGTTTACTGTCGAGGATCTTACCGAGAAAACCGATTACGAATTCAGAGTCATCGCCGTCAACAAAGCAGGCGAATCTGATCCTTCCAGGCCATCGGACTCCGTCTACACACAAGATCAACCCAGCCGGCCCCTTCTGGATCTCTCTGGCTTGAAGGACATCACTGTCCGGGCTGGAGAAACCATTACTTTTACCATCCCTTACACTGCCGGAAGTGCCAAGCCTACAGTTGATGCCTTCAACGCCGGCAAGCCAATCTTTGAAGACGATCGAACTACAATCGAAGTCCAAGATGATAAGATTATATTCACGACTGTCAACTCCAGACGCTCTGATGCTGGGCCGTATAAATTGGTGGTCGAAAACAGATTCGGAAAAGACTTTGCCAAACTTAAAGTCAACGTCCTCGATGTCCCTGGAAAACCTCAAGGACCTCTTTCATACTCGGACATCTCTGGGGAAGAAATCACAATGCTTTGGAGCCGGCCATTAGACGATGGAGGAGCCCCAGTCACCAATTATGTAATCGAAAAGAAGAATCCCCGCACTGGAGAATGGGAACGTATTGGAACGTCCACTGGTACCAACTTCAGAGCTCGCAATCTCGTTAACGGATCCTCTTACGAGTTCCGTGTCAGAGCTGAAAACCAATACGGAGTTGGAGAACCACTAGAAGCCGATCATCCCGTCACTGCCAAGAATCCATTCGATCCCCCAGGACCTCCAGGACAACCGGAGCCAGTTCAAACCTCAGACGAAGCGATTACTCTGCAATGGACTCGACCTCTCACAGATGGTGGAGCTCCGATCACTGGATATGTTCTCGAGAAACGACTCTATGGAAGCAATGAGCGATGGGAGAAGGTTACCTTTGGAAACATTACAGATACCAGATATCGTGTGACTGGTCTCATTCCTCAAAAGACCTACGAATTCCGAGTTGCTGGTGTCAATGCCGCTGGTCAAGGAGAATACAGCGAGAACTCTGTTCCCATTGTTGCCGCGAAAGCTGCTTCTAAACCCAACATCAACATGGGAATGTTGGCCAGAGATCTTACCGTATTGGCCGGAGAACCCGCAAATCTTTTGGTGCCATTCGCTGCTAGTCCAAGACCCGAGATTAGCTGGACGAAGAATGGAATCCCTGTGGATGAAAAGAACAGCCGGCTGATTGTAGAATCCAATGACTACATGACACAATTGACTTACAAGAAGTCAGAAAGAGGTGATTCCGGTACTTATACCATCCGGTTGGAAAACGATGTTGGCTCTGATAGCATCGATATCAGATTCAAAGTCGTTGATCGCCCGGCCCCGCCTGAGGGCCCTCTTGAAGCTGACGATATTTCCCCTGATTCGTGCCGATTGGTATGGAAAGAGCCTAAAGATGATGGAGGATCTCCAATCACCAATTACATCGTGGAGAAGCTGCATGTCCGAGGAGGCAATGAGACTTGGGAGAAGGCTTCGTCGTTTGTTAGGGACACCAAGTGTTTGATTGCCGATCTGGTTGAGAATGAGCGTTACAGGTTCAGAGTCCGTGCCGAGAATCAGTATGGCATTTCTGAACCCCTGGAGATGACTGACCCAGTCGTCGCCAAGTACCAATTCAATGTTCCCAGCCAACCAGAACCTCCAGTTTGCCGAGAAACCGACAGAAACTGGGCGGAATTGGAATGGGATCCACCAGAGTCGAATGGCGGTTCCAAGATCTTGGGATACAACCTTCAATACCGAGACGCCCATTCCTACAAATGGGTGACCGCCAACAAAGAACTCATCACAGACACTCACTTTAGAGCTTCGAATCTCCGGGATCTTGGAGAGTATGAATTCAGAGTGGTGGCAAAGAACGCAGCCGGATGGAGTAAGCCCTCAGGGCCTTCTGGTCGCGTCCAACTCAGGGAAAGACATGGACCTCCCGGCCCTCCAATCCAAGTCCACGCTGATTCCATTGGTCCTAATTATGTCACCATTACTTGGCAGGCCCCGGCGGACAACGGCGGATCGAAGATTAGTGGTTATGCCGTTGAGAAACGAGAAGTCGGGTCTAATGTCTGGGAAATGGTCAACGACTACAATGTTGTCAACCCGGAATTCACCGTGCCCAACCTCAAGGAGTACCATGACTATGAATTCCGGACAATTGCCATCAACTCTTATGGTCGCGGTCCTCCATCTTTACCATCAGCTCCTATCAAGATTCAAGAATTGGCTGGATCCAAGCCGCAGATTGTTGTCAAACCATCGGATACCGCCAGCCCGTACAATAAGAGAGCCGTCTTCTCTTGTGAAGCTATTGGACGGCCAGTTCCAACTGCCCGATGGCTAAAGAACGGCCGCGAAGTTCCAGAAGGACCGCGTTATCGCACCGAATTCCTGGATGGAGTTTACCGTCTGATTATTCGAGAAGTATGGGATATTGATGCTGGAGATTACACTTGTGAACTGAGCAATGTATTTGGAACTGCGTCTGCAACTGCTACACTGAAGGTCCAGGCACCACCTGTCATCGAGAAACAAGTTCCGAACGCTGTTTACCCTGAGGGTGATATGGTCAGGATCAAGATTTATTTCAGCGGATCTCCACCTTTCGAACACACCCTCACTCTGAACGGAAACGACGTCAATTTGGACGGTCCATCTATTCGACTGGTCGATTTTGATGACCACGCCTTAATCACCATCCCAGAGCTCCATGCCTACGAGACTGGCAGATATGAATATTCAGTGAAGAACGAATCCGGCGAAGACTCCATCGGATTCTGGATCAACGTGACGGGTCTTCCATCCGCTCCGGAGGGTCCCTTGGTCATCTCGAATGTCGATCAGCACCAAGCCACAGTAAGCTGGAAGCCTCCAATCAACGATGGAGGCTCAAGAATATCCAATTATGTGTTGGAGAAGAGAGATATTGCCCGGGATGAATGGGTGGTTGTCGCTTCAGCTATTCGAGAACTTACTTTCATCGCCGCTGGCCTCTTTGCTGACCATGAATACGAATTCCGGGTATCCGCGTGTAATCACAATGGCCAAGGCCCCCCTCTCGTGTGTGATGGCCCCATTGTTGCCCGTCTTCCATTTGGTCCTCCAAGTCAGCCTAACGATGCTGCTATTGTGGATGTCGGCTCAGAGTTTGCTGTTCTTTCCTGGACTAGATCCGAAAGAGATGGTGGAGGAAGAGTGAGAGGATATATGGTCGAGAAGAAAGAGTCCGGAACTGGTAAAGGCTTTATAAAATAATGCAGCTACAGTTGAGGTCGATACTTTATAAAAGAATTTTTTCAGACTTCTGGCAGAAATGCACTCAAGCCCCGTCTCCGAGCTCCTCCTTGAATGTCAGCAATCTTATCGAAGGCAGGAAATATGACTTCAGAGTATTCGCTGTAAATGACGCCGGGGTGTCGGAGCCAGCTATTTTGTAAGTAACGAAATAAATTATGATTCCTCTTTAGGGAAGGGTATGAATTCCGTCCATCAGCTGGAGGCAAAGGCCCCGAATTCACGTCCCAGCTTGTAGATCAATACGGAGCTGAGAGAGGAAACGTGAAGTTCGAATGTGAAGTTGATGCTGATCCAAAAGCAGAGGTCGTGTGGTTCAAGGGAAGCAAAGAACTTGTGGATACTGCCAAATACACAATCTTGGACAAAGGAAAGACCCAAACTTTGCTCATTAATCATCTCCGACTCGAAGATGAAGATGAATATACTTGCAAGGCCACCAACTCCATGGGGTCCAGGATTACTCGAGCTCAACTAAAATTAAGCTGTGAGTAAAGAGGAGCGTAAAATTACTCGTATTTTAGCGAAACCAAGACTCTTTGTTCCTCCCAAATATCATCTTGGAGTAGAAGCCGAATCCGGAAATAATCTTGAACTGGTGATCCCATACAAATCATATCCGAAGCCGAATGCCACATGGATTAAGGACAACAACAACAAGTTGGATAATGGTGGAAAGTATTCCATCAATGTGGATGACAGGTAACCAGAGGTCGATTTCTAAAATTTTCTTCAGGAATGTCACCTTGAGGATTTCCAATGTCGACCGGTCAGATGCGGGAGAATACGCAGTTACTTTGCATAATCCCGTCGGTTCTGATCATGGAGAAGTCAAGGTGACCATTGCGGATAAACCAGAACCCCCACGGTTCCCAGCTATCGAAAATGTTCTGGATGAAGCCGTAATTCTCTCCTGGAAACCACCAATGCTCGACGGAGGAGCTCTCGTCACTCGGTAAAACACTTGTATTATAAATACTTGTAATACTCGTATTTTGTTCATGTTGGATCTTTACAGATACTTTGTTGAGAAAAGAGAAGGTGGAAGTGGATCGTGGACCGAGTGTGCCCATTCCAGATTCACTTATCTCACCATCGAAGGCCTCCGTCCTCAACATAGCTACGAATTCAGAATCAAGGCTGAGAATAAGTATGGAGTTAGTGAGCCATGCGAACCAACTGCACCAGTCGAGATCCCAGTCTCGAGAACCAAACGACGAAACTATGATTGTAAGTGCATTTATAACGCCAAGCATAAAAACATTTAGTGGATGACACGGGTCGAATTGTCCGTGGCCAAGGACGAATCCAAGAGAATTACGACAAATACGGTAAGTACCTGAGGACACATTCTCCGACTTTCACCACGCACATCTCACTGAGGAGTATTCATTTTACCGTATTCTTCTCCAGTTTCATTCCGTTTGGTGTTTCTATTTTTGAGTTTTAACCCGAATTTCAGTTGGCTCGGTGCTCACCTCGGTGTCAAGTGTTTCCCGCTCAAACTTTGGCTCCTCCCTCTTGGCCCCGCCCTCGTCCTACGAGCTGGCCCGCAAAAGAAGTACCCCGAATATCCCGTCTTACTTTTCCCGATACTAATCAACCATTCTTTCCGCTGCTTTTATTTTCTCCGATTCTTCTGAATCCGCCTTCTTTGGTCGACAATGGATCGCCAACAATTATCGACCGACCGTTTATGGTGCCTGGCATGTTCCTGTCACCAATCACATCTTCGCCATTAAATCTGTTTTTGAACACATTTGACCTTTGACCCGGTCTATCACTACTTTTTCTTTTTATGGGAGACTCGGCTCTGATAGAATAACTCCACTCATTTAAATTTTTTTGTAAACCCAAAAAATTTTGTGTTTTTAATATCAGAGTGACGATCCCCGAAGGGTCAAATCTTTTGTTGTCTCCACTTCTTTCATCCATTTATTCCAAAATGAAAATTCTGGAAATAAACATAAAACTATTTATTGGTTCGATTTTTTCGCTCCTTTGGCTAATCAAAGCACGGTGCTCTGTCGTTCCGTCGACGAGCCATTTCCCGGCCTCTATCTGTTCTCGTGCTTCTACAGTAACCTTCTTTTAAGTAGACTGTCTCCTTTTACAGTATTCGATATCTGGAAGGGGGAGCCCCCGCAGAGGGTCCAGATCCAAAGCACCTCCGTTTATGATGACTACGATATTTTGGAGGAGATCGGAACGTAAGCATTAATGTTATTGAATACTAGTTTGTCCTTAGGGGAGCTTTTGGTGTTGTTCATCGATGTGTGGAGAAGAAGACCGGACGGACTTTTGCAGCCAAATTTGTCAGAATTAACAATGAAAAAGAGAAGAATACAGTAAGAAAGGAGGTGGAGGTGATGTCTGAACTGAGACATCCATCCCTCATCAACCTCCATGCTGCTTTCGAAGATGAAAGAGAGACGGTCATGATATACGAATTGTAAGATTGCTAACTTTATGCCATTCTGATGACAATAATTTCATTATTTCCAGCTTATCTGGTGGAGAATTATTTGAAAAAGTGTGTGATGAAAAGAATCGGACAACTGAAGCCGAAGCCGCCCACTATATCCGTCAGATCTGCACGGCTCTGCAGCATATGCATAACATGCATTATGTGCACCTTGATCTGAAGCCAGAGAACGTCATGTTTGTAACACGTCAGAGCGATGTCCTAAAATTGATCGACTTTGGATTAACGAGTAAACTGAGTCCAGATAAACCAGTCAAAGTGACAACAGGTAACGTGAGAAGGGTCTTAATAACTGTTTAAGGAACCGCCGAATTCGCGGCCCCTGAGATCTGCCTCGGGAAACCAGTCAGTTTTACCACTGATATGTGGAGTGTGGGAGTGTTGAGTTATATTCTTCTGAGTGGACTGTCGCCATTTTGTGGGGAGAATGACCAGGAAACACTAGTTAATGTAAAGAACGGAGATTGGAACATGCAAGATCCCGTATTTGATTACATTTCCAATGAGGCCAAGGATTTTATTTCCCGATTGTTAATAATGAAGCCAGAACAGAGGATGAAGGTCGATGAAGCTCTTAGTCATCCCTGGTTAACTAGAAACACCGGGGGTTCATTGAATATCCCCAAAGAACGACGGATTTCTTTCCAGAATACGGTAAAGAATCGATATGTGAGTGTAGTTTCGTTTGAAAAACTGAATTCAGGACGCTTACCCCGATCCCAACCCTTCCATTGGTCGAGTGGCCAACTTTAGTTCTTTGAAGGCTAATCGCCCTCAAGAATTCAAGATTCTGGACACTTCATTTGACGTCGAGAAAGCGGCTCCAAGATTTATTCTGACCCCTCACAGTACTACCTGTACTGAGGGTGATACGATTACTTTCTATTCTCGAGTCTGGTCGGATACAATCCCCATGATTTCATGGTTTAAGGGGTCCTTAGAGATCGAACAGAGTGCCAAATACATCAAGCGATACAATGGCAATGAATATGCTCTCACAATTACAAACGCGAGGCCAGAAGATCGAGGAGATTACAAGGTCCGAGCGCAGAATAACATGGGCTCCGTCGAGTCGAGCTTCCATCTGACCGTGCATGCGTCATTAAGTGGGTTTAATTAAATGACTTGTATTGTTTCGTAGGTTCTCGACCTCCTCTTTTCCATGAGACTTCTTCAACGCGCCGTCGCAATCCACCGCCTGAAGTACCGGAATTCAGTGAAACACAAACTCGTCCTTTCTTCACATTCCCTCTCCGTCCCCGCCTAATCCAGAAGAATCATGGCTGTAAATTAATATGTACTGTAACCGGAAATCCCGTGCCCAAAGTCGAATGGTCAAAGGATGGACGGCCTTTGGATTACGACCGAGTCCAGGTCACATTTAAAAGTGGAGTCTGTTCACTGGAGATATTTAATGCCAAAATGGAAGATGCGGGAGTTTATGTATGTAGAGCAGTCAACGATCTGGGTGATGAGACTACAGTTTGTGAATTGACCGTCCAAGCGCGAGGAGCTGGACCGTCGAGTAAACTAATTGTGCCCAGTTTGGAAGTGGATAGATCGAGATCGTCGTCGGATTTGGCGAGGAAATTCAGAATCGCGCCATCTCCCTCTCTGAGTCGGGTCAACATGCTCAATATACACAGTGGACCGAAGAGAACTTAATATTGTAAAATTAATTTTGTTTGGAGGAATGGCAGTAAATTACTCAATCAAGCTAGGAATATTGCTGAGAGCCTACTAGAGGCAAACTTAATTAGGATAATCGGGGATCAGACATTCCTCCGGACTTTGTCTTTTAATTTTTTCGGGTTTTGGGTTGTAGCTTTGAGATTTCCTGGAATAAATTGATTGCTTGATACCTTGGTTATATTGTGTGAATGGATCAAATTAATCCCCTCCGGGAAGCCATAATTGATAGCCCTTTCTATCCGTTATTCGAAAATCGAGCAGCCGATTTTTGAGTCAGTGAAAGAGAAGGGGGCGGGGTCTCGCCCCCCCCCCCCCCCTCCCCATCGCCTTTCACCATCTCAGTCTCACGCACCCCCGTTCCGCCGCCTTAGCCAGCAGTTTGCCTGCGGGGTGCCAATCGTCAAAAATATATCCAAGTTACTTAAATGTGGTTGTTCATGATCACCACAATACTTTCCCAATAGAGCTCATGGTCTGGCCATGTGGAGGTGGTTCTTAATTGTAGTGGGCCATCTGTGTCATGCCAGGAGGATACCCGATATCTACTGGAATTCTTCGAGTCCAATGTAGGTTCTTTCTTCGTGCTTTCATTTTTATTTTTATTTTTTAATTATTTTTTGTCCAAGGTTTGAGGGGATATCCCGGGTCCTTATCCACTCTCAGCTGACAGTTTCTTCTGATCTCGATCCACTTTTTCCCATCGAATCAAAGCTTTTTATTGTTAAAACGTGGAGGTCACTTTCCTTCATTCCTTTCAGTTGTTTTCTTTCATTTTTTGCCACCTTAACCCACAAAAAACGATTCGAGAAATATTGACGCTAAAGGTTGGCGAACATTTTGGATCGAGGATTAACCTGCTCTGCGCGGCTCTCCCTTTTTTCTCCTTTTATGGCATTTAAGTGGGCTGACATGAGTACATTCGGAAGCCCAAAGAAACGCAAGGATCCTTCTGTCGGCACAGTTTAAATCATCAATGTTGTGTCATCAGATGCCTTCTACAATAACAAAGATTGTTTCATTTCTCCACTTGACACCTTCTCGTTTTAGTAATCACCATTTGAAGTGCAATTTCCTCTTCGATTACGCAACTCTCATAAAGCGCTCGAATTACCCAAAACTGTCTCTTTTCCCATCCTTTTCCTCCGTCTAATGAAGCCGCACCCTGCGGCTGACAACCGGACCGTTACTGAGTAATTAGCTCTCGATCGGCTAGGGCTGCTTAATAAACCAGAACGCAAACAAATTAGTGTTTTTATTTCGATTAGTTAGAGACCCTGGGATTAGCCAAAAACAAAACTTTTTTGTCTTGTCCGATCAGAAAACGATTATAAAAATTTTGTTCCGTCTTCCTTTGGGCGGATTATGAGTCGATTTTCCTATCAGAATTGATTCATAAATGAGCTACTCCCTAATGAAAATCATTGAGAAAAAACTTATTTTGTTGGGACGGAACTTATGAATCTGTTCCTTTTAATCATCAAAATTTATATATTCCAGTCACATGGCTCAAGTCAAGACAAGTTTGCCATTTCAGTTTCGACATCAGCAACACCGACCACGTCAAAACGGTCCATCTGCTGGACCGGGTCACCATTATCTGTCCCCATCCCACATCGCCCGATCTCTACGAATATTCCAAATTATATGTGGTGAGTTTTGGTCTTGCAGCTGGCCTTAATTAAGTGCGGACATTGTCCACAATCACGATTTATAAAGGCCGAGATAGCGGCCATCTCCTCGGCCCAGTAATTGGATTCCGAGGCGCCGGAAACGACGTCGGGAGTCTGTTTCTTGATTCCGAGGGATCCGCTGAATCCGCTTCGTTTTTTGCTTATCCTATTCGTTCTCGTGCTCTCGACCTCGGCATAGCGACTAGAGGAAGGGGAATTATCCTCAGCGAGGTCGTCCCTTACACGCAGAATTAAAGATAAACGCCGGGAAATGGGATTATCGTGCACAATCAACTTGTTAAATATTTCAAAAATCCCTACAAATATGTGGTCTGAAAAGGGAGGTGACGTCTGTGAAATGTGACCTAGAAGTGTCATTCAAAATCTATTGTGAACTTGTCATCTTGCAGGTGAGCAGATCCGAATACGATGCCTGTGAACTGCGGAATCCCCGGCTTCTCGGGTCGTGTGCCACCGCCGACCAACAGTCATCGATCTCGGTGGTTTTCAGGGATTTCTCACCCATTCCCGGAGCCTTGGAGTTCCAGTCCGGACAAAGTTACTATGTGATCGGTAGGTTCTTTTGATCCCGTCATCCATTCTCATCTGCAGCGACGTCCGATGGCTCCAGTGAAGGCATCAATCGGACCCTGGGAGGCCTCTGCTCCACCAAGAATATGAAACTCAAGTTCGAAGTCCTGCAGCCAGGTGGGATATCTAATCTCTCGGATCCAAACCTTTTCCAAGACACCTATTGAAAAAATTACCAAATTCTTTTCAGATTTGGCCCCAAAGGATTCGGAGTCATTAACTCGAGTCCGCGACCTCAGTCCGAATATGCCGTCCAGGTGAGGTCAAGGCTGCTGTAGGCACAAGGGACAACTTTGATTTCATAAAATGAGTGTAATTATTTTAGCGAAACAACTCCGGCGTCCACTCTGACCTCATCCATCACGTATGTCATCCACACGGTAGAGCCCGAGGTGGTTGCCTCCATGCACACCAGTGCCAGTGCCTCGGCATCTCTCTCTTTGATAGCCATAGTCCATCCCTTCCTCCGAGTTACCGGTTTCCTGTGATCACCTGTTCTTTCAAGACTTCTATCTTACTGTAAGTTCATCATGGAATCTCAAACATTGTACAGTACCATATTTATTTGGAAAGAAAAATAAAATTTCACAAAAATGTGATCTAGTAATTGCAATATTATTTAATCTATATTTGCTGACATCTTAAAGTGAGTGTTATCTTGAGATCACAAGGCTTTGGAGGAGAGATGAGTCAAGTGAAATATACAGTTAAGGAAGAGCTAAGGAGTATCAAAAAAAGGGTTGGAATCACCCATCTGACCCAGTTAACGTTTCAAATCACCGAAAGGACATTTGTTTTGAGGCTAACGACACGATCGTAAGGACACGTTTCTAAAACAATGTTGAGAAAAATTGCAAATAACTTAAGAATGACGTCGTATCTACAAATGGCACACATAGAACTCTGTATTTTATCAAGTCTACCTAGAGACAGTCAGATAATCCTGATGTGAATTGTCCCCGTTCGTGAGAGGAATACTTTCCCCATTCTCCTGAGATTTTAATTTCTGAAGAACCAAAGTTTCCGAGGACACATTGAAGCTGGTATCTGAGGGAAGGACAACTCGTTCGGTGGAGATGTTTACAACACACGCAAGAAAGTCATATTCGGGTTGAAGGATTCCATTCTTGAACAAGTAATCACTTAGCAAGCTCCCCCCAACACAGAAAGTCAACGATAATAACATGGAGAGACTCTTGAAGGGAAAGTATTGAATGTGGGAGACCGGATCGTACATTGGGTACTCGATCGTGGCCGGGAAGTGTAACAGGGGCTCCCCTCCTGATAGTCGCATCAACATTCCCACTAAAATAGCTAGCTAATTGTATATATACAAAGTAAAACCTCTTATGAATACAACTTTACTTACCGATATACCCCAATAAACAACCATAAGTATTGCTCCTTTTGAAGTAAACAACACAGAGTAATTGCGGGAATAAGATGACGTATACCAGGTCGGCGCACAAATACCAGAGAGCATAGATACTTTGAATAGTCAAGGCCATAATCGTGGCCAGTATGCCGACCATGGCAATGCCTAATCTCATCATTCCAATTACTTCTTTTTCTGATGCCTGGAGAAGGTTAAATGAAAAGATTAGAACAGAGCTTACATGGGGACGAATACTCAGTTTCCAGATATTGTGCGAGAACATCGAGGCGGCCGACAGAACTGAGGAATCGGCCGAACTCATTACCGCGGCCGAAACAGCACCTAATCCAATGAAAGTGACCCATTTGGGGGTCAGGTACTGGAACACCAAGGGCACCACCATGCTCGTGTACTCGGGCGGGATGTGCTCGGTCTTGGTCCCATTGCCCCAGGGGTCGTATTCGGTCAATCTCCAGTCCGTGTTCTTGGCGATGGCCCCGATCAGCGCTGGCGGAATCGCCATTACAATACAGCCCACACCCGCCACAAAAGACAAGTTCTGAGCTCCTGCCGAGGTCTTCGAAGACAAAACGCGTTGAAAATACACCTGATTGTATAATGCTTTAATTGTTTTCATAACCCACCTGCCAAGGGATACCTCCAAATACTAACAAAAACATATTATCCCACCATAGGGAGCATTCTGGCAGGGTAGAACACGTCTTCCCTAACCAGGCAATGGCATTATGAGAGAGGTCTGAAGTCTTGTCTTGCAGCAAAGCTGCTGGGACACAGACCCACTAAAATAAGTTAAGTAATGCGGGAAAATAAATAAAAATAAGGAGAATGTAATGTCAAAAAGGAGACACTTACCAAGCCAATGAAAATACAAAATAATTGAACAACATCCGTGTAGGCGACGGCATACAGACCCCCGGAAAAGGTGTAAGCGACAGCCACGAAGGCTGAGATTATCACCGAAATGTTCATATCCCAATGTAAGATCACGGAGAGGGTTGCGCCTAAGGCAGACAAGATGGCTGCACTCCAAAATACCTCTCCAAGAAGGGCTGGGATGAACATTAGACCTCCGACTCGTTGCCCATACTTATTCTGAACAAGGTAAATGATGATTAAAAGCAATATTGTCTTACCTGAAAAGGGTCTAACATGGTAATATACCCTTCTTCCCTCATTCTTCGAGCAAACAAGATCCCTCCCATGATCAGACTAAGAGCATATCCGAAAGGAGCTTGGCATCCGAGCACTCCGGAAGTGTACATGGCTTCGGCTGTACCATTTATGTAAGCACCGCCCACCCAGGTAGCTGCAATGTGACAGAGATTTATTGTTTTTGTAATCATAAATCTAGTATTTTTATGGATAAATTTCTAAAATCTGACATCCTTTTTCAACATTGTTGTATGCCCTTATTTTACGGAATGTGTAAAAACATTTTTTTGGTATGAGGTAAACCGAAAGTACGTTTGGTGTTGTCCCGGTGGTATCCGAACATTCCAACCCCCATAAATCCGCGTTTTCGCATTCCGGACATTCTTCCTTTTACCTCAACTCTTTCGACTTGGAAACCCCTATTGTTTCTGGAAAGAGCACATACCCGTCATGGTGAAGATGCCCACCAAGGTTCCGATATTCCGCCCAGCCAGAAAGACCTCTTCCGTTTGCTGGCCGTCTTCGGTCTTCTGCGAATCACTTTTTCGGCCAGCCCAGATCCCGACGGCCAAGATGATTAGATAGAAGATGATGATGGCCACAATCCCCAAGTAATCGGCCATGCTCTGAAAAGATTCAGTAAATGACATCACGACAAACAGACACAGCTCGTTGTTTTCAAAACCAATATCGAGCTGGCGTGTCCAAACAAACGCGAAAATCACTGTTATTTATATGGGGAGCGTCAGTCTCACGTATCATGAAGCCTCGGCGTCTCGGGAATACGGTGAAACGACGCCGAGATGTTCAGCTAGCCATCCAACCAAAAACGAAAGGATGATGAGAGTTTGGCTTTCCGTTTGGCCACACAATAGCCCAATCTGTGTGGCTACCTCGGGCCGCCAACAGAAATGGAGGCGAAAAACGAGCTGTTGAAAGAAGAGAAAGTAGGACGCCAGGTCCAGTAGAGCATATTCGTCAAACGAACCTCTTCGTCTACTAGATTGGAGGCGGCCAACGCTCCAAATTAGCATCGTTCCGCCGCCTTGGGGCATAATTCCCGTGATTAAAAAGTTTTGCTTCAAGTCAATGAAGAGGAGGGAGGGGGTTACTTAAGGTTTATGAAGTAAAAGTGAAGTCGACAGAAGGAGGGCGGATTTGAGCGGAACAATGGCTTCAGCGTTCAAAAGTCTTCGTGCCGAGCAACGGGTTCCGAACCCAAAGAAGAGATGAGGACAAAGCAAAGCCGTGACGCGCCGCCGGGGCTCAGTCGTGATGCTGACGGCGTCAGGAACATCCGGAGGCGGAGGCCATCGATTTGGCTAGCTACGGTGCGTAGGAAATGAAGTTAAGTGCGGCGAGGAATGTGGCGGCGGGGAACTACGGGATCAGGGGTCGGGTAAGAAAGGCCAATACTCCCGGCCTTTGCATCCGCTTCCCATTGACATCGATCCCACGGGGGTTCTCACGCAGTACCCCAAAACCAACAAGTCCCTCCCCTTTGCTCGTTCCAAGTCCCAGAGCTTCCGGTCTCTTCGGATATGTTTTGATTTGTCAAGACATAAAATATTATAATACCCCATTATCATCCATTTCACCTCTGCCAAAATGACATCGCTTCGACTCCAAAATAGGTAATGCTAGCCAGAGAACTAGCCTTTTGATTTATTTCTGAAGACGCAACCCAAAAAATACCAAAAAAATCTCAAGTTAAGTACAAGAGAAAGCTAATTTGGAAACATGATAATACCTAAATGATTCCCAGCTTCTCAGCTAGCCAATCCAAAGTCTCAGCCATTAATACATCAACTTTTTGAAATATTGTCTACTACGCTTTTTCAAAAATGCGAATATAGCTTTTGTCGCACGCTTTCCACACTGTTCATTTCACCTTTTGCACTGTGCAATTGAAAAAGAGCATAAAGAGGCAGATTGCACTGTGCGCCGCGAAGAAAAGTTTACGCACTTTTTAAAAAGCGTAGCATTCACTATGATATTATATCTTTCAAAGAAGGACCCAAAATTCGAGGCATGGCAGGGGCCGGGCTTTCAAAATTTTTAAAAGGGCCGGGCCCAGTTTTTCTTCAGTTTTTACGAAGAACGGAGCATTTCAGTATAATTTCAGGCAAATAAAAAAACTAAAATTTAAATTAAAAAAAATTTGGGGCCTGGACCGCGCTTTGAAATTTTTGCAATGTCTAAAATCCTTTCAATCTGTCTCTAGACAACCATTTCAGAATTGCGTCTTTCAGTAAGCTTGATAATGCTGACATTTTGCGCAATCGACGGTTCTCAACTTCCAATAATTGTTTTTATCAATCAATTGTGACACTTCGTCGAAATTAAAAGTCCATAAAATCCGTAATCTTTTCACTTTTTCAGACTCGTAATTTTAATATTACAGATAAAATATTAGTTTGGTTAGCCGGGTTTTGACGCAGTATTTTTTATTGTTTCTTACAAATAATACATAGAACATGAACAAGAATGTCGCGCTGATGTATTTATTGGATATTCCCTGCTATAGCATGCTATATTTAATTTTATCAGATGAATTTAGCAATTTTGAACCTCGCACTTTAATTCTGGTTTTTCAGCGCTCATTCATGTGAAATAAAATAATTCGGAGTTTTCGATAAAATCGGCTGAACGAGTTGAAAAGACCTCAGACGGATTGCCACGTCGATTCGCTCCCCTTGAACAATTTAAATTGTTTTAAACAAAAAATGGCCTTCAAAGAGGGCTCATTGGCCCAGCAGTACTTTGTTATTGTTACGGCCGTTTCATCTTACTGGTAAATAGATTTAAAGTTTTATTGTTTATCTTTTTACTATCATAATTTGTTTAAAAAGCCTTTGTATGTCTTGTTTGATGAGTAATGATGCTTATTTTTTAGGGTTTGCTCGATTGGTCTAGTCTTTTTGAACAAATATTTATTAAGCAGTCCATCGTTAAAGGTATGTGATCCTTGTATATTATACTTGATATTTAGCTTGATGCGCCGCTTTTCGTAACATGGTTTCAAAGTTTAATGACAGTGGTCCTTTGTTATTCATGTTCTTGGATTTCCAAAACGGCTCCTCATTTATTGAAATTCCCTTCGATGACATTCGACCAGAAGATTAGCAGAGATGTTCTTCCTCTATCTTTCATCTTTGTTGGGATGATTACCTTTAACAACCTTTGTCTGAAAAACGTTGGAGTTTCTTTTTATTATGTGGGCAGGTCGTTAACCACCGTGTTCAACGTTGTTTGTTCTTATCTTATCCTGGGGCATACAACTTCAAAGAAAGCACTGCTTTGTTGTTCCATAATTATTGGTGGATTCTTTTTGGGAGTGAATCAAGAAGATGCTGCTGGTAGGGTTGTGATCGAAGAATGTTATATTTTAGGTTCCCTCTCCATCTCCGGTGTTGTTTATGGAGTTCTGGCGTCTCTTTTCGTGGCCTTGAATGCCATCTATACCAAGAAAACTCTAAAGAACGTCGGTGATTCAATCTGGCGATTGACTATGTACAATAATCTGAATGCCTTTTTCATTTTCTTGCCTTTGATGTTGTTCAGCGGAGAATTAGGAGTCGTTCCTTATTTTGAATACATTGGAACCGTGTACTTCTGGGCTATGATGTCCCTATCCGGAGTTTTTGGGTTTGTGATGGGATATGTGACCGGATGGCAGATCCAGGTAGGTATTTTTAGCTTTAATGACTGTCAGTTGTGGTCAGTCATGTTATTACTTTGAGTTTAGGTGACTTCAGCGTTAACGCACAATATTAGTGGCACAGCCAAGGCGGCGGCTCAAACAGTGATGGCTGTCATTATATGGATGGAGGAGAAGCCATTCCTTTGGTGGATCTCCAACATTGTAGTTCTGGTCGGGTCTGGTGCCTACACTTATGTACAAAAGAAAGATTTGGACAAGAACTTCAAAGAAAGACAATCGAGCCAGGCAGATCGGGAATCTCTCCTCTCCCGAGATGATCGACGACAGAATCAGCAGTCTGTGTAGATGTACTGAGGGATGACAACTAGTCCAGTGTGCTCTTTCGCACTTGTCCCCGCCAATTAATATAAATACCCAAAAATCATCGAAACATTTCTTGAAAGAGCTTCTAGGTAGGTGAATGGGAAGCTCATTTGGCTTCGGTTTATTTATTTTATTGTTATGAAGGTAAACTAATAAGGAAAGCGTTATCTCGTGACCAAAGTTAACTGAAAACACCCGTTTTATTTGAGCAATTTGATTGAAAATAATATAAATTTAACCACTGTCTGAGACGGTAGAATGGAGCACCTTTTTCCCGGCCACGGGCATATACGCGACCATGTTCACGAACTTGACCGCTCTGCATCCAGGTTTCTCTTCGAGGTAATGGAAATTGTCGAAATGGATGAAAGGAAGGAAGCGAAGCAGGTATCTCACCCCCTCGTTGATCCTCCGGTTCTGCCAGTAATAAATAAATGGATTGACTATCGAATGGAACATGGCGATGGTATGGGCTGCCCACCAGATGTACAAGATATAAGGATGGGAGGTGATAGTGGGATCGTATGTAACCCAGATATTCATCAGCAGATTCTGGGGCAGCCAGCATCCCGCATATAAGGCGCTGACAAGGAGAACCATTGGAATAAGCTGTAATTTAAACATTAGTATTACAGTAATCTTCTTAAGACCGTTTTTACATAAAAATGGGTACACTCTACATGATAACGCAAAAAATGTAACTTTTTTCATGGTTTAGTTCCAAAAATTAATTCTTAACACTACTACTTAGAAAAAAGTCAAAATCAGAAATAATGAACGTGATTTTTGAAATCTACGCCATCGATTACCCTACTTTTGACCTTTTCGGGCAGACATCAAAATTGACCCTGAAACGGTCCCGTTCGAAAGAAACCGATTTGGCTGCTACTCCCACTTTTTACTACGCTTTCCAACGTGTTAGCTAGCTATTCAACGAGTTCAAATCACCTTTATCTAATTTCTTGAGGTTTGTCAAACGATCAGAGATGACTAAAACTACTGAAAAAAAAACTGATTTTTCCGATCCGAATTTTTGAAATGATTGACTTCAAATCATTCGGAGCCTGACACTTCCTAGCTAAGCATTTTTTCAGTGTCTCAAAAAAATTATCTTATTTTTATAGCTACATTTTACTAGTCCTTCCGGAAAGTCGCCGGACTGATTTTTGGCGTTTGCACTGTGCGAAAAAAGTCAGGGTGCGAGCGACAGCCCAAAAAAGCCTATTGCACTGCGTATATAGCGAACTAACTTTAACAAAATCGACAATAAGTAGTACCAGTAGCATTGTTAATAACATATTCAGCCAGTGTCTTTCGGCGATTCAGAGGTTCAAACGGTGACTTGAAATTTTGCGCTCGGGGCCGCAGATCTCCCGGTGAGAGCCCATTGCGTGCGCGGTTTAATGTTTAGCGAGTGCACAAGCACCAGAACGATGTTTTCCGATGAGGCTCCCGGCACGTCACCCATCGCTAACACCGTCAAAATCCGGGCCCTTATTGTCTGGGGCAGAAGTTGTTCCAGCGGCAAGAATTCCATGGTTTTTGTGGATCAAAGAGTCGAAATTCTAGCGCCGCGACAAGTTCGTTTCCGTCGTACTTCTGTTGGTTAAGTGGCGCTTTGGCAATACAACGTTAACGTTCCAACAAGACTCAGCCCAGCTTACAACGCAAAAACGACACAAGCCAATTTGAAACTCGCTGAATATGTTATTAACAACGCTCTGTTACTGACATTCACTGTTAGTTTGGTTAAATTGTGTTTGTTATATAAAATATAGCTATAAAAATAACATGCTTTTTTAAAATAATCACTCACCTTTTTGACGGAGTCATGTCTTCCTTGCACAACATATCTCGTGCTCTGTGTTCGGTCTGCGCCAGGCACTTTGCTGTTCCACATCCTGAGCCCAATGAAAGTATACGTAATCACCAAAACAAACAACGGCAGGCAGTACTGGAGGGCAAACAGAGCGGATGTGTAACTATGTACAATTTGATCGACATCCCCCAAGGGACTGAGCAGTTCCCATTTCTCCTGACAAGTCTCCACGTCCAACGCAGAGGCCTCGGTCTGAAAATAGCAATTCAAAAGTACTTTGGAAAATATAAAACATGAGCCCGACAGTGAAAATGAAATCAAAATACCTGATTCACAATCAACAAAGGGAGAGCCATCGCCAGGGAGAAGACCCAAGTCCCCAAAATGAGGAAGAAAGCCCTTTTCCGAGTTAAACGGAGCCAAGGGGACATCACAAACATTATGGCCATAAAACGATCGAAGCTGAAACCATTATTAAAGTTATAGTCTGAAAAGAAACAAAAGTTGCCTAATCTACAGATCTCCTTTTATTATTTAACTGGGACACAAAGAAGTAATTTCCTTGCATACCCCAGGATTATTTGACAGTTGTAAGCATTCTTTACCATTATTTCCATTGTAAATAAAAGAGACTACCTGATTACTACCAAGGTCCACGAACTCAAGAAGACGGCACTGGCTTGAAGGAAGTTGAAGATTTTACATAAAAAAGCACCAAATATCCACCTTTGATCCTCAAATATAATCACATGCCAATAACTAAGAGGCATGCAGAAGATGCTGATCATCAAATCAGCAATAGCCAAATTCATAATCAACATGTTGGTGGCGGTGTGGAGACGTCGAAAATAGATAATAACAGCTACAATCAACGAGTTCCCTATAAACGCCATAATCGACAACGTCGTGTACAAAACGACGGCAGTGACTTTGCATGTCGGACACAGATATTGCAACTCCAGAACTTCGGCAGAATCATTCATGGGCCGATTCTGAAAGTGATATTAAGATATTCAAAAAAAATTCAAAGCTAGAGTCTAAAATAAGACATTAAGACGTAATCTGGACGCCGCTTTTCGGCCGTTCCCCCAACAAACCGCCAAAATGGTAGAAAAAAAGTAAAAGTAGAAAAGAATGTTTAACAATTTGTCAAGTCACAAGATGTATGACATCCTGATCGAAAAGAGAGGAGTATTTACATGGCCTGGAGTCCAATGATGGAAGCCATCCGACAATGGGAGAAGCAAAGACATGCTGGATGTAATCAAAGGAAGTAATCATCGCATTCAATGGGATATTTATGGCCGATGATGTCCCGCTCTCGGCCGCCGTGAAAAGTACGGATTAACGCATTTTTTTGGGACTGTAGGAATCCATTGGGCTAATTGCCTTAGGACTCAAGGGCCGAGGATGGGGTGCGGGAGACAAATTAGCGCCGACCTTGATTCAACGGCATAACAAAGGCGCTCAATTACATCACCAAACACAACAACGAACCAAGTTGAGGACTTCCCCCGACTGCGAATTAAACGCCTTTAGAGGAAGAGAATAGCAACCATTTTAATGAACCTAATTCCTATGCCGTTCACGCTCCATAATAATTCTGTTGCAAAGGGACTTGACATTGACAAGTTGGAAGTGCGGGACAGCATTTCCTTTCCAATCCAGACGTGGATTTACTGACGGAGAAAAGAAAGAAATGTCATACGGTCGGTTATGAGGGCATTCAAAGGGAACAAGCAAACATTCAAAACAATAAGTGAAGATAATGTTTACAATGCTTTCATTACAATACTCTCACATCTCGTATAAACGACAAAATCATCTGAAAATAAAAAATCTTTGATCTTTTAAAAGTATCAGCAAAAGATATAGACAAGGAGAATAAGAGTATACACACCAGACTAGAGACCGACTATCATCGAACAATTAGCCCTCAGGTAAAGGGATAAACAGCACTTAATCAATCATAGACTTCGAGAAACTAATGGGCGAACACCGAGGCTGCTCCATGTGATGATGACAGGCGCCGAAGAAAAGGCACCCTCAGGGCTTATGTCTTTTTAGAGGCTCTCATCAATCAGAGTTTCCGGCCCAGTGGACTTAGCGAGGGGACAACTTGGCCCCTCAGCATTGCACCCCTCCTTAATGAACTTGAAAGCCGAATTTATTCAAAAAAAAGAATGCCGCATTCTCCTGAGGTCATGTTTAATTCATTATAAGGCTACGGAAAGTTTGGACAAAAGAATGGCCAGATTACCGTGAAAATGTGACATAATCGGGAGAATTCCTAGCCCGGGAATACCCGGAATAGTGTCACCTCTGCCTCTCAACCAAACTACAGTAACCCACAGATGGATTGGACCTACTCAAACAGACAACTCCGTCAAAACCATACAAGAGCCCATTTACCAGCAGATCAAACCACCCAAAAATAATGGAATGTTTTAAACGAACGAGTACGTAAAATGAAACTCTGGCCAGAACATAGCCGGCCAATTTAAGAGATGGGTATGCACAAGGGTGCAGCAAATTTCATCAAATTAAATTGGTAAAGCCCTCGAGGGCTCTTCGCCCTCTTGTCAACCCTTCCGCATCTTATCACTTGGCCCTTTGAACAACCAATCTAATCCAATAGTTCGGCCGTACTTAAATACTTGAAACCTTTTCGATTAATACAGTCCTTGCGGTTATATATAAATATATCCGTACAAAAAACTTCCGCTTACATTATACCATTTTGCCAAAAATTAGAAGTTTAAATTTTCTGGTCAACTACAAAAAAACCGACTTATAAATTGTCCGGAAGTACACAATACGGTGATTTTTCGGCCGGATTCGAGAGAGCACGCTAAATGTGGAGAGCGGTCAGAGAGAAAACCGCTTTTTGGCCATAACTTTGGCAGTTTCGAGCGGAAAAATTTGATTTTTTGTAGAAACATTATCCTGTACGGTTGAAATAGGCATGAAACTTTTCGAGCCGAAATTCGGCAAAAAGTCCTAAATTTTGGCCGACTTTTGATCTAAAAATCTCGGTTGTTTCTGCAAAGCGCGAGCTAGAATTCTCGCATATATCTTAGAAAAAATTATTCTAAATTCGTGCCAAGTTTCATCAAAATCTGAGCGTCGCAGTTGGGGAGTACTTCCCCTGTTAGCTGCATTTTTTGATGTGGCCCCCGAGTGCAAAATTTAAAGAAAATCTCGCCTTGGGGTATTTCTCTTGAATTTCTGTTGTTGCTAATTTTTACTGCATGCTAAAAAAAAGGTATAACATACTTGTTGTTAAACAAAATGAGAGCCAGGGCACCCACGAAAAGAATTTTAAAATTTGGCCAAAAACCTAAAAAAACTTATTGCCAATTCAAACCCGGCCGAAAAATTGCCGCACCCGGTATATGAGCGGCGAATGAAAGTATTTTATTGGCCAACGAATTTTCAAATAAAGTAACAACCAACAAAGTTAACAATGAAAACAAGAAAAACAGTGAAAATTTGGGGTACAACAATTGATTAAAAGAGTATTACTTATTCCTCATCGGCATTTTTCTTCTTCTTCTTGGCTCTGTATTCAGCCACCACCACAGCGTGATCGCGCTCGTATGGCTCGAGAGTACACTGTTCTCGAGGAGTGAAATGTTCCTTTCTCAGTTTATCGATTTCTCCGGCGAATACAGCTTCGGGTTCGGCAGTAGAATCAATACAGTTTGCCTTGATGGAGATGACACAATGCCCTCCATTTCTCAAAAATTTGTGCGCGTTCAGTGCAACAATACGAGCTTGATCTGGCTGAGCGACGTCCGAAAAGATCACATCAACAATTCCAACGATCATAGAGTATTTTTGTGGCAGACGAGCATCATCAACGATAGGAACAATATTTGGTCGCTTTTTAGCAACCCCCAAGAGATCACGGCCAGATCTGTGAGAGAACTCGACAGCATAAACGATACCTTCCTAAAACGGATATAATAAACGGTTAAAAAAGGCAAATTCAATCGAGCAAATCAACCTACCGGTCCAACAATATCAGAAACGTGGGAAACAGTAGTACCCGAAGCAGCTCCCAAGTACAGAACTCTGGCCCCCGGCTTTATGTGGATATTTTCTGTCCCGGCCAAGATCGCGGCTCCCAACTTTGATCGGAAAGGATTCCAGGCACGGTATTCGACCTGTTCACCATCGCTTCCAGGCACCGAGACTCTCTTCTCGCCGTACACGGAATCCCCAGGACAGAAGTTCTTGGTGGCCAAAGTATCTTCCTTTCCTCTCAGCAAGAAAACGCCTAAAAAATACAAAGAAGAACCGAAAACTTACCTTCGAAACGGTGGGGTTCGACGACAACTTGTTTGCCTCCTTTCATCCCTCCGGGACCTCCTCCACGGCCTCCCCCGCGAGGTCCACCACGTCCTCTACCTCCAGGGCTTTTTCCTCGGAATCCTCCGCCGCCTCCACGACCACCGAAACTGCGATCACCACCACCGAAGCTTCTGTCGCCACCACCAAAGCTCCTGTCGCCACCACCAAAGCTCCTGTCGCCTCCACCTCCACGACCTCCAAAGCCTCCGCCGCGACCTCCACGACCGCCTCCAAATCCACCTCGGCCACCAACTCCTCCACGGACCCCGCCGCCTCGGCCACCACGGAAGCCCCCTAAAATAGAAATATATAGTTGCATTTACTAAACAGCAAAATCTGTTATCAAACAACGTCTGAACAACATACCGCCGCCGCCACCTCTGTTTCCGAAGTCACGTCCCATTATATTTGTGATCGAGGTAATCCAAAAGATCTAAAACAATGTAAAACTTTATGTGACAAAGATGTGAAGAAAAACTAGGCAAAAAGACGCGCACGCGTAAAACTTGCAGAAAATGGAAAAGCGTCGCCTATTTTTTAGAAATATTCACAATGCCAAGGAATTTGGACAGTAAACGAACGCTAACAATCTTTCGTTATGGGAGCTATAAGAATAAATTTTAACCAATTATTCGACTTGCTATAACAAGTCGAATAATTTGTAAAATATTCAGTGGGAAACGTCGAGATTCATTAACTTTCAATCAAGGTCATGAATGTATTATCTGCCAACACTTTATAATAAAAAAATACGCATCATATTCAATTTATTCAATCTAATCACATGTTTTTGGAGTGTATCAGCCGGGAATTACGCGGTCTCAATACTTGATTACTAAATTTAGCTATCCAAGTTGTGGCTAAAGATATAAGGCTTAATTAGCCAAGTTTCATTATTGTGTACACCCTTCTTAAAATTCGTTTCAAAAATGTGGATTAATTTCGACAGATCTTTAATTTTGATACATTGGAAAAAAACTGAAGTCTCCATAGCAACGATTGTCGTCGGAGGCATCTTCATACTATAAATTTATCCATCAGACATAAACTCGCATCGTGTTTGACGCGCTGGTGCTGACGTTACAAACTTGCAGTCTTCTTTAATACCAGCGTACGCGTCCTTATATAGTATATCTTCGGCATCATTCTACAGCAGAAATACAAATTATTCGTAAGGATCTACCTCATTCTCTCAATTGTATTTCAAATGGCTAGTTTTACAAATTTTTCTGGTCGAAGTATGGATTCGGGTCAACCGAGATCGGCACGGCCTTATGTCCCCTCCAGTCTGTGCGGAGATGTGGAATCTATGATGATTGACATGGTGCTGACAGAGATTCAAAATCAAATCGGAAGGATTGAAGATGAACAGGTTAGTAGCAAACATTCTACATAATCATTCCTTTCATAGGAACAGAAACGACAAGAGAGCTTAAGGGAGACCCAATCTCCAGATTACTCTTGGCTGATGGATTGGAAGTTGAAGAACAAGAAGGTTCTCAACTTCAGGGTATGTCAGTTCTATCGTTTGAAACTCGTTTCAGGAATGTTCAGCGGTTGAGTTGTTATGCCAGAAAATCAAACCGAATGAATGGAGTCTTTTGATCCGCACCTTCAGATCCAAGGTCAGATACGTGGACTCGAGAGACGGAGTCATCGAAGTCTTCAGAGGAACTGTGGATGAGGTTAGGCAACAAAGAGGAGACAATGTGTCGATGATGAATGTGGATGAGACTGAAGACGAGGTGAGTGTGGATGCTTTTGAGTAATTGCAAGGCTCCAGACATGGAGATCGGATCCCATCCAGCATCGGAGTTTGTCGGTCGTCGAACTTTCATCGCCTCGAGGATCGCCCAAAAGCTTCAGCGGAATGGAAAACGTCGTTTGACGTTGCACCTTGGAGAGACAATACACTACACACGGTTCTACTGACTTCAAACTGAAGGTTCATCCTTTAAGTCGACAATAATCACACAGAATTTTACTTATGGCCAGTTTACAATACAAAGGGCAACCCGGTTATAAATTCAAGTAATAAAAGTTTAAAAACTATGACTATTTCAAACTGATCAAGGCACATTAAAGCAAGGACTGTATACACACTTATCCTAGATAAGTTTTACGGCTTATAGGTTAGCTGAAGAGGTTCTGGAGCAAGCAGAATTTGATATTAGACTGTCTCGGTATTTTCCATGGTCCCATATTTCTTTGTTTCGGGCGATGGAGGTGCTTTTTTCTCCTCCGTTCGACTTTCTGCAGAAGGCATTTCGAGTACAATGGGCTCGTCTGACCTCTGAGGTTGAACAAAAACTGGTTCCGAAGTCGCATTGGGAGTCGTAGAATCAGTGTCAAACTAAATAAGTAAATTTAAAATCGAGAGCTTGCTGAATACTTACCTCTCCCTCTGGACGGTCAGGACGAAATTTGCCGCAACAAAAATTACTAAAAGTACATACGATGATGCTTTAATTCGCTAATTAACTCACCAGAAACAACAACAGAAGCAACAACAGCAGCCACACCCACAAGTTAAGATAGCGACTCCAAGAACGAGCCATTTCATCCACGGATTCAGCGCGTATTTCATGGTCTCTTCGCCCACTTGATCCATCAGCTTGAGTCCCATATCTCCATACTGGTCATATACTTTTCGTTTCGAAGGATTCGACAATATCGAATTTGCATGATTGACTTCCTTGAACTAAAACTTGGATACCATAAAACCAGAAGATACTCACTTTCTCAGTCTTCTCCGGATCTCCATCTCGATTTTTGTCTGGATGATATTGAAGCGCAAGTTTCCGATACGCCTTCTTGATCTGTTCGTCGGTCGCTTCTTTTCGGACTCCCAAAATTTCATACAAATCCTTGGGCTTGGCCAATCTGAAAAAAAGTTTGGAAAAAACTCAAAAAAAAATTCAAAAAATAGAAACAAGACAACTTACGGTTCATCAGCTGCAAAATCAGGCATTTAGCAACCTGGGGTCGGAAGGGAGCAAATCCCCGATCCCTGACTCACAAACTAAAACGAGCAAAAATTCCCAGAATTTTTTATCTAAACCAAAAACAAACGCTGGGCGCAAAAGAAAAAAAAAATATATTCTCGTCACAAACGATTGTGGAAGATAACAGAGGTAAAGGTTACAAGCATTTACTGGTATAAATTATATAAGGTGAAATAATGCTAGATTCACTCATCATCTGAAAAAGTTGAGATTAGAAATGTTGTAAACATGATCCCATGACGTCATTATTTCAGACAAATTTCTTTCTTCAATTCAGTAAACACTAGTTAAACCCTTACCGTCGAGAATTCTTTTCTTCACCTTAATTGGTACTTCTTCTTCTTCATCATCCGAGTCAATTACACGTTTCCTTCCCCGATAGTGTTTCTGATGCTTTTCTTCGTCGAAATTATCATCTGAATCAGAAAGTATTTGAATTTGTCCACTTGTTTGCTCAGTCTCCACATCCCCCTCTTGCTCAGAATCATTTCCAGTATCATCTAACTCAAAAGGTTTGAACGGTTCCAATTCCCTGCCTAATCTCCGTGTTCCATTTCCTTCCTGCTCATTATCTTCTGACAATTCTATTCGTTTCTCTGTGTTCTCTGAAGCGAATTTTGGATTTCCCTCATCAACTTTTTGCTCGTTGTCCTTAATAAAAGACGGGCCCAATAAATCATCGTCATCCAAATAATTTTCGCCGCCTGATTCAGATGCTGTTGATGGGGAATCCTCACCATCCGATGGGTGTTCATCTAATTGTTTATTCTCGGCATCAGTTTCCTCATCTTCATACTTATCCTTTACTCTCCTCTTCTTAGCCGGTTTCTTTGTCTTGTTCTTTGGAATCACCAAACCAAGTTCTTTGAGATGCCTTTTAACTTGTTTTGGATACCGTTCTTTGGAGAGATTTGAAACGATGAAATCAACAACACTGATTCCTAAATTTCTGTCAACACTAACGGGCATATAATTACCTTCTGGTTTCTCTTCCAATTCCTCATAATCCTTGTATAACTGCTTTAACTCTTCCTCCAATGCTTCTGGCCATGTTCCACCATGTGGGTTTTTCTTGTTTTTTGCACTGTAACAGAACATTTATAAGACAAAGTTCAACAAACCACTTACTCATACTCGCCGTACCCTTCTTGGATTTCAAAGGCTTCCTTTGCATTCTTAAAGAACAGCAATTCTGCAACCAAACGCTCTCCTCGTTGTTCTAGGTGTTTAAGGAAATGCTTTATAAGGAAAAATCCAAATTGAAATAACTCGTAATGCCTGTGTACCTTCCACTGATCTCTCGGGAGACCTTCAAAGTTCTTGTTAACATCCAAGAGAACATTAAACAGAGAAGCCTAAACAAATAGAGACCGTATTTATGACACCTACCAAATATAACCTTGGGTGGCATCCCTGATCAAACGCGATTCTATGTAGCATTTTGAGGCATGCCTTGTTGATGGAATCTGTGTTTATTTCGAAATGTCGTAGGAGGTAGATATACCTGCAACAAAATAAAATTTTTAAGTAATCATCTTACCAATAAAGGACATCAGGCTTGGCAAAACTAATAACAAAGTCGCTTAATTCGAAAGGTATTTGGACGGTTTCGTATTCTGAGTCATCGACCTTCTGATCTTCATGATCGCTCGCCGAAGGGCCGACTCCGTCTTCTTCGGACACCGTCTTGTAAACTTTCTGTCTTTCCTCGAAATATTTTTTGGCCTCTTCGGACAGATCGACATTGAATATTTCCAAAATATTCTCCATTAACTCTTCCGTAGACGCACACTTGGATCCAAAAGCACTGTCAGGCCATAGGTCTCTTGATGCGTTAAAAAGAGCCACAGCATCTAATATGCGTCGCTCTCTTAATGCACTCTGAACCTGGCATAAAGCAAAAGTCCTAAAGAAAATAAAAATTGAAATAATAAACAATCCCTCACTGATGGGTCTCATCGTCAACGTTTAAAGCAATATCAATAGGTATCAGCCCTTCAGTAGGCTGAATATCTCCACGCAAACACTCATAGAGCTCTTCCTTCAAGGCATCCCATGTTCCCTTTAGTTCTTCTTGCTCAGGTTGAACATATTCGAACTGCTCAGACGTATGGACATCCTGATTATTCTTATTTTTTCTAGCCTTCTTCGCGGGTTTTTTCTTCTTTTTCTTCTCGATTGTCACCAATTGGCCTTTTTTGTAACGTTTCTCCATGACAGCCAAAAAATAATGCGTTCCCATGATTACGTCTTCCAGCAGTTTTTTGGTCATATTTTGGGGCTAATATACAAATAAACAAAATTTTGCAAGACAACAAATACCTTCAGTTCTCCAAGAATATGGAAGCAGAACAGTCGATAGTCATCCTGGTCATATATCTGTGTACAAATCTCATCAAAAGAATCGTTTTCCTTTTCATCGGTAGAGATCGCATATAACCTAAAAGCCAACAAAATACAACCAAAAGTGCACTTACAAATGACATACTTCCTTAAAAGTAGAAAGCGAATATTGAGCCCTCAGAACGTAGAGTTTGATATTTGATTTGTCCGTTTTGAAAAAATCGAAATAAGTCATCGTTTGAGAAACAATATGATTAAAGAAATTAATCGAAAGAACGAAAGATACCTAAAAAAATAATAAATGTATGAAAAAAGCATACGTTCTCTAAGGGTAATCGTGCCAAACGCATAAATTCGAGAACAAATGTAGCCAGCGAGAAGTAGTTTACGTCATTGTAGACATACAATCCTTGACGATTTTCTGAAAATGCCTAAAGACTGTAGTAAAAAAAGATTCTTACTGAATCTCTGGTCGAGTCCATCAGTTTGTCGAAACCATTGCTAATCAAAGAGATACAGTATCCTCGCACCCTCAAAGCCAGTTCTTTGGATATTGTAGAGTTCTCTTTGAAAACTGATTCCATAAAATTCTTGACCAAATATCTTTTTCCGGGGCCCTTCGCATGTTTCCGCCGTTTTATAATTTCCAAGGGATCATCGGAAATAGGTCTAAACAAATCTTTTTTTTTGTTAAACCTTACTTTTGTACGAGTAAGTCATTTTCAGAGTTGAGCGCTGCGTTTTTGATTACATAATTACTTCCTAATTGTCGGGTTTGAAGGCTTCTTCTGGAATCAATCAAATATTTGGATTAGGACGATAGAGTTACCTTTTCAGTGCAATTTTGTTGACCTCGTGATCCAACCTGGCCTTTAAAACATTGTCAGCCTCCGTTTTCCTTGTACCTTCTTCCGATCCAATGCAAGCAATGCTTTCACAGGGCTATAATTCCATACAATCCTAGTCTTAAAGACTTACAAAGCTTCGGAACAATAAAGAAATAATGGCTAATATATGCACGGCAAGCTCTCTCTCCATCTTATTTCTAGCTATCGAGAAAAGAGTATCACCAACTCCTGACTTCAGGAAAGCGTCTATCATTTGACGTTTGGAGTTTACATTGACCGAAGAGATCTAAAAACAAATAAATATTTTATAATATCCCCACCTCGGCGCATTTTGGTCCTTCCATTCCAATCGAAAAAGCATATCTTATTAGCATTACAGTTCTGTCAATTAAAATCTTGTCGACTTCTCTGCGATCGACAAGTTCCTAAGACGAAATTTTATTTAATCAGTTAAAACTTACCGCATCGTAAAATGTTTTTATTTTGATATTAAGCTTCCGAAACAATTTCTCCGAGCAAAACGCTCCAAGGTTATTAATTAGATTGGCATCAATATCATAATATACTTGAACTTCTTCTTCAGTTTCGGGAATTTGAAAACGAAAAACTGATAATGCAGGCTGGCATAAATTTAGGGACAACCTAAACAAATAATGAAATAGATCTAAAACTAACCTCAAAACAAGCCCGAAATCATCATCACTGCAGTCATCGTTAGCCATGAAAGGAAGGAGGTCATTTTTCAAGATATTTTTTGATAAACACATTCTTCTAGCCAGGTGATCATTTCCATCATTGTGCAAAAATCGGATCAAATCATGGATTCCAGCTGTAAACAACAGTTATTACACGAAAAAAATCAAAACTTACCAATGAAATCAGGTTCCGGTTGATAAATATCTTTGTCCAAAAACCCTAGAGAACTTATTGTAGCCGATATCACGGTCTCTGACATTATATACTAATCACTCACTGGTCTTATTCAAATTATAAGCCAGGAAATCAATTATTATTTCGGTAATAATAAATTAGTTATTATTCTTCTCTCGATATCGAGAGAAAATTTTAGAAAACCCACAATTTTAGAAAATTAATAAAACGCCAAACCGCCACTTGACGTTCAGGAGTTTGCGTGGTGGAACCAAGAAAAAAAATCTCGTAGGAAGTAGAATTTTTTTGCTCTCTGGATAAAAATTTGTCTTTATTTCAATCTTGGTACCGAAACAAACGGAAATGTTTTTCTATAGATGACCTCTAATAAGTTCACTTGTAGCTGCAAAAATTCATGCTTTGTAGATTTGTCGCGAAATTTTACCTGTTTGTCGGTATTATGTAGTGAGCACTCTGTCGCATCGAGAATCGCATCGCCGCCGAGAAAATGAATTGGCAAAGTCAAATTGATTTTCACTTTAGCGGCGCAATTTGCTGCAGCGACATTGCGCTCGTTATTTTCCCGACAGGCTGACTTTCATTGTAGCTTTAACAGATCGTGTGAATAAGTTTTCAGTTTCATTTCAGGCTCTGACAATGTTGCGTCAAGGGCTGAGCCTTGCGTCCACCACCGGCAGCCTTGTCCAATGTGAGAGGGGTTTTGCCACCCTCAAGGACATTTCCATCCGTCTGAAGTCGGTCAAGAACATTCAAAAGATCACAAAGTCTATGAAGATGGTGGCTGCAGCTAAATATGCCAAGGCCGAGCGTGATCTTAAGGGTGCTCGGTCTTATGGTCAAGGTGCTCAAGCGTTCTTTGATAACTTGGAACTTACTAATGCTGAGGAGACTGCTCCGAAGCCAGGAACCAAAAAACTTCTGGTCTTGATCACCTCCGACAGAGGTCTCTGTGGAGCTGTTCACTCTTCCATCATTAAGGTTAGTTTTCTTATGAGTTTTTGCTTTTAATTCTAGGTGGGTATGAATTTCGAATATTTTTAGGAGACAAAGCATATCTTTGCTAATAAGCCAGCTGACGTCGAGTATAAAATTGTTGCTATTGGTGATAAGGCCAAGATTGGTCTTCAACGGCTTGTTGGAAATTCTTTCCTTTTCTCCGGAAATGAAATCGGCAGAGCTCCACCAACTTTTGAAGATGCTTCCATCGCTGCCAATGCCATCCTTAACTCTGGATATGAGTTCAACGATGGAGCTATCATCTACAATTTCTTCAAGACTGTTGTGTCTTATGAGACCAAGGTTCTTCCTTTGGTTCCCATTGAGACCATCCGAGCCAACGAGAACTTGAATGTCTATGATTCAGTGGATGATGATGTTCTCAAGAGTTACACCGAGTACTCATTGGCCCAATTGATCTACTATGCTATGAAAGAGAGCGCAACTAGCGAACAGGCTAGCAGAATGACAGCTATGGATGGTGCCAGCAAGAACGCCGGTAAGATTTTTTAGCTATTACAATTTTGTGTTCTCCGACTGCTTTTCATACAATGTTTTTTAGGTGAGATGATTGACAAGCTGACTCTCCAATTCAACAGAACTCGCCAGGCTGTTATTACTAGAGAATTAATTGAGATCATCTCTGGAGCTGCTGCCGTCTAAGGCGTCTAATCATTAGTTGATATTGTTCATTAGATTGAGTAAATCGAGGATCTTAATTTTTGACGGTTGGTAGTTGTTAGAGTAAGGTCGAAGCCAGCGTCGCAACTGTATTTTGAGTAGTAATTAAGGTTTGTTATAACTCATTAAGATGGAAAACCCATCGGAACTTTCCAATGAGATTGCTAAAATGGAGGAGGCGGCCAGAATATTGATGGGAGAAAACTCGCCGCTGCATCAGAGACGAGAAGCCGAGAGTTATTTTGTCCAAATGAAGGAAGCCGGCTTAGATCCTAATATATGCAGAGTTATCTTAGGTAAGTGTCGCAGATTGTTTGACCTATGCTTGGTAGAAACGACAAGAGAACCGGTTGTCATGTTTCAAATTGCCCAATGTTTATGCTCTTCATTGGTCAAGAATTTTGTTACCTCGAATAAACAGGATTTGATAAACATATGCACTTATATGCTCGAAATGCCTTTAAAATCAAATCAGTAAGTCGCTCTGTTAATGAATGCCAAGATTAAGGCTGCCTGGATATGTCGTAGCAGAGGTGTTGAAGGTGGCGGCCACGTTAGTCAAAAGGGGAATCATCGCAAGTGATCCGTGGGATGTCGAGTTTGTTTTAGAATTTATCAGCAAACTTCTGGACAGCGAGGAAGAAAATATGGTTAGTACGAATTCTCAATCGTTATGAAGTGTTTGATTTAGCAAGCACTTGGGCTCCGCGTTGTTGAAGCCATATCCATCGAATTCTCAACCATGTGGAGAGCTTCTTCGAATATGGGATTTGATTTCCATCACAAGGCAAAGAGAAAGTTTGAGGTATGTTAATTCATTTGCCTATTTAGTTTTTTCTTTAGGAGATCATGCTTAAGAGGTTTATGCAAATGTCCCTATCTGCCTTGTCGAGGATTATTTCCAGTTCGTCATCAGTAAACGAACGGGTTTGCGATCGGTTTCTGAAAGTTGCCGTGATTGTACTACAATGGAATTTTACAACGAGTATTAAAACAGCGTTTCTCAAAGTTAACCTGTACTCCATGAACTCTGCTGTGGCTCTCCGACCACCTCCTTCTTGGGCCGATCTATTCACAAATGATGACCTTTTGCCATTCTTCTTTGGACTTCATAAGAAAGTACGGCATAATTCCCAGCTAGCCGAGAATTCCTTGTCCTGCATTACTCAACTAGCTGCCGTCATGGGAAGTTGTTTAGACAACAGATCCAAGGAGAAAGTGGCCGGAGTTCCTCAACCCCATGACTTATATGTTCAAAGGTTTTGCAGCAATCTTATAGAAACATTCCAGGAGTAAGTTATTTACTTATGATTGTACACCGCTGGTTTAATTTGGACTGGTCTGAAACTCAAAAACGGGTCTTCAACAAGTTTTTTGTACTGTCGCAAAATACTGATTTGTGGCACAAAAATTTGCATTGCTTTATCACTTTGCATTTTCACAACTATGCTTGAGGGAGAAGCTTCATTCGGTTTAAATTAGCTTTAGCGTCAGCACTGTTCATTATATGTTTTATCGGGGAATGTAATGAAGTATGTATTTTTTCATGAAAATATTTGCATCGCTGGGGGATTTACGATTTTGTTTTTGCATAAAATGTATGCGATGTATCCGGGTATGCCAGACCGAATGAAGGCTGAATATGAAAAGAAAAATATGAACAATATGAAAACTGGGTTTCCGTTTTTTTACTGCCCGGGGTCATTTGGCAACTTTTTGAACTTTTTTCGACTTTATGTTACGTAATCTTATACACCTCTATATTTTTCGAAATTTCGTCTAGACAGACCAAAATTTGCTAAATTATATATTCATTCAGCATCTCGGTTCATATTCAGTCAGGCAACCTATAATTGTCTTCTCTTAGTTGTTTCCCATATGAGGTGCTTCCGTTTACAACGTCGCTTCATCGGATCTTTAGTCATCACCCAATGCCAATCTTTAAGAGATTTCCCGATGACCTGATGGGAAGCTTTGTTAATTTCATTGTGTATTGGTGTGGACAACTGGCTCAACCATCTATGATGGAGGTAACTGCTTTTAAAAGATACGCTTTGGTTTTTTATCGCATATCTTTTTGTTTTTTGCAGCAGAAAGATGACGAAAGTGTCTTGGTTGAGGCGTATACTCATTGTTTGACATGCTGGGGCATTCTTCTTCGATCTTGTCCAACATTTCCTAAGGCATCGCATGATTTGATTGAAGCTGAAAATTCCAAAGTGATTGAGTCGTTCCTCAAAGCAATCCTGGCTCCGCCTTTTGGATCTAGAAGTATTTCGGACGACGACGCTGCTGATATGGAGGATGAGGAGTTGGACGACACACAGTATTACAGTATTATTCTCAACAATGTCGGCGTCTTCTGTCGTCTTTCTATTGATAGTTTCTCTGAGTTTGTGATTAGGTATGTCTGCATTTCTGCAATGATGTCGTTTTAAGGGTGTTTCATGAGCGTATCCAACAACGAACTTTAATCATGTCTGGCCAGATATCAGAGCAGGAGAGAATTTTATGGCTGGAGGATATTCATTGGATTTTGTTAATGGTCGGTATGTTAAACTCGTTAAAATTGTATGGTCGATTTAGGCTCTTTCTTCCATGACTCTGACCGTGAGATCTATATGTACCTCGAACGTGGATACTCCTCCAAGAAGTTTCAGCTACTGGATATGGCTACGTTTATTCTACAATGCGCTTCCAGTGATGAGTTCCAACCACCCGAATCTACAGATAATATCTCTATGTAAGGCATACACACCATTTTTATAAATTTTTAGAATCATCGGTCTGGTATGTCACTGGTTTGGCATCGCTTATAGATCTCTGGACACCGAAGGAGACAAGAGTAGAATTGTTAGTGCTGAACTGTATCGCACCAGTTTCCTAACCTTCTCCGTCCTAATTAATTTTCTGACTAACCTTAACGATGAAACTCCATCTCAATTCTTCGAGGACGCTGATCCGAATTCGTCTGCTCCGATGCCTGTTCTTCCATCGAATGGAGAGTTTTCAGTTCAACTTATCGACTTTATCATAAAGCAAATTTTTACTGCCTTCAAAACCTTCCCAGCCGAGAAAAAGTGAGGATAATTAACAGAAGGGATAACTGCAAAAATGGGTGATGCGCGGTTGGGTGGCGAGTTCCGGTGATCCGGCCTTTGGGTGTTGCGTATTTGGGTGGCTCGCGTACAGTAGAATATGGTTGTGTTTCAAAATCTAGGGGCAATTTCCAAAATAACGTTAAAAATCGGGGAAGGAGTTATGAACCCCATTACCACTTGCCTGGGTCAAATACGCCACTGATAACCAACGAAATTGTTACCTCTGTTTAGACTATGCAACGCGGCCGTCGGTCTCCTTCTGCAAGAATCGGAAAAAAGGGCCGAATTCATTGCGAAGAGTCCTCTGCTTTATGAATTGATATCCACCATCACGTTAGAACGTCTTCCAGCAAGGAGGAATTTCATGACCTGTCTGGTTACCATTGGATCCAATGTAAACTCTACTCGAGAACGAGAGCAAATGCATGATATGGTAACGAGTATAAAAGAGTTCACTTTAATCCTGGTCTTTTAAGATACTTAAACCAATGGCAGCCCGATTTATGGAGGCGTCGCAGCAGTATTTCGCTGGAAACATGAACATCATACCTCATCTTGTTGATCTGCTTGAATGCTTTAGTGGCATTGCAAGAGCTGCTCAGATTGAAAGTGGTTCTATTCTCTATGGTATGCTATCGTATGAATATAAAGAGTTTTAGAGTTTCTATTACCAATATTAAGAGTGTCTTGCAATATGATAAGGATTGCCGTTGACTCGCAACTATTGGTCGAAGCTATCCTCGATGTTTTCCACAAGGTTGCCACTACTGTCTTTGTTTTTATGGATCTCAAGAATAACGGAAGTGAAGAAGAAAACAGCTTTATCATGTTGTTGATGGAATTATTGGACAACTATAAGGAAAGCCAGATGAGAAGATTCAACAGAGGGCGGGCATTTGCTGATCTAGAGCAGGAGGAACAGATTGCAGACTTAGTAATGCTTCTGAAGATTATTTCAAACACGATTTCTAAGCCTTACATTATGTACGGTTCCCCCAGTGACGTGTCGGACCATTTATCATTGCCTTTATGTCAGAAAAGTGGGTTTTAGTTAAGGATCGTAATGAAATTTATTTAGCTCTGAACATGATGTTGCCTTTGATGTGCGAAGACTGTTTGCAATTACCCTCTTTAAGCGGTGCTTTCTTCCGCCTTCTGCAGCACATCACGGAATGTTGCCCAACGGTGTTCTTGTCTCTCGATGAGCTGAATGTAAATCAATTGTTCGTCTGCTTCTCGTGGGCATTAAGTGGAGCTGCCTCAACTGAACCTACTAGGTTGACCCTCGACTGTATTGCAACCATAACTAAGACGCTGTCCAACAGCACAGATACAGCAAACGGAGGTTTTACCGTAAGGATGTTCAAGGATCTATGTGGGGTAAATATTGCTTTTTCTCAAAGTAAACAATGGAAAACATTATATAGCATTTTAATACTTGCAGAAAAGCTTTGAAATGGCTGTTCACTCGACAGCCGAAGTGGAACTTCACGGCAGTGCAATTAAAGCGGTGTTCGGGTTCATCGCTCTTAATAAGGTAAGGCTCCGTCTGATGTAGTATAATTTTGTGTTTAGAGCTTCTTCATGGAATATGTAAACTCGGTTATATCTCGCCCAGAGAATGAAGCTAAGCGGGAGTTTGCGGTAAAAGCTTTTATGGATCTGATCCCTCAGAGCGAGAGTCTTAATACCCGGCAAGAATATAAAGCCTTTAGCGACCGATTCGAAAAGTTCTTGGAGATAGCCGACACACTCATCATCTAGAGGTATTCAACTGTAAGCGGGGTTTTAAGGTTCGTGATCAATTGCCAATAATTTATTCTCATAATATTGTTATTTGATACGCTTTACACGAGCCTTGTATTATATAAACTTATTTGTTTTTAACTCCGATAATAACTGGGTTACCTTATGTTTGGTGTCTTCCGGGCTAGTTACAGTATGGCCAATAGTACGCTTGTCTTCGTAGATCTCATAATCATTCCCACCCTAAAACGTCGAACTATAATTCACTCAGATATAATTACCGGAGCAGTTTTGTCGCCAAAAAAGTGTATGCGTTCGTATTTTCTTTCCAAATATTGCAAACAGAAAGTTTTATCCCATCCATTAGGGAAGATGTCAATGCTTATCTGACCACCAATTGAAAACGTCAGACCATAATCACTGAATCTCTCCTTCAATACTTTGACAAAATCAGCTCTGATCCCATGAACGAGGTCGTATCTATTGAACTCCTCACGTTCTTCTTGAGAGCAATTCCGACCGATCGGAGAAACATTAAGCATACCCTGCCATACAACTTTAGTCAGATCGGAACTTACTTTTCGATACTCGACAAAAGTTCCTCGTTTGATCGGGATCTTTAATTTCGCGATATAATCAAGGCAGAAGTTGACCACATCCTGAAGTTTTTCCTCACCGAGCTTGTCTCTTATTGACTAAAACGGTTTAAACAAAAGCCAGATAAGTTACCATTGTTGGTAGCTGCTCAGCCCCTTTGAACCCAACTAACCCATTTTCGGTGAAAATATAACTTAGTTCAGTTTTCAGTAGTTCAAGATCTGAACCGAGTTGCTCCACGACTTTGTTCAGATCGGATCCTCCAACCACTCCAATGTCCACAGTCTTACCCACGCCGACTAAGAAGTCCTTGAGATCCGTTGAAATATTCTGAACACTAATTTTATACTTCCTGGTGTTCTCACCTGTCTAGGCTTTGTCAAAGTCCCATCGACGTCAAATAAGAGTATGGTAGACATGATAGAGTCCCCTCAAAGTTGAAGCGCCTTTTAAATAAAAAAAAATACACGTGGCAAACACCTCTGAATCCATAACACACGTCGCCTCCCCCGATAAGTAAATTGCAGTAGAATGGACCTCTTTACAACAACAATTCGACTTAAAAATAAGTTTATTTACAAAATTAATTCAACTTTAAATCACGAGCTTTTTCGGATAGAAATTTTAGAGTAATCACATCTTCCATGCACCCTTCAATCTTAACGGATCCATTTAGATAAGCGGTTAAAGGGCTGAGATCACCAGTTATGAGATCATTGAGAGTTTGTAAAGCAAGACTAATAGTAACGTGAGGATTAAAATGCTGGCTGGCATTAACAGAGATACTGCCAGCACCATGACACAGATCCAATTCAGCAATCTCGACAGACCCACTACAATCACATACTATTCTGTAGCGCCTTCCCACTTTTGACACCAGACTGCTATCACAACACATTGAGATTTTAGAGATTATTCGATTAAAACCTGGGTTTGTATTTGAAGGACCGGCCTTCGGAAGACACTGCGGCGTCATATTAAATGTATCATTCAAAGGCGGCTGCGGCTGAAAACCTGAGAGCAGATCCTGTCCTAATGTTTCTTTCACGGCTTCTCCAATCATCCCAAACATTTGTTTCCCGGCATCACTTTTCATAATCTGATGGAATGTATTCAATGTCGTGTTATCTGGCTCCTTAACCACCTTCGCGTCTAATACCTTCAGATCTGACATAACGATTCCGGTGTCAACAACAAACTTTTTTAAAGTATCATTTACGTACTCCAGAATACGATCCAAACTTCTAGAATTTGCAATATCAGCCACTGTACTCTTTGACACCTTATTGTGTAACGTTGTTTGCGCAATATCTTTGATCGCCTAAACATTAAAAAGCTAACCGTAAACGAATGAAACTCACGTCATCTTTATCTTTCAACGTGCATACCAACGCCAAGGGATCACTAACTTGATAGAAGACGACTACCTTGATGGAGATGATTCCCTTATCAGCGGTGATAACATTCAATTCAGGCAATTCAACGTTTTTTGTTCTGACGTCAATACAATGTACCTTATCGATAAATGGAAGCACTAAAAGACCCCCATTTCCATGAATTTTATGGGGTAGGCCGAGGCGGAGAACAACGATCTTCTCATAACTTGCGCAGAACTGAACATTTGTATATTACACTGGGCTTTCCTCACCTTTAAACAAAAAACTAACGAAAAGGGCAACGTTATTATAAGAAGCAAGGATGAAAACAAGACCAGCAGATTATTAACGAGGGCTTCCCCAATCGATGAGCGTGGGCGAGAACCCAGGGGTTTTTGTTTGAGATTCGAGAAATCATCCTCTAAACAAATATGGAATAGTCAGCCGACCTACCAATGGATAAATATTGATTACTTAAATCAAAGTCGGTGTTGTATGTAAAGTTAGACTTGTAAAAATTCTCGTTTATAGTGGTTCGGAGGGTTTCTTCCTTGGCGTCAAAGCCAAAGAATTCCAGTAGCGCCGTTCTGTTAAGCATCACTCAGCTCATATAGCTCTAAAAACCGTCTCATACCATTTTAATTGACCATGTTGCAATAGCAGCTGGCCAAATGCAAAATTATGGAAAAATTATTCAACTCGATTGGCGCAATTTTTCGTGGCGGGACCTGTAAAATATTTATGGAAAACATTTTAATTTCGACAAATTCTGCCTTTATCTCTCTCACTATGAATTACGAAAATGTCTCTTCTATTGTGATCTTGTTTTTGGCCGCAATTGAACATAATAGTTTCTCAAGGCAGAACAAACGAGACAAGAGGGTGGTGGAGCGAGTGGAGCGAATGTGACGCGACTCATTATTTGCATTTATTTTTCATTACTTATTAGAATCGCGCTATCCTGGGATGGGTTCCATCAAATATTAAATATCGATCATGATGAACAATCCTGGGGAATGTGACTGATTTCTCTTATTTTTGCGCGAAAAATGAAAAGGAAAGAGAAATGGAGTTGATTGAGTTGTGACGGGGGTTCTGGTTTCTCGCTGAATTTGACTTTGCCGGTCTGACGCTTTCTTCACCCAATAATCGTTAGTCGGCTATCAACTGACGCTCCTGTGAGGCCAATTTGGCGTCACTCCAGCCAATTCATACCCCTTCACAGCTTCTCACCTAATCGAGTGTTTGCGCAGCCTGATGTCTACCCCCATGCGCTGCAATTTCTGGTCAAAGACAGTCCTTTTTGTTTTCAATCAATTAATTAATGGCCTTAACAATAATTTTGCATGGGTTCTTTGTAATGTACGCATGTTTTGTCAAAGAACACCTGTTTCGTGTGTTCGAGAGTTTTTTTTTGCTTTCTTTCACGGGGGATTAACAGCTAAAGATGGCTCGGTTGGTTAGCGTTTTTTTCTTCACTGATGGGAAGGGGGGAGGGGGGCGAGGGGTCGGTGTGAACCTTATTTGATATGATGATAAGTGAATGTGGTTTGCGATGGATTGTCATCGGAGATCCGGACTGAAGCGGAAATAACGACGTCGTGATTGGGCTGTCTTGTCCCGACCCAAGTTTATAGATTTCTCAATAATTTTTCAGTGATGGAGGAATGAGGAGGGGATGGGTAAACGCCGTTTTGTGTTATTATTGTGGGAACTGTAGAGACCTGCACTTTCCTTGCGTTTCGTTGATAGAAAAACACCTCTGACCCGCGGAAACGAGCGACGGACAGCCGAGCAAAGCAAAGCCCTTTCTCTTGATTTTCTGTCTGAACGCAACGAGAAGCAGAAGAAGAACAGCCCGCAGTCAGCCAGCCCAGTCCAGAGCCCAGGTTTGCCCTTCCGCTGATCGCTTTTCGGGTCTAATGGGACGCTGGTGAAGGAAGAAAGGGTGTTTCGTGCGTTTTCGAAGCGTTTGGAAGGGGAATATCGAGGTGTTTTATAATTTTGTGTTTTACGAACTGTTCCTGCCGGCCGTTCTAGTTTGCGAGATGTTTTGGTTCGGTCCGGTAGATTTGAGATGCTTTTTGATTTCTTGAATTTCCAACATTATTGAAATTTTCCGTCGTTTTTTAAATTTCTCCTTTTTTCGTTATCTCCTTTTCATTGTTTTGAATCAAAACTCGGGTATGACAAGAAACTTTCTAACTGCTTTTTCGGTCGTTGTCGAGAGCTTATTTATTCCAAGAATTGGATAACATTTTCTCTTCGCTATTGCAGGGGGATAGATGAGAAGCCATCATAGTCCAAATGCAGATAGAAACCACGATCTTCCCCATTCGCAGAAGCCGGTTCTTGGCAAACTCCATTCAGATGAGAAAGCCCGGTCCAGGAGGTCGTTTATGCTTAAGCTCACGGACGAATGTAATCAGGCGTTGAGCAAGGCCATTGAGATGAATTGGCCGGTCCGAGTAATCTCAACGAAAACTGTATGTTCGTTTCGATTCTCATTGCTATCAGCCGTGCCATGATTTCAATGTAGAAGGACATTTTATATCTGTTTTCTTTAGGGTGTTATCGTAGATGTTGGAATCGGCCCAAATATCTCCACCAAGTTCAACTGCAGTCAGCAGACACTGAATGGGACTTTAGATGCGGTTTGTCAAGATGCCCCCACTTCTTTTCAGACCATTTCTTCTGTTAAAACCAAACTTGTTGTTAATGCCACTGAAAAGACTTTTGCTGAAACTAGAGAGAAGGCCGCCAAGTTGGTGGAACAAGAACTGAAGAAGAAGACCAAGGAAACCGAGCTTAGGTGGGTATCCCATCTCATTTAAGTGATTTTTAATTTAGTAAAAATAACATGGCAAACCGAAAACGACCGTTGAATGTGATCCCGCCCAACGGGAAACCAAATGTGTTCGCCAAGGTGGTTTTTTGATTTTATTTTATTCTTTTTGCAGATTTTAGGTAATATTTATTTTTTATTTTCAGCCTAGTCCCTCTCTTCCTAAGCGAACTTCCCCTCCTTTACCAACAACCGGTAAGAGAAGTTTTGTAAATGATTAGGGCAAAAATTTGCATAATAGGAGTTTTGCGATGAGATTGGATATAAATACTCATGAAAAGTGGCACTTTGTCAGTTTTATACGTGAAATGACCCATTTACAGCGACCAAGGCTCTGCGTCCCTCAACTGCTGCCAACGGTTCAAAAGTGTCTTCAGCTGTTACCGGTCTTGTTCAGAATAAGTCCGAGCTGTTGAAGAAGTCTGTTAGAGAAAGAGTTGTTCATCTTTGTGCGGGTGGAAAGTACAAGAGCGAGGAGGAAGTTCTGGATCGTTTAAAGTTTGAAGGCTTCTCAAAAAAGGACAATCTGGACGACCTTCTAGAACAAGCTAAATCCGTGCTGACCGAGGTAGGTGTTCTCGTTGTTGTTGAATTGTAAATCTAGGTGGCCATCCATGATCTTGATGCTTTGACTATCAAACCCGAGTGTTACAACGAGATCGACATCAAATGGCCGGGTTTTGTTTCGTCTGAAAAAGCTCGTGCTCGCCGTCTGATATCTACCCAATCTCAAAATACTTCGATGAATGTGGCTCCAACTCGGAAGAGTGGAGTTGCTCCGGTGTTGGCTCCGAGTGCCCCTCACGGTTCAGGTGTCAGCTCAAAATCTCAAGCCCCTTCTACCCCGGTGAATAGTAAGTCCTGGAAAACCAACTGATGTCGTTCACTTTTGAATAAAATTATCCGACTATTTTCAGTTCCTGAATCTCTTTCTTCTCGGAACGGTCTGCCCTCCCGATCTCCCGCCATTGAACCACCTCATGAAGATGATAAGCTTCGGAAAAGATTGGCCAGCCCTATTATCCCTCCGAGACCACTCAAGGTCTCTAAACACGACTCTCCAGAGCTGGCTGTCACAAGTTCTGCTTCTTCAACTGCCTCTCCGGTTAGCGATCTGCCCAAACGGCCAGTTAATCCAAATTTGGATTTCTCGAAGCACACCCAGGGGTCCATGTCCATCCCAGTCCAATGTTCTACGGATTGGGACAAGGTGTTTCCTATGGTGCAGGATTCGGAAACCGCCGTCAGATATCACGAGTTATTTGAGGTTGGGTTTGTTAGTATGATTAATTTTGGTTTTGTAGTCAGAGTATCCCATTTATCGGAAGTGCTACGAGAAACTAGCTAAGGTCTCGGCCGAGTTCAGCGATCTCAAGAGATCGTTTGATCGTGCTCCCCTTGGGTCGTCGGAGCAGAAAGAGGTGGGTTCAGGATTAGTGATGTATTTTATAATTTCTGTTCCTTTTACTAATCCACACTGTTACAGATCCTTCGTCAGATTTACGATCGTTATCACGATTACCAATCTGATGGTGAATTCTACAACTGTCGGACGCGGCATGCCAATCTCCATGGGAAGTTGGCCGTCTTGAAGCGCCGGATTACCGAGTGGGATCAGCGAATGTTGAATGGTCGTGATCTTCCGGGTTTCGATGGCCAAAGAGGTAATGTGAGACATCGTCGTTCTCTCTCCAGTGGTAACTCCGCAAGTTCTACCACCTCTATGGACAGCTCCGGTAGTGGTCCGCATGGCTACGACGAATACTAAGTTGTTGTCTTTGCTCGCTGTTTAGTCTGTTTTTTGGTTGCGGCCATAAAGTGTTGGTACACACATTGTTGTTCTCTCTGGTCATTCTATTGTATCTTGCCTTAGTCGACAATGCTTAGTTCCGGGTTATTTATTCCCAGTTGATATTACTTTGTATTTTTTTCCTCTTTTGCTTTCGGTAACGTCGATTGTATCCAATACTGAAAGATAACTTTGCTTATTTTGTCATTCTACTCTTATTACATGCTAATCCACTTAGAATCAGGATAGATATTAGCCATTTTGTTTTCAGCGTCTCAGACTGCTGGGATAGCTTTCTCGCGGCAGGAAAAGTCAAATTTGATTTATACCATGCGTTTTATGTTGTATATAAACTGGGCCACCAGTTCATGTACATAACTGACGTTCCTAGCAACGGGATTTTTAGTCTCCTTACAGACTAGAAAAATCTTTGGCAAAACTTTTCCTACGGGTATCTGCCTGTCGAAGGCTTCTTGATGTGACCGTCCTTATTGTTCTGCGGGTCCCGTCCTCGACGGCCATGTCTCTATGCTCACCTACCACCACTTCTCTGACCGTTGACACCCGATTCCATCATTTATTCAATTTGATATGCGAAACATTTCCAAAACATAAAAATTATACGAGTATTGCCCCGTCTGTTGGTTATTATGTATCTTTTATCGTCATCCTTTATATTCTACACTGCAGAATCCACACATTTTCTTCATCGATTAACATTTTATTTGTTTTAAACGGGCTACGCCGATCGCTGAGATTGGAATTCAAATAAAAAAAGACTTGTAATGTATACGTAATTGGTCATCAGAATCAAGGAATCCTACTTGGAACCGTAGCCACCTCCTCCGGGAGTTTTTAACTCGAAGATATCCTGTACTTTTTGGTTTTAAAGATCCAATTAACTTACGCCTGTGTTCACAGTGATGCTGTTCTTACCACCCAAGTTGATCTTTGTTCCGTTTGTTTTTATTATCGTATTACTTCCACGATCTCCGTCTTCTCCACCAATTAGTCCTGAGAATATGTATGAATAACATTTATATATTTTACACGTACCGTAAGGTCTGAATACTCGTCTCTCTGTAAGGACAGACAATTGGAGGGGTCTTCTAAATTGGAGAGTTCGTGTAACCCCATCGCCTCCCTTAAATCTCCCAGAACCTCCAGAATTCTGTCTGACGCCAAACTCCCGGAGGATTATAGGATATCTAAACCAACTTAAATACATACACAACACATTTATACCGTGATTCCAATATCTCGGGATCGGTGATTCTCGTGTTTGTCATATGGGAATGGATGGCTGATCTTCCATTGTATCCAGGCCCCGCGCCCGCTCCTCCAGCCACTGTTTCATAATAACCGCCCATTTTGTCATCACCAAAAGTGATATTGTTCATGCAACCTGAATAAAAACCTAAGAAAGGGAATCAGTGAATACCTTGTGAAGCCGCGCATGCCTTGAAAGCCTTGAATATTACATCGCACAAGCGTTGTGATGTCAAAACATTGCCGCCAACCACAGCTGCATCTTCACTGGGGCTGATTATTGTTCCATCGGGTACTACAATCTAACCAACAATTAGATAAGTGTGCCAAACGCAACTAATAACATACCTGAATAGGCTCTAAACATCCTTGATTTAGTGGTATATCCTTTCCAATCAGACAACGTAGACAGTAGATGATAGCCGCCATTCGGACTGCTGGTGGGGTATTGCAAGATGAATACACTTGAAGGCCAGTCCCAGTAAAATCGAAAGTCGCATCACCCTAAAGTCGACTTTATTTCGAATGCTACTCTATACCGTATCTTGATCTATATGAACAGCCAGGGCAATTCTAGTCCCGTCATCCATAAAGTCCTCGGCCAGAAGAGTTGGCCTTCCATTTTCCTTCAAGGTCTTTACAGCCGTATCTTTTAGTAAAGTTCTGACTGCTGTCTCTGCATTCCGTTTGATATGTCCCATGTAAGCTTGGACGACTTCTAGACTGTAACTTTGCACCAATTCATTGAGTAGATGAATACCCTGGACAAAATCCTCTGTAGACATGCTATACTCTCCCCCTCACCTTCTGATTGGCTGCAATTTGAGCGTTTAAGTCGGCGATATTATCTCGAAGGTTCCTTGATCCTGAACATCCGGGGACTCTCCCAGGCTTCATGAATTCTTCCGTCAGTTCCTTTTCTTTAAATTCACCTTTATCCACAATTTTAAAACTGATAAAAGTAGCGCCTTCTTGATTTAGGTTCGTTGAATGTGGAGGCATTGAGCCTGGAACGAGGCCACCAATATCTGAATGATGGCCTCGGTTGGCCAAGAAGAACTCGGGTTTCTGCGAATCGCCGTAGAAAACCTGGAAATGAGACTGACACCCAAGACAGGACTTACTGGAGTAATCACCGTCAGATCTGGCAAATGAGAACCTCCAGCAGAGGGATGGTTGCATAGAATGACGTCATTCGGATGAATATTGTCTTTTAGGTTCTGGATTTGAAACTTGACCGTCGCTTGCATTCCTCCCAGATGTACTGGAATATGAGGGGCATTGGCTATGAGACCACCATCTGAACTGAACAAAGCGCAAGAAAAATCAAGGCGTTCCTAAAAAAAAGTCATCCTCTCCTTCCAATCTCACCTTAATATTTGTAGAAATGGCCGCCCTTCTCAAGACCGTTCCCATTTGTTCAGCGATCGACATAAAGCGATGGCTGAATATCGATAATTGAATCGGGTCCACCTCAACTCCCAGGTCTTTCTTTTCTTCACTCTGAATTTCTATTTCAATATCGCCTTTATCATCAACGATGGCCAGACAATTGGGTTCTATGAGGATCGTCGAGTTAGGGTCAATTATGATAGCTGGGCCCTTGATTCTATCTTTGGGATTTAGACTCTTCGTAAGGAAAACGTCTGTTTCCAGTTCTCCTTCTTTGAAAGAGCATTTCACTTTCTCCTCCGACTTAAGTTTACGGTCAGATACCCTCTTCAATCCGTTTTCTTTGACTAGATTCCTCTGGCCAATCGTTCTAACTCTCAAATCCTCCACGATTATGCTCCGATCTTTGATGACAAACCCAAATTCCTTCTTATATCTTGATTCAAATGTTTCCGTAAATGCCCCGACAATATTACTAGGATCGTCACTTCTGTAAATATGGATATAATGAGACCTAGTGAATCACTTACCTTGAGATGACCAGTACACAATCAGTTCGATCGTATCTCATGTGCAATATCCTGTCGAATGTGATCTCATCCTTCTTGAATCCTTGACCTTTCAACTGCGACTCCCCGCGAGCCTCCAGTTTCCTGAATTTCTGAGCCAATTCTTCTGATGTATCTGATGTCATTATTAAAGAGAACCAGTTGTGTCCTACCATTGCTTAGGGGCCTTAAGAACGCCTCCTGAGATTCAACCACGGCATCGGCCAAGGCCAATCCATATGCTGACAGAATTCCCGCGTATTTATGAATCTTGACTTTCTTCATTCCTACAAGGCAACTGTAAATACATAAATGCATGAACCGTACCCAAGGCTCGGGCAATAGCACAAGCATGCTGACCACCAGCTCCACCAAAACAAGCCAACACATGATTTGCAGTGTCATAGCCTCTACTCTAAAAAGACCGTGCTGCTATATATGTGATACATTACCTCAGTCAGTGTCCTTATAGGTCTACACATAGTTTCATTGGCAACTTGAACGAACCCAAGGGCGGCTTCGGCCACACTCATCTCCTTAATATTGTTCGCCTTATTATGAGCATTTATTCTTTCGCATAATTCTTGGAATGCTTTATATGACCCGATCCTGAAAACCTTTATGTCGCAGATTTTGTAATACAGAGTGCGGTAATTTTTCGGCCGGAATTAAATTGGCTATAACTTTTTTGGTTTTTGGCCAAATGTTAAAATTCTTTCCCCCGAATCCTGAGACTCCCCTTATTTTGTTTAAATACCCAATATTTTCCCTCTTGGCCGCCCCTGGAAATCGCGAGCTAAACTTTCAGGAATTGATATCTGGCCTATGGCCGGCCAGTGTGCAAAATTTAAAGAAAATCTGAGTGTCGCCAAATCCGGCCGAAAAACTTTTGCACTTACCTATCCAATGTCTCGTTCTCTTCTGGGCCAAATATTTTTGGAAAATATTCGGGGAGGATTCTTCCCAACACAAGATTTGCATCAGTTACTGTAAGATAGCCATTCTTTCGATAGCAGACTGGTCCGGGAGTCGACCCAGCTGATTCGGGACCCACTACAAAAAGGCCATTCTCGAAGAAAAGCCGGGAGCCACCACCAGCAGCTACTGTATTAACCTCCAACTGTGGCGCTTGGATCATGACTCCAGCAGTAACCGACTCCAATGTGTGAGTGAATATACCATCGTATCTGGAGACATCAGTAGAGGTCCCGCCCATATCAAATCCAACTATCGGCCGTTTATCTTTCTTATCGAACGAAGTCATGGATACACCAACAACTCCACCTGCAGGTCCAGAAAGAATCGCCCGTGATCCAATGAACCTGAAGACTTGTTTTAAACTTAAACGAAATAATCTACCTTTCAACTGGACATAAGCCACCATCTGATTGCATAAATTCGAGGCTAACTCCTTTCAAATTATCAACAAATCCATTTCTAAACCCATCGATGTATTTCTGAATTATAGGTGTCAAATAAGCATCGGCGCATGCTTAAAAACAAGAATATTATCATACCAAAACATTAAACTTGCCTGTGTAACCTCTGGGAACAGCCTTAATCATTGGAATCACAGAACTTGACAGAGAAATGTTTATAAATCCTAATTCCTCCGCAATCTCAGCAACTTTTTCCTCATGCTTTTGATATCTGAAATATAAATAAGAACGAGGAATTGCTCTCAACTGAACACTTCCCCATTTTGAACTCTCCCCCAAAAAAGGTACACTATTTTCGATTTTGACAAGAAATAATAAATATGAATACTATCCTTTCATAGTAAAAGACAAAAATAAGTAGTTGACATGCTATAGGACGGAAAGTGATTATAAGACTGAAGATGTAAAAAAGTGTAAATTTCAAAAAATTGTAATTTCGAAAAGATTTTAATTTTGTAACGAGAAGGTAAGTGCTATTTTTCGAAAATAATATCTTTTAGTATCTTTACGGGGTTACACTCGTTTATTAGACAGGGAACTCGGATTTACTTATATTTTCCGGCTTGAACCGAGGAATTACACTTACATATACGAATGAATAAATAAAATCGCCAGTGACTTGATCCCCTTCTGCAAGACTTTCTGCAATTCGTCTCGAACTTGATTTTCGTCAATCTCTGTTTCTACGATCACCGATTTCCCACTTTGAGTCTCGACTTTCCTCCCAGGAATATTCATTTCACAGTCATCGATATCCAATATAACTCGTTCGTCCACTTCAACCACTTCATCGTAAATTGTTTCAGGTAATTCGATTTGCAAATCGAAGATCTTTGGACGTTGTTGATTCCCGATAAACAATAAATCCTAAAAATCTCAACTAATAATATCTGCAAGTTTGCACGAAATGTGAAAAAAAGTGACATTCCGCCGTAAGAGATAATATCAGTTTGTCGGGAAAATAACGGCGGATCGTTGCGCCTCGGAATCGTCCATCATTCCGAGGCGCAACGATTGCGATGGCTGCCGAAGCTGGCACAAATTTAGAATAGTTTTTTCTAAAGTATGTGCGAGAATCCAAGCTCGCACTTTGTAGAAACAACCGAGATTTTTAAATCGAAAGTCGGCAAAAATTTCTGAACTTCGGCACGAAAAGTTTCATACCTATTTCTGTCGTAAAGTGTAATGTTTCTATAAAAAATCAATTTTTTCCGCACGAAACTAGCAAGAAAAAAGGCTTCGTGGAAATTGGACAGAGTGAAATTCGACAGAGTGAAATTGGACAGAAATAATTTGGACAGAGCGTGGAAATTGGACAGGGTGAAATTGGACAGAGTGAAATTGGACAGAGTGAAATTGGACAGATTTTCGCTGCAATCGTACGAAATGTCAATATTGAATCATCAAATAATTATTTTTTGCAGTGAAAAAAAATCTGTCGAGTTTCACTCTGTCCAATTTCACTCTGTCCAATTTACACGCTCTGTCCAAATTATTTCTGTCCAATTTCACTCTGTCCAATTTCACTCTGTCCAGTTTCCACGAAGCCAGAAAAAAACTAGTTACGGCCAAAAAGTGTTTTTCTCTCTGACCGCTCTCCGCGTTTAGCATACTCTCTCGGCGGCAAAGATAGTTCAATATCTCGTTGCGCTTGCATAGCGCGAGCTAAACCTTTCAGGAATTGATATTTAGTCCATGCCCGACGTGCGTGCAAAATTGAAAGAAAATCTGAGCGTCGTACTTGAGATACCTTGTTAGCGAAAAAACATTCCCTGTTTTTACCTTGTATCCTTTTGTTACAAGTAGGGCCGTTGGTTCGCCTTTTCTTTCCAGCAACGCATTGGTAGCCACCGTTGTGCCCATTCTTATCCAAGCAATATGGTCTACGAATCACGATGTCAAGCACGGTATAATTAATTACCTGTTGGTATCTTCTCCCCTCGCTTCACTTCGGTCCCTGTATACTCGTTGAGGATTCGTCTAATTGCCTCGGTAGGTGCATCTTGATAGTTCGAAAAGTCTTCGGATAGTAATTTAAAAGTCTTATTTATCCCATCGGGATAAACTACAAAAACATCGGTGAAAGTTCCTCCGCGGTCGATTCCAAAACCAAGGCCGTGCATCGTCAAGTTTACTGCGTTATAGTCGCGGGAATGATCTGTAACAGTTTGATAAACAAGCCTTGTTTTCTGATTTAGAACCGCTTTTTCGCTTTTCTCGTGATAAAGTTTCGAGTGGACAGAAGAGAAAAAAGGGTGCAGAAAGCCACGTAGTTTGTTCTTTTTATTTTGTGTTTGGATCCACAGGGAACTCAAAATCATAATGGACAAATTTTGAAGTCCGCAGTCAGTATAGAGAAAAATATTTTTACAATTGTGAACTGTCCCGGTTCATCACACTCATTTCAATTTTTAAAATATTTTCGCTTAACGGCTGATAAGAATTTTAGGTTTCCTTCGAAAGAGACCTCGAGTTGAAAGAGACCCCCGATTCGGGGGTCTTCCTGATGGTCAAACCCCAAAAGAAAACTTAAAAATGTTACGTCATATGGATGATGATTTTTAAATTTCATCGCACAAGTCCGTTCGAACCCTGCAAATTTAGTCCAAAGTAAAAGTTCACAAAAAAGGAGGAGGAGAGGAGGAGCCGACAGAGAAACGCAGAAATTTTTACAAAGAGGGAAATTGCGCAACTTTTAACTTTGGACTAAATCCGCAGGATTCGGATGGACTAGCGTGCTGAAATTTATAAAGCACCTATATGTAAAAAATATGCACAGTGCAGGATAGGTATAAATCTTTTCAATGATAAGAAGGAAAAACGATAGGCGGGTGCACTCTTGCGGGCAACCACTTTGCGGGAAAATTTTTTGCGGGCAGCCGACGTTTGCGGCCAGCACAGGAATTTGCGGGCAGCCTGGGGGGACATTTGCGGGCAGCCGATACTTGCGGAAAGCCGATATTTGCGGGCAACAGTTCCAAAAGTTCCAATACAATCTGCGTGCTTGTTTTTTCCTGTTGCCCGGAAATGTCGGCAAAATTTCAAAATATCTCGGTAATATTTCCACCTCCACCCTGTTACCTTCAGGCGTCGGTTGCCCGCAAATGTCCCAGGCTGCCCGCAAATGTTTCATCCGCCCGCAAATGTGACTATCCCAAAAAATCATTTTGAGATTCAGAAATTTGGCAGTGAGATTTCGAGACATCAAGTTTATCTTGTTTTACTAGGTCCGGGGGAATATTACAACATACCTGAAACATCCGGGAGGCGTTTTTCCAGGCATCGGTTGCACGTTGGTAATTTACTTCCCCCTCGACCATTTTTTCACCTACACCATGTTTACAGCTGTAATATAAATTTACAGTCCTGTAAAAGAAAAAAAAACTAAAAATACACTAAAAGCTCTTATGTAAATAAGTTTTTACAAGTATAAATCAAAATAGGCTCCGCCTTTTTTTTTAACTTGTAGGTGATTTTTTGGGAAATATTTTTACCTGTAGTAAATAAAAAGTTTTATGAAGTAGTATTTAAGAAGTGTCATTGCTCTGTTATTAGGAGGTAAATTACTTTATTTAGGTAAAGTGAACGGACCTAAAGTTACACAAATTGAATGAAAACACGGATGGGATGGATTTAAAAATTTCGTGGCCCCTACATACGTCCTTGAATGGATTACAACAATATAGGCAAAGATGACTCAAGATACACCGTTTCTGATAGTAGACTCTCGAATATCATCGAGTGAAAGCGAGGGAAGCATACAATTACTAGTACTTTTAATGTACCAGGTTAATTAATTAATAGGACTAGATGAGATGAATTGGCGCAAATTAAAGGGCTAGACTAATATAAAACGAAAGAAGCACCGGTAATCAGCGAGGCTTAGAGATTGAGAAGAGAGCACCATAACATGGACTGTACACAGCACCAGTAGACGGAAATTGTGAAGCTGATCTTGATTATGAGGTGTCGACGAGTAAGTTAGGGCTGTCTGTAAGGCTTGCAGTAGGAGTATCTGTGGTTCATGTGTTGAGAATAGCTGCCACTGTGGCTGAATCTCTTCAGACATTTGTCACACTGAAAGAGTTTTTGTTAATAATGTATTTATTTTAGCCCTATTTTAATCTCCGTGGTAAACGACCCGGTCCGACTATGGCTACCATCTTGACATAAGGCGGTAGAAGACCGAGCAAAGGTCATAAAGTCCAAATCCCTAGCCTAATCCCATTTCGATGCGTTTGGCGGCGAGGATATGGATGTGCACCGTGCGGTGGGCCTTGCATAAATTAAGGAACCTGGGGGTAATGCGACTGGACTCGCTGGGCATCTCATGGACACATAACTAATTAGAGACTGGCATGTGAGAAGATTAATGGGCGCGCGTCTCTATTTTTATGGCCAGGTCACCATACGGCCAAGACTTACTTGGAAGGGCTTTTCTCCGGTGTGGAGTCGAAGATGTTCCGCTTTGTGATGCTTGTGTTTGAAGGCCTTAGGGCACATGTCACATTTGTAAGGACGTTGGCCAGAATGCTCATAGGCATGTCGTTTAGCTGAGCTTTGTTTGCTGAACGTCTTGTCACACTGATCGCAAGTGTAAATCCCTTCGCTGTCCATTTTCACATTGGCTTTAGTCGATGTACTCGAGGGAGATCGTGACGTTCTCCCATTATCATTCTAGAAGAAAGAATTATAAAATTTACATCTAAACCTACTTCAAGAACCGTCTGCCAATCGGAAAGTCCATTAGAACCCAACATTGAATATTGAGACAAGAATAACGAAGCTGATGGCCAGATTCCAGAGCCTTCTGATTTGATACTTGGCGTCTCACTTGAGACAGATTCGGTGTTCGTGACCTCTGTACCATTCGGAGAGGCCGTCGAGATGTTGTCCGAATTGTAAAACCCATTTACTTTTTGTAGTTTCTCAGTTATGGATTCGCATTCTCGTTTAACAAAATTCCACAAGCCCTCAGGGCTTTGTTCCGCTGAACTCAGAGGACTTTGGGATCGAATACTGAGGTCAAGTGGGGCATCTGCGTTGATTTCAGTCATCTAAAATAGTGTAATTAATGATATGGATTATAATTATTCTTTTCAGGTGAATCAGCCGAGAATACATCCGGCGACATTCGAAAAGTGTTGGCGTCCGCTGCGCTATATTGAATGCGTAAATCAAAGCAGGTGCACGCAATTGGGTATGAATAGGATTACCTGATCTTCTTCTTTCTCTTTGCTTCCGTTTGCACTTTTGAGCGCATTTCTGGACAATCGTTCGGAAATGGCAGAGAGGCGGTTGGCCTTAGAAGACTTGGAACTGTCGGGCCAACGCTGAAAAAACTCTTTTTTAACTTTGAAAAAGGGGATCTTTTGTATGACCGTATGGCCCTTTCTCCGGCCAGACCTCCCAGTCAGCCGAAAGGATCACAGAAGACCGGAATTATTTTAAAAAACATCAGATAACCTCGTTTTAAATATCGGGATACTCACCTTTAACGGCGCTTCTTCCACTTTCACAGTGAACGTCTCAACTTCATCCGAGCTGACGGATTCCATCGGCTCTTCTGAGGCCGATCTGATTTCTGAGGCTGAGGATTCGCTTCCCCCATTGGTTTCTTCTTCGATCTTGATCTTACTCTCTCCAACCGATTTGAAAAGGGCCAACAGTTTTTCTGTCGCCGAATTTGTTTTCGAATTTTCGGTCTGAAAAAGGATATTGTATTTTAAAATCATTTAATCGTCCGAAGATAGCAGAATGACGCTACCTTGTTGGCTACAATCTGTTGGAGAAACATGTTCATGGTGTCCACCTTCTTCGTTTCTTCTGATTCCTTCCCATCACCCTTAGCATTCATTGCAGCTAGCGAGGCAGCGGACTGAAGTAGTGCCGCATAAGGATTGACAGACGGTTGAATACCGAATGGCAACATCGGATATCCTCGATACGAGCAGAGAAGGCGATAGAAATTCATTTGGTCGGATAATGAAGCCATCACATTGGGTGATGTCGGTATGTGGCCTTTCTGCACTTGTTGTTGTTGTTGATGTTGAAGGGTGCACTTCTTGCTGCTCATGTGGGATGAGTAGGACCCGGAATGCGAGAAGCGTTTCAAACAGAAACGACACTGAAACAAAAAGTACTGTAATATTTACAAAATGAGACAATTAAGATGGAAACGATGACAAGTACGGTAAATTAGAAAAGGTCATCAAGTGGGAGTGCCTCATTACTCCGAGTAAAGATCGGACCGGTAATTGGACTCTCCAGGGACAGAGGAACGAATCTCCGGTCGGTCCCGGTACGAGCGAAGAAAGTGCGGGATAATGGCCTTAATCATGGCCAAGGTCCTCTCCGCCTTACTCCAGGCTCATCAAGACCCGCCTGGGGCATTCACACAGGAGACCTGCCTCCATGTTCGAATGCACGTGCGCAGAAACCCCCAAAGCCATAGTCAAGCTCTTCAACAAATAGGATTTAATGCGTTAATTAGATAGAGAAGGGGTTGTTCTGCTTGTGGGGACGCTATGGAAAAGATCCGCCTTGATTAGTGTCCACATGGGGTTTCAAACACACTAGGTAGTGCTTTATTATACCCCAATAATCCGCCGGAATTACTGCAATACTGTAGAAACAAGACAACTCCCAAAGATTCTTATGCAACTGACCAGATTTACCGTAACCCAAAAAACGCGTTGCCCTAGACAACCCCAATGGAAAGACCTGGGATCGTATTCGGGCATTCGTTGGCCACAAGGTGGACATGGACAGGGAACAAGGGGTCGAACCAATTTCCTGTGAAAAGAGCCGCGGCCGCGGAACGGCCGAAAGAAGACGGTCGAGTACCTCAGGAGCGAGCCTCGCTGATTAAAGGCGCACCGGCCCCGAAAAAGTGTATGGCCAGGTCTGAAGAGGGGAACCTTGTTTTAGGCACGGCTCCTCCCTTAGAGAACGACCCCCCTCACTTCAGCTTGTCGTCGCTGAGCGGAAATTAAGTTGCAGGTGGTGCGAGAAAACGACGGAGAAAGAAGAGGAGTAGGCCCACAAGTTTATGAATGCAGGGCCACTAAACCGTCGGATTGTTTATGCCCAGGACAGGAAGGGGAGGGGGGCGCATCCACGGAAAAAAGACCAAAACTTCACAACCTGGAGGCCGTGGAGTTGCGCTCTGCATCCCCCATACTTATTAGATTACATGCGCAGGACAGCGACGATTGCGTCTTCCCGAGTTTAATCTCGATTTTACGCCAGATTGAGTTTGCCCGTCTAATGGAAAACAACATTTTGATTGGTCTAATCCCCTCCCCCTCCTCGATTCAAGTCCAGATCTATTAAGGGAATTAACACCTTCTATTCAGCCTGACTTGTCATCTGGCCTAATCCTGGCACACTTAAGTCACCGCACTCACCTGAAATGGTTTCTCTCCGGTATGGATCCGATTATGTTCTTGAAGATGGTGTCTGTACTTGAAAGACTTGGGACATTGAGAGCATTTAAATTTTCTGTCTGGCTGACTGGGCGTTGTAGATATTGGCTGGGTGTGGATCGGATCTGAAGCAGCATTCACCAAGGTAGAGAGTGCCTCTTCCAGACTCATTCTGAAAAATGATTGGTAGAAATAAAATATTGGCTAAAGACAGGCAACCCGAATTGAAACGAAATCGACAATCGTACGGAATCAGAAGGGATTCTACCTAAACGTTGTAAAAAGGATTCCGGAAGGGAACACGTTAAGAGTGGAAGGCCTCTGAATCAGCTTCCTCCCGTCGAAAGTGCCCATAATAAGTTCGGCCAGGGTGATTTTTGTTATATTGGGGCCAATTTGGGATTGTTCTCTGGCCTGGACCTGCATCCGCGCACCGGTCGAGAAAAGGGCGTTAGTCCTAGAAGAGTGACAGATCACATTTCTGGAGATAAAATAATATTGAAGGTGGCCAATAAACAAAACTGACCCAATTCTGACCGACCAACGCGCCGGCGATTGCAACTTGGCCATAAAAGTACGAAATGGACGAAAGGGAGGAGCGCGCGAGGAACGAAAGGACCGGAGGGGGAGGGGCGTGGAAACCTGCATGAAGGTCGACTCGGAGCCAATGAAAGGTGTGCGGGAGGGGACAGCAAATCGGAAGAGTGCCAGGTGTGCTCCACGGAACCCCGCTGTTTCTACGGTAGACCTGGAGGGCTTTCGATAATAAAATGCCGTCAGATGGAAGGGAGACAAAAAGAGGAGCCGCATCTGTCCCTCAAATCTCTTCAGGACATAATTCCAGAAAGACAAAAGAAATGCGCGACACGGTTGGATTAAGACAATATTGAACCGCCCGCCAGGCCTTTCGAAACGTTCAATATATATTGAAAGGTTAAGCCAGGAGAAGAAATGCATGGAAGGAAAGGGCCCATCCTTGAAGGGACGTCTTCCTCACGGCAGCCGGTGTAGCTGGCCGAGAACAGAAAGCACCTTTTAAATGGTCTCGGAAGGGACGCGCTTCTGAAGTTAGAGGTGGGATTGTAAACACAACATATTGAAGGGCATGACGGATGACGATGTGGCCGACCGGGCGACCCGGCTCTCATTAAAATAAGCATCTCACCGGCCTCGCCTCGGGCCATATTTGGTGGATGGCACCTATTCAGGAGGAGGTGAGTACGCGGAGAAACGGAAGGAAAAGTTCTCACAGGCTTTCTCCCTCCTCCAGCCACACACCCTTCTATAGTCTCGTTGTTGTGGCCGTTAAAGAGAGGTCGAGATGATGTAAAAAAGACGAAATTACCACGGAAAGGGAAGCAAGGAAAGGAGAAGGTGCTGTGGCCAGAAGTCGAAGACACCGGCGCGGATTGATTAGCACCGAAGCTCCTGGCTCTTTTTATGGCGTTTCTTAGGACGAGCGGCTGGCCACTGAGTCATGCGCGGCCACATGTAGGTATTACGCAACTCACGTTGAAAGGATAAAATTAAAATCTATAGAAGTATTAAATAATATCGGGTACCTGGCAAAAAATCAAAGCAGAACTATTAAAGAAGCAAGAGCAATACCGCCTAATCCATCAGGCACCTAATTTACCGTATGCTGTGCTCAAAAAAGGGATCGCTCTTTTGTGACAGGTAGATGTGGGACAAGCGGACAGGAAGTCGGATCGGGGATTGACGAATAACCGCGAGTGACACGAATGGGACTGTCATGGCCAGATCGGACCCAAAACATTGTCTGGCCATCAGGTGGGGAACCTCCTTAATCCCACCTGATATGAACACCATACCGTTTAATTTCCAGGACCAAATAAAAAATGGCGAAATGACGGCTGAAAGTGAAAGCGGCATTGGAAAGGGGGAGGGGCGCGTGAACAGGTCCGGATACTTTTTTTCCACCGGCGCTTCTCGAGAATCACGGAATCGCAGTGAGTTTTTACGCGCCCGCACAGATCCGCCGGGATCTCCTGGAAGCCAAAGACAAAAGCAGGACGCCTTCTTCATCTGGAGGAAACCTGCGCGACAAATCTGGGTCTCGTCGTTCGTTCTCAGATATCCGAGAAAGGAGAAAGAGAACTGGAAACCGAAGAGGGAAGAGTAACGTCATGCTGAAGCGATAAAATAAAAAGGCGAACACCTGAACGGGCGAGATAATTAAAGCTTTGTGCTGCTTGAGTTTTAAAAGAATAACGGATGTATCGTATGAGAGATGGGCGACCAGACCAACAGGTTATCAGTAACAGTCGCGGTAAGGAATAAAGCAATGAGATCTCCAAGTATGATCTGCCACTTTCCCTTTCGCGCATACTCCCCTGACTTTTGACGCTTAAAGAAAAGGAAAGCGACTTAATGAGATCCGAAAGCGAGATTCCACGACAACTACAACCGGTGCCGTCAAGACAGGAGGGCGGATACGGCATGGGCAGGAACCCGCTTTCTAGCTAACCCCGCTTCGACTCTTGACCCTGCCGATAACGCCAGCCACACCCCTTCTTCGTGCCGGAGGCGATGGCGCAGGAACGACGAAAGTGAAATGCCAAAGGTGAAGCGGCTACCTGCTGAGACAAATCTAGGTGCCGTCCAGCGGCGATACCCGGCGAGCTAACGGCGTTACCTGTTTGGAGTTCCGGAAACAAGATCGCCTGCCTAATCAGAGACCAAAATCTCAGCTCCGTCTATCGGATTGCGGAAAATCCATGACATTATGTAAAACCATGGAAAATTGCAAATCACGATAAACAGAAGCGTTCGAAATCCTCTGGATGAGGCTAGGGTGGGGAAATCGCGCGAGGATCGAGAGATGCCGAAGAGGAGGAACAGCTCACGGCGGCACTTGCCAACTCTTGCAGCTGGGGCCACATTCATCAAAAAACGTGCGCATCCCCTCCTCCCTGTTTGGCCCCACCCCTTGTCCAATCCCTCCCGCTGTCCAATCGTTCGGCCTGAGCGAAACTTAGGTAATAACGGACAGCTGGCTGTCAGCAGGATGTAGCGAAACAATTGCATTTTGAGTGCAATTTATCGTTAGGTAATTTGCATTAACGCGCCCTGGCAAGCGGATTCAGAAATGACAGATCAATGCCGTAAATCTTCGGACAGGTCTCCTCCTTCAATCTCTGCCCTATCGGCTGCGCAATCTCATGGCCGGAGGGGCAGATGGCTCTAGGATTATCTCATCATCCATAATACAATAAATTTGAATAAGGCAGCGAATGTTGGAAGTACGGTAGCCACCTTGACGCCATTTCCAAGTTCATTAGTTAGACAAAAATTGAACAAATCAGTCCGTTCCGTCTTCGGAGAAGTCAAAAGAGCTGCAAGTTTTGCCGCAGGTGGTGTTTAAATGATCCCAGACCGACTACCGTAAATCGCAGTAGGTGAATTGGGTATCAGGCAGATGTCTGCCACTTCCCTCTCGAATTATCTTAACGACTTTCACCTTGGACTAGGAAAACAAAATGGAACCTATTAGCGGCTCGATTTCTCAAAATTAAGAACAATGTTCTCCTGAGTAGAACCATCTGCTAGCCGAGAGCACCTCGGGCTTCCTCTGGGCTGCGGGTTTTGGGGCTCCTCCGAGATTTCTAATTGGCATCATTTGATTACCTCGCACATACAAAGGGACGGCGCAAAGGAAATCGATCCCCTAAAATTCCATGGCCAGAGGACAAAAAGAGATAATTGGGACCGCCTACCAATTCCTTGCTTTAGGCGTTACAGTCTGTCCGGGTTGTCACGGTTACCACGAATCTCGGCCAATAACCGTTCAACTTCATTAATCCCCAAAGTAAACACAGTAAATGTGGTGAGCAGCAATAATCGGAAGGTGCAATCTGATCCGCTTAATGCCAAGATGTTCTTAATGTTTATTCCGTGTAATCCTGGATCTCGATGGGTCTTAATCCGACAAGGTAATCCAATCAGGCACGGTAAACAACTTAATGAATCTGATTGCGCAGTCGGATTATGGCCTGGGCTGACCCCGACTGACCTCGCGCATCCCTTAAGTGGCCTGTTATACAAGCGTGTGGCCAGATGCCACTGCCGTAAAAATAAATAACGGCATTCCCTGGACCGTAATTACGCGAGGTGAGCTCGGAGATGACCCATTGTGTTCTTAATGAGCGAGAAAAGTGCGTGAGAACAAGAGCGCGCGAAAACAAGGCCCAGCCATTGTTACCTAATTACGGTCGTGGAGATGGGATGACAATTAGGACAAGTGAGGTCTAAGATGATCTCCTTAATAGATAGCACCTGGGTCCAAAGGCCAATGCAATTATCGAGTTCAGACCCGATCATGTCGCGCATCTGGTGGCAAGCGAGTTCACTGGCAACATCTATAACCTTAAGTGGGACTTCTGCGGCAGATGATCGCATCTTAAACGTTTCGCATTACCGCCATGCCCGAGTCAAATCCCCCAACGCCAGGTGCAACACGTAAAACGAAGAATAAAAAAAGTTGGAAGAAGATCCTCAAAAGACAGTCGCCGGCAGGTACAAACCAACTAACGCCGGATTACCAAGTATGACCTAAAAAACGAGGTGAATTACAGAAAGGACATATGCCATTATAGTTCATAGGTAAATGGAAGTTTTAAAAATTCTTATGGTATAAATCAACAGATTTCAGATGACTTTTGTAAAAAAAATAAGAATTACACCTATCTTGAAAGGCTACCGTAAATAGAAGCAAGGAAAAGCATTGCGTTAAGCCCCGAGGGAAGCAAGTTACAGATTGGGTCGAGCGGAGCAAGGCCGATGGCACCTTTGGCCGGTTCCTTCGGGACACCAATCTTCCGTCGGACCGCCATCCAGGATTTCATTTGAAATGCCAAGAAGATTCCTCCAACTGAATCCGACTTCGTATTAACCGAATTCACACCAGAAGTCGACAACGAAGTTTTCGGATTCTTAAGTCGGGATTGGGCTGATCGAGGCCTCGGGGGACAAGAAACGAGGTGAAAGAAGTCGGCCAAGTTGGGCCGCGATTAAGACCGGGCAGTAACAAGACACGCACTCTTTCCTGTCATACAACCAGCCCAAGTACCTTCGGCCAGAAAAAAGAAATAAATTTCGAAAGTTGTTGCCTTATCTGGGCGAGAATCTCCACTCGGCTATGATCCGCATCAGTTGGGCCATTTTCGCTCCCCTCGGGGCTCGTAAAGGGCGAGAAGAGGGCTGATTTACCTCAGGGATACATTATTACCGCGGTAAAGAGCGGCCAAAAGCGCGCGGCCATACGATTTATTACCCTGTCCATCATCTCGGGTGAATGTGCCAATGAGGGAATAGGGTACTGTAGTGGTCCACCTCCCTCCTTTGACGGCATGACAATTTCATCGCACTGATAAATTGAAGGACTCGGTGGGATGGTGAGTGATGAGGTGGTTGGCAGCGGGACAGGAACCACGGAAGCTCTTCAAGACGGTGGTCGGCACTTTTAATCCACCACTCTCAGGTCTCGGGAGAGGCGCGTTTATGACGACCGGGCCCCGATGCGCGAAGAAAAGGGCCAGAAGGCGATGGAAAAGAATGAATGCCGCGTCTGATCCGTCCGGACACATGGCGCGCATTTGCATAACGCCTTAAGTTGGAGAGAAGACGAGCACCGGGAAAACAAGACCGTATGCATAAAGAGAGATCCCTTGGCCGGTCTGAATGCCCAATTAGCTCACAAACCTGAATCCCCAGAACACGACAAAGCGCTTCCGTCGGTCTCAGAAGGCACTGTAGTTGGGCCGGACACGGAATCTCGGACAGCCATTATGCCAGCATTGTTAACAAAGTCCTTCCTGTCCCTCAATACGACCGACCCCAGGGTCCCTAATCTGATTTCGGATAAACGCCCGCTCCCAAATTAAGAGTCGACTTGTTTTTTCCCTTTGATCTTGCTCACGCCATACTTCCTACCGTAATCCCAACTCCCAATGGCTGTAATCACCTTGGAAAGAATGCAAATGAAGGCATAGAAAGTCTCGATAATATTAAAAGAAGGTCATCTTATTCAGCGGCCAATAAAATCGGAATCGGCCGAACGCGGACCCACCTTTCGGCTTCGTAATTAAGCGCGGATCCCTTGCGCAAGGCCGTTTTATAAGTGTTGTCCCTTCCGGTGGCCTTTTCTTGGGATGCCGCCTTAAATGGGATTACCGGGACCTTTAAGTTCATGACCTCGCTCGAGTGTTGCGATCGTTTTACGGCCTCGAGGTGGGCAGAAGACCGCGCAAAGCAGGTGGAATCCATCTGTTATCATAAAAAGAGCATGTGGCATCACTCAGGCGGCCTCTTTGGATACCTTCTGGGGATCTATCTGCTCTCACTGAATATTAATTTTGTGGAAAAGGTAAAGAACTGTCTGAATCATCCGACTGACACAATTTGATGGACTAAAAAAGAAAAAAACAGGTAATCGAAATGAGCATCGGACCCAAAAGTGGGCGCATCTGTTCCTCAAAAAACTTAGTTAACTTTGTATACTTTATTCATTCTGTGTTGGGTACAATCTGGTTACAAAAGATAAATCTTTGTAGAAAATATGTGAGGCACCAGAAAGGAAATCGCAATAACTGATCAAAGGAAATTTTTTATATAGCTTTGAGCAATGGAATTTCCAAGGTTTCTAAAACCGCGTATCCTGTATTAGATGAGAAATATCGCGTCCCTACTTTTCGGGTTGAGGCCGAACACTCCCCTTCTTGTGGCATTTTTTAAAAGTTTAAAAACGATAAAAAGTATGATTCTAATGTTTTAAGAGCAAAAATCTAATGAAAAGTGTCAACTACAAAAAATGTAATTTTGAAAAAAAAATCGTACATGCAAAAATAAATTTTGCGTCCGGACTTTCGGGTCAACGTACATTTTTATATGTAATCGATGGTGGAGATTTCAAAAATTGTATCTATTTCTTCTGATATTTAAATTTTTATTCTATTATAGTCGGCGCAAAAAGTCTTTGGAATTTTTCGCGGCCCCCAAATCCCGTCGCACTCCGAAATGTCGATTTGTCGCTGAGAAAAGTGGGAATCGCGCGCGACAATAAGGCAAAATCAACAAAATTGCACAGTGCAAAAGCACTTTTCGGGCCGGATGCACGGTGCAAAATGTGTTTTCGGGTTCGCGCACAGTGCAGAGTCGCAGAAAATTCCAAAGACTTTTTGCGGCGACTATATACAAATTAATGTAAAAATGTAATTTTTCTAAGAATATATGGGTTTTCAATGGTGTTGATTATCAGAATCATATTCACTTTTCATGATTTTTGTAATTTTACTTTACAGAGTTTACAATATGAAGACAATTTTTATCCGAAAACGGGAAGAACCCGATTTAAAGACAGACATATACTACTGTGCAGAACAAATATTCTTTATAAATATTTAAGTACTGTATCGTTGACCCGAAGTGTCGGTGACCGACCCGAACTGTCCCTGACCCGAAAAGCCGTAGCGCCGTCAATTTTATGTTTAAAAAAGAACAGGGTGCGGCATTTTTGTAGCTCAATTTGAATTGGCCACAACTTTTTTAGTTTTCGGCAAAGTTTTAGTTTATTTTTCCCTGAATCCTCAGAGTCTGTGTGTTTCTTTAGGGTTGTTAATTTGGAAGAATTATTAAAAATGGCGCCAACTTGCCGTCATTTCCGTCATTTTGGCTGAATTGAATATTCTGATATACGAAGCTTTCAAAGGAGGTTTAACATAGACTATTATGAATACTGTTAATATTAGCCGTAAATAGTTTTTCTACTTATTTCGCCGGTCGTTTTGACAAGATGTAGCAATTTAGTTCTTAAAAATTTTAAATTCTTATGATTTTTTAGCAAAAATCACACAAGTACAAATATTTCTCAAAAAAGTTAAATTTGACAGTCAAAATGACAGAACAATTTGACATGACGAAAATGGCGGCATTTTCACACTTGACTGAGGCGTCAAGTTGAAGACTGAAATTTTGTTTGGTATCAAACAAAAATCCGAAAATAGTATCCAATTGTTTGATGCTTAAATTTTTTTTACTTTACAGAGTAAAGTAAAAATCAACATCATCGAAAACCCCTAAAATTCACAACTCTTCAAAAAATCAAAAAAAAATTCATTTTTACTCGGCCGGGGTTCGGCGGAGGCTTGATTATTATTACATTATTCTTTGGCGTTGTAGTTAACAGTGAACTTCAAAAAATATTCATTTATTAAAGCTATTATTTTTTTTTTGGTTTATCACACATCAAAAAATCTGGCCAGGACTTATTCAACCAGTCTTGCCCGTATCTGAATTAAGTATTCGCCGTGCCTCAGGCCCTGAGGAATCCATAATTCGGACTCATACCCAAATCCAATTTCTGCGCGTTTTTTTTCTGAGCCGTCAGAGTGCAAAGATAAAAGTTGTGTAAAGTTTGTTGCGTTTGCGCAGTATTATTTTTTATTGGATGTGCCTGGAGAGTATAAGAGAATATACAAATCTTTTTCGTCGGTTTCGAACATTTCTTTGTTCTTCGGCCACGGATTTCTGGCCAGATAAAAATAAATTGAGAAAATAAATATTCGATCTGGAGACGCCGTTCTGATTGTAGTCTTACAAGGGAAGTCACTTTTTTCGCAGACGGACTTTGGAACGGGACCTAGTAGGTTTCAAACGTGAAGCGTCTGCGATCATAAAACTGATTTCCAAAAGTGTTTACGGGGCTTCTCGGCCGAGAAAATCGGCCGCAAAGTTTAGCCGAAATGAGCGAATAGCCTCCCCAAAAGAAACAGCTTACTTCATCTGCAGTGGTGGCCGAGTGGTCAGCGCGCTCGCTTTTTGCGCCAGAAGACGTGAGTTCGACTTCGGTCGTCTGCGGATGCATTTCTTTTGACAATTGAATCAAATAGAGAGATGCCGTTAACATCACATATGCTAATTATTAGAAATTTTTAATAAAACACAAATTTAGGAACTATATCTTCATTAACCCAGCCCTGTTTTGATTTTACAATATTCATGAACATTCAGCTTTGAATTTATGTTTAAATTACTGGAAAAAATTACAAAAGTGTATACATCTCATGTTTACATACTAAATCAATATTTACGAACCAAAAAAGAAAATAAACTGCGCAGAGGATCGAACCCGCCTCTTCTGGCGCAAAAAGCGAGCGCGCTGACCACTCGGCCACCACTGCAGGTGAAATAAGCTGTTTCTTTTGAGGGGGCTATTCGCTCATTTCGGCTAAACTTTGCGGTCGATTTTCTCGGCCGAGAAGCCCCGTAAACACTTTTGGAAATCAGTTTTATGATCGCAGACGCTTCACGTTTGAAACCTACTAGGTCCCGTTCCAAAGTTCGTCTGCGAAAAAGGTGACTTCCCTTGTTAGTTTCTTCGTGTTCTGTGACATAATTTTTATCGATGCGTTCCTCTTTAATCAGGGACTTAACATCTTTCTCCTCCTCAAAACACGCTTGTCGCAAAAAATGGTAATAATCAGAAACGTAAACTTTACTTATCAAACACTTCCGCCTGTAATTAATTAAGCCGAGAAGAATACTCTGTTAGGATGATTACTCATTCAAATCTTTCCATTTTTGTTTGAATGAATTTAAAGTTTAAGCGGCGCTTCTTCGGCCTCGAATGCTTAAAGTTTTTTTTCCAAATTTAAAAGAAACAAAGCCCCCTTTTTCCCGACATTCAGACGATGAAAAGACTGCGGACAAATCTCGACGAATTTACAGAAAAATAAATCTGGTTTGTTTAATATAATATTTCAACGCCCTTCGTATTTTTTGCATAAATTCCGAATAATTTTTCTTTTCCGAATTATATGGCCTTAGGGCAAGATAGAAGGTGTGCGGGGCTCGTTTTGTGATGTAAGGCGTTTCTTTCCATCGGAATGGGGCTCTCGGTTACCATAGATTTTTATTTATGGTCGTTTAAGGTGGGGATGTTATTATTTTATATTTCTATACGATGCGGCTTCTTGGCGCCCGTCCAAGACGCCATCAAAAGTTGGAGGGTACCCTACAATTTACGATCCCCTACGAAACATATTTTGGGTGACATAAAAAGGACATTATCTGATCGGAACGACCTGAAAATAACATAAAAGTAACGCACTTACGGACTTCTGCGTGAGGGGACGCAGATGTCTAGGCGAATGCCTTGTCTTTATAGTTCATAAATAATGTTCCGCTGGCCGTTCCTTTGGTCGTTCCCTGCGGCTTGGCCCCAGAGACATGGAATCTTTGTTTGCTCACAATTGCGGGACGGGGAGGGTGTCCCCCTGCCCCTATTCCCCCCTCCCCTCGCCCTCCACCCCGCCCGTTCCTTTTTCGATTGATCGCGAGAACGACCCGGCCACAAAACCCGGGGCCAGTTTGCGCTCCCTTTTTTCTTTAAACGTTCTTTAAGTTTGCCACGGTCATTCGAAAGGGGGGTGCCTGGCTGCTAGAGTTCATTCCTTAGGTCGAGTGGCAGGTTGTGGTCACCAAATCCAATATTGATCTTGGTTTTGGACCTCTTCGATCATGTCATTATTTAATTAACAGATGTCTCAGATTAATCCTTTCCTATCTTCTTGATCTTTAAATAGTCGCCAGTCTTACTTTTTTAACTTCTTACAATTTAATCCCACCATTTGCGAGGACAATGTTTAATCTGCGAACGGTCCTTTCGTTTCCAGCAGACCTTTTTCATTTTTTTTAAATTAAGAACGTCCATTATCAATCTGTTGGGAAAATAATGTGAATTTGTCGCAGCAAAATGTCTCACCAAATCTCCAGCAGTGGCAAGCCGTTGAAAAGCGATTATGAGGGATTCCAAGGCGTGACGAATCCATATTATATTTTCCCAACAAACTGATAAAAAAGTATGATTTCTGGACGTTCTCTAATCTTCTCCAATGTTACTTTTTAGGGGTTTTTGTATGGGCGAAAGCCGTAATTATATTTGTATTGATGTGACTTTAAACCCAACTAAAATAAATCTGCGGTTCTCCTCTTAAACTGTTTGTCATTTTTTGCAGCAATGTGACTTAAATGGCTCGCTTTTTCGCGCTGTTGTGAATCCTGTAATCCACCAGATCCTTTGTATTTTATTCTCGTATCTGTGAGATTCCCTTTCCCCTCTCTGTATGCACTCTTTTTGTCGGTTCAAGCGTTTTTGAGTGCCTGGCTTGACCCCTTGTTCTTGTACTTCTTTCCCTTGCTTCGCTCGTCCTTTCTTATCGACCCTTAGGGCACATTATCAATAAATGCAGCGGGTTTTTGTATCTGTTGCTTTGGCCGCAGACTTGGGATGATCTTTGGACCGGGACAAGGGGTCTTCCAGAGAATGGATTCGTCTCCAACAGACGGCCAGAGTCGCCCGAGCATCCTCAAAAGGCGGCTTGAACTGTCAACCCGATTACCTGTGGGTTGTTGACCGGCTTCCGGACCCGCCTCCTTCCCGCTTTGACCTGATCTCGCCCTTTTCTTGTCTCTCTTTCGAACTCGAGAAAAAAGTTGCGAGTGTTGCTGGGGGTTCGGATTTCGTCCGCTCCTTTGTTCTCAATTTAGATCATTTTTTTGGATCTCGTGCGCTTTCCAGGAGTGACCAGTCACTCCCCCTCGGGGCCAGTCACCTGTCATAAATTTGCCGTTGTTCCTTCGTCTTCTTGAGATCTTTTTTTTTGATTTTGTCCTTGATCGCACCTTTCGCCAACTTTATTTTTAGGACTGTCGCTGAGGGACTGCGTTCCAGATGTTTGGCCGGGCTCTGAGGAAGAAAAGGTACCTCGGATGGCGGTTTCCGCAGTCTTTTGACGGTTTTGGGGTTACGACTCTTCTTTTCATTTTTTTTTTCATTTGCCATTTTTTACTGATTTCTTTACAAAGTCATCTTTTTTGTATTTTGGCTGGATTTTCGGATATTTTTGTTGACTTTCGCATGTCCCGTTAAGAAGATTAACACTCTTCGCTTAGATTTTAAACGTCCGAACGATGGGTCCACTTAGGAGGTATTAATCACAAAGATGCCGAGACTTCGTCGAGATCGCTACGACGGCAACAACAGGGTCCTCGATCCCAAAGATCAGCCCTGTTGTTCGTCTTCTGTTCTGGAGACAGAGGAACGTTTGATTGAGGATTCAGTAGAAGATCTACATGACAATCAAGCCCCTTATTTCACTTCCAATCTTCTCCCTCAAACTCTACAACAACCCTACAAAACTCGGAATCTGAAGAGGATTCTGCTGATGATAGGTGGTTTAGCTGTTCTCGGTCTAATTGGAGGATTAATTAATTTCGGAGACAGTTCATTTGAGAAAAGACACAGTCTTTATTCAGGTGAGTGTATTCTTTCTCCCTTTGGTTGTTAAAAGCCGGTTTTTTACAAAAATGGGTGTTTAGGGGATTTTTTTGATTTATTTTCTTAAAAGTTTGATTGTAACAAAAAGAAAGACTGATCTTTTTTTTCTGATTGCAGCGGTCACTCTTGCCACTCTCGAAGAAATTTTCGGCGGACTTTAAGTAATGGGCTGACCTTTTTCGGAGAGTGCAAACTTAATTAATTGGGAGCGGTCGGGGAGCTCGACAAATAATGTTTATCTCTCAAAAATGGACACTCACGAGGGACCCTATACCACCTGTTCCGGTCGTTCCGATTAATTTATACGACAGGCCAATCCATTTTCTCTCGGTCCATTAGTCCGGCGTTTTTTATGAGGGACGGTCCTGGTGTTGTGACACCAAACATATAGATCTTCCGATAAAATGCCAAAAAATTGCTGAAATATCATCCAAATCTATTTACATAAGCAGAGGGAACCTTTGAATTTGTTTATTCATGTAATCATCATCTTGTCCTCTTACAGGGATCAACGAAGATCAAGGTGAAACATGGTATCTGAATTCACATGAGATACGACGGAGACGGGATCTAAGTCCAGAAGAGGATGAGGAAGACCCAAATCTCAAAGGTCTGTCCCTCGAATGCAATCAGAAATGTACATTAACCCTCCATCGACAATCTCAAGTCTTAAGAATTAATTTATTTCGCAAAGAATTCAATTCCATTCAAAAGTAAGCGGCCCGATCTCTACTATAATATATTGTAGAGAAGAGAAAGTGATTCCTATAATCCAGTATTTGGAGTCCGAGAATGAGACCCAGGCCAATCCGACCCTTCTTTCTCCGGCCTGTATATATTCAGCACGTGTGGAGGAGGGCCAGGAAGAAAGTATTGTAAATTTGTGTGAACCGAATGGAGGCCTGGTAAGTGAGTCAAGATTATGAAGACGAGGCCAAACATTCTTGGCCAAGCGCCGAAATTCTGAGTCAGAAAAATTATTTTTTGTTTGCCGAAACGAAAACATTACAAAGTAGCTCATAGGGAAAGTACTTCGAGTGCGACGCTCGGATTTTGATGAAACTTGGCGCAAATTTAGATTAATTTCTTCTAAAGATATATGCGAGACTCCTAGCTCGCGCTTTGCAGAAACGACCGAGGTTTTTAGATCAAAAGTCTTTCAAAAAAAGCGACACTTTTTGGTTAATTTTGACATGAAAATTTTCTATCGTATGTTTCAACAAAAAAAATTTTCATGCGAAATTGTCAAAGAAACAGCTAAAAAAGTTTTTTTATCTCTGTGCGAAAAAATTAAAGAAAACCTGAGCGTCGCACTTCAAACACTTCTCTTGTCAAATCGGAGGTCGAAATTGAGCAAATTTTTTTGGGAATCAAAAAAGCCTTCGTGGGAGCGTTACGTAATAATTTTTGGGATCCATACGAGGAAGCCTCTTCTTAAGACCCCATTTCTACAAAAATTTTGGGTGCGTGACCGAATATGAACTGAGTGAATACGAACAAGGGCTAACATTTTTGGCAACCCGGCCTGAAGGTAAAAAAATAGTCTTCTAAAGCGTTAAGGGATGAGACTAAGCCTCAACTAAACCATGCTCAGCCTAAACGAAGCCTCTCTCCACTAAGCTCCGTGCAGTAGGCAAAAAATATTTGAACTCAAATATTGGGGGCTGCAACTTTGTACGGTAACTTAATGCAATCCCTTCATTGAAAAAAGCATATCATCGAAATTGCGAAACAATTTCCGCAATCGTTTATTGAACCTATCAGTCTGTCGGAAAAATAACGGCGGATTGTCGCGCCTCGGAATCGCCCATAATCGCTTAGCGACTTCAAGCCGCGGCTGGGAATTTGGTGCGCGACATCGGCGAAGCGAGACATTTTGATGCGACGATCCGCCGTTATTTTCCCGATAGACTAATAAAGTTTTATGGGGAAGTTTGTAGTAATTGTGCTTATTGCACGGTGCAAAGTGAGGTTTTGTTTTCGTACAGTTCATGTCGCGAAAATCGAAATGGGTTTCTTTTTGTGCGAGAGAGTAGTATTTATTTTCTCGTTTCTCTTCCACATGTTTTTCTCAATTTTCTTTTTTATTGTCAGGAAAAATGCAAAAAATCTGAAAAATATCAAATTTTAAAATCGACCAACTAGCGAATGGAAAAGCAGTATTACTGTGCCAAGACGATTTATTGCGTTTTAGAAACTCGAGAAATATAAGGATGATGACATACGCATCATTTGTGTGTTTGCGTAACACACAAATTTCTGTTCTCTCCCCTGAAGATTTAGATTTTTTTAATTTTTCGCTGCTCCGTCAAGAATTTGGAATTTCTTGGCTGTGAGCTGTTCAACCAAGAAATCGAGCTTTTTGCCGCCAAGAAGAAAATTTTTAGATCGCGCATACTATTACTATACTATTATTACTGGTTTTAGTTTGGAACTCTGTCATTATCAGACGGGGCTTACGTGATCGAGCCCTTAAGTGTTGATGGGAAGACTCGGAAGAAAAGGGACCTCAAGATCAAACCGCATCTCATCTACAAGGCCAAGAACATCCCTTTTGAGGAACCCCTGGATTCAGAAGGCCCCGGGAAGACTGATGAGGACCAACTGTTCCTCAATTCGAGTAAAAACGGTTAGTTAACTCGTTAAAATCCTCATTAACTTTTAACGACCCCTTTAAAGTTTCTTCCGATTGCAAGGATTCGAAAAATTAGAGGAAATTGGCGTTCGAATTTCGGAACCTAAATTTTCAAAAAAAAGGTTAGAAGAAAAGATCAAACAACACCAAGTACAACATTAAAAGATTGCAGGGAATCGCAACAAAAGAGCCGCCAACTCTTGGGATTACTATGTGGAAGTGCTGGTAGTCGCGGATTACAAAATGCTTGTTTACCATCAAAATAATCTCGAATCGTATGTTCTGACCTTGTTCTCGACAGTGGCTTCCATTTATCGTCATGCTTCCCTGAGAGCATCTGTTAATATCATTGTGGTCAGAGTTGTTGTTCTAAAACATGAGAATGTAAGAGAACAAGAGGCACAAATCATTCCACAATGTCGTTGTAGGTGGGTCCAAGAGTTTCGAATCATGCCCAAGAGACATTACAACAATTCTGTGCTTGGCAACAGAACCTGAATGACCGAAACGACGATGCTCTTGCTCATCATGATGTGGCCATTCTTCTGACAAGACATGACATCTGCAGAGCTACCAACAAATGCGATACACTTGGATTGGCCGAGTTGGGGACAATGTGTGACGCAAGGAAAAGCTGTGCTATCATCGAGGACAACGGTCTTTCGGCCGCTTTCACAATTGCTCATGAATTGGGTCACATGTAAGCACGGACAAAATAAAGTCTGGTGTGTTGTATGGCACGCCAAGCTAATGTTTTCTTTTTAGTCTAAACATTCCCCATGATGACGAACGGCGATGTGGAAGATATATGCCTTTGACCAAGAACAATTACCATATCATGGCACCCACTTTGGAATACAACACCAACCCCTGGGCCTGGTCTCCTTGTTCTTCTGCAATGCTGGAGAGATTTCTAGAGTAGGGAAAATATATAAGGATGGTGACATACGCATCAAATCGGGTGTCATAGCCAGAAACCGCGATTTTTTTTGTCTGTTGGGCCTCTAGACAAGAAATTCGCAGTTCTTGTCTGACAGGGGAAGGGCCCCTAGTGCGACGCTCAGATTTTGATGATATTGGCACAAATTTAGAATAATTTTTTCAAAAGTAGATGCGAGAATTCTAGCTCGTGCTTTGCAGAAACACCAAGATTTTTGAATAGAAGGTCGGCGAACATTTGACTTTTTGCCGAATTTCGGCACGAAAAGTTTCGTGCCTATTCCTACCGTAAAGTGTAATTTTTCTACAAAAAAGCAAATTTTTCCGCACAAAACTGGCAAAGTTGTGGCCAAAAAGCCTTTTTCTCTTTGACCGCTGTCGGCGTTTAGCGTACTCTCTCGGCGGCAAAGATCGTTCAATATCTCGGTGGCGCTTGCAAAGCGCGGGCTAAAACTTTCAGGAACTGATATTTAGTCCATGACCGGCGTGTGTGGAAAATTGAAAGAAAATCTGAGCGTCGCACTTGGGGTACTTCCCTTGTGAGCAGAGAAAAAGAGAAAAAAATCTCCACAAGGAGAGAGCAGAAATTTGCGCATTGTTACGCAATTTGAGACAAGAATTGCGCATTTCTTGTCTAGAGGCCAAACAGACAAGAAATCGCGATTTATGGCCCCGACACCCGAGTTGATGCGTATGTTACCATCCTTATATGGTAACATACGAATATTTATAAAGCTTTATTATAGTAATCAACGCTCTCAAACACAATGCATTCTCGACAAGCCGATCGAACGAAGGTACATGGATAAGATGTTTAACCATCCGCCTGCTGGAATGCTCTATTCGGTGAACCAGCAATGCCAATTTGTGTTTGGACCATCAGCCGAAATATGCCCTTACATGCCAACTTGTCGAAGGCTTTGGTGTTCTACTTATTATGGCTTTCAAATGGGATGTAGAACACAGCACATGCCTTGGGCTGACGGAACACCCTGTGGGGATAGTATGTGGTGTCATCGTGGCCAATGTGTGGGCATATCTCCGAACAAAAGACTCAAAGTAGATGGAGGATGGGGAGAATGGCAAATCTTCGGATCATGCAGTCGAACTTGTGGAGGTGGAGTGCAGAAGGGTGTCCGTGATTGCGATAAGCCAAGGTAATGACAAATTCAATATGACCCGCAATCTTAGACCCATGAACGGTGGAAAATATTGTGTTGGTCAAAGAGAACGCTACCGTTCTTGCAACATCCAGGAGTGCCCATTCGAAACCGCCGGATTCAGAGAAACCCAATGCTCAGAATTCGACAATAAAAATGTCGGAATCCACGGAGTCCCCATTACCACCAAATGGGTCCCTAAATATACCGGAATTGCGAAGAACGAGCGATGCAAATTGTACTGTCGAGCCAAGGATTCGGCCGCTTTCTATCTTCTCAAGGATAAGGTCATCGACGGCACGCCTTGCGATAGAAATAGCGACGACATTTGCATCGATGGAATATGTCATAAAGCAGGATGCGACCATCGATTGGGTTCTGACATCAAGAGAGACACGTGCGGGGTTTGCGGAGGAGACGGAAGTACTTGTCAGACAGTTCAAGGAGTTTACAATGAAAAGACTTCATTCGGATACAACGAGGTCCTTCGGATACCAGCAGGATCGGCTAACATTGACATTAGTCAGCTCTCCTATAACAACCACAAGGACGATGACAACTATTTGGGTAATCTTGCATAGTCATCCAATTCAAGTTTTAGCTCTAAGAACTGCCACCGGAGAGTTTCTATTAAATGGACAATATCAGGTGTCCGTATTCCGTCAGCAAATTCCGATTTTGGACACCGTACTCGAATATTCCGGCAGCGACAATATAGTGGAGAGAATCAACGGATCAGGGCCATTAAGATCAGATATTTATGTTCATGTTCTTAGCGTCGGAAATCTGAATCCTCCCCATGTAAACTACAAATACATGGTGCCCCGGAATCCCGGTAGATTGAATACAGTGAGCAGATCGTCTCAATATTATTGGATTATTGCCGATGATTGGTCGCAATGTTCGTCTAGGTGTCAAGGAAGTCAGGTTCAAGGATTGAAATGCATGGAAGCTGCCAGTAATCGACCGGTTGCTGATCAGTATTGTACAAGTAAGAGGCCCGAACAAAAGCAAAGAATGTGTAATGTCAATTGCTTTTTCAAGTAAGTGAATATTTTTATGCCGGTTAAAACCGTGGATCCCGATAACCAGGTCAACTGTCATAGACACATTTGTAAAAAAGGTGTAATTTGGAAAAATTGTAAATTGTAAGTGTAAAATTTTCAAAAAAGTGTAACTTTGAAAAAAGTGTTTATTTTGATGTAACACTGCTAGACATGATGTTATATTGGAAAATTTGTTGTAAGTGTAAAACTGTAAGTATACGTGCAAAGTTTTTTAAAAGTGTAACGTCGAAGATTTGAAGAATAAACTTCTAACAATCTTAGATCAGCTTTCACACTTTCAAGTAATACTTTAAAAAATTTACACTTACAATGCATACTATTATTTTACCGAATTACTTTTTTACAAGGATGTGGGGGTATCTACGACATTAGAACTGATTCTCGGAATCTGCCAATTACGATTTCTGCTCGTTATTGACTGCTATCATTAAAACTTGATGATCTAGATGGAAAACAACTCATTCAAGTGCATGTTCTGCCCGTTGTGGAAAGGGCGAACAGAACCAAGATGTTGCTTGCGTCACATTGACCAAGCAACCAAACAATCTTGAGAAAGAGGAACCAGCCCATGAACAAGAATGTGTTAGCGTTGGGTTAAGCAAGCCTCCATCAAGGATCCCCTGTTATAACGACTGTGATGGACGGATGTGGACATACTCAGCTTGGACACCGGTAAGTTTTTTTATTTACTGAAAGCTTTTTTATTAATCTAATTACTCTCAATCCTGCAGTGTTCCGCGACTTGTGGAAATGACGGTATAAGCAGAAGACAGGTTACATGCACGGACAGTGCCAACAGGAGTATTGATCCGAGGTTCTGTGATCAAATTCCCAAGGAATCAACAGAAACAGAATGTAATCGGCTGCCTTGCCCTGGATGGATTTATGGTCAATGGACTGAATGCTCTCGATCTTGTGATGGAGGAATTCGAGTAAGACATTCCTCATGCGCAGACTCCTCCGGAAGAGAAATTCCTGTCGAGAATTGTGCATCGCAAGAACGAAAAGACCGCGAGAAATGTAACGAACATGTCTGTAGTAAATGGAAGTACGGAATGTGGTCTTCATGTTCAACCACATGTGGAAATGGAATCCAGAAAAGAGATGCAACATGTGTGGACAGGAATGGAAAACAGTTGGATGATAACAAGTGTGACGTCAGAGAGAAGATTCTACAGAAATCTTGTCATCAAGGAGACTGCCCACACTGGAAGATCGGATCTTGGAGTACATGTTCTGTCTCTTGTCTTGATGGATACAAGACAAGATCGGTTCAATGTGTTGACGGCAATGAAAGCCGAATATCGGAAGATTACTGTTTAAAAACCTCAAACAACTCTCGCCCATCCACTCACGAGCTCTGCAATAACGGTCCTTGTCCCTATTGGAGATTAAATCCTTGGTCACCATGCTCGGCTTCGTGTGGAAGCGGGATCAGAAGTAGAACCGTTGAGTGCGTGTTTAAGGAACAAGTTGTGGATGCATCATTCTGCTCTGAACAACCACCCAAACAACAACAGCAGAACTGCACACTTCTACCCTGTTCTGAATGGAGAACCCATCCGTGGTCACGATGTTCAAAGTCTTGTGGATCAGGAATGCAATCAAGGAAAGTGGAGTGCACAAGAGATGGGAACGTTGTTAACAACAACGAATGTTCTGGAACAAAACCGAGGACCGAAAAAGCATGCAATCGAGAAGAATGTGAGCCACCGAACGTTCAGCCAAATGAATCTCCAATCTATTGGGCGACTGGTCCGTGGACTGAATGCAGTAAATACTGTGGGAATGGTACACAGAGAAGACAAGTCAAATGCCGAGACAGTCGAAGCAGACAAGAACTCCCTGATGAATACTGTAGAAACTTTGAGAAGGAGCCCGAAAGCCGGACGTGTAATCTTAGACCATGTGTTGAATGGAGGTCAGGAGAATGGAGCTCTTGTCAAGGAAGCTGTGGGGCTCATGTGGTACAGAAACGCCACGTTTACTGCTTTTCTACTGAGAACCCACCAGTTCAAGTGACAGATGCGGATTGTGATCCAACCGACCAGCCAGCCAGCATTAAAGGATGCAATTTTCCCCCGTGTCCAGCCGAGGCAAAGACTACATTAGGAGAATGGAAAACAGGCCCATGGTTGGCTGTAAGTCAAGTTTTAAGTCAGCATCGTATTTCCAGTGTTCGGTCTCTTGTGGAATTGGTTATCGTCGACGGACAGTTCAATGTGATTCAAAAATATGCAACGAATCCACCAAACCATCTCAATTTGAACATTGCAATCTTGGAGAATGTAGACAAAAACACACATGGCAAGCTGGACAATGGTCAATGGTGAGTGTCTATTAGAAAATAAAGTCATCTTAATAATTTGTACATATAGTGTTCTATAACTTGTGGAAAGGGAGGGTTGCAACAGCGCCGAATCTGGTGTGAATCAATCGTGAATCCGACCAAGGAAGTTTCGGCGAAGGAATGCGATCTAACAGATGCCCCACAATCTCGTAGGATCTGTCATGACCTCCCCGAATGCCCCATAAATTCTGCGCCTCAAACCACTACTCAGGTCAACCGCAGTCCAAAATACGTGTGGACTAGCGGGCAATGGAGCATGGTTAGTAATTTCGGTCCCAATGCACTTAAGTACACACATTTCTGGCCCTAACTCAAGCACAATCACACTTAGCTTCGTCACCTTGTTAATTTACCTCAGTTTTTTTGTTGTTTTCTGTTTTGTGAACGTTTTTTGGTTCGTTGTTGCTTTATATAAACTGTTTATTTTGAATATTGCTCATATTTATAACTTTTTTTGCACTTTATTGTACAGAAATAAGTGAATTACACCGATTTCAGTGTTCATCTTCTTGTGGTCCTGGTGCCCGTGTCAGAGATGTCTATTGTGTTGACGCTCTTACACAGACAACAAAAATGCCTCCGACTTTATGTGATCCTGCCGAACGACCTGTAGCTGAGCATCGATGTCGACAGAAGACATGTCCAAAATGGGTTAAAGAGAAATGGTCAGAATGTTCAGTGACCTGTGGGAAAGGTGTAAGAAGAAGAGAGGTGTTCTGCAGAAGAGGAAGAGATGAAACATTAGCGGACTCTTACTGTGCAGAAGCAGACAGGCCAGAAAACGTTAGACCATGTGAAAGTCAAAAATGCTCATCATACGAATGGAAAGTCACTCCATGGTCAAAGGTAAGAAAAGGACAATGATAAATGGCGCGTGCGTTCTAATTCATTTCGGGCCTCGTCGCAGAAACCCCTGATTTCTTGTGTGTGGGCAACAATCAGTGTCAGAATTAATTTTTGGAATGACCTTTTACAATTAGATTCGGCTAACTGCACCTTTATAAAGGTTAATTAACAGAGTTAAAAACTCTGTTATAGCATGAAATTTCGCAATTTTCGGCAAGAATATCCCATTTCTTGTCTGGCACGCCAGTTAATCGCGGTTTTCTGCGACGAGGCCATGACTTATAACGAACTGATTTACAGTGCGTTGATTTGTGTAAACCTAACGAGCAACACCGTCGGGCTTATTGTATGAGCTCATTAAATCAACGAGCGGCTCCAAAAATGTGTTCGAACGACACAATACCTATATTAAAAAGAAATTGCCCATCTGACAAATGCCCTTATAATTGGGTGCCGGGACCCTGGAGTACAGTAAGTTTAATCTCGTTTAGATGATATTATTCAGTGTTCCAAAACTTGTGGAATCGGTCATCAATTCCGACGGTTGGAATGTAAGGTCAAGGAGAATATGTGGCTGAATCAGCCAGAGAGAGAGAGTACTGTGCTCTCACGGATGTGTATGGCTTTGAAGAAGCCGGAAGTGTCGATGGAATGCATCATGAACTCGTGCGACTCTGAATTCAGATGGAGTGTCGGACCTTGGTCAAAGGTGAGCGGCTTGGTTCACAACCATTTGTTCTGTAGTGTTCCCAAGAATGCGGCCCAGGCTCAAGAAAACGGAAGGTATACTGCCTGAACACCAAAAACGAAAAAGTTGAGAAGGAGAAGTGTAATGAGGGGCATAGACCAGTGAAAAGAGAGAACTGTTTCCTCAGGAATTGCCTTCCTGGAGATTGCGCCCAACTCAAGAGTCAGAATCCGAACGTAAATGGAGTAGATGGAGAATACTTTGTGTTAGTCGCTGGCTATAGAACCAAAGTTTATTGTCACGGGATGAACGAAACTCTCCCCAGGACATACCTAACAGTCAATCCCCAAATGAATTATGCCGAATTCTATGGGAAACGGTAAGAAGACAAGGCTGCGGCTTATTTCTTTAGCCTCGCGTATCCCTTTTCGTGTCCATATGACGGCCAAAGGAATGATTCCTGTGACTGCACGGACGATGGACACCTCAGTGTTGGCAGAACAGAGTTCGGAAAGGTCAGAGTTGATCTTCAGAATATGAAAATCAACCGTAAGTTGCCCCCCCCCATTTTAATAAACTACCGTAATTCCAGCTCATGACTTTACTTTTGCCAAGACCTCTCATGGTTCTCCGGTGCCCTATGGCACAGCAGGTGATTGTTACAGCATGAGCGACTGTCCTCAGGCAAGCCATCTATGATATCTATAAAATAAATTCTTTTAGGGACGATTTTCGATAGATTTGAGAAACACTGGTCTCAAAATTGTGGATGATCTCCAATGGACTGACCACGGCCATCGAACAAGTTCTCATATTGAAAGATCAATGGTAAGAATCAATATTATGTGACATGGATCCTTTAGAATAACGCTGTAATCACAGGAGCCTGTGGTGGCTACTGTGGAGAATGTGCTCCAGAGAGATTCAAAGGCCTTGTTCTCGAACTGGAGCACAAGTTAAAGTCAAAGAAACATTAAACCCGGTTGTTTTTGTAACTCGTCCTAGACAGTTATCTTTATTTGTAAATTTCAGGAAACCCGTGAATAGATATAAAGTAGGCTTCTTTATCCGAGCTTTCTTAGGTTATTGGTTAAGCTTTATGTTTTTGTTAACCTTCCTAAATCTCTCCAGTCCAAACCGAAACTCACTAATTCTTATAATCTTATCTTATATTCTAACTGCCATTCAAGTGACTCTGAACTGCCATTTATGACTTTGGATTAAATTATGAACTCATACATTACTACTGAAATTAAATATAAATGATCATGTCATGGCTAAAAATTCCAAGGATTCCAAGAATCGGAATGCAGTAAAAGGAACGATTTCGTGCTCTATGATTTCCGGTTTCTAGGCTCGATTTCATTGAGAAAATAGAAAGAAATGGAGAAATCCCAAACATCGTGACCTCAAACCGGATCCCAATACTTTATTCTGACCTACACTGCAATATAAAATCCATCAGACATTGCTTTCCAACCCCATTTACCAGAGATGTCCCCATTACTAACCACCGTTACTGCACTATTCCTCTTTTCTTCTGTTTACGGACAAAGACGTAAGTAACACTTCAATCATCACGCACTTTTCGCTGTCCGCCACTGAAATAGGTTGTAGAAAGGCCCCCAACAAGGAATCCTGATTTACGTCTAAATTGACAAGCCCTCTAGAGGGGCCTCGTCTAGTATACTATCACCGATACCATCTACAATACCATCAAATCTCTTACACATTATCTGCCTATCCTGTGAAAAGCTCTGTAGAAAATGGGCGGGACATTTGACGATTATAAAATTGTTTTCTTTCCGCTGACTGCAGTATTCGTGGTGGGACACCGACTTCTTTTGTCCATTTTTTGAACCCTTTAACTTGATCATTTAACAAATTTTTAGAGAATGCAATCACAGACAAGGTGGGACAAGGGAACTTCGCATTCGCGCGACGTAAGTGGAATCAAATTGACAAAATGTAACTGATTACAGCTTTTGCATTCGCATTGACTGAGAATGGAGAATGGTATCCCATTGCTAAGAGATCCCGAACTTCAACGTTTGCCTTCAAAGAAACCCCCAAAGAGAAAGAAAGAGATTCCTTCGCCTTTGCCAAGAGATCCGAAGATCCCAAATTTGCCTACGATTTTGCCAAAAGAGCCAAGTTTGCTTTTTTGAAAAAGTAAAATAAAGTACCTGATAAAATGAAGATAAAAATGGGGGCTGAACCGAAAAATAAAATAATAAACTTTGGCGAAAACATCAATATTTACACCACCTGTAATCCAGTTTCTAATTAGTAACAACTTTAGACATCTAATTCAAGATGTTGATCGATGAGGTGAAACGAGTAAGCTCATGGGATTGCTGAGATGACTTTCGACTTAGGGATTGGGCATTCGATTCCACCTCCAATCCAGTCCACGATTCCATGGGGATCTTCATCAAGGCTAAGAACACGCCGGCGGCCTCTTCTTCGGTAACTTCACACGTCGGCCGACCAACTCCCATTGCCACAGGGCCTACTCTCCGGCATAATGCAGCTGGCTCCACGAATCCGTGCTAATCAGATTTGTAAATCAATGTAGAAAACTTACAAAACTCCCTTCTCCAAGTCGCTTCCAATGTTTGACCAAATAAACGATTGTATCACAATGAGGATGCGGAAGTCCTTGCACGAGTTCCAGCAGCTTCGAACCGCCGTCTTCTTCGGTTGATGCAGAAACAAATTCCTGAGTCTCAGGAAGTTGAATCAAAGGCTCCTACAATAACTGCCGGTATAATTCACTTTATATCCTACCCTAATATCAGCCAAGAATCGTTTCAAGCATCCAGCCACATCATTCATTTGGAATCCCGTCAACTTTGGGATACTTTTACTTTTCTTGAACATGGCCAACAACTTGGACGAGCATTCTTCGTCCCTAAAAAAATAATGCAAAAAATAAATAACGTACCCAAACCCTTCGTATAAGTCTTCTGGTACCTCGCATCTCTCGAGATATAAAACACAATGCCCGACGAGGTGTGGAATCATTGGACGATCATCTGGGCAATAATCTCCTAATCTCAACCTTCCCTTCCCATACAGTGACTTGGGAGTTTCTTTCTTCGGAAGACAAGGAAACCCGACTTTTTGAATACAATCAGAGTGGAAGGATAGCTTGCAAGCTAAAATTAAGTGCCTGTTATTCCAATACAATCCCGAAATTACCATTGCATTTTTTACTCATTGAACCAAACTTTATGGGTGTATTGCATGACGCACACTCCACGGCACTGATCATCTTCTTTACTCGAGTACTGCAGAACTCATGGGCTCGGCAGCCATCAAAACTATCCCAATTTGATATGGAAATGTCCTTACTTTCATTCCTAAAACATAAATATATCTATAATTATATAACTTACAAAGCCTGTGGAATCAATGTAGTCGTTGCTCTCCTCTGAGAAGCCGGCGCTTTCTGATCCAACTAAAGAAAGTAAAAAAATATAAAATAAAATTCTTACAGATTCCAATAAATTTGGTACAGAAATGGACCTCCTCAATTTACTTTTCCGTCTCGTTTCCTTTTCGAATTTTTTTTCCTTAAGCTCATCTTTTTCGTCAAAATCGTTGGCTCCATTCTCTTCTTCTCCCAAGTTAACCTACAAGATATTAGATATTACCCTAGCAGATTATTACTTGAAGCTCGGTAATGAAAGCCTTGTTTTCGTACGACGTCTCGAGTAATATTTTCTTTGCTGAGGAGACACTCTGATTCACAATATCCAAAGCTTCTTGTCCCGTCACCTCTATCGACCTCTTCCTGTGGCTAGTATTCATAACATAAAACCTAAAACAATGCCATATTGGTTCAAATTAACTTACAACAACTTTAAAAGAAGTTGGAAACGATCGGACTGAAAATTTGACGTTGTTATAAAAATATAAATTTTTATAAAATTTGAAAACTCAAACCTTTGACGTCAATCATTCGCGACGGGACCCAAAAATTAAGTTTTTTTTATTTATTTATTGCTAGCGCTAGCGCGCTGATGTTTTGCCAGGTCAAGATCATGAATTAAAAGATGAGATATGGCCGGATTTGATCCATTTAAAACAGATTTATACTTCTTTGACGACTTGACCAGACAGAAGGCCAACGATCTTCTAAGATGCAGTGAGGTTGGCACTTTTTTGGTAAGAACCTCCACTTCCGATCCTTCAAATCTTTCACTGAGTTTAAGGTATGTGTGATTGTAAACTCCTATTTTTTTTAGAATTTCTTACGACGAAGATAATTCGATCAGGCATTATTTTATACAAAAGACCAAAAGTGATGCGGGTAAATGGATTGTTTCGGTATGTTGTCCATCATCCCTGAATGACTTTTTTTTTCTTAAGTTGAATGGAAAGGACTTCCCTGATTTATCTTACCTAATACAGTATTACATGGAAGTCCCGCTTGGTCATACACAACTTTTAAAACCAGTGCCAAAGGAAGCTATTTGCCATGTAAGCCATGTTTAGACGTAAATATTTTGTCTGACTTTAAGGTGGTCGGACTGTACAGATTTTATGGAGAACGGATTACTGACCTTCCGTTTGATGTTAATGAAGCCTTGGAGATAATATCTAAGCCAGAGGAAAGCTGGTGGGTGGCCAGAAATGTTTTGGGAGACGTCGGTCTTGTTCCAGTGACTTATGTAAATATAAGAACGTGAAGTTCACATTGTGATAGTGCATAATAAATTGAGATTATAATATGACATTAGTTTTCTTGTTTAGACAAATAACTACTTTTATTTTTTGATTTCTTTGTTATTTTATTACGGATGCAGATGGACTTTATAATGATTGATGACAATATCGTGGAAGAAGATGATATACTTGAAGGGTGTGCGTGCACTGGTACCTGTACTTTTGAAAATGGATGTAATTGTCTTATCTATAAAAAAGCAAGTCTACAGTTAGTTTACTTTTAATTTCATAGAATTACAACGGTTCTGGAAGGCTGATCGACGAATTTAATTCAATAAACCCTGTTCTGGAATGTCATGATGAATGTAAGTGTGACTCTGAATGTTCAAATAGACTCGTGGGGAACGGTTGCAAAAAGAAATTGGATCCTTTCTATGATCAAATAAAGGGATATGGGTTAAAAGCATCGGAAAGCATATATCCAAAGGAATTTGTAATCGAATATAAAGGCGAAGTTATATCAGAAGAAGAGGCTTGGAGAAGAGCTAAGAAGTATAAGGATGACGGACGCGAGCATAATTATATTTATACGATAAACGAACATTTAGAAGGTAAACCTTTTATGTATTGATTCTTATATTATCGTAGATCGTATTCAACGAACATTTATTGACGCCACCTCATTCGGCGGACTGGCCCGCTTCATTAACCATTCTTGCAGCCCCAATCTCACTCCCGTGGTTGTAAGGTGCGGGAGAATATCTCCTCAGTTGGCTTTGTTCGCAAATAAAGTCATCAATGCGGGTAAGTGTCTATTTCATTAATATAATAAAATTTTCTCATGTTGTTCCAGGAGATGAGCTCTGTTACGATTATGGGTCTTCCTCAGATCCGGTTGGAGGTGGAAAGAAGTGTCATTGCGGGGCTTCGGATTGTCGCGGATTCCTGCCGTCTGGGAGTTATGGGAAGATTTAATGGACTCCTCAAATATAAAAGAGCCTAAGAGAAGACTATTATGTAATAATGATGAAGTTCTTCAGCGCCTATGTTCTGATGGTGACTGCAGTTGTGGCTCAGACCCAGAGACCTTTTGTTGACATCACGCCGGTACCCATGGAGAAACTCAACCCTCGACTTTCAGGTAACTTCACTGGCCATCTTTACAGTAATCTGTATTTTCAGAATTCCTTCGTATCGATACCAACTCGGATAATCAACTGACCTTCAGCGAGTTCATTCTTTCTGACCGACCATTCATTGAGAGTCAGTCCAGGTATTTCCATGAACTCGATCTTAACAATGATGGACGAATCACCAGAAATGAATTCGAAAATTATTTTAAGAAACATGACGAAGAAGAGAGACAACAACGAATTCAGACCGATCAGTTCTTCAAAAACCTTGTATGTTACGGTATTTTAAATACGACCCTTTATAATCTGTCGCGCAGTATTTTTTATAATAATATTAGAGGTAAAATTTTACGGATTGTAGGTAGAGTGTAGCTATTTTGCGGGTATGATGTCCAACTTTTAGGGGCGACCATCCAATTTCCCTTTTAAAGACTTCAAAGGCGTGGTTTACGCATTTCGAGCCTCCAAAAATGTAAGGGGCTCCTGGTATATCCCACCTTTCTGACTATTTCAGAACAGTTCTCCACCGTTTAACTTCGGTCCTCGCTTCGGGCCTGTGAATCCTCAACTTCTTCAAGCCAGCGAAGCCGACAAACACTCCAACAACAGTGAATCCAAAAATGAATAACGTTAATAGAAATCATCACTGTTTAATAACAATCATCAGACCTTACTGACTACTATGTCGACACTGACTTATGAATAAATTCATTTTATTTGCTTTAGTGACTACGGTAAATGAGGTCGGTTCTCTTGATCTCGGATCTATTTTACTACATTAGGACTGTGATCTACAGTACATACAAATGTAATATTCAAAAAATGGAATGTTCCGCAAAAGTCAACAAATTGTTGTGATTGCTTCTCTGTACCGATACTGGGATTGTTCTTTAGCCCCCTCCCCGCCAGTGATAAAAAGTTTTTTTAACGGCGGTGTCTCTCTTCTGGTTATTGATTTGGTCTCCTTTCTACGTGATAACCTCCAATTTTTGCGGAGACGGGGAGGTAGTGGAGACGAAAGGCGAACAATTCAAAAGGGCCCTTATCACTAGTGCTTTAATTAGGACAAAATTTATGCTTCCATTTCTGTAATTGGATCGGGATGACTTCTCGTTTCAATGGCGAAGATCTCGTCAAAAGGTCACTCTTCGTCTCATTGATCGGTCTCAAGAAGAAACAAAAGGAAGAATCCCCAAAACAAGGTAATAGAATATCATCTGACATTTGAAAACCACTCCTTTTTGCGTTATTCTTTTCAGAAACTTACAATCCATGGAGTAGATTCAATGCAAATAATTTTGATGAAGCCACCGAGCCATGTTCAACAAAAAGAATGCAGGAACGTGACAAGAACATTTCCGAGCGTCATCAAAGCCCCTATGGTCTGTTGACTGATCAGATGCAGGATGTTCTCTTGACGTCGCCACATGATGTTCTTCTATCATCCCCTCCTCCTCCAGACACTCCAAATGTCGCTTCTCCACATGATATCTACCAAGAAATAGTCACTGAATGTGCTACTCTTGAACAATCTCAATACTTCGACAAACAGGCAGGTGTCTCCATTGATTTGTCATGTGCTTAGGTACCCAACCAGACTTTATCCTGGGCTCCGGAGCTCCCGCAGTATCCAGTACTACAGGACAACAGCTGCCCCCCACCATGTTACACACCAGTGCCAGAGCCCTTGATATGTCCAAACTGCCATTACATTACAAACCCCGTAACGTTTCCCCACGCAGAACTAAATAGTATTCGAATACCAAGTAGAGTGAATGGTATAACAATAGAAGAGCTGGTGAAGATGATCATCTCAAGCCTCAAAAATTCTGAGTCCACGGAGGAATCGAAAGAATCACCTGAAGAGACCCTGCGGAGAAAAAGACAGCAGGTAAGTCATTTAGTGTAGATTATGAGTAGACGTTAAAATTGTTTTAGAATAATGCGGCTGCAGCTAGATACCGAAAGCGACAGCGGGAAGAAAAGATGACCAGTTCCTCGGAATTCGAAGAAATGTCTCAAAGGAATAAGGTCCTGCGGACCCAGATAGGACAGATTCAGAAAGAGATGGCCATGTTAAGAGAGCATATTCTCACTATGAAATAAAATAATGATTTAATCATTTATAAATTATCGTAAAAAGCAGTGTACACACAAAATACATGACTAAAATAAGAAAGGCTAAAACATGAAGGTAATCACATGGCCAGATATTCCAGAATAAAGATCTAGTCGACGAAATTAAGCGAAAATGGATCGAGACTGGCCGAAACAGGCGATCAACGCTGACTTTTGGAATGCTGGATTAACCATTGTAGAGTAATATCTAAAAGAACTTCTTTAGAAGAGAATTACAAGTGAGAAACTCTACTTTTCTGCAGAGATCAACTGTACTTTTCTCCAAAGATCTCCAGAAAACACCCAAGTGTATAATTTAAAAGATAACCGATGTTTTAGATTACTAACACCACCAAGCGTGACGAACCTACTTACCGATATTTGACTTATTTTTACATGAAATGGAGTAACAGCAAATCTCTCGATTCTGGATGGTAGATAAAGACCTAAAGCAATAATCAAAGAAAACAAAAAAAACCTTACATCCTCTCAATCAACTCCCGTTCGTCCAACGCACTTGGAAGGTCCTTTTTGTTACCTAGGACAAGGACAGGGATTCCTTCCAATTGAGGTTTCTCTAATAATTGCATGAGTTCATTCTTGGCGGCTTCTAATTTTTCCTCGTCGGCAGCATCGACCATGAAAACAATAGCATTTACACCTCGGCAATATCTTTCCCACATAGATCTGAACCGTGGTTGACCTCCAATATCCCAAAGCTAAAAATATTACTTATTTCTTTCGAAACTAGTTGATATCAATATAAGTATTTTAAGCCCTACTTTGATCGTGACGTTTCCTTTGGTGATCTTCCTCATGTTAAACCCGACGGTGGGAATCGACCCTTCTTCCATAAATTGGCCACTCTAAAAACAAATCATAACAAGCAATAACGACTTACGGCAATTACATTGACAAAAGTAGTCTTTCCTGAGCTCTGGAGGCCAACTAAAGTAAGTTCCATCTCCTCCTTCCAAAAGAGGCTTCGGAACCAATCCAAGATCCGGTTAATCATCGACAACATCTTATCTTCTGACTGTTGTTATTGTTATCACCGATTCCTTCCGATACTATCCGTTTCGTTTCCTTACTCATTTCTTCGATTTTGGCTTTCCGATCTTTTAGTTTTGGCGGTCTTTTGTCTTCGTTGTGGGACAAAAGTGAAAAATCGTTAAGCAAGAAATTTAAATCTTTCCTGGCGCCGCAAACTTTAATGTAAGCGATTTTAAGACTATCAGTTTATAACTTTTTTATTGTCGGACTCTAACATCAAAGGAGTCCAAAATTATTTACAAGCCGAACTTTTCACCTGCTGGCGCCGGCTTCTGTAAACATTATCAGTGATACACAGAAGAATGGATCGCAACATTGCTTGAGTCATGATCTTGTGGATCCTCGGAATAGCTCTAAACCCGTAAAGCCTTTTTTCTTATGCATTAATATCCCCATCCTCAATCAGATGGATGAGTCAGAATACAAATAGGTTTGCGCACTGAAACTCGAGTAAAAGTCAAAACAGTCTTAAATCGGGAGGGAAAAGCCCTGCGGCCATTTGATAAGCCTTGGAAGGAAGCCCGTTCATATCAAAACTTGATTATGACCAGCTCGGTTGTTCTGTTTCTTCTCTGCGGGACGGTGTTTGTGACCTCAGGGCAGAATCTGAAGTGTTACTCGTGTGATGGGAAGTGTGATTGTAGAGATCCCAGAGAGGAATTGTGTCCGGATTCCACCTTTTGCTACATTTTGAGAAGTACGGCGGATCGGAAAGGTAAGGTTTAAGCATCTGAATAGTTTTGCAATAAAATATTGTTTTTGTAAACAAATTTGATAAAAAATCCAAAAAGTGTTACGCAAGTGGTTGCAGTTGTTCGACGAGGATGTGCCCTGAGTTGTAGAAGTGTGAATGTATTCGATAATGTGTGTGCCCTTTGTCGTGGGAGTTTCTGCAACATGGAAGCCAATGAGAGTAAGTACCACATTCAGAAAATAAGACTCTAGATTACCAACCATACACAAACTACGATGAATGCTTGGAATATGACAGGAATGCTCAAGAGGTCAGATCTAAAACCCCCATCGGGCAAGATGTGAGACCAACAAACGGCGAGAAGGGAGAAAGAATTATTAATCCAATTGGCCAGAAAGTTCAACAAAGTGGAGGAATCGGGCAAGATTTGACTCAAGAAATTCTAACACGAGGTCGGGAAGAAATTGTTTCCTTGAATCGACCACAACAAGATGTCTCAGCCGGTTCTGGGCCTAATCATAACAATGGAATCTCTGTTGGAGAAGGGACTCACGTCCATCCAAGTGGGGATGTTGGTGTCCATCCAGGTGGAGTTGGGAATGGGGCGGTTTTGGATAGACAAACCGAGATCGGAGAGAGGTCAGAGATTGGGAACGATGGCCAGATTGGTCAAGAAGTCGGCTTTGAACCGGCATTGGTTGGTCCGGCTGCCGCTTCAGCCAATGGAATTGGAAATGGGGCTAATATAAATCATTATGGAGATACGGGAAATGGAGCCGGGATCGGACATCCAAACTATGGCCCGGCTCCCTCAGTCGTCGATGGGGTTGGAACTGGCGCTGAATTTAAGTAAGGTTACAATTTGTTCCCTCTCTCAACAATTATTTTCAGTTCATCTTCCGCGATTGCTTCTTTTTCAACAATTTTGTTTATTTTAACCGTGCTTTACAAACAGTTATCAATGTGAGACCGTAACAATAAATTATAACAATGACCCGATTTGGAAATGTTGTGTCCGGAGCGTTCCTGATGACTAACATTTGATGACTATGACCTCTCAGTTGTGTGGGAGATGACTTAAGGGACCTCTTTCGAAAGTAATTTCCTTTCCTCAGGCTTTGTTCGGATTCTTTTTGTGATCAAATTGTGTTTGCTGGTTTGCATTTTAAGTTCGTTTTGTAGCCTCTTGACCTCCTCTCTGAGCTCTTTACTATCATGTCTGTAATTTCAATTGTAATCATGGCAATCTTGATGAGATTACCTTTCTTTTCTGTAAAATATCCATCCCATTATTCCAAAACAAAGGGATAAACAGAAGGATAAGGCGAGAATCCAGCAGGCCAGGCTGAGGGAGGCGATTCGACCATCATCCGACTCGATATGGGGCTGTTCTACTATAATCAAGTTGTTGCAAACATTACTTTAAACTTACGTGTTCGTTCACATAATTCTCCCCCAAAACCAGATGCACATCTGCAAGTCTTTGTTAATCAAACCAACAATTTTTTTACAAAATTTAGTTAGAAGTTTAAAAGAGGAGGGAAAAGAGAGCTAAGTTGGATCAGCTGACCTTAATCAGCACAAAGAGGAAACTTACGTGCAAAATTGAGCCCCCGCGTCGTCATAGCAGGATCCCCCGTTCTTACAAATATTCTGAGCACATGGAGTCCAACTGGCAGGAATTGTAGCCCCTCGGGCGGATAGAATAAAAAGAAAAATTAGAAAACTGGAGAGTCTCGACATTACAAGAATCTTCGGAGGAATGACTGAATCAAGACACTCTTATCACCGATGTATTTGTGCAATCGACAAGGGAGGGGGGCGTCAGAAAAGGACGTGGCCCGCGCACTTTTCTGCTTACTCACTTCTGTCAACATTGAGGTCTTAAAAGTATTTATTCGGACCATAAACTTTATTAGTTACAAATATTTTGTTTTTCGAATATCTTTGCTCTTCCATGTTCGCACTTCAAGTCCATCGATGTGCAAGATGTAATGGACGGGCTTGAAGCGTTTACGAGTGAACGTGGCCTTAACGGACAAGGTTCCCGGGTCTCACAGTATTGACCACAGTATCCAGAATCACAAATACAATAATATCTGATCCTGATTTCGGCCAGTTTCCTTGTTTTTGCACATCCCTCCTCTGCATTGCATACTTTTTGAAGGGCTGCAATTAATTACTCTTAATTGATACTTTTTAAAACAAGATTGTCTGTTATGACTCAGCCGGATGCGGGGTCGTTATCTTGTTGTATATCATCTATTTGTAACCCTATAACAAATGGAATGTACTAGCCGAATTCCGTTAATTTTGATTCAAACCCGCCCGAAAAACGATGACTAATTGGATAAACATTGAAGAAAACCCTCTAGGAAATGCCTGGGGGCAACCGTCGTTTATTCCAAATAAGAACACACCTGCATAAGTTATTAAAGTGGATAGAGACAGAATTAGAAAGTATTTAATCCAACACATAATGCGGCCAAATGGAACAGCCGGAGGGGATTTATGAAATCCTGTTCCTTTGACATGTTTTTGACAGATTCCAGGAGAGAAGGAGGCAATCAGGTGTTCGTATGACATTATGTTATGTTTGTGTACTTGTGCCGCGGTCATATCTCAGATTATCGTAATCGTTTGGATCCGGGGGCTTCTGCAACAGATTGTCCGCCTGATCGTAGAGGACTTCCAGATCCACCTAAAGCAATATAATTTTCATGAGTCTGCGATCTTACTTACATCTTTATCAGAATGCTCTTTCAGTTCTAGATTCTCGCTCTCTTTTAATTCTTCATCATCTCTTTTATGAGTTGCTTTCCTAAACAGTGCTGATAACCCCTGAAAAAAACTTACTTGGCAAGAAACAAGAGGATTCCTAATAGAAAACAGCCTAAAGAAAGGCCAATCAGGCCGGATATCCAGATCCACGGGGATATCACGGACCCTTCTTGTACTTGGCATCCTTTTCCAGGACAACTGAAATGATTAAATTGCGCGTCTTATTGGGAGACAAAGTTTTGTTTTATCGGAATTCTAATCAAATGACGTCATTCGAACATTTGAAAGTCATAAATGATTTTTCGAATTTTTATCGTTTAGAAAGCATACGTCATAAAAAAGGAAGTTTGACTTACAAGCAGTGCTCGGCCCCCGTCCTGATTTCTTCCAAACAAAGCCCCCTTTCTCCGCATCCCCTTGTCGAACAGGGTCTGAATTTACAAGAATGATACACCTTGGGGACCACTTTCAGAGATCTCACTTGGAACTTCTGGTTTCGTCTTCTGGCTGCACAATCAAAAACCAATTCTCCTTTAGAAGGGTCGTAGTCCGTTATATCGTATATTATACTGAAGATTCAGTAGTCATTATGTAATACGATGACTTACTGATGTCCCCTCTGAGTTCCCGTCATATTGTGATTGTTCATAGTCAAGAATAAGGATTGAGGATCGAATCCGCTATCTTGGAGTGTGCATCTGATTCTGGCATCTTCTCCCGGTCCCAGACTGACAACTTTGGTCTCAGCAATTAAAGAATCACCTTTACAATATAATAATTATTTATCAGCATCGCTTACTGGACATTAACGGAAGCTCATAAAGCGGAATCATCATCTGCATGGCCATCTGAATCCGGGCCCGAGTCAGAGAAAAGGCGGCGTTCGATGACTCTCGACCCGACTCTGGTCCCTAAATCAAGATCTTCCCTTTCCCCCCTTCCTTTTTCGGACTTTTATTCGCGTTGTAACCGAGACCGAGTTAAAAGGTGTGAAGAATGGACTTGAGCAAACATATGCAGGAATTGCTCAGGTTTTAACCTTTCATCAGACCTCATAAAACTTAAGGTCAAGGGTCAGATAGCGCCGCTTAATTCGTTGTGTTCATATCGGAGGGGGAAGTGATAACATCAGGGCGAATGTAAACATATGAAAAGAACTACTTCCGTTTATTACACCGGTATAAAATAAACTATAATATTAGATCTAATACCAGAGTTCGGGCCAGAAGAGCATTATGATGTTGAGGGCGATCAAGGTCAAGTAGAAGCTGAGAGAGCAATTCTCCAGTCTTTTGACGACCCGTTCCCAGTAGATCGGAAGTTCATGCCGATGTTTCATATCTCTTCGATGCTCCAATAACTCTCTTAACAAAGAAATGAGCAAATCCAATTTCTGGGTCTCCAATGGCGGGGGTGCGGGGGGATTCTCTAGCACGATGTCCGTCGAGATTTGCTGTGCTGCTTGTTGCTGATACTCCGTAAAATTTAACTGGAAATAAAAACCCTTGGAAGTACTGCACTTACTTCTGTTGGGATCAATGTTTTGAATGCTTGACTGTCCATACTCGAGTGATTGCTCTGCATCTTGATATCTTTATTTCTGCTCACATTATCTCCTTTTGTTAACCGCAGTCTTTTCGGTGGATAACAACAAAAAAATTGTTTGGCTGTCAACCACCGAAGCCACATTGGGACCGCTGAGAAAGAAGGATTCCTGAGGGCATATTTCTCCAAATGAACGAAGATTGAGGAGGTGCATGTGGCCACACTGATGATCAAGATTAGACTCATGTAATAAATTCCTGAAGAATTATGATTAAAGTCTTAATGATAAAAATAAAATCTGAAGAAATAAATTTTACCTATTAACGGGACATCCGAAAAGGAGCCACGTTGACCAGGCATCGATTCCAATGAGAACTTCATCTCATCCACTAGCATTAACAACATAACGGACAAGCTGAGTAGAGTCATCACCCCCAATCTGAACTTGGATTCCCTTCTTCCAGTGGCATTAATCGGAGCATGGAATCCGATAACCGCGACTAAACTAACAAGGGTTGTGGGAAACACAAGATTGAAGACATAATAAAAGGATTGTCTTCGTAATATTAAAACCATCGTGACCACCGAGAAGGATTCATTGTGCAGATAAGGCATCGTGCCATTGCTAATTCTGGCAGTCTCCTAAAAATAAAAAATGTGATCCTTGAACTCTTTAAGCTTCATGAAGAGTTTATTCTCTTGCTCCCCATATTTGCAGGTGGACATAATTGTCCTTCCTTGTTGATAACAATAACCCCTCTCTGCATTCCTCTGCACTTACCAACAACCACTCCTGACTATCATAAAAGTCGCCGAGGAAGACTTCTTCTTCTTCTACCACTAATTGAACCACATCCGATTGATATGACCAGGACCCAATCTGCAAGGAGCGTTCGTATAAAATAGTCGTAGAAAACAGCTAGCCAGTGTCTCGGTTGTTCTGCATGGTATGTTTGAAAGCACAGGAAGTAGAGAACACCTCAAGCCCATTTTCCGCCCTGTTGAGCGCCCCAAACTTTGTGGTCGGGCATTTGGAAATTCGAAAGGTAAAGCCTTAAAGAAGTCCTGCAGAAAGTATTGGTCACTCGGACAACTCCCGACTCAAAAAGACTGCCCATTTATGCGCATTTAACCTTTTCCGGCTTCGCGAGATTTGTGTCCAGCTATGACCTTTCAACGAATATTACTGTTCCTTTTGCCCTGGGGCTGTTATTCGATTATTGAGAAGATTACATTACCGACAACTCATCCCCCGTTTCCACCAAGTACTACTCCCAAAGAGAATCTAGATGGATACGTGGACAGAATCGAAGCCATTGATGTGACATCCAACCAGGTAGTGATTACAACTAGCAAGGTCGGCCCGGCAGAAGATGTTCAAGTCTCCATTGATGTGGTTGACCTCTCTACAGGGGATAAACTACCTCCAATTAATCTGACTGGGATTTTGCTGGTGATTACTAGAGGTAAGAGTGTTTGTTTTTTTATCTGGTCCCAGACATGTGTACTCTAGTAGATAACATATGATTGCAGGAAGATATACGGTAAACTTCCTGAAGCCGAACACTTGGTATGGGATTGCCTTCCGTTCGAGACAACAACATAACAAACCGAATGGACCCATCTACATTGACTTTGAAGAACATTTGGTGAGAACTCATCGGGAAGACGGTTCTAATCTCGACGCGGATCCTATTGTGACTGTCAATACGAAGAGGATTGGATCTGATGGGAAATCGGTAGAGAATCTCGTACTGTCCTTGAAATGGGAACAGCATCCAGATGAAAGGTTAGACTAACGATATATTAAAGTGTCCCATTGTCTTGCTCAATTTCGGGGGCGAGATTTTACCCTACTAAATATATTATTTGTAGACAAGACCTGGATATGGTAGCAAACGTGAGCCTAGTTTGTGACAACCAGATCAAGTTCAAACAAGTCTTTCTGAATCGACGGGAAATCGAAAAATCAGTAGAAGTAAAAGTAAGAAACGATGACTTTGGACATGAAAGATTACGTAATCACATTTAACAGACTTGATTTACAGTTAGACAACATCTTCGAAGTGTTAGAAACTAACAATGGAAGCCGTCAAATCATGGCCTCAATAACCCCAAAGCACTGCCACAAGTGAGTGTTTGTTCCTAATATTAGGTTGGACGGAAAGTTCGTACGATTTTTTACTGCTGCTATTTTTTCTTGCGCTGATAGAAAAAGACAAACACAAATATATGGTATTGGTAGGGGACAGGCATCCCTATCTGGCACTACAACCCTCAGCCATCTTAAGCATGTACGAAGAGAGAACTTAATTTAGACATTTACCCATCTTTGGTCTACAAGTAGAGATCCTTTGGCTGGTTTGTTTAACAAGGCATAATAAGAAACTGCTTTAGCACTGCTAAAAAGCTTCCTTTTGATGCTCTTAATATGCGTGAAGTAGTCGGGGATTAAATCAAAACACAGCCAGAAAACTTGGCTTTAGCAAGACCCACCAAGTTTGAATATGATTTACAACAGTCGCTTGCCGATGCATTCCTATGGGTCTAACTATGATATGTCAAAGCTAAAGACACTGCCTTACACTTAGGTACCCGTCCTTAGCCAATTGTTTTACTGCGTAACATGACAGAACTCAATGATTTATTTTTCAAAAACTCGCTTGTGAACTATCGGAGCAATTCGTAAAATTCAAAAAACAGCTCAAAGCAGTTTTCTAATCCTCCTTTTCTAGGGTGAAAAATGGAGCCTCTGTATCGTTCTACTACTTTATGAAGCAATGGGACTTTCCGTCCAAACTAATAGTAATCTTTAAGGATCTGTTGGGTGGGAACCCTCTATTCAGAAGTCGGAGGCTACAATTTCCGAAGAGAAGTGAGTCGGAAATGCGAACATATTGACACAATAACATCCAAATCCAAACTGAGGGATTACAAGAGTTACGAATTCAAGAACAACAGTTTAATTGTCCATACAAGCTACCCCAAAGAACAGAATGATTCTGTAGAAAAAGATTCGTACATCCAATTAACAGCTATCCCCATCCCCGAGAATTACACTACTCGAGCCAACTCTTCCGAAGATACTACAAGATTTAAAGTCTTCAGGTAATCGACAAAAACAATATTTAAATTTGTTTAGCACCACTGACAACGACACTTTTACTCTGTCAAACCTGGAGCCCGATCGCCTGTATGCCATCCAATACACATATGTGAAACAATCTCCATTTGCATATGCAGAATCCCGGAGATTTATAATCGAAACAAGATCAAAGAATATGTTTGGACAGACTGTGAAACCAGTGAATGTAATTGTACATAACTTAAAACATGAGCCCAAACACATCAACAAGAGTCAAGAGAAAACAAAGATGGAGAACATGTCGATAAGACCCGAGGCTTCCATCAAATTGGATCCCCATTTCCACAATTATAAGGTCAGTTTAAGGTTGGGTTTGAATTAAATTATTTAAAGGTTGGAGTGGATCTAGAGCCGTTTTGCAATCAGAAAAACGGGACTCACATTTGGTTGGACGGGGATCGTAATGAATTCAGAATCCCGACCAATGATCTTGTAGAATTACAAGAAAATCAGAAACAATGTAGTCCCAACCTATGTTACACCACCTCAATAATTGTCAAGGAAAAGGTCTATTCGATGGAGAGGCAATGTAAAAATCTGGCTTCAGAACTGCCGGCCCCGATCCCCATTCAAAGGGATTCTGGAGTTCTCCGGTCCTCTACTCCTTGGTTAATCCTCCTAATATATGTCATGTATGCCCTATGTTAACTTAAAAATATATAAACTTACATTGAATGAGCAATTTTGGACATCGTATGGAAAATATTTCACTGAAATGATGTTTAAAGTAATGTAGCGACTCTACAAATAGCTACCATTAATGGGGCACAGCGCCCTTGATGTGATGGGGACAAACATTCTGACTGTGCCGTTGTACATAACTTCAGCCGTGGCTTCCGAATCATACTCTGGAGTGCGGCCTTGGATACTGTAACAATAAATACTATTAATCAGACACGGCGGTAATCACCTGTGGAAAAAATAAAATTCTGGTTTCCAGACCCATCTGGCCGGCACGAATGTCACATTCGCCCCAAAATCAGAAGAATTCCAGGCAATGAAAGGATCAGTCCATCGTACATCAAAGTATGCCGACAAGGTAGCAAGGTTGTTACGTTGATCCTATAAAGGGGTCTAAAAATGAAATGCAAACGCACCAAATCTACTATCTGATATAACGATGCCCGTACATGGATATGAGTGATTTCATCTAGATGGAGCACTGGTCGACGGTACGGCCTTGCTCGATGTCTGAATTGACATGAGTAAATATAAAAAAGAAACTCCTTACTTAATATAATTCAGCAGATTGCTGTTCGGATCCTCAAAAGGAGATGCATCATCGTCAAGAGAATCCGAGGAACGGCGTTTCTCAACAAGTTGAACAGGTTTTAATCGTCCTTTGTGATTTCGGGCAAACACGCCTAGCATTCAAATAAAATATAAAAAATGATTTGATACGACCCCACCTTGAACTGAAGAGCAAAGGGAAGATAACAGAAGCAGATGAAAGACAGAATGCATTGCTCACTGCCAAGTTCATACCGTCTTTACTGAGGACATTCCGTTTCTAGTACAATGCCAACGATCACCTGAAATCAGCCTTAAGTGTTTGGAATCACAAATAGCCGACAGACATGTCATTATGTCACGTTTATCATGATCATTTGATTGATTGGGCTGTGAATTTTGTTTGGTTCATACAGAAAATTGTTTACTTTAATTTAATCCAAAAGTACATGGCTTCATCCTAAAATATATCCGTAAAGTGTGTAACTATAAAAATAAAATGTAAAGCCGGCTTCTTTTGGCTTCCCAAAACACCTGTTTTCCTAAAGTGTGCACAGAAAATGTAAGATTTAACAAAAAATATTATACAGATGTAGTTTCATACTTTGCTAATCTGGGAAAGTAAACCCAGACGGGAATGCGATGATTGTAGTCATAGCAACCACAGATATCTTGGGATTGTTTTTAAAGAAAGGGGAAACGAGACAGGATGTGATATGCCTGGATGGATAACGTCCTATTCTCGCTTCGTTTGTTATAAAAACTCTCGAGAATGGCCTTCTTATTAATATTTAAATAGTAGGTCGTTCCGGGGAGTTTCTTGGTAAGAATTCCAAAGGACATCCATCTTTGATGTGACAGGAAAATGTAATTAAAAAAGTAATGGCAGTCCCGATAAAGGGCTGAGATAATTTCCGAGATGTCTGAGGAGAAAAATCCCTTCAGACGGTGTTTAAATCTCCCACAGAAGTCTTTAATACCCCCAAAACAACAATTATATTATACTTTATGTGACTCCTCTCCAGTCAAATAATAAAGTTAGCCACTCGAGATGTCCATTAAAAAACAAAAAAAAACATTAATTGGCCATTAAAAGGGATGTCTGTAAAAAGGTGACATTTCATGTAGAACAGGGCCGAGGAAGGAAGAAGAAGTTGGACGTTTGGTGGGTTTGATGAGGACGTCGTGAGGTCCGGAGGACTTGCCCCTCTCGGGCCATTGTCTTCCGACCCCTCGGATGTATTCATATCGGGTGAGGGATCCGGGGGTGCCTGACTGCCGGTCGGTCCCAGGACGGTCTTCGGCCGTTTCCGCGGCCCTTCCTTTATCTATGTTGCTTTGAAAGAAATGACCCTCCACTTGTTGAAATCCACACATTTAGATGTCATAATTTATGCTAATCAGGCTCAGTAATCATCAAACTGTAAGTTTTTTTATCGTTTATTCGTTGGTGCTTCTTTTCTTGTCATCATTATTTTATTATTCAAGGCTCGGAAAAGACAAACGTGCTCAAACAAAAACATTCATAAATGATTCATTTGGCAACCGTTGCAGGGATCTTGCAGAATAATTCATATACCTTTAAATACCGTAGTATTTTAAAGATGAATTAGGTCAATAGGGACAAGTGAAGGTGCACATTATCAAAGACATCCGTCCGTTCTTTCTCTCGAGTTTTGACGAGTCTTCTTAGATGACCCGATGACTTTTCGCCCCCTTAACACCTGTCGGATATCTCGGACTTGTTGACTCATTCCACCGAATGAAAATAAATTTTCGGAACTGTCTACTTGCTCTCTTTCCGACGCGATTTTGATGTTAAAACAAAGAAGAGCGAGCAGTTTGTTGGGTATGTGGCTCCTTCGGTTGCTTCTGACTCTCTCCATTATCTCCTTTTCTTCAACTTTTCTGTTGGATGAGGTACCTTTTGAAATAAATCCTCTGATTATTCATTGGGAGGATAATGACGTCATTCGAGGGAGACTCAAGGCTTCAGCTGATCTCCATTTGGCTGAGAAATCCCATTTTAAAAATCGAGAGTTTCTGATCGAGAGTAACAAAGTGGTCTCAGACCACAAAACGGACAGATCCAGAAGAGATTTGGGATTGTTAACAAGTCCCGTAGCAACGGCAGTAGTCACGGGAATGATAGGTAAGTTAAGATTCGACTAAAACTAATCGCTCTTTTAGGAATGACAGCCAAAGTGGTCTCTGATATTACAAGTTATCATTCGAATCCTTCAAGTGGGGGCTGTGAATGGTTTGGAACCGCTCCGTTGTGTAATCATGCTTGCCCTAGTGATTACGACTACGTGAGGGGACACAATGGAAGGTGCTCCAACTTCTGGTTGGCCTCAACTTGTAAACCTGACGACAGTTTCGGGGAGCCTTGTTCAACTTTACTCGGATCTTTTTTCAAAAAAAGATTTTGTTGCAAGTTAGCTTTTTTTGATGATGCAATCCCTTAACACTTTGATTACGAATCGACAATTTGATTTAAAATGATCTATACGTGTCCCTTACAAAGAAATTCTCTTAATTACAGCTCGACTTTGTAAAACCAGTGTTATAGAGATGGTTTGGGTGGAGCAGGGATATCAGGTCTTGAAACCGCTATCTCCACCGCCCTCTGGGAGCCAAGAGAATCGACCGAAAAATTTGACCAAACTTCCCCGAATAGTTCTTATTCTCGAAAGCGAAAAGAAGCGCGCTTCCAGGCCTTGCCTTTTCAGGTTCGAACCCGCAATTTCTATTATTTATATTTGTAAATAAATAATACTAGTCGCGCCATAAAGGAAGTAGAATTTGGCACGGTGCGTTCACCCCTTTTTTCCTACGCGCCGCTACGACTTCCAGGTTTTGCACTGCGCATCCCGCGACGTTGCCAAAAAAATTTCGCCGGATTTTTGTGACTTGCATAAAATTTTATTTTTTTGCGTAACTTTAATAGTACGGGACACTTCTTACAATTAGTGCGGAGGTTTGAAACTGCAGAGAAAAGAGAAATTTAAGCGAAGAATATTTTCTGGAGGTCCGCCCACATTTTTTGGAAAATGGCAACTTATTTTTGTAAAAAATATATGTATTATCAGTCTGTCGGGAAAATAGTGAGCGCAACATCCATCCATCCAAAATCGCATCGCCGCCAACAAAATGAAATTGCTTTTCACTTCAGCGACGCGACTGGTGCAACGGCATTGCGCTCTCTACTTTCCCGACAGACTGATATTTCGATCCAATGGACGTGTAGACTACTTTAAACTAAAAGATGCCGATTCGTAGTCTAAGTGTTAATATTAATCAAATTAAATTCATGTCGGATCCAAATGATTGTACCTGGAGTGGTCGTTGGATGGGAGCAACAACCGCGCACAACGCTTACTGTAGATACGATAATAACATCGGGAGATGTGGTGGAATCACATGCTCCATAAATCATCATGAATACAAGGTAAGAATATCCAAAGCTTTATCGAATAGTAACATTGCATCTAATAACATTACACTAGGGTAATCACAGCTGATAAAAAATATTCTAAAAACGAATAAATTATTTTAGGCAATTGACAGAACAGAAATCGATGGAGAGCAATGCGACAAACTCAGATTGTTCAACATGACCGGACACGCTACCTGTGGATTCATTGCCTGGGCTGATTCTGAAGGAAATGCCATCAACAGCTGGTATAAAACAAGATAAAATATTGAAACAAACTCAAACACATTAAAACGGGTGAATAATGTAAATAAAGCCATACTCACTAGTAGTGGACAGTTGTGAACAAGTGAATTAACCCTTTCACAAACCCGAAGATCTCGTTTGATCCCAGTTTAGATTCCCCGTAAACTCGATCCACAAAAGTTATGGGAATCTGGGAGATCTTGTATTTGTGGTAGGCCAGTGCCATCATCTCCATCTAAATCATCAAAAATTTTCTGGATTCACCTACTTGGAATACATATCCCTTGGAAATGGATCTGGAGATCAAATCACTCAGGACTTCCTTTTTATATAACCTAAAAGAGCCAGTCAGATCCGTGTAATTTCTGATTTGGAGAGCAGTTTGGGACACAAAGTTGGCGCCCACAGAAATTATCTTCCTCTTAGCATCCCAGCCATAAATTCCACCATCAGGCAGATATCGATTGCCAGTGACAATATCAGACTAAAATGGGTAATCGTAGATAATACAGCTTACTCCATCCCTCTTCTGGACCTCCACCATCGTTGGAATAAACTTTGGATGATGAGAAAGATCGGCGTCCATGAGGATAACGAACTCTCCCTTTGCGTGTTTTATGCCTTCTCCATAAGCACTTCCCAATCCCAACTTGCCGGGTCGGCTTTTCAGTATTATCTTATCACTTCCGAATTCTTCTACAAGCTTCTTGGCAACGTCGTAAGTTCCATCTGGACTGGAATCGTCGATAACAATCACCTAAAATATTATAGTAATTTCTAAAAAAAAAAAATTAGGTCAACTTACTTCATAATTCACCCCAGCGGCAGTCAAGTGTTTGTTAATCAACCAAAGACAAATCGGCAAGTTATCTTTCTCATTGTAAGTTGGCAGAATAATTGAATACAGAGTCATCTAAACAACAAGGTAAGCACTCCAAATGCAGATCTTGATGAAAATTGGCACAAATTTAGGTAATTTTTTTCTAAGATATACGCAAAACTCTAGCGCGTCCTCTCGGATCGTTTAATATCCCGGATGCCCCTACAAAGCGCGAGCTATAATTTTCAAGAATTGGTATGTGGCTTGCAAAATTTTCGGAAAAAAAGGCACTTTATGTGATCCACTTGTAAATATTATTAGTGAGCAATCCCTTTAAATATCCTCTGGAAATAAACCTTCGAATCGAACACCCAAAATATTCAAGTCAATTTATTTGAACCTATTTTTGGAAATATTTCAGATAGTCTCCGGCGTCAAAGTTGTCATCTAAGACTTCTTCCTTCATCTTCTTGACCTGAGGCTTCCTCAATGCCAATCTCTGCCGCCTCTCATTCTCATCGGCTGTTCTCAGATCAAGTGGAAGTCGAACGAAATGCAATGGGGCTGCATAACGAGCTTCGATAGTCGATCCGTCGGACTGCATCAAAGTGATTTTGTATTGCTTCAGGTATTTTGTGCGTGATGGACGACCAAGACATGCCCTGTTTGACGTTGCATTTACTAAACCAGAATATAACTACAACAAAAACACTTACTCGAACACAATGAAAACTGACGTACTTGCTTCATCCATACACTCGTACGTAACAGTGACATGGCTTTAGATATTAAAACCACGTAAACTTTTTTCTTTCCGAATAAAATTTTATTTTTGTGTCACAGAATGCCAATAATATATTCCTCGCGAAACTGCGGAAAATAAATGGAAGATGAATCAGAAAATGTAATTTTGCGGATATCCAGTTTGCGGGTCGTTGTGCCAATATATTGACTTGTTGTACATGCCGGTATGTTGATTTGTCGTTTTTATTATCTTTATTTAGGCGTATCACTCTCAATTCAACGATAATGTTGAGAGTAAGGCTGGAAACATGGCGATTCTCCCAATCCGATCTAATTTCAAAGGTCCTGCTCCTCGTTCAGGTATGTTGCGTTCATTCAAAATCAATTTTTTTTATTTATTATTTTCAGAAGCCGATGGAGTTGATATAATCGATGAGGCATTGTTGTATTTCAAGCCCAACATTTTCTTCCGGGAGTATGACATTAAAGGTGCAGCTGATAGAACCCTTATCTACTGTTTCCTTTATATTACTGAATGTTTGAAACGGCTGACCAAGGTAATTAAAGAAGATGTGCTTAGTTACATTGTTTTAGGTACCAAAGAAATCTCAGGCCGTTAAAGATTTGACGACGATGGCTTTAGAATCTAAGCTTCCAATCCCGGGAGAGGCTGGATTTCCATTTGCTGGTCTTTTCAAACCCCCCAATGGCCCGCAAGAAGAAGGTGGGTGTATAGAAAATTACGTTGACATTTGTGTAACCAATTTGTATTTCACGTTTATTTGCAGAAGTCATGAGAGCATACCTACAACAACTCAGACAAGAATTAGGAGCGCGACTGGTAGAACTGGTCTATCAAAACCCTGATCAGCCTTCAAAAGTAAGACGATTTCAAATAACCGTCCATGTTTTATAGTGGTGGCTATGTTTCGCCCGCAGGCGCTTCATGGATAAAAGTCTAAGCAAGAACTTCTGATCCTCATGTAAACGGTATCCTCACTGCATGTGTTTAATTTATTCATTTTTTATCGAACCCTTAGTTGTATTGTTGTTAGGCTGTGCGTAACAAGTAAAAAATAATGATTCAAAACGTGTTAAGCTTTAAGTTTAGCTTTTTATAAAGGGGTCGGTAGACTCCTGAGGATGTTCTTGACCAAACAACCTTCGGCGGTGACTCAATTCGATCGGAGAACTTGAAATAAAACCGCCGACTTCAGCCGCGCATAACTGCTACGCCCCTTCTGAAACTGAACAAGAAAATGGATCCGTTTGAATCTCTCGATCTTCTCCTTTCTTCATCCCTGATGTGATGAAACTGCAGAATCTCTCATTCGAACAGCAATTTGTCAGGGGTTTCTTTTTCTGGGGCCTGATTGTCCACAGATTTCGAGCTTTTTTCTTATGGATACCCTTATTTCTGACCGCTCTGTTAGCCTTTGGGTTCATTTGGATTAAAGAACAGGTAACTGCGATAATCAATTTTTTATGTACTCCTTCGAATCCGCTTTAGACAACTATTGATCCGCAATTCGTTTTCTCCCCAGAAGATGCCATCTGGAGATCCGAAAGAGCAGCGATTACCGAACATTGGCCTCTGAATGAACAGAAATTTTGGCCCGGAATGTCTTATGAATACAATGGTTATGTAGATGTCATCGCAGCGGCTAAACCACATCCCGAATATGGCTATCCAAACATGCTATTGAAGAAGAATATAGAAGAATTGGACAGAATCAACAAGTACATCATACATAACTTGACGGTTACTGTAGATTTGGAAGGGAGGAATTATACGGTCGGGTTTAGCGATCTCTGTATGACCTATAATTGGAAATGCTACGAAAACGATCACGTTTTTATGTTGAAACCGAAGAGTACTTGGGGTACATTTGATGTACAGATTGCCGAATTTGCAGAGGATATTGTTAATTCTGAGGTAATTGTGTATTGATTGCATTGTCCTGTTTTAGCTGAAAGTGACATATCCAATTGGATGGAGGGGGACCGAGCCCATTTATTTTGGTGCGTTTGTTGGAGCACCCAATCTGATCGACGATGAAGGTCATTTTGATTATGTAAAAGCGGTCAGATTGACTTACAATGTCAGGGCTGGGAAAGTTGACAAGTTCTCTTACTATTGGAGAAAAAAATTGACCAAATTCTTAACGGATAAGGAACATCCAGTTAGTGGTAAGTAAACAATAAATAAAGTCATCTTGCCCTTTCCTCAGATCGATTGGAATTCGGATTGTTCCACAATGAGAGTCTTCCAGAAGGCCTCCAGGATGTGGCTGATACCTTGACCCCCAAGTTTGCCGTAATGTCCTTCCTCTTGTTCGCATTTTGTGTTGGCTGTTCTATTGTCATTCTTCCGTTTGAAGACCGATTCTGTATTGATTGGGTCAGATCAAAGCCGATCCTTGGTTTGGCTGGGATTATCTGCCCTCTCTTGGCTGTGATCAGTGGATGGGGAATAGTGCTCTGGAGTGGTTCCCTCTATAACGCGATTGTCAACGTTTCCCCTTTTATTGTCACATGCATAGGAATCGATGACGCCTTTTTGATGACCGCAGCATGGCATCGGACCAATCCCGAGCAGAGTCCAGCGAAAAGGTTGGCGGAAACTTTGGCCGAGGCAGCTGTGGCCATTTCCATCACGTCCATAACTGATATGGTAAATTAAATTACCCTTGTTTACAATATTCTTAGCTCACATTTGGCATCGGATGTATGACTTCATTGCCTGGTGTCCGTCTCTTCTGTTTATACACTTTTTGGGGAATCACCTTCACTTACCTGTACCAAGTCACTTATTTTGCCGCTTTGATGGCCTATTGTGGAGAAATGGAGGATAAAGGAGTCCATTCATTGTTATGGACGGAAACAAAAGAGCCTGGAGAATACAGTAAGAATTTATATTTGACTTATTACTGGCTTAGAAACATATTGGAGAAGATTCTGGTTTTCTGGAAGTAAATGTCGACATAAAGATAGGATGGAAAGTTCCAAGCAATTAAAAGAATTGGACACTGAAAGCAAAAAACAGGATGACGGAAGTAATCAAGCCGATCAAGGGAGATTTCTACAATTTCTGAAGAAGATCGGGACTCATATGGCCAATGATGACTATGTATGTAACATATATTGGAGATATTACCTTCACGTGTCTCCTTTATGTATAACCTTATAGGAAATGGACACGCATCACACCAAGGAGACCTTTGTAAATCATCTCTTCCGGGATGTTTACGCCCCATTTCTATTAAATACGAAGACCAAGTTCTACGTTTTGTTGTCGTATTTTATTTATATTGGCATCGCTTTATTCGGATTAACCCAGATCCGAGAAGGATTAAATCCGAAGAATTTAGTCAGATCCTCATTCTATCTGAGCGACTTCTACGAACTGATCGATCAGACATTTTGGTTAGAAGGTACCGTCTTCTACAGCTGATTATTGAATTAAATTCAGGTCTTCAAGTCCAAATTGTTGTCAATAATCCTCCGGATTTATATGATGAAGAAGAACGGCATGAATTTCATCGGATGGTCAGCTCTTTTGAAGATACCAAGAGCACCATGAACCACAACGCTACGATGATATTCTGGGATGCTTACGAAAAGCATTTGGAAGATGATTTTACGGAGCACAAAATCAGTAAACCTAACAGGTAACTCATTTCACTTGAGTTGTAAATGTACTTTAGTTCTGAAGAGTATTACATAAGAATGAGGGATTGGTTGTTGACGGCTGGTGGACGTAATCTCTGGGAAGTGAATATGCAATGGGCCAGTGAAAACGAATCAGATCCGATTGTAAGAAATTACCGTAATGCATGCTATTTTTTAGAACTATTATCATCTGAAAGCGTTCCGTTTTCAAGTTGGTCTTCGAAATTATCGCACTCCAACCGAACACACAGAGGGATGTCGATTGATTCGAAGTATTGCTTCCAGCTGGAGCAAATACAATGTCACTACTTTTCACGAGTATTATCCTTTCGCGGACCAATATTTGGAACTGAAACCGGCGCTGATCAGGAATTGTATATTGGCCGTTCTATGCATGGCTTTTGTAGCCTTAGGCATGATTCCACATGTGGGGGCGGTGCTCGTGATTGTGTGTGCAATTGTATCCATTGATGTCGGGGTCATTGGATACATGACTTTGTGGGGGGTCAACCTGGAGAGTGTCTCCATGATCACAATCATCATGAGTATTGGCTTTTCGGTTGATCTCTCTGCTCATATTGCTTATGCCTATGTCAAGGCGGAAGGAGATAATCACAGAAAGGCGATCACCGCGTTGGAAACCTTGGGATGGCCAGTCTTTTTGGTAAGTCATCTTTTCTCAATCGCCTTGCAGTGTTGTATTAACCATGTTGTTTAAGGGCGCCTTTTCCACGGTGATAGGCATAATGATCCTAGCATTCGTCGATGCTTATATAGTACAACTCTTCTTCAAAACGGTGTTTCTTGTGATTTCTTTCAGTCTCCTGCATGGAATTGTTTTCTTGCCCATCTTTATGACCGTTGTTATGCCCGGAAAAATGAACACAGACTCATAATCGACGTAACAATTTAACTTATTCAATAATAAAATGCAGTGTACATGTTCGGAAAAAAGTTAGAATTTTAGTAAACACCAATGACAAAATAAAATACCCGGATATAACAACTTAGAGTCTGATTGAAACGGAAATCTGCCTGTGGGCATCGTAGACGAGAGTATTGTCAACGGGAACATACTGTTGAGTACACAGCTTTATCGCTTCCTGTGCCACTATTCCACCAAGAATGGAAGAAACCACATTTAGTTCTGAAGTTCCATATCTGCAAATCTCCTTGATCATCTTTTGAGGGATTATTTCGTTTTGCTTTTCTATCAATTCGGGGTCCTGGAAATATCTCGGGTTACACTACTGTAAACTACCTCTGTTTCTTCGAAGATATTCTTGACTCGATCAGCAAGATCAAGCGAATCCAGTTGAATGGGGACTCCGTTAGTGCCTGGGGCTCTATTTTTGGACCAAGTGAATCTATCCCGAGCTTTCAGCAGAACCAGCCAAGCAAGGGGATGAACAATGTCAGACCTATCACCGTGTTGTATCTCTTCCCATATCCGTTTAATTACTGGCTACAATTGATTGTTTTTATATACTCAACTTCGCTGGGTACGAGAAGTTCCGTGGACAAAAAACCAAGAATTTTAAGCTGAGTTTAAAATTCGAGGTCGTGCGTTTTTAGAACATGCAAAAAATTTTTCTCCCCTCGGCAGAGAGGCGATTTTTCGGCTGAGGCATTTGATGCCTCTTTTGAAAATTACACTTCGCTACAAAGTCCAGACTTCTATACTGCAGATGAAATTAGGTTTGCCACATCTGTTAGGAATCAAAGGAGTCAATCGGACTTAACAAATATCATCTTTGATGAAAGATTGGATTTGGCACTCCTTTTGTTAGATTCCCGTACCTTTGACACTTCTCAAAACTTAAAAATACCTGCGACAGCCTTTAAACAAGAGAAAATAAAAATCAAGACGAGGTAAATGGTAATGTGATGTGACTAGCAAAAAATTCGCAGCTTTTTCCAATCCGATCCGCGAAAGGTAATTACCCAAAACCCCGAAACGGCCTCCGCCGGTAAGAAAAGTCTCCGCTGAGCCCTCGCCAATGCGTGAAACAAACGTCAAGCTACCGAGACTAACACAAGAAAAAAATCTTTTGCATTCTAAAAACGCACGACTTCGAATATTTGCCATATTCGAATTCTCACAAGGAATTTGTGAAATATTCCAATATTCGTATTCCAAAAAATCGAAGACGTTAATCTCTCCTTGACTTTACATGTCAAAAGGAACATATATTTTTTCAACGGCTCACCTTCATTCCTCCCTTTTCCTCTTCTGTAATTCCACCTCCAGTAATCACATCGAGACTCGAAACATTTTTACAGATCTCTCTACAGTCCTTAAAACTGAGCTCCGCCACTTTGAATTGAAGATTGGCATCAATCAATATCTGCGTCGCCTTCTTCAAAACCCAATCTGCCTCTGTTTCCGCCTGATCCTTGAAGATATTGACAAGTCTAACATAATTCTGAGTGTCCGAGGTCATGTCAGGCAAGGGTCCGCTCAAAGGGAGATAGCCATGCTCATTGTAGAAGACTTTGATAGCAGTTATGTATACCCAAAAAGCCGTGGCATTCTTCATATTCAGGTTGTGACAGTTGGATCTTGGATCATTGAAGAGTTTTTCGATGTTATGAGGAAGCTGAAAAAATACCTTGTCATCGAATTCCACTCACCCTGCTGTTGGCAAAAGAACGATAGATATTGTCGACAGCTTCTTGAAAGTTGACCTCATCCAAGATCCCCTTTTCATTTGGTTTCCTCATTTCGTTCAAAAAATTGATAAAACTCTTCTTCAGAGACCCTCCAGCAGGAAGAGCGTCAGGATTCTGTTGTTGTTGGCGCCACAAGGGTAAGGCTTTTACGTATAACAAAAGAAAGGGGACGTGAGAATGTTGTTCGTGATCAATTGCTTCAAGGTCGATGCTGTCAGCGTACTCCTTTAATGCTGGGAACGGATTCCAGATTCTAAAAAAATCATTATACCCTAAGCGCCTTACCTGAAGTCATAAGGGGCGTTTTCCGCGTGATTATTATGGACTTCATGATCACCCACACAAATTCTTAGAAATCCCAAAAGTCCTAAACTCAATGCCCAAATAAAAGGAATGTTTCTTTTATGAAGATGTTCTCCCAACGGAACAGCGACCTTGGCACTCAATTGACAGCCAATTACAATGCTAAACTTCTCCAAAACGTCAAATTTTGTGTTTTCGTCAAAGTGAATTTGTTGGTAGTCTCCTCGAACGGCTGGATTTAGCTCCTAAACAATAAAAATAATAAAACAAACACTTGCCTTAAGATATCGGGATACAACTTCTGCTCTAGGCCGACCCAGATCTCCTTCTTCAAGAAAAAAATTGTTTCCTAGATCCACCTCCTTTACAAATTCATTGTCGAAAACAGTAAAAGATCGAATGCCAGCCAACACTAAACACTTCATTGTTTCAGTACTCATAGCTCCTGATCCAATTACGGCCACGTCAGATTTTCCAAGATTGTGCTGGCCGTGATCTCCCCATAATCTTATCTAAAGAAGGAGAAAATGTTATGCATGACCTAGCCTTACTTGTCGATCATATCTAGCAGAGTTCCCATCGTGGATTGTTAGAGTCGACATTTTTTTGCCAATCATAGATATACTCTGCCTTCTCTTTATTTGCGCTAGAGCACAGAAAAAAATTTACATAAATTTTATTTTTATTTTTTTTTGGTGAGACATTTTATACGATGAATTATGTTAGAAAAATTGCGCAATTGCCAATTTGAACCGGTTTGAAAGGTTTCATTTTTACGCATTCAGCCTCCAAAAATAATATAAAAGATGTTTTAATTGCAAATCCAGGTTTCATTAATACCTAAAATTACTTAATGCCTGTCAGACAGCCCTTAGGATTACCTAAAGTCACCCGCGACATTTTGAACGTTATTTTTGTCAAAAGTCCAACATACTGCGCGATCTCCTCCTGGAGTTATGCCCGCACACTATATGTTTTTTAGGCAGAATTTTATGCTGATTCAAAATACGAAATAAAATTCTGTGGGTTTTTCTATACAAAAAAAAGAGTTACGGTCGATTTGTATCTGCCGGATTACAATATACCTTTGTTACAGTAATCCTAGGCACCTAATGTTCAAAAAATTGGCTTCTCGACGGTCGAAAAAATAATATAGGCAAGATTTTGGAATTTTTTATGACGCCGTCAGATTGAACATCCCAAAAAAGGTCAATTTGTACCTTCCGGACAGAAGCGCGTGTCGACGTTAATTTTCGTGCAAAAAAATTCAAAATAAATTTTTTCGTATGTCCACCGCTAACGCCGTGAGCCAAAACTCGCCTTTTAAAATCGTGAACCGCTACATGAGAACGTGCGTTTTGTATGGTTAATAGATAATATTAACGAATACGGTATACGAAACCTGATGCGTTAAGGTTGCCGTGACTACGGCCTTAAAGCATAAATGCACTGTGTAGAAAGTATTGCAGATGGCGTTCTTGTTTTCGGAAAACCAGACTTCCAAGTTTAAAAATAAATAATTTTAAATGAGCCGTATCTCGCCGAGGATTCATAGATAAGAGAAAGAATATCTGGAGGTGCATACAATTCAATGACGTGCCCTTACTGTTCTTCTCAATTAATGATTAGACGAATGGATTAATTATTTGGCCGGACCACGCCCCATCAGCCATTCCTCAGGGCGTAAATAGGACGCCTGAATGGACTTCCGACTCAGCAATATATATGTTCCGCATACGAACAGCAATTCAGAAATCATTTTACGGTGTCTCAATGACGCAATTTTGCAGTCCATTAATGAGATGGGCAGGGACAAGGCCATCATGGCATCCCTGCATAAGTAATCAGAGTCCTTGGGCCTTCGGCATTAGGACCTCATTTTTTACTTTTCCCCACAAATTGGTATCTTCTTTCTTGTAAACGGCCGTTGCTTTTCTCGAGGTGGATGGTATCATTCCAGGTATCCTCCGTTTCCCACGCTGTATTGTATTTAGATGGGTTCTTACTAGTCTTAAAGCTGCAATTCGCTTCCTTCCTCCACTGTCACTTCCAGGCCTTCTATTTTTTATCCCAAATTTCTATACTTGTTACCCCAAACTGGTTTTTGATCGACTGTAACATGGCGGGTCCGCGAAATGTCAATTTCTGTTTTGCCAATTATTTGGGGCCCAGTAAATGTCCGTTACTTTCATCTTATTTCCTTTGCGAGGCCTTCCAATTAGAGGGGGAATGTCACCTCCTCATCATTACATGGCGAAAATTCTCCCGAACTTGTCTGAATCGTTGGAAGCCTCTTAATTAGTGCTTTTTGGTCGGATACACGGCTGTATTTTAATAAAAAGTGTGACTCGGCAAAGTTCTTACGCGTCTTAACATCCTCGCATTCATTTTTGGCGTTCGTTCAAGTCGGCGGAGCAAGTTTATTCCCTAAAGTTTTGTGTTTTGCCCATAAAGTAAATATTTTTAGGTCTGCAATTTCCTTGGCCGGAGGGTTTGCTGGTCTAACAGGTGTTTTATCTTCGAGTTTTATCCAAACGGGGTGATGTATAACTCAAATTTGTAAAACGTTGGGTTTTTAACTTCTTTCATTTACAGTGCCTGAGGGCTTCACGGATTTTTTTCATTATTTACGGCTTTTTTGGCGTTTAGAGACGCCTTCCGTCCTCTGAATCGTCTTTGTATTACGTTTACACAATTCCCAGAAAATGTTACTGTGTTGATTACAACTGTGGAAATGAGTTATTTTCCTTACGGTTACTGGCGTCTTCCCTCCTACTATTAACGCTCGTCATATCTAATGTGATTATTGCACTGGCAAGTCTGGCGTAACTCCATTTATGACACCCTTTAAAAGTCTATCCATTTTCGATTCTTTTATTACATTTGAATACTATGGAAGTTAGCTAATTATAATATAAAATTCCAATTTTTACTTCTTATGCGCTCATAGTTCAACACGTTATCCTTGATGCCCTCTGGTAATTCAAAACCAAAGATTTTGTATGGGGGTTACTTTGTTTTCAGAACTCTTGGCTGGCGAACAAAACTGTTGGATTAATTCGGGATATAAAGCCGCCCACTGTTTTTTTGGAAACGTCCACGCGCGCCAAAGACTTGCTTAGTTTTACGGCTGTATGCCCGCGCTGCATTCAAAAAACAAAGTTGGAATCTGGCCGTTTAATGTCTCAAGTGCGGGTCTCACCTCCTCGTATATTGGATGGCTAGGCCCGCAGGTTAAAAGAAGAGAGTCCGGCTATTTTTGGATATAAATTTACGGCCAAAAGTTGCGTGAAAGCGGGCGAAGGGTGGGGCCAAGACTGAGAGCGAGTCCCTCTCTGGCCACAGCTTTCCCCCCAGAGGGCATTGAGATAAGTTCGTTCTGGAGAAGAGAAAAGCGGGTCAGTAGAGGTTCGAATGAGTGCATTTCAGATGGACGGGCCGCCCGAGCCCATCGCCAGTGACTATGTCGAATTGGCCATCTTGGTCATCTTGTTCATCATCGGCGCTCCTCTCAATCTGGCTGCTTACACTCAAGTAGGTTGAATCATACATTTAAATGTTCACATATATTTTATGATGATGTTTGTTGATTTGATGGGTACGTGTGGCTGTAACAGGAATAGTGCCCCAAGTCATAAGTTTTTAAATGTAGGCGGCAAGTTCTCTACATCTCCTGGCTTGCTTTTTATCTGTAAAGAAAAGCACCACTTGAATTAGGCTTGATATGACATAAGAGGAGACTAAATGTATTCCCATAATGACTCTGGTTTCCTCTAATTGTAAGACTGCAATTATCAATTTACTTGTGGTCTATTTTTATGACAAACAAATGTTTCGCAAACGCCTCAAATTCAAGTGATAAAAAACCATTTCAGCTGGCGGAACGACCTGTCTGCACTCGACTTGACATCCTCAAACGACATCTTAACTACTCCGACCTCCTGGTGCTGTTTATCTATGTGCCCTCGAGGGCCTGTTGGCTCCTCACTTATGATTGGCGAGGGGGCGACTTCTTATGCAAATTGGTCAAGTTCCTCCATACATTCGCATTCCAGGTAAAGGAAAGCCCCAAGAGATTCAGCAGTTGAAGGTTATGGCTTCGGACATTTCCAAATGAAAATCCTGGAAACTCTTGGAAATCTAGGCCAAATTAAGCTCGGAGAACAGCTGAGCCAGGGTGGATTTAATTAAGTCAGTTATTCGCTCACTAGAAAATTTGAACATTGGCGTAGTATCCCCTGATCTAAGCAGTGTTCTTCTACCCTGAATTAAATAGTTCTTTGTTGTCTTTCAATTTATAAAACGTCAACTTTTAGATCTCCTCTAATGTGATCGTTGTAATCGCAATCGATCGATTGCTAACAGTAATCTCATCATCTCATCATCGACCAGAAAGGGCACACAAGAGAACAAAATTGATGTTGCTAACGGCCTGGATAGCAGCATTTGTGATCTCAGCTCCACAGTTCGCGGTCTGGAGAGCATACGAGGCGTTCAAGGATAAGAAATGGAGCCAGTGCATGCAGGTAAGTAGTTTTTTTTGGCTATCGGGCCCTTATATTCTCCATCTTACAATTAGTCGCACAGTGCGTTTTTGTTTTTCTTTCGGACTCCTCGCTGCAATTCCCCGTTTTTGCACTAGCGACATGTACTTTCGAGAAAGCCCACTCCAATCTTCGACACCCGCGACAAATGTGTCAGGGCTTTATTGCGCGACTAGTATACTACCGGCCTTTTTATCCGATTTTTGTTCGACTTGTTTAATGGGTCCTTTCTTCAGATTTGGGAAATCTTCCGGGCCGAAGCCGTTCTCAACAACAACACCCAGATAAACGCGAATGAGCTGCTGAGGGAAGAGAATGTCTACGTCGTCTTGCATATGCTGCTTATCTTCTGGATCCCGGCGATGATTGTTCTGGTATGAATTAAACCATCTTTATTTTAAAACTGCAATATTTCCAAATTAATACCGATTACTTTCACTGTGGAGATTTCTCAATATTTTTTGTTTTCAGCTGAGTTATGTCATCGTGTCGTGTTGGGTGTATTGGAACAGTGAACCCTCGTTACTGATCGCCCATGGACGGGCCAGTGCTGATTCTCGGGCCGGGATATCATATCACACAGGGATGGAGACACTGGATACAGTTGTCACCAAGACCACGGGAGTCCAATTCGGTGAGTGAGAGGCATCTTTAATTAATCAATTCATTCATTACAGCTGCCAATCCAAAAATAGTCATCAGTGATGACACAATGAAGCCTTTGAACGAACAAAGAGCGTCAGCTGGTTCTGCAGATACCCTCAGGCACAATTCCTCGAACATGGTAATAACACCGGCTATGCGCAGAAGTCATTCAACATTCAGTGCAAAGGTGAATAGGTAAGCAGACACATCATTTTATTTGCATCTGGAAACGTCAAAGGGTAATATTTTAAAAACGTTTCAGAAGTCGCGCGATCCGCGTTAGTTTTCTTCTGGTCGCCGCATATATCATCTGCTGGCTACCTTACAATGCACTGAGTTTAATCCAGTTCGTCGATTCAGAAATTTTTAGCAAACATGCCAATAAAGTAAGTCGTTTGCTCTTTTTGACGATGGCTCAATTTAAGTTATATTGCTTACATGGAATGATGGTATTCAACTCGGTGGTCAATCCTTATTTATACGGGCTTTTCGGCAAAATGTGTCGGCACAAACGAAGACATTCGTAATTATTACTTGTAATATCTCAACGATCTCAATCTCCTCTCCACGGGCCGCTTCCTTCCTCTGCTCAGCATCATGATCTATTTGTATATATAGCTGGTTATAGTCCGAATGACACCCTGGGGACATGCACAGGCACTCACAGACACATGGTTTCTCTACAAATATCCCTGTATATCCCTCTGGGCATCATCGTTCAAACATTGTGACAATTGTTACTTGAAGTCGTTCATAAAATAATATTATTAAAAAAGGACACGATTAATTAGCCCAAACAAAATTGAAGAATCGCTAGGATCAGAAGACCTCAACTTTTATGGTGTTAGCGGCTTACAACCAGGAAATACAAAACAACCTGCTCAAACGTAAACGATCAGGATTTGCACAAAAATTGACAAAAGGAAAGAGCGCGGCGAAGAAGAGACGGGATAAAAAAAGAGGATCAGAGAAGCCTTACCTTCGAATTGCACTCTTTCCCCGCTCTCTTCAATCGCGCATAGTCAGCCGCGCCCCAAGGTTGTTGCCCATGCACCCCCAACAAACTCTCCACGTGCTCATCAAACTCTCTTTTCTCTCTACTTGGGGCGACTCTTCCCTGTCCAGTCGCCTCCGAACGTCGTCCATCTCATCGAGCATCTCTTTTTGACTTTCCCAAGGGCCCATCCGGCTTCAACTTCTTGTTCTGCTTCAGTTTTTCACCCTGTCGCCGTTTTTTCATCAACTTTTTATGTATAAATAATAGCCCCATCAGCGATGAATTAGTAAATCTTGAGGAATGTCTCTTTTTCTACGAATTCTTCCAAAATTTTCTTGATAATCTAACGCATTTCTTTGTTGATATTGCAAATTATGATCAGGATTTCTTATTCGTTAGGCTTTTCATGCTTACTTCGGATCGTTGCGCAATCCCAAAAAAGGTCTCAAGAGCCTTCTTTCATTCGAGCGACGGCCATTCAGTGTGTTAAGGAGATGGGTGCGCCCAGAGTAAAAGGATCAAGGCGCGCGAGAGCGGGCCAAGGAGAAAGTGGTCGGAAACCAGTTCCGTCACTCTTGAAACCCACACCAATCCCTGTCCATTGACTTTTTTGACCCAGCGGTTTCACGTTTCCTGCGCTCTGCCCATTTCTTAAGATCTCTTTTGGGATGACTTCGCGGCTCATTTCCTTTAACATTATGGTTTAATTTATTTCGAGCCGGTTTTGAACGTTTGAACATAATCGCCTGGATAAAGAGCTCGCCTAGCTCAGGGACTCATTAACATGTGTCCGATCAGCTCATTGAATAATATAACACGTTTATTTTATTTTATTGCGAGCCTTCGTTGATCTGACCAGTGACTGGCTGAGGCGGTTATTCTTCATTTCACCTTTGTCTTAACTCGAATTAATCGTTTTCTCTTCTCGAGTTGACCTTCTTCTCGTAAAAATACCTGGCGGATATCTTCTTCTTTACCATAAAAGAACACGCTCGGATGACGCTTACAAATTAGGGTCCGAGGAGCTCCAAGAAGAAGGTGCGGAGTCTTCTGCCTCCCTTTTCTTGACTTTCTCTGACAGAAACTGCTAGATCTGAGTCCAAATCCTTTTAAACTTCGGGACCGGACCAACAAAGTTCCGGTCCGAGGTCAGGCTTTTCTCTATATTTGGCGAGAGTTGATGGTGCAGACCCGCGAGAATGAGCGCCGGCTTTTTGGGGTTTGCCGTTGAGGCGTCTCTCAGCATATTTCTCATCATTTAATTCGACTCTTCGTGGTGACAATAAGATGATAGACGAAGGGCGGGAGGGAGGATTGCGGCGACTACGGAAACATACACGTCAAACGGCCTTTCACCAACGCAATTAGATCAATACGAAGACCCTAAAGCATCCATCCCCGCGCATTCCATTCCCAACCCATTTCCTCTTAACATTCCGTTTCCGGTGATAATACAACCGTTGAATCCCCCTTTCCGGTTTTTAACATCTTTATAGATCCATGCAACCGGTCATCGCCACAAGCTAAAAGGGCCGCAAATGAAGAGTAACGGCACATCGCGGATCGACCTCAATGAAGGCATCTCCAAGTAAGTCGCTTTCACTCTTATTGGCTTCTTCTGTGGTGTGTTTGACCCCTAATCCTTTGCTTCTGAACCCACCCTCTCTTTTCTAACGCTTATAAAACTTCAAAAGACATGTCGATAACAAAGGGCCGAGGGGGAATTGTACTGGCCAGTCTTTCAATTTATAATCAGCTTTGATCGCCACGGACTGATTTTCGCAAGTATTCTGCATTCTCTGTCATCGCTGCAGTACCCTCACTCTTTGCTCGGAGTAAATTAGAGAAACCTAATTCGTAGGCGGTTGTTTGGGGTTTGCGCGGGATTACAAAAGAGCGGACGGGTGCAGAAAGGGAGAAACTGTGGCTTGCCGTGCTTTCGCAAGAGAGGGATCATGATAACCTAGTTGGAATTACAGAACAAAAAGTTTTGATTCATCGAGGCGAAGGTACTTTTGCGAAAAGAAGAGGGATCAATAGCCAGCTCCTGAGGGACACCCTATAGGCAGTCAAGTAGTTTCGCGAAAGCAATCATGCAGTGAAGAGGAATCAATCCCCTGCCAGTCGTTTCATAATTAATAGATCTGGAAAATAAATGCTGATTTGAATACTAATTAGTAGGGCAGAGCTTCCGGAAACTTCTCCACGCGATCGGTAAGGAACCCCATCCTAAATTGACAGTCGTAAACTGCGTAGGGTTCCATTATGAATCATAATTTTTGAATGAGAATCCGTCAGTTTTCACAGAGGTCATCGAATTTAAGATATGAATAGTACTTTGTAAATGTATATGAGCAGGACCAAAAAATTCGTGTATAAAGAGCAGGACCAAAAAATGCGTAATCGCTCCCCTAACTTCAGGTATTACGCTAAACCCAAGGTCGATAAGAATTTTTTGAAAAGCGTTTCCATTAGCTGTTATCAGAGGCCACTCGGACGCCACCTCATCAAAGATTTCGCTCTTATTCTGCCTGCATGACATGTATTTTATAATTTTAAATTGCCCATCAGAATTTCTTAGCGTCTATAGGTCATAGCGCAACAGTTCTTTCTTCCAATATTTTTGTTTTTATCCCGTTGTTTTTGGTCAGCTTATATTTTTCAGTGGATTTGCACCCGGGAGAAGTCCTCAAGGTGGGCCTTCCTACTACTACAGCTCTCAGCCAACACTGGTGCATGCCTCAAACAGATCTTTAAATCAACCTCCTCCACCAGTGATACAGCCTGTTCATCATACAGCTTCAGCGGCCTCCAGTCCGGCTCAACCTGTGTCGCATACATATCGAACAGTAACCACCACAAAAGTGGATCCCCCACATCGATCCGGCACATTGCCGGCAAACCCGATAACAAGGAGAACACCATCTCTTCCAGCGCAAGGAATGGAGCCGCCTTCGTATTATGTCGAACATCTCGCCTCGTTTGCCGTAGGGCGCGAACACGGGCTTGTCAGCACAACCGATGGAATCAAGAAACTCAAAGAAATGGAACAGAAAAGTGCTGTCTTTGCACAGCCTATGATCTTGAAGTTGTATCCTGACAGGATTAGTGTGGAAGAAGAAAACGGCGAAGTAGTTGAGCAGTTCAACATGGAGCTTGTCACAGAACCAACAGCGCATCAATCAAATGACCCTCATGACGTCTTCAATAACGTTATTCTGTTCACAGTTAAAGAAGACACTAGGAATGGAAGACGGTCGTTTGTACCCACAGAAATGCACATCTTTCAGGTTAGCTTTAATAACGCGCCTTTTCACTATTCATGAATTTAACTTTAGTGTGTCCGAGTGTCGGCACAAGATTTGGCAAGCGATATTTATCAATACATGAGAAAAAATTACCACAAAGTAAGAGGTGGTAGAAGAGGGGGTGAGTATGGCCACACGATACCTCCTCCAGCACCGTCGAGTTACTACGACGGACATACTTCAAGAAGAGATTATCGAGACGAAGCGGGTGGTGGAGGGAGCGATTACTTTGAGGTGGATGTAGTAAGTAGATCACAAAAAGCCGCCAAAACGATTATTTAGAACACGTTGAACAAGTGCTTTGATGACATTGAAAGATTTGTGGCCCGAATCCAGTCAGCTGCCATTGCGCAACGAGAATTAGAGTTATACAATCATCGATTTAGAAGTAATCAAAGGAAACATAGAGCGCACGACGCCGCCCTTGCAGCACAGCATGGAATATTACAAATGAGAGCTCAATTACCAACTTATCAAGAATTTTACGACGTTTTCCAAAAATTCAAGCTCAGTTTTAATTTACTTGTAAGTAATTGATCGAATTATTATAACTGCTTCAGGCCAAACTGAAAAACCATATCAGGGAGCCCAATGCGCCCGAGTTGTTACATTTCCTTTTCACTCCCCTGACTGTCATTCTCGATGCATGTCATTGGGGATTAAACCGCAACGTCGCCCAAGAAGTGATCAGCCCCTTACTAACATACGACGCGTGCGACTTGTTAAGAAATTGTCTGATATCTAAGGAGCAAGAAGTCTGGGCAGCGCTTGGGAAAGCATGGAGAACACCTCCGTAAGTGGAAAAGAGTATGAATATCAACCTTCCTGATTTCAGAGAAGACTGGACGGGGCCTCCTGTCCCTCCGTTCCGCCCGATATTCAACACTCCTAACTTTTTTGGAACCTTCGAACCCCCGTCTAGGTATACTGGAGCACCTAATGCAATCCACAGAGGAGCTTCTGCGCCCCCACCACAGCAACACTTTGCCCCACCTTACAGGGGCCCGCCACATCGAGAAAGATCAGTTGACAATGTAAGAAAACACTTAGATGTAGTAAGTTGCTTTTTAGATCGACCTCGAAAAAGTTAATTTGGAGAAAGAACGACTGGAATTTGAAAGGATGAAGGTTAGAGAAAGAGAAGCCAGACTGCAAGAAGAGGAAAGGAGATTAAAGTAAGTATACCAAAGTGCAAAACTGTTCCATCGATCTTAATAATATAAGGATGGTGACATACAAATTACATCGGGTTTCGTGGCCAGAAACCGCTATTTTTTGCCTGTTAGGCTTCTAGAAAAGAAGCAGAGAAAAAAAGAAAAAAATCTTCGCGCGGAGAGAGCAGAAATTTGCGCACTATTGCGCAATGTTACGCAATTTGAGAGAAGAATTACGCATTTCTTGACTAGAAGCCTAACAGACAAGAAATGGCGGTTTCTGGCCACGAAACTTGTATGTCAATTCTGTGTTTTCAGACAAGAACAAGCACGACTGGAAGCAGAAAGGCGCTTGCTGCATAAAGAAGCTGAAAAGCAGTCTATGGCAGGTTCGGATAGGCCCGACTTTTACCGAAGAGACGAGTAAGCATACACAATAGTCAGGCCGATTAATAACGCTTCCAGATATTCTTCTCATTCGCCGCGAGCAGATAGACGCACTGCCAGTGTCCAGCAATTAAATGGTCATACAAGTCCAGCTTCTCCCCGGCCAAATATCCCAATTCCAATACCAGATCAGAGCCCGAGACAGAAAGCTTATTTGGATGGCTTAATCCAAAGGAGAGCGAAGGTGGTACAAGTGACGTACGACCGAGTAGCACAGAATGCTAAGGAACTTACAGTTGACCGTGGAGAATACCTTCAGGTAATTTTACCAGAAATATTCACATACGGTCCTAATTACAGGTTTTGAATGATACAAAGAATTGGTGGGAGTGTAAGAATGCGAGCGATAAGGTTGGATACGTCCCTCATACCATCCTGGCATTGGTAACAGTCGACGAAACCGAGGTAAGAAAGAGGTCTTAAGGAAGATTAAACTCGATTAAGGATCGAATCCAAGGTCTCCCTCAACACAATCCTTCTGCACTTCAACCTGGATCTGCCATAAGTCCTAGACCAGGTATGATGATATCGGAAGATACTCCCGAATATATAAAACAACGCCAAGGAAAGCGCGGAGAATTCCGTTACTTCTGACATGCCCGTTTCCCCCGAATTTCCCGTGGCTTCATCCACTGCCAAATAACCGGGTGTATTTATACTTTGTTTAAATTATCCGTCCTTGTCATTTATCCTGTTCCATTTGCTCACTTGAATTTATCCTTGTCTGACCGCTTACTTCCTCTCGGGGGTAGCGATTACAGATAAACGCTCAAAGATTTATGAATCTACGCTAAGATTTCTATTATATCCCTTGCATGTAAGCTATTTCGGTATTCATTCTCAAGTATCCATTGTGCCAGTCCATTTTAACTTGGTGGTCGACTCTCGACGACTCTTTGCCTCATAATTGCCCTTGTGTTTTCCCTATGTGATATGTGAAAACGGTAAAACAATGATTCAACTGTCCTGGTCGTTTCGAGTAATATCCCAAATGATGTTGTAGGTTATCAAATGAGTGAGCCTTCGTCCATTCGGTCGTATGACCATTCGTTACTTGATCGCTTACACTCAGTAAAACTAAGGCCAATATTAGTAAGTCATCACACCTGAATTCACACATTAAAGGACGAACTAACGCCTTCTGAACCCGGTAGCTTCGATGGCAGGCCGTCACAAAGACTACCAAAATTAATAATGGAAGAACAAAGTAAGCCGAATAATACGAATAGCGTCCTATTACAGAATACGTCCCTGAAATGGTGGCAACAATCAAGAGCAATGCTCCCATCATTGGATTACGGAGAGCTTCTTCAATTAGAGGCCCCCAATTAACACCAAACAGTGCGATAAGTGAAGTGCAATCGTGGTTAACGGCTAAAGACTTTAGCGATTATACCAAAAAGGTTCTCAGTAAATGTCAGGGGTTACATCTTTTCCAATTGACAAAAGAATTACTTTTTAAATACTGCGGAGAAGAAGGAAATCGTCTATTCAGTCTTATTCTTGCCCAGAAAAAAAGGTGTAACGTAAGAAAACTCAGACATCTTATCAATTACATTTTAGTATAAAAGTACAAGAGGAGACCAACTTAAAGCATTGCTAGAGATGAGAAAAGAACATGTCGACGAGAACAACGAAGCCGAAATGGAACCTAATTTAGATCCGCCGGAGATTTTGGACGAGAATGGAAACAACATAAACAAGCAGAACAACACACTTACTCCACGAGAAGCCCATAAGTCATATCCGCATCGTATCGTCCCTATCAATCCGTATAAAGACATCCCGCCTGAAAATCGGGCCGTCGAGTTTCTACGAGACAATTCGCACACTGTCCGTGCATATCATTAAAAATCACATCTGATTAACGACTTCCGTCAATAAAGTTAATATTCATTCGACAAGTCAACAAATTAAACAAGTGGGACGGCCCTCCTCTCACCCCACACCTCATGCCCGCCTTTATAATAGTCTGACTTTGTCGACCACGTGTCCTCACGTGACGTCGGTTTTTTTGATCTCTTCATGGATGATTTTATCAGTCTGTCGGGAAAATAACGGCGGATCGTCGCATCAAAATGTCTCGCCTCATAACTATCGCGCGCCAAATCTCCAGCTTCGGCAGCTGTCGCAAAGCGATGATGGACGATTCCGAGGCGCGACGATCCGCCGTTATTTTCCCGACAGACTCATATAAATTTATAATTCTTGCATCAGCTGCGTTAGAGCCAAGAGGCGGGACCAAACTCCGCGGTTTCGGATGAGCGAAACGTCGAGAGACCCATTTGAGAGAAAAAGAGGGATTCAACTCATTCCCCGTGTTGTACTTTGCGCTCTTACCAAAACAGATTTCTACACTCAGTAGATGTTGGGTTTACATTATATTCCTTTCAAGTAATTTAAAATACTTTATTTTCAATTTCGAAACTTTTTCTTCGTTTCCATCTGGCAATGGCGTTATCTGTTCTTTAGAAGAGCTTCTTTTATAATCTCGCCTGGCAAAGAAATACATTTTTTTCCCGGGAATTTGAGTTCACGGAACATTTTTCAAAAAAAACTCAGTCATGACGTATTTTGTGGAAATAACGAGTATTCGATTTTTGTATTTTTTGGTTCTTCTTACCGCGCGGCCGCGGGGTTATCGGAAGATTTTTGTTTTTGTGCATTGTAAACGGATATCCCTTCTTCGTTTTTTCACTATAATGATTATTTTAGAACATGTCCACGGATGATTTCGTTTCTTCCGACGTGAATAAAGCGCTGCAGGAGGCTAGACAGATTGTTACGAAAGGGAAGCGCCCACCACAACCTCTGAATGAACATTTAATCGAAGAATCGACAACCGTACAAGTCAACAAATCTGGAAATCGGACTGATCCTGTAGAAGTTATTATTTCAAGGTCGAAGAAATTTACACAGGATTCCAGTGATGATGAGTATTTTGGTAAGATTTGGATTTATTTAGGTATGTTTTTTAATTTTAGGTTCTTTATCAGATTCGGATCTGCTTCCGAGAGCGAGGACTGTCTCCACAGCTTCCAGAAAATCATGTAAACATCATTATAGTGATGCAGAATTGGAAGGTTTTGAAAAAAGTAAAAGTCACAAAAAACATACCAATGTGCGTTACCGAAGAAAAGGGAACGAGCTTTGGACAAAAGACGATGAGGATGATCTTTTAACTGATGGAACGGTTTCTGAATTCGAAGAAGACCAGGCTCGCCTAGAGGTCGATGTTAAAGAAGAGTGTAGAGATGAAGATGGAGAAGGTCATGTTGTGATTAAGGTAAGGGCATATGTAATTTAGTAATTATTATTATTACAGACATGGAGTGCACGTTGGACCGTTCAACACTTTGATTTATTGCCAGAATGGCTGCAAGACAATGAATATCTTCGACATGGGCATCGGCCTCCTCTTCCAAGTGTCGCTGAATGCTTTAAGAGTATCCTTTCCGTTCATACGGAAACAGGGAATATTTGGACTCATTTGATTGGTGAGTAGTTACACGTTTGAAATGACAAAAGTAACTTTTAGGTTGTGTTGCGTTCTTTTTCCTCGCTTTATGGTTCTTGACTAGGCCGGATGCTCATATTGGGCTACAGGAGAAATTGGTGTTTTCCTTCTTTTTTGGTGGTGCTATCCTGTGTTTAGGACTTTCATTTATGTTCCACACACTTTCATGTCATTCTTTGAATGTACTTTTGATATTCAGCAAGTAAGTCTCCATTGTTTCTCCATTGATTTTTAGGTTGGATTACATGGGAATTAGCCTTCTAATAGTTGGCTCATTTATTCCATGGGTATATTACGGATTCTATTGCCGCCAAGAGCCCAAAATTACCTATATAGCCATGATCTGCGTGTTGGGAGCTGGCGCCATTATCGTCTCCTTGTGGGATAAGTTCAGCGAGAGTCGTTACAGGCCTTTCAGGGCCGGAATTTTTGTAGCGATGGGCTGTAGCGGTAAACTAATATATTTCTAGACACGTGCTTTAGGTATCATCCCGGCTATTCATTTCGTATATACTGATGGTATGAGGGTGTTAATTGATGAAAATGGATTTTATTGGCTGGTCGCAATGGCGGTTTTATATCTCTTTGGCGCCTTTTTATACGCCACACGAACTCCGGAGAGATTCTTTCCTGGAAAATGCGATCTTGTGGTGAGTTTTTTGGGTCACTTACTGTTAAATCTTATCTTCGTATTAAAACTAAAATTCCTTACAGTTCCAATCGCATCAACTCTTCCACCTATGTGTTGTTGTGGCCGCATTCACCCATTACTATGGTATCTCCGAGATGGCCATGAAGAGACTCACATCCAGCTGCCCAGCCGACGAGTCTATATTTGACGCAGCGCGACATACAGAGCTCTAAGAAACTTCTTCCATCTAAGTTGTTTAACGGTTTGCAGTAATGCCTGCGGGTTCTCTGGCATTAAACACTTTGCACTGATTTCACTGACTTCAATAAATGTATTACATTTAGCTTCTGGTTACGCAGTACTTGTTTCTATCAAAAAATTTACTGCTCGTATTTGTGGAAGGCGGTGCATGATAACATCTGACATTTAGGATGGAACTTTTCGAGACCCCACTGTATAACGGCCGGGTATTCGAAAACCCACGTTCTTTCAATGGCTGGAAGGGCCTTCCTGGTCTCAGGGATATCTTCAGATGGCGATTTGTGGAGAGAAACGAGTCTCATTTACCTAGTCAAGCTGTTCTTAATCATTCGTTACCAGTTCAAGTACCTCAATTTGATTTCACGTCCAAACTTTCTGCCACTTGGCTTGGCCATGCTACTGTTTTTGTGCGTTTAGAAGGTATTTCCTTCATCACGGATCCCGTCTGGACTCCTAGAGCTTCTCCTTTCCGATGCATTGGCCCTTTTAGATACCGTCCTCCGCCTTGCGATATTGATGACCTTCCTCCCGTAAGTCTTTAATTAATTTAGCTTTATTTCCAGTTACACTTCGGTGTCATATCTCATAATCATTACGATCACCTGGATGCAGACGCGGTTAGTACATTATCCGCAAAATTCCCTGACATGGAGTGGTTTGTTCCTAAGGGTCTTAGTGATTGGATGAGGAGACATGTGTGCAACAATGTTATTCATGAAATGACATGGTATGTCCCTTGAATTTTTACATTTGTTTTTACATTTAGTGGTGATGACCTCTATTTATTCAGGGGCGAAAGTGTGACACTGGCTCTGGCAGACGGGAAATACCAGATTTGGTGTATTCCGGCACAACATTGGAGCAGTCGGAATCTCGTGGACAAGAACAAATCCCTTTGGTGCGGGTGGGCGATCATTGGAATGGAACGTAAATTTTACTTTGCTGGAGATACCGGCTTCTGTGAAACTGAATTCGCGAAACTTGGAAACAACCTAGGTCCTTTTGATCTGGCAGCTATTCCAATAGGAGCGTATTCCCCAAGGTAAGCGCTGCAAACATACATAAATAAATGCATTGAACGAATTAGGTGGTTTATGAAATCACAGCATGTTGATCCAGAAGAAGCTGTAAGGATGCACAAATTAATTAAAGCCGTCACAACAATTGGAATACATTGGGGCACATACAAGATGGGCTCGACCGAGGTAAGGAAATGTGTCAATGAAAACACCAAATTTAGAGTTACCTTGAACCACGCTCAAAGTTGCGACAGGCAGTAGAAAAAGCGGGGCTATCAGACCGAGCAGTGCTAACATTAGATCACGGCGAGACATGGACCGAAGACCCCAATTCACGGTATTCATCCGTCTCTTCCATGGACAGTACTTGAAAAAACGAGTCAGTTTTAATTTATTAAACAATTGTACAGTTGTGACTACAGTTAATACGGAGCTAGTTAAAGTCAGATCGGTTACCATGTATAAACAGATAGTGTGAACAACTTTAAATAACTAAGATGATCTGACATTGGTTTGACTTTTCTATCGCTGTATTGGAGACAGGTCAAGCTTTTCTCTAACCACTTCATACTCGTCGGATACCTCTCCGAGAGGTCCTGTGCCTCCATCTGAATTGAAAGAGGATGACATGACTTCTAAAGACTGAACATTGTTATCTGTGGAATCGAATTTGAGTTCGCTTAAGCTGGGATCAAATGACAATGACGCCGACGTTCCTGGAATTTCCGACATGTCCAAGTTGGGCGAATCAGCCGGGATATCCGTCAACAAACTGTTGGCACGCCGTCGACTAAAACGGGAGCTGTCCTAATCAACAAAAATAGACTATATCCCTACCGTTTAATTGATGAAAAAGAACTGTCAACTGACATGAAACTGTCGCCCAAACGTTCCTTCACCAAACTTTCAAAGTCAAAATCCAAAGGTATATGCAGATCCGTCTGCACCGCCTTATGTCCAACGTCCCTAATTGTTCTCGAGTTATTTGAAGATTTTGATGAAAAAATGCTATGCCGAATTACAGGGTTCTTTGTCGATGCCTGAAACACAAAAGTTATATAATTGCCCGAAAGTGGTGTGATTCTGCAGAACTTGCTACTTACCCCAAGATCCGGACTAGGAATGTAATGTTCATGTTTGAAATACCTGTCGACGAAAACCTGGACTCCCTCATCTTTCTCTCTAAACATGAATCTTCAAAAATATCTACTTACTCATGATACTCTTCCACGGCTTGATTTAATTCAACGAAAGCGGGTGCCATAAAAGATTGCTCCTCCAGGGTCCAACAAAATTCTTTAGAAGAATCCTAAAACAATAAAAAAGAAAACTCTTCGTACTTACATCTGATTCACACTTTGGACTTTTAAAGACACCTGGACTGAAGATTAAACGGCCGAATCCACCAGACTCAATCAAGTTCCTCGATTTGTTTGACCTAAGAACATCATATTTACAGAGGAAGCACCCCAAGTGCGACGCTCAGTCTTTGAACAATGTTTTCTGAGACAGGCGAGACTCCTACAGCTCGCGCTTTGCAGAAACAACCGAGATTTTTAACCAAACGTTTGAAAAAAATGTGACACTTTTTTGTGAGTTTTCGATGCCCGGCGTGTGTGAAAAATTTAAAGAAAATCTGAGCGTCTCGGGTACTTCCCTTGCTAGATTCGGCAATTTACCTTGAAGGGGTAGACATTGACTGCCAGGAAACAAGACAAACGGATTCACAAAGTTTACTTTGCAAATATAATGTAATAATTAAAATTATACAAATCAAAAAAAAAAACATTTTTAAAACTTTATTTTCATCAGTTGCATCCCTCGGTCCCGAGACGCAAACAACAATGACAGCAGATAAAAAAAATATTATAATTACTTCCGAAATCAATGAAAAACAGTTGCTATCCTTGAAAGTGATATTTATTATGGAGTCGTCAAATTGACGTGTCGGTCACGTTGTCGAATTGTCGACATTTTCGTCATGTCAAGTTTTTCCGTCATTTTGATTCTCAAATTGAACTTTTTTGGAAAATTTTCGTATATTTTTGCTAAAAAGTCGTTTGAATTAAATTTTTTTACGACCGACGAAATAAGCAGTAAAACTATTTACGACTAATATTAAAGGTCTATGTTAAACTCGACTATGAAAGCTTCGTATATCAGAATTTTCAGTTCAGTCAAAATGACAGAAGTCTGACGTCAATTTGAAAAATTCTGTCGAATTAACAACCCTATAATCTGTCGAATCTGTGTTTCGGGTATTTTCCTTCTTTGTTTTAACTTTACTTTTTTATTTTATCAAACGATAAAGCATTTAAAAGAATTTGTGTCCTTTTTTTATTAGTGAATCATTACTTTCGTGTTTACAGATTCTTTTCGAGCTTTTGGTTTGTTGATTTATTGATCTGAAATGGTGGATCATTTGAGTAAGTTGCTTCTTTTTATTTATTTTCCATCTTTTAGAGCAAACTGATATCAATGCCAGACGAATCCAAAATGTGGAGGTGGCGTTTGGATCATCAGGCATCCCTTTACAACACTTTAATCGGGTCCTGATTGGGGAGGGAGTTTTGATGAAGATGTGTCGAAAAAAAGCAAAGCCGAGGCAATTCTTCTTATTCAACGACATCTTGGTCTACGGTACCATATTGATGTCGAAACGAAAGTTCACTAAACAACGAATTATTCCACTGGAAGAAGTACAGATTGAGAACGTGGAAGATGAAGGAGAGAGCAAATACGGGTTTCTGGTAAAAACAAGAACAAAGAGTTTTGTGTTGTATGCGATATCAGAAAGCGAGAAAGAACAGTGGATGTCTCATATTGTGAAATGTGTTTCCACCGTTTTGAAAGGTAAGTATGAAATTTCCGTAATGTGCAGGTTTGAAAGGGTCTATGTTTTGCGGCTGCATGTAAATGAGATGTTAGGGATTTTGCAAATCATTTCAAGATTAACCAGCCGGCGGATTTTAGCGGCTTGTCAATTTTTCAGAAAAAGTCCAGACTGGAAATTAAACATGGCCCTACTCAATGTAGACTAAAGTAAGATTAGCTTTGGCCCCGGCTCTTGCAAATGTGAAACTACAGGAAAACCAAAACTTGAGGGTTTTTTTGGTAGAAATTTCTCGCAATTTCGTAATTAGGAGATCGGAACAGTTGCGCTTTTTGGATTTTTGCGTTAGTGACATAAAGAAAAAAATGCGGGAGCCTATTATCCTATGTTCTTCAGTATGCAACAAAGAATGCTGTATGGAATTTTACCCTGATTTAATAAAAACGCCTGCGGTTATTATCATTTATTTGGAGACCGGCTGGCTTTTCCCAAGTTATTTGGCGGCATTAATGTGGTATAATATACCCGGGTATATTCCCGAAATTTAGGGTATATTGGGGTATTTATAAAATTAGCCCCACGTCGCAGGAATTTGTAGGTTTTTACTCTCTTTTTCAAAAAAAAAAATGAATTTGGAAAAATTTTCAACTTTTTGAGCGAAAACTTAAATTTTGCGAATTTTTCGTATATTCAAAGGTGAATATACGAAAGATTTTAAAAATTTCGGGTACGCACGCGTTTCGAACAATTTTTCCCGATCGGTGCCGAGAAAACGAAAAATTAAAAAGTAGTGCTTACAATTCGGTGCGTATTTCGCTAGCAACAGCAGATATTACCAAACTAAAAGGTGGATGTTAGACTGTAATGTCGTGCATTCCAAGGGCTTTATTTATTTTTTTATCTTTTTCCAGAGGGAAAGGAACCTGCTCAAGATCATGCCGCCGTGTGGGTGCCGGATTCAGAAGCCGAGTTTTGCATGGTTTGCCATAACACTCATTTTACAGTAATTCAGAGAAGAGTAGGTTATTCACCATGGGCGTGAGAGGGTCTGGTAAAAAAAGTGAAATGATGGGTTTAAATTACCGTATTTTTCTTCTAGCATCATTGCCGATCCTGTGGAAAGGTTGTTTGTGGGTCATGCTCAACAAGGACGTTCACGTTAGAAGGGATCAGCAAGAAGCCCGTCCGAGTTTGTGATATTGCAAGTTAATTGCAGTTCTTTTTCTATTCATGGCGGCTACTTATTTCTTAAATTTAGTGCTATAACAAGTTATGCCAACGATTCAAGGCGGCTCCGCAGGCTCTGAACGATTCGTCGGATTCAGACGACGACACAGGGCACCAGGACCACGAATTTGTAAGTGAAATTGATTTTCTATAGTTTTGTGGCCAAAAAGATATAATGTTTAAGTATACTTTACAGGCAACCTTTTATCACGAAAAGGAAGAAGGCCCCGAAAAGTTGGTCTGATTTCGGATGATTCATTTCTATGTACAGCCATTCTTAAATTTCCGTTTGCACTCCTCACTTATACAGATTTGCCGGTATCATAATGTCAATCATTTAACTTGTGATATTAATGTACAATATAACAATATGAGAAATAATAAAAGCGCCTTACTTTGGCACTTTGACCCGTATTTTCCTCCGAGATTCTTCATAATTCATCATCCATCAGCGACGTGCATTGATCCGTACTTTGTCGTCGATTAATTCCGTTTTGTTTTATCTCCCTGCAAGAGACCAATTAGAGATAGCGAATAACAAAGTATTCCACTTCCTTAAGTGCATATTATTGTTGTACTTACTTTGTGTCCGCAAGTTGATCATTACCATTAATGTCATGGCCGTTCTGATGCACTGTACTTGGACTTCGGTCCTCTCCCGTCGCGTTTAAGACAGCCATCGTTACATTGCCTTGGTTTTGCGTTGAGTTAACCACATCGTGCTTCATCTGCAGCTGCGTGTTCAACAAACCATACAATATCCAATTCGAAGCCGACCCAAAGTACGGTAAAAGATGGACACAGTAGATGATAAAGACGAGCAAAGGTGAAGGATCTGACCTTCCATCAGCCAGAACGCTCATGTAAATGGCGTATAGCACGGAACACCAGTAGGGAGTCCAACATACGAAGTAGAGAACAGCAATTAGAATGGTATAGATGGAGATACGGCGGAGAGGAATACCCGAGCGCGGCAGAGTCTTTGTATGTCGATAGAGTTTTCTGATTAGCCTGGAGTTGAAGAAGATGATTAGGATGAGAGGTACAAGATAGCCTAAGATGAACGTAGACGATGTGAACCAGTAAAAAACATATGGTGGCATCATATCCGTGCATTTATATACCCGAACTCGAGTGACATTCTCGATCCCCGTGTCGGGGTCGACCTGTCGATGTTGATGTAGCAAAACTTCCGTCGATGATGCATATGTTAGCATCGGTAATAATAGGACAAAAGCGACCACCCATAGTGCTAACAATTATTTTAAATGAAGTAAGAAAACACTTACTTATAATTGTCGATATCACAAATCTCCGTGACCGATAGTAATGTTTGTAAGGATGACACACAGCAACAAATCTGTCGAAGGACATAGCCGTAATCAGAAAGGTGGAGACGATCCTCCCGACACTTCCGCATACATGATGCAATTTACATATGATGGTTCCGAACATCCAGAAGCCGATTATGCTATCCTAAAGAACCTTCTCATGACACGAGCCACCTTACCAATATTGCTGGGGGTAGCGATAATGACATCAGGAAGTCGACCACACATAAGGCACCGATATATAAGATGGCATTGTCAGACTGCCGTCTGCAGTTGACACGATTCCCCTTCCGTTCGGAAACAATGCCTCTGATGATGGTTAGAATAGACGAGTTCCCACATATTCCCACAATGAAACACAGAACAAAGATGATCACAACGAAGAGAACTCGCGGTTGTAATTCCTAAAACAATGTCATTGGTCACGTCACTGGTTGGATAGTTATATTTTAAGAGTCAAGCAAAGTAGGCCCCCAAAAATAATTACTTGGATCGGCGGGTAAACATTGTGAATGTAGACATGCCCACTCTGACACAGATACGTGCCCCTCTCAGTCTGATGACAGTCCGGGTTCATGGTTTAGCGAACGAGATCCGGGAATTGAGTTCGGGCGGCCATTGACGAAAAACGAGGACTTCGTGGAACCCTTCCGAGTGACAGTCGACGTTTAATTAAAGCCTGAAATCTGCCATGTATCAAAATCTTTGGGCCGTTTTAAGGTACTTCAGAAAATAAAAAGTTGTTGCCGTCAGACGGAGGTGAAGGACAAAACAAAACGGAATAAAACAGTCAAATTAATCAATAAAATTTTGACTTGGATATTTCTATTTTTAAACTGACAGCGAAATTAAACGGTTAGCTGCAAAAAGACTGGTAAAAATTTTACAGAATGCTTACGGGTTCCTAAATATACAGGAATAAATGAAGCAGACAGGGGCAGGTATCATTGCCCGTTATTCGGGTAAAGACAAGAACTCGAGGGTTGGCTGACGTCCTCGACAAGAGGACATACGGAAAATTCCCTTCTCGCCCGCGGCACATTCGAAGGTACGGTTCCGGAAATCCCAACCCGACCAACCGGATATGGGGATTGGCCTGCGGGTCGGCCTTTCGAACAAAGTCAACGGCCACCCAAAACGGCTGGCAGAAGAAACGACGCGGTTGCTATTATTTATACAAAATCGTCCCACTATGATCTTGTCATGGTTAAGGAATAACAAAGCCTACCGCTCCCTTTAATTGATTAAATTTTACAACATGGTGCTGGATAAACAAGGAATGAAAGGAAGACCCTGCACTTCTTAATGCCAAGACTTGGACTGTATCTGCAAATTTAAACAGAACACGCACGAGATGGTATTTTCTATTTACGGTTATTCGCTTTTTCCATTATTTGTCTGAGAACAGTATAAGGAAAAAAGTGGTGGGAAATTACAAATCGAATTTGACTTCACACTCAAATGTAGGCCGCTTAATACAATTACAGCCAAGCATGGCATGCTCAAAAATAGTCTAAAGAGTATTGGCATCAAGTTTAAAGCGGAGCGAAGATAGGACCTGATGTAAACCAATTGGTTTGAAACTACTTGTTTTCGTGTAGGGCCAGGGTTTAGAGTGATATTAAGATCGTCGCAGGAAACGCCTCGGGTTGTGTCCGCTCTAAGCAAGACATCACCGCTGCCTGATGATGACTTAAAAGTCATCCGCGGATGACTTAAAAGTCATCCGCCTTTGCAAGGCTCGAAGGTATTAAACGATGTCACATAATTGCCCCCCCCCTCCCCGTTGGGCTTTTGACCTCGAATGCCGGAGGTCATCCAGTCGAAAGGCCAAGTGGCCCGAGCTCATTTTTATATATAAATAAAGGGAACGCAACAATCACACACAATCGAAGGCACGGCACAGAACGGCGGGGCATAAAATGCACTCATGAAAAACAATATAGATGAGGAAGGATCCGCGGCCAACTCCAGAATAACTCCGCTCCCCCCACAGAAACGTCGCGCGGTCGGTCTGACTCTCTCAAATTTGACTTTAAATGTGCGAGTACAAGTTCAAATAAGGGCCGGGAATTAAGCGGGAACGAAGTGGCATACTTTCCCTTGATTACAATTCCGTTGGAACAAACGCTGCCTTTTTTGTGTTTGCTAATTCAACCCTCAATCCAATTACTATAACAACCCGACTTTCGATCGTTTGAATATAACTACAAAATTGAAGTCAAAGGAAATTTTGTGGGTTAATTAATAGAAGTAGGATGTGATTAGTCCCATCGGTTTGTTTACACAATTCCCTTCCACGTCACGGTGATCTCACTCTTATAAAATATAGGACATGGCTTTGATATCCCGTCAGCTAAGAATAGAAGTACCCCGACAGAGACTCTTCAAACTGAGTTATACCACTAGATTCTGTACGACTCTGATTAAAAATCAGAGAAAAACGTTCGAATAATATTAAAAAGGATGTCGCCCACGTCTATATTTACTGTGAAAAAGTACACCAAAGTATCATGACATCAGGACAGAAGGAAGTAAATCTAGCAGTCAGTGAGGAAAGAAGTTTGCACAAGTAATCTTAAATGAACGTCGGAGGCTTAGAAGAAGGCAACAGAACACCTCTGTGCACAAGCGCCCTGATTACCCGAAACCTCAAAAAGACAATGGCCCTGTGATTACAGAAAAGCCACAAGACCTCGTCCATCCAGACTAGATCCGAATCCGTCCCTCGGCAATGCAAAGGTGCTGAATAGCGGTAATTGGGGCCGTAGAAAAGGGTCGGAGGCTTCCCGTTGACATTCATGAAAACAGAATGGAAATTAAACTGTGTTAGCTGGGAATCTCAAATAAACAACAGGTTAATAACAGGCCAGTACAAACAAAGAATAAACGTTTTTGGGGGCCAGTGCTGGACCGCGGCTGCCAACCGGCAATGCGGGTCTGGAAGGAGCCGAAACCGGTTTTTACTTCTTTAATTGGCGCCTCCTGGGAGCGGATGAATCGCCTCCGCATCCCCTCAAAGCATCCACCTCCAATTTGGTGGGCCGGCAGATAGAAGTGAGGCCTGTTCGAGGCCCAGAACATTAATCCGGCCCCATTCCTCTCATGTTCCCCCCCCCCTCGGTTTGGTGGCAAAATCTGGAAATTAATCATTTTCAGGCCTCGAAGACGGCGGTTTTTACGTTAGCAGTCAACTCTCCGGAACTGCAAGAAGGTAGCCGGAATCCATTTCGAGCACTACTCCAATTGAATTAAACCGATGGAAACGACTGCCGTCAGTCCCTTAATCATCACAATCACACCCCGAAACGTAACTTTGTTTGTACTCAAATCCATGGAGATTACTCGACGCGACCCTAGATCGCCAAACCTACATATCCACGTCCAAATGAACAGCCTAAAGATGCACTCCGAAACCATTTAATGGAAATGACTTCCTCGACCTGCCAGAATGGCCGTCTCTCTGTCTTTGTTCTCGGCTCGTGACCGATCGTCCTCAAACCACACCTTATGCTTCCGTCATGTTTACGACAACAAACAATTAAACAGACAAAACAAGCACCATCTTCGAAATCGCTTAATCACCTACAAAATCAAATATGAGCAACAATAAGACGAAAGCCAAACTTGAAGAGGAATTGTCTATAAAAACAAATGGAAATGACACTAGACAAAGATGAGTTATATAGCCACAGAGCGTAAACAGAAATATATGAAAATACAGCGGTAATGCCAAAAAAGAAAGCGAAAGCAGTAAATAGCGGACGCGGCTTCAACAAATATGGCGAAAGTACACCTGAAGCCACTTTTGAGGCGAAGCCATGGAAGAACTAATAAAACTAAAAATCATTAAGTACATGAATTCCAACATCCGAAGACAAATCGAGATCCGTTTAAAGAGTAAAAAGGATTCGGAATCTGCTAAATGCCATGATTAAGGTCTTTTCGGAAGGAGACTCACTAACTGCCTTAATTAATCAGAGAGTACATCATAAGTTCTAATCCAGGCCTCAAATAATTATTCCTGTAAGGGATTAATGGGAGAATGAATAACGAGTTGGAGGACCTCATGCAGCCATTTCTTTTCGGGTAATTATTATATTTGGGAAGACAAACAAAACTATTCCAAGCATGACAAAACTAATGAGTCAGAAGTGTGTCAGAAATGTAATCCAATAATCAACAACACGAAAACTGACCTGCATTTTTGGTATTTGGTAGACTCAATTTCATTTTTTCGGGCTTCGTGGCATAAGGTAATTATGCGAATGTTGCAAAAAAAGGAAACAGGAATCAGGAAAAGAAAGAAAGGAACAAGTAAGCTTCTCAGGGTGATATATCATTTTATTTTCTTGTCATCTCCATAAGCATTTTTTATCTCTTCAGATTAGAGGTCGGAAGAATAACATTTCCGGCAAGAGAAAAACATAAAACTCTAGGATACCGATCAATGGAATCTCTGGGATTAGCAGTTCATCAAAAAACAAGGAAAGCAAAATCCTACAAATCCGGCTCTAGTCCCTGGCCCGAAAACATTTCGTTTCTGGTTTCCACGTTTTTGTGGCATTCTGCCATTTTGCTCAAAAAATAAAAAAACATTTTTTATATCTCTACGTAAATACGTGTGTCTGGATGACGGTAAACACGGAGCGAAAGAAGTCGTTGATCGATGGACATGTTGAGAATGGAATCGATCTCAAGTTCTGCTTTGATCCCGGACTCCTTGATAGATCTGATTTTACTGTGGAGAAGTTCATAAATTTCAATCGGAAAAGGGCGACCCTCGACCAGATTCATAATGACTTGCGGGCTTTCTTGAGGCATCTACAGAACTCTATGGTGGAGCTCATTAATGATGATTACGCTGATTTTGTGAATCTGTCTGCTAATCTTGCTGCATTAAAGGAATCGATTGATAAAGTCTCCACGGATGTTGTGGTAAGCTAATGAATTGAACTAACTTCCTCTCCCAATTTTAGTCTGCTTGGGATGGGTTTGAAAGTTCGAACGAGTCAATTAAGGAGACTGCGAATTTGATTAACCGAAAATCCGAAGAGATTATACAGATTCGACAACATCAGGTGTCCGTACGAAACAAGATACTGTTCCTGACAAGTCTGGATAGACTGAGTCTCTGTTTAACCAAAAGACCGTCTGATTTATCCCAGAAATGGTAAAATTATACATTTCTTTACACATTTATAATTTTAGGTACCTAAAGCTCATAAATATTCTAATCTCAATCCAAGTGTGGCAGCTAAGAATTCCGGAGAATGATCTAAAGTCGGGAGCACTTGTAGCAAAAGATGTCTGTTTTGGAAAGGCCAAGAAATTGCTGACTGAGGATCTAGTCACAGATTTAAGATCGGGATGCCAGTTTGTCATATTTATTTTGGCGGGCCTGAAGTTGATTAGAGAGTTGGAATATGCTTCAAAAATAATTTCATACACGGTAATCAAGAGCTCTGTGGATGTGGTGGGAAGTGACCCTATCGATCAGCTGGTCAATGCATTTGAACAATGTAAAAAGGTATGGTTCCTTCGTTTATTATTTTCTTCTTTAGCTCCGAACTCAGTGGATTACAAATCTTCAAATTCACGATCAGTACACTCAAGAAGCCAGTCATTTTCTGGATGACGCTTTAATGGAATTTATTTTAGGATTTCTGGATGATGTGAGTATCCCAAGAATGGGCCACGATTCTCATTATTATTTTTAGAATCTGAGTTCCCTTTGCCTTCCAAGTGATCCTTCTGTCTTCTTCCGGTCACATATGATAACCTACAACTTTGCCTCGTCGTTTCCACAAATTAATGCTCATCCCGCATTCCTTAACGGACTCAGGGATCGTTATAATACGATGCTTTATGTAAAACGGCTCACCGCGCCTTTTAGAGACCAAATGGCTTCGGCGATTTCCGACCTTACCGTCAAGTATAACCAGTCCGAAGACCGATTACATCCGTTTGATCCTTCGAATACTGTGTTGCGAGCAATAGATACCCTTTATTCCGACAATTATTTTTTGCCGAACGTATCCCCAGAGATTTGGGAGTTTACTTTAAAACTTTTGGAACAACATCACGATTGGATTAACAAGTGTTCTGAGCAAGTTGACGATTAATTTTGATTTTATTTCAATTTAGAGTGGAACCTTGCAAAGCAGTTGATGAGATATCTGGAGTAATATCAGTTAAAGAAAGATGGCCGGATCTTGTGATTTTGGTTGCCGGTGCTCATTCTTTTTATACTAAACTCTACGATTTTTGTGTGACAAAGATTTTCAAAAAGTTCCATGAGATGAATGCAGAAGAAGGTCCTTTTCGTCAATTTGTAATCGAGTATAATGGCCTGGCTGCTGAGAACCGTGCTCAAATTATCGACAAGATTATCAAAGATTTAGTGGAGAAATCCGCTATTGAATTAATGAAGGTTGCAGAAATTCCCAAGCACTACCGATGGACAAAAAAACCAGCTCCAACAGCATCCAATCCATATGTTGACCAGGCATTTGAATATCAAAAAAAATTTAAAGAACAAGCCGAGAAAATGGAATGGATAGCGGAATGGATAACAGAAACACTGAAAAGAATACGGAGCGAAATGGTTGATATCTTCTTAGAACATGCTGGAAAGGTGAGTCTTTTCAAAGGAACAATGTCTTATTGTTTTAGGTTTTGAGTTCGGTTCAACAAACTGGTTCAAGTCTCCAGCGATTTAAACGGAAGGGATTGATTAATTCAGAATCTTCTGACAAAGTGGCGGAAACTGACGAATTCAAGATAAAGTTACAATTACAATTAGACACTGCACGTGTCAGAGAAGCAGCTAATGAAGTTGGGATATCTGTAGATAAACTGGATCAGTTCTTGGAGGCCATCCAACAGACCGAGGCTTGATTAATTTTTAACAACCGTTTATAATAATAAGCATCTGTGATAAAGTATTTATTTATAACTTCGAATTGATTCCTTTGCTGTAAAATCCAATTTTAATATCTGAAGGAGAATTAAAACATAATTGTTTATATTTTTGATAGTCAAGCTAGAATATGGCTACTTGGGCAGATATCCGGCGTTTAGCGGCTGATCTTCAACGTGTGCAGGCGGCCGATTCTGAGAAAAAGTAAGTGTTCAAATTAACATTTATTGTTTCAAAAACAGGCTTTCTGAGGCGAATTGCATTGAAGTAATTACGAAGCTAATCAACAGTGGCGCCATCGACATAGTTGTTGCGTCGAACGGGAAGGAATACATCACAAAGAAGCATCTGATAACTGAAATTGAAAACGAATGCATTGCCAACGGAGGGAGGGTTACTGTAACAGATCTGGTGGCATTGTTGAATGTCAATTTGGAGCACGTAGAGACGGCTACGTCTGTTTTGATCAACAGCTCTCACGAATACATACTATGTGCTGGAGAATTACTTGCCAGGTAATGAAGACGTAGTGTGCAATAATTTTACTTTTTAGGGATTTCATTAATGGATTGTGCAAACAGTTGAATGAAAAGTTGAAGGAAACTGGACAACTCTCCATGCTGGAACTTTCCAAAACTTGGGATCTCCCTACCGATGTGTTCAATCACTACGTTCTTCCAGAGTTGGGCACCAAGATTGATGCCAAGAAGGTGGAAGATCAGTTGTACACCAACAGCTTCCTCCAAATCCAAACAAACAAATTGAGAGCTTGTTTGGCGGCTTTCAGCAAGTAAGGCAATGAAAATATTATTTCTTTTCTAGGCCGACGTCGTTGTCATCAATATTTTCGGCATTTTCCATTCCCGAATCCTTATTTTTTAACATTTGGAATGGTCTGATTGCCGATGGAAAGTTGAGTGGCCATGTTGTAGGCGCCAAAAACAATCTGAAAGCCTATTATGTCCCGAGAATGCATGAAATTCTGGTCAAGTCATTTATCAAAAAGACGTTCGAATCAGAAGGATTTATCGGTAACTTAATCTTATGCTGAATTTAACTGAAAATTTATAGCTACTTCTCTGCTGAAGAAGCTCTCCGTAAATGACGCCAAGGCCTACTTTAAGGATTTGTTTTCAAAAAAAGTGTTGGAATCGAGTTTGTTTTTGGAATCCGGAGTTGTCACTCAAAGTTTATGGGCCGATACGATCACCAGTGTCCACGGTAACATATACTTTATAATTATTTGAAAGCCATCGAAAGAGACCCCCGGTTCGGGGATCTCTTTCGAAGGAAACCTAATTATTTGGTTCAGAGGAGTTAACGGCCAAGCTCTATGTAATCGTGGAAGAAATTCTTCCCACTGTGCTATCAGATATGTCCGAAAAGGACATTGATCTGTTATACGCAGACATCAAAAGGAACAAGCCTAATGTGAAATCAATCATTGGGGAGGTTTATGTCTTATACGACGATAAAATTGTTGACCAAGCCTTGGAGAAGGTGATTCCGACTGTTATTGAGAAGGCCAGGTCTGATGCCCCTTCTATTATTGACAAAATAAAAGAATTCAAGTTATCACAACAAAACGTCCAGAAGAAAGCAGAGGAAGATGTAAGTATTACTGAAATCTGCATTGATTTTAGGACGACTGGGGGTCAGGAGGCGGAAAGAAAAAAGGAAAAAGCGGCAAGAAACAATCAACGACAAAAGCGAAGAATACTTCCAACAATTCCCAAGGTAATTTGACAGCATTATAATGAGTTTGTTAGCAGATTACTGGAGTCTCGTCACCTTGGATAAGAGGGAATTGAGAGAAGATCTTTCCGCAATAGCACACGTTCCCGACCTCTTGCTTGACGAGATTATCGATGAACTTTTTGTTCAGACCAATAATCGATACAAGGAAGAAGTGGAGCTGGCTTTGACAAGTGTTGATAGTAGTGCGAGCAAAGACATGAAGAAGTTGATCGAGGAACGGAGACTGAAAGCACAACATCTCTACGATCAACTGCTCGTGTTCGAACAGAGTTTGGATGAATTACCCGGTATGGTAATCGCTTTCGTACTGATTATTGTTTTAGAAACACTCGCCCTGGATCTAAAGTCATATCTCACCAAGTCTATTTGCCTCGAGATTTGTCAACTGATGTTGTCTACAGTAACCGAATGCCCTTCTTCAACTCCACTTTCCAACAAAGTTAGAGATGAGCTTATTAATTCGATCAAGGATCCTGAGGCCAGGGAAATTCTCTCTGCCCTTTTTGCCAGTACCTCCGATCTAGCACAATTCCATGATTCAGTCACCGATCTGCAGAAGATATCGATTATGCTCAGAATTCCGGACAAAAAGAAGAGAACCGAGACGTTCGAGAGTTACAAGGAGCTTCTTAGGAAAAGGATATCAGAAGAAACTGATCCTCCAACTCTCCTTTTGACCTGTATCCTCTTCGTCTTCGCAACTAAAAGGGGCATAGCCATAACATGCACCGGGAAGTTTGTTGGGCAGCTGATCAAAGAATTGAGTGCTGACTCGGGGAAAATCCCTAACACATTAGTTGATCAACTTCAAGAGACACAGAAGTTGGTTGTGGATTCGCTAAAGAAAAAGAATGTAGATCAAGAGCTGATGGATAAGTTGACTCAGAAAGCGGCCGAACTGAAAACGTCTATGCTAGCTCTTTGAATTTTATACTATGTCTGTTTAATAATCAATATTCATATTTAAAGGTTATAATTTTTGTGTACAAGCTGGAAGAAGTAAGACCTTTTCTGGTTATCTGACAAGGAAAGTACTTTTGTGAGGGCTCCTACTTTTCGACGGGACATATCTCAAAAAATCCGAAAAATCGTGCTGACTAAGAATATGTAAAAATTAGCTGCCTAATTTCCGGTTTTAGGGCTGAAAAAATAATTGCAAGTAGACTTAAAGTCCTATACAGGGTGTTCCAAGAATTATGGAAAAAAGTATTCATTAATAAATTTGTGCTCGGTGGTCCAATCCTTTTTTGTATTTTGCAGAAAAACCTTGGAGTTTTTAGAATCAAAAAAATTTTTTTCTTTAATCGGCGGAGACTTCCGTAATCCGCCGATTTCTCCGCCGAATTGCCTTTTTTTCTTCTCCCAGTGGACCGTTGACGTAATAAGTCGTATTTAGGCGCCATGCCACCAGGGATACCATACGTTTTGGTTTTAGCAAATTTTGACTCTCCAAAGTCGGATAAGTATCGTCCACCGAGGTTAAAAAATGTCCCCGCCGAATTACAAAAATTTGAAATAAATGTCATATTGTATCTTCTAAATCCTTTCCCGTCCATTTTCTTTACACATACAACAATTTACAGCCTCGTTTGTGAAAAAACCCTCCGCCGAATTCAAGGCGGATTAGGGAAGTCTCTGCCAATAAAAAAAAAAAAAAAAAAATTGATTCTAAAAACTCAAAGGTTTTTCTGTAAAATGTAGTTTTTTCCATAATTCTTGGAACACCCGGGTGTGCACCCTGTATAAACCCCTTTCCGCTTAATTTTTCACTTTTATGCTTCTTGAGTTTCTAAGACGTAATGAACAAGTTTTGTTACAAAATTTATTTTTCGGACCTTCAACTTCAAAAAAAATTATTCGGGCAAAACAGAAGTCGAAACCGTGAGACCGACCGCGCATTTTATTTTTTGGCTTTTTTGCAACGCCTGCGCCGTTTGTAGGGATACTAAGCCAGTTTTTTCAGCACAATTTTTCGGATCTTTTGCAGTCTGTCGGGAAAATAACGGATCGTCGCATCAAAATGTCTTGCCCCGCCGCTATCGCGCACCAAATTCCCAGCCGCGGCTATCAGTCTGTCGGGAAAATAACGGCGGATCGTCGCATCAAAATGTCTCGCCTCGCCGATATCGCGTACCAAATTCCCAGCCGCGGCTTGAAGTCGCTAAGCGATGATGGGCGATTCCGAGGCGCGATAATCCGCCGTTATTTTTCCGACAGACTGATAGAAGTCGCAAAGCGATGATGTGCGATTCCGAGGCGCGACAATCCGCCGTTATTTTCCCGACCGACTGATACAAAGCGAGAAATTTCGCAACGTTGTGTAAGATTGCGCAACTTTTAACTTTGGACTTATTGTTAATCCGCGGGATTGGGATTGACTGGCTGAAATTTATAATTAAGGTGCCAGATATGTCCTGTCGAAAAGTAGGAGCCCCCATAAAAGTATATACTTTCCTTGTTAGAAAAATCGGCGGAGTTTTGAAATCCAAAGGAAAAAGTTGTTAGTTTCGAGTGGCCTACCCTGTACGGTAATCCGATTGAAAAATAAGATTCAGTTATTATACTTTACATGGAAAATGAAAAAATGCACAATTGTTTTAAGTCAGGTAATAGCGCGGCAGAGATCACAATTCAGCTTATATCCCTTGAAGATTCATTCGTTGATATTCCTTGGACATATCCCTGGGTGTCTTCAATTCCTTCAGCTCAATGTATTGTTTCATGGCAAACTATAACGTAAAATTTTATTTGACATGGTGATTTCCGTCTTTAATAATCAAATGAAATAACCTTACTTGGAAATGGCAATGACCCTTCGATTGAATCTTCACCTTCCTATCTTCAACAACAACGTGTTGAAATTTCTTTGAGTTCTGTGTAAGTGAGTCCTAGAATAAAAATACTAATATCTTTGGATTACTCGTACCTGGAAAATAGTGGCAATGTTGGCTGTAACCGGAAGGACTAGGGCTCCATCCTTGAGTCTTTTGATGATGATTGTCACCATTCCCGATAACGTTGAGGTCAGCGAATAAGAACCGTTGTAATTCAGTTCTTCGATTACTATCGCGGCTTCGGTCTGAGCCCCAGGAGGTACCATAATATTGGAATCCACGGCCCATGAGAGTATCTCGCTCTTCGTAGTCTCGTTTAGATTGTTAAAATGGGTCTCGTACTTGAATCCCGTCTTTAACTCGGCAATCTCACCTACAAAAGAGTCATTCACAATTTGAATTTTAAAGCGTTACGCAAAGCAGAAAGAGATGAGATAGCAGTAGACTGTGCAGCATGGATTATTAATTTCTGTAAACTTACAAGGGGTCTTCAGAGTCAACTCTGCTTCAGCGCCGATTGTGAAACCCTGCTCTCGAACAACTCCTACGATGCTTTCACTTGTCCTTTCAGTTTTCAGGGAATATGCCTGAGGCTGAGAGGTATTGTTGGTGAAAACTGACTTGAATATTGTGTTGGGCTTAGCCCCACTCAATTGCATCGACTTGTAGTCTGGGTCTCCGTGGAACAGAGCTAACCTTCGTCGATCCTAAACCAATTTGTTGTCGATTTATAAGTTGTACTTTTAGAAGCAACAAACTGTTTACTCACAATTATGAATTCGGCCTCTTCCCTCTCCAGATGCTTGAAAGTTTCTAGCCCTGACTTCTTGAAGCCAAGTGAATCCTTGAACATCCTCCAGGCATAATTCTCGAGGATCGAATCAACATCTACATGTTTGTCAATGTCAGTCATCTCTGCAAAAAAATTGTAATACAAAACCAGATGCTCTTAAATCCGGAATAGTTAAAACGGCGGCGAAAAGATTCGACTTCTTTAAAACGTCAAAAGACTTCCAGCAGTTCCTGATTTCCACCCAAAACATTTAGATAAACAAGGAAAGTGAGTCATCATACAGTTAATCAAATAATCGTGTACGAGGATGTCAAATGGTAACAGGGCCTTGAGCTATTATGCACTATTTACAGGCTCTTAAACATTTACAGGTGAAAATAATTCAAGTTTCCCCTCTCTCTTTTACACTCCGTTTCTATAAAGTAATTTTCTCCGAATAGGTAAATGCAGATGTTATCAGTTCGAGAATTACCGGGCGTGGGGTGAAATAATGGACAGCAAAAATGTTTTGAAAAGGAGAAAAGATGAGTTGAAAGAAGGGTTTTAAATACAAGACGGGTGTCAAAAGGCGGTGAGTCAGTGAGGAATGGCCACAGAAAGGAGGGGGAAAATACCCGGTTGACGACTCTGACGTATGTATTGTGCTTTTACAAAGAAAGAGTCAGAGGGTTTTCGTAATCCCCATTCAGGTTTCAAGTATCCTCCTCAATTGGTCGCGGGAGGTCATTCGATTCACAATGGATAGAAAACATGACATTATAAATAAATGTTTTGCGCCTTGTTCAGCCCAAAAAAGGTCGGAAGATTGCCGAACGAATAGCAAAAAAGAGAGCTGTAGCAGTCGAAATGGATGCCCTCAGGCCTTGTGCCCTCTCTCCCGCCTTCGAAGAAAAGAGTCTCAAGAAGTGGAGACTCTTCCGGTCCCACAATCATCTCATAATTATGCAATTTTCAATTATATTTTTAAGTTGCCCTATTTCTTGTATTACAATAGTGTTGATAACATACGGTAGCTTCAGGTACACGGGAAAGTGTCAGTGTGAGATTTTGCCAAATCCACGTTATAACACTTAAAAATTTTATTAAGAGGAAGGAGTTTGCCACTTCTTTAATTTTTTTCATCCGTATTTGAATAAGAATATTGTATTTTATATGTAAATCGATTGGGCCCGTTTTCGCCCCCAAGGCGGTTTTGTCCCCACCTGTTTTGTGCTTTTTTGTTCCCCGGCCGGTTTTGTCCCCAATATTTCATTTCTGAAAATTCTTTGACCAGCTAGTCAATGAGTTGAAACCAGAGCCAAATTTTTTAATGGCTAGTAAAACCCTGGATTCACCTTTTGGCTAGCTTTTTTCAAGGCTTCATAGCAATTCTGACACTTTGGCAAGCCGATCCAGGTTTTTCACCAGCCATTTAAAAAAATCGGACGTCATTCCTACACTTTGATACCGATTCCAACCTTTTCGCTAGCTATTTTTAAGACTTCAAAGAAAGTATGCCGCTTTGACTAGCCATTTAAAAATTTGGCTGCAATTTCAACTCATTGGCAGTCATTCCAAAAATGAATATTGGTGAAAAAACCGGAGGAGGACAAAAAATAAGTGTGGACAAAAACGTCTTGGGGACAAAACCGGTATGGGGACAAAAAGGCCCAAAAAAGTGGGCAAATCCGTCCTAGGGACAAGACCGTCTTGCGTGTGTCTTGAGGACAAAAACGTCCATTACGATGTCCATCAGTGTCCCAAGAAAATAAAACGTGATGAGACAATATTTTATGTGTGTTTTGAATAAACATCAGTAAAAGAAACATAAATATACCTGCGGGTAAAGCAGCCACACACAAACTGATTAGCTTGTCCGATATTGTATAGAGAGAGTCAAACTTGACTCATTACGAGAGACGGTCAAGTTTTTTCCTCCTCGTGCGACCTTCTTTTTGCCACCAGTGCGTCTATTCAAGACGGCCCATTATATCTGAATTTCGTGGCACTTGATGCCAACAGTCGTTGTCTTAGCAAAGGGTTTTATTCTTCTCGGATCAGATTTATTCATCTTGAGGGTTCGAACGAATTCTCCCCTGATTTTCTTCAAATGAAATCCGATCGATTTCTTTTTTTCTCACTTTTATCCACACTGTGTTATATAAAATTCGGGCGAATACCACGTGAAATGCTTTATTTTTCATACGACTTTGTTTTAGACCATCTCGGCGCCGGTGAGATGAGCTTTGAGAAAGAGGGCAATAATCAGGTAATTGAGAACGATAACACAGTATCCATGTCTCAAACTCCGGTAGCTACAATCCCTGGTGCTCATCGTACCCAGCCGTCCCAGACCGCTGGTAGGTTTTATTGATAAGTATGAATTTAACGTGTAAGCGGTTATTACCGCCAGAATAGTGATTCTTTTGGGTACATTCAGGGTACCAGTGAAAAATTCGCGTTTATTATGTCTTTGCCTATTTTATTCGATTTTTTAGCAATGATGATGCATAATATGCCGGCCAATCCGGTTGCTCCTCAACAGAAGCAGCACATGACTGCATCTGTAGTGAGTACAACACCGCCTAGTTGTTCGAACACTGAGTTATTATCAGCATTTGAATGCCCTGTGTGCCTAGAGTATATGTTACCACCATATCTGCAATGCAATTCTGGTCATTTGCTCTGCAGCAATTGTCGGCCCAAGGTGGCTTCATGTCCGGCTTGCCGGGGTCCAGTTCGTAAGTATTTTTTCATAGTAAGTTTGATTTGTTTCTTTTTGCTTACACTTTCTCATACTGTAATCGAATGCTTTTAGCGAATATCCGGAATCTGGCCATGGAGAAGATCGCTAGCCAGATGCTATTCCCCTGTAAATTTAACACCTCAGGATGCACTAGTTATTTCTTACATCATCAGAAAGTAGAACACGAAGAAAGGTGTGATTTTCGACCGTATTGTTGTCCCTGTCCTGGGGCATCTTGCAAATGGCAAGGGGGTCTGAATGAGGTCATGGGTCATCTCATGAAACTGCACAAGTCTATTACAACCCTTCAAGGTAATTTCATTCGTTATAGTTTGTTTACTGTTTTAGGTGAGGATATCGTATTCCTGGCAACCGATATTAATCTGCCTGGGGCGGTGGATTGGGTTATGATGCAGTCCTGCTTTGATTCGTATTTCATGTTGGTTTTGGAAAAACAAGATAAACAAGATCCCACCGGACAGAGCTATCAGATGTTTTATGCAGTAGTACAATTAATTGGGACGAAGGCTGAAGCCGAGAGATTTTCTTATAAGTGAGCATTCGTTTCTTTCGAGCTTTCCTCAAATTTTAGGTATTAATGAAGTATGGTTTTAGAATGGAATTGTCCGCAGGCCGTCGTCGTCTTGCTTGGGAGGCCACCCCTAGATCGATCCATGAAGGGGTAAATACAGCCATCTCTCAATCAGATTGTCTTGCCTTTGATACAAACCATGCCCAATTATTCGCAGAACAAGGCAATCTGGGGATCAATGTTACAATTAGTCAAGTGCAAGTAGGCATGGACGCGAATCAGATGCAAGTTTGCCGTTGATCACTTATCGTCTTTCTCACTTTCATCGAATTGTAATCTAGTTTTCAACATACCGGAATACGAGTCCCGAGTAATTTTTTAAAAGCAAGTCCTAGGGAGGTCAATGTAACTAAACAATAAAAACTCGGTCGGATTTTAGATGTATTTACTGTTTTATGCATATTTTTTAATGAAAGAATGTTTTCTGAGTCTAAAAGTGTTGTCTAGTACTACTCGCGCTCAAAAATTCGGACAATCACAATGCGAAAGTTCGGGTTTTCATTTATCGCCGATGTCGGGCACAAATTCGGGTTTGTATAGACATGGCTCTGGGGCCGGGCCGAAAATCGCGGCCCGGCCCCCAAGAGGTCGGCACGGCCCCTTTCAAACTCGCTCGGCCCAGCCCACTAGCCATGCCTAGGTTTGTAGCGCGAAAAAGTTCACGTCGCTAGTGCAAAAAAGGGAAATTTCGGCAACAAATGCGAAAAGATGCACCGTGCGGATGAAAATGAAAGAAGAACGCACAGTGCGGAAATTGTCCGTCCGAACTTTTGAGCGCGTGTAGTATAATTGTACCTAGCTAAGTTGATTTGCAATCTTTATTTTACCTTTATAATCTCCACCAACGCTCTGAAAGTAAATTTGTCCTAGTTATCGTTGTCTTAATGATTAATTCCCATCAAAAACAGTTAGACTACGGAATAGATTCCATAAAGTAATGTGGATACATGCATTTATCGCGGACCCATAAAAGAATCTTTTTATTCCACTTATGGGGAGCCGGCTAATGGTCCATTAAGTACGATGATATCCCTTCAATAAATGTCGTAAAACACATGGCGTGGCCACATGGAGGAACCGTCTCGACCGCTTCTGTCGTTATGTATAAATGTAAATATACAATATAAATTTTACGGTTAGTGGACAAATGAAGAGGTTACAACCAAAAAGCCCCTTGGCATATCAACCCCACGTGTTTTTTATGAGATCGAAATTTAAAAACCGAGATCTTATCAGGAGTAAGCTGTTTTTTATTTCTGGCAGTGAACACTGGTTCTCAAGTCGGCGCCGATCGGAATGCCGGTTTGAAGCGCTTCCCACAATCGGGATTTCAAGTTCAAAGGACGATGAAACCAGTAAAAAGAAACTTTAAATCATCTTGATCGCTTCTTCATTTGAAAGCGAATTAAATATCCAGGAAGTGTTGCTCGACTGCAAAGATCACGGAATATATAATAGATACTACAATCACCTACTGAACATGTAATTTTAATGGAGATCACAATAGATAAACCTTGTCGCAAACAAGAAGCGCTTTGCTATTTGTTAAAATAGGTTTAATTAACAAATGGCAAACAGGTTATTTGGATTACTTCGTAATCACTTTAGCTGATAATCATAAAACAAGGCTTGGATCCAAAAAAAACGAGTTAAATTCTGCAACCTGACAGTCACCACTAGATGCATACATCCCTTTGTCTTATTAAACCATAGTTCTCACGCTTGTTTTGATAACCCTACCTAAGTAGTCATTGTCTTGAGCTCGGCTATGTCATGTTTTGTATGTTTATTGTATCGCTCACAAGTGGATTGCAACATGAGGAGGAGGCATCGGAAGCAGGCGGGCTTTCCATGTTCCACTTAGCCTTCAGAAGCAATCCAGAACATCGCCCCGCCCTACATCTCCGGCATATAAAACCGGGTATCGAGAATGGCTTTCCGTCAACGCTTGTTCAACGATGATCCGCGCCCTTTTCGCCCTTTGTCTGGTCTCCTCCGCCTCGGCGTTGCTTTTTGGCAGTGGAGGTTGTGGACAACAGAGTTGTGGCTGTGCCTGTCCACCACCCCCGCCTCCCTGCCCGCCACCCCCTCCCCCATGTCTCCCCGCCCCCTGTCTACCTCAACTTCCACCAATCACCCTGCCCGCCCTTTGTTTGCCGCCCCTTCCCCGTCTCCAATTGCCATGCCCTCCTCCACCATGCGGATGTGGACGTAAGAAGCGATCCACCACTGGACTGGTCAGCAAACATTTCGGCGATGAAGATAAGAGCTTGTGTAACAACCCCCAAATCAGAAAGATCATCCTCACTGTGAGTGACGTTATTTTTTGTGGTTTATTACTGAATAATGGAACTGGGGTTCTTTTTATTAATACTGGTTTCTGACTAACTACTTTTAAAAAATCTACGTTTACACAATACAATAATTAATTTTATGACTCTTTAGAACATCTCTGAGAACCCAGGAGCCTCCAAAATCGCCATCCATTCTGAGCTCAAGGCTAAGTTGCATGGAAACTACGTAGTTATGTGCTCTAACGGAGCCTTCTCATTCGTCGCAGACACCAACAACTACTGTGTCGATGGAAATGAGAGCAATACCTGCTATGTGTTCGAAGCTTAATTAATGACGTCACCTCACTGTTAATTAACTCTCTAATTGTTATAATATTATAATAAGAGTCTTTAGACAAAAAATAAATCTACTAAAAAAACTAGTTGCTAATTGCGGGAGTGCTCCTTTGACCTCGGCTCTTCTTCTAAGCCGATGAAATCGTCGCTGAATTCGGGATTCGAATCCGGGAAAGAGAAGCCGTTAATCCTAAACCCGTTTCCGAAAAACAGCATGACAACATTCCTCGGCCGCGCCGAAAAAATCCGAAAATTGTTTGCCGGCGAGAGTCGTGATGTTTGAAATCTTTTTGTGATAATCATTTCACAGTAAATCTCGGTCGGAAGTGGTCGATTCTGATTACCCAAAAATGTGTTTATGGAAAGGAAAGAAGCAGAAGTCTCAAACCGCCAATCCTAACCAACTTCCCTTACAACTCGGTTTGAATAACTCTCATCCAATCACCAGGATATCCGATAAATCCCCGGACAAAAAGGAAAAAAAGTTGAGAACAGGCAATGGGCATGAGTCCAAGGAGAAGTTGAGACGTCTTTCCAGAGAGAAGCCTAAGCTTGACGCCAAGGAGACCAGTGGAATGAATCAGGTGCAGGAGAAGCAGCAGAGTAGTGTGTATTTGGATAAGGGAAACAATGAGGACGACAAGGACAAGCTTGTAAGTTAGTCTTATAAGTCATACTTTTTATTGCGGCTTTCAAAGGATAATAATTATCCTCAAGTCATTTCAGAAAGACTGCGACGGTGAACAATTCGAGAATGGAGCCGTGCCTCAAAATCCCCCATCAGATGACGATACTTTGAAAGGTGTTGGCCATGAAATGCCCAAGTTTGAAACCTAATCAAAATAAACTTGCTTTCCAATAAATTGTGTATCTGTGATTTTTATTTACTTTCTGGTTTCTGATAAATCCGATTTATGCTCAGGTATTAATTACAAGACGTTTCTCATTCCACGAACGAAAGAGAAATCATTGGGGGTGTTGTTGAAAGGGAAGGCTTGTACTTATGCAAGATGAAAAGGTGAAAGTGGCGTAATCTCTCTTCCGTGGTAATTCAGAGACGATGACGATCTCAACGACCTGTTCTCCTTCTCCGACATAGAGGGGGCCTTCGGAGATCTTTTTATTTGCCCCCAAATTGGCTTTCAGAGAGCAAAGGAAAGAGAGACTTTAGTTGCGCAATAACCGGCTGTCGCTCAGTTACGTGAGCCCCCCCCCCCCTCCCAGATCCCATCGACGAAAACAAGATATGCCCCGAGGAGGTTCGTGGAGGAGCTGTTAGCAGGCTTCCGATCGTCTTCACCCCCTCCCCCACCTTGCATCACCTGAGCCCCGACTGACTGACTGCCAAGCCTTTTGGATGGCTGGGTGGGCTAGCTGAAGAGATCATTCCTTCAGCGACGTCTTCTTGTTGTTGTCCCCCTTCCCTTTCATTTGCCCTCAGGCGTTTTCCTCCGACGGTCCATTCACCTGGCCCCGCCCCTTATCCCCAACCTCATCTGTCACCTCTTCTCCCACCTCCGACCTTCTCAGCCTCAGGCATTTTTTGGGAAGAGACCGTTCGCGCGCTGATTTCACTTTCGTTGGACCAGCTTAATGGACTGCGCCTTTGTGGCCTCAAGTCCACATGTGTATGCCATCGATGTGGCTTATCAACAGGTCCCCGCTGGGAAAGAGAACGTTCATCTGCCAGCCTTTGATTCGTTCGAACAGACTCAGTTAATTATAAGTCATCCCCCATTGAACTCTACCTTATCTTCTTCTTTAACCTCCATTGATGTCCAGCATTTATCCCCTTCATCTTCGTCAACGGCGTCGTCGTCTCAATCGCAATGTCGATGTATCATCGACATCTCCAATCCTACAAGCCTGGAACGGGATTTCTATGCTTGGCTTCAGGTAATACTTATGATGATCCCATCGCTTAATTCGTCTAACTTTTCAACCTTAAGCTCTTAAAATTATCCACCATTTGTTCTTCTCTGTTCATAAAATTATGTAATTTTTTTTAAATCTTAGGGCAACGAATCTCAGCTAAGTCGGAATACACCTTGCATATTCCAAAACGCTCCATCAGATATCGATTTATTCGAAAGTTTATCACCAGGGACTTCACATTGTTCGGAAGCCTCTTCATCGAATCAAGAGATCTCAGTTGGGAAACAAAAAAATAGAAGGAAAAGGAATGTTGACAAAGGTAAGGATGCGAATATTCTAAAATTACCCGTTACAGGACGAGGAACTAACCTCTACGGAAGGCCATACTGTCCCGGACGACCGCTCAGTATGGATGAACGATATCAGATCATCCAACTCTTCCAAGCTGGCATGAAGGTCAACGCGATCTCCAAACAACTCTGCATATCTCATGGATGCGTCTCGAAAATCATAACCAGGTATCCATTAACAACATCGCCGCATAGATTTACTTCTCTTCCTCCTTACACATACTTGAATTTAGATTCCGAGATACAGGCCTTTTGATTCCCTCTTCCCATGCAGAATGTCGACGACGGAAACGACTCCAGATGGAAGCCAATGAACAGATGAGCTGAACCAAAGAGTTCTCGTGCCACAGTCAAAAAGTTTAGCATCCAATAACAATAGACAGCTTAGCATTTATTGTAACAATCAAATCATTTTCTCCGTGGAATCAATCGGATTTTCACTCCGTCTGTGGGTCTTAGGATCAGCTCGACCATGAAGCGTTGCTGGTCTCGACGACTTATCGACTCGATCTGGAACTCTCTGAGAAGCCAACAGAGTATGATTTTCTCCTCCATCAGAGCAAATCTCTGGCCAATACAATTTCGACTTCCGGCAGAAAACGGAACGTAAGCGAAGGCATTCCTATTCGGTGATTTCTCGGTCATAAACCTGTAAATACCTATTAATAAACCCTGTTAAAATTTGAATTTTTACTACGTTAATGACGACTCTTACTTACCTCTCCGGTTTGAAAACTTCCGGGTCATCCCAGTTGTTTGGGTCACGGTGAATCAAGTACAGATTAATCAAAATTTCAACCCCTGCGGGAATTGTGTGATTTCCCAATTCCAAATCAGCACCCAACCTCCGAGCAATCAAGGGAACACTGGGATACAACCTCAATATTTCCTTCAGACAACATTCAAGGTACTTCATCTTGGCGATGTGGTCAAGTGTGATATCCTCACTATCCCCAATAACATTAGTGATCTCTTGGAATACTTTCTCTTGAACTTCCGGGTAACATCCAAATACATGGAGAGCCCATGTAGAAGCTGTAGCTGTCGTATCATGGCCTTCGAACATGAAAGTATCTACCTAAAAATTAATGTTGAAGGTTTGTGGAAAAATCAATCCCCCTACCTCTTCTTGTATTGACTTTGAATTGATCTCACCTCTATTTTCCATCTCTAAGAGAAGATCCAGAAATGCCAGACGATCGTTGACGACAGAAAATTCCGAATTAATCGCTTTTCTTCGCTCGTCTATTACCTAAAATCATTTTAAAAGTCATATGGTAACAACTAACCTTCTTGGTGAACGAATGAAGGACATCCAGAGCCCATCTATGCTCTTTTCCCACAGGAAGATTATTGAATACTACACTCGGATACAACAACGGATTCTTCTGACGAGTTTGGATAATCTCATTGATCCTCAAGACTGCTCTCACATATTCCGAATCCTTTTCAAGTTGAGCGTTCACTGATTGTCCCATTGACGTTTCACAAATGATATCCAGAGCACAGAGGGATAGGGGTTTGTAGATATCGTCAATGACATCACTAAAAATAAAACAAAACATGCAACCACACCTCACCAATTCCGAACGGCTTTTTGAAGCTGTTGAACCAATATCCTTGATTGATCATTAAAAACATGCACGAAATTGCGCAGAATGTCGTAATGAAAGGTGGGGGTCAAAAGTTTACGCCGAGGTTTCCATTGTTCGTACACACTAAATAAAAATTGTTACCTAAAATGCAAAAAAGCTACTTTTTCGAAAAACAGCTTTACCTAGTTAGCAATCCCTCGCCAAGCCATGGTTTCAAAAGATCATACAGCAGCCCTTTATTGAGATGCTGATTGCTTGTGAACACTTTCTCCGCCAGTTCGGCCTCGTATATCATGACTTTTGGCTGAAATCCGATCCAAAACACGACCATTCTGGGCTTGTTGGGGTAAAGATCAGCCATTCCCATGATCTGTTCGAGAAACCCTTCGGCATCAGGCTTTGTGATAGGGATGTGACCAACCACGGGAAAAGATCGGGGTGAAGGAATGGATGAAAGTTGCCTGCGGAGCTGGAGGTGGCGACGAAACCAAACGACTATTACGGCTATCAATGCCAAGGCCACGGCCACCAGCGCAACGCCCATTTCCAATCCCGCCTAGATTCTTGGACACGGAAGAAAAAAGGAAACACATTATTCGTGTTCCTTTAGACACTATGATCTGTTTGCCGCGGGCAAGTCAAAGAAATCACGAAACATGAGGAAGCGAATGTAAGTCCTTCGGTTTCGTCGAGACTGGAGGAAAAATATATTCGACGAAAGAAAACTGGACGACAATTATTGTTATTGGAAGGACGCAAATCCGCGACAAAATGTCAAACGAGATGTAAAAAAAATTCTAACAATAAGAATCCTGTTCGATTTGCCGATAACAAATAAATAAGTTTAATATCGCAAGTAATCATATTATTATTACAATATGTTAGCACCGATCAAGTAGACATAGAGATCCGCCAAGTCAAAGATCACTTCTTCTCTTTCTGGGCCTTCATCTTCTTCAGGTATACTAACGCCCGTTTAGCGGCAGTGGCTTTGGCAATCTTGTATCCTCTTCCCATGCCATGGAAGACAAGCTTGTCTCCAACTTCGACTGTACATCTTACTTTATTCTTTTCAATTATCCTTTCTAATTTTCTATAAAAATATGATAGTAATGACAGCATGTGAGACGACTTACGAGAAGCTAGCGTGAACATCCTTCATTTCATAAAGTTCCCTGATTGGTGACTGTGGAGGATCACGGCAACACTGCTCAATTAATGCTGCCATCAGATTGTAATAAACCCTCCAAACAACGTCAAGATCCCGGTTACAGTCCTGAAGGGGTAGTATTAATATAACTGCAGTGCTTACCAAATAAACCGCGCCGGCAAGGGATTCAAAAATGTCGCCTAGTGCTTTGGGTACTTCTACTTCCTCTTCTTGACCGTCTTCAATCTCCTCTTCTGTTACTTTGAACAACTAAACGGGATAACAATTACGCTGCATCTCTCATACCTCATCATTGAAATTTGGACAGTTGAAGATGGAATTCGTTCCGCAGCTCTTCACAAACGACTCAATCTTCTTCGCCAAGGACGGAGAGTAATTCAAGAACAGCTAAGCAGCATTATAAGCACATTAAAAGTTACCTTGTGAAATTCGTACTTCACAGCCAATGACGCAAAAATGGTGTTGTTGACAAGGGCCGACCTCAGATCTGTCAGAACTCCGGGAGCAAATTTATCTGGATGTTCGAAGAGATATCTCGTTATCATGTAGTCCAGGACCGCATCTCCTAAGAATTCCAGTCTCTGATAACATCCAGTAGCTCGTCCTTTGAAATAAGAAGCATGAGTGAATGCCTGGACCAGGAAAGCCTTATTGGCAAAAGTGTAATTTATCGTCTTCTCAACCTTCTCGAACTGATTGCATTTGTATAACTCGACCACTTCCCGTTTCGATGCGTTTGGCTATAAGATTTCTTAACAAATCTGTAGAAGACTTACGTCTTCTTCCGAATCACCGAATCTGAGGATAGGAGAAGCCGGAATGGGAGGTTCTACCAATACCTTGAGGCCCAGCCATTCCATAAATTGTAAAGCTGCTCTAGGTCCGAGAGAGATTAAATGGGCACCAATTAAAGCTTCGACTGCATCAGCTACACTTTTGTCGTTTATGCATTGTTGCGTCATCGGGTTATATGGGAATGTCTCATCCGGCCCAGGAGTAATCTACGATAAAGTCAGCCACCAAGAAGTTTTCTTACTTTCTTCAGATCAATTGTTTGGACCCCATCGACTTCCTTAAAGGTTTGGTCCGTTTCATTATCGTCCCACGCCGTCTCTTCGTTGTTCTGAAAATTACATCATATCGCTCGTTTACCTACAGTATTCTCATCATTCTTCAGCCATCCGTTTGCATGAAAAACGGCTTCACACCGGTAACAGGGAGGAAGCCAGCTGACATTGGGATCAAACTTGGCAGTTTCCATGATGGAATGTATGCCTTTTGAGTACCCTTTCAACCAGAGATTAGCATTTGAGACCTCTTTCGATCGAGAGAAACTCAGGCGACCTTCGTGATGATCTGCATGTTCATTGAAGAGGTAGATTGTAACAGCCATCTTGAGGAATGAGTCTCCAATAGTTTCCAACCTCTCCAGATTTACACCATCCGATGCGCTAGCCGTGGTGACAGCCTGAAGCATCAGAGCTGGTGGAACACCTTCTGGTTTTTGGTCAAGGAAATCCTGTTCAAAGACAAAATTTTGTGACAACTCCGGTGCTTTACACTCCCACTAAAATCAGGATAGAGTAGATTCTTTTAACATTCTACCTGTCCATTTATATAGTCGTCAAAATCAGAGTCAGTAACACATAATCCATGAGGTCTTGATGGATTAAGCGCTTTAAAGTTTTGAGGAAGTGAAACAGGAACCGCTGGTAACTTTTCGTATAACTCCCGAGGCAAGGATTCATCCTCTTTCGACGTCTCTTCCACGACATCAGACACCTTAGCCTTCTTCTTTTCAGGGCCAGTTTCCTAAGAAACAATGATCTATAATAACTGCAATTAGGATTAGACTTACAGATTGATTTTCGTTTTGAACAATTATTGGATCAGGACTTGAGAGTACACTCAAAAGATCATTGTTCAGCTTCTCCATGTTTATGGAGGACCCAGTTTTCGGTTCGGATATAATCGAGAGGCATCCATTGCCGTGAACAGTGCCCACAGAGTCCCATCCGAAAACGTCAGAAGCTTCCACAATATCTGATCGTGGGGTGAATAAATCCAGATTCTGAGGAGCAATTCCATTAAGTTTGAAGTCGGTGATAATTTCATATTCCTCGGCTTCAGCGTCAGATCCATCCAGATCAATGTTTTTTCGACTGACCGTAACCTCTTCGTTGATTCTCTCCACACTTCCGGCATTCCCATTGGCAGATAGGATCAAGTCGACTGGTTGATATTCTTTGGCGTCCTTTGGATCCCAGACTCCAATGTCAAAGCCAGACTCGTCGTCCTGTGATGTTTCGTCCGTGTATTCCTCAAGCTCCGTGGCCGGAACAGAAGATGTCGACATTATTTCCTTCCTTTGTTTCAGTTGTGTCATCGAATGAATGCTATTACAATCGTATTCCAAGGGGTGATTGTCCCAGTTATACTGATCGTAAGGAATAATCGGTTTTCGGAAAGCTTGCTCCAAAATCCGTTCTCTGAGCTCCTCAATCAAAAGGAACTGATTCAGACGATAGAATATGGTTGGTAAAGCGATGATCATAGTCCAGTAATTGGCCGAAAGCGGATGAACATGGACGAGTTCGGGAACCAGTACTTGCTGTTGAGTTGGATCATAGGCCTGTTTCCTGGCTCGAGAACTGACGTGACGAGGGAAGATGAGATTCATTCGCTCCGAAGCTCGGTCCACTTCAAGAAGGGGCTGATCTTGATGAATAATAGCAATGTCGTATTTTAGTTTATAGTATTCATTAAAGTTTGGATATTTTTCATCCGGAAACTTCGAACCAGGGTTGCTTTCCGAAGCAAGCTAGAATAAAGTTTTTTTTTTAAATCAGAAGGACGTCTTACTCTTGCAACGTAGTAGTAGGAGGGGTGTTCATTCACACGATACCACGGACTGACTACTGCATCCTCATACTTTTCCTTCTCAAAAGTCATCTTCTGACGTTCTTCCAACGAAGGTTTTCCTAGTTGTTTGTTAAACTCTTTCTCCAGCAACTCAACATTCAAAATGCAGTCAGTAACATTACCATCTGTATTTCTCTCTGAAATATAAACATTATAATCTTATTAACAACCCTACGCTTTATAATAGGTACCACCAGTAAAGGAATGTTTGATTCTTCCGGATTGAATTCAACAGCGCTCTTCACAACTCTAAGAATGTCGTCAAAAACATGTTGATGAAAGTCGTATATTTTCCTCAATGTGTCAACAGAGAACGATTTCTTCTGTGTGGTCCGGATGAAAGATACTCTGGTCATCCCTTGTCGCATTGCCACAGGGAATGGCGTTACCTGAAAAAAGTTTACCATGCCTTGTGTCAACTTGCCGGTGGCAGTTCAGTCGTGCATAAAAATCCGAATGCAAAGTCCTCTTCATGGGGATTGATGATTTTCCTTCTCTTAATATTGTCTTCTTCTCTGATAGGATCGGTTAATTTTATGTCGATTATATATACATATGCCTGTTTCTCCGGAGACACTAGAACTCCCTTCATTTTACTAGAACTCTTCCTGTTGTGTAATCTTCTACTTTTGATATTGTGACCAATAATACTCAGATTCTGATGTTCGGCGAACACTTCACTCAAAAGATCTTCGGGCAAAGCAGTTTTATCCACAATCACATCCTTTCCAGCTGGATACAAATGATCGGTCAATTCTCCCTTCTTGTGCAAAACTTTGACTGCCTGAAACGACGACGAGATTACGACTTAAGGGCTGGCAGCATACCTCCAATGCCACAGCCATCTTCGCTAATCCAGCTGAAGGCAATGCCCTCTCCGTCCTGATAGCATGCTTCACGGGCGCATTGATGGGCAACAACAACTCGGCCTTGTACAAATTCCGATTGCCATATTCGACCGGAATAATATTCAATTGAGGAACAAGTCGTGTAAAGATATCTGATGGCAGTTTGGAACAATATCTGTTGATATGCGAGACGGCCGACGAGTAAGTAACGCGAGCACCCGTTGACTCCACGACATATTCCTCGCTCTCATCCACCATCAACATCGTGCTGTCAATCTCTGATTCAGAAGGAGGCCAATAGGACATGAGCAAGTTCTCAACCTCGTTATACCGATCTAACCTTTCCTTTATCGTACGACACTCTGATTCAGGACAGATGACAGCATACATGGCTTTCTTGGCCCGAGCTCTGCCTCTGGACTGAAACGAGTTGATCATAACAGTCAGTCAACTTACTTGGATATATGACTTGAAAGAGTTCGGAGGCGCAAATCTGACTACGCAGTTGCAAGATTTCAGATCAATCCCCTCTTCAAGAACGCTTGTTGAGACCAGGATATTAACTTCCCCGTGCCTGAACCTCTTGATTATTGCCTCTTGTCTTTTATTGGCCATTTTCACATCGTCATCATTGTTGAGGACAGTCCCTTGTCTTCCAATCACATGTTCTGGTTTCATATATCCGTATTTTGAGTATGATTTTGCGAGGAATTTTAAGGCTTTCTAAAACCTGGGATATAAAATGAATTGAACCCACAGTAAGAAGGACGGCAGTGTGTCGCTCCTGGACAAAAACAATGGCAGCGAAATTGTCCTTTCCTGATCCATCATTAGATTCCTGCTGCTTCTCATAAAACTCATGGAGAACATCAATAAGTCGGGATACCCGCGCAGTGGTTACAGTAAGAAGATCAACTTCCGATTTTGGAAATCTTTTCTGAATAAAAGGTTTTCGAAACAATATTTGTCTTACCATCTTACTCAGCTGCCACATACATTTCATAAGGATTGTCTTCGCATAACAAAGAAACCTTTTTCTTTCGTCATTAAAAGATTCCAGATTCAGCATATTCTGAAACTGCTTCGAATACATCTGACAGATGTTATAACAACAAAAAGGACCGAGTTGTTTCAGTACATCCGACGTTCGGTTAAAGGCTTCTTTTGTTGCGTTCTGAATATCTGAATATTCATCGTATCTCCAACAATTGAAAGATGCTTCCAGGGCATGTTCTAAGATCGCTTTAACATTTTCGAGCTGAACAGGCTGTTCCTTATAACAAAAAATGATCTCGCGAGGTCGAGTGCCGTATTTTGATAACTAAACAACAAGTTTCTATTATAATTATTCTAGTATAACCTTTCCGACATCACTGGCCGTTTTTAAACGACTGCAAAGCAAGCCTTCTACCGCGTTTATGAAGTTTTCCACCTTCCTCAACGGAATCTCCCCATCAATTACGCTTGCAGTGAGCCCCATTATGCGTGGCTTTTCTCCTAAAACAAAAATTAAACAATCTTTACAACCCACCCTCAACTCTATTGTAAGACTTCATGATCTCCCTATAAGGGTGTCTCTCGCCGATTACGTGATGACATTCATCCAAGATTAGTAGAGCAATATCGGACATTCTAACGTATGCTGCATCAATCAACTCGTTCAGGAGTTGGGCCGTAATCACAAACACCTAAAGAAACAAAATGCTGTCGATGTTAAGAGTTACCTCATTTTCACTCCAGTCCTTCTCAAAAATTGTGAGGTCTTGTCGATAGTGCTGCATCTTACTGATATTCCCATGAAGCAAAAGAACATTCATATTCAAATGACACCTTAAATGTTCTTCTTGCTGTTGAGCAAGAATAACTAAAACATTAATACCACTTTAACCGTTAAAATAAGCTCTCCTACCATTATCAACAACAAAGAAGGCCCGTTTCTTGCGTCCATTCCTTTCGATTTGAAATTCGGAGGCATAAGCCTTGATCAGGAGAACAGCAATATAAGTCTTACCAAATCCGGTGCCCAATGAAATTATGCAATTGTTATCCTGAGCAAATTCTAACAATTCCAGCTGAAAAGAAGACCTTTATACGTTGTGGTGTTTAAATACCTGATAGTCTCGGGGCTTAAAGCCTTCGCGTTCTTTCTGATCTTCCTTGATTTCGAACTTTGGTGCGGTATCCGCTAAGATAACATCCCTCGCCATTTGAACGTAGAGCGGCAACCTTTATGAAGTCTGACTGCTATACCAGTTGTCCAATGTTCGTTTCGGCAAAAATTCACCTTAAAACAAAATTAATTTTGTTCGTTATAATGAATTATAAAAAATACGAATCTCGTTTGACAAAATGCCAAGAGAAATTTACAAATGCCAAAAAAGCCCGAGAAATTCTGGTTCGAAAATGAGTGCAACAAATTCAAGCAAAACCACCTGAATAGCATACAACGAAGTTTTTACCGTCACCATCAAAAAAATTTCCGGTATTTCTAAAACTGAGAGCTTTCGATCTCAAGTTACACATCACGGCAAAATCCCTAACTGCGTGAAAATAAGAACCCCGCCAATTCCATCCTTAATTACGAAAACGACGTCGACACATACATGAAACAAATCGTTTTATTTAAAACATAATTCGAAAACAATAACAACAAGTCACCGCTTTTTGGGAATAGGCTTTAGAATTTGGCAGTTTCTGATCTTCTTAGTTGGCCTCGGTCTTTTTGGCTGGCTTCTTCTTCTTTGGTTTCAGACTCTCCTGGAGCAGAGCAGCCAACGCTTTGTCTTCAATCTTGACATCAGTCTCATAGAGATCAGTTTCCAGGGGTAAACCAGACACCTTAATAATTCCGTTCGGGAGGATGATAGCTGTAGCCTTGAAATGAGCCACAAGTTCCGAATCCTTATCAACAAGAACATGGTAAGGCTGAATCAGTCCGTGATTCGAACATTCTACACTTCCCATCTTGGCCTTGGTTTCCTCTTCGAAGGCTCTTAGAGAGAACGGAAAATTTTGGAATCTCTTGGTGGCATCGGTCAAGAATGCTCGGGAAACTTTCATCTTCAGAGAATAGACAAAGTCGTCATTCTTCTTGAACACAGTAGTACGAGTTTCATGCTGTTTTACTTTCCCTACAATTGCAGTATTAAAAACATCCATATCCTAACATACCATCTCCGGTTGTCACCAAAATATCGAATCCATAAACCTCGTAATTCTCAAACTTGAACTTTTCCACTTTGGTTTTCTGGTCATCAGTTGGATTCTGAATGATTTGCTTCTCACCAGTTATCTTGTATTTGTCATATTGGTGTGACAACATGTTTTCGACTGGTTTGACGTCATATATCTTTGTAACTTTGTCGATAACATCAGTTATGTCCTGGCTGTTCTTTCCTTTTGATGGATGAAGATGTCGAAGAGCGGCTTCCAGGGCGTTGTAGGCACCAAGAATAACATTGGCTTTCTTGCCAGACACTTTGTTGTCCTAAATCATAGTAGAGCGAAATTATTCTCCACATTTACAAGGGAACCATAGATAAACACCAAACTTACTTTGCTAGCTCCTACAACAGTGGTGTGGGCTGCGTGGGCGACGAAACCGTCAACATGAGCTCCCAAATCAATCTTAACAACTTGTCCATCCTTCAAAGCGACTGGTTCATCGCTTTTTAACGGAGAGTAATGACATACAATATTGTCAACAGAAACGCAAGTGGGCATAGCAAGGCCCTTGTTCACCTTTGGGTCCTTCTTAAACAGCTTCCCAGTTAGCTCTGTGATACGATTGTCTCCATGATCGCAGAGTTCTCCAATTGTGACACCTTCTTTGACCTTGGCGATCAACTCCTAAACACATGAACCATCAAACAATTAAACTCTTACCTTCAGAACGGTGTTGACGATCTCACCAGCCATAGTGTACTTGTTGAACACAGTATCATTCTGAGGGCTGGTCTCTTCTTCGCCATCCGAAGAAGAATCGGAGCCACTAGAACCACTGGAGGATTCGCTTTCACGGCGCTCTTTCCCAGTCATGGTACACCTCTGTAAAACAAGCTTTAATTTTATTGTTCACCATCAAAAACAGTTTCAAAAAACGTAAAATAAAAGTCAAGCGCGCAAAATTTTTTCACCAACATAAATATGACCGTATTCCTCTCTTTATTTATTTGTCCCCGTGCGTAAACATTTTGTTGGCATAGTGCAATATTCAGATTTCAGAGAAAAAATATTTTTTTGGAGATACTACTTATTCGGTAAAGCTCAATTATGCATAACCGGTACCTGTTATGGCTCCGTTTCGATGGATCACATTTTAATGGATTTGCCAAAGCTGGCGGCAAGGGATATGGTGTGATTGACTTCCTCTACCCAGCTTTAAGTAGAGTTCTAGCTCACAAAAATGTGGACCGATTCAACGTATTTCCATGTAGTAGGTAGTTGACATTTAAAATGTTATTTTTTTGCTTTAGGACAGATACAGATGTTCATGTTCTAAGGGCTCCAGTGGTTTTAAATGTTCCGAAGGACGTTGTGAGGTTGGATATTGACAGAGAGAGTTTGTTACAGGAGATCAACACAACATTTCAAACTTTTTATCCGAATTCTGTGGAAGCTTTGGACTTTCATTGGGTTTCGCCTGGTTTTTGTGCCAGAAAACATGCAATTTACAGGTTGGTCTGAGTTGTATTTTAATTGCTGGCTCCCGATTAGAAGGTACATTTATCGATTTCGCGTTGCCCGAACGATGGAGTGGTACACCCAATTCGAAAAGACTCCGTCGTTGGCTTGTTTCTCTGAGCGTTTCTATGCTTTGACGGTACCTTCTGGATTCGATATAGCTAAATCAAATAAGGCATGCGAAATGTTGATGGGGACACATAATGTTGCTTCCTTCTTAAAACACCCTTTGAGGGTACGCGGAACGGAATGGCAGGGTGTCATGAGAAATATTGATCTGATTCGAATTGTTTCTGGTGAACCGATAACTGGAATAGAGGATCCCCATTTCGAGTACTTTAACTTCGAGGTAATCTCGAAAAGCTTTGTTCGAGAACAGGTAACTGGGCATCCTATTGTTACTGTAGCTTGTTTAAGATTCGGAGAATGGTTAGGATTATTGTCAAATGTGGATATGAAGACCGATACATTGATCATCTGAGGATAATGTTAAGATGTCCAGATCCAGCTACATTCATCCAGCTGGGACATCGGGCTTCGAATGGAAAGGGCCTTTATCTTGTTGATGTTGTCTATGATAAAGACCACTTCGAGAATCCGGTTCCATTTTACAAACATCCGATTGACAGGATTGATGAGTCTTCGTTGTTATAGTTTTTGTTATTGTTACTATGGTTGCAATAAATTGTTATTTCTGCAGCTAATAGGCTTAAACTAAATATGGTTGTTTCCAATTTATCAATAATTTTTTGACTATGTTTTATTTTTATTTAGATGGCACAAGAGTTGGATACTTTTATGAATAAAGTAGTCTCTGTGATTACTGGCGATGGGCGAAATTTTGTTGGTTTAATGAAAGGATACGACCAAACAATTAATATTATATTGGAGAACAGCCACGAGAGGGTATTCCGGGGAGAACAACTGGGCGTCGAGCAGATCGAACTAGGTCTTTATGTTGTGAGAGGAGACAATGTGTGAGTTACTGCTTAATGTAAACTTCTTGCGTTTAGAGCTGTTATTGGAGAGTTGGATGAAGATCTCGATAGGCGAATCGATTTTGAACAGATGAAAGTAAACCCACTACAGCCTTTCTGGATTCCAAGTTGATCTCACCGATTTTTATTATTTATTTCATTCCATTAAAGCTGCCGCCTTCCCTTTCGGGCTTGGATAATATTAGTTTTACTCTTATTGTACCTGACGAATTATTATAAGCAATGTAATAGTTTACAATTGTCACAGGATGAAATTGATGTCATTGTCTGTTCCATTCAGGGTTGTACGAAAGTTTTCGTATAAAGGAGTGAGGAGCAGATCTCTTCTCACACCTTCCCCACCATCAGTAAATGCAAAAAGGAATGTGATATTTAAAATTCACAATAATCGGCCCGCCACTGTTATGGGATACTTTGTGACGTAGGTTTTATTACGAATAGAATAAACCAAGTTTAGATTCCCGGCAATCCCAGACGAAACTCCAGAAAATAATGTTTTCTTGGCCAACATCGCTCAGAATGCAGATTGGCCATCACTAAGGACAGCCACAGGTATTCTTTCCGGCATAACTATTAAATTTTTGTCGTTTAGCCAAAGAGATGTATGAAGGAACAATTAGACTCTTGATGGAGCATGGGGCAACTGTAATGGAGCACTTACAACTTTTGGAGAAAGGTAAAAATAGTCATCCAAAAAAAATTTTTGTTTAGATAAGGAGTTGCCCAGAACGTTCGAAAATGTAATGGATCCTTTGCTGACAGAATTGTACGAGATTGATTACGCATTCAACACCTTACTAGTCAAGATGTTGACCGATTGGCCAGAGTGTTCAACTCGTGCGTTTGATATGGACTTTGATCATGTTAGTTTAGTGTATAGATTTAAGTAAATTAATAATTTAGATGAAAGTAATGGTGGCCAGAGAACACATGGAGAAACTCTCCGATCCCGAATTCCAGAAGTCTCTTCAGGCAATTTATGATAATGGACAAGATTTGGACGTTTGGAAGACCCGTTTGGTTGAATTTTTTTTGCTGGAAATTAAAGCAAGCGGCCTTGACAAAACGGACAGTAAGATTCGAAGTATCATTGGTAGCTGGTCCAAGATGATCGATGAATATAGGACTAAATATTTGTAAGGCCACTCATTTTTTAAAACTCCTTTAGGACCAATATTCTTTGTACAAATGATCAATTCGTTTTTCATTTGAATGAGAATCAACTCAGAGATGCTCCACCGCATATTCTAAGACAACTTTCGGCAAAGTAAGTACTGTTGCTTATTCTAACCTTTATTTAGCAAGACCACAGAAGGACCTTGGAGAGCCCAGATGGAGCCTTCCTCGATATATTCCTTGCTGTCCTACTGTAACGATCGGCCTATTAGAGCACAAGCTTGGGATCGTTGGGTGTCCCGAGCCTCATTCGAGCATGACTTTTACAATAACTCTGTAAACATTGAAGAAATCAGACACAATGCGTAAGTTTAGGATTTCCACGAGATGATTTTAGTGAGGGGCTGGCCAAGACTTTGGGATACTCCTCGGTCTCGGAGCACAGGTTGGCCAACAAGATGGCAGGGTCTCCAGACACAGTCAGGAATTTCATTAATGAGTAAGTTTGACTCTCCGCAGTTTATTTCTCTAGGTTGACACATCGGATGAGACCCGTCTTTATTGATAGAATGGATGCTTGGCAGAGGTATGCAGCAGTGAAGGAGATTATCACCGGTCAGTTACAACCGTTCGACTTGTTTTACATTTGTCGAAAAGAAGCACTGGAGCATTACAGTGTTGATCCATTAGCACTGATGAAGTATTTCCCATTCTGGGGGACTTTCAACAACTTGACCCAAATGTTACAGTACCTTCTAAAAATTAAATTTGTGGTGGGCATGCATAAGTAGGATTAACATGGAATTTAGGATATTTCCGATCAAGATCTCCAGCGATGTCATCCGTCGTGTCGGATATTCTCGGTGGCTGATACGTTCACAGGGGAGCATCTTGGAAGAATTTACATTGATCCCTTTGCCAGAGAAGGAAAGAGAGGAAAGTGGAATACATTTTTGGGGAGAAGTAAGTGGTATTAGTGTAATCGTATATATTCCAGCCGCAAATGTGGAGCGAAATTTGGACAAGATCGTTTACATGATTGGGAATGCTGAGGAAGCAGTCAATGGTCAAGAATCTCTTCTTCACTATTCCCAACTTCAACAGTTACTGTTCCATGTAAGTTGAGGGGACTTCGGTACGCCGTCCCGTGTCTTTGATTTTTGGTTGCTTAGCGCCCTAAACCCTTGGCGAAGTTTCGGTTTAGGCCTAGGTTCACGCTGATCAAGCTTCTTTCTTTTAGTCTCATCTTTTAGTTCGCGCTTAGGAAGACCTTTTCTGCAGGCTGCGGAAAGTGGGAGGGCTTACGGCAAGCCAACCGAGTAGTTTTCAAAGTCACGAAATAATTATTCGTTTAGGTTGGTAGAGCTGTACAGATGCTATTGAGTAAATCCCCATATCGGGAGATCACCATCCCAACAGCACCGATGTATGCCTCCGATTGGGATGCGGCAGATCTCTTGCCCAAATTCGTGGAGTTCTTTATTTATAAGCCAAATATGGTGGCGGCATTAAGTTGTCCGAATGTGGAAACAGGAGAAGTTCTGACTGATGAAAACTGTAATAATGTGTCATGGGCACTTCAAAGGGGAATGTTGTGGGAATCCTACAGAACCCTCTTCTGGTCCGACTTTGACCTTACGATATTTGAGATGGAAGATAGAAAGTAATATGGAACTGAAATTTTTAAGCACCTAATTTTTAGGAAAGGGTTCTGGCTAGATGTATATCGTAAAATGTACAAGGACTACTTCCCATTCGTCCGAGAAAAAACAAACTATCAGCCTTGCTCATTCACTCCCATATTTGCCATGCCTCCCTACATGTCATTGTATTATCGAAAACTATGGGCTGAGATGTTAGCCCTCGATGTTCATGAGACATTCAACCACGAGCAACAAGAGGAAGTAACCGGCGAGCGCTTGAAGACGACTATCCTTTACCCGGGTGCCAGTGAACTTCAAGGAGAGCTTTACAGACGCTTCCAAGGCCGGGATCCAAGCGTTGGAGCCATCTGTGACTTCTATGACCCTCCAGCCATCGACCTATCAGAGGAAGAAAAGGGGTTCTAATTGTTAGGAATCATTAATTGTTTGTTGTTTATTAGAAAATAAAACAATAACGAAATCATGGGAAACTTATCAAGATACCAACAGATAAATTAAGAGATCCGACTTCAGACAGTTTGGATAAGTGTTATATTGTCACCCTTCAACATGATACGGCCGAGACTCTTCTTGGCGTCAGTCTTCATGTGGACTTCTTCAGCCTCATCGATAACCAAATTCATGTACTCATCAAATCCTAAAAAGTAACGCAACCTTATAGTTAGAGACTTACCAATAATATATCCTTCAATTCTGTGGTTTACATCCTCGTATAGCCAGATCTGAACGCGCGATCTTCCCTGTAAGCATCGGAAAATCAAGTTGATAGGCTGGATATTAACCTTGGAAACCTTCGGCGGCATTTTCGTTGGAGCTATAAGTGAAAAATATATCACACCCGAAAATGCAATCGTTTTAATTAAAAGTAATAAGAAATAGAAATTAAACTGTAAAACCCCAACAGTTGTAAATTTTCTTAAAGCCGACCCACAATTAATTAATTGTAGAATATTGCAATGCATGTTTTAAAATAAGCGAAACAAAATTTTCTTAGCGATGCTTTTTGTTTCCCCCCACGAAAACAAACTCTTGGCTTTGTGCAAAACAAAAAATAAATTTTGTGACATCAACCTTCTGATATCGGAATAATTATAGGTTATGTTGAGTTCATTTTTTATTGTTTCCAGTCACAAAGTAAATGGATACAAATGGAGTGGACTACATCAAAAGTAAAATGCCGACGATTGGACTTGGGACTTATTTAATGACGTCACCAGACGTGGAAGAAGCGGTTAAAGAAGCATTGAAATGTGGCTACAGGATGATTGACACAGCACAGGTTTACAGAAACGAGAAATACATTGGGGAAGCATTAAAAGAATGTGAACGGGATCTTGGTATAAAAAGGTTTGAGAAAGCATTGGTTTTGGTAGCAAAAAATTTCAGGGAAGAGATATTCTTGATCTCGAAGTTACATCCTCGAAGTAACGGAGCTGCCGCTTATGATTCCGTCAAAGAATCCCTAAGGGCATTGGACACTAATTATATCGATCTGTTCTTGATTCATTGGCCAGGGAAAACGAGATTCAAAGCATCAGACAAGAGGAATCAACAAGCTCGTATCGATGCATGGAGAGGATTAGAAAAAGCATATGGTCAGTGTTTATGACTATAATTAAACCGATTGCTGCAGAGGAAGGACTGGTCAGAGCCATCGGGGTGTCCAACTTTGAACTTGCCCATCTGGAGCATCTTTTCTCATTCAGCTCTGTTCATCCAGCTGTGAATCAATGCGAATTTCATCCCTTGTATAGACCTAATGAAGTGATTGAATGGTGCCGGAATAACAATGTCCACTTCCAGGCCTACTCTTCCCTAGGAACATCTGATTCAAATATTCTTCTGGACGACAACAAGTTCCAAAGGATCGCTGCACAATTGAATTGTACCATTCCGCAGTTGCTGCTCGCTTATGCACTTAGTCAGGGGATATCAGTTCTTCCAAAAAGCACCAATCCATGCCATATACGGGAAAATTTTGATGCAATTAAAATTAAATTAAATCCGGATCAAATCAGAACTATGGAGATCGAACAAGATCACAAACTTTGTTGGGATCCCAGCAAAGTCTATTAATTCTGACATTTTGTATGTACATACGTTGTCATAAATTGTTGTTTATTGATAAAAACCTTGAGAAACATTAAAAATGAAGTCTTAGTAATCTTAAGAGGATTGTTAGTTAAACACCACAAATCCCATTAGGGGGATCCACAACAGATTTGTAGTTATGCCTGTAGAAGTTGAGTTGGTAGCTTCGACCGGAGGGGATTCTGCCGAAGGTGCGATGCGCTCAGAATTCTCCCCTTCAACAGGGGAACTTCCAGTCGTCGGAATCGATGAATCCGTTGAGTCAGAGGCTCCGACTGGGGCTACTCCGGCTGCAGCGACTTGAGGCTGGGCGGTAGGTAGTGGGGTGGTGTCCGGGACTTCTTTCGATGCCTCAGGCAACTCACCCGTGTCCACATTCTCTCCCCACCAATTCTGAGTGGTCGTTTGTTCATTTGGATCAAAGCCCCAATAAGAGCCAGTGGTTTGTGATTTGGCTAGCTGAAATCGAAGGGGATTAGGAAAGAATAGGATAAATCTGACCTGGTATATACTTACCTGAGAAAGCACAAATCCGAGTAAAATAATCAAAATAATTTCCTTCAGCATCCGGCCTCAGTCCACCCCGACTTGTGAAATGGCTATATGTTATGAATACTCTAGGGCACTGAAGCAGTAAAGTTAACACGCAAATGTTTTTTGATGATATTTATAGGTGGAGTAACACTACAATCTAAAAAAGAGTACAGTAAACAAAACTCGGTATGCAAATGAATCCGAGGCTCCCCGAAATTTGCGCCCGGCCAAATAAAAGGTAAAATGCCGGAGGGATTAAGGGATAAAGTGCGGGGAAAGGGTAGAGGAAGACGACTCAATCTCGGTTATATTAACCTGGGTATTCTCCCAGGCAACTGGACCCGCCCTTTGTGGCCGAGCCTTCTGAATAGCGACTGATTGGAGATTGGAATACAGAGCTTGCCTCAGGGCTTAATCACGCGGTACTCTCGGCAAGCCGATTATTGGAGGTTTGGCCATTACGAGACAGCCATTTTCGGTGCTCATTACTCAAATTGCTTTCCTCTGGGCACCTTTACACTCTGCGGTGTAATTGCAGATAGTTTTGGCGTTGGAAGTCCTACATATTTTCACATCAATACTGCATAGGTGCTTTTGTCTGGAAACTAGTTTCTTATAATAATTAAGACTAATTACCGTACTTTCGGCAGTCACAAACTCGCGCTTAGAGAAAAAATTAAAAAGAAGAAGCGTGTGATCTTATTTTAGTATGTTTATTAGCTGAGATGAATTGATGACTCAAAAGTTGGCTGCCTTTCTGGTCGTATCCTTTTCCGAGGAAAATAAAATTGGACAAATTTTCGTCGAATTTTAGGAAACATCAAGAGGAATATATAAGGCTGGTTCAATGTGCTCAATTCCCAGGTGATGTCGTAGAGGGTCATGCAGAGGGTGATGTCAACCTCGATCCAATCATTATTCCCTGCCCAAAACAACAGATAGAAGACCACGCCCACGGCATCTACCATCTGATCTATCAGGTTGAGTAATGAAAGATTCAGTTCATCTACCACTCTCCTTTGTCGCAAGACATTTGCTGAAGTAAAAATAAAATTGCTATTTATTTCTACAGTAATCAAGTGCAAATGTACTTTGTCACGGCTTACTTTTGGCCATTGTTCGGACATGCCCATTTCTTTCGGGGATGTTGATTGTAACTTGATCCATGAGGAGATGCAATTGCCCTGTTCCGTTACTTTTGAACTTTTTATATCTCCATTGCAACACCATTGTTGTCACACAGTTGAATATAAATACAATGGGAACGTACAAGAACGATTCTAATAACATGTCTATAGTGTCATATATGTCTTCTATCTATAAATTACCGGTGTAATAAGTGCTGTGATGTTAATTAGAAATTAAACTCCTTACTTCTTTCTTCGCAAACACTGGATTCATTGTATTTTCAAAGAAGATACTCCCGCAACAAGCTCTAAACATAGGTATCACCCACAATAAAGGCAGTATCCAGATCAGAGAAGCCATAATCAACTTGTTTCTAGGACTACTGATCTATGATGGTGTTATTGCAAACGTTAATTTACATACCCAAGGGTAATGTTTTGGGAAAACGACCAGTAGCATGTGGTCTAGATTAAAGAAAAACCCGCAACAGATCGTGGAATATGACAGATACCACTCCGAGGCATTGATTAGAGTGGCCAGCGACTGGAATGAGAATGACTATCAACAGTTTATGTTGACCTTGACACCACTTGGGCTTTACTTACTGGGCCGTGGCTAAAAATCCACTGGATGAATTCATTTTTGCACAAAAGAATCGGCAGGTATTTGAGAGTAATTCTGGAGACGTTAGCTAGACAATCCACAACATACGATGAAAGGAACAGAATATTAAATGTGTTGTTGTGGAGGGCAGGTGTGGAGCAGATGAAGAATAGCATGAATGAGGCCAAAAACAAGGTAAAGGCGTTAAGTGCAAGACGGATTGTGGCGACTACCAACTCCAAGGTGGTACTCGAACACAAGAACTCCGTCGCCGTCCCATTCCCGACCATGCTGTAGCAGACACCCACTTCGCCTTCGAAGCCTCGGGGGATTCATTTCAACCATCGGATCCGCTTGACTGACCATAGCCAAGGTGGTTGGGACAATGGTGTAAATAGTAGATTAGCGGTAGCCCGTGCAAAAACTATGGGCGGGACTTGTGGAAGTGGCGTGAGAGGTCGCGCGCTCTTTCTTGGACGCCCCTCAATTACACCTTATCAACTCTCTCGGAACAAGGTCTGAAGAACAATCTGTTTTAACTCCTAAGGCAATGTTGCTTTTATGTTCTTATTATGAGTATACTTCTAATTTTTTGAGGGGTCGAATTTTTTAGGGGTGCCCGAAAATGTCAAAAATACGGTAATCGATGGCGTAGATTTCAAAAATCATGTTCTTTTTTTCTGATTTTGACTTTTTTCTTGAGTAGTAGTGTAAAAAGTAATTTTTGGAATTTTTTCTAAAAATATTCGATTTAGGGGCTCTCGACGGTGCTGATTTCAAAAATCATGTTCATTTTGTCTGAATTTTACTTTTTTTCTATTGCGGAACCACTGATCAGTCACGTAGCCTACAAATTTTTTTAGGAAACCAAAAAAATCATTTTTAATTTAACAGTACTAATTTTAAAAAAGTAAAAATCAGAAAAAATTAACATGATTTTAGAAATCAACACCCTCGAAAACCCCTAAATCGAGTATTTCCAGAAAAAATATTAAAAATTACTACTTACAAGGGAAGTACTTGAAGTGCGACGCTCAGATTTTGATAAAAATTGGCATAGATGGAGATTGGAATTTTCTTATTCGATTGCGAGCTTTCTAGCTCGCGCTTTGCAGAAACCGCTGTGAAAGAAGGGCCGGAATATCGAAAAAAATCTTCAAAAGCCGGCGAATTTTCCCTGATTCCCTTGATCTTGGCATTCCGTTTCAGGATAAAAATATATTTTTTCTCGCAAGAAATTTTTTCTTGATAATGTTCAACACTATTTTGTTGCTTTTATGTGGAATATTGTGCGCTATTTTCATTTTTTTACACTCTGGACATAATTCTTGCGCTATTAATTGGATTGTTGCCATCCGGAGGGTAAAATGTTTCGTTTTTTGACGAATTTATACAGCTTTTCCTCTGCGGATGGGCAAACCACTCTAATAGTTGCTTCAAAGCTGTTTAGAAGAGATGCAAAACGCTCTACTTCGTGCATGAAGGTAATCATAAAGTAAGTGTTCCAAAAATTTTATTTTTTCACTATTTTTCAGTTTATTCCATTTCAGCAAACAAAGTAAAGGGTCCCAAAGGTGTTCCGCCATTGTACTCGGTGTTCTGATGGTTCACATTCGCTGTTCTCGTTTTTCAGAATTTACTTGCTGAAATAAAAAACAAGATTTTTGGAAAACTCACTTTATGATTCGTTCATACACGAAGTACAACGTCTTGCATCTCTCCTAAACAACTTTGAAGCAACTATCAGAGTGGTTTGCCCATCCGCAGAGGAAAAGCTGTATAAATTCGTCAAAAAACGAAACATTTTACCCTCCGGATGGCAACAATCCAATTAATAGCGCAAGAATTATGTCCAGAGTGTAAAAAAATGAAAATAGCGCACAATATTCCACATAAAAGCAACAAAATAGTGTTGAACATTATCAAGAAAAAATTTCTTGCGAGAAAAAATATATTTTTATCCTGAAACGGAATGCCAAGATCAAGGGAATCAGGGAAAATTCGCCGGCTTTTGAAGATTTTTTTCGATATTCCGGCCCTTATTTCTCGGCGGTTTCTGCAAAGCGCGAGCTAGAAAGCTCGCAATCGAATAAGAAAATTCCAATCTCCATCCATGCCAATTTTTATCAAAATCTGAGCGTCGCACTTCAAGTACTTCCCTTGTTAACAGTACTAACTAAGAAAAAAGTGAATACAGAACAATGGATGTCATTTTCGAAATTGGTTACCTCACCACCCACTATTTCCCGGTTGGGGTCTCTTTCGGTGGCTTTCTAATTTGCAACGTGTTGGCAATTCGTCTCCCTGTTTTCAACGTCAACTCTATCCAAAACCCCGAAAAAATCTGACATTTCATGGTGATTTTCAACTGAAAAACACTGGTTTTCGAGGAAAAAAGGCCCTACTGCAAGAGGTCGTAGCGACCTTAGTTTTCATTTTATAATCTTGTTACTTCATACACGAAAATTAATGTCGCTTAAAAAAATACAGACTCCAAAAACGAAGTCACTGCGCCGCCCCCGCCGGCCGTTATAGCCTCCGACTTTCCTTCACGTTCCTTGAAAAGAGCCTGTAGATTAATCTCATCACCTTCAAAAGTACTAGTCCGTTCGCAAAGTCGCTGGAGTTATTTCGGCGATATACACTCTGAGAAAACAATTTGCACCGTGCAATAGGCTTTTTCGGGCTGTCGCTCGCTCCCTGACTTATATGGACTAGTAACCTGCCAAGCAACTACAATGACATCAATGAATTTTCCGGCGCGAAAACAATGAATGCTAACAGCTTGGCATTGCGATATAGACGGGCTGCAAAATTTTTGAGCCCGACTCGGCTGGCGCTGGCCATGGCCCGGGCCGCTGACCACCCCTGAAATAGCTAATTCGTAGTCTTTTTGATAAGAATACAATTTCTGAACACTTTCAATCTTCAATAATTTCTTTTACTTCTCAGTTGATAAATGCTTGTTTTAACAGTCGAGTGTAATTTTTTGTGTAATTTTCCTTTGTTACTCTTCGAATTTAGTTTTAGCCTAAAGAATGGCCGAATTTGGAAGCTGGGATCAGATAAAGAAGAACCTTTCTGAATTTAAACTCGATTACAAGACGTTATGGGACATAACTTCGGCCAAGAAATTCGATGAGAAGAAGGCTCAGACATGGACCGAGAATCACTTTTTCTTGACGATACAGGTAGGAACAGTTTCTAACTATATTATCCATGTTAGTTATCCATCGCCTACGTAATTGTGGTCTTCGGAACAAAGTCATTGATGAGGAATCGTCAGCCTTTTAATCTGTTCATCCCTCTCAATGTATGGAATCTTTTCTTGGCCGTTTTTTCGATTGTTGGGACCATTAAGTTGACCCCGGAATTCCTGGACGTTGTTCTTGGGAAAGGCTTAACTGGTAAGACCTCGACTCGGATTTTTTATCTTCTAGAATCTTACTGCCATACTACGACATTCACTTCTGGAATCAATGGCTACTGGATGTTCTTGTTTATTCTTTCGAAGACCGTTGAACTCGTTGACACCGTTTTCCTTGTGCTGAGAAAGAGGCCGTTGATGTTTTTGCACTGGTATCATCACATTCTCACCATGATCTATGCGTTCTATTCGTATCCCGTGACCCCAGGATTTAACCGATGGGGTATTTATCTCAACTTCTTCGTTCATTCCTTCATGTATTCGTAAGTTGTGAACGAACCTGATCCAGTGGGAAAAACGTACGATTTTGCAGCCGAGAAGTATTAAAAACGCAGCAAAATACCAACTAAAAAAACTCGGTTTCGAAGAGCGCGCCCTTTCTCACACAAAGGGGGCGGGCTTTTGAAATTGGAGCCTTTTCACTTGGAGAGGGAGGTTTTTGCCGCGTTTTTGACACTTTCCGAATGCAAGATGGTACATTTTTTGTCATTGATCAGCTCCGCCACTGTAAATCGGAAAACTTCTCTTTCTTTTAGGTATTATTTCCTCCGCTCAATGAAGATTGCAGTCCCCGGCCCTGTGGCTAAACTCATCACAACCCTCCAAATCTGGCAATTCATTATCTCTGTGGCGATTCTGGCTCACTTGGGAGTTCTTATTTACGTACAGAAGGCCGCATGTGACTTTAATCCCCGTGTGTTTGTGTTGGCCGTGTTTATGGACGTCACTTATCTGATCTTATTCATCAATTTTTTCCTCAAAAGTTATGTTTTGAAGGGAGGAAAGGCCAAATACAAGGTCCAAAATGGAGTTAACCCCAAGAAGACTAACTGAACTAGCTGATTCTTGGGTTTTGTTAGAATTCAAATAGTTGTTACTTTGTAATAAAAGTTTTATTTTGTTTGTCATGCTCGACCGGTCGGTTTCTTTTCTGGTGTTGGTAACATTAGTGTTTAATATGGGTCTTGCAGGAATTATTGCTATTCTTTGTGGGACAAAAGGAAAGAAAAGTAAACCTGTCACTAGCTTTAAAAAACCTCAAAATATCACAAAAGGTGAGCAGACTACCATATTTGTTAAGCTGTCATGACTAATGTATACTGTTTTGTATTTTTATTACAGAAAAAGCAAAGGAAGCGAAGAAGTACCACCAACCAGAAGATGAGATGACCTTACTCAGTCTCCAAAGAAATCCCAGTGTCGAGAAATCCCGGATTCCGGACGATGACACCATCAGATTCGTGGAAAGTATTAAGGCGGAGACCTCCGAATGAAGTATTAAATCATATTCAAATCACTCTTTAATATTTTTTTGCTGTCTGTTCTCACGGCAACAGCATGACGGGGAAATCTTTGAGATCGGTTGTGGTTATACTGCATTTTCTGGTGTTGTCTCTGCTCATTCTGAGGGTCTCTCTTTCGAATCCGAGCCTAAAGTTGATGTCGCTTGTAATGGAAGTTAATGAAACTTACTTCATGTAGAATATGAGAGTGAGAACCAACTGTCTCCATGCAATCTGAGTCTCCTTATCCATTTCTTGGGTGATATTCTCCACTATACACTCGGTGAAGATGTGCCAGTACTCTGTTCGGAAGTCCTTTATCTTTAAGTTGGCATGTTTTCTAAACAAATAATTAAATTTTTGAAAACAATTATTCCCTTTACTTCCCCAATTGTTCCGCATTTTCCGTGACCATACTAATGTCATCCAGATTTCTTATGACAAAGTCGAAAGTGTCGATGAAAACGTCCGAGTGGGATATAAATTTAGGATCAGCCCTCAGTTTTTTCCCTTTGGTGTTCGAACTGATCCCAAATATTGGTTTTAGATCTTCGACTTCCGCAAATATTGCTAAAATAATAAAATTCTTGCTAGACAATTGTCTATTAACGGCATGTATGGCTGGGTTTCTTACCACAAAATATATCCTTTCCTGCTTTGACCTTGTTGATCTTACTCCACGATTTGATGATTAAGTTCCGTTGCCTGGGGGCTAATCTTTTCGGTTTACTCGTACTGTTCCTTTGCACTACCAATGCTGTACTCGACCATCTTCGCCCTCGAAATTAAAAAAAAATAGTTTTCATTACTTACTGTTTACTCTTGATGCGTCTGGAACCGTCAAGGACGGGCGGTCTAGAACTGTAATAACATTATAAATATCATAGTTAGATTATGTTGGAACATTACGCAAGGTTGCGTGTTATAAGTCAGTATACAAACGAGTAAGTTGTTTTTAGTAAACGCCGTGGCTTTTCAGAAGGTCACACGAAGCAAGTTATAAAATGCAATGATTGATTTTTGTAACAAAAGTACAGTATACCTGGCACATCATTGGAGCGTGATTTGAATTCGGAAGCCCGTCGATTCATCCTCTGCTGGTGCTGTTGGACCAGGATCTGCGGCTGATTGGGCCCCTGACTTTGAGAGCGGGTTGCATTTGAGCTCTTATTCCCCATAAGCCGGCAATCGATAAGAAGACCGCGATTCGGAATCTGGAGAGTGCCGGGCCAGCCTCCCCTAAAACAGTCGGCGTTCCGTGCCGAACGGTTTAATTCAATTTAAATTTGGAATAATTTCCCCTTTTTGCAGTCGAAATGGAAAGGCCGCGGGCCTTATTCTAATCGAGGGATCTCTCCAGTCGATTGTCCAGAGGATTACAATTAAGCGGGTTTACGTTGGACCCGAAAGAAAAGTTTATTAACCTCATCAGTTGGGGACGCCCTCAGGTTGTCATACTCAATTCTCGTCTCCGACTTTTGGGGACGAAAGGCCCTACCAAGAAATTACTTAATGCATTGAAACTATTTAAATTAAATGTAAGAGCATCAGAGGAAGGAGAAGGTCTTGTTTGTGCTGATCCGAATGTCATGGATTGTCGTTGCGACCAAGAATCTTTTAAGATCTCTGACAGTTTCTACTTTGTTGGAGTTTCTGTTTGTCAAAGTGTGTCAGCAATTTGCCAACAATAATTTTAAAACTTTATGTTGCAGTTTAAATACAAACAATTTAATGATTAATCATCCCGAATGCAGACTTTTGCAGACTCCACGCACCACTTAATGAAGGAGTCCAGCCATCTTCTCCTCTTTTATCAGCAAAGTGTGCCTGCATTTTCCATTTGAAACATTATTTTACCTGTTTGCGCCATAAATAGACATAGTTTTCGCTGTCATCTTCCGCTTTTAGGATGGGAATCAAAAACCGCTGAGAGGCGGAAAAAGGGAATTAGCTCAAATTTGCATCCCAGTCCCGGCCCTTCGCTCTTTTTGGGGAACGAAATTTGATTTTGAATAGATCGCAATTAAACGCGCAGAGAAACCAACCTCAACATGGAGATCCGGTCGATTTCAGACGAACGAAGACGGCGTTATTAATGCCGCCTTCTTCTCTTTCATCAAGAATGGAGAAGGAAGGGAATGACCTTGTCTATCGCCCTTCCCCTCTCTTCTTTTCCCACAGTGGCCATCGGGAGGAAGGGTCATCATCATCTTACACCTTGTCATGATGTCACTCACCCTTGTTGGATCTCGATGAATCAGTGATTTGCATAGAGTCAGTAAGAGGGGAGAGTCCCCACCTATCCTATCTCCATTTCGATGCCTCTTATCAGTGCATTCCCCATTCCCGGACCGAATTGAGGTCTCTGTCTCATTTTATTTTACTCGGTCACCTTTTTTGGTTTGGGAAGGGGGATTATTCCGGAAAAACAGGGACAGTGCCGATCGGTCTTTGTTTTATCAAAACTCCCGCCATTGTTTCTGGAATTTATGGTATGGGAACTTTCGTTTAAATAACATCAGACGTTTCCTCCAACAAATTAACATTAAAATTTTCGATCTTATCAAGTTCCTGTTTTGTCATCTATTTCTGACAAAGAAGTATTTCAGATTTTATTAAAATTTTGCATGCGAGATCTGAACTAGCCATGTATCAATCCGTAAAAGTTTTAGATGGCGCTTTCCACAATCTTGTTTTCGAGAGAGCACGCGAAATGATGAGGGTCGGACAGACGCAAACTGGTTTTCGTGTATAATTCTTTTTGTTTCCCTTCGGAAAAATCTGATTTGTTGTAGAAAATTTGTACGCCGGAATATTAATTGAGCCGCAAACTTCGCATGTCTTAGAAAATAAAAAAAATAGGCCGACTTTCATCCAAGTTGTCTCACATCAAGTACTTGTGAGATGACTGCAACTTTTTAATCTTGCGTAATTAGCCATAAACCGAAGTGTTTATTCAATTACCGTATCTTCCGGCTATTTTTTGAGGATATTTTATTGCCCTGATTAAACCTCCTGCTAGTTCCAAATCTTCCCAAACTTTGCGATCGCTGAATTGTTGACGAGATCAGTATTTTCTTCCATTCTCTTATCAGTATATCGTTGATTAATCATTCATTCCATTTAAGCCCTTTATGTTTTGTTAGAAGCGCTATGCCGATTAGTTTGCCTCAGGACGCCCCATCGCCGCGGATCTGCCGAGTTCAGAAGATCCATCCTTCAGATGAATATGGCTTCAATCTACATGCTGAGAAGAGCAAAGGGCAATATGTGGGATCAGTAGATGCCGAGAGCCCAGCCGATATTGGAGGCCTCAGGGAAAACGATCGAATCATCGGAGTGAATGGAGATATGGTCTTGGGATTACCTCACAAAGAAGTAAGTCATGGATTCAGCTACTGTTTCAAGGAGTGTTCCAGGTGGTCCAAAAGATCAAAGCGAATCCTTTGTTTTGCGAGTTGTTCGTCATCACGGAACATGACTTTTTCTGGTATCAGAACCATGGAATTCCGTTATCCTACGACCTTCCTAACATTGTCAGACCCGTTTCTGTAAGTATTTCGTGCTTTCCCTATCCCCGCTTCCCTTTGTGCAGAGTCTCTGTCCATCAAGCTCAAGCAGTTCAGTGCATCCCCAGTCCTCGCTCAGCTCCCGTTGCACTTCCTTCAATTCAGACATCTTTATCTCTAAGGCTAGAATCCAGCTTAAGGTGAGTTCAAGGCCTGTTGTTGGTTACGGTGTCTGAGTTCGGAAGAGTATGGGTATTAATCAACCTTTTTACACCTAATTGATGACCTGTGAGTTCACGGACCAGTATGTTGATACCTCTGGCAGGTGATGGTTGTTGTGGCTGTTTACACTGTGGGAGATCTCTTTGTTTGCGCGATTTCTTTTTATTTTAGACGGCCATTCAAAGAAGTGCCTTGAGTGGAGGGGGCGCGTTTCCTTTCCGGGAACTCGAGACTTTGCAAACTTCACAAAACGAGTCAATTCAGATCTCTCGCTCTGATTACTCGCAGTTTCTCCTTAATTAATGTGGCAGGATAATACTATAGAAATGTCTCCGTTATGGCTCCATTGCTGCAACTAGTTGCGGACTGATTCAGATTCGGCCTTTTAAATGGTTATTACAGGTCTCCATTCGAGGAAAGAATTAGGTCTGTCAGTTTATGATTGACTGATGACTAAGGACCGCTTAGCTCCGTTGTCTATGTGTTTATCTCCGCCTTCACTTCGAATGAGACGTTAATTTCTCCTAATCCTAGACATTGAATCAAACTTGGGGAATCGATGAAAGCCCTGAGGGTGTTTGCTCTCGTATTATATCCATTTGAGGTCATTCGAGAGGGTCGGGGAGAGAAAGGGAGCGGGATAGGTATCTATCATGACTCAGACCACGCTTTTGTTGTTCTTGCGCTTTTATTGGTTTTTTGTACCTTCGAAAGGTTCAGTCGACCAAATTTCCGTTCTCTCCCTAAGGGCTCCAAGCAACAAAAACACTAAAAACGAAGCTCTTCTGAACGTCTTCTGGCTCCAGCACAATATTATTTTTATTATAATTATTCCTCAAAAACTCGGTGACCTTGACGTGGGAATTTAATTAGTGAAGAGGAAACGTCAGACTCACTCAGCCATTATGAGGGCATTCAATTTCTCTCCTTCAACAATCTCAGCGGCCTGGTTCGGTCAACAATTTCTCCACAGATTTTAGGTATTTTTTCGATCCGCTCCCGAGTGTCCGTGCTTTATTTTTCCATGAGAGATGACCGGGAATTATCCTTTTGTATTTCATCTGGCCTTTTATAGAAATTTCCCTTTTACTCCTCTTTTTTTCATATCGCCTGAGGCCTTTTTATGCTAAAGCGGATTCCTTTTTTGCTAATCGCCGCTTTCGTTTGATCCACTTATTGTTCAGGAGAAGCCAATAGAATCTCCAGTAGCCTCCGATCCGGCAATTCCTAGAGCCAGCACTCCGCCGATGACTCCGCGACCTCTACTCTGTCATTTGGTAAGCCCTTTCGAGCTAAATTTTACACTCATTATTTACAGTAGTATCAGATGTTGACGCGTTTTCACTTAAAGTAATATGTATAAAAAGATTAATCATAAGGGTGTTTCAGTCCAAACGAAGCCCCACCCAAGAGTTTGGCTTCAATCTCCACGCGGAAAGAAATAAAGGACATTTCATTGGGTCGGTGGATAAAGGAGGAATTGCTTACCTGGCTGGTCTTGAGACGGGCCAGAGAATTGTCGGCGTCAATGGGGAACTCATTTACCCAACGAGTCCACACAAGGTGCGTTTTGACGTATTTGAACAAATGTATTTTTTCTTTTTATCAATTTGTTTGTTTGGCTGCATGGAGAGCAGCCAAACAGACAAAGAACATCCGTTAGCAGTCCATAATCAGCATTTTCATTTTGAGCAAAATGGATTCCATTTTCGGATTCCTGATGGTCAAACCCCAAAAAAAACTTTTAACAACGTTACGTCATATGGATGACGATTTCTTAAATTTCATCGCACAAGTCCTTACGAACCCTGCAAATTTACAGGGGAAGTACCCCAAGTGCGACGCTCAGATTTTGATGAAACTTGGCACAAATTTAGAATGATTTTTTCTAAAATATATGCGAGAATCCTAGCTCGCGCTTTGCAGAAACAACCGAGATTTTTAGATCGAAAGTGGGCGAAAATTTGACACTTGTTGCCGAATTTCGGCACGAAAAGTTGCGTGCCTATTTCTACCATGGAGGGTAATGTTTCCACATAAAATCAATTTTTTCCGCACGAAACAAGAAAAGTTATGGCCAAAAAGTGCTTTTCTCTCTGTCCGCTCTCCGTGCTTAGCGTACTCTCTCGGCGGCAAAGATCGTTCAATATCTCGGCGGCGCCTGAAAAGCGCGAACTAAAACTTCCAGGAATTGTTATTTAGTTCATGCCCGACGTGTGCTCAAAATTTAAAGAAAATCGGAGCGTCGCACTTGGGGTACTTCCCTTGTGAGCAGAGAAAAAGTGAAAAAAAGGAGGAGGCGACAGAGAAAGGCAGAAATTTTTACAAAGTGAGAAATTGCGCAACTTTGTGTCAGATTGCGCAACTTTTACCTTTGGACTAAATTTGCAGAGTTCGGACGGACTTGTGTGATGAAATTTAAAAATCATCGCCCATATGCGTGTAAACATGTATACAGCCCGCCTTTCATTTGGATCAGAGTTCATAGGGGCAAAAAACCGGCTTGATCAACTCGTAGGATTATTTTAAGAGTATTTTGGACATTAATCCTGACCTAACTCACGACCTAGGTCAAGAACTACTTTGTGTTTCCCGAAATTCACGGATTTTATCATGGATTCATTATGTTCACAGAACTTTAACGCTTTTGGATTACATACCTGAACTAGAGATAAGTCACGACAAGCATAACCAAAGTGACTCTCGTACCCTGGTCATAGTCATACAGCCTGCTTGCTTTTTATATGAGGGCGCAATATCACATTGTTTATTGCAAAAATAACGCCGTCCGTTGCGCAACATGATGGCTTTTCGTAAAAAAATTAATAATAATGCATAATTTCAGGAAGTAGTAGCACTAATAAAGCACGATCCCTTGGACACAAGTCTTCTTGTTGCATCAGAGGAAGTGGATAGATGGTATACAGAAAACGGGATCCCCTACAGCTTCGATCTGGCCGTTACTTACAAAACCTACACTCCGCCCAGATCACAATCTCGAACCGCGACCGTATCAAGTCAAAAAACTAATGGAACCGCTCAGGTAAGGGGGAGGGGGAGTGTGCGTATTTTTTGGTAGTTTTTACGTTTTGATTTAAGTGTAATATAAAATTAGTTGTCTTACAACGGTAAACGAATTGTTTTTAGTCTTTCTCGAGCCCCTCGACCTTCTACACGGTTGGTATTGGTATTCTGAATTTATTCCCCTATCCCTTTGTTTTTCCGGCTTCTTTCTTTGCTAATTTTGGGTTCTGTTTTTGTAGCCTACCGAAGATGCTCAAACTGATGTTGTTTATGTACCGACAGAATTGAAGGAGGAACAGCTAAATGGACACAATACTTCCGAGACTTCTGAAGTCCAAGAGTCAGAAGAATCGACAGATTCTGAAGTCAGGGAACTCCAGAATATTGAGAACGCGGCCGTCGGATCCCCAGACGATCTTCTCGAGAAAGTGTTTAGCTCTGTCCCGCCTCCCAAAGAAGATTCACATGTAAATTTTAGTTTTTTCCTTTTTTCTGCTTACTTAGTACCCCACTTTCTTTGATTTTCTCTCCGAAACTATAAATCTGTTACTCTCTTTCAGAAACATGTAATTAATAATTACAATTCCGTGACTCCACTGGCTCCCATATCCGTCAGGAATTCTCCCTCAATCGACCGAACTCCGCTCAGTTCTCCAGAGAAAGGTTGGATTAATTTAGTATTACCATTTCCACCAGGGAACGTCATCAGTTGGGGGAAAAAGACAATTGGGGAAACTGAAAAGTATTATCTTTCTTCGATGTAAGTGTTGAGATTAGGGTAATCGATGCCGCTGATAATGTTATTTTTTTAAATCAGCGCCATCGATTATCCTAATCTTGACACTTACAGCGAAGAAAGACAATACTTTTCAATTTCCCCAATTGTCTTTTTCCCAATCATCGCTCCCCGTTCCACCAGTATTGATTTGAATTGGCTATAACTTCTTTATTTTTGGGCCAAATAGTAAGATTCTTTTTCCTGAATTCTCAGAATCTATCGTTGTGTGTGATACCAAGTATGTTATACCTGTTTTTCAGACTACACTGCATCAAAAAATTTTTTTTCTTTTATCGGCGGAGACTTCCGTAATCCCCCTTGAATTCGGCGGAGTGTTTTTTTCACAAATGAGGCTGTAAATTGTTGTATGTGTAAAGAAAATGGGCGGGAAAGGATTTAGAAGATACAATATGACAGTTATTTCAAATTTTTGTGATTGGGCGGAGACATTTTTTAACCTCGGTGGACGATACTTCTCCGACTTTGGAAAGTCAAAATTTGCTAAAACCAAAACGTATGGTATCCCTGGTGGCATGGCGCCTAAATACGACTTATTACGTCAACGGTCCACTGGGAGAAGAAAAAAAGGCAATTCGGCGGAGAAATCGGCGGAGAACAAAATGACCCCATTTTTACAGCCTCATTTATGAAAAAACACTCCGCCGAATTCAAAGCGGATTACGGAAATCTCCGCCGATTAAAGAAAAACATTTTTTTGATTCTAAAAACTCCAAGGGTTTTCTGAAAAATGCAAAAAAAAATTTGGGATTGGACCACCGAGAACAAAGTTATTAATGAATAGTTTTTTTCCATAATTCTTGGAACACCCTGTAATTATCTGTTTCACAACATTCTAAGGCTGATGGACGGGGTTTGCCACACATATATCTTCGACCGCTACCGGGATACAACCGATTTACAACATCTTTCGAGATTTTTTTATTTTCACCGTGAAGATGACGGAATTATTTGATTCCTATCACATACTTGGTATAACACAAAAACGGTAGATCCTGAGGATTAAGGGAAAAAACGAATCTTAGGCCCAAAAGTAAAGAAGTTATAGCCAATTCAAGTCGGGCCACAAAAATGCCCAGCCCTATACTTTTATGATTAATTGTTTACTTTTAGATGAAAATGTGGATATATTCAAAATGAGTGCCAAGAAAGCGCGGGAGATCCTCAAACACAAGAAAAGGGACCCTCGGGCACAGGGAACGATGACTCTGGAAGAAAAACACCAACTCATCGCCAACTTATAGAAACCCTTTCTAGTCAGCCAGAGTCTTTGCCTACACCTGTGATCATTTTACTGTTATTTTTGTGCAATTCGCTTACCATACTTAATAAAATCATATTCGATCATTTTTTTAATAGTAATAAGAACCTTTTATTATTGAAGAAAGTTACTTGATTTTTTTATAAATGCAATCATCAATAACCAAAAATCAACGATCAGGAATGTCATTTTCAAAATCAGCACCATCGAAAACCCCTAAATCGAGCATTTGCAAAAAAACTCAAAAAATTGCTTCTTTACAGTACTAATAGTAACGATCAAAAAATGGACGTCACGTTCGGCGCTTACATCGAAGAAAAATAATACATCTCAGTTTCCCGAAGTTCCTATAAATACTAAATCAGGGGCAGAAAATGCTGATTGAAGAAATTCTCAGGTAATTCATCTCTACATTAGAAGTAGTTTCATCGACTGCCCTGAGAACAGAAAGCATTGCCAGCAACGAAAAGGATCGAAGAAGGTCTTCAGGTTACAATAAACAGTACCAAACTTTACTCAGTTCTCTGCCTAATGTAATTGTAGGCGTTTTTTAACCGTTCTTTCAGCTCTTCCTTTTCCTTTTTGGTTGCTCTTTCTCCCAAAGAAGGGAAGATCAGGATGCAAAACAGAAACTCAAAGGGGGCCTGGTACTTGAACATCTCCACTTGCTAAAAAGATTAATGAAAGTTGACCAAGGCATACCTGATCGAGTGTAAATGAGAAGCTGCATCCATTTTTGGTCAACGTCTGATGGAAAGTGTTGTGGTAAATAATAAAAAGATCGTGGATGTGATCTCGGAACACATCTGAACGAGCAGAAACAAACAAAAACTTGGCCAAATCATTCAGGCCGGTACCTGAAATTAATCAGCAAGTCCTATCAGAAATATGTAATATGGGCCTTACTGATGTGAGAGCATTGCCAATCCAGAATACTGACTACTTTATCCCCATGCAAAAGAATATTATCGGTCCACAGATCCCCATGGGCCAAGACTGCTGGATACCCTAAAAAGATTACTTACGGATACTCGAAACTTTCACCATTGTTTCAGGTATCTCTCCGCCAATAATGCATCAATTTCTATACCATTTGTATCAAATTAAAGCTCACACACCCCATTTTTTGTCCAGCCAGTATGGGGGGTCTAGGTTCACTGGGGCACCTGTACTGACCTTTGAAATTTTCATTCCAATTTTGGAGCCCGAAATCGGTGAAATTTATTGTTAGAAAAGTTTTGCAATGATTTCTGAAGATGCAAGCTTTTCGGCGTATATTGCCCGAGCAAACAGCTTTCGTACCCATCCGTCCGACATGCTACCTCGCCTGATTGAAATATGTTGTACTTGGTACAGGCGTAAACGAGAATTTTTTTAAAATTTCTTCGGAGGATTTGGTGACTTTTTTAGCCGCAAATCCAAAAAATTGCCAAATCTGAAGAGAAACTCACAATCAATTGAAAATCATTGCAAAATTTTCTAACAATTTGTAAGTTTCATCGATTTCGGGTTCCAAAATTTGGAATGAAAATGTCAAGTGTGAGTACGGTATCCTCCGTGGACATAACAGCGCCATATTTGGTGGACAAGAAATGTGTGCCAGCTTTAATTTTATAGAAATTGGTGGTGCATTATTGGCGGAAAAATATATAAAGTTTCGGGTCGACTACCCTGTATATCTAAAATAAGCATACCGTATTTTAGATGCACATTCTGAGGCATGGACTTGTAGTCTTTCATCCATTTCCGGATCACTTCTTCGCACTGAAAAAAGCTGCGATCAAAAGAGACTAAACGGATAAAGAGATCGAAGGGGATCAGGTCGATGGAAGGGACTGCACACTTCATCTTCTCAAAGATATTCTCCTTCCGATTCAGAACATGGGAATAGGCGTGGAATTGGGCCAATGACGTCACCACATTTGCACACTACAGATTTTAAACTTGAGATTACTGTAGCAATCAAAGGACACTATGCCAAAAAGGATGACTTACTTTTTGGAAATCCATTCCCTCGATTACTTTATTCGTTTTCCCGAAATCCCCGAGATCCTCAAGGAGAATGTATCCATGCTGTCCTGTTCTGACATCGCTTTCTTTGGCCGATAACATCTTTGGGAATCTGATAAAATCCATTTTTGGCGCGATGTTCCTGTATACGAAGATCTCCTGATTGTGGAAAAAACAGAGATTCTTGGTAAAACTGTTTTCTTCTGGCTTGTAGAGATCCTTGGAATACTGACTGATGGGTTGTTTGAGGACAGCCTTGATCACGTTCCCGTTCTGAACATACATCTGGACCCTGGCCACCCGAGAATTAAACCCCATATGGATTGGAGCCGCGCCAATCTGATGAGATATAACTAAGGAAAGTAAAGTAATGTACGAGATTTAACGTAAAACAAGATACTCACATTGTTTATGTCGCTTTCGTCGTTCACACAATGACTCTGTTTGATCATGTCCTCCACAACCTCCTTCACAGTCAATGTAGTGGGGAGAATCATATCTTCCAGAGTCAGTAAACTACTTGAAGGCTTGGATCGCATCACCGGAAATGCAAAAGAGTTAAAAAAAAATTAAAATAGGTGCGTCAAAAGTTTGGAACAGGTTGGGAAAGTAACCATAAATTTCGGGTTAAAGCTCCTCGACGTTCTTAGATGCTATGAAGAGTCAAAATCCCAACGACATGCTGATTTTCATCGATAGACTCAAAATGAAAAAAATGCTTATGGAGACAAAAATTACGGTAAGAATTAGCAAAAAAAAAAATTATTTTTTTTTGTTTGGGTTACTCGTGTCATCGATGCTTTCTATAAAAAATCATTCATGGTTGCATAATTGTCTCAAGGCAATCACATCCCCACATCGGGACCTTATACGCATAGTATAATTTATAAAATTTTTGAATCGTGCTTCTAATCTTGGTTTAATGAATTTTATACTTTTTGTATGGCAACTTGAAGGCTGATTGCCCTCTCCGAGCTTTTGTGAGATAAAACCGTTTCTTCAAGAACGAAAGTTGACTGCTGTTTGCAACATCCAAAGCCAGATGTTTCAAACATTTAAATTTTTTTAGTCGCCAAAGCCAATATCTATACTGATCTGGATTCCAGGTGTGACACATCAGAGAGTTGGTTAACAATATTGTATCGGTATGTAATAGGGTTCGGAAAATTCGGTTATGTTCACCACGCGGGTATATACCCCGTCCGAACCCTAGTATGAAACCGATAAAGGGACTTGTTTTTGCGAAATATAGCGGCTTAGAATCAAAGTCAAAACTGTGGGTCGTCTTAACATCTCATATATCTGGCTTTGCGAAGTTGTGACCTGAGTCGTATCCAAAACATAAAGGAATTCAATAATTTTATAAGGATGGTGACATACAAATCAAATCGGTTTTCGTGGCCGGAAACCGCGATTTCTTGTCTGTTAGGCTTCTAGACAAGAAATGCGTAATTCTTGTCTGAAATTGCGTAACATTGCGCAATAATGCGCAAATTTCTGCTGTCTCCGCCGAAGATTTTTTCTTTTTTTCTCTGCTTCTTTTCTAGAAGCCTAGAAATAGCGGTTTCTGGCCACGAAACCCGATTTGATTTGTATGTCACCATCCTTATATCATTTGAAAAACCTGGAGAACATGAAGGCCCAGAACTCACCGATCGTCGTCTTTCCAGAAAGGACAAAGGAATTATTATTAAAGATCAGCATTTACTTTATTTTAAACGCATTAATGTTGGGCCCAATTTCCTATTCGAATTTTTGGTCGAATAATTCGACTTTAAAGGTCAAGCTATGCAAATTTTGCTCCAAAAATACCAATTCTTGGGAATTTCAATTTTTCATATTTTTAAAAAATCGACCACAATAATTCAAATTTTGACCTTGAAAGTCGAATCTATCAGCCAAAAATTAGAATAGTAGATTGGGCCCAGCAATTCTGTATACATAAAGCCAACTTACTGTAAGCTAAAATTGGCTCGAAGAATCTTGTTTTAGCCTGACTCAATTGTGTCAATCGAGTAAAGTAAGAATGTTGCGTTTCCTTCGTATCTTTGGGCCCGTCCAGTAAAATTACAAAAAAAGTGAATGAAGCAATTACTTTTTTATGGTAACTGAAAAAAGTCTCCGAAAATGGAATAAATAATTGATTTTGTTTTGCCTGTGATGTACTTAGACTGAAAGATGGATGATCGAGGTGATTACGTAGTCATTTCGAATATTGTCTGTGCCTATTAGATGTCTACTGAGCCGCTGTCTCTATTATTATGACCTAATTTAATTATCCATTTCGAGGATTCCATAATCGAAATTCCATTCGGTTTCTCTCTCCATGTTGTCTTGTTTTTGGGATAAGGGAAGACAGGTGTCATGAAGCGAATGCTTATGTCCCAGCCTTCCCTCTACCTGATCCACCTACTCATTCGATCCACCTGTTGGAAGTAGGTCAGGCCTGTCTCGAGGATTTTATTCGTCGCTTTTCTGGAGCCCCTCTTCTACTTAACGATCTTGTTTGTAACTCATTTACAGTCATTTAACAATTGTTTTTTGGTATTGGAATAGTTTACTTTCTTGAAACAGATGTTGTTAATTCCCACAATACTAAATATTTAAAATATGGCAACATGCCTTTACTTCTTTATAACCCCATGTCCAGAGTCATCAGTCATGAAGGCCAACATCGTGAACTTTTTACGACCCTTCTTCTGACTATGGCCTGGGGGCATCCGGGTTTAGAGAACGTGGTCCAGTCACGCACCCGGGTAATAGATATCCGTCCCCTTAGGGCTTCCATTCCCAAAGTCGGCGGTCTTTCCGTTCAATTCAGGGATGAATGATAACAATGAAAGTCCGAAATTCGAACCTGGGGTCTGGAAGTAAGTCATAAATCTCTAGTAATATGCACATCTGGTCCTTTCCCACGGCCTAGTTCCGGCTTAAACCGTTAAATTGATTTGAGAATGTATTTGAAGTCATTTGTATGAATCTTGTCGAGGATGGGTGACGATTTCGACCCTTTCAGTGTCATGAGTTACAACCACAGCTCATCGTACAACCGGACATACGAAAGGAAGGTGATTGAGGAAGGCGGGGGCAAGCCCACTGTTCGAATCAGCTCTCCCTTCCAGACGGTGACCGCCGGAGGTGGTGGAATCCCCTTCTCAATCCCCTCCCTCCCCTCTTCCAGTTTCATTACTCCTCACAATTACCACTTCGGTAATTGTGCCGGATCATTCTCTTCCAACGATGACTCCTTGAATGCTATCCTCGATGTGTCCGGATTTGCTCCAGAGGACCTCAAGGCAAGTTCTTGTTTCTATTTGTCACTAACTCCATGTACTTAACACAATATACTCCTTATACTAGGGTTATAATGACATGATTTGTTCAGGTGTCGGTGGTTGGTCGTCAGATCGTAATTGAGGCCAAACACGGCGAGAAACAAGATGAACTGGGATCCATCGAGCGATCCTTTATCCGTAAATTCAACTTGCCGAAGAATGCGACCCCCGAGTCGGTGAGCAGCAACCTGACTGGAGAGGGACAACTCACCATCACCGCCCACGCCCCCCAACAACAACAGACCGCATCCCAAAGCATCCCCATCAAGGTGCAAACCAATGGCAGCGCTTAATCTCTTAAAATCCCTCCAGCCCAGTTGGAAACTGCTTTCGTTTTCAAATAAACATCCAAATCCCTGGCAAAACCTGATATTGGCATTTTGTCATATCTAAAAATAAATTCTCGGGACTTTTTAAAAAAAATCTTTTCAAATACGTTTTCGAAACTATGTTTGAATAAAATGAATAAAACGTGTGATTCACACTCATAGATGAGCGTTCTGATTGTCAACGAGTCAAAAATCGGTTGGTTATGGAAAGATGTTTCGCACGTTGGCCGTGATATTATTCATGGCCTCAGTGGCCGTCGCCTTGTGCTGTCCGTTGTTTCGTCGAACTCGAAAAGGGATTATTTATATTCATTTCTGCCTGATTCAAGCGTTTCACGTGTGGTTCAATGCGGATGAGCACCTTGTTGGATATAATTATTCGAATATTCTTCTGTGCGCGGCTGCCATTCCCATTTTCATCGAACATAGCCTCACAATGAACCAGGCATGTAAGTTTACCCGTTTGTGTCTTTTTACGGATTTTTTAGGTAAAGAGATTGAACTGCATGAGGCATTTATGGTTACGGTATCACTGGTTTTATTCGACTGGTTCAGTAAACTAGCTTTTGAAACTTCTAGATTTACCTCAATTTACATTTACACGACTGGTCTAGCTTGTCTCGTCTATTTTTACGTCAATCTGGAGATGAAACCATGGAAAGATGCCAATTTGGATGTATGTTTGCGCTTGTTATTACGTATACTGTCTGATCGATTCAGGAATTGGCTTCAATTGAACATGATAGTCTCTTTATCGACTTCCGAAACCGATTGAATATGACTGGTCGAGGTGGGGACTTGAGGTTAGTGCAGATATTCGGTCGACTTGCACTTGGAGTAAGTGTAATTCTGTTCAGTTTGATTATCTTAATAATTTAGTTGGTCCCCTATTTTGGAGGCTTTGTGTGGATACGATACCTTTTTGTGTTATCGGATTGTGTTTCGATAGTGGGAATAATGTTTTCTCCACCCATAGTGGGAGGGATGGTTCAAGTCATGAAGATGTTGGGAAGGTTTATCGTCGAGAGACAACTCCAAAAGAGAATAAAGGAGGCCCTCAAGAAGTATAAGAGGAGAGGAGCTCAAAGTCCAAGTCGCGAACTATTGTTGGCCAATGTTGAAGAGGAATTCAATGACGAGTCTGGATTTGTTACAACCGAATTTGTTTAGAAAAGTTTATGTAAATGTGGCGTTAGATTGTATGATCCTTTCTAATGTATAATATTATCCTAAATCTTGTTCATGATCTCCCTGTAGATCTTAGCTTCCTTGGCCATTTCTTCTGTGTCTCGGAGAGTTCTTTCCTTCTCGATCTCGGTGTATATTTGGTTGTCTTGGAAGTCTCCTTTTCTCCGAGGGAGAATGTGCACATGTACATGCTAAAATAAGGGAAATCACTTCGGAGCTTTCGTATTTTCCTTACGGGAACAGTTTGGCCAGCATCTGGGCCGTCTTGGATGCATACAGTAGTAGACGTTAGATTGTAATGATCCTCTAAAACCTTCTGGACCTTCTTGGCAACGATAAAAAGATCAGCTGTTTCTTTGTCATCAAGGTCCGTCAGCCTTTTCACTTTTCTAATAGGCGATACGAGTACATCTGGATTCGAATAAACGGTTTTCAGTAATGTGCTTACGTCCTTCGACTACTGGTTTTATGTTGACAAATGCAAATGAATGTTCAGATTTGATGAAGACTTGTTCTGGAGGAATCGGAATTTCCGCGAAGTATAAATTTTCGGTCACTAAAGAGATGATTAATCCATTTGTTAACGTACCCGGCCAAACAGTATTGTAAGTGATATTGTACAAGTCGTTTCTTCGGTGAGCAATCACTGGCTGCAGCTCACGGACTTCCTTTACATAGTCCAAATCGATTTCGGCAAAGCAAATGTCTATTGAATAACTGGATCACAGTTCTTAAAATACTCACCAACTCTATCCGAGCATTGAGAGACGATCGCACCCCAGGGATCAATGACCATGGAATGCCCGTAAGAAGATCTTTTCTCGTTGTGTTTCCCAGTCTGAGCAGCAGCGATGACATAACATTGTGTTTCAATTGCCCTGGCTCTCAGCAAGCTCTTTAAATTATGCTTTACTAATGCATTGATAAAATTTCTCACCTCCCAATGTGCCAACCCAGTGTTTACAGTGAAACTTGAAGGGTACGACAATATCTGAGCACCTTGAAACCTGTTCCAAAGAGCCAATTCGGGGAATCTGACGTCATAACAGATGGAGAGACCTAGTTTTCCAACGGGTGTTTGGACGGGGTTAACCAGGCGAGATCCAGCTCGACTGAATTCACTTTCCATTAATCTGACTCGACCCGGGATGTCCAGATCGAACAGATGGAGCTTGTGATATTGAGCTTGAGTATTCCCTTCAGAATCGATGACAATATGTGTATTCAAGGGCATTTTGTCATCACTCTCCTAAGATAACATGGTTATCCGAGTAAGGTGGCCTACTTTGTTGTGAAATCCTCCGAGCGACAGCCAGACATTATTCTCCTTGGCTAGAGTTCTGAATCTTTTGAGATAGTCCGAGTCTTCTCTGAAGGCCAAATTGATTGTTTCCTGTCGATTTTCTCCAATGTAGTCAAAACATTCGGGGAAGAAGACCATCTGAAATGGATCAGTGTCCTCCATCTTTTCCTTACCTCACATTTCTTCTCCTTAGCCCTCAGGACAAGTTCCTTACAAGTTTCAAAATTTGCTTCTAACTTGTTCATCGATGTTAACTGACACACGGCGATGGAATGTCTCCCGGTCGGTAAGGCCATGCTCATTTTGCGGAGAAAGTTCAACATAAATCTGGCAGCTTAATGAAATCAGATATATTTTTATGTAAATTGGAACATACCATATCTGAGTCTACTTAATTAAAGCCGACTTTTTATTGGGCTAACGAAATATGATACAAATAAAGTAACACCTATTATCAGATCATGCGGAATAACCGATTATCGACTGTCATTTGGGTTTGTCCTTTTCTTCAGCTCCCGAACGACCGAAATACCATGTAAAACAATATATTAGACCATTCATCACATGGAATTGGACTTCCCTTTCTTGATGTTCTTCAATTTGGCGTTGGATTGTGTAGCCGCGTATATTCTCCTCTTGTTTAGATCAGCATATCTCGTCCTCATATGATATTCCACTTCCCGAGCTGTCTTCAAAAGACCCATCTTTCTCAAAACAACGAACGCGAGTCTAATTCCAAGAAGTCCAGTGGCATAACGAAGCGGGGTGGCAAGCTGCATTTATTGAAAACGTCATAATTATACTTACTTTGTATAACAGAAGAGCGATTACAATTTTTCCCGCCGTTTCCGGGATATTTTTGACCTTTTCGACTATGGAATCTGGCATGTGAAGGAATTCAAGGAATTTGACGACGTCGACTCCACTGTAAAAATTACTCAGAAATCGATTTAACATACCTTTTGACGACCAAGAAAATGCCTCCAAACCAGGCAATGCAGGTGGCCGAATAAACTGGGATCGCGATATACCAGTACCTCTTGAAGTAAAACTTAAATTTGGCGAAAAGTCCTGGGGGTATGACTTCTTGTTGAGCTGTCTGGATGGCTTTAAGTTTGGCCGCCCGTTCTTCTTCTGTCATTACTATCCGAAACCTCCTCTCGGGTAACAACCGCCGTCTCTGAACACTCTTTACTTTCGCTTTTCACTTACCACGGCTTCTTTGACTCCATCCTTTGATACTGCAAAACATCTGGACGAGAAACACGTCGTCCTTATGGCAACAAAATTACTTCTAAGGACCGGCAATGTTATCATACGCGACAACATTCTTAAACCAAAAATAAAATTTCATTTAACACCAAAGTATTTGAACACGGAACCGCCTTTTTCCAAATCACTTTAATATTTTAAGAGATTTATCACAATTAAATTATACAACTATTAATAAATAATAAAAGAATAAAAACTTAGGCCTTGAGCTCCGATCTGTAATTAAACGCGGCATAGACAGCCAAGAAACTAACAAGAAGGGCCACAGCCTCAGAAGAAATGGGCCAGTTACGGGAAACTCCAGCATGATAGTAGTCCACAACAAAGGATGGCTCGATTCCTTCTCCTTCGGCCTTGACGTACTTGTTGTATTGATCTTGGTCATAGATCTCAATTTTGAAGGTCTGGGCTGTAGATTCCTCGTTGGGGAGAGACCAGGAGACTTGATAGTTGCCGGTCTCATCTGACAGAGCTACCTGGTTGATCTTTCCATTGATCTTGGCATACAAAGGCACTTCCTGGAATGAAGATAAGGTTTATATTATTTCCAGGCCAATTTAATATCACATTGTATACTCATAAAACATACAATATTAGTTTAGAAAAACAACTGTCGACACAAGAAACGTTACGGCAACGTCCGCAAAAAAACAACACTTAAAAAACATTACCTTAGGGTTGTTTGAGCATTGAAGAGCAAATTCGACGATATAGGTGGTGTGATAGTGAAAGAAGCCATCAGTGGTGGAAAACCCGCTTTCTGTTACTTTGGGAGATTCGCATTTGGCAGCTAAACACAAAATAAAAATTGTTTAAAATATTTACTTACCAAAAGCGGATGAAACCAGAAGCGTAAAGATCACAAACTTCATCTTCAACAAATGCCGAAAGGTGGAACCGAATACTCTCAATCTACTCCAATCAAAAACACATCACGTAAAAATTTTTGCAGTTTGTTTGGCGCAATCAACCGTGTCAAGACACCAAAACCATCCTCCACAAAAAGCATCATCGCGATATCTTTTCTATAAAATACAGAAAAAAGTACTTGCGATTTTTCGATGTAAGACATGTAAAGGGCTTTTTACAATTTTTAGACCTGTCAGATTTTTTCTTATTATGTTTGCTTTGTCGTTTCACAATTTTTCTTTATATTTTATTGTGTATATTTTTAGGCTGTAAAACCGGACAATGGTTGCACAAGACATTATTTTTCGAGATGTGTGGGCTTCGAATCTCGATGAAGAATTTGCTGAACTTCGGAAAATTGTCAGGAAAAGCAACGCCGTTATAACGAACATCGAATTCCCGGGGATCTGTATGACTCCAATCGGGACTTTTTTCAGCCAGGAACATTTTTCTTATCAGCAATTACTTGTCAATGTAAATGCCCTCAAGCCTCTTCAGATTGGCTTTACATTCATTCACAAACCCATCGTTGTTTTCCAATTCAATTTCCACTTCAATATTAATGAGGATATGTGCTCGGATGAAGCCTATAATGCATATCAAGCTGCTGGTTATGACTTCGAAAAACACAACGTATGACTCGCTTGTCTTTACGTTTTTCTTTAGAACGAAGGTATCGATCTCTTGGACTTTGGTGAACTTCTGACCACTTCTGGCCTCGTAGTATCTAAATTGACATGGGCATCTTTCCATGCCGCCTTTGATTTTGGTTATATAATTCGATCTCTAAATGGAGGATCTCTGCCTGCCGATATTCGAGAGTTTTACAAACTGTTCAGAAAGTACTTTAGCACGGCTTATGACATTAAATACATGATGCAACACGCAAATGCGACGAGGAGAGGACTTACGACCTCAATGAATATACAGGAGGTAATTCAAAAAAAAAAAAAATATTTGTCTGGTTTTAGACAGCCGAAGCAATGCAATTACATCGATGGGGGAAGGTGTACAATGCGGGATCAAACTCTCAGTTGGCGGCTCGAATCTTCTTTTTTCTGAAAGACGACATTCTAAAGGAAAATTGGCAAGAGGTAAGGTCAATTTTAATTATTCTAGTTTTCTTTTTAGTTGTCTCACAACATTCGTGGATTGATCTCGGGTATTGGTGGGAAGCCCGTTCTCCCTCCAGGTGCCGTTATTCAGAATATATTTGCTCCAAAGTCCTATAATGGGCAGACCGAACCTCATCGTGTGGGCACTGGTACCCCCGGCCGACCTCAAAGACATAGTGCCGCTTCCATGCGGAATTAACTTATTTTGAAAATGTATTGTACAGTTTATTGTATAACTAAAGAACGCGGCTTAAAGTGGCATGTTGAACTTAATGGTAGCGACTGTTTTATATCTATTCAATTATTTTTAAGTCTTGTTTATTAATAAATCTAGAGATGGAGACTTAAACAGAGATATAATTTAGATGCCCAAGAAACACAGTCTGTCAAATAAGGTCAGAAAGCGAAAAGCCAAGGATCTGGATCAGATTCACGATGATTTAAAGCCGGAGAAAGCAGTTAAATTGAACAATCAAGAGATCGATCTTGATGTGGCTGGCGATGCTCAGCATTACTGCATTGAATGCAGTCGCTACTTTATTGATGGACACACACTGTTAAAGCACAAAAAAACAAAAGGTTTGTATTTGCAATGTTTTTGATTTTTTTTAAATTGTTTCTTATATGTAAAGTATTTTTTAGTTCACAAGAATCAAGTTAAAAGATTGAAAGATCCTCCTTACACGCAGAAGGAAGCCGATGCAGCTGGAGGTCTTGGTGTTTAATGCCGCATGTTTATTTGTTGTTATTGTTAATGAATTGAAGATTAATCTTTGACATTAATGTTGATCACAGATGATAATGATTGGAAAGGGGAATGGTTGGAAACCATTAGTTATTTCCATTCTTTCTAGACGAGTAATCTATCTTTTAGATGCTAAAGGGAAGATTTTTGGCGACATATCATCAACGGGCGTTACTGATGTCGGATGTAAAATTAGCTGATAGGTTACAATACATCTACAAGAAGTCGAAACAGGATTGCACATTGCTGAAGGCGGCGCAAAGGGTTAACCCTCGGGCGGTTTTTGTCAATAATGAGCTCGACTTGCACAAGATCGGAGTGTATGGGTTTGATTACGATTACACATTGGCTGTGTACACTCGAGATCTGAATGAATTGATCTTTAACATCGCCATGAACAACTTGGTGCAGAAGCTCAAGTATCCGGCAGAGTTGTTGGATATTCCTTACGATGTTTCCTTTTCTATTAGGGGGCTTCATTATGACATCGACAACGCTTGCCTTCTGAAAGTCGATGCTTATAATCAAGTCCAAAAAGAAACGGCTTATCGAGGGAAGAGAGGCTTGACTGAGCAGCAGATTCAACGGATCTATGGGGGCTTCAGTATTCCTGATATGAAAGGGAGAAACCTTCCTCAACTGGTCGATCTTTTCAGCCTCCCTTGGGCTGGATTGCTGGCTACGGTAGTGGAATATCTAGATAACAAAAACTTTGTTTTTGATCCGATGGGATTGTATAATGATATTGCTGTAAGAGTGTACGATCAAAGTCAGGATGAACCAATTTTAGGCTAGCGTCCAAGAAGTTCATCTGTCTGGTGAAATGTATAGATCGGTGATGAGTAATATGGACAAGTATGTCCATCGGAACGCTGGGCTTGGTGATTTCTTAGAGCGGGTAACTTCCCATGGAAAAGAGTTATTTATTGTAACTAATTCCCCATTTACTTTCATGTAAGTGCATCTTACACATTAAAACTCGTTTAGGAATGCGGGGATGACATACATGTTGGGGCCAGAATGGGGGAGATTCTTCAAGTATATCGTGGTATCTTCGAAGAAGCCCGGCTTCTTCCAAGGAAACTCTCCATTTCGGTTATACAATGAATGCACGGATTCTGTTTCATTCGAAAAAGTGGAACGACTCGAGGCTGGAAAAATTTATTCTGGGGTGGGACTTTTAAAAAAAGAGATCGGGTTTATATTATATATGCATTTTAGGGTATTATTATGGATTATTATAATTATCATCATTTTAGGGTAATATTCGAGAGTTCTCGTCCAAGGCTTTCTTTAAAAGGCGCGGCGTGCTATACTTTGGAGATCACATTTACTCCGATTTGGCAGAACCCATGCTTCAACTTGGCTGGAGAACGGCCGCCATTGTTCCAGAATTGGCCAGAGAAATCAGAACGCAGAATACGGATGGATTCAGATTGAAAGTTCTATGGCTAGAGACCCTTTCTCAACTGATAGAACAACATCAAAAATATGGGAAGCAAGAGATAAGTGCGGAGAAAGTGATCCGAGGTTGGGCCGAGGAACGGAAACGCCTTCGACTCGAGCTGAAGTGCATGTTCAACGCGCAGTTTGGGTCGATGTTCAGGACCTTCCACAACCCGACCTTCTTCTGCAGACGTCTGATCCGTCTTTCCGATATCTATACGAGTCGGCTTCCCAATCTAATCCAGTATGATGATGATCATACCTTCTTTCCTCGACGGAATGCATTAGCCCATGAGCCTTATCTGCCCGAACCGGAGATTGTGGATATTTTGCTCGAGAATCCACCTGTCAAGTCCGACATCGAGTTTGAAGGAAGAAAAAATGAGCTTACATTATGACCTCTTGCCCTTAAAAGGTATTTGTAGAAAGTATGCATGGTCAAGTAGTATGTGCTATATACCATTTTAGAGAAAGGTTTTCAAGGAAGGTTTTTCAAAACGGATTCAAAAATTGCCAACGGATCACTGATTTAGAGAAATCGGCCGATGACGGCTACGTCAAAAATATTATTTTTGATTTGGCGAACTTTTTAGAGATAACTGGGTAATTATTTGAGCCGTAATCAAACCCTCTATTAATTGTACAAAACTATCTACATGATTTCAACGACAAAATTTTGCCTCTAGAAGCAACCACCTAACTATATAGAGATAGATAAAATTTTTTGAAGTCTCGGTTAAAATGGGAGTGATGCAGTCAACGCAAACTGATTTGCTAAAAAAAATCCTTCTCACATAATCCGCAGCCTTTCATTTGGGGCAGATTGGGTATCGGGCCAACACTTTATATTCAATGTTGCAAAGGTTGCTTAAAATCTGACGTCAACTTGATGTCAAATTGGCGTCAATTTGGAAAAGTCGGAAATTGGGATATACGAAGCTTTCAAACGCGAGTTTAATATAGGCTATGATGAATACCGTTTATATTAGTCGTAACTGGGTTGACTGTTTTTCTCATCGGTCGTATTGACAAGACGAGCAATTTAGTTCATAAAAATTTTAAATTACTACGATCTTTCAGTGAAATTTCACAAAAATTTTCCAAAAAAAGTTCAATTTGACAAATGACAGAACGATTTGACATGACGAAAATGACGGCGATTTGATAACGTATAAAATTTTTTGAAGCCGTAGATCTCCACGACGAACTCCCGTTGGTAATTTTTGACAAGGAAAGTACTTCTATGGGGTGTGGAGTTACAGGTCGAGATATATATCAAAAAATTCGCAAAAATTTTCTGATTCAGAATATATAAAAATTAGCTGCCTAATTTTGGTCTGATGACATGTTTTTGTCCTCAGAAGTTTTCTCGCGACACCATGCAAGTGTCTTTTTGACCGTGTTTTTACCAATAAAAAATTTTTGTTTTGTGCTAAAATAAATTCTGAGGCCTTGACAAGCCTTAAAATATCAAATTAGATTAGAACAACACCTTAGAAGTAGTTCCAATGTAAAAAATGGGTTCTAGTGTGGCAAAAGGGATCGAACCCGTCCCCTTCGGATTCCCAATCTAGCGCTCTACACCGCTCTCTTCCGAAGGAAGAGACCGAGCGCGCTTTTGTTGCCGCAGATTTTTTTCCTCGAGAAATACATTTATTGATAAAACTCGTAGGTAGACCAAAATTAGGCAGCTAATTTTTATATATTCTGAATCAGAAAATTTTTGCGAATTTTTTGATATATATCTCGACCTGTAACTCCACACCCCATAGAAGTACTTTCCTCGTGAAAACGGTTCCTGGGACGACTTTACCACATTTGACAGCCATTTTTTCGAGGCTTCAAAGCCATTCTGACACTTTGGATAGTCGATTTAGATTTTGGCTAGCGTTAAAAAATATAGTTGTGAATTCAAAAAAAGAATGTTGCAACATTGACTATACATATCGGGCCAATGCGCGATCTGCCCCAAATGAAATCACCCCAAATGAAGGGTAGCCGTTATTTGGCCATGGATGGTTTGCACATTTCCCTTGTTAGGACATTGTTTGAGACATTTCTTCCAATCTTCAGTTTCTCAGTTTATATAAATGATATTGCCGAAATACGGAGTCTGATTATGTACACAACAGAGATATACCCAACACGAAAGAAACCTTTTGTATGAATGATACGTGGTGATAGATTAATAACATGACCCTTTACAGATAGACGAAATACCAATTACAATAATCGGCGGACCGGATGGAATGAAGCGAAGACAGAGAAAGAAAGAATACGGTAATCAATATACGGACGGTTAGTTACAATTTTTCTTTTTCAATCCAGTCAAAAGCGGCAATCTCAATCCAAGGTTAACTTTAGAGTGAATTGTAGTGGATCTAGCGGAAAGTAGGCGTAAAATTTTGGTCAAAAAATGCCAAATTCAGCCTTAACTTTTGGGCAAGACCCGCCAGCCCAAACTTAGCTTTGGACTGAATTTGCCGCTTTTGGCTGGCTGAAAAGCAAAAATTAAAACTAACCATTCATTTATATAATAGAAGCGATGGGAGGAGGCTATGGCTGGACAGAGAGGCCGACCTGTCGCCTGACTACGTCTTAAAAGTCGTGGTATGTGAGAGGGACCCGAGGTATAACCGACGCATATTTCCCGCATATGCCTTCCCCTCCGTCACTCCTCCCCATCGGACATCAACAAGGAAGTCAAACAGATATTCCGGCCAAGGCCAGATCATGCTCCAGGAAGTCGGTGAACAGGTCGATCTGTTGTCGAAAGCTCCGTAGACAGGCCAACATGTGTTGTTTCCTTTGGGTATCACTCATTTGGGCAAGGATATTACGCATGTCAAGAATAGGGGGCAAGGGAACACTCGCACTTCGTTCTGTTCCACTTGGTTCGGCTTCTAATGATGGACTTGTGGCTCCATCAAGAGAGGCGTGGGGTTCGGAGGCTGAGGAATGGGAGCCTCCCATTACAGTTTGTTCCACCCAATCAGCTTCGGTCTTTACCATTGTGGCCGGCTCATCAAAATCCAACTCCAGATCAGGGGATCGATTCATTGAGTTTATGGATGAATCGAAGCCGAGGTCATCCATCTGAGGGAATAGTCGAACATATTCTTGTTCAATTGGAGTCCAATTCACTGCTCTACCTCTTCTAAAATATAAGAAATGAAAAATAACGTCGAAAGGTCGTCAGTTCAAGTGTTTATGGAAAGGCCATCAAATGCTTCCATCAATGAAATATTAATTAAATGTAATACGGTAGCCGAAGCTGACTTTTAATAATTTTTAAGTAAATTACCATGCATTTTGTGAACTTAAATAGTATTCAACAAGCTGATAATAGCTCGCCGGGGGATGGTTGGGCTTGAAGGGTTACGGTAACAAAGTAATCGTATTCAAAAAATGCAGGTATTTTCCGATTTTTTTTGGAATTTGAAGAACGGCAGAGATTTAACTATTACGATTTGAGAGAGAGGTTTCCGTAGCATAAAAAATTTTTTATTTTCTAGTTCTGGGGTTATTCGGCCTATGTCATCATCGACTAAAAAATTTTGAATTCCATCGATTGCGACAAAGAATGGGGTAAAGAGACTCCGTAAGGCAAAAACTCATTGAAATATTTAAATATGGCCCGATAAACTAGGGTCGCAATCGAAGGACTCCAAAAAATTCTGCCAAAAAAACAGCGAAACCCCGTTCTTTGCAACTATCAGTCTGTGGGGAAAATACTGGCGGGTCGTCGGGCCTTGGAACTGAAAAATTTTCTCAAGATTTTTAACCAAACGTAAATATAAAAAGATTGGGATGCCAAATTGGTACCGGTTTTAGGATTTTTAAAAATATGCTAAATTTGCTTTTTCGCGTTTTGTGTCATTTCGGTATCACCGTTTCTATTTATCTATATTTTTTTCAAAAAAGGTAGGAAAGCGTTTTAGCGTCTTGCTTCAGAACAAACGGTGCTGTCTTATTTCTTCGCCCTTAGTAAATGGTTACCTTCACAAAATGTTGTTGCCCAGCGGAGGCTATTAAGCTTTTGCAATATGTTTATAGCGTTGTCCGCTACAACGCGCCAGCGGACAATTAAAAATTCTAATTATAAAAAGAGCACACTCGACCAGTCCAAAAAATATTGGACACAATATTTATCAAGCGTGGCTTCTTTTTTGATGCTGAAAATGAGCACGGGCATTTCCGACGTGAGAAATATTATGCTCAAGAGAAGAAGTCATAATAACTTTAATGCTATCTCAGCATAATAGAATATAAATCGACTTTTTTGTAACCTTGTTTGGATGTTTTTCCCTCACGGTATTTCAAGCCTTTAGGGCTTTTTTGCAAACATATAATATCTTCCTATACAGTACTCGAGATTTATCCGTAACAGTCTCATCTTTCTACTACGTAAGAACCTAAAGTTATCGCCTGCCGAAAAAGTCATCCGTTTTTGAGATAAATAAATTAGAGTATTCCGTCAATACCTCGGAAAATTAAACCACGCTCCAAAACAAAAAAAAAAAAAATTATACGTTAAAAGTTCAAGTAATTTAAAAAACTAAAAGTAGACTCACCTTTCCATGTCATGCTTCAATTTGACCAGACTTTTGATATTGGAGATCCTCTTCTTCCACTGTGCCACTGTCAGATTGCGAGTGTTCTGTTTGTTAAGCTGATGTGCAATCTCTTGCCAAACCTCTGATCGTATTCGCGGTCCTTCCGCAATGTGGGCCGCCTTGTAGGCGCGGACGAGAAGCAGCGCGGCCTGTTCGTCGATCTCGGTTATACCCTTCATCGTGCTGCAACGGAATGACTACAAGCTGCTTGGAGGCGCCTCGGGGCCTAATAGAAAAGACAAATAGAAGTCACGACCTATTTTCGCTCGAAACAGATAGTCAAGTTAAGGTGGGGCCTGAGGCAAGGGAAAATATTGGGAAGAAAGGAAGGGATTGGAACGTCGCGGAAATTACCTGATTGAACACACCGAGGTTGTTGTTGTTATATGCTAGCGAACAATGGGGGAAATAGAGGCTTTCTCGGGAGGCGGTGGTTGCAAGAAAGAGAATGCGACAAAGACTTTTTGGAGAGTGCGGACCCAAAAAATAAATTCTCGAGAAAGAAGCCCCGTTCTCGAACCCGAGCTAGATAGATAGATAGAACAGAAAGCAACTGAAATCAAAGGCTTCTCCCTCTTGCTCTTTCTTCGGAGTGAAAGCGAAAGCCCCTTTCTCTTGCCTCCTTATGCCTCAAACACGGATCGGACGACGCGCATCGCCTTTGTCCGATTGGAACCAAACACGGGAATAGCGGGGTTATATTGTTGTTGTCTCGGCTCACACAGATTCCCAACCCCTCCCGGAAATCACCTTAACACAGTCAGCAAAGAAGGACGGACCACCTCAAAAGAACTTGTCCTTTTTGTTCAAATTCCATCCGAAAAGAAGAAATGTACGATATGGTATTTGGGAACATAAAGGTAAGACAAAGACGGCCATCTACAATAGCGGACGTTTCCATCGGAAATAAAACAAAATCAGTCACCAAAATAGTACAACATTGCTCAAGGGATACTGTAACATAGGCAGCAATGTGATATCCGATAAGTAAGCATATCAGATATTATATGTACATGTCTTATGCCCTTATCTCGGAAGCCCCTGGACAAAGCCAATCTCATAATAAATCTTGTCCTCAAACCCCTATTTCTTGGCCTTGGAGACCATTATAAAACAAATACAAATTTTTAGATGAAACGTTTTCTTGAATAAAACTTCTTACCGTAATAATGGGTTACGTAATCTGTTCGAAAAGGGAAGAATGTCAATTATAAAATAAAACCTTTGGGACTAGAGACGTGAGGCATTTTAGAGCCATAGCATGGTCTCGGTACCAGGGTTTGTACTCAAAGAAATTGTTATCTCTCATCGCTTTATTGTAGTAAAAGTATGATTTGTAATCCAAAACATGGGAGAGTGGCCACGAAAAAGTTGACTTTGGCCTTTGGAAGGAGCGTGAAGTAACTACTAATTACGAAATTACAATTTCAGCTATTTTCGAGAGTAATGGTAAAACTAACAATTGGTTCGTACAAAAATAAAATCTTTTGAATTCTTTTCTTCGGGCGACCGTCGCCTTGACTATTGTGTTATATAACTGTTTAGGCAAGCAAAAGTCAACTCCAGAATACTTTTTTGTGGAGAATAAAAGTTTCCGGTGCCCAGAAATTAAATTTTCTTCCAGGAAAGCTGGGCTTAATCCCTCCAGAAGATGGCTAGCCTATTTTTAGTGGCCTCCCAGATCTTGACTGTTGCAATCTTTTGTGCGTAAGTGGCTGCTATTGCGTAATGTAAACAGGATTGTAACCGTTTTGTAGCCTGCAATCCCTCCCTCCCTCCTCGGCCCTACAATTATTCATGCCCTAATTATAAAACGCAGACCCCAGTGACACATAAACGCATATACAGCAGGAAAGGGCGGTAGAAACATACGAAATCGAGATGCCTCGGCACGCTCTTTAATGCGTATAGATTATAACCAGGGAGCCGGGAATGTGCCTGTCCATTTCCCTGATTGACAACAATAAGGAGGTCTTTCTCAATGAAAGCTGCTTTCTTTCCCCTAAGGCGGCTAACGGGGGGAGGTGGCCAGGTTTCAAAAGCCCCTTCCCTTCTTTCTTTAAACACGCATAATGCCCAAGCTCATCCGGCCGCTAAGCAGGCGGCCAGGTCTTAATGATTGAATCCGCATAAAGTATGGAAGGGATGGCCTACCTCTATCGTGATATCTGGCATTGTTAAGTAGGCTATTAACAACGGAATATTAATCAAAGTTTGATTACAATCTAATGCCATACAAATAACACATGAGACAAGCAATCAGACGGATCGTGTAAAGTAATGTAAATGGCGTGCTTAAGAAGGCAGAGGGATCCCGGGTAAGATATCCCAACACTTAGAGCAGTCTTCTTAGGACTCGTATTACCAATGAAATGGCCGTTTCCCATTGTTCCTGGATTATAAAATTTTTTGATTTTTTGAGATTAGAAAAGAAAAATTATTTTATAAATACCATTAACCTGAGGACCCGATGTTATGAGAGCGGTGGGGACTCCAGAAGAAAAGGTGAAACAAATACGTTTGGCCGTGGTGGGGGATCCGTTGGTAGGAAAGAGCTCATTGATTAAGCAGTTTCTCCATTCCAACAACGTCGATGAATTCATCAATAAGAAGTCTCTTCTCGATGAATCCACCAACAAAAAGATCGTTCGATTCGAGGGAAAGGACTACGAACTAACTGTAAGATGGTCCCTCAAGACGAGATTCTTATTCGAGTAATCCTCTTTTACGTTTCAATAGCAATTATGAGATTTGCTCGGGATGTTTTAAGATATTGGATACCGACCATGACCCAGTCCGGAGAGGCGCTGCTTACATCGGCACAGACATTGTGCTGGTGGTGTACTCAGTTGATGACTGGCATTCCTTTGATAATGTGGACAAGAAAGTAATGTTTTTAAAAGAGAACTAAAAATCGGCCTGATCCCAACGATAAACAAATTCTATCTGGCTTATGGAGATGTTGGGCCATTTGATTAATTAAAATTATTTTTAGTGGGTACCTGAGATTAGAGAGCGCCTTCCTCTTAAGCCATTTCTTCTCGTGGCCAACAAAGCCGACCTGAAAGAAGGCATCGACCAATCAGAACAGAGTCGGTTTGTCTCCGTCTTCGATGGGATGCAGAAGTGCTCCGATGTGCACGGTGCGGCGTTCTTTGAGTGCTCGGCTCGGAATGGGGTAACTTTTGATGCTATGATTACCGTATCCTCCACTGACACTACTTTGTACTTGTAGAGTATACAAAGTATTTGAATAGACGGCTTATCTAAAGCAATTTACCTTCCGGGATCTACTTGGAATACCTGATGATTAATGTCTACTGTACATATATTTATTTCTTCAGGATAATGTGAACCCTATCTTCCAAGAAGTTTCGCTGGTTTATGAACGAGAATTTGCGCGACTTTTGGAATGCACGGAAATCCCAGTCCCTTATTCCGTGTACGATTTGGCCATGGCTCCAGTTAGTGTTGTGCAGAGAGCAACCCCCGTTTTAAAAGTAAGTGTCTTTCTCTTATATGCACTCAGATTTTGTTTCAGCAATGTGTCTGGAATATCAAGGAGAATCTTTTCAATCCAGAATCATTTTCGGATGCCAAGAATACTGTAAGATTTCAATTATTTACCCTACTTTTCCCAGATTTACAATTTTGTTCCAAGTTTCCCTACATTCTTTGGAGGCTCAACCGAAAACGAAATTCAGTCATTGAAAGATGAGAAAACGGCAAGAAAGCGACCATCAGACCCTGAGGGCATAACTGGATCAAAACGAGTCAAAAAAGATCTTCCTTCAGATCCAACAAAGAAATAAAGGAACTGAAATCTGTTTACTTAGGCAAATGTTATGTGGTCTTTGATGAGATGAACATTAAGATAATGCTCTCTTTGGTCGTCAATTTGATTATTGATTTTCCTTTCGTTGCGTCCCAATTATATCCTGTTCCTTTCTTACGCAACATACCATCATTTTTACTGCATCCATAAATCCCATTTTTCCCGATTTATGGGGAGGAAATGCACCTTCGGGCTTTATAAATTTATATTTTCGTTTTTTGAAGCTCTTTTTACCGTAGTCTAATTTGGAAAAGTTTTCGTTTCATTTTGTTGTCAAATGGTTGTCAGTAATCAAATGGATTCGCCTAAATATTGTTAATGTAATCGGGAAGAGGAATTGAATTAACACCACCGAATGTTACATACACTCACTGAGACCCGGGCGGAGAACTAAACTAATGGAAAATAATCAAAAAAGCAGCCGGCAGGGGTAAAAGACCGGAAGTGCCGGTTTGGCCACCATTTTTAAAAAGCCATAAAGAAGGGGAATTTCTGAAAAGTGTGGTACTGATTCTGAAGGCGCTTCCCTCCGGGCCCCCTTCTTTTTTAGGTAAGGGCCGAACTGTCAGAAAAACGGCCGCGGAAATGGAAAGACGTAGCAGACTCGATTAATGAGAAATTGGAGCTTGATTGGTGCCTCCACTTCCCATCTTAGCTCCTTATGCTATTCCACGTGTGGTTGTCATCATGGTTAAGGGTTTGAATCAGTCAGGTGAGGAGGGATGGCCTTGTGCTTCGATTACAATCAGATTATCATCAATCTGACTACTCCAGGCAGCTGATGATTCTAAAAAATATTTATAGTAAAATTCAAACTATTGTGCCTTCGTCAAATTTAACTTTTCCAGGTACTCTGGAAGCGTACCCCTCGTTAAAAGAGCCAGATCCAGGGATTTTTGTGATCGCCGGAATATTTCTGGTATGTTTTGTGGTGGGTGTATGCGGAAACGCGTCCACCTTGACGATTATCTTGGACATGGGTACTCCAAAGAAAACCAAGAAACTCCGGGAAACTCCTCAAGACAGCTTTCGGGTTTACGTCGCGTCGCTGTGCATCGTGGATACCTTGATGTTGCTGAGTCTTCCTTCAAGTAAGCGCTTTTAATACCATTCAGTTTGACCATTTCTCCCACGTAGGGTTCATGCCCGTGTTATCCTTGGGCCGACGTACTTTTGAAGTTGTTTATTTACTTTCGCCTTGATTTAGCCATCGTTGATTCGTTAATTGGCTTCTGGATATTTGGAACGGCGGTCTGCAAATTTCATCACTTCTGTGGGTCGGTCGGCAGAATCGCCTCCACTCTGGTGGTAAGTCCCTCGGGGAATGGTCGATAAACAACAAACTCTAGATTACGTCAATGAGCATCGACCGTTATCTTGTCGTCGTGTCCCCACAGAAACTGAATCAGAGGTCGCGTCGGACCACCTTGATTATCATGATGCTGTTATTTGCATCCGCATCATTGCTGCTCTTGCCATTATTAGTATGTTGTATTGGGTGTTGCTTCTGTAACTGCCCGTTTATACAAAGGGTCAATTTTAGATCTTTGCCAAAGCTCAGAAAGTTTTGCTATTCGAATCCGAGACCAAAGACGGGCATCCCGTGCAGATAAGGATATTCAAATGCCTTGACAATATGCCCACAAACTTGTTGTTCTGGTTCACGGGATCCACTTTCTTCTTTGGATACTTCTGTCCGATTATTGTCATCACGTTCTTCAACATATTACTCTTGGTCAAATTACGGTAAGAGAGACTTGATCTAAATCATCCTTTCCCAGAAGCCATCAACAGAAGATGTCGACCAAAAGCATCATCCCCATGCGGAGAGTGACCATCTACATCATGAGCATTGCTTTGTTCTACTTCCTTTGCTGGACTCCTTACTGGATGAGTGTCCTTTACGTGAGTTACGTGGACCTGTTCGAGTCAAGGACCATCAAGACTCTAACCAACAAGTCGGAACACATTATGTTCCTGGTCTACTGTGCTCACATATTCCCCTACATAAACACGGCCCTTAATTGGCTTTTATACGGGCGATTGGCGCGGAATTTGCGGGGGAATCGAGCAGAGAATACCCAAGCAGCATCCAATGGGGGGACCAGTCTCATCAAGAATGGAGAATACGAATCCAACTCCAAACGAGCACACGATCACAACAAAACTCTCAAGTTCGACAACAATAATCTCGACCCGAAGCTGATCCATCCGCTGACAAAGAACTGCGAGGATTTTTCTCTCGACTACCGAGAATCCGAATACACATGAAAATTTAAATTATGCGTAATAAATTTTTATCTACAGTGATCGTTCGATTATCAAAGGCGTCAAAAAAGGTTGCAAGAAATTATTAAACTTTCAACGACTCCCAAGGCAGATCCACAGTAATTTCGGATACTTTACAGTCATCTTCAATAGTGATCTCATCGTTTTCAGTGAGATCAGTCCAGTCCGGGATATGCTTTGTCTTATTCCATTCGTTTCTCGTTATAAGTCGAGAAGAAATTGCGTCCAGAGAACCAAAAAGGCTGGCTGGCAAACGTCATTTGTTGTTATAATTAGTTATGACAACTTACCTCCTAACCAGGCTGAGTAAAAGTTAAGGCTAGGTTGATCTGTTTCTCGGTAAAATCCAACTTCTCCAATGGTTCTCAGCTTTTCGTCATTCTCAATCAACACTAGAAGTTCCTCTTCCAGTCGATGTAAAAGACCTTTCATCATTGATAGACCGCCGACAACAAGAATTCCATTCAGCATTGGTCTCTTGAGATCAATATTTAATCCTCTAATGCATTCAATGATCGTATCTTGAAGCGATAACCCATCTTCCGTGGTGATGAACAAAACTTCGGCTGCGGCTTCCCTAACAAATTAAAAATAATAATAACTACAAGCTCCGATAGCAAGATAATAAAAAAAATTATACCGGATCAGCCCAGGAATAACCATGTATTCACTTCCATAAGGAATCTTAACATCCGGAGGGGGAGGATCAATCTCACAATCGGGGTCCAAACCTAGAACAGAAAGGCATAAGCAAATCTTAACGCATACCCTTTTCTTGAATCTTAAGTCCCCTTTCCCTCTTCGTTGCAAAACAAAATCGAAACAGAATATCTTCAGCCAATCCCTTCTTATCGAATACAATCATATCTTCCTCCGACAATTCTCTGAGATCTCCGTCGATATTCCGCACTCTACCCATCTTCCTCATCAACCCTCTGACTTTCTTCTCAGCTACCAAAGTCGATAAGGTTGTTACCTTTGAATTTACTCCCATCACAACCCTTTCGTAAACAGGGGTAACCAACGCCTCCTTTATCCCAAGATCCACAACTAATGCTGTCTTCACGTTGTATGAAACAAGTTGCATCAACGGAGAGGGAACATAGCAAACACCGGCAGCTCCAAGTGATGGGTTCTCAAACAAAGCCCTTCCACATGCATCTCTGAACTCATATGAAGATAACAGATTATCCACAATCACTACATTTAATCCATTCGCACTCTTCATCAGCCGTCTAAATTGTAGATAAACTAAAAAGAACACACTCACCTTAAGGTAATATCCTTAAAGAAATTCCCAATAATTTTGTTTTGAGATTCAGGATCCCTATTTTTATCAATGAGCTTATGTGTAATAGATGGTCTCAGGCTGTCAACATATTCGGTCTTGAATATTTCTCGGGGACAGAACTCCCCGGCAAATCCAATCCTAAAGCATAGCTAACAAGGAAAAACAATAGAAAACGAACCTTGTAAGCCTCTCTCCCACTTCTATAACAATCACATTCACTACATGAGCCTTCTGGGAAGTGTTAGTAAGAGAAGAAGTAGACCTCCTTGATGTATACTTGGCTGTGGGTTCCTCCAACAGTCGCGAGCTCATTCTACTCCACCCGAGATTCTAAAAATAAATAAAAATAAATTTTATTTATTTTTATTTATTCGGCCTAGCTGCGCCCACCCGACAATCAAGTAGGATCGCTATCTTATACGCTAAAAAAGAAAAGTGGCAAATCTCATTGTACCTTTTTGTGACTTATACACGCGTTGAATTATGAGGAACAGACCTGTAGCACTAATTTTAATGATCTTTCCCATTTTTATTTTAGTACTACATCATCTTCGACATTTTTATCAGCGACACGTTTTTTTTTCAGATTTCTGGCCCGGCCAGTCAAAAGACAGGCCCGGCCGGGGGACGCGGTTTGTCAATTTTCCATTCAGCTGGCTCGGCCAGCTGACGACCCCTGATTTTTTGTAAACTGTTGTAGATGCACCTCGCAAAGTGTAAATAGACCCAAAAACCGCGGTTAAAACCGAGTTAAAAAAAGCGTATGTTTTTTAGGTAGCTAAAAAACAATTGTAAAATACATAGCTTTCATAAGGATTATTACGAGAGTTTGGCCGTTATAGCTGGCCGACCACGGCTAAAGCCATGGCAAAATAAACTGCACAACATTGCGAAGGTTTTCAGAACTTCTTAGAAGATCTAGATTCGCCTTTTTGGGCCGAAAGTTCGGTTTTCACTCGTCAGATTCCCGATGCTTTTAGATATTTTGGCATAATCTTTCTTCTCCCTTTCCCCACTTACGTTCATCAACTTTTTAGTGGCAGTAAATTATGTTCGTATTGCAATTGGTTGTACTAGATTACAGTAGTACAATTGATTGTACAGAGTGGTTCAGCCGGAGCTTCCAACCTTTCCAGTATTTCTCCGCCAATATTGGACCAATTTCCATAAAATTTATATAAAACTGAAGCTGAGACACACCGTTTTCAGTCCACCAAACAGGACGAGTCTACGTTCATCGAGGCCCCCGCGAGGAAAAAGTCGCGGAGATCGGTTGTGGCCCAAAAGTACGAATGCCGTGCCCGTGCTGACCTTTGACCTTTTCATTCCAAACTTTGGAATGAAAGCTTGGAATTAGGTGAAACAGAAAAGTTTTGGAATGATTTTCAATTGACTTTCTCGGACTTGGAAGATTTTTGGACTTCGGGCTAAAAAAGTCGCCAAATTCACTGAAATTTTTATTTAAATTAAAGTTCACGTCCTGGGTGCCGTCAGGCATGTAGATAGTCTCGCCCATTTGTCCGCATTTTGAAGATTTCCCCCAAAAAAGTAATGCCTAGAAGAATAATCACGACCATTCCGTTGACTGCCGTCAATTTTTTCTTCGACTTATAAAAGTTTCATGTAGCCAAAGACTCGAATATTTTTCAAGTCCGAGAAACTCCATAAAGTCATTGCAAAAAAATTATAAGTTTTACCGATTTCGGGCTCCAGTTTGGAATGAAAATGTCAAAGGACAGTACTTGGGCCTCCGTCAACGTAGACTCTTCCTATTTGGTGGACAAAAATGTGTGTCCCTGCTTCAGTTTGATATAAATTTTACAGAAATTGGTATGTTCCTGGCGGAGGAATGCTTGAAAGAAGGTTGGAAACACGGCTGAAACACCCTGTACTTTAATTTTTGTTCGCTGCTACAGTTCATCACTTTTGGCTCGCGGTTATAATTAAATATAATTCGGTCGGGAAAAATACATTTTTTAGGTATGAAGGCCTGGTTGAGTTGAAAAGGTCTGTGCCCAAGCTTAAGTGGCTGATCAAGATGATTCATTCGATTTTATTGAAGCCATTCCATGATCGGAGACAGCTCCATGTACGTGTATGTGTAGTATTGTCTTCTTTTTTATGTTACTTTTTTAGGTAACAAATTGAACATTTTAATAGCGGAATGGTTAAATGTTATTAAAGGAATTGATAATTAGACACGCTTATTATCTGATGTTATTTTTGTTAATTTCAGCTTGATTTTCATTGGATCATTTTAGTTTTGAATGGAGATAAATTTAAAATAAAAATGGATCTTCCATTATTTAGATGTTTTGCGCATAGAGAGAGGTTTTCTATATGAGAATATCAGATTATTGCATTTAAGTAATACTTTAGTCGTAGTCAATGATGCAACTTTGGATAATGAAGGCATAGAAAGTGAGGAACGTCGTGTTTTAGAGAGGGGCAGACAAGCGCGCTGATTGGTTGTGAGGGAAAGAGAGACGGCTGCACGATGAAAGGAGCTTTTCGGCGGGCAAGGTCAGCTCTCGCTCGCCTCTTTCTGCGTCGAAGTCGTTAAACTCTCGCTTTTTTCTACTAAATCTTGCAGAAATCGGTCCGATTCTCGCCGGAAGTTCAAGTAGCCATGTTGGACGAGAATGGGGCCATCATTCATTACAGTGCTCCATCAACAAGTCAGTCTGCCTACGCTGCAAGTACGTCCAATTCTTTTAAATGACGTGGATTTAGACAAAGCCAAAGAGTTTCATTTTCAAAATGTTTCTTTGACGGATTATGGTGTGTCTGATTTTATTATGGAGCCAGTTCTCAAAAGCATTTGTGATCCACATAAAAAAGGATTTGTTCGATTCATATCAGTCAAAAAAGTGATCAATGGAGAATTGGACGAGAAGTTTCAGAAGAAACAAAACGACTTCATGTCGATGGGAATCCCTTCCGAATTTGAATACGGATTTTTTTGTTTGACGGGAGTCAGTAGTAAAGAGGTAAGCTCAACTTGAAAGTCTTTAATCATTCCTAGGAAGAAGATTTTTGTAGGTTCGGACTTAAAACAGGTACAAATTATATGGGCGAAATTGGAGATGCCACTGAAGGTAAGTAAAGTTTAATAGTTTTCATCTTTTCTTAGGGATTTACTTTTCCCGGTATGCTGATGTCAGTAGTCCAGCGTTGTTCATGAGTGGCCAACCAGTGAGAATGCTGGTTTGTAAAGTATTGCTGGGAAGGGCCAAGAAGGTAATCCCTCAACCGAATAAGACTGGCTGGAAGATTTGTCCTGATAGGAATTTTAATTCTCATATCTCAGCAGATACAAACCTTAATTTAGCCGATCAACCTCCTCATATCAGATACAGACATTCACAGGTATAGGATTGCGAAATTATTTACAATAAATTGCAGATGTTTGTCTACGAGTTTGATCGAAGTGGAAGGACCACCGTGGATCGGCCAGCAAGTATATTTCCTATGGCTATCATTAGCTTAGATATTGCAAAACCAGGGTACGTTTTTTCGTTTACAAGGAAAGAAAAGTACTTCTATGTGATGTGGAGGTATAGGTCGAGACATATATCAAAAAAATCGCAAAATTATGCTGAACAAGAATATGTAAAAATTGGCTGTCCAATTTTTGTAAAGGCGAAAACAGCGTCAAAACCACGCAAACGCGCTTGTTTGAAAAAGTTTTTGCCAATTTGATAATTTTATTTTGAGCTAAGGTAAACTCTAGCGGCTTTACAAGCCCTTTTAAACAATCAAATTTTAGTACACTTTAACAGTGGTTCCAATGTAAAAAAAGGAGTTCTACGCCAAAGAGGATCGAACCCGTGGGCAGCCTTTCCCATCGGATTCTCGCTTTTCATGTCACGAATTTTCATTTATTGATAAAACTTGTTGATAGACCAAAATTGGGGAGCTAATTTTTACATATTCTCGTTCAGCATCATTGCGCGGATTTTTTGATATACAGGGCGGGCCACTCGAAACGGGTAACTTTTTTATTTGGATTTTCCGCAGAAACTCCGCCGATTTTTCTTAACCCTTTCCCGACGAGTCGGCACGTCTTGGCAAAAATCAAAGAAGGTACCCTACTGAGTAACAGCATAATAGTGGTTCAGCCCGTCGAAGCGCTATTTGGGACTTATGACAAAAAATGTCCTAAAAAGTACCACTATTTGACATATAAGTTTTGAAATTATTTTGACAAGCTATAGATCGGAAACTACCCCTAAGTTAAAGTCGCGGAGTCCTAGTATTGTTACATCCAAGAACTGTCCAAATTGGAGCACCATAGGATTTGTTATCGATTTTTGGAAATTGAATTTTTAATTTTGGTCAATTTTCGACCTAAAATCAAATATCTCTTCCGCCGGTATTAACCATTTCGGTCCAAATGTGGTTTATACGAAGCTATTGTGATGCTAGCTTCTTCCTAGAATGTTTCCACAAAAAACCTATGAGGAATATTCTGTAAAACGCGAAAATGTTGGAAGTGTAAATGTTTCATCGTATAACATGCCGCCGCGAGCCGATAAGGGACTGGCGCAGCTCGAAACGAGAAAATAATAATTTTTTTCGAGAAACATTATTTTAGTGTCGAAAAGCTGATTTCAACACGAAGTACAGGCAGAAATAGCACGCAAACTAAATGTCGTTTTTATATTTTTACTCTGTTTTCAGGCAATTTCATTCGAGTTTAATTTGGTTTCATGCTAAAATCAAACTTCTCGAAACATTTTAAAATAGCTTCTGGTTTCGAGCTTCGAGCTGCGTCTGTCACTTCTCGGCTCGCGGCGACATTTTATTCGATGAAACATTTAAACTTTCAGCATTTTCGCGTTTTATAGAAATATGCCTCATAGGGTTTTTCTGGAAACATTGTAGGAAGAAGCTAGCATCACAATAGATTCGGAAAAACCACAGTTGGACCGAAATGGTTAATACTGGAGGAAGATATATATGATTTTAGGTCGAAAATTGACCAAAATTAAAAATATAATTTCCAAAAATCGATATCAAATTCTATAGTGCTCTAATTTGGACAGTTCTTAGATGTAACAATACTAGGACTCCTCGACTTTAGTGGTAGTTTCCGATCTATAGCGTGTCACAAAAATTTCAAAACTTATATGTCAAATAGGGGTACTTTTCCTGACATTTTTTGTCATAAGTCTCAAATTGCGCTTCGGTAGGCTGAACCACTGTTATGCCGTTACTCAGTAGGGTACCCTCTTTCATTTTTACCAATACTATCGCGCACCAAATCTCCAGCTGCGGCCGCCGTCGAAAAGCGATGATGGGCGATTCCGAGACGCGACGATCCGCGGTTATTTTCCCGACGGACTGATAAACCCTGTTTTTAGGCCGGATTTATTAAATCTAATGTCTATCAAATTACACGCGTCAACAGTATGGAATGGCACCCTTCAAGTTCAAAGTCAGACTGTCAAACACGTAACTCTACACTCTCACCATAATCTAATGTCCCGGCCGAGAGGTCTCGATTCCTTGAATATTCCTTATATCCTCTCATATTCAAGCATGATGAACTTTCATCCGTTTGCTTCACTCTTCAACGATGACAAGATGGGATTATTGATGAGACATCCAGAGGTATGCTTAAAGACCCAGAATCGATCAGAGTGTTTTGTCCAATATTTTGTTCTGAAATGTGAAGAAAGCGAGCACTTCGAAGATCTGTGCATTTTACTTAAAAAGGAATCTGTGGTAGGTAGTTAACTTATGGTTGATATTTTCAATTTAGGTGGGATATACTCGACTTTCTAATGGGACTAGAGTCGTTCTCGTCCCGGGTGGTGGTCTGAGCTTTAAACTTGGTTTGACAAATTATGAATACGCAACTATTCATTGTTTATTTTTTGCTGATCGTCCCTATGATTTTGCCAATAAGAAGGTCGAATTCAGTGGTTATTATGCTCCGTGAGTTCTTATTTTGTGACAATCAGATTTGTTTAGATTAACTGACAAGATTCGTCCTGAACAGCGAATTGATCTGCAAGATCCAGATGTTATTAGAAGTTTAGACCGTTTATTGCCACCGAAGTGTTCTGTTACAAGACCCGTCACTCCACCTGCAAGAAATCATCCAACGCCTCCAATGTCCGAAAGCCCTCAGATTCCGGAGGACCCCAAACTGCCCGAGGTACAGAAGTTACCCGAATTTCCAAAGGACGGACCCGAGCTTCCGCGACTCCCCGATCTCCAAAAAAAATCTCAGATCCCAAAACTTTCTGAAATCAGGCCATTGTCTCAAATGTCAAAGTTGTTTGAGCTTCCTGATCTTTCCCATCCTCCTCCCAATTTGATTCCACCCAGAGGCGCTCCTATTCCTTCTAGTACTGCACCTCGTTTACCATATGATTTCTCTGCACGGGCACAAAAAAGAGCAGCTCCCCTTCCAGATATGTCAATCCCACCTCCCGTTCTGCCCAAGGTCAGAAGGGATGACCCGGAGGGAAAGAAGAATGCTGAAAATGTGATAAAACAATTGAAAGAAGTTGATAAGGAACACATCTTCAAAGATCCGAGGATGGAAATGCTGAGGAAACGAGATCCGGAGAGATTCGTGGAAGTTGTAAAAGAGAAGAGTCTGATGTCGAAAGATCAAATGAATAAGCCAATCGAGGAGCCTCCGTCGATGCCAAGCTTACCTGTCGCCAAGTCTGATACAATATCGGCTCAAATGGCTCATAAATCGACGGATCCCCCTGCCTCTAAAAAGCAACCCGTTTATGCCGACAAATGGCCAGCTCTTCCTTCAATGCCGCCTTCAAGAGTAAATGGACAGCCTGGAAGCCCAGTAAGCTGTTTTTATAAAAATTTTTTAGCTTAAATTAGCCCAATATAGTACCAATATGTAGTCGTTTGTAACTTTTTCATTACAGGGTGCGGCAATTTTTCGGCCGGATTTTAATTGGCCATAACTTTTTTAGTTTTTGGGCAAATGTTAAAATTCTTTTTTTCCCTGAATCGATAGACAACCCCATTTTGTTTAATACCAAATATGTTATACCCGTTCATTAGACTACAGTAAAAATTCGAGACAAAGAAAAAGCTCTAATTTTCATAGCTGACAATGGAATTACCCCTAGTGCGACTCTCAGATTTTCTTTAAATTTTGCACATGGGCCGGACGTAGGCCACACATCAATTCCTGAAAGTTTCAGCCCGCACCTTTCAGGGGCGACCAAGATATTCAACGATTCTTTGCGGTCAGGAGGGCATATGAGTGGTCACACAGAAAAACTTTTTGGCTATATCTTCGCTAGTTTTGCGCGGAGATAGCTGATTTTTTGTGGAAACGGTATTCTCCATGGCATGAACAGGCATGAAACTTTTTACGACAAAATTCGTAAAAAAGTCATTTTTCTGGCGATTTTCACACACGCCGAAAAAGCAGAGAAAACGACCGAAATGCCAATAACTATGAACTAGGTCCCTGTATATATAACATATTTGGTATTAAACAAAATGGGGTTGTCTACAGATTCAGGGAAAAAAAGAATTTTAACATTCGGATAAAAACTAAAAAAGTTATAGCCAATTCAAATCCGGCCGAAAAATTGCCGCACCCTGTACTTTAATCACGTTCGAAGTGATATTCTGTGTTTTCCGAACTACAACGAACAAAACATGTACTTTAACAATGAAAAGGTTTAACAATCCAATATTTCGCAGTCAGATGTGCGATTTTTTTCTTTTCATCTACCGATTCCTGCAACTGGCCAACTAGTTTTCAACTTCAAAACCATGTTTTGAACGGCAAAAAACAAGTTAGGACAAAATGTCAACCACTCACTGATTTTTTATGACCAAATTCCACTTTTTTAAACCTTCTTTGAATACAAAAGTATCTTGAAAATTCCCATAAATACCCGAAAATACCCGGCCTCTCGGGTATTTAGGTATATACCCCGTCCGAACCCTAGTACAAAGCCTTGTTTTCTGATTAGAAAACCACGTTTTTATTTCTTCTTGATTTTTTGAGATCAACTTCATCTTCCGAAAAAGATTCCTAAAGAGTTTTGATATCTAAAATCTTTTGGTCAATCGATAGTGTGTGGACGAAACGTCTGAACGGGTCTGGGAATGGGCTAGATTGACTTGAAATAATTTTAGATCAAGCCGATGAAACTGGATAATAATGCATTAAGTGGAATTCTGGGAGGAAAATGGTTTTCTGGAGGTCAGGACATCGATATGAGGACACCTGCAGGCCCCAGTCAGACTAATCCACCTCAATGTGGTGTCGGTGATGACAGGGATGTAGTGGTTATAATGGATCCGGAACTCGTTATTTTGAATGATATGTAAGATTAATTTGTTTGGTGCATTCATGAATTGCTACTTTATGTATTCTATTTCTTCCAACATAATTCAGATCTGTTTGTCAAATGAATGAACTTCTGAATGCGGCCACCGTTAAAAATGGACAGTCTTCCAAGAAGGTCAGTATTTATTGGCATTTATGCAATCAGGAATGGCTGGATGTTCAAAAGTAAGTAAACCTGTAAGAAATGTTTATAAAAATTACAGGAATAACCCGATAGATAAGGTGGTCAGTGAACGATCAAAGTCTTTTTTGCATTTGATAAGAACTTACAAGGCGTCGGGTTTAGTAAAGGATATGGAACGTCACGTCTGTGATCAGGCGGGCAGATCCCCAAATAAATATCTGATCTGTTCCATGAACACTAAACGGAAGTACCCACATGCAAGGGTGGTATTCCTCTCAGGTAAATGTTTCTTTTTATTTTATAGCATGTAATCTTCATCAAGCTCTATACAATAACTAAATACTTTAGCTTTAATCCACCCCAACTTTGGAAATGGCCCCAATTTTCTTGCGAATAATGTCGAACTGATAACTCCGGCTGAATTAATGCGATCGTTTAAATCCTCATGAAAAATATCTCTGTTGTAAACTACCAGGTGTTTTTGTTGTTTGATCTTGAACACAGAAATCAGGATTTTCTTTCTCTAAGATAACATTATTTGTTTCTGGAAGTGAACTGCGTCTAACGGGTAAACACTTTATTTATTTCAAATTTTTATGTTGGACCACTTTTTACATATGATTAAATAGTGTGTGACAGATTATTGTAATTTTCGTGGGATCCGGCTTAAAGCGGCCGTTTGTTGCGCGGAGGACCACGGGAGACCATGTCCTCGGGCATAACAACGGAAAGGCCGCGCACCAGTTGGAGGGAAGAGAGAGGACGACAAGTAGAAGGTTCGGCAGGTCGATGCCCCTTTCTCATGCGCGTGCCAACCCGGCCTTGCCGGTTCTCTCATGAGTTAGAACTAAAAATTGTATCCAGCCTGTCATTTGCGGCGCAGTGTTGCCTGCGGCTGTGGTGTTTATTTTAGACCACCCTTGTCAAAAACGGAGTGACCTCAACCAAAATACGACATAAATGTTTGCGGAATTGACCCCTCCCGTGAACATGCAGTTTTGACAATCTAGTGAAGGCAAATTAAAATGTTTATGTGCCTTTCAGTTAGGCCGAAAAGGAAGCTGGGCGTCTCTCGTGGCATACGCCTTCCCTCTCTTCCCCTCTGTGTACAACGGGTTTCTGGTTTTGGTTGTTTGTTGGAAATGGAGTGTGACAAGTCCGGTTCGGGAGCGGGTCGCGGCCCTCAAAAAGGAGAAAATCCCGCCGGGTTTAGCATGGATGTCGTCCTTAGGTCTCGTTGCGTCTTCTTCGCCCCTCTTGGCCGTATCACCGCTCCCTCTCCCTCCTCATGTTCTTAACAGGCTCGGATTTATTTGGGCATCTTGGTCCGAGGAGGGGCCAGTTTCAGATCTTCGGTGGCGGATGCCGTAACTCGGTTCTCTCACGTCTGTCATCATAAAACACGTGCCATTAACATCGTCCGCGCTCTTATCTCGGGGAAATTTGATAAAGCGGATAATTGGCGCGGCCGGGATTTCTATCTCCGGGTCCGGCCGCACCTATGTAAAGGTGAAAGAGTGGCCACCGCCGGACTCCTTGACGACTGCCCCCTAAAGGCGGCGCGCTCCTCGGCCCACTCCTGCCTTAGGAGATCGCATTACCACCGAAGGGGAATGCATTCTTTTCGCTCCAACTTGTTCACAGACACGACCAACTTGGGGTGCTGCTAGTGGCAGTAATCATTTCTTTCATGCACATATTGTACCTTTGATTTTCGGGCACCGCCCACCCACGTTCTATTGGCTAGTTCTCCATTTTCTTGTTCTTCTCCGTTTCGCTGCACGAGTCCCGAGTCCTCCCCCTCTCCTCGACTGATCCAATTTCCTTCCCATTTGTGAAGGAAAGGTCCGAAATCCCCTGAGGAAAATACTTTTTGATCTCGCTGCGCACTCCTTGTTTCTGTTTTCAATCAGGTTCGCCTTATCCAGTCAGTTTGTATGTTATGAATAAACTGATAGCCGTTTATTCCCCCGAATGAATGAGTGAGTGCTTTGCAGGCCGTTAAACTTTTTCACTATCCTTTCCCGAGTCCCCACCACTGTACGATTATTGTCGTGTACAATGGAATTGGAAAACGTCAAGTGTTTTTAATCGGATTATGAGCGCCTTCCAGTGCCATGAATTGTAACTCCTTTCCCCTTTTCAATTAATGCCCACATTTTAACCGTCATCCCGCTTTTCTCCTTCTACTTGGCAATGCTCGCCCTTCCATGATGGGGAGCGAACTGCTTCAATTACCCGTTAATACCAACACCATTTTTTTCGAAATTCGATTCGTTGTTGCGTAGATGCATCATCCCTCTCCATGGTTCATTGTTTCTTACTCACGTCTTTACAGAGAAGATTCAAGAATTCCGTCCGATCGTTCCCGCCTCGCTAAACGCCTGGGCCTTGGCCGCACCCCCTTCGCCAAAATGGGGCACTGCACCTCCAAGGACCAGAAGGATCAGAAGCGGCTGAATCGTCGCATCGACGAGCAGATCCGAAAGGACCAGTCCATGCAATTGAGGGTCATCAAATTACTTTTACTAGGTGCGGGCGAAAGCGGGAAGAGCACCATTCTCAAACAAATGAGGTAATCAGACGATGACGAGTAGTTGTGTTCTCAAATGAACTTGTAATTTCATCTTGCGTCAACATTATAATTGTTATTTTTCTCCGATTCTTTCAGGATTCTACACAAAGATGGCTTTTCAAAACAAGATCTTGAACTTATTAAACCAGTTGTGTACAGCAACTGTATTCACAGCATGCTAGCGATCCTTCGTGCCATGTTTCATTTACAAATTGAATACGATGATCAGGAAAGAGTGGTAAGCCTTCCCAACTTGTGAATAATGTTTTGATGTTCAGAAAGACAGCCAATTGGTATTTGCAACAGTCCATGCCAATAAGGAAGAGTTGACGGAAGAGCTTTCAGCGGCAATGGAACGGTTGTGGAAAGACGAGGGCGTGCAGGAGTGTTATCGCCGTTCCAATGAATACCAGATTGACGACTCCGCCAAATAGTAGGCCCTATAATCAAATCATATTCCCGTCTTTGCAGCTTCCTTGATAATTTGCCCCGACTCAGCCAACCAGATTATATCCCCAATGAACAAGACTTGTTGCGGACTCGGATAAAAACGACAGGCATCACCGAAGTCCTTTTTGAGTTAAAGGGACTCACCTTCCGAGTCATCGATGTTGGCGGTCAGCGATCGGAACGAAAGAAATGGATTCATTGTTTTGATAATGTGAATGCAATCATTTTCATCTCTTCCTTGTCAGAGTATGATCAGACTCTCAGGGAGGACAACTGTACGGTACGTAAGAAGCAGGTTTTTATTCGGAGACGTGTCAAAAGCACTTGTTTTCTTTTGCCTGCGGGCCTTGCGTAATGACCTCGCACGGACATTACTCAAGTCAAAGAACGATGATCCAAGATAAAATCTGTACTTTTTCAGAATCGGATGCAAGAATCGCTGAAGCTGTTTGACTCCATTTGCAACTCTCCGTGGTTCGCAGAAATACATTTTATCCTATTCTTAAACAAAAAGGACTTGTTTGCTGATAAAATTCCGCGAAGTCCATTGACTGTCTGTTTCCCTGAATATAAAGGTAATCATAACATCAATTCACAGGCACAAAATTTCAGGCCAACAAAGCCAAACAGAATGCATAAATTACATCCAGTGGAAGTTCGAGCAACTAAACCGATCTAATCAAAGAGAAATCTATTGTCATCACACTTGTGCAACCGACACAAACAACGTCCAATTCGTGTTAGACGCGAGCTGTGACATGATCATTGCTAAGAACTTGAAGTCCATGGGGCTATGTTAAGGACTGATCCCATCTCAAAACTTTACGGGTTTCTCCGAGTGCCAACGTGGATGTCTCGTGCAAAATGTACACGACTGAAGCCGTCAACTCGACAACATGACCGGCCTCGAACGGAGGATTACATTTCTCCTACGTTAACATTCGAAGACCACCATTAGGACGACAACTACATTCCGAACTTTGCCAAATTGTAATCTGTGTATTCGAAAGTAATTATTTATCAGGGAATTCTATTTCCAAGATCTTCGAAACAATCTTTTACCGGTAAATAAAAAATGATATTGAAGGACACCCGATTATCTCTTGGAGATCTCACCATAAAAACATGCAGCTTTCACTATCAGCATGAGCGGGTTTAAGTGCTACTTGGAGGCGGAATGACGCGAGAATGACGAAAGAATGGGCCCAAAAATGAATGAGACGGCCGACGAGAGAACAGGCCGGCCGACCACGGCCCAGATGCGAGCAGAGAGAGAGGCGGGGGTTGGGATGAGGGAAAGCAGCGCAACCTCCTTCCCAACTGACGGTCGCCGCCGTTCTTTCGCCCGTTCATCCCTCACTCTGCTCTTGCAGTATTTGGTTGTTTTCCGTAGACCAAGCATCCTCGATCTATTCTCACAAGACCACGACCCGAGGCGATCGGCCGTTCAACGACTTCCAACTGACTTCCTATGCAGTCTTTAACTCATGTGGGATCTCCGTCTTACACATCGTCCTCCATTTCGAAACAAATTCCAATTTCTCTCCAAAACTTTGTTTTTTACCCAAAAGGTCGACATAACAAACACACGGTAGGCTTATGGGCGTGATATACCATCACATCCAACATTATTTAAAAGCCGATGAATCGTATTTTCTTACCACTTGGGACTTGTCAATACTTCGTTGATGTACATAAACAACATGCCTCCATTTTAATTCTTTTACTGCTCCGTAGCTCACTACTTTCTGGTATGACGCTTTCGAAATTTTCCCCAAAAAATTTAGGATAAAAGAGGCGGCTTTGCGAAGATTTTTTGGCCTATTCTCATTTTTTCTTCGGTTTTGACGCGAACACTTCCGTCGTTTCAAACATTTTTTTTGGAACGACCTTCAACTTGATCAATTGACAGAATTGCGACATTGTACCAACTGACGTCCGGAATACCTTTTTTTTTGAGATCACAGAGCTATGCAAGAGAAGGCCAGAGAAATTCCAATGGCCAGAGAATTGAAAATGAGGTTTACACATTTTTTATTTTTTACGAGATCACGTTTCGCGGCCGCTTTGTTCCTCTTGGTTTGAATTGAACTCGATATTCTCCAGAAGAGTCAGAAGATCCTGGAGTTACAATAACTTCCGGCCTTCAATGCCTTCTTTGGGTCGTCCAGTTCATGTGTGGAAGATTGTTGCTCGTCCGTCACCTCTAATCTCTGTCAGACATCGTTCCCAATTACGTCAAAGCGCCTCGACGGTTGCCGCAACAGGTACCCCTCCCGCAGCATTATCGAAAGAGGTCGATCGATGTTATAACAAGCTAGATCTCCAGTTCGATAATGGAAAGGAAGCCTTCAAGGTAATTTGAAGAAAAAATGTTACTTTCTTATGTTTAGAGTAAATCAAATTGGGAATTGTTTCGTGCATTATTGGTACTTCACGCCTGTGGAGTTAATTATTTGGTCCAGCATAACCAACAAATCTTGTCCGCACTGAGGAAAGCTGTGGGGCCGACATTGTTTAAGAAGATCCTCAAGTCAACCTTCTATGGACATTTTGTGGCCGGCGAGAGACGTCAAGAGGTTGGTGAAACAGCGATTTGGCTGCGTAGGTTGTATAGCAAAAATGCTGTGATAAGGTCAAATTCCTCTAGTTTTGAGATGGTTTCTACTACCTGAGCCGCTCCTTAATATGACCTCATATCACATAAAACTTTGCCAATCAGACGCAACGCAAGGCGGTATGTCGGGGCTACGTTTCTCTTCCATCAGTTGACCTTTATTATTTTAGGTACTCCCGGTGGCAGACAAATTGGCTCGATTTGGAGTAAAATCAATATTGGATTACAGTGTGGAGAGCGATATTACTCAAGAAGAAGCTGAAGAAAAGGCAGTCGAAGGGATTATCGGCGAGGAGAGTATTCCTGAAGTTATTGCCACCCAAAAGTTCGTAGATCAAAAGCAAGTTGATGCTACCCATCAAAGGTACTCAGTGCACAAAGAGTTTGGTGATCGTCGTGTAGATGTTGTCAGCGCGAGGTAAGTGCCCTTTTCCGATTTACGGATTTCGTCTCTTCTTTAGAACATACTTTTACCAAGGCGAACGGGAATGTGATAAGAATGCGGATATCTTCTGCAATAGCATTGACGCAGTCAAAGAAGCAACGAAAGGACAGGGCTTTGTGGCTATTAAATTGACAGCTCTTGGAAGGCCTCAACTTCTCTTAAAACTCTCTGAAACTATTGCTCAAACTCAGCATTTCTTCAAGGCTTTGACTGGATCCACTTGGGAAAATATGGTCCTCAGTAGAATCAGTGAAGAAGATTTCCAAAGACGGCTTAAAGAGTTTGGAATCAAGACCGACAGCAAGTTCGTCAAGGAATGGTTCAAAATGGCAGATTTTGACGCTGATGGTTTCGTCGATTTCTACGACTGGGGCCGGTTATTGGATTTGAGTGAGGACATGACCATGTTCCAAGTATTTAATATTAAGACCGGTAATCTGGAACCTCTGATTGTCAACTTGAGTCCAAATGAGTTGGAAGAATGCAACAACATGATGCAAAGATTGGTCAGGGTAGCTGATCATGCCAAAGACCAAGGCGTTCGAATTATGGTCGATGCTGAACAGACTTATTTCCAGCCCGCTATCTCTCGTTTGGCTGTGGCGTTGATGCGGAAATACAACAAGGACGGAGGGAGAATTCTGAATACTTATCAGGCCTATTTAAAGAACGCTTTGACTAATATGAAGATAGACATGCATCTGGCCAGGAGGGAGAACTTCCATTTTGGTTGTAAATTGGTGCGAGGAGCCTATATGGAACAGGAACGGAAGAGAGCCGAGGCTGTCGGATATGAAGATCCCATCAATGTCAATTACAATGTGAGATTATTTATTTCTTTTTTTGACATAAATATGTACCTTTGCAGGCAACCACCCAAATGTACCATCGTTGTTTGGATGCCATTGTTCAAGAACGAGCAGAGAGAGGACCCGGAACAGTCTCGGTTATGGTAGCCACACACAATGAGGAGTCTGTCAGATACGCCGTCCAGCTGATGAAAGATAATAACATAGCTCCAAGTGAACGATCCATTTGTTTTGCTCAACTCTACGGAATGTGCGATCAGGTGTGTGATCTGTTGCAGTTGGTTGAATGTTCTATACCACTCATATGATTAATGACTGCTTTATAGGTGTCATTTCCTCTGGGACAAGCTGGGTTCTCTGTGTACAAGTATCTTCCCTATGGTCCGGTGGAAGATGTACTTCCTTATCTCTCCAGAAGAGCTCAGGAGAACGGCAGTCTCTTAAAGACGGCTGGAAAGGAACGTTCGATGCTGTGGCAGGAATTGAAGCGTCGTCTGACGTCTGGCCAATTCATCTATCACACTCCGGCGTCAATCTGAATGACCTTATCTATGCCCCTCCGGTCACTCGCATTAGGAATGAATTTGGAAAACATTTGGCGCTTTTTTGCGGGTTTCTTTTTCTTCAGTAGTTCATTGGTTTCAGAAATCCTGATTTATACATTTAAATAGTCATATCTGGGATTTTTAGATGTACCAACGGTTACTTCGTTTTACTCTTTTTTTCGTTCATTTGTTGTGAATTCTCTAATTAACCAGAGAAATAAACGATAATTTTGTGCGACATCAATATAGCGTGAAGGTTATTTGTAAATGTGGTATTGTGGCAACCCCATTATAATTTTATTGGTCGTGTATTTCACTGTTCACTTTACTTCAGTATTGAGGGTCCGGCGGGGCCCCGCGAAGTGCAACTCAAGCAGGGATGGTTTTTTTAAAACTCATTCTATCGTTGAGGGTTCATGTTGATGACCCTAGCTGGGAACACCTTTGGTAAAACGCCACAGCAAGTACACAAACGTTGGACTTGAGGTCCTCCTCTGTCAGGGCTCCGCTGATGTCTCATTCGAGTCGAGCCTCTGTATAGATTGCGACAATACTATTGTAGGGTACTACAACGTGCACTGAAACCGTATTAACTTCATCCTGCCCCCATTGGTCACGTTGCCGATAATTTGAAAAAATACAGGGTGTTTCCAGAAATATTGCAGAAAGCTTTTGCGAATATCTGTTTGCTTTTTTTGCTATCCAAGAAATGGATTTTAAAATTCGAAGTGAGGCGCTTTAGATTATGCAAAAGAATTTTTTCTTGTGTCGGCGGAAGGATCGTTTATCTGCGGCGACATTTGACCTCTTTTGAAATTGTTACATCTGGTATGATGTAATTTGTTTGTCTCGACAGTTTGGCGGATGTTTTCACACTTTGGCGAAGAGTCTTTACCGGGGGAGGCCGTTTTGCCGGCCTAGCTTTTAAGAGTCGAATGAAAAAAGTCGAGGAATTTTTTGCTTGGCACTTCACAGTATCGTTTATTGTTTATGCAAGGTAAATGAATGACACATTAAAAACATGACTCAGCCCCGTCGGTGACCTCTACGTACGACGTCATTTCGAAAAGAACAATGGAACGACCTTTGAGTCCGAGAGTTTCCTGAACTGAGTCATTGACGAAGAAAGCGACGTGAGGCGAAGAGGGCCTTCCAGTGGATATTCGAGTCCCATCTTCTATGGGACGACAAAAGAGACCGGTTTCAGCTCCAACGCGCACTCCCTCACCTCATCGACTCAGTTCACCGACTCCACCCTCGAGGTCGCTTCCCTTTTAAGCGCATCCCGACTCGGTAATGTCGCGCTTATTCTGTAAACATGACTTCTTGGCTCGGAGCGGTTCTTGTCGTTTCCGGAACGCTTTTGATCGACGCCGGAGGCTATGCTCTAGGCGGTGGATGCGGTTGCGGGCTTCCCCCGCCACCTCCACCCTGTCCACCACCTCCACCGATGCCCATTTGTCCTCCACCACCGCCTCCCTGTCCCCCACCTCCAATTTGTCCTCCAACTTTCTGTCCCCCACCCCCAATTTGTCCTCCCCCTCTCCCACCACCGCCTCCACCAATGTGTCCTCCACCACCTCCTCCGTCTCCTTGCGGTTACCAGACAGCCATGGTTCCTTATCAGCCACCGACCTATCAAGTAGCACCTCCGTCCAATGACTGTTGTTGTCAATGCGGTTCGCCTTGCAAATTCAGAGGCCGTGCCCGAACTCATGGAGCTCGAATCTTCTCTGCTCTGGCGGCCGAAGTCGATGAAGATCCAACTTGTAACAACGAAAAGTTGCGTAACATCATTATTGATGTAAGTCGAGGAGAGCTGAAGGTTCAAAGCATTTGTTTTGAATTAAAAAGCAGTGAAAACACTTGTATATAATAATCATAAAATGGACATATGACTTTTGTTTTTAGAACATCGACAAAGATCCGACCATCTCAAAGCGTGCTATCCAAGCAGCTGCCGAGGAGAAACTTTTTGCCAAAATAAATGTGATTTGTGGAAAGGAAGACTTCAGCTACGTAATCTACACGGACACTTACTGTCAGTCGACGGTCGGCGAGGTAACTTGTTACGCTTTCCGACCATTGGGTCCGGGATCGGCCGAAGAAAATAAGTAATTGCCACCAAAATAATCTTCGTTGTTACTTGTATTTGTATAATTGGGCAAATAAATAAATTGTTATTGTTTCGGGAGGTCTTTCTTTTCGAAACAAAAGGAAAACGAGTAATTACGCAACTTTCCTTTCAAATGTACGTGTATAAAAGAGCTGTGACGGAACGGAGAGTTCGAAAAGCAATCACGCTTTGATCTACAAAAGTAAGGGATGAGAGAAAAGTTTATTAAGAAGTAAGTGTACTGTTGTGGCATTGAGTTCCAAAATATATACAAGATGAGTGTCCGCTAGCTTCAGAACCATTTCCACGACTTCATGTCGTTGTAGGCCTTTGTTAGGAGTTCTTCCCAGTTCTTCTTCTGCTCAGCTGAAACCCCTCCGGCATTCTTTTCCATGGCTGCCAAAAAGGCGTCCGTCACTTTCTAAAAAAACACATGAAATTACAGTAATCTCACAATTTTCGCTTACATGGAACTCGCTAAGAGGAACTCCGACATCGCTGTACTGTTCCTTGAAGTTTGAAAGGGATGATCTCCACTTCCTGTCTTCACCAAAAGCTCCAGGAAGTTGGAAAAAGTACTGTAATTCAGAAGATCCAAACATTACAAATTTCTGAGAGGCTCCCAGACGGTCGGGGTCGATGCCATCGGCTCCATAATGCTCGGCCATTTCTGGATGTTTTTTGAACAATCTGAAAATAAGAACTTAACTAGAACACTGTGTACATAAATCAAGCGTCTAAATAAAATTCAACAGATTACTTACTGTTTGTGAAATTCCACTGCAGTGTTCTTATCCATCTTGTACTGCGAGGCATGCTTCTTGAGGAGGTCCGTGTTCACCATTGTTATCAGATCTCCCTGATTGAAGCCATGTGCTTGGATCTGCAGCTTTTAAACAATCGCGTTGCCAGATCCCGCCCTCAGGCAGTTCTCGGAATCGATCACATACTTTGTCCCGGGACATCTTTCAATTAATCTTTAAACTGGAATGAACTCACGTGGAGGCGCCAGCTGAGGTTTGGCCTTGAGGGCATGGCCACGTCCCGGTTTCACTGCCGATCGGGGAATGACGTCAAAAAATTATTTTTTGTTTGGCCATCTCTTCGGCCAATTAGATACGAAAACAGCACGTGTGTGATAACAGGTGCGTTACTTCCGGAACGTTCTGCAAACGTGAAAGAGCTAACTTGGAGTGGAAGAAGAGGAATGTGTTGCACTTGGAGGGAGAAGGGAACAATGTCATAAATTTGGAGCCTTTTTTTATTCTTGATTGGCCAACAATCTTTATTCTTGGAAAAACAAATCAAAGATACCAAGTACAGGGCATTTCAGATATAAATAAATAAAAGAAATCCTAGCGGTTATGACACAACTTCGATTATGACCCAAGTAAACAATCGTCCTTTTCAACAGTAAATGCTAACCAGACAGCCGGACTGATAGCCAAACATCTCGGCCGATAGAAAGAATTCATAAGATCATTTTCCTACTGTAACCAATGATAGTAGTTGGAATGATGATTACGACTTTTTGCAAAGGCCCGGTTAAAGCCCAGGCCGGCCCGGCCATGCTTGGCCCGCTAATACAAAAAGTTGGGTAAAACTCTTTGCACTTTCTACTGGAAGTTTTTATGCTCTCCAGAAGTTTTTTACGCGTGTATGAGTAAAATTAAATCGTCTATTCGGACGTCTGGAATAGCCGTAAGGGCAGCTAAGATCCTGCCAAAAAATTTGCATTGTGTCGGATTTTTTTAACTGTTTCAAAATATAGGCGTGATAAAGCCACATGTCTAATCAAAAACTGCTTAAACACTATCATTTACATTAAAAGTTGCGCAATCTGACACAACATTGCGCAATTTCCCTCCTTGTAAAAATTTCCGCAGTCCGCTGCGCGCGCGCGCAGGTCCGCTAAGCTTGAACTTAGCGGACCTTAATGCCGTAAGAGATTTACAGGAGTTTCCTGTATAAATTTCGTCATAAACAACAAAAATAAAGACACAAAACTGTCGCCGTTGATCTTTAACGTCAAAACAAACAGCTCACATACATTTTTACAACGTTTAGGATATTTTTAAGGAACTTTGTCTTTCAATAAGGCCAGACATGGCAATCGGGCCGGGCTTTTTGCCCCCCGGGGCCCGAAGCCCGGCCCGGTAAAATGTAGGCCCGGCCCGGCCCGTTTTCAGGATTTTTGAAGCCCGGCCCGGCCCGGCCCGTTTTGAAAAAAAATTTTCGAGGCCCGGCCCGGCCCGGCCCGGTGAGGTTTCGAGGCCCGGCCCGGCCCGGTAATTTTTCAAAATTAAAAAAAAAAGTTTCCCGCCGTTTTGGCACCAGCTTGGCATTGTGTTTTTTTACCGTATTCAAGCTAGCGAGGCAAAAAATAACCTTATGCCGTTGCTAGCAGTACTTTTATGAGCCTAAATACGTTTTAAAAATTAAAGATTTAAGGATTCCATCTGATTGTCATGGATAACATAATTTCTCCTCTCAACTTTTTTCCTTTGTTTTCTCCGGGATTCCAACGGCTGATTTTGCAATCAAATAGCATATCTGAAGGTTCTCATTTATTATTACGACATTCGTGCGGTGGTTCAATTTTCGATCTTCCAAAAAATCAAATAATCATCAAAAATCACAAAAATGGTTAACAATGATGACTATTATTTTTAAATCGTCAATCTTTTTGTGTTTCTTAGATTCCTATTGTATTTTCAACGTGACAAGACCTTTTACCCCGCCCAATTCGCCCTAGCTCGGAAGAAATCATCATGGATAATATCGGGAAAAAGTCAGAAAATCGTCAAAAAATCATTATCACACTTCAGTATTACTTCTAATTCACACATATTCTCATTCCCCAAGGGCTGATGGACATTCTCCACTAAAAATAAAAAATTTTATTTTTCTACCGTAATCCACCTACTACGGTAATTCACAGTAAAATGGACGGAGAGATTTGAAAATTTGCACAGAGAATCCGCATGCCGTGAAACATAATTCCGCCAAGTTTCAGTCAAATCCATCGACCGGTTCCAGAGTTATAGCAGATTATTTTTTCACAAAACTCCTTTTTTGAACCTCCAAAATCGCTTTTTCAACCCTATAGTAACTGCTGGGCATTTTTTGGATACCATATCTCAAGTCTAAGTTGACCGATTCTTGATTTTTAAAAAGTATTTTGACTAATTCGAGTACTGCGAGCAACCTTATGATGTTAGTTTTCGGCCTAGTGGGTCATACATGGCCGAAAACACAATGCCAAAATATTGCCAAAATGGCGGGAAACGGTGGTTTTTATCGAATTTGAACGGATTTTTGTGTGTTGTGGCTTTAGTATATACTCAAGATGTTATACTTCAAAAATTGTATTTTTCATGGCATGCTGAGGGTGTTTCACGCTAAAAGTTTTAATCTCATATTTATAATCAGAAAGTGGAATATCTTACCACAGTAATGCGTGAAAAATAAAAAAACAACGCGATATTGCTACACATGCGCTTCTCAAACTATTCTAATCATGGAACCGTCAAGATCCGTTCAAAAAACCACTTTCCCGCCATTTTGGCAATATTTTGGCATTGTGTTTTCGGCCATATGTGATCAACTAGGCCAAAAACTAACGTCATAAGGTTGCTCGCAGTACTCGAATTAGTCAAAATACTTTTTAAAAATCAAAAATCGGTCAACTTAGAGTTGAGAAGGAGGTAGAATATTTGTGGTTTAGAACATATATTCAAGTGTAAAATGGAAATTTTGACGTTTTTTATATTTTTGTTCGATATTATTCATGATGATTTTATCTTAACTAGGACGAATTCGGGATCGTAAAAGCTGTTGAGATATTGGAAATATATTATGACTATGAAAGACGCATAAGATTGAAGATTAGAACATTGTAATTAAAATTTTCAAACATTTTCATGATTTTTGACAAAAAAATAATTTTTCCGGAGATCCGAAATTGAACCATAGGGATGGAGCATAACCCTGCCAGGAGCATAACCCAAAAACGTCGGTTGGGTCATTTAATTGCTAAATACATCGTCGAAATCCAGAAGAAACTAATGAAAAAAAGTTGAAAGGAGAAATTATGTTATCCATGACAATCAGATGAAATCCTTGAATTAATGGGGGTTGAGGGTCCTATTTGGGGGCTCCTGAACACCTATGGCAGAGAACCAAGCGCTATAGTCATGATCAATCATGATTAGATTATTAAAAAGTCGTATATTTAATATTAAAAAACATTTTAGGTAAAATTAGTGTTGAAAATTGTGTAAAATTGGTCAAATTGGACGAAAATTAAAGTTTTAAAAGTTTTTTCAGGTTATTTTATTTTTTCTAGCAAAGTTTTTAACAATAAAAAACGTTTATCACCTTCTCAGAGCTAAAAATTCAACTCGTAACACAATGCCAAAATCCGAAATTGGCATCCCAATTTTTCGTTTCAAGACAAAAAAAAATTTTTTTTTTCAACCGGGCCTCGGGCTTTTTTTTGCAACCTTGGGCCCGAAGCCTGGGCCCGAAAAAAACGTCGAGCCCGGAGCCCGGCCCGATGAAATGTAGGCCCGGCCCGGCCCGTTTTCAAAATTTCCAAAGCCCGGCCCGGCACGTCAAGAAATTGCGGGCATTGCAAAGGTTCTCACAGCGAAAAAAAATTCATAAAACCTGTCATCCAAATTGCACATAACAATAATTTTTAACCTAATTTTTTTTATGGGAACTCTAGGGAGTACTACTAGTCGTATACAACTGTTTTTTATACCGCTGGTACATTCTAAATGGGTGTCATCGTGACGCATTTTCTGAACATGGTTCGAGCTAGGCTAAAAATAGTGCAAATTTCAAGGCCAACTATCAAAAAAACTGTCCCATCAAGCGGGACGGGATCGGTGTAGATACTCGAAGAACAGTTTAAGGATTTTTTGACGTGGAGCCTATACCTCCTTCCAGTGCTCTCTGACTCGGTATCGTCGATACAAACTTTTATTTAGACGTTGTATTCTTCGCCATGGAAAACTGTCAAAATACTACGATTATGGGTATATTTTGGTTCTATTAGCTTAAGCAGCCCTCGAGCTTTCTATTGGTATCAATATCTTGTGATTTACTATTAATCTTTATGTCAAAATATTGCAAACCATTTGGACAAAAACGGATTTGCACAGGGCAGAATGCCAAAAAAAATCTAGGCTTTTTCATTGGGCGCCCGTTTTTCTTTTATTTTTTCTTGACGTGCCCGGCCCGGTTGCCATGTCTGAATAAGGCAATACACTGCAGGATGAGCCAAGTCTTTCTCCTTGGATGGTCAAGTCTCCCTCTCAAATTTTTATTTTTTCAAGATTAATATAAATGTCTTTATGTTTTAATCTACATATATGGACAGGACAATAACTCAAAAAGTAAGTTAAATTATCTCTCTTTCTGACTATACAAAACTTTTTTCGATTACATATTGTTATTATTGCGCATTTAGGCATTATAGAAGGTGCATAAATTTAGGTAAATGCTGTTCGTTCTTGACATTAGACGAACAACATTCGAAAGTCTTACCCCAAAAAGAACTGCCGTCGAGCCTTCTTCGTGCCAAAATTATTTCAGCATGAAAATGATCTACAGTTTTTTTGTTGATTAGATTTTTGATATTACACTAGGTACTTTTGTAAGTTTAAGGCGAGATTAGGTCACGTTTTACGTCATATAAGGTCTAAATGGACAATAAAACTTTCTTTTAACATTCTTAACGTCGTAACAGTGATTTCCCCCTTTTATTGTCGTTTTTGATTTTTTTTCAGATTTTAGGTATGGAACAATTTTTATGTATCCGCGGCCATAGATGCGTATTAATACTTCGCAAACCATATTTCAAAGGTCCCTGGTCGATCTAAAACATGTTTAAAACAGTATGAGAGGTATTTGAGACTTTTTTAGATCCAGGTTGTACTTGATCACTTACACCCTAAGACATCTCAAACCCTGGTTTGAAAGAATATTTATGTTGGTGACGGTTTAGTAATGGCTCAGCTTTGTAGTTTTCCGGGTTTAAACTTCAAAAACATTAGATTTTGCCTGCAACTTGACAAAAGTACCTAGTGTAATATCAAAAATCTAATCAACAAAAAAACTGTAGATCATTTTCATGCTGAAATAATTTTGGCACGAAGAAGGCTCGACGGCAGTTCTTTTTTGGGGTAAGACTTTCGAATGTTGTTCGTCTAATGTCAAGAACGAACAGCATTTACCTAAATTTATGCACCTTCTATAATGCCTAAATGCGCAATAATAACAATATGTAATCGAAAAAAGTTTTGTATAGTCAGAAAGAGAGATAATTTAACTTACTTTTTGAGTTATTGTCCTGTCCATATATGTAGATTAAAACATAAAGACATTTATATTAATCTTGAAAAAATAAAAATTTGAGAGGGAGACTTGACCATCCAAGGAGAAAGACTTGGCTCATCCTGCAGTGCAATATATAATATTACCCAAACAGTCGCAAAAGCGGGTTTTAAAACATAGTAGGGAAACACTGATGTTATTTATGACCAGTTGAACTTACAAGGAAAGTACTTTTATGGGGGCTCTTACTTTTTGACGGGACATATCTTAAAAAATCAGAAAAAATGTGCTGATCAAGGAAATATAAATCTTAGTTGCCCAGTTTAGGTTTTTAGGGGTGAAAACTCAATCGGAAGTTGACTTAAAGTCCTATATGAACCCCTTTTCGCTTAATTTTTCACTGGTTTACAATTTTTGTTTTGGCTTAAAATGATGTTTATTGAGTTTCTAAGACGTAATAAATCAGTCTTGGCATAAAAATTTATTTTTCAGACCTTCAACTTCAAAAAAAGTTGATTCGGCCCAAAAGGGAAATTGAACCCGTGCGGCGTCCTCCCTCTTGATTCCAGACTACGGCGCTAGCCACTCGGCCATGCCGCTCTCTTACGAAAAAGGACCGACTGCGCTTTTCATCGTTTCTTTTGTAGGGAAATTAAGCCAGTTTTTGGGCATTTTCACCCCTAAAAACCTAAAATGGGCAGCTAATTTTTATATATCCTTGATCAGCACATTGTTTTGATTTTTTGAGATATGTCCTATCAAAAAGTAGGAGCCCCCATAAAAGTTCCTTGTTAGATTACTTTTGCATCACGTTTAGTTCCTATTTTGGATTACGGTAATGTCATGACGACCCGCGTCATATGCAAAACAATTCCTAAACCCACCTAATGATAATTCGTACCATTTTTTAGGCATTCTGCAAAAAGTGAAAATGGTGTCTTGCACCATTTTGCAAGGGCCTTCCAATGGTGTGTAACACTTGCCATTTGATGAGAGTCAGTTTTTACACTTCCTCAGTTAATGTACAGGGTGCGCCAATAAAATCTGGACTAAACTAAATTCCATGTAGCCTTTTTCGGACGGCCTAAGAATGGAAACTTTTAGCACTTTTAGAAAGGGTAGCAACCGTACTGTAAAGCAACGGTAATGCCCAGGTCGGTGCCTATTGCAAGAGCGAAAAAATAGTCGAAAGTTTTTGGAGGTGCAGAAATTTTTTTTCCAGATGATGACTGGGATATTAATTCTTCCATTATTTCTGCTAAGGGGGACTGACGTTCTTCAAATTTATTGTATATAAAGTACGTGCTGTTGACTTCTTAACAGCCAGCGGAATCATGGCTGGCGGCCGATCTGGCGGCGCTGGTGGCGGAAACAAAAAATGGCCCAAAAATTTGGATTTTTATGTTTTTAAGGATCTCAACGCATGATTATGGCCCGCGTTGCTCCAAAATTCCGTGATTACAGAGCGTATACATAGACAATTGTCATAGTGTAAAAGAAAATCCGCACATACAAGGGGACAGTTTCTGCATAAATAAAAGTTCATGGGGGGAATTCAAGGCACGGTCATTCGGGACTTGAAACGTTTTGGCAGTTTGTAACAAGTTGGAAAGGCCTTAAGCATTAAAATTAACATAGCGTTGTATACTGGGTACATGCTAATGTAGCCAAATCACTTTTAGAAATATCTAGTCCAAGATCACTCGAATAGCGAGCATACAGTAAATTATGCCACTGCAGTCACTATTTCATCCCCAGAGGCAGCAGATAGAAAAATCCTGTTTGAAAGGCGACTAGGCAGACTCTAGTTATCCTTGCAAAAGTAGTTATGGTGCTTAACATGTTTGGAATCACACAGGAAAACTTCTACATAAAAATCTTTGATTTAACGGAAGTTTTCGGGAAAAAGGGCCCGTTTTTAAGCCAACTTTGGCGAGCTGTAAAAAGCCTAATTGTCATAATGAGGCAAAATCAATTTCAGTGTATAAAAACCGACCGGAGCTGTATCAGAAAAAGTAAATTTCAGCCCATAGCATAAAACGGTAAAGATAGCGCAACCATTTTTTGACCAATTTGGGGTCCGTGTTTCAGGCGCCTTAGTTGTAAGCACTTATAATGGCAAAACAAGTGTCGTAGACGATTATTTTGTCTGAAACTTTAAAGATAGCTTCTTGGACGTATTACACGTGTCCACAATTGCCCACTTTGTTCTCGTACTGTTCCAGCCCGCAGGGCAAGCAAAAATATTAGTCCAGATTTTATTGGCGCACCCTGTAGTTACAGTATGACTGTCATGTTTTGCCTCGGCGTATATTGGGGTATTTATAAAATTAGCCCAATATATTGACAATATGAAGTCGTTTGTAACTCATTCATTAACTTAATCACGTTTGGAGTGATATCCTTTATTTTCCCAGCTACAAAAAACAAAACTAGTACTTTAAAAATGAAAAAGTTTAGCAATCCAATACTTCGCAGTAAGATTTGTAATTTTTTCCCTTTCATCATCCGACTCCGGCAACTGGCCAACTAGTTTTCGGCTTCAAACCTAGACTTGGTTGCCGGGCTGGGCCGGCCCGGGCCGGTGTTCGGGCCGGGCCGGGCCAAAGCAAAATTGAAACGGGCCGGGCCGACCTGTTCCGGCCCGCGGGCCGGGCCGCAACTTTCGGCCCGGGCCGGCCCGGCAAAATTAAAATTCTGAATTTCAACGCGAAAAGTTGGGTTGCCAATAAAATTAAAACGCAAAGCCAAGAATAGGGTTTATATTTTTCTTACAGTAAGCATAATTTTATAAAAATAAAGCACGGAAGTACTCAAAAATGGCTAATAATAAGCAATTTTACCGGTAAAATATATTAATTGCTAATGTATATTAGTGTTTGTAGTAATTTTTTGAACAAACACTCAAAATAAGCGTAACCCACATCTTTAAAAACACAGTTAAGAAGCCGTGTGAAGCAACACTATCATCTTGCAGTTGAAAACCTTGGTAAACGTGGTTTCACCTTTGCTGAATCTATAAAATTGACCTTGGGGCAATTTTTAATAGTCTGAAAACGGATTTCGGAAATTTTTTGATTAATTTTGAAAAGGCAATGCGTTGTTAAGTAATTTTTTGCTTTAAAAATGTGCTGTTAGTTGTTATAGTAAAGAAAAACATGTGACATCTAATAGCGAATTAAGGTTTTTTACTTCTTCTCAATTTTCGGGCCGGCCCGGGCCGGGCCGCGGGCTGGGCCGGGCCGAAGAAAAATTGAAACGGGCCGGGCCGACCTCTTCCGGCCCGCGGGCCGGGCCGCGATTTTCGGCCCGGGCCGGCCCGAGAGCCAAGTCTATTCAAACCCAAGTTTTGAACGGCAAAAAACAAATTTTGGCAAAATGTCAACATTCACTGATTTTTTATGACCAAATTCAACTTTTTTTTACATTTTTTGAATGCAAAAGTGCTTTAAAAATTCCCTTCAATAACAGAAAATATGTTTTTAATATAAATACCCGGCTTCGCGGGTATTTGGGTATATACCCCGCACGTCAATCCAGCGCATTTCCTGAACCGTTTCGAAACTTCGTACCGTTTTCATTGGTTTAAAAGAGAGACGAAATGTCGCGAAATTATCGGCACTTTTTCTCGCCCGAAATAATTGTTTTTTTTCTCGAAAAGGAAGAAGAAAGATAAGAAAATGCGTTTTATCGGATTTTGAACGAATCACCAAAAAAGGGGCGGGAAATTTTTTCTTCTATTTTGGATTGACGTGCCCCGTCCGAATCCTGCCGCGGACCGACCCGGACTGCTTTTTTCTGTCGCGGGAAAAGAATTTTTCGGTTTCAATGCGAAAACATTTGGCGCAAAAATATTTATTCAAACATCAAAAATAAAATATATTTTTTGTTTTCCTCGCCCGTACGGATTCGTTTTTTCAGCCCAATTTCCGTGGGAAATTAACCGATTGCCTAATTTTCATACAGCTTAACCATCTAGTCTAGAAAAAAATGCACCGCCGTGGAAAGCCCGTGACCATGGTATGTGATAACAGTATAGTACAAGGTATTGGAATTTAGAATTTGGAACAATGGATGATCCCGAGGTTTGAAGAAACAATCCAAGCCGGACCAGGTTGGAACTCTACCTTTTCCACAACAACGAGGAAAAGTTCCATATCTAGGTTTGATGTTACTGATTGTTCTTTGTGGAGGAGCCGGGTAAGCGACTGTTTTTTCTTTTCAAAGATTCTAATTTGACTAAAAAATAATTTTCTTTCCTTTTTAGCAATACACTGTAGCCTTGGAAGAGGAAAGTCGGGCCAAGGAAAATATGCCTATGCCTGAAAGTTCGTTGTTGAAAAGCGGAGTAAGTGTTTAAAGGTGTAGTATCGTCTATTTGAGATAAGCATATATTCTCTTCTTTTTTTGCAGGAGAATGATGTACTTGGAACCACCTTTCTAAATGTGACTGATGGAAGCCTATGGAGAACAAAAATTAATGGGAGCCGGGTAAGGGACTGTTTTTTCTTTTCAAAGATTCTATATTTGACTAAAGAATAATTTTCTTTCCTTTTTAGCAAAACACTGTAGCCTTGGAAGAGGAAAGTCGCGCCAAGGAAAATATGCCTATGCCTGAAAGTTCGTTGTTGAAAAGCGGAGTAAGTGTTTAAAGGTGTAGTATCGTCTATTTGAGATAAGCATATATTCTCTTCTTTTTTTGCAGGAGAATGATGTCCTTGGAACCACTTTTCTAAATGTGACTGATGGAAGCCTATGGAGAACAAAAATTAATGGGAGCCGGGTAAGGGACTGTTTTTTCTTTCAAAGATTCTATATTTGACTAACGAGGGAATGGTCTGAACTTCCCCCAGCGTTTGGGAAAATGACTAGTACAGGCGGATAGGGCAGGTCAACTTTAGTAAAAAGAGCCATTTTCCAGCTGCGAAATAAGCCTAGCCGACGAGAAAAATCGACCGAAAGTTCCACAAAAATTTCCTCTTTCTCTTCCCTCGGAAAGAAGAGCGGTGTCCAGTGGTTCGGTTAGCCGAGTGGATAAAGCATCCGCTCGATATTCTTTTGGGGGTTGGTTCGATTCCGGGGTCTCGCGAAGGAACGTGATAAGGCTTTGATGAGCGAGATCAAACTCTAACAACCCAAAAAAATTTATTTTGCCTTTTTCAAAGTCAAGTCTATCACAAACAAGTATAACTTTGACGTTTCATCGCTTTGAAGGTTCGGAAGCACCCAAAAATTCATTTGTTGACGATTATTGTTTTGGTATAATGCCTCTAAAAACGTATAAAAATGGCAAAACATTTTTTTTGGGTTGTTAGAGTTTGATCTCGCTCATCAAAGCCTTATCACGTTCCTTCGCGAGACCCCGGAATCGAACCAACCCCCAAAAGAATATCGAGCGGATGCTTTATCCACTCGGCTAACCGAACCACTGGACACCGCTCTTTTTTTCCGAGGGAAGAGAAAGAGGAAATTTTTGTGGAACTTTCGGTCGATTTTTCTCGTCGGCTAGGCTTATTTCGCAGCTGGAAATTGTCTCTTTTTACTAAAGTTGACATGTTCTATCCACCTGTACTGGTCATTTTCCAAACGCTGGGGGAAGTTCAGACCATTTCCTCGTAAAGAATAATTTTCTTTCCTTTTTAGCAAAACACTGTAGCCTTGGAAGAGGAAAGTCGCGCCAAGGAAAATATGCCTATGCCTGAAAGTTCGTTGTTGAAAAGCGGAGTAAGTATTTAAAGGTGTAGTATCATCTATTTGAGGTAGGCATACGTTCTCTTCTTTTTTTTGCAGGAGAATGATGTACTTGGAACCACTTTTCTAAATGTGACTGATGGAAGCCTATGGAGAACAAAAATTAATAGCAGCCGGGTAAGCGACTGTTTTTTTCTTTTCAAAGATTCTAATTTGACTAACAAGGGATCGGCAAAACCGCGCATCCTGGTTTTTTCTTGAGACATACACCATTTGAAAGAGCGTAAAAAACTGGTCTAGGATCACATTTTATTAGCTGCTATTTTCGCTCTACGACTTAGCTAACGAGCGCTCTTTAGTTCTAGGTTTATCTCACCTTTTTCCGAGGAAACAAATCCGAACGGTTTCCAAAGCACAGCGCAGCAGTGCTTCGGTGGCATAGTGGGGTAAGGCGCTGAACAAGGCGAACCTGCAGACCGGGTCCGAAACCCCCTTTGATCTTTTTTGATTTTTTCAATATTACAAACCAAATAAGGTCTGGAAGTAGTGTTTGAGTTTCGTATAGATATTTGTAGTATAATGGGAGCTGTTTTTTAACAAAAACCGAGATTTTTTTTCATTCTTTCGAATTTATAGTCCTTGCCCTTGAAGTGGGTATTATGGCTGAAATTTTCAACGGCTTCCAAATTTTTAAGAGTAAAGTCAGGTAAGCTTGATCTAGGAAAGTACGTTAAAATTGAGTCTGAAAACGGTTTACATGTTTTCTACCCGCTATGTTGCATTGGGTTACACGACCTAAAAGATCGTGTGATCACATATTGTGAACATCGACTTGGGTATCTGAAGGTCGGAAAAAAGTATGTATTTTGCATAGGATGAAGCGTTGGACGTCATGGGTATTAGACATAAGAAAAGTAATTCTCCAATCTCTTTAGCCTTTCAAAAGCAAAGAGTCGTGAAATCCAACTAGGAATTTTTAAAAAATGCTCGCTAGCTAGGGCGTAAAGCAAAAATAGCAGCTAATAAAAGGTGATCCTAGACCAGTTTTTTACGCTCTTTCAAATGGTGTATGTTTCAGGAAAAACCCAGGATGCGCGGTTTTGCCGATCCCTTCTAACAATAAGGAATAATTTTCTTTCCTTTTTAGCAATGCACTGTAGCATTGGAAGAGGAAAGTCGGGCCAAGGAAAATATGCCTATGCCTGAAAGTTCGTTGTTGAAAAGCGGAGTAAGTGTAGATAAATGCAATTGAGATAAGCATATATTTTCTTCTTTTTTGCAGGAGAGTGATGTCATTGGAACCACTTTTCAAAATGTGACTGATGGAAGTCTATGGAGAACAAAAATTAATAGGAGCCGGGTAAGGGGCTGTTTTTTTTCAAAGATTCTATGTTTGACTAAAGAATAATTTTCTTTCCTTTTTAGCAATACACTGCAGCCTCGGAAGAGGAATGTCGGGCCAAGGAAAATATGCCTATGCCTGAAAGTTCGTTGTTGAAAAGCGGAGTAAGTGTAGATAAATGCAATTGAGATAAGCATATATTCTCTTCTTTTTTTGCAGGAGAATGATGTCCTTGGAACCACTTTTCAAAATGTGACTGATGGAAGTCTACGGAGAACAAAAATTAATCATTCAGAAGCTTTACAAGAGCCTCCATTGCGCGAGGAGGAGGAATTAAGCGAAAATTTGATGAACTTATCAATGAGTGAATTCACTGGTCCCGTGAATCCGTTATTAAGAAAGTTTTCATCAAATTTGGCCCAGAAATCTCGACAGAGTCTAATGCCTTTGGATCCGAGAAGGCCTTCGGTGCCACGGATGTCCCTCGGTCCAATGTTCAGGAATTTGAGTCTGAAACGGAAATCTTCATTAAATTCGGAGATTTCGAACGGTTCATCTCCTCATACATCAAGTGGAAGATCTTCCAGAACGTCTGAGCCGTCCACTCCGAGGTCACCGGCTAGGAAGGTTATGAGTTTGGTAAGCGATAATTATTTGGTTGATTCAAAAGTTTTCGCCATTTTTTGTGACACTTTAAAAAAAAATCCAGATCATGATTGAATGTATGTTTAAAATGAAAGCATATATGTACGGGGTAGACCTTTGCAAAATTCCAGAATATTTCAAAAACATAAAAAAAATCTCCGTTTGTGTCAAGGTGAGTATCCCGGAGCCTAGTAATTTTCCGGCTCACTAAAAAATTCCGGGTTTGGTGTTATTCGTACTTGGGATGACAGTAGTTTCTTGTGAAAGTATTGCTTTACTTATATGTATCTACTCTGGCGTTTTTTGCAGCGTCTCATAAATTTGAGAGCCGAGTTCTCGATCGAAGGCAGATTTTAAAAAAAAATTTTTTTGGAAGGGGTTCGATGTTGTAAGAAGCTGTTAATCTAAGGTAATCCACAAGCAGCCCCAGCATATATATCGGGCAAATTGGCATTGGTTGAAATTTTTAAAAAATTTAAAGACATGGCGGGAAACTTTTGAATCAACCTAACATTTAAAGCAAATTACGGTGTTTTAACTTTTAGACCAAAAAATCTTCCCCGAAATTGGTGGATCGAGTCAGGATTATGGAGCTGATAAAAGCGGCACAGGAAAAAAGTTATGCATCGCCAACGATCTCATCCCTCAGCAAGTCGAAAAGTGATTTTGGATCTCCTGATTTTCAAGTAGTATTAAACCCGGGGAAGAGACGGGACAACAAGGAAGGGAGGTCATCAGCATTGGAGATGATCGCTTACAATTATCAGACACCAACTCGGGATGAAAGAAATCGTCCCTTGGAAGAAGAAGAACTGTTGAGTGGCCCAATCCCTTCACAGCCGGCTCGGCTTAGTCATTCCGTCAATCCTAGGATTCTGTTTGATGGAGAGGGTGGGTTTTTAGGGATACTTTTCGTGTTCTATATAGTTATTTAGAAACGGTAATCAATTCGGGGGATCTTTTATCTCAGCCAATTCAAAGTCAGAAGAACCAGCCGCTGGGTTTCCTGAATGAGAGTGACATTACTTTGGGTTCAGAGTCCCCGCTAAGGAAGGAGGATGTCAGAATCTCGACTGGGCATCTTCCCAGCGAAAGTCACTTCTTCTCTGATTCTGTGGTTGGTCTAGAGTTCTGTGAAGACTTACCCGGATCGAGTCAAGACAGTGGATTCGATTCAACTAAAATAATGTCATTTGCGAGAGAATCAGACGACACGGGGGCGTCCCTCCAATTAGAAGAAGGTCTCAGATCTCCAGCTCCAAAACATCTTGTTATCGCCGCAAAGAAACAAAAACCATTGAAAGAAGCCAAGATTAGACCTCCGAAAATAGTTGTCGTGAGTTTTGTTTCATTTGTACAAGCTGGGAGATTTTTGCGGCCCGATTTAAATTGGCTATGACTTCTTTACTTTTTGGTCCAAATCTTAAGATTTTTCCCTTAATCGGATGTTAAAGTTGTCTGTCTGAAAATGGAACATAGTGTTGAACAAAAAAGTCAGACTGTCGTTTGGTGTGGCTGTAGATACTCAAATTCAAAGGGTTATGGGCGTTGGAAAATACAGTTTTTACCTAATTTTGTCCATAAATTTCGATTTTTTTGGCAAATTTCACCTTTGTTTGGGCCCAAAACGTTGACTCAATTTTGCGGATTTCAAAATTTTCTATCTTCTACCGTTCCCGAGATATATCCGATTTTCGAGAATTTTTTAATTTTATTCATCTGTATAGCATATTCGGTATCAAGAAAAGCGGGAGATTCTGAGGGCTCGGGAAAAAAGAATATTTGGCTGAAAAATAAAGAAGTTATAGCCAATTGCAATTGAAATTGGGCCGCAAATTGCCTTACCCTATTTATAACTTTTTTTTTTTTAATTTTAGGGCGCTGATGAATTTGCATCGGATCATAATTTGAGAAGGTCGACGAGAACAAGACCAACGCGGCGACTGAATCATGGTGCTGGAGAACGTCTGATCTACTCTCCTGGAGGATGTAAGTTGATCCTCTATGGAATGCTGTATTTTTAGCTGTTATTGGAATTGAACAGGGCAAAATCTATCATCCTTTATGTATAAAGTACAATACACCTGATCTTGCGAAGGCTTTTGAAATGGATAAGAAGGCGAAAAAAAATAGAGCTGAGATGAGGAAGGTGCAGAGGGAAGGACGAAATCAGAGACTCGCCCAGTCTCAGTAATTAAAGTATTGTGTAACGGTCTGAATTGTTATGTTATTACTCACAATATATGTACATTTTTTACTTTTATGTTTAAAAATTAAATAATTTTGTTTATGCAAATTAAGTAAGAAACGGAAAGTTCCATTTTTAAACAATTTGTGGAGCGATGGCTGTTCACCCAAGAGATCCGATGGCGTCGTTGAAGTTGCCTTTATCTCTCCGAGATCTGCCTAAATCAGTTCTGACTTCGAGTTCCAGCCCTCCTCAGAAGTCCGATCCCAAATTTCCGGAATTTACTCACGGAATAGGTGTCGTCTTCGATTATCAGACGTATTTCAAGAAGAAGAGAGACAAGCATTCCGGGATTAAACTTAATTCGGCCTTGGAATTCACCGCTAAACTCGAAAGGTATGCGATCAGAATGGCCAAGGAAAACTCGAGTAAGTGGATAAGCTTTGGGGACTGAGTCTGGATGGGGTTCCGAGAACATACCACTTGTGGTCAGCAGGCCAAATGTTAATCGGTTTCTATTTTCTCTCGGCTTATTAATCCCCTCCGGATTAAACATGTTGTAGCATGTGCATGGGAGTGATTGCGTCATCTCCATTTCAGAGATTAATCGGCTTCTTCGCCCGAAACATCCAAATCTGGCCCCCAAATGTTCGATTTGCGAACTTTTTCTGTTAGAGAACCCAGCTACCGTATACTTCCACATTTGTGAGTTGCCTCCTAATACTAACTTTATAAAAATGATGATTAATTTATTGATCATTACGTTTTAGGGTCCTCGGATACAAAAAATGCAATGTCCTTGAGTTGGAATCAGGTCCCCAGAAATGTGGCCAAGGAGATTGGCGATGGCGAGGTAACAAAGCCGGCCAGAAAATATGGTTTCAGTATCTGAGTGGCCCCGTAGATTTGTGTAATAGTTGTACGGAGACGATGAAATGGGCTCAAGAAAGAATCGAATGGCATCGGATGAAGAGGAACATCAGGAATGGGAAGGACCTACCGGCTATTTGTGATCTCTACACTCAGTTACAGACTGCGATGAGATTAGTCCATTTTTGTTCTATCGAATATAATCTGGCCTTACAATAAGTTATATTTTGTGACATTTCCAATAACAACCAAAACCTGAGGGTCCCAAAATAATTAGGTTATATTTTGGATATACATAGATCAGACCACCCACGAAGACATCCTTGCCTAGGGACTTCCAAAAAAGAGCCAACAATTATTTAAAATTCGGATCCAAAAATCTTCGGAAATTGCTCAGAAAATTTATTTTTTTGGAAAAGGATTACTAAATTAACTAAACTGCAAAAAGTAGGAATTGAGCTCAAAAGTACAGAATGATCGTCAATCTCCCCCGCGGACTCTAAAATAAGTCAGAGATGGCCTTTGAGCTGATGGCCAATTAGCAGGTTCACCATGCTATTTCACGTCCCTTTGACATTTGTTTTTGTTTTCAGACACCCCAATTCGAACGCATCAAGAATGCTGCAGCTCGAGGCTAATCTTCAAGTCCACAGGGATTCCGTTGAACGAATTGGGTAAGCCGTAATGACATGCGTTGATAAAAGAAAGGTCAATTTTATTGTATTATAATATCGTTGTAGGAAGGAAATTGCGGCCCTTCGAGGACTCCCTTCGATCCGAGAGAATGGCCATGAACTCTTGTTGTACTCGAATATTAGACAATACAGTAGCTACTTCCTCAAAGTAAGCATCTTTTTTATTGTTTATGTCATCACGGAACTCAAAACGGCCTCTTTAGAAGTACTTCCTTTTTGTTGACTTATCTTAATAGTTAATTAATTGCAGAAAGTTTTCTATTCTTACGATATCCTTTAATCTTGCATAATATTTGAGCTTTACTGGAAAAAAATTAAAACACAATCTCCGAGATAGCCGTGATGACGTAACAACCAGTGTCCCCGATCTAAATTTATATTCAAGGAGACGAAACAAGATTGGGTGGTCGAAAGAACGGCCGAAGTCGAGGAAACGGACCGTTCTCATGTCATTTCTTGGGCCAAGATCCGTCATTTACTTTGTGGCTAGAGCAAATAAAAGTGTAATATTCAGACCGGAAGAGCAGATTGTTTCGGGTACGACTAATTAAAACTAATTGGACGCTGGGGACTGCGCATTTGCACCTCCGACTGACCGAGTCTGGCCTTCAAACTCTCGGCCAGACTGTTTCTTACGTGTCTCCGCAGATACGACGTCGAGTAGGAGGCGACTGTTTACGCCATACCGTACTCGCACATACTAGAGAGGCCGGCTTCGGTTTCATCCTTTACCTGCCGGATAAATTATTCATATCCCGCCCTGTTCCGACGTATTATCGCTCTGTTCTTTCTTGTTATTTTTATTAATCACAATCTCCCGGACCCCTTTCCCACCCTCGGGTGTAACAATTAACCCCCGTGTTTGTCTAAGAGCCCAACTTTTTGCTTATTTGCTGTTTCAGCCTAATCCGACGCGATCTTCCAGACCAAGTCCCCGATTTTTTTGATGACATTTAAAATTCCCCTGATGTTCTTTATACTTTAATTGGAAGCCATTGTCACCTTGGAATGCTGACCTTTTGCCTTTATATGGAATTTGATTGTTCTGGAGCTGTTCTTGAATACTTTTAATATCTTTTTTCCAATTGTCCTTTGTGTCATCCTCACCTCGGGATTTCCCATTTTGATTTCTTTTTCTTTTCTCTGCAGATTCTTTGCAACTTTTACAATTACAGTAATCCCCCGCCCTTTTTTATTGGAATTTCACATTTTTTAAGGCCGGATCTGAGGCCACGGGCCTTAATTCCCTGCGGACATTCGATGTAAACATGAATATGTGTTTTTACACCGACATACGATGCCGTCCAATTAAGTGAGTGATATCAATTTAGTACTTTTGTAGATAATACCGCGCGGAAATGCCCCCATTTGGTTATATTTTGTGCCGTGTATGGTCATCTACATCAACAGGGGGTTTGTTTTTTGTTCTCAGATTTGATCAGTACATTTACAGTTTTCTTTTTCATGCAGTCCGTTGGTAGTAGGTGTAGAGTATAATAATGATTCCTTTGCTTGGACATTACCAGTTATTTGTTGTGTTCTTTTTTGGGGATAACTTGATTATAAATGGTCTCTGTCAAACATCTAGTCCTTCTCCAACATCAGACCCTTTTCTGATGAGATTACTCTGCCGAGAGACCCATTTAAGTATGCGCGATGACGTGTTATACCTACATCAAGATGTAAGGGAAGGGATTGCAGATACACGGAACGTCGGGTAATGTGGGCCCTCTTGATCGTATCGGGGATTTACATCTTGACCTTCGCCTTCGGGACGGCGGGGAATCTCTGGGTGATGGTTTCCATGGTCCGAAGCAGGTGAGTGAATCCTAGCCGCGTCTATGAAGGTATCTGCAGAGTCTGTCACATCCCCTCACAACGACCCTGCTCACCCAGAGAGCGTTCTCGAGTCTTCATTTTCTTCCTGGCTGTGGCTGATTTCATCGTTTTATTGACGATTCCGTTCTCTTTATCCCAAAATCTCCAGGTGGATTGGCCTTTTGGATCAGTGGTAAGTAATTTGATTAAGGAAATCACAAGCGTCTTTTCCCGAATTGCTTGATATTATAATAATGTTTCAGTTGTGCCGCTTGCACGCAGCTATAGATTACAGCGGTAAATTCTTCTCGGTGGTGATTCTGATGTCAATGAGTATCGAGAGATATCTGATTGTGTGTACCAGGTGGAGATACGTGACCTCTCCGAAGGTGATTATGACCATCCCTCTGGTGATGGGCGTCCTCTTCTCGGTGATCGTTCCCATTATCCCTCAGGTCATTTACACTCGTCTTCTGACTGTTGTCATGGAAGGGCGGGATCATAGAGTCTGTTATCAATCGATCCCCACCCAACTCTCCCCCATGTACACCTCATACACATTCGCGGTGGGATTCGCGATACCCTTGTGTGTGATGACCATCTGTTATATACAACTGGTGCAACATGTCAGAAAGAAATTCCGAGAACGAAAACAGAGTAGAAGTAAGTGGAAAGGGGATTACTGTAGCTCGGATTCCATGATTTCAGCCAGCTCTCAACGTCCCAAATACATGTGTGAGCTGACCCGATCGATCTGTCGGATTGCTGTGTTCCATTTTAGTTGCTGGGCCCCGTTTTGGTTCTTTAATATGGCCCCAATTATCACAGAATCTCTTGAATGGAATGTGCTTTTGGAGGGCAAAACATGGTTTGAAATCGGGAAACTCTTTGCGAATATGCTCCCTTACATCAACTCAGCAGGTAGTAATCAGTAACGCTGATAAAAATAAAATTTCCAGGCAACTGTATCTTGTATGCTTTTTTGAATCGTGACATCCGAAAACACATAATCTGGAGACCATCCAGCAGTAATGGCCGGACGATTACTGCCCTGCCCAGCGAGACCATCACCTTCAATCCATCTCCCACCACCTGATCGTCTCCAATCCAGATGCCAATATTTGTTATATCACTTCGTGCTACAGTCTGAATTACGGGTCACATCTTAATATGGGTCGGATAATAATTTAATTATTTTAATAAATATTTTAATGGACTCACTAGGGAAGTGTACATACGAACCCTCACCAAATGATAAGTGACATACGTCATAGAAGAGCCCTTGAAAAATGGTACAAGGCACCATTTTCATTTTTTGCAGAATGCCTTTCCGCGACGACGTACTGTAAATTGTAAATATTAATTTTAGGTCATTTTGCAACAAAAATGTTTTTTTCTCTTGGGCAGGAAAAAATACTGGGGGAGGTTTGCTTCAATAGTTCAGTGGTTGCTGAGCCGGCTGATAAGCCAAACCAAGCCAGGTTCGGTTCCCAGCTTGGGCAAACTCATTTTTGCGTTCTTACAGCAAGGAAAATATTAGCGTTCAACTTTTACAAACCTTTTATTTCTTCTGGAATACGGTCGATTACGGTTAAAACCATAAAACGTACATGTTTTAAGATTAAAAAAGTGGAAAGTGTTTTTTTCGTCTTATGGGTATTTGAAACCAGAAAATAGCAAATGTAAAATGGCTTTACTGGCAAGCGCCAAACTTCATAATGATTCTTAGGCCAACCTAGTAGCAATACGTACCATTTAGCGTTTTGAAATAACATTCATTCTGCCCCATAGCAGATGGATATTATAACTACTTAAGGGACAAATCAACCGCTTATAACTTTTTTCCCTGAGGCATTCTGCAAAAAATGAAAATGGTGTCTTGCACCATTTTTCAAGGGCTTTCCAATGGTGTATCACATTTGCGGTTTGGTGAGGGTTCGTTTGTACACTTCCCTAGTCAGGGTATAAAATTTATTAGAAAAATCTGAAATCTTCGCTTTAAACTAAAAGACCAAGAGTCGCCAAGACTTCCTTTGTAATTTCCTTTCCGTTTTTGCGGTCGGTGATTCCATTTTCGATCATGTATTCGCCTTTAATTATTCGACGGCTAAAATCTTTGGTAACTCCAATCAGACAGGTCTCTGATGCCAGAAAATCATTGATTGCTCAGTTAAATCAAGAATTGGATGACATCAGGGGAGCCGGCACTTACAAGAATGAACGTGTTATCTTGGGAAAACAGGGGATGGAGATCAAAGTGCAGGGCCAAAGCCGCAGTCTACTCAACTTTTGTGCCAATAATTACTTGGGTCTAAGTAGTGATCCGGCGGTTATACAGGTGGGAATGATTACAAAGAAAGCATGATTGTTCTAACTTAACATAATTCTTTCTTCACAGGCCAGTAAGACGGCACTGGACAGTCATGGTGCAGGTCTGAGTTCTGTTCGTTTCATCTGCGGAACCCAAGACATCCACAAAACATTGGAACAGAAGATCGCCCAGTTCCATGGCCGAGAAGATTGCATTTTATATGCAGCTTGCTTCGATGCAAATGCTGGGGTTTTCGAGGTGTTAACTAGTGAGTTATTTGGTTTGAATTTATGGTATAATGGTCGACGTCACTTCAGCCAAAGATGACGCAATTGTGACCGATGAACTAAACCATGCCTCGATTATTGATGGAGTCAGATTATCCAAAGCAAAACGATTCTTGTTCAAACATATGGACATCAGGGACCTTGAAAACAAACTTAAGGAAACCAAGGGTACCTTGCTTCATTCTCATCAACCCTATTTCCATTTCAGATTGCCGGAGAAGAGTGATTGTAACTGATGGAGTGTTCAGTATGGACGGGGATATTGCCCCATTGAATGAGATCTACCAGCTAGCCGATCAATTTAACGCTTTGATATTTTTGGACGAGTGCCATGCTACTGGATTTCTGGGAGCTACTGGCAGAGGAACCGAAGAAGCTTTGGGTAAAAAGAAATGGGGTTTAATGTAAGATTCGCGTACGACGACAATCGAGTCCTCTACAGTCAGGGCCCGCGACTTACGAGCGGGCAACCGGGTCGGGTGTTCAAAAATTTTCAAATCTACCTGCCTTTCACCTGGCCGGGCTCGAGATTTCGACCCGAGGCCCGGTTCTCAAGCCAAATGAAAGAAATGCATACATTTAAATTGATCATTTATTAATTCTAACTTGCTATAGTGGTCATACATAATTGAGCCCGTTTTTGCCCCCTTTTTTTTGTCCACATGACGGCTTTCTTTGAAAATACTTTGACCAGCCAGCCAATGAATTGAAATCACAGCCAAAGTTTTTAATCGCTAGCCGAAGACCCACATGTAGATCGGCTGGCCAAACTGCTAGAACGACGTTAAAGCCTCAAAGAAGCTAGCCAAAAAGTTGGAATGGGCGTAAAAAAGTTTCAAACGACGTCCCAATTATTAAAATGGCTAGTAAAAAACTGGAATCAACCTTTTGGCTAGCTTTTTTCGAGGCTTCACAGTTATTCTGACACTTTGGCTAGCTAATCCAGGTTTTTTGGCTAAGATTTGGCTGTGACTTCAACTCATTGGTTAGCTGGTCAAAGAATTTTCAAAAATAAAATATTGGGGCAAAAACGGCCTGGGGACAAACCGTTTTGGGACACAAAGGCCCAAAGAAAGTGAGGATAATACTACCACATTCACATATGAGTACTAGAACGTGGACTGATGCGTACTGTATTAACTGGACCGGGCCCCTTTTGTCACCCTGCCAAACTTTGGATTAATTTTAGGACTCGGAAATCGAGCGGATATAATAAATTCGACGTTGGGAAAAGCTTTGGGAGGAGCGATGGGCGGATACACAGTCGGACCCAAGCAATTCATCGACCTATTGAGACAGAGAAGCCGGCCCTATCTCTTCTCAAATTCCTTGGCACCTCCGTTGGTGGGCGGAGCCATAAAGGTAACCAATTTGTAAATCATTTTAATTATACACACAGGGTGTTCCGAGAAACGTGCAAGAAGTCAGAGAAAAGACGCGCAAACGTACTCTCTCGCTCCAAAAATTCCCCATTTCTTCCCCGACAAAATTTTTTTGCCTTATTTTTTGGCCAACTGCCTGCAGCCGCAGACATAACAGTCTATTCTCCGAACCATTTTAGCTTATCTCAGCACCATTTTTGAACGCTTTATTATGAGGCTAAAACTTCCAGAAAGTGTTCAAATAAGTGCCAAGAAATCGACAAAAACCCTTCCGAAACACCCTGTAAAAATCTTTGCAGGTCATTGAACTGCTTTCAAATCCCAAAAACACATTCAAATCGGCATTGGAAAAGAATGTAAAACTGTTCCGAGATGAGATGAACAAGCTCGGATTCAAGGTTATGGGAGATCCCCGTCATCCAATTTGTCCCGTTTTCTTGGGAGACGCCGCCTTGGCTTCTAAATTCGCGAATGAAATGGTCAAGGAAGGGATTTACGTCATCGGTTTCAGTTATCCAGTAGTGCCAAAGGGTAAAGCCAGGATTCGTGTCCAGGTAATCTTTGATTTTGAAGATTTAAATTTATCCTAATTTTGATTACCATTGTGCCTTCCAGATCTCAGCAGCGCATACTCAACAGCATATCGAGCGGTGCGTTAATGCGTTTAAGGAAATTGGGTCAAAACTAAAGGTTATCTAGCTTACACAATGAATACATCTGATACAACTTGGCGATTTAGTAACAAAAAAATTAAAACAGTAACAACTAGATATGCTAACAATACTTTTGTGAAGCAAATTGGTAGATGAACAAGGAAGCGGAGACATGGACATTAAGGGATCTGGTCTGTCCGAACTGCTCGATCTCAACAGTTTGATCCACCGATCTGATTAATTCTGGCGGCACTCCTCTCTTCTCTTCTCCCAATAATATCAGTGTTTTATCAGGGAATTCGAATTCGTGTAGAGGGATCGAGGCTGATGTTTGTTCCGCTGCGACAACCTTGTATCCCTGGAGCTTGGAAGATTCGAGGAATTCGAGTAATTCATCTGGCTTCACCTCAATAATGGGAATCCACTTCTCGGCCGACATGCTCAAAGCCTTGAAATTCTGATCGGAGATTATATTCTCGTTTGACAAAACTAGAGCAGAAACCCCGAATACCTCGCAAGTACGACAGAGTCCTAAATGTTCACATGAAAAAATAAAAAGACATTAATTGGATGAACCGCAATGCTTTACTGACCTCCCAAATTGGCCGTTTTATTGATCAAACTGGCCACCACAACAAGTTCCTTCCCATTTCTCTCAAATTTATTCTCATTTGGATCAATTTTCTGCTGGAAATCTTCTGTAAAATCATTACATTTCATTTCGGGAATCATGGACAACATTTCGGGAGCTGAGAATTTGTTCTTGACCAATGCTAGAGTACACTAATCAGTTATTTATATTGCACTTACTCGAGAACACGTCTGACTCCTTCAATGGTCCTTCTCTGAATTCCTTCAGGAAGTCTACAAGAACTTTTAGTGCCTCAGGGCCCGGTCTTATCTCAAAGATCAATTCATCTCTTGGCATTCCACAAAGAAAGGGTAATTGGTAAAACACGACATGCAAATCGAGTTGATCAGAGTTGATATCGTTGAAGAAGGGGTCCTTTACAATGTTGTTGACGACTTCTTGAGAATTCCCGCCGATCTCCGGATTGAAGGTCACCAAGTCTTTAACAAACTCCAATCTCGGATCTTCCATCATCTCCTTGGAATGCCATTTAAAGAGCAGTTTCAAAACAGCTATTGTTGCGCATTTAACACTGAAGTTTGTCACAGTAATCCATCTTAACATCCTGAATACTGCATCGTATATTCGTTGAGGTCGATCTTTCAAATATCTGAGAAGAACGAACATCCAAGAGACTACAGAACCGATTCTCTTCTCTCCAAAGTATACGTCTTTCTGGAGCCATTCCTCGAGGAATTCTTCGCTTTCCATACAATAAGTTGTAAGAATCCATTCAACAGGAAGTTTGATCGAGAACTGTTGGCTTCCATCGAGGATTGTGTTGATGCAAAGACTAATGATTCTCTCTTTGTGCGGATTATTCGAATTCTGTTTGACTAGTAAAAGGAGTAACAAGACGAGCCGGGTTTTCAATCGATGCCCAAGAGATAAACCAAAAGATCTGCAGAAAACATGACAATTTACAGGGTGTCCCAAAAAAAATGCATGTTTTTTTGATGGGTCCTGACGCAAAAATGTTTAGGTCAGGCCAAAAGATTTTTGTACTACTAAAATCTCCGTGTTTTTCTGTCCTAGACATTTCCGTTTCGTGTTCATATCGATTAACGAACATGGTTTTTTTAAATTTCAAACAAAGGAACTGCGATTTTGTCACTATTTTTGAGCCGTTCAAGTTGTAAATTTGCCCAGTATAGAAAGGACGTTGAGTCAAAAGTAATCACGCGATGTAAGGAGCTTGATAACGATAGTAAGCGTCCAGGACGTAAAGGAAAACGCACCGCCAGCGGTTCTGTCAACCGGGAGAACACCAACAGCAAAACGCTATTTTCAAGAAAAATTTGCCTGTGAGATCGGCATCAGCGACCGATCGGTCACCCGAATAGTCTATGATGAGCTACGCCTCACGCTGTATAAGCTGTAAAAAGCTCAGATCTTTAAAGTAGACGGCAAGTGCGTGCGGCGCGAAAAATGTCGAAAACTCAAGGGCTGGGCCGCAACTCACAGACGTGAGCGCATTCGTTCGTGGTTCAATATTTGGCGGATGCACAACCACCAGAGCAATTGGATCTTCTTAGATGAGGCCCTCGGCATGTCGGCTAACGTCGAAAACCGTCAAAATCCGGGCCGTCATCGCCTAAGGCGGAATTTCTCCCAGTGGCGAGAATTCCATGGTTTTCTCGGATCAAGGGGGCAAAATTTTAGCGCCGCGTTAATCTTGATTTTCCCGTACTTCTGTTGACTCAGCAGAACCTCGGCAATGCAAATTTGGCGTCCTTGCTAGACTCAGCTCCGGCTCACAAGGCAAAATCGACTCAGGACCCGAAATGGGAACGATTTTCCCGATTTCACCCCGTCCGCAAAATGGCCGTCTGCTCGCCGGATCTGAATCCGATTGACTATATTTTTTTTTTCAATTGGAGGCCATTGCCTGTACTACACACTACAAAAGTTTGGAATGGCAAAGTAATCGTTGCGCCAAGAACGGGACCGATTTCCTCGAAAAAGGCTGCGGCCCCGAGCCCAAAATTTTAAGTTACGTTTGAAGCTCTATATCGCCACCAAGGGCAGCCACTGTGAAACTGGCTTGATATGTTATCAATAATCCTCTATGTTACTGATATCCATCGTTAGTTTGGCTAAATTTTGTTTGGTATATAAAATGTAGTCATAAAAAACATGCATTTTTTTGGGACACCCTGTATACTACTCTTTAATCGAAATCGTACCTGCTTTTTGTTTTATCGACTTCAACAATTTCTTCAATAACTTCTTTGGTCAGTGCGGAATAAAAACTTTCTGTATTGTCTTGATTAAAGATCGATAAGATCGCATTTTCCCTAACCATTGTAGACAGTTTATCAAAACTAAACAAAAAGGTAAGAAGAATTAAAAGAACTTACTGATAAATCAAATCATCGCTCCTCTTGGCCGTAGCATTGGCCAAATGAAAGACCAGATCATCTTTCTTCACCACATCCCCATAAATGGCCAATCTCATCATCATATTGGCCATGCAGTCTGGTAATCTGCTGCTTCTCACCTCTCTTGAGAGCATAAATGCAACCTGTGGGTTCTTCAATCCGATCTCCATTATCTTCTCTAATGAATTCTGTAATGACTAGCATCCAAATAGTAATATAACTTACCATCGAAGTCTTCTCTACCTCTTGGAGTGCAGACAATGCGATAATTATCCAATACTTGCAGACAATCGGAAAGTTTGATGACTTCTGGGTTTCCTTCGCCAAAACTTCACATCTTTCCAACAATAAACTCTTAGTTTCTGAGTCGACCTGCAACAAGATTTAAGCAAACATCGTCCAATCTACCTTTTTCAAAATCCTAGAACAATCCTCCAAGAATAAAATTGCTTTCTCTGTTTCGGTCGAGAAGACATCTATATTCTTTTTTATTTCATTATTGAAGTCATCGTTATATAAGTGCGTTGATAGTGATATTAAATGGAAAAAAGCGAGTTCTTCAACAGATGATAGTCCACATAAACGAGGAAGAGAAGAATTTTTACAATGTGATAACAGTAGGAGCAAACCTCTTCTTGATATATTTGATCTCTAAACATATAATAAAAAATACGTATACTCACATTATCCTCTAAATTCGAGATTAACATTTCATGGATATCTGTTGTTACGTCAAGCCTTGATAGAATAGGACCAAGGCATAAATTTATATACTCTTCTTCATTCACCACCTTTTCGACAGCCACAAATAATCTTTCAATAAACAGCTGTTTGACTACGTCCTCTTCAAGGAAGTCATGCCTTCTGAAGGCCATCATCAACTTAACATTAATATCATCGCAAGAAAACATAAATTCATTAAAATCAGAAGTCGGCAAGCAAGAGAGAAGCTCCAGAAGTCCGTTATGTAAAATTTTGCCATCAAAGAGTGCTATCAGATCTCTTGGGTTGACGTATTTTACAACAAGACCGCAAACATTTACTCTCAAGGGTAATGGGAAAAAAGTGAAAAGGGAAATTATCCCTTTTCCACTACTCGGGCCTTCCTAAAAATATGCAAAACATACTTAATACCAAAAACATACCCAATCAAATGCAGCAAACAAAAATTTTATAAAATTGAAAACGACTTCGTTCTTAAGATTGGGATACTGTAGGCAACAAATCTCAGAAATGACCCGGCTGAAAACAAATAAATTTAAAAAGCAAATGAAGTACCCACCGTATCAGAGGCATATCATCATCGGTGAGATATTTGTCATTCACATCAGGCAATGTCTGGCTGAGAAATAATAACGGAGAAGGACTGAATCTACTCTCAAACAACGAAAGAAGCGATTTCACAAAGGATTCTAAAAGAAAAATCGAAATTTAAAGACAAACCTGCCGGACAAACATTGCTTGTTTATATTCCTGAGCTTCCCTATATAACTGACAACTCCAACCGTTTCGTCCAATCGCCAGAAGGGATCATAAGAATTCAGACTTTTATAATAATCAAACACTACAAACTGTACTCAATAATGATAAAATTGGAGCTAACTTACGTTTATGTCTGAGCGGAACACGTCCACAGGAACATTGGTTAGACTCTGAAAGCCAAAACATCTAATCCATCCATTTGTGTGGGATATCATCTTCTTCAGGACAGCCTTCAAATAATCCCAAGCTAAGTGCTTTTCTTTCACGAGCTCGACAAGATTGTTCAATTTGGGAAGTATAGGCTCAATCACATGGTACTTTAACAATATTATTAATCAAAATAAAAACCAACTTGTGATTCTTCCAATGTAGAAAATAAGGAGAAAAAGGATTCGAACTCAGACAAAGGATAAAATATACTTCTTAGCAAATGTAAGCAGGTTTTCCGAACAAGTCTGCTATCAGAGGAACTTAAAAACTCTAATAGGAACTCTTCAAATGCTGTCTTGAATGGCGCATCATAATTCTGTGTTGATAAAGAAATCAAAGTAGGACATGCATCTTCAATGGCTTTCTTCGACTGTCCCCTCAAAGACCTAACACGTAAAAAAGCGACACAAACTTACTTTAAAAAACAAAATCGTTGCTCATCTGATTTTATGTCTGGCATATTTTTTAAAGAAGGCGTACATTCGCAAAGAACAAGTCCTTCTTTCCTCGGTGATCTAGAAATATTAACCTCATAAACGGAACTCACACTTCCCTCAACTCCTCCGTATCGTCAACGAATTTGTAACTTGGTAAAACATGTTCCATTTCCTACATTCACCTAAAATCTCATTTTAGAAGCAATATTAACCCTTTCCGGACGAGTCGGCACGTACTGGTAAAAATGAAAGAGGGTACCCTACTGAGTAACGGCATAATAGTGGTTCAGCCCATCAAAGCGTTATTTGGGACTTAGGACAAAAAATGTCCTAAAACATACCCCCACTTGACATATCACTTTTAAAATTTTTGTGACAAGCTGTAGATCGGAAACTACCCTTAAATTAAAGTCGAGGAGTCCTAGTACTGTTACATCCAAGAACTGTCCGAATCGGACCACTATAGGATTTGTTATCGATTTTTGGAAATTGAAATTTTAATTTTGGTCAATTTTGGACCTAAAATCAAGTATATCTTCTGTCGACATCAACTATTTCGGTCCAAATGTGGTTTTTCCAAATCTATTTTGATGCTAGCTTCTTCCTAGAATGTTTCCAGAAAAAACCTATGAGGCATATTTCTGTAAAACGCAAAAATGTTGAAAATGTAAATGTTTCATCGTATAAAATGTCGCTGCAATCCGAGAAGGGCCGGGCGCAGCTCGAATCGAGAAAATAATAATTTTTTCTTTGATAAATATTGTTTTAGTGTGAAACCAAATTAAAATCCATGAAAATTGCCTAAAAACAGAGTAAAAATATAAAAATGACATTTAGGTAATATTTGTGTGCTATTCCTGTCTGTATTTCGTGTTGAATCATCTTGTTGACATTAATATAATATTTATCAAAGAAAAAATTATTTTTTCTCGATTCGAGCTGCGCCCGACCCTTCTCGACTTGCAGCGACATTTTATACGATGAAACATTTACATTTTCCACATTTTTGGGTTTTACAAGAAATATGCCTCATAGGTTTTTTCTGGAAACATTCTAGGAAGAAGCTAGCATCAAAATAGATTTGGAAAAACCACATTTGGACCGAAATGGTTGATGTCGACAGAAGATATACTTGATTTTAGGTCCAAAATTGACCAAAATTAAAATTTCAATTTCCAAAAATCGATAACAAATCCTATAGTGGTCCGATTCGGACAGTTCTTGGATGTAACAGTACTACGACTCCTCGACTTTAATTTAAGGGTAGTTTCCGATCTACAGCTTGTCACAAAAATTTTAAAAGTGATATGTCAAATGGGGGTATGTTTTAGGACATTTTTTGTCCTAAGTTCCAAATAACGCTTCGATGGGCTGAACCACTATTATGCCGTTACTCAGTAGGGTACCCTCTTTCATTTTTACCAGTACGTGCCGACTCGTCCGGAAAGGGCAGGGGTGGTCAGCGGACCCTATTTTTCCGATTTTCGGCCCGCGGCCCGGCCCGTCTAATTACCGGCCCGGCCCGGCACGTCAAGAAATTGCGGGCATTGCAAAGGTTCTCACAGCGAAAAAAAATTCATAAAACCTGTCATCCAAATTGCACATAACAATAATTTTTAACCTAATTTTTTTTATGGGAACTCTAGGGAGTACTACTAGTCGTATACAACTGTTTTTTATACCGCTGGTACATTCTAAATGGGTGTCATCGTGACGCATTTTCTGAACATGGTTCGAGCTAGGCTAAAAATAGTGCAAATTTCAAGGCCAACTATCAAAAAAACTGTCCCATCAAGCGGGACGGGATCGGTGTAGATACTCGAAGAACAGTTTAAGGATTTTTTTGACGTGGAGCCTATACCTCCTTCCAGTGCTCTCTGACTCGGTATCGTCGATACAAACTTTTATTTAGACGTTGTATTCTTCGCCATGGAAAACTGTCAAAATACTACGATTATGGGTATATTTTGGTTCTATTAGCTTAAGCAGCCCTCGAGCTTTCTATTGGTATCAATATCTTGTGATTTACTATTAATCTTTATGTCAAAATATTGCAAACCATTTGGACAAAAACGGATTTGCACAGGGCAGAATGCCAAAAAAAATCTAGGCTTTTTCATTGGGCGCCCGTTTTTCTTTTATTTTTTCTTGACGTGCCCGGCCCGTCTAGTCTTTTTCCAGGCCCGGCCCGGCCCGTGCAGGCCCGTTTATAGAGGGTTCTGCGAACTGCGCCCAAGCTTGGGATCTAAACTTAGGCAAAAAAGGCGTTGATATAGCTAGTAAAGGATCAATGTGATAGTTTTGTGGTTTTATAATGGAACTATAGACTTGTAAACGTTTTAGAACTTGAGAAACAGCAACTATAACAACATCAATTAATTTTCCCGGCGCGAAAACAATGAATGCCAACGGTTTGGCATTGTAATTTAGACGGGCCGGGCCGGGCCGGAAAAACCCCAGGCCCGCGGCCCGGCCCGGCCCGGCCCGTGACGGGCCCGGCCCGTTTGTAATTTTCCATTTTTGAGCCCGGCCGGCCCGTGACGGGCCGGCCCGGCCCACTGACCACCCCTGGGAAAGGGTTAAAATGTTTTTTGGAATAAAACTTGACCCAAAGAGCGCCACTTGACTCAAGTTTAAAGAAACCGCCTGCGTGAACCGACACTCCGTGTTAGCATGTGAAGAGTTTTCTGAATGGGACGGGGAAAAATTGCTCTTTTTTTACTTTTTTGTGTATTTATGGAGGCTTTGCCGGATTTGTACTCAAATATTTAATACTTTTACAACGTACCTTTTTGACGGCGTGTTCCTTTTCTTCCTTACCGTTAATTGTATTTTTTTCATTTATTTATTTTAGCCATGGTTGCCATCGGCGAGAAGAGAGTCAAGATTGTCAAGAAGCGAACCCATCGCTTCACCAGACATGAATCCGACAGGTACCACCGTGTCCGACCCAGCTGGAGAAAGCCTAAGGGTATTGACAACAGAGTTCGCCGGCGCTTCAAGGGCCAGCGTGTGATGCCATCAATTGGGTTCCGCAATGCCAAGGCTACTCGTGACGTGCTTCCCAACGGATTCAAGAAGGTCCTTGTCCATAACGCCAAGGTAAGCTTTGTTTTTATTGTTGTTGAGACTTTAGGGTTTTCTTTGCGAATGTTTGTAACATGTTTTACAATCTTTGTTTTTCTTTTAGGAGATATGTTGACTCAATTTTTTAAAGATGCTTACTTTTGTATTTCCTTTTGCAGGAATTGGACATGCTTCTGATGCAAAACAAATACTATTGTGGAGAAATCGCCCATGCCGTGAGCGCCAAGACCAGAAAGTTAATCGTCGAAAGAGCCCAGCAGTTGAACATCAAGCTCACGAACGGAAACGCTCGTCTTCGTACCGAGGAGAGCGAATAAATTGTTTATGGTTATTTGTTGTTTATTGACCTCTTCATAAAATCTTCGTTGTCTTTGCTAGCATTCAGCTTTGAAGTGGTGTTTCCCTTTGAATATTTGAGGAACTACGCGTTCGTTAGGCGTTTTAGTTAATGATGTTAAAGCGTTTAGTTTATGCCTACTAGTTTTACATTTTGGAGGTCGTAGTTAGCAAATAATGTCCTCGGCATGTTCGGACAATACTTCGCGAAAATATTTTCATCGACGATCTGAGAGAAGGGTCGAGGATGCGAGGAATAAGGCTCGATCAGGTAAGTTGAAGGTTATATTCATTGATGGTTACAGAACTTAGCAAGTGTGGTTGGTCACCTCACCAATATGCGAGCAGTAACTATATAGAACGCCTAAAGAATATAAAGGTGGACAACATTAGTCGAATAAATGCGGCAGAACTCACGATAGAAGAGTTTAAAGAGAAATACGAAATACCGGGGGTCCCAGTTATATTAACTGGAGTTATGAAAGACTGGCAAGCAAATGAGAAGTGGGCTGTTGACGTAGGTATTCGCATGCTCTTTTCAATTTCACGTTTAGAGACTCTACAAAAAGTATCGGAATCAAAAATTCAAGTGTGGTGAAGATGACGATGGATATTCGGTTAAGTTGAAAATGAAGTATTACATCGATTACATGACCTCAACAATGGACGATAGCCCTCTTTACATTTTTGACAGTGGATTTGGTGACAGGAAGAAGACGGATTCTATACTAAAAGACTACGAAGTTCCCGAATTCTTCAAGGATGATCTATTCAGATATTCCAGTGAAAAAAGGAGACCCCCTTACAGATGGTTTGTAATGGGGCCAGAAAGGTCAGGGACGTCTATTCACGTCGATCCTTTGGGGACGAGTGCTTGGAATGCCTTAGTGTCGGGAGAGAAGCGATGGTGCCTGATTCATCCATCGGCTCCCAGGACGTACGTGAAACCGAGAAAGGACGAGGTTGGGAAGCATCCAGACGAAGCAGTTACTTGGTTCCGGACTGTGTATCCACGAGTTTTCCACGACAAATTGTATCCAAGCATATTTGCTACCCAAAAAGCCGGTGATGTGATGTTTGTTCCAAGTGGATGGTGGCATGTTGTGATAAATACAGATGTTACAGTAGCCATCACCCAGAATTTCTGTTCTTTGGTAAATCTCCCTGAAGTCTGGCGTCAAACCATCAAAGGAAGACCCCAGTTTGCAAAGCATTGGTTAAGGTGTCTGAAGAAGGAACGTCCTGAGGTTGTTGACATGATATCAAGAATTGACACGCGCGAGGATTGGAATCAAGTGGCCGAGGAAATGTCTTCAGATTCGTCTAGCTCCAGTTCCTCAGAATCAGATTCGGATTCCGATGACTCTGGTGCTGAGACGGAATCTAATACACAGAGAAAAAGGTAAGATTTTTGAATGATACTTGCGCAATTATATACGCATTCCATAGCTTGATTATTTTTTAGGCCTCATACGAGTAATGGGGATGGGAACAAAAATAACTCAGACATGAATGTGGAACCCTGTCCGAGTAAATTAAGAAGAAGTCCTCAGAACTAACAGAATCTCATTAAAATAATATGGGTATTTAGTATTATTTATCAATTTGAATAAATAGTGACAATAATACGGGGATGAGTTTGGCAGTCTAAAGAGGAGACCAGCCTCTCTTGGTAAGGGAGATTTAATTATGGCTTCTAGGAATTTATAAACAGCCGCGCATAACTTTTCATTCCTTATTAGCCTTCTTTCACGTGTTCGTTCCGCCCCTTTAGGCGTGAGATTAGACCGAACCAGGCCGGCTCTGACATTTTTTGGCCTCTCTGCCCTGTCTTCCATCGTTCTTAATTGTCATTCCTTGTTGTTGTCGTCAATTAACAATGATGCATCCTTTCAGGTAAGTTTTATGCTTCACTGTATGTCTTATGAAGGGGTACCGTTCTTTTCCGAGGTTGTGAGATAAGAGCGTTACGGATAAACCTGGTTGTTGCATCCCTAATTTGGTTTAGATTCCGGTGTTTTATTTATAAACGCCCAAAAGGCAAAAGTTAAAGTCATTTTTGCCAGAAAAACCCTCCCTCGTGGCCGTTTTAAAACAATAGGAGCAGTACTTTTCAAGGAAGAAAGCGGAATCAGCACGGTATTCTAAGGGATGGCTTTTCTCTTCAGGAATCTTCGAAGTCATTTGCAAAAATGGATTCAACTGGACAACAAATGTTCGGAGTCTGAGTATCCTAACGCCAAGTCCAGTTCCTTCTTTCTTTCCTTCAAAAGGAAGGACTTATCTGTTTCTGATGCGACCCAATTATGCACCCCTACTTCCGGCCGCTCTGTGAGTTTTGAGGACGCAGTAACATGGCCTTTTATCGATGATGATATTCCAATATGACGTTAACTTGAGGCAGATAATTGGATGCACAGTTAATAATACGGATACTCTCAAATTATTTGTTTATTAATAGTTTACAAGAAATAAATAATTCAAACTTAAAAGGACGAATACATGCGGAATTCATGACCGACTTTTGTTTACTAAACCGCGTCAATCTCTATCATCATTGACAAGTTTTTGTTAAATGCTGCGAAAGAAAAGCAATACATGCATATCAGTCTGTCGTGAAAATGGTGGCGGGTCCTCGCGCTCTGGAATCGCCCATCATGACCCATGCTTCGAAGCAATACTACACGAGTAGCTACACATTAATTCCTGCCGATTTTCAGACAGGACTCGATAAAACTTTCGTTGTATCACAGTTTCGTATTTTGTAAAATTTGTTATTGTCATCAATCTGGATTGTCATGAGCAAATATGCCCTAGATCAAGAAAAAATTGTAGGAAATCCTTTCCAACCGTTTTAAGTCTTCAAAGTTTATAACAATATAAATTATACAAATTCAAAAAGGGTCCATTGGTTCAGGTCTTGACCGCAACTCGAGATTCTCCTGACTAAACATGGCGGGTCCCATAGAATCTTGAAGGCATCGGGCAAAGTTCCTCTCAATCGGACGAATAAATTTACTTCTGGTTTGCGTGCAAGGGCATCTTCGTTTGTACGCGTCAACACATTCCAAATGAGCTAGGTGGCCGCATCTGACAAAAACATTACGTAAAAACATGGTCAAACACAAGAAGCACACAAATCGTGCAAAAAAATAATGGAATTTTAAGTCCTTAACAGGAAGACTAAACCTACTCGAAGATAATGAAGGACTGTATTATATCTCCATTACAACAAACACACATGTCCGAGTTGATGACGCCATGAAGTTTTCGGCTGGCTGATGTCAGCTCAGTCAGCAGGTCAACTGTCTCGTATTCGATGCATTTCCGTGTTTGAACAAGAATTTGACGGTCGATTTGGCAGGAAAAAAGAATTTTCCTAAAAAAATTCGAAAAAATCCGAAATTCGTTTTCCTCTTACGTAATAAGACCTTGGAATCCAGAGACAGAGGCCGAAGAGAACTGGGGATGCGAGAAAAGAGAGTCCACCACCTGGACTGCTTGGTCTCCGCAAGTTTCAACGATTAGAGTCAGCAGTTCTGTCAAGTATTCATCCAGAGATTCTAAAAACGTTTTGTTTCGATTGTGAAGACTTACCACTTCCATTGTTTACCGACAAGACAAAGTTGAATAGTTTTATCCACCAGGATTTAGCCTTTGCGAGATCCATGCTCTGACTACAAATCCCCATGATCATCTCCATTCGTTTGGCTATAAAAAAATTAAGCCAGGCGAATATGTGACCTACTAAACAAACTGTTGCAAATTGATGACTGCTGTAATTTCTCGAATAACGCGTTAAAAGCTCTTTCAAAGTGTCCTCTAGCCACTAACAATATCACCATCGAATCTGTGAGGCCATTTGAGGTCGCCATATTGAGACACACATCATCCCTCGAGCCCAATGGGAGCCAGTAACGAAGAAGATCACTTAATTCTTGATCCAGGACCTCACTACTAACATTCGACGACGTCCTATCATCAATTATACCTTTGAAAAGTGACCGAAACAAGCTCTCATCCACTTCATCCTCTTCGCTTATCGACTTGAAACCATAATCTCGACTGAAGAATAAGTAAAACCTAACTTCACCTACCGTAACTTAAAACAGTTGGAAAGAAAGTCAAGAGGCAATTTCTGGCTGAACATCATAAATTCTGGGAAATTTTCCAAAAACAATTTCGCTGTTTTCCATGAATCAATCGAATTTAAGCGCTAAACAAAACATGAAACTCAGTTATATTCTTACGTTCAATGAAGATACGACAAACTCTCTCAACACAGTCCGATCTTCATTCTCCACGCCATCCAAAAGATTATTTATAATCTCAAAAGTCCCTTCAGGATAATATTTGTCGTCCAAACACACCAATAGCAGATTGACATACTCTTTTCTCTTGATGTAAATGTAAGCGCAGATGCTGATCCTGAAAATTCTTGTATTGATTACTAATGACGCTTACAGTGGTTTCTCTTTGGCTTTCACCAAAATATTGTCTTCTGGAATCTGACCTGACACCATCATTAAATCGACCACTTGTTGTTGAACATAAGAAGCGGGTCTTTCCATCAAGTTCAGCCTCTCAATTACCCTCAGAATTAACTTCTCATAAGTATGAGGATCTTGACCGACAGCATTCGTTTCAAGTAAATGTGTCAAGAAAGGCAGCAAGAGAAATAAGTACTCAGGATTCTCTTCCGTGATTCCGGCCAGGATATCCACCAGCCGTTTCAAACGACCATCGGAATCAGAAAATATCGGAGCATCAGCACAAGTAGAGATCACGTTCAGAAATTGGTGAGCATCGAAGCTGAGGAGTAGGTTCAGTATGGGATAACGTTCAACCTTCGTCAATTGGGACACCTTCGGATAACTGATGGCGATCATGAATTTGTAAACTTCCAGAGAAACGACTTCCGCTCTTTCAGGAATCAAATCCCCAACTGGATATGAACGCCCAGCCAGACAGGCACTGAGGTAGAGGAAGAGCTTGTTACCTTGTGCAATCTCAAAGTCCGAGAATACTGTTTTCGGCACAAATTCAGATAAATTACAACACATTTCCTGCAAGTAAAAATTAAGTTGAACACCGCTTACTTCAAGAGGCCCAATGTAATCAACCAAAGCGTTGTTCATGACATATATTATACCATCGAAGAGCTTATTGGCCCGGCATGTTGTGATAACTTGATGGAGATCGAGGCATTCAACTGGAATATGGCTGACTGCGTTTTCAAAGACAGAAAATTGCCCTTCGTTGGCAAGATATGAGAGCAGATCATGGACTAGGCTGGGCGGAGGGTATTCCAATCTTCCCTCCACTGCAAATTCTTCCAGGATTTCGAGGAAGATGGCTTTAGCCATGCCGTCTTTCTCAATCCTAGGGTAGATGGTATCATAGAGAAGATCGAAGTACCTCTTCTCAACACACACCCTTATCAGCACTCCAAGATGCTTCTGAAATTTTAATAAATTGTTTTAGAAACATTACCTTATAATGTTCGACCAATTCAGATACCCGACCACTTTCGAGTCCATCCATGGCCATGTCGAGCAGTCTCAGCAGAAGATCTGGGATCCTATCCTCCATAAATTGGAAAACATTCAAATTCAGAACCTTAGCATTGCATAATTTTTTACTGATATCCATTGCGTAAAGTATCGCAGAAACAACGTCACTTCTACAGTAATATAATTATCAGTCTTAAAAGTGGCAGAACCACAAAAAACTACACTTACCTGGACAAAAAATGATTGAGTTGCTGTTTCTCCGTCATTAAGTTGCATCTAAATAGACCGTTGGTTCCAAGAAAATAAACGTCCTTATTGAATCTCTTGGCAGATTGGTAACAGACGTTAGGGGCCAGAAATTGAAAGGCTTCACTCACGTTGCCACCCGTATACAACCCCTGAAATCACGTCTGGGAGCTAAAATCTTCCGAAAGAAAAAAATCGAAACATTCAGAAAATGTGTCATTGATGACATTAATTTTGGACTAGAAAATGTGTAATTTTTTTCTTTTGAGCACGATTGTGTCCGAAAAGGGATTGCTCACCTTGAATTCGGCTAGGTTATAGACTAATTTGACACGTTCCAGCCCTATCGTAACAAGAACGTTCCCATTATGAACATCGACCAAATACATCGTCTCATTGGAATTGGACACTGCAATTCTGTCATTCTCCATCCAGAACAGGTTGCAGATAACCAAATGTGAGTCCAGTTTAATGACCTTGCTCAGGGGAAAGGTGATCGTTCGTCCCTCCGAGTTCATGGTGTATATTCGAATCTCGTTCCCTCGAGCTGTTGCTAATCTTACGTCATGAATATAAGTTTTCTGCGAGACTAATTGCGTCTGAATGTTGAAATCGAGGAGAGGAGGACATTGTGGATTGTTAGGAAGCCGTAGTTGAGAAAGGATTCTACCGGTCCTCTGATTGAATATCAGAATTTGTTTAAGTGTAGTGAGCAAGAGGAGTCCTTCTTGTGGCAACACCCGCAACTGGACTGCCTATAATCGGAAACGAAGTTATCAGTCACACTGAAAATGTAAAATAATACATAATATGTACTAGGATTCTTTTGTACCTCGCCTTTGCATCCTGTGAAAATGCATCTCGGGGGTCCCTTGCGCCCTTCCCGGATTTCGAAAACAGAACCGCCGTTGTCTATGACTAGCATACTATACCTGGAATTAACGCTTAGTTAGTGGACACCTATCTGTCCATACCGATTCAAGTATTCGACCTGTATAATCCCATGGTCAGGCTGCACAACGGATTCATTGAACAGTTTCATCTTCCCATTGCTTGTTCTGAATATTATAAGGGCGCCATTACTGTATCCGACACCTAGTTTAGAGCCGTCTGCACTAAATCCCATTGCAGAAACGGGTGCATTCTGATTGTTACTCATAAATCTTATCAGTCTGCCGTCGTTTTTGTCAAATACAATTGCCATTCCTTTCATGGTTCCAATGGCCACATATTGCTCGCACATAGCGATTACCGTTGGCCTTCCGCCGTTGGGATTATCCCTCACCATGTTCAATTGATGACTGATCGCATCTGAATGGCAATTATTATCCTTTATAATCGAATATTATTGGTTTACTACAGAATTAATTTACCTTCCTTCGTAAGAATCAAGGGGGTGTCCAGTGTGTAGGTCACAGGATATATCGGTCCATGTTTGTTGAGACCAAAAGAGTCATCCTCGTCGGGCAGAAGGAAGTCATCGTCTATTAAATCATCACCCTATAATACACAAGTATTTCCTTGTGATCTGTACTTCAGTCAGCCTGCTCAATTAGAGATAACTCACTTCGGCCAATATTTCCTCGAGCGTTTGAGATGGGACGGAGTAATTGGTATCTAGATCTAACCAATGATCGGTGTCATCATCGGTTACCGAGGACATCTACAATCCAATCATGAGCCTAATCTAATATTTATTAATACAAAAAGGGACGGGAACCCTGAGAAATCTTTAGGATGATCAAATATGTTAGATTTATCACAAAATAAATTAATTTATAGATTAGGGCAAGGTGTTACATGATGATGGTGGACTCCGGCACATTCTCTGCTATGGATTTATGGGGCAACACTTGCGCTCCGTTAAGGTAGAGTTCATCCTTTACGACTACATCATCTCCAATCACACTAGTACTTTCAATTCTAACCCATCGGCCTATAATATTGTCATAAATGATTACAGTGGGGGGCTGATCCAGCGGCAAAAACCGTACCATTTTGCATCCGGGAAGTATCAAAAATGTGACAAAATGCTTCCCCTCTCCAAGTCAAAAAACTCCGATTTCAAGAGCGCACCCGCTCTTTTTGTGAGGGAAAGGGCGCCTTCAAACCGAAGTTTTTCACTTGGAGAGGGAAGCATTTTACCACATTTTTGATGCTTCCCAGATGCAAAATGGTACGTTTTTTGCCACTGGATTAGGCCCTCACTGTGGATAATTATCATACAGAAAGATATTTTTTTTACCTATTGAGCATTGACGTCCAATGATACTGTTACTGACAAAGGAATGTTCTCGAATCACTGTGTCGCTAAGGACAGTAGAATTGATAATTCTGACCCCATCTTCGATTACGACATTAGCCCCGATCACAACATTAGGCCCAATTGAGCAGCCATTCCCAATTCTGGCGGTTTTATCTACTAACACAGCTCCATTGACCCCTTCACCTTTAGCCAAAGCAACAGGATGGTCTGGGGACGTGAAAAGATAATTTAGGTACAACCTGGTACCTGAAAAAATATAGATAACGTCCTCACAGTATCATTACCCACCTTTCAGAAAGTCCTTCGGTTGTCCGACATCCATCCAGAAACCTCTTAATACAAAAGCATACAGGTTCTCATCAGCGGCGAGCTTTGGGAACACCTAAATAGAGTAAAAGTTTACAGTAGTGGACTTACATCTTTCTCGATGGACGTAGGTTCACATGGAATGCTTTCTAGCACACTAGGATCAATGATGTACATGCCAGCATTGATTTTATTTCCAACGTATTCCTTAGGTTTCTCCACAAATCGTTCAATCTGCCCACAGGATTCGTCAAATACCACCACACCGTATTTACTTGGTTCTTCCACTTTTGTGACAGCAATAGTCGCTTTCCTTCCATGAGACTTGTGGAATCTCATCATTTCCGCAAAAGGAAACTCACAAATTACATCGGAATTGAGAACAAAGAAGGGCTCGGACCCTTCTAGGTGTTGTTTGGCCAACGCCAAAGGTCCGGCTGTCCCCAGAGGTGTCGTTTCCACCGAAATCTCAATCTAAGAATGTAAAACTAGTAACTCAAAAGACCTACTTTAATATTCAACCTCTCTTCTTGAGACCTCATCTCCTTTTCCAACATTTCTGCTCTGTAACTGACGGCCAATATAACCGTGTCAACTCCGGCATTGGCCAATGCCTCCATTTGATGCAAAACCATCGGTTTGTTGGCAAAATCGACCAAAGGTTTCGGCTGGCTCAATGTAAGTGGCCGAAGTCGAGTGCCATACCCACCCACGAGAATTAGGGCCTTCATCCCCTGCAAAACTTATATTATAAAAGCGACTAGAATTAACGCGGGGGCACACAAAAGTTTACATAAACTACTTTCTGTCCAAATTCAACGCCTCAGTCCCCGGAAAATTAATCGCCACGTGTCCGTCGCCCATCGAAATGGGATGGAATACGTAGCGTTAGGGATATCACATCACTCAAGCAGAAATCACCCAGCGTCATCAAGTCCGGAAATAATTTGAAAAAGCAATGTCGCCGAAAAATCCTTCAAAAATTTTTCTTTTTTCGCGTTTAAAGTTTTCCCATGGAAATACGCAAATTTAACCAAACTAATTAGAAGGCGGACTTTAAACCGAAAAACCAAACGCAAAACCCCAATGTAATACAGTTTACTATCGGTCCTATATAAAATAAGTACAATAATGGAATGTGTAGTTAGATTTTATGAATAATTCAGGCGTCCTTGATTTCGCCCAAAACGGCGACAGATTGGATTTCGACGCGACCACCCTTAGGGAGAGCAGCGACTTGATAAGCAGCACGAGCTGGATAATTCTTGGTAAAGTACTGCTTATAGATCTCGTTTACTTCGGCAAAATCATTGATATCGGCCAACAGAACGGTTGTGGACACAACTAGAAGTATGTTTTAGCAGATAATATTCAACATACCATTGTTCAAAGACCCTCCCACGGACTTCAGAATGGCTTCGATATTCTTGATCGATTGGTGGGTTTCCGGCTTCACACCACCCTCGACCAAAGCGCCCTTCTCAGGAATCAATCCTAACGAGCCACTTATGTAGACGGTGTTGTCTACTTGAACTGCTTGGCTATAAGGTCCAATAGCCCCAGGGGCATTGGGGGTGTTGATGATCTTTCTTGTAACGGTCGACATCTTTCTTGCGAAGGTCAATCTGCAAACGTGTAAACAAATAAGAATCACTTACGAGAAGAGAAACAACCAGATTACAGCTTCGTTTCTCATTTTTCTGATAACAGCTTCAATCGCCTACCTACCCACTTTTATACCTTCCCCCCAACTCACATGCGCGACATGATCTGGACCAGCGATAATTAACGATAAGAGCAACGACAAACAGTGAAATCAATTCGGAGCGAACCGACCACTTGGCCACAAATCAAAACGGAACAAGTAATCAACAAATTTTTATTCACTTGTAAAAACAAAAACAATTAAAAACTTAATAAGCCTGTTGGATAGGCTGTTGAGGGGCTTGGCCTTGAGGGGCCTGCAGTTTCTCTTCAGGAGCTTCAAGGCATTCTGAACGAGGAACAGTTGGGTTGTCTTCTGGGCGGGGCTCCAAGATCTGGATGTGGTCAGGAAGTGGGTTTCGGGGACCGATCTTTCCTTCAGGATCGTGTGGAAGCATGATTTTTACCTTGATTCCCAAAACACCTGCAAAAAAACGAACGTAATAACAGCCATACGGCCTCATGGAAATACGACAGAGTACGGAAATCGGACAGGGGAAACCCGACAATTTTTTCACTGACTTGGTACGAACTGTCACTAATGAATTTTTTTGTTATTTTTTTGGTATAAAAGTTCGCTAGTCTGGCTACAACGTATAACTTCGCGCAAAACAGTCAAGTGAAAAAACCTTTCGGGTTTCCCTCCAATTTCCGTATCTGCCCAGTTTCGATGAAGCCACAACGTAAAAAAATTGTGCATTAAAATCCCACCTTGACGGAGCTGAACGTGGCGAACGGCTTGTTGAACATACTCATTCACAGGGTGCCCCGAGTGGATCATGATACCGTCAACAAACTTCATCGCCTTAGCACGCTGACCGCGCAGTTTACCGGAAACGATGATTTCACATCCTTTGGCTTGGGACTCCATGATGAAACGGAGAACACCATAGCAAGCACGACGAACGGCAAGACCTCCACACAGCTTGAAGCGGAGAGATTCACATTGGGCAACAGCGCACAGACCACGGTTGGCAACCTTCTCGGCGTAAAGCTAAAAAAACAAATCTACAGTAAGATCCTTGGAAAGTTTCACCTTATTCCTAAATGAAGAAATCCAAAGAGCTATAAAAACATACCTCAACTTGTCCAACATTGAATCCGAATCTCTTTTGGACGACAGCAGTGAGTTCGCGAATACGACGACCACGTTCTCCCAACACGTTCTGGGTGCGGGTGGCGGTGATTATAACCTCAGTACGAGTGGGGGCACGGCGAACTTCAACTCCGGCATAACCGTCCTCGGCGAGTTCCTTCATGAGGAAGTTGTTCAACTCTGCCTTAAAAACTCCATCCTGGACGGCCTTCTTCTTCTTGGTGATCGTCTGGACCATCTTGGGGAACCTAAAAAATTTTGAAGTAACATTTACAATTTTCTTTACAATACATATATAAAAATAACGTCAAAATATCCGGCGAACAAGAAAAACCTAAAATGAGAAAGAGGAGGAATCCTACAGTCAGGGAAACTGCAACGGAATGCCAGGCGGGTTCCTACGACGAAAATAGATTTTACCAGTTTTTTAGAAAATGAAAAATCCGGATCAAACTGGTTTACGAGTTTCGAACACGCAGTTAATCCTCTGGCTTTAAATATTATTGTCTGGTGTTTATTTTATTTATTGATACATCAAGATATTCGTTATGATCTTCAATCATTTATAAGTTTTCAAAGCAGCTGTACCTTCCACATAATCGCCTACAGACACGATGCGGGTCGTTATATTTGTTCTTTTGTTCGTCCTACCTCCATTTATTGAATGTGTTGGCCTGGCTAGAGGGCTTTACTGCGGGCTGGAGACTTGTTATGACGGTATGTTGGATAATTGGGGTTTTAAACATTACTGTATTTTTTTTTAGTTCTGGGAATTGAAAGAGAGAAATTCGACAAACCCTCGTTGTCGAAGATCTACAGGAATCTCGCCAGGAAATATCACCCGGATAGGATAAGAGGAGACGTAAGTATTATCAACATTTGTTTTCTAAAAAATACATTGTTTTTAAGCAGAAAGTTTCAGGCTGCTGAAAAGGAATTGGCTATTGAAAAGTTCAGACAAATCGCTACAGCTTATGAAACTTTAAAAGATGAGGAAACTAAGCAATACTATGATTACTATCTCGACCACCCGGAAGAGAGATATTACAATTACTATCAGTACTACCGTATGAAGACTCCGAAGGTTGATGTTAGGTTGGTGATTGCGGGAACTGTTCTACTCATCTCTTTCATTCAGGTATATAATAATCCTAATAACCATGTATGTCTCTTATTTTTAGTACACAAGTGCCAGGCAGAAATATTCCGAAGCTCTCTCCTATGCCAAAGAACAAGTAAAGTTCAGGAATATGGCGTTAGACGTGGCCAAAGAGCGAAAATTGTTAGAGTTCGATAAATCGGGCAAGATTAAGAAGAAGCAACCCAACGGAGCGGATCCAGATAAGATCCTGGGGTCTATCATCGAAGAAAACATAAGCATAAGTGGCGGATATAAGAAGGCCACTGTGAAAAACACATTACTCTTTTATATCCTTATGCTGCCTTATACAACTATCGTTTATGGAGTCTGGTGGTCGAAATGGGTCACGAAATATTGGATAAACAAGGAAGAATACGACGAAGAAGCAAAATTATACCTGATCAGAAAGAATTTGGGAATAACCGTGGATCATTTTAATGTAGGCTTATATTAAGACCATGATATTATAACATATAGGGATTGGAAGACCACCTTATACAAGACTATCTGGATAAAGAAATCTGGAAAAAAGAAGAATTCCAAAAGTGGAAAGCAATAAAAGAAGAGGAGGAAAAGGAAGAAATGGCCAAATCGGCACGTTATCGACAATACAGGAGGTACATGAAGAAACAAGCGGGGCAAACCATATCTTTTCTTGATGAATAATCAACTCTTATACGGGATTTATAATTTATTGGTTGTTGGCATTTATTACAGATTAAAACAAACATACATTTCTTCCGTCCTCTTTCCGTGGTCAATATGTTATAATGAACCAGTCGTGATGGGCACTGATCTGAAAAAAATTAACAGTATAAATAGAACATCGGAGCGATGTTGTGAGATCCAACCGGACTCACCGCATCATAATTACTTGGCACTTCACTGTGATAGCAATATCTCGGGATCCTTAACGTGTTATATCTTACCCACCCGGCTACATACGTACCTTTCGTTCCTTTTCAAACGCACCATAAGGCTCTCAAAGTTATCTAAGGGACAAGACACATTTCTCATCCGACTTACCTGCTAATCAATGAAATCTCGATTGCGATAGCATCTCCAACCTGTTTGCCATGTTTTCTTCCTAAAAATGAATATTAAAAATAGATCCACCAACTTACCAAAGAGATTCCCTCATCTGGAACCACAATTCTTGTTTTGGCACTGTTTGCCTTGGCGATTGTACTGGCTGCTGATGTTTCTGCAGCTGTTGACGTCTCTGTTAATGGAGGGGGTTGATTATACGAAAATGTTGGCATTGAAGCCATGTGTGGCTGGTGTGGTGGTCCCATGGACGCAGCAGGCATAGGGATCTGAGGAGGGAGATGGGGAAGATGTTGTTGCATTCTTATCTGAATCTGAGGCGCGCTAGGCTGCGGCATTGACGGAGTCGGAATCATGTTGTAGTAAGTCGGCATCAGATTTGCTGAGGACATGGCGTACAATCCTGCAGGTCCGGTAACTTGAGGAGGGGGCATGATTGGAGCCGAAGCAGGCATCGGTGGAATCAACGGCTTCTTTGCCTTGGGTTCAGAAGACCCATCAAACTCTTGAGGGATTCCATCCATTCCATAAACCTCCACATCTACCGAGTCTCTTCCTGGAACGGCTCCAGGTATCTTGTCAATAGTCTCCTTATGAACTTGCATGCAATGAATGGCCAAACCAGGACCGGTAAACAATTTTTTATTGCATATATGGCATTTGAAATGCTTTGCTTTTTGATGCTGGATCAAGATTTTCTCGTCGTCGAACTCTCGATTGCAATACCTAAATTATAACGATATGTAAAGTAAACAAAAAAAATCTTACCAGCACCATGGTTTGGCCTGTCGCTTCTTCTTTCTTCCCATATTACACTACAACCGACGCTGGTAGCCGACAGGATCTGCAATGAAAGCAAAAAAATCTTCGGGGTTCACGCAGAAAAAATCGAAATGTTTTCAGGAATTGAAAAACCTCTCTCGCAACGCAAACAAGAAGATAACAAATTTGGCATAACGCATCATAAGAAATTACAGGAATTGTGTAATTTCTTTTGTATATTGTTACCGCCGCATATATTGTTGTTAGTTCATGTACATATATTTATAAACAGTTTTAAATTGACCTGTCTCATGGTAAGTTCGGATGGATTATGTTTTATGCTTTTAGTTTTGTCATGTCGCACACAATCCTATTGATTCAAGCTTCTGAAGCAGCCGACACCCGAACATGGTCGGACTACAACTCAATGGAGTTATGTCATTTCACAGTAGCCATCAATCGTTCACAGTAGCCATCAATCGTATTGGAGTTCTAGTTCGTGCAGTCAATGTTGATCAACTCGAAGCGAGGGGAAGTTGGAAAAAGGAAACGGTGGAGCTAATCTCGGGATATGTACTGTTCAGTTCTGGTATTCATGCTATTGGAATGGACACCTCCTACGCACACCCGCTCGGATGCCCCAGGATAAGAAGGACCAAATCACTATAGGATGTTGCATTGACTGAACAATAGAAACCATACTGATTCACTCCATGATTTTTACATGTGATTAGTGAAATAAATTGAATTGAATTGGAGTTATGTCTTGAGGCAGTTTGCAAGATATACGAAGAACATTTGAAGAAGATTAAGCAAGGGACCAAAGTCACATACGACATCAACGAGCTATTCGAATTCCTTGATTGCTTAGCAGATCTGTCATGCATGGTGTTTGATATTCAACGTAATGTGTACATTCCTCGGTCCAGGGAATGGATTAAAGCACAACTCTTCGATCTTTTACGGCATCAAGCGGGTATGTAAGTATTGTTTACGGTTAATAAATTAAGATAGTACAATAATCAGTATTTTTGCATTAATGCTTTCATATTATTCTTGGCAAGGAGAAGGTTTGTGATCTCGGCTTTCCAACGGTAGAAGAAGGATGATTTCGGTTTTTCTCCAATATTCTTTTCATCTGAAAGGAGTAAAAGTCTATTGTAACGTAAGCACTTACTTCAGGTAGCAAGTGGTGCTGAACAAGTCTAGTAGTAATCATATTTAAGAGCTGCGCTTTTTCCGAGTTGATCCTTTTCGGAAGTTTTAAACTTGATCCAACAACAGTAAGATCTGGAAACTTTTTGTTCCATTCGCGATGCTCTGCAACAACCTCATTGGGCAAATCTCCTTTAATGCCATATTCGATTAGAGATTTTAACTTAGCTCCTAAACTTTCGTTGTCGACCTTTGAATCGAAGTTGGAAAAACTCCAAGCCTCTTCCATCGATCTCTGAAAGTTTTTCCACGTATTGTATTTCGGACTGAAGGAAAATATAAACGCGAATTTAATCCCTCTAAACGACGTTATTTTTATGGTTAGGAAGTATTTATAGTGGACCGGCGATCAAGTAAAAAACGAGACAAGAGCTAGGGGTAAATAAAATGGAGCCGAAAGGAAGAAAAAAATAAAAAAGTGACGTTGCCAGGGCGACTCATTTTGAATGTTTATTCTTTGGAAAGTACCCAAAATATGATACATGAACAATTGGTTTCGTTCGAAGATTTAAGCCGGAGTGGGTTCAGCTTGAGCGGGGGCCTCTGGTTGAGGTTCAGCGGGTGCTGCTTCAGCTGGCGCAGCTTCTGTCGGAGCGGCTTCGACGGGAGTAGCCTCGACTGGGGCAGCTTCGGCAGGTGCAGGTTCTGCGGGAGCGTCTTCCGCTGGCGCAGCCCCCGCCGGCGCTGGCTCTTCGAGAGAGGCAGCTTCGACGGGAGCGGCTTCTGCAGGGGTGGTTTCAACAGGGGCAGCTTCGGCTACCGCGGCTTCTGTTGGTTGAGATTCTTCTGGTTTTGGTTCTGAAATGCGGTTAAATTACTGACGCACGGATCCTTACCCTCTAGCGTAACAGCGGCAACTTCGGCTGTGGCAGCTTCAACAGGAACTTCAGATGGAGCGGCTTCTGATGCAGGAGCAGCCTCAGTGGACACAGGTTCGGCAGGCGAAGATTCTGCGGGGGCAGTTTCGGCAGGCGCGGCTTCAGATGGGGCTAAATTTATACAGTATAAGATATGCTTTATTCTCACCTTCAGCTGTGCATTCTCCGGCTTCTTGAGGAGGCGGTACAACTTCTTCTACTGCGGTTTTGGGTTCTAAAATAATGATAGGATCATGATGATTCGTTTACCCTCTGAAGGAGCGGCTGGTTCTTCTGCAGGAGCGGGCTCGGCTGCTGGAGCTTCGGGAGCGGGCTCTGATGGAGTAGCCTCGGCTGGGGCAGCTTCAGTAGAGGCGGCTTCGACGGGAGCGGCGTCAGCTGGAACAGCGTCAGGTCCAGGGGCAGGCTCTGATGGAGCAGCTTCAGCTTGCGCAGCCTCGGCTACTGGAGTTTCCGGCACGGCCTCCGCTGGAGCGGATTCTACTGGAGAGCCTTCAGCAGGGGCGGCCTCAGCTGGGACAGCCTCGGCTGGAGCAGCTTCGGCGGGGGCGGACTCAGCTGGGGCAGCATCGGCTGGAGCAGCTTCGGCGGGTACGGCCTCCGCAGCCTCGGCTGGAGCAGCCTCGGCGGGGGCGGCCTCCGCCGGGGCAGCCTCGGCTGGAGAAGCTTCGGCAGGGGTGGCCTCAGCTGGGGCGGCGTCGGCTGGAACTCCTGAGGATGGTTCTGATGGGGCAGCCTCGGCGGGGACAGCTTCGACTGGTGCCGCCTCGGCGGCTGGAGCCTCGGGTTGGGGCACGACTTCGGGGTTGGGTTGTTCGGACATGACGAATCAAGAGAAAACAAAAACTGAGGGATCCACTGACTCTCCTTCCTCACGAATTGAGGGGTTTCCAAGCATGCTTCAACTATATGCGTGATCTGATGGGCGGGCTGATCAAGGCTAGAGGACGGCCTGGCTGAATGGGCGTTCCAAGAGACTTATGACCTGACAGATGGCTCAGTTCACATTTGTTTGAGGAATGCAAGGCTGAGTGGGTGGAGGGACACGAAAAGCCCTCTGGCCCCGATTTGACACCCTGTCTACAAAAAATGGCATAAATGTAGAAACCGAGAGACGTCAGTTGATCATCATCTTCTCAATTTTAACACTACGATAAATCTTGATTTGTCATCTTGGTCTTATTACAGTCATCGACTGAATTTTTTAAACATTCTCGAATTCTGGAAGCGATGTCATTCTTATGAAGTGCAAAGGGATCAAGATGGATGAGGCAGAAGGGAAGTATTGTGTCACTTTTATTAGGAATCGGAAACAGAAACAATTTCTTTTTTTCACTTTTTTAAAACGCTATTATTACAATTAATTGCAATTATATTTACGCACTTCTTACACACGGCTTGAAAAATTTCCCCAATCTAACGGATTTGTTATTTCGAATGTTTTAATCCTTCAGATTTTAATTTTCTTATTCGAGATCGAAATATTCAAGAAAGTGATCTTGCCAAAATAGACGGTCACACGACGTCAGAGCTAACTGCTATGAATTCACGCTAGTCTAGATATTTTTTAATTTTACATAATCTGTGGTTTTTTAAGGTGTCAACTCTTTGTTGTTTGCTTAGTTTATTGCAGCCGTTGGACACTTAACTTGTCTAATTTTCCAACTCTGAGCTCTTGTACCGACGTTATCTCATATTTTTAATCGAATTCTTTTGGATCGCAATCACCTGAGTCCCGAGACAAGATCATTTATTTCCTCTCCAAATCCATGTGAAATAGTGCAAAACAAGATAAAAAACTGACAATTATAAATTTGCTCCTATTTGCTGAGTTGACTCCGCGTTTTAAGCTTTTCCAAACACCTCAGCTGTTCGCTTCCCCCCGAGGCCACCTGATCAGGGCTTATGACAGGGTCAAATGGGTGCATTCCCGCTTTCCATCAGCTGATCGTTATTCTGGGACGCTTTTTGTAAAACGACGTGTATCGCATGCAAAGCAAGAAAAGAAAAACAAAGTGATGGGCTTCCACTTAAATTTTCTTGAGGTCGTTGATGACGACAATTCTCAATTCCTGGATTCATTTTATTTTATGGTCCGCGTGATTAAAGGTTGATGCAGAAATGAAAATCAAAACGGAGTCCAAGTATTGTTAAAACAAAAATTTCACAGAGAAAAAAGCGGATTATGCTATCCATAAATCCGAATCGTGATCCGTCTGAACGTTTGTTGTTCCACTTTTTTAGGCTGTCATACAGTAGTATGTAATCTGTTTTGTTTTACGTTTTTGATAAAGACGGCTAGTTGGTAATTTCACGTGATCCTAAATTTGCAAACTTACTCATCCAGACGCCAAACAAACGGACGTTGTTATCTCTATGCTGCGTGAACATTTGAATTTACATTTTTTTATTTCCGTTTCTTCGATCTGAGGGAATCAAATGAATTTGTAACAAAAAAATAAACTGAAATCGAGCGGCCGAGGAGAAACCTTAGCTCCGAACAAAAGAGCCTAGGGCTAATATAATACTTAGTCAAAGGGCTTCAGATGGCATGACCTGGCCAGCTGTTCAATCAGTTGCTGCGCCCACGTAGGATTGAGTCAGAACGTGAACGCTCTCCCAATTTATTGCCCGAGGCAACAATTGCTCGAAAGCGTACGAAAAATTGATTACCTTGACATCACGTCATCTCGTAAAACCCGTGTTTATGTTCTTTAAAAGCCTAAAATTTGAACAAAAGAGAAAAGAATCAAGACCTCTGATACTTCTCACGATACAGTTTCTCCAGATTCGTTACCCGCTTTTTGCTGTCCGAAGCATTAATCTGAAAGAAATTTGATATTAAAATGATGACAAGAGGAAGTACTTTTATACAAGAAGACTTACTTTGAAGTTGTCATAAAAGTCGGAGAGTGCAACGTCGATGCTCTCAATGGTTGATCGAAGTAGAGAAAGGGAGTCTTCGATGGTATTCACACCTTCCAATTGCTGAGATAAGGTCTCCGGATCATCCAAATCTCCGGTTATTTTTGTTTTCTTTTTGATTATTTCTTTTGCTGAAATCGAATTGTAATAATTTTCAATTGATGATCTTTGGTATGTTCTAAAAAGTTAAAAGTTTTTTTCTATTAGAGTATGTTATATATAGATTTTAAATGATGAAATGTGGTGAGTCCATAATACTTTCTTTCTTTCCCATCCTCCCAATCTCTTGGTTCAGAGCCATTTCGAAAGTCCTACCTTTTCTTATCATCCTCTCACGAGATTCGGGATAATCCCGTAAAATGTTGATCACATCCTCTTGTCTCAGATGGTAGACGTCCGTGTATCCCACGGATCTTAACGATCGCTGTCTTCGATTGGTCTTTGCTTTGGCCGAGATCTTGAGTAGAGATAACTCTCCGAAAGTGTCGCCTTCTCTCAACACGGCTACTGTATCCCCATTCCCGGATATTGTTTCCAAGGTACCTTGTTTTACAATATACATTTCTTTTGCCACATCTCCAACTCTGCAGAGATAATCATTCGGCCCATACATTTGCATAGTCAAATGCATCACAAATTCGTATAAGAGGGAGGGCTCGCATTCTTGAAGAAGTTCTACGCTCTTCAAACTTTCCATATGCAGATGCACGGCCAGTTCTCCTTGTAATCTTCTAGGCACAGCTGAGAGGATTTCCTACAAGAATGAAATACAAGAGGTCCATGATAAGCTTACAGATTCATCTTGGAATGAGCTGTTCTTGTGAATATATTCAACACAATCCATGACTCTCGATTGAATGTCGCTGGCCACTTGTCGATAATTCATATAAAACTTGATCCCGTCCATCAGATTCTGATATTCTGCTCTTGCTTTGTTCATTGTGACAACCACATTACCCACAGAACCGACGATTACGGCAAACACTAGCACTCCAGAGATGGTGTCAACAATCTCCAAAAGATTGTGAGCGGTTGCTGTGGGGAAGGGTTGTTGGCCAGAGGTTGTCAGCGTCAGAGACGACCAGTAAATACTCAGAGAGTACTGTTTGGCAAAATTCGAGAACAGAAGAGGTTCCAGATGCTGATTCCAGTAAGTTGTATACTTAAGGAGTTCGTCTTGTCTGTAAGATATGTCATCTTCTGTCTCGGTGACTCCACAGTGGTCATCGGGATCGAGCATATTACAGCTGGACATGAGTACGTCTTGATTCTTCACATAATTAAACTCCCAGGCACCAAAATTTGTAGCTGAAAATATATTTAATATTTTCTTTGCAGGGATTAACACATTCAGGCATTCATTTGTAATTGGTAGAAAAACTTGGTCTCTTCAGCCCGACTTTCACGCAAATTCTCAGGATTTGCTTCTCAAAAATTAACTTTTTTAGACATTGCAGCAACACAATCTGAGGTAACAACTTTTGGATTCAAATAATTTAATAACTATAACCATTACTTACATTCAATGCCAGTAATGAGACTAACTTTAAAGTAGAGAGCAGCATTTAAGTGAAAGATGACGGCACAAGTCACCATGATGTGGAAAATACGAAACCCATTGGGATAGTTGGTTCGTATGTTAGTTCGTTCCACAAAATCAAGTACCCGATAAAACTTGAGCAGTCGATTCGCCCGGCAGATTGAATATTTCCTATTCCAGAGCAGTATGAAGTCAGTTGGCAGTGAACTAAGAAGGTCACATGCAAATCGGAAACTGTAATTGTGGTATTTTAAAGCTTGTAGTATACTTTCGAAACGGTCTTTCATTTACCTTCAACAACAACTTTCCCTCTTTCAAGTAGCCTTTTGTAGTCGGCCCTGGCCTCTTCTTTTTGTACTAGTGCCTACTGTATCCCCAAAATAACACACTGACCTCTTAACGTATCGTTTCAGCAGCCGTTTCCATCCCCGCACCTTCATTCCGTCTTCTATGTGGTTTAATTTGGAGTTTATGAACATGTCCATCCAGTAGACCCCGTCGAATACCATGTTAAAAGCAAACCAGTATTTGAAGAATTCTCCCTGCATATCATCGAAAACAAACATTACACACATCAGACAGTTATATAAAAAGGCAATGTAAACAACAAAAGTCCAGTAATAATAAGGTCCCTTGGCCGGATCCACGGTATCTGTGGGAGCGGATCTGAAAATTTCAATTTATTTAATTAAATCTATGAGTTCGCCCGTCTTTTGTACGTTATACTCACTTTATGGTCTTCCATAATTTATCGGCATAATTTTTAAATCGTTTTACAAACGGAGGTCTAGCCACAGCCAGTGGATTAGATGGTGTGATGGCAGACAAGACGACAGGGGAATTGTTGTTGGTCTTGGTGTCCCCATTAGCATTATTAGTAATGTTATTAGCCGTATGGTTACCCGCTTGCAAACTCTCCTCTTTCTTTTCTTCCTCCACCGAATAGGCATCATTGTCATAAGCAATCGTATCATCGACCGACGCAGTAGTACCCTCACAGGAGACCACTGTGTCTTTGGTTGTGCTCTCAAATTGAGTGGATGACAATTCGACGGGAAGTCTGTTTCGAGGAGGTTCGATGCAATTGGAGGCCACGGGTTGGAGGGCGAAGACCGCGTCAAGGTTTTCTTTCTGACGTTGGATTTGATCAAGATCGGGGGACCGTTCGTGTACACTGAGGAGCCAATTCCTCGCCAACTGAGAAACCGGTTGCAAGATCAGATTAGACTACACCTACCATAACCACCCGGACCACATTGGAGAAGTGCTTGAAGGACCCATTCTCATCTGGCTGGACTGGGGCGCTGGCCTCGCCCAGTTCGGGGTCTGGCTGGCTCATTTAGGTCGGGGCATGCCTCGAACATCAAACTCTTCTGTCCCGATTTCTCCTCATCGGGCCCGATTCTGACTGACAAAAGGTCCTCTGCATCTTTTTTAGGGATTCCACAGCATTCACCGCAGAATGAATGGTTGTCCGGGCAACCGCCCCTTCTTCTTCTTTACCTAGCTCAAGATTAACCCTTATCTAGGATCGTGGGGGTGTTAAATTTTCATTAATTTGAGTGCAAGATGTCATTTATTATTTCAGTATTGTACTGTTCGGATCGGTTGTACTCTTTTTTGTTTACTGGAAGGCATCGCAAGTGCAGTCCCCGTTCATAAAGCGCATTTCCCGGGGGAGATAGACCCCGTCATCGCGTTTGAATTCGATGCCAAACCCTTCATCGAAGTGCATGGCTCCGGCTCCATTGACATTGATGTGAATCAGCAAGACGAGACCACCGCTCTTGCCCAAATTGGGGTAAATCTGCTCGTCCCAGGAGCGGAGGAACGAGTTGGCCACGTACAAACGGCGTCCGTCCAGACTCAGCTGAAGTCGAGCGGGACCCCCCTCCACAAATGTTTGTTTCACCTTCCGACGCTCCGGCATAAAATTCTATGAAAAGATGCTATGACTCCCTCCGTGCACTTACTATAGTCGAAATTCGTATTAATTTGACATCCAACTCTTTATGAATGATGCCGCCGACGAAAATCTGTAAAACAAGAATTGAATTATTCGTCCAAGCCGTAATAATTGGCCCTACTTTGTGGGTGAGGGTGATGTTGAAGGGATCGGTGATGTTGAATTGGGCTACAAATCCTTGAAGCCAACACGATACATACATGTATTGGTCATCCATGGAGATGACAATGTCCACGGGAACGGCCGGAATCTCTTCTCTAGTCCAGCCGGTGACATGAGCAATAGGAAATTGGAAGGCTTTGCGGGCTGTGAAGATGTCGGTTATCTAAAAGTTCACGTAAATCATGTTCATCTTAGGTATTTTCAAACAGAAGAACTCGATTTTTTTGCCTGTCAAAAAACGTAAGAATGCGATGCAAGAGACTTTTTGGAACATATAATAGGTCACACAAAGTTGTGCCATATTGCGCAACTACAGTAACCCGACAAGTAATCGACCTTCTTCGCCCTACCAGTTCGTGAAATTTAAGGACAAACTTACCGAATTTTTATGTAAATGAAAGATGGCCCCACCGATGGCAGTGATCACAAATGCATGGATAAGTTCGGGGTTGTGGATAAAGCGAATACAAATGGGGAATTGGCCGTCCAATTCTGGCAGATCAATCTTCTGTCTCACTTTTCGGTCTCTTAAATTCCAAACACTTAAAGATGTGCCGTAAACTGGAAAATCGCTTATATTTTATTTACTTTTTCTTACTGTTCTCCGCATTATCATACTGCATTCCCATCAAGATATGTGCAAACATTCCCCATTCGGTTGAAATGATAAAGTTTTGTGGCACATGGACTGCAAAGATACCTCCAAAACTTGTAAAATCGGGTTTTAATTCTTCCAAATTCTCCGAAACGATTGTGAATAACCGTCGATCCAGTCTCTGGATTGTCCCTAAACCAATAAACGATCCGTTCTGTGGTCTTACCTTTGGCGGAAGCATGTTTATCGCCTAAACAAGAGAAGAAAACGGGCGCACCCCGACCGGGCGTGGACTGGACGAACAAAGGCATGGAGGTGTCCCGGACACCCAGCTCGCCCAACTCTATTATCTGCAACAAAACACAGGTAATCGACAATTCTAGAACTCTTTTACCTTGGCTATCCTCATTTGCAAAACATCATCAATCCCGACAACGTAGATCCTGGATGTGTTGAAACAAGGGATGACAATGTAATTTCTGATGGTTTTGCTCACTTCATTCGCAAAACTAGAGCATCTCGTCCAATTTGTGTACATGAATTCGTCGCCATTTTTGGTCAGAAGAATCTCAGATACAATCTGCAAGACTAAATTATGAAAGGAAGACAAGCTAATGACATGCCTGGCCATAGTCTCGACTGTGCACATCCACATCGACGATGTACAATTTCCCTGGAAGATCGTGCACACTGTTCGTCGCCGCCACCAACATGAACCGCTCGCGCTCGAACTCGGACTTGAATACAATTGTACTGCTGCTCGAACTGCACCTACCCACCTCATCTGTGTAAAACAGACGGGTCGGCATTGCATCTCCGGGCACCAGATTCATATCAGAATCCCTTTTTGTGAGAGGTTTCGGATGTCCGATTGGAGGCTCCACATCCACAACTCGAACATCCAGATCATGACTCTGAAGATTGGACTGAACCAGATTCCAACTCACCGTGCACACTCCCATGGAGTGGAATCAGATTTCTGGCGATTTATACGCCGATTTTCTTGGACCAGAGAACAAAAAATAATTTTACTTTGGATTTCATTAGCCTTAACAAGATAGATAATCGCTGGACTTACCGGAAATGGCTTTGGTTAAAGCTGTAGACGCCTGGCGACAAAAGTGGCCGGCTCTAATCTTCAAGAGGTAGTTTGCTTTTCAAACGTTTTAACTTGCAAACCGGGCCGGAAAGAACGATTAGACCCCTGAATTCTAAACCCTTTATTTAAAAATTACTGTAGGAGTTCAGATAGCAGACATCATCAGGTTGTTGTTTGTAGCAATGCTCTGTATAAATCAAATACAAGAGCTCGGAGCATCGTATCCTTTGGCCGAGCGGCCTTTATTTAATCCGAGAAGCCGATAAAACGCAGCCAAGTAAGACATTAAGCAAATTAATTCATGTCCACATATTTCAGAGGAATTTGAGGCTCATAAGCAATGGAAGCCGGATGCTGCAGCGGCTTGAAGGACTCGTTGTCCATGTTGCACATGACCCCCATCTTGGCAAACGCGTTTAGTTGCCCGATTCCCAACTCCAAACCCTTGTTTATATTGAGTTTGGCATGGGCCAATTGAATGAACTTTGTGGCCACATGGGACGCCTTTCCCATCTGCCTTCCCATGTAATGGATATGGTGGATGGCGTTAGCCCCAATCACCTCAACTCCAATCGTCATCAACATGACTCCAAAGGCCAAGTATAATATGAGAAAAGGAATTGGAATCGGAGGACTGAAAGGTGATTGGGATGAAACAAGGGTCTTACAGAATGTCACCGAATCCAATAGTAAACATGCAAACAATCGAATAATAGTAACAATCTGACAACTCCAAATGGCTGCATAAATAGATCAGTTGACTTGTTATGACTGGGTACAGTAAAATCAGAAAAGCCACAAAGAAGGTACCCCCCTTCTCATTCTAAAAGATTATCAAACTTGCAAAATCAGCTTACTCCTTTGAATAATCCAAATATAAAATCACAAAAGAAATTTCCGATATCAGATATAGTGACCAGTGCCAAGGGAATCCCGATAACTGCATATCCGATTAAGAATAATTTCCCGGCTTCAGTTCTTGGAGTAATAAAGCCAAAGCCGACTGGAATTATTGTAGTGGCAGACAAAAGAAGGGACGATGAGAACGTCCACTGATCTGAATTTATGTATTTAAAAACATGGTCTTTGAGTCAGGGCATCAGCGATGGCCTTTCAAGGGCTCGGCAAAACCTCGACCCCCGGTTTTTTTTTGAAACATATTATACCATTTAAACGGGAGTAAAAAAAACTGGCCTAGGACCATCTCACTTTAAGACTTTGTTATACAATTGCTAGCGATTATGTTCGGCCGAATATCTCAGAATCGATTTTTCCTAACAATAAGACCGGGCCTCACTACCGGCTGACGCAATGACTAAAGAATCATGTTTTATTTTCAAATTACCTTTGTATGTCCCATTATTAAAAACCAATGAGTCAAAATAATTAGCGGCTACAGGATGGTTGAATAGAACTAGGAGAAACTCTTCGGACTCTAAAATCTTCTTCTTCAGAATCGCCTTGAACTCTTTCTCATCTGAATATTTAAATTTATTTTAATTTATTCAAGGAATTAAAAAAACTTTTACCTTCTCCTAGATTGTATTTGAGATGGATTACATCGATCAGAAATTGTAGCTGTTTTTGTTCCAGGGTATCTAATACCTGTTTCAATTCATCCAGTTCCTTTGGTTGCTCCAAATTGTAAATAAAAACAGCGCCGAGAGTAATGTAAATCAGGCAAAAGATGACAATCCCAAAATGGAAACCAAACGTCCCAAAAGGCTGCAAATAAACGCCTTACCATAAATGCCCCTTACCTTCAGAAACCTTTGTATTTGAGAGAATATTCGAGAATTGAGAGCCATAAATAAAAAGAGAATGTCATCTCCCGGAACATTCAAGTCATCAGAAATGCATTCCCCGTCTTGAGTCAGTTCATTTTATTACAATTAGGTATTTACAAGAGGATCTGTATATATTAAGAGCCTAAATTACAATGACAAGTTGTATTTGTATTCTAGATCTACAGTTGGCTTTATTTCTTGATCAAAGAAGGCGGGGGATCCGCGAAGATTCCGCCGTCTCCTTGCTGGTTGTTGTCATGGACAATCGACGCAAAACTGTTAACGAACTCTTCGTAGTCAATCTGAAATCCGATAGAAATAAAGTTATTGGGAAAGTGGATTGTGTAACAATCGAGTGCGCAATGCTTCGCATAATAAATAAAATTTTCTTACAAGGGAAGTACCCCACGTGCGACACTCAGATTTTCTTTAAATTTTGCACATGCCAGTAATAAGCCACATATCAATTCCTGAAAGTTTTAGCTCCCGCTTTGCAGGCGTTCCCGAAATATCAACGCCGCTGAGAGAATACGCTAAACGCGGAGACGGTAAAAGAGAAAAATACTTTTTGAACATAAAGAGTGCAGCAATAAGATCGCACCGTTCGTTCAGAAGCAAATCGCTAAAACGCTTTCCTCACATTTTTTAATAAAAAAAGGAGGACGACTTGACAAGGAAAGTACTTTTAGTGGGCTCCTACTTTTTGACGGGATATATTATATCTCAAAGAACCCGAAAATTGTGCTGATCAAGTATATAAGGATGGTGACAACAAATTAAATCGGGTTTCGTGGCCAGAAACCGCGATTCTTGTCTGTTAGGCTTCTAGACAAGAAACGTGTAATTCTTGTCTCAAATTGCGTAACGTTGCGCAATATGTATTGCGCAAATGTCTGCTCTCTCCCCGTGAAGATTTTTTTCTTTTTTCTCTGCTCAGACAAGAATTGCACATTTCTTGTCTAGAAGTCTACTCATTTGCGGACAGTGAGAAGTTTTTTGCGGACAACAAAAAATAGTTTTCCTCATAAAATTACACTGCTCCACGAAATGATAGACGCACCCTGTTTTTAGCGGTTATCTTCCTTGTACTAAATGATATCGAATAATGTTCAACAGATGAAATGTGACAAATTAAACGAGAAATCATGTCCCGTAGCAATTTTGGAACAACATTTTGTCTTGACTGAGATATGACAATTTTCGACTTTTTTGGGGTCCACAAAATGATAGACGCATTTAAGTAATTTTTTGTTTATTTAAAAGAATTTTGAGTCAACCTGCTCTTATTACACTTCCTCGTGTTCTCTGTAGTATTAGAAAGGTAATTACATTTATGTCCGCCCTACTTCATCGGCGCAGTGGCCTTATGAGCCATTTCCGACCTTGCACATGAGGTAAATATTCGGCTTGAAAAAAAAATTGAGTAACAACTTGGCTTTCGCCAAAAATCCATCTTAAACCATCATAGATTACTAGTAGCAAATATAAGACATAAAATAAACCAATACCGATTCGCTTGAAGTCATTTAATCGACCATTAAGTTACCGTATACCTTATACAGTAACCTTCAAAGGCTCTAAAAGTACAGAAGATTACTATCGATGGCAATTTTTTGCTCACAAGGGAATGGACTTTATGTGTAAATCGATTTTGGCTTGGGACCTAGTCAGATCGAAAGGTGTATGGTAGTCGATTATTCACTTGGGGGGAAATCTCTGCGCGGGGCTTCAAAGTCGAGAAAATCGGCTTCAAAGTTTGGAAATCAAAGGATAGGGATCCCGGAAAAGGAGCCATAAAAAGTGTGAAGCAGTGGCCGAGTGGTCAGTGCGGTCGCTTTTTGCGCAAAAGGTCGCAAGTTCGAATCTGCTTCCATTCATAACTTTTTTAGACAAAAACTTCTGTTAATTTTTTTCCGCTGAGCTCGATTATCGATGCAAGAAGTGTATTTTAAACGGAACCTTTCCATTTTCAGCGGCTTTGCACCTTCCCTTTACAGTTTTAGAGCGAAGGGCACACCGTCAACCTGGTGTATTCAAAAACAACTTTCCATTATGTTAACTTTTTTATCTATACCCCTTTTTTTAAATGTACTACCGGATTAGCACGAACAAAGAAAATGTAAAAACGATAAATGATGATTTGAGCTTGGAAAGACTCGAACCTGCAACCTTTTGCGCAAAAAGCGAGCGCACTGACCACTCGGCCACTGCTTCACACTTTTTATCGCTCGTTTTCCGGGATCCCTATCCTTTGATTTTCGTCCAAACTTTGAAGCCGATTTTCTCGACTTTGAAGCCCCGCGCAGAGATTTCCCCCCAAGTGAATAATCGACTACCATATACCTTTCGATATGACTAGGTCCCAAGCCAAAATCGATTTACACATAAAGTCCATTCCCTTGTCAGAAAATCAAACTCAGCATGTTAACAAACCTAAAACCGCAACTTATTGCCTGCTTAAATGTCATGATGATTGATAGATGATTGATTAAAAATAAACGTGTAAAAACAAGCCTATTTTTGGTAACTTTTTTTTGTCGAACGACGTTACCGACCAAATTTATTCTGTAACGGCTGATGATTAAAACATTACGTTTTCAGGCATGCTCAATTCGAATTTGCAAATTAAATTTTGTCATTCTCTTTATTCGCCTTGGTATTTCGGGGGTCTAAAAGGATTAAGGTAGCTACATGTTGAAGATGATATGCCAAGAAAATGCTCGGGATCCCTGAGCAAGCCGGTTTTTTTTTATTAGTGAGATCTACACGTATAATGTGATAGTATTCGCTAGTTTTTTCGCCCAAGAAAACAGCATAACCTACAGTTTTTTTCAAGCCGAATATTTACCTCATGTGCAAGGTCGGAAATGGCTCATAAGGCCACTGCGTCGATGAAGTAGGGCGGACATAAAGGTAATTACCTTTCTAATACTACAGAGAACACGAGGAAGTGTAATAAAAGCAGGTTGACTCAAAATTCTTTTAAATAAACAAAAAATTACTTAAATGCGTCTATCATTTTGTGGACCCCAAAAAAGTCGAAAATTGTCATATCTCAGTCAAGACAAAATGTTGTTCCAAAATTGCTACGGGACATGATTTCTCGTTTAATTTGTCACATTTCATCTGTTGAACATTATTCGATATCATTTAGTACAAGGAAGATAACCGCTAAAAACAGGGTGCGTCTATCATTTCGTGGAGCAGTGTATTTTCCTTGTGAGAAACACAACACGAAAAAGGGTTGAGTCCGAACCCTCCCCCTTTTTGAACACTCCCCCTTCAATGCACATCCCCTTTTTTTAAAACTCCCCCTCATTTTGAAAATTGAAAAAATTAATGAATTTGTGCCAAGTCTCATCAAAATCTGAGCGTAGCGCTTGGGGTATTCCCTGACAGTTTGAGCCCGTTCCAATTTTATAAAAATGCTTATAAAATGTTTATTCAGCACTGACCTGTTCGTCGCCGTCCTTATCAACTTCCCTGATGATTTCATCGACCTCTTCCTCACTGAATTTCTCCCCCATAGTGGTCATGAAATGTTTGAATTCCTGAGCCGTAATGAATCCGTTTCCATCCTTGTCGAACACCTTGAAGGCCAACCGAATCAGACTCTCGTCCGTCTCTTTATTCGTGGCTTTCATCATTTTGCAGAACTCTCCGAAGTCGATCTTCCCATTCCCATCCACATCATATTCATTTACAATATTGAGGAGTTCCTCTTCGGTCGGATTCAGACCGAGTGTCCGCATGGCCACACCCAGCTCCTTGATGTTCATGGTTCCATTCTTGTCCTTGTCGAACATGTCGAAGGCCTGGGCGAACTCCTGTAGTTCTTCGGCAGTGAATTCTTCTTCTCCATTCGAAGATGAAGTAAATTGTCGATGCATTCCTCGGTCTGGTTCGAGGCCTCTGAGGACGTTGGTATGCCCTGAAAAAGGATGGATTACTAGTATTAGGCCGAGATTGATTCCATGCGAGCAGTTTCCCGGACTCAAAACGTCCCTTCGACACTCGAAAGTATTGGAAATGGGTCAAGTTAGTCTTCATATTTCACAACTTTACTACGCACCGTACATAATTTTTTGTCTATCTGCTCCTAGCCAGCTAAGTGTCAAAATGTTTGGCGTTCTTAAGACGAGCATCTTTCGTGCTCGCTTTCTTCCGCCCAACTTACCTTCGAGACTGTTCTGGATGGACTGACTTGAGGTGCTGGGGTCGGATTTGAAGACGCCGACCAAACGAACACAAACGCCTTTGGCCGCCACCGGTTCTGCGGCTGGCTCTGAGACGTTGTTACCAAGGTGTACAGGTGGTAAGACTCTGAAAAATATCAATTATTAACCATCTCGGACAATAAAAGTCTTGTAGAAAAAATGGAACCAAGTCTACAGTAACAATGCAGAAGAATAAATTAGCAGTTGAATAGAGAACTATAATATTCTAACCGGGGAATCTGCTGATCTACCTTCTAAATGCCCGATGCCGACTCCGGCTTCGACTCTGTAGCGGGGTCAACGGTACGGATTCTGGAGTGGAAAGGACGAATTTCCTCATCCCATCTGATTCTGTTTATGGCCTGATTGAACTTAAATTCCCGAAGCCTTAACTCGATAGAGTAAACTCGAGGCGCCCGCCCTCCTTTTATTAACTTATATCGAATTTATTGGGAGAACAGCCTCCGGATAAAAGTCAGTCCTTTTAAGGATATAACTCTAAAACCTCCGAAATCAAATCATTGCACGAGGGAATGTTTTAAAACAAGCATAGGCAAGATGAATCAGACTATTGTACCTCATCAGATGAAATATTTTAATTTAGCACTGTGACCGCGCTAAACGACAAATTATATTATGATTGATATTAGACAAAAATTAATTAAAGAATGTTATGAATGCGAGCAATTAGCTTCAGGTTTAGCGTCTTCGCCGCTCCAAATAAATGTCAGACTTGCCCAAAAACTGTTTTCCTGGCGATATAAACAATAAAGGCTACATAATGTCCCGGGAAAGTTGTGATGCCCTGAGGGCATACCGTAATTAAGAGTTGAGGTCGCCCCTTGGGACCTCTAAAACCCTTATTTTTAGGGTTTGGTGAGAACGGGGAAGAAAAAAGAGTTCGCGGGAAACGGAAGAAGTCAGGCCCTGAGGCAACTTCTCACGCTACCTTGGCGCCCAGATCAGAGGCGAAAAGACCGGGCCAAGGGAGTTGGCCTCCGTTTCGCGTTTAATATTTAAGACATTTCAGAGTCAGATTCAAACATTCCAGCGACTTCAGAAATCAAACATAATGGCCATGGAGAATATTGGGCCAAGTTCAGAGGATGAAGCCGATCACAAGATATCTTTGATGGGTCAAATAGAAACAGGAGAAGAAAAATTGTTACCTTTGAGCAGCTTCATTGAGAGGTAGATGGCCGGAGACACTGGCAATCAGATGGTACGGGTCATCGGAGCGTCGTCGTCGGCCGGAAGCGCGGCGCAAGGCCCGCATCAGCCGGCGCCGCAGGCCCGGAATGGCGAGGCCAAAGCGGAAACCGGTCGATTAACGTTGGTTGGGGGACACTCTGAAAACCCTTTCGTTTAATATTATAATGAATACACGCGCAAAAACGGTCTCAGAGCGGATGCAAAAAGAGGGCCAGACGACCTTAACCCGAATTAGGCAGATGTAAGGCGAGATTACAGCGCCGTTGGATGCATTTACAATGCCTCAACCAAGCGTTGAGTACTCAGGCTGAAGTCGTTCAAACTCAAAAACGCACTTCACGCGACGAGAGATTAATTTCCAGTGAAGGCGGCCCAAAAAAACGCTTTTGGCGCCAAAGAAGGCTCGGCCGCGGGAAGGCGGCCGTTGAGTGCTTGCCGGCTTAGTAATTAGTAAAAGCCGACACGGTGCCGTGCCTCAAATTGACAAAGAAAAGTTTGGGACGAGTCAAATAACACGAGCGAGGAATTCCGGTCTCATTTGCCTACAAATTAGAGGTCGCCTTCTCTGCGGATGCCAAACTTAGACGCCTTTTCGCCCGCTCATCCAGCCCCCCTCTCTTTCCAGTCCCAAGGATTCGAATTCGTGGAGGAGCGAAAGAGCACGATAGAGCACGGTCGAGTCATGAAGGGATCTGGTGTTCGGACGGCCGTAAACAGAAGGCCCTAAAGCCAAAACCAGGCCAAGTGCGAAGGATCCGTCTAATAAGTTCGCCCAACTTCTACATTTTCTTCATTTTTATATTATGCAGTAGTTGTTCTCTTGAATTGCTTGGCCCCGTTTGTCTCGCCCGGTTTCGGCCGATGTCCTCTCTCTGGCTTTATTTGGGCCGCCTCGGAAGGTCCGTCTTTTCGGCCGTCTCTAGCCTCCTCCCCCTCCTCACTTTCCGCGCCAAATTCTCAGGAGATGTCGGCTTCGGTGGGAACGGCATCGGATCTCTTCTTGGCCCGATCTTCTCCTTCTTCCTTTCCCTTTGATTCCATTGCGTAATCTCCACGTTCTTTTTTCTTGTTGTTAAGCAAAACGTCGAACGCCCGGAGGGCTTGTTTTGTCGGCGCTTCATTGTTTCTTTTTGCATCCTTTTTATCAGCAGAATCTTCGCGTGAACAGGTCTACAACAACATCGCCATACAACGCAAAAAAAGATGATCGCAAACACGTTACTTATGACATTAATCTACTGACCGAATGTCATCAAACCCCTGTGCCTCATTACTTATTTTATGCGCTTTCTTCATTAAACAAAGACACGAAAACTCTTCCTCTAATTACGCAATGAAACTGAATGAAACTTGGATCTGCGGTAATTGTATAAAGAAAAAAAGGATTGCCATAAAAGTAAAGACAGCGCAAGAAGTAATAAAGGCTAACAAGTTTGCGCATCCAAATTGTTTTCGGATCCCCAGCAATTAACGGTCACGGTCAAGGAAAGGGAAAGTTTTGAACCGTTAAAAAACACAAAGAAGAATTGTTTTACCTCCATCGATCGAAAAAGTTGGAAAAACTGGTTATTCTGACCTCTAAAGAACAAGGGATTGTGCAACAGCCAAGTGTGACATTTTTTTTATTCTTATTCAAGAAAAAATTTATTTACTGATCAGGTTGTATCAGAAAAGTTTGTAAAATAAAAACAGTACCATGCCCTAAGGCTATAGTAAGCATACACAAATCAGAACGCGCCTTATTTGGGGCGCCTGGACACGACGTTCTGGTTAATATCTTAATGGCCGCAGTTAATTTTTTCGCTTTGATCTCATGTATGTTTTTCAAAGATTCTTGACGCAATTGATGCCTCTTAATTTACCGTACGGAAGTTGCGTGTTTTTAATTGTCTGAAGAGCGAATCTGATCTTTACGAGTAAGTTGGGAGTCGATTAGTTCGAATCCGTCTGACCAAGTGTAACCGCCTCCTCTTAATTACCATAATGTCTGATCAAAGGTTCCGACTTTTCTTGGGTCTTAAGTCGACATCAGAAAAAGGAAGAACATGTTCGAAAAAAACAGGAGATCGAATGTCAGACATGACATAATCAGATCAGAAATCGCTTTCATTGTCTCCAAGTTGCGCCTGATGACACGGAACGGTCGTCAGGTCCAACCTTATCAACGACATCTCGGATACGACTAGAGAGACGGAAAAGGAGGCCGAAACTGTATCAGATATTGCATAACAAACAAGTTTTCGGTATGTCGAGGAATGAAGTCAAAGAAAAAAAGAGACGACCCCCAAATCTCTGCTGCGCGGGATGGTAGCGGCGAACAACAGGATATCACTCGAACTCTTTTTTACAGATCCAAAAAAACAAGATTCACGCACTCACGCCTCTTCCCTCCTTCTACGTCGACGTCTCTTCAGACCTCCCCCGCACCGAGCCATTGGGCCCGCTGATTTAAAAGTGAACTGCCTCCCTGAATCTCCATCAAGTCTTCAGATTCCACGCTCCAAGCAACGGTCACATTTCCGTCGCTTACAAAAGCTTTCCTTCTTTACCGTTTTCTTCATCGAGTTTACTTTTACCTCGAGTAGTACTTATCGATTGTGTTTAGATGCAGCAAGTGGTGCTCCTTTCTTTACTTTTGGTCCTGCCTACCCAGGCTTTCTTGTTCCCAAGTGCCGGAGGCGGCGGCGGATGCTGGTGAGTATTGCCTTTACACGGTTTACCGTAGTTACATTATTGTACAAAAAACTAGCATGTATTTTTAGCCCTCCCCCACCACCACCATGCTGCCCTCCTCCCCCACCACCTAGTAAGTTTTTTCCTTACAATTCCTGCCTAGCATTACTGTTTTCTTACTGTCATTTTTTATTTTCAGGCTGTGGCGGCGGATGTGCCCCACCCCCACCACCACGTGAGTTCTAATGCAACTACAGGCACTTTTGAGGCTACATTGACCCTAACCAGCTTATGTTGATCCTTAAATATTTTTATATTCCTTGATTTCAGCATGCGGCGGAGGATGTGGAGCTCCACCACCCCCACCACCACCCCCACCAAGTAAGTTGAAGTCCGCCTTTTGTCTAAATTGTTTTCAAACAGAGAAGAATTCCATCTATAGTTAGAAGTAAACAATTTACATTAGTGAGCGTATTTTAGGCTGCGGTTGCGCTCCCCCACCACCTGCTCCAAGTAAGTTTTAGGCCGAGACGTAACCCAGACTTACCGTGTAACCCAGGGATTAACTTTCTCACCAATAATTACTCCCTTTTTTCCCACTGACCACTAAATTTGCTAGTGCATCTATAATTTATAACTACCGCAACAATCACCATAAATTACCGACAACGCAACACTTAGTTGTTAACTCCACGAACTTAAACCAAATTAATCAGAATAACATTTTGATGATTTTTTAACGGTGCATACACATCATTTTTAGGCTGTGGAGGAGGATGCGGAGGCGGTGCTCCATCCGGAGGATACGCCACTGCCCCAGCTGGCCCAATCGGAGGCGGATACGCCACTGCTCCCGCTGGCCCCATCGGAGGAGGATATGCCGCAGGACCCATCGGAGGAGGAGGCGGCGGATACGCCACTGCTGGAGCCGGTGCTGGCCCAATCGGAGGAGGATACGCGGCCCCATCTGGCGGAGGTTCGTATGCCGCTCCCGCCGCCGGAGGATATTCTGCCCCCGCCGCCGGAGGTTACTCCGCTCCAGCCGCTGGAGGATACTCAGCTCCAGCTGCCGGAGGATACAGCGCTCCAGCCGCCGGAGGATATTCTGCCCCAGCCGCCGGAGGATACTCCGCCCCTGCCGCCGCCGGAGGTTACTCCGCTCCAGCCGCCGGAGGATACTCTGCCCCAGCTGCCGGAGGATACAGCGCCCCGGCGCCAGCTGCCCAGGGATACAGCGCCCCAGCTGCCCCACCTCCACCACCACCCCCACCACCACCACCACCAGCCCCAGCTCCAGCCCCTGCTCCAGCTCCAGCCCCAGCTCCAGCCCAGACCTACAACCAAGGACAAGAAGCCGGATCTTCGGACTACCAAGGACAGGACAACGGATCATCCGACTACCAGGATGCCCCAGCCCAGACCGGAGGACAGACCTCCGGCAACTACAAGGGCCGTGCCCGCCGTTACTTCCAGAAGAGAGTCGTCAAGAAAGCGCACTAGACATCTCTTTAGGTCCCCGCATATGTTGTACAAAATGGAAATAAATCGATTTTGAGTTTAATTGTGGTACCGGTTTGAGAAGTTTATGTACAAAAGTGAAAATCTAATAGAAAGGTTCAAGCAGTCCGATTCCTGAGGATGAGCAGTAGTTTGGGAAGGGAGCGATGATCTTCATCATCTCGTTTGACCTGCTGTTGCGAAGTTCTGAACAGTTTCCCGAGCCGAAGTAACGAGAGATTGTGCACTCTTTTGCCCATCCGATGTTTTTCTTCGAGCTTAAAGAATAATGTTACATTTAAATCATAACTGGAACAAGTTTTGGCTTATGATATCCAAATTTAATTGGATTACAAGTCCAAAGAATTCCCTCCACTCGAAGGTCCCACTTCAACAACTTACTCTGTTCGCGAGGGCTGATGTTTGCATGAGCTTGCGATGGAAATGGAAGGAGGAGATAACATTTATGATTAGGGCGATAATGGCCAACACACGGAGCAGACGCATCTTTGCCGGAGGGCGAATAAGTGTTATGAAAAGTGGAAACCCAATTCGTTGCCCATTCTCACTCGACTTTCTGGGCGGAGACTTTTGTTTCTTCTTCCACCCCGAAGGGCACCAGGAAATCAAATGGGGGAGATATACAGTGCAAACACCCAATTAACATTAATTTAATCCCCCTATTAAGAATCTGCAGCTGATAATTACTCCGAGATTACTGGTCGGTCTGGAAAGAAGAGGAGGGGGGACGAGTAAAAGGAGGTAAACCATATTAAAGACAATTAATCAGATCAGTTATTTGCAGAATAAGGAATGAATACCTGCTCTAGAAAACTTAAGGATTTATTTAATTACTTATTATTACTCATTAAGAGATTACAATTTACTCAAAAACAAATTTTGCATTGAAACATTTGTACAAATATGATAAAAAACACGCGATCCGTGAGGGTGCCTCGGGCGATGATTAATATTTATGCATAAATTGATGCCTGAAGGTCCAGTTTTCAGAAGTGAGCTAACTCTGGACACTTTAATATTATAATTGGACGTCCAAATTGGATCCCACCCTCAAGCGGCTTCTCTTTTTTCAAATTGGCAGACGGAAAACATTGCTTTGAATTTTATATATTTGAAGGTCTCTAAGACATAGACATATCCTCCGTGTTTGTAGTGCATCATCGGATTAAGCCAGTGGAACTCCAGAATCCTTGACGAAATTTAAGCCGATGACGTCATCAATGACCATCTTTTGACGTCTTTTTACACATTAACTCGTCAAAAGCAAAGAATTTATTTTATATGGAGATTATACAAACTTAACATAAATAGACAGTAAATAATTCCATCATTCAAATCGAATTCCATCATCAGAGAGCTGAAAATAAAAACAACATTAAAATGGGGCCACACTCCCGTTTAATCTCGTTGCTGGATCTCATTGTTTCTCAAAAATAAATGGCCTGGAACAAAAGTAATGTCGGTAGTTTCCTCAAACACTTTCCTATCGTTTGATGTTTATAAAATAAGCTAATCTCTGGCCGATAACAAAACCTATATTATAAAACACTAAAACAAAATAAAGTGGGAAATAATATTAATAACTACATGCACTAATAACAGTATTGTGAACGGTTATAACCCATTAATTTAAACCTATTTTTGGAAGGGTTTGAAATTAAGGTCTATTTAGGGAACGCACCGTTGAAGAAACCATTATTCACCCTGTCCTTGATTCTTTTCACGAGACACGAATAGCCAATCAGAAGGATGACCAGAGTAATCAAGCAGAAGATCACAAAAATCCACACCAGTTGTTCCCGATCCAACGATAAACTGGATGAATGCAGCAATAGGGAGTTGATATCCAAGCATCTCTAAAAAAATAATTAAAAGGAAAACAGGATAAACAAAAACAGAAAAAATTACTTACATCAACATCCACAACTCTGAACTTGGAATAGAGGTCGATCAGTCGGGGATTGGCATTAGACGTGGTGCTCAGCCAGTCCAGACTCGTTTCATAGTCCAATATCTTATCATGTTCGGTCAAAAAGAAACAAATCTTGGTTCTGGAAAAGGAAGTGCAATGTAATCCTATATGCGCAAGTACAATATCTCATTAATAAACGCCCTTTTGAGTGTTTACCTTCTCTTTTGGTTAAACTCTGTCAGTCCACAAGACCTCCCATTGATTACTGTAACATTCCGTCTCCTCTGGCCACTCAGAATGCCTTCCAATTGATGTTTGAAAGCCTCCAGATTGAGTCCCACATTGTCTACATTGTTGTCAAATACGAATCTGAGCTGATTGTAGTCTCTGATGTAATAAACGAGATGTTGGACAGGTGCATTTACATTATCGGGGCCTTGAATGTTAACATTGACCAGATATGTGCCCTCTGGCTCATCGATAATTCGAGGATCGAAAAGGAGAATTCCTGAGGCTGAATCCACCGAAATAAGGTCATTCACATCTACTGGAGCCCCTTTCAATCTAAAAACATTTTGTATATTTTTGATGACATTAACTAACGGAAAAAATCTGGTGGACTTGAGGTCATAATGACGGTCGGGAAATGGTTCCATTATCTTCAAGTCAATCGATTGAAGCTTTAAATCAGAATTCAGAAGAATAGAAGTGGAAGATGAAATGGAATCGGCTCGTTTGATGGTCACTTTAATCATGGCCTTATTATGTTTCTCATAATAAAGACTTCCAATGTCATCATCCAACTTAATTGAGCTAAATTATTATTTTTAAACATCATTGAACTGTAATTGCAACGTACCTTGCATAAACACATATTTTGGAGCCATCAGGGATGTTGTTCTTGACGATTAATCTTCCGGAGATCTCATTAATCTCTGCGAACTTTGTATTCCCACATTTGGGCAGTAAGTAATAGTAGATAGAGTTGAAGGGAGGGAGATCATCGTCTTCGGCTCGTAGTGCAATGGTTTCATTGGACAGATAGATTATCCTTTCCGCCTAAAAAGCCGTATTTAAGGATTGCCTGAGGCAATTTATCAAACAATTCTCCTTTAATTAGTCCTTTTATCGTCGGCATTAGAAAAAGCAGCACGATGTAATTAAACCCACCTCGGATAGAGAAAATTGAGGTCGATGGTCGTCCACATTGATTACTGTAACATTGAGAAGACGGTAAGCGGGAGAGACTCCACTTAACAAACTTTTTACTTCCAATTTAATCTAAAAAAATATTATTAGTATTTATTTATCACGGTTTCGTCCATGATTTTGTGCAATTTGATCCTGCAAAAGATAAACATAAGATTTATATTTTTATTAATTAATTAAATTCTTGAGGCACTAAGCGTTGAAAGACGGCCGGAATTAATTGGCAATGATCCTCAAGGCTTCCTGGCTTCATTCTCGTAATCCCAATCATCTCCATGCATCCGGAGAACGGCCATATTCAAGGCCACAATACTCTTCTTGGCCAGAATATCCCTCGATGGCCGATACATAAACTTGGTTGGGGCCGGTTGAAGAGGGGTACGGTAATTTCCGAGGTTTTCCAACGTCCAATATGACTTGTGAGTGTCCATAGTTGTGTAATCCTGCAGGTTGAGGAGGGCTGGGTAATATCGTCGATAGATTCCTTCCGAAAAGTTTTTATCATCGCTTGCCCCTACCTTGGAAAGCGTCTAGACCCGCATCCCGGGCACAATTCTCTTCGGTTTTGGAGTCGATTAAATTTAATGGAATGACACCTCCATTCTCATCGTACAGTCTGAGAACTCGGGAATTGTTTTGCCTTAGGACACGATGCAATTCCTCTTTCATTCTGGAATTATGCGAAAACAAAGGAGAACAGAAACATCTGGAGAAGACATTTAGGCTCAAATTACTGACTAACGACACCAAAGAAGGGGACTTTCTAATATTCCGTTCTAAGAATCGAGGAAACGAAACCTTATGCAACTGTCTGTTAATCCCTCAGGGACCAGATATAATATCATGCAAGATCCTTGCGTAATCTCACCTTATCTCGACCACTCGACTTCGAATCTTTTCGGGAACAGACCAGTGGACTTCACAAGCGACCGCCAGAAGTCTCGAGTATGTTCCCAGCCAGTGGCTCATCTCCTTCACGATATCCCCCAGGATCGGGGCGATCCCTCCCTTCGCTGATTCGAACACCGCCGTCACATATTTGGTCTCCTGCACTTGTTTTCTGAGGAATGCAACCATTTGTTCCGAGTTATCTGAGGACAATAGTCTTCGAAGATTGGACTCTGACTTGGCAAGGAATCTCTGTCGGTCCAGGGGATGGGAATGATGAACCGGTGATCCTGGGGATGAGAATCTAGATGGTGGTAATGATGGAGATCGAGGATTGGATTTGGAAGTCGGCCCTGATGTCACGTTAGTGGGGGATACCTGCACTTCCAGTGGACTGTTGTATCCACTCTCCTGATTCGGTTTCTGATAGTTCTCTGGTTTTTTCCCCCATAATGCCTGAGGCGACATTCCTCCATACTGATCGTATTCGACGGAAGTCATTACTAAATCAGGGTTATCCACCGGGAAATGGGTGACCAGAGGTTGTGGAGGATCTCGGCTTTCCTTGTCCACGATCTGTTTGTGAGTGATGGACCTTGTTCTCTGCACAATCAACTTCTTCTTCGGGTCCACCACTATTGTGTCCTTTCGAATCAACGGTTCTTTTTTCTTCTCTTTCTTGCTAGGCTCCGTATTCTTATCCGTTTTCTCCTCCTTTGTTGTCACCGTATCCGTCGGTTTGATTGTCTTCCTTGCTGATCTTCCTCTAAATGATTTTCTGAACCTCTTCATCCAATGCATTGTATCTTCTTCAGAGAGTGGTTGATTGGGATCTGTTTGAAGAGGAAGATCCTAAAAGTTGATACTCAATAAAAACGGCCTACTGTGTCTCCAGCTGTGTTTTCTTTCTTAAAGGACCTTCTAGTTGATGGAGAACGGGCCAAGGGAAGTTCCGGATAAGTGACGACTCCTGAAGACCTGGTATGGGCTGATCGGCTTCGAGGTTTCGGGATTGCCGGAGGCTGTTTGGTCGAAGAACGTCCGACCAGACCGCGGAGAAAGTTTTCGACTCGACCCTCGAGGCTCATAACTCCAAAAAATGACGATTAAAAAACAAAAAACACAAATCCCGCACACTTCGCAAGTTCGTAGTAAAAGAGCTTTACGAGCCCTGATTGAAACAAAAACTGAGTAATTGGAGTGAGTTTTGGGGAGGGGGATTAACCCCGTAAAGGGGGAAGCCGACAGTTAATTGGGCTGGATCAAGTGCAAGGTCGGAGCTCCATTCATAAAATTTGAATAAACATTTGACAGACATGAGAGAGTCAGCGCGACCTCTGAACAACTTTAAGCCTGTTTGCAAACATGGACCGCTTCTGGGCGTTGCAAAACATTGCTCTCACTTACCGTGAAATGAGCCGACTCCTCGTAATCCAGCGCTCTCATCAACGACATAGCTCCCGTCTCTTCGTCCATCGTGAAATAACTGGAGAAGTCGTCGGATTCAGACTGGAAAAAATGTATAAGTCCCCGCAATTATTTCAACAATCAAAAATTCATATTATAGACTTACAGAAATATAATATTTGAGTAGGGCATCGTCAACTTCGATCCCTGTTAACACGGCCTTGGCCTTAAAAACAGTTGTCATTGTTTTCTCATCCTCCGAAATCTCGATGACGCAATTTTCGGAAGGAGAAATGATCTGAATTTGTTTGTTTAAGGAGTCGATTAGAGTGTGAACAAAAACAGGGATGTCAGTAATGGCACTCTTGGCAGGAGACCCGTGGTCAGCGACCTTCACTGATAATTGGTAAGGCTCTTCCCGAGAAAATTTCTCCAGAGAATCCGATGTTTTTATGATCCCATTCTCATGGTCAATATCCAAGAATGGTAAAACTGGTTCCAACATTGTGTATTCCAATCTTCCATAGTCCCCATCATCCAAATCCGAGGCTTTTATTAATCCCACGGTTACATTTTTATCCCAGTGATCGTAAACATTAATGACCTTGGGTGATGACGTCATTACTGGATAATTATCATTCTGATTGATTACATTTATTTGCAACTAAATTCGAATTATTTATAGTTCTTTTCTCGACTTACAACTCCAATTTTGCTGTTTTCTTCTTGATCGGATACTGTAACAAATAATGTAATTGATTTAATTGTCTCGTAGTCCACATCCACCTTATGATTGGTCTTGATGATGACTTCAGACTCGGTTAATTGGATCTCAAAGAAGTCCGAATCTTCTCCCGAGATCTTGTACATGTATTTGAGAGCATCTTTAATCGAATAAATTGCAATTACTGTATTCGGTCCCATATTTTCTTCAATGGAAACAGACTTCAAAGGAAGGTCAAAGGGTAATATTTTTGACGCTGGGGCGATTCCGATCATGGCCAGTGTTCTTTCTCCATTCCTCCAACATTCTAATAGTATTTGTTGTTCTTCAGTTATTCTTGAAACCACACTAAGACAGCCTTAAAAAATTAAATTGACATTAAGTTAAATGTAATAATACAGGGTGGTCCAGCTAAGTTCGCGGATGTAAAATGCTTATAACTTTTTATAGGATTGTTCAATTTTTATGAGCGATAGCTCATTTTATTCCTTAGTAGTTGCCATTTTGTTTAAAAAAAGACCATTAAAAACGATCAATCCTACGTCGAGTTATGACCCTTCAAAGTCAAACATGCTTTTTCACGTAAATTTTTAAAAAAATTTAATTTTCAAAAATTTTTGAATTGCGGTGTCACCGCTCGCTGTTACCGGGAAATGATGGTGAACAGAGTGATCCCAGCTATTCAAAATTGGCCCAATTTTGCCTGTCTTTGGTATTCTTCCATAATTTGGCGCCTCATTTGTTCATCCTGGCGAACTCGTTCCACCTCTTCTTCGATTACGCGCTTCAATTCCACGTCTTTGGGCGCCAATCCCTGATGAAAATCCGCTGTTTTAAGAACCCCCAAATGGAGAAATCTAGCGAAGTTAGATCAGGTGAACGTGGGGACCAAGCAATAGGAGCTGGTTGCCGCGCAGATCCCCGGCCCATCCAACGACCTGGAAAAACCTGGTCAAGGAGTGACCTGGTCAAGAGAGAATTCAAAAATTTTTGAAAATTAAATTTTTTTAAAAATTTACGTCAAAAAGCATGTTTGACTTTGAAGGGTCATAACTCGACGTAGGATTGATCGTTTGTAATGGTCTTTTTTTTAAACAAAATGGCAACTACTAAGGAATAAAATGAGCTATTGCTCATAAAAATTGAACAATCCTATAAAAAGTTATAAGCATTTTACATCCGCGAACTTAGCTGGACCACCCGTACATAGATTGAGCAAGTCTAAAGATGAGACAATTACCATTGGTTTTGTTATAAATCACATTCTGATCGGCTTCTAATGTCACGTTATCAATGACGTTGCCATTGTGAATGCATGGAAGACAGATAAAATCGTGGCCTTCATCAGTTATTTTGACTTTTATTTCATCGAAATCTGATGTCCAGGGATATCCAAAGACAGGTTTCTGATGGACTTCTGAATTCTTATTCAGCAGAGAGTACACTACTGAAAAGAATAATCAAGACTGACATCAAACAAAATTTTTTTTCTTACCTGCGCTATTATCCGAACTGATAAAGAAAATTTGCATAAAAAGGAATGACTTTAGCATGTCATTGGAGATATACATCTCGCCCTGAGGGTCTCCATTGTAGCTCCCGTTGGATACGACCACTTCCCGTTGATTGTGGGTGTATCCGACAATCTTCCGAGTCTTTAATCCTTTCTCTTTTTTAAACTTTATGCCATCTAAAAAGTAACAAAGTTGTGAGCCTTACTTACCACTATTGTAATACAACACTCGTGATTTTGGAACTTGAGATGTTTTAACTTTTTCCGCTTCGTATTGTAGGGTTACTGTAGCTTCGTCAAGTACTCTCCCGGTCTTCTTATTATAAGCAACAACTTTAAAATTTACATTCTGATCTTCTCTAAAATAATGTTTTTAAAAGTATTCCAATCTTTTCTTACTCTGGTACATTGGCTACGGTAATTTCTCCCGTCTTCGTATTCAAATTGATCCAGTGATTGGAACCCCTTATCACGTATCTGACTCCCTTTTGATGTTTTCCCTTAGTCTTTATATTAACTATCGTCTGTCCTCGATGAATTAGCTGGTCTTTTAAATTAATCGAATACTTTTTCTGCTCAAATTCAATCTTCTTCTCGGTACTTGAGGTTACGGTAATTTTTGTTCGTTGTTTTCCAGACTGTTGACTTAAAATAATGTCGATGACATAAGTTCCAGCCGGGATGTCGTCGGTTAACTTCAAATTGTGGAGCCTCCGCGTCAACTTTTCGATCTCAAAATATTTGGAGCCCTTTCCCTCCAATTTCACATCAAATTTGGGTATGGAATTTCTTCTGAGATTGTTTACAATGAAGTTAAATGGAGTGATTAGATGCCCATTCTTAACTGTGAGCTCTTTACGAGACGTTTCGATATAACATTCGTCAGCCAATGTGGACTCGATTTTGATGGCAATAGAGGCAGGTTTCGAGGTTCTTCCAGCTAAAAAATGTTTTATTACTACTCGCGCTCGAAAGTGCGGACAATTTTCGCACCGTGCGAAATTTCGGAGTTTCGATGTCGCTCGCGCAAATTCGACTTTGTCGCGCGCGACAAAAAAGTGCACGTCGCTAGTGCAAAAACTTTCATTGTTAAATTACTTGTTTTGTTCGTTGTAGTTGGGAAAATCAAGAATATCACCCCAAACGTGATTAAGTCAATGAATAAATTGCAAACGACTTCATACTGGTGCTATATTGGACTAAAAAAAAGTTAAAAAATAAACCTCAATTCTTCAAAAAGTCCTTTTTCCCAAGTCCCGAAGCGAAAACATTTCAAAAAATTTTCAAATCCACCAAAAAATTTTTCCCAGTCCCGAAGCGAAAATATTAAACGGTATCGTTGACCCGAAATGTCGTTGACCCGAAGTGTCGCGACCCGAGTTGTCCCTGACCCGAAATGTCGGGACGCGGAAAAAAGTCTACGCACTTTCTGGAACGACTAGTAGTGTACTGCCCAACACAAAAAGTCCTGAAAATTTTGCATCGTACAAAAAAAACAAAACTACATTGTGCAAAAGGTGTGTTTGGGTCAGATGCAGTATCACTGAAATTACTTTACACTTACTTTGATCAACGGCCATTGCCAAGAAATGGTACTCCTTTTCCTGATCGAAACATTTCTCCGCCATTCCACAGTCAATAATCAACACTCCGTTCTCAAGTTTGAAGCTAAAATAACATTCGTTTTTTCTCAATTTTATCATACTTCGAGCTCCCTTCCCCTAGCAGAGAATACTGTATGTTCTGAGATGAATCTGGATCCGAAGCCTTGATCTCTCCGATCTCCACATTATTGCCATAAGCGGTATTGATAACAAACAAATAATGTTCCTTTTCGAAGACGGGAGCCTGATCGGATTCATCAACCTTCTCGGCCTTCAGAATCACTGACTTTTGACTGATTTCCTTCCATTTGCCTCTCAATCGAGCATTTAATTTGAACGTTAATTCAGACGGTTTAACTTCGAAATCGAGCAAATTAGCATCTAAAACGACCAATTGGACTGGCTCCCCTGGAGAGACAATCTGAGGCCGAGGAGCAAAGAGATCACTGGGCTCGATGGACAGTTCAATGTAATCCTGCACAGTGGAACGATCCTTTAAGTGGACTTGGATATCGATGTTAGGAATTTTAGTAAAACGAGGGAGACTTTCGGAGATGGAGAAGATCCCATCCTTGGCTCCGTTAACCAAAATCTCCAATTCTAAAAAATCAATTTTACACTACCCCTAACAAGGGCTCGGCAAAACCTCGTCCCCTGGTTTCTTCTTGAAACATACACCATTTGAAAGAGCGCAAAAAACTGGTCTAGGATCACCTTTAATTAGCTGCTAAGATTCTCTTACATACTAGCTAGCGAGCATTTTTAAGTTCTAAGCCAGTCTCACCCTTTTTTCAAGAAAACAAAAGAAATCGATTTCAAAAGCACGGAGAGGCAGTGCTTCGGTGGCCTAGTGGGGTAAGGCGCTCTACAAGGGGGACCTGCGGACCAGGTTCGAATCCTCTTTTGAATTTTCGGATTTTTTTGGCTATTATGCAATGAAGAAGGCTAACATGTAGTCTTTAATTTTAAATTGATCTTTGGGATGCCCTAGATTAGTTTTACTAGAAAAATCGACAGGTTTTTTAATTTTTTGTGATATAAGCGTCTTTGACCTTGCAGTGGGCACCCAAGATGGTTGAAACTTTCAACGGCTTTAGTATTTTTTGCCAGGAATGCCCATTTACGGACAGTACGTGAAAAACGAGCCTGAAAACGGTATACATGTTTGAAACCTCCTAGTATGTCTCGGGTTACAAGACCTAAAGCATCGCCTAATCACTCGTTGAGGGCATCGACCTGAGAGTTTCAAGCTCGGAAAAAACTTTATGTTTTTTGATCGTAATTGAAGCGTCCAATGTCATAGGTGACTAATATTTGTATGGAAAGTGATTATTCGATCTCGTTGGCGTCTCAGAAGAAAAGGTTCCCAAAGTCTAACTGGGAATTTTGAAAAAAAGTTCGCTAGCTGGCACGTAAGTGAATCTTAGCAGCTAATTAAAGGCGATCCTAGACCAATTTTTTGCGCTCTTTCAAATGGTGTATGTTTCAAGAAGAAACCAGGGGACGAGGTTTTGCCGAGCCCTTGTAAGAGAAAAATGCTGATTACCAGGCGGGCCTTGTTTTAGATTCTCTGGTACTTTCCCACTTCCAACGATATCATCCGAATATTCTTCGCCTTCGGCCAGTTCCAAAGAGCCCGGACGAATTGAAAGAAACTCGATCCCAGTGGCTGGAATCACTTCGATCAAAAGCTTTGCTTTGTTCTCCATTCCCCGTTGAGTTGCCTGTCTATATATTAATCAATGTGATGTCACGTACCGTAATCCACAAAGAATAAGAACCATTTCCGTAAGGGAAGTTGATTCCTCTCTTCTTTATGATGGGCACTTCGACCAACGCATAATTATCGGTCTGTACTTAACAAATTTTAAATTACCATAATTGATTACATGCCTGAGTTACGGTAAGATCGTCAATCTCCAAATATTCACTTCCATTCCCCTTCAATCTGAATTCAGGAATCGCGGAATCCAGTATTGAATAAAACGGAAGGATGGCCATGACACTTGACTTTTCGGAGATCCCTTCAGGCACCATGAATTCAAAGTTTTCGTGTTCAAAATGAGGCATAAACTCAAGTTTAGGTTTGTGTTGGCTAACTGGAAACCCGGGCCTCACCACCAGATTGGCTACGAACTGCTCATCTGGGCCAAATCCACTGCCTTCTACCGTTTCCGCATCATCATCTGATATTATTTTGGCTCGGATATCCCTATTTTGTGTGTGGTTACCCTGATTTCACTTACTCTAGCACTTTAGCCAGTTTTTCTTTATTGTGCAGTTCCAATTTCTGCGCATTGCAATCTACAAAATCAGCGATCAAAATCCCTAAAATTGAAATTTTTGCTTACCGATCAATAAGAGAAACAAGAAAATCCGGAGGGAACCCATAAAGAACCTGAGAAACTGAACGATTTCAATTTCTCTTATCAATCCTGACCTTCTTTCTCCAACCCCGTTTCGGGATAAAAAAACGACTTGGATTTAGTTTATTAAGGATGACTAGACGCATTATGTTACACATGGGAAGCTCGCTTTATATAAGAGAAGATGGGAATATGGAATATTAAACCGGAGAGGATAATTGGATCATCTTGAACTTTACTTCCAAAGCGTTAAGGTACTTCTCGAGGACGGTAACAGTGTTCTCGAGGTCTTTGCTGATCGTTTCCACTTCATCGATTTGTCTCAAATATGGGCGAAGGGATTCATCTACAACAAACTAACTTGCTGTCCGGCTTCTTACATTTCTGAGTTAACTCTCCCAGTCTACCAGTAATATTCTTGGCCACTTGATGCATGTCCTGATATCGCTGAGCAGTTATGTTATTCATATCTTCCAAGAGTTTGTAATCCGCCGCCGTATTCCCAACTTGGCCATTCACAAACTCTTTCATTTTATTGAAGGACTCCGTTGCAGCTCCTCTGACGTCGTCAACGGTTTCAAAGCCCGGAGAGAGCGGGCAGTCGATGCTCACCGATGCTCTTTCGTTTATCTCAGCCATCTATAGATTATAATAAAAAAGAAATCTTATGTTTTTGGGTATTTATAAGGCCATGCACCTTTCAACAATTCGATAAAAAAATAAAAATAGGTTTTATTGAAAACCAATGACAAGAATGAGTATGTTTTGCTTTCCCTTCCTCTTCATTCCACAACCTAAAGTAATATGATTGTTATTAAATGCATAGAATACCACACCCACCTCTGAATCGACTTCTTTCAACTCCAACGTGTCCTCAGGACTACGACTGATTCCTTCTTCGACTCTGGCGGCCTTTTCCATATCCTCTGGATCAACTCCTTCTTCAAAACAAATAAATTCTTCTTCGGCATGACTAGAATGATGGGACGAATCTGCGGTTCGACTTCGAGACCTTCTTTCGGAACTACCCCGTCGTATGGGGCTCTCCTCTTGGAGTTCATTCTGTTCTTCTTCATCATCGTTATTCTCCCCGACTACAAACAGACGATTTACCTTCACTCATCAAAATACCTGAGTCCACTTCTTTCAGAGCACTTATATCAACATCATTCGTTTCTCTGACAGGAGAGACCTCATAATCGGGTTTCCTTCTGACCTTGACTTGTCGCCCTCTGGGCCTGCTGCTTGCCGGTCTGTATGATATATCTTTGATGCTGTACTTGGGTGGTGTTCTTTCTCCCCTGATATTTCTTCGGTCAGTGATTTGGTTTCTGTTTGGAGCTCGGTACGACGCCCTTAAATCACTTCGTTCTGCTATTCTTCGCCCTCTGGAAGCGGGTTCACTTAGATTAACGTGCATTCCTGCCTTCAATCTGGATTCCATGAACTTCACAGATGTTGGCAACAGATCCCCACGAATGGGGGAGACATCTCTGGAAGAACGGCAGGGCCTCGAGGTTTTCTTATAAAAATCTTCTCGGCCCCTATAAACCTTTACATCAGATTTTCTAACTGGAGATCGTCTTGGACTTCTTCTGGGTGGAGATCTTCTGTTTGGACTTCGTTGATTCTTATTTCTTCGAAGGGGAGATCTTGATCTTCTTCTAATGGGATCACCTTTTTCTATTCGTCTTCCCACATCCCTCACTGGCGATATTGATGGTATTCTTGGGCCTCCATTCCTCACAGGAGACCTTCTAACGTGCCCCTTCTCCGAATATCCTCCATTTCTTATGAACTTCGGCGGATGTCCCCGGTAGGGTTTTGGTTCTCGTCGTAGAGGGGAAACATTTCGAATTCGAGCAAACTTGCTTCTATCTGCATCTTCAACAACTCGAAATCTGAACGTTGGAAGCAAAAACAGTAAAAATTACCCATTCCGATGCGAAGGTCGACGATCATTTTGTAAACTTGGCCGATAACTTGACATGCTGGAAAGGAACATGGTCAACCTAGGAATAAATATGCGGAAAACAACGCGAGGAGAGAGCAATATAAGTATAGAAAACTTTGACCAGAGCTAATTATGTCGTCAAAAGACTGAAAAGAAACATGAGACAGACACGAAAAGGCCATGGAAACATGGTTTAAATATTGTGTTACCCCCGTCAGATGAAAAATAAGAACTTACATATGCAAGTATATACACAACCCCGAGTTATGCATTTTACAACGCAAAAAAACTTTTCCGATCGAATAAATTATTTTTGACACAATGCCAATGATGTTGTCGGTCCGAGACACTTTCTTTATCGCGCGACTGTTCTGCAATGTGGTTTAATCTAATTAGATTCACAAGTACTTGTGAATCTAAACCTTAAGTATCAGTCTGTGGGGAAATAGTGGCGAGTCGTCGCAGTTAAATCTTTCGCCTGGTCGAGAAAAAGTTGCAGTCGCGCTCCAAACTTCCAGCTGCGGCTAGCCGTCGCAAAGCGACGATGGGCGATTCCAAGGCGCGACATTCCGTAACTATTTTGCCGACAGACTATCAGTCTGTCGGAAAAATAACGGCGGATCGTCGCACCAAAATGTCTCGCCTCGCCGCTATCGCGCACCAAATCCCCAGCCGCGCCTTGCAGTCGCAAAGCGATGATGAGCGATTCCGAGGCGCGACGATCCGCCGTTATTTTCCCGACAGGCTGATATATCTATCGATGCATTTCACAAAAATGTTACGAAAGGCAGCCGGTCTCCGATACTCCAAATTATCTTCATAACACAATATTTATGTCACACCACTGTTTAATCTCCTGCTACCATGTTTGTTTACCGTATTTGAAACCGAGGTTTTGGTTGTTTTTGGTGAGCAAACAGAAGTATTTGAAAGTCAGATCCATTCATGCAAACGTCTTCCAATTCCAATTTTATTTGCTCAATCGACGCGAGACATAATACTAATCATCGGTGGCTCCCGAATCCAAATTAGGCATATCCAAGGCCGCAGAACCTGACCTATTTATATTATCGGCAAACCCCGAAAAGGGAGCGGGAACTTTTTGTTTCTCGCCTCTGGAAATGATCTCCCGCGCGAGAGAAATACCGCTACTGCCTCTTTATCAAGGCTTTCTCTCTTCGCCGAGTTTATTAGTCGCAATCAGAAGGGCGAACTGCTGTTCTATTCAAATCGTCCACTCCCCTCCCACCCAAATGTCATATCCAATATCAATGTGAGCCATGTGGCCCTTGGTGTCAGTAATTGTGGGATCGTTGATGACAGTGCTAGTGGTTGGGAAGGCTTTGAATCGGACCCGATTCGAAGATGAAACCAACAGTTTGACCGACTTGTGGAGCCAAGTGAAGCGTGATGTTAACCAATCTGACCTCATCGTTCCCACCTTATGCAATGCCCCATGCGATCGGTTGTTTCATGCTGGGCGGCATGGAAATATTAGCGATTGTCTTTGTCGATGCCCTGAGGAAATGCCCATCTTTCTACAAACATTAGGGCAATGTATCCAAAGAATCGGTAAATTAAATTAGGAATCTAGATTTTTTCATGGATTTCAATCTTGTTTCTTATTCTTAGTGTTTTACGTGTAGTGCAAATATTTCAGAAGCCTGTCCACGCACCATAAAGTTCAACGACGCTCACATCCCAGTGGTCGAATTACCCGCCAAATCCCATAAACTGAGTTTTAATCACAAAGTTCTATGGAAAGGTGGGTGTTTTTGTCGTCTCACAATTCCTCCAAACTTCAGAAAGCGGGGTAAAGGTAAAAACGAATACGGGCGCCCGGTGTAACATTACCTCAGTTGAATATCTTGGCCGTGATCAAAGCTGGATCGAACTCAATGCGAATATTTTATATCTGGGATGGGAGAAAGAGCCCATTTTCAAAGTAAGTCCAATAAGTAGTGCTTACTTTGAATGAAAGTACTATAAGTCGCAGTTAATCAAGAAGCAACAATTTAACTTTAGTGGAATGGAAGTTTGGGAGATAATCTGCTGTTGGAAGGCACCATTATTCTCGTGAACATGGACTGCTCCGGGAATCTAAAGGACTCCCATTGTCTGACATTCAGAGTAAATGGAGCCCTATGTAAGTTGGTATTACTGTACCACTATCTTCTAACAGATTACGGAGATCCTTTTGGAAAAGAGCAATCTTCTGATAGAGGGGCGGCCTTTGTTGCCATTACCCTTCTAGTTATCCTCCTGATTATGACTCTCTCCTGTTCTGTGTTCATCTGGAATGTTTGTTGGAAAATGAAGAAAAACGAGCTGATCACTGGTCTCCAGTTACAATTTTTGTATCGATTAAAACAAGAAAAGGACATGGCCGAAGCCGCACAACATTATCAAGCCTTGGCCCATGCTGCCCTTAATATGGAGAAACAACACGATGAATACAACAAGCACTTAGCGGATAAGAGCCAGATTACTCCAAAAAGGAAGTTGTTCTTCTCCCCTGGTAAGACCAGCAAAAAAATCAAATAGTTTTAGAATTCTTTGACGAGGAACATATGAAAACACCACCGCCGATGGCTGATCAATTTCTTCTAGATCTGCGGAAGATGATTAAGATAGCCAGACAACGGATTCAGCAACAGAGACATATCCCCAGCCTAAGAACAATACCTGAAGAACCCCCTGAATTTTTCGAGCCTTATATGAAAGTGAAAAGTGCCCCTACACAAATCGAGAAACCCCCGGATATAAAGCCGGCCATTCAAGAGACTTCCCCTAAGTCCATCGACTCCGTCCATTCGTCCACCGACTCTTCCGACTCAGCCAAAGAAAATAAATTGCCTGAGGGGGAAAAAAGGAGTCCTTCGATTCGACGAAACGAGTCCCAAAGTCGGATCCCCATTAACAAATACAAGACAAAGTCCCCCAAACTGAACCCTAAATTCATCATCCCATCAACGAACTCGTCGATTGATCTACCTCCACCTCTTCCCCCTCGAAACCCCCCACCTCCAATACCTGCCAAATATCGCCTAAAAGAAGACATCGCCAAGATGAGGAAGGATAAGAAGAGTTATGCCATCTTTCCTTCAGAATTAGAGTTCAAGAAATCACTTCCCCGGAGGTCACGGAAATTAGACAAAAGGGTTATATCCAACGAATTGTAAATAAAATTAAATTTATCTACTTTAGGTATCATAAACGGTAGGAAATAAGTTGTTAAATTAAGGATGGGAAGTTACAAACCAGTGCATCCGTTATTCAATCGTTGCTCCTGATGTTGGTATATATATTTGAGGCCCCGCTGAATGTTGCTGGGCATCAGTTCAGGTGCCGAGATCGCCGTTTAGACTGTCTGAAACGGTAGAACGGTTGACAATTCAGTCCAGCAAACAGCAAGGTAGATACGATACGACAATATCCGATATCCGGAATATCTGGTCGGTTACGATACTACGCCCATTCTTATATAGGTAGACCTGGTAAAACTTTTCTAACCTCCTTTATCTTCTTCGGGTGGCGACTTCGGCACGTTGTTATCATTGGAATCTTCGTCGTGAAACACTGGTTGCTCCACCTGGTCTAGTATAATATCGTCGGCTTCATCATAGTCGTTGGTGTCCTTTATTGCCCGCTCGTCGTTACTTCTAAAAAGATACACACAAAGAGTATTGGACTTACTTTGTGTCGTCATTTTCATCGCCAGATGCCGCTTCTTCTGAAAATTATACAATTTTAGGCATAAATTTTTTACCACAATCCACTTCTTCCAATTCCAAATCCTCTAGCTTCTCCTTGGGCAAAGCATCGACCTCGTTTCTTATCTCTTCTAACTTCTGCTGCACTAACTCCAATCTTTCAGTCTAAAAAATCATGTTATCTACACAATATTTATATACAAATTAAGCAATAAGTGTTCTCTAACTTACATGTGTAGCTTTATCTGAATGAATGCACAAAGTAAAGATGTCAGTGAGATCAAATCTCAATTTTCTTTCCAATTTACTGATATCCTCGTCTATCTTCTTCTTATCCGAGCTTCTACTTCTTTTAGGTACAGAACCATTTTTCAAAGGACTTCTGGATCTTTTCCTTACAACTCTAGGCCTTCCTGGAGGATCCACATATCTAGGAGAGTGTACATTTAAAAAAAAGTCTTACTTTGCTGGGTTTCTAACTGGTGGAAGATATTTTCTTGGATCTATCTTGGCTGGTCGACGCCTAAAATAAAAAATAAACGTTTTTCATCCTGCGAAGAGTACTTTTTATCATAAGAAACTTACACTACAGGTGGAGATCTCCTTCTGACACTACGACGATCAAAATCCCGTCTGATAGGTGGAGATCTGGCTCTTCTTGTTGGAGATCTTCTCCTTGGAGGACTGTCCCTTCTGCCGTAATCTCCTCTGTAGGCCCGCCGTACAGGTTCGCGACTACTAAAGGGGCGAACCATCTTGATTTGTGCGAAGAAAATAATATCTCCGAGGTCCGTTTATTCAGAGAACAAATTCCAAGCCAGATAAATTTTTTTTGCAAATTGCGCCCTAGAGAAAAAGAGTATGAAAATAGAGACTACTCCCGAGTGAGAAGGGAGCACTAAGAAAATGGGGAATATGAGCAGAGAGAAACAATTTTATTTTTCTCACGCGAGCCGGGCGCACCTTACCGGCTCCTTTTTATACGATTATATCTATCTCAAGATTGAGCTTTGTTGAGATGCAAACTTTCTTATTACGTGTATCATCCCAAAAACGCGTTAAGAAAACTTCATAGTCCAATACTTCAAGGTTTCCATCTTAATTTTCTCAAATCAAGGCATATATATATGCCATTCATGCCGTGCTTTCTCTCATCGGCAGCCTGCGCCCAATTAAATCGGCGAGGCGATATTTTATCTATAGAAGATGCTTGGCCAAGAACAAAAGGATAAACAAGTCATGTTCTATTAGAATCAGCGCTAATGACAAGGCTTTTGGATGTCTTACGAAGCGAAAGTTTTGTTTGATGCCACTCAGAATGCTGGCTCTTTATTGCACTTCGACTTTTTAGTGGACGAAAGTTTCGTTCTGGTAGTTGGACTAACTTCCAAAGGTTTGCCTTTCAATAAGAGCTCTTACTTGAAATTTTAGGAAATATTGTTATATTTCACGAATCGAGGAACCAGAAGTCTTGCAATTACGTTAACATTTATGACATTTACTCCGATTTTGTCGAGACAATACTTATCAATCTCTTGCCAGATGCCTCAGCGATTGTACTTGTTCTATCAAATAGCAACCTTCTAGTTATTCCCACCAAATATGTTATAGTAAGTGTATAGTGCACACTATTACCGTTTAGAATGCAAACTGGGCTCATCGTCAATCGTATTACACTCAGCCGGTGGTTCTTAACCTGGAATTCTCCGGGCCCAACAAATGTCTTCATCTTCCTACTTCTGTTGTCTCCTATCTTTCCAAAATTAACAATAGATACTACCTTATTTTCAGTCAAAAAGTAAGTTATAGTAAATTAAAGTACATGGATTTAGTCCGGCGCCGTGAATGTGGTGGATTTGGAACTTCAGAAGGTGATAGCTAGTATAAGAACGGACGAAACGATTGACGAATTGCAAGTTTTCCGCCATGAATCAGATGGCATCTTGTACTTGATTGTTTCCCAATTCACCGGAAAACAATATTTATGGCCACTGGAAACAAAAACCGAGGGGATCCGAGAAGTGTGGTCACATTTTGTGCCGGACAGTGATCTAATCTCTGTATCCACGAAGCTTAATTCTCACAATTACAACAAATTACTTACTTTGTACAATTCTGAGATGGGGACTGTGAGTTGAGCTACTTCAATGTATTGTGTTTTCAGTTGACGACGATTAAAGAATTGGCCGGTCTCAACAATCAAACAGGGATGTCGGTTCCTCAGAAGGTCTGGATTACATATTATTCTCCACATCTGATGGTTTTTGTGGTCTCCGAACAAGAAATACAGTATACTCTGCCGTTTGATGAGGTCAGTTTAATAAATTAAGACAATTTGTTCGTTCAGGAAATGACCGTGGAGTGTATTGAGCTGAACTGTGGTCTTCCTTGTCGTCCTCTAGGCTTTGTTCCACTGCTGGTTTCTTCAGATGGCCTTGGACAATGCCTTTTCATCAATTCAACCGGATTTTATTCGTTAGAACCAGTATCGTAAGTCCTCACGGTTTTATCTATTGGTTTTTAGATGTTTGCCTGAGTTTACATTGGAATTCTTGACTGCACGAGGGTTTTCCAAAAATCATTTTGTAAAGTTTTGTGAGGCCACCAAGAATGAGCAAGCTAAATTATATGAGAAAGTTCTGGTGGAGAGTATTAAACAGAAGAAGGAGGGAGCCGTCGACGGAATCATTTACTTGGGAATTGATCTTGCGGTATGTATTATGTTCTATAATTTTGTCTTTTTTACATGTCTGTCCATTACTGGCAGATTTCTAAAATCCTTGCAAATATCCTCAGTGTCTTTGTAAAAAATGTGCATCTTATATGCATATCTCTTGTCGTAAGTAGTACTTTTAAAAAGTCAATTTTGATTTTTTTTTGGTAAAAATACTCGATCTGATTTCGAATATAATGTTCGTTTTTGTACTATAAAAGTTTAACTTTGATAAATCAGTGTAAATTTGATTTTGCCCATGGTGGCATTTGACTCTAATGGACCGAAGTTTTTTATGTACATTATGTAAAGGTTTTTTATTTCAGATTCCTCTCCAAAAAATCGCAGCGATTTTGACAGATAACCAAGAATTTGATGCCTTAATCCCCTTCTTATCCATAAAATGCCAGAAAGATCGGAACGATGTGGAGAGCCGAGAAATTTTATTTGATGCCTACCTCAACAAGTTATACAAAAACGGACCGTCGACTTCTTTGGAGACTGATATCTACTTATTTTTGATTGAATATCAAGTGTCAGAGGATTCATTGAAAGTGTTCCTCAAGAACAAACTCCTTTCTTGTGTGCTGATATTTCTCCTCAAATCTCGAAGTACAGTATCACAGGAGATCTGCTCTTATTTTTTGGATAATCCTGATTGGAAAGATTACAATCGACATTGTTTCCTTCAGATAATTGTGAATTTGCAATGGAATTCTGTGGATGGAACGACAAAGCAAGCCTTGTTGAAGTTGCTGGCTAAGTTCTGTGTCCAAATATCTGATCTCCATGAGTTGGTGATGGTATTGAATATGGCTGAGACTGGATTGAAGACTGATCCCGTGTTCCTGAATCTCTTTATTTTGATTGGATTGTATGTCCAATATCGTCTTGTAAGTGATTTATTGTATAAACGGATGGTTTTTATAGCATGGTCTTTCTATAACCAGCTGGTCTCCATTCTCTTGTGGATCCAATTTTTGCGCTGTTCTGGCCGATGACAGGAGTTTATGGGTATGGGGAGAGTTTGTGGCCGGAAATATCAAGACCAAGAGCTTGAGCAGCACCACCATGGCCAGATCCTCCACTCGCTCGATCATTGACAAGCCTTTATTCCGGATGACCAAGGCTCCAAGGAGGATTCAACTTCATAAAGACATTGTGGATGATTCTGTAGGAGTAAGTGTGGCATGATGACTTGAGTTTAAATATTATGTTTACTTGCTTTCTTTTTTAGGTATGTGAAATTAAATGCGGAACCGAACACATTCTCATGCTTGACGCAGGTGGACGTGTTTACAGTTACGGTAAAAATAGGTTTGGCCAATGTGGAGTAGGACATATGGATCCAGTCGCGGAAATTACGGTAAATGATTTTATGTAATTATTATATTTTGAGATATCTTTTTAGAGAATAGAAGGGAATTTTGGAAGAATTAAGGGCATTTCTGCTGGCCATTACCATTCGGCTCTGCTGGATGAGAACTTCAATGTCTGGATGTTTGGTTGGGCAATTCATGGCCAGTTGGGAATAAATACTGTAGCCAATGTTACAGTACCCGTGATAGTCAGAAGTCTGAGGTAAGAATGACGGGGCAGTCAATATGCTTTAGTAACCTAAATATAAGGAAAATGGAATTGGGAATGGCCCATTCCCTTTTTTTGACCGAATCTGGCCAGGTCTATGGATTTGGCCATATGGATAACGGAGAGCTGATAAAAGACCCGGCCAAAGATCCCACCGGGCTTCAGAAACAGAAGTCATTCAAACCTATGAAGTTGGATCTGCCGGAACCAATGGAATTGATCAGTTGCAATTACTTCCAAGGCCTTGGAGTCAGTAAATCAGCCATCTACCAGTGGGGGGAATGTCCTCAGACTCTCAAAATGAACGCCTTCTGGCAAAAGCACAAGACCGCCAAGAGCAAAGCACAGGCTGGGAATACACGAGTCAAATCACCGATAGATCAATGGCCAAGCGAGGGTGGAAATGGCCAAGGCCGTGATCATTTTCAGTATAAGAAAATGGTCGACTGGGATATGGAGGAAAGACCGATCAAACAGATCTCTTGTGGATACAATCATTCAGCTCTGCTGACTCAGGATGGGGAGATTTATACCTGGGGAAAGGGACTGGATAAACAATTGGGACATGGCACCAAAACGGATAAAATAATACCGACAAAACTTGTCGAGCCAGTTGACGTGGTCTGGAAATATGTTCATTGTGGTAAGTGGGAGTGTAACTGATCTTAGTTTTTACAAGGAAAGTACTTTTATGGGGGCTCCTACTTTTTGACGGGACATATCTCAAAAAATCAGAAAAAATGCGCTGATCAAGGATATATAAATCTTAGCTGCCCATTTTAGGTTTTTAAGGGTGAAAATGCCCAAAAACTGGTTTAATTTCCCTACAAAAGGCAGACATTCGAAACGATAAAAAGAGCACTCGATCTCTTCCTTCGGAAGAGAGCGGTGTGGCCGAGTGGTTAGTGCCGTAGTCTGGGAATCAAGAGGGGGGACGCCGCACGGGTTCGATTTCCCTTTTGGGCCGAATCAACTTTTTTTGAAGTTGAAGGTCGGAAAAATAAATTTTTGTGCCAAGACTGTCTTATTACGTCTTAGAAACTCAATAAACACCATTTTAAGCCAAAATAAAAATTGTAAACCTTTGAAAAAATTAAGCGAAAAGGGGTTCATATAGGACTTTAAGTCAACTTCCGACTGAGTTTTCACCCCTAAAAACCTAAAATGGGCAGCTAAGATCTATATATTCTTGATCAGCACATTTTTTCTGATTTTTTGAGATATGTCCCGTCAAAAAGTAGGAGCCCCCATAAAAGTACTTTCCTTGTTAAAACGGACTTTTTTACAAAGTGAAGCATGGCCCGGACATTGTTGCGGTGACCATCACCGAATTTCTTCAAATTTGGCTCATAGAACACCCACAAGGCATACATCAAAAGCGTCAAACGTTTTCCCAAAATTTGCATTATTTCGGGATTACTGTAACATTTTGTGTTTTATAAAGCGGCCGTTGTCGTGGACCAGGTGATCGCCCTACGGGCCCGAAACTTCTTGTCTGTATGTTTTCGAACATGGCCAACATTTTTCTAATTGAAACTTTTTTTGTATCTTTTCGTCTTTCGGTAGTACCGTAATCGTCATGATACCATATCGATTACTGCCGAAAATTGGAAAGAGTGTAACAAGTTTTCAAACCGGATTATAAAAGTTGGACACCCTTCCCGTAAAATAAAACAAAAAAATCAAAAATAAAAATATAAGTTTTTATCTAAAGACTTATAAAAATATAAGTCTTTAGATATAAGCGTTCAAAGTTGCTATGTTCGGTTACTGTAGGACCAAAATAGAGACGATCAATTTTTAAACTTTTCCATTAATCTCTACGGTTCACATATTAATAGATCAGCCTGAGAAAAATAGTTTCAGGTCAAAAAATAAATATTTGAGGCTTTATATGATGGTTACTGTAGTTTCTAACTTTTATTAATTTCGCTAACAAATTTATTGGAATGACGAATTTAGACAAGCTATCCGGGTCAGAAACGCGCATACATCATGGAAGGCAAAAATCAGAATCGTAATACTACCCATTCCTGAAATAGTGGGAGATTACGGTAGCCGTACCCACTTTTTTCGCTGTTTGGCCGCGGCATTCTTTGGAGCTGCGAGTGTAACAACTTTTGAGGCCTGAAATTTATTCATGATGAATAGAAGAGCATTTCAGCAAAAAATCGCGAAAATAAAAATATAAGTTTTTGAGAAAATTCGGGATTACGGTCATTTCAGGGGATTTCCTCTCCTAAACTACCGTAATCCGGGATTTTCTCAAAAACTTATATTGTTATTCTCGGGCTTTTTTACATAGGTACTTTCTAGAGCATCGGGGATGTATTTCCGGCTTCAAAAGTTGTTACACTCGCAGCTCCAAAGAATGCCGCGGCCAAACGGCCCAAAAACCCCCTAAAATGACCGTAATCCAGGATTTTCTCAAAAACTTATATTTTTATTTTCGCGATTTTTTGCAGAAATGCTCTTATATCCATCCTGAATGAATTTCAGGCCTCAAAAGTTGTTACACTCGCAGCTCCAAAGAATGCCGCGGCCAAACAGCGAAAAAAGTGGGTACGGCTACCGTAATCTCCCACTATTTCAGGAATGGGTAGTATTACGATTCTGATTTTTGCCTTCCATGATGTATGCGCGCTTCTGACCCGGATAGCTTGTCTAAATTCGTCATTCCAATAAATTTGTTAGCGAAATTAACAAAAGTTAGAAACTACAGTAACCATCGTATAAAGCCTGAAAAAAAGCCTCAAATATTTATTTTTTGACCTGAAAATATTTTTCTAAGGCTGATCTATTAATGGGTGAGGCGTGGCAATCAATCGTACCGTTTGAAAATTGATCATCTTCTTTTTGGTCCTACAGTAACCGAACATGGCAACTTTGAACGCTTATATCTCAAAAACTTATATTTTTATTTTTGATTTTTTTGTTTTATTTTACGGGAAGGGTGTCCAACTTTTATAATCCGGTTTGAAAACTTGTTACACTCTTTCCAATTTTCGGCAGTAATCGATATGGTATCATGACGATTACGGTACTACCGAAAGCCGAAAAGATACAAAAAAAGTTTCAATTAGAAAAATGTTGGCCATGTTCGAAAACATACAGACAAGAAGTCTCAGCCCCGTAGGGCGATCGCCCGGTCCGTGACAACGGCTGCTTTACAAAACCCAAATTGTTACAGTAATCGCGGACTGGTTGAAATTTCGCGAAACCCTTCTTCGCTTTTCATCAGCATGCTCACAAGGGAATGGACTTTATGTGTAAATCGATTTTGGCTTGGGACCTAGTCAGATCGAAAGGTGTGTGGTAGTCGATTATTCACTTGGGGGGAAATCTCTGCGCGGGGCTTCAAAGCCGAGAAAATCGGCTTCAAAGTTTGGACGAAAGTCAAAGGATAAGGATCCCGGAAAAGGAGCGATAAAAAGTGTGAAGCAGTGGCCGAGTGGTCAGTGCGCTCGCTTTTTGCGCAAAAGGTCGCAAGTTCGAATCTGCTTCCATTCATAAGTTTTTTAGACAAAAACTTCTATTAATTTTTTCCCCTGAACTCGATTATCGATACAAGAAGTATATTTTAAACGGAACTTTTCCATTTTCAACGGCTTCGCAGCTTCCCTTTACAGTTTTAGAGCGCAGGGCACACCATCAACCTGATGTATTCAAAAACAACTTTCCATTATGTTAACTTTTTTATCTATACCCCTTTTTTAAATGTACAGCCGGATTAGCACGAAGAAAGCAAAAGTAAAAACGATAAATGATGACTTGGGCTTGGAAAGATTCGAACCTGCAACCTTTTGCGCAAAAAGCGAGCGCACTGACCACTCGGCCACTGCTTCACACTTTTTATGGCTCCTTTTCTGGGATCCCTATCCTTTGATTTTCGTCCAAACTTTGAAGCCGATTTTCTCGGCTTTGAAGCCCCGCGCAGAGATTTCCCCCCAAGTGAATAACCGACTCCCACACACCTTTCGATCTGACTAGGTCCCAAGCCAAAATCGATTTACACATAAAGTCCATTCCCTTGTCAGGCCCTTCTACTGGCCAAGTTTCAAGAAATTTGGTGATGGTCGTTGCAACAATGTCCGGGCCCCTTGGAGGGAAGCTTCAGTTTGTAAAAAACTCTCTTTTAAGGCCGGAATACAACAATGGCCATAACGAATAGAGGGGAATGCTTTATTTGGGGACGAAATGATCGAGGACAACTGGGGGTGAAGGGAAGTGACCAAAGTAGTTCTTCTGGAGACAAGAACGACTCCACTCCTAAAAGGTACGTTCTCAAATCATCCACCGGGAACAAGAGAAGGCCCATCGAAGTCCCCGTCTCACAATGTATCGATAAACCTACAGTAATCCTCTCGTTGAATGTGGCTGTTCATCACATGGGTAAGTAAATAATGTAAATTCTTTAATATTTTATTGTTTTTCTATCCCTTTCAGCTGTTACTGATTTGGATATTAAACTTCGTTTATGGATAGATGAATGTTCCCAGTCGAATCTCGACCACATTTCTCGCGATCTCCGGTCACTCGTCATTTATTCCCCTCAGGCAGTAAAGGTCCAATTCAAGGCTGGTGATCTTATCTCTGGTCTCCAACGTTTGGTTTTGCTCTACGAGATTATGAAGAAGACCACGAATAATTTCCTGTTGGAATCGACCGATTCTCAGAACGGGAACACCCCAAGTTCGTCATCGACTTCTACCAAACCGATGAATCAAGATGATTTCGAGGGTTTAATGGAGATTTCCTTCCAGCTTCTCTCCGCTCATCCAGCCGAAGAGATCAAATTAGTAGCCGGTTTACTCATGATGAAGGCCCAATTCCCCATTTACAACCGGATATCGATCAACCAACGACTTTGTCGTCTCCTCGCAGGTCATATTGAACTTCCGCAGAATGCAGGACGCTCAGGACGGATGAGTGCATCTCCTTTGAACTCCCTCTCTTCCACTACAGGATCCACTATACTCTCCAGCTCGGATTATTGTACTTCGGGATCTTTGAATCGTCAGAAGATGTCCGAACTGAATCAGAAAGAGAGGGCAGTCATGTTGAAGAAAGCCCGACTTCCAGGAAACTCAAAAATGCAACTCTTAATTAAAAGAGCGACGGAATTAAGTGACAAGTTCGTGTTCTACTCGGGATGTGGACACTTCGAACGTAAGGTGGTCCCCACCTCCGTACAACGACGTCAGCAACAACGGGTTTCCGATGGGAGTTGTCGTTGCTCCCTCTGCGTCCCGCCTTAATGTCAATTTGTACAGACGTGCCATTAAAACATTGCCAAAAAAGTTTTATTACCCGTTTTGGAATAATTAACCAGTATTGTATTATTTCCCATATTTGTAAGCTCGACGTCGAACCTCATCATTGGAAAGCAGATGAATACTCTCGGAAGAGGTCGTTCGGGTTCTGTTTGGAAGTTCACATAGTCTACTCGAAGATGTACTCCTTACTGCGAAGTTTTGCTTCTTCTTAGCGATGTTTTCAGCTGATTTACAGGGCTTCAGATTGGGGGAATGGGGATCAAATGAGGTGGATTCCATATTAATATTGTGATTCGAGAAGGAACGACGGAAAATTGTAAAGGAAACGGCCTTTAGACAAGCGAGGACACTCGCTCTGATATGATTCATCCTGAGGGCATATATTAGAGGATTCAGTAGAAGTTTGAGGGCGACCTTGAAGGAATATATAGGGCGTTCCGAGAAATGTGCCGGAAAGTTTTTGTCGTTAAAAAAATCTTTTTGCGGGATAAAGAAGAAGATGGGCGGTTTTTTGCCTAAGAAAATCATTTTCTCCGCCAACGCGGAAAACGTTTATTCGGCGGAGACTTTCGGGCACTTTTTTGGTAATCACACGGACACGCTTTATTGTGACACTGAAGCTTCCGGAAAGACTTCAATTTTTTTGCCCAATGGATCAGGAAGTCGGCGATAGCGCTATGAAACGCCAGAGTGTAAGAAATGGACTGGGACATCTCTTGTCCGCAGCTGAGTCATGGTCTCCGCCGATATGGCGAACGTCCGCCAAACCTTCGCTGAACGCTTGATGAACACAAATATATGCGAAAATTCTCCTTTAAACCATCAGAAAGCACAATAAAGCGTTTATGATTGGTGTGGTGACCAAAAAAGTGATTAAAAGTCTCCGCTGAATAAACTGATTTCCGCGTTGGCGGAGAAAATTATTTTCTTACAAGGGATCGGCAAATAGTTGTAACCTTTAATCTTAATGAAACATATATGATTTGAAAGAGCATTAAAAATAGTACACAGCGCAAAAAAATTAGCTGCCTAATTTATAGTTATGGCCGTTTTATGAAAGTGGTTATATGCGGCCAAAACGCCGGTTTTTTATATTACAGTAATCCTGGCGGCTTGAATTCGTCTCCTTTGATTTTCTAGTATCCAAAAACGTCTGTCACGGTCGTTTTTTATTATAATAGGTCTACTGGGATGACACCCTTGTAATTATCTGATAATGGCATCCCCACTCTCATCACCATCAAATTTGTGGTCGTTTCAAAAAAGCCAAAAATTCAGAAAAATCCCGTAAAAATGAATTTTGTCTGCGGAGGAACATAAATTGTTTAAAAATATCAACATACCATGTTTTGTGGCATATAAGACACGAAATGCAAAAAAAAATGCAAAGCCCGGATTCGAAACCGGGACTTGTTGCGCCGGAAGTGGGGTCACTACCACCCTGCCAACTGGACACGTTGCGATTCCAAGAGCTTACAAAGTGACGCGCGAAATTAGGCTAAAATCTGTATTTTGGCCATAACTTTGTCCAAACATAAATTAGGCAGCTTATTCTTTTTGCGTTGTGCACTACTTTTAATGATCTTTCAAATGGTATATGTTTCGTTAAGATTAAAGGTTGCAACTATTTGCCGATCACATGTTAGGCAAAACACCGCCCATCTTCTCTATCCTGCGCAAATTTTTTTGGATATAAGAGTGGTGCTTTATATTATTCCAAAAAGTTTCAAACTTATTTCATTTTTACCCTACATGAAATTTTGTGGCCTACTTCAAAATGTCGTCTGGCTACGTGAAAAAATTTCATGTGGGCCAAAAAAAATTTATTTTTTTGGCATAGGTGCTTTTTTTCATGTGGGCAAAAAAATTTTTTTGGCATATCAGTCTGTCGGGAAAATAACGGCGGGTCATCGCATCAAAATGACTCGCCTCACCGCAATCGCGCACCAAATCTCCAGCTGTGGCCGCTACCGCAAAGCGATGATGAGCGATTCCGAGGCGCGACGATCCGCCGTTATTTTCCCGACAGACTGATACATGAAAAAAACCACCTATGCCAAAAAAATAATTTTTTTCTACCTATAGGTTAAAAAAAAACAAAAATTTTCATGTAGGCTAAAAATGAAGTAAGTTTGAAACTTTTTGGAGTAATATAAAGCACCACTCTTATATCTTGACTGAGCGCCAAGAAATCGACAAAAACTTTCCGACACATTTCTCGTATGATGGCTTACCAAAAAATTGACTGTAGAACTGAGAAGAAAGCCCGCGTAGAAACTGACGCTTTGCATATAAATAAAAGGACATCCTTCCACACAAACGAGTAGAAAATATAAGACACAGACGCCCCAGGACAATGTGAATGTGCTCAGGATTAGGAGCGTGGTCCACATCAACTTTAGCCGGGATTGAACTTTTCTGCGGTAACTGTTCCGAACGGATCTTCTGCAGATTAGGGGTACTGTAATCATATATACGGTGTGCTTACCGCATTTCGTGAGAGGATTTGGCTTTGGCATTTAACAAATATCTGACGATAAATCCGTAAAGAGCGAAGGTTGCAAACAAAGGGACCACGAAGAAAACGAAAACACTCAAACGGAATGGAAGACGACGGTAGAAACGCTGTCGACATTTGGAATCGCGGAATCCATCACCCGGAATCAGAACAAACCAGGACGTTACGAAGATCACGGGGACCACCCACAACACCAAAATGAGGCGGCGAAGTCGACCTGTCGTTATTAGCATCTGAAAACTTGTAAGTAAATCAAGAAGTAATCTTACTTTATATCTAAGGGGATACAAGATGCCCACGAATTGATTGGTGGCCAACGCCAGGATATGTAGGTTAGAAGTGAGCATGCCGGAGATCCTGAAGATCTCCAGAATCGCGGCTATGCACTCGTTGTTCTTCTGGATCCTCAGAACCACGGGCATGTAACTGTTGACGCAAAGGCCTAAAAACTAATTATATTATTGTTAGTTCCGGCATTGCTCTTGAACTGACTAGTCACTACATGGTTTTGCGATATCTATTAGTCGGTTCGCAAAGTCGATTGAGTGATTCCGGCGACGTGCACTGTGCAAAAAAGTCTCGGTGTGGGCGACAGCCGAAAAAAACCTATTGCACGGTGCAAAAAGAAAAAATTGCACAGTGCAAAGTAAACTTTTTTTTTCGCAGAGTGCATGTCGCGAGAATCACTCCAGCAACTTTGCGAACGGACTAGTACGACATGTTGAATTTAATATAATTATTTAAATTCCTCTTTTTTTATAACATTCGTGATACCTGTAATTAGAAGAGAAGCGGCCCAACAATCGGAAGCGGCTAGACTGATGCATAGACGATGGTAGGGATTTATGTGACGTCCCATCCAAGGCGCTGAAATCACGATCAGTCCATTGCCGATCACTGATATCTAAATTAAATTAAAATTCAGGGTTTGCATGGTTAATGTAATTTAAAAAAGATGCTTGATGTTTCACATATATTTCAATATTTGATCAAGTGTCTTGAATATGCAACTAATTAATCGGCCAATTAAACGCGCTTATGGCCAGACGCTTATGTCAACGAATAGCCCACATTCCTATTTCGGTTTTATTAATCTAATTAATGAAGATGTTCCCCCGAAATCGCGGATTAAGTCGAAGCCCACCTTAAATTGGCATCCCAAAAACGTTAGTCGAATGTACCCCCTCTCATCCGCCGACTCACCATCAACACCGTCACCATCAACGGCACCAGCCACACGTAGATCTCCCGGGCGAAGATCACGTACGGATGATCAACCGGAACAACCGGTGGAACGGTGGCTAGCCGGAACGAAGAATTCACGGACATAACACCATTCTGAAGCTGAAACGAGACTTACAATTACTGAGAGATATCTGTTACAAAAGGCATTCGAAATGTAGAGGAGGGTGTTGTACTTGGCCGAGGCTAGGGAAAGGCCCGTTCTTTGAAAGACCCCTTACTTGGGCCGTTTTCACAGCGACATCAATTACAAATGAAAACGCGAACTCTCCAAGTTCGATACAATAGTTTGCAAACACCAACCTCCTTATTTGAGGCAAGCGGGCTATAAAACTATTGGGCTTTGAAGAGTAGTTTTTTTGGCTCGGAATTAAAATATCAACTGGACCGGATCCCAAGACATTCTCTTAATTGAATAAAATCCAAAAGACCAGCAAAATTCGGGTTAGAAACACGCTTCAACCAAAGACCTCGGCCTCAGAGTTCACATATCAAATGCGGACACGGATGTTTCAAGAGTAAACCACAAAAGGAAATCAACCGGAAAATAGAGATAATTTGACATTTAAACAGGACGTCCATTCTTCCCATGATGCAAAAAGATTACTTGCCGCAGGAATAACCAAAATTACTGGTCGTAGTACACGTCCCTCCCCCTCCTTAAAACACAAAGAGATGACACTTAAACGTAACAGAACCCATTTTTGTGATGTAATTGGAAGAAAGCGTATTCGAATGACAAGTATACACAACTCAGAGTTACACTGTTTTCCGGAAAACCAGTGCATCGTAAAATTACGGTATAACAGCCTTCATAGCCCGAATATCATTGTGGAGAGATTAGCCGTTGACTGTACGAACGGGACCAAGGACACGTGCCGGGAGGACAGCCCCTAATAAGGAGGATATTAAAGGAAATAAAACAAGGCGTTGGCCATACGAATTCACAAAAATTAGACCGCACATTTAAAATTAGGACAATAGAAAAGTGGGGCGGGACAAAGGAAGGCATTCAAGATTTATTATTCTATCCAAAAATCAACAAAAACTTCAACAAGATGGATGAACGACCGAGGTTTCATGAGGGTTCTGAAACGACCAAAATAAACATGACTTATTCGGAAACCATGCTCCAATAAATATCATATGCTCACTTACTCAGAAGTCGATTGTAATTGTAACTACAAAGCAACGAATGCCCAACCCCGCCCAGATATCGTAGTTGAGAGTCGGGCCGAGATTCCCCGTCTGCGTTGATGTCTATGCTCACAATAGCCTGAAAATGGGGAAATAAGCTGAAGAAAGGCTCACCTCGTTTAAATTACTGGGGATCGCCGACCGAATCTCCATAGGTTTCCCACCAATTATAAATCTGGCCCGGCCATTCTTCAGGATCTGCACTTTCCCAATTTGGGAGTTCGATGGAATTCCATCAAGACAATGGGAACTTGTGCCCTTTTCGTCCGCTTTATAAGCTTCCTGAAGATTTCGAATAATTTTTAATAGTAAGGAAACTATTTTTATTTCAAATATGACGAGCAAAGATTTAATTCTTTTTATCTAAACCATGTTTTTGACACAAATTCAGTCCAGGCAGAGCAATTTCCGAAAAAACTCTCCAAAAAAGCCCGGAACATGACCTTTTGTATTGCCACAGAAAAGAACACTATTGGAAGAACTGCAAATTCTCACAAAATATTGTTTTTCTACTTTCCCGTACAAAAGCGGCTAATAATATATGAATCATAAACATCAAAGGCTGATGTCTAATCCCATAATGGAAGTCGTCATTAATAAACGAAATAACTGGTAATTAATTACCTGTTTAACAAATCCGTTCTCAAAACCTTCTGCTTTTATTGGAGTGTCTATTGTAGTCGCATTGGTGTTATCCTCTTCTTTTTTTGCCATAAAGTTCTTAAAATGAGATAATGAAGCAGGTAATTGCATTAGCAAAAAGTCCTGAGCTGTTCCCTTAATGCAATCCTTGAAGTATTCTCCGGCTTCTGCTAATCCGACATCAGAAATTCGATCCAATTCTGCCTCACTTGTGCCTTGGGAGAAAACTTCAGCTTTTCTAAACCAAACATTGTTTGAAAAGAAACCAGATCAGAAGGATTTAACGGCGAAACCAACCTACATAGACTGATCCACATCCATGGGTTCATCCTTGACTTTTGTCCCCTTCTTACGGACTAATCGAACAAATTGCTCTGTATCTCTCGAGGGTAAAACAACTGGAGCGTCTCTGGCTCGATGAACATCGCTCAAGAACTAAAAAGAACTAATAAAGGAGACATGCAGGACCAACCCCGTCTTGCATCAATTCTGAGAGCTGCTCCCTGTCGTATTCATCATCTGACATCCATTCCAATTCATAAGTGGGGATTGAACTCTCGGCTTTTATGTGGCCATTCTTGTTCTTAACCTCTGTCCCTTCTTCAGAATCATCAATACGATCTGGGCGCTCCAACTTTCCAACGATTCTTTCGATACCTAAAAATATGTACGAAAAAATTGAATACTATGATTTATCAATTATAATATAAAAACATACCCGTATCACCTCTCCGGGTCCTAGCAAGACCTTCGTCCAGGCCAGCTGTAAAAATAGCCTCTGATTGGATGATGTTAGCTCTCCCCCGACGAGCTCCCACACCTCTTCCAGCAGCTCCTCGACCCCGTCCCTGATCTTCTGATCTGCCTCGACCTCGGCCACGTGGTTTAGATGAAGTACTAAATTTAGGAATAACATAAATATCAACAGGTACTTACGCGGCCTCCTGTTTGGGTTCGGCTTTCACAGTTCGTCCAGCCGCTGCGATGTTGGGCATCGGACCTCGCTTGGGTCTTCCTCTGCCGGCCATGGTTACTAGTTGTAAAATATACTATTCTTTACTATTTAACGTCGCCAGTAGAGAACAACGGCGTACAATACCCACTGACACAAATAAAGGCCGACGAAAAAAATAATATTTTGCTATTTTGCATTACGCCATAAAAAAATATTCGTGGCGTGACCTAGGTCGGAACCCCATATTGTTACAGTAATTGACATGATGACATTGTCGTCTACATAGACCGTCATGTAAAAGCAAATGGGGACATATTTCGTCACGTTTGTTGGTTTAGGGTCCGTTCCTCATCCATTTTATGCGTTTTCACGCTTTTAAAGTTCGAAAGAGGAAATGCGGAAATGAAATAATAGATCTTCGGAACATGGACCAGTTATAGAACCCATAATAATGCGGGGTGCGTCATAAGAAAGGGGTGTAATGTAAACATGGAACGGTCTGTAAAGACTTTTATTTCCCTTTTTTAATCCGATCAGTCGAATACATTTATCATATCACCATTGTTCGGATCACAGTTTATCTCGTCGTATTACTGCATAATATCCGTGTTTTGAATTGTTTGTTCTTTCAGCGCTTCATGGGCCTTTTAAAGAGATCAGATCTATTCAGGTAAGCCCATTCTCAATCGCTCGTTTTATTTTACCTAGTTTTACTTTCAAAATGGCTGCCTGGACGTCAGTGAGCTTGGTTTTGGTTTCTCTAGCAGTCGCGTGTGTTTGTAAGTTCAGGGGTTATCCAATAAACGAAGGATTTAGCTCTTCCCCAAGTGCAATATGTGAATAACAAGCCGTATCATCTGATGCAATACACAGAGTGCCAAGGCGGGAAGATCTTCGAGATTAACAGTGTGAAGGTAAGCGTAAGAACATAATGGTTGCAAAACTCCCAGGACATTGACGAATGCAAGGCCGCCTGTCTCCAACGAGATTGTAGAGCCGTTAATCTCTTCCAGCTCGGGGAATTCGAATTCAAATGTGAAATACTCGCGTATGTCCGGGGATATCAACCAGCACAAGGGGCTGCATGCTATGTAGCCTATTATTGATTTATTGTATATACAAGTGATGCTGACAATGCTAATAAATGCCTAACTGATGGGGCACATGTCATCCGAGTGCTTTCTTTTGAATACAAAATCGTCTAGGACATCGCTCGAGTTGGATAGCGATCCCCTGCGAGCGATGTTATGGCATTTGGACAGTAATTTCTCCACAACTGCCTATAAATGAGAAATTGTCGTTTTTGTGTAAACATTTTACTTTACTATACCTGAAGGATGAAAGTTGACGGCTCCGCGTTTTGTTCGGCGTTATAAAATGCATCAAAGGAAGTTTTCGGGGACAATTGGCATTGTTGACAAAATATTTGGAAGGCCCGTTCGATCAGCTGAAAATCAGTGAACTAACATTACACAAACTCAAAGCTTCCGTTTTCTTTTCTTGGGTTTCTCCGCGGGGACTCCGCCGATTTTCCTAACAGGGAAAATACTTTTATCTCCTACTTTTTAACGGGGCATATCTCAAAAAATAACACGTCAAACCATACTGTTTAAGGATACGTAAAAATTAGCTGCCCAATTTCGGCCCAAAGTATATATAATAGATTAATTATCACCACTCACTGCATCACAATTGAGAGAATCCGGGAAATTGACTTCTGGGTTTCGTTCCATCATTGTGGCTACAATCGACAATAATTCCACCACCAATTGGCGCTGTTCTGGAGTCGGGATATCACTCATCATGGCCTCCATGTGATAAGCAAAGGTCAGTTCATGTTGAGTCATAATTTGGAGAGTCGGATTCTGAGGGAGAAGATGGCCAGCGATGGTAATTCCACCCCTTACTCGCTCCAGCATCTTGAAGATTCGGTCGTATAGATTGGTGGGGACTCTGTTCACAGCTCCATTCAGATGCCTCACATGAGTTTTCCGTCTATTCCGACGTTCAACATTAATATCAGGGTGACTTACAAGAGATGCCAATTGGTTCTTGTCATCAGCATAGTCAGGAGATCCTTTACCATCGTTGGAGGCAGGTCATAGACAGCAAGTCCATTCATTTTACCTGACAATTACTGTTAGTGTTATGTCGGTACTTACTCAATTGTTTGATCACATTCATCGGACAACTACAGTTCAAAAAATGTATTACATCTGAAGGTTTGAGTCCCAATTCCTTGACGTAATGTAGAAGAAGTTGCAAAGCATTAGTCAGCCATTCCAACCTGATTGTCAGCACCCCATCAAATGCATGTGGATGATGCACAATCTAAAGCTCATCCTTACAAGGGATCGGCAAAACCGCGCATCCTGGTTTTTTCTTGAGACATACACCATTTGAAAGAGCTTAAAAACTGGTCTAGATTACCTTTTATTAGCTGCTATTTTTGCTCTACGCCCTAGCTAGCAAGCATTTTTTTTTAATTCCCAGTTGGATTTCACGACTCTTTGCTTCTGAGAGGCTAAAGAGATTGAAGAATTACTTTTCATATGTCAATAATGAAAAAATCAAAAGAAAATCAGAAGGGGTTTCGAACCTGGTCCGCAGGTTCGCCTCGTGCAGCGCCTTACCCCACTAGGCCACCGAAGCACTACTACGCTGTACTTTGGAAACCGTTCGGATTTGTTTCCTTAGAAAAAGGGTGAGATAAGCCTAGAACTAAAGAGTGCTCGCTATCCAAGGCGTAGAACAGAAATAGCAGCTAATAAAATGTGATCCTAGACCAGTTTTTTACGCTCTTTCAAATGGTGTATGTCTCAAAAAAAAAACAAGATACGCGGGTTTGCTGATCCCTTGTTAGTGGCTCATAACCTACCAAGTCAGCACAAGCTATGATCAATTCTTGTTGGAAAACAGCAGCAGAAACATCCTGATCATAATGACATCCGGAATAAACGGCGCTGACAATCTCGCTAGGAGTTTGGGGACTGCTGATGTTTATCTCGACTCCAGATTTCATTCCCACGATTACTTGCTTCCCCCTTACCAGTAGGGTTGTTATACTTGGAGCGAGAGAAGTGACCGTTTTCTTCAGATGGGCTGCACAGTAACGGACCAGACCCCAGGATCGGATCTGACAAGCAATTCGGTAGACCTTCTCCAACCGGACAGTCAAAGTTTCTGCAAAATGTTAGACGTAATCTCTCATTCCTACCCCCATGGACAACAAAAGACCCCGAATATCGTTTAATCATAACTGCCAAGGCGATGGCAATCTCTCTGAGATTATCGATGACGTCTTCACGAGCAATTATCGAGAACAATTCGTGATCATCCATGGCTTGATAAACACACTGGAAATAAAATTGTGAAAATCAGCATTAGAACTTACTTCTGAGAGAATAGATTGACTCTCCAAAGGCAATGTCTTCATGCTTGTCTTGGACTTCATATGGGCCGTCTTCATGTCGATCTCTTGGAAAATATCCACGTCAAACTCAATGTCATCCAATTTGACAAAATCGAGATGTTCGATACAACCAGTGTTAAGGAGTTGCTGAAGGAGACGTCATCTATGCTTAATCACCTACATGGATCCTTCCAATCCGGACTCTGATTCCATTGACAAACCCATTCTTCATGCTTACCAACAAGTCGAGCATCTTTTCGAAGTATTCCCCAACGATATTCTCCTCTCGGAGTACCATACAAAACGTCGGATGACCTGAGAGTTTCCATCTTTTCGCAATAAACTCAATGTCCCTCTGAAAGACGGGAACAAAAATAAGTGAATAAGAATGGTTCTGAGATTTTGAAAAAGTTTCCTGATTCACTTTCATTTCGTCGAAGGCGTCTCTAGGTCCATCCACTTTCTCCAAGCACTTGCTTTTGTATGCGGAAACAGCCTGAGATCAGACTCTTTCCGGCTTTGACCCCAAGACGTTTACATTATCCATGGTACAACAAACATCACAAAATTGCTGGGCTATCCGAACAGAAAACTGGCAATCTAGACAACAAAAAAATGGGACAGCCTGCTCCTACTAAAGATTACTTTTGGGTAATGCCACCTTATTTTTTTCAATTTGCAAAAAATTTTTGTAGTGTAACATCCATATTTTTTCAATTCTCAAAAAGAGGGGGAGTGTTCATTCAAGGGGGAGTGTTCAAAGAGTTGGAGAGTTCAAAAAGGGAGAGTTCGGATTTTAGGACAGTTTGCGAACTGATTGCAGTTCGGGCTCAACCGTGATTCAGGTCACTTTTCAAAATTCTAATTTCTTCACTACTAAAAAAAATTACTTTGACATCTTCGATTAAAGTTGATGGATCAGCATTTCCATAGAAATCAGAGAGTTCAAATGTTAATGGATAACATATTACAGTGTCCCCTCCAATTCTGTAAATCTTGGACGTATTCAAAGGACCCAATGGTCTCGATGGTCGTCCTCCAAGTCCCAGTCGATGATTCTCTCCAAGATGATTGAACACCTAAACAATGGTATACAACACAATATCAAAATACTTTGACCATCCTCCAACTTGGCCAGATCTGAACTGGTTCAACTTCATGAGGAGTCTGGCTAAGGACTCCATAGGTGGCCAGCATCATCTGGAGTTGGCATGATTCTGAGATTAGGGCTATCTGGACAACAGGATCTCCCTCCATTCTTCCCTAAAAAGTGCGTGTTAACAGAAATATAACATGTTAATATGTGCGGATAGACAAAGAACGACACTAAACTAGGCACTAACAATACTACGAAACCATGAGCAAACTCCGCCCAAACTCTGTGACAAGTTGTCGTCTTCCCTCTAAAAAATAATAGTTAGTATAGTGATTAATTGATTAGAACTAAGGACATAGATTGGCCCGGGCCATTCGTTACCTCAAATGCAGAATGACGGTTAACTGCCTTTGGTCGTAAACTCGCCGGGAGATGACGGTACACAGGATCCAGATCGCTTAGATGGACAAGTTTATCGCCTGTAACAAGTGCCCTATTGAGATAAATAGTCAACATACGGACTAATAAGGCAATCACATAAAGAGCATTCGACCAGAGATGTATCCCAAATTCGGAAGGATTAACTGCATAGAAATCTTGGGAGTTTGGAGTTTCCCTTTCTTCTTCAATGTGATCCTCTTCCAAGCAGTAACATTCAGGGACAATTAACGGTCCACCTAAATTTTTTCAGAACTACAGTGAAGACTTACCATATTCATAACTAACCAACAAACCATTCAATTTCTCCCAATATCTGTCAGCCATGACATCATTGCCTTTGAAATGCGCTGAACCAAAATTACAAATATTATAATAAACAAAACATACCTGTGAGTACAATGTAAAGTAAAAACATGGGAAATTGGGACTCGATCCCTCTAAAGTTGTATGTCTCTTCTTCGGTGTAATGTTTCTTGGTCGTATCTTCACATTCAGTTCTATATCCATCTCTTAGGAATCTTTTAAGGCCATATCTTCCTTCAAGATGTTTAACACACTTGTTAAAAGTTGTGTCAAACAATTTCTCATCGTGAGTCGCAAAGGCGGGCCAACCAACAGCAATCAACAACGCTGCATCCGTATTCTAAAATTCAACAAAGAACTAAAAAAATATTTATACTTTGGAATTTGATTCTCTTGGAAGTATTGTCTCAAATGTTGTCCTATTCCTGTTATGTCCATCGATATCAACGTATATTACAGATCCTGATGTTCCTCGGTTTCCAAAAACATTCAGACCATTAATGGCTTCCAATGCAGCCTAAACAAAAAATTGAGCAAATTAAAAAGGTCTACCTTCACCATTCCTAGGCCACTCGCATGCAATTCGGTTTTCCCATTGTTATAACGGCTCCCTCTCTCCCACATTCCAAAATCAGGCGTGCGATAAGTTCTTTCCAAATAAAATACAAGATTCTGAAGAAAGGCAACTTCATCCATCGTGAAGATAACTTGAGTTCCGCCCATTGTAAACTGAACCAGAGTCAAGATGTAAAGAGCGACCAGATCCATTTGGAGATGATTGTAACTTCCATGAACCTCAAGTCCTGTCTGAAGATCAAATCGAGCATGGAGTGAAAACTCAGAGGAATTGTGACTTTTGAAAGCATTTAGCTAAAATATATTAAATTATTCACTGCTAAGTGTACCTTGCCCGTTTGTTGCATCCAACAGAATAATATTCCCCTCATCGTTTTAACCGCAGTCTGTTTCAATTCCGTTTGTCTTCCTCGATCATCGTCGAGTCTTTGATACGCCATGGAGCATGTCCAACAAGCAATTGCACAATAAATGCTATCCTTGACATAGCCAATGCTCTTATCATTGGAGAACCTCGGGAAAAGACCAGAAGTGCAACTTTGATTTTCCACAATTATTTTTTCAACTAAAACGATAAAACACTTTTTTATAATCAACTTACGCAAAGAATATATTCTATCAACCCTGGCAGTCCTACTGTTTGAGGCGGCATCATAATTGGAGTGGCTGATGGCCGACAAGTAAGCCTTAGTCAGCCTTCTCAGCCTTAAATTGGGTTCCGCTGACATGAGTTCTTTATACTGATCAAATAAAACACGTTCGGTCCAAGCCGCAGTTGAGATGGGATCCCGAGCTGCGCCCGCGATTTGTAATTCGTAGGGGACATCTTATACGAAGAAAGACCAAATTTTGCAATGATTGCCTCAGGGCTCTAAAAATTCATACACAAAATATTATTTTAACGTAGATCCGATATACCAAGTATCATCTTTCTGTCGCTGTCTATCTTCGACTTTGGGTAAATATCAGATTTTGCCTAGTTTTGAGCCTGCTTTTGTACCCATTTTTTGACCACTTTTTGGCTTGTAATGACAAAAGTAAGATAGTTATTCGAAATATCGCTCTTTGATGTTCTAGAGAGCCTTTTTCCGTCTTTCTTTTCGAAGACAGAACACTAAAATATTTTTCGGACAATCGTATAAAAAAGTCCAGCTTTTGAAAAATTGGGCGCAGGCCGCGCATTATTTCGAGTTAGTTTGTATCTGTAGTAACAAGTTCTACAACAGCTTATTACTTTATAGTGCCTTTTCTTGGGCGGTGATTTATAAATTTTGCTTTTCAATCCGGTCAAAAGCGGCAAATTTAGCCCAAAGTTCACTTTGGACAAAATGTCGGCGAATCTCGTCCAAAGTAAGCATAAAATTTTACTCAAAGACTGCCGAATTCAGTGTAAACCCTAGATAGTATCCGCCGGATAGGAAAACATTCAGTTCAAAGTTAACTTTGGCTCCATATTTTGGGTAAAACTTAAATAAAATTTCCGTCGATTGTATCCGGGGGATAATAACATCAAAATATAAGGCGCGTGCGTTCTACTTTTCTTCGGACTTCCTCGCAGAAAACCCGCATTTCTTGTCTGTGGGCCCGCTAGACAAGAAATGCGCAATTCTTGGCTGAGCAGAGAAAAAAAGAAAAAAATCTTCACGGGGAGAGAGCAGAAAATTGCGCAATATTGCGCAATGTTACGCAATTTTAGACAAGAATTGCGCGTTTCTTGTCTAGCGGGCCCACAGACAAGAAATGCGGGTTTTCTGCGAGGAAGTCCGAAGAGAAGTAGAACGCACGCGCCTTATATATTAGGTTGTCCAACAAATAATGACCCTCTTCGAAAAATTTATTTTTTCGGCAAAATTTACCGTAATAACTGCGATGTATTTAATCAAAATAATTATCATGTGCTTTATCACGCTTGTTACAACGTGGCAAAAAGTTTTTTTATGTCTGTAGCTTAGGAACCCCGGCTTCTGGAGCCGATGAAACTTTTGAAGGCCTTTTCAAGTGTGTCTTGATTGTCGAATTCTCTACCACTGATGAAACGTGCTAGATTCTTGAACTGATGGTAATGTGTATAGACCAGCTTTGACAAATAGGCTGGACAAGGGACAGTCTCCTATCTCTATTAAATCCGCTTCTGGAGGGTCATCTTTCAAAGGGGAGGTTCCGTGTAGCCGCTAAGAATTTTTGGACTTCTGCGGCGCATCGTTGAAGACAGACGCTGCCAAAAAACTGTCTTTCTGGATACAGTAGGGTATGGTATCTACATTTTGGCCAGCTTTCAAGAAGCTGTATTGTACTATTCCCATGCTGCACCATCAAGAAGTAGTCATCACCTTGTTTTGGGGGGAGTCTGGCTTTGACAAGTCCCGCAGTGATACCCTAGGAGGCCTCCGTTCAGCATATCTGGTCTGGTTATCCCAGTAGGTCCTCTTTCCATCAGAGGCAACGATTCGATCCAGAAAACGGCACGCAAACGCGAGAAATGTAATGCTTCCACTCTTTGCTTTGATCCAATAAAATGGGAAAAATTTGCCGAGCATTTTTTGAATTCCATCGACATCGAATGGTTAGCCGCCGATTAATTCAACAGCCAGACGATGTCAGAGACGCGTTGGATGTTGATTCTAGGATGTTCGCCAACCGACGACCTCAGGGTCAATTGATAAAGTTCGGTTTCCGTACTTTATCTTTGGGTCCCTTGCTGTCAAATCGTAATTTTTAAATCCATCGTTTCACCGTGTTCAGACTCAGAACACACTAGTCGAACACAGCGTTGATACTTTGCGTAGCTTCTGAAACTTTCGCGTCCTGTTTTTGCCCGTAAAAGATGACAGCACGAACCGACTTTTTTTTGATAATTTTCGATTAGGGCTAAATTACTGGAATTTGGTCCCAATATGACAAACGATACATCAAACGAAAGCCTGAAATCTCAGCTACAAAATGTTGTAATATTTCAAAATTCCATCATCGCTTGCCTTTTTTAGAGGCTTTAAACTTTTCCCCTCTCACAGAGGGTCATTATTTGTTGGACAACCTAATATGTAGCTGTATTTTCTAAAGGGAAGCATTTTGTGAAAGTGCAGCGTCCGGAGAGTACAGCGGGTAGCTTCCACCTCTGCTGTTCTAGGGTGTCCTTGACCAGTTTTTCAACATGGGGTCTGGTGTGATCGTGATATAAAATTGGTCATTCCGGCCGGTTTAATCGTAGCTCTTTTTTCCCTGAGATTCTCCAATGATAAGATTTATTCGTTGCATATCATACTGAGAAAGGGAATACATTCTTGATCCTAACCTTCTTGATGACATCTTGATCGTCAGTCCACGAGTCCACAGTGTCATTTCTGTACATAAACCACAGTAAGTTTAAGTAGTCAGCCGTTAATACAAATATAGTGTTTACTGATGTTCTCAAGGTCCACAAAATGAGGATTATTGTGCTTGAGATTTGGATATTATCGATAAGCGCCAGTCGCATCCCCATTTTGCAATCTGAATGTAGTTTTCTGAGTTGATATATCTCAAGAAGGAATTTAGAGAGGAAAACGAAGACTCCAATGGTAAAACAAGCAGTCACGGTATACAGGATGACTGTGCTTTCGGACTTTTTGTGACTTTGAAGACATTGTTTTGCAATGGGAGCATCATTAGTCTCGCTAAAAATAATACTCCGCAGTTTTAGTTAATATATTTAATATTACCGTTGAATGTTTTCCTGTTTCCGTAGTCGCTTCAGCACTGAGAAATACATAGTCACATTTCCTAAGCAAACACAAAGAGTAACTAACAAGAAAACGGCGAGTAATGGAGAGCGACAGGAAAAGAAATCGCAATCTGGAAGGGTTTCGTTGAAGATAATCTGATATTTGAATTACTTTTGTTTTGATCGAGATCAAGGATGAAGAAGATTGGCGAGAACAGAATTAAAATTGCTCCAGAGATGAACCATACACCCACATTTAAAAGAACCACATATTCCACTCGAAATTTGTTGTAAAAGGCGGAGAATTCGTTTCTGGCCTAAAGGAGATTTAACTGTGAATACAAAAACTTACATAGTCATGGATGCTGCTCAAGATTTGAATCAGTCCGATTGAAGTCAATGGAAATACGACGACAAATAACGCCAGGAAGAGGAGAGAATCGAAGGACTCTTTGATTTCTGCCGTAAATCCAACGATCAAACTGATCAATGATGCAACCACATCCACAAAAAGCTGGTTGGAAATAAATCTAACCCATTACTAGATTGTATTAGCAAAACCTACGAGTATGTCCGTAATTTAACCGACGGGTTACGCAATGCAATGACAATTAATGTGAGCAGAATTATACATAATAACAGGTTGATCAAGGAGAGCGCCGGGACCAAGGATAAAATAAAGGCTGACGACTAAAAAAGCTTGCAAAAACATGGGCAACTTACTCTAATCTGTTCGTTTCTGACTGATATCCACCTGGACAGATGGGACTCGTTCAGATGTCCTCTCCGTCTGCACGCTTCTAACCAACGAACATCATCCATGTTTGACTCGGTAAATGAGCGATTTGAAGAGGTCATCCCCTCTTTTTGCAAACATGAACATGTTGAGATTGTTGTGGTCACTCTCGACCTTTTCTCTTTTCCAAATCGAAAGCGTGAAACCAGATTCATTGCACCGTGAACGAAAGGTCGGGGGACAATATTTGCATCTTCTTTTCACGATACTTAAGGTGTTCGGAGTCATCTTTGGTTTGAATTGTGAGATAATTTGCAATCATTTTGTCATCGCAGTCTTGCGTATTGGTAGCGATCATTCGGCTTTGATACCTCAAAAGCTATTATGGAATCAAAACAGACGAATAAGTTTACTACTATTTTTTTCTTATTATCTGAAGCACAAACATAGTCTCGAGTTGTTGGACTGACCGGAAGTCCATTTGAAAGAGGCCGGAATGCACTCTTCGTACTACTTATTTCTTTCTGTACTACCCAATAAGAAGAACAAACCCGGCCCCAGGCCTTTTTTTCACTGTTGTCAAGGTGATTCTCAAACTGCAGAGCGGGTTTTTGAGGGCCCGTGAAGGACTTCAACTTGGCCTTTTCCCTTTGAGAATTCTCACCTCGAACGGCCATTAGCGCGAGAGGAATAAGTATATGTAACATGTCAATTGGGAATGGCTGAGTCGGTTCGAGTGATATGTCGTTGTCGTCCCTTCAATCAGCGGGAAATCAAGCTCAATTCGAAGGTAACCGTCAATCTTTTTCTCCATTTTATTATGTGACTTTAAACAATTCTTTTATGTCATCAATTTACGATTATAAAATTTTTTTTCTACCGTATTTCAGCCATGCGTCGAAATGAACACGACCGTGGGCCAATGCGCCCTGAAGGCCTCAGATGCACCACCAAAGGTATTTACATTCGACGCGGTCTATTACATGGAATCGACGTCGGAGCAAATCTACAACGACATCATCTACCCATTAGTGGAGAATGTTGTCGAAGGGTATAACGGGACTGTATTTGCTTATGGACAAACGGGTTCAGGAAAGACTTATTCGATGCAAGGCGATGACAAGATCCAAAGTACACGAGGAATCATCCCCAGAACATTCGAACAAATATTTGAGTCAATAGCTGTTGTTTCCCAAACAAAGTTTCTTGTTCACGTGTCTTACTTGGAGGTAAGAAGTCTAAATTTAAACACAAATTGTAGATTTACAACGAAGAAATACGAGACCTACTGGGAGAAAATCGTCAGCAAAAGTTGGATATAAAAGAACGTGGAGATCGAGGGGTTTATGTGGCTGGACTGTCCATGCATGTCTGTCATAATGTTGAGGATTGTCTGAAACTGATGGATATTGGCTTCAATAATCGGCATGTTGGGGCAACTTTGATGAATAAAGACTCCAGTAGATCTCATTCCATCTTCACTATTTACGTGGAGGCTTTGTCAGAGAGCGGAACTATTAGAATGGGAAAGCTTAACCTAGTAGATCTGGCTGGAAGCGAACGACAAGCCAAGACTGGAGCAACTGGAGAGAGATTCAAGGAAGCTACCAAGATTAATCTCTCATTATCTGCATTAGGTAATGTAATCTCTGCTCTGGTCGATGGGAAATCAAGTCACATTCCATATCGTGACTCCAAATTGACACGACTTCTTCAGGACTCGCTGGGAGGGAATACGAAAACGGTAATGATTGCGTGCATCTCGCCTTCGGACAACAACTATGATGAGACTCTCTCGACTCTCAGATACGCAAACAGAGCAAAGAACATTAAGAATAAACCAAGAATTAATGAAGACCCTAAAGACGCCTTGCTCAGAGAGTATCAACAGGAAATTGAACGTCTGAAAGGCCTAGTGCAGCATGACCGACCTGTCCAACCAACTGAGGATGTAGAAGAGATCAAAAAGAAATTAAGAGAAGAGTTTGCACATCAGATGGAACAACTGAGAACTAGCTATGAACACGAACAACAGAGTAAAGCAAAGTTGGAAGAAGATCTGAATAAATTGAAAACACAGTACGAAAAGGCTGCAGCTGATGTAGAAATGGCTAAAAGATCCGAGAAACCAATGGATGAAGCGGAGGCCAAGAAACGGCTCGAACAACTGGAGCAGCAACTAGTTGGTGGAGAAGAGGCTAACAACGAGGCATTAAAACAAAAACGACTTAAGAAAATGAAGGAAGCCGAGAAGAAGATGCAGAGACTGGCAGGTAGGCTCCCTCAGCTTGATCTAAAATTAATTTCAGAAGCCTTGAATGTTCACAAAGACGATCCCTTGTTACATGTTTATAGTTCTACGCAGGATAAACTTGACGCCCTTACAAAGCAATATAACTTAGAAGTAGAAAAGGTAATTGTAGAAATGAAATATAGATTCCTTTCATTAGGTTCGAGCGTTAGAAGCCGAGATCCATGATTTGCAAGGTGAATTTGAGTTGGACAGATTGGATTATCTAGAGACAATAAGGAAACAGGACAAACAACTCAAATTGCTCCTACAAATCTTTGAAAGAGTTCAACCAGCTATCAGAAAAGACTCAAACTATCATGATTTACATAAGATAAAGAAAGAAGCAATATGGAATGAAGACTATGGGCGCTGGATTCTTCCTGATCTCAACACTTCCAAAGGAGCATTGCCTAATGCTGCGCGTGGTAAGTGCAATACGATGGTGAGATTACTGTATTTTTAGTCATGCCGACTTCTCAATCTGATTTAAGTGATGATTATTTGGATGATGACTCCAGCACTGAGAGTCGACTTAAAAAGCGTTTGGAAGAGAGTGCCGGTTCTGACTTCATTAACAATTATTTCAAATCGCCTTCGAGAACGAACATTCTAGACAAGTACAGTGTCGATAGCAATAAACGGGGTAAGCCCAGATAATATAAACATATTCTTTCGGATCTTTATTTCGAAATTCTCCATTATATTATTGAAAGTATTCCCCAGGAAAGGCATTCCCACGTTAGTATCTTTATACATAGTGGTTCCTTCCCCTTTAACCGTTAATTATTTACAGAGAAGTCGAAGTTTCTGCAAAGGAATAATAGGACGGACGGTCTCATAAACGGAGTTTTATATACCGATGATTTGTATGGTCAACCGGGTCAACCACATCATCAGATGGACCAGCAACGCTCCAACAGCGCCCTGAGGAAACCTCAACGTCTGGAAGCCCTTCAGGTCCCCAGAAACAAGTCATTCGCTTGATCGTGCTTTATCAGAGTTCTAATAAAAACTTGAATATTCTACTGTTCTTCCACACCCTATCTGACTTGTTGCATTTTCAAATCTGATTTTGGCGAGGGAAGCGTAGGAATATTCACCATGGCTCTTGGTTAAATTTATTTCAGTCTCTGCCGTCCAGTTTTTTTCACCCTTGTTGGTCCTTCGTCTTCGGGTATACGAGAGGAATGAAGAAAGGGCCCAACCGCTTTATTAAGACAGGTTGACTTTTGCGGTTAGAAACTCGCAAGTGACACATGAACTCGTCGTCCTCCACGCCAGAACAAAAAAGCCGAACTCTTTTTTGTTCTGAGCACAACTCTCTTCGGCCATACAAATCTCATTTGATTTTGCTGCCCAATTTCGATGGAATAGGCGGCATTCGCTCTAGAAAACCCTGGGAGACATAAATGCAGGTGATTAACAAGTGTTTTCTTTCCTCCGAAAAGGCCTCTCGGCATTCATTTTTAATTTCTCAATTCAAAATTTTTCCAATGTTATCGAGGCCGTGCAGCAAACTTCGGGAGAAACGTTTTGTGAATTAGCGGACCAAACAAGTTATTCAGAAAGAAGAGCAGACTAGCGCTCTTTCTAACCAACACTCTCTTCATCAGTTATTCTGCCCTAAATAAAACATTTTCAGACAATTGAAGGTTGTCCCGGGAGTAAAGGCCCATCAATTCCTCCTTCCTCAACATTCTTTTGCAAAATCAGTCTTATTACTTTGTTTTTAATGACGGCTTTTTCGAGGTCATCGTGACCCCTTTTCTGGGTGTTCGCAAAAAAGTAGATTTACTCTGTAAACGTTTTTCTTGTCGATATTTTGGCCAATTGTTTTTAAATCCGCGATTATGATCGGGAATTACTGGTTGAAATTTTTTTTTGTAAGTTCTACTGAAATAGCGTTTGTCTCAATTGCGATTTTCTGTTTAATGCGGGTTGACGCCCTTAATTATGTTGTTTGCCTGGTTATTTCTACGTGACTTGGGTCCTCTTTAGACATTTTACTTAATTTCATACCAGCAGTTTTAATTTTAAACGTTGCAGAATAAAGAAATATAAAATGGACGAGGAGTCAGCTGTTTCGTCGAAGGATCCCACCGAGTTCCTAAAACTTCAACCGAAGAAAAGCATTCTGAAAGCCAAGCAGCCTTCTATTGACACCCAGGGCAGGCAGCTGAGCCAGGACGATGAGCACAAGAAGGCTCATTATGATGAGATGAATATCTTGGCCACCCATCACCCAGCTGATAAAGATTATGGCCATATGAAGGTGAGTGCTTGTCTTTATCTGTCATGGTTTAGATCGATGAGCCCAAGACTCCGTATCATGCCTTCAGCGATTCTGAAGAAGACTCCTCTGCTTCTCAAAGTCGTCCACGACGTGTTTCTTTGGTAGGAAATGCTGTAGATGCCGAAGAGTTATGCAAAGGTTTGGCTGCAGCTGCTTCGGGGAATTTCCCAAGAAAATTGAGTGCTGCTGGATCAATGGGCGACGACGAAGAAATGGATGAATCTGAGATGACGCCGGAACAAATTGGTAAAAATATGGTCACTTAACTTGATCTTATTTTAGCTCACAAACGGGAATTCGAACAGAAAAGGAAGAAGCATTACGATGAAGGAAGTGCTTTGAGAAGGGCCAAAGAATTGCTAGCTCAGGAGGACAACGAAGAATGATACCTGGTTCCCTACTTTTATCTGTATGTTTACCTTCCTCCCAAAATCTTCCCAATTATTGTAACTGTCACTTATTATAATTCTGGATGCATAATTCATGCTAATCTAAATTGTGAGTTAATTATAAACCGTTTATTTTAAATATTACTCTGGAGATCTGAGAGCCTGTTGAATGCTTTGAGATACTTCTCCGTTTGCTCTTTTGGGACCACCTGAACAGTCATATTAGGGTAGTTTGTTGGGGCGACAATGCTCTCTATGAATGTTCTACTGCGTCCTGTTGAACCCGCCATTGCAGTTACGACTATCCGCCCTGTAACTAATATAAATGAACGCGTTTCAAAGGTTTACCGCTTAGCTTATTTTTCTTCTGTCCGAGGACATTTGCCATCTCCCCTTCTTTAAGGACGAGGTCATGTGAATTGATCATCCGAGCCAAGTTGTTGTCCGCAATCAACCTTCTTGTTATTGACCAGCATGTCTGATAGAACATGCATAGTTGATCTTGGGTTGCATCCTTTTGTAAGTTGTAAATTATAACCGTTATGTCTTCGGTTTGATTATCTATCTCCACTTTTGATGGATTGTAGAAAAAGAAGGATTCGCTCTCAGATACCGTAACTCTTTCTTGTTTTAGCTCGGAGATCCATTCGATACTCGGAGCATAGATAGAACTCAAGGGTTTGGGATGATCTGACAACTCAGTTTTAGACGTTTCGGGTGTGAAGTCGTGTATTAGATGCCAATGGTTGGTGAATGGGGGCAGCGAGGATTCCAAAAGGTTTTCTTCGACAAGTTTTCTTGTCAATAGTATTCAACTCACCTTCTATGAAAGGGTACCTGAGAAACAAAGGGAAGAATTCAACTTTGGAATCTTCGATTATTGGTTTTGTAGAGCAAAATAAGTGCACCATTAGTGTACAATCGCGAGTTCTGAACTGTTGGCACGATGTGAAAAGAGAGCACCGCACACTGTCACGAACAAAAACGCTGCCTTTGCAAGGTCCGATGATTATAATGCAGTCTTCGCAATCGTCGATTGTAACCGATGATACTGTATCCAATATGAGAAGCAAACAGTTCTGAAAGGGATTCACAAAACAACCTTCGGACTCACCTTACAGTTGTCGATGATAAATTGCTCTCCCTGAACATCGCCTCGTCTTTTGACCATAACCTGGTCTTGAAGATCTTTGAATTGAACATCCCCAATAGCCGGTCTTGACTCCCTCTGCCTGAAATTACATTTACAAATACGAATTTCTCTTACCACGAATATCCTTGGCTTGCCGCAGTAGTCTGTCCTATTGTGTATTGAGCTGAACGGTCCTGTTTGTAACAAGGGATGATGTTTAGAAACGATGACCAACAATTATTATCGCTAGCCATGGTGTCGCCAGGATTGTTGGCTTCGTGTGAGCGGTCCGGGGGACAGAAGGCGTCACATAAACAAGCTTTAAAGCCTCGGTGAATTACAGGGTGAAGACGTGCTGGCGGCGGAACAGGACTTTGTGGGGCCTACATTGGAATAAGTAATCATCACACAGGGTGGGCCAATCGATATTACCTTCTTGTTTTGGTCCGTCAATCCCGAATCAGTCTTTCCTAAATTTTGGATTGGTAAAATTCCTATTTTTACCCTGCTAAAATTTCAGGACTTTAGGGCAACATTGCAATTTACAGTGACTTCCTTGGTTTGAGTTTTGATTTTGGACCGCAAAATCGGTAAAACAATTTAAGGATCCGCTGTTATTTTGTTTTCAGGATGCTTAATGCACTATTTCAGGGTTACAATTTGAATAATCCAAAATTTCGGAAACATTGATTCAGGATTGACGGGGAAATTAACCAATACAGGAGGGTAGTTTCGAGTGGCCCACCCTGTAGTTGTTTCCCTGAGATGGTAATACGAACCTTAAAACACGATTTTTGAGTCACTGCGTCAGCCGGTAGTGTGGGACGGTTTTACATTAGGAAAATTTTGATTTTGAGATTTTTGGCTCAATAGCTAACAGCCTTTTTATAGCGAATTTCCGCCTTTTTCAGGAACTGCGGGATCAAACCTGGGTCGCCAAATTTTTTTATAATTCTGGCGCACAACCACTATACTATGGAGGTTGGGGCACGGAATTTTGAACATATTATTTTACTTGTATCCAAAGCAGAATTTTATGCTGACTCCGAATCTGCGATAAAATCCTGAGGCATTTTTGATCTAAAGAAGTTAGGGTCGGTTTTTATCAACCGGATTACAGTATCACCAATGTTACCGTAATTTCACAATAAAGAATCTACGATTGTCGAATTCCTGAGTATCATAAACCCCTTTATGTCAGGTTTTATCTCTGTAGTCGGACCGCATCGGCCTCCAGAAGCTTTGAAATATAAAAACGCATTTTGTAGAAATAATATGCCTTCCGGGCATAATTGGGCAAAAATGTTGTTTGCGTTTCTTCCACAAGCGCTAGCGATTATCTTATGCCAAAAATCTCAAAACCGGTATTTTCCTGAGACCACCGCTGCTATGACTCAAAAATCGTGTTTTAAATCTTTAAATTGTTATTATTACGATTTTAAAATGTGTTCTTAAAAAGTGCCAAAAATTGAAAAACCGTACCTGAGTTGTGAGTTGTGAGACGCTTAACGCGCGAGGTGTTATTGTACGAGTGGGATCCCTTGCGCCTTCGGGCAAAGACCAATTCAAAGATACAACGCCGGATTCCAAAGGTGCCGCAGTGTAATTAACGTCTAAAAGGCGCAGTTACTGGATTGGAAGATTATGTTTGTGAAGAGGACAGAGAATTGCGTGTCAGTCCATTTCCTTTCCCACTCACCGTCCGTGGCGAAAAAGTCAATCTGCTCGTGGTTATTGTGATAAACCCCCACAAAGCGCGTTTGCTCGACTAATCGTTGTGGCCGAACTGCGGGCTCGGAGACGAAGGCTTGGTTGGTGTGACTGGATGATGATCGCCTGTCCTCCAGAGTGATTGAATCCGGATCCAAGCGGAGGAATTCCTCGAAGGAGCATAAATTGTCGACTTGGAAGTCGGCACAGTCGGTAGATTGCCGACTATAGTTGAGAGGGGGCTTGGGTCGAGCCGAGCCGTTCGAACTGGAGCAGCTGGGGAGCTCTTCGGAGGCCGAGCAACGTTCAGTCGCCACTTTAGCTGAAGCGGGAAGGGCTGGTCTCAATAGATTGGCAGCATCTTTGGGTTACCCATGCCTGTGTTTCCCCTGAGGCCACTATTTCACGTTACCATAGATACCATAAATTGGCTCAAAGATACTGAGTTATTAACTTCGACGAGGTAATCCTTTATTTATATATTAAAACCAGTGCATAACAACAACAAAATGAATAAAGAGCTACTTGGCCATGTTCTTTAAGGTCTGACAGACCTCCTCGTATAATCTCAACGAGTTTTTAAATGCGAATTCGGTCGCTAAGGTGATTTGTTTGGCAGTCATTACCCCTTCCATGTATTGATGAGCTATCTGTGTGAAAGCAGGGAGAGAAACCACAGTCAGAACTCCGCCTCCATTCTCCCGCGCCTTTTTACACTCGGCAGAAGTTGGATCTAACAATGGTCTAGTAGCTGCTCTGGAGGGAAAAACAACTGTAGAAGCAAGGGGAACGTCGTAAATCTGCACATTGGTTGAAGCCAAGGCCAATCCAATCGCCATTGTTGAAGCCGCCAGCACTCCACCATCATCACACACAACTTTTACGTTGATTTTTATCTCCACCTTATAAAAAACTAATAGATATGGAAAAGCTTACATTAACCAACTGATCTGTACGGACAAAAGTTTCCATAATCTGGTCCAGAACATTTATGGATTCTTCTGGCAGCTCATCTGAGGTCAACTAAAGATCAATTTTAAATTCAACCAAGTTCAGATACCTTAATTGGATTCTCATCCTCAACTTCCTCATCCATTTCTCGATCTTTCTCCATGGGCCCTTCGCTGCAATGAAATTAGATTAGTCGTATTGTGACCACTTACATTGAACACAGGACACAAGTGTTTCCTAATTCAACATAACCTGATCCATCCACTTTGTCCAGAAAATTGGCCCTGAAAACTACACAAAATCTTCTATCAACGGATGAAGTAAGACCTTACAAAAACGTCGAAAATCGTCGTCCTGTTTTTCATCCACTGCTTTTCGAGGAATAGGGACATTTGAGAGGCCGTAAAAGTCGTTCGAATCCATGCTACAACTGCAGATCAAATTTTATTAAAAATTTAAAGTATTTTTTTTTCCGTTAAAACGATGGCAAAAAAGTGAAAATACACACAGAAGTTTATTTGTCATGTTTGATAAAATTTTTTTATTCATCACATTCATTGAATAGGTGGGTAATACCGCTGCCCAAAGATGACAGAGCCAACTCTAACATTGGTACTCCCATATTGAATAGCTAACGGGAAGTCCCCGGACATCCCCATCGATAACTCTATCTCGTCTTCAGGGATACCAACGGTATTCGATACTTCTTTTCGAATATTTCTCATCAATTCGAAGTCTGAATTCTGATCCGTCTTATGACTTTCTTGAACAGACCCGATCGTCATCAACCCTAAACCACCTTGTGTGATAATGATCCGATAGACGCACCTTTGAACACCAAGTTAGGACACTGTTCTATTATAAACTTGATCAGAGTTCCGACTTCTGTAGGCTCCAGCCCATTTTTATTGGCTTCTTTACTTGTATTCACCTGAACGAAAACATTTATTGTCTTGTTCAGCCGATTACAGTAATTCTGAAACGTCTGGGCATGTTTTTCGCTGTCCAAAGTTTCCACGAATGATAAATTAGGACACTCCACAATCTTTTTGATCTAAAAGTACAAACCTTTGAAACCAAATATAAAAATTAACTATTGCAAGTGAAGAGCTCGCTTTTTTGAAAAAAATGAAAATTAGTGATAAGACATGTTTCTCAATGTATTAACCAAACATAGTATCCACCGGCGGCATCCACTACGTGTTGCGATTGTTCCGACGAGGATTACATTCGGGCGCGTAAAAACTGGGATATTTGGAATCAAAAAAGTCAGAAAGATCTGTTTAAGCAATGCTTTGAGGTCCTCCAAACGATCGAACCGCATATCTCTCAATTCAGCCAAAATTACAGCAATTTGACGTCATTTCGAAAAATTCTGCCAAATTAACCCTATCAAAACTTGGTTTTGAGGTCGAAAACTAGTTGGTCAATTGCCGGAGTCGGAATATAAAAGGGAAAAAATTCCAAATCTGACTGCGAAAGATTGGATCGTTAAATTTTTTCGTTGTTAAAGTACTTGTTTTGTCGTTTTTGTAGTTGGGAAAATAAAAAATATCACCCCAAGCATGATTAAGTTAATGAATGAGTTAAAAACGACTTCATATTGGTACTTCCAGTATGATCTTGGGCAAATTTAGGCTAATTTTATAAATACCCCCAATATGCCCGAATCCTAACTGGAGGTTTGCTCGGATTTCTTGGGAAAACGAGGAAATTCTGACCCTTCGGGGTAACCAAAATTGACTTACCTTATTAGTTTGAATTTTCCCGATGAAATGCCACTCAATAGCTGGACAGACTTCTTTCAAAGCGGCGGACTTTTCTTCCAGTTCATTCACATAATTCTCTCCGAAATGCCTCTGTCCTGCTTCATAACAATACTGAGTTTGCGATGCTGGGAATGTTTTTCCAACTGCAACCAGTCTAGGTGTATCCGTTCTCCCGCACTTCTCGCATGCCCTCGCTATCTGATCAAGTATGAGTTTAAGGTTTTGCTGTATAACTTTTGCGGAAAGGAGTTCCGACATCTATAAAATATAAAAGTTTGGATCAAAAAGTGCGATACAAGTTTGATTAAAACAATAAAAATTAGAGTAGAAAAAAATTTAAAAGTTTATGAACAACAGCAACAATAACCCTAGAATCTGAATTGAGTGCCCGAAACCAATGGATGAACGGCCGCGGTCCCGAATAGTGCACTTTGTTCTCTTTTCGTCATCGAAAACTTTTGTTTGGGAAGGGCAGCCGGAGGTGGTTCATCAAGAAGGCGTACAGGAGGCAATGGTCTGACTTTCCTACCACAGTATCCATCCTTTTTATGCCACAATCCACTGGACATCTTGTATCCGAAACGTCGATGCATATTTGCAGATCCAAACATTTTATCTTGCCAATCTCCGTGCGACAATCGTCCCACTGTAGCCATACAGGTTTTGTGTAAAGAAAACTCGTGTTTGTTCGGCATCTAAACCACAGTATGATGTAAAATACAAATGTTCTTACCCTAACTACTACAAAATCACCCTGGCGTCGAACGACCTGGGCAGATGTACCAGCATTGGTAATGAACAATTGACTGTCCGTCGTAGGGTATCGCTCGATCGAATTTACTATGGTTCCGTCACTTAACGCACCCAATGGATGAGCATTTCCTTCAATTCCAATTATAGGATTCTCAGGGATATAACAAGATGTGGAGATGATTTGGCCAGCTTTCATATTTTCCGTGGCCAAGATCCATCGTTTTCCCCTGGCTCCAGCAACCAATGCAATATGAGCTGTTCTGTTGGGATCTCTTCTTACCTCGAGCACCTAAAACAATAAATAACATAAACTTGAATACTCACCCTTTCATCGTAAGTCTTACCAGGTTCGTTCGGCCCTCTTCGATGTTCATCAATCATAAAATAATCAAACTTGACTCCTCCACCAATATGTTGATTTACTTTTCTTCCTGTTTCAGGGTCTCTTCCTCCCAATCTTCTCACTCGTAGAGGATCAGGAGTATACTCATTGTTTGTGATCTCCTTGAGATCTCTCTCATCCCATAATAATCTTGGCAACGGCTTCGTGCCTCTTGCCGGAAATCCCCGAATTGCCGCAGCCCATGGTTTTAGCGGCGTGAGAAACCGCCTCGTCGCCAATAAACGGTTAAGCGACATACTAAAACCATGAATAAGCATGAACTGTAACGTATAATAGGTATCAGGAAGATGTAAAACTTTAAACATGCAATCTGTGTACTTTATTCCTTTTATTCAAAATAATACAAACAAGTATGTGCAAACGACCTATTCCACTGTTTCAGAGCTTCAGGAACACCGGACCTTGCTCCGCGGAAATGTAACGGAACACATTTCATATCAAAGAGCTGAGAATTCATTGCACTTTTAAGATCAATCGGAATTGCGTTACCGATACAAATCAAACTCCTCAACATACCCGCTTCGGAAAAACTTTCAAAGACATTATTAAACCCGTAATGATCGAAATGTATCATATAAACAATGTGTTTCCCGTTCAAACGGCTCTCTGACCGTCTTAATAAAATCGGCGGAATGTGTTTCAGATTGTCAGCAGGCAAAACATTAATCCTCTTTTGTTCCAAATACTTCTTCTCTCCCTGAGATATTCGCACTTCTTGATAGAAACAGGACGAAATGTTTAACATCCTTCTTATTCTCTCAAAAACTGCCATTTGAATAGCCGAGTCCGATTTTGAAATACTGAAGTTCCCAATTCCAATCGCCCTCATACTTGCGACGGGTGTATCTCCAATAGCAAGTCGAAGAATCTTCATAAGACACTCACTAAACCATAATACGGAATGATTAAAAATACGTACAAATCAGTTTGCAAACATCTGTCAATCATACAATGGGCCCATTTCATCTCCGCATCTGCTTTCTCTGCAGATTCAGAGACCTCGAGACTTTGCAGTGCATCGATATCTCTAGAAACTGAAGCTGTATATGGATTCGAATATCAAAATTACCTTATTCGAAGTAAATTACCGTCCCGATATCTAAATCCTTTATTTACAACTGTAAAACCGCCATCTTCCATAATTTCTTTATGAGTCGCCATTGCATGCAAAAAAAAGTGTAAAAATTTATTTCTTGTTTGTGTGTTCTGGGCGGCGCCCCGCGCCCTATCTTTTGTTTTTGCGCCTTTTTATACAATAAAAATCATGGGTGGCTAACGCGCCGATCCGTAAGCCCGGCCGCGGTCCTAAACGGGTTCGGGCCTTGAAACTGGCCGGACCTGATTTTTACCGGGCCGGGCTCCGGGCCTGAGCCGTTTTCAGGCCCGGCCCGGTTTTGTGGAAATGCCAAACGTTGGCATGCTATGTTTTCGCCCCGGTAAATTTTTTGATGGGTTTGTATCTCAAATTCAAGAACAGTTTACTACTTTATAACACCTTTTCGCATATATGTTATAATCTCAGGTCCAAATTAGAACTTAAAATATAGTTTATAGCGGATTTTTGCATCATCAGGGGTGGCAAACGGGCCCCTTTTTGAAAATTTCAGGCCCTGCCCAGTAAAGACCGGTTAGCGCGCGAACTGAAAAATTTCCTTTTATCTTACTGTGGTGCTAAAAATCTACTATGTGCTGTATTATATGTATATTCTAATTTGGACCCAGGGGTGGTCAGCGGGCCGGGCCGGCCCGGCCCGGCCCAAACGGGCCGGCCGGCCTCAAAAATGGAAAATTACAAACGGGCCGGGCCCGTCACGGGCCGGGCCGCGGGCCTGGGGTTTTTCCGGCCCGGCCCGTCTAAATTACAATGCCAAACCGTTGGCATTCATTGTTTTCGCGCCGGGAAAATTAATTGATGTTGTTATAGTTGCTGTTTCTCAAGTTCTAACACGTTTACAAGTCTATAGTTCCATTATAGAACCACAAAACTATCACATTGATCCTTTACTAGCTAGATCAACGCCTTTTTTGCCTCAGTTTAGATCCCGAGCCTGGGCGCAGTTCGCAGAACCCTCTATAGACGGGCCTGCACGGGCCGGGCCGGGCCGGGCCAGGCCCGTCACGGGCCGGGCCTGGAAAAAGACTAGACGGGCCGGGCCGGTGATTAGACGGGCCGGGCCGCGGGCCGAAAATCGGAAAAATAGGGTCTGCTGACCACCCCTGTTTGGACCATATACCAACAAGCAGTTCCCGGCTTTTTGGCATTTTTTGGCATTCTGCACCTGTAAAAAACAATAATTTTGTAATTTGTGGAATACCTAGCACAACGTTTAGAAACAACTATAGGTTGGCAACTAAGTTATTGAAATTTTTGACTGCTTTTCTTTTTGCCACAACCTTTAACCCTTTCCGGACGAGTCGGCACGTACTGGTAAAAATGAAAGAGGGTACCCTACTGAGTAACGGCATAATAGTGGTTCAGCCCATCGAAGCGATATTTGGGACTTAGGACAAAAAATGTCCTAAAACATACCCCCATTTGACATATCACTTTTAAAATTTTTGTGACAAGCTGTAGGTCGGAAACTACCCCTAAATTAAAGTCGAGGAGTCCTAGTACTGTTACATCCAAGAACTGTCCGAATCGGACCACCATAGGATTTGTTATCGATTTTTGGAAATTGAAATTTTAATTTTGGTCAATTTTGGACATAAAATCAAGTATATCTTCTGTCGACATCAACCACTTCGGTCCAAATGTGGTTTTTCCAAATCTATTTTGATGCTAGCTTCTTCCTAGAATGTTTCCAGAAAAAACCTGTGAGGCATATTTCGGTAAAACGCAAAAATGTTGAAAATGTAAATATTTCATCGTATAAAATGTCGCTGCAAGCCGAGAAGGGTCGGGCGCAGCTCGAATCGAGAAAATAATAATTTTTTCTTTGATAAATATTGTTTTAGTGTGAAACCAAATTAAAATCCATGAAAATTGCCTGAAAACAGAGTAAAAATATAAAAATGACATTTAGGTAATGTTTGTGTGCTATTCCTGTCTGTATTTCGTGTTGAATCATCTTTTTGACATTAAAATAATATTTATCAAAGAAAAAATTATTATTTTCTCGATTCGAGCTGCGCCCGACCCTTCTCGGCTTGCAGCGACATTTTATACGATGAAACCTTTACATTTTCAACATTTTTGCGTTTTTCCGAAATATGCCTCACAGGTTTTTTCTGGAAACATTCTAGGAAGAAGCTAGCATCAAAATAAATTTGGAAAAACCACATTTGGACCGAAATGGTTGATGTCGACAGAAGATATACTTGATTTTAGGTCCAAAATTGACCAAAATAAAAATTTCAATTTCCAAAAATCGATAACAAATCCTATAGTGGTCCGATTCGGACAGTTCTTGGATGTAACAGTACTAGGACTCCTCGACTTTAATTTAGGGGTAGTTTCCGACCTACAGCTTGTCACAAAAATTTTAAAAGTGATATGTCAAATGGGGGTATGTTTTAGGACATTTTTTGTCCTAAGTCCCAAATATCGCTTCGATGGGCTGAACCACTATTATGCCGTTACTCAGTCGGGTACCCTCTTTCATTTTTACCAGTACGTGCCGACTCGTCCGGAAAGGGTTAAAGGCTTAACAGTCAACAACTTTAATACCCACTATTAGTAACAACAATGCAAGCCTTATCATCTGAATGTGCAGTGGCACCACCAACAGAGAAACCAGGGAACTTAGGCTTAGAAGATTTCATGAAGCCGGTTTCTAGATGTTCTGCTGTACTGAAGTTTTTATACCTTAGATCGTACGCAGCCAAATGGGTGTGATATCCGACACAGAGAGTAACATAAGTACTTCACAACACTCAAGAAAGCAAAGTCTATTTGGACTGTTTGATAATTTTCTACGATCATTATTTCTATCGGGCCAAACAGGCATCTCTACGTAAGTGGATATTCTAGATTTCGTTTTGCTCGCGGCCCGAATCTTTTCTATCTCCCATGTAAACATATTCGGAGGATTGATACTCTGTGCTGGTAATTTCCCGAGAGCATAGCGCTTAAAAAGTTTGCTAAAATCTTTAAAAATGCTTTCATCGGGTATAAAGGGTCTGTTCGGCCTTAACTTCAGAATACCGCGCCTAAGTTCGCTGGCTCCTGTACGGGTTTTTAACAAAGAGAATAGACGTCCCTTTTCAGGGCCCTAGATTTATCAGCGGCACAAAGGTCTTGAAGAAAAGCAGCAACTACTCGGTTAACTTTTTGGGAGCCACTAGGCAGGTCATGAAGATAAATTCGGTCGCGACTTTATGTCATGCTCCAAGAAGGAAGACGTTTTATGCTACTATTTGGATCGTAGTGAATAGCTCTGTCACTACCCGAAGAGTTAGCCGCGCTGCCTTCTTTAGCGTCTCGTGCAACGCCTTGAAAGACAGCCTACCGCCTAATTTTAAGCGAAGTCGTAATAATTTCTATTGATCCTTTTGGGACAAAATGTTATCACAAGACTGTTGAAGGTGTCCTGACGTTGTAAACGTTTTACATTAGCATTATGTCATTCGAGTTCTAAACGCATTGCATGGCACTGCAAAATGACCACTCAAAATTGCTCTTATTCAAATTCAAGGTACTACACCAACACGCGAGCTGCGAGTTCGATGCCTCTGGGTTTGATAGTACTCTAACCCTACTACAGGTGGGATAGTGTGATACTATCCATACTGACTTAAGAAGGTCTGTGGAATAATGCAAAAAAAATTTCAATAACTTAGTTGCCAACCTAATAGAAAAGCGGAAGTCGAGCTCTAATTGCGCCATTATCGATCGAATTTTTGTGACACTTCGCTCCAAAAAGGTGGTCTTAAAGATACGATCTTTTCACCCGATCATCCAAAATTGAGCGACTTGATAAATGGTGAATTGGAAAGAGTAGACAGTTATCTCTCTGTTAGAGGTTCAGAAATTTGTATGTGTTATTCAGTCTTTGAGATATTCGACTTCAAACTTCCCAAAATTGAGAACTTTGCAATCGCCTAGCGGGCGACGTTTAGTCACGAATCCTACAAAAATGGGCGATCAGCACTACAACATCATTCTCAATCATCATGCAAAGTTTCAGAACGTTTTCTGGCTCGAAACTCGACTTATTGAACCATCTTTCCTGCTATTATTAGGTTGATTCAAAAGTTTTTCCACATTTTTTTGAGACACTTCAAAATAAAATTCCTGGAGCCTGATTGAATTTACGTTAAAACTGAAAGCATAGATGTATGGGGCAGAACATTGCAAAATTTTTGATTCGTAGCATTTTATTTTCTACAAGCTTCCTTTCAGAATATTTCAAAAATACTAAAAATTTCTCCGTTTGTATCATGGTGAATATCCCGGGCCCTAGCAATTTTCCAGCCCACTAAAAAGTCTCGGGTTTTGGGTTATTCGTACTGGGGATGGCTGTAGTTTCTTCTGAATTTATTGCTCTACTTTTATCTACACTGACTTTTTTTGTAGCATCCCATAAAGTTGGCCGAAGAGCCGAGCTACCGATCAAAAGCAGATTTTTAAAAATTTTTTGAAAGGAGTTAGACTTTTTTGACTCGGCTGCCATTCAGGTTGTACAAAGACAGTATGCTGATGATACATTCAAAAAGTCACCAACTGAAATTGCCTTATAAGGTAGAAAAGTAGCATGAACTGCACTTTTAGGCGAATTTTTGTAATTTTTTTACTGGTATGGCAAGAGGACCTTCAGCTTAGCGCGTCTAGCAACTGATAGTGTATGTCAAGTAGGATCAATTATTTATTAAATAACTAGGATACCGGGCGAGAGTAATGAACAGAAAACGTTTTTGTAAAAATCCCCTAACTTTCGTAAAATATTGGTAGATTAGAAAGATTCGATTTTTCTACCGCATAGCTAAAGCTAGCGCGAATGTTTAGCATTGGCGTTGTAGTGCTACTCATACACTACAATAACAGAAAGCGTTATCACTTAGTGCTTCTAATAGCTGCGTCTACAGGGTCTACTTTTGCCAGACCCTAATTTTTGATTTTTCGTACTAAAAATTTTTCGACTAGCCCTATAGCAAATTGTCCTCGATGCCATAGAGATTACATACAGGCATACCATATTCTAGAATATTAAGAAGATACAGCCACTCTAGACGTAACGCCGGCGGTTTACTTTTTCTTCCTTCGAGTAGTTAAGGTTTAACACGGCGCTACTACTACAAATTGCTAAGTTGTAAAAAGTTATTAATCTACTATAATCCACAAACAGCCCTCTTTCTAACAAGATATATATCAGGCCCACTGGCTTTGGTCTAAATTTTTTAAAGACATGTGGAAAAACTTTTGAATCAACCTAATATAATGATTGAAATCGTTGCCCGGGCTTTTCGCAAAATGACAAAATCCGTGGCATTCCGCAACTAGAGATATTTTAATTATCAAACTCATCAAACATGGTGTTTTTGAAAGACAAACCAGACCTACTATAACAAGAAAAATTCACTGATAGGGTCTATAGCTTTTTTCTGTCAAGATTTTGTTCAATACTGGGCTAAATTACAATTTTTGTAATTTCTCGAAGAAGCCAAAAAACATTATTTAACAGTACGCCAAACATTTGTTTTCGTGGCGTGACGCGACCAGAATTCCGTGAAAAAACGTTGTGTAGGTAGGTACCTAGTTTGCCAATACCTGTATAAACTGAATGTAGCTAATGCAGCCATAAAGCTTACGTGCCATGTTATTTGTGCGCATGAAAGCATTATTATATTTTTCTAAATTCATTTAGGCGTTGGGAAAATTGCTTTTACGTTTCATTCCATACGCATTCCAAACACTTCAGTATTATGCCGTTTTTCTTTTCCTATAGTGTGCGAAGTACGAGCCAAGGGAAACGGGGCTTATATCCAGACGAGAAAGTGACGGGCTCCCTCCCCCTTCTCTCTTCCCCATTGCCCTTGACATTCCACTTTTCCTGCCGCTCCGATCCGTTTTATTGCAGAATTTCCTTCGGTTCTGTATTTGCAGTTAGGCCTAATCGATTTGAGTTTCGCTTTTTTATTGCTTTGTTCCTAAAACTTGTATAAAAAACAATATTTTAGGCGAAGATGGCCTCAGAAAAGTTGATGGTAGATCCTGTTGGCGACCTTCCCGTAATAGACAACGGAGAAAACGCAGTAAAATTTACCAAGGTAAAAATATATACTATAATTTTCTCAATTGTGACGCAATTTTAGGATGGGGAAAGCATTGACTTGAAGCCGGAGCAGAAATTAATAGGACTCACTAAGGAGCAATTGGAGAAGTACAGGAATGATCCTTTCTGGAAGTCAGCTCGCTACGTCGTCTTTACATTGTTCTGGATCATCTGGTTGATCATGTTTGTTGGCGCCATCCTAATTGTTGTAATGTCACCCAAATGTGCCCCTAAGAAGGAACAAGCTTGGTTCCAGAATTCTGTTGCCTATCAACTCTTCACTCCGACGTTTAAGGATTCGGATAACGACGGAGTTGGAGATTTTCTGGGCATAAAGGAAAAGTTGAATGACCTCAGACGGGTTGGTATCACCGCTCTGTGGCCTACCCCATTGCTAAAGACTGACAAAAACGAATTTGATCCTGCTGCTATTGTCGACTCAAACTTGGTGGACTCACGTTTCGGATCTGAAGAAGATCTAAAGAATCTAATTGATGAAACTCATAGCCTTGGACTGAAGTTTATAGCCGATCTACCGTTAACCGAATCAACTGTTACGAACATTACAAAGAAAGAGAACAAGTTGGTGGACATCAACAGCAATGATGTGTTAACCAAGCTGAGAAAAACGGCCGTTTATCTTTTAAATCTTGGAGTCGATGGAATTCATTTAGCACAATATGGGTTGGCTTATGTAAGTTTGAAATGACATGGCACAACCCCGTGTTTACAGAAGTTCGATGCTTCCGAAAAACTGGACAGTCTTGCTGGGTTAATTCGCACAGAAGCAAAAGAAAACTTCCACGACAACAATCCCGAGAATCTTTTACTATTCGCAGATGTCCAGATTCAGAGAGAACAAAGGAATCTAAATCTGTACACAAGACCTCTTTACCGTTACCCTAATGCTACCGCCCAGATCTGCCATTCTGTTAATTTTATCGAGTGTCTTAGTGAAAGCGCTCGAGACGGCGCTGGCCAGGTTGTCCGCAATGCTTCAACTCTTCCCCTCTGGCAGTTAGGAGATGTCTCCAGACCAAGACCATCCATCCGGACTGCAGATAATCTTCTTCCTCAAGCTACTGCTGCTCTTGCTGCGATTCAGCTGTTCTTGCCAGGCTCAGCTGCGATCTACTACGGCGAAGAGCTCGGACTTCCACCAGTGAATGATGTTAAATCACAGCACGGTCTAATGGCCTGGTCTAACGAAAAGAATGGAGGATTCTCGGATATCGAAGGAAAACCCTTTTTCCAGCAACTTTCGAGTCAACAGATTGAAAAACTGAATTTCGAGGTGAGTAAAACCCGGTTTTCGAAACCGCTTTATAGGCTCAATACAAAGAAACTCATTCTCCACTAAAAGGCTTCAAGAAGTTGGCAGAAACCAAAGCCCGTGATGAAGTCTTCATTGAGGGTCAGTTGGCGGTCTCCAAAAAGGATGGTTTGGCCATTTTTTCCAGAATACTCGAGGGGAATGAGAAGGTATGTTGCGTTCGTTCAAATAACAAACAACGTTAAGGCTTATATTCTTGTGGTAAACTTTCCAAACACGAATGATTCATCCCCAAAAGTATTTACATTGAACAAGAACATTGTACAAAACCATGCTGCTTCCCATGTGGAATTGGTTTGGAATCAGCCTAACAACGCTAAAAATCCATCCCATATTCAGCTTAACGACAAACTCACCCTGAACCCCTTCGAGTATGTCCTTCTCCGTGTCACGGTGGTTTAAACCAACGATAACAGACATGCCACACAGCACGTTCAACGGCTTTTCCTTCGTTTAAGGTTTATTACTTTTGCAATAAATAATCATGCTTGTTAAATGATTGGTCTCGGTTTTCTCTGGCGCCCTCTGCTACTCGTACCCTGGGCCAATGATCTATATTCGTCTGGCATCTCCTCTTCAACATATGAGCCCTCAGAATCTGATTCCGAAGATCCAGTGATCAATTCCGGAACTTCCTCATCGTCCGTGGACTCCGTAGTGTCACTTTCACTGCTCAGTTGTGGTTCAACAACTTCATCTTGAATAAAACGCTCTTCTAAAATTCAATTTCTAAATTATTTGATTGCCACTTACCTCGTGGAGCCGGCTTAAACGCCGGCGTGATTTTAGGCTTCTTAGCAGGCCTTTCTTTAATATGTTGAGACAGGATTGTCTTCCGGAAGCTTCGTTTCTCTGAGGAAGGAGATGGCTCCTCAACTTTGATCGGGCTTTTGTTTTCTTGTTTCTGGTGTTTTGCTTCATGCTTTCCGAAATATGATCGTGGCATAATCTGTGCGAATAAACATAAAAATTAAAAACCTACATTTCCCTTCTCGAAATGATACAACTGGTAACAAATGAAGGCCGCTTCATGAGAAACGACATGATGTTGGAAAATGGAATCACCTCCACTGATTACCTTCCCACATTCCTCACAAATTCTTTGCTTTATCTCATGTTCTCTGACGCGAGCATTGTCGTATCTTCGTTGCGCACTAAAAAAATAAATAAAAATTCTAAAATAGGCTCCGATTATCGTTGATCTACCTGACAAATGGTTTATTCCTCATCCAATTTTCCAACGGAATTCCCGAAGAATTTGCAGACGTCGATGGAAGCACCATCTCGTTTATATTGTCATATACGAATCGACCTTACGCGCGTAAATTTACGCGCAAAGCGAGAATAAATTTTCTCGCAATAAAATAATATCGCAAGCTGCGCCCTTTCTTGGAAAATTACAAATACAATGTTATACGATTGAACCTACAAACGAAAGTCATCGACGGGCATAAGCACACTAAGGCTGAAGCCACCGCAATAATTTTTACACTGTTTTGTGAAATATACACTTTATCAAAATTCCTTTTGCTAACTTATAAAATTGTTTGAAGAAAAGACATTAACTTTTTAACCACATTTCTCCGATTCTAAAAACGAGCGTTACCGCATTAGAGATAACCGCAGTTATTATCAAAAACATGTTCTTTATTTATTGTTGTCAAGTAATTACTAATTCGGAGATTTCGGCAGATGCCTTTGTTTCCTCTGGCGCTGTTAACAAGGCGTAAAAGCGCTATAAGTGTTTGTTGTGGTTAAGACCGAGAATTTGCAGAGAGGGAGGGCTGGCGATAAGCGAAACTGGTATCCATAATAAAAGTTGTGAAAAGTGACCCCGAGAGAGACAGAGAGACCGGATGTGGAAGAAGATGTCGCGAGGAGGTCCGAGGATCCAACCGGTCTTCAGAAGTGGCGTAACGGCGATGGCGTGGGACAGTGGCGGGCTTAAAGCTCGAGCCGGACATTCAGAAAAATTCTTTGTCAAGTCATTACTCAACTCCCAAATTTAAACAGATACAAGTCTGTTGCGCAGTTAAGGAGTTTGATTTTTCGTGTACGGACACTTGCGCAACCCGTGCCAGTTTTTTGACAAGCAATAAAATTATTTTAACAAGTTTACTAATATTTGTCCTGAAAATGAGGAAGTATGTACTTATTTTTCTCATCCAGAATGTTAATCATAAAAAAAGCTCTAGTCTGCCTTTTTGGTAAGTGTAAAACAGTATTTCGTTAAGGTTACGCACTTTGTTGCATTTAGTCGCGTAATACCTGCAGTGTCGCGACGAATCTTCGCTAAATTAACTAATATTCGGCGTTAGTTTGTTTCGGAATGAGGAATGGAGATGAACGGACGTCTTAAATACCAGTTTTATAGAAGCTCGCAAAGGCACTCCCGTTCTTTCGATCCGGTCTTCGGTACCTTCAACTTTTACTTTTCTTACTTTATCGCATTTGGGGATCGGTTTCAAGTTCTTTACGATCCCGAGCATTAATTACTTTCGGATTCTTGGAATTGCTTTCTGACAATAGGGGTTTCTTTTTTTTATTATTATTTTTTGCGCAGTTTTTTGGGTTACGGTAGTAAGTAAAAGTCTTTCAATTGGTGTAAGTAAAAGTCTTTCAAATCCTACCTTTGCTCATAACATCATCTTCTTGATGTGTTCCGTGATAGAGTCATTAATTTTCCGTTGAATTCCGCCCGTACTCGACAATTTAAACTCTGAAAGAGATGAAGTAAATTAATGGAGGAATGTGATCGAATTTACTTTCCATCAAAACTTTTTATTTGGATTATCCGGATATCCCTCCCAAAAAACTACCTTTTCATTTATTACTCGAACTTTTTATGTGTAAGATGAGTTAATGATTGCGTAACGCTACTTTCCACCTTTATGACTTCGCAGTAATTGAGAAAACTCAGTGGTTTGTAAATGGACACTGAGTTTTTGTTTCCGGCTTTTGATTATTTGAAGTTTTGCTTTGAATTCTGAATCCATTAACGACCACCTTATTCCAGCCATGGATGATCATGCGTCTACTTTGAGGTGGATGTGTGTCTTTCTCTCGATGAGCGGCATACTGTGTCAAGGGTATGGCACAGGAAGTTCAGGTGGATCAAATCCGTTCAAGACCCGAGCTGATTTTGAAGCCGAGATGGGAGGGCCTGGAATGAGTCCAGTTTTGCCCCCAGGGGAAGATCAATACTTCCCGCCGCCAGACATCCCGAAACCAGACGAGAAGCTGGACGGATCATCCAAGTAAGGGTTATCTATTTTGTCAACTCTTATTGTAGATCGACGGAAGAAGAGGAGGAAGAAAAGCCAAAGAAACGGCCCGATTGTCCCGTTGTTGGCTTCTCTGGGGAATCTCAGCTCAACACTCCAGATGTCAAATTCAAGATCAGGAACCTTGGATCAGATGCGAAGATTCCTGGCTTCGGAAATCTGGCCTACCCAGGTCGCGTTTTGGAGAAAAGCCGTAAGTTTTACAAAGCAATATCCTGACTTAATCCATTACTTTGAAGCGAAATGGGAACCCGGGGATGAAGTCATTAGTTTTAAAGAAGATCAGTTTGTCGAAGGGGGATTCCACACCTCGTATGCTTACAACCCGGATTGCGAGCCTGTTGAAGGTTCTAATGTTGTGTCTGCTCATGCCAAGAATACGGATATCGAGCCAGAACCATACGAACCCGCTGTAGAAGCGGTTACCGAAGCCTCCACTTCGCCCGCTGAGACCGCTGCGCCTTATGCAGAGACCCCAGCTCCATTCAAACCAGCCGAGACACCCGCTCCCTATGTGCCACCAGCTGAAACCCCGGCACCTTACGTTCCAGAACCGGAGACGGAGCTACCCTATGTACCAGAACAGAAGACCGCAGCTCCATACATTCATCCTGAAACTGAGTCCCCTTACGGACCACCGGAAGAGACTCCAGCTTCTTATATTCCCCCAGAAGAGACCCCACCTCCCTACGTGCCTCCACAGACGGAGGCTCCGTACATTCCCCCTGCCCGGACTCCAGCCCCATACGTACCAGCTGAAACGTCCGCACCGTATGTGCCCCCAGAGACCCTTGCCCCTCCACCAGAAACTCCGATTCCACCAGCCACGACTGCTGCTCCATATGTACCACTCCAAACACAAGCACCTTATGTGCCTCCGGAAACACCCTCTCCTTCACAACGAACCCCATCGCCATATGCTCCCGTCTCCTCCGGCGGTTCCTATGGGATCGAGAACGAAGTTGACATCCCTGACGAGACCACCCTGGCACCTGCCCCAACTTCGACCTCTGCGCCAGCCAATAATGGCAAAACCGACACTGGAGACAACTATGGCCAGTCGGTGAAGCCGTCGGATCTTATTGATGTAAGTGGTAGCCATGACCCTTAAATTATTTTTTAAAGGAAAATGAGGACGGAGTTGAGTATGTTGATGAATTGACACCGCCCCCACCTCCTCCTCCCCCAGCCCCCCGGTCACAACCTATTCCTGTTCCCAGAGCTCTTCCAAGCCCATCTTCTTCGTCGTCCTCGTATGTTGCACCTCCCTCTCCGATTCAAGTCCCGGCCGCTTATCGGCCATCGTTGCCATCGTATGTGCAACCGCACCCGCCAGTTTCTTTCCCACAGCCTATTGGAGGACAACCCTTTGGCAGTTTCCAGCAGCCATTCAGTCCCGTTTCTTATCCTCAACCTCCACTCCAGCCAGCCGGATGCTGCGGAGGCAGTTGGTTTAGCAGTCAAGGATCTTTGTGCGCTCCCGTCAATTATAATTCATGCGCTCCAGCACCGGTGCAACCGTCTTGTCAGCCAGGATGCCAATCAACACTATCATGCTGTAAGTATTGATTTTTTTATTTTGAATGGCGTTGATATCCAATTACACCATTATAGCCCCTGGATGCGCCCCTATACCACAGCCAGCTTGTTCATCGCCCTGTTCCAGCCCATGCCCACCTCCTTGCCCCCCTCCATGCATCCCTCCACCCACAAATAATTGTTGTTGTCCTCAGCCTGTTTCTGCTCCAAGCTTCTGCGGTGGACGCCGGAAACGATCGCCCCAAATATCGGGAATTTGTAAATTATTCAACCTTTAATCAAAACCTCTTATCAATCGACAAACCACAGCCAGACACCTCAGCCAGGACATCCCAAATCTCAATGCAATAAGTTGTTGTAAGAGTGCCATTAATATCCCGGTATGTCCCCAATAGGATCCTTAACCCTTATAGAAGTTGTTGCTGTAACTAATTTCACATGAAGATCTTCTTGGGAGACATTACTATTTATTCAGCTTGTATGTAGATAAAGTATTTGTAAGCATGGTAAGAATATATGGAATTGTTAAAAAAATCAAAAAACGATTGAAAAAAATAAATTATGTATGTTTATTCATAAAAATCCTTTAGCCATTGTCTTTAACCAAACAAATTCCCTTGTCCTTCTCCAGTTGTCGACATTCATCATGATACATTGACGGGAGATATGAGTCTGTGGGAACTTGAGCAGCATCATTAACAATGAGCTCAGACACTTCAGGAGTAAAATCACGAACTTGTTTCGTCTTATTAGGCTTGCCAGCCAATCCCGCTTTATGGAGCCATTCTAAAATGATATATCAATACCAAGCAAGCATACCATCCATTCCTGAAATAACCGATGTAATCTCTTGAAATACGGCATTACAATTTTCTATAATGGGGTCCGTAGAGACAAACCCGTAAAAAAGGAAATCACTTTGCTTAGCTCTGAATTGCTGACAGCAAGCAAAGATAGTACCATTGTTCGAGGATCGGTAGAAAATACTAAAAGATGGTTAAAGAAACAGATAACATTACCTTCCTTTGCAAGCAGGAATCACAATCAGACAACGATTACATTTCTCAATAGTCACCGATTTTGGCACACCCAATAAATAGAAGCCGGAGTCAGAACACCCTTCAATTACCACAGCCTTGTTGTTAATCTCATCCTCATTGTAGACTATCACTGCTTTAGATTCTCCCGAAACTTGGAGCGTCATATCAACCAGATCTGCAGCCATCTACAAAAATAAAAAAATGCGTTTACCATTAGTTGGAAAACAAAAAAGGAATTCTCTTTCAACTCCCCTAGATCACCGGTTATTAGTAGATGCCATGAACGTGTAACATGCAATATTCCCATTAAAAATAAAACAAAATCCTTTATTAAATTATTATGTTCCATTATTTACAAATATATAATAACAATTATGCAACCTTGACTCTGTCGTTGCGCACTGTTCCCAAGGCTGTTTGGTGTGCTTCATCGCTCAGTGGAGGATTGAGGCGATAGCTAGATGATGTGTCAAAGTTATGTCTAATTATTGCCATAAAAACAAACTCTTCGTTGAAAAGTGCTGGAATTATATATACCGAGTCAAATGGCTATTATAAACTTACGAATTTTCTTCTCCCAAAGGTATTCATAATCACAAACGTCGTTCTCATTTACAATTACAATGTAAGTCTTGTCGTACTAAAAAAATATTATAAAATAAAACAAGCTACCTTAATCGCATGATAAAGCGTTTTATAAATCGGCTTTGTTTCTTCAACACTTCCTCCGGCACTCTGAATCAATCTTCGGACGATTTCGTGAGATGGTTGTACGTTGGGGCTTACATGGAAGGTGACATCTTCAAAGACGTGGCGAGTGCGTGCCCTGAAGATCGTGTTCAAAACGTTGAAGCCATACTTGGCTTCGTTTTCGTAGTCACGGACTCGAAAGTCGAGTGAATCTTTAATTTAATTCATAATTACTACAGTGGCTGATAAAAAGCTCATGTTTTCATTTTGTATGTAATTTCTGCTCAACGTGGATGAATCTAGCAGGGGAAGTAAGTTTGACACTCAGATTTTGATGAAACTTGGCACAAATTAAGAAGTTTTTTCTAAGGTATATGCGAGGCTCCTAGCTCGCGCCTTGCAGAAACAACCGAGATTTTTAGATCCAAAGCTGGGAAAAATGCCACATCGTTTTGCAAATTTCGGCATTAAAATTGTCATACCTATTTCTACCTTACCGTTAGTTAGAGAAAAAATTAATCTTTTCTGCACCGCGTTTAGCGCACTCTGTCGGCGGCAAAGATAGTTCAAGGTGGCGCTTGCAAAGCGCGAGGTAAAATTTTCGGAAATTGATATTTGGCCTATGCCGCGAGCTGTGCGCAAAATTTAAAGAAAATCTGAGTGTCGCACTTGAGGTGCTTCCTTTGTGAGCGAAAAAAACCTAATTATTGCAAGCGGATTATTTTTTTGAAAAAATTGACAACTTTTTGTTTTTTATCGACAACTGTTAAACGGGAAGATGTAAAACCACTCCAGTGCTTACACTGGAAGATAATAGCAGCGATTACACATAAAACGAAAAATTTGAGTTTTTTGTCAGCTAGTACAAACTTACCAATAAACCTCAAACAACTGAATGAGTGATCAACCCAGCTTGGATCTACAACTTCTTTGCCTTGTCCAAGAGCTTCGCAAAGTTGAATAGTCCTCTTGAGATCACAGGTGACGAAGTGAGTACAATCCACAATAGAATCGGTTACCTGACCACCCAAAAATCGTATTCTTTTCCTCAAGGAGTCAATTAACACTGGAGGTAAGCGGTCTAGAAACACCCGGACATTAGGAAGTTTATCCTCCCTTTGAAGGATATTCAGAGCTTGTGCAATTTGATCTTCGGTGGGAGTCTCAGTGTATAACCTGTAAATAAGGGACTAAACCCGAGAGTTCTCACTTTATTTTGTGATGAGGAAAGCATGAGATATCTCCTTCCACCTGACTGCGGAGTTGAACCGCTTTTTGGAGGATGGCTTCATTTACAAGGATCGGAGATTTCCATGGAACTGCAACCATTCAAAATTACTCAAATCTGTTCAACCACCTACCTAATAGATTTGCGGCATTCTCGGAGATCTTCTCCAACACATGCGGTCCATTAATTTCTCCTGTTCCAGGAACCCCAGCACAGTATTCGGAATGCCGAAGTTCCGAAATAATGGAGCTATTTCCAAAGTAAAGACGAACAAGCCAAAGTAAGTTCACGACTGGAATATCAAATTCTTGAGCTTTCATGTACTTCATTCCTCCTTCTCCCTTCGCAATGAGAGCAGCGTGATTTTGTGAGATACAAGCGTTAAATATTCCTCCGACACCTTTGGTCAGCACTTTTACCATTTCAATTTCATCACCGTCAAAACCTTCGGCAGCAAAGATCTGCAACATAACCGTACTCATACTTGTTACCACCGGGACCATAACAAACAATAAACCATACCTTATTATATCCGGGCAATTGATCCCTTTGGGTCAACCCCCATGCGGATGGCAGATGAGAGGCCTTATAAGGAGGGCACAGCCGTTTCTTCGCGATAACATCGCTTACATACGACGGTGTAACAAACCTGGCGTTTCGAGTTGTTTTAATCATGTCTCTCGCCTTCTCTGTCATGAATTCAACCACAACGTGAGTAACTGCAGGGCTGGGTTGTCCACTCTCAAAGTCAGCCCCGTAATAGCGAAGCTGATTCTGCAGTTCGTTTGGTTCCAAAAGAAGGTCGTTATCAAAAAAGAAAACACATCCTGCTAAGAATGTTGCGGTGTTAACTACACGATGTTGCCAATGGGGATCTATGTCGTAGTAAGTGGAGGCTCGTAATGGCTGCGCCATCCTCATAACGCCCGGTTGGCCAACATGCATTAACGAGTTCGACCCAGGGAGGGGTATATTACTGTGGACGGGCACTGTATTTGGGTACATTCCCGAGTTTACATCTGTAAAATAATCTTCTCCCCTCCCAGCGAACATACTTTGATGTGGAGGAATATGCTGCCGAACCATAGGGGGACACTGCCCTTGTGGCTGAGGGGCTAGATCTGGAGATTGTCCAATGTGTTGGGGTGGAATCTGATTCTGCGGAGCCTGGGGAACATTGTTAGAATATTGCATCGGGGTGCTTCCTGACATTCCGTTTGGTACGTACCTTGCTGTAAATAAACAAAAAAATGCATGGCACATTATACAATTACAGACACTAATCCCCCAATTCCGGAAAGAATAATAAAACACGCAACATTGTGCAAGAACATTAGCTTTACAATTAGCTGTCAAACATTCCATTTGAGCACTAATAAACCGAAACGCCGAGTTCACACACTATTCAAACGCGTTAAATCGGTAACAACGTGATTAGACATTGGCAATAACCTTCATCCAATGTATAATTAGTAAAACCTCAACAATTAAATACTCGACTCACCATGAGGATTCATCGCCTGACCATTAATTGTAGGGTGAGATATGTTCTGAGTAGGAGTGGGAGTGCCGGGAGGCATTTGCTGGAGAAAAGGCCGTACCATCGGCGAGGGAGACCCCGCATTCCCTTGCTGAAAACCGTTTATTGCAAACAATGGTGGACTTACCTGTTGCAACCTCTGCTGCTGTTGTTGCATATAAAAATGTTGTTGAGCCTGGGGTTGGTTCATCCCGCCTTGGTTGCTGTATGCGTAGTTGGTAGCCTGATTAGGTGATTGGGGAACCGCCCCCGGAGTTTGGGGAGCCGATCCATTGACCTGAGGGTACTGCGGCCTGACCGGCCTGGCCTGTTGATACATGAATTGCTGAGGTACTGCTCCTGGAGGATAGCCTGAAAGCTTTTATTTTCACCACATCCTGTAAACTCCATGACAATAAAAACAAGACACTTAACTACCATTAATAATTCAGAAGAGAACTCACCGGGAGGATATCGAATCATGGGTCGTTGGATGGGTTGGCTAATCATTCGTTGTTGATTCATGTACGGTTGATGAATCTAGACGAACATAATAAACCATAACATTATTAAAAAAAGTGCGCGAATAACGCTATCCCACGAAGAACACAATGCCATCACAATCCTAACACTCTTACGTTTTGATTCTGCCACTGCGGGTTCACTTGATTGTAATTGGCGTAGCTTTGTTGCCCATTCGGGTACCCGGGCATACGCGGATTCGGATACCCGGAGGTATACATCTGCTGTTCTAAAAAATAAACATTGTGTAAACAAAACGCGTGTAAAGGTTGCTTACGATAAGGTTGATTATTCATCTGCGAAGCCTGAGGATATGGCGAAGGGCAGGCGTTACTTGAAGCAGCTGAAGAAGTCCGAGGAAATGGAGAAGAAGGCATGTGTTGGGACATTTGAGATTGCGGTTGTTGCGGAGACCTGCCTGCTGGACCTAAAAAAGGCAAATAATCGACAACATTTCCTTCCTTACTCATCATATGTTGTTGTTGTTGTTGCTGAGAAGGTACTGATTTTGTGGGAGAATTGGAAGGCCCTGGAAAGATTGGTGTTCGGGGAGTATTGAAATCGAAGTGCTGGGGCTGCTGAGACGCCGGTCTGTTTTGGAATGGACTGTTAACATCAGTGTTACTACCTAAATTTAAAATGTAATAATAAAACGAGCGATTCTTTAACCAACCTGTAGATAAACGTTGTTGAGAGCGCGGGGAGTCGATGCTCGCCGGAGATGCAGTGTTTTGAGAAACGTGAGCTGGAGACCAATGCTGAAGAGCAACAAAATCATACCTATTTAAGAAAAAAACAACCGTCATACAAAACTAATACCTGTGGGTTACTTGAGCTGTTGCTCATATGACTACCTGGAGGTACGCCCTGCTTATCTACCACCATGTCGCGAAGCATGTGTGGGTCGAGACTTCCAAGCGGACTTAACGGCGGATCCATTCCTGCCAAGAGTGAAACAATTCAAGGCTCAAAGTTAAAAATAAACATGGTGTCATAAACCAACGATAATTAGACGAGTTTCATAAGTCAAATTTACTAAGGTGAAAACTCAACAAATAGTACAAGATTAATTATAGATTACTTTTTGTCAAAAGTTCTAGATGTCGACCAACTTCTGTTCGATTTCTCCCACCAACCCCTTGAGAGCCTGGAACTGCTCACGGCTGAGACTGATTCCTTTCTTGCCAGGGCATCGCTTTCCGTCCTTCATGTAATATTCGCGGATATCAACCAAAGCCTTTCCCTTGAATTCTCGAACAGTCAAGAAACGGTTGTTTCCAATTTCAAACATCTAAATAACAAAGATAACTTGTAACCCAACAAAAACTCACTTCGTTTCCATCCGCATCAACTTCACGGGTTGATTTCTTACACTTCTTGCTACTGGATGCGTCTTTTTGATCTCCTTCATCCTTGGCAACACGCTTCTAAAAGAATGAATTCAATTTCAAGCCTTTAACTTACCTTTACCGGCTTTCTGTCAATGATTTCATCCCCAGAATCTGAGCTCGACATTTTCAATTCGCAATTCTCGCAAAAATAGTTTTCACAAAAAGAAATTTTCGCGGATTGATTATTGGCATTTCGTTATAGCCGCTTGTTTTCGTGTCATGGTTAAATTAAATGGGTGGCACAATAAAAAGATCACAAAAAATTATCAAGCAAGAAAGAAATTTTTGATAATTACGTATGCGTTTATAATTAGGGCCCACAGTTTCTTTCTATAGTTGTTACTTCTAACTGTTCTGATTAGCGGGATGTCGAAGAAGGAAATTATAGATAAGTGGCTTCAGTCTGATGCCGTGTGCTTCGATGTTGACTCTACAGTATGCCAAGTGAGTAGTCGTATTAGTGAATTTTTATTTTTCAGGACGAAGCCATTGACGAATTAGCAGAATTTATGGATAAAGGAGAGATAATAAGAGAATTTACGGCCACGGCCATGAACGGAAACCTCAATTTTGGGGAATCTCTTCATAAACGGTAAGACTGTGATGATATACATCATTCTTCAGCATGGGCATTATTCAAGTGACCAAGAGAAAACTGGAAGAGTTTATTCAAAAACATCCAGTCCGTCTAACACCCGGAATCTCTGAGTTGGTTTCTCGATTACGACATCGGGGAGTAGAGGTGTTTTTGGTCAGTGGAGGGTTCAGAGAGGTTATTAATCCTGTAGCCAGCCAACTTAACATTCCTGAAGATCATGTTTTTGCAAATCGAATTATCTTTGATTCCAGTGGTAATTACTCGGACTTTGATCGAAGTGAGCCGACCAGTGATTCGGGTGATAAGAGCAAGGGAAAACCCCGAGTTTGTGGGTTACTCAAGGAAAGGTGTGTGATTCCGGTGGTTGCTTGTAGTTTATTGTCATCACTGAATCTAACTTTCGTAGGATTACAACAAAACAAAATATAAAAACGACGTGACTTTTAAGAGATCCAACGTAAATAATATACTTTTGTGATGCATTTTAATATTTTTTAAAGTAATTTGTAATGTAAAATGATTTATTCAGATTCGGATACAAATGTTTAACTATGGTGGGTGATGGATACACCGACTATGAGGCATGCCCACCAGCAGATTTATTCATAGGTTTTGGAGGAAATCAAGTCAGAGAACGGGTAAAAGCAGCTTCACAATGGTATGTAATGGACTTCCGAGAACTGATAGACACATTAAAACAATAAATCATATTGATTTTATGATCTCTTGAATATTTTGGAGAGTTTGGTTAGGAAAGAAGGAAGACATGACCATATGCGGTTCTATATCCGATACTGTAAGTGTTAACAATAGGGCCTTTGCAAATCTGGATTTGGTATGATTAATGGAACTCGATCCTTTTGAGCTGAAGATGGTCTCTGCGAAAGCCAATAGATTCTGCTCTTGTAGGTGAGATATTCGAGTTGGATTTTCCAGCCCATGGATATCTGAAATAATAATCAACGTAACGTTACTGTTTTACCTGCTCTAAGCATTATTATACAACTCAATGTCCACTGTTCTATCGGGTTTAACTTTAGTTGGCGTAGTATAGATATAATTCTTTGGATTTTAATGTCTGTTTTTCCTGAAAATCATCATAGAAACAGAAAAATTTGCAATCGTAAAGCGAACCTTGTTTTACAAATTCGTCAAATTGGCAGATGGAATGAAAACAAAACAATGAATGCCAGTATTTTTTGAGGATGATCTTGCGGTCATTGAGAGACAGTTCCTGAAGCGGTGGGAACCGTATCAACCATGATAGCAGAGATATTAGGAATGGAGTCCAGTTGTTCTCATTATTAATGCTGGGTTCTGTTAACTTTTCCACTGTGAATTTTGGCGCGGTGGCTTCTATATGGAACGGCGTTCTTTTACATTTCAACTCGTTAGGTGGTAAAGAGAGCAATGATCTAGCAACTACCATTGAATATGGGCTTCTATGCAGGGTTGTTTATTATGTAAAATTTATTTACCTTGACTCAATGGACGTGTTGCTCGAGGAGCCGAAGATTCCCGAGCTTTGAGACCTTGGGAAAACGCTACGCTCATTTTGAACCGCTGAAAAGGGCGTAAAAGAGATAATTAAAATTTCATAGAGCGAGTGAAAAAAGACACTGTCAACCTTCGCTTGGTCGTGGGAAAGCCCATTGGAAGCTGAGTAAATACCATAACCCCAAAGAATCAGAGGTCCAAACATATACTACTTTCTCTAAACCAACCGTTTTTGTTCATGCAAACATCTAGACACTTCTTGAATCGGCATGATTGGCACTGATTACGGCGAGCAACATCAACGACGCATTGTCCTTTCTCTTTACACTCGTATCTGAGGTTCCTTCTGATAGAACGTTTGAAGAATCCTCTACATCCATCACAACTTCTGACACCGTAATGCCTCCCTATCAACTTTTTGACCAATTGCCATATGAACTCACCACTCGCCCGATCCCCGCAGACTTTACAGATGTCTTCCAGCGACAGCATCCGCAGCCCTTCTCAAATGGCCTATGCCCAGGTTGGAGAGCATCTTCTTTTCGAGAACCCGATCCGCAAATTCACACGCCCAAGAGAACAAGTCAAAAAATTCGGCCAATCTCGAGCACCAACCTAAGCACCTTCGGCCATAACCTAGCAAAAGTCTACAAAAACAAAGTCTCCTTTTATTGGACACCAATTTTAAAACAAGGATAAACAATAAAAACAGAAACAAAATGTCTCCGATAACATATCCAAACTTCCCGTTGTCCAGTCGTTTGGGTTGCTTAGAATTTGTCGAACGCTTTTCTGGCACCAGTTTTGCCCAGGACCTTGAGGACATTGAACCGAACGGTCTTCGACAGCTTTCGACATTCCCCAATAATGACAACATCTCCGACATTCACACTGAAATAAGAAAAAATAAGTTAACTCCATTCCTACACCTTCACAGCTCAAAAAAAACTAGTACAACAAGGAACAATTTTTACCGGAAAGCAGGAGAACAATGCACTGAGATGTTTCGGTGCCTTCTTTCGTAACGGCGATACTTGGAAACGAAGTGCAAGAAATCACGTCTGACGACGATGGTCCTCTGCATCTTGTTCTTGGTAACTACCCCGCTAAGAATACAGCCACGGATGGAAACATTGGAGGTGAAGGGACATTTCTTGTCGATATAAGTTCCCTCGATGGCCTGAATTCAGAATAAGATTTTCCAAATGCGCTCTTACCTCCTTGGGAGTCTTAAATCCCAATCCAATGCTCTTGTAGTAACGTTCACGTTTCTTGGACTTCTTTCCGATTCCCAAAGTTTGCCATTTGGTATTTTGGAAGATAGTTGGCTGCCTTTGGTACGAACGCTCGGTCTGATCCGCCATTGTTAGACCCTAAAACAAGCAAAACTAAGTGGGAACATCTTTTTTACAACCAGCGCGAAAAAAAGCTACAATAACTTCAACATTCAAAATTATGCATTATTCTTCAAAAAACAAAAAATTCTGCAATTTATTTTCAGCCTCGTATGTAAAAATACAGTATTTTGAAGCTTTACGCCATTTTCGTTGCGAAACCAAAGTCCGCATGCGATGTTTTGACAAATTTCGCGAAATCGCAAGAGTCTGGAAATACATCGTTTTGATTTTTTCGTGAGGAAGGAACAAGCGATCGTAACCGTATTTCTATGAGCTAGAAGTGTAGTTGTTTACATTCTCTGATGTTTTTGTCTTACATGTGTATTTATTTCACACTTCAAAAAGAATCCAACGAATTCTAAAATTGTGGCATTCTGCATTTTCGAGAAATTTATTTTTGGTTTTTATTTGAGTGATGGATTTCGTCGCTTTGTACATAGTTTACGTGTTGTTACCAGCTAGGTCTTGTGTTTGGTTTTGTTGATTGATGACATTATCGAACAACGTGGAGGGTCTCAATTTGAATATGCTCCCTCTCCGTCTGATTGGTACGGTCGTCAGAGGGGCTGGCCGAGGTGGAAAACAATTAAACTGCCCGACAGGTAACTGATTGCTGAAAATCCGAGTTCTTGTTTTTAGCCAATCTTGATGAGACTACTGTTAAATCTATTCCGGATGGAATCACCAGTGGTGTCTATGCAGGTGTTGCTTGTGTTGATTCCGACTTCTATAGACCTATGGTGATGAGCATAGGGTATAATATTCAGTTTGAACAGAAGCAAAAGACTGCGGAAGTTCACCTTCTTCATGACTTCGAGAAAGATTTTTATAACTCTAGGTTGGAGGTAATTGTTCTTAAATTTATGAGGCCAATGGAGACTTATAAATCTCTTGGTGAGTTTATGCCCGTCTTTAGTATACATATTATTATCTAGAGGATCTAAAATTGGCGATTGAACAGGATAAGCGGAGCACGTTGGACTATTTAAAGAGCAATAAAGAGTCTATATGTGAGATTACCAAAACATACGATAGAAAAATTGAGTGGTAAAGGACTTTATGAGAGACGCCTGACATATCTCATTATGATCTTGCAATGTCGTTTATGCGTATTCAAATCTTTTAAAATTTTTAGCAAATAAATACGCGGTGATATTCCTTTATGTCGGCTTGAGGTTTCGAGGAGGTTTAACATTAGTTGCAGAGTCGGTTTTAGTAAACTCAGCCGGTTCATCGGTTGCTACAATTGCAAATAATATGTTAGCTATAAATAACGATCCAGAAAGTAAAAGAAATATGAGTCTCCATTGACTTTGATCATGGATATCATGGACAAAAATGTTCATGAGGACTGGCCCTAGAAACATTGTAAGCGCTTTCGTAAATTGCATACTGGCAATTATAACATGAGCGTATTGTCGACAGCAAATTGTAGCGCATTTGTAGAATCCCCCACCGGCAGTTGAAAAGAAAATTCCATTGGACATAAAAGCTAATATTGAGAGAATAGGACGGTCCGTCGGGGAAAATGCCAAGAATAAATACGATAAGGCCGGACCAAATACTGCTATCGAATTGAAAACAATCATCTTGTGTCGTTCGTTGAATGATCTGAAGGGACGTTGACATGAGCGGTAACCATCGCTATATCATATAAAGCTCGACCGCCTGCTATAGGATGCTTCAAGAAATATTCCACAAATTATTTACTAGTCGCGGAAAAAAGTCCTGGGATTTTCTCGCGCCCCCCAAATTCCGTCGCGCCCCGAAAAGTTGATTTGTCGCGGGAATCGCGCGCGACAATAAGGCAAAATCAACAAAATTGCACTGTGCAAAAGCACTTTTCGGGTTCATGCACAGTGCAGAGTCGCAGAAAAATCCCAGGACTTTTTTCCGCGACTAGTATCTTTGTGCAGTTTGCACCGTCAGATGAACTTCCTTGGTTTACCTTATGCTCCGCCGGAGCAAGGAAAGTCAATCGGATCTAAAAAAAACGAAAAATTGGGGTTGGCAGTCATTTTGTCCAATTCCCGGATTTTTGACACTTCTCAAAAAAAAATACCTCCGCCGGCCTTTAAAGATGAGAAAAAGCCAAGACAAGCTACATGAGTTTTAAGTGCCTAGCAAACAATTTGTCACCTTTTTTTCAATCCGATTCAAAATCCCGCAAAACGGCTCCGTCGGTAAAAACTTCTCCGCCGAGCCAATAGTAAAACATTCGCCAAACTATGAAACTAACAGATTACATTTTCCCAGATGTGACAAGCCTAGTTTCATCTGCGGTAAATAAGTATGGGCTGTGTATTATAACAAGCTACTATTTCCCCGACATGTCGGACAGACTTATAAAACAGCCCAAATTCAAATTTTAAAATCAATTTAAACTTCTTGGATGGCTTCAAAAAGCACAAACAAAATTCGCAAATATTACTTTGCGAAGCTTTGTGGAATATTTCTTGAAACACCCTCTGTAATCGCAAGACTAGCGGACTCACTTTATATGATCGCTCATGGTGCCAAACAAAAACTTTAATGGTATATGGGCTGCTGGACCCATTATGGCCAGGAATCCGACTTGAGTAACGTCATACTGTAACACTTTGCTGAGATAGGTTGGCTGATATGTTTGAGAGAATATACCCGAGAATATATCCGTGAATGCGTTTACCCAAATGATCCATACGAGCTTAGAACGGAGTATTTTCTAAAAGATTGGTAACTTTTTTGTTACACTTACCGAATATGGCACGTTGCTTTTCATCTGTTTGTGGGCCAAACTTTTATTTTTTTGAATCTTTTCGCATTCCTTGTGGGAGGTGTAGCTTGATTTTGCCGGATAGTCAGCGTAAAGGTGCATCCATAAAATGAGCAGAATCGTTGTTATAGCGGCATGGGTGTAGTATGCAGATTCCCATCCAAACCTGCTATTGCAAAGCTGCAAACATTAAAAAGATAAATGAAACGTTACCAAGCCGACTATCGGTGATGAGAAAAGGACGGAAAGAGAGCTGTAGCAAGTCAATATTGATATAAATAGGGCTGATTGTGACAGAGGTGCCCACACCGAACACAAGATTCCCATAGTCCCGAAGTCAGCGGCATAGCCCACACCCTAAATAAAATATATTGATTTAACTGTAAGCATTGTTCACCTGCATAAATCTGAGTATCCACATACATATAAAACCTTTTTGATAGAAAAGTGGAATAAGTACGGTAGAAACGAGAGAAATGATTCCAGAAAATAGGAACGGATATTTAGCCTTGTACCGAGTAAGTATCCATGAGAATGGGGCGGTGGCAAGGGCAGTTCCAACAGCAGCTGCCATGATCAGATTATTGTGTTCAACCTCCGTAAAAGAAATACGGATAGTGCCGTTCAGGTTCTCTGGCATGCACAATTTGGTCATATTGTAAAGATTCATATTGGAGGAAAGGATCGTGAGACAAATCCATCCTAATATAAGAATTAAGTAGCGGTATTTATTTGGAAAGCAGAGCATCTTCTGTTTGTTATCTGGTTGCATTTTAACAGAAAAGAGTGTACAATGTTCGGGGAGCTGGACAACATTGGTACCCAAGAGAACAAGGCGGAATGTTTCAGAGGGCTTAATATGTATCTAGTTGTCTATAGTATACTTACTTACTTTCTCAAGATCTCCGAGATTTAATATGGGGGTGTCATCCGTCACATAACTGGCGTTTCTGCCTTGACTCACTCTCTTAGGATCACATTCCATCATAAAAATTGGAGTTTCAACGTTCCTTTTTTCGTTTTTGCTTGAGAGTAAACATTATTTTGAGGATTAAATTTAAAAAATTTCAGAATTTCGTAATCACTGATCCGATTATCAATGAAAAGTGTCGGAAATGAAGAACTCTGTAATGGAAGATTCGGAACGCAACTGCTTTCGAACAAAGTCAGAAAATAATTCATTTGTTTCAGTAAGCCCTTCTTCATTAGATCGCTCATAAACAACAACATACTTATTTCTGCGGCCACAAAGGCCGAGCTACCCGCAAGTGTAAATAGAAGTCTCAGGAAGGCCTGATCTGCTCGTATCTTTGTTTTGTCTTCTCTAGAATCTCGATCTTCATCTTCTGCTTGGCTGGAATGTGGATCGGTTCCCCGGGTTTGCTCGATCCAAGTCCACTACGATCATTTTTTATTTCACTCCGTATCTGTGGTTTCCAATTGTTACTTGTTACATATTTACTCACCGGTTCAGCAATTCCCTGTTCATTTCTTCCAAGTCCAGCTCCTTGCTTCCATCCCATTGCCTTCAGTAATTTGAAACCTTTTCCCTCTTCAATTGGCTTTGGTTTTTGGGTAATATGCACTGCAACTATAACACTCATGTTATCATAACTTACCAAAATTTTGTATTGGATTAGCCTTGCAATTGGCATAAATGTCATCGGACCTTACAGTAACCGGCGGCTCACTTCCCTCGACCAATCTCCGTTGTTTGGCTCGATCTTTGAAGCAAGTTTCGTTGTAAGCAGAGGAAGGCCCAATAAGCCCAAATTGAGACTTCAGCCGATGCATCTCTTTCCGATGACTAATCGTACTTTTCGTCTTGACTACACTCTTCTTTTTTGATATTAAAAGCCCAGGTTCACAATCTGGACAAGTATTACATCCCTTGTGGATGTGAGCCACGAATTGATGAGATCTTACTTTCAACCGGTCTAGATGACGTAATGTATGACTTTCCTAAAACCAATTAAGTTTGACCTCAAGCTTACCGTAATCTCCTGTTCATTCACGTAAATTTGATGGTCCGAAAGTTTTACAACATTATAAAAATTGCAGGAATCGTCAAATTTAAAAGTAAGGTACCTCTAAAACAAATAACTAATTTTAAAAAATTTTGCTACCTCAGGAAGTTCATCAGGCACAATAACATCACAAATGGTAGAAGATCCCACAGATCCACCATCAATGGTGATTATGGAGAGATCGGAGGTCTGGGCATTGATCAGACGAATGCAAGGCGGATGCTTGGACATTTCCTCTATTCTTAGGTTGGAAAACGTAATTTTACTTACCTTCTGCTTGCCGGCGTTTATTCTCCGCGTCGTAATCATATTCATCTGAACTGGTGTCTTCATCTTCTTCTAACACATCATCGAACTCAATCTCCTAAAGAATCAAATTTCAAATAATACACCTACATCTTCATCCTTTCTAACATTCTTTAAATTAAAACTTCTGTGGCTAAACTCAACGCAGAGTTTGTTCACAATCTCAAACAACACTTCACATCCATCAATGTAATCTTGATCCAGGTTCTGTAGATAATTCTCTCCGAAAAGTTTAATTGCCCGCTTTTTATTCCTTTTCTCCTTCCACTGTAAATTTCTTGTAGAGAATGACTTATATTGGCCAGTGTCGGCATCGTATTGGTAATAACATTGGGTAATGGGATGAAAGTACAAATTTGAACTCTAAAAAAATAATGAATATACAAAAAATATTTTACCATGTCATAATAATAGCCGGTTTCTCGATTGTAGTACATGCCAGATTCCTCGTGAAAGACAAACCCTGGCAGATTAGTGGAAACTAGATGTTCTTTGGCCGCCTGAACCACCATATCCGCCACAGAAGCCTAAATCAAAGTTATTTGAGACGATTCACTCACTCCTTCCGCTGATTCCCACATTCTCCTTTCTTTTATTTAATTTTCTATATAATCTTGGAGGATTTATTACAAAAATAATTTATATAGAAATTTTTACGAGAATTAATTTTTCTAAAAATTGCAGAATGCCAAGATTTCTTCATGTTTGTTCTCGTGTCGCAACCACTACGAAAAGTTGCGCAACATTTTGCTGATGACAATTCTTCCGTTATGACAATTTTTTGAGTTTATGCTAAAGTATAAAATTTCGTTTCCACATACACACAATCTGGGTGCTTTGTATAATGTTTAATTAAATAAAAAAACATTGTTGTCATGGAGATCAAGCCAAAAATATATCCTCCCGATTTTACAAAATTGGAGTACTAAAATACGAAAAATGAAATATGCCTTTATATCTCGAATTGGCCAAGGCGCCTATGGCTGTGTACTTAAGGCGCGGGAAGTTGAGGCAGGTCTTTATTTGATGGCAGTATTATTTTTATGATATTATTGCAGAGTGGAGAAATTGTAGCCGTAAAACAAATTGCTTTGAAGTTATACACGCAGAATCAAATGGACATCTTTAGAGAAATAAATTCTTTAAAGAATTTTGATCACGAAAATGTGAGAAAACAACTTTTATTCACTTGGTTAAGGTAGTCTCTTTGAAGGAAATATTATACTCATCTACTACAGTATCTGTTGTTTTGGAATTTGTTGAGTCGAATCTGAAATTGGTTATTTACGATGAGAGGCGTCCAACGAATATGGATCTACTTAAAAAGTTGTTTTTCCAAGTTTTGAAAGGTATCCGATACATCCACAGCTTGAGTATAATGCACAGGGTAAGCAATGTGTAAACTGCGTCGTAATATTTATATTGTGGCTAGAAAATCTATTCTCTTTTAGGACATAAAGCCCGAGAACATACTCGTGTCTCGGACTGGTCGTATAAAGATAGCTGACTTTGGCCTCGCTGGATTATATTTACCCGAAGATAATGAGAGGACATACTCCCATCAAGTGGCGACAAGGTGGTATCGAGCGCCAGAACTGCTGTTTGGCTCCATAAAGTACACTCCGTCAGTCGACATCTGGGCATTTGCCTGCGTTCTGGCAGAGTATCTTAATGTGGGACCGTTGTTTGAGGTAAGTCAATTGGATTATTCAATTACTGACATCTTTTCAGGGAGCCAACGATATCGATCAGATTGGGAAAGTGTTTAAGATCCTTGGCACCCCGACCAAAAGTAATTGGCCCGATTGGGAAAAGACCCCGGATTACGGGAAGATGAATTTTGATAAAATGAATCCCGTCAAAGATTGGAAGACTGTGGGTGAGTTGAAAATAATTTATTTGAGGTACTTGTTATATAACATAGCATAATTAGAGTAGTGTTGGAATTAAGATTATTTTCCACATCCGCATGATGGTGGTGGGGGAGGTGGGGCACATCCGCAGGATGGAGGAGGAGGACTAAAACCAATAGGATATTTGTCATCATTGTGTGTAAAACAGATTGCATGTTTAAAACTAAAACTTACGCACAACAACCGCCACCGCCGGCTTGAGGGAACAAGAAAGCGTTTGAAGCTAAAGCCGAAGCCAAGATGACAAAGACACCGAGGAAGTTCATGTTGAGCAAGTGATGACATCTACAGCGACTAGCTGTCTTTTATACCGTCGAATCCCATCTTGACCGGGGTTTTGCGTAATTGCCCGAGGGAAATTAATGCCGGTTTCCTCGAGAGGGCGGGAATTTTAAGTTGATTCCGTTGGATTTCATATATTGCACATTAGTTTCCCGATCCATCACTTTCTTCGGATACGTTACGACTTTCCGATGTTTGGAACGGCAGATTCTCCGATTTGATGAACAAAAAAAACTAGTTTGTGTCCGAAAATAAATAAAACTTCAAAGCGCCGTACCGCCGGTTTTTCTTTCGGGATCTCTGGATGTGATTTGAGAATCGTTAAAGTAATTACAATACTGCGTACATAATTAAACCAATTTCTTCCAGTGGCTTGTCACAACACAGACTTGATGGAGATGATCCAGCGATGCCTTCAATACAATCACCGACTCCGACCCTCGGCCATTCAATTACTGCAGAATAAGTTTTTTTTGACCTTCGCTGACAACATATCATATACTCCTCCATTTTCATCGAATGAGGTCGAAGGAGAGTTGAGACTTCGAAAAGAATTTGATCTTTCTCTCTTTGACAATTTGACCTTAGAGGAAATATAATATTTATAATCGAGTCGTTATGCGTTATGTAATTTGACTTAACCCATTCTTTTTCCATTTTCACCTTTGATCTCGTTGTTATATAAGCGGGTCACTTTATTTTCTTATACATTGTGTATCAACAATAAACACATGTTCAAATATTTTAATTAAATGATGAGAACATTGCTGTTACTTGCTAATCTAATTTCTTGTGGTAAGATTTATAAATTACTTTTGAAGAAGGTTTCAGTGTTGGGAAGCAATATTTACCAGACCGGTCCCCCCTTGTACAACCTCCGCACAGAGCCTTCTTCTTCTTATCAGGAAGGCCCGCCTGCTTTTAGCAAAGATAATCAATATAGGACGACGGCATCCGATTCCGATCCTTATCCCCATTCGCCTCCTAATTTCTCGGGATTCCAAGGGAGCCCCGGACCAAATGGACCCCTTTTTGGCGGATTTCCAAATGGACCTCAGCCAAGACCGTATTAGATACTGCAGTTTACAAAGTGGTACATTTATTGTTTAACAATGAATAAAAACAGTATATACAAACACAAACTTTTTACATGATGTTTTCTACAATGCACAAAAGTTAGTTGACCTATACTTAAGGCAGAAAATAAATAAATTTTGGAATGCAATCAAAATCGATTTGTGTCCGCAAACTTTCATCTCAAACTTCCTGAACTCTTTGGTGACCTTGACTTGATGAAAGTTGCAGCGATTAGAGACTTGAGTTGGGAGAAAGACGGTCTTCTATCTACATCTGTCTTCCAACATTGATCAATCAAGTCAGACCTACAATTAAATATTATATGTAAATGAAAGCAAAAATAATCGGTTAAAGTTGTAAACAAACTTGCACAATATCTGGACAAGCCCTGACTGGCCGAGGCCTCTCGTTTTCAGCGAACATCTGGATAATTTGTTCCTTCGAAAGATCTCCAAATGGAAGTGATCCACCAGAGAATACTTCAAACAACAAATTCCCGAACTGCCATCTGTAATATAACAAATATTTGAGACTCTTTCGGCTTCACTTACACATCCGACTTCTCTGAATATTCTCCTTTCAACAGAGTCTCCACTGCTTGGTTCCAGAAAGGCAATTCCTCATCGTGATCTCCAATTTGTCGTTTTATCATGCATCTTTTGAATCCTCCGACTTTGGCGACCATATTATCGGTTATAAAGATATTCTCAGCAGCAATATCTCTGTGCAAAATCTCATTGGCGGTCATAAAGGACAAGCCATCAGCGATTTGCCAGAAGAATGAGAGCAATTCCTCAGCGTTAAAGCAGATTACGGTAGAGCAGAGTTCTTGGTTCTGCAAAAATACATTTAAAATTTGTTACAAAGACTTACTGCGTAATGACAAGGATGAGATTGGATGAGTCCACCGAGATGCCCCAGTTGGCAGAACTCGGAGACAATCATCAGATCCGTCTCGGTATTCATGTACCCCACCATCGAAAGGATATGGGAGTTGTGTTTCAACGTCTTGAGAGCTTGGATCTCATTGGCAACTGCCTTTCTAACAATAAAAAATAATTCAAGGTGCAAGGCGAGTTATTTAACACATACCTAGACTTGGGAGTAATCGGCGGATAAGAGATCTTTATCGCCACTTGGGAATAAGAAGATTTATTGGACTTTATGGATCTTAGGAGTCCCCGGTAAATGACAGAATTCCCATCCTTCCCCAGAACATGCTCTATCTCCACCGACAAGTCGTATGGATTGATCTCAAATGGTTGAATCCGCCGTTCCGAACATGGACTCAGCTTCTGATATTTGGGAGCTAACATACTACTGAAGGCTAGACCCTTTGTTTTGACTGTTTTCCATTTCTGTTCTTCGAGTTTATAAACGAATTAAATCTAGGGAAATCACTCACATGGAAACTTCCCAGCTATTTCGAGTTTCCACAGTTCGTGCATAAATCATAAACTTGGGCGTTGCGATGATCTTCAAAGAACGATAAAATATTCCAATTCTGGGAGACTGGGAAGTCATGTTATAACGAATTGTAAACACATATAAAAAGCTTGACCAATCTTTTAGATTTTGAATCATTGTCATCTGCGTGTCAACGACTTGTTTATGCCTCGCAATCGTAGTCTATTCAGAGCAGAATATCGTTTTTTTCCAAAACATACCTTGTCTCATTTTTTACTCACCATATTCTTTGCATTTTTATCCATGACCGTTTGAGACCGAACACGTTCTGGATGTTCAATGCGGAAAATACGGTGGGAAACTTCCACTTTATTTTTCAGAGGGCTTACAATAATTACAATAAAAACACGTAGATGATGGAAGTTTCCATCTGGGTCTAGTTCTATTTCGACGGCGCTCAAAAATCATGCAAATCGCCTGGAGAGATTTGGAATCTGTTCCCAGGGAAAACATCACATCGCCTTTACTACAGTAACCCAAAATCGGTAATCCGTTATTTTATATGTGTAAGAGTAAGTCACGCCATAAATTTGTCGCGGATGTCGCAAAAAAATTGGAGTGAGCTCGCGCGAAAGTACATGTCGCTAGTGTAAAATCGGCGAATTGCCGCGCGAAGGAAAACAAAAACGCACTGTGCAAATGTGTCAGGACTTTATGACGCAACCAATAAAAACAATACTATTTGAAGAGAAACAGCAAAACTTCTGGATCAATGGTTTCATACACCTTCCTCGGATGGAGTCGCTATTCTGTTTCTGTCAGATTCTACTTTTTTCTCAGAGCAATCTCACCGACCCCAGTTTAATATACAAAGTAATATAAAATACGGATTATAAAAATAGATATTTACAGAAAGCGACTCCTAATCATGTACATACAGTAGCTGCCAAAAAACTGTCAATTTTTTTGTTTTCTGTGTAACTCTGCTCAACGTGGACGGATTTCAACGAAACAAATACCATTCTGTAGAGAATTATTGTTGTTATCTAATGGTGTAGCGGTTGGAGCGATTTTACATCTTAGTGTGTTACAACTGTCGATGTAAAATTTTCGGAAAGACAAAAAACTGTCAATTTTTCCAAAAAAATTTTACCGCTTTCATACGTCGCGGCAAGTCATGGGTTTATACATTCCGATTTTTAAATAAAGTCCCACTGTACATAATTAACCATCAAAGGGAGCCAAGAAAGTTAATTTAGTAGACCTTTTGGTGGTCCCAAGTTCGATACCTCAAAACATGACGTTTAAGAAAAAATCGATTTTTTTTTTGTCTTTCCAAAAATTTTACAAGGAAAGTACTTTTATGGGGGCTCCTACTTTTTGACGGGACATACCTCAAAAAATCAGAAAAAATGTGCTGATCAAGGATATATAAATCTTAGCTGCCCATTTTAGGTTTTTAGGGGTGAAAATGCCCAAAAACTGCTTAATTTCCCTACAAAAGGTGCAGGCATTCGAAACGGTAAAAAGCGCATTCGGTCTCTTCCATCGGAAGGGAGCGGTGTGGCCGAGTGGCTAGTGCCGTAGTCTGGGAATCAAGAGGTGAACGCCGCACGGGTTCGATTTCCCTTTTGGGCCGAATCAACTTTTTTTGAAGATGAAGGTCGGAAAAATAAATTTTTGTGCCAAGACTGATTTATTACGTCTTCACAGCGGACCCAAATTGACTTATAAAGACATATAACGACTTATATGAACAGATAATGACTTATAAGTCAAAATAACGTCAAAAGAGGAGGGGCTTATTTCTCTTTACTTATAAAAACAAATATGAACTTATAATAACAAATAAGTCATTTGCAAAGAAAACTTTTGAGCGCCAAATACGCTTTTTGCTTACTGCACGCGTGAGCTGGACTTAGACATTCTAAGTTTTTGGAACGTCGTAACGTGTTTCTACCTTGGATCGATCAAAGTAAGGTGTTTTTAATCAAACTTTTTTCTTTTACAAGACTTTACAGTGTTTAGATGAAAGGTCCCGAACGTACATAATAGCCTTCCCGTGCAGGGAGCATGCCAGCCTGAAGAAGATCCATCCCCAGAAGATGTATAAACATGCACGATCAACCACCGGATTGCTAAAGGATCCATTTGCTTACTTTTGGTAAGTGTTTTTTACTGCTTTCCACATTTCAGAGGTCTCGAAAAAACTTCAAGACAAAGTTTTGTTATATTGTACTAGGTCCAGGTGAACCCGTTGGGTTTTAGATAACTGCAAAAATGGTCATGGAGGAATTCAATGGACAATGTATACACGATGAATGGAAACATGACATCCGGTTGCTTCAGGTATGATTGATAACATTCACCTGGATCTAGTACAATATCGCAAATCTCATGTCCAGTACTTTTTCCGCCAGAACCTTTTTTTGCAGTTCATTTTAGTGTTAGAAACGCATAAAACGTTGAGTTTAAGTCGAACTCGTATTATCATTTCCCGAAAAAAACCTTTTTTCTAATATCTCCAAATATTTTCAGTGAATCAAGAAGCATTAGAAGCAATAATATCCATCTACGGCCCCCTACAGAAGCGACGAACGCCCCATCAAAAAATCTCAGGTCCTTCGTGCATTGAAGTCTTATTCTACTTGTGCCGCTTAATTGTTTGAGTTATTGATTGAAATAAATGTTCATTTTTTTGCACGGTGCGGTTATAAATAAAATGACTTATAAAAACATATATGAAATTATAAGTCAATTCAACAAGAGCGCACAGAGAACCCTTATAAAATCATATATGAACATATAAGTCATTTAAAATGACTTATAAGAACAGATAATGACTTATAAAAAAATCATTTCATTATAAGTCATTATATGTTTTTATAAGTCAATTTGGGTCCGCTGTGTTAGAAGCTCAATAAACATCATTTTAAGCCAAAATAAAAATTGTAAACCCGTGAAAAATTAAGCGAAAAGGGGTTCATATAGGACCTTCAACTTCCGATTGAGTCTTCACCCCTAAAAACCTAAAATGGGCAGCTAAGATTTATATATCCGTGATCACCACATTTTTTCTGATTTTTTGAGATATGTCCCGTCAAAAAGTAGGAGCCCCCATAAAAGTACTTTCCTTGTTACATCGACAGTTGTTACACACTAAGATGTAAAATCGCTCCAACCGCTACACCATTAGATTACAACAATAATTCTCTACAGAATGGTATTTGTTTCGTTGAAATCCGTCCACGTTGAGCAGAGTTACACAGAAAACAAAAAAATTGACAGTTTTTTGGCAGCTACTGTATATCTTAATCTCGATGGGCTCAATAACTTAGAAACCGCATTTAAAATAATAATAGTCGCGCCATAAAGGCGTGACGCATTTGCACAAATGTGTCAGGACTTTATAGCGGGACTATAATATATATATTAGTGATTTCAAAGTTGTGTTAATGTAGCTAACGATAAGAGTGAGAAAAACAATTAAAACGATAAATATCGTCATCTAAGTATTGTCGAACTCATCTTTTCCAGTAGAAAAATTTGCAAAGTGTGTTTTATTTGTTTATTCAGCTGCATTAATACACACAGTTAAATGTTTTTTCGGTCTTAATTTGTAGTAATAGTATAAGCAATTTGTAAATAAATTCTTAAAAAGTCATGGTCTTCACAGTGAAGCGGCAAAATGGTGGCCAATTACCTTCAAGGTTGACTTAAAAAGTTGATTTAGACTAGAAACATGGATAGCAAAGTAATAGTCGTTCAGGTGTCTAAGGAATTGAATCTAGATGAACGTATTAATGATGGGACAGTAACCAAACGATGGATTTTGGAAACATTGCATGGGAAATCAAATCGTTTCGACCGATTAAGGCACGAACATTCAGTTCAGAAGGTGGGAATACAGAAAAAAAATATATTGTTTTAGATTGTATATACTTCAAAAGGGGACAATGAAAATAATCTGTTTGACGGGAGAGTGGCCATACATTTTGATGGGACCAAGAAATTGTTTGAAGTTTGCATGAAGGTAGGTTTTTCTTAAGATGACCTAAAAAGTTCTTGTAACCTGTATTACAGCGGGATGACAGTCTATCAATCCAACAAGATATCAAGTTTTACAAATTCATTGGAGAACGCTACAAGAATATGAGATTTCCAAAGATCTATGGCTACAAAGTGGAGAATAGAAGAAACGGCAGACGACTCAGCGACTTTTTCCTTTTTGATTTAAAAGCTAAAGAAAACGAGGAATCCAAGGAAAAGGGATGTGTTCTGATGGGTGAATTCGAAGGTGTCACCTGTGAAGTGGGCCAAGGATTCTCCATAAACCAATCTCTCCACATCATGGTCGAGATGGCTAGATTCCATGCATTCACATTATATATTCCCGATTCAAACAAAGTCCTCAAAGAATTCAAAAAAGATGGCAGACATCTGATCCATCGGGAAGACCTGTTAGATCTCATCAAAGGGTTTGATCAGGAATATTATAATGCCAATAAGAGTAGTTTCAGCCACTTGATGAAGGAGGCCGCTCACACAAATCTTATTCTACATGGTAACTTACGATATTTGAAATAAATCAGCTTATGATTACAGGAATCCCGAATGTAATTATCCATGGAAGTCTCTGCACTGACAGTATTTACTTAAGAAAAAATCAAAATGGACATAAAGAAGGAGATACCATCTCTTTTGTAGATTGGAGTAAATGCCATACTAGTGAGTAAATACACAGCCTCAAAGGCTATTTTAGACTTGGGAATGGTGGACGTTATTAGATTCACTCTTGTTAACACTAGTTCCAACGTCCAGAAGATGTGTATGGAGAGATTCTTAAAGATTCACCATGATACGATGAAGATTGAACTTAAGAAATATAAAGTTTCATTCGATTATGACTTTGAATCAGTAGGTTGAACATTTCGTTATTGATAATTTTAGGTGAAACAGACATACAGAGCCGTGTTTCCCATCCAACTTGTCTATTCAATCACTCGCTTAATCAACTCCTACAAGAATAATCCGAAAGAAGATGCTAAAGTTTCCGTTTTGGATCGTATCAAGGGCGGAGTTGATATATTCAAAAAACTTTACGATTGCTGATTTTTGAAGATCTATGTCAGATAATTTTAGATTTAAAATATGCACGAATCTGACGTCAAACCGAAGTTTCCAAACAGGGATTCTCCCGATTAAAGACAAATGTTTGGAGTTTATAAAAGTTTTGCTAATAAACTGAATTACAACCTGTGAAATTGTAAGAAAGCAAAGTCTCTTAATGAAATTTACTTTGTCATTCTCATTGCGCAATGTGACGGATCTCTCCGAGTAATCAATAGTTTCATTTCGTATCCGGCGAGCTGCGCCCTATCTTACAAAATATTTTGAAAATTGATTTTGAAAGGATAGCTAGCTAGCTCTTGGTCCGCTATAATATATGCAATATTATGACAGGATCTCGAAAAATTGCTGAAGTTGGAACCGAGTTAGTAGCCAAGGTCGAGAATGTCAAGTACCGAATGGCAGGGAAGGGGAAATCCCCTATAGGAACTCTGTCTGCATATCAAAATCGAGCTGAATGGGTGCAGAACGAAGGTACCACTCCTGCACTGGTAATTCCATATTCAAACATAAAAAGTAAGATGAATAGTTCCTTTAATTTACGGTTTGTTAGTCCAAAGGATCTCTGCGCCCAACAAGGATAAGGTCCAACTCCAAATCTGCATGAATAATGACGATCAAGCTACTTTCGTCTTCATGAAGGCTGGATGTTCGAAAGAGCAGTTGACGGCCGAAAGAGATTTGATCAAAGAAACTATCCAGACGGCTTTGCTCCGATTTCGACAGATTAGTCAAGCTGTGAGTGTTAAAACAATATTCAATTCATAACAATTCTGGCCTACGATAATTCAATTCTTGTTTAGAAAACCGTAAAAGCTGCTAAGAGTCAGAACGATGCCTTGGAGGCAAAGAAAAAAGTACTTCTGGAGGATCAAAGGCTTCAAATGCTCTACCGACATTTAGTTTCCACAAAATTGATTAGTGCCAATGAATTTTGGGGGTTGAATAAGATTCCACAGGCCTCGAAAGATGAGTTGGGTATTCCCAGTGGATTCTTGAGTTCGATCAGTCAGACCGAAGAAGGGAACGGGATCAAAATGAACTTAACCATGGACACAATCCATGCCATCTTCAAAACGTATCCAATCGGTTAGTATATTTTCATTCTCTGAATTGGTTTAGTTGAGAAAAAGCATTTGGAATTAGTCCCTCATGCAATGACGGAATCCGAATTTTGGGTGAAATTCTTCCAATCACATTATTTTCACAAAGAAAAAGATATGAATGAAGATCCGAATGATCCCTTCTTTGAATGTGATCGGAATGATGTCAGGGAAATCAACGAGGAGAAGAACAATGCGCAATGTAATCCAATACTTGATCTCAATTACTTATTAGAAGATCTCGGAATTGTGTCTGAAATTGTAAGTATGGAAAGAGCCGATTTTAGTTTAATCTAGAGACCTAATATGTCAGGGAAGAACGATGAAGATGAGGAAATTGATCGGCTGATTAAGCGATGTAATTACCATTCAGGAAGATTGCTAACAGCGTTGTTGGGAAATAATAAAACCGCATATGAAGATGTAAGGAGTACTAGGCGGGCCAAAAGGTCTTGACATGTCTGCACACTGCGCCGTCGTGCAAGAAACTTGTCGCGCGACGGTAGGCAAAATTCACGATGCGCTGCGACCTCGCACGGTGCAAAAGGATGTTCTTGAAAAGGATAAGCAACGCACAGTGCGCTCTTCATTTGCACCACGCCAAATTTTTGTCGCGACGACACCTCGTCCCGCGATAAAAAAAATTATGCGCCCGGACGGTGCAAAAACATGTCAAGACTTTTTGGCCCGCCTATAAGGTTGGAGTTAAAACAACCTTTTAGAAGGATAAGATGGAAGTCGATGAGCCTCGGCATGTGGAATATGATCTTAATCTTGAAAGTGAAGATCTGGCAGAGATCGATGACGGTGAAAATATGGACGCTTTGGATGTAAATGTAAAATCCAATATTTATTCCATTGGGCCTAGGGAACACAATCCAGACGATTCAAAAAGATGGAAGAGTTTGATGTTACGGCTTACAGAAGAGTCTACTTGTACCCCAGTAAGCGTTTTTGTCGTTTTCCTAACTGTGTTTAGGAGTTTGAGCCGGAATTCTTTGACGAGATTCTTAGCCGACCTTCAAAACACGAAATTTATGAACAAAAAGAAGATTTCTATGCAGGGTTGAAGAAACAGACGATTCAAGAATTGAATACATTATACTCGGTCACATGGGAGTTATTGCGACATTTCTGGAATTGTATGCCTCCTGTAAATAATGACATGGAGACAAAAGTAAGTGGTGTTCTTATGAAGGTGACCTTTTTAGTTGGATCGGATGAATGAAACCCTGGCCAAGTTTGAAGGCACCTTCTTGAAATTTTCCAAAGAACGAATCGGAGCCAAGCATGTTGATCGTCTGTTCTTTATGGTCCAGAGAGCCAAGGATAAATATGAGGCATATCAGAAAATGAAGAAAACACGGGGTAAAGGTAATATAATCTTTGCTTAACTGTACAGATTTAAAAAGACAAATAAATATTATGAACCAGAGCTAGAGTTAACGATTCTACTGGATCTCCTTTTATTATCTGATATCTTCAGAAAGGATTACATGTATAAAATAGATGTTGCTAAGGACACGTCCATGGTTTATAACAAGATCGTTTTCCAAATCTAAATCTGCCTCAGAATGTTGCCAAGTTCAGAGATTGAAACGAGTTAGATCTCTAGCAGACGAGCGACCAGACCTTGACTTTGATTACCTATTAGATCATGAGAATTTGAATAGTATCAAGAAGAATATAGAGAATAGAAAGGGTATTGGCGATATCGATAAAGTCCATCATATCTGGGATACAATACAACGTTTTGGAGAAAAGAAAAAAGGATCGGCCGAAGAGTACTCAAAGTTATGGCATGAGGTAATTTAAAGCAATTTGCAAATATTTGTTTCAGTTTTATACGGAGGCATTAAAGATACCTAATCGAACTCATCAAGACGCTCCAGTTGGTGGAGAAAGCGATAATATTGTAGTTGAAACTGTTGGGAAAAGAAGAGAAGGAAGTGGTCTTTTTATAGCGGAAGATCTGGTCAGTGGATGGAGATCTGTGCACTATCCTCGAGAAGCAGCCGGGAGCAGAGCTTATGCTTTCATCGGACCTTTGGCGAACATTGAACATGCCTTGTTGTCATTTGCTGTGGATACTGTAAGAGAATTGAAGCCAGATATAAAGGTCATGCAAGTTCCCGACCTCCTTCCCTTAACTTCAACTCAAGGATGCGGAGTTCTTCCCAAATCGGTCGATGATCATACATTACAGTATCTGGTCGGTCAAGACCCTCAGATTTGTTTGTCTGGCACTGCTGGTATGTGTAGACTTTACATTTTTACCTAGAACATTTTCAGAGATGGGAATTGCGCATTTGCTGAAAAACACAACTCTTACTGGACAAAAATCTCATTGGTTCTTGGCTAAAAGTCGGTGTTATCGGCCTGAGGTTTCTCATTCTGCCGCTGAAGCCAAACTGTACAGGGTTCACGAGTTTAACAAGGTGACTTGAGTAGCAGTATTATGACCCATCTTTTAGGTGGAAATGTTTGTTGTTTGTGAATGGAATGACAGTGATAAATGCCTGAAGGAGATTGTGGATATACAGAAAGAAATATTTGGTAGATTGGGCTTCCATTATAGGTAAGATTAGAAGATCTTTTTTTTTTTTAAATTAAATTTTAAGATCAAAATCATTATTTTAGAGTGTTGGATATGGCAAGCCAGGAGCTTGGTGCAGCGGCGGCCAGAAAGTTTGACATCGAAGCCTGGATGCCCGGAAGAAAGTATTTTGGAGAAGTGAGCAGTGCCTCCAATTGCTTCGATTATCAATCCAGGAGGCTGGGGATTAAAATAAAGTCATCTGATGGAGAAATAAAATATGCTCACACATGTAATGGGACTGCAATATCATCGTCCAGAGCGCTGATTACTGTTTTGGAAAGTCATCAAGAGAAGGTCTGTACTTACTGTCTAACCGCGACCATTGGGGTAGATAAAATAATTTTTTTTTTCACTTTTTTGGCGAGAAAAAACCGTACTTCGCTAGCCCATCCTCTAAACCTTCATTTATATAGCCTCGTTCGACCTGACATGCCCTCATAATCCACCCATCCTCTGAAACTTATGTAAGATGTCGTTTTATAACAATTAAAAATTTTTGGGGCTCCTGCAACTTGGGGTTCCAGGGCCAATAAAGGGCGTGAATTAAAAGCGACTACAAATGGGTCTTTTTAACGATAAGCTAGCGAAGTATGATTTTTTTTAAAGTTTATTTTCCCCTATCCCCAATTGTCGTTCCCTTACTTTAACGAATACGGGAGTAATTTTAGGATCGCAAAAGTTGGAAATGCCCGGAGGCACTGCAGAAATACATGCCCTCTACAAGAGCTGCTCCTGTCTTCCTGAAAAAAGCGAGGAAATTTACATATGACTTTACTGATTAGGTTGTTTGGTTGTTGCCTTGTTATAATAGATGAATTGTTTATTGTGGTTTCGAAGGTTGACAGAACTGCTTAAGCTACAAATTGATGGCTATATTTACGTGTAGACGGTGTTACTATACTTTTCTTCGGTTAATATTGTATTCGAAAACAGTGTGTTTGCATTGGGACGAGCTCTCCTTCTCCATTCTCCGATGTTTTCTCGCTTAACAGCCGAACCAAACGCAAACATCCTTCGGATCTAGCCTCGGAGGCGATTATGCCTCTCGAAAGCGATCATGTTCGAGGATACGGAGAGCAGGGATACATCAACAATGTCCATTATCCGGCGGGTAATTACCGTCCTTCCGCTTTCACCTTGAGTTCGAAGGTGTTGGGTGAAATGGATATTCTCCTTCCACAGCTCCCTTTTCCGCCTCCCTAATCGCCTTCGTCCCCTAATTTTTTGTGCAATTTCGCTGTTTCCCGCGAGAATTGCGCACCTTCCTCGTCCGACGCTTCCTCCTTCTTCATAAGCCGAAATATGATTTATTACTTCTAATTTTATATTATGGCCGGAAATATACATAGCTGACCACTTTTTATAGCAGTTTTCCTGTTCTTTTAGCACTTTTAAATTAAACATCTTTGATTGATTTTACTTATACAGGGTATGGCATCTTTGCAGCCCGATTTGAATTGGCTATAGCTGCTTTATTTTTGGGCCGAATGTCGAAATTCTTTTTTCCCTGTATCACCATACTCTCAAATTTTGTTTGATACCAAATATGTTATAGGGATCTATAAATCCCGTCATCTTCATGGTAAAAATCAAAACACCTTAAAAAATGTCACAAATATCTCGGCAACGGTGAAAGATAGTCGTGGTAAACCCGGGTTCAGAAGTCTTAGAATTTTGCTTATGTTACAAGGAAAGTACTTTTATGGGGGCTCCTACTTTTTGACGGGACATATCTCAAAAAATCAGAAAAAATGTGCTGATCAAGGATATATAAATCTTAGCTGCCCATTTTAGGTTTTTAGGGGTGAAAATGCCCAAAAACTGGCATAATTTCCCTACAAAAAGCGCAGGCATTCGAAACGATAAAAACCGCAGTCGGTCTCTTCCTTCGGAAGAGAGCGGTGTGGCCGAGTGGTTAGTGCCGTAGTCTGGGAATCGAGAGGGGGAACGCCGCATGGGTTCGATTTCCCTTTTGTGCTGAACCAACTTTTTTTGAAGATGAAGGTCGGAAAAATAAATTTTTGGGCCAAGACTGATTTATTACGTCTTAGAAGCTCAATAAACATCATTTTAAGCCAAAATAAAAATTGTAAACCCGTGAAAAATTAAGCGGAAAGGGGTTCATATAGGACTTTAAGTCAACTTCCGATTGAGTTTTCACCCTAAAAACCTAAAATGGGCAGCTAAGATTTATATATCCTTGATCAGCACATTTTTTCTGATTTTTTGAGATATGTCCCGTCATAAAGTAGGAGCCCCCATAAAAGTACTTTCCTTGTTAGAATAGTTTGGAACTACAAAAACTAAAGAATTCCACTCCATAGGGTGAAACCCGGAGGGCGTATACATATATGAAAATTTTAAAAATCCGCGAAGTTGGGAAAAGGTTTGCCCCAAACAAAGGCGAAATTTTCCATTAAGCTAGAGGTAAGTCGAAAAATTTCATCTTATAACGCCCGAAACTCCTGCGTTTGGTATCAGAAAAAATGTGAGAGTATGGGGGATCAGGAAAAAAAGAATTTCGATATTCGACCCAAAATAAAGAAGTTATTGCCAATTCAAATCGGGCCACAAAGATGCGTACTTTGTATAAAATCCACCAGCCCTTATTCATTGTAATTACCGACTATTCAGGATGGTTTCCGGACATTGGAATTGTTCACATTTCAGATGAGTGATGGTGACCGATTCTTTCCCCGAATTGCCGGCCCCGTATACTCCTCCCGATTGTTGCAGCTCTGTATTTCGAGCTATTAGATCCTGTCATATGGGATGCCTTGTCAGATATCCCACCTCCAAACTTCTAGAGGTCGATGGAAGAGGGAAAAGTGTTCTTCATTTAGCCGCAAAACAAGGGAATCATGAAGTTGTGGAGTAAGGAGTCTATTTATTACTATATCTCCATAGTTATATACTAAAAGAAGCTCCAGTTCTTCTGGATTTCCACAATCAAACACAGGAGACTCCATTGTTAATAGCAGCGGCGTTTGGACATTTCAAACTGGTCGAGAAGTTTCTTCAAGGCCCCCAAACTGAGACGTTGAGAAGAGCATTGCATCGTGATGTGAACGGTACCAGCTGTTTGATGGCCGCCTTGGCTCGTAATGATAATGACATTGCGTTATATCTGTTGAGAAGATTTGGCAGGAAACTGGCCACATTGCCCAACGAGGTGAACATGATGCCCATTCACATTGCTGCTTCAAAAGGAAACCTTGAATTTTTGCGCATTGTAGTCAAATTTGATCACACCATGGTCAATCATCAGGATGTCTATGGTCAGCCTTGCAATAAAATTTCAAAGAAACTTGTATTTTTTATTTTAGGTTGTACTCCATGTGTTTATGCAGTCCAAGGAGGTAGCTTGGCCAGTTTAAGATATCTGGTGGAGAAAGCCAAGGCCAATATCGGGTGTCTGACCTCCAAAGGGCAATCTCTTCTGCATGTCGCCGCCTTGTCATCCCAGTTTAACATGTGTAGATGGTTGGTCCAAAAAATGGGATCACAGGCTATTCTGTGGCAGACCCTAGACAATGCCAACACAATCCATTGTGCTTCGTGTAGGTGTTTTATTGATTATTACTTCGTCAGCTAAAGTTATGTTATGTCAGCATAATCTTTAGTCAGTGGAAATGTGCCAAGTCTGAGATTACTGATGGAACCATGGTCGAAACGAAAAAGAAAATTGATCTTATCGCAACGGGATTCACGAGGAAATACACCCTTACATCTGGCCGTGATCAACGGCCACTTTAATTCTGCTCAATGTCTGGTAGGTCCTCATGTTTCACAAGATCCACTTTCAGTTGGAATTTGGGTCTAACTTATTTCTGGAGAACAACAAAAAACAAACCCCTCTGGCGGTCGCCCAACTACGAAATAATCCCAAGATGATTCGCCTTCTCGAGGAACACATTACCGGTATGCATTGTAAAAAATGATGTCATGTTATTGTATAGAACAGACACCATGTTACTTACAGTGACTTAATGGGAGCTGTTTATAGCAAAGTATATGTTAAGCATATTTACGTTTACTTTTCCGTTGTGTTGTTGATGTTATTTTTGCAATTAGATTGTAGGGAAAAGGAATTGTCTGGAGGGCCTAAAATGACTCCGTCCGGCTAGGCCCCGTTTAATACATCCAAAAACAAACATTTCAGATAAAAGACCCAAATCCAAAAAGAGCCGGTCTTATGCTGATCTGGCAGTGCCCTCGAGCAACGTGATCGGTGAGAAGATCGGTTTCAGCAGTTCGGAATGTGCATCTTCAGCCAATGGCCATCCCTTGAAAAGCGTGGGCTCTTTTCTCCTCAACATGAATCTGCAGAAAATGAACGAAATCTCGACACAAACCGATCAGGTACGCGTTTAGACTCCTCAGAGGAAGACATGAGAATTTAAATGTTATTTGGAGTAACCATTGGAGTTTGAGGGGGCTCTGAGTCCCCGCAAACGACGGCTAATTTGGGGGTAATCCCCGGGATTAGACAAACTTTAGGCCGTCTTGTTGTGGTCGCATATGCAAATCGAATTAATTGGGATTGTTTTTTTCAGGCCCAGTATTGGGATGAGGCCTGGGCGGCGGTGTCGGAGCTGGATCAGGTCTTGGCCGCGCACTCCCGTTGAGGTTGGGCGGCACATTTATCCGCCTATTATGTATAATAATTCTGATGGGGCTATTTGGGCCGTGTGGAGGCCGACACATCTTCTCCAGACGTCTTTCCTTTCCCTGCGGGCCTGTTACAGGTCAGTTAGTCGAGACTGACCCTGAGGGCATTTCAATGGCTGTTTTCTTTTCCCACAATTGTCCATGTAACTCATTAAATCTTTGAAATTATTACGTTTGGTCTTTCGCGCACTCTTTGTTCTTTTTGCGCCGCTTATGCCCTGAGGGGATAATCCTTCTCCCTAATCTGCAGGGCCGTTTCAAGTTGGCCTCTTCATGTTTTTTGCAACTGTTATCGTGTTTTAATGGCGGAACAACATTCTCCCTCCCGTCGCTTGTTCTTAACGGCTTTTGTATTACATGTAAATAAAGCGTAACATATAATTAACGGTGGTGATAAGTATGCGAATGTTCGAGACACGTGGTTGTAGAGAATTTAGTCACTGTTTTCATGAGAGCACTTCATATACTTGTAAATTAATCGGAGTCCCTCCTTCCTACTCTAACAAACATCTCATGTGTTGTTCAGGTCTCGGTTTGGTGTAGTTTCAGTCTCAGACGAATATTCTATCGACGCTTTGCAGTCTTTTCGCAGAATTAAAAGGATGTTTGGCGTTATCTTCTCGGATATAAAATATTCTCATCAAAAATTCGGCCGTCGTCGTTTACGTGAATGGTCTCATAAATAGGAGATGGGATGAGCTATTATGTCTAATTACCTCTGGGACACCTTTCGGCTTCGAGCAAAGACCGATCAGAAATGGTTACGGCCGCGGGTGGGGCCGCTTTTATTTGAAGCCAGATCTCCAACTTTCAAGGGAGGGGGTCTTATTCCAGAAGGACTTAGTGCCAACTCATGCATTACCAAGTGCGATCCAGCGACGTTTCAGAGAATATATTGGCAGTTGCACTTAATTAAGTCCTTCGGCCGGCCCAAATTATGTTCGAAAAGGAATTTTAAAGGGAATCCTTAATATTGTTAGAGCCTTGGGGGCATATTCCGACCATCGGGTGGGGCTGTATGCAAAGTGCGGCCGATCTCTGTTGATGTTTCCATCGAGTGGAGCGCTTTTTTGTATTAGAACATTATTTTAGGGCTTCAAAACCCAAAAATAAATGCGAGGCTTTATTAAAACGCTTGGGTCTGTTGGCTTCGGCATCATGATAACGTCATTTCAAGGATAACCTCTTTATTCCGCATCCCCCAATTGTCTTCTTTTCGTTTCTATGCACAGATTCGTGGCCCAATCTCCTTAATTAGAAGTTTTGTGTCCAAGCATATCGCTGATCTTCGACGGCGGGGCAGTTATCCGATATTCGAGGTATCGGGTTATTATATTTTTTTATCTTTTTGTTTTCAAAATTTTTTAAACGAACGTCTTTCTTATGTACTAGCGGGCCAAAAAAGTCTTGGCTGTTTTGTGTCCAAGCATATCGCTGATCTTCGACGGCGGGGCAGTTATCCGATATTCGAGGTATCGGGTTATTATATTTTTTTATCTTTTTGTTTTCAAAATTTTTTAAACGAACGTCTTTCTTATGTACTAGCGGGCCAAAAAAGTCTTGGCATGTTTGCACGGTGCCCCGTCGTGCTAAAAACATGTTGCTACGAGTAAAATTCGCGGTGCACATCGACCACGCACAGTGCGAAATGAATCCTTTTGAAAAGGGTTGCAACTGTACAGTGCGTATTTCATTCGCACTGTCCTGATTATTTGTGTCTTTGTAATCCGCTTCCTATGACATTGTTAAATATATTATGACATTTAAAGATTCGGTTCCATTTATATAAGATTTGATTGCGCTTCCATTTGCTCAACATAACATTACCGACATGTCTAATCGCAAATTTGTTGTTCCCCTGCCAATGTTGACCAAATATAACAATAATTATGTAACAAATGCACTTTACATAGAGTGAAAAATTTGAGCCAGAAGTATCTCACAAAAGAGTGATGAGTAGAAGTTCGAAATAAATATTTGTAGATTCTGATGTTATTCGGGAGAAAACACAATTTACAGTTGGAAAAAAGCCATTTCTCTAGGGCTTCGCTGACCAAAAATTTTGGAGTAGGCAGGGGGGGGGGGTACCCTAATAATCCCCCTCCCCCTTAGCTACGCCCCTGCCATTTCCGAAGGCTTTGAAAAAACTTTCGAACAATTTTTTTCGATTTTCAAAATACAATTTTTCTTTTATCGTTTTGTAGAATTACAATGCTTTATGTTCCACGACATTCAGCAGTAATTTCCCATCTTTCATTTGAAGCACGAATTGAGTTTTTGATGACGTAAGAGTGGGCTGAATTCTTGACAAAAGTTGATAATTTTTTTTGCAATTTTAGGATAATCTTGATGATTAGAATAGTCTCGTTTGTTTACCCGTTTCAGGCAGTCTACTGAGCCTTTGTATATCGTTGAAGTTTGCTTGGCAGTAATCCCATGGAGATGACATCGTCCTCTCATCCCTTCGTATCTTCATTATTCGGGATTTATTTTCGGGTGCATAATTGGGAGAGAATGCCTGAGGGGCCTTGTCTCTTGTTCCTAATTAACAACTTTTTCAGATGGCCGAGAACTTTTCTCTATGTCTGCTCCGACCCCCTCCACCTCCCGAAGACGATCCTCTGATGTTCGATCATCTGATTAATTCGATTGCCATCCCTTTAGTCTGCATTCCCGGTGTTTTTGCTACAATCATTTGCATGGTCGTCTTCAGCCGTCCTCAGATGAGATCAACTTTGAATGTGTATCTGGCGGGGCTCTCCCTCTTCGACCTCCTTCTCCTCGCCATGTCCCTTTTAATTTACCCACCAATGAGTTTGTGTATGAGAACCGTAAGTGATGTCACTTGGGATGATGGGAAGTCCTTGTCGTTATATTGACTTCATTTAATGGACATAGTTTACAGTCAATTAGGTTTGGGAAAACAACATGGGATGACGGTACTCTTAAAACAACTAGGGTTTCCTTATGTATCTATTTCCGTAGATGTATGCATACTACTATATTAGGGATAATCGGCAATTTTCCCGGAATTTTGAAGTTTCTTTTCTCTTTGCAAATGAATTTCTTCAAGAATAATATCGCGGAAAATTTGAGTAAAACTTTTGGAGAACATTGACTACCAGAATGATTAACCATCAATTGTAAAAAGCCCGGAAGAAATTGGCCTCAGAGCATGCATTTGTGGATGATACCGTAAACGAGGGGATTAAAAGCGGGAAGAATTGTCATCGAAATGAGGAAGAAATACGGAAAATAAGTAGGAATTCTGATGTTTGCACCCTCTCCATTACTTCGAATATTTTTGCAGGGAAATCTGAGCATCTGCCATTTCTTTTGGAGGACTGCTTTGGTGACTTTCCCCATCTCTTTGGCCAGTCAAACCGCCAGTGTTTGGACATGTGTGGCCATTACGGTGGATCGGTTTATGGCCGTCCAATATCCACTCAAAACTCGGATTGTATGCACACCGAACAAGGTACGAAGATGTTTTCAAATAACAATATAAGGAAGGTGCGATCCGCAATTTTTCATCTTGAATGGCAAAAGGCCCGATTCTTGGCTGGAGAGACATTGAAATGCGAAATTCTTGACTCATATTGCGGAACATTGCGCAAATTTTTGCTCTCTTCCGTGAAGATTTTTTTCTCTGCTCAAGAATTTCACTATTGTTGTCTAGAGGGCCAGACAAGAAATCTGGGTTTTCTGCGAGAAGGTCCAAGAAACTGCAGAACGCACGCACCTTACATATTAGACCGAAGTCATGGTGTTCCGAAAAAGCGTCGAGGCTTTTCTTTTATCTCCTCTACTATGTAAAGGCGATGTAATAACTCATCTCATGCAGTAGTGTTGCGCATGATGTGATGTGAATTATGGAAATGTTTTTTTATTCCAGGCGGCCCTTATTCTAATTATAATTGCGAGTCTGAGTTTCCTCTACAAAATGCCTTCCGTTTTCGAAGTTCGTCTCAATGAATGTGGCCGTCTCGAGGCTTCGGAGCTCCGAAAAAACGAATTATATATAACCATCTACAACACATACGGCTATCTTTTGCTGCTGATTGCCATCCCTTGGTCGATCATGATCATCTTTAATGTAATTGTAGTCCGGGCCGTGCATCAAGCATACCATAAACGACAAAGTCTAACAAAAAGTAAGGGTCGAGTGGACGATAAAGAAAGGAGATGCACCATTATGGCCTTGGTTATGCTAAGCACATTCATCTTGTTCAATCTCCTGGCAGGGGTCAACAATATTGTGGAGGCATTCTTCAAAGATTACGAGGATTATTATCGAGAAAGAATATCAGTCGGAAACTTGTTGGTCTGCATCAACAGGTGAGATCGATATTACCTCAAGACTACGACGTAAAAAATATCAGTAATCCGTGATGATTTTAGCGCTTCAAACATCCTGATTTACTCGATTTTTGGGCGTAAATTCCGTCGTATCTGCATGAAGATGTTCTGTCCTTGCATGGACACCAGAGGTTATCTTTGGCTAGCCCCGACCATGGCCAATCCAAGCGAACATGAATATAGAAAAGTAAGTCATCGGTTAGTTGCAACAATCATTATCCATTTAGAATAGCTCTCCTTCTCGACGTGGAAGTAGTCTTAGAAGCACAACCAAAAAGACGATAACTGAGACTGAACTGGTTCAGAAACCCTCCCATCTTCCGTCTGGACTAGCCATATGACCAGTAAAATTACTTTTACATCATCACGAATAAATCTCAGGGTAAATCTACACTTCACCTGACTGCAGAAATCAATCTTCTTTATCCATCTCACATAATCATCGGATAAGTACGGTGTTCCCACGGGTACGACTTGTATTGTTTATTTATTTATTTTAACAACCTCAAATAAAACAAGTAAAACAAGAAAGGTGAAAAATGTCCTAATCTTCATCACTGATGTTATCCAAGCCCGAACTTAATTGCGACTCTTCATCCCTCTTCTTTAATTTATATTCAGCCACAATCTGGGTTGAAATTCCTTCTTGTTTCATAAAGTTCCGAACTCGGCACACGTGCTTTTGATGATCATCAAGTTCCTTCTCTACAGATTTCCTGAATTCTTTGTACGCTAAATCTGGAGAATCCAAATTCCGATAAAGGCTGTAGAGGAATACTGATGCTGAGATGATTCCTCTAAAACCATTTACATGAATGATCAAAACTTCAAACATTGTACTTAAGTCTCTTGCTTACCCTCCAGTCAATCCCATGACTCCAGCTTGAACAATTCCATGAATGCCAAGAGGCACAGCTAATGTTCCCGTCACTGTGGCTGAAATAAAAAGAAAGTGAGAAAAAGGACTAACCTCCTTGCAAAAGCAAGCTTGACGCACCTGTAGCCAGTGGAGGATACCAGTATTCGAACTTGTTTTTGTAGAGAATCAGATGGGTGTTCACGAGTCTATTACGACTATATAAAAGAAAAAAGATATACACTTACAATAGAGCCCCGGTAGCAAAAACACATTTAAACGAATACTTGAAGCCGTTCTTCATAAATTGCAAAATTTTTAAGTCTGTTTGCCTTGCCTAAAACAATGTTCAAGTATTCAAAGACCAACTTACAAATTTATTTCTGGCGCTACCAAAGTTCTTCCCTTGACTATAAACTTCAATTCTTTTTTCAACTTCTTTGCTGGATAACATTCCTCCCATTAAGAATGTAACCAAAAATGTGAGCTTAGCACCAGTTACGACCATGTATCTTTCCATGGATACAGTATCCGCATCATAAAACTGTTTTAATCTCTCGAATCCCGTCTTCTCCTCATTCTTGGAGTAGTCCACGATCCTCGACTTGACTTCGTAAAGCTTCGCTTTCTCTCGATGTTCAGCTTTCTTCTTTTCGAGGAACTCCTTTTTGTATTCCGATATCTGATTACCCATCTGACATTTGGATCTCTAAAGCCATCGTATTCAAAAAAAATAAAACTTCAAAATATGGCATGATGTTCAACAAGTTTCAAATACGCCCCAGTTCGACAAAATAATTTTTATTACAACAACAACAATTTGAGGAGATCTTTGTATTTACATTATTTCTTGGAATGGAAGTTAGAATCATATTTTTTAAAGAACTGAGATGCAGAAGGCACATCGACGAAGAAAGCGGCGAATCGCTCGATCCCATAAATTGTGGGAAGCACATGAGTCGAGGTTTGGGCAACCGTCTCATCTAAATGAAATTTATTTTTGCGTATTATCCAACGCAAAATAATCAAAGCAATAAATTATAATTAAGGCACCCCGACATTTCGGACTTGACTAAACCGGCTTATAACGTTTTTTGGCTGTTACGCCACAGTGCATAAGAAACGCTATAGGCCGGTTTAGTCAAGCCTGGGAATGCCGTCGTATGATAACTATCGCTTCTAAACTTACTTATAAACGGCGACTTCTTCTTGATGGTGGGGACAACTTTCTTCTCTAATTTAACCACACCGAGATGTTCCAGCATCTCTATTATCTCCAACAATAATACGGGCTGTAACACATAAGAATACGTGCCCTTCATTTCCTCCAGACACAACCCCGGTTTATATAATATGGTCATCAAAACCCCCTCAGACATCCATCGAAGTACTGGCCAATTTACATTTCCATCGGGCAGGCTCCAGGGACGGATAAAGAAGCGATCTGACTTTGTAGACATCATCCATGGTGAAGTGAACTCCTCCATTACCCACCTTCTTGTATCAATGCCACATGGAAACACTTCATTATGCTTGGTAAGTTGTTTTAGGACTTCCAGGATATTAATTTCTGGGATTCCTAGTTTTTTCTAAACACTTCATTAATTATTAAAGTCAAGGAAAACGTCTCTTAAAATATTACTAACCGCAATTTCTTCCGTTGCCACTCCACAGTATTCGGATCTCCTAATCAGGTCCACAATCTTCTTAACCTTGTCGGCTGTTACTCCTTTCACTTTGACCTTGCTGGCAGGACTTTTAGCTTGTCTTTCTAACTTCATCTTTTCTGATTCTACCGGATAAGTTGGTCCAACTATTTTGGCAATCTCCTCTCGTGAAGGGGTCCTCTTCCATTCCTCACTGTATCCATCAACATTCACTTTGATCTCATCCAAATGGAGAGTTGCATTCTCAAGTTTCCTTAGTTGTTTAGTCACTGGCTAGAAGGCACAACAGATAAAATCTTGCGCTTTGTCCCCCACCTTTCCTTCAGTCTGATCATTTTGCCCAATCAGCTCATCAACATTACGTGGAGTTATCAGGCCGATTTGATAATCATCAGAGTATAATTGGCTAACCAATTGTAAGACACAAGCCGGGTTTTCATCCTGGCCATCTCCAAAATAGTTATCCTTGAGCCCTGCTTGGACCAGATCCACCAGATCATTTCGGTAGTTATGATTGAAGAAATGACGATAACTACAAATAATAGGCAATTAATAATAAACATGACGAGTTTTTACAAAATGCTAAAGGTTGAGTGGTTTCTCATCATCATGGAGGTCTGTTCCACGTTCCTCATGCGAGTGATCAGGCCATCCGCTCTTCCTGTCTCCAGCACCTCTGTTACGGACTTCGCGGAGACTGAGTTAACCAGGTTCTCAAAGCTGAGACCCTTTTCATTGGGATCACTCTCTTTGGAATTACCAATCAAAGATGACATCACCACATTAAAGGCGACACAATGATGGATGTCATCCACTGTTTGGCATGGTTTTGATCTTCTTGGATAAACATGAGCAGATGCGGCATTCCCTGAGATGACTACTGACAACTTCTTCTCTTTCATGAAGTTGTCAAATTCCGAATCCGTAGTGTCGATGGGAGGAATTGTATTGGTCTCACTGAAGATGAATTCATGGGCTTTTCTAAAGGCATTCAAGAAATAATCATTCTTCGCTTTCTCGTCTGTGAATACAATCTCCATCCATTTACTCCGAAGCTCAATCATACTCTGCAAGCAATCAATATAAAGTTTAAAAAGAACTCAACCGACATAACAAATGAAATATCAACTCACAGGATACGACGCCAAAGTCTTCACGATGTATTGAAGCTGAGCCATTCTCCCCGGCCGCACCATTTCACGAGCACCCGCAGCCATTAAACAGGGTACCGTCTTGCATCTACTCTCCTGCAAACGTCTAGAAAATAAGAAGTCTATAACTTACCGGCAGATATTCGTGCATTACATCTCTCATTACCGTCGGATTCAACCAAAACCTGTGAATGGGATTCAAAAAGAAGCTGACTCCTCGAATCAATACCAGCTGAATGAAACTATTACATTTCTTTTGACACTCCCTACCATATCATATTCTCTTGTTGTAAACCGACTTCGAATGAACATGTTCTTCTCCTTGCTCTCTAGATCTGTCTGATCTAATGTCCTTTTCCGTGTCCCTTTCTCTGTTAACATTGATTTTGGTGTTTTTACTCCATTTTCAGGTTTATTTTCTACCGAGAGATTTCCATTTGTGGCTGGTAATTTAGTGGGAGCAGGGACCACTCGAGGTTTTTTACTTCTTCGCTTCATATCCGTGGACGCCGTTAACGACCGCCTAACAGAATAATGACGCCGAAATCCGCCAGACATTGCATCGATGGCCTTTTGTGAGAGAATAGGCGCATCCTTCTTCTGCTTAAACAGTATCGAGTCATTAGGTAACAGAGATGACACAGCCGAATTCCAGTTCTTTTCCAGGCGCTCAACCCTCTCTTCAACGTAATTGGTCAGTTGTGTTGCTTGATTTTGAGCCCTTTTAATAAACCAATCAACGAATTCCCCGTTCTTCGGAGACCTCCATTCCCAATGACGGATGAGATGACTAAAGAAGTGATATGTTACCAAACGAGATGACACTTACATGTACAGATTGACATCCATTCCAGCACATCCCTCTTTCTGACCAAACGGATGGATGATATCGATGTTGGTCCGAGGATCAATTGCAAATAAATTGCGGTCAATGCAACCCAGTGTCCATTTCTTGCAAGAATTAGTCGGATCGGCCGGCTCTTTTTGTCCTGGATTCCTTACATTCAAGGGAGTGGAGAGTGAAATGGCTTTCAAGTGATTCCAATATCGATAAACGTCCTAAAAATAAACTAAACATCACCTATGGTCTTACATCGGACGATTTGAATTCGTAGTCGTACTTCTTATACCTGTCAATAGGAAGAGTGACCGAAGAATAGCCCCGTTCAGAGGTACTAGTATCATATATATATGTCTTCTTTCCACAGAAAAATAGTGACGTAGGCCCGATCATTGTCCGTCCATTGTCGAAAGATGGGGCTACCCTCATATGACCCAAGGCACATAGAGTGAGACAGATATGCTCAGCTAAGGAACATGCTTTTTTAGTAAACAGAACTCTTCTAAGATCAGCGGGGAGATCAGCCAAAGGAAGGTGCCTTTTAACGGGGTCGCTGAGATACTCCTCCAATCCAGCAACTTTTTCTCTGACGTTAATCACCATACAAAAAAGGGACAGGGGCATCCCAAGAACAATATCCCTCAGCATAAACCATCCTCTTTGAATGTTTTTGAACGGTGGAATCCCCACAACATATCTGTAAGGCGAGTCCGAGGAATCATCCACCACAGGGAGCTTATCCAAAGGGGTCGGTCCATTCGCGTTAACCGGCAATGGTTTTCCCGGAGGGAAACGGTGATAAAAACAAGGAATCTCAGGGGTTTCTTCTACTTCGTGAATGACATGATAAATAAATTCATGCATTATACTACACCTTGTCATCTTGGCTTGATATCCATAAGAAACATTTGGGTCATAATGACAGTCACTTTCAGAATCCTGTAAATTTAATAAAAATAAAAAAAACACCCACTTTTGTTTTCTTCGATGCTTCAAAATTATATCTTAAAAGTGCTGCCCGTTGAGGTATCTCGAGATTATGAAAGTCGACATTAGATACGTCGACCTGTGAGAGTTTGGGCTTGACAGTTCCCGGGTCCGATTTCTTCGAAAATCTCAGATGGCCAGTTGGAAAGACCCGACCTTCCGAATGGAACTCCGCGATCGTCTTATTTACACCTTCTTTCACTCTCTCATCTTCGACTGAAGTAATATCCACAGGTACTACTATCTGGATTGTGTGTGCTCTCGCAATTAACTCGTTTTCAACATTCACTGTCATATCATCTTCGTAGACATCTTCCATGGTTAATATATTGCACAACTGCTTCCGCTCAAGTGCGTAGAGACATTTAACAACAGACTTTTTGTCGACCTAAACAGCACTGAAACAAACAAAAATTTTACTTACAACGAATTTATATCCACTCTCGGCTTCTTTGGCAGCAATATGTTTGCACAACCTGCTAATAGTAACAATCAAACCTTCATCTCGAATCAATTCCAATATAATAATCATTCTCTGCACAGTCACATCACTTATGCGTAGCGTATCTAAACAGGTGTATACTGGTATCCGTGGAACGCTTACTCAAGTTGGTTTCCGGAAACTTTATAATCTCTCCTGTCTTGAATGGGAAGGGTTTTCCGGCGATGCTTTCTGCTTTCTTAAACAATTGAGCTAATGCGGTAGGCGCTGAACCTTCGCTTTTATAGTAATACCTAAAACAATATAAAAAGATAATATCTAAGGCTTTACTTTAACATCCTAAATTTCCCTTCCATCTTCTGATATTGGCCAATCTGTTCAGGGTAATTCTTGACGACAAATTGAATAGACTGTGATACCCGTCTATTTCCCGCCTTTGTCCTAGTATTCAATCCCAATCTTTTCCCGATCTCATATCTTCCAATTCCTTCAGAGCGACTTTGGATTATACAATCGGCGACAATGTCGCTTTGAATCCGATACCGGTTAATCGCCGTTGGTGTCTTTTCATCATATTGAAAATAACATTCTAAACAAAGTTGTGTTAAGATTTTTAGGTAACAAATTATGGTCGAATTGAGGAAAAAATCTTACTTTCTTCTTCAGTTTCCGCAACAGTGTCCATAATTTATTAACAGATCAAAAATGCATATAAAGGGACAAACAAAAGCTGTGTAAAACACCTTTATTTTATTCTAAAATATTTTCCCGTTATACGTTTTCGCGAGCTGCGCCCTGAGAATATGCAGTCCGCGCATTGTCTTTATACGAATTTGCGATTTTTTTTTATTTGTAATTACGTAAGTAATGACATATACATCGTTAGTTTACAATCACTTTTCATTTTATAACATGTCATGCTACTTATTTTTTATTTTTTACTACGAAGGGGCAATGTCAAAATCAGAAAGGAGTTTTTGGGGGAGAGTTCAAAAAAAGTTAGTGTTCGACTGAGACGGAATTGCCCAAAAGGAATTTCCTTTCCCATAATTATGCATAACAATTCAGCTACTACTCAGAAATTTACATTGGAGACAAGAGTCATGCCGAAAGTTTATTTTCCCCTTTCACTTCCATTTCTGGATCACCGGAATCGGTTACCTCTCTTTTACTCAAGCCGGACAACAATAACTTCTGGAAATGTGAGCGTACTAAATTTATATAATTTCACTCGTATCAGGGGAAAAAAGGCAGGTTCAAAAGAACAGATCACAAAGGCATCCAAAGAGAAGGTCACCAGAAAAGGTGCTTCTAAGGAGAAGATCAACAAGAAAACGATGAGCAAGGAGTCCCGGAGTGACATGGGGAAGAAGAAAAGCTCTCAGAACAAGAACACTTCCAATAGTAAAGAACTCCCAACTCGTACTGTAGGTACCCCCGAGAGGTCTCAAATGAGTAAACAAGGAACAAGATCAGCAGCAGCATCCAGCAAGAAGAACAAAACGGAAGATGAAGTAACCAAAGATGAGGTTCACTACAATGATGACATGCTCAATGTAAGATTACCATGCAACCGTCGAAGATACTTTTTATTTACAGAAAATGAGTAAAGCCTTGACCCATCACAATTGGTACCATGGTTTGATGCCTCGGGATGAGATCGAGGACTTGTTGAAAGTGGATGGGGACTTTCTGGTCAGGAAAACTGAAGTCGCCAAACAACCACGATATGCTATTTCTGTCATCAAGGGGCTTAGAATCAGACATATTCTTCTTAATTTTAAGGATGAAATGTGGTCGTTGAGAGATGTAAGAGGATATTCGTGATCGTAATGTCTATGGTTTAGCTCAAAAAGCCAACTTTAACCGAGCTAATCGAGGCCCATCGAAACGATAAGGTCCCAGTCATGGCTGACGGCACTATTCTAGTGAACGGAGTCGATCGACCACCATTTTATATTCTCCATGAACATATCGAGCTGAAAAAGAAATTAGGAGGTGGAAACTTTGGAGAAGTTTACTCAGCCCAATGGAAGAAAAGTGAGGGAGAAGTGATTGATGTAGCAGTTAAACGACTCAAGGGGATGATGAAGAAGAAACAGCGTGCTGACTTTGTGAAGGTATAGAGATTTTAAGGAATTGATACAATTTAGGAAGCCAAATTGATGAGAAGATTCGATCACCCCAATATTGTAAAGGTCTATGGAGTAGCGCCTCAAGAAGAGCCAGTGATGATTGTACTGGAGATGGCCAGTGGTGGATGCCTACACACTCATCTCCGTTCTTCCGTTACTTTGACCAACGATCAGCTTCTAGGTTACTGTATAGATGCCTGCAGGGGAATGTGTTATCTTTCAGGAAGAAATGTAATTCATCGAGACATTGCGTATGTATTCTTTATATTCCAGATACGTTATCTAACTGTTGTGAGAACTATCTTACTGCCCAATTATTATCTAATTCTTCAGAGCTCGAAACTGTTTGATGGGTGCCAAAGGCGAGGTCAAGATTAGCGACTTTGGTTTATCAGTAGCTGATAGAAGCGAGATTAAGTTGGATAAGCTGAAGAGTATGCCCGTGAAATGGCTGGCCCCTGAAACCCTGAAGAACGGAGTCTTCTCCAAGAAGTCAGATGTCTGGTCTTTCGGAGTTTTGGTCTGGGAAGTGTTCACTCGGTGTGAACAAGACCCTTATCATGGACTGAGCAATCATAAGGCCAAGGAAAAGGTAATGTGACGGTGAAGACATTACTTTTCGTTTTAGATTTTAGCCGGAGGAGACCTGAAGCTACCGGATACAGCCCCTCCTCTTGGCTCTGCTGTTATGAACCTCTGTTTCACTTTGGTGAGTTGTGGGATCTGCATATTGACTGCTTTTAGAAACCTGATGACCGCCCTGAGTTTGACGGCTTGTTCCGACTTCTGGCTCCAAATGAAAAACCTCCCAATAATACCGACGCCATGTTCGAAACTTATGCCACCTAATTTTTACAAATATTTTTGAATAAAGTTCAGTAGAAACCTTCACGGGCGAATTTTATAGTAGTTTAGAGAGTTGACCGACATACGTAATCATCTCATGAGAGGTATGTACGATTTGTCAACGGAATGCCAGTTCAAATAATCGTGTCGATTCCCGAAAATAATATCTTTGCAAAAAATATATTTTTTTTCGGATTTTTTTTTTGTGTAATTCAGTAAATGATCAGTAGATATGCTATACGTTCTTTCAGATACCTCAATAAAGGTCCAAAAATAGCCGTGATAGGGTCGGGTCCTGCTGGTAAGTCAAAGTTATTTTCTTTATTCTTCTTCCCTGTAGGCCTTTACACTTGTTCCGCATTACTGAAGAGGATACCTGAATGTACACTACACGTTGTCGATAAGAGTACAGTTCCTTATGGATTAGTTCTTTCCGGTGTTGCTCCAGATCATGCGGATGTCAAGAAATGTGCGAACCATTTTGAAAAGATGTTTGATTCTCATGAAGGCAGATTGTCTCTCTACTGTAATGTAAATGTTGGACAAGATGTATCATATACAGATCTTGTAAAGAATTATGATGCTGTTATTCTTGCCTATGGGGCTAGTCGATCGAGGGAATTAGGTATCGAAAACTCGAAGCCGGAGAATAATGTGTTCTCTGGATTTAATTTCGTATCATGGTAAGTATGCATTGAATCTCTTATTTATTTAGGTACAACGGGCAGAGACCGGATTTAAAACCACAATTAAATAGAAAAGATGCGGTTATTATTGGCAATGGAAACGTATCGATAGATTGCGCTAGGATATTGTTATCAGATGTTGAGCGATTCAGGCATACAGACATTGCCGAATATGCATTCGAGATGTTGGAAAACAGCAGGATACGAAATGTTAATATAATTGGAAGGAGAGGACCATTAGATGTATGTTTCCTACTTGTTTAAGTGTTTTCTTTTTTTCTAAATTTAGGTATCATTTACGATAAAAGAACTCAGGGAATTGTTAACATTACCGAATGTATCATCACGTTGCGAATTAACTCTTGACATGGAGAATGAAATAAAAGAAAAATTGTCCGATCCAGAGATATCTAGAAGGAAGCGTCGACTTTGGGAATTAATGTTGAAGTATAAAGATGCCGGCGGAGTCTTTGAAAAGACTGGAAAGATTGTATTCTATCAAAAACCGTCCAAAATTTTGATAAATGCCGAAGGACAGATTGAGAGTTTAGAATTGGAGAACAGTTTAACCAAGAAGAAGATATTAGTTCCCTGTTCCTTGTTAATTTACGCAATAGGATTTGAAAGTAATCACCTTGAAGGGGTTCCTGTGGACGAGAATAAAGCTCTCTTACTCAGAGACTTCTGTAGAGTCAAGGATCACAGAGCGTTGGTTTATGCGACTGGATGGTGCGCAAAGGTAATTATTTTAGTTCCTCAGACAGGGGTGATTTTCTGCCACCGCCACGTTTGCGGAATTGTGACACTTGCGGAATTCGGCACAAATGCTTTATTTATAAATTCTTGTTTTCATCTCCAGTCTTCAACATTTTTTTGACCAGCTAGCCAATAAGTTGAAATCACAACCAAATTTTTTAGATGTCTAGCCAAAAACCTGGATCGACTAGCCAAAATGTCAGAATGGCCTAGAAGCCTCAAAAATTGTTTGATAGCCATTTTAACCGCTAGCCTTTTTCGAGGTTTCACAGCCATTCTGACAGGATTTTTTTCGCGTCTAGGCTATCTGTGGTCTTCAAAAATATTTGATTTTATGGCTATGTATTTAATAAACAATTTCGTTTAGGCTGGTGGAGGGGTAATAGCGGATACCCAGAGGAATGCCGTTCTTGTAGCAGAGGAATTGTCAGCAGATTTGAAAACCCATAAACTTAAGGAAGATACGGAACTTGTGGATGAAACTCTTCAGAAGAAAAATGTGAGATATATCTCGTGGAAGGATTGGAAGATCATTGACAAGGCTGAGAGGGAGATCGGGGAGAAGAAAGGAAAGGCTCGACATAAAATCCATGATGTAATTGGATTCCTTGATCAGTACAAGCACGTATAGTCGATGATTTACGTACGTGCGACTCTTTTGTATGGTAAATTAGACTACGCTTTTGAAAGTTGATTTTGAAATTACGTCAAACAAGTTGATCTTGCTAAGTGAACAGTCAAATTTGGCCATACAGAAAGTTGAAGGTTATATTGTTGAATTAGGAATGTTTACATAAATTTGTTATCAGTCATTGATGGATCTTTTCGGTTATGATCCTATATTTTTTTACTATGTGAATATTTAGGATTGATTCGAGCCTTAAATTACAGAGTATACTAATCATGAGACGTATCACTCGCAATTTAGCCAACTTGTACGACTTCCATCTTTGTAAATACGATCCTGCGACTGGGCAGATTGAGCACTTCACAAAACCGCAGCCAGAACCCGAATCCGTTGTTAGACTTCCCTACAATAATGTCGTTAGATACCTCCGGATTAGACACGGATTAAAGTTTATAATAAGCAAGGAGGATCTTAGTGTTTTCGATGTCATTGTGAGTTTTTATCACTGATTAGGCTCGGGACTTCTAAATCTCTCCGCAAAGATCCATACGAACTCTGCAAATTTAGTCCAAAGTTAAAAGTTGACAAAAAAGGAGGAGGCGGCAGAGAAAGGCAGAAATTCTTACAAAAAGAAAAATTGCGCAATGTTATGTCAGATTGCGCAACTTTTAACTTTGTACTAAATTTGCAGGGTTCGGATGGACTCTTGCAGAGAGATTTAGAAGTCCCGAGCCATATATATACGTATATTTATTGTAGGATCTAATGAAATCTTATATGACACTGAAAGACTGCGATTTCTCAGCTCTGGAGCAAATTGTAAACGAAGATCCAACTTTAATTTCACTGATTAAACGAGTCGCTGACCTCGCCTTGATTCTTTCTCATTCATTTCCAGTAATTTGGATACTTTTTGTCATATTATTTTAGGCGATACCTTTCTTAAGAAAGAATTCCAACGAATCTGTCACCTTAAGTCAAAAGCAGGCCTCTATTGTATTGGCCAACGCTTTCTTTCTAACATTTGAAGAGAGTCGGGATAAGTATGGAAGGTCTGATTGCATAAACATGACGCGGTATGTGATTGGGAAATAATATTTTACATTACAATTCAGATGGTTCTCTTCAAAAACACGTAATGCCAAACAAAAACTCCTTTGTATTTTCGCCTACTTCAGATATGTTACGTCACATGGTATGTAAATTTTTATAATTTATTTTTATTATAGAATTTTAGATCTTCTTGGTACTGTCACAATATTAAGGCAATCATTACCGTCATCACTTAACTTCAGCCTCTATGATGGACCAGTTTGTGATATTTTTGTGGACTCTACCACTAAAATAGAAGAAGTAAAAGATGCCGACCAGGCAGTCTTTGCCAACGCTAGGGTTGGTGGAGGGGTAATGAGAAGTGGATGTGTTCAGGTATTATTGGAAAATGGTAGATTAGTGGATTTTCCAGGAAGAGATCAGATATCTGATCGCCCCTGAGGCTTTAATATCTTGTATGGTTTGTGAGAGAATGGAAAGTAATGAAGCTGTAGTCATCATTGGGCCAGAAGATTATTCAACTTACACTGGATATGGGGATTCCTTCAAATGGCTTCCTCTGGAAAAAGAGGAAGAAATGTTGAGGTAAGGGGATATAAAGTTGGTCACTTTACTCTAGAGATCAACTAGGACATTCATGTACAACGTTGATTGTAATGGACGCTGTTAATTATTCCAACCGGGATAATCAATTCGAGTTCAGATTCCTCGACAGAGAACTTAGAAAGGTTCGTTTCTAATACTCCGCGAAAAAACTTCACGTTTTCGTTGAATCTTTCGCTGCATTTCAGAATTTCAACGCATTAAACCATTTTTGCTGCATAGCTGTCCAAACTGGTGAATTTCTTACTCTAGCGCCTTCCAAAAAACAAAAAATTATGTTGATATCAGGTGATTTAGACAGCTAATCATCTATATTAACCTCGTTTTTTCAAAAAAGGCCCATGATGCCTCGGCGGTGCTATGCTCTTTGACCCAAGGGATGTATGTGTCTTTAATGAAATCCTGGGACTTTTTTCGCGGAGTATATGTACGAGTAATGTAATCTTCTCAGGCATTCATCGCTTTTTCGATTCGAGTCAATGATCATATCAAAGTGGCAAGCGGAAACTGGGGATGTGGAGCTTTCAATGGAAATCATCAATTAAAATGTAAGGAGAATTTGTTTAATGTAATTGCTGTTTTAGTCATCATCCAGCTGATCGCTGCCTCCGCAGCTGGTCGAACTCTTTCTTATCACACATTTGGTAACGAAAGGTTGGCCCAGGAAGTTCAGAAATTTCATAGTACTCTCAAGCAACATCAAGTTACAGTCGGTAGGTTGAGACTTTATCCATAAAATACTTGGTAGATACCCTTTACGAGGCGTTGATATCAGCGGATCCTGATATTGCGAAAGATCCCTTTGAGTATCTGATATCAAAAACTTGCACTTAATTCTGTGTGACTTCTACAAATTATATTTGGAAATATTTATTAAATATTTATTATAAATTACAACAACCGGCTTCAAATAAATAGTACGGAGATCATGAGTTACCCTGAAGAATGACACTGCTTACAATGATTGTTTTTGAGTTGGTTGTTGTTCAGCCAGTTGACGAAGCCATTCAGAGTTGTGACCAGGGCCTGACACATCTTTGTTTGCTCAACAAACAGCTCTTTCTGACTCTGAAACAGGTGCCTTTCACATAATTAAATATAACCACGTCCCTCGCCCATAAAAATGTGCATATACACGGACAGGAATACGATAATTACATTGGGACATACTTGTAAAACTTCTTTCTGAAGGTGTAAGATGCTGACATCTGGAATGTTCTGAGGCTGATTCAAAAAGCTCAACAAATTAGACGAATCGAAATTATTTATCTCGGGAGATTTGGGTCGCTCGCTTTGGGCACTGTCATTGGCATTCGGCTCGGACTGATTAGAGGATCTGTGATGTGTGGGGGGTTGATATGTGCAGTACCAATTGAAAAGACGTTGCTCCGCCTCTGAGAGATTATATTTCTGGATGTCCAAGGTCTTGCTGAACAACATTATTAAACGATATCCCGAAAGGTATGGTTTTAAAGCCTGATATCCTCCTTACTTCTGGTATTCCTCGTAAATCCTGCGGATCTTCATTTGTCTGTACTTGAATATTCCTTTTACCATGTCTAAGGTCACAGATCCACTGGTCGAAGCATTTTCCGCGACTTGTCTAACCTCTTCCCAGGCATCACAACGTTGTCTGTTCCGGCACGCTTTCCTGCTCATGTTATCTTCCAGAAGAATTGCTTTCCTATCGACTACCGCATTGATAACGGCCTCAGGCACAATACTGTCTTGTTCGCTGTGATTCGAAGAGGCGTAATTGATGGGTGTGGCCGATACTTCGAGGGCTGTGCTTAGATGGGGAATATTAAAATTGGATAGGAATTCTTTATCCGAGATGACACTCTCTATGTCGTATTCTTTATTATTTTCAGCATTTTCGTTGTTGGAATCTTCGTTTGATGACTCTGGTGACTGGAAATGTTACGTAATATTTATGTAGAAAAGTATTGATATAAGAAGAGAAACACATACGTTTTTGGTTAGTAAGTCCATCAATGTGTTCCCATCGTGTTTGGCACTCTTTCTACTGCATTCTGACGCCTCGTCTTCCTCATGATTTCTTTTTTGAGGCCGGTTTTCATTTTCATCCAAAGCTAACAAACTTCTCAGGATAGCTGACGAATTCATGGGAAATCCTTTGGCATCTTCTTCCACCACCAGATCCGTGTCTTCCTTCGGCGCCTGGAAGCTGGAAAGGTAATGGAAAAGTCGAGTTTCGGCCTGGCTTAAACCACTTAATTCCGGGAGCCGTTGCCATGCGTCAGAATCCGTGTTATCACTACAATATAAATAATAGAATCGGAAGCATAGATTCAAGCAGTAAAAACTCTTAAGACCTACTCCTTTATAGATTGTAGCATCCGCTTAATCTTCATCTGTCGATGTTTAAAAGTGCTTTTCACAGCCTCAACGGTTAATGGTTTATCAATCATGGGTTGCACAAGGTTCTTGACTTCTTCCCAAGCCTGGCTTCGCTGTCGATTCCGGTCAAGACGGCGGCTTTCGTTGCCCTCGAGAAGGACGGCATGCCGGTCCAAGATGGCCTGAATCAAGGCGTCGGTGTATTTGGCGTCAAGATTCAGGGGAGCGGGCATGGTCTCACCTGAAAGCGTGATATGAGAAGAGTGACTGATAAAAAGACGGAGCTCGGGAGAGGGTCCTGAGCCTGCTCGCCTCGCTCTCGACTTCCCATCCACCGGTCCCGTCTCCCACTCCAGCCAGCCCCAAATAAAGTAGGAGCCCACTCTTCACTGTGGCAAGAGTGCGGTTCTCGACCCACAACCTCCGGGCAAGCAGCGAGAGGGCCGGACTTCTCATTTCGGGTTTGTTTTCTCCTCATTGACGAGGCCAAACGGACTGCTGGTGCTGCAGGAAATTGCACTGTCAGGAGAATTGGGGAAGGAAGCCGTCCTCAGACCCTCAGGGCTCAAGATCCTCGAAAGTTGGCAGAAAAAGTCAAGGAGGATAATATGGGGATTAGGGCCAGAGAGAGGACAACAGTACGAGGGAGCACACCGCCAGAACCCTCACCAACACACCCACAGAAGACGACAAGACCCCATGATGACCCAAGTCTAATATCTCTTTATCTTCAAATGCCTCGATCGCTCATAAGGAAAAATGTGGGGAGACTTGAAATTATCCACCAACACGGGGAGACTTATGAGATCAGTCCAGGCCAAGGGAATGAAGTTAAATGTTCAAATATTTTTGTTGTGTGAATAAAAGCGGGTGTAATACGCGTCTCCAAAGCCCGTTTCTCTCCTAACCGACCTCATAACGCAAAGTGAAGGTCGCGAGCTGCATGCAAAATGTGAGCTCTTCGACCTCGACCTTTCCCTGGGCTGGGTACAGTCGCTTCCCTCATCGTTTACGACTTAAAAAGAAAACCAGGAAGAGATTGTACTTTCTGCCACCTAATTAGATCGTGCATCCTAATTCGGTCTGTAAATGGACACTGAAAGAGTATGTCGAGGTGAAACTGGGTAGGATGGGCGCAGGACAGAGCCGCGGCCTCACGCCCTTACTCCTTCTCGAGTCCTCCTCCTCGAGTGTCAGGAGAGCCTAAAGCCCGGACTGGACCGAATGCCGGAGGGTCGGGAGGGACGGGACGCGCATTCTCTCTTGACTCGACTACTCGCAGCCTCGACTCGGCCTTCCTTTTTGTCTTGACAGTCTCCTAAATTGGGGCGGCCGAGGGGGGAAAGAAGAGGTGAGTGTTATGGCCAAGTGCCTTGGCTTTCATGTTCGGGAGCCGGTCACCCGAAGCCGCAAAGTCCTGGCTGGCAGACATGGTCACGGGGCGGTGCCGAAACTCACCCAAAAGCTATCATTAATTACGGATAATTACAAAGTAAGAGAGAGTTTTAATGTTGGCTCTTTACTGTACTTGGAAGGAGGAATACCTAGGGATCTCGCAGTGATCTACTCGAAAACAAAGGTCAACTCGACAACGTGCAATAAACAAGATCATCTGTAAACTTCACAAAAAAACTGTTGTGATAACAGAACCTAGCAAAATCTGGGATGATAATGGCGAAAATAGTTACTGAACACTGCCCAAAACATGATTTTCTTTTTCCTTTCTCCCTCTTAACCCCGACCCAGCATCTGCACTGTCATCGAAGGGGTTCAGTTCCAAGGTCGTTGAGCTTTCCTTTCACGACCTTGAACATTAGGGAGACGCGATTGAAGAATGGTTTGGGATCTTTTCATAAGCATCGTATTCTTGGCCACCCGCATGCCAACTAACTGTACAAAATTGTCATCAAGAAATGAGGCTCAACTTTCGAAAACATGGTATAAAATTTTATTAAAATGTTTAAATTTGTTTTATGATACAAGGCTTCAGAAATCAGTAGACCCGTTTTCGAGATAAGTCAGTTGAATTAAGGCTCTATATTCCATACAAAATAAGCATATATTACAGTTGCTACAGAATAAAGTTAAAAATAAAGACACTATAAATGAGTGATATGTTAAAGATCTTTCTTGTTCTCATCTTCTTGAGATCTGTATTTTGGTTTGGCAACTTGTTTGGGGAACCAGCCCCGCGGTTGGGTGGCTTGTTTGACCACTGCTTGATTAGTTTGATCTCTCGATGCTCTGGCAGCATAAGGATTCTCAGAAAAAGGGCCTTCGATCTTATCCATCTCCAGTAACCTCTGTCCGTATAACCAATTGCTCTGTATTCGAGTAATGGCATAACTTTCGCCCTTCTTTACGGCAATTCTTCTTTCTTCCGAGCAAGGCTGACATATAAAAGTCCTGAGTCCAAATCTCCAGGCCTTAAACCAGCCGCCTTCAAAGTCTTCATGAATTTGATAGATCCTGGCGTAAAACCTTTTATTTGCTTTCTGGATTAATTGTTCTTCCTGCAAAATGAAGTTTAGAAACAATTTTTTCACATTTCTAAGCTCCAAATTACACTTACAGACAGAGAAAATTGTGAACAATCGGAACGAATTGGCCACCAAATTCCATTGCCTCGGGGGATCCTGGCCCAAAAAGATGGAAAGACTTCGGAGATATTCCTTCGAATCCCCAAATGATACGGAAACACAAATGGACCCTCTGATTCGTCTCTTTCTCTATACTCGGCTTTCGTACCTGAGTAAAGATTTTAGGTATCGACCATCATCTTACAAATATATTCCTCGATTCCAGTTTTGTTTCGCAAAACTACCATAATTTGTGTGTATAACAACACTCCCACCGCCAGGACAACTCCAATACTAAAACTGAAAGCCAGAACGGTGCAGAAAAAAGTTGTTCCGTCTTTTATAATGGAGTCGTTGTAAATGTAATCTTGCCGCGTGATGCCGTTAAACATCTAAAAAACGAAATGTAGATAAAGCAATATGATCAAACTTACAAAATAGAGAGTCCTAAATAATACTACTCCCAGTATTCCACATGCATGAAGACACCCGAGGACGGCAAAAAGGAGAAAAGAGAAGAAATAAATCTGATTCCGATGACCGACACAGTTGTTAATCCAAGCTAAAATAATTTTTTTTTGAAAATGCTATTCGACATACGACAATGGTGGTCCATCTTCATTACACATCGATTACATTTCTGACAATGATGAGATCTGGGCGCCTTATAACCAGAACAATGTGCACAAAATTGCAGCCTAGATGAATGTTCCGGCTGGGGGGGATGCCAGCCTTTGGTCACGTATCCACCTCCAATATACGAAGCTCTCACTAAATTGTATAAGGTTCCATAAATAAGTAAAGTAAATAAAGATAGATCCAAGAAAGCGATGGGATCGTCGATTGGCCACCATGTTAGATGTACGTAAACAGCCGTGATACCTATCTAAAAGGAAAAGTAAGAGGAAGGTCAAGTGACGAGATAAAAATCACATTATACTTACAAATCCAGTAAGAAAAATCGCAGCAAGTGGACCCCAATGAAATAACCTTCGAGACAAAGACTTTCCAAAGTCTGATTCTACATTCACAAGGTAGGAAGGCCATTCAGGAGCTTCAGTTACAGTAATTTTATCTCCCTTGTGGCCATGAACAGAGCAATATTCTTCCCCGCCATCCATCTCCTTGTCGTTTTCTTCCGCCAGAACCGGTAAATGTTCTCCAGGCAGTTCTTCCATATCCACGTCCGCATCAGATTCCATCTTTTTCAAAATACTGAAAGCTCATAAAATAAAAATGCTTTCAGGATACAATACGTTTCTCGGCAACGTCCGACTAAAATATTAATATTTGAAAGATATCGTAAAACGGCATCTCCGTTGATATCCTTTCTGGATGTCAATGTCCTTCTTTTGACGGTCCCAAATGAAATTTTTTCTGTCCTGTGGGATTCATCCCACAAGACCAGTAAAATTATAAAACGTAAAATATTTTATCGTCCTACCACGAAGATGCCTGAACTGCAAGATATTCTGGCATTTTGCAGTAATCTCATTTTTTCACAAAATTTTGGCCGATCACGATCTGGAATGAGATGAATAACATTTGAAACTGCGCGATGGTTGATCGGACGCTCTGTCGATATTTTATGAGTAACTGTTGCAAAAAAGGAGACCAATGTTCTTTCTCTCACGAACGGACTAGCCGTCCTGAGATGACTTGTAAATACTTTTCTGCTGGACATTGCGAATATGGCTCACGATGTCGGTAAGTGGGTTGCTAAGTATTATAGTGTTTTAGTTACGACCATGTGAAGCCTAAGTCAGCACCAAAACCTTCGACTGAATCAAATAGAACACGAATTAGAAATATTCGAAAAGAAGTAGCCGAGATGGACAAAGTAGGTTTGTTTATACGGTTTTCAGGCTCTAGATTACACGTTTTTTTCTTGGGGGGAGGTCACCACAGGTAGATAGGGAATTCTTGCAAAATTTTTTACATTTAGCAAAAAACCATGGATTTTTCTAATCAAGAGAATCGACACGAAAATTCGAAGCCATGTTCATCCAATGGTCAATCTAAGCTGTCCAGTGCTTGGTCTAAACCTTTAAAATTCTCAGTTGATGCCCCAGTGTTTGTTCCACGACAATTGCTGCCTTCGGAGGTTCAATTGTGTCCTTATTTTGAAGTTAGCGGAGAATGTGTAAAAGGTCGGTTTAATTTCCTGGTTATATATGTTCATTTTTAGGTGATTTATGTGCTCTTGTTCACGGTGATTTGTGCGAAATGTGTGGACAGTTTGTGCTTCACCCTTACAACGAAGATAGCCGCAGGACACATCATAGAGAATGCCTTTCTGACCATGAAAAGGCCATGAAGGATGCCTTCCTAAATCAAGTATCTGCAGAAAAACAGTGTGGAGTCTGTATGGAAAATATTGTTGCGATTGGTGCCCGGTTCGGAATCCTGCAAAATTGTAAACATTGTTATTGTTTGAAATGTATAAGAGAATGGAGGAAGAAGGAGGAATTTGAGAAGAAAGTTGTGCGGTAAGATTAAGATAATTTTTTTTTATTCGTTCTCGTCTTTTCAGCTCATGTCCTGAATGCCGTGTGCGCAGTGACTTCATTATTCCTTCATCGGTTTGGGTCGAAGACCAACAGGAAAAGGACGAGATCATAGCTGTTTACCAACAAAACATGTCCCAGAAGGTATGTAAATATATGGCCAAGGGCGTGGCTGAGGATTGTCCATTCGGGAACAAGTGTTTTTATAAACATCAACTCCCGGATGGGTCTGTGGTGGCCGGCAAGTCTCCGAAGGAGCTGAGATCCCGCCTGAATCATCGTTACAATCTCTCCGAGGCCTTTGAGTTCATCGCCTCGATGGATTTAATCCAGGCCGCCTTAATGGAAGACCTCTGGACTGATGACTCGACCGACGAGGATTAATCGGATTTGTTGGGATTGTTAAAATTGTTTTATGCCAGAGTAAATAATTTCCTCATGAAGTTTTACGTAATCCCCTCGAGGTATTAGTGAGATGTAATTGTAGTATTAGAGCGTTATTTTAAGATGGGACGACATTTGGGAGATTAATTCTGCAAAAGTCTTCCTTTTCGATTGTTCTCGATTACTGTCGTCTTGCAGTAAGACTAAGTTTACGAAAAGAAACGAAACTGAATTGACAAGTAATTAAAATGGAAAAGTTTCTTCTATCAATATAATCTTTCAAACTGTTACCAATTAGTTAGGAAAGTAATTGTAACAGTCATGTTTACAATTTGATTCTTTTTAACCAAATGAGTCGTATTAGTGGAGACGAAAGACTCCTGCCCTGAGGCGTCCTTTCAAGCGCACAGTTTCAATTCTTGTCAAATTGGAACGGCGGTTTGAATGGATGGGGCCGATTGAAACGTCGGTCGGAATTTGTGTTCGGGAAAAGAAAACAAAACGAAATGTCGTTTCTGTTCTGCCCCGAGGCCGCTGCTCCCTATTTTTTCACACCTCAGCACTTTTTTGCTCTCACTTTCTTTCCTTTCCATCCATCCGACTTTCGCTTATTTCGTTTGATTTGGGGGTTTTTCGTATTCGCGGCCGTGTTCGGAGACTAGCCGTGAATGAGAGAGCACGGTGGATGGGGAGACGGACAGACAGTCGGAGTTGCCGGAAACATTGTGCGAAGAACGTACAGCGCTGGGGGCGGCCGGGGTTCGTTCCGAGGGCCGGGCCCGTGAACAAAAAGCATTTTCCGGGTCTGTTGTTGTTCTCGGGCTTTGATTGCGGCGTGCAGCGAGCGTTCCGCCCGATCGTGGAACGGCAAAAGGTGCGGCCGTAACCCTCCCCCCCTCTCGGTGCTCCGTTCACTGTAGAGAGAGGTCTTCTCGTATTATTCTCGATCGGGCCTTCGTCGTTCCCTTCACTTTCTGCGCGCTTTTTTCGTCGTGTAAATACCGATTGCACTGTGCGCGTCTTGTTTTATTCGTAGTCCAAAAGTCGGAGATCTCGGCTCCAATTCGGATATTTCCGCATATTTATAATGTCGTCAAACACTTTAATTTTTGAAATGTTTCATTACTTTTATTAAACAGGGTCAAAAGTCGTTTTTCCACGAGTCGCTTCGGACAATAGGACCCCACTATTATGCTAAAACTTTTTATTGAAAAAAGTAAAAGAAATTTAATTATTTGTATGCAGGCGGTTTTTAGGGATTGTCAAACTGTAACGTCACTTTGATTCCGATTTTTTACATTTTTTATTTTTTCGTTTGTTATTTGGAGCTACCGTAACCTCTTAAAGTCGCGTATTGTTTGATTTGTTTAAAGTCTTCCCCTATAACGTTTAAATGTTTTAAAACGACTAGCCTTTTTACTTTTCCTTGATTATACAGTATTTAAATAAAATTTGTAGTCACTTGGTATAGATCAAATTTGAGGCAATTACTTTTCTTTTTTTATTATCAATGAATTCATCATCTGCGTTAATTTCTTCCAGGTTGATGCTCCGTTTGGATGCGGGCCAAATGCCACAGGTCAACCTGCAGGCCTTGGCGGAACTCTTTTCGGTGCATTCCCAAACAGCAGATCCCTCCCAATTGTCGCCCATCCCTCGGCCTGACGTTATCCTTCCTAACAAGGACCCGACCGATGGAGAAAAGAATTCTGATCGAGTCCAGCTAATCCCCTCGCAGAAACGACGCCATGGTGGTTTCGGGTTTGTGGCCATGATGAATGGATACGTCTACCATTGTGATTACCAACGAGAGGGGTCGGCGGGGGCTCGGGTTTATTGGAAATGCACTCAGAGAGGAGGATGTGGAGCGAGGCTGATCACAGACAAACTAGGGTTGGTGCTGAATGCCAGGAATAACTTCCACAGTCATCCGCCCGTCGAGGAAGTCCCGGAAAACGGAATCAGGAAGATGGAAGAGAAGGATGAGGTGAGCAGGGAGAGGAACAAGGGGAACGGCTCTTTTCTTATCTTATTCATTGCAAAACAAATCATATAACACAATCTATTTTCAGAATTCGGCCGTTGGCAGTAGGAAACAGAATTTTAACGCAAACTTGGCCTTTGTAAAGGAGATCCACAAGAGGAAACACGTTTTGTTTGGGACTCCTGAACATGCACAACATGGAGATGTTAGCCAGAACAGAGAAAAGGCGTGGGAGGAGATCCGAGAGACTGTAGTACAACAAGGGCACACCAAATTTTTGGGTAAAGATTGGCGACAACTAAGAGCAAATGAATGGCAGCAAGTACGAAGAGCTACGATGGCCAAGAAATATGTAAATGAGATGTCTGGTTCAAAGGGAGGGAATCTGAACGAGTTGGATCAATTGGTGTTGGAGATTGTGGGACAGGAAAATGGGAATGAAGGCATCGAACAGGAGAACAGCAGTAATGGGATCTTCGGGAATACGGAGGTATGTAATATCATTCAAATTGCTTACGGTCTTGTAATAACCCTGTTTAGGAGCCATTACAGTTGCCTCACATCCACAACTCAATGCCGAGTAATGACCTTCTGTCCACGATCTTGTCCCAGTTCGATCCCAGTGCCCTTCAACAGCTGACGCAGAGTCAGACGCCGACTCTTTCGCCCGACGAGGAATCGAATAAAAAATTGAAATTAGAAGAAAATTCGGATGCTTTCCGATGCTCCCCGAGTAGCTCCTTTGACGATGTTGTCGATCAGAGTGACGTTAATTTTGAGGTAATTTTTAGTCACCGTTTTTATAAAAATTTTACTCGTCACTTTTTTTAACGTTTTATTAATTTCACAAATTATTTTTTTGCCAGAAAGTTAGTCTTTCCAGGATCTCCGACTTCGATTTACACGTGAGAAATATCGATTAAGTATTGCACAAGAGAAGGCGAAGCTGGATCTTCTCCAAACACAACTCAACAACGAATTACAACTCCATGAAATACGGCTTCAGAGTGAGAAGGCCAGACTCAAATACGAGGAAATGAGACTTAAACGGGAAGAGGCGTTGAATCTTTGACATCGCCTTCAAAACAAACACTTTACGGAACATCCGGTGTGGTCGCTTTATAACGGGTATCCTTTGTTTTCACTTTGTTCAGCGACGATTTATTGTAAATGCCCTTAACTGCCAAAATAAATGCTAAGTACATGTACTCATGGCTCACGAAGGTAAAATTATTGTAAAATATAGTTATTGGAATTATATTCTGGAGAAATCTCCACCCACCCGAATCTGTTTTCGATTTACATTTGTCCAGGTTTGATTACGACACGGGTTTTTAAGAGCTGACTCGGCCCGGATGTCATAAAACAATGTTATTCTGAAAAGACCTTCCGAAAAACGGAATCTGGCTTTCAGTGGACTCCGGAGGCCTTCTACCTAATTAAACGAGGTACATTTAAATTCTTTCTCTTACGGTTTGAATTCTACTGCGTCAAGAAATTGGGATTGATAAATGTTGTAAATCTATGACCGATGGCCAGAATCGATGCATATCGTCGTTTCCAAAGACTTTCTATCCACGTATGTTGAATCAAATTACAGTATCCTCTTATGTTTTGGCTACCGTACCGGATGGCATGACATAATATATTAATTGAACTTGTCTGCAATTTTTATTATAGAGGATCTTTAAATTAATATACTTTTTATTTGATCCAGATGTATAAGCGGAGATCACAATTATTTAGAGTTATAATAAAATAAGGCCAGCAGGGAAGTAGGAAGTTATTGTTGCAGTCGGAAGGGGTGATGGCCATTTCCCTTTCCACTTTTAGTCATCAGAAAATCGCAGCTATGAGAAAGAAACCTGCCTTGAAAAAGATTGGGCTCCTGATGATGAGGAGTCTCATCCAGGTAAGATATGCTCAGATTTATTATGCTGTAACTATTAGGTATGTATGTCGACAAAATAAATTCCCGTAAATACATATTTCTGGGAATCTGGGAATTTTAAAATCGGGATTTGAAAAGGTGCACCTCACAATCGGCTTTTTCTGAACTAATTAAAAAACCGTAATTTTTCTGAAACTTTAAATTTTTTTATGAACTGCAAAACCCAACAGTGAGTTTTTCAATCAAATATATAAGGATGGTATATATTTACTGCCTAACAGACAAGAAATCGCGGTTTCTGGCCACGAAATCCGATTTGATTCGTATGTCATCATCCTTGTATATAAGGACAATCATTTCGAAAAGGCTAGTACGCCCCTGTGGCTGATACTTGTATTGACATCCCGAGTAAGGTTTGTCAAGAGTACAAATTATGACCACTCAGTCTGTCATTTTTTTTAATTTTGATTCGTCTTCAAAGTGCACGTTATGTAAATATAATAAATTTCAATTCCAACCTTCGATCCTAAGATTTGAACTCTTTAAATTCCACTGATCTCAAGAGGACTTCCAGATGTGTCTGGGTTGATTTAGAACTGATCTGTCGTCATAGCCATCATTCCTCTCTCTACATTCACCATGAGAATTGGGGCCTTCACTAAGGAGAACGTTAGAGTAAGTGTTCCTTAACACTTGGAGGAGGTCTCGATTCTTTAAAATTAATTCGAACACTCTGAAATTACTTAATCGAGTAGTCTTTTCTGTTCTGGGCATACTTCCTGTTTTGTCTAAATCGACCAGAATGTTGATGTCAAATATTTCTTTCACTTTTTGTGGACATGGTTTGCCCATAGAGTCGAATTAAGCATTCGAAACGACTAAATTGGAAACAATTTGGGGATGCTTTCCTTTAGACAATTACTCTACAACAAAGTAAGTACAATTGTTTGAGGGCAAGTCTTGTCCCGGTCTTCATGAGTACTTACTATTCTTGTAAAAGTACGTTGTAGTATTCCATGATTGTTTACCTCGCATTTCAGACCGTATAAAGTCCGCGAATTAGGAAAAACAGGGGTTTATTGTGTATCCGTCCATATTATATAGCAGGCAGATGTTTTTGTAAAAAAGTGTATTTTATGTGATTTTTACATTTTTTCCATACAAAATGTAATCTTTTGAAATTTTTCTAAAAATCTTGGATTTACGGGTTTTCGATAGGGCTGAAAAAAAATGATGTTCATTGTTTTCTGATTTCTATATAGGTCTTTTACAGAGTAAAGCAAAAGTGTAATTTCTAATTCTTTTCTCCAAAAATAATAGATTTACGGGCAATCCGGATCACTGATTACGAAAGTAATATTGATTAAAAGAATGAAAATGATTTTTGTAATCAGCACCGTCGAGAACCCATAAATCCAGCATTTTTAGAAAAAATTCATAACATTAAATTTTTACTTTATTCTGTAAAAAAGTCAAAATCACATAAAAGACACTTTTTACAAATATATAAATGTATTGATGATATTTATTTGCATGATTTTTACTAGTACGTTAGCAAAGTCGCTGGAGTCACTTCGGCGGCATGCACTGTGCAAGAACAGAGAGGGTGCGAACGACAGCCCGAAAAAGCCTATTGCACGGTGCAAAAACCAACAAATTGCACAGTGCAAGGTGAAATTTTGTTTTCGCACAGTGCATGTCGCGAAAAACACTGCGACTTTGCGAACGGACTAGTAGAAATGTGCCCATTATGTCATCTGCATGGCTTCGAAGGGCATCTGCATTTAATCTTAGGGCACTTTGTTCCCGCCGGAATCACTGTGGGATACGTCAGAAGTTTTATTCAAAGAATATTTTCGGCCCTTTGGCTGTCAAGAAACGGCCATAATTTTCTGAATTTGCAGGATTTTTCGCTTGATTTATGGCTGATATTTAAAGGCGGATTGAGGTTTACGCAGTTTACAATTTCCATAAGAGGGTATCCATTAGCGGGATCCAAAAAAAAAGGAATTTCAAAAATACCGCCTGAGGCGTTATTTGAACGATGTATTATGTAATAAAAGGAGATTGGGTTCAGACTTATTAGATTGTATACTGTAACATGCCAACTAATTCCATCTATGCTCGCTACAAAGAGGTAAATAGAACTATTATATAAGATCTGAAGGCTCAGGTTGAAGTAATGTTCGGATAATTCGGGGATTATCACCTCGTGGGTACGTACCCGGGTATATTCCCGTGGGTATTTCCCCTAAAATTTTACGCTGATTCAGAAAATCAAATAACTATCAGCTTGCTGTTAAAAACAAAAATCTAACGGCCGATTTTTAGCGGCCGAATTCCTCTTATTCTATGTTACAGTAATCTTGGTTCCGAAAAATCTCTTTTGTTGAACGTGCTTTCTGAAAAAAAATTTTTATGGCCGATGTTGTGGAACAAAGGTTTCATTATGTTACAGTAACCCAAATGCCAAAATTTAACTTCCGTTGTAATGGCAAGATGCCAGTACCTACATAGTTCCCCAATCGTCCACCCCCGACCTCTGAATACAATTTTGTTTTTCTGAAGGTTTCAATGTCACGTCATACTTATGTTAGTAATGATCATGACAACATCGTCCAGATCACCCAGGAAATTTCCCACTTCAAAACGGATTCCATTTTTGGATTCCTGATTGTTGAAAACCCCAGAAAAGAATAAAGTTGTAAATGTTAAAATCTTAACAATGTTACGTCAGATTTAGTAGCCATTAGTACAGTATTGTATATTTATTCGCCTTCAGTACAATATTTTCTTCATCACCCGAGAAATCTCCTAAAATGCATCACCGGAAAAGGATCACCCGGACTTGCACAACCGGACCCTGCGTCACCCGTAATTTCAGTCACCCTTTGGGTGTATATACATATGTACATATATAACCCTCTAGGTTAAAGGTTTCTCATAAATTTGATTTTACAGTTTGTTTTATTATTCTGACATTATGTACACGTGTCTTTCTTAGAGCAGAGCATTTATTTTTGCCTTGGGTAAAATAAATACTCAGGACTCTTTGAATGACTGTTTCCGGTGTTTCCTTAAACGGCGTTTTCCCTCTTTTTTTAACTTACTGTACCGTTTAAGGTAAAATGGGTATGTTGAGCAGGTCTCACCGTCTTTTCCGGTCTGTTCATGTCATCAACAAGGTAGATTAAGTCCATCAAATTTTCCTCAAATCTACGATAATTCTTGTTTCAGGCCTCCCCGGTCATCGTTCATCTTTTGATGATCTTTGGAGTTGCACTTTATGCAATATTTGGCGCTTTAATTATGCAGAAATTGGAGACGAAAAGGGTGGGCGAAGGCGACAAGAGCCGGAGTAATCGGATGATAAGAATGAACGAGCCTTTTCCAGAGATTAATCAATCAGGCAAGCGTTATGAGTTTAGTTGACAACAAGATCTTTAGATAGTAACCACGAAATCAGACAACGAACTCAATTGGGACAAGATATCATCGATACTGAGACCAGAAGGAAGAGAGAGATGGCCCTTGTTTCGAGATCCCGGAAATGCGTTGAAAGGGCGTTGCAGCGGTTGATGGAATATCAATGCAATCTTCTGATTTTGGACAGAATGACGGTAAAAATGATTGACAGATGCTATCATGTAACCGGTCAGAATGCACCCGGATTGGAGAGTATTGCCTTTAAGTATACACATGATGGATTACAATTGGGTAAGGAGTAGTTTAATTATATTAACTTTTAGCCGAGGATCAAGTAGAATATGTGGAGCCCTGGTCGTTCTCCGACTCGATCCTCTTCTCCTTTACTATAATCACTACCATTGGCTACGGGAATCTGGCTCCGAGGACCTTTCAAGGCCGTCTTTTCTGTATCCTCTATGCTCTTATCGGCATCCCTTTCACTTTATTGGCCATCGCTGATCTGGGGAAATTCTTTTCAGAATTAATCGAAACTTTTGATTACTATTCGAGAAGATTCCAACGGTAGGAACAACAGTTTTAAAAATTTCTTTAGAAAATTGAAGAAAATGTACCGCCGGAAAAGAGGATTTGAGTTTGGATCAGCTCTTTCATTAACAAAGTCCTCCTTCAAGAACGATGACATCTCCTCGATAGAGAATGGTGAGATGATTCAATCTCTGGATGACATGAAAGATGGGATTAAATCAGACGTGGATCATGAGAGCAATAAAAAGCCACTTGATGACGAAGATGAGGAAGATCAGCCAATCAGCCATGGCCTTCCTTTATTGGCCATTTTTGTCATCTACTCTTTCACCGGGGCTCTTCTGATGTCCGCATACGAACCTGATATGAGTTTCTTTAAAGCCCTTTACTTCAATTTCATTACCTTGACGTCAATTGGTTTGGGTGATGTCGTGCCCAAAAGTGAGTCATTCATGGTGGTGACCCTGCTTTACATTGCAATTGGGCTGGCCTTAACGACCATTGCCATTGATATTGCCGCCGATTACTTGAAGAAATTACATTACTACGGGAGGAAGATTGAGAATGTCGGAAATGTGGTCATCTGGTTTGGAGGGAAAACGTGAGTAATTGGTATTCATTGCGCAAAAAAACGATGAATATAATTTAATTTCAGTTTAACAATGAAACAACTAGTCAAAAACCTCGGCGATCAATTCAATTTGCCTGTGAATACAATAGATAATTTGAATTTGGATAAGTTTGTGGATGACGCGATAAAAGTTGAGGACGGGGAGATAGAGACCCTAAGGCCCCCTCCATTCGAACCGGAAGATGTTTTCGTGGAGAGTGAGGTGGGATATGCTGATGAAGAGACGGAGCCCTGGTCCCCAATGAAGACTCCCACGCCTTCTCCATCTCCAGAGCCCTCACCGGAACCGCCTATGGAACCTACTCCACCACCATCACCTTCCCCATCTCCTGAGCCATCTCCAAAAGAAACCACTCCCGAACCTGAACCCGAACCAGAGCCTCAGAGGGATCTCACACCTGAGCCGAACCCCTCCCCACCTCGGGAGCCCACTCCTGAGCCGGAACCAGAGTCACCATCTCCACCTCCGTGTAAGGAAATATATTTTCATATATATACTTTTAATACCATTAAATCCGTTTCTAGCTCTCACAGCAGAGGAATTGGCCGCTCAGAAACGGAAAGCCTACAGTGAAGAAGCATGGAGGAGATATCAGGAATATCAGAAGGTAAGAGGAGCTCGTTTACCCTTACATCTGTCTTAGCAATGGAAGAAATTCAGACAAACTCAGTTCGTGAACCCGGCCACAGGACGTCGGCGGTCGTCTACTCGCTCTCAGGTCAAGTCAGAGAAAAGTTTGGAGAATTCTGGTTCAGCCACCAGTCCAACTTCCAGTAAATTGCTCGCCCCGCCAAACGAAATGAAAACTGAATCTAGTAAGAAGACAGTAACTGAAGTCAAGATCACTACCGTAAGAAGGTAGCAAGAAAAAAATTTCTGTAAATAAATCGTAAAATAACCGGATACTGTACACTTGTTTCCTAATACACTACTACGTATATTGACTTGACATTTATCCCGAAGAGTCATAAATAGTAGTTGAAATAACAATGAAGTGATGGATGGTAAGCCAACAAAGACTCAGAACCCATTCCAATACTTTTTTTTGTAGCCATCGTAACCAATTTCCATTTTTTTTGTATTCTAGAGGTGATCAAAAGACTTGAATCATACCCGTCGACCCAGAATGTTTGCCTTATTGTTTAGAGCGGACTTAAATTTGTTCGCTTTCCCTCTAATTTCATTTAATTTGGTGAGTTTAACGAAGAGTTTTGGGCTCATGGAATACCCGGGAATGTTTTCTTATCCCCATGATATCTCCTACCTCTCCCTGGACTCCAGAACTCGACAAAATGGATATAATTCCATTGAATTTGAGAGTCGATTCCGACCCACGCAGAGGAGTCATCGGTACTTTGATGAACTTTTCAATCGATTCCAACCTCAGGTAGTTTCACTTTTAAATTAAATTTAAAATAATTAATTATTATTTTTAGCGGCGCTCCATTCTCTCCCGAAGTCCCGTAGCCACGCCAAAACGTGTGTCTTTTATCGGTAAATCAACAATTCCATAAAAGGATCTTAATTTAGATACCATTGATAACAACAGATCCTCCCAAAGATCGTATGATTATAAATACGATCACAGCTTCAAATCTGACGATTCTCTTAACGTTGAGAGAAGATATTCAGAAGATTGTAAGAAGACGGTGGTCGAGGAAGTGGTCGAACCAGTGGGCAGACCCTTGGGGAGGTTGAGAGATCCGCTGTGGAGAGATTACGGTAACGTTACGCTCATATTTTCCAAGCACTTTTTTGCAGATTTAAACAATAACAACAGCAGCATCGCTTATTCGCTTAACACTTTTCCGAATACTAACACGGTGTCTAAAGAACTGACGGCAGATAAAAATGTTCTTAATTGTCATCAAAATAGATCTCGAAATAGTAAAGGGAATTTTGAGAATAGCTTAGAGTACAATAAGGAGACTGAATTGGGACTTGTTGGTGATGCTTGGGAAGAAAAACGGGCAGATCGAGTGACAGATTCTGAGAGAAAATTGGAACCGAGCAAAAATTATATTGATGTATACAATCACGTGCCGAAACTTAAAAATAAAATTGAAAATTCTATTCCAACCATCGAAATAACTGAAAAAAGAATTGGTCTCGAGGTGGTTGATTATAATGCCGAATTTGGGACAGTAGGCGATAGTTTAGGGACACATTTTGTAATTTTTGAACGGCCAATTTCGAGTAATCACGCTACTTTTGAGATTCCAAAACCAAGATTTAAATCGATTTCATGTCAAACTGAAAAGGAATTAGGGCCTGAGGCAATGATCGATTCAATATTATATAAGGATGTGAGTACTGTAACGACTTTTGACGAAATTTATTTGCATAAGTTTATGAGGAAAAAAGAAATCAAAAATATTAATTTTGAGCCGGAAATTCAAGAAGATGAGAACTATTATCATCAAATAGATCCACATATAGAAAATGAATTGTCTCAAGATACTGAGCAAGTTTTGGATGAAAGAAAGAATTACGAAAAAATTTATTATAACTCAAATTTTCGACGAGTGGATGACAGTAATTACACCTACATATACATCCAGGACACGGAATTAGAACAAGTTGAGAGTAGTTTTAGACAGTTAGAGAGTAGAAAAGACGTAAAAGAAGAAGAAGAAAACATTTATTTTAATATTGAAAATACCATCTACAATGAAGTAGAGAGCAAATTTGTGACGACTTTTGAGACTTTTAACGGCCGTAGATTTGTTTGCGAATTCGATGACATAAATAGAATTGAAAGGAAAACCCCGGAGACTACTTGTAGAACAGAAAGGGTAACAACGCCGACCACTTTTCCTAGAGTTGTTAGTAAAAAGAAGAAAAAAACAAGGCAATGTTTGATAAAAGAGGCCCTTTACTTTCTAAATGGAACTCCTTTTTGGGATAAGACTATTAAAATCAAAAATATAAAGAAGCATCAGCAATTGTAATTCTTCTCTCCTTCTATTAATGTGCCATAATTCAGATTGTTTTTGTCTTGGTGATGGTAAACGTTATTTTACCCTTTAGATCCCATCACTCCTCTTCCACTCAGATCAAACTTTTGCGATTACGGTAGGTTACTGTAACAAATTTTATAAACAAAATGTTTAGATCGACGTGGATATTCATATGATTCGAATCTGAGGAAAGGTAGGTGTTGCTGATTCAAAAATAATATAATTTCAGCTCACTCTCTGTCCACTTTCCAATACGATGACTATGAAGAAAAGAGGTAAATTACTTCAAATATTCGTATCCAATTTTATAGTTATGAAAGACGAGTGGAAGGTGCAGATCCTTGGTACGATCGGCGTTGCTATCGTCTCCATTAATGCTCATTTACTGATTAAATTGCTTTATAACCCGCAACAATAATAAATAAGATCGCTTGGCCAACAATTACTAGTAATAAATACCTTTTACATTACTTTTAACTCTTATATTCTTTCATAAGGATGAAATCTTGATGTATTTGGGGCTTTTGGAGCTGGATTCCCCGGAAGCATGGCCAGGTTTTGGTTCTGTCCCACAAATCTTGATTGATTCTCAATGTCCAATATACTCGCATAAGTGAATGTTTGTCGGGTACTGTAGATTACACCATCATTTCTCACCAAATTCAGAGGGACTTCAAGACGGCCACCGTTCAGAAATGGCCATTGATTTTGGAAATCGGAGAGTTTTGGAATCTTGCATTCAAGGTACTCAAAGTTTCTAAATAGCAATATTATAGCAGATAATCAACCGAAAAAGGTAACATTTATAGTAGATGACAACATACTTGAATTTGGTCTCACAAGGGATAGATCCCAACCAAACAGTGAGTTGTTGAGTGAACCATTGACCCCTCAAATAAACCGTAGTCTCTGTATTCATGGCATTCAACTTCTGATTCTGGTCTACAGTCATCGAGGAGACCAAAGGGACCGGGGAAATTGGAGAAGAGACTGGTCCCATGGCCTCATAGAATCTATACTCGACCTTGTCTGTGGAGATTATGGTCCAAGCAGCTCCATCACTGATCTGATGCCTCGAGGCATCCACGTAAACGGCCTGATGTTGAAGGATTTTGTCATGGGAGAGACAAAGATAGAGCAATTCATTCTCCAACAGTTGAAATGCACACTTATGCAGCTGACTAACGGGCTCTTCACACGTCGTTGCATCAAGAATAACATTTTGTTTGTCTACTTTTCTTATTCTCTAAAAGAAACGGAAATAAAAATGTGATTACTAAACCCACCAGCCAAGGCAAGGCCATTCCAGTCGTGCTGTCGACCAATTTAACCACTGCCCCATAGTAAACAAACCCATCTTTTGGTTGGAACTCGGCGATTTCACTGGGATTCCTTTCTATATTTACTGTAATTAATTTCAGAATTCAACAAGCAGAACAAATTATACTATTACAGTAGGAAAATCACACATGGATTTTATGGTCTAAACTTACTCAGATAGATGTAGAAAGCACCCCACTTGGTAGAACTTGCATGGAAATTCCCATTTTCTACATGTAGATATCTGGTGGAGACAGTTTGACTTCTGAGTCGATTAAACAATGCAATCCGAGTACCCGATCTGATGCATAAGTATTGACAATCGGTACTTTTCATCGACTGTTTCTTCTTGGAGGGCTTTGAGATGACTTTGATGTGATCCGAGGAGAAAACTCCGATGTCCAGACCACTCAGGTAACTCAACTGGATGCATAAATTAAAGTATTTCCTCTTCTCGGAGTCACTTATGTACAAAGTCTTCGCCGCGCAATAGTCCTGAAGGATAAATAAAGTGTCGAAAGAGGGGGGTTTACTTCTTTACCTTTCCATTGGAGAAGTCCAGATGTTGGGGCTCTTGTTCGATGGAGCCTTGGATTCCGATCTGAGCTCGGAGTTCAGAGCATTGGCTCTCCATGAACTTGTCTCGTTCTCTTGCACTCTCTTCGTTCTTCACCTTCTCTTTGAATTTTTTGTAAGCCTCTTCGAGCTTTAACTTCTTTAATTTCCATCCATCTCCAAGAAGATAAACACATGGAGGAGGACAAAAGAATCTAAAAAAATTAATTACAGTACTCCAATTTGCTCTTGGTATTTCTAAAGCGATATTTGGAATCGATGTCTGTACTCATACTGTAGCCGATAATTAAATTCTTGGTGTCTTTCTCTAGCATTTTCCCAGGCTTTTGAATATGCTTTCCTAATGCGGTAAGCTACAGTAATTCGGCTGGTTATGAGCTCAAGTCCAAACAAGCAGGTCCTCAAACACGGGGGTTAAACGATCGCGTAACCGGAGCATGTTCGGGCCGGATAATCCATAAGGAACACTTACTCCACTTTACAGACCCCATATTTGTCGAGAAAAAGGTCCTCGAGTTCATCTTTCTTACTCAAGCAGCTGTTTAAGGAAGAGAAATGCAAATCCAAAAGACTTTCGCGGACTTAGCTAATGGTCCATAAGTGAGGTCGGGGATTTCCGAAAACTTTGTAATGCATAACTTCGGGGAAGAGCGTTCATAGAAATGTAAAAATTTCAAGAACTTGTGTTTGCAAAAATTAATCTAAAAAAAGATTGTACTTACCGCTTCTCATTACCGTAAGACTTCTGGGCCACTTTGGCATGGAATATCTGAACAACACAATCGTATTTGAATGGATCTTGAAGATATTCGGTCATCTTTTCTTGCGTCAACGCTCCAGTTTTCTCCAGGAATTTGATTCTGGGAACGGTGCTATTTTGACTATTGGTTGTATATGGATCATAGGAGGATGTCGGAGTCTGATTCAAATTATTTCCAAAAGTTGGATGGGTCACATTTGGATATCGGGGATCTAAACCAAGATTTGATTTGACTTGATTTATATACGACAACTTCGTTCACAACACAACATTGATCTCCTCCATCATCTAACCTGACTGTGGAAAAAACGCTGCTGCCGCTGCGGCCGCACAATTTGAATTGAACATTGTTTGGGCAGCGATCTGAGCAAACGGCGATGCAACATCAGAAGATTGCCAGGTTGCGTAATTAAAGGGATGATTAATATCCATCGGATTACCAGAAAGAGATGAGGATTGATCTAGATAGTAGGGTGGTAATACTTGCGGTGATGGGTAGTTGTAACCGAAGTCAGGCATGGAGGAAGAGGAGGCTAGAGCTGCACTGATGGGACCATACAGAAGATCTTGATGGATCTGCGGCTTGCTCTCGAAGAAGTCCTCCGGCACTGGGTTGACGGGTTCCGGTTGAGACGTGACTGGTTGATCGAATCCATGGCTCAGGAAGCTATGGTAGAATGGATTCTGACCCTCGGGCGGCTCAGTATAAGTAAAGGACGGAGGTATGGGACCAATGGAGGATCCCACCCCAGAAGAGACCGCATTCTCGGGACCGAGGTCGGCTTGACTGAACCCGTCCATCGAGGGATGGGGGTTGGGGAGGGAGGGGAAACCGTGTGAATTATCTTGATCTCGGCGGGAACGGGAGCGTGGGGCGATTCCCACCACAGGAGAAGAAGGATGCCTTTTTTGAATCCCCGGATCTTCGTGGGGATCTTCTCACCGGTCTGGGATTGGGAAGATTCTCACCGAGAGCGATGCCAACAACACGACGCTAGTTTGCGCGTAATTAGCTAATCAGGTGGAGGACAATAAGGTCAGAGAAAACGTCCACAAATGCAGAAATAAACCAGAGTCTGCCATGGAAGGCGGGGATTGCCGCGGATGTAGTACTACGGGATATCGGCCGAAGGGCCAATGGAAGGACGCCTTGCAGGAGGGGAATACGGTCGGCAAGAATTCCAGATACCAAGGCCTTTCGGAGATTCCCACGGCTCTAAAGTGGCTGGCCGGAGGGGATTGGCATTTCTAGGGTTTTCGGAAGAAGTAATTATAATGCAAGGAAAATATAATTTATTACAATAAATAATTTTTAACAACCGTAAGAAACCCCAGAGCATAGACACTGGCATCTCTGCTGTACAACAATTGTGAGAACATGTGTTTGGATGTTCAACGAGGGAGATCAACAAGTACCATGGCTAAAACGCATTAATCCTCATACCGAAGACGTTTGTAGGCTGATTCGCGTTCGTCAATTACACCACTTTGATATTGGGTAGACCGGAGGAAAGAGTTCAAGGAGTGAGAGGAGGAAGGAGAAGATATCACACCCTCTCCACACACCTCTCCGACAACCGATTCGTTCATGAAGTAAGAGAAAGAACAGTCGTTGTAGTAGATTACGCCATCTTCTCTCACCAGGCACACCGGCAGTACTAGTTGACCATCCTCATAAAACAACTTGGCCAAGAAAGGAAGATCAGCAAAGACTTCTTCTTTTGAAGGGATCTCAACTTCCAGAGATTCATTACTTCTGAAAAAAAGTAGATAACAATATCATCGACGAAGAAGATGATGCAATATGCTCCCAACTTACACAAAATTTGTGTTTGCTTCAATCGTCCCAAACCACACTTTGACCTTGGGATGGAGGTCGCGGCCTCGCATAACCATATAGGAATGGCCTCGAACCCCGCGGGCGTCGTCACCAGGCTTCTGCTGAATCTGCATGGTCTCAATCCTCGGGATCGGGGCCACTGGAAAACTAGAACTTCCCATTGCTTCGTAGAATCTAAATTCATTCTTTTCGGCCGATATGATTGTCCAAGCCGCGCCCTCACTGACCAAATGTTGGCCTTGTTCATTAACATCCGCCTGGAAAATGAAACGTCCGCTACTTATCAAAACTGGCTTACCGCATGCTGGAAGATATTATCACCATTCAAAGCTAAGTAGACATTTGAATTTGGGGCATCCAATATCTGGAACGCGACCCGATGAAGCTGACTGACAGGCTCATCAAAAGATTCTTGATCCAATATCACATTGTTCTTGTCACATTTTCTAATCCGCATTTTTGGCAAAGACAGATCAGAACAGCTATCGACCAACTTAATGGCATTACCGTAGTATACAAAACCAGTCCGGTGGTCAAAAGTAACGGCGTCGTCGGCGGTATCTTCATCAACTTAAAAGGACATGATTACGTAATGAGAATAAAGGCCACATTTCCCGCCCTTCCACACACTCATAAAACAAAAACGTTGATAAATAATAAGACCACTTACTCAGGTGTATTTTGAATGCTCCCCATTTGGCTGGACTGGCATGGAAACTTCCATTCTCAACATGAAGATACCTGGTGGAGATTGTCTGAGATCGAAGTCGGTTGAAAAGAGCCACTTTCCCTCCACTGTTGATGCATAAGTAATTACAATCATTCCCTTTCACAGTCTGCTTCTTCTTGGAGGGCTTGGAGATCACTTTAATCCGGTCCGAAATGAAAGATCCAATATTGTGACTGCAGTTAAAACTGACATGCACTTGGAGGTGGAAGAACTTCCGCTTATCCTGATCGCTCACATAGAGACTTTTGGCAGGGCAGAATTCCTAAAACAAAAAAAATAAGACAATAAAACTATCAAAAAAGATTTTGTATATGATAATCCCTACCTTTCCATTTGAGAAGTCCAGTGTCTGGGGTTCCGAGAACTTTGATCCCATTATTCCGATCTTTGCAACCAGTGATGTACATCTAGTATCATATCCATTGTAACTCTCAACCACCCGTTCAAAGACTTTCCTTTTTCTTTCCCATCCAGCACCCGACAAGTAAACTGAGGGAGGGGGACAAAAGAATCTGAAAGCACGACATTACTATATATTACAACTTGTATCATCTACCTCTTCTCATTCCCATACGACTTCTGAGCTACTTTAGCATGGAAAATTTTGACGACACAGTCCAGTTCATCCGGATTTAAGAGATATTCCTTCATGGCGTCGACAGTCAATCTCTGCAATGGCTGTCCCAAATAAATGGGGAAACATGGTTGAAGCGGAACTGGAGGGAGGATGGAATGGGATGCCGTCGATGTGTGGGGCTGATCGTAACTCTTTGTTTGCTTGTATTCTGATTCCACATCTTTGGCGTAACTAGCTGAAATCATGAATAACTATTTTAGAGAATTCGACAATCTGATTGTACTCCTACCAAATTACTGACTGTCAGTTTTCGACTACAGTAATCTTAGTTTTAAAGATAATTTCATCACCCGAATCACACTTCCTTGCAAAAAATTACCGTAAACCCGGTTTTCCCGAACAAAAATTCAATCAGACTGACGCAATCATTAATCAAACTACTTAATTACGCACTCGAAAGTATGATTTCATTCAAAAAAGCGGGCAACTTGAATGTGGAAGGCTCGATCTGAGGTCTGCCGTCACTGATGCCAATCTGAGAAACCATGTCTTATGTAGATGAATAGAGGCCGAGTAGTTTGGGCTGGTCTGATATTCTCACAACCAAAAAACGAATACGGTTTGCAATCAATTTTGATCAAAAAGTGCTGGAATACAGTCGATTCCGGTGGGGGAAACGCCGGGCGGAGTCTGGAAACCGCGGGTTGGAGCACGCGACCCCAATGCCGGGGGATGCCCCCTCTCTGAGTTGAGTGCGACACGCCCTGAGGGGAACCCCCGAAGACCTGTCTTCTCACCAAAATTCTCATAGAAAAAATGGGGTTTCGTTGAAAGAAAGTGGAGCGACTCCTCCGATTGGAGGCATCCCGATCTTCTCATAAGGCATTGGATCCCATCGACGAAATAAAACGACCAATCTTTAGACTTTTTGACCTTATAGTAGCCAGTTGATGGGCGGAATAGAATCAACAGGAAACAGTACCGATGAATTCGTTGCAATTTCGTAAAGACCAATGACTACTTTAGGTGAGCAGCGGGATGTAACCATCTGATAAACGCTCCCGACACTATGCAAAACAAAGGATATCATCAGCTTATCATATCGATCAACGGAATGATGTAATTTGTGTAATATGACAATCTGATCAGAGAACGAAGGGTCTTCTCGAAGGATCGGCTGAGGTTCCCGAGGAGGGAACCTCAGCCGATTTCCCCAGGGTCCAAGTAATCAACTCTCATTCCCAGCCCTCCTTCCCTTTTTGGGGTTCCCGTTAATTCTCTTTTTTAGTTAAAATGTTTGATCTGCAGGCCGCCTCACTTTTTTCCGCTTGTTTGTAAACAGAGACGGAAACCAAAAAAATATTATTAACATTTACTCTCTTGATCCTTGATTTTACCATACACAATTCCCACAAAATCTGACAAAATCCAAACAAAACGTGATAAATCAAACTTTTTAATTAGCTACTTGAACCAAGAGACCGTTCAGGGACGCAGACAGACAAAACCCACACATTCACGAAAAACTACAAAACCAAGACTATAAATTATACACGCCAAATCAAAGGAAGCCTTCCGAGATATCACAAAAAATCATATTTCATTCTCTCACGTATAAATGCCAGATTAAAACGTGGGCAAAGAACAATCACAAAATAACTCACCCACAAGATTCGAGGTCTCCAAGGTCTGCAGAATATAGTCAGGATCTCGAATATGATTGTACGCCATTACATTCTCTGGAAGAAAAAATGAAGGGAAGGAGTGAAGGGATGGGTGGGAAAATAATGAAAACACAACCCTCCCCGATCGCTCGCCGACTTCCCAGGCTCCCAGGGCCAAACTGCGCGTTTCCCAGGCCCGTAAAAGAAAAAATATGCGCTAGGATCAGTCGCCGGCGTCGTCTTTGCTTCTCTTGCAATGAATCACAGAGGAATGCATCGGACGGGAAAGACTCCCATCGACTGGGAACCGAGACACACACACAAATCCCACTTCGACGGATTTCCCACATAAAATCGGGGAAATCACATTATTTTCTCGATTGAATCGGAATGCCAGAGATCGAGAGAACGCGCCAACGCCGTGTGTCCGGAATTGTTCTGACGTCACGAGATGACATTTTGCGTGAAAGTCATTTGCATAATTCGTCAGAAATGATCCATAAAACTAAAACCAGAATCATTTCTGCTCCTGTTGATTTCATTTGGATTCGTAAATTCGATGCGTGAAGACCGTGCAAGGAGTATGTCCAAAAACACGGCAGAAGGAGATGACAAAGTTGGAGAAAAAGTTGAACATAAGAAGGATATAAAACCTCCATTCCTTCCTGATCTCAATGAGAAGGAAACCAAAGCTGATATTCAAAAACGGCTTCAAGGATACGCCAACATAATTAGAAGTTTAAAAGTAAATATTTACAGTAATCTAACAGGGGAAGTACTCCAAGTGCGACGCCCAGATTTTGATGAAATTTGGCACAAACTTAGAATAGTTTTTTCTAAGATACATGCGAGAATCCTAGCTCGCGCTTTGCAGAAACCACCGAGATTTTTAGACCAAAAGTCGGCGAAGATTTAGGACTTTTTGCCGAATTTCGGCACGAAAAGTTTCATGCCTATTTCAATTGTAAAGGATAATGTTTCTACAAAAAATCAAATTTTTCCGCACGAAACTGCCAAAATTATGGCCAAAAAGCGCTTTTCTCTCTGACCGCTCTCCATGTTTAGCGTGCTCTCTCGGCAGCAAAAATCGTTCGATATCTCGGCGGCGCCCGCAAAGCGCGAGCTAAAACCTTCAGGAATTGATAAGTATTTAGTCCATACCCGACGTGTGTGCAAAATTTAAAGAAAATCTGAGCGTCGCACTTGGAGTACTTCCCCTGTAAGTAGCAAAGCTTTTTAGGGTGAAAAGAAGGAGCGGTTGACTGGCAATCCCATAACTCTCCAAATGGCGCTGGAGATCACTCTTCGCGGTCGAGAACGTTTCATGACCGAGCCACCGATCGTCAGCACATCTGGTGGGATCTGTGTTGTCGGTGACCTCCATTCCAATCTGATGGAGCTTTTGGTACGGGCTTTCTGTTATAGCATGTTCTATGACCTATTACTTTGGATTAAGAGTTTGTTGTTTGAAGACTTTGTTGGATAAACTGGGTATTCCTCCCTTCCAACGACTTCTCTTTCTCGGCGATTACGTGGACAGAGGTGATTTTGGCGTAGAAGTTGTCTGTCTGCTTACCATCTACAAGATCCTCTATCCGAAACATATCTATCTCTTGAGAGGAAATCACGAAACCCGAGCTATGAACATTTTCTACGGATTCCTGAATGAATGCAAACGCAAGTATGGACGAAGAAGAGGTAAAGATACATGTAATCGTTTAATTAATTTTGGATTTTAATAATTTCAGGCCGTCTTATGTATACGTACTTCGGGCACATGTTCAATGTGTTGCCCATCGCTGCCGTAATAGGCGGAAGAATATTTTGTGCGCACGGTGGCATCTCGAGAGCCTTACGTAATGTGACACAACTGAAGAAAATCGCCCGCCCGTATGATGTAGCCGATTTCGGGATACTTTGTGATTTGGTCTGGTCGGACCCCGTCGGTAGTAGCATTGACTTTGCATTGTCTCCGAGAAAGATTGGAACGGTTTGTCTGAAGAGTAATAACGGATAGTCCCGTTCTTTTTGCAGGTTTTTGGAACCAATGGTCTCAAAGAATTTTTCGAAAATACGGGAATGGATTTGCTTATCAGAGCACATCAAAGTGTACCCGAGGGGACGGAGCTGACCCTTGGGGGCTCTCTTACCGTATTCAGTGTTCCCAACTATATGGACGACAATAACAAGGGAGGCGTGGCATACGTTGACAATGATTTGAATGTTCGGTGCTATCGGTTCAAGTGAGTCAATTGAATTCGAATTCTAGTCCAAATACTTCAGATCAACGAAAGATCAATAAAGTATCGCTAAGAAAGAAGCAACGAAATCAAATACCTCAGGGTTTATTCATAGAGTAAACATAATTGGAAATTAGACATTACTTTGCCGAAACACGTCGAATGAGGCATTCTTCACTTTGGCCGCGGTTTTCATTAGCTGAAAGAAGTATTATATACAAGTGGTGGACTTACCCTGGCTCTGGGTTTCTTTCCTGATTTATCAGTCCTTTCTTTGTTCTCATCAACAGCACTATCCTCTCCTGCCTTTAATTCCTTCGATCCTTTATCATCTTCCAATTGTGGTCTAAGAATGTTTTTCAATTCCTTTTCGCTGTTCTTCTTCAGTTCCAGATATTCATCTTTCAGCTTTTTGTACCGGCGGCTAAAAAAGAAAGCGATGGTCTAAACAATCCTAAACTTACAAAGAGAATGCTTGAATCCTCGTGAAGAATGTTGCCAAAGTCATCTTCGGGAGTTTTCCCTTCTTCTTCCTCTTTCGTTTCTTCTTCTCCTGCCCATCATTCCCCTGGTTTCCTTCCGTTTTGGCCTTCTTAATGGGTACATCACTCTCTCCGCCACTATCTCCACTCATTTCGCTGGTTGAGATGTCAGTGCATCGTCGTTTTCTTCGAGTTGCGGCCACAGTTTGAGCTTCTTCCAACAGTTTTGTTATGTCAGATTGATCTGTTTCTGGCTGACTTTTATCTTTGTTCTCGGCAGTCTTCTTCTTCCTGTGATGATGACCTCGATTCAAATGAGAATTGATGTAATATGCCTGAACATTGAAAAAACCCATTAGTAAAATGAAGTACAGGGTTTTACAAAAGACGTGAAGGAAATTCGTAGGCTACAAAACCTCTTCTCCCACTTCCGGCGGAGGCGGCGCAGAGACTTCGTTTTTGGAATATATCGTTTTAAGCGAGAGTGTTTTTTGTCTATGAAATAACAAGATTTTAAAGTGTAAACTGAGGTCGCTAGGATCTTTTGAAGTAGGAGCATTTTGAAGATGACCAAGAACTCTTGGAGTTTTTCGATTGAAAGTCACCGAGAAATTTCGGATTTTTTCGATGGAGCTGATGTTGAAAACAGGAAAGGAAATTGCCAACACGCCGCAAATTATGCAAAAAATTCAGCTGCCCTTAAAAATCCGAAAATTCTCAGTCATAATTTTTCAACCGAAAAACACTGGTTTTCAGTGTAAAAAGCTTTTTTTACAAAAAGGCTTCTGATCAAAAAGATCGTAGCGACCTCAGTATGCACTGTAAAGTCTTGTTAGTTCATAGACAAAAAATAATCTCGCTTAAAAATACATATTCCATAGACGAAATCTCTGCGCCGCCTCCGCCGGAAGTTATAGCCTCCGACTTTCCTTCACGTTTTTTGTAAGGCCTTGTATAAGCATAGTCGGATCCTTCAACAAATTTATTACTTTGCAAAACCGCCTTGCCGCAACTTTGGAGGTGAATTGGACAAAACCAAAGCCAGAGTTGATAGGGTACTCCATTCCGGGACAAGATCTCCGTTTCAATCGGTCAACTTGTGGCAACGTGACTTGAACTACATTACCAAACACGCTTGCGCGTTTCTTTAACTGATCTGCCGAACAGGTTGGTGGCAAGTTATCCTGCAGAAAAATGAATGACTGATAAGCCAAAATCAACTTACAACGTAGACCATTTTCTCCTCGAGGTTTTCTTTGGCATCATTTTTCAGAATAACATTTAGCTGGTTTTTATCATCGCCAGTAATTTCAAATAAATTACTTAAATTAGATATAGACTTGAGTTGTGCCGTAGTCAACGCTCCAACCTTATCCATGTTTTCTAATGATAATCGAGACAGAACATCAGAAAGGGAGGCCCTAAAATCTCCATCGACATCCGGCTCAACAAGGTCGACGACATCTGAATTCTTTGCCAATAAAGCTTCTTCAATCTGAAGCATCGTAATTAATTACATCCAAAATTAACTTTGGTGTACTCACCTTTCTTCTGATTTCCTGTCTGATTCCCTTCTTTTTCGGTCTAACTCTTTTCTTTAACTTCTTCTGCTTCTCGGTGTTTACCTCCATTGTCTAAAGTGGCAATGTTTTTCAAAAACAATTTCAAAAAGATAAACTAGTGGCACAAACACTTGAACTCCGTGGTCATATCTTAGAATAACATTTATTTCTTATTAACATCAACATTTCCAAGTTCATAGGCACGATCGCTAGTGGCTTTTATACACTCAATCAGTGCCGATCTTACTCCTAAACATATATTTCTCATTATATTACTCTCCTTACCTCCTTTCTCCAATTCTCGGACCCCAGCAATTGTGGTCCCAGCCGCTGAGCAGACCTTGTCCTTCAATTGACCTGGGTGAATTCCTGTCTCCAACATTAGTTGGATGGACCCCTTCAGCATCAACAATGTCATTTCAAAGGCTTTATCTCGAGGTAATCCAGCCAGGACTCCTCCATCAGCCAAACCTTCCACCAAGAGCCCGACAAAGGCTGGCCCTGAGCCAGTAACAGCCGCCGCTGCATTGAATTGGCTCTCCGGAAGAACAAACACTTCTCCTGCAGCTCTAAGGAGAGCAGACGATACTTTGGAGACATATTCGTTGTTGGTGTAGAGCAATGTAACGCCAGCTCCAATCTCAGAGGGAATGTTTGGGATAAGTCTAACGACCGGGATTGGACCGAGGAAGGATAACTAAAGAAAACACTACATATTTGGGAAAGGGGGTTACCTCTTTTGTTAACGTAGTATGCGTAACTCCGGCCAAGATGGACAAGATCATCACTGCCTCTAATTTGAGATCTCGGGCGACTGCCAAGACATCAAACAACTCCGTTCTGATTTGGGGCTTCACCCCAATCATTATAATTCTGTTGGCACTCGCTGAAAACTATTATTTTCAGTAGCAGTAGCGCATGTGACGTTTTTGGCCCCACTATTTGTCGGTTGTTTTTATTCACAGACTGGTTTGGTCGCCAAGACGTTTTTGTCCTCAAACCAGTTGTGGCTAGGGTGCATTGTGCACCGATCGGAATTTGTCATAGTACAGATTTTATTGAGGTACTAGGCGGTGCAAGCAACCCCGCACAGTGCAAAAAATGTTTTGAAAAGGGCAATCGAAAGCACAGTGCGCTCTTTTTTTCGCACCACGCACTTTCTGGAACGCCTAGTAGCACGTAATAATACATAGTACGAGGTAAGAATTAGGCCAAAATGTGCCAATGCTGTTAGCTTGATAACCAGCACTGCGCAAAAACACAGTTTTAACACTTGATACTACATAGCGTCCGGACTTTTCAGGTCTACGACAGTTCGGGTCAACGCAAAACTGATCGGTACGATGCGTACACGCGGAGACCCAAAAAAAAGTTGTAAGACGTGCCCACGAAACCAGGAAAGTCCGTTAGATGGAAGGCGGATGCTCGGTGAAGACTCGGCGGAGATATGGCAAAGACTTACAATAGGACATCTTTTTATAATTTTACCTATTGCTAAAACCCTATATAGCACGTAATTATTTTTGTGAACTTTTTGGTCAGTGTTGGGTATCAAAACAACAGCATCAATGTCAATTTTTACCTCTGCTGATTAGTATCACCTTGTATAATACTATACAATAGAAAATTCTAAAAATGTGTTTTTGCGCATCCGATCGATACACAATGAGCCCAGCCGCAACGGGTTTGGGGACAAAATCATCCTGCGGACAAAAAATTAAAAAATGGGGACAAAACCAAAACCGGTCTGGGGACAAAAATGGGCCAAATCTTCAGTACTTGTATTACATACGCGGTTGACTTTGGATGTATGAAGTAAGTGTACAAGCCCTCTCAAATCCTCTGTCAATCCATTTTGAGACAGATTTTTGGGACTGAGTCACCGGAACAACTTCTGACTTCGAGAAACATTCTAAAAGTACGGAAAACAAGCATAAGACTTACCCTTAGCTACAAACGCATCGATCAAACATTGAGACATCCTCCCTGCTCCAAGCACAACAAGTTCGTTGGGCCGAGGATTTCCAGCCAGATAATTCAGGTAAACTCGGAATCTCTCGCCAAGTGACACTTCAAGAATCTTATGTTGATGAGATTGACTTACTATCAATATCCGCGTCCATCTCGTCAGCCATAGTTACGGTACAAATTTTATTATGCTAAAAGATAAAACCTTACACATGTAATACAATTCTGAATATTAAATTACGTTAAAACTAAAAAATAGAACCGCTTATATTTGGTGCGTCAAATTACACCGTGACTACATGAAAACATAAATACCCGAATCTTCAACAATTTTTTGTTATTTTGCAGTTTTGATCGTATACAACGCCGCGATATCTATTTGAATTTCGAGCAACCATTAGGGCGCAGTTCGCCATTGTAAAAAATTATTTTGCACGACTCATTTTGGAAACCTAGATCGTCTGTAGACTCCATAATAGAGTGTATATACATATATTTCTTGAGTTCTCTTGGCTTGTCCACATCTGGTTGTTCGAAGATTCGTTCTTCAGTGCGTTACCCTCGTTGAATCATTTTATTATTTCATTTCGTAACTTTTTTTGAGTATTTTAGACATGGTTAATGCCTTGCAAAGTTTTATGGCTGCGGCCAATCAATATGGCAGTCGTAAGTTTAGTCCAGAATGTTTGACTTTGCCCGAATATGCTTTAAATCATTTGTTCTTTTAGATCCCTTGAAAGAAGTTGTCGAAGCTTTAAAGAAAGCAACTCCTACTCTCAATAAAGTGTCATATGCCGACATCGACAAGTTTGTTGATGTTTTAATTGGGAAGAACAATGGAGTCGGCGCTTGTTTCCTTCTCCACGGGAAGATCAAAAGAGGAAGCGAAGCAGTCGCTGATTATTTACAGTTGTTAACCCAGTCCAAAAAAGTAATTGATCTCATCAATGACAGTGAGATTGAGTATGTATACGAAAAGTGTGAGTGCATGGGTCTTAATATTTAACTTCTGTATTTAGTTTCACAAACATTCACAGATCTGGCTTTGTTGTATGTCGATAACAAGATACCTTTGCATGGAATTAAGATCTTGAAATTCGCCATTCAAAAATTGACCAGAGGTGTTAATGGTACAATTACAAATTTGCATCCTGCTCTCCTTGGCCTTTGTTTGGCAGCGAACCGTTTTGATCCGGCACTCGAATATCTGAATCTCGATGCTGAAGCCATCTTCCTAAATGCAATTAATGGACCCGTTCTGGACAGTCAATCGATTCTTCTTTTCTTTTACTATGGTGGCATGATCTACATTGCACTGGAGATGTGGGAGGAAGCATCCTTCTATCTACAGACTTGTGTCTGCCTTCCGGCTGTGTCTGCTTCGGCTATCATGGTTGAAGCTTTGAAGAAGCTAATCTTGGTTAATTGTATTCTTGACAAGAATGAAGCTCTCCCATCTTATCGATCAGCTGCTCTTCAACGCGCCTCGCAATTCAAATGCACCACTTATCATGCAGTAGCTGCCAGTTATAACGAAATCTGCACGAAAAAAGACTTGAGCAAGATTAAACGCAAGTTCTCTTTGATTTTCAACAAGGATGGAGATCAACTGAGAACTGTAAGTCCGGCTAAGACTCTGTTTGACGTTTTAGGATAAGAACACTGGGCTTGTTCGCAAGGTCCAGGACCACTCCATCTTTGTCAGGACTAACCAATTGTCGCAGGTTTGCTATTTTTCACAAGTAATTGTCGTTTAAAGGTATTCACTCGGCTGAAGTTGTCGGACGTCCGAGCTTATCTTGAGTTCAAGGACGAAGTTGCCGACCCGGAAATCTTGGTGCAAAGTCTTATCCAAAAGTCCTTGATAAATGGCCAGATTGATCAGAGAACGGAATCAGTAATCTTTGCGGAATCTGCAAAGGTCGATATCGATGCGAATCAGTTAGAATCCGCCATGAAGAATTGCGTGGAACTGTCGGAAGTTCTCTACAAATGCCATCAAGAAATGAATCTGCATCCCATTTACCTCCAGAAGTCTGGAAAGAAGGGTGGCGCTAGTGGCTCTAATCAATTCGCGGGTAACATGATGATGGAGGACGAAGGTGTTGTGGCCCCGTCGGTATCTTCGTAATCATATATATTGTAATAAAGAGAAATCTCCACTGTGAGGACTCGCTCTCTCTGTAATGGTCCGAACCGTTATCATATCTCTATTGCTTTTGTCGCGCGTGTTTTTTGACGAATGGGTTCAATTCTTTTGTTGGGGAGAGCAGCAAGTCAGCATTCCATTTCTGAGTTCTTCCTTTTCCTAATATATTATGACGGGCCTTCCCAAATACATTCTCGTATCCACCCAAATTCGAACTGAAAGTGGCCCCACGATTGTCGGTGATGCTGATTCCAGTCCTATGCTCATGGAACAGCTCGAGGCCACTTTGGAATCAAGATTAGGAAATAATTTTGCTGAATTTGTCACTTCATGGCCCCCCAGGAAAGTCTTAAATAAATTGGCAGAGTGGAACTATAAAGTTGTTGCTATGGCTGGAATAGGACAGACTTGTGTTTGGACTCTGGAACTAAACAATTGAACCCATGAATCTCTTTTTTAGTATTGCGATTAAATATTGTATTTGAATCGAGTTATATGTTGTAGATGCCTGGATACCGTTTAGAGTGATGGCCCAAAGAAGTCTGATTCGGTTAAAGACGTCGACGTTAGTTCAGATTGCGGCCGGAACGTTTTTAGCAGGGTCTTCAGCAATTTACTTTCTCCAGAAATCGGTGCAGAATAAGGTCCGCAGTTCTCCTCATTACAAACAAGCTTTTGAAATCATCAGTAATCATGATCGATTACTGGACGAATTAGGTAAACCGATTCAGATTGGCACTGTTGATCTCGCTGATCGCCGGCGGAATTACATCGACGAGAAGATCTCGGAGGTGAGGTGTCGATGCAGTGGATAATCAATGCATTTCAGTTCCGGGTGCCTGTCTCAGGCCCTTTAAGCAGCGGGTACATTAATATAATGGCACATCGACAAGACAAAGATGACGAGTTTAAGGTCTCACAACTATTGTTTGAAGGCCTTGATGGTGAATTCTTGTTGTATAAAAAATAAAATTAGGAATTTATTGTCTAGTTATTTGAATAACGGTTTATTAACCATTATTATCGAGCACTGTAAATTAATTCGTTTAATGATATAGTAATTTTTCTTGAGTTTAATGCGTAATATCTAGTCGAGTTTTTTTGATGTCGATCCACATTCCGGATGACTGTTTCCGAGCTTGCTGATCGGCTCGTTAACCTGGTTAGCATGAGCTTGCCTGATTGGTTAGAGCCCTACTTCAATAATACTGTCACTTGGGTACAACAAACTCTACGGGAAACTGATTGGGATTATATGGAGGTAATCTTGGTGCTCTTAGACGACCTCTTTTCAGTACCTCTTCTGGGTTTTCCTCCCAGTCTTCATTGTATTTATCCTCCCTGTCCTCTTGTTGTTGTTTATCTACGGGTGTGCAATCTTTCTTCACATTTATGGTTGGCGTCATCGTATCATCGAGGCATATGCCTCCAGCTATTGGGATGGGGCACGAACATCAATTGCATCGTTTTGGGATGGTGTTGGGTGGATTTGGCACGGTATGTGGAACTTACTAGCACTTTATTACCTCTGTAGGGTACGAAGTGAGGGGAATGGAGAATATTCCAGAGGATGGACCAGTTCTGTTTGTGGCATATCACGGGACATTACCACTTGACATATATTATTTGATAGCTCGTGTTCACTTAGAAAAAAAGCGTCAACTTCACGTCGTTGCCGACAAATTTGTTTTTAAAATACCCGGTGAGTTAAATTATTAAATATTATAATTAATTTTCCTAGGATGGGGACGAATTTGTAAAGTTTTCTCTGTCACTCCTGGTACGGTAGAGGATTGTGTGGCGTGTCTGAAAGAAGGTAATCTTCAAATTATCGCACCTGGTGGGGTGCGAGAAGCTCTTTTCTCCAACCCAGTTACTTACAAGGTTATGTGGGCCAAGCGATTGGGATTTGCGAAAGTTGTTCAGGGAGCCAAAGTTGTAAGGTTGTGGAAGTAGCCCGTTGTCTTGCTAAAAATCTGGTTTCGAAATTTGTAAATTTCAGCCAGTCATCCCAGTGTTCACCGAGAACTGTCGAGACGCGTTTAGAACCCCACGTTGGGGAAGAACACTGTTCCGAGGTCTCTATGAGAAAAGCCGCATGCCATTGTGTCCAATCTACGGAGGATTTCCAGTCAAAATGATAACTCATCTTGGAAAGCCATTGCATTTTGATGATACATACACCCCCGAAGACATAAAAATGGTGGTTAAAGAGAAGGTGAAGGAACAAAGAATTGCTCATCTAAATTTTTAGGTTGAAAACTTGATCCAGACGTATCAACGAATCCCTGGAAGCGTGATTGCAGCAATCTGGCAAAGGTTCCAGACTAAAAAACACCGCAAGGCGTCAAAGTCCGGAAACCCGGGTATTAGATTGGCGTCAGAAGACGATGAGACCATGCCACTGACCGACCACGGCTCATCCAATCCACCGACTTCGAGACAAGAAGAGCCTGAAACTTCTCGACTAGACGACTTCCTAAAGTGGGTTTTTCATTTGACAAGGAATTTTATGGGGGCTCCTACTTTTAGACAGGCCATGTCTCAAAAAATCCGAAAAATTGTGCTGATCAGGGATACGTAAAAAGTTGCTGCTCAATTTTCCGTTTCTGGAGAAAATGTGCCAAAATCTGAACTCAAGACACATTATTTTAAGCAAAATTTGCAAACCTGTAAAAAATTGTGCGTATTGGGTTTATATAGGTTTAAGTCAATTTGCGATTGAGTCTTCACCCCCTAAAACCCGCAATTGGCAGCTTATTTTCACATATTCATAATCAGCATGATTTTACGTATTTTTTGATATACGTCCCGTCTAAAAGTAGGAGCCCCATAAAAGTACTTTCCTCGTAAAAAATGCGATTTTTTAGCTCCGGAACAAGTAAATCTGACGAAGATGAATCAGCCAGATTCCCCATTGAGGAAAAAGAAGATGCCGATCTCTCCGAGTTTTCGTAGACTAGAAACTAACTTAATGTAAATAGAAATAACCTCTGAATAGCATATTATATCACCTTATTACTGAAAATTGAAACAACCGAACAGAATAAATCGGGAACTAACGAAAGAATGACTCCTAAACCTCAATAAGGCCTTCAATTCAACCGAAAATTCAGGCGATGTGAAGAGATTTCTTGACTGTTTTCACGACATGCTGAGCGTTGGGAAGGGCAGCGGCTTCCAGAGAAACGGCATAAGGCATTGGGATATCTACTCCAGTAACTCGGTAAACGGGTGCATCCAGGTGGTCAAACACGTCGGTTTCGTTGGCCTGGGCGACAATCTCAGCTCCAATTCCAGCAAAGGGCCACCCAGTTTCGACGGTAACCAAATGGTGGGTCTTGAATACCGATTGACGGATCGTTTCAAAATCCAGTGGACGGAGTGAACGGAGATTTATTACCTAGACTAAATTTCAAGTATGAAATAGATAAGTTTACCTCAGCACTGACACCGATCTTAGCCAGTTCTTCCGCCGCATCCAAAGCATGCTTCACAGCAATCGAGTAGGCAACCAGCGTAACGTGATCTCCACTTCTCTCAATCTTTGCCTTCCCGATTGGGATCAAGAAATCATCTCGTTGAGCCTCTTCCGACATCTCAAAGCCCACACCGTACAGGATTTCATCTTCGAGAACGACGACTAAACATTTAGAATAAACCAATGAACCCAGTGTTACCTGGATTGTCATCCCTTATGGCTGACTTCAGAAGACCTTTCGCATCCTCAGAGTTGTATGGGGCCACAACCTTCAGTCCCGGGCAATGAGCATACCAAGCCGAGTAGTCTTGACTGTGCTGCGCCGCAACACCAGCAGCACAACCATTGGGGCCACGGAACACAATTGGGACGGGAACCTAAAAAATAGAATAAGGAAGGATATGGTAGACTCACTCTTCCAGCAGACATGTAGAACGTTTTGGCAGCACTGTTAATAATCTGGTCAATGGATTGCATGGCAAAGTTGAAAGTCATGAACTCGCAAATAGGACGAAGTCCGGCAAAGGCTGCTCCAACCGCGATACCTGTGAAGCCCATCTCTGTAATTGGAGTATCCACCACACGGTTATCTCCATACTTCTTCCAAAGACCTTTACTAACCTATACTAGGAAATTTTCATTAACAATGTATACATACCTTGTATGCGCCCTCATACTGGGCAACCTCCTCTCCCATAAGAAAAACATTGTGATCTCTGGTCATTTCCTCATCCAGAGCGGCATTGATGGCATCACGAACCTTGATTACCTGACTGGCATTTCTTTTTTGCTGGACTAGTCCACGGCCAAGGCTCCTTCCTACTCCCAACAGAGAAGACATTACTTCTGCAACATATCATATTAGGTACACATGGCGAGACAAAAATTTTTTCAAATTCGCGATAAAAAGAAGTGCAAATTAACTTCACTCGGAATCGGACTATTCAAGAAACATCAATCATCACTCAAACATGGCGTTGTTTTTGCTAACGGAGGAATTTCAAGCATACCGTAATTAAGGAACGATAGTTCAATGAAATAAACGTAAAATACCTTACGATGAAAACTGCTGTAGCAGGGTAAAAAATGTAAACGTAATTCCAAACGAATTACAATTCGTTTGGAAAGGTATTGTTGTCTGTTTTCTGGCCTAAGTTTGGCCAGCAGGACTTTATCAAAAATGAGGCTATTAAAACTTTCATACATGTAATTAAATTCCTACGTTAGTGTCCTCTCAAAAACTAATTACAAAGTTTCAACAACTTTTTTTTGGCCGGCAGTTGCTCCTCCTCCCGTGCCTTATCGGTTGCTGTTCTTTGAAGCGAAAACATTTTTGACTAATTTTTGGCCAAAGGTTTTTTGCCAATCGAAATTTTTGTTCTTCGGCGTTTTTCGGCCAAATGTTTTGCAGCCGCATATCTTATGACCTCGGGTAAGTCTGTTTTATACGTGTCTCTTATCTTTTGCATTTAGAAATATTGCTTTAGATGTTCCAACCTGTACTCTGAAGTAAACTATGTTGGATGGGGATGATTCCTTCGATCATCTCTTCAAAGTGGTGTTGATTGGCGACATGGGGGTGGGGAAGACGTGCTTAGTACAAAGGTTCCGCAACGGAGTATTTTTGGAAAAACAGGGAACAACAATTGGGGTCGACTTTAATGTGAAGACATTAGTGGTGGAAGACAAAAGCATCAAACTTCAAGTTTGGGACACTGGGGGTCAAGAACGGTTCAGAACGATTACTCAAAGTTACTATCGTTCAGCTCACGGAATAGTTCTCTGCTACGATATAACTTGTCGGCAATCATTCGAATCTCTTCATCGATGGATCGAAGATGTATCCAAATTCGCTGTCCCGAACGTAGCCAAGGTCTTAGTCGGTTTGTTAGAAAAAGGTGATTTATTCTGCTTTAGGAACAAAAGCCGATTTGGAAGATCGGAGAATGGTGGAGTTCGACGAAGGCCTTTCCCTCTCCAAAGCCCATAACATGATCGGATTCTTCGAAGTTTCTTCCAAGAACAATGTAAATGTAGATTCTGTGTTCTTTGAAATGGCGTTGCAATTGAAGAGCCAATACGATGTGGGACGATTGCAGGACAATGGATACGGGCAATTCAAACTCAGTTATCCCGAAACAATGGCCATTACCGGTGGATGGCGGAGTTGTTGTGGATTATAACAAGAAATTATGTTTTCTCCAGTTATTATACAATTCCTAGTCTGGTCTCGAAGGCTGCATCGAAGGGCATGTGTACGCACGGCAGGGAAAAGGAAGAAACGCCTAATTTCCATGCAGCTGTCTCCGAAAATTCTAGTCAACAAAATGCCAAAGTTTTATTTTATACTGACTTTATATTGTAACATAATCAACAATGCTTAATAAAGAGTGCATCTGCTTTTTATTTCAAAAGAGGTTGCGTTTAATCGCAGGATACTTTCTCTTCAATAACTTAATACAATAATGTTTAGATGACGGACCTTCTTCTCGATCCGGCTATCCGATCTTGGGTATTTGTTCCAATTGTGTTAACTACTTTCTTAATTGGAATTATTCGCCATTACGTTTATTTACTCTTGCTGAACAAAAAGAAACAGGATCTCAACAATGTCAAAGACAGGTTGGTAGATCGTCATTCGTTTTAGTCCTTTAGCCATTATCTGGCCAAAGCCCGCCAACTGAGAGAGTTCGGTCGTCTGTTACCATCCCATTCCTATCACATGAGAGTAAATTTCCTATCCAATGAAGAAACGGGTGTTTTACCAAAGAGAATTGAGAAACAGACGGCTACTCCAAATGCTTTGGATCCCTCGATGATGAGTGAAATGTTGAAGGGAAACATGCTGAATATGATCCCGATGATCTTTATTGGAGGTTGGATCAACTGGACCTTTTCAGGCTTCGTTACTACCAGGGTATGGGATTGGTTATTCCGTTAATTGTTTCATTATTTAGGTCCCATTTCCCCTGACTTTGCGTTTTAAGCCAATGTTGCAAAGGGGGGTCGAGTTGAGCTCTCTGGACGCCGCTTGGGTATCTTCAGCGTCCTGGTATTTCCTGAATGTCTTCGGTCTTCGATCTATATACAACTTGGTTCTCGGTGGCGAAAATGTCGCGGATTCTATGATGGATGAACAAACTCAAGGAAACATTCAAGCCCCTCCCGATCCAAAACAAGCGTTCAAGGCCGAATGGGAGGCTTTGCAGATTTCATCCAACTCTCATTCATTCCGTTTGTAATCATTACTTTATAATAATGTTAGCTTGATAAACCTATTTTATCTTGATAGGAACATACTCCTTAAGTTTTCGAAGGTTGAAACAATCCATAACCTCGGATTTGAAGTACTGAGCGTTGTTTTCCACTGGTGAGTATTCAAAAACTAACATAGGCCTCCGTTTTTCCTTCTTTATCTTGCCGCGAACTTCGATGACAACCTAAAAAACTAATTTTAGTTTCAGTAACACGAAGGTTCTAACCTTGCAGGCATGACCTTGTTTCAGAACGCCTTTAGTGGGCATGGCAACTACGTGATTGTTTGAATTTGTTTTCATTAGCCACATGAGTTTACAATTTCCTGAATTATGTAGTTCCAATGCAGCGGTGTGATTTCTTGTCGATAATTCAAGAACTCCATCAGTGTTGACATTGAGTTCTGGAGTCAAAAAGTTTTGGGAAACAAACTGCATTACACTTTCGATGGTGGAGACACAAGAATCAGCACCCGGTGAAACATTCAAATCAAATTGCTGAAAGCAAAATCAGGAATTTTGAGGGCCTTACCTCATATTGGTTGGAGTTAAATGGGAAAATGGATTGATTCGTATTCTCAAGAGCTGTTAAGACGGCTGGAATAGTATAGCATGGGTGAGAAATATCAATGCAATCGTATGTCACATTGCCACACTGATTGGATACTTGTTCTTCTTGGAAATTCAGGACGTTTGGAGGGTTCTGTTTAATCACAGGCGGCGAATTTTTAGCCATGAATTTGGATTCGTCAATGCTTTGTATAATTCTCTGGTAAACACAAAACAGGGTCGACTCCAGAACGATGAATTTAAGGGTAAAGTAGCCAGTTACTTGATCGCAGATGTAATCCACAGGAATTCCGACACCTAGGAAGGTCCAGAAAATAAGAATTGACTTCTAAAGATGAGAGTCATTGAAGATGATCAATAAAATTATTATAATTTTAGATAGGTCCTTACGATGACCGGAGATGGTATTGGGTTCATATCTTTAACCACCAACGTGAGAAGGACGGAAGGGATTACTGTAGTTATGTTGCACACAAACCCGGAATGAGAACCATTGAGCATGTAAAGACAAGAGATGACCGCTATAATAAGCACAAGGTCAGGTCTTGAGTTTATCATGGCATTGAGAACCACATGTCCAAATTCTGCAAAGATTCTCGCAGTTTATTTTTCAGCCTTACTTGATAGATGACATTCCACTGTCTGTTCTCCAGAAACGGCGTTGTGAGATCGATTACAGTACTTTTTATAACTCATGGCTCCAAAAAACGCCCGATTAATTACCTGGCTCTCAAAAAGTAATGAATGTTTTAACAAATTCTTTATGGTTCAAACGATTTTTTGCCCTTCCAAAAAATCAAGTTTAAGAAAATGTTTTATGTTTTGTTAATTATACAATTCCACAATTTATGTACAGGGTGGTCCAGCTAAGTTCGCGGATGTAAAATGCTTATAACTTTTTATAGGATTGTTCAATTTTTATGAGCAATAGCTCATTTTATTCCTTAGTAGTTGCCATTTTGTTTAAAAAAAAGATCATTAAAAATGATCAATCCTACGTCGAGTTATGACCCTTCAAAGTCAAACATGTTTTTTCATTTAAATTTTTAAAAAAATTTAATTTCAAAAATTTTTGAATTGCGGTGTCACCGCTCGCTGGTACCGGGAAATGATGGTTAACAGAGCGATCCCAGCTATGCAAAATTGGCCCAATTTTGCCAGTCTTGTTTTTCAACAAGACGGCGCGCCACCTCGTTTTGCTATAGCGGTCCGTCAACTCCTTGACCAGGTTTTTCCAGGTCGTTGGATGGGCCGGGGATCTGCGCGGCAACCAGCCCCAAATGCTTGGCCCCCGCGTTCACCTGATCTAACTCCGCTAGATTTCTCCATTTGGGGGTTCTTAAAACAGCGGATTTTCATCAGGGATTGGCGCCCAAAGACGTGGAATTGAAGCGCGTAATCGAAGAAGAGGTGGAACGAGTTCGCCAGGATGAACAAATGAGGCGCCAAATTATGGAAGAACACCAAAGACTGGCAAAACTGGGCCAATTTTGCATAGCTGGGATCGCTCTGTTCACCATCATTTCCCGGTAACAGCGAGAGGTGACACCGCAATTCAAAAATTTTTGAAAATTAGATTTTTTTAAAAATTTACGTGAAAAAGCATGTTTAACTTTGAAGGGTCATAACTCGACGTAGGATTGATCGTTTTTAATGACCTTTTTTTTAAACAAAATGGCAACTACTAAGGAATAAAATGAGCTATTGCTCATAAAAATTGAACAATCCTATAAAAAGTTATAAGCATTTTACATCCGCGAACTTAGCTGGACCACCCTGTATCTCAAGGTTCTACAGCTTATGGGGAAGACATCGTCGCAACATTTTGTGCACGGTGCGGCCTATGACAAAAAACTTTTTTTTCCCTTTCATCTTCCGACTCCGGCAACTGGTTAACTAGTTTTCGACCTCAAAACCAAGTTTTGAACGGCAAGAAACAAATTATGACAAAATGTCAATATTCATAGACTTTTTATGACCAAATTCCAATTTGTTTTTACATTTTTTGAATGCAAAAGTACCTTGAAAATTCCCATGAATACCAACAAATACCCGGCTCCGCGGGTATTTGGGTATATACCCCGTCCGAACGTAGTAATTACCCTTTTAAATTTCCGTTCATTTATGGTCAGATTTCTGAAATCCTCCGCTAAATATTATAATTTTGGCTGTTTTCGAAAATCATGTTAATTTTTTCTAATAAAAGATATATTAAACGCCCCCTATACACAAAGACGTACAAATATTTTTACACCTACAATAAATTTGCCAACATAACTTTTTGTGTTTTTTTTGCCCATTATGGTAGCGATAACTGACGAAAATTTTCAAACAAAAATGGATCGATTTTGAAAATTTTTCAGGATGGTTATGAAACCATCATGGGATACTGCACGAAAATATCCGGCTAAGAGAGTGGCCACGTCGCAAAATTTTCTTTAGAGATTTCTTGTGATGTTTATAAATGGCTTGGAACCATACAATAAATTAAGCGAAAAAATTAACAAAAACGCACTGACTTTGCAAATTTTGACGAGTTATGAAAGCCCATGCTTCAAGGTATAGTTTCCCAAATCCACAACAAAACCCGATCTTGACGAAAACCCGACTTTCCCCATTTTTTGTGTCTAGCCAGAACATGTATAGAAGAATATGGTTTGGGCTGAATTTTAACACAGCCTTAACCTATCCTAGAAATGTTGCAACAACATAAAACTACACTTAATTCTCTACAAATCGTTCAGTCCAATTTAAAAATCGGTAGAGAAAGGAACGATATGAACCATCAAACTCAACATAGTCAAACCACACAAAACATAAAGTGCCAAAACTGACTGAAAAACGTTCCCGTCACGCTCCTGCGAGAATGTATGACATCTGTCTAAATCGGTTCTCTTTTATGCAAACTTTATGTTGATCCTTTCTGTAAACATACTGTCGTCTTTTTTCTCGGGATAACATTTCACCGGATATGCTAGGACAATAGTTGGCCCAACTTTTTTGGCATGCAACCGGCTTGAAAATTGTGATCGAGGAGTGATGGTAATCGTTTTGGGTCCCGCAACGAAAATCCAAGGCTGGCCTTCTGTCGTTTCCAATGTTTTTCGGTGCGCGTTTGATGAACAGATGCAGAAATAGCGATAAAGAGAAAACAAGGTGTGGTTCTGTCTGATAAGGTCCACAGTGATGTAATGCCGTTCAGTTTTCCTATGATTTACGGATATAACGGTCTTCGCATTTTTAGGATTAAAATCATATGTTCATATTATATGTTATTATATCTATTTTCTTTCTTTTATGCGAGTCTGGCAGTGTTACAATTTTCTCTACGTTTATTCGTGTGCATCTTTTGTTTTCAGACCTTTGCCCGTTGTACATACACGATGCTAATTCCAAGGGCGTCAATAAAACCTTTTTCCACAGAATTACCGGTAGAATGTGAGGAGATAATAAAGTCTATGGTGGATGGAGTCACGGACCTGTCCGAGTTTTGTCGGCAGCTCGAGAGCTTGGTTGAATTATGTGGCCAAACTGGTAAGGTGGAGATGAGTCGATACTTCGAAGTGCTGAATAAATGCGACTCCGTTCTCCGAGTGGCTATTGAACCAGTGGATGGAGGCCATGCCTTGTACATTGATGTTAATGATAATCTGGATCATGTTCTCATCGCCGTTCTCAAGTTTACTGCAGCTTTATTCGAAAACAGTTTTTCCAGATCTGTGTACAATTCTTTTGGGGTAAGTGAATGGACATTATATTATTTATTGGTTTAGGAGCTCATCAAACTTTTGGATACTCGCAAGACCAAGATACTTATCTACGCCTTACGAGTCATGGTAGCCATATCCAAGACTTCTCGGTACATTTCCCAACATGTTGATTCTGCCCATCAGAAGCTAATGAATTCAAAGTTAACCGCAATGACACATGTCTGTCCAGAAACTATCTACGGACCATTGTCAGAAGTTATTAATCTCAAAGAACATCCCGAAAGGCATGGCTGGATAACGTTCAAAGTTGATGGGAAACACCAAACAATAAGACTGGACGAAAATAAAACCTTTCTGGAGCAGAAAGCGGAGTTGTTCAACATGTCGAAGTCAGAGTCAACCGACGAGAAGGAAGAGGGAACTGAGAGGAATGTTATCATTTCAGAGCTTCGGTTTTTCTACTCGTTTGACAATTTTGAGACTCGATTGGAATGCATAATATCAAAATTAATGGCGATCTCTTCGCTCTGTGAGTAATTTCATTGTTGTAGTTAGTTTTTAGTTTATTCTCGCTGCCTTTTGGATGATTGGGGCGTTGGATTTATATTGAATGAGGGTCTGGTTGAGGAAGTTTGTGTTCTCGTTCAGCTGGACACCCAAAATTATGATCCATCGTTGAAGACCTGTTTGGACACACTGAAGACAGAAGCGTTGAAGGCGTTGGCCAGTATTGTTTTCCTTGAGAAGCCTCGAAAGTAAGTCGATTTTGTTTATTCGATTTGTTTTGTAGGTTGCAACTGGTGGTTGACACCTTGGGATTCAATTCTTTTCTTGGCTACGGCGCTTCTTTGGTGAGAAGAGTTGTCGAGAATCTGAAGAAAGATAATGTTTTGGTTGAGAGCCCTGGCTTTGTCACGGCTCTATTTTCCTTGATATACCACATTGCCGGGTTTGAATATGGTGATTTTGCTTTTTAAATATATTTTGGGTTTCCTGTTCTGCAGGGTGGGGCATCTTTGTGGCCCGATTTGAATTGGCTATAACTTTTTTAGTTTTTGGCTAAATCTTAAAATTCCTTTTTCTTTGAGCCCCATTTTGCTTAATACCAAATTTGTTATATGTACGTGGGTTTAGTTCATAGTTATTGGGTTTGGGGAGAAAAACAATTTTAAAATTTGGCCAAAAAATAAAAAGGTTATAGCCAATTCAAATCGGGGCAGAAAGATGCCCCACCCTGTACTTTTATTTATTGTTTTATTACAGCCGGAAACGCCCTAGTCAGTGTTTCGACAATCCCAACATTACTGGAAGTCGTCAGTTTGACTGCATTGCCTGACGCTCATCTAAGTTTTTCAACTCGGGCTGTTCGAATAATCGACATCTTGACTTCAATCAACTTTACGGAATTCAATAATCACAATGGATTACAAGTTATCGTGAACAGACTGATCTTCGAGGTTGGTCGATGCGAGGAATTCATTAAGAACCATGAAGCTGTTCCCAAGAGGAAGATTGTTGTTCATCATTACCGATCCGCTCTCATCAAATCTCTTCTGAACTTTATGAAACGAGCTGTTGTCGATTCTAACTATGGAAATCATGTGCGAACAAGTAAGATCTGTCTTTTCTTGATTATTTCTTTAGTTATGGAAGGAGATCTCCCGAAGGCGTTGGTCAAAATAATCGAGAATCCTCAGTTTTTCGGAGCGTCGCTCTTATATTGCGGTAAGCCAGAGAAACTGGAAGGTTTATGCCGTTTTAGCTCTGGATCTTCCAACAGTCTTCATCTTTCAAGAACCAGCCCAACTTAATCTTTTGCAAGATCAAGGACTTTCCAATGCCATAATTGATCTTTTTTTCAACGATGATTTCCCAGTTAGTCGAGAAATAATTGCCTCCCTGCCCAACATCTGCTCGGCTTTATGTTTGAATGAGAGAGGCCTGAAAGCGTTCAACGAGAGAAAGCCTTTGGAAAGGATTCTGAAGTTAATCTTTTCTGCGAAGTTTGTCCAAACACTTAAGAAACGAAAGAATGAATTGAGTAAGGCTTTCTTTAGTTTACGAACGATTTGGCGTTTCAGATGATCTGTCTTCTCAGTTGGGAACTACATTTGATGAGTTGATGCGTCATCAGCCAACTCTCAGGAAGCCTTTGATCTCAGCTTTGGCTGATACTGCTAAAGAATTAATTGATCTGACACAAGATCCCAACGTCCAATGTGTCCAGAATTTGCCTGTCAAAGGACTCGAATGGAAGAAACCGGATAAAAATGAGAAGCTTGATCTGACCGTAGAAACAAGTCAGTCCGTTGAATTTGAATCTGTTATGAAGAATTGGAAGGCCGCGGATGCTATGGAGTTAGATCAGAAGTTCTCTCTAGGGTGGGTATATTTTTTCTAAGACATCTATCTGCTTTAGGAGGAATAATGTACTCGTGGTTAACATCGTGGTAGAGAAGGAATCAAAGTTTGAGATGCTCCAGGATAATCTTTTGTTGTCCACTGATTTCGTCCTTCTTTTCTCGAGGATTATTGAGTCCATTTTATCGAACAGTAACATCTCAGAAAATAGTAATGTAATGATGGAATGTGACATCACCAATTACTTGCTTAAAATGGTCTTAGCCGAGAAGCCTATCCTTGGAACACAGAATCAAGGCTTTATGACATGTTTCTCGAATATTTGTCGTCTGTTTTTGGTATAGTTTGTCACCTCATATAATAGTTAAAACTTTTTTTCAGCAAACTAGGAAAATCTCTCCGTATAGTATGCTGGCTGCAGCTTTCAGAAAGCAGATGAAAGAATTTGAAGCAATTGATAAGTTTTTGGATCAGATCAAGACAGAGAAGACGATTCCCGAGCTCTCCCGGCTTTTTACCCTCGCCGCCATCTTCGCCAATTTTAACAAGCACAGTCTCAACATCAATCATGAGATCCGTGCCCTCATCTTGCATTACGTTTCGTCAGATCCAGAAGGTGTGAAGCTTATCCCCGAATTATTCGAATCTATCAGACGATTCTCTTTGGTTATTTCGAAGGTACATATTGATCATTTGGCCAAAAATGCGAAGAAGGAAGAGGAGAAAAGAGAAATAAAGGATAAGGAACAAGAGAAGCCAAGCTCTGCATCCCAAACTCAGCCGACCCCCGTGCCTGTCGACGCTCCGTTGTCTTCACTTGCCAGACCAGTGGAGCTCCGAGTGCCAGTATCTAACCGACGCCAATCAGTTATTCCTTCAAGTTCGTCTGCCGGGGATGCCACTGCTTTGTGTAATGTTTTCCGATGTATCGTGGATATTGTGGAACAGATTGCCCGGAATTGTAATTCGACGAGGATCCGTCGAGGCAACGACCCATACCAACCAAGCGTGTTCAAAATCCCAGAGTGCTTATTCTTGGAAATGAAGAAGCTTCTTGATTTGGAATCCATCGAACCGGATGTCAGGTAACTTCCTCTAGAACTGTGCTTATTTTTAGATCATGTTATGCTTCCAATGTATTACCGTTGCTTCGGAAACTGCTTTTTGATGACTCAAGAAATTTATATTCAATGATGGTCTCTTTCTTTTATGAAACTGGATGCCATAAGGCTTTCTTCAACATGGTTGAAGTCCTTGTTCAGAAGGATAAGCAGACCTCTTTAGCAACTATCAATAGTTGGCTGAACATTGCCCAAAGACTTGTCACCGTCGATTCGATGCTCAATTCTCCGTCGAGAAACAGAACTGATAGGAATACCTTAAAGTCCGGGTTTGACATAAAGAAATATGTTGGCGTTTGCCAAAGGGTAAGAAATCGAGTTTGTATCTTTTCTAATCAACCTATCTTTTTTCAGGATGCTCTGAAAGGGCTCAGTCTTTTGTTTAACGAAGTGGTTGAGCAAAATGAAGATGCCGTTGTGAAGCCAACTATGGCCGCTGACATCGACTTAATTTTGGCAGTTCTGAAAGATTTGATTCATGGAATTATTACATTAAAGAACCAGGATAGAAGTTCTGGAAACAAGCCACTGGAAGCGTTGACAGACGAGATCAATCATGATGATGTGAACACCTTGATTGACATGGGTTTCTCCAGAAGCGAGGCGCTGGAGGCCCTTTCCATCCATGGCTCTGTTACGGAAGCTGCTGATTATCTTTTGACAAGTGATAGAAGGCCTCCTGCAGCTGAAGTAAGTCTATATTTAAAACTAAATATTCTCGTTTGTAGAATATTGCAACACCTACGGAAAGCAGTATGGTTCCAACTGAGGGAAATGTTGAAGAGAAGCCTGAGAAGGCATTGAAACCACTGGAAAAAATGGAACTGTCGAAGGAAGATGGCGTTGATTTTCAGGTATGATTTTCTCTTTTCGCCAAATATTTAATATATATTTTAGAAATCCATCAAGTATCTGTGTGAAAAGGTGGTCCCACTATGCTTAAAATTGCTTCAGAGGAATTCTTCTATCATATACAGTATCGCGGATCTTTTGAAAGTTTTCATTCATGATCAAGATGCCTCAGAATGGTTGGGTGAGAAGATGGTTGATCAGCTGTTTGTGTCCAAGTTTGATGAGTTAATTTCGTCTTTATTGGAGGACCTTTCTCAAGAAGAGAAGGTTGTTGTTTTTGGCAGTCATTGTCATTTGATCTGCTTGTTGTGGTCTGGATTTGATGAAGTTTTTATCCGGAAATTGGAGGATAGAAACCTGTATTCAAAATCAGTTGACTTATTGACGAAAGTAATTGAAGATTCGTCTACAGAATCACCGTAAGTCGCTACCAAATCTAAATGTACTCTTTTAGAATATTGGCCCCTTTGTTGCTCTGGATCGATCTTTACGAAAAGGAATGGGAGTTGATCGAACGGGCCAAGCTATTCAATCAGTTTGTCGAAGGTTCTGTTCAATGGTTTTATTGGCCAGAGGATGAACGTTTTAACTCGTTGCCTCAAGCATGGAAGCCATTCCCACCAATTTGCAACAAGGAAATAAACACCGCCTTCAAAGCCGGACGAACAGATTGTCGGATTACTCATGCCGAGAGAACATATACGATCGACTTTGTCACCATGACGCAGAAACTGAGCGAGCGAAGTGGCCAAACCACTCCCATCTACGGACAAGCCAAATTCAAACAACCCTTCAGTATCGCCGAATTTATTGAAGCCGAAAATATATTATCTCAACCCAGACCTGAGATGGAAAAGCTGATCAGTTCCATAATCTTCCTGCTTGAGCGTCTGAACGACTCGGAAACGTCGTCAACAGAAGTTGTGTTCTCTGCAGTCTCTCTTTTACTGAGGCTGACTGCGTTCCGTGAAATGGCTGCTCAATTTATTGAGGCTGATGGAATAACCAAAGTGCTGACATTGCGTTGCAACAAGCCAAACGTATTGATGACCTCTGTGTTATGCTTGATATTGAGGAATTGCATCGATAACGAGAAGTTGAACAAATCAATTCTGAAGGAAATGATGAGTGACCTGTCGGCGGGAAATCCAATTTGCCTCTCCGATTTGTCCAAGCCTGTCAGCTCCAAACAACGTCGATATCAGAAGGACTTCAGGAGACTGCTCAAGCTGTTAGCTCCATTAACTGGCCGTGACCTCAATGGTCTCATCGAAATTACAAAATCTGGATTTGGTTATAAGGAAAACTGGGAATATGAGGTGTCAAAACCCAGTCAAATCGAAGTCAAGGTTGAAGAAAATGAGATCGTGAATCTTAAAAAGGTAAGGCTTGAAATTGGTTGGTCATGATTAACGTTTTGTTTAGGTTGTTGACGCCTCTGTAGCACAACTCATTGAACAAGTTGAGAATCCAGACACCTCATCTGTTCGTGTTCTTCAAACCGGAAGTCTCCTTCACTTTGTTGCTGAGCTTTGCCGAACATACAGCGAAGCTGCTGAAATAATAACTCGAAAGGAACACAATGGGATCTCATTCCTAAGATGGATCTTGGAGAAAGTAATGCTGGAGAACTTGAAGAAAAATGAATTGCAAGTAGCTGGGAAGGCTGTATTCGTGACGTTGTTAAACGTGAAGAACACTCCCGAATGTAACGAAGTGATCGCCGAAGTTGTAAAGGATACTCTTAACTCGATTGTAAAGAATGCTCCAAACCAAGATGGAATTGAATCGGAGAAGAAGGCATTCTGCGAGAGATTAACTGCCATGGCTCGGTTCTTATCTCTCTTGAAAGAATGCTCAAAGGTAAGAAAAGATGTTCAAGATAATATAGTTTGTAGGTAAAATCTGGTGGTACAAATCGAGATCAGAGGGAACAGTTCTTTATCAGAAAAGTGGACGCCAAGAACTTGTTGGTCAGCTTCGCTCACACCCTGTGGTTCCTCCCGTTGAAAGAATCTTATGTCGCAGAAGCCGCCAATTCTCTTCTTCGGGTATTCGAAGAATTCAGTAGATCGATTGGAGTTCTGGCGTCGTATGATAAGAGTGTTGCCACGGCCGCTGAAAAGGCCAATGCTAAGTCAGAGCCAATTCAGAATCCTGGTGGGGAACAACAACCATCTTCATCTAGCCAAGAAAACGAACAACAACAGCCACGCCCTTCTGCTGCGGTTCAAGACCAGGAACATGATGATGGAATAAACGACGAGAATCCGGATGTCTTGGATCGGGTGATGGCTGAAATCGAGGAAGCCGAAATATTATCGTACGGCGTCTTCGGCAACGAAGGAAATGGCGGCTTCGCTGGCGGTGCGGAGTACAATGATGTTGTTGGATCTCCATCCCGTTCTCAATCCAGCTCTGATAGTTCCGATGCAGATAATAACCAGCAAGGTGATAATCCTGCAGAAATTTTCTCCGACGACGAAGATGGCCATAGACAGCAAGAGAGAATGGAGATTGGCAATGACGTTGATGTGGTCGGTGATCGAGTCGAAGACGATTACGATGAACCAAGACATGATGATGAGGAAGAAGTCGAAATGAGAGAGGTGCATGAAGATGTAAACGACAATGAATTAAATGAGACTTTTGATGTTGACAACGATGATGATGCAGAGGGAGAAGATGATGAAGATGGGGACGACGATGAAATGGAAACCGAGGATGAGACTGCAGAAGAAGATGAACAAAGTCAAGACAATCAGCCAGAGTTTGGGCAGAGAGTAGTGGATGTGGGTGGATTTATACCTCAGGGAAATTCTCTGCTCCAGGTGAATGAAGTGGCAAATGGACAAAATATGTTGTTCCAACATGGGGACACGGATCTAATGACGGCCTCTGTGAACTTCATCACGGATTACATCTCCAATTATTATCGAGGAGATGAAAGGCGAACACGTGATGCTGATTTTGTTAGAGGCCAGCTTTTTGATAGAGCGGCCGATTTGAACTTCATCTGGAGACCGTCCTCTTCGTATCTCCCCTCTTTAACCAACGGAGCCGGCACTCTGGGATCATTTGGAGCAGCCAGAACTGACTCAGCTCATCCCCTCCTCAGAAGACCGATTCAGATCCCCGCTCGGGCAGCAGGAACCCAAGGAAGAGACGGTAACCAAGTTGGGTATTCGCTTTCTGGTGGTGATCGTAGTATCTTCAACGACGCTGTGACGGGGGCGCATCAGATCAGGCATATTGATTTTGGAATTGAGCCAGTTATATCCAGAGCTTCAAGGGTAAGTAGTTTGTACCACTAACGAGGGAAGTCGTTCAAATAGAAAATGAGTTGAGCTATGAGACCAGTATATTCGGAATTCAAAAACGGTAAGAGCTAAAACAATTTTTGCAATGTTTTCATCATGGGTTTGCGCGTAGCGAGACTTGAACCCATCACGGTCAAAAAAAGATTTTGGAAGCGTTTTCACTCGCCCTCCGCCATTTGGCTCTCGTTCCAAACGTCTTTCGGGGCGAGGGCTGTTTAGCTTGGTTTCCGGTCAAACTTTGTGGTCGATTTTCTCGAAAAGCAGGACGCAAGCATTGTTTTAGCTCCCTTTTGTGGAGAATCAAAATATCCCGGTCTCAGAGCTCAACTTATTCACGATTTGAACGACTTCCCTCGTAAGTAATCATATTATTTTTACAGAACCGCGCCCACCAGTCTTCGAGACATGTTCCAACATTAAGACGACAAGGAGCCTTGAGGAATAGAATATACGGATTCAGTCGGCTTCATCCCGAAGAAATTTCGTTCTTTGAAGGTCAACTACACAATCTGTTGAACTTCACTGAGGGCTCCCACGTTCGCTCATTTGATACGGTAAGAAAAATTGTTTTTTTTTTCTGAACTTGACATTGCACGCCCATCCAGCGCAGTTGACGCTATTTCCTGACTATAGTGTATGGACGAAAACATACTTTTGTAACGAACTAACTGGTTTCTGTTTTCAGGATAACGCTCGGGATGCAGCTATGGATCGTCGAAGTGTGGAATCTTTTGTTCCTTATTACCTTGACAGAATTACTGACTTTACAAGATTGTTGAATGCCCAGTCTGTTCACTACATTGAAATCATAATTTCATCATATCTGATTGAAAACTGCAAGCCTGTAAGTTAAAAGTAATCTTTATTAGTATGATTTATTCAAGGAGGCCAAACCCATTGAAAAGAAACTCACCCCACTCGAGGAAGTACCACCTCCGGTTGTCGAAAACCCGGTGGAAGAGAATGCAGCGGTCAGGAATGAGGAAGATGAAGGGCAGTCTGCAGGCGAAGCGTCAGTCGATTCTTCTGAACTTTCCAATCGATTTGCTGATTTGGATCAGAACGAAGAAGAAGATGGAATATCTGCAAATGTCAGTCAAGAAGAGTCCACGTTGGGATCAGTTGGAGGAAGCCGAACCCCCGAAGCCCAAGAAACAAATCTGCCAATTGAAAGCGCAATGGAGGTGTCTTCTCCTGATCCACAACCAGAAACGGTCCCTCCACAGACGACGTCTCCAATGGAAGCTACTGAAGTAAATGAGGAGCAAGCTCCTGGACCACAAGAACCATCGGAAGAACCTCAGCCAGGCCCGTCCGGTCTTCAGAATGAACAATTTAGAGCGATTCTGGGAGACGTCGATATCCCCGAAGGCATTGATCCCGCTTTCTTGGCTGCTCTTCCGGAAGACATTCGAAGCGAAGTCATTCGGGATCATCAAAGACAGCAACGCCTGCAGAGACTAAGTCAAGAACAGCAGAGACAACGCCAGCAAGCTACTGGTTCCTCCGATCAGCCAGCTGTTACTGAGAGTGCCCCAGAGGGTCAAGCTCCTGCTGTTGCTCACGAAGAAGATGTTTTGGATCAAGACTTCCTTGCTGCGCTTCCTCCAGAGCTGCAGGAAGAAGTGTTGGCCCAGAATGAGCAACGTTTGGCTGCACGAAATCAACAAAATGCCCAGAATCGGCCAGAACAGGCTCAGCCCCAAGCTAATGTAGATCCGGCTGTCGTCCAAGCCAACGAGAACGCTGCTTTGTTTGAATCCTTGACGCCATCATTGAGGGCCTCTCTTTTAGCCGATGCCGATGAGTCGGTCCTGCAATTCCTTCCAGCGAATCTTCTTGCTGAAGCTACAAGGTTACGGCAGAATATGGAACACCAGGTATTTGTTACTGTGACAGCCAAAAAGGCGGAGACGAGGAGTTTTTCGCCATGGGCGTTTAAAATTTAAGAACATACAATTTGTAGCATGCGTTGAAAGTAATGTATTGGTGTATAGCATGTGGAGGTCAGAAAGGATATTGATTGGTACCTGTGGGGCTCGATCACATAGAAAAACACGTTTTATCCACGTCTTTGTTGGCCTGCCTTCTAATATGGAAATAAGTATGAAACTCTCCATGCAAAAATTTGCAAACAGGTGTCTCACGCAACTTTCGACTGAAAAGTAGTTTCTGTAAAGCGAGCCCCAATCAATATATACTTGATATACATCAATATATTACTCTCAACGCATGGTAAAAATTGTATGTAAACAGCGTTTAACAATATGTTCTTAAATTTTACACGGCCTATGTGGCGAAGAAACTTCGTTTTGTGGCGGTAGTCTATTTTAATATTTATTTCAGAACTTGATTCGTATGGCAAGGACATTACCACCAGGTCGCTCTGAAAGCTGGCGAATGGCCGATATTCCGATGGAGGATGCTTTGAATCATAACAAGGACATGGTTCAGATCTTCGACAAGGAGTCAATTACTACCATTGCACTTCTGTACTTCCTGGAAAGAGACAGATTCAGTCTTCCTCGTTTCCAAAGACTCTTTAAAGTTATTTGTGGGCATTCTGGAACATGCGATTTTGTTTTGAGGTCCTTGTTGGGAATGCTTCAGGCCGCGAGCGATGATTCTGTCATGATGACTGATGACGAGTTGTCTTCGTTTGCGTCTAAGTCGTCCTGGTTCTCCAACTTCAAAGTCCAGTCAGCTATACAATCTCAAGAACAGGCGCTGGTTGTAACCAAAGATAAAGGTAAGCCGTCCTCGTTGATTTGTATATGAATTTTTCTAGTCTTTGTCAACAAGCTGATCAGAACCGAATTATGTAATCGGATTTTGGAGACAATCGCTTCTTTGGCTCGGCAATGTTCCATTAACTTCTTCCCTTCACAATTTCGTTTCCAAAATGGATCGAAACAAGTTTGGCAGAAGCCTCCGGTTCTGTCGGACTTCTGGGAAACTGTCAGGAAAATGGCCGAATTAATCGATTCTTGTTCTCAGGAAAAGATTATCAGCGACAAACCGAAGGAAGAGCTGCCCCAACTTTCGGACGAAGATTTCAAGAATTCTCCCTTTGGACTTCTTCTTGCATTTTCAACCACTGAACCAATTGTATCATCACCTCAACTTCAAGAAAAAGTGCTCCGAATCTTCCACACCGCTTTACATACTCCTTTTCTGGCTAACAATAAGAACAAGATAGAATTGGCAACCGGTGAAGAAGGAAAGAAGTTCTTGATGACTCATTTGGAAAAGTTGATTGTGGTATGTTTGTTGGCATCGTATAACTTTTTGTAGGGTGTAATGGACTCCGTTGTATACGACGACTCGTTCCGTGACTGTCGAAGCTTCCTAGTCCAACTTCTTTATGTATTCCCACAACTCCGTTATGATGTTTTCGTTATCTTATTTGATGTGATTAAACGACAAGGAATCAAGTTGGCCGACATGCTCAGGACGATGAAGGTTTCGTTTGAGAAGAGTGGGAAATTATTAGATGACGAAGAACGGGAGGCCGCACAATCAGAAGCTGCGGACAAAGGAGTGGCTACGTCGGTCGAGAAGAAGTCCCAAAAACAGAACTCTCCAAAGAGAATGTTGCGATCTTTGAACACTGTATCCTTCGTCAGATCGCAATTGGCCGAGATGAATCGGAGAAAAAAACCAGCACAGGATGCCGCTAATGATGAATTTATTGGCAAGAAGGGGGAGGAGAAGGAGGAAGCGCTGCTTTACCAACTTCTTGATGATCTAGATCAACTTTGGAAATTGCTGAGTGAATGTCTGGATTGCATGAGCAAGGCGGAAGACAACCGGGCCGTCATGAGTCTTCAATATGTTGCCGAGGCCTACTTCCTGTCACATGCCCTGACCATTAACAGTTCTCTCCAAGATGCTGAGGAAGTTCCATCTACAGAAAATGCGAATGAGGGAACTTCACAGACTCAAGGATCGGTCCCCAGACAAGCTTCTACCGAATCTAATCCCTCGACTTCAAAGGCTGCTTCATCCAGAAAGGGATCAGTTCTGTTGACCGAAGGACCGGCTAGTCGATTTACTCAAGGAATGCTTGGATTTGCTGGTGAGGGAATGTTTGATACCTATTTTAATTAGTGACATTCAATCTAACTTTGTTATTTTTAGAACGTCACCGAACGGTACTAAATCAAATCCTGAGAAGCAGTAATAATAATGTCATGGAAGACAGTGCATTTGCTGTCTTGACTTACTTCCCCAAATTGTTGGACTTTGATGTGAAAAGGAAGTACTTCTATAAAGAGATCAGAAAACTCGAAGATCGAACCCGGTTCCGACAAGAAGATGTTCCAGTTCGAATTCGACGCAATCACTTATTCAGCGACAGTTTCCGGGAATTGTTCCGTCTTCGTTCCCAAGATTGGAAGTCCAGGTTCTACATCATTTTTGAAGGAGAAGAAGGCCAAGATGCTGGTGGATTGCTTCGGGAATGGTATAGTATTATTACTAGAGAAGTCTTCAATCCCAACTATGCTCTGTTTATCACAGCTCCAGGCGATGGTGTCACTTATATGGTTAATCGGCTGTCATATGTGAACCCTGAGCATCTGGAATACTTTAAGGTAAAGGATATGGGTGAATACCCTTTTCGGGTCCGCGTTTTCGGATGATCCCCTTTTCGGGTTTTGCGTATTTGGATTGAACTTTTTCAGATTACGTGTTTTTGGGTAGGTGCTTTCCGGGTGTTGAGTAAAAATGATAAACCCGGATACTGTTGATGACCCAACATTGTAAATAACTAGAAAAGATATTTTTTACCTGGTTTTGTGAGTCCCAGCTATGTAATACAAAATATGATTTTAATAATCTCTAAATTGGATTCAATCAAGAAACTCTGCGTTTTAATAGTAAGATCTACACCGCCATTTTCACAAATTGCCCTTTATTTTTGAATCCGTCACGGTCGAAGCCTCCAAAAACGGGTGAAAAATATTTTCCGAATTATGTACAATGTTGCGTATTCGGGTTTACATGCATCATTCGAAAAGTCTCCGCCCAAAAACCCTAACCCGGAAGGTCCTAATTTGAAAGGGGATACACGAAAAGTCCTGATTCTTAAAGGTCTCCCCTTATTATAAACTTGTTTCAGTTTGTTGGTCGTATCATCGCCAAGGCTATCTATGACAACAAGCAGTTGGATTGTTATTTCACAAGGGCTTTCTACAAACACATACTCAATCTTCCCATCAGATATCAGGACATCGAATCCGAGGACCCAGAATATTATAAAAATCTGAAATTCTTGCTGGATAACCCGTTGGAGATGGTTGGAGTCGATCTCCATTTCAATCTGGAGGTGGAAGAATTTGGAGTTCGTAACTGGAGAGAACTAAAGGAAGGCGGAAACAAGTTGCCGGTGAATGATGAGAACAAAGAAGAGTACGTGAAGTTGGTGTGTCAGATGAAGATGGCCGACGCTGTCCGCAAACAATTGGATGCCTTCTTGTCTGGTTTCTATGAAATCATCCCCAAAAAGTTGATCTCCATCTTCAACGAACAAGAGCTCGAACTTCTCGTTTCTGGCCTCCCTGACATTGACATCGACGACCTCTACAACAACACTGAATATAAACAATATTCCCGGTCATCCCCGCAGATCCAGTGGTTCTGGAGAGCGCTGAGATCGTTCGAAAAAGAAGATCTGGCCAAGTTTCTTCAATTTGTGACTGGAACGAGTAAGGTCCCGCTTCAAGGATTTGCCCATCTTGAAGGAATGAATGGAGCGCAGAAATTCACCATCCATATGGACTCCCGATCTAGTGAACGATTGCCCTGTGCCCACACTTGGTAAGTAATTTATCAGTGGTCTTATCGTCTCATTTTCAGCTTTAATCAATTGGATTTGCCACAGTATGAGAGCTATGAACAATTGCGGAAGCTGTTGTTGATTGCTGTCAGAGAATGCACCGAAGGTTTTGCCTTCGCCTAAACGTCAATGATTGCTGTAAATACATATAACATTTTTATATCGGGTCTTTTTTTGAGACTTTTCTATTTTGTCTCTATAAAGTTTTATTTATTGTTCTAATTTTGCGAATGTAATAAACCGTGTTAAAAATAATATTCGAGATGGTTGTGCAAATATTAGAGTTGATTTCCTAAGGTACTTTGTGTTAATCTGGGCGTTTTTTTTTTGAAAGTTTGGCAGGAATGGAAAAATTTTTTCCATCAGAAAGTATCAGTCTGTCGGGAAAATAGTGAAGGATCTGTCGCTCAGTGTTTGTAAAACTGGGGTATTTTCATCTCGTGGGTATATACTCATATCTATTTTGGTATGTATAAAGTTAGCCTGATATACAGGGTGTCCCAAAAAATGGGAACCTATTTTTCTAGCAATCCAGCAAAAATAACGGTCATCATCGGTAACATAGAATTTGTTTCCGTTTCGTCTTCCCACTCCGGCAACTGGCCGACTATTTTTTGAACCTTACTGTCTGTGCGCCGATCGCGTCGCTGAACTGAAAAGCAAATTGGTTTGTCGCAAAATTTTGTACTGGTCCAATTTGAACAGTTCTTGGATGTAGCAGTAGTAGGACTCCGAGACTCTGACTTAGGGATAGCTTCTCTTTTACCGCTTGTTAGAAAAATTTTGTAAGAGTTATGTCAACTTCTTATGACATTTTTTGTCGTAAATCCCAAATAAAGCAGGGAGGTGCCGACTCGTCCGAGAAGGGTTAATCAGAGCGCTCACTATTCCCCAACCGGCTAATATTTTAAGGTTTTGTTGATAATTTGTACAAAATACGTAACTAATTTACAGGGGAAGTACTTTAAGTGCGACACTCAGATTTCTGATGAGAAAACTTTGTACAAATTTGAATTAATTTTTTCTATGACATGCGACTCCTAGCTTGATATCTGGGGCATGCTCCACAAAATTTATGATAGGCCGAGCACCGCACTTGGAGGCCTTCCCTTTGTTACTTATTTTTAAGGGCGAAATGAATGGGATAAAGTCTTTATCATTGCTGTCGATAAGATCGAGGCTGGTTCCTAATAATTCTTGTGGTGTTCGGCTCTTGATGAGATCTGTAGTCCTACATCAACAGAAGGCTCCAGTGGAAGAGAAGGCTCAGAAAATGCAACTCCAACACTCGGTCCTGGAAGAAATCATGTTCCGAGAAGAAGAGAAACCAAAGACAACTGCACAGAAAGGTATGTTTCCCAGATCTAGCCGGTATAACCTCAGTTTAGTGAAGAAAGGCGCCGAGAATACGTTTCTTTACGTCACTGTGCTGGCATCAGTAGCAACGCTTGGAGGGATATCATATCTTTTGTTCGAATACTTCTTTGCTCCCAATTCTCCCCAAAGGATTTATTCAAAGGCTCTGGAGCTAATCAGAAGTGATCCACAATGCCAAGCCCTTATTGGGTCGAGTATAACTGGGTTCGGAGAGCAATCTAGGCGATCTAGAAGACACATTGCCAGTCTGGCCTACAATAAGGGCGACGAGAAGAGAGTTCGGGTCACTTTTCATGTGAAGGGAGATCGGGGAGCCGGCCGCGCACAAGTCGAGATGGTCCAGAAGCCGGGAGAGTCCTGGGGATACAGATATCTGCTCATTCAGATGGCCGATCACAGCGAAAGTATTGTTCTGATTGACAATCGTTAGGACCTTGCTATTTCAGAGATTTTATTTGTTTCTTGCCTGTGCTAGATAAATGTTTTTATTGCAACTCAAAATTGTAAAGACACTCTTCAAATTACAGTAACCCCGCGTTTAAAATCCTTTTTTTATAATACTTAATGCAAAGTTTGGTGTCCAGTTAAAAAATGAAAAACAACGAGGTCAAATTGGGGGAAGGGAAAGAAGAATAAGATCGAACCGGAACGCTGCAACGTCCTTTAAACAGGAAAGACGAAGGAAAATAATCGACGAAAGGGGCTGTCCTTGCTACTTCTTGACAACTCTTTCCCCACACAGTGCCCATTTGCCATCAACCATGAGCAAGTTGAAGGTTGTAATCTTTTTATTACTAGTACTACAATGTCTGGGATATCAGTTGACCTCCACCAATGACAATTACCTGTCTTTGGTAGCCGGATTCACAGCACGAATGCAATGCTCAGTGTATAGATGCGATTCGAAACGACCAGTTGTAGGTTATTTCTTAAGGAAATTACAAAAATTATGCTCAGATTTCGTGGTATAAAGATGATTTATTGCTTTTCAACGGAACCGAATTTATCCCGACTTCCGGTTTTGAACCGGAGAATATTGTTTTACAGGAAACAACTACTTCCGAACGTCCGAGTCCAGGTAAATCATGATTTATTGATCTAAAAATACTTTTAGATCTATGTGTAAACGATGAATATACACTACTGCTTAAGAATTTGACACTCCAAGACTCGGGGAAGTATCGCTGTGAGTTGAATGATTATCCCCAGCAATTGGACTTCCATTTGAATGTTCTAGGTATGTAGAATATTTGCCAGATTTAGTTTTAGTATCAGAAAATTACAGTAATCTCGTTTCAGAGAGTGGACTCAAATTTGGGTTTAATCAGAACATGACGTTCGACTACTCGGAGTGCTGTCTCGAGAAGGGAATCTCCCCATTATGTCGACCAATGTGCCGACCACGCGATCTTCATCTCGAATTCTTTGATCCTACCAGGTAATGCTCACAACATCATTTATAACCTCTTTTAATTTTACAAAAGGAGTTTACCTCAAAATCCATTTGACCTTTTTGACGTCTTATTATTTGTTTCAGTTGCCAGACCAATGATTACAAGAATTTCCTCAGCTGTGCAACGGACTTCGGAAGGAAAGATTACATTCCTTGCTGTCGGCAGAAGAATATCCCCAGTTTCTGTTTCGATTTCTGCTCATCCAACTTCCAAATGCTCAAGAGATCTCATCGTTTATGTCTGTACTACTTGCCAGAGATATTTCAATGCTTCAGTCAACCTCATTGTAAGGTATAATTATAGTCTAAAATTCCCTGATTAATTCCAGCTTTGAATCCCGAGATCCCAACGGGACTCCATTGGAGAAAAGGGGGGAATCGAGTAAAACTTTGCTGGAGATCATCAATGATGCCGGAGGAAACTGTCGGGTATACTGTGCATCTAAAGGAAATGAGTCTGGGAACAGCGGCTGCAACCAAGTAAGTCATCATTGCTATTAACATAAGAATAGAAATAAATTCACATGTGGTAATAGTAAAATATCTTTTTTTAGTCTTTTGGTCGAAAAACAAAGAAAGTCTCGCAGTACCCAGATCATGATTGCCAAACATTCATTGGGTACGCCTCAAGTTACCTATCTCCATCTGGCCAACTCCTCGATACAACATGAAGGGGAAGATGTCTGCATTAATCTGGATGGTCTCAGTCCTTCAATCAGGTATGCCGTTATGGTCCAGACGAATACAAAGACTGGCGTGTCTGAACCGAGCGCGCCTCTTTTCCTTGCATAATACCAAGGGTAACGTCTATAATATATTTCTAAACATAAGACTGTTTCTATGTATTTATCATAGAATGTAATTACGGCTGGCCTTCATTTGGGCTCATGATCAAGCCCGTGACCTGCGTTTTGGACATCCACCGAGGTCAAAGTGGATGTCCAAAATATTCTTAAGATGGCGAAACTAGATTACGGATACCCGGTCTGCCCCAAATGAAAGGTTGCGGTAATTACATTTACAAGGTCGAGGAAAAAGTAGTCATAAAAGTCGCCTTCCTGGTGACATTACTCATCCTACTACTGCTTTACGGGTAATGAGAACTAACAGATCAAAGATTTGTTTTATTTAATCAATAAATATTTAAAGTTATTTGTAATCACCGGAAGTAAAATTGCGTTAGGAAAAGTTTTGGAGAGTACCCGAGTGTGTTAATCATTGTAAAACCCGTAATTAAAATGGCAAATTGAGGCGATGGAGATGAAGATTACATATCCTTGATGACCAGCAGCTTTGCGGGATCTGGGAGTTTGCTCTTCACTTGCTTCAGACATTCTTTTAGATATAACTCATCGAGTAAGAGCCGCGACGAAACTCCGAACTTCCCATCATCGAATAGTAGTTTCATTGACATCGGCTCCAAACCACAGTTTGAAGGGATTTTGAGGCCATCCGAGTAGATGAGAGCCTCGATCTCGGTCTTGAGGCCCGGCCAGATAACATCCATGATCATCCCTTTGACCAGATCCTGGACAAACTCATTCCATGCTGACGGGAAGGCCCCTTCTTCCATTCGAATATCCGTAGATAAAAGATTGACTTGAGTTCGGAAGACTCCGTCATTCACTTCGGGAATCAGTTGGATGGTTAGGGTCAGGTAGAGGGAAACAAAAACCGAATCCGTGTTCGTGGTGGGGTTAACGACCTTGATGAAGATACGATCACTCCTAAAATACAAAATATAACTGTGGATCATAATTGATCCTCATCACATCAAAAATGAATCATTTTACGGTATCGGGCGATTTGCTAAATAAATTTAAAAAAGATGGCATATCGCTTGGCCTACTTTTTGAGTGTCATTGAAGAATTCGAACTCTGAACATGAGGAACTCCATTAGCCGAAACTCTCAATTCGAAGAAACAGGTGGGACAAAGGACGGCCAAGAAATCACGCGTGGATCTGGGGAGTTTATCGCTGTTAACGGCAATGTCCTCATTCATCCATTCAAAGTCCCAATCGAACTTGTCCATGACCTCGTTCACAAGTCGGTCTTCCACCCAAAGCTGCAGATTCCTCTCCATGGCTTCACTCTCAGGATCAGCAATGGCCAATGACCTCAGAAGTTCGGGTTCTTCCTCCGGCTCTTCCGTTTCCATCTTCGTTGAACTTACGACCTCTTCAGGGAAATAAGCTTCAGCCCAATCAACTCCTGCCGACAGAGTTAGTTGTTCTTTATCGGCTTCAATTGACTGTAGATGGATCCGAAGAGTAGTGTTCTTGGAATGGAGATATTGTTGGAATTTGGGAGGTACCAGCGAGATGAGGGGGAACTCGCTGAAACAAAAGAATTGGCTTATAAGAAGGGACCCAGACTTGACTCACACCGCGAACCGGTTGCGTAAGGCGCCCAAATGATCGGATAATGTTGTACAAACGTAGTCGCGGAGAAGGGAAGCGGGAACGAGTCCAGCAAGGGGCTTGAGAATCCAATTCAGAAAGTAGCCGCGTTCCATGAGCACATCCAGAAACACCTCGTCCACTCCACAGTTCTCCATCATCACACTCATGTCATGGACTCGGAACTGAAGGTCTGTCAATGGAATCTGAAGATGATAATAAAAAAACACAACTGACTTGATAAATAACGCTTGATCACATATAATTCATAAAATTTTGATGATAAAATACTTACCTGTGCCGAGAAATGGGCCACATCTTCGCCCAAAAAGAAAGGCAAAGGCAAAACGACCATCTCCGTGTAACTTTTCAGACTAAAGTTGTGCATCTTTAGGTCAACCAAGCTGTGATGGAATCGAACTTTGATCTCATCCACCATAATCTTGGCCTTTGTGTTCAAATGGGCGATCGGTTCGAACCAGGGATTCGCCGCATTCCTGACTTCGATTTGTATTTGCTTTGGCTGTTGTAGTATCGAATGGACAGCATGTTGTGCAAGTTGGCTTGCCGCATTGGACCCAACTGAGAAACCCAGACCAGAACTCCTGGCCAATGCGCAAAACATTGACAAAAGCCAGAAAATCCGGCTCATCTAGAACGAAGAGATTAACGATACTATTCAATAAAGCGGATGTCGAGGGAGAGGACGGCTCTCTTGTCACACAACACATGTCCCAGGCCTGATCACGGAACACTAAGGACGTTTTGAGCGAGTAAATCAAACGACTATATAAAAACATGTGTCAAAAACACAGAAAAACTTTGGTTGTATGAAAATTAAGAAATAAAAATATTCACTGATTACGTGGTTACAAAACAGACTGCGCAGTTACCTTGCTCACAAAGAGGTCATCGGCATCCGCTCGACAAATTACGAATTTTGCTGGAATACTCCAAAGAATCTCGGTCCGCACATTTTTTGTTAAAACCGAGTCGAGATTGCAATAACAACAATAATCATCAAAATCCAGAAATCAAAACGATAGAAAACGGTGGGTTCACCCCTTTTACAACATCCTACTGATCCGAGAGAACAGAAATGGGATGAACAGTCAGCAAAACGAGCTCTGATGAGACGTGAACCCTTAAAGAAAGAAAGAAAAAGTGTTGTCGCTCTAACGAAGCAGATGACGACCATGATGATGAGATGAGAGAGAGAAGAACAAATGCTAAAGGGCGACGGCTTCGAGTAAAATAGAGATTTTCGCGCGACTTCTCGCCGATACCTTTGCCTTACTACCTACCACTCTTTCTTTCTTTCCCTTCTTACTTAAAATGCCGGCCTTTAAACGCTCGACAAGTGAAGGCCGTCTCCCGGTTCGCCCCCTTTCTCGCCTGTAGATCGTGGCGCCGACGACGTCCTTCCTGAAGAATTTCTTTTGCCTCGAAAAACGGACACCCTTATTTATTGGGTTTATTGCCAGTTGAGCAACTAAGAAGTCGAGAGCAAAAGGCGAACGACCTCGTTCGCCATCTCTTCGGCTGATCTCCCACTCAGATAATCATTACTCTTTATTCGGGAATACCGTAAATGAAAAGAGAATCCGGGATCTAAAGCTGCAGGATCTGCATACACGTATCAACGCTAGAGAAAAATGCGGTTCCAAAAATAAAATATAGGATACTAAGTAATTATGGTTATGGTGGGACTGATAAAATCAGTTACTCCTCGGCTTGGGTCTCGAGGTTGTTAGCGAATCTAGATGGCATAGAATTGGAGTTCAGCTGCTCTAACAGGTTGAAACTGTTAGAACCTGTAAAAGTAATTAAAAACAAACATTTGTCTTCTAAATACCTGGAATGTGACTCAGTTTCCTTCCCTCGATGCTCAGAGTTCTGTTCGAGCGGCGAGGGACCATAGGGGTCGCATAAAAGGCATCCAAATACAAAGAGGGCAATTCTTCGGCTATCCCGCGATCCACAAAGGATGAGGAAACTCCGAAGAAAACATGCTAAAAGTAGTGTTCAAGAGTGTGCCAGTTAATTTGATCTGTAATAGGATTAAAATCCTACCGTCTTCTTAGGGAAATTCTTCACGTCCGGGTCACTTGCTAACCGTTCGCAAGACTTGTTCATATCGTCGATGAACTCATCAATAATTTCTGCAGATGCCTGTTTTATAGTCACGGTAAATCTCAACCTGTAAAAATAATGGCAGTTCAAGAAATTCTCACGCTTCTGGAGACTGGATGAATGCCAGATTCCATCCCAATTCGTTCAAAAGATCGCCCAATAAATGCGACGGAACATTTGGATTCTTGCTTTGGAATGCCACAGAAGCAAGAACAGGATCCCCAATGATCTCAACATGCGGAGATTCTTTCAACTTCTCCTTAAGCCAATGGGTCGCATCTAAAACCTTCTGGGTTCTCTCAACAAATCCCAATTTCCCGTTGAACAGTAGTGTTGCCCAAGTCAAAGCCAGAAGACTTCCGGGCCTCGATCCACTTAGCGTCGGCGATACATAAATACCTCCGGGCCAATGAATATCGGAGAAACATTGCTCTTTCAAATAATAGTGCTCTCTATAGAGAATTGCAGATGACCCAACGGGAGTATACGCGTACTAAATTAGACATTCATTAACACGCAAAAGTCATTGATTACCTTATGAAGATCAACCGCAATTGAAGTCACCCCTGATAAACGGAAATCGAACATCGGAGGGGCATAATCACACTGTTCCATGAAAGGCAACAAGAAGCCGCCAATCGAAGCGTCAACATGAACCGGGATTCCGTACCGCAAAGCAAGCTCAGAAATCTTTTCAACGTCGTCCATAATTCCAGTGATACAGCTAGGCGCAGACGCCACAATCTGCAACAAATAGAAACTCGCTACTGTAGCATACCATGCACGTCTCCCGTGAAACTGCGCGTTTGACAGCACCTAAGTCGATCCGATGCTTCTCATTCATTGGGATATGAACAACTCTGAGACCAAGAAGTTTAGCTGCTTCCAAAAAGGACACATCTGCATTTCTCCCAATGATCACTTCAGGTTTACGTATCCCCTTTCTCATAGCATAGTTTCGGTAAGCTAGAAAAAAACGTTTTCTACGGCGTGGAAATTACCCAGGCAGGCCAGGATTGCAGTTTCAGCAGTTGAAGTCGCAACTGTTCCACTTGATCGTGTGCCGCCGTGAAATAAAGCACACAACATGCGAATAATCTCGGCCTCCATTTTTCGACAACCTGGGTAGATATCAGGGAAATTGGCGTTTGTGTAAGCGTACAATTCGAATACCTACAAAAATTTAATCTCGGTGGTTATACCCCACCTTAGTCAACAACTTCGTCTGTTCGTCATTGTTGTCAGAAAACGCGGCACCGCTAACTCTACCCCGCTCGAACAAGGGGTCTCCCATGGACTTGTATTCGATCGCCTCGGCAACGATATCAGATACAGCCAACCCTTTTTCCGGGAGGAATTTATAAAATTCTCGCTGAAGATCTGGACGCAATAGTTTCTCCTCTATCTCTTTTCTTGCCGCCTCTCGCAGCAATTTCATTTTGTCCTTATAGAACGGGAAATTGAGCATAACCTGATGGAACTGCAAGAACCTGTATTCACTTAATAGAATCAGCTTTACCGATCCATGCACAGATGCCCCATCATCAATTCTGACCACTTTTCGGAACCACTGGATGAACAAAACAGTGGACAGTGTGTACATAACCACTTGCCATGGTTCTAAATGATCAAGAGACCGATTGAATGTCAGACGGAGGTCGTCAAAAAAGTACAAGATAATACGCCAGGGAGTGTGATCTACCTCCATCTAATAACTTTAATTTGCTACTTCTGGTAACTGTAGATAGTGTCGGCTAAAAAACCGCTGTCGAGAACAAACGCCAACAATTTCAGCACGATAACCCGTTTATTGAGGTAAAATTTGTGGATATGGCATATAAATGGTATTTACAATATAAGAGGTATCAAAGGCGGCACAGGTTCACCTTGAATGAGCCAAGGTTCCGGGAATCTTGGGAATATCTAAATTTATATGTCTAAATAACTTCATTTCAACTTGTAAAGTTAGTTATGGCGTTTGATGATAAATTATTTCCTCTTACAAAAATTTCGACAGAATTTTTGGGGAGAAAAGTTATGCCCTCAAAGCGCGTGACGCAACAAGACTTTAGGACGAAAAAAATGATGCCCGAATTGACTTCAATTTAACTGCCCTAGTTTCAGTAGCATTCAATACACTGAACGCTGAATAACGCTTACAGAATCTGTTTTTGTTCTAACCATAGTTGAATTCCATCACGCAAAGGCGACTTGTTCTTTGCATTTCTGTTGCCTTTTCCTGTGATTACTTCCAAGTACCGTTGATACGGATGCTTTTCTGATAATAATTACCTTAATTTAACAAATAGAAATTTTACCTTTCAATGTCTTTATAGCCTTATCCAAGATTTTCACGGCTCTCGCTACCTCAAATCCGTGCAAATCAAGAACATCAGTAACATGTAAAGCGACGTCGTTCTCTTCCTCTTCTTGCAGTCTCTTAGCATTCTGCGAACACTCACGAGCCAAGCGCAAATACTGAGGATATGCTGGATCAAACTTTGAGGGCAAGCCTGCGGCCAATTTTCTGTAATGCGCGGCCTTCTCATAATAATCAACTGCAGTTAGTTGTCCTGCCGGTGTAGTGGAAGATGAAGAAGAAGAACTATTGGTACTCAAACCCTGAAATAAATTTAGAAATTAGTAGTTCACATGGTTTTGAAAAGAAAAAACGGATCCACTCCAGTCTTACCGAGGAATCAGTCATGATGCTCAAAGCAGACGTGGAGCTGGATCTGGGGACGGCTTCCGATTGAATTATTATCGGGGCTCTCTGAGTATGAGGTTCCCCTGCTTTCCTATCACCTACGGTTGATCCAATTGCCAATTCATCCACAACAAGCTCACAATCGTAGCTGAAGTTTAAATAATTAATATTGTCAGGAAAAATATCGACACTAAAAATGGATTAAAAACGTACTTTTTCTCTTCCAACACTTGCTTGATGACCTTTTTGTCGTACTGTGGAAAGAGTTCGGTCATTTGGACCAGCAAGCACAACCTTTTGTCCTTTTCTTGATGACATTGGATTGGCCGAGCCTTCTTTTTTGGCTTTGGTTTTACGCCAACTTCAGCTTCAACAAATGCTCTAGCCATGATAATATGCACGTCTTCTTCTTGCTCTTCCATTACGGTACTTTCATCGATGAGAGCCGACTCCATTTCCTCGCCCAGTTTTTCAAAATCTACCACCGTTTCGCATTGCTTATCAATCAGCCCAAAGAGCAATTCGCCGATCCATAAAGGGACTTGGACAATACGAGCATGACAATCTGCGTCTGATTTTTTACCTGAAACAAGTCTCATAAGACGAAACGGCAAATCTAAAATTACCGAATTTCTCGTAAAGAATCGAAATCATTTGCGACCCAAAAACCAGACCCAGTTCCTCAACAGCAGCTAAATTCTTTCTTGATTAGATGTAACGCGATATTATTACCTACAATTGCCTACATCGAGGGAAGTTGGACGGGGGACAGGCACACTTTGGAACGACATCGCTTTCGAATCAGTGGAATGTGTTCAAATGGAACTAAAACATGGGTTAAAAGCAAAAAATCATTATATTAAAATATCCGACGGGTATAACCGCGAGAGAAATAACCAAGTACATTTTCAAATAATTTAATTGGATAAACTCCTCATCTCCTGGAAAATTCTTAAATATTGTTCTAGCGAATCAGAAGAGTAATAATTCTCGAGTTCTTTCTTCTGTCGTATCAAAGGTAGAGGCATCGCCTTGCTCTGTTCGGGGAAGAAACTGTTCACCAATTCAGATAAAAGTCCAATACACTCCTTCACTATGTTACATGCGGCAAACTCAAACTCAACTATCACACCCTAAATCAGATAAAATTAATATTGTTTAAATTTACCTTTGAAGATGATCTTCCCATCAAAGCCACTCCAAATCGTATCCGGAAGTCTCGAAGAGCGTACTCAAACCCGTTTAATTCAAAAGACAACGCGTTATCACTAAGCAGTCCATTTGAAAACTTCTGAAGAATAAGATCGAACCCGAGATCAGACGTTGCTCTGGGTGAGACGTTTGTCACGTCAGTGCTTAATTCCCCAAAAATACTGGAGGAATCGGGATATGCACTATGATGAAGGACATAAAAGTTCTTTATCTGTCCAGCCACATCCAAAGTAGGTCTATAAGCTGTGCAATCGACTTTAAAGGCCCCCAATTTAGTGGCTCCAGCCCGTTCTAGAGCTCCTTCCACTGTCTTTGCCGATTCATTCGATTTCAAGACCCTAAGACAAAAGAAGACGCGTTAATGTGCAATAAATTTACTTACCACGCGACTCCCATCAAATTCGAAGTAGAAAAAAAGATGTTGTAATCAGTCTGACGGATTGCGAGTCTCTAAACACCGAAATAAAGCAAATTAAATTTCAATTGACGTACCTTCCTGCTTCGTTTAATTTAAATTTGCCAGTTCCCCAAAAGACTGATCTAGAAACTGATAAGTAAGACAAAAACACGTGAGATAAGCAAAATCTTATCGATAGAAAATATTATTTATCTGCCATAGTCGCCACACGCCAATTTGTTTTGTGAAAAAAAACATTTTCGTCAAAAATTCGAGCTGCGACCCAGACTTCTAAAAATGTTGTTGCCATATTATACGAAAGCTATTTAAAATAAGGTTTTGTCTTACCGAACACGTTTAGGTAATAATTAGAGTTACGAGTTTAGTTTTTAGCAATCATACACGTCCTTAGTATTATTTATAAGCAGTAAGCGAAATAATTATATCCAAAAATATTTTTTTATGATTTTAATTGTAAATTTCCCAATTTTTGCCTTTAGGTACTAGCAAATGCCCGGTCTTGTCGATTTTGCAACCTGCAGTTCGTATTCATGATTTGTTAAGCCTCCAAGCACGTTCTGAAACCAAAAAACAAATAAAAGTCAAGTTTTCGAAAAATAAGTCCGCTGGGCATTTAATTAAATCGAAATTTTCTCAAAATTTATCGGTCTGATTTTAAAAATTTTAACGGATTCTGAAAGCCCATGCTTCAAAGTATAATATATCTTAAAATCAAGAGGATCTAAGGCAAAAAACCTACCATTCTCGACGAGACATCAAAATTTTCGTCATTCTGGGATAGTGTAAAATCTGAGATTTCATTGTCATCTTTCTGGCTAAGCCTGTGGTCTTGTGTTTGGGATTGCAATAATCGAGTCGCAGTTGTGTTGCTGATGTATCCAACGACGTTCTGAAACTATAACATGAATAAAAAGCAATTTTTCCAGTAAAAAATCCCCGCCGGGCATTTAATTAAATCGAAATTTTCTCAAAATTTATCGGTCTGATTTTAAAAATTTTAACGGATTCTGAAAGCCCATGCTTCTAAGTATAATATATCTTAAAATCAAGAGGATCTAAGGCAAAAAACCTACCAATTCTGACGAATATCACGATTTTGATCACCTTGGGGTAGTGTAATATCGTGATTTTTGAGTTTTTTTTCTCTCGTGCATGAGCTGACTCTATTCCTCTTGTCTTCGTTTCTTGTCCTCTCTGGAATACAGCGATGTCGAAGTTGCAGCGGAGGGTGATTGTGTAAAACCAGTCGATTTCATCTAAATTCAAAAGTCATAAATTTCAGTTTTTGAGAATGAACTCAACGTAAGGTGATGCAATGGCTGAAAATGAGGTACCTATTGAAAGCTGAAGCAATATCCTATAATCCTATAAGAAGAAAACCTGAGCTTTCGTTCCATAAGAAAAGTTACACATCATCGAAATTGACTTACTTTTTTCCAACGTTAGAAAAAGGTTGCCAAATTAGGCAAAACAGAATTTTTTTGTGTGCTGTTTATGCAATTAATGATTTGTCTGCGTTTTTTCTCCGCACTGTGATTATTTCTGCGTTGATACAATCTTGTTCTGCGGGTTTATTACGGTATTTCTGCAGAGGGGAACACTTGATAAAAATGACCGGGGAAAGACTTGACTCGATCCATTTTTTTTGCATTTTTTCTGTGTGGACAAATTGGCGTGTCGCCATTTTTTATAATAATTATGACGCAACAACCGATTTTTTGGACGAAATGTCACTCCCGTTTTCACTTGGCCGAGAAAAAGGAGTGGCCATAAAAGGAAGGTTTCGTGCCAATTCTTGCACAGAAGAACTTCATTTGGCCATCCAATATCGATTAATTTTTTGAAGTAGAGGTTGCGCTAATTCGATAATTTTCCTTATTTAATCGGATACTGTAACATGACATTGTGCTGATAAAAGATGCTGGATTCTGGACGAGTACATTTGATTCCGGACGTTGTTGAAATCTCCAAAGACCCAAAAGGCCATATTGGGATAGCTATTGGTGGCGGGGCTCCTTACTGTCCCAATTTATATGTGGTGCAGGTATTTGATAATGGTGCTATTGCCAAAGATGGCCGAATCCATGCCGGTGATGAGTTGTTATCAGTGAATGGAATCAGCGTTCGAGGAAAGGAAAAGAGTAAAGTGGCCAAAATGATAAAAGAACATACAGGTGGACTTCTTCTTTTGTGACTTTGACTCTTTCTAGGTACCCTTAAACTATCGGTGAATCGTCTAAGTTTTGATGACGAAGCTGGACAAACCCTGGACATTACCCTCAAACGGTTGAAGCACTGGTGGGTCGAGAGAATGGACGCGAAGACAGCAGATGCCTTTGGTCTGAGCAGGGCCATCTTATGTAATGACATCCTGGCCCAGCTCATGAACAAGTTGGATGCCAATCAACAACTGTACACTGATCTGACACGGACTGCTGACGGCTTTGTTCATAACCAAAGGAAATTGTCGGATACTTTCGCATTAATTGCGAATGTTTTTTCTGAAGTAGCAACCAGAGAATCCGAGAGCAATCTTAACAAGTATTTCAACGAAGTCTCAGCTTGCCATCGCAACTTTGTGAAAGAAACTGGCCCTTTATTAGCTCAACTCCAATTAGTCGCCAACACATTCAGGACATATACGGAGAAGGCGATCCCAGACACCAAGGATACGATAAAGAAATATCTGGATAAGAAATTCGAATATCTTTCGTTTTGTCTGAAGATCAAAGAGATGGATGACGAAGAAGCACAAATGGTCGAATATGGAGACTATCTGCCCCGAATTGAATCTGGGAATATGGAGTATCGGTAAGTCATTCAATCTGCACCGATCATGCTGAGAAGTCGAGGTTTAGGATCATGTTGAGAAGTCGAGAGAAAAGCCGAGATGGGTTTATTGAGATGCGGAAACATGTTATGATTAAGATCGAGATGCTGGATGAAAAACATGGTATGTTTTAAATCATAATACAAACACAAGTCCTTATACTAGTGCGTGAACTCGGGTTACATCTCCGCTGCCTAATCGAAGCGTTGAGTGTTTACCATGGTAGATGTGCCACGGTAATCGAGGAATTCCATCGTAATACCGCTCACCTACTCTCCGAATACAATTTGGAGAACACTGAAGGGAAACGATCGGCTTTCCAGCCTCAACAACACCTTGTTGATTTCGATGAGATGAACGCCCCGTTGATCTCAAACGATTAATTCTTCCATATCTCATATTTATACATGACTAAATTTATTGCCTAGATCTAACATCACATAACCTTATAACAAAAGAATCTCGAAGACATTGTCATAAAGTTACACGACGTTTAACAAAATACTTTATATAATTTACATACAGTAAAAGCTTAGTATTTTACGATTGGCGAAGTCGAAAGGCGTTACTCGGGATTGGGAGAATCATGGCGTTACCAAATTACCATATATGGGTTTCCCGGATCTCACTTATAACATGAGATGCTTTTGTAAGAGCCTGCAAATATAACATTACAGTGATATCATTACCTCGAGCATTTCCGCAGACTCCTTTCTTCTCTGAGCCATCAATTCACTCTCTGCCAGGAGGTCATCCATATCAGCCTGGTTATATAATTGCTGGACCAGTTCGCTCTGCAGATTCTCCTTCACATAATTAACCATAAACCTCATAATGCCCTTGGGTACCAGGTCTTGAATGTTCTTCCTTACAATCGAAAAATATGATCTGATCAAGCGCTCTAGACAATAATTATATTATAATCGTGGGAAGTCCTACCAAACATCATGTATTCCTTCTGCTCCTTGGCTGTGAGATTCCTGGTCAGATTCCGTTCGATAGTTTGAGTCGTTGTAATTGAATTGGCCTTATGTGACACTACATTATTTTGAGGGATATTTCGATTGAAAAGCCATGAGCCTATGTAACTGGAGGATTGTTTGGTCGGGGACCCCGTTAGGACTGAGTTGGCCTTCTGAATCACCTCACTCGCCACGGCATTTAAATTCGGTTGGCCACCAGAACCATTTAATTCGGTAATGGGCATTGGCTGCTCTCCCTAAAACAACATTTATATTATGGAACTTCAAACTATAAATTTGCTGCTCAATATTTAACAGCAAATTTAATGTGAAAGTTCCGAATATTACTGTTAAACGAGAAGTAATGTATTTTGCTCTTATTTCCGAGTAATTCATGCGATACGAAGGCAATCTGGACAGAAAATCTGATGATATTGTACATGATATCAGTGACTATCAAAGCAAAAAACGTGTATATCTTTTATACCTCTGTTTTTTCTATACAGGAGTGCTTGTTACTTTAATAACCAATTGGATTTCTCGTTCTGCAACTTTCTTCCTTTGCGGGCAATAAGGAGTTTCTATTTGCGATATATAAAAAAAAAATAAAAAAAAAGGGGGGCATCTTCATACCTCTGGTAATGGAGCCACCTTTCCATCAACCTGCACCTGACTTCTCTGATACAATGAAGTCGAGCTCATGGACTCGATGATGGACAATTCTCCAAACTCGGGATGTTTCGTATTAATATAAGCCATTTCACTTCGGACCAAGTCCTTCACAAATTGTTTTGTGGACCCCAATCGTCCAGATAAAAGGTTAGAAACAATCTCATTGATCCTTTCATACAGTTTAGGGAATCTCTGCATCTCCTGTTGGATATCAATTCCACATTGTTGTACTATCCGCATCAATTCTTCATAAACACGATCGACGCAACATAGAGAAGGTTCATGCAACCGCTCGATCTGCTTCTTCACCAACAACTCGAAAGCCACATCTGGTATAAAAAGATCTGGCTTTGTTCCCTAAATTTCAATGTTAATCAATAAATACTAAATCACTTACAGTCGCATTTCGAATGGCTGTTAAAATGTCCAGAGTGCTTAAGTTCTCCATGGGGTCTACCTGTTCCAGAGCTTCAACAAAAGTCCCATGGAAGATGTAAGAGATTCTAGCACCACCAATAAGTTCAGAGGTCTCAATATTCTTAGATGTTCCCTCGATTGTAGATGTATATGCATTGGCAAAGTGGGTAATAAGTTGCAATAATGTTCTACTCTTATCTTCCACTGGTTGGCCGTATGAATTGAGCAAAGAACGACACTGCCCCATCAACGTATTTACCCGTACTTTTAGCTGAGGAAGACACTCTCGTATGTGATGGATCAGGAGCTAAAATCTATATTAAAAACAACACAAGTTTGACCTACTCGATTCAATGTCTTTGACAGATATTGAATACCATTCCTCGAAGCAAGAGTTGGATAAGTTTTGAGCAGGAATTTAGCCTCATCTTTCAGACATTCGTCTATTGGTTTGTTGGTATTGATGTCAGCTTGAGAGCGATTGACCACTCCAATAATACCAAGCTTCACAGGCACCGATCTTCCTGTCAACACCTCCATGGCATCAGTTCCCCTGTCCATCAAATCCAATTTAGTGAGAACAGCCAGAGTTCTGTCTCCATCTCTATCCACATCTCGGGCCAACTTCAAAGGTTCCGATGTGGCAAAATCTTGATTTGCGGCAGTCACTGCCAACATCAACGAATTTGGATTGCTAATGTAAGACAAGATCAGTTTACGAACTTGATCTTCGATATCTGGGGGTTGATCTCCCACTGGAACCTTGATTATCCCGGGCAGATCAATCAACGAAAGGTTTACAACACGGTGGGAGAAAATCCGAAGTGTAATTGGGTTGTCCGAAATTCCCTGAAAAAATTTCGAAATAAAATTTTGTAATACGTATGACTGACTAACTTTGAAAAAGTAAAGGACGTTAGTGTACAGAAGAAAAATAAAAAAATACCTTATTAGATCCACAAAACCGTTCAGTTTCGTCCTCAATTTCCTTTCTAACCTCGTTGAAATCCGTAAAGATTACACCAGATTTATGCTCAAATTGCGCCCAATCTTGTTTGGCTGGCATCCCTGCCTCCCTTCTCTTGTCATCACCGACTGGGACATGAACAAGATGCAAAAGCAATGGCCTTCTGGTCACAATCCCTGTTCCTCGAGGTAAAAAATCACGTCCCACAATTCCTTCGATGACGGAGCTCTTGCCGGCACTCTAAAAAACAAATTTTGACAGTAATGAACACTTACTTGCGAACCGACAACGACTATTTGAGGTAGCTGTACTTCAGATTCCCTGTTTCCAATAGTCGCGAAAACATCTTGGAGTTTGGAAATAACTGGGATCAGGGATTCCATCCCGTGATGAAACCTTTTTGATTAGTCCGTTCACCACCGCGTTTTGGCTAAATTGCTCAGTTTTCAGTTGAGACGGTGCACCGCGGCGAGGAGCTGCGCCCGAGGTTACGCAACAAAAATATGTTCTTCACTTTTTGAAGTGCTATCGTTTGCTCGCAAGTAAAAGAATAAAAATGTGTTTCTACAGAGATCGGACGTCAAGGTCCGATCTCATCCTTTCTTGTGGGAGATTCCAGAAAACCTGCGTAAAGGACAACAACAAGATTTCCACCACGAAAAATTTTAATGCCAAAGACTTTGGCATTTCACCCATCCAGCCTTCTCAACACCACCCTGGCGTGAGTTCGGCCAGTGCCGAAAAAATCGAAAAACAGCGAAATGTCGCTATTGATTATTACTTTCAGAACTTGGCGAAATCGCAGTGCGCCATAATTATCGCGAATTTGGTTGTTGAAGCCGCCTAAAAAAAAACGATTAGGCCACTCTTTGAATAACATTGTCAGTATCGCTGATCAGAAATTAATCAACAGGATTAATCAAAAATATGTTTTCGTCACCATAGTAACATTTGTATTCGAGATGAGAACTGCCATAGTTCTTTATCCTGATGGTTAATTTACTTTTCACTTTGTGTATTTCGACGATTTTTCCTTTGATCTATGCCGTCACACATTGCATTGATTATTGGGATAAGAATATTGCCGGATTCTCCAACCGTTCCACTCTTTATTTGCCATGTTACACAGATATAACGGCATTGGAGGGAGTTCATGGTCAGGAGTTAGTGAAGTCAATTGCTTCAACGATTCAGTGTGTGGGAATGGAAGATTTTGGAGATGTTAAGGTGAACTCAGAACAGGTATCCTTTTTTAAATTAAAAAGTCTATAACACACATATTATGATTAAAACGTAAAATAAAAATAGTGCAATGCCTCAACGAACGACTGCTTTAGAAATATTTCGGAGCCACCGAAGGTCAACATTCGGTCCTCAAGTTTTGTGCCGAAGAATCCCAAGATGAAGATAGATTGGTTTTATACGAAATTGAATTGAAATACAGTAATGCCTCCGTTCTACTGGAATTGAGAAGATCCTTCCCGAAGGAAGAGGTACCTAGATTCCCCAAATTCAAAGACCTACCTCGCATCAATCTAAAACTGCCTGCCGACTTCTTTTATCCCTTTTCTTGTTCAACCTGTTATTCGAATACCTTTTGTAAAGTTTTTACGGTTATTTTAATCTTTTTGATAAAGACTGTCTGATAATTAAAACACCGGGGAGTTGTTTATTAAAAGAAGAATACAATTTCAAAGTTTGATGACAATTGCATGCTTAGAAATGTAGCAAAGTTCTAAAGCCTTAATGTAATATACATCACCTTAGCAACCGAAACTTAATACAATCACATAGAGGGGAGACACCGTATTTTATGATCAGAATACTTGATTTAGAAAAATGGCACCGTTTCAGCCATAAAAGATATAATTTCTGCAGTTTAGGCGGGAATGTAGAGTAATCAAACCTGGAGGTTATGTTTTCTGAATCTCGGAGTGTTTTATGTAAGAAAGGAAAGAAAAGGCAATGAAGAGCAGACTTGTCCCCACCAGATCTCCAATGGCTGTGAGATAGGGAATGGCCGCATTGTCAGGATCGACTCGCCAGGACCACATTAGGGATACCATCCATTGACAGACGAAGAGCAAAAAAGCCACCTGAAAAACCCATGTTAATACCACCAACAACGATTTCAAGCACTACAGACCCTCCGCGACAATATGCAATATGTTTAAATCACGGCAATATCTTATAAAGTCACATATCGAATTAAGAACTTATTTTGTCCAGAACGAGCACTTTCTGCTTCCTGCGTTAGTACGACACATAAAGGCGGTCTCGCGGGAGCACTAAAATCATCTTAGAAGCACTGAGGAAGGGCCGCGCTTCTTGAAAAACCCGTAAATGGTCATTTTAGACTATGGTAATGACCGGCGTAAGCCTAGGATGATGTATCTATTGGGCGTTCACCGGTTGCAGCGCCGACTTCCGCCCTCAAAGCTAGCCATTCAGAAAGTGGTGGGCCCGAGAAAGGCGCAATAGTTTTCTTTTGTCAAGCGGAAGAAGCATTAAGTGTCGGCCGACTTTCAGATGAAATACTAAAATATGGCCACAAGTGTGAGGCCGCATTGGTAGTCCATCTACCGGGTCGGGTCATCCGATCATTTCCTTGCCCACTTCATCCAACTGTCGTAAATGACATTATTCATCAACGGAAGCGGGGCCCATTTTATGGTCACGCACAATTTGTTTTATGAAAAGCGGCCGAAAAAGTTTCCTTTCGCGAAACCGCTCTTTCTCTTAGTTCGAACTCATTAATAAGACCGAGAGTAGTGTTTGCTGATTGTTTGAAACCCCTTCAGACATGTTTGGCCATATTCTCCACGTTCGGGATTTTACCGTGTTTGTCTGTTGCTTCATTCTACGTCAACCTTCTCTTCAGTTTACCTATAAGTTGATTTTCCCAAATAAAGTCTGGAAGTGAAAGAAAACATCTAATAATTCTCGGCCGCGAACCCAACTTCTGTTTAAAGGTTGATAATCGTCCTTCGAGTCAATTACGTATGCCCGGAGGCGGTTAAGCGTCTTGCCTGGCCCTTCTGAAGTGCTGCCTATTAACGAATTTAATTTAGTTTCAGCGCCATTGTGCTCGCCTTTAGACCATCGAGAACTCATTCGGCGAGTATGGGAGGGAGACCAACAAAATTGCGCAGGATATGCCAGAAGGTGATAATGCCTAAGGTCCCGAGAAGGACCCATCAGCGGCGTGGGTACCACCAAATAGATCCCGACATCGAATACGAGGTAGGAAAGGAAAGAAGAAACCTGACAAGAAGCCTCTCAACGTGTTTTATTTAATCGTTTCAGAATACCGGAACCAAAATTATAATCGAAATGGATGACAACGAAGGAACAGATGACGACTGGGTAATATCCGAGATTAAGAGTATGAAGAGCGACTTCAAGAACCGACTTGAAGTCGTCCGCCAAACTCTCAACGACTTGGAACAAGATCACAACTCTAAGCTCGACCACTGTGCCAACATTACGAGAAAAATTAACCGTCGGGTGAGTTCAGGACTCCCATCGATTCAAGGAGATCCCAAACTCGAGGAATGCCGACTGCGAAATTCCCTTATCCAGGAAAAACTAAAACACTGCAAAGAGTATCTATTGAACTATGATGCCATTCTAAAGCACGAAAAAGATGATCTCGGAGACAACAACGGCAAGTCATAATGCACTTTTAGTCACTTCACATTTTCCTATTGAATTACTGGAATATTAGAAAGGGATTAGACTCTCTTTTGTTTCAGACATTTTCGTGAGAAAACTGCTTCTCAAGACCGCTAAGAAACATACGAAGAAGAGCCGGCTGAACGAAGCAATCGAGACTTTCTACCAACTGATTACCGCGACCAATGGTCAATTGTGCGGGGAAGAGATCTGGACATTGTTCGAGATCTGTGAACAGAAATGCGAGCAGACATTCGAATTCTTTCATCGTCTCTCAAATGCGGTCAAAACTTTGGAATGTGATAATTCCGGCTATATTATGAATGATCTATGGGTATCGGTGGTGGAGGACTTGAGGTCGGAATGCTCGGAGATGTTCGATTTGACGATAAAGATAGTTGTGGAAGGTAATTCCGTTTAGTCCCAAGTCCAGAAAAACAAATTACAATTCATGAAAACCCACACAAACATCCCTCATTGTCACTGAAATTATTCCCTGAGGGCAGGAGGGAGTAATTTCTTTTATAAATACTTAATTTCAGTGGCCGAGCCCTTAAATGAGAGTTGTCTTGTGGAGAAACTCAAATATTTGCTGGCGGCCAAAATAAGTGCCTTGTGGCTAGAAATGACCTCGATTGAGCACGATGAAGTAAGAAAATTACAAAAGTTCTTCATTAGACAACTATTACAGTACTCAAGTGCGCAATTTCAGTTCGATGATGTGAAAGACATCTTCTTTGACAGTCTCAACAAGTGTATCGATGCATTCTTGGCACTGCGATCAGCAGACGAAGATAGTATGAGGGCGACGAATGCGCTCAACTACTCCATCAGACAATTCCATACGTAAGCAAGCCTATTCTAACAAGCAACTTTTCGTTTCTATTTACAGACGCTACACAACAATCGCTGAGTCAAAGAGGTTAAAAAAAGCAATGGAAAAGGCAAGCATGATTCTTTCCACATTTGATTTTGATTTCGTAAATATATTAACATAATCCCATAGTTATTTATAGATAGTAATCGGGACTAGCAAGATAATGAAAACCGAAAACTTATCGATCAAAAAACTCACCTGAGTCAATCCAGCAGTCAGGTAAATTGATGTAAACAGGGCGGAGGAAGGCGGCGACTCCCCGGTGTGAAGTGCTCCGATTATCCAGTTGAAGAAAATATGGCCCGGGACGACCAAGAACAACAGAACACGGGCACTTCTCGAATCCCATTCTGGTTTCAATAAATTATTGATTATTTTGCACTTACCATTGCTAAAAAAGGCTCGGGAAACGCTGTAAAATCTCTTGATGGACCATTGATGGGGAAGGAATCCAAGGTTGGAAGATTTGTGATAAAAAGTGGAGATTCTGCTCGCATGAACTGCGGCCAGGTTACCTCCAACCCCTAAAATAAATAATTGCAATAGATAGGGGGGTTTTTAATTTGACAGAATTTTTGGAAATGACGTCAGATTGCGGTCATTTTCCGTAAACTGAAAATTCTGATATATGAAATACCGTTAATATAAGACGCAAGTTTTATTTTTTATTTAATCGAAAGTTTTGATAAAGAAAAATTTAGTTCCTAAAAATTTTTTATTCCGACGATTCTTTGGCAAAAATCTATAAAATTTTTCCAGGAAAGTTCAATTTGACAACCAAAAGTGACAAATTCAATTTGACATGACGAAAATGACACCAATTTGGCAACGGGACTGACGCGTCCAGTTGACGGCTTAACAATCCTGGCAAACACAAAGGGATGCATTAAAAAATCGTACCATTAATGACTGGCTGAAACAGAGCCATTTGAGGGAATCTTCGCATAGCCGTTTCCAAAACAAATCCACCACTACTACTGATCAGCATGGAGAAAACAATCGGACACCAGCCATCTCTGAGGATAGACAAAGTCGCCTCTTCTCGCTTGGCTATCCTTATCCAAAAAGGTAATACAATTACAAACAAAGCAATTACAATCACATTCAGCCATGACTCTATCCGGTGAGCTTTCAGAAAAAGCGATCCAAATGCTGAGAGAATCGCCAATGTTGTCAGATCTCCTGAAAACAAAAAGGAATAGTATTCCAAAGCAATCATTACATCGCAGTACACGAAACTGCCTTCCTGTTTTGGTTAGTTTCTTTACTAATCCATAACCGATCTTTACGAAATTTTGGGGTGTTAAAACATAGGCCCGCCATTGTTACCCTGCCAGATTTCAAGACTTTTTTCAACGTTCTAAAAATCTTTTTTCAAGTATATGCCCTTCGGCAATGCGGACATATTCTTGCAGCTTTTAACCTGATTGAAAAAGTTTATAGAGAGTTCAATGCTTAAAGGTTGTCCTAGACCAGTTTTTCCGCTCTTTCAAATGGTATATGTTTCAAGGAAAAACTAGACGACAAGGTTTTGCCGAGCCCTTGTCAGCGCTAGAAATAGGTATGAAACATTTTGTCCCAAAATCTGACAAAAAGTGTCAATTGTTTGCCGCCTTTCGATCTAAAAACCTTGGTTTTTTCTGCAAAGCGCGAGCTAGGATTCTCGCATACATCTTAGAAAAAATTATCCAACATTTGTGCCAAGTTTTCAAAATCTATGCGCCGCACTTGGGGTACTTCCACCGTGAGTAGAAATTACCGGTCTAAATTTTAACAACCCAAAATTTCATAAAGCTCGATTAAGAATATAGACAGAGAAATTAACCAAAAGAGGAAGGGAGTTTTGAGCGGCCCACCATGTACAACAATGATAAAAATGTATACAATGATAAAAACTATAACATACCCAAAGAGGCTGCAATCGGAGTGGCCACATTGTCTGGATTAATGTTGTATCGCCGACTGAGAAGAACAACCACAATCATGATACCGGCCAGAATCAATGAAGCCAGTGACGCTGTAGTTAGACTGCTTGCACATAAGAGAGCTGCATGGCTCATGTCAATCTCCCCTCGGGGAACCCACGCCAAAAGCATGGCAGCTCCAGATGCCAAGAAAGTAACCACAATGGCCTGTGTCTGGATCAAAGCCAAGTTCGTGATTACTACAGTCATTATCTGCTCCTTTGTTTCCATTGCTCCGACATTTGCCTAAAAAACAATAAAAACATGGAATCTTCACGTACTTGAGTAGAAAGCCGTGAAGCCAGCGTCATTTCCAGGTTTCCCTTTAGTCCAAGTAAAGCTGGGACAAGAATGAAAGTTTCAGGAACTTCCTTGAATAAAGGCCAATGTTGAACTACATCCAACAAGATTCCGGCAAACACCATCCCAATTCCAGCAACTAGGAAGGGAAATAGCACCTAAAACAAATACCACAGATACTTTAAATCAGTAATATTTCTTACCTGGAAAAATAGTACCAATGACGGTTCCGCGGCATGTGATTGTCCACTTTCTTTACAGGCATAAACATCCATATCCATGCTGTCCAGATGCGGCTCGGAGCCCTTTCCGGGATGCATTTTGACTTCGGATTCAATATTCTCGCTGAGCTCGGACAGAGGGGTCGCCGCCGCATTAATCGACGGGGATTTCATAACTAAAACAACATTACTTTATATGAAACTCGATTACTTTTTGTTTTCCTTCGATTCCTCGCTCTCTCAGACCTCATGCATGATCCGACAGACCTCCCAACACTTAAAGCAAGGAGGTTTATTATTTTTTCTCACATGGAGACACCAAAAATCCGAAACCAATAGATAACTGCGAGCGACAAGTTATACGAACAAACCTCTACATATTTTACTCTATATTTACGGTTAGTGCAAAGTGAAACAGGAAAATAAATATTATAAGCTGAAGTAGGTTGCATTATGTATTCTCCAGATCCATTGTGATGATTCCGGACGAAATACATGGATGAGATTTCTTGGGATAAACACCGATGAGTGCATCGGCCTTGCTGTACATCTCTTCTTTAAGAGAGATCACAATCACTTGCAAATCGTCTCTGGACCTCTCTTTCATGTAATTTACCACCAATCCAATGTTGGTGTTATCCAAAGCAGCATCAACTTCATCCAACACAAAGAAGGGCGAAGGCGACTTCGATCCGTGAATGGCAAAGAGAAGGGCCAAAGCGGCGATCGTCTTTTCTCCTCCTGACAAGTTGTCCATAGGTCTGAAACGTTTTCCAGGGGCAATACAGTTGTACTGTATGCCATCATTATATGGTTCTTCGTGGTTCATGGGCCCGAGGTAGGCTTGGGCACTGGACGTTTTCGTTAAACGCTGAAAAAAGAAAATATCACGTCAGTAACCCAAAACAACCTTGTAAATATCGTCAATATGTTCCGCCACGGGATCAAAGAATTCGGAAAATCGGTTAAGTCGATTTTGCTTGACCTTGTCGAAGTCGTGCATCAACTTCTGAGTATGTTTCCTCGCATTTTCGTAGATCTCGTTGGTCTCTTTCTCCTTTCCTCTAACTTCTTCCATTCTCTGATCTACATTTACAACTGGAGGAGCAATTTGACCAAGTTTAACTTCGGCTTCGTTCATGGCCTTCTGAAGAACGGCCAACTCACGGGTTGCCCCTGCGTCATCCTCAAATTTGCGTTTGTAATTGGTAGTCAGTGATGAGAAATCGATCTGAATACTATCAGATTGTCTTTGAGATATATCCTGAGTTGAGGTACTTTGAGAGGGTTGAGATTCATCAGCTAGAATTTTATTTTTAGTAAAAAACTTTTAATTAGGAACCTACACTCATCCGGCACAAGACTATCAAGACTGCCATTTAACAATGGGATTTGTACATTCTGCACCTTGCACTCCAACAACAATGCGTGTCTTTCTTCCGCTTTCCGACTGATGATCTGATCTTGGCTGAGGATCTTCTTCTCGGCCGCATGGACGGCTTTATCCACTTCATGCCCATCCTTTTTAGCGGCATTTAACTCAACTTCAGCCTCTTCAAGTTCAACCTTTTTCTTTTTCAATTCTTCCGTGTCTTTCTTCAGCAATTCTTCTAATTTGGCTACTTTTTCTTCCTGTTCTTTATATTTCTTGTCAGTTGTCTTCTCCTCTTTCTTAAGTTTGGCAATTTTCTCGGCTTCCCGTTCCACAACTGCCTGTCTGTCCTCAGTTTTTAGGTATTCAAGTTCATTGACCAAGCGTTCAATTTGAGTAGCGCATTCGGTGATCCGACGATTACGTTCTTCATGGAAATGGAGCTCCTTTTCTTCGTATTCACTAAACAAAAAAAATAAACAAATTTTGTAAATAATTAAATTAAGCAAAGATATTATTACTCACCGAATATTCTGGATGCCCACGCGTTTACAAAAGTCCGCAAAGACTTGTGACTCGACCTGATCTCTCTTGGCAATCAATTCATTGATCTTCTCTTGCTCTTCTGCCAATTCCTCTGCCTTCTGTTCCAATAAAAATTCGGTGCTTTCAACTCCACTTCTAATTCTGACTACTTCTCCTTCCTTTGCTTCAATATCCCTCTCTCTTCTCTCCAGATCCTGTTCAGTATACCGGATTCTGTTCTCCATATTCGAGATCTCACGTCTCTTCATTTCGAGTTCAAGCTCAGTTTTGGTGGTCGCTTGTATCTCGGACAGTTCTGCTTCGAGTTTTCTTTTCTTATCCTTAATTTTCTTGGCTTGTTGGCCATCCCATTTTTTGGACCTCTGTTTCAGGTCAGAACTGCCACCTAAAGAAATAAATCAAACTGATTAGGAAAACATACCGGAAATAGATCCCTCGGGATTGAATAAGGTGCCGTTTTCGGTTACAGCCTTGTATCTGTCAGTCCCATAAGCCAATTCCTTAGCGACCTCAACGCTTTCAGCAACCAAAGAATTTCCACAAACAAATTGGACAGCTTTCTTTGCCTCCGGAACAGAACATTGGATCACATCGAATACAAGTTTCGCATCCCTTCTGTTGCGTAGTTGTTCTTTAAGAGGCGCAACATCAATTGTACTCAAAGGAAGGAATGTCTCGGGTTCGTGTCTCTGTTCATGTAGATAATTGATGCAAGCCCTAGCTGTGTCATCAGTGTCCACAACAATTGAGTTCATGTGTCTGGCCATAATCTAAGAAATTGAATACCAATAATGTTAAAGCCCACCTTCGTGATAGCCACATTGTATCTCTTGTTCACAGGACTGCAAAACTCAACAATCCGTCCATAGATTCTGTCTCCGAAGATTCTTTTCATATTCTCGAGAGCCTCGTTACGCGCTTGTTCTCTTCTGGTTTCTTTTGTGTCTCCATCAAGATCGTTGAGTTGTTTTTGGATATCAGCCAACGTTTCCTGGAGTTCAAGCTTTTGTTGCTTCACAGTCTTCATCTGTTCTTCATCGTGTAAAAACCCTTTCCTTTCATTTTCCAATCGTTCCTTCGTTCGCTGGTTAGATTCGATAATGGAATCACGAACTCGCTTGTCTTTCTCAAGTTCTTCGACGGCCTGAAAGTAGACAATAAACATGCAAAAAGGTCACTATCTCTTACTCTCCTCTCCTTGTCCTTCCATTCAAGCAAGCGTTGCTTTTGGAAATCAATTATAGATTGAAGATGATCCATCTCTTGTTGCTTGTTATATATTTCAGATGAGACCATGACAGTCCTTCTTTCCGCCTCGGCTTTCAACTTTCTGTACTCATCGATCTGATCGGAATTCAGTTTTAGTTGGTTCTGTTCAGATTCAGCGGCCAATTCTGCTTCCAACTTTTCTTTGTTTTTTCGTGCAGCACTAAAACCATGGTCACATAATGCATAACTTGATAATCAACTTACGCTAACTTCTTTGTGGCATCAGAAATAGCCTTTTCATGTTCTTCAGCCTTCTTCTGAGCAGCCAGATATACTTTTTGAAGGATTTCCAGCCTTTTCTTAATGTGATCTTTCTGTTGACTCAGTTTCAATAGTTCTGGCCGCTCTTTGGTAACATTATTTTCATCAGCCAGTATCTTATTCTCCAATTTATGGACCTCGCGGTTCTTTTGCCGGACCACATCTCTCTTCGATTGTACCTCGGTTTCATGTTCTTGTTTCTGTCCTCTCGCCTCCTCCAACTCTTCTTCGAACCTATTCTTCTGGACTCTAGCCTTCTTCTCGGCCAAATCAGCAGCAAAAAGTTTAGCCGTATAAAACTTTGTCGACTTTTGAGCCTAAAAAATAAAAAGAAAATAATTATGACCCACCAAATCATCTTTAGCTTGCTGGAAATTCCTAGCCATATCTTTTTCTTGTTTGGCAATTCGCTTCTCCTTTTCGACATCCCTTCTTTTATTGAAATTCTCCATCGTTTCATTCTCAGCCTTATCGACTTCACTTCTCAACCTTTCATATTCATTTTTAAACTGAGCCGACCTAAATAACGCACATAACAAACAAAGTTAACCTTACTTTGACAATTCTTCAAACATCTCGGTAAGATCCTTTGGCGACCTCATGGCAATTTGCTCCACTTCCCCTTGAAAAACAAGGAAATTGTGGGCCTTTATAAAGATGTTAATGCCTTGCAGAGCATGGTTGTATTGGGCAGTAGTTACGACCTCGTTATCCACTCGATACTCATTATTTTGACTCTTCACAGCTCTCGAAAATACCTTTTTGCTACCATCATCATCAATGTAATTGAGGGTAACTCGGCAACTATTCGAATATGGTTTGTTAATTGAAGCTCCATGAATGAGATCCTAAATTCACAAAATAAAATACCTGAAAAACAAAGAATACTTACACCAATTCTGCGAACTCTCAGGGATGTACTTTTTTCTCCCAAAACAAATGAAACGGCGTCCATAAGATTGGATTTTCCTGGAATCAACAATGACATAACAAATCACTTCTAATAATTATTTACCTGATCCATTTGGTCCAATAATTGCAGTAAACTTCTTAAAGGGTCCAACGACATGCTTGCCCTTGAAGGATTTAAAGTTTTCTACTTCTAATGTTTCAATTCGGCCCATCTTTATCTGTTTACATTCACAAAGTGTATACACTGTAACTATCAGATCTTCGTGAAAAGTTCGAACGTTCGGAAAATTAATGACAAAAATAGAAAAATATTTTTTCCAACTTTTTTACCGCCATTTTTATAACCTGTGGAATTCCCTGATTTTACAGGTTCTTCGTGGTGAAACAAACAAAAATAAATCGAAATGGCACTTCTGTCGCTGCCATTTTTGAGGCTGTAAAATGCACTTACAATAGATGATATTTGTACATATTGGCTAATATTGAAGCTCTTTCATTAATATATATTAATAATGATTGCAAATCTGGAGATCGATGCCCATTCCAGTGATCCCGCAATTGTTTTACGTTATGATCTCGTAAATCCGGATACTACGATTCGCAAAAATAAAATGTATGTGGGAAAATGGAGTTTGTAGAATTGTGTTTAGTATCCAACTAAAGAATTTGAATGAGGAATTGAATTGCTCTTCTTTGGCCGATAGGGTTGTTGTACAATGTCCACTGATTCCAAAGGAACGGCTGTCTGATGTTGAGCAGACAATCTTCTACCTGCAAAAACGATTAAATGGAATAAATGGTAGGGTGCAATGTTTTTTCATCTGTTTATTCAGCCGTCTTCGGGTCCAATGGGGATGCGACAATTGCCAAAGCAGAGCTTTCTAAACTGGACAGCTACATTGACTTGCTGTATGAGGATGCAGATAAGCTGAAAGCATCCGGCTTTATATTGTCTTTATGCTCAAAGACGTCAAATTTAAAGACCTTGTCAGAGAATGGTAAGGACTGCGATTTTTGTCGAGGATACTGTGACCTTTTGACGTTATATCAACATCTTACTTTTATTTTCAGAGGTTTTAATGGGAGCTTTGTCAAGAGTATTCAGAGAAGATTCTCAGCTGAATTATGAATTGGCAACAAATTTGGCCAAAATTTTCAATCAACTCAGTAGGTTTTCAAAATTCCATGGCGTCTTATCCAAATATAAGGTGAGATTGAAATCCATGGTCATGAAATTACTTTAGATTGGGGCGCTGTCGCTTCAAATTCTACGAAACGAGCTACAACGACGACAGCAATGGAAGGAACAGGCCAGCAAAGTGGCTGCGACTGAGCAAAAAAAGTTTGATTTGGCATTGAAAAAGCAAAACGTTTTTCTAACCGATTGTCTCAAGGTATGGATCTGCTTTTTTTATATTTGGCTTTAAGGTCTTGTTAAATCTCTCTAACGATGTCAAGGTTGAGGCCAAGATGGTAAAGAGAGGAGTGATCCCCTTGCTGATCAAATGTGTGGACGCCGATCTTTACTTGGCCAAAGCTTCTTTGGCTTTCTTATGGAAATTGTCCGTCTTTAACGAGAACAAACAAGCAATGGGACAGCTGGGACTGGTCGACGAAGCTGTGAAGATTGTAAATACGAACTCTGATTGTGAACTTGTTAACGTCACCTTTTCATTACTTTTTAACCTCTCATTTGATACAAATATGAGGCAGAAAATGGTAGAGTTGGGCTTGGTAAATACTGTAGCGAAGCACATAACCGGTAATTTCGGTATGAAATTTAATACCTAATATCTTTTTTAGGTTCAGAAGCGGCTATCGGATTACTGTATCAACTAAGTATTGTAGATGATGCGAAGGCAATGTTCACGTTTACTGACTCCATCGCTGCTGTGAGTAGTGTTAAATTGATTGTTTATGTATTGGTTTAGCTGATGGAAATGATTGGAAACAAACCTGAGAGCTCACTAATTCCTAAATCAATACTTGTGAATATTGCCCTAGAGAAAAGAAATGCTCAGATTATAGTTGGCCCTGAGGGCGAAGGTTTGAAAAAGTTGATTAAGATTATTGACGCTACCCACGATAGCGTTCTTATCAAAGTTATACGAAATATTTCTCAACATGAGGGAATCATACAAAGTTATCTCACAGTAAGTAAAAAGTTGGATAACCACTTACAACTAATGGGATTTTCTGACCTACTGCTTTAGAACTATATATGCAATTTTTTCGCCGCTGCTGAATCCCCGAAACTGAATCAGAATTTGAGTTTCGCAACCGATTGTCTCGCCATCTTGACTCAAATTGTGGTTCCTGTCGAGTGGAATAGGGAGTTATCGATTGATGGAATTAGGAAGTGGCTGAATACTGTGCTTTGTGACAAACAACAGAAGGTCTATTATCCAGATGAGTACCTGATTCATGTCATTGGCTTTGCTGGTACCTTGGCCACTGACCCCGAATTGGCAAAACTGTTGGTGGATTACAGTTATGACTTCTTGGAAATACTAAAAAGTAAGTTGAAAACACTATAGTTAAATTTCAATCCAGAGAAACAAGAAGAGGATGAATTTTGTTTACAAATTGCTTTCCTTTTCCTCCGACTTTTGACATATACGGAAGTTAGGAATAGGATGTGCTCGGAGAAGGAGAAATTAATCGAATACATAATTAATATGTCCCGAGATAAGAATACAACATTAAGGGACCTCTGTGATCAATCACTCCAAATTATATCGGTAAGAATTTATCGAGATCTCACTTTTGTCACGCTGATTAAGTATTTTTTTTAAATATACGATTTCTTGCAGGAAGTTAGCGACTATTGGTTTAAACGCGTCAGCGAGGAACGATTCTGTTGGCATAATGCCACATGGCTGGACATGATCGCCCACCGAAGCGCAGTAGATGAACCAGTGGACTACGAGGATGAAGAAGATCTCTTGGAACAACAGTTCAGAAATACGGTGCTGGATGCCGAAGAAATACTAGAGTAACATCTAATATGTTTATAACCATTAAATGTAAATAAAAATGTAACGGGAATTAGATACACATTTATGGCTTTAGTGAATACCCGTCCACAAAGTGGTGCTTAAGTTAGCAAAGCCGTTTCTTTCTCTTCATCATATCTTCACGCACTTCCTCAACAGTCTTTCCTTTAGTTTCGGGCAAGAAAATAAAAATCACAATCGCCGCTACGGTACAGCAACCGGTAAAGATCAGGAACGTAAATTCTTTGAGTATATTCTGAAAACAAGGATGAGAACTGAAGGAAATATGTCACGCGGGCGTGAATAGATTGAATATACGCTTACCTCCAGCGGCAGAAAACCGATTCCAACGACAACTGTGAAGGTCCAGTTGATTGCCACACAAACTGCAGATGCTGATGCCCGGGCATTAGATGGAAACACTTCGCTCACATAGAAGAATGGAATCGAACCCGGTCCAGTAGCAAAGAAAACGACGAAGAGGGGGAGAAACACACAAGATATGTACGGAACAATACCACTGCTGTCTCTCTAAAGTATTTTTTGCCCACTACAAGAATCATAACCTACTGCATAAACCATTGTTATGACGAGGCCGACACTGGTAAAGATCATGCCGATTTTTCCAATCAGAAGCAGAGATCTCCTTCCGAATCTAGGCAAATCAACTAACCATGCAGAGACAATGGTCATCAAAACATTGACAGTGTTCACTCCAATGGTAGCATAAATAGCACCTTCCATGTCAAGACCGGCCCTTTGGAAGATCTTGACAGAAAAGAACATAGCCGCGTTGATTCCACTCAATTGTTGAGCCACCATCAGAAATGCGGCCAAAAATAAAGGCCATCTGAAGTCGGACTTGCGGAACAAAGTACCGACATTAATCTTCGCTGTCTTTGATTCCCGTCTCTTTTCGATCTGGAGGGCGTGCAACTCAACAGTAGCAACCTGGCCGTCGCCTCGGAGATCTATTAAATCGTCCAAAGCGTCTTCATCATATCCCTTGAAGAAGAGCGTGTATCTGGGCGATTCGGGGACCCAAAACATTCCGACGATCTGACAAACAGCGGGGAATGCCATCACACCTGAACACCAAGTTATAACATACTAATATTAATTGTTGTCAAAATAAAAATACTTACTAAACAGCCAAGGCCAGCGATCCTCGGATCCGAGAAGGAATGGCAGACCGAGAACAGCTGAAATCAGAATGGAAATGGTGACCATTAGCTGGGGAAGAGAGGCTACGGTTCCCCGGAGCTTGACCGGACTCAATTCGGTAAAATACATGGGCACCACGGATGACGAGATACCTACAACGCAAACATACGTAACTTTCAACCGGATTTATAAAAAAGGTCCTACCGTAACCCACCCGCATTTAATCCAATCACAAACCGGCCAATGAGAAAGAGCGGATATAACTGTAAATACTTTGTGGACGTCATCAACGCCGCTCCAAGTATGGCCAACACATTGTTGAAATGGAGAGTTCGACGACGACCAAAGCGATCAGCCAGATAGCCACTCATCAGCGCTCCGATCATGGCCCCGGCTGGGAAAAGAGAAACAGCCACGGAGAAAATAACCACCACCGTTCTTCTATCAATCTCTCCCCAAAGCCCTACATGATTAGTATAAATGAAATCCTTGATGTGTTCGGCGGGGGCATTGATAACACCAATATTGTATCCGAATTGGAAAGAACTGCCAAATGCGATAATCCCAAGACAATAAATAAGATAGGGCGTTACGGCACGCTGAAAGGGTGTAAGTCTCAGTTGAAGGCCGCAAAACAAGCTCTTACCTTTTTTCGAAGCAGTTCAGCATCGGTGGTGGCCAAGGAAGTATTGGTGGTTACCGTGCCTCTCGAACTCCAACTATCTCCCAGGTTCTTCTTTTCGGAATCGGTATTCGAATCCGCCATTTTTAAACAGTGCCAACCAATTTCAGAACGGCGATACTTCAAAAGTTGTAATTATTTTATTGTTTCGGTCACAAAGAAACACGTTTCTTAAGACCGGGAACTTGTGGACTTATAACTTGATCTTTTGCCCAATTAAATGAAAAAATAAACAACGGTAAAAAGGTGGGCGTGTTCAATCGTTCATCAACGATTCAAAAAAATACTTACCGGGTTTATTACACTCCAATCTATTGTAAAAACAACTAACAGCAGGGGTGGTCGGCGGGCCGGGCCGGCCCGGCCCGGGCCGGCCCGGCCCGGCCCAAACGGGCCGGCCGGCCTCAAAAATGGAAATTGACAAACGGGCCGGGCCCGTCACGGGCCGGGCCGGGCCGGGCCGCGGGCCTGGGGTTTTTCCGGCCCGGCCCGGCCCGTCTAAAATACAATGCCAAACCGTTGGCATTCATTGTTTTCGCGCCGGGAAAATTAATTGATGTTGTTATAGTTGCTGTTTCTCAAGTTCTAACACGTTTACAAGTCTATAGTTCCATTATAGAACCACAAAACTATCACATTGATCCTTTACTAGCTAGATCAACGCCTTTTTTGCCTCAGTTTAGATCCCGAGCCTGGGCGCAGTTCGCAGAACCCTCTATAGACGGGCCTGGACGGGCCGGGCCGGGCCGGGCCAGGCCCGTCACGGGCCGGGCCGGGCCGGGCCTGGAAAAAGACTAGACGGGCCGGGCCGGGCCGGTGATTAGACGGGCCGGGCCGCGGGCCGAAAATCGGAAAAATAGGGTCTGCTGACCACCCCTGACTAACAGTTCCCCCAATTAATTTACTGTAAATTTCACGGAATTCCAAACTCGATTGAAAGAAAGACTTGACCCACGCCACAAGTTGTCGCAATGACTCCAACCCAAAAGCAACAGTATTTTTGACAATAGGACTTCCAAAAACAGAACTCAAAATGATCGAATTATATTATCTCCCGCTTCGACTCTAACTATTTCCAGAATTGTAGTAGGCGTACTCTGGGAATATGACATTTCTTATTATCGTAATACGCTTGTGACGTAAACGATGGCAAGGGTCACGTCACGCATACATCAATTCATGAAGGTTTTAACCTGCGCTTTGCAGGCGCAGTCGACAAAACAATAAATCTAAATTTGTGCCAAGTTTCATAAGATCTGAGCATCGCACTTCGAGTATACTTCCCCTGTTAGTTCGAAAACTGTTTACTGTCTAGTATTATCAAAAATACGGCAAAAAAAGTAAAAGAATAATTAAACAAGATCTATTTATTAATCCGGAAAATAGACGGGGACGGGTGAGAAGATCAAGAACTATTTCTACGGTGTTTCTTCTAAGAAAGTAGTAAGTGGATAATATTATTTGTTACGGAACAAACATCCAGATGGGATTTGAATCTTCCGATTCGCTCCCCACGAAGTCCTCGTCCTTCTCTCCTTTGAGTCTTCGGTCATGGGCGGAGAGTCGAGTCCGTCAACCGACGCTTTGATGATTTTATGAAATTTAAGTTCAAGTGGTTTCCTTACCACACGACCATAGTTAATGATGACGACGTCAATCACATGTCGAACGTCTCAAAAAGGTCTACATCGATCGGAGTTCATTTGGAATTCGATCAAAGTCAATTAGCCTAAGGAAATTTGTGATCGCTCAGTTAGGAATGCCCATTTTCAGTCCACTTTACTTAACGATTATATCAGAAAAAAATAAGGGAAAGTGATTTATTATCTTTCTGCATTTGCAGAAGTCGAAGGAGCTTCAGGTTCGATCTCAGGCGGTCCTTGGGAGCGTGTTTGTTGGTGTTGATCATCAGTGACCACAACTTCCTCTTGCTCTACATCTTCCATGGACACTTCTTCAACTACGGGACCATAATATTCGTTCCCATCGTAGTAGTAGACACTATTCTCTTCTACGGATATATAGCCAGGAGCCATCTCATTCTTGATGGTTTCCGGGACCATCTGATTGAATCTCTCGTCGGCTTCTCGGCCTCTTCTCAAAGAACTTGTCTTCAAAAGTCGTTTTCTCTTGGGATCAGAGCTCGAAGGGGATTCAAAAATCTCCAGGACATCCGCTGATGATTGCACAATCTTTCGTTTATCCACCATCGGTTCGAATTCCAATGGCATTGATAGTCTCCGTTTCAGCTTATGGAAGTTCCTTGAATATTGGCCCCGACAAACATCATACGAAGGGAAGATCTCGGCCACCAAACGGAACGAGGGGTGATATGCAGAGACCGTATCAGCAATTCGAAGAGCTTCGAAATACGCCTAAACATTCGAATTGATTATTAAGCCGCTATTTTTAACCAAGAAAAATATAAAGGTGGCTTCTTACATCAGTCCACGCCTCCCTTGGAGCCATCAAGCCCAGAGAGACCTGTCTTCTCGCTCGTCTGTCTAACTGTTCAGCTAACATAACTGGAATCGGCATAGATTTACAATCTTCATGATGTTCAAGAGCGTTGAGATCAGTCACCAAACTATCCCCGTGGATCTGAATTTTTGGGACGACAAAATCAATATGAGGCATGTCACCCCGTTTGTTCTGCTGATCGATGACATTTTTTAACGTACAACATTTGGAGCATCGATAATACCTGTGGAATCCGTCGTTCCGGGTATTAGTTAAATTGAAGTATCGACAATAATGCTCGCCGTCAGGAACACATAAGAGAGAAGGCCAGTAATCATGACTCAAATAGCCCGCGGTCACCACGATTTCAGAACTGAAGCAAAGCATTATTCATTATTAATGTTCCAAGCAATAACAAGAGATCGGCACAAAATTTCAACCCGGGTCTTTAATGAAACCTATATCATTTGAAAAAGCATCAAAAATAGTACAAAAAATTAGCTGCCCAATTTTTCTTAGGACAAAGTTATGGCCAAACTACATGTTTTGACCTAATTTCCGGCGTCAAATTAGAAACCCCTGGAAATTCGACAGAGTTCTTCTGGCCGTGTGGTAGTGGTCCCTTTAAAATCCATATTTACACGATTTTTTGAGGTTTTGGTCTTTTTTTGAAACAACCATAAACTTGCCGGCCATGAAAATGCCATTAATAATAATTACATGGGCGTTATGCCAAAGTCCTAAAATCGGCCAAAAAACACTGTTTCTGACCCAGTTAGCCAACCGTTAGAAAGGACATAGAAATTTTCGTTTGTGAATGACCACAACCATCATATAAATGTATTTCCAAAGCCTTTTGCTACAATTTTCCCATTAACTTAGTTTTATTTACAAAATTGTAACTAACAGCAACGTCGAATAATTCAAAACCGAGGATTGGCAAAGCCATAAAACGACGGCGATAAAAATTTTTGGATACCAGGGAATCGATGGAGACGATTTCAAGCCGCCAAGTTTACTGTAATATAAGAAACCGGCGGCTTGGCCGCAAAAGACCCGTTTTAAAAAATGGTAGTATCTATGCCCTAAGGCAAATTGGGCAGATAATTTTTTGCGCTGCATACTATTTTTCATGATCTTTCCAATTATATATGTTTCGTTAAGAAACCAGGCGGCAAGTGCATGCCGATCCCTTGTAAGTGAAATCAACTGTTAAATTCACCTACTGTCCCCGATCGACCGGTGGTGGATTTATTTTTCTTCGCTCATCCAGGATCTTCTGGACGGTAGAAGTTGTAAAAGTCAGGCCCGATTGAGATCCAACGATAATACCAACAGTGTTAAGTCCACTGATTACTTGATGGTTAAACAAGTCCAAAAAGTAAGCACTTTCTTGACTCAGAGATCCAACGAAATCAGCGATTTCTTCATCAGTTAAATCCTTCGCGTTCTCCGATGCTGACGGAGGTTTCACAAGCTGAATATAAAAATTTAGTAAAGCAATAATTCACTTTCGACTTACCCTTCGATACTCCAAGAATTGCAGAAGACTAATTTCATCGTATCCTTCGGTCACTACGCCTCTTAAAGCTTCCAGTAAGTCTTCGTACTTCTCGATCTCCCGGGAATTGAACTTGTCTAGGACATTCCGGACTTCTTCAGGGAGTTCTTGAGCCATCTTGAGTTCTTCGTTCGACATGATCAAACTGACATTGTTTCCCTTTTCACCTTCCGTTTCCCATACAATCATGTCTTCTCTTCTGTCTAATGGCACGACCTCCTCCTCAAATCCTAAAAATGACGACTATAAAACTGTCCAACTGTGTATTCAAAATCTTGTTGCTTCCACTTACCTCCAACCTCTGGCCCTTCCAAAAGCTCCATAACCCGCTTTTCCATCTCTTTCTCGTCTTCAGTAACCGATTTATCTTTTTTATCCTGAAATTAAAACAATAATATATGTATTTTCAACCCACCTGGCTCTGTTGTTGTTGTTTCAAATACAAAGAAACTGGCATCTTCTCTTTTTCGGTCAAATCCTTGTACAAGTCGGCATTGAAAGAGCTCTCACTTTGATCAGGGGCCAAAAAGGAGGTTCCTGGGGTTTGGGTTTCATCGATGGAGGCCTCCCGAGCAAGATCGGATTCAATTGGCCCCTTGAATCGAGTTCTCGTCGGTGTTTTTTGAGGTGTGCTGACATCAGAGTCCTTTTTGGGGGTCTCCTTCTCCACTGTTGTTCTTCTCGGCCGTTTCCCTTCTTGTGGTGTTTCAACTGGACTGGATGCAGAACCAGTCGCGACGAGTCTTCTCTTTGAGGATCTAGTTTGGATTGGCTCTGGATTTGACATTTTCTGAAGAAAAGTTAAAAAATCAATGGAATAAATAGAAATACGTTACACTTTGTCGCGAATCGACATGAAATATAAACACAAGAACGCGAAAAATGAGGTAGGGCGCAGCTCGCTAACGAGGGGTGGTCAGCGACATGTTTTTTCGGATTTTTGGCCCGCGGCTCGTGACGAGCCCAGGGGATTGGCGCCAGCTGGGGCCAATGCGCTAACTGAAAAGTTGCTGAAAGTTAGAACAAGGTTTCGCAACTAGCCGAAGCTACGTTTCAGCCCTCGAGATGCGAGCTGCGCCCGTGCAAGTTTTCCGAGCTGCGCCCTATCATTTTCAACAAATTCGGAGTCTCATTTGCGGATCCCATGGATCGTTGGGACCATTAAAACATGGCCATTGCCTTATTAGCATGAAAACACCGAAGTGATTTACTTTGACCGGATTTGCTCAAATCAGTAATCGATAATTGTTGAAATAATGGTTACTCATGCCCGCTACGTCGACAGCATGAAGCTTCATGAAGTTGCTTCGAGTTTTTTTTATCATAGCCAGATGACATAACAAAAAGTGTTTTGTTACCCAAAGTAATGAAATTTGTGAAAATTTATTCATACATCAAAATAAATTGTAGTGAGATCTCTTCAATGAGGTAAAAATATTCTATACTCATTCCTTGCAGTTTGGACAGAACCATTTCCCTGTTGGTGTAGATGTCAACCCAACACAATCAAAGTGGAACCATTCCGTAAGACAAGTTCTATTGTCACACATAACCATCTGTCCAAATGAGACTTGGTTGCATAGACAATAGGTCGGTTCATCTGGATCAACAGGCATATCAACGACGGTTGTGGGATCGAACTTCTCGATCTCCTCTACTTTAATATCCCGTCGACGACGACTGGGCCCGGATGACGCTTCTGCCCTTTCTGTTGCTAAATGGCCAGGTTGTACGCTGTCTGTCCACTTACTAATCTTCGCGTAGGTCTTGTCGAGTTCGTCCACGTAATAGTCGAGAGTTTCGTAGTTTTTGGTAGCAAGTTTAACTTTTTCAGAAGAAAGTTGTTCCAGTTGAGTCAAAACATTCTAAACATGAGGTTCCATTGAGGACAACTTACTTTCAACTTTTTATACCGTTTAATCCTCCGATCTTTATTGGTTGTGTGCCATGTTTGTAATATCGGGCCAGTAAAGTTTTCAATAAACTTTTGTTTTATCGCACATTCTTTGTCCAACTCCTGAATCTTCATCAAATTGGATCTGATTGGGGCTGTGACGTCCTTGAACTGCTTTGTAAAGGATCTCAACTTCTCAATGTCATTTACTGGTTTCTTCTGGAATCATTATTCATACTCAATAAAATTTCGGCGGATAACGTCATAAAAAAAGAACTCACAATTTTTTTTCTGCTCATGTTGGCCACTATCGTTCGGCTTTGGGGAATTTCACCAGTATAAGAATTTATCTACTATTTAAAAAATTTATTTCCGAAAACTAAAAACAATAATCTTTACAAAGAGACATTTTATACGATGGAACCTTCCTGAAAAGAGGTTCTGCAACGAAAACAATTCGAAAATTCCATCTCTGAGCTGGCAATTTTCTTGTTGAGCGAAATAACTGGAATACCACGACATTGCAACGTATCTTATACCTTTTTCTTGCATAATATACTTTTTATTTTTAAATATTTTTTAATTTTGTTTTTTATCGTGACTTTTCGTCCGTACTGTCGGTTTGTGACAGGAACATCTAATGCTGGCTTGATTTCCATTTGTCATTCCAGAGTCGGCTCTTCTTGAAGATGCCATTACGACTAGATGTGAAACGGAATCTTTTGGCCCGCTCTGATCGAGTCAAGGCCACAGATCTCCATCCCAAGGAACCATGGATGCTGGCCGCCTTGTACAATGGAAATGTTCATATTTGGGATATAAACTCACAAAATTTGGTGAAGACCTTTGAGGTATCCGAGTTGCCAGTGAGAGCCGCGGTATTTGTGCCCCGAAAGAATTGGATTGTCACTGGTTCAGATGACATGAAGATCAGGGTTTTCAATTACAACACATTGGAACGAGTACATGAATTCGAGGCGCATTCTGATTATTTGCGGTCTATAGCTGTTCATCCGACGCAGCCTTTTCTTTTGACGTCCAGCGATGATATGCTGATAAAATTGTGGGATTGGGATAACAAATGGACTTTGAAACAAACGTTCGAAGGTATGTTGTTGCCTAATTCTTCGTTTGGAACATCCTTAAAACTTGGAATGAAAGAATCTTTGTTTTTTCATTTATTTTTAAGGAAAGATAATCCTTTTGTAGCAATTACCCATTTAAATGTTTTTTTTTAATATGGTTGCAACTACAAAGATAAATATGATAAACATTAATATTTTGAAGTATAAATTAACGCGGAGTGAGTAATTATACTTTTGCTTTAGGCCACACTCACTATGTGATGCAACTGGTTATCAATCCTAAGGATAACAATACATTCGCCACTGCCTCCTTGGATAAGACAATAAAGGTCTGGCAATTCGGAAGTCCAATCCCCAATTTCACTTTGGAAGGTCACGAGAAGGGAGTAAGTGCTTTATTTTAACGTCGATTCTATTTTTAGGTAAACTGTGTCGATTACTATCATGGTGGTGATAAACCTTATCTGATCTCTGGGGCCGATGACCATCTTGTGAAAATTTGGGATTATCAGAATAAGAATTGTGTAGCCACTTTGGATGGTCATACACACAATATTTCTGCTGTGAGATTCCATCCAGAACTTCCAATTATTCTGACAGGATCTGAAGATTCAACTGTGAAAATATGGAGAGCTAACACTTATCGGTATGTTGTTTACCTTCCTCGATGTATTTTAATGGCTATTGGTTTGGTGATGGTATTATTATAGACTCGAGACAACAATGAGCTATGGCCTAGAAAGAGTTTGGTGTATATCAGCTCTTAAGGGATCCAACACCATTGCTATTGGTTATGATGAAGGATCAGTTGCCATCAAGTTAGGACGGGAGGAGCCCGCCGTTTCGATGGATTCAGCTGGAAAGATTCTTTGGGCGAAGCATTCCGAAATCCAGCAAGCCAATCTGAATACCATTGATCAAACATCTCTTGAAGAAGTCCACGGTAAATATTTGAAGATGTAAATTAGTGTTTTAGATGGAGAACGTCTCGCTCTGTCAGTGAAGGATATGGGTGCATGTGAAATCTACCCACAGACTGTTGAACACAACTCGAATGGGCGCTATGTTGTTGTCTGTGGAGATGGAGAGTACATTGTTTATACTGCCACTGCTCTCAGAAACAAAGCTTTTGGATCTGGGTTAGAGTTTGTCTGGTCAAATGATCCCAACATGTATGCCGTTCGAGAAACTGGTTCCACTATCAAAATTCACAAAGGATTCAAGGTGAGTCTTATATTATCAGTATATAAATTTTTTCGGTCTAGGAAGCCCAGACTTTGAGACCAGATATTGTGGTTGATGGAATTGATGGTGGGGTTCTTCTTGCTGCACGATCAACAAGCTCCTTGTGTTTTTATGATTGGGAATCGGCGCAACTAATCAGAAGAATCGAAATTGCGGCCAAGAAGGTGTATTGGTCTGAGAAGGGCGATCTCGTGGCCATCGCAGGGGAAACTCAATTTTATATTCTCAAATTTAATGCCGAAGCTTTAGTCAATCTTAACCCCGATGACCTTACAGAAGATGGAATTGAGGATTCTTTCGAGGTTGTTGGTGGGTATTACTGGATATTGTTTTATTCCGTTTATGTTATTTGTACAAAATACATTTCAGGAGAACAGACGGAGACTGTTAAGACAGCTTGTTGGATTGGTGATTGCTTCATCTTTACAACAGCTCTCAATCGGCTGAGTTACTATGTTGGTGGGGAGATTGTGACTATTGCTCATCTTGATAAACCGATTTATTTGGTAAGTGAAAAGCTTACATGTAAAATAAATTTTTAGTTGGGTTACTCGGCTAAGGATAGCCGAGTCTATGCCTGCGACAAGGAGCACAACATCGTCTCATATAAATTGTTGTTATCCGTCTTGGAGTACCAGACGGCTGTGATGAGAAAGGATTTCCAAAGTGCCGACACAATTCTTCGAACCATTCCGAAAGACCAGCGAACTCGAGTAGCGCAATTCTTGGAGAAACAAGTAAGTTTTTGCAATTTGTATTGCGGTATTTTTATACTTTTTTTAATATTGGATTTCTCAGGGCTTCAAAAAGCAGGCTCTGGCCGTGAGTCAAGATCCCGAGCATCGTTTTGAACTTTCGATTTCCTTGGGCGATCTCAAGGTCGCTTACGAATTAGCTCAGCAATCTGACAGTGAAGAGAAGTGGCGACAATTGGCTCAGGCAGCGACCCTCAAGAGTGATCTTCTTTTGGCCGGGGAATGTTTGGGACGGGCCAAGGATTACGGAGGTCTTCTTCTGCTGGCTTCTTGTGCTGGATCACCCCAATTGATGAACAAATTGTCTACTGAATCGAGGTCATCTGGACAGCATAATGTGTCTTTCTTGTCGTCGCTTCTTCTTGGAGATATCGAGAAATGTTTGGATATTCTGATTGAATCTGATAGAATCCCCGAGGCAGCTTTCTTCGCCCGGACATATTGCCCATCTCAAGTACCTCGTGTTGTTGCACTTTGGAAAGAAAAGGCTTCTCAACATTACTCTGGCATTGGAAAAAAGGTAAGAAATTTGGTTTTTTACTAATTAAGGAGCTTTGTTCAGAATATCGGGGAGAGTTTGGCTGACCCTGTGAAGTACGAGAACCTGTTCCCTAATTATTCGGAGGCTGTCAAGGCCGAAAAATATTTGAGTGAACTCTCAAAGATCCCAGTTCCAGCATCAAAAAGGGTAATTCCAAATGCAGAGAGGAATGTGATCGAGGAGATGAGGCAGGCAGAGGCAAAAGGGGACTTCCATTATTCGGAAGACGGATCGTCATCGTTGAAAGGAGTTAGAGAACAGCCTGAAGTGCCCGTTGCAGCGTCCCCATTGGTGTCAGCAGCGGTTGATCTGAAAGAATTGCCCCCTCCGCCAGTAAGGGAGCCATCTCCGTTGGAGGAAATCAAACCTCGAGTCGTTCAACCATCTCCCCCAGTAGAAGATGACGATGAAGAAGCCGAGGAAGAAGAAGAGATTCCAATCGCTGTTCAGGTATTAATAATTTCTTTTGACGAGAGCTCGAGAAACCTCGTGTTTTAGTTTTTTTCTGGGGACTTAAACCATTTGAAAGAGCGTGAAAACTGGCCGGGCCCCCAGCTGTAGATCGTGAGCTAGGTCACGTACAGTAGTTGTCAGTGAATTGTCAATTTTTTTATCTCGAGTGTAACTTTACGAGAATGAACATAATTTGATGAGATCAAAAGCGTTAAAGACGCTGGAAGACACGCTTTAACCCTGTGAAATTATTTTATTTCATATCAGCCACAGGCGTGGTAAAAATTTTAAAGCAACTTTTTTTGGTGGACAACGAGTTGCCAATTTTTACATTTCGAGGTATAAGATCTCAATAAACCAGCATGCAAAGATTAGAATGGAGAGCAATCAGTTGCCAGCAATTATAAAACAGCATACAACCGGTTTCAGCCATTTGTGTAATCTCCTTAGCTTTCTACAGGTCGGGCACTTGGGGGTAGACCATGTACAATGTAATGTCAGCTTAGGGGTCTCAAAGGGCGAAATTAGTTGATGTTCCGGTTTTTAGTGGAACATTATTGCTTATATTGAACAAAATTGCACCAGATTACAACTTGGAAGGGCTAAGGGTCAAGAAAACGGGGAATTTTAATCTCAATCGCTGAAAAAGCTAGCGGTTTTTGTCTTCTGTCAAACCAGTCCATTCCTAAGCAAAGCCGGCCGTCTGGTGGGCCTAACCTGTTGGAGTTAGTTGCCGGGCCTAACGTTTCCTATCCGGGGATAGTGGAGAAGTTGATACTGATCCCCCATCTTCTCTAAAAAGAAGTGTTCTTGGTCGAGGGAGCAGATTAAACCAACGCAAACATTGTGGTGACCTAAGTGATAACGGTTATTTTAAAAAATGTTTTTTTAGAAACAGCCAGATCTGCCAAAATCAGAACCCAAATCCTCAGAAGGCTGGTCGGATGACGATGAAGAGTTCGCGGACACGAACGCCGGGGACGATATAGACCTGGATCAGCTAAGTCTTGGCGACGATCACCAAGATTAATCTATTTATTATATTAGATAAGTTATGACAAGTGACAGACCGTCTCCGCGGGTCTTAACATTATTTTAAAATCCTGTGATTGTTTGGGACGCTTGATTCCTAAGATTAATATATGTCAATAAAATTTTTCATAACAAGTATCCAACAAATCTGCGGACCGTGAAGTCTTCAATTACAGGCAATTCCAATAACTATATTTTGGTGGGCACTTTGAAGCTGTAATTAAAGAATTTACGGTGGCGAAAATCACAGGATCCGGTCGGGTCCATCATTACTCGTAGGAAAAGAAAGGCTGATCACACTTATTCTGAGATCACTCCTGAAAATAAACGGCAAGGATTCTGGAGTCGACATTTTCGTCGACTCATATTGCGCTACACAACTTCTACAAACAAGATCAGACTTCTGGGCTGGGCGAAACCGAATTTGGCCGAGACCAGGGAGTGTGGTGGTGATGAACTTGAAGTCTGTTTTCGTGTCGAGGCTGCGTAGCGCTTGATTGTCAACTTGGAGCTTCTTCGATGGGAGGCATTGGAGAGGCGGACATGTCTATGAGGCCATTACTCAACTGCGAGGGAGCTCGCGACCCGCTTTCGCTCCACGATAATTTCTCACCAAATATATGTCCAATTTTGGTACACAACTTGGACGACATCGTATCAGGGAACAGACATGTCTCTGAGATTGTCGATGTTATTGCTCGGAATCCCATTTTGCATCTAAAATTTTCATTCAAAGAAAATGATATGGGAATAAATTCGTCCTCACCTTCCCCGAGGGCTTCTTCGTTCTCTATTCTTGATATAATAATCAAGATAGGTCTGCTTCGTTTCGATAAAGTTGATTCTCTTGGCAGGAGGGTAGTCGGTGTTGTTTAGACAGTTCAGTATCACCAGAATATTCTCATTAGGTCTGGCGGTTCGGTAAATAAACTTCCGCAGAGATCTGATTTGCTGACTCAGAGTTTCGTCGGAATCATGACATACATCGGACAACTTGACTTTGCGCAGACGGTAGTATTCTAGATCAATATCGGCGATTTGTCGTTCATCTTAAACAATGCGATTACAATTGTTTTAATGTTACACTTACTGATTATAAAGAGGACTACTCGAATAAAATCGTTATTCCGGGCATATCCAAAGTCAGTAAAGGTCTGCCGGACAGCTTGCATGATCCCCGGATTCCCGGGTACCCTCATGTCCAATCTGACTACCCGTTTTGTTTTCCTAAAGTAACTCAGAAAAGGGGCCGAGCATCGATGAAAGGCCTCCAATCTCTTCTCCAGCCTTCCCTTGTCCGCCTCGTCGATTCCCTTCATAAAAGCGGTGAGTTCTGGACTTAGTTGTTCCTTATTCTGATCATTCTTGTCCTTGCTGTTTTTATCCGGCTTCTTGTCTAACAACAATCTCTCTTCCGATATAAATAATTCCAAGGCAAATGCAACATGATGCTGAAGAAGAAGAGATCGTTAAAACGAAACAGAAGATAGTCTCAACAGATGATCTCTTACCCTTCGATCGAAGTTCTCGAGTTGGTCATTGTGATCTCCAGTTCGAAATCCATCAGTCTTGAGCATTGAGTTGAGTTCAGGCACTATGTCGATTATAAATCTTTGATTGGTTGAGGTGGAGAGCTTGGCACTGATCATCGACATGATCCAATCCAAATTGATTACTTTCTGGTCTCTCTGAACAAGTCTACTTGCGTTTTTTTACTACATTTACCTTAAGTAATTGTTGCATCTCAACTGTGTTTGTGACAGTGTTAGCGACTTTATTGGGAAGATACGAGAAGACAATGTCCTCCACACTGATAGTGACAAAGTCGAACTCATGGGCCAAGTCTTGTGTGATGAGTCCCTTCTGACTTCCCGGTCCTCCTGAAATCGTGGTTGCGTATGAGCAAGATGTTCCCCGGCTTCCTTAGCCGACCAAATACCTCGAGAAGCACCGTAAATTGTGGCGAAAGGTGTTATTGAGGTGGTTGTTTGACGTCAAAGAAACGAAGAGGACAGGAAATGCAGTCCCTCTCCTCTGATTTCCCTAATGCTATATCAAGATATACGGCCACTTTAATTCTGGTCTAATCTGAGGCCCAAAAAAAGCCAATTTGACGTAAGAGGGCTGAAATAAAGTTCCGAGAGCAATGCCCAAAACCTGGTTTACAGTATGGGCACAAGTCATCAAACCGTAAATTTGAATTGGACAAGAAGCAGAGACCATAGAAGGCGTGTGCGTTAGTAATTCGTGCGATTCGTGCGACCAATCGCAAAAAACGCACCGAATCCTGACTGTTAGCAGTTGTTGAGCGATATTACGTCACGTTGCGCAATTTCTCACCTTGGAAAAGTTCTTGATTTCTCTGTCGCCTCCTCTTTTTTGTTATCTTTCTTACAGTCAAGATTCGGCGCTTTTTACGACTGGTCGCGCGAATTACTAACGTACAAGTCTTGTATCATTAATTGGCCTACTTGTAAGAGAAATCTAAAAGCAGAAGTTTAACGGAACGTCGTCAATTAGAGAAAAGACGATTGGGGAAAATGAAAAGTTTTTTTTCGCTTTTTTGGCTAGCCAAAAAAATAATTTGCTAGCCCAACCTCATAAGTAAAAGCTCATTAGCAGTCCGTTTTAGGAGACGGCATCTAACAGGTATTTCAGAGGTCGGGTGGGTGAACTATAAGGACATGTCAGGTGGAAAGAGACGGCAAATGAGTCGCAATACATGAAACTGTGGTTTCAGCGAGCCAAAAAAAGCGAAAATTGATTTTATTTTCCGCAATTGTCGCGGTTTTAATTTTAACGAGACATTTTACACGGTAACTAGTTACTCTCTCTAGCTATTATATCATAACCTATCAATTACTCAGTCTTGGATCCTATTTCCTTCGGCCAATATTGCTTTTATTTCTTGGCCAAGAATTATGAGATGGCCGAACCAGACATCTTATAGGCCCTCAGGGAATTAAGGCCGACACTCTTATTGCGGTGTATAATATAATAAACACCCAATATTAATATTTGTGCGAAGTCAAACGTCTTTCGCACAGCGTATTCCGCACTTATTGCACTGTGCAAGTTTCACGCAAAATAAAAAATTAATCAAAATCCTCACCAAAGATGAAGACGACGACCTGTTGCTCCTCATTGGTGACCGGCAGCACCCCCGCGCCCACATCCAGCCTCACATCAGGTGTGTGCATCAGAACCCGCTTGGTGTTCTCATCGTGCTCGGGCTCGGCGGAATCGCGGCGATCCTTGGCCACACTGGTGCGGCCACTGCTCGGTGCGCATCCCATAAAAGGAACGCGCCTGAGGACAAGAAGAAGCACTGGCTAAATGACAGAATGAGATCCAAATTAAATGAGACATGACCTCCACGGGATTCCGCGTTTATTTGGCCTTTATTCCAATATACGAAATCATCGGGGAGAAACGCCTTTATTGGCATGGCCGGAGGGGAAAACAAAACACAGACTTATGAATACACAAACAAAAGGCATCTTATTTACAAGTTTCCCCATTTCCTCGGCCCTTAATTAAAACTAATTATCAAGTATAATATGTATAATGGAACCCCTCAGACTGATAGAATGTCTTCTTGTACTCGTCAAACCCATAATTCTCGTGGAACCCGATAGTTCTGCGGATAATTAGAGGCTGCATTGTGTTGAACTCAGAGTAAATATTTTTCCGTAATTTTTAAAATAAAAATGATGACTAAAATCGAAGATTGATGCGAAAAAGTGTAAAGAATGATTAAAACTACATGAAAAGTAACGAAAATACAGCAGATTAGGTCACGACGACATTGTAGATTGTCATTTCATGCGGGAGATAAAAGACGAAGGGGCACAAAAGAAAAGAAATCCTTTCCTCAGGGCTTTTATGGCCCCCTCCCTCCGAACATCTTCTTCCAAGACTTTGTGGATCCATGTGACAATTAAAAGAGTTTTTTGCTGGTCTATTATAAAGATGGCTACTGAATTTCTCAACAAAAAGCAAAAAAGGCCAAAAACTTCCGTGACAATCTTTATGTCAGATGCTAGTGCAATATCAAAAATGCAAATTAGTAAATCGAAATTATTTTTGAAGACTTCAAATCCCGGGCTGATCTTATAAAAAAAATAATTTTGAGTCCCCAATTCAAACAAAAACACAATGAATGACAAACACGGAGAATTAGGCCCGGAGGGCACGGATTAAGATGGGATTCGCACCTTTTGGAAAGACTCGAAAAAGTGGCACTCGGGCGGTGTTGTAATCCCCCTATTTATCCGCCAATCCTCCCTCTCTCCTCCCCAGAGTCCAACACCAATAGCATCATCTTATTCATGTTGTATATCCACTAAGACTAAGAACTTCCACTGCTAATCCCGCACTTGCGCCACAACTTGAAATTTTACGTAGATCAGATGGATGTATTGCTAATGGCTGTAGATTGTAGATGTCATAGCTTAAAGGATTTATGTTCGATTAAGACTTTCAACACCCAGTCAAAGTCGGGGACATGAAAGATGGCTGTAATTAGTTTATATTGAAGCCGATTCCCAAAAAGGGTGCGTTAGGGTTCATTCAGAAGTTGGTTACTTCCCTACATCTACTTCTACGATCCGTATGTGCAAGTACTCCGGAAATGGGAATAAAAAATATTTTTGATGTCATGAACAAGGTCCCAACTACATATAGGAAAGATTAGACATTAAAACTTCTTTAATTTGAAGTGGAACAGATTCTGATGGAGGAACAATAGATGGATGCCTTCACCTTATTTAATGCAGGGTGGCTCTCCGGTCAAAGTTTATGGTCTATTTTCTCGAAAACCAGGACCCGGACACCAAAATTGCTTTACCCCTTACGGTTTTTGAATATGGAGATTCAGAACATACCGCTCTCATATCTTAACTCATTTGCGATTTGAACTCGTTAGAATTTTGCGTAGAATAGTTTGGAACCAAAAAACAAAAAATCGACTCCTAAGGGGTGAATCCCGGAGGACATGGATATAAAAATTTTGAAAATCCGCAAACTTGGGGAGAAGGTTTGGCCCAAAACAAAGGCGAAATTTTCCAACAAGCTAGACGCAGGTCGAAAATTTCCAAAGCTTATGGCTAAAATTTGATCAAAAACATTTTTATCTTCTATCGCCCATAATTCCCGCCAACATGAAAAATTTTAAGGGCGTTTTGAGGCACGCCATTTAACAAACAGTGCACTAAAATTTTTGTCTTTTTACTGTAGTCCAGTAAATAGGTGTAACATGTTTGGTATCAAACAAAATGGGAGAGTCTGAGGATTCAGGGAAAAAATAAATAAAGAAATTATAGCCATTTCAAGTCGGGCCAAAGGCCTCAACCTGTATATCAGCATTACGTCGATAAAATTGAAAAACTATAACCATCTAGAGGAATATAACCAACATCAGCAATATGATGACGTGACAGTAGTCTTGCTATTCTCAAGAGTTATGCAACCGATCCCCTGAGTAAAGTCATTTATAAAAATATAAAGACGAGATACACCCAGCCAGGAATACGACCCCCAATTATGAATCCCCTGAGGGCGAAGGTCTGTCAGAGATTACATTTAAATTATTTCACACTCTTTCTCCATGAAATGTAATGTTAACATTCGGTGCGAAAGAGTAATTTACCTACACAGAGTTTGGGTAATGTCACGAACAATCTAAAATAATGTTGAGATGGGTGCGAAACTAGTTCGAACGCGAAAAAAACTCGTACTTCCGTGCATAACATACGTTTATAAGGGAAAAACGGTAGTTGCCGAAGAAAAAAACAACGGCGAATTCCTTATTTTTTTACATTACGCATGCTAGAAATCTTCGGTTTGTAGTATTATAACATGCGAGAGCCCACGTCAGGTCCAATGTTTCTCCATTTCCAATGAATTCAGTCTTGGTTTTGCTCTTTCGCTTCGTTCTGTGGCTCTTTACATTCGACTGAAACAGTAATAAATACTTCGGCGAACTGCGTGCAATTATTGGCGAAATTCAAAAATGAAACAAATAAAAAAAATATTACATATTTCAACTTGTTGTTTCCTTTTTTGAGAGTGGGAGCTGACAAATTTTAGGAAAATCGGCGGACTCTCTGCGGAAAAATCCAAAGAAAAAGAGGTTGTCAGCTTCGAGGGGCCCGCCCTGTATATTGGCGATGTAGTGTTTTTAAAAGATTTCAAAAGTTGGGACAGGTTAAATGCCGAAAAGTTATGTTGGACGTGAGACCTTGGTATTTTGCAAAGCAGTCGAAGGCTACATCCAACAACAAAAGTGTCAATTGTAATAGAAAGTATGCCCCATGGTCGAAAACCTAAAACAGTGAGGGTTTGTCCTTTAGCCATTGGGGGTTTTTACACATCATCCCAATGTTTCTGAAAATTGTATACCGTAACCGAAGTGTCGTTGACCCGACCTGTCGCGACCCGAGCTGTCCCTGACCCGAAACGTCGGGACGCGAAAAATCTTTACAGTACTACTTAAGGAAAAAAGACTTGTATTTTGACTTTTATTTACAAGGGAAGTACCCCAAGTGCGACGCTCAGATTTTCTTTAAATTTTGCACACACGTCGGGAATAGACTAAATATCAATTCCTGAAAGTTTTAGCTCGCGCTTTGCAGGCGCCGCCGAGATATCGGACGATTTATGCTGCCGAGAGAGCACGCAAAACGTGGAGAGCGGTCAGAGAGAAAAACGCTTTTTGGCCATAACTTTGGCAGTTTCGCGCAGCAAAATTTGATTTTTTGTAGAAAAATTATCCTTTACGGTAGAAATAAACATGAAACTTTTCGTGCTGAAATTCGGCAAAAAGTCCTAAATTTTCGCCGACTTTCGATCTAAAAATCTCGGTTGTTTCTGCAAAGCGCGAGCTAGGATTCTCGCATATATCTAAGAAAAAATTATTCTAAATTTGTGCCAAGTTTCATCAAAATCTGAGCGTCGCACTTGGGGCACGCCAATTTGTTTTGTGAAAAAAAACATTTTCGTCAAAAATTCGAGCTGCGACCCAGACTTCTAAAAATGTTGTTGCCATATTATACGAAAGCTATTTAAAATAAGGTTTTGTCTTACCGAACACGTTTAGGTAATAATTAGAGTTACGAGTTTAGTTTTTAGCAATCATACACGTCCTTAGTATTATTTATAAGCAGTAAGCGAAATAATTATATCCAAAAATATTTTTTTATGATTTTAATTGTAAATTTCCCAATTTTTGCCTTTAGGTACTAGCAAATGCCCGGTCTTGTCGATTTTGCAACCTGCAGTTCGTATTCATGATTTGTTAAGCCTCCAAGCACGTTCTGAAACCAAAAAACAAATAAAAGTCAAGTTTTCGAAAAATAAGTCCGCTGGGCATTTAATTAAATCGAAATTTTCTCAAAATTTATCGGTCTGATTTTAAAAATTTTAACGGATTCTGAAAGCCCATGCTTCAAAGTATAATATATCTTAAAATCAAGAGGATCTAAGGCAAAAAACCTACCATTCTCGACGAGACATCAAAATTTTCGTCATTCTGGGATAGTGTAAAATCTGAGATTTCATTGTCATCTTTCTGGCTAAGCCTGTGGTCTTGTGTTTGGGATTGCAATAATCGAGTCGCAGTTGTGTTGCTGATGTATCCAACGACGTTCTGAAACTATAACATGAATAAAAAGCAATTTTTCCAGTAAAAAATCCCCGCCGGGCATTTAATTAAATCGAAATTTTCTCAAAATTTATCGGTCTGATTTTAAAAATTTTAACGGATTCTGAAAGCCCATGCTTCTAAGTATAATATATCTTAAAATCAAGAGGATCTAAGGCAAAAAACCTACCAATTCTGACGAATATCACGATTTTGATCACCTTGGGGTAGTGTAATATCGTGATTTTTGAGTTTTTTTCTCTCGTGCATGAGCTGACTCTATTCCTCTTGTCTTCGTTTCTTGTCCTCTCTGGAATACAGCGATGTCGAAGTTGCAGCGGAGGGTGATTGTGTAAAACCAGTCGATTTCATCTAAATTCAAAAGTCATAAATTTCAGTTTTTGAGAATGAACTCAACGTAAGGTGATGCAATGGCTGAAAATGAGGTACCTATTGAAAGCTGAAGCAATATCCTATAATCCTATAAGAAGAAAACCTGAGCTTTCGTTCCATAAGAAAAGTTACACATCATCGAAATTGACTTACTTTTTTCCAACGTTAGAAAAAGGTTGCCAAATTAGGCAAAACAGAATTTTTTTGTGTGCTGTTTATGCAATTAATGATTTGTCTGCGTTTTTTCTCCGCACTGTGATTATTTCTGCGTTGATACAATCTTGTTCTGCGGGTTTATTACGGTATTTCTGCAGAGGGGAACACTTGATAAAAATGACCGGGGAAAGACTTGACTCGATCCATTTTTTTTGCATTTTTTCTGTGTGGACAAATTGGCGTGCTTGGGGTACTTCCCCTGTTATTTTTTTATCAACCGCGATTATCGCCCGACCGACCTCCTTCCAAAATATTTTTTGTCGACAATGACGGTTTTCCCGAAAATTGGAATTTTGCACTTTCGGTCGAATTATTCGACCAAAAATTGAGGTAAAAATCTCGGTAATTTATGCAAAGCGAGAACTAGAAATCTCATATATTTCCCTTTTACGCAAATTTGAATAATTTGAATAAGATTTCGTCATTTGGAGACCGCTTTCATTCCGAGCGAAGGGAATCCTCACATTCTCAATTCTCTCTATCAACGTGGCGGTCGACTTGGTCCCGCTGCCGCTCTTCCGTGCTTACTCTTCATCAACGATCCGATTAACGTGTCAAGGGCGACGAAATTTGGCCATCATCGAGTCTCTTTTCCATTGTTGGCCTGGGACCGTGGAGATGTGGTGTGTTGTGGCCGCATCACTGTTCACATCGATTCTCTTTCTACTGTGCGGTGGGAAGAGCAAGTCCAAATCAAAGCCGTTGTCGTTTCCGCAGCCGTCCGCGGAGCGGAGTAAGAGGGCGGGGAGGAAGAGCAAGACCATCGAAGCAAAGGCCTCGTCGCCGAGTTCAGCTTACAAGGTGAGAGAAAGCGATGATTGGACTGCACTTCTCCGATGCGGCTATGAGGAATGGTCTCAAATTTTCGGGGGTTACATATACGCTAGGTAGAGTTGGTATAATAGGAGAAATTTGAAAAAGATCGGGGATTCGAATTTTTTCTTGATTTTTCGGGTCCCGACTTTTCGGGTCGATGACAGTTTTTCAACGTCGATTTTCTCGAAAACTAGGGCCCAGACGCAAAAACTGTTTTAGCTCTTACCGTTTTCGAATATGGAAAATCAGAATATACCGGTCCCGCAGCTCAACTCATTTGCGATCTGAACGACTTCCCCTGTAAGCCTTCCCTAGCCTCCCTAATGCATACAACGACAAACCGACGCTATCCATAGTATTGTTGACCCAAACTATCGCTGACCCGAAAAGTCGTAGATTACACGAGATATGTGCCTGTAGTGTAAAATTAGAGAATCTGATGACTTTATGGCCAATAATTTTTGACTTCAGGACAAAATAAGACCAATACCCCCAAACTCCGAACGATTGAATGTCCAGACGGCCAAGGCGTTGCGGCCGGTGAGGAGAAGTGCTACAGAGCAGCTGAAAGATCCACCGAAAGTAGACTGTGAAAAAGTCGAGGAGCCCACCAAATCCGACGAAAAAGACAAGAAAAGGTGAGAATTTTTGGGATTTTTGGGGTTTTTAGAAAAAATTTTCAAAGAAATTTGGTTGGATTATGATGTTTGAAACCTGTGGAACATTTTTGACTATTTTTTAAAAAGTAAAATTTTTGAAAAAAAAATGAAAAAATGTCTTTGATTTTCCGGAGATTTTATAGATGATTTCTGGCAATTTTTCAGTTTTCAAGCAAAATTTCACAAATTTCATTGGTTGATTTTTACACTATGAGACCTGAAAACCCAGTAAATTGTATTTCCATCAAATTTTATCCACTTGTTTTTCAGCAAAGAGCCCAAAACCGGAAACAGTGAGAACAAGACAGAAGGTGATAAAAAGGAGCAGAAAACGAAGGGCACCGAAGCCGATGATGAAGAAGCAGAGACTATTTGCGATGTCACAAAGCTTAAGGTACGGTTTTTGACTTTTTTCGAGGCGATTTTTACATTTATTGGCAACGAGTTTGAGTCCCGCCACGAAAACTTGATTTTGAAAATTCTCGCCGGAAACCGTTAAACGCGTTTGAAATCCGTTGATTTTAGAACCTCGGAAGTCTGGATTTGAAGGTCAACCAGGATATGGAGGCTATGAACCGCGAATCTTTCGAAATGCCGTCCCGCCATGAAGAAGGTCCGCGAGCCGAAACTCACAGTAACAAAACGGTGAAACGCGTGGTCATAAAGGATGCGGAATGCAAGATCTATGAGACAGATGATGTTGAGACCGTCGATGATGAAGCTGATCTACCAAACGTTGATTTATAAGAGATCAAATAAACTTTCCGACCTTGTAACAAATTTATCTTATCCATGAGCTTGATGGTGAAGATTGTAAAATTCAGAAAAAATGATATGATTTTCGAAATGAGCGCCATCGAAAACCTCAGCAAAAGAAAAAATGTGTTACGATTGGCCAAACAAATGTCTTCATTCAATTTCTCCGCGTACAAAGAAGGGATTTCAAGTGGAACACTCAGATTTTCGTTTTTCAGCGAGAGAGTACACGAAATGCGGAGACCGGGCAGAGAAAAAACCATTTTTTGGCCGTATCTTTGCCAGTTTGCGTGGAAAAAATTGATTTTTTGCGGAAACATTACTCTCTACGGTAGAAATGTTCATGAAAATTTTCATGACAAAATTCGCAAAAAAATTTTTGTATTTTTGCCGTTTAGTGCAATTGTCAACAAGAAGTGCTTACAATTAAAAAACGATTTTTGCCCCATTCCATTTGATATAATGTGGTGGTTATGGGTGGTGTTTTTGTTGATTCCTGTTCCGGTATCTCCAAGAATCTTGAATTGTCGGGATTCTCTGCTCCCAATCGATAATTTAAATCCCCCTAAGTCCACAAATCCACTCTTGCTCATCCTTCTCGATCGGAATACCATGCCAAATGTAAATCAACATCTCGACGACTTACGTTTTCAGATTGTGACCACTTTTTATTGCGTTTTCTCCCAATGGAAGGATGTGATCCCCAATGTTTACATATGTATTTCATTGAAGAGATCTACACCTTGTATGAAAATATATAACATCCGCATATTGGAGAGGGTCCTAGACTTTTGGAGGATTAATTTTGATACCCTTTGGTGCAGTAAGCTCAGGGATTTTTAGATCTTATTTAAGGGTCATGTGTTACCCTTGAAGACATTTTCCGTGATCCCTTGACACTTCCGACCACCAGAATAGTCCTGACCTCCAATACAACGTCCAAAACATTCTTTAATTCCATTGCTCCGACGATTTCTTTTGAGAAAACGATTGTTGATGTGATCTACAGTAACCCTACTGTTCATGATTTTGGTTACACCGGACTTTTATTGGATACGGACAGTAAGTTTGATGTGTTGGGGGGCGTAACGGGCTTTGCAGATGTTACAGAGGCCAGTTTCCTCGATTTTTTTGCCAAATTAATGACAGAAGATACGAAAAGAGCCCCCAGATATATTTATTTACATTACTATGAGACGGCGAGAGAAGGAGATCAAAGACTTCGATTTGACACTTCGTGGTGGGTTTTATTGCAGTCTTAGGATGACATGTTACAGGTATCATGTCCTGAGTGTTATCGGGAAGAGTTTGATTGTGCTCCTTCTCTTCTACTTTCCCTGCTTCATCTTCATGTATGTTTGGTTTGAGAGTTACAAATTGGATGAATGGCTAAGAAACAGTCAGTTATATGTACTACTCTCAAACTAGCCTTTTTTAGTGTTGGAATATGATTGGAATGTAGAACGACACATGCTCCTTCATGAAGCGGAGGTTCAACCAGTATGTTGTAGATGTAACTCTGTTAATATTACCGTATCCATTTATGTTACAGTAACCCTGATGAATATAATTCTTTCAGCTGATCTAGTACGTTTATTCGTTAAACGGAAAGTGATTAAAAATCGTGTTTATTGAGCTTTGAGATCATCCGAGATACGGGCAGGCTTAGACTTGATCGCCTCTTTGTTGAGCATACTTCTTTATTACTTTCTCTTCTCGCAATTTGACAACGGTCAAGAAATTGTTGATCTGAAGAGGATGTAATCAATGCTTGGAGTATAACTCACCATGATTGTAACAGGTAATGCGAGGACCATAGCACCGCAAACAATGGCTCCACCTCCCACCAACTTCCCGGCTGAAATTAAGGGATCGTCATGGATAATATAAAAATATTAAATTAAGATATTTGATTTCACGGAAAACATCTTTAAATAGACCCACCAGCCGTCTGAGGGACCCATTTGGTTTGTGAGAACAAACACCACCAAAAGGCGGCGGGGATTGAGGTGAATGTTGTATTAGGTTCATCCCTTTCGAGGAAATAAACCAGCGTGGAGAAGAAGATCATCACGGTCAGCATGACAATGAACACCATCTGCATCTGCTTCTTGCTCTTCCGTAGTGTCAATGCAAAGTTGGCCAACCCGGGAGAGAATCGACCCAACTTGGCAATCCTTACAACTCGCAGTACTCGCAGTAATCGGACGGTTAAGAAAGCCCATCGGACCTTGCGAACTTTGTCTCCACTGATCCCTACCAGGATGAGAATGATCTCGAAGATGAAGGGGGTGATGGCCAGAAGGTCGATGATGTTCAAGAACTCCTTCACAAAGGCCAATTTCCTTGGCGCCACCCACAACCGCAGAACATACTCTAATGTGAAGTAGATTACACAAATGTTCTCCACGTAGTTGAAGACGGGATGCTCCACCATTTCGGGTCGCATGTCCTCGCCCTCTTTGATTACTGTAGTTGTGGATACCGTATACCCGGCCACTTTTGGATATGTTGGGTAGGTTGCAGCGGGCCTAGAATAATATCAAAATTAGAAATAGAAAATGCAAAAGGATCAGATGTGCGTGAGATTATCGAACCACGCTTACGTTGGCGGGGTCCCATCACTGAGCATATTGCCGGGCACTTGGAATTCGGGGATCGATCCCATTATGAGTGCGGTGATGCTTAGAACAACAAAAGAAGTGGACGTGACCTCGAAGAACTTCCACCATTTCGAATTGGAATGCCCTTCCAACACCAACCAAAGCCTCCTTCTCACCTTGGCACATCTCAATCCAATGAAATGATCTTTCTCCTAAAACAAGGATAACAATTATAATGGGATTAATGGGGCAGAAGGAGGATGATAATATTATTATTATTCGGTTATTTGGATAAGGTTCGGGAAAGTGGACTAAAATTAATAAGGGATCATATTAATTGCCTAAGGGGATACAGGGACGAGGTCACTCTTCCAACTTAAAGGGTCCAGTCTCTGGCCGCGCAGGAAGGAAGGGATCGCCTTCTCGGCTTCAACGTCAAAGTCTGATTGCTCCTGGAAGAGATTTTATCTATAGTGTAATATAATTTCGATCAGTATACTTGTATTTAATGATTTTGAGTAAATAAAATTATAAGAGATGAGTTTTTTGACAATCCTATTGAACTTACTGGATGATCTGTGGGTAATTTCCTCATAAGACAGTACTGAGCAAAGGGGGAGCAACAATCGTCCATCTTGGCCTTGGAAACGGCCCAAAACCTGAGTTCAGACATGAATTTCTCGAAGCAGAGATCCTTGGGAACATGGAGTTTACCTGCGGCATAAAAGTCGTAAATAGGATCGAAATACCTGAAAGATTTATATTAAAATGTGGTCACTGTTTCGGTTACGTAATTGCTTGCATCATCTTGTGTTCCTTATGTAATGTTGCGTAAAAGAATGACGTCATGGAAGAATGCGGAATCTTGAACGTTTCCCCTTTCTACCGCCATCTGTCACTCGAGTTATGCGATATTCTACTGATCCCTTTGTCGCTTTACAAAATCTCAATTTTCAAAACAATTTTTGGCCCAAAAACGTTGCCTGAGGGACGTCTTCGATCACGTCTTTGAAATTCAAAACGCTTGACATAAACTCCCCGAAGTGCGACTTTTGCAACCTCAAAGACCACCTGTTCAGGTGGAAATGGAACTAAAAATTACCTGGGCACCCGTTCGAAGAAGTATTCATCCGAATCTTCGAAGTACCCATCCGCCCATTGTCTTCGATGCTCGTGGTCCATCCTACACAATCGTCCCAGCAGCGTCGTCGGACCATATTTTAGAATAGATCTGGTCCGAATTCGATAACTGGAGCCTCCAATACTCAATCGGAGAATCTGATCCTTAAAAGTTATGTTATACATCAGAATTCGGCCATTCTTGATAAGAAAAATAATCAAAAATACATAAAAATAATAAGCAAAGTGGAGATAACAAAAGAAAAGTAGTCCTGAAACCAAAAACAAACCTCGGCCCTTACGGATCCCTTCAACGACGCCTTTTCCTGAGGCATTCGGGCTTCGAGGTCATCTTGTTCATACTCCTTGATGTCGCTGATCTGATCCTCGACAGGAATGCTCACCTGTTTCGACGAGCCTTCCTCTGCATCTGTCATAACACTGCAAATAAATTGTATGAATACTTGTATGGGAGTGCTAAGTACAATTGAAATTGTATTCCTTTACATGGAATCCGATGTCATCAAACAAGGGAAGTGGATGTCACACTTGAAATTAGTGGAAAGGAGGGACCAAAATGATTTTGCAACAAAAAACGGATTAAAGTTAAATGGAGCATGAAGGAAAGAGAAAGAAAAAAATAACATGGCAAAACATTATTTTTGATCTTGAAATATTTAGTAAGAAAGAAATGTGAAAAGAAGGAAAACGTGAACCAAGGTGTAAATTAGAGGACGGATACCAAAATACATTCTATTTGAAGAATTTGTTTACCTCGGGGCATTTCCAAAACAAATGGAAAATTGGGATTTGTTCGCCTTTTAATTGTAAAAGCGGCTCTAAACAGTAGTGCTTCCAGAAAACCCAATTCAGTGCCTTCTCAACCTAACCTAATTAAACTTGCCTGCGGCACCTGCAGACCTCATAAACAGGATATATCCGGCAATAATTTGGAAAAAGTTTTGGCCAAAGCACGCAATCTCTCCTCGCATGCCCTGAGGGGAACACAAAAACCGGTTTAAATTTTTATTAATACAGCCTCTCTTTGAGGGGGGAGGGTCACAAAAATTTAACGCCGCTCCCCACACCTGAAGAAAGTGCATGCCCTGGGGACCTAAAGCCGCGAGAATTTCAGAGGGAGAGCCGCTTAAAATGATCTCGGCCCAGATTTACCGACTTGTCGTTAGACTTGGCGCCAGAATTGTTGAGGATCTCAAACAAATTCCTCAATTTTCCCGACATAAAATAAAGTATTGAAAAACAAAGATAACAGAAAATTTGGGTTTAGCCGGGATTACTGTAATCTTCAAAAATAGGCCGACGAACTTTGGGTGTCTTGCTTTTTGGCCACAATAAAGAGCTCTCTGCATGTGAAAATCCAATTTACCCCGATTCCTTCTCGTTTAACACATCTCGTAACATGAAATAAATACAATTTCCGAGTGAATTCAATGCCCGGATATAATCTATCGCTGCTTCCTCAGCCTGTTCGAAGGAGAACGAAGGGGTTTTTTCGATAAATTATGGATAATAGCCTACGCAAGGTCATCTTCGAGATTCTAGCGGGGTTATTGTAATCTATGTAAGAATAAATGCAAATTGCAATGTATCCGACTATTTGTGATAGTATACACCTGTGGGAGGCAACTTCTAACACCCCTGTCACGTACACCGATAAAATTATGGTCGAAATTACAGTAATCCTATATGATTAATATATCAGATACAATTATTTATTGGGAGGCAATAAAAATAATTTGGAAAGGCCATAATACGTAAAAAGTTGGCCCGAGACCAAAGAGAGGGAGAGAGGACCCGCGCGGCTTTAATGGAATAATATGGAGCTGAGGAAAGCCGGTTATGCCGACACGTTGGCACGGCCCGGCAGACACAAAGAAGCGCTGGATTTGGGGGCGGAGAGAACGGGCATGATCTCGTTACACTTACCCTATCCGCGCTTCTTTCCGCTTCTCCTGCGTGGTCTCCGCCGACTCGGAGAAACATTTCTTCAACGCGGAGGGTTCTCGTCGCGGGGAAGGGGATCGACTCATGTGGCTGACGAACTTCTCTCCGTCCCTTAATTTGTACGGCCGAGACTTTTGGCCATCGTTAAGCAGCGCTGAAAGAATTACATTCCAATTACATAGATTGGCCGGCTAGATAAACACAGAGTTAACAATCCCTTACCATGAGTCTCAATTCTACTCAGGGGCGGCAGATTGATGAGTTTTGATTTAGAGACCTTTATGAGACCGGGCGGAAGCATGAAATTTGGAGGGAAGAGTGACCCCCAGGGCCTGGGGCTCTTTTAAAATGCGACAACTGACTCTAATTATTAAATTTATTATTTCTCCACAAACAAGTGCAAGATAATCTGATCGGCTAATTGATTTATACATAATACCAGTAAACGTAAAAATGTTCATGACGGAATCCTTGCAGACTGCAAGATACGATGGTTATCTACAATGTCACGACTTTCTTGACGCGTCTCTAATACCTGCTAAATATTATTATATGACTGGACTTGGAATATGCGCTACAAAAACTATAAAAATAGAGATACTTGTATTGAATATAGTTAAAACTCCTAGATGAAGGTTAGAAAATAAAAAAAAAGATATGGTAGGAGAGTTATGAGGGTTCGGTGGAAGTTGTCCTTGTTCGGAATGTCTTCATTTTTTCGGTCAGAGAGTATTTTTTGTCAAAGAATTCCGTCAATGAAGGCTCGGCGGCGACGGTGGCCAGGATCTGCTCCAGGTTCAGTCTCCATTCCCCTTCTTTTTCGGGACTCTTGGGAAGATCTCCATCATTTTCTTTCGTCTCTTCTTCTGTTGAATTGATCGCATCTCTAATATCATTTTGCAGTTGATTCAAATAATTCTTTTCAGCTTCTCCCAATTGTAAAAGCAATGTTCCGGCTACAGCGAGAGCGTGGTAGATCTGCATATCTTCGTCTCCTGCTCCGATTATATCATAAAAGGTCTTCAGCAGATTAATGAACTCGGTCTGATTGATCTGGCTAACCTCCACATCTGACTGGAGCTCGAATTTCTTTAGATTTGTATTGTTAATCTTCTGAGTGAGTGCTTTAATGGCGTCGCTGACATCTTCGACCATGGAGAAAGAGTCTAAATTAAAATTTATATAACTCATCACCGAGAAAGTAACCCACCACTGATTTCACTGTGCTCATTGTCTGGGATACTGAAATCAGAGAGAGGAGAGCCCGGGAAAAGCCTGGGAGTGAAGTTTTGTCTTGATTGGATGGAACTTCGGTCACTCAGAGACTCCAAAAGACTGGTCGAATCAAAGCCTGTGGGCATAGATTCGCTGGTTGTAACGCCTGAGGGCCCAGGTTTATCCACGGAACTTAACATACTTCCAGAACTGGCTGATCGCGGTATGGCCTCCAAAAGTTCGGTAGCATCTGTCGCCACTTCTGGTTCGTCTTCTGAAAATATTTATAACTTTGAGTTTAAACAATAACTACCATTATCATCGTCCTCATTGATGCTGTTAACCGATCCCCGATCTTCAAAATCATTAGCCATCGAGACTGGGGGGATGTGGAGTCGATAGAAAAGAGTGACCCTGCTGATGGCATCCCCCTTCACCAACGTCCCGACAGTGATGGCCAAGTCTTTGAATGTTACGTAACCTTGTTGTTGCGAGTCCAATAACTATCAAAGATAAACGTAACCTTTTGATTTTTATGTCTTACTCTAAATACCCTGATCACAAATATCCTTGAACATTGCCAAGGCAACAACTGCGGGAATATGTGGCAAAACAGCTCCAGGTCGATCTTATATTGTCCTTGATTGTCCTTCTGCTTGTCCCCATTCTCATTCCGAGACCCTAATCTGGTATGCCAACTGAGTAAGTATTGTTCTTTAACCAGATTGTACAATTGTTGTAATTCCTCCATATTCAAATAACATTCCGAGCCCACAGTCTTGATGGTCGACTTCATTTGATTGTCCTCCAAATTCTGAATATGATGTAATCTTTTTTTATGGGACGTCTTCTTACTTGTACTACTTTGAGACGATGTTTGAGTCGTAATTTCTCAACATCCTTGTTGGTGAAGGACATCCCGAAGCTTCGGAATGAGTTGGATATGAGTTTTCCCACATAAATGTACTGCGAATTCTCGACACGGCACTCCGTGATCCTGGATACATAATTAGATAGGGCCAGAATGGCTTCCCCGTCGTCTCGCGCCTTCAGAAGCGCTTCCGAATTCTCCCTCAGAATTTGAAGGGCGATTTGGAACATAAACTGAAGAGAAAAATTTACATGACATACTGGAACATACCTTGGAACCCTCATAAAAGAACAAATCTAATATGCGCACTGCTGCATCAAACTTTACGGCGTTCAAAAAAATTGTTAAAAACCATGACAGCGCAACCAAATCATCGATTCCAAGATTAAGGAGCTTGGAATGGAGGCCGGGAAGTGTTTTGCTGACAATATCGACAAAAACACCTTGATCGACCAAGGCCCCAACCACTTTTGTATTATAATAGTCTGGAAGGAACCTTTCACAGACCGCAACCAACATCCAGAAGGCTTGCTCTTCGTTGCAGAACAATAATAAGACCGCTCCAACTATATTCATCGCTTGACAGTAACCTTAAAGACTAATTATGAGTAAGAAACACACTACTAACCAATACTGGGATTTCTAACGGCATATGCAGCCAAAATCCTTCTCAAAGCATCAATTCCAGGGCCTCCTTGGAATGCCGGATGCTCAGGTAAAGATCGATGGAGATCACGCTCAATCTCTTCCATCGTAAACGGAGAATAGTCCCTAGATTTACTCAACAATGACTGATATTCTCCTGGATGTAGATTCATCTCCAAGTCGGCTCCAGAACAAATGGCCCATAACCTTCCCCTCTCCTCATTGGGGACACCCTCCAATAAAAGACGACTCAAATCGACCGTTCTGAATAAAGTGGAGTCCTTTCCATAGATCTCATTGAATCTTTCCCACTTCTTTTTCAACTTTTCATCTACATTTTGTTTTGGAGGATACCGTTTGGACAAAGGTTGAGCCAATATTTGACGTAAACATTCTTCATCCAAGTCAGTAAACTGATCTTTCAACTTTACCTAGAAGGATATTAAAGGTAAAAGCTAGTTTGTATGTTTTGTTTCCCTCAATTTAACCTTCCTGACTTACCAAGTTTTCTTTCTGCCGTGTCTCTCTTAATTTAGATCTCAGCAAAAAGTTTTTTATCCGATCATAAACAGTTTGACGATCAGAGAAGGCCGTAAACTGGAGGGATCGACCATTAGTCAGCTGAATCTGAATGCCATTACTGACTCCGTTGTTGATATTTGTGAACAGTTCGACTTTGTCGACCATCTTCATGATGATCACCACATTCACGAGACGTTCGACCTTTAAAATAAAACAAATTATGTTTCTTTGTTATTTTTTATTTGTTCGCCTTTGCCCTTCTGCAGTAAAGTGTTTTTGCACTTACATTAGACCCGAAACACACAAAGTTGGAGGATATATACAGCCGGCCGTTCACATTCCTCCTGTCGTAGGGGGTGTATAATCGACAGGCCGTGTCGCCATCCAGTTTCTCAGAATGGGGCAAAGTAAATCGTCTCCTGTAATAAAACATGTTTTAAATTCTCGATCAAGTTTTGATTAGAAAGTTTGAGCTGTAAACTCTGTCTTTCATTTAAAGACAGATGTGGGGGCAGACTGAATCAAAATAAGGAACAGGACCAGAGGGGAACATGGATCATATGCGAGAGTGACTCAAGGCTTTATGAATCTATCAAAGGCTTTATGAATCTATATTTCTCATGCCTTATGCTTTCAGGAGCCATGGATGCCTTGGACGATATAACTGGTTCAGTTATTGTGTACTCCCGGGCCAATTGTACCCACAGTTTGAAGGCTAAATTACTGTTGGCCGATCTTGGGATCCCTCATCTGGACATTTCCCTCGATGCATTTCCCCAGGTAAAACGTAACATTTACATTGTATTTTCTAAGGTTGAAACAAAACTAGTTATATCATTTTTTGTATTTTTGGATTAATTTTGAAAATTTTTGTAAAGGGTAGGGGGACTCTCCCCATAAACCATGGCTTTTTGACGGGCGCATCTCAGATAAAGTTTGAGGTGATAAACAAATGTTTGTCTTTCATCTCAAACCCATTTTGTCTGAAAAATCATGGCCAATTCCAATTGCAGATCGATGCTCAGCTCGAGGCGTTGGTTGGGGGCACCTTTGTGACACCCCAGATCTTCTTCAACAACATCAGAGTTCCCGGTTACGAGAGTTTGAGACGTTTGGTGAGCAATTATGATTATCATTCCTTATCAGAATTCATGCGTCTTTCGCTACTTTTGATTTATGTTCTAGGTTGCTACTCCTGAACTCTGGCAAGAAGTTCTCGACATGTTGACAGACCAAGATAACAACAGTCAATGGAGTGGTGATGACATTGATGACATCATTCCCTTGGAACAGGACAAGATGCTGCACATGATGAGGAAAGCGAATCTGATCCGAGAGAGGCCCGGAGGCGTCCTGGGACATAGGAATTCGATGAAGGGACAGGATTTTGTGAACTGGCTAATCAAAGAAAAACAAGTCAGTAAGTTTCTGGAATAAACAGCATTGTCTTTAGAACGGAGCGACGCCCTCGTCTTGGGGCAGAAACTAATCGACAAGCATTTTGGTCATCAATTAAAGGAACACGCGACCTTCAACCCAGACAAATTCTATCAAATGCCGGAGGATGATCCAAACATGCCATTGAATTTGACCACGAGAGAACTTCCCAGAACACCAATGAATGTGGACGAATTCAACGAGCGGTTTTGCATGATTGTCGACAGGATTTATGAGCATATTCTAAGTGACAATATGATTGTAAGCGACCCCATACTCAGAGACTGACTTTTAGGATGTATTCTACGACAGGTTAGATGTTTGTACGGCTTTTGATGACTACAAAGACTTCATCCCCCTGCTGGCAAGTCTAGATCTGTCTGATTCCACGGCCGAAGAAAGGATTGCCTTATTTATCAACATCTACAACATGATGTTGATCCACATTGTTTACAAATACGGACCTCATTCTAACATCTGGCAGAAGAGAAAGTATTTCAACAACACTTATTACTTGATCGATCATCAACGGTATTCTCTCCAATCGATATACAACGGCGTCTTGAGAGGGAACAGAAAAGGACCAGAGATGTTATGGAAACCATTTGGGAAAGCGGATCCGAGAAGGAGAGTAAGAACACACACCCGCGAGTACATCTGTTTCAGATTATCATTAAAAATGGAGAGCCATTGACCCATTTCGGCCTAAATCAATACCGATCTCATGGGACTCCATTGAGGACTTACCGAAGTAATGTAAGTGTACAAGTACTATAACTAAAATATCCGTCTAGACTGTTATCACCGACCTTAGAAAGAATGCACAAGCCTTCCTTTCATCCTCAGAAAACTTTAAATTGGATGTCAAAAAGCAGGTCGTATCCATCTCCCCCTTATTTAAACAGTATTCAATAGACTTTGGAAATCTTCCTGAACATGTAAGTTAATATCAAATTGATACAATCCTCTAGGCGGTAGAATTTCTAATAGAATTTGTAATGGAAGACGGCCTTGAGAGAGATGTGTTGATCAAGATGTTTGAAACCAACCAATACACAGTCAATTTCCTAGAGCCAAGTACCGAAACCAACTTCGTGAAGGAAGAGAAGGTCAAGTAAAAAACAGCAGTAGTAGTCCACTCACCTGTAATTTTCACTCCGTTGTCGAGCATCCAGATCTCGTTTAATAAAGCAATTCCCTGATGATTTTTTGGCTCTTTTCTTCGGATTTTCATTTATAAATTTTTGCCGTAAAAGTGCATCTTCAGAGAATCCCTCTTCCTCGATCAATCTGAAAAAGTAAAGAAATTATAACAGGATAATCGAGTCACATCAGCCCCAGTCTAATCTACTGTCCCTAAATTTGTCCGTAAGCCACTGTAAAGTACATAAACTCAACAATATTTTGACATAAATGACGGGCGATTCAATTATTAAACGTCTACAAGATTATGAAAACCATGGAATAGCAACTGGGGGATCATCCAACAGTCATTTCAGAAGACTCAATATGCGTTTTTTGTTTGTAATCTCTTTTTTCCCATTAGTGATCCATACTTTTGGTGATGGGACCCACAAAAACTATTACTATACTAACCTCGGAGCTCCGCCGGATAATGAAACTGTAATCCGAACCAAGGTTAAACGAGGGATCTGCCTTCGAGACCACGATTTCATCTGCAACTCACATAATCCCAATCTAACTTGCACTTGTTACCAATACGATAGTTCCAAGGTAATATCCCCTGCTGACTTAACCTAATGTAACTTTTCCTTTTTAGCCTTTACAGTACGCAAAATGTGATCAGAAGTTCCAACTGATGGATCCCTCAACAAATGTCTTGAGATTCAAATCCCCAATGCCCGCCCATCCTCGATACATCGATTTTGTCGATGAAATGTTTGTTAAGGTGATAGCCGATACAGCTGCTATCGATAAAGTAAGTCTACACAATTCAAAACATTTTTCAGAGTAATATTTTCATATTGAGAAAAACATGTAACTCCCGATTCATGTATCTCTACTTTGGAATCATTCACGATCTTAGCGAGGTCGACTTCAATAATATCAGAATGATGGACACCAGTTACATCACTCCCAGAATCTTCCTCAGTAATCGAAATCTGATGGAACAAGTTTGGGTCCCAGCTCAAGCCATTGATAAAGTAAGATGAGAACTTTGTGTCTTATATGTCTTCCTTCATAGATCACTTCTTTGCCGGAGGTCGTTTGTCAGAAATGCGAATGGTATCGACAGAACATGCCCAATACTGACATAGATACCCAGACCAAGAAAGCCATGTTGGAAACAAGTAAAAAGGAGACATTCTGGGTCGAAGATGAAGAAGAAAAGAAGACCCCAGGTCTCACAAATTCACACATAGCTATGATAGTGGGTGCAAGTGTACTGTCCTTACTCCTCTTATCCATTTTGGGCTTCTCCCTTGTCAACTATTTCTGCAAAAAGAACACCTGATCTATCAACTCTCCTATTCTAATTATCTTATCAGTACCGTGGTCCACACACTCTGAGTTCAGCATTTCTTAAGGATAATTTTGATATCGACTGTATAAATTAATCCTCCGAAAGTTATCAATAAAAACATACTGTTTCATGGCCATGTTTGCCAATTGAGAGGCCAATTTGAATGCCTCTTTGAAGCTGACCAGTAATGAAAAGTCGTAGGTTTCGCTTCGGGTAACAACGGTAAAAGTTTGAGGGAAGAGGAGAGGCGCATTCTTCTCCAATTTCTAAAATTCAAAAGATATACGTTTAGCAGACAACTTACAGTAATCTCGGTCCAACGGATCTGAATCTTGGTTTGCTTTCCCACCAAGAAACTGTAAAAACACAAAAAATTGACCGAGAAATAAAGTTTTCCTTGAAACGGGGTCCTGCCCTTCCAATATGTACCGGCATAATCTGTTATCGACTCGATTAATTTGTTAATTCAATAACTTACAATTGACTAATTTTTCTTCGGTCGGTAAATCGAAAATCTTGTGAAACTTATGCAACACCAGATCCTTGGACACTTCTGTCTCAGATGATTGTTTCTTATTCTTCTCGGCTTCCAACAAGCTTTCGACTTTGGTCATTACAAACTCTCTGGCTTCGGCCTCGGTCTCGAATTTTGCCAGGACTGGTAAAACATTCTTCTCCAAATAATCCCAATGTGTTTGGATTTCACTTGAATTCAGAGCAACAGCAACGACTAGAAATCAAGAGGAAAATCGATACAAAAATACCTGTTGAGATACTCAGATCATCTCCATCATAGTGATAGATGATACGAAAAGGCAGGGATTTTGTATCAAAAACTGAATCGATGGTAGCTACAAAAAGTGATCCAAGTCCTTTGCCCTGTGCTTTCCTCTTTTGTAAGACAAAAAACAGATTTGCCCGTTCATTTATCCTGGAAAAACGACATAATTTTTTTTTGGTCTTACCAGAACGGCTGGGAGACCATCAGATGGTCCGGTTTGACCCAAACCATTTTGTGAAATGGTTTGAACAGTATTATCTATATTCGGAACTCAATAACAGGTGCGCTTCTCGCTCATTTTTATTTATTTTTTTCACACATCGCGTTAGTAATAAGGTGAAACGTAATGCCACTAAACTCCGTCTAATGCCAATTTCCTGCAGATTTCATAAATTTAATTGCCAGATTTTGAAGGTAAGTGTAAAACAGCCGAATAAGTATACGCTCTTTGAGAAAACTTACACGTTTATATGTTCTCTAACAATAACTGCTTCTTTTAACTTTGTATTCTTTCCCATTCACATTGTACTTGTTGAGCCACCTCGGTCCCACAACGACAACGCCTGAAAATCTTTATAATTTTAGAAAAATAAAAATTTTGTCAAAAAAAATTAGATAAAGATGGGAAAAAGTAAGGCCAAAACTGGAGGACCTACTACTGGCAATGCGGCGAAAGTGAAGAAACAGGTAAGTTAAATTTATGCTTTAAATTCTTGGTCTAGGGTAAGACGCGAAGATCTTTCAAGAAAGGCGAAAATGGAAAATTCAGAAGGTTTCACAAAAACAAGAAGAATAAAGATCAGGAGCTAAAACATAAGGAACCGGAGACAAAGCAAAAGAAGGTGTTTGTACCAAAGAAGGTAATGGAGATTAATCCGGATGATGTTGAAGATCTTATGGACGCCTTATTGGAAAATGAAGAGTTCAGAACAGGGTCTGTTGAAGATGTGGAAATCGTAGATGATGCGCAAGGAGAAAGCGAAAGTAAGGATGAGGAGGAAGACGGAGAGGATGATGTTGAAATGGAAGTTGAAGTATGTCTTAAATAGCGATAACCTTTGATTTTTGATTTTTTCAGCAAGAAGAGAAGAAGCCCTCAAGTTTAAAATTGTCGGGCGTTGAGAGAATGGCGCAATGGATAAAGGATTCAGAAGAAGTACGTTATAATGTTAAAAGACGATTTGCCAGAATTTGAATCGGCGGTGGCGGTAGGATCTTACTATGCATTTTTTGAGTTAAATAGTACTATGGTCCATCTTGAGCCAATATGTAAAATATTTTTGAAAAATATGTCATGATGATGGATAACAAATTTATTGACTCGACGGAAACGGTTTACAACGTCCATGGATTTGCAATTGGGACGCTGGAACCTTCTGGAAATATGTTTTAGGCGATGCACGATGCTCGTCATTTTCCTGGTTGGCACGATTTGGCCAAGAGTACTGTAACATGGCGATTCAGGAACTGTGCACATTAAGAATTACAAAAACTTGTCGTTTCTTCCCGATTTCATCAAGCTTTATTTCATATTCGGAAACAGCATTGAAGTTTGCATAGGCAGGGCTAGCACACACTGTACTATGGCGTCGTCTTTCCCATGAAATTTGCATATGTTTGCGTAGCATCTCTGCTCTGAGTATAACATTACGGCCACTTGGACTTAAGAAAAGCGAAAAAGGTGTTATACCGTTAGTGATATTATGTATAAGTGATATCAAACCACATTGTGTGAGCTAGTTGCGGTTCACGGTTACTGTAACATCGGTTTTTATGTTTTTCGGAAATTTGGAAAAAATCCATTTTCCGAAGGACTACCGCATTTGATGGAATATATTTTAGAAATTGTGTACTGGGGTCTTAAAAGATCTTATGCAAGTTTCATCAAAAAGAAGGCACCATAACACAGTGTATGGTACTATCTGATGCAAAATTTAATGCTGATTCTGAAAATATGAAAGGAAGTTCCATGAAATCGGGGGGAAAATGACGATTTTTTGTAATTTACATAGTCCTTGAACCACGATGTTACAGTAATCCTGACCAAACGGTGCCAATAAGGGAAATGATATCCAAAGCGTATTTCCAGGGAGTATTATTTTTACTCAGAAATGGTATAGTAAAATTCTACCGCACACTACTGTTGCCGGCTGATTCAACTTCTTGCGAAGTCCCTTTTAAATGCACTGTTTTTTCAGAGATTAGATATGGATAACTGGGGAGAATTGAACGTGTCCGAAGCTATTCTTTGTGCTTTAGAGAGTGAAGGGTATGTCGCTATTTCGCGTCCTTTTACTGTTTAAGGCTTACAAATCCGACGGAGATACAAAAGAACGTGGTTCCCCTGGCCAGTGATGGCTTTGATATATTTGGAGCGGCCGAAACAGGAAGTGGAAAGACATTGGCGTTCTTGATACCGGTTCTCGAGAACCTCTTGAAACATCAAGAAGAACACGGCACTGTAGATTTCAAAGAGAAGAAATTATCAGCGCTTTGTATGGCTCCAACCAGAGAATTGGTGATGCAGATCAACAAAGAATTTAAGAAGTTCTCAAAGTTCACCAACTTCCGAACAGCCGCCATTATTGGAGGAATGAGTGAAGAACGGCAGAAACGGTTGCTCGATCGAAAACCTGATATCATCATAGCTACCCCAGGACGATTCTGGTCATGGGTATGTTGATTTCTAAATTATACTTTAATTTTTAGGTTTCCAAACATCCATATGCTGGAGATTTCACGAGCCTTAAGAATGTTGTGATCGATGAGATTGACAGGATGCTGGAGAAGGGGCATTTTAGGGAAATGAATGAAATCATCGAAAAGATTCATGAGTAAGTGTTGTTACATTGGAATTTCTAAGGCATTTATTGTACTATTTTGTTTATGCTTATACGTGGCTTTATATTTATGCCAGGATCGTTTTCCATTTAGGCAGAAGACGAGTAGGCTTCAGACACTAGTGTTTTCTGCCACATTAACCTTCTTGATGCTCCCTGACGTCGAAAAAGCTCAACAAACAAGGGAATCCAAATTAAGGGAGATTGCCAAAACAAGCAAAATGAGGAAGAATTACAAAGTAATAGACCTGACTAATGAGTTCGCCACCCCAACCACGCTCAAAGAACGGAGAATCTGCTGTCAGAGTCTCTTGGAGAAGGACAGTCGATTATATTACTTGTTACTGACATACAGAGCCCGAACTTTAATTTTTACCAACAGTATTGATGCTTCGCAAAGGATATATTCCATATTACTCAAACTGAAAATATCTCCAACACCCTTGCTTCTGCATGCCAAGATGCAGGAACGGAAAAGATTGAAGAATTTGGATAGATTTGCCTGTAAGTGACCCTTAATTTGGCTGGTATTGTTGGTTTTCAGCTACCCCAAGCTCCGTGTTGATAGCTACAGACGTGGCTGCCAGAGGTTTGGACATCAAGAATATCGAGAATGTCATCCATTATCAGATCCCTAGAACAGCCGAAGATTATATTCATAGATCGGGAAGGACTGCCAGAGCTCTCAAGAATGGGATGTCTATTCTTTTGTTGGATCCACAAGATGTGCAGAGATACAAAAAGATCTGCAAGAGTCTTCACAGGGAAAACGAACTTCAGAATCTTGAATTGGACAATGTGAAAAGACTAGATGCTATCAAGAATCGATGTTATTTAGCGTCTGAGATCGAGAAATTGGAGTATCAATTGAGAAAAGTAAGCTTTTCTTTGTTTTCACTTGTTTTGTGGCACTTCTCAATTCAATTTGCTGACATCATCATTTAGGTGTCTTCGGCAGTAAATTGGAAGAAACGAATGGCCAAAGAAGCGGATCTCGAGCTCAGCGACGAAGGGCAAGTCTATTCGTTATTCGCTTTAATTACTCTTTGGTGTTGCATAAATTTTGAGAGGAACGAATATTTAAAAGCCCAATTAATCATGGAAATCTGTTTCAGAGAAGAGGACACAGAGAGCGATGAAGCTAATAAACGTCGTCTGAAGAAATCGGCAGAGAAAGCCCTCAAATCCGCGTTGACTCAGCCTCTGCCCAAGAGCTCCCTAGTGTAAGGTGTCTTTTTCCAGAGTCAAATATTGTTTTTGTTGATGCCTAATAGAGATGGATCAATGTTTCCATTTCTGTTGTTGTTTCCGTTGTCTGTTAAATAAATTAATATACCGAATGCATGCTTGACAACATCATGGGAACCCCGCTCCTCTTGGCCCCATCCCGTGTATCCACCCACCAGTGCCTCATCAAGGGACAAAACCCTGGCCAGAAAAAGGTCGAAAGAATTGCTAATTTTGGAGAAGAATAGCCCCGGGTTTGAAGGCCTCACAAAAAAGTGTAGAAAATTATGCGAAGAAAGTAAAGGAAACGTCTTCACCGCCGGAAATCTGTTCCTTTCACAGTTATTACGCGCTCCCCCCAAACTTTGTTTAGATCCGAAGGACGGAAAAACGGTGAGAAGCTGGGGACGGCGGGATGATTAAAGATTTCCCTTAATCTGTCTGAGGAAACGCCATCCCGGGTAATTATACATAGCTTCTTTCCTATTCATCCTCCAGCAAACATGAGGCCAAAGTTTACAATCGGATTTGTTTTATAAGTCTTCTAATGAACGTTACATCCAAAACTGCTTCCTTCTACGCAAAAACTCTCTATTTTCCTGAAATAAAGTGCCCATCTTAATTACCGGGTTATTCACAAGCAAAGGAAGTTGTCCATTAACCCCTCAGGCATGGTAATCTGCATAGGAAAATTACGTCAGAGAAGGAAAAACGGGCAGAAACTCAATTTACTTTACTTATCGTGACTCTATGTTGTACTCTTCCCGGAATAACACTCCTAAATAATGCCGCGCTTTTCACGTTTTGAACCGGCTTGAATAAACTGCGGCATGAAAGCAGTCACTGGCTGGCCAGGTAAACAAGGTCCGCCCTCCAGTTTCGAAAATTATCTTCTCCCAACTCTGACATCTCGTTGTAAACACTCCCCTTCCCTCTTTTTTACATCTGTAACATGTACTTCTTTTTCTTAGTCTTTATATAGTCCATCAATGTCTATGAACGGCATAATGGGCATTCCGTTTTATCTCACTTTAATTCTGAAACGATTTTCGGGACGCTTTCTTCCTGAAAAGTTGCAAATTCGAACTCGTGATTTCAGCTAAATTGGTCCCACCCAATTATGGGTAATCACCAGGCCCATCCCCAGGGCCAGATGCATGTAATCCGAGAAACGACCGATGACCGTCGTCGCGGATTCATTAACAGGAGAAGACAAAAGTTGGAAGAGCTCAAGTGTCGGCGCCAATCCATGCCCTCGACCCAAGTCCAACTCGAACCGGCAAGTCTTTGGATGGGGCGGCTACTTGTTTAACGATGAAATAAGCGGGTTTATCCTCCTTTTCGGGTCAAACATTAATCAGAAGTGGGATGAGAAATAAAAATGAGATTGGAAATCAGAGAACGTTACCAAGAATTTGATGTTTGTTAGGAAGGAATTGGAGGTGTAATTGGGACTTGGACTCTTCCCACGCCCAAATTAGGCTGGAAGTCGCTTCAGTTTAGGTTCATTCGTCTCAAACTGAACTCGTTTCAGAACCCTCGCCACGATAATTTTCATTCCTTCTGCTTCGGCGAGGACGCCCAGACCCCGCGGATTCAGATTAACGGCCAGGATAGTGTGGAATCGGTGGATCTCGATAATCAGCCAGGCCCCTCGACACCTCCAGAACGTCGTCAGTCGGACTTGTCGCCAACAGCCGACCTCTCCGCCTCTCATACTTGTGTTTCCATCGATTCGGCAGAGGAAATGAATCAGAATGCGCCCAAGAAACACCGATTTATCAGAAATCCAAAATCAGCGGCAACCAGGAGAATGGAATTCTTATCTTTTAGTAACAATTTTGCCGCACGATCACTGGATGAAGGAGCCCATTTTGAGGCACAGAAAGTTGAATTCGAATTGGATATGAAACCCTTGAGTCATCGTGCGCGATCTTTGAGTCCCTTGAAGCAAATGAGAACATATTCCAGCAGAAAGTTCCCATCCGATGAAAGTGTTTTAACTTCGGAAGTAAGTAATACTATGTACTGTGGTAGTTGCGAGATACATTTGAATATTTGGCTCTCTTCAGCACTGTGCATTCATCAAGATTTCTTGGAAAATGGCGATGGAAAGGATCCAGACGACGAATCAGCCGTCCTTTGGATTCCTTTGTATGAAACGGATCCTCGAAAAGATGTCCATGCTCAAAGAAGTGTTCAAGGTCTCTGATATTGAAAATGCGGACAGACTTCCGCCAGATCACACATTCGCCAGACATGTCGGACTGTTCCAGTCCATCTTGGATCTTGCTGTATGAAAAATTATAGTCAATATCTTATTACGTTAGTCATGAAAAACTTCAATTAATTATTCGCTATTTTTCAGGTGAGAAATGTCGAGCAATTGGAAACGGAGATTGCGCCACTCCTATTCACGTATGGCAAACGTCATTACCAACATAATCTTGTAAGTTACACTTTGACATTGCAAAAAATGGGGTAAAACTTTATGAAAGACCTTTAAGTAAAATAAATTGTATTTTTATGTATGTATATATTAGTAATCTAATTTTTTGTGCAATTGAAAGGAATGAAAGGCTATATTTTTTCAGCTTAATGTGTTCAACGAGTCCACGGTTCGTTTATTCTGTGGCCAGGTAGTGTGCACAATGTTGGATTTACTCTCAGATCGTCTGACAACTGACAGTATGGAGGCTTGGATCGAGTTAATGCGCTATTTGGGGCGAGCATTATTCAATGGATTCGAATATGAGAGACTGGCCAAGACCAAAAAGTTTGCCATAAACACAAAAGACCATGCTTATTTTATTGCCTGAGGCATTTTGATGGCAACTTGCAAAGTCAAACTTAGTGAATCGTCTGTTTACGTCCTTATCATCTCCTAATGTCCTTTACAAACCGAAAAAAGCTCAAAATGTTGAAAAAAGGGTGATTTGCATGTCTTCTTATCAATTTTTCACCGCAATTTTTTAACAAAACTCACGTTCAGCTCGCAGAATGTCCTCGAAATCAACACCAAAAGCAAAGTATTTACTAGAGATAAGGGCGTCGGTGTCACATATATGCCCACCAAGTCCACATTTTCAGTTCTTACTTTGAATAAATATACTAAATAAACCGTTATTCTGACTACAGTAACCCCATTGTTTTATGTAGTGTACGGTTAGTAAGTAGATGGGTATATTTTGTTGAATTGTTTCGTAATCGGCCCTTTAGATTCTCTCTTCTCAGCCTGGGTTGGCAACTGTATAAAAAACGAAGGTAAGTCAATAAATTTATGCGTCGTATGATGGGTCCTAAGTCATTTGAATAAGTCAAAATCGTGGCTGTCTATAAAACTTGATTATGAAACAAACTCGTAAAGCAATCAATCCAATATTCTTCCGCTTTCCAACGTTCTTATTCATGAAATAAGTATTATATGTTTTCTTTAAACCGACAAGAAAGGGATGTCAATGTGCTAACGTCGATGATTCAACGAATGTCGAACTCATCGTTCGATCTTCGAACTGAATCACCATCCCTCGCAATGATTTCCTTTTACGTGACCGGAGGGGATTTCGAAAAACGCACTCGATAAAATAACGCTTCCAAACAACGATACCTTCGATTCGAAAAAGTATCAATCAACTCATTTTATGTAGTAACCCCAAAAAGTTAAATCGTTTCGTTGTATTACTAATGACTCATCCCGGCTATTCGATAACCCGTCTTCTAATCGGGAATAAGGTCGGATATCGGGATTTATTGCGCTTCCCTCGGTACATCTCACTCGGTTATTGAGGATTGGAAGGTGTTGACAGTTACTTAAAAATTTTTGTTTGTTTTTTTCTCACTTTCGATCAGTTTGCGACCAGTTTACGGTCTCACAATCAAGTCGAGACGATAGTCTGATGTCTCTTTCTCTTCTGTCGTCCTTAGAAGCCACATTTTGATTCTTTTCATCTCATTCCCCGGTCCTTAATCATTCAATATTATACGGCACCGAGGCTATTCTCTCACTCAATTAGCAACAAAATTCAAGGGTTGTCGTTGGCTGTGTAAATATTTCTTTACCTGCGTGTCATATGTCTCTCTGGAAGACCCGACCCAACTCCAGAAGGCTCCTTCTCGCTTGTTTAAAGGGGCCTTTTAATCGTTGAACTTTCGTCTTTCAACTTCCAGGCAGTTTATCAGTTGATTTTTCATTGAAATTCGATCTGGATTCAAACAGTTTGATCAAATTTCATAGACAGCTTGTTCCCCAATCGTAATTGTTTGTCATAAGTTTTCGCAGTATGAGTAATGAGTTTTAACAGCCTGTAAGCTGGTCTGGAACCTTTCGTATTTTCATTTTGTCATTGTTCAAAACATACATTAATGTATTTAAATGCTTAGAAGATTTTAATAACATGGCTATTTGTTAGTGCATTTATTGAGAAACCCTGATTTCCAAACTTTTGGCTTTGAATCCTTTCTTTTATCAGTACTTATCAGTTTCATTCTTGCTCAATTTGTCTATAATTTCCGTTGAATTCTAACATCTTCATTTTTAGATGGAGTCGGACACACAGCCTATAGTGCAAGGGAAAACGGTGTGGTCTTCCATTTACATTGCTGCAGCGTTGAGCTTTGTGGGAGCAGTACAATTTTCATTATATTTTTCAGCATTATGGCCGTATATGAGGATCGTAAGTTTAAAATTTTATATTACTAATAAAACGCTTTAGTAAACCTTAATTATTCTTTTTTTAAGCTAGACGCAGACATAACGGAGACATTCTACGGCTGGACCGTTTTTGTCTACAGTTTTGGTCAAGTCCTTTCGGCCCCCGGCTTTGGCTGGTGGAGTAATAAGGTCAAAATGGTCAGACCTCCTCTCTATTGTGGCCTTTTCCTTATGTTCTTTGGCAACTTCATTTACATTTTGATGGAAATCATCTCCGGCGTTCCAAAAAGATTTGTTTTAATGTTATGTCGATTCATAATTGGGATGGGATCAGGTAATTAGATATCCAAGTTGAACCGTTTCCTTAGGCAATGTGGCAACTCTTCGGTCGTATGCCTCTACTGCAAGTTCTCTGGAGGATAGATCCAAAGCAATCGCATATGTAACTTGTGGCCAAGCCATCGGCATGACAATGGGCCCGGCCTTTCAGTTTATCTTCACCCAGCTGAAATACCCTGGTCCAGCTCCTTTTGGATTAAGCCTGAATTTATACACGACCCCCGCCTATCTTGCTTGTTTGATGAATGTGTTAGGCGCCGTCGCATTATACCGGTACTTCGAAGAAGTATATGCAATCGACCTCATTGATGATGTAAGTGGTTGCCAAATTATCCTCGAATCCTTGTCTAGAAAGTTTTTTTAACTAATTATAATTGCAATTGCAGGATGAGGAAGACGACGAAAAGGAAGCCCCGCCATCCATCCCGATGTATGACATCATTGCTGTTCTAGTCTGTTATGCTTCAAGATTCACGGACATGTTTGTCCGGACGAACCTCGAGACCTTAGGATCACCTTATTCAATGATGATGTTCTCATTAGACGAAGTCCACTCGGTCAGATATCTTTCTCTGGCCCAAGGCATCGTCGGCGCTCTCACTTTTTCCACTTACATTGCTTACATTAACTTTGACATGGAGAAAATGTAAGCCAAGTTAACCCTATTGTAAAATAATGCTTGGCATCAATGACGATCTTGATTCCAGAGTTCCCCTCCGTCCAAGTTGCCTGATTGCCTTAGGCCTTATGCTTATTTTCCATCTGATCACATATCCTTGGTCATTCCTCGGCAACTACGTCCTACCACTCAACGGTACAACCGGATGTGACGCCTCAAGGTTCTCATGGTGCGCGGAGTTGACCCAAGTGAATGTCTACATCTACTACGGGAGCTATGTTCTCCTGATCGGTACTGCTTTCCCCTTGCTCACAATCACCTTGACCACGCTCTTCTCCAAAATCCTCGGTCCTCGACGTCAAGGCACTCAACAAGGGCTCTTCCAAGCAGCCAGTGCTATCGGCCGGATGATCGCGCCTGTCTCCGCATCAGCTCTTTACACGGGTTACGGCCCTCGGGCGGTGTGGCAGATGGAGATAGCGGTAGTTGGAGTTGTTCTGGCAGCGTGGTTCCTCTTCTACAGAAAAATGGTGGAGATGAAAATACCCCGACGGATAGAAAACAATTGTTTTGGGTATGAAAACCCCCAGGCTATAGAAGACGAGTCCACCCTCAACCAAGGATAGTGTTTGATCCAGCGATTTCAGAGTGTCAACGAAACACAAGTCATTAGATGAACATCTACATCGACTTTTGGCCGTCTCTCTGAAACGATTGACCAGCCCAAAAGCTCAATTCAAATCGAAACGGGTTCCTTTTATAACTCCATATCATGATTAATAAATTTCAAAAAAAGGAAAGATTTGCTGAGTATTAGACGAAATACCAACTCAATTTGGGGGAGACTATTTATTTAGCCAAACAAAACGATACAAAAATTAGTGATTGGTCAAAAGAAACAACAGAAGTTCTCTGTGGACCAGAAGCGATTCCCCTTCTTGGTTCGCCGTTTCTTTTCTCGATCAGCCGAGATCTGTCTGACCGTGTAGACATCTGCAACAACATCGCCAGGGATCTTAGAGAAGGGCAGAGTCTGGAGTTCATTCTCGTTGAAATGGGCAATCTTGTCCACCAATAGAGACAACGAGGCATTGTCCCTGTCGTATCTTGAGATGGTTTGAGTCAGTTGCATGAGATCAGTGTGCGAGAGAGTGTTCAGACAGAATTGAAGTATTTCCTCACATCTTTTTAGTACATTGGCCACTCCAAAGAAGCATGCCGCGTTCACCACGGGAACTAGATTTGAGTCTGAAAGATCGAAAACGACGAAATTTCAAAGTTTACGAAACGTGCTCATGAACGCAATAATGCGCTGCTTTTTCGACCAATTGAAACAAACAAATTTATATTCCACTCACCTTTTATTGGCTTTTTCTTTGGGCAATTGAACAACACCCGTAATAACTCTAGGAAGTCGTATGGTTCTACACCTTCCACAACAAAGTCGTCGTCGTCAATCCGTTCGGCAAAATATTCGGAAAATTCGGCAAGATATCCAAGGTTGACATAGAAGATCTGACCAGACACAACGACTCGATCTCGGCGTGTTCGGGTGGGGTAGGCAAAGTCATCGTATCCACAGCCTGATTGTAACTTCATTCTTAAACCATCTCATAGAAAATTAAAAAATGCGAGTTTTGGAAACTTTTTCAAAAAACATTTGCCGACAGAAAAATCAATAAAACAGTTGCGGAGTGTCAATTATCGGAGAGATGCGCAACAATTGTCATTTCAGCAGGCGGTACTGACCCAGACTGGTCGTGAAATGAAGCCTTTGACCGAGCCTACCAATACCGACGGCGTCTCTCCGGCTCCAGCCACTCAAAAAGCTGAGAATCCTCAGCCCACGCCGACTCCTGCCCCTACCGAAGGTGTTCAAAGTGGAGAAGCCGTCGCCTCCAGTACCCCTCAAGAAAGATAGTAGGCTAACTGTTTATATTCTTTTATCGAATGATGCTTCTTCAGTCGTGTGACCAGTAATGGGTCCCGTAACTCTCGTGGCCGCTCTTCCACAGGTCGCCGTCGTCCAAAGAGAGCCAAAGAGCCGTTATCGTTCAACGAATGGCTTTTGGAAGACCAGGGCAAGTACAGGGAGGTCACCATCGAACTCAGAAGATGGAAGGCCACCCAGCGTCAATGTCAATACATCCGCCAAAGTGTCGGTCAATGGAATCAGGTCAAGGTAATGGGCACTTATGATAAAGTATAACAATAATGATGACTTTAGTCGGTCTTCAAGGTCTCCCCTCTGTTCAAGTTGGAGTTGGATGTCTACAAGAAGACTCACAAGAATATCAAGCCGGTCCCGGCTGGAGAAAGTTTCGATCTTCCGCCATTAAACTGACAAGAGAGATAACTTTTATTTACTTATTAGACACTAATACTGCCTTTTCTGAAATCAGTCTTTCCAATGACAGCATTTATCACACAACTTGAAGTCCGTCTGGATTCTTGTATGGCATTTTTTATGGCTTCAGTTTGTTTGTTTCCATCGATATTAGAATTAAGGAGGATTCCTTTGGATCCGATCGCTTCACCAATCTTTTCATAACTTGTAAACTAAACACATTTATTAGGTTTCTATAGTACAACCTACCGCTAGATCACACGCAACCGAAGATTTGAACCACGGGACTTGATCTCGCGCAATCTGAGACCAGCAAGCATCGTTTCCAATCAAGGCAACCACTGGCAGTTTGTGTCTTTGATATGTGTCAAACTCGAGCAACGAGTATCTAAACCACCATTTATTCTTTTAAGACACTTTTACCCGGCAGATCCGTCTCCGTAGATAATGATAACTGGTCGATCTGGATAGACAGCCTTCGCCCCGAGGGCAAACCCTCCTCCTACTCCGAGAGTTCCAAACGCCCCAGGGTCCAGCCATTGGAGAGGTCCTCTGGGTCTCACAATATAAGCTGCACTCCCAACAAAGTCACCTCCGTCCGCAACGAGAATGGCATCATCTGGAAGGACATCATCCAGCCGTTTTAGTAGTGCAAGAGGGTTCAGATTTCCATCCTTCGGAGTTTCATTCATCTTGCTTTCATTTGAGGATTCCTTTTCAATTTCTTTGTCTGTCAATGATTGAACCCACTCCGCTGGAACTTTATAATCATCTCCCAATTCCTTCTGAATAGCGGCCAGAGTCTGTCCAACATCCGCCTGGATCAATTGATGGGCATTCCAAAAGACCCGGTGATTCTGAAGTGATTGCTATTGTTTTGTGGCTTACTCGATACCTTTGTCAGTTGAGAATGGCATCTGTTGATGGCAATGACTTTAGACTTTGATGACAAAACCTTTCCATAACTCAAACGGAAGTCGCATACGGTCCCTGGAGACTACGATTATACGAAATTAATTGTTATTGTCTTGAAAAAAAAGAATCGTTTACTCACCAGCAAGGATAACAACATCGGCCTCTCTGAGGACTTCCTTTCTATTCTGTCTGAATTGAATTGGCGACCTCTGACCCAAGAGACCGCGACACATTCCTCCGAGATATGTGGGGATTCCGAGCCTCTGCAAACAAAAGTCGTGGCACGCATCAATAACAAAAATAATAAAATTGTGGTATCCCCTTACCAACACGATCTCTTGCAATTTGGATGGAGTGATTGGAGGTAGAGTCGCTTGTGAGCCCATCAAAAGTAATGGTTTCTTGGCCTTTTTTATGGTATCGACAACCTTCTGGATGTCGCCAGAAGTCGCTGTAGGTATCTGAACAGGTAACGGGGTCAGAGGTTGGTCATTCCAGGCACCTCCGAATTGACGTGAGACATAAGTAAACAAAAAGGCGTTCATCAATTTCTGAAATAATGTAATGGAATGGTGAATCAGATAAGGTACCTTGAAACCTTTGGCATTTGGAACAAATCCCATTTCTTTGACAACGAACTGGTAAGGATAGAGAACATCAATTGGAAATTCGATAAAAACAGGCCCTGGGGTTCCGGATTGGGCTTCTTGAATAGCTCTTCTAACTGTAGGCGCAATATCTCGTAACTTGGTTACTCTGGCCGTATATTTGCATAAAGGTCTGAACAAAACGCCTTGATCAATGTCTTGAAGAGCTCCTCGATTTTTCAAAAGAGTAGGGGCAGCCCCTCCAATCAAAAGAATTGGTGATTCGGCCATCTGGGCATTCTTTACCGCCGTAATTGTATTTGTTAAACCTAAATATAAAGATAAAAGACGAAAACTGCCAACCTGGCCCAGCCGTAACTGCTGCGACACCAATGGTTTGCTTCAATCTGGCCACCGCATCAGCAGCAAACACGGCACTGACTTCATGGCGAGTGTCAATAACTTTAATTCCTAATTTCTCAGCAGACACCAGGATAGGTGAGATGTGCCCTCCAACCAGAGTAAATATCTGTTCAACACCATGAGCCTTGAATGAAAAGTATTATTACATCTGTAGAAGGAAGATTACCTTCAACACTGAAGCCACTAATTCTCCGCCATGACGTGTGCACTTCTCATCAACCTAAATTGAGATATCACCGAGTGGATCATATCTACCTGGAACGCAGTGCTCAGCCAGTGTTGCCGCCCCTCTTTCAATCCCTTGATGATCTTTGCAATATTGTTCATGTTATCAATTCCCAAAAACCATTTCAAGAAAACGAAAACCCCTATCAGGGTAAATAGTAAAATTAGCATGACTAGGATGCAAATGCCCTTGAACAAACCAAGTTCTTTCGCTGATCGAAGCTGCGAAATAAATCTGAAAAATGCGAGAAATTAGAGAAATGTTATGTGGAACACACTTTTTCTAGTATCTGATTTCGGACTTTTGTCGGGTTTATATTAATTATGTTACAAAAAGCATCACAATTGTCTTTGGCAAAGATAAGGGACGGACGACGTTCGTTTTTTTGCCCGTTCCGATTTTGGGTCAAGTCTTCCGCAAAAAGAAAAACTTGACCCAATCTTTTACACGTAGCAGAAATTCATTTATCGTGTCGTTGAGAGTTAGTCGTTTTAGTGACATACAACTTTCAGCGAAATGCGTAAAGACAAGAAGGACGAAGAAGCCGGAACTGGAAATCCCTATGCCCATTTGGACAAAACATCAGTGTTCCAAGAGGTAAGAACAACTTTGATTTCCAAAAGTACTTTTCTAATGTAGAGTTCATTGACATTTTTTTAGGCAAGAGCGTTCAACAAAACTCCAATTGTTGTTCGGGAATGTAATGCGACGTTGTGCAAGATCTTGTACTTGATCCAGAATGGGGAGAGTATAGGAAAAACTGAAGCCACTGACACCTTCTTTGCCATCACCAAGCTGTGGCAATGCAAGGATGCCACCCTCCGTCGTCTTGTCTTTTTGGCCATCAAGGAGTTGAGTCCATATGCCAATGATGTCATCATTGTTATCAGCAGGTAAACAATTTTGTTCACAAACAAGTCTTCTCTTTAGTTTGACCAAAGACATGACAGGGAATGAAGATGTGTATCGAGGTCCTGCCATCAGAGCTCTCTGCCGTATCACTGACAGTGGAATGCTGCAAGCGATTGAGAGATATATGAAACAAGCCATTGTGGATAAGGTCCCGTCTGTTTCTTCCGCCGCTTTGGTCTCGTCGGTCCATCTGATGAAGAAATCTCCCGAGGTCATTAGAAGATGGGCCAATGAGGTTCAAGAAGCTGTGAACTCTGAAAATCCAATGGTGCAATATCACGCTTTGGGTCTTCTTTATCAAATCCGATCGAGTGACAAACTGGCCGTCTCCAAACTTCTCCATAAATTTGGAAAGTCTGGAATGAGATCTCCGTTGGCTTTGTGTTATCTCATCAGAATTGCTGCCAAATTGATCTTGGAAGAAGAGGGTACTGACAGAATTCCTCTAACATTTATCGAGAGTTGTCTTCGCCATAAGAGTGAGATGGTTACTTATGAGGCCGCGTCAGCTATTGTCAGGCTGCCTAACATTACCAGGTAGGCTTACCAAATTTTATTGATACTTATTTTGGGTTTGTTTTCCTAATATTATATGTATTATTTTAGCGGGGAATTGGCGGGTGCAGTGAATGTGCTCCAGATGTTCTGCTCGTCTCCCAAGCCATCTTTACGTTTCGCGGCTGTCCGAACGTTGAATAAGATCTCGATTAATTATCCTCAGGCGGTTATGAGTTGCAACGTCGACTTGGAGCAACTGATTACTGACCAAAACAGATCAATTGCCACTTTGGCCATCACCACTTTGCTCAAGACAGGTGCTGAATCTTCAGTTGAAAGGTTGATGAAGCAAATAAGTTCCTTTGTCAACGAAATCGTAGATGAATTCAAAGTTGTGGTCGTTGAGGCCATTCGTTCTTTATGCTCCAGATATCCAAGAAAGCATGCCACGATGATGATGTTCCTCTCGGCCATGTTGAGAGATGATGGAGGTCTTGAATACAAGAAGGCCCTGGTCGATACGGTTATCTCCATCATCGAGGAGAACCCAGAAACTCGCGAAACAGGTGCAAATTTTATTAATACTGCCTGTATTTTCTGTGATAATTCAAATAGAAATGTATTTATTTTTAGGTCTTGTACATCTCTGTGAATTTATCGAAGATTGTGAACACAGCTCCCTGGCAAGTCGAGTTCTTCATATCCTGGGAACTGAGGGCCCAATTACATCATCGCCCGAGAAATATATCCGCTTTATTTACAACAGAGTGGTTTTGGAAGCGACTGAGGTGAGTGTCGGAATAGTCGAGGGGTAGTGGGTTGGGGTCAAACAACTCGATGAGGAAATCAAAAGGCCGCTTGAAGACCCTCACATTGCAGTAGGTGGGTCGTTATGACGATACAAAACGAAGCGAAATACTGATGAGTTGTGAATGTTTTTTTCCTTCTTATCTGTAACAAAAATTATTATTTAATTTTAGATCCGAGCCGCGGCTGTGACTGCCTTGGCCAGATTCGGTGCTTTGTGCCCCAAACTCCGGCCGAGTATTGAAGTTTTATTGAAGAGATGTCTTCTGGATACTGACGATGAGGTCCGGGACAGAGCTACTTTCTTTTTGAGAACTCTTCAGTCTGAAGACTCGGATGCCATCAACAAATATATTATCAGTCCCCTTCAAGTAAGCTGATTTCATAGTTTGTGTTTGTGGCAACAAGACTGAGAAAACATTCACCTTTTTAGGTATCTGATGTCGGGCTTGAACATGCTGCTCAGGATTATGTGAAGAGTAAACAATTCGACAAATCCTTCGATCTGAAGGTAGTCCCAGTCTCGGCCGCCCCCATCACCCTCACCGAATCCAAACCATCTTCTCTTTCCGTGGAACCAGTGGTCAAGAAAGAGGAGAAGAACAAGAGCTCCAGACAAGACTTCTTTGCTCGTAAGTTATTGTAAAAATCTTTTGTCCGTTCTTCTTGACACGTTCACCCTTGTTTTTTCAGAGCAGTTATTTGCGATCGCTGATTTCTCTGACCTCGGCCCTCTATTTAGAAGTTCTAAGCAGATTGAACTCACGGAATCGGTTACAGAATATGCTGTCACTCTGATCAAACATACTTTTGCTGAAAATATTATCCTTCAAGTAAGAATCCGATGAATTTTACTTGATTTCCAGTTTGATTGCAAAAATACCTGTAATGATCAACTTCTGGAGAATGTTCATGTGAGTCTCGAACCGACAGAAGAAGAAGGATGGAGAGTGGTAAAGACGTTGCCCTTGAGCGCTCTTCCTTATGGCAGCGAAAAGGGAACTACTTACATCCTGTTGGGAATGCCTGAGGATGGAGGCGTTTCAGGAACTTTCTCTGCCACTCTCAAGTTCAATGTTAGAGATGTGGATCCAACTACAGGGGAACCCGAGTCTGACGATGTTTACGATGACACATTCGCCGTGAGTTTTGATATATTTTTTGATATGTTTCGATCCTCCAATTTTTATGTCCAACATCACAAAAGTATACCGCCTTTGTTACTGATATAGATCATAAATCCATTGGTACTCTTAATTGAACATATTTATAGCTGGAAGAAGTGTCGATCAGTCTCTCCGATCATATTCTAGCTGTTCAAAAGCCCAATTTCTCTGGAGTCTGGGACCAATTGGGAGAAGAAAATGAATACAATGAGACCTTCGCCCTCCCAGTAGCGTCCCTCCAAGGTAACTCCCAAAAGCACTCTTATCAATGGCTTATTTTTCAGAAGCGGTCACAAAACTCCAACAGTATTTGGGAATGGCCGCCTGCGAACACTCGGATAAGATCCCTGAGGGGAAATCACAACATCAGCTATTGCTGAGTGGTGTCTTCAGAGGGGGATTAGATGTTTTGGCTCGAATTCGATTGGCACAAGACCCCGTGGAGCAAGTTGTGAACATGAATGTGATTGTCCGGTAAGTCGCTGGTCGCCCCCTTTCGTAGTACTGATAAGAGGCAGTCTGTTTATATATAAAGAGCATTGTATATCATGTTTTTTATGAAATTATTACGTTTGTCGCTATTTTCAGAAGCGAGGACGCGAACCTGAGCGAATTGGTGGGCGCCTCCATTTCTTAAGTTGCATATTTATTCTAATATAACTGTTACTGTAAGGCATATGTGATAATGATAAATATTCCTGACCCTTGATTGATGGCTGTTCGATTTCGAGATTGGCCCATGATTTGTTGCATGTTATTTTAGAGATCCATCTGTTGACCACATGACTTTTTTGTTGACTTTTTTCGGAACATTAAACGAGTAAGAAAAAGTGCGTGGCGGTAAGAAAAAAGGCCATTTCCTGGCTCGGGAACGGCTGGCCGTTCCGTTCCAGGCATTCATCCGCCTTTTGATACCGTTTTTTTTTGAATCCGGGCCAATATAATAGTTTTTGGAATAGGTCCACCAACATATCCCGCCCAGCTTTGAGTGTTATATAATCGGATCCTGAGGCTACCAACTCTTCCGTCCGCCCTTTTTGACTCCAAGTAGTTTGAGTTTTACCTTTAAGATGACTCCGCGCTCCCCTCCTTTCTTCTGTCGTTCGATTTTTTGTTTAGATTTATATTTATTAAAACTCCGTCGCTTTACTGACGCGTCGCCCATTAATTGAATTTGTCTTATGGAATTTGCTCATAGATTACTCTAAATATGTCAAGGATAGTGTTAATTTTCCTACTATATTTGCTTGATTTCACGTCAGCCAGCACAGAATGCCTCTGGGCAACTGGAATCATCGAGTGTCGCAAGAATCAGACCCGAGTCGAGGGAGCTGTTGTCGAGGTATTTGATCTCGACAGCCCCGAGGCGGCAAGTTAATTTTTATGGAATATGTAAAGAATTGTTTTCACTGTGCTATCTTAACCTATTTAGAGTTCTATTGTAAACCCCCTTGATCCCGATGATAAAGTTGGTTTCTCTTACGTGGATAACACTCAAGGGCTATGGAATGTGGAGGGATGTGCGGCGGATCAAGATTGGCTTCCCGGGATCCCCAATCGCCCCGAATTCTACATCCGGATATTCCACAAATGCAATCGGCCTGAGGGGGAATTCAAGAGGATACTACCGGTGTTCCGCGTCTACACCCCCGAGACCTACGACTTTCACATACAACATCCGATAGTGTTGGACCAGGATTATGATCCCAAGGAAGACGAAAAGGCATTTGAATTGGATATGGGCTCCGTCTGACATCTACTCCAATATGTATCGAAAATGGGAAGCGAAGCCCCGGCCCTAGATTGATGAAAAGGCGAACATGTACATACAATCGTATCTTGGCTTTATTATTCTTCTGTACATACATTTGACGGATTCTGGGAACGTGAACTAGGTGGTTTGAGTAGAAATTTTGATAGCGCCATTAATAGAAACGACAAGGTTCGGCATTTAAAATGTGCTCTTCCTTTTAACAAGGACAGTTCACGTGCACAGAAGGTCTTATAATCTAATAAAATATAACCGAAATAAATTTTAAAATAACCTGATGACGTCGTTTTGATTGCCGATCTGAGTCCTACTGGCCTTCTAGAGGATACTGTAAGTTTCCTTCTGATTGGTGGGTGAATTTGTGAGAGTGAGGTACTGGGGAGGAGATGTCAGATGATTCGGATTCACATTGTTTGGAGTCATCCTCTCCTGATTTTCGACGGAATCGCGTGGAGAATGACTGCTTGAATTGGAGGGAGTGTGGAATGCCGGAGGGGCATCGAAAGAAGTATGGTTATTCCTATTCAAAGTACTCTCGAATCCGGAGTTTGTAAGAGTCGAGAGGCCGGTTGGATTCAATTCCACGGCATTCTCTGCAGTCCTCGCACTCTTTGGCCTCAGGGAAGCATAAGAACTGAGGGAAGATCTCTTCTGGACAAGCGATTGATCCATCACTGGGACCTCGGAGAATTGGGTTTGGAATTCATCTGCAAAGTTAATGTCTTCGAAATATACAAAGCAAGAAAGCAATTATTGGTTTGTTCCCAAATCAAATTAAAACTCACCAAATCCTCGATGTTTGGAGGCGGTGTCGCTAATCCAATACTGATTACTATTCAAGGAGGACTGGGGAATTGTCTTCGGGACTGGTCTTTTCTTCTTCCCATTCTTCCCCTGAGCATTCAGACAACAGAAAAGGATGTTACAGCAACATCCAAGAGCAAAGAACACAGACAAAGCAATGCAGAGTTTGTACAAGATGATCAGATCGGCCGGGAGATCACAATGACAGCCAGTAATACTACTGGCACTCTCCGGAAGTGATGTTGGAGTCGGTTCGGGGATGAGTTCTCGGCGTTCCAGAACGCGGACACGGGTCTTGGCTTGGGAACTGGCCTTAGGCCACGTGAGTTGGATATCCGGGGAGTCCGGGGAGTTGGCCCTGAGGATCTTGGAGACCAATTCGGGATCTTCATTCATCGGATCGTCCAATCTCATTTCACAATTCGGCTGAAATCAAAAGATAACAACAAATGAGACTCTGTATTACTATAATAGTATATTAGTAAGAAACCCAAAAATTAAATCTCGATACCTTGCAATTTTTGTGCTCGCTGCATTCAACGAAGGAGCATTTGAAGATGACTTCGCTGGAATCGGGGAATCTGAACATCTTTTCGATCCGCGCTCTCGCTCCGGCTTCCGAGTATATAAAATCTTGAGTCAGTTTTCGATCCAGGGTGCACCCATTGGAGGCAATCAACTGGAATGTAACGGTTGTTATTTTTAAGGGAGTTGATTACTCAATAATTACGCAACGTCAACAGAAATGTTTTTTTTTTTTTGATCAGCTCCGATTCCATTTATTTATATTTTTTTCAACCTACCTCAACACTAGTTCCGTCACTTTGAGCAACACAAGAATGAACTCTAAAATGATGTGGTTTGGAAGCTGATATGAGCAGATCGTAGGGTTTCCCAAACTCCGGATACAAACTGTTGGTTCTTTCTGCGCCAACCACGGGGATCAGGGAGATCTGATACTCGTAAGGCTGCGCTCTGATCGCTGTTTTTGGTTTGGATGATGATCTAAAAATAGGGATTACGGTAATTGCAACGTTAATTGACTTGGGTGGGGTTTTTATAATATTAAATTCAGAAATACTTTTGTTATCAATTCAAACAATTAGATGACTAATCAACTCCCACCTTGAATTGACGTCTTTTACCACCTCCACATTGGTTTCATTTTCAAAAACATCTACTTCGAATGGCAAAGAATCTTCTTTTTCTTCAACTTCCGTGGGCACCGTAGTTGAGACCCCTTTTTTAGGGATTCGGCATTCAAACTCAAGTTGTTCATCTTGTTCCAACAACAGTAAATGATGTTCATGGACTTCGAGACCGATGATTCTTCGATTGCTTTGATTGTCGAAGGGGATCTGGCATCTTTCGTAATCAACTTTAAAAGCGACCACAGTCCCTCCAGTCCCTCGGGCTGTGCACTCCGGGACTCTGATTCCAATAGGATGGATAACACCGAAGAAAGGAGTGTCTGTACTCACTGAGACCTTCACTCCCTTAGCTCCACATTCCCAGTTCACTGTAATTGAAAATATTTAATTCTTTCACAATTATCACAATTATTCACAATATTATCACAAATATCTACCGGTGACCAAACTGATACGGGACTATGCTTACATTTTGGCTGAAATTCATTCAAAGCGTTAACCGCCGTCACAAGAAACAAGCTGAGCGACAACCAGATCATCTGAACGTTTTGCTTTTCCGCATACCTGCAGAATCAAGTGAAAGTTTTTTAATTACAGTAACGCGATTCAAGGAGCACAAACCGCGAGTGAAGGGGGCATCTCGGAGACGAGGGGTCAGCCCACTAATTATGCATGAATTAGAAATGTGTTCCTGGTCACTCCACTTCTTTATGAGGCCAAATGTCCCCCGGGCTGACATATAAAACCGGAACCTCCGATCCGGCGCTCTCTTAATCCCGGCGGACAAAGGGTAATCATGGCCAGCTGAGATCAATTAACTGGCTCATATATCTTCAGTCCACTCCTCTCGACACATTTCTCTGCACTCCGGATGGCCTAATTCAAATTCTGACTAATTTCGCCGGAGGGAAAAAGAAGATGTGATAAATTATATAACCGACAAAAGCGTTCCTTGAACCTACGTATGGCTCAAGTTTATAAGAAATAAAAAGTAAAGAGGGTCATACTCGAATAAAAGCGCTGCAAATAGAGGAACGGAAAGAGGATAATTGAAGGGATTTAACACTAAAGCACATATCTATTTTTATTGACGGTAGAAATTCAAATTCTCTCCCCCAACACCTTCCTCCAAACCTCTCGTTCCACAATCTGTCCATTTCTCCATTCAATGAATTAGATGACCAATTTCGCACTCAGTCCGCGTTTAGCCTCAGAGGCTCTTGAGACGGAGAGCGGCGGAAACACGCAACTCTGTCCAGATTGGCACCAAAAAACAATGAAATTTGCATAGCGAGGGAATTCTCGAGGAGAGCCGTCAACAAGGCAATCGGCCATTCCGCGGCCAACGTCCCCGGCTCTTCAGGGAATTAAAGGCGACAAAAAATGAGGGAAAAACGAGCTGAGATCTCCGCCGCTGACACTCGGCCCGGTTTCTAAATCAGCTCAAATGGCCTGGCACCGGGTCTGGAGCTGACAGCCGACAGATTTAAGGCCTTTAAAAGGTGATACGAAAAGTGAGTGGACGCTGAGTCAGGGTAAACATCACTAAATGTTCGACTGTAGCCGTAAAAAGGGTTCTGTCTGAAAAGGGGAAGCGCTGACTCAGAAGCCTAAAGTTTCGCAGGAAGTGTGCTTATGTTTAATATGATAAACAGGATTGGAGGGACGAAAGGAGAGGCCTGGGAATGCACAGTCAACGTTCAAGAAAACATTGATTGACCGCAAAACATCCCGAAGATGACAAGACGGATGACATAATACCCCATTCAACACCACGAATTATCCGATGAAACAGGGAGACAGTCTCGGAAGTATAATTTCCTCGTTTCGATGACCCAGTTACCGGAAAATGAGGATCGGTTCGATGGAATTATCCTCCCAAGACTCCCATAGCCTCCGGACTTATTTTTGCAAAGATTTTTGGGCGCCAAATTTATTGTCCAGTTGAGTGCGGAGGGAGGGGCGGGGGGTGACTGACCGGCCAACAGGCGTTTCGGCCATAAACAAATGATCCGATGGATGTTCCGTTTATCCAAGGCCACTATTAAAGAATCGGAAAATGTTTTTCTGCTGTTACATTTCAAGGGATTAAAGGGGTGTCAACGGTATCAAAGGTCTCTAAAGACTTTATCGACACGTATCTGCAAGATAAAATAAAATAAATTCGTATTTACAACAAGGATGACAAATATGATATAATTATTGCGTCACTCGGTCCTTCGACATGTACGCACTGTCTGAAGAGGAGGATCCTTCTTCATCCTCTTCGTCGCCGGCTTCAGAGGCATCAGAAGACGGAATCGAGGACCCCGACGATTCGATCTTATCCATTGACTCCTCCGGCTGGCTGAAAAGGGATCGCTCGAGGGCCTTGGATTCCTTTAATCTCATCGCTTTCTCCAATAACTTTATACAAGCCAGATGGTTGCCGGCCTGGGCGTCCTCCAAAGGCGTTCGATTCCATCTGAAATCGCATATTTGATATTTTTATCGCTTCTTGGGTTGTGTCCAAGATCAAACCATCATGTCTTTTAGTAGTCTGTTCGTTTTAAATTCGCTTTTTTTCAATGATTTACATCAGCGTGATCAGACCTCATAAAAAAAGTAGTCATAAATCAAGACTCCCTTTTGGTTGTTACACTTCCTTATTCGATTCTCTTACCGATCTCTGGGGTCTACCTTCACCTTGGCGATGTTTAGAAGGAATAAAATGATGTCAGGATGGCCTTCGGAAGCAGCCAAATGAAGGGCCGTTCTCTTATCGTAGTCTTTCATCTCCAGATCACACCCTTGCATATACATTCTGAAAGTGTTTGGGGATATTAACCTTGTTCCATCACTCGAATTACCTTCGGATTTTGTTGAGATCGCCGGCTTTCGCTGCAAAAAGGAGAGAAACCACTTGATTCTTCTCTAAATCGCTGCCTCTATGACGCGGATCATATTTGCACGACTCGTTGTTCACCAAACTGTCGTACGTGTGAAAGTTGAACCGTTGGATCAACTCCTAAAACGATTAGTTCAGTCAGTTTACACTATTCTCATTTAATATGAAATGATGAATACTTACATGACAAAACGCGAGTCCTCTCACACTGTTTCCTTGCTTGTTTAGAGGAGGCGACCAGACCGCGATTCCCATTACATTGGGGACGACCACTAACAGAACACCCGACACTCCTGACTTGGCGGGCAACCCCACGTGGAAGGCGAACTGCCCCGAGCCATCGTACATCCCACACGAGCTCATCAGCGACAAAAGATCACTAAAGATAAACAAGTCGTTAAATTACCGAAAGTACAGTAAGACCTCGTTTAAAACATAGTCAACGTATCTCCACGTAGTAAGAAGAAAGTGTCATACCGTATCGGTCTACTGCCAATGCATCTCTCCCCGGTCGTTGGACAGACTCCACCATTAGCCAAGGTAGCAGCCATGACGGCCGCGCTTTCACAGGTGACCTCAACGGAACAGAGATAAAAGTAAAAGTCGAGGGCCTCCATCACATTGGTCGTCTCTGGAGGGAAACATTTGTTTTCCTCCATAAAGTAGGCCAAGGCCATATTCCTACTGCCAGTGCTCCGCTCGGACAAGAACACTGCGTTGTTGAAGCCGATGTATTCCCCACCGGCAAGTTTGCGGTATTGTTTCATCATCTGCAAACCATAAGATGATAATTGGTCAAGAAACTTTGCTGTTTGCTGCGTACAACTCGTTCATAATACCTACATGGTCAAACCGATCTGAGATATTCAATTTGTTCTGGATCAACGATGTGACGATGATGGCTCCGTTGTTAATCAACGGATTGTGCGGTTTGTTCTGAGGGTCCAAACAAATCTCATTGAACAAACGCCCTGAGGGCTCTTGTCCCACAAATTTGTGAACATAATCAGCTCCCAATTCGGATGCCGCAATCGCGTAATTAAAAGCTTTGGAGACACTCTGAATACAGAAGGCGTGTTTGGAATCACCGTAAGAGACTCGCTGCCCATCAATGGTGCAGATGGAGAGTCCGAACAAATTGGGATCAACCCGGCTCAGCTGAGGAATGTAATCCGCCACTTTACCATCCGTCACGGCTTTGCACTAAAATTTAAAGTTTAAAAATTTGATCGAAAAAATTGCAATGGTTACGTAATGTAAGTGTAAAAGGGGTAAGGAAACTAAACCCCCAAATGACTAAAACACCAAACAATTGGACGCCGTATAACAAACACAACAAGGCTTAGGCTTATCTAAGGCTTAGGCTTGTTGATGGTTTAGTCGTTTGCGGGTTCAGTCCGGCACACAAAAAATGTACCGTTTCAAATATATCGGCGACAATTCGAGTAAAAGAATTCCAGCTGGGCACAACAAGATCGTTTTGCAATGTTTTGGAGATTAGGGAGATACTTTCGGAGATACAAGAGATGAATTCTTCTTTGGAGAGTTTCCAGTGCTTCGGATCCCGGGCTTCGCAAGTTCTCTCCTCCTTTTCCTTCTCGATCTTCCAGATCTTCGTCATCATGGGTCTTAACTGAGGGTCTGTCTCCCATAAACCATAATTTTTCAGAACCTAAAACCGACTACTTTGTATCTCCAGTGTCTTTTACCATTAACAGTTTGCCAATGGAAGCCTCATTTTTGTTGGGGATCTTGAACATATTGTAGATCAGATCTTCTGGGCTTTGTTCATTGCATTCGAAAGCGTTGCTTAGACTGATTTGAGTCATATCGACCAGTTGGGCCAAAGATTTCTTTCGATTTGGGTCCATTATCGGACTGTATTGTTCTACTAAATCAAAAAACACATTTGTATTGCAGTAGTACTATACAATATATAATGGGAAATATAAACTCACAGGTCGCATGGCTGAACTTCTTTGCCAATTGATCGCCGTATTTGGAGAACATACGGTGTCGCTGATTGCGGGTGTTACGCGAAAAATTTTTGGGGTTGTCGGATGTGGAAGAAGAATCATTGAACGGACGTCTAAGCATTTCAAACAAAAAGAAACGGGCCTCCCACACCAGAAGATGATGACCGTAATCGAGAGTTTATATTTACTTGGAATACCCGGCTTTTTATTGCCCTCCGGGCTTTTATCGACTTACAAAAACGTCGACTCTGCCCTAAGGAAAACAACGTTGGAGAAAAAAGATTATCTGCGGTTACGTAACGAAGTCAGAGGTCAGGTCGGGAGGAGGGGGAGGCGCAGGATGGAGCTGCCCGAGCAGGATACACGTATTCCTTCGTTCGTATGCTACACAATGACAGAATACGGTAAGATGAATAGTAAAAAAACAGTACTCAAAATATGACGCGGTTTTTATGGTTTACAAGAATTTATAAAACGTAAAAAGCACCCAAATCAGATGTCTGCGAGGTGTAATTAAAACATAAAAAATTCCTCGGGAGTAACCCTTCTCCAATATCAATCATCATCAGCCAAAAGTCACGGTAAATTCATAGAAATAAGCGGAAATAAGGCGAATGAAATCACTGTAATCACACATGGACCCGACAACAAGGATTCCTATAATACCAACAGCATTACTGAATTAAACAATCACATAAACATATCTGGGGTCATTAAATCTCCAAAAATGTATTTACATTTGTCTCCGTATCCTTTCTCAATTCACTCCGTAGTTTTAGTATGGTTTTTAAGACCAAACTGTCATCAGATTCCTCTGCTCCCGTTTTCAAAGTTTCATTCATCGAATAATCTGGAATGTCATCGTGGAAGATCGGGGGTGTTCGCCCATTGGACAGCTAAATTTATTTTCTTATGGCATAACAACATCAGGGTTACCTTATTAATGATGATTCGATGTTCCGTGGACAATACTCCTAACATCATTGACATAAATATTTGTAAAACAACCAGTGTGAATTGAGTAACCATCACGACGGGTACTCTGATCAGGATAGAGAACCTGTAGGAGTGCCCCTAAGCAGGATTACCAAAATAAAACAGGGATTAAAGTCATTATTCAGAAGCCGAGTGGAATAGCTTTTCTTTCGTCTTTACTCATCGTTTGACATTCACGGACTCCAAAATAATACAACCTTTCAATAAAGCCTAAAACATTCAGCGCTTTATGATAAAAATATCGTTGCTAAAACTGAGGAAAATATAAGGTAAAGCGAAACAATGGGAGTAAAAATAATAAAAATAAGACTCTTCTAGGATTGTAATGGAGATTATGATTCTTTATTGGAGAGTGCGTTTGAAACGGAAAGATCTGAGGATACCCGTAGAAGGAAGGTCTGTCCGATTGCACTACGACTTCAGGCCCTGAGTCTCTTCCTCCCCCCAATCATCATCCGAATTCAAATCATCGTTGCAGTTCTCTTCCGTTTCCCCCGTATTTCTGAATTTTTGTTTCAAAGCTTTCGCCAAACATCCGGCGATATCCTCTCGATCTTGTGATTGCGACAGATGTCGGATCGGCGTTCCACCAGGAGTTCTAAGATCAAGCAAATAATTCAACAACAATAAATCAGTGAAATAATAAAGCGCCCCTTACCTGGCAACTTTTTTCAGCTTCACGGAGCCCAACTCCAGGAAATTGAGCCCAATTCTGGGAACTGGGACCGGTGGATTATTCTAAATTAACACTTTGGGTTACCAAATTTTTATTCTTACCTCATCAACACTTTCTTCTGGACTAGAAAGTTGCGTTGGGATGACAGTAGCCACAGGGGAAGATTTCTTTTTCAATAAAAACGGAGGAGGGGGTGGCGGTGGAGGGGCAACCTTACTAACAGGTGGAATGACTCCAGGTTTAGACTAAAATGAAAAGAATATCAAATCAAAAAAATAAAAGTTACTTTAGCAACTTCTGGGGTTGGAGGTGTAACTCCTTTCTGATCCATAATCAGTTTTAAAGTTTGCTTCAACTCATTCAACTGGGCCTCCAATTCATTTATCTTCTTATCATTGGCCAGAGAACAGACAGTTGAGGCAGCATGCATCGATTCGTCATCATCATCGCTGAAGGAGTTCGAAAAGTCCTCAGATGAGTCCAACTTGACCAAGGCCGCATCTATATTCACTTCATTTCCTTGAAGCATTCTGTTAGGCCTTAAATTAGACAATTCTAAATAACGAACGAGAACTTAAGCAACTTACGTTCCTGTGAACCATCGAATAAACTCGATGAATGATTGTAACTTAAATTTGGGGACTTTCGTTTTGGCCAAATTGAGAAGTTCGGCGATGGAGACCTTTGGGATATATTGTCTGACTCTTCTGACCTCCTCATTCAAAATGGCAATTATAATATCCAACGCGGAAATAGCATTTCTGGCCATGTCGGTGTTGAGAATCTGCTCCTGTTGGTTGCAATCGACCACTTCTTGCCACGAATAACGTCTAGGCTTCACCACAAAGCTTTCATCGAGTCCAACATTTAGTCCAACAGTACGTTTCCCAAACTGGTTCGGATCCATGGCCTCAATCTGATAGCCAAACGATCTCAACCACCAATTTCCTCGCAGAAGATTCGTGAAAAAAATGAAAAAAAATTTTTTTTTCAAAAAATTATTTGCCGGTTCAATGTTTTCGTGTCAGGGCTTCAAATATTGGCTTTCTGAAGCAGTAAATTCGATAAAATTCGTCATTTTGACGGCTCCGAAGATCTTTGGGATACTTGTGGCCGAATTGTTTTTTTATCGCTGCTGTTGTTCAAAGGTTTTGGTCTCGTATTGTATATTTCCGCCAAATATTATTTTATTCTGCCTGCTCTTTGAAGGATGTGTTGGAAAAGACCTGCTCGGAGCCTGAATGGATGAAACTCCGCCTCTAAACGACTTTTCAAATTAATTATAGTGTGTACTTTCTTCTCTAATCCGTGGAAAATCTGAGAGGAAAGAACGAATATTTAGTAATTGTGACGCCAGACCGAGTACAACTTGTTGGACGGTGGTTGTGTGAAAATATTTCTCCGATGCCTTCCAGGTGAAAGCGGAGTGAATTTCATTCGGTTTTTCAAAACCTTTTTTGGGCTTCGAGCCTTAGAAATGGCTATTTCCGAAAATGGAATTAAGCTGGAGAAGGCGGATCAGGTCGAAAAGCCGCTTCTTTCCAAGTTCAAACGAAAGTAAGTGTCCATTATTGTTACCATTGGCTTTTAGAGGTCCTGAGGAAAAGACGTCAAAGCCCAAGAAGGTGTCCATATTCCAACTGGTGAGTGTATTTCTTGTTTTTGTTATATGTTATAGCTGGGTAGAATTTTCTGTTTTAGTATCGATATGCCACAAAGTTCGATCTGTTATTGGTTTTAATTGGGGCATCAGTGGCCATAATGACTGGTCTAGGCCTCCCATATCTTTCTGTTCTGATTGGAAGCATGTCCGAGGCGTTTGTTAATGCGACAATGGCAACAGAATATTATCTTGTCCCGGGTGCGTTAAGATTTTTTTAAATATCTTATCGGTCGTTATCACTTTCGATGAGATGATGCTTTTATGACGAGATCGTTAATTGATAAATTTCAGTGCAAACTTCGGACGGATGGAAGTTTTTGGGTGATATTTATAGTCTAGAGGACTTCGAGAGAGCGGCTATGAAGAGGATATGGATTTCGATTTACATGGGCATTGCCCTCTTCCTCTCTGCCACCATTCAGGTATATAAAAAAGACAAAAAGGAAGACGATTTATTTTAAAGGTCAACTGTTTTCTCACGGCATGTGAAAATATGATGGGGAGGATAAGAAGAAAGTTCTTTAATGCCATTCTCAGACAAGATATGGCGTGGTATGACAATAACAACACGGGCACTCTGGCCACAAAACTGTTTGAGTAAGATTTTATGCTAAAATAATAAAGCACAGAGCTTTTAAAACCAACTGCAATTAACAAATGTAACACCTTTTTTAAAGTGATCTTGAAAGAATGCGGGAAGGAACTGGTGACAAAGTGGCTCTGGCCATTCAATATACTGCTCAGTTTTTTGGCGGATTTCTGGTCGCTTTTACATACGATTGGTATCTGACTTCGATCATGATGTCACTAGCTCCATTAATGATGGGAAGCGGTGCTTTTATCGCCATTCTAATGGCTCGATCATCCGCCAACGAAGCTGAGAAGTATGCAAAAGCCGGGAACATCGCTGAAGAGGCGTTGAGTTCCGTCAGAACTGTTTATGCTTTCAATGGCCAGATGACTGAATGTTCTCGGTATGTTGTGGAGGATGTATTTGTCATTGCGTTAGGTACGAAGATGGGCTAAAACAAGCAAGATGGAGTGGAATGCTTCGGTCTATCTACATTGGCACCGGATTTGCCTTTACATTTGTGGTTCTATTTTCTTCGTATTGTATTGCTTTTTGGGTGGGAACAAATTTGGTAATTGACAATGGCATGCACCCTGAGGTCATGATTACTGTATTCTTTGCTGTTATGATGGGATCGATGGCATTGGGACAAGCTTCCCCTCAATTTGCGGTCATTGGAACAGCCCAAGGAACGGCGGCTTCGATCTATGAGATTATTGATAGGGTAAGCTTACATTTTTACGATTAATATACTCATGATTATCTAATATGATAACATTTGTGCAGGAAACTGAAATCGAACCAAGGCTTTCCACAGGAAAGGTGTTGAAGAACATGTCTGGCCATATTTCTATTAGCAATGTCTCCTTTTCTTATCCTTCTCGACCTGAAGTCAAGGTCCTTCAAAGCGTTTCCCTTGAGATAAAACCTGGCGAAGTTGTTGCTTTGGTGGGAGCTAGTGGAAGCGGAAAGAGCACTTTGTGTTCTCTTCTCCTACGGTATTATGATGTAAATGAAGGCTCTATTACTATCGATGAAGAACCAATAAAAGAACTTGACGTCCATTTCCTCCGGCGATCTATCGGAATTGTTAGCCAAGAGCCAGTTTTGTTCAACATGACCATCAAGGAGAATATTCAGTGTGGGTCTGCGGAGGAGTTGACTGAAGATCAGATCAGAGATGCCTGCAAACAAGCAAATGCCGCCAAGTTCGTGGAATCTCTACCACTGGGATATAAGACTTGTGTTGGAGAGAGAGGAATCCAATTGTCCGGAGGGCAAAAACAACGAATTGCCATTGCACGCGCGCTAGTCGGGAAACCGAAGGTATTACTTTTGGATGAATCCACGTCTGCTTTGGATGCTGAAAGTGAAGCTAAAGTCCAAGAAGCATTGGACAAGGCATCAAAGGGCAGGACTACTTTGATCATCGCCCATCGATTGTCAACGGTCAAGAATGCGGATAGAATTGTGGCCATGGAGAATGGGGAAATTGTGGAATCAGGATCTCATGAAGAGTTAATGGAGAGGAAAGGAGTTTATTACAATCTTGTCAATGCTCAGGTATTCGACGATGCAATCAATGAGACTGGGGGTATGTCAAATTTCTGATTATTTTCACTTTCCAGGGGACGCTGGATGTAGCCATGACCTCGCCTCCAATTCGAGTAGAAATAGTTCTCCGGTCAGAAATCTGGCCAGGAATTCGATCCCTGAATCCAGCGAGGCTCAAAGCAGTCGAAGAAAGAAACCAGACGCTGTAACGGAGCTAAAACGGCTAGAAAAAGAGTTGAAGGAAGAGAACGCGAAACCGAAGGACTTCCTGAGCATATTGAAGTATGCGAGGCCTGAGTGGTGGATGCTCTCCTTGGGCGTCTTGGTGTGTATCATCGAAGGATGCGTGTTCCCATTGTTTTCTGTCTTCTTCTCTAACGTTCTGGAGGTAAGCATGAATTTTTTATTGATTTTTTTGTTTTTTTTTATATGAGAGGGATTCCGCTTAAATGCTTAAATTAAGTTTTTTCGCCATGACGCTCAAGCAGTCACCCATATCGAATTTTTTGCTTTGCGCGGTACAGGACCCACAATCATCTAACAAGGAAAGTATTTTTATGGGGCTCCTACTTTTAAACGGGACATACCTCAAAAAATCCCTTAAATCATGTTGATTCAGAATATGTAAAAAGTTAGCTGCCCAATGGGGGTTTTAGGAGTGAAAAGTCAGTCGCAAGTTGGCTTAAAGTCCTACGTAAACCCCTTTCAGCCCAATTTTTCGCAGATTTACAAATGTTTCTTGAGTTTACTAGAATTTTTTATCGTTCTTTTTTTCAATTCCTGCGCCTTTTGGTCTAGAAATTTAGTCGGGTTTTGGGCATTTTCTTGATCAGCACAATTTTCCGGATTTTTCGAGATATGTGTCGTCTAAAAGTGGGACCCCCGTAAAAAGTACTCTCCTTCTAAAATTTTGCAATGTGCGAATAATTCTAATCACTATACCGTCCAGAAAAAGTTTTTTTTTGAATTGGACTTCGGTGGCAAGAATTATTCGCACAAAAAATTTGAATTTACTCGGAACCCCTCTTATATTTTAGGTATTTGCGGGTACAGATCCGGAAGAAAAGAGAGCCAATGGTCATTGGTGGGCTCTGTCGTTCCTCTTCTTGGGTCTAGTCCAGGGTCTTTCGATGTTCCTCCACGCCGTTTTGTTTGGATTCAGTGCCGAGAGATTGACCATGAGGCTGAGATCATCTCTTTTCCATCGTATTTTATCACAGGATATGTCATATTTCGACCAACCCAGCCATTCTCCGGGCAAATTATGTACTCGTCTTTCAACGGATGCCCCAAATGTGAAGTCGGCAATCGATTATCGCCTTGGGTCGGTGTTTTCCAGCATCGTTTCGTTCGGTTGTGGGATTGTTTTGGCTTTTTATTACAATTGGGCCATGGCGATTTTGGTGGTCTGTATCTTTCCATTGGGCGGAGTGGGGCATTATTTCCACATGAGATATATCAAAGGGAGGTCGAAGGATGACGAAAATGAGTGGGAGAATGTCGGGAAGGTGAGGGAATGAGAGCAAAAGCCTGAAATAATACAATATATTAATTCTCTAATTGAAGACGGTGTAATACTTTTAGGTAGCCATCGAAGCCGTTGAGAATATCCGCACAGTTCGATCCCTCGCTCTTGAAGATGTCTTTTACAACAACTTTTGTGATCATTTGGAACGGCCGATGAGAACTTTAAGAATCCGCGCCAGATTCCAGGGCTTCACCTATGGGTTCGCTTCTTCCATCTTCTACTTTCTGCATGCCGCTTCTTTCGGCTTTGGTGTCTACTTGATCATGAGTCAGAACGAGCGTCCCATGAGTGTCCTAAGATGTTTATTTGCCATCAGTTTTACCGCCGGAAGTATGGGCTATGCAAGTGCTTACTTCCCCGAGTATGCAAAGGCCAGATTCGCTGCTGGAATTATATTCAAAATGCTTAATGAAAGGCCCAAAGTTGATAATCAGTCATCCGTCGGGAGAGAACTAGTAAGACCGAAATTGACGTAGATAATCGAACCATTGCCACAAAATAACTTTAGTTATTCTATAACATCATTTTAGAACCAAATTGATGGAAGTATATCCTTGAAAGATGTCTATTTTTCTTATCCGCAAAGAATACAAGCACAAGTTTTAAGAGGATTGAATTTGGAGATACCGGCAGGAAAAACGATCGCTCTGGTTGGCGCAAGTGGATGCGGGAAAAGTACAGTATTCAGCCTAATCGAGCGGTTTTACGATCCAAATTGTGGGGATATTGCAATTGATGGGATCAATATCAGAGAAGTGGGGCCTCTAACTCTGAGGAAAACAATGGCGATGGTCTCGCAGGAACCCGTTCTCTTCGACAGATCCATTAAGGAAAATATTCTTTACGGAATCGATCACCAAGTGGATGATGAGAAGTTGGAAGAGGTCTTGAAGATGGCTAATATCTCACAGTTTATATCCGAATTGCCAGAAAAACTGAACACGAGAGTTGGAGACAGGGGAACTCAGTTATCTGGGGGGCAAAAGCAGAGAGTTGCCGTAGCCAGAGCCTTGATAAGGGAACCTAAATTATTATTACTGGACGAGGCGACATCGGCTTTGGATTCGGAATCAGAGCGGGTCAGTTATAAACATTTTTTGTATTTATTCTTTTAACCAACCTGTTTTTATTGATTTGCGGTTTTAAAATCTGAGGGAAAACACTATAAAACATCGCCCTTGCAGGTTGTCCAGCAAGCCATAGATCGTGCCACCCAAGGCCGAACTTGTATCATCATTGCTCATCGCCTCTCGACCATCATGAACGCTGATATGATCGCTGTGATCAAAGACGGTCAGCTATTTGAGTTTGGTACCCATCAAGAACTGCTGGACAAGAAGGGTGTGTACTCCGAGCTGGTCGAGAAACAAAATATTCGAGGACGGGGTAACACAAACGATTTGTAATGCCAAACAATCTACTTTTAAACCAGTATTACTTCACTTCGATGTGATCTTTCCCCGAACGCGTGTAATGTTATTCTCACTTTATTTAATGTATTTATGGTTTAAATTTATTTTACCGTTATGATAAATATGGTGCCAATAAAACTCCCTAAAGTCAGGCATTGTTAAACCGCTGTAGTACCGAACGACAGAAGGTAGATATAGTAACTTCCAGTATATGAACGATATTGCCTTTTTAATTTCCCAAACCCAGCTTTAGCGTGGTTGACACAATAGCATTAAGCAAGAAAGAAAATTATTGTCTGTGTAATTGATTTATAATTTACTTTTATCAGCTTGTCGGGAAAGCAATGAACACACTGTTTTATCACCGCCGAGAATTGCTCCGCGGCAAATTCAAGTCACGTTTCATTCCAGCAACACGATCGGCGCAGCGACATTGTGTTCATTATTTTCCCGACGCGTGGATGTTCTTACAAAATGCATGAGAAATATATGGTTTCAATAAGTCATGATGAGAGGTTTTTAATGTTTCGCATGATTAAACCCGTCGTTTAAAATAAATTAATGTCAGATCAGCCCTTCCATGAGTAAGCATTCTTCCAAACCTCGGCCAGACAAACGGAAGAGTGGAATCGGTAGAAGATGGTCAACGGGGAGAAGCTTCTCACCAAGAACACCCAGCTTTTCTTCCCATAAAAGTTGACCACAGCTTCACTAACCCCCGCCTTCTCAGATTCCAATAAATTCATCAAAAACATGGCAATATTGGCTATCAAAAGGAAGGTGATCGCCTGTTTCCCTGGCTGTTTCTCCCTCAATTCATCGTCTCCTTGGATCCTCAGTTTGCCAGCGATGTAGATTAAGGAAGATTGAAGGCCCACCTGGATGACGGTAACTGTTATAGTCGGGTTACTGTACCTGACATATCCTTGTGATGTGAACTGCCAGTAAAATAATGCTCAGTTTGTTCCAATTCCCGTCTCCTGTTAATCCTACCAATCCAGCGACTGAATAGATCATCTCCCCGGCCATCCCGAGTGAGAGTAATATCATGTCCAAGAGTTCCTGAGAACATTTTATGTTGTTTCTTTTAGTTTACCTGACTTGGGTTTGGATTCACCTTCCTTCTTCCATTAGTGTCGTATTCGTTGTAATATCTCAGGTTTCGCATTTGATATAATGCATAAACACATCCAAAACTTGCGATGATATACTAAATCATTAGTCCTTTCCAAGCATAGCGCATACCTGTGCTATATCAGTCACTCCAAACACCATAGCAGCTACGTGAGTGAGTCCTAGAATGGTATATCCGTAATAAACAGCCATCGAAGTGAATGTTCCTGCAAGAAAAGCGAGTCCAAAGAACAATCCAGATGTCGTTTTGGAGCAATCCATCCGTATCTGATGCTTCCTTCTCACATAAACAGTCGGCTCTTTGACATGATCAATATTTCTCCAGACAATGAACATGACGGCCGCCCCAATCAATGAGTATTCTACCATGGAAGTGTACATAATCTCGGAGAGCGAGCCAAGAATACATTCCGATCCCTCACAATACCTGGTGTGATGATGATGGGCGATGGTCATGGAGCCCGAGAAAGTCGCGTGTTTGGGAGTCGCGTTCTCATTCCCCTCCTTGGAGAAGATCTCGCGGATCTCCCGATCCATGACCCCTTCCTCGATGAGAATATAACGGATCCAAGTCCACAGGTTCGCGGCCACCAGATGCATGGTCCCGAAACGAGCGATGGTCTGACTTCCGGTTATCGAGATCTTCCAATTGCAGAAAACAAAATGCATCTGGGTGAAGATAAACACGATGGAAAAGACGTCCATGGTCACTTGCAGTTTCTGACATTCCTCACTGTTTCCAGTACAAAGGAATGCGTTAAAGGAATGGTATACGGTGCCAATCAGACCAAACACTGAAGCAAAATTAACTAGTCAAAAGAAGTCTCTGGTGCAATATAATGACAGAAGAGCACGCTTACCGACTGCTCCCAACCTCAGAAATAAACTGCCGGCACTCGGACTGTCATGAGTGACCTTCCGATAGATAGTGGCATCAGCATACGAATGGTCGTCAAGAGATTGGCTCGACTCCGAACTACTAAAGCGTCCATAAAGGGATACTGTAGCCGATTACTCACCTAACTTTGCTGATTTTGATGCAGATCTTAAACTTCTTCAGTGTCTGTTTCCATCGTGGATGTAATAACAATACGACGTAGCAATAGAATAGGAAAATTATGCTGATCCCATACATATACATCCCAAATAACTGTAAGTTTGAGGATGTAAATACTTTGATGTTTTACTATTTTTTTAAATTTATAATATTATCCTCACCATGTCTTTGGTATCTATCGTTCTCTTTCTTTCGGCCGCCAAAAGATGGGACAATTCGAATACAAGGGCAAAAATTGTCATCACCATGGCATAAAAGGCAGATAAGGCAACGATTACTGAATTCCTGCAAAATACGACAAAAAATAAAAATGAAAAAAGATTTAATGCACTGACTTGGCTTCGGTGTTGTCAATCCATCTCAATGGAGGCTCTATGTCGATAACTTCCGACTTTGAAGCCGTAATAGAGCCAGTTAACGACTGGGATCTGGTCAGTGTCTAAAACAATACAGTCACGTCTTAAACAAGGGACACTTTAAAATAAATCCCTTCGTTTCTACGATCCCTTGAATACCTGAGGACTTTGCAGATTGATGATCACATCCACATTCTTCTTCTTGGGCTTTATCAGACTCAAAAAAAAGTCTGACATGGCATGGACTGGACGGTCAGAGACCTGTCCCTCCCTTTGGACCGATCAAGTGGACCCGCACGGGCCCTTCTTCAGACCCATCAAGAGTTAAACAGTAATTGTCTTGGGACAGAAATGGACAAAAGACTCCCGTTTGTAAAGTTTGACACAAAAACCAAAAGAGATGGCCCACCTTGGACAGTTGGATCATCGTGGCAGAATCTGAAGAGTCGCAGAGCCAATCGGCATACGTCTTGTTCTTCGGGATCTCTCTGAAATCGGATTATATTATGTTAGACAAAAAATTAAAGAATTAAAATAATAGTTTTATATAAAAGGAGCTAGCTGGTGGATTGGTCCAAAAGCATACTCAAAGTTCTGACTCTTGACCCAGCTCCTTGTGAATCGAGTCCGTGGATGCTGAATTCTCTTCCGTCTTCTTCTGAGGCCGATCAGAATCCTCGAACATCCAGATGAATCCTCGGAGCTGGTCGTCTTCCTCTTCTCCAGTTTCGTTTTATTTGAAGATGGGGACGGAACGGAATGATCCATCACCTGAGGGTCGCGTTTCGAGCTCGGGTCAAGACAAACAATGGCTTCATTGACGGTAATTCAATCCAGACTCGTGATGGACATGCAGTGACCGAAGGTTTAGGTTTGTAAAAACTATAGTCAGACTTGAGGATACGGTAGAATTGGAATTATTTATTTAAAAAAATCGTATAATAAATGTAATAAGTGTCTACTCATTGGTTCTCTCCTTCTTCTCAATGGTCGCCCCATTGTCTTCCTTATTTACAGTCGCTTCCCAATCAGATTTAATATCATCCATCTACAATAAAAAAAGTTTGTAATATTTGAACCAAACTTCATCTAAAACAATATGACCTAACCTACAGTAGGATAATCTCCTTTCTTGGCTACCCTTCCCGCTTTTATCAGTTCTTGTTTGTCATCGTAGACTTGTGTCTTTGGTTTGGGAGCATTGGCCGCAGATTGGGATGTTGATTTTAAGGAGCTGTCTTCATCTACTAAAGCATGACCTCCCTTCTTCTCACTCAGCTTCACATTCATCTCATCCTCGAGTTTCTTTGATTTTTCTGATTTTTCGGGCACAAATTGAGACAATGATTGATTGGAAGATGAGAGAAATATGACCTTTAAATGATAAAACAAGTTAGAAAGAGTAGTCCTTGAGGAAATAACGAGCTCATGAGCACTCACCGCACTCTTGTCCACGTCCTTCACCTTATGGGAAGGTCCTCTTTTCCTGTTCTTACCCCTCTTCTCCTAAAAAAGTAATCAAATTTCCGAATATAAACTGCATCACAGTTTAAAAGGCATTTTCAAGGGCCATCATCTTCTCCCATCACATTCCAATTTGCATATCAAAATGTTTGTTTTTGACTGCTTACACTCTTCTTCGTTTTTTTCCGATCTGATCCATGATCTCTATGCCTCTTTTTGTGCTTTCTTTTCTTCTCTTCTAGCGTTTGTTCTGTGGGGTTTTCTTTATTTTTTCTGTTTCCACATACAATCAAATTCCAGAGGATGGAGATGATTGAAAGAAGGGCAACAACGACATCTAAAGTGATTGCAATTTAAAATTAAAAAGTACGTTAATTACTCAGAAATCCAAAGCTTTCCTACTAGTAATATCCGGGAGATCTTCAGTTCCGATCCATCTTTGTGCCAGCCGATACATGATTCGGTAAAAGAGAAAATGATTTCTCGATTACTTTTTAAAATTTTTTTTTATTTTCTAATCCAAATGACGTCATTCCAATTGTCTAAAGTCCCGTTTCTCGGGCTGATTATTTTTTATTACCATTTGGCACTCCAATCACTCAATTTGCAATGGGGCCGTCCCTTAAAACGTGTCAAATTGAGGGGCAAAGTGCGGAAAGAAGCCTGCCCCGGGCATTTATTTGTTTTCTAATTCGAATATCCTGTTTTTATTACTTTCCCACACCGAAAGTCTGGCCGAGTCAGCCGTTGGATATTGTAGCGTTTCCTTTTCTAATCATCAAACTGGAAAACTTTTAATTGTCGACCAGACTGAGCTCTACAGTAATGTGTTGGTGGGTAGATCCCCGATGCTCATCGCAATGGAATCCGTTATTGTCTCTAACGAGGCTATTCTTGTCCTCTCCTTCTATTTATGGACAGTATACTTTATAAGCTCGGTTATGTTCGTTCTTGCCCTCAGGCCTCCTATTCGTATCCAATTTAAGTCTGCTTTTGTTTTTTGGTTCAATAACCCAAGGAAAAAAATCCGAGGCGGTTCTTATGTTATCCATAACCCTACTGTCGGTCTCGTATTGTTGATGCCTAGTGCAATATAAAACGGATGTTAGAACGGGTGTGTAAGTCTTAGAGAAAAATCTTATGGAAATTAGCATGCTAACTTTGGTCTGTGATGTCTTATGTAATATAAATTTGAACTCTATGAGAGATCTAAGTGAATTTTAAGGCAATTTGGCTGCTACCTAGAAAATGCGAGAACGTGTAATGGCAGCTGTTTACATTCCAACTACAAATTTTTTCGTCTTCTCACACTTCTTTCAGTTTCTTCTTGAGAACAAATAGAGTTTAATGTGGAGTAAAATTGTAATTTCGAATAGAAATTAGTTTCTGAATAAAAATAATTGGCATTAGGTGATCAGGTTTCTCTTAACCAATTCTAGGCATGTTTTCCCAAGTTTTTTAAAGATGATTAGAATTTGTTTTTGGTGGCTAAAGTATCTGGAAATAATTTTTTTTATTAAAACTTTTTGTGCTCAAATTGCCCGAGGGTTTATTAAATGGAATTCAGAGAGGATACTTGGTCATTTCATCTTAAGATTAATTATTTTGTCCAGAAGGGGCGTGTGCTTTTGGGATGTTTCGAATCCAGGGATCATAAGTATGGGCCCTGGACAAGAATTCAGGGATAAGTGCACTTGTCCATTTTTTGGGTTTCCCCTATTTTGGCCGTATGAAACAACGTTTTCAAAAAATGCTAGCGCGCAAATCGTTCAAAATTAGGTTCATTTTTCATATTTGCTTTCAAAAAATATCAACCGAATACGGTATTTTTTACAAAGATAAAAACTGATGACTAAACATACTGTCATGTCGAATGGAGATTGTTTCGCCCCTACTGCTTTTATACTATAATATTCAATGTCTTACAGAAAACGTGAAGGGAAGTCGGAGGCTATAACTTCCGGCGGAGGCGGCGCAGAGACTTTGTTTTTGGAATATGTGTTTTTAAGCGACAATGATTTTTGTCTATGAAATAACAAGATTTTAAAGGGCTAACTGAAAGCGCTATGACCATATAAAGTAGGACCACTTTACCCCGAAAACCAGCATTTTTTGGTTTAAAATTACCAAAAAATCTTGGACTTTTTCGGTTGAAAGTCGTCGAGAAATGCTCTTTTTTGGTCGATAGAGTTGATCTTGAAAACAGGGAAGGAAATTGCCAATACGTTGCAAATCATGCAAGAATTCTACTATTCCGAGATCCGCGTATGACCCTGAGGGCACTTTTCAAGAAAGTTTCCAAAATTCTTTTGTCCTTACGGTGGACAGCTGAAATTAAATAAAAACTCCAAAAATCTGTCTTGTGCCTCAGGGAAGAGGAAATACTTTGCTAGAGTAGAGCATGAATCGATTGATGATCAAACTTGTTGAAGAAATGGAGTTCATATAAAGCACGTTACCTATAAATTTCAGCGGATCTAGTCCAAAGTTAAAAGTTGCGCAGTCTTACATAACGTTGCGCAATTCCTCTTGTTGTAAAAATCTCTGCCTTTCTCTGTCGGCTCCTCCCCTCCCCCTTTGTTGCAAACTTTCAACTTTGGACTAAATCCGCGGGCTTGGGATGGACTAGCGCGCTGAAATTTATAAGTAAGGTACCATATCTAGACTGGTCCAAGTTAAATCGGCGGAGCATAGGACCCTGTATTCCCCTTCCAATTTCTGTTTTTGGTTGTCAAAAGCGCAACATTCCAAGACGCAACTGTTTTATCCGCGTTATCCTTTTTAATTCATCTTTGTTTTCCTTTCTTCAGCTTTATGCCTTTTGTTGTTGTCGGATAATTTATGAATTGTGAGAGTGGTCCCGCGAGACCTTCCAAAGATGAGATCCGAAGCCATTTGGATGCGCCGTTGCGTCCTCATTCCAATTCAATCTGTGGATCCCTTTTGAATCCCGAGAAGCCGAACAGGGCCTGTATGCATAGATCGTCGGATGGTCTTTTGTTGAGTGACCAGTTCCGCTTATCGACCAAACGGGAAAGTATTCGACCATCCATCCAGGACGACTTTTATTATCAGACTTTGCATGGTATGGCTGGCTTCTGTCAATTGTAATGTATTTTATAAAAATATCTCATATTTTGTATAATCTTTTCAGCTCGTCAAGAGAGCAGTATTTTCGCGACCGTATGGGCCTCCTACATCTTTGTGTTTATCTCCGTTCTAATAACTTTTTCAATTGTTTTTTCTGTTGGTTATCTCCTCAGCTCGATGACAGCTAATCAACGGACCTCAGGAGCTTCTCTAAACTCCACTTATAATGTGAGGTCCATTCAGAAATAAAATTCTTCGCCTTTTCTATCGTATATTTCCCAATTTCAGTTTACTGAAACGAGTATGAGGACGGTGGAGAGAGTCCGAGATGTTCTTCAGTTGAAGAAAAACAACAACCGACCTCCCAGTGGATTCTATAGTGCCCAAAATTGAGACGGGTTAATTTGGAATAAGCCGTGACTTGTGAATACCTCATCTGAACATTACTTATGCCTGAGCAGGCCTTCTTTTGGTTGAATAAATATTATTTTGCCCTCCGGCGTTTCGAATATAACTCCAAATGTCTGTAAATTTGCCCCCAATTAATTCCCGGCTCAGAGACGACAGCATGAAGCCGAAGAAACCAAAACTAATTGGACCTCTGCCCCCCATCGGTGAGTACATCTTCAGAGTGATCTCGTTCATGTTTTAACATGAATTTAAAAAATCAAAAGATCAAAATATTAGACTAGATTGGATTTGAACTTGAAATTCGAGAATCCCGAGTAAATACTGGTCTTTTTCTTGAAGGACTTCTGACCAACTTGTATAAAATCAAAAAAAAAAAAAATTTTAGAGACAAGGAAACAAGACGTTTCGAGTATGTGGAGGAAGATCGAAAACAAGATCCATCCGGTCATACTGCCCAAATTAATCGCGGCCGAAAAGAATTCCGAAGCAGCCTTGGAAGACTACATCACGGACACTGGCAGGATCACTCAGACCTCCGCTGATTTCGTCAAAAAATTTGATTTCTTCGCGGAATTTCTTGCCGGTAATGACATTGATGCCAGAAAATTCTCCGAATATCTCAAATTTCAAAAGTAAGAACTGTTTTTTTGATGTGTCAGCTGTCTAAAACTGTTTGCAATGTAAACACAATCCTTAAAATTGACCGCTGCCACTGTAAATAATCGATTACTCACAGTGTTTGTTCAGTTTCTGCAAGATTCACGGTGATTCAGAGAGAAAACAGCGTCTTTTCTACTCATTGAAGGCCAGAAAATCGATTATTCAGAGGCAAATCCAGGTGGTGGACGAGGAATTGATCTCGTTAGATGATGCATCGAGGGTGTTCAATCAGATTGCGAGCGATAATGTGGGTCTGAATATTCATGACTTTATTTTATTCGATTTCAGAGCGAAAATATCCAAGATCTTTTTAATCAATTGGTCGAGAAATACTCAAAATTATCATACGAATTGGTGTCCATAAAGGCCAAAGAAGAGTTTTGGAAAACAAAACTCAAACTTCAGAAGGCGGTGTAAGTCGAGAATTAAAAATTTTAATTTTGAAATCACAACATTACGCCAAAACATAATGCCAGAATTAATTTGTTGATCGAAGACAATCTTTTTTAGAGCTGATCGTGGAATCGACGACGATCAAGTGAATATCATGAAGCAGGAGCTGAATATCGAATATCTGCTCTCTATTTCCCTGGACAAACATATCTCGGAGCTGGTCACTCTCAATTTTGACATTTTGTCATCTGATCCGATGGCACCCGAGGTGATGACAGAGCCGCCAAAACAAGAAGAAGATCCCAGACCTCAGTCGAAGCAGTACATGGAGGCCCTCAACCAATTAATCCATCTCAAACCAAAGCCCAAAAAAAGAGCAAAATAAAAGTTTTATCATTTTTCTCGAGGTGAAACAATGGATAAATGAAAAGAAAGCCTGGGGAAAGAAGAGGTTACTGAGATCCTGAGCTGGTAATATAGCCATAGATTTGGACATTAGGAAGTCGCCCTAATGTCCTCGATTTTTAGATTACCCATTTAGACACTGATTGGCTGATCTTTGGGGAACGTCTTATTGGGGCGATGTTGTTGCCGATCATGTAAAAAGACTAGAACAGTGGCCGGGATACTGGACAGGAATGCGACGAATAAACATATCAGACTGGCCACTCCGAGGTAGAACGAATATCCTTTCGATTGCTAAAAGGATTGCATCAAATTAATATGAGCTCTTACTTCGTATGTCATCGTGATCCCATGAACAAATCGAACTTCATGTTTGTGGGAATTGAAGAAGAAAACTGATAAGGCCGTGGCCAAACAAACGGCTAAAATGGAATTAAAGTAGTGTAAAATGTTAAACGTACTCGAGATCAGAAGAAGAACATTGGCCACGATCCCGCAGATCCTGATGCAAGCAGTGCAGAAGACAAAACAGAGCCCAACAGTCCCGCTGACCAGAGATATGGCGATAAATGTGAGAACAGCCCCATGCCAGCCTGAAATAAATGTTTTTAGTCAGAACACTAAACTGATCATTTTACTATGAAATTTATGTTGTTCTTCCTCAGCATGGACGGAATCTGAGTAATCTGTATTCGCATAAAAAGCAGACTCGAACTTGTAAGTGCATTGGAGATCATTGTTCATCCCTTGCAGATGCCTCCTATTCAGAGTGCAATCCATCCACAATCCATGTTGATGTTCGGCCTGGAATTCGGCCAGATAGACGGTCTGCCAAGCCGGGGTTACCAATGCCACCACACACAAAATGAGGGCGATGATGAGCAGGACTGTGGTCAGAGTGATCAACGCCAAACGCCCCAAACTGACGGCGGACATGGTCTGAAACAAAGCCATCTAAATCACGCAAAACACGGATAATGCCTTTCTCTTCGCTCGGGGCCCTGAGGGCTTGTCTTCGCGTCTTCACACAGCTGCTCTTGGCGCTCCCGAATAAACAAAAAAAAACTCAAGGAATATTATTTTGGAGGTGCTGATGAGTCAAGAAGGCCCAATCGCCGCTGGCAATAAACCCGTCAAACCAGCGATAACATTATGCGATACATTATATGCAAATGATTGGACGGCCCTCCTCCTTGCACCGTATAATGACAGGAATGATATAAGAGCTATACTGTTTCGAATACCCGCGAGGAGGTTAACATTAAGTGCATGAACAAACAAATTGCTTTCCAATTCTTTTTTTCTTCTTGAGTAGAACGGGTAAAGGTGAGAACAGGACCCGCCCTGGCTCGGCCATAAGCAGTTTAGCTCCGGGAAAACTTTGGAAATTATTTATGTACAGGGAGATGAGAACAAATAGTTACGAAGACAAAGTTCAGATGTCTATTTTACAAAAAGAATAGTACGAATTTTCTCAAAAATACTTTTAAAGATCAAAGAACTTTATTTTCCCAAACAAATTATCATTTCGGAAGAATGTCACGACGAAGTCCCATCGATGGATTCATCATTATTTTCACGAGATCCTCTACCAGAAGCGGCCGCATTCCGCCTTTGCACCCGAGGTATAATGGCACGCGGAAGTGCTGAAAAAGGAAGAAAAGTAAGCTTGGGATGATAATCATCTTGATGGACATTGGAATTGCATTCTGATAGGTACTTTATTTTTAAATTTCAGAGTCGAACTACGATTGGAACGAGAAGAGGCGAGACCCGAGGGCGTGGAGGGTTGGCTCGACGGAAATACACGGAAGGAGCAAACCGCTGCTCGGTGGAGAAGCAGACCACCACCAACAACGAAGCCCCGAGGGTCGCCATCGCGGCCAAATTCGTCCATAAAGGATTACCAAAAGACAGCGGTAATTCTGTAAGTTTGCTTAGCTTACATTATCTATGGACTGTGTACACCATAGACTGAGATTAACGAAAACAGAAAGGGAGTTTCGAGGGGCCCATCCTGTATAGTGTTGTGGTAGTAAGCCGATATTTTATTAGTACGGTAGCATTTGGTAATAACATTAAGCCGAATTTAATCCATTTAATTTCAGGAGCATTCGAAGCCCGGAAATTCTAAACAGGCAGCCTGTAAGCTGTGGTTTGATCAAGTGTACGATTTGGGATTACCTAAGCTACGAAAAGAGTTTGTTCACAAAATCAAACTGTCTAATCCCGATGGTGCTCACGAAGCTTGCATGGCAGAAGCAAACTTCAGTAAGAACAGATACGATGATGTTTTCTGTTGGACAAGACCCGGATCAAAGTCCATATTAATCCAGAGAAAGGTAATCAAAAAAATTATGTCGTTTAATACGCACATTTTCAGACGATTACATTCATGCCAGCGCCGTCGAGGTCCATTCTGAATTGACTTACATCTGTGCCCAAGGTCCAATGGAGAATACAGTAGCCCAATTCTGGTTGATGTGCATCCAAGAAGATGTCCGTGTCATCCTCCAATTGTGTCAGAATACTGAAGATGGAAAAGAGAAGTGCTCGGAGTACATGACCGGAGGGAAATTAGACTGGGTGACCTATGGACCAGTCCAAGTCAAGCAGGTGGACTACCAGAAGAATGTGGCCGGAACCAAGAAGGTGAACAGAACCAAAATACAAGTCAAGTTCAACGATAAGGTCCATTCCTGTACCCATCTACTGTATGCGGGATGGCCAGATCATGGAGTGCCGGAGAGTGTGGCCACTTGTCGAGAAGTCAGGAATTTGGTCCACAAGTATTATGAAAAAAAGCCCATCGTCATCCATTGTTCGGCAGGCGTTGGCAAGGATAATCTTTTTAATTAAGGCGTACAAGGGCTTCGTAATGTTACATTATTTCGATGTTTATAGGAAGGACAGGAACATTTGTTGCGATAGAAATGGTTTGTTACAAACTGATGCACGAAGAGAACGCGAACTTCACAATGCTGGAACTTGTTAAAAACCTCAGAGAACAAAGAATGCATGCCGTCCAAAACGATCAGGTATTTCTTGTTTCTTATACTGAGTACTGTATTTGTAATGGCACCTTTTGTTTTGGTATATTTACAGCAATATTGCTTCATCATACGATGTGTGATCGAAATTCTGGTGGCAGAGGACTGCTTGTCGCGCAATCCCCGCGTCATACAATTCATCCAGGACTTCGAGGAAATGGTTGAACGGAAGAAGAAACAACGAGCCGCCAAAGCCGTCGAGAAAGATTAAGAAAACTCTCAGAAAGGACATTGATAAACCAGAGTAACGTGTGGCGAGGTCATGTCGGATGAGGGAGGGGGAGCTGAGGTCGGGCAAACAAAACCTGGTTCATGGTTGGGTGAATTCAAGAAAATGCGAGGAAAGAGTCCGAAATTCGAGGTATAATCGCGTCAAGGAATGGGCGGCACTTTAAGCCCGGAGGGGATGTCGTTGGATGATTATTCACTTATTCGAGTCCAGGCCCTCCGGGTCTCTTCGGTCCTGTTTCGAGTCGTTTTTTGTCTCCAGGAAGGTGTCGATGGTTCAGTGTTTCGGCTACCTATGCACCTTGTCCTCATCCTGTTCATAGGCATATCATACGTTGGAGCTGTTGATCTCGAATGTTTTATGGGCCGAAATCCCGTTGGATACACGCCACACATTTATGATGTTTGTCATCGTTATCGGTTCCATCAGACTCCGCAATGTCTCAAATTTACGCAAGGAAGTGTGGTGACACGAGACTGTGATCCTTCTTTTCTTTGTGAGGTAATCACAGTATTTCCTCGTACTCCTTTCTTCGTTTATAATGTTTTTGCCGTACAGTAATCATTTCCGTTGCAGCGTTTCAACATAAAGAACAAATGCGTCCGAAACCTGGCCCAGGCCAATCTTTATGGGGAGATTTGCTGCTGCTCCACCGATCTATGTAATGGAAGTATGGCCATCTCGGCTAAACTTGTATTGCCCTTAATTGGCTTCGTTTCTCTGCTCGTTATCTGAGATGGAGCGACTTTTTTCTTCAAAAGTGCCTCAATTATAACACGGCTATCTACGATTGTATTAACCGCAATAAAAATATAAAATTTCCGTTTACTTCTTGAGAAAGGTAAGAGTCAAGATGCCAAGATGGTTGAGGTAAGAAGTCATGATGTCAGTTCGGAGTTCGTGGATGGGAATAACGACTCGACGACAAAGTTTGGTCAGCACACTGGTCTTGTCATCCAACGGGACCTCTTCTACTGCATTCACAATTAATTTTTTCTGTGAAAAGAAAACTGAAACGCCATCAGCTTTAAAATGACCCATGGGGACCTTGATTATACACCTTCGTTTCTCCATTACCACCTAAATAATGGCGGTTTCCTTTACAAGAATACTTAATTTGATGATTACCTCCACATCCATTGCTCTGAGATGAGCCAATTCATTGTCCAGTCTTTCAATAAGCCTTTCCTTGCGGCTTTGCTCAACCACCGGTTTATCAAGTTTCATTTTGACACCGTCAGAAACAGTTTCGTTATGACTTTTGACAAGATTCCATGGAGAAACATTCGGAGCCATAACTCTGCGAGATATCAGCTTTAGAAAATAACCCTTTTGAATACTACAAGAGAAGAATACAAAGGCTGCCTCTATAACTTCGTATAGCAACTCTCGCGAAAACAAAAAATAAAAACGCGGAGGGAATCCGTAGATCTACGATATTCCGCTATTTGAGTAAGTAATCTGCGTAGGTTGTAAGTGGCGGGTCGCGCAGGATTCCGAGATAAATTCCGAATTTAAATATCAAAGTTCCTTTAATGAACAAATCAATAAACGAAAAAATCTAATTCCATTACCAATCAAGTGGCAAAGCCGAACCTATTATTCATTTAGAGGGCGAACAGGATCATGAAACCCATGGTCAAACAGAACAGACCCATAGCCTCGGACAGGGCGAATCCAAGAATGGCGTAGGAGAACAGCTGCTGCTTCAGGGATGGGTTTCTGGCGTATCCGATAACGAGAGCTCCGAAGACGTTACCAATACCGGCACCAGATCCAGCAACACCGACGGTAGCGGCTCCAGCACCAATGTACTTGGCGGCGGAGTCGATATCCTTGCGTTGAGCACTCAGGTGGAGGCAGCGAGCGGCCAAGGCGTTCTCAGCTCTCAGGGCCAAAGGTCCACGGGCGACGACGGCACGGGCGAGTGGAACAGCGAGGCGCTGGCAGTACATTCTCGAGGCTAAAATACAAATAAACAGTCAGCGTCACACATGAAGCACGAATTGCAACCTGACACGGATAAAACGATCAAAATAAAAACGACCGCGGTTCAACCAAGTCCTTTGCAAATAACAGTTCGAAAAAAAACCGGTGCAAATATCAAGAAAACTTTCCTTGAGTAATACCTAAACAAAGAAAAACAAAACCTTCCAAGTCTTACCAAGAAATGGACACTTTATTCAAAATTTGGCAACGGAGAAAGTCAAAAACCGTGTCTGCTAGGAATTTTTGCTCGTTTTCAAGGTTTTCGAGCTGGTCTCAGCACGAAAAGAAGGAAATGCGAATCAAATTCAAAACGGAAAAAAAGAAATTTGCGAAAAAGAGAGATTAGAAATTTCAGTCTTTTCCATGAATCAGGTCGACTTGTTCTTACAATTTTGTGCCTTCTTTTTGATTGCCTTGTTTTTTTTCTTTTTGCTACTTCATGAGTTGATTCCGATTTTGCGAATTCTTTTAATTTTCACCTAGTTCTGGTCGATTTTCTGCCACTGGTCAATTCGATGCGCGACTAGTCATGTTTTGCCGCGATTATCCATGGTGACGACTTTTTACTAACTCGTTTTGTGATCTCCAGAAATTGGCCCCATCTGCTTGAGAATGGGTTCATGATTTCGCTGACCCGACTGGCGACTTGGCGACTTCGCCTTAGACGGCTTTGTGGCTTATCACTCACTCCGCTCAGTTCGTAAGTCATTCTCTTCTTTTTTTACAATAAATTTCTTCTCTAGAAGGCTTCGAAACTCTGGCTGTGCTGCTCAAAAACCTCAGAAAACCGTTGTTGTAGAAATGGATCAGAAGTCGGCAATGCGGGACTTTGTTGAGCGGGTTGACCGCTTCGTCGAGGGTGGTTTCTCTGAGGTCAACATGGATTTTGCGGTAAGTAGCAACTTTTGAATGCATTTGATTGGTAGGAATATGTAAACATTCGATTTTCTTATCTTATATTGGAAACAATGAAATTTTTTTCAGAAATTACGAGGAATTCAGGACGAATTTCAACTCGAAAACGAATATTCGATGTCTGATGGCCTTTCTTGTGTACTGCAAAACAGATATCGAGACGTCGTCCCATGTATGTTATTGTTTTACCTAATGCAACTTAAATTTTTAGATAACAAAAACCGGATAAAGCTCAAAGACCGCGAAGCCCCTGACAACGACTATATCAACGCTTCATTAATTGAATATCCCGATGTGGAGCGAAAGTATATTGCCGCACAGGCTCCTTTGCCAAACACAATAGATGACTTCTGGCATATGATCGGCCAGAATAATGTTAAGGTGGTCGTTATGCTTTGCAAGACCGTTGAAAATTCTATGGTATGTGTGTTATTAAATAGACACTGTTTTTTAGTCAAAGTGCGTTCAATATTTCCCCGAAAATGTTGGGGACACGATGGATATTACGCATGGTGTGCTTGAAACAATAAAAGAAGAAAAGTTTGATGAATTTTCCGTTAGAGAACTTAAGTTCGTCCATAGCAAGTTTGGAGAGTCCATAATCTATCAATTACATTATACGGAATGGCCAGATCACGGCTGTCCGAACGGTCTTGATCAAGTTTTTCGATTTGTTGAATTGATGGATGAATGTCAACTGAAATATGCTCAAGACAAGTCACCATTACTTCTACATTGTTCTGCCGGTTGTGGCCGGACAGGAACTGTTGTTGGGGTCGATATCTTTAGGACTTTAATTAGAGAAAACGTAAGTTTCTTTAGCGTCGATGTATTCTGTATCCATCGCCTGTTTATTTTATACGTCATCTGAAATTATCGGTATTATTGTGATGTTTTCAGAAAATCAACTCCAAGATTGATCTCCAGGAATTTGTTTTGACACTTCGGAAGCAGCGAACGGCCTTTGTTCAGTCAGCTGTAAGTGATTTGATTATAATCTTACTCTAGTTTAGTCTCAATATCAATTACTCCACAAATTGGTAGCTCATTACTGTAAACTCGCTTTGGAAACAGAGGAATCGGAGAAAGAGGAGGCAAAATGCGCTGCGAACGAGCCAGATGTTGATATGAACGAGAACAACGAGAGTGATCAGCATTTGGAGGAAGAGGAAACCGTAAGCGGGGGTTTTGAGTGTCCAGTTTATATTCTAAGGCCCTTTGCTGCGAATTTATGACCTTAGGGATTTCTTCGTACGGTATGACCTCAGGCATCCCACCTTCTACTTTTCTTAATCTCGCATGAATGATCTCTTTTCAGGTGAACGTCCGTCTCTAATGTAATTTGGATATATCGGGTCAATCGGCGAGCTTTTTTTAACAATTGATCGGTTTTTAATAGCTTTAAAGTAGTAATATGGTATTTATAATAATGTAATTGTTTTTATCTCGTCAGATCATATCCATTCATTCATTTCCCCCCTCCCTTAATATTGTGTTCAACTCACCCGTTAACCGAGGTAATTCCCTTTCATTTCCATTTCCAAAACTCACTTTTTGTCCATGTTCATTTATATTTTATATCGTGCATAGATTGTCTTATACTGTTAATTACTTCCTCATTATATAATGTGCCGAATTTATGTTGTAAAAATTGAGTGTGAAGTTCGGATTCTTTAAAATTTTGTAAAATGAAGTCCAAGAGGATCAGAGAATTCCTGCGAGGTCCAGAGAATTGGGTCAAAAATGACTCGAACAGATGGATCGGGGCGACAAAAAGAAGTTATGTTTGTCTAACAACTTCTGCGGATTAATTGGTTATTCAGTGTGACTTCTTGTTGGCCTTGGCCGGGACATCGTCAAGCCTAACCAAATTCGAATTGAGGCGTAAAAGTTGTTGGCCACATGATGAATGGACAGCGGACACGGGCATTTCTCTTCCTCTTGTGGTCATTCTCAGCGCGTTTCCTGTCCCCGACGACACGACATTTGCCTTCCTCCCCTCGGGCCATCCGTTTTTGTCAGTAGGAATGTGCCAGGATCGGGGTCCGAGTGTTGTTTGCCCTTAGGGAATTGCGCCTTTCAATCTTCGAAGCACTTACGAACCGTTCCATTTGCAGTCCATACCGCCGATAAGCACAGCCTCCATTATGAAAGGAGGTATTGTGCATAAAACCTATTATTCGGGAAGGAGAGACTTGTCTCGCTCTGTGGGTCATCTGTTTCCCTCTCGAAAGGCCTTCGTTTTCGGATTTTTTGGAGAAACGGGGATTGAATGTCAATTAATGATATGGATGATGAGCAATACACCCTGTTCTTGTTGATCTCCTGCTATTTTTTGCGCGTCCGAGATGAAAAGACGGCTGGTCTCTGAGTTGGGAGGGGAGGGGAAGATGGGAAGGGAATAGGTCGCGCTTTTTTTGTCGCTTCTCCAAAACCTCGAACATTGCCCTCAGCTACACTATTCCACGGCGGCTATGTTCTTTATTCTGTCATAGCGACAGTTCACAGTTCCGGATTTAACCTTTATTTGCCTCGTTTGTTGAATTTGAAGAAAATAGCGCGGGATAATTGCATTTTTATGTCGTTTTAACGCAACATGCCCTTGACATGAGGTTTCGACCGCTTTCTAAGTGATTACGTTTGGTTGCAGCAGATGGCATGGAGAAATCAGCCAAATACTTGCGCTTCTCCATGTCCACGTGCAGTCCCCTCGACAAGTGCGTCTCGGATGCTGGAATCATATGAAATATCCGATGATTTACAACGTCGCCATATTCAGGTAAATAAAATGGCTGGTTTTGAATATTTATAGGCTTTGGAAAGGAAATATGGAGGAAAGTTGAGAGCCCATTCCGCTGCCACCAAGATCCAAAGGGCCTTTCGTCTGTATCGTCTGCATAAACAGTTCCGATCAGTGGTGACACGGGAATCAAATCTGCCCTCCGAGTTCTCACCTAGGTCATTGGAAACCGAATTTCTGTATGGGAAGTCGATGAACGATGCCTTTCCACTGGTTCGAGGAACGGCCACGGTCTCCCAGCCGGTTCTAAAGTAAGTTCGGTTTGTTTTTGTTGCCCTAGTTTAGGTATGCACGACGTAACTGAGCTTTTGAGACAACCTGTAATAAATCAACATTCGCGGTGTTTTTAGGTATCAGGCAGCTAATTCTCTCCGCGCCCAGTTATTTGTCGAACGATCAGTAATATCACCACGCAAGAATTCCACACCGCTAGCAGAAAACATGATTCAGAACTCAGGAAATGGGAGTAGTTCGTCCCGAGGCTTTGCAGAGCTGATGTCGCCACGTCTCAGTCAGCGACACGCCTTCGGATCGCCGTATGGCAGCAATGTTTATTCGAATTCGATGTCGCCATCTGTTTGGGTGCCCCAGCGCGGGAAGAAGACCGATTTGAGGAGTCCGTCGCCTTGCTCCCGAGTTCAAGATCCTCCATTTTCCTTGAGCGACGGCCACGCCAATCTGAACCACACGAATAGCCTGCCACGCCTGGACGGGGCCCGCAAATTTAAGTCGAATCTGGATTGTCGGCCAGGGTAAGAAGGGCTTATTAAATGGTGGGTGCGCGGCTTTTTCGATCCGCGAGGTTTCCCTTCCGGTGGCCGAATAACTGAAAGGAATGGCAGGGGTCGCCCTTATTTATTTACTGATGTTCTGATGATTTTTCTCGTCTTTTTATCTCTGGGTGTGCGTTCAGAACCCAATCCCATTTCGTTTGAAGCGCCGTTTTATCAGTGGATCTACACAAAAACCGTGTTGGCACTAAGTTAAATGATTTTAAAGACAACGTTTACTTCTAATTATTTTTTTTGGTCCCAATTTATACCAGAAATGTCAGAGAGCTTTTTTTTCGATAGTTTCTAAGTATGCCTTTTCGTTATGAAATCAAAATAACTCTTTTTTATTATTCGGTGGGTCTCTTATATCACAAATTTCTCATCGCCGGTCTTGCTCCCCTGATCCCTCCGATTTCCCGTAATATTTATTTATTTTCAGTATGCCAAGCAACGGGGATATTACCCAGTTTAAACAGACATCGGGCGGCTCTGTTCTCTGTTCTCAGAACGCGTCGGTCTCGCTGAATGTGAATGCTGAAACTTCGTATTCGATAAGGTCAACCAAAGAAAGTGATCTGCATCGTCGTCGACTCTACAGAATCGCTCTTAACTTCTTTAACAAAAAGCCGGATAGAGGGATCCGACTGCTTATCGATTGGGGATTTGTCGATGAAAACCCGAATGCCATAGCTAAGCTATTTTTGAGTCGGCGAGGACTGGGAAAACAGATGATCGGCGAGTTTTTGGGCACGCTAAGATCAACTTTCCACGCGCAGATCCTAGAAGATGTCCTATCGCAGATATCTATGCATAATGTGGAGGTGGATTCGGCTTTGAGAGAGATGCTGCATTACTTCCGACTTCCAAGCGAAGCACAGAAGATCGACTACGTCATGCAGGTAAGGAAACTGGTCAGCTTTCGTATTGCGCAAAGCGTTACGTAAAGCGTTTGTATGAATGTGTCGATCATTAAGCCGTTTTGAAGAGGGGGACTTGAATTGATCGCATGAGGGGAGTATTATTTGTGAAGAGTCGGGTTAACAGTCTGATAAGAGGATTTCCTCGTAAGAACAAGCGAGTAGTAAGGAAATAATTTTTGCAGGCCTTTGCACGTCGATATAAACAATGCAATGCCGGCAGATTACCTCCAGAGATCACAACCGATGCCATATACATCTTGGCTTTTGCTACCATTATGTTGAATACAGATTTGCATTCTCCCTCGATGAAAGAAAGCAAGAAAATGACCGTTGACGAATTTGTTCGGAATACTTGGAGAGCTGACGACAGTAAAATGTTTGAGAGGTAATCCTTTTTATACCTTTATTGCCACTTTTTTTGTTTTAATTATTTTTTTATGTTCAGAGAAATGCTAGTCGGAATCTATGACCGGGTTAAGGAGAATGAAATCAGATCCGGCAGTGATCATGTTGGCCAAGTACTCAAAGTCGATCAGAGTATTGTTGGAAAAGACAAGCCCCTGTTGGTAGAACAACACCGACGTCTGATATGTTATTGCCGACTGAATCAGATAGCCGATCCCAACAAGAAACAGGCCATTACTGCCCATCAACGCGAGATCTTCTTGTTTAACGACGTCGTGTTGATCACGAAGAATGTGAATAAAAAGAAGACCAGTACGCAATATGTTCTCAGACTGTGGAGTCCACTAATTGGAGCGACGATTCAACCATTCGAGAATCAGTATTACTCTTATGGATTGAAGTTTTCTCTGCCAGGGAGTCCAGTGTTGTATTTCAATGCTAAGAATGGAGATGACAGGTGAATAATTGAAACCTAAATTACTCTAAATTTAGGTGCAAATTTATGGCTGATGTCAAAGAGTCTGTCGCCGAATCCACTGAAATGGAACAACTCAGACTAAAATTTGAGTTGGACAAGCAAAGAGATGGCGATCAGAGAGCTTCGATGAATCATCTACACAGAACTGACAGCCAAAGGGATTCGGGACTTCCAGATCTTGATCAAAGTTCTCCACTGATGAGTCGAAACTCAGATTCTTCCTTTCGGAACGTCGGGCTTTCGTCGACCTCTTCAACCGAATACAATACCCCTCAGAAATGTTCGCAACAGCCAAGTTATTCTTCTGCCGCTGGTCCCCGAACTCCGATTCATGTAGTACAATCTCCAACTGGGGTTGCCCCTTTAGCCCCAAATGGACGCCGTCTTAGCTTCAATTCTCTGGATTCGGGCATGGTGGAGGAGAACAATGAATTCTCCATCTAGATCCTCCTAATCTTCCCACTTTTACATCCCCATTCTTTTGGATTAGATGTTTTTACTCAGGTCTTCTCTGTCAGACTTTATATTGCTTCAAGACTAACACGACCCAGTGTTTCCTCGAGTAATACTTTCCTTTCTGCTCATCGATCGGCAGCGCCGATTTTGTCTATAATATAACAAGATGTACAAATTGAATGAATAGATAGACGGGTAGCCTTCCCTAGGTTCGCTTCTCTTTTCCCATCACTTACTACATCTCTCACGTGTATTTAAGCGTATTCATGCAATAAAACTCGGCGTTTTATGCTCAGTTCTTGTATCTTGTATGTATATCGGTTATTTACGTTTATTATTTTAACATGCAGTAAACTTTTATCATATAATGTGTTCTGTTGTCAGTAATGACAGAGAATTCGGCCGCCAATAAGACTAGCGAAATGGCCAAGAGAATGTTTAGTTCGGCGAGGAAGAGGAAACTTGAAGAGACGACCGAAAAAGAAATAAATCAGAAAGCTGGGACCAGTGATAGTAACGATAACAGTGCTGATGCAAAGACCACAGAAAGAGATGAGCTTCTACGGCAGAAAGCCAAACAAGCATTGCTAAGAGAATCTGCCAGAGGGAAGCAACGAGCTGAACGGATGGGTTCGGAAGGATGGTAGGCAATTCAAAAACTGCTGATTCTTTTAGACTTTTTCAGGATTCGGCCGACCTCGCTCAACACAAACAAGATATTCCTCAACAGGATGGTACAATCTACATTATCGAAGTCCTTGCAAAGACCTCAGCCTTCGACGAAACATACCGATAAATCTCACAACGACCTCAATAAATCCACCAAATCATAAATGGTACAGTATTTATATTAAATAATTGTTAGAAAGTGATGGGAGATCTGAAGATTAATATACTTGAGAGATAGTCTTGTTGGCGGCGTCGAATTTAAAGTGATTGGTTTGGAAGGTTCGGCTGCTGTAGAAGCTGTCCAAATTTCCGAGTTTCATTTCTTTTGCCTAAAATAATGTAGTGAAGACATAATACGAAGCTAACGATTACCTTTTCCAAAAGATCCGATTCCTTGATGACAATCTGAGCGTTTTCATCGTCTTGAGAGTGGCGAGATTTCTCGAAGAACCTCTTTTGTCTGATCATCTGTTTCAGGTAATACATCAGAATCTCGTTGACATCGCGTTTGAAGTTGAGTTGACGAGTGAATTTCTGCAAGAGATTTAAATTAGCATAAATAATAAAAGACGCTAATTCTTATGTGTTATTTACCTGTCTCATCTGCTTCATGACGGATGCCTTTTGGGTGTTGATGAAGCATTCCAGGAGAATCCTCGTCACCGCCTTCATGTCCTCATCGGTAACATATTGTCTCAAAAACAACTTAGCATGGGCTTCGGCCATTCTAATCATAGATTCGGCACTTCGGAGGGTCACAACAACTGAGCCAGTGACCTTAGATTGTTCTCTGAGCTCGGAATATAATCTCATTACACTGTCTTCGGAGATTTGAAGTTTCGGATGGACGTTCTCCCGGGCATAAGCAATGTATTTCCTGAGTAATTGCTGAGGAATAAACTCAATACCAGTGATTTCATCTCGAGTCGGCATCGCCGGTTCTTCACTTCCATTGATCTTCTGCTCATCCGGGTGCATTCGACGATGATTGTTGATTACAAAGTCGGCCAGCAGATCATCTTCCGTCGAATCTACAGTATCCCTTACCACACAGAGAATGTCGAAACGGGAAAGAATGGGCTCAGTCAGGCCAACATTATCAGCAAAGGTCCTGCTGGAATCGTACCTGCCGCCGATGGGATTGGCCGCCGCAATCACAGTGCATCTGGCCCTGAGGGAGGTTACAATACCTGCTTTGGAGACTGAGATGGACTGTTGTTCCATAGCTTCGTGAATGGAAGTACGATCATGATCCTGCATTTTGTCGAACTCATCGATCAGACAGACTCCTTGATCAGCCAACACCATGGCACCAGCCTCCAGAGTCCATTCTCGGGTAACTGGATGGCGTTGAACATAAGCCGTCAGGCCAACAGAAGAGGCACCTTGGCCAGTGGTGAGGACAGAACGCGGAGCCAGATGAGAGACGTATCTTAAGAACTGGGACTTGGCTGTTCCTGGATCTCCACAGAGAAGGACATTGATATCTCCCCTGAGCGTATGCTTTCCATGTGGATTCTTGGGCTCCCCTCGGAACAGGGCCAATGCAATCGCCTTCTTAATGTCATCATGGCCGTAAATGGTTGGGGCGATACTGGCAAAGATACGATCAGCAATCTGAGGGTCCTTGGAGAGTTCCCTAATCAACTTAATGTCCTCATCGGTCAGTTCATCAGATTCCAATTGGTCCTTGCAGATGATGTGATTGGCCAAAATCATAGTGTTAAAGACGGGGAATCCTTGCTTATTGTTCATCGAACCATCATAATTACTAGTATAAATACCAGTTAGCTCCTAGAAAAATATTACAGAAGCCATATATAAACTTACAATAATATCACCAGGTTTACAAGAATCACAGAGATCTCCGAGAAGAATAACATCCTTCGAACGTGGCAATCTTCCAGCGGCAACAAGATTTGGACTTTCTTGGATTGTGATGCGTTGGTAATTGTGGTATACAGTCTGCAAGTATAACTCAACCGTTTCTGCGACTTACCTCTTCAACGTTCAAGGTAAATGGACCTCGACTTTGACAAGAAGGACAAGTTGTGGGCTTTGATTCCTCATCCTGTCTCTGAATGAAAGGACCAATCACATAAGAACAGGCTTCACAATTGTATTTGGCGACAGTCAGTTGTGGCAAGATTCCGGTAGTTATGGTGACAACGCCAGTCGTTTTTATCAATGTGTTAAGATGGATGTGACGTAGAGACCGGATCTCTTCTTCAACTGGGAGACCCCGGATTCTAACAGAAACCAGAGGAGTAACTTTGTGATACCACGAGAAGATTGAGTTTACAACGGCAGTAGCGGCATTATCAAGACGTTTCAACACTTGAACAGGAGCTTCAGGCAAGAAATAGCAAATGTTAGTTTCTCCACCTTCCCCAGCAAGATCAGCAAACTCTACTTCAATGCTCTCCTTATTATGAGCGGCCATCTCTTTGATAACGCTAATGTACTTCAATTGACCTTTATCATCTTTGAACGATCGTAAAAAATGCTTGAACCTAAATTTCAAACAGATTAATAAAGCCAAATCTGTAATACCTTCGTTCAATTTCCCTTCCAACAGCCTCATCGCTCACGTGATCTCGGACAGTACGATCTCTCAGATTCTCAAGAGTATCGATGGGAATGTCCTCTTCTTCCTCGACTTCCATCTCAACTTCGTCGTCGGCTTCTTTTTGGCGGCGACGTCTTCGGCGACGAGTTTCTTCTTCGTCTCCAGATTCATAGAACAGCTACAAGAATAAAATTAAACATAGGAAATATATCCCTACTTCTCCGTCCATGCCCAAGTTATCTCTTTCGGCCATTTCCCTTTCAGCTGCCCTTCGGGCTCCAAATGAGATTTCCGAGACATCTTCATCATCCAATCCACTAGCCGAAAGCTGATCCAATTCAGGCTGAGGGCGATAGTCTCTAAAAAAAAAGGTAACCGAGGATTGATAGCACTTACCGCATCATATCATCCCCAAATAGATCTTCTCCATCTTCTTCCTCTAATTCATAGTTTTCTCGTTCATCTCCAAACAATTCAGCGATATCATCGTGATCCGTACGAGGACTCATGGCATCCACGTTCTGAGATCCATGATTTCCCGAGGGCCCAGACGAAACTCCAGCAGAAGAAGCAATACTTTGATTTTCATCGTTATGATCACTCATGATGAAGGTTTTAATAAGACGAGAGTTAGTTTATCACAGTTACGACCAAGAAGAGAGTGTCAATTGACGAATAAAGTGCAGACTTATTTCGAGCACATTTCGAAAATAATTGGCGCGCCTTTCTGTGATTAGCGAACTGCGCCCTATCATTTCCGCTTGTTTCGTTTATTTTATACGCGGAATTATTGCGTAACTTGATGACATAAGACCTGCTTGATGACATTATTTATGATACCTTGACTCTACACATAAAAAATCCAAATACTTTTTAAATGAAGTTTAGATTGACCTCATTATTCCAAAGTTATAAAGGCAACATTTAGTACGAAATGTTAAACACAAAAGGTTACGTTTAGACGTGCTGATATTTATTTATGATCAACAATTAGCTTTTCTGTGCAATATGAAGGTTCTCCTATCGGACGATGATTTCAGCTTATCAGGTCTGGAATCAGCCAATTTTTGTATTCTTTTTTTTCCGCCGGGGATTTGATCTTCGACCCACGTTGTTTTAATCATAATTTTGCGAAATGATTAGGGGCAGGAACTTTGTACAATGGGGAATGCTCTTATCAGTCGATAATCAACATTATTTGGATTGATTGTTTAGTAAGCGGGAGGCAGGGCTTTGTTTATGGGGTCATATGATTGTTGGCCATTTGTGTGGACTGTCAGTGACCTTTCGAAACGATGATTTCGCTGGGAACAGCTGGTGTTCGGAGAATGTGGATGGCCTTGGTCTCTCTTCTTCTAGCAGATATTCTTTTGATCATTGGGAGATGGGTTGCTTTAAACTGTTTCCAGTAATTGATTCTGCGTTCCACTTCCCAATTTACAGATTCAAAGTCTTCCTGTTTCTACCTTTATCTGCAATTTAATTATTTTAGAGAATGAACCGTTCCGTGATCGCCCTCGGTCTTATGGCCGTTCTGGCCTATGCCCATATCGATGATCAGGAGGTTCTTCTGAAGGAAAACAGAATCCCCAAGATCCCCCATCCAGAATTCGGATCAGTCTGTGATGAATGTCAGGTGATTATCAAGAAGATCGTGGAGGCTGCCAAGGATCCCACCAAACTGGCCGAACTTAAACTGATCCTCTCTGCTCTTTGCCATGAAACTTCTTACGAAGAGGAATGCCACGTATTCGTCAGCAAACTCGATCTTTTTTTGGACAAACTTCTTCCTTATTTGGTACGTATTTCTCAAAAATTAGTGTAAAAATAAGTGCGAAAATGATCGCAACCTTTACCATTAGGAAACTAAAGCTAAGCTGTGTGAAACTTAGGGGTCTACCAGTTTTCGTACTGGCCCAATGTGCACAGCCAAAAGTGTTTTACCAACTAACCGTAGCCATATCAGAAATGAGTTGTCATTACCGCCAAACCTTTTTTAGCGAGTCGGAAGGGTTGGAGTGGGTGTCAAAGAGTAACAACAAATTTTTTAGACGGTTAGCCAAAAAAAAAGTCCGGTTGAATAGTTAAACTATATTAATTCACAGATAATAGTAACGGTAGGCATCTTCGACAATCATAAAAAAATTGGTTTTGATTTGGGCCAATTCCCGGAACTGCCCCAAATGAAAAACCCTACATGAAATCTATTGCAAATGTTAACATGATTTTTGTGTTTTCAGAAGGATTCTGAAAAATTCTGCACTGAAATGCATCTGTGCAAGAACTCCAAGATCGACATGTTCCACAGAATTGGATTACTGTATGCCAAGAAATACGTAGGAAAGTTGGATAACTCTGTACGTTCAAGTGCTGTTCTCAAAATAGAACCAAAATATAAACAGGGCGAATCATTCCGATATTACAGAACAACTTGGTCTGCGAAGAATGTCAATTTGCTGCTGGAGAACTCCAAAAAGTTGTAGATGACAGGGAAACCCAAGCCAAGGTCCGCCAATTCCTCAGCGACAATGTCTGCAAACATTTGGGACAGTATCAAGGCTCTTGTGACATCCTGGTCGATGACTTCTTGCCCGAACTCTTCCAGGAACTCCACACCCTTCTCAACGACCCCAAAGAGGTATGATTTAAATGTCTGGATTATGTACATATTCTGTTTAGTTCTGTGAGCATCTCCAACTCTGCAGAGCCGAGCAGTTGTTGAACAAAGAAAAGGTTAGCCGTCGTCTCATCAAGCATGTCATGTCCAACTAAGTAGCCCCTCTCTTTTCAGCGATGCAGAATTAATATTTTGATAAAGCTTTAAAAAATAATAATTTAGGCCGAGATTCCCGTAGAAGGCGCGTTTAAGGCGTTGATGGAGAGAGTAAACTCCGTCTCCGATGAGAATCAATTCTCGGGTTTGGGTTGTATTCAGTGTAAGATCTTCGGCGGGATCTTGTTGAAGCATCTGCGAGAGGATAAAAATACGGTAGGCGGAGAGCAAGAGATCCCCTCCGTTTGCATTCCATGTTTGAATTATTTCCTTAGCTTATGTCATCAAATCAAAATTGCATCTAGAGACCATTATGACGGTCGTGTTGTCCAAAAAAGTCGGTTTAAAGTCAGTTGTCATCCCGCTCGTGCCGTTCCGATGCCGCTTCTCAGATCCCCATCCTAATGGATCGAAAAATGATTTTTTTGAAGAAAGCCTTAGGCGATGATCTCCGTAAATTGGTGTGCCCAATCCTCCCCAAGCATTGGTTCGAGGGATGCGAGGACTTCCTCAACTTCTACGCTCAGCCTACAGTATTCCTGGCGTTGTCTCAAGTCACCGAACAAAAGTTGTGTAAGGCGATCCATGCCTGCGATGACAGCACTTGTAAGTCAAAAAATACATCAGCGAACATATCTTTAATTACGAATCAAATTGGTTATACTCAATTACTTATTAGTCTAATTATGAATAGTGATCGGAGAGGACACTCTGGCCAAGGCTGCCGGCCTTGATTGTGCCCTCTGTCACTCCTTTTCCAAACTCTTGGGACATGAATTGGAGCAACCAGAAGTCCGAATTCAACTGGTTCAAGAGGCCAAATCCTATGTCTGTGGAAATATTTTTGTGTTCAAGGAGCCCTGCAAGAAGATGATGACCAATTTCATGTCCAGTGTCCTCCTGAAGGTGCTCCGTTACATCGAAAGCAATCAGTTCTGTCCCGTAAGTAGCTCTAATCAACTGATAACAGCCAATTATTTATAGTTAATCCATCGCTGCTAGAACAAGGGAATGTGATGATAACATATCGGGAGAGCAATCCAAGAGGTTAAACTTAAAAACAAGTGCTTTTTTAAATATTAAAAGTATAGTAACAGTAAGATTGTATCGGCAAAATGTTTATTCCATCCAATAATCAGACAATTCCCGTGCCAGAGAACACATCTACAAGTTGTTTGATCAGGTATTCTGCATGATTGATGGCCAGATACGAAGACCCATTGTTGTTGGCGAAATCCTCGGGCAAATAACCCTTGATGTCCACTGAGGAGACCTTGGGGAGATCCTTTCCACTCTGCAGGAACACATTGAACTTCTTCACCTTCTCCAAATAATCCAAAGATCCCAGTTCGGGGATCTCGCAGATGAATATTTGGGCCTGGGGAGAGAGTTGAATCAACGTTTTGATGAGGAAAACCATCTGATTACTCAATTCCGTCAAGTCCCAATGAATCAGCCAGCCGGGGTCGGGCAAAACAATCAGCTGCTGCAACTTCTTCCAGTCCCCGGGATGTTGTTGGAGCTGTAAAAAGATGACATCTTTTTGCATATTATCAAGGTCTAAAAGGACATTATCCACCATCAGTAATATGGGAAATCGAACCGTTTCCACGAAAGAGGGGATCGAAATGAGGCCGACTGAGGCCACGGTCATCTGATAGGACTCCTTGGTGGGATAGGGACCCGCGACTAGCATCAGACTCGACTTGAATTCGGCGACGTCCTGCAGGAAAGTGCACTTCTGATGGTCGGACGACTTCTCTGATCGCAAAAGAGGGACGTCGCTCTCCTTCAATGCCTCGATCAACAGCAGCCCACACTTGTCTGCAAACCTCAACGCTTTTTCCTTCAACTCATCGCTAATCTCAGTGCCGCTGCCAAATTTGAATTCCCAAAGTTTGGAATTTACTGCAAGAATGGTGATAAAAGCATAAATCTTACAGTTTCGGAGGGCACAATTCACTCCAGAATCAGCGGCAGACTGTTCCTTTTGCTCTCTCTCCGCCATTTCCAACACCAATCAACGGCTGCATGGAAATTGGGCGCTGTGAAATTGGGCTCATAGTCAGTATGAAAGTCGGGTGCTGGGGAAGTGGCCGCATTTCTTATATCCTCCTTTTTCACTTTCGCGCCTACTATACACACATGCGTTCCCCTTCTCTGAATTTGATTCGCCCAATTTCCATGCAGCCCAACCGCTAAATGAAAAAAGACGAAAATCCAAAAAAAATTAGGGAAATTAAAATGCACTGTGCGGAGGAAAATTGCGATGTGCGCTGTGCAATGTTGGCGACAAAGATTTCGTCGGTGATCGTCATTGTTGCACGGTGCAGTCTTGAAAAACTTGCACTGTGCAAAAGGTTGCCCTTCTTGCGACGTCTCTGCACAGTGCAAACAAGGCGTTCTCGCTGATCAGTCATTTTGCGCGACATGTCGCATCAAATTATGATATTCTACATAATTGGCGACTTTGTGACGATGAATAAACAGAAACCCCCATGTTTTATTCAGCAATCCAAGGTCCGGATATCATTCAAAATAAATCGTTGATAAAAGACGGGGATCTGGGTGAGTAGCTCGCTAATTGCTCGGTAATTGGAGATAATGGATCCATAAGACATCTTGCAGAGCGTGAGGATATCTTCCCCATAATAAGTGCTGATCACTTGGATGTTTACTCCCATAACAATCGACTTTCCATCCATTCGGCAGATTACTGGGCCTCCAGAATCTCCCTGTAAATTTATATTCGGTGACAAATAGAGTAGATTATAACTTGCAGATTACAGTAATCCCTTCTCACAACACTGTAATCCCTTACTTGGCAGAGCTTGGCCCTCGTCGTATAAAATGTCTCCCAGCAAGTGTCATCTCGGAAAGAGTCGGACTGCGGATCGAAAACCTTGAAATGGACTTCCCGGACACTCTCGGAGAGTCGCTCATCTAAAAAATATGTTCATGCCCTGAGGGCATTACCTTCCGTTATCCCCAAACCATAAGCCGAGCAATTCCCGGAGATCCATTGTTTCCCACATCCAAAATAAATGGGAATCCGCGATGTGGGGACTCCATTTTCGAGGATCAGAAGGGCTACGTCATTACAAGGGGCCTAAAGAAGCAGTCAATCTAGCTGCACGCTCTAACTTCCCCATAAAAAGAGCTCACCGAAGGACGATAGTCATTGTGCAGGAAGAATTTCTTCACTTTGGATGATCCTTTTTCGTTCTCTACGTCGATTAGGAGTGGTCTAAATCATAAAATAAAGTTTTACACGGGAAGTAATAGCTCAAGTTTAGGGTTGAATTGTTTTTAGAAATATATGATGGTCAGCTAACGTCTAGAAATTAAATAAGGTTGGGTACAAAATTCAACAGTTTCTTTTTAATTTTAACATTCATGAACTACGTTCTGCTACCTCTGAAAAAAATCTTATGCGACGCCAGATGTTGACGAAACTTAGCACTGATTTAGAATAACCCTTCCTAACTAACTAGGGAAGTGTACAAACGAACCCTCACCAAATGGCAAGTGTTATACACCATTCGAAAACCCTTGAAAAATGGTGCAAGGCACCATTTTCATTTTTTGCAGAATGCCTAAGGGCAAAAAATTATAAACGGTTAATTTGTCCCTTAAGCAGTTGAAATGGAACTGGGACGATTGGGGAAAAAGACGATTGGGGAAAAGGACGATTGGGGAAAAAGACGATTGGGGAAAAGTACGATTGGGGAAACCGAAAAGTATTATTTTTCTTCGATGCAAATGTCGAAATTAGGATAATCGAGGGTGCTCATTTCGAAAATGACATTCTTTTTTTTTGATTCTTACTTTTTTTCTTAAGTAGTACTGTAAAGTAGTAATTTTTGATTTTTGTTCATAAATACTCGATTTAGGGGTTTTTGAGGGTGCTGATTTCGAATATCGGGTTTATTTTTTCTGAACATTACTAGTGTTCCTTAAGTAGTACTGTTAAGTACTAATTTTTTTAAAATTTTCGAAAAATACTGGATTTAGGGGATTTCGAAGGTGCTGGTTTCGAAAATCATGTTCATTTTTCCTCTAGTACTATATAGTACTACTCTGACACTATATAGTACGAGGTCAAAATATGGCTTTTGACGTTAATGGTGTTGTTTTGATGCTTAGTACTCTTCAAAAACACGTTTTAAAGACTTGGTGCTATATAGTACTACCTGATACTATGTAGTACGAGGTGTAAAGTTGGCCTTTAGGCGTTCGTGGTGTTGTTCTGGTGCTTAGTACGCCTATTTTTACTTCGTACTACATAGTATCGGACAGTACTATATAGTACCAAGTCTTTAAAACGTGTTTTTGAAGAGTACTAAGCATCAAAACAACACCATTAACGTCAAAAGCCATATTTTGACCTCGTACTATATAGTGTCAGAGTAGTACTATATAGTACTAGAGGAAAAATGAACATGATTTTCGAAACCAGCACCTTTGAAATCCCCTAAATCCAGTATTTTTCGAAAATTTTAAAAAAATTACTACTTTACAGTACTACTTAAGGAAAAAAGTAAGAATCAAAAAAATGAATGTCATTTTCGAAATGAGCACCCTCGATTATCCTAACTTCGACATTTGCATGGAAGAAAAAGAATACTTTTCGGTTTCCCCAATCGTACTTTTCCCCAATCGTCTTTTTCCCCAATCGTCCCTTTCCCCAATCGTCTTTTTCCCCAATCGTCCCTTTCCCCAATCGTCTTTTTCCCCAATCGTCCAACTCCGGTTGAAATATCTTCTACGGGGCACAATAAATGTTATTTCAAAACGCTAAATGGTACGTATTGCTAATAGGTTGGTCTAAGAATCATTATGAAGTTTGGTGCTTGCCGGTAAAACCATTTTACATATAACATTTACTGGTTTTAAGTACCCATAAGGTGAAAAAACACTTTCCACTTTTTTTAATCTTTAAAAACATGTAGGTTTGATGGTTTTAACCGTAATCGGCCGTCTTCCAGAAAAATAAAGCATTTGTAAAACTTTAACGCAAATATTTTCCTAACTGTAAGAACGCAAAAATGATTTTCCCCAAGCTGGGAACTGAACCTGGCTTGGTTTGGCTTACCAGCCGGCTCAGCAACCACTTTAAAAGCAACCCTCTCCGATGATTTTTTCCTGCCCCAGAAAGAAAGATTTTTGTTGCAAAATGACCTAAAAATAATACAATTTACAGTATGTCGTCGCGGAAAGGCATTCTGCAAAAAACGAAAATGATGCCCTGAATCACTTTTCAAGGGCTCTTCAATGACATATTTCACTTATCATTTGGTGAGGGTTCGTATGTACACTAATGAAGTAATAATCGAGGTTCGACTGTACAGGGTGTCCAGAGAAATTCCGCGGAAAGTTTTTGTCGATTTCTCGGCGCTCAGGCAAGATATCCAAAAAATTCTTTTTGCATTAGAAAGAAGAATATGGGCGGTTTTTTGTCTAAAAAAGCTTTTTTGTCCGCCGACGCGGAACATACTGTATTTGGCGGACCTTTTGGTAGCTTTTTTGGTCATCACACCAATCTTAAAAGCTTCAGTACGACTTCTGATTGTTAAAAAGAGAATGTTATCTTATTTTTATGTTTACCAAACATTCGGCAATGAAATGGCGAGCTTTCCATATCGACGGAGGCCAGAACTCAGCTTCGGATAGGAGATGTCTTAAAACATTATGTGGCCAGCATTCTCTACTGATCCCATATGCTCTCCAAAATTTTGTCGCCAAGCCTTGGCAGCAATTTAGCCACTAGCAAACCACTTGGTGAACCAGAAAACAACAAAATATTTTTTGTTTAAGCTTCGCTTTGCCCCGCTGTTTCAAACCTCCGCACGGTGCGGTCGGACTTTATCGCTGTTGACGCAACTACACAGTGCGGTGCAGTTGCTAAATGCGATTGCATAGCGTTGTCGTCGGTCCCCTGATCCTTTGTGGAAAAAACTGAAGGCTTCCCGATAGTTTCAGGATCATAATAAAGCGTTTAAGATTGGTGTGATGACCAAAAACGCGATCAAAAGTCTCCGCCCAATACAGTACGTTCCGCGCCGGCGTTCAAAAAAACTTTTTTAAAGAAAAAACCGCCCATATTCTTCTTTCTAATGAAAAAAGAATTTTTTGGATATCTTGCCTGAGCGCCGAGAAATCGACAAAAACTTTCCGCGGAATTTCTCTGGACACCCTGTAGAAACGAAAGAGGTTTTGAGGTTCAAAGTTGCCAGAAATTCTGCGCTTTTCGGCGAATTTCTAAAGTTCTCTAAAGTTTCATGCCTATTTCTACCATAGAGGGTAATAGTTACACAAAAAACTTTTTTCTGTACGAAACTGTACGTGGAGAAAAAGTGTATCTAACGCTGACCGCTTGCCGAGTTTCGCGCCCTCCCGCGGCCACAAAGATCATTGAATATCTTGGCTGTCCCTGCAAAGCAAAAATTTTCAAGATTTGATATGTGGCATGCACGATGTGTGTACAAAATGAAGAATCTGAGCGTCGCACTTGGGGCACTTCCCTCGTAGGTAAATTAAATTTGATTAAAACCTTACTCTTTGCCAAGCTCCTCATTGAAAATACAATGGGCCGCCGTGAGAACGACGTACTCGGACAAGAGGACCCCAGTGCAGAACTGGGGTCCGGCCTCGGTCAACGATGTTATTCTGACCACTCTTTTGGCATCCAGATTCTTGGTGATTGGACTGAAAAGAGAACGCCGGGATTTGGAGTTGACTGCGGCAAAGTAGAGGAATAAAGAGAGAAGGAATTGGGGAAACATTGATAATTATGGGACCAATAATATTATTTTTGATCTTAAGAAGATTCGGCGATGATTCAGCGACGGAAAACTCACCACGGAATTTCAAAAAAAAAGTTTCGATTTTTTGGCCTTTTCGATTTCGGAAATGAAAAATAGAAAACGCAAAAATGTAATGTAGATTATACAGTAACAGGTAACTAACTGCTGTATGATACAATTACATCGCATGTAATTTGTTTCGGATATGAAAAGTTGTTTTGCAAAGACCAGACAGTTCATGGATTTAGTTGCTTAATACCCCGAGGGGATCCTCCTTGAATCAAAACCGTAATTTCCTGTGAAACTGTGGGATAAACCCTGAGGGTATTTACTCAAACAAAACCGGTTGGAAGCGCGTTGTTCCGAGAGCTTCACAAGGTTCATTTCGAACAGGTAAAACAGCGCCGTTTATGCATTCCGTTCTGCTGATGATGACACTCGCGATGATCTCTGATCCGGCTTGTGGTAGGTCTGGTTATGCCCGGGCCTTTATTAATTTTATGGTAATTTAGGCAACGATGTAGAGAGATTCGTATTTGACCCAACAAATCTGGAGGCATTGTTTCACAGCAACGGGATCAGTGCGTTTTTGAAGGTAGGATTTTTAAAAATTCCGTGTTATGACCAGTGGTAATCCGCGACACGTTTTCCGGATTTTGGGCCGGCCGCGTCTAGCGCTTTTTAGGCCTGCCGCGGCCCGTACAGGCTCGATTTGGTGCCGAATTTCGTGTTAAAAGCTCCTTTATAGAGGTACTCGGCAAACTACGGCCAAGCTTGGGAACTAAAGTTAGGTAAAAAAAAAGGTGTTGATCGCTGGCATACGATTACCATAATATTAGTTTTGTGGTTTTTAAGGTACCTTCCAATAAAATGTACCTGTTTTCTTTGATCCTACCGCCTCTTAAGTGCCAAAAACTAAACGTTTTAGAACTTGAGAAAATGCAACTACAACAACGTCATTGAAAGCTGACCACCCTACCCCTGGTTATGACCCACTCTTAAAAAAATGCTATTTAAAAAAATAATTCCTACATATTATTCATTTTAAGCTAGCATAAAATAAAATTTGTAAACCTGTGAAAAATAGAGCGGAAGGGGGTTTACGTAGGACTTTAAGTCAACTTGTGACTGATTTTTCACCCCTAAAACCCGAAAATGAGCAGCTAATTTTTACATATTCTTAATCAGCATGATTTAACGGATTTTGGAGGTATCTCCCGTTTAAAATTAGGAACCCCATAAAAGTACTTTCCTTGTAAGATTTTTAATTAATTATCAGGCCAAAGCGAATTCGGTGTTGAAAGAGGTCCACCGTGATGACGTCATCGTGTTCAGTGAATGCATACGAAATAAAACCAGTCCATTGTTGTACTCGAGATGTCTGGTGTCCTTGATGAACTCTCGAGATCGAATGAAAGCTAATTTAAACGATCCCTGGGATTCGAATATCGTCGACGACGTAGCCCAACTCCTCAAACCGCCCATGAAATCGACGCCTACTGTAAAATTTAAAAAGAAATCGATTGGGATTTGGAAAGAACAACATAAAAAATTGAGGAACGTGATCAAAACAGGGAGCTCAAGTATAATGAGACCCCTTAGAGGATTGAATTTACTGACTGGACACTTGATGCGAAAGAGGAGGAGGGTATACGGTAGGATTATTTTAATTTTTAATTATTTTTTTCGCAGAGAGTCCCTTCAAAAATGTCCTCAAAATCCAGAAAATGCAGGATTTTTTCTCCAAAATGGAGCACTGTAACAATTATTTCCGAAAAATAAAGGAAGAAAATGAACGGTAAAATTCGCTTATTAGTATATTAGGTTGGCAACTAAGTTATTGAAATTTTCTTTGCATTATTCCACAGACCTTCTTAAGTCAGTATGGCTAGTATCGCACTATCCCACCTGTAGTAGGGTTAGAGTACTATCAAACCCAGAGACATCGAACTCGCAGCTCGCGTGTTGGTGTAGTACCTTGAATTTGAATAAGAGCAATTTTGAGTGGTCATTTTTCAGTGCCATGCAGTGCCTTTAGAACTCGAATGACATAATGCTAATGTACAACGTTTACAACGTCAGGACACCTTCAACAGTCTTGTGATAACATTTTGTCCCAAAAGGATCAATAGAAATTATTACGACTTCGCTTAAAATTAGGCGGTAGGCTGTCTTTCAAGGTGTTGCACGAGACGCTAAAGAAGGCAGCGCGGTTAAGTCTTCGGGTAGTGACAGAGCTATTCACTACGAACCAAATAGTAGCATAAACCGTCTTCCTTCTTGGAGCATGACATAAAGTCGCGACCGAATTTATCTTTATGACCTGACTAGTGACTCCCAAAAAGTTAACCGAGTAGTTGCTATTTTTTTCCAAGACCATTGAGCCCCTGATAAATCTCGGGCCCTGAAAAAGGACGTCTATTCTCTTTGTTAAAAAACCATACAGGAGCCAGCGACCCTAGGCGCGGTATCCTGAAGTTAAGACCGAACAGACCCTTTATACTCGATGAAAGTATTTTTAAAGATTTTAGCAAATTTTTTATGCGCTATGGTCTCGGGAAAATTACCAACACAGGGTATTGCTCCTCCGAATATGTTTACATGGGAGATAGAAAAGATTCGGGCTGCGAGCAAAATGAAATCTAGAATAACCACTTACATCGGGATGCCTGTTTGGCCCGATAGAAATAATGACCGTAGAAAATTGTCAAACAGTCCAAATAGACTTTGCTTTCCTAAGTGTTGTGAAGTACTAATGTTACTCTCTGTGGCGTATATCACACCCATTTGGCTGCGCACGATCTAAGTTATAAAAACTTCAGTATAAAAGAACATCTAGAAACCGACTTCATGAAATCATCAAAGCCTAATTTCCCTAGTTTCTCTGTTGGTGGTGCCACTACACATTCAGATGATAAGGTTTGTATTGTTGTTACTAATAGTCGGTATTATAGTTGTTGACTGTCAAGCCTTTAAAAGGTTATGGCAAAAACAAAAGGAGTCAAAAATTTCAATAACTTAGTTGCCAACCTAATAATACATTTTTTTAATCATTTTATATTTTTTTTATTTTTAGCATAATTTCGATAATTTTTGCATGAATCGTTTCAGAGTTCTGTCATCATATGGTTATAAGGCCAAATTCGAAACAAAAAACGAAGGATTGATCGAGGAAATGTTGCAGAAATTGCAGGCAATTCTCGAAGATCTCGACTTCCAGAAAATCTCGGTTCTCTCCCCGAAGATTTTGGCCTTATTTCCCAACTCAAAACGTCCTCAATTCTTGTCTCCGGAGATTCTAAACTTTCAAAATACGGGGATTCTTCCACTTCCACAACTCTTCAAAGTAAGTGTTGCCCAGTGTAACAAAAACGTATATAAATTTGATGTCAATTCGGACTTTAGTTGATCTCCTCGAGTGATTCGGAGGCCTTATTCTGGATGGAGCTGCTTCTGGAGATGGTAGGGGCTTCAGAAAAATTGGATTCCTTCCTGGAAATGTACTCTGCCGAGATGACCCGGATGGATTCTTTTATTTACCCGAGGATTCTGGAACGAGAACGGAAAGAATATTTACTCAAGAAAGCTCTTGATGCATCCACGACGAAACAAAGCCGGGAATTGGAAGAGATCGGCTTCACATTTCTGAGCAGAGGCCAGGCCCGGCTTCTCTTCGGGTCCGAGGAAGGTGAGAATTCGATATATATATCTTACTGTAATCGATGCCATTAATGAGGGCAAAATGTAGTTAGAATGGGTTAGAGTTTGGGCAAATGGCGTCATTTCGAAGGAGGATGGAAGTAGTTGATCCAAGATCTGCCCTTTTGATTTACGTCATTTCAGCGGCGATTTACGACGGAGTAGACGCGAAAGGGCGCGATAAAAAGCTTGAGGAAAGGATTAGGAAGATAAGCGAGCTGGAAGAGAATCAGATCAAGCTCAGAGGAAAGAGACAAGAGCCAGGCCCAGAGGGGGAACGGCGGGAAGGACCATTCAGTGGATTACACGTATTGGAACCCTTTGCATTCATCAGTAATTTGAGGTCACCCCCGGTCTTAGAAGGTCTTATCCTAAGTCCTCATGCTTTTGTCACCGAAATATTACGGCCAGAACTTTTAACTGTAAGCGACCGCAAGCATTCTTCCAACTTGTGTTATTTTAGACAGATATCCTCTCTCCCCGTGCATTTATTCCGACGATTCTGAGCCCTCAAGCATTGATTTCCCGAGTCTTGAGTCCGGCGGCCTTCAGGTTGGAATTACTCAGCCCCACGGCACTGATCGCGTGGGTGGCGACGCCTGAAGCGCTGATTGCCGACATTTTATCTCCTCGCATGTTGGAGACGCGAATCGCTTCACCTGAGTTTCTGACAGTGCAGATCTTATCTCCAAGCCTCCTCTCGCCCAAATTCGGGTCCGATGAGACCCTCTCCTTCAACGTGCTCAGCCCTAACATTCTGTCGCCCCGTTTCGAGAGCAAGGAGAAGATGGTTGTGGAGATTCTCTCGCCCCACATTCTTGGTGGAGGCCATCAGCCCTCCGATTCCCAGATCCAAAACCAGCCCTGAGTTCCTCTTGATCCCCCGAGATCCGACGGCCGATTAAAATCATGTTGTACATACTGTAAAATGAAACCCTGATAGTGTTTATGTGAACAGTTTTGCATAATAATTTAAATAATTTACTCTTTGGAATAGCTTAGGATGAGGACTAGAAGTGTCTGGTTTACTATGTAACTTATCGTATATACATTTGCATCCCGTATATGGTTGATAACAATAACATTCATTAGGAAGACAAAGTGTCAATGAAATCGTCGGTCAAGGTGGGCTGTGGCGAGAGGAAGTTGCCCAGCTTGCCCACCATTTCTCTGAAGATCTCGGGATAGGCAAGGCCTTTCGTGGCGTGGAATATCAATAACATGGCGAAGTGAGTGATCCGGGAAAGGTTCTGGAAATATGATGGATAACACAGAAACAGATAGAAGATAATTCTGGAAGAACGGAAACTCACCTGGAATTCAGTGATGAGTAAAATAATGACCGGCATTCTCTGTGAAATATCCCTGCCAGTACTTTTGATATGCGCTCCCAATCCCCGGAGGGTTTCTTGCCGACATTTGTCCAGCAAATTCTTTGTCTTCTCAGACACCAATCGTTTGCATTCCGATGACGTGTACAGTAATAACAATAAAGCGGCAGTCTCAACTTCATCCAAATGGGCCTTGGCGAAGGCTACCGTAACAGACCGTACCAGATTAACGGCAACGCCGAACATATAGTCATGGACAGTCCGGTATGTCCCCTGAGGGTCGTCGAGGCGGATGGAGGGATAGAGGTAGGACCAGTAGATCTCGGTGGAGGTTTGGGAGAGCTGATGATATGTCCCATCGGAATTGTAACTCTGACTCTTCTCATGCCCATTAAATCTCATTGTAGTGAGGACTCGGCCGAGGAGATCCCAGTATTGCACAAAACAGTATTTGGTTAGCTCAGCCTAAAATCATGAGCATATCTTTTGATTTTAAATTTTAAAAGAAAAGTAAAAAGTTCTAATAACAAAAGAATTTAAATAACAATAGATCTACTTACCCAGTCATCATCGGGGATATCTTTGAAAATTGCGAATTCGTTGCGAACAATCTGATCATAGACTGCAAACTCGATGTGAGATACGACCATATCATGCTGGCCACTCTCACTTTCCTTGGCCTCGTTCAAAATGTTATCTCCGGCTCTGATATTCCCAAACTGACGTCGACAATTTGCTGTGAATTCGAAAACAACTTTCCTCCGCATTTTCAGAAAATCCTGGAGCATTTCACCTATCATTTCATCCAGAAAAATGTCTGAGGTAACAACAGGGATCTTCTTCGAGAACGAGGAATACTTTTCTCGTTGCTCCGAGTGCAGTTGTAACTCTATAAACAGAATGTCAGCAAATAATTGTGAGGAATTTCAATTTAGGGTCTTCAAATCTCACTTGATTCCAGCATTCCAGCTTGAATACATCGTTGAAATCGACAATATTTACAGGCTCTTCGTGTGGGGACCACTAAAATCCCAAGAAAAATATAAGAATTGTTATGTCATCTCTCGAATAACAACAAAACAATCCAACTTACGGGCATTCTGGCCACAGAGTCGTCCATTCAAACATTTGTAATGTTTTTTCTGTTTGATAGAACGTCGGAAAAAGGCGCGGCAGCCAGTGCAAACACCGACTTTGAGGTAGAACACATTGACCGGCTCGATTCTACAGATGGCACAAACATTCTGGGCGGGAGGGGAGTGGTTGAAGATGACGCTGAGCGATGAGGTAGGGTCCAGAGTGCCTAAGGGACTGTCCTCCGAACTGGACGAACTTTCGATCGAATCTGCCGTGGAAAGAGGCATCTGAAATATTCAAAAATCATCATCGTAATTAAGGTCATGGGTAATATAAAATAATTAAAATTCAAGACATTGAACAATCAGAACGACGAAAAAATATAAAAAACAAAGCTGCCAAGCCTTGTTGTCTTATTGTTAGATAAAAAATAGAAACTAATCACAAATTTGAGTAGAGAACACTCCCCTTCCTCCAACATGACTATCTATTACATGACGAGGAAACTGATAATCGAAGAAGAGTGCTCCCCTCCAAACTTTGTCACCCCGATCTTACATTTAGAGGTGCAACTACCTAAAAAACCGGCTTTCGTAATCAAACCATTCCTGCTTAACCCTCAATTACCCCTACTTTCCTCTACATACAATTTCATTCCTCCCAAAATAAAGCTGATTTTGTTTGTTATACTTTGAAGACGGAACAAAAAGAGGAAAGCACAGACTGAGATGTGTCATCCGTCCTTTTCTTTTTATGTCATAAATTTTGTAAATTAAACCTCAAAAGACCAAGAAAGAAATGCCCCTTTATGAACATTTTTCAAGCAAATTAATTGAGGCCATTAACATAATATGGGTATAAAAAGTCTGATTAATTCAGAAATAATGCATACGGATTACGCGTGCAAAAAGATGTTTTATAACTCCCGGAAGTGTCACATTATACTACAAATAATGGTTTAAGGTAATAAAATAATGACAGAAGGGAGAATTCGGCGACAAAACACGGCCGGTGCCGGCTCAAAACATGGCTAATCCTGTTCAAAAACCAGAGTCTTATGGGTTTTTATTCGGGCTGGCTCTTATTATTTAAATCGTTTTTAAAACTCATATAAATGACCTAATTACCGAAGAAACAAGGCTGAAATCCGAGTGAAAAAAAACAGTTTGAAACACTCGAAAAGGGCAGAAATAAAAGGGAATGAAAGTATTTCCCCTTCCTCTGCCACCTCGACCTTTTCTCGACTCCCGAGCCCCCCGAGAAGACAGGGAGAGAAAGAGAGAGGGAAAGACCCGAGGGCTCCACGCAACACTCGTTGTTGCGCACTTGAACCCCCATCTCCGCCCCAAACCCATTCTTTCCTTTTTTCCGAAATAAATACGTGTAACACAAATGAACAGAGAAGAAAGAGGTAGATGGTTACGGGGCACCCTGCTAGGCAACCGGCATCAACATCTGCCACAAAGGACCACTTCCTCGGCAAGTCACAACTCTCGAATTTGAGGACTCCAAAACAGTTGAAAGCAAATATGTACAAAAGCAACCAAATGTGGGCAAATCTCAGCCCTTATCTAAACAGAATACCCTCAGGCTATATTCTGGGATTTTTAAAGTGGACATGGCTCAAACATTTCAAATCGAAAAGTGATACGAGATTTTCATTTTGGGATTAATTGGAGGCTAGTTTACCCCCAAACGATCGGGAATTGGTCTCTCTTTTAGGAAAAGTTTTAAAAACACATAATAGAAATGTAATCGCACCGAAGTCAAGGAAATTCTATCGAAAAAAACACTTCCATTTCTTTTGACCTTGATTGCGTTTCTTATCAAAACAGAACAGTAACAGAACAGATCACTTCCATTTATATTACTCTCTCCCCGTTATGGCTTTATTACAACGAGTCCTTAAATAAACAGCCCCGGACCTGCTGCACTTGGACTCATTCCTTTTCGAAGAGAGAAGGAGAATATTCGAAAATATTTTTTTTCGAAGAAAGAGTGGTCATGTTTGTTACTTTACATTCCTCCGCCCCGCCCCTGGGAAAGTTCCGCTTTGTGACAAACACAAGATATTCCTACGCCCAGAATGAAAAAGTGCCCATGGAATTTGTTATTAATTACGTCTCATCTTTTATATTTGAAATTAAAAGTTTGAGAGAAACCAGGATGACTTCCGCCATTTTTAAAATTATATTTTTTGCCTAACAATAAGAGGAGATTAGAATAAAGTGTATGGCGCGATAGTAGATTAAACCGAGTGATGACAATCTTTTTAGGTCATGTCATCTTTTTGATTAATCTCCCCAACTTTGAAAGGGGGAAGACACAAACAGACGCAATTGTCACAAATTGCAAACACGGGAACGTTAAACTACAAAAAGTGATCTGATAACTGCAGAAGCGACCGTTCCCTCAGGCAATGGAGTCTTTTCTTTCGAGTTATCAACCTCTCCGACACCTCCTTGCCGGGACTCAAAATGCCAGAAAATAAGCGTATCAGAGTGTGTTAAAACGAGTTATTATGGGGACACAATGCATGGGTGGCGGTTAAGAGAATATTTTTAAATTTTGTTTGAACAGCCACAGGGCCTTTATCGTTGAATGGATGCATGCACCCATTAAAAAGGACTTCGACAGTTACATGTAGATTAAAATAAAGTTTATTGGTGGGTACGGCCTTGCCAGGTTTCCCAACAATACTTTCCTGAATAAAAAACCCAATGAAACAAGTGTTGTTATCATTCAGTTGTTGTAACTGCAAATCTAATATGAAACGTGGGAATGGCAAGACATGTTCAGAATCGCGGTTCCCAGCCAAACCCCATTCTTGAAACATTTCTAGAAAGGCTTACATTGCACTGAGAAATGACAAGGATACTCAGAATACGAACAGATCCGAAATCAAAAATTATTATAACTTCGAATTCAATTACAAGCTGAGAGAGGTTGTTAGTAAAACAGAAACACAAATAAGTGATCTTAAAAGTAAGGGAATTATTTTGAGCGTATATACCTACTTCCTTACTAATGACAAGATCTCCATTATCACCCATTCTCATACACAAATTTATGCGTAATTAGGAGTGATGATAATACGTTGAACATCAAACATCGCTTCCGTCGAATGCTTCAGGAATACGAACTTTCCAGAAATGAAAGAACCCGGGGATATATAATATTTCAGTTCTGTGAAGTTAAAACTCGAAATAACTTCAGCACATGGATTTTTTGTAGAATTAATTCAACCAAACATTTGGCCTACGATCACTACGCGAAGTATCAGGTAAGAATAAGATTATAAATTGCGTATCACAGACTCAATCTAAATATTAAAAGCGCATTTTTAGGAAACCGATTTATTTTTGTAATTTAGGCTTTAATTTCGCCGTAGAAAATTTTTGATTCATTATTTGTCAGATTATTTGCCAAGCGATTCTAATTTCTCCTTGAGACTGTAAAATCTCTATATGAAAGCAAAAATGAATTTCTTGCGTCTTCAGGCGGAGATTGACGATCGAGGAAACAGAAAAATGTAATACTTTTCTTTACAAGCTTTTCTTTTAAAGCATATTCAAGGTTGGAGTTGCGGCACTGTGTTTCCATACGGTACTGTATGGCTACAACTGTTGTAATTTTTTACTTTTTGTCTATGATTTTACTCTACATCCGCACTTTTTCAAAATGACACTTTTAAAAAAATTTAGAATATTTGCCATGTATAACATTTGTAATCAACCATTTACAGCTTTTAATATTACATTTATTTCTCTTCCTCCTTCATTTACACAACAAAACTGATATCCGGCATTTTGCTCCGGTAGTACCCTGGTCTCGTCGCTGGAAGAAATGCATAAATACTCTCTTCATCCGTGGTCATCGAGCTTCCAAGGAACTGAAAAATGATGATATTATATATATATTATACAGAAAACAGATTAAAAAGCTGCTAAAGATCACAAACTTACTCTTTTCACTGATTCTCCTCCTTTCTGTTGTTTTGAATTCTCTTTTGTTTTAAATAAACATGGAGAAAAAGAAATGATGACTAACAAGATTAACATCGCAATCAAAATCAAGATGAAGATGACCACTTTGACGTCCAACATAATCTCCAACTGAGTGATATACTCTTGTGATGGAGGTGCGGTAGTTGTTGATGAGGGATAAACTTGAAAGAGTTGCCAATCATCCAATTGTTTAAGGGTGACTGAACAGTTTAGGACCATTACTGTTTAGCAAAATAAATAAAGGGAAAGGTCCTGAAAAAAAGGAAATAACGTGGATAAAGTTATTTGGAAGATAAATCTCCCTGGTTATATTTTTTACAAGCTCAAAAACGGCACTAAAAACAATCACAATTCTATTACAATCAGTTTGATACAAGACAACTTGTGGACTGGCACTGGCAAAAAATTTTTTTTTTCTGACTTTCTTTATTTCTGTCCATCAACATAAAATCTCTGTAAATCAAGGAAAAATAGCTATCATGACCTCAACGTAGCTTCGGGACATCGTAAAGAAACCCAGCGATTGCGCAACGTTGCTTCCACAATGATTTTATATCAACAAGAAGATGGCCAAATTTTTTCAAATAACTCGTTTAATTTTTTATTACTGTATTTAATTGCCAACATTATGTCCAGAAGACCAATTTATTAAACCTGACTTTTTGGTCTGATCTTGACATAATCAGCCAAAGACGGGAGTCCATGCACCTTCTCTTGATACATCACGATCTCCCGGTACTTTTTAAAAGCATTTGCCTCTAAATTCCGAAGTGATGTAAAATATTCAACATAGAAGAAGTCGACCCAAGAAAGCCCTGAGGGCAAAAGAAATCCACTTTTGCTTTCGTTTAAAATTTTCACAATCTCAGGGATGAACGAAGCCAGTGCTGGTTGGAAAGTGGATTTTCTGAGTTTTTTCTAAAAATGATGACGCTGATTTGATGTTATGTCCCCTCACCTTGTCTCCTTTTTGTCTGCCAAGAAGAACAAATAAATATGGATTCACAGTTTTTACAAAGTCTTTAAGGAGACCGGCATATTCATCGATCGATGCGGATTCCCATTCGGTCTTTCCATTTAGACCTACGGTAAGATCTACAGTAATCTTATACAAATAGTTTTTCTTACCGAACTGTTTTCCCAAAAATCTTGCAATCGTATGACTCTGAGTGAGGACAAACGTGTCATCAACTGTCAATTGAGGCAACATCCCAGTTCTGGTGGCTTAAGTAATATGGTTCAAAACAGTTTTGTATCACCTACTTTCTTTTATATCCGGCCATTCATCCATAGTCACTCTGGAATCCTCAAATCTGATTCCTTCGTATTGGAAAATGAGCCGGATCCCTTCTCCGAGTCCACGAACATCAAAATATTGAAGTTTATATTTGGACAAAACGGGGTCACGGCGTCTGAAAAAATGCCATAAGTTGTATGATAAGGAAGCAATTGATGGTAATAAATTATTCAACCGTACCGACAGCACAACATTACGAATTAGAATGAGTGACCACGGGATTCTCTCTGTGACTACTGGAAACAGTTTTTCGTTGAATATTCAGGGAGGACTTGTTGTGTAGCAACGGGAAAACAACTTCGCTTTGCCTTGAAGGGAGAAAAGATGGTGGATATTTGTACCAAATATAACTTATAATTTTACTTGCATCAAAACTACAAAAAACGGACAAACATTTTTAGGTTTAATACTACCAATTGTAAAATTTATCTTGCCTAATTACGACTATTGCACTTTTTACAACCCGTCAAAATCATCCCTTTGAAAAAATTGGCTCCTCAAAAGCTTCTTTTAGCCTTGCCCGAACCTTGGCATGGCGGTTGCTGTATAAAAGGACTAAAATTAATTCTTAGGCTACCCGAAAAAACCTAAAAGGAAATAATTTTTGCCCACATTCTTTTGGCGCAATTTAACAAAGATAAAAATTATGAACAACTTTATACATTATATACAAATATATACAAAAGCTATGAACGACTAGACAGACTCCTTATTTTAACAACGAAAAATCATCGGCCAGTTCATAAACGGCCTCTTCCAAAGGAACGATGAGTCCATTTTCGGCCCGATAATGCAACTTTCGATTCGAATCGACCAATCCACTTTGGGCGACCAGATGAGCTTCTTCAACCAGAACCTCACAAACTTCAGGCTCATCTTCCTCCCTGTTCATTACACAAATATGTTCACATCCAGGGAACGGACAGACCCCAAAGTTTTTAAACCACTCCTCCAGATGTCCTTCATGACCACCATGGCCACAATCTTTGCACTGAGCAAACATCCCTTTTACTTCGTTATCACTAAACAATCTTCTTCTTATTGAAGATATTATAATAAATACTAGAGGCATAAAGTCCGCAGAACTTTTTCGCCGGTGTAACAGCTCCCTCCTTTGTGGGATCGGGGCTGACCTGGGGCCAGTTATCTCACCGCCTTCTATGTCTTCGAGTGGCGCCCCCCGTTTACTCGTATACTCTATCTTCGATCGAGGCGCTAGGACTTGAGTTTGGATGCGCGGTAATCCCGACTTAAAAAAATCATGGAAAAACGCACAGTGCAAGTTCTACGGACTTCATGTCTTGTGAAATATACCAAGTCAATTTGATGACCTACCACACTGTGCAGATGGCTATGAATGTCGTGCCACACTTCGGACAGGATTCCGAAGCAACTGGAGCTGGAGTATCACAATTCCCGCAGTAAACTTTTACATGCATATTCTGAAGACGTGATTTTTATCATCTTTAAAGCAGATCTTACCTCTTGAAGCGTTTTCAAGACCTCTTCGCATCCTGAATTCTTGGCGATGAAAGTGGCAAGATCCCCAAAGCCAGCGTTTTGAAGCTGCTCTAAAACAAGTATTAAACTATACAATAACCTTATTTACCTACCAATATAATGCATAAACCATGACGTCACTTGTTCATCCCCGAACAATTCTTTGGCCTTTGACCCCATGACCAGGCATACTGTAGCACAAGTCTGACTGTCGCACTAAAATGGAACAAATTAAACATATTTCCAACCATTACACCTACAATATCCGTATATAAATTCATCAACTTTGAAAGCCTGGTCACCGGTCCCCATGTGATGTGAACCGAGGTTATATTCAATAAAGAATTCGAGATTCCAGTTGGAGTCGAATCAAAATTGGAAACACCAACGTCTTTCAAAGGAGTCAGCGGATTCTGCAGTTGTCCATCTTCTATTTTCTCGGCCACTTGCAACTGAAGAGGGATGTGACCTTCAGTCTGTTCGTCATCTTCGTCCAGATTATCTTCATCTTGATGATCTTCGATGTCATCATTTTCACTGTCCTCGAATAAAACAGGATCCAATTTGCCTGTAGACATGCTATCCATCACATTATCCTCATCATTCAAAGACACTTCTGTTGCTGCATCTTCGCCATTCTTAAAACGATTAAAATTCACAGCTTCAGATCCGATAGTTCGAAGGTCGGACTTCATGAACCGGGCACTATAATTAATTATTTGAAGATAGTTAAAATCACAGTTGGCGATACAAACATGAATTATAATACTTATAAGCTTCGGACCAGGATTTATACTTGCATACGACGCTCCATTTCAAAATGGTAGACTAGTCGCCTACTAGTCGCGACATAAAGTCCTGAGAAATTTGCACAGTGCATTTTTGTTCTTCCTTCGGACCCGTCGCGGCAATTCCCCGTTTTTGCACTAGCGACATGCACTTTCGCGCGAGCTTGCCACTTTTCTCGCGCGACACCCGCGACAAAATGTTTCAGGACTTTATGGCGCGACTAGTACAAAATCTGCAATTGCGGTGTCGAGGTTCAGTTGACGGATAAGAAACCTTTACAGATTGAAAGAGGTTTGAAAACCGAAAACAGATGCAGGCCAGATTGCACAAAACGGAAGTATATATGCAATTCCGGGAAAATTTGACAAAAATCTGGGCATCAAGTTTTCAAACCTCCTCTTTCAATCTGTAAAGGTTTCGTATCCGTCAACTGAACCCCGACACCGCAATTGCAGATTTTATACGCGTGTCTATTATTTTTAAATGGAGTGTATTCATGAAAACTTACTGCTTAGCCTCAAATAATGAGACAAATGTCTTTCCACAGGGTAGCCCTTCTCTGCAGAATTCCCCAGATCCAAAAAAGAAATCGGTTGTTGAACTGAGAGCATCTTGAAGACTTTGCGAGAAGGTGCCCGGGAGCAGATTCTCATCGACATCTGAATCATCGGAGCTGTCCTCGATCTCCTCCACTTGTTCCTTTCGATCTCTTCGAACTTTATTAATCATAACAGCATTAATCTTTAGTCTCACCTTCTGGATTCTGAATATATTCGAAGAAGCGGTCCTTTCCATCATAATAATTAGTAGGTTTAAACAGTTTCCCCTCATTCAATAGGACCCCAACCACTTTCCAAGTATAACTTAGATCCACATCTCCACACTTCCTGGCTGCTTCTGCATTGTGATTACAAATGTTCATGGGATTATCGCCAAGGAACCGGTAGCTAAAAGAATTTTAAAAAAAATTATTCGGCACTTACTGCTTGGCCAATTCAGAAAACTTGTTGGAACCGGTCAAGGCAACCGGTGGGTTCTGATACTGCAACAACGCCGACTTCACGGGACCTTCAAATTGATATTCCGAGTCAAAAACTCCTTTCGTACAGCCTTCTGGCACTGAATCAAGTTACAAAATAATGTTGCAACACTTACAAGCACAAATAATCTCATTGAAAGGATTTGAATCAGCCATTGCAAAAGGACGATGATAAGAGATGGTCATATCGCCTGACTCCGAATAATGTAAAGACAACTTTCTATCCTTGCCACACGTAACAAACCTGTTTAAACCCGAGAATCTGGGGAATGAAATATCTAAATTAATTTAATAAACCTCAGTGTACAATAAATATACCTGATACATTGAAATCATGGGTTCCAAAACAAGAATAAGGGAAGAACGGACGTCTTACGTCCCATGAAAAGACTTGCGATTCTGTGGCCGCGACTGTAACAAGATGATGATCTTTGTCGATATCCCATTTCACTCGATTTAGAGCTGATGGAGTCTCAATTAGATATAAGAAATCAGAACTGTCTGATGTCCAATCCCATACCTACAAGTCATAACTTCTCAGATCACGCAGCTTTCCCTACCCTCACGTATCGATCTCTTCCCGCAGTTGCAATCAGATGTCTGTATTCCAAGGTTGGATTGAGAGAGACAGCGCTGACCGGTCCCTGATGGGCCAAGGTCTCCTTCAGACATCGATCTGACCTCCTTATATCCCAAAATCTGACTGCTCCACTGTCATCTCCCGTAACAAACATATCTTGAGATTGTGTGTCCAATCCAAACATCACATCTCGGATTGTATCCATAGATCCTCCACTCGGTCTATAAAGATTTAATAAATCATCCTTGGGCTTACACAAAATGACCGGCGGGTTCTGGTTTCCTAATATCATATAAGAACAAGGTGGCATCTTTTGAACCACTGATGAAAAGATTCTGATTGAATTCGTGGAAACAGACTTTAGTGGCTGCCGCTTTGTGAGCACGGAATTGGAACTCAAGTCCGGAATTAAGGGATTCTGGATCAATGAAACTAACTGCATCCTGAGGGTTACTGCCATGACAATGCTCCAGGTCAAAGAGAACAATGGATCCGATCGAAGAAGTCACTGCAATCAAATTCTCCCGATTTGGATTCCAAGAAACCGAGCCAGAAAAGTAGAGGTTCATCCTTCGAGTCTTGGCTCGGAGGTCAACAGCCGGTTCGAATCCATCTTCTTTTATCGAGAACACCTTCAAAACTGTGATCATTTATGGTATTCATAACTGATAGAGATTCTTACCAGCTCTCCCCGCAACCGCAATCTGGGTGAAATCCTTGTTGACAGACAAGGAATCCATCGGATCATTTAATTCCAGCGTTACGTCTTTGTGGACACCCATCTGAAACTCTATTGAATAAACATATTTTTAACACGTAAATAATAGATATCGATATTCTAGCGACTTCGACAGATAATACCAGATCCATATACATTTTTAAATAATTTATATTTGCTCAAGGCATTCGAATAAAATTTTTTGAATTTGTGTTCGATTCTCTGGACTGGAACACTTTATAATACTCTTGCTGCCACCAAAAGTAATGTGAACTTGAGCTTCTAACGAGGGAATATTGACGACTGTGCACTCGCCGACACTTGACTGTCCATGATCTGCAGAGATTCCGTGTCTTTTGAGTCGACCGATCAGGGAATCAGAGGACAAAACCCCAAGATACCTCGGCTTTAAAGCTTTCCTTTCAGTTTTTGCATCGTCTGAGAGCTCATTCTAAAACAATGACAGTTTGCTTTAACCACACATTACTCGAAACTTACCAGTAATGTGAAATCGTTATCATATGTGGAGATGTACCCACTGAAACTACACAAAGACACATCCATCTTAACCTTTTTGGTCTCCATCCGCATGTTTTTGAGGACTTCGGGCATTACCAACGCTCTTTTCCGACCAAAATCACCTGATATTTCGACCGGCAACCCATGTTTATACTTGATAATATTATTCTAAAAATATAAGTACTTAATTGGCAACTTACGTGAGTAACAGTTAGATTAGCTCTTCCTCTACAGTAAGTATCAGGTATAATCAGTTGTTTTGGGAAGAGATCCGGTATCAGATTCTTATTCAAAAAGTTGAAATCGAGCCTAGTATCAATTGGGAACTCGAAAGCGGGGATGGAAAACGTCTTGAAGGCCTTATAAACATCCGATAACGGGTAGTCGGGGTCAAAAAAATATATGTATTACAATACCAGGTACTCTTACCCGTCACAATCACCGCGTTTTTCTTGTCATTCCCCCATAATTCCAGAAAATGAATGGCACTTCCAAATCTGAGACTCGGATGGCCAGTTAAAACAACACAAGGAGGCTTGAAATCCTTGGAAAAAGATCCATGAATCGAACTGTAGACCTTTATTCGATTATCCTTGATCAACTAAACAACTTGGAATCATCTACAATCAGCACTTACATCATTAAAGACGAAAGGTTCGTCTGCATTATAAACACGTTGAGACTTCTGTTCAACCAAATATTCCGGGAAAATATTAACAAACGCCAAAGCACTGGCTGCCACAGGGGATATAAAATAGACCGGAATATCTCTGGAGGCTTTACCCTAAACTCAGATCGTGTTATACTACAGTATAAACCTACCGCGTCAATAGCGCTGATTATAATCTCTAACAGATCGAAGACGTTACCCACCGGACTTATGGGAAATAAAACATTTCCTCCTCTCTTAAGAGTCTCTACCATAGTAAATGATAACCTATGAGCATTCGAAGCAGGGTCCGCATTAGGAAATCTGCTGATTGATGTCACGATAAGGTTGGAGATATTTTTAAACGGTATCCAAAAAGCAGGCCGTACGTGAGATGGTCGGGCAGCACTACTGCTAACATACCCTACCTAACAACAAAAATTCGTAATATACATAAAACAAATTGAAATCAACTGACTTTGCAAGAATCGTAATCCAAAATCCAATTGCAAGATCCAATCGAATGTCCGGAAGAATAGGCGGTGCATTTTATAAGTCCATTAACTACCTAAAGAATATTGAGTTGAAGATATAAAATTTCTAAAACCTTGGTCTCTCCAAAACTAATCAAGGACACCTTCTTCAGGGCATTGCTCATCTGCTCCCTCGAATAAATCGGCTTCCATCCTCTAGGATCATTTGTTTTTGATTTCCCAAAAGTTTTCCAGAAAGGTTTCTCCTTCCAATCGTTATCATCACTCTTCACTCGATCCATGACATTCACCATCTCCTCCATGGCCAAACCACCCAGCTCTTTGGTCGGTTCTGTGCAATAAACAACACCAGAAAATCCAGTTTCTTCGGTTATATAAGGCAAAGATAATAAACTCATCCAACTTGATATAAGAATAACATCGAGCTTGGAGAAATCAATAGAAGATAACTAAAAGAAGATCAAACAAAATATGAACACTCACTGTCATTGGCTGGACTTCAGGAACGGCATCGATCAAGAGTTCTCCTCCGATCTTCTTCAAGCCGGCCAAATTTGGATCCCTGGGAGAAACGGCGTTATTCAGGGGGGATGACTGACTAAAACAATATATTAAATTAAAAAGAACTCACTTTTTGATTATCCGCAACGGCATAAAGTTGCTCAGAACGTCAAAATTGACTGCTGTATCCAAAAGAACTGATACATTCGGGAATTTAAGATACACAGATGGCCGGTTTGGAAGATACGATATATTTGTCTAAATAAATTTACGAAAACTGCTGTGGTACTTACTAACTGCATTATGAATTTACCATTCATGAAACGAACTTTCCGCGCGATAAAATTTTTTGCGAATTTTATTTATTTTCCGAGCTGCGCCCTTTGTTCCGCATTTTATTTTCCGAGCTGCGCCCTTTCTTCCGAATTGCAAAGATTAAATATACGACAAGAAACCCATTGCAATTGTCAGTATGAAGCAATTGTAGCGTACGATTCTTGCGAACACCTCTAGTAAAGGTTTTGAAAGGTTATGAATATGTTAATTTCAAAAAATTTTTTTTGTTGATGCATCATTTTTATTTCCTCCTTCCTCCTTGGACGGTGGCATTTTTTCTCATCTTCTCCTCCCAGGACGTTGGCTTAGCGCTTAGCTAAGTGTAACACTGGGGACTAATATGAGTCAACCCGATAAAAAAATTAAGGAACCGATATGCCCGACGATCAAATTGGCAAGTACAATATAATTATGCCCAACAAATTTGTATTCGTCTTTAGCCTGAGCTAATTCAAGGTGAACGATTGAAGGGAGCCAAGGGATCTTACAGAGTAGAGAAGAAACTGAAGGATATCGAGAATTGTCGGATTTATCTGGTCTTTCTAAATGATGACAAAGAAAATGATAAAAAGATGGAGGCTAAAATTCAAACGAAGGGAGAATCCTCGGGATTCTGGAGACGATTCAAGGTAGACGTCGTCAGTCTAATATAATACTTGTTAGAATGAGATTGCAATTCTCGAAGCCGCAAAGCGATACGAAGAAAGATGCCCGAACCTGGTCCACATCCAGGATAAAGGAGAGCTGAGGGATATTGAGTTCATCATCCTGCCCCACTTCTCTCACGACGTCGAGAAGTTATACAAGTTCCTGGGAAAGTTCAAGTAAGTCTTCAGACTTTTGCATTTGATAATATCAGTCCCGAAGAGACGTATAAGATCTCATATCACATGGCCGAGGGTCTCAGACAATTACACGCGATGGATGTCTTCCATGGATACATCCGTCTCGGCTGTTATGTCGTCTCTGGCACCGAACAGATCAAACTGACTGACTTTGGTCACTCTTACACCTCTCAGACAGATCAAGAGTGAGTTTCATCCTATTAAAGTAAGGCAGTTTGTTCAGCCGTCCAAAAGAAATTGATGCCTATATAAAACCACATGAATATTCTGCGAGATGTGCCCACGTGAGCATTATGGGTGCTTATAAAGATGACCTCGAGAGTCTGGGTTACTGTATTGCATCATTATTACATCGAAGGGCATTGCCCTGGCGTCGTGCCCGACCTAAATTAATGCTGAAGCTAAAGAAAAAGTTTATGAGTAATCCCTCCGGTAAGCGTTGATAAATTTTCTTTTACCAAGCGGGCCAAAACTCTTGACATGTTTGAACCGTGCGCCATGGCGCGCCATCGCCCAAAGAACTTCTCGCACGGCAACGAGCAAAATTCACGGTGCGCGCCCACCGCGCACAGTGCGAAATGATTTGCTTTGAAAAGGGCAATCAAAGCACAGTGCGCTTTCGTTTCGCATCCGTTTGTCGCGCGAAGTTACCTCGCGACGCCGGCCGCACCGTGCGAAAACATGTCAAGACTTTTTGACCCGCCTAGTAGAATACTGTGCTTGGACATACATTACTGTACTTTTCAGAGAGTCTCGAAGCTGACAAAGTCCCACCGTCTTTCCACAAGATCTTCAATCTGGTCGAGACCACCAGAAGAGATGAAAAGATCAATTTCAACGCGGTCTTTCAGATCCTCGATTCGTGTGCCTTAGAAATGAAGGTGCCCCTCGAATCCAAAGACATTTATTTTGGAATGTTACAACGAAAACAGCCGTCAAAGGAGTACTCAGGCAGTCATTCAAAGGAGACTTCTGGAGATGAGACCAAGTCCAAAGACAATTTAGAATTAAAGGGTCCCTCACAAAACGTGATCAAAGATCCACCAATTCCGCCCGGAAAGACGAAGCATTAAAGCCCGCGGTAGCAAAAAGGACACCTAAATCTGTTTTTTCAATAAATTACGTTGAAAATAAAAAAGTAAAATAAGAATTTTTCGTTTTTATGCAAAACAATGTTTAATGCAAAACAATGTTTTCTCGCCTCGGCGGAGATGCCATTTTTCGGCGGACATTTGATGTCGTCGATCGGACCTAAAAAATTGTCATCTTTTTTTGGTAGATTGAGTTTGGGACTCCTGTTGCCCGATTCCCGTAATTCTTAAAAGTTTTATGATACCTCCGCCGAATCCTCCGCCGGCTTTTAAACATGAGAAAATAAAAAGCTGCAAGGATAACAAAGATATCCACAAACTTTTTCAAACGCTTACAATTCTAAAAGTTGAGACGTTTTATACGCAAGGACGTTTTATACGAAATTGTAAAAAAAGTTTTTTTGTCGCGTCAAGAAATTTCCGGAATTGGAGGAATGGCAGAAAGTGACACTTCCGGAACCGGAAAAGAACAAAAGATTAGGCTTTGAGCTACCACCTGAACCATCTGAATGAATTTATTGTTATTAATCTCAAAAATTTTGTTCCTTTTTTGATGGTTACTTTTTTTCTTAAGTAGTACTGTTAAATAGTATTTTTTAAAAAGATTTAGAAGATTTAGGGGTTCTCGCGTGTTCTGATTTCGAAAATTATGTTCATCTTTTCTGGTAGTTAATTTTTTCTTAAGTATAGCAGTACTGTTAAAAGGTAACTTTTTGAATTTTTTCCAACCTGGTGAGATTTATTGAAAAAAAATCACAAAATAAGTTTTAACAGTACTTTTAAGAAAAGTAAATTTCAGAAAAAATGAACATGATTTTCAAAATCAGCACCATCGAAAACCCTACATGGAGTACTTTTAGAAGAATTTTAAAAAATACTATTAAACAGTACTACTTAAGAAAAAAGTAACAATCTGAAAAAAGGAAAGGTAATTAATAACAGTAAATCGATTCAGGTGGTAGCCTTCCGGAAGTGTCCAAATTCCGGGAATGTCGTGGTACCGTTTTTGTATTTTTTCGTCGAATAGATCGAGATCATGGATGAGAAGAGCACGAATGCTGCCAGAATCCCCCTTTACAGTAAAGTTCCACAAAGATGGGGGAGATATCTCAACCCCATCCTCGATTGTATTTGTCTATCTTTCAACAGTAAGGTCGATGGTCTGACTGTCCCTATTCTTCGACACATTTTTATGCCTGTTGCCTTCATCATCGACATATTGTGTGCTCCCCCTCCAATAAAAGGCAGATTCGATAAAAAGTTTCATAAATTAACCCGTTTTTATATCCTTGGGCTTCATGTTACTGTAAGTTCTATTAGACATTAATTTTTTCTTTTAGGCCTTAGTCAGAATTGGAATCTTGGTTTGCTTGGTGAAGATTGTAATCGGTGTTGTCTGGGCTGGTCGAACCTTTGTGAGGCAACGGTTTGTCCAATATGCTCATGGAAATCCACACGTTGCAATTGATGGCATCGCTATGAGGTTGCCTCCAGGTATGTAAGAATTGTCGTTCTTAGTTAGATTTTTAGGTGATGAGGCTTATGAGCCCTTTCAACAATTGAAATTATTCTCATTCATCTTGATTTTACTCATTTTGCCAATGATGCTCCGAAATGGCTTGTTCTTTCTTCCTCTTCAGCTGTTCTGTGTAAGGTATCATAAGGTCCTCAATCTGTTTTAGGCTTATATGTTTATTTGGAACATTTACGATGCCTATAAGTTCGCTTCTGATGCTTTCCTGAATTACTGGACGGCTTTTCATCGATTGTACACTTTTAATGAGTATAATAAAACCCTTCACACGGCAGAAACAGACGCCAACGACTTTGTTTACATCTTTCAGTCCAAGAATCGTATGTTCGTTTGAAATGTCCTTTAAGCTTTGGTTTTAGATTACAGAATCATATTTGATCTCTACTTCAAGATACTCAGATTCACTCTGCTTATGTTCCCGGGATATGTGATGGACAGAGTTATGCAGTATTACAAATGGGACAGAATTCTCGACAGAGTTGTAAGTTTAATATTGGATAACAGTCCATTATGGGTGGATTCCATAATGGGCATTATGGAATCCACCCCAAAAATCATCGCACCTCAAAACCTCTGTATCTTTTTAAAAAAGTGTATTTTGTGTGGTCTTGACCCTTTTTCTTAATTAGTAGTACTGATAAAAAGTAATTTGTGGATTTCTTTGGCTATCCTTCGTTTGGGGAATATCGGATATGGGCCCAATATGCATAGACGATGTTGCAAAATTCTTTGACCAGCCGCCCAATGAGTTTAAATCACAACTAAATTTTTTAATGGCGAGCCCTGCTTTTTTGAGATTTCAAAGCGATCCCGACACTTTGGCTAGCCGATCCAGTTATTTTGCTAGCCATTAAAAAATTTTGTTGTGATTTCAACTCATCGGACGGCTCAAAGAATTTTTTAACATGGGCTGTACATATGGGGATAGTACCCGATCTGCCCCTAAATGAAATCCGCCCCAACTGAAGGGTAGCCAAAAAATTCCGAAAATTACTTTTCAGTACGACTACTTTTAACATAAAATACTCATTTTTTTACAAAGATACAGAGGTTTTGAGGATACTTGCAATGATTTCAGAAATATGCATCCACCCATAATGGACAGGCACGTAATACTGTAAACCCTTACGCAATGCTGTTTTATGCGAAGGGAGACTGAATATGAACTGGGATGGTGACTGATGAACCGATTGACATTAACGTCCAAAGGTGTTATAAGGCGAAAAACTTGGAACCTAGGTAGTAACAGAAACCCGGTTTTCATATTCAGTCAGCACCTAAGTTCATATTCAGGTGCCCTTCGGTGAAATTTTACGTAATCATACACTCTTATTTTTTCTAATTTCATTGAAATAGACCAAAATTTGCCAAATTTCATATTCAATCAGCACCACAGTTCATATTCAGTCAGACACCCGTTTTATGTTATGATTTAGGTTTTTTTCAGCAAAATTGTCTGAACGAATTGTGCAAACCGTTCATCAGCTACTTTTTACATTACAATCGTCGGCTGTTCCACTTGATTGTGGCCAGCAGATTGGATCCGTTATCTTCCCGATGGCTCGACGAATATCTGAAGGAGGCCAGAAAGGATGCTACAAAGAAATCCAAGAGGTATAAATTCGATAGGATGCGGAAGGCCAGGGGAATTGCGAGATTGAAAGTTGAGAAAGAAAACAAGATGGCTAAGAAAGAAGCAGAAAACAGGAAGAATAACATGACAGACAATGCTTATAATGAGAGTGAAGTATCCGCCAACAATAATAAGATGCTCAACGGCAGTCCTGATTTTGCAAAAGTGGTGTAACATGACTCGATTTAATTGTTACTTGCTAACCTTACATTTCCTAATTTTTTATGCTGTAATTTATTAGTTAGCTGATAAACTTATTTGGTCGTCTTTTATTACTCTGAAGTTTTGATTATTCGAGGCGTTGGTGGTCGGTTGTCCGTTTTGTCTCTTCCAGGGAAATGAAGTCTCGAGGATTATACACGAAGATTACCGAGATCTTGTATGCGACCTAGCTGTTTTAATATTTCCTGTTATATATTGTATTTCAGTTCAGCTAGCCGAAAAGAATCATTTCCAGAGGTGAATACTCAACCGAGTAGATGGAGTTATGTCCACGGAGCCTCGGATCGTCCCTTGATACACAAAACGGTGGCTCAGATTCTCCAGGGCACGGTGGAGGCTGTTCCCAACAAAGATGCATTTGTTCTTCCACATCGGGATTACCATAAGACTTATTTGGAACTCTGGGATGAGGTGAGTGATATCAAGTTTAATGACATAACAACTAAATTTATTTCAGTCTCGACGTCTCGCCCGTGGATTACTGTATTTGGGACTCCGTCCAGGAGATCGTTTGGCCATTTGGTCCCCCAATTGTTACGAATGGGTCCTAACTCAATATGCTGCTGCCAGAGCTGGTATTATTCTTGTCAGTGTGAACTCGGCTTACAAAACAGCAGAATTGAAACATGTTATGGAGAAGGTTGGGGCCAAAGGTCTCATTGCTCCGTTCGAACATCGACAAGCACAGTATTACAAGTGAGTTGTGACCATATTATGTACATCGTCATCATCAATCACATCGTTAGTTGAAATTTGTATTTTCAGAATGATGACTCAATTGATCCCTGAGATAGAAGAGAATCCTAACGGCATTGGCCATCTCCATCATAATGTTTTACCAGCTCTGAAGCACTTTATCACATTTGATTACAAATTTCAAACACCAACCTTCAAGTAGGTCATCTCTGTATAACGCCCTTTATTTTTAGAGGGGCCTGGAACTTCTGGCAATTGGTTGAGGCTGGAGGGGAGAGAGAATCTGTACTTTTGAATAAAATTGATAAGGAATTATCTCCAGATGATATCCTCGCCATCATGTTCACAAGCGTAAATGACCGTTAATATAAAATTGTTGTAATATAATTTTAGGGTAAGACTGGTCGTCCAAAAGCCTCGGCTCTCACTCATCATAACGTCCTCAACAACGCGTTATCGGTGGGAAGAAGAATGGGATTGAATAAAGAAGTAAGTGTAATATATTATTATAGTTGTAATATAATTTGCTTGATAACGTCGTTTCAGAGGCAGAATATCTGCGTTCCTGTCCCTCTTCATGGTGCATTTGGTGCAGTCCTCGGAAGTCTGAACAGTGTTCTTCATTACAGTACTTGTGTTCTCCCTTGTAGTCGTTTTAGTGCCTCCGGTGTTTTGCAAAGTATCCAGGACAGAAGGTGAAGATTAAATTATTGAATTATGACGACATTATAGTTGTTCTGTAGTCCTTTCGACTCCCACAATGTTTATCGACATGCTGAATGATCCAAAATTTAAGCAATACAATCTCAATTCACTCAAGACGGGTTAGTTAAGTAATGTGATAAAACTCGGGCAATTTATTTTCAGCATTAGTCAGTGGTGCGAAATGTCAACCACGACTTTGTAAGGAGATTGTAAGTAATTTTGGTCTCCAAGCTCTTCACAAACTTTATGGAACAACGGAAGTATCCCCAGCTGCATTTATGACCATACCCAATGATCAATATGATACTGTAGGAAATGTCCTCGATCATATTGAAGCCAAAGTCATTGATGCTGAAGGTCGAAAAGCGATCAGAGGAGAGATCGGAGAGCTTTGTATCAGAGGATATTCGGTGATGAGTGGATATTGGAGTGAAGAACAGAACGAAAAAAACCGAGGAGTCGAGCCGGATAGATGGTACAGAACTGGGTGAGATGGCTTTACAGGTTAACAAAGCTTCTGTAGAGATCTAGCAAAGATGAATGATGATGGCACGTTGATAATTGAAGGTCGAGTGAAGAACGTAATCAACCGAGGCGGCGAAGCTGTGTATGCAAGGGAATTGGAGGTCTTCTTACTCTCTCATCCGGCTGTAGCTGATGCTCATGTAAGTGTAGAGCAGCATTAAAAAGATTGTTAGGTGATTGGAGTGAGAGATGAGAGATTGGGCGAAGAGATTTGTGCTTGGATCCAGCTGAAGGATGGAGCCGAGAATACCACGGTAGAACATCTTATCAAGTACTGTAAAAGCCAGGTAACGAACTACTTACAATTACATGACTGTTTAGCTGGCACACTTCAAAGTGCCTCGGTATGTTATCTTCAAGAGAGATTTCGAATTCCCAAAGCTGGAGACGGGAAAAATCGACAAGGAAAAGATGAGGAAATTGTCCGAGAAGACCCTCGGCATCCATTAGAATCCTCAAGCCAACACCTTATTGATTCCTAAACTACATTCATGTCCCAAATACATACAATTAGTACAAACAAAAACAACAGCTGTAAAAGTGATAAAATAATGTGAAATTAATCGGAATCGGATTCATCGGAGATCAGGACGGCCACAAATTCAGTTTTTATCGAGGTCCCCTCCATCTTTTCTTCAAATTCATCCTCATTTGAACTCTCGGAGGATATTGGTTCTTCCTTCAGTTGATGATAAGATTTGATTCTCTCTCCCATATACGTGGCCTCGAGGTCGAATTGACTGAACAGATATGCATTCCTGACCAAGGCATTCTCCGCTGCATCCATCTCCGCATCATGAACGGTCTTACCAACTCCAGAACCTAGACGTCGTCCTCTAAACAAATAAGCAACGAATACAGGACTGTTTCCAAAAGAAAAATAATTTTAGACTCACTTGTAATATACGACAATCTTGTATTCTCTTGAATTTGTGGGTCCATCAACTCCGACAACCCTGTATTCAGGGACCTCGGTGGCTTCAATGCCCTGACTTTTGAGGGACAAACAGCACTGCTGAAGCTGGGACTTAGGATCATTCCATCGGGCGGAGAAAATGAAATAGGAAAGCCGAGGATAGAAGCAGATACGGATGAAAGCTTCGCAGAAATTGAATCCTCGATCAACATAAATGGCTCCAATCAAAGCTAAGACAATTATTAATCTTCTTTGCAGGCAACTTACATTCTACCAGATCAGCTTTATCCTTCAATCCCAAAGGTCCTTGACTTTGTCCAGGATTCACAAGGTACTTGGGTAACCCAAGTTCATCACAAATAAGAGATTGAGTCTTATTACTGACAAGGCAACTTCTCAATAAACTCAGATGTCCCTCATGATGATTAGGGAAATGACGATAAACATAATCAGAGACAAAGAATTGAAGTACAGTATCCCCGAGAAATTCTAAGGTTTGATTGTGACCTCTAAAATGCAACAATTGATTTTATATTACCGACTACTACTCACTGTGTAAGGTTGTTATAACCAACATTCCGACGGGTAAAAGCCCTGGCTAATACTCGAATATGATGGAAATAGATCCCGATGTAATCTTCGAGCTCCGTCAACCTCTGAAGCCATTTCACTTTCGGAATCCAATGTCTATCCGAAGGCGAATTGGCTTTTAACGGATACTCTTGAGGTCGAGTCCAGAGATTAGAAAGATCGGGGGTATGGCCGAAGAAGGCGTTCGACAGAATACTACAAATTCAGATCAATAGTAATTTTCATAAATTGTAACTCATTAGGAAATAGGTAGTGTAGGAATAACGACACAATCCCTAAAACTGGTATTACCCTTACCGATCACATGTGTTGACATCCGAGTCCAAGTAAATTGCGGCCATTAGAGCCTCGAAAGCATTGGCAATGTCCTTCTTCATCCCATCCTCTTTACAAACTTCCACTCCATGACCTCTGAGGAGATACTTATGGATCTCCAGTCTCTGCCCGACCATTCCCAAGTGAAGATTTCTCACAAATTTTGATCTAAGAGCGGCCAAGACACCTTCTTCCACATGAGGTAATAGAAAGAAGAGATGATAGGTGGTCACCAATTCAACCACCGCATCTCCCAAAAACTCCAGTCTTTCATTATGCCCTAAAGCCGACTCCTCTTCTTGTTTGCATCCAGGCATGGCCATCGTCTCCATCAGGTTCTCGATTCCTTTCTTTTTCTCTCCTTTAATCTTAATTTTCATCTCTGGAATCTGATTGTAACCGCAATTCCTGAGAGTGTTCTTTAGATGATCAATGTCCGTGAGGAAGTCAGTGTAATAAGAGGGGTGGGTGAAAGCCAATTCCAGTAATTCTCGCTTCTAAAAGCTTATTTCGATTGCTCAATCATCTTACCTTAAAATGATAGTCTATTTTCTTTTCGAATTCATCTAAAGACCAATGATATCTGACTTTGAAAACAATAGCCAAAGCTATCAAAGCATGATGAACAACATCAAAACACAGTCCGGTAGAGAGAAAGTCCTCGGATGTCAGATCCACAGGTAAAGATCTTTTATGTCCACTAAACAAAGATACGATAATGATCCGCAATAATCAACTGCTGATGATTATATTAGTCCTTACCTTCTCACTCTGAGCTCTCTTATCTCTTCCATAACATTTTTGAATTCCTCTCGATCTATTTCACTCACAAAATCTCTTTGGGCAGATAACTTGTCCCTTAGCACTTTGTACTTCTTCTGAGCCGCTATTAATTTCTGTTTTGCCATAGTTGCATGTTTGGATGATCTCATTGTGAAATGCCGGAGAGTTCCCGTGATATCCCTTCTATCGTTATCAACTCGGATACAACATGGTCTCTAAAAATAACAACACTTCCAATTGGATACTTACCTTTAATGGGTTGCATACTAATTCGTCTTTTAATAACTTCCCGCCTTGTTTTTTGGCCATAATTGGAGAGAAACTTTCCACGAGATGCTGTAAAACAGAAGCCATTGGAAGGACAGATTTGACTTCAGCACCATTACAACCTAAAACTAGACTTGGAAAAGCGTTTAATTACCTGAAAAGTTCACAAATCTGGGGAAAATGTGATAAGTGGGACAAGAATCAGAATCCATGAATCCTCTATCGATACTGTATAACTCCAACAATCCTTCAAATAAATAAGAGTGAAACATCTCCAAGTCTTCAACGGAGTAACCCTGAAACAAAAAAAATATTCCTATTATCATTAATCTGACATCCCCTTACTTGTACAGGAGGTAATTCGACTAATCTGACTTCAAATCCTGAGAGAATACGCGTGAAAGTCGTTTCCAAAAAGAATTTGGATACAGGCTTGTGGAAGAGCAAGGTAAATCCTTCGAATCTGTATTTAAATCCGTTGTTTTCAATTTTTGAGATCTTCCGAAATGAATGGGTATCACTTCTGACCTCCACAAAGTATTGATAAAGTGAATTTGAATTACTAAAATACGATTAAAGAAAATTGCCACTTACTTTGAGTCCAAAACACATAGAGGTACAGGTTTCTCCCCAGGGAACTGTCGATGTATAACTGATTCTCGCCCATAATGAGAGCAATTACACTTACTTCCAGGAAATTCATTGAACAAAACTTCTGAATGAAGCTTAGCTGGATGAGATCTAAACTTATTCGCGGTACGAAACCTTTTCAACGGTGGCTCCAGAGCTAAAAAATAGGGATTAAAAACCACAAGGCATTATAGAGAGAAACGCTCAGGTACAATACCTAAACTTATTTATTACCGTTTCCGTCTGAGGGTACCGGCTGCGCAGCCCTTTGAAGAGATATAAAGTCCAAAATATTGGTTTGAAACCCATGTCTTATCGCGTCGTGATTCACGGAAGAACTCCTCGAACCATCCGAATTCTCAAAACCTTTTATAAACATAAAATTACCTTACTTTAGTATAAAAATAGTCCAAAATCCCAGGACTTTCAGTGTAATTACGCATTTTCTGATGGATGAATGGGTAATGAGATTAGCTTGGATATCAGAGTCCGAAAAAAGTTCTATAAATTGCGAACATGAGGAACAAGGCAACAAATTCGAGAAAAATAATTTTTCTAATTTCCATAAATTTTGTCAGCGTGACGAGGTTCATTGCGCCGTAAAATAAATGCAGACCACCTAGTATCGTGCCAATGTTTTTTTTTCAACTCTATAAAAATTTATAATTAAATAAAGCAGTCCCTTTTCTATGCAAACTTTTCTCCAATAGATCGCTCTGACTAATTTTCTAAAACTCTTTTCCCAATTTTTGAGTCTTCTAAAATTTTTGGAGAGGTGAGGAATAAGGTTGGTTTCGTGCTCTTTACGTGATATTTGGCATCGAAATGGTGTAATTTTTGAGTTTGTTATATTTTATAGTATTCGTTTAGGTCAGTTGAATGTGAATTCAACATGGAGCAGATTTCATACCAAGAGGTTAGAAATCTAGAAGAAGTTGTGAAATTTGATCCGGATGGTTCTGGAGACAGCCATGAAGACATGGTGAATCCGCCAGGCAATGAAGAAAAAATTTCTAAGAATAATGAGAAAGGAGAACTTGACGATAACAAGGATAAAGAGGCGGATGAAGTAGAAAAAGAAGATGGGCCACTACAGATCAATATTGCTACCTCTAAAGGCATTACTAGGAAGCGGCTGCATATGTGAGCTTTTTATTGTTTACTTTTTAATTTTAGGTACCATTTTGGGAATGGCTTATATAATTTCTTCGATTTAGGAAGTCTTCCGACGTGACTGCCTTCTCAGAAGCAGCTCAGGATGCTCAGAAGAAAGAAAGAGAGCGTCTGGAGCGTTTGGAGAAGCAGAAGGTTGGGGGTCCATCCACGATGAGTTATCAACCAGTAGTACAAGAAGAAGATCAACTTGAAGAAGAAGATAGTGATGACTGTGTCATTGATTGCATAGTTGCTAAAAAGAAGAAGGAAGTGGAAGTAGTGGACTTGAGTTCCGACGAAGAAGAGTTCCAACGGAATGGCTCTATGCAAGCCAAGATGTACAGAGTTGTGAGTTTTGACATTATTATAGCTAAAATAATTTTCATTTAGCGTCAAGAAGAAGAGGCAAGAACAAGGAGAGTAAGGAGGAAATCCGGAACTTTGGACAAACTGGAATTCACGGCAGAGGGAAGGTTATTAGTGAATGAAGGAAAGCCTGCTGGAGATCCAGATGTGTTTGTGGCTGCTCATCTTACTCATATATTACAACCCCACCAATTGGGAGGCGTTAGGTTCATGTACGTTCTTTTCTTCTTCTTCATTTTTCTTTAGGTATGACAATGTGATCGAGTCATTGAGAAATTTTGACCCAAACAATGGATTTGGATGTATTTTAGCTCATAGTATGGGTTTAGGAAAAACATTACAGGTAAGTCTAAGTTAACATATGCTCTGCAAATTATAGGTAATTACATTTGTGGACATCTTTTTCCGCCTGACCAAACGAAGAAAGGCTTTAATTATTTGTCCCGTAAATGTCCTCCAAAATTGGTATAATGAGTTTGATAAATGGCTGCCGATGGATGAAGGGAAACGGGATTTTAATGTTTTCTTGGTAGGAGATGCTGTCAAGACCTTGGAGCAGAGAACGAATGTCATCAGTAAGCAATTATGCAAAGATATTACAATGTTTTATATAATATTCGCGTATCACATACTTTTCAGGTCAATGGGACTCTCAAGGTGGTGTGATTCTAGTTGGATATGAAATGTTCAAACTTCTAACTCAATATAAGAAGAAGCCAACGGACTCGATATCACAATATGATGCGATGATTCAGGAGAAAATGGTGGAGAGTAAGCCGCTTTATTTTTTTATTCGTGTTTTAGTATGTGATCGAGCTTTGGTAGATCCAGGACCGGACCTAGTTGTATGTGATGAGGGCCACCGGATAAAGAATCTTAAGACAGCTTGTGCCGCCGCATTGACAAGAATAAAGACAAAGTGAGTCGTATTTTTTGTTTATTACCCTTTTAGACGGAGAATTGTGTTGACTGGGTACCCTTTGCAAAATAACCTAATGGAATATTATTGTATGGTGGACTTTGTGAGACCATCGTATCTGGGAGAAAAGAAAACCTTTGCGCAGATGTTTGATAGACCCATTAAGAATGGAATGTGTATTGATTCAACTCCCATGGAGATCAAGATAGCTCGGCAGAAGACTCACGTCCTCATAAAACAGCTGAAAGGATTTGTTCAAAGGAGAACACAACATATTCTGAAGAAGATTCTGCCCGAAAGCAGGGAGTATGTAGTGGTTTTAAGGAAGTCGGAGGTCCAGAAAGAATTATACAAGAAGTTCCTGCTATTTGTCAAGTCCCAGATTGATGTAAAGGACACTTGTTTTTACAATCCACTGAAGGCATATGCTATTTGCTCCAAGGTAATGGTTAAAAATTTTATTATTTTAGGTGAATATTGTAAAATACAACTATATTTTGTTTTAGATATGGAATCATCCCGATTTATTGTTTAAAGCATGGAAGGCTCAGCTGGAAACTGTAGAAGCCAACCTCCAGAGGCTGAATAATATGAATCCGTTTTCTGCGGAACCCTCCACTTCCAATGGTTACGATAATTTTGGGAATAGGACCAATAATTTTGTGGATGCAACTGATGCCAACAGGAAGGGAAAACGAAAAAAGAAAACGGCCAATCCATTCGATGAAGACGACAATTCCATTCCCTTTTATTGGGTAAGTCTTTCTCATTACGGACAAAATAAATTGTTTCAGGCGGACGGTGTAATGGTATCATATCAACCAAATATCCTTACAAACAGTTATAAAATGCTCGTGGCCTTAACAATAATAGAAGCCACGGTGATCCGAGGAGAGAAAATTCTTCTATTCAGCGGAAGTTTACTCACATTGAGTCTACTGGAGGAGTTTTTAAGGCTAAGGGGGAATGTCCCCACAACCAAAGGAGACATTGTCTGGAAGAAGAACGACACATACTTCAGTAAGTAACTATTTTTTTATTTTATTGGGTTATCTGATATATTATTATAATATTTTTTAGGGTTTGATGGATCCACGTCGGCTTCGGACCGCGAAAAATTAATAGACCGTTTCAATAACGATCCCTCAGTCCATTTGTTTCTGATCTCAACTCGAGCTGGATCCCTGGGGGTGAATCTTGTCTCAGCCACCAGAGTAATCATCTTTGACGCTTCTTGGAATCCATGCCACGATGCCCAGGCAGTCTGTCGAATCTACCGTTATGGACAGAAAAAAAAGACTTTTATCTACAGATTGGTCATGAATAATTGCATGGAAAGAGCCATCTTTGCCAGACAGATATCTAAAAGTGGATTACAACGTAAGTAGTTAAGAAGTTAATTATTTGTGCTTAGAAAGAGTGGTAGATGAACAGCACATTGATGCCAAGGTTACGACGAAAGAATTGGAGAATCTGATTGCCTACGATGAGACTCTTGACTACGATAATGATCATCCAGATCTGGATTCATGGAAGGAGAAGATCGATGATGATTTGTTGAGAGATATTGCTACTTTTGACTCCAAAATTTTTGCTGAGGTAAGGTCTATATGGTGCGATGGAGTGTTGTTATTTTAGTGCCCATTCCTCCACGAATCTCTGATGTTGGAAAGAGAAGAGGGGTTGAGTCAGGAAGAATTGATAGAGGCGGAGTTGTTGTACGAAAAGGAGAAGGTTCAGATGAACCAGGGGTCTTACAAGTTGAAGGATATGCCCTCATTACCATCAAGGATGCCGCAGATGTTCCCTCCGCAGCCCTTTTATCCCTCGAGTCAACCCCCTCCTTATATGGGGCAATCCCCCATCACCATTGGTCATGTCCTCAATAATATGAATTACAACCCCAATGGGAATGCGTTTAACAACATGCAGAGGTGGAATGAGTAAGTGGTCTGTTTGTTTTTGATTCGTTGGTTGTAGATCATTAATAATTTTGATTTCAGAATGAATCAGCCCATTTATCCGATGAGCAGACCAGCACCATTACCAAGAGACATTGTAATCAGCGCGAATCCGGAAGCCAATGGCCAATTCATGGGGTATAACAACCAGTTCAGCCAGCCGTTTAATGGATATAGTAATGGAATCCAGCAAGGACAATATTATAGTGCAAATAATGGGGATTACAATGGAGATGGAAGTTATCAGACACCGCCGACAAATCTGTTTACTGCCAATGAGAATAGAGCTAAGGAAAGTAATGGACGGCATGCGGAAAGTCCGAATCGAAGAAGTCAAGAAACTCATGGGGAAATGGAGGCAGCGATGGCCGGGTCTTCCCTCAACAAAAATCTCGTCGCCGGAATTAAAAGAGCATTCGTTCAAGGAGGTAAAGCTATCGTCTACTGTAACAATCGACAACTTTATAAATATAATGTATCAATCTGCCGGGAAAAACGGAACACTTTGTCGTTGCAGCGATAAGGGCAAAAATTTTCATATTTCGCAGCGTTTTTCTCGACGTCGAGAACCTGTTCTTGTCGCTACAGCGACAATTTTTCCCGACAGGCTGATTTTATAGTACTGCGCATTTTCAAAAGTGCGTAGATCTTGAAAAACCTTGGGTCACGACAATTTTTTAATTGCACAGTGTGGAAAGCGTGCGGCAAAAAGTCTGCGCTTTTGAAAATCTTGAAACGGCATGGTAGATGATAGCTGTACATTCATTTGTTCTTTGTAGATATTGAACTCTCAAGTGTGAGTAAGCCTGGTACGAAGCTACACTTGAAGAAAGGAGATCCAATCCTTGTTGTATTTACAAAAACCGGCGGTGTTTACATTAGAACTTCCACCGGACAGATCGCCGATGCTGCCAATACTATCTATGCCAAAGCTGAAGTCATCGAATTGGAGTAAGATCACTTTTAAAGTCGAAATTGCTGGACACTAGATGTAATCGGAGCGACTCAGCCTAGCCAAAGATCTTCCAATCATCATCCAGTTTTATAGAAATTGATTTAGATAACGTGTTGATTACATTTCAAGTCTCTCATTGTTACTCTTACTTTTTTGCATCGGGTATTCGAACATGCGGTCGTTAAAGATCTCCCTATTGTGTAATATTCATTGTTTTGTACAGTCCTTAACCCTCGCCTTTCCCTATTTTGTAGTGATATGTGTAAACAAGTTGTGTAATAAATTTTTATTACAATTTTACTCTCTTTATCTTGTGTCACAACATTGTGACTGATGTCGAGTATATGTAATACACTTGTCAACATCATATTACGAATGTTTTTGGGAAGATTTTATGGGATTGCTGTACTTTTAAAATGTTTAAACCATCCTTATCAAATGCCACTCTGATGAGTGGCATGCAAAGACCACGGAAGTAATAAAGGAGTGGCCATAAAAACAAAAGATAATATCGGCTACTGTCTACCCTCGAATAACCGAATCACGCAATCCGTGAGTTTGGGTAAGACTTTCCGTGTTCCCTTCACATTTATGCCATCAAAGGTGAGACTTTTTATATTATTATAATCGGTGGGTGGGAGCGAAAATTATAAATTTTGAAGGTAGATGTGAGTGTAACGACACTAAGTTGGATACAAAGATTGAGTGTTCTTGTCTCTCTCTTGGTTCCCAGAAGTCGGAAATCGCTTTGTATTTTGGCATTATACGCATCTTTTATATTACTTTAGGTAGTGTAGAGTAATGTAACCAACCAGGGAGGCCCTCCCTTTAAAACTATGAAAGTCTCTCTTACCGTCCCCTTAAGAATTAGAATAATTGCCGTCCCATTCTTCTCCTTTGGACTACTTTTTAGTCGTCTGTTAACATATTTAAGTGCTTTTATAATTGTCGTCATTCCGTTTTCCCTTCCTTTGAAGTGCAATGTGTAGTTTTACAACATAGATTGTGTTTGTGACTTGATTGTAGAGTCTATTCATTTGTTCAGAGTTCATTGAAACCAATGACAATGACTTCCGCAAGTATTTTTTTATAAATTGTAACCCTCAGTTCATGTCGATTTCCCTGCCTAAAAGTTTTACAGTCCTTCTAAACACCCCTCTCCTTGCATTCCTTTCAATCTACTAATTTTAATATGACAATTACAGGGTTTATGTTGCTTTTGAGATGTTTTGACATCTACTCGCAAAACTTTATACTTCCAGACATCAAACAAATTCACGTTTGCTCTGCTAACTCTGTTATATACTCGATTATAGGCCGTCGTACGTAAGAATTAACAATATTGCGGCATTTAGAGGTGAGGGGAACTTTCTTTTTACGTAACACCAAAGAATTTGTGGACTTTTTTACTCATTTTGACTCTAGGGATTACAGTTTTTATAAGTAATATTTAAGGAGGTTCCCGCTAAATTAAAATTTGTCCAACAATGACGTCAGTGTTCGGCGATTTCTAATCTTTTATCTTGCTCGTACTGCCAACAATTGGTTAAACTTTGCTGGCAAAGAGTACATGTTATTTTTCGCATTGCGCAAAATTTTTGTTGCAGAAAAAAAATAGTCGGAAGCCATGGCCGAAAAAAATTTGGGTGTAGCCAGAACCCCTCTTATTTGCAGAGCCCTATTATAATTCTACTGCAAACCTTTACCTCCTCTTATATTGCTAATTACCCACCAGCAGATCAGACCTTTCTGTTATTAGCCTCAGGGCGTTTTGCGGTCGTTAAGTCCGATTGTTCTTTTGAACTTTTCCCATTCGTCTAAAAGTGTTATTGCTCTCAACGTACTCTCATATCGAGTAAATAATCGGCCAAGACAGATTGCCTTCGCTCTGTTTTTGTTCATTTATTTGAATTTCGATCTAAATTTTTGAATATTTTCATCAGAATCTAGACTTTACTTTAGTCTCATGTAGCAAAGACTTGAATAGAGTATTTGTTGGATGGCAGCGCGACAACCCGGGTAAATCATATTTCGGGTCAACGATAGATGTGTTTAGGACACCGCAAAAGGGTCGGTGGACGTTCTGCGAAGTCCTAGTGAACTCGGCGGGGGTTCGGCGATTTTGGAGTGTATATATTATATTGTACTTCAAAACCTATTGATTTTAAAGTTAAAATAACTTAAATACAACTAAAGTGTTGAATCAGGTACTATACGAATGTCAAGCACTTTGGTCATCTGTTTTTATTACGAACGGAAGCGACGATTATGACCCACTGTTTGAAATAATTGGTTTTTCAAGGGCTGTAATCGCTAGTCAAGGGTTTAAATGAGCTATAGGCCTAATTAATCGATTAATTTTCACAAAAAAAATACAATTTTAGGATGTTGTACTGTCGCGGCAAAAGGTCCTTGGAATTTTTCGCGGAACCCAAATTCCGCCGCACTCCGAAAAATTGATTTGTCGCTGCGAAAAATGAGAATTGCGCGCGACGTAGTACGTACAAAAAAATCAAAATGCACTGTGCAAAGTTTTTTCGGGTTCATGCACTGTGCAGAGCCGCAGAAAATTCCAAGGCTTTTTGCCGCGACGAAATGTAAAAGACAACATCAGAAGTGCAGATGGGAATGTTTCCCAGCAGACCTCCGAAATATAATAACTTCATTACTCGGGAGATTGTGAGGTTATTTCTGGAAAGGTTCCTGCTACTTTTTAGTTTCTATGGAGTAACTGCGGTTACTCGTTAACCCGGGATTCAATTAACAATTTGATTTGGCTGCAAGTTCCTAATAAGGTTGTTCCGGACATGCCGGTCTTTTGTTCACGTTTTCCAGTTTAATATTCGCTTTAATTGTACGTAAAATTACCCTTTTTGGTAGTCTCAGATGTCCTAATTGGTTGGTTTTCCGTGATAAGAATGTCCATTGCCCTGAGGGCAAGAGGTCTGAATAATATTTAATGGATTCCTTCAGAGGCGGGAATCATTATTTAACCTTCAATTAATTACTCAGGACTCTAATTGTTTCCGCTTTCCCAGAGTTTTTTTTTTCTCAAGGCAATAGTTGTAGGTGTAGATGTGAATGTGGATGGGAGTGTAGTGGCTATGAAGGAGATTGTGGGGTTCCCTACAAGTCTACGGGCCTTGGTTTCAGTCAGTTTCTAGAATTGGGATCTCTTCAAAGTTTACGTTGCAAAACTCATCTTCCTGTCCCTCCGATTCTATCCAAGTTTTGTAAGTCATCAATTCTGCATCTTGAACTGACTCCCAAATTTTCACCCTTCTGCCCTTTCCAAGTAAATACAATAGACTTCCGCATATTGTAATAGTTTACTTTAATGTCTTCTAGTGCATGTATTCGAATAGAATAAAGTGCATCTACCTCCTCCTACAACTCTCTGTCAACTCTGATTTCAGGAACCTTGTCGCATTGGAGCTGTGAATCTTAGTTAAACTACATTACTGCCTGTTAATTCTGATTAAATTCGTTGTAGAATTGGCTGTTGACCCGGAAGTTAAGGTGTTATGACCGAGTTACAAGTGTTCTTAGCTACACTGTCTAATTGTTTGTACCCTAACTTGTAGTAAAGTTACTGAGTGAGTTGCGTGATTCAAATATTTTTGAGACATAAAATTTTTGTATTTTTTATTTCGTGGTTGTAGTATTGTGCCAGTCGTTGTTATTCAGATATAATTTTCCCAATTTGAATAAACGGTCCATTAATTTGGGTAATTATCGTACTCTGGTACTTGAATATACCTGCTATGTGAATATTTCTCTCCATTTTGTGCCCTTTCCCGTGTAAAATACGAAGATTACGTCGAGGTGGCGTGAGTTGCGTGATCGTCGTGTGGTTATAAACGATGTTCGGCATGGGTTTTCTCGGCGGACGTCACTTGCTGAGAGTCGGGAACATTGTTTTATATCACCTTTCCCTTCGTTCCACCTGTTCTCGCCTTTAGGGCACACCAATTCTTATATATTTCTGCATGCCCTCAGGGGACGGATTCCTTTTCCGGCAATCTTTTTATAAATCACGTTAATTGGCGCGTTTTATTGCATAATTGAACCCCTTTTCCAGTTTTAGTCTCTTCACAATTGGAGTCAGAAGTAGTCGAATCTCGGTACACCGGCAGAATGATGTGCCTCGATGTTTGTGTAAGTTCTCTTAAGTCCTTTTTGTTGTTTACTGAAGCCTACATTGTATGAATTTGACATCATCGTCTGTTTTTTTCTGGATATAATTACATAGCTGTAATCCACATTAGAGGTTTTACATTTTATCGATTCGAAAATGATTTTTTAATTCACGGACTAGAAGGGCATGGGGAATTGAGTTACATAAGAGTTTCTTCCAGCGGTTCCTTTAGCAATTTCCACATTTTGTTATGCAATCCCCTTTTCCACCTGCAATGTTGTGTTAGAAAGGTCACTATATTAATGATCGTTGGCAATAAAACCTTACAATTAGGGCTTTCTCTTATAAAATTGGCGTCGTCAAGTCGACCTTCGTATGCTGAGTCAAGTGTTCCTTTTTCTGACGCAATTCTTGCCCTCTTGCGTCAACTCTTCCCCTCTCAAATCATCGTTTTGAATTTCAGGCATGGGCAGGTTCAGATCACTCCTACTGCTATCTCTACATCATGCAGACCACCCTTTCTTTTGTCGGGTTCTTCTTCAATCTTGTTATTTGTATATTCGCCTTCTCGGGCGATCGGTTTTCCCCTCACACAGCCATGTTCCGCACTTTAATGTTGGGCGACTTGTTGAGTTCTCTCGGTTTCATCATCGACAGCATCTCCGCTTTACTACAAAGTAAGTGGGTGTACAATTGTTTGTAGTGTCGAATGTTTCCTTTCATGAAATTTGAAAAGAAGAGCGAGGGATCTTACATTTCAAAGGTGAAGATGTAAAAAACAAAGTTTTCTCTCAGCTACAATAACAATGTGATCTTTTCAGGGAATTCGGACACTCTGACAGGTCCTCCGGAGATGATGTTTGTTTCGGTGAGTACCTGTGTGGCCAACAAACCGCATCTCTTCATCCTCCAAACGGCCAGGCAATGGACGGCGGTGCTGGTTATGATCATGGGGATCGAGAGGTACCTCTTCATCACATATCCTTTGTGGTTCAAGGTGGTTCGAGTCCGGAGATTGCCCATCTTGGTGTTCACGACCTGCTTTGTTCTCCTTTCTTCGGGTATTGCCTACACAAATGCCTTGTTCATCGACCCGGGAGAGTTGACTCACTTCACTTGTGAGGTGACCTGGGCATTTGGCGACAATTATGGATGGTGTCAGACAACGATCGTGGTCATGGCGATCAGTATGGCGTTTGTTCTCAACTTTTATTCTTATCGGGTTGTCAAACAAGACTCGGCTTTACTTCATTTCGGCAATAATCGTACGCGAATGAACAGCGAACGGAGGAAAATACGGTGAGTGTAATCCTACGGTTACATCAGTTTACGCTGTAAAAGGCCCCTTTAATCGAATATCCATGTCATGACAAAATTGCGTCACAAAAAAAAAGGAATCTGCACGTCAACAGCCTAGTTGAGGCTTTTTTCTGACCTAGATTTAATCGATGTGGCGTTGTTTTGAGTTAGAAACATATCTGCGTTAAGCTTTCGGAAGCTTTTTAATTTTGTTAGAACACGATCCGTTACAGTTAAAACCCCTTAAAAAGGTGTAATTTACACCTTTTTTCGGATAAAAACAATGAAGATTTTCTTTTCGCTGTCTGAGTATACGTAAACGGACAATGTAAGTAAAGAAGATGGTTTTATTGGCAAAAGCCACGCTGCAATAGAATTCCTGGACCCACCTAGTGATAATGCGTACCATGTTAGCAGATATTGTAATTACTTAAGGGACAATTGAACCGGTTATTGTTCTTGCCCTGAGGCATTCTGCCAAAAAGTGAAAGTAGTTTCCAGTACTACTTTTTAAAGGCTTTCCAACGGTGTATAGCGCTTGCCACTTGGTGAGGGTCAGTTTGTACACTTCTCTAGTAAATTTAATCCTGAGATTCCCTCACGGAATGACTAAATTTAGATGAGATGAGCGTTCTAAAGTCAATTTTGTCCTTTCCTTACATTTCTTCATACGTAATGGGCCAGGTGAGGGTTCATTGTACACCAATCTCGGCCCACACACAATCTTACTGTTTACCGGGAGTCAAAAGTATTTCCTCACAACTGAATAGAAATTGTAATATCCCCACGATTATTAGTTCCGTTGTTTTCCCAAATTTCGAGTGCAATTTGTAAAGAGAAGCCGGAAATATTACCTCATCTTAGGTTGTTCATCCCTAAATAATCTTTTTGATTTCAGAAAAGCAATGTGGATAATCGGGGCTTCAGTTCTGGCGTGTGTCTTCCCTCAGATCATCGTCTCCGTGCTCCGAGTCATCAACCACATGGGTCTCCAGAAGACGAAGATGCTCATCTCGCAGCTGTTTTTGCTCAAATTTGTGGCCAATTTCGTGCTCTTGGCCAAATTGTCGCGCGTGGGACCGGGGCTCTCTGTTTTCGCGGTAAGTGGCGCCAATTATTGGTTGATATTCTCGTTTTAGCCCCGTTGTTGTACGATGTCGCTGCGGAAAGCAAGGATAGATCATACGGATTCCATCGCCTCAGTCTCGTATTATGTTAACTGACAGTAACAACAATAGTAATAATACTACCAAAAAAAGACGGGTATTCGAATAAAGTTTGATTGGTTACATGCAAGTTTATTTGTTGTTACAGCATTCTATGAAAGTATCAGTGAGAAATTACATAATTAAAATATGGCGTTAGATCAGGGGCTCTCTTGAGTGAGTCTTTCCACATCCCTGAACATTACAGCATGCCCTCCCGCGGCGGTGGGTACAATATCTCCCTGAAATGAGTTAAAATAATCGCATGTCGGAAATACAAAAAACAAAGTTCACGAGTGAAATAACATCCTCACAAGACTTGCCTTGAAGTGTTGCGTACACAGATTCCCACCGTCGTCTACATTCTGGTTAGTAATCACATAATCCGTGCATCCTTTCAAGTCCTGAGGCTTCACTTTGGTCGTGTGTTTTGTGTTGTTGGGAAACTCTGCCTGGAAAACTGTTCCTGTGGGAATCTTGTTCAGAGGTTGATGGTTAAGAACTCGGCCGCCAACTCCCAAACTTCGCGATCTTCTCTGGGCTTTTCCATACCGAATATTGGCCACTCCTCGTCCCCGATTCACCAAAGCATTGGCTGGATTGTATTGCCCACCAGGTCCTCTCACATATTGTTTTGTTTTCGATGGAACTGGAGGTCGATTCTCTTGTTCTGATGAAAACATCGTTGTCAAAGCAGCGACTCGACCACCCGAGGATGAAGGGGCTGATGGAGGGACATTTAGGCCAGCAACGATCGTCTTCATGGTCTCTCTTTGTTTCATCAAGGCCTCATTCTGTTCCATCTGTCGTCTTCTTTCATCTTCATCTCTTCTTCGCTGATTCAGGAATTCGCTCTCGTATTTAGACAATTTAACTTGAAGTTTGTTAACTTCCCTCTGAAATTAATAGCAGATTGAAGTCACGCTTCAGACCGTAAATAAAAATAAAAACAGGTGCAAAAGTGATCGTACCCTCAAACGGTTTCTCTCTTTGCTGATGCTAGAGTTACATTCCCTGAGTTCGTCGATCTCCTGTTCTCTTTCATCAACCAGCCTTCGATCCAAATCAGCCGAGCACAATCTTTCCAACATAATCTTCTTCAAATCGGCTTCTAATTTAATTTATATCATCCATGACAAATCCCTTACCATTTGTTTTCAATACCGAAATCTGCCCAGACCGAGTTCTCTCAGCCTCAGTATAATACTCTCTGAGTCTGATAATACTGTCTTCGTCATCCATATCTCTTAATTGAATTGGTGGGGGCTTCTTGAAGATGTCCATTCTGGATGAGATCTGGGCCAATCGTGTGTCCAGTTCCATATACCATTTGTTAACTTCCCGTCTACTGTATCTCTGATTAGTCATATCCAATAATAATGGGACGGGAGTAGCAGATTCTGGGATATCGACATCCTGGGCCAATTCGGCGAAACTCATTACAAACTGAAAAAAAACATTGTAAAGTGTCAACAAAAAAATATTTTGAATTAAACTATTACAACCACACTTACAATGTTTTCTTCGTAGTCCTTCGGCCTCGGGTTGACACAAACTATCATCCGTATCCTTCCATTTCCTTCGAAATAGCTCTTAAATAGATAAGTAAGCTTTTGATCTCGATAATTCACTGGCTGGGGGTTCCCTGGACGCTTTTGATTTTCTCTGAAAATAAATCAATAGCAATGACTATTATTTTACACTAGAAAAACAAAGGACACACAAAAATTAAACAAAAAGGTACCTCAATTGTTCGAAGCATCTTCTCAGAACAAGAAGACTTTGGTTGATTTTCCCGGCTTCGACCAGTCGCTGACCTTGGTTTTCTGTCCTCTTTGATCTCTCTGAACCAGCCAAGTCAACCAAAGAGAGTTGCGAAACAACAATCTGCAAACAACATAAAATTAAAAAAAACATTCACTACGATTAATAAATTCTAAATTATTTTTACCTTTGACTCATCAGAAACTGGATGAGTGGTATCTGTAAGCGACTCATCTATGGGAGCCTGAACCAACTTGATGGTGAAGACGGAGTGGGACCTGCTGCTGTTGTCATTTAGCACAGTTTTGGCAAAGCTACGACGTTCTTGTGCTAAAAACAATGACAATTATATGCTCACAGATGACCAACATACCCTTCAAATACTCTTCCAGGACTTCATCACTTGACGTGACCTCCACTTCCACTACTTTCTCCACATAATTAACTCCATTAGCATCACTCCGTATATTTTTGGTCATATTGAGTCTGTTTTGTCCCAAGGCACTATCGAACAAATCATAACACTGATCATTGTAGATTTCGACGTAGGAAATAAACACACTACACATCATATCATTTCTAAATCCGTATACCTAAAAGAGGTCAAAAATTACACAAAATACTCACTTTTTTGGATTCAATAATCCTTTCCGATATTGAATATTCGGCGGGATAGTGTTCTCTGGCAAGCCATGCCTCTTCTGGAGCTCTAACATAAAATCCGTTCCTTCCATTCGGAGCAAAAACACATTTATCTGCCTGATTTTTGATGGAATTGAAGAGAACATCGACTGATCTGGGGATAATGCCAGAATTATCTCCAACTCCTGTTCCTGTCATTGTAAAGGTCTTTCCACTGCCAGTGACACCATAAGTGAAGAGAAGGGAGTTCTGTCCGTTCACAAGATTCTCCACAAAATCCAGAGCAGATTGTTCGAAGACGGCCCTTTGGGATTCATAAGGTTCGAAGACATGGGCAAATTTGTAGACACTCTCTGTCTGAAAAAAGCGGCTGTACAACTGTGAATACAAGAAACCGTAATGGTTATTTGTTTTGCTCATCCAAGGAAATCAGACAGCACATAAAACATATATAAACTCACCCTCGGTTCCCCATGTCTGTTCAGCGGAGCGTCCGGCGGAGGAACTAATCTGACCTTTTCCTCATCTATGATTGCAACTGAAGGATGATCACCATCATATGGTCTAATGCGACACATAACTTCCAAAGTACTCGTTTTTCTCCTAGAAAATGACATTATCAATAGGACAAAAGTAAAATATACTTACTTTTTAGCCTGGACACCAGCCATCTTGTCTCCTTATATTCACTTTCGATGGCACTCCGAGGAAAATGGCATTTGTCTCGAAAAAAAGAAAAACGCGTTTTTCAAAACTAATTTTTGTTCATAAAAATCTTTCGCGGTGAGACCGAGAGAGTTGGATTTGATGGTCACTTTTTATTGCGCAACGGTTCTGATTTATAGGACTTCTGATTTCAAGGTCAACTAATTCAAAGGCGTTTCAAAATATGAGCCATCTAAACCAATCGCAGATAAAAGTTCAAAAAGATTTATTATTTATATTTTTTAATTATTTAAAATAATATGAAGTTTTATTTTTGGCCGGACAATCTGCTGATTCGCAGTCCGAGGAAACGGAGAATACATTGATAGACGAGAAAGGAGGAAGGGAGGTGACATCACTGATATCTTCATAATATTTATTAAAGAAGAATTCTCTGGTCATGTAGATCACCGAGCTGATCCAGAGGAACAGGAGAAACCAGCCGAACATCAGGATCCGACGCTCTCTGAGCTCTTCGGTCGAGATCGTGGGAAATGCGGAATCCATGGGAAAGGCGGACGAAAACGAAACATTTTGCATCGAATGGCTGAAATTGAAGGTTAAAGTGGTTCAAGGGCTATATCCAGGGCAAATTGGAGCAGGGCCGGGGATCTGGTTTCGTCTCGAGTGTCATATAAACAGTTGCCAAACTAAAGATATCAAGACGAATAATATTCCATCTGATGTCATACAAACTGTAAAAGTATGCCTTCTCTTTGGGCTTAATACAATATACTATACTCAACCACTAAGCAGACCGGCTGATTTATTCATTAAGAGGTATTTATTTCAGATATGTCTAAAGTCTGAGAGGGCCCATAATAATTAATAACCACAGATGTCCTGAGGACGTTCACCTACCGCCATCTGTTTTCTGTTGCCTCCAGGCATAAGATTGTCCAAATTATTATACATTGGTAAGGTCAAATGGAGGTTCGGAAGTGAATGGTGAAGCAAGTGGATATGTGATGAGGTACGTAGATACGATGAGTGTGCAGTGGATGTGATAAAGATGTATTTTTGATGAGTAATGTATAAGATCTGCAAAAGTAATGAAATAAATTAAAAAAAATTGAAATTACTCACGCTTGCTTGTGTACAATCAAATCGTCTCAAGAGACCTGGAATTATCGCTTTTCGCTTTGAATATCACAATTGTTGGTCTGGTTGGAGTTGCGACTCGAATGCTATAACTGGCGGGGAACCAGAAGTCTCTTGTCATATAGAAAATGGCCGAGATCCAAAGTAATAACAACATCCAGCCGAAGATTCTGGTCTGCACTTCCCTGTTGATCTGGATATTCCATTGCGTTGTATTAGTATTGTTACAGTATACTACTTTAGATGAAATTAACGCTAGCGGATATAGTCTTTGCATGAATTTCTGTAATTATAAATACATTTTTATATTGTATTATATTATAACTAACGTTTTAGGGTTATTGTTTTGCGGGAATACGTAACATAAATTGTTTTATTCAAGATGTAAAATACGCGTTAAATTGTGAATAAAAAGAACCACCTTCGTCCAAAAATACCCATCTGAAACGAAATGCCTGAGGGCTGAAGAAAAAAGTGTGAAACGGAGTGCGGATGGTCATTTCACGGTGTATTTGGTATTTCGAATACGTTATTCACGCCGGGGTTTTATAATCGAAGAACGTTTTTTCCATCTTTATATTGGGCCAAGAAATTTGAAGCACTTTCAAAGAACCCTCAGGGCATAAGGGCTTTCATTGTTCTCGATTACTGTATCGGAAAAGCAAAGCAAATTTGGTCGTCAAACGATGTCCATAAATTCGGGAATATAAAAATAAAAAATGCTTTTATAGATCTGAAAAGGAGCTGAAATGAAGATAACATAAAATAATATCAGAAGGATAATTGTGTAAAAGGATATTCATATATGTAGTATAAAAATTCCTAAAAAAAATAATGGCCTGAAGAAATATAATTCGGAATGCCTTTCATTTCCTAAGTTTGCACTTCTAACTAATAAACTCATCCCAATTATCGTATCCGAAGCAATTAATTTCATTCCGAACTGATGTGCCGGCCAAGAGCGGTCCGCCCTGTGAGCCAGTCCTCGCTGATCCACAACTGGAAAAGGACCGAGTTGGGCGATGAATCGAGCCAGAAGTCGTCTGAATCCGTGAGAAACTCCGCCCTCGTGACCTCCTCTCTTCACGGTATTGTGTTCGAATGTCCGGAAGTGAAGACGGCCCGAGAGATCTCACCTCAACGGCCAAGTCCGCGAATTCGCAAGGTCCACAAGAAGATCGTAAAGAGCTATGCGGAAAAACAACATCTGGATAAGCTGGTCCCTTCGATATACGGTGGAGTCGTGATGGGAGTAGGTGTTCTTGTGTACCTCTGTGCTCTTACATCAGGTTGCGTAACAAGGAAATGCTTATTTTATTATGTTTTGTCGCGGTTGGAAGTCTAGATTGCCCTTCGGAAGGGTAGGGAAAGAGATTGGGAATATTTATAAGAAGACTTCATTCTCTCATGCTATCTTTGTTGTCTTACCCGGTATTTATGCGGACTATTTACAAACTTCCTATTCCATCTTTTAATATTTAATTTGTTTGTGTCATGTCATCATGACTAATCTCTTCATGAATATGCAAATTTAGTCGTATTTTTTTGTCTTGTATTTATTGATTTACATGCGTTTTGGGCCATTCGCGGGCGACCAATTTTTTATGGACATTCCGGATGTGAGTTCCATTGTAAAAGTTATTACTTCCAGATCCCTGCCATTCTCTGGAAAGCCCCCAGACATTTCAGTCAATCATGGCTCTGTGGACGGAAGAAACCTTCTTCCGCATGTACAATCATCTCCTTGATCCTGGCTGAACATATCTACAGACAGAAGGTTCTGTTGCCAACAGTTGAAAAGAACTCCCGGATGATCAGCCTGGATATGAGAGATGACGTGCAAGATAAAGCATTTGTAGGTTTCTTATTTTACGATAATTAATGTATTAGGAATGCCCGAAACGACTGTTGAATGCCTTATCTAATGCTATAATCGATGGGAATCACATCTACGAGCAGACTCACCAGACCCACAGTTCCAACAAACGCACCTTCACTATCCCGGAGGCCATTAAAGCTACAAACGACATGTGGTTTGAGGTCGAATACTCTTGTGGCATTGGCCCGTTTCATCAGAACGTCACAAGATACTTGTCAGCAGCTTTAAATAGGTAATCAACATATAAACAATACACTTTTTTAGCCCGTTGACCCGAGATTTTGAAGAGATGTTTTTCCTGTTGTTGATCTTCGAAAGGAGTGTGTTATTGGTGTACCAAAGGTTTAACAATACCATTGCCATCATCGATTCCCACACTCATTTCGAACGGGGTATGTCACAACTATGAAAAGAGGAAATTACCTTGTTTTAGGTGCTCTGATCGCTTGCACAAACGCCGATAAACTCGCTGAATTTGGGGTTTTACTATCAAGAGCTTTCTTCCCCGAGGCCTTCTTACTCGAGCCCCAACTACATGTAAAACTACTGTCTCCTTGATTAAAATATTGTTGTAGTCATTTGAGATCTCCCTGGTTAGATTCCATGGAGAACTGACGTCCAATGACTGTGCCAACTGTATTCAGCCATGCATTGCACTGGAGAAGGGTGAAACCATCTTCCCACCTTCGGTTAGAGCCAAGAAATCAAAGACTAAAATACGGCCATACCAGCTTGTGAGAGAGCATTTGAATCTCCATTACAGAACGATCCGCGAAGTCGTTTCTCCCACACTGACCGTCCCTGACTTTGTTTCTACTGACTTCTGATAATAAATGACTCTCATGAAAATTTGTTGTTTTATCCGAAATAATATCATAGCTTGTATAAGCAGAGAAAAAATGTAGGATAAAATGACTTGTTTTAGGTCTATATCACAAAAATTTAATCACCAAGGTCAAGGAAAATCTTTGGACTAAAATATGTATCTAATACATAATATATCTCTTTATCGTTAAAAAAATCTGACTGAAAATATTATAAAGCGTCTTAGTATACACAAAAATCAAGACTATAAGTGATATGGAAAGTTACCGGCTTCAAGTAGTTTGTTAATCCTTCGAATTGATAATAAGCTGCTTTTGTTTGGGGTCATCAAATCTATCTGTTGATTGGACCGAGTTCAACATCAAGAAACCGAATATAAGGACAGATCCAAGAAGAATGGTGACCAAGATTCCCATCCAAGAGCCGGCACTAAAGGTACCAATACAATCGTTGACATTGTGAGTAAATTGGGGCGTCTTTCCGTCTTTGGATACCGCATAACCATCATTTTGTACCTAAAAATTATAATAATATAATTTTCCAGAAGTTAAGTTTAAAACTTGCCTGCAAGTTTCCGAACGAGATTCCGATTTCATAGTCCTTCTTGTCAAGGGTGAAAACCGCGAATTTAGTGTTGGAACAGGCGAAATTGTATCCGTTGAAACCTCCAACACCCATCGACCTAACGCTTAAGGGGTTAGCGGTCGCTCCAGAGGCAATGGTAAAGTCCTAAAAGACCAATAAAGAATAAGATTGCGGCTTACCTCTCCGAATGCTCCCTTTTTGATCACCAAATCCTTCTCCAATTTGATGGAGGTCAGATTCCAATCATTGGTAGGGAATGTTGCAAATTGCAATCTAAAAAGTAACAATAAAGTAAGAGAAACACAACTAAAAATATATGAAAGCCAACATACGTGAGCTTGATGGGACCTGGGAGAGAGAATTGAACAGTGTCCTTATCCTTGACTTGGACTTCTTGTCCAAGCGTTACATCCACAGTAAATCTTAAATAAAAAACTAAAATAATATCCTGATTTCACTTACGAATTCTCAGATCGTTTCTTGTCCTTTAATTCCTGAGAAATGTTAGCGCATTTGACATACGACTTGTCGAAAGTGTAAGTGTTCTTCTTTTTCTGTTCACCCTCGTCACTGTCGACTCGAGCAACATAACCAGTCTTCTCCTTTTTGTTGTATACAATTACATTTATTGACTCCAAATACAACAAACATGTGCCCCAACTGGCATCGGGACTTTTAACATCTGCTTGGTCTGTGCCAAAAGGTGGTAGCACAATAGGTAAATCCAAGGAATTTACATAGATAAGGGATATGGACAACAAGGAGATTAACCTTAACATCATATAGAGTATATATGTGCGAACTCAAACCCAAATATTGAGCTAAGAGTTAGTCAATCAACAACAAATTGAACTCTTGCGACCGCGATCTCTCGTCCGTTGATTCCTTGGCGTTTTAGGACTTCGTGACGGGACTCAAAAAAAATATATATATTTTTCGCAAAAATATTTTTGATGATAACTGTCTTTTCTGTCGTTCTACAACAATAAGACACTTGTAAATCAACATGTTCTTGACCAGAAGCGAATACGATCGTGGAGTAAACACCTTCTCTCCGGAAGGTCGTCTCTTTCAAGTGGAATATGCCATTGAAGCCGTGAAAGTAAGGATGCTGTTGATTTTTTTTATTATTCTTTAGCTCGGCTCTACCAGTATTGGTATCCGTACAAACGAAGGCGTCTTATTAGCTGCTGAGAAGAGAGCTTCCTCCAAACTGATGGTAAATGATGCCGTGGAGAAGGTTTCGAAGGTCGATGAACATATTGGTGAGTTCAAATAATTTTTTACCTTTCTTTAGGTGTCACTTTTGCTGGTCTCATTGCTGATTCCCGAACATTGGTTGAAAGAGCTCAAGTAGAATCTCAGAATTTCTGGTTTACCTACAATAGGAAGATCAGGGTTGAAGATGTTACCCAATCTGTGGCAAATTTGGCCCTCCAATTTGGAGATGATGATGTAAAAGCCTCTATGTCTCGTCCTTTTGGTGTTGCCATGTTGTTTGCTGGAGTTGATCAAACTGGTCCCAAGTTGTATCATCTTGACCCCTCAGGCACTTTCATCGATTGTCTGGCGAAGTCGATCGGAGCTGCTTCAGATGGGGCCGAGCAGAATTTGAAGGAACACTATCATGAGGTATGTTTTTAATGGAAAATTGGTTTTGTTATCAAGCCTTTATTTGTATTATTTTAGAATTTGGCCCTCCGAGAAGCTGAGAAGGTAGCGTTGACCATTCTGAAGCAAGTGATGGAAGAAAAGTTAACCAGCTCCAACGTCGAATTGGTTACAATCACCCCGATTGAGGACAAGAATGGTCGACAAATTGGAAAGTTCGAACGATTGAACAAAGAACAACTTGAATCCCTGGTGGCTGAACTCTAATCTAATTCCGGCGGTTTTTAATTATTAAACTTATCTCCATTTCCCTGAGGATATTTTTGTTTCGTTGAAAACAAATTTGTTTTTGGTTCTTTGTTTGTAAGGCTTGATAACTCTAGTTGTACGAATTACTTTATTCCGGAAGCTTCCGGGAATTGAATCGTATTAGGTTCGGTAACTCAGGTGTGCCTAAGGGCATGAGCAACGTGTTGATTGCTTTATCTTTTGAACTTTTCGGTACAGAGCATCAAATTTGGTTTCTATTATGCATTACTATATGAGCTTGCTTTAAAAATATTGTGTAAAGAAGATGAAGGTCATGGTTGTAATAAAAACAGTTTACTCCGCCATTATCAGTACACTTCTTTTTACTGCAGCGACATAACCGTTGTTATTGTACAGAGTCAACATCTTATCAACGATTTGTCATTGAAACCCCCCTCCTCTTTCTTCTCTTCTCCTTCCCCTTAATGGACGACGTTCGATCGAGATTACTCTTTCCACGAAACAGCTCTTATCGCCGGCCATTGACCTCTACTTTGGCTTCCGACCACTTCGAAGGCATGTCGGTTCCTGGGGTGGTGAATCTGAAAAATCGGGACATCCCCGTCAAACAAGTTATTGTTTATCCAGATAGGGCCGAAGTCAAGAGATCTATTGAGGTGGAGTTACCAGTTGGAGAAGTGGTCATTAATGTGCAGGTGGGAAAAACTTTAAAATAATGTTTAGTTCAAATTTATGACTACAGTGCTTGTCTGCGGTCATTGAGAAACAATCGATTCGAGTTGAGGGAGCTCAAGGGGCCAAGATCAACGAAGTTCGGTTCGAGGAGACCCCTAAAACTGAAAGTAATGAGCTGCAAGAAGAGGTAACAGGGCTTGTAGGACTTTTCAACTATTATTTATTACAGTTGGCATCTCTCGAAAAGGAAAAGGAATCCTTTGAAGGTCAGCATCAGACTTTGGTTGACCAGATTCATATCATAAACAAGAGATTGGAAGTATTAGATGGAGTGGCCAGTCAAATTGGCCAGAATGTTCTAGTCAATAACAACGAGGCAGACCCTCGAACAGCGTCTTCCTTTCTATTATGCAATGAAGCGATGAGCAATTTAACCAACTTTTTGGAATACTATTCAACCTCGGCAGCAGAATTGAAAAAAGAATTAAGAGTAAAACAAAGTCAAATAGATGCACTCAAATGTGATATTGAGCAAATTGAAAGACACATTGACCAGCTGAGATCCCGTCTAGAATACGACAATAACAAACGGTAGTCATAATGGCATTTCTATATTCTATTAAAGCGAACTTTTAGAAGTCTCCGGATTGACGTTGAAGTGGAGAACCAAGGACGGGCAGTCATCTTCTTTACCTATCAAGTGTATTGTGCTGGATGGAAGTCGGCCTACGATGTGAGAGCGTCCACTTCGGCCGGTCTGCTCGACTCCACCGAAGATGACATTCCAAATTCAGTCACTCTACATTATTATGGGGTTATTGAACAGAAGACTGATGAGGATTGGAATGATGTTGAATTGATCCTAAGCACGGCAACTCCAGCCTTTGCCGGTTCTATTCCCTCTCTCCCAACGACCACAGTAGGTCTTCAACGTCATTTGTAAGTACCGCTCTTTTTTGTTTCCGTTTTGTTTGCTTTTCTTTGCTAGGAATACTGTAATTCTTTTCTAATCGTTGATTTTAGACATCGTTCCTTAAATTACGGTAATCTTCGACGTCCCTTAAGCGGATCTGAAGAAGATATGGGCATTGGATCCTTTGATTACAATGATTGTACGGACGCCATGGCTTTGCAACGGCTTACAACAGCACGGTCCACTTCAGAACATGAGATTAATCAGGTATTTTAATGCTTTAACAATCCTTTGAATGAGGTCTTCGTCCTTTTATCAAAGATGCAGTATTTGCATTATGATGATTTTTAGAAAGATCAATTCCCCTGTGTCTGCATCCCCATCAAAGACCATCAATCCGTTCGATCCGATGGCTCTCCTTATAAGGTCATGATCTTCCAATTCGAATTGAAGCCGGTGTTTGTCCACGAAAGTGTCCCTTCCAAATCTCCCAATGCGTTTTTATCAGCTCTAATTACAAATACAACACCGGTTCCTTTCCTGGCAGGATCTGCTTGTATTTTTTTGAATAACAGTTTCATTTGTAATGTAAGTGATGTGATTTGATGAAAAATAATATTATTATAGCACTCTCTACATACAATTATGCCTGGGGAAGAGTTCAGATGTGCATTTGGTGTGGACCCGTCGGTTAAAGTGGAGTGCAAGACACCAACCAGATCGAGCGAACAAGTAAGGCCTCATTTTTATTGCTTTAGTTATATTAATTTGATTTCTGTCAGCTGTCATTGATGTTAAATCATCTCATAATTCAGATTGGATTCGTTTCGAAGAGTATGCTGAGTGTTCATCAACAGACAATCCTGATCCGGAATGCCAAAGTCTCGGAGAAAGTTCAGTTGGTGGTCAAAGAGCCAGTACCCAAGAGTTTGGATGAGAAAATCAAGGTACTAAGATGATGATTAATACTTAATAAATGATTTCCGTTAGGTTTCGGTTATCTCGCCCGAACTAAAGACCGGTCGGAGCGAAGCCCGGCTCTCCAAGGACAACCAATTGGAATGGTGCTGTCATCTGGAGCCAGGCCAGTCCAAAGAACTCGTCCTGAAGACCAGTCTCGAGTTCCCGCTCAACGATCAGCTGGTCTATAACACGTTGTCCAGATAAAACGAATAAAAATATGTTGTTTTAGAATATTTGTAAACATTTTAGGGCTGATTATCAGCAACATTTCGGTAACTATTACGTAATTTCGATATGATTTTGATGATTTCTGATAATTGAATTTTTTTAAAACTGTATGAGAAAATAACCACTGTTTATTATACATTTTTGTCAATTTTCTGGGGAATGTGCAATTGTTTCTTGAATAATCAGCGTTTTCTTCATTAATTTACAATAAAAATTACGCAATTTTATCTGATAAAATTTCTTTCAAAACATATCTTGATAAAAATGTTATGATAAAATGAGGGCTGCCCGTTGTTTTTATTCAGAATCCCTCGATTAGTATGGTTGTTTATATAAAATATTATTATCTTGTTTTCTACTCCCATTTGAAGCCAAATTTATTTGGGGAAACTGTTTTAATTCCATTCTAATTGTAGTCTTCCAGGTTTCAGAGATGCCGAGAGAACAAAGATTCACTGCCAGAGATATCCCCGTCAATTCGGTTACTGTATTCTCAGATCGGGCCGAGTTACGGAGATCTTTTGATGTAGCTTTAATGGAAGGTTTGAATACAGTAGTCATTGAGGTAAATGATTCTTTTGTACTAATACAAACATCATTAGAACGTATCTCCTTTTATCGACGGGGATTCTATTAGAGTGGATGGACAAGGCTCAGCAACGATTCAAGAGGTGAACTTCGTAACGGAACCTTCAACGGACGCTGAAAATGATAGTCCTCAGATTAAGGAATGGACAAGGCGATTAAATGAATTATTAAATAAGAAAGCGGTGGTTGATGAGGATATCAAAGTGAACTCAAAGAAGATCAAAAGTCTAGATGACATTGCTGAGAATGTAAGGAGTACTGTAATTTTAGTCATTTTTATATACAGTTGGGAAAACTCACTTTCACGACTGGAACCATGACTGTTGACGATGTCATCGAGCATAATCTTGAGAGATTCTTCACTTATTATGGGAAAAAATCAACCGAAATCAACGCCAAACTTCGTAATATTACAGTAGAATATCGCGAACTCCAAGAAAATATAAGCAAGATTCAGCGTCAAATAGAAGCCCAACGAAGTGGAGAAAAGGTGAAGAGATGTATTTACATTTTACTCGACACCTACATGAAGGAGACCTCGGCCGAAGTGAACCTCACTTATCAAGTGACCAATGCTTTCTGGACTCCCAGTTTTGACATCCGAGTGAATACCACCATCTCGAATGGAGTAAAATTGTATTACTTTGGGAATGTTCATCAGAAATGTGGAGAAGATTGGAATCAGGTGGATCTGATGTTAAGCACGGCTCAGCCAAATTATGGAGGTCAGCTTCCTCATCTGGGCACTTTGAATGTACAATTCCCTCAGGGCACGGTCGAGTTTGCCGATCCGAATGTGAGGATTGTGACCAGAAAAGCTGACGGTTCCATTGGTGCCCCAAAAGTGGAGAGTCATGTTTTGTCGACCACTTTTAGAATCCCTGAGAAAAAAATTATAAAATCAGATGGGTCCGATCATAAGATAACGATTGTGGCCTTGGATTTGGAGCCCGTCTTACACTTTGATTGTGTCCCTCGAAAGAATCTGAATGTCTTCTTGACAGCGAGTATAATCAACACCTCCACTTACCCTCTGCTCTCTGGATTGGCCTCGATTTATGTGGATAACAACTTCTCTGCCAAAGTCCAGTTACCCTCAATCTATTCTGGAGAGAGATTCGATTGTTCTTTGGGGGTCGACCCATCAATTAAAGTATTTTATAAACCCATCACAAAGTACCAACAAAGGTCCGGAATGTTGAATAATTACACGGTCGCTATTTACGAGCAGAAGGTCGTGGTCAAGAATTCAAAAACGGATGAGTCCGTGGTGGTTACCCTCATCGACCATCTTCCTAAAACCACTGATGAAAAGATAAGAGTAATATTTTTCTTTTAATCTGACGCATTTTATAAAATTTTTACTGTCATTATTTTACTTGCAGATCAAGTTGTATACCCCAGATTTGAAACCGACCCAACAATTCACAGGAATCGGGACCAACGATGATTTGAAGCCGTTAAAAGCCCCAGAATTGGGCGCTAAATTAAACGAAAACCACAATGTGGAATGGACAGTTTTGTTGAATCCAATGGAAGAAAAGGAATACGTGATCAAGTATGGAGTCGAGATTCCGCCTGGAGAACTTGTAGAATATGCCGAGGAACAATTTCATTAGTTATTTATATTGCACACTTCACTGATAATACATATAACATATTTGTTTACAAAAAATTCAAAATTTTCTATAAACAGTAATTTGGGTAAACTGTAAATGCCAGACAAAAGTAATTTGCGCAGAGAAAGCGACAGGTGCAAGGTGCTCCTTGGATACCCGAACGCACCCGGATTTAATGGATTTGCCCTGCGGCCACGAGCTCTCATACTTTGGCCTGGCTATAAAAACAAAAAAAGCTCGGCCATAAATCGAGGGCCAAAGGTGTTCTGATCAAGGGAATCTCCTCGCTTGTCTCTTTTTTGTGCTTCCCAAAAGAATCACGTCATTCTTAGCCGAACTTTCATGAGACATCGAGAAGGAGAGCAAGGAGGGTTATGTCGTCTGCTCATATTTCCTATTTTTTGTTTTTGATTCTGTGATTTTATTGATAAGGAATAAAACTTCGGGTTTTTGCAAGGTTTTAATAATAGTTACAGTAAGACTTTTTTGGCACAAAAAAATAAACTGCAAAGGTTTTTTAAGTTTACCAAACGGTTGGAAAAATGATTAAAATCGGAAGAAGGTTACGGTAACATAGCATTCTCTTCTTCACTGCATAATCCGACATATGATTTTTTGTCTGGGAAGAGCATCCTAGACTTTATCCATCAAAGCAACCTCAGGGCATGAACTCAGCTTGCTGTGTGACCCTTGTAACTCAAATTGTTGTGTCGAGAAACTTCTGTCAGTCAAATCACCGCTTGAGGGTTTATGAGTACGTTCTAAAGAGTCCTTATCAATTTAATTCCCATAATATCCCAATCTTTTGTTTGACTTTTATAGTATTCATGGTTCTGTTTGCTGGCCGTCTAATAGTCCGGGCTTCAAAAACGGCTGAATTGACTGGCTTAATCATCGGAATGCGCGACCTCCCCCCCTTTTTTCAAGCCTATGTTTTTCCATTCTAAAAAAGGAAAGCGATTGAGCCCAATAAAAGGAGCCTCAGGCAAACAAGGACCTCCTTAGAGACTTTTTTTCGCCTCCGCAACCCCTCTTGACTGGCTCCTCGTTATCAACGTGTCGCCGTTTTTTGGAGTCGCTAATTAACTCGTTTCAGAGCGACCAGAGATGTGGCCATTCTACGTGGCCTTGCTGCTCTCGGCATTACGTAAGTTGAACATTATTTAGCTCTTCCAAAAGATCAAAATATTCCTTTTGAATAGGTATTTTTGTGTGTTCTAATCGCTTCCTCATTGTCGTTTTAGCTGGGTATCACGCCAACGAATTGAGTAGATGCTGTGCTGGAGGAGGTCGCCATTACCGAGAACAGAAGGCTTGCACTGGTCTGAAGGCAGAAGGATCTTCTCCGACATGTTCACGGACAGCTGCAATATGTTGCCTGAGGGCGTCTTTAGAGAAAAGTTGTCAACTTGGCCAGGAAATGGCCGTCAATTACGGGTATTGTTCGAATACGGTCAATGTTCTCGGTGGGGGCCTGCGGAAGGTAAGAAATTTAATTTTTGGCAACGCTTTCATAACGGGACGATTTTAAAAATCCTTGCAATTTTCATTGATGCAAGGCGCGTGGGTTTTACTTTTTTGGACCTCGTCGCAGAAACCTCGCATTTTTTTACAAAGATTTATGGGTAAAAGTAATACTATAGTAATATCCGAAATGAAATCGGCCCATTATGGACGGAATGTTTTATTGTTTATTAGACTTTATAGCTTAATAATTTAGGAGTGTTGTGATTGTTGTCTCTTGGCCAAAGAATTATCGATAAATAATGAGAACTGTGAGGCGCCGACTGGATTCAGCGCTGCTTGTCTCAGTTCATTCAACAAATGTTGCAAGTCTGACGCTTCCAAGAACGGTAATACTCACTAGTTCTAAGTGTAATTTGGTGCCAGTTCTGATGATGCATTTCCAGAAGTAGTCCCCGACCCCATCCCGGTCTCTTTGGGCGATCAGTGTGCCTCTTCCAGTTGCGAGCACTTTTGTAGCGACAAGAATGGAGACGGCGTTGAATGTTCTTGTCGTCCCGGCTTCGATCTCGGCCCTGACGGTCGCTCTTGCATCGGTTGGTTTTCCCTCAATCCCATCGCACTTATCCTCTCTGCTTCTGTACCGCACTCTCGTTTCAAGCGCTCTATCAATCCGTGTGATCGTCGTCCCCTGGGGCCATGTCATCCCGAAATGGAAAGATGTGTGCCCTTAGGGGCGACGAGTTATAGATGTGAAATGTTGCCGGCGAATATAATCGCGTCGAGGGTACGGCAAATGGAGAAGCCGGTGGATCGGAATCATTGCCCCAGAGGATTCCAATGGAACGGTCGCCAGTGCACAGGTCAGGGATACGAAAAGAATGAGGTGGCCGCTGACGGCGATGACTAATTCAGTGTTGTGTGGTGAATGTTGTGAACGAAGCAGAGAGAAAATAATTTGCAGTTATGTACAAACCATGACAGATATCGACGAATGCTTCGAGTTTGGCGATGAAATGTGTCTCGAACCCAACACCCAATGCTTGAATTCGGCCGGGTCTTTCCAATGTGTCTGCAAGATGGGATTTTATTGGAGTCATGCCGGCCAAGTGTGTGTAGGTACATAAAACTCCGGCTTCATTGCTTTAACTCTTGTGCTTTGACCTCTAACAACATCAATTAATAACATTTCTCAACTAATATATTAACTTAGATATTGATGAATGTCTTATTGGGGCTGATTGTTTGGAATCCCAGCGCTGTTTGAATACTCCCGGTTCATATAAATGTATCAGAACCCTGACTTGTGGGACTGGCTATGCCCTGGACAGTGAAACTGATCAATGTGTGGGTGAGGTGACTGACATTAACCCTCAAATCGACTAGATTTATATTAACCATCATAGTATTGCAGACGTGGATGAATGTAATCTTGGATCCCATGATTGTGGCGCTTTATATCACTGTAGAAATACTCAAGGAAGTTATCGATGTGATGCCAAGACATGTGGTCCCTCTGAGATTATGAATCCGAAGACCGGAGAATGCACTTCCGTCAATTGCCCCTCAGGCTATGAAGTGAAGAACGGAAGTTGTGCAGACATTGATGAGTGCAAAACATTGAGAAGATGCGGGTTTTATGAGGAATGCATCAATCTGCCAGGCTCTTATAGATGTCAGGAAAAGGGAAATCTCTGTGCTTCTGGATTCAGGATGGACAAAGAATCCGGATTCTGCTTGGGTAAGGATGATATCATACTAATCCTCATAGCAAATCTCTTTACAACGAATCGCAAAGTACAGAAAGAATATTTGTCATAGAAAGGTCTCGCTCTACGGGATTTCGTGGTACACTTCACGTCTGAAACCCACTATGTTTGAAAGTCCGTCTGCAAAAAAATGTGACTTCCCTTGTAAGCGGACCTCCGCACAACGAAACCTCTCTATAAAGAATCGTTTTTCGGCCACTTGTTGTACAGAGGTTTGACTACAGTAATACTTAAAATATAATATTCTCTAAATGAAATCTTCACGTCAGATGTGGACGAATGCTCCACCGGAGAGCATTCTTGTAACGATCTCCAATGCATAAATCTCCCCGGAAGTTTCAAATGCAGATGTTCAGCTGGTTTCGAGTTCAATGAGACCACCAAATTGTGCGAAGATGTGGATGAATGTCTCAAATTCAAGGGTCATATCTGCTCTCAACATGCCACTTGTGAGAATACAATCGGCTCTTTTATTTGTCATTGTAATAAGGGATATCAGTTGGCACCAGACGGGCGTCATTGTGATGGTAAGAGGCTGCTGTGAGCATTTTGTTATCCTTTAGATATCGACGAATGTGAGACTGGACAAGCTCGATGTCAACAGAGGTGCGTCAACACTCCTGGCAGCTATCAATGTGTCTGTAACCGAGGGTATCAATTGGGATTGGATGAGCGGACCTGTGAAGACATCGATGAGTGCTCCACTTGGGCGAGATCTGGTGAGAATCATATAAAATCGTGTATAATATGAATGTTTACACGATTTAAGGGCAAGAATTGTGTATGGGAAGTTGTATTAATACTCCGGGAAGCTTCAAATGCACTTGCCCATTGGGTTACGCCCTCTTGGATGACAATATCACCTGCAAAGATATAGATGAGTGTGCTTCCACCGGATGCCCTGATCCCAATTCGGTCTGTGTAAATACTTTGGGTGGCTATCGCTGTCAGAAGATAGAATGTCCGGACAAGTATGTCCCTGATAAGCATTACAAAAAGTAAGTGGTCTTATTGTTACATGGGTGATTGTCTAATATCCTAACTTTAATTAAATTGGTAACCCGGATTGCAGTCGCTGTGTGAGAGATGGCTCTCAATGTGTGGATGCGTTGTCTGATGAATGTAAAAACAGTCCAGTTCACATCTCCTGGCAACATATTTCCATCCCCAAACAAGTGAACATCTCTAGTCAGCGGACTTCGATCACTTTGTTCAGCATGAAGGGACCCTCTTCGTCAAAGGCCAATATGCAATTTGAATTGCGAATTGTGGATGTTGTGCCAGGTATAACGCTATTCTTGAATACGCATCTTTAAGAGTCCTCAAGTGTGAATCCAGCGGTGAGGGAGAACTTCTTGCTCCAGAAGGGCGATGACCGAAACAGTGCCATAATTGCCCTGAGGGACTCTTTGGATGGGCCTCAAGAAGTTATATTAGAACTCACTCTCCGACTAACAACTAACGGTCATTTCACGGGAAAATATGTAGCCAATCTCGTCGTATACGTGTCCCCATACAAGCATACCCAGACTCACCGTCATCTTACAAAACATCATCATCACCACCATCTGCACAAGAGTTTCCATTTCTAATATAACATCGTTGCTGTGACTTATAATGATCTCATCTCACTTAGTTCTAATCCCAATTGTAACTTGTAAAATAATTACAGTATGATCGATGATGGGTATTCATGTCTAATCGATTGTAATCAAACAAATGTAAACTGTTCGGCGGATCAAACCAGAGAAATATTATTCCAATACCGTACTATTCCGAGCATTCAGAGTCTAGATAAACCGTTAGAGGTAATTTCTAAATTAACAATTATGACCATATCAGATATCAAGGATTACGGTATCCATGCCCACTCCATTCGTATCCGACTTTGTACTCCATCACCGATATCGCCGTGACTTCGCTATCGAAAAAGTGAACGATCATGTTGGTAAGCTGAATGAAAAGCGTTGGCAACATTAATTTATAGCAATAATTTCCCTGAAACGTCCAATAAGAGGTCCAAAAACAGAGATTGTAAGGATTACTGTGAACACAAAGACTCCGTTCAAAGCTCTGATTGCCCACAATCTTATTTATATTGAAGTTCATGTCTCCGAATACGACTTCTAATTTAAATCACTGTGTAAATAACAAATTTTCTACGTTGGTTGTAGATATTGCGCCGTTACCCGATCTGCCCGAAAAAAAGAAAAGGTGTAGCCGAACATTCCAACAACTTCGTCAAAGGCCACTGTCCAATATTCATTTCTTATTCAATATTGCGAAGTCGACCCAAAAAATGTCGAAATTTGTGGAAAACACTAGCAATTTCCCGCAAAAACGCGAACAAAAAGCGCGAAACGAGCAAGCGAAGAGGGCGGAGAGAGAAGAAACTTCTAGAAAACACGAGAAAAAGCTGGCGAATTCGCGGCGAAAACGCGAAAGGAGTATAAAAGGGCCGCGGAAATCGGAGGGAGGACATTTCCGAGAAGAAATTTATGCGTGTTTGTTTGAACCGTTAAAACTACTGTATTCTAAACGTTACTATGGCTTCGTGCAAAGCTATCGGTATTGACTTGGGTACCACCTATTCCTGCGTTGGTGTCTATCAGCACGGAAAGGTGGAAATCATCGCCAACGACCAAGGCAACAAGACAACACCCAGCTACGTCGCTTTCACAGATACCGAGCGTCTCATTGGTGAGGCTGCGAAGGACCAGGCCGCCAGGAACCCAGAGAACACCGTCTTCGATGCTAAACGTCTCATTGGCCGCAGATTCGACGATGAGACGGTCAAGAAGGACATGAAGCATTGGCCCTTCAAGGTGCTCCAGAAGGACAACAAGCCCATTATCGAAGTGGAATTCAAGGGTGAGAAGAAACAGTTCCGGCCAGAAGAGATCTCCTCCATGGTGTTGACTCGAATGAAGGAAACTGCCGAAGCATACCTTGGTCACAAAGTCACTGATGCTGTCATCACGGTGCCCGCCTACTTCAACGATGGTCAACGTCAAGCTACAAAGGATGCTGGTGCCATCGCTGGTCTGAATGTCCTCAGAATCATCAACGAGCCCACAGCTGCGGCCCTTGCTTATGGTCTGGACAAGAAGCTGAATAAGGAACAGAACGTTCTCATCTTCGACTTGGGTGGTGGAACCTTTGATGTGTCCGTTCTGAGCATTGACGAGTCCCTGTTCGAAGTTCTGTCAACTGCTGGTAACACCCATCTTGGTGGAGAAGACTTTGATGATCGGTTGATGGAACATTTCGTCGCTGAATTTAAGAGGAAGCATGGTCGTGACATCCACAGCAACGCCCGAGCTCTTCGAAGACTCCGAACTGCGTGTGAACGTGCCAAGAGAACCCTGTCTTCATCGACTGAAGCCGTTGTCGAAGTGGATTCTTTGTTCGATGGAATTGACTTCCATTCCAGAATCTCCCGTGCCCGCTTCGAGGAACTCTGTGCCGACCTCTTCCGGTCTACCCTGGAGCCAGTGGAACAGGCCCTGAGGGATGCAAAGCTCGGGAAGTCAGACATCCATGAAGTTGTGCTCGTTGGTGGGTCTACCAGGATCCCGAAGGTCCAGAAGTTGTTGAAGGACTTCTTCTCTGGCAAGGACTTGAATGGATCCATCAACCCCGATGAAGCTGTTGCCTATGGTGCCGCTGTCCAAGCTGCTGTGCTCACTGGAGTCAACGACCAGGCCGTCAAAGACGTTCTGTTGGTCGATGTTACACCTCTGTCGTTGGGAATTGAGACCGCTGGTGGAGTTATGACCAAGATCGTGGAACGCAACACTAGAATCCCCACAAAGGCCAGCCAAGTCTTCTCGACGTACTCGGACAACCAGCCCGGCGTTTCCATCCAAGTCTTTGAAGGGGAAAGAGCGATGACTAAAGACAACAACCGTTTGGGAACCTTCGACCTTATGGGAATTCCTCCAGCTCCTCGTGGTGTGCCGCAAATCGAAGTGACCTTTGAGATCGATGCCAATGGAATTCTGAATGTCTCAGCATTAGAGAAGGGATCCGGGAAGAGCAACAAGATCCAGATCAAGAACGAGAAGGGTCGATTGTCACAGAGCGAGATCCAGAAAATGTTGGATGAGGCCAAGAAGTACGAGGAAGAAGATCGCCGCCAGCGTGATCGTGTTGACTCCCGCAACAAGCTCGAGGCCTACCTATTCCAAGTCAAACAATCGCTGGATGAATATGGAGACCGCCTGGGTGATGACGACAAGAAGACCGCTCGCGACACTTGTGACAGAATCCTCCAATGGGTCGAACACAATCAGACTGCCGAGAAGGAGGAGTACGACGATCAACTGAAGGAAGCCCAGAATGTGTGCACGAAGATCTTGTCCAAGCTCCATCAACAAGGTCAAGGTGGTCCTTCGACCTGTGGACAACAGAACGGTGGATTCAACCCTCAAACTGGTGGACCTACCGTCGAAGAAGTCGACTAAATCTCTGGTGCAATCTTATGATCTCATATATATTTGTACATTGTTATTGTTCTTGCAAATAATCCTTGTTTCTTTTATGTAATATAAATAAATAATTCATATTAAATCAAAGTCGGATACTTGAAACTTTAAGTTAGGAATTTTTTTGAGTACTGAGTAAAGTTGAAGAGAGCGAGAGAAAATATCAGCCATGGCAAAACGGCCGGTTCCTTAAAATCTGAGCGCGGTCCTTTTAAAAATTTTCAAAGCCCGGTCCCCAAAAAAAATTAATTTTAATTCGCCTATTTTTATTGGCCTGAAGTCACTCCGAAATTCCTGAGCCGCTCCTTTCTTCGTAAAAAATACCCAAAGTCTCAATCTACCACATTCAATACCATGTCTGGAAAGTATTTTATTCTCAACATAAGCTAAAACATGGAATATAAAACTTTATAACCGTACATGATAGAATAATGAATACCTTAGAATCACTAGAAGTGAAGTTGCCTTAGATCTTGGAGATGTGATGCCACTTGTCAACGTCGTTGGGGAGGGGCTTCTCTTGCTGAACTGGAGGGCTGTTATCCACAATCTCCTTCCACTTGGCGTCATCAGCAGGATGAGCGGCGTTTTTGACGTGGCACTCACTAAAAGCAATACAATGGAATAGTAAAGGGCATAACACACCTATTAAGTTTTTCTGGGTTAGGATCGGAAACGAATTGCTTCCAGTATTTGTGGGTCTCTTCAATCACATTGATAGCAAAGTTGCGGTCCTTGAACTCTCCATTGAAAGCGAAGGTGTTCTCGGGCTTCCCAGCGGGGATCTTGTAGACCTTGAGCCATTCATGGGTGGCAGCCAGGAGTCCGGGCTTTACCTTCTCCACATCCTGGATGTTATTCAACTTCTCCGCCAATGGGTCATCCACAGCAATCGTGATCAACTTCCAGTCCGTTTCTCCTTCATCCAGAAGTCCAACAACTCCAAGGATTTTAACAGGGACGACGGATCCTCGGGCACGAACAGTGTCCCCGATTTCAAGAACATCAATAGGATCATTGTCTCCAGCAGCTCCCGTGTTCTCATCGATATGATTAGGGTCTTCCCAGGTTTGTGGGAGAGCTCCATAGTTCCAGATGTACCCTTTGTGAGGGAAGATATTATGAACAAATCGGGGGACTCCCTTCTTCACATCTTGCTTGATGGGATTCAATGGATCTTTAGTGGCAATCTAAACCAATATATTGAAAACCAGAAAAACCTTTACCTCCATCTTGGCGTTGGTCCATCGAGGAATCTCAACAATCATGTTGCAAATAAAATCACTCTGATTGGCAAAGAGTGGGATATCATGCCATGGGGACACCAATCCTTCTGGCCCCTCTGAAACAGGAAATAAATCAAGAAAAGAATGCTTACTGAAGTATATTCTATAGTCCAGCGAGTAGAGGGATCCCTTCTCAATAACCTGATATTTTGGTGCCATTGTTCTCAGACTTCCACTAATCGTTTGACGGCGTTGATCACCCAAAGACACTGAGCTTGAACGGCGATTCGGATCAACAGCCAAATTCCTAAAAAAACAAAGAATAAGTTGAAAAAAAACCCTAGGAAAGGATACGAACCTCTTACTACTACAACAACATCTGACTATCATATCATGGAAAATTTGGCGAGGCATTACATATTGAGTTAGATATTTATATCCCTTCTAGTCATAACGAGAAAATAAATGTAATTCTACAAAGGGCCACGAGGGGAAGCCCCCCAAGACAAAAGTGCCCTCATTCCAGCCCTAATCCCAGCTCAACTTTCAACGAACCGCAACGCCAATGAGTCGGCCAAATCTACATGCAGCAGCAGGATAACCATCACACTGCCCAGCAGGCCGGTCCCGAATAGGTAGGCAGTTAATCGGCCTCTACGCATGACTTTTAGATGCCAAAATCTCCGGTCCAGGAGGTCTCCAACCATAACAACAGAAGGGAAACCCCCTGAGATTATTATCAAACAAAAGTGAGCCAGTGCAAACAAAGAGAGAAACTTAGATAGGCTTGACGTAAGGAACATACCTGATGCGACAGAATCTACGAGGCCCGGACCCACGGAAAACGGCCGAACGACAGATCGACAACATTATTTTGATCTAAGGAAATGAAAATAAAACCGTAAACTGAACGAAAGACGAAGAAAAGTTCTGATTGGGACTTTAAAGAACAACCACTCGTTCTTTGATCTACCTTTGGGCATTCAGGCCAACAATGTCAACAGAACCACGATGGTTGTAATGTTTAGGCAACATTTTTCGGATATCGCCACCCAGTGTAATATCAATAATAAAGAGGATTCTGGAGGAGAAGACAAGTGTCAACACAAAATCGACACTCAAGTCTCGGAATAAGTGTCGTGTCCCCAATTTCCCTCTGGATTAGCTGAGATTAGGCCCAGAATTCCCTCTATCTTATCTCTAAATCCCATCTAAGATAAGAGATTACCTAAAAAAGAAACTCTCCCAATAACAATCTTTAAAACAGCAAAAGGAAAAGTCAAAGTACCGGAAACCTTATCAAAAGACTTTGCTTTAGACAAATTAGGCTACTAAAGTTGCAGCGGAGGGTTGGAAGGCAGTGGAAGGTAAAAAAGAGAACAAAATATTACATACGCTAAGAAGCAAAGTAAAATCGACTTCAAAGAAAAAATCTCCTCCCACAACGTTTTTTCACGGAATTCTGATCGCGTCACGCCACGAAAACAAATGTTTGGCGTACTGTTAAATAATGTTTTTTGGCTTCTTCGAGAAATTACAAAAATTGTAATTTAGCCCAGTATTGAACAAAATCTTGACAGAAAAAAGCTATAGACCCTATCAGTGAATTTTTCTTGTTATAGTAGGTCTGGTTTGTCTTTCAAAAACACCATGTTTGATGAGTTTGATAATTAAAATATCTCTAGTTGCGGAATGCCACGGATTTTGTCATTTTGCGAAAAGCCCGGGCAACGATTTCAATCATTATAATAGCAGGAAAGATGGCTCAATAAGTCGAGTTTCGAGCCAGAAAACGTTCTGAAACTTTGCATGATGATTGAGAATGATGTTGTAGTGCTGATCGCCCATTTTTGTAGGATTCGTGACTAAACGTCGCCCGCTAGGCGATTGCAAAGTTCTCAATTTTGGGAAGTTTGAAGTCGAATATCTCAAAGACTGAATAACACATACAAATTTCTGAACCTCTAACAGAGAGATAACTGTCTACTCTTTCCAATTCACCATTTATCAAGTCGCTCAATTTTGGATGATCGGGTGAAAAGATCGTATCTTTGAGACCACCTTTTTGGAGCGAAGTGTCACAAAAATTCGATCGATAATGGCGCAATTAGAGCTCGACTTCCGCTTTTCTAGTTGTTTCTAAACGTTGTGTCCAACACTATCAAAATCGTGGCGCATTGTGTGAAGAGGAGATTTCCTAAACAAAAATAAAAATAAAATCATTGGCGTTCCGTTTCAGCCAAAAGAGAACCAAAAAGATAATTCAAAAAAGGCTACTGGTTCACTCCATGATTTTTACACGTGATTAGTGAAATTGAATTGAAGTGCGAAAGATCGTTTTCGAATATTCCCAAATCAAAAAAGGAAGATAAATTTTTCCAAAGCCAAAGGGAAAAAAATACTCATCGTCCATTTGGATTCATATTGTGTTGAGTCATTAAGATTCTGAATATTTTAATTGAACATCTATATGCCGCCCGCTCCCAGCAAAGCAAAAACAAGATTATTTTCCTACTATAACATATGTTAAAGCGAGTAGCCGTGGAACGTCTGCATGAGGCCGGAACAAATTTAACAAGTGTATTCAGACATATACGTGTACATGGATTTAAAAATAGATCAATTAGATTGAGGGAGCGATAGGTGTTCCATTAATCGTCATTCGGAGGTAAAACAAATCAAGTACCATATAGTAGTAGAGATATATTAATAGAAAAAAATTTAATATGTGGAAAGAGAGGTCTTTTGCTTACTTCATTCAGCCTTTGGCCTTAGATGACCAAGCAATTTTATTGTGACAAACAGAATACATTCTGTCAAAATGTCCTATGTAAAGAATGACTATGAATAAACTTTTTGAATATTAAAAATAATTAGAGGAATTAATTTTTATAAATTAGAATAACTCCCGCGGGTACTTAGACTTTAATTTAGTAAATGTCAATGATCTTGGATGTTTCGTACATAATTTCTTTGGTTCATGATCAGTAATTTAAGGTTGAATCTCCGAAAGTTTTGCTTATCGCAGCTTTTTTCTGTTTTTCCAAAACAATTACACAATTTGAAGTCGTGCGTTTGTTTTTACGCTATTATATGTTTGTTTTTGCTAAAAACAAGGAAATTAGAAGATATTCTTGCACAGGCTTGCATACAAGAAGATAAGCTTTTCTTGAAAAGAAAAATGATTAAATACTTGACAATTTACATTTTAGACTTCGTCATCTGTATCTCCTTTGTTTACAGTAACCCTTTTGAAAACAAGCAGTAAAAAGGTGATGTTTACAGCATTTATACGGGATGGTGTTGACCAAATTCGGAGCTGCTTGGGGTGCCTTTGAAAGGGTTGTTTTGAAAATAAAAGTTTTATACAAAAATTACACATTAAGTTGGGTTTAATGAAATATTATGCGAAGTGGTCATTGTTTGGGACCAGGTCGATTTTTCGTGATTACGTAACTGACCTCCGTGAGATCAATGTTCCCAACGTGTAATTTCACTTCGACCTTACCGATAAGAAATCGGAAAAAGGACTGGGCACTCCGTTTACATCTTTGATGACGTCATCCGACCATTCAAGAACAGATTGGCAACCTTCCACGAGGCGATGATAAAGAAGGAAAGCGAAGGGGCAGGCCTTTCAAACAATATATAAACGAATGCAGATCGTAAACAAACAACAAACACAATTATTTTGCGTTATGTCAAGTGTAAAGTGGACTCTGAAGAAGCTGGATGTGAAGAGGGAGGCCAATGTCCCTTCAGATATTGAGATCTCCAGAAGACAGACGCCAAAGCCGATCACTCAGGCAAGTGTATAAGGATTTGGATTTGTTATTCGGTGATTATTGAGCTCTAATGTCCTTGTCCTTTTGTTTATGACGACGCTTACTTTCAGCTGGCAAAGGAGATCGGAATCAAGGATGAGGAATTGGAGCCTTATGGAGACAAGAAGGCCAAAGTTCAGTTGTCGATCCTGAAAAGATACAATAACCAGGAGAACGGGAAGTATGTTTTGGTGGTGGGAATGACCCCCACACCCTTAGGGGAAGGCAAAAGTACGACTACCATTGGACTGGCCCAGGCCCTCTTCTCTGAACTTGGCCATCCCAGCTTTGCTTGTGTTCGGCAGCCAAGTCAAGGACCGACCTTTGGGATTAAAGGAGGAGCTGCTGGCGGTGGATATTCCCAAGTCATCCCCATGGAAGAGTTCAATCTGCATTTAACTGGAGATATTCATGCAATTACTGCTGCAAACAATCTCCTCGCTGCCGCCATTGATGCCAGAATGTTCCATGAAGCTACTCAAAAAGATGATGCATTATTTGACCGATTGGTACCTAAGAATAAGGAGGGAAAGCGACTTCTCACTCCCATTCAACAACGTCGACTTCAGAGATTGGGAATTGCAGTACAAGATGACGCCGAGAAGTTGTCTCCAGAAGATCGTGTTCGATTTGCTAGGTTGGACATCGATCCGAAAACAATTACTTGGTCCAGAGTTATTGACACCAGTGATCGGTTCTTGAGAGGAATCGAGGTTGGTCATGGCAATACAGAGAAGGGACATGTCCGCAAAACAGACTTCAAAATATCTGTTGGCAGTGAAGTAAGAATTAAAATTAGTATCTTCAGCATCTTTTTTCTATCACAGATGATGTTGTTTTAGTTGATGGCCATCCTTGCATTAAGTCTTAGCTTGGCTGATATGAGAGAAAGAATTGGGAAAATTGTAGTGGCCACAGACAACAAAGGACAGCCCGTAACTTGTGATGATGTCGGGTGTACTGGAGCTGTCACGGTCCTCATGAAAGACACCATCAAACCAACTTTAATGCAGACAGTTGAGGGTACTCCGGTCTTTGTTCATGCCGGTCCATTCGCCAATATTGCACATGGTGCTTCTTCTGTTGTTGCTGACAAATTGGCATTGAAATTGGTTGGTAAGGAAGGATTTGTGGTTACAGAAGCCGGATTCGGAATGGATATTGGAGGAGAAAAATTCTTGGATATTAAATGTCGAAGTTCTGGACTGTCTCCAAATGTTGTTGTAATTGTGGCTACAGTAAGGGCTTTGAAGATGCACGGTGGCGGGCCACCGGTTACTCCCGGTAATCTACCAGCTGCCTATAGGACTCCTAATCTTGAGCTGCTGGAAAAAGGATGTGATTCCAATTTGAAGAAGCAGGTGAGTTATCTTTTTCCTTTGGTTTTTAAGCATGAATGATGATAAAACTTACCGTATTCCCTTTCAGATTGAAAATATTCAAAAATTCGGCCTTCCTGTCGTTGTTTGCGTGAATAAATTCAGCACCGATTCGGATGAAGAACTTAATCTGGTAAAAGAAAAAGCCCATAAATTCAATGCCGTTGGCGTAATTTCAAACCATTGGGCCAAAGGAGGAGAAGGGGCCAAGGAATTGGCCCAGGCGGTAAAAGAAGCGGCCAATAAGAAAAGCGAATTTAAATTCTTGTATGATGTGAACAAATCGATCAAGGAGAAGATCGAGATTATTGCCAAAGAAATGTATGGAGCCAGTGGAGTCGAATATTCGGAAGCGGCAGAGACTACCATTAAAAGATATACAGATCAAGGGTTCGGCAATTTGCCGCTTTGTATGGCTAAAACTCAGCTTTCTTTGTCTCATGATCCCACCAAAAAAGGAGCGCCAACAGGTAAGTAATCCCGGAGAGAAAATACGCAATGTAAATACATGTCAAGTTCTTAGAAGCACCAATATTATAGCACGTATTCTTGAGAAGTGCGATTTTGTAGGGTTCCTTAGTAATCATACAATCTGGCCAAGTCACGTAGTTATTTCTTTTACCACTTTCGTTATTATTAAATTGTACGAGGGCAGACATACTAAGCCGACACGAATTGAAGACCAAAGACTTTAAAACGTAATATTTCACACATAAAGGGAGACAGCAGACAGCCAAAGAAAAAGGAAGTTATAAATAGTTTTATTGGGATCCGTGCTAGGAATGGGAGGGGAGAATTAATGTTTCAGTTAAGAGTGCATCTTTTATACATCCTTTTGCAAAGATCCACGCAAAAAGAGGATTACCGTAATCTTTTCAGGGTTCACCCTCCCCATCCGAGATGTCAGTATCTCCGTGGGTGCTGGTTTCATTTTCCCATTCTGCGGCGAGATCATGACCATGCCCGGTCTGAACACCCGCCCCTGTTTCTATGATATTGACATTGATCCGGAGACCGAGATTATCGACGGATTATTCTAAATTAATAACAGTCCTAGTTGTAAATAAACGGTTTTATCGTTTTTGTAAGTATTGCAATACCTTGATCTTAGAATTGTAGAGCTGAAGATGGTTGTTTCTTTATTCCGTCTAGACTAGATCCTAATTCTAAACAAGGGAGATGAGTCAGCTTTAAAGGGGCCAAATGGAGTGCAAAAGAACAGCCAGCGTTCCCAGGCTCACATTCTTCTGATTACTTTTTCTGACTGAAAAAATTAGCCAATTTTTACAGAAAAAGATTGCCCAAACATGATTTTATATATCATATAAAATTAAATTAAGCCATTGGAACAACGGACTAAACTTTTACAGCCAGCCCTTCAGTCTCTCCTTCTCTCTGGGTGGCCTCTCAGATAGTCTGACAGTACTCTTTTTATTCGACTGCGCCTTATTGATAACCACTTGTCATCAGACGGTCCTTCTTGTTTTTGCTTTGGATGACTCGCCTAATCTCGTATCTTGTGCTCTTAATAATCCCCGCAGTTTCAGCGGGATTTCGATTATATTCCCATTAGGAATGCCAGACGATAATCGAGGAGAATGAGGATTAACGGATGTTGTAGTTGACATTATTCGATGTCATCGCGGAGTCATGACACGCAAGGGACTTTTATGGTCAGTAGCCCTCGGTTGTTTTTCTGCACATTCTCCCTTTCATTTCTAGACAGAAACCCAGACACACGTCTGGCGGGAGGAGACAAAAAACCCAGACGGGTCAGTCATTCATTTCGATAGGCGAACTTCTGCTGCTCTGTCTCTGCCATGAATGGTTGCGGCCCGCTGTTCTCTGCAATGAACGTCGAGCTGTCTGACACCCAGACGGAATTATTTAGCTACGTTCTCTGGGCTTTCTCTCGCCCACCCGCCCTCCCATCTCGGAAAGTGGTGGTCCGTCTAGTCTTTTCGCTCTTTTTAGTCGCGCTTTCTGAGATTTGGGGTCGATTATTTTGACTGAACAATAAGGGCCAGACTGTCATCTCAAACGTTCCAATTTCAGGCCGAACAGTTCGTTAATAGATGATGTGTGACCGCGTGTAATTTTAAGTGTGGAGGTATATTATGCTAAAAGATACGATGATCTTTCCTTCCCTGATCTCAATTTCATTATTATTGCTCCTCTTGCCCGACGCATTCGGCGCCAAACTCAACCTAAACCCCAAACAACTGAACCAGGTTCACTCGATATTGTTACATAGTATTCAACAACATGAGCAACGTAAGTTTGTTCAAAAGTAATCTAATTGTAAAATAATTGTAATCGGGGTTGAATAGTTTTTTCAAGAATTTGATTTAATGCCGGAAATGATTTCCCAATATATCATTTATCATGTTTTTTGGCGATTATCAATAACTCGACCAATTTCAGACCTTCTCGAACCACTAGTCGAAAATGAAATTTTTTGTAAATGTAATGTTGAGGAATGCGACACCGAATTGGTCCATATTGCTGGTCCCACGGCCAGAGGAATGTGTCGAGCACGAGGTGGAGTTTGCAGACAATCGGTGGTCTACAAGGACGATGGCAGAGCCAAGGCTACCCTAGAGTAAGCTCAAATCAATATTTCGAATATCGCTCATTAAATCTTTCAGTTGTCAACCGCCAGAGGCATTAATACCCCCCTACAAACCGTTCATCTGTGAGAATATGAATGGAGCCAGTACCAGAGACTTTGTTTTGTGTTGTAATGAGACGTCCTTCTGCAATGACTATGACGTGAGTTCAGTTTTACAATTCGTCATCTTAAATTTAGGTCCCTGTTCCTAAAATGCCCCCACAAGTGTCGACCAAGAGTTGGCCATGGCTGATAGTGGTCTTTGTGGTGGCATGTATATTCTCGTTTGCGGGTTTGGTGGTCGGAATCTTCTGGTTTAGAAGTCCCCATTCAAAACAGTGCATGCAGAGTTTCTTGACCTGCTTCCCAGCTGCTCAAAATAGCATGGCTTATTATGCAGCGTAAGTTTATCACACCATTACGGTGACAGTAACTAGAGTCTCTTTAAAAATCTTTCCTGTTTTAGAAACAGCGGTTTGAATAAACTCCTCGATGACATCGAAGCCCAGACTCGCCATCAAGATACTGACCCAGATTGCGAGAATCAAGTATTAGTCAGGAGAACGATTGCTCGGCAGATCAAATTGGTGGAAGCATTGGCCCGTGGAAGGTATGGAGATGTTTGGTTGGGAGATTGGAAGGGAGAAAAGGTCGCTGTCAAGATATTTGAAGCCCGCGATGAGCATTCATGGCATAGAGAGACCGAGATCTACTCGACCAATATGCTTCGGCATAACAACCTTCTCAGGTGGATCGCTTCTGACAATAAGGATACTGGAACGGCTACTCAGTTATGGCTGATCACTGAATATATGAGGAACGGATCCTTGTATGACTTCTTGGAGAAGAACTCAGTCTCTCTAGACGAAGCTGTTCAATTCGTACGATCCTTGGCTCACGGACTTTCATATCTCCACACAGAAGTTCCTGGCATTACAAGTAAGGATTACTGTAGTCGTGATTATATGTTTTTGTAGATAAGCCAGCTATCGCTCATCGGGATATCAAATCAAGGAATATATTGGTAAAGAATGACATGACTTTAGTGATCGCTGACCTTGGTTTGGCCGTCCGAAATCTTCCAGACGGCATTGATCTGCCTGACACGAGTAGAGGCGGCACTGTCAGATATATGGCCCCTGAGGTCCTAAATGGCCGAATAATGAAGAATTCCTTCAAAGCCTACATGAATGCTGACATGTACTCATTCTCGTTGGTGGTATGGGAGATCACACGGAGATCGAGGGTTATCCACAACAACGATCCCCACCCATATCTGGTTCCATACCAAGAGTTTGTGCCTCGAGAGCCAACAGTCGATGAGATGAGGGACTGTGTCTGCAGAGAGAGGAATCGACCGACAATACTCACGGAATGGCAGACCAATCCGGTAAGTAAAAAAATATTCAAAATTTTCGTTATTTATATCTTCTCTACAGACCTTCATTTTAAAATTTTAGATCTCGAAAGAACTGCAAAGGATAATGGTGGAGACGTGGACAGACCAGTCCAACTCTCGTCTCACTGCTCTCAACGTTCGAAACAATTTGGATCGATTGTGTGAGAAGGAAAATATAAAAATCATGACATAGGCGCCCATCTTCCCGCTATGTATTGTTGATTTACATAGACTTGTACATAATACGCCAGTCTCTTCCTTAGGTAGACAAACCGAATGGTCTCAGTAATCCAAAAGTTCTACATTACCCTTTGCCCGCATTGTATCCAGCAACATACGATGGTTCCAAAGTCCCCGTGATATGTATGTTTCTTTCTGTTGTTGTAGATTTCTAGAGCCGCTCTTTCCTTTCCCAAATCATCTTCTCCCTACCACGCCAATCCTCGTAATGATGAAAAGTTACGACGTCATATTGACCCCTTTTCTTAAAATTTTGTCTGTCATTATCCCCGAATATTGAAAATGTCATCATGATTTGATTTGTTTGTTTGTTGGACTTACCGTTAATATTAATAATATACAATGATGTATCTTTTTTTTTCATTTACATTTGCATTTACGGGACGATTAATTATTTCGGCATCCATGTCCGAGTTAATTCATTGCATACGATATTGTTGACACAATACATTAAAGTATAAAGGATTAGTTGAACAGTTCTCTGGCGTCATTACTGGGGTAACGGATTCCACTTGTATACAACAAACTCAGGCATTGCAATTACGAAAAACTTGTTGTTATGACAATATTTGTTCATGAACTGGAAAAAATATACGAATTTTTGAGCTTTCTGTCCGATATTACAAAGGCATCAAGCTAGCTACACAGGGGACTCGGATTTACTTATAAGTAAAATTTTTTACTTATATTTACCAATAACTTACATATAAGTTAAAAAGGGCGGGGCTTATTTATTTTTACTTATATTTACGTTTATTTACTTATATTTACAAATAGCGGTACTTATATGTAAAAAACGGCGGAGCTCGTTCATTTTTACTTATATGTACATATATGAGCCTTGAAAAGAAAACTTTTGAGCGTCAAAGACGCTTTTTGGTTTCTGCACGCGTTGGCCGGACTTAGAAAAATTCTAGTTTTTGGAGCGCCAAAGAACGTATCTCAACCTCGGACCGAATAAAGTAAGATGCTTGTAGTCAGTTTTTTTTCTTTTACAGGAGGACAGAGTACTCAGATCAAAAGTCGCGAACGTGAGAACCTTCCAGAGCACGGAGCATGATAACGTCAAACTTCACGCAGTTCCAAAAAATCTATAAACAAGCACTATGAGGCAGGAATTTGGATGAAGAATTGTTTGCTCAAACTTGGTAGGTGTTTTTTTAAACTGCTTTCACATTTCATAAATCCAAAGATTTTTCCAGACATAGTTTTGCTATGTTGTACTAGGTCCAGGTGAAGCCTCTAGGTTTCAGATTATCGAAAAATTGGTCGTGGAGGGTAGTAAATGGACAATACACACGATCCCGGAAAAATGGCACTCGGATGATTCAGGTATGTTGAGAATATTCACCTGGACCTAGTACAACATGAAAAACTTGGTGTCTCGAAATTTCATTTACAAACTTGGTGAACCTAAAACTAATTTTTTCGGGGTGAAGAAGCACAAACAATTGAGAAGGGCTTATAGTAAATATCGTCGAGCGACCTTATCTTCTTTATTTGTTACTATTTTCAGTGAATGCAGACGCAGAAGTCCCCATAGAAGATCACGAAAGCAAGCAATTGATGCCTCATAAGGACAAAAACAGACACAGGATGCGTTATCCACATGTATTTGTTGTTTTTGAGAATCAAAATAAACGTTTATAATATAATTTGCACTGTGCATAATTCTGGGTTACAAATAAGTAAAATATCCTTATTGGTAAATATAAGTAAAAAATCCTTATTTGTAAATATAAGTAAATTTGTGGAGCGCCGAAAATAAAGTTTACATATAAGTAATTTCAGAATAACTTATATGTACGATTATTTACTTATATGTACGTTTATTTACTTATATAAACTTCAATTTCATATAAGTAAAAAAGACGTACATATAAGTAAATCCGAGTCCCCTGTGTAGCAGATCAAAGGACGAAAAATGTGCAACTTGGTCGCGCCCGTTTTTACAATTTATTTTTTCAAATAAAAAAAATATAAGGATTTTGGTTGGAGCTTGGCACAACGCTCAAAGTTTTCTGCGTTTTACTTACAATTAGTCGAGGGATTTATTAATCGCTCATTTCGGGTAATAATCTCTCTTTTTTGCACTCGCTTCCGACGTTGTGTCTTTGGTGGGCGTAAAATAGCTCTTCTTTGTACTTTGTTTTTTCTCGCGTTTTTCCATTCCTTGACCATTTCTCATACAGATTCAAAAGTCCTTCAGCAACCATGGGGAATGTGATGGTAAGTCAAGGTTTGCTGGACGGTAGCTTGTCCGGTCTGACCATTGTGGCCAGCTGGTTCAGTCTAGTGGTTATGATGATTATCAGATGGATTGTTGAGGAGGTGGTTCCTCTTTTTGTTTGTATTTAGTGTTCTTTTTTATTACAGCCATTTGGATCGTCATTGGCTAAAAATCGCATAGCCCAGAACGAAAATCAACGGCAGGATAGATTTAAACAAGCTCAAGTGAGAGTAGCGGATATTGGAGAGACATTGCGAGATGAGATCGTTGGCCTGGATTTTAAAAATTTAAGGGGTATGTTATTTTTACTTGGTATGATGAAGTTTAGAGAGTTTGCAACAAGGAAAGTACACTGCTGTTGTTGTTCTAAAGGCATTTGCATGGAAAGCGCTGAACGAGAATGCTCGGATCAACTGTTTGGCTGAGTTTTTGTTGGAGTCATTTGAAAAGGCGGAGGAATTGGATAAGAAATACGGAAGTTTGAGTCAAAAACCGACTCTTTTCGGATTACCCTTCAGTGTTAAGGGCAACTTCTATGTAAGAATAGCTTTCATTGTGTTTACTGTATTTAGGTGAAAGGATATGATTGTACATGTGGGTTGTCCAAGTTCTTAGGAGCCCCTCAGACCGATAGTTGTACTCTGGTTACTTCATTGGAAGAGCTTGGAGCTGTTCCCTTTGTCTTAACTAATGTGCCGCAAGCACTACTGTCGTTTGTATGCTCAAATCCGGTATACGGTACCACAAAGAACCCAAAAAATGAAGGAAGGTGCGTATTTTCATATCTAGTCGTTTTATTATTTTAGTTTAATATATTTAAAAGAGGTTTCGAGTATGCCGAATTTTTTGTTACGCACTGTACAAGGCCAAAATGTTGTGACGTGCGAATAAATTCTTGCCACTGTGCCGTTTAGAACAACTTTTATTGTGCCTGGGGCCCTGCACATTGCAGGGCAAAAAGTTTGTTATGGCCGAAACTCGTGGTTGGGTGTCATGGGGAAAGGAATTTGAGTTTACCCGGAACCGCTCTTTTTTTATATGTTCATTTCAGAAGTCCAGGAGGATCGTCTGGAGGTGAAGCCGCCCTATTAGCTGCCGGTGGATCGTCTTTTGCCACAGGCAGTGATCTGGCTGGTAGTTTACGGATCCCTTCTGCATTCTGTGGACTTGTTTCTCTTAAACCAACACAAGGTAATCACGTTGTAATGGATTTTTATTATAATTTAGATCGTGTCACTGTAAGACATGCGTGCCAAGGGGTCCCTGGACGAGGCCGAATGGCTCTCGCATACGGATTTATCACAAAGTCAGTGGATGAACAGATCTATCTTCTGGAACAGATTTTGGGGTACGAAGATTTCCATAAAAGCTGTCCAACAGCTGTGCCTATGCCCTTAAGAACTGATATTATCCATGAAACTGTGAACAAGAAACTTAGAATTGGGTATTTTTCGGATGATGGGTTCTTAAAACCAAGTCCAGGGTAAGCTCAATCAAATCAAATCAAATCAACCTAAAATACTTTTTTTAGATGTGAACGGGCGGTGATCGAGACCGTTGAGAAGTTGAAGGCAGAAGGCCATGAATTAGTTCATTTCCGCCTCCCTAGACCAAATCATGCCGCCGAGATCTGTTACAAAGCAATTCTGACTGATGGGGGTACCTTCTTGTGTAATATGTTCCGCGGGGAAGTAGTGGATGAATACATGAAGAGCTTTGTCAACCTTATTAAGGTATAAGACACTTATCGACGTCACATTGAACTTTGTGTTTCCAGATTCCTCTAATCATCCGCACTTGGGCGTCATATGTTATTGGATTCATAAGCCCCCAGGCACAGATTCTCTCACGTAGTTTTGTCAGAAATATTGAAGAACTGCGGCTGAATCAAGAACAAGTAGATCTGTATCAAGAGGCGATCATCGACCAATGGAATGAACTCAAGTTGGATGCTGTTGTCTGCCCCGCATTCTGTGTCCCAGCTGTCGAGCACAAATGGCCTAGTCTACTGGGAGCTTGTGGATTTGCGACAGCTTTCTGGAATATGATCAACTTCCCCTCAGGCGTGGTGCCTACGGGCAAATGGAATAAAGGAGATGAAAAGGCGTTGGAAGGATACGAAACAGGTAATTTTGCGTACATTTCTATCTAAGTCTCTTGCTTTGTAAGGCTCGTTGTTAGAATAACTTTTGATTATTCTAATCCAGAGAGATCAATTGCGTAATGCTAAAATGGCTTTTTTAGGAAATAATTTCGTTTTGAAATTTGTTAAAAATGCCTCTGTTGGATCAGAAGGCCTTCCATTATCAGTCCAGATAGCCACCCGACCTTATGAAGAAGAGAAATGCCTCGGAGTTATGAAGATTGTAGAACAACTATGGAAATAAACGCTACCTCCTATGGAATGCAGTAGAATTTACACTTAATATCGCTTATCATATATGTGATCCCTTTAGCATTTATATCATTATCATTAAAATATTTAATAAAAAAAAATGTTTGTAAATTTACATCATTTGACCTGCCATTCCGCCTTGAGTTGTTGGAAGTAAGAGTAGCCCTGGTCGACCGGAGAATGACGGTCGATATCTCTGCTGATCGTGTAAGGATTATCTTGCTTCACATTCAACATCCTCTGTATATCATTCTTGATTAATCTATTCAATTTCTTGAACTTCAACGAGATCCAGGTTAAAAATAAGTAGTGGTAACAGTTGATGGAAATGTAGGACATCTAAAGCTTCTTATGAAAGGAAAGAACGCTACCTCAACAAAGAACTCAGAACAACTTGTTCCCACTCCGCAAGTATCCTGATCTCGATAAATTACATAAGCAGAGAACAACTCGCAGAAAGAGCAGAATACGGTATACCCAACAATGGTCGGCAGTAATGTCTGGACAGTATCACTGTTTTCCATACTCTGATATCTGGTGGACAGGTCAACTTTACTCTCTTTCCTCGAAATCTTCTTCACAATCCTTGACAAGACAAAAGTCAACTTCAAATCGTTCTTATTATAAATTGATTGTACTTACAGAGCTTCCAACGATACAAAAAGTTGATGCCGAGCTTATGAAGTAGAAAGAAATTACAGGATGACGATCTAGGTAAGGTAATCCATAAGTGTTGGAGCCAGCAAACAGATCAATCAGATCGAGAACACTGTTAACCATACTGTTCATTGTCCCGAGAATCATCTAAATCACTAAAACCCACTATAATATACATACAACAGAGATGACTAATCGGGTCCCAATCTTGGCATTTCTTTTCTCGTAGTCTTTCCTGTAAATTACAGCCAATGCTCTTTCAACTCCGATCGTAAGGATGCAAAGGCAGCAAGTATTGAGTGCAAGTCGATGAACAAAGTCGATTAAAGCCCGGACAATAAATATCCATGGTTCTGGTAACAAGTCATTCTCAGTCACAATCCTGTACAAAACCCTTGTTCCACTCAATGTGCTGTATTGGACAGGAATTGTGCACTAAACGATAATCCTCTGAATACATTACTCATGTTTACCAAGATAATTCGAAGGTTTATGTGGATGACAGAGATCCGACTCAACTGGCGAACAAAGTATACTCCATACAGTGTTGAAAGGACGAAACCAATGGGTTCCGAACGATGAAGGCAACATAAAACAAGATCCAATGCCTTTCCGGTAGCACAATATTCATCTGCATACATAGTTGAAGGAAGGTCAGCAATGACTAAGGCCGCAGAAAGTCTGGGCCCAACCAAGCCGCGGAAGAAGATAATGCGATAATTGTAGGCGGCGAAAGATTAGTCTTTATTGTTGGAAGAATGAAAGCGTGAAACTATTAAGGAACGGAAGATATAATTAATTGTGAGTATGAATAAATACTTGATCTTAAATACCCGTCATCAGATGACTCAAATCAGCTATAGTACCAAAAGTAAACCCTTAAACGCAATGCTAGAAATGAATACCCAAGAAACGCCCGCTAAAATAAGCAAAGGGGAAAATACAAACTAGATGGAGTCAAATAAGGCGAATATGATAGACACTACAACCGAAAGGATAATAATTAATGTGAGTATAACAACTTCAAACTTTTTGAGACCACAATTAGAAACTTCTATAACACATCTCGGCTTGACTTGGACATCCAACCTCTTCGGAGTATCATCGAAGTCCAAAACTTTTTTGTCATTAGATGGTATCGTTGGTGGGAGCTCCGGAGGGTCGATAAATTTAGGCTGAGATGGATGCGCCAAAGGTGATAATGGAGGCTTTTCTCTCTTATCTCTGGGCCCGGGAGGCGGGCGACGTTTTGGAGATCGACTTCGGATGCTGGCTTCGTATTGCGAGATCATCTTGTGGTGCTTCCGATACATCTGAGGCATCATCCTTGCGAGATCGGAGTTTGTCCAACCAGCACACCTAAAACGATAAAATAATAACAGTTTAGTTAGTAGACTTAGTCCGTCAAACCGAAGGTAATATTACTTACACTGCAACTTCTCTCATCTGAGCTTCTGTCGACTTCATTTCCATTCGATGGCAATGGGCAACTCTCATGTCCTTGGTATGCTTAAGTCTCACTTTCAATTGCATTCCATAGACCAACAGCGAACTGAACTTCTGTTCATAATTCTGCTGCTTTGACTGAAGATCAAATAAAAAATGTGGTAAAACTTACAACAGGCTTCCTCGAAGGCGACCCGAGTTTGGCATTTTTTTTCTTCAGCTCAGCGGACCGATGTCTGGAGAACTCAGCCAAGGACATAGGGGGTATTCTTTTTGGAGACCCCATCTTGTAGTATCACCCCTTCGCGTATCTCAGACCCTGTTCTGGTAGAATATTCGATCGAATGCAAACTCGTTTCTTGAGAATTCATAAAATATTTATTCAGAAAATTTGTTTTCGTTCGAGGACATAACGCAGTATGAGTCCCAACACGAAAAATTTAGCCCGCAAGAAAATTAGTTTGATTTTCGGCTGCGCAATTTTCTCTCCAGTTCTCGCGGTTTCTCTGTTTCCCGCAAGATGTCGAACTTCCGGAATCAATCTTTGGCAGATTTCAAGAAATTGGACAAGATTGGTGAAGGTAAGTATTAGTGTTATATATTTGAGGTTTTCAGGAACGTATGGCGTCGTGTACAAAGCTCAATCTCTCCGATACAAAAATTTGGTGGCCATGAAGAAGATCAGACTCGAGAATGATGAGGAGGGTGTTCCACCAACTTCCATTCGCGAAATTTCCATGTTAATTGAGCTTCGACATCCAAATGTGGTGGAATTACAAGACGTGATTATGGAGGAGAATCGCCTTTACCTTGTGTTCGAATTCCTAACTATGGATTTGAAGAAGTTTTTGGATTCTTTGCCTGATGACGCGTCTCTGGAGATCCCCTTGATCAAGAGCTTCTTATTCCAAGTATGCGTATATTGCATGAAGTCGTGCGTAATACATTAGTTATGTTGTTGATTTTTTTCAGATGACTCAAGCTATTTGTTTCTGCCATCAACGGCGAGTTCTCCACAGAGATTTGAAGCCTCAGAATCTTCTGGTGGATGTGCAAACCAACACAATCAAGGTGGCTGATTTTGGGTTGGCCAGAGCTATTGGGGTCCCCGTGCGAGCATACACACACGAGGTATGCGGGGGTTGTGTAACGCTCGTGTTCATTACGACTTGTACACCTTATTTTAGATTGTGACCTTGTGGTACCGATCGCCAGAGGTCTTACTTGGAGCCCCGAGGTATTCCACAGGCGTAGATATCTGGAGTATTGGTTGTATCTTCGCCGAAATGATCCGCCGCCGTCCGATATTCCAGGGCGATTCCGAGATCGACCAACTCTTCCGAATCTTCAGGACTCTGGGCACTCCCGACGAGAGGACATGGCCAGATGTAAACACTTTACCCGAGTTCAAGCCCCACTTTCCAGTCTGGACTCAGAATACCTTGGTGCAGCGATTGGACAAAGATCTGATTGATGATGATGCAGTGGATCTTATGCTGGTAAGATTTGAATGCGAAGGATTATATTACTTTTATTATCTTTGGATTTGGTGTGAAATTAAATATTAATAATTTTTATAGCGAATGTTTGAATACGATCCCATGAACAGAATCAGCACCCGAGACATCCTGCATCACCCGTACTTTCATGATTTGGATGTCTCTGCCCTCCCGGCCGGCAATTTCAGAGGCGAACTTGTGACCGATCTCTCCACGAAACAACCCACCAAGACATCGTCACACGAAATTATTGTAGTCTAGACTAACCATACAGTGCTTTATCAGTGTAAAATATATTTTGTCATCCCCTGCTCTGTAAGTATTTGTAAGTACCGTGCAATAAATAACCTACTGACATTTTTCGGCGTTTAATACTTTTTTCAGTCATAATGGAAAGTCTACACATAATATCGCGGATTGGGGGCAATGGGACGATTTGGGAAAACCTTAAATAAACCTAATCCAATACTTTTGACTTCCCCAAATTGTCATTTTCCCGATTCGTCTAGGTCCGCTTCTAAACTTTGTTGCTTTTTTACGTAATTTATTGTTTGCGACTTTAATTGAAAGTTAAAATTTACAGTAACCTGATTGATGGGATAAGTGAATTTGGCTGATGTTGAACTAGAATTTACATTAATGTAAGTCACGCAGCAAGCTGTGGTCGGCTGACCACAAGACGAACAACGTTTTGTTCTCGTATGAGTGATATGGCTCTGTGGTGTGTCATCCCGGCAGTGGATTCCCCATTGATTTCGATTAATTGGTCCCCAATCCTTAGAGTTCCTTCTTGGGCAGCAGGACCGTCCTCAGCTATCCTCAGGATAAACAAGGGCATGTTCTCGAACTCAAATCCACCTCGAATCGAAAAGCCGAATCCCTTGGAGCCCTTTTTCAGCTCTACCGGGATCTTCTCGAATTCCTAAAAATGATGAGAATATCAAACTATACGTCATAAATGACACGACATGTCAAAAGATTAAAAATAGAAGTACCTTTTCGCCTCCGTTTAGATACTGTAGCCCATTTCCTTGGACTACATTAGCAGTACTGATGGGAGAATCAATGTTCTCCCGGAGCACGGAAGAAGGAGAAGCGGATCCATCGGCCAGCAAAACACTTCTCTGTTTTGTGGGATCAATTGTGAAGACTATACTCTTCCGACACGACTTTACATAATTGATAACATCCTGATGTGTCATTTCGTCCGTGGAAAGTCCATTTATCGCAACAACACAATCTCCGGCCTTCAGACGGCCTGATCTCGAAGCTGGAGTGTTGGGAATGACCTTCCCGATGAATCTGTAGACATTAGAAACAATCGTACAACCAAAGTCCTCATGTTCAGCTTTGTTGAGAACAACATCGTAGACCAAGGAGGACTGCTGGAATTGTCGAGGGTCCGCATAATTGGAGACGGAGGGGTAGTTGGAGCGGAGAGTGCCGTAAAAATCTCGTTGCATTCGTCTAACCAAGATCTTGACATGCCCTCTGACAGCTGCTTGTTTGATTAACGCAACAACAATATCATGACGGAATCCTACAACATTCTTGCCGTCGATTTCGCAGATCTCATCGCCTTCCATTAATCGGCCATCTTGAGATGCAGCTCCTCCTTTGATGACATTACCCACTTGTAATGGAATGCCCATCTCCACTCCTCCAACTAATCGAAATCCGAACCCGCCATTTTGTTGAATAAGATTGACAGTGACAAACTTGTATGTAGAATCGACCATGGGAGAGAGCGATGAGATAGGCATATAATCAGGAGTCGACGAGAAGCCGTTGCGAGCTAGAGGACCTCGAAATTGCGCAAAGTCGTCTATTAAATCCTCGTGGTACGACTAAAGAATGCCAGTAACATAAGGTTTTAAAAGTATTATAAATGGAAATTGAAAGTTACGTACCCTCTGTAACGTTGAATGTTGATAGTGATTTCGTTTCAGACTTGGAGCGGGTGTCTTCGATCTTGGCGCCAGATTTGGCAATGGTGTGTTTCGGGTCTTCTCACCAAATCGGAAACCAGCTGTAGGTGTTCTTGATCGACTAAATCGGAACAATTCATATAAAAAACATTAAAGATTCTTCAAACGGTGAGGACAATAATTACATTGATACAAAATTACAAACCTCAAGCGGGGTGATTGTCTGGAAACAAGCAGTTTGGTATGATAGCCGACGGGAAGATCTTGAAGGAACTGCACTAATTGGACATGACTCATGTTGAGAACGTTGACTCCATCCACCTCCACAATCAGGTCACCCTCCAACAGATTGGGGCATTGGTCTGGGAAGAGCACACTCTTTACTCGCTGGCCTTGGAGACTGTCGGTTATTGTAAATCCGAAGCCCCTCATACTTTTCCGGATTAATATCTCGATCCGTTCAGAATTGCGAGCTTGGAAGTTGGTCTGGGCATACGTAGAGGAGTAAATACTCTCATCATAAACCTGAAAATCAAACAAATTAAATCCTTTAGGTTTGCAAGCATTGATTAAAACAACAATGCTTACTTTATTTGTGTGGTCTAATATTAGCGGGTACCCTCTGCAAACTTGTATTGTGACGGCTTCTCCCACAACCACCGATCTCAATAATCGACAAGCCGTGTCTTGGCTAGCACCTAACATAAGCTCATTGTCCACGTACACCAACACATCTCCCGTATGCAATGTGTTGTCCAAAGCAGCAGGCCCTCCGGGCAATATACTTTTAATCTAAGATTGAAAATGATAAAATTGATGATTAGATTGTTTGTTTTTTTATAAAAATTTACCTGGATAAACTCATTTTGAATGGAATGCCGATCGTTTCCAACCAAGGTAAATCCTAAGCCCTGAGGACCTTTGACAAGTCTGGTTGTAATCAATTCGCCCTTTAACTGTGCCGGGTCACATGTAAAATGTAATCCATTCCCATTGAGTACAGGCCATCCATTGTCATTGGAGGTACCCGCATGGCCGTGGCGAAGAGGCGGGGGGATAAGGGGCTCTGCGGGATTGGGGGATATACCCGTCTCCACATATCCATTCTGCTTCACAGGTCTTTCGTATTGTGTCCTTTTGTTTATGTGACTGAAATTAATGACATAAAATGTGGAACTAAAGCAGAAAAGACAAAGATCTTTGAATTAAATAATACTGGACATGACCTCAGAGGATTCTATAGACAAACACTTTCAAACCCAAACCTCGGAAAGTAAACCAAGTCCCTAATCAACGCCGACGTGTCTATGGGCTGATGCTGGAGCAGGGACGGCACACTTCCACTGAGCAGATGACCGGGGATGACGCCATTTGTCTTGGGTTGTGGATGATTCCGACGTTTGAAGCGTCGCATCGAAAGCCCGAAGATGACCTCCTAAGGTCCCATCTTGCACAAACACCCCGCCGTATCCCGAAAAAAGACAGCTCGGCCAATGTGTCCTGAGGCGACGGCCAGGTCTTAAGATGAGATAAAACGGATAAAACGAGTTTGATTCAAGTTGCGGACAAGATTAATTACCAAATGCCCACCCCTTCGGGATGCTTACTGTTAAGAGGCAAGAAATCGGAAAACAAAACCCCCCTTAAACAAATAAATTCTGCTCGTGGTGCCGGCTTTCTCGATTTATTGGCTATTAAAGTTAAATTGCTTCAGGTAAATTGCGACTTTTAATCAAAAATGGCCCCATGAAAGAATAAGCTTAGAAATTAGAGTATCAAACTTATTTTTTTAGATAATTTTATATACAGCCCTAAAATAGTTTACCCCGAAATATTTGGAAAATTCCCAAAAAAGAGAACAATTCCCGCACTAATCATGCACAACAATGCCCCCAACGATTTCCTGCAGTGTGACGACATTTCTGGAGTGGTCAAGATTTGGAAGAGGGAAAATTGAATTACCCTCAGGGCTTGCCGTCTGATGGAATCTTTTCCCATTAAGGAGCCACTTTTGGACATTAAATTTAAAAGAAGTGGAGAAAAGAAAAGGCCTCATAATCAGCGGAATAAACAGACTTACTCTACATAGAAGGTCCCATGGACTTCGTCCTCAACTTTCTCCCATCCCTCGGGCAGATCGTCCCCATGCCCATTGAGAAGTTCGTTACTTGTTCCATTTATACCATTCACATGACCGTTGGATTGACCATTAATATGTCCTTTATTGTGTCCATTCACATGACCATTTGGAATGAGATTATCTCGGGGATCATGCCATTGAGTTGTTCCGTTGTTATGACTGCAACAATGTTAAGTAAACTGTCTTTACTCTACTAAAAAGCTGATCTTTCTTTGCGTAACGTGATCGGATCCGATGACGTCATCATTTGTCATCCAACTCCTAAACTTACTCGATAAAGTACTTCTCGCCCTGATCGGTGTAAGCAATGTCCCAATTAGGCGGCAATGGTCCCTTGGGATCTCCATTCATGATCGCATTGGGTCGGGGCGTCGCGTATAAATGGCCTGAAATCGAATAAGAACAAAAATGTTCCAACGAGGGCGTGATTAAATATTCTGTACGCATTACAAAGGCCCTCAATGAGTCAATCAAGGGCTGGGATGCTAAGCAGACTGGACGAAAAGAAGAAGAAAGTCGCAAAATGGATCGCCGCGGCCATTTTGGGAGGGCAAAGGAGGCAAGGAGAAGATAGCGAGGCATCGATGGGTGTTTACACTTCTTCGCAAAGCGATTTGCATTCATTTGGGCATCATCTGGCCCTATTATGGATAAACATCCGGTTCATCCGAACTCTCTATTGTAAAGGGTCTTAACGAAAAGAGGCAGATGAACGGCCAAAGGTCCCAAATTCTCTTCGCCTCGAATGAAGATGGTTTATAAACATTGAAGCTCGGAAAAAACAAAACTCCTCCTCGCCCTAAGAAGGCTCGGCGATAAGAAAGCCGGGCTAGTGTTAAAAGAGAAAAGGAAAAATGAGCTGGCGAGAACGAAACGCATCGGCTGATAGAAGAAATATTACAAAAACTGGAGACGGTCCACAACCCGGAGACATCGATCCAAGAAGAACAACATCCGAAGGGAATCGCGCAGGTGAGGAAGAGGTGAGGCGGTGGGGAGGGTCGATTTTCTTCGCTTTTCGCCTCCTCGCCCCCCTGCCCAACACCCTTGTCTCGGCATTTAATGTCTCTCTGGTTTGTCAAAGGTCATTCCCCTTCGTCCAGTCCTCATTTGCATCCCATTTTGGTAAGGATTTGCGGGCGTGTTTGCGGATAACAAACAATCAGATATATTGCAATATGGGAATTCTCCAAACCGAGGCCGTTTCAGTGATGTTAGGCGGTATGTAAAATGTATAAAAAGTGCGACTCTACAGCGACTTGATCAAATAGTCAATGACTTTAGATGTGCATTGACGTTTGATGCAAGGAAGGATGAGTAATTCGCCGCACTGTTGGTAGAAGCACTTTCGATTAGGTCATCTTATTCTGAAATGAGGTCAGACGAAATGAAAGAACGATGTCAAGTGCAACATCCAATTTCAATTTGTATTTTGATTACTGTAAAATTCAATTTACATAGTCCATGTTTAACAAGGTGTTGTGGTAAAGACGTCATATTCTTAAGAAAGGTAGCCCAAAAACAAAAAAAAATTGTTTTTTTTTGCACTGCCACAGGGTCCATTACAGAAAAGGATAAAAAAAAAACAAAACAAATGACCACCGCCCCCTTCCGCGAAAGCCCCGGCCATAAAGGAAGCTGGGATTTCGCTTTAAATGGCTAATCGGCCGATTCCATCCATTTGTGGGGGTTTTGGAACCTTTTTTTGGAAGCCGAGTTTTGGGGTTCTGGAGGGTGCGAAGCCGAGGCGAGGCTCTCGGGACAAAAGTCCAACTCCTAATCAAATTCGAATGACCAGAGGAGAGAGGAAGCGCCTACTTTGTTTAAATTACCTTCAAACTCCCCGCATTCCAGAAAGCAATTCGTTTTCTCGAGTCGATGGAATTCCTCGCTGGACACAAAAATGTAATCTTCGCCGTCGACCTCGTCTTCGCAGCGGGCTCGAGTTGTGTCTGAAACTATCTTTAGTCAAACATTACACTCTGATCTGCTATTACAACATCATATTACATTAGAGAAGGGGGACCAGCTGATGATCGGACTTGAAAAATCTATTGATAAAACTAATTAGGGAACTTACAAGGAATAGAGTTTAGGAGGATATTATCCCTCATTGTCATATGCAGCTGAATCAACCTTTGATCTTTGAAAAGTTCGCGGATATCAGCTGTCAGAAGACCTAAAAAGCCCGGGATATTTGCAGACGGACGGTTACCTACCATTATCGATAACCTCAATTTGTAGTTCCGAATTGGTCAGCATCAAATATTGCAAAGTTTCATTTGCTTCTCTCAAAGTTTTACCAGGGAAATGCCTGGAAACATTAGAATTATACAAAAATGCGATGACTATCAGTCTGTCGGAAAAATAACGGCGGATCGTCGCAGCAAAATGTCTCGCCTCGCCGCTGTTGCGCACCAAATCCCCAGCCGCGGCTTGTAGTCGCAAAGCGATGATGGGCGATTCCGAGGCGCGCCGATCCGCCGTTTTTTTCCCGACAGACCGATATAAGAAAAAACTTACAATTTATTAATGGAAAACAAGATGTCACCTTCATGAATATCACAATCAGGCTGCTCAACGTTGTCAACAGTAATTAGAAACCCTTTATCGGCCCCTCCTTTTACCCGGAACGGGCATTTATTTCCATCCAAAGTTACAGTAACCCCACGAATCAAAGAAGAAAGTCCAAGGACTTCTTTCTTGATTGTCATATCCACAGGACTTGTCGATGGACTGTCGTCGCTCTCTTCATCCACTCTCACCAACGACGCTGCACATTCGGGCGGCGTCAGTTGACCTTGCTCACTTTCATTCATCCCTTTAAACCATTAAATTCGATTATTTAAAACGAAGTTTCATGAGATTCAATGTAGTGCCCTGAGGGCAAGAAACCCGCGCAATTTTATAGAACCTGAAACAAAAAGCGGGGTTCGGGGTCAAAAAAGAAAAAGCGGCCGAACTCCTTCTGGCCACTTGGGACCAAAAGAAAGGTCGGATCAACCCCAAGAAATTCAGAGTGCAATTTCGACCAAACGTGGACACATGGCATTAATCAAGGCCATCTGCTTGAGAGAGTGGGCTCTGATATAAAGATTTATAATGGCCTTTATATTGTTCTTGAGATCAAGAGATTCGGGGATTTTAATTGGAAAGAGAACACAAACAAAGTGGGCAATTGGGCAGTTCATACAACGCGGATAAAGTCAGTAAAATGTGGTCGTAAAAACATGAGTAAAGGTGGATCAAGGGGAGATTTGTTTACATCGCTCTCCGTTTTTATTTTTTATGCAAAAAGATGACTTTATAAGCGACTCAATAAAAAACCATTTTTGTGTAAAAAGTTTCCTCCTAAGAGTACTGAAACTGTACAATTCACAATTCTATCCATGAAATTACACGAAACCATGTAAGCAGTAGAGGCTGTCTCATCGATTGTCGCCTTAGGGTTTAGCGCTTCTCTCTTCAGAATCCCACAGTGAAAAAAAATTAAAAATAAATGCCCTCGAATTCTTCAAGTTTTGAGGGCTAAAGGCTATTTTTAATCTGCATAGCAAAAGAAAAGAGCGAGAACACAAAACTTTCTGTTAAAACATGTTTTTTATGATGAAAGATTGTTCGTTATCAAGGCAGAGATTTCTCAAATGTTTATTTATTTTTGAACGGCCAATAAATCAATTGAATACATGACGTATAAACTTGGAAGGTGTGAACTTATGCTTATAAGTTTTGTTGATCTTTCATTTTTTTATTATCTCTTTATTGAACGTCTGAATCTAATCGGAGTTGCACCCAGATTCATAAGACCAAAGTATTTCTGACTCCAATCACATGCATCTCACACCGGAATTTGCAAATAACCCCACCCGCATTTCGAAACTAAAGAATTTGCACAAATGACGAAACGCCAAAGGCGCGGCGAGACCCAAGCGAGGATTTTGTGCGTCGCTGTCTGAGAAAAGAAATGAATTTTGTGCGTTCTTTTCTCTTCTCCGCGACCCAATGGATGAGTCGAACAAGGGGCTAGAGTCAAGCGCGGCGGGAAGGATTCGGCCTGGCTGGCTGTCTGCAATTGCCCAATGGCTCTTTTCTTCACCATCTCTCTGATATTCTTTTTTATGCGTGCCTCGAGAAGATAACATTGGCACCCTGTGTCCGGCCGTACTCTCTGCCCTGTCGGATCGGCCCAGAAGTTTGTGCTTGAGGGCCGACCTCGTCTTTTTCTGCGATTTCTGGCCCGGAGATTGGCCCCTGCGAATATTGTTATGGCCTCCCCATTTTGGTCATTATATTTTGATTGTCGGGGTTGCTGCTATTTACGATACCGTGCAGTTTTATTTTCATTATTTTGAGTCCGCATTTTTCAACTTATATCTTTTTATTTTTAGGATGGAGCAAAAAAGTGAGGTTATCAGTCGAGAATTCGTTAAAGAGCTGGATGAATGGATCGAACAACTTTATGAATGCAAACAGCTTTCTGAAGGGCAGGTGAAATTGTTGTGCGAAAAGGTGAGCTATTTGTTATTGTTTTTTGGGCTTAGTGATACCAATGTTATTGATTTTGCCGCATCTGTCGACAAAAGTTGTTAATTTCGTGTAATTAGGCGAGAGAGATCCTGAAGGAAGAGGCCAACGTCCAAGAAGTAAAATGCCCGGTTACAGTGTGTGGTGATGTTCACGGTCAATTCCATGACTTGATGGAGCTCTTCAAGATGGGCGGAAAGTCTCCGGACACCAACTATTTGTTCATGGGTGACTACGTTGACCGTGGTTACTACTCGGTTGAAACTGTTTCTTTATTAGTTTGTTTGAAGGTACGTTTTTTTACTTTATTTTTTGTCGTATTTTGTAGTTGTTAATGGTTGATGTATTCAGGTCAGATACCGTGACAGAGTGACGATCCTCAGAGGTAACCACGAATCTCGACAAATTACTCAGGTTTATGGTTTTTACGACGAATGCTTAAGGAAATACGGAAACTCCAAAGTATGGAATCACTTCACTGAACTGTTCGACTTCTTCCCCCTGACCGCGCTTGTTGATGGTCAGATCTTCTGTCTTCACGGCGGCCTCTCCCCTTCGATAGATACCCTCGATCATATCCGATCGCTCGAACGTATTCAAGAAGTCCCCCATGAAGGTAAGATAATCTGTAGCGACATTCTGAGTATTTATCGCTATTACGTTTATCCATCGAGGATTAGGGACGTAGTTGTTGTGTCCTTGTGGAGGGGAACGACTAATATACCCGCCAACAATAATAATATGTAGTTTACTTACGAGAGAAAACAAAATACACGACCAGACTCCAGGTCGATTTCGAAGATCGACCTATACCGGTGATTTAGTGAATATCGAAGGCATCAGGTAGTGTAAAAAATGTCTAGCTTCCAAAACTGTTTAAGGGCCCTGAGGGAATAGTTATGACTTATCAAAGTTCGCGCAAAAACCAACCGAGAAAGGCGCGAGGACTATTCGGGTCGACGATACTGGATCGTGTTGGTCCGTCGTTATATGCATGGGGAGATTAGGAGAAGGCTTAGTTAGTAGAAATAATAAGATTGGTCGGGTTCTAGGATAGCTTGTCTCCTATTTTGAGCTATTTTGCATGTATCCTAGGGTCGCTGGCTCCTGTATGGTTTTTTAACAAAGAGAGTAGACGTCCTTTTCAGGGCCCTAGATTTATCAGCGGCTCAATGGTCTTGGAAAAAAATAGCAACTACTCGGTTAACTTTTTGGGAGCCACTAGGCGGGTCATGAAGATAAATTCGGTCGCGACTTTATGTCATGCTCCAAGAAGGAAGACGGCAAGGTACTACACCAACACGCGAGCTGCGAGTTCGGTGCCTCTGGGTTTGATAGTACTCTAACCCTATTACAGGTGGGATAGTGTGATACTAGCCATACTGACTTAAGAAGGTCTGTGGAATAATGCAAAAAAAATTTCAATAACTTAGTTGCCAACCTAATACTCACATAAATAATATCTAGATGAAAATTATGGATCGCCGTTTTTTGCCGTGATTTTTTTTGTGTTACAATAACTCAGGGTAAAGAAACTAAGGTTAGTTATAGCTAAAATTAGAAAAAGTGGACGTATTGCAAGTCTTCGCCTTTCCCTTTCAAGCCAATACCTCAAAAATCATATTCTAAGAGTAGCATAACTTACAAAAAAATCTTTTTTAATATTTAAGGAATTGACCGTACAACTTTCAAAAATGCAAATTTCTGAACTTTTTTAACGAGGTTCTAATTCTATTGAGCGAATAGTTAAACACAGATATGAACGAAATTCCTTTTTTCGACGAGATAGCACAATTTTTTAACAAAATTTTTAAAAAACATTTTTTGTAACTTTTGCTATTTTTGCTATATGGTTTTCGAGTTATTGACTTGAAGGGGAATATTTGGATAACCACTTTTTTTATTTAATTATTTTCTTTTTTAAGGCCCCATGTGCGATCTTTTGTGGTCCGATCCCGATGATAGAGGAGGCTGGGGTATCTCTCCTCGTGGTGCTGGCTACACTTTCGGCCAAGATATATCAGAGACCTTCAACCACTCTAATGGGATCACCTTGATATCTCGAGCCCATCAATTGGTAATGGAAGGATACAACTGGTGCCATGATCGGAATGTGGTCACTGTCTTCTCGGCCCCCAACTACTGCTACAGATGTGGTAATCAAGCAGCGATGGTGGAGTTGGATGACGAACTCAAGTACTCTTTCCTTCAATTCGACCCGGCCCCTCGTCGAGGAGAACCTCATGTGACTCGACGAACCCCCGACTATTTCTTGTAAAGATCGGTCTCACACTTGTAACTGCTTTCGGTTGGATTAGGTTGTTGTTGGGGGTGAGAACAATCAAAATTGTTTGGTTGTTTTTCGTTATCTTTTACACCAACTGTCCACCAAGACCGTTCTCTCTTTGCACCATCCCCCTTTGCTCCCTCTCATTTCTTGTTCTTTTTTTAAAAATTTTGTACAAAGATTATAAAAGATGGTCTTGTCTGATTTTAATCTTGTTATTTCCAACCGTTTGGCTGCGTGAGGTATTCTTTCTTATGGTTATTCTACTCTTAATCAGCGTCAGAACAAGAGAATGCCGGCTGCCGAGTGTCGTCGGCTCGGTCTTTTTCTCGGCCTGGCTTTCCAATAGATACTGGCGCCTATTTATTGGACGTCTCATATTCATTCAGATCACTAATAAAATGGAATTAAACCATCCTGTTCCAATTGCTCGTAGCGTTTTATTCTCTGTGTAGTCGTTGTGCGATTGTATATCTTGTAAATTTGCTGAATTAAATGAATTTGTATCAGATGAGTCACTCGAGCGCCCGGAAGGTGCATCGGGCCGACAGTAGGAGGAGTGAGCTTCTGAAACATGCAAATTGTACATTGGGTAGTGGATCTCTCAGAGAAGCGGTTAAATTGCCTCAAGGAGAGGATCTAAATGAATGGATTGCCACTAACAGTATGTTAATCTTGACTTGGAGAAAAGGTGTTTAGTTGTTGACTTTTTCAATCAGATCAGCCTTCTTTATGGCATGATATCGGAAGTTTGTTCGTCTGAATCTTGCCCTCGAATGACCGCTGGGGGTGGGGTGGAGTATTACTGGTCGGATAATGGTCGGTCCTTGTCGTGTACGGCTCCACAATATATTGATTATCTTCTCAGCTATGTGCAGGATGAAATGGATGATGAGCATACGTTTCCCTCACAAATAGGCAAGGCTTTTGTAGAAAATATGATTTTGATTTAGGCAAGCCATTTCCTCCCAACTTCTCTCAAATTGCCCAAACTATTATGAGAAGACTGTTCCGTATTTATGCTCACGTTTATCATGAGCATTTCGATTACATACAGAAGTTGAAAGCCGTAGAACATGTGAACACTAGTTTCAAACATTTTATGTTGTTCGTGCAAGAGTTCCGCTTAATCCTCCAAGAAGACCAGGAGCCTCTAAACGAACTCATTCAAGAACTGGTACCTCAAAGATCTTAAACGCGTATTTATTTGCAATAAAATAATGTAATTATTCGATAACATCCCCCTTTGCGCCAAGTCTCTGGGGATCTTGACTGGGGTAATAGATCTGGTTGGTGGATCTGCTGTTCATGGAGGTGGATGGTCCGACCTCGGGCACAATTAGATGTTTGGGCTGAGGTGGAGGCTCGGGGAGATCTCCTCCATGTCTCTTGGATGTTCCGGTACGCAATTCAGGGACAGGAACTAAAACAATTTCGTTATGATAAAATATTACCTATCGTTAAGTTAATGTGAAAAAATCAACTTACGGCTTCCGATGTTGGGAACAGGGTCTAGTGGTCGATTACCGTGATTATATGTGGTGGTCTCTCCTTTTGGAGTCCCCCACCTTACTCTGATTTTCCTTCCATTGATATTTAGATTCTGGAAAGTCTTCTCCGCCGCTCGCTCGGCAGCTTCTCTGGTGGTGAATTGGATAAATGCGCAAGCATTATCTTTCCCGCGGACCATATGAATTGTTCTTATCTCGCCAAACTGATAGAAATTGTTTCTAAAACAAGAATAAACAAAGAAGAAAAGGTCTTACCTAATATCGCCTTCTTCAATAACACCTCTCCCAAGGTTTCCCAGATACAGAGTAGTAACAGTCTCATCGGTGGGAGGTGTCAATTTGGGGAAAGCTTGAGCTCTGGTTAACAATTTCTCGGCCACAGGATCTTTGTGCCCATAATATCTGTCCTTCATATTCTGCTGACTCAATGGATCATCGGGGTCGGATGGCTTCTCGTGTCTGTAAGGGCACTCCTCCCCTCTCCTACATTCGCCTTTTACAAAGAATGAACAAATGTGCGGCAGGTTTCTATTATAATATGGTTGACTTCGAGCCAGTTTCTTCAGCAATTCATTACTCCCGGCATCCTTAATCTCTGCCAATTGACCATAAGGGACGGTTCCGTCAGTGTTGGCCAAAGCTCGATCCGCGTTCTGAATGAAGAAGTCCCGGTTCGCACCATCTCTTGGCATCTGATCTTGAATAGCCAACGCGTGATCTCTGACTTGAACAGGCAATCCATATTCCAGATCAAGAAGACAAGTTTGGCAGACATTCTTCAGCTTGGCACACGTTTGACAGACTTCTGTTCTCTTATATCTGGCACCTTTTCCAGGCATCCATCGGAAACAAGTAAAGGGACGCTCGCAAATCTTACAGGAAGCTCCAAACTTATCTTTTTGCTAAAGATAGAAGAATGTCAAATTGAAAATAAACTTACCATTCGAATGTAAGGGTTACTTCCCAAACAAGTGCTGCAAAGGATTGGGCATTCCTGTAAAGGGTTTTAGAGAACAAAATAAAATGTTTGAAAGAATTTACGAAAACAATACTTACGGCATCCTCAAAAGTCTTTCGATTATATTGGTAGGAATCCTTTGACATAGCCATTTTGATGCGAATATAGAATGAAGGTCCGAAAATCCAACCACAGCGAGATCTCAAAAAATAAAACAACTCGATAAAAAAATATTTCGAAAGCAAACAAGTCAATTGTGTCATTTCGTCGTGGCACTTCGTGCAATTGTTCAGATTGCAGAAAACACTGACAAAAAACTTTGAAGATAGACCTACATCTTGTGACCGGGTGGTATGGGGATATTTGAGTTTCACAATGCACAAAATGCCTTTCTCAAAGCTGAAACCAGAAACTTAGAGGCAGAATGCTCAGAACTCATGGGTGATATCAACGAAACCAACGCGGTTGTTGGAATTTGTATCCCTAAATCTGCAATATTCGCAGTTATAGCAACAAGGTAGAAGAAGAGACTTGTATGAATTCAAAAGCCCTGTTTCAGTGTACTCAAAAATGGCAACGCATTTACTTGGATCAATCCCGATTCCGATCTCAACTTTATCCGTTATAAATGCATCAAACTAAAAGTGAGGGTTCTTGTGATAGATACCAAAAGCAACATAAAAGTAGAACCTTCAGAGGTCTTAAAAGCAGGCAGACTATTGAAGATGGTGAAATTATTATTCAGCGATAACCTGGATGTTTATGGAACTAGATTTGTGTATGCAACAGAGACCTCAGGATCAACCGGTGAACCTAAGACCGTATTTGTCCCAGAAGAATCTGTGTACTCGAACGTGGACTACTTTATGTAAGGCGGAAGATAATATCGTTTCTTATGCATGGCTGTTAATACTCAAAAATTATCTTGTTTAGGTCACTTTTTCATTTAACATGCTCTTCACGGTTGATATGGTCCACTGCCTTAAGTTTTGATCCGTCTTTGCTTGAGCTGTTGTTGTGGTACAAGGCTGGTTGTCATCTTTATGTTCTCACCGATAATCAAAGGACCAATATCCAAATGACGAAGAAGCTGTTAATCAAAGCGAAGCCTGATTTTTACCAAGTCACTCCTGCAGTACTGAACCTATTCGATGCTGACTTTTTGAATGAATTGCTTAGCTCGACCAAAATTGTGAAGAATCTGTTAGTCGGCGGGGACACTTTCCCTGTTAGGCTTATCAAAAGGTATTTCAAGTGTGGTGGACCTAAAATCTATAACGTTTATGGTGTCACTGAAATGTCTGTGTGGGCGTCTTGCACAGAATTCGACCCATTGCGGTAAGGAGTTATTAATTCGCACTTTCTTTTATTGCTTTCAGTGATAATTTGGCTGATGCATCCAATTCTTTGCCGGATACCGAAGTCATTTTTGTTAAGGAAAAAGGTGTTATTATTAAAAGTGATCGTCGATTTTGCTTTGTAAATAATGAGAAGTGCAATGTTATTGTAACTGACGATCAATTTCAATCTTTTGAGGAAAATGGAGTAACCAAGTATAATATTATTGGAAGGGTAAGCCAATCAGTATAATGCAATAAAACGTTTTCATTGCAGAAGAAAATTCGAGGTCAAGCGATTAGCCGAGATGTGGAGGATTACGTCATCAAGACATATGATTATATAAAAGATGCTCGGATGGTTATATTCAATGATTTTATATACCTATTTGTTGTTACTACGGACGGCAAAAAAATTGGAATAATCGCTGGATACAGTATCAAGAAGGTGTTTTATATTCAACAGTTGCCTCTAAACAACAATGGTAAGTCGTAAGTCTTCTAACACGATTAGGGATCTCTTTGGTACAGGTAAAGTGGATGATTTAAAGTTAGAAGAGCTCATTCGAAATGGTATTGTCAATGAGGAAAGTGTAATATCCAGGTACCTTCGAGAAAATTACATCGAGGACAAGTCAATTCCTTTCTGGACTCTTGGGTTTAGTTCAAATGACATCTTCGAACTTGTAAATGAACTCAGCTTGAAGTTTAGAATGGATTACCATAAGATTAAGGAGACACTTTTTAATCCTGGAACGACATTGAAAGATGTTTGTACATTGATCAAAGGAATTGAGGGTAATGCAAATAATACTCAGGGATTGTTATTAGAAGATGAAATGACTTTGAATTTGAAATGGGAATTAAAAATGGAGAAGTGTGTAGATGCCACGCCTGTTATTCATAACGAGTAAGGTGTCGATTATGACTTAATATAGCTTATTTATTTCAGACACATAGTTGCTGTAGATATGGCTGGCTTGGTGACTTGCTCTACCTTGGATGGGGAAAAGAAATGGGAAGTGAAAGAAGAGGCGGCAATTAAAATATTGCCTCTTGTTACTGACGACATTGTAGTGTACGGTAAGTTCGAATGTCATGAAAATATTTAACTTAGGTACAACTTCCGGGTTATTACATGTTAGAAGATTGTGTGGAGATCTGCTATTCAAAGTCGAATTGGAAAGTCAAATCTCTTCAACTCCTGTAGAGCTTGATGATAGAAGTATTTTAATAACCTGTTTTACCAATAGAATATACCAATTAGATATTCCCTCCAAGAATTTGAATACATTCTTGGAGTTGGATGAAGGTTCTAAAATACGAAATCCCCCACCATTTGACGATGCCTGTTTGATTGTGGCCACAATCTCCGGTGATGTCCTTGCTTACAGTTCTCCTGATTTGACATTGAAGTGGATGCAAAAATTGGATGAACAAATTTTATTGCCTTTACATGTTTTCTCCAGAAAAATCTTGGCTTTTTCAGTAGCCGGAAGAATTTTCGTTTTGCAAATTGAATCGGGTAATATTGTAAGTGCATGTTTTAGCTGATAGTATTTTTATAGTTGCAAAGTTTGAGTTTGAAAACTCCATTTTTCTTATCTCCATGTTTGTTATCGTCGAATTTGTTTATTGCTGGTGGATCTGATGTCATCCACAGGATTGATCTTTCTGACGATAAGTTAAAGGTTTCGTCGACCACGATTGGAGGAATTAAGCTTATTTCCGGCCTTACTTTCTGTGAAAATACTGGGAAAATTTTAGTCAAGAGCTCGATGGATCGGATGTGTAAGAGATTTCAATTTTTTAAATTTGGATGTTTAGGTTAAAACCATGTTGATTTATCGAACTTTCAGGTTCAATATTATCATTTGATCCTCAAAACAATGCAGCAAAGATTCTTGCCCGGCTACAGTATCCATCTTTTGGTGATATCGCCATCAAAAATGGGATGATTATTTTGGGAAACCGACTGAACAGCATTCAATGTTTTGCCCTTTCATAATTTGCGTCCATGTGAGTTGCAATCTCAATTTGTTATTTTTAAAGTATCAAGATTTTTAATTTCCATTGTATATTATTTATATCATAAACATCGTTGATCACTTGATACTTGATAAAAGATTACCGCCCTTTCGATTTGAGGGAAGATGTCATCAAGAACAAGTGCCTATCCCAAGTGGTGGCGGTCTATAATTAATAGTATGGTTATTTGTGCTCCCGCCTGTCGGATCTCATCTTATCCTTTCCCTTCTCTTGTGTTTTTGCGGTTTTTTTGTTCGCAGCTCACGGAATTTCTTTTTTTCGTCGGGAGAGTGGTCTGAAGTGACCTCCTTATGTCAGGCAACTGTTCGGTGTCACTTTTCCTCCTCTATTCCCGCCGCCAAATACTCAAATTTGAACGCTTCGAACACCTGATATTTGAATTTTTGACTTCGATCTAATAATTAAAATCGAGTTCGAAGGGGTAAAGGGGTAGAAAGCAGCTTTAGAGGGTAGTTAAGATTATTATTTCGAATTTGAGAGTAGTGGGCAGCAGTTTGATGTCCATCTGTTGTTTATTTTTGTGTTGTCAGTTCAGGGAATTCGACTAACTTCCTGGTACTTTTGTCCTTTTCCCTCCGCACGTTCTTTGTACCATTATCTTATTTTGAGTGTCTAGTATAATGTGAAATCACGTCTTCTGTGTGTCTTCCATAATAGACAAACTGTTTTGTAACTATTATACCATGTATTATGACGAATGCGACCCGTATCCACACGTTTCCCATCCTTATTGTTGTTAGATGATTAATTCTGCATTATTGCAAAAAATGAAAATATTTTGTTCGAATTTTATCGGAAATAATAAAATATTGGAGATGGAGGAGAAGGTGCGGTTTTATGGAAGGATAGCCTGAGGGCAGAGAGCAGTTACCTTGATCCGAATTAGCTCTCTAAATTAAGGATATCCCCTTTCTTTTACGTTATTCTCCCCCATTGGTTATACCATGTTATTTTTACTCGAAATTAGATTACTTTTCTTACGTAGTAAGGCGGTCATAAAGGGCCAGTCAGCTTTTTCAAGACCATGGGTTCCATTCAGACTGTTTATCAGTTTCATGTAGGAGGGAATTGCGTCCTTATTTTGTACTGGAAGAGATTTTTTAGCAACTGAATTTAGGGTTGAAACATTAAGGGATTCGATTTCTCTCATTATTACGTTGGCTTTTCTTTTTCTACTGTATTCTATAAATAACTGGGGCCCAATTTGACCTTTCATTTATGCCAAAATTGTGGTAGTGTAATTTTCGGTAATTCAAATGCCAGTTTTTGATGTTTGATTATAAGAAAATGGATAGAAAATGTCAATATCTACTGACAGCCGGACTTTGTTGCGTCACTACCGTAATTTTAGCATAATTTCGTTGTTTACGAGCCCTGTAAATTGTAAGTTTTCCACGAGGATTACGTCTCTTTCCATCCTTATTTGCATATTATTAGTCTTACTATGTCAGAAAAGAGGAAATTTATTTGCGGACCTTGGAATTGAGTTGATCCTCGAGACCTTATTGTTACGGATCGCACAGTGGGATGCAGAAAGTTGATCGAACACCTCGAGACCATCAATAATACATTTATCGAGGCCTCCATTTCGAGGGAGACCGTTCCAAAAAAGTGGGAACGGCGGTTTATCTGTTCTGAATTTACCAAAGGTTGTTTGATGAGTCAGAACAGGAACCCTCGCCTTCCATACTAGATACTGGCCTGTGTTTTTCCACCCAAAATTAGCGCTTTTTCAGTCCAGCTGCGTCTCATTTGTGGCCTTGTTTGGTATCGAAATTTAATTTCTTTCCCAGCCCCATATCTGATGCCGTTCTCGTGAACGTGCTCTGAATAGTGTGTGGGTAATGAAGGTAATTTGACAGTTGATTGGGGATTAGGGATTAGAGATCGCTGTTTACATGGGTTATTCGGTAATGATGACAATTATGGAAACTGTAGGTTTTTGCGATCCCGCCACCAAGGGCTGACCCTTTGGATTTTTGTTTTGTTCTGTCATACGTCGTGACATGCTGTCGAGGTCCCACTCTTATTTACCCCGCATTCCAACGCAGCGATTTGAATAATTTAAAGCGTTCGATCGGGCCTCGGAAAGGCCGCAGGGCCTCCGCGGGTACTCAATCTTGTGCTTTACACTAAGCGGAAGCCGAACGGAGCGACTTCTTTGGCCCGGAGACTCCGGAAACCGGCTTCAAATTGCCGTGAAAAGGAAGGCTTTTTTTTATATCGAGATTTCGAGAAAAATGGCCCTTATTATGTCTTTACTCTGGTATGCTCGAATCATCCGGTTCCGGCCCCTGAATCGGGTCTGATTTTTATTTATTCTTCGGACTCGTTACTCGCGTCCCATGCTTTTGCTCAAGTGTTTATCCTATTTCCAACATGATTTGCACACTTTTCAGAGTCCAAGGGTCCTTTCTTTACTTCTTGTCTCATTATTGTATTTTTCTTTTACAATTTAAAATTTGCACGCCAAACTTGTGGATACATCCTATTCAAGATGTTTAGTCGGGTTCGAGTCCTTTGGTGGATTCAGCCATGTGGAATACCGGGTCTTGAAAGAAAGTTGGCCTTCCTGTGATGAGAGTCAGTTATTAGTCTTACAGAGACCAGAAACGCGTTTATTCCTTCCAGACAGACCGAACCCAGGCCATTTCCATGGTCGATTTATTATCTTTGGTCTGATTAATAAAAGGTTTTATTGTTTGACCCGCATGGCCTTGTTTGATGACTTCCCGATCTCGGTTCCGGTCGCAGCCAGCACTTCTTGGCTCTCAATCTCTCCATTTTATTTTCCCGGTCTTTGTTTTTCCTTTCATTTCCCGCGTAAATTCCTCAAGATTACTGTAATTAACTTTGTTTAAAAACTTACAGTAATCCCCATTTATTTTCTGCTCTAGTCCGTATCGATATGTCAGAGAGCGCTTAACTTTTGAGGTCGAGCGGAACCGAGTATTATTCGAGAGTTATTAAGGGTCTCTCAGCCCTCTCTTTTCAGATGCAAAGCTTCTGAATTCTCTTTTTGTATTGTTTTGGATCAGAGAAAAAACCGTAATCGCGACGTTTAATGACTCTCGGGAGTTCCGAAGCCTTCCTTCCATCGTATCAAATATCGCCGCGTCAACATCAGATCCCCGATGACATCGATCTGGAGGGCGGGACCTTGATTAGTGTGGAGGAGGTAGGGTATAATTGAGTTGCTAAGATCACATTAAACCTTTTCGTTCACTCCTTTATACTCCTTTAAGTAACTTACTCCATTCATTGGACTTCCCTTGAGGGCTTCTTCCCAAGCGAAATTCCAAAACTTTTCGGGAAGACAAAAGAGACGATAGTATCAGAAAATAGGGCATTTTGAATTGCACTTTCGAGTTGAGGAATGCCAAATCTGATTAGAAGAGTCTATTTAAGTGGCCCTCAACTTTTACTTTAACTAAATGTCTGACTTGCAGTTCGAAGAGGTTGACCCGGTGGACAAATGCAAAGTTTATGTGACCAGATACAACGTGCAGTCAGCGGACGGAACAGAAGAGAGTACGTTCACAAAGAAGAGGAAGATACGAGTAAATTGTACGGAGAGTGTGCAACGGATCGAATATTCGAAAGGAAAGGAATCCAAATTCGAGGAGGAGACCTTGGTTTACAATCCGATCGAAGCCCTGGGAGCGAGGAATGAGCCCAATGATCTCAGACTTATCAACAGCTATGGAAACAAGGCAAATATATAATGTTATTAATGTAATCACCTGACTTTCAGGACAACTTCAATCAAGTCTTTATGCAGACTCAAGACCAGTTGATGCAACTGATCCAACAGAAAAAGAATAATTATGTCGACGCGTTCCCCGAACTCTTCGCGAATCTCCGATCTCAGCCCGCCGTTCTTGGAGACAGTCCCTCTACTTATCAAGAAGTGGTTGTGAATCCAGATGGATCCACCACTGTGAGAACGAAGTCGTCAAAAGCATTTTCCTCACATTACACCAGACAAGAAACCTATCTAAATGGGGTCAAACAGGATACCAAGTGCAAGTTCAGAGCGTTTATGGAATATTCAGGACCTGAGGGTGGATTTAAGATCAAAGTGAAAGACAATCCGGATGATGATTTATCCGAGGATGAAGGCGAAACTGATTCTTTATCATTGATCAGCAGACTGAGCAGATCATGGTTGGTTTATTGATTCTTTAGGTCACTGCAGAGGACAATAAGAGTAATTGTAATCTTTTTAAGTCTCTCTGATATCCACGATTCTCTATCAGAAGTCCCGGATGATCGCTCCGCTCTTGTTGTTCATGACAAACATGCCCCCTCCATTAAGCGAGAACCCCTCAAGCGACATGAAAAAGCTTGGCATGCGGTAAATGAACTGGTGGAGAGTGAGAATAGATACGTTCAGAAGTTATATCTACTTGAGAGGGTAGGTAAACCTCTTCTTTTGTTCAATTTTTATAGTTTCGGGAAGAGATGGAGGCGGAAAAGTTGTTGGATAAACGTCAGATGGCTATGTTGTTTGCGAATACATCGAGTTTATATCGGTTTCACAATGACCATCTGCTTCCTCAACTCATGGACAGACGGAGGGAATGGGCGAATACAAAAAAGTGAGTATAATATCACCAGGATAACACAATATTTTCTTTTTAAAGAATCAGCGATGTCATCAAAAAACAAGGACCGTTTTTAAAAATGTACTCGGAGTATACAAATAATTACAAAAACGCCACAAATGTGTTTGATGAAACGATGAAACGAAAAAAGAAATTCGAAAGTATCGTCAGAAAACTTGAAGTAAGTTCGGATTACTGTAGCTTATTTTATTTGTTTTCAGAAACTACCCGAATGTGAGAATATGAGTCTGGTCTCGCATCTGATCTGTCCCGTTCAACGAGTCATGCGATATCAATTATTATTGAAAGAGTATCAGAAGTATTTGGAGTATTCGGATCCGGATTATGGGGATACGGAACAAGCTCTGGAACTTGTAGTTGGAGCTGCATCACATGCCAATGAAATGATGAGGAAGTTGGATCGCTATAGAAATGTTCTGGAGGTCCAAGAGATGTTGGGCGGTTCCATTTCGTTGGTCTCTCCCTCTAGGGAATTACTCAAACGTTCAAAATTAATGAAGATCTCATCGTCTACCGGGAAATGTGAAGAAAGATTACTGTATGTCTTCAATGATCTCATACTCTTGACCAGTGAAAGGACCATCGGCTTAGGGAGCAAATTGAAGTTAAGGGCTTTGTTTGATCCGCTGTACACTCAGGCAAGTATAAAAATAAATTAATTCTGACATTATTGTAGCAATATGTAGTATACTTTTGGTTTTCAGATCTGTGAAGGGGATAATCTGGAGAGAGAACATTCCTTTTATCTGAGGGGTTCCGATCATGCTGGTGGGCCGTCCAGATGCGTCGAATTGTTCTGTAATACTCAAAACGACAAGGCCAGTCTTATTGACACCATCTGGGCGGTCATAAGTGATAGTCATCAGCGGAGAAACTCATTTAAAAGATCGGTGACTCCGCCTGTATTAGCAGCATTAACGGATGATAAAAAGAGTTGTGCCAAGTGTGACGAAGAGTTCCCGTGGTATGCCCGGCAGGGGGTTCAATGTGGTCAATGTCATCGGAAGTACTGTAAAAAATGTTTTAATCCGAATGGGAAGAAAGCAAGGATATGTGATCAATGCGGAAGCGTAAACGAAGAGGTGAGATACCAAGAAGACTGTTAGCTATAGTGAATAATTAATAATACTTTATTTCTTTCAGATCGAGAATACCAACAAATATGTGACCCCCAGCAGACAGAATGTGCTGGATGTCCCTGCTATGGGTAACGATGACATTATCAAACAATCCAAAGTCAAATTAAAGTCTAGTACAGGGAAGATTTTGGAACGATATTTTGTACTTCGAAAGAATTTCTGTCTCTTCTCTTACAACTCGCAAAAAGTAATATTTTTCGCCTTTTTGTTGGCCCTAATTTGAACAGTACAGTATTGATCAATTCTTTCGTCTTCAGGATTCATGTGCATTATGTATGCTCCCAATTCCTGGATGTGACGTGGCCCCAGACAATGAACATCGAGCCTTGGTCATAAGACATTTGAAGAGGGCCTATACTATCATACTGGACAACGACACTGATCATGCCGAATGGATGGCCGCCCTGGTCTTATCGTCCAATGCAAGAATCCCAGGAGTCGACGAAAAATAAAAAAAAACACAGAACCCGCCTCATACGATCTTCACCACAATTAGACCTCCAGGACACCTAGTCATTCCTCTTCACTTCCCGGCATTACTCCCAAGATATGTATACTTACTCCGACAGTCAATTCTTTGCCATAACCATTAAAGTTTATCAAGAAATGTACAAATTAAATAAACAATGACTATTTACTTGGCCAGCCATTTGTTTCGATCGATGGACTGGCTCTGATTCTCCTTGGATTCCATTATTTCTCGGAGGAAAGGAACGTGGTTATACCCTGGGGGCACCTGATGACCGGTTGAATTGGAATAAGGAACATGTTCCAAGGAAGGCGTTAACTTTGGCTTCAGAAGCCATTCAGAATCAGATTTCTTGATGACAGAGACGGTAGGAGAAGACAAGCAAAGGCGGGATGACAGTTTCTGGCTTATGTCTTCAACACTGGTCGAGGCTGGAGTTTGTAAAAGCCATTTCTTGTTTTCTGAGTCCTGGATCTCTCGAATCACATTTCCAAATTTGAACTCATCAGTATGAGAAGTCACTGATGGAGGTCTGAAGGCATCCATCGGAAGAGAATGATAAGAATCGCGTTTAGAAAAAAGTTGAGGGGCAGTTGGTGTCTGACAGTCTTCACGGAGCCACTTATTGTTACTTGAGTTTACAACCTAAACGACGGAAACTTATTTCATCTATCATTGCAACATAAAATCAGTTCATAATCTTATTACGCACCCATCAATCAAAATGTTTTAATAATTTAAAAGTGGTGAGACTTTTGCATTGCAAAATAATTGATAAAGAATTATTTCAACGCGCCTCATAAAAGTGTTTTGTTGAAATTCCCCTACCTGATCGATATAAGCGCCGACAATGGGGAGACTCTTATCAATGAGTGCTGGGTCGATTACCTCGAAAGAACAGTTCGAATCTTCGCTCGCCGTACTTTGAGAAGATTCTTTGTCCATTGGAAGTTTCATGACGGACTTATGAGACAAGAAGTCATCTTCATACATTTCCATATCCATTGGCAGACTCTCCAATTGATTGTGTACGTCTGTAAAGAGCTTCCCAAACGTAGAAGTAACCAGACGAGATTCAGTTGAATCAAATTCGAAAGCAATACTGGGATTGCCTTTTGGTTTAAGACTCAGCGCATTAAGCCTGAAAATCAAATCCATTACCGTATTTCAATAGTAATCTCCACATAATTGATAATACGGGATGTAAACAAGCCAGACAGAGAGATAAATAAAGCAATGTGTTTACTATTTTGTAGACAAGAACTAACCGAATCAATGCTTTTTCGACGGATGCCAGGTTCTCCTCTCCAGTGGCCTTCATTGTCTCCAGACTGTTTTGACAAGCTCCTAAATCACTAATAACATCATATTCAGACCACATACCAATAGCTTTACTCAATACATCCTGTTGATCGCTGAAGCTTTCCTCTCGAACTCCGACAACTTGGTCCAATTGGCCCAGCAATTCCTGTTCTCGAGCCCTCAGGCAAGATATCTGATGCTTCACAGCACCCGCGATATCCCTCCTGACCTTCTCGGCATTGGTTCGGAGTTCGGCCTTCATTGAGGAAATACGGGCCACAGCATTCTCCAATAACATCAGCTTCTGGTTCAGACGCTGCTTCATAATCTCAGCCATTGCGGACGAAAAACTGATAAAATCCCCCGGGGCAATGGTGTTAAAATATCGAAGAGTACGTGACTGTTCGAATATTTCTAGACACACCGCTTATCAGTAATAACAGGAGGCGTCGCAGCCAAAGCTTTAACGATTTTTCTGCTTTAATGAAATTGCGCAGACAAAGGAAGACTTGACCGAGTCATCTCTCTTCAGTTCGCATTGAAGAGAGGCTACAGTGTATGCTAGTGTATAGAAGCCGAATGCTCATAAAAAACAATAGAAATATTTATTTCTGCCAAATCATTGATGAAATAAATAAGTTCTCTTGTACGGAGCCTTCAAGATGCTGAATTTCCGGCAAACCGAGTATTCGCGAGCTAAGGTAAAGTAATCAAAAGTCAGTCAATCATCGTAAGCAATCATCATAGAACCAAAACTCACATAATTTGCCAGTTTTTTTGCAAACACCTCCAAGACATGAATCACACGGTCAACTTCTTCCACAGAATAGATTCCATCAACAACATCATTGTGGCAAATCAAGGCTGGCATACTGCACACTTTGTTAATCGACTCAATACGTTCCAACAAAGCTTTCACACACTACAATTATCATTATCCGCATAGAAAAAGTCATACCAATTCGTAACTTTCGGTCAACTCTACCACACGATATAAGGCATTGGCTTCATTTTTCCAGGGAAACGAAGATTGCTAAATATGAATAAGGCATATATTCATGGCCGAGTATACCTGATCCCTCTTCTCCAATCGATCCAATCTTTCAACGATTTCTGCCAACAATCGGAGATGTTTATCCTTATATTGAGACGAAGGCGGATTCAAGGAAGGTACTGTGATCTCAGAAGACGCTCCTTCCCGACAAAAAATCATGCCGTTCAACTTCCAAATCTTTCTGATTAACTGAAAAATATGATTAGTAGCTACGCACCAAAGGAATTGTGATTACAAGATTGATCCTGTTGCGGGAGCAATTGTGATGTTCTGCGAAAATTTTCTTCAGCTCTTCCACAGCTTGCCGATCGGTGTCCCTCTGACAAATCTTCTCCTAGAAATAAGTGAATATGTATCCTGTTCTTCCTACTTCGAGTGATTGGATCAATGTGAGGAGCTTTACCAAAACCCTGATGCGATCACTTCCTTGGAGAACTTCGTTCGAATTCATCTTTGGTCCCTTTTTTGGACTCGCTTTTGAACATGCCGGTCGAGGCGCTGGATTCATGTCAAGATATCTAGAACAGCCTTCAAAAGAACAGCTAGATCAAGTATATTCAAACAAAACAAATGGAGAAACTAAATTTATTTTCATTTTTAAAAGTCTAAAATGAAGAAAGTTCACAGCAAAAACTTTGAAGAAAAGCCGAAATTTTCATCACACCGGGGCCCCGTGGGGGATACTGTAGGAGCCTCGTTATCGTCCTGGTTTTAAAAGAGCTCCAAGCTTGAAAGATGACTAACACACCACCATCTCAGAATCCTGTGATATTTTGCATAGTTGTGTACTAACATAGCTCAACATCAGTACAAATTTTAAATTTCGAAAATTACAAATACGGGGTTTACGGTAGCTATAACTTTCAGAAATATTATATTAGGAGGGAATGAAAAAACCCTTGGGAGTAAAAACAAAACTTCACTGTTTTACGTTTTCAATCATGAGGTTGAAGTGGTCGTACTTTAAATGTTGATCATACAGTAAACCTCAATTTTATCTTGGCTAAACTTCACGTAGATTACGTATTTCGAAAACAAAATGTATTGCTTTGTGTAAGGTGTTCGGCTCTCAAAAACAATATTTCCCTAGGAGGTTCAGTCTAAGCACGCTGTAACATATCCAAAACCGAGCAGATAACTGGTTACTGTAACAGCAAGATAATCCAAAAATGTTCCCCACCCAACGTTGACAAAATTTTTTTTTCCATTTTTTGTGTGTTGTACACAAATTGGCGTGATGCAGAATTACATTCATTTTCTCCGAAAGAGTCGCAGATTGGTCGAAAATACGTTTATTACGGCGTAGCAACGTCATTGAGGCTTTTGAGGTGATAAGTTTAGACGTAGACTGTCTCATATGTGATGTAAGTAGTAATCAACCGTGTTTCAAACCGGTTTCTTGTTTGTGTCTCTACTCTAATATCGAGTGTAATCTTAAATTAATACGTATAAACATTTTTATCTATAATTTTATCAGTTTGTTACAATGACCTCATGCATGTAATGGGAATTTCAAATTTTCGAAGTCTTAAATTCGCAATTTTGCGCTTCGAGACCAAATCCGAGTTTGAATTTTCGCCAACTTTCCTACTGTAGAGTTTTTTTTTACTGGATTGAAATGAGCGCACTTTTTTCGGAACGGAGAGAAAGAGCCGGGAAGCCGGAGGATGCGAGAACGTTGGAGTAGACACACTCGGGGTGATGATTTTAGAAGGGAGCGGCGCAGACTTGGAGGGCGCAGAGAGTTCCGTGGCGGTTTGTGCTGTCTGACGGGGGGTGACTGAGACCTTCAATGAAAGTTTTTTCTTTCCCATCGCCGGATTCGTCGAACCGTCGTTCTGTTCGTGCTGGGGGATTTGGGTGCTTTTCGGATCGTGAATACCTTTCTACATTCTTATGTCTATCTTCCTGAATTCTTAAATCTCTTAATTTCAGTCTGTTTCGGGTGTCCTGTTTTCTTATCCAATTTCCACACAGTCCACATTGAGATGGCATTGAAGCGTATCCAGAAGGTAAGTAATTTCTCGATATTATCTTTGTTGGTTTTTAGGTATTGATGGATTTTTTCTTTAGGAATTACAAGATCTTGGTCGTGATCCTCCCGCACAATGCAGCGCAGGTCCAGTTGGCGATGATTTATTCCATTGGCAGGCAACCATCATGGGTCCTCCAGAATCGCCATATCAAGGGGGAGTTTTCTTCTTGACCATCCATTTCCCCACTGACTACCCTTTCAAGCCACCCAAAGTCTCCTTCACCACACGGATTTACCACCCTAATATTAACAGTAACGGCAGTATTTGTTTGGACATTCTTCGCTCACAGTGGTCTCCTGCACTGACTATTTCAAAAGGCAAGTTACAAGGATTTTTTTTGTATTGGTATGGGTTAGTGTTATCGATTTTCGTTTATCTGGATCGAATGCGGGTGTCAGTTGTTAGGACAACTTTGTATTTTTTTGTTTCACAAAATTTTTCCAGAAACTAATGTATTTTAGAGCTGATTCTGGGGATTTTATCTAATTTTTGTTTTATTTTAGTCTTGCTCTCTATCTGCTCCCTGCTTTGTGATCCCAACCCAGATGATCCACTTGTGCCTGAGATTGCCCGCATTTACAAAACCGACAGAGACAGGTACAACACCCTGGCACGCGAATGGACGCAGAAATATGCGATGTGAGGAGGAATGACATGTTCGATCGGGTCTATAAAGGAGAAAACACTTTTCCAACGATCGAATCCTTTATCTCACAAGTGTTTTCTCCTCTTTTCCCTGTGTTTTGATCATCTGTAAGGAATTTCTTCCATTGTTACGGCAACTTTCTCCTTGTCGTTCAATAAATCCTGTTCTTTAATTAACTCTTATATTATAATTTGACTTATAATTTGGGCAAAGTAAATATTATTAATACATTACTCTACTCTGGAGGTATGTTCCCAGGTCATGAATGAGACCAGCCTTCCCTGGCTGCCTGATACTGAGGGGTCTGAGTATCGGTTTCTATTTCCGCGCATATTTGAAAGGGCTCTTTGGGAATAAGAAACTTTTGTTTAGATGGCTGAAGTAAAGTTTGTGCCATTCAAGTTGTTCATTGACCCTGCCTTTTGGTCTGAAATAAATCGAAGAAGACTGGACGAATGGCAATTGGAATGTCCGGAGCTTCCGATAAAGGCTGGATTCGATTTCAGTAGGTAATTCTTGAAGTAAAGAATTGTTGTAGCGTCCAAGAAAGGTAGCAGTTGCCCACTGTCAATCTCATTTGATGCTTTGAATGGCCGAAAAGATGTGGACACTTTGGCGATTGGAAAGTTCAAGTTGTTCGGCACTTTGAAAGACTTTCAGAATCTCGACAGGAAAGCTCTGAGTTCGGAATTGAGAGATAAAGTAAGCCGACTGCTTCTGTATAATTTCTACTTTTTTAGTTATGGGATAATGTCAGGAATTTCAAAACCTCTGAACTCTCACCGTTCTATGTTGCTGCTTTTGCCGTAAGTTGTAATCGGAGAGATTGATTTTGTTGTCTAGGATCTGAAGCAGTATTTGTATTATTATATCCTCTGTGCTCCTGCGTTGGCTTTCCCAGCAGCACTGAAGAGGTCATCTACAACTGAGAGTCCCGAAGCCCACGTCCACGCTAAGGCTTGGCAATATTTCAAAGATACTGCACAAACCGCGTCTTTGCTACTTGAGAATTCTTCTTCGATTATTCCGTTAGAGAAGTTAAAGGAAGTCAATGGCCCGGTTACTGTAGTATTTCTGAATCCGACTTCTGTCCCGGAACATCTCGGTTGGACAGCGAGAAACTTGTTGGCATTGATTGCGTATTCAAGGTTAGAAAACCCGATTCTATTATGACATTACATTTTTTAGACCCGATTGGACAAATATCAAGCTATTAGCGCTAAGGAATACGGTAGAATCGTCGTTCTTGGTCGATATAAGTTGGTCTAAGCCTGACTTAAAAACTGCTCCAGAAACCGTTGGGTGGCAAAAACCGGAGCTTATATCACTGAAGAATGTCTTTGATCCTGTTAAGTATGTTTTTAACCAAATAATTCTTTTATTGTAGGCTGATGGAGAGTGCCGTTGACATGAATCTTAAACTGGTACGTTGGCGGTTAGTTCCTGAACTCAAGTTGAGTAATCTAACCGATCTTAAAGTCCTCATAGTGGGAAGTGGAACACTCGGGTGTAATTTAGCTAGAAACTTCCTCGGGTGGGGAGTAAAACACTTCACATTCATCGATAACTCGGTTGTTTCGTTTAATAATCCAGTCAGGTAAGGCAATTTTCAATTTTCATTTGTTGTTTAGACAATCTCTATTCACTTTCGAAGATGCCAAACAAGGAAACAAATCAAAATCACTAACTGCCGCCGAGTCGTTAAAGAAGATTTATCCGAGTGTTTATGCCGAAGGATTGGAGATGAAGATTCCAATGCCTTCGCATCCCATTTCTGAAAAAGGTCGGCTCATATACAAATCTGAATGACGAACATATTTTTTAGAACGAGAGGGAGTCAAGAAAACAGTTAGTGAGCTATGCTCACTGATCAGAGAACATGACGTGGTATTCTTGGTAATGGATAGTCGGGAGTCGAGATGGCTACCAACACTCCTCTGCACTCATTTTGGAAAAGTACGAATATAACGACAAGTTGACTGATTCGATTTTATTTTGGAATTAATATTTTTTGTTTAGCTTGCGGTTACGGTAGCCTTAGGGTTTGACTCGTTTATGGTGATGAGACATGGAGTGCGTACTGCGAAACATACCAAAATAACCGAGGAGTCCGAAGTCCCGGGCTCCGAATTGGGATGCTACTTTTGCAGTGACGTCACTGCTCCAGGAAACTCGATGGAAGATCGAACTCTCGATCAGAATTGCACCATAACGAGAGCTGGGATCTCGGGAATTGCTTCCGGAATGGCCGTGGAACTGGTCGCTTCTCTAACCCAGCATGACCTCGGAGCAGGAGCTCCAGCTCTGAAGATGTCAGTAGATCACAACTCAACTGTCCTCGGAGGTACCCCTCATCAGATCCGCGGGTTTATGTCCACATTCCACTTCATGACGCCCACTGTTCGCCGTTTCGACCGGTGCACTGCCTGTGGCGACAACATCCAGAACGAGTTTGCAGCCAACGGGTTTGACTTCCTGGAGAAGGTATTCAATGACAGTTCCCATCTTGAGAACATTTCCGGCCTGAGAGAACTTCAGGAATCGGTGGATAAGGTCTCCATTGATGACATTGACCTTTCTTGTACAGACTCTGAATAATTTACAATGCCATAACGGGTTTTTCATATTAAATAAGTTTATTGAAAGCTGTCTCAATATCCGTTTCTACTCCGTTTCATCGCACTTTCTCTGATCTCCCGTCCCAAAGAATTACAATCGACCTTGTTGAATTTCTTTATCGCGTTTTTGAACACCTGAAAGTATCATATTTTTGGTCGTTCTAACATGATTCCTACCTTATCTTGTTGCCATGGTAAGAGTAATCGGGCCTTGAGGATGTTATTCATCTTGTTGTCAGTCATGATAAGATAATTTTGTGGTCCTTTCCTCACTTTCTGTGGGCAATGACATTGGTTTACCTTCCCATTCTGATCAGTTACTTGGATAATATCACTCGGTCTCAAGAATTTGTGGTTATCCTGCGCTTCTTTATCTTTTTTTGCTGCTAATCGAGGCTTAAAGACGCGCTGGACTCGATGGATCTTGAACAGCGTTCCATTCAGTACACTTAACTTGGCTTTGAAGACTGTAACGAATAATGTCTGATGGAAAGATTATTTCCTACCAGTGTTGGAACTGCAGAAGTTGTCTAACAGATTCTCGAAGGTGGGGATCTGCACACAACTAGCACATTCTCTCTTGGATTCTGAAGCGAGGGCGCGTTGAGAGGTGGTGGTTGAAGGGGAGTTAGTAGTGGTAGTTGTATTCGGACTAACGGGAGGTAACACAGCAGCCAACGTACGTGAGTGTTTGATCTCTTCCGATGCCTGCGGTTTAATACACATGTCATTGTCCTCGGGGAACTTGGAACATCTCATCATCTCGGGCCAATCGAATCCATATTGTTTCATTCGAGGCTCACAACCCTGAGGCGATATTTTTGGGATGATGGGAACTTACTTGTTTCACCTTTTCACACAAAGATTTACAGGGATAAATGATTTTATCCACCTCGGAAAGACATACAGGCGCAAATAAAGAGCATAGAAACAACTTAAAACATAGATTACAGTATTTGAAAAGGAAATTACAGTACAGTTATTAGGTAAGCTTACTTTTGTCTCAGGATGGCAATGTAATCTGAGCAAACTATTCCACGCATCACTTTGCTGGATGGCTTCTTCTACTGTATCGTGTTCCAGAAGTGTCGGTAATCGCATGGAGTTATACTAAAAGCAATATTTTCATCAATTTTATTTAAATTATTTTTTTTCTACCGTAATCCTATCGCCTACCTGTATTCCATGACATAAGATAAAATTTGAAGGTATAGGAACACATCTGGGCCCATCCCTAGTCGACTGTCCAAAGGTGGACCAATCCTGCGTCAGATAATGTGACCGGGCCGTACCCAGTGCCAATCCCACAAGTACTACCACCTCCACAAACTGCATCTTGGAGTGATCCGAGGCAAGAGACAGACAGGCAGAGGAGTCCCAACTTATTGAAATCGGATCCGATTCGACTACCGGTAACTCGATATAAGGCTCTGAACGGCCAAGTGTTCACCCCCCGGCCGGTGATGGATAAGGCCCAGTGCACTCGGACATTATGATCCCCGGATCTATCATCTTCTATCTGGTCCTGACATCTCCCGTCAAGCGCGGCGTCTCTTTGATGATTCCGCCGCTCTTTCTCTGGAGGGTTGGGCGCCTCCAGAAACAAATTCATCTCGCTCAATTTTTGGCCCAAATGTTGGGTCGCGGCACTTACATTCCGACGCAATTTCATTACTGGTACAAATAGGCTTCTGCAACTTGGGGGGTACGGTCAAAATACACATTCGTTGAGAACAAAACTCAGCAGATATCCTCGAAGATTACGGTAGAAGAAAAACAGTGAGAATCATGAATTTCCGACTACTACATGGAACTGGCCCTAATTAACAATAAACTTCAATTCTTTAATTTTCTTGTACCATTTTTACTCCGTTCACCGGATCAAACGAGGAACTACAGATGTCACTACTGCTAAAAATGTAAACGTAACTGAAATGCCATCTAATTTTGGTGGATGGCTTCGTTTATGTCTCGTTATTCTGAATTCTTTTCTTTGGAACGGCTCTTTCGACTTGCTCTATCTTCTTCCGAGCAGGTAACAGAGTTATATTGAAAAACTGTCTTGGTTCATTAGCGAAGGTCAAACAAGTCGCTCTCTGTTCGTTTCCGTCACGTCGGAGGATGGAGAACAAGCCCTGCGGACAAGACTTTTGAAGGAGCGATAGAAGCTCTTCTCTTCGATATAACATGCTTCAGGTGAAAGTGGATTATCGCTCCATTTCTTTCCGGATATTTGTATTCATAAACTTCCCATAAAAGAAAATTTTTTGGCATAAACTTTTGGCTTCAGAGAGAACTCGCATTTACTTACATACATAAGAACGTTTATTAAAAACCAGATGTTTTTGTAAGTAAATGATTCTTATGTGATTTACAAATTACTTAGAGATGATTCTTATTTTCGACGCTCGGGGAATTTACTAATAAGTTATTTTACTTGAACCTAGGCTGAATTAGGTTCTTTGACTTGTGCTGCTCTGAAAAACTTATTGTTAGAATCTCTAAGTTTGCCCAAACGTACAAAAACACAAAAGCTCTTTACGCTAAACGTCACCTTTTCACCGATGATACAGTTCTGTGCTGTGAGTCAAGTCTGCCCTTTTATTTTCTAAATAAAAGCGCTAGAATTTGATATTATTGTTTTTGAAATTACATGTGACTATGAATCTAATCCGCTTTATCTCTGGTTTCACGCATCAGAGGTTCAGATTATATTACAACCGGCATTAATCTGGAGACTGTTCGTGCGTTATGACCCTTATCTTGTCAAAAATGTTTTAATTAGCCGCGGCTCAATACTTTTTTGCTTATAATGCGTATGATGTTATTTTTAGACATATGAGTGCAAATGGCTCAACAAAAGAATCAGAAGTAACAAAGGAATACTGTTTTTCTCCAGACCATTTTGGCAATCAGCCTCTGAATGATTGGATTTATGCCATCTGTGTAGTTACATTCGACCTTGAACTTGGTCAAGTTATCGAGGTAAGTAGCTGTCGTCTTGGATTTATGAAGTTTCAGTCAACGTATCCGAGGAATGTATTTCTATCAGAAACAACCAAGTCAAATATCTGTTATTTATCGTTTCCTGATTCAAATGCAACCTCATCTCAGGATACTTCATACCATTTTCGAGTAAAGAGCGGTGAAATTGAGTTGACAGAAGGATTGAAAGCCTTTTCCGACCTTGCCCCCATCTCCATAAGGCCATGTGAGCAGTTTCTTTTTGGATTTGTTCACTTTCGACAGCAAAAAAATGCAAACTTGGCCAGAGGTTACTACCAAAAGGTAATTTAAATTTATATAATTATGGAATCTGAATTTAGAGCGTCGTCATTCTCACCCATCTTCCACTCTTTACACTGTTTAATCACTTAGTGGATAGTGTAGCCATACCTTTCTTCGAATCGGGAGACGCGATCTTGGAAGCAGGTTTGTACCTAAAACCTGGAAAAACGAATATTTAGCAGCTCACCATGTTCGCGAATGGTCTCAGCCGATTCCGGGACAACTCCTGTTGTTGCCATGGATGGGAAATATCATTCAATGCCGGATTCCTTCCAAATCTGACATCCCTCAAGGGCATTTCACATTTGAGGCTAAAGTACGATCCTTGGCTTGTTGTTTTATCTAATTTTAGAATTGTTTGGATCCGTCGTGCGTTACATTGCCTTTGGTTCACGAAACTAACTTCTACGAGAGCACCAAATGTATTGTTGCTCATCTCCAAACTTTTTGGGAGTTGGTTTTGATATCAGAAGTAGGTGAAATGTCACTGAAAACTATTTTCTAGCCTTTGATTGTACTTGCATCAAGTCCGAGTGTATGCTCAAAGTTAGTTCAAAGTCTGGTCACTTTAATTTGGCCTTTGGAGTTCGGAGGAGACTATCGTCCATTGTTTACTATCCATGATTCTGATTTCAATCAGATTACTTCTGCGGTTCCAATGTAAGCTTTTCTGCTTCTCTGGAATTTGTTTCTTTAGTCCAAATATGATTCTCGGCGTTACAAATCCATTTTTCTCGAAGGCCCTCACCCATTGGCCGCATTTCCTGAGGGTCGGAGATGGATCCGCTGATCAAACATTGAGCATGGAACGGCTCTTTAAGAAGCTTTCGGAAGGAAAGAATCTCGACAGTAGACCGGGCCTTTACAGTGCTTACAAACCCTTCTTAAGTACGGATAAATCATTATTGAAGAAGCTTTTGAACCTTGGAAATAGACCTGATGTGGTCCAAACAGCTATATTACGAAGGCATTTCTTGGAGCTAACTCAAAGTTTTATGATTCCATTGGAAAGGTAATTATAATTCTTCTAAATATATTGACTGTTTGAATTTATAATTTTCGATATTATTCTAGGTATTTGTCCAGTCTAATGCCTCTTAAGAAGCATATCAACCCTTTTAAACCAATACCACAGATGAAAGTATTCGAATTGGACGAGTTTTTCCTCAGTTTGAAGAAGAATGGACCTCTTTTGACTTGCGGAGTAAAGGGAGATTGGTGTGGGCTCTACAGAAGATTCATCCGGTCTCCAAATTTTGAATCCTGGCTTCAGATGAGACTTAAAGATGTAGAACAACAACTTTCGACCATTCATCTGGATGTTCTCTGTTCGGCGGATCTTTCGGTTGAAGCTCTTCAAGATCGGAAACAAGTGGAGATTGTAGATTTGGTATTAAAATTGAATGAGAAGTTGGGTGTTTTGGATGAGAATAATGATACGGAGAAGAGACTGCGACTCCAGACTCAACTCAATAATGTAATGAATGCTGTGGACGAAGATCTAAAGCAAGTTCTCCTTTCCAATGTCAATATAAAAGCTTTTCGCAGTATTTGATGGTTATTTTAAGGTAGATTATTGTCACTATTATAGTAGCTCTGTACAGTATCCTCTTTTATTACGTGCTAAGTCTCTACTTACGAGGTTTTCTTGTTATTTTATCTCTTAAACATTTCGGAATCTTAACATCTCTTTTTTCATTATTTGGCGGGTCTCATAGGGTCAGTAAAAGTCAAGATATTACTTATTTATGTTGTGCTGATCCTTTAATCCGATATCCAAACGTATTACCCATAGGGTGAATTTGGTAGATTTTAAAGGCGTATTAATACAATAAATACGAAGTATTATCTACGTTTTCGAAGAATTTTAAAGATTGCGCAATCAGTTATAAAAAGTAGAGTAGGCACCGTGCGGTGAAAATGGCTCGAGTGCAAAGTGTGGATATCAGTTTCCGATTACGATAATTTTCAACAAATTTATGAACATCCCTATCTAACTACAAATAATCTTTACTGATCTCCATTTAAATTATGGATTCCTGAAGTTCATTCAGCGGTTGTTTCGCCTCAATTACATCCATCTCTGATGCCTTTGGAACCGCCCAATTTTGCGCTTCCCCTGAGGCCATGGTTCCGAAAATAAACCCTGACGAAATGATCAGAAGACTGATGATTAACATAATCGTTTGCCACTCTTCCGGTGTCCCATCAACTCGGAACATATCCACAATCCATGGACAGGCGATCATGCCGAATGAACCAACCAACATTGACATCGATGTAAGTGTTCCCGTGTGCAATGGAGCCAGTGAGAGAAGAGAGGTAAAGAAGCCAGAAGTCGCTGGCCCTAAGGCCAATCCCATCATAATGTAGAGCGCGCCGACCAGCTTCACTTTTTCGCAATCCATATTATATCTGACGATCAGCATCACTATACCGACCAGAATGCAAGCTGAAGATGTATCATAGGTAATGGAATCGATGTTATATACTTACAAAAGGACTGGGATACCCTTACACTGGTCGTTTGTGATATTTTACCTCGGATCTTGAGGTGGTCAATAAAAACTCCCCATAAAATCTTGGTCAGCATCTGGCCGAGATGCGGAAGAGCACTGTAAATTCCATTCTAAAGTGTTTTAGAGACAATCGCCCAACGTATTCCACTTACATCCATCGTTTTCAAATAATAGACCTCCTTAAAGAAGGATGGAGTGTACGAAGCAATGAACATCAAAAAAACGTGGAAACAAAAACTACTGTAGAGACAGGCGAGCAAGGGGACGGAGGTGAACATCTCTCTCCAGGGCTGCTTTATCTTCGCATGACCTTTGACTTGACGATGATCAGCGATATTCTCGACGAGATAGGCTTTCTCCGTACGGGAGATTACTTTCGATTTCTGAGGCGAATCTTTTCCCGTTAATAAGAATATTACGCACCAGAGGATTCCCATTAATCCTGAAAAAATTTAATAAAAAATCTTAAGACATTTTTAGTCAAGATTACAGTAGCTGATGTTCCTACCACACAAATAAAAGACCCCCGGCCATTTAACGGAGGAATCGCAGAAAGCCGCTGATATCGGGACACCAACAATCCCAGCGATCTGAAAGCCGGATGTAAACAAAGAACCGGCCTGAGAGAGCTCGTTCCGAGGTACCCATCGACTGATTATCCAATTGGCCGTAGGCAAGACGAACCCATCTCCAATCCCGTAGATAAAACGAGCAATGAAAACTCCAATAAAACCAAAAAATTCGGTTATAAATGGGATGGAGAATGTGGAGATAGACATGATCAAAACAGCAAGGAAGAGGGCATTTCGAGGAGAAAATCGGTCGGAAATATAGCCAGCAGGGATATTGCTGAGCATACAGCCCCAGAAGGAACTGGAAAATAGGAGATTCTGCATTCGGGGAGACCACAAAAGTTCGCCCTGAAAGGTCATCATTTTTGAAATTTGATTTAAATAATCTTGTGGGCGACATCTCGTAAAATCTTAAAAATGAGGCTATTTTGCTTCTTCTAATTTAATAACAAGTCGTTATACTTGGAAGATCATCACCCCTTACGCCATAATTATTTGCGGGTATGCCATCAGATGTGGTTTGGTTTACAAAACATCGATTTACATGATTATGCTTCTTGTAATCGACGTTCTGATGCTGTATCATAGTTACTGCAGTTGAGTTTACCATACATGTCATGGTCATGCCTAATCATAAATGGAAAATTAAAGTTCAAATATTCGAAGTTTGAATATTCAAAACTACCTACCCAGATTTGTCCTCTGATAGGAAGTAATCGCCCATCCCAGCATCAAAAGTAACACTAAGTGCATTCGATGTGAACATGGGTGGAAGAATGCTAGAAAAAATGCATGAAAACAAAGACTATAAATACCTTCATACTACTATAATATAAAAGGTAGTAACGGCTGACATTAATCGAAAAGTGGTTACAATTAAAAGTATGACTTACCATTGCTTCTGGAAGTCATTTTCTTCAAACAAGTTTAATGTAACAACCTAGAGAAAGTGGTAAGGAAGGGTGTGCACAAATAACGAATGAGAGAGGCCGAGTGTGGTACTACTATTTACCGCACTCTTTTACATTATTGGCTTTACAATTGTTAAATTATAATTCGAGCTGTAAACAAAACGCGAATCCTTTGAAATAATTTTAAGATGCAAGGTGATCCACTGAAAGTGCTTCCTGTAGAATAGTAAACTTGATCGTGGGAAAGCAAGAAACTTTATTCAATTCGAATGATAATATACGAAAAAATGATATAATTCCCACTTTTTTGTAGCGCAAAGAAAATAAATTGATAAGGAAGGGCAATCAATCGAGTAATCAATCATCAAGTAACACATCGACAGTATAAATTGTGAGTTTTAGAGCGACGAACCCTGTAATATCACGATTTTACAGGGTGTCACAAAAAAAACGCAACTCGTATTTATGGCTAGACGTCATTTAGCAACTCATGTTTAACAGCAGTCACCATAAATATCAGTAACAAAAATCTCCAAATGTGACTTACGATTAGATTTTGTGCACAGAGCCGCAACTTTTTTTGGGGAAATCGGTCGAGTTCTTGGCTCAGCGGTCACTTAGCGGCCACAAACATGTGTTGGCTCCAATCGAAAAAAAATATAGTCAATCGGATTAAGATCCGGCGAGTAGGCAGAATTTTGACCCCTTGATCCACGTCAAGCATGGATTTCTTGTTGCTGGCACAAAGTCTGTCCAGGCGGATTTTACCGTTTTCAACGTAAAATCCGTCTCATTAGTGTTTTATCAACATAATTTTTATAAATAATGGGGCTTATCATCCGTTTGTTCAGTAAAAAGTTGGACAGACCTTCTTACAGCAAAACGTCATCAAAAAATCTGAAACCGTAATCTTTCGTTCATTCAGTTTTTGGTCTACTCTTTTAGTGTTTTATGGAATGAAAGTTAACGAAGTCGGGTAACAATTGATGATTGATGTATGTGGAAATGCTTACGAGTATCATAGCTTGTATCAAATTTTATGCAATCTTCTGATTTTTTGTAATGTCAGTTATTTTGCTGTGTATTGAACACACTTTCTGATTCTTGGCATTATGCAATTTTAAGATTTTTTATTTATATTTTTATTGATGCTTCCGGATCGGATTGGCTTTGGAGTATAATTTTTTTTTTCAATCATGAGATTTATTATCCAGCGAGCAACTCGGGCATCTGTCTCAGTAATAAATGAATCTGTCTCAGAATTGGTGAGGAGATGATCAACATTGATGGGGATGCAGATTTCAGAGATCGGAAAAGGAATCTGTGTGCTGGTTGGGATTGCTGAAGGAGATACTGACGTTGATATTGAATATGGAGTACGGAAGTTGATGAATCTTCGTTTATTCGACAATCCTGAGAGTGGAAAACGATGGGACAAAAGTGTGAAGGACTTGGATCTTGAAATTCTCTGTGTCAGTCAGGTAAGGGTTCTTTGTAATGGGTAATCCTTTTTTTAGTTTACTCTTCACGCGGTATTGAAAGGAAATAAGCTCGACTTTCATCGGGCGATGAATCCAACAGAAGCACCAAAATTTTATGAAAAGTTTTTGAATCAACTCAAGTCCAGTTATAAAATAGATAAGGTCAAGGTAGTAAAAGCTTCGGTTTTTTACATTATTTATTTAGGATGGTCGTTTTGGAGCTCATATGAATGTATCCATTGAAAACGATGGCCCTGTCACCATAAATCTGGATTCCAAGGACAAATAAGCCATCAATCAAATAGGAAAACAACGTGAGAGTAATAATGCGGGTGTTAAATTTTAAAATATTGCTACTTGAATTAAACATGTTAAAATACTAGAAGGCCATGTTTGTCAATGTTTTCATTCATTTTGTTACTTTTTGCCCACGAATGCAACGAACTCTGTTTTCTTTCCTTTTTTGGGAGTCGGCTTTTTCCGTCTTTGCTCTAATTTTAACTTTGGAATGTCTCAGCACTTGAATTATGGGGTTGGCTTCTCAATATTATGTGGGATGCATTTTTTGGCGCGTAAATGATTTCTGAGTGTTCGGTGATCACAAGAATTTTTGTTCCCTTTTAAAAATTGAAGTCTGATATTTAATTTGGTCTTTTCCAGGCATTACTTAGTTCAGTATGGCGGTCAGGCCCATAAAAGTAAGTTGTTTTTATTACTGTAATATTTTTTGTGGAAGAGTAATATTTTCAAAAATTGTGTTATCCATGAGGTTTAATTTAATGTTTGACCGCGTACGAGATGGTCAAGCCTTTTCATGGTACTCTTTTGTATTCGAGTGTATGCAAATGTTGTCTCGCTCGCTCTCTTCGCATCCTTTTGAGCGCGCGAAGTGTTATCTTTTTTATTTATATTTCCCTCTCAAAATCAACGTGAGGAAGGGGAAGGTGGAGGCGACGGGACCGACTACAAATCTCCGCCCTTGTTTTTCGATATTCTAAACGCCGAAATTGGAATCCACGCATTTTGAGGGTTTCGTTTTCATATCCGGGGGATATTATATTGATTTAGGACTTGGTCGCTCTCGTCACTGGCGGTTCATCCGGGTTGGGAAGGGCCACCGTCGAGTATCTACATCGGAATGGAGCCCGAGTAGCTCTACTTGATCTGGACAAGACTGACGGAAAGGATGTAGTCAGCGGACTCAAGGAGAACGCCATCTTCACACCTGCTGACGTATGTGTAATATTCTTGTTTCCTTTGATGATTATAAATTTAAATTTAGGTCCGAAAGGAAGACGATGTGGCCAAGGCCTTTGAACAAGTGAAGAACACGTTTGGAAGACTAGATGCCATCGTTAATTGTGCCGGCATAGCTTATGCCTTCAGGACTTACAATACTGGGAAGAGGGAGAAAGGGCCCCTTGAACGTTACCAACACACCTTGGATGTAAGTTATTATCTTGTTCGAGTTAGATGTCCAGTGAATACTTTCTGACAGTTATATAGGAAGATTTACATTTCAGGTAAATGTGATTGGAACCATTAACGTAATCCGTCACGGAGTCCACTTGATGATGGATAACAAGCTCAACGACCCTGCGGATCCTCGAGGGGTCATTGTGAACACGGCATCGGTAGCTGCATTTGACGGACAAATTGGACAGGTAATGTCCATTCCATCCTTCCAAGGACTTTCTGCACAAATCTGTGGGCATTTTATTGGTTTTGCTCCAAGGGCCGTCCATTTATTCTCAAGGGAGTCGGCCGCTCGCATTGAGAAAAGACTGACCGTCATCTTCGCCCCGTCCTCCTTGCCCTCCCATCACTTATTATCTTGTTTTAGGTGGCCTATTCCGCGTCCAAGGGGGCGATCACTTCCATGACCTTACCTTTGGCCAGAGAACTCGGTCCTTCTGGAATCCGTGTATGCACCATTGCCCCTGGAGTCTTTTCAACGCCCTTACTGGAAAAATTGCCCAGTAAAGTAAGTAAAAGTTTATATTTTTTGTTGCATTTTGGGTTTATTGGTTCTTTTTCCTGTCCATAACAACATCTGGGGTATTTTGGAAGTCGTAAAAAAATGGTTTCAATATTAAAATTTGTGATTTTATTGGCTCTCGAAATCAAATTGGGGTTCAACGACACATGTTGTTTCTCTTCGCTCTCGCTTTTCGGCCGCAGAGTCTTCGATCTTGCCTCGTTTTTCTTTCCCCTTCGCCCCTCGACCAGTCTTATTTTTCACTTCGAACGCTACTTTAAAGCAATTTTATTCATCACCCCATTTCCTCAGTCCAAAAATGCTGTGTGACACAAATTGGGCCTTTCTGAGGCCTGGGCCGTCTCCAAATTACAGTGTTTCCAATCACTTTCCCCTCTTCTTTTCTCCAGTAATCCGCTTTTTTTAGGTGAAGAAGTACCTCGCGAGTCTTGTCCCTTATCCAGCGCGATTAGGAGATACCACGGAATTTGCTCGATTGGTCGAGACCATCATCCAGAATGAATATTTGAATGGGGAAACTATCAGATTGGATGGAGCTCTGAGAATGCCCCCATAATTTAATGCCATCTTGCTTTCCTGGTGGAATTCCCGGGTTTCTTTATGTTCCCTAAGTGCCTAAAATCTTTGTTTTGTTCGTATTAGGAAGTTTCATGTTGTAAGAGGATGTTTTTGTGTGTTTACATCCATTTCTTGGTCATATCTCTTTTTTCGGTTATGAATTCATAAACTTTTTTGTAATCTTTCCTCGGAAGACAATGCCGCGTTGTTAAGTCGACCTTGATACCGATTTCTTCCGTTTTTTTTGGAAATTCCCTGGAGATTTTCAGCTTTTTTATCTGGGTAATGTGGATGTGAAGGTCGTGGCGACAAGGAGATGACCGATGTAATGACCATTTGCTCGGCCGATCGACGCGAATCCTCCACAACATCGGCGGGGATCGGGTCCGATGATGATGTGGTCATGCACAGTATTGGGACAGGCACCAGTGAAAAGAGATCTCACGCGGCTCAGACCGACAGTCCGGTCCGCGCTTCCCCCAAATATGAGGCCTTCGTGATGACTGGAGACAAGATTCTGAACCTGAATCCCAAAATATCACCGAGTTATGCGATGGTAGGCCGAGTTTATGGTTTTTATATGGAAGAAAATCAAACTTAAAAAGACATCTGAATTAACGTTTAGGTGCATCGAAACCAACTTCCTCCCACTGTGGAAGTAGACCAGACCACCCCAAAACGGAGAGGACCCTTCGACGATGTGCCCAGTCATTCAATCTCAAGGATACCGATTAAAAATCGACGATTTTTGGAACGAAATCTGCCAGAATCCCACTCCGACCATCATCTGGAGTCGAGTCGGGTCGAGAGTGAATCAGAATCGATCAATCCGGTGAGCGAGCGCCTCCAAATAAATATTTCCCTTAACCATTTTTTCCAGTCAAACCACAGCGTTAGTCAAGCGAAAGGCGAGGGACCCATCAACTACTCCACCTCCACCCTTCCCGAAAGCGGTGGTGCCCAGGAAACGCCCAAACGACGACCCATGACGACCCGGGAAGAGGAGTAAGTCGAGTTTGTAGATGGGCCTTCGAACCACAACTTGAACTCATATTACCTTTTTCCAGGGAGAATACAAACACGCCGAATGGAGGCGCGATCCATGAACAGAGTCCCGAGAAGGAGGACTTCGAAGAGAAATCCATCCCCAACCAGGTCTACCGGTCGACGACGTCCATGCCTCGATGCAACGAGGTCAATCCCCAGAGCTCGGGTCGGTTTTTCTTCCACTTTACTTGTTCCTCTACAAAATTACCAACATTTTTTTTCGGGTTTTTGCTCCTCCTAATTAGGGCCTCATTATCGAAAACGTCAGCGATTTGCTGCGATTACTAGAATACCTTTTATTCTTATTCCCGAGGACTTTTGGGAATTGGTTGATGAGAACGGACTTTCTGAAGATCCGATAAGTCGCTTGATAGGAATGTGTTTCTCGTTTGATTGCTTAATTAAACTAATTGGAATCGCTTTCCTTTCCCCTTTCACCTAGTTGATTTGAATGAGATTGCTTGATTTCAGATCAGTTATCCTTCATGGGGGTTAATGTGGATGCCGAGGCCTTTGCCAGGTTCGTTCAACGACTCTTTGAACTCAATGGATACACTCGGATGGATGTAGCCGCGTATTTTGCCAAAAAGTAATCAATTTTTATCTTTATCCATGTATCATTTCCTGTGTGATTAACATTTCCGTGTTAAAATTTTTTATTTCAGTACTGATCTCGCCCAAAAAGTAGTGGAGGAGTTTATGTTACTCTTCAACTTTGCCGGTCTTCGAATTGATGCGGCTCTTAGGGACTTCCTGGATCACGTTTGCTTGACTGGGGAGACCTCAGATCGAACAAGAATGCTGACTTTCTTTGCCGAAAGATATCATCAATGCAATCCAATCCTCTTCGAAAATGCTGGTAAGCCTTTTTAAGGACTACTGTAGCCAAAAAACTGTCAGATGTGTCATTGCTCTCGTTTCAGACGCGATTCACGCTTTATCATGCGCCTTGTTATTGCTTAATACGGATCTTCACAGTGATGTAAGTTTGTTGGGTTTTGTTTCTACTGTTCTCCTAGGTGACATCCAAGAAGATGACGACTCGAGAATTCATCAACAATCTCTCTCATACTGGGATTCAATTCGATCGCGCCCTTCTGAAGACCTTATACAATGCAATCAAGGCCAATCCATTCCATCACAATGAAAACGCAACTCCAAAGAAACGACCAGTCCGAGCGAATTCAATCGCTCAGAGAAATATTCGAATGGTGCAAGATGCTGTGGATTATTGTCATGGATGGGTCATGAAAAAAGAAATATACGATCGAGATGGAAAGAAGAGTAAGTGGAACAAATTTTGAATATTCATATTAGATCAATAATCATAAAAACTGTTATTTTAGCCCCATTTGGTCGACGGAAATGGCAAATGCACTTTGCGACCGTCCGAGGTCTGGTCCTCTATCTCCATAAAAATGAAAAAGGATTTGAGGGATCCAAGTATGACGCTTTTAACAATTGCATCCGACTTCATCATGCCTTGGCCGAGAAATGCTATGATTACAAGAAGAAACAGCACGTATTCAGATTGGTCACAGCCAAACTCGGTGAATATCTGATTCAAACCAGTAGTCCGGATGAGATGCAGAGATGGATCAATGCCATCAACTTTGTGGCCGCCTCTCTCTCCACCCCTGTCCTGCCTGAACCAGTTTCTAACAAAATTGAATTCAACTTCCAGAAGACTGTACTCCCGGACGCGATCAGCACGTTATCAGTGGTAAGAATAATCGAGTTTTATTGTTATTAGTTTAGCATGAACAACTTCGAAGACATAAGGAGAAACTGGATGAGATGAATATGATCTTGAACAAGCTCAGGGACAGCGCGCCGTCCATGAAGGCTAAAGGAAAAATTGTATACGATTACTTTTACAGAGAACGTTATCTAGATAACGAAGTAAGCATTCGGTTTGTTTTTGTCTTTCCTCTATTTTTCATCCTAATTTTTTTACGTTTCAGCGACGGAGATACGCAACATACGTTGATATCCTGCAAGATAAATGCTCGGCCATATCAACGAATGGCAGTGACTCCGTCCTGAAGAAGAATTCGGTGACGGTGCAACGAAACTGCACCATTTCCACGATGCAATCGGAGCCGGATTCCACACGGATTCCTTCTCGCCAATCAAGTGTAAATAACAAGTTACTGCCCTCATTCCGCGACGGAATCCCCTCCAATCAAACCATGGGGCCCCGATCCGAATCCACTGAAACTCATCGTGTGGAGAGTCCTGTGAGTCGGCACACTACCATGAGCGCCTTGGCCCAGGCGTATGCTGTGGCCAATGGGAAACCGCACAATTCGATCGAAATCCAACGTCAGATGGATTCCCTCAAACGTCAGACCACCAAGGACGGAGCAGCGCCCGCTCTCTGTGACCCTCGCGACCTCGAGGATCTGGTCCGACTCTCCAACGAACAGCTGGTCAACGGTTCTTACAAATGATCTCGCTTCACACCTCATCTTCCTCTTCACTACTCCCGGATGCGTTCAGCAAAGTATTGTTAATAATCTTTCTTTTATAACTTATATTGCCCCTTTTTGTGCTAAGAAAAGGGAATGGTGCTTACCTTTATGGGTCTCTAATCTAATTGCCCAATATAAAATATGCGGTAAAAGATTTTTTCCAATAAAGTTTTAATCTAATTAACATAACAACAACAATCGATGCAAAATTGCGGAAGTGAGCTCATTCAGAAGTGCTTGCGTTCATAGGAATGCAGAGAATGGACTCCACCTTCCTGTTGGGCACTGGCAGTCCGTCTCTCGAATCGAATGCGGCCTGAATAGACGCCCTCCCTATGACAACATAAAGAAAATTCTCTAAAAACTTACTGCAATTCAAAGATACTCTTCACTCCAATGTCCTGGAAACCATGCTGAACTCCTCTAACAATGTAAGGAACAAACTTGTGGATGGATCCTCTGTCCCGCATTGTGGCCGAGACACCCTGGGCCACCTTGATAGCATCTCCATCAGAAGTAAAGTAACGATCTTGAGAAGAAGCGTGGGCTTCCATGGCATCAAGAGATCCCATTCCCCGGTATTTCTTCAGTCTGACTCCCGAAGGACCCCAGAAATACTCTCCGGGGGCTTCGTTAGTGCCAGCCAGCAGTCCACCCATCATCACAGTGGATGCCCCCAGAGCCAATGCCTTGGTAACATAACCCACATCTCTGATTCCACCGTCGGCCACAACTGGAACTCCCCGAGAATGAGCATATTTGGCCACCTGGTAAACAGCCGATCCCTGAGCCCGACCGACCGCCATAACTGAACAGTAATGTGTAACATAAGTTGAACGAAACACATACCCTCTTGTGTGATACAGATGGATCCACTTCCCATTCCAATCCTCAGAGCGTCAGCGCCGGCATCGATGAGGATCTTGGCTTGCAGCATCGTCACAACATTCCCCGCAATCACCTGAGGTCTTTCGGGATAAGTGGCCTTAATCCATTTAAGCAGTTCGACCTGGAATCTGCTCGCACCGTTCGAAGAATCAATAACAAGGACATCAACACCGGCTTTTACGAGTTCATGAACATAAGTCTTGGAGGTTTCTCGGGTGTTAATGGCTGCTCCAACCATCAATTGGCCTTTGGAATCATAAGAACTCAAGGGGAAATCACGGGCTTTCTTCAAATCAGTCCTGGCAATAAGAGCAACGAGTTCATCCTTTTCATTCACAATTGGCAGTTTACCTGAGAATAATTTTTTAATTTAAAGCACCTTACCCTTCTTTTCTGATTCCAGGATCTCATAAGCCTGATCAAGGGTCAAATTTTCATTTCCAATAATCAATTTCTCCCTTGGAATCATAACATCCCCAATGCTAATACTGTCATATTTTGACGGCTTTATAAAGTCGACATCCAATGAAGTAACAAGACCTAAAATAAGTTCCAAATTACTCAAAAGAAGAAATAACGGACAAGCACGTTACAACCACAAAAACGATAAAGAATACCCAGTAATTTGCCTCCAACTTCTCCACTGTCAGTCACCGGGGTTCCCGTGAATCCAAACTTGGCCTTGATGCCCATGAGATCTCTGACGGTGTCCGTGGGTTTGATGCACACAGGATTTGTGATGAACCCTTGTTTATATCTCTTCACTTTGGACACCTCAGCAGCTTGAGCTTGAATGTTTGCAAAGTTACCATGAATAATACCAATTCCACCATGCAGGGCCATTCCGATAGCCATCTCGGATTCTGTTACAGTATCCATAGGCGAAGAGACCAAAGGCACCTTCAGAGTGATCCCCTTAGTCAATTTGGAGGAAAGGGACACCTCATGAACCGCAAAGTCAATGTAACCGGGGAAAATGTTAAAATCACTAAGCATTTGTAAATTATATTCTACTCAACTTACTTATAAGTGGTACCCATTTCGTTTGCGAAGAGCTCGTTGATGGTTTGCCCATCCTTCTTCATTTCGGCCTCAAAGTCGATGTGCTTCAACAATTCCTCCATGTCTTCTGCAAATAAGGAATAGAAGGGACTTGTTTTATATTATATTAACACGCAATTCCATCCGCATTTGTCTCCCAGCAACCGACTAAATGGGCCTTGATTAAAAGCGCTAAATGAAGAATAAGAAGACGGCCATCTTGTAAAATACTACCCCACAGAAGAAAATTTTTACAACACAAAAGGGGACGGATGGGCTTCACAAAAAGAATTTTAGGATTCAAAAACATTTAGGACCTGCAAAAAAAGGAAAACACTGATCAGAAGATGGAACTTCCAAGGAAAACAGAATTACGTACGAAAATCCGAAATACAGAATTTGGGTACAGGCCCAATTCAAAGAGCTTCTTCTTTTGAGGTAAACCTTTTAGAGTTTTGTGACACTTTGTTATTAAATCAATATTTGTAGCGAAATTATTTATTTTTCTCGCCGAAAAATCTTTTGTCTTATTTTCAGTAAATGTAAATCAATTAGACATGGTTACCGCACTGGGTATGTGCAGTAAAGATGGAACAAGTGGTCCTTTACACCCTGTCACCTTCTCTGATCCCGGCCATTTGTTCTTCTTCGATCGGCTAAGGTATCAACGTTTAACTGGCCGATTTTGTGACACCACTATCATCATTAACAACAAGACCGAGTTCCGGGCTCATAGAAATATATTGGCCGCCTATAGTCCTTATTTTGATTCCGTTTTAACTTTTAATCGAGTGGCCAACGAGAAGATTATGTTGAACAAGGACAAGTATAGTGAGGACGCCATGAGAGTTATTCTCAACTACATGTACGGAGAAAGCATTGTGATTGACAGGACCAACGTGAAGGATGTTTTGAAATTGGCCAACGATCTAATTGTATGTTTTTGAGAAAGTTGAGAGATGTTTTTAGATTGTTCGGATCAAAAATCACTGTTTGGACTATCTGGAGAGGAATTTGGATGCGTCCAACTGTCTCACTATTAAGACTTTGGCCGAAAATTACGCAGTGCAGAAACTAATCAACAAATCTATTGATTACTTCAAACGGAATATTGATACAATTCTCTTGCATAACACAGATATATTATCCATGCCATTCAAAGATGTTAAGCTTTTGTTACAACGTTACGAAAACCATATTCATCCTGATATCGCCTTCGGGTAAGTGTTATCTTCTGATGTTATGGGAGTTTTAGATTGATTGTGCGTTGGGTAAATCATGACCTGCCCAAAAGAGAACATCACTTTGGTCACATGACTAAAAGGACTGATATATCGAAAGTAACAGTAACAAAGTTGGAGAGTATTCTTGATTTTAACCCATTCTTTATGCACTCCGAAAGGAGTTTGTACATATTATTAACTGAGATGTGAGTGGATTTTCAACTAAGGGAACTTGATATTGTTTTAGGAAGAACAAAGGTATTTTGATGGAGAAATATATCCAAAAAACTATGGAACTTGAAGCAAAATATGGCTTCGAAAACCCCGAAACAGCCTTGGATTCGGAAATGGATGAAAGTCAGATCTCGGACGGCGAGAATATACAGTAGGCTTTGTTGCTTCTTTTTTACCCTTTTTTTTGTTTCTTATTTTTGTTTGTATCTTTGCAGTGACGGCGTCCACGAAGGTCAGCCATTGAAAATAAGATTAAAAGTCGGAAAGAAGAGAAAAGGTAATCTCCTTTGCAAAAAACATAGTGGTGTTTTAGGGAAACCACATTCAGATGGTGGTCATCGGAAGAGAGGAAGGCCAAGAGTTCATCGGCCAGTCCTCAATGACCTTGGGCCTGATGTTGAAGAAGAACCGGAGAGTATATTCTATCAGTTTGATGAAGAGAACGACACGGTTACTGTAAGTTGAACTAACTGTCAATTCCTTTTTTCATTTCAATCTTTTTAAAGATTTGATTTTTTAAGGCATTCGAAGAGCCTGATGAGACTGATCCAGCTGATGTTATTCCTGAAGGCCAAGAGAATATGGATGAGGAAGATGCTGTACCTGTGAGTTATTTGAACCATAAAACTAGTTTGATTACAGTATGACTGTGCCTGTGAATATTGCGATTACAAAGCCTCGAATCGGGATCGTCTAAAGAAACACAATGCTACCGCTCATTCCCTGAACGTTCTTTACTTTTGCACCATCTGTAACTTTGAATGTCGATGGAATCACAACTTTTATGAACACATGCGTCAGCATTTCCAGGCAGGTCATCTAAACGGCTGTGTGGATATTATCCATGACTTGGGGAAGAGCAATAAGCCAGATTATTTGGTTAGAAATAATTTAAGATATGATTAAGGTTGAGCATTCCCTGCATACGTGCTGATTGCTGATTTTCCCGCTCTCTTCATTATTCCTTCAGGTCATTACATCGAAATCCAAGAAGAGCTTCGGCTTTGTCTTTTTTCGGCACTCACTTCCGCTTGCAAACTTTTTAAATAACACATGCAGTATAATGCGGATATGGTAATAAGAAGGGGGAATGTTTTGGCCGCAGGGCTTACGTCAAATGGGATTATCTTCCCCTTAAACAGTCTTCACGCACGCCTTTTCGTTATCCATCTGATTCGGTAGAGTCGGGTAGTTTTACAGTGCACATCTCTTTGGATGGCATACTGTAGGTTCCCACCGCTTACTCAATTACTTTCAGACCGTCCCATTTCAATGTGAGTTCTGTTCGTATAGTGTTGATCGCATGCACGTCCTTCTCTCCCACAGATTGACGCACAGTAAGTTCCATTTGTATTATACTTGACCTAACGTTGGGCTTAATGTTGAGAAAATTGTTAATTATATTTACTTTTTAAAATATAATTTCTCTTAATCTTCCAGATATTGTCTTCATCATCATTTGTATTAGGTTAGTTTTAGTTAAATAAACCTTCTACAAGAAGATTAGGTCTACAAGGATAAGGTCTGGGAAATCGTCGACGACGTTTCCTACGATGACGTTCTTCTCCTTTCTGCATCTATTCCCGCTATAATCCCCTACGTTTCAGCGGACGAGAAACCATACAAGTGCACGGACTGCGATTTCAGATCAAGGTCTAAGACAAATCTCGTGGTCCATTATCGAGTTCACAGTGGCGAACGCCCATTCGAGTGCAAGTCATGTGGTAAGTAGCATGATTAATACGGATACCAGTTTAAATTATGGTTTAAGTTTACAAAGAAAATCTTCGTAACCTAAATTTACATTGATTTAGGTAAGCGTTTTGCTGTCAGACGCACCTTGGATCAACACATGGCCACCCATTCAGGAAATAGGTATAATCGTTGTTCCCTTTAATATGAAGAACCATATTGTTTTAGGCCCTTCCAATGTGATCAATGCCCATTTACGACAAAATATCAAAGTCATCTGGTCTCGCATCGCAGAATTCACACGGGAGATCTCTTTCGATGTCAGGAACCTGGCTGCGAATATGTGTCTCCAAAGAAGAGCCAACTCGCGGCACATCTTCGAACACATTTGGCTGTTAGACCACATCAATGTAAAACTTGTAATCGATCGTTTATCGAGAGATCTCATCTGGTCAGACATGAAAGGATACATCTCAAGGATAAACCTTTCAAATGCGAGCTCTGCGATTACGCATCTTCTAGGAGAGACAAACTAAAAGAGCATTTCTTGAAACATCACACCGCAACCAGTAAGAGTAAGCAATACCGCCATAAGGACAAAAAGAAGAGCCATGAGGCAACGATGACAGCAGAAAAGGCCAAGGTAAGTTTGACAGTGGCACACCAAAGTTTTATTTCCAGTTCCTATCTCCTGGCTATGTCTTCCGCCCAATAACTCAAGACTTTGATCGTCGAGAACATTCGAATAGCGTCCCCATGGGTGGATATGATGAAGAACTGATCGAACTCAACATGCAAGGTCATTCCAATCCCTCGATTCTCCCGCCAAATCAAATCCAACGTCAACTCAGCGTCCCCATCGACTTCTGTCACAACCAGGAAATGCCTCCCATGCCAGAATCTAGCCAGATGGGTCATCCACCCATCTCCAATATGATGTTCGAAGGGACGATGATCCCTCCCGGCTCTCATTCCCGGTCATATTCGAATACGGACATGCCTCAGAGTTCGTTTAATCAACTCCCCAGCTCCTCGTTGAGTCTAGACAACTATCCAGTGGACTTTACAAATCAGCCGAGACCTCCCCCTGACAACTCCATCCCTGTCAGTCAGATCAGCAGTGACATGAGGAACACTGTCTCCATTGAATATGGGGGATACATTGATAATTTGAGCGGCCAAATGATGCAGCCAGTGGAACGACCGCGGAGTCATCCCGCCCTCAGATACCCCCAGGGCCCAACCGACTTCAACAACATCAGATCTCACCAACAACCGGGCTCCTCGCATTCCACTCAACCTCCACACGACCGAAACGAGTGGTATTAATAATCACACAGCTAAAGATGATATACCGATGTTCTCAGCATTACATTTTAACCACCATTAATTGTAATTCGCCATCTCATACCCATTCTTTGCCATTTTACTGTGATTTTTGTGTTTATCTTGGGGCTAAAGGATAATAACGATTAAACAATAACATAATTTTAGTCGATCTACTGGATAGGAGGTCTGATGCCGGCTTTCCCGATGGGTGGATTACCCAGTAAAGTGTTGAACTTCATAACGACATCTGCAGTGCTCATTCCCTCTGTTAAAAAGCGGAGTTTCTTTCCGTCGGCTGAAACGAATGACGTAGAGAGGACGTCATTAAGGGCTCATCTTGTTATCCGTAGCCACTAAAACACCTACCCAAATCTGCCTCGAAGAATGGTGATTTCCCGTCATTCCTGAGCTCGGGGATGACCTTGGCCGACGGGTTGGTTGCTTTGATTCTGGGAGCAGTAACGGCGAACCAGAACTCTCTTAACGCAACATTATCCTTGTGAAAGGGATCCATGCTAATCTTGATGCTCTTCACTTGCTTCAGATCGATCCCCCGACATGCAAGGGCTCTCATTTCTCCGGGTTTCCACCGTACGCCTGCACGGATCCTCATCCACATTTGACACATGGCTGTCTTTTTTCTCTGAAAATAGGGTTAGTGCGTCCTTTGGTTGGTCATCATGGATGAATACCGTAATAAACGGATTAGTGTGAAAAGCCGGCTTAAGAAATGACAACAGAAACTTTGTTCATGAAAGGGTTTGATGCACTGGGCACAACAACGGATAACAGAAAATTACATAACAAGCGACTGAAAAGAGTAAGCAGTTCATGGCTTGAACTTGGTCACCAACTCGGCCACCATCTCCAGATTTTTCTCCAAATCCCCGGGCAGACTGTTTTGGAGTTGATGGACGATGCCTTCTTTGTAGGCGTCCTCGGCCTCCTCGGCGATCGTTCCGAAAATTTCACATTCTATATTATCCCTCAATTTCTTTTCCGAGTAATTTCTCGTCTTCAAACGATCATATAATTGGGTATTGTCACATCGAAGTACAATCACATAATCAAACCACCGTTCTGGGAAGAAATCACAAGCATGGTAGTCAATAACCAAACCACCATCGGAGTTCAAATCATCGAAATATTCCTAAAAAACCGTTCCTCTAAGTACCGATACTAACATCTGATACATATCACGTACAAAAAACTCACTTCCAAGTGATCCAACAACTTGTCCTCATCTAGAATGAAACTCTTGTATTCATTATCATAGCCGGAGTGCAACTTGTAATCCAAAATCATCTTGTTGATATCCATAAACTTTAGGCTACATTTCTCGGCGATCTTCGGGGCCAAAGTGGATTTACCCGTTCCAGGGACGCCGGTCACCAAAATGTTTGGTTTCGTTCTTGCTTCTCTCGAAGTTTTCATATCTGAAACTAAAACAAGTTTCATACTAAATGTTGCCGTTGCCTTAGGTAAAGGAAGGGTTCAAACCTTCATTAGGGATTCTTAGCAAATATAATAAACTAATCTTTATTTATAAAAACATCATTGCCCGACTTTTCTCAGTTTAATATCAGTTTTAGGATCAGCAGTGACTTCTTGAATTCTGACAATAAGTTCGTTGATCTTGGTCTGGAGATCTCTAATTTGTTTCACATTGAGAAGGTTGAGGATCTTCATGGCATGATCCACCTGCTTGTCTTCATCCATTTGAGAGAGTTCGTCCAAATTCAATAAGGTCTAAAATTTACAGTAATATTAAGATAGAAGTATTACCGTATCCACAATTTTTGTTTTTCCATTGTGAAGAATGCATTCGGAATAAAAAAGCAGAGCTTTTAAAAGCAGACCAGTGTCTTTATGATCAACTTTCTGAAGGCCAAGCGATGTCAATACCCCTTTCAATTTCTCACGGAATTCGGGATTTCCCACTAAAAAGACTAAAAAGTATACGAAACACCTTACAATGAACACTCTCTTTCAGATGTTTCTCCATTTCATGTATCTCGGTACTTTTAATCTGAATCTTTTCAACATTCAGTGCATTTATTTGATCTGCATTCTCAATATCATATGCTTTTTCAATCGCCGCATCCAGAACCCAATCAATTAAAGCTGGTCGACTTCCATTAGTAATATCTTTGGGGCACTTGAGTCCATCAAGATACTAAAACCATAACCATAATTAAAAAATCTTACATTTGGCAACTGAGCCATGAATTCGTCGATATCGGTGTATAAAAAGTTCCGCCCTCTACCGTAACATAATCGAAATACATTCTCTTCGAGATGACGGATTAGTTTTTGAAGACCAGATTCATCTAAAAAGAAGTTCATAATTATAATATCACCACCTTACCATCCAAGTTGCTAATACTTGGGCAATCCAAGGCTAACAATCGTCTCTCTGTCATATCTAGACGAAGAATAAAACGTAACGGTTAAAATACAAGGTAAAATTTACCTCCATAAAACGACCAAATTCAAATTTAACAATTATTTATAAAAAAAACAACTACTCGAGACCCATTTTAGATTTTTTGTTATCCATCTTCTCCTTCCTGGCCGCCAAGCTCTCGCATCTCGGACGTTTCATCATTGGTACCACTTTCTGGAAAAATAAAGCGACTAAATCAATTTTACCTTGGGGATTGGAGCATCTCTGATGTATTCCTCCATAGCATTGTGATTTCCATCGGGGATCATTCCACTAATTTCATTCATCATGGCTCTTATCATGTCGCATTTCACTTTGAGATCAATCCAACTCTTCTCCAATGAACAAAATACTTTTCTTAGTGCTTCTACATCAAACTTCCATTCGAGTGGTTGATTATAATTACAATCAAAGAAGCAAAGTGGAGTATCTTTAGCCAGTTGGTATTGAGGACGAGCCGAGCAATTCTCAATATCCAACAGCTCTTTGACAACCTAAATATACAAGTAAACAAGCATGTAAACGCTTACCGAAGGCTCTTCATGTTGCAATCCGACTTCAAATAAAACCCCAACAACACATCGAACCATATGCCAGAGGAAACCGGAGCCGGATACCGAGAGTTGGTACATCTTATACGGGCCATCGGGTTCCCCACTAAATAAATATTAACTCATTTCAGAATACTCACCAAATCGCCTTGATATCCATCTCAAAGATTTCTCGGACATAACTGGTCTCGAGACGGGCTTTATTGTTATCAATCCGGCAGAAATTCCGAAAATCATGGGAGCCGACGAGGTAAGAAGCAGCAATCTTCATTTTCTGTAGAAGGCGTCTAAAAGATTGTTGTACAAAGCTCACCTCAATATCAAAGCCGTTCTTCGGGAAGACGTAAGTGTAATATCTTTTGGAGCAATTAAACCTTGCGTTAAAATCCATTAAACAAGGCGACCATGCCAGCACCCGTATTGAAGCTGGCAATACTGCATTTAGAATTTTCACATAGTCCAATTCCTTTGTTGATACTATTCTTGGCATTCTTGCAGACTCTTCTTTCCAATAAAGACCTTCTCCATTAATATCTGTAGACCTAAAGTAATATAAGGAGAACAATTTAGAACTACCTGACAATTAAACTGCAGACTTGTCGAAAACCGGAAACCCCTTTGTCTGTTCGACCGCACCTATTCAAGCCGCAATCACGACTTCTGATTAATTTGGTTCGGATGAGGGCATTCAAGAGTACCTAAACTATAAAATACACAAATAGTTATATGGTTACCTCCTCCACTGTATTCGGCATATTAGGTTGCGTGACAAGCCCATCATGTTCCCAACCAAAGTAGAGGAAAAGTAAAGCAATTCGACGCTCGGGATACCTAGAAAAGTCGAATTCCTTAGACTAAAACATAAAAAGTATAAAACATGTATTACCTTCTTCTTGCCGTCGGCCATTATGTACTTTATTTTGAGCAACCAAGTGGGTTCCAGGTAAACTAAAAGTAAAAAAGTATTTTTCACCAGAGAAGTGAACTATAAAAAAATTTTCTCCCCGAAAGAAAATATTTTTACCGAAAAAGCATAACCTTGTAAAAATAAGGTACGGAAGTAGTAAAAAATGGTGAATAAGTAATTTAACTAGTAAAATCAACTACCAAACATTGTAAGTAGTAATGTAAAATAGTATTTATAGTAATTTTTTGACATAATACTAAAAATAGATTACGCTTTCTGGGCAAAAATATTTTCTTTCTGGAGAAAATACATTTTTTCAGGGGGTAAAAAATCTCATGTCTGAGGCTCTGAACATTGCAGGGCAAAAAAACTGTTTGATATTGAACGAACATTAGATCCGAAAAAAAAGTTTTACCAAAAATTTCTTTTCTCCAATAAAACGCAATGCCAGAATGCCAAAAACCACAAATTCAAATTTAAATATTAACTCTTACGACGAAAACAACTGAAAAAGATGACAAAAAATATTTTTTTCCAAAAATAATTTGGTTGATTCTGGTGGAATTAGTTGTAGAAACAGTCTAATCTGCAATATGGTCCAACAAGAGTCGACGTTGACGGCTCGTGTCGATGATAATGAAAAGAAACCAGGAGATAAAGCTCCAGCCAAGAAGAAGGATGCCAAGGAGGAGAAGAATGAGATGGTAAGGAAGCTTACGCGTTTATGATGATTTATATTTAGACAGAAGAAGACAAAAAACTTCAAGAAGATCTGAACATGCTTGTAGAGAGACTTTCCGAATCTAATCAGGAATTATATCTGCCTTCATTGGAGACAATGAGAGGTTTGATCAAGGCTTCTACAACCTCGATGACATCTGTTCCCAAACCATTGAAATTTATGTTGCCTCATTACAATAAGATGAAAGAAAATTACGAAAAGATGAAGGACTCTCCAGCTAAGGTAGGTTTTTTAATCTTATTTTTGACGTCCTTTAAAAAGCACTCATCTTCTGGTTTCAGAAATTATGTGCTGATATTATCTCCGTATTGGCCATGTGTTCTGATGACAAGAATAGTTGCATTAATTATCGACTAAAGGGAAGTTTCGAACCAATTGGAGATTGGGGGCATGAATATGTAAGACATTTGTCAATGGAGATGGCCGAGGAATGGAGAGCGTATTCCGATGGAACACCTAAAAGCACGGAAAGAAGGAACGAGTTGATCAAGTTGGTGAAAGAGATCGTCGCCCACAATATGAAACACAATGCTGAAGTCGAAGCCTGTGATTTGTTAGTGGAGATTGAGAGGCTCGACTTGCTTCTCGATTTTGTTGATGATGAGGATCACAATCGAGTGTGTTTATACTTATTGAGGTGAGTAGAGTACCATTATTATGATTGTTGTTTTTAGTTGTGCGCCTTTAACCCCAGATCCAGACAACCAGATCTTAATTAAGACTGCCAAGGATCTTTTCATGAAATTCAACAAACCGTTTGATGCCCTTCGTTGTGCCATCATTCTTAATGATATTGAATTGATCCGAAACATTTTCTTGAATTGCAAAGACGCGTAAGTTCCTAACCTTTATTCATTTTAGATTAATTTAGGCTAATTCAAAAGCAAATGGCCATCCTCCTTGGACGTCATCAGATTTTCTTGGAATTGGAAGGAAAACCAAATGGAGAGGTTCTAGCTCCCTTGAATGCCAACACCCATCTGTGTCAATATTTTCATTCTTTGGCCCGAGAATTAGATATTATGGAACCTAAAACCCCTGAAGGTATCTACAAAGCCCATCTGGAACAAACCCGGCCTTTCTCTTCGTCGACCAGTTCCGACAGCAGCCGTTTGAATCTCGCTGCTTCTTTTGTGAATGGATTTGTGAACAGTGGATTCGGTGTCGACAAGATGTTAGCCGAGACTGACTCGGCTAATCGTTGGTTCTGCAAGAACCGCGAGTACGGAACCTTCTCAGCTGCTGCCAGTCAAGGTCTTATTTACCGTTGGGACATCGATAAGGGATTGACCCAGTGCGATCGCTTCCTTTATGTGAATGACGATTATATTAGAGTAAGTGATGGTTTTTATTGATTGATTTCCATTTAGGCCGGCACTTTGTTGGCCATCGGTATTATCTCGTCTGGTGTCCAAGATCCCTGCGACCCTGCCTCCGCCCTGTTGATGGACCACGTTCACAGTGAAAGAATCCCAATGAGAATTGGTTCAGTTCTTGGTCTGGGTCTTGCATATGCCAACTCAAAACGAGAAGCAGTTGTGAAGGAGGAGGAAGGTGGAGTGATCTTTGAGTTGAAGAAGGTCCTCAGCGACTCCAAGCCATCGGCCACCAGTGAAATCAAAGGATTGGCCGGACTCTCACTCGGATTTATTTTGGTCGGAACCGGAGATCATACTGTAGCCATGGAGATGCTCCAAATTCTGATGGAACGGTCCGAAGGTGAACTGAATGATCCTAACATGAGATTCTTGGCTTTGGGAATTGCACTAATCTTTTTGGGAACCCAAGAAAAGAGCGAAGTCTTTGTCGAGAGTCTCCGATCTCTTCCTGAGCCTTTCGGCAGCATGGTTTCTACTTTGGTTGATGTGTGTGCTTATGCTGGAACTGGCAACGTCTTGAAGATCCAGAAATTACTTCACATCTGCTCTGAACATTATGAGACCAATGAACCAAAGAAGAAGGTATGTTATGTGCCTGTGGTTTTATACCTTTTTAGGACAAACGAGGTGACAGAGAAGAAAAGAAGAAAGATGAGAAGAAGTCCGACAAACCAGATCTCTCTTCCCAACAGGCTGTTGCCGTTCTCGGTATTGGTTTGATTGCCATGGGAGAAGAAGTAGGAAGTCAGATGAGTTTGAGAGTCTTCGGACATCTGATCAGATATGGAGAACCAGTCATCAGAAGAGCCGTTCCACTTGCCTTGGCTTTAAGCAGTGTGTCGAACCCGCAACTGAATATCCTCGAGACTCTTAGCAAATTTAGTCATGACGCTGATGCCGATACCGCCCACAATGCCATATTTGCCCTGGGATTGGTAGGTGCTGGAACTAACAATGCTCGGTTGGTGGGAATGCTGAGACAATTGGCTTCGTATCATCATAAGGATCAGACCTCTCTGATGTTGGTCAGATTGGCCCAAGGAATGACGCACATGGGTAAAGGAACGATGACTTTGAACCCCTTCCACAGTGATCGACAACTCATGTGTCCAGCTGCCGTCGCTTCTCTTTTCTCCGTCTGTTTTGCCTTCTTGGATGCTAACAACAGTAAGTAATTTATAAAAATCGAAATATTGTTTAGGTGTGCTCAATAACCGACAACATTACTTGTTGTTCAACCTGGTTTTGGCCATGCAACCTCGACTGCTGATTACGCTGGTTGAAGATGAAACAGACCCAAATAAACTGAAGCAGGTCAACGTGTCCGTTCGAGTGGGTCAAGCGGTGGATGTTGTGGCTCAAGCGGGTAAACCCAAGACGATCACTGGGTTCCAAACTCACACAACCCCTGTTCTGTTGGCCTATGGTGAACGTGCAGAACTGGCAAACGATGAATGTAAGCTAAATGAATTACTTAATTTCATATTATAACGTTTTGCAGACATCGCTCTAACTCCGTATCTGGAAGGTCTGGTGATACTCAAGAAGAATCCCGATTCAGAACTCAACAAACCGCAGAAGCCCAAATGATTTGATCTTGAATACTTGTACTTGAATTATATATTTATTACGTCGATAAACTATCAGTGCTACGGGAGTATAAAATTTCATAACTTATATGTAGTGCAAAAGTCCATACAATTGTATTTGTACAAGCGAATTGCAACTTCAGTGACAGATAGTCCCAACACGAAAACATTTCGCGCTTGGCGATAAAATAATTTTTCTTGCCACTGTTTTCAGTGTCCACGTCGCTTTGTACAAAACTGATAACCCCAAATGCGGTGTTTTGTTGTTGTTGCCCTTGTGGCAGCAATCTTTACTTTACTTGTCCAAGCCCAGTCTGATGGACTCAAAGTGACCGCAACCAGAACCCTGGACGTCTCATCGCAGATTGTAAAATCTACAGTTGATCTACAAATTGTTAACGGTGGCAAGAGTTCAGTTTCCTCAATCCTCTATTCTCTCAGTGAATCAGAAGCAGCTAAATTAAGCTGGATTCAAGCCAATGCCGAAAAAAAGGATGGAAAGAAGCTCAAGATCCAAAGTACTCAAGGTGCTGGAACACCGAAAGGGCAAGTCGTCTTCAAGATTGAGCTACCCGCTCCTTTGGCAGTCGGTCAAACTACCAATGTTCTTGTTCGAGCTCAGATCACGCAGGCATTGAGGCCATTCCCTGCCAAGATCTCTCAATCCGAAAATCAGTGAGTATTGGAATTTACGTTTTTATTCGCTTTTAGGTTTGTCGTCTATTCTGGAAATGCTCTTCTCGGCCTTCCATATGTTGTCGAGAAAGAGACGACTACTATCAAGTACGGAAGTGGGAAGTTGATCGAATTTACCGCAGTTGAGCCTGCCAAGCAGAACGGCGGTTCTATTGTTTATGGTCCTTACTCTAATACGCCAGCTAATGCTATTGTAAGTAAATGTTTTCTGAATTTATTGAATCTTTTTAGAAGCCTATCACGGTTCATTATGAAAACAATTCTCCCTTTTTGGTTGTGAAGTCATTGGAGCGTTGGATCGAGGTCTCTCATTGGGGAAACATTGCCATTGAGGAACAGATTGTTATCGAACATCATGGCGCTGAACTGGTTGGAGAATTCTCTCGGCTTGACTATCAAATGGACAGACGTGGAGCCAGACAACCAGTAGTAAAGTCATTCAAGGTATGTGAAGCTTATTTCTATATAACTATCGATTTAGACTCATCTGCCAGTTTCTGCCCGTGACATCTACTACAGAGATCAAATTGGAAACATCTCTACTTCTACCGTTACGAAGAGAGCTAACAAAGTGGAGATCGAGTTGAAGCCTCGTTTCCCATTATTCGGGGGATGGAAGACCGATTATGTTATTGGATATAATGTCCCATCGATGACTTTCCTTTACAACAAGGGTAATGACTATGCTCTGAAAGTCCCTTTCATCGATCATGTCTTTGATAATGCTGTTATTGAGAAGGCTGTCGTCAAGATTGTTTTGCCAGAAGCTAGCAGGTATGTTCTCATACGCCTTTCTCTATTCTGTGCCCTGGTTTAGTAACATCAAAGTTGTGAATCCGTTCGATCTCACCAGGAAGCCCGATGAGGTCCACAAGACTTATCTCGATACTACTGGAAGAACTGTGATTGTGTTCGAGAAGGAGAACCTCATCGACAGTCACAGCCAGGCAGTCACTGTAAGTGTTTATGATCTTCGTTTTCTTTGTTTGGTATAATTGCCCACCAAACTACGACTTTCGAAGCATTTTGGCGGGACTACAACTTGCTTTTAGGTCTACTACGAATTTGAACGGTACCTGCTGTTGAGAGAACCTTTGATCGCCGTGGTCTTCTTCTCTGTAATCTTCGTCACTTTCATCTTACTCTCGTGGTGTAACTTCTCCATTAAAGTAAGTAAATCAGTATGTTTTATTTATCTGAATGGTTTCTAATGTCGTGTGTTATTTTTAGGACAAGCCTGAAGTTCACCAGAAGAAAGAATGAGCCGTATATTTATTTTTAGTTTTATTTAAATTATTTGTTACATTTATTAATAACTAATAAAGTTGTTATAAATTATTATAATTATAAATTTATTAATAATATTAGTTCGGATATGTCACAGAACCCGTCAAGGATGTATACAACTATATTTTACATGGTCTTCCTGCCTTCACCATATTTCTCGATCTGCCTAGTGACCGTTTGTTCATCCACCACCTTCAGATCATAAGCCCATCCTATCCTCGCGAAAAAATCGATCACGAATCTACTCCAATTGAAGAGATATGACATTTCGGAAGCTCTATAATCCTGGGGGAAGGTGTGATGATAATTGTGGCCTCCTTCTCCCAAAGCTGTTACGGAAGTCCACACACTTTCGACTGCGGTGATGTTCCTGTCGTAAGGTTTATAACCAAACAAGTGCGCCACGGAATTTATGAACCAGGTCACGTGTAAGGTCCAGCAATAACGGAGGACTACTGCGCAATAGAACGCGACATAGACCTTCTCCTTCCAGAAGTACACAGGCAAGGCAGTGGGGATCAAGCCGGAGAACAAGAATGCCAGAGTCAGGAAATGTCTGAAAATAATGCACCAGTTTAGACAACATTGTAATTGTATTAACACGAAAAAGTCTCGCCATTACTCAACCTACCTCTTCTGGAACGCCAAGATTGGATTAGCGTAGAGGTCCGAGAGGTCTAATTTGGCTCCCATCTCCTTAATCTTTGGGTGTTTTCTCATCAACAGCCATCCCATATGAGAGAAAAAGAATCCGCGACGAGTGTTGTGTGGGTCGGCATCAGTGTCAGTCCATTTGTGATGACATCTGTGATCTCTTGACCATTCAATAGCATCATTCTGGAAGGCGATGGTGTTGGCCACCATGAGAATAAACTGAAGGGGAGTTGCGGCCTTGTAACTCTTGTGGGCCCAGAGTCTGTGTGCTCCCACGGTGATTCCCATTCCGCTGATTATGTAGAGAAGGACCGCTAAAATACGAAATTGAGATTTAAAACGTCCTGTTCGTATATGCAAATAAACAAACTGATGAACTTACTAAACACCATAGTCTGCCATTTCGCCAAGAAAATGAACTGATATAGGCCGATGAGAGCACCGATGTGTAAGGCGATGAAAATGATTACATTTCTCCACACAATCTCGGCTTTAAACTTGTTCTGAAAAAAATAGAAAATTTTCATTTATAGCTGAGAGTCACTCATTCAAAATATAAAACTTGTAAACAATGACTTTTAGAATACAAACCTTTTCCGCAAACTTCTGAAGCTGGATCATTTCATCGAGATCAGCCGCCAAGTACTGATTTTGAATAAGGTCATCGACCCGAGTGTTGTGATCGATGGTCGTTACCTCGAGGCTCGAATCCATGGCCATCTCTATTCGTATACAATGATCCTTATTTGTATACAACAATGACTCTCGGATTATTCTGAGTGCCCCTTTTATAGCCTCTTCCCCTTACTGTAGAAGTGTTCTGAAAAGGGGCGGAGCCAACGGTCATCCCATTCGGAAGGGAATTGGTTAAAATAAACATTTTGACTAAATTGGGCGACCCTGAAATCAAGGCATCTTGCTATTTTGGCCCCGTATCAGAGAACGAGTTCATCTTTTTCCGGACCTTGTCCGTGATCCATAATGGGAAGGAGATGGGACCACGGAATTTGCAACCAAATAACAATCACTTACGCCTTCTTATGGCTTGAAGATGTGAATTCTTGGAAACAAAAATAATGCATGCACTAAGAATGCTATTTCGTAACTCCTGGATTACTGTACTTATTTTTAGAACATTATTATATAAGCTAAGACTAAGAAAGTAAGAAAGAGTTGATGTCAACAACGTGATAGTTGTCTCATGATCTGTAAAATAATTTGCAGGGTGTCTTTGGTCTTTGTTGTTTATAATTTGGTTGAAAGTGCATTCCGATCTTTTGTGGTACCACTTAAAGTAGACAAAATTAATGTATTTATTTGCCTACAGTAACCTCTGATGTCACCAATTGTCTTCCAGATTTGTAGATAATTTATTCCAAGGGACTACGAGATAATATTTTGTAGAAAGTACCCAAACTTCTTAGACTCCCCCGATTCTATCCGCAAACTTCTGAGAATCCAAATTGTGTTCTTATACTATCTATCCATTTTTGTAAGCAATTACTGTTTGCTGCATGACGTCCATGCATTATGCCCATGAAAACTTTTAAAATGGCTTCAATTGTAATACAATTAAAATACAGGGCTATTATTCCTCTAAATGATGACCAAAATAATGTTGCCGAGTACTTTTATTAAGTCTAAATCCTTCGTAAGCCGGTCTTAAATGAAGAACGGGGGTTTGATCGCTGATGAGACCACCAGGCAGTCCAATCACACTAGACTAGAGTGGGGAGAGACGCCGTCAGAACGGGTGGTCAGGTCACGGACTCCGCCCCCAAGTGGCACCATTCGTTTATCTCCAAAGTCCACGAAGATACACTACACCAGATTCATTGTCCATTCCTCGAATCAGCTGTAGAAAGTGCAGAGAATAGGATGATAACAGACCGGGTAACTGGATGCAACGTGATCCGACGTCATCATTTACAATGTTTTGCTCACTATAGTTAATAGTGATCGGTACTTTGATCCTATTACTCCACTCATCGATCAATCGGATCCATTGCAACATTTTGTGCATTGTACCGGCAGCTCTCTTCAAATTCGTTTTATTTAAACGTTCCTTGATTCTTGTCTGATTTCAAAAAATAATAAATAAAAATGATTCATTTTTTAAAAATTACAGAAAACTTTTTATTTTATTGAATGTCAATACGAATTACTTGCACTTTATATTGGGGAATGGGAGGCGGCAGCAGATAAACGACCGGTCGGATGGACACAAAAATGGGAGTAGGCGGCGGCCGAGAAGGGGGGAGTTCGGGTATAACATCAGATCTGGAAGGTGGAGAGCTGCGGTCTGAAAAGAGACAGGGTTCTTACATCGGTATCGGAAATGAACAAAACTATCGTGAACAAAGGAATGACCAATGTCTCAAAAGTTAATGAATCATGTAACAATAGTCTACATACAAACTTCAAAATCATTATTTTTATAAAAATAGATGACTATACCTTTAGCGTAATATCTCGGTTTAATAAAAGTATCTTTGCGTAGTCTTGGGCGGACTTTGGATCCTTGGCCAAGTGGATGGGCAGAAGAAGATCGTCGCCGCAACTTCACCTCCTTCCGAACCCCCTCAGACATCATGAACAAGGTGAATAAAGGAGGGAATGAAAAGGGAATTAATCAAATCAATGATAACGAGGAATTAGTCAATCAGCCGAGCCGGAGCTCCCCCGTTTTTTGAAGGGATTGAGGAAGTTGATGGCCTCGGCGATGTCCTCTTTTCGGCTCTGATTCGAGGTTTTTCTGGACCCCGATCCTCCACTTTCTATTGATGTGGACTTGCCCGTTAATTTTCGTGGAAAAAAGTCCTCGCCTCTCTCATCGACGCTGTATGAGCGGTTCTTCAAATCTTGTTCGTAACCAATCTGAAATTTCGTTGTCTTACTCTTAATGAGATTAACCCAAAGAAGAAGAGTACAAAAGATCACAGACATTTAAGGAAAACTTTCTATGAATTATTACATAACAAGGTCTGAACCAAACACCTTGTCATGATGACATAAAAAGCGAATGTTTTGCAAATAAAGTGAGCAAAGTGTCCCCGAGAATTGAATTAAGGTCCCGTCAGCAAATAAACATGGGTCAGAACCGCTTCCAGAGCTATGTGACTGAGAAAGAGCCAATTAATATTACCTCTATCCTCTCGATGATTGTATGAAGAAGGAAACGCCACAAAATCAGAGCCTCATCCACCTTCTCGGGGGTCCAGATGGAATGTTTACGGGGTAACTCGAGGTTCTTCCGGATTTGATACAAGGCACACTCCCTGAAGACCACCCAATAACACTGCTTAAAGCCGACGGCGGCTTTTAATCGACCGTGCCGTCTACCGAGGTTATTCAGGATATTATCCATGGATTGGAGATGATCCAGATGTTGAACTCCGCTTTCCAGTACCTGCAATAACATAAAAGTGACAATTAACAAACCTGAACAAATCGGAGGGCTTGAAAGGAGAATTCATTGTTGACAACTTCGCTTCCATCTGCATTGTACTTCAGGAATGGAAATAAAAGTTTGGCCTCAGGGCACTGAAATCACAGTAATTGGAATGACCTCTGGGTTATTAATTCTTTATTGTTTTTAATGGACAAACATCATATTCAGCACGCCAAGATGCTGTGTACGTCATTATTAAAACGAAAGGAATGTAAACAAATGGAGATAACCTAATCTAGAATAATGAGCCAAAACGTAAACGCTTCAGAAGTGAGAATCTCAATTTGGATGACATTTCAAAAGAAATCAGACCCAATGCAAATGAAAGTATTCTAGAAGAACTGACCTGATCAAAGATCATCTTGTAGATGTCCACCCCAAGCCCGACCTTGTCATTTTCGACCTGCTTCCATACCAGCCGAATCAATTCCTTGTCGCGGAAGCTGAAATCTGGCCACTCCATGGGGACTACTTCTTCGCTACTTGGCACTTCTTTGACGACTTTAATTAATGTCAAAGACCGGACTAGGCCAGTTTTTGTTTTTGGAATTCCGCTTTTTCTCTTTTTCTCCCGGCCGGAAATTCGTCTTCTGCCAAGGAAAAGAAAAAGTAAGTTACTTAAGCGCATCTTCCATTGGAATTCCAATTTTGGAAATAATTTTTATTCAAATCACGAGCCACCTCCATGGGGACCTGGAGTCTGTAATTGCAGAAGTGCAAGGTCAGACGGTCTTTTAATTAGGAGTAATCTTTGCTCCACTTGTAAGATCATATCTCATACCGAGGTCAGGAGTACAGTAACCCAAACAAAAGATCATGACTTTGGTATACATTTACTGTTAATAGTACTTGTCATTGTTTTAATTCACAATCGTTTTGATGAGATATGGGTAATTTTCATGTTGCTGAATACTTGCATAATAAGTAGTATGTAATAGGCGTATCTAGGACTTTCATAATATGATGAGATCTGTTGTCAGTTTGATGTTTCCAAAGGTTTCTGAGCCTCGGTCTCCTCAAGAGATCTTCGGGGTTTCGCCCATTCCTCGATACTGGCTGAAATTTATTCGAAATTAGACCAAGAATTAGTTCAGACAAGGCATGCACTGAATACAATCAAAAGAAACTCAAGGAAAAATAGAAACACGCAAAAATGCAGGATAATACAAGACGAATTTTAAGCAAGGAGCGCACGTCGAGTAAGAATATATTACAATACAAAAATTGTTTGGTACTTGCCCGTCCCCCAGATCTGAAAGGCGACTCCAGTCGAGATGAGAATAAATGCCATGATAAAGAAGGCCATCTTCCATTCCTCCTTGGTATCATCCACAACCACCAGTCCTATCATGTAAGGAGCGGCGACCGACGCAACTTGAGCGAAGAATCGGGAGAAAGAGGCCACAGACGACGTATATTTGGGGGCCACACATACCACACTGGTGTTGTAGCCAGGGATAAAACCCGAAGACAACCCCACAGCCATGGTTGCCAAGAAAATGGCCACATTTGCAGTGTTGCAATCACAATACGCAATCAAAATGTAGCAGACCCCGGCGCCAAAACTGGCTAGAAATTGCAAAAATTTAGATTGAAAAGTATATAATATATCGGAAGAGAAAGCAACCCAAGTCTTACCCAAAGAGTTGAACAGTTTTGTGACCCCATTTAGAGTCATTATTCCTCGGGATTTGAGATAATCCGCCCACCAAGTGAACAAAATCTTGGTTATTAATTGAACAACGAAAGGTAAAGCTGACATTATTCCATTCTGAGGAGGTACTGATATATCATTTTTTTACTTACTCGACTTAATTTTAGACCAAGGATATTCTCGTAATAAGCAGGGAGATACACAATCGTGCCGACATTCATAAAGTTCTGGCTGAAAGAAGACAAAGCGATAGCCCACACGCTGAATGAGGTCACAACCTTGCCCCAGGGCGTCACAATTTTCTCGCCTTTTAATTTGGCCATATGGCCATCAGCGCGGATCAGATCAAGTTCCTCTTCTGGACAATATCGCGGGTTCTCGGGAGTATCATCGATATAATAGAGCCATGAGATCAGCAAGAACACCCCCATTACAGCTAAAGTAATTCAATTTCTTCTGGTAACCCATTTATAACTAGACATGGCTCCCGGACCGATCTTTCGGCCCTCGGGCTGGAGGGGGCCCGTTTCAAAATTTCTTTGGCAGTATTCTAACATAACAAAAATTGGTACTACCTAGCCAGCCAAAAGCTCCAAAAAAAAATAAAAGACAAAAACGGCTGTAAATTCACCAGACGTTTACTTTGACCGTCATTTGACACATACATATACAAAAAATCTTCCCTTCATTTCTCCAACTTTAATACTACAGTTTATCTTTTTACTATAAGCTCAACTCACCGGACCGCCCGCGAGCCATGTCAAAATTATAACCCTTACCATAGACATAAAAAGCAGAAGGCCATCCACCCAGCATAGTCCATTGACAGAGGTATGCAGTTAGGAGTAGTGCCACAATAACTGATACTTGATTACCAGTGGTCGTAATAGCAATGGCAGTGGATTTCTCTTTCAACGGGAACCATCGAGCCACCAAGACATTCATACAAGGAACTAGGACCACTTGGCCACATCCCATTAATATTCGAATAAAGATCAACGCCCAAGCACCGAAATATCGAACAATCTCGGGGGACATTATAGTACCCACAACATTGATGACAGCCCCGATAAAAACAAGTTGTTTCGGACCAAAACGATCGCATAAATAACCTCCAGGTATGACCATAAACAGCCCTCCAAAGTAGAAGGAAGTAAGGACATAGGCCTGTTCCTTCTTCGTCAACACTACATCTGCATTCTGAAGGGGTACCGTAATATAAAAAGGATTACTTACAGATATAATAACAGGATCCAAGACCGAGGTATTCCTCTTTCCATCCACTGCAGATACGCATTCCTCGGAGATTTGATGTGTTTTGGCTTGGTCTGGAACGCCTGAGGCGGTCTTATTCACCATGCAAACCATGGCCATATTAATGTTGGATCTCATGAAACCCTCGACGGATAAGGCCAATGCGAGGATAATGGCGACTCGGAAACGTCGTGAACGCCATGACCAGAGATTGGAATAGTGATTCGCATAATCCGGGGACTTTTGCGTGTCGGAGGGACCCGTTTTCGACAAAAATTGGGACTCTTGTCCCGATTTCTGGACTAAAAATAGCATTTAAAACAAGAATAAGCGACAAGAATTCGATAACAGTGGTCTAAACTCTGTTTCAACCATCACTAATCAGCCAGTGTCACATTGCATTTTTTAAATTTTTCAAAATTTCTTTTCAGTTCCCAAGTTTCAAGGTTAATTTACTTTACTCGTTAAAACTTTTCAATGGTAAGTATTAAAATTAAATAGTAGAAAATAGTGAAATCAATAACGATCCAAACAAAACGAGACATAAGAGATTAGAGAGGCTGTGGATTACCTCAATTTAGCTCCAAACTAATTAAGTTTATCATTTTTTATATTAATTTATACTACTAATCTCTCCCTCTTTTCATTTTCATGTTTATTTTCTAAAAAAATTCTGATCAACAAAACAACAGCACTTACCCTCCTCCATTCACTGGATACAAACTCAGGGTTTCTGCAATGAGAGTTTAGTTATACTAGAGATTAATGCATTAATGCCCGGAGGGGAAGAGGCCGTAAGCGGGCGAACTCGCCCTGTTTTCATACTTATTTACAAACAGTATTTAGAAAATAAAGTTTTAAAGATTAACCAAATGATCAACAACGCCTTTACTTTATATATTACATTACTTTTTCTGTATTTATTGTACAATTTAAAAAAAACTATACATGAGGAATCAATGTTTTTAAAGCGGCTTTATGTTTACCTATTTTTAAAAAAATAGATAAACATACGAATAATCTTGCAAAAAAGGACCGCAAAGGACGGCATTCCTGCAGTCAATTCTCATTGGAAGTGCCCATTGTATAATAACTCCCAGAAAAAAGAAGGGAAAATCAATTTGGGGCCCTCAGGCAACGGATTTCATTAGATCCAGCCCCAAAAAATACAATTACTTACATTTACACCTGAACATTAACGCCGTTACCCGTAAAGAAATCCAATTCCAAACTCATGTTGGTGCCGTAAATAGCAGCAAAAGAGTAATTAAATTGTAAGTAATTCGAAGGGAGAGAGGCGATGTTATACATGAAGTGAAGGGCCAAAGACAGTTATGAATCTCACATCTTTCATCAACATACAGTAGCCCTGATGTGTAATCGAGTCATACGCCGAATTTGCGAGTATTGCACGTTGTCTAGAAATGGTGTCATTGTGACATTCGAACAAATTAATTATATTATTCATAACCGAGTCGATGCTTCACTTATACTACATCCATCTCAAATTCCTACGATTCCATAGTGTACGGTAAGCCTTAGCATTTCTAGTGACACATTTTCTAGAAGTTAAAATTCCTGGAAAATTTTGCAGTGAAGCATTATGCCAGAGTTCAATTTTCGTTTCAGGATCATGCAGTAGACGTCAAAATTTATCCGAGTGGACGATTTCTCTTGGCGAGTTCAGTAAATTGCAAGTTGCAAATTACGACCAACTCGTGTTGAAGAACAGCCTCAGAATATGTCGACCAAGACCAAATTTTCCAAGGAAGATGAGCTTCTCCTTCAGGTAGGTATAGAATGATGTTATGCAGCTGTTGGATGACAATCTTTATTCATGGTATCTTTTTTTCAGGACTTCTCCTCCTCCATTAGCACAAAGACGTCCGTTGTCTTCTACGTGATTGCTTTCTTAGCTTCCTTGGCCCCACTTTACTTGTTCTATGCTATTCATCAGATGGATGTTGCTGATTCCTGGTTCATCTGGGGTGCTGCTTCGGTTGGAGTGTCGTATATCCTAGCCCAAGCCTACAAGAACGTCAAACACGTTACCAAGCATGAGTAAGTATTACTGCTTGAGGTCTTTCTTCCATTTTTATTCCGATTTCAATCATATTACTTCAGTGTCGTCCGCAAACGTGGAGAAGCCATCACCCGTGACGTCAACAAACAACTCGCTGAGGACAAGAACATGTCCAAGAAGGAGAAGGACGAGAGAGCCTTGTGGAAGAAAAACGAAGTCGCTGACGCCGAAGCCAACCACTTTACTATCTTCTTCAACAACGTCGTCTTCTACGCTTCCTTTATTTTCCTCTCTTTCTTCTTACTTCAGAACGCTAATCCCATCTTCAACTGTTTGGGATCAATGTATGGTGCCGCTGGTATCGCTTATCTGTTTTCTACTGCTAAGTAACCAATCGTTGATATTAACTTGATAATGATGTTTCGATAATTTATTATGTATAAGATAAAAGTAAAACCCGAGTTTTGATTAATCTGTATCCATGACTTCTTTGACGTCGTTTTCCTTGTTCCCGAATATGGCTTTTCTAATGCATTCCCCCATCAGACCTTGAAGAACTTCACATCCCAGCTTCTGGCCGTCCCTGGTCGCTTTGCTCAATCTTTCCGTGAACAGAGCCGAGTTTTTGTTTCCAACCTAAGCATAACGTTATACGAGCAAATTAAACTTACTTGTTCTAATTTTGCAGCGAGATCCTTTAACTGTGAAGTCAAATAATCGGCATTCGTTTTGAGAGAATTGGATGATAGAGTATTCGTCCAATAGGTCGTCCACATAGCATTTAGAATTGCCGTATCCAACGAAGACTTGAAGTAAGTAACATTGAGAGAATAATAATTTTTACAATGAACTCCAAAGTCTTCGATTTTGTTCAAAGGGATACTCTGATATTCGGATGGCCCTTCGTCTGGAGGTTTGTATCCACGAGGATAAGTTCGGAAAGCTCCAATGTCAACCTTTCCGGCCGAGATAGTTCGAATCGGATCAATCTAAAAATTAAACAAGCAAATAATTTAATTACTTACAACAACGGCGACGAATGGCTCCTGATACTGTTGGTTCAAATTCTGCGTTCCCACATCAATACCACTGAGCCAACAGCCGTAACCAGGATGGCTGTGATACCATCCAACCACCTTTTCAAACCTTCCTACCGCTTCACAAGTCTCAGAGTAGTTGGTCATGTACTCGTAAGCCTGGGCTTGAGCATTGACTCGGGTCTCGGTTCCCTCAACAGGTAGAGCAAAGCTATCCATTACAATGATAGTGTTAGTCTCAACTCGTCCTTGCATCAGACCCATTACTTCGATATTTCCACCGCTTTGTGCATGGATTACCATCTTCAATAGTGCAAGTGCAGACATTTTTACCTCCTAAAAACATAACCTAAATTTCAAAAGCATGGAGGACCTTCAAATAAGAAACAAACAAACCTTGAAATAGTTCGGGTCTCTCTCCCATGGCTTCAAAGCTCTGATAGATTGTTGTTCCTCTTTGTTATATTTGAAAATCACATCAGACGTCTGAACGTTATTTTCAAGAAGCCATCGTTTCTTGTGCAACTCCAAAGCAGACCCTTCAGCCATCTTGGTACTATAACACGCGAATTCGCTTCTTCTCTCCGAAAATATTTACTTTTTTCTCAGCTGCGCCCTGGTATGGGATTTTATGGTTGCAATGTTATACGAACACAAACGCGGCCGCGGCAAAACTTATTTCGAAAAAACCCCTCAAAATTTGCAGCGCTAGCGCGCTCAGTTTCGTACATAACGTTGCTGGTGGTTGCCAGGGGTGGTCAGCCCGCGCTGAGAAACGGATTGACAAACGGACCGAGGCAAAAATCCGAAAAACCTGTCGCTGACCACCCCTGGTGACCACCGACCTTCTAGATGGTTACCTTCGATGTTTCATCAACTCCGGAGGCACGAAAAAGGACGGGGCCTACTTCCAGTGTTATGAAAACCCAGGTAATTCGTCCTCTGCAAACAATAATAAACGTAATATTTCAGTCTAAGACAGTTGAGTCAAGGATTCGATTTCTGGACAGTAAGCTTGTGCCGGTTGTGGCTAATCTCTTCGAAGGAGAGAAACTTTACGTTTTGGATGACGAAAAGAGAGTAAATTGTTAATTTTACAAAGATTTGACGAATTTAGGTAAATATCTTAGACTTGGGGTTCAAAGAATCAGTTGACGATGGTGTTCATCTTCGAAAATCCATGGATTCTGGTATCATTGAAGGTTTGAGGGTGGTTGGAAACCCCATGGAAGTCAGCATGCTGGACATCAGCGGCGAGAAAGAGAATTTGGATGGTAGAGTTTATGTCGACGGCTGTAATCGGTTTGTGGACAAGATCGAGATGGGTCCTCATGCTGTGCTGGATGGACAAAAAGCCTTTCTTCAGTGAGTTTATGTGATTTCTAGTATATACGTCAATTTAGGACGAATACCAGCGCATTTCGATGCAAATTGGCGGGCCTGACCGGGGCCAAAGCTTTGAGTGAATTCAACTTGATCGTCCTGACTGATGGGTCTGACGTCTCAAATAATGTTGCCTATGGATCTAGAGTGACCAAGAATGGCGATTCGGAGATCAGCGTCAAGTATCTTGGTAGGGCCAGTTTCTATAAAATTTACAGGATACGCCGGTTTTGTGGCCCGAGTTGAATTGGCTATACTGGTCGACAAAATTTTCGTTCCATCTGGATCTCGGTAACCGCTGGGTCTATAAGCTTAAAATTCGTCACAGAAACACTCTGGGACAATCTAACCCCGTACCCAAAAAAATCTTATCATTAGGTGCACATTTTATGCACGTTTTTTACAAAGGGCTAAAAACGGTATCACAAAATTTTCTTTCCGCTTTGAAGATTACGTTTGTAAAACATAAGGGCGATGCGCACTTCCAAGGTTTCCAAAAACTGAAAATCACTGGCCCGCCCTATGCTATCAATCTGCATATTATTTATGATTATTCAGGTTATTTTGATGCATCCTGCATGATGAGAATTGGAGTAGCAATCCGACGACCCGATCTTGAGCTAATTAACGTGACCTATCATGGATTGTATGGGGCCCTTAGCGAATCTTTTGAAATCCCACGCTTTACCGAATGGCCGATTCCAGTGGAATTGGCAGCTCTTTTACCAAAAGAAGATGATCCTCGGAGAGAAGAGAACTTCTCTGAAGAGTTGGTTCGAGGATCGTTTAAGGTTGCTATGCGTTGGAAGGAGTCCGAGCAGATGATCACCCAATTCAAGGCGAATAAAGGGCGGGCGAACACGAATCCCTTTAAATATTTCCAGACCCCGAATACAACTGATGAGGCCTTGTTGGTAAGGTTTATCTGTTTCTTTATTAATTTTTTAGACGATCTCTCCGGGATGGCTGGATCCCCGGGTAAAGGATTTCGCTCGTTCGATGAAACTGAGATTTGTTAAAGTAGGTATTCATATGTATTTTCGAACATTATTTTAGATGCTTTTCGACAAGTCATCGGAAGGGAAGGTTTCCTGGCCAATGGTGCAGGTCCAAACTGAATTGGTGGAACGGTTCAAGACGTTCTTCATGACCTCACTTGCCAATCCCATTGAGGATTTCGATGTTTTTGAAGGATCGTGGGACTTTTTTGCCGCTGCTCGATCATGGGTTACGCTGAAAGAGATGATGTCATTCCTTGTGGAGCTCATAAAAAACGAAGAAATAAAGCATACTCATGTAAGTTGAACGCTTTAGCCTCATTTATTGCCGTTTCAGGTTCACACTGACGGTATTTCGCAGTTTGCCAGTGCCGTTTCCAAAGATTATAACTTGGCCAGGTCAAGGTTGGACGAATCCCGTGTCGTTGAATATTTGATACAGCTGGGAATGGACCGTATTCGTCGTGAACTCTTGATTGAATTGGGAAACGAGAAAGCGGAGGCTTTGAGTTATCTGGACCTTGAGGATGTGGATATCGAGGCTGGTCTGCAGAGAATGTTGGCAGTCCATTTGGCCCTCCAGACATACGACCTCTGTCGGAAATACATCGACAACTCTGCTTTTGTGGACAAAATGTTTGGGTAAGTCACTGTTGTTGATTGACGTAAGACGTTTCGCATTTCAGAACTTTCCTCCGCAGTTCCGAGCAGGTCAACTTTGACAACGTGAAGGAGCTTGCTGTCGATATCAAGGTAGATGTCCCAAGCCTCAATCGAGAGTTGTTCGCTATGTAAGTTTGGGGTTTGAGTCGTTACAATACTAGTTCGCGCTTCTATTTAGCATCTTTTTTAGTAATAATCTGCGAGAATGGTCTGTTACCTGTGATTTCAACGACGCCAAGCATGGTTCCAATCAGATTTACGTTTATTTGAGCCGTAATCCGGAACTTAGAATCTCCGGGAAGTTGAATAAAGCCGAATTCCGGATGTACAAATACCAATTCGAAGTTCCTGACATGGCGTCTCTGTTCCACACCTATCTCGCCAACGTCAACGATAACGTTTTGACCGGCCCTGGTAGCACAAAAAATCAAATATCTTTCCGAAGCAATCGCTAAAGCTAATATATTTATTTATAAAGGAACATTTCTATGGGGTATGGAATTACGGGTCGGGACATACATGAAAAAATGTTTTTACATGTCAGAAAAATTTTGTGATTTTGATGTGTCTCGAGCGGTGACTCCATACCCTTAAAAGTGCTTTCCTAGCAAGCGATATTTGATAAACCGGTATTTTATTTTTAAGATCGTTTGCTCGGTAGGATCGTATGATGATCTGAATTATTTTATTTTGCTGTATAAGTCTTAACTGACTTGTGCTTGTAGCATTGAATCTGGAGCTTAGTACCCAAATAGGCAAGTCCCGCGAGATTATGAGGTTCCTGGGAATAACAGGGAGCATTGAATACGGTCAGACATCTGTCGGCAATGGTGACTTCAAACCAATCACACAGTGGTGGGCTCTGATAACCGGATCAATTCTTGCCGCCAGATATAAATCACCTTGGTTATATAACAAAAGTCATTGACTCCATATTTCCTCCTCAATGGCTGGGAAGTCAAAACGGTTTTCTATTCCACAGCACAAATCGGATAGTCAAAGTTTGTTGTTGGAAAAAAAGTAAAAATAGAAAAATTTTGAATGTAGCGGTTATGATACACGAGCGAATTGATCATAATCGTCGCAACATTCAAAATTCCCGATGCCTGTTGAAGGTGACTTCTGCCGTTCTGTGAAGGCATTCTGACTGTTTGACTAGCCATCTACGGATTTCGGATGTCACTGCTACTCTTTGACACCAATTCTAAACTATTGGCTAGCTATTTTCGGCGCTCAGGCATTCTGATACCTTCGCCAAAGGGAAATTTTTTTTGGCTCTCATGCTAACTCATTGGCAATCCCAAACAATTTTGCAAATAGAGGTAGCGCAAAATTTGCATAAACTAGTGAGTTGATCATTTAAAAGTTGTATTCATGAATACTGAATATATTCAGTGTCCAAACTTCAGCTCTGCTTGTCGGTCGTTTTTTATCGTCTCCATTCCGAAGATGGGTAAAGAGAAAAACAAGGAAACCAAAACGGAAGAAAACGTAAGGTTATTTCGAAATTGAGTGAGACTATATGTGCAGGATAATGAGGACGACATTTCGATCACCGATGACATCCGCGGCGCAGAATACTACCATGGTCTTGTGCCTCGAACAGATATTGAACCGCTTCTGAAGAAAGAAGGAGACTTTTTGTTGCGTAAAACGGAGCACAATCCTGGTAAGAGACGGCGAATACTTCAACAGCCTTCTGTAATAAATATAAGGATGGTAACATACGCATCAAATCGGGTGTCGCGGCCTGAAACCGCGATTCCTTGTCTGTCAGGCCTCTATACAAGAAATGCGCAATTCTTGTCACCATCCTAATATAGGGTGTTCCAAGAATCATGGAAAAAACTATTCATTAATAACTTTGTGCTCGGTGGTCCAATCCGAAATTTTTTTTTGCATTTTGCAGAAAAACCTTGGAGTTTTTAGAATCAAAAAAAAATTTTTTTGTTTTATCGGCGGAGACTTCCATAATCCGCCTTGAATTCGGTGGAGTGCGTTTTTCACAAACGAGGCTGTAAAAATTGGTTCATTTTTTTCTCCGCTGATTTCTCCGCCGAATTGCCTTTTTGTCTTCTCCCATATGTTTTGGTTTTAGCCAATTTTGACTCCCCAAATTCGAAGAAAAATCGTCCGCCGAGGTTAAAACATGTCTCCGCCGAATGACAAAAAATTGAAATTAATGTCATATTGTATCTTCTGAATCCTTTCCCGCCCATTTTCTTCACACAAACAACTATTTACAGCCTCATTTGTGAAAAAAACACTCCGCCGAATTGAGAGAGGGAGGATTACCGAAGTCTCCTCCGATCAAAGAAAAAATTTTTTGTTGATTCTAAAAACTCAAAGGTTTTCCTGCAAAATGCAAAAAAAAATTTTCGGATTGGACCACCGAGCACAAAGTTATTAAAGAATAGTTTTTTTCCATAATTCTTGGAACACCCTGTATAATGAAAATAATTGTTCCAGGAGTGATTGTGTTGGCTCTATCTGTAAGGCATGATGGTCATATCCGGCATTTTATGATCAATCAAGACGAGGACGGCTCTTTTTACCTGGAACACCATCGGGAAAAGACGGTCGCAGAACTCATAAACTGGCATCGGTCCACTCGAACACCCCTCTCAACCGCCACTCCAGCCAAACTCAGACGTCCTGTGGAAAGACCGGCCTGGCTTCTGAATCATGATTCCATCAAGTTGTCCAAGAAGTTGGGAGAAGGCGCTTTCGGAGAAGTTTATTTGGCTGAATTCACAAACGCGGCAGAGAAGGTGGAAGTGGCTGTGAAAACGATGCGAGAAGAAGCAACCAGAGAAGCCAGACTCAAGTTCATGAAGGAGGCTCGACTGATGAGGAAATTCCAGCACAAACACGTGGTTCGTATCCTGGGAGTTGCGGTTCATGAGCATCCCTTGATGTTGGTCATGGAATTATGCCCTGGGGGCTCTTTGTTGTCATACCTCCGAAAGAACAAAGGAAGTGTGAATCAACAAACCAAACTCAGATTTGTCTCGGAAGCTGCTGAAGGACTGTTCTTTTTGGAGCGCCAGAAATGCATCCATCGTGACATTGCGGCTAGAAATTGTCTTTTGACCGCCAAGTTGGATGTGAAGGTAGCCGACTTTGGAATGAGCGATGATCGGGTTTCCGTACATGATGACAAGTTGGATAAGGTTCCCGTGAAGTGGCTCGCCCCCGAGACTATGCAGAATAAGATGTATTCCAACAAGACAGATGTCTGGTAAGCTCGGTAATAATATATTAAGGTCCATTTAGGTCCTTTGGAGTGCTTGTTTGGGAGATTTATGCAGACGGATCCGACCCATACCCCGGCCTCACCAATATCCAGACCAGAGCCAAGATTGTTGTTCAGGATTATAGAATGGAAATGCCTAAGGGCACACCCGCCGCCATGAGTAAAATGGTCTCTCAATGTTGGGCCAAAGATCCCGAGAAAAGACCGGACTTTTCCAAGATCACCAAGATGCTCAAGGAAATGAAAGCGTAATTCCCGAATAAAGCACGCAGACCAACAATATTAATATACGAAAAGCGCCTACGCATGGGCACTTTAATCTTGATATAAAAACAAAGTGAATTCAAATAATTATAATTAAACTAGATATATTATCACATTCGAAGGCAGATTCTGGTAAAGGTTAGACTTGAGGCTGATAGTTTTGCGCCTGCAAGTCCTCCTCGTCATCGGTAACTGGCTCATTGTATTTTCGGAGTCTTCTTCGGTAATTGGTCAGCTTGGCGTCTTGCTCAGCAAGAAGAAGAAGGGTGTCGTCATGCTCTCGTCTGATGGAATTCAATTCATTCTTGGCACTTATCTACAATACATAACCAATTAAGTTCTGTAATATTTTTCAACAACTATAAAAAAACTCTTACTACTCACCAGTTCCTTGAATGATGAAGTAGTTAACTGTTTATTTGCGTCATCGAGAGTTGCGTTCAGTCGCTGAACTTCCACTTTGGTTCGCTCCAGCTCCTCCACCGCCTGTGTGTATGTTTTACTCTGCCCTTCGAAGCATTCCCATCCGTATTTTAATTGCTGTTCCATCTGAGCAATCTGTGAAGTTAGCTGTCCAATGACGGCGTCCTGAGGATTAGGGAGTTGTGCAAGTTGATATGTCTGCCATTGCTCGGCAAATGCCTTGTAGCGCTCTGCTTCTGATTGCCATTGCCGTGCCACTCTACAAAGTAACTTTATTATGACCAGAGGCGTATCTGGGGAGCTTTTCTGGGGCAGGGGAGGGGTACGACATAGAAAAACACGAAAAGAAGCAACGACTGTCAACTTACGTTGCCATCTGTTCCGCTTGTATGGCCAATCCAGAAAACCTGATGCATTCTTCTTCCTTCAGACGTAATCTCTCTTTGACTTTACTCAATTCATTCTGTAATTCTTGGATTTCCGCGGTTTTCTGATCGTTTCCTTTAGGCTAAAAACATCAAATAAAATCAGTAGCAACAAAAACAAGCTATGAAGATGAAACACAAAGAAAAGAAACCGCACAATGTCCACAAATTCCCATACTTCTTGGTCGGGTGGAGTCCCATTTTCCTTGCTCGTCAGCTTCGCTCGATCCAACTCTTGTCTCAACTGGGCGATCTGTTCATCTTGTTGTTTTATCAGCTTCTTATACGACGTTACAACAGCCTCAGTGTTCGACGGATTGGCTTGGTAATCGCCATTGGGGCGAAAGATCTTCATCAAGATGCCTAAAACGGCAGTTACAGTACAGGGTGGCCAGAGAATTCCTCCACAAAGTTTTTGTCGATTTCTAATATCCAAAAAACTGATTTTTCAGTCGAAAAGAAAATGGCCGGTTTTTTGCCTAAAAAAATTCCACCAACGCGGAAAGTAGTGCATTCAACGGATACTTTTGATCGCTCTTTTGGTCATCACACTAATCTTAAACGGTTTATTTTGATTTCCTATGGCTGAAAAGAGGATGTTTGCTTATTTTTTTGTGTTTATCAAACATTTGTCGAAGGTAATGAAAGTTTGACCCCCTTCTAACTCGGTCCAAAGTGTACCAATTCGGACCAAATTTGGTACATCGTCTACTCACAACCTAGTAACAAAAAATAAAATAGCAGGATAAACCATATAGTTGTATTTCAAATTCCAGAGGCAATTTTCAAAAACCATCTTAAAAATCGGAGGAAAAGTTTTGACCCTTTAAAAAATGTTAAATATCGCCGGCGGATGCACCCAGAAACTTTCGCTTTAAATAAAGCGTTTAAAACTGGTGTGATAACCAAAAAATCTATCACAAACTCTCCGCCAAATACACTACTTTTAATTTTTTTAGGCGAAAAAATCCCTTCCTTCTACTGCGAAAGGAGTTTCTTGGATATCTTGTCTGAGCGCCAAGAAATCGACAGAAACTTTTGGGGAATTTCTATGGACACGCTTGTATATTAAAGTCAAATTACCTTCAGAACTTTTAAACAGCTTTGTGAATTGATACTCCAAGAGCAGATCATGGGCTGTGGTTCCCGAGGGTAGCGGTTTTTGAGCCGCTCTGATGTAATATTCGGACTTGGAAAGGGAATCCAGGCCATCTGCCACTTGGTCCAAGCCCACTCTTCTTTGTATCGTATCCATCAACTGTTTCCTAAAACAGGAGTCAACCATTGTTGAAAACACTTACTTTCGTCCGGCGTTATCAACAGAATCATAATAATGTACACAAACTCCCAGAACAAAAGCCATCAATCCCTTCAAAACTTGACTCTCTCCTTCTTTCAGCTCAGTGTTGGCGTTATTAAGATGTGATGTCAAATACTCCAAGTACCGGTCGTCATGAAGGAATTCTTCCACAGCTTCCCCACAATTCTGAAGCCATACTCCCAATAACATCAACAAAGCGCATCTTGTTTGCAATCTCCTTGCTCCCAAAGATACCAAGAGATTTCCAATATGATTCAGAAGAGAGCTGGGCTCTTCTCCTGGGACTGTGGACATCTGAACTCGAAGTAATTGAGGTTTAAGATGATCCGCATCATATAAGGTGTAGATCAAACAAACAGCACCGAACCAGACTTGGACAGACTCGGCACTGATAATGGCAGCGCAAAGATAATGCCAGAGGTCATCGTCCAGATTCTTCTCTTTATCCTCAGATTCAGCGGTAGGAAGAAGCGAGTTGATAATCTACAATAATTTACATATAAAAACACCACGAAAGATACCATACTCTTTGTTTTCCCGTGTCATTTCCATACAAGTAACATAAAAAGCAATAAAAGACAGAACATCGCAGTCTGAACAGCTGTTTCTCGGTGGTCATAGACATTAGAAGCACCATTAATGCCGATCTAAACAACAAAATATATAATTACAAATACACCTACTTTTCACCTTCCGGAGTTTGAATAGTACTTGAAGCCAAGAACTGTTGATTCGCATAGTTACCACGTATCACATCAGCGACAGTGACCGCCGTCTCACTCAAAACATCGACAGTAACAACAAATTCGGACAATAACGTCTTTACCAGTAATTGAATTAGGCCTAAAATCAAACAAAAATAAAACAAATGTAGCCATCTTACCTGTCTGAAGAATGGCCCTTTGAGAAGCATGAGTATTGGCATGGGTGTTATCAGTAGGGGATACCAAGGTCCTAATCACTTGCAAAATAAAAATAAAATTGGCAGTCTTCTGAGGTAACCAATCGGCTTCCGGGCTCTCCTCAAAGTCATCTGGAGGATATAAGAAGTCATTCGTCAGCTTTAGCAAGCGATTAATTAAGCTGAAATTGTAATTGAAGATAAAATAATAGCAGCTGATAACATTTAAAAAATTTTGCTATCCAAACGTCTAAAACAATATCACGAAAACAAACCTGGCCTCTCTAAAAAGTTCCTGATTGTTTGCATTCTTCTTTAAAAGATTCAGTATTACAAAGAGACAGTCTTCCACTACAATACTGTCCGCTGGCTCGTTCTCAATCACCTCAAATAACATTTGAAAACAATTTTGGAAGACGAGTAGCTGCTGAAGAGCAATATTTCCCCGGCTCAGTTCACTCAACATAAGGACAACATGGTTTCTGATGACTTCTCGCTGTTCATTGAGTAGATCAACAATCCTCGACGTTCCTGTTGGGTCTTTGACAATAGCTTCTTGTACTTCTCCAGCCCGATGTCTCAATAAAGTTGTTAACAATTGAATGGCATTCCTAAATTATAATAAATCAACAGTAGAAAACTTACTTTCTGACGGCAAAATTATCGTTCTCAAGACATTTCAGAATCGCTGGCATAAAAACGGGCTTGCGAACAATCAATTCAGCTAGCCGATCACAGATATCTTCCTCAAGATTGTCCTCATCATCGCCCAAAACAGCATTCAGAATCTCTAATACCATAGCAATTATGTCCAGTTCCTCTTCCGTATCCAAAATCTGCATGTACAGATGCATTCCAGCAGTAGCCACCAAGAGTCGTGCATTCTAAACAATGACAATACAATAAGTCAGCGCTTCTCTAAATATCGAAGAACTAAGTAAATCCCATACTTTGGCGCAAGATCTAAGTCCTTTCAACGCATTTCTTTTGTCCGGTAACGTAGAAGCGGTCTCCAAGCGTTCAACGAACTTCTCGACGAGCTCGGAGTTATCAGCACTCGGCTCCTCACCTCCTCCGAAAAAGTTCCGAAGGTACGACATCTACACGATCATCCAAGGACACGTTGAATTCCAATATTTTTTTTGGAATTTACTTCCAAATTTCTTTCCAACACATTATTGCGGAATGCCAAGAAATTTCGGAGAATATGATTTCAATTTGAGACCCAAATTTGAAAGTTCGTCCACAGAATTACAGAAATATCACGTCTTTGTGAAAGGACTGATGTGTAAGCCGTCGAAATAAATGTAACATTACGCAACGGATGGGCTTACGGAGTCTTATTCTTTAAAATCCTAATTGGAGGGGAGAAGCCCTATTTCGGATTCAAGCAATCGACCGAAATGCAGGGATCTGTTCTAGTTCTTCTATTATATTATATAAACATCCGTTAAGCAAGGCAGTCTTTTTAGTCATCGATGTCAAGCTTATTCTGGATAAAATTAAAACGAAGATAGACCCTTGATATTGAAGATTTGAAAGACCATATATGTCATCATGGGCGATCCTTGTGAGTCTGAACTTTTTATGTGTGCCCTGAGGGCCGAAAACACGTTTTGAAACTCAATTTTTCGTCACAGCCAGTGATCTATAAATAGAGAAAAAATGCTGCCTGCAAAGATGCTGATCTTTTAAAGGAAAATTTTTAAAAATGAAATATTTTGTAATGTTATCAGAAAGCACGCGCCTTACATTTTAATTAAAATGCGTAAAATAAATAACCGTATGACCGCTCAAAACAATAACGTCTAACCTTTTGAGTAAAATGTTTATCAGCAATCGATATTGATTATAACAATTAAACTTGAGTAAAGGAGTCGTGAATAACATAAATAAGTTTAACGCGAACGGCTTCTTCGCCCCAAGGGCATTCTGTTGGGATTTCCACCACCACCACCGCCCGCTCGGAATGGACTTCGACGGCGCGGAGGAGACCGACGGCGGTCGTAGCCACCAGGACGATCCCCTCCACCACGAGGTCGATCCCTTGTGGCCGGCATCAGGTCGCATTTGACAACCAGACCATCTATTTGACCTCCATCCATGTGTTTCACTGCCTTTTCGGCATCTTCTGCTTTCTCGAACTCGATGTAAGCTTGACCACGAGATAAATGAGAAAATACTGGGTCTGGGGGAAGATCTACCTTCTTCAAAGGTCCATAGGTTCCAAAGATTTCATTTAAGTGCTCCTTGTTCACATTTGTGGACAGACTCTTCACGATAATCCTGAAAAAATTATTGGTTATCTACGAATGAACGCGCCAATCGACGTAGATCATATTCCCACATAAATTAGCTAGGGATAACTCTAAACAAAAAAAATATAAGAAAGCCTTACTTGCTGGGTGGTGGAGTTTTAGAACGTCTGGGTTCGCGTTTGGGACTTCTACGTGGAGATCTTCTTGGAGATACAGATCTTCTAGAAGCGACTGTTCGATCTCCACGCGCTGGCCCTCCAACACGTCGAGGACTCCGGCTTCTGGACTTTCTGCGGTTTCTGTCTGTGGCGGAAGGCTTGTTTCTTCTGGGGCTTGGAGACCTTGATGAGGAGGACGAACGAGAAGAACTGCTGGAAGAAGAACTGCTTCCTGAAGAAGAAGACGAAGACGAGGAGCTTGAGGAAGCTCGACGACGTCGAGGAGATCTTTCAACCATCGTTGACAAGTGAACAGAAAAATAAAATATAAAACACGGCTGTTTCACACAACAGAAAAGCGGAGTTTGTCCTTTTTTGAAGCGGGGGCGCAGCTCGTTGAGACCAAAAGTGACTGTTTTCTAATACTTCAACTTTCAAACTAATAGTCGAAACAAAAATCGACCATTAACCACAAAAAATACAATTTGTCGTTAATCTAACGACATACTAAACACATTTCAGAAATTTGAGATGTCCGTGGTGCTAAATTAACCGACGTTGGGGATACCGTACAAAAACCAAAATGGGAATTTATATCACGAAGTGGATATGTAAACACATGATCCTGATTTCATAAATACCGAAAATGTCAAAAAAGGTTGACTGATCATGAAGTTATGACATCCAAAAGACATGCCAATTTTTGAAAATTTCGAAAGACTACAGTATCCTTTGAACTAACAGTCAGAGCAAAACGACCATTATTGAAACTACCTTGTCTTGGTTATATTTTAGTATACTGCATGGCTTTGAGGCTGTGTTTCTTTTATTTAATTAAAAACCCTGATTACTCTTTTACTATATATTTAGGTAAGCAATTAACTGTTACCTCATATGATGGCTTTATAAACCTTAACGCGCATTTTGAATTAATTATTATTCTGAAAAGGTAAATTGTTTTTTCTATTATTCTATTATAATATCAATTACATCACACTTCTGATGATACGGTACGATTTATTCCTAAACATGTTTCATCGTATACCTTGCTCTGCAAGCTGCGCATTTTTTGTTTTTTTTCACGAAAGCGACCTTTGAAAACGCCGTGAAAAGCGTCCAATTTTTCTTCGACATGCCAAGCTGGACTTGTTTTCGCTGCAGAACCCGCATCGGTCTCTCAAGGCAGTTCCGCAGTAGGTATACTGTAGTACGCGCGGTAAAGCTAAGGCACGCAACTTCTTGTCCACTAAATATAGCGGGTGTAGTTCGCGGAGGCCCCCGTACTGACCCTTTGTGACAATCAATCGAAAATAATTACGAAAAAATTCCAAATTTCACCGGCTTCGGGCTCCAAAATTTGCAACGAAAATTGCAGAGGTCAGTATGACTTTAGTAAACGTAAGCCCGTCATTTTTTGGGGGTGAAAAAATGGTGTGTTTCAGCTTCAATTTGATAAAAATTTTAATAGAAGTTGGTGCCCTATTGGTGGAGAAATACATGAAAAATGTTGAAGGTTCTGAGTGGCCCACCCTGTACTGCTCGACAATTAAAAATGAAGTCTCGATTTTGAGCCGGATTTTCCCGAAGGCACAAGGTGTTCCCTCGAATGGCCTCTTCGGTGCGTAACGCCAATTCAGGGTGCGTTTTAAAACTATTTTTGGCGACAATTAAAAATGATTGTTTTTTCCATAGTCGACCAGCTCTATCAACCTGTAGTAGTCATTTTCCAGAACGGTGGGGAAGTTCAGACCATTCCTTCGTCAGCATTTTTTGATTTTATCTTTAAAATTCCTTTCAATCTCCAAATTTTGAGAACTGAAAACATGCGGGACTACAGTCTTGACCCGCGTCAATCCAGCGCAGTTAAAGCTACTGTCTGACCAAGATTCGAAGATCGTAAAACAAAGAAGGAACCGTTACGCATTAATATTCTGAGCGGCGCCACACTTTTGTAATTGGCTCTTTAATTGGGCGCCTTTTCAGTTCGTTTGTCAGCTTCTGAATATGTTTACAGAGCAGTTCAGATGTCTCAAATGGCTAAAAAAGGGCAACCGGAAGTTATCGGTAACTTTATCTCCTTAATATTACTTTTGTCGATTAATACAATAGGTAAAAATCAAAGGAAACCAGGTCAATGAAAGATGGATTTATTTGTAGATAGTAAACTGACAATATTTATACTTATGTATAACCCCAAGCATTGTCTTTAGGTGGTACCTAAGTATGTTTCTCAGGTTATACTGAATAATTATTGTTGTGAATATAGTCACTGTACTTGAGAGGATTACTTTGTACTGTTCGGTTCGACTTGATGTATCTTCCGCATGTGTTTCTTGAGATCGAAATTCCTGCAAAATCCCTTGGCGCAGAGCTCACATTGATATGGCTTGGTCTGATTGTGGATGTGCATGTGGAAGGAGAGGTTGTAGGAGTGATGGAATGCCTTCTGACACACCTCACATTTGTATCTCTTCTCATTCGAATGGGTTAACTTGTGGTTTTTGTAGTTCCCATTCTGATGGAACCCTTTCCCGCAGAATTCGCAGACGTATGGTTTGAATCCTGGAAACGTTATCATTAATCCCATTCATATTGAAGATAGTTGTGATAGTAAATAAGTACATTGGGAGCATACGGTTCCAGTAAAACCACGGACACCGGAAATTTTTTGGTGCTTGGGAAACTCAGAAATCAGTCCAAGAACTGGACTGGCTAAGAGATCTCTGATTTAAGGGCATGAAAATATAATTCTGAAGACCTTAATTCCATCCTTCCGGTTTAAGTTCGGCATTAAATGGCCTGAGGAAAAGAGAAAAGCCCTCACCTGAATGGATACGGACATGGGTGTTGAGAGTTGAGGACCGATTAAAACACTTACCACAGATCTTACACTGAAACACAGATTAGTTAAACATGGAGTACACATTTGGGACATGTATAATATAAAAGAAGGTAACTTGCTTGATGGGGCTTCTCTTCAGTATGTATTATCTTGTGTCGGCAAAGCGTTGAAGCTTGTCTAAATGCCTTTCCACACACCTGAAAGCAAAATGATAGATGAAACATAACAATTTAACATACTTTACAAACAAACGGCCTTGCTCCCGTATGTACAGGAAGATGTCTGGTCAAGTTGTAATGTGCAGTAAATCTCTTTCCACACTCTTTGCATTCAAATATCTTATGTTTCTCTTTGTTATCATCACCATTGCACGAATTATCACTAGAATCGGTTGAGTTTTGTTGTATCAGACCCGCTGACTTGGCCGTCAAACATAATGCCCATAGCTGGAGAAGTCGTTGTTGAGTAGATTGCGTCGAGATTTCAGGTTGTATCAGGGATTCCACTGAGAATGGATGAAGAGATGTCATTTAGTAGCAATAGTAGTACTAACAGTCGTACGCTCCGAACAGTAACAAGACAGTTCTTCGATCTTCCCAGCAAATAACAAACTTCGAAAGGCACGTTCAGAAAACGGCTTGTGGGCGGGATTCTGAGCAAGTCAATTGGCTCCAGCGGCAGCCGTCTTCAAGACCTTTTTACCGTAATCCCCCTGCGGAAAGAACCCTTCCAAAAGACGCGCCTGACTTAATCCCCTTCCCATTTTTGTGTTTAGATCTCCGCCGGCCAAACCATGTGTTGATCGAAGACAAGTGCTCGCTCCAGGGGATGTGCATCTGACGGTCACTGCCTGAGGGGCTTAGGGTCCCTTCCTGTGGAATTATGGAAATTCGGAATCAGATTATCTGAAATGGCGCGACGTCTTTGTGCCCGGCGACCTCAAAAAGTCGCCTGGTGTCCGTGAAAAACGGCTTAGAAAATCGGATCGAGGGCAGTGTCAACCATGCCGGAATCCAACTCTGTTTTGCTTATCTTTCATATTTCTATCTGTAATACCAATTTATGTCGGAATAATTAAAAACTTTGCCATTATTCCTTTATTATCATCAAATCAAATGAACAATCAATCGGATCAACACTTATCAAGGAAAATGACATTTTCTTTTTTTCGGAGTAAAATATTTGGATTGGGAGAGTAGAGTAAGATTAAATGAATAAGCCCTGAGTCGAGGAGACACAGCGGAAAGAAGAGAGACGCCAGACAAACGAGCAAGCATACAATATTACTTTCACTTTGTGGTTAACCCTTGTGATTATCATACATTTCCCTGGGTACTGTTTAGCACGTGGTTAAGAGAAGTGAGTACCCGCTTTAAGTCGATTAAAATGATAAGGTTTCGGCGTTTAAGTGCCAACCGAGCAGACAATGCTGGGTCGAAGTGTTCTGAGGCTTAGGGAATTTTAAATTTACATCCAGAGGGACAATAAAAATGGAGATATTACCCGTCGAAGAGAGTTAATTGATGACAAGAACATTAGAAGATAAAAGGAGGGATCGGAGAATATTGTTTTACATTTTTGAATGGGACGTTATATCAGAAAGGATCGCAGACTTCAAAATAATGCTACATTAAATAATTTTACGTTTTGATCCTACTCTAAAAACCATCCAATTCCAGTATAAAATAGACGCGCATATGTGGTTATGGCAGTGGCAATAGCCTGTCGGTCTGCAAATCGTAAAAACGCGAGTTTTTTTTTGTTTTTCAATTTTTTGGTTGGTTAAGGCGAATATATATTTGGTTTTCTTGAATTGTGAAAATATGTGGCGGAGAGTAATTGCTTGTTCGATTCTACGCTAGGAATTATATGTGTTCGGATTAAGGCATTATGACCATTATACGAGGAGTTGAGAGACACCCAGGGGATCAGAGAAAAAGGCCGATCTGAGAAATACCAAATTCAAGTGAATTACAACGAAAGACAATCATGGACAACAGAATTATCGAAGCGAGCAGGCGCCGAGACTACGTTAAGGTTAAAAAAGATGTCGCGTGAAAAACTTGATGACATAGGAAGACAAAATCGGTACAAAACTACTTTCAAAAGAAACAAACATGACCGAAATTATTAATATTAATTAGGTGCTTGATTAAAGAGTTTTTGGCTGGATAAAGAGAGCTTCTGAAGTCGAGAGATTTACAGTTTCCAATATTGGACATGAGTGGTTGCACTCGAAATGTTTTGGACTACAGTCAGACGAGCGACGAGATCGTTATTCGATTGAATTAGAGGCGATTAGCTGCATTGTTTCTGAATTTTCGGTTAACGGAATGACACGAAACAACAAAGGGGGTTAACTGCAACATTACAGTAGGCATTACACTGGACAAAAAATGGAGGGAGTTATACAAAACGGAGATCGAAAGACTTGGTTTTATCATTAAAGAAGATGGACCCAGTATAAGAAGATAAACGAAATGATACTCTGACAAAAGCACAATCGGACTTAAGAGATATTGATTAGAAGAATACGGAAATATAAAGGGCACAGGCTCGTTTGAAGTACCAGGTGAGTAAAGGAGACCCGTTAGACGAATCAGAAAAGAGAATGTCGATGTGATGTTTGAGCAACGAAAAAGAACGCTACAAAAAACCGATTCGATACGAAGATTACTACTAAAAAAGGCATAACTGGGATACTTGGGAGTGGACGTAGAGGAAGGCGGCTAGCTAACTGAGACGAGCTAAGTGATATGTTCACAGAAAGGGGCTAATTACAATTGAAGCGAAGTCAGTTTCAACTCCAGCCCCTTGCTGGAGAAGGGCTCGTAGAAGCCTTGGTTGGCATTCTGTTGGCTTTGTGAGGAGACGGGACCACTTGGCGGAGGGAATGTGATCAGCTGCGGGAACCCGAAGCAAGGGTTCTGGTTGTTGTTATTGCTAACCTTCGGGGCCCCCCAAATCGAAGCAGTCGAAGCGACGGCGTTGCTCAACGAAGTCATCGAAGAAATGGGCTCAGGACTAGAAGTCATCTGGTCGAAGATATGAGAAGAAAAGGGGTGCATCTCGCCCATCGAACCCAGACCACTTTCGTTGGAAGAACTGGTGGATCCGCTGCTGTTTGGAGGGGCGATCACTCCTGTCTGGCCGTTGGAACTTTGACGGGAAGCCGGGTTAGACTTTAATGGAGAAGACATCTTCCCATTCTTGTATCCATTCTCCATCCTTTTGCTAGCCTGGCAATTGCATTGACATCTGCACGACGGATCAACTCCGATTGGCCTCTAAAATGAGCACGCTTAATAAAAAATCCATGTTTGACATTAAATCTATTCTAGATTTACTTACTGGTTCGTTGAATTCCTCGGTTTGAGTGCCAGAATTAGTGACCATGGCCTTGATGGTTCCTAAGAGACTGCTGATGGGAGGAGAACAGCTCACTCTCAAGTCGTTACTGTGCCTCACCATATCATATTGTTGTCCTTGTCCCATACTGCCCACTGAATTGTGTCTGGTCATAGGTCCTCCGATAACCCCAGCAGACCCTAAGGGCTTCGGCATTTGGGCGGATCCATACCCCATGTCAACCGAAGCGCCAAATGCAGGAGAGGGTCCAACTGGATTGCTGTTACTCTCATTGTTGGTCCATGGATTCCTTGGGGTGGAGATGGAATTGTCTTCTGGATGGAACATACCACCATAAGACATCTGATTGTTGGAGTTGAACTGGGTGATGGCCAGTTGATCAGCTGCAGCAGCTGCATTCTGGTCAAAACCTCCAAAGTTGGGAATGGTCCCAGGAGTGTAAGTTACAGCTTGGCCTCGAGGTGGGAAGACACAGGCCGGGAAGTTCCTCTTGATGAATAAAGCGTAGTCGAAATAGGGAAGATTGCGACGAACAGCGACATAGAATTGGGAAGGAAAGGGAGCAAAGGCAAACTGATGCTGAGAGAGGAACTCCATGAATTTGTATCGGTCTAGAGACAGGGTTACCAATGAGAACTCGTCACTTACTGTTCATGATACTATCCTTGACCGCTTGTGGAATATGAGCGGATGTATTGAAGAAATTGAACAAGGAATCTGACGATGTGGCACCACCATGTCGAAGCAAGAATCCGGCCAATAAAAGGACAGTAGTGTAGATCTCAGCTGGCTGAAGAAAGACGACGTCGCCCTCCGTTATGTGGAAGATGTAAGATCTCCTCTCAATGAACTGTCTTCTCTTCAAAGAGCTGGACCCAATATATCGATATAAATCGTCTCGACCAGAATTGCTGATTCTACTATGAAGAGAGGACAAAGAAATGTTGTGGAGACCATTCTTCTGGAAGATGGAGAGGAGGAATGAGAGGGCATGAACCTCGAAGTCATGTGAATATGGGTCCTTGGTTGGAGCTCGGCTGTCTGAACGGCTCTCAAAGTCCTCAAGATTCAGTTCTGGAGCGTCTGGGGAGTCCTGCAAAGTTTTATTAATTCGGTTTATTCATAAGTAATCTAATTATTCAGTGCATTAGTTTTTTTTGTTTAAACGAAAATTTAAGTCCTATACAAGCATAAACTACGGCTGAGAAATGAATTACTAGGATTCTTTTCAACGCCGTTTATATAATAGATAACAGCCAAAATGGGATAGTCTTGAGTGTTAAGGACTCCATAAATAAACTTTAGAAATCTTAAAATCTCTAAAACTTACTGGCTCGTTGCACGGAGAAACATAATTGCCGATCCACTCCTTCCCCTCATCAGCCACGGCTTGGAAAGCCAATCTGAATCCAGGTCTGAGTACGGTAGTCAAGTCTGTGACTCCCTAAAGACAACATCAATTTAGATCATATTACACTTACATGATCGCAAAAATCTTTTAATTGGAACGAAACGGTGGCACTCATCTGATGGCAAGTGATGAGGCCAGCCTTTGGACTGAGCCAGGACAACTGGCCCACCCCGCGAATAAGTTTGTTGGATACGGGGAAGCCAAGCCCCGGGATCAGGGGCTGGATCTGTGGGGCATTAAATTGGGGGTTCATCTGGAGACCTGGGGGAATATGGGGATCCATGTTGTTATCGATTATCTAACCCAGCCAATCCTTTTGATAAAATTCTCTCTTCGGTTTGTTGACTGAAACAATACAAATACTGTTAAAATCAATGCCTTCCAATCAGCGACAAACAACAGAAAACGCGACAAACTTTGGAGACATCAATTATGAAAGCATGGATGGATATCAAAAAGGGAGAGAAAAGGGGGCGAAGTGTTTAGATCCACGAAATTAAGTAAAAAAAGATGGAGATGAAGCCCCAGAACAGGGCCGCAGGTCGAAGTGTAAAAATGAAAATCACAAAAAGCAAAGGGACTTGGGGGTTCAGGCCGCACTCTCCGTCCGCTCTCCCCCACCCATCTGATGTTGGTGCGTCTATATGGATCCAGTCAGTGAAGTGGAGCGCGTGTGTCTATCTCAAAGAGGAGACGACTGCAGAACTTTTTTCTGCCGAGTTTCTGTTCTTCTCCCACATCGGCCAGGTCAGCTTCGTCCTCTCTTCCTTTCTCTGATTTCTCGGCACTCTCTTCCCTTCAATCCTCTCTCATCCTCGCGCTCAAAACAAAGACACACCATTCCTTGCAAGTATAAGGTGCGTCCATTCGGGATTACTCAGTTTAAACAAAGTGCTTAGAAAATGATGGACTTGAGAGTGAAATTGAAAGAGAAAAGCGAAAGAGTGTGGGTTTTGAAGAGCGACTCGTGTCTGCGATCTCTTCGAGATTAATGTTCTCTTTATACTGACCTTTTTCACTCATTTCTTCCGTTTTTCTGCGCAAAAACAATTCGAAATCGATGAGACATTTCTGCAGTTTTAAAACAGATTCTCCTCGGAACGAAGGGAGGTAAAGATCCTGTACCTTTTCCATGGACCGTGAGCAAAAAGACAATAGGGGAACAAATCACGCTACCGTAATACATATTATATAAACATAACGATAATGAAAAGCGGAGATGCCAACCGTCTCCATAAATGGCATAAATTGCCTTTAATCCCCTTCAAATTATTACCCACGAAGGTGAATGTTTCCGAAGATGAAGACAGAGAAAAGCCAATCCCTTCATTTAAATCCAAATGTCAAATTGTTAAGAGCTGGGAACAAGGAGGAGACTTACTAAACCAACATGCGTTATCGACGACGTAAAGGGAAATGATTAGATTTATAAATAGATATGCGATTGGATGGATTATTTACTAAATACTATACAATTGACTTCAAAGCCATGTAAACCGGCGCATTTTATGAGAGCAGGTGCAGTTTGCGCAATTTTTTATGCGGTGCCTTGTTTATGGAGAGTATAAGAAGCACAAACGATTATGTTAAACCACGAATAAAGGCACGAGTTCGCAGCGAAATACCTGATCCTGTTATTGATAAAATTTTGGAGAAATGGAGAACTGGTAATGCATGTGTAAGGTCCCAATCCCGCTCCAAAGTAAACGTGGATATGAAAAAGATCCGTTGGTTATACTTCCCAATCCTTGAGTAATAAATACAAAAAAGTCGATCCGTCCAAATAGAAAGTTGCACATTTTGCTGTTCTAAAATCGAAAAAAATGACCATTCCATCATATTGCACATGAACATGAGCCACGTTTGAAACCCCTAAACTAGATTTTTTCACATATAATCTACACTGAAACAAAAACACATCCAACTAGCCAACTTCACCAAAACTTTATTTATTTTTCTTTGATTTATACTTTCATCTCGATTTTCTGTCAGTTCGTCAGATTTTCTGGAGGCGATATGCAAAGCTGTTGCATAAACTTGTACTTACAGCATAAACCAAATGAGCTTTTCAATTTTCAGTAATCTTTCCTATGTTGGTAGTCCACTGGATCTTTTATGCTCTCTGAACTTTTATAACCAGTTTGTATTCTTGTTAGTAAATCGCAGTCATTTGTGTACTATTTGTATGCAAATGGCCAGGCCTGGTGGAAAAGCTCGATTATTTTTCGATTTTTTGCACTAGGTACAATTCACAGCAATTGCTGCAGATATTCGCTACAAAATGGCATTTCGCTTATGATACTTGATGAGTTTTTGACGAAGTCGCGTGACTTTTCCAATTGTAATCGTTGTCATAGTTTCCGAATTGCGGCTATCCCAGGAACTCGGTTATTTGAATATTACAGTCGTTTCTTCTGATTGACTCTTTCTTATTCATCTATCATTATTTTGTAATCACTCGAGTATAGTGTAATGTGTATGTTGCAGTATAAAAAGCTAGAGTGTTTGTGCTAGGTATACTGTAATATATTCATTATCGTATATCAGGTCAGAGGAGTGTTGCTGCTGTCTTAGTCTGGATATATAACCAGTTTACGACTGGTCTAGGGTGTCCTTGTTTCTGTAATTACTTTATGCCAAACATGTGTTTTGACAGCCTTTCAGAGTTGTTTCCCCTCACCTCACATATCGTTTTGTTATCACTCTATCATCGAGATTACAAGTGAAGATAACTTGTCACTGCACTCGGACTAAATGGATTAGCCTTTTTTACCTTGAGTTATCTCCTCTAATTTATATTTTCTGGGGGTTTATTTCCCGCAGTGCCCATTTGAAGAGTCAATTGTTCTTAACAACGAGGGGCTGAGAACTGTGAAGTTGATTACGCAACTTTCACTGGCTTACTGTTCATTACGTAATCTAAAATGTCTGCCAATTTTGGCCTGTAATCCATTGGCGATTTTAAATTTACAACAAGCACTTGTTTTGAGAACCGGAGGGCATCTGAAGGAAGGAAATCTATGATTTTATGTCATTTTGAGGGGTTACTGGTTGAATTCTCGCTTTTCCGGTGAAGGAATTTCGTCGTCGCTGGGTGATTCGCTGATAAGCAACGCGATTCCTTCCGTTATCAGATCTAAAGACATGGCACCGGAGAAGAAAAAGAAATCAAATCAGAGGGAGGGCGCTTCGAATTCGCCGCTCTGATACGTGGCTTCACCTGGGCTTCATTTCTTTCATGTTGAAGGTTGTGTTCATGAGATTACTTATTTTTTATTGATACTTTGTATGACTTTATTCGAACCCTCGCTTTTCTCCGGTACCTGCCATCTCCAGATTCGACCCGAGATTGATGGGACATCTGGATGTCCTGTAATTGCCGTCCGGTATCGTTCCTATCAATTTCCATCCCCTCAGACAGTCTTTTTTTGGTAATTGGGCGCATTCGTGGATGTGATTAGACGGACGACCTCCACCTTCCCAGAGAAGTGGATCCCCTCTACCTGTCCTCTTCTCCTTTGTTCAAGGCCATCCCTCCTTCATCAATTGCGGTGGCCTTCTTATAAACAACTTTCTTTCATTTCGTTTCGCCCCTTTTATGAATCCGCCCTATTGTGATGATCATCCATTCCCGAATCCGAATGGACTTGACTCTCGCGGGTCAGCAAATATTGCACTAATCAATTCGTGTTTACATTTACCGTATCCGGATGGACGGATGGATGGATCGACGCGCACTCCGGGGATGATCAACAGTCCGTCGGAAGCAGATGTACTGGGTCTGGTGTGGGTCTCGGTCGGTAGCGGGCCGGGTGACGGACGTGATGCCCGTTCCTGTGCCGGAATCGCAATCGAGATGACTGGCCAAGAAGCCGGGCCTTGATAAGAGGGAACGGAGAAATAAAGGGCGCATCTGGTCCTGAAGACGAAACGGAATGGAGAAGGGAGGGGTGGTCGAGGGAGAGTGATAGGCTAACGAGCAGAAGTGTGGCAGGCCATTCTGTTTCTTACTCTTTTTTAATTTCTTGCGCAATAGTTTGAATTCTTTCGATTCCTCTGTTATCAAAATGGGGGTCGTCTCTCAACCTCGCCTCCCCCGGTCGGATTAGCGACATAGCCGCGCGGCCCTTTAATATCAGCAAACGCTCATGTGTTGTTCGAGCCGGCCTGTTCATCTCGCACCCATTCCCATCAGCCGGTGTCCCCGGCTGCCGCGCGCGGCCCCTGTTGACTCAGCTGCCTCTGAGTCCGTGATTAAAAACCGTCTCTATCAATTCGCCTCTCTTTCTATTCGGTTTTACTCATGTCAATCAGAGATTGTGGGTTTTGTGTTGGCGTTTCCCATCGGTTACAGCCCGGTCATTAGCTGAAAGACCTCCGTTCTTGATCTGCGACCTTACCTACGTCTAGTCAAGGAGGAGTCATGTTTGATCATCTCCAAGTGATTTACATTTTCAATAATCTTACGGTGACGGCCTGTCAAGCCTCTTATCTACCGTAGCGCGCTGATATTCCCACGAATTGCGGGATCTCCAATTTCGTTCGCCTTAGATGGAAGGCCGTTTTTTCATCGCTGCGCCCATTGGAGTGACCACTGAGAAGAGGTGATTATTTCTGAACTGCGCGATGCCGAGGATTCAATTGTGGGTTTTGGGAATGAGAGAAGAGGGGGAGGGGGAGACTATTGTTGTTAAGAGACCAGGATCGGTAATGGCGAGGGCGGGAGGGATCTCGGGATTGGCACTTGCGCTCTTTTATTAACCTTCCTTAATGTGTTCTTTTTGACTCTGATCAGGTCGCTCGAGCTCATTGTTCGTCTCTTTACTCAAGCAGAATGGTCCTTGAGAGGTGGTCCTTGCTGCAGTAACCATATTCGGTTCCATTGTTTGTCCTGTCGTGGATTCGGATCGAATCCCCTTCGTGATTTGACTCAAGTTCATTGTGGTGACCTTGTTCATATTCTCTTCAGCTTTTTGTCTTGATGATCTACCTCTCCGGAACAATGACGTCCGCCCTCCGGTCGTTGTATCAATGCCAATTATCAGACAAGAGGGGGATAGACAATAAATAATAGAAGGTACAACATGATGGTTAATCACGGTTATTATTTTATTGCGGTCACGGTTTGAGGATTTATTTTCCGAGCGTTTTCTGTAAAGTTGATGATGGGAATTGGGGTGGAGTGGGCTGATTCCGTTCTGATCGAGACACTTGACACTCGAGTACTGTATGTATCACTACTCTTTACTTGTTATGGAGCGGTCGAGAAGGGGTTTCTCAAAGACCTTGTTCTTATTCCCTTCTGGTGACGGCGCCCGCAATTGTGGCGCGATCCTCCTCATCTTTGCTACAGGAGTCCCCCCCCCCCTTTCCGTCCATCCAGAACAGTGCCGATCATACAGAAATTGCGGGGATCCCTTCTTTTCCTGTACGATCGTCGAGGGACTTTCGGCGACGATTAGAAGGCGGCGCTCGCCATCAGTTCCAGGATCCCTAACCGTCTTCCCTCAAATCATGACCTCCAAAAAGTTGTGTCGCGCCTCTATTATGTGGTAAAGAGAGGGGGGGGGGCGTAGATCCGGAGCGAGGGACAGCCGGGAGTTGTGATTGCGCCGAGGTTTGCAAAAACGAATAATACGTCGGGAAAATTGGCGGATGGAAAGGCGGAAGAAGGACGGCCGGCGCCAACCTTCACCCGACCTCCATTGACCTGACTGACTCGCGCTCCCTCCCCCTCTGCCATCAATCCGCACTGATGAGGATTTGTGGATCGGTTCAGTGATTTTTGTTTGTCACCATTCTGCGTTCGTCTCCCCCTTTTTTATCATTTACCGTAGTCCGACGAATAATTTGTTCTCGATTTAAACGAATTAGCGCCCGCGCCCCGTCCGCCACACACTGTCTTGATTTGGGCTCTTCGAATAAACACAGGCGGTGTGTCTCGCTAATCTCCGGCAAGACTTATCGGCCACAGAAGGAGGCGAACAATCAGTCGAGTCACTGTTTATTTGTCTTGGGCTGCGTTGCTGGCCAGCGTTTAAGACGTTATATGGCCAACCCTCGTCTACTCAGCGCCCTCCCGATTACCCGGTTGCTGGGTGATTAGTGGCTGGGCGAGCACTGATGGACGCGCCCGACAGCTGTTCCGCTTAACCAAATCCATCGCGCATTCCCTTTTCTGGCGCTGGGACCTCGAATGGGGAAGGGATTTATTTGGTTGTTCAGGCAGTGTTCGGCATGAGAGTTAAGGAGAGAAAAGGCGGATTCGCTGGGCCCTTTCCGGATGGTCATTTTACGCACAGCGGGGCAGCATGCGGATCAGCGCGCCGCCCTACCTTAACAGTCATCCCTCTTCCCACCATTCAGATCCCGCGTCTTTTTCGAATCTGCTGGGAAACGGTCGGTTCGGAGATAGGGATGTAGGAATTGCTGGGTTCTGTGACACTCCCGGACAACCACGTGCCCGAAAAAGACCTGGTTTCGAAAAGAAACGAATGCACCTGGCCGTTGAAGAGCGCGCTGGCCTTTTTCCATCTTCTGGACACCGGCACCGAACGGCCTCGAGGTCTGGGATAACGGCCACTTCCAGGCAGCGCAATAAAGCTGGGCGATCCTGAAGTGGCACGATAAGGGAAAGGGACCCTGAAGGAAGGGACTCCGTTAGGGATACGGCCATTCGTTCTTAATTTGCGTAAGAGAATGGGGTCATGTAATAATAGAGCGGCTGACACTTTGTCAATTGACGAGCGCGATCGAGGTGCCAACCTTTTTAGCCCGCAAACCCTCTGGTAATTCCGAGATATTTTGAGATGCCGAATTGATGGGTGTGTTAAGGGATGGTTTAGGTCGCGGCAAGAAACAATAGGCGTATGATGTACCGCGTTCTTCCGCTTATCCGCACCCTTATCCCTCCCCGAATATCTCCGCTGTCACTGATGAGGCATCGCCTCGCGCACTCCACTTCTTGTCGTCTTCTTCCTGTAGCCGTGGAGTCAGCAACCTCGGAACGCTGAACGACCTTCCTCTCCCTTGTTCACCCCAACAACCTCCCCGATTATTTTGCGGTGACGTTCCGGTTGTCAGTGATTTGATGTGAGGCGAAAGTGTTTGTTCTCCCTCCTTTCTGGTCGTCCCTTCTTTCTTCGCGCACCCGGCCTCTTATCAGCCGCGCAGTCGTTTGTTGAATGCCGTAGGGCGTGCTGAGGTCGGTCGTTTGGTTTGTTCAGTGAGAGGCCGCTTTTGTTTGGGGAGGACGGGCTTCGGCCTTATCAGTCGCATCAGCCCAACGGGAGTCAAGAATTCTTTGGCCTTACGCGCTTCGGGCAAACATGGCGGCCCGCTCCTTTGCTCGTTCTCTTGAACTGACTGCTCACTCTCCTTTCCTTATCTCTTGGCCAAAACCGGCCGGGCCCGGTTAAGCGCGTGGCCGACCGCAAAAAGCGCAATTGTTGGGGAGTTAAGGGGGTTAAGGCTGGTTGTGTTTGTTCATTTTCATTGCACTGCATCGCATTCGGCGCCCTTTCCCTCCATTCATCCTCGACTGGGCCCGGTAAGGAGATGGCGAAATATATTTTTGTGGCCAAGAACCAAGGACAACAGGAAGGGCCAAGAAGGGTGCTTGTTTCAGAATCTCGGTCTTTATCTCCCTCCCTTTGTTGGCCTCTTTCCTCCTCCACTCGTCTTGTCTTATCTTGGCCAGGCCTGTGCGCGAGACCCTTATCCTCAACCGCCCTCGCTCTCTAATTCCTCGTTTTATATGAAAACGCGAATTTCCCACTCAATTTTTAATCAAAATCGCCAATTTCATGGAGTTCCATTTCAGCCCCTCGTTTTATGAAGCAAGAATGACGATCGTCGGTTCCAGTGCGTCATCGCCCTGCTGTAATGGAAACGAAGACGAGTCCCAGACCCATGATGCGTGCCCCTCCTGTAAGAAACTCCATCAGGACCTCACCATCACCGTCACTCGCATCTCCGACAAATTGGAGTTGTTAGTAAAGAGTGTTGATGAGATTTATCAACGACTCCAGATGTCACCCGCAGATCAGAAACCTCCGATGCCAGCAAAACTCGAACGGAAGATCAGCGCCCCCGAGACCCCATCAAATATAATGGATCTGTTTTCATCGATCAACGAAGCCAAGAATCTCACCGAAATGCTGCAATCCATGAGTCAGCCCACCAACTCGGAATCTTTCAGCAATGATCAACGTCTCCCACCGATTTCCACCCCTGAGAGCGTTAAAGCCGAAAGTATTCAGTAAGTTTTCTAAATAACTTTTTATCGTTAAATTTCTTACGCTACAACTTTCAAAAGTTAAATGTTTTGTGAGGTTTGACCTCTGATCTATACACGTATAATTTACTTTAGGAGTTCGAACGGAAATGGAAGCCGTAAACGTAAGCCCCATCGCTCTTCAGTCCAACATCTGCCATCGGAAGCAGCCACCTCCGATGATACGAACACCCCCCACATGGCTTTGATGGCCGCTCTAGGCCTGGATGTGTTCAATTCCGCCGCCTCATCACCATCTGGAAAGCGGAAAGCTGCGCGCAAATCCCCGACTGCCTCGGCTTTGGATATATCATCCGTTTTCCAAGGTAATCAGAGTGATGATCAGAAGAATCAGGACGAAGTTACGGCCAATCTGATGTCCCTCTTGACCAATGGTAATCTGAATGGAGCTCCCAAATCCAACGGTCAATATTACAATGAGAATATACCCATTAAAGAAGAGGTAAGGGTTTTAAATATAATTGGAGGTTTACAACTCCTCGGTAATAGGAATTACTCAGTTAATCATGATATGTTCTCTGATGACTAACTCTCTTTTAAAACATATTTCGCAAGAGTATTATAAGGGACGAGTTCATAATGTTTTTTGTGTTTTCAGCTGAAATCGGAAAACAATTCGACTACATCGAGATGTTCGAACTGCGAGACCACGGTGACCACTGCCTGGCGCAGAGATGCCGAAGGCCGACTAGTTTGCAATGCCTGCGGTCTTTACTACCGGTTACATAAGGTAGGAATATTATTTTTATTTTTAATAGGGATTGGGGATATTACTTTAGCCATTGAAGGGCTTCTTCTTCTATTTAGTATATTTAATATACGAGTTATTGTAATTCTTCTTTTTTCAGACTAACAGACCCGTTTCCATGCGCAAAGACGCCATCCAACAGAGATTCAGAAGGAAAAACAAAGACGATTCAGCTACGAACTCGCCCATGGATACTAATCAGAGCTTCAATTTCAACGCCTCCAGTGAATTGTAAGTAACGGAGAAGCTGATTGGCATAATAAAGGGGAGATTAGATCGGACATCTCTTTAATCCGGGTAATGGGCAGGAACAGATTTGATGGATTACTACGTGACAGGTTGGAGAAATGTTACGCAATCACCATGATTTAGGTGTGGAAATGAACTGTAATCTCTAGAAATTAGGAGATGTAAAAATATACATCGGGGTTGTTTACATAAAAAATGTAATTATTTTCATATCGTTGTTTGCAGTATGTCGTCATTCAACAACTCAGTGAGCTCCATGATGGAACACATCCAAGACGTCGATGAAAAACCCGATTCCATCGATGATTGGACCAAGTTCGATCAATCTGCCACCTCCAATTCCTTGCCAAACTTTGTGTTAAACTTAATGAAACAGCCTCAGGTTGACATGGGAGTTCAGTAATCACATGATTCTTACCTTTTGTTTATACGGGGTCACTTACTGTATCCTCGATGAGCGGCGGCCCTTGTAATTATATTTATCAGCACCGGATTCCCGATACTACATTAGTATCAAGTACAATATCATTCCATGCCGTTCCTCGGATCACAGTAATCTCAACAAGTATTGTCTCCATTTTGTATTCTTCGAAGTGTCCTTTAAACTATTCGAACTCTCACTTAAACCGCCTATGTCCCCTTTATCACTTTATTTATGTTGTTTTAAGACCTTTGTTCTCCCATTTCTCGCATAATCAGTACTTGGAAAACGTTTGGAAATGAAAACATCTCAGCTTTAACAAGCAATACTACTACTGTTTAACGTATTTACTCTTTAACTGGTTCGGTGTTTGTCTTTTTATCAGTATTACTCGCTAATTGTAAGTTAACCTCCACACTCCAATGAAAATGAATCGTAATCGGCTTTAAACCCTTTGGCACTGAAATTTGCATAATCTTCGATCTGGCTTTATTGCATTTAAAACTTCACTTTGAAATAAATTAATAAGAAAAAAAGCTGACGTCAAGTGTAATATAATTTAACATATGATGCGGTCAAAGAGGTATTCCGGAGATCAGCTTTGGTATAATCCACAAGCCTTGTGAGTACAGACCACGATGAACATGTCTATTTGAAGACTACTATGTTTATTTACCATAGTATAAAGTATTACTATTACTGCTCGATCGTGATCGAAATCCGGAAGATAAAGTGGAATGAGTGGACATGGATGCCGAGGAGTGACCTGAAATTACATAATAAATAATTCAAACGACAGGTGTGAGACTACTTGAGTTATGATCACATTACATTATTTTATCCATGTTAATCCTTTGCCCAAAATTTGAAATAAAGCGTTAAGTTGCGCAATCACTTACTCAAAGCACTCGAAGAATGCAGATGCAGATTCGATTGACGGTTCTGAAGCCAGGAAAAAAAGGTAAACATCTGCGAGGCAAAGAGTACGGTAATTATCATCAGAAGAGCGATGGCAAACGATCTTTTCACACAAATCTTGCTGTTCTCAGCGTCTGAAACCATAAGGAACATAAGAAAAAGGTCACTTACCGCATTCCATAGTGTTATTCAACAAACTTTCACTGAACTCATTGACATCTTGATCAGTCTGAGCTTGAGATATTGTACTCATTACGACTGACTTGGTCAAGGGAAAGGGAGTCGTGATTATATTATCCTCGTTTTCCTGTCGTTCCGGAGAATCTAGGATAGTAAAGGACCCTTGGGCCATGCTCTGCTCAATTGTTTCACCTTGTAAAAGCTAAAATATTGCTCACGATAACTGTAAGAAAGATCAAAAATTGCATATTACTTTTTTCTGGATGGCTTCCCCTCGGATCTTATCATACTGTTCGATCATTGATGCTAATTCCTTTATGGTTTGACGTTTCTTCCGGCCAAAACTCATTAATGATGAGTTGGGTTTGGCTTCATCACAATTGATCTGGAAATTTGATTTAATGATCGGATCCAAATTAAATTGCGTAATAGTATTCGAGATCATCGAATGGAGATAAAATTAAATTCCCTTACCGGATCGCATTTTTCCACACAAATATTGATGGAACATCTGATCCTGACCCTCTTGGATCCATCGAATCTGAAGACTTTGATCTTGGTGCTGAATCCCTCACTGGTCTCCTCAACCGGTCCTTTTATTAATTGACCTTTCACCCTTTTCTCGGGACAACTATAAAATCAAAGTCATTAACGGATTCTACATAACTTTGGAAGCGATTTAATAAAATTGATTTTATTACTTGCCCTCCAACAATCAGTGGGAGTGGGGCTGGATCAGGCGGGAGTCCCTCCAATCTCTCGGCCGTGCATTCTTCCACCAAGAATCCCAACCGTTCGCCTTCCACCCCCTTCTTCAACTCTTCTGATATTTTCCATCGGAGCTCCAACTCTTCTCCCAAACTTACAGTATTCACGGGAATACCGTCTTTCAATATTGACATTACTACTTTCTCGGGGATTGCCGGAGGGCTCATATGGAAGACCGGGCGCGGAGGATCGTGGGATATCTCGGTGGATCGCGCACTGTAATTTTAATTGATGTTTATAGACAATTAGATTGTGCAAAAAATAAAACGCTGTATTTACAAAAACAAAATATGTAAATATTACCTTTTCTCATTTTTGACAATATTAGAATAATCGCAAGTCACATTGAATATGCGGTCTTGTCCAGTCATCAACGATGGAATCCCCATTGAGTTCTTTTGGACTACTACAATATAAGACCATAGACTTGGTGCCAATTCAATTCCTGGACAAACTTGATTAGTATTTGTGGACGAGGGATACGGTATCTCTAATCTCGCATCCCTCGCATCTTCAAAAGTATTTCGGCAAGTTGAGGAATGATCTTTGATAAAGATGGCTCCGGTTGAGGGTTCATCAAAATGAGCGTCTATTTGGATCCCATCCAAGCGACAATCCGTCTCGATTACTGTAACATTCCACTTAAAATGACGTCATACTTACTTCCATTCTTCTTCTTAGCTGGTGTTGTGCTCATCGTCACGTCCTCAGCTGAAGTTATTGCCGTTGTGGCTTCTCCGGAAAGTGTAAACGGAGTGTTCTCAACAGTTACATCCATATTTGGCATAAACATCGGCCTCATTTTGGGAGGATCGGTAAACGATTTATGGTCGTCTGAGAGGTTGGATTTGGACGGTCTGACTTCGTAATCACAAACATTATCAAAGTAATCAACCTTCTCAGCCGACTTGAAGAGATCCGGATCCGAAAATTGACTCTTCTTATTGAGAACACATTCGTCCTGAACATAATAATATTTGCACAAAGAACTTACAATATCCTTGAAGAACATGACGGAATTACAATCTTCGGCCAGTTGGAGACATTGGAAAAGACATTCACTGAGGCTGTTTGTGATGATGACACGCTCTCTGATCTCCAACATTCTGTTCGGAATCATATCAAATGAGGTGTCTTTGCATTTTACTGGTCCTGAAGTGATAATTGCTAAGTTTACTTTTCTTAGAATAAGCTCACCTTGTAAACAAAACTTTTCGAGATATTGTCCAGCTGATATTGAACTCAATTCAGATATCAGGGCTCCATTGCTACTTTTTTTTCCGGTGGCCAGACTTCCCGTTTCCGCCGATAACCTGCATTCTTTCTTGCTGGAAGTGTAAACAAATGCTTTGCATGGAAAAATCTCGGATCCAACCGTATTGTCCTAAACTTATGGACATGTTGAATGAATGAAAATTTTACAACTAATATTTTTTGATAGTGAAATGTAATATCTCACCGTGCAGGCCTGTTTGCACTCTTCGCTGGACAGTCCCCCCATTATGACGTCTTTATCTTCACCGATCTCAAAGTCATCCATCCGAATCCAATGCACTTTATAGCCGTCTGCACATTGGACTGAAATAAAGTAAGAGTTCGAAGCTTGTCTGTGGTAACAAACCATCGAAACAATTGTTTTCAAAATAATCGACCAGTTGAAATTTGGTGTCAGATGAGAATAGATGAGGCGCGGTCTTCCTCTGTTCCCGATTCATAATGCATTCTCCTGTCTCATAGTAATACATAACTGATTTACAATCGATATGCATTCGTTCCCTAGATTCCAGACATTCCAATAGACATTGTGATAGACTCTTTACGGATAATACTTCCATGGCATGGCCCGTGAGAATCTTTTGGGGAAATCGCTCAAAACTATAAGGGGCCACGCAAAGATTGTTCGCTAAAATACAATTTTTTAAATATTGTAAATCGCACAGTTTGCTTAAAAAATGGGTGACAGCTCACTTGGAATACAGATTTGTTGAAACAAAGCCAGTCCATTGTTGGTGGCCGGCATTAAAACGGCTTTTCCAACAGGTTGGGCCGAGTTTTTCTTGAGGGCACAAGTCTGTTTCTGAGCATTATATTCAAATGTTTTGCAGGGAACCCCCTAAATAAATATCATTTTAATTTAAAATTATCACCGTAAGCTATGTTGACTTACATTACTATTCTTTGTACACTCCATTGCACAATGATTGAGCGTGACATCAGTCAGCAAAAGCAATGGCTCCTCGATTGTGAGGACCTTTTCCGTCCTCAAATAAGTCGTTTTATTCTCGCCATTACAATTATCATTAAATTGAGCATTGATTACGAGGAGCAGAAGAAAAGGGAGGAGGTAGATGAACATAACAGAGGCATATGCGGATCTTATTCCAATAATTATCCACCTTCTCCGCAGGCGACTTCTGTATTACTGGTTTTTTTCTTTTATGGGTCAAACGGACTTTCGCCGAATTTTCAGGTTTATTTATAATAGTATTGTTGTAAATTAGTACCGAGTTCCCATTTCGAATACAGTTATTTCAACAGTTTATATCCTAATCAATTGTAAGATTACATGTTTCTTTCCCGACCTTTGAAGTTCAAAAAAACCTCCATTTGATGATTAACGAATTTTTATTTTATCTATTCAATTGGTTGCGTGTACATGAAAGACAAGTGGTTAATTTGCATAAATGCCTGAGGCGATTTAATGACCTCAGGTCATTATGGAAAGACCGAAGATTAGATTACATCGAGATGACTAGAATAATATAAAATCTACCGAAAGAAACCTGTTTCAAATTGAAATACATAAGTCGAGAAAATTTGATGAGCAGGTACAGGAAAATACGATCAACATACTAGAGGAAAGGGTATTTAAGGACAATACCTTGCAGGGAATACCGAGAAAAGATTACATATAGGGAGATGAACATGACTGGCATGGACAGGGAATATAGGTCAGGACTACTGGAACACAACAGTTACAAGTTTGTACATACAAAAGAAAAATATCATGGATGGGCTGAGGACAAGCTCAAGTCGAAGATCAACAACAGTTTGGCAACACGAAGAGAGGATACGGTAGGATGACTAGTAAATGCAGTAATAAATAAGTAACGGCAAGAGAACGAGAGAGACCGGACTGACGTTGGACTAGGTCTGCTTGGAGACACTCTGCGAACCGAGACACTCCGCCGAAGGATTGGCTGGCATTGTCTTAGATACTCAACTGATGGCTGGACTGGACTGGCTGCGATTGGCGAGCCAAATCGTTTAATGCCGTCAGAATATTGGCAGTGTCCGAATGCTGGGAAGTGGGCAGAAGACCGGCCAGCTGTTGCTCTGACCGTTCCATGGGCTGGGCACGTTGCTGTTCCAGAACCTTGAGCAGGAGTTGTTCATTGAGATCGGATTGGGAGGGGTATGCGAGGGAGGCGGGCGGAGACAACAAGTTCTGGGAGACAGTTGCAGTCTGAGGCTGATTCTGCTGCTGGACTTCCATCAACAAACGGAGCAGTTGTTGCTCAGCCAGCAGATTGTCCAGGGTGCTTTTGTAATTGTTGTTCACCAGCATTTCATGACCACCTTGTTGGAGCTCTTGATTGGGGAGAAAAGAAGAGGTGGGTGGGGGAAGAAGAGGCTGTTGTTGGGGTTGCTGGAGCAGGCTGAGTAGTTCGGCGGACTTGAGGTTTTGTAGAAATTGAAGAGTCGATGAACTGCTGGCATCGTAGAGATTTTGATTGAGTAAGTAATTCGATTGAGGAGGCAGGCCGAAGGTGGGGGTGGTCATGGTGGGAGAGGTGAGCTGACTGAGAAGACCGGGGTTCATCAGAGGGTCTAGAAGACTCTGGGCAGGGTATTCTGGCTTGTTCAAATGGACTGGCTCGGGACGGAGAGGACCGGCTAAAAATTTAAGGCATTAATTGTTGATTCCAATGTGTATAAAGTTAGAAGTGATTAAAACTTACATAAAAGTCCATGGTTGATGTCAAGACTTCGTTTCCTCTCGCTGTCCAAGTCCAACAAGTCCTGAGGATCATCCAGCCGGCTCGGTGAGGATTCAGAATCGTTAGTGACCACAGATCCTCGCCGATTCAGGAGATTCTGGCATTTCTCTTGATGGACTTTGAGACTGATCTTCTGAACAAAGCTCAGACCACAAGCCTCACATTGGAAGGAGCCGGCTTGAGGTTGAACAATATTGAAAGTCTTCTCGCATAATTTGCATAACACTGAAGGATAAGAGTAATTCTTTCCACAGAGTTTGCACATTCCATCAATGGAATCGGTGGATTCTTTGCGAGAACTGGATGATGAAATGTTATGAGTAGCTTCATGAGCAGTCAATTGGGACTTCTAAAATTTTAGAATCAATAAGTAAATTTCATTATAATACACTCTTGCGTTAAAAGTTATTTAATTACCTGAATGAAGGTCCGATTGCACTGTGCACAAGAGTAGGGTCTCTCTCCAGTGTGAGTTCTCTCATGAGATTGGAGATTTCCTTGAGAGGCAAACGCCTTAGGGCAATATTTGCAGCAATAAGGTCGCTCTCCAGTATGAGTTCGTATGTGAACTTGAAGACTTCCAGCATAAGCGAAACTCTTCTGACAGAACTTGCACACATGCTTCCTCTCCGTCTGTTCATGCACTTGTTTTACATGTAATTTCAAGTAATTCTTTAGGGTAAAAGTCTTGGGACAACATGGGCATTGGAAAACCTTGTCCCCGTGGGTCTTCTTGTGTGTGTAGAGGGCTGATGGAGAACTCAAACACTTGTCACACTTGGGGCATTTATAATTCCTGATCCCCAGATGGGCGCTCTTTTCGTGAACAGTCTTGGTGCCATACTGAGCGAACGTTTTCTCGCAGTATTTACACTTATATGGGCGTTCTCCCGTGTGAGTCCGTTCATGAACTTGAAGCGTCGCCTTCTGGGCGAACCTCTTATCACAGAAATGACATTTGAAGGGCTTTTCGCCCGTGTGGCATCGTTTGTGGGACTCCAGGATCGAGAGATAAGGGAATCCCTTTCCACAAATGTCACAGATATGACGCTTCTCAATCACCGACTGTTTTCGGGATGATACTAATGTGGCCGAATGCTCATCAAGAGTGGATTCAGAAGAGGAAGAAGTCGGGGACATACCCGAAGAGTTGTTGGTGGGAGGCTTCAGGTTGTGGATCTGACTCGATTCCGGAGAGCTGGGTAGTAGAGCATTAGAAGTTGTAGAACACGCTGAAGAAGTGCATGGGGATCCTGGAGAGAGGACCGGGAGTTCGCGAGACGTCGAGGAACGAGTCGATGAAGTCTCATGGATAAGGATACTGGGGGATGTGGAGGAGGTGGGCGAGGCGGTGGAGATGTGCTCGTCCACTATCTCCGAGGGGAATGAATGGAAGGCGCCCGGTTGGGCTACAAGAACGTCCGATTCGGCCACTTGGACCATGATTTGTAAGTATCTGCAATATCAGACTAAGTCTGGGTTTTAGCGACGTTTACGCGCAACAATTATGGAAAGGCCTAGACTCAAATGAGATGTGTTTATTTTGATTAGCGAACTCAACCCCTCCAAGTGTCCTATAGAATGTAAACAGGCCCTCAGGGAACAAACAACCCTGCTCTCTTATATTCTATCGGATCATCGTGAACGCTGAGAGATACGGTGCTACGAGACATACTACGGTGATAATGATAAAACGGACATATACCGAAAAGACATAGTTGTTGTTTCTGATTTTGTTCTTTTTTGCCTGAGGGCCTAAGAATGGACAGTGTCCAGAGGCACCGCCCCCTTTTCTCATTCTTTTTTTCAGCATGGCACTGGAATCCGCGTGTTTTTTCGGTGTCGCCCGGTACCACGACCTTCTCCTTCCACCGCAATGACCACTCTCCGCTTTTTCCCTCCGGCCCTAGGGGTCCCGCTCGCTTCGAGAAAAATGGCCGCTGGCTCGTTTTTTCGCCCCCCTCCATTTTTTTCTCTTTCAGTCAGCCGGCTGTCTTTTTCGGGGGGTTTTTTAGTTGGTGGTGCCGAGCCGCACCAGGCTCAAGGAGAAATTTTAAATGGCCGAAAAAAGGGTTTTTGGATAAAAGGGGGATCCGAGTGGACATGCCAAGTTCAGATTAAGAAATTCACGTGGAAAGAGACGTGACCAAGCGAAGGGTGGCCGGGAAAGGTGGCCAAGAAAACACCCGTGAATAAAATAATAATTTAAGTCATCAAGTCGGGTTACGGTAAAATTGACGATATCACAATTCATTAAAAGATGTGAAATTTAAATATTCAAAAATGGAAGTCTTGGCCATGCTGCAACGAGGGTAATCAGTTCATGGCAGAAAGACAAAAAGCAAAAGTAAAATCAAATAAAAAACAGTTGAAAATGTAATTCTCCCCACCAAAATTAAATCGCTTAAAGTCATGAAGGTCAAAATGTTTGCATGGCGCGACATCAATGTGAGACGAATAATAATATAAAACAACGAAAAGAGAGTAACAATTAAATAATACAGTAGCCGGGATCGAAATAGAAGCCCCAAAATTAGTGATCGGGATCGCAACACCCGCTCCGCGTCCCCAAAAAACAAACAACACGGTGCGGGGAATCCGCGGAATCAGAAGTGACGGCGGCCCGGAGCACGGAACGATGCGCTCCCGATCGTACTTGCCGGTGTTTGGGGGGCGGGGCCTTCTTCTTTTTGCTCTGTTTTTGTTTCTTTTCTCGGGCTGGCAGTGGCCGTCCCGTTTTTTGTTTGGTACGTGTATGTGCTTGGCGATTTCGACGAGTGTGCTGGCCAGTCCCATTTTTTGCACTCTTCCCTCGGTCCCCGTGACTCCGCCCCCCGGCTCTGTTAACTTTGCACTTTTTAGCCGAAAAACTTTTTTGTGCGGTCAGAGAAAATGCGCAAAAAGTAAAAGAGAAAAGAGTAATTACCTTGATAAAAACGATATACAAAAAAGTACAAGACAAGGAATTGGTGGAGATAGAAAAGTCGGGAGCGGGTCAAACGGAAAGTGATAAGATTCCTTTTATTGAATTTGCACATTCAAATCAAAATGACCTTTGTAAAACAGCGTCTCCGTTTACAAAAAAGGACCAAGGTATTGGTTTCAAAATATTTTTTACATTTATTCATGTAAATGGCCATTGAATGGAATGCGGAAAGGGGTTATAATTAGCACGGTGCATACCTTAATGAGCCATAAAGAATTGCTCATAAAAGCAGGTGCAAAAAGTCAAAGATTAGAAAATTGCATACAAGAAATGCTATAGTCGGAATGCATGATTTACATCCAGAAGAAACTTTCCTACCAGATTTGGAACTCTTGGAATTAAAAATATAAATCAAGGTCAGAAAACTAGTAACCAAATTTATGTAATGAGATTCCTGTCTTTTGTTCATTCCCAACATATTCTTGATATTCTAATTATGCTTACACATTCTTGGCACTTCCAATTTGTCCCCATATTCTTCTTTTTGTACCTACAAAAAGAAAACTACTCCTTTCGACTTCTATCCTTGTCTTGTATGTAACACGAACTACATTTCCTTGTTCTCAAAATGTTATTTGTTTTTTACGTAGCATTCCCGGCATTTTTAGAACCAGTGGCTTGACCAAAGACTATTTATTTAACACGTTTAACAGAATATTTAAAGTAATTTTGGCCGTTCTATGGCCGAATTTCTTTTAAAACTTGCGCCTGAGTATTTCAAAACATGTTTACCGTATGTCGGGCTTTATAAATAATTTTTATTTATACTTTTTTCTTCCAAAATTCGTCGCCTTATTTGGATTAATCTCGAAATTTGGATCCGATTATGAGAATTGCCGTGATCGCCTTAGGGCCGTGGTCTAAGTCCGGCGTAATCGGGGCTTAAAGAGTATCGCAATGTATAGGACTGACCTCTGTGCCTTTCTCTTTTTTTTATTTTTTCGCCCCGTTCCGCCACCCGGCACAGCCTGGGACAGCCGAACGCGTCGTTCCTTTCATTTCTCTTCTTCTCCTTCGCTTCGAGAGAAATAAACGGGGAAAGGGAATCGAGATGAAAAAAATCCCTGTTGCGTGATGACTGCACTGATTCAACGCGATGGAAAAGGCGCGAGAGATTTGCAAGCGGTTCGAAGGTCATGAATAACAAAATTCGAGCGAGGAGCGTCCGTATTTTGGGAAACAGCAAAAGTAATCCGCCCAAAGACACGGTAACTCAGGCTACGATGTGTTTTGATGAGAAATCGCCGCAGGGCAAACGAATCTGTAGCCAATAGATTCGTCTTATTTCAGTCATCTTTGTATAAAGAGTCATAATTTTTTGAGAATACTCTCGAAAAACAACTCTATAAATGGGTGCCAAATACAAATTCTTTTTTTTCAACATTTGTTACACTGTCGAGTATTATTAAACTCTTATCCATGCCCGGCATTACCTGGCACATAACATTTAAGCATCCGTGTCATGTAATGTTTCATATTGCTTGGCTGCAAATGGAAGTACAATTGCAATTCACCTCACGCCGTGCCAGTTACATCTTGTAATGTAATCCGGGAAAATTCGAATGGAATTCGGATATATAATTTGTATGAAGTAAACAAGATAAAATTAAGCCGGAAATAGCCGAATGATTATTTATTTTTATTTCGTGCCGCCCATGACCATGCACTTTGTGGCCAGAGGACGTTGGGAAGGGGTCGGGGGAGTGACCAGCCCGTGCCAACACGTGCTGTCACTCTTTTCTTTTCTCTCCGTCGCTTATTTTGGGCGTTCTCAAAAAAGAGAATTTTTATTTTTTTAATCACAAAAAGAGACGGAAAGAGGATATACAAGGAAGGAGAAGGTACGGTAGGACTATTAATTGGAGTCAGAGGTCGAATGTGAGAGAGTGAGGATTAACAGGGACCAAGGAACATCTAGCCAAGTACAGGTTTAATACTCTGTTCATTCAGATGAACATGATCCTAATTGTAAGGGAAAATGAATAGACTCACAGAGGAGCCTCTGCAAAACGAACTCAATTAAATTTCCATAACAAACAATTTTAGAGGCCCAAGGCCCAATTTTAAGCAAAAATGAATCTCCGTACAACAAACCCCTCCTATAACAAATTTTTTGGTTCGTTGTGCAGCACGTTGTTGTATTGGACATCAAGTACTCGTTACGTATTTACGTAGAATCATTGGTCAATCTGACTTGCTCGAACGATCAAAAAGGGGATCTTTTTTAGAAATTTTAGATCACAGAAATGCCTAATATAAATTAGATTAATCCACGTGAAACAAATTTTCAGAATCTCACCTTACGCCCTTTCCCCGCTACATTTCAGTCTCTGTTCTTTTAATCTTTTTTAGTTACGTACGTTCGGACACTAATTTTATCCGTTTTTTTGGCCAGACCCTAAGGCGATTTGAAGTCATTTCCATCGTTTTAAAGGGGGATCCTTTAACCAGTACAATAACCGAAATAACTCGTTTAATATCGGCGACACTTAAAGCGCTCAAAAATCCCTGATTATGGCCTTAGGGTCTAAAGAGGGCAGAGTGGACTAGTCCAGTGTCATTCGGTGCACGGAGAACAAAAAAAAAAAGATGAAGAAAATCAAAATAATCCTGGAATTAGATTAAAGGCTTCTGAAGCCAATGGTTGTGGCCTAGGCGGGATAGTAAGATTTGACTTTCGATGCAACAGGTTACACCAACAATTTTTTAACGCAAATTCCACGAACTAATCGAACGTACCCAATATATTTATTAAACATGGATTTCGTCACAAGCTTTGGAAATATTTTGGAATATCAAAATGCGCGAAAATAAAACAATAATACCAAAATGAGATTTCGAAATGAGTTCGCAATCTTTTTTTTGGGATATGGGTCAAAAAAGGGCCAGGAACAATGGGGAATTTGCATTTGGGCGAATTACCGTAACCCGAATCGATTTTGGAGGGAAAATGCGACAAAAAACAACTGGGGATCCATTAAACCAGAAATTTGAATCTTGAAAAGTAGTTAAAAAGATCGCCCATTAAATGCCCAGTGGTCATTAAAGATATCTTCCACTGACCCCGTTAACATCATCCTCTTTATGGGATATTATTGTAGGAAGATCAGGGAGGATGATCCCGACGAAACCCGCTTAATTAATTGGTCATTTTCGTTTTTCCAAATCCATACAAAGTAAAAGTAAAAAACGAAAATAAACTTGAGACCACGCCCCTTCATGCCCTCCGGGTTCTTTCCTTCGCTTTCCGCTTTTTTCTTGCTTATCGCGAGAAAGGAAAAAACGAGTGACCAGTGGCGATTGGCACGGCCTGACACCACAGCAAGCCCTGAGGTGAATTCCATATTATTTTGGGGAATAAACGGAGAAGGGACAACATCCAGCACACGAATCTGCATTCTTCTGCATCACATTTGTTGTCAAAAAACACAAATACAAATGAGATTAGGCCCGGAAATAAAGTTTTTTGTAAAGTTTGGAACCAAATTAAAGATCCAACTTATTTTAGCGTTCAATTCGCAGGTAAACCAATTCCCAAATTTCGAAAAGAGTAATCTCTGAAGTGTAAGATAACTTCATCATGAGAGTAAAAGTGCTTTCTAGCCACGACTCAACTCCCTAACTGACCATTGAGAATTCGAAAACCGTGGCTTATTCTACTGAACGCATTACAATATAGAAAAGCTGGGTCAAAGTTTGTTTTGTGGGTGTTCATCCCTCAAATCGGGTCATTGAACATGAAAGCGTTCCCCGTATTATCTTTTATTATCCGAAGTGACTGTACATTTAGACGAGTTAGAGAGATCAGTTGGGCTGATTTTGGACTCGTTGGGCATGCCATTCGGGATGATGAGTGGCGATGAGTTCGTTGACCCGGTTGGTCTGTTCGCAAACAGAAATCACATAAGAGTTCCAATCAATCGGCGATTTCTTTTCGGGTTCTGGAAGTTCCGAGCAAGTAAAATTTTAAAGTTCGTAGGAACAAAACCAAGAATAATAATAAGATTTTACCTTTAAAAGTGATGAGTCTATCAATCTGATCAACCTCTCCGTTCAGACTACCGGTAGAAATAAGTCTAGTAACAGCAGTTTCCACAAGTTCTGGAGCAATTCCCAGCAATTCACTGACGTCATCAAAGGATACGCACTTGTAGATACGGGATACGGCCAGCAAATTGTGTTGGAGAACTGCTTTCTCGAGGATAGTGTTGCCATCTCTGTCCCTGATCTTCTGATTCTCTTTCAGAAGGACTTCAAAATGAGGTAACTGGAGGGAATCAACAATTATTTTACAAAAATGATTACAATTAAACCAATTGTACTTGTTATACATACCAAATCAGGAGAAATCAGCTTCTCCATAAACATATTTTGGAGAATCTTAAACCCAACAAAATTCTCGACCCGATCATCTTTAACCAGCAGTTTCAACAGCCTTGTTCTGTGCATTCCAGGAGGTGCCAGCACAGTGCAGATAACCGAGTTCTGCAAAGCCTGGGTCTTCTCATCCGCAGTTAGTTGGGATCTGACGGAGAGGTCGTAATATCGCAGACCGGCTTCCGCAAACCTATTATTCTTGTCCAAAATCTGGGCATACAAGGCCTAAATTTTTTATACAATGAATTTGAATGGCGTTTACTTACTTTATATCTGATCATGAGGTTTTCATCAGAAATTTGAGCCTGCAACATAGACGCCCTGGTCACATTATTCTCAGCCTCTTCCAAATCATTCGCTTGAAGTGCCGTCTCAGCAGCCCGAAGATGCTCCACCATCTTTTCGGTCGCTTCCTCAGCTGGTACAGCCATCTTAGAAATTAGAAGATCTAAAAGACAAAATATGGCACTGTATAAGAGCTAAACACCCGTGGCCAAAAATACTTCAAATAGCCGTACGATGTAAACATTGAGTACAATAGTTATCGAAATTTTTACAAGCTTTATTAGAACAATTAGCAATCAAAAGCAACAAGAACAGGGACTTCAAAGTTGAGATTTGCAATTTTCGGTAAAAAAGGAGGATCTTAGGATTCTTGACGAGAATTCTTAGGCCATTCCATCGTCTTCATCTTGGGCTTTGGGGGCTCTGACTGGAGGACCACCAGCTGGCTTAGACATGATTATCTGGTCTACCTTCAGAACCGTGGCTGCTGCGTTTGTGGCCAACTTAAAGGCCAATAACTTGGAGTTAAAAAGATCGAAGACATTGTTTTCAACGGAATCCACCAAGGCCCCGGTTGAGACATCGATTCCATGCCTGATATTACCGTTTTGGTGAGCAGCGTAGAGGTTGGAAAGAACCTCAGTTGGCTGAAACATGGCATTCATATTGTAACATGGATAGTGTTCCTACATATTGAATGAGAAAAAACTCACCTTGAGACCGGCATTGTCCGCCAACAGCTTAGGAAGGGTTTCCAATGCGTGAGCGAACTTCTGAATAGAGTATTGCTCAAGACCTTCGTACTTCTCTCCAATCGACTCGATTCTTCTGGCCAATTCAATTTCGATAGCTCCGCCGCCGGCCAATAACTAAAACAAGGTAAACAAAGTAATCACAACTTACTCTTGTGTCTCTGGTCAAAGCTTTGTAAGTGTTAACAGCATCATCAACAGCTCGTTCCACATCATCCATCAACGACTGGGAAGATCCTCTGATAACAACAGTGGCGACTTTACCAACGTCTTCTTTTCGGTCGAAAACAACAACATTGTCACCTCCAATCTCCTGGATGTGGACTTCGCTACACTGTCCCAATAAATCAACAGTAGGTGCGTTCTAAACAGATAAAAATCTAAACTTAATCAAACTTACAATTCTAGCCTGGGCTTGAGCTCCAATGGTTCGGCAGAGTCGTCTCATATCGAATTTGGAGACTAATCGGACACCCATGATCTTGTATTGGTTCAAGTAGTGAAGGTAAATATCTCCGAACTTGCCAGCCGCCACAACAACATTAACTCCGCGGTCAGCCAGCTCCTTTACTTGTTTCTCCACCTCGGCTTCTTCGGTATTGGAGAAAGACAAAAGATCTTCCGCATTGTTCATCAAGACAGTTCCCTAGGATTAAATGATAACTAAATTTTTTAACCACTAACCTTAGTTTCAGTCTGAGTAAGGTCAAAAGGACAGGCAAAGACAGCGACTCTGGCGTTGGAAACCCGCTTGATATCACCCTCGGCTCCTCTTCGGAAGACCATTCCATTCATAACATGGGAGGATCCGACTCCAGCTCCAAGAATCTTAACAACTCTGACATTATCCACGTTGAAGTTGGAGGCCTTCTGTGGAACGGTTTGCACTATAAAAAAAATATTATTTCGTTTCTTCCGATACATATATATATTAAGTTGATTCAAAAGTTTTCCGCTTTTCGTGACACTTCAAAACAAAATTTCCAGGGCCTGATTGAATGTATTTTAAAACTGAAAGGATAGATGTATGGGGCAGCCTTCGCAAAATTCTAGACTGGTAGTATTTCATTTTCAACAGGCTTTCTTTCAGAATATTTCAAAAAATATACAAAAAAAAATCTCCGTTTGTGTCAAGATGAATATCACGGGGCCTCGCAATTTTCTTGTTCACTAAAAAATTTTTAAAGACATGGCGGGAAACTTTTGAGTCAACCTAATACACACCAAACATGACTAACACCACTTACCACAAGCCTTGGCAACCAAATCAGCAATCAGTTCATAGTGATCGTACTGTTTAGACATGATTGAAGCCTTGAGAACCTTCCTGACTTTCTCGAGGTCATAAAGATCAAGTTCTTTTGAAACGACAAGCTCGGGCAAAATCTCAGCTGTCTTCTCAAAGGCCAGTTCGTATCCAGCCGCGATCTCCACCGGTTTCAACCCCTAAATTTATTCATCAATCCGAACGGCTACACTTACCATGTTGATCAATTCATTGGCGTTCTCCAGAAGAGCAGCAGCAAAGATCAGAACAGTATTAGTGTTATCTCCAATCTGTTTCTCTTGCATCTCAGCGGCCATAACCAGCATTCTGGCGGCCGGATGTTGAACTTCCAGTTCCTTCAAGATTGTGGCAGCATCGTTGGTTACAAAGACCTTTTCGATGTGGTTGATAACCATCTTATTCATTCCATTTGGACCATAGGCCGATTTTATTTGACTGGCCAATTCTACACAGGCCTCGATGTTTCGTTGGACAGCTTCGTCCAATCCTTTGAAGTGCATGGCTCCCTCCTTCATGAATCGGGAGTAGCCGGACTTTGGTATACCCATCGCCATCTTGATAGAATCAACCTGGTTACCTAAAACAACAAGAGTTACAAAGATAAAGGAAACTGGTCAAGCCTGAGATCTACGAAACACCCACATTCGGCCGACAAATTTTATTCGCGAATATTTTTCTCCTTCCTTGGCCTTCTTGGCGTTCGGCGTTTTCGTGTCAGGACTAAATAAAATAATTCTTTGAGTTATAAATTTTCATAAATAAAGTCTTTGTACTCCATAAATAAATTCTTTGTACTTGTGTTTTTGTGTGATTTCCGTAGGGCCTCATGAGCACCAAGGAAAAGACAAAGATCAAGTTGGTTCGTTTAGATGGGGTCAAACTACCGACATCTACGTCTTTAAATATTACACTCAAGGAGATCCAAGTAAATATTTTTTGTTCAATTCATATTTTATTGCTGATTTAGGTTGCCGGAGAATGGAAATGGGTAGAAGGCCGTGGAGATACGTGTGGTATTTGTCGAGCAGCTTTCGAAGGATGCTGTGTTGATTGCAAGATGCCGGGAGATGATTGTCCCATCGTAAGTTCATTCTGTTCGGTTAAAGTATTGCTTTTCGTAATTTGCGTGACAAATCGTTCGTTGCAGATTCTTGGAGTATGTTCCCACGCTTTTCACATGCACTGTATCATCAAATGGACCAATTCTCAAGTTACCCATCAACGACCGGCGTGTCCTCTGTGTCGGCAAGATTGGCGTTATAGCGTTTGAAATAACAGCCTTCTCGACTTTAAACTTTCCTACGGGTTTTTTGTTTTTACCTTTTTCTCCTGTATATAATAAAACCAAGCAAAACAAAGTCTGTCGAATGAAGAATTTGAGTGGAACCATGGTGAAGCTGTTTTATTTGCTGTTAATTTCTTGTTTAATGAGAAATGTCTTTGGCAAGAATGTCTTCGACCAGGTAGATTTGAATCTATCAAGGGGGATATTTGCATGTTTAGTTGACCAAGAAAGGGGACACGATAATAAAAGAGGCCAGAACGGATAATATGACCAGAGAATGCTCTTGCGACGAGGAGAACTTCTGTGGGACCGAGATCAAAGAAGAAGTGTTCGACTGTTTCGAAACTTGCTGGTTTAGCGTTAAATCGGTAGCGTTGAAATGCTTTTGACTGACCTTTTAAGATTACCGATCATCCAGAACAATTAAAGCAATGTCTGAAGGATAAGGCTTATATCATCGATCAGATAATCAGTTGTTTGCATGAGAAAGCTGAGAGGTGAGCATGAAACACTATGCAGTTTGATTTATAATGAGTACTTTGGGGATACTGTAACTTATTTTTCTAGCTGCGTCCCGGGAATGGATGGACCTCAGATTCATTACATAGACATCAACAAAATAATCAAAAGCGCGGATGCCCAAATCCATTTACAAGCGGACAAGTTCACAAAGACCCTACCAAATAGTGCCAGAGATCTTTTGGAGGCCGCGATCACCGTCGGGACTTGTGTAAAAGAATGTTTTCAAGAAAAGAACCAAGGTGGATTTTGCTTTGATCACAAAGGGTAGGAAGGATTACAGTAGCCGTAATTAAATCTCAGTTGTCAACCCAAGATTGAGACCAAAGAGATGAGAAATGCCTTGAAAAAGTGCTCTAAGGAATTGGAATGGCAAAAAGAAGCGGCCGAAATGTGTGATTGTGCTTATAAAGCTGGTGTAGGGTAAGAAAGAGCTGCTCCGGTCACATTGATATTTAATTTCCAGACGCGTCCAACAATACTGCGATATGATACATGCGATGAACAGACACAAGCCAAGCTGATTTTAAAATTTTATCTTTTAGAAAGAGAAATAAATCACAATTATCATTTATTATACATCAAACACCGATCTAAGTCCTCAGGCCATACTCTCCACAGCTGAACGGGCCTTATTGCGAGTTGTAATTGTCGATCGAGTCTTGGGATGTCGTATGGGGACCTTGACCTCATCCGGATCGAGTTCATTATCACTGTCATCAGCTGGAGTTGGGGTCCGATCTTCTTGTGCCCGTCTAGATCGGGGATTGCTTGGAGCATCTTGTTCCCGGTCGAAGTTCGAGATTAACTAAAAATTAAGTTAAGAAGTACAGCAATTATACTCACAGAACCCAATAAGACACTCACCTCATCAAGGTTATACCGTGATCTAAATTCCATGTAGAAGCTCTCTACTTCTTCCGCTGATCGGTTATCCAGTCGATTCGAGATTTCATCAAAGTTGAGCCCTAGTTCCCGGAATCCTCTGACCAGAATAACCTTCTCGGCATCAGTCCATTCAATATTTTTACGAATTTGATTCAGTTTCGATTCTTTAAAACACTCAAAATGCTCTCTGAAAATAAAAAAAAATTACATTACAGAACAAAACTGAACACTTAATAGGCTTACTCTTCATAATTGTAGTCTAAAGGAGCATCCAGATTCTTTTGGATGTATTCATCGTCTTCCAGGCTTACGCTGAACACACGTGGTTTCCCGAATATTTCGTTATAAAAGGCGCATACATTACACGAGACGTTTGCATTTACGTCATCATTGGATGAGCCCGCACAGTTTTTGCATTCTCTTCTCGAGGTTATTATACCATCGTCAGTTCTTCTAAATATAAATATAAATAAAAAGAGAAGTCACTCTTACTCCATCATTGCTGGGCATACCCACCGGGATTCTCCGTAACATAGTCGATGTAGAAGTTCGTATCGCTTTTCCACAACTCTGGCTCTGGCGTCTGCGTACCCGTATTTCTCAGAAAACTACAAAAGGATTACAATTGATTGGCTTTAACAATATCAACTTGGACTAAAAATAAGCAGCCGAAGTAAAACCTACATATTTTTGTACATGTTGAACCTTCCGTCCTTGAGCTAACTTCTTCACCAATTCCTGAACTTCTCTGCTCTTCCAAACATACTGAGGTAAAGGTAATTTCTCAAAGTCTTCCAAAGCCTTGGCCAGATTGTAATCTCTTTCAAATAGATGTTTCAAAGCCTAAAAAGAATAAATGGATAAATAAAATTAGCTCACCTGATCTCCATCAACAGATCTGCAGACTCTAGCCAATTCTATGTATTTCCTGACATTCGGATTCCATTGGAATTCTTCCTTTGGCAGCCACATCACAGACTCCCTTTCTTCTTCATCTGGAATTCCATTTTCTAAAAGCTCGGGGATATCGGCTTGAAATCCATCACCAATCCCTGGCTGATCTTGAGGTCTCTTCTTGTTCTCCTTATCAGTTTGAAGAAATCGTTGATCAGCCGGCTTTCTGACAGATCTTCTAGTCACAACATCTTCTGTTTTCTCTTCGGTAGCAATCGTTCCCGAGGATCGCAGTCTTCGAATGGCTGGGGGTGTTCCAAAAACATCTTCTTCAGCCACTTCCGAGCACGCTGACATTGCACGAGACGGAGTTCCAGGTCGACTCTAAACGTATTTGATGATCTCCAATACTAGTCATCTTACCTCTGATACCGCTTCATTCACCGGAGTATCCACTTCCATATTGAGCTCTGACGGGACATCCAATGACGTTTCTTCGGGATCAGACGTTGATTGTTGTGCATCTTCAGGAGTTGACATTGTTGAAAGACGAAGGCTGAAAAAATTATTCATCAAGATCAACCAGCTTATCAAACTCTGGCCTATATAAAAGGACCGCGCCCTAAAAAATATTTATACCTAAAATCTTAGTAATCAACAGAAAGTTTTTATTTTTCTGCCGAAATCAGCGAGAGAGTATCTAACATTGCGCCGAAATTTGAAATTTTCGGATGTGCAATCATTACTAAGTGATCGGAATTATTTTTATTATTATGCAGACGTTGAGACAATCCGCGACGCGCGAAGCCCCGGTTTATTGTTCCCCTACAGCGCCTCAGCCATTCGAGACGCACAGAAAATGAGTGCGGAAGAGGAATTTCCCTGCCGCCCTCCGCAAGCCGCGCGCTCTCTCGCTCATCCAAAAAACGCCGAATCCAGAGAAACAGATGAAATCGGAAGACGTCGATGGACTTGGAAGTCAGAATCAGCCTTACGAGCGAGTTGCAGGGAATCAGTTTGCCAGGGAAAACAATATTCACATACCTCGAAAAGACGGAGGAAAAAAAGGAGAGCATGGTTGGGAATCAAACAATATCGCGAAGTTTTTTTTGAAAAATTGTAGAAACAATTTTACAGTAGGGTTGTTAATCTGACGGATTTTTTCAATCTGACGTCAAATTGGCGTCATTTCCGGAATTTTGGCTAAATTGAAACTTCTGAGATACGAAACTTTCAAACGCGGATTTGCCATAGACTACAATGGATATTAATGTTATTCGTAACTGTATTTTCTGCTTATTTCATCGGTCGCTTTGACAAGTAGGGGCAATTTGGTCTCTAAAAATTTTACATTCTTATGCTTTTTTGTGTAGAAAAAATCAGCAAAGATTTTCCAAAAAAGTTCAACTTGACATGACGAAAATGACGGCGATTTGACTATGTTACAGTAATCTTAAAAGGTTTGTAACCGAGAATGTACTCGACCAAAGTATGTTTTGCAAAACTCAAACGAACAAAAATCATTCGAAAAAATAAGTTCTTGCCAAAGAGTTGCCCCAATGTTATTTTCACTCACACTTGAGAACCTAAGTAATTATAATTTCCCCTATGAAAACAAGGATTCCCAATGACTGTAAATCCAAACCACAAACATATTCGTCGCTCTTCCAAACATCTGTATGCCCAGAAACCGGCCATTGACTAATTATTTAATATTTAGTCAGAACGGGTATTAATGCCGAGTTTTCTGCAATGAAGTCTCGATTTGCAGAGATTTATCTGTTCCAATCTTACTGTAATTTCCGTACCCTTCTTGCGTCAGACGTGTTGATTCGGCGAAATGTCTGTTCGATTTCTTTGTCAGTTTATCTGTACACTTCTTTATGAATAAATGCCATCCCAGATTTACTTTACAAAAATGTTTTCAATCCCAAAAACAAAGTTATCCCACATTTCCAATAACATTCTTCTTCTTTTTGCTGCATTGAATTAAGAAATTCATCCATAACACGTCCTCCGCCCATTCCTCCCTCAACCTTGTTAGACTCTATTCACGAGATTTACACTTTACGATTCCGATATTACACTTGGCGTTCGTTTGATCATATTTTATTGAATATATATTACTACCAATAATTATAAGATGCCTGTAATGTTTTGTTTGAAGGAGTAGGAGATCATTTGGTTCTTTGGGAAATGACACCGAAGGAAGATGTAATTACCTATGAAATTACCGACAAGACATTCAATATTACTTACACACAATCTAAAGTCACTTGAACAGAATAATAGTGTCGATTAAAACAAAATGCTTAAAAAAAGTAACCCGAAGTCATGTTGGAATGATAATCGAGGATATAATCTGTGGAACCGGGAACAAGACGTCTATGGGATATGGGGACATCTAACACAACAATCTAAACCAATTATATACATGGGGGATATGTGGAACAAAGAGATGACTAGAGGGACTACAGGGACTATCGAGTATTGGTGGGGCTGTAAGCAGTACAGTGGAGGTTTTGCGGTTTTCTTTAAATGCGTGGCAGCGGCCGGCTGACCGTGCTCGAGACTTCAGGTCTGAATATCGAATATTGAATATCATCAAGGATTCGGTTACCGTAATTTGAGGAAAGTCCCGATCTGTTCGGCACTCAATTTGGTGGAGGGTAGATTTATTTTGAGAGGGCGTGAAGCCGAGTGGACCCCCAGAATAAAGCGGCCAAACTTGGACAGCTTGGGGAAATTGGTTTCGCCGAATGTCGACCAGAACTCCAGTAATGATCTGTAACGGAGAATGAAAAAAATCCAGAAAATACATTCAATCCATGCCTTAATTACTCACCTAATTTTACTCTGGCCAAATGGAGTCCGAAGATAACATTCTAATTCGTCGTCTTCCATGGCGCAATCCTCCAGTTTGGAAAGGAAATTTCGCCGTTTTCTGGCTGGTTCTCCATCGTCCGACCTGGTGGAATCTCGCTCTCTTTTCATCTTATTCAAGCCACTCACATCCTTGATGCTCGAGTAAATGTTGATTCTAAAAATGAATTCTTATTTTGGGAGTAGGGTAAACAAAATGTAACCCTAGAACTCTTTGTCCTTAGGCTGAATCATGCTCACCAGGACCATAAAAGAAATAAACTATGGATTTAATCAATGAATTGTAAGAAAATTTTAAAATAATTTTGAAACAAAAATATGAATCCCACTTACTTCTGCATGTCAGTGCATATTAATTGGAGACTTCTGATCTTGGGATTAAGCACCGTGGACATGTAATGCTCCTTGGTCAGATGTTTATTCACCCATTCTTTCAGCTTCTCCTCAGCATTCTTTCTAATCGCCCGTCCCCAATCCAATTCTTTCTTCATATTCTTATTCAAATCATCATTAATTTGAATGTCATCGCCATCGACTTGTTCGTATTCATCTAGAAGATTGAAGAAATTGGGGACGATCGCCTGGAAGGTGAGGTCCTTGTCCTCTCCGAATTCCTTGAAGGTGTCATAATAACTCTCGAGGAAGACTTCCACCTTCTCCACAAACGCCCAATCGGTTGTTTTCATTTTCTCAAACAGTTCTAAAAGGCAAGTAACTTAAGGCACTCAAAATATGACTTACGATTCGCTGAAAGTAACTCTAATGTTTTGGCAATCTTCCCAACGTTCTCTCGCACAAATTTCAATGTCAAATACAGCTCAGAAAGGTTGTCGGTCATCAGCAAAGCACTTTCATTCAGCTCTCTTGTCATCAGACATGCAGGGATTTCATCGATAAACAAATTCTTCTGAATCAGGTAATCCAGCACGCTATTACAGGTGCGAATCGTCTCTTGGACAATGTCCAAATCGGGGGCCTGTTCAAAGCATTCATTCACTATGCCGTTCAAAGCTCGCACAACATTCCTGATGACTCGGACGTTGGACGGAAGGCCGTTGATCTCCTTTTCATCATCAATCTCGGAACAGAGCGTTAAGAGGATTTGTCTGGCATCGAACAGATTGTATTCATGCATCACTTCTTGTAATAAACCCATGAAATCCTCCATCGACGGACTTTGACACGCTCGGACTCTGGAATATGGAAATTATTTTAGTCAAACCGCCTATACATATAGCGGAGATTAACAATTGGGGAAACTGAAAGTTAAGGCAACAGGATCGCAGGGTTCGGTGGTGCAGGTTCGGGTGATGGATTTTTGGGTTGGTGAAATTCGCGGGTGATGAAGAAAATATTGTACTGCAGGCTACCAAATATCACGTAACATTGTTAAAGTTTGAAGATTTTTACAATTTTATTCCCTTTTGGGGTTTCGACCATCAGGTATCCAAGAATATACGATTTTTTTACAATTTTATTCCCTTTTGGGGTTTCGACCATCAGGTATCCAAGAATGGAACCCATTTTAAAGTAGGAAATTTCTTGGGTGACCTGGACGATGTCATGACCATTATTGTAAGTATGAAGTGACATTGAAATCTTCGAAAAAACAAAAGTTTTATTCAGGGGTAATCAAACACGGAGAATTCAATAATCAAGTCCGTTTTGCTCAAATATCAATGTTAGCACTATTATTATTTTTATAATTGTACGGAATACTAAAAACCACGGTAAAATTTTTGCAATCAATTGAATATTAAGTCATATTTAGTAATCATCAGAAGAATATTTTCGTCATTACCCCAAAATTCACCTACTCCGAAAATCCATCACCCGAATAAGCGATCAGCCGAATGGGCACACCAGAATTTTTCATCACCCGAATGCGCATCACCTGAATACTATTCTCGACCCCACTCATAATTTGTCGACCCCATAATTGGCAGAATCCGAGAATCCGTTGGAATGTCATAGATTGCCTTATATCTTTGCAAAAAATGTAATTTGGGAAAAATATGAATTGTAGGTGTAAACTTTTCAAAAAATTGTAACTTTGAAAAAAGTGTTAATTTTGATGTAACACTGTTAGGAATGATATTATATTGGAAAATTTGTTGTAAGCGTAAAAATGGAAGTGTAATTTTTTTTGTTTGAAAAGTGTGATTATTCAGCCTTCACAACTATTTAGAATTAACATTTTTTCAAATTTGTTTTTGAAAGATTTAAGCTTACAATTGATAATTTATCCGATTTACACTTTTTTACAAGGATGTAAGGGTATCTATGACACTCCAACGGATTCTCTGAATCTGCCTATTATGGACCCTGTCGTAATTTTCAGTTTCCCCATTTATCTTTTTCCCCAATCATAAAAGTACATAAACCTTTAAAAAAACTCTTAAAAGTACTTTTCTTACTTCAAAGGGCGTTGCGTAATTTGCCATTCATCGGTTATATAGTTGGCCATGATGGATATGAACTGCTCATCGCCAAATTTGATGATCTGTCCCAGTAAAGAGATGCCAATGTCCTTCAGCTGGTCCATATCTTGCTTGGTAGCGGCTCGTATCGCATCGTCTTGGGCCATTACAACCTGGAATTGGGGTAAGTAAGATAAGAAAGAGGCTGGAGATGAAATCCCATCTGCTCTGAGGGTTTGTGGGGGCGAGATGAAACCCGAGAATGTCTTCAAAAGGTCTTGGAGACTAACCTCACGCATTTGTTGGGCACTGGGTATTAGATTGCGGACCGGATCAAAGCTGTTCGAGACGTGGTTATCACCATGGGAACGTCGGCCGATGAATAGCACCGTTTCGATGAGGTTCTTGAAGCCTTCGCCCTGGAAAAGAAAAGTAATGAGAAATCCAGAAAACTAATTCGGGAAACCCCGACTCGAAAAAGGCCAGGTTTAAAGTTTCACGGATGTTACACTCGATTTATGAGCAATGGAAACGGAACTTACTGCCACAACATCGCTGTTGTGCATGTCTTGGGCACAGAACTTGAGAACCGCCTGGGCAAACAACTGTTTATCGGCTTGAGTGAACACGTAGCCAGCCCCAGTTACGACTACTGGAGGTACTGGAGTCGTCGCTCTTAACTGTTGGCTGGAGCCTGGTCTTGTTGGAGCCTTAACTGGTTTCTGGCTTGGAGTAAGATGCTGACATTGCTGTAGGAGAGTCGGGGTCGTCACATTCGACCGACTGCCGCCCAAATTGGTGCTAATCCCAGACCCTCCGATGCCTAGATTTGCAACCCCAACCGCGGATCCAGCCCGTTGAAGTGGAGGAACAGCTGCATTTGGATGCAAAAGACCTGTTGTATTACTCGTGGTGGTGGTTGTAGTAGAACTATGCCCTGCTGAATGCGATCTGAAGAATCCTCGATGATGTTCGGGAAGGGATTCGATCGATGTTGAACTGTGAGAAAGGCCGGACGAAGTGTATCCGGTGGATCCTAAAGAACTTCCCAACGAGCCATGATAACCCTGATATGCGAATGCTTCCCGTGCTGCCGTCGTGCTGTGCTGAGGGTCGTTCTGTTCTTGAACATCCGGGGAATTGGGGCCGAATCCGTGAACGGACTCGAAGGAAGAGGACTGGGTCCCGCTCTGGTCTTGTGTCTCGCTTCTGCAACACATCAGATTTTCATATTAGACGCCTACCGTGGGAACGACGAGCGATAACTGCTGCCCATGGAGCAGCGATGCCGGGTCATGTTACCGGTGCCCCCGCCCGTGTCCGTGTACAATACCTTGCATGCATAACAGGCAACGTACGGGAGGCGGTTTCCGGTCTGTTTGTCGACCACCTGACCGAACAGGTTCCACACGTCGGAACGGCCACGTTTCCGAACCAACTCGAAGCGGCCCTTGTTGTGGCGGATGTCATTCTGGATCTCCTGTTTCCTGGGAATGTTCTGTTCGGCCAGTGGAATGGAGCTGCTCGTGGACGCTGTCGACTCTGTGGAGGGCTGAAACCGGATCTAGAGCTCATTAGACATGCTTACGTGACGGTTCGGATCGAACAGTTTACGTTCCTCTTGCCGTAAGGCCTCTTCTGCGCTGATATCACTCTGTGAAAGAGCGAAGTAAATTTATAAATAACACAACACTTACGTTGGCAATAGCGCCGAGTGTCAAAGCCTTGTTCAACAACCAATTATTGGGCTGATTCAGAAACTCCGAGTTCGACACCATGGCCATTAAGTCGTCTTTACTCGTGTCTGAAAAAAGGAATTTCATAATCCGGCCCCAAACCCTTAAAATGACTTGTAAAGTACTTATCCCCCATTATCCGGGAGATTCGTCGGGAATACTAGGTGGAACGTAAAGCCTCGTCTCTCAATGTCTTCAGAGATTTAATAAAGACTCGAGGACAGTCTTCTGGGCCAGACTTACATGGACTTTCCTGTTTGACGCCGCATAAAAGGCTCAAAGCATTGGAAGAAAGGTCCGTCATTGACGTAATTCCACCCGGATTTGGATTAGCGGACAGTCCGCCATTCACCTGGTTGTTGGCATTTTGCATGGCGGCAACCGCAGCAGCCAATTTGGAGTAGTCGTCGCTGGCCAAAGGCTGTTGGGTCAGCGAGACCAAGGGCTGGGAGGGGACTACTGACAGAGACTGGCTGGACTGGACTGGCTGAGCGGGCGGCGGCTGAACGACCTGCTGCAGCTGATGATCCTGGTCCTCATCCTCGATGGCGGCGCTCTTGCGCAGCGCTCGGCTGCGGTCCACTCGCGAAATGATGTCCGTCGTCGCTGGGTCCGTTGCGCGAATCACACTGGACTGGCGCGGGAGTGGAGGAGTTTCTAGGGCCTCCAGCCGGCACCAGGATGGCTAGCAGAATCGCGGCGTTGGACGGGACAAAGAGGACGACGATTGGGTGTGAAGACGGCCTAAAATTAACTTCAATAAATTGAAAAAAAAACAATGAGCAACAACGCGCGTTAAAAAGTATAAATTTTTAAATTAAAATGTGTAATGCGGAATTGGTTGCAATTTGTTTTCAGCCTTGAAACACTGTGAAAGCGCTCTTTAAGTGCAAGGTGTAACCCGGGTAAAAAATGAAATAAATAATAAATGAAAATTGGAATAATTTCAGAACGACTTCGCGGTTCTCCAGAAGCCTTTCGAGGGAGAAATTAATTAAACAAATGTAATGATAGCAGAGATGTAGGCCTCCCGAATGTAAATCCGGCCGAGAAGTGGAAAAGGCGATTCGCACGGAAGTGATATTATACATATTCATGGGAATTAAGGCGAATTACACTTGTCCGGAGGGATTAGTCAGGACCTGTCGACGCACGGAAGAGCCGGTTTTACACCGCAACTGCGTCGGACGGGTACACACACAGTAATTTTCCAAATTATTACATCAATTCGCGCAAAAAAGAGGGACGTAAGAGTGGAATTAATTGGACTGATAAAGAGGCGTTACCATTAATTAGATGTCGTCCCCACGCCCGCCCCCGACGTCGATGGAATCCGCCAACAGACACGATTAGACGTGTGCCAAAAAAAGTGCAGGATAATTGGGAAAAGGAGTGCCGAGCCCCCCAAAACTCGAAACACACAAAAAATTGCTCGCGGCCGAGTCGTTCCAAAAGTGGGCGGAGTCTGTGTATATCTTCGCCTCCCTCGGCCCCCAACGTAACACGAAAAATTATGAAACATTAATTTTTGTCGTCTTCGTGGCAGGTCATTTGCGTCAATTTAATGCAATCCGTGTAAATGATAAATGGGATTATGCTGGGCATGGCGAAAGAAAGGAGATCACGGCCGGATTAACGAGCCGGATTCCAAAGACTCCAGAGGGCGGAGAGGTGTTGTACAAACACTTGTCTCGGCACGAAATTCAAAAACAAAGGGCTCAATTGCATAGCAAATTACACATACGCAGATTCGCGAACCTGGATGGATGTAGAACACAATTTAATCGATTCACGTCGATGTAATAACGACGTCTCATGGGAACCCAGAATATGTTATGCGGGCACTTTCTAAACGCATACGTAATGCGAAAAAAGAAGAGCTGGTCGTCATGATGACCACAGAACCGTGCATTCGGATGGTATCCCGTACTGTAACAAAACCAAAAACGTGAATCATGACCGCCGTTCCGACGGCAGAAGTACAACCAACGAATCAGCAAATTTTTTTGATAACGGGGGGAGAAAGGGAAAATGAAAAATAATAAAAAGGAACGGTCCCAGGCCGTTTGCATAAAAATTCAAGACATTTTCTCCTTTGCCCATTATGGAGACCCTCACATCGTAAAAGAGTTCGTCTCTTTATGTTTTCCCCATGGCCGCACTCTCGGCTGGATCGGCTGGAGGATGGGGGAAGGGTTCGAGGTCAGATGCTCTAACCATCTGATCGGCTCTCTTCGGTTGATCTTTGTCGTCCTCGAACTTGTCCCCGACCTCGCGAGTTCCCAGCGGTTTTTTGTCATCATTCCTTCGCATTCGCTTTGCATTAATTGCACTCTTGGTCCCGAACGGAAAACAAGTCCATTGTTGCGAGAACCGTTCCGCAATTCTCAGCAAATTTGGGGAGCCACGTGCCTTAAGGGTTTTGACTCTTTTCCGGTTAATCCTAATCCACAAACTCCCCTTGGTTTACTCTCCAAATCAAGTATCAACTCCAAATTCTCGCGCGATTACATAAACGTTGTGAATACAAACCCGGGCCCGCGATTTAAGCAAAAAAAATGCGGGCATTAGACGCCAGGTTGAATGCGTCGAATGGCGGGGAGTGGTCTGGGAGCAAGTGGAATGAATGACAGGCACACAAAGAGATTATGAATTTCCGGTGCGTTAAACGAGATAAAGTCACGCGCGGCCGAAGCTAATCCTCAAGGAAAGTTGGAGTCTCGCTTGTCGCTTTAACTTCCCTCAACTGATAAAAACGGCCAAGATTGGGGAGGGACCAGAAGGGGAACGCGAGTGCGAAAAGAGATCGAAGCCGAACCCATGATACATGATAATGGAATGATAAGAATACAAAAAGAGAGTGCATCATCTCGGAATGAAGGGTCGGAGAGCGGGTCTGACCCGGAAAGAGAGTGCGCCTCTCTAGTCCTCTTTTTTGTGGATTCGGGTGCTCTCTTTTGCCCTTAGGCATCTCCTATCTGAGTTTGCCGGCCGAACACGCCACGGACCCAAAGCAAAAAAAAACAGGCGTGCGGGCCAGGACGGCCGTGTGGGCTGGCCGGATTGTCGCGCATACTATTCGTTTTTTTGCCGGAGGGAAGGTGCGGATGGAACGTCCTTCTTATACGCTTGGCGCCAAAAACTGAAACCTTTCGGCGGGGTTAGAGAGCACGGGGGTTTGGTCGCCCCCTGTCCCTTAAAAAAACAAAAAAAACGCCCGCGGGCCTCATTCACCTTTTTTTCTTCAAGTGCAAACACTATTTGGAATGAAATTCGACACAGCGGAAGCCGGATGATGCCATGCGAAAAAGGCGAACGTGGATCGCGGAATTGGGATCAGCGACCGGCCGTGATTCTCGAACGGACTGTGCGTGTTTTCCTGCTACGGGGTTGCCGGGCGACCCGCTCTTTCCCACCGCGGATTTCCGTGAGAGCGCGGGGGTGGGCGGGTGAACTCGAGAATGCCTGCGGGGCTTCTCCAGACCCCCAGGGCCCGAAGCCGGAGCCATAAATACGACAGAAAAAACAAGCTTCGAATGGGAAAAGACCCGCAACGGAGCGATGCGCGACCGAAACCACATCCACTCTGAACCCGGCGTCCATCGACGGACCCAATCACATCACACTATCGGGAAAGAAGACGCACCCTTCAGCCCCTCTCAACTCGAACAGTTTTACAATTGCTCTGATTCCCTGGTCTCGCCCCCCTCTCTACTTCCCCCCATCCTCCAAAAACCCGTAAAACCGACCCGAAAAGAAAGTTCGAATCAACTTTGAGCTCTCCTCTCGCTCTGAACTCTTCAACTCGACCGACCCGAGATCATGTACATGGCCATGTTTGAACTTCATCTGTGCTCCACTCAAGGTTTGCACAGCCCTCCCAAGTCGTCTTGGAAGTGAAAGTTTAAGGGTTTATGCGAATCCTGCAAAAGTATACACTGATGTTTGTTCAGACGACACAAATGTTAATGACGAAACAAGAGAACTCACCGACAGATTACGTTGTCGGGTTTTATAAATCAGGTTAATTATTAAGCACATCCAAAATAAATAAACATCGCCCGCGGGCGTTTATGGCCACTTGGATGGCCCCAAATGAATTCCCAAAAGCTCTCCCAAAAATCCATGGTGATTACTGGATGACATGGATTCATGTCATCGAAAGACACGGGTTGTAATATTAGCCGTATTCAAACAGACGTCAGTCCTTTTCACGGGGCCTAGCGTGTGGAAATCCGTTATAAAAGACCGAACCCGATAAGGTAAATTAATGAAGGGTTTGGATCCCAACTCTTTTAATTCCCGAGAACACGGACTGTAACATGAAACAAGGACCTTTCCTCGAAATCAATTCAGTCCGGATGTGGGAATCACGCAAAGTGTAAAAAAGCTTGGCCACAAAACTTGGCAGAGCCCGAAGTTAATTAAAAACTGATCAAAAGTAATTTTTTGTCCGTTGGCGCACCGAACGAAACCGGTTTCGGCGCGACGACGCAGGCTGGAATGGCATCGGATCCGAGCACTCTAATCACAACGAGAAAAGAGAAAGTTTTCAACGTTTCTCCTATCCTTATCAATGCGGAATCCCGGCTATTTGTTGTTGCTCTCGCTTCTCTATGCAAATTTGGAGCGACTTAGCGGTTGCGCGGCGCAATACAGACGGGAGCTCAGATACCTCGATTATTATCTGGGCATAGCGCCGCACGATGAGCAGAGTAAAGTGCCGGTCCAGGGTAAGGATGATAAAGCATTTTTGAAGATGGGAAAATTCGAAAATAAAAATTGGTTTTTGTTAAAAATAATACAAAAATTTATTTTAGAAAATCAAATAAACCATTACGTGGACAACGCTCTCAGTCTAAATTGTGACTTCAGCAAGCCTTGCCTCTGGACCAATGCCCCAACTGACGATCTTCTGGACACTTCAGACTTCTATCTGTTCAACAAAACAGACCAGAAGACCTTCCCAATTCAGATACGACCCGGAGATCCTAATCCACCAGTTGGCACTTTGTTCGCGTTCGCAGGGAACACAACTCAGAAAGCCCAATCTGCCGTGCTCTTAAGTGCACCAATCGCGTGCCAGAACTCAGAAGGCGTGCTCACATTCAAGTTGGTTATTAATTTTAGTAATTATATTGTCTACATATCATCTAGAGATTGCGTAATCTATTTATCTTCTAGGTACTGGCTTTACAATGCAGCCAAAGTGGAAGTAGTTGTACTTCGAGTGAATCCCTGGCATAACCATCTTCAAGTTATCAGTCGCCCTCAAATTGATTGTCATTTCCTCAAAGGAAGTGAGATTTGTCGAGTGGAAATCGACCGGATGAGTGAGCCGTTTAGGCTCGGAATCCGGGTGTTTTCGTTACGAGACCCGAGTGTGGGGTCTTTTGGAATGATAAATGATATCCATTACAAGGGAAATCTATGTGGGGAACATGGTGGGTTACAACATGTTTTTTATTAGTGTTGGACTTTAAAGTCTATTCTGAATGAATCTGCAAGTAATAACTTCCAGATAAGCCATCACTGTTTGGCGGTGTTCCCTTAACCCACCCCCTCACCAAGCATCAAATAACCACTGGATCTGAGCTGAACTGTGCCGAGAGTATAAACTCCTGTCTTTGGTCAACCGCCGCCCCAACTCGTAACAATGACCTCGCCAGCGTCGATGAGAACGCGTTGCATTGGCAGGTCGGGTCTAACATTCGCCGCTGGGAAGATATCATTCGATTGCCCACGCGGCCTGAGGGCGAATTCCTTTTCCAATATGCAGATCCCATGGCCCAACTGCCATTGCCCACGTTGAGATCGGTTTATATTCCTTGCACACAAACAAGTGCATCGTTGTCGTTTAGGTAGGTCAACCAACCAGGATTCATTGTGGTTTAGATTCTGGATGAGCCCAGGAATCCAAGCTCAAGTCTGTACTTATGGAAGGGACAACGTCCAGTTGAGTTGTGTTTATCTGGAGCTGTCTGATTCCCCGGGACCGCTGACAATTGATATTGATAGCGCTGACGGGAATCCGTTTGCTGTAAGTTTTAGGGGTCGAGGACATTCGGGTGAGCCCTTTCGGTTGATCACTTATTCGGGCTTTTGGAGAAGGTAAATTCTCGGGTGATGACGAAAATGTTATATTGATGGCTACTAAATATGACATAAAAACAGTAAAAATTTTAAATTTTTTTACAATCTTATTCATTTTTAGGGGTTTCGTCCATCAGGAATCCAAAAGTAAAATCGGAATTTTCAGTCTTACATACAATTATAACGAATAATACAGATTTCATTTTTCCCAAAAAACGAATAGAGTTGAAAAAATTCAGGATTTTTACAGTGACATGTCACATTTAGTAGCCATCAGTAAATGTTTACTTCATCACCGATAATTCACCCACCCAGAAAATCCCTTACCAGAATAAGCGATCACATTCAGTTACCCAACCTTTAGATGATTTTTGACAAAATTAATCTGAATTGCGTAACAAGCTCTAACACACCACTATATCAATTTTTGCAGTTCTCCTTCGAGATCATCCAATTCAGTAGAACAAGCGGCGGAGTCCTCGTCATCGATGATATCCAATTCGCAGGCATTCTTTGTAACGAAGAGATTCCCACAACAACCGTATCTCCCTTGGATCTGGCCGTTGAATTTGATATCCAGCCGTTCCCAGAAGTCGGGCCCAGCTTTTCGGACAGTTTAAATTGTGATTTCGAGACTGATAGATGTACCCATTGGACGAATGAAGAGACTCAGTTTATGTATGGATTCATCCCATCCAATGCCGCTGAGATTAATGCCTCTTATCGTGGTCAGTTTAACTCCAACAATGTCATTCACCACAAAAGTCTCAAGGATTTACGTTCTTTTAGGATACGCGGCGATCGCTCTTTTCGCAGAGCCTGGAATGTCAGCAGAATTAATCTCGGAAGTAGTTTCTTGTTCTCATGGCGGCCGATTCATGGTGGAGTACCAATCCTCGGACAATGCAACTCTCAGTGTTTGTGCCAACGAACGATGCATTCCCCAAAGGACAAGCGCTGGTCAATTAGCAGTCAATTTGACCTCAACCAGACCATTTAGAATAAGGCTTTTGGCCGAATCTCAAGGCCAATCTATTGTTATTGTAAAGAGAATGAGCACGAGTGAAGACGGATGGTGTCCATTAGAATCCCCAACCCAATTGGCTTGTAAAGCATTGAAATGTGACTTCCGAAGTAGGTGAACACAATCAATATAATTTGTGTTCTTAGACCACCGTCTCTGCGGATATCGAAGTGTGATTCTGTCGAATGATGACACTTCCTTTGCCTCCCACCCTTCTTCTGGTGCTTATGTTAGATTGGGCGTTCGTTCCAAGCGTGCAATTCTCAGATCCCCCAACTTTGAACTCTCAAGTCCAGTGGAACTTCGATTTGCGGCTTCATTATCCACTTTTGGCTCAAGATTATATGTGTGTGCGGATGAAGATGCTGCTGAAGATTTGGCTTCCTGTGAATTAGTATTGGGGCCCAAGGTGGAAAGGAGTAAAGTCGAAAATATTTTGGTCCAATTAGACCACGAGATCCGGCAGTTTGCTTTTGTGGCAATACACGATAAAGCGGAGCAATTTGGGGATGCCGAGTTGGTGATAAGTCAAATTCAGATCACGGATTCGAATGGAGATCTGATCTGTTAATAATGTTGTAGATACAATAGATACTGTATAGACCTTGTTACATAAATAATATTACCTTAATGAAAGTTCTCACTATTACCTTCAAAATAACAGCAGTGTTTATACATTGATATAAATCATTGTCATGTACATCATCGGAATGTCAAGTCATCGGTATAAGATCCACAAACACGGAGATGGCCTCTTCCAACACAAACATACATCCTTTGTGGGACAAGACGGCTTTCGACACCGGGCCGGGAGCATATTGTACGGAGAATATATTGCTTTCTATAACGAAGACATTGTATATTACAAACCATTTCACGGTCCCTTACCTATGAGGGGGCGGCAACTTCAGTTGCTTCCCGGAGAAGAAACTGTCATTCGAAGTTCGCGGGTGTTCTGCCTCTTGTTCTTCGATCGATCTATACAGAATATTCCTTACACACAGAGATATTGGGCCATTCGGAGCATCCAGAACGCGAGAGCGGAAGTCGCGGCAAAGCTCCAGCAAGATGGTGTTCATCATTTCCTCATCAACTGATTGGGCTCTCATCGTACTCACTTCAAGCAACTAAATAAAACAAAACTCAAAAACAGAAAAAATCAGCTCACTTCTTTGCTGAACATCTCCTTCAATGTCTGCAGTCGGGCCAACGGCATTTCAATCTCCATTACTTTATTATGGGTATCAAAGTAATCCTCTGGGGATCCTGTTACCGTAGCGTTCTGCAGAAGATGCAAGAATGTATTCATCTTTTCCCCAACTAATTTGATTCCGTTCCCATCGCAATTATGAAGTAATGTAAGGGCTGATTGATGGAAAATAACTGGAGCAATCAGATCAATCAAGGCTCTGATCGTCAGAGATTCAAATAAATGAAGAATTGTCTCGGCCTCTTTGGCTTCGTTGAATAATCTAATTTGTGCTGAGACAGGGATAGGTCTAGCTGCTTTCCAACATTCCTCCCATATATTATTCTCCAAACTCATCCTCTCTGATAACCTCCCATTCCCATCTTCATCCAACACCCAATCCCTCGGTGAATGCCATCTCACAAAGTCTTCGATCCGTGCTCCGGGGTTCGCTGCTTTGAATGCTTGCATATCCGATATGACATTATCTAGTTGAGCTCGGACTCTTTTATCTGTATCTAATGATTCAAGATATCGGGCTCTCTCTTCAATCATATCCTCCGTCATTGGGCCATGATCTTGGGTGATTGGGACATAAATCGGCGTGTCCTTACGATCAAGTAGAAATTCTCCATCAAGTTGATGAGAACGGCCAGAAGGAGTGGTACTAGTGCCCGGAACGGTAAGATTGTCTTCAGAGAGAGAGGGCTCATCTTCTGCGTCATAAAAGATATCAGAGATTGAAGCTAAAAAAGGACTCAAAATTTAATTATATCAGCAATAAAATTGTTTATCAAATTTCACGCAAAAAACATTTGTTTTCTGGAGACTTACAATTAAGCCCCACAGCCTGAACACCATTACCTTCATCCATCAGAGCGTGACGTTTCCGTTTCGTCTGAATGCAGAATTGAATCATCTGGACTTTCTGGTAGAATATACAATATTGCAGTTCAGGACGGGCATTCTCATCGATGCTGCAATTTTACCATTAAAAACTTGGGCTATAAACGTACCCTTTAATAACTTTTGCATTCTCCCAACAACTCCGCAGATATAATACAAATTCAAACCAAACGGCGGCAAATCGGTCAATCTGATCGCGATTACTCAACAAACATTTAAGTAAAACGACCGAGATCCTTGAGACCAAAGTCTCATCCGGAGCAGATTTACATTGACTTAGATCTTCTAAGAATTTCTTGTGAAATTCAGTGGGTTCGGTGCTCTCGGAAGCTTTAAATTCGTTTTCGATTACATCCTTTAGTTTGCCCTTTGCGTAATCTCTCTAAAATAATCAAAAAAAAATTAATTCAAAGACTAAAACTCACGGTCCTCATTGCTCTGGACGTAGTATTTCCGACAAAAGTCACTTCATTTTGTGTGTGATCCTGGGTTAACGCACTGAGCGCATTCCCCATTGGCTTGGAATCCTCATTCTTATACTCCACAAAATCTGAGACCTTAATATCTCCAGTACTTGCTTCTCGGACATCCAAAAGTTCATTCAAAGAGTTATCTAAAAGATCAATAACAGAAAAAAATAGCCTTACAAAGTTGTTTACATTCATGATTAAACTTTACTCCGAGAATCCATCTCGGAGCGAGGAGAGGATCAAGATCAGAGAAAGTTTCGGTCTCATTGATCGTTTGGTCATTCAACTTTGGCCATATTGTACTCAGCTTGAGCTCACTAAAAAAATAAATACAATTGTGTAAATAAAACTCACTTGATTATGTTGTTCTCAGCACCGAAGAACATTTGGAATGGATCTACATCACTTATTGTACTTGTCGTATCTTCGAAAGACATGTATTTGTATACGTAATCAAAGCAAATAGAAGTTGAAACCGTCGGGAAATTCGGCAGCGGGCAATCCTAAAAAATATTCAACAAAATAGTGGAAAAGGTCAAACGAGAAATCCACAATACCTACCACTTTGTCCTTGAACATGTTTAATATCCCAGAAAAGAACGAATGTCTGGCGAAGAAACTCTCCAAATTAAACCCTTCAAATCTTGTCCTTATCGATTTGTTCTGACAGGCACCCAAATATAAGCTCCGTTCTTCTTTTCCGTATTGAATTAACACTGGGACTTCACTAAAAAACAAATAAAATCATACCAATCAGTGTTTGAAGTAAAGTCTCATACCAATCAGTGTTTGCAGTAGCAACCAACACAGCACTTTGAAGTTCTAGAAGCAGATTTATATTGGAGATCAAAGATTCATTGTACTTAGACCGAACTATCATATGTTCCAACAATCCGTACTAAAACAGCATTAATTAGATTTATTTTGAATATATAAGTACAAACTAACCTGAGTAATGACGCTCTCCTCGCCCTTGAAATCAAACTCTGGCTCGATCATCTCTTTGGTTCCAGTGGGCAAATAACCGAATTGATCTTCTTCATTGTCTTCCTTCTGCTCTAGATCTTCTTCTCCTCCGTGATGTTCAAAGTGATACAAAACAAGTTCATAATTGACATCCTTATACTTTACTTCAGCGTACTTTTGACGCAATCCCTAAAAATAGACAAGAAACCAACAAACAACTTACTTTGTCAATAAGCCTAAGAGCTGATGGCCTTCTTCCTTGTAATTTCCATTCATTTATCTGTGATTCCAAGGCAACAATCAAGCATTCACTCTCAGTTACAACGGTAAAATCGCTTATTTCAAAGACTTCATCGGTCTCGGTCTCCATCTGAACGTTATTCAATACCTATCGCAAGACATAATAAAGTCACGTGATAAAAATAATACGGATATCATGCGGGGAGGCCAAAACGAAAAAAAATGTAATAAACAATAAAAAAATAACAGCGTTACAGAATATTAAACGTTTTTATCTTCTATTTACATCTCGAGGTTTACATTTTTTTGTTTTTTATTTTTTTGATAAGAAACTCTTGAAGCACAATGCCACATTTTTGGCAACTAAGTCTGCGCGGTGGGACTTGGCCTTATTAAACGTTCAAAATTATATTCGAAAAAATGTAGATGTGAACAGAGGTCGATAAGCATTTACAACTGTCCATTTTGTGTAATACGGATTTTTTAAGCGGCGGTCTTGTCATGTTCAAAAGATTAAAACAGGCCTCAAAAAGGGATGGAAACCGCAATACACCGCAGTATGAAGGGCCCATTCAGAAAAGAGTAAGTATGTAGTATATGCTTTTTGATGCTCTCATTAAAACGACGAAGCATTTTACGTTTCAGATTAACCTTTTGTACAGTATCCGTGATATGAATCAAGAGATTATCAATGGTATCCGGGAGATTATACGTTCCTTTGATGATGAGGAGAACAAGAAACGCAACATCTATGAAAGTTTCGCAACTGGGGCCAGTATCCTGTCAAATCATATGAAAGGAAAGGACGATGAATATTCCCAATGCCTGAACACCATCCAAAAAGTATATGATGATATTGGAAGGGCCCAACATACCCTTCAAAGTAGTCTGGAAGAGAGAGTTTGCATCCCTTTGGAGGCGTGGATTAAGTCAGATTTTGCCAGGATTGAATTGGAAATTCAACGATTACATTCTTTGAAGAGACTTGTCGACAAACCGAATCCGCAAGTCTAATTATTAAATTGATTTAATTTAACGTATTGTTAGACAACAACCCATTGAGGTCACAAATAACATGAAGGCATTCGAAAGGCAGATGGAAGTAGTAAAACATGAACTTCTGAAGCTTTCTCAGATCAAGCAAGACCATTGGGAAAAGGTGGCCAACTTCACAGATGTCATGAGAATCTATTACAGCGAAGTTATCAAAGCCATTGAGAAACAAGGAGCGGATAAATGGCGTCCAGAAGGATTGTCGGCTTTTAAGGGTTCCACTGAGAGAAAGAATGTCGTCATCAGTGGTCTCTCATCTGGCGTATCTGGAGGTTCTACACACGGAAACAATGGGGCGAAATCTCCGGCTTCAGTTAAACCAAAAACTTCAGTTGATACCCCAGAAGATACTGATAACCACTACGAGAACATCTAGAATATCACATTCTATATCCAATTTGAATAAATTAATAGTGCATAGCTAAGCATGCTATGTTTTGTCAAGACTAAATTTATGAATTTTCTTTTTGCGAATTTTTGCCCGCGCATTTTTTGGCGTTCCAAGAGACTCTTGTTCCTAGTTTTGTAGTCTAATGCTCAGATAAGATCCGTTTCCAGTCTCATTTCATTCCTTCAGATTGTCTGAAATGTCCTCTCACTTGATCAAACTAAATTCTGGACATCAGATTCCATTGATTGGCTTTGGAACGGACAAAATCTATAGTCAAGATGGAATGAATAAGGCTGTAGAAACCTCGTTAAAGGCTGGTTATAGAGGATTCGATACGGCAAAGGTCTACAACAACGAGGTTTATTTGAGCAATGCTCTGAAAGTATGTCGCTTTATACTCGTTTTGAACTTTTACATTATTCTTGAGTATCCTAACAATAAGAGATTTTAGGAAGTTCTACCAAAGGTTGATCTGAAGCGCGAAAACATCTTCGTTACCACCAAAGTGTTACCTTTTGATGACCCAAAGAAGACTAGGACACTTGTCGAGGAATCCTTGGATCTCTTTGACTATCTCGATCTTGTTCTTATCCATTATCCAAAGACAAATGAATGCTCCGAAATTGACACTAGAAATGCAATCGGACGAAAAGAAAGTTGGAAAGTGTTGGAGAACTTGGTGAATGAAGGTAAAATACGATCAATTGGAGTGTCGAATTATGAAATCAAGCATCTGAAAGAGATGGCCGGTTACGCAGAGATACCAGCTGCTGTAAATCAAGTTGAATTCCATCCTCATTTTAAACGAAAGGAGCTTCATGACTACTGTAGAGACCACGGGATATTCTTCCAGGTAATTTGTTTGGATTACTGTAGTTTGGATGTAATGTAATCAGATGATTAAGTATTTTTGTTTAACTTAAGGCCTTCTCATCCCTCGGTCGTTTCAACAAAGCGCTGATTGAAGATAAAGTTGTGTTATCAGTTGCGAACAAACATGGTGCATCCATTACGAATGTTCTCCTTGCATTTGCGTTGAATCAGAATGTGGGGATCGTCCCAAAATCAGAGAATCCAGAAAGAATCCTCCAGAATTTCAAAGCCCTTGAATTGAAACTCGATGATGAAGATTTGACTCGACTCAACTCAATTCCGACGGAACAGAATTATATCAAACGATGTGTGGGATGGCTTGTGGATTAGTTTACTGTTGAACGAACTATAGCTTGATAGTGCATATCCCTGATTATAATAACAAATACCTTTACATTACTACCCGGAATGTTTTGACTGGCCGTTTTGCGTTTTCCTGCAGACAGCCGGTTTTAAAATCGGCTTCGCTTTTTTACGCGGGGCGCAGAGAAAACTGGGGAAGAGGAGAGAAAGCGAGAAAAAAGGAAAATGGAAAGGTTTTTGGAAAAAATAAAACGAACTGGACCAAAGTGAAGACAAGATGCAGAGGGCGGAGAGAGTGGCCAGAACAAAAAGAATTACACGGCCAGGGCATTTCGTGGGCCAAGAGAATGGGAAAAAGAAGGATGGAACTTTCAGTAAAAGGAGATATCAATCTGGGCTTATGTACCAAAGGATTTACGGGGATTTGGCGTCACTGGATTTTTGTAGGGAAGGAGGCTTTACAGTCCATTTCGGTCTGATTTCTGATCATTTAAGAAGCCTATTTTCTATTTTGTTTCTATAATCCTGTGATTCATAATATTTTTTCCTAATCAGTTTGATATTTAACCCTATTTCTCGTCATTTTATTAAAATTTTGATGTTAGAATTTTCATCGTGATTACGTAACAAGACCAATTTGTATGACTCAGAATCCAAATAGGCCTGTGGGAACGAAGTAGTCCAAGTCTTTCGCTGTTTTAATATTTTCTGATCAACCCCTTTGGGTATTGGAGGGCTCTTTCCCGGGTCATGACTATGTTGTAATGAGTGGCGAGAACAGAGTGATCAATTTCAACCCACGCGGCTCTAAAAAAGAGGATCTCTCGCGCGTGGATCAGATCTGCGTGAGTTCCCTCACCAGTTTTCGGACAAATTTCTATAATCTTACGGGAGTATCGATGATAAAACAGCATTTTGGATACCTTCTGGAATTTCTTTTGTTCTCCTTTCGTTATCAGGCCCGGTGTCCGGCAGAATTCTTTCCTTTTTTGTTATCTGTAACATACGTGGTGGCCTTCCTTCTCTTCGTTTTGCAATTGCAAATCGTTTTTTGGATCGGAACATCCGGGAATGATTACTATATAATACTATAGTTATTGTTCGGTCATGTAAAAATAAAGGGGGTAACCAGTGGGAGCTCTTCATAAAAAATGATTTATCATGTCGAAATACTTTTTTCGATCAAGCATGTAGTAATTATCAACGAATTATGAAAATCCTAAGGGCATATTACGTAACGTTTCTCCTGCCCTCTTAAAATCCCAAAGATTATTTTTGTAGCCATAATTTCCATAGAGACGTTTATTTTTGTATTCCCTATCTGACGTTGTTCCCTTTTACGTATTCGTTGTTTACACATTGCGGTGTAATTTTTTCGGAAAATCGGCTCGAACAGCCCTCACATTATCCTCGCGAGGCTCTTGTTTGGTATAATATCTGAATTACTTTCTCACATGCAGTTTTTTTTTGCAATTTTCCTTGCCAACACTGATAATAAACGCTCTTGTTTCGGATTTTTTTTCATTGAAATTCCACATTTTCTGTCATTTGCCCTTAGGGCTTTCAATGCAAATCCTTTGATTATTTCCGACTCAATTTTTCTCGATTCAAACTTGAATTATACAAACTGTTATCGAGTAGTTCCAATAGCAAGTGTCATGTTGAGAATACGGTTCAAGTCTGGCTCTCTATATACGTATAAGGACCTCTCTCAATCAAAACACGCTACATTTTTGTAATCCTTGGCCGAGGAGGTGTCCCCCTCTTAATGTGAAATTCCTCTCAGACTTCCGACCTTTCTATGGCAACCACTGACCGGAACTCTTTTTCCTTGCGGCGTTTTTTCCTTTAACTAATCTTTCCTATTTTATATAGCAGTTTTAAATACTTGTACGAAGGCTGATTATTTTTTGACAAACTTATCATTCCAGGCCGGACTTTGGAAGCGCTGATCAGCTAGGGTCTCTAATGGCTCTGTGAATTTCTTTTATGTCACAGAAAGAGCTCCTTCTCCAGGGCTCTGTCAACAAATCCGCTGTTCGTTAGCGGGTCCTAGAAGAATACGAGAACGGGAAATATTATCCATACAAGGTAGGTCACTTTAAAGTAAAATATTGGTGATTCAAAACAAATTTCATAGTGCGATTTATAAAAAAAGCTCCATGATTGCCCAAAAATGATTAACTGATTGGCGAACTTCAAATATTTTGATGTTAACACCCTTCTTTCCAATGCCCGACTTTGTTTTAATGAAACTTATGACAATTTGAAAAGGAAAAGAAGGGAGTTGATACCATCGAAGAGAGTCCATTCCCATACGATGATAAGAGATATGGCGGGTTAGTCTGGGCATCGGAAACGGTCTATTTATCGGTTTTTTTCCAGTTTTTATAAACGAGAGTTCAGATTTATGTTAGAATTGCTTTGATTTGTTTAGGTTATACAGTAATCTGCTGAAAAAAACTTACAATAATTGATTTGCTCGTCCTTCGCGGGGCTTTCATATGATTCGCAGACAAATGGAGCAGAAGTTCACTATTTTTCGAATGTAGACCTGATTGAATTCGTCATCCTGAATTCCAAAATATTTTTTTTCTGGAGTAATTTCCTTTTTTGCAAAATAAACGGACTATATAAATGTTTACTGCATTCCCGCGGTAATCGTTTACAGATCGTCATGTTGTAAGCTTACTGTACTTTATCACAAGGTACATTTCCAAAAAATAAGTCAGTATGACAGAGTTTTTGTTGTTTTTGGTTAGCGGAAAGGAAACAAATCTTGAGATAACGTGAGAATCTGGGTCTGAATCTTATCTCGTTTACAAAACTCGTGTGTTCTCATAGGGGAATTGCGTCGCGCTGACGTATTTTTTGGAAAATAATTAATTCCGAGATTTTTTTCGCGGATCGAAAGCCTCGACCTTCTTTCTATTCATGGAGTGGAATAACTGGAATGTTTGTTTAGTAATCGGCCAATTTTTGAAGTCCTAAGCCCACTAAACATAAGAGAGATTATTTTGGAATAGCTAAACCTAACCTGATCATGCAGGGAGAGGGCGAATCCAACATCTTTGGATCCATCTTCCCCACAAGGCGTTGGTCGGGGGACGCTGAACGGGAGCAACTGATCAGCCAAGCCAGTCCAACCTTTGATCAACCAACCACCTCGAGGCAAGATAACTACGGTTCCTTGGAAAACCCTCGGCGAAGAACGTTGAGGGCATCGGATCCAGAAATGGCTAATATGGTGGTGAGGAAGAATAAAGGTAAGTCTTTATTGTTTTTATTGAGGTTGGTTTAGGACGGCTTTGATCTTGGAAGTATAGTTATTCAGTTCTATTCTTCTAGAATCTCCTAAAATTAGGACGGCCTTGAGTGCAGGACATTTGGAGAACCTTGAAACCACTTCAGATTCCTCTTCAGAGGATTCATTTGAATTTCATGGAGCTTCGGACGCCGCTAATGCCCATTATGCGGTTATCCATTTAAATGATGAGGATCTTCACATTTGGGCCTATAAGCTCTGCCTATGGAAAGCGGTAGGGTCTTTTATTTCTGATTTATTTTTTTTAGATATTAATGTACCTCTTTTCTTTCGCGACTCTTGGAATAGTCAGACTAGTTCTATATTGGTACCCTAAATTATATGTCCACTGTACTTCTAATAAGTCCACAATGGCTGAGAGTGACTACATGTTAGTTAGGTAAGAGAGAATTCTCAATTCTATATTGTGTTTTAGGGATGATCATCAAAATTTGGCATTTCGCAAGATACGAATTGCAAAGCCACCTTCAAATGATTTCCTATCCATGCCCGTGGGAAAAGGGAAGATGGTCTCTGTCTCCAGTTTGAGGTATTTTACCTACAGAAAGCTGTGCTATGTCTGGCATCCAACGGAAAGTAGATTCTCGACAACAGACCAATTGGAAAACGATCTCCCACTTGGTTACTTCCACGATTGCTGGGACGGACAGAAAGGATTAACCGAAGCCGAAGTTCAGAGACGTTTGACTGTTTACGGGAAGAATCTGATTGAGGTCAAATTGAAACCAATCATAGTGCTGTTGTTCAAGGAAGTGATTTCTCCCTTTTACATCTTTCAAGTGTTCAGGTGAGTAACAGGCAGAGCCGTTGGTATGAAATAAGATTAGAATTGAAGATTACTTATGTAAACTTTTGTTTTTAGTGTGTTGGTATGGTACTCAGATGACTATGAGTACTATGCTTCCATTATTGTATTGATGTCGGTCTGTTCAATTGTTATGGATATCTTCCAAATTAGACGGCAAGAGAAGAAATTGAGAGCAATGGTTCACAGTGAAGATGTTGTGGAAGTGGTGAGAGATGGTGGTAAAGTGAAGAAAGTCTCGTCGTCATCGGTAAGTAGTTTCATTCAATGCTTTATTCTTTAGTTGGTACCCGGAGATGTTATCTTGATCCCACCTCGAGGCTGTATTCTTCAATGCGATGCTGTTCTAATGAATGGAACTGTGATACTGAATGAGTCCATGCTTACTGGAGAGTCTGTACCGGTCACAAAAGTTGCTTTGCCCGAGCCGGAAGACGATAAACATCGTGAATATGAATTTTCTTTGAAGGAACACTCCAAGCACATCTTATTTTGTGGAACATCAGTTCTTCAGACTCGATTTTACGGGGGAAAACCAGTCCAGGCCATCGTTTTGAGGACAGCTTACTTGACTTTGAAAGGTCAATTGGTCAGGTGAGAATAAATTGGGATTTTATTGTAAAATATTGTTTTAGATCAATCATGTACCCCAAGCCTGTTGATTTTCGATTCACCAAGGATTTGTTCCGTTTTGTTGGCTTCTTATCGATGATTGCGATGGTTGGATTTGGGTATACGATAGCGGTGATGATAATGAGAGGATCGGCCTTAAAAAAGATCATCCTCAGATCTCTGGACATCATCACAATTGTTGTTCCTCCGGCTCTCCCAGCAGCCATGAGTATTGGAATATTCGCAGCGCAGATGAGATTAAGAGCCAAGCAGATCTTCTGTATATCCCCATCAACGATCAACACGTGTGGAGCTATTAATGTGGTCTGTTTTGATAAGACGGGAACTCTGACTGAAGATGGGCTTGATTTCCATTGCTTACGAGCTGTTTATGAAGAGCCCCGACAACTTCAAGCAGTGCGAGAGGAAGCTCATGAGCCGGTCTTTGGAGAAGAATTATACGAATTCCACAGGGACGAACTTCCACATGATGGGGAACTGGTAAAAGCTGTGGCCACGTGCCATTCATTGACTCGAATTGAGAATGAATTGTGTGGAGATCCTCTGGATTTAATCTTATTCAACAAGACCAATTGGATCATTGATGAATCCCCAACAGATGATCAAATTGAGGAGACCGCCTTGTTCGATATGCTCCAACCAACGGTTATCAGATCACCCGCAGGGCATTTTGGATCAAACGAACCGGAAACAGAGATGGCTGTCATTAGGCAGTTTACCTTCAGGTTAGCATTTTCGCGTCTTACATTGTATTATTCATATATCAATAGATGTAAGCCTTAATTTTAGTTCGTCCTTGCAACGAATGGGTGTCATAGTCCACAATCCCAATGAGCCTGGTCGTTCCATGCATTTGTATGTGAAAGGTGCTCCCGAGATTGTCGCTTCTCTGTGTCGACCCGAGTCCGTCCCCTCTTCCTATGATAATGTGGTCAATCATTATGCTCAACATGGCTATCGTCTGATCGCTGTAGCTTCCCGAAAACTTGATCTCAGTTATGCCAAAGCCCAGAAGGTGAAGAGAGATGTGATTGAATGCGATCTCCGAATGCTGGGTGTAATCGTCATGGAGAACAGAGTCAAAACCCAGACTTGTCCAGTGATTGGTCAGCTTAATAAGGCCAGAATCAGGACGGTTATGGTTACTGGAGACAACGTTCTGACAGCCATGAGTGTGGCCAGAGAATGTGGTATCATCCGGCCTTACAAAAGAACATTCCTTCTTGAACATGGTGGAGTCATGGGAGATGGGAGAGTTCATCTCAGTCTGAGGCAATCAGCCTCCGCTTCTGATGAATTAAATGAATTCGAGGAATCTTCAACCACTGTGGACCCTGAATGTGGACATTTGGTGGATTCGAGTTATCAACTGGCCATTACTGGTCCCACTTTCGCGGCCATTTGTGATGATTATCCGGAACTCTTGGATAAATTGATCTGTGTTTGTGATGTCTACGCAAGAATGTCTCCAGATCAAAAACAACTTCTTATCAACACTCTACAAGAAGTTAATTACACGGTAGCCATGTGTGGAGATGGAGCCAATGATTGCGCGGCCTTGAAAGCGGCCCATGCTGGAATCTCCCTGTCCGAAGCCGAAGCCTCGATTGCCGCACCGTTCACATCAAAGATCCCTGATATCCGATGTGTTCCTATGGTCATCCGTGAAGGAAGAGCGGCCCTCGTTACTTCTTTTGGAGTATTCAAATACATGGCTGGCTATTCTCTGACCCAATTCATCACCATCATGCAGTTATATTGGCTGAATACTAATTTAACGGACTTCCAGTTCTTGTACATTGATCTGGGGTTAATCACGCTGGTTGCTTTGTTCTTTGGGTACACTCCTAGTTGTGAAAAGTTGGATTCAACCCCTCCGCCGACAAGATTGTTGTCCTTGGCATCAGCTTTGTCAATCATTGGGCAGTTATTTATCATCGCTGGGTTCCAGGTAGGGGGTAATTTTTATATTGTTTTTGATGAAGCTTATTTTTTGTAATTGTTTCTGATTTCAGTTGTTCGTCTTCATATATACAGCCATGCAGCCCTGGTTTATTCCTTATGCGATGCCAATGGGAGATGACGTGGAAGATCGAAGATCCATGCAGGGAACGGCCATTTTTTGTGTGTCCACCTTCCAATACATAACATTGGCTATAATCTACAGCAAAGGTCATCCATACAGAAAACCGTTGTTCTCCAACCGTCCCTTGTGCTTTTCTTTGATCATTTTATCATTGATATCAGCTTGGATAACGGTCAATCCACCAGATTTTCTCTCATCATGGCTTGAATTCGATCCAATCCCGTACTTTGAGAACAGGCTATTCTTGTTGATGATTGCGATTCTTAGTGGGCTGTGCTCTTACTTGTTTGAGAACTATGTGATCGAACATGTTATCCTTGGCGTGAGAGAACGGTAAGTTTTATTATTTGAAATCTTTACAATGTTTTTTGAATTTCAGAAGAAAGAAGCGTCAACAGATCGTGGCCGACTCCTCAGATGCTCCTCGTTTTGAGAGGATTCTGAATTCGATTGGCTCGGAACCCCAATGGATCCGCAACTTAACGACAGCCGGTCTCCGTTCCGAGCCATCTCTCTTCACTCCGACTCATAATAAGTTCAGAAGGATCGAAGCCCTGAATTCGACTCAGGAAGACCGTCAATCCCTCAATTCAGGCCTTGTTGTCCTCCGGTCCCCCAATAATGACAGCTTTGCCTCAGGGCATCCGGATCTCAATTCCCCGTCAACTGACCGCAGTTCGGCCGTTCTCTTACCATCCAACTCTCAGCTGAATGTCTGAATTCGGACTTTTCATGGACATGGCCTTAAGTCATTCTTTTTATTTTTTCAACTTTCATGGGTCAATTTTCATTGGGTAATTCAGAGTAGTTAATTTGTTTGCAACTCTGATTACTTGGTTTTTTCCGTTCAGATCGGGTGTTTCCCCAAGTCCTCCGGTAATTTCACTGAACTTTCAAATTGTCAAACCAAATTTGCAATCGTCTTTTTTACCTTATCTCTTATATTGTTTTACATTTTCATAACTAGTTGTGTATTTGATATCAATAGCAAGGCTCAATTTTTTATTTAAATGGAGTTTACAATAAAAATGAGTGTAATATTCATTTCGTATATGATGTTGAGAGTATTTTTCACTTTCTTTATGTGGATCTCATGCTTGCGGACTTTGATGGGAATTTTCCCAGATGGGACTTGCTGTAAAAAAGTAATCAAAAAACAGTCAAAAATTACCTTCATTGTATACTGTAGTCATCGTGGTGACGTCATTAGTAACAGCATTCGTTAATATTTTTGCCGGGGAATTTGGGGTCGCTTTAACTACACTTTGCGTGGGATTCTGTGCCCTCAGAATTGAATATATCGAGAATTTGGACAATAATACCATAATCACCAGTACCAAAGTACCCAGAAATAGTAGATATACGAAGGAAAAGATGAGAGAAAGAAAAGTGATCACATTCCGTTGATGAGAAGCCATGTGATCACACTCGTCAAGTGCAAGATTCATTCTTTTGGCAGTGAATTTGATAACTGAACCATCGGGTAGAGTTAATCTGTTCTCACGTTGAAGCATTGAGAAATGGATCTGAAGTTGATTGTCAAAAACATTATTCGTCTTGGCGTCATGATTAATATATGTAATCAGCTCACCAAATTGTACCATTGTGACTCTAAAACATGATCATCATGACCTCCTTGGCGCAATGTTACAGTAATATCCTCTTCGACCATCTCTTTACAAGAGTGGAATGGATACAAAGATACCATCATTTGCTTGCCTTTTTTAAGGATTATTGCCATTTTTTCCTGATCAAACCCAACTATGACATTCAATCCAATATTACAAGACTCTCTCAACTTGTCAACAAAGAATGGATTCTGGATTTGTACTTGTCCTCCGACTTCCTGCAAACAAAATGTTTATAGTTTTAAAGCAGAACCCACATTGAACATGAGGAATCCATCAGAAACAAAATAAACGGCATCGGAAGGGATACTGATGTTATCACGAGGGACTTCAGGGATCATATCAACCAATCTCGGACTGTCCAACAAAGTTTTGTAAGCAAAATGGTCAGCTGAAAATTGATGTTATCGACCACCGTATGTCGCCGAATGGGGGAAGAGACGGCTGTTCTTCGGAACACCGTACCGTCGGATTTCAGACCCAACAATTAGGCCAAGCCTCAGTTTAGGCTTAACATTAAGCTACCTTGTAAGACCCAGAGAATAGTTTAAAAAAAACTTTGTGGCGGTACAACCTGATCCAATACTTTCGACTTTTAGCAATCGTCGTTTCCCCAATCCGGCGACGTTCCGTCGACGACGTTATGACATTTACCCATTAAAAACTCGTATTGACCAAGAGAACTCCAAATTTGAGCGGTACTCGTGATGTTGTCGACCGTTTTGAGACGGAATAAGGGTCTACAAAAATGAGAACTTTGCATAACAATCAGAAACGGGTAAGACTAAAGAATAAACTTGCTCGATAGGACGCCATTCTCGTTCGATTTCCCCGTCATTGTACTTTAAAATTACTGTTTTCTCGAAGAAAACATGGTTGTCGTTGATTTCTGAAGCTACAGCAACCTTATTTTGTGACATACTTTGATTGAAACGGAATTTAATCATACATTCGATCTCGTAGTCATCGTATTTGCTCTGAAGATCGTTGAAAACAATGATAAGCAAACTCGTGAATCCCTAAGAAGCTTAAATAAGTTAACAGTAACGTAAGATTACCTTTAAAACTTCCTCGAAGTCCATTACAAGTCAACCAAATTTACAAAAATTTCAAAGTGATTACAAAAACCATCAAAATTAATTTCTAAATTTATTAAATTTTTTGAAACTTTATTCGCAACCACTTTCATTTTCCATTTCTTTTCTGGCCGCTGTATCCTTGGCTTGGGCTTCTCTTTTCTTGGCAAAAATAGACATCTTTTTGAGCAACTTGTAGATCCAGAAATTGTATAAAAGAACGACGAACACAAACACGACCATGGAAACGAAGCAGACATGCATTACAATCTGGACAATGATCAGGTACAGGATGATCATCTGCTGATACTTGGTCAGATCATGACATAATTTAGTGTCCATATGTCTGGGAATGGCCTTGAATTGGATCATGGATCCATCGATGGATGAAAATTTCTGAGCGATTTCTTTGTCTAGGAGGGCGAAATGGGACTAAAACAATGTAAAGTGGCTACTTGGTTTGATAAAATTTGCCTTGAAAATAAGTAATAATCATCAAAAAGAACTTGCCAAAAGATACCACTGAGATTCCAAATCCAGCTCGTCCCCATTGCTGACATACATTTCAATTTTGTTGATATCAGCGTCCAGCTCTCTCAAGGTGCACCTGTCATAGATCCCTGCCATTTGAACCTTGTTTTCATTGTTCAGAATCACCGAAGACGTCTTCTCATCAAATCCCAAAAGTTTACCTTCAAGCTTTGGACAAATTTTTCTTTGCATATTTGCATTTACCGGACTCCTGATGGTGGTGTTTGAAGCCTAAAAAACACGGAATCCTATTTTTTGCGATTCTGGGAATACCTGCATAATAATTTGAATTCCATCTGTTACGAATGGGTAATCATTTTCGACAGTAGCTTCGTCTATAACAGCCATATCGACCAGTCGTTTTCCTTCCAAAGTTACCGTATAGAACTCTTTGTCGACTGAAAATAACGAGATGTTTGATAAGGATTTACCTTTGAAGATCTCGCGTTTTCCAAGATGACTAAAAAAATAGCCATGGCTCTGCAAATCCTTGGTATTGGTGGTTCGGAACATGATTCTGCAAGTATGCCGGTAGTACAACTTGAACAACTTACTCTCTGTCCTTCCAAATGGTTTCAATTTCATCCTCATTAAAAGTAAGCCGAGCCGGTTTCTCGTAAAAGACACGGCCTCCCTCTACCGCTATAATTTTTTTTTATCAGTAGGGTTAGTGAAATTATGGTAACCTACCATCATAATTCCGGTATCTAAAGGTGGCCTCGATATCGTGACTGGAATATCTCGACTGGAGATCTTGGAAAACAATTGTAATCAGCGAGAGAATGGCCTGAAACAGAATCGTAGATCATAGATCAGTTTATTGTGGATACTAATATTAATCATACTTCGAGGGTTTGCTCGGCATTCATGATTCACAACGCGACCACTCGAGTTGCAATAACTCACAAAATGAATAAAATTTGACGAAATTTAATTGAAAGTTGTGGTTACAAAAGAACTTATTACTACAGGGTGCGCCAAAAATATTGGGACTCATATTTTTACTTGCCCTGCGGGCTATAATGGTACAAGAGCAAAGTGGTCGCTTGTGCAAACGTGCAATGCTCCCAAGCATCTATCTTCAAAGTTTCAGACAGAGTAGTCGTATACGACGCCTGTTCTGCCATTATAAGTGCTCACAACTAAGGCCCCTGAGACACGGACCCCAAAATGGATAAAAATTGGAAACACTAGTTTTGCCGTTGCATGCTATGGCAGAAATTCACTTTATATGACGGAGTAGCGGTCGCTTTTTATACACTAAAAATGATTTTTACTTATAATGACGATTACATCTTTTACAGCCCGTCAAAGTCGGCCTAAAAACGCGCCGTTTTCCAGAAAACTGCCGTAAGATCAAAGATTTTTATGTAGAAGTTTCGATGTAAGGTTCCCAGCGTATTAGGCATCAGAGATACTTTTATAAGGACAACGAGAGTCTGACTAGTCGTTTTTGAAAAATTATTTTTTTATTTTCTGCCTCTGGGGGATGAAATAGTGACTACAGGGGTAGAATTTACTCTAAGGTTGCTCGTCAAGTGAGCTTGGACTGAAGATCGCTAAAAGTAATTCAGTTGTGTCAGCATGTATCCCGAGTACAGCGTTACGTCGATTTTTACGCTCAAGTACTTTTCAACTTGTAGTAAACTGCCAAAATATATCAAGTTTCGAAGGACCGTGCCTCCAATCCGCACCATAAAGTTTTTTCCATACAGAAACTGTCCCCTTCTAGGTGTAGATTTTCTTTTACAGTATGACAATTCCCTATGTACACACTCTATAACCACAAAATTTTACAGCAACACGGGCGATACTGTGATATTGAGATCGTTAAAAACATAAAAATCCGAACTTTCGGGATTTTTTTTGTTTTTTCGACCAGCGCCGCCATATCGGTCGTCAACCATGATTACATACGTTGTTACGAAGTGAATAGCATGTGTTTTATACACAATAAATTAGAAGGATCTTACTTTCCCTTAGCGGAAATAATGGCCAAATTGATTTCCCGGTCATCCACTTGAAAAGAAAATTTTGGTCCCCCAAAAACTTTTGAATATTTTTTCAAGTTTGCAATAGGCCCCAACCCTGGCATTACCGTTGCCGTATAGCAAGGCTGTTACCCTTGCTAAAACGGCCAAAAGTTTTGATTCCAAGGCCAGCCGAAAAAAGCTACACGGAATTGATTTTTGTCCCAATATTTTTGGCGCACCCTGTATTGATGACGACTGTTTTACCTAAATATTCGAATTGTGGTTTCCCCGTGAACACATTCCTCTTTCCAATCCATTTTTAAACTATAGTTAAGAGCATTAAAAAGTGTCGGAGTAATCCGCTGATAAAAATTTCCAGAATTTTTCGTATAGTCGTTACTATTTACCCGGTTTACTAGTACAGATAACTAAACTTTAAATGGTCATTGAGTTCTTAATGTCATCTTTTTTGGACCATCCGATGTCGTGAAATCATTCTTTTGCAACTTCTTACTTCTCACTTACTTGTTTATTTTGCGTGAAAGGATCTCCTTATGAGTAAAGAGGGCTTCTTCTCCCTCAAATCTTTTGACTGTTCTCTTCAGAACAAGTTTCAGCGGATCTTTCAGTTGTTCCCTTGATTTCCGTCGTTTTTTTCGCGAAGAAGTAACCGATTTGAATAACAATATTTGTTGGTTTAGCAACTTTTTGTACTCTTTTATTTTTCTGTTCCCTTTTGTGGAGTCTCTGCTTTACTTTTCGATATTATTTTACATTAGCCTTTACTGTTTGACCATTTTGTAGCTCCTAATGGTGTTGATTGTGCCAGCTGGCTCTGTGCCAAAACAGCGGAGGACAGTTAGAGAATTCATCGATAAATACTTCTTACATGGTACGTTTTATCACTCGCTAAGATCATTAAACTTTTTGATGACCTAACTTACAGCGGAAGTACTCCAAGAACGACGCTCAGATTTTTTAAAATTCTGCACGCACTTCGGCGACATCAATTTCTAAAAAAATTTAGCTCGCGCTTCTCTTTGTGGCCGAGGAAGCACGCGAAAACACTTTTAGGTCGCATTTTTTTTGCTAATTTTGCGCTTTCTGTGGAATTATTACACTCTACAGTAGCTACACCTATTTCACTGCAGTAGAAAAAGGTATGAAACTTTTCATGACAAAATTTGCGAAAAAAAACTTTAATTTTTTTCCCAACTTTTGATAAAAAATCTCGGTTGTTTCTGCAAAGCGCGAGCCAGGTCGTAATTTTAAATTACCGAATTCATAAAAATATGAGCGTCGTACTTGGGTAGCTTGCCTGTTAATTATGTATAGATCAACTTTGATCTTCTTTCAGGACAACATTTGGATGAAGATCTACAGTCCCGTCTCCAATCCTCCCCAGATCTCCCATTCCATGAAAAATACCGCAAATACATAGCCTTTATCTCCCCCATATTATTCTGGCAATTGACCTGGTGGCCAGTTGCTCTAACCCATGGTCTTCTTGGCTTGTATTCAACTAGATGGGAGATGGCCGTGACCATGATATTTGGGGCCTTGGTGGCTGGGGCCACTTCTGAAGGTGGAGGGGCCATCGCGTTCCCCGTGATGACATTGCTATTACATATACAGCCAACTGTCGCAAGGGATTTCTCGTTGATGATTCAGAGCGCAGGTATGTAGGTAAAATATAATTCTTTTGGACGCTCATCGATAGCATAATTGATCCATATAATAATTATAAATTTTAGGGATGGCGGCCTCGTCCTTTACGGTGATCTACATGAGGATAAAGGTTGAATGGCATTCGATTATTTTCTCGAGTTTAGGAGCTGCCTTCAGTATAATAATAAGCCTCCAATTTATGGACGATCTGCTGACCCCGTTGCAGAAGAAGATGATGTTTGTATCCATCTGGTTCTCCTTTGCAATCGCTTTATTTATTCTGAATCGTCAACGAAAACGGCGAACGTATGACGTCATTCCTCATTTCAATTTCTGGAAAGGCGCCGTTCTCTTTGTGACTGGATTATTTGGAGGTGTGTTTGATAAAAATTAAATTCATATTTTGTTATTCGCATCTATAATCACACTACTTTAGGCGTCCTCAGTGCATATACTGGATCAGGAGTGGACATCTGTTCTTTTTCGGTTCTCACTTTATTCTTCCACATCTCCGAGAAGGTGGCTACTCCAACCTCGGTTGTCTTGATGTTCCTAAACACTTGCGTCGGCTTTTATTGGCGTCAGTTAATTCAAAATAATGTCAGCGACCTTGCCTGGGAGTATTTCGCTGTCTGCATTCCGGTCGTGGTGATCTTCTCTCCAGTCGGCGCCTTCTTGTCATCCCATCTTCATCGTCAAGTTCTAGCAGCAACTGTTTATATTTTGGAAACTGTGGCTTTATTTGGATTTCTAATCACCCAACCTCCAATTGGGATAATAATAGCCGGGGGAATCATCATTCTAATCGCCTCAGGGTTCTTTTTTGTTCTTGGTTGGGCAGGACAGCGATTGGGGGATCAAATTGAGAGTGCAATCAACCAGTCGCCCCATTCCAAGTCTCCAGTTGTGCCTTAAAATTTTTGTTTTCAAAAGATCAAATGTACATAAATTATTAAATTTTTTGCGATTTGAAGATGCTTCGTGTTGCGTAATGTACGTGGTCGGTCGCTGCCGTGTGATGCAAACAAGTCAAAGCCGGAAACAAGTCACTTCGATCCCACGTAGCTGACGTTCGCACTGCAGCAACATGTGCAGGGAATGTTTGCCGACATGGCCGACAGAAATACTCCCAATTCGGTTTCCCAAACTGTTCAAACAGACTTCTCAATCACATAAAAGGCCAGATGCTTAACATGACCTCATTACGCAATGTTCTTATTCCAACTCCCTCTTTTTGTGATCTGTGTTACTGTAGTTTCGGGTGATGTTTTAACTGACAGTGCCAAGATAGCGGCCTTGAAGAACCACAATGATCACAGGAGGGTGATAGCCAAGGGAAACGACAAAAATAAGGATTCGGCTAACATGCCAAAGGCTTCGAATATGCAGAAATTAGTAAGAAAGTTTGTTGAATATTATAACTAATCTGATTACTATAAGGTTTACAACAAAGATTTGGAGAAAAAAGCGCAAGATTGGGCGGCACAATGTAAATTTGAGCATACTCCACAAACCGGGGATCATTATGGGCAGAATTTGTATATGACCAGTCAAAATCTGCCGCAGGGTAAGAAGGATTTATATTATTTTTATAACTCTCGAATATTTTAGAACAAGCCATGACCAATGCTGGGGATTCTTGGTGGCAGGAGCTTCCAGAAAAATATGGAGGAACGAATGTCAAATTTGATATGAGCATTGCAAACCAAGGAGTTGGCCATTTCACTCAAGTAAGTCATCATTTATTTTAAATTACCTTATCCTAAAGATGGCTTGGGCTCAATGTCGAAGTATGGGATGTGCTGTTCAAAAATGTAATTTCGGAACTTATGTCGTTTGCAATTACGATTCTGGAAACATGATCAACGACAACATCTATAACACTGGAGAACCTTGCTCGGCATGCCCTCAGGGAATGGAATGCCAAGATGCACTGTGTGCTGTCAAATGTAAGAAGAGTAAGAAGAGAAAGTAAATGTTTAAAGAGAATGTGAAATATTTACAACACAAGAGAGCAGTAAATCACATTATTCCGTTTTTATTTTTATTTCTTCGATCTTTCTAAAAGACAAATTTGATGATGAGAGCGAACACAATCAGACTTGTGGCCAAAGCATACAGTCCGAACATATTGGAAGAGAGGGGGACAATCCGATGTCTTAGACCCTTCAGCACTCTCTCATCACATTCAAAGATCGCTTGACGAGCTCCAGACCATTTATGGATTCCATTCAGACGATAAACATAAGGGAGATTGGGACCAAAGAAGATTTTCAAAGCCAATCTGGGATCAATGAAGGACAACTTGAGGAAGTTGGGCTTGCAGTCCATCAGATCGGCCAATTCATCCATATAGGCTTCATAGTCCACCTAAAAGTATATTTTGACTACCATAATGAAAGCAAGACTTCTTGAGTCTTTTTAAACCTAATTCTCTTGCCTGGATAGTGTGTCGTCTGCTGTTGACATATCTTTGTTCCATAATTTTCTTCCTCCGTTCAATGTCTTCCCTCATTCCTTCCAAATCAGGCAGTTTTGTCTGTCCAGTCAAAGAATGGAAGAATAATCTGCATTGCTGTTCTGAGATTGGCATAATCGATCCAATTGGTTGAATCAAGCCAATCACAGCGATGTTATTCCACTTGGAAGTTTCCAGTGGATACATCAATTTGTAGAGTTCCACCCGGTTTTCATTTACTGGGATTAACTTTCCTTTTTCGGCCAAGGGAAATCCAAAAGAGTATCCCGTGGAGAGAATCACCTAAACAATGATTATCAGTTGACTAGGGAACAAAAGTAATTGTCATTTTGAACGACCTACTTCATCTACAGGCTCAACTTTGGTGTTGTCATCAAAGATAAGCCCATTCTCAGTGAATTCTTTGATATTACTTTTCACAATTACTGTTCCACAAACAAGTCGATTTGGCAATTCGTCATTTACTGTTGGGTGGGCGCTAAAAATTATTTTCAACATTAATGTTCATGTCATCTAAGTCTTTACCTCATTGGCCGGTGAGCCGGCTTCAGTCCGTATTTCCCATGATCAAATCTGGAATTCAATTTGAATTCCAAAAAAGAATTGATTAACTCCAAAGGCAGTGTTCTCCTCAAAAGTGCGACAAATCTTGTGAAGACAACCAGATCGTAAGGCTCTCCATAGTCGATGATTCTGTTGTAAATCCATGTCCCTCTTCTTGTAGATACGTAAACTTGTTTGGCGATTCTACTCAGCTCTACAGCAATATCAAATCCCGAGTTTCCCACTCCAACTACTGTAACAATCTTATCCTCATGGCCTTTATAGTCCTTGTAATCATGAGCATGCATCACATTTCCTTTGAATTTCTCTTGTCCAGGCCATTTATTGGGCCAATAAGGCTCGGTGTGATGCCCAGTGCAGAGAAGAACGGCGTCAAACAACTCTTCGTGATGCTGATTATTCCTAAATCACCTTGTTTTATTACGAAACATACATTAATACTATTAAAAATGAACTTACAGATCAAAATACTCGACCTTCCACTTGCCAGTTTTCTCGTAATCTGCTGTTCTCTCCACATTCGAAACTCTGTGGTGGAATCTGATGTAGTCTCTCAGTCCAAAATGATCTGTGTACAATTTAAAGTAGTTTAGTAACTGAGTATTATGCATAAAATTTGCATATTCAGCTGGAGGAGGGAAGTCGCTATAGGCGGTCATCTCCTTGGAAGTGTTGATTACTGTAGTTTTCATGACTGACCCCTCTAAAATATTATTTTGTTAGTTAAAAATTACTTGGATTACCTTCAGTTTGGTGTGGTTTATATCTCCAGAGGCCACCCACTTCATCTGAGGCTTCAAAACAAACAGGTTCGAGTCCGTATAAGAGAGCATGGCTGAAGTAATATAATTTTGAAAGCGCGTGAATGCTTTGTTGATCAATAATATAACCTTACCGTATACTGGGCAGTCCGCTTGGACCGGCGCCTATAATAGCGACTCGTTTCGTCATTTTCGTAGGACTTATTAGTATTCAAAATGGGAGAAAGGATGGTCGTCGTTATCACTTTCCCTTCTCAGCTGCTCCCAAGACTTTAAATAAGACAAGTGACCAGGCGAACAGCGGGAAGATAAGCCCGGGACTCTGCTCTGGACCTGACTGTCCGCCAATTCCGTGATTTTCCCCATCTCCAGACGGAAACGCCCTCCGGATATAAAGAATCCGATCACCCGAAGCGCCGTGAAGATCAAAATTTTTACAAAAGAATTGACAAAAGAAACAAGATCCAAGACCATTCAACTGTCTAATCGGTTTATACATAAAATATACAACATAAATACAATAGCGAATCAAAAGATCTCAAAACACCCTGAATAACAAGTAAAGAAGACCAATAAATAAATGGCTGGCTGAGGGACCCGCGCCTGGACTTGCGGGCATCCCTATCAATTCGTAGGCCTCTTCCAAGGACCCACACCATTCTCTGGCCCGGAATGTCTCCATCTTATCATCAATGGAAGCCCGAACAAACGGATAAATGCATAATTGGTAACAGTTGGGGGTCTGGGTTTGAGTCCGTTGAAGCGAAAGAAGACGATGCAGATCAAAGTAGACCTTCACGGAGTTGGAATGAAGCTGTTGGGCGGGCGGCTTGACTGTGCCTAACTCACATTTCAACTCTGGGACAATCACTGTGTTCACCTGGAACATTGGATTTAGTTTTGAATTAAGGAAACTTATCTATTAATAAAAGGAAATCTCTAATCAAATTTATAATCACAAACTCTTTGAGTTTTGTGCAATTCGTGCTGCTGATAAAGGAGGTACAGATAATTTTTTGGCTAGTTTAACTATCTCATCCAATTTCCTAAATTGTCACAAATGAAATCTGTGTTTTTGATGTCAGCTGTGATCATTCCTTGAATCCAAAACTGATTTCTGCCATTTTACGTGATAAGATCCCCATTTTTATTGTAATCTCGCACCCCGATCTTCCAGAATTTGTTTCCTTTTATGTTTTTTTCTTGAAGAAATGGCCACAAAAGCGGGGCCAAATGTCATTAGTCAAAGCGAAGAGGACAATCGAGAACGCGGCACATGAAGAGCTCCCTAAAAGAGGGATCGGGTTGCTCTCATCTCTGAACGGTTCACTTGTGGATCCGTTAAAACCCTTCCAAAGATTGCAATAAAAATTCTAACATACAGTTCAAGTATAAGCAAAAACTTAGATCATTTTTATGTAATGATGGCATTAAAAATGTTTAAATTTTTGTTATGTAATTTGTCATCGGAAATAATTAAACCTCACCTTAGATCTCAACGGGAATGTCAGCAGTAAAGATACGTTGATATGGAATGGATCAGATACGATTCCTTCAAGTTGGACGAACTCATCTGGCCGAGGTCGAACCAAAAGTCCTTTCTGAAGATTTGCCGGAGGGTCTGAGCGGTTCCGTTCTGATTCATCTTTGGTCCGGACGATCAACTCCTAAAATAATATAAACTCGATGTGATTAAAGCATTATGATAATTTTGTTTTATTCTCAGAACAATTCTCTCTATTTTAATATCCCAAGCCTAATCTGAAATGTGGGTTTGGTCCCGTTTCCCATCTCCAAATCCCATTTCTTTTATGTACAGGGTACCCCCGCGTTAAGTGGATTAATTCCAAATGTTTCCCATCTTATAATTGGCTCCTTCAAGTACCAACCTGTTTAGTCGAGAAGTCTTCGAAGCCCTCGTCTGTTCGGTAGACTAATCGGTAATGGATTCGAATGGCAAACCAGGTTCCGGCTGTCAATCCGTCGAAGGAAAATAGCTAGAAAAAGAATGAAGATTATGCAATACATAAAGTATATGTTCAGAATGAGTCAAGTTAAGGCTGGATAAGGCAGATCAGAATATCAAAAATAATCCCTATGACCTTAAAATCTATATTGTTTTAGGTTGAACGAAACATTTTTTTTCTTTAATGCATTTGTGATTACATTCTTCGGGTGTCCTGTAATGTCACCTTGTTCTCATTGTTCTTTCAGGTCATGAATATGTATTCCATTTCCGTGACTTCAAATTATTTTTATTTGCTTTTAATTTGGGAATTCCTTTTTTGTTTGCCGAAACTTTCGAAGTCCAAATTTTGGTTTGGGTTCTAATTAGATTCCCCGTAATTCACCTGTCTCCAAAACTCGGACCATTACCCTTCGCAATGCCCAGATATTAATGGCCGAATGTGGCCAAACTCATTCGGCCATTTCTCCGAGGTCCAAATCAAATTCCGAAAGTAGAGCGCGCAAAACACAAACTCATAGTTAATTTGGGCGGCCCCATTATTCGGCTCTTTCTTGGCCATAACTTGGCCTGAATGGGGAAAACCTTTTTGTCTAATCAACTCCTTCCGGGACATCTAATGAAAAACATTAATAAAGTACAGTAATTTGAACTAAAATTACAAAAGCGGAGGCCGCAAATTTACATAACCTATCTAAAGGGTCACACTCGAACAAAGGTCGAAAGCTACTGTTTGAAGATGCATTGTAAGGATTGCGATGAAAGAAAAGATCTCAGGGATCTTGTTCTTCCTCTTAACGCCTCTTCAACGCCCTCTTAACGTCGTTGCCATTGTTATGCAACGTCTCATGCAAAGGTCAATCGATGGATAATCTTCGTTTTTGTTTCTTGGAGTGCGTCAAATTTGTGCATGGCGGAAAAATATTTGAATGACCTCTTCTTCCTTTGGCCTCCGGTCATTAAGGAGTTAGGCCGGAAAGAATGGGACCATAATTCCGGTGCATTCTTTTGTCTTTTAGGTCCAAAAGACTTTTCCCGAAGCCCTAAGGGGATCTCCGATTTCCGTGAAAAGGTAATACAAACCCGGAGGGCATAAACAGAAATGGGACTATAAATATTATTGGACGATGATTAAATGGAAATAGTTAGAGCAGACCGAGGAGCAAGAGAGTAAAAGAAGGAGCACAACTTACTTGATCCTCGTATCGCATAGAACTCAGCTCACTTCTTCTGAATTCTTTTAATCTATCCAAATCGAAGATATGCACATTCATATCAAATCTGGAGACATTTCCAGCCCCTACGATCCTCACTACCACTGATCTGGAATCCACTGAAGTCACCTCGAACTTTGCAATCAACTTTTGAGCAGAGATGTAGATGAAGTAGGTACATAGAGTTATTAGAAACGATCTCATGGTCTCTCACATTCTCCCCAACTGGTGTTATCTGCAAAGCCGAGGTTAAAACATGGTCCAAATGAATGTTCCCACGACCAAAAAGCGGTTTCGCTAGGTAGAAGGGAAGGATATAATGTAATCAAGACAAGAGCCTCGTTGACTATAGAAAAAAGGACACGTATATTACGCCTTATTACACATGCTTGTCAACAAACAAAGTTCACCCATTCCGCACGCCGTATGGTCAAAGAAGCAAGGTTAATCTACAGAATAACATGCGTAAAAGGATGATGACAAATCGTATGTTAGGTCCTAATTCCTAAGGTATTTATTCGGAATGGATATCTGACCTGCGGGCATGAATACGAGATAAATCAGGGATGAATAACATCCTAATTCTCGTTCGAAAACTAATGGACCAAGACGTCGGCGGGCGCGCCTTCTTCCCTGAATGTATTCACCTTTGCAAAGAAAGAATCGCGACAAAACAAGAAACCTCGAACAATGCCCAAGTCGTTTTTTGCATCTGGCCCTGAGGGCTTTTTGACGCCAGGTAAGTGTAGAAGGCAAGGGGGAGGGGAGTGCGGAAATCCGCTCCAAAAAAATAATGCCAAGTCCTTAAGGAAGGGCCGGAGGGTTTCCCGCAGTGAACTCTCCAAAAGGGGCGGGGCGATGCATTCAGATGCGCTCTGTTCTCGGTATGGGTTCGTACATAAATCTTGAAAGAGGAGGGGATTGTCCAATTAAATCTAATCATTACTCAAATTGTAAGAAAAAACAATTATCTCCACCAAATACAGCTGCTACAAATGATGACATAAACACTTGCCGATGGACAACAAAGCTAAAGTTAAAACAATACCTCGCTTTCACCGCCAAAAAATGATTTCAAATTCCGAAATAACAAATACCGTAAACACGAACTAGGTGACCTTACTTTATCTTATTCTATCCCCAAGAAAGATTTATAAATGAATCCGATCTCAAGACGCCCGCCCTCTTCTTTTTGTCCCGCATTAATACGCGGGGTACCCGTTTGGCGGTCTTTAGTGTCCATGTTTTTGCCGCTTCTAATCCACGAAATCCGAACGAGAACACATGTCCTCATTAGGAATGCATTCGACCAAAAAAAGGGGAACTCTGACAGTCATCAATAATATAACCGAGTAATTATGGCAGGTACGACCACCGCTTCGTATGTCTAGACGTCCATCTTTGATGTTCACAGCTTGCCAAACATCCTCCAAGATGTTTCGGATCTATCCGACTCCGCTTTTACTCGGAATTTTACGTATGAAATTGAAAGGATACTTCGGAGTACTTCTATGCTGTTATTACGCAATACACCCCCAAATCTACCGGATGAATTCAAAACCACAGGTATGAGTATCATAAACGAGTCATTTTTATTGGACATGATGCAGTAAATGGCATTTTGGAGAAAGAAATAGCCAAAAAGAGCTGGTGTCAAGATAAATGGGTGCATTCAAATGACAAATTACATCAAAAAGCGGGCAGAGGCACACCAAATTGTAATTCATGCACAAAATTAAAACAAGATTAAGCCTCAAGTTCAGTACAAGAAAGGGGCAAGGAATGATGCCAATTATCATCCTTCCGTACTTGTACCTAGGACAATTTAAAGTTGCCGAAAGACTGCTAAAGGACGTCCAGCCGAAGAGTTCGGACAGCACATCAATCAATGTCCTTTTCATTTCATACGACCTGAAAAAAATCAAAAGTTCCTTCCAAAGTCTCATCATAACATACCTATATATGGATACAAACAATGATCACGTTTCATCGTTTGAATTTATTTGGCGTAGCTATAAAGGGGTTTGAACTATAATCCCAGGCACCCGAATAGTCATCACTACTGCCCGTTTCCAAAGAAGACGGGCTCGATCATGTTATAGGTTTATTTAAGATTATTTTTAAATTCTCGAATGCACTATGTATAAGTTTATAGACGTTTCACGGGATCAAAAAGATTTGTGAAACGAGACTAATCATTCTGAAGAAACCGCTTACTGTTACATGGTCGATTTCTCATCGTCGTTATGAAGAAATCAAGTGCTGGAAGTTCGGGCAGGGGCACCACTTCTCACGATCCGAGGAAGACAACAAGTGGCGAACAGAAGACCGTCCCCAGTAAACGGAAACATAGGCGAAGTGGCAAGGATACCATGGAGACCCAGGAATACCAATCTGAAGCCGGTCCAAATGGAGCTGGAGAAGAAAAGAAGATCAGAGAAAGGCTTATGGAATTTGCTGAACGGATTAAGACTATCAAGGTGCCAGAAAGTCACCAAATAAGTTTAAACTTTAGATCCAATCTGCTGGTCAATTGGAGGAGACGAACATAACCATCCAAGAAATCCATGAGCTATGTCTTCGTGGAAGAGAACGATTTATGTCGGAGCCGCCATTGATCAAGACCCCTGCCGGAATCTGCGTTTTTGGCGATATACATGGTCACTTTGCGGACTTGTCTGTAAATAATCATTTTTTACCGTCTCTAAGACATTCAACTTGCCTGTTTTCAGAAGATATTGGACAAGACTGGGGTTCCTCCAAAACAACGGCTTTTGTTTCTGGGAGATTACGTCGACAGAGGAAGCTATGGGACCGAGACAATCACCCTCCTCGTTGCCTACAAGATCCTTTATCCGAAACACATCTATCTGCTCAGAGGAAATCATGAGACTCGGGCTGTGAATCGAATGTACGGGTTCCTCGAGGAATGCAGAACACGTTTTGGTGAAGTAGAAGGTAAGATGACTACTTGTAGATGTAGGCAGTCCCAGGGAATCGTATGTACACCCTCTTCTCTCACGTGTTCAATTCGATGCCATTGGCCGCTGTCATTGCCAAAAAAATCTTCTGCTGTCACGGTGGCATTTCGGAGCACATGTATGACATTTCTCAATTCAATTATATCATCAGACCTTATGACATCACAGACATTGGCCTTTTATGTGACACTATTTGGGCTGATCCTATGACCATCAATAAACGTTTTGACGGATCTCCTAGGGGAGTATCAAAGGTAACAATGAATAATTGACCAAAGAGCCATTCAGGTTTTCGGACAAGATGCCATCAATGACTTTTGTGATATGACCAATATTGATCTAGTCATCAGAGCCCACCAATGTGTTTCTGATGGGGTTGAAGCCACCCATGATGACAGATGTCTGACCGTATTCAGTGCTCCCTATTATTGTCAAGAATCTCATAATCTCGCGGGAGTTGCCTATGTGGATACTAAGCTCCAGGTTCAATGCTACCAGCACAAGTCAGTTAAGACTTATACTGTAAAATCAAATAATTTAGGTCATCATACGACCCGATCAAGCAAACGATCTCGGAATCTTGATTTAAAATACCGGTTGATCAGATATATTAGGGTGAACCAAATGTTTTTGCCGTTTTTTTATTAAAACTTCAAACATAATTTTACAACAAACGAAAACTAGTTAAGTTTCGAAGTAAAGGCCCTTTGAATCTATGGCTTGAACCCATCTATAGGCAAGTTGTTCGATCCCGCTGCGGTACCACTCCTTTTTCTTAGAAGCGAAAAACTCGCGGCATCCGTCTTCGACATCGTCCAGATCATTGAAGCTACGACCACGCAAAAAGTGTGCCATGGAGCGGAAAAGGTGATAGTCGTATGACACAATGTGCAGACTATTCGCTGGATGTGGAAGAAGTTCAATGGCGTCGAGAGTTTTGATTTTTTCCTTCGTTTGTTTGGCGGTGCGAGGTTTTGCGCTGTCTTGTTGCAGGGGTACGCGGGTTCGATTGATCAAATCGGGATATTTTTTGCCAATCGCTGCATACATTCGATTGAGTGGAGCCTAGTAGAGGTCTGCGTCGCTAGTCCGACCATTTGGAACCAACTCGAAGTGAATTACGCCTTCAAAATTGTTTTTTAAGATGTCTTGCCCTCGAGGTCCGTGTCGCCGTCGTTGAATCGTTTGAACCAATCGCGCAGTACGATCTGAGACCACATTGTAGCCTTCAACTTCGCTTATCTTCTTTACTGCTGCAGTTGCGTTGAAGCCTTGTTTTCGGTAATAACGTAAAAAAACACGAATTTCGGATTTTTCCATGTTTTTTCTACAGGTTAAAAGATTTTAAATAAAAGACCAATTAAAAGTTTTAATATATATTATGATAAAGCAGTTCACGACCTTTAAAAATATATATAACACATTCATATAAAAATATTTATTTCGTAAAAAAACAATTGGACAAAAAGAGACCTAAAAAACGGCAAAAACATTTGGTTCACCCTAATAATTTAAAACACGATTTTTGAGTCACTGAATCTGCCGCCAGTTAGGCCTGGACATAGGAAAAAATCGATTTTGAGTTTTTGATTTTAAAATGACTGTAGGCATCCTATAAACATAATACTAAAATATTTTTGCCCAATTCCTTCATTAACCTACTGTAATTTACAATTTAATGATTTTACAGTAATCGACCATTACAATAAAACTACTGATTAGAAATGGCTGAAATTGGTAATACTTATGTTTCAGGCCATGCCCGTCATAATAGACACGGAATTTCGGCAGTCGGGTTACTGTAACATACCGTAATGTGGGTTCGGCCGCACAAATTCGGCCCTAAAAAATTTGTTACTGAAAACCCGCAGCTGATTTTTACATATGTTAATCAGCGTAAAATTCTGCCCTAGAAACATTAAAAAAAAGTGTAAAAAGCCGTGATCCGTTTTTTGTGGTATAGTGGATTTGGCCAAATTTAGTAATCCAAGGGTCGCGAGTTCGATCCCCGTGGAAGCAAAATCCGTAATACTGCCCAGAACCATAAAAAATCAATTGGGCTGAATTGTATAGGATGCATGGTAAGTATGAAAACCTTTATAAAATGTGATTTGCAAGTTTAAAAGCATTTTTTGAAGATGACATCAGAATTTTGTTTTTCGTGGATTGCGGTGCAAATTTAGTTTAAGAAAGTTGGTAAAAACTACTGTATAGAGGTTTTCGAGCTTTTTAAATTCAATGGGACAACTTTTTCCGACCTAGGATTACTGTAACATGTACAAAACGAATTTCGGCCGCTAAAAATCGGCCGTAAAAATGTTGTTTTCAAAAAAACGCCATTAATTCTACGATTTTTGGAATCAGCGTGAAATTTGGCTCCAGAATCATTACATATTGTACCTTAGTTGACCGCTTGAATTTTACAGAATTTTTTGCCGTAAAATCACAAATTTTGGGGTGAGTGAAGTCATCCGCGGAAATCGAAAAATAAAATCCTGAGTTTCTTGGCTACAAGTATGTACAACCACCAATAAAATGTAGCTTTAAAATATTTTTGTCTAATTCCATTGCTAATGCAGTTTTATTTACAATTTTCAAATATGAAAATAATTCACCAAAGAGAAAAAAGTATTTGACAAAACGACTGTGTTTTCAGTTGATATAGTGTGGAATTTTACGCTGATTCTAAAAATCGTATAATTAACCGCGTTTTCTTTGAAATCAACGTTTTTACGGCCGATTTTTAGCGGCCGAAATTCGTTTTGTCTATGTTACAGTAATCCTAGGTCCGAAAAATTTATCCCATTGAATTTAGAAGGCTTGAAAACCTCTATACAGTAATTTTTACCAACGTTCCTAAACTCGATTTGCTCCGTAATCCACGAAAAACAAAATTCTGATGTCATCTTCAAAAAATGCTTTTAAACTTGCAAATCACATTTTATAAAGGTTTTCATACTTACCATGCATCCTACACAATTCAGGCCAATTGATTTTTTATGGTTCTGGGCAGTATTACGGATTTTGCTTCCACGGGGATCGAACTCGCGACCCTTGGATTACTAAATTTGGCCAAATCCACTATACCACAAAAAACGGATCACGGCTTTTTACACTTTTTTTTAATGTTTCTAGGGCAGAATTTTACGCTGATTAACATATGTAAAAATCAGCTGCGGGTTTTAAGTAACAAATTTTTTAGGGCCGAATTCGTGCGGCCGAACTCACATTACGGTATGTTACAGTAACCCGATTGCCGAAATTCCGTGTCTATTATGAAGGGCATGGCCTGAAACATAAGTATTACCAATTTCAGCCATTTCTAATCAGTAGTTTTATTGTAATGGTCGATTACTGTAAAATCATTAAATTGTAAATTACAGTAGGTTAATGAAGGAATTGGGCAAAAATATTTCAGTATTATGTTTATAGGATGCCTACAGTCATTTTAAAATCAAAAACTCAAAATCGATTTTTTCCTATGTCCATGGCTGATCCAGTGACTCAGAAATCGTGTTTTAAATAAATTATTAGCTTGTTTCCAAAATATTGCTTGATGTTGCCGGATCCGGTCACAACATTGCCATTGACGTTGACTAGGTATGTGCAGTCCAAGAAAGGGGTATGGGATGATACCATTTATCATCCCTTCGTATGGCTACCTAGGCTAATTACAAGTTGGCTAAAGACTGCAAAAGGACATCCAGCCGTACCTTTTATTTTTGTTTTTTCAAGGGTGGCTCGTCACAGCAAAAAAGGTTTAATAATCAAAGATATCGCCGAGTACAATATAATAATGTCAAATTTACAAACGCCATCGCTCATTATGCCACATATCACCCAATTTTGGCACTCTTCTGCTACGCTTTGGCCCACGTAATCCTTCGCGTCATCCCTTTCTCTTCCACAGAATTGAGTCAAGTCTTTCCCCATCCAGAATTCTGTCAATGAGTTCAATGATTACTTTCTTCTAGGCGAATTCAGTTGAAGTTTATTCGCTTCTTGACCGAGGAATGGAATCCCGTCTTTGGGATGCATTTCGTGCATATCCCAGGATAGTACGTGAAGCTTATCAAGACGACGACGCCGTTTATCAACGCCATCTACAGGTTCTCAAGGTAAATCTTGGTCCAATGTTTTGATTTCTCTCCTATTTTTAGCTAGTGATCTTCATTCTGGGTAACTTAACATGTATTATTGGCACCTTCGTCTCGAAAAGCATAATTTACCTACTTGCAACCAACATCGGAGTGATTCCACCACAAAGAGATATCCATTTCCTCCAGAAATGCAAGGGTAAGATAATTAAATTAGAATTTGGTTAAGTTTAAAGTTTTGTTCATGTTTATCACATTTTAGAGCCAATCCATAATCAAAATGCCACCCATTTCGCGTTTCTTTGTGCTTCTCTTTGGGTTATTCAGTCCGCGCCGGATATTTGTGCCGTGATCTTCAATATTTACAAGAAGAACAAGGAAAACGACAAGAAATCCAAGGTTCTTCGACAGGTATGAAGTCTATTTTGTTTTTATTGATTTTTAGATTGTCTTCCTGGAAGCATGTCGATCTACAGGACTAGGTCTTTTGATCACGGGCGTGTTCCCCATGCTGGACATCCCCAGGTGTATCCTCCTCTCCTGCGCCATCGTTATGTTATCGTATTTGAAGCGAATCTTCAATAACATTATCAACCACGCATTTCTGGACCAAGACCGAAGCAACTGCTCTCGGTTCCTTTCCTTGATGGGTGCATTTCCCCTGATTATTTGTTTCTTCGTCTTGGCCTCTGGATCCATGGTGTATGTGTGGCAAGATTCGGACAACAAGTTCCTTCAAGTGCTCCCACTGTCCATGATCTTGTGTTCCATTGGATATTGGGAATCGTGGGTTGATATTGAGAGCAAAGGAGGGTTTTTTGACACAGCGTTCAGAGTAAGTATGCTTTCATATATTGCACTTGATTATTTAGATAAAGTATGGAGTCAAAAAGTTGAACTACAAGACTCGAGCGTGTTGCGCTGCCATTCGGCTGATATGTTCGTTTTGTGTCCTCTATTGGGCATTAAGGCATCATGGAGTTCCAGTAGGGACGCTTCTCAAATCTTTTGTCCATTGGAATTCTTTGAAAGGAGAAGGGTAAGAGAATTTTGAGTTGTTTTCGTATGATCATGTTGTGCAATATTACAGTTTGGTTGCTTTTCAGACGTCTATTCTTCCTTGCCTACATCGCTGTGTTTGCCAATTATTACGTCAGAGTTTGTTCACGCTTTTTGGCAGCTATGAAACTCCGTCTTCTGCCAATCCTTCATCCCGTCTTCATCACCCCACCGATCATGTTTATTGTCTACCACTCGTTATGTCATTTTCTGGCAGTTTGTGAGCTTAACAGTGTTCTCCATCCCCTCCGACTGAACCTTGTATGCAAGAAGTACGCGACTGGTGGTGGAGTTGTCCCCGATTATTGGTTGACTCCGCTCTACATGGCACTCTACTTGATTTGGAGTTACACTTTCATCACCGGGGAGACGTATAATGTTGCGGATGATATGTAAGTTGCATTTTTATTACATTACCCTTGCTTTTAGAATCGAGAGTATGCCTCCAATGCTTGCTGGTCTGGATGTGATGCAATCTCAAGTAATCTTCAGATACGTGGTTGACACCCAGTTCCTAACAGAAGGCGATGAAGAAGAAGATGAGGAATCTGATCTCAGGATTATAAACACGGATGTGGATAAAGTCATAACGTTGTATGTTTGTGCAACAATGTGGCACGAAACACATATGGAGATGACTCAGATGTTGAAATCGATATTCAAATTGGATGAAGAGCACTCTAGAAGACTGGCCGAAAAGAATTCAAAGGATCGGATCAAGTTCAGATTGGAAGTCCACATTTACTTGGATGATGCTTGGGAGAATGACGCGGAGTGTGGAAGGATCCCCAATGCATACTTTAAGCAACTATTCGAATTACTTATTGATTTGACCAGGTGCGTTTTTTATTTGATACTATATTGTGTTGTTTTAGTGGAGATACAACTTCCGCCGATCCCCATTCTCGAGTTCTCCTTAACACTTCGTATGGCGGACGTCTTGTTATGCGTTTGAATGCAGGAACTCTCCTGTTTGTTCATCTGAAAGACAAAAGTTTAATTAGGAATAAGAAAAGGTGGTCGCAGGTAAGTTGTTCTTATGAATATTGAACGTTTCCCATGCATAATACAATGGTTTGTTTGTTTCAGGTGATGTACATGTATTATCTTCTCGGCCATCGTATCATGGACTCTCATATGAGTGTAGAAGATAAACAAGTCCAAGCAGACAACACCTATCTGTTGGCCATTGATGGAGATTCCAAATTCGAACCCAGCGCTGTCATCAAATTGATCCACATGATGAATATCAAGAGTAATATAGGATGCGCCTGCGGAAGAATCCATCCGATTGGAGAAGGGATTATGGTATGGTATCAGAAGTTCGAATACGCGATTGCTCATTGGTTTCAAAAGTCGGCCGAGCATGTGTTTGGCTGTGTTTTGTGTGCTCCTGGCTGCTTTTCCTTGTTCCGGGCCTCAGCTTTGATGGATGATAATGTCATGAATAAGTACACCAAGACAGCATCAGAGCCAAGACATTTTGTTCAATATGATCAGGGAGAAGACCGATGGCTCTCGACTTTGCTATTGAAACAGGTAAGTAATTGTAAAATGTAAGGTAATAAATTCCTTTCAGGGTTATCGGATTGAATACGCGGCTGCTGCGGACGCTGAGACATACGCTCCAGAAGGCTTTGAAGAATTTTTCAATCAGCGCAGGAGATGGACTCCTTCTTCTGTAGCGAATACCATCGATCTTCTAGCCGATTATCGATTGGCGACCAAGAATAACGAGAGCATTTCTATGATGTATATCGCCTACCAGATGGTGGTAATTGGCTTCTCTATGCTGGGTCCTGCCATCATCTTCAGTATGCTGGTTTATGCACAGGTATGTATACCTTTTAGTTTCAATGTTCTTGTTTTAGGTGTCAGCCTTCTCGATTGACTCGGCTACTCTTTTGTATTGGAACGCCGCTCCGATTATCTTCTTCATCTCCAGCTGTTTTTTGGCCGAATCCAGTTTTCAACTTGCTTTTGCCAAGTATGCTTCTGTTGTATATGCCTTTGTGATGTTGGCTGTGCTGATTGCTACAACCAATCAAATTGTACTTGAGAGTAAGTAGTTTTACGAGGATTGTTATAAATGACTGTTATTGTGAAATTATTATGTAATTCCTTTTAGCCATATTTTCACCGACGTCTATGTTTGTCCTGGGAATGGTGTTGATCTTCCTGTTCGCCTCATTCGTTCATCCGAAGGAGTTCAGAAATATCCTTTTTGGGTTAATCTTTTTCTTGATGATCCCCTCAACTTATGTCTTCTTATCCTTGTACTCTCTTATCAATTTGAATGTGATCAATTGGGGGACAAGAGAAGCTGTAAACAAGGCCATGGGAAAGGAAAAGAAGACCGGAGGATTTTTGGAAGGCCTTCTGAAGAGATTGGGCATTGGAGAAGAAGACTCTGCTTTTTCCAGATTGATGTCTTCATACTTCATTCAAAACAAAAATAATGACACGATAAAAGAATTAGAAGAACGGTTGAATCGGACGGAAAAGATGCTGCATGAAGTGAAGGTAAGGGCCTTTGATAAGTGATTACCTTGTTCTAGGATGGGGAAACTTTGATCCGGGGTGTTGGGGGAGAATTGGAAAAGAATTTGGACAAGGAGAAGCTGAAAGAAGATGAACATGCAAAGGCCGGACGATTGATCAAGAAGAAATATGATGACAATAAGAATTTGGATGGACAGCCCGCAAGATTCTTGTGGATGGATGCAGAATATCTCCAAGGATGTGATCGAGGAGTCCTCAAGTCGGCCGAAGAGAAGTTCTGGGATCAATTGATTGAGAAGTATCTAAAGCCAATGGAATCCTCCAAGGAAGAGCAAGCTGATATTGCTGACGGATTGGTCGGACTGAGGAATCGAATTGCCTTCTCCATCATCTTACTAAATGGTTTACTAGTTCTGGCTGTGTTCTTGTTGCAACGACACAAGGATGTGTTGTCCATTCAATTCACGCCTTATGGTGAGTATTGTATTGTTTTTTTGTTATTGGTTTAGATGGCTTCAAATGGACCAAGATGAATGAGACTACTGGAAAGTTCGAGAAGACAGACGAAGCCTTGAAGGTGGACCCCCTTGGAATGGGAATCATCTTCTTCTTGTTCGGGATATTGATTATCCAGGCAATTGGAATGATCATCCATAGGTTGAATACTCTCGTCGAAGCCCTGCATGAAGTGTCGGAGATGGAACCTGCCAAAGGAAGGTCCGAACAGTTCGCTCACCACCAAAATGTTCTCGAAGAAGGTCTGTCATTGTTTTTACTTTCAGTCTATATAAATGTAATAATTGAATTATTATTTCAGCTCGTCAAATGCTCGCTACAGTATCCTATGAGGAAGCACATGGAGGACAAGGCTATGTTCGGAAGGGAATGGAAGACGAATCCTCGAATCGGAATGTCCTTTACAAACTCCACAAACAATTTAATAGCTAAAACTTTTATTAACTTAACTAACTTTCTCATTTTTTAATTTGACTAATCTCTTATCAATGTTTATTTTGTGATTTGTAACAATCATAAATAATGTAAAGAAAGTTTGAAGAGTGGGTTTGTTTTCTCGTAGATGGGAGTTTTCTGTACGTAATCCCAAATTCCAGGTGGGCATACAAAATAGTTCATGCACCCATGCATAATTTTGACTAGTTGGTTTGCTAAACATTGTTTAAATTGTTCTTTCCGTTTGAAAACTTTAGAAAAATAACAAGAGTACTTTCTAAGGGCATTCCCCCACATTTCTTAAGTCATCAATGCTCTACATACATTATAATACCGTTCTATTGTCACTTTCTCCATGGAATCATCTCCAAATGTCTTCATATCCATTTCCTCGTCTGAAACTTGTGAATCCTCGTTTACTCTTTGAAGAAAGGCATGTAAATTGAATCAGGGAGCTGACACAGATGCGTGGATGTCTCCTGGCCCCTTTCCTTTCTGACTCAAATCCCGGCAAGTCTTTCGTTGCCCCTACTTTCATTGTTCTGAACCTTGGTGATGTTTGGAAGGTTAATAAATGGTATTCATTCAAGTCGTCTTATGTCATAGATAATATTCTGATGTCCTTTTTCTGAATAAGCATCCTTTGCTTTATTTTTGGCGAACTTTATGGTTGCTTACTCTAGTACTTTTTCGTATGTCATGAAATCTTGAACATGTCACTCGGACTTGATACCAAAAAGTTGTCTCCTTTTCTTCTTTTTTTGACAAAATTTCTAAATAAAATTTTATGCAAAAACAAACTCAAGGGCCAAATCAAAAGGAGAAGAGACGTCTTGGACAACAATGAGCAGAGTAGAGTAGATATTTTTGAGGCGGAGCACATTCCGCGGGCACTTTGACACTTCTTTGGCAATGTTTGGGACAAAAAGAGGATAAATAAAGGTCATCCTGAAGGAAAAAGATGACATTCCTTAATGAGGAAGGATGTCATCTTTTTTTATCCCCACGTTTCATCTTGGTTCTAGGACTTTTTATCGCATTTTAGAAGGTGATTGCAGCATGTTTGAGCAAGTTAGACCACCTGATTCTCTTGGTCTGTCCTGTTGAAAAAAACCATTTGTAGTTTTGCGCAGTTCACTGAAATAATTGCTTTGTATTTTACTTTTATTTAAATTTAATAATTCAGTTTTTAAGTTCACCCCTTCGCTGGTAGAACATAATCTCAAACTTTGATGACCACTGAAATTATTTTTAAGTTTTAAATTTACAATTTAAAGAGTCTAACTGTGTTCAATTTACCACGACAAGCACAATAGGAAAATTTTCTAATCCTTGCAAATATCCCCAGCGCCCTTATCTTTGTAAAAAATGTGTGTTTTTGTGACTTTTAACGTTTGTTATATTTAAAAAATTTTTTTTTGATCTTTTTTCTAAAGATATCGTATTAATTAAAGAGTTTTTGATGGTGCTGATTTCGAAACGTGTCCGATTTTCTAGTCGGCGACAGTTCGGGTCAACACAAAGCCGATCGGTTAGTGGCGTAGGGCAGGTGGATGCCCAAAAAAGGTTGTAGGAAGTGCCTACGAACAAAAAGTTACATTTTTAATGTAAAGAAATCACATAAAAAACAGGGTTTTACAAAAATAAAAGGCTTGAGGATATCTTCAAGGATTAGCCAGTGTGTCCGTTATGGCATCCGCACATTGTGGACGAACACGGATCAAATCTTACCCTTTTTCCACCACAAGTGTCAATACAAATATTTTAATATAGATCTTAAAATCAATTTGTAATGCTGCAGGTCTCGGTATCTAGAGATTTTAAAATTATATTGCCTTTAATAGTTAAAAGTTTGATTTCGAATTTAATTATCATGTTTACGTACTATTAAAGTAATTTATTAAAATATTTTGCTTTGCCCTTTTTTGGACCAGCGGAGTCTCATTTGTTAACGAAATAATTTTAATCGCTTCTTTGTAGGGGCATTTTCATTGACAAATTTGTTTCCTTAAAAGCCTTACTTTATGTCACTTTATATCAAGATTCTTTAATTCCAAGGACTAAACCGTTCCGTTTTATTTTCTGATCGGAAGTATCCATCTTCCCATCGGCCCTTCAGTTTATATTAGTCATAATTTGCATTCTCTCTTGGTTTCCAATTCTTGAGACCAGAGAATCCAAATTATTAAATCTATCTGCCTTAGGCCATGTTTCCATGATCAATCAACTCATTTTAATCCCCATAAATCTCAGAAACGACCTGAGAAATTCGAGTAAACTCGTCCTTCCCTCGTCATTCCTAATCCCTTTTCTTGACAGTAATAAGCCCTTAGGGCCATTCTTCAGAAAAGTTTTCCCAAAATTAATGCCCACTTTGTTGTGCGAGAGCGGTGAGGCGTGAAGTTGAGTTATGTTGTTGTAAGTGCTGAGGAGAGAAAGGGAGTTGTTTCTTTCGCCTTTTTCGTTTCGTCAAACTTTTCCTTGGATTATAAGTACTACTTAGTAGTATCTCCACCTTAATGCACTCACAAGGAAAGTACCTCAAGTGCGACGCTCAGTTTTCTTCAAGTTTTGCACGCGTGCCAGACATATCGACCACATATCAATTCCTCAAAATTTTAGCTTGCGCTTTGCAGACGCATCAGATATTCAACGATATTCGCGGACGACAGAGTACGCGAAACGGAGAGCGGTCACAGAGAAAAACATCTTGGTCATCTTTGCTAGTTTCATGCGGAAATAATTGATGTTTTGTAGAAACGTTGATGAAAATTTTCATGCCAAAATTCGCAAAAAAGTCATATTTTTGCCGATTTTCGGTCCAAAAATCGTTTCAGCAAAGCGTGAACTAGGCGCCATATGTCATAGAAAAAATTAATCTAAATTTGTTCAAAGTTTTATCGAACTCTGAGCGCACTTGGGGTACCTCCCCTATCATTTTCCCCCTAACGGGTACACTTTTTACAAGGAAAGTACTTTTATGGGGGCTCCTACTTTTTGACGGGGCATACCTCAAAACATCAGAAAAAATGCGCTGATCAAGGATATATAAATATTAGCTGCCCATTTTAGGTTTTTAGGGGTGAAAATGCCCAAAAACTGGCTTAAATTCCCTACAAAAGGCGCAGGCATTCGAAACGATAAAAAGCGCAGTCGGTCTCTTCCTTCGGAAGAGAGCGGTGTGGCCGAGTGGTTAGTGCCGTAGTCTGGGAAACAAGAGGGAGGACGCTGCACGGGTTCGATTTCCCTTTTGGGCCGAAGTAACTTTTTTGAAAGTTGAAGGTCTGAAAAATAAATTTTTGTGCCAAACCTGATTTATTACGTCTTAGAAACTCAATAAACATCATTCTAAGCCAAAATAAAAATTGTAAACCTGTGAAAAATTGAGCGAAAAGGGGTTTATATAGGACTTTAAGTCATCTTCCGACTGAGTTTTCACCCCTAAAAACCTAAAATGGGCAGCTAAGATTTATATATCCTTGATCAGCACATTTTTTCTGATTTTTTGAGATATGTCCCATCAAAAAGTAGGAGCCCCCATAAAAGTACTTTCCTTGTTAAATGTAAAGCAAAATAATGAGGACAAATGCGGGGGGTTTGAAACGAGGATGGCCAAAAGCCCAAAGCTCAGATTCTCTCTTAACTTTATGTACGTAATCTGTTCTGTCCATGTATTTATGGGAGGTAATTTATAAATTTTGTTTTTCATACCAGTCAAAAGTGGAAAGTTCACTCTAATTGTAAGGTTAGGACTAAAATTCGTCGGATATTGTCCAAAGTAAACATAAATGTGCTGCTTTTGGATGGATTGGAAAACAATTTGTAAAAACCTCCTATACATTTCTAATTCCAAAAATTTAACCTCACGCTTTGCTGGGCGGCGAGTTATTCAACGATCTTTGCCAGCTAAACAGTACGCGAAAATCGGAGGGCGGAAAGAGAGGGAAACATTTTCAGAAAAAAACGCATTTATTTGTCTTACGCGGGAAAGCATTTTTCATGAAACAGATCCGGGACTAGTCATGCCACGAATCAAAAATATTAACAATTTTTTGCGAGCTTCGAAGTAAATTTCGCGGATTTTTATAGAACGCATACAATTTAAATGGTACAGCTTAAAAAAATTCTCAATCTTGAAAAAATTGAATCCAGGTTCCTGCCAGGTTTCGTCAAAATCATAGCGTCGTACCCTTGGTAAAAGCCCCCAGTCCATATTCGGCCGCACTTTAAGAGGCCAATAAAAATAATGATGACAAAAGAGGGTCGGGGTTTTAAATAAATCTTGATGACAACGGCCGGCAGTGCCTGAAAGTAACGCTGGTTGTTGATTAATTTTCTTGGTCTTTTTCCCCCGATATGTCAGAGAATTTGGGCACTTTTATAAACAAAATTTCAATTCTGTTCATCTTATATTGGTTTTTTTTTATTTTTATTAATAAAACTTTTTCAAACTAAATTCGCCTAGTAATTACTTTTAATTGCAGTGTTCAATCTAACTTGCAAAATATTTATTTTTTACATTGCTGTTACATATAAGAGGAAATGAGACCGATTTTGGGAGTCTGAAAAGGTGCTGAATTTTTTCCTCGTACTTTCTTTCTCATGTCGTTCTCACCTTTTCGTTTCTATTTTTTCAAAAAAATGAGGAAAGCATTTTAGCGTTTTCCTTCGGAACGACCGGTATCTTATTTCTTCACTCTTATATTTCAAAAAATTATTTTGATTTTTCCTTTTATTTCAGGTTCCTTTTGTGTGTTCTGAAAGGAATCGGGTACACATAAATGAAATGTTTTTGTTTGTTTTAATTGCTCCGTGCAAAGAATGAAAGGCCTCAGGGGGTTCGCAGTGCATCTGATAAATAGGTAAGAGCACAGAAAACAACCTTGTTCGTTGTAAAGGGCATTTGCCCCATGTCATCTACAGTCATTCGGTTGTCCTTTGATGAGCGATTAATAGTCCTTTTAGGGGATTATATACCTCATCTGATTGGTCGAAAATAAATAAGAGCAACTTGGTGTAAGCAGATTCACAAAATACGCATTGGATTCTGTATTACATTTATTTAAAAGAATAGTATTCGACGCAATAAGTAGACCGTAGAATTCCGAGGATTTGTGTAGATGACATTATCCATGCCTCAGACTCTTCAAAAGTGCAATCCCCAATGTTTATATACCCTTCGTTTCATATTTTCATTTCGAGTTTTGTTTCAGAATATGGATTCAGAATCGGGTTTCAGTCATATCCGATTCCGATTTCCTTTCAATATAAATAAATTCTGATTTTTTTATAATATTTTATACAATTTACATCAACATGCACATGTCTAAAAACTTTCGACGGAATTTTTTTTGCACTGTAATAAATTTTAAAACTCCAAAAATGATTTATTTTGTAGGAAAGAATGGTCGAAGTGCAGGTGGTTGACTCTTAATAACAGTTTTCGATAATTAATTTTCGAGTATCAATAAAATTTAAATTAAAAATTTGAACGTAAGGCTGCTGTTTTGACCTCTTAAGTAATCTATTTTATTTTTATTTTTTTATGTCGGCCTTCCTTTCGCTTCACATTTATTTCCAAAGTCATCAATCCCGGTATTGGATATGCCTTTTAATTTGTCTTTATCTCTTTGATTTATCCTTCTTTTCACCGTCTTTTTTCTCATCCGTTTTCTCATCAAAAAAAAGAAACTTTAAAAGTTGAATTCTGTTTATAAGAGAGTCCCCGGAGCTCCTTGAATAAACATAACCAGGAGTATCCAGTGCCATCAAGTGTTACCCATTTTAATTGAGTTTTCTCTAATTTGGAGATGCAAATTTTGAGAAAAAAAATATTTTTGTTTTCTCGAAGAAGCTCTCGGACGAAAGTTCGCATGGATTTGATGACATTTTTTTGTTGGCTTTTGACCTTATTTTAAATTTTACTGTATTTTTATGCTTTTTTTAAGATCCAAAGAGTCCCACTTATGAGACTTTGAGTTCCAAATTTCAGTTATAATGGGATTATCTTACAAAAAATTAATTAGATTACTCGAAGATGATGTTCAAAGTGCAATAAACACATTTTGATTAATTTTTTGAATATTCAAAGCACCAAAAGTTCCATGAACAAGATATTTTTTATATAAAGATAGTTTCATCGAGTTTCCTTCTTATTTACTAGACAAAATACCACCCAGAAGTCATAATAGTAAAACTTTTTTCTTCCCTGGGGGCTTTTAATTTGTGATTTTTAATTTAATTTCTTCCGATTCTAAGCAGAACGTGCAACTCTTTGTTTAATTTTAGTATTAAAGGGAGGTCAGCCTAATCTTTCCAGCTAAAATTCTTTGATATAAATCTTGATTTGACCAAGTATTTGTTATTTTTGCTCAAAGAGAATGACAAAGTTTGTTTCAATCGTTGTATAATAAACACTACTCTGCAAACACGCATTTCATTGTCAAATATCTTTACTGTTTTTTGGCTACTTTCTGGTTGCTTTTAGTATTTTTAATCTCGAATAAAATCCATTCTAAAGCGGCCCAAAGTCGATTGGGTTAATTGACCCTGGGGGCATGGCCCGGAACACTTGGGTTCACTTATTTAAATTCCTCTGATTAACCTTGTAATCGCGGACAAGGGCCGAGGGTGGGCTCACTTAATGCTGGATCGAGCGAATTCTTCGTTTTCCCACTCTTTCTTTTTATATTGTACTTGCAGACATGACGTTAGAATTGGATTGATGAAATGCGCTTCACATGAACATGGAGAACATCAGCAGTGCCCTCGGCGAAGATGAGGCCTTTCTGCATGAGTATGCGGAAGAAGAGGCCGCCCGGTGGACGATTAAGGTCGTCTTCTGCACCTTGTACTTCTTGTTATTTTTATTCGGAACTATCGGAAATGGGTAAGTATCCGCCGCTTAACGTCACAGTAAAGTCTTCATAAATCATCCCGTTAATCTCAATTTAAGCTATTGACGTTCTAAGAAAACGTTTTTTATTTTAAAACTTTATAAATTAGCCCAATCATTGCGAAGACTAGTGCTATTATTTCTGCACTTGCTCTTTGCACTTTGAACTCTTGAGATGGAATTGTTTCAGATGTGTGATCATCATGTTAATTAACGTCCTCAGTCAGATGCATTCTCATGGGGCCAATAAACGGATCAATTCTTCTGGTACCACGCACGTTTTCATTTACGTCCTGGGTAAGCAGTTCACGTACAGTGTCGGGCAGGATGCAGTGCTCAAAAGTGCCTTCCATTGCCTCACAGAGCCATTCCGAATGCAACCAAATGCCTCACCGAAAATAACATTTTCTGGAAGCGAGAGAGAGAGAGAGAGAGAGAGATAGAGAGAGATTATGGTATTCGGAATGTCTTGAGGCAATGGGCGTTGACCTTTGAGATTTCCTGTGTTCTGAACATTTGCTAAGATTTTCAGTTTAATCAGATATCATAATACAAACTTCAGGGCTGAGTATTGTTGATTTCCTGGTTATAATGCATCTACCTCTGTTAATCTTTGATATCATTGAGGGCCAATGGATCTTCGGCCTGGTTATGTGTAAACTGTACTGGATCGGGGAGAGTGTTAACAAACTTTTGAGTGCCTTCTTGATGTCTGTCCTCAGTTGGGATCGGTTTATGGCTGTCTGTGCACCCATCAAATCATTTCGGTAAGGAAATGCGAAGAATAATATCAGAAATGTGCAGATATCGGACAAATAATGTGGCCATACTGGTGTTGATGATTTGCACAGCAGTAGCAATGGTATTGTTGTATCCGGTATTAAAAGAGTCGACTGTTCAGAGGGTCGATAAATCGACCATGTTGAAAATTGAAGATAACGACTCTCCAGGTAAAAACGTCATCTCTTTTAGAATATAAACTGTTTATTATCAAAGTAATAATGTAAAGTTCTACTTTCAGGATCAAATACCATCCAGAAATGTGTCTTTGAGACCAATACTCCCGCCTTCATGTTATATACATTTGCGTTTGGATTTCTGATGCCGGCCTTATTGATTTCTTTCTTTTATCTGCGTGTAATACTGTCATTGCGAGAGAAAACTAAAGGCGTCACCTTGGATAAAGGTTCATCAAATGCCACTCATCGATTACACAAAGTTACTCAACGAATTGTCACAGTAGTTTTATTTTATTTCTTCTGTTGGACCCCTTATTGGATGCTCAACATTTTGCTGCAATTTCAAATCTTTGTTGTAAGTTTTTGATTACAAATTTATATCGTTTTAGACCTCCTGGTCGGGGCTTACGTTGAGTTCGGTCTTCTTCGCGGCCCATCTCTTGGTTTGTTTCAACTCGGCGGCGAATCCCGTTCTCTACGCTCTCATTAATCGAGAGCTCCGTCAACAACATGTGGCGGCATTAATGAAGCGAAGGAAGAGTAATAATATTCTCAAAACGACATTCTCCATCGACAAAATATCTCAACGTCCATCGATGGGAACACCTTATGTGGGGACTCTGCGAAGACACACGACTGTATTTGAGAGAGTCTCATCTCAATCTTCTTTGGACTCAAAAATGTTGGTGGCGTTGGAAGCCGCCAAAGCGAGATGCAGAACCAGCTTGCCTCAGAGCAAATTACATGTTTCGTAAGTCACTGATGTCATTTAGTGTACTTATATGATGTCATGTGTCTCTGTTATAAAAATTAATACCCACGAGCTAAAATCAACCTTTTTTCAGTCTAAATGGTCTCTGCTCCCTGATCACTCCAAAAACAGCCTCTACTCTCAATAATAACGATAATCTTGAACATCTGATCAAGTCCACCTACTCTCAGCCGTCGTTATCAACGGCCACTTCGTCGATGAATAGAGATGAGAGTATGATTATCGACGGAAACAGGGATGCCTTCTTGTAAATATATTTATTTTTGATTTTGGGTACTAGGTAGAGGTGTAAATAAACTGATTGACTTTTCAAGTATGTATGTACAATCGAAAAATAATAAATAAACCCCAATATAGAAGTTTTAAATCCTGAAACATGCATGCACGTATCGCTTTTAAAAAAAGCAATAAACGCATTGCCAAATTCAAAAAAAAAAATACTTATACGTTTATAAAAAGCAATGTGTACAAATATTATAATACAATTGACAGGCGGTAAAACTTATTGGCTTTGAAAACCTGCGAATGAACTCGATTGGACTCGACTGGATGAGCTTGGAAATATAAATCTATTGGTTACTTGAACAATCATTTAATCTCATTCTCCAATTCCTCAAAAGATTCATTTGTCCTCGACATTTCCGTCATTTCCCGGTCTCCAAATTCAGATGGAACTTTTAGCCTTCTAAAAAACAAGATTTTATTTAGAAGCGGATGCCCTACTCCGTGGATGGATAAGCTCCATTGACCGGCATCATTTGTCTGGGTTTTGTGGCCAAGGACAGTTTGGCAGTGCATTCATTCCAGTCGGACCAAAACTCTTCTTTTATATTGCGAAGATAGTCGATTATATTCCGACAGTCAGTCTCCATATAATTCTTGAGATCTTTGTTTAAGGGACAGTAATAAAACATGCACAAGTGCCCAAAAGCAGTGGCGTCTAACTAGAATCATATTCTTAAAGGTCATCTAGAGGTGATCATCTATGACACCGTGGTGATTGAAATAAGCAGAAAATTAACCTACCGACGTTAATTTATCGCCCATCATGTACTTTTTATCCCCCAGGAACGAAGCCAAGGCCTTTAGTTTATCTGTGGTCGCTTTCATTACATCCGCTGGCAGTTGTCGCCCAATTCCTTGAGCGCGACATCTATTTTTATACTATAATATGTAAATGATTTCACTTTAGCAGTCTGCATTTACATTTCTTTTGAGTCTTGACACCATCCACGTTCTAAATAACAGCCTTCTCCATCCATGAAAATGCCCCAAAAGTCCATCATCGGTCGATAAAAATGACAGATTCAGTGATCGATAATAAGCGGCTGACCTAAAGTATGGTAAAATAAAGTAGAGTAGACCCTCACCATGATAATGAATCCTCGATCAGAGCTTGATAAGCAATAAAGTCGGCGGATTCTTTGTCCGTGAGGTTCTCATCCATTGGAACATGGAACAAACGGGATAATTCGGCGATTATGTAACTGGTATCACACAATTGGCGACCATTTAATTCGACAAAAGGCAATTGGCCGCGCTCTGATTTGAATTTGAATTGATTGTCGATGTTCTGAAGATGAGAATTTTGGATTAAAATGACTCAAGTTTCTATTTAAAACCACAATTTTCTCCCAAAATTCCTCTTTTTATGTAGGAGAACTTACTTGATATGGGATCTCGGCCATCCTCAGCCAAGTCTCCATTTTCAGACAGTACGGCGATATACTCGGAATACATCCTGCTCGAGGAAATTGGATCAAGTAAACGCAATCCTTTTGCCAATCCCTCACAATTAATGGAACGGACATCCCTACCACAATACAACATCCGAAAAGAAACCCTAAAACGATCCCAAAGACATGTGAATTGTCATGGAGATCGCATCAGCCAGAGGGCATCGTAAAAATAATGTTTCGTTTGTAAAGAAAGGCCCAAAAAAGAGTCAAAAAAGTGGTCCAAAACGGAAACGGAAGCCATGCAGTACTTATACAACTTGGCATTGCAGAAACACACCTTCATGATAGATGACAGGGTCAGCTGAGCAGAAAATCCGCGAGCTCTATGAATTTGGAGTTATAAAAGGACAAATAAACAACAGACTATATACTAGTAATGAAACACAAAAAGGTTCGATCAAACACTATGTTCATTTATAGTCATCATTCCTGGGTTTATTCCGTGCGAGGAGCTGATGAAGTGCTGCCAGTCTGACTGCTGGCACTCGAAGTTCTTTTCACCTTCTTCCCCGCCTTTTTCCTCTTCTTTTCCACCGGTTTCTCCACATCACTTGCCTTCACCCTGGTTTCCATAAGACGCAACTTATGGGCCATCAAATAAGTTGCATTTACAGTCTAAAAACGATACTTAAAAATTAAAACCAATCAGATCAAAACTTGAATTTAAGAAACCTAAAACGGAATGAACATACATCCGAGAGGACATGGATAATATCGACGGCATTTTTGTATCCTTCTTCCTTCCCTGGATGTTCATGAACATAGATAACCCCATAGCTCTGATCCAAACAACCATAAAACACCTTATCCAATAACATTAAGGCCAATTTCTTTTCGACCCGCACTTGAGGAAGCCCGATTTTATCAGCAATGAATTTGAGTTCAACAACTTTGTACGGCTCGATCAGACGACACAATTCCCTCTCGATCATTGACTCGGATAAAGTTGAGAAATGAGATTTGACCACTCGATCCTCCATCAACTCTTTCTTGTAGGTCTCGAAAGCCTGAAAATATTTATGACATTATTTAGGACTGTAATTAAATCACAGATAAGCTACAGTAACCTTACCGCCAAAAATGTCTTCAGGACTCTGCTGTAAAAGGCCTTCCCGACTTCTCTCATAGCCTCCAATTCTGACCCGAAATATTTGATTGCTTGTTTGCCCGTCAAGATCTTATCTATTGCCTCAGGCTCATTGAGCATAATCTTGGAAAGACACATGTACTTCAAGGCCTTGGTTCCCATCACTTTATCCTCGGCCTGATCCGCGTTCTCAAAGGCTTCGTAGAAGTAAGAAAAGGCCGTTTTAAAATCATGGTCTTCTGCAGCATGGAGAATACCCGATTGGAGGTCGAGTTCGGACTAAAATTACATTACGATTGACTACAAAGTATGTAAATTTAAATAGCAGATGTACTGGGATGATGACTTGCTTGAGTTTTTGGATTCATATACATAGCATTTGCAGTCGTCTTAGCTCCAACCAAGGCTGATTTGGCTCTGGAAAGATTGCCCAAACAGAATAAACTCTTGCTTTCCTCGATCTGAACTTCAACGAGGACATCTTTATCATCAATCTTCTTAAGTTCCTTGATTAAAGTCAGCGCTGCAAGTAAAGAAACTACTGTATAACCCTTTAGAGCAATTTGGGTAAATGAATTTCTCTATTATTTATCTCCTTATCTTAAACTAGTTTTAACAAAAAAAACTCACCCAGAGAATTGGCGTCTGTATATCTACCAATGTCATTGTAAAGACGAACCAATCTTGCCTCGAGGGTTTGTCTCAGATAAACTCTTTTCTGCTCTTTCGCCCATTCAACGCATTCTTTGCAAAGATCCACCTGAATTAAGTGTAATCTGTATGATTGAAAGCCTACTTTAATCTGGGCATCCTCATCAATAACGAGGCTGTAATCGACCAGAGTTCTCACCAATTTCCCGGCCTTGGCCTTTCCCAAAACAGCCAAGAAGGGGCGAGTCGAGAGGATCAGATTTTTCAACTCTAAAATAACAAGATTACGGTAACGCTCTTACCCTCCGTATTCTTTTCACCGCTCAATTTTTTCCCCACCGCCAGAACAGCGTCCTCCCGAGCTTTCACTTGAACTTCGTCGTTAGCTTTGATCGGAATGGAAACTAATAAAAATTAGAAAGAAAAGAAGGTCGTCCTACAGAGTTTCTTCAGCTCTTCGACCGTCAGATTGGCTAGACTAGTTTGGGAATTTTGAGTGGGCGGGGTAGCGGCCTGAGAAGATCGAGACATTACTTGACCGGACATGATCCAAAAACAGCGGAAAATGAAAGCCAATTTAATTTTTTTCCATGTTTTTATTTTTTGAAAATTTGCGTAATTCTGAAAATTCGGCCGGTAACTCACGATCAGGATAAAAAACTAACGTTAGTAATGATAAAATCAGAAAAGGTGGACATATTGCAAGTCTTCGCCAATTCTCCGCCGAGCCTTCGCCGAGTGTCCGCCGGCCATCCAACGGCTTTGCCAGGCCTCGTAGGCACTTACCACACTGACCCTGTTGACCCGAACTGTCGTCGACCCGAAAAGTCGTGACGCGGAAAATTCAGAATGTGAACCTTGGGAAAAGATATTCTTTGAATTTCTAAAATCTATGAAACCTGACTAAAGTTGCAGACATTTAAGTGTGGCTATCCATATTTCGTTGGAGAAGTAAACTGTCAACCAAAGATATCGATTGCATTACATCGTCATCGTATTTTATCCATTTCGAAATGACTCAACCTTCCCTCCAATTCTGCCCAACCCTTCCTTTTTCATTGTGAAGGTAGACTCAGCCTCAATCCGCATTAATATTATCACTATACTCTGATAACATCTTCCAACACCTTTTTTCCTTGTTTCATTCCCAAAAATGGCTGGTGCCCCGGTCATATTTTCTGTTATTCTTCTGTTTCTTGCCCAAAAAAACTTTGCAATTACCTCCAAACCCACTTATTATGTGTTGCCGATGTTGGAGAATGCTACGGCCGAATTGGTAGGCGATTATGGCTACCTCCGACAAGCTATTGATCCGTTGATTTCAAACACACAGGCAGTCATGGGGAGGTGAAAAAAGATTTTGATGACGAAATTACACGATCCCCTTATTGAGTATTAAAAAATTAAATTATTTCAGAGATTCGATGAGTTATTTGCTCCCGGATTATCGCACAGTAACTCCTTGTACGATCGGGACTTCCAGCAGTTGTGCTGTTGCCCAGATCCCCAATTCAAGTCTGTATTTGTCTTCAGGCAATACCTACCAAATGATGGATAAGTTCATTCGAATCCTCCAAGATGCGAATGCCTACAGTATCCAGAGATCCGAGTTTTTGATCTTCACAAATATTAATTGCAGTAATGTAAGGAATGATAATATGTATCCAGATGTCTACGATATGTTTGTGACCAACTTTGAGAAGACGTTGAATACTATTAAGAGCAGTAATTTGCATACTTACATCTTCTGGAATCGAGTGAGTCCTTCAAAATTTAAATTATTTTTTGGTTCCATGTGATCATGAGAACCTTACTTTAGCTAGAAACAATGTCCGGACCATGCAAAAACCTTAAGGATTATAAAGACACAAAGCTAGTCTATATCTCCCAAACCAATTGGAATATGACCGGATTTAAGGAGGAAGTAAAGTAGGTTAAAATTGGAGATGAAGATGTTGGTCTAGGCAAAAGTTTGTGGAAGAATGGGACGCCACAGGTTCCGGAGGAGCTCTTTCTCCGGAAGAAGAAGAAGGTAACTTTAAATCGTATCACAATTTTTTTGACAATCCTTTTTTAATTTCAGGAGGTTACGCGGCGGTGATTGGGGGATCTGTCGGCGGGTTTGTTTTCCTCGCCCTTACCGCCCTCGGCATTTACTTGTATCGAAAACGGAAACGGGAGCAAAAATTAAGGTAACTTTAGTTGTTTCAATACTTCTTTGCTACCTCTCATTTTTTCATTTTCTAATTTGAAATTTGCAGAGAATTCGCGGAATCCCACAAACACTCTTCTAAAAAGGATACTGTCAATATAAAGACCGATGATAGATACGAAATTGACAACAAAGACCTTACTTTCGACTATGACATCATTTTGGGGTCTGGAGTTTCTGGAAAAGTTTATAAAGGGAGTCTGGACAGATTTAATGTGGAAACAAGGGAATTTACGAAGGTCGAGGTCGCAATTAAGATCGCTCATGTGGTCGCTAAACAGGCTGTTAAGTGAGTATTCTGTTTGCAATTAAACTTTTATTAGAACTACTAAGACCATGTAACATTATACCTTCCAGAAATGATATGTTGCGCGAGATAAGTCTAATGAAATGTCTGAGCAACCATCCCCACATCCTCCAATTAGTCGGATGTATCAGTGATCCCTCAAATCCCGTACTGGCAACTGAATATTGCGCCAATGGAGATCTTCTTCATGTCCTCAGAGAGCATGCTTTGCATTTTTGGGTAATTATTGTAATCAGAAACTGACGTCATTTGCAGGATCCAGAGCCTTGTCGTCGAGTAAAAATCTGTTTATTGATGGCCGATATCTACAAAATTGCAGAACAAATCGCCAGTGCTATGGTAAGCAAAGAAAAATTAAAATTAAAAAAAGCTTTGTAATCACAACACCGGAAGGCTCAAACTGTTCTTTAGGGTTACATTGCCAGTAAAAAGTACGTCCATCGGGATCTGGCAGCCAGAAACGTCTTTATAACGGCTGAAATGGAGATAAAAGTTGGGGACTTCGGATTGTGTAGACAATATCAGGAAGATTTTTACACACAGCAAGCAGGGAAGCTGCCGATTAAATATATGGCATTGGAGTCGCTTAAAGACTTTAGTTTCAGCGAACGGACGGACGTGTAAGTCTGGTAAAGATGTAATGATTTGTGATCTAACAAGTAAGGCAAGACAATAAGAGTTTCCTCGTTTCAGATGGTCTTACGGCGTCTTATTTTTCGAAATTTTGTCTGGTGGAGAAAAGCCCTACTCCGATATCCAGAATGAAGATATGGTTTATTATTTAGAGAACGGGAGAAGACTCCAATTACCGGAGCAAACCCCAGCTGAATTGCAAGTTTTTATATATTTTCTCACCCACAACTACATACATTTAAAACTCGCTTTTTACGAATCTGAAGACCAAATGTTTGTAAGAAAAGTGTGGTTCAAAACAAAGCATTGAAAGCGTAAACCTTTCAAAAAAATATAACTTTGAAAAAAGTGTTAATTTTGATGTAACCCTGTTATAAATGGAAATGTTTTTTTATACTATTTTCTAAAAATCTGAGATCAGAATTTACACGTTTTCAAAATTACACTTATTAAGAAAAATCTTGTCACTTACATTTATACTTTTACACTTACATACAACAAACTTCATTAACACTTTTTCAAAGTTTTTGAAAAATTTACACATGCAATACTATTTTTTGAATCACATTTTTCTTACAAAAATGTTAGTGAAACGAAAGTTCCTGAAATCTTTCCGTTTTAGTCTGCCCAGTTATTTTTTTCTTCCTTGTGGGCGAAAAAATTGAATTTTCTCGGAACCCCTCTTGTATGTTTGATTCGTTTCGAATCATTATGTATTCCTTTTGACGATGAGGCACAAAAAAATTGCGACGTTTCGTCTGTCAGCCGGTAAAAGCACGATTCGGATGTCGTCGTTGGGATCCTTTAGCCGATAGTTCCATTTCTCAATTATATTTTTATAGATCCGATCTGATACATCGATGTTGGCTGGTCGATCCACTGGAAAGGCCAACCTTTGAGGAGCTTACAAAGAAAATGAGGGAATTCCAAGGCCTTAGTCCCATTTCCGATGACGTCATCGCAATGGAAAACGAGACAGAAGAAGATGAGGAAGAAAAGGAAAGGGATGAGTAAACATTAATTGTATTGCCATGCACGGTTATTAATGATCTCAATCTCGATGTCATAATATCTTCTTGTTAATAAAGTTTCACAAAGATGACGTCACTTCGCTTACATTTTTTAAAAATGACTTAATTAAATCTTATCTTAAAATCTTTTACAAAAATAAAAGCAATAAATTATGTCTTATTTTTAATCTTCCACTTTTCTGGACGGCAGCTTTTATTTCAAAAGAAGAAACAAGCCCTGCAGACACTAATTTATCATCACAATGGACTGATAACAATAATTTTGTTCAAACGCATAATTCCTAATGAAAACAATATTATTTCTTATTCTTTTGCCAATTGTAAAGAGTCTACAATCAGGCCCAACTTATTACATAATTCCATTGTTAAACCATGAGACCGTAGATGACGATATTGTAAATTTAACTACTGTCATCAATGAAGTCGCCGAGGGAACAAAGATTGTTATGGAGAGGTAAGGGACTTCAGTATTTCTGGCTTAATTGTTAGGACCTCTATGAGTTACTTGCTTCCTAACTACAAAAGCCTTACTCTTTGTTCAATTGGGGGTTCCGGCAGTTGTAAAATCAGTCATCTTCCTCAGAAAAGTATGTGCCTGCAAAGGGGAACCTACTTTAATATATTGGATAATCTACTAAAAATATTACAAAACGCTCCATCAACGGATATTAGAAGATCTGAATTGGTTTTTTTTATCAGTGTAAGCTGTGATGAGGTTAAGCAAAGCACCTATCCAGATCTGAAGGACATATTTGACACAAGATGGGATGTCTTGGAAAAGAAGATAAACCAATTGGAATTACATACCTACATCTATTGGGATAGAGTAAGTCGTCATCTTACTATATAAGGTGGTCAAAGGGTTTCCTTCGAAAGAGACCCCCGAATCGGGGGTCTCTTTCGATGTTTGCCGAAAAGGTCAAAAATAGGGTAATCGACGGCGTAGATGCCAAAAATCGTATTCGTTTTTGCTGATTTTGACTTTTTTCTTAACTAGTAGCGCTAAAAAGTAATTTTTCGAATTTTTTCTAAAAATACTCGATTTAGGAGTAATCGATGGTGTTGATTTCGAAAATGGTGATCGTTTTTTCTATTTTATTTTACTATTATAGTAGTGTTAAAAAATAATTTTCGATGTATTTCACATCCCTACTGAAACATCTTGTTTTTTGTGCACAGCTAGCTCGACTCTCTGGCAAACCTGTTTTAAGAAAAAAGTCAAGATCAGAAAAAACGAACATCATGTTCGAAATCAGCGGCAGAAAAAACGAATATGATTTTTGTAATCTACGCCATCGATTACCCTTGGGGTCTATTTCAAATCCGGGGTTTCTTTCGACTTGCATGTTGTTGTCACACATAAATATTACGTTAATAATCCCTCAGCTCTCATACACTGGGATCTGCAAACGTCCGATTGATTACGGATACAAACAATTTGTTTACATGTCTTACGCTAGCTGGAATGGAGACTTGTTTATACGGGATGCAATGTAAGTCACTAACTGTTTTAACATTGCGCCAATTTTACATTACATATTTACGAATATAATAAATTTAGAAACAAATTTGGTGATGAATGGAATGTAACAAAAAGTAATGACAAGCAGAAACCAAAGGAGAACGGTAAGAGATTACGGAAGGGATAAAGTAATGGAAAACGTTTAGAATTCGATTACAAGGTTTTATTTGTGATCGCCGGAGGAGTTTTGGCATTAGCCATAATTGGCACATTATTATTTTTATTCAATAGAATGCGGCGAAAAAATAAAATTACGTAAGTTTCCGATTACAGTAGATCACTAATAGTAATAGGAAGTTTGCAAAGACCCATCAAACGTCCGCCAAGAGGTATCACATAAAGGAAAATGACAAGTACGAAGTAGATCATGAAGATTTTAAATTTACGTATGATATTATGCTCGGATGTGGGGTTTCTGGAAAGGTTTATAAAGGAATTGTGAACAAATACGAGCCCGAGAGTAAAGAATTCTCAAAAATAGATGTCGCCATAAAGATATGTCATGTTTTTGCAAAGAACGAAATGAAGTAAGGCTTTCTCTTTACATACTTTACACAGGGTGTCTCAAAAAAGGAATGTTTTTATGCTATATTTTATTTAACAACTTTAACAAAACTAGCAATGAATCAGAAACATTGAGTTTTATAACAAATAAATTCAAACAGTTTCAAAGGGCACCACGACATTTCCGGAATTTGGACACTTCCGGAATGGCGGAATAGTGACACTTCCGGAATGGCGGAACAGTGACACTTCCGGAACCGGGGAAAAATCAAAGAAGAGGCTTAGACCTGCCATCTGAACCACCTGACTGGATTTATTGTTATTAATCTCTAAAATTTTGTTATTTTTTTTTTCTGATTGTTACTTTTTTCTTAAGCAGTAGTGTTATAAAGTAATTTTTTGAAAATTTTCTAAAAATACTCGATTTAGGGGTTTTCGAAGGTGCTGATTTCGAAAATCATGTTAGCTTTTCTCTTTATAGTACTATCTGGTACTATACAGTACGAGGTGAAAATGTGGCTTTTGGCGTTAATGGTGTTGTTTTGATGCTTGGTACTCCTCAAAAACACGTTTTAAATAATTGGTACTGTTTAGTACTGTCTGGTACTATGTAGTACAAGGTAAAAATTTGGCCTTTAGGCGTTAGTGGTGTTGTTCTGTTGCTTAGTACTCCTATTTTCACCATGTACTACATAGTACCAGACAGTACTAAACAGTACCAGTTATTTAAAACGTGTTTTTGAGGAGTACTAAGCATCAAAACAACACCATTAACGCCAAAAGCCATATTTTCACCTCGTACTGTATAGTACCAGATAGTACTATAAAGAGAAAAGCTAACATGATTTTCGAAATCAGCACCTTCGAAAACCCCTAAATCGAATATTTTTAGAAAATTTTCAAAAAATTACTTTATAACACTACTGCTTAAGGAAAACTAGTATAGTTCAGAAAAAATGAACCCGATATTCGAAATCAGCAACCTTGAAAACCCCTAAATCGAGTATTTTTAGAAAAAAATCGAAAAATTACTTTTTAATACTACTACAATCAGAAAAAAAAATAACAAAATTTTTGAGATTAATAACAATAAATCCAGTCAGATGGTTCAGATGGCAGGTCTAAGCCTCTTCTTTGATTTTTCCCCGGTTCCGGAAGTGTCACTGTTCCGTCATTCCGGAAGTGTCACTATTCCGCCATTCCGGAAGTGTCCAAATTCCGGAAATGTCCTGATGCGTTTCAAAGAGGTTTCCTTTGGTTTCGAAACAAAACAACTCCAAAATTCCCTTTTTTTGACATCCAAAACAAACATGTTAACCAACGGAGATCTGTAGAAGTTAAAAAAAAAACTTATTTACCTAGAGCGTCAGAATCCACGCACAAAAAACATAATTTTTCGAGACCCTGTAAATTTACATTCATTTAGAATGTTAGAATGTTTCGAATTCAGAAAAGATATGCTCCATGAGATCAGTGTGATGAAGATCCTAGATAACCATCCCAATATCATAAGTCTAGCGGCTTGTGTCAGCGATTTAATCAATCCGATCATCGCAACAGAGTATTGTGATCATGGGGATCTACTGCACATGTTGAGAGAGCATCCACGACATTACATGGTACGAATAAAGAATATTGTAAATGACTTTCCAGAGTTGTAAACCATGTGAGAAGACGGAGACATGCCTCTCGTTGTCGGATATTTATCGAATCGGCGCTCAAATTGCTGATGGAATGGTAAGATTAATAAAAATTTTGCCAAAATTTTAATTTTCAGTCATACATAGCACAAAACAGATTCGTCCATAGAGATCTGGCCGCCCGAAATGTCCTCATGGCCGGGAATAATGTCCCCAAAATAGGGGACTTTGGTCTTTGCATTAGTTACAGTACCAAACCATCTCCCCGAGATGCAATCAAGCTGCCAATTAGGAGCCTGTCCATCGAATCTCTGAAAGATTATATTTTTTGCGAAAGGACTGACGTGTAAGTAATCGAAACAGATACAATATTGCACAACAGATGGGCTTACGGAGTTTTATTCTTTGAAATCCTAACTGGAGGAGAGAAGCCCTATTCTGAAATTGATAATACCAAATTGTTACAATATCTGGAAAGCGGAGAACGTCTCAAATTGCCTGAAGATGCTCCTAAAGAACTGTAAGTAAAATTTTCAACAGTTTGAACTTGTAGACGCGACCTTATCTATGAATGCTGGATGACGGATTCAAGTGATCGACCATCATTCAGGGTGATAAGAGGGGAAATGGAGGGATTGTTGGAACATTCTTTGAAATCAGTTGGATAAATATTTTGGCGAACTTGTTTTTGATCTTTGTCCTTTTCCAAAACTAGGATCAAAAATTTGCATATTTTTCAAATTTTCCCACGGAACGCTCGGCTAACACTGGTATAAAAATCATGAACGGTCTCTCTTTGTGCCAAATCAGTCCACTTCATTTGCGATCAGCGGTTGTCAAGCATGGCAAACGGGAAGAGAAAACCCAATCAAAGGACCAGTTCCAAAGGAAAGGGAGTCAAATCGAAAGGTGGACGATCTGAGTGCTCCAGGATAAGTGAGGTCAGAAGCAAGGTAAAGAGGAAGCCCATCATCATCGGCGGTAGTACACCTGTAAGTTCATTGGGTGCCAATTCAACCTAGGAATTTCGTAGATTCAAAACAATTGATCAACCCTGTTACATTTTAATTTTATCTTTCCTCAGGCAACTCCCAGTCGGGAGAGGTTGGAGACAAGAGAGCAGGTAGTTAACTGCCGGAGAATCGTCGATTACATCATGGATATGGGGATCGATAAAATGGCAAAGGAGTATAACACCGAGATCAAGCCGTTTGTCCCTCCAACCACTACCAAATTGGCATTCGAAGCCAATCCGGACAAGAATCGATACCCAGGTAAGTCTTTACTTGTACTCTTTCTTTGATTGCTTTTCTGCTGATACTAGTCTCTTGTTCATATAATTTTTAGATGTCATCTGCGGAGACCAGGACCGCGTGATTCTGAGCTTGGATGATGGCGTTGGAGATTACATCCATGCCAACTTTGTCAAAGGTTGGCCTCTCGTGAACCCTTTCATCTGCACCCAGGGCCCAACGGAGAACACTGTCATCGACTTCTACCGGATGATCACGCAACAGAATGTGGGCAACATCTTCATGCTATGCGAGATAATTGAATGCAAAAAAGTAAAGTGCTATCAATATTGGCCAACGGAAGAAGCGGTTGATCTGGAGTTTGGAGGTAGAGTAACTTGATCAGTAATCACCTTTTTTAGGGTTCAAAATTCACTTGAAGGAAGCAAAGCGTGAGAACCGTACCGTCACCTCTGATTTAACCATCACCTGTCCTAGAGGCGTCTTCGACGTCAAGCATTATTTGTGGCTTCAATGGCCGGATCGTGGAATTCCCGACACCACCAAATGCCCTCTTCGTCTTCTGAAGCTTTCCCGGAAAGAGAGTCGTCCCACCGTTGTCCATTGCTCTGCTGGAATTGGCCGGACTGGCAGTCTTGTGGCCATTGAATATGTGATCCAATCAATTATGGCGTTATCCCCTAAGTCGTTCCCGGAAATGATCAAAGACGTCAGGTGTGAGTATTTATTTAATTATTGTTTTATTTCCTAACTGCGTTCTTTCGGGTCCCATGTGTCCTTTGAGCGTAGGCCATAGTAAAGTTTCTTTACACCATGTATATGGACAAAAACGTTTTCTTTCAGCCCATCGAGTCTTGGCTGTGCAAACGGATATCCAGTATGTCTACATTGCCCGTTGTGTCCTCCAGTTTTACGACGCATACGGGTAACTGAATATTCGGGTGGTGAGAATTCGGGTGAGCGCACTCGGGTGATCGCTTATTCGGGTGCTGCAAATTCGGATGGCGTATATTCGGGGTGATGGATTTGTGGAGTGGGTGAATTTTCGGACGATGAAAAAATATCGTTCTTCCTAAATACGACATAATACTGTAAAAATTTTGTAATTTGGTTTTTTTTTTGTATTTGATTCATTTTTAAGGTTTTCGAGCATGAGGAATCCGAAAATGAAGCCCGTTTTGCTCAAATATCAATGTTAGCAATATTATTATGGTTATAATTCTAAAAAGATTACATCTTAAAGTTTTACAATATTATTTGCAGAAAAAGTTGGTATTTACTGTGATTTTTGAACGCAATAGACTTCAGCTTCTAGACAAGAAATGCGTAATTCTTGTTTCAAATTGCGTATCATTGCGCAAATTTCTGCTCTCTCCCCGTGAAGATTTTTTTCTTTTTTTTTCTCTGCTCAGACAGCCTAACAGACAAGAGACGGCGGTTTCTGGGCACAACACCCGGTTTGATGTGTATGTCACCATCCTTATATTGTTAACATTGATATTTGAGTAAAACGGACTTCATTTTTTGGATTCCCCATGCTCGAAAACACTAAAAATGAATGAAATTGCAAAAAAAGTTCACAAGTTACGAAATTTTTACAGTATTATGTCATATTTAATAAAAATGAGAACAATATTGTCTTCATCACCCGAAAAATCGCCCACCCCAAAAATCCATCACCCCGAATATAGCAGTCTGTCGGGAAAATAACGGCGGGTCGTCGCAGCAAATGTTTCGCTTCGTCGAAAAAATGTGCCGTCGCGCACGAAATCTCCAGCTTCAGCAGCCGTCGCAAAGCGATCATGAGCGATTCCGAGGCGCGACGATCCGCGACTGATATGCCGCCCGAATTTGCACCACCCGAATAAGTGACACCCGAGTACGGTCATCCGAATTCTCACCACCCGAATGCTCATAACCCAAATATTCTCGACCCCTACAGCCCAGAAGAAGAAAGTGTACTTTACAAATTTGATCATCCGCCATCAAAAAACGAAATAAAATGATTAACTCGCCCATCAGCCATTTGAAGATACTGTTCGCTACAATAAATTTATCGAGCAGTCTTTACTATGTTTCGATAAATTATAAAATGATTAACTCGCCCATCAGCCATTTGAAGATACTTTCCGCTACAATAAATTTATCGAGCTGTCTTTATTATGTTTCAATAAATTATTACTACGGCTGTATAACATATTCTGTTCGGTCTCGTATATACAAGAAGAATCCCCAGTATAGCCCATTGAACCCGGAAAAGACCAGAGGGAATATTAGTCGGCTTATATTATCCACTTGGAACGCTTGTTTCGCAAATTCTAGGCCAATCTGGAGTTCCTGAAGACGCGGACTGTCCACTTCTTCGTCCATATTGTCCTTGTTGTCCGCGTAATAGGAGATGGTGAGTCGAGAAATGGCGGTCGTATCGTCGTGATCACTGTTGATGGTGGAGATCGTTGACCAAGATTCTTTCCGGGAGACTAAAAATAGATTGATAGGGTTAAAAATCGTGCTTATAGTCAACATCACGTATTGCCCTTACGTTTCTCTCTTGCCAAAGACTGCGCCATTCTCTCGAATTTATCCGCCTTTCTCATATAAGTGTTCACCATGGCCAACTCTACCAAAGTTCCGAAGACCATAACCATGCACACACCGAACCACCAATCCAGAGCACTCACCGATGAGGATTCCGGAAGCCCGTTCTTCACTCCCATGTGCTACAATTAAAGCCTCATGGTGTTGAGAATACAAAACAATATTGTTTTAATGAAGAACGACTCACCAAAGTAAAAAGAGATAACAATGTGGTAAACCATAAAGTTATCCTTGCATGGACGGCTCTTCGATCTGAAATCATGATACAGTTATTGGTAATAAAGGACAAGCTTTTACCAATCCAGAATGAGACCCATGAGATCATCACAATCAGCGCGGAGGGCAGATAACTTTGAACAACGTGATATGCGGCACTCCTTTTAAGCAAAATGTTTGTGGACAGACAGCTAAACGGAGCCTCGCGGTAATTTTCCTCTGTAATTGCGTATCTGTAAGTGCCATCACATTGGGAAGAGGAGATGCTTTCGATATAGAACTCGGGTAGATGGATGTGAGTACTGTATCTGATGGGATCCTCGTCAAACCATGTGATGTTCACTTGGGAAGCAATGTAAGCATCTAAAATAATATATAATAAATATATACAGTTTTGTTCTTACAACTAACAATCTTCAATTTGCACAACTGTCTGTCCATGGGATATGTTTCCAGATCAAAATTACACGCAACAGTGGCAGTTATTCTAAAAAATATGGAGAATAATTGTAATCATTCGCAATCATTACGTCACTTGCCTTCCCGAATACGCAAGATGACCATTCTCATCGATAAATATACTAAAGTTTGGAACCAAAACATCATGAAAATTGGAGATGCGGGAGTTTGAAAGATAAAGATCGGGTATCCTAAAGTAAAACAACAACAGTTATTCCGCGCAATAAAGAAAAATAATAAAAAAAACTTGCCAAATAGACCTAAGAACCTCTAGATCGGTAATCATCTGATATTGAGGGAATGTGTGACTTAAATTCCTATCCTTCCAGGACATATACAAGTAGAAGTCAGCATCGAATGACATTTGACTTGATTGGAAAGAACCTACACTTTCAATGTACATTCCCACCTTGACTGGAACTGGCCCATCATGAGGTTGTCTTGGGGGATATAGATTATTCAGATGCTGGCGAATAAAATTTGCAGCTGAGCATCTAAAAAATATTATTTTTGACATGTCAAGAACAACAATTTTATCCAGAAAGATATTTTTAGTAGTAATCATTTACTTATAAATAAAAACATAAACCATCCACCATTTCAGGAACATCCTTTACTCGCAGCTTAATGTCAGCAACATATACATTCCGGTTGATAGCGCTCAATTTCCGCCCTGAAAGAAGGAAAGATTTGGGTTTTCCGCCTCGAAAACCATTTTTGGCAAATCCTCGGGAAAAACAAAAAGAAGAGCCGGTTCAGCGGATTCCCTTAAGCGTTAGGATGGCCAAGGAAAACAGACAAAAAATAAAAATACAAGGTCGTCCCATAGGGAATGACGGATAACGGAGGAAAGGGGAAGACTGAGGCTTTCTCAATAGTTATCGACATGCAAAGGAACGTGACAACACTCCCAATCTCGGTCATGGAGCTTATTATATAAGCCACATGTAAACAACAGTGTTTTGTGGCCAGAGGAACAAATTCTTACTCCTACTATACTTCCTTTAGTTCCAACAGAATGCATTTGATGGCCATTCCAATGGCATCATTTGTGCTCAATGCGAGGCCGTTCCCGATTATTTCCCCTAAGCCCAAGTCTATTGAGAACGCAGAAGGAACAAATTTAGTTCATTTCTCCAGTAAAATGCGCCCTTATTTCAAAATTACCGCACTTTTCAACGTAATGGCCCGCATTAGAGTTTCACTTGATTTACAGCCTGTCATCGTATTCCTCCTATGACTTCCCAAGAAATTAATTGTCAAACTAAAAAAGCCATAAACAGAACAAGTAAGCCTTACACGTATTCCTTCCACCGAATTGGAATTCGGGAGTCCAGAGCCAAACTTCCTCTCCTGTTAATTTGGTCGGAAACATGAAAAATATCGACGAGAACAGAGAGTACAACATCTTGTGCGGAATCTTCTCGCTGAATGACTATTAATTAATGTCCAGATGTTCAGCCGGGATCATTAAAAATAAATTCAAGGCATTTTCCGTAGTATATAATATATAGGATTGTTAGTTTGACGGATTTTTTCAATATGACGTCAACTTGACGTCATGTTTTGCTAAATTTACAATTCTGATATACGAAGCTTTCAAACCCGAGTTTAGCATAGCCTATGATGAATACCGGCAATATTACTCAAAACTAGATTTTCCTATAAAAATTTTCCAAAGAAGTTCAATTTGACCATCAAAATGAGATAACAGTTTGACATGACGAAAATGACGGCAATTTCACAACGTAATTGACGCGTCAAATTTGACGACTTAACGATCAACCCTAATATAATATAATATGTAGACAAAAAAAATTACGCAAACAAAATTGTTTCATTAGAAAAAATCTCGATATTAAATAACTATATAACAGATCACAATTAGACGGCGGTTCGATGAGCCTTCTGTACAAGTTTAATCTTAGCGGGAGTGGCTGTCTTCATCTCTCTGACCGGTCTGGGGAGCAATTCATTGATGAGGGTCAACTTCAGAGAGTTGAATTCCCTGCTGAAATTAACTCTTTTTATCAAATTCTCCGAGGGTTTGTCTTCTTCGTTCACTTCGACTTCATGATTTAACGCAACAGACGAAACGGCGTCAAAGACATCAAGCTAAAAATATGTAATATTACATCTTTATAGATGAGGAGATCCACCTCAAAAACAAAACTTACATCATAACACATTTGGCGAACTCGAAATTCGAATCCACCTCTGATGGCAACAGCTCGACTCGCTTGGGAAAGGGCCACAAAACAAACCTCAGGGAATTTCAAGACGCTTTCGGACTAAAACTTTCAGCTGCAAAGAGAGAGATCACCACTTACCACATCTCCAAGCACAACCTTGACACACTCAAATTCGATCATCTGGAGGTTGGGAAATACTCCAAAAATGGCAGTAAGAACATACTCAAGCTGTGCAACATCGATCGGAAAGGTGTTCACAAATTTTAATTCCTGGACAAGAGGATTGTAGGTTTGAAGACGGCAGAACGTTAGCACCTAAACCAAAAATAACATTACGTAATTTTAACTCACATTTAAAACTGGCGACGCGTTGACAATCAGGGAGTTGGTCCGAAAACTGAACAGCTCATTCAAGTCTAGAAATACTGCATCAAAACCGCAAAGACCTACCATCAACCCAAGATACGTTTGTAACTCTTAATTCGGAGAGTTTCAACGTTCGAACAGAAGAATTCTTGAGAAGAAGAGCTGAACAATCAAGCGATTTCAGAGATTTGTCAAAACTCTGGATCAATTCGATACCCAAAACATTGTTGATTGGAATAAGGGGGATTGATAAATGCTCGATATCTAAAAAAACGCAATCATGAAATAAAGAACAAACATACTTACATGACATCAAAAGCAAACTTACCCTCAAACATGTATGACATTTCGTCCAAATTGTTAAGGTCCTCCTTTTCCACTCCTTCAACAACCAAACGGCCAATCCTTGAAGGAAGAAAGCCAATCTCATATATTACACCGCAGTTCAGACTCCACATGGGCACCTCTTCGAAATAAGCAGTATAACAAAATCCCCGAGTAACAATAGTCATCTTGTGTCCTTTAGACTTCACACATTTTTTGAACTTCTCATTAACTAGCTAAAATCTGTCAGTATTCTAAAACTTGATACTCACAGCCAAACGGAAAGGATAACGATCATTCAGGGTTCTCGATTTGAAGAAGGAATTGGAGAACTCTTGACGTTTCTTGCGGGACATCTCTTCGAAATGCAAGATAAATGCTGTTAAGGCCCCGTTGAACAGTTGCAACGGACATGGAGTTATAAACGGGCGATCCTACAAAATTAAACAAGAACGGCTGATGCCTAAAACAATATAAGCAAAACCGAAGATGACACCGCATAGACATAAAAGCAATACAACTAAGAGGACATGCGCTCGTTCCCTACATTTTCAGCTTGCACCAGTTCGAACAGTTTCCGTCCAGCATTCCATCGAGCATCTCGAATTTGAACTCCCAGGGCCTCAGTCAATGCACTGGCCACGGTCATGGCTCTTGGTGAAGAAGAAGACGAAGAGGTTGATGAATAGAACATCTTTCCTGGCCGGTTGACAACAGCGAGAAGTTGTCGCCCAAAACAAAGTTTCCAAATTATCCAACTTCTTTCTCTGGCATTCTGCTTCGCAACGAAAAATATTGCGGTTAGATCCAAAACCAATTTACATATTTGGAAGTTATGAGTTATTGAGTAGGAAGTTTCTAAAAACGCCTGTCCATCAGAGAATATATTCGTTTATATAAGTTAAGACAACATCTAATCAAATTTACATCCAGGTCTGGCCTTTCTGCACAAGACTTTGCAAGAGTGGACGGCAGATCCGACTTGAACCACTTCAGTACCTCCTTGACCGAAACAGGCTCTCTCGTTCTTGATGTCCACCTTTCCAAGGATCTCCTTTCCATTGACCATGATAACACCAGGACTGATGTCTCCTTTGTAGAAGTTGACATGAACCGGATGCCATTCCTTGGCTCCGAAGACGGCGGCTTCTGGGAATGGACGCCAATCATAGTCGAAACCGCGAACGTGCTCGGGCATTTCGAAGAGAACCTAGAATTTTTGGGATGTAAAGACATCACATGGTATACCTGAAGGGATCCGATGTTGTTCTTGTACTCATGGCCTCCCCAAGAGAAGTTGGCGGCGATCTTGCCATTTTCGTTCCAGACACGACCCATAACTGGCTAAATTATGCAAGAAAACAATCAACGACACGGCTGTTTTCAAACCCACTTCTCCCTGTTGATACCACAAAGCGACGTATTGATCTGGATTCTCTCCTGGCAATGTGTTCAGAGACCTGAAGAGAGCGCGGACACACTTCGCGGGAGGGAAGGGATCTCCAGCTCTGAAGTCAGCCCATTCGTTGAGCATAACACGAACCACTGGACGATTCTTGGGGCAAGCAGCACAATCACAAGACGGCGGTCCTCCCTTCAACTCCCGGACGATCATCAACATGTTGTTGAGTTCGGGTCCTTTTTTGGGCTCAGCGATCTTGTCATGGGAGAAGAGAGCCTGCTCGGTACTGTTATCCACATAGCCCAACAGAGCTCCTTGAGGTCGATCAGCCCAAAGAATGGGGAAAGATTCCCCGCACCGCACTGCCTGATAAGAGTCGGTCTTGGCGAACTTCTCCTGGCGTTCACTGTATTTGATCCAGTTGTACCAATAGCCAAGTTCAACATGGTTTCCTTTGTATTGGAGGACTTGAATCTGACCACCGAGATCACGGGCTCCTGTTAATTCAACCTTGGAGTAGGGAAATGAGCATTCAACAACTCCACCATTGTTCCAAGCTCGACCATGAATGGGCTGAAAGTATTATAATCGGCGTATCAACGGTTCAAGGAATGTAAAAAGATGAGATTACCTTTCCATGTTTGTACCATAGAGCAACATACATGTTCTGCTGTCCTAGAACCTTGACTGGATTGTCGGGGAAGGGGTCTCCGATCTTTACCCAGGCCCAGCTATCTTCCTGTGGGGGATTGCGATTCGACATGGCGTTACGATTCGACCGTCCGGCAGGCGAAAAACGACCAAAAATGGGCTTAAACCTCATTCGACATGGCTTTTATTCCACAATTTTACATGCAAATTTAGATTTTTTGTTTGAAAATTATGACAAGTAGGCCTAACGTTGAATCTAGGGTTTATTTGACGCTATGTTGCGGAAAACAACCTTGGTTTTGATATTTGGATGGAAAAAGAGATGATAAATGATCATGATTGTGATCCCAATTGCGTATGATACACCCATCCCAGCCAGAATACGATCAACGAAAGGAAATGTGGGCTTGAAGTAGAAGTTTGCGAGGCAGATTACTATCTGAAATGACAAATTCCGTTATCATATACGACTCGAAATAAAATTAAATACAAGTTATTATACTTACCATTCCTTCGAAAATTTCCAATCCATATTCAATTCCATACCGTAATCTTGACGGTCCTTCGGCCATATTAAAGGGACCAAAGATGTGAATCCAAAGGTTTATGGCGAACATTACAGGGTCAATCATTTTTGACTTAGATTTCGTATCAATTCGTTGCAAAATAAGTAGACTTGAGGTAGAAATAAGTAAATGGGAGATCATGAGAACTAAACCCGCAACAAAATTTATAACTAGGATTACGGTAACGACGTTGAAACGGGCAGAAACCGTAAAGAACCGCCATAGAAACTGAAATTACATTGATTTAAATAAACGACAAAAAACGATAGATAAGGATTTATGAATTCATGGGAATAGACTTACGATCAAGTAGCATCCAAGAGGTCCGAGGTTCTGTTTTTGAGGCAATGAAATTCGAAGGACGCGGTGATGTGAAACGAAGGAATAGGAAATGGAGATCAAGGATAATACAATTGAAGTACAACGCCCTGAAAAGCAACAATCGTTTAAGAAAAAGATCGCAAACCGGATTCGAAAGGTTTTACTTACAATGCCAAATGAACTCTGATTCAGTATGACCGTAATTCTGCCAATCTTTTGAAAGAAAGTATCCTTGAATAAGAAGTTGAGGCATGGATTCTAGGCAAGCCTCAAAAAATCTGAGGATCCCAGCATCACGGTCCGCTTCGATCTTCTTGTAGAACACTTTCTGATAGAAGATGCGCTCTTTTCGTGGTCGTTTTTGAAGTGTGAAGCACTTGAGGGCGTATTTCATTGATTTGCAGTACCATAAAAGAGGGCCCAGCTAAAGGGTTTGATTATATTTAATTTTATAATACGTAAAGCTGTCGCAAGTGACAAGATAAAGTAAAATTTACCTGTAGAATAACCGCCAACACCCATCTGTAAACTCTCGTCTTCCTTTTTCCCGCTTTGTCATCAGAATCCGTGACTTCGATTCCCCCTTTTCCTCTGGATTTACTCAATATTTTAATATTATCAGTAAACACAAAGTCGTAAGTATTGCTGCGATCAGTGCAGTCATCTTCTCTTCTTCTGGCCTCATCATCCATCCAGAATAAGATTGAAATAAAATTTAAAATTAGAGATGGAAGAAGGATGAAAACGGTGGTTAATATACCTGCCATTTGCTGAAGGAGTCGAATTTATTACTCAACAAGCAAATAGATGACGAGCGTTATACTCGTCAAAGCTTGCAAATAAAACTTACATTTCCCTTTCTGAAGTAGAAAATGGCCACAAAAATATCCATAAAAATATCCGAAATGTATGTAAAAATGGCAAAAAAATAACAAGTCATGTCAAAAGAAGTGACGATGATGTTAGAGGGTATCCGATCACATTCATCCTCCTCACTTTTGTCATGCAAATTCAAAGTTCTGGCTATTTTTTCTCGAAATGATGACTTTCCGGGCATTTTGATTGGACTAAGAATTCATTCCAACGATCAAAAATCTGCAACTATATAACGTTAAACCTTAACTAATTACATTACAATACAACCGAATCTATCGTGACCCCCTTCCCAGGTTGTCTTAAAGAGAGGGCAAACCCGAGCCTAGGATGTTGTCCATGACCCAATGGGTTGTGGTAGTCGGTGCCAAGTTCACAAAAAGTGCAAAAATTTTATATTAATCCGTCGTAGGGCGAGCTCGCTTGCTTATTCCAAAGTGCATTTTTTGCGGAAGAGAACGCGGCAATGAGAGGAGAGACATTTTATACGACTAGCTGGGTACCCGTTTTGGCGGCGCGTCGGAGAGGACAACCAAAATCCGGCCGGAGAATATCTCATTTACAACCCGGGCGGATAATTGTTTGCGGTTAGGGATGCCGTTTACGGAGGAATACAAATACAAAAGTCACACAATTGAATTCATGCCTACTATAATATAAAATGCACTCTTGAATGTGGTAATGCATCTGTTCTACTCTGCATAAAGATAAAAACGCTAAATTTTTAATTCCGGCAAGAATGTACCGTATACCACTAATCATCAAGTTCTGTAACTTACAGAGGGTCAGACTTGTCCCATAGAGTCAAGTTTCTCTCCCTGTCGTTTTTGTCGAAAAGGTTTTGCGTAAGATGGAAAGACAGCTGCCGCAATATTGCAATGGATAGGCTCTACCGAATATTCAGATCGGACGTTTTGTTGTCTTCATCAGACGGTCGACCTCACGGATTTCTTTCAGAAGTTGAATATAAAGCAATCGAAAAGGCTGATACCAAATCAGATGTGCAATTTTCTTCGTTCCTTCATCTTACCGGAATCTGGACTTTTTCATCCTTCATTCCTCTTGGGTTTTATCTCGCTTGTGTTCATCATACCGTTATTACATTAGGTAATTCTAAATTATATGAATTCACATTTGTTCAAACATGTCTTGTTTCAGCGATTGCAATAGTTGCATTCGGATTATGCGTTCCTTCGGCGGTGATAACTTTGTATATTATCAGACTAGCATACGTTTACATCAAGTTTTGTTACCATCTCAGTTATACGCAATCGGCCTGGATTCAGATGGATAAATTACACGAAAAGTGGTTAAAAGAGTGCTTCAGATGGGAGCACGATCAGTAAGTTGCGTCTTCTTTGTTTGGTTTTTGTACATGGTTTTGTGTTAATTTAACTCTGTCATTGCCGATTGCTTTCCTCCTGAAATTATTATTTGTTACCTAAAACAATATTTCAGCCCAGATCAAGCGACAAAGCCTGGATTCATCTATTGTAGAGAGAAACGGGTTATAATGTTCCGTCGTCTGGCTTTTTTCATTCTACGTTACCACAACTATCTCTCACATTCTGATATGAATTCTACAATTGATTTGGAAGTTCAGCAACTGGATTCCTTGGTGAACTTGGCAGCCGCTGTGCCGGATCAATTTCTTTCTCTCACAAGTCTCAATAACATGGTCGTTTTGATGAATACAATGAGATCGAAGACAATATTAACGGTTAATATTGAACATCAAAGAAAAATATCGGAGATGCTGGAGCTGAATCTGTTTTCCTGGAATGCTCTGAGGTATTGTGAAGGAGTGGGAAGCGAATTGTCCGAGAAGCATGTCCTCACTGCAAATGCTTTTCAACTGAAGATGGAAGTTCAATTGGAAATGGAATCTGAAGCAACACTTCTGGAGAGCAGTCGTATCTTGGATATGAAACCTCAGACTTTGGAAGAGGCAAGGAGACAGTACAAGTATTTGGCGGAAAGGCATGTTGATTTTATATGACCTTCATTGTTTCAGATTAATTTCTATCGACAAAATCCATCGAGATGACCCAGAGTGTGCTTTTGTTTACTTGGAACTGCTGGATAAGTAAGTAAATTTTATTTGATTTTGTAACTAATATATCGAAGGGTTAGCAATGTCAGTTTCAGTTCGGAGAGTCCTCGAGATGACGTCTTCTCAGCCGTGTATTCCATCCTGATTGAGGTGAAACGAGCGATGGATGTTTTGGAAAGGATTCGAGATAACCAGAGGAACTTCAACATGTCTGGATAAGATGGCTTTCCAAGATTGTAACTAACTTTTTTATACTTTATCTAGCTGTCTAGGTAACCTTGTAATACTTTTTATATGTATTTTGTAAAGGTAAATTATATAATATTTTATCATGGGTCTCTTGACTGATTTAAGAGCATGAAACATCGTGTTACACATAATATATAACAAGAGAAGATCAGGGTTTAAAGGTTCGCACAAATGTTACAAATTGTGATTAGATAAATCACTGCTTCTTTTGCTTTTAACATACAGTAATTTCAGAATTGTTTAAACTCTCTTGTAATTGAGTTTCTTCATCCTCGCGCAATGACGTTTTGTGATGTATAAATTTTGTTTTAGTATCTTCAACGCCCCGGGCTTGTATTAATTACCCGCCAAGTCACTCAGACGGCCGAAACTGATAAGAAGACACTATCGTTTTTGTAAATAACAGACGAATACCCGGCTTGTTTTGATATTCTCGGTGGTTACCGTTGTCGGTGTATCTTGAAATTTAAGCTGTTATAAGAAGAATATCTGAGGAAATGGGGGGAAATGTAAGCGGTATCAGAAAAAATTAATGAAATAATTTTTATGACCTATCATACCCTAGTATCATCAAAATATTGCGTAGACATCCTTTTAGTTGCTCCATTCAATTTGTATTATCCTGATCATCTCTCTGGCGTGGACTACAGTTGCGCAATTTGGAAAACAATGTTTGAGTCTACCTCCAGAGGATTTCTTTGCTCCGTTTTTCTTAATTTACTTGATGCATCTGGGTGGATCTGTCGTTTATCTATTGTATTTCCTTGGAAGCGTTTGTTTTTGCCAAGGAAATGCGGACAAAATATTGAAAGAGGCAGTGTATGTTTATAAAGTTGAAAAAGTAAGCATTCACTTTTACTTTGATTGCTCGATAATTATTGTTCAGAATGAAAAGTTTTTCTCCCCCACAGTGATCAAGAACGTTTTGTACATGACCTTCCCAATGTTGATGCTTACATTTACTCTGCAATACGCATATGCCCAATCATTAAAGTTTATCACAGCATCCGTTGCAGCTTCTGTTATGAGTACAAACGCAGCACTTGTTTGTGTTTTGGGATGGGTGTTCCTAAAGGAAAAAGTTTTAATGGTAAAAGTAAGTAATCAAGTTGTTTTTCAAAAGGTGGTTTCTAGATATTGGGAGTGGTCTTCGCAGTGGTTGGAGTAATTGTAATGTCATCAAATGAAGGGGCACAATCTGGAACGGAGAATTTGGACGTTTTAGGAGTCTTTCTGGTAATTTTTTCCGCGATCGGTGCTGCTGTCTATAATGTAAGTTGCTGCTTTCTATGCCGTTAGAATTGCGTACAAAGCGTTAACACCTAATTTTTTTTAGGTCACTTTCAAACTGATTTATGGCCATCCAACTGTAAATCAAGTCGCCTTCTTCATGTTGATCATCGCAGTTCTAAATGTAATTGTCAATTCCATTCCTTTATATGTTTTGATCCAATATGATTACGATCATATTGTCTGGGAGAAGGTTCCATGGCTCTCAATCGCTGCTTATGCCGGATCAAGCGTCAGTGAGTAATGAACTGAAAATTATAATAGTAAACATGATGACATTACTATTGGTAATGCTACCCTTTTTAGTTTTCCAGTTCCTTGTCAACCTGGGAATTGCTATCCTAAATCCGCTGATTGTTTCAGTTGGAGTTCTCTGCGCCCTTCCTATTATATCCGGTAGGAAAATTGATTTGTTACTATCGCATCATGTTTATACCGTATTCTTCATATCCCATAATTTTATTAAATCCGGATTACATATTTCTTTTAGCCTTCGACATCATGGTCCGCCATGAGCCGGCGTCATGGCGTTTCTACACCGGAGTGACCTTTTTTATGTTGGCTTTTGTCTTCAGCGTATTTCCATTGGATTCACTATGGAAACGAAAGGAAAAGCGGGATCAGCCCGAATCCGTAGCATTAAATGAAGAAAGCAAAGCTTAAGATCTCCGAAGAAACTGAGTTTTAGATAAGAGCTTTGACAACCTATGTTTTGAATAAAGGTGTTCATAAATATTATTTATATTAGGGTGAACCAAATGTCTTTTCGTTTTTTTTATTAAAACTTTAAACATAATTTTACAACAAACGAAAACTAGTCAAGTTTCGAAGTAAAGGCCGTTTGAATCTATGGCTTGAGCCCATCTATCGGCAAGTTGTGCGATCCCGCTGCGGTACCGCTCCTTGTTCATAGAGGCGAAAAACTCCCGGCACCCGTCTTCGACATCGTCCAGATCATTGAAGCTACGACCACGCAGAAAGTGCGCCATGGACCGGAAAAGGTGATAGTCGTATTGCGCAAGCTGCGAACTATACGCTGGGTGTGGAAGAAGTTCAATGGCGTCGAGAGTTTTGATCTTTTCCTTCGTTTGTTTGGCGGAGCGAGGTTTTGCGTTGTCTTGTTGCAGGGGTACGCGCTTTCGATTGATCAAAGCGGGATATTTTTTGCCAAGCGCCGCATACATTCGATCGAGTGGAGCGTAGTAGAGGTCTGCGTCGATAGTCCGACCATTTGGAACCAACTCGAAGTGAATTACGCCTTCAAAATTGTTTTTTAAGATGTCTTGCCCTCGAGGTCCGTGTCGCCGTCGTTGAATCGTTTGAACCAATCGCGCAGTACGATCTGAGACCACATTGTAGCCTTCAACTTCGCTTATCTTCTTTGCTGCTGCAGTTGCGTTAAAGCCTTGTTTCCGGTAATGACGTAAAAAACCCCGAATTTCGGATTTTTCCATGTTTTTTCTACAGGTTAAAAGATTTTAAATAAAGGACCAATTAAAAGTTTTAATATATATTATGATAAAGCAGTTCAAGACCTTTAAAAATATATATAATACATTCATCTAAAAGTTTTTGTTTCGTACAAAAACAATCGGACAAAAAGATACCTTAAAAAACGAAAAGACTTTTGGTTCACCCTAATATAATATATTTGCGTGAGCGCCGTTATTTTTCCGACAGACTGATATTAGAGCGAAGAAATAAGGAGTATTTTGAAGCTTTGCAAAAGACTAAATTTGTTTGCGATTTTGTCCGAAAGCGTTTTTCTCGTTTCGCGAATCTACTTTGGGTTGGAAGTAATGGTACCCAATCCCCAAGACAGCTTCATGTCGCGGTTACTTCGAGTGTCGACAATTCTGGAGATATAAAATGTAAATTGATCCCTATTCTAATTAACGCTACTTAATTTTAGTAACTGTCGCTTTTCAATTACCTCACAATTAGGAATAATCAAAAGTAATAACAATCCAGGATCAAAAATGTTTTTCTTGTATTTATTATGATCATAAATTACTTGTTGTTAATCAATTCGTATTGTAAAACCCCGTACTAATAGAAGTGGATTGAGTGTAATATATTCCGATTGGAGTGTTCGGCGTCCAGATTCAAGAGAACATCGTCTATCTGATTATCGAGATCTTCCAGGGATTCAAGCTGAAGTAGAAACAGTTATAATTGCAACAAACAATAGTCATAAAATATAGAATTAACTTACCTTCTGACACAAAAGTCGGACAAAGTAAGCGCCAATGGACGCTTCTTCCTGAGTATCCCTGATGTCGATATTCAAAACATGCACCAAATTTCCAGATGATGGGATTCGAGAGTGGAAAAAGTCGATAATCTGCAAGGATTCTATTAAATGAACAGTATTAAAATATACCTGATCATAAACACGTTCTTCCAAACACAATATAACTTCGAATTCCTCTTTGCAATGCTGGAACTTCTGAGGTCTTTCTTTTACTCTCATATTTCTTTTCAGCATTTGGAGTAATCCGTTATGGGTATATCTGACATGAAATCAAAATTGTAATCACTTTAAAATTAACCACTACAAGTTTAAATGTCGATCTTACAAGGCTCGATCTTTCTTGATGAGATCTTCCCTAATTGCCTGATATGGGATGGAATCAAATTCGTAAATATTGGGTTTGTCGACAGATGGCCCCGGCAGTTTTACATAATTCCCCGACCCATATGACTCAATATTAAATCCACTGTGTTTCAGAAGATCGTGAGCTTCCATAGATCGGTTCATATTGGAAGAACAAGAGACCGCGAATTTAATTCGTCCATTAGAAGTCTTACTCGGCAATGGGCGAGGTCGTCGAGTACTATGTTGACGGCGGTCATCTCGGGACATCCTAAAACAATAACGAATGAAGCCAAACCATATTCCATTATATAATGGTGAACTCATTACACTAATCAGATAGCTCTCCCAAGTTCCTATAAGTGACATTTATTGTATAAAATGATAACATAAGGTAACAATTACAATCCACAGGTATACTTAATACTACAAAACGTGAAAAAAGAAGAAGATGATATCGAAAGATTCAAATGGGCAGAAGTTGTAATATCCGTTACCCTTTACAGAGAGAAATTTGGTAGACGAGCAAGTCGCGCGATTAATTCATTAACCAAAACACGGCTTATCTCCAGTCTTTCAACTGGAAAAAACAATAAGTTCAACAACAAGAAATTATGGTCTGACGATAGCGGGAAGGGCTTGGACACTGGAGGACATCGAGTCTTTGAAGGTTGAGAAATAAGTTAGTTGAATGGCCAACAGCTAAAAATAATTGACATCAACCAACCGCTGCCGTTTCAAAAAAGGGTAACTACAGTATTCCTACCTGTAAAACTGGAAGGTCTTTCCGAAGATCGGCCAGCTTTCCAGCTCGGGAAAATGTCATGGAATGACTTAACAAAGCATAAACTCGGGTTCTGTAGGGATCAGATCCTTCTCGACAATGCTCAAACTAAAAATAATCGCTTATTATTTAAATACATTTGAAAAACATCCTCAATAAAACAACTTACCGCAGCTTTCTGATACTTCAAAAGCCTGTCCGGGATCCGCGTGCCGGCTGAATACAAGCCGATCAACATCGAAAGATCATTTAATCCACTATGCCTGGCCAATTGGATTGCTTGGTCAAAGTCAGCGAAGAGTAGAGCATAGTAGACTGGGACATAGAGGGAGTTGTTATTATTTTCTGATAATTGCTTTAGTTTCTTTTCCAGTTTTGTCGAGAGCTCTTTTACCACCCATTCAATAAAGCCAGTTCTCTGAAGATGACCTAAACATGATGACAATGAGTCACAAAGAGCCTGACCCACCAAATCTAATATCACTCGGGTCTTGGCACATGGCTTCGCAGAACTTCAACATCTTGACTGCAATCTCTTCCAACGAATAATTCAATCGCAATTCATTGAAGAGATAATCATCAACAAGTCTGATCAGATCCGACGGTGGATTCATGTGAAGCATCTCGGTATTGACGAGCTCATCAAAGAGTTCGGTCCTTCCAATCTTCTCCAAATGTTGTCTCATGTAAGTCTAAATCAATTGAATAATACTGAAAAAAATACGTTTACCTCTATAGTTGGGACAAGTTTGACTGTTTGTATTTGAACAGCAGCTGATCGAGGTCTTGGATCTTTAAGAACCGTAACATTAACAGCATCTTGAGCAGAATGCGCAAAGCCAACTCGACGGAAAGTCAGAGGGATCAAGGGACCGAACAGCCCTTGTACATTCAATTCTTTGAAAATTGGATGGGTGAGATTAAAGTTCATGATCTTGTTCACTTTCTGACGGACAACTGGATGTTCCTTCTTCTTTTTCTCGCCTTCGCCCAAGATATCCAATCCCCGAAGCCTTAAAAAATTATATTAACTTAGTATTAAACATACTCAAACTCCATTAGATCATCTGTGAATCGCATCTTTTTCTTTTGGACAACCTCCGGAGACTCGGCTAAAAATAAAAACCATTTTCGACATTCATAAAACCACACAGAACCATTTACAAATATTTATGACAAAAGTGTACTGGTCAATGTGCAAGTTTAACAACAAATAAATAAGTGAGTTCCACACAAAATCAACTACTCACAAAGAAATAATCGTTTTGGATCAACCATGGGTGCTCTCATTGATTCGTCAAAGTTGAGGAACCGTTCTCTAAGAAGAGTGCCAGCATTTGTGGGTTCTGAAGCCAAAGGAACATCCACGTCATCCATTTCTACCACCATTTCCAACTCCGTCTGAACTTCCACGGTCTGCTTTGGGGCCAATACTTTCTTCTGTTGCGGCAACACTTGTGTTCCTTCTTCCTCATCATCATCATAGAATCCATACTTTGAGAAATGCTTGACTTTAAAAGTCCAGAGACCTCCTTCCGCGTCATATTCGATAAAGGAACATCCCATCTTGAGGCACTTCTTCTCCAACAATGCGCTGAATCTTTTCACTTCTGGATGATCTGGATCCTGCAGTTACATAACGTAAATAATATAAAAAAACTCTCTTGCCTTAATATATTCCCTGGATATCCTGTCAATTGGGAATACATTCTCCAGACAAATGATCGCGGGTCGATTCAATTCACAACCAACATGTGGTTTCTTCTTCTCGTCTGGATATACGACAACCTCTTTTCGGTGGAATTGAACAATCTCGGCCAAGTCCACATCACTAAAGTCGAATGGTCCCTCCCACAAAACACTTCCATATCCAATTCTTCCAACTTTGAAGGCCTCCTTCTCCTTGATGAATATTTTTCCATTTCTCACAAAAGTTTCGAGTTCTTCCAATGATGGTTCCGTGTAGATATTTCTGCTTGATATCAACACATTACAAGGACCATGTCTGATAGTTCTGTTAAGTTGATTCTCATCGTTTTCACTAAGTGTGGTTCGAACTGACACGTCGTGGCCATTCGAAACAGTGGACAAATTGAGCTCGTCTTGAGAGAAATGGACTGATTTTGGGGAATGTTGCTTCTCTGCCGGTGTGCTAGTAAATACGGAGTTATTTTTGCTGCCGTTCAGCAATCTAAAACTAAGGATTTATTATAAAAATAGAAAGTCACATAATCAACAAAAAAAGCTTACGACTCATCCTTCGCTATACTGTCTCTTCTATCACGGGTTCCATTATCGATGGTCAAAGTGTCATGGGCAATACTGTGATTCAACATAGACTTTCTAGAGAGTATAGATTCATCCAATCGACTCGAAGACTTGTCCTTTAAGACGGAAGCATCGAACCGTTTGGGATTATCCCTCGATTTCGACGTATTCATGACTGTCGGTATAAATAATCCAGTCTTCAGTTCAGAGAACGATTGTGTTTTATTTCCATAAGAAGACGTTGACCGGTTGAGGAAGCCATTTGAGTCATTTAGTTCCTGGCTTTCATTTCTGCTCTCATCCAGACCACTCCGTTGGATCAGAGGTTTGTATGAGAACACTTTGGGCTTGTTGGCGGTCAGCACACATTGAGTGAACTTCCTCAATCCATCATCCTGTTTATTCTTGTCAGAAGAAAGGTCGGCAAATTTGGAAGCGGCGTATGTATTTAGTAATCGTTCCCTGGAAAAATGAAAACATAACAAAATTTAAACTATAAACTTACTTCTCCAACTTGCTCTTCATGGCTTCGTTAGCTTGCTCGGCAGTTGATCTAACACTTATGGTTCTGAATAATTCATCCGTTCCATAAGGATACATCGACATTTGGGATTCCAGTATCGATTGTTGCAGCATCTGTTCAGTGTCTCGGGTAATTAACAAAGGCTGTTGAGGAACTTGGAGGACCGATTGTTGAGGTTGGGCAACTTGAGTGGCACCTATAATAGGTAAAAAGAAACTATTTTTGCCGTCCGCAAAGAATTTTCGCTGTCCGCAAATGAGAATCTTCTTGCGCATAACTCAATGTTTAGCAGCAAATTCACGCGATAGGCAGGCATTCTCGATAGAAAATCTGATGATATTGTACATAATATCGGTGATTATTAAAGCAAAAACATGCACATCTTTTATACATCTGTTTTTCGAGTATATTAGAGGAGTGCTTGTTACTTTAAACACCAATTCTTTTTGGGCACCTTTCGGCTTCTTTTCCTTTGGACTGTGAGTTTTTATTTGCGGACAGCGAAAACTAAAATACTTACCTCCCAATGTAAATGCTCCTTGTTGTTGTGGTTGTCCGGTCGTTGCACCAAAGAGTCCGGTTCCAGCAGGTTTTTGTCCAAAAGCCGACGTTCCACCAAACCCAGCTTGTTGGGAGGCAGTGTTTCCAAATAAAGACGTACCCGTGTTAGTAGCAGTCCCAAAGAGCGAAGTGCCTGTACTCTGTTGAGGCTGACTTCCAAAAATTCCAGTCTGTCCAGTATTTTGCTGAGTATTCCCACCAAAAAGGGATGTACCAGCTGCCGGCTGACTTGTGCCCCCTCCAAAAATAGATGTTGTGCCTTGAGTGCCGGTAGCGCCACCTCCAAACAGAGTTGTCCCTTGGGCTGGCTGGGATGTGGTTGCACCGAACATCCCAGTTGACGGCTGGGAAGTTGTAGTTGATCCGAACAAAGGCTTAGATTGGGTTGATCCAAATAAGGACGACGTCCCCGTGTTTGTTTGACCAAAGGTTGATCCAAATCCAGTAGAAGTGGTCTAAAAATAAATTGTCAAAGTAACGAACAACTTACCGGTTTTGCAGCACCAAAACCAAAGCCAGATTGAGTTGTAGTTGCCGTGTTGGTGGCTCCAAACAAAGACGTAGATGATTGCTGACCAAACTAAAAAGGAATTGTTTTCCAAACGTGCATACATACCGCTGGCTTGGCTCCAAATAATGACCCAGAAGCATTGGCGTTCGATGTCGAAGCGAATGGACTAGACGTATTTGTAGATCCAAACAATCCTCCGGCTGGTTTATTTTGAGTACTCCCAAACAAGCTATTCCCGGTAGAAGCCTGCCCAAAAGCGGGTGTTGTTGTTGCTCCGAACCCAGTGGTAGGTTTGCTTCCAAATAACGAAGAAGTATTCGAAGTCCCCAAAGTTCCTCCGAATCCAGAAGTTGTTGATCCCGCCGTGGGCTGCTTTCGATTAGCTTGGTAATCTTCAACTCGTAACTCCTAAAGAGAGGAATTATACTCAGAAACAACAAAGCTTACCTCCAAACACTTCGTTTCGTATTGTTTCATGGCGGTGATACACATTAGTTTGGTCTGGATCGACTGAGTTAGACCATTCCTCATCATCGTATCTGATCCTTTCACGGGATCAAACTTGATTGTCGTTCCAGTTGGTGCGGCTGTACTCAAGGTTGAGCCGAACATCATGGCAGTCCCTAAAGAAACGGGTTTCCTTCAATCAAAGTAATATGAACGGAAAAACGCTGCCAACAAAATATGGTAAAAAACGATCACGGATAGAAGCTTTAAAAACTGCAAAACAAGTACTCGCACTGTACGCTAAATTTATAAATGTTGAAACCACAAAGACTGAAACGCGGGCTCGTTAATTTATGATTCCCGCCACGAAAACAAAACTCTGGCCTTCTGGTGGCTGAAATTTGGCGGGTTTTATCGTGAATTATTTTTTGATGTGGAGTAGTGCATAATTGAAACCATTTCGTGACCATAGCGCGTTGAACTAGTATATTTCGTTTAAAACTTTCGGGCATGCCTCGTTTTAACGCGGACATTGTTTTGGAAGACCATATTTTACGTTATTGCCCGATTTCAGAGGGATGCCTCACGCATATTATCAACGGGATTTTCTCGAAAGTCGACTGCTTGTTGTAGGAGCAGGAGGGATTGGATGTGAACTACTTAAAAATTTAGTTGTTGCTGGTTTTGTTAACATTGAAGTTGTAAGTCGATATCTTCCTAGTTTTTATTTGGTTTTAGATTGACCTGGACACAATTGACGTTTCTAATCTGAATCGACAGTTTTTGTTTCGCAAGGAACATGTTGGAAAGCCTAAAGCACAGGTCGCCGCTGAAGCCGTCAAACAAATGAGGCGAGATATTAATATTGTCTCCCATCATGACTCCATTTTTGCTCCAAGATTCGACAGGGACTATTTCCAGAGTTTCAAAGTCGTTTTGAATGCCCTTGACAACGCGGGTAAGTAATCATTGTAGGATTTTATTTCTGGCATGAAAGCTTAAGTGGAGTTTAGTTTTATTGTTTTAGCTGCACGACGGCATGTTAACCGTATCTGTATTACCACTGGGACTCCTCTTATTGACGGCGGAACAGCGGGTTATCTTGGTCAATGTCGAGTTATCCAACGCGGGAAGACTGAATGTTACGATTGTGTGGATCATCCACCTCAACGGACCTTTGCTGGATGCACGATTAGGAATACTCCTTCAGAGTTTATTCATTGTATAATGTGGTCCAAGGCCTTATTCAATCAGCTGTTTGGAGATGCTGACCCGGATGATGATGTTGCTCCATATGAAGACGACAAGACAGAAGATGGAGGCGAGAAGGATGAAGATGCGAAAGGTGAACTTCAGAAGAGCCAGATGAATACTCGGGCTTTTGCCACTAAGAATGATTACAACCCGAAATTACTTTATCACAAGGTATGTTTTGTCACAACATTACATTTATGCATTACTTTTAGTTGTTTGTTCGTGATATTGAATACCTATTACGGATGGAGAACTTATGGAAAGATCGTCGTCCCCCAGAGCCTTTTAGAATCGACGATTTGAATGCTGTACCAGAAGGCTCGAATGGACGAGAATGGAAGACAAACGAGCATTGGCCAATCGAGAAATGGATCCAAGTTTTCGGCGAGTCTCTTGATCGACTGACAGAGAGATTCAAGGAGGCCCAAAAACGGAAACAGATACTTTCTTGGGATAAAGTGAGTTATCTTATATAAATTGTTACCTCTTTTTAAGGATGACGATGACGCTCTCAACTTTGTTGCTGCTTGTTCTAATATACGATCTCACGTTTTTGGCATCAATGGGAAGAGTGTATTCGATGTGAAATGTAAGCCTGAATGTTTTTGATTACGGAACTATTTTTTGTTGTCTGCAAAAAAAAACTTCTCACTGTCCGCGAATCAGAATCTTTGTGTATAACTCAATGTTTAGCAACAAATTTGATGTGAAAGTTTCGGATGTTACTCTTAAACGTATAATAGTATATTTTGCTCTTACTTCTGAGTAATTCACGCGATAGGCAAGACCCGTGGACAGAACATATCGTGATATTATACATGATATCGGTGATTATAAAAGCAAAAACGTGTACGTCCTTTATGCATCTATTTTGCTATTATACTAGAGGAGTACTTATTACTTTTAACACCAATTGGATTTCTTCTTGGGCACCTTTCTGTAATTTTTTTCATTTGCGGACAGTGAAAAGCGCGTCCTTTTGATTACTGTTGATATTTTAGCCATGGCTGGAAATATTATACCCGCCATTGCCACAACCAATGCGATTATTGCTGGAATGATGGTTGTGGAAACCTACAAGGTTCTTGGCGATCGTCCTGATACAATTCAATCAATTGTAAGTATTCGTTCATACTTCCATTGATCTTACATTGACATTTAGACATATCTTCAAACGAAACCCAACTTCCGAGGTAAAATCTTTATGAACGAGTCCTCAATTGGCCCTAATCCTAATTGTTATGTTTGCGCTGATCAGCATGAGGCATCCGTCCGAGTTAATGTGGAGAAGATGACGGTGAAATCATTTGTGAGCACTGTGATTACTCAGGGTCTTGGATTCCTGGAGCCGGATGTCACTGATATGCTCTCTGGAAGAATCGTTGTCAGCAGCGAAGATGGAATGGTCAAAAGTACGTTTTTTCTACCAAAATATGTAATCATTAATATTTATAGCCATTGAAAACAGCACTTTGGAACAGCTGAGTGTGAAGCACGGATCTCAACTAGATTGCGACGACTTTCGTCAGAATCTTAACATCAAAGTATTTGTTATCCATGACCCTAAACTTGAACCCGAAGAATACAAGATCGAGAGCAATGCTAATGCCCCGGTGGATGAAAACAGAAACGGAAAGCACAAGGCGGACGCCCTCAAGGAAGACGAAGACCAACCACAAGAGAAACGCGCTCGCATCGAAGCCTAACCCGAATGATTACTATTATATTTGAGTTCATCTTTTTATTTCTGAATAAGTATTTATACCTGAGTTCATCTTTTTCGACCACGTTTTGAGGGAGTTTTCTTTTTGTCATTGGGTGCTGAGACTGTTTCGACATTCTGAGCCGGTTCTGGATTAGCTTCCATGCTCTTCCGAGTCGACTGTCGTGTTTGTACCCTGAAAGGATCAAAATTAGTAGATGCAAAAAATTGATAACCAAGACATTCATTCATCGAAAGACATTACCTTGCAGTTGAAGAATGAGGTAGGAGCTTGACGACGCGTTGCTGAAGAGTCTTTCCTCTCGGCTTCGCCGTTCCTGTTTTCTTCCCCTTGTTTCGATTGCCAACTGTCCTCTCGGATATGGCTTTGTCGATGTTATCGATTAATGGAAATGATGAAAAGGATGACAGGAAGGAACAATTGAAGATCTCGTCGATTTCGGAAGGCATGTCAATGAATAAAGGAGGTAGTCGTTCCACTCCAGGAGGCACAACTCTTGATGTCGGTGGCCCCTTTGACTTCAAGGCCTGTGAAATTGGAACCGGGAGGATGGAAAACGGACCGGTCAATCTAGTTGAATTTCTCCTGCTCCTCTTCTTTGGTGGTTCTGAGAAATTCGTCGGTATTTTTGGAGGCGACCGAGTCTTTGATACTGTTCTTCGTTTTTCAGCTTCTTTGATTTGCTGCGGCTGAAGTCGTATCAATTTAGGTTGCGGAAGATAATTTTCAATGGTGATCGTCGCAACCTTTGGCTCCGTTTGAGAAGTTGATGGCTTCTGGGAATGAAGATTGTTTATTGATGATAAAGAAGCTGTCGTCGAGGTTGACGGTTCGGGTGCCGGCGCTTCTTCCTCCTCTTAAAAATAATACAAACTTGAGCTGACATTACTCACCTTCAATAACAAGATCAGTGCCTTCGTCAATAACCAAGTCGTTGATTGACAAATCAAAATCATCAGCTTCTGGTTCAAAACCCTCCATTGCTGCTTCTTCGACCGACATCACCGTCGTCGGAGATTCCGCGATTTGTAAAGTTTCTTCGTCAACAACGGCAAGGCACGATTCTTCTGTTTCCACAACTGATTCTGTATGCTCAACAGTGGACTCAGTCACTTCAGGATGCGATTCTTCAATCTCCAGAGCACATTTTTCTAATTCAACTCCAAGTTTTAATTCCTCAATTTCGACGGTTGATTCTTCATGAACTAGCTGTTCAGTTTCAGTACTTAAGACATCATTAATCTCATTTGTGTCTATATTTTTAGGACTTGTAGATTCATGAATTTCGCTTGCTTTTTCCGAGCGACCTCTCCTTCCGTGACGCACTTTCTTCAGTTCTTCATCTTCAAATGGTTTTCCCCCAATCGTAGTAGATGCTTCTTCAGTTACAGCACTTGATTCTGAAACACATCGCTGTTTCATTTCAACCGCTGCTACGGTATTCGTATTTCTTGATTCCACCGTTTTGGCAGTTGTAGGTTCCTCGATTTCGATTGATTTGTCCAAACGACTACTTCGACGCACCTTCTTCGGTTCTTCTAACCTCCGTTTTACTTTCGTAGATGAAGCTTCTTCGATTAACATATTGCTCCTTGACTCATATGCTTGCCCCACTTCAATTCCTACAGCAGGATTAAACTGAATTGATTCTGGCTTTTTAGTACTTGTCGAATCACCCGTATGAACTGATCCTTTACGGCGACTTTTCCTTTCTCGACGAACTCTCTTCGGTTTTTCAACTTCAACATTCCTCTTTTCATTTGTATTAGCGGCTTCTTCAATTACGATTCCAACTGGATTCCTATATTCGTTCATTAAAAACCTTGGTTCTTCAAGTATTTCAGGCGGCTCTTCTATAGCATCATTTGGCTCGATCGCACCAATCGAAATATCCAAATCCTCATCATCAGTACTGACAGATGGAACTATCGAATGATCGGTTTGTGTCCTTCGCCTTGCTCTTGTCTTCACCGGAGAATCTAACACCATTGGATGAACAAACGGCGTGCTATTAGCCAACTTCTCCCTCAGTTGATCTCTCTCCTCTTTTAGTCCCTAAGACAAAGATACAAATCAAAAATGAAAACTTACAGCTGCCAACTTTGCCATGCTGTAAAGTCTCATAGTTGTTTCTTGATGCTTGGCACTCATTTCATTAACGACTTTCTGAAGTTCGTCCAGTTTCTTTTGATTTTCTGTCGCTCTTTCAACCAATTCCTGAATTAGAAACAACATCAAGTATACACGGATTTTCAAAGTCATAATCAAACAAGTAGTACCTTACCTTTGCGGTCTGAGCTTCGCCTCTAGCCAAATCGGCCTGACATCTGAAGTTTTCAACCCTTTCTTCGGCCAACCTAAGCTGTTCCATCATCTCATATTCCTTCTTCGCCGCCTGATCTAACTTCTCCTTCTGTTCGATGACGAAAGATTGTCTATCCTCTAACATCCTACTCATTTGTCGTAATTCCTAAAAACAATAAAAATATCACTAACGATACTTACATCTTCCATTTCGGAAAACTTAGAGATCTTTTTTGCCATTTCTGCAACTGCGGCATGCGCCTTGAAAGCATTTTCCATCGTTAAACGGCAATTTTGACAATTAAAGACTTCGCCATTATCAAAAGCATCGTCAAAATCATCAGCATCTAAAAAATTATGTTATCCATAAACAACATAAAGATTAAATCAAAAAGAATTGACACCTCACCTCCATCAATCCGAATAGTTAGACCCTTTGAAGTTGAGGGAATGTTATTAGGATGAGTTACATGATCTGATTGAACCATGGACGTCGTTCCATGCACCTCTGAATTTAACGAATGATTCACTTGATCGGATAACCCATTCGGCTCTACAGGCCCTGAGGATCCCTTCATAAATTTGGATTAAAACATTCACGAAAATTACTTTTGTCAAAAAAATTGGGAGGAATTTTTAGAAATATTTTTGGGAGAGAGAAGATGTTGACACAAATGATTTTGGTCAAGTCTCACTCCCACTGTTAGTCATGTTACGTAACAAATTCGTCTATAATTCGGTTCATAATAATTATAACTTGTAACGAAATGTTTATTATCATTATTAAGATTCAAACGTATTCCACATTGTCAATTCCTTCTCTGGAAGCTGCAGATGCGAGTGTAATCCACCTTGGTAGTCAATTTCAAGGCCTAAAACCATACATAAAATCAAATAAGGTTTACCGGGATACTCTGTTTTCCTTCGATATGACATCATGAACACAAGCAGGACAGTAGATAATAATAATACGAAACACATAAGCTTTCTTCCATGAAATTCTGTCTGTACAGTATGTCGAGCTCGAATGTAGACCGGAAGCATGATTAGAAGTGCGTATCTACTAGGGTTGTTAAGTCGTCAACTTGACGCATCAGTCACGTTGTCAAATTGCTGTGATTTTTGTCACACCAAATTGTTCTGTCATTATGATTGTCAAATTGAAATTTTTTGAAAAACTTTTATAAGGTTTCGCTAAAAAGTCGTGAATTTGAAATTTTTAGAAATTAACTATTCTTTCTTGTCAAAAAGACCGATTAAATAAGCATTAAAACTAGTTACGACAAATATGAAGGTGTTCATCACAAGAATTGGAAAAATTCTGTCAAATTAACAACCCGAGTATTTACAGAATAATCAGAACAGATATTACATAATCAATAACCGGAATCAATTCCGAAGTCAATTTCCAAGAGTGCGCGACGAATTTCCCTAAAACAGCGACAAGTCGATGAATTTCGGGCAGATAAGAGATCCCGGTTTCAAAGCTGAGAGTTTCAGGAGTTACACGACTATAGTCTCCTTACTTCTACTTGGTCGGTGGTTAGAAGCCTGAGGTTTCAGAAAACATTTTCGGAAATAAACTTGTTTGGGGGGGGGGGGGTAATCGGGATCAAAAAGTATAATGTCGTCAGATGTCTAACCTATAATAATTGAAGATATGTGGTTCATATCATCACCGATTCATCGATGGCTTAGGGATTCCACAGCCAAGTTAGCTCCAATCTATCAGTACATTCTTAGGATTTGTAAGTTGTTATTTGAGTGATTTACTGCAGTCCTTTCAGTTTTGTACCTTGCCTCAATACTGTTTGTTATTTATTTGATTTACTTCTTCACAACTCGGTCAATCAATATGCGGATGTTCGAGGCATCTTTGGACATGGATGATTTTCGATTAGAACTCTCCAGTTATTGGACCAACTACAGAATGATGAGGCCGAAGCCCGGAACATGTGACAATACCACTCTCTTTGTGGCAATCATGACCACAAGTAATATAAAGTCATATAGACAGCGAATGGCGATTAGGAAATACACGTTGGATAGAGTAGGTTTATTCTTTTCATCTAATTCAACACATTTATCCACGTCATAAGACTACAGATCTTGTTTTAGGTGAAAGGCCATGGAGTTGTTGCCAAATTCTTCTTGGGACACCAACCTGGCTTCAGATATGATCTGGTCAAGGAGGAAATCGAGAAGTACGATGATATGGTCTACTTCGATTCCGATGACAATTACCGAAATAACTTTGTTAAATGGTATGCTATGTACCAGTATCATCAAAGATATTGTCCTCATGCCAAATACTTTATCAAAATTGACGATGATACTGCGGTTGATTGGAAAAGAGTGATCAAATGGACCGAAAGAAACTTTGATGGTGTTGTGGAAGGGAAATCCGATTACTTGGTACGGCAAATAAAGGAAATACAAATGTTATAGGTATGCCAACGATTCATTGGGATGCGTCCAGTCCGAAACAAGGAGCATATAAAATGGTACATCTCCCCGAAAGAGTATTCTCATCGCTTTTGGCCTACCTATTGCTATGGATATGTTGTTTTGATGCCGAATTCTACTGTAGCCAAGCTATCCGAGGCCTCCAAAGGGATGCCACTGATTCACATGGACGATGTCTTATATACCGGACTTGCCGCTAGAGCTGCTAAAGTCCCAGTCTACGATTTTGAGGGATTCCGAGAAGGAGTAAGTCGGAAAAATGCATCATTATTACACAACGTTTCAAGAAATGTTGTAAAAACTTTTTGCGAATATCTCTGGATCCTTGCAGCAAAAATTCGAGGAAGTGCGTTTTTTGAACATAAGGATGGTGACATACGCATCAAATCGAGTGTCGTGGCCAGAAACCGCGGTTTCTTGTCTGTTAGGCCTCTAGACAAAAAATGCGAAATGCTTGTCTGTTGAGCAGGGAAAAAAATCTCCACAAGGAGAGAGCAGAAATTTGCGCAATATTGCGCAACGTTACGCAATTTGAGACATGAATTACACATTTCTTGTCTAGACGCCTAACAGACAAGAAATCGTGGTTTCTGGCCATGACACCCAATTTGATGCGTATGTCACCATCCTTATATGCAAAAGATTTCTTCCGAGGCATTTGACCGTGTTTTTTTAAAATTATTCTTGCGACAAAACCCAAACACTAACAAGGTGAAATTAGGTTTGCCACATCTCGTAAGATGTAATCTGTTAGTTTCGGTAGCTTGGCGGATGGATTTGCGAAGGCCCGGCGGAGACTTCCTCAGCGGTGTTGGCCGTTTTGCGGGCTTGCTTTTTGCGAACCGAATCGGAAAAAAGCTGAGGGATTATTTGGTAGTCACCTCACATTATAATTTGCCCAGTCTTGATTTTTCTTTTCTCTTGTTTAAAGGCTGGTGGAGGTAGTCTTGAAGGTTTGAGGAGTGTAAAAAATACGGGAATGGGACAAAAGGGCTGTCAAGCCTAACCTTTCATCAAAGACGACAGATTTTTTTAGGCCCGATTGACTCCATTTGCTAGCAAGGGAAAGGCGGAGAAATCAATGCAAGATAAACCAAAGATATTCGCAAACACTCCTTGGAATATTACTTGAAACACCCTGTACTATGCATTTTTATGTAACTTTTATCTCTTTCAGATCCATCCGAGATATCCTTGCACCGAAGATGGAGTACCTTATCCAACGGCCATTCATCTTCAGAAAACACCCAAAGCAATGGCCAGAACGATGGATAAATTGACATCTTTAGATTGCGAAAACGACGATGTTTTTGCCCCATAATATACGACTGAAAGTAAAACCGGTAAAAAATTTACAAACGATTGATCCAATAAAATAAATTTATTACAAAACAAAATAAGCAAAAAACACCTAGAGACATTCACAAAGTTCTGGGCAGTAGAAGAGAAAACGAAAGCAAGGTAAATGAATAATATACGATGTACAAAAATGGATGAGTTTGTTCCGAAAATACAAAAAACGAGAGAAATCACCGAATCTTTGGATCCTGAGGGTCCAAAAGCCAAGTTAGAACATTTACATTTGGAGTTAGAGTCCAATACATTAAAGTATTTTAGAGGACTGCGGTTATTACAATAGAATTCAATGGGCTTAAGGTAACGACATTTACCATTTTATGGTGGATAAAATGTAACGGAAAATGGGTATTATTGAATCTGGAAGAACAATGTAAAGGGCATCACGGAAAGACACCATTGGAACTGGCTGTGATTAAAATGACATGCCATTTATTGGAGAGTTGAGAATTAGGCCGAGAAAAAATAACAAAAACTAACACTCGGCCAAATGAGCAACCCAAAAGAAGACCGAGAATAAGCGAAAACGGCTCTTAAACAGTGGTTAATCAAATATTGAGCTCTGAGAAGTTGAAGAATAAAAAAGTCATTAACCGGGAGAACCGAAAATGAAAAAATGAAAGCGGAATGGATGAACTACACTTCTAGGGGTCCTATCGAAGGAAAATCATAGCCAGAACGAGAGTCAGCGCACCCAAGACAATCGCGGGACGATTAGAGGAGCATCTAAAATAATATGGTCAGCATTAGTACATGGAGTAATAAGATTACATAACCTATGCAAAAGCAACTTACGAAACACCCGGAGTGCATTTCAAAGCGCAAGTTTCGCCTTTGTAACCTTCAGCGCACTGACAGTATCCTCCATTAAACTCTCCATGCTCGCATCCAACCACCTCATCACATTCTTCTCCTTTGAGTCCCTTGGCACAGACACAAGTGTTGTTTGCATTTTTCCAACGTCTTTCATGTTCTAAAAGAAGGTTATATCGTCAAAGTGACCGATCTTACCCTTTGGAGCCATTCTCCAGCAAGCCAACCGGTCGCAGAATCGGCCATCCCAAGGAGCCTGGCAGATGCATTCCACGTTCTTCTGCGTGAAAGCGATCGTTCCTCCATGACGACATTGATCGGCACAGACACGGTTGAAGAGGGTCTTTCCCTCGGGGCATCCACGGTATTCATTGCAAGTAGGGCCTTGCCAATTGGGCTTGCACACGCATTTGCCGTCTTTCACTTCTCCATGGACTAAAATCGGAAGGGTCGAGGTAAACAATAGGGCAATATAAAAAATTGCATAAAAAGCAAGTTAAAAAGTCTGTCGCGATGTCGGTGTTCTATATAATCATCACCTTATTTTCATAGGTTTTACGCATACGCGCGGGCAGTTTCTAACCTATCCCCCATATATTATTTATGAGACTTACCTCGGAGATGCTTGCACTTGAAATGCTCGTACTTGTTGTCTTCTTCAGTTTCGTCGGAAGCCTCTTTCGTAAACTCCTCGCACTTTTCCAGGCCTCCATCGACAATGGCATAACCTAAAGCCAAGAAATTCCCATCAATTATATTTTTCATACCATTAGTGGCGGCTTTGCATCCAATTGGGACCTCATTCAAAGGAATCAATTTGTTGTACTCGTCGTCCGTTTCCTTGTTTTTTTTCTGTGCCAAGCATAAGGGAGCAAAAAGAAGCAACAATAAAGTGCGAGACCACATCCTAAAAAAGTTTGATTATACATGATTTAATAACAAAGCGGTTTAATGCGAAGAGAGTATAACATACACGCGAAGGGAGTATACCTATCCAGAGTGAAACAAAAAATGTTTTATAAAGAGTTTGGCACGATGAAAACGGAAATGAACTAGAGTAAGTTGGGGGTTGTGGAGTCCTTTCTTCTCCTCACGCTCATGCTCATATCGAATAAAAAGATAAGACAAACAAACTTCCAGGGCATGATGCAAAAATGCCAAACAATGCAAAATTTTTTAGGAAATATTTCGAAAGTTGCCAACAAGAAGTTGTCGAAATGACAATTGACAGGAGTCCCGGAACGAAAGTCTGATCCATCGATTAGCCTTGGATGACAATTGGATTGTAGTGTTTGGTCTATAACCTAATTTATAACGCGGAAGAGGGAGTAAATTTTGTTATTTGGAGCGGCTTTCCTTCCACATTTCCCACTGTAAAGGGGACTGTGAATTCTCCAAAAAGGCGTCCATTTTTATCCCCTGGGGCCATTCTTCACTGAAACGAACGCTCAAAAAATAACTTTGGTGTCCTTATACCTCGTCTCCATGACGACCAATTGAAGCCGAATTTGTTTATTTTAATCAAATCAGACCGCGTTCCCTGAGGGCCTATCCTAATTTGGAGCCGCAACATTTCTGCAGGCCGCGATGAATAAATTGGGAACGGCCGAACCAATGCATGATAAATGGGTGCGCATACGAAAAAAACATAAAACGGCAAAAATTTATGACCAAAAATACATTTGAGTACAAGTTTTTTGGGCAGCAAAAAACCACTGTCAAAGAATCCGGGCGGAGATTTCAAAGATATGCCATGGATCCGCGGCCATATAGGGAGCACGGCAATACTAAGACCGCCAGAAAAGTGTTAGACTGCGTTAGAACGTTATATCAGTTGTGAATTGCAGACTTTAAGACTTATCACACAACGGCAAACATTAGTTAGTATCAACCAAACACAGTATCTTCAATGCCGGGCCAAAATAAATCCATGAACTTCGTCCCCGAACGACCAAATTTGTTTGTTGTGAGAAGAACTCTGGCCAAGAAGCCAAGAATTGTAGTCGAAAAACAAGGAAAGAAGTTCTTTTTTGCAAGAAATGTGGGCGGGACTGTAGATGGATAGCAAAAAAGGATGAGGGAGTCCAGAGAAATTGCATTCTCCTAATCGGTTAGGCAATGGTCAGTCGAATAACAATTTTTTTCTGGAAGTTTACATCCAAAAGCCGGCATTACATCAAAGTTATAAAAAGATTAGAATGATACGGAAGATTGTGATTAAAATATTTACAGTAAAGGTTGAGAAACAAGTTTAAGAGTAATCAAAACGGATGGTTCAGACTCTTTTTTGATTAACAACGTCTATTCCCAAGCAAAGAATGACGGAAATAAAAAAATATTAGAGTCGGACTGTCTATGGCCTATTTTAAGGTGTGATATAGGCCAAAAAAAGAGCTTACACTCCTCTATTATTGGAGTTATTTATCGCGGAAACGCTGACACCATAAAACAAATAAACTTCACATTAAGCGGGGCTTTCTTGACCCAGCATCTGGAACGTTGATATTCCGTTCCCCTTTGACGTGTCCCTTCACATTAAGCGCCACAAAAACTTTGTTCGATGCCTTTTCTGGAGAAGGAGATGTCCGTTAAACCAAGCCAAATTGGTTTTTTCTGAGGCAACGACGGCCCTTTGAATGGCACAAATCGAGGCCCTCAGGCGTTCTTTCGCATGAAAAAGATTTAGTGCGGCCGAAAACACAAATATTCAATCAATTAGGAGGTGCGAAATCTGGGTATGATTTATAATCTCAATCAACAGATTGCTGTTAAATACGAGTAAAAACATGACACTGAAGGTCTGATGATATATGTAATAAACATCACTTACGGGTCGGAATGTCAAAACTTTTCCGATTTTTTTATCATCACGTCAAAAGAGCCCAAATAAATGGAAATGTCAGAAATGTGATGTATGAGAGAGAATCTATCAAATCTCAAGGCGTGAAACCCTTCGTAACTTGAGAATAAGTCTTGGTTTAGTAAAGAGGCTCTCTTTTTACTAATCCATACTATTCTTGACACTATTTTTGAGATAATATAACTGAAATACGAAGAATACGGTAAATCAAAAACTCTAAAGAGCGACGAAGAAGATGACAATAGCCCCGGAATCTTTTGTAAACCGAAACAACAAACAGCCCGCTCATCTCTGTACGGTATCGCGATAAACTCCGAAAGGCGACAAAAAGACAAATTAAGGATAAATAAATTAACGGAACTTGGCCATGTGGACACATTATTCGAACCCGTAAAAACGGAGTCGTTTAAAGAAAAGACAAAGCGAAGGGAAATGAGCAGTCGAAAGGGACGAGATCCAACACAAGATGTATATAAAATCCATTTTTTGAGGGAATATGTCATCTCAAGGTCTGCATAAACAAGGTGATTGGCGAGAACGGGCCCCATTTCTACGGTAGACCGATGATAAGCGAACGGAACGCTGTCATAATAACATAAAAAATGACAAATACCCCCACCAAATGTGCTTCGAAAACATCTCCAAGAGATTTAGGAAGTCCAAACAGCCCCATAAAAGATATATAAAGCAAAATGAAGGATGGAAAAGAAAATAAAACCCGGGAATATGTCGAAAAACAGGAGGGTCGCCAAGGAGGCAACCTTCGTCTCATTAAAAAGTAGAAAAAACTGCCTCGTCAGACTGTAAAATAGAAAAATTTGGGAAACGAATTGACAATACTGCATAAAAATGATCGCCGGAAAAAATAACTGAAACCTGGTCCGAATAATGTTGTAATATTTACAATTCGTAACGCCTTGATCCCCTGTTCCTGGTCTCGGAGAGAAGGTGTGACATTAATAGACCAAAAAACAAGATCTATCACAATCCCATCTTAACAGTTGCGATTGTTTTTGTCTGTTGAGAAATCCGTTGAAAAGCCCTCAAATCCGGATCGGACTTCATTTTCAGCCCTTAGTCAGCCCGCTGACTCAGCCTTTGAACCCCTCTGCCAATTTAAATTATTTGGTGAGTGGAGTTTGATAAATTTTAGTGTAAAGCGCGTCAAAAGGTACCTACTCCGACCTGCCATCTTCCTTTAAAGACTTTCTATTATAGTCATTGCATTGGAGTTGTCAAGATGCGTCTTCTCTTGCTTCCTCTGATTGCTCTGGCTGTGGTCAGAGCTGAGTACGATGACTCACTGAAGTGCACTGTCTGCACCAAGGTCGCCAACTACATTATCCCTGCTATCAGAGAGGCCGGGAGTGACGTAAGTTGTTATTGAACTTTGGAAGAAACTTCTAATTAGACTAGGATACTTAAATTAGACACTTAAGGACCCCATAGAACAACTACTGGTTAGAGGAAGTAATTACTCGCAAAAGTGTGCATTTTTAGGCGGTGGACAATGTCTGCGACACTTTCACCAGCGATTCGATCCGCAGTGCCTGCGGGCAGATCGTTGGGACTGGCTGGTCGATGATTGTGAATTGGGTTAAATACAGAAAGGCCGGCCCTCGGGATATCTGCGTGTCGGTTAGCTTCTGTGAGAATGGTGGAAGAGATTTTGAAAAAGAAGATGCGCAGAATGGGGGACATGATGGAGGCAACAGAGATCATGACGTTGGATCGGGAGGAGTTGGAAGTGGAGGTGTAGGTGATGAGAGGGGACATGTGAATGGAGGAAGCAATGGAAACAATGGCAATAACGGAAGAGACGGGCTCAATGGGAGGGATGAGGACAGAACTAGTGTAGACCATGACCGTGCCGGAGACCGTAGCCGTTCTCAAAGCCCAGACAGAACTTCTGGAGGTGGAGATCTCAACTTTGGAGACATCGATGCTGAACGAGAACGTCAGGCAGAACGTGAAAGAAACGAAGAACTGGGCCGAGGAAGACGTGAAGCCGTCCAACGCTACAGGAATTTGATGGCACAACGTAAATAATCGGAATCCCCTTGCACATAAATCCCTCGATTATTTTTTGCCCAACATAAATTTGGCCATAAATATAAATTAATTCCAGCTCTTAGAGCCATGAAAAGTCGGGAAGAACAGACCCTGAGGGCATGAAAACGTTCCCAAGAATGGGACCAAGTGTTTGTTCAGCAACATGGAAACGAGCCCAAGATGGTCAGATAAACAACTGCCGAAGAGAGCGTCGCGAAAAACGGCCGAAGCAAATTTCCGGCCGCTTTTTTCGACTCACCTTGAAAGGGCGCTGAAGAGATGAATAAATTCATGTACACGTGCCCCAACTCAACCGGAAATAGACCCCGAAACTGAATTTGGAGAATGGGAAATAAATGTCCATTTGAATTGATTATGAGGCCGTAAGGAATGACCCAGGACCCATGTTTAAACACTCTTGTTGGCTTGCTGTAACAACTCTAATTTAACTAATTCTCACCAAAAAATGGAACCCTCGTCTCTCTGTCCGTTTTAATTAGACCTTCAACCTTGTTTACGTCTTCAAAAATCGAAAAAATGAAAATTGGGAGCCCCGCATAATGTGGCTCCCTTCGCGCACCCAAAACACATAAATCTCTGGCCATCCGCATATCTCTCGGCCCGTCGTTTTGGCTAACTTTTTTGCGTTTCGACGAATTTTTTGCTCACGCACTCCCGACCCAATGACCCCGCACCCTGAGGGTTTTGCAGCTCCCGAAAGATCCCTTTAAAACAAATTAATAATTTAAATAACGCGCAGAAATTCATTTCCAGCCAGAGAATAAGAGGCAACGGAAGTGTCAACAGTATGTCTATATTATATAACGAAAAGGGTTCGGGTTTCATGTTCATTCTGAGTCTAACATAAGGTTCGAATTTAGGAGAAATTTAGGCAAAATTGAAGGCTCTTAAAAACGTTGACAAAATAAAACGAGAAGAGCTGGGCCAAGCACAAACTGAGGAGCAAAAAGGGAGTCTGTAACGAATTTAGAAGGCAGTAATCATCCAAAAAACATTCTTTTTACATGAGCAGCATAAACTGAAGGGTCATGGTTCATTTACTTTGCTCGGAACTGCAATTAAAGCCCCCAAACCGGCCGTTTCCTTTGATTTATCCCCAGATTTTGTCAAACGGAGTGTTAGTTATACAGTAAAACGGCCGTAAAAGGACTGGGAATTCCCGCGCCGGCCCCTCATTAACCGAAAATGGGTTTGTTTTTGGTGGAAAAAATGGCTCCACATTTATGCAAAAGTAAACAAAAATTGAAAATATTTTGGCCACAATAAAATACTGGATCCAATTTGGGCGCCAAGAACATGTGGCCCGGCCTGTTTTAAGTGGGCCGTTTCCTTTTTGGCTCCGAAATTCGAAAAAAAGTTTAAAAAAAAGAGTTTTTCCCGTGGGTTAAATGAAAAATGGATGAAAGAAGAAGGTGGAAACTCTGAGATGTTTTATGATGACATTACTCTGCTGATAAACAGGCGCAACTGCTGCGGGGACAAGAGAAAGTCGTCGAATTCGGGGTACCACTCTCACGCTTGACCTTTCTGGATGATTTTACGACCTAAATTCTACAGGGAACACAAAAGGTAGTTGTAAAACCACAATAAATCCCGCTGAATTTCCTTTATAAAGCCCTCGGATATAATAAAAACCCCTTTTTCGAACCTACAATGACATGGGATTATACCGTGAAATAAAATAATCGAATACAAAACGGCTTCATCTTTACGATTTAAAGTGGTAAACAAAACAGTTGGATGGAACGGACCAGGTAGTTTTTTGAGCCCCTTTCATAATTCGAGGCATTTTAAGTCCGTAGAGGACAAGTGTTTTGTTGTCTTAAAAGTTGAGGGGCGAATGAGTGATTGGGCAAAAACATATCAAAGACACAACGAGTAAACGTTGAGAAGGGCGGAAAATAACTTTTTACTCTTTTTTTTTTGATGGGAAAATGTGTGATCAGTGCGCAATGTTGCAAATCAAATCAGAGGCGACAACTGGGGAGAGAAAGCCTGTTTTCGAGGATTCAAATCGGTTCCAAATCTGACCGCAATTAACCGGCTTTATAGGGGTATTTTTTGACGACTGTTTTCAAGCCGGGAAACCCTCAAGGTAGGACGTTGAGAATGAAAAAAAAATTGGCAAAACAGATTTTTTTGGTAAAGCTAAAATTTTCCAGAAATTAACGTGTACATCAAAATTTATTTCTCAGAGATTTGTTATAGTAATACGATTACAATGTTTTTAAACTTAAAAATCACCTTTTCTGATGGGGATTCCCTTTGACAAGAAGCCAGTAAACAATAATGGAATTGTAAGACCCTACTTTTCGGAATTTACTCAAAGTTAAGACTCCAAAGACCTTCCAAACCCTCAGTAAAAAGCATGCACGGACATTGTCCAGGATGTAACTATATATCCTGGAAGACTTTGTGTTCTTCCAGTCGTTTTTTCTCCCAACAAAAACCGCCGGATCAAATGAACAGAGTTGGGTTTCACAGGAATTAAAAAAGCGAAAAAAGAGGGCTTAAAAAGTACTGAAAAGTGTCAACGAAAAGCGAGCAAAGACGCGTCAATACGAACTCAACAAGTGCCTGGTAAATGTGAAGAAGAAGATGTGCTCTTTTTTGAAGGCTAACCTCGGTTCTGAGATACTCACAAGCATATTAAAGAGACAGGGTTGTCAGCTGTGAAATCCCATAAAAATAATTGATATGATCTCGCCACAAAGTCGTTCCCTTCCCACGTAAAATCCGTGAACTTGGCCTCATAAAATGTGGTACTTGTTAACCTTTCGACTGCCCATATTTTAGTCTATTTTTGATAGAAATGGTCAGATGACAATGTCTGAAATATAAAGCCTGAAAAGGCGACTATGAAAGAAGTGCAACCCAATTTAAAAGGCAACCAAAAAATGTGAAGCCATGTCATCAACACGTCAAATGCATTTAACCTCCCAATCTCCGCCTGTTGAAAGACCCAAATAAATTGCTAAAACTTTATTTGAACCCATAAATTAAAGGCCGACAAATGAGTGTAAAGAAGTCGGTGGTTGAGAAATGAATTCGAACAAAACTATATAAAACAGGACGAAGGATGTCAGCGGAGAGGAGATTAGAATCCCAGACTCTTATTGTTGTTGTTTCACCTGTTTCGAGAAATGGGGAAAAGGTGACCGCACACTTAATTCAGCCATGACACCCAAAAAAGGCCAAGTCTTTGAGGCCGGCAATTAAACCCCGAGATTTGGGGTCCATTTGGCATTCATTGGAAAGGATCTCCAACGAAACCCATAAAGAAATATTTACCTCATTTCATATTCAAACTAAAATAATGTTATGGAAACAGGGAAGGTTGGCCAAAAATGGGATTAGAGGGATTAAAAATGGGATTGATGCAACAAACAAGAAAAAACGCGACAACAAAAAGCAAAAGTCAGACGGGGAAACCAAACAAAAGTCAGTAATACTACTTCCAAGGTGATTAAAGATCGCAGGAAACGTATTTTATAGCCAGACCTCCCTTTTCCTGAAATGCCGCCCTTGCAATTTATGACTTTTTATGATTTCACGCGCCAAATTTAATCGGAATTTAGAGAAGAGCCCCACAAAACAACAAGGTCGGAGCCGGGGAAGCAATAAAAACTCTTACAAACCCCCCAATTAGACCTCGGATTTGACGATAAAAAAAAGTGAAAATGCTCCCAGATGAATAAAAAAGTTCCTTGAAATGTGCAAACAAATCGCGCAACTTTCTCCCACTTCCGACGGCGTCTCCATTTCAAACACGCGGATATAAGGCGCCGAAAAGAAGGGTGTTACACCATTTCGAATATTGTAATAGACATTGAGGGGGAAAAGGTTGGAAAGTAAAGGCCTTCACTTTATAAAGGAAAAGGATTTTGTTTTTATGGGATTCATAAACAACGACCTACTGTTTTCTTACTGTTCCTGACCGTGCATAAATCAATGATCACACAGAACAATAAAAAGGTTTTTGCAAGTAAAAGGGATACTTTGAATTGGTTCAAGAAACAATCCCTCCATATTTGAACCTAATCGGTCAAATTGCTTGTTTTTATTCGAATACACAAGAAAAAGAATCCGCGCTTTGCACGCCTAATTCCCCCCCGCCTATTCAAATACATTTTGCCGGCGTATTCTTGCCCGCAGGTCGCAAACAACAAACCCAGCGCGAAACTTGATATTAATTACACGGCTTACAGATCCATTAATTAGCGAAAAGAAAAACGAATCGGGGCCGGCCACGGCCTTTAAGTCCCTGGCAGATGTTATAATTTATGCAAATTTCGAAGGAAATGGACACCACATTTCGTGTACTTCATTTGTTTATGTCTTCAGATTTATCGCCCTGTTGATGCCAGCAATTCATCTTTCATGACCGAAATTATGGAGACTTGAATTTATGATTTGGCGGGTGAAATAGAATGCCAAAAATACCCAAATTTTTTGAAAAAAGTTGAACATCAGATTTGAAATAAAAATTTATTCATTCTACCGGTTCCCTGGACGAAATAGAAGAACAAGTCATTGATTGGTTTGACTTTTTCTCCAGATTCTCATGATAAATCTTGGCCTGAGCTTCCTGCTGTCGAAGATTCCGTGCATAAAGATCTCTCATGTGACCGTGAACTGATTGTTTCACATCATTCACAACGTCTCCCAACATCCAGAATGTTATCAATTCAGTCACAATATCATAATTTTGTTCTGTGAGATATGAAAGGACGTTGCAAAGGAAGAAAACAAAACAATGCCAGACTTTGTGGACAACAACAACTGGCGCTTTGTTCTCATTCGAGGGAGAATAGGCTTCCATAAAAGCGATCAGGTTCTTCCTCGATGCCAGAGGTTTCTTTGGAAGGAGCATATAACAATGAAGAAGAGTGAGGAGTTGGGAGATGTCCAGATCAGCCAGTTCTTTCTCCATGTCTTGGACTGCCGCCATTTGAAAGTGTTGGATTAATTTCTCATCTTTCTCGAAGGGATAAGTGGCCAATCGGATCAAAACGTTCAGGACATATCTGTGTTGAGCTCGACTGAAAAATAATAGAATCAATGACGCAAAATGGAACAATTATCAGGGGTCATGTAGGCATACCCTCTCTTGGTGTACAAGTTCTTCCAGTCGACCACAATCTCTCCCAGTGTGCAGTTGTGAACTTCATGATGAGTGTAATCTCGATGCTCGAATTTAACCCCAGACGATTCGAAGACAAATTCCAGGACCCGTTTGCATATCTGGAACATTAATTTGGGGACATGAGGATAACTCCGAGCTTCTTCATTGGATAAAAAGTTGTTTTGCCAGGTGAGATATGAATGTAGAGGATATCCGCCATTGATTGGCAGGATCCGGGCGTTGCGCAACATTATATCTTCGATTTGTCCTACAACCACTACTTGCTCCATACTTTGGACAGAATTTGGACTAAAATGAAGGTTTGTAATTAACATAAATATTAATATAACATAAACCTAATATAACATAAAATTAGTAAAATACGGCCAAGATTTTTTACCGTTTAGATCTAACTAATTCCAAGGCTTCTGATGCCGACATTCCCTTGGATAACACAAGAAAACAAGCAATAAGAGTGCCCGTTCGACCCAATCCAGCATGGCAATGAACAGCAATTTTCCCTTCATTCAACGAGAACTTCATTACTTTTACTATATCTAGTATGGTCTCCACCGAACAAAATTGAAAATCCGGTATGGCGAAATTGTAATGATATACTAAATGGGGTTGGTTACTGTAATCCAGACCTACCGTTGTGTCTCATGAAACCTTCAGGGTCATAGGAAAAGCCTGATTGATGAAGAGGAGGACCACAAAAGGCATGCTCATTGGGGCTTTGGAGATTAAAGATGGCTGTTATGTTATTCCTAAAGATCGTGTAACTGAGATGAATACATTACTCACTTTTTAAAACTTTCGATTATGTCAAACTTTTCCATGGCATCCTCTGTTGGCCTGGCCATGGCCAGAATATCATCGGTTATCCTAAAAATCAAGGCTTTAGTCTCAAAAAGGTCGTAATTTTTTATGACACTTACATTCATTGCACTCCTAATATGCCTAATGTGCAGAACATAATGAAACTCGCTTACCACGAGGAATATAACCCTCTTATCGCCATCTGATCCTCTTTCCAGTACTCCCATCCACAATATTTACAGTTGGGGCCGCGGCAATATAATTTACATTTCATTGTGTCAGGTGTAAGACGGAGGATCCCGCTCCTAAAGGCCGAATATTTGGCTGGTGGCAGAGCGATCGAGGCGGAGGCTGAGGTAAAGTCGTGGTTAATATCTGAAATTCGAACTATTTTTATTATAAAACAAATGGAACTTTGTTAGATACGGTATAATTTGATGACGAATTTCCATTCTCTTTATATCTAACCCTTGATAAGAAAATGCGTATTTTGTATATTATCCTATAATAAATGACGTTAATTCAGCTCAAACAGCCGCGGATTTACACACGACCGGTTATTTTGCACAATAACGGGTTGTAAAATGGCTGTCAGGTGTAATATCTGAGGCCGACCCGTATTAACCTCATATCTCCGAAACCTTAAAATCGACCAAGCTCTAAAGAGAAGCATCCGGAAGCCTTCTTTTTTACTTGCTTTAGCCGCATTTTACATTACACCCAAGACTGCTCTTACAAAATCCCATCAACACACACATTTCGCGTGATATAAAAAATTTTTTGTGGATATGGCGATGACGCTAGGCTACTGGTATTTCTACATATTCACTTCCGTACAATGGGTAAACTTGTCGAAAATATAATACTTTCTAGGTTTGGACGTGGCGCCATCCACTCAATTGATGTGTGTTTTTAAATTTTGAGGTTGATGTGGATACAAAAAAGTGAGAGAGAACACGGATATCGTGCTCGTCCTTGTTTTCTAGCTTTATAAATTGAAAAATTGTTCCGGAAGACTGGTGTAATGACTACGATACGATAAGAAGGCGATATATTAAAGAAAGCCAGGTTCCATTACATTACATTATGTACTATCATATTGCATAACTTACCTAAAGTTATTGAACGTAAATCTGACTTACCCGATGCGGACGTCATGATGGTTGAATTGAAAGATGCAAATGGCTAACCGAGCAGTGTATTACACCCGCTCCTTACATCTTAATTGTCATTCGATTTCAGTGCCGCCTTCCAACCTAAGCTCTTAGGGTTTTTGCATTTGTATAGACCAAAAAACGGCTTTAACCTATGAGTTCGCTGTCACCATGACAACTTTGAGCACGTAAATCTACTGATTTCCGGGATTAAAATCGCTTAAATTTGGAGTTATTCCATTGTCAAAACCATTGTGAAGGAAGAATTCCTAGCCTGAGGGGGTTTTGTCATGGATACAGAAGTTGTAAACTAGGGCTTCCGAAAAAGAAAAGAATATTTTATGAGGGTATTGTTAAGAGAAACAATCGAGGTTAGATGGGCAAACCCCATGAAATGGCTGGAAAATGAATAATTAACCAGACTGGCATTGTTAAAAGATAATGACGCAGATAAACACAGCAATTACAAAGACCTTTAGCTATTAATATGGTCGTTGATGAGTGTGGCTACCATTGTAGTTTGAAACACGTAGAATTCGTACGAACAAGTGCTTGGCGAAAGTAGTGCGTTCATAATATTATTTGTGTTACTTTTCTTGAGTATTGTCAACGGCTTCTGTATTAAAATTTCCATGAAATTAAATTGGTAACAAGACTTAGAAGCAATAACTTTTATTGTTGTCTCCAATGAGTGAATTTTTAATTGTTTTCAATTTTAAATTTTTATTGCTTCAAATTTAATGTGAAAGGTATGCACTTTGATGGAATCACAAGAAACCCCAACGAAAGTTCATAAAGTTCTACACTCACATGACTAATCTCTTGCCCTTTTTCAGCTGTAATTTGTTAATTCTAAAGCGCACAAAACACTTTACTACTTGAATGACTAAACCATTCTCAATTGGAATAAGTAATCTACGTATATTTAACAAGTTCTGCATGCTTCATATAGATCATGGGTTCAAGATAAGAGAGTGTTGATAAACACTTGGAATACTCAAGGAACTCTCAACGGACTTTGACTCCAAATCCAAAAAATAAGCTCCAAATTCGCTATTTATTTGTGGCACAACTGCTTAAAGAAGGGAGTAAACAATAAAGGAACAGTAAGTCAACTCGAATAGTTCCAAGAATAACTTCTTATCTATATTGGACACTAAAAAACAGCTGATAAAATGCAAAATCGGTCCCCTCCGACTGCCATCATATCTTTCTCGAACGACCTTTGGTCATAAAGTTACAAATACTCTTTCAAAACACTTTGTAAACAGGTTTTTGACCATCAAAACAATCTTTTTTGCACGTGTGATCGATATGTTTGTAAGAATACAAACAAAAGTACCAAAAGGTAACCAAAGATAAGGTCGTTCTGCCGGCTTCCTCGTGAAATCCCGCTTAGATGGCTATCAGTTGGGATCGGTTCAAAGAATTTCTCAAAGCGTTTTGGTTCCAGATGCTGGTGTTTACAATGTCATGATCTGATAAGCGTACTCCCCGTTTTCTGATGTCTGAATGGAGGAAGTTCAATATGAGGCAGCTCCAAATGAATAAACAAACGGTTGCTTAAGGTGTTTTCTCCGAAGTTTCGTCATCCTTTTTTGATGAGAAACTGAATTTACACGTGAGTTCCGTAAGGTTTTGTTCGCCGCATGACTCGGATCTTCAGACATGATGCATAAAGTTCCGTTTCTCTCGAATATGGTTATTTCACCAATCTATTTCCAAATTCGAGTCCTCTTTCTCTCCTCTCCGAGCTGTCCCATGACCCCAGACGTTACTCTTTAACACCCCCATCGGCCATAAATTGGACAAAGACCTCCTCCTCGAAGAGCTCCTCTTCCAGATCATGGCCTCTTCCCCCATTGCTCATTAATCTTCTCTCCCAGGGTACGAATCATTAAATCAAAAACGGAATCCTTGTGAAAATGTCGTGCAGATCAGCGCGTTTTTTAGCCAAAGTTTCAACGCCTTTTATAAGGTTCTCGTGATCGTCTGCAGAAAGAATGGTGGCTTTTTATTCGGGTTATTTGGGATTGCTTTCGTGTTCATTGATACCAACGATGATCATGTGCTTTCCGAAAGCCGGACTTCCCTCCTTTTTTCAAACTTTTCTATATACGTATTGTGTAAAGGATGTGTACAAACTAAGAAGCCTTTTTTGTTAAAATAATGTCGCCCCTTCCTTTTTTCAGAAAGCCAGACAGTTAAAGTGCATTTGGCCATTCTCTGATCATATGACTTTGTAATGTTCGGAGTCTCTTTTCTGAAAAAAGAACTCTGCTCCCTCCTCTCGCCCCATTTTTTTGGAAGTCGGGGAGAACTGGAATAAAAGGCAGGGTTCCAATCTAACATGTGATTGAAAAGTCTGGTAATTTGATGTAATGAATATGGAGAGTTAATTAGATCATTGTTAAGATCCCCAGGCACGACGGGGAACGGCACGTTGCGAACTTTTAATTAGGTTTAATTTCTCCAAGATACGTATTTGGAATGTTTGTTTTCGGAGGTGTCCTTGTCCAGAGATATCTCGTCTTTGTACACTTAACCTTTGACACCAAACAGCAAGCTGTCGAAATAACAGCGGGCCTGAAACCCGGTAAATATTTGTTTGGATGTTTATTTTCCGTTTCTCAGAGAGCCCCTCTTCCCTGTAATTCCGTTATTTACGTCTTTTCCTTTGTGTTTTCCCGGTAATCTTGAGGTTATTTCCAATTTTATGTCATCAAATATTTTTTTAAAACACATTAAACCAGTCGATAATCATATTCAGATCGTTTTTTATATTATAACCATCAATTTTATGACCAAAATATTTTGCAAAATGTTCTCTTCGGCGTCAGGATGACAAGAATCGCAGACATAAATAAGTCGTTATTGCGCGAGGCAATTGCAGATGTTTGCACTTTCAAAAGGACGTTTGCTGTCTGCAATTGGAAAAAAAACGATAAAATCTTTGGAAAATATAAACAAAGACGGCCCATGTATACTCGTTCTCCTTCTTTTCTGAGCCTTTCGTACCTTCGGGGTATTTCTGCCAACCTGCCAAGGGGAAGATTGAACACGCTCCCAGCCATTAGCCGCTCCCCAGCTTCTCAATGACCTTTGAGTGCATCTTAAGAGTCTTCCCTTCCCAAATCACTGTTAATTTTATGTTCTTCGTGGTATATAACAGCAAATTTTATAAGCTGCTATTTAATGACTGCCTTACGAGCAATAGTTAGTACCCATATAACCCGCAATCTAGTTCATTACTTGTTAAAAATAGCCCTCATTCTAATGACGCAATCCTTTGATTATCATCATTTTTATTGTTGATCTTTATTAGAATGCCTGACATAAGCGTGATCACATGGTTCCCGCCCGAGGTGTGGAAGTCGTGATCAGCAAAAACTTCTTTCTCGAAATTCCCCCGGATCAACATGTAATGTTTTACTATGGTAATATCAGCGTGATTTAAGCGGAAATGAACAACAGTTTAGTTTATCTGTAGAGGCGGTGTTTATGTAATGGCTTTTTTTGGTGTTGCAGGGAGTAATTAAAGTAGCAAACTCCGTTTTTTGATCCATTTTTGTGGGCAGGAAAATATGAATGGGGACAAGGTTTGAAGGAAATTGATCCCTTTATTATTGACCTTCTTCTCCAGGGATCTCTTCGAAAGATCGCCCGAAAAAAATTTGAGAGCCAAAACAGCAGCTAAAAACTCAGTCTAAGGCCCCGAGAATATCTGCAAAAAGAAATTAACCTCTTGTTTTTGATGGGTCACCAACCTTCTAGTATCCTTAAGAAATGATGGTATCTCTCCGGTGTTATTGTTTGCCTTTCGCCTTTCAGGTGTCGTCAAAATACAAAGAATTCCTTATCATGTTTGGTGGGCTTGGGATCACTTCCTGATGGCATTCCTTCGCTTTCTCACATGATTTTATTACATTGTACATGGAATGATCTTCTCGTTTCTAATTAATAGAGTCGTTTTACCAATACTAATGTCGGGTCAATTGTATTGATATATAACCGCTATTGCGGCTTTGTAAATCACTGGCGCCCGATATTCTGTAATTTCGACCCCGCGTCATTCCCCTCTTCCCGCCATCTGCTCTGATGATAAGAGTCAATTATTAATATCGAGTCCAAAAAGTCATCACGGTTTGCAAAATTACTTCGCATGAGTTAACGAGTAGCGATCACATGAATTCCACCTTCCTGTACTTGATAATGGAATTGTTTCCCTAATGTTTACCGAGCGTCTGGACATGTCTTATGATGTTATAGGTAATTCGGGAGATCTTATCTATGTTTCCAAAGCACTAGCGAACATTCAAACCCGCCTTTCTAAATCCTTTTTGGATTTTGAAAAAGAGGAGGCGGTTTTTCAGTTTCGCACTTATCCGAGCGTGGCTAATGCCATGGTGAACATAATTATTATCACGAACTTCATGAAACCTTCGATCGTAAAGATGCATGCCCATATACACTTTTGGTCTGCTCATTATAGGTTTTTGAAACTGAAAAAAGCGTCATCATGACAGATTTTCGGGAAAAATTCGAGACCTGGCGGAAGATCGACAGGCGGAAGGGCGTTCTTCCGAGTTTTACAATAGTCTCGCATTAAAAAATGGTGTCCTGACGGTGGTGGTGTTTCCTTTGCTCTCCCCGTTCTCTTCCACCCCGTGATTATCTTCCTCTTCCTTTCCCTTTGAACCCCGTGATCAGAGAAGAACGAAAAAATGGGAGGAAAAAGATTTTTTTGTTTTCCGACAGAGAAAGTGCAGACTCAATTCGAGTTTCTTTTTATGGACGCGAGTCTCGAGTTATGGGGCAAGACTTATTGGACAGGGCCGAGAAAAAGCCAAACGACCAAGTCTGTGCCTCCACTGTCCCCGCGCTCTCTCGCCGCCTTCCGGTCCCTCATCTTTAGAGCCGAGAATAGAGAATCAAGGACAGGGATTATATAACGCGTGTTTTCTGGGGACTTTTATTTGAATATCGCGTGAATCTTATTGCCCTTTACACGAACAGTGAGCATTTTTATTGGTTGTCGTCTTTTTCAGGGTATCTCGTATGAATGCGCGAACAAAACAGTTGCAATTGGTAAGTTTTAGCATTTTTATCGATAATTTAGGTAGTAAGAGTAGCCTTCTACTTTTATTTTGAACTCTAGGGTAGAATGATTCTTTCTACGGCCGCCATGGTCACGGGCTTTCCGAATGAGTTGAGCCTTATTTATTCCAACCTTTATTGATTATATTGATCTTGTTTTAGACTGTCGAATCGCGCCAATTACAAGATGCGGCGTCTTGCATATTTCATACACTGCTTCTTCACCGAACGACTGGAAAATTCCACTATTCGACTGATGTAAACTACAAGATCGGGTGTATAGGACTTCAAGAAATTCAATGCGAGGAGATTGATCTCACTTATGTAAGTGTAAAATAAAGGTTATTTACTTTTTGTAAACCAACAAAGTTATGCTTATTTCATTCTCTCCCAACGTTGTCGATCAGCTTTTGTTAGGCATGCTAGCTTTTACTATTATCTACTCTATGGCAACTAAAATCCCCTTTTCAGGTACGGGTAAACAGTCCTGAATTGATATCAGACGTGGAGAAAAGTGTGTCTGACATTGGAGAAGCAGTCAGGAATTCGACCAAGACCGGTTTTGTTGTAGGATCCTCTCCCAAGTCGAATACATCGTCCCCATCACCGAGTGTTAGACTTTATGGCATTGGTAAGGATATCTCAATGTTATTATTTGGTGTTTAGAGAAATGGGAGACCTTGATGACGGCTCCGATGAAGTTAGAGTTCTATCAGAAACGAAAGAGGCAATGGCCTATGCCCGAAGATCATTCGCCTTGGGAGGTCTGGGATCTGAATTTAGAGGTTGTGAAAATAGAATCAACTGGTGAGTCTGATCAAATAGAAGAAGGATGGGGCTTATTCATGAAGATTTATGGTTCCCTTTGAATGAATTTCATAACAAGTCCCTGTTCCTTTCAAAAAGCGCAGTCGAAAACGTTCAAAAATATTTATGGATATTATAATTACATTTTCGAAGACAACGTTAATGGCTTATTTACAGAGGACTTTACTCCGATGAGGGAGTATGTGGGCGAAAGACTCGGAGAGATCGTCCTAAACATATGTCAATGCATGAATCGCTCCCAATACATGCCCGCCATGCCTTCTCGTGACTCACTGGCTGACGTCTTTGATGATCGTTTCAGCGATTGCGAGCCCTACCTATATCGGATCGACTCCGACCTTATCTCCAAGCCGAATGATCTTAACTCCAGGTCGAATTATATGATGAGATTGCTTCGGGATACCATGAAGTTTACTGGCTAACACTAATCAAGGCTCATTTCAGTAGTTTCCTCTCCGTTTCTTGTGTTTACACGGTCTTTTCCTCTTTCTTTATAACGACTATTTCGGGTGTTTAATACTGTAATATATTTGCATTTATGTTGTTCATCTTACTTCAAAGTCTCATCAGGAAAATTTTGACGAAAATATGTGTACATAGGCGCTCGTTTTCGACAAATACACAAAAAAATCAGCCCTCCCTTTCTTACCTCTTTCCTCGTTGTTACATGTATAGTGTACTACTTGTTCATATTCAGAACACTGTCAAAAAAAGTTGTAAAAAATGTAAAAAATTTGGTGTTGTCGCTTTAATAAATCTTTGTTTTGATAAGACTGGACCCCGATTACATGAAGCTAATATAAAATGAGTGATTACAAATGATCTTAGACCTGACCACCAGGAGATTACAACTCATTGCTAAAAGTATTACTTTTTGGTCATTGATGCAACAAAACCTGTTTTTGAGACTATCTAACCCACAAGACGATCATATGAGTGTAGGGAGTGCGAAGAGATTATGCAACACGAGTTATCACATGAGAGCAACTCTTGGCTCAATTTCCGATTGGGTCAAGTGTTCGTCTCCAATTTTTTTATTTTCTTTTTTTCTTGCCGGCACGCTTGCCTTGCAAGGAGAATTGATAGTACACAAGGAGCAATACTGGTATTTTCGAGTGAAATATCGGAATTTTTTGTAGTATGAGGCTTCATTACTTCTTAAAAAAAGTTTTTTCTGCACAAGAAAGTTTTGTTTTCGTCAATTTTAGGGTTACTAGGTTGGGGAAGTCAGTGGTATGATTTTTACGTCCTTTTTATAGCGTGTATTCGACCGGCTTTTATGTTTTGTTTAATTTTATGAAGTCCTATCATTGGTAAAAATAAGAATCTTTTCCGGGAATGCCATATTTGACACACGTGTGTATAACACGAATTGAAGCTCCAAATCCTTTCGGACACCGTTTGACTCCACTTGCTTATCATATTCTTGATGAGTCTTCATCTTCCAACTCTCTGAATCTCCATGATTTCTGCGATCTAATAGAAAGGGGCGCCGAATCTCTGGATTATGTGCTAATCGATCGGATCGAAGTCAACCCAGGGTAGGTTTTCTTCGAAAATACATGGGTTTCTTTATAGTGTTACACTTCACTTCTCTCTACACCCAAATCGAGTGGCTCCAGTCTGCTTGTTCTGTGTTGGTGATTCCAAATGTCGACCAAATCAAATTCAAGCCTTTTTCAACTTCATGCGGGTGTTATACGAAGACGACAAAGAAATCGAAGGAATGATACCAAGTGTCAGAGAAGGTGGACTACAGCAATTGCTTGGGGACAAACTTCAACACGAAATGGTGAGATTTTACTGTTGGAGTAGACTTCATTACGTAATTTTATGGGTCTTCCATAAATTGCACCATCGTTGGGTGACTGGGGACTTTCTAGATGCCAGATTGCGTCAAATATGACAAAACTGTCACGCGTAAGACGAGTTTTTAAAAGTAGATCTCAAGGGTAATATCTTCAAATATAAAATTATTTTGTTTGGCCTTCGCCCGTTGGTACAGCGTCAAGTATTTGTTTCCGGAAGATTTTTTGCGATCCTTAGAAGGAGGAATTAAACGGGGATGGGTTAAGAGTTTGCGCAAATATACAATAACACGGCTTGCTGGTGGATATATTTATATGGGAGGGATATCAAGGATTACTCTTCATTGAGTGGGGTTAAACAGGACGCCTGTTACAGGATAGTTGTAATGAAGCAGCCAGATTGGGCCGTTCTGGTAAGTGAACGCTCGTTTTGTACTGGTGATATTTTCTACGGGAAAAGGGAATAGTAATAATACAATCGGCTAGAGTTCAAACAGTCTTGTTCCCTGGTGGTTCCTGGGAAGAATGAAGGCTTTCCTCGGTTTCAAAACTTTTTTTGAATCACGGTTTTCGAAAGTCGCGAGAATTATAATGTTTGAGCTCTTTATAAACGGACTTAGTACAATATCCTCGTGTTTGCTTTGCATTAGAGACTAAGTCATTGCACTAAAATACGAAGAAGATGGTGCAAAGGAATACCGAGTGGTCTCTTACCAATGGTATTGCTGAATTTGGGGGGAAATTATCTTTTGCTCAAACTTTTTAGAGATTCATTAAAATTAATGGCTATTCGACAGTTATTCTACTTGTTCATTTCTAGTTTTTGACGTTATTTCTTACTATTTTACAATACTTTCACCTCATTATTCCCTTATGCGAGATTGTAAACCAGAGCTGTGAAGTATAAAAATGGTGGATCTTGTTTTAGATCGTATTAGATTGAGAGAGAAAATGCTATCCGAGACTAAACTTAAAGGGCACAGTATCTGGATTGTGCCCGTTAATGAGGTAAGCAATGATATTTGAGAGCGATCTGTTGTTAGTTTGAATAATGTTGTGAGAGCCGGGCTTGTTTTCGATAAATTTTTTGGATGTGATGAAATTTAAGGCGCGAGCTTGGGAATGAGATAAGGGAATGCAGAAGATTTTGCGTGTATTTCGATTTTTGTCGGTTGTAATTAGTCAGTGATGCCTGTTAAAAATTACTCAGGTCACCGCCTACACCACTAGTATAATATAATGGAATGCTCTGTGCCTTGTTCCATAGGACTTCTCATGTTTGCAAGATAAACACCGTCAGAAAGGGTCTTAAATGTTTGTCGAATATTATCACAAAGGTTGTCAAAACGAGGAAAGAGTAGAGTTACTCTCAAAAACCAATCGATTTCTTTAGATTTTGGTTTTAATTCATTCTCCAAACTGTTGTAATGGGGCTTTCAGATGAGTCAGGGCGTTGAGAGCTAGGGAATTTCTTTAAGATAAGGGTGTCATTTCGATTCCTCGCCAATTTGGGTTATTTTAGATTGACTTCAACAAAAAAATGGATTCCAAAAACGAGAAGATCAATGACGTCCAACGGCAGATCCTCGAAGTGAAAACGGTGATGAGCGATAACGTGGCCAGAGTTTTGGAAAGAGGAGATCGGTTGGAGAACCTGGACACACGAGCTGAAGCGTTGCAACAGTCGGTAGGTCAAAGTTTATAACAAAATAATTTTATAAGTATTGTGGTAATATCGGTATGATTCAACTTTTTTTGTACCTGAGCCTTTGCCTATTGATATCTGACCCATTTTCCGCTTGGTAGAGCGATTGGAATTTTATGATTTAAAGGTTTCTTAGGAGTGTGGATTACTTTACTCTCTAAAATGCATCGAGTTTACGTAGTAGAAGAATGTGCTCGTAGTTATACTGTTAATGATCCTTATGTAAGTTGGGGTTTTCCGGAAAATAGAACTAGTATTCCGACAGTTCTGTTGATCATTTATATCAGGTTAAAGTAGCAGACGTTGGTCTTATTTCTGACGTTTTCATTTGAATTCTTTCAGAGTCAGACATTCAAGACCACGGCCCATCGAGTTCAGCGGAATATGTGCATGAGGAACTTGAAATGGACAATCATCCTGGGCGTAGTATCAGTTATACTCCTTCTTATTGTCATATTCCTCGTCCTCCGGTCCACCGGTGTGTTGTAATCTCGGTCTGTACAAAGTTTTTTATACCTATTGTTTCCAAAATAAACCTTTATCTTCGCTTGTTTTTATATGTCTTATTTATTTACAGTATGTCTTCAGAGTGCCTAGGATCTTGTCCCTGGATTCGTTAAGGGTAAAGTCGCGAATCATTGAACGGAAATAGGGTTTCCTGAATGTAACGGAGAGAAAGACAAAGATGCTCATTTGATCTCATTCTTTGTCACACTTCTGAATTCGAAGACTTTATGGGCATTTTAGTATCAGAATGGTTTTTTTGGGATTTGATGATACACTGCTTACTACCATAGTTGGGTGTAATAGACGCGAGATTCATACGTTTGTCCCAGTGGTCAGAGATGAGGTTGCACAACCACGGCGAGACAGTTCAGTATGGCGCTGTTTTGAATCAACTAAAAAACTACATGGTCATTGGAAGGCGGCAGAGTAGAAGAGCCATACACACCATGACGATGGCATCGGTCCATAAATGGAATAGCGCGACTCAGTTTCCGGCCCCCCCAAAATGATGAGCGCCATTATGGCGGAGGGGGGAGGGGGGCTGGCTCCATGCCCCCATCCCCTCTTTATGAAATGACTTTGGAAACATTTTGTGGCCCAAAAAGGCGACCCCATACTCTTTCGCCCCGCCGCTCTCGTGTGTTTTTCTTCGCGGCCCTGAGGGCGAGGGAGCGGCGAGAGAGAAGGGCCGGTACCAATTTTTAGTAGATGCGGGTTTTTTGCATGCGACTTTTATCGTTTTGCCTTCCAGTTCCCACTCGCCGAAAGACTCTTGGCCTTCTTTTGTGCTTTTATTTTCTTCTGATTCAGTCCCCGACTTCAGAGTTACTTAGTTTACTCTCAACCAGCTCTTCATTTCTCAACTCCGAATGGCTCTGACTGTCTGCCGCGCCATTATCTTCCGCCTTATTGGGTTAATTTGACCCATCTTTGTTCCTATTCTAACATAGCCCTCATTAAGCTAATTCAAGCCTGCTTTATGCATCACTTATTACGAAATATCCCGTTAATTATACGTATTTCGTTTGACCTTCTTCCGGCTTTCTTTCGAATAGGAATTTGAATAATTAAGACAAGCCCTGAGGGCAGCATTAGTAGTCACTTCTAATTGTGCGATTCGATGGCATTTCAAATAATTTGCTGATTGGTGAGAGAAAGCCTTGGGAAATGAAAGTAGGGGCCTTTGTCATCGGAATGACTCTGTTTTTATGGGAAGGAGAACATCGGAACTCTTTTGGCCTTATAAAGGACCACTCTTTCAAAAGGGAATTGGAATTTCATTTTATGAAATTTGCCGAGAAATCACGTAGTTCTCAAATTTTTAACAAGGAAAGTACTTCTATGGGGTATGGAGTTACAGGTCGAGATATATATCAAAAAATTCGCAAAAATTTTCTGATTCAGAATATATAAAAATTAGCTGCCTAATTTTGGTCTATTAACGAGTTTTATCAATAAATGTATTTCTCGAGGAAAAAAATCTGCGGCAACAAAACCGCGCTCGGTCTCTTCCTTCGGAAGAGAGCGGTGTGGCCGAGTGGTTAGAGCGCTAGATTGGGAATCCGAGGGGAATGGGTTCGATTTATTTTGCCACAGAACCCATTTTTTAATAACTTTTTTTTTAAGAACTACTTTTAAGGTGCAGTTGTAATCCAATTTGATATTTTAAGGCTTGTCAAGGCATCAGAATTTATTTTAACACAAAACAAAATTTTTTTATTGGTAAAAACACGGTCAAAAAGACACTTGCATGGTGTCGCGAGAAAACTTCTGAGGACAAAAACATGTCATCAGACCAAAATTAGGCAGCTAATTTTTATATATTCTGAATCAGAAAATTTTTGCGAATTTTTTGATGTATATCTCGACCTGTAACTCCACACCCCATAGAAGTACTTTCCTTGTAAGAAAAAATTGCGAAATTTTTTTTCACGTCTAAAACTGTCACAAATTTTAAAGTGTAAACGTATAAACTATTATCTTTGTGACTCTGTAAATAATACTCTCCGAGCCGAAGCACTCTTATGCCTACAGTTTTCCAATACTCTCACCCCTCCAATATTATTCTTTTTTGCCTTTTCCATATTTGCATTTTGAAGCCGAACTGTGAACGCCTCGAGGGCACAGTTCAAACAAAACGTCATTGTTTCCGTGGAGCTCTTGGGTTTTGTCTCAAAAATGACAATCCTTGTCATTTTTGTCTACCTTTTACCTCTGCTATTCTTACTTTTCTTTTTTAAAACTGAAATTTTAAACTTTCGAAAAAAACTGGCACGCTTTTTTTCTGATTTTGGCCGTAGGGAAATATCAATTGTTTATTTAAAAGGCATGACAAAAACAAAAGAGGGATGTTGTGGAAATATTCGAAGTAAACATAACGATTTACTGTGCTGTCTTGGATGGCCTATATTATACTTTTGGGGGTCTGCTGATCAAAGACTACATGTTTGATTCTCGAAATAATCTTGAAATTTATTTTTGCGTTCCACTCAAAGATGGCTGTCTATTATTTTGTCACCGCGGCAATTTGGATGGATCAGGGACAGTTCTTTACAACAAAAAGTCGGTTCGATGATGATTTTTTATGCGGTGGGATCTCTCCGAAACTCGTGAACTTCGCGAGGACTTGGCGGAGGAGTGACATCTCAAAAACTAACATAAGCAAATTTTTTGGCACTTTTCGCATTTCAGCCACCTTGGCCTTGGTTTTTCCGCCGACCCATTTGCGGTGTCTTAAAAAGATCTATCGTTGACCCGACTTGTCGTTGTACGATTACTTCAATATACTCTCAGTCGTTCATCGCTTTTTCTTCGAGTAATCCTTTTTATTCGCATCACCGTTCTTCATCGTCCTATTCTCGCACTTTCCGCTACCGGAAAGTAAGATCAATATTCGAATTTTTTCCTGGAGTTTCGTATTGAATAATTTTATATATTTCGGATAAAATAAATCCGAGACAATGAAATAAAAGGGGGGATTCAGAAGAGAAAGATGAATGTAATGAATGGGGCGAAGCGAAGTCCGGAAGGACAAGATGGCCAGAGGAGCGGACACAACAGATAGTTGAGGGGCCTGCCGTTTTCCCCGTTCTTTATTCAAAATAATTTTGCGTCATCCGGTCGATAAATGGACACCAGATGGTTTTTTGACTTCTGTTTTAGTCTCGGGGGATCTTCTGAGAAATACCTCTGTTATTGTCGTGTAAAAGATTTGACTAACTTTCGGGAGGTGTGATTTATGGATTTATTTTGAGATAAAGGCTTTTAATTCCTTGAATCCCTTCTTCTCCAACCTTTTGTCAGCCTATTTCTGATAATTTACAATAACGGGTTGTTTTTGTTTATCTGCCCTTTTATTGTTTAGTGCCGCCCCTGTCTTTTCCCGAGAAAAGGACCGGAATTCCTAATGCGGGTTATCTTTAAGTCAAGTCTTACATACATAGGTACTTGTTCGATGGTCAAAGACGTAGTTTTGTGAAATCAGGGACTTCATGGACCGGATTATATAAGAGATAATGTAAAAATTTTAATATTAAAGGCATTTGCTTCGGGATCTGACATTGTTGTAGCTGAGGGTAGCGACAAGTAACAACTTGCCGTTACCTTTAAAATTCGATTTTGCCCTTAAATTTGCAAAGCGATATTCTTAACCAAACCATGTGTAATGCACCCATTTCTGTAGCCTCTACGCCCTCTGTATCCATCACAAGGCCGCGAATATATCCACATTTATATATGGACGGGGAAGGAGAAAAAGGAAGCGCCCAAATTTAATTTTTCTGACTGCGTTTTTCCCTTCTTCGGCCGCCTTTTTTGTCGCCAGAAGCCGAAGAAGAACAAGGAGATGTAGGAGGGAAAAACCGGCCAAATTGCCTTATTTTCCCTCTTGGCCGGTTTCAAAACAGGGTATCAAACACGGCTCAACTTCTGAAGGCCCGGATTTGGCATTTGCTTTGAATCGGGGGTCATTTCAGGAATCCAGGGAACGGGTCATTTAGGAAAAGGCGGGAGTTGGTTTGGGATTGGGGAAAAGTGTCGAGAAACGGCGGTATACAATGGGTTTGATGTGGGTGGTCCTTTGGGTAATATAGTTGTTCGGGTAGTAACGTTCCGTTTTTACAAAACCATGATGTGTTTAATTCTAACTTAATGTAATCTTAATTATATTTATTTTTCATTAATTTTATCATGCAGAGTTTTGTCGTGGAATAATGATGATTACATAAGTCATCTTTATTCTTTACAATTAATTAGTTATGCCGTTTCTGAACTTTGAAAGCATTTTCAAAATGTCACACTTGTTCTTGTCGCCTTCTTTGTCTCTTTGTTCAACCCCTTCCTTTATCGTTATTCACAGTGCCTTCCCAGCAATTTATTTCTACATCGAGCCCATTGTTATTTTAAAAATAAGAATTTCCTATTTGTTTCTGTAAATTGTTGATTACCGAGTAACTAAGCAACACCAATATATTTTGGTAGAATGTTTGTAGCTTAGAATACTCCAATAGAAATAGGTATCTCATCCATATATTTATTGTATTCATCTCACTTCAAATTACTTCTTCAATTTCATGAGTTTTGTCGCGTGTCATTACGTAAAATCATGCTTACCAAAACGTATGATAACTCTCTTCAGATGGCCGCCATTCGGAAGAAGTTGGTCATTGTGGGTGATGGAGCCTGCGGCAAGACTTGTCTTCTGATTGTGTTCAGCAAGGATCAATTCCCGGATGTTTATGTGCCCACAGTCTTCGAGAATTATGTGGCGGACACAGAAGTCGATGGGAAACAAGTAAGAGTTAGCGGTTCAGATTTTATATCAGTTTAGGTGGAGTTGGCATTATGGGACACAGCAGGCCAGGAGGATTACGATCGACTACGGCCTTTGAGTTATCCAGACACAGACGTTATTTTGATGTGTTTCTCTATCGATTCACCCGATTCATTAGAAAATATTCCCGAAAAATGGACACAAGAGGCAAGTATACATATAGCAGTGTTCCACATTAGATTCGCCTAGAACTTCTCGATTGTTACCGTAAGACTGTACGGTTAGATCAATCCTTAGCATACTCGCCACTCTCTTTCTTTTCTCTTTTCTTTCGCCTTCGAACTCTCGATTGCACAACTTCGTGTCGCAGTTTCCAGTTGCTGCAGCGATTTCCCGCGAAATTTACGTTTTGGCAAAAGGTTGTCGCCTTGAATCTTGAAGGGTTGTCGCTCACTTTTGATGATAAAAAAAAGAAAATTTGAAATTTCACGGCTTCGGTAACGGCTGAATTGAAAACTGTTTGCACTGTGCGGATTTTGGGGTTTCCACTGTGGAATTAACTTGCTTAGGGGCTTGGCTCCGGCCAATTCTCATTGTTTTTGAGTGGTTGGAAAGTCAATTGGCGGCTTCGGAATCTCTGAGTTTTTGCAAAAACCATTTTATGGCATAAAACTAGTTTCCCCGGATCAATTTTAATTAATAATGTTTGCAGTCGTTGATGACTTATAAGAAACAATTAATTTTAGGTGAGGCATTTCTGCCCAGAAGTCCCAATAATCTTGGTTGGCAACAAAAAAGACATCCGGCAAGATGAAGAGGCAGTGAAGGAGATGAAGAAGATAAATCAAGGTCCAATCAGTGTGGAGGATGGACAGAAGATGGCTCAACAAATCGGTGCATATGCTTATCTCGAGTGCTCAGCCAAAACTAAAGATGTAAGTTCAGTTTTAGTGGTAATGTTTATCTCTTTACTCACGACGATTGGTAAACGAGGAGAATTATGATTCTGCAATGACTTGAGTTCTATTTTTTGGCACGTTTTTATTTTTTGAGTTTCTTTTTGAGCAAAAGTTGACATAGCGAGAATTTTAAGTTAATTAAGCCCGTCAACGGTATAACAGAGTTAAATTAAATGGCAAAGTTATAGGCGGAATTGTGAGGGAAGTTATGATGGTTAATTACGTTTAAGCCGTTTGCCCTTTAATGACCACATTATTAAACTTATTATGTTTCAGGGAGTAAAAGAAGTCTTTGAAACGGCGACCAGAGCAGCGTTGATGACCAAGAAGAAACAGGCAGGGAAATGTCAACTTCTCTGATTTTAGATATTTGTTTTGAGGCTTTATTTATGGGGAAAGTGCTCTTGAGTTGTGTCAGATTTTGTTACGAATTTGATGCAGGTAATCTGTGGATTGGCCTTGCCAAACCCGATTCCAAATCTTGGCCTTTCCCTGATATTCTCTTGTATATTTTTGTAACTCTTAGTCTGATTTGTTTGTATCCTCTTTTTGCTTGCTTTCTCAATATCTCTAGTCCACTTATTGCTCGTCCCTCAAAGTTCTCCAAACTTTTCCGAATGAGTAATTCAGTTTACAGTATGCCAAATTGTCTTACCAATTTTTTGATGACTTAATGTGTATTATTCCATTTAATCGACTTTATTTATTAATGAAGATCTGGATCTTGAATAAAAACAAAAATAATTTGAATACTTATTTATTCAATTAATATACTAAATAGACATTTATAAGAACTATGCAGGGTTATTGGCCTATTCTTAGGCAGTGGTCCATTTTATGAACCCAGAGATTATCCAATTTCAATGCCGAAGGAATCCATTTGTTCCCTAAGCTACATCTTCCCCAATCTTCTTGCCCTCCGGGCATATTATAGTTTATGAGCGGTCAAACGTTTTAAACAAAAAAAAACGTTTTGGCACATTTGTTGTTTTAAGGGGTTTCCCAAAACTAAAGATTTCTGAATTTTCTGTGAGTTTCTGAAAGAAGGAATGTTTTAAACTCCTTTAAGTAATGTTTTTTAGTTTCTCCAGATCCTTCTAAATATTTCTAAAAGTTTTTTCGGGATTACCTTCCAATATACGGTCACTCCCATTAAAAATAAGTAATGTTTTTTTGGAAAGAGCATCAACTTGGCGGGCTTTTCAAACTCGAATCCCTTTCGAAAGTTGAGATGAGGAATAATCGTTATAAGGGGTCGTTAAAAAGACGCTTTATTATTATTTTGATGTCTTGTTTGGCTTTTTGGGAAGGTTGCGTAATAAAAATACTTTCAATTTCTGATCATCTAAACGTCTTCTTGTTCAAGCGAAAGATAAGTCATGCTGAATATTTTGGTAATGCCTTTATCATATAAAACGATCAGAACAGTGATTTCTATTGCATAAAACAAGGAAGAGGATAATCGTCTTTTATTATTCTAAGCCTTTGATGTCCTGAAATGAACCAAAAACCGTTCGCCTTTACTCCATTTACCCTTGTTTATATTACTTTATACATGTATTTACTGAAATGATTGAGGCGCTCTGGATGAGTCAACTGAACAGATCGCTTTTTTCTGGAACAAAACTTTTTTGGAGCGCAAAGGCAAACAAGATTTCTTCTCTTTTTTTTATTCTTCAAATGTATTACAGTTGATATTTGAATATATTTTGAGAAAGGTCTTGGCCTTGAATGAATTTGTTTCAGGGGAAAAGAGAAGAGTTTCACGTTGAAATTGTTTGATGACCTCATTTTTATCAGTTTGAATTCGTTTGACTAGACTTATATGATGATTTAAAATAATTAGACTTCGATTTTCAAATTATTTGTCCAATAAAAATTAAAATCTTAAGTCATTCGCCAGCTGAAATCAGAAATGTTGCAAATGCATTGCCTCGGGCATTTCAAATGGGGAACCGGTGAAAACCCACCGGGAAGCGGGCCATGACCTAAGGGCATATCCCTTTTGGGCCGATTCAAATGGCCCGATTTGTGATATTGTTGGTCTCAATCTTATTTCTGACACTTCTCTCGAGGCATTTTTGAGAGTTCAAAAAAGAAATCGAATTAGAATTTGAGCCGGAAATCCAAAGAACGGCGGCCTTCTAAGCACTGCTAAATCACCTCTTAATTATTTATTTAGAATCTTTTTGAAGGCTTTTGAAATATTTGCAACAAGCTTGTGCTCATTTTTGGCACTGAAAAGAGTTTTCCTTTGTTTCGCAATCTTTTGTATTCCCCCTTTTTTATTCGAATTACGTAACATTGTACAAGGTCCGTGAGATTCGCGATTATATGGTTTGTAGTTCACAGATTTCCATAATATTTGACGTTGGTCTCACGCGATTATTCCCCCTAGCTCTTCAAAAGCTTTACACTGACAATACTTCATGAAATTATTAAAAACGAAGTTGTCGTATTTGTTGTATTGACATCACTTTTCGAGTGTTTGTAATTACCCCGAATCTATTTTTAGTAGCAATGCATGAGGATCAAGATAATTATGGGCTGATCAATGAGAGGGTTGTGGATCAAATCACCATCCATTCACTTTACAGACCTCACTCGTTAAGTCTTCTGCTGGGAGTCGCTCTGTATTCCTTCTACAACGCCTTCGTATTGTAAGGAATATTTAGGTCATTTGTTACAATAATCTTTACTCTGTTTACTGACGTCTCTATTTTCAGAGAAGACAGCCCTTCTGATCAGAATATCTTTGCTGGCCTCAAGGCTACAATAATCCTTTTCCTTTTTCTCAGTGCTCTCGTCTCTCCCAACGGTCCCTTCATCAGACCACATCCCATTTTATGGAGGATTGTCTTTGGTATCAGTGTCTTATATGCATTGTTATTACAATTTACCCTCTTCCAAAACTATGACGATATCAAAAGTGCGTTGACTTGGCTGGATCCAGAAGGCTTGAGTCAAAAGAAGCTGGAAGAGCAAGTAAGTAATCACAGCGTTTTGTGGCAAGTGTGATTTCAGTCCTACGCCGAAGCCTGCTGGGATATCTCATGGACTCGAATCCTGGATTCCCTGGACATCTTTGTTATCGCTCATTTCGTCGGGTGGGTGATGAAGGCCCTTCTGATCAGACACACCATCATCTGTTGGTATATCAGCATTCTCTGGGAGTTAACCGAGCTCTTCTTTGGCCATCTTCTCCCCAACTTCCGAGAATGTTGGTGGGATGCGATTGTCTTGGATATATTACTCTGTAATGGACTTGGGATCTACTGTGGTATCAAGTTATGCAAATTCTTGGAGTTCCACGAATTTCATTGGGAGAGTATAAAGTAAGCAATATCATCATTGGAAATAAGCATTCATCTATGGATTGTATTAATATTTAGTATTAATTTTCCTTAATTTTAGAGAAATCCAAACTGCCAGTGGCAAAGTCCGTCGTGCCGTTCTCCAGTTTACTCCTGAAAGTTGGATTCGAGTAGACTGGTTTAATAACAGAAGTTTGAGACGTTGTTTTGCTATCTTTTTGTTTATCTTAGTGTGGTTATTAACCGAATTGAACACCTTTTTCCTCAAACATATCTTTGCCATTGAAACGAAGCATCCTCTGGTTACCTGGAGATTGGTTTTGGTCTGTTTTATCTCCGCCCCCACCATTAGGTAAGCGGGTTTTTATTGAAATTGCTTAGCACTTACCTTTGAGGGTTATATAAGACTTTGAAATAATGGATTTGATTAAATTCAGGCAGTACTATTTGTTCGCCACTGACCCGCGAATCACCCGGCTGGGAATGCAATCTTGGATTTACGCAGCCGTCTGTCTTCTGGAATTGGCCATATGCGTTAAATTCGGTCGTAAATCTCTGCCACCGCTCCAGACCAATGCCATCATTCTCTGGATTATCGTAGTGGTATGTTTAATTGAATACATTACAGAAAATTTGAATCATTGCTTCCATTGTTATTGTAATCAAATCTTCGTTATTATACATTATGTGTATATATGTAAATAATGTAATTGTTTCCTTTTCAGATAGTCGGAACTGTAGTTTGCGTTTGGATCTCGGTCAAGTGGGCCACGAATGGATCGGATGTAGGTTTAAATTTAACTTCATCTCTCCGTCTTTAATTGATAAAATAACCCGTAAAGCTTTCAGAAAACTCATAGTGTCAAGATCTGCGGGGAAACCAGACGACTCTACAAATGCTCCAGCACCGATAACATATCTCGGATCGAAAGCCATGGGAAATTGATAAAAAACGAGGAAAATTCAGAGTACGAAGGATAGTATAAGCGGCATTCGACCATTACTGCTTTCACGGGTACTTGTTGTACATAAAGATACGATGGTATTCTTTGTTATTTTACCGGTTCCGCATAATAATTGTTGTGTATAAAAACGAGGTCTGTAGATCAATTCTGTAGTCGTGAACACATGGTTTGTAGCATACAGCAAACACAGTGATTGTCCTGTCGTTTATTATACCCGAATCTAGTTGGAGAGCATGCATTGAACTTGCTAGGTCACTGACGTTTGCTTCTTTGCTCTTTACTCTTATTTGCAATGTTTATTGTTTGTGCATAATTCCGTGTCTTATTCCATGATCTGCTATCTTCGTCTTGCAAGTAATTTTGAGCCGTTTAACTTATTTCGGTGCTTGGCATCTTATTTTTTTTTATTTTGTACTTTGCTCCCTCACTTTTCGCACCTTTGATCTTTTATACGTGTATATTAAAAACTTTTTTAACCCGCTTAAAAGATCTCAAATTACACTCGTTTCAAGGATTACAATTATTATAAATGTGAGAGAAGTAATCCCCTAAAGTAAAGTCGGGCGCATAACCTGTTGCTAACGAGACAAACCCTGGTCTCTCACTTAATAAAATAAGATCTCTTGTGCAGGTATAAGGGGCCGAGTGTAAAGTGGCCGGTGTCATGGGAATATTGGTCTCGAGTAATTTGTTTCATACTTTTTGCGAATATGTATTGGCCGGGAAAGGAATGCCTGAGGGTTTTCTACTTCCAAGTCGAAAAGTAGGCGTCTATTCTAATAAATCTGGGATTAATTTCTGGGTCCGATGTGTCATAGATACGCGACGTTTCGCCAAAAGGAAGGTGTATTTCGTAGTGAGTAAACAAAAGGATCTCCTAGAGACGAATTGGACACCCCAAAATGTCTCGTCTTGCAGAAATTATTTCTTTGTTTCTGCGAGTTTACGCGCGTTAGAATGTCTGTAGTATGGCGAGAGCTTCTCAACCTTGACTTGCCCTTTTAAAAATTGACAGATAAAATGATTTTAATGCTTTTAAAGGTCATTTAGTCTGTTTATTATGGATTAAAAGGGACAAAACACTTAAACATTGATTTTGATGCATAAATTATTGTCGTTGATTAATTTCCTTTGTATTTTCACGTGGGACTCAAATAATAAATAAGCAGAGTTTGCGTTTTTTTGATGGCTTTACAACTGCAAGCAAGTTTTACTTTCTGGTGAAGCAAATGTGCCTAAATTCTAGGTGCGCGATGATTGTTACAGTAAACCCCCATAAATTGGCCTATTGTTTTGGCGATCCATGTGCCATCTCCCAGGATGTTTGATCTCTGTGTCTCCAGCTACAAAACAGACAGTGTGTTTCAGCGCCCCTTGCTCTGATCAGACGGCTTTATACAGTTAGAGAGAGCCCTTCCATTTACGTCTCCACTCTCGACCTCTTCCTTTCTCACTCTCGCTTATAAAGAGACTTTCCTGAAAACAGGTATCGCCCCCCTCTCCCTGCCTCGCCCTGTTTCCATCGAGAAAGCTCACTTAAATGACTGCTTTTTTCACAAAACACAAGACTTATTTCGATGGTTACATCAATCATTGATTGGGGCGATGTTAACACGGAAGCGTGGAGTTGCAGAAGAATACTTTTCTTGTCATTTGGGAGTATTCATGTCAAGGCCTAATGATGCACTTTTCTAGGGTTTACTTTTGCGTGGAAAGGGAATCTGACGATGTTTTAGTACCTATTCGAATAGCTATTTGATTGGAATCAAAATTTCTTCTTACGCTGTCTTGCTTTCCGATAAAGTCGCGGTTATTTGCCTTTTCAACAGACTGACCATATAATATTAGAAAAAGGTCTTTGAAATTGCGGAAAATTTTATATTTGCCCTTCTCTTTTTGTCTCACGGTTTCGCGTAAGGGTCCATGATATCTATCGCGTATTTCTGCGTCCCCTGCAATCCCCGTTTTGGCCTATTTGATGTTATTTTAGACAACGCTTTTAAGGCTCTTAGATTTCTTGCCTATTTTACAGCTATCCTTAAACAATATTGAATTTTAAGAGTAGACTGATTGTGAGTAAAAAATATTGATGATTTAAGTAGATTATTCCCGAAAGAACGATATCAGTCAAAAAAATAATGGCCTAGGAAATTACATTTTTTTAGAATTGTACTCTTTTTTTAGTCTTTAAAATTTTGTTGAAGCTTTTAGCTAGCTAATACCAATTTTTTTATAATAGGATACACTAGTGGGCCTAGGAACAATTGAAACTGGGCGAGCCGACCCCGGGCCGCGATTTTTGGCCGGGAGCCATGTCCAGCCTAAAACAAATCAACCCGCTACAAGTTGACTACATTATGTGCTCCTATCACCCATCCTTAAGGTCGATAAAATTTGTTTTAGATCAACCAAATTGACGTCATGACCCAAATCTCTGTCAGGAGGCCCTTGTAGTCCCATATTGAGGGGGAGTCTTGATAAGATAACATACATATTTAACTGCACCACCGATGTGTCTTCCCTCTCTGTCCCGCGGCTGTATAAATACGCATCCACTTTTTTTTGTAAAAACTTCGCTTTTTCAAAAATTTTCATTTATTTGTAGTTTTGAGTTGGAAACGTTTGGAGGTCGACGGGGCTTTTATTGTTCTATTTAGATACTACGTAGAATTTTTTAGCCGATTTAAGTTCGACAATTGATTTTAATATGAATAAGTTAGAGAGAGCTGCATTATACTTGCCTAAGGTAATATTTTTATATAAAAAGATGGATTTTTAATGAAAAGAGTGCTTTTAGCTTCGCTTTTTATCGAAATTAATACTGTCTGTCTCGAAATAGTCGACCGTCAAAACTATGGTCGCTGTAACAAATTTTAAAGACGAAATTTCCCCGTAAGACGGCTGGGGAGGAGGATGGGGTTATCTGATGATCAAGATCAGACCCGAAATGTTTTTCTCGCTTTGTATTTTTGGCTAATGAAGAGAGAACTTTTCTCCTTCTTTTCCTTCACACTCTGAACTACACGTCCAAACCATACGTGTGTCTTTTGATATCGGCACAAAACACTGGATCCGTTCAATGTTCAGATTTTTTATTCCTCTAGTCTGGGAATATTTACCACTTTATAACTGAAGATTCCAAACTCTGAAATTAGTTGATGTTTACTAATTTTTAAGTCATCGAAAACCGTCTCAACTTTTATGGTGTCAATGTAGGCTTTACTAAGATGTCGTAGGTGTTTTTTATAATGTATAACAACTTCTAGAGCTGAAACTATAAATCATGTAGTCTGCGAGTGATTTAAGGGAGGTCTTTGAAATACTAAGCGTGATAAATGAATTTACGAATTGGAAGGGGAATTTTAAAAGTACATACAGTAAATTAGCGATGAAGCGGAAGGCGATAGAAGATATTTATTTCTGACCTACTTTTCCCTTCGTATATGGTATTAACATCTGAATTTTTTGGGAGGTTTGGATGATGCAATTCCAAACTTTTCTAGCTGTTTATCATTTAACCTTACCGATGCATCTTGCAATTTGAATATTTGAAATCTTGACGTCGATTTACAATCCAAGTTGGGGTACGTTTTCTTTCCTCTTATAAAGGAGCAATGCCCATCCGCACTTAGATTTGCAATTGTATGCTCTTCACCTTACATTATGGTGCCCCTTTTTTGACATTTACGCTTTCTCTACAAATTAATCGAGTTTCGTGGCATCAGCAGGCTACAATATGTTGAACTTGCCGAATTCCGTCTCGTGTGTATTTCGACTCCTTCATTTCCCCTTATCTTTTCCCTCTTTCGTCGTCTTTTTTACCTTCCAATTTTTGTACTTTGATTCGTCGGGTATTCCTGCTTGAAGATTGCGTTAATTGTCAGCGTTACATCACGGCCCTTTTCCATATTCTTTCCTTTCCCTTGCAGATAAGGTCTTTTTCGGTGTTTAAAGCCGTCATCTTTTCGGGTCGTGCCAAGAAAAGCATTGAAATTACTACTTTTAGAGACGGTAAGAAGTAATGTCGAGCGACGGCGGCGGCGAGGAGCTGAGATGTGCCGTTTGTAACGACAGGACCACTGGGAATCATTTTGGAGTAACGTCCTGCAGGTAAGAGGAGAAGATGTATTAAAGGTCATTGATAAGGTGAAGATAAGGGGCCTTACTCATCTCTTGTTTATTATGGATAAAGGAGCAGTAACTATTGTAAAGGAAAGAGGATTTTTTAATGAAAACGAAATTTTCAAAAGTAATGCATTTAAAATAAAATTTTTCTAAGTACTTCCTTAATTGTTATTGATTTCAGGGCATGCGCAGCGTTCTTTCGCCGGTCCACAGTGAGTAATAGACGATACGTGTGTAGATTCGGGGACAACTGTGATATTGGGAGAGGTAATCTTTCTTTCACTCTAATTTATGCTTTTGTTTGGTGATGATTATAAAAATATTTTAGATATCCGTTGTTGTTGTCGAGCCTGTCGAATGAGAAAATGCCGAGAAGTTGGGATGAGGCCAGACCTTGCCCGAGGCGCTCGTGGAGACACTCCGACGAGTGGGGGAGGTGGTCATGTTAGATCTTCTGACTCGATTGATTCCACCGGCAATGTGACCCCACCAAATCTCGAGAATCAGACACAACCCCTCCAATTCGGCCTTAATCCTCCAGTTACAACTTATGTAGACACTACCAGCGGGGCGTGGACAATTCCCTTGGGAACAACCACCACCATCGCTGATATGGCCAGCACTTCCCACAATAATGTAAATGACGGACGATTCAGATCTGTCGAAGAGAATGGACGCACGCTGACATTGTTGGAGCCGGCTGTCAACTCCTCCACTCCATCAACATCCATTCCTTCGGTGCCATTGAATCTGGACTTCAGTAAACCCAATTCTTATCATCTTCTCATCGAATCGGCCCTAAGTCGCATCAGGGAAATGACCAACTCTAACACCCATATGAATGATGCCCTTTTCAATCCAGGTCAAGATAATAATGCATCCAAATCCATTCTTCAACAAATGATAAGGGGATACAAGATGTTGGAACAGCTCCGACAATATGGGCGAGGAGGGCATGTTCTCGGGAATATTCTAAACAAAGAACAAATGGTAGGTAGAAAAGAAATTGTCTATATTCCTGTTTTAGTCATTGTCTGAAGGAAATTACATCGACGATATGGAATGCATCCGAAGCGATCTTCCATTGGTATCTCAAATGATAAACAACCACTTTTATCCAATCTCCCAATTCTCTTTGGAAGTCAAGGTAAGAAAGTTTGCGGGTAACAATATAAGGATGACTTTTGGATCGTTAAATTAAGCTGTAGCACCACAGACGGTCTATAGCTTACACTCGGTGGCATTTGGCTGACTAAAACAACTTTCAGTGGGCATTGTTACGCAATTTCTTCTGTCCGTTTATCATGGCCGAGCGTGCCTTCAGAACGGCTAGGTACATCCCTGAGAATGAAGACCAATGGCTGCTGATCAGCAATGAGAAGTTTATTAATTACCGTGCTATGGACAAGTTCTGCGACGTGCCAAACTGCAAGATTGAGCCCGCTCGGTTGGCGCAGATCATCACCCCAACCTCTTCCAAGATACTGACCATATTGGTTAAACCCATGAGGAAGCTGCAATTGAGCGAGGAGGAATTTGTGGGGCTCATCGGATTACTCTTCTGGAATGACAGTAAGTACTCTTCTAAGAGATTTCGGGTATCTTTTTCAGTGTTGATTATTCATAACGACTTCTAATTTTAGCTTTGACCTCCTTGTCCGAAGACGAGACCCGTCAAGTATTCCAAGTTCAAGAACAATTGATCAGCGAATTGTGTGGAGCATGCGCTCGCAATGCTCCTCCGAATACTGACGCTACATCTCGAATGGGAGTAGTTGTAAACCTGGTTCCTTTGTGTGTTCGCCTGGCCAATGAGATGTCCAATTGTTTCTCTTTAGTCAACATGACACACGCTTTCGACTTTGATCACTTCCTCACCGCCTTCATGCCACAACTCATATAAAACCCGTTTTTAGAAGCAAAAGACGTAATTATTTGACTCTATGGAGTGTGATGTTGTTACAACAGTGTTATGAAAAGAGTATTAATAAACACGAAAATATAATAATATCAGAGATTTTGAACACAACTACTTTTCTACGCTTTAAATACCGATTTTTGCAGACCTCAGTTTCCCTGTTCTTCCGGATAATGTAATTTTTAATTTTGTTTTGCGTAAACTCGCCGAAAGTCGACAGATATGTATAAATGTAGGTCAAGGCACTGGGTTGTTTCACCATGTAAATATGAATAATTTTATGGAATAGCAGCTTTAACGAGGGACAGCACCATGCACATGGCCATGTACAACATAAAAAGTTCAGTCGCCATGGATTGTAAAATTTCTAACGGCGAGAGGGACGTTATGTAACTTTTATATTTATTTCGAACCAACCGTAGAATCAAAGTATAATCGAGGGAAAATCTCACCTCGGTGAAACTCATCGACAGTCGAATCGATGAATAATAATAATATATTATTATTATGAATATACTAAATGGTTTTAGATCCGTAAGATCTATAGTAAAAGACATAGACGATCTGTTAAATGAGTTCAATAATTATGTAGTACTCTTCTCAGGAACTCCATTCAACCGATCTGCTTGGATTGGGACTACAGCATTAATGGCGATGCTTTTGGTCTTCTCAATATCATCGCCCACAAAGCTCCCGGCGGTAATATAAGAAGGCGGCTGGGTGTTGGACCATTTCAGGAAGACGATTGAAGCCAAGATCATACACCCAGCCATGATTCCGAAAACGGGAATCCATTCGGTCTTGTTGGTCTCGTCATGGACGAAGAAAGCTACCATCGCGGGGCCAAGGAACATCTCCACACAGTTCATAAATTGGCATACGCCCATTACAAAGTGCCCATGTTGTCTAAAACAAGGAATTCCAGTTTGAGGATTCAAAAAACAATAACAAATTACATGGAAATGTAAAATCTCACCGTGAATACAAAACAATGGCCTTGCAGAAACTGACAGTAGAGAAGCCGGTAACCAGATTGAAACAAACGAAAGCAACAACGGCCACGATTGGAAACTGCTCTGGGCAGAAACCAATGGCCAACATAAAGATCCCCCCTCCAAAAAGTGTGATGGTGTTGAACAATTTAACTTTGAAATCCTCTCCAACAGTTCTCCATTTATCAGCCAGGAACCCAAACACAAGTCGGGTTGGGCATTGAGCTGCTGTGGTTAACCCGGAGAGATATCCAGTAGCCTCGACTCCGAAATGGAGCGCGTTTTTGATGTAGTAGGCTGCATACATTTGGACAAAAGCCGAGGCCAAAAGTTCAGCAAATCCATTAAGCCAAAATGACCAAATGATTGGATCTTGAAGGAGTTGCTGAAACAAAATGTCATCAAAATTCCTAGGCCATTATTTTTCTCTATTATTGGCTGATCGTATAAAACGGTGGCCACGTCTTTAGACGTTTCGTCCGCACACTACCGATTGGCAAAAAGATTTTAGATACCCAAGCTATTTTGTGATGTGATATATGACAGCTTTTCGGCAGGAATTTCGGTGGACCTGATTCCTAAAATAACGGCGCCACATCAATTAAACCTTGGTCGGGAAATAGCTTCAACTAGGCAGGATTGACTTGCGACCTACCTTGTAAGGAATTGGCTCCGCACTTCCATCGATCTCATTCGTGTTTCTGTTTCGCTGAATTTTTTCCAATTCCACCGACGAAACCCTCGCGCACTCATTTGGTTTATCTTCGTAGACCAACCACCACAAAACGGCCATGATAATCCCGACAACTCCGTGGCCAAAGTAGACGTATGGCCATCCAAATGAGGATTTACAAATTATCCCACCAATGGAATTCGTCAAGCCCGTCGACAAGGCCACGTAGCAACAGAGGACCGACAAAAAGAATCCGGACTGTTTTAGGGAGGCCCACTTGGAAGTAACCAAGCCAAGGGAAGAGAAATCGGCCGCGAATGCGAAACCTTGAAGGAAACGAAGAAAGAGCATACAGAAGAAGTTGTATTCAGCTGCAAATGGGAACAGGAAGGTGGCAATCGAGGAGACAATCAAGGCGATCAAGAAAGGAATTCTGGCCCCAAATCGAGTGAACAGCTCTGAAAAAGGGATCGTAGCTAAGGCAGTGCCAAGTCCGACTGCCCAATTGATCTGACTGACTTCATAGGGACTGTAATCAATTGGAGGGAAAGATTCAAGCACCTGAAAGGAGGAAAAATGATATCAAAAAAAAATAAGGATAAAAAATCATCTAATAAACTTACAGTATTATTGTCTGCCATACAAACAACAGCCAAATTAAAGGCGAATGTATTGGAAGAGATGATCATAAATCCAAACAAAGAAATGGTCAATACCAAGTACCGGTACATGTCACGGAATTGATAAGCGGCCATGGTGAGAGTATCGTGTCCTCAAGTGATTAGAGGCTGCAGTCCCAGATTTTTATTGATTTAAACCCTAAAAATGTTAATTCACTATAGTCATTATTCAGGTGACTCAAGATTAGCGATGATCCTTCGGAAATATAAGCCGTGACAAGTTTTTAGCTAGCTATTTTTATGCCTTCTGGGTCTTAGTGTAGGCCAGAAAAGCTGGAAGTGTCCACCCTTAAAATTCCGGTTTTGCACCTCCTTTGTGCAACTTCAGGTTGAAACCACTTTGTCCACCTTTATTCTGAAGTCTATGAAAAAAGGAAAAATTCATTTTTTAAGCCTGGGCCAGAAACAAGTTCCCCCATTCCCCTGACAATATCAAGCACTAAAAGCCAGCATGTATATCAGAAACCGATTACTCGCTGTTTAACTAATTCAGCTTCTCTGTAGCAAATTTTATACCCCCGTCAACGCAAGCCAGATTTGACAGGTTCACTTAATTTGCATAAAGCCTTCTGAGATTTGATAATTCCTTCAAAACCTTCAAACAAATTCTCCGGGGGATCATCGAGTTCGGAAAACGTTTTTCCATAACTCTCTCTTTTTCTGTAATCATATGCATTTCTGTAGCCAGTTTTGCGTAATCTGGAACCGATCGCCGTTCCCAGATTTCCCTTGCGAAGTAACGTTCCCAGAGCCTGCAGAACCACTCTGATAAATTGTTGGAAGCAAAAGTCATCGATGAAATTGGAATCGTAATCGGATCAAATACATTGGTCCAGGTATTAATCCAGAGCCCGCCTCTTTCTCGGAAATAAGGCCTATGGCGCGCTCGAGGCGGATGGATGATCGGCATGTTTCAGTCGGAATAACCGCAAAGTTGTAGTGAGCGGCACTTGAGAGGCTGGAATTTAAAAACTTCTTTGGCTTGCCGTGAGGATCTTGACTTTTTTCTAGTTTAAAATAATTCTGTAAGTTTATGAAACTTACACCTAGAATATATTTTCCGAATCCGCGCCGGAAAACGCAAGTTTGCACAATTTGTTTCCGAAGTATCATCGGTCCTAGCATATTCTGTAATGCAGCCAGGGTTATAAAAATCGTCATAGGTAATCACCTATGCATAAATCCAAAACATGTGATGATAAAACCGTTGGAATACTGTAGCATAGCTGGACTGCACTTCGGTCGATAAAAATCGACTGAAACTTTCCTGAAACAATAAATTTCGCATGATTTTATGTTACATTCCTAATGAACATTAACGCCGCGAACTTCATGCAGGAAAGTCAACGGATCTCGAACAGGAGTTGATGACGAAAGGGGTCATAGTGGAGGTAGGCTGGAGTTATTTATTTATGAATCTCCATTTCACACGTGGCCTGTTCTTTGTGTTTTTTAGCCATAAAGAAAAGTATAATCGGGAATCCCTTTTTAGAGAAAGTGAACTTTGTATGTGGGTTTTTAGGTGAAGAAACCTCTTCGAAACACGCTCACCAGCGTGCATGCGACCTCCGAAGTTAACAGCAGGGTTAAATATATCTACTCCGTCACGATCAATAATCAAGTACAATTCAACCATTTTATTGGATTTATAACTTTTGGAGAACATCGATTAAGACTATGACCAAGGTCAGGTAGCCATTGGAAATTTAATTTAATCCAATCCGACCCGCGTTTTCCGAACAACCCAACCTCGCCGAATCGATGCCCAAAAGGTAATATGAATATGCTTTTAGATCCATAAGATCCGTAACAAAAGATCTAGACGATCTATTAAATGAGTTGCAATAATTATGCAGTAGTCTTCTGAGGAACTCCATTCAATTGATCCACTTGAATTGGGACCACAGCATTAACGGCAATGTTTTTGGCTTTCTCAATATCATCTTCCACAAACATCCCTTCAGCAATATAAGCAGGAGGATGGGCGCTGGACCATTTCAGGAAGACGATTGAAGCCAAGATCATACACCCAGACATGATTCCAAAAACGGGGATCCATTCGGTCTTGTTGGTCTCGTCATGGACGAAGAAAGCTACCATCGCGGGGCCAAGGAACATCTCCACACAGTTCATAAATTGGCATACGCCCATTACGAAGTGACCATGTTGTCTAAAAAAAGGAATTTAAAATTTTAAACTTGAGAATCTTTAAACAAATTCAAAAAATAATCATTACTAGATACATATAGCAGAAAGTGGCTAGCTAAGGCTCTGGGTACCTCTGGACTAGGGGTTTCCAGGTATTATAAAGACTCACCGTGAATACAAAACAATGGCCTTGCAGAAACTGACAGTAGAGAAGCCGGTGACCAGATTGAAACAAACGAAAGCAACAACGGCCACGATTGGAAGATGCTCGGGGCATAAACCAATGGCCAACATAAAGATCCCCCCTCCAAAAAGTGTGATGGTGTTGAACAATTTAACTTTGAAATCCTCTCCAACAGTTCTCCATTTATCAGCCAGGAACCCAAACACAAGTCGGGTTGGGCATTGAGCTGCTGTGGTTAACCCGGAGAGATATCCAGTAGCCTCGACTCCGAAATGGAGCGCGTTTTTGATGTAGTAGGCTGCATACATTTGGACAAAGGCTGAAGCCAAAATCTCAGCAAATCCATTAAGCCAGAACGACCAAATGATTGGATCTCGAAGGAGTTGCTGAAAGGGAATATTATCAAGATGTCTTGACCATCATCAGTTTTCGCTTATTTTTTCTTTGTGATTGGTTGATCGTATAAGACGGCCTACCTTGTAAGGAATTGGCTCCGCACTTCCATTGATCTCATTCATGTTCCTGTTTCGTTGAATTTTCTCCAATTCCACCGACGAAACCCTCGCGCATTCATTTGGTTTATCTTCGTAGACCAACCACCACAAAACGGACAATATAATCCCGATAGCCCCATGGCCAAAGTAGACGTACGGCCATCCAAATGAGGACTTACAAATCATCCCACCAATGGAATTCGTCAGGCCTGTCGATAAGGCCACATAGCAACAGAGGACCGACAAAAAGAAGCCGGACTGTTTCAGAGAGGCCCACTTGGAAGTAACCAGGCCAATGGAAGAGAAATCTGCCGCGAAGGTGAAACCTTGAAGGAAACGAAGAAAGAGCATACTGTAGAAGTTGTATTCAGCTGCAAATGGGAACAGGAAGGTGGCAATCGAGGAGACAATCAAGGCGATCAAGAAAGGAATTCTGGCCCCAAATCGAGTGAACAGCTCTGAAAAAGGGATCGTAGCTAAGGCAGTGCCAAGTCCGACTGCCCAATTGATCTGACTGACTTCATAGGGACTGTAATCAATTGGAGGGAAAGATTCAAGCACCTGAAAGGAGGAAAAATGATATCAAAAAAAAAATAAGGATAAAAAATCATCTAATAAACTTACAGTATTATTTTCTGTGGACCCCATACAAACAACAGCCAAATTAAAGGCGAATGTATTGGAAGAGATGATCATAAATCCAAACAAAGAAATGGTCAGTACCAAGTACCGGTACATGTCACGGAATTGATAAGCGGCCATTGTGAGAGTATCGTGTCCTCAAGTGATTCAAGGCTGCAGTCCAATATTTTTATAAAGATTTAAACCCTGAAGATGTTAATTTATATAGTCATCATCCAGATAAATAACTCGAAATTAGCGATTATTTAAGATTGAAGCACGCTATGGCGTCATATTTAAAGCTTCCGAACTCTTTATTAAACCAACCTAAAAATACATTAGATAAAAGGTTACGAAACGGAGAATTGCAGGGTTTAACAACCCAATCATAATATCCATCCATAATAACCAGACTTTTCTAGTAGGAGAACCGTGCGATGATAGATGAAGGCGTCAAGACGGGACACCCTGAGGGGCTTTTGTGGTTAAAGAGCACGTGCGAAGATAGATCGATGAATGGCTTTGGAATTCGAAGAAGAGTTCAAGTAAGACGGAAATGTGACTTCGCGCGAACGTAACGACAGAAATTATGGGTAGATTAGATGAGGGAAACAAAAATTTTACAACTTTATGTAAGCCACTAATTTACATAAATAAAGCTTTCAGAGAACGGATTATTTATTCAAAACCGTCAAACTAGAAGGGATCGTCGACTTCAGAGGCCAGAAGACTACTTTTTAGATCTTTTGCTCTCTGTAATCATATTCAATTGACTAGCCAGTTTTGTTTAATCCGGAAACGATCCCCGTTTCCAGATTTTCTCTTGCAAACAACGTTCGCCGAGTCATCGAAATCAGTCCAACAAATTGTTGGAAGCAAAAGTCATAGATGAAATTGTAATCACACAACTACTCCTTACTGTAGTGTAAAAACATTACGTGAGATAAATTTAGCGAATTGGGTACCTATTTTAATCTTCACTTATATTTTTACAACAAAATCATAACTTTTTTTTGCGCAAAGACTAATTTGAAAACAGGCATGGGAAGGCGAGAGTAGTGCGATGTAAAATGGAGACTGATACGGAATACTACACCGCGGCAGTGTAAATATCGGGGAATTAGAAACGTTGTTGACTCTATAAAAGTTTAACAACTGAACTTACTAGTTGGTAAGTACAGAAACATTAAAACAGATTTTGCGAGAGACTCGAGCTTTCAGATATGCCTTGTGCACAAAAAACAAGACGTTACAGTAAAGACTTGAAATACCTACCGTAGTTAGCTAGTTACCAGTGTATTAAAATGGGCAGGTCAAATTTTTAATTTTTGGCTTACTGTAGGTATACTGTAACATTTTCAGATTTTTCGTTTCTCCTCGACTAGTTGCCCGATTGACTCCGGACCTTTTCAGGGTTATAGAATGATTGATTCTAAGCAACTTTCATATTGATGCCTTTTTGCTAGGACTTCTGGAAGTGTGCGAAAAATTTGCATATTTAGCAAAAAATTTAAAATTCTTGAATTTTCTTAAAAAATTTGCATACTTGTACATCCTTTTTATTGCTGTAAATAACACTCTATGATGTGGGGATTCCAACGGTGGCAAAATCATGGCTGGGCGGCCTGTCAAGTCTGAGAACGAGGCCTCTAAACATTTGGTGATCACGAAATTTTTTTGTTTCAAAGTTGGATACGTGAGATATCGGGACAAAGTTTAGTTCCATTATAATCTACATAATATTCTAAGACTTTTAAACCCATTCCCATGAGTCTCAGACCGACCGGTCAAAAGATACGACCAATTTTCGAGATTTTTTATTTTTTTCAATTTTCGCCATAAAGATGACAGAATTGCTGAATTTTTATGGTCAAAACTGAATCAGTGCCCTCGCTGTACCCTCGTACTATATAGTTTTAATCTTGGTCGCTTTGGGCGCTATTCAAAATTTTTTGAAACCTTGGCAAATTCCTCAATTTTTGAATTTCTTTCTTCGCAGACAAGGTAAAAATTCAAAAAAAAAGCAATTTATCGTATCGTATGTCAAATTTTAAAAAAATACGGCGCGGGTACCACGCTAACTACCCCACAACTACCCCTCCAACTTTTACAACCTCTGGCATCGAACCTAAATATGTCGTGCAAAGGCCAAAGCTTTGCCCCATTTCTTTGCACAAAATAGAATTTCCACTTTCATGACGAAATCTTGGTATTTTGATGACACCATTGAATTCAGAACTTCTAATTTGACCTATATGTATATGTGCATAAATCGCTACAATAAAGTTTCATATTTTAGACATTCAGATTTTATCGAGATTCGGGAAGTCCCGAATACCGATATTTCCATAACTTCCTGAAAATTATGGCAAATACTTTTTTACCAACCTTATACAACTTTAGTCAAAACTCAAAAAAAAAAAGACGAAAAGGAAATTTTGTCGATTTTATGCGACCCTTCGAATATGACTTCCGAACGGTTTCAGAATACGAAAGATATACAGGTGTACGTCTGAGTGTTTCTAAAAAATTCACGTAACTCTTTTTATGAATTTTGACCTTGCTGTGAAAAAAGAAATTCAAAATTTGAGGACTTTGCCAAGTTTTCAAAAAAATTTGAATAGCACCCAAAGCGACCAAGATTAAAACTATATAGTACGAGGGTACAGCGAGGGCACTGATTCAGTTTTGACCATAAAAATTCAGCAATTCTGTCATCTTTATGGCGAAAATTGAAAAAAATAAAAAATCTCGAAAATTGGTCGTATCTTTTGACCGGTCGGTCTGAGACTCATGGGAATGGGTTTAAAAGTCTTAGAATATTATGTAGATTATAATGGAACTAAACTTTGTCCCGATATCTCACGTATCCAACTTTGAAACAAAAAAATTTCGTGATCACCAAATGTTTAGAGGCCTCGTTCTCAGACTTGACAGGCCGCCCAGCCATGATTTTGCCACCGTTGGAATCCCCACATCATAGAGTGTTATTTACAGCAATAAAAAGGATGTACAAGTATGCAAATTTTTTAAGAAAATTCAAGAATTTTAAATTTTTTGCTAAATATGCAAATTTTTCGCACACTTCCAGAAGTCCTAGCAAAAAGGCATCAATATGAAAGTTGCTTAGAATCAATCATTCTATAACCCTGAAAAGGTCCGGAGTCAATCGGGCAACTAGTCGAGGAGAAACGAAAAATCTGAAAATGTTACAGTATACCTACAGTAAGCCAAAAATTAAAAATTTGACCTGCCCATTTTAATACACTGGTAACTAGCTAACTACGGTAGGTATTTCAAGTCTCTACTGTAACATCTTGTTTTTTGTGCACAGCTAACTCGAGTCTCTCGCAAAACTTGTTTTAAGTTAAAAAGCTTCTTTTGCGAAATGGAAAGGGCTGAATATGCAATCAAGGATTTTATAAAAGTCGCAATCGTTTTCAGTTCCCAGACATCGAAACAATGCAAAACAATAAAACAAATGCGAAGAAGTTTAATCAAATTTTTACTAAAGAAGGCGGTTTGTGTCTACAGATGACATCAAATACATACAGGTAACTGCTTCAATGAATTATGACCAACTTGTCTTCTTAATATCAACATTTATGACATCCGCCCATTTCTCCTCCCTCTTTATTGCTATCGAGATGACAAAATGAAAGTGACCTCCTTCTCTAATAGACCTCAAGTTTGAGAAAAAACACAGAAAAATTTAAGAAACAACATAAGGAAATAGTAGGGAGCAGAAAAAATAATAAAATATCATTGACTTTGAAGAGAGGGCTGAGGAAAAAAGAAAATTATCGTCAATACCATCACTAATTAGCAGTAACAGATCGGCAAACAAAGATCGTTTGAGGTTTTGAACTTGCCAGCTTACACTTTTGAGAGGCCTCTTATTGTTAGGAAAAGTTTGACCTCTTATTCTTAGGGCAAAAGCTCAAACGTTGGCTTGCTGTTTCTATTATACTTAAAATCATTATGTATTAAGTAAGTGTTTACTGTAAATTACGAAATAAAATTATCAAAAGAAAGATTACAAAAAGCACCCAAGACATCCCTGATGCCATTGAAGGGTCACGCGGATGTTACAGCAATTAGAATGCAGAAATTATGAAAAAATGAATGTTGGAAGAATCAGCGGGGAGCTTCATCATCGACGATTTTCATTAGAGAACGTGACGAAAAATATAAAATATGAGATTGGTCTCGTTACAGTAAGAAAAGACATTACAGCGGAGAAAAATGTGGTTTGAAGAACAACAATAACTGCAGAATCATGTTGTGCTGTTCATTTATATATTTACCAGAGTTCAAATCTCCACGAATATCCTGTCGCTACGTCAGTACAAACAGAAAACAAAACTTCTGTAGTATGATTGCAGTGTTCTGTGGTCCCATTGCGATTACTGTGGAACGAGATTGATCTTACATGCTGCTATAGTAAACGTATTTTGTAAATATTTCTTGTTTGTTGATTTTTGAAGGTTGACTGCTGTCAAGTTAAAAGATTATAAATCTATTATGTCTGGCCGAAAAAGAATTGGTTGATTGCGCATGCACTGTGCAATCAACCAAATTCGCTGCAGCGCAAAACAACAGGAAACAACCGTTTGCACTTGTAAAACGCATTATTTTTTTCGGTCATACACAAAATTACCATCATGCGTCATGATTTGGAAGATTGTGTTTCTGATTGACCGCAGTTTTAGTCCCGCTTAAGGTTGTTTTCCCTAACTTTTCTGCTTACATTAGTGATAAGCAAAAGTTTCATTATAACTGCCAACTTCATGCAGAAAAGTCAACTGATTTGGAAAATGAAATGATGACGAAAATGGTCAGTTGAGGGAAGCTGAAGCTTTTATCTATGAACTTCCATTTCACGAGACTGTCGTTCAGAAGATTTCTTGATGAAACTTGTTGGCGTCATCGTTCATTTGGAGCAGAATACAAAAGTCCACTGGCCGCGAGCGTTCCAACCTTTTGCATCACCTTTAAGCCGTCTTCCGCCCATTCTTTTTAACGCTTTCACCAGCGATTAAGAGCATCTGACATCATATTAACAAGAATAATACAAGGTCGCCTTTGTTGAGGTTGATCAATGAAATTAAATGTTAGACATTTTGTTAAAGGAATACGTGTTGGACCAAAGGCCCCACGATCTTTTGAACTTTCCTGATGGACCGATGCCAACTAATACAATATCAGTTTGAGTTCCGTTTAAAATATCAATTGCGATTTATTGAACAGTTCGCACAAATTCAGACCGTTCAGAAGATTATCCACTCTCCCATTCAACGCTATTTCCCTGTTTTTTACTTTGTCTTGCCGACTAAAATGAGAGTTTATGAAGATGACTAGGCTTTCCAGACACTGTGCCAATTATTTTTATATCTTTACTGGTTGCGCAATTCTAATTTTCATCTCTCTTCATTCAAGTGAAGAACATGTGACAATTGTGTACAAAAGGAGTTCTGAGCAAGGTAAACACTTCTATTTCACCGTGCTGACTTGCAATATTTGATAAATTATCAGTTGATTTTTCTACGTCATATTTCAACTGTTAAAGTTCAGAGAGGCCAAAGTTCACAGCGCCGCCCAAAGCGTGTCAACCAGTCACTTTGCAAGAAGTAATTAGGCAGAACAGTCAGGTATAAGTTCATGCCTATAATACAGAGTGAAATAAAAATATTTTCAGCCCATTCGAAAGTTAGATTACGGAAACACGACCTCCTTTAAGAATTACTGTAACAAAAACCGTCGATGTATTCGAGGGTTTGCCAATGTCAAACATGACCAATATCTTTGGGTATTTATGGATGATCTGTTATTTTTATTATGTTCTTACTTTAGACCTTTCCAAAATCAAAAACTTTGGTATGTCAGATCAAGAAGAACATGAGTCAATTGCTGCTCTCCATTTTCTGTTTTCTCAACGATGAACTCGACTTTCTTTATGGCGGAAAATCTTTGACTGGAGATGTCTTTAATCAAGGCTGTGGGGCCAATAAATATCCATCGCAACAAAAGGCTATGAAAGGGATTAAGGACACAAAAGGATGGAACAGTATGGTGCTGGTGAGAGAGCCGGTGGATCGAATTTTGTCGACGTTCATGCACTTCTGTGTGGTGTAAGTCATCACTATATGTGTAAATCATCTGGCTTAATTTCAACTAATAAAAAATTTGATTTTAGTGGCGATTATATAGAGCCGAATGTTTGTGAGAAAAGATGTCATGGTTGCGGGGTAAATATGACATGTTTCTTGGAAAATCAATGGCTTTTGTTGAGGAAGATGAGCGGGAAGCCAGAAAAAAAGCTGGGGGAGATCACTGAACACGCATATCCTCAGACTTGGCAAGTCGAAGCTCTTTCAAAAATACATACTACAACTTATTCTAAGTGATGGTTGTTGCTTTAGGCGATGCGGATTCACTGCTAAGAACGTAAAGAATTACACGATTCTCCGTTATTATTCTGACGTATCTTCTTTTTTCCCTCAAATCAAACGATATCTGGAATCACATGGGACTTCCAAAAAAGCGCTCAATTATATTAAAACCTCCATGAAGAATGAGCGCACTCCTCATTCTACAGTACTCCTATCACATCGACAGTACCTGGAGAAAAGGTTGAGGTCATCGTCGTATCTAATGGACATTGTTATGCACATGTTTTATTACGACTACACCGCATTTGGCTTTAAATTTCCAAAAATTCCTATGGAATAAACTGGCTACTCGTACGATATTTGTTTTTTATGCCATTCTTTGGTCAGAGCAAAACTTGCAATTTCCAATTCCGATAGTCTGGAGTTTAATCCGAATGGGTCAGTGTCTCTTTTTTGGCGTCCAATTTATGCAAATACCCTTTGAAGTCGCGTTTTCTAAACAAAAGTATCTCCACTGACAAAAGAATCGTGAACCGAAAGGCCCGGTTGAATAAATAAAGATATCAACCGCGGAATCTCTCGGATCTTTTTTTCGAATCAAAGGTTCGTCTTTTTGATTTTAATTTGGAGTCCTACTCTGATTCGAATCTTGCGGTAGTCGTCTTTTTTGGTTTGGATATTGAAAACTAGATGATGATTCTATCAAATTTATACTATTATGGACGATAAACTACATGAACACATAATTTATGCGTATTGATGTACTCCGACCATCTTTACGACCTTCTCCAGCCATTCTGAATCGTCTCGATCAAGCCGGGAATCGAATTAAGCACGCCGAGATTATTTCGCGTAAGGTCATTCATGTATATTTACAGCGCTGGAAAAGGGGAAAGACCGCCCGCTTTGATTAGATAATGGCTCTGAACTCTGTTTCCCTTCGCGGTTACAGTCTTTATTAGCATATGACACTTGATTTATTGTTATGACTACAGTGGAAGGGAGTGTTTTACATAAAGCCTATAATTAAACAGTCACACTGACGGAATGGAGCTGTCATATCCATCAAACTCGGGGGTGCGTGAATATAAATCGGGGCCTCCTTCCATCTACAGGCTCCACAATAAAAGTTCCTTTTTTCTGCGGCAAAATCAAACAAAAAAGTTTCTTTTGCGCCTCGATTGGCAGTCTCGACCTTTCCCGACTGACCCTTTTATAAGGTTTTTTTCTTCTTACTTTTCGCAACTTTGTGAAAATAAAAATTATTTTTTTTGCGGGGTGATCGAGTGGACAGTTTGGGTGGGCTGGGAATTTTTTCGTTGCTTTAGGCCACTTTTTCGCAATAACGTTTGTTTTTTTTGGCAAAAATGGATACTGTAACATTATGAAATTAATTCAAAAATGATTACAATTCATATTACTGTAGTCTCTTTCCAATTACGTTATTTTTTTTGCCATTATTTCCGAACGTTATTCTCGCTGTAAATCCTCTCATTAATCCCCCATAAAATGCAATTTACGATATCCGGAGGATACGTGTTCAAACGTGACGTTAAGGTTATATTATACCCCCAAACCGGCGCATCTTTCTTTACGATGCCTCCTTGTTTATGAGTGATTGGATCATGTTTGTTTCTCTAATTATAAAAATAATGTGTTCTCCTTAAGTTTCTTCATTCTTAATTACTTTGATTGGATCAATCGCGACCAAACCAGAGCCCATTTATTTCCCACTTGCCCTTTTATATAAGGGAGTGAGATCTGCTTGAGTAATATTCGTTCTCCCTTTACCCGGAATGGCCCCAAACTATTCTTTTTGATTGTAATATCGGGTATTTTGAAGTTATTTTTAGCCAAAATATGATATCTTCTATTATTTTTGTATTAGTTTAGTTGATCATGGCCATCAAACTGTTCAAATGTATCCCCGGCAAGAAGCCTCATTACAAACTTTATTACTTCGATGCCAGAAATTTGGCTGAACCCATTAGACAGATCCTAGCCTATGCCAAAGTGGAGTTTGAGGACGTCCGAGTGACTCCCGAGGAGTGGCCAGAACTCAAACCCAAACTTCCCTATGGCCAGATGCCCGTTCTGGAGATCGATGGAAAACAATTGGGAGAGAGCAGTGCGATTGCCAGATTCTTGGCTGATAAATACAGTAAGTGTAACATATCTTATAGCTTGTAATCAAAATGTTAAATAATCATCAAATTTTAGAACTATCTGGCCGCAATGAATGGGAAAAGGCCAAAGTCGGCGAATTGGCCGAGATTCTGAAGAACTTCCGCTCTGAATTGACTCCTTGGCTTTACAGCAAGGTCGGATTTACGGATGCTGACAAGGTAAGCGTGCTGCGGCCGTAAAATTTCTTAAATTAATTTTTGTTGGAGCACATTTCTTCGCCGAGGCTGAAATCTCTTTGGATTTTGCTGAAACCACCTAGAAGGAGATGAAAATATATTTTTTATAATTCTCCCATTGATCTGTTATTTTTGTATTGTTAAATCAATTTTAACGTCAATTTCTTCAGGCCGACGAGCGTTTTGAGTCCGTGGCCAAGCCCGTAACCAAGAAATATTTTGACATTTTCTCCCAATTCCTCCGAACTCATCAAGGCGGCTTCTACATTGGGAACAAGGAGACGTACGTCGACCTGGCGATCGCGGATTACATCTTTACCATCAACAAGAATGCCCCCGAACTGTTGGCCGAGCATCAGGATCTTCTCCAGCACGTCGAGAGAGTCCAGAATCTCCCTCAGCTCAAGAAATACATCGAGGATCGTAAGGATTCCCCTATATAATCTCCCTTTTCCCACTCTCACATCCGTTAAAGTGCCTCGAGATCAGAGTTTTATACTTCATGGATCATATCGAATACTGCCGAGCTCTCGTCCTATGTTGCTGACATTAAGTTACCGTAATCTTTTTTTACTATAGTAATAAATCTTAATCAACGTGCTAAATATGCTCATATTTTTAAATGAAAATATTTTTACTCAAACTCGAAGACAAAAACAAGTTCTTATTCCGGATTTTGATCAAAATCAGCCGAAATTTTAATGAAACAATTTAAAAATCGCCGCTTTCAAGGGCGAAGCTTATGAATTACTCAAGTTTTTACTGCCGAGTAATTTTATTAGTAATTGTTATTTTATGGGTATTCGTGACCGTATTTTATGTCCTAAAACAAGGAACAAACGATGGAAAGTTGACTGATGCTGACAATGAAAGGATTCTTTACAGAGAAGTAAGTAGTTTGCAACCCTTGACGGGGTGAACAGTGCTTTTTCGAAAGTTTAGATTACTCTTTTCATCTCAGAGACATCCTTGGCAATAAATTGAAGCAAAAAAGTGAACAAACGGCTTTCCGATGTTACTCAACGTGTGATCCCTTTATTATGTTGCGTACAATTTATTGTGTTAATAAACTAATCGATATCCGGGAAAATCAGCAGCGGGGCATCAGCAATCTTCCTCCATTTCTCGGTCTCCTTATCCGATAATCCGAAGCTTCTTACATGGCAAATCATTTCCCTTCGAATCTCATCCAAAACAAATAAATTCTTATCTTCTCTGCGGGCCAATCTCTCCAAATGAGCTGCGAATACCATCAGTTGATGATATTCAACATGCAGCACATTCTTAATGGAACTTTCGTAAGGTGAGGAGCCGTAACGGGCAAAGACTTTCCGACGTAACTATAAAGAATGTACGCGAATAAATACAGTAGGAAGCAACCTAAAGATTGGCTTATTTAGAACAATTGCGTTTCGTAGAAGTGTTTTTGATCCACAGACTCTTGGGCTGTAAAATTGCCCCTGATGAGCCGTTTTCATGTTGTTAGAGGCCGTTGCAGAAAACTCCCGCCTTGTTTTAACATCACTTTCCTTACCTGGATCTCATACAAAGCCGCAGCCCCCTCTTCATCGATGAAATTCCCGGCCCGTTGATTCAAGAAGATGGTCTCATCGATGATTCGCCTGAGTACATGGCGAGCATGAACTCTCTCTCCGATCTGGACAACAACCACAACCAACAAGAGACCCGTCCACACCCATAATCTCTTTGTTTCCTCGGTCCCCAAGTAGCGATAATAAAAATAAATAACGCCGACAACCAAGCCGAATGTCAGATCTGGGGAGATTAGTATATTCTTCGAGACAAATGCGACCTACACACAGCAATTTCTCGACGAATGATCTTGTCTTTGCGATAGATGTAGACCCCTCGAAGAAACGAGGAGACCGAGAGAGCAAACTCGACGGTGATTATGAAAATTGTAACGGATTCCGTGAAGGAAATTACAGTCAACTAAAAACAAGATTGAGCAAAAAACAAACATGAAAGCAGTCACCTAAATATACGTATATTACATGGTGACAAAGGTAACAAGTGTTTTGTAAGATGGCTTGATTGCGCAATTTACCTCATTGTTTTCTGAATCTGGAAGTCCATACTCTGAATTAACAACCAACAGAATTGATATGAAGAGTAGGATGCCCAGAAAAGCTGCCTTGACAATCAGCACCACCCAAACTGACTTCATGGTTCACATTTATAATATGAAAGAAGAGGAAAACAACGAAATGAGGCCAATATCATTGACGTAGGCCTTTGTGGAGCAGGTTGTTTGTTCAGGGGGATCTAACAGCATTCAAGGGACTCGCTAGCACTTAATTAACATTCGTTCGCTGTAGAATATTTATTTTGGGTCAAGAAATGATGATTTTTTCGCTATTACTTTCTGCTCTTATGTCGTACAAGAATACCACTATAAAAGGTTTCTGACGCCAGCAATGCCCGTTCTCGTTTTCAGCACCAAACAAAAGTCACCTTTGAGAAACATTAGGTTTTAATATGCCATAAAGTCCGTTGAATTTTTTCGGCGGTGTCGCGGGGAGAGCTCACCGCAAAGCAGTACATGCCCGCTAGTGCACAGACGGGAAATACACAAGAGTTAATCTTACACCAATGTAAAGATGATACGAAGGGGCATGTAAAGCGTCAATCAAATATTCGAAATAATCTTTATTTTTGGGTTTTTATAAATACAAATAAAATAATTAATATAATAAATGACAAATTAATACAAATGCTTATAAAACATCCAAACCATGACATTATAATGGACTTTTTCCCTTGTTAAGAGCTCTGGAGATTGAAAATATAATGAAATCTGAGACCATCTTAAAGCTAGAATACTGACAAAATTGGGATTAAGGAGCTAGAAAAGACTGCTATCGGTAAAGGCATTATGCAAAGTAGAATACCATAAGAAGTAGATTTTGAGGGACAAAATTGATAAAAATTTGGATTTTGTATACCGAGAGATGTAAAATAATGATGAAGGACCCGTTTGAAAGACTTTGAGGTTACTGAGACCAAGAGGTAGAGGGCCTTTGAGATGTACATTCGACCTACAACTTGATAACTCGTCGTTTCTTGATCAATCTCCCATATCTAATTTCGTATCTTTCCCAGTCAAAAGAATCGAATTCCTCTTCAGTTTCGAATAATGGAATCTGCTCTGGAACTTCGGATTCAAATCTTTCGAAGAATCGCCTGGCCATGTTCAGTACTTCAATCTGCTCTTTCGATTGACCAACGATCATTTCACGCATTCGTTGGCTGAACTGGGGAGTCTAAAATAATATCAGATAAAGTCTAGAACGAGATAACCATGGTCAAATCTATAAAACATTCGAAATTCCTCACTCTGATCCTTGAAGAGTTTGAAACGCTCATTTGCCCGATCTTCGTTTCGTCATTGACATCAGAAACTTTAGCCACTTTGGCTACAGGACCATCGAATGCTGAAGGAGGCCTCTTCGTTACAGTCCTAGGACAAAAGTCTTGATACTTGTTGGGCGATAGTTGTTTCAATGGACTTCTTTCCTCAAATATTGAAAAGTCTTGACTGTTATAGATGTATCTACTAGGAGACATCATATCTTGAAACACGGCCTTTGATGGAGAATAGGTCGAAGAGAAGACGCGGAACTCCTGGAATAACAGTAAACAATAAGAACAAAAAAGGACCAAACTGCATTAGGTACATATCGTTATAACTGACGTAACTTACCTCGTCATGAACATGTTTACTTGGCGTTTCGGCTGCCGAAAGAATGGAAGTGTTATTTGAAGTGCCTCCAGAAGAACTGCAAGGCTCGTCTTCCACATTTTGGAAGCTAAGAATGCTCTTAGGGTGGCTCAGACCATGAACGTACGATCCGTCGATATGAACACCTGCAAATCGAATTTATATTGGACATGCCATAATAATTTCCAAAAATATTACCTGAAATCATGTAACTCTCGTTTTAAAAACTTACCAATTGTTGGATGAGGCGATTTGAAAAGGTTGATCTTGTTCTGCGGAGATCTTCTAATGAAGAAACTTCGCAATGGCGAGTTGCTTGAATTGACATTCTTCTTGAACATGCTCAACGGGGTCTTCAGGTCGGGAGACGACTCGAAGATGGGTCCATCCTGCTGGAAAGAAGTGATTATTCTCGACGTCGTGAACGTTTATTCGGAGAGCATCCGAAACCATCGAATTCGCTGTTTTTTTTTATGCTACAATTTACTCTAAATCCTTCGTTTCGAGATACCGACACATGGGTTGTGTAATACAAATTTTATGACTTTTCGATAAAAACAGATTATTTTCTGACAGGTTTGGTATTTGTTATGCAATAGCTTATTTACGAGCAATAACGCGCATCCTTTTCTTATATTAACTTATCGTCTATAGCCTTGATCCCCGCGAATCTACAGCAATGTGGGGAAGTAATGCGACCGTTTTGCAGCTGTCTTAATCCGCTTCATTTTGAGTCAGCCGACGGCCGTTCACTTTTCGCAGATGTTCCGTTTAATAATGATTTCTCTGGCGCTCTGTAATTATTTCTCTTTAGCTGTCTGTCCTTCTCTTCGTTTCCCGTTTACTCCTTCCGCTTCCTCCAAAAAATGCGCACTCTCTCATATATCTTACGGAATTTGCTGACTGAGATCTCCCGAAAATCGGATATTACGCAAGAGCTTAATTTACATTTTTTAGGCCCCGTGTATAATATAATATATCCAGAGCGACAAGTGTCCCCGGAAATATTGCGCAATAAGTGTTCGCAGGTCGACGGATCGGAGATATGAATACTGAGGGTAATTGAGTAAACATGGGATGACAATCTAACATGGATAATACCGCTCGCTGGCTGAGAATGGGCGGCCATTTAATATACAAGATCTCTCAAAGCAGATGTGATTTTACCTGGGGTAACAATTGCACTCCAGGTGTGAAGAGAAGGCCGCTTCGGGTAATCTACAGGCCGAAACAAAGGCGGGGGAATAAGGCGTCTTTTTGATTGACAAGCGAAGGAATTCGAATATCAAAAAGTCATCGGAAAGACATCCCATCAGACCAACATTTGCTTTACAGCCTCGCCTTTTATAGAAGTAAGTATCGCATAAATATTACGACTGATTTAATCCGTTTTCCCGCAACAAAAGAAACCTATAGAATAATATATGCAGGATCGTCTGACCTCCAAGTTCAATAGGTATTTCTAAAGTCTTCAATTGGTTGTAAAACGGTATATTGTTTCTGCGGAAAACCCTCCCATGCTCCGAATAATTTCCGTATAATTCTTGGCAGCGTTCCAAAAGGATCACTATTTCGTAACGCTTCCAAAAACCAGTGTTAAAGACGACTCAAGTAACTTACAAACTTGTCCAACGAGCTTTCATAAGAGTTCTCCCAGAATCCAGAATCCGCTGTAGAGCATTGGGCAATCTGTGTGGCCGCGAAGCCGGCGTCACCTGTGGAATTCCGGGGCATGGTGGAATGGAAAGCCGCCGCCGTCGTCGAGGAAGCCGGTGTTGCAAGTGCGGATCTTCGGCGCGATTGAGGGGCGCACTCGGCTGAGGAGGCTGGCTCCCAAAATCGCTCGCCCATTCGCTGACCACTCGCGTCACCCGAGTTCAGCGAGTGGAAGGTAGAGTCGAAGGTGGAGTTCATCGAAATGTCTGAGGATATCCCCGAGTCCAAAGAGGCGTTGAGATAGGGAGCGAGGTGGGCAGTGCGGGAAGCGTCGAATATACTGAAAAGTGATGGATTCGATCAGGAATTATATTGAGTAATTCAGAACGAATCCTCTTTCTGATTGTTAATACAGGCCTTGCGGTAACTTATGCAGGTAGATTTCCGAAAATGTTGTCTACTGCGAAGTCAATTAGAATCTTCTAGAATCCCACAACATTACAAATTAGATCTTAGATTATAAAGGGCCTCAGCATCAACAATGTTCACATCACAAGCCTTATTTTCTACCCTAAAGTTACACGAAAACACCTTTCTCCTTGTCATTAATCAGTCCACTTTGAACGCCTTACCTCTCAAACCTTTGTTTTGCTTCATCGACGCCGCATTCTTTACGGATTCGGCGCCATTCCGCGAACCGGGACCTAGGCTTGGTGGGTGTCCTGTGAACTTGTGAAGGCCGTTGTAGCGGCACATGTTCCTCCTGATACATCATCGACCCTCCTCGATTTCTGAAATGGGCATAAATCATTTTAATGTAAACGATCCAACGATGTCGCCATTATAAAAATCTCGGATTACCGGAAATAAAAGCGCAAAGTTATGGCCAAATAGGAGGCGAAGACGGGGGATCCGGCCTTTGTAGACAAAAATCAGTGGGATTAGGACTGCTGGAAGTCGCGGATAAACAAAAAAAAACTGTATTTACATAACTCATTAGCCGAGAATATCCATGGAAAAGTTGGATTAACTAGAATCCGGAGGTCGGTTGACTCTGCGTACCCAAAAACGGGCAAAGTAAAGGGAAATGAGCCCAAAATAACGTTTGATGGACTAATAGCCGATAGCCGAAGAAGGGTCAGAACTAGTTTTTTTTCAGTTTTCTAATGCCATTGTAATGCTAAACAAGGGAAATGAGGCAAAGTAAATGCAACGGTAGACATCGGAAGTGGGGGAAAAGCCGTCTGGAATTGAATTGAACAAAAAATATCTTCGATTTGATTTGTAAAAGTAATGGTTGCGCAAGATTTTCGCGCCGAGAAAAAGGGATACGGTGGGTGAGAAAAGGATCAAAAGTTGCGTAATAAAAGGATTAAAAATTATCAAAGAAAAGATAAAGTAATCAGAAATGATCTGCAGTTTTAGTGAAAACTTAGAAGCAGTGTTGTTTTAGGAAATTACAACATTTGAGACCTCCCCGGACTGCGTCTTCTGAACGTCAGGTACCCCAAATCCCCGCTCCCCGTTCCCTCCGACGTCTGTTTGGAACATCCCCACCCAAACCCCTTGATTCCTCCTTTTCTCCTTCCACGTTCGCCGTTCGGACACACTGATTTCGCGCCAAAAAACGTAATGGAGGATGACTTTCCTGGGGAATCGAGGCAAAATGTACCAGCCGGTTCTTTTTCTTTTTTTGTAACGAAAAAAAAACAATAAAACAAATATAAAATACGAGATCGCTTACTGTTTTATGATTTGTCTTATCGTGCAAGAACAGTTACACAAAAATATGTGACAAAAGCAAGATTAAATTATTAAAAAATCGATGAAAAAAAGACGATGGCAACGGAAAAGATCGCCACCACCTGCAGCTGGCCGTTTTTTGTGTCCAAATGGGGCCAAAAAAGGATAAAGAGGTCAAGGGTCAACAGATCTTAATAAGGGAGGGGATCTGACAGGAAATGACGGGGTCAGATGGCCCGGCAATTAAGCCAAACTTGAGCAATCTCTATACAAAAAAAGAACAAAAAATAAATTTTAGTCTAGTTAGAAGAGATTAGACATCAAAATTCCCTTAAAAATGCTGCTGCTGGTTCGAGACGTCCCCGATTTCCGAAATTGTTTTAGTTTCCGTCAATTCACGGCGGGAAATCTCATCCGATTTCTCGACTCGAGACTGTCAAATTCATAAATCAGACGTTAATTAATGTGCATAAATATACTCCTAATAAGCATAATCATTTGTCATGACCAGAAAGACCCTAAAAAGGATGATCAATTGTAAGTTAACAATTAGTCACACGGCCATCTACAGTAAGCAAACATATATTTCCACTAAACTAACTTTATCTGCCGCTTGTTCCAAACTGATCTCAACCCCTCCAAATCTCTGTTCTGCTCCCGAAATCTCTTGAACAATGCCCATTCTACCCCCGCGTTGCCTCCAGTCCCCTTCTAACATCTTATTGTATCATCATAATTTACATAATTCCGTTTACTCGAAGCTACCGGGTTATCAGTTTATGGGATTCATTTTACTGAAAGCTGAGCCACTTATGGGAGTCGGCTCCCCTCTTTACGATGTTTATTTCGCCGGGGATACCTGACATAACAAGGGCAATATAGGGTCTATAACAGAGAAATCCTAGAGGAAATGAGCAGGGAAAGAGTAGCTGACAAAGCGCCGGGTTGGGAGAGAAGGTTAGGTATTTAGAGGCTAAAGGTTATGGGACCACTTCTAATTATTACATAGTTAGAGGTCTCAGAACACAGCAAAGCGCAACTTTCTCTATAAAGCCTAAGGAATTTGACCTAAAAGCAAATTGAATTGCCGATAGGGGAGGGCTGAGGGAATGTCTCAAGGCTGTTTCAACATTGATTTTCTCCGCATCTTTCGGCTATAAAATTGAGTTTAGATCACTCATAAATTGTATGCAAATTTGCAACAAAAAATTATCAAACCGGTCTAATAATGCAACGTATTCATTAGTGCAAAGGAAACGAAACATTTAGAAAATGGAACAAGGAAAACTGCTGAACCCACAGAAAAGGTCTAAAGAAATCTAACTGATAATTTCGTACAACCCTTCCTTCTCCTTTTGTAAGCCGCCTAGATGCCACTTTCTCCGGCATCATTATTAACACACTTATGCAAATAAACCTTTTATCAGTATAAGTCTGAACGAGAGTTTCAAGCACAGTCTACCCCGATTTATACAAATTCCAAAGAAAGTAGGGGAGATGGAGACGGAGGGAGAGAACACCCGCTTATCGAGGATGGTCAAGGTAAAAGAAAACAGACGGGCATTCGGCCGCCTCCAGATAACAATCGCTGCGCAGCCAGCTGCAGATAGCCACTTCTGGTGACTGTTTTGGTCATTTATGGGTGGTTTGTGGAAAAAAGATTTATGGAATTGATGACCTTTTACTTCAAAATTAAAGTACAGTAAGTCTTAAACTTAATTATAAAGTAATAAGTAATAACATAAGGCTTCCAAAGAAGGAATTACTGATATCTAACTTCTTCCTTGTTACATGACACATGCGTAACGAGTAGCCACTTTAGCGAGAGATATCTGGGAAAGTCAATCCCCCCGCATTTCTCAGGTGCCAATCCGAATTGCGGATCGGCAAGAACAAAGGCCAATGCAAATTGGAGAATAAAAAAGCGAGAACGTAAAAATCTCCGCGAAATCGCGAGCCGAAGCGATACGGCGGCAACAGAAAGGAGAAGATACTCAAGAATGATTTTATGCATCTAGTTGCGGTAATTACACATTAGGGCGCGACCGTAAATTCGATGCCATTTTTGGTCATCATGTTGGAAGCGGTATTGGATTGGCGTTCGAGTGCAATTTCGACACCCTGGGTCAAATTGAAAGTAAAAAATAAATCAAATACGACAAAAATTTAATTAATTTGCAATCCAAAGGTAGAAACCAGAATTTATCAAATCTTGGACATCATCACCACCTTCCGATATAATATTGTACATACATTATGGTTCCCCAACTCACATTCCCAACCCAAACTTTTAATGGCACACTTTTATCTCGCGCCTCTCATTAAACCCCGTTTCGGGCAATATACAAACATTGGTGGGCCTGACCGGTCACTCGAAGACCCTCCCATTCACGGACACTTAATTTATTTGGGCTAATTGTGAGAAAAGTGCGAATCTTTTTACATTAATCTCTCCACAATTAGTTCTTGGCCACTCGATCGTCAGCTGGTCCGAATACAAAAGTTGCCTCGATTAATTTAATGTCCCTTCATTCACTCCATAAACTTCGACGAGAAAAGTAGAAAAGTGATTGTCTTCGATGTGATCGGAGATTTGCAGATAATAAGATGCATTCAAATGGGACGAAATGGGGAAAGGTTAAGACATTTGGGACATGATTTCATTAGCATACAGTAAGAAGTGGCTGCATAGAATTTGGAATAAATATTACAAACAAAATATAATTGGTGTTTTAGCACACTAAATATGTTTTCTCACAGATTAAGTCCTCGGGATCTAATGCTAAGACTTCCTTCCAAATTTGGTTATCATGTTCTACATGGATCGCATATATTGGTATAGATTACTGAACATGTTATTGTACTTTTTCAGGAGTTGCCGAGACGTTATGTTACTTGACCATTTCAAATTAAGGTTTCTGTAAATCAAGTTTTGTATTATATAATTAAACCAGTTTCCTCCCCTTCCACACCTTCCAACCGTCCTTATCCCTGCACACAATACATGTTTATTTTATTCCTTTGACGCCTTGAATGTCATCACCGCAAGCCGAGGCGCTTCCGACAAAAGTTTTCTCGACCTTTTGACCAAAAAAAGTTTGCTGGTCCGAATAAATTTATTCATTCCGATGCGATCTGTGTTTGGGGGGCGATCGGAAAACGTCGCCTATCACTTGTAGGCATCTGCAGATCTGAGACCTTGGATGCCGGTTCATATTTTATGTTTTCGCCCTTATTAAAACGAATCTCGCTTTAGTCGACGAGTTTCGGGGGTGTTGGTCAAGACGGAGTTACGGGATTTTTGTAGCCAAAAGAGGAATATATAATATTTATTGTAAAATCAAGTTAGGAAAGCGTTTTCTTTTTTTACACTATTTAAAACTACCTTTTCCTAATAGACATTTTGTATGGAAAAGCCAAAGCTTATGAGGCTATTTTATTTATTTTTTTATCAAAAGCTATCTGATGACCTAAATTTTTCCGTCTTTTTTTTGTAAGTAACTAGAAAAGACTGATATAATTTAATTTTCTCTTTGCCCGGAGGCCTTTCCTTCGCTTGAAATTAGATCCCGAGGTGTGAAGCCCCCTGCGGATCAAAAGAAATCGATCTCGCTGAAAGATTTAATTCTCCTCACATATGGCGCCAAAGGTCGGGACAACATTTATGGGTAATTTGGGAACAAATACCAGATATATTACAGTAGACGGGAGGATATCTTGGGCGCCTCATTGTCCCGTTTCTCCTCACATAATCCTTTCCAAGTTTAATACTCGTTTTTGAAGAGGCCGGAGGCCATTACGGCCATGCATTCTGCTGCTCTTTTAATGGCAAGATCCCGGGAAAGATGAGTTTTCTGGCCCTAATGATTAAGTTCGATGACTGGTTTCTTGTTGTTTATGATGTTCTATAATGGACATACAACGCCCTCTGGGTAAAAACTGATTATATTGTTGTTGACAGACCTATAGTCACATTTAAATATGTTTTGAGTTAATTTAATGCAACTTTAAGGCCTTCCGAAGATTTCAATCTTTTAGAACATCCACATTCATCAAACCGTCATGTTTGGAGGATGTAATCCGTCATTTTCTCGTCTCTAAATTGTTTTTTAGAAGTGACTTAGACGTCTATTTGTCTACATAAATATATCTTGGCAACATGCATTTACTTTATGTCATATCGGAGTTATACGTAGGTCTTCTCGGGACTCAAAAAATAAGTGGAGGGTGTGGGTGTGGGATAAACAACAACAAGAAAACCCTCTGCGTAACACGATGGCTCCATCAAGTACATCAAATTGTCGGACTTTATGCGTAATAATTATGAATTAATTTCATAAATTAATGTCCAAATTTGGACATGTTCGCTGACGTTGTCCGCATTACTGTGTTTCCTTATCCATATTTATTTGAGCGCTTAATCTTTTTTTCCTAAAAATTTATTTGAAATGTTGAATAAATCGTTGCGCAATTCTTGAATCCATCATGGTCAAGATTATAGCGAAAAGATTCTTGATGTCTTTCGAGCATTAATGCTAAAAATGATGCGTTTTTTCGCGGGAACCCCTAAAAAGGAGGGTTTACAGGAAGTATCATTTTCGGCTACTTACATCTGAAAACATGTGCAGACAGATCTCTAATCGGATTCAAAATATCTTCACTGTTCTCTAAGTTTGTTGTTTGTATATATCAGTCTTTTTTTACCATGATTATTACAGCAATTGTCATCTTTTTTTGTATGTTTTCTGCATGACTAAGCTCAAATGACCTTCCCTGTGTCTCCATTGTCTTCGATCCCCAGTTTCAAACGTAATTAGACTTCTGGAGTTTCTCGGGAATACAGTTGTACGATCTCCATCCCCAATAACGTGTTTTTGTATGATGTCGGGTAAACGGAAATTACTCCACACCTATCATCGACTGTCCGCACTTGCTGATCCGCTGGGTACATTTTACATTGGCACTTAAAAAAGGAATGCAATAGAGATAAACAGGGTTCAGCGACCTCTGCTCTCTTTCCCCGACCCCCTCCCTTCGGCCGGCTTCCTTTTTTCGGCCGCACCCGGCCGAACCCGCACTCTTTACCCCATCCTGGTCTTTTCTCGTCGTTTGGCACTGAACAAAATGACTTATTGGCCCGTCAGTCTTAAATCCGACTTCTTTCTTTTGCTGTTTTATACCCGTTTCGATCCGCAAGGCCAAGGTCAAACACTTTGAGGCATAAGGAATTCCTGGGCTTTCGCTTACTCGGACTTTCGACATGAATAAGTTATGGCTGCTCTCGAATGGCTATGAATAACAAATCGGGTGTCAGAAAAGAAGATGATGTGAAGGGAGGGGATCAGGAAATTCATTAACGCTTGGGGGTTCGATAATTATTTCTGAAAAGTTTTGTTATGATCGAAAAATTTACTAACCGTCATTTGCAATTTTTTTGTAGAGGGGGAAACTTTTTTCTATTCCTTTTACATAGGTATGCGTTTATGTAGAAATTACCCTTTTCTATTCCGTCTTTAAAAAACTTTAGCAAAAGATCTAGACCTTTTTCATCACTTTTCTTATTATTCTTAAAAGTAAAACTGATAGCCATAAAGGTCGATGAAGCTCATTAATCTTCAGGAAGAACACGTCTCGCTTATAATCCCGTGTTTATCCTCTAATTCTAAGTTAGTATTAATACGAATCCCACCAAATACATACATTATAAATTGTATTATTTTGCAACTGCCGAAAACCTTTTTGCAATCTGTTTTTTCGCAAGTAATTAACTATCAACTTTCAGCAAACCCATCCCCAACTCAAACCGAGACTACTTTTATTTAATTTTCGATTCTGTTTTTGGTCGTCGGACGGACAATCAGAAGCCAGAAAAACTTCTTCACAGTCGAAATTAGACCTCATTTCGGTTAGTGGACTCTTGTCTTTTTCTTTCTCCGAATTTTCTCTGCATTCCTCCCGAACTGTAGGAATCAATTGTAATATTACTGTTTGACATTAATTTCTTTTTGGTTTAATTTTTGATATCGTGTGCCTTAACACATTTAAATTATCATATTTGCGTATTGAGAAGGGTAACGACGTCGACGTCAGCGGAATAATTAGGTTTTTCCCCCCAGCTCTTTAACTCCTCGGGCCAAATTTTGTGTGAACACAATGACTAAAAGAATGTGGAAAGAGTCATACTTTGTGTTGATAGGCTCTTTCCAAATCAACAACTGACATTCGTTCCAAATCTTTATGCTACAATTCGACAAGAACGTTTCGCTTCGCAATAGTACTATAATATGTAATTTAATTTGCGAGTACGGGTATGATAATGACGGAGGGGGGAAAGAAAGTAGGACTATTAGTATTTAATGGGCTATTCTAGGAAGGAAAAGGATACTCAACGCCATGCAAGTTATGACCAACGATGATGACTAAAACATGGCCAGACAAGTGTAACCTGCAAGAGAAACGGTCCCCGGTAATTACAGCGCAACCAACCACTTTTATTACATATTTTACAACGCCTCGAGCGTTTTCCCGTCTTTTTGTCTTGATTGAGACGCTGAATAATGAGGATCGACTCATTTAATATTAGGAAATCATTTGGACACCACTATTTACGGACCCCTTTTTCTCTCAAAAAACAGATGTTTTTTATTTTTGGCCAGATTATTCGTAGATAATATTTTAATTCCTTGGGAAAAAAGGGCATTAAATGATGCTACGAGTGGTATGTGGTTATAGAAAAAGACGGCCGAATAAGGTACAAAGGCAAAATCATTATGATGTCATTTCCGTAGGGGATTCCTCATTAGATAGGTTGTTTGTCAATAGGTTAACATCCTTGCTGACTTCAGAGCGCCCATTCTCTGCACCCCGATCCCTTTCCTTCTCTTTTTCCCCCAAAAGCGAACGCTAAGAGACCAAAAGCATTCCGATGGCATTAGAGAACAGTGGTTGAGCGGAGAGCCCAGACAGTGGACCGTAAACCAAGCCCCGGTCTTCAGTCGGCGTCAGACTAAAACAATATTTTCTTATCGAGGAAAGAGAACTGGGATGGAGGAGGGTGAGAAGGACAACCCGAATACATAATGATAAGATTGGAACTGGGGTTGCAGGAAGGCGATAGGTCACGTAGAAGGGGTCATTGTCCACAAACTTTATTTTCAACTTCTGCTGGCCTTGTTTCTCCTTGGATTTGAGTGGCCAGTTTGTCCTTGTGTGTTGTTATTGTTTGTTGTTTATCATTTATTATATTTGCCATTTCTTTTACCCTTTTCCAAAGTTATCGAATATTCCGGGTTCTTAATCTCCAAATGTCGTTGTAACCTGAGCTTTTAACCCCCGCCTTAATCCTTCTAGCCTCAGTTTTAACACTTTCCGGGCCGAGTTAATTAATCGCCGAGAAAAGATAAGAAATATGATGTGAAAATTGAACTTGACATCCTCGAATTAACCTAATCGAACTTGTTCCTCGTCCCTGTTTATAGTGCCTTCCTATGACTCATCCAGTTACCCATTTCTCGAATGTGTTGTCTTTTATGACAAGAGATAAAGTCAAAGTGGGGAACTTAATGTGTCATGGCTGGCTGTCTAATCATTCCCTTAACTCTGGCCGTCTCAGTTTCGGGCCAATTTCGTTTTCTTTTTATGAAATTCAAAGAACGAGAGGATTGGAACGGCCAGCACAGATTCGGTCTAACTATTCGCTCTGGCCATTCGTATAAAAATGGCCGACATAAAAAGGATTTGGCGGTGTTTTTTTGGGGGGAAAAAGGCCGACAGACCAAAATAAATAAATAAATTGCTTACTTCGGGATCTGGATTGATAGAAGAATTATTTTTGCAATTTGCGAAACATGGTGCCTCCTTTATCCCCTCGTTTCGAATGTGAAATACTCGATAATTCCAGACCCCGAGAGTTAATCCTTGCGTCATCGCCCGGTGATTTGAATTATTCGTTGAGCACTAGCAGTAAACTCTACAAATAATCCCACTCGAAAACTTTGTGGAAAAAAACTTGGGCCTAAAAAACTTTTGATCGCTCCCCAAAAAGACAAGGTTCGATTTAGAGGGCTGAGATTAGTCATTGGAACGATTGAAACGGAAAATAAAACAATATACATTATGGGGGAATACACATTTCCATGCTGTTCGAGCATTATGTCTCCACTTTGTGACGCAAGGTTCTCAGTAACAGGCATCTTTACACCTGCACTCCTTGCATTTATTTCCTAGAATTTAAACTAAAAGCCCTGAGGGAACGTAGCCGTGTATTTGATTCGAATAAGTCTTATCTTATTTGACCCAATCGGTATCAATTTAATTTTTATATGATGAATCATCCTCCAGTGCCTCTACAAGTTGTCAGAGCCACTCAAAAATATCCTTTATGAAATTTGGATCGAGCTGTTTGAAATACGACGATACCTCTGAATTTGTTAATATTTCTCGTTTATGTCAGTTAATTATTCTACTAATTGTTACTTGCAATTGCTTTTAAAATTTTACCATGCCTCGTTTTGAAGTTTATGCTTGCTTCGTTAATTTTTTATAATCCATACCTCAAATCATCGGCGGAATTACGTCAAACATCCCGCCGATTTTTATGATGATTTAACAAAGGCACAACCTTTGTCCTTCATCATATTGTCTTCTGCCACTTCCTTTTTCGAATTCGTATTTCATCCGGTGGCCTCAAGACGAAATGCCAACGGCTCATTGTTTTCGCGGCAGGACCCGGCGGCGGCGATCCATTTTTCCCTCGCTTTTTCTCCGCTTGCGTCGCTTTTTCGTGTTCGTTCTCCTTCCTTCGTCCGTATTTTTTTGCTGTTGCTCTAGCTGAAAACTTGGGGGACAAAGGCTGAAGGAGGGGGAGAACGTCTTGTCTCTTTTCGGCGTTCCTTTTCCCATTTCGAGGCTCCTTTTTCCTGATTTTTTCCAATTTTTGCGGCCTTGGGACGGAATTTGGAATGGATTCCTTTTCGATTTGTCATTTGCTTTAGATTTTATTGCCTTATTTTGGGCTTCCAACTTTACACTTTTGTTCTGGGTTTTCTCGTGTAATAAGAGCTCAAAGTGCTCGGTAATTCGTCGCGGAATTTGCGTAACATTCTTTTTTTTCGATTGAATTTTTGCGAATTTTTTTGTTGCGAATTTCGTTATTTATAAAATGCATGCCTTTCAGCAGTTGGCGCCACCTCTAATGGCTGCCATCCGCAAGAAGCTCGTGATCGTTGGGGATGGTGCCTGCGGTAAGACCTGTCTCTTGATTGTGTTCAGTAAGGACCAATTCCCTGATGTATATGTGCCTACTGTCTTCGAGAACTACGTCGCAGACATTGAAGTTGACGGGAAACAGGTAATTTATACTTTTAGTTTTGATGTTTTAGGTATAATGGGAGCGAAATCCGACTTTATTACAAAGACGGGATAAGTTCTGATTTGCGATATTTGAATTTCATCTTATACCAGGATGCAGACTAATGTACGTTATTTCAGGTGGAGCTTGCTCTTTGGGATACTGCCGGACAAGAAGATTATGATAGACTACGACCTCTCAGTTATCCAGACACAGATGTTATTTTGATGTGCTTTAGTATCGACTCACCAGACTCTTTGGACAACATACCAGAAAAGTGGACCCCCGAAGTAGGTTTAACAGAATGTTTGAGGCGCTCGGCATCTTTAATCACACTTGGTTATGGTTTAATATTTGCTCTTATAGGTACGCCACTTCTGTCCGAATGTCCCAATAATCCTCGTCGGAAACAAGAAAGACCTACGGACGGATCCACAAACCATCAGGGATCTTGCCAGAAACAAGCAAGAGCCTGTGAAAACCGAGCAGGCCAAAGCCATTGCCGACCAGATCGGCGCCTTCGCATATCTCGAATGTTCTGCCAAAACCAAAGAGGTATTTATTTTTCAGTTTTGTGTCATGCATTTAGGAAAAACCGGGGCAACGTGACTAAATTTATTGACCAAAATGATGAAAGATTTTGATGAGTCATGGCTAGGTTCTACCGCTAGGGTTACGGTTCTTTTATTATTTTAAGAGATGGCTTTGGATCGGATTTCAAGGATGTTTTAAAAAGTATATTTTTGCACTACAGGGCTCTTATCTGATTTACGGATATACTTTTTCGTCAGGCCGAGGTTCTCGCTTTATTATACTTTCAACACTGACAACGATTATGTATCGATCATTTCAGGGTATCCGTGAAGTGTTTGAAAAAGCGACACAGGCCGCGCTGCAACAGAAAAAGAAGAAAAAACAGCGATGTGACATCCTGTGAAGAGCGGAAACGAAAGTTTTGTCCGGGTTCATCAAATAATTTGTGTCCCTTGCTTTTCTGTGCTTTTTCTGATCCCCCACCCGCCCCACCTTTTTTTGTCTTGATCATATAATTTAATTAAAAGAAGAGAGTTCATCCAGAAATTCTTTAAATATTTCTTTCCCTGATGTTATTTATGGTTCCCATCCCTGATCGCTCCAGACACTTCCATCCTAAATAAGGCCCTCCACCTTCTTTGGACCACATTAGAACCTTGTTTTTATTCTTTGTTTTAATCCTATTCATTTTTAAATCCTTTTTCTTTATAAATTGTGTCAAAATTTCTCTTGAAAATAAACCAAATTGAAATTAAAAGAAGGTTCTTTTGTTTGGCAATAGTAGCCTCGGTGGGCCTGCAGATCAAGTAATATTTAAGTTTAATAAAAATCGGTAAACTTGGAAGATACGAAACGCGTTTTGTATACACGAATTAAAATATGATGTCCGATGTTTCCCCTCAAGCCGAAGTTGTTATTCATCATGTGGAGTACACAAGAATAACAATTTATACGATTTTTTGTGAACGTGGTTCTGCTCTTCAAAATTATTTGGCATTTCGCAACAAGGGTCTTACAAGGGATCGGCAAATAGTTGCACCCTGCTTTCTTAACGAAACATATACCGTTTGAAAGAGCATTAAAAATAGTGCGCAACGCAAAAAAATTAGCTGCCTAAATTACCTTAGGGCATAGATACGACCGCTTTTTGAAAGGGGTTATATGCGGCCAAAACGCCGGTTCCTTATATTACAGTAATCCTGGCGGTTTGAAATCGTCTTTATTAATTTCCTGGTATCCAAAAACGTCTATCACGGTCGTTTTATGGCTTTACCAATCCTCGGTTATATGTTATTAGACATTACTGCTAGTTACAGTAAATTGTAAATAAAACTAGGTTAAAGGGAAAATTGGAGCCAAAAGCTTTGGAAATACATTTATATGATCGTCGTGATCATTCACAAACGAAAATTTCAAAATCGAAAATTTCTTATGTCCTAGCCTTACCAATGGTTGGTCCACTGTGTCAGCAATAGTGTCTTTGGCCGATTTTACAATTTTATCTTCGTATTTTTTCGAAAAAATGTATATTTATAGGCCCTTGTAAATTGAATTACCCTCCAGTAATTATAATTGGTCAGGTTACTGGCATAACACCCTTGTAATTATACGATAGTGACATACCCACTCTCATCACCATCAAATTTGTGGTCGTTTCAAAAAAATTCAAAATCTCAGAAAAATTGTGTAACCATGGATTTTGTCTGCGGAGGAACAAAAATTATTAAAAAATGTCAACATACCATGGTTTTGTGGCATATAAGAGACGAAACGCAAAATTTTTACAGAGACCGGATTCGAAACCAGGACTCGCTGAGCCGGAAGTGGGCTCACTACCACTCGGCCAACTGGACACAACTTTGTTGCCATTCCGAGAGCTTATAAAGCGAGGCGGAAATTAGGCTAAAATCTGTGTTTTGGCCATAACTTTGTCCAAAGTGAATTTAGGCAGCTAATTCTTTTTGCGCTGTGAACTATTTTTAAGCCTCTTTCAAATGATATAGGTTTCGTTAAGAAAGCAGGTTACAACTATTTGCCGATCCCTTGTTAGATAATCGTTATCCAAAGTCCTATAATGAGGATTTGTTTTCTCCTTTCCACGGCTTCAAACTGTAAAACGGATTTGGTCCAATTCCCCGTTTAATATACATGTGAAGTATCTATTTTCTACATGACTTCATGGGACGCTTGTTCGGATGAGTTTTTTGATGTTAACATCAAAGGGAAGCAGGCAGTCAACCATAATTTATTCATATCCCAATATTGTTCCATTACAGAGCAGCACCATGGCTGCTGATTGCGTTGTCTCCGTGACACAATCTTCTTCATCATTTGGGAACTGGCGCGTTCAGTCTAAATATTCTCTGCAAACCTTATAGTAATCATTTGTGTAGTACGGTATGTTGTACATCACAGATCATGATAGTAATTTTGATAAAAACTTCTCTTGTTAAACTGTGACTTCCGAAGCCCGATAGGAGTGATTTTTTATTTCGAAATAAGTTTGAACGCCGTCTCAGCTTTATCAAATTAAAACTTTTTATGCATAATACAAGGCTGCCCTGTGTTTCCTTTTTGTCATTCCTCACAGTGTTCTCTGTTTCGATTTTGATGTTTGTTTCCGCTTGGTTTTGTCAGCTACAACAGATTCACACCGCCCTCGGCGTGGTCCCGCAGCGAAAACAAATGAAGGCCAAACTTTACGGTATGAAAAATAAAACCGTTGCCGAAAAAGTGGTCGCTCGCGATGCATCGGAATGGGCGGGATGTACAAGGTCTTTTGTTCTCGGATCGGGAGTTTGCGACCAGCCGGCCGCTATTCGAGGTCTTTTGTCAGGTTTGGACTGGGCCGAGCCGGCCGTTTCGTGCGTTGAATGGACAACGGCTCAAGTTACTGATGTCTCGCCAGACCGTGTGACAGCCTTTTCGTGTACTTGGGTCTTATTTCTCAATCTGCTCATTTTCGCGTGAATTCCTACCTATTTTTGTATTTTTTGTTATTCTCGAGCATATGATAATATAGAATTGATAATGATTAAAAGTTTTTATATTTGTTCCGCAGGGTTTACACACATTCAAGGAGAATGTCTTTGGCTCAAATTCTGGCTGGTAACGGTGACAGTGGTGCTCAAAGCCCTCCAGATTACCTTCTCAATGCCCCAGTCGAGGTCCGCAACCGCGTCCAGGCTTTGAAGGGCCTACATCTGGACACAATCGACGTTCAGGTCGAGTTCTACAAACGCGTTCACGAGTTAGAGGTCGAGTTCCGCAGCAAATACGAGAAGATTAATGAAAAGGTGGGGAGTTTTATTTTTTGTCGGTTCTTAGGTGACAGTGATTTGAAGTGAAACTTTATAAAGAATTTGTCATGTTTACTATTGTTCTTTCAGCGAGCTCAAATCGTCAACGGGACTGTCGAGCCCACCGAAGAGGAAGTGAAACGTGAGCCCCTCTTGACCTACCTCGATGAAGAAGCTACAAAGGTGCGATGCTTTTGGCCTAGATAATATAATTTTAATTGTTTTTTCTTTTAGAAATTCGAAGAATCAGCTCCAGTCACTGGTGGAGAGAAAGTGAAGGGCATCCCCTCTTTCTGGCTCAATGTTCTCAAGAACGTCCCACAGATCGATGAACTGATCAGCGAAGACGATGAGGCTGTTCTTCAATATTTGAAGGACATCAAAGCCGGCATGACCTCAAACCCTGATGGATTCACTGTTACCTTCTATTTCGATGAGAACCCATACTTCACAAACACAGAGCTCAAGAAAGAGTACACTCTTTCCATTGGACCAAACAAGTTCGAACAAAAGGTGCTATATGATGGTCCTAGTGTTGTCAAGACCACTCAGTGAGTAGTTTAATTCAGTTATGTTCGGTTTTTATACGTTTTTTAATTGTTTTGTCTTTAGATGCAAGATCGACTGGAAAGAGGGCAAGAACGTAACACAAAAGGTGCTCAAAAAGAAGCAAAAGAAGGGACCTAATGCTGGCCGTGTCACGGTCAAAACTGTTAGTTTAGTAGTGTAACTCGTAGAGTTTGAGCTTATCTAACACTGGGTGTAGTTTTAGTATAGTGACAGTGAGATGGGTCTTTTCCGTTTGCCGTGGTTAACACTTCTTGATGTTTTCAACATAGGTTTATTTTGTTATATTGTCGTCTTTCAGGTTGAACAGCCTAGCTTCTTCAACTTGTTTAACCCTGCCCACACCGAGATCTCCGAGGATCTTCCTGATGATGAGGCTGAATTATTGAACGCTGATTTTGAGATTGGCCAACTCATCAGAGACACCATTGTTGACAATGCCGTGCTCTATTACACTGGAGAGATTACCGATGAAGATGATGGCTTCGATTATGATGCTGAGGACTTCGAAGACGACGAAGATGAGGAAGAGGAAGAGTAAAACGCTCCCGAGACGAATGCCCGCTGATCACTTTCTATTTTCCCCGCTTGTTCTAAGTATTTGGGACCCGTTCCAATGCATTGTTGAACCTTTTCCTTGTTGTTAACCGTTTGTCGAAAGGTCTGATTAAATTCTAATATTAAGGAACAGGTTTTGGGTGTCAGCATCAAAGTCAGAGCAATCTTTCAATAATTTGACGGTTTGTGTATTTCTTATGGGTCTTATCAAGGGAATGGGCGATCATGTTGTGGAGGAGTTTCGCACCCTCTTTTCGAACATTCTCAGCTCAGAACTTGTGATTGATCTGCAAGATTCAATCGAACGAAGGAAACTATTCGCAAAATTTGAGGTATATTGTATGCAATATTGGGATAATTTAAATTATGGGACTTTGAGTGGAACAACAGAAGATGGTATTCCAAACGAATTGATTCAAAGCTTGGCTACTGCTTCAGCGGCAGGCATTGAGTTCAGCACCGGTTAGTTTCCAATTTAAAATAAAAAGTAGGCCACTCGATTACAGTTTATTTGCAGTCGGGCTTATGATCGGAATGTGTGAATTGTTTGGATTCGTTTCGGGGGCGAATTTGATAGTCCGAATTTTGTTTAAAGTTTTTTGTTGGGTCTGTCTCTGTTTCGCCCTGTCCAATTGTAAAACTAAAAATGACGGGGTTGCGAAATCAAAAAGAAACTAACGATTGATGTTTGAAGTTCAACAAAAATGCAGAAAATAAACTTAGGCATCTCGAATTATAGTCCGTTTAGGTACTTCATGGTTTGGAGGACTATCTGATACTGCAGGACCATCCACATCCCTTTCTTTTACCACCGAATCATCAGTGCCATTATGGTCATCGTTGATTATATTGGGTGGATTTGGCGCCATCAATCAAGATGTTGTTGGATATATTCTGAAAAAGCTGAGAAATGACTTTGGGTCGGTTGATAAATTTCTCGAAGTGTTGATAGAGTCCGATGAGAGGCTTCTTTGCGTCTTGCTAGCCATACTGGAACTGCATCGAAGGAAGTCATAGTAAGATTTGTTGATAGTCTATTAATGTTCCTATTTCAGTGCAGAATGCGACTTTTGGGATCCGCTAACTTTGTGTATGACCATGCTTATAAAACTGGACTTCTCGGAAAGTGTAAGTTGACTGACTGAGAGATAATATTTCAATTTTTCAAATTTTTGGAATGGGTAAATTCTGTTTGTAGATGTTCATAGACTGGCTTGCATCAGATCCCATTTCCGTTCCATTTATTTTCCGATTCTTTGGAGAGATGGGCAAGAATCCAGAGTCCCTTCAGAAGGCTGTAAACTCTCTTGTCGGTCTTTCTTTTGAGGAAAATATCAAGGATTTCCAGGAAATTCCGATAAAATATTCCATAAATACGAAGGTCGGCATCACAGAGATTCATGGAAACATATCGGTGGAGAAAGAGATGGTCTTTGATAAGAAAATAAGGGTAAACAATAAGTTGATAACAGCGACGTCCTTGTTTTCTAGTATGGAAAAGGAATACTTGCATTTCAGGCCAGAATTACTACAAAAGAGATCTCCGTAACATATGATGAAATTGTCGACAACTTTAACGGGATGCTAAACAGATTGCAAGCACGGTTATTAAGTGCCAATAGACATGGGACATTACCCATGAATGTTAATGGACTGATAAAAGTCGTATCAAAGGTCAAAGAATTGGGTTACGCAGGGGAAGATTGTGCTCGTAATGTATAAAGATGTTTGTAAATAAGACTTCACTATTTGGATTGTGATATTTCTTTATTCGGAGAACTGATTACAATATATATCCATTATAAAACAGTATTTTACAGTAATATTGATCACAATTTAAATTGGAATGTGATCTTGATGCTGATGACGGGATGAATTGGTATCTGCCATGTAGATTAGCACCATGATGACCAGAATGACGGCCGTGACAATCATCCACACTCCCCAGGCGCTGTATTGAATCATGTACCAGAGGAAAAGAACTGTAGCAACTATGAACAAAAGGGTCATAATCAAATTGTAAATGCTTTCCAACTTGGGCGCACAGAATTCGCAGAGATTGAGGATGAAGAGAACTGAAATAAGAAAGTTACATGTGGTACAAAGATGACATCTTTTGACGGACAAAAAGAACTTACGGATATTAATCAGTAATGCCACGAAGTTTAGGCCACTGGTAAATCCAATTCGGCCCTCGCTGAAGCATGAAGCCCCTCCATACCTGAAGATAACATCCGTAAACAAGTTTGAGTAGCTTCAGCAACTAAATTCAAAATTCGGCTTACCAATTAGCACACAACACCGAGCAAATCACAAACCCGAGGATGATTTGGACGAGCTTTGTGATCCCCCGATCTGTGCTCACATAATGCGAATTGATTCCCATCTTTGTTCACCGATACCCACAAACAGTTGAACACAACTGACCGATAACTGTTTCCCTCATCATGTTTATAAGTCGGGTTTCCTTATTATTCCATATCCTTATCAGCGGGTTTTCGAAATTATTTGCTCACAACTGAAATCAAGAACCATTCCAAACAACACAAATAAGCGTGACTCCGAAGGGCATTAATGGTCAAGGAATTAGGAGAACAAACTTCTCGACAAAACTGTATTTTAAGATGTTTTGATATTGTGGTTCAAACACCTGCCAAGGGTTCATATACTTTTGGAAAGCACAAGTGTTCTAGTCCACCTTTATGCAAATATTGGGCTGTTAATGATTGTGTGGAATTTAATGAAGATGGATTTTCCAATCTATTCAATGCGAAAATTAGATAAGGTCATCTACAAGTGCCTTGCTCAAAAAAAAGACCAAAGATTCAAAAAATATTGCATCTGTGTTTACATATTTTCCAGAAACTTGTTTTCCGACCATCAATCGCATTGAGAAAGTAAATGATGTCCATACAACTTGACCAGTCGGATAACCGCTCAATTCAACGATTGCAGACAGCTTAATCCTTCAGGATTAACATCCAGAATTTAAAGTTGGGCCTTTATTTACTCTGTATACATACATCCGGAGGGATGACAAATCTTCCAAATAATTTATAAATGCGTTTTGCACCCGGAGAAACACGAAATTTTTAAATAAAATAAATTTTTAATTCTTTATCGATCAAAATCTGCATAAAATCGAAGTTGGAGTTTGATCCTTGACACGGAAGACGATATTAGTGGTGGTCAAGCATGAGGAACGGATTATTTGCGTTATATGATGGTCATCGTTTACCCCATCGTCGATCCGTTCGCTGTAATCCTCGAGGCCGCGCGCAAAAGCTTCTCTAAAATCGTCGTCCCTTCTCTTTTTACCGACCGTTGAAGCCGAAAATTGTTGCGCGAAAGATTAAGAGGAAGCGAATCGGTTCAGATGACCGGTTCTGTCGTCGCAACGTGCCAATTAAGGACTTAACAATCCACGTTTTTTTGTATTTTCGGACTCGTCAGACATCTTACGGGCTTTGGATTTGGGATTAAATATGAATTATGTAACTTCTGGAAGCCCTTGCTGGGCGGGGTGGGCGATTACATAACAGATCTTCTGGCGTTTTTTCGTTTGAATTGCTTGCTTGTTCTAAAATCGCAGTTTGTTCCGAACTTACAAAAAGTATTCTCTCCCAATGTCTCCTATGATTTAGTACCCTCGGAACGTGGTAATTTCAGGAAGACAAAAAATATTTTTTGCTGCGTCATGGGTTTGGCGGGGCGGTTACAGCGAGTGATGTATTGTTTTTTCATTTCTCTCAAAATCCATTTAATGAACTTTATGCGAAAAGTCTCTTTTTCTCAAAGTTAATATTACCTCTTGTATCCTTTACATTGATATATATGTAAAAAGTTGGTTGTTTAGACTACTCAAATTTACTTTTTACTCTGTCCAAACAACTTTTTTTCGGTTCCTCATGGAGCGCTCGCAATTAGCCGAATATCAGCGTCGCTGTTACAGTAATCCGCGCTGACCCTCGGCCACTTATTCTGCGCGTGTTTTTAGTGCATTCCCAATTTCAGTTCCGCTTCGAAACCCTACGCATTTATTCGACTTTTCACCTTCATGTATCCCTAAAACGGACGGTAATTGTAAACACAAGCCCTGAAGGGATGCGTCGCTTTCCATGGAGTTATCGCGTTTCCGGAACGGTCAATAAAAGTCGCGACGTAATAACCGTGTAAATCACTTGGGAAACTGCGTTTTTCGAGGGTTTGTTTCAAAAAATTTATTTGGTTTTTTGTCGGAAAAAATGAAAATTTCTATTTATAAAGACGTAATCCGTAAAAAAAGTGCAAAGTCGGGAATGATCAGGTAAAATAATAGCTCGCTTTTTTAAAAGTAAGGTTGACGGTTCGTGTGAACATGATCTATTATATATCCCCTCCCGATTATGTCAAAATTGTCCGGTTTACCAGGGGATTTACTTGCACTCCTAGCTCTTTCGGTGATTTTTGAAATCCGAGCCGAATTTGGCTCTCGTTTTCACTCTTTTTTTCGGGATATTTTATTACTCATTTTTGATGCGGTTTCTCTATTTTCGCATTAATATCGCGAGTAATTTGTTTGCCTTTAATCGTATGTTGTGTATTACACATAGTAATCGTTTTAGGTAACGACCTCTCTTCATGCCATGTCTGCATTAAAACCCCCAAAAACAAACCTTCTTATCGCCCGAGGCGGTAGCACTTGGTTGTTATGACTTCCCGCTTTTTTTAATCAAAATGGAATTGTTTTAGGCGATCGTTTCCCGTCAACTGATCACGGTTGAGAGGGGCGTCTGACGTCAGTACCTCCAATGATTTATTTCACCGTTCGTTGGGGAGAAATTGTTAAAATCAGAGGGTTTTAATTATTTTAATCACAGAAAACTCGGTCTCAGAATACAACGGTAGCAAAGTGTGGTTAAAACCGCGGAAAATACGTTGAAATCGGGCAAAAATTAAGTTGGAATTACTTTACACTCATCAAAAAATTTTTTTATTTTTGAGAAAAAATCATCGGAGGAGAACATTTCCACTGCATTATACCAGAGTTCTTTTTAAGTACTTTTTTCCGAATTTACGGTCGTCCCTTCAAAAATCCCAAAAAAGATGTCCAAAATTTATGCAGATCGCCTAGCATTTGCGTCAGCGTCGGCTTGTCTTCCAGCAGCGATTTGCTAACATTTGTAGGCCGCTAAGCCTTATAAAAGCGATTGTTCGGCTCTGTTTTGCATTCCCCTTTTCGTGATCGATAATGATAAAACATTACTTTTGTTTGAAGGATTCGATAATTTCAAGTGATTAGGTTGTCATAAAGGGGAAATTATGACAAAAAAGGGCCTTCTGAATAACTTTTAATCGATTTTTGAGAAAGGGGGTGATTGAAAAACGTTTTTTCTCTAGCTAAAGTTCTATCTAGGTCTCGACAGCCCCTGTAAAAGAAGACCTAAAATTTTGGAAAAACAATGTCTAATCTTGACAAGGGTATAGGCAAAATTTGAAGACTATCTGAGTAACTGACCGCGAGTCAAACTTTATTCCTTGCATTCATCCCCGTGGCTTGCCGTTTTTGTGATCTTTAGGCTAATTCCACTTAGACTGGCTATTTCGAATATTACAAACGGCAGATATGATTTTCTCGAAATAAAGCGCAGCCTTATGACTAAGAAAACTAAGACCAAATGATGTTAATTAATTTTCTTGAGATCATGCGTGTTTTCGTTGATTCTTTTAAAAACTTTACACATCCATTGATCAGTTCTCCCAAAGTACAATTCCCTAATAAAGTATCTGCTGAATATTGACGTCATCGCGGTAAATTAAGGCAGTAATGACGCCAACAGACCGAGATCACCGTTGAAATTTGTTTTCCTGCAAAAAGTTGAACAAATGAGATGGGCATAAAAACAAGGGTAATAAACCTTCCGGGCACTCCTTTTAAGAGCCGCTAGTCCCAAAAAGCGTTATCATTGTCGTCATTGATGCGATTGGAGGGGGGCTTTAGCACGAGACTTCATTATATTATGCTTAATGAGTATGGGAATGACCGGATGTACGATTTTGTTTTATTCAGCTGAACGAGTACACCTGAATTCAGGTGTAATCGTATATAAAAATCGATATTATTTTACAGATTTTTACTCAGCTTTTTTTGATTTTACAATAATTGAGGGCTATCATTTAAATTTTCGTACCTTTTTGCTTTGTTGATTAGTAATTTCGAATGTTTTTGGCGATCGTGTGATGTAATAAAATTGGGTACTTCTTACAAGACGCCTAAAATAACAAACTAATGGGGATTCATTGTTTTTTTAACTGACTTGCAGTAATGTCTTCGATTAAATTCTCGGCGCTCTAAGTTCCCTTTTCGATCTTGTCTGGTTTTTGGTTGTAAATACGAAATCTTACGTACAAAACAGTCACCGCCTGAAGGCCTAATCTCGGAAAGCCGGTTGTCTTCCTGTCTGTATGATATTAATGAGGCCCCAAATTACGCTTTTCTTCTTTTTTGATGACACGGCTTCTTCTTAACGCATTAATTCTAGGATTTTAAAATTAATATGGGTCAAAAATAAGTGTTACGCCCGTACTTAGAAGACGTGTTTTGTAAACAATTAATCGGTTCATTTGAATTGGACTTTTTTCTTTTATTGGAAATCGAATTAAATTCGCCAATTTTACAGTCCAGTCCGAACAAAAGTCTAATTCCCGGCTAGACCAGTTAGTTTTCGACTGAGTTCCTTTTTTTGCAATCAATTCTTACTTCTTGATCGATTTACAGAGTAATAAAAGCAAGTAAACTGCAGTCGGCGAGTGAATTTTGTACATGGATTACAGCCCCTGCATTACTTTGGCCCTATTTTTTGCTTATTTTTTATTTTTCGTTTCATTGGCCGTTCCTTCGACCGAACTTCCGCCCTCCGAAATCCGAAAGGAAATTTAGAAAATTTTGGTACGATTTTGTGGAGAAAAACTATGAATCTTTGAATTGTAGCTGTTCCCTTTCTCTACATTCACGTATCCTGCATTTCCATATGATTCTTTTCACTGGAGGTCTTTGATCGCTGTACAAAAAATATATTGTACTGCTGTGTACTTCATAGTTCAAGTAGTACAAAATTAGGTATAATTAAGGCCTCGGCAAGACGTTCCGCTACTTACGGATTTGGCAATATTTGTTTGCTGAATACGGCTTGTTTTTAAATACGGTGAAGGTCTCTAAGATGTAAATGAAGATCTTGATTGTTCTCGTCTTTACTAATTATAATCAATATGTAAACTTTTATGACCTGAGGCAAACTCCTGAACTCGTTGACGTATCGTTCCGTTTTCCCAAACCTGACTAATCTCCGTCCCTATTTTTAATCCTTTTTTTGCAGGGTTCCACTTTCTCGAACCTAAAATGAGAAA